ACACTGCCTCATACTCTGGTGTCTGGCGAAATGGTGTCCAAGAAGTGATCGCCACGAAACTTGGGATGCAAGATACGATGAGGGAGAGAGAGATGAATGCGGTGGATTGGGGTCACGATATGGTGAGATGGGTAAAACATGAGCTGCTTTTCAGGCTGACACCCTCGCTTAGATAGCAGCGTGCACTGATGATGCCGCGACGAGGATATGGAGACGTGATGATGTGACTGCTTTGAAATTGAAGAACGAACCTGAATCCATGACTCAGGAATGGGCAGGACACGTCGCATGATGATGCGGGTAATGATGGTGATGAATTTATGATAATACATGATGAATGACACACCTCGCTTGGAGCGCAGTTGGTTCGCTTGAAGTGAACTCCTTTGGATGCGTTGACCAATGCATCTAGCTTGCCTATGATACTAGTGCCTTGATCAGCCTGCATACATGGTACCTGTCAAGATTCTGTTCCATGGTCTACGGCCGACGGGTTCTGAATTTGTGTCCGCCACAGCACACATTTGAACTGACCGAGGGAGGTTGTAGCTGTGATTTGATATCCGTCGCCATTCATTGCCTCCTTCTCTGGTCTGATACAGACTTGGGAACCACATGCTCAGCGTCACGCTTTACATCATGAGTCATTAGCGAAACTAGAGAGTCAATCCTATCGGCTCGCGTATCCGAGTGACTCGCCCCTCCCTGGCTCGTCTCAACCGCTAGGCGCCGCCAAAAGTTCTTATCAGGTCATCAAAGGCAGCGTGGATCCCTCCGTTGCTTCCTCGCCAATTGAGACCTTCCTTTCGGTCAGACCATTGGCAAGAATTCTCGGCTGCTTCGGGATCATTGGACCGAGGCATCATCGCTCTATCCCTTTACAACAACTCGTACTGGGTCATCCCAACGATCCGATCTCTCCGTGAAATCGCTGCTAGACTCTGTATATAATCGATCCATTGGGTCGACTCTTCCAACCTCATATCTTATTGGACTGTACACCGCCAGCTCAAGGCCAACGATCTGTCCCTCCGAACTCCTTCGCATACATCCCTTTGGACTGCTAGAAATACCTCATTCGCTTCGGTCCGTTAGGTCCGTTTGGAATAATTAGAAGCGAAAAGACAACCAGGTACGCTGCAATCAGCTGCTAGTGATACAGAGTCCGAGATATACGAACCCAGGTCGTCAATCCAGTATCCTTTGGAGCGTGGTGACTGGACGGCAGAAGGGGATCCATAAACTGTATATAACGTGTCAGAGCGATATTCAGCGTCCCCCACTTGACGGGTCATCACGAGCAGCGCCATACACGACTATATACCCCTTCAACACACTTCGCGATGTCATCCCTCGCCCTTCCTATGGCCTTGCCAAACGCTGCCGACATCCACACGACGCTCAATCCTGCCGCGCCCAAGACGACCCCTTCCAAAGCCCGGCCCACACCCGCCACAACGGTCCCCAAGCCGACATCGAACGTCACCCTCAAGGTCTCCCCTTCACCTGAACTCGTAGAGCTGGAGGACGACGAAGACGGAGATGACGATGACGACGACGATACAGGTAAAAAGAAGCGAGGTGGGCCTGCTGGATCGGCTGCAGCAGCCAAAAAGAAGACTGGAGGGGAGGCCAAAGGGGATTACAAATATCTCAATGAGATCAGTCAGATGGTGAGGGGGCCCAACGAAGGCTTTGTAACAAGAGTGGACTGACGGCGATGCGTAGATGTTTGTCTTTGGCGAAGTGCAAGATCCTTTACCGGAGACTGTCAAGCTGGTGGAGGACGTTGTCCGAGGGCAAATTATCGAAATTGTAAGGGAGTCAAAAGGTTTTGATGCTCACCATTCCAGGTCACACGCGCTCGACTCCTAACGCATCTTCGATCTTCTCGCTTCCTCTCGGCTGAGGATCTCATCTTTCTGATACGCGACGATCGAGGCAAAGTCAATCGATTACGGACTTACCTCAGCTGGAAGGACGTGAGAAAAAAGGCAAAGGAGGATGAAGAGGGAGATGTTGATGTGGATGATGCGGGTGGGTCACGTACGACCTCTGAACATATCTCTCGCTTATTCTGACTTCCTCAGACAAAGGCGCAAAGAGCCGCAAGAGCATGGTCAAACTCCCGTGGGAGCTTTTCACACCGTTTGGCGACTTTTTGCGGACGCTTCCTTCCCGCCAGTCTGGAGGTGACGAAGAAGAAGAAGAGGACGACGACGAGATGCAAGCCTATCAGGATAGTATGCAGAGACTGAGGGTGAGTGGAGGCAGAGCCATGCCTTGGCTTGCGGTGCTGAGACGCTTGCTCAGGATGCCGATGAGATCACCAAGAAGATGACAAAAGACGAATATGTCCATTATTCTGACTGTCGTCAAGCGAGTTTCACGTACAGAAAGGGTCAGTCGTCTCGATGCGGCGAGGATGTCTCGCTGACCACTTTGCCAGCCCGAAGGTTCCGTGATTTTGTCAACTTTTCAGCTTACCTCGATGTCCGCCCCAACGACGACATTGTGGATATTCTCGGTTTCCTCTCGTTCGAAATGGTCAGATCCCTCTGTGTCACCGCTTTAGAAGTGCGGACGCGCATCGAGAAGGCAGCCGCGGCCGTCCCCATACCTACGAGTCACGCTGGTCCAAGTAGGACAGGAGGTCGGAAGCCCACCATGTCGCATCAAGCTGCAGGGTCCATGTCCAACGACAAGCTTATCGCTTCGCCTGCTCTTAAGCGGCGTTTGACCGTGACCTCCACCGCCGAATCACCGTCTGCAAAGAAGCAGAAGAATGATTTGACTGCTTCACCCGAAGCTACCACAACCTTGGCCGCCACACCCGCTACGACGACAGGTCATGGGTCCACTTCCGGTGATGCTGTTCTCCCGCGCAAATTGAACACATCGGCGCGTAAACCTGTATCATTGTTCGCCCCTCCGCCTAGTGCTAGATCTCCTTTACTCCCATCTCATGTGCTCGAGGCTTTTGCTCAGATTCAGCGACAACAAGCTGCCAGTCGAGTGGGCGGACTGAAGAATTGGCGAGGTGGAGTTGGAAAGAGTAGAATGGCCCTAGTGTAATCAATCTTTAGAGTATTCACATTATTCCCCTGTCTGTTGATGTCTCGCTTGTCTCGTTGTATGCAATTGTCTGTCATGTACATGTCGGTAAAATCACATCTTGTCTGCCTTTAGTCCTCTTCCATTCCCTCTTCGAGCGCCGCTTTACCCTTCGCATCAGCTTCGGCGAGCAAATCGGCAGGCACGACGGCATGCTTCATGTTTGATTCAGGGGAGATCCAAGTCATTTCAAGTTCGAATTCCTTGTCCTTGTTGTCGTCGTGAACGAGGTGGATACTGCGAGAAGTTAGGGACACGATGCGAACGCTAGCGTCTCACTCACATTCTCGCGACTTCCAAAACACCTTCTCTGCACGTCAGAGCAACACCTCCTTCCTCCGTTTCCTTCCCCACGGCCTTTTCCAACTCTGTCCTAGCCAAAACTGCTCCTTTACCAACTGCGTACCCTCTGTATCCGTAAAAGACACCTGAAGGCTCGATACAGAACAATCTGGGTCCAGTCTTGTCCACTCCAGCGACCAAACTCGATACGCCGAATGGTCTCACGGACGAATAAGCGGTGTATGCTTGAACGTACATTGACAGTCGATCCGCGAGAATCTAAAGAGCCCAGGTAGGTCTCAGCAAGATCCTGGCAAAAGGAAGAATGGACTTTGACACACCTGCGTCGGTATAGGCGCATTGTAAGTTTCTCTAAAGTTCCAAACTTCATCCCTTCCCCTATCGGCCAAATGCACACCATCTGCCAGCAAACCAGCAGATGCGAGTCCAATGGAATCGTCCAGACTTTGTATCCTCCTATTGGCACCTTTGACCAGGAGCTTCGAGTGAAGTATACGTTCCACACCGAGGACCACACCGTCAGAACATCTCAGACCGATCGCGACGCTGACAAGATATCAGTATCATAACGGGGTATCCTTCGATGGGTTGGATGACCAAGGTGATATGGATGGAAAAGGGCTCAAACTCACCCTGCAGCTTCTACAGCCTTGCCCGCGTATTCGACCTGAGCACCGGTGAGTCGACTCAAGCACAGCTAGGAGACTGCTTACCTGGAACAATCTGCCATCTGGAGAATACGTCGAGACCGACAGGTCATAGCCCGTCCCGATGGACGACATGATGAGGTAGACCGACTGCGCTCAGATGGGATAGCTTGAGGATCAACGACGAGGAAGGAGCACGCGGACGGAGAACAATGAAAGCCTTCGACTCGAATGAGAGACCGCTCAGGTAGCTTAGACTTGAACGTAATGATCACGATCTGGTTATACCTTCATGAATCAGTCATTCCACTTGCGCGTCTCGAGCTCAACGGTGGCGGGATAAAAGCCGTGGAAAATATATGGGCTATAAATATTCAACTTCGAGGGGATCCCTAGTCACCAATGATTCTTTCCTGCAAGTCTCCCCAACTGAGTTTTGACAGAGCCCAAGATGACTGTTCCCAAGCGAGCGGATCCAGATGAATTCTAACATCTACTCTTGGACGTGTGATAACGCATGAGGCAGGGGCGCAGCTGAGACGTATCGTGTTCTTGTCCGCGCTCTCAAGGGCCAGCCGCTAGAATATGAGGGCGGCGAAGATCTCGCCCACGTTGAAGTCTGTTCCCTGGCTTCAGAGTATGGTCGAATCATTACGCCTCCCGCCCCCTCCCCCTTCCCCCCCCCGCCTCCTCCTCTCCCCCAGGAGTTGTGTGAAGATCTTGTGATGATGCATAGTCTCCAGCCCGAGCGTTCAGATCGTATAGAGGCGTTGAAGATGAATACGTGTCTTTTTGAAGGAATCCATCGGCAAGGCTTTGACTGCTAAATCTTGTTCAGAGAGCACGCGATCATCGAGTCCTGAGGATGAGCTCAGAGGCAAGTATAGTCGTGCAGGTAGTCAAGATCTAGCTTGTGATGCCATGCTAATCATCATGTTACCAGGGGATCTCAAAACGCCGAATAGGCCGGTATAAGTAACGTCATCGTCTCAGCCCGTCGGTGAATCTCGAGATCTGTTGACAGGGTGTCAAAAGCCATACCTCAGAAGAGTCTAAATACTATCTGCTGGACATCTGCATGATTCTATGCAACAGGCAACATGCAATTCGCGTACCAGATAGCTGAGGATATTGCCAGTGGTCGGCAGACCTGCGAGTCGCTGGTGATACAATGTCTTGAACGAATCGAAGCGGATAACATAAAGGGTCGAAAACTACAGGCATTGATCAGTGTATGTCCCAAGGATATCGTCCTGGCGTTGGCGAAGCAAAGAGACACCGAGGTCAGAAGTGGAAAGTCACAAGGCCCACTTCATGGCGTTCCCATTGTGATCAAGGTGAGAGCCAGTTTGGTCTCTGGGCTGAATCGGGGCAGGATGCGATTGTTACTGGGCCAGAGCTGGGCATGACAAATACCGCCGGGACTGAAGTGATCAAGGCGATGAAGGCGAAGCGGAATTCGGATATTGTTGATAGGGTGAGTGCCCTGTTTGAGAGGGGTCTGAGAGCCTGATGGATGTTCCTGTCAGCTGTTGGAAGCTGGTCTAATCATTCTAGGAAAGTCCAACATGACGGTAAGTGGTCCGCGCTGGAATGGCGACGTGAGAAGTACTAAACACGTATCCTTCACCAGGAGCTCTGTGGTCTCAAGTGAGTCGGTACTATTGCGAAATCACATGTCTGACCTTACTAGGGACGCCTCGACGCCCATGGGTTACAGTACGGTGGGCGGGCAGACGCTCTCAACCTTTCGCCAGGAGGGTCTAAGCGAGAAGGATCAGCCAGTAAGGACAGATCTGTATCAGTCTAAATCATACGCTGAGGTGACCGCTCAGATAGCTGGCGGCTCATCCTCCGGATCAGCAGTATCTATAGCTGCTGGCTTCGTCCCGCTCGCGATTGGATCCGAGACATCAGGATCCAATGTCTTCCCAGCGAGTGTGAGCGACGTCTACGGCTTGACCTTGTCAGCCGGTCGAGTGTCGACCACCGGAATCTGGAGGATCAGCAACTCCTTTGATAGGATCGGGGTGATGGCAGGTTGTCCTGGTGATCTGAGAAAACTTGCCGAGGTGATCTGCTCGGACTCAATTATCGTCAGGGACCAAGTCAGCCTTGGAGACAACCTAAACTTCAAAGTCGGGGTGTTGGATCCGACATGGGGAACATGGGGACAAGAATGGAAGCAGAAGTGGGAGAAGCAAGTAAGCAGACTGTCGCTGTAAGATGGCCCTGCTTACACATGACCTGCTTAGAAAGAACCGTACGAGGCGTTCGTGAAAAGCTTGGAAGCCATCTGCGAACGAGTGGTTTATCCTTTACATCTTGATGAGCCCAATCATCTCAATCTGAGCGGTAATGGATTGCACCAGGTCGCCTGTCAGTGTTTTCTTACCGCCTTCAAACCGTTTTTTCCACTGACTTGATCAGTATACGAGTGCAACACCGTGGTCAAAGGCTACCTGGATCAGTTTGAGAATGGCGGAGTCACGGACATGGCCGCAATCGTCCAGTGGAACAAGGACCATGCTGAACTCGCTATGCCCAAGGGTGATAAACAATGCCATCCACCTCATTCGCAACATCTGACTGACACTCTGCTCAGAACACCCTGGTCAAAGCATGTTGGAAGACTGCCTCAAGTTATCCACCCAAATGACACCAGAGATCCATCGAGAGACCATCGACCAAGTCAAAAATCTAGCTGGACCAAAGGGAGTCGAAAAGGTCATGCACGAGATGGGAATTGACCTGATTGTGTCGAATAGCGATGCCACCCTGGTGAGTTATGCCGCTTGGCTCGGTTGGCCAATCGCCACGATCCCGACCGGGTGGAGGAAGGAGAATGGGCAACCTTGTGGAGTCTTTGTACTTGCAAGGGCGAATCAAGAGGACCTCTTGTTGAAGTTCATGCAAGCAGTCAGGGATTCGCAGACTTGAGATAGATGGGCCTTGGTAGATCGGTAGATACAAGAGATCCATAATCAATGTGCCACTATTGGACTCGAGACTGCAACCGTACCTGAAAAGTCTGAAACGTCCGCCGGCTCGGGCAGATCGTTGATGTTGGAAGACATGCAAGGACCATGAGAGTCAATGAGAACACTGTGATATGCGGTGACAAGGTCGTCCTCGTCCCATATAGGTGAGAACACACGGGAAGATGAGGATCGCTTGATGACGCCTGCTCAGGAGAGAACACGTCGAGGTGAGAGCAAGGCTTCTGCAGCTCTTAGCTCTTCGAGGTCGAGGAATGGGAGTCCAAGAGACATTGTGCTAAGGCGAATGACAGACCTATCATGAATGGATGAAATCGCCAGAGCTGCTCGAGCTCACTGCCTCGGAGCCATTATCACTGGAGGAAGAGTACGAAATGCAGCGTGAGTCGTGTGTGGGCTCCACGAAATGGCACTTCGCTGATATGGATCCCGCTAGGTAAATGGCACATGGATGAGGACAGCACGTGTCATGCATTTCGCAGAGCGTTGACGAGCCTGCTGATAGTAGCACAGAGCTTACGTGTATACTACTTGGCAGGCCATCCGTGATCCAGCAAGGATCATCCTCTCCAAAAATCATACTGGAACCATCTGAACTTCGGCAATGCAGCATGGTTGGGGACGTGAACTTGTTCTTGCCTGATGGCTTGGGAGGAGATGTCGAGTGTGAGATCATGATTGCAAGTGGGTCATCGTCTTGACTTTGGACCCGAGCCGTAATGATAACACGGCGCTAGCCAAGGAGGACAGGCGGAAAGGCTATGCCAGAGAGGCTCTGACTCTGTTGTGAGTTCTTTTCCGGTTTCTAATGAGGGATCTCCGCTGATATCGCACAGCCTATCTTATGCTATTTCGACCTTGAAAATACAGCCTCATCAACTCATCGCTCGGATAGGGATGGACAATGAACCATCGATAAGGCTCTTTGAATCAATGGGGTTCGGGATCGAGAAGAGGGTCGAGGTATTCAGAGAAGTAGGGCTGAGATGGGGTCACAAGCCGAGTCAAGAGGGGGAGGAGACTCAATCAGAAGTCTCTGATGAGAAGGCAGACTGGCTGGCGGATCTGGAGGGTATGATAGGACCATATGATGAATAAGACGTCTAACGACGATTGGCAGCCTGATCAAGTACACATCTCGACGGCCTCATAAGCGCTTCTCGAGAAGCACCATCTTGTGAGCGGTCGACGTACACCAAGTCAGACTCTCGAGTGCGCCCGCTGCCCTGTTATCATCGGGTTCCCCCATTCATGCTATCTGCAAACCACCCTGCCCATACTACTGCTTCTCTTCATCCTTGCCTCCCGCTGTTGGATCTTCTACCAGTCCCAGGGAGATAATGGTCCCTGCAGCTGCTTTCTCAGCCGCTTCTTTCGCCGATGAAGCTTGCTGATTCTGCCTTTCAACAAAGTGTTTGGCAATGGTCCTGGCTCGGGAGATCTATGGATTTGCACGAAGAGGGCGCCGAGCGACGGACGTATCGAGCGAGTGCAGCAGATCGATCCGAGGTGTATGGAATGATAGGAGCGGCGGGGGGACCGGTGTTCGTGTGAGAAGCAGAGTCCAGATGAGAGCGGAACAAGGCGGAAGTGTCGAGAGTGGGCAAGTGGAAGTGAGAAAGGTTTCAATCAGCGGATCGTCCCCCCATAGTACTTTAAGGAAGAGGAACACGACATCTATCTCACCTCCTTCTTCCTATGTAAACACTCGATGTAATCCTCATGTTGCGGTTTGCATTCCTGAGGCTCCTGAGCAGACTTCCAACACTGATAGAGACATTAGGACATCAGGTCATTTCGGGGACGATTGGGACCCGCCCGGATGACTCACCCTCTGAAACTCCATCAGATGGGCCCAGCACCGCGGATTGCCTGTGAATGCAATTCAGTATCTGCTGAGGAACACTCTGGCGTCCGTGTAATGAGGTATAAGATGTGGAAAGAGGATCCACGGCACGACTTGGACGAGTCGCAGAGTGCCGGACTTGGGGAACAGCTCACCTCCGTTAAGACCGAGAGCCTGAGCAATTGATGTCAATGATATCCTACCACCGATTCAAAGCACTCCGCCCATACTCACATTCGACATTGTAGCCTTCACTCGAGACCTGGCTACGCTATTGAAACCTACGACTTGCCCAGGTCCTGGATACTGAGGACTAAAGTGACGGAATCAAATTTATCATCACCACTGCTATTCGATTATTTGCCACGTCTGTTCAATGTCGCCTGGCTGTGTGCGTGCATGCTTTTTGAATCGGGACAACAGGTGCCGCAGGGAGTAGTCAGAGCATGGTCTATTTGCCCTTCAACATCTGTTCCAAGACTTCCACCACCTTGTCTCCAATTTTTGTCGTGGACGCCTCTCCTCCGAGATCCTTCGTCCTCAGGTCATATCCACCCTTCTCCTTGTCGTCCAAGACTTTAGCAACGGCAGATTCGATCAAGTCAGCTTCCTTGGATCGGCCGAGAGAATATCTGAGCATCATGGCTGCGGAAAGGATAGTACCAACGGGGTTGGCGATCCCTTGACCGGCGATGTCCGGAGCGGAGCCGTGAATTCTGGTGTATCGTTAGCTATTGTGGGTTGAGTCGTTGTTATGACGTACGGCTCGTAGATACCAGAAACTGTTTTGCTCGGGTCTGGTGCACCGGCTAGGGATGCGGAAGGTAAAAGACCAAGAGATCCAGGAATGACGGAGCTCTCATCGGAAAGGCTAAGGATCATAATCAGTATACAGTTTTCCTTGACCACTGCACTCACATATCACCAAACATGTTTTCGGTGACGAGCACTCCATTCAACTTCCTAGGATTCGCAACCATTATCATGGCTGCCGAGTCGACGAGCTGATGTTCAAGCTTGAGTTGGGGGTATTCCTTCGCCATGAGCTCGGTGACTGTTTTCCTCCAAAGCCTCGATGAAGCAAGCACATTGGCCTTATCGACCGAGATGACGGGGAGAGGAGGATCGGCAGCTAGAGCGATCTGAGCCGCGACTCGAGTGATCCGCTCGACTTCCGGGATGGTGTAGACGCAAGTGTCCCAGGCAGTTCCAGTCTCGTCAGTCTCTTGCCGTTTTCCAAAGTCTGAGGGGCATTTCAGTCAATTTGAGTTGTCAGTCGACACTCACACACTCCTCCGATGAGCTCTCTCAAAACGATAATATTGACTCCCTTTGCTCGGTCCTCTTTTAGAGGACTGTGCTTCAGGAGCGACTCTGAGATGAAATTGGATGGCCGGATATTGGCGTACAGCCCTAACTCTTTCCTCAATTTCAAAATACCCTGTTCTGGGCGGACAGGCCCAACGCCCCATTTGGGTCCTCCGACGGCACCTGAGATGATACATCAGCACAAAGCGTCCCGCTAAGAGACTTTGGAGGACTCTACTCACCCAGCAGAATCGCATCGGCCGCCTTACATTGATCCAGAGTAGATTGGGGTAATGGATCATTGTGATTGTCAATGGCGATACCTCCAAAGTCACACGAGGTGAGGTTCAGCTGTAGTCCGGTATGCTTAGAGACAGTCTCAAGAGCTCGGACAGCTTGCGCTGTAACTTCGGGACCTATGCTCGAGTTAGATTACGTGCCAAATCTAATGGACAGAATTCGACTCGCCAATTCCGTCTCCTGGAAGAATGACAATGTTGAAGCTGTTCCAGCGAGTCAGAGTCGAGACTGGACACTCGACAGAAAAGTGCTCACGCTTTCTCTGAGGCCATTTTGAAGGACGTTTTGAGTTGTCACGGAAGACGAGACAAGGTATGTAGCAGAGTCTCCAAGATGGGCCTGTCGCAACTTTTGGGACAATCGGCATTTCGGGCGAGGCAACCCGAAATCCCCGTCATTCTATTGGTTGGGCATACATATATGGTGTACCCGCATCCATACCCGTAGATCGGGGCGAGGCCAATGGAAGAAGCTGAGTACGGCCAGTCCACGACCAAGGCTATGTGGAATGCCGGGAATTGGCATCACTTCATGTCTACAGTAAGAACCCCATCAAGTCTATCTATTCATTTTCGGCCGACGAGGTCTTACGCGCAATGGACCACGCTATAGGTCCGTTCATATGATAATCGATTGCTCGCAGTGCGTGACCAGCCAGCCGGCTCAAGCAGGCTACAGGCAGTCCAGTTCTCAATGAGCTGTCATGAAGCCATTTGCGGTGTCTGATCCGTTAAGGTGCCACATCGGCAGCAGACATGTTGTTGTTGGTGATATCCCATTGCTCTCAGGGTCCAACCCAGTCGTTTCGTGAAGAAGGGCTACGTGACGCAGCCCCGCACATCACGCGAACTCGACCACGCGAGGCTCGCTTCGATGGAGTCCTTCGAATACTATCGCACGATTGGAACCATTGCCTCGCCCGGCCCTGAACGATTTGACCTGTTCTTGCACAGCTTCCGGAGAGGCACCATCTTCGAAGACCACCAAGATGGGCTGCTCATCTCCTGATTCAGCTATAAGGATCCCTCCGCGACCCGTCGTTGGATCCTGGCTGACAGTCGAAGTCGAGCGAACTGAGAGGGGGTAACAAGCCGTCTTCCGGATATGCGTAGATATCGATGAGTCTGTGACACGGGTGACTGCGCCGGACGAGATGACTGCCTTCACGACCCCTCTCCGTGTCTGGTCCTCACTGGAATCGGCGATAAATCTAGAGTTCCCAGCCTCGTCAAATATGTACATCTCCGCCGTGTCTTGATATATTCCACCAGTCGCTCGAATCGCTGAATCGACTTTCTCTCGATTAGCCCCTTTGGTAATCGAGATCAAGCGCCATCCATTTTGAGGACCATGCCGGGTTGTCTGGTACAAGGTGAAGATCGCAGCTGCGGATGATTCTGCGTCTTTCGTTATATGTCTCACGAAATGAACATCGGGAGCATTTGAGACTTCGTCCAGGGCTGACGAGAAGACTATGTGGGACATGAGGGTAGTGCCTCGAGGCCAAGACGTGGGTTCTTCAGTGATACCACCATCTTTTGGCATTGCGTAGCGATGAGAGATCAGTGAAGAGTTTGGGGACGTGGATGAATGACACTTTGTCGCTGTAACGAGTCTTTGCGAAGTAGGTAGAAGGGACTTTTCGTTACGGGATCCGAACAACGTGAGAGGGATTCAAATCCCTGAAGACGATGCTGTACCATCTGGCATTTGACCACCTCGCTATATAGCTCGACTTCATCGATGGCCTCTCGACGTCAGAGCGGATGAAAGGATGGACAAGAACGTGTCACGAAACCTCTCTGACGGAATTTGTGCTGCAATCTCCCAGTGTCTCCACTAGCACTCTGAATTGGCCTGACCTGGAGCTGTGTATAGGCCATCACACTATGGACTCTGATGGAGAATGTTGTTGGGCCGCATTGATCATGAACCTGATCAGAACAAAGCTATACGATACGCTGCTGACACGACCTGAAACATCAGGTGATGATTCGTCGCTTGGCAACCCATGTCCCAAGACAATTCACCAAGTCCATTGTGTATTGACCCATCCCTCCGACAGCAGCAGCAGCAGCAGCAGCAGCTTTGCACTGCTCCTTCGACTCATCCTCAATATCATATAACATCCCACCGACTCTCATTCGCTTCATGAGAGCGTCCCGTAGCGCTGACTTATCAGCAGCCACCCCCCTCCTTTGATCGCTCTACCCCTTAGATTTTCATACTCAACCCCTTTGCCCCACCGCTCGAGTCTTCAACGACTTCTTCATACAGGTTCCGACAAACACTCACACTCATTTCAGCCAACTCTCAACTGATCGTCTCCTTCTTGACCCAAACGGTCGCCTATTACCATGCTCCTCCTCTCAAACCTGCTCCCCTTGCTCCCATTCCTTGGCCAAGCTTCTGCAGCTACTGCTGATGAGTGGAGGTCGCGATCAGTGTATCAGTGAGTCTCAACGCGCTTCTCTTAACATTCCTAGCGCCACCGAGAGCTCTATTGCCTGAGCTCATACCGATGTCAAACGACGAGTCATCTGCCCTATCCCCGATGAGCTCCCCTAACAATGCTACAGGATCATGGTAGATCGCTTCGCCCCTCCTAACGGAGACTCTGGAACTCCATGTAACCCCGACGACAGGAAGTATTGTGGTGGAACATGGTCCACTCTTGTCTCCAAGCTGGACTATATCCAAGGCATGGGTTACGATGCGGTGTGGATCTCACCGACGGGATTGAACATTGAAGGATTCACCTACTATGGTGAAGCTTACCATGTGAGCGGCAAACGGTCCCTGTCTCCTGACTTGCTGAATTCTTGCAGGGCTATTGGATCACTGACCCGACCAAGGCGAACCCTCATTTCGGATCTGATGATGACCTCAAAGCACTCTCTGCCGCTCTTCATGATCGCGGAATGTATCTGATGGTAGATATCGCCGTCTATGCGCTGGCATCAAACACTGGAGACATATCAAATGCCGCCCTTGCTGCAGACAACGGTGGTGCCTTGCTGTTCAAAGACCAGGCAGACTACCACCCAAAATGTAATATCAAGTGGGGAGATCACGACTCCGAGATGAAATGGTTCGCATATTGCTGGCCGCTAGCACCACGCTGATCACCACACTCTCACAGCTGGCTCGCGACTTCTGGAGTGGCTCTCATGGATTTGGATCAGTCCAACTCGGATGTAGGCGACACACTGATCAATTGGGCCAAAGACTACGTCCAAGAGTTTGGCATAGACGGCTTCCGGATCGATGCTAGCAAGCACATGACTCAAGACTTCCAGCACCGTATGTGTACAACCGCGGGAGTGTTTTGCGTCGGCGAAGTAGCGGGAGACAATACAGCGTGGGTCAGCTTCCGAGGAGTATAGGCTGAATAGATATCAGGTATGCCTCGCGGTTCCAGGGCAGCAGTGCTATCGATTCGGTCTTTGGCTTTGGCAAGTTGTACATGATTGCCTTGGAGACTCGACTGACCCGTGCCAGGCCTGATGTACGGCTTCGTCCAATCCTTCACTGGTGGTCACAAGATGACCTCTTTGGAGAACAAAATCAAGCTCGCTGCGCAGAGCTACTCTGTGAGCTGACCCTGATCTCAATAGAGATTGCTCACGTCGTATCTTAGGACCCAACAGTCATCGGTCAATTCCTTGACAATCAAGACCTGCCCCGATTCAACTCACTTACCTCGGACAAATCGCTCGTCTATAATGCCATCGTCGGATGTTTCATGTACGGTGGTATACCTATGATCTATCAAGGCCTTGAGCAGGAACTCTCGGATGGTCATGATGATCCGTACAACCGTGAAGCTCTATGGCTCTACAATGACTTTTCAACCTCGACACCTAGCTACGTCAATATCGCCAACGTTAATAAGATCCGTCATGCGCTCAACGGAGACGACAAGTTCCTAAACTCGGTGGCAACTGTTCAGTCTGTTCGGGATCAGGATATCGCTCTGGTCCGCGGCTCTGCCTTGATTGTTTTGACCAATGTGAGTCACCCGTCTGCGGACTTAGAGTGTGGCTGACGATGTTCAGCGTGGTGCTGGTGGAAGCGGCTCATGGGAGATCAGCACTGGGTTCAAGGCAGGCTCGACCGTGGTCGAGTTCGTTGCTCCATCAGAAGATGATCCCAGCTAATATGTTTCTTAGCCTTCTCTCCTGTAAGACTTTCTCGGTCGCGCAGGACACTAGTTTGTCGGTGACTTGGACCTCGGGAGAACCATTTGTGAGCCGGAGGAGAGGTGATCTTCTAAACGTGGTCACTGACATGACTACTTTCAGGTATTCGTTTCCACTGACACGGTCTCGTCGAGTGGTCTCTGTGCGTCTAAGTCGACTGTGAGTAGGCCACTGGGGAACTCAGCTGATCAAGTCAGGCCTCAACTTCCAGTGAGTATGCAAGCACCGCGCCCACCTCCGTATCAAGTGCAAGTACAAGCACGACCTCCACCAAGAGTTTCTCAGATTCAGATATCGGCGTTCAGTCAAGCGTTGGGAATGGGAATCTGATCGTGACTACAGCAGCCGCAGCACCATCTTCGGTTGCCGAGAGTCTGACGCCTTCGGCCTCGTTCAGCGACGGCCAGGGCCGGAGCACAACTCCATCGGGTACTGGTAGTGACCCCCAGACGCTTTCGGCCTCGTTCAGCAACGGTAATGGCCAAAGCATGACCTCATCAGACGCTGGTAGTAGTCCTCAGTCCATTGCGGGGACAGCCCCTACGATAGTTCAGGGCTCGTCCCCAAGTTCGACTTCTCGACTGAATACGGCCATTGGTGCGGGTAATGCAGCACAACCGGGCGCTTCTTCAGGCTCCCCGATCGGAGGCGGAGGCGGTGACCAACCTGATAGCGATGGAACCAATCCGGACATAGGAGGCACTGGTGCTGGGGTCACGCAAGTTGCGTTTGCTGGTCACGCGATCGCTAGTGAGTTAACCGATCACAGGACCCGAATTGACGGTGCCACAGTGGCGGTTGTTTTCGTGTCCGGACTCGTCGTAATCTGAGCGTGGAATGTGGTAGAAGTGTTTCTCCCTTGACTCGTTCACCATTCGCAGTCGAGCTCTGAGTCATGGACAGTCAGGTCCGCCATTGTGTAAGCGTATTGGTCTGTTTATTTCATGCAGGACATTTTTGCCAAGACTGAGCCGAGTTCGGCCGAGTGACTGATTCCCATACAAACGGCGCAAAAATCAATGGCGTCACCAGTCCGGATGCAAAAAATTGGAACTCATGTACTCACTCTTAAACGGAGTGACGGACAATGTGGTGACTGACCTGAATTAGATCGACAGATCGTTCACCACGAGATGTCTCCCTCGACCTACCAGGACAATGCGTCACTGACCACTGATGGGCTGGACCAGCACGAAACAGGTGGTAAAGACGCCGTGACGGGGAAGGAATCTGATGCCTCGCGGAGACAAGAAGCGTATAATGTGGATCCATTCCAAGCGCATAAAGATGCTGGACACAAGGATTACGTCGAATTCAGGACGTGCGGCTGGATCACTGCGGGTGTCGTGACTACTGCTGAGGTGTGTGAGCGTGCGGATCCCCTCGCTGGCTAGCTGCTGATCCTTGCATGCTTTAGGCTATCGCGCTTGGAACATTGTCGTTTCCTTCTACATTCCTCAGATTAGGTATTGTTGGAGGCGTCATCTGTACGCTTCTTGCCGGATTCCTGACCTGTATCACTACGTTTATCATTGTCGACTTCAAACTTCGGCATATGGGCTGTACGAATTGGCCAGAAGTCGGGACAGTACTCGGTGGAAAAGTTGCCAATCGGATACTGGCCGTGGGTCTCGTGGCAAAGGTACCTGATGCGCTTTCCTGGTCTATTCTGCGCTGACGCTTGACTTCAGTGCATCGGTATCGCTGGATCTCATGTTCTGGCCGGACAGGAAGCGATCACAACCATACATGGTAACGCCAATGTCTGTAGGATCGTTTGGGGAGTTATCACGGCCATTGCTAGTGTGATTGTGAGTGACTCAAACGGATGGGATTCGGCTACTAATCTTCTCTCCTGTAGCTCTCTTACCCTCGCAAGTGGCATGGGATGCACGTACTCTCCTATATTTCGATATCGTCCATATTGATCGCCTGTATGGTTACCATTGTCGGGACTGGAGTGAGTCGGGATGACTCTACACTTGCTGCCAATTCTTGCTCAATTTTATTTCAGGTCCAGAACCCAGACGTTTTGACCAAAGGAGGCGCTCCAATCGAATGGTACGCTACGCCTCAAGATGCTTCACTCGTCACCATCATCGGTGCAGCTACGAATGTCATTTTCGCCTATGGTGCTGTGACTGGTGCCTTGTCATTCTGCTCGGAGATGCACACGCCGAAAGACTACAAAAAGTCCATCTTCGTATACCAGCTCGTTTCACTCGTTGTATATCTCTTGACAGGAGCCCTCATCTATGTCTTTGGCGGACAGGTAGGTCGGAGCAGCACGATATGCCATGCTGATCTCTTTGTACAGTATACTACCAGTCCTGCGATGGGCATGACGACTAGGCCGGTACAGATAGTCGGATATGTTTTTGCTCTCATCACTATCCTCATTTCTGGTGTGGTGGGAACGAACATCGGTACAAAGCACCTCTACGTGTCTCTGTTGCGGAACTCTCATCTTTTAACCAGCGGCGGTTGGAGAGCCCAAGGTTTCTGGATCCTCTGCGTATTATTCATGTGGATTTTGGGCTTCATTCTCTCTCAACTGATCCCGGTAGGCTCGAGTTCCGAACATAGCTGCGACGCGCGACTGAATTCCCTAACCCACAGTTCTTCAATCAACTTTTGACCATCGTGTCGTCCATTTTCACCGTTTGGTTCTGCTTTGGTCTACCTGGTTTCATGTGGCTTCACTTGAGACACCCATACTTTGCCAATTCTCCTCAGGATAAGGCTGCACGAACCGAAGATCTGAAAACTGTTTGGAGAAGGATGGAATATATCGTGGTGGCTTTTAGCGTGAGTAAGACCTTCGCAAAGCGAGCAGTCGATTGACATCAGATCTAGATCATCATCAGTTTCGCCATCACTCCGTTGGGTCTTTACTCTGCCATTGAGGGCATCATATCTGGGGTGAGTACGGCTTTGACGATCTGCTCTTCTGTTTGACGCTCTGTCCATAGTATCACAACGGTTCCTTCAAGCATCCATTCTCGTGCTGAGACGGACAAGTCTTGAAGATGTCCATGTGCAGCACCCCTCGTCAAAGGCTTAGCCATTATCTACTCCTGGCTGGCACCCCTCGTATGCGTCCTTTCTCTCTGAAGATGCTTAACCGAACGTCCTAGACAGGAGAGCCTCGAGGTCAATAGTCGGCGGATCGCGATCTATCACAACCGAGCTCAAAATTTATTGCCAACAGGGAGTAGAGTCCATGAATGGTAAAGAACTTGATGATCTCCTTGAACATAAGGTTTCCATGCAGCGTTTCCACGGTCGCTCGACAAGATCCATCGGCCGTCTTTACATAGAGTATGATGCGCTCCTCAGTGACTGTTCGGTGATGACCAAGATGCCATGTCGAAAAGGTCAAGGAGGCAAAATATTGAGGCGTTTGTCCATATGACCCTCTAGCGAAGATCGACTCTCTTCAGAATCCGAGGCGCCACAGCCACGTGCACGCGTCGATCGAGTGTCCGATAGGGCCGAAGCCCGAAAGGAGCTGGCTCTTCATGTTGCCAGATCTTCGCTGATTCTAAAGCTAGACGCTCGCGATCATGACACTGCCTGTCGTCGCATCAGAGGCAGAGGCTAGAGAGCCAACCATGACGCCCAAAGACTACCACAGGATTCACTTTGATACATCGGCGCTGCCTTCCAAACGGATCGTAGGGCTACTGGCGTGTCAGCGTGAGTCAGACGACTGGAATGTGCAAAGCGGGCAAGGCTAATGTTGCTGTCGTAGGGGATCCAAGCCTTCGACAGATGGAGACGAAGGTTATTTCGTCCAAACCCGCTTCGGTCGCAGCTCCACCACCCGCAAGAGGCAAGGAGAAAAAGAAGAAAGCAGGCGAGGTGATTGGTCCCAACACACCTGCGGTCAATGGATCATCTGGCGCTTCCAGTGATTCGCCTGTGGTTCAAGGCAAGCTCTGGGAGGTCGAGCTGGAAGATACGGTCATCTTTCCGGAAGGAGGAGGTCAACCTTTCGATACAGGGACATTGTATGTCGACGGCTCTGGATCAAGCAGGGCATTCAAGGTTGAAGGATGTCTGAGGCGCAAGTTGGATTCCGTTCATCTGGTCCGGGCTCTAGAGGAGGATTCTAGCATCTTTGAGAATCTGGAAAGGCAGCAAGTGAAAGTCGTTGTGGACTGGGAGAGACGGATGGATCATGTGAATGTGCTGAATCACAGTGACCTCCGATTCTGCTAACATTGCGACAGATGACCCTGCACACTTCCCAACATCTACTATCTGCTGTCCTGGATACATTCGCCGAAGGGCTTCCTACGTTATCATGGTCGCTGCCCGCTTTTCCTTCCCTCGAAGCTCCGTACGTTGAGCTACCTCGAGCCCTGACATGGAGCGAAGCGGAACAGGTCGAAAAGCGCTGTAACGATTTCATCGAGGAGAATCGAAGAATTTGGGTCGATGTTGATATCCAGCAGGAAGGATACGTCAAGATGACAGCGGCAGGCATCAGGGAGAATCGAGGGATACCTCAGGATTACAACGATGTGCGTCCCGTGAATCTGACATGTCTTCCCTCCGAAGCTGATCACCACTAGGGAGTCATCCGCCACATCAACATTGATGGGATCGACCGCAATGCGTGCTGCGGCACTCAACTACCGTTCCTCTCTCAGCTCTACTTCCTTCATGTCATACCTCCTTCGACACCTAAGGACTCGAACAATCCTACCAAGACACCGTCTAAGCTTTACTTTGTCTCTGGACCACGAGCCATCAAGTTCCTGCAACAATCTTCCAGAACGCTATCGGAAGCCTCTCAAGTCTTGGGTATGGCTCGTCTAGAGCTACCACAACGCGTTGCGAAAGCCGAAGAGCTCAGACGAGAGACGATGAGTCGAGAAAAGACCCTTCGAACCGAATTGGCAAGAGTCATTGGCGACACTGAGGCAAGAAATCCCCAATCGACATCCGACGGGGTCTACTGGATTCATCGAAACGACAAGTCGACATTGGATTTTGAATTCATGGGTCTTATAGCTACTTCGCTGCTCGACGCGCAACCCCCTTCCGGCCCACTCGAAGCCCCGGTTGTCATCATCTCTGCGACTGCGAATGGCATAACGCCCAGCTTACTCCTGGTCATGTCGCCAGCTCAGGATCTGGCTAAAAAGGTGTATGAGAATCTCAAGACAACACTTGAAGAGGGACCTGAGAGCAAGGGTAGAGTCAAGGGTGGAGGTGCCAGAGGCAGATTCATGTCGAAAGTCGATGGCAAGTGGAGCAAGGGGGAGACTGCAAAAGTTCAGGCCATTGCCGATGAAGTAAGACCGTGCTCATCGAGTCTGATCAATCTGACAACATCGTCTCAGTTACGTGCCAGCAGCGGTGCCGGTCAATGAGTGGATGTCTAACCCATGCTATTCATCGTTGTATTTCCCTGCATGCATCCTCTTGACCAAGATCCGGGCCGGTTACGAATTTGAATTTACACCCGACCGAGATGGAGATTTACATCGTGGCTTAGATAGATACGTTGCGTCTATATCGATTCTAGGCCATACTAAACTCGCGAAGATGCTGATACAGAAGCTGAGGCTGTCCGCCAGTTCTCTTCGTCGAGTAAGTGAGGGGTAGTTTTTAATAGTGAGAGCTGACTTTATCGCACAGTCTGTAGCTTCCGGACCGTCTGTCGTCCGGACATTTACTTCGAGCTACAACAATGCCATTGCAGGATTGACCGCAGAACAAGAGGAGGTATGTACGATCTTGAAATACATCTTAGGTGTAGTGATTGACTCCTTGTATCAGTTCCGTGATGCTGTGATCGACTTTGCAAGCAAAGAAGTGGCCCCGCTAGCTGTGGAGATCGACAAGAACAACAAGATGCCAAGGGTGAGATTCAGCAACGAGGCTAATGGCGATTGGAGACTGATCATGTCATTCAGGAACTGTTCAACAAGATGGGAGAGATGGGTTTGCTAGGTGTGACGGTACCAGAGGAGCATGGCGGGCTGGGGATGGGGTATCTCGCTCAGACAATCGCGATGGAGGGTGAGGAGAATCGAGGCGTGGGGCCCGTTGAATACAGACTGACATATCTGCAGAGCTAAGTCGAGCTTCTGCTTCTGTGGGATTGAGCTATGGAGTGAGTCGGTATTACAGCTTCTAGTGGAAGACTTTGGCTGATGTTTGTCAGGCGCACTCGAATCTCGTTGTCAATCAGCTTAGGAGATGGGCAAGTGAGGCGCCAACCTATTTTGACTTAAGAGGATCCTCGGCTGATCGTTCCCTTCACTTTCAGACAAAGATCAAATGTCCAGATACATGAGTGACCTATGTACGGGTGAAAAGGTTGGATCCCTAGCCATGTCGGAACCAAACGCAGGATCGGACGTCGTGTCTATGCGGACCAAAGCGGAGAAGAAGGGAGACCGATGGATCTTGAATGGATCGAAATGCTGGTGAGTCGGATCTCGCCCTTCTGAGGCTCTTAACGTGTTTCTGACCGTCATGGCAGGATCACCAATTCTCCCATAGCATCTACATTCATTATCTACGCTAAGACTGATACCTCGGGACCACCCTCAAAAGGTATCACTGCATTCATCGTCGAGAAGGGTTGGAAAGGGTTCGAAGTGGGAGAGCCACTGGATAAATTCGGAGTGAGTCAGGATACGAAGACTTGGGCTTTCTTTTCGGCTGCTGATTGGATCCTTCACAGATGAGGGGCTCCCCAACGGCAGAACTGTTCTTTGACAATGTGGAGATTCCGGAGGGTGAGTTATCGGGAGTCTTCAGATCGAGAATCCCATGAGATTGACCTTCGAAAACCCAGAGAACGTCCTTGGAGAGGTCGGTAAAGGAGCAAAGGTCCTCATGTCCGGCCTGGACCTGGAGAGACTGGTTCTGAGCGGAGGTCCTCTTGGGTAAGTGTGGCCCGGTTGGATAACTTCATGATACACCAATATGCTGATGCTCTCGGCGGCCGCATATAGTATCATGCAATCTGCTCTTGATCTCGCGCTTGAATACACACATGAACGCAAGCAATTCGGTCAGAAGATTGGGACTTTCCAATTGATGCAGGGCAAAATTGCGGGTGAGTCTGGAGGATGTCAACGGACCGGGTATTGATTCCACCAGACATGTACACCAAGCTCAGTGCTTGTCGTTCGTACGTTTACGCTGTGGCTAGAGCATGCGATCAGGGTAAAATCTCTCGGCAGGTAAGTTTGACTGTGCGACATATCCAACGTCCATCCTAACATACATATACGTCTTATAGGACTGCGCTGGCGCCATCCTGTATTCCTCGGATAGAGCTGTGGAAGTCGCTCTGGACGCTCAGCAATGCTTGGTAAGTCTACTCCACAGACCGAACCAGGTGCTCGCGGTGACTGACGACTGCTTTTTCTTAGGGGGGTAACGGATATATCAACGGTGAGTTCGAACGCCATCCTGCTCCCTTCCCCTGGTTTAAAGCGCTGATCATGCCTTGGCCCGCAGATTACCCTGTCGGCAGACTGCTACGCGATTCTCGATTATACACTGTCGGAGCTGGCACTCAAGAGATCAGACGCATGCTCATCGGTCGAGAATTCAATGCCATGTTTGACGAAGCGCGAGGGAAAGCCACGATGCAGTAGATTACCTCATCTCTACACAAACGCAACGCATGTATCTATCATGTTGCATTTCGGCACAGAAATATCCTGTGCAGTGCGTCTACTGTTACACTTGGGTCCCCACTGCGTCAGTCTGCCTTCAAATTATCGAACCGAGGGCTGTTTGGCCACTCCCCTCGATCATAGCTGCTCTATCGCCGCATGGGTCGTTGCGATCTCCAAAAGGTCCCTTTTTCTTCCTTCTTTCGACTGGGCTCTACTCCGGCTTGGACTGCTATCCCAATCGACGTCCGAGGCCATGAGTTCTGACAATCCATTCTTTTCCAACTTGGAATCAAAAAAGCCATCCCTGTACCCTCTAACGATACGTTCCAGGAGGTCAGAGGTGGATATGGCGGGCGTCCTGCGAGTGGGGACGAATGCGCCTAAGCTCCAGAAATCAGCGAATGTACCCAATCGCAAAAGGGCACATGCCGCCATGCAATTTCGCTTAGACAAGTGAGAACTCACCCTGCTCCTTGGCGAATTCATAAACATCATCGTAGTCTTTACTCGGGTATAATTCCTCATCGTGCGCAATATAATCAATCTGATGTTTGTCCATCCATTCTTGAGTGACGACCCAAGGAGCATCCGGTAAGACTTCGTCCGCCCATCGACAGTGTCGGATGGCTTCACATCGTTCAGCGTGAGTCATGACAGGCGCTGATTTGTGCGTCGCGCAGAGATCGTCGGAGCAGACTCCGACGAGGAGATGGACGCGGGGAAAAGACAATTTACACTGTCGGAGTTGGAGTGCGTGACTAGGCAGTGTGAGCTTAGAGTCTTGGGGTGAAACACAGTCACTCACCCAAAATGGAACAGGTCATACACGCCATCTGCGTAAACTCTGACCACACGTCCCTCCTCTGGCGCTTTTGTTTTCCACCAGCGCTGGATGCCATCCTCTTCTCCTTTGCCATCGATTGCCCGCTGGACAAAAGCTCTGATGTCTTCTATGGGCAGCTCTTTGGGTCTCGTCATCATCTTGGGAGGTCCCATCGATCTAGAGGGTTTACGACTGAGCGGTAATGTTTGAGATTTTGTGGCTTCTGCGAGAGAGTCGGATCGAGCCACAGGGACGTCGGAAGGAGGGACGAATGGTGGACTTCGACCGAATGAGTCGATTCCGATTGCCGTGTACTCTGGTTCGTCCACTAGATTCACGCGTGAAGCTTTAGGCGTGGGCACCTTTTGACCGTACGGCGATAACGTGGATTGACCGGGTGCGTCCGCGGGCATGCCTGCGATGGGGGAAGAGGTCTGGCGTTGATGATGATATTGGTGACTCGAGAGGACAGAATGGTGTACAGGTGTTCCGCCTACCGTCGAGGCAGATTCAACATCACCGTCATATCTGGGAGAAGCAACGGTCAAAAGATGACCAGTGGAATGGGTCGTGACGGGCCTGACGTGAAGCAGATGCACGGACGGCAGAAGTGAACTCACGTTGGTGAGTCCAGACCACTGAGCTCCTCCCCAGATACCTCTTCGACTCTTCGAGCGATCGCATGTGGAGCAGAACCACGACGAGCACTATGAGAATGAGATGCTTGACCTTGATTCATCAGTTGAATGGGTATGGGTAAAGCTTGAGGAGGACCAGGTCGAGGCGATGCTGATGACGAGGGAAGTGTCCCTGGAGCCGTCGTTGAATTTCCTTCAGGAGGTGCAGGGATAGACATGAGTGATCCGACGTCTGACGCGGCTTCGTCGTTGTCTGTGAGTTGGTGCGGAGGCAATTATGACGGTGCCAAGGACGCGAGGGGGAAGCACGTTGATGACGGATTGCGGTATGGGAGAGCGAGTAAAACGAGGAGCATAGCGAGCACAGAGAAAAAGCAAGAACGTCGAGGCATGAGCATACGTGTGTGAGCGTTACTGTGTCCTAGATAGGCCTCGGCTCCCACTCACCCTCTTCACTCGCATCTCGCGAACTCCCATCTCGCTGTAATCGTCTCTCTCCCAATCTATTGCCTCGATGTCGTTTGGGCGGGCCCAGTGGGTTCGCAACCGGAGGCACGGCAGCCATAACGTGTTGAGTAGGGCTTGCGACGTCAAGAAGCACTATGAGCCTGATGATCCACGCTTTACACCACAAAAGCAGGTGGTCTCCCTGTGGTGGTCTCCCTGTAGATGTCCACTTGAGAAGCTATCGTATCAAGTCGCGATCAGCCGGGGGCGTCATACGAAGGGGCGAGGAAATAGGCGAGTCGTAAAGGAATAGGCAAAAATGCCACGTGCTGTCTCTCGCGAAATGTTCAGTGGGACTTTTGTCAACAAATATCGCTCGCGACTGTTTTCTTCTTCAACTCTCCTCTATCCCTTCATTAGAACTGGACAGCTCTGTACGGATCCTTCACCATGGCCACTGCAGTCGTTGGATTCCCGTCTGTACCAATGATGACTCACACGATGGACGTTGACATGGAAGGGCACGAGCCAGAGTTGGGTGATAGATCGTATGCCGAGTCAAATCGGTCGGCTTATTTACAGGAGAATCAATGGACGGCGTATATGTGAGTAAAGGCTGCAGAGAGACGATCACAGGGCAGGCAGGATGGGAGTCGTCCCGTTCTCTCGCGTGATCATGCTCGAAAACATGTACTGACGAACGACCCCTTCACAGCGAGCCAATCAAGGATACGGTCAACATGTTGAATCCGGATGAAGAGCTCCAAGACCTCGAAGCTGCCGAGAGCGCTTTTGGCAAGATTGAGGAGGAGAGGGAGGCGATGCTTCAGAGACTGGAAAACGAGGTGAACGGTGCGTAAAAGCCGTCAGCGGTAAAAATAATGACACGAGGCTGAATATGAGCTATCCGTTAGAATTAGCAAAGCAGTATGAGGCCGCTGCTCAGGACGCTGTACGACCGAAAACTCTTCCACCCGTAGAGGAACATCTGGCTCAAGTCAGAGATCTCGAACGACAGCAGGTATCTCTCGGTACGTATTCGCTTCGCTGGATTCGGTCTGACACATCAGGTAAATCGATCAACGAGGAACAAGCCAAGGTCGTTGGAAAGGAGACTGAATTGAGGGATCTAAAAACGAGGAAAGATCAGATCGTCAATGTCGACGTTGGGGCTGAAATGGCTCCAGATTCCAAAGCGTAAGACTGAGGACATGAGCGATTCGATTGCCTCGCTGATGGATTTACGGCCGCAGTGCCCGACTGAAGCTATTGTCCGATATGGGGTTCACCTATATCCCGGGACAAGGATCATCATCATCCAAAATCTTAATCCGTGAGTCTGGCTGGGGAGATAAGAGTAGAGAGAGAAAGAGAGACCACATCGTGGCTTCAAAGCTGATTGACGTCCTTGCAGGTAACGAAGCTAAGCTTGACGTCCACACAGTCGCGCTGGACAACAAGCGAGCGAAAGCCTACTACGCGAATGTGATCTGGAGCATGCTTGGGGACAAGGAGTGATGACTGAACTGATCGATGTAATGGTATCCGCATCCTCATGTAGATTATGTATCACCCTCTGCTCGTTGATCGCCCCTGCTCCCCCGCAGACTGTTTATCACAGACGTTGCACCTTTAAAATCAGTGTTGTGAATCAATCTCCCAGAATCACGACCTTTACTCAAGATTCGTCTTGTCGCGGTTGAGCGCATTCATTTTGCGGTATACAAATAATCGGCCACCTTTAGACTTGAGACCTATATTGTACTTTGTCTAACTTTTGTATTCTAGGTGGAAGGAGAACGTATGTGTGTGTATATATATGACAAGAAGACAGAGCCTGGTTGGCCATCAGGGTGTCTGGATCGTTGACACTGCTCCATTTTGTTTTTCAATTTGGACCAAAACGATCCGGTCGTGGGCGAGCATTACAAAGCGATCGGGGTATTCCGAGTATGTTGGGGGGATATATCAAGTGATGTGGGATATATTGCAGAAAATGGTGAGTGGTATCATGATGCGATGATGCGAGGGGCGGCGGCGTCTAACGAGCTTTTGGTGTAAAGACGATGTCAGATGAGGAGACGGCGGGACGCGAGGTGGAACTCGCACTGGGGCCTAGAGATTAAGCTGCCCAGAGTGTGAAGAGGCTAGAAGTGAGAAGAGACGAGGTCGTGAGGGGAAGACAGAACCAGTCATGCCGCCCAACTTAGAGGTTGAGCTGCTTAGGCTGTTCCCAAGAGTAGGCAGGGTTTCCGAAGTGACCGTACGAGGCGGTCTTGAGGTACTGGGGCTTTTGAAGGCCGAGGTCTCGGACTGAGCAGTGCGTGTCAGGCCTGATCTATTAGGAACGGTTGATCACTCACCAATGACACCAGGTCTCAAGTCAAAGTTCTTCCTGACAATGTCGACTAGGTCAGCATCGGGTCGCTTGCCGGTACCGTAAGTGTCGACAAAGATGGACAAGGGCTCAGCAACTCCGATGGCGTAGGACAATTGAACCAAAGCTCTCTTGGCAAGACCAGCGGCAACGAGAGACTTGGCGATCCATCGAGCAGTGTAGGCAGCCGATCGGTCGACCTTTGACCAGTCCTTTCCGGAGAACGCACCACCTCCGTGAGCTCCCCATCCGCCATAGGTGTCGACGATGATCTTTCGACCGGTCAAACCGGCATCTCCCTGGGGTCCTCCGATGACGAATCGTCCAGATGGCTGAATGTGGAAGATGCATCGGTCGTCCAAGAGGTTCTTGGGGATGACAGTTTTGCAAATCTTCTCCATGATTTCACTTCGGAGTTCTTCAGTCGAGATCTCTTCAGCGTGCTGAGTCGAGATGACAACCGTGTCGACTCGGATAGGGACAACGGAACCATCAGCCTCCTTCTTGTACTCGACAGTGACTTGAGTCTTGGAGTCTGGTCTGAGCCAGCCCATGGATCCATCTCGTCGAGCGGCGGCCATGGCGGCGTTGAGCTTGTGAGCGAGGGTGATGGTAAGAGGCATCATTTCGGGAGTCTCGTTGGTTGCATATCCGAACCTGGGTAGAGGTATCAGCACATGATGCTACGCTCGCTATCCCAACGCACATGATACCCTGGTCACCGGCACCAATGTTCTCCAAAGATCCGTGATCGAGACCTTGAGCGATATCGGGGGATTGTTGCTCGATGGCAACAAGGATGTTGCAAGTCTTGTAGTCAAATCCCTTTTCAGAGTCATCGTATCCGATCTGCTTGATGGTGTTTCGGATGATAGACTGATAGTCAAGCTTGGCCTTGGTGGTGATTTCTCCGAAGACCTGAGTAAAAAGCAGTCGGTAAAACGTCTCTTGTGCACGGTCATATCCGCTCTGCTCACCATGATCATTCCGGTCTTCGTGGCGGTCTCACAAGCCACCTTGGAGAAGGGGTCCTGGATGTGTCGTGAGCTTCATATTTCGTGTCATCTGAGCGATGAAACCGCTCACCTCCGCAAGACAGGCGTCCAGAATGGCATCCGAGACCTGGTCGGCAATCTTGTCGGGGTGACCCTCTCCGACGGACTCGGAGGTGAACAAGAAGCTGGAAAGGCGGGATCAGCACCGTTTCGTACGTATTGGTCCTTGATGACAGGTCCTCTGAGAGGTCTGCACACCAGCTGAGACCACCTGCAACACCACGCTACGTGTTACCGAGTGTCCGCTCGGTGATACAACGTGCGTGCCGATACGGGACGAATCCCTCAAGGGTGCAAAGGCTGTGTCTGTTCGCTGCAGCTGGAATGATGACTCACTGTCCAGCTGGGAGCTCGTGAGCAGCTCCGTTTCCGTTCATGATTCCAGTCATTGTATCAGAAGAAGAAGAAGAAGAGTCTTCAGTTGAGTGTTAATGAGATGGATAGATCAATGTAGAAGAGAGAATGAATCGAGAATGATCCGTTGACACTTTTTTTCTGCCAAAAAAGAAGAAAATCAAATGTTTTCCCCTTCCCCCAAATTCGTGCTCTCAAGCAATTGATTTTGATTCCGTCGTCTGTCACGTGGCACTCGGCTGTTGGGTGATCCAAGGAGGTATACAGGGCGGGGGAGAGAGAGTATACTACAAAGATGCTGCACGGACGCCGCATGGCTGGACATAGTGGACTGATACAGGCAGATGGGATCCATAGCCTAGAGAGAAGCTGTCGCGTTAAGCATTGTATGATACGATGTTCTGCCCGCTGACATAAATCCCATTCCTACTACACTGCGTCCGCCACGGCCACTTTTGAAAGGCACATCCCATTATTATTATAATGATCGCATGCCATCCATACCTCCAACTCGCCCAGTGAACATCTTAACGACAGCGACGCTGCATTTCAGCTACATAGAACACTCTCGTCTCCACGCGATCTTTGTACCTACATCATGTCCAAGGGGACTCAATTCCTCACGCTTGCCATCCCCTCCATCATCGCCTACTTTCTCGCCTTCTTCCACATTCTCCCGATACCATTCGTCAGTGCTGAGACCCTGGACCTGATATTACCAGTGGTGAGTGGGGGTGGAAGGTACTCAACTCCATCCTCCGAACACAAGGAAAGTTACTGATCTCTGCTGGTCCCCTGACGCAGCTCCCCTGGTGGTTACTCGTCTCATTCGGTGCCTACTCCCTTTCTTCCCTTGGACTCGGTCTACTACGTTTTCACGACACACCAGAAGCGTATGAGAGCCTGTTGAAGGAGATCAATCAGGCCAAGTTGGAATTGAGGGATGCAGGTGTGACGGTGGATTGACGAGATGCGGTGTTGAATCGTGTATGGCGTTTGTCGGGCCGTAGAATCACCATGGACGACCGAGGGCGTGCAACGACAGGAAGCGAGTAATCTTTCTGGCCGACCGCTGCAAAGAACGCTGTGATACAGCGTGAGTATTCATCGCCGACGCCGGACAGGCATCATACACGTGCATGAGTACAGATGATGTGATACAACAAATGTGTTTCTGAACAAAGCATATACGTTGATCTCTCCCAACGAGGACCTTGTCCCGCGAACGGTCCTCGCTCAACTACTCAACAAATCCTGCATCTCTCTTTGCATCTTCTGCATCTCTGCCGCTTCCTGTTCATCCTCCTCTTCTGCCTGCATTGAAGCGTCAGCCAAGTCATCTTGACCGCGGCCTTGACTCACCGGTAGCTCGCCTCCGACCTTTCCAGCTTGACCCAACTTTCCATCCGTCAATTCGAACAAGACTTTCTCCACCTCTGCGTCTGCTTCCTCTTCAATCTCATCATCGTCTATAGTATCCAGAGTCTCTTCCATCATTTCGCTCATAATCCCGGACTAAGTGAAACGGCCAAGAGTCAGTATCCACTGCTTGACCCCCTGTCGATCCGCTAGAGCTGGCTGAGCTCCGACCCACCTTGGTCATCTCCATGCTCATTTCCCTCATCGTCGCGCTCAACTGAGGCAACTTGACCAGCTGATTCGTCGTTTTCATAATCTCGCTGCTCTTCTGAAAGGCTCCGGTGACCTTGACCATGGCTGCGTGGGGGCCTCGGAGTTAGACCAAATGGTGCAACGAAACAGAGCTGTATAGGTCACTCACACAGCTGATGCTGAAGTTGCATCTGTATACTCCCCATCCTCGCTTTACTGGAGATCAATCGATCGCGTTGATGCTTAGCCCTGACGAGCTCCTTGGCCAATATACGTGCAGACTTTGCATCGTTCCTCTTCGCCAAAGCTTTGAGTTCAGCTTTTGATTTAGCTGTTGCTCGATCCAGCTGTGTGTTGCTGTCAGTCGAAACACTTAATCCAAACAAGTTTTGGCCCCCATATACTCAGATCTCCCTTGAGCACTTGAAGCTTGGCAAACTCACATTGGCAATCTCCCTATCTAAGCCTCTTTCCTCTTGTCTCAATTTCGACTTCCACGCCCTCACTTTCTCTTCTGGTGTTGGACCATTGATCCAACGGGTGATGGATTGCATGGTTAGGTGCAAGAAGGGGGGCGGGGGGAAACAGAGGTCGATAAGGGTAGAAACGAGTCGCTTGACTATGACACTATTTCACGGGCGCTTAGCTTGACGAGGTGCACTTTTCCAGTTATCTCTGCCTGATAGCTGTGTACTGGCTCAGTATGCTTTGGGAACAATCACCACCACCACTGCGTCGTTGTTTGTTGTCAATACTGAACCATGGTGACCCCTTGTCTCGTCTTTCCTGTCGCAAGCGTCATCACGGGTGGATCACTGCGGATTAGAGGGGCGATTACTAATTATTTTCTAATACCTCTCATTAGCAACCCAAAAATGCTAATGATGATCGTAATCGTAAATAGCACGCATCCGCGACACTCGGGGCTCCTCAAAGTGAGAAAGTTGACTGGGTTCGAGATGTTGGGCGGGATGATATATGCCATCCTTAACGATGACGAGCTGAGGGGTTTCCACGCGCAGGACAACGATGTGGATCCTGAGAGCAGTGGGACACGTTCACGGTCAAGAGAGTGAGTCTGATGTCTGGGGCACAGCCTATCGTGCACTCTCTCTATCGCCTAAACAGCATCAACTTCGTTCCGCAAGCGACATGAGCTGACTGCATTTCACTCCAGACTTCTCATTCGCGTTGAAGCAGAAGCAGAGCTATAGTGTTGGAAGAGGGAAGGAATGTCAGATCCGATTCGAAGATGCCAGAGTCAAACCGCTTCAGGGGCACATTGTGGTAGATACATGGGATCCGACGAGTGTGAGTAGTGTGAAGGCTTGTTGTGAGAGTCATAAGCTCACGTTAGCATTGCCGCCGTTCATATATCCTTTCCACTGTAATTGCTTTTGAATTTGCCCCGCTGTATGCCTATTACAGCCCGCCACTCAGCCCAAGCTGCGTTGGAAATCTGAACCCAGCAAGAAAGGTGTCTTCCCAGCTTTCAAGACCATCTTACCTTCCGATCTGGACTCTCAACAGTCAGACGACCTGTCAGAATACGATCAAGAAGAGATACCAGAAGGTACACAGGGAGTCTTTCTGCATGAAAATTTAGGTCAGGGGATCGTCCTCTCTGAATCATCATGGTTCACTGTCCATTGGGAATCGATCGATCTATGTTATGACAAGTTCAAGGATGAGTCGGAGGGGACGATGCAATTATTGAGAGACTACTGTGAGTCGTGAGGAGTCAGCGTCAGCTCATTGTTTGATCTTAGGCATACCATGGACTCAATCATTCGACGCTGCTACACCGCCATCTCTGGTCCTCTCCCTTACGTTCAAGAATACGACGGAATGTAATCTGGCAGTATGTTACGGCGTTCAGATCGTCACTCCGGCGTACCTCTTAGCCCTCACCCAAAAGCTCAATGCATGCTGGAAACTCGTTGCGGATCATCAAGATAGCTTCTCTATACCTTCTGCTGACCTGCCAAATTTCCAACCGACCTTGGATCCATCTTTACCCAAATCTCGGGCCCTGATCGATTGTTGGCTGCCTGATCAAAAGAGACGAACCCTATTTGCAGGCTGGAAGATTCTAGGTCTTCGGAGCAAAGTCGTAGGTTTGCATCATTCAACAGTCTCCGTGTGCATTGCTGACATACGCGTGCCCGCTCAGGCGCCTTCCGAGAAACGATACCTCTTAGCGATGGGAGCAGATTACACCGAGATTGATGCGGTAATTCCCCCGCTATTGACAGCGAGAGACTTTGCGGATCGGATCAAAGACTGGCTCAAGACGCTCAATGGGTCGCAAGGCATCGTCGTCTACTTTCTCAAGGTCAAAGAGGAGCTAGCGAAAGCAGGAGGTGATTTCGACTCGGTCATAGCCTCGACGTGCAAAGCGTGAGCATGAGCAAGGCAGCTACATCATTCAACAGGAACGACACTCATCCGTCTCAGTCTCAAGCTGTATCTTGCTTCCGGAGCTATCTGTTGGGGAGCTGTAAGGGTCGGCGGAGTGTTGGAGTACATCGAGTCCGTGTCGGGACAAAAGATCCCTCAGCCAGGTGCGGCTAGGGCCATGAGATCACTAGAAGCGACAATTGTGCTTACACCGTTAAGCTACAGTGACAAACCCTGTAGCTATGGCCCCACCGGACTTGCCTACGCCTATGCCATCTCAAGCGGCACCTCCATCCAGCTTTGCAACCGACAGACCAGATTTCATACCTTCAACCTTTCCACAGGAGACTGAAGGTGCCGGACCAAATTCAACACAGCCGACGTCGTGGATTGCAACGACCAGAACAGAGCCCGAAGCACCGATCAAGCCCGCTCAAACGCCGGCGGAGAGTGCCAGTTCTGGTGAATCTCAAGGGACCCGACAGGTGAAGAAGGTGCGACCATTCGCGGAGTGAGAGTTGTACAGATGCTAATCATCGCCTTGCCAGCCCCTGAGGAAACGCGCAGCGGGTGCTGCTGCACGCAAAGTGGACCTATTTGCAGATTTGAGCATGGACTCTGGAGTACCTGACGTACCTATGCCATCCCAACCGCCGGCTTCGCAACCGAGAATAAACCTGGAGAGCCAGCCGGTCCTCACGCAGGTGAGCGGTGTTTTGAAAGTTTGGTGATACACGCTAATCATCACCCTCCAGCCGACTCAAGCTAGCGGTGCCAAGGGTCGGCTCAAACGTAGAGCAGGAGTTGAAACCCAGGCATCTCAATTTGACTTTGACGTGGATCAATCATACTATGCGGAACAGGAAAAAGCAGAGAAAGAACGAGAGATCCGCAAACTCTATGAGGAGACGAAGGCGGAATCGGCAATTGGACTTCCTGGCCCTTCAAAGAAGCGCAGAATTGGCTCCAGGGCGCCGAGTGCGGAGTCGGACGTCGTCTCGATCGAGGCACCGGCTACTCAACGCGCGACAGGGCGGACCACAGAATTAATAGATCGCATCATGGAGAATGATGGTGGTGATGATGATGACGACGTGACGATGATGGAGGATCCGCTTCAAAAGACTTTACGACTTGCTCGAGAAGCCAAAGCTCAGGCTCAACAGAACGTGTCCGCTTCTACGAACGAAAATCATACTGCGGGACCATCTCGAACTCGGCGAACACATGTGCCGAGCGAAGAGCCGGAGGAGGTGGAAGACAGGACGATCAGAGCCTCTTCGATAGGCGTCCCGAAGACCGAGCCATCACCACAGAAGCTTAAGACTGGTACCAAAGCGTTTAAGAGTACCACGACTACTTCAAAAAAGAGTCACGACGACTTCCAGGCACAAAATGCACCTACCAAGGACGAAAAATTCCTGACGGCCATCGCGACGGCCTCAAGGTCAAAAGCACCGGTCGACGAACTAGATCGAGAATTCAATAATTTGCGTATTCCCAAACCCTCCAAAGCCAAACCGTCCCTCGCACCTCAAGCGCTGAACTCCACCACAGATCATCCTGATTGGAATCTCGTCGATCAATTCGACGATGATTTGCGGGGCAACTTCATCCAGATTGTCAAGGTTGACCTGTTTCGTAAAGATGGAGGGAAGATCAAGGAGACGAGAGTGGACGATGGAAGACCAAATTTCAAAAAGTTCAAAAAGGTCTGTGCGCAAAATTTGGCTGAGGTGTGACTGAATCATGCTGCAGAAAAACGTGATTCGCCGCGAGCCTATGCAGCTTGTTCTGGCTGCTCCGACCACTGAAGATGCAGAGATGGGCGAGGGTGAGTGCGAACTGTGCGTCGTCGGATAATTGACTATCGTCCCGATCTAGCCTACTGGCCAACGCAGCATTCCAAAGCCACGAAAAGAGTATTTGCCTCGCAGATCCCTTCGACTGTGCCAGATGACGAGGCTGAAATGCCACTACTGCCCCGCCAGCGCAAGAAGCGATTACTGAGCGTTGCTGAAGATGATGATGATGAGGATTCGGGGCCAAGTGGATCTTTGGCGACGGTTTCCGGTACTTCTAGACGGAGGGCTGCTGCGACTTCGACCAAGAGGGATGGGGGAGTGATGACAACGACTCAGCCCGCGCGCAGGACTCGAGCGACGAGCACTGTCTCTGAAGTGTCTAGTGTCGCTCCGCCCACCCGTGGAGCCCGCTCAACCGTAGAGACATCCACTTCCCGTCCAAAGGGCAGAAAGAACGCCCCCATGGATGTGGACGTACAGGAGATCCAGGATTCGGAAGACGAGATAGCCCTGGATCTCGGCAAAACGCCAAATACGACTCATTCATCTCGTCGTGGAGGGACTCGAGGAGCGACGAGCACGTTAGAAGGTGTGGATATGCCGCCTCCGAGTCGATCTTCTAGAACTCCCCAGTTCGATACCGGGACCACCACGAATCCCTCGAGAGCCAGTAGATCGACGGTATCGGCTGCTGGAGTAGCGACGCAGAGTAAAGTCGGTACTGCTACCCCTGGGACTGCTCGAGCGAGTGGAAGAGCCGTGAGGAGGTTGTTAGTGGATGATGATGAGGAGGACGGGGCAGAGCAGACTGTGAGTTTGCCAAAAGTTTTCGCGTAGAATCAGAGTTGACGGTATGTGCAGACTCTGCGAGGTTTAACGAAGAAAAGACGTTTATGAGCTGTGCCCCGACTGATCCTCAGCCTCCCTCATCGGATGTTGTAGAGTTGTAGATACGAACATGGCGAGCAGCATGTCTCATCCATATCTTCCCCCACTTTCAGGTCCTGCAGGTCATCGGGGTCAGTGCCGATGACCATTTTCGGCCGGGTCGTGCAGAGAGATCTTCGGCTATTCGGCCTCGCAGATTCGGCCTATTACAGCTTCGGGCCCTTTTATGCACCATGCAGTAAAATACGCAAGTGTCTCTGGACTGCTTCCTAAGCATCTCTTCATACTGTCTGGGCGTCCATTCTATCATTTCATGGGTTCCATTCCAGCTGTGCTCCATACGGGCATGACCCATCTCGTGAAGATTCACCCTGCCATCCCTGATGACATACCTACGCTAGCTGAGATCAACTGGCAAGCGTATAGAACAGACCCGATGTTCAAAGTGGGGTTTGTCAATTGGCCAGATGATGAGCATATGAAGCCATTCTTCTATGGACGAGTCAAGGGGAGGTTTGAGATCCCAAAAACTGTCATGTACAAGGCTGTAGGGGAGGCAGATGGAGTGATTCATGGATTCATCGCCTTGACCGAAGAGGAGGATAAGAAACAGGAGGAGGGGGAGGTGAGGGAGGCGGAAGATGGAGCCAATGAGGATATCAAACAGGAGGTTCAAATGCAGAATGGATCCTCAGACGAGCCCCGACACAGTGCACAGATTTCCGATACGCCGTCTACCACCGCCGCCACGCCCGATTCTCTCACCACATTGCGACCCACGATCAACATCAACGAGTTGTCCAAAAATACCGGCACGGCTGAATATTTCAAAGCTCAGAACAACAGCCATGAGTTCACCTTGCCGGACTATCTCAACGCGGAGATGATGCTGTCTACGAGGGATGGCATCATGCCGATGATGAATGCGATAGCCAAGTCGGGGAAGCATTACTGTGAGTGATCCACGCTTCAAACCTGTGAAACAAAGGCTCGTCGGCTTTCCCTTCCCCCCCCCCCCCCCCCCCCCTATTCCCCCTCTGATCTTCTCATGCTCACATTTTACGCCCGACCCTCCAGATATCTCAGCATTCGCCGTCAGACCGGAATCGCAAGGTCAAGGAATCGGCTCGAACCTCATAGACCACTGTATCAAGGTGGTCGAAAAGGATCCTTCCAAGATCCCCATCTGGCTCATCGCTCTACCTTCATCGCATCATCTATGCCTCACGCATGGCTTCGTAGACAAAGATCACTGTGATATGGATCTTGACAAGTATGATGCGCAGAGGAGACAACTAGGCGTCTATCGCCAATGGGCCATGCGTCGGGAAACGGTGTAAATAGAGGAATAATAGACTGCCACATGTGTCCCATCCATCACGTCTATTATGTAATCAATCTATAACGCCGATCTTCCCACGCGCGAGTATTGGGCTGTCGCACGTGGCCTTGGAATTGACGAGAAAGAAAGAAAGAACGAAAGAAAAAAGTTGGGACTGTGTTGGAGTCAAGTCAGTTGGTTTGGATCGATCGTCTCTACACATATATCCCTTTTCTGTGAGTCGTGACAAGCAAGAGGCTGGCATTCACAGAGGCTAGAGCTGATCATGTTTCCCTTATAGTTTCTCATCTCAAAAACAGCCTCACGATCACTATGGCTCCTACCGTTACTTCCTACGAGGGAAACTCTCGACTTCGTCGAGTCCGAGCCGCCGCTGCTCTTGCCGGTGTCGAGCTCATCTACGACTCTTCCTTCACTTTCAAGAGTGACTGGAAGACTCCCGAGTTCTTGCAAAAGTTCCCATTGGGATACCAACCTACTTTGGAGGACGGTGACTTTTACTTGCAGGAGAGTTCGGCTATCGCAGAATACGGTGAGTCATGCGGGAAGCAAAGAAAACGAGCGATCGAAAGGCCGGAGGGGAAAAACCAAGGAGCAGATGGAGTATGCCAGCGAATCAGCCATATCGGAGGACTGGCATACTCGATGACTTCCCTGTCGCTCTTTCCACCACGCATGTGCCAAGATCTCAAATCCCTACCTTTCCATGATGAGACCTTTTATCTTTTCAGTTATCCCTGTCTTAATTGACTCGTGTCGATAATTCTACCCGACGAGTGGTATCGTCATTTTCTCTGATTTCGGTATTCCAGAACAGTGTCATACGCACTTGGCGACAGATGGTCGAATGATTATACTGACACGCCACGTCCAGTCGCCACTTTGGCACCCAACTCCACCGTTGTGCCCTCCGACAAGAAGCAGCTTGCTCTCTGCCACCAATGGCAATGCTTTGCTGACCAGGAAGTGCGTGCCTTCTCTCTCCGAGGAACAAAAAGTGAAGACCTGACCCTCTCGCAGATCTACATGAAGCACAACGCCGCCAGCACCATCATCAACGGATCTGTCCCTTACAACAAAGTCGTAAGTCGACGACGGCCACGACCCTTTTCGCTCACAAGCGCAATCGCCACAGACCTACCAATTCTTCTTTGACAAGCTCGTCTCTCGATTGGAGACTCTTGAAAAGATCCTCGCCGACAAGACTTTCCTCGTTGGAGAGAGAATCACCATTGCCGATATCTGCGTCGCTACCGCTTTGACCAACGTTTTCAGTGGACTCGTTGACAAGTCCATCCGGGCAAAGCTCCCCAACACTTTGCGATACCTCGACTCGTAAGTACATGAGCTTCGAAGCTAGCTCACTCCTTTCTCTCAGTATCGTCAAACACCCCAAGCTCATCGCTCTCTTTGACAATGGAGACCTCAAATTCACCGACGAGCCCGTCACCCCTGCCCAACCTGCCAAAGAGGCCAAACCCGCTAAGGAGTCCAAACCCGCCGAGCCCAAAGCGCCCAAAGCTACCAAGGCCCCCAAGGCCAAGGAGGCCGATGAGGAGGAGGAGGAGCCTTTGGTTCCGGCCGAGCCCAAAGTCAAGAACCCTCTTGATGACCTGCCTAAATCCACCTTCAACCTGGAAGAGTGGAAGAGACAGTACAGCAACTTGGACACCCGTGGTGAGGCTCTCCCATGGTTCTACCAGAAGTAAGTCGGACACAAAAGATTATGGACCCGAGCTGACTGACTCGCCTTTGCCTTTGCCTTTGTAGCTTTGACAAAGAGGGCTTCTCCATCTGGCGTGTCGACTTCAAGTACAACGAGGAGTTGACCCAGACCTTCATGTCCAACAACCAGGTGAGTCAGACGGTCGTCAAAGTGTAGTGTCTTGACTGATGCTCGACTCAAAGATTGGAGGATTCTTCAACCGTCTCGAAGCTTCCCGAAAATACCTTTTCGGATCAATGGGAGTCTTGGGCAAGACCAACGACTCTATCATCTCTGGAGCTTTGATCGTCCGAGGAAAGGACGTCAAGCCAGTTGTCGACGTCGCTCCTGACTGTAAGTCATGCCATGGAGCCGTACACGTGACCCTGTTGACGCTTTGCCAGGGGAATCTTACGAGTACAAGGAGATCAGCCTCGACAATGAAGAGGACAAGAAGTTCTTCGAAGGCGCCATGGCCTGGGACCTCGAAATGTCCGGCAAGAGCTGGGTTGACGGAAAGAACTTCAAGTAGACTGGCGTACTGTCAGGCTTCTGGGGCGTTTCTGAAGATTTCGGATCGGTATCGGGAGACCTTTTGATGACCATCTATATGCATTTTTCCACGGTGTTTGGACTGTATCTCATTCACTGAGTGACAGGTTCTGCTTGGCGTGGATGCAGCCTGTCAGCCGTCATACGTGCAGGCGGTATGTGGTGGCTCTGGCCCTGTCTACAGCTGATGCAAAGATTGGAAATGACGGAGAAGCTGCCAGGATGAGAATTATTACAGAGCACAGAGGACTCGTTTTTAAAGAGAAGGATCATTTAAAGTTTTTTTATTTCTTCGTCCAAACAGGCCTTTTTCTTCTCGTAGCGTGGTCACCACGTTTTTCCTTACCACGTTGTTATCTCCTCGCACCGAAGCCAGCATTCCACAGCGAGCAGGGAGGCTGAGAGAGTTTGTGAGTGTGTCGAGACTGCAGCCGCGGTGAGGAGGAGGTGCTGCGTGATCGAAGTAGAAGAAAGATGTATGATGGTCTGACCTGTGTCTGGCAGATCGTATTGAGCCTATCGACTCGGCTTGTGAAGAACAACAAAGCGTCAACATGAGCGCACAATCCGACGCGTCGAGGTCTGTCAAGCGAAGAAGGATGGACGATGGTGAAGACGAGTTGTCACCTTCGCCCCGAAGTGGCTCACCTCGATTGGCCACTCCGGAGCCATACATTGCCTCTACGTCGCCACCTGATGCTGAGCACGCGCAAGACGTGCAAATCTACAGCACATCTTCTACCGAGGCAGCTCCTTCTGCACTTCCCTCGTGGTCCGAATGGCAGGGTCCCTCCTCTCTTGCCTCTATGCTTCTCCATCCGGACTCTAACCCATCCCAAAAATCAGGCAAAGGACCGAATGTCCCCATTGCCCCGCAGCCACCCATCATTGCCTTCCCCTTCAACTTTGGCTACAGTGCCACTGCTCCAAAAGACAGCACAACTCAGAACCCCAATCTGGCGGCTATTGGCGTCGACCGAGGAACCTCTGGTGGTCTAGCCATTGACCCTACATTGTCGAGTCTTCGTTCCGGTGCTCAAGGAGGAAACCCCCTGTCAGAACACAATTCACCATTGCCTGACATCGAAATCACAGAAGACACGCTTCAGTCCGCCTCGGATCAAAATTCAGCGGCTCTCCAAGCCGCTCTCGAACAAGCTAGAGCAGAAGCAGCAGCCATGGACATGGATGGTGGGAATGGAATGGATCATTCAGGATCGACCGGACCCGGTAGTGTGGTTGGATCGAATGGTGGTTTGGCTCCTCCAGATGATGGGACGCCAAGGAAAGAGCAGCCTTTCTCGAGATCTCCAGAGCTCAAAATTACGCACAAGCTGGCAGAAAGGAAGAGGAGGAAAGAGATGAAAGATCTGTTTGACGAGTTGAGTGAAATGTTGCCAGTCGAGAGGGGTTCCAAGTCTAGCAAATGGGAGATATTGTCACGAGGTGAGTTTTGACTGCGTCGACATTTTCGCCGCCGCCGCCTGAAGGAGGAATTGTTGACGAGCCCCCTTCTACTAGCCATCGACCATATTCGTTCCGTCAAAAGACACAATGATGAACTCGTCGCTGAGAATCAAAAACTCCGCCGGGAACTCGAGATCACTCGCGGAAATGGCGGTCAAGGGGGCACGAACACCACATTCAGCACCACGGGCCAAAACTTCAATTACAACCTTGCGTCGTACGCTTCAGATGCGAACGTAACAGGATCTGCGGATGATGGCGCGACAGTTGACCCAGCTCTCAATCCTGCTTTGAACGGCAAGACAGAGTAAGGAGGCAGGGTCCATCATGGACGAATGATTGGAGAGAGATGATTCCTACGGCTCAATAGTTGATTAGATGAGGATATCTGCGTCAAATAGTGTATGGATCTGTCATCCGAGATGTATGATACAAGGGACATGACGCGAGGGTTGACATTGGTGATGGATCTCGCAAGCATGAGTCTCTGAGTCTACAAAACGCTATATCATCTGGTCCTAAAATTTGCTTCCGCTCGATGTTGCGTGTTCAAAAGTTCGCCGTTGCTTAAATATCTTCAATCACCTGTGTTAACCATCTCGTACTCTTTGTCTATCTGAGCATACGCATAGGGTGTACGGCCCCCATCCACCCACCGCCATGCACTTGCTCAACTTGACTCTGTCGCCTCCTACGTCCATCACGACGGCCGTGGTGGGTTCCTTCTCGGGGGCCAAAGGTCAAGAGATACTGGCAGTGAGAGGAGGCACAAAGTTGGAAATCCTAAAGTTGAACACTGGAACGGGATTGCGTGAGTATATAAGTCTCTGACTCAACAAGTAGCACAGCTTGCTGATATGTCTCACAGTCGATACCATATGTACTACCGAGGTTAGCTGAACCGCCCTAATCGAACCGCCCTAATCGGTACAGAGCTGATCGCTTTGCAGGCTTTTGGAACGGTTCGTAATGTTGCTGGATTTCGACTAGCTGGAATGACCAAAGGTGAGTGAGCTGCCAAGTCAGGGCTGTCAAGCGCATCCCAGTCCAGCACTGTCATTTGTATTCATGCGTGGACCGTGCTGATATCATGCACTCAGATTATATTCTCCTGTCGTCCGATGCTGGGCGGTTATCAATCATCGAATTTGTGGTCACCCCTACACCACATTTCGAAAGTCTCTATCAGGAAGTTTATGGAAAGTCCGGCAGCAGGTGAGCTGAAGGTTTCGTCGCTTGATCCTCAGCTCACAACACGTAGACGTATCGTACCTGGGCAGTTCCTCGCCGTAGACCCAAAAGGTCGGAGTTGTATGTACGGAGCGTGAGTGCTGTTCGGCCAGGCGCATTGCATCATTTACTGACCCGCTCGATCCCAGCATCGAAAAGTATGTGGCTTGGGAAGGGTTCTCCTCAGATACGCCTGCTGACTCATCCGCAGGGCCAAGCTGGTCTACGTCCTGAATCGAAACGCAGAAGGTAAATTGTTCCCCTCCTCGCCGTTGGAGGCGCACAAGAACCACACGTTGGTCGTGGACATGATCGGGGTGGACCAGGTGTGTATGATTGTCTTGTATGCTAGCATCTCACTGGACCTCCTCTCAGGGCTATGACAATCCCATGTACGCTGCCCTTGAGATGGACTACACCGAGGCAGATGAGGATTCATCCGGGGACGCAAAAGACCGGACTCAAAAGGTCAGCTGTCGTCTTTTCAGCCAGAGTCTATCAGCTGACCCCCAGATAGTTCTTGACCTTTTACGAGCTGGATCTCGGATTGAATCACGTCGTGAGAAAATGGAGTGAGCCGACAGATAGGAGAGCGAACAAGCTCGTTCAAGGTGGGTCCTCGCTGCTGTGATGCTCGGCTAACTCTCCATCAGTGCCTGGAGGTCAGAATGCCCAATCTGAGCGCTTTGAAGGTCCTTCCGGTGTCCTCATTTGCTGCGAGGATCATATCATCTGGAGACATATGGACGCCGAGCCTCACCGCATACCTATTCCTCGACGGAGGAATCCGCTGGCTCAACGCGGAGAGAGCAGTCGAGGCAACATCATCGTGTCGGCGGTCATGCACAAGATCAGAGTGAGTTAGGCATGTGCTTGGGGCAATTTCAAGACTCTGCTAACGAGGACCGCAGGGCGATTTTTTCTTCCTGCTTCAAAATGAGGATGGCGACCTGTTCAAAGTGACCATCGAGCATGAGGGCGAGGATGTCCGGGCACTCAGAATCAAGTATTTCGATACTGTGCCTGTAGCTCAGAGTCTGTGTGTTCTGAAGAGCGGATATCTCTTTGTAGCCAGCGAATTCGGTGACCAGTGGGTGACGAGGCGCACCACAGCTTAGTATACCGCTAACGACCACAGGCAACTGTATCAATTCCAATCCCTCGGAGACGATGGTGATGAACAAGAATGGTCTTCATCCGATTACCCCCAAAATGGCGACTCTGACGCTCCTCTTCCCTATGCTTTCTTCAACCCTCGACCGATTCAAAACCTCGCGCTTGTCGACACTCTGCCCTCTCTCGACCCTATCACCGACGCCAAAGTCGTCAATCTCCTCGGCCATAATTCGGACACTCCACAAATTTACGCTACATGTGGTCGAGGGCCTCGCAGCACATTCCGGACTCTCAAGCATGGCTTGGACGTCAGTCCCGTGGTTGCGTCCCCTCTACCCGGTGTTCCGAATGCCGTGTGGACCGTCAAGTTGACGGAAGATGGTGAGTCTGATGCGATCCGACAAGTCAGCTGACGATACTCTGCAGATGAATTCGATTCGTACATCGTCCTCTCCTTCCCCAACGGTACTCTCGTGCTTTCAATCGGCCAGACAATCGAAGAAGTCAACGATACGGGTTTCCTGTCCTCTGGACCGACCTTGGCAGTCCAGCAACTGGGCAATTCGGGTCTCCTGCAGGTTCATCCGTACGGTCTGAGGCATATTCGAGCTGCGGACCGTGTGGACGAGTGGTCTGTGCCTCCTGGTTGCTCGATCGTCTCTGCTACGACCAACAAGAGACAAGTCGTCATTGCGCTCAGTACTGCTGAGCTTGTCTACTTCGAGCTAGACCCTGAAGGATCATTGAGCGAGTATCAGGATAAGAAGGAGCTGCCGGGGAATGCTACGTGTCTGAGTATCGCGGAGGTGCCAGAAGGTAGACGACGGACACCGTATTTGGTAAGTTGTGTCGGTCTTCTAGAGAAGTCTCCACTGATTCTTGCAGGCGGTCGGTTGTGACAATCAAACTGTTCACATCATTTCGCTCGAGCCCGAAAACACGTTAGAGACTCTTTCCCTCCAGGTGAGTCCCATGCTGCACGCTGAATGGAGCTTACGGCCCCTCTATAGGCCCTTACAGCACCCCCATCTTCCATCTGCCTCGCTGAAATCTTTGACACATCTATTGACAAGAATCGAGCCACACTTTTCCTCAATATCGGTCTGACAAACGGTGTTTTATTACGTACAGTTGTCGACCCTGTCGATGGCACATTGTCCGACACTCGTCTTCGATTTGCCGGAGCCAAACCGCCACGTCTTGTGAGGGCTACTGTTCACGGCGCGCCGGCCGTCCTTGCCTTTTCGACCCGAACCTGGATCGTCTACACACATCAGGATTTATTGCAGACCCAGCCTCTGATCTATGATCAGCTGGAGTTTGCCTGGAGCTTCTCAGCTAGCATGTGTCCCGAGGGTCTGATTGGAATATCAGGTAATACTCTCAGGTGTGTCCAGCTTGCTCTCTGGAATACGTTTGCTGACCGGCTCAGGATATTTACCATTCCTAAACTCGGCGAGAAGTTGAAGCAGGACACCACGCCTCTCTCGTACACACCTCGTAAATTTGTCAGCCATCCCTACGCTCCGATCTTTTACATCGTTGAGGCCGATCACCGGACATATGGACCAAAGACAATCGAGAGGATACTTGGGGAGAAGGTGAGATGATCCCCAAAACTCTCAGCTCCGCATGCTGAAAGGTTCTCCAGGAGGCCAGCGGGAGCAGAGTTGATCGAACGATCCTGGACCTTCCGCCAACTGAATTTGGTAGACCGAGGGCTGGTCCTGGACATTGGGCATCATGTCTGAGAATATTGGATCCTGTAGCTGTGAGTGCCTCTCTGCGTCGTGGAGAGCTCCAACTTACATCCTTCAGAATGACACCATTTCCACGTTCGAGATGGACGAAGATGAGGCTGCTTTATGCGCCACGATAGCCTATTTCCCTCAGGGCAATGGCGAGCCATTCCTGGTGGTTGGGACGGCAAAGCAAATGGTGGTCACGCCAAAGTCCAGCCAGGGTGGATTCTTGAGGGTGTATGCGATCAAGAATCAAGGCAGAGAACTGGAACTGCTGCACAAGGTGGGCAGAATTCACCGATGCCGTACTGACTCTCAGACCAAAACCGACGACGTACCTCTTTGTCTCGCTGGCTTCCAAGGTTTCTTGCTCGCTGGTATCGGCAAGTCTCTGCGGCTGTACGAGATGGGCAAGAAGGCCTTGCTGCGAAAGTGTGAAAACACTGTGAGTGGGATAATGCGGCTCTCAGGATCTATCTGATTTACATAGGGCTTCCCGACTGCTGTGGCGACGATCAATGTCATTGGTGCTCGAATTATCGTTGGGGACATGCAAGAGTCCACTTTTTACTGTGTCTATCGATCCATCCCGACTCGACAATTATTGATCTTTGCCGACGACTCTCAACCTCGATGGTTGACCTGCGTCACGAATGTGGATTATGACACGGTCGCATGCGCCGACAAGTTTGGAAACGTGTTCGTGAACCGGGTCGAACAACGTGTCTCTGAGACTGTGGATGAGGATCCTACAGGAGCTGGAATTCTACACGACAAAGGATTCTTAATGGGTGCTGCGAACAAGACGGACTTGATAGCGCACTACAATGTGGGAAGCATCATCACGAGGTGGGCATGATCGTCGCAGAAAAGTTTTGTCAAGCGCTGAACCGTAACAGTTTGACCAAAGTGCCCCTCGCTGAAGGTGGTCGTGACGTCTTGGTGTACACGACGATCTCTGGCGCGGTTGGTGCGCTGATCCCCTTTGTTTCCATGGACGACGTGGATTTCATGTCCACGCTTGAAATGGTGAGGATGGAGGCAAAGAGGCAGCGAGAGACAATGCTGACTTTGATTTTCCAGCACATGCGAGCTCAAAACATTTCTCCGATCGGGCGGGATCATCTCGCATACCGTGGCTATTATGCGCCGATCAAATCAGTCATTGATGGTGATCTCTGCGAGGCATTCAATACGCTGCCTTATCCCAAGCAGCAGGGTATAGCATCTGATCTAGATAAGAGTGTAGGGGATGTGTTGAAGAAACTTGAGCAGATGAGGACGAGTAGTGCGTTCTGATAGAATTGCAGACGGGGATCCAACAATGTAAACTCCCGACTTGACCCGATTGATTTGTATTCTCGGCGATCCCAAAAATATTTATTTACAAATGACGCACAAGAAAAAAAAGTACAAAGATTCGGGAATGTCAGCGACGAGCAGATGGGTCCTACTTGCATCTTCTCTTAAACCATTTTGGTACCCGTACAATTACGCCTCGATAGCCTCCCAGAGCAGCGAGAGAAGCACAAACGAGCGTCTAATCTTATACAGATAGGTCACAGCATCCCCGAGCATCATGAAGGTGAGCTTAAGACTTGTGCCACCCAAAAGTCGCCATGTCGATCAGTCTCGTGGTGAGAGCGTAATGGACATCGCTGACAACTGCCTGTCCCTCTGTCCCTCTCATTTCTATCCTGCAACTCCATGTACACCTTCACCGTACTACCTTTGCTCCGCCGCTGCATATCTGCCCCTGCCCCATCACCAGATCGTCACTGCCGAACACGAGCGAGAGCATCAAGATGCGACAGTCGTCGGAGGACTCAAAGGGGCTGCCATAGCAGCAAGTATCATCGCCCCCTTCCATCTCGCCATGAGAAAGTACTCCACAGCCTATAGAGCCATTCCGACTCCTCTAAAAGCATTTGGTGAGTATCGTCCACTCCCAACTCTATGGCAACCCCCCTATCATCTGGTTGCATTCCGCTGCTGACATGTACACATCTCACTCTTTTCAGGTTTCGTCACGGTTGGTGTCTTCACCATCAACTTTGCGGCCGAAAAGTCTGGAGAAGCATACGATCAATCTCAATGGTCAGGCGCAGGTCAGAACTCCATCGATGCGAAGACAAAAGCTAGAGATGCACAGTGGGAGCAGATGGGAATGTTGGAGAAGGCTGGGGACTTTGCGATTCGTTGGAAATTCCCATTGATCGTCGGATCGTGAGTGCGGGGTTGGGCTGGATGGCGATGATGGCAATGATGGCAATGAGATATCTTCGCTGAGATGGCACGACGTAGATGGGCCGGTGTTCTCGGTGGTTCATACCTCTGGATATCTCGGAATAAAGCCATGACTGTGCCACAGCGTGTAAGCTCTTTCGGCGTCCAGCTCGTCGTAGACGATCACGCTGATCTCTCATGCCATAGCTCGTTCAAGCACGTATCTATGCTCAAGGTTTGTGTTCAATGGGAATCCTTCACATGCTCATCTTTTTTTTTCTCTTTCAGCTTGGAGCATCTTGTGTGTCATTGCGGCTCTAGCACCGATCGGAACGGCAAACGATAAGAATGGACGAGCAATATCCCATCACCACCCTGCAGAGGATCACTCATGGAAGGATATCATTGGTGAGAGCCACAGTTTGGAGTGGTCCGCTGATGTGCTCTCGTACAGCCCAGAACGAAGCTGCTGCCAAAGTCGAAGCTGAGAGACGATCTCAAGAGTCTGATCCAACGGCCGTTCTTCGGGCCAAAAAGGTACCGGTGGCGCAATAGAGAGGAGAGTTCGCGACTTTCACCTTACGCTCTGGGGATAGGACACTACGAGACAACTTGTACATTACATATCAGTATCATCCTCTCCTGTCATGCATGCTTAGGTCGGGCCGAAAGTCGTAGACAGAGGTAGATGGGTGCTGACGCTTTGGCGCTCGGTCCTTTTCAACCAAAGGATATGTCGTGAGTCGTCGCTCAGATCATGGGACCTTTTGCCCGCCATTAGTGCGGAATGGGCAAGTCACGAAACATCCATGGCCTCGTCACTGTTCGAGCACTCTCACAGTATCTTTCCAAACAGCCATCACCATGTCCAACGCTGTAATCTTGATCAATGGTTTTCCAGGCGTGGGCAAATCGTCAGTCGCGAGAGAATTGATGTGAGCACTTTGATCCGCTGATTGCCCAGAACAGGGGAGAACGTGTGCCTGTCCTTGCTGACAACCTGCATGTAGGGCATTGCTACCTCATTCGACGTTACTTGAGGCTCAAGCTTTGGATCTAGCTGCGAACGCGGCACACGAAGTGACGAGTCGGTCCAATGCAGAGTTGAGGAAAAGACTGGTGAGCAAGCATCTTCCCTTTTTAAGCTGGATCGCAATGATAGCCTCATTGCATGTCGCGCTGACACGATCCTCAACACAGCGAGAGACTATTCTCCGTTCATTGGCACCTGTCGGTACTGGTGTTGGTGCTCAGAGTCGAATCATGGTCATCACCGACACCCTACTATCCTCTCCGCCGACTTCGGCGTTTCTGCAATCATACCTTGCATGCTGTCGATCCAATGGGATAATCCTCATTCATATCATCTTGTCATGCGACTCCTCTACAAACGTCTCACGACTGGGCAGCGGTAGCAAAATTGATGAAGATACGCTCGTGGCCATGAGGATGGAGGAAGAAATCGGACAATACCTCTCACTTCAGGACAAAGTCCGAGGCGGGTCCATGCCGGGCTTGTCGGGGGAAATGGAGTTGGACAATTCCAACCTTGGAGCTAAAGATACCGCCGCCAGGGTCGGAGAGTACTGTATAGATTTGTTGAAGAGACAGGGATGGTCCCTGCAGCCTGCAAAGAGGGTGTAGAAAGAAATTCCTACGCTTGCTGGTCCCGCAAAAGCCATCATCTCAACATAGCTCGATCCTCAGTCTAGCTAGCTGCATGAGCAAAGCGCAAGCTGACTGGTCTATGTATGGGATTGGTCATCTCCTTTTCGGAGCAGATCGCTACACTCGACAGCAGTACCACCAGATCGATGCCTTCACCTTCTTCCTTTTCCGCCTAGACTGGAGGGGAAAAATGGTTTCGGTGCGCCACGGCGCTTCTTGTCGTGATTCTTAGCCTTATGGGATCCTTTGTGCCGAGCTGATGGGGTAGACCCCTGCATTTGTGCCCACGACTTGCTCTCCCTATTCCGAACGGGCTGATAAGCGAAAATGCTTTTTGCGTTTCCATCTTCCTCCGCTTGCTCGTCGACTTGGGAGGAGGGCAATGCTGGTGGTTCCTCGGACGGCGAACGAGGCTGATGAGCTACAGGCCGAAGAGCCGATGGGATGACCTTGGGATGATTATTCGGCGGAAAATGACGCTTAGCAGCTGGAGATGGCGTATTCTTGTGGAAGCTGGGCGATCTATCCCTCTTTCGGTGCAAAGGGGACATATTCCGCGCCGCACTGTTCGACGAGCTGGGCTGCACTAGAACTTTGCTCTCCAAAGGCGTTCTATCTTGCCCATTTTCACAGTATCCATTGGTCAATGTCATTGGACTCTGACTTGGAGCTCGTTCGGTCCAGCTCGAGTCGTCCGTCACGCGAATATAGCTCAACAAGTACGCATTGCGATCACGTAGGACGTCGTCGACTGCGCAAGGGCTCATGTCCTCATCGTCTGCATGGTACCATTTCCCATTCGGGGACTTGACGTAGGACGTATAGTGACCGAATCTGAGTTCATTGCCATGGTGACAAGTCACTGCGAAAAGGCGATATCGATTTCGTCCGGACTGCGAAGGACGTGTCAATTCCGCGAGAGATCCGACTGAGACACATCCGGGCTCACATCTGCATCGACCATATAAGGAGTCATGTCGAGATGCTCAGGGAAAGCAATGTAGCCGTTATATCTGTTTGCGTGAGGCTGCCCACGGTGTCCATAAGAAACGCTGAAGCGTTTCAAATGGAAAGTGAGGATCGGAGGGGTCTGAGCGATCTTGAAAAACTTGACAGCATTGGCTTTGCTTTTACAGCTGTCCCAAGATCAGCGTTCGGTGAGTGTAATCCGATGACTCACCTGTCGCACTTGTATTTGTTATCGCCTTCCAAGCGTTCTTCACGGACGAATCCTTGAAGCATTGATTGCAGTTTCGCTGATCCTCCCTTATTCACGTCCAGACTGAGGTCTAGGAAATGATCAAAGGTGTCGGATGGCTTCTTGCACCTCGAACACACGACACGAGATCGGACGATTCCTCCCCAGATTCGGTAGACCCAAGTAGTATGTTTAATCTTCTCTGGCAAGGTCCTGGGATAACATCAGCCAGTCTAGAGCGGCAAGGGAGGCTACACACTTCGGATAACCTGCCAAGGCTGTAGCTTGAAGACTGTCTGTGAGAAAGCGAAAGAATTCGTGTGCGTCTTCCTGCCTGTTCTTGCTGAACCCCTTCTTAATATCTGAGCAGAGATGAGTGAGCTTCATCGCGCACGCCGGTCAAAATAGCTGAGCTCACGACTGAGATTGGAGTGAATCGATTTTGGTGCGTATCTCGACTCTTGCCAATGTATCCGGCTCATACTGTAAAGTGCGCAAACGGAACAGAAGCCTTTCCTAGCTTGCAGACCTGAGACCCGCATATTAGAATCGTCGATGACGACAGATGATTCGCGACGACCGACTCACAGGTACTATTCTCGACTTGCGTTGCGTGATCCTCCACCATCCGCAGCACGGGCGGTGTATGCATGACCACTTGCAACGTCGAATTCGCATAGCATGCCATTGACGGATTGTATAGTCCGGCTCCTGCACGTTTCGCATTCGCAACTCTCGTTGGCCATGTCAGATCAACGTCATCCGGACACAAATAGCCATTTGCCTCCACTTCATGAGCCTTTTTGAGCTGACTCGAAGTCGCAGGGGTCGATATGGAGCTGCCGCTAGGTGTAGCAGCTACCTCTTTGCCTTTCCTAGATGGCGTAAGAGGAGATGTCACAGGCGGTCGGCTGGAAGTGGCTGGAGAGTTCGGATTCGACGACGTTTGGGATCGGAGATTGGACGGTCCAGCAACACTCTGCAGGTTGTTATATCCTCTCGATCGGGGTATAGGACTTGGTGGACCAGGCGGGATGACTCGAACGCCAGAATGGACGGACATGGAGGGCCCATAAATTGGCTCGTCGAACTCCAACGCTTGCCTCGCTACAGGACCAAGGAGTCCGTGCCCTCTGACTCCATTGACAGTCTGTCGAGTTCCCTGAGGCATCAACAAGCCCAGAGCGCTCATCGTAAACTATCCTTGAGGGTCAAGATACAGGTCACTGGATGATCACTGCTTCATTGTCTACATGCATCCGTTCATAAATTTATTATCGTCAGCAGAAAAAAACTCGCGAAAGAAGTTGAACTTTTTGTGGCGAAGTGGCGGCCGTAAAACTAATCTCAAGATTGTTTACCCACCCTTGCTAGACATTGTGAAGCAAGTCCGGGAGTTTGGGTCGTCAGAGTATGGGTGCGTAATTAGCATCATGCTCTTCCATCATGTGAACGGCTGTAGGGATGATTGCTCTGTTCTGGCTTTCTGTCGCGACCTAAATTGAATATTGTTCAGTCTTTCTGTCTGGCAATCAATCTCAAGCGAACCTTTGCAAACGGTTTCCGTGTCAGTCCTTTGACCTGGCTGAAACCTGGCTCAACATATAAATGCTGATCTACGGCAGGTCGAAAGCGGCCATTCACGTATCCCTTACTCGAATTGTCACTGGCAACCATCTCATATCAGAAAGCTTCCAGGCATGTCAACCGTAAATGAGGGAGGTCCAGGTCTCGTGAACCTCGACGGGAATGAAAACTCCTTGACCGAAAGTACAGGTCTGAGCACAGGTAATACATCCAGTCTGATATATACAAGAGGCAAAAGTTGATCCCTCGCCTAGGCAAGTTGATCGGCATCTGCATTGCTGGTGCCATTCTCGTCATTTGGTTCTTCCTCCTCTTCTACGTTCGAGGATTGTTATGCACCCAGAAACGATGTACACGACCCAAATGTGGACATCGGATCAGTCCCAAGGCTGCACAGCTCAACGACGACACTGGTGTAGTTCATGAAGATGAAAGCGACTGTGGTTGGCAAAGGTGGGAGAAAATCGTCTTCATCGTGGGGAAAGGCATTCTTCATAGAGCTACGGAAAGGGCGAAAGAGAGCGGACGAGAGATGAGGCAGGGGGCAAAGGAAACGTACGAGAAGCACCGAAGTCAAGGAAGGCGCTCAGAAGTTTAGATCCTGCATGAATTCTGTACGCAGATCGCGAACTGCTAGAATCACCTTTCCATCAAATCAGGTGTGTGTGGGTGTGTGTCCAGATATCTGGTAAGAAAGACATGCCTCGTAGCATCCAGACCGTTGCAAGGCGCCTGCACTACTTGCCATCGATAGACACAGAGATATTGACCCAAGGCTGCAGACTAGTTACCCCTTTGCCATAGATGAAAGGAGCTATCTGCATCAGAGCTATTCCTGGCACTTCGCTCCCTGGCCTTGGTGGTCTAAAACAAGGGTCTGAAAGGGTGGAGTCCATTCACGTCTCATCTCCTAGGTTGAGAGGAAGCTCGTGCAGCAGGAAAGCAGGTAACAATCGAGAGATGCGCGCTATGTAGATGTAAGCTTGCCTCGAATAGCAAGCCAATATCGCAATCAGCCTCACGTATCATGTCCGAGACTGACACCCTATCCGGAGATCTTGGTGCAGATGGCGGTAGCGGTATCTCCGAGCTAGGAGGAGGTAAGTCTTCTCGTCAATAAAACGAGCTGATGAGCTTCGGTATCAGGGGTATGGGCAGCAATTGGGGTCGGCATCGCCTTGATCCTCTACGTGCTCATGATCTTTTACCTAAGAGGCATGTATTGGTGGCAACGCAAGTGTAGGGAGTGCGGCCGAAGAATCCGAAAAAGGGACCATGGGTACGGAACGGGGATGCACGACCAATTTTGCAAGCCTGCCGGGTGGGAGAAACTCTTCTTCATCACGGGCAAGAACTCGTTTGCGAAAGAGTTCTCAGAGGAGCATAACAAGGCTTAGACATGGGCAGTACTCATAGTCGGCTACGTATGTATACTCGTTGCCATCCAGGTTGATCACAATACGATTCCCCTCAGTCACCTCACTAAGGCGTCTTTGGTTCGCGAGTCATGAGCGTCAACCGGCCTCCTTACATGTTGCGGCTCCCTCAGCATCCTTTCGTCCTTCACCATTTTGAGGTTTTGGCTTGCCTGCCGCCGTCGCTTCGATCTGGCATCAGAATGCTCAGCACAGACCAATCGCTCATAGCCCTATATGTGTATCTAGCAGTTCAATTTCGAGTTACATTCACTTGAATGAAGCAACGCGAGTACTGTCATAGGTCTCAGAACGGGACCGCGTCTTCATCATCCGCAGGGGAGCAGAGTGGATCGAAAACGGCGAGGAATACATAGCTTATCTGAACTCTGTAGTCGGATGACGGAACATGGTCGGAGATGAGTTGACAAGGTAGCTTCGGATGTTGAGCTGTGACTGGGCAGATGGGGCCGAAGCAAGCGGACGACGGGGACCCTAGTGCATACACATCTTTGCTATTGGGAGCTTGTATCCTGGCAGATCCCAATACCGCCTTCTGACACCTTTCCAGACCTCTTCGCGTTGAGATTCCGCGATGGGCACGTCTTGCCACTGGACATGGAGACCGACATCTTCCATGTGAAGCTCCGCAAGGCTCGATGAGACCGCATGGATTGTTGCATCTGCGGGAAATCAGCATTGACCTCCATGAGACGGGCCCCTCCAGACTGACTCGTGGCACCGAGCCCATTCCAGAACGAGAAAACTCCCTGCTGGGGCTCGAGAATATCCGGGACGACGGATTCGAAGAAAGTCTTAAGATCTTGCAACCGGTCAACACAGTTGTACCAATGGTACGAGCTTCCATGCTCACCCTCGTAGCCCTCCGCAAACGTATCCATGAAGATGGCATCGAAGCCGTCGGCTGAAAGCTCCAGTACCCGCTTCAGGTTTTTGCCTATCAGGTGATCCTGCCACCTGCCTTCCAGCACCTTGACGTTTGGCCAATCGTAGACTCCGGTAGCTTTCATGTGTGCCAGGACGTCTGAGTGAGCTTCTACGATAATATGAAGCCGCGGACTTTCGGACTGAATAATCCTATCGATCTAGTCAAGTGTTCAGCAGGAGTTAGCGTCTCGGGGTAGACATCACTCACGATTCCTAGCCCAAAGCCAATGTTGAGAACAGCGAGCCCCACAGTATCCGGCCGTCCTGCAATCATGAGTGCGACGTGCTGCTTCACTTTATAGCGAATCAGATACCACTCTTGTTTCATGATATATTGACCTACTAAGGGGCTCTTCCCAGCCCATCATGACACTGTTTCCGTCAGGTCCGGAACTTTGGGCGCCATATCTACCTACCCATTGCCATCTGCGTCCAGAACCCTCTCTTTGCCATCCTCTCCGAGGTCCCATGTCAGTTTACTCTTCAAGAAAACCTCGTTGTTTCCTGCTGAGCTTTGGTCATTAGCCCTCAGTTTGAGGTGCGTGGCGGAGCTCGAGCTCGAAGTTCCTCCAAGGAAATGGGCAAGCATCTCTGTTGGTCAATTTGAAGTTCTGTCACTCGACACACCTGATCGAATCCCATCATTACGGATAACCTCCCACCCTGCTCTGTCTCCCAAACTCAGGCAGATCTCTCCTGCTGTCCTACCCCAAGAGTCCATGGCGTTCCATACAGCCCCACCCTCTAGGAGAGTCTCGAGAAGCTCTGGCATCCTCCGTTCTGCCGCATAGTGCAGGCACGACCAGCCTAAATCCTCGTCTTGATACCATGTTGGGGCGCCTTGGGCTAAAAGATCCTTAACATTTTGGAGTGATCCAGATTTTGAGGCGACCAATAGTGCCTGTGCCAGTGTTAAAAGCTCGGATGGGATCTCTTCTGTGTCGTCTGCCATAATCACGGGATTCACTGGGCTGCTTGCAGGGTTCAAGGTGAGCAAGCTGCGATACTGAGAAACGGAATGAAGCGAGATAGGTTGATTCAGCATTTCATGCAGTCCAGGTCCGAAAATTCCATTACGTGACGCGCGATCGAAGTAGCGTCGAGCATTGGATTGTCTTTTTACACGACCCCCAAGATGGCTTTATAGGACGATGCCAGACAAGCTTGGGCGCAAATCCCGGCCGGTCAGAACGTTGAGGTCGGCGACAACTTACCGCCAGAAAAAAAGCATATACGCTTCCCCGTCCGTTGCAGGATCGACCTCCAGCCTCGGGCGGCGTCTGATCGTCCGTCGAACGGATTCAGGTGGTAAAGGCAAAGCGAGAGCGGTGTCTGAGGAGGTAGATGATGAAGACTTTGACGAGTTGGCGGAAGATGATGATGAACATGACGAGGATGTCGATGAATTGGCGGATGATGAAGACCTAAGCATGGTCAAGGCGGAATATCGAGAAAGGGCAGAAAGGGCATGGGAGACAAGACGGGAGAACGAGAGGATCCGAGCGGAATTGCGAGAGCAGAGGCTTGTATCGCCAGGTGAGGGCTATTGGAGGTGCGGCATATTGATGCCTCTCAGCTCTCGACCTCGACTTACCAAGTGACGTGAGTTATGTCGCCTGACGGAGATATCGAATGCCCGTGACGCCTTTCAGGACTTGCTCAACGGTATTCATTTTCACGCCTCAAAATTTTATACCGCCCACAGTCTGATCTTGAAGCCTCAGAAGCAAGTCCGACGCAGACAATGGGGATCAAAGAAGAGGATGCTTTTACAGACAGAAGGTATAGCGCCGATAGAACGCAACGGATTGGACAAGGACTTTTGGGTCCATCTCAAACCTATCAAGCGGAGGAGAGTGATGAGCGTACCTTCTTGGGCAGTCCAAGAGGACGATAGTGACTGGGATGAGCAGAGCGGCTCAGACAACACAGGGGAGAGAACTGAAGAAACTGGGGAAGAGGAGGAGGAGGACAGCGAGTCACAAGCCGAATCTCATGGTCGAGCTCAGCCAAATGTGGTAGATTTGGCGGAACGCAGACGGCAGGGGGAAGAAGCTGCTGAACTGGCTCGGGAAGATGACGGAGGGGTGGGCTCAGGGGCGCAGAGCCCTGATCAAGCTCCTAAGAGAGGATATCGAAAGCAATACAAGCAAAGAGACATGTTCAAATCCTTGGACGGTACGGCTCTGCTCGCCATGGGTCAGTACAGCTTGGTCACTTTGACTCCAGCTGATGGATGTAGGATTCTTGGTCGAACGCTTCATCGCCAGGGAGCTCGCGAGGGCAGGCTATCAGCCTAAGATGGAGTCGGCTGACCGGGCAGCTTCCGCTGCATCTCGGCATCATATCGAGGCTGGAGAAGATGACGAAGCAGGAGATCTAGAATCATCATGACCGACACGAACACGTCAACGACCTACGACCCGTACGACAAGCGATGAAGCCGTCATGCCTGTATGCCACGCACGAAGGTCTCCAGAGAAGCACTGAGACATGTCGAGATGATGGCCATTAGTGCATGAGAAGCGGACCGCTGTACAAGACGTCCTGATCGAGCTAGACTTTAGACTTCTTCCCCGCTGACCGGCTCGTAGGCTCCTTTGGCGCCAACTCCTGTGCTCATTTTCGCCCGACGTCTATACGACTTCCATCCTGAAGTCTGATCAGCGGAAAGTGAAGAGATAGCACTCACCCTCAGCTGGTATCTCGTACACTTGAGTGTAGTCGATGTCGTTGGGATGGAGCCAGAAATCGCTGCAATTCTACCCTCGTCAGTGATCAGACTGACTTGTTGCAACCCACCTGTATGATGCCCATATCGAATGGGTTTTGATCTCTGCCCGCTTTTCTCATACCTCCCAGTGCTTTGCCTTTGGTGAATCGATCAAGACCAAGCACTTGCATCATCGGACCAGAAATCCCCTTCCACAGTGCTCCACAGCACCGTACAGGGAATGAACCGTGAGAGTGCGCGTGTCCGTGAGGACCATGCGAGTGCTTTGCAGGGCCTCGGGCTGCTATCAAGTTCCCATCCGGGCCAGCTATGCCACTCTCAGGCGGTGCGTTCTCGCTCGCACCCATCGGTCCCACGCCTGCGCCTACTGCAGCAGCTTGACGCATGGCCCCGGATTGATCTCTAAGGCTCTGACCGCCTCGACCGCCCATGTACCCGTAGCGACCCAGATTTGAGACCTCTAGTGTCGTCATTTGTCGAGATACTTGCCACAACTGGGACACGCCGAGAATTAATGTCCATGTCAGCTGTAAAGTGGCCCAGAAAGCAACAGCGCTGAGGAAGGCGTCATATGATCCGGCCCGGCACAGTGTTTCCGATAAGTCGCAGACGGTCAGGCCAGGGGATGGGGAAGGGGAGTATGCAGGAGCGTTCTCCAAGACGTCTGACCGAGAATTCAGCGGACTCAAAGATAGCAGCCTGAAGACGACCCACAATCGATCGTCAATCGGTCGAACAGGATTATGCCAGCGATCAAGAACAGGACAAAAGAGAGAAAGTAGCGATGATTGCGGAATCCCACTGAATGCGCATCAGACCAGAGCCCGGGTGCCCTTCTTTGTGCTTACCGCAGTTCCATATCCATGGGCAGTGGCTGACGATGCTCAGCACGCAAGGCAAACGCGTTCATCAACTCACTGGTCGTACCGAGCAGTGCATCGCTTGCAAACCCGGCAATGCTTTGAGCGAAGAGGCTTCTTCGTCTATGCGACCTGAGCGCGAAGTCTTTGATCGATCCAGGCCTACTCACCATACATGAGATGCAGAAATTTGTCCCGTTCAGTCGTCCAGCATCGACGAGATCCTCTAACATCTGCTCCGATGTCAGGCTTGTCCCGACACCTTGGATCACGCTCACCATCTTCACGTCTGAGCCCCCAGAGGGCTTTGGTACGAATCCTGGGTCTGTCCGTATGGCTTTATAGAAGCTAGCGCTGCATAGGAGAGCGCAGACGAGGAACGCAAGATTGGTGAAAGCGTGACCTGGCGTCCCTGGAGGTCAAACGTCAGCCCTCGAACTAGAAAGCCTGGCATTCCTACCTCGAAGTAGACGAGTTGCCCAAGCATAAAACACCCATACTAGAGAGGCCGTGATGATAGCGGCGAAATGTGGTGAAGATGATATTGGATTGTCTTCTGCCCTGTGTGACAGCAATAAACGCATTACGATCTGTGGTCTGATGAGTAAAGGAGCTTCAAACCAAGCTTGCTCACCGTCTGCATGGCCATGAATAGAGCCAATGCCAAAGGGAATGCGACGAGTATGGGGACAGTGTCAAAGACTTTGAAGATGAGGAACAGGATGATTGTGGGGAGAATAAAGATGACTCGAGTGGTGTTGACCTGCGATGGATGGTGAGCTCGTTCAGTATCACGTTCTTACTCACCTCGCTGAAGCGGCCAAACTTTTTCGCTCCGAGAGACGTGTATCCCGCCTCTTGTAGACCTCTCTGGAACGGCAGAATCCCTTTTAGCTCCTCCGCCATATCTCGCGCTGTCTTTCCTGCATTCTCCTTGACATCGAGGTCTGCGCCAGCTTCTAGTAGATACCTGATACAGGGTGACGAGCCCTTTACAGCCGCCCAATGTAGTGGTGTCATACCAGCATTGTCGCGTGTCTCGACGGACGCTCCGTGACGCAGTAGGAGGTCTACAGATATGGCGTCGCCTGTCATCCGTCAGTCAAGAACCAAAATCGTATTGCAGTGTTGTGTCCCACCTTGATATGCGGCCCACATCAAAGCTGAATGTCCGTCGTCATCCTTCTCATCGATAGCGATGGGTTGGTGCAGCTGAAATCCTCCGTCAACTCTCGCTTCCTGTTTCCATCGACTGAAGATGAAGCTCACCATGTACAGAAGCGGCATGACCGCACTGGAATGGGTAATCAGATGTAAGGTGTTGAACCCCTGACCATCCCGTACATTAGGATCTGCACCTCTGCTCAACAGAAGATGTATGACGTAGAGATGTCCATTCCTCGCTGCCCACTGGAGTGGTGTCGCTTTGAGCTCCCCTCCTATCGGATCTATCTCCGCACCATTATCTAGAAGAAATCGACAGGTCGAGATATGAGCGTTAATTGCTGCCCAATGTAATGGCGTCACATCTTGGCTATCTCGCGTTGATAGGTTCACGGACCGGTCAGATTCCAATAGCTTGGAGAGAGCGAGTGTGTCACCTCGTTGAGCAATAGCATGAATGCTACTCTGTGATTGTGACGTTGACCTCAGCACTTTGGCAGCTGGGAAAGACAGTGTAGGACAGCTTACCTCGTCTAGGTGAGGAGGGGGAGGCGGCGGTCGAATCGTTTCCACGCCAACTTCAATGCTTGGTCTCTCCGGGTCTGACAATGGATCTATAGGACCAACTTGAAGCTCTTCCTCCTCGTTCTGAGGTCTAGGGGAAGGTGCCATGGGTCGTAAAGAGGACGGAGAGCCAGAGCCATCCATGGCTTGCGGATACGAGTTTTGAGCTACCGCCGGACTGAGTAATCAACTCGACAGGAGCGGAATCGGTCTGCCAGTCGCAAGGACAGAACACGGGGTACAGCTACCTTGGCAGAGCTGGTTGTCAGACGACGAGCTGTTGATCTTCTGGCGGAGGAGCGCGAGACAAAGGACGAGAATGGACATTCAAGCCAAGATGATGCAAAGTCGCGCGAGGCGATGTAAAATCAAAATCAATGACTGACCAACAGGGCCAGTCCCATGGATGGACGCTCTGCAGCTAATAAGGGCGAAAGCTGCTACGCTCCCGCAAGGTTGTTTAGTCTATCCAGACTGACATGCTTAGGCATGGAGCTGTGAATATGGCATGCATATGACGAGTAAGATCAACAATGCAGGATACCTAAAATAGCGGCTCTGGAATCGCCACGCATCATAGCCCAATCAACCTCTATAAACCCAATTTTCCCGATCATCAGCTTGCAGACGAGCATACCTGGGTGCATGAGTTTGATATCCAGCAGGTTGAAACTCACTCCAACAACAATCTCAACATGTACGCCTGCATGTCCTCCCACCTCCAATACTCTTCGCCGAATTGCCGGCCACGTAGAGCAATCTGCTTGGCAAGGTCATCGTGACCGACTTGAGGGCTCGCATGCCCCTTCTTGCCAGCTCCAGAAGCGGCCTCAGTCGAACTGATTGCAGATGAGTCTGGCGGTCCTACGAAGAAGGCCATGATGGAGTACAGATCAGAATAGTCAAGCTGGACCGGCTGCGGGCTGTGAGCTTCAAGTGGGGCACACAAGTTGAGTTACATACCACATAATGATACCACGGTGTGAGCCAAGCCTGAAGGGTGCGCGATGAGCTGAGGGTCGCGGAATTACACGATCCAGCTTACCGAATTCCACTCGGGATACAAAGACGCCTTCAGAACCACACTGCCAGAGGTCAGAAGACGGTGGAAACGCGAAGACCATCCGTTGCCATCCACATCCAGCATGTCTGAGCTGTCAGACGTACACTCATACACAGCTAATGCTCTGCTCACACTTGAACCGGGAGGCAACCTCGGGTGAGATCCGTTCCTTGAATTTGATGTCTTCAGCCATTTCTGCACAGGTCCCATCGGCCTCTCGGCACTGCCAGATTGATCAGTCAAGTATGCGCAAGTGATCGGAGCTCGACTGACCTGGTGCGGTTTGCCCGTTAACCCAACATCCATGTATCGATCGTTCAACACTCCTAGATCCCACTCTTCCATTTTGGCGTCATTACCTCTCTCTACCCAGACATTGATTTTGGGATTCGTAGTGGGGTGACCTTGATGATTCGTCTTCACGCGACATCAGCAGAAAGAAAGCCATCTTTTGTTTGCGCGGGGACACACCTCCGAAGCCGAAGCCTGCGCCATGAGAGCGAGCTTGGGTCTATGACTATTTCGCCAATCATAACCATCTCTCTTCCAATACGAGTCACCAGTGGTACTCCCTCGCCAAAACAATTTGTTCACGGTCTTCGACTCCCAAGGGGTATATTTCGATGCCGCTTTGGGATCCGTGAGGTTTTCGTATGCTTCGAGGGGAGTTGTGAGGAATTCTGCATTGCGAGTGAATTTTGATAATTGTCCAATCGGGCGAAGAATAGTGTCACGGGGCACATCCCAAGATAAAGCTCCGTGTACTGCCAAAAGGGACGGATTGAGGCAAAAGTCCCTGGTCATGTCCATGTCGTGAAGGAACGTAACTTCTACACATTGAGCGAGCATTAGCCAGTGCGTGCTGGTTCATGACGGAGAACTTCACCATCAGTCCTGGGGGGTGGTAACATTCCTCCATCAAGTTGAGCTAGACCATACTGCCAGCCTGGAGAGTCCTCTGGGCATGCCGACGTCAGTCCCTTCACGACCACCCTGCCTATCCGTTTCTCAAACGGAGCAAGCTCTTGCTCCGTTACGAATCGTTGCTGCGAGATTGCTTCGTTCAGATGTCTGCGTTGGTCATCCGCGACGAGCCAGGACCCCAGATCGTGATCAGACATGGAGAAAGTGATGGGAGCAGGCAAGAGGTCCACGAGAGGAGCGATGAGCCTGAACAAGAGCTTGCCACGCGCCGAGCCGGCTCTGTCCCCAGTTATGGAGCAGTTGCCGGGGATGAGATTAAGCTGGCTACTTGACGTCAGTCGGGTTCCCATAAAGCTGGCTGTGTCGACAGCTCACTATGTGCTTTGAGTGTCGACGAGCTTTTGAGCCCGGGCTCTAAAGGTCTCTGGGGATAGGGCGAAGAAGGGTGCGACATCGTTATAAGTTTGGTCGTACTGCAGATACATGTCGTCAGCGAGGTGTCAACTTGGGCAATATCGCCTGTGCAATACCAGGCTTCACTAACATCATCACGTATCTTTACATGGTTCTGCTCGCAGAACTTCCACCAAGTATCAAATCCTTTTGGTGGTAGTCGCCCAAATCGTTTCTGATATTCGTGGAATGCCGATTTCAGCGTCTTGGATTGCCTGTGAGGCCTTATCAGCCAGGATCCATCAAAGTCAGGTGCACCATCGATATCTCCTCACCTCTTATTGACGTCCTCCCACTGTTTCTCGGCCCTCTGTATCAATAGCTCTATAGGATGTTTCTTGACTGGCTTGGATCTACCGAATAAAGTGGACCATCCAGAGCTAGAGGAATGAGCTGCGTCCTCCGATCGAGGCGGTCCAGCACGATACAAAGCAGCTGGGTCCGTCTGGCTCAAGTCATCTTGACCAGATGATCCCGGTACTCCGATGAAGGTAAACCATAGGACAATCACGAAAGCAAGAATGGCTATCCTGGAGAATCTGAGACGCTTGTTCAACATGTATCTGCGGATGGTCAACCGCCAAGTCTGAGTCATTGGGGCTCGCTTGACTCGGCGGTTCGACCCTAATGCCGGATCTGGACGGGAAAGAATGGTGGATCGTTGTTCTACTGGGTCGAGGTATGAAGACGACTGAAGAGTGAGAGAGATCTGCGAACCTGGGGAATGATCAAAAAACCGATTGGAGAACAAGAAAAAGGAAAAAGGAAAAAAATCCCAGCTTCCCGCTGAACCGATTGAATTGATCGGCGGCATTCATTCACATGTCAGCCAGAAATGTTCGCAACAGACGATACAGAAGCATTGCTAATGCACTACTGCGACCTACTGTCCTCCATGACCAAACGGACTAGACTGTAGATCACTACCGAGCCCCATACTGTCCCAACTCCACCAGTTTGTAGACTACATGGCCGGGGTCAGCTAGAACCGTTAATAAAAGTGCCGAGACTAACCGGCAGCGGTCCTTGATCAGTCCGCGCATCCGAAAAGATCATTGGATCCCAATATTGGTGTAACTGGATGAGACCCCTTCAGCGAATTCTCCCTGTGGGAGATCTTCACCACCCACCAGAAGATCCGTAGAAGAATCAGCACCAATCTGTGTCGATTCGCTGCCCCGGCTATCACCCATCATGCTGGGATCCAAGGAGTAGTCCAGATGCTGTTGCAAGACTTCGGCCACTGCTGGTGGAAGAGGAGAATTGGCACTCTGAGCACCTCCTAGCGAACCGGATGGGAGAGCCTCTGGTCGTAAGCCCAAAGATAAAGGCATATCCATCCTTGGCTTTGGGATGATGTTCGTTGCTCGATGCGCTCCAGCCCCGGCCTGTTCTATCAATCTCGTTCTCCAGCCAAGGAGCTCTAAATCTTCCTCCCCTTCGTAGGAGGCAGGCGAGGTATCATTCGTACTCGGTTTGTGAGATTCATGGGAGATCTTGGCCACTGCCCGTTGGCGTAGTCGGACAAGCCATTCACGGTTCTGGACCATGGATGGGGAGGGATTGTGCTTCAGAACTGCCGAGAAGAGATCGATCGCTTGATCGATCTGGCCAAGGGCAAATTGGGCGAGAACACTTTGTGGATTGCGCAGGATCAGTGTTCCGACACATACCGCCGCAGTGAACAGATGATACTGCATGGCCTCAGCAGGAGGACTTGGTACACTTGACCCACCCAGAAAAACCAGTGCCGAACGCTGATAGTGGGATGTAAGCTGTAGAGACCCTGAACGACCTGAATGATTACCTGCAGAGCAACGCAGTCAGCGAGTCCTCATGGAGAGACTGAGAGCCTTACATTGCATCGCTCTACTACAGCGAGATATGAATGCCCATAGATCGATCGAGTTGGATCCATAGGTTGATCGTGCATCGCCATGACGAAGTAGGGTCGTTGAAGGTAAAGTATGTTCTCAGACACATTGAGAGACAAGGTGAATTGCTGTGGTAACTTGAGCCGAGCCAGCAAATTGCTAACTCACTTGGAAAGACTGTGTGATCTGGCGGCGATTCGGCTCTGGACTTTCAAGCACTGCTACCGCTGGATCGGGATAGACAGAGGGCAAGGCGGAGAGAGCGCTTCGACATCGGAAATGGTATGGTATTTGACGCTCAAATTCGCACCTGAGGGGATTCAATTTCCGACTAGCAGACCCCACTCACAGTCTCAAGTACATCTCGTGCACATCGGCGTAGGGTGCAGGTTCGACGCCCATACCCATATCGAGGATTCTGAGGAAAGTCAGAGTGGCTCTTTGATCCTCCCGAACACTGACCTAGCAGACATTTGACAAATCTCATATTTTAATGTCTTGTACGCTTTCGGATAACGATCGTCCGGAGGAGGGTAAGGTGCTGGGAACGCCGTGTCAATGTATCGTGGCACCAAACAGCTCGGTCTGGAGAAGCAATTGGCCTGAAAGACTTCGATGGTATGTGCCTCCCAGAACACTTGGCTGAGATCGTCAGCGGGCGGCTATCGACTCCCGACTCACCGCCTCTCGTCAACGACCTCGAATGGCAGATTCCAACGTCCGCCATCTCTATGCAATCCCATCTGCTCGAGTGAGCCTCGGGGATTGTAGACATCCCGTTTCAGGCTCACGGCAACAATAATGCGCATCGCCAATCCCCACAATGGCCAAGCTTGATTTCCGTTCCTGCCCTTTTCCGTCTCCCTTTTTCAGCCACGGTCAGTCGTCACTAGAGTTAATCATGAGAGCCTACACACAAGTGGTAATGACCCATCATAAGCTATTTCAGAGTGAGCGCCAGGGCCTGTCACGATTCCGCAAACGCAACTCACCAGAGTCTGAACACCCGGCATTGTATTGTGATTGAGGAAATCCCCTTTTGTGAGGCAATTTTTCGACAGCAACAGGAAGTCCTCAGCTTGAGGATCGTGTTGGGGCAGCTCCAAGTTGTACAGAGACCCGATGGCCAAGATCATGTAGACCAATGCCAACTGCTGCGGATGAATATTCTTTGCCAAGATCTTGACGGGTTGCCGATCGCCTAGGACCCGGTTCAGTAGTGGTTGTATGGATCGACGAGGCGCAACATCGTGGCTGACCTCGTCAGGACCTTTCTGACTTTCGACACTCACTTCCACGTGAAGTAGCGGTAGTAACAGTCCACGAGAACCTCGACATCATCGGGGGGAGGCAGCTCCGATAATAGATCCTCGAATGATCGCTCCTGCCCATGTAGGAAGAAGGGAAAATGAGGCGTCGATTGTACATTTGGCTCCGACGTCGTCTGCGGATCTTTTGGACTGGGTGAAGGTGAGGTGGAGCGATATTCGTCAAGCTCTTGCTGTGCACGCGTGAGCTTAGACACACGGGGACGATACCCACATTCTTCAACCATTCCGTCCCGGCTGTCGGACCCAGATACCTTGAGCTCCCAGATTGTGTCAACACCAGCGTTCCATGCGAATGCTCAATCGGAGAGTGCAGTGGACCGGATCCAAAGCTCCTGGCTGTACCATGACCAGATCCACTTGGACCCGCATTCTGCATGGGAGTAGCGTAAGGTCGACCGCTCGACAAACTGGGAGAGGGGAGAGGCAAGTGTAGCTCGTGACGTTCTGCTGAAGATGGATAACCCATTTCACTGTGCCGTCGTGTGTGAGGCATGTCCAAGCGATCAGACGTATACATCTCGCCTCTGCTTCGTTTATCCGGAGGCTGGTAGCTATCGTCGGAAGAAAGAGTCCTTTTGACAGGACCGTTTGGATTGATAGCATGACTCCGCGTGTCATTGGCGGTGGAATGCAGACCTTGTCCGATATCGATGCCGTGCCTCTCTAGAAGCCTCTCAAGGGATGAGAGACGGCTCTGTAATTGCTCCGCCGCTTGAGCAGTAAGTCCGCCCCTGTATCCCGGTCAGCGAGAGTGTCACACAGCTGATCATGTCGACTTGCGATCGCTTCGTAGTCTTGATACCATTTGGACAGAGCTCCTTGCAATGCCGTTTGACGCAATTTGAGCAGGGCACTGCATCATGTCAGCACCCGAGGAGCGAAGGACAAGGAGAAGGAAGGACTCGCCTTCTCTGTCACACTTGAGTTTGAGCCGTCGACACTCTGTGCGGAGCGCGTCAGTCACGAAGGTATTCGCAAACCAGCGCGGACTCACCGGCACAACTCAAGATCTTCTGTGACGATGTAGATTTAACCCCTTCCAGAGGTCCGATTGGAGGAGCACCTGATCCCGATGTCGGACTTCTGCCATGATCACCTTTGTACTGTTTTGGGGTGTCATTGCTTTCACTTTCACTGCTTTTACTCCAAGCATCGTGGTTGAGCAGGGACATGGGCGTGTCTGACATCCTCAGATGGTGAATATCAGTCACTAGACGTCGAGGCTCTGAGGGGCGAGAGGATGTGTGCTATTGTGCATGAGGCACCTGGACCGAATCCGCCGCTGGCCCCGTCTTCGGAATTTAAACCGGCGCGGCCTCGGGGCGGCGATCACCGTTCAGCAATCAATGGTCCATCGTGGCTTGGGGGCTGAGGTCCGGGGAATATCGTGGTTAGCGACATGAAAGATAGGCCAAAGTCTTCCGAAGGCGAAAGGCGATCAGGGTCGACAGAGGGATTGAATATCCAGCATTCCGATCCATTCTCCAGCAAGGCGTCAGATACCCCCATTCGACCCATACTAATTGCCACTTGTCTCGCGACGGAAAGTCCCGAAATCGGGCCATACCCCGCACATACATTCCACGCTGCTCCAGATCAGGTTGAGCTACGAGATGAAGGCCTGTCCGTTTCAATCCGCTTGTAGCGACCATGATTTGAGTACACGAATTCGTCCGATGTCCACCAACCCTTCTCAGCTTGTATAAGCATTTAGACATGCATTGCCTCATGTGGCATTGGACAAACACTGAACTCGCCCGCCGGAGAAGCCAAGCAAAGGTTTGGCAGTCCAGCCTTTGATCTCATTTCAGCCCCAAGATGCATTGGCAACGTACAGTATGCGAATCTAATGGCTCTATATCCCTTCAAACCAGAAGTCTGGCCCCGGGCCACACGAAGATGATGTGTAAAGCTAATACGTCCCAACTCTGGAGACCCTTCCAGTGCCAAACTCAGAAACGCCGACTGGGCTCTTGACATCTCGGACGGCCGGTACTGGCGCAGCATCCAAATTGGGCTTAATCTCGACGCACCACAGCAACGGACGACTTGTCTGCACTTGGACGACTGGCTCGGAGGGGAGGAGGTGGTTCGACGTTGAGACACTGGTATCAAGCGAGGTCGCCCAATCCAAATCCCATTTGAGTCCTTTTGTCTTGACCGTTGCACTGTCCACTCCAACCGGAAGAATACCACATGTTTGACCCATGGTGGAATGATCAATATCGATGAGGTGAGATCCAGCATCGAGAGTCCAAGCTAGACTTTCGCAACTTAACACAAAGGTGAGCGGTCGAGTCTTGCGTAGCTTATGAAGAATGTGCATAGTGTGTACCGTTTGGTCCACGCGTCCTGAGAGGCCGCCAATGAATACCAACGAGTACTGCACTGGTCAGATACACGACTCATACGGATACTCTCACCCTCCTGCCAGAGGCTCGCTCAATGTTCTCAACCTCTTCCATGCACTTCATGAGGTCTGTCGAATATTGATCCGAGTCATGCTTGATAGTTACGCCTTTGGATGCATAAAAAGATTCCACTTCAGGGCGGAGTGAATCGAGATCGCCTTTGACCATGTCGGGAAGGTATCTCGAAAGGTCAGCGGCGTAAGGCAAGCTCGACTCACTTGGAGCTCTGCGAGGGACCCCACAGATCGTAGAGTCGGTTAGCGCCTCCATCAGCGCACAATCGGACTTCGCCTGACAGCGAGGTCAGCACAGGCTTCTCGCGTATGCCAAGAGTGAACTCACTGGCAGCCCAAGCCCTTACAAAAACATCTTTCCGGGTGATCGGCTGGTTGAGAATGATCATCGCGTACCTGTTCTTCCGACTGCCTTTGTTCGACAAGAGATCTGTGCAGCTCCACAAGAGCACATTTGGATCTTGGGCAGCGTGGCGTTTCGCAATCGATTCAAAGTCCATTTTGGGCCTGACCTTTCGGACTGGAGTAGATTTAGGTCCGTCATCTGCCTCTGCATCTCTCAAAGCCGAATGTACGCTTTGAATGATGGCCGCGTTCTTGACAGATCCACCCGTTGCCTTCCTGACGAGTTTAGGTGTTGATGCAGGTGACCAAGTCTTGACAGAGCTGGATCGAGTTATGGAGGCAGCCGACTTGCCGTTCATCGATTGAAGCAAGGTCTCAGCCTGAGGAGGCTCCCACTTTTTAACCACTTGAACAGAGCCATCGCCTTGCTTATCCAGCTTCGACTCTCTTGCCTGCTCCGCCGCCATCAAACTCTTCTTGATGATCGCGGAGGGGTTTACTGCACTCGTCGCACCTTGAAGAGATCCGGAAAAGGATCCCATGGACGAGGATGAGGAGGCTCGACTAGAGCGACCTTTTTTGATGGACTTGGGGAGGGAGAGATTCGGCAGACTGGGTACGGTGGATTCGGAGGAGATGGATGCTCGACGGTGCGCTGGCCGAGAGGTAGGGGTCTCAGGAGCAGCGCCAACACTCGCACTGGGTTTCGATGATGCCTTGGTAGTGGACCCAGACGCAATAGTCAATACTGTACTGGCTCCACTTGCGGCTCCAGGAGCAGGTGTACCGGATCTGGGGGGAGTCGCTTTCGGTCGATTGCTCGATCTCGGAGGCGGGACAGGAGGAGGTGGCATCAGTAAAGTAGACTTTCGAGGGGCTGGGGCTGGAGGTGGAGGAGCCGGAGCAGAAAGGACAGAAGGTACCGTGGAAGGGGTCGGTTGACTAGCATGTCGTTTTCTGAATGGGTTGTTGGATTTGAAAAAGCCAAGGGAAGACGGAGTACGTTGACTTGGAGGAGCTTTAGCTAGAGAGTTCTCCAGCGAGCTAAACGTCATCTGACCAAGTCTCTCCGACGAAATGGACTGAGGTGATGTCGAAGGGGAGGCAGCGGTGACAGTGTGGTCCCCCGTATGGGTATGGCCGTTGGGTGTGCTGCTGCTCTTTTGCGATGACTTCTTGGGAGAGAAGAATGATCGCTTCGAGGGGGCGGGAGGTGTGGAGGTGCTGGGCGTCACGCTTCTCCTAGGAGGAGGGGGGAAAGAGGTTTGACTAGGCTGCTGAGGTGCGACAAAGTTTGCAGGCAGCGATTGACGGTGTGAGAGTCGTCTAGAAGGTCCAGGATCGTCAAACACATCGGAATCCTGATGTTGAAAGTCATCATCGTCTGAATCCTCGCCAGATGAAGAATAGGTATGACGAGCTGGACTGGTAGTGGAGAACCTCACTCGATACCCCGCTGAGGATAGGGGACGAGCGTGACTCATTGTATGGCGTACCGAAGACTTGAGAGGAGCGTTGCAATGTTGAAAATGAATCTGGATGTGCAGCTTCCCAACCCTCAATTCAGATTCCGAAACGTTGACTGCGAGCGGGAAGCTCAGGGCAAAATACCTCGCTGAAAAGTGGATTCTACTATATATGCATACAAGGCAGTGAGTGTGTACATCCTCAGCTCGTCACGATGGCATCACGTCGCGGTACGCCAGCAGTCTCGTCAATATCAAAGGTCGTCTGAACAGGTTGATGAGCAGGAAGCTACTTACAGCGGTAGAACTCACCACTTGTGGCAAGTAAGCCGCAGCGCTGAGATCAAGGACCCATAGATCGTTAAACACTGCCATTCCATTGTATCCTCCCGAGATGAATATACGCCCGTCATGAAGTAGCGACACATGGTACCCTCGACCCGGCGGGGCCATACCTGCGGGTGTCTTGAACTCCCACTGAAGAGTGACTGGGGCATGTCAGAGAAGGATATGGAGCAGGCAAGCTCACCGAGATTGAACAAGAGAACGTCTTGGGCATAGCTCTGACCGTTGTGCCCGCCAATAATGAACAAGTATGACCCGACCTGAGTCGAGGTATGGGAAAGCCGATTGTTCGTGACCTCCGTTGTGATCAACGTCCAGACCAGGGACTCTATGATCGAGTCAGCGCAGCTTTGTCAAAAATCGCTCACCTAGATTCAAGATATGGACATCGGCGAAGCTAGCGTGTCCATCACTGCCTCCGAAAACGACCATTTTTGACACCACCAGATTCGCCGTATGATATCCCTTCTTTTGCGGCCTATCACCAGTGGTCTTCCATTCGTGCCATGTCAAATGACCAGGGTCAGAAACGTCCAACGCCCAGATATCGTTCAGTGCGGCTTGTCCGTTACCACCGCCAAATACGACCAGATAGTGCTTGTGGAGAATGGCTGTATGTGCTCGGCGTGGTGGCGGCAGACCGGATGACGATCCAGCGACTGATGGTCGAGAGAATCGGTGGGTGACTGCAGCGTGAGCCAGGTCACATTGAAAGACTCACTCGTATCGAATACCCAGATGTCATTGCTGTATGTTGGACCGTCTCCACCACCAAAGATGTACAAATCTGTCCCTACCAAGGTCGTAGTATGTGCTCTCAGCGGGGGAAGTTGCTCTCCAAACGTCTCTATTGAGCCCCAGAACAAGGTCTCAGTATCAAAGTATGCCACACCCCGCCAACAGTTCTTGCCATCCACACCACCGATGAACCAGATTCGATCGCCAACCAGAGTTCCGGTATGCGCTCTCAGCGGCTGTTCCGGCGGTTGCCCGTGCATGGGAAGGCTTGAAAAGTACATGGACGACGTTGGAGCGCGCTTGACGGTGGCGGAAGGGAGCTTTGGAAAGACTGTTCCCTTCCCTGGCGCAGGCAGAGGCTTGCTAGCATTATGACGGGACGTCCTGTCACGCACCGTCAAAGCATCAGTTCCGTCGGCCTGGGGAGGTAAGCTGGTCGGAGTGTTGGATGATGTATGGACGTGAGATGGTCTTCGCTTGGACGTTGATGCAGACTCATCGTGAGTGCTGCCAGCGGTCGCAGCTGTGACCTCGGTGAATGTGGTCGTTCGACCGACATTTGAGGCGTGGCTGGTGGCATCTGGATCCGCGAGAGGTGCTGGACGTGACGACGTCCTCGCTGTCATATCTGCGCTTGCAGCAGGCCTTGTCGATGTGGCGTCTCCATGTCCAGCAGAAAGCTCGCTTGCATTCTCGACTCTCGACCGACCGGAAGTCTGGGGGGCCCCTCCCACAGACGTCGGTAATGTTCCCAAGGCGCTGTCTGGCGTCTTATTCAGTATTGACATCGGACCAGTGGAGACAGGCGGCTTGGTCTGAGCCAGACGAGCCGGGTACGTGATCGGCTCCAGATCAAGGTCTGCTTGTCCAGATGGCATAGGTGGGACAGAAATGGCAGCCATGTTGTCTCGTTGAGTCGGGCCAAGGGGAAAGGCAGGCGTCGAGGTATAGCGGGGAGTTACCGGTAAGATGGATGATGTAGTGTCGGTAGAAGGGGGAGCAGGTGATGCAGGCAGAGATGACGTTCTGGTGGATGATAACACTGACCTTTGAGGTGGAATTGGCGAAACCGAAGTCGAGGTATCAGATTGGACTCGATCCAGATAATCAGATGCGGTAGAAGGGAACGTCGCCAATCGTTTGTGGGAAGACGAAGTAGGGAGCCTGTGCCTGTCCAAGGAGCCCTTCGATTGTGAGGGCGGAGAATTAGGACGGGAAGGAGAGCTCGACACAGGAATCTTTTCTCTCCTGAATGGAGTCTTTCCAAGTCCAGGTAATCGTCGAAAGGTCGAGGGAACAGAAGAGGATGAAGGCGGAGAGGTGGAATAGGAGGGAAGAGGGGGGTTGGAACCTGCACGCGGCTCAACAGCTAAGACGATGCTAAGTCAGTCTCGTATGTATCCAAAGGCATTGTTGACAAAGTTAACAAGGGCGCGTCCATCGTTTGGGGACAAAAGGGGACAGCTGAACGGTCCAAGCGAGGAAGAACGGCAGATGGGTCCAAACGTAGCATTGTCAGATCCATCTGAGCTCACCTTGTCCATCCATCTTGCTTCAGTGATACGCTCATACGCCCTTACAAAGAGATCTTGAGAAAGCTCGCGAACGCTGGTGTTTATCGTTGATTCAATGCTGTCGAGGGAGGGTCCCTTCTGGAAAGGACCCCGACGGATGTGCGGGTCGTGCGGCAAAAAGGAGATGACGCGCCGGTAACGAGTGGTTGAGCGTCTGTGCAGAAGCTGATCGCTCGCTCGTGTGAGGTCGGTGGATGGATCCAACTGAACGTCAATGACAACCGTGAGGACGTTGAAGAAGAAGAGGGGCGAATGATGATGATGATGCCAGAAGGATGTCGAGGCCACACCTCCTGATTTGGCACAAGGAATTCTGAAACACGCCAAAATTATTACTATTGCCCCCCTCAGCAGGTCAACAAATTTCACTGTTCATCCATCCATCTCAATGTCATGGCCATGAGCGGCTCCACTCGCACAAGCGACTCTGCTCAGAGAACTCATCTTCACAGCTCTGTCCTGTCGCATCTCACAAATCAGCTTGCGGTACTCAAGGCGTTACGGCAGAGATCAAAAGATCAGCACCGAAGTCAAATCTTCTATCGACGAATCGCGGAGATTATCCGTTTGAGCAAGTTGGTCCAAGGTGTCGCCGAGCGTATCAGAGAGGATGGAGACTCAGCTTCAAGCAGGCGCGATCGCAACCTTCTACGCAAGGTGAGGCCTATCATCAGTCTTGTTTCGCTGACACTTGAGCAGTTTGTAATGACCTTGATCAAGGCCGCGCAGAGCGTTCAACAGCAGATCGAGCTGCGACATTTTTTGCCCCTCCAGATGGCTCTGCTGGGCATCTACGCGAGATTGTTCATCTTGACTGCTCATATCGCTGCCGTCCTGGGGATCAGTCAGAATGAACTGATAGGAGTGATCGACGGCAATGACGTGGCTGCTCGAGAGCTCTTGGCATCCGCTGGTGATTCCACCGAGGTCATGGATCTGGCAACGGAGGCGGACTTTGGTCAGAAGGTTTCAAGAACCAATGCGGAAATAGCAGTCAAATCTATCGACGACCAACGCGTGGAACCTGCAAAGACAGCACCGCCGCCAGAAAGGACCATCTCTCCGTCCACCGAGAATTCCGCCCTCACCAAACGGGCCGGCGAAACACCCATGCCCAAGCAAAAGAAGAAGAAGAGAGCGAAACGAGACGCGATGGATGAAATCTTTGGTTGATCAAGATTTGTACATTGGCAATACAACAATTGAGTTGGATACCATATGATTGATTATTCGATCTCTATGCCAATCTCAAGATCTCTCCAGAGTCGCCTAAGCTGGGCAGCAGTGGGTCTTTCTGCTGGATCCGGCTGAACCATGCGGCGGATCGTTGTTCGAATCTCATCGCTGACCAGATCCGCCCCCTCCAGGAACGTCATCGATGGCGAGCCGTCACCATAGGAGCTCGACAAGGAGGGCAGTACGGTCGGTGGAGGGCTCGATGGAGTCGACTCAGACTGAGGGGAGGCGACGGACAGAGTAGCCTGTCGATGTGCAGATTGACGCATGGGTGAAGTCTCTGCTGTTGGCTCTCCTGAGCCATTCAATAGAGCTGAAATGGCATCGGTACTCGGTGTCGAAGGACGTGTGATCCACCTGGCCCACAACTTGACCCCCGCCGGTGACTCGCTCGTACTTTCCAACAACTCTTCACTAGCCTGAAGTGATTCCGTGGAGGACATTCGACCTAGTCGTGGTCGTCTCTTGGGCCCACTACTCGACCTGAAAGTCGTTGGACTGGCATCCCGCTGAATACGTAATGATCCACCTCGACGAACCATTTCACCCGGTACGACTCCTCGCCAAGCCGAAGGATATGGACTCGACGAAATCGAGACTTCTTCCTCTCCAATCCTGCTGATGCGTGCTCGTTCTTCCCATTCCCAAAGATCACCTCTCCGGACATGGTGCATCATCTCCATGGCTCTGACTCCGCGGTATGGTTCGCGACCGGTCAAGCACTGGTACAATGTCGCTCCAAAGGCGAAGATGTCGACTGGGAAGGAGAATGATCGCAAAGGGTCGACCAGCTCGGGCGGAGAGAACGGCAATGTTCCCAGCCCTAGCCCATCCGTGGGAGGCTGCGTCGGATGAATCAGCAGTGACGACCCAAAGTCTGATAGCCGCAAGTGAAAGTCTTTTGTGAGCTGGACAAAAAATCAGCGTCTGCCCCGTTGGAACAGAGACTCACCAAAAGGTTGCCTGGTTTCACATCGGCGTGAACGACGCCTTGTCGATGTATCCAATTTAGAGCCTCTGTACCTTCCCTGGCCCATCTGCCCCACAGTTCTTTCCCCACAAGGGATGGACTCGTTCGAAGGAATCGGTCGAGAGTACCGAGTTCTGCGTGTTCCAGGAGCAGGACGAGTCGGGAGAGCGAAGGCTGAGGCCCGTTTCTTTGCACTTGAGCGAGTTCAGGCAGAGATGGATACGAGGAGAGGGAATTGCCATTCGTCGACGACGCTTCATCCACTGTCATGGCGCTCACACCGAAAGTAGAGCTTCTCTTCCTCTGCAGTGGTCTTGCGTCCGTAGCGAGACTGGAGGATCGCCCGTGGACCATCGGACCTGTCGTTCGCCGCTCACTGTCCTCCTCTTTGACCGCGATCAGTTTGACGATGTACACTCTGCCTGATCTTGGGTCCAGATCCAGTTTCCTGCCAAGCGGGGATAGAGCTCGGGTACGGTTGACGCTGGCCGCTGCGGTCCCGGTGAGTCGACTGAGGAAAAAGGCTTCTCGTAGACCCATCGTCTGAGAATCTCGATCAGACGCCATGAGTTTGGCAGCACAGAGCTTCCACGGCGCCTCGCTATTTTGTGTTCGTTTCGGTCCGACATCGTGCTTGTATGATGCGAGGTAGACTTTGGCGTAACGTCCCTCGCCTAGAAGATATGGACTTTGGGCGAATAGTCGAAGCTTGAGGTCTTGTGACGATGGTGGCACGGGAGGACGCCATGAAGGTCCGGGGGAAGAGGGGAGAGACGGTGATTGGTGAAGAGGGGAAAGTTGATCGTCAGGTTGTTCTCCGCCGATCCTGTCTTTGGCAGTCTCCACCTGCAGGGACAGACGTAGCGGCTGGAGACTCGGTTCTCGCGATAAGTTCAGGGGTGATGGCGAGAAGGATGGAACGGCTCGGGGTACCGCGTCTAGCTTTGGAGCTGGCGCAGGAGGACTGAGATCGGACGAAGAGGTATCAAAAAAGGATGCGGTTCGCGGTGAGCCGACAGATGAGCTTTCACGGGTTTCGACGGGTGAATGACCGAATGGGCTAGTGGCGACAGGGGTGAACGGCCTATGACGACGAGCGAGAAGGTCGTCCTCCAGGGCAGGACTGTGAGGCGTCGTCCACATACTTATATCGCCTTGATGACGACCTAGCAGAGATGTCGGCTCTAGATTCCGCGTTATGGTCATGATAGGTTACAAGTGGGGAGTCTGATGGATCCATCGACTCTACCCTGTATCGCGCTCTCCTTTGTGATTCACATTGACCTCAAGTTGAGCTGTTCACCGCATGCAGGTTGGCGTCAGAGACATGGATCAGTCAATGTTGAGTGGGGGGACCACGTTTCTACCCATCATCCATAATATTTCCGAGATCGGCTTGGAATTCATCATCAAAACACTATTTCGCCATTTACGCCGAGCGGAGCAGTCAGAGCATGCAAGTATGATTCTTTACAACATAATGAATTGATTACGATGAGCGCACTACGCAGCCTTGCTCTTGCCGTTCAGACGAGGACTAACACTAGGGCTCAGACTACGTCTCAGCCGATCTCCATCGATTCTGTCCCTCGGTGGCCCCTCGAGACTGGCGCCGAGTCTCGGACCCATGGCGGAATCTGGTGACGGTGCTCCAGATCTACTCTCTCGATATAATCCCAACGTATCCTCTGACCCGTCAGGATGTATCGTGCTCCCATCCGAGCTGACACGACGTCTAGCCATCCGCACCCAAGTGCTGACAGCCGCGTCGTCTCCAGGCGAAGGACTGGGCGAAGTTCCTGTGCTGCCATAGATCACTTGATTCGATGTGGGTTGAATTTCTGCCGAAGTCAACAGCGGTGATTTTCGATGCCTTGGAGACGATAATGGTGAAGCCAATTTGCTACGTAAATTGCGATGCAGTTGTGCTGGCGATTCTGCTGGAGCTTCCACGTCACCCTCGGTTGGGATTCGTTGATACTCGTCGGCGCCATCTTCCTCGCTCATGCCACTCGCTTTGATGACTTGATCTACGATGCAGAATTGGACGATGTTCATGACCAAGGGAAAGAATGCCATGACAAAGACGACCTGGACAGAGGGGGCGAAGGACTGGAGGAGAAAATGACCGAAACGTAGGAGGAGATCGGATATTCGGGGAAGCGTGAGGGGAAGGAGGACCAACAGCTTCATGACGATGATAGACAGTATATAGGGGATGAGCTGCTTCCACCAGCTATCCTGAATCAGCACTAGGGATGTAAGGAGGAACTCACAAAGATGGCTTTGGGGGAACCCCATAGTGTCCACTCTGAAAGCCTTCAAGATGAAGTTGCTTGCTGAATACCCATGTCCAGCCTTTGAGGGAAAAATAGAATATGGCGACGCCTGATGGAATGAGCAGAAGCACCAAGTTTGCTCGCACCTATGGTGGTGTCGATCAAGACGTTTAAAAAGTACACTGAGCAAGGATTGTTGTGCGCAGCGAGAGCCAACTGATCTGAGATCTGAGGTACGCGTCAGGAGCTGCATTGTCATGGATGACTCACGAGCAAATTCAATCCATGGATGACCGCCTGGCCGGCCAACTGCTTTGATACGTCCCAAAGCCAGATCCGCCAAGGCCGCTTGTTCTTCTCAAGTTGACGCTTGAGAACCAGCGAGGCGAGAACAAAGATTCCCACTGGTGGATTAGACAAAATGGATCCATATACACTCACTGAGACCCTGCACGAGCAGACCTGTTGGCCCGAGTAGGCTGCATCGTGAAGGATCTTCGTCAGGTGGCGCAAGAGCTAGACTAGATGACATGGTGAGATCTGGTTTGATCAGGAGCCGACAGCGTCCAAGATGCTCGCAAACAAGCTATACACAGCATTAACCTGACGCCATGCCGAGGTTCTTGCTCCTCGAGAAGCCGTGCAGCTGGCTCAGACGTGGTTGAGACGAGAGTACAGCAGTTTGACCGATGCGTCCATCGCTCAGAATCGCGGTGAACTTACGTAATGTTCTCCGGATCGGCTCCGGATGGAGGAGATCCACCAGCATTTCAGTGATAGCCTCAACGACGGTAGATATGACCGAGGGCGGAGTTGATACGGCGAACTACTTGGAGATTGCGTTTGAAGATGATATCGAAGCTGAGTCCTCCGCCCAAGGTGGGGCGAATGCAGCTCGATCTGAAGATGGCAAGAGCCTGAAGCAGTTGGCAAGAGAGAAGCGCATTGCAGAGGCGGTCCAGAGATCGAAAATAGAGTACAAGGATGAGCATGCCTTCACAGAGCGGGGCGTAGGTAACACCCTTAATGCGTTGCTGAAGATGTAGTGGATTACCTCAGTGGCTGCTCAAGAACTCGCACAGACATCCTCAATTGACGCTCATAAATTTGGTAAGTGATCTCTAAAGTCGTTCACTGACCATTGCAGAAAGCGTTCTCGTATCGCTATACTATGGTAACCCTCCCCAATACCAGGCCATTGTCGATTCGGTCATAAGCGTCATTGATCCAAAAGCTAGGACCTCGGGAGGTCTGACAAGGGAGGTTTTGGACATGGGGATTCGGGCAGCCATGGCGTGCGATGATTCCGTCGCGGCTGTTCGGCTTGCTCGTCTCAGCAAGCCAATGGTGAGGCGAGGCCCGTCACTCAGCTAACATTTTCAGTGGAATCACCAAATGGCAGGACTTGCGGCGGATGCCTCGGATGCCTTGGCATCAGCTGGTCACCTCGCGGGCAAGTGTCTTGTCGGTGATGGGTGTTGATCGGGTCAGAATCTTTAGAGCCTCTGCTGATGTCGACTTCGATACATGGTCTACATGTCCCACTCCTCGTACGGATGCAGGGAGTGTTGGAACGGATCAGAGGGACATTGTCGGAAAGTCAAGCGCGTCGGGTGGATCACCTCATCTGTCAGATCCACGAGATCGTGACCAGACGGCGGACGACTTTCGACAGGCCGTTGCTGCCGGACCGTCCGGACGTATTATTGAAGATGCCAGTGTACACCTCACTCGCAGCTGAAGCAGAATCAGGGTCTGCTGAAGAACTCTGCTCCACCCTCGGGCTATCTATCGACAGCTTCGCCGCCCTTGATGGTACCTTGCGGCGCCTGGAAAAAGGCCTTCGAGGCTCAGATCCTCAGACTGAGGAACCCCGAAGTGTCCGAACGCTATGAGCTTGATGCAGGAGATTATGCACGAGACTTATGCGATGTACAAAGATTGGTATGCCAGAACTGTGACTCACTCCACTACCGTGCGTCCACCTTCTCCCCGGTTCCCTGGAACATCTGCATCGACTTCATCTTGTCAATCATCTCTCGAGTGCTCTCCTTGCTACTCGTTGCCAGGTCATCCCCTTCTCTTTCTTTGCCCTCTTCCCTCTTGCATTTTGGGCAATCGCACCAGAATCCGTAAGACTCGCGAAGCATCTGCCTTCGATCCCCACGCGGCATGTTGAAATTGACATAGGGAATCGTCAGCTCTTCTCCAGGATTGATCGTGCGACGAGCAAGTAGTGTGAGCTTGTTGGTGCCTCTGGGACCAGATTGGGACGGATCGGGTACCTCACAGGGTAGCTCGGAGGACGAGGGTGGGACAAAAGCTTTTGACAGGTTGAGTGCCTGTCGATCAGCTCAGATGGGGCCTGTGACCTACAGCAATATTCGGCTCGCAAGCATGGTTCAGATGCGCGTGCAGAGCATAAAGCCCTCCAGAGTCCTCAGAGTTGAGTGCAGCCAGACCCAGGAGCTCGAGGAAGCTGTCCATCGAGAACCAACGCTGGATCTCCCCCTCGGAGAGAGGTATCGGTGAACGCTTGCTCGCTTTTGTTAAAAGCTTCTGGACCACCTTGTATGATTTGTCCCCTTCGCTGGGATTCAGGGCCTGCAGCAGAAGGCTGTGGGCATGCTTCCACTCGCCCCGTTTCAGCTCCGCAAAGAGCTTCCACTCCTTCTTTTCCTTTTCCCTCTCTTCCATGCTGACCCTCGCCATTCCGTTCCAGACCCTCTGCTCAATCTCCTTTGCTTTGCCCTTGTCTCCGAGTTCTCGCTCCCAGCGCCATTTCGCGACAATCTTGGCAGCAGTCTCAAGGTATCTGCCGTTTGTGTCTCTGATGAGCTTCCACAGGGGCTGAGCGGCGGGATTGAGTCCAGGACACAATAGGTCAGGATGAGACGATGAGCTGGCTTTAGATGCGCAAAGCCGATTGCAAAAGACAGCTTGATCGCAATGGGGGCAAGGCGCGGACATTGGGGGTGACGGACGGCTGAAAAGGAAGAAGCAGTGAGAGCACATTTGCTTGCCGAGGAGTGCGGAGTATAGCTGGCTATGAGGTCAATTGCCGCCAACAGATCCGGCTCACGGGCTCGACGTCACTATCCACGGCTCCTCTTGCCATACAACCTCGCCCTTGTGGATCCTCTCCCTGGCAACGAGCCCCTTACCCTTTTCACCTCCGAACATGCGTACCTTGACTTTCGGCGCGGTCGATGCGGCAAGAGAGGTGATGGAGGGGTCAAGACCAGTCGTAGCGACAAGTCCGGGCTCGTCCATTGACTCGCGTCCTTGCTCATCCAGAGTCAACGACTGAACCGCTTTGCGGAGACGCTTCTCTGAAACGGACCATTCGGGCTGTTGAGTTTTCAGAAGGGCGAGGAGTTTTGGAATGCCGAGAGACGGGTGGTCTCGTCGGACAGTGGTGACAAAGGGGAGGAAGAGCTCATCGGAAGGTGGGCTGGGATCTAAAGTCATGGTCTGCTGGAGCAGAGATTTGGTTGGATGGATATCGGGTGGATGGAAAATTATCAATTCTCGGGTCGGCCCGAGGTAACGCGAGCATGTAGACATGGCACGTGCGAGAGCACGGAGATTTGGCAAGCAGGGCATTATGTTTGAGGAGAACACGAAGCAGCACCGTCGAGATGAGCTCGTGTCCTGTGCTAAGTTTTGCTCCACACGCATCTCATGCGTCCCTCTGGATCCAGGCTGTCTCGGCGCACTCCTGCCCCAGTGTTGCCACCTCGACATGGGGCAACTCACCTGAACAACCCTCTGGTTTGTCCATCTGGTTGAGCCGCATCTAGTCGAAAACCCCTTACGGGGTGCTACGCCTAAACAGAAATTGTGGTCAAGACCCCATGAATCATACCTCTGAACTGCTTCAGCGGCAAGGTCCTCAGCAACTGAGGGGAAGTGGGTGCCATAGGATCTTTTCTGTGACTCTGGTCTCGGGCTCGTTTCCGCCACAAGCATCAAGAGAGACACTGAGCACTGGCGCGGTGGCAGGATCACTTCACTGCGAGAGGGACCTTCCAGAGGCTGCCTCGGCACTTCAAGCCGGAAGTTTAGCAGATTGGTGGCCTTGCCCCGAGCTGAATGGCATTGATGGGGCCGACCTCTCGCCATGATCAAACACAAAATATCTATGTGAAAAGGGAAGTATCCGTGATGCACATGTACGAAAATCCATGTCTTGTCTGCTTCGAGGGACGTCCTTGGAGCACAAAAAAAAACACGACGGGGTTAAAAAAGAAATACACCGAAAGGGAATCGAACCCTTGGCAAGAGAACAGGAAACCGTGCCTGGAAATCTCTTATGTTACCACTACACCACCGGTGTGTAGCTTATTTCGGTTGCTGTGAATGCCGTTGCTCAATATGATATATATAGCGCCTGCCGCCTCGCATTCACCCAGTCCACAGTGAGAAGTTTGGATGTGACACATTGACGAACATTTCCATCCACTTCCACTGCTGGCGTGGACAAGCAAGCCTCTCTGTGCTGTCCTTATCGAAAAAAAAGAAGACTGCGTCACTATTTCGCGGGCTCTCAACGAGTTTGAGCTCGAATGGCCGAGGGACTTGCGGAATGCCTTTCTGAACTCATGTGACAAATTTTCGCCAAGCTCACAAAATAAGTCTCCAACGAAGATTAGATGGATCAGGATAAGTTGATGGCATGTCTCCATCTTACAATAGCTCAAGCTGAGTCTCTCTTGCGAAACTACAGTCTCAAGATCCCGCAATGTGGCCCACGGGAAAGGATTGACTGGTGATTGGCATTTGGCGTCACATAGAAGGGAGCTCACAATCGACCACTCTTAAGCAATCACAGCTTCCGGTCTGGGAGTCCATGACGGCCTTGAAGGTCTCCTCATACTTTGATGTGCTAGCACGAAGCCTGACGTACTCGACATCAGCTCGCAGTGCCGCATGTGTGGTACGGTCGCCGTGACGTCTACTATGTTGAACTCGCGGTGAGATACATATGGCTGCCACTTTGCCACTCGTGATGATTTGCTCGTTTAAATATTTTTTTTCCAGAATCCAACTGCACCGATACCATTTGACGTCCTCCCTTAACGACCACTATGCGCTCTGCATCCATTCAAAGCATCCTCGAGGCGACGCCTCAACTTCGCTATGTCGTACTTCGCGCCAAATCATCCTCCTACCCCTCTTCCTTCCGGCACTTCTCCTCGACCTCCTCCGTGCTAGTCAGACGTCCGATGGAGAAATATCCAATGGAGAAGCCGATCATCGACGATTGGGGCAATCCCGTCACGGTGAAGAAGGCCGTTCCGATCGAGACAGGGGAGGAACGGGCCTTAAATAAGCTGTGGGACATGGATGAGCCTGAACCTATAGAAGTGCAGAAGCCCTCACGTCGAGACATGACAAACGATGGCCTTGAAGAACGTCGAAGAGAGCTTTTACGCAATTTGGCGGAGACTAGGAGACCGAGCTGGACAGAAAAGTACGGCGCGCACGACGGCTTCGGGCTCCAAAACAAGAGACGATATGCTCACGGACCGGATGGAGAGCTCGTACAGTGGGATGCTGCAGGAGAAAAATGGCGTGACGCGACCGGGTACCACAGTCATGTTCGTGTACGGTCTTCGCCCATTTTTCCACGACTACCGGGGTCCGCGCCGACGAGACAGTCCAAAGTCCCGCTGGACATGTTCAGAGGCCGTCCAGGCTCCGCATGGCATCGTGCGAACATCGATCGTGCTTTGGGCAATCAACCATTCCAAGAGGTCACTCCTAATATTGAACATCCCCTCGACGCCATCAAGTTGAACCTCGATGCTTGGGACCGGGAATACAGGGCTGCAGCCGATGCAGGTATCTTTGTCAAAAGGCAAGACGCCAAGGCGATCAGAAAACGTTTCAAAGCCCTGGCAAGACGGCAGTGGGAAGACGCACAGAGCAAAGGTCGGGAGCAGGCAGTCGACACGGAGCAAATGTCCCCATGGGAAGAGGACGAGGAGATTACCGTGGAGAATGTTGAAGAAATATCGGCTCTGCCTCCGAGCGAGAGAGCCAAGCTTGATCCACGAGCTTCGGACATGATGAAGTCTAGTACAACTGCAGAGACACCTAGAAACAGTTGGGCAGCCTCGCCTACTACCAGCATTTCCGACGAGTTGGATCGCCAATCAGAGGAGCTAGCACCACCTCCTCAAGCAAGGACAATTCCACATGAATCACGTGGGCCATCTCCAGCTCCCCGCCAACTCCCCGCCTTCGATATACAGGAGCGGAGAACCGGATCGCGGACATTTGGGCTCAGAAGCTTCTCCACGTTGCCCACTGTCTCCGCGTTTATGGCCACTGTTGCCTTGCCCTCTTCCGTCGGCTTCCGACAGTATCATTCAAAACAAGACTTGAAAGAAGGAGAATGGATTGAAGATACCGCTCTCAAGCGTCGACCTCCGCCAAGAGATCCTCGAGTTTTTGAGAGCAGGAGAGCCAAGCTGGAGGCATATCAACAACAGGTGGCGGCTACCTTTGTACCGAACAGAAGGCGTAACTACGACGAGTTGGCCGAGAGTCCTGTTGGTGAAAAGCCAAAAGGTGAGGACTTTCAGTCGATGTTCCTTCTGACAAGTCAGAAAAGAGACCCTGGATACCGACCAAAAAGCTCACATTCTCTGCCATGGAGGGTCTTCGAGCTCTCCATAAAGCTGATCCCGCAACCTTTACTCCACAAGCCCTTTCAGAGAAATTTGGCATCTCACGAGAAGCCACTCATCGCATTTTGAGGAGCAACTGGAGGGAGAAAAAGCTTGCAGCCAAGCGATCCATGACAGACACGTCCCTTCAGGGTACCAAATGGGCCAAGAAGCCGTCCACAGCGACAGTGATTGATCGAGTGTACGCTCAACGTGCAGAAACCCTCGCCCAACCTGAACAGGACCCCGAGCAATAGCATGCATCACAGAGTTTATATGGCAGGTGCGAGTCGGTCAAACTGCCAATCAGCAGCCATTCAGTCGATTCACTCACTTTGACCCATTCGTCAATGGCAGATGCCTGCCCAGCGACCTCTCTCGCTTCGACCCAGACCCACAACTGTGATAGTCAGCAGATATATTTGAGCGACTCACTTTGACCATCGCCCATAGATTGCCCTTTGGCGCCATTGAGATGGCCTCGCGGGTACCCATTTGCCTTCCGAGTTGCCTGAGAATAGGTAGGGCAGATTTGAACAGGTCCATATTGGGGTCCAGCTGTCTACCGATCCCCTCGAGGAGCAGGATGGAGATGACTGTGTTGACAAAATCACCCTCGAGCTTGACGTGATGTTGCCGAACGGCAGTAAGAACGTCGGTGAGAATGTCCGATATCTTGATCTTGGCCAGTGAGAATGTCTTGGATTTGACACTCAGGACCAAGTGTTGCATCTTGAGTGCGAACGTTTCCTCATCCACCACATATTCTGGCGTCCGGCACCGCTCGACCATGAGTTTGCCAGCTTTGTAGCCATCGAATTCCGCTACGGCTTGGAAGAGCTCGAGAAAGTTCCGGCGATTCACCGAGTCCAGCGAAGTGACGAGCCCGGCGTCGATGAAGACGAGCTGCGGCTCGTACCCTCGTCGAGCCAGGTCCTCTAAACGGCTATGCCACTCGTCAGAGTCATGCGCGATGGCCGCAAGTGAGTCAACGAGTTCGTCGTCGGACAGCGAATGGTGAGGTACCGCTTCTGGTGGAGGGGAGGAAGACAAGCGTGAGAGGAGAGGGCTGATGTAGTCTCTTGTGGTCGGCTTGTAGAATCGGACCATGATGTTTCCCCTGGGCATGTCAGTTGAGTCGGACAGCGCACTCACGGGTGCAGATCGCCATGCGTGAAATTGTCAAGCAGGAGCATTTCCTGCAGATCAGCGGAGGAAAATCCACCCTGCACTCACCAAGAAAGCATCGAGTCCGATATTCGCAATCATATCATCATAGTCTCCACCACCGTTTCGCAAAAAGTACTTCAGTGGCAGGGCATCCTCATATTCCTCCATCAAGACTTCACGACTCTCCTCTCGCGTATCTCCATTGGCAGCTCTGCCCAGTTTGATAGGCCTCGGAAACGTGACTCGACGGCCTCGCCGTCTAAAGTTGGTATTGAACCGTTCAAGATTGGTCGCCTCTACTCGGAGATCCAGCTGAGACCTCATCATTTCGCCAAATACGGCCACTTCTTCTGGTAGAGAGATCCACTCCATGCCTGGGATAGCGTTGATCATGTTGGCAAAGAGCGACATGATGGTGATATCACGGTTGATCGTCTTACGCACACGGGGATGCAACACCTTGATAGCAACCGAGGTTGACAAAGCTTCCTGGTCGTCTGGCTTGACACCGAGTATCTCGGGCTTGAGACGTGCTTTGTAGACTTGAGCGATGGCCCCACACCCAATTGGCTTCGTGTCAAACTCCTCAAAGATGTCGTCAAAATCTAGTTCAAAGGCCTTTTGGATAACCCTTCTTGTGTGGTGTATGGAATGCGCTTCACCGTTCGAGTGCAGCTTGGACATTTTGTCGCACAGGGTTGCAGGGAACAAGTCGGCACGGGAGGCGGCCCATTGGCCGAGCTTGATGAATGAGGGGCCGGCACGTTCCATTTGCTTGACGAGGAATCCGTACCACCACACTGCTCCCCAATTCTCTTCCTCTTCACTGATCGGCTTGCCATTCCGACGCCGCTTTTCTGTCCGACCAACGAGGATCATCGGCGCAGTCAGAATGACTGGACCGAAGAGTGCGAGCAGGTGGCAGAATCGGAAGAATGTAAAGATGGGTTCGAAGACGTAAATTCGGATGATTTCAAAGGGTGAAGAGCGAGGCTCTGCAGGACTTTTTGTGGCGATGTCTTCAGCAGATTCATCTGACGATGGTGAGGCCAGCATATCCTCCTCTTGCGAGTCTGCCCTGGCAGGCCGGCGATAGTGAATGAAGGCCACTGCGCCGAGTCCGAGTAAGACGATCACACCGTATCGCCGCGGCCCAGTGTGCTCAGCATGCTCTGCATGTTCATTCCCTCCTTGACCTCTTGAATTGCCGAAAAGCGCATCACCTCCAGAACTTGAAGAACCAGTCGATGCCAATGTCGACAACGATCGACTAGCCGCCTGCTTGAGCTTTTGTAGACTCGCTTGGAATGGTATTGGGTTGGGGGTCGGCGGAGGCACCATACGGACTGCTTCGGCGCGATCCTTGATGCCCTGCCACACTTCCTGCCGTAAAACATCGCCTCTGACACGGTCTAGCTCGTATTCCAGAGTGACCAGGTGCCGCCTCGCCGGTGAGGGAGCCAACGTGTTCATCTTCCTGACGAGGTCATTGATCTGCTTGATGTTTTCAGCGTGAAACTTGTGTTCGCGGGCTTCCCATGCTTCGTCACGGGACGGCATGACATGATAAGGGGGTAAAGGATGCAAGGAATGGGTAGAGATGACGGATCTGATGACATGGTTGGCGTAGGTGGTCAAAAGGGTTTGTCGGAATGCGTTGAGGGCTTGGTCCAGATTATTCTGTAGCTCTATCCAGGGAGGTAAGGCACCTTGCTTTTTGATGATTCGATTCCTGACCCGGTCAGTCACAGCGTATCGTTATCGCCTACATCATCAACTCTCCCAGTTCTAGATGAGGATTTCCTGCGTTGGGATCCCTAGGTATCGGTTTGCCACGACCTTGCGTGACATTGAAGAATCCAGCCTCTGTACATCAGATCATCTCACGATCGTGACCCACCCTTTGCACGCTGTATACGATCCTCAACGAGTCCTGCCCAGGCTCTGAGACCACTGGCGTTGCCACGCCCAGCGCCCAAGACACTACTTCCTCGAAGCTGCCGATTACCCTCGAACGTCTCGGCATCCTCGTCAATGTCGAGCTGATAATCCAGCGCTTTTTCCCTGGCACTTTCCATCCTGCCTACTAGGCGACTCCTTTTTCGATTCTCCCTAACCCTTGCCCGAGTCTTCGCATCGGCGCCTTGGGGTAGTTGAAGTTCGAGAATATTGGCGAGAGCATCAGCATCGGCGCGTTTACGGGTAAATGTCCCATATTTGACCTTTGGAGAATCGTCTGCAACTTGTGAATCACCGGTATACGTCGAATGCCAAGGTCGGTGAAGATGCGGGGGTATTGTCGTCCGATGCGGAGTCGTCGATTCAGCGGTATCAGATGGCACTGGTGCGGTCACAAAGGCCCCCTGTTTCGGTTTGAGGTCGATTTCTTTCATCCATCGTTTGATCTTGTCCTCTGATGCTGTGCTCTTGATCCCTTCCCCGGTTCTCAAGGGCTTGTGAGCATCTACGAGCATGCGCAGGACGGCATCGCTTTGAGACTCATCGCCCGTCCATATAGGTCCCTGGGAATGTACAAGGTGATCCCGGGAGGAAGATGGGCGGCTGGTACCCTCTTCTTCTTCCAGTGCTTGAGCCAAGAGCCTGGCAGCCCCAGTGAGATGGGGATTGTCCGATGCGAGTGTATGAGGTGTTGATGTGTCATCGGACGGGTCGGGGTGCTGCCCGCTGGCCGATCCGGCTGGATCTGAAGTCTTTGGCGCAGGTCTCTGCAGGTAGCGGCTGGTGTGCAGCCACCGATGAGCCTGTTGGACAGCTCTACGTCTGGCTGGCTGGACCATCCTGTCTACTCAGGCGCTGCGAATGACACAAGAAAGTAGTGAACAATGACGAAATGCGTGAAATCGGATAAGCGGATTGTCGATCTCTCCATTCGGCAGATATCACAGACTGGGGGACTCGTTCACCGGCGTGACCGAAGCGGTCCCAATTGACAATCTCGATTGATACAAGCATGACATGTAAGTGCGACACATACGTACACGATTATACAATAAAGCATACAACGCGTCTTACAACGCCATCCAGATTCTCAATCCCTCCTCGCTTTGCGCTTTCTTGATGGTCTCGTCATCTCTAGAGTCGCTGATCGTCTTGGGAATCATCTTTCTAAGCAAATTCAGAGCAGCCAAATCTCGTCGACACATTGGACATGAAGATGTATTAGGGGTGTGTAGCCAGGTCTGCGCTTATCAGCTCAATTCGCGCCGAGCAACATACGTCTAGACACTTGTGGTGGTACATGTGATGACAGGGCGTGATGCCTATGAGCGTCTGACTTTCGTACTGAAAAGGGTCAGCCCTAGAACGAGAGCGCCGAACTCACCTCATCATGACAGATCGAACAATACTCGTCCTTCTCCAATCCCGGACGAGATCCGATGTTCCCATACTGGATCTTCTCCACCACGTCTTCCGCAGTCTTGCGTCGGATATCCATCGGCCATCTGCCCACGCCGCGCGTAACTGCCCTCGCCAAGTGCATCTTTTCGTCATCTGTCATCTCCGGTTTGAATTGCACGCCGCGGATACTCAGAGGCGAGAAGAGAGAGCCCATCAGACCGTGAGCGTGAATGGCGTGCGCGCGGTCATCTTCGGAATCAGAGGCCCATCGTTGTGATCCCATATGTCGGAGCGGAGCACCGGTAAGCCACGAATTGCTTCCTCGAGTGTCTGAGAAAGCTGTTGCATCGGTGGTTGTACCCGACGCAGACCCCAACCGGGGACCATGTGTGCTCAGTAGATCGAATGCTGGCCGCGAGGCGATGTTCCAAGCGTGATCAAACTCGGCACTCCGAGAAGCGCTAGAGCTCAGACCAACAGCCTCAGTATCTGGCCCCTGCCAGCCCAGGATCCCATGATAGAAATCACGCCAATTTGAATGAGGGTTGAGCGGTACCCAACCGTCAGGCGGGGTCTGCACTTCGCTTCGTTGCTCCGGTCGTTCGAATGCCCGAGGGAGTCGCATTCGACGTCGGTAAACATCTTCAGCCGTGGCAGGAAAGGGAATGGCGGGGCCTCGAGGATGGTAAATATCGTGTAGACCGGTGGTGAACGTGTCTATAGGGAGCGTCGGAAGGTTTCGCATCTCTCCCCAATGTGCCGAGTCATTTCGCATTTCTCCCCAGTGAGGGTCAGAGGAACCTCCTGGTTGCTCATAAGCCCGTCGGGAATACGGACTCGATGCATCGCGACGATCCGACGTTGGCGACCTCGGACGATTGGCGACCCGGCGAGCCAACGCTTCTTGGACATTCTGATTCCATCGACCGATGTCATGCGCAGAAGACTCCGCAGTATCCGAGGTGGGATCGGGGGATGGGGCGGGATTCATCAGAGAGGGTGCTCCGAATAGAAGATTATAGGGCAAAGGTCCGGGATGACCGGGGACATCTCCGGGCAGAGTCCGGAGAGCATCCAATCTGGCCATTCTTTCTCTGAGCATTCGGTGGCGGAAGGCGGTTCCGATGCTTGTCGATCTAGTCATGGCCGGAGGTTGAGATGAGACGTTGGATTCTTGCTGTCTGCGCTCGGGCGAGAACTCTAAGACTCCCACATCGTCCTGCCAATGTCTACTGCGTCGAGGTGGAGGGACGGTAGAGGGAGGAACCGGATCATCAGACGGACCCATCGAAGCGTGAGGAAGACCATGAGGCCTCGAAAGGTTGGGTCGACGCTCGAGCCCAGACTGCGGCGGAACTGACACCGCTGATCCTGGTGCCGATGGGATACGCCTGTTGGACGAGACCTGCCGAGGGGAGATCAACGTAGGGGCGGACACTGGTTCTACGTCCTCGCCCTCGGTCGACATGCTCGACATGGTCGTGAAAGAGCGGCGATGGGACTGAGCGGGACGTCCGGGAGGGTCTAACAAGCCAAGAATTTGCACCGTACCGCGTGCCAGTTGATCAAGGTGCTCGAATCCATCGGCAGGTGAGCTCCGTGTCACCGGCGCAGCCAGACCTTGCTGCGATATCCGACGCCTGAGTCTCTCTGGAGCCGCGTCCGATGTATGGTTTGTTGGACGCTCGTCTGACGCTGGACTAGACCGGCGGGTAATCGGGCGACTAGTCTCGCTCACTGTACCCAACAAGTCGGCGGTGTGTGGAAAGGGCTTGATCACCCGCGAAGGAGATATCGACGTACTGCCGTCCATGACTCCTGAGCTAGACGTCGAAGGACTAGGATTGTGAGGTGAAGTGAAAGGTGGCAAAGAGTGAGACAGTGGTCGGATCTCGGGATCTGATCGGCGAAAAGAGACGGGTGGTCTAGACGACGACGAAGAAGCAGATGACGATGATGGCGGTGGCGAGGTCATTGGCACGCCAAAGGTTGACGCCGAGTCGTAAATGAGGAAAGGAGCTGTTGACATGATGATGAGGGATGATAGAAGTGAGACTGAATAGATGAAAGCCGAGGCTTGTCAGCATTAGATAAAATGCTATGATTGTCAAACACCGGACGAGACCTTTTGTGGTGGAGGGACAGGGGACCGAGGGGGGAAATCAAGGGGGTTTAGGGTGACAAAGGCGGTGAAAGGCAAGGCAGGAGTCATAAGAAGCCAGCGAAGCGACGAAAGGGTAGATATCGCAGATGAATCCGAAGGATCAACGTCGAACTGAAGAGAACGGACGAGTGATAAGGACTGCTGCCTGCGTAGACTAGCTCTACCGAATTAGACCGAGCATCATCCGTGGAGGGCAAAGGTGAGTAAAGGCTGATGACTCACAGCGAACCCGAGATGTCTTGTACGTATTCAAGTAGATGCCGCCGGGCCCTATGTACAAGGAATCATGTTTGGAACGATTGCTGGTTGAGAATGATTGAACGAAACGACGTTGTATGATGATACCTTGGCAGAGGGAGAGAGAGTGTGGTGTGAGATTTAAAGAATACTGCTGCTGGCGGATTTTAAGAGGTCCAAGGGGATTCAAACATATCCGGAGTCTTGGGAGGAGGATTGATACGGACGAGTCTGCTCAGCGCCGATAGAAAGCAGAACGACTGTCTGTCTATACGGCCGTCGAGCACCACAGGGCACAATGTTCATATGCATGTACATACCTCTCTTAATGCATGCATCGAAGCTGACCTGATTCATAAGTCCGGCAATAAGGACACAGGCCGAACCTCGGGCACGGCGCCGCATGACTCACAACCCAGTGCAATCGCCTGGCCATGCAAAATTATCATGCAAAAGTCATTGTCTATGGGTACATGAAGAGGGAGTACATAAGGTCTCTCACAGAAACGAATCATCTCGTCCGGGGGATCTAGGCGATATAATCATTGATCCGATCCTTGGCATCTTGTGCTATGCACTCGGCGATCCAAGTCAAATTCCTCACTTCTTGCTCTTTTAGCTTGACAAAGCTGTAAAAGACACCAAACTGGAACTGCTGGAGGAAGGAGTGCTTGTTAAGCTCGACGTCGTGCTTGAAAAACTCGTCCTCCAAGCTGGACCCTTCATCGCCAGTGCCGTTGGCCGCACCGCCATTCTGGTTAGAAGCCGCTCCAGATTTGTCGAAGAAAGCCCGATATTCTGAAATATGGTCGACCGCAGCCACTACGGATTCAATATCCTCTGCTCGAGCCAGCGCATTGTTTCCCTCCGGATACAGTCGACCGATCGTTGGAAATAGTCTCGCACGTTGATCTTTCGACAACTCGGTACCGAACGAGTTGATGGTGATGTTGAGGGTCCGACGATCGGCTTCAAACGCCAAGATACGTGACATGACCTCCGATGTAGGGGCGGGAAGGGTTTGACAGAACTTGTGAAAGTCTTCCAGATACGCCTTGTATAGGGAATTACGAATGATCTCGATGTTGAGATCGTCGAGATCTTGCGCAGAGAGGCAGTCTTTAAAGTAGGGGGCTTGCAAGTCAGCACCGAGAACCTGCTCATTGCTCACCTAACGGAGTCTCGACCAGGACACTGTGATACAGTTCTTCCACGTTGGTGGCCACACACAACGCGGGCATGGTGTCGAAGACGCCAAGAGGGTGACAACGATCGAGCAATTCATGGGTATCTCTCTCGTGCAGCGTTCCAAGAGTAAGCAGGACTACATTGTCAATCATGTAGGCGTAGGTAATGTAGTCCATGAAGGTAGCCAGGGGCTCTGTCGCATTGGTCCTGATAAAGTTGAACTCTGAAACGAGCTTTTCCGTCGCCTTGTCCGCGATCGTAGCGGTGGAGAGGGGCAGAGGTTCATTGGCGAGAAAGTTGCCATAATCGGTGGAGGAGAGTTGAAGACGGAAGTCTGAAGCCGTCAGCATGAGGCTTGTGTGAATCTGGCCCTACCTTCAAGATTCTCGCATTGAGTGAGGTTATGGTAGTTGGACTGATTGAGCAAAGCCCCTTTATAGCCTCTGACAATGCCCTCTAGGAAGCCGTTTGAAACCTGAGAGCAGTCAGCGACTGGTCACTACAGGCAGGATATGCTGGCTCACATTGAACGCGAGTGCCTCCATCTTCACTTCACGCGCTGGTAATGTTGTACAGATGACTGATAGAGCAGTAGCGATCAAAGGCTAGAGAGGAATCCGCTCAAGCGTAAATTTATCCGAGCCACCATTAAGCAATCACGCGGACCGGGCGGATGGACATGTCAACAATTTCATGTCCAACACGCATCGATAGAATACCATGGCCAAGCGTCATGTCAGATCCAAGGATACAAGACAGCTGGGCACCCTCCGATCGGTATGACGAGCGACCAAGCACGTCATATCGGCAGCCCTCGCCACCAGTCCCGCGAGACGACCGGTCACGAGGGGAGGCACGTACATCTCGTGGGGACCGGTGAGATGATCTGGCTTTGAGCAGGAGCTGAGACGCGCAGCTACACAGATGATCCGGAGCCTGGGCAAATCACTGATTTCACAACATGGGGCGAGAGACAGCGACAAGCGAACGCCGCCCGCCCTGGTCTGCCCCAGAAGCCTCCTCCTTCGTATCGCGATCCTCGACCCAGATCACCGTCGCCGCCTCTAAGACCCAGTGACCGAGAGAGATCAAGGAGAACTCCTCCTATATCTCACGGCAGACGATCGCCAAATCCGTCGTACAATCGCTCCCGAGATGTTAGGTCGAGATCACCTCCTTCGCGCCACGATGACAGGCGCGAAGACAAGGGGAAAGGCAAGGCGACCTCGTCTTTCGATGCCATGAGCAAATTCACATTGTGGGTCCTCAGCGACTGAAGTTAATGCTCACCCGCAGGACCATGCAGTCGACGCTCTTGTCGACAACTGCACACTTTCTTGCCCGTGAGAGAGCTTCTCGACTTGAGTCTTTCCCCAGTGTCAGCGCCAATCATCCATCTCTGGTGGACGCTCGAGAAAAGCTGGTTGAAGCCGAAGATCAATTGTGGTCTCAGAAGGTCCAACTACAGCAAGCCTTTGCCGAACTCCTGAGGCAGACGGCCGAGAAGGGTGCTGCCACACTAGATCTTGATGAAATAAGAGCAAGGCTGGAGAGACTAGAGAATCGCCAGGGTCAACCGCTGCCGCCGCCCGTCAGCGCTCCACCTGATCCGCCACCGACGCCCGCTGGTCCGACGCAGGATGTAGAAATGGGTGATGCGTCTGAGCGCAGGGCTAGTGCGCCAGTCAAGCTCAAAGATGCGGTCAAGGACATTATGAAGCGACTCTCAGCGGTGGAGTCTGCAAAATTGGACATGGACGAGAAGTGCCAGGACCTTGAAGAATTGATCTGGTCCCAAGCAGAGGAACGGGTCGAAGAAAGGATGAGCTGGGGTCGTCTGGAGCGCTCTCGAATTTCTCAGCGGAAAAGGAGACGACCAGAGTCTGACGCGGAGGAGCAGGCAACTCCAGTAGTGGAGGGATCTCAGGTGACAGCTGAGGAACCACCCGTGTCATTGGCGGCGAAGCTTCCGTCAACGATTGGAGCGAGTAACGAGCTCGACACGAACACCGTGACGCGAATCGCCCAGCTGGAAGTTCAAGTCAAGGCGTTGATGGAAACGGTGGTGTTACTCAAGCAGGGGAACCCTGCACGAGATAGAGCGATCGTCCAGGCTGCGATTCAAGGGATGCGGGCGGAATACACGGATACGGTCAGGAAGGTAAATTTTCTCATTGTCATCGTACATTAACATTCTCAGGAACTCCAAAAGGTCGCTCAGAGCTATGAGAAGCGTAACGCCGTACCGGTAAAGGCCAATGCTCCAGGACAGGCAAATGGTTATGCCAATGGATCCTTACAAGGGGGTCTACCGCCAGCCGGTTTGACGAGCCCACTGCAGATCCCGCAAGGCTCGCCTCAACCGCCGCAGAATGCGTTGCTAAATACAGGCAACTTTCAGCCATCGTTCGGACAAGCTATTCAGAACGTACATCCCGCTACCAACACCACTAGCAGCCTATCTCCCCACCTCTCTCCTGTGATGCCTCCCACTTCTGTACCAATACAATACCCCACCATCAATCCTTATGGTCCTTCGGGACAGTCAAACGGTACAGTGGGACAGAGTCTGATAGAGCGTCGCCTATCGAATGCGGATAGGGCAGCAGCGTTCGCCACCCAGCATCAACTCGATCAAGCTCGAGACTTGGCTCGAAACACCACACATGGTGCGAATCAGCCGACCCTCACCAACCCATCCGGTGCCAATGCCCTGTATAGAACCTTGACTCAGACGCCTCAAGGCACGTGGACATTGAACACAAGCACGCCTGGCGAGGTCTCTGGCGGTACATGGACTCCGCAGCAGCCACCCCGATAGTAGGGAATGTGCCACATTACATGTATCCCATTTGTTGTATCCAAAAAGTGCCACATGTATGGTCGGAAGTTGACGAAATTCCGAAATATAACGCCGAAAGTTGTCAATGTCAATTCGAGGTTTTTCAGGTTTCGTACCTGTAGCTATTGCTTTCAGACGACGTCGAGGTGGTATAAAATGGTGAGTATGAAGGTCGATTTGTCGGGATGGAGTGAGCATGAAGGAGCAAGATTGATGGATGGATGGGCGGTCAAAGCTCCGAGGAGCGAGACTCAGTCGGAGGAATGATGGAAGTGGATGATTGAGGAGCATTATTTGATAGGTACATCTGCTGACGGATGGCCCTGCTCAGGCTCCCACCAAGAAAGAGAGAAAGGTGAGAGATCATATACCTTGGCTTGGTGCTGATAGACCTAGACCCGTTCCGCGCTCCACGATGTTGTAACTCGAGAGTACACCGTGCACCTGCACAAGCGAGTTCACGGTACCGCTTTCAAGAGGAGTGAGCGTCGATGATCAGGATTTCTGAGAGGAGAAGATGCTAATGGATGCGAAAAGGGGCACCCAAGGCTATCAAGGCCATCACTGAGTTTGCTCAAAAATCCATGGGAGTCAAGGATGTTCGAATCTCCCCAGGTCTCAACCAAGCCATCTGGTCCCGTGGTATCAAGTCTCCTCCCCGTCGAGTTCGAGTCAGACTCGACAGGAAGAGAAACGATGACGAGGGTGCGAAAGAGAAGCTTTACGTTTTGGCTAGCGTAGTCGAGGGCGTGACCAACTTCAAGGTGGGTCTTCATGAGTGCAGAATCATGCTAACCTGTCTAGGGTCTCGAGACTGTCGTCGTCGAGGCTGAGGAGTAGAGGGATTTCGACTTGTACGACTTGTACAACCAGTGACATGCTATTGGTTTGCATTCAAAACGCGACAAGACTTTTGACTGTGGATGTTACCTCCCGAGTTGTCAGACTCCCCCCTCCGCGCCGAATTTGCTCTCCCTCAGATCCATCGAACAATATCCCATCCAAGCTTGGCGGCAACTCGAGACATCCAAGAGGCTTCTGTGTGATGCCCAAGATTCTTGTGTCCGTGCCTGTGTCCATGGCCAGCGTGCTTGTGCTCATGATCATGGTGTTTGTGTCCATGACCGTGTTGATGGCCGTGACCGTGCTTTCTGTTCTTTGGTTGGACGAGGTGGAATTCAGTCTGCTGACCAAAGACCCATTCGAATCGGTCGGTCTCTTCACACCAATAAACATCCTCTTCGAGCTCAAACTGTTAGGCGTCAGCTGCTTCCTTTTTTTCCACACTTGCATTCTGCTCCCGTCTCCATTCGGGAATGTAATTGACGCCAGCGAGCTCGACACTTGTCCAATAATCCTTGAGCACCTTGTTCTCGCCGCCCCCGGGTATAGCTAGTCTTGAGCAAAAATACATCACACTCTCACTCACAAGTCTGCCAATCGGCCATTCCGATGACTGCTCCAGCGCCTAAGGATTTAGCTTTGGACCAAGAGAGTTGCTCACTATGCCCATAATCTCCGATGGGATGTGAGTAGATCCTGCCGTGTTCGTTCAACTTGGCCTTGGTCATATCGCCTCGGATCGCCCAAAATACTTGATCGCCGGTCAACCCAGGTCTCATTTCCAATCTGTTAAAGTCTTGCATTTTGTTGGCAATGGCTAATCCATCCTGTAAAGACTGAGGCGGGGCAGTCTCGTTCGAACGAAGAATGTAGCCCAGGTGTTGAGTATCGGTATTCATTCCCATGGCGTAGATTCCAATATCGACATGCAGCATATCTGACGTGAGCTTAGTCATAGTCATGGTGATGACCCACCTCCTTCTCGCATCGCTGGGTGGTCCTCAACGGCCGGCTCATCTGGGGACCGATGAATCTCAACAGACGGATGGAACCACGTTCGGCTTCCAAGCTGGAGAGAGTGAGCTTTTGCTTTTGAAGGTACAAGGACGCACCTTCCAGACCATGGTCTCTCTGAACCACCACATGAGGTCTTCGGCAGTAGTCTTGCCAATTTCAATGACACGCTCCGAGAATCCTTCCTGGATCATTGCCCAGACATTCTCCTGCAGCAATCTGTACATTTCCAACTGCTCCTTCCCGCCAGCTCGTGTAGCAATGACCTCGACACCAATGTCTCTGCAAGGCGTGACACGATCAGCCCACTTGCCAAGCTTTGACATGAGCTTGTGGCCTTCGCCAGTGTGCTGAGAATCAGTAAGAGCGTTGTGTATCGAGTCCTCACCAGACCGTCCGAGAAAGCCATATCCTCGTCGACCTGATGGGTCAGTGATACCACGCCCAAGCGACTCACATTGATGGCAATCTTCTTCGGATTGACCTGCTCCAAGGTATCAAGAAGACCATCCCACAAGTCATCCTTCAGCGAAACGAAGTGGAAAGGACTCGTGACATTTGGGTTCGTGTGGAACATCCACATGGTCCTCCTTCGGCCCCAAAACTGAGTTGTGGAGGAGACAAGCGCTCGGAATGCTGTGTCTTCGGCATATTCTCTCATCGTCAAGATCCAAGCATCATAGCCACTGCTGGTATGAGCGGCTGTTGCGCTAAAACCAGCTCACTGTCTTTCCAAGATCTCAGGGATTCTATCATATCGCATTTGGACCCATTTGTTCTCCAAAGCATCCTGCTCTCTGAGAGGTGGCAGAGGGCGATACTGAGCCACGGGCTGTTTAGCAGCGCAGCTTGCGATCAGTGCGCAGATAGTAAGCCACCCTGTGATTGAGACCATGTTGCTCCTGTGCAGTTCGATACCAACTTCGAGATATGATATCCCTGATCCGAAATCCCCCCTCCCTTCCCATTCGGCAATATCCGATATCTACAACCCACGTGGATCTAAGTTATCAAAGTGGAAAACTTTCCGATCCGTCGGCTCATGTGAGCGATCGCCGGTGAGTCATAATCAGAACGGAAACCGGAGTTTTGATGCAAACTGCTTGAAGTGTTGAACATCTCACTGGGGCTACACAAGATTTTTTCTGGAAGTAGGCGTCATGTCGGGTTCAAAGTTTCAAGAGGACAGCTCGGATGGAGTCTTCCCGGAGAAGCTTGGAAGAGATATCGAAGGAGGTCCTGTTTTGGCCGGTTCCCTGATCTCAGATGAGGCAACATTATTTGCGAGTCCCTTGCCTATCACCGGAAACAGAAAGACAACTACGAGGAAAGAGCTATGGGTGAGTCCGCCTAATCTGTACGCCTGTCTAACGACTCCCAGTCGTGGTACCTCTACTACGTCGGAAATTCGGGTCTGGGTGAGTGTCAACACACACGGACCAGGACTTATTCCCAGGCCCTTTCAATTTTGCCATCTCAGCCTGGCAGAACCTCTTGTACCTCCAAGGATGGGATCCCGCTTATCCCCAAGGGACAGTTCCATGTGGTAGTGGAGCCTGCAGTCTCACAGCCTATGGACAAGTCCGGTCCAGTGAGGCTTGAGAATCGTGCGAGCGCTGAATGTGCACTCCAGTCAATTCCATTGTTTTGATCAGTAACGGTCTCTCATTCGCCATCCAGGCCGTGATTTTCCTGTTTGTCGGGTCTTTTGCAGACTATGGTATCTGGAGACCTTGGATCACCACCGTCTTTACGGTTCTAGGATGGGCAGTCAGCTTTGCGTGGCTCGGAGTGGAGCAACCTTCTCAGTGAGCTATAGATACGTGTGCTCCGCTTATAGCTAGATGGCAAGCCGGAACGGCGTTGTACATTATCGGCTTGATCAGTTACCAAGGTGCTTTGACGTTCTGGACAGCTGCCTTTCCCGGTCTTGCAAGAGATTTGCCGGAGGTCAAGGCGAGCGAGGAGGCCCTGCAGAGGGGGGAGGTTGAGTGAGTCAACCCGGAACAGTGCGGGGCTGAGGTTGTGCTTAGCCGTAAGACACACGACGATGTCGACATGTTGGCCAGGAATCGTCTTGCCGACGTATCATTCTTCGTCTGTTCCATTGGCGAGCTGGTCGTTTTGGCGATTCTTGCTGGCATCCTCGAGGCAATCGTCAACCCAAATGTCGCCGATAGCAATACTAAGGCTCTGAGTATTGTTTGCGCATACAGTGCCGGCGTGTGGAGTGAGTTTTGTAAGGAAGATGTGGAGCTGACGTTTCAGTCGTCTGCGCCGCGCCTTGGTTCCTGTGGGAGCAGTATCGACCCGGAAATCAGCTCCCTCCAAACACCAGCTATCTCACTGTTGGGTGAGTCGCCGAAATGGACCCTTTTGCTCACTCTGTCGTTAGTATCAAGCAGATCTATCATGCATGTAGGTTATGTCGACGACTCAAGCAGACATTCTTGTATCTCGTGAGTACGGCTCAAATGAGAAGTTCTCTGATATCAGGGAGTCTACTTCTTCCTCGGCGACTGTCTGAACACTGTTGGTGAGTGCCTCAATGACAGAACGCGCTGACATGGCAGTGACTGGTGAGGCAGCAGTGAAAACACTTCTGACGGACAGTCATCGCCACGCTGCAGAATGAAGTCGTGTCCTATGACACCAAAACACTCAATTAGTGGGTTGAACAGCGAGTGTCTCGCTGATTACAGCCTCTTGATAGACGGAATCGCCGCCCAGGCCATAGGGTGGGTTCCCCGAAGGGTGGCAGGCTCGCTGACCAACAGTATCGGCATCTTCTGGCTCATTCAGAAGAAGTGGACGATCTCGACCAAAACGATGCTCCTTGTCGTGAGTGGCGCGCCCCCGAAGCAGCACCTGACTTCAGAACGCCTTCTTCATTCTGATGCTCTGTGCGTGGGGATGCATCGGCATTACACAAACCAAATTTGGCTTCCACAACGCCTGGGAGGTGAGAGATCATCCAAGGGGTATCGCTGATATCAGTTCTGGGCCTATCAAGCCTTTTACGGGGTATTCGTTTGCCCGTGGTATGCTGTCTCGGTAAGTGATCAACAAATGGGCACAACTCATCCGCCAGCAAGCCATGATTTCAGAAGTCGTTCCTAGAGGCAAAGAGGTAAGCTTGCTGAAAGGATCTTTGCTGAAACGGCAGTTCCTCTTCTTTGCCCTCTTCTCCATCATTGGCAAGACGTCATCCTTCGTTGGACCATTTGTCAGTTCGGCAATCATCGAGGACTCGGGTAATGTCAACATGCCCTTTACTTTCCTCCTTGGTCTCGGCGCCATCTCGACATTTGCACTCTTCTTCGTCAACGTGGACAAAAGTCGAAGGGAATGCAGGCAGTACCTCGAGGACGAGGCTGTTAGGGTGTATAAGCTTGCGAGGGAGCAAGCGAGCGCTCCGCCAGTGGAGGGCGGAATAGATGGGCTCAGGGCGTAATCAAGGGGGAGTTGGACGTCGCTATACGGTCCTCATGCATGCGTGCCCGAAAATTCGGGGTCCGCGAGGAATTTATCCATGACGTTTGTAGCTAGACACATGCGAATCCGCACGCCATCCTCGTACCACCTCCGTGAGGCATCGAAAAGGTCGCAAGGCTCATCCATGATGACCATCAAGCCATCAAGCGCAGAGATTCCCGAGTACACCTCTAGCGGCCGACCAGCTCCAAAGTCAATGTTCCAGGATCCTGTACTTAGCCAAGAAGTTACCATACAGTGATGTTTGCCAAGGAAAGCATTCCATTCGCGCTCTGGATCCAGAGCGAATGCGAGATGATGCAGTAGTGCATTGAGTGAATCACTGTCCGCCTTTTCAACGGTGTGCCGGATCAACGCAGCTGTGTCAGAGAGCGGTCGATCGATGAGCTCTGCAGCACCAACAGACGACGAGATATTTATCAGTGGAGATCCGAGGAATGTGTCGCCGAGCGGTGGATATAAGCGTGAGCGAAGCCCGATAGACATGTCGAAATGCACTATCTCCTCGTCTTGTAGCTGCCGCGCTTTCACGACCAATCGCCAGAGATGCGCGAGTAGCGCGTCAAGTCGCGAAACGCGTCGACCAGCGCTCGCCCGTGTCCACAGGAGCTCAAGCTGCTCCCTTGAAAAATGGATATACGCATCGGAAACTGGCGCCTTAGAGTCCCAGGTGTCCCAAGGTATAGGTGTACCCCTTGGCCGACCTTGGGCCTCGTCTAGGTGGTCGATCGCTTCATGCGGGGCGGTCGCTGATTTTATCGCTCGAGATGGACCCCCTGCCCAGTAATCCAATCGAATCTGAGGGATCTTCAGCGCGCGATCTCGAAGCGTGGGGGATTCTTGCATTTCATCGAGGTAGGGTGCATGATCATCCACTGCGAGCGGGTTGAAAGGTCGTTGCGTCAAGGTAAGGTTCCGATGCGCGGCTCCCCAATCGCGTACGAAAGTGCACAAAGTTTGGATGTCGGACAAGCTGTGATGAAGAGCGATCCCGACGGCCAGGCTTCCATCGGCAAACAGTGTGACTTTGATCAGCACACACGGTTTGACCTCCCTCCGAGGATTCGGTATGCTCTGGAGATCGGGAAAAAGGTCCCATGGTGTACGAAGCGGAGTCCTCTGACCAGACATCAGAGGGATATACTCTTGAGCCGACTTTGAGGAGGAAGCGAATGTGAATTGTAGGCCTGGATCATCTTTGTTCCCCCAAGCAATGTGGATTCGCCCGAACCGTCTGGTATGGTCTCTGACAGCGGCCTCAGCATCATATTGTGGGATGTATAGCTTCCCGCTGAATTGAGGATAGACGTCAAGGGTCCTTCGGAGGGATTCCTGCAGTGCAGATGCACTCCATCCCTCGTCCGACTTGCCGAAGAGCCACAGAGCTGAACATGGAGAATAGCTGGCGACGCTGGAATCGATGATCGACAGAGGCGTTGAATGAGGTGTCGGTCGGGTAGAGGGGAAAAGCAGGGCCGTCTGAGCAGTGTCAGCTTCAAACGGCAGCTCTGCATGGACTCGCTCGATCTTCCATTTCTGCTTTAGCTGGTGAAGAGGTAAAGAGCGGTGATGTCGACTGGTGACAGTAGACATTTCCGAACACTTCGGCTCCGAACGATCCAGCATCTGGCCGACGCGTGGGGCCCGACAGGTCAGACGGACCAGCGTTTGTTCCCTCTTCCTTGCCCACGTTGATGGACGTCTAACGCTTCCTGCTCATCCAGACCCTGGCACTTGCGCTGGGCCTGATTGTGGAGGTGGTAGCGGCGATATCGGCGTATTTGATCTTCCTATCCGGTATCCATTTCCCGCCCGTTGCAGCGGCTTTGCTCGACGCCGAACGAGCTGAATGGACCGCTCTCATCATAGGTCCGACTTTGATCCATGGTGCTTTGACAGTCGGCTTTGGTGGTTCAAATGGTCTCGTTTTGCTTTTGGCTCGACGGGAAGGCATGATGGCTTGGTATGTGGTGGTAGGCGCGAAGACGCTGTTCAGGGCAGCCCATGGATGCAGGGTGGGTGATGGTGACACGAAGCTGGCGATGGTAGACTTGGAGACAGTGGCTGTGCTTAGGATTGCTGGATCAACATAGACAGTTGTGAGGCTATTTGAACCTGTAATGGTATCTGTGGCGGATGGAGATGCGGCGGTTTCAGAGGATGGACTGGACGGTATAATGGCAGGCGTGGTGGACGCCTCGGCCGCCAGAGATGAGGCCGATGATTCCTCTGCTTCGAGCTCGAGATTGAGCTTTGCCTGTTGTAAATGTCGGTGCTGTAGCATCGCAGGTCCGATCAAGAGCCAGAGGATCAGGCCCGCCACGATACACGCCAGCAGAGTGAGCCATCGCCTTTCTGCCGCTGTACATGTTGACAAAAGTCCCGAGCTACGTCGTGAGGGATTTCCCAGCAGTCCACTATATCTAGGATGGGGTCTGTCGTCGAAAGTGAGGGTGGACGCTCGGCTGTGAGAGCGATGAGCTGGAGGTCGATATGGGACTGGCGAGTAGGGCGCCATCTCCGAAAAGCCAAATCGCCACAAAGGGCGTCAACTCATCAGCTCTGGAAAGAGACTGGTCAATCGCTTTCGACGTTCGCAGACATGTCTGGAGATGCAGAAGGATGTATTGAACTGCATGCAAAGAAGCCGCTGTCAACATGGCGTGTCCATGCTGGAAATATTTCGAGTTTGTCATGACCATTGGTTAGTCTAAACTATATCACCGCCCTAGCGCGGAATCACGACCCATGGTATGATTCGTGTCTTGTTGGCCCTGATCACGGCTGTCGGTGCACTGCCGCTGACGTGCATATGGCATGACATGCACTAGAGAAGATATACACGGATCATCAGACTCAACAACCAGCAAACTGCGAAAACCCCCAGAGCTGAGATAAATCTCCGGGACGTAGCGCGAGCGAGTTTCATCGTATTTGCCCTGAAAGCTGCTTGCTTCCCGGCTTTGTCGATGGCCTCTATATCCTCCGAGGAGAGTTTGACGTCTCCAGCCTGGATATAGCTCTTCATTCTCGATTCCTGATGGGAAGACGTGACGACCGCGCAGCTGGATGGTCAGCATCAACAGGCTTCCGGCCCTCTCACCCTTTGGCCAAACACCAAGCCATAAGCACCTGTTCGGGCTCCGCGTTCTTGTCCTTTCCGATCCGCTGCAAGGTCTTGGAGATGGGTCCGTCTGGATCCTCTCGTAGTGGAATCAATGCAGAGTATGCTTCGACTACGATCCCCTTCTCTCGACAGTATTCGATGAGTGGGATCTGCTCGGCGTAAAAGTGGGGGTCTAGTTGGATCTGATTGACAGCCGGGACAATCGAACATGAGGCAATGAGCGTTTTGAGATCATGCAGATTGAAGCTGTTATTTTTCTTGGTCAACTGGAGAGATCATGCCTCGATGACTCACTTGGAAACCCCGATAGACTTTGTATACCCAAGCTTCTTGACTAATTCCATCCTTGCCCAATGGCCTTCGATATCATTCCCGCACAATCCACGGTTATGGATCAGGTACAGATCGACTTGATCGACCTCCAATTGCCTCAAGCTATTCTCACATGCGTCTTTGATGTCTGTATCCGCTCTGGACCACTTCGTAGTGATGTACAGGTCTTTCCGAGATTTGTTCGATTTCTTTATAGCCCGCGCGAAGCGGTCCTCATCGTAGTATCCCTGAGCCGTATCGAGGTGAATGAAATCCGTCTCGATGGCCTTGATCACATCGGGCTCGATCGTCTCTTGGTTCACCCAATAAATGTGCCCATAAGCGATGGAGGGCATCGAAGAGCCATCGTTGAGGGTGAAGTGTGGCCACGGCATGATCGAAGCTGGACAGGGAATTGCTCCGACTGTCACAAAGTTGGCTATTGTAGGAGGTACGACATGGACACGTTAAGTGAACCTGCAGGATCTATAGATCCAGGTTCAACCGGTCATATATCGGTCATACAAACAGGTCATCGAAAGGGATCCCGCGAGATCAACGCGGCGGCTGACGCCGAAATGGCCAATCTACAGATGCCATTGCTTGACCTGTGCTTGCAGTCTGGTCTATACACATGTTATGGATGTACCAACTAGTGAGTGGAAGCTTGTACTGCTCCTTGCAAATTTCCTGTTGCAAGCCTCCTGTGCAAGCAAGCGTCTCAACTCGTCCGCTCTTCTTCCCGATCTCGATGGTCGCTGTATGACGGCGATAAGTCTCTCAAAGCTTGAATGTCTCTGGATGGCTGATGTCCCGTCTGTTGTCCCTCTCCGCTCTCAGGAGCGCCAGACGCCCGGAACAGGTCGATCGCCACGTGAACAGTCAAGGCATTCTAGGTGGCGGACGGACTCCACATCCCACCTACGGAGGTACCGAGAGAGGGAGCATGTGGCACTCTTCCCAGACTGCCACGAGGCACGTCAATGACAGAGATCTGGATAGATCTAGCAGGTCTCAAGAAGCATTCGGGGCAGCCGAAACCATGTGATCAAGCCTCGCACACGCATGCAGTAATGCAGCATAGCTGGTCGATCAGATGATCGATCATTCTCGCGCCTCCATCAGCGCGCCCCCCAGCTGATGGAGCCGACCAATTGTCAAATGCCGCTGAACGCCGCTCCATAGACATGAGGTGTCACACGCCGAAGATCTGGAAATAGCCTGTAACCCTTTTCGCCAGTTTTGATTCCGAATGTAGATAGATGTAGACGTGGATCTGAAGCCATCCCACTCCACAGTCAAATCTCAATCAGGACGGACGGACGAGGCGGTGGCCATCGGCTGTTCCGTGAAGGCTTGTTCCTAGAAGGTACGCCACGCAATGACCAGTCAGCTGTATGACAAGGCACTAAATGCGGCTGAAGCCGATACCGTTTTGTACAAGATGAGCAATTGTAATTGTACAAACGCTTCTTTCGGACTCAAAAGACGTGTGGATTGGGACCTTTGGTGGGGGGATATGATCGATCACATTGAACGCCATGCCTGTAAAACGCCACACACAGGCATGGCGTGGCTGTGGCGCACACTAACTAATCTCCAGGCACGCTTACAAAAAAAACAATACGTTTAGGGGGGGTCTGGACAAAAAGTAGTGACCAGGAATCTATTTGAGTATAGATATAATGCCAGTTATGTTACGTCAGCAACTTTTATGAGCTGTAAAGCAAAAGTGGCGGGCAGACTAAGACGTGGCGCATGACCTCTTTTAAAAACGCTTATTGTTAACTTGCCCGAATGACTAATGATGCATTCCCACAAGCGGGAAGCAAGGCATTTGCCTGCCACGCTCATGACGCAAGGCCAAGTCTACGCACACCGTGACAGCGATTTAGCATTGTGGCGAGCTAGAGAACCAGATGCGATCGTCGTCTGATACGGGATACGCGACTGGGATGATGCGGGGAAGGTAGCGGGTCATACGGGCGACAAGGCGAGAGGGGGATCGCGACAGAGCTGTCTTCAAGACTTGGGACACTGAGACATTAGCTGTTGTGCGGCAATTCCAGACTCGAGGCCCGCCGCGAAGGGGAGGCGCAGTTACCTTGGAGATTGCTAATGGTCTCAGATTGGGGAATTAGGTCGAGGGTTTTCCTTTACTATAGTTTTTTAAACAGTACGTCACTTGGTGATTACACCCGTTTATCTTTTTCAATCATCCAGCCACCTTTTCGAATCTCTTTCTTCCCCGAAGCGGTTTTTCTAGTCTTCATGCATGTCTCTCCACCAATTGACTGCAGCCTCCCCCAATAGGGCTGTTATGCTTTTCTCGAACAGGTACACTTTTTAAACGTGCAACATTTTGAACAGGTCGAATGAGGCAAGCAGCAGGGGGGCCACTGATGACTTGATCTGGGTGGTTTGTTTTGGCGGTGGGGGAGAGAGGCGAGTGGCGGCGCAAGAGTGGTTTCCTTGGCTTGTGGTGGAGAACCATTTTTGGACCCATGACCTGGAAAGAGTATTATTTGAGATGCACCAGCCAACTCTATCATGATCGAGTATGGCATGTTGTGTTTTCTCTTGCCATCTCTGATCGACACCCATGCGCCCAGGTTCTATTGTATAAGAGATCGGTGTATTCCCATCCAACATCCTCGTTCCTCTTTTTGTCCATTCGATTCTTCTTCCCCCCCTCTGTGCCGAGCACCCACACTCTTTTAGATCCGACCCTCGTAGGCTCACAGCAGTCGCATAGTCGTTCGACGGACACTCTTCGATTCCATCTTGATCACTCGTATACTACACCACCATGTCGGTCTCTTTCGCTAGCAGCACTGGCAATGCCTCTTCTTCCCGACCCACTTCCTCTTCTTCTCGAGTCATCGTCAGAGACCCCATCCACCCAGCTTCATTATGCAAGCTTTCGACACATTCACATTCCATCGTTCAGGCCATGCGTCAACGAGTTCGACCAGAATTCTTCGGTGAGTCTTCTTTCACTCGATACTAGACCATCCAGCTGACCAGTGACCAGACCACGTCGCTCAAAAGACATGCGATGTCATTCGAATCTCGGACCGAGAATCAGCTCTCCCCACGCCACCTACCACACCCGAGCTTCACAATTGGTGGGAGAACAAGTCGCGTCCGACCGAGGATGAGGAGTTACCAGAATTGAGCGACTTCATCAAAGGTCTGGTCGTTCAAAGCAACGTCCAAATGCCGACGTTGAGCGTCACCCTCGTCTACCTCGATCGACTCAAGGACAAACTTCCCGCCGCCGCCACTGGTATGCACTGCACACGTCACCGAGTCTTCCTCGCTGTCCTCATTTGCGCTGCCAAGTACCTCAACGATTCTTCACCCAAGAACATGCACTGGCAAAAGTATGGTCGATACTTCAGTCTTGCCGAGGTCAACTTGATGGAAAAGCAGTTGCTCTACCTTCTTGACTACCACCTTCGAGTGGAAGAGGATGAACTCCTCGACAGTCAACGCGTCTTTTGGAGATCACTCGAAGCTACACCTGAGATGCCATCCAAGCGAGTGGTGGCTGCTCCCGCCGCTCCGGAGCCATCTTCCAAACGTATTCGCACGCCTCGTGTGACCTACCAGGAGAGTCTTCCATCCCCAGTCGCCATGAAACAAACAGCACCATGGTCATCACGACGGGATTCTGGCGTCCTGACTCCGGAACAGTCACCGCCCATTGTTCAACGACGACAATCGTCCATCACTTCTCTCTACTCTTACGCCTTGTCGACTCTTCATCTCGACTTGGCTCCCGTTCCAGCCCTTCTTCGACGATCCTCCGGGTCTTCATCTTCCTCCATCTCTTCTTCAGAATCGGAAGCCAGCGAGACAGAGCCAACCACGCTGGTCTACCGCACATCTCAGGGTCAGCTAAAAGCCGAACCCGTCAAACAACAGTCAAAATTGTCAATCAGTGAATCTTGGGAACCTCTGTCTAAATGGGACTCTTTGAGGACAGTTAGAAAGGTCGTGCCTGGTGCATAGACCCGTTGTAGCATAGTTTGTACGCATAGACATACCTTGCATGGATACGATTCATTGGGACAGGCTACCAGCTCGTTTGAAATCATCAGCGTCTTGCAACGCCAGATCCTGAGGTACCACACATTGGCGGGACCGGGACGTTTTCGGAGTCACCGACATCGGCCCTTTCGCCCGGAAATCCATCGGTTCCACCGGCCCGACTCGCCTCCACCCATTGAGACTGACCTCGACAGTTTTTTTGGATACTGTCATCTTCTCCGTTCTGGACCACTGTACCATGTCGTTGAATGCTCCGGATCCCATCGATGAGCCCATCCAAGATGTCACCGAGAGTACACCTCTGTTGGCGAAGAAAGCTACGACGCCCTTGCCCAAACTCCAGCTTTTCATCATTTGCTTGATCCGTGTTGTTGAGCCCATCTGTTTTCAGGTCATGTAAGTCCAGAGGCGAAAGGATGGGCGCGCTTAACGATTTAGCTTCCCCTTCATCAACCAAATGCTGCTTCAAGTCGGAGCAGCCAAGACGGAGGAAGAAGTAGGCTACGCTGCGGGAGTGGTGAGCGAGAGCCCCAAAATACGACGACTCACTCAAGATCGAATCCATCTTCTCCATCACCCAACTGCTTACCGTATTTCACTGGGGTGCACTATCAGACAGGATCGGTAGAAAGCCAGTCCTGATCATGGTGAGTGAAGGGGCATGTCGTCGTGCGCTGACGACAAGGGATGTATCGGCTCTTCCCTCTCTGCCATCGCTTTCGGGCTCAGCAGATCATTTTGGGCACTTGTCATCACGCGGAGTTTGAACGGGGTGATGAATGGTAACATTGGCGTACTCAAAGCCATTGTGTAGGTTTAGAAAAGAGGGGACAAACCAAGCTGACAGTCAGTGCCGAGATTTCCGACGAGACCAATGAGTCTAGAGCTTTTTCCTTCTTCCCCATTTGCCTCAATGTAGGTATCCTCATCGCATCGTTCATCGGTGGAACTTTTGGTTCATCTGCTGGTTTTCCGAATCTCACCAAGACGTTCCCAATCTTCCTCACTTTTCCATACCTTTTGCCCAATCTGCTCGCTGCGCTGCTACCAGCCATAGTCGCTGTGGTCGCTTGGATCTGGCTCAAAGAGACCTTGCCGTCAAAGGCGAACGCGTCGTCCGCTTCGGATACTACGGTCCACGACGCAGATGGTTCCAGCTCAGCAGGGAAAGACGACACGTCTTACAAGTCACTCTTCACACCTCATATCAACGCCATCATGTTTTCCTTTGCTGTACTCTCCCTGTTGGGTGGTGCACAATCAGCCATCCAACCACTGTTCTGCTTCACGCCTGTGAGAGATGGTGGACTGGGATTCAGCGAAAGGGAGATCGGAATCAGCATGTCCATTCGATCCGTATCGACAGTCCTGGTCCAAGTCTTGGCCTTCCCGTGGCTACAACGGACAGTGGGGACGTTGCGGCTGTACAGATGGCTGATGATCCTCTGGATACCAACGTATGTCGGGCTACCATTTGTCAATGGCTTGGCTAGAGTCGCGACGAACAACGGCAAGATACATGGATCAAGCCCTGGAGTCTGGGTAGGGCTATCCTCCACACTGTTATGCAGTGCAGTTGCCAATATGGCTTTTGTCTGCAATCTTCTCATGACGAATGCCGCCGCACCTTCCAGACAACTCCTAGGAGCTATCAACGGTGAGTTAGTTCCGCAGACTCCTCCTCCCCTTGCTAAACACTTCTTCAGGCTATTCTCAAGTCTTGTCATCCGGAGTGAGAATCATCGGACCGGGTGGTTCTTCCATCCTCTATGCTGTATCAGTATCAAAGCATCTACTGGGTGGAAATCTAGTTTGGCTGGTCCTTGGCTTGACAGCAGTGCTGGGAGTCGTATCTGGAATCATGATCAGACAGTCATGATGAAACCGTAGAAGACCCGTGATGTACAATCAATAATGTATCGTTTTGATTATCGGACAATTACCGACGCGCGCGGTAGACGCGTTTCTCTGCATTTTGACTCGACATGAATAGGTAGGTGGGAAGCGCTACGTCAAACACTGAGCCCAGCGCAGAATACCCGTCGTGCTGGTAGGTTGATATGTGCTGCGCACGCTGATGTGACCAGACAATCGATGAGATTGAGTGAGTGCATGTCCGCTGAATTTTCCTGACGTGACAGGTATCTACTCGATCAACTGGTGGGCATTTCTTGAAACGAGTCGGCTCATCCTCCGCAGCCTGCTCCGGACAAGGATGAGGACGCACTCGTGACGAAACTTCGGGAAACGTTGAAACGATCCCTTGAAGAGGTTCGCAAGAATGCAGAGTAGACATCGACAAGTATCTCGAATTTATTTCTTCTCAGACCCAAACAATGAATCCGCTTCCTCTCTAAAGACCCTTGAACTCGTCCATCACCTATGGCGTCAGCTGTGAGAACTCTCGCTCATACCCCACCTTGGTCAATTGCGCACACATGGCAGGCTCTTTGGGCGAATGTCCGCCTTCAGAGACGACGTGTAATGTCAACTTATCCCCGTAAACATCACGTAATTCGTACGCGGTGTATGGCTACTGATCAGGCTATGGGCAAGCCAGACTAAGACTCACGGGACAAACGACATCGTATCGGCCTTGGACGATCACACATGGGATATGTCGTCTGCGTTGTTGTCAGCGACCCAAGCAGCAGAAAGACCTACATTTTCGCGATTTGTGCTTCGCTCAGGAGATGACCGTGAGGCATGAATCCCTACGTGACAATCAGTCATCTGTCCTCCTCACAATGTCCTCCTACATGATTCAAGGCGTAGTGACATTCAATCAATGCGAATGACCTGAATGGATCAGCTCGTTTCTCGACCCGCTTGAGGTTAAGTCACCTCGCCCAATCCAGATCATGATCAGCTTGTGCAATGCTCTTTGGATCAGGAACCAATCGAGAAACTTGAGATTCGTAACGACTCCAAGCCTACTCTGGTCAACACATCTGTCTCTCTTCGGCACCACACCTTTGCAGCATTCAGACTGATCGAGTCGTCCGGGTTGTCGAACAGCTCTTTGTAAGCTTTGGCAAATTCCGTCATCGATGTCCGTCGATGTTCAGGGACGAGCGATGCGAATGCTTTCCTGCGACATGCGTGTTACCAAAGATCGATCTCCTCATCTCAGGAACGAACCATTCATCGGGGTAGAAATCTGCATCATGGTGAGCCAGCCCGTCTACACCTGACCGTTCACTCCAGCTCACTCTTCGCCCCTGTCAACCACAAGAATTCGCTCTCTTCATCTCTGATAGTATAGATTCCTCTCAGGATCAACCCAGTCACCTGTTCAGGATGCGTCTGTGCGTATGCCAGCGCCAGTGTCGAGCCCCTGAACGGGATTAGCTCGCATCAAAGGCTGGATCGTACGAACCATGATCCTCCAAATACTAGCCAAGTCTCGATCTTTAACAATTTGCGAATCTTTTCGATATCGTCCACTAAGCCGTCAGCACCACAACGACGACGACGTGTTGACGCACCCAGATCCCAAGTTGTATTCTCGCGTCTCTCTCCTATCCTAAAGGAAGCCTCAGCGCCAGCTATGCTTATAGCTCACGGTTTGCTCTTCCCTGCTCCGCGTTGAGTGAATAAGATCACACGATAAATGTCAGGATTGAAGAACACTGTGTCGCTTTCTCCGACAGATCCACCAGGACCACCATGTCTGAGACAGGTCAGTCCGAGCAGTTCGCTCGACCTACAGGAAGACGACTATATTTTGTCAGCCAAAGGCCCCCTCTAACCTCTTTCCGACATACCTGGTTTACCCTCCGGATTCCCACATTGCATGTAGCTGGATACGGAGGTCAGCGACGGTCGCACAAGCAGGGCAGGGCACTTGCTAGAGGGTGTGCAGATCGGACACTTTTATATAGTCCTCATGATAGGGTTTGACTGGATCGTACGGCATGGTGGATTGAATCTGCAGACACTACCACACCTACTAGTCAACGTCAAAGATGTGGTCCGAGCCGGAGTTTTCGGGACCCGCGGCAACAGCCGGGCAGCGGCAGCAGGTGATCACGGGTTATGGTTGGCAATCACATGCACGGGAGCCATTGGCAGGCTGACTGGTGTCAAGGATCAGGCTATGAAGGAGCTCAGATAGTAACCGACCGCCAGTAATTGCCGCCATGCTAATTCCCTCCCTCCACATAGGGAGATGCCACGAATCCACCTCTCGGACGCTAGTCACTGTAGATTTTAGCCAGATCTCTCGCCGGGCATCCCCTTGATTCGTTTCAACACGAATCCAACTCTCGCTAGTCACTGTCTATTGCATTGCCCACTTTGTCGTGCTTGCCGTTGGTCCTATTATACGCTCAGAACATGTCTCTCGCGGTACGCGCCATGGCCCTCCTCGCTAGCGCCACCGCCGCGCTCGCATGGTATCCTTGCTATGACGCTCCACTGACGCTGGCTCAATTGATCGGCGAGCCTTGTTGTCCTGATAATCTGACTGCTTTTCACTCGTTTGTCCAAGTGCATATCGCCGTGAGTCTTGTCATCAATAGACTGAAGCTGAGAGCCAGAACCACTCTGCATACGATGTTTGGAGGATCGTCGGTAATTTTGAGGATCTCTCTTGGCAGGGGACGACCAACATTGTGAGTCGGCGAACGGAAGAAAAAGCTGACGACCGCCTAGACTACCACTGGGATCAAGAATGCCCCGAATAACACTCATACTCAGATCACACCCGCTGGCCCAGCCACAGAAGAGCTCAATATTTACGTCGGACCAGCTTATGATCCCCCTTCACCCACTCAATCACTCTTCTTCATGCAATTCAAAGACATCACCTTATCGGCTTTGCTAGACGTCTACTTTATCCACCTAGAGGATCTCTTGATCTCCAGAAAGGATGGCAATGGGAGTATTTTGAGCTGGGAATCGTCGGTGAGTGGGATGATGCCCCACCCTTGGCCCCTAACGGACCTCTCAGGGATGTACAAATACCACTTCTGGTGCTACAAAGCTCTTTAACGCCCTCCACAGTCACAACCTCAACAATACGGTCAATATCCTCAACGGGGGCACTGCCACTTCGCCAGTGTAATGAATGCCATTATGCCGTCCGACGTCGAGGGTCAGAAGTATGTCAAGAGACAGGAGGCGTCTTCCGAGGCTCACTAACGCCCTGTGTACTTCATTGCCATGTGGACGCCTTTGTTAATGTGTCTAGATTCAATGAACGCATGAAATGGTCATCAAAAGTGCCACAAAGAGGATTGAATGGATGGATGACGGATGCAATTTTTTCAATTCAAAAGCGCCACACTATTCGGCGTTTTATACCTGATCCGGCGACAGAGAGTATGCCATTAGGATTTTTGCCCCAAGATCTGTTGATCCCCCCTCTTCCAGACCCTGCAGCGTTAATAATGATTCATTAGCCTCCCTTCTTGACCGGGAAGAGCCGGGTTTAGTAACTGATTATAATGATTTTTTTACCCCCTCTCTTAATTTTTTTCGCCACTTTTTCCCTCTGGGGGCGAAAGAGAGAGAGAGAGTAAGCAGCTGGAGCAGCAGCAGCCCTTCTTCCTTTTTCTTCTTCCCCCCCGTGTCTCTTCTCTCACTCTCTCTCTCACTCTCTTCTTCCATTCCAATTTTTGGTTCCAGTCTGTAACATATCCCACCAGGCCACAGTCCTACGCACATCCCCCCCTCACTCCCTTCCTTCGGTTGCACTAAACCACTTATCCCCCCCCCCCCCCCCCCTCGCCCCTTCTTCGCCTTTCTACCCTTGTCGCCGCCCTCGCCTCACCGCGTCGGCCCCTTTGGTCCTTCCTTCTTCGCACAACCCCAAAGGAACCTTGTCCCTCCCTCGCCACGCCCCCCCCCCCCACTAACCATCTTATCTCTCCTTCTCGTGAATACCACTGCCCGGGCCCCCTCCCCCTTGGTCTCTCGGCATCACCCGCATCTGACAAACACCTTGTCTTATCGATAAGGGTCGGCACACGCGCTGCGCTCATACAGTGAGGTGAGTGCCGTCATCAACATCGACATCATCCCACTGACCATCCTCATCGCCCATCCACCCTTACCCCGCCTTTACCTCCACTGTCACCTCGCCGCTCACCATGAATCCCCATCACAGATCCACACCACCATGCAGAACACCTCTACTGCCCATCTCGGGGGTAGCAGTAGCAATCACAACTGGGCAACAGTGAGTGTTTTTGTCCCCCCATCCATCCATCCCTCCTTTGACTTCCCATCGACACTCCGATGATCCAGAGAAGAGAGAAAGAGAGTCTTCGCTCACACGTCGTCGCCTCTTCTGCTGCCTGCCCTTCCTCCTCCTCCTCCTGCTACTACCATGACATCGACCCCTTGTTCCCCCACCGATCTCATCGATCTCGCCTTGCTTCTCACCACTCAACAGCCTGGAATATCAAACCTCTATCAGAACCCCAAACAGCCTCAACAACAGCAGCGCTCTACATCCAACCCAAGAGCATACCCCGATCCTGGCGCAGACGCTCGTCGCGATGATGCAACCCAACAGATGTACGATACCGGCTATGGCAGCTATCAACAGAGCGGATACGGCAACGTCGGATACGGTGGATACGGAGCTCAACAGCAGCAGCAGCAACAACAACAACAAGCACAACAAGTCGGATACGCTACGTCGCCTTCGACCTCACGACGACCATCCGGTCAGGCTAAACCGACTTCGACGCCTCCCATGTCGGCTCCGCCCACCAACACATCACCTATGTACCCATCCCGTGGATCTACCGATATGACTCACATGACTCAATCACCGTATCAGCCCGCGTCAGCACCTCCCAATGTCAACCACCACATGCAGCAAAATCAACCACAAACCGCGCATCCTTATGGAGGAGGGTATTACAATTATTACGACCAAGCCCCTTGGTACCCTCAAGGTTCTGTAAGACCGGGTCAATCGTCCACGCCCACACAACCTGTGGACAGAACACCCCAAACTGGATCGTACGACTACTCATCGCCCTACGCCGCTGGCTGGGATCAGAGTCGTCAATCGTGGCAGACTCCGAATCAACCTCGACAAAGCGGTAGCGCTCAAACATATTACCCTCCAGCCCAAGCGCCTGCACCCTACCCTTGGCAACCATGGCAGAACAATTACTATCCACCGCCCGCTCAACCGGCCACGAGCGCTCTCCCGCCCACGCCTTCGAGCGGCAAAAAGGAGAAAAAGGCATCCGGCGATTATCAAGGGCTTGGGAAACGTTCGGCTGAGCCTGTCGCTGAGGATCCAGCAGAGAAGAAAAAGAAGGGCAAGAAGGAGGAGGTCAAACCTGCCGCTCCTGCCAAATCACATCTACACCCTCCACGTCAAGCACAGTCTGCTTGGCAGTTGTTCTTCACCGACGAACTCAATAAGGCTAAAGAGGCTGCTGCCCAAGGCAATTCACCAGGTGGTACTCCGCAACACGCCAAGCTCAATGTCGCTCAGATCGCAAAGGACGCCGGTATCGCTTACGCAAATTTGAATGACGAGCAAAAAGCCTATTACGCTCAAAAGGTCCAAGAGAGTAAAGAACAGTACGCTCGCGAGCTCGCTGTCTGGCAAGCGACCCTTACGCCAGAAGACATTCGAGCCGAGAACGCATTCCGAGCACAACAGAGGAAAGAAGGCAAATCCCGCAAAGGCAATCTCAAGGATCCCAACGCCCCGAAAAAGCCACTCTCAGCCTACTTCTTGTTCCTCAAGGATATCCGCGAGAACGATGACCTGAGAATGAGAGTCTGGGGAGACGAGACAGAGACGACAAAACAATCCGTCCTTGCGGCCGAGCGTTGGCGATCATTGACCGATGACGAGAAGAGGGTGAGTAAAACCTGCTTGGAGCTCTGCTAACCTCTCTCAGCCCTTCTTGTCCCAGGCGGAACACGACAAGCAAGAGTACGAAGCCGCTCGCAAGATCTATGAAGACGAAGCTGCCGCTCGGGCAAGAGGCGAAGATATCCCTTCTCGTCCGGTCGTCGTCCAAGACATTCCTCAATCCAAGCCCGCCTCTGGCAAATCGCACAAGAAAAAGGTTTCTCCACCAAAAGTCGAGTCAGATGTCAAACAGGAATCAGCTACAGACGTCAAAACGCCTCCTGGCGACGTTGATAGTTCAATGGAGTTTCCCGGCTTTCCAGATCTAGCGGGTGATATGGACCTCGGTGGTTTCCACAATGTCGGTGATACACATCACACCGCCGATTGGGGCGAGCTGCATACGATCATGGGCAAAGATGACGGATCACCACAGCATTCTGAAGGGTCCGATTCCAATGTTGACGAGGCGCCCGGGATGGAGACTGCGATGGAGACGACACACGAAGCGCCACGCGTACCGGAATCGGTGGTCCAAGATGTGGCAGCGGCGGCGGAAGGTCACGCAGCGGTACCTAGCGAGTTGAAATCTGACCAAGAGGCATTACATTCGAGCGATCCTGCGCCCATCACGCCAAATCCCACTCTTGGAGAGGATGCCGAAAGAGCCTTCGATAGTGCTGCGTTGGCCGGAGAAGTTCTGCCCGAGGCAGTGACTGAAGACGGTACGACCGGAGAAGAGGTTGAGCAAAAGATTGATGCGGTTTGAGGGGAGAAAAGCAAGGCGGAAAGAAAATCTTGTAAGATGGCTCGTAAGAAACATGGGCAGAGGGATGTCTTGTATACATATATAATATAGCTACCTCCTGGGAGTCTTGGTTCATATATGCAACAGGGTCGTATAGTCAGTCACTCGATCCGTCCTTCGTTGATTTTCGGTGTCGCGCGAGATTTTGTCAATATTCTTTCTCCACTCCAGCCTTAAGCTAGGATGGAGGAAGATACCCCCGGACCTGAAGGCCCTAGGTCCATCCCTGTCCTCAGTACTGGGGACATTGAGCAGACTGTCGAGGTGAGAGTCCGACTTGGATATCGATCTGAGCTGAAGACGTTCCCAGATCATTCAGCGACTGTACAGTGCTCAAACGTCTGGTCAGCCGTCCCTAGCCGATGAATTACAGCGAGCTCTCCAAGGGATTCAAAGTAGTCCTCAAGCGTGGGGCTTGATATCGGGTCTGTCGACTCATGAGGTGGGTTGTATCCCACTATCGAATGATTAGCCGACGGTTTGTTCAGGACCCCAACTTGCGGTTCTTTTCGGCCCATACTGCTCAAGTCAAGATCTCACGAGATTGGTGAGAGAGGAGGGCAAGGAACGAGCTCATAATGGTCGACAGGGAGTCACTTCCTAGAGCTCTCCAACCTGCCCTTCTTCAACTCTTACTCGAGACACTGACTCATGCCATCTCGCCCGCCAGACCCTATTCATATCAACCTGGAAACTCTGCAGTGGTCCGCAAGATCTTTGGATCGGTAAGGGAGCGAAGATTCAGGTGTCCTGACAAAGTCTTTGCCAGCTTTCATCTCTCCTTCTCCGCCTCCCTTTTCATCTTTTCCCATCACCTCTCCTCACGGTGCTATCGGCCATCTCTGATACCGCAACTACCTCTTCCTTACCTCCGTCACTACCTGGCTCGGGCTTCTCCACCCCCACGACGACACCCGGTGCCATAGGCCGTCGAATGCGAAGTTATGGTCTAGAATGGCTAGGGATATGCGTGGAAGAGATCTCTCGAGCTGGTATAAGCGACTATAAACGGAATGCTTTGAGAAAACACTTGGAAACGGATATGCCTATAGTCATGGAGACCATTCGAGGGTCGATGAACCCAAACTCGGGCTCAGACCTGATCCCACAAGACAACGTGCAAGAAGCGTCCGCGGCCTGTAAATGCGCAGAGGCCTGGATAGATTATGGTCTAGGCGCAGAGTAAGTTTGACTCGTCACAACAGAGCTCTGTACTGATGTCTCCTAGCCAGCTCACGGCTCTTCTACCTTGCTTGTACAATCTGTTACCTCTTCCAGCAGCTTCGTCTGCCCTTGTCGAGGCACTGTCGGAGAGCGTGTTCCGATATGGAAAGGGCACCAAGGTCTTGACTGAGCCTCTTTTGGAGTGGTTCATAGGACCTGGACAAGCCTACTTGGATAACTCGCCAGATCCTGAAGAGCTCTTTGGTCTGGCAAAGCTTTTGTCGGCATTGATCGAGCATTCGACAGAATGGCTCGTCACTCGAATCAGGGAGGATCACGTACAGCGCCTTCTGAGTCTGTTGTTACGTCTTACGGGATGGGACGGGATCGCAGGCGTCGAGGAGAACGTTTCAGAGGTGAGCGGGTCCAATAAAATCATGCTCATGATCAGGTCACACTACCGATCTATCCCTTGATTCAAGAAGCCATCATGGAATCGGACGTTTTTCAAGCTCCACACGAGGAGTCCCCGTACTGGCAAGTCGCCAAGCAATTTTTCACCCAACTCGTCAACGTGACCAGACGTAAAGTCCTGTGGAGGTCAATGGATAAGGAAGATAGAGAGACATTCGAGTCATGGCGAAGGGATGCTGGCGAGGTCATTGTCTGCGCGTGAGTCGATGGACCTATGAGGACGTCCTGATTAGATGACCAGATACTATATCCGTCGTGATGAGATGTTGGGTGCTTTGGTTCAAGAGGCAATCGCCGCAGTCGTGGGACCTTGGGAAGTGAGGCAGTCCCCCCTTGCAATGCTGACTTGCAGGAACTCGAGGCTATACTTCATTGTATTCGATACTCTGCGGAAGGCGTGCCACTCGGCGAGGACAAGATCCTCCCAATATTGTTTGGCCAACTTGTCGGCCGCATACCGAACGAACCTAGACTTCAAAGGACCGTCATAGCCACTATACGTGAGTTCCTAAAATGTCTCCTCAGACTCCAACTGAACAAGCCAGAGTCATACGAAGAATGGTTCAAGTTTCATCCTGATTATCTTTTGCCTGTTCTCTCGTACCTGGTCTCTACATTAGTCTCAGCGCGACCCTCTTCAAGTCTGTCTCGCGTCTCGGCCGATGCGCTGTCAGCATTGTGCGATATATGTCGCACAAAGCTTGTCCAGCATATCGACTCATTTTCGCAACTCCACAGCAAGATCGGAGACCTAGGCGTAAAGTCGGTGAACGGATCCATTCGCTGACATTTGTTAGGGTGACGAGCAAATAAAAGTCATTCAAGGGATCACCAGTGTCATCCAAGCGCTGACACCGAGAGCCGCTGTTGGACCAGTCGAGGTAAGTACACACACACCCAGTCATCGTCACCGAGCTAATTGTCCAGAGCATTATCTCGCCCATATTAGATCGCCTTGCGGCTGCGTCCGATCATCCAAGCATCGTCAAGAACTCGGCCGCCCTAACAGCCTGCTTCAAAGGATTGGCTCCGAGTGACGACGACATGTTTGACCTGGAGTCTGAAAAGTCTCAGGCGGAAAAGGATCGTGCGGTCCTGGAGGTGCAAGGCGACATGGCGTCACTCCGTGAGAGGATCGAGACGACCATTGCGCAAGTGGTGGAACGCTGGGACGGAGATGTCGAGATTGCAGAGGCGAGTCAGCTATCATGACTTTGAAAACTTATCGGTCTAGGCTATCTCATCCCTTATCAAACACTCCGTCATGTCGTCTTCACCCACTCTCGTCTCGTTATCTCCATTACCGCTCTTACGCCTCGTCACATCTGCAGCTGAGCGCTCACCTTCTGGGATATGGTTCTCCCTCGCCTCGACACTGGTTCTCAGGCTAAATTCTCCGCCATCTCCGCTGACCATGAAGAAGGGTGGGTGCGTGATGTGTTATCGTACTGATGCCAGATCGTACGGCTGAAGAGGAGGAATCTCATCGTCGACAAGAAATGGAACAATGGAACGTCGTTGGAGATACGGGTTCGAGACTGGTCGTCATTGCCGGCGCATTGATCAGTTCAAGAGAATCTATGAGAGATGTAAGGGCGTTGAAACTCAGACTGGCTGATGAGACAGCACCCTGACATGGTAGAGACCTGGTTCAAGTTCTGCTCAGCGGTCGGTGCAGCGCGTCGTATCTGTCCTGACAACCCAGATATCGACCCGTTTCCCTGGTGTTCTCATGCGTTTACCAAGGGATCTGCTCCAGATCTATGTGGGTATCGGCGTGGTGGGCCTCAGTGCTCAGGAGCGATTCTCACTGAAAGCAACGTGCGACTTCTTCGTAAGTCTGTCGTGGCTTGACCTCCTCTGAAAGCCAGATCTCTCTCATGGCTTCCACCAAGTACCCCTCGCCGCTTGAGGAGTCCACCATTTCCCTCTTGCAGCACTTTGGAAGTCAGATGCTGCGCGCCATCCTGCTTTCCGCTGGGTCGGAAGGTCCACGCAGTGTCATTCCGAATCTTGCCGAACTGCTTGCGGCGTTCGTCCAGCGGGTGCCTGGAATAGATGTGGGTACATGGATGTCGGAGATTCTGGCCGAAGATGGGTTCCCCGATCCTCGGGCAACGGACGATGCAAAGGAGAGACTCAAAGACATTGTCACAAGGTGAGGGAGAGGCACGACAAGTCACAGGATTGACAACGTGCCAGATCACGGACGACCAAAAAGATGCGGGAGGCGCTCAATGATTTTGCGCTGGTCTCGCGTGGACTGGCCAACACGACGTACGGTAATGCGACGATCATGTAGACATTTATATCATTCCGCCTTCCCTCAGGCATCTAGCCAAGAGATAGGTGACTCTACGATTTCTCTCGGGGCCATTCTGCCAATCTTGCCGCCTGCCTTCTGATGTGTCCCATTTGAACACTTTGAGGTTCCCTGAGATGTTTTCAGGTAAGCATCCCTCTATGAACTCTGTCATGATGTCGCTATCCTCCTCTGCGCCTACATGTTCGATTTCGAGGAAGATACTGGATGCTGTTGGGGCGGGGAGACTGTGTACGGTGACGACCATCTGCGGACCAGGTGGAGACAATGGTGGGAAGGCGAATGAGGTGATGAGTAGTGATTGACCAGGCAGGGGTGTTGGAACAAGGGAAGACTGCGTGGCAGTCGCGGAAGCTGCTGATTTGGCTGATTTTGACAGACCCATGACGAAGGGGTTCATGAGGTTTTGAAGGAGTGCTAACGGGACGGCAGAGGGTTTGACGGCCAGGATCTTGTATTTGTCTCTAGGTTGAGGCTCTGATTCTGAGGAATCACCCTTGTTTTCTAGAAATAGATACGTCGTATCATCTTTCACTGAAGAACTGTTGTTCCCTTGAGCCGACGGCTGAGAGTAGGAAATGGCGGAGAGATGACGTGAAGACTGGGATTGCGCCGAAGGGTCGAAAGAAGCTTTGAAGGATCGGATGTGGATGGACGAACGGACTAAGTGGCTTAGCTGGATAGATCGGTCAGTCTATCGCAACGCGGGCTTGGACTTGCATTATAGTGTTCCAGGAGTCGAATGAGAACGAGATTGCCTAGATTCCCCGGTGGCTGAGAAACAGTCCATTGTGCAATACTGAGAGATGATCAGAACACTCTCTCCCCCATTAGCTCGCCGATCGCCATGCTCACACTGTATAGCCCATTGGTATATTGTTCGAAATGCATCAACATCCATCCCATTGTGAGACTGTGACTCTCGGTCTGTCGGCCGGAAGTATTTCGGGAATGACGGAGATCTCGACAGGGACTTCGAGTCGAGCTTGGCTTTGTAAGATGTAGATCTACGTCTGGTCCTCTCACGACACACACCATGCGACCACTTGAACCACCATGAGACTCCCATTCGCACCTCGAAAACGGGTCTCTACATCTTCCGATCGGAAAGTCGGATCTCCTCCTGAGATTGTCTTGGCCAACAAGAATCATGATCGACCATGGTATGGTAGCGTTCGAACCGTTGGTACGGAATCCTTGGATCTCGAAGCGGATCTGACCATCCCATCTTACGGAGTCATTTTTCTCAACCCTCCTGAAGAAGCCAAGATTGATGCGCAACTTCGAGATATAGAACCAGTCTTCGACCATATCTTGACGGGGACGTTCGAGATCAGCCTTCCGTCCCATGTTCAGAAGGCGACGTACAATGTCATCCGGATCGGGGTGGAGAGTATCTCATACCTTGATATGGGGCCTCAAAGAGGAATAGAACGAGATGAATTGTTCAGAAGGGAGATGGTGTTTGATCAATCTCCACAAATCATCGAAGGAAGCATCACCGTCGGTTTCTCACTCATCATTCCCTGTTCACTCGCCCTTGAAGATTACCATCGGGATTCAAGCGTACTCACCTCACTGTACGCAGTCATAGATGGAAAAGATGTCACGCCGGAGAGGATCCAATCTGACTTTGGCAGCTTGTCTCTCTCACACAAGGATCAAGTGGCTTCTGCCAAGTATCCTGATCCAATCGCCAATCATGCGTTTCGCGATCGTCCAAAAGATCAATCGAGCCATTCATTGGCAGAGATCACTTTGACCGGGCAACGAATCATAGAGAGACCGCTGAGAATGGTCCATAATCCTGAACCGAATGGAGGAGTCAGCATTCTTGACGAACAAATCAGAGGGAATCTTCGAGCTATTGGACGATACGATATCAGATTGTACTCGGAAATTGTGAGTGAACAACATGTCGCGCCTTTGGTTTCGCTGACGAATCGCTCTCAGTGGACGCTAGCATCTATCCTCAAGAGTACGATCGCCATCACCGACATTGCCCCCGATGTCACCATCTTTGGCTTTCGTGTACAAGTTGTCCAGACGAACGATATGACTTCTCCGCGAGATGGTCAAACAATCAGCAAGACAACAACCGTACCTATCATTCAGCAGGGAATGAACGCTCAGACCCTTCCTCGGTTTCCTGGTGTGAAAGCACCGGCATTGTGGCGCGGTACCAACGCTGGAGGGACAGATCACGAAGTCTTTCTGGTCGAGGCAAAAGGTAGAATACCAACCGATACACACCTTCGCCCATCCACTCCACCGAGGTGAGTCCTCTCTTGAAGTTTGACCGTATTGACTATGTTACAGCGTCGAAACGCCTATCAAGGTATCTCATCGACTTGGGATTGAAATCTATTTCTCCATTGCTGGCGAGGATGCGTCGGGTAACAAGCTGCCCGGCAACGTGCCCGGTCAGCTCACCGTGCTGTCGATCACAAAATCAGTCTTCATGCCTTCCGTGAGTAGCCCACCTCGTGCTGAGACTGACTATTCTCCTAGTGCTGGCTCATGCCTGACGTCTTGAGACTGCCCAAATGTGAGTCCTCCACCCGCCCGTTCATCCAAAGACTCACACGTGGACAGACGATTCCGAAACCGGGCATTTGTGTACCCATCGCCAATGTACTTCTGTGGATCTGTGGGACGCCTGTGCATGTGTGTTGACGGATGAGCAGATTGAAGAGACTTTCAAAAGGTTCGCTCCAAAGACCACAGATGGGTCGGAGGAGACTAGAGCGACCACGATGCGTAGAAAAGCAGAAGCTGAGGGGAGAGTATGGACCATCGAGGAGTATCCTGTCGAGTAGACGGTGCCATAGCTACATGTTTCCCCAGAATTCAGTCTTCACCGACCTCAATCATGTATCTGTAGCTTCCAGAATTCCGTTCCACTGTGACCGGCCATGCAACTGCCACGTGACCCTCCAACTATTTCGCGACTTCGCGAACATTGTCTCGAACTTCTCCAGTCTACCTCGACCACCGTGTCTTCAGCCTCAACATGAACATCTGGGCAGACGAGGTCAGTAAGGCGCCCTCTGACAAGTCTGACAAATTTTAGGCAACCGAAGAGAGGGGCGAGAATGCCCGTCTTTCCTCGTTCATTGGAGCGATGGCATTGGGTGATTTGGTCAAATCAACGCTTGGACCAAAGGTGCGTCAGGAGAGTTGCTCACGATCTCAGCTGACAGAGTGACAGGGAATGAACAAGATTCTTCGTGAGATCATCACCCTTTGCTTTAGACGTGCTGTGCCTACTGACACGGTTCAGAATCGGCGTCGAACTCTGGCATCACCGTGACTAATGACGGAGCAACCATTCTGAAGTCTATCTCACTTGACAATCCCGCTGCGAAAATCCTCGTCAATATCTCGAAAGTGCAGGACGATGAGGTTGGAGATGGGACAACATCAGTCTGTGTCCTCGCATCCGAGCTGTTGAGAGAGGCAGAGAAACTCGTGACCATTCAAAAAATCCACCCCCAGACCGTGGCGGAGGGATACAGAGTGGCCAGCAAAGCCGCTTTGGATGCTCTTCAATCTTCGGCCATTGATCACTCCAACGACGAGAAGCATTTCCGTCAAGACCTCTTCAATATTGCTCGAACGACTCTCAGCAGTAAAGTCTTATCAGCGGACAAGGATTACTTTGCCAATCTCGCTGTGGATGCCGTCCTCAGATTGAAGGGATCCACAGATTTGGAGCACATTCAAATCATCAAAAAGCCAGGCGGCAAGCTCACAGACTCTTACCTGGACGAAGGTGAGTCCGATCCAGGGAGGCATGATGCTGACGGACAGGCTTCATTCTTGATAAATCCATCGCGACAAATTCCCCAAAACGCATAGAGAATGCCAAGATCCTCATTGCGAACACCTGTTAGTTGTTTCTGAACCGGCATGTCTGACATCATAGCGATGGACACGGACAAGATCAAGATCTTTGGTGCCAGGGTGCGCGTAGACGGAACCAGCAAGTTGGCAGAACTGGAGCGGGCAGAAAAGGCAAGTTCTGAAAAAGTTATGTTCGCACTGACGGGAGTAGGAGAAAATGAAGGCCAAGGTCAACGCGATCGCCTCGCATGGTATCACATGTTTCGTCAACAGACAACTCATCTACAACTATCCCGAGCAACTGCTAGCGGAAAGTGGCATCATGGCCATTGAGCACGCGGATTTCGAGGGTGTCGAGCGTCTGGCTCTGGTCACCGGGGGCGAAATTGCCAGTACTTTTGACGCGCCCGACAAGGTCAAAATTGGAAGATGTGAGGTCATTGAGGAGATCATTATTGGCGAGGACAAGGTTTGTGTTTTGCCTGCGCGACCAAGGCTGACCTTTTCAGTTGATCAAATTCTCTGGCGTCGCGGCTGGCGAGGCATGCACTGTGGTGCTCCGAGGTGCCACCTCCCAAATGGTCGAGGAGGCGGAGAGGTCACTGCACGATGCTCTCTCTGTCCTCTCACAGACTGTCAAGGAGACTCGTGTGACCTTGGGAGGAGGTTGTGCAGAAATGTTGATGGCCTGCAAGGTGGACGAGGCGGCCAGGACAGTCAAGGGAAAGCGTGCACTTGCAGTGGAAGGCTTCGCGAGGGCATTGAGACAGGTGCGTAGGGCTGTCATTCAAAGCTGACAACAGATCCCCACCATTCTCGCCGACAATGGTGGATACGACTCCTCTGACCTGGTGACTCGACTGCGCGCTGCTCATTACGAGGGCAAGAGTGATGCTGGTCTGGATCTGGATGCAGGAGCCATTGCTTCAATGAAGGATCTAGGGGTCACAGAGTCATACAAGCTCAAGAAGCAGGTCGTCGTCAGCGCCAGCGAAGCGGCGGAGATGATCTTGAGGTGGGTGCACCTATACAGTATAGCACTGACCTCGTCCTAATAGGGTTGACAACATTCTACGCAGTGCGCCGAGGCGGAGAGAAGCCATGTAGAGAACATGTTGAATAGATGCAACCCTTTAGAAAAATGCCACGTCACATTTGGATTCGGACCTAAAAAAAAAAATTATTGAGCGAGAGATCTGCACGCGTGCAGTTAGCGGTATTGCTCATCACATCTAACCTATTGCGCCTGCCCATCTTGTAACTTGTACCCACTGCTTCACCATGTCCCCTCATGCCAACGGCAACTCCCACGCTGGCTCATCATCCGTTCCTTCTCGTTCCGCCGAGCCGCTTCAAGCATCCGAAGCTCTGTCGGTGCTGGAGTCTTACCACCATGGAGATGGATTGTCAGTCTCGAAGCTGATGGACTCGAGACGAAATGGAGGATTGACTTACAATGACTTTCTCATCCTCCCCGGCCACATTTCATTCCCTGCTTCCGCCGTGTCCCTGCAGACCAAGTAAGCCCCCAAGCCAAGACCGCTTTCTAATGGGCCAGGGTCACACGAAAGATCACACTCAACACTCCATTCCTCTCCTCGCCTATGGACACTGTGACGGAAGAGCGCATGGCCATTTCACTCGCTCTCCATGGAGGATTGGGTATCATTCACCACAACTGTACTGCTGAAGCTCAAGCCGCCATGGTCCGCAAGGTCAAAAAGTATGAGAATGGATTCATCACCGATCCAATCTGCTTGGGTCCAGATGGAGTTGTCGGAGAGTAGGTCTCAACGCGGACGACATCGTCTAATCTTCTCAGCGTGCTCGACATCAAGGCGAAGTTTGGTTTCTGCGGAGTTCCCATCACTGAGACCGGCAAGATTGGCGGCAAGCTCCTCGGTATCGTGACTGGTCGAGATGTCCAGTTCAGAGACCCATCCGCCACCCTCAAATCTGTCATGACCACCGAACTCGTTACTGCCAACTCTGGCATCACCTTGGAGCAAGCCAACACCATTCTCAGAGATTCCAAGAAGGGCAAGCTTCCCATTGTCGATGCTTCTGGCCACTTGCTGTCCCTCGTTGCTCGATCCGATCTGCTCAAAAACCAAAACTTCCCCCTTGCTTCCAAGGAACCCAACAGCAAGCAATTGTACTGTGGTGCTGCCATCGGTACCCGGCCAGGCGACAAGGACAGGCTTAAGCTTTTGGTCGAAGCAGGTCTTGACGTTGTCGTCCTTGACTCGAGTCAAGGCAATTCAGTCTACCAAATTGAGTTCATCCAATGGATCAAGTCGACTTTCCCACATCTTGAAGTGATCGCTGGAAACGTCGTCACTCGTGAACAAGCAGCTCAGCTCATCGCTGCTGGCGCCGATGCTCTCAGGATCGGCATGGGTAGTGGATCCATTTGTATCACTCAAGAGGTCATGGCCGTGGGACGTCCTCAGGGAACGGCCGTCCACGCGGTGTCAGAGTTCGCCAGCCGGTTCGGCGTTCCCACCATTGCCGACGGAGGTATCGGAAACATTGGGCACATTGCCAAGGCCATTGCCCTCGGAGCCAGTGCCGTCATGATGGGAGGTCTGTTGGCAGGTACCACTGAATCACCCGGAGAATACTTCTACCACGAGGGCAAACGAGTCAAGATTTACCGAGGTATGGGGTCCATCGAAGCCATGGAACACACTGCCAAGGGCGTTCAGGCCGCTGCGGCATCCAGCGTCGGTCTCGACAACGCCGCCACTGCCAGATACTTCTCGGAGGCCGACACTGTCAAGGTGGCTCAGGGTGTTTCTGGAGATGTGGCGGACAAAGGCAGTATCACCAAATTCGTCCCGTATCTCTACACTGGTCTTCAACATTCTCTGCAGGACATGGGAGTGAAGAGGTGAGCGGGCTATTCAGGACACTGCTCATTTTTTTCCCAAGTGTTACGGATTTGCAACGTGACTGCCGCGCAGGAATCGTGCGATTCGAGTTGAGAACCGCTTCTGCCCAGGTCGAAGGAGGCGTCCACGGTCTCAACAGCTACACCAAGCGTCTGTTTGCTTAGGCTTCATTACATGTCATGCATGTCTACTGTACAACTAAATGTCAAGGTCTGCGCCTTTTACTACCTGCTAGCTGATAGCTTGAAGTGTCGGGATGTGTCAAAGCCACAGCTCTGGCCTCTATCATCCGTCTGACCAGAGCTTCGGCATCGTCACTGGTGAATGAATCCTTGTCCTTCTCGGCTTTGGCATCTGCTCCTCGCGACATGGGCTCGAAGGCCTCCCAGATAGGATACAAAACGATGATATCTTGTATACAGGCGAACAAGATTGGGAGGGAGACTTCGAAAGAAGCGAAGAATTCAGCCACCCCAGTGGGCGGGGCATCCAGACCCAACGCTGCATTGATGTCTGTTGACGATGCGAGATTCGTCACTTGAAATGAGGACCCTCTGGTCGTCCTCGTGCCAGTAGGATTGTTCTTCGCAACAAAGCAGAAGCCGATATAGAGTACAGCCAGAGAGATGACATAAGGCGGGTACAGCAAGTGGACATCGGTTCGGTAAGTGTCGTTTATCACGAACCTGTTCGTCAGATTGGTTCTTGTGCACTGAACCCACAAGCACATCTGGACCACTCCCTCGTCGATATCCATCAGTCCTTCGCCACTGCCTCTGCCCATCAACCTTCTTATTCGCTTTTCTTCAGATTCTTCCCACTCTCCACCAGACACATCATCGATCATAGCGTTCATTCTGCCCACGCCTAGGGATACTTTCCTAGCGTCTTCATGTTTCCGTCTGGCTTCTGTCTCTTTCCGCTTGATTTCTGCATCTTCTTCCACTCGACTCTTTGCAAATTTGCCCGAGTCTGCGGGTTCTCGACCACATATGTGAAGCAGCGAACGATAAGGATGAAAGACGACAAGATGAAAGTCTAAATCCTCCAAAAGGTAGAATTCCATCTCGCCAACTTTGGTAGGTTCCGGCGAGAACATTCTGATACCATTTTCTAGACTCGTCAGCGGAGAGACGAGATATTGATGCCTACCTGTGAAGACGATCTTCGCATCATTGACGACCACTTTGATATGTACCGGTGTTTCCTCCACCTTTGCAGCGACAAACAAGCACGCGGCGATGACAAGGTAGGGATTGGTCTCGCAGTAATGATTCTTGAGATAGAAGCGTCGGAACAGCACTGTGGCCGTGGCGATGGGGATTTGGCGCAGGTTCAGCTTCTTCCCCAGCTATAACAAGTATCAGCAGCTGCGCCGCCGCACCATGCAAGAAAGAGATACCTTTTGGATCAAGTTTGCGAACCAGATACCTAGGCAATACAGTTGACGAGGGGTCGCATATTGTGAGTCCAGCGATCTGGCCGCAAGCAGATGCGATCTAGTGACTAGCCAGTATCGGCAATGTGACGATGACCAAAAGGAAGACGACATGGTGTCATCTCAGCATCGTGGTCGGATGAGGTAGGACAGTGAATAACCCACCAGCCGTCGGCATTTCAATCGAGCTTCTTTCTTGAAATTTTGTTTTGACACTTCGATCATACATCCCGCCGTACAAGCTGCTGTCCAGACTTTTATATCGAGGAGCGAGCAGCTCACTCAGCTTGCATCGCAACATGTCCGAGGCTGTCGCTGGTCCCTCCAAGCGCAAGCTGGAAGGGTACGACTTTTATAGGAGTATTGGGAGTCCAAAATTCGTGGTCGCTCCGATGGTGGATCAGAGTGAACTGGTGTGGTTGGGTTCGACTAGCTTCCGCTGACAGCGCAGGCTTGGCGACTATTGTCAAAAGCTCCTCTGCCGCCTGCTATGGCTGGACCTTCCATACCGGCGACAGCTGAAGTTCCGCATACTCGACATCAAGGTGGAGCTCACCTCACTTACACGCCCATGATCCATGCTGGAGTCTTTGCGAGATCCGTCAGGGAGTCGAAAGGGGGTGATGGGCAATTCGACTTGACATTCGGTGAAGAGGGTAGCTCAGACACTCTAGCGGGTATTGAGGGTGGAGACAGACCTCTGTTCGTCCAGTTCTGTGCCAACGATCCCGAGGTTCTATTAGCCGCGGCGAAGATGGTGGAAAAGCATTGCGATGCGGTCGACATAAACTTGTAAGTCGGTATCAGTGTCTCTAATTTGACCATGCAGTGGCTGTCCTCAAGGAATAGCAAGGCGAGGAGGGTATGGAGCTTTTTTGCAGGACGATTGGGAGCTCATTCGTAAACTAAGTGAGCGGATCAGGTGCGCTCTGCAGCTAAACCCCTCTCCTCAGTCTCGACGCTGCATGAAAATCTCTCAGTACCCGTCACTGCCAAGTTTCGAATATTCCCAGACCTGGAGCGCACACTTGCATATGCCAAGATGATGCAAGATGCTGGAGCTCAAATTCTCACATGTCATGGTCGAACAAGGGAGATGAAGGGTCAACACACTGGACTGGCGGACTGGAAGATCATCAAAGCGGTCAAAGAGCATCTCACCATTCCAGTCTTTGCCAACGGCAACATACTCTACCGCGAAGATGTCGATCGATGTCTAGAAGAGACCGGCTGTGATGGAGTCATGACAGCGGAGGTGGGTCTAGCTCAAAGAATGCTCACTAAAGGCAGGGCAACCTCTCAAATCCTGCCATCTTCTTGCCACCGGATCACCCGCATTTTCACCCATCCGTCATAACACTCGCCAACCGATACATTGATATTGTCGAGTCCCTCAGCACTCAAACTGCTCTTTCAGCCATCAGAGCGCACATGTTTAGGCTATTCAGACACGTCCTCGATGAGGATGATGGTACTATACGAGACATGATACTTCGAGCAAAGGCGCCGTACGGTCAGCCGCTGGAGGATTTCCGTGAGATAATTCGGGCTTTCGAAGAGAAACTCAAGGTGGAGTCATGGTTTGCGACCGTACTGACAAGCTCAGGATGCAAAAGCGGCTGCTGGCCCGGACTGGAAAGCCGAACCTTTAGACTCAGCTACAGGGTATCGTAAACTGCCCAGCTTTGCCGCTCAGCCTCTGCTGCGAGCTATTCCAGAATCGTCTGAAGTTGGCGGCAATGAGGAGTTGGTGGCGGGGGAGCTCAGAGCTAGTACGATTGCAAGAATGAGACGTCGGCTGATGAACCAGGATCGACTTCACCGCTACCAAACATGCCCGTTCATTGTGTCTGGACAGGACCCAATCCCTGCCACGGTGTCGCCGCATCTCGATGTCCTACCGGCGCTTGCATCATACATTGTCGCATGATCCGCGCCATCGAAGATGGAATGGATCCCCAGACTGCGTCTGACTTGTCCGCGCGAGGCGAGCTCGCAGGAAGAGGCTGCGAGGCCCACGAGGCAAAAGTGCTCGCTAAAAAGGCACTGAAACAGCAAAAGAAGAAGGTAAAGGCAGAGGCAAAGGAGTCGATGCGTTTCAGGAAAGCAGAGGCAAAGCGAAAGCGCGTGATAGCGAGGGAACGCCAGAGTTAGATGCTAAAGTCCCGAGACTGGGTCAACAGGAGATCCACTCATAGGTCTATATTGCATGCCCATGAGAGTGTCATTTCAGTGCATATCCGAAGGAGCAGTCTCAAGCCTCCCTTTTCTGAGCAACGAGTTGGTTACCCAAACTCTCTGCTCTAGCAGCACCTCCTCTGATGGCCGCGTGGGCCACAGCATCATCCGCAGCCCTCCAGCCTGGACCTTGGGCTGGTGTTTTTGTCACTGCAACATTGTCCTCTTTCTTGGTTCTCATAGCGGTTCCTGGAGGTCCGAAGAGGAAACCCTTGACTTTTTCAGATACCTTGAGCTTGGAGGAATCCTCAGCCGGCTTCGTCGGTGTCCCCTTGCTTGAACGCTCTGTCCCTCTCGAGTTACCCCTCAAATACAGTTCCAGATATTTCGTCGATAACTTGCGCTTCTCCAATTCCTTCCTAACCGCTTCAACCTCCTTCTGCCGTTTCTCCTCAGCTTTCTCTTTCTCCTCATCATCCATCTTCTTCAGACTGGTCCTCCAAGCCGCCACCTCTTTCTCAAGTCGGATCTTGGTCTCGTCGTCTTTCTCAGACTTTCGCTTCCTCAATTCTCTAGCTGGCCAAGCTTCTCCTCTGCTCGAGCTAGACGATGATAACGAGGATGACGATGATGCTGATATGCTCTTTGCTTCTGAGTCGTATGCTGAACCTAGTATCTTGCCGAGTGCAATAATCAGCAGAGTGGCCAAGGCGCAGAGCGCAGCGACCCAAGGAAGCAGGGGCGGTCGGGCAACTGAAAACCCAGGGAATGGGCTCATCCTCAGTGCCTTGAGATGAGCCTCTGATGCGGATAGCTGCACCTCTGTACTTGTCAGTCGTCGATGAGTGGCAGCACCTACGGGGGAAGGCATTGCCTGCCGGCATCTTAAATCTTGGCATTGGCATTGTACCGATCTGGCGGACGGACAGGTCTGGTCGAGCTCGAGCTCGAGGATGCGGTAGCGTTTGGACGCCTCTTGCCCTCTTTGAATGAACGAAAGCCCCCTCATTCTGCTTTGTCACTTCAGTCCACCATCGCCTCCAATCTGCACCATCCTCAGCTCCGGTGATCCATTGCGCCACATCTCTGAAAGCACCTGGGTATAAGCCTACGCAGAGAACGACCGCGCCTGCGATAGTAATGAATGCTGTCGTCTGCCACAGATCATCAGTGGAAAAGGGTAGATGCGATGTGTCAGGAGGTCTGGCCCCGACCGAGAACAACAGAAGCGGGATCACAGGAAGCAGTAGGAGGAGAATGAATGGTCCAGGTAAGATGGAAGGGATCGCCGAAGCCGTAGGCAGAATGACGGACTGCATGGTGAGTGAGCGCCCCAACGCCAGGACGAGCTTGGAATGTCAATGTAGCGCTGATGATCAAAGGATGACCCAGGGATGAGTATCAATGGATGGCTCATGCATATTGAGATTGTCCATGATGATGCGGGCTCATGCCTTGCTGAAAGACTGCCATCTAAAACATTGTCAGCGCAAGTTCCGGAAACTGGAACTCACGCGTCGCTGAGGATGCCGAACACTGCACTCGCCAACATCCTTTGCTCCACGGTCGTATTGCTCACATTCAACTGTTCATGTCAGCTCAAAGACGTCGAGGAGGAGCCAACCTTGTCAGGATGAAGCCGGGCGATGACTTTCATGTACTTGATCTTGACTTGCTTGTCCTGTATCAATTCGTGCATACCGACTTTGAGACCGCCAGCGAGGATGTCGTCCCACAGCACAGTATCCAGACTCGCGATCAGAGCACGTAAGTTTTCCTCCTTGCCTGACTTCCACGCCTGCACCCGCGCATCTACCTTGTCCTTGATGGCTAGCCGTTGCGCTTCTTCAGCTTCGTTTGCTGCTGCTGCTTTACGCAATTCAGCCACCGCTTCCGACTTGTTCAAGTCTGCTGATCTCGACGCAGGCGGCCTCGGTCGAGTCGCCTGACTGACTGCAGCTGGCTTTGCGGGAGCTGGAGTGGATATCATCTTGCGGCAGCGTCTGCCACCCTCTACAGCCAGATTTCGTGTAGAAGCCGAACCGGATCCCAGCATTGTAGAATCCATGCTTACGATTCGCTCCCAATCTTCCGCAGCCAGCGACCACTTTTCGGCCATCTCAGCGGCTTGAGCACGTTTGATAATTGCCTTGACGAGGGCGTCACTGAGCTTGACGTCGTTCGCCAGACTAAGCGGTAACGGCTCCTCCTTGGCCGGATGATACGAAAGACCGATCAGGTTTACGACAACTGTCGCATCCTGGATGGCGTTGGCGCTATCACCTGCTTTGAGTCGCGCGGCCGCTCTGTTATTGTATAATGGGACAAGGAGGAGATGCCCTTCCGGAAGTGATGTTATTGCTCTGGAGTAGGCCGCTTCGGCTTCCGGGAATCTACCGAGCTTGAAGTGTTCATTACCGGTCGCTTTGTGGTTCTGGGCCGCTTGACTCTGGGCGGGAGTGGCATCGATGAGTTTGCGTTTGATGAGAGGAGTTGACGGACGTGGTGGGGGAGTCGAGCGTGGAGGCGGCGTTCGCTGAGCTCTGATCGGCGGCGCTCTTGATGAGGGCTGATCATCGACGTCGAGTAGATTCCGGCGGGGCTCGTTTCGATGTACCGGAGGTGGGCGTGAAGGCCCGGGAGGTGAGGGGGCAGGCCGTGACTGCCCAGTCGTGCGGCGCACAGGTACTACATGGTCCTCCGGATCACTGTCATCCTTGAAGCCTGGACGGACATCCTCTTGTCGATCGACCGTTTCGGCATCCACCATCCACCTTGGTCTCCCATCTTTCCGAGGCTCGCGAGGCCGATCAGTGTCCATGGCTCGTCTCTGCTCTTCGTACGCCTTCAGGGCCTTCTCTTTTCCAGTATTCCACAGAAGGGTTGCTTTCCCAAGCATAGATTGTCCAATCTCCGATGCTTGTGCGATGAACTTGTCTGCCGAGTCCACGGTCGGAGCGGATGCACGACCAATCTCCTCCTTAGTCCTCGCTTTGACAGAGTCTCTCGAAGGTCCAGCTCGCCGCCTCCGGCGCCTCTCCTCTTCCTCCTGACGTCTCATATCGTCCTCACGGTCCTCCGGAGAACGCCTCGGTTGTTGAGCCACCAGAGACTCAATAGCAGCCTCCACGTCGACACCGCTGGGCGTACTTGCAAGCGCAGCTCGCGCCTTGTCGACAGAGAATCCCATCTGAACCAGCTGACCCAGTACATGGGGCGGTGGAGATCTCGACCTCTGCGCAGGCGCTCGCTGTCTAGGCGGAGGGCTCCGTTCGACGGCCTGACTCGGCATCAGCCATTGAGGTGGAAGAGAGCTCCTCACTCACCTCACTGAGCGGCCTGACTGGACGTGAGAGATCACCGAGCACGTCTTCCTCTTCATCAGACTCAGACTGACGGTTCTCGCCAAAATCAAAGTCGGATTCAGGTGTGCGCATACCCGACGAGATTTTATCAACTTTAAGCTGTGACGTTCTAGCTGCTAGAGCGTCAAAGTCGAACGGATCGTTCACTGCCTGCGGTGAAAGTTTCCTGACCGAGGTAGTGGAACTCGACGAAGCGCCACCACCTAACAGATCATCATCCCATGACGGAGCGAGAAGATTCGGAGCTGCTGAAGGCGGTCTCGTGACGGGTCCCGAAGGCGTGGGTTGAAGGGGCACACTGGATTGAGGCTTGTTCCCCAGATTATCCCAGAAGGAGGAATTGGCCTCGAATTGAGCTCGTTCATAATCTGCTTGCCTTTGACGTTCAGTCGCACCTTGCGCTTGTCTCTGAGCTAGACTCAAGCTTTTGTTTTCCGTACTCTGGGAACCGTTCAAAGACAAGAGTGAGCTGAACGCGTCGTGCGCGCTTGCAGAAACTGCCGAAGCCGGTGTAGCACTACCAGATTTCGTCTGACGAGATCCACTTGCCTGAGGCTGAAGACGAGATTGAAGTGCCGGTGGTAGATTAGGCGTAGAAGGGGTACTCGAGTGATAGTTTACACCATTACCTTGGGCTTTGGGTTGGGCGAGGAAGTCAAACGAGCTGGGTGTCGGTCTTGGCGGAGCAGAGAGAGGAGGTGGAGCAGGCTTTGTGGAGGATGAGGAAGGGCTGGACGACCAGTCGAGGCTGATGAGATCGTCCATCTTGAGGGGTATGAAGGTGTCTGTCCGTGCAAGAGAGAATACTCCTGTGAGGGACCGCCTACAAATCGGGGTCGTGTTGATGCGGAAGCAAAATTCAGAGGAGGTCTGTGGCTTAGCCACGTACCAGAGAAGAAGTGCACATACAACAGGGCAAGGGAAGCAAGGGCATGAGAGAGCCTATAGCATGCGATATTGACTACCTCACGTAGACTCCAAGTGAGTCCTCGCATCGCACTAAGACGAGGAGTGGCAGTCCGAACCTTGCACCTGCCTCATTTCCTCAGCTTGAAAGTGAACGGGCATCGAGGCCATCGTCAAAGAATATCACGCTGAGAATCCTCAGTACCCGACTCTGTCATCTCTCTGCTCACGTTACGGTCACATCATCCCTTAGTGACCTAGCGATATCGCCATTGACACTCAGCAACTCCGATCTCAGCTGCTTGTCACCGCCACCCATACTGTTTCGGATCAAGTGCGTCGCTGCATTCTTATCTCCAGCATACACCCAGCTTTTCGCCCATCTGCTTGGTGTACCGGGCAGATCTTGCGCAGGGTAAAGTCGTTCAGCTGGAGGATCGGCGAGCGAGAAGATCTTCGGTAGTTGATCCGCAGGAATGTCGGGGTGTGTCCGATGAGCGATGTGAGATGCGACCAGAAGCGTAGCCTCTTCTGACGTTATTCGGTCCCATACTAGCATTTAGCTGTGAAATGGCCAACGACTCACATCCGTCCGTAGCCATGATGACGAACCGCAGCTTCTCGTCGCTATTCGACAGTTTTCGATGCGATACTTCCGGTCTTGCGGTTACATAAGGAGGCGTGTAATGATTGGGAGCCTGCCGCCGGCTCTTGACTCCCTCCTGCTTGTAGATTTCGGACACCCTTGTTCATGTCAGCGTGACAAAGTGACGGACATGAGCTCACGCGGCGTGCTGTGCTGCCGTCCATTTGTAGTTCGCATCTCCGAACGCTCTGGTAGGTTGAAGACCTCCCTGAATCCTGCCTCGACGAATGACGGTCTCCGATTCCGAGGCGGGATGCTCAGACCTCATTCTGTACGTCGTCAAAAACCATGTCGGATCACTAGACTCACCTAGCGACTTCTCTCGGGTTCTCTCCCATTTGATCCTCCGTCAAAACATCGCACCTCCATGTGCCGTCCTTTGACTGCCAACCTGCCACCGCCCGACAGTCACCTGTGATTGCCACGTAGAGGTCATCATGCTCCGCATCGACAATAGTCGACACTGCGCAGGCTCCGTGCATCCCGGGCTGAGATAGTGCCACAAACGTCTGAGCTGGTGTGCCATTGGCGCTGCCTTCCGAGTTCACTGCCTGTCGGCTCATCCCTGGCAGAAGGGCCAGAGGGGCAAAGCACAGGTTGTAATCCAGGGTCAAAAATCTGAAGCTTTCAGACACAATGATAAGATACTACTCACGCTTTCTGCAGCGCCTCCGTCACACCAGTTGGAGTCCAGCCCTTGGCCCCAGTCCATAAGCCTTTCAATCCACGGTCCATCCATCCGGTCTGACCAACCTGTAGACCAGCTAAAGCCAGAGCCAGCGTTGGATTGAGCGTCTTCGACAGCAATTCACTGGTGGCAGATCCGGCATGTCCATCGAATATGGAGAAGAACGTCAAGTCTCTGTCTCCCTCTATCCTAGGTCGTGTCGGAGTATCTGATTCCCAAATCTTCCACCATGGTCGAACCTCGGAGCTTCCGCGGATTCGAGGCACCAAGTCCACCGCAGACCTATCCTCGGGCGGCTCATTACTTCCTAGCCAATTCCTATCCCATCGTACAACGGGATTTCCAGGTCGCCCGATCCGCTGCCCGTCCTCATTAGCGTGTAACATCTTCTCAATCTCAGCTTCGGATTTGCGAGGAAACGTATAGGTCTGGCCACCACTTTTGAAAGTGACGTTGGAGCCTGAGCCAAACGACTTGAAGTGTCCATCGTCATCCAAAAGTCCACCTTCGCCTTCGCCTGCTGATTGATAGTAGTATGCCCCTCCAGTGGCTGTGGCCAACGCCAAAAAGATGTACAAATCTCGCTGAAACGATCGACTGGACGAGCTTGCGTGCCGACGGAGAATTGACGCAGGTCCCATAAGCTTGGCTCGATGAGCCTGAGAGGTCAGTCGAAACATCCCAAGCGGACTCAGGAGGTTCTTGCCAATGCAAGTTGCACGCCAGGTTCAGTTTGGACAAAGATGAACAGAAGGCAACTGGCATATTCATGACGTCCATGATCCCGATTTTGGTCCGAAAATTGAAAACGCGACGCTTATTAGCTCATGGATGTTGTTGTTGTTGCACTCCAAGCGTCTTCGTCGAGAGCAACTCCGGTCATGGTGTTCGCCAGTCTTCTCTCCTTCACAGGAGAGATGGCAACCTTCTCACAAGTCCTTTTGGCGCTACCAATGGCTCTGGATCTGCTCGGTGTGTCTATGAATGGGCCTAGTTCTGATAACTCCTAGGTCCACCTTCATTCCTCCTCCTCTCTCTCCTCTTCACGCTTCACCATATTGTTTATTCTACACTGCGGCTACTTCTGAAGAATACCGCATTTGCTCCTCTCATCAGTATCCTATCGTTCCTCTCGCCATTCATATCGGGCTCTTTAGTCCTGCTTACCTTGTTCTTCTACCTCAACCCACCCTCACAAACACATTCTTCCTCCCTTTTCCCAACATTGACTCATGTGTTGGTCGATGTCCTGCCTTATCTCTACGCCTCTATACTTCGATGGGTATCTCCGTTATTTACATTGCTGGAAGGCGTCTGCACTCTGCTTGTGATACAGGTCGTCGGCAGGGTAGGCAAAGGCTGGGCGGATGAGGAGGAAAAGGAGGAAGGCATCGAGTGGAGGAGTCTTGCCGGATTGATCCTTGCCGCATTAGTCTACAGCGCTGGACTGGCAGGAATCATCATGGTACGTCAGGAAGGTCAGGGTTGGCGCTAATGCCCAGTCCTTCCCGACATCATCCACATTCCCCGCGTTCCTGCTTGGCGCCGCTCTGACTTCGGTGCTCTTCTTATCCCTCATCGGCTTCACGCTACGCCGGACGAACGTACTCGAGACAAGTCTAGTCTTTGTCTATGTTGCGGTGAGGTTGAATTTGCCTGATAGTTGCTGATGGTTCAGTACTGCTCTTGGCTCTCGGGCATCGAGGCGGCTATGGAGTGAGACTTCGTGCGTGGCTGTTGCTGACGGAATGCAGACCTCGACAGTATGGCTCCGGTTGGCTTTCTCCGTCACCTTCCTGGACCTCAAAGTCTCTTCCAACGAGCACACCCGATGTCAAATCTTTAGCGACGAAAGCTCTGGTCGGCATAGCAGACTCGTTTGTCTCGGTCGCTCGCACTTTGCCGCCACATTTGCTGTTGTCTCTTATCTACAGAGTGACCGTCATGCACTTGGCGGCTCGCATAGTACCGGTCATCAGAAAGAGCTCCATGGGATGGGATGATGGTATAGACAGTGCTGCTCCGGGATTCTGGGACGGCAGAAGTTTGGGAGAAGAGCCAGCCGTGAGTCCGGTCAATGTCTTGATGGCCAAACGACTGTTGATATGTGACATCAAGAATATGCGAATCGCCACGGTCGTATTGGCTTATCGCAGGACCATCCTGATAGCTGTCTACACGCATCTGTTATGTGAGCATCCAATTTAGCCCTGATCCTGACCGTGCTTCAGTACTCGACGCGGGATCCCAGACGTGGTGGCGATGGATCAATATTGCACTCTTCCTCGCTGTATGGAGCCTGGAGCTGCTGTTAGACGCAGACGACGATGCAGACAGCGTCACTAGATGGAAAGTGGAGTGATACATGTGCATGACCATTTGAAGGGATAAGTGTCATGGGCCGACCCACCGCACTGAGCCGCAGGCAGACATCAGGGCATAAAACTAATACTGCGTCTTGGCCCTGTTGCAGCGATAACAGGGATGAATCCGCTACGATGGGGAAGTGTACCTGTAAGACTGACTCAACGTCATAGATGACTTGACATTGAGGGACCACTATGAAGCTAAAGGAACGATCACACAGCGGTCTTTGACTTGGACCGCTACGATCTTCAATGCCGGAGAAAGCTGCAAAAATAAACCCAAACCTGCCCCTTACATGCCATAAATCAAAGGGTCCCCCACATCAGAATTACTGCCATTCGTTCTACATCTATCCTTCGTGCACAACTCCAGCGTGCCTTCATCAGACAGACTTCTTTGCACCGAATGAGTCCTCTTTCTTCTCTGATGCAGGCCCTGCCTGTGCTTCATCATGTCACATCGATTGACCTCAGATCCTTTGGTCTCCCGCCCCAAAGGGCCGCTTTTGTTACGCTTGGCTCTCTGTCCCTCCTGTGCTGCCTCCTTGCTCTGATGGCATCCTGATGGAAGGGGTGGCGAAGGACCTAATCAAATCACTGTGCAGAGTTGCTTCCTTGCTTGTGTTTTATGATATGATATCACTGACGTATGACCACAAGGTCCAACCGATTATATAAGAAAGACTGTTTGGTCGGCTGACCTTGTCTCAGTCCTCGACGCGAGCAGTCTTCTTCTTTCTCGAGCCTTGGGCCCTTTCTTTGATTTTCAGATCTCGCTCGACGTAGAAAGAGGCCCGTAATCCAATTGAGATCGATTCGTCTCATCATGGGGACCAGAGTCAACTCGAACACGATCGTCCATTCAGGCTTTAACGATATCGCCAGCCTCGTCCGCGGATCTAGGCCACCCATGCCTGACAAGGCTCAATGGCCGCAGAAGACTCGAGGCGGAGATGACAAGTTGAAAGGCACACCATATGAGGCTTTCAAGACGCCTCGCAAGCCGGTCAGGGCAGAGGTTGAGCGTTCCAATGGTCGAATTCAGAAGACATCGGGACCTGGAAGACGCAATGAGCGATCACAGCTAGAGCTAAGGAGGAGAAAGGTCAACAAGCGCATGATTGGGCCTCCAAAGGACTTCAGGTAAAAGTCATCATACCTTGTCTTGCTAAGTCTTGACAGGCATGTCTTTCATGCGTCCACGTATGAAGAAGCTACTGAATTACTGCTTCGATGGTCCGTTGAGGGTATGGGAGATAAGCTGGGAGGTGAGTCCATCGTATGAGACGGTCATTGACTACGTCTAGATCCTTCATGGGCTAGCCCAATCAAGCAGATTATCAAGATACGGGCCAGGGAACAGCAAGCTAGGGCTATAGCCGCTGTTGTAGAGGCAACAGTTCGGGGTCGATTAAAGCCCGCCGATGGCGACCTGTGAGCGACAACACAGTGCTTGTCGTGAATGATATGTGCTGACAGGCTTTCAGCCAGCCGCCAGGTACGCTGCGCGTGGTGAATGGTCTGCCTTCGTCCATTTATTCCTCAACAAATGACACCATGTCACCACCTCTCGATGCGCCAAGTCCAAGTGAAAGGGCGATTGGCACTGCCCGATCCTCTATCCCCTCGGTTCTCGCCCGAGGCTCGACACCAAATCTCATCGCAAACTTTCCTACTGGCTATTTCGACCGAGGCACGACTACCACCAATGGATCGAAGACACCAAGCAATCTCCTGACCAACCCATTCAATTCACCTCAAATACTGGAAGAGCCTATTCAGTCAGCAAGCGGAAGCGCGATAGTTTTAGGCAATCGCAAGCTCCGGCCTACAGCGCCTTTGGCTATCAAGAAAAAAGTCGTGCCGCCTATTGAGGAGGATCCAAGGAGCCTGTCACCCGCTCAGGCCCCGCTGCAGCGGGATCTCAGCACAAGTCGAGCCGTTGAAAAGCTGCTACAGGCTGTGAGTCCGCCAGGCGAGACCTTGCAAGCGGAGAATTTGCCTTTCAGAGTTGTGAAGCCGTCACTGGAGACTCTAGAGAGGTCGATGTCTGTGGCCCTGTTCTTTGAGCAGTATTATCACGGTTTGCTCCGCCCTCCGAAACCTCAAAGTCAGCCGGCGGATCCTGGCAATTATGTGGTCTCTCGAGCGAAGCGTCTCACTCAACTGGAGGCGACCTTTGTCCTGCCAGAGAACAGATTCATGAGCGAGGATGAGAAGGAAGCGAGACGGGACGCACTACAGCAGGAGGAGAATTGGCTGTTGAGAGAGCGTCGGCGAAAGGTGGATGTCCGGGCATTTGAACTTGGCAGAGTGATCGGACATGGAGCTTTTGGCGTGGTCAGGATAGCTCGAGAAAGGGATTCGGGACGACTCGTTGCCATGAAACAGGTAAGCCCCGCCGTCGTCACCCAAAGCTGAGGGTTCTAGCTCAGGAAAGCAGAGTAAGCAAATCTGCGCCGAATACACTGACGTCTAGCATGCTACGTAAGTCCCAAGAGGGGCATGTGAAAGCGGAGAAGGATCTCTTGGTGGCTGCTGCATCGAAGGTAATGCCAGCGGGAGACGCCAACGCTCCATCCTGGATAGTGAGATTGCATTACGCCTTTCAAGATACCGACAATCTCTACCTCGTGCTCGATTTCATGGGCGGTGGAGACCTGCTGAATCTGCTGGTGGAACTCGACAAATTCTCCGAGGATATGACTCGATTCTATGTGACCGAGATGATTCTCGCTTTGGAAGAAACGCACTCACTGGGGTACATCCACCGAGACATCAAACCGGACAACTTCCTCTTCACACCCGAAGGTCATATTCGGATTTCAGACTTTGGCCTTGCAACTGACCTGCACTGGGCGCATGATACGAATTACTATGAGCAACAGCGGCGAGCTCTGCTGAAGAAACACGGAATAGATCTGGAATTCGCGGGAGGTGCCAAGACGAAAAGGATGAAGAAGGCTGATGTGGAGCGCATCATGGGCAAAGAATGGCTCGAAGAGGGCAATGGGGTGTTGACATGGAGGGACAAGAATAGGAGAAAGCTGGCATATTCCGTCTGCGGGTGAGTCATTGGTCGCGTCACCCCATGCTGATGCAAATCAGAACCAACTCTTACATGGGTACGTTGACTTGATCTGAGCTATGCTGAGTTCTCCAGCACCCGAGGTGATCCGAGGACAAGGCTACGGCTTTAGCTGTGACTGGTGGAGTCTTGGCGTCATCAGTAAGTCGTCAGTGTGATCGCGCGAAAGCTGATCGGCTAGTGTACGAGGCACTCTATGGCTATCCGCCCTTCGTCAGCAGCTCGGTGAGTCGCCCGGGAGTCATGCATCTGATTTGGTCAGCGTCATATAACTCGTCAAAAGATGTGAGTATCATACTCATAGCTGGATCCCCGCTCACCCTTGATAGTCTCAACTGGAAGAAGAACCTCAAATTTCCTCCCACTGCTCGGGTCTCACCACAATGCACGGACTTCTTGGCTCGACTGCTGTGCGAGCCTGAAGATCGTATAGGGTCGCAGAAACCGGCTAACCCTTCTGTCCTGTCCTCTTACAGCCTGCGAATCGAGACATTAAAGGGGACAAGGATCCTTGGACTGGGATCCGATGGAGCGGCGCAACTCAAAGCCCATCCATGGTTTAAATCCGTCAATTGGGACACGATACATTCCCAGGAGCCTCCGTACGCGCCAGACTTGTATGCCGACGACGATACGAGGCACTTTGACGAGAACATTCCCGCGGAGCCTTTGGCACCGGCTCATGGCGGTGCGGACAACATCAAGGATCCCTTTCTGCGAGACAAGCTGCATGGAGCGCAGCTGTTGGAGATCCGGAAAGACCTCGCTTTCAAAGGATGGACATTCAAGTCCCCGCATTTGATACCGAGGTATGGTCACGCTGGAAATGCCTCGAGTGGGGGACGGAGTGACGAGACGGTGATTGGTCACGAGCGAGCGTTGGAAACTCCCAGAGCCTCGAGAATGGTTGACATGGGAACCGTACGATCTCGAGCTCTGTCCATGTAGGCGGGGGAATTGGACTAATAAATCATTCAATATTTGTCACATCTTTGACGCCTAATGCCGTGTTTGTATCGTACATGTGATGCGTCTGTCTACATACGTAGAATATCCCTAGCTGTCTTTCCTACTTTCTGCCCTTGCTGGGCGTTGTGAGCTGGCGACAACATCTTCTTGGTCTCTGGAGACTTGATCAGACCTCCGTCTAGGACGAACTCTTCTCCATCCAGAGTCGACCGTCGGGCTCTTCCGCTATCGCTCAAAAGCGGTGTCATGAGAGGTGTCATGCCGACACTGGTGGGACGCAGGGTATCCGGGGAGGAAAAGGCAAGGAGAACATTTGCCGCTTCCTCTGCTCCCATGCCTTTGGCATTGAGACTCTTCTCTCCCGGGGTATCGAGATTGAGCGCGCCACCAAATAATGACATGCCTTGAAGAGGGGCCATGAATGGACTGGGATCAGGACCTGTGCTCGTATGGAGAGATGAACTACTGGATGTCGAAGCGGTATAGTGGAGAAAAGGAGAGGTCGGCGATGGGGTCGGAAAGGGGAGATAAAGTGTTGGATTGGTAGCTTGTGGGCCGGGTGGAGGACGTGTTGGCTGGACGGGAGCAGGAGCAGCAACTGGGCTCACGGCGGTAGTGTTGGTGGATGCTAGGAGAGTAGACAGAGAAGGAGCTCTCGGAGGAGACATCTGAGAACTTGGGGATCCCTTAGAGCGTTCACTCGTATCGGCTTCGACCAAGGAGCTATCTTTCGAGGTGGGGGTGTTTACAAACGCTGAGATTTGACCCGACTTGTGCGACAGCTTGGGGCGCCGAGGCTGCTCGTCCACGATCATTGATTCGGGGTTGGAGGCACTGGAAACGGTACTCGTCTTATGAGATTTAGGACGAGAGGCGGATCCAAGTCTAGATTCGAGCTCCTCTAGTCTAGCTGTCAGATCTCGCATGTGTTCGACAGTCCGTTCTAGCACCTGCCACATACGGTCAACGATTGTCATCGGTAGCTGCCCCGGAACTCACCTCTAGCTTGAATTCTCCACCTTTCCCTCCCGTATCACCCAAGCCAGGTACCATCTGTCTCAACTCCCCCAAAGCAGCGTTGATCTTTTCTCTTCTCCTCCTCTCGATCATACTGTGGTTGGCCTTCCGCAGCGCTTCCCTGGACAGTTGTCGACCACCGCCATTATTACTGCTCGTACTCTTGCTAGTGGCTTTAGGTTTCGACTGTCGCTTTGAAGACGATTGTTTGGGAGCGTAATCCTCATCTTCTTCTCTATATTCCCCGTCTGCAGAGTCCGCGGAGGGAGATGATTCAGACAAAGCATTACTGGCCGTCACGTTTGCAAGCTTGCGTTTCCGGGGTGCCGTGGACGAAGGAGGAGCCATGATTCCAGCTGGAGCTGATTTAGGTTGCGACAAAGGGGCTGATTGGATCCGGAGAGCGGCTAGCGGTTCAATGAGCGGTGGGATACAAGAAGATGGAGAAGCAGCAATGGTCGTCATTGAAGTGAAAGAGCAGGAAGGAGCGGGGGGAGATCCACAATTCCATACCCCCGGTGCATTGGGTCTTTCTTACGCCTCCTCGTGCGTTCTGCGCTGATGATCCTACAAAGACACGCTCGTGTGAGCGGCTAAGCAAAAAGTCGTGACGAGAGCAAATACGTTTTGTATCGTAGGAATTTACGCCGAAGAAACGTGCGTGAAACGGATCTATGCCTTTTCCTCATATGTCTCGTCGCTGGCTCCGGCCAACGACCATGCTTCCTGATTTGGAGCGCCAGCAGCGGATTGGCACAAAAAGATGGTTTGAAGACCTTGTCCTGCCGAACCCAGAGGCAGCGAAAGTCTATGACAAAGGAGGTGGTCTGCAGTCGCACCCCGCTTAAATCAAGGTCACGGAACATGAAACGCCGGTCCGAGATCTCGGCCCCAGCAGGGTCGTGACCGAAGATGGTTTCCACCAGACTCTCTCAGTCAAGTTGCAGTACATATGAGTTTGCTCGGATCATCAGCTCTGGGCCATGCTTGTCTCCACTCTCACAAGATCAGCTCTTGCCATCCTGCATGAGTGAATGGACTCTTCTGGCCGATGCTCAACGCACGTTTCATATCGGGTCGCATGCTTAGTGGCACTGCCACCAAGAGCTGGACCTCTGAGAATTGCATGGTACATAAGCAACGGGGAATGCTGCTAACGAGTGGGGCATGGGCGAGGCTGACGCTGCATTGTCCCTCACTGTCCCGCAGATGAAGGGACGAGCTTACAGCGCGGAACGTAGCGGCCCCGAATTAAAAGGCTATGTATACTGACAAGCTGTTGCATTATATGATGTCCGGAACTCCCTGATTATACTAACTGCCGTGGCACTCGACCCGGCGTGCTCGTCTACCAAGCCTTGGTCATCATGAGATAGTCGCCTTGTGATCCATCTGCACCTCGAATGAATTCGAAACTGGCAGCAGTCTCGTTGATGACAGTCAACTTGCTGAGTCCAAAGTCGACAAAGTTGAGGACATTGGTAAGAGGCAGGACTGGCTCATCGGCACTGAGAATTGAGTGAGATTCGACGTTTCCAGCTTGTCCGTTGGTCAAGTGGACAATTGATGAACCATCTCCGACGTGATAAGTGTCATTACCGAGGACTTGGTCCCAGTTGATGGATCCATTTCTGCCCATAGGCCACATTCGCTCGTACCAGTGCACGTGTCCAGCGATGAAAGCGTCGACACAGTTATCAAGGAACAATTGCTCGAAAGCATTTCGCATGTGCAATTGGTAAGAGGAGACCTCGGAACTGTACATGGGTCGGTGATTCATGACGAAGACCCAAGGTGTCTTGGTTCGGTCAACGCTTTCGAGGTCCTGCTTGAGCCATTGGTATTGCTCGTAAGCCGTGTTATTCCTCCAGTCCATGTTGTCAATGTTTCCAAATGGACCACTGTCGGTAGGGTAAGTCTGCTCCTTGGTGATCTCATCGATGGTCTCGTTAGGCTTCAAGTCGGCGATGAAAGGGTATTCAGGCGACTGGTAGTAGTCGGTCTCTCCGTCGAACGAGATGAAATGGGCGAGACCATAATCGAACGAGTACCAAAAGTTGCTGACTCCACCAGTCTCGTTACCGGGCATTCGGAATCGATACTGGTAAGCGGTAAAGTTTCGCTGGGATTCTGGGCAACTCCAGTAGCTCAGAGTCGAGCTGTTCAATGTTCCATTGACAATGTCATTGTCGAGGTAGGCGGAAAGCTCATTCTTCTGTCCGTCAAACTCGGCGCAGGAAGCTTCGTGGTTTCCAGGGGTAAGCATGTAGGGAACTTGAGTGGTGATGTTGTTCATCCACTGCTGCCAGAGATCCCCTATAGAGCCGACGTGTCAGATCTCTGACTATCGGAAGGCGCGAAGACCTCGACTCACAATTGGACTCGTAAATGACGTTCATGTCTCCTCCTTGGGGTCCACCCTGGTTGGCGACCTCGCCAGCGGGGAGGGGAGCATCCAAGTATTGAGCAGGGACGGGGGCAGGTCCAGGCAGCTCAGTAGACGAACCGTTGTAGCATACTGGCCTGTCGTTGTGTCAACAATTGATGACTTTCAACGGGTCAAACGCACCAGTCGTCCTCGCAAGGGAGGATACCAGAATACCAGTCATCAGCGTACGAGCTGTCACCTCCATGCCAGACAAAGGCAGCTCCATCCTGGATCAAGTTGAGGAGCTGAGTGTGCGTTCCAAGGGCATTGGTGTATCCCATATCGTTGATCACAGCGACGGAGAAGGATTGAGCACAACCGGCCTTGAGACCAGTCTTGAAGCTCATGACTTGAGACGGGGTAGTACCATTGCCTCCAGGGATCTGGTAATAGTATGTTGTGTCGTCCTTCAAGTCTGGCAGAGAGACTTCGTGGAAGAATTGACTGCACTGAGTGACTGCCACTTGACTACAGGCGGGAGTTCGATCGTATCTGTGTTAATAAAAGGGGCGTCAGCAGGACTCGAGCTTTATTAGCTGACTCATCCACTCACGTCGTAGTGTATCCCGTGGTATTCTTACACAAGTTGGTGGCATCTTCACCCCAACTGACCATTGGCATGCCATCAATCCCGAAAGGCGTCTGGAAATGGATGTGCATTCCTCCAGGAATGTACGCCAAGGAAATGACATTGATGTTGTTGGTCACATTCTCGCTGCTTGGCTGAACGGCAGGCGCTTCGACTAAACGAGGGAAACCTTGGCCGTTTCCATTGATGGTCTGATCAACCCAATCTCCGATAGGGACGGCAGGACCAACATATGGGAATTTGGTGTTGACCGTAGGGGCGGCCGAGACCAACACACTGAGCAAGGCGAAGAGAGAAACAAGTCGCAGACTCATCGTATCAGGACTGACAAGGCTGAGTGAAAATGTGGGACAGTGCACGAGACGTCTGACAATCCACCACCCAGCTACGTTTTATACGATAATCGTCTGTTGCACGAAATTTTCTTCGAGCCTAGCCTATCGGTACCGGATCATCTTGATTCCCCCTCGTTACCCTGATTTCCCCCTCCTCACGGAGCTCTCATCCTGAAGGGGAATGTCAATTCAATTTAAATTTAGCAGCAGCCCCGGTTGGTAGAGCCTAGACGCCGAGAGGGAGTGCCCGTATCGATAGCGCACGTTTAGAGTCAGCGCGGCATCCAGTTGGGCGAATGAAGAGAGACGGCCTCTGGATGGTTGGAACCGTGTGAGAACCTGCTGCGGGCGCTCACCCATGCACCGCTGAGAAGAGCTGGCAGATATTCTTTGAAATCTTTAACGCACGTTTGCTTAGACCTGGTCTAATTAATAAAAAAGTCATGTTCGTCGACGCCACTCGTAAATCCCGGCTCCGTTGGTCAAAGCCGATCGATCATGAATTTTCTCCACCTCCCCCCTTATCAAGGATTTCCAAAAATAGGAAGAAGTCAAGAAAATCACATGCCCGTGTCCGGAAACTTCGGATGTTCACTCTGTGTGGCGGATGATGATCTACTTGAATGACTTGGACACTTCTGCTGCGCGGATCATCTCCCATGACTCGTCGGATAGAGATAAAGGCTCTTTGTCCAGATGGAAAGCTTCGACAGCAGTTCCATCAGAAACAAAGGCGACTTGTCTCTGGGTCTTGGTCACTATGATCATCCACTCGAGTAGGCACCGAACTTTTGAGATGGCAGGTCAATGGAAATCTTCGAGGTCCTTTAGGAGACCTTGACCCAAGTGGAGATATATCGGACGCGACACGGAAAAGTCGCCATCTACGTGCCGTGCAATGAGGAGATTTGGGATCTGAGCCCAGTAGACATTGGCGAAAATCGCATCGAGGTTGTTGATACCTCGTATGTTCCCCTTTCCATGATCTTCTCGAGTCTTGATCGACACGAGATGATCGTGAGGTGGATGAGGGATAGTCTCTGCTGTAACTTTTAGACCTGTAGATGTGATTCGATGAAGCGGCGTGTCGTACTCTGATTCAGTCATCCGAGAGATCGCATCTAGAGAACCGATCATCGATCTGATTGTCCTGTTGGTCCGTCTAGGGATGTTTGACCCATTAGTGCCTGCCGTCGCATTAACCGAGACATCCGATAGCATCGAAATGTCAGATCTCGCATCGTCCACATCGTCGTCGTCGTCATCATCGTCATCATCATCATCCTCCTCCTCCTCCTCCTCCTCTTCCTCCTCCTCGTCAGTCCCTCGGGTGACCGACAGGCTCGCCGTGTCATACTCCGTCGAGGCCGATTGGTCTAGACCCGGCCACGGGAGAGCCGCATCGACATCACATTTGACGATCATCTGTATCCCTCCAAAGTCGTACGAGATCAATCGATGACATCCTGATGTCCTGTCAGACCCGATTGGGAGCTTTACGGTGGTCGCTTCGTGATATGCCAGATGATGAGTCGCAGGTAATTGTGGTTTACTCTGAGACGGTGGCTGCCAACGATCGAAAAGGACAAGAGAAGTACCTGGGACGACCCATGCTTCGATACGCCAGATGTGATTGGCCTTGAACCTAGGTGACTTCCAGCTCGATTCGCCAGAGATGTCTAAATCACAAGAACAGGCCGATAGTAGCTTGTTGAGGTTGTTTCGAGCCGTAATGATCTGCACACCTTTCAAGACCTCTGGGCGGAGGAGAGACAGAAAGGCAGGGTCGTGTGGAGACACCCCAGGCGGTGTAGATGCACCGTTATCTACGACGTCAGAGTTGCCGACATGCATGGTATGGCTCACAATCTGGCCACTCCAAATTACCCTTGAGAAGAGAATCGCTTGGAACCTGATTGACAGCATATTCTTCGCCTTTCCAAACGTCCGGTAGTCCTGATATTTCAGCTCAATGTATGCACGTTATCCTCACCTGGAATGGCGATGATATGATCGGAGTTGTCCCCAGATTCATAAGCGATCCACTTGTACCCTCCGGCTAGTCCGACATTCTCAATCTTGGTTTCAAGGTCTTTGAAGAGACCTGAAATGAGTCGCTCGTCGACTTTAGCCGATAGCCCATCATACATTGTGCTGGAGGAACGTGGGTCTCCATCAGAGACTCGACGTTGACCAGGAGGATTGCCAGGCGGACGAATGGTGAATCGGTGAGATAGGGTAGAGGTTGGCAGGCTCCATCTAGGGGTTACAATAGGTTTCGGCGGCAGAGATGGATGAGCTGGAGGCAGTTGATATAGCCGACGATGAGAGTCCGTGGCGACCTCAAGCATCTCAAGGAGCGGCCTTCTTTTCAAAGCTATCGCCCTGAAGGTATCACAGTTCTCAAATTTCTGCTGATCTTCAGACTTCTGTCCAGTATCTGATGTTCCTCTGGGACCCCTGCCAAACATGTCGAATTTCAGCGTTCGGAATTCGAAACGTCGCGTTCGCAAGATTACCTGCGTGTCGCTCCAAGATCTCGATAGGATGGGAGAGAGCGTCAAGAAGAAAAGGATTTGAGTGAGCGGGGGCCGATCGGTATCGGAGTGTGTCCAGTTCAGCTCAAAGATGCAACACGCGATCCGTGCGGGTCACTGGCCAAGCCTGTACAATTGTGTCCAAAAGTCGGGGAGGAATCGATCCTAGCCGCTGACGCTGTGTCTGTGTGTTCCTCTCATGCCAGACACCCCTGCCGAAGGCATTCATCCTCATCTCACTGCCATCCAATCCCCTTTCACCCGTTCTGTAAACTTGAAGAACTTGGCCACCCCCACAGCAGCTTCCACATTCCCTTCTGGATCCGCCACCTCTTCAGGGAACGCAATCCCGCAGCCGAACAATCCCCTGACGAGTCCACGTTCGGTCTTGTCCTGGTCGAATCCTGTGAGACGGAAGCCAGACGTCTTCATGTCAAACTCCAACTTGTCGTTTATCCTTTCCGAGCCGATAAACAATTGAGGGATAGGATTCGGCTCGTATCCTATAGCATAGACGATGTGCGTGCATCGAGGTAGGTATCCCTTGTAGACTTGATCTTCATCAGGTATCAGGTCGACTTGTTCGATGATGCTTTTGGGGTCTGCATCTGAATCCATGGTCTCCTTTGCCCAATCTGCTGTGGCACCTTTTAATCCAGAATTATCGTTGATGATCCCATCCTCTCGATAGATCGCATACTTGATAGGTCGACGACGGAAATTGAAGATCCTGACGTCGAGCTTGCCACTTTCTGCCAGCTCGTATAGGTTCCGACAGACTAGAATCCCGGAATGGGAGTTGCCTATGATGGCCACCGTGACCTGTCGATCTTTCCAGTCCTCGAAAACGGAAGGCAAGTCGGATTGTCGCAGGCAATGATCTAGATCCAGGACGACGAGCGAGCTATTGTATCTCGTGTGTAGAGATACAGACGAAGGGTGAGATCCGGTACATAGGAACAGCCTCTCCGTTCTGTGACGTTCCCCAGAGCTCAGACGGACTTTCCAAACCTGTTCCTGGATAGATCGTCAGCATATGGCAAATTGGGCAATGGATGAAACTGACAGTCTCGTCTAAATGGGCCTCATCTACCTCGCCCACAGCTGCCTCCACCTCTGAGCGCTTCTTCAAACCGTCAATCAACAGCTTCAATACGTCCCCTGCCATTGCCAATCGACACGTGTCTTCTCGATCCATCTGCTCGAGTTCCGTGACGGCGTTAGGCTTCGGTGCATTCTCGATGATCCTCCGACACGTCGTCGAGGATTCCAAAGCGTCGAGATAGATACCAATCTTGGTATTTCTGTGGGATCAACGAGTCAGCTCATCTTCGAAGGGGACCATCAACAGGACACAAACGACTCGCGATGAAATTTCCCGATAGAACTCATTCAATCGACCGCCTTGGAACGATTTGTCAATCCACAATATTGACTGGACCTCTGCATCTAGAAGACTCGAAACGGCAGCGAGACCTCCAGGTCCTGCACCGACCACTATAGCATCGTAATTCGCCCGGTGGGATCCCATGTTTGATGGTCTTTGTCGACTGATACAGGTCTCCAAAAGCAAGACGGGTTCTTTCGAGCCCCCTTTGCATCATCATCGCGATCGAGCGGATAACGTAATACAGTTTTCGCGGGTCGAAATTTCCCAGTCCTGTGGATCTATCTCTCTTTATCATTGATCATTCTCATACCAGCGTTCCTGCAATGACCTCGTGGTATCATCTGTAGTCTGCATCTCATGCAGCATGCAGTCTGACTGTCATGCAGTCTGACTGCAGTCTGACCAGTCAGACTGCATATGCAGAACCCAAGTAGATCCCAGAAGGAAAGGCGTAGGAGCCTGGGTGAGTGGACGTTCGGAGGAGAGCTTCCCCATTTGCTTCCTCTTTTCCCAAAGATGATTCACACATCCTACATTATCAACTAGAAGGCTGTTGCTGAGCGTTGCCTTGACCGATAAACATCTCCATACCTGAGACCATACTTTTCCAATATCTTTCGGCTTCATAAGCCATTTGACTTTCTCTATGAAATCTTTTGGGCTGACAAGATACTCAGGACAACCGTAACCTGAACCTGCTTCGCTAGTCTCGGATCTCTCATTCTCGCGCTTTCACTGTAGCATGCATCTTTTTTGCCATGCATATAGATACAAATGCCATCTCGTACACTCCAATCATGTCATATACTTATTGCCTTCCGAGTTGGACCTACTCCTACGGGAACTGGCTCCGTCATTCTGCTGCCCGTTTGCCTCGACCTTGCCTAGAGAGCTCGGACCAGGACTGGGTGATCTGCCTCGTCTAACTCCCGGAACGGTGCCTGATGAAGCTGCTGAAGTTGCCCCATTGACTCCGGGAGGAGGTGTGTTTCGTCTCGAAGCAGGCGGAGTAGGGGTCATGATTCGATTGATGGGTGTCTCATTGAGAGCCTTTCTCCTGAACCACAATTTTCGATTCCGTCTCGCTTCTTCCCTTGCTTTCTCCTCTCGTCTCCTTTCGAACGCAGCTCTATACCTTTCATACCCTTCCCTGAACCCCTTATCGACTCTGGAGGAGAAGATGAGTTCTCCACGAGGATTGCTGGAAGGTGGGATCTGCGCCATGACAGTAGCGTTGTGGGATGGTCTCCTGGATGCTATGGTGGATCCATTGAATGGCTTGGAAGGCAGGTGAGAGGGAGGTTTGATGACGGGAGCTGGACGAAGAAATTCAGGTAAAAAGGCTGGAAGGGGAGGTCTCTGCCGTCTCATATTGAGATGCATGTTGAGTTGTCGGAGGCCGCGGTTGGAGTGATTGATATAGCTTTTTGAGCGCGGATCAACGCGGGAGACCATCTAAGATGATTCGGAATGGAGCGGGCCGGACGTACCTATGCGCATAGCGTATCTTTTCCTCGTACATGCCACTGGCGAAGAAGAGAGCGAGGGTGATGAACACGACAGCGACGGTGGCTTGTAACGCGCGCAGACTGAGCATCGTCTATGGGGGTAACTTGTCAGCAGGTCCCCTTTTTTCTGACAAGTAAGACGAGAGGCAGGCGCGAGCGCTCACAGCTGGAGGCAGGAAGATTAGCCAATGGGCCAAATACAACAACGCAGTGACAAATGTCCAGAGGAATGCTGAGGGTTATCGATCGTGAGCACCACAAGTCATGACGCGAGTCACACTCACCCGCATACCTCCTCCGACGTCTCCTCAACATCTCCGCATTCATCTTCAGCCTCTCCTCGAACAAGAGCAGGTCTCTATACGTTGATGTATCGGAAGGTGGAAAATACGGTGTATTGGGGGAAGGTTTAGGTTGACCATTGGACAAGAGAGGAGCGTCCGCCAGGGGTGAGATCGCCGGACCCCTTCTGGAACCTATCATGGTAAATGTGGACCGGGGATGGTCTCATCCATACACTCCGTTGACCGCGCTACTGCAGCATGCCCCACCCAGTGTCACTCGCAGGTTGGCTCATGTTGTCCACGCTGAAAATGGGACAGCTTTCCAATAGGCCGCCGGTTGCCCCATGGCGGTGATCGCCGTCAGAAGCTGCGAGGGGGATGCAAGATCACGTGACTTCGGGGCTCTCGTACCCGAATAGCGGGATTTGTCCCGAAGTGAGTGCTGATCCTCCTCGATAAAATTACCTAATGATCTTTGTGGGCCAGGGGCCAGCCACACATACCATATCCCATACACTTTTCTGCCGAATAAGGTAATTTTTCCACTTGCGACGAAATCTCCGCTCTCGTGGCTGTGGCGCGGCCGCTTCCCGTTTCCCTGTGACAGCACAAGAAAAAAAGAAGAAAAAAAAAAAACGGAACCAGCCCCCATATCAGCTTCACAACCGCTATCCACTAGAGACGCTAATCTCGCACAACTGCAACTTGGATCTCTCCATCCATCCGTCTCTCTCCTATCCACTAACCTTGCCGCCTGGAGCAGCCTAGACCCCCTCCGGCTCATATCATCCAAACATATCTGTCCATACGCTACGAGACACACACCGAACCTCGAAGAAGCGGAGATCTGCAGCGACATCAGCAGCAGGCAGCAGTAGCCGTCATTGAGGCAAGAGGTCCTGCTGAACAGCGTACTCGTTTGAATTTGGGCCATTATCACGCTTTGGACGTGTGTCAAGAGGAGGCAAGGAGGTTGTTTTACCTGCTTCTTGATGGAGCGCCGGTGACGGGATAAACCTTTTGGTTGATCGATCAGATTCGACTAGTCCCCTTCTGACCTTTTTTTTTTGGTCCCTCGACCCAACATTCCGTCGACATCACTTCTTCTAACAGACTCATTGCAACCACCGACACTACAACAATGAGGTGGTCAGCTGTGAGAAGACCTGGAATCTTCCTTCCACCCATCATCACCCTCGTTCTCTGTACTCTCCTCGTTCCAACCGACCGATACACCAGACAACGAATCGACGAATTGGCATGCGACGCTGCAACCGAGGCCTCCTCGCTTCCCAAAGTCCACCTGTTCTTGCCCATCAACAAGGCCAGTGCGGAGAAAAATGATCGATTCTGCAAGGCTATGGAGAGCGCCATCGTCAATGGCTGGGAACCCATCGTTTACAACTGGGAGCTGAATGGGGACAGATCCCACATGCTCAAGAGCAAGGTGTACGGTGAGTGGCTCAGATATGGTTTTAGAGATATATGTCACATGCTCATATCTTCTCAGGATTCTCCAGACTACTGAACTCGTCAGCCGTGACACAACATATTGCGGAAGATGATCTCGTACTCCTCATTGACGCTTTGGACGTCTGGCTTCAACTATCACCGGCTGTGACAGCTAGCCGGTTCCTTGGGTTCGATTCGGAGATCGTCGTGGGTGCGGACAAGGTCTGCTATCCAAATCCAAAGAACGGGGTGAGTGTATCGAGATCGGTGATGACCTTCTCTATGCTAATATACTCAGCCCGACTGTGCTGCTGCACCCCCCTCACCTCTACCTGAGGGTCTCTTCTTCACCGAGGACGATGAGAGCAAGCCAAGGAATTTTGGACAGTGAGCTTTGATTTTACAATATGAGAAACCGTCTGACGCAGGTTCACAGCGCGAGTAGTGATCGACCGATACATGCCAACAGTGGAACGGTCCTTGGCAGATTTTACAAGATGAAAGAGCTGTATGTCAAGCTCATGGATCTCATGGCCAGCGAGAGATATAAGGACTACAGGTCTGATCAAGGTCAGTTGCGATCAGTCTGCTCTTGATTGTCCCCGGCACAACCATTGATCGTTCTATTCAGGCGCCTTCAATATGCTACTTGGCGACGGCTATCTCAAGGTCGACCCTTACTTCCGATTGTTCTGGGCTTCAGCGACCGACACTGAGAACGTCCAATTCATGAACACCATTCACCCTCCTGGTCCTTCATACCCCACTTTTGACAACACTACACCGTTTGAGCTTTACCCCACATTGGTTCACCACACTGTCACGGGCGAAGTCCCCGTGGCGGTCCACTTGAACGATTATTGGCACAAGCATTATATAGAAGAATGGTATGGCAGACTTTGGTGGACTTCGGAGCGAAAACGATTCTGGCCAATCGTAAGGGAACGGATGGAGAAAGGCACCATCAAGTTTGCAACCGAAGAAGGCATTACAGAGGAAAGCGCCAGGAGCGTTTGTCCTAATCTGCCGATTTGGAAGAAGGAGATTCCAATGTCAGTGCAGGAGCAGGAGCAGAAGCGGTTGCAGGAGCAAGCGCAGGAGCAGAAGCAGTTGAAGGTGCAGGTTCAGGCTCAGGAGGAGAAGCCAAAGCAGGAGCAGAAGCCAAAGCAGGAGCAGAAGTCGGAGGACCCCAAAGTCTATCGCAGGATGGCTGAAGCTGCCTTCGCCCCAGACATTCAAAAAGGTCATTCGGTTGTCGTGTACGATCACAACAACTTCCACGACGAAGTCCATGGCTCTGTTCTATGGACTCTGACTCAATTCACCGGTCTCAACGTCCAATTTTACCGACCTAAATGGAGATATGGATTCGAAGAGACGATCAAACCTTTCTGGCCAGAGCTACCGAAAGATCCTGCAGGGTTCATCGATGATCTGAATAAGGATCATTCTATCCGACACGTCGTTTTGACCACTTGCGATTGGGATCTGTACAAGATCGGCCAAGACCTCAAGACTGCCTGGGAAGCTCGACCTGAAGATGCCAAATTCAACGTCGTCTGCACCAGGCATTTTGACATGGATCACGTCTTGAGGGAGCTCTCGGACATTTTCGTGACCGTCAACGTGTCCATGATTGGTCTGGGAAAACATGTTTCTACATATCTGGAGCACAATCGACAGGTTACTGTTTCTGCCATGAAAGACAAGACTAAAAAAGAGGCTCTGGGCGGTATCAAAATTGACAGCTTCACCCCTTTCTTCCCTGCCGCACTTGGGACCAACGAGAATGACGCTCTTTTCAAGCTCAGCGAACAACGGTCCAAAGATGACGTGAAGCTGGATATCGCCGTGATTCAATGCTCTTTCTGGGATGATGTGCACAGGAACCTTTCGGGTATATTCGCCGATCTGGAGAGACATTTCGAAGGTGAGGAAAGGCGTCATGTTGAAGAAGTCTCATTTTTCTCCTGCTGATCACATGACTCTGTAGCCGATCCGACTGCCTGGGGATACAGGCCCATCACAGCAGATGTCGACTATTATGAACCGATTCCGGACCATCCCTCACGATTCCAGCTCTATTTCCTGGGGGCGAGTAAACCTCCGTTTGAATCGAAATGGAAGGAAGTCGTGGGTGTTCGACAGAACCTCAAGTACTCCTTATTCTATGGAGCCCTGAACGCAGCAGACATTGTCCTTCCATCGTTCGGAACTGCGAGGTACGACATCAGTCGAGCGAGCAGTACAATGGGCGTAGCTGCCAGTGCGAGTGTGAGTCCTCAACTCGCTGGTTCCGCTCTCCAGGTGAATTGCTCAAAAGCTGATCATCTTCCTTTTGGGCCACGACAGGCACCGTTGCTCGTTCCACAGAGCTATATCGACGCGTACGGGTACCTATGTCCAGCATTTGGAGTCCTTCGAAAAGACGGACTCTCTGAGATTGATTACGTCGCTGAAGTCAGACGTGGCGCTATACCTTGGGAATCCAGGCGATCCCGAGAAGAGGCGTTATCACGTTGTCAGGAGGATTGGACAGCCAAGAACATGTACGTGCTGTCCAGGCTTTTTGGGCTATTATAGACGGGGGGGGGGGGGGGGGTAATGGGCGAAGAGGGATAGATCTAACTTTGGGGGGCATTTTCAACTGGGCAAAAGTATGATTCATGAGCATCTATATCTGCATGCAACGCATAATGATTCTTCGAGACGCTGTTTCCATACGTCGAGGTGCAAGCAAGCAAGGCTGAGTGAGATCGAGTGAGTCCTGCCACATCTAAGACACGTGAAACACCTTGATACGCTACCCGTAATCTCCGTGCTTCCCGTGTGTGATCCTGGATTTTTCCCTTTTACAGCTCGGTTCCGGGTAAATGGGCAGCAGCGCGCTGGGGCCAGGGCTAGGGCTGGGCTGCTTTTCCCGTCCACTTTCTTTTTTTTTTTTTTGGTCTCTTTCTCTCTCTTTCTTTTTTTTTTTCCTCCCCTTCAAGCGCACCCCCAAGCAACTCCCATCCGTTCTTTGAATCCATCCCATATCCAAGCTGCTCGTTCTTCCAATTATCCCCCCTCCTACCCACTTGAGAGAGAGAGAGCAGCTGCGTCGTCCAGGTCTGGCAAGGCAAGTCATATCTCGCACCACTCGCTCACACTCTATCAGATCTCATCGGCCTGTCCTCCCACACCCTCTTCTCGCGCCGTGAACGACCTAAACTTTTTTATACCTCACTTCTCATTCAGCACGCAAGTTCACTTCGGTTTTGGGCTTGCCTCTCTTCTCTGTTCGCCTTGAGCTCCCATTCTCATACGACTGGCATCTCGCTCTCATTCCCGTCTCAATGGGCGCATCAGCAGTGTGGAATGTTATTTGGCCCAGAGGCGCCTGGGATGCAAGGACGACGATCCGGCGACTCATGCCCATGGTCGTCCTTCTGGCCATCTTCTCGTCCATGAGGTATGGTGTGCATGACGTTATCACGGTGAGTCGGGGAGGGCTGCTCTCCATTCTAGCATCCAAATGTCCGTGTCGCTGACCCTCTTGCCTCCCCTTGCAGAGTCCAAAATCCTACATTCTCCCCTCCTCTTTCACGACCCCCGCCCCACCTAAAAGCCACAACTACATCTCCACACGCGCTGCAGATCTCCCGCAGACAGAGCTGGTCGCAGGCGTAGCCGGTTTCAACTATTTCCGCAATCTGTACTACTTTGGAAGCACTTTTTACGTCGTCACGGACGAAGTGGAAGAAATGAAGAAAATCGAGTACACCTATGTGATCACTGGACTCAAGAAGGAAGACGCAGAGGGCAAATCTGTAGAAATCCCAGTAGAAGAGACCTGGCAGGTCATCTCCTTTGAAGAGGCTGAAGAATTGTTCAAACCCGTGGTGGTCAGAAAGAACGGTCTGACCCTCTTTTACGCCGACGCGACCAGTCCGAATTTCCTCGGTCACTATTTCCACCTGGTAGCGGAAATGTTCCTTGGAGCCATGAGGGTTCAAGCTGCGGACGGCGAATACGAGCTGCCCGCTCGAACTATCTACAGAGGCACAGCCGCGAGCAGAAGGGACAGATATGCGCTCAACGAATGGTTCAACGAGATTGCCATGCCCAACACGGCTCTTGAAGACCAGAGCGTGCTGCAAGATCGAACGCACTCAGGAATCCCTTACGTGTATGAACGAATCGTTATTGCGGATCGATGGGCAGCTCACAAACATGGCAAGAACCCCAGGCGATGGAACAAGGTCACAGGAGATGTTCCTGATGTTCAAGTTCCGGCGGACTGGTTCAGACCCGTTAGAAACTCTATCAAACTCGCAGTTCTCGCTTCTGGATGTGATATCAGACGCAAAGATCCCTCTGTCCCCGTAGTCCTGTATGTGAACCGACAGGATACTGGCCGAAGATTGTTGGCTGAAGACGCGGAGAGTCTGGCCTTTGAACTCGACGCCCTGCACCAGCAGGGACTCATCGAACTTCACGACGTTCAGATGGGCAAAGTGTCCAAGCTGGAACAGTTCTGTCTCGCCTGTAAAGCAGACGTCATGCTCGGCGTTCATGGGAACGGTCTCACCCACCAAATGTGGATGAAACCCGGAAGTGCAGTTCTTGAAATGATGACCGTCGGAGGCCATGCGAGGGACTACAATCTCTTGGCCGATATGGTCGGACACCAGTATGAAACGATTCACAACAATCACACCTTCCCCCGAGAGAAATGGGGCTCTGTCGGTCAAGGCAAAAACTTTCACTCGTCTTCGATTCGAGCAGACGGCAAATTCGTAGCGGAATTGGTCTTGCAAAAGGCTCAGGAGAGAATCAAGAATATTGAACCGAGCCTATAGTTAGTTGCACCTCTTTGACGGATGACGGATGGATGGATGACAGGACAGGCTCAGTCGAGCATGGATAGACATTGCACTTTACGCTCTTGCTAGATTGATTTCTCCACATGCATTTCAGGGTTTTTCATGGGGCATTATCCATGATGTCACAGCAAGCGAGGCTAATCGCTGACCGGACACCCATGCTGTCAGTGATATAGGTTTGGAATGTCTCCCAAGATTTCATGGTCTCATCACCTGGTCTCGCATCAGATGTGGCAGAGCACACACATCTTGGGGTTAAGATCTTCCCGTGTGATACGTTGAAAATTGGCTCTCCGGGGTTGTAAAGGCTGACGTATCAGCCCTCCGTTCATATCTCGACGACATGTACAGGACCACAATATGCAGAAGCAACGTGGACGCGGGAATCATGCACGATTTCGACGTACAGCTGGCTTGAGGGTCTTCTTTGAGCCCGCAGGCCGTCCTCAGGCGCCTCCGATCAAAAGGTAGAGAAGATTCTTGCGTCTTCAAAGATCTGCGAGCAGAGATCTAGTCGTGTCAGATGGGGGCGAACACCACTTCTTCGCCGGCCGAAGAAGAAGAAGGATAGTGAGCTGGGTGGATTCCCTGAACACGATGGATGACCTGATGGGGGTTCTATATTCGCCATGGACCGAGTTTTCCCAAAATTATTATCCAAGACAAAATTTCCCCGGCGGGTAATCTGTGCAATGGGCTTTGTCTTTCTTGTAGTCTATCCATAGATCATTCCTGACTCTGCAGCCGCGTTAGCAACATCACGGTGACCTACCTTAGGAGCTCATCTGACGGGGTTCGGAGATAACAACTCATCCTTTCCTGGGATCTTCAGGACCAGGTGGATGCTGGCTTCTGTTCCCCAGACTTGAAATTGCGAGGTCGGTCGGACCCACCCCATCCTCCCCCCCAAATTCCTTGGATGATCGCATGGGGTCGGATACATACAAGCCTCGGAAGTACAAGCCTTCTAAGAGGTGGTGGCGGCGACCATTGAGTATGGTGTCCGTGTCAAAGTGAGCCTATCAAGAGTCGTTTGATCATCACTGGTGCAAATCTGCTGATCAACGTGCCTAGATCGAGATCCCGTTATCGACTGTTCGTCTTTGGTTTGACCGCTCTGGTTCTATATCTCCTCAATCGATCTCAACCCATTATGAACAATCTACTGTGGCAAAAGAAGGTGGATTATACTGAGACCATTGAAAGGATTCGCAAGCTACAAGACGATCTCAGGCAGCGATACACTCAAAAGTGAGTCAGGCGTCCAAACGTCGAGGCACCAAAACAGCCCAATCTTAGAATGTACTGACACATCTGCAAGTGTCTTTGAGAGCCAACGGACACAGACCTTGGAGAATCTCGAGAGGCTGGCGATTTGCATGAGGAGCAATACATGTGCACCGGGCGAGCTCACGGTCATCATTTTGGGATCCTTCCACTTTGGTAAGTAGCTGGATCATCAGAATGGAAGAGAATCTCAAGCAAGTCACAGGGAATAGTCAGAAAGGACATTCCAGTGGGGAGGACATATGGTGAGCTGAGATAGTCTTTCTGTGCGTTGGCATTTCACTGCTGACGCTGTCACCAGGGCCGGATCTCTGATCACCGTCATGAAACGCAACAATTTTACCCTTTTGTATTCGTACAAGACGTTGGAAACGCTGTTGATCTATCAATCTCTATCGGGTGCGTGATAACCGCTGGGAGAAGTATGCTCAGCCTGCTCTACAGACATCGTCAAGTTGGTCATCATGGAAGCTGGGAACCTGGAAGAATGTATGAAGCTGCACTCCATGACGGGCGCCCAAGCTCAAACAGCCATGCCAAGTCTTGATGGGTTGAAATGGCTCGACGATGATGAGCAAGTGGGCTGTATCAAACGAGTTGGATACGAGCAAGGGATCCCCCTACTCCATACGAGAGCCTTCCACTTTTGGCTCGGTCAACGGCACCCCCTCAAACGTGGGGAAGGGATCCATTTTTTGATAGTCAGAGAGCTGACCGATTACAGAATGGACACTGGCGCCTGAAGATTGGACCATCAAGTCGGCCAGCGAGTCCAACTATCATATTAGTCGGTTCAGTCGTACCCCGCTCCATCCTGACATCATCTCAGGTTATCATCTCGAACACTGCAGGCACGTTGTCCCTAGCGAACACCAACGTCGAGTTTTTCTTCTCGGCAAACGACCAGAATACTTTGAGGGAGATGAATACGTTTGGCCCCAAGGAGCACTTGCAGAGATCACGACGACGCTACCTGGGGGCGTAGAGTTCATTGCAACGGCTGGAAAGGGTGGTGGCGAGCTACCCGAAGCAGGTATCAGGAATGTTGGTCTTTTGGACAAGGAGGAATGGTTCAAACTCGTGGCGGAAAGTTCAGTCATGGTAGGCTAAAAAAAATAGACTTTCAGATGAGCTGCTTGCTGACATGTCGAGCAGTTGGGTATCGGACTTCCTCGTAGCTCACCATCTGGTGAGTCATACGTCTCTTTGTATATACTGACTTTGAGCCTACGACGCGCTGTGTCTCGGCATCCCCTTCATCAATCCGTCAGTTTGCATGGTGAATCCTTTTGCTGAGGTATCCAGGATCACCAAACTCGACAGAAAACATCCCGATGATAGAACTAAATGGATCCTCCAACAAGATCCTCTGCGGAATGAGGATCCACCGTATGTGTACAATATCGTACGTCCTTCGCATGGCATCAACATGTCGCAATCAGGCATCTGATCACATGTCTTTCCTTCAGGAGGCAGGCAACACGGAAGAATTGAGGAAAGCGATCCAGTCAGCACTGGATACACCCATCGAGCCATACATCCGTACGTGTTCTCTTGAACATACATGTCTCGGTCTTGAACACTGAATCTCATTCCTCCTCTAGCTGAGCGAATGACGATCGAATTCGTTGAACGTAGGCTCTTGTACCTGTTTAGCGAAGATTGGCGAGAGATAGCCCTGGAACAGATAAAGAGCAGTGAGACTGGTTTAGGATTCGCAACTTCAGATGGCAAGAATGTGGGTGTCCAATCTCAGTCTTTGTTTCCAAAGACAAGCTCCGAGCTGATATGGTTTCCCTCTTCGTCTATCCACAGAGCGAGTCAGGCTTCCTGCTTTGAAGCTCGATAGATCGTCCGAGCATATCCATACTGCACACATACAGAGGAAGACTTATGGGCATATCAATCTTCTCCATGATGCATAAGAACATATCACCAGTATGCTTGAACTCGCCGCGCTGTAGCGCTGTTGATGACTCTTGGAAAGGTCTGATTCGCTATCCAGAACGCACAGACCATGGCACAAAGAGTGAAGCTGCGACACGGGGCGACTGTTGTCGCCGCGGTCACGGGGTCTTCGCCCATGCATTGAAAAAAAAAGAAAAAGAAAAACGCCAGGTCCGTTCTGCACATTATTGACCGAACAGCAGAGACGAACTTTGCGCCTTTTTGGAGTGAAGAATGGTCAGATCGTAGCAACACGCCAAAAGGCACCATCCACGATGCGCGACGAGATCCTGGACCCCTCGTCGATCTCGCGCCATGGGCTCCGATACATTCGACGCAAGATGCCGCGAGTCGTCGCTCTCATTGTGATCGTCTCCATGCTCATGTATTATTACTCGCCTGCTGGATCCAGTCTAGACTTGGGTTATACAACTTCTGTCAGTCCTACATATCATCATAGTCTGGTGTTCGACGGAACGACGGGATTAGCTAAGAACTGGACGAGTGGAGAACCAAAACATCCCATTGAAGTGTTGATGGAACGAGGACAAAAGAAGTGGGAGAGAATGTTAAGAAGGTAAATCAGGTTGACTTGTTCGAAGACAAATGTAGCTGACTCTAAGGGCTGTGCCTTTAGACAGAGCAAGAGTCTATCCGAAGCAGTTCAAACGTACCGAAATCGATACCACCGTGATCCACCAAAAGGCTTCGAAATATGGTACCAATGGGCGAGGGATCACAATGTGACATTCATCGATGATGTGAGTTTGTACACCCAAGACGAGGGCTCCAAGAGGGAGGGCACTTTAATATACTTGTGACCTTTTGTGTCTAATATCTAACTTGGCCAAACTAGTACGATCAAGTGTTCAGAGATACTCATCTGTTCTATGCTTTATCCCCCACAGAGTTTAGGAAAAGGAGAGACGAATCCGTCGCGGAGAGCTATGTCTTGTAAGTCATGCAAGATTCCTCTCAGGTAAAGAACTAATCGAGCCAAGCAATCTTCACCTAGGTCCAAATACCCCTGTCAAAGTAGATGGCGGGAATCCAAACTTTCGAGGACATGCCCTCGGAGAGCTATTGCAGGATCTCAGACATCTCTTACCGGATGAAGTCGTCCTCGCCGGCTCGACTCACGATCTAGGGTCCACGATGATGGGAGATGATCAGCGCCAATATCTTGAAACGAAGATCGCAGCGGGAGAATATGTCGATCCCCATGATGAGGCATTCAAGAGGCTGGAATGGAATTTGAGGCACGGTGATCGAGGGCAAACAGGACAAGCTGTGAGTCATCTCGACGTGCACATTTGATTGGGCTGATCGTTTCCGTTTCTGTCTCTCAGAGTTCCTGTCCTGAGGATAGTCCTGCTTGGATAGAGGATGCAAAAAGATACGAAAGAGAAGGAGGACCGATCAAGGGCCCAGCGCCGGTATACGATCTCATGGGGACAGACCGTGAGCGTTATATGTGTATGTGCGCAAAAACTCATCTGACCCCTGGGTCCAGAGCCTTCCTTCATCTTTGACCAGAGAATGAGCGATGACTTTTGTTACAACCCGGATCTCCTCAAGTTCCACGGCGGACTCTCTTACCATTACCCCAAAGGACCCAAAATGCGACCAATGTTTCATCAATCGAAATACCTCTCGGCTCCCGAGTTCCTGTTGACACCACTGGACTTTTACAAGGATCCTGCGGATCCTCGGAACAGACATCTATCACTTTCTTGGGACGAAAAGACCGAAAATCGATTACAGTGGCGAGGTATGACGACTGGAGACTTTTATTCCGTTCGTAATGGTTACGATTGGCACAATTCTCATCGGATACGATTACATCGCTTGACTCATGACAAGGACGGCGATATCGGTATTTACGTCAAGGGAAGACGGACGAATACTTGGGAATGGCAGACTTGGCAGAAGGAAATGATCAACAAGGCGTACATGGATATTGGTTTGGTAGATGGCGCTCATCAGGTCGGACAGGGACAGGAACTCTGGAGCCCGGCGATGAAGCTGACAGATCTCTTTAGTGTGACAAAAAGGATGGGAGTTGTGATGCGATCAATCATGAGATTGACTGGATGCCCAGGATGGATCCAGAACAGGCAGTCAAATACAAATGTGAGATAGATCTGTGTCGAGTGATGTCAATCTGGATATTCTGCTGATTGCCGATCAGATCTGATGGATGGTAAGTCTTCTTCTCGTGAACCTTACTGGGAACCTACATCAACATCTTCTTTCCTTCCTCTCCAGTCGATGGAAATGGATGGTCATCTAGATTCCAGCGTCTCTTACTCTCTGGTTCTGTCGTTCTCAAAAGCACAATTTATGCCGAGTGGTTCTCAGTGAGTCGCGAAACTGTGGGCACACTCGCTTATGCTGCAGGATTGGCTAGTCCCATGGTACCACTATGTCGTGAGTTCTCTGTAGCGCTGGACGAACCCAACTCACTCGCTTTCAGCCTGTCCAAGTTTCATATTCGGAGCTGTATGTGATTTTGTCGTTCTTCATCGGTGCGCCCAGAACACCATCGACAGGTCACGATCACCTAGCAGAAAAGATAGGAAATCATGGACGGGAATTTGCCCAGAATTTCTGGCGACGCGAAGATATGCAGAGTTACATGTTCCGCTTACTCCTAGAGTGAGTCTGGCGAGCTCGCAATCGTTACGGACCTTTCGCTCATGCCGTGCGACAGATACATACGTCTGGGCCAGGATGACAGGGAGAGTTGGTCATACACTGCTTGAGGGAAGAGCAGCGCTGTCAGTGAGGCAGAGATCATGCATTGGCTTCCTCGGATCGTCATGCGATAGATCGGTAATGAGAAGAGCATCATGGAGCTTTCGTAGCTAGCTACAGGAGGTACAATGAAACGGTTGCGCAAGTCTACGAGGACGGATTCGAATCAGGTCACGCCGTGGCGTTCTGTCTCACTTACTTCAAGTTGGGCTAGGGGCTGAAAGCTTGTGCTTGGTTGTAGGGTCGCCCGTCCGTGGAGCGGAGGAGGGTGTTACGACGATCTATTACATGACGGTGCTGATCTTAGCTTACTGTCTGCGAGCCCCGTGAGCAGCATACAGCCAGCCATGCATGGGTCTGAATTGCCACTGACAAAATGAAGTAGCTTCATGTCGATCGTCGCCATCACCCCCGCCTCCGCCCCCTACCGCCGCCGCCACCAAGTGTATGAAAAGGACGCTAAGAAACCGCGGCAAGAGGCGTGAAAGCTCCCCACTAGGTGCCTGCTTCGCTCATGCCATTTGACTTAAAGACCCCGGTCATAGAGCCAAGAAAAAACCTATCATCCCAGCATTACCTCAGCATATCGTTGGAGCTGAACTCAAAAAAATGAACTCCAACGATATGCTATGCCACCACAAGCCAACAGGTGGAGTCTCTAGTGAGACTTTATGGCCAACAAAAAGGACAGAAAAAATGCCACCGCCATCTCCCAGGTCGAGAAAGAAACCTTAAAACAGGAAAAGAGGTGAAACAGGTACGTGGTGTATGACATTTTGTGGGCTTGGCTTAAACGTGTGGGAAACTGCCACTGACATGCTGCTGCTGGACGAGACGATGATGGGTCAATCGCCCTCGTGTTAGTTCGTCGACGCCCCTTAGTCGGGCACTAACTTTGAAGGATTCCAACAATCAGAAAGTTGGGATGAGTAAATGTCGAACTGTCTTCGCAAGCTCGACGATTACGCGAACAATCGTCGTCGATCTCTATGGCCGTAGTATGAATATCGCACTTGAGCTTACATTATCACAGTAGCGTACCATGAGTACGGTATGGACTAGCAATTTTTTCGATCGGTTTAGATCGGATTCAACTCTGTCGATGAGCTTCTATCATTATTGTTCCTTGATGCATACATTGGTCAGCATGCTTGATCTTCCATGACGACGAGGTAACCGGACAGACGACGACGTGGGAAAGCGGTCAAGGCCAAGGCCCACGGACCGGCACCGGCACCGGCACCGGCACTGGAGTGCGGCCTGTGTGGTAAGCATCAGAGGGAGAGGGGGGAAAAGGCGGTCATCCTCTGGACAACGAGGATAGGGCGACCGCCGCCGCCCTTCCGACCCGACCGCATTTGGCGAGAAAGTTAATTGAATGAAACGATTGGAGCCAGATCTATATCATTTTGCTATTTTCTCACCCGCTGCAAGTACTGCTATACTGGTCGACCTCGAGAATGTCCTCTATAGTGATGTAATCGAAGCCATGATCAAGCCTCTTCACCGTCTGTAAAGATGTCCGTGGCGTTCTCGAGTTGTACTGTACAGGGGAGGCTTGTGTGGCGTTTGGCACTCGCCTGGTCCAATCGCCACATTCGTATGAGCCGAACCCATAAGCTGTATCTATCCAAAAGATCCCAAAAACGATCAGAAAACGAACGCCACAAATCAACAGACAAGGGTCAGTGGCGTTTTGCACTTGCCCAGTTGGACCTCCCTTCGTTATCGAGACCCTTGGGCTTTGGCCTGGTTCAGTAAGTGGCCTATTGTCATCGAATGTGCTCTGTATGTAGTAGCGAATCTGATCAGATGATAATGACAATATCGTCCCACGTCCGGATGCATAAGCCTCGCTGCCATGCAATCCTGTTCAGATCTCATTCGAGGGTGTCCCATGCGAACAACGTTCTATAGATCAAAAGGCCGAGGCCCATTCGGACGACAAATGCCGACAGATCGAAGCTAAAAAGAGAGAGATGACCAAGGCCACTCTGCCGCCGCTTCGTACACACCCATTCTCCGTTCTCCGTTGCCGCCAGATAGTATTCGTTTGGGTGGTTGGTGTGCAGTTTTGTAACTGTTTCAGATTGCCTTTGAAGCTAGCTAGTGTGGCGTTTTCTTTTTACAACTTGTGCATTTCGTCGTCGTAATGACAAGACAGAAAAAAAAGAAAAAAAAAAAAAAAAAGGGGGGAGGGCAGCAGAGTGGCCGACTTTGGACGAAATGAGAGCATACGTATATTCCAGGCACATGCAGAATGATTACATACCTCTCCAACTGGACGGTATGATGTTTATTTGTGGTTTGTACAGCAGTCATTTCTGGGCATCGTCGGCGGCAATAGACAGAGAGATAGTTGTGGAGCATACATGCATAGAGAACAAGCCCCCGTTCCAGAGATACAGGTACCTCTCCTATCCTTACACTCTGTTGGTCCCTGATGAAACGCCACCGAATCAATTTCGAACGAGGGCCACCGGTTTACGACTGAACAAGGAAAGCAGCCCATGCAATCATTTTCCATCGCAACGGCCGATTGCTGCTGCTGCTGCTGCTGCTGCTATTCCTCCTCTCCTTCACCGTTGAGCCTGACGATGCATGTCCTCATCATTGAACTCTTTGGGACCGTCGGTTGAGATATATAAGATCGCATCCATTTCCCTCCCCCTCCCACCCCCTTCATTGAATCAGTATCTTTTACCCTTCATTCGAGTTTTGGTCTTGACGACTTGTCTCGTTTGTTACTTTGAACAATTTTGACGCAGTCATCTGTGTTGGGTCTGATTGATTCATACCTTCACAGCATTCGCCTCTTTTTAAGAGCGATCCATTCGATTCACGATCCCCTTTTCTTTTTGCCCTCGCCGTGTAGCCTCGCCATTCGTGGGACGAAGACCGAACACCGTGCGAGTTGATTCTATCCGTTTCTCTACCACACCCGCTTGGACACTCAACGAGCTCTCAGCAGGATTCTCGCCCAACAACACGGTGATAGCTAAGAACGGGTGAGTTATGACCTCCCATCCTTTCTCTATCGCCACAAACCTCCTCCTTGGCCATCATCCTTCTTGGCATCACACTTCCTACCGAACCTCCACCGTGCATGGTGATAACAAATCACGTGACGTGACCCCCCTTCTCTTGCTCGGTGCTGGCGCGTGTGCTTTTTTTTTTCGCCTGGTGCCTCTTCGCCAAACGCGACCATGGCGTTTTATCTTTTTATTTTCATTTCATTTCCTCTGCCCTTGCGCCTCGTTTTCGACCTGCCAACTCCTATTTTTCAATCTCCGGCGTGGTGCGTGTCTGGAACTAGCAACTCGCTCGTTTCAGAACCAAAAAAAAAAAAATGATCAGAGGCGTGTGCGCCGGCGGTTGATCATTTTATTTTGTATATATCCTCCACTACGTCCATTCTCATTCTCTCGTCTCATCTCACCTCTTACCACCCCATCCACCACTCCCATCTCCACGGCGTAGATCGCCTACCCTTTCCCCCTCCCTCCCTCCCTCTCTCCCTCCCTCACTCCCTCACTACCTCCCTCCGCCTCTGTCCTGCTCGCGCTCAGAGTCACACACATCGCGTTGACCGTCGATTCGTCTGCCCTCTTTGCATCGTTGCTGACATTCCCTCTCAAAACGAAAAGAGGCATCACACTCGTTCACACACGGACAACATACGATCAGAGAGATCCATTCAACACTCTCACCCACATTCTTTCAGCTTTCCGCCGCGTGACACTCCTTCAGATCTCAAAGCACCATCACCATGATGATGTTTTCTCAACTCGCGATCGCCCTGGCGGCGATCGCGAGCGTCAACGCTCAAACGGCGTCTTGGCACATCAACGAGCTCTACACACTCGTCAATGAGCGACTGGATCCTATCGTTGATCCCAACGCCGTCTCTGGTCACATGCATCAGATCCTCGGTGGATCTGCCTTTGGAGCTGCATACAATTATGCAGACTCTCAAAAGGCTTCCTGCACGACAGCCGCCATCACCGTCGACAAGTCAAACTATTGGGTACCCAAGCTCGTGAGTAAAATCACGAATGTAACAGGAGAGACATACTGACATGATCTCTCCCCTCCTCACCCGCCATTCAGTACTGGATCAACAACAATGGCTCGTCTTTCACTCCCCTAGGCGCTCATACCCGATTCTACTACCATCTTGGTCGAAATTCGCCTTCAGAGCCAGTCTCCCCTTTCCCCGAGGGGCTTCGCATGCTCACTGGAAATCCCAACAACAAGCAACCCACCATTGCCGCTTGGGCTTGCCATGTGCAACAGAACCTGGCGAACGATCTCACCGGTACCAATTTCAATTTTCCCCGTGATTGTCCCTACGGGTTGCGGGTCGACATTCAATTTCCCTGTTGTTGGGACGGTGTCAACCTGTACAAGTCGGATCAATCACATATGACTTGGCCTCAGCAGAGTCAAAATTCCGGAACATGCCCGTGGTCACACCCTATCCGCCTCCCTCAGATCATGCTCGAGTACACCTACAGCCCTTCCAATTGGGCGCCAGGGGAGACTCTCGCCGGAAATCTCGCCTGGGCAAACGGAGACACCACTGGGTACGGAGTTCACGCAGACTTCACCAACGGTTGGGACACTGAGATTCTTGCTCGAGCTTTGAACGACTCTTCATGTACTGGTGGAAGCACTGCCATCGCTATCCAGGAGTGCGAAGTCCTTGCCCCATACTACGACCCCAACGCCGCTGCCAACTGCCAACCCGACCTCGGTCAAATGAACGAACCCGGCGAGAGCAACACCGACTTGGTCCCTGTCCCGACGCTTCCAGGGTGCAACCCTCTCTGGGGCAACACTCCCACCAAGCCGACCAATTGCGGCACTGTCGCCCAGCCTAATGTTATACCCTTCCAAGGTACCAATGGACCTCTTATTGCGTCCCCTCCAGCTGTTCAGCCTCTGCCTACCACTCCCGGCTGGAGCTACCTTGGATGCGTTCAGAACTCGCCTGCAGTCTTTGACACCACAACGACCCTATACAAAGACTCTCAATTGACGGCAACTGAATGTCAGAACAACTGTGTCTCCAACAACCTGCCCTACGCCTTCATCGGCACCTACAACGGTAACTGGGAATGCCGATGTGCACCGAGTGTCGATCCAAACGCTCCATGGTATCCAGGTCAATGCAATTCTACTTGTCCAGGAGACAGTAGTGAAACCTGTGGAGGACAGAACACCCACGCCATCTGGTACGCTCCTTCTGGCACTAAGTCAGCAGTCGAAGCGGGTGTCACTCCAAGCAATGGTACCGAGGCCGGATATGTCGGCTGCTACAACACGGGTGGCTCATCCACTAACATGGTCTCCAACCCAGTCATGACCTTCACTGCCTCAACCATGACCAACGATTACTGCATCCAGACATGCGCCGGCTACAATGCTACGTGGGCCGCGACCTCTTCTGGAAACGTTTGCCAATGCGGTAGCGGCTTCTCTCGCGGCGCTGGATACTGGCAAAATGACGCCTCCTGCTCTTCTACATGCTCGGGCGATAGCTCACAATATTGCGGAGGACAGAGTCAACAATACAGTATCTACAATATCTCCTCAACTGGAGTCAAAGCTCAGGCCAATCCCAAATACCCGCCCGGTCGCCAAGGTTGCTACTCCAATGGATGGAGTAACGGCTTGACCGGATACCAATGGGGCGGTACCAACAGTATCACGGTGGACTCATGCCAAGCTGGCTGTGCTGCCCTCAACTACTCCCTAGCCGCTGTCACTTCGGGCAACCAATGTCGCTGCGGTAACCAGTGGGTCGGCTCCTCATTATATCCGGACAGCATGTGCAACCTTCCCTGTTCCGGAAACAAGAGCGAGACTTGCGGAGCTCAGTTCATCTCCGAACTCTACTCGACCGCGCCGTACACTGCTTCAATCCAAGCAGCGATTGCCACCAAGCCTGTTGGATGGGCCGGATGTTACAAAGATCCTTACAGTGGCACAGGTTACTACAACTTCTCGCGATACGATAGCTCCAACAACCCTTCGCGATGCCAAGCTACCTGCACCGGTCTTGGCTACAGCTGGATGATTCTCGAGGTTGGGAATTACTGTCGGTGCACCAATACGGATCCCACCAAAGGAAACACGCTCGTTCCGTTCAACATCAACTGCAACGTACAGTGTCCCGGTGACCAGTCTCAAACGTGCGGTGGATGGGGCAACTTTGAAGCCGTACAGCTCACCGGACTGCCATCGACTTCTGCTGCAGCGTCAACGAAGGCCACTCCAACGGCCGCCGTGGTGTCTGGAGCTGCTTCTGCGACCTCCTCAGTGACTGCTTCCGCAACGCCCTCGGCAGGTGCCGCTTGGTCTCCCAGTGGTTCCGGCAGTACTGGTTGCTTCGCCGATTACAACAAGATGAATGGAGCGCAATTCACCTCAACGTACATGACGGTCGACTCGTGTATCTACTACTGTCAAGCTCAGGGCGCCACCTACGCGGGACTCAACAATGGCAAAACTTGCATGTGCAGTACCGTTTCGCCACAAATCCATCTTGGCCAATCCTCCTGCACCACTCCCTGCAATGCTAACGCGAACCAGACTTGTGGTGCTTACAGCGCTGTTCAAGTCTGGCCTGTCTCTGCCAGCAGCAACTTTGTCAACCCTTACTCGGTCGCTGCTGCGGATTCCAACGGTTACATGGGCTGCTGGGGTGATACCTCCGTGAGGTTGCTGAAAGGCGCCTTTTGGTCCAACAGCGCATTGACAACCGACTACTGTCGAGACAACTGTGCTGCTCAAGGGTTCTTGTTTGCCGGCGCTGAAGGAGGCAACCAGTGCTTCTGCTCCAACACTCTCGCCAATGGTACGGCATACTACAGGCGCGCGGATTCCGAGTGCAACAACCAATGTTACGGAAACAAGGCAGAAATGTGTGGAGGGGGCTATCGAGTTTCACTCTACGTCGGGGGCCAGGGCCCTTCGGCGCAGCCGTCCTCTTCCGACACCGCATCTGCTTCGGTATCAGCACCTGTCGGATCACCGTCGACGCCATCGGGCGGAGCCTCGAACGCTGGATACCAGGGTTGCTTTGCGTATGGACAGTTCGGTTCCAAAGCCAACTACAGTTTCACAAACTCCGGCAAAATGACTCCTCAGTTCTGTCAACGATTCTGTATGGCTTACGGACAGGAAATCGCAGCAGTCCAAGGAGGAGACAGTGAGTCGTTTGTCCTGACGTGACTGTCCGCTGACTTGGATTCCAGGCTGTTACTGTGGCTCTGCAGCCAACGTTGGCAGCTCTTTCCCCTCCTCGTATTGCTCTTTCCCGTGTTCCGGTGACTCGAGTCAGATGTGCGGCAACGATTATCTGATCTCAGTTTACGCACCTTCGCCGGCTGCGGTTGGGTTCCCGAAAGACTATGTTGGATGTTTCCAAGACAGTGGGAATCCGAGGATCTTGCCCAACTTCCAGATGTCCTCGTCTGGTCTCACCAACAGTCAGTGCCGCGACATCTGCAATGTCAAGGGATACTCTGTGTATGGAACTGAGAGCGGTAACCAATGTTTCTGCGGTACTGCTATTCCCCACACGATGATGACCGACGCGTCCTGCAACTCTCCATGCCCGGGGAACAGCACTCAAGCGTGTGGAGGATCCTGGAAGGTCTCACTTTTCAAGAGCGGCTTCTCAAGTCTTTCGAGCCCGGCTATCGTCTGGCCCGGCAAGTCCTCTAGCATGTCGATCTCCTCATCCAGCTCGGTCGCTTCTTCTTCGGTCAAAGTGTCGACGACTTCGCTGAAACCGACACTTTCCTCGTCAGCTGCGACATCAACCACGGTCGCTTCATCGGCCTCAAAGGCGATGTCTTCCGCAGTGTCGTCGTCGGCTCCGTCCAGCGCTTCATCATCGTCGTCGGCTCAGTCCAGCGCATCATCGTCATCTCAGACGGCCATGTCCTCGGCCATCAAATCGTCGTCTTCCCCTGCCGTCTCGTCAGCTGTCAAGTCGACTTCTTCCTCCGCCGCCATGTCGCCAGCCATGTCCTCGACCTCCAAGTCGACCTCTGCTGTCACTTCATCGGCACCCATGTCGTCGACGCCCATGTCATCCGCCGTCAAGTCGTCCTCAATCTCGTCTTCGGTGACCTCTTCCGCAGCCATGTCTACCGGTGCTGCATCCAGCACCTCGACAGCTCCCCAGACCTCGTTCACAGGAAAGGGACTGGACGTCTCAGCGACCAAGGCTTCAGCGACGACGTCTTCTTCATCTACCTCGTCCTCGGCTCCCACTCCATCTGCCTCCAACTATGTCGGCTGCTTCTCTGACCCTGCCTCGAGCTTCTCGAACAGCATGACGTCGTCTCAGCTCAGCAATGCCAATTGTCAAGCCTGGTGCCAAGCCAATGGCATGGCTTACGCAGCGACGACCGGTGGTCAGACTTGCGCCTGCTCTCAATCCGCTCCATCCCAATCAGTAAGCGGCTCATCCTGCTCGACTGCATGCGGAGGGTCCTCGACTACTCAGTGTGGTGGTTCTGGAGCTTGGAGTGTTTACAGTGTCTCTGCGGATGACAACTGCTCGGCTGGTTCCAAGCGAGCGGAGTTCGCAGCGGCGCTCGGACAAAAGGTTCGGTCCGTCAAGAGATTCAATCCTGCCAAGAAGACTCGACAGGACCAGATCTAGAAACCGTCTCCCTCCCTCATCACACATATTGCTACTCTCTCACACTCTTTTCGGGAAAAACACACTCCTTTTCTATGACTATTGAGCTGGGCTCGCAGTCAATGTAGAGATCAACACTTTTTGTACCATCTCGCTGCTTTTGACAGCGCATCGAATGAATGTCTATAATGCACATCGCTCGCATAGACCCTGCTCTCCGTTTTCTCGCCGACGCGGTACCCAAAATGATGCATATTTATGTTTGTGTGTGTGTGTGTGTGTGTGTGTGTCCGCACGAACTTGATCACACTGAATTGACCGAGATCAGTCTAAATTCTAAGCCTCCACCAGGGTCTTTAGTCTCCGGTCTCAACTCGCAAGTCAGCACGTGTTTGCCTTCGCTTAGTCCCTCGGCAATAAGCTCCGTCCTGTCACGCTTGTCAGACAGAGGTCCGTGACAAGGAATGGGTCAGAGAGAAAACACACCTGCCAATGTTGTATGGAAGATCCCACCACCCTTCCATTCTCTTTGCGTGCTGCCTGTCATCGTCAACCCAGCAATCCGCAGTTCCCAATCCGTAAGCCTTGGACCTGAGGTAGAAGACCTCCAGTCTGCCAATCCTAGTGAAGAAATCTAGCTTCATCGTTGCGCCCGGGACGTCAGCAACGAGATATTTCTGCAAACGAGCGTCAGCACAGAGCCTCGAGCCACGGCGCAGGGACGGCTTTGATATACCTTTTCCTGCCAGCTCCATTCTCGCCTAACGGATGGAGAAGGTCAGTATCCCGTCCACATTCCAAGTCGGCATCCGGCCACTCACCATCCAGTGTTCACCTGCGGCGCCAGTGGACTTTTCTCCGATCGAGTCGAATAACATACTGGATCCAGCTTGGGCACCGTCTCCTCCAGGTCAAACTTTTTGCCGATAAGCAGCTATGGTGGAGTCAAAGCGTCAGTATGTTCATTGGAGAGCCGTCCTGAGGAAGACTTGCTCTGGGTAGAGGTTGGACCGGGAAATCGTCCAGCGATAGGTATCCGCGCTGCTTTTCGAGATTCTCTACTTCGCAGATTTGGGTATCAAGGTACGCCTTGACGAGATCGCCTGCGAGTCTATGACCCCTCTTATTTACCTGAGAGGGACGTAAGTGGCAGTTCGGATTCATCTCAGAATGGGTACCATCGCATGTAGCGGCCGCGAATTATGACTTAGCATGAGGGACTCACATGTCTTAGATCAACCTCGCCATAATTCTCCTCCTCTTTATCACTACGCCGAGAAAACCATTTCCTCAACAGTGTATTGTCCCTCAGGATGGTAGGTAGTAAGAGGTTTCTAAATGAGACGACGGGCAGATCATAGTATTGGGAGACTCCAGCATGCTACCGTAGCTCTTGATCAGCGCGGGCCGTGCGGCTGAACGGTGAGCAGGCATAGGACGCTTACCATCTCTCCGCCCTGGGCGATTTCTGGGAACATGAGAGCAAAAATTCTGAATCTATCAATATGTCTCTGCTTGGAAAAGACCTACTGGATATTGATGATCGCGGGAACCTCTGGTAATTCCATAAGAGCTCTGACGAGTTGCTCGTATGAGTTGATGTTCCTCAAAAGGCTGAGATAATCAGTATCTGAAGACGTATTCGATGCTCACAGTTGGTCATTGATGGCTACAAGGATGGTCAGCAGAATATTCTTCCATTGTCAACATTTGCTTATCTCACCCAGTTCGAGAAGCACCAAATCGACATCATCCGGAATATGCTCCTTGTAACACATGGAAAAGTAATCTGTGCCTGTGGACAATGTCAGCTATCGCAACGACTCTTCGTGGCATTCGCACCCGTTCCACCCAATGCGCCGTTGACGAATCCATTCTTCCCTTCACTTCTCCCACTGGTGCCATTGACCATACCATTAGGTGCTGGGTACAGACTATCGAGATGGTCAAATATGACTCGGTGCATGTTTGTGTGAGTGTGCAGGTTGTCGGTATTGGTCCAGTCAAGACCGAATCCTTTGGAAACTACGAAGGGGGAAGGCGTTGATCAGTCGGACGAAAGCGAAGAGGGTCACGAAGACGGCGGCGCGTCGCTCACCGGAACCGCCCAACACGCCAACGTTGAAACCTTTGCCCTGTTTGGCTTTCACGATGAAACGTTGTACACGATCTCCAGAGCCTAGCAGAATCAAAGTATCAGCAGCACATTCATGTCTGACGACAAAGCTGGGCCAATCTCACCCATGTAGCTCATAGCACGGCGCATGCCAGCGACTCTGCAAAGGAGAATCATCAGGACCAAGATTACTCATTTGATGACTACAATCCTCCTCGCGAAGCAAGTTGGTCTTCGCACTGATCCAGAGAACAAAGGCCTCTCTGTTGAACTCACCCATACTCCTCGCACATTGCTGGAGCAACATCGCATATTCCACAAGCACGTGCAGACGAAGCATGATTACTTCGAAAGAGGTCCTTGGCCATTTTGGATGGAGAATCTGAGCATGAGTCTGATCCGGCATTGATTCCAATGGCACAGCGTAGAGATGGGATCAAGCATATGCTGAGAAGGCAAACGGTAAGAAAAGTCAAGATGCGAGATCGTGTCAGACGACCAGGCACCATTTTGCCTGGCTGTCGATACTTTCGGGTTCGAGATGAATCAGAAGCAGGTGGAGACATCCTGCCCGATCTCGTCGAAGAGAACATGACGGGCAGTGAGCAGATCCCACTATGTGTTAGGAATGAATGAGCGTCCTAAATTCCAGCTTGTAATACTTTGCTGTCCCTTTGCCTCTTTCTTTCTTTCTTTCTTTCTTTCTTTCTTTCTTTCTTTCTTTTTTTCAAATGAAGTTGAAAAAAGGCTGACGATTTTTTTCAATTACCGAACACGCTTCGGCTCAATTCAACCGGTGACCCCGAGGGCGGACGCTGATATCACTCTCATCTTTCATTTCCCCACCTCCTCCCTCAGAGACTTCATGCACGCCGAGTCTAGGACACATATGATGTATTCTATTCCGCAGGCAATACAGAACATATCTGCTAACCCACTTCCGCAAATGCCACCTGAGACTCAACGGAAATCTAGACCTAGACCACCAACCTTAGTGGTGGAACTACGCAGTGAGCAGCGTTAGCAAAGACCATGCATGAAGCCGTAACTACACTCACGAGCCGCAGGTCAGTGTGACAGAAGACGATCCCAGCCTCGTCCGCCGCCTTGATGCACTGCTGATCCATGATGCTGCCGCTAGCAGCTGCAATATATCCTACACCACTCTTGACGCATCGATGGACGTTGTCGGGGAAGGGGAAGAACGCATCAGAAGAGCAGACGACGTTCTTCAGCTGAGACATATGCGATGCCTTTTCTTCCGCTGTCAATGGTGATGGGACAGTCTCGAATAGCCCTTCCCATTGTTGCCTCTCTCCTCCTTCTGACTCGAACGCAATACCGGTGACGAATTGATCAATCGCGTTGGCCTTATCTGCTCTCTTGGTCCCCTTCTTGAATGGCAGATCCAGAACGCGAGAATGATGCCTCAGCCACCAGTTGTCGGCCTTGTCACCTGCCAGCCTGGTACAGTGAATACGGGATTGCTGACCAGCTCCAAGACCGATGACAGTGCCGTTGAGGGCATAGCAGACAGAGTTGGATTGAGTGTATTTCAGAGCAAGGGTGGCGACTGTGAGGTCAATCAGAGCGGATTCCGGGAGCTAGGATAGGTGAGAAGCATTAGAATAGTGATAAAACATGCCAATGGCGCTCTCACGTCCTTGTTCTTGGTCACCACGTTTTTGAACAATGAAGAATCAATCTTGCAGTCGTTTCGCTTCTGCTGAAGGGAGATTCCATACACCTGACGGGTCTCAATCTCTGGTGGCTCGTACGCCGGGTCCATCTACATCAGATCAGCCCTTTTCCTCAGGACGTACTGCTCACCTGGAGGACGCAATACTTCCCAGCCTTCTTCTTCTGCAGAATCTCGAGCGCTTCCGGTTCGAAACCAGGGGCGATCACACCGTCTGATACTTCTCGCGATATGATCTTGGCAGTAGGCGTGTCGACGGTGTGAGACAAGGCGATAAAGTCACCGAATGAAGACATTCGGTCGGCGCCTGAACCGTCAGAGATTAGACGCTAGGATGCCCCAATTCACCTCTGGCCCGAGCGTAGGCACATGCCAACGGGGACATGTCTTTGATATCCTCCACCCCGAATACTTTTGCGTCTATGTCATTGAGCGGAAGTCCGACGGCAGCTCCGGCGGGCGAGACATGCTTGAAGGAAGCGGCTGCTGGGAGGTCGAGAGCTGCAGAGAGCTCTTTAACGAGGGCCCACGAATTAAGCGCATCCAAAAGGTTGATGTAACCGGGAGAACCAGAGACGACTGAACGCATGTTAGACTTGCTTCTCAAGGTGTACCTTGCGACTCACCTGTGATAGGCATTTCTCCCTGTTCGACAAACGCTTGAGCAGGCTTCTGATGCGGGTTGGCGCCATATCTGAGCGGTAATCTCTGATATTCGACTCCTGCACCCGCTTTCAACTCCGCTTCAGAGCCCAAAGAGCTGTACACCTTCCTGAAGTAGTCGGAGATGGCCTCGTCGTAACCTTTTGTCTGTTCAAATGCCTTCAAGGCCAATCCTCGCTTTGTGGCATCAGAAACCTTTCCAGAGCTCTTCCACTCGGAGATAATGGTATCGTAGTCGGAAGGTTGAGATGCGATGGTCACTCGGATGTGGTTCTTCGCCGCTGCTCGAAGTAGAGTCACACCTCCGATATCGATCTCCTCTATGGCTCCAGCCAAAGTGCAGTCAGGCTTGGCCGTTTGAAGTACGAAGGGGTAGAGATTGCAAGCCACGATGGAGATGGGAGCTATAGAATTGGCCGAGAGATCTGCAAGGTCTGATTCGATGTCTCGAGACAGGATTCCTAGGGGCAGCATGGTGAGTCCGAATCGGGGATACTGACGACCGTGCCGGTCAAACGACATCAATCAACCTACCTCCATGAACAGCAGGATGCAGAGTCTTGACTCGTCCTCCTAGCATTTCAGGTGCTTTGGTGATGGAGGAGACATCTCTATGGCTTTATCAGCTCGCAAGTTCCAATCCTGCTGGAAACTAGATCCCACTCGATCTCGATACCGGCCTCTCTTATCTGTTTGGCCGTGCCACCACTTCCCAATAGTCGGAAACCCAAGTCTTTTAGACTTTTGGCAAATGGCAATAGGCCAGTCTTGTCATAGACAGAGAGAAGAGCTGAAGGGCTGTAAGTGGATGGGCTCTGTGCTCCAGTCACTGAATCTTTTCTCACCAATCGGTGCGTCCGACATTGTGATTGTCACGCAGCAATAGGGGAGGTTGAGAGGCAGCTGCTCAACTATGCTCAACTATGCTCAACTACGCTCTCAACTCTCACTCATGTCGGCGAGATTTAGGGGAAAAAATCCATGTGTCGTCAGAAAAATACCACGTCATGCTCATTGTCATCTGGATACATTTGGCGGCTACAGTTCTACGAGGGACGAATGAGTCCTGCTCCGCTTCACGGGTTGGGCTTCCAAGCGTTCTTGACAACTTCATGCGCGCCATTCAATTGTTTTCGCATCCCCGCCGCCAGGTCCATGCCATCGGATCCGACCATGAGCATTCGGAAACCAGCTTGGATCAGTTTCTCTTGTGCTGCTGGACCTTGCGCAAAAGTGAGAACGGGTTTATCTCCATGCTTCTTGGCCGCAGACAGGATCTTGCCGACACCTTCGAGGTATTCAGGCTCGTCCATTGCTCCTCCGTAACCGAGTCCGAGATCGAATCGCAGATCCATGTGTCCACACATGAGTCCGTCGACTGGGATGAGGTGACAGTGTCAGCGACCGGTTGAAGGGAGGGCAGGACTCTTAGGCTCACCTCCCTCGACGGCCGCGATGGCATCTGCGTTGTCTGCTCCCTTCTTACTTTCGAGCTGAAGGATCACGGCGGATCGATTGTAGATATCCCAAGGGAGGGCATTGTCCTTGTGGTCACCATCGTTGATACCAAGGGGCATCGCAAAGGGAGGATAGGATCGGTGACCACCCTGTGCAAATGATCAGAGATGTCTTGGGCTGTCTGCGTCAAATGCTTCACCTGCGTGTAGAATCGCGCAGCAGCCACAGCAGCTTTGGCTTGTTCGACGGTCTCGGTCTGAGCGCCACTGTCAGTCTTGACCAAGCCCACGACAGTGTCTACTCGACTCACATGAGGCAGAATGATCCCAGAAGCGCCAGCATCCTAGTCCATGGTGCGGATCAGCTGTGATGCCGTGATGCGACTGCATGCTATCATGGCATATCTCTCACCAAAGCCCAGGCAATCCAATTATGCTCATGTGTGGGTACTCGGACCACAACAGCGGTGGTCCCTTCACCAGTGAGGTTGATCCATCGGATGAGCTCGGTGACTTCCTTGATGCCTGAAATAGGGTCAGTTCAAGGTGGGAATTGTTGTTCGACGGCACGTTGCCGAGCTCAAATAGCTTACCGATGGCAGTGTGCTCCCAGTCAATGAAGATGAAATCTGCATTCGTGCAGAGCGTCAAGCACAGTAAGAAGCCCAAGCATGTTCACCCACCGAATCCAGCACTGGCGATCATTCTGCAATGTAAAGGGGTCGATGGTGAATATCCTGTCTCGACCGGGCATATTGTGACTGGAGCTCACCTCGCGATCTCCGGGTTGGCCAATCCAAGGCCATACCCGATCATTGGAGCCTTGTTTCTAAGTCTGTCCCTCATTCTAAAGGTCTGGAGAAGAGAATCTCCACGGTATTTTCGAATGGGTTCGAATTGAGGAGCAGCGGGATCTGTTCCGATCATGGCGCCGGTGACGGGGTTCCCAAGAGGAGGGGGGTTTCCGAAAGAGTATTGAGTCGAAGCATCTTGGGCGGGTGTACCGTTGGACATGTTGCGAGCGTCGAGTGGTGGAATGATCAATTGGAAGTGTGAGAGGAGAGGAGAAGCGACAACATGATCTCTTTTTATATCTCATCAGGTAAGGCTTCTACGTACAGAAGAGCCCGGGCATCGCCAAAATGCCCGAACAACTTGACCGGTAGTGGTCACCGCATCGGGCTGCGGATCTCGGCGGCAAAGCTGAATCGGCATATCGACTGTTCAGAGCTCATGATAACGCCAATATAGACCGTCGAGGGAAGCCGCAGCCTAGACGCACCAGTCATCCCAGATGCATCATCAAGTTTCATTTTGAGATTGATCTTCACATTCTCCACTTTCGAAGAATAGGTAGCGGCTTGCTTCACAATTAATAAATTGTGATCAAGATTGCCCCGAAGACCGACGGCTTGTCCTCTTATGCCTGCCTCCACCCTAGGTCACTCAGCACCTAGTGATGAACGGAATGCGACTCGCAGTCCGGACCAGCGTATGCGTCGCCTCATCGGCTGATCTCTGGAGTTGAGCATCATACGGGGCTGGGGCGGTTCACGACATTTATTTGAACTGAGATGTCGGCATCGGCATGACGTGGCGTTGCACTCTCTAGGCGTGCGCAGATCTTGCACCGGAACTCATCGTGGGAAACTGGGAGGTGCCAGTATCCTCCTTGACGATGCATTGCTGGTTGGGTTCCGTCGGATATTGCCCGGCGAGACTCACGTCACGCTTTATTCGGAACTTTTCCTTAAACCAAGACAGTCCTATGGACCAGCATCGGGCGAAAGATGATCATTGCCCGTCACGTAAACATGATATGAAGAAGATGGCCCTGGTAGCAGGTGAAGTTCTCGAGAACGCTCTGAGCCTCCACACAAAGTCGGCCCCAGCCGATTGTGTTGTTCAAACTCTGTCGTAAGAGGCGCGGCGTACAATTCCCGTGAGCAAACTGTAAACAAACGCCTTTAAACGGCTTGGGAAACCATGAAAGTCTACACGATGCGGGAAGGCAGGAGGAGATCGGACAACAATGAGTCGATTCGACATGTCTCGGACCTACCATTCACAAGCGCCGCCGCTCAAAGTTCTGCTGAGTCTTCGCTCTCACACTCAACCCATCTCTTCCCGTGAAAATGAATTTACGATGGGAAAAAAAGCCAAAAGGGCGTCACACACTTGGGCAGAAACCCTGTCATGTCACACGGTGGCACCACAACCTGGGGTAGTCCCCTGTCCGAGGCTGTGGCCAAACTACGTGTATTTATGTCATGGAATCGGATCTCTCTCTCTCTCTCTCTCTCTCTCCCTCTCTCTCTCTCTCTGTGCTGAAAACATCAGAGGCGGCTGTGTACAGGAAGAAGAAGCTTGTTTTTACAGTTCGGGCTGGGATGCCGTGCCGGAGTGATAGAAGAAAGCTGAAACAGACATACTCTCGTTGGACACGCGACTCCCACAATGCAGGATCGAGGTATATCGATATAACTCAACAGTCAGGGTACCAACGAAAAAGTGTGTGTCCAGCGCACTGAAGCAAGGCCCAAGTGCCAACAGATCTCCAGGGAAATGAGCGAGGGAGTGTGTATGCGTTGACCATAGCACACCCGAAAGGCAAGGAGAGGCACAAAAAGAGATGCTTTCAGTATGGCGATGTTATTCCGCCGTCATGTTGTTCCTAGTATAGCACATCTTCATCTTCATCTTCTTGCTGGTCTTAGATCTCTTCTCATTTGCATTCCACACAATTGTCGAGAATGGATCCTCGTCCATCCAGTAACTCGGAATCGCTTCGTTCGTCGCCGGGGCGTCCAATGGCACTGAGCCCATCGTCATCGCCCCCTAGATCAAGACCAGCTTCGCCTCCTTGGGCCTTCCGCCCCCCCACCTTGAGCCCTTCGTCGTCGGCCCTTCACTCTCGACGGCGCTCCTCAGGTCATATCTACACCAGTAAAAAGAAACAATTACAGACCTATTTCATCGTCTTGGTTGGTCTCGCAACCATTATATTCCTTGCAGCCTACCACGATGACCTTGCAGTCGTCACTGGGTCTCTGAAAAGGTCGGAAGTGGGGGCCGAGCGAGCCGAGCGGCCGGTGCCGAAGAATGAAGATGAACATCCCATGGATGCCTTTGTGAAAGGCTTCCCAAAGATTAGGAATGCGGAAGAGAGAGGACTGTCGACGGGTAAGAGGGCGAATCATGCAGCCTCCTTCTTCGACTGGCCGAGAACGACAAAGATGTTTGTCTTGTGAGTGACATTTTCTAATACCATATTTTTTGGAACATTATTTTCCGAGACAGAAAGCATTGCAGCTGACCCTTGACAGCGGAGATTCGTACTGTGAGTCGGTGCCTGAGTCTGAGCTTCGAGGCACCTTTGGCTGATCGACATGGCTGCCCGACAGCCACGCTGGAGTGAGTCCCTGCTGGGCTTTGGCTTGTTGCGGGTTCGTCGCTGATCGGCTCTGCAGCATGGACTACCGCAAAAACGGGGCCAATCACGGTGGACACCACGAGCAATTGGTTTGTTGGATACCGGCGTTTCACCACGAATGGCTGGCTGATAGCCCATGGTAGCATCACAAAGCGATAGATATGAAGTGGTCAGATTATCTTTACGCGTGAGTCAAAGCTGGTGTGCTTCGTACGGCAAACGACTCACAAAATGTCTGCAGAGTCTTCCACGACTTTCATGGTATGTTTCTGGCGTCAAAACAATGTTGAATGATAGTCTGAGATCATCCTACAGTCTTGCAATACTACAACTACGCTCGACCAGGAGCTGTCATTGACGCGGAGATGTGAGCGCGGTCATGTCAGGGATTCGGGCGTCTAGCTGACGGTCGTGACAGCATACCACCAGGCCTCGAAACATACGGGTGAGCGTGGGGTTCTCGCATCGGGAATCTAGCGGCTTACACCACACAGAACACTGCAGACCCAGCTGGACGAATTTGGAGAGCTCTTCACTCCTCTTCCTGGTCCAGCGAAGGTCAACTGGCATTCAGACGATTCGCTATTCGTCGTTTTCTTTGGTATCAACGATATGGGCAGAATGAACGTAAGTGGCGACCTTGGGAGCTTTCAAGGGGTGTTATTTGTTCCGCTGACAAATCTTCAGCGTGAGGACCTGGGCCGAAAAGACATCAAGAACACCAGCAAAGCGCTCGCTAAGTCACTGGTGGATTCCTGCAGACGGCTACACAAATTAGGCGCAGAGTCCATCCTCATCATGAATCTTCCCCCGCTAGATGTCTCACCGAAGTACAATCTTCCCCATGAGACGGGTGTTGATTCACACGAGTTGATAGGCCGATCGGTGGTAGAATACAATCGAGCGCTGGCTCAGGAGATCGCCAAGTGGAAGGATGAATTGGAGGCGGAGACAGATGGACAGAAGGAGAATCGAGCCAAGATTATGTTGTTTGACCTGGAATCCTTCTGGAGCTTGGTTATGAGGTATCCAGAGGCATTCGGAATGACTGAATGTGCGAGGTATGAGATGTACGTCGACCAGAAGAGGCCTAACAAGGGTCGGATGGGATACTGGTGAGTGGGCCATGCATCGGGGGATCCGAAGGAGGATCTGCTAATTCGGGGCCCCTTTTAGTTATCATGACAATCAACACATTAGTTGGTCATCCGCAGAGTAAGTATATGTTATCTTGAACCACACCTTAGCTCCCGACGCTGACGCGAGACATCCTGACAGGTTAATCGCACGGACGGTCAATGGATTCTTGCATCGGCATTCAATATCTTTCCAGGAGAACAATGCGACCGAAACGGCTCTATACGCTTAGGGCATCCACGTCGGGCCATTCGTCGAAAGAGGAGCCATTTTGGGATTTGAGAAATGGGAACGCTGCGAAGGGCAAAGCAAAGACCATGGGACATCTTGGCATATGAGGGTATTGAGAAATTTGCGGCCGACGGACGACAAATACTCGGGTCGATGAATGCACATCGTATGATGCCAGGCTGACAGAGCAGAGCGCGTTCACTTGTATATGCCTTGGGATGAGACCGCCGTCCACGTTGACCCTCTGGCATAGGGTGGACGAAGGTGAGAGGTCTTAGACATCCTACATTCCTTGCTCCTCAAGACGTTAGACGGCTTGAATGGTAATGGTGTTTTCATCTCCGGTGATTTTCTGATTAGTACCCGGCTGTGCACGTGCCGGAATCTTTTGCCCACCCCACCTCCCCATGGCAATTTAAGGAAGAGAATTTTGAAGATCCTCTTGGCCATATATATACTTCCCTTGAGGATCCTGCACTGTTCTCACTATCCGACAGCGATATTTTAGTTCATCACTTAGCAGCATGACGGACTCTCCAGAATTGGTTGAGAGTGCCCTGGGGCTACAGGGTAGTCCGACTCGAAAGCCTAGATCGAGACAGCTCGCCGTGATTGACCGCGACGAGGTAGCCAAACGGATATGTCAGGGTGCACTGCTATTCATCTACAACGACTTGGTGATCAACGCTTCCTCGTGGACAAGATCCCATCCCGGTGGAGAACTTGCCATCCTCCATTTCGTCGGAAGAGACGCGACCAATGAAGTCCTCGCTTATCATTCATCGGAAGCGCTCAGACGCGTGGAGCGGTATGCTATTGCAAGAGTCGTCGTCGATCCGCAGCGGGGTTGGACACCCCTTACTCCACCCATTGCCTTGGGTCTGGTTCGACATGAGGATGGTCAGAGAGGTCACTGGAGACGAGAAGGACGTTTGAGACTTGCTGCGGCCGAGTCTAGCCAAAACAGCGACTCATCATCAAACGGCAGAAAAGATCTGGCCGTCCTCAGTCTTCAACCCGAGCAGTTGGAACCGTCAGATAGCTCGCTCGACCAGCAGAAGCAGCACCTATATGCTCTAGCGTACAGAGACTTAAAGAGCAAACTCGAGGCCGCTGGCCTATTCGATAAGCCTGGACCTTTGTATGGCTATGGCAGCGATATCATCAGGTACGCAGCTTTGGGTGCATTGGCGATCTTCTTCTATCTCAAGTGAGTACCATGCCCCGCTTTGGACCTCAGATTCTGATGCCTCTTGAAGAACCACTGGCTGGTCGGGTCAGATGGCCTCTGCCCTCTTCCTCGGTCTCATGTGGCATCAATTGACCTGTGAGTGGAGTACTGTATCAGCCTCTGATTGTCTCAGTCTTGGCTCACGATGCCGGGCACACTGGGATAACGGGCAATTGGACCAAAGATAGAGCTATCGGCATTGCAGTTGCAAACTGCATAGGAGGTCTGAGTATCGGATGGTGGTGCGATGTGAGTCTGCTCAAGCTCTCAACTGGGAATTTAGCTGAAACCACTTGTCAGAACCACAACATACACCACCGTAAGCCGGCACGCTGAGCGTAGCAGTCTGACGCGTATAGTTGTTCCGAACGAGCTTGAGCACGATCCCGATATTCAGCATATTCCTTTCTTCGCCATCTCGAAGCAATTCTTCGGAGATCTCTGGTCGAGCTACTACAAACGCATCATGGCCTTCGATGCTGCGTCGAAGACCCTCATCTCAATACAGTGTGTACACCTTGCCCAATCAATGCCTGACTTTGTCTCAGGCATAGACTGTACTACATTGTACTCTCATTAGCCAGAGTCAACCTCTATGTCCTCTCTTACAGTTATCTGCTTGGACCCAAACCCCGGCGCAATCTCATGTGGGCGACGGAAATGATGGGCGTAGCAATGTTTTGGACGTATTTCGGATCCATGATCCGTCACCTCCCAAGCTGGCAGATGAGGCTGGCGTACATCCTTGTCAGTCATGTCGCCGCTTCTCCTGTACACGTGCAGGTGAGTATTGCGGGGATATGAGAGCAGAGCTTACATTCGCCAGATCGTCCTCTCCCACTTTGCATGCTCCACAGAAGCTCTAGGACCCGTCGAATCTTTCCCTGCCCGTCAACTGCGTACTACCATGGACGTCGTCTGCTCACCCAATATTGAATTCATCCATGGCGGACTGCATCTCCAGGTTACACACCACCTGTTCCCTCGAATGCCGAGGCATAATCTGAGACAGGCCAGTAGTATGGTCAAGGAGTATTGCAAGGATCAGGAACTTGTATACCAAGAGCACGGATGGATTGATGGGTACGTGGACCGATTTGTTCGCTCTGCAGCCTTCCTGACTTGGTTCCTTAGGAACAAAAAGGTCTTAAATGTCCTCGAAGACGTGGCGAACCAGCTGCAGTTTTTGAAGGAAGTCGCCGACAATGAAATCGAAGAAAAGCTCAGATAGAGGTTGAAACTGGGCCCACAGTGATACTGGCAATGACATCACGAATGCATAACGATTCTAGACCTTCTCACGGGCTATTGGATAAGGATGGGCTAATCCCGGCGGTCAGGATGACGAGTGATCCGGGATGCTTTTCACCTCGCCAGACAAACAGGAATCTGAAGCTCCTATCTGATCGATCTCTTCTCGACATGCGCTTCGCTTGCCCAACCGTCGCTTGGGGGTTCCTCGACCTGTCGGAGTAAGTCTGCAGACGGATCCGTCAGCTTGATCGCCCTTCTGTCCTTGTGGAAAGTGTAAGCGGAGGCTTTGTCATTCGCAATCGTACCCGTGGCTGTATGTTCACGGCGACTTCGATCCTCTGGCTGAAATATTGGTCCACTCGCCTTCAAGTATCAAGGCTTATCTGCTCACAGGAACACGATGCTGCAACTGCGGATCGCAACTTGCTGTGAGTCATCTTATGAGTCATCTTAGTGAGTATCAATTCTACTAGTGTTGGAGAAGAATGCTTTTATGTGGGGTGGACAATTAGAGTATAATGTGAGACGAGATTGACATTCATGCCCCCCTCCGCAGGTCGGACAGTCTAATTCTGTATACTTTTGTTGTCCTTCAGGAGACAGAGCACCTAAAACCTGTCCGTACAGCCCCATCACCGGGTGGATAGGCTCACACTGTCCGCCTCGAATATGTGCCACGCTCCAACTCACCGGCGCTCGCCGCCTCCATCGACGTGTATTGGATCATGACGAGCGAGTATCTCCCTCCGGTTTCGAACATACCTCTCCTCATACATGTCATTCTTCAAGCGAAACGATCCAGGTGCGCCTGCCGCTAGACGAGCTGCTCAGGGAGGCGGACAAGGTGGAAGCGGCCCAGGCAGCGGCGGTGGAACCTACGAGCGAATATCTGGAGAATCTTACAATACTCCTCAACCGGGTCTTCCACCTCGAAGAACACCTGTTCCTCAAGATGATTATGCTTCGCCTGCGAGGCAACAGCCGTACTCTTCTCAGCCGAACTATGGAGCGCCCAGTCTACCTCCCCGAGGTGGTGGTGGCGGCGGTGGTGGTGGTGGAGGAAGAGACTATGATGAAGGTCGAGGCGGCGGAGGAGGAGGAGGTTATGGAGGAGGAGATTACTATACGGAGAAATCAGACTACAACTCTCGAGCTATGACGCCGAGTGGGGGTCGTGGCGGCGATCCAGGAGGGTATGGAAGTCGCGACCGATACGATCAGTATGAACAAAGAGGTGGCGGCCCACATGGCGTTTCAACTGGTACCGGGCGAGGAGTGTGAGTATGAGATGGAAATATGGACCCGGGTTGATAGGGTCACTTGGCAGATTCAACATTGCTCCTTGTCCATCTGATGCCCTTGCTCTGACGAATCGTCTCGTCGTTCATGGTGCCGACTTTCCTCCCGATGTCGAATTCATCATTGTCCGAGAAAAATACATTCTGTCAATAGTGTGAGATTCGGCCTGCCTCGCCTGTTGACTCAGGTCGTATTGATGTTTCCGCAGCCGAGACCCCACTGGAACGCTACCTCCTCAAAGTCTAGGCCCGTCAAAGTTCATCAGACAATGGATCGGTCTCTCGGCAGTTGGCGAACGTGTCGAATGCGAGCCTTACCATCCTGGAAACGGTGATTGGGCGAGTAGCGTCGAACTAGAGGTGAGGTGGAGGTCAAAGAGGCAGACTGATGTCGTTCAGGTTGGATTCAGACTGAAGCGTAAAGAAACGCAAGATCTGTTTGACAGCGAGGAGATGGCCGCAGCCTTCATCAGCGTGAGCCGCAAACTAGACATGGCTCACTCAATGACAGGCGTTTCCATCGCTACCTTTGACGCCCCTTCAACCTCTCGTTTTCGATTACCGTGGGCATGAGCTCAAGGCTAATGTTCGAGCCGTATCCACTCTTGATGGGAGCGATGGTCGCACGGGTATCATCATGGAGGGTACCGAGATCATTTGGGTCAAGGATCCCTCAAGCGCTATCAAGCTGAAGAATTCGTCGAAAAGGTGAGCTCAACTGCAAACGATGAACTCGCTCACACTGCACAGGGGCCCAACCAATGCTATCCTCGCACCAAATTTCAAATTTGAGGACATGGGAATTGGAGGTCTGGATTCTGAATTCTCGGCCATCTTCCGACGTGCTTTCGCCAGTCGTATCTTTCCTCCCGGACTCGTTGACAAGCTGGGTATACAACATGTCAAAGGTGATTGGAACGCTCCTGCGAACAAAACGACTGATCAGCCCAGGAATTCTGCTTTTCGGCCCTCCGGGAACTGGCAAAACCTTGATGGCTAGGCAAATCGGAAAAATGCTAAACGCTCGAGAGCCGAAGGTCGTAAATGGGCCGGAAATCCTTAACAAGTTTGTGGGACAGAGTGAGGAAAACATTCGGAAGCTGTTCGCAGATGCAGAGAAAGAGGTACGAAGATAGTCCCACAGCCGTTACTGACTCTAATGTAGCAAAAGGAGAAAGGTGACGAGAGTGGGCTCCACATCATCATTTTTGACGAATTGGACGCCATCTGTAAGCAGAGAGGATCGACTAATAGTGGCACGGGTGTCGGAGATTCAATTGTCAATCAGCTACTGTCAAAGGTGAAGTCCAGCAACAGACTGTTGGCAGCTGCTAAAAGTTCGTTCAGATGGATGGTGTGGACCAACTGAACAATGTGCTCATCATCGGAATGACCAATCGATCCGATATGATCGATGAGGCTTTATTGAGACCAGGCCGATTGGAGGTCCACATCGAAATCTCGCTACCAGACGAGGCGGGTCGTTTCCAAATCCTGCAGATCCACACCAGCAAGATGCGTAACAATGGCGTCATGGCGGACGATGTCGACCTGGAGGAGCTGGCGGCATCAACGAAGAACTTTTCGGGAGCAGAGATCGGAGGTCTGGTCAAGAGTGCTACCAGTTTTGCATTCAACCGTCATGTCAAGGTGAGATCATGATCAACGTAGTCTCGTCCACGTGCTGACCTCGACAGGTCGGCACTGTCGCCGCGTTTGAGAACATAGAAGACATTCAGATTACTCGTGAAGACTTTATGCACGCCCTGGACGAAGTTCAACCTGCCTTTGGTGTGTCGGAAGAGGAGCTTCAGCAGGTCGTCCAAAATGGTATCATTCATTTCTCGAAACGCGTCAACGTGAGGGATAAAAGTCTCCTCTGCATTCCACCAGGGCACGAGCTGATTGTGAGCAGGAAATCCTCAAAGACGGCAGCTTGCTTGTGGAGCAGGTCAGAAATTCGGACAGAACTCCGTTGGTCTCTGCATTGTTACATGGTAGGTGTCTGGATCCGGTCCCCATTGACAGGTCCCAGGTCCTCCGGGTTCCGGCAAGTCTGCCCTGGCCGCGACGATCGCCATGGAATCTCAATTTCCTTTCATCAAACTCATCTCGTCCGAGGACATGGTCGGATTCGCCGAGTCGCAAAAGATTAACCAGCTCAACAAGATCTTCACAGACAGCTATAAGAGTCCCTTCAGTGTCATTGTTGTTGATAATATTGAGCGATTATTGGATTGGAACCCCATCGGACCCCGGTTCTCCAATGGAGTATTGCAAGCGCTCGTTGTATTGTTTGGCAAGCGTCCCCCCAAGGTGATTGCATGGATCAGGAACGGGTCGAATCTCGCTGATGCGATCTTAGGGGCGCCGTTTGCTCATCTTAGCGACCACTTCGAATCGCTCGATTCTACGAGATATGGACGTCGAGTCAGTCTTTGATACCGACATTCCTGTTTCACCCATCGACAGTCTTGAAGGTGTTGATCAAGTCGTTCGAGAGGTCAAATTGTTCCCCTCCTCGAAAGAACACCAGCGAGCAATGCAGATGCTGCAAGATGCCAAATTCGGTCAAGAAGGCAGAGCCGAGTTGCTGGTCGGAGTGAAAAAGCTCCTTGGCATGGCTGAAATGGCCAGACAAGATCCGGATCCAGCGTACAAATTGATATCGAGTCTGGTCAGAGAAGTCAGTTAAGGGCAATCGCTTCATTTCGTCTGTAGAGGATCTAAATGTAAATCTGGTGTTTCGTACGCAGTTGAGGCAAACATATTCTGCCGACGGTCCAGCTGACGGGTGAGATTCCTCCTCTATCGGGGAAGTTCTCCGTGGTTGCGGCGTTACACCTGGGTGCTCTTATTTAATTATTTCGGTACCTGGTAGTGCCAGCTTGAACATCGAACCCGAAACTGCGTCAGTGTTGGGAACATGCCCACGAGTGCGCACAGTGACGAGGATGATGGCTATGAGGTGACTTTTAGAACGAAAGCCTCAGAGTGAGTGCAGAATGATCTGATTGACCTTCGGGACATCAATTATCGGTGTTGACCGAGAAATATCCAATCGCTGAAGTCGTGCGTGCCCAACAGCCGGAGAGATTCTCGTAGCAGTCTCGGAGATGGACCGTGGGTCTGTTGCAAGAAAGTGTGAACATGATGCTGAGATCTTCATAACGCAGGTCCGAACACGGAAAGGGGACGCCGAGGGTCTATCTGGCCTGTATGAGATGCAGAGAGAAGAAGACGAGGTGCCCAGGTAATCAGCCTGTCTGCAAGGTGAGCTCAAGCATCGGGAACATGGGCAGCGGGTCCCTAGAGTCGAAGGCTGACATTGAGCTCTGACGTAGCCCTGCGAAAAGGCCGGATCAATCTGCGAATGGCCTCTGAAACGGAGGAAGAAACGGACTCGAAAGCAGATCGAAGCGGACAAACAATGGATGGCAGCAGGACATGCCCTGACAGAGCTTCCAAAAACGACTCTGGGGTCTCAGACGTTGTTCCCAAATGGTCCTTCCGCGCCTAGTTCTAGTGTTTCCCAAGACGCTGCTGTGGCTCTAGGCTTTAATCTAGGCTGGCTAGATGTCTGGAATGCGACGCTGGGGGGTCATCCGCCGTCCATGACTCCTGCAAATGGCATGTTGCCTCCTCAGCATCAGCATGATCTCGGAATAGGCTCTTCGACATCAACTCGCCCTTCCTTCGGTTCTCAAGATTTCATGAATCCCTCCCAATCAGAAACGATGGCGGGTGTCCATGCTCCGATGGATCCCAGGCTGATCAATGCCGTTCAACGCCAAGCTGCTTTCATAGAGGGAGATCCATCCGAGGACGATGATCTTGAACTATTTTATTATCATTTTGTGAGCTTCTCTGACCCTGGACGAGCGTAGCTCAAGCTGAGTCGTCCAGTCTGGCCCCACTTCCATCCGGCCTGGTCTCAATCGGATCTCGTTGAAACTCCAGCGTCGAGTTCCTCACTCAAGTCATGGTGGACATTCTGAGCGAAGCGTGCACGAGTCTCCCAGCGATCTCTCTTCTACGCCGTTCTCTTTACCTCAGCATATACCTGAGGACCTCTGGGACCCATCCGGGATGCCCTTGCCACATATTCGAGATCCTCTTCTTGAGCTGTTCTTCCAACATTGCTCCCAATTCTTTCCAAGTCTTAGTCGGCAACGAGTCAAAGAGCGGATCGAAACGGAGACTCTAAGTGCTTTTTTGACCAATTGTGCTTGCGCTCTTGGTGCCAGGTTTGCTCAGCCTCCAATATCCACCATCTTGGTCCGGACGCATGAACGTGCGAAATCTCCTTTGAACGCGACATCGACGTCAACCGGTCCCGTCGGTAGCGCGGCGTCCGCACCGTTCGTTTCAAAGGCTCAGGAGCTCATCGTGCCATTACTGCACCTCCCAACACATGACGTGTGTACCGGGCTGCTGTACCTGGCTTGGGCCTCCTATGGACTGAATTCTGAAGCTGGATTCTGGCAATTCAGTGGAATGGCATTCAGGATGGCTATCGATCTCGGAATTCACGAAGACAGTACCATTTATGAATCGGTCGCGCATGTCACCCGTACCAGACTACTCTTCTGGAATCTCTTCATGACGGATAGGATCATATCGTTCGTCACGGGCAGAGCAGCGTCCATTGCAGACGACGTCGTTGAAATACCACTCCCAGAAGACGATTACATGTTTCCCGATCCCGCTAGGAATACCTCTGAATATCTCGAAACCAACCCTTCGGCCATCTTATCGGAGCCTGCCCCGTATGTACAGTTCGTCAAGCTCATGGTCATCTGTGGCCGGATATCAGACCTCTTGAATGGTCGGCGCGGTCGGTCAAGGACACTAGTGAATAAGGTGGAGAATCTCGTGGAGAGATTAGGACAACTTCAGGTTGAATTAGTTCATTTCATCAGTGCCCTTCCACCGACTTTACAATGGTTGGCGGACAATTTTCGACATCACGCCAGTAAAAGCCATGGAGTGAGTAGTCGAGCTACCTGGTCGAGATCTCTGACTCGCACCGACAGGGAATCTATCTTGCGCTGCATCTTTGGGCGAATGCCGTCGTTGCCTTCGTCTATCATCCAGAACTCCTACAATCCCCTCACGGGGCGGAGACACCTCTTACTCAGAACATGGCAAGGAACCGCTCCCTCTCCCTGGCTTCATCGAGGCAAATATGCGAATGCATGGTTTTCGCCGATCTGGTCGAACACGCGACATACGTGAGTGCATCAATGTGCTGTTGTAGTTGACACGATTTAGACCAGCAATCCGTTCATCGTCCAGCCCCTTTTTGTGGCAGCGTAAGTCAGACCTGAAAGTCGAGCTCACGACGTAGTATGACCTTTATCCTTGAGATGCGCACAGCTAGTTCTCAAGATCAACCACCTTCACCGGAACCATTCCCTCGACACTCCGAGGATGCGCTGCTCAGCTCAATGACGAAGCAGAATCTGTCCGTGATCTTGAACGCTCTCGGTCGAATGGAACTTTATTGGTCAGGCATCGGGCCAGTACTGAGTTTGCTTGAACAAAGTGAGATAGACTTTTCGTTGTGCCAGGCCTCACAGCTAATCTCTTGTAGGGTCTGGAGTCACCGCATCGAGGCCTCGAGGCAACAAAGGAGTTCCTTTCATTTCTTTGCCGGATCAAGGGGTTCTGAGAAGGTTCAAGACAGATCGCCATCATCCGCACAATGTCGCGCCGGCAGACGACAGATCACTGCAAGACAGCATAGTGAGGAGTGGATCATTGATTGATCAAAGTGAGTGTCTCGTCAAGGTTTCTCTGCCGTGCAGCTGATGCGTCATACTCAGATCCCGTAGCGCTTGCAGATTTCATGGCGGGATACTCTGTAGAAGGGATGAGTTTTGGTCCGGCAGATGATTTAGATCTAGAAAGGCTCCTCGCTCAGCCGTGATGCAAAATCTCGCTGATTGCGGCGAAATCGCGTCCGGCGATAAAGTGAAAAATTGATCCGAGAATGTTCGGATGAAAAATGACCGGCCCGGAACCATGATGTTGGATCATGGAGGCTCTTATACACATTGTCATCAGGACTCACGCATCACACGCCCACATAGTCAGAAAGATCAGATAGATACGAGAAGACGTCTCAAACGCTACAGTTGACGCAATGAGCAGAAATGTCGTATTGATCACTGGCGGAGGCGGTTGGCTGGGCAATGTTGTAGGTGTGGAGCTCTGCCGTGTTGGTGATTATCTGACGTTCGCGCTCGTCTCAATTTAGCTCGCAGGACAGTTGTTAGACGACCCAGAGACTCCCAATATCCATCTCATCCTCGCGGATATCGTTGAGCCCAAACCTCCCAAAGAAGCCAAGAACTGCATCTGCGTCAAGGCTGATTTGACGGATCCTAGCGAGATGCAAAAGCTTCTGAGAACGGAGTATGGGGTACCGGATACGATCTACTGTTTCCACGGGATCATGTCGAGAGGATCAGAGGATAATTTTGACCTGGGTTTGAAAGTGAGTGAGGTCCTCTTGGTCTGGTGGCACGACATTTGACCGACGAACACACTCAGGTGAACATCGATTCCATACGATACCTCCTTGATGCCTGTCGGAATGTCACCACATCATCTGGTGATCTCATCAGGTTCATCTTCACTTCTTCTCTCGCTGTCTACGGTGGTGACCTGCCCGAGATCGTCACGCCAGATACTATCGCTACACCCGAAGGGGCCTACGGGACCGGAAAACTCGTCTCGGAACTTTTGGTCAACGAATATACCAGACGAGGTCTGATCGACGGCCGTATACTCCGCTTACCGACCGTCGTTGTTCGACCTGGTTCGCCTAGCGCGGCGACATCAGCCTTCATAAGTGGGATCATCCGCGAACCGTTACATGGGCAAAGAGCCATCTGTCCAGTCGGCACGGGCCCAGAGGACGACGCACTGAGCCTTGCAGCTTGGGTCGCTAGTCCAGAGACGACCGTTGAGAATTTCGTACGTGCGAAAATAGGAGCCATCATACTGACATTGCGATGCAGGTGATTGCGAAACATATTCCCGCCGAAAAGTTCAAAAGACACTCGAGAACAGTCTACCTGCCTGGTTTCACAACAACCGTGAAGGAGGAGCTGGACGCATTGGTTGAAATCGAGGGCGAAGAAGCGCTGAAGTTGCTGGATTTCAAGGTAGGGAAGTGGATAGCTGGAGCTGGCAGAGTGATGACTTGCTTTCTCAGGATGATCCGACCAATCGCCGTATCGTCAGCTCTTGGCCTGCAAAATTCGACAACACCTATCCGACCAGTCTGGGTTTTATCGTCGACGAGGGAGGCATGTTGCCGATAGTCAAACGATTCAAAGAGATGGTCCAGTCGGGGCTGGTGTGAAGAGGAAGGTGATCTGGAATCACATCACGACATGTAAGGCTACAATTGCTATGACTACACCTTTCGCGTTTGCCATCGTAGTGGAGTCCATGGAAATGTTATCATGCAAGGGCTCCCTTCGGCCGCATTCCATTCTTTCCGATCATAGGCTCACATCCTTCGCAAATCGGGACCGACGATACGGTGACGGCCCATGCTAGCAGACGACCTTGTCATGGGGAGGGACCAATGATGTGTGCCGCGTCTCGATGTCGAAAACCTCGTTGCCGATTCACCATGTTCATCTTGCACCGCTGTCCTGGTCAACCTCCATGGAATCCTCCTCTGCCGCCTCTTCGATGGAGGTGTCGATAGGCCTCGGACCATCACCATCATTAGACCGATCTTGGTAGTCGTCGGGGATGATGGGCCCAGGAGCTATTGATGCAACTGGCTCTCCATCCATGGTTGTCGGCAGCGTATCTGGTTTTCGATCCGCCGTAACTGTGGGTAGCTTCAGCGCAGGCAATCGAAGCACCAGTCGTCAACCTTACCCCAAGGGCGTCTATCAAGAGGGCACTGTTGCTTCGAGGACTCCGTGTCAATCCATTTCAGAAGACAATGCATGTGGAAGACGTGTTTGCATTCACCCCAGACTGAGATGTCGGGATCAGCTCGTCTCGTGGAGGCACATTGCGAAGCTGACGTACTCAGCGGACAATCGTCCCCAGGGATCTTGCAAGCCGGACAGCAGCTCTCATAAGCTAGTCGACAGATACCACATTCGTCGTCGTCATCATCATAATCGTCCGTGTCCCCGTTCGTCGCGTAGTCGCATAGTTTGTGAGGCTCGGTCGAAGTGTCCCACTTCCAAGCCGCGACAGAATTGTAGGAAAGAATCGTAACTTTCATAGCGCAAAGGATGGATGGCTCATGGACGATTGTGACAATGAGCCTCTCTCATACAGCTTGCTCTCCTGTTCACTGCTGAGCTTGAGGTTGATGAAAAGGTCTGGCTCTTCGAGAGGATTGGCCGCGAACTGAGACAGTGGTTATTACAAAAACCATCTGATTAGAAAGCTTGGGAAACCCTAATCACCCCCCTCCAGCAGAAAAAAAAGAGTAATACCCCATGTGCGCACGCACCCCTGAAACGCCTCAGTTTCAGCTCGAACGCGCAGAGCTCATTCAGTCATTCTCGGTACTCGACTCTGAAGTCTCAACAGGCTCTTCGTGATACGGGCGAAGGGCATGGAACATGTCACTAGTCGAGACCTCTGAACGAGAGGAGGCGTATAGGGCCAGCCTAGCATCTCAACCGAAGGATGTCGAGCCAGAATCCGTATATGAGGTGAGTGATCTCTGCAATGGGGTTTCCATGGCAGCTCTGACGAAACGTCTCAGAGACTAGAAATTGCTGGGAAAGGCGCCTATGGAGCAGTGTATAAGGCTCGCCACATCCCTACGGGGCATATCGTCGCGCTCAAGATCATAAATCTCGATACCGAGGACGATGATGTGGCCGATATCAAAAGGGAGATTTCCCTCCTGCAACAACTCATGATGGACGCTTCGGGTCCTACCAATGTGACAATGTACTACGGTAGCTTGATGCAGGGCCCGAAAGTATGGATCATCATGGAGTATGCCGAGGGCGGAAGTGTTCGAACACTGGTGAGATAGGGTGGTGAACATGCCTAAACTAACTATCTCAGTCCCGAGCTCAACCTTTGAAAGAGTTGCATATTTGCCTCATCATAAGGGAGGTGCTGGTAGCTTTGGCATTCTTACACAGAAATGGAGTGATCCATCGGGACCTAAAGGGTCAGTCTGTCAATGACCTTAGCGACGCTGACAGTTGCAGCTGCGAACATTCTCCTCTCGGTATCCCCTATCAGGGTCCTGCTTTGCGATTTCGGAGTCGCCGCTCTGCTTGCTTCTTCAACTTCGAAAAGATCCACTTTCGTCGGCACACCCTATTGGATGGCTCCGGAAGTAGTCACAGAAGGCAGGCTGTATGATTTCAAAGCTGACATCTGGTCACTCGGTATCACTCTCTTAGAAATGGCTTACGGCGAGCCTCCGCTTTCTGGCCAGCCTGCAGCTCGAGCAGTCATGATGCTTGGCGATAGGAAAATGCGAGCGCCGAGACTGGAGGGATCGGAATGGTCTCGGGATATGAAGGATTTCGTCACTGGGTGTTTGAACGAAGAGCCGAGTGATAGGTCGCCGGCCGAAGAGCTGGCGAAGATGAGATGGATAAGGAATCAGGTCAAGACTCCTCTAGCGCCCTTACAGGACCTTATCACACGCTTTCAAACTTGGAAAGAGAGCGGTGGGCAGAGGCAGAGTCTTGCCCCGGGAGTTGGAGCTGCGATCGATGACGACGAGATCGATGAAGATGGGGTGCCGTATGGTGATTGGGCCTTTGATGTAGGTCCGAAAACGACGGGAAATATCAGTCTGATCTCTATGCAGACTGTCCGCTCTCGTATGAGCCTAATCCGCACCGATGGAGAGGATGTCGGTGGTGAGTTGCCAGACTGGCTTTGTCATAGTCTCTGACGTCGAAATCACAGAGGCCGTGACAATCGGCCCGGCCAATTCCCGACCAGCGCCGATGTCAATCCGCAAGCTGTTTCACAACGAAGGATCCAATGAGCCTGATCCCTTCAAGTCCACCGACAACCCCCCATCGATGCCCGATCTCCCAGGTCAAGGTCCCACTCGGAACGGCGATGCGTCAACAGTGCGTCAAAGGATTGAAGAATTCCCCCGGGATGAGCCAACGTCTGGCTCGGGTCAAGGCTCCAATGAAGGAGCCTCAATGCAGTCCCTCATGGCTCGAGAGATGGTATCGAACGACCCATTACCTCTTCCTCCATCTTTCGATCGCCCACTTCGCTCCAAAGGCAGCTCAGACTCGCTCGCATCGAATCCCCCAGCCAGAGGGCAGCCTGAATATCTTCAGCGAGATGGATCCTCTAACGGTGGGCCTCGCCGACCAGGTGGTGGGTCAGTTGGAGAAGGTCTCCGCGGTTTCCACTTTCCATTGGTCAGCAAAGGACCTCCTCCAGCATCTGCTCAGGATCGAAGCTTCAATTCAGTAACACCTGCGCTGCCTCGTCCGGCAGGGATGCAACGCAATCATTCTGCAGCCCCCTTCTTTTTCTCTAATGATGCGCCTTCAAAGGCATCGGCAGGGCCAGGACCTTCCAGTCTTGCAAGCATGACTAGACCACCCATGATGCGTCAGGCTTCAGTCACAGTCATGGAAGGCAGATCACAAGCACAGGCACACGCTCTTGCCCTGGCTGGAGTCGATGATGATGATCTCCTATCCCCTACACTTCCTCTGGCGCCACCTCGGCCCGCCTTTAGTCAAGGCATCGGTATGACAAGAACGAGGAGTGGCAGTCGCGTCGGCGCCGAGTCGGCTACTAGTCTGCGCGGTCTCTTAAAGGTGAGCAGGGTTATTGACTGCAGTAGCCATTTAACTCATGTCTCCTCACCATCAGCTATCAACAAGCGTTCCAGAAGGTCCAGACATCCTACCGCCATCTCCAAGTGCCACTTCGGTACCGCAGCATTTCTTCCCGGCACCATCGCCACTCGCGCTGGATGGGCGAGCGCAGAGACCGGCTCCTACCGCCATTCGCAATCCTAACGATATGCCGAATCTGCGGACGACAAGGCAGACAGCGGTCCTTCGATCGCTGGAACTCGGTCGACTGGACAGTGAGAATCTTTTGGATGAGCTTGAACTCTGTACAGATGAGCTGAGAGTGTGGTTGGAAATGGTGGAGGCAGACCTTGACGTCCTTTTGGAACGACCTCGCATAGCATGGGAGGAGTCTACCGTCTCCACGGTCTGACCCTTGGGAATTTGGTCCCCTTGATCTTTTCGAGCAATATAGTTGGTGGAGACGGTACGTCAAGGCGGGTGCATAGATCCCTTTGGATCAGCTTCATGGCTACTCGTCAGACTCTTTGTTCGCTCGATCTGCCAAGGTATCGTCCCTTGGCCAAGAACATGGCTCTAGACATCTGCACGATGTATCTGCGCCATACGGTGCTACCCACCTTCCTCGTCATCTTCTCCAGCGTCGCTTTGCTGGATATCACTGGCGTTGGCCGCTATGGACATCATGTCTCTGGTCGTCTCTGGTCAACGCGACGTCCATGTCGCCGGACATGGCTTTGAATCGATTCTTGACCGGAGCTTTTGTTTTCTTCATATCTCCCGCGCATCAAAGTCTTCTCAATGCCCTTCAGAAGCCACAAATAGCTTCAATATGAGCGCAAGACACGACGTTGCACCTGAGAATTGCTGGTCTAAAGGCCATCCTTTGCATCAGTTGTTGCAGACAGTCTCTGTCTGAAGAATGCATTTGCACGTGCACTGACGGACTATCTGCATATCTCCGTGTACCGAATAAGCACGTGGGACACTCCATTTCCAAAGGTGGCTAAAGGGGAAAAAAGGTACGGCTGCCCCCCTCCCCCTCTCCTACTTCCCCCTTCCTTTCCACCTGATGGGCGATCGATCTTGGCCAAGTTAATAAAAATGAACTGAGAATTCCACACAAAGCCCAATTCCTTCCCGTGCACCGAATAATCGGATTACAGCAGGGGAAGAAAGGGCTGCGAGGTATGGGTGGGTGTCAGTGAGGCAGCAGGAGGGGGGGGAAAAAGTTCTAGGCTTGGCCCTCTCCGCCACTTGCATGAAAAATCGTCCGTCGGGACTTGCTGTGAAGCATCCACTATAGTCCGTCTAATACTCTCTCTACATCTCTGTCTGACGGTCATTCGTCCTCCAATATCGATCCGAAGACGCCTTACTGCTTTTCTGAGCTGAGCTTGAGTCTCTGGGAGACAACACCAAAGGTTTTGCGGTCGTGCAGATAAGATCCACCTGGTGTGGCATACAAAAATCTCTCTCCCCACCCCAATCTACCTTGGCAGGAACGCATCCCAGACCTCTTCAACATGCTCATGTCCTTGAGGGCCAACATTTACACGGCGCTGATCGTTCCTGCGGTCTTGATCGTCCTACTCCTGGTGTGGCACAATGACAGCTATGATCCAAAGACCTTGCTCAGTCTAGGCAATCACCCTAGTGGGGGGGTACCCAACGTTCATCTTTTTTTCCCAGTCGACAAGCGCAGTGCCGAGTCTGAAGATGGATCTGTAGTTTTTTGCAAGACGATTCAAGGGGCGGTGGTGAATGGCTGGACGCCCATCTTATTCAATTGGGAAGTAGAAAGCGAGCATCAGATGCGGAAGGTTCAAGGTGAGTTGCGACATGGCATTTCTTGCACCCGAGCCGTTGGCTGAGCCGCTCCCTCTCCCCACAGGCTTGCGTGATCTTCTTGACTCCCCCGTCCACACTGCTGGATTTGAAGAGGATGACTTGATCCTGATGATGGACGCATTCGACGTCTTCATCCAGCTTTCGCCAGAAGTCGCTGCGAGACGATTCACCGAGTATGGCGATGTAGATGTCATGGCCGCAGCGGAGAAGAATTGTTATCCCAATGACCCGAACGGGGTGAGTAGCTCATCATCTTCGATGCAGATGTAGCCGGGCTGATCACTTGAACTAGCACATTTGCCAGGATGCTCCTTGGTCACCGCTTCACAACGGTCCAAACGCGAATCTGTACCGTCCGAACGACGATCCCAATAGGCCTTACGATCAAGAGTAAGCCAGTGTGCGAAGAGGTCTGCAAGTCCGCATGCTGACTGGATCTTCAGGGAAACTCTGCCTCGCCATGTCAATTCTGGTACCGTCATTGGGAAATTGAGCAAGATGAGGACCTTTTACAACGAACTCTGGGACTTCATGCTCAGCGACACATATGAGGGTTGGGACGATCAAGGTGAGTAGAAGCGACTTCCTCACCGGGCTCCGTGTGGTTTCTGAACTTTGTTTCCATCAGGTGCCTTCGGAATTTTCTTGACGGATCAACCTGTCAAAACCAGACTCTCTGTCGACTATCACTCTCGACTCTTCTGGCCAGGATTCCAGGACTTTCAAAATATTCGATTCATGGGTACCCATTACCCACCTGATCCCAGTACGGCTGCTTCTTACTCGGATCCCGAAGCTTCGGATTACATTCCATGGGATCTCTATCCAATGCTGGCTCATCACAGAAAGACTGGAGAAGTTCCCGTTGCCCTTCACTTCAATGGACCCATCAAGGAACTGATCAACGAATGGTGGGGTCAACTCTGGTGGTCATCCCAACGTGACCGTTTCTTGCCGATTATACACCAGCGCATGAGTCAGGGCAAGGTCCTGATCGCCATCCCCGAGGGATACAGAGAGATGCCCGTTCAGGAGCTGTGTCCACACATGGACATTTGGCAATGGCAGTCATCTCACCAGACGACGGACGGTCGAGGCTCGTCTGTCGCTCAGGACGAATGAGGGCGAGTGTTTGGGAGTTGGAGGCGTACATGTCGTGGGTATATCATAGGAAAGACTCCACCGCCAGCGAAATAGAAATATAGACCGCTACGCAAACCGGAGACGTTGTATTTAGTAGTAGTATCAAGGGCTCCCAAGATTTTAATCGCCGTCGCTTACCAAGCCCTCAGGCTGACAACTTGAGCGTCCACAGGTACATGCATTATGGTATACAAAACGAGCGCGTTCCTCTGCTACCCACTTCATTTTGCACTCCTGCCCGTCGGTTGCCTCATCGATAGCTTGTTGAGCCTCGCCTTCAGATCGTCGAACCCAGCATTACTCAAACCAGTTGACGCCGGAGGTAATCGCGATCCAGTTGCAGGGCGAGGCAGCCTGCCGGTCGGAACCGCCAGTGAAGACATCATCGTTCGCGAGGTGGAGTTCGGTCCGGTCGAAAGCTTTGGAGCCTCGTTCATGCGGTGCCGATCTGAACCCTGTGCCGTCTGAGAAAGCCCAGGTCGTGGTCTCACGATTGCAGAGGCAGGTGTCGATAACGCTCTGGATTTCGCACTGACTGTTTCTGCTCGTTTGGAGGGGGACGCAGGGGAATGGGAATCAGAGGAGAGTTTGGCCCCGATAGACCGCTTTGATGCGAGGGATGGCGCGGGCAGACGTGATATGCGATCCCTATTCGTGGCCGCCGAAGCGTCTTTACCAAATTCTCGGCTAGCCTTTGGTGCAAGACTAGGTTTTGAGAGGGATCTCGGCAATGCTCTCGAGGCACTGTTACCCTCGTTTGAGGAACCAGGCGGACGAACGATGGACGTGGGTCTCATCAAGGTCCGATTAGTACCAGAGGACGCAGTAGGCCCTCGTGGAGCGGTCACTGTAGCCGCAGGAGTCGATTCGGTCCGCGCATGGGACCCGACTCTAGGCAAGATCGAATTTGAGGGTTGACGAAGGCCTGATTGGGTTCGGATTCTCTGAGCGGGTTCAGCTACAGGCAATGTTGGCTCCCTAAGCACGATCTGTTCCGATCGAGCGGCAGGTACAACACGCTCCTTGAGCAATCTGGCTGGAGTGCTGACACCTCGGCGAGGCGCATCAAGTCGAGCCTGCGAGAGCACCGGCGAACCGTCTCCTTGAATCAATCGGCTGCGGCGATCGATGCTTTTCGACCTTCCCAGTGATGTCGGCTCAACAGCACGTGGCGTCCGGACTGGTAGCTCCATTTTCTTGTGAGAGGCGTTCATTGTCATTGGGACGGCCCCTGCTGACAATGATACTCGCTTCGAGGCAGTAGGGGTCATGCCAAGACGAGGACGAGCAACAGTTGGTGTAGTAGGATTATGAGCAGCTTGCGCTGGGGACGCTAGTCTTTGTCGATGACTCGAAAGGGGTGCATCGGTACGTTGGAGACCAGAATCATGCAGACTTCTTGATCTCTGATGAGTTGATCTGGAAGCTGTTCCCGGCGCGATGCCTGATCGAAGGGTGGCTGGGGTTGTAGGAGCCCGATCCATAGCTCGTTTTGCGGGAGATGGCATGGTTCCGTTTCGGCCCCACGCAGGGCGCAAAGACGGGGGAAGGAAAGACTCATCAGCGCCTCCAAGGATTGAGCTGGGCAATCAGCAGCAAACTCAAAATTGAGACACGTACGTGTTCAGCCCCTCAAAGCCATCATTGCCATGGAGCAGATCGACAAAGCTTTCTTCGATTCCTGCCAAGGCTCTTTTGCCTTTCATCTGAGCCATCAGAGCGCCTACATCCATTGTCATGTCGGGATCTGCGGCTTGGCGTACTGCCTGTCGATTCTTCAAGCCCGTGGCCGGTAGTGGCTGGCGAAAGTCCATCATGGATAAATCGTCAAATGTCATCGTCTCCTTCTTCAATAGATTCTCATCCTGCAAGAGATGACGATTTTTCTTTGCAGAGACGGGGAACAGCGTGCTGACGTCGCCTGCCGTACCAGAAGCGCCCATATGGTCACCATCAGACCCGAGAGAGTTTGCAGAGGATGACTTAGGAAGTGGAGGTATAAAGGGTGGAGAGGCGGCCGTACGAGGTGGAGCTTGGCATTCCAAAGCACGGGTCGAGAGGGGCAGAGCAGCGTCTAAGGACTTGGTGGAGGGGAGAAGGACAGATTGCCCGAGAGATGGTGAAGTTGCGATCTCTGCACTGGACGACGATGGGAGAGGGATGCCATCGTGAAAATCTCCTTTTGGCCCGCTAACATCAACCTCCGGATAGCCTTTGTGTGAGGGCGGCGGCAAACCGGAAGGTGATCTCGGGAGGATGACACTGGCGTCTAGATCAGTCATCTCGGTGAGTGGTGCACAGTCCATGAGCATTGACATCTCCATTGCTTGAGGAGGGACCGCAAAGCCAGATACTGATCGTTCATTCTTAGCAGGTCTAGGGGGTGCCAGAAGGTCTGACAACGCTGAGGTCGTTTTGTAGGTACGTCGTATTGAGTGAGGAGTAGGGTTGATGTCATTGGAGGCTCTGTCTTTCCTCGGTGAAAGGTTCGAGAGCTGTCGACTGGACGTCTGGGGGTAATTGGTCAAGTTTGATAGGGTTGAATGACTGTTTGTGCGCCATGAGGATCTGTATTCTGAACCACGGGGGCGACCGTCCGGTGAAACTGGCAGATCTGCTTCATCGAGATACTGCTGTTTGTATCGATCAGCATTAGGGTTCGTAAGGGGCAGTTCTGGCGAGTCTGGAAGGGGTGGAAGATCCTTCAAGTTGGCACCCGAAGGGAGGAAGTCTGTTGTTTGTGCCATAGTCGAGGCTGGTGTTCAAGACCTCGTGTCTTACGGAAACAGCACGAGCGACAGAGCTACTGAGAAGAGACTGAATGGACGCGATGATCTGATTGAAGACTTGAGAAAGAGGAGATTTGGCAGACAAGTGAAAGTCTCGAGTTCGTGAGGGTTGATTTGATTGTTGGTTTGATAACATTGATGCAGCATCCCAAAAGTCAGTCACGCCTGAAAGCAAAGTGGCGTCAAAACACAAAATGGTAAAAAATAACCCGGAGTTGAATATTATTCTGGGTGGCAGTCGAAGGAGCGAGCAGTGGCGAGGAATGAGTGCCCCTTCATCGGGGTCTCAAAGGGCTTCATGCAGCAGTCTTGTCAGCCCAGAGTAAGATATCAAGCTATACAGGCCTGAAAGAGGCAACGAGACTTGTCGAACACACCCTTAGTGTAGGGAGGAGTAAGGTGGATCAGATTCCGCGGGACAACCGGACAGTATCATAGCACGCCGGTTCCAGTGGACTTGCTGCCTGACAATATTGCTACAAAGGGCTAAGTTGATAGCTGACTGGTGACTCTACTATCGCTATCCTGAAGTGATACCTCTATCGCGACGGATTGACACAGCTGAGAAGTGGATACTGCAGGCTCTTTTACGCTCGCCGACCGTCCCGCATGAATTGCCGAAAATCATTCACGTCGGCCGGCTCAGCTCGGCTCATTGAGTGTTGCCAAGGTTCCGATTCGCTGCCAAATTGTCTAGACTTGTCACTGAGACCATGGCTGACTCGCCAGAAGAGAGGGCTCATTGGCGAGCTGTCCTGAAAGCTTACGATGGATACATGCAGTATCATGTGGGCCGCCTGCCTTCTTGAGACGTGTGACGAACTGACAGACGGCGTCTAGCTCTCGGCTAATCATGCGAGGCGAATGGCATTTCTGCAGTTGCCAAAGGAAGACAAGGAGGTTTACGAGCATCTTGGATTCAGAGAAAAGCTGGAAGCGGTAGATGAGGGTATCAGGAGGTGAGTATAGCGTGTGAAGAAATCCGGAGAGAATTCTGAAGGAGCTTCAGAAATGCCGAGTTCATCGATGAGATGATTGCGGATCCCCTGTTCGCAGAGATGATCAAAGAGCCGGACGATGAGGATCATGGAAGTCACACACATGGGTACACTCATGGAGCTCATTCTCATTCTCATGGTGACTTTCATTCCCACGATCATGGTCACGGCACCGCCTCACACCATCCTCAGTCGACAGCAAAACAACGACACGAAAATGATGTAGCTCAAGATAAAGTCAGGTCAACACTAAGATCATTCGTACGGGATTGGTCGAAAGAAGGCAAGACAGAGCGCGAAACATGTTATGTACCCATCTTGGAGGCATTAGAGAGGTTGTGTCCCCTCGACAAGAACGGCGAAAGCTCTCATCGGCCCAGATCACACATCAGAGTCCTCGTTCCGGGATGTGGCCTGGGTCGATTGGCAATGGAGATTGCAGCTGCAGATAAGTAAAGAAAGACGCTTGACAACCTCTGACTCTGCCCTTTAGGCTTCTCGTCCCAAGGCAACGAATTCTCCACATACATGCTCTTGGCATCCCATTTTGTCTTGAATCAAACGACAGCTCCAGACACCTACACTATCTTCCCATTTTTACATTCATTTTCAAACCACTTGACGACCTCGAACCATCTCTTACGCCGTGTGCACATTCCGGATGTCTGTCCCGCTCAAGTCTTGGGCTCAAGGTCAGGCGGCGATTTCAGCTTGATAGCCGGCGATTTTGAGGATATATACGGACCATCCAGTTGGGACACACCGAGTGATGTGACGATGGGAGGAGATGGACAGGGTCAAAGAGGTCGATGGGGAGCAGTCGTGACTTGTTTCTTCCTCGATTGCGTGAGTAATTCCGCATGCTTCGTAGACTCACCAGACGATAGGCACGGAACCCATTGACATTCTTGCGAATCATCTATACCATCCTGGAAGACGGCGGCGTATGGATCAATCTTGGTCCTCTTCTTTGGCACTTTGAGAACTCTCCGACAGTATCCGCAGCTGGCGATCGATCCATCGAGCTTAGTCTAGACGAGGTCAAGGAGCTTGCGAGAGTAGTGGGCTTTGATCTGCACGTACGATGACGTTCTCGCATCGCTTGAGCTGGGCTAACCAAGATAATCAGGAGGAGAAGCTCATAGAGACGAGCTACACTGGGATACCGGATAATATGCTCAGGAATACATATACAGTGAGCAGGCGTGATCTCTACCTGCTTGTGTACTCATGTGCTGTAGGCGGCTTTTTGGACGGCGAGAAAGAGGCCAAAGGCTTGATATGGAGCCTGATAATATATGCAAAGTCGCCCTTCGAACGACAATCCAGCTGCCATCCACATGAGACGGACTATGCACATGAGACGGACATCATCTCTATCCTCTGCATCCATGCATATAATCTGGAGGTGTGCAACTGGTGTGCAATACAACATGATGCTGAAAGCTTGCAAAGTGTGATTACAGTGGTGGCAGACTACGTTTACACAACGGACAGATGGTCTGTATAAGAGTCAGTGAGGTTGAAACAGTGGATCTGGGACCACTCACTTTGATCGCCATCCATTGAGACAGACATTTAGTATGAAATAAGTGATGACATGGGGCCAAAGCGTAGGCTCGTCTAGGGTTCATGCCTAGTAACACTTCTCCAGAAGGACCAGGTCGCGTGTCGACTTCCTCCATACAGATTGAGCAGGTCTTTTCGGTGTCCATGGTGGGGTTTTCTGGGTCCGAAGGTGGGAGGAGTGGATGGTAATTGTATGATTCTGCCGGGGCGAAACGTTTGGGGAGGCTAGAGGGGACGATCAGCCACAGCAAGGTCGAAATGACGTACAAAAAGGATGGATCAAATCGCTCTTGAGCATGCAGGATGATAATCTGAATACACTGCCAGAAGACGAGGATCCAAACCCAGTTGGTACGCTGGACGAAGAAGACATTATCAGGACAGCCGAAGATGTCTGCAACAGTTATGCTGTCAGTTGATGTGCCATTTTTGCAAGGCCGCTCACTCACAGAGAGGCAGAGCCAGACGTCCCAGTGAAGTACCCAAAACGAAGCGATGATCCATCGCATGCGTATTCCCCTGTCGGGCATTTCGCCAGATCTGAGGCAACCAGAAAGAGTACATGATAAAAAGGAGGAACGGGATCATGGAGGGGAGGAAAGCCACGTTGAAGAAGATCAAGAGAAGGAGCATACCGCCGGCAACTGCTTCGAGTCAGCGGAATCACGTGAGATGTCGACTGACATCTCAAGCCCTTGTTCTCGATCAACGCTGAGCGGAGACGCTCGATGAGTGGCGCGCTCTCGGTCTCAACAGAGGGCTGAGCTGCATCGCCAGCGGTCGGCGTCGTGCCTGTCACAGGTGCCGTATTGGTCCGCTGAGCGTTCCCCGCCGCCGTCGTATTGGCTCTCTCTGGAGCCTGGATGCGGTGTAAAAGGACGGCGTATCGCTGTGCCAATGTCAGCGACATTGTATCTTCCTCGACTCACCGGGACAAAGACGATCGCAGTACAGAGACAAAAGAACCCGGGGACTAGCATTGGCATACTCGTCCGATTGTCAGAGACAATGCCCATGACTGCGTGTGCGGAAAAGATCCACGAATCTGCAATGCCCATCATGACGATCGTCGGGACGGATACTTTGGTCAGGGTAGAAGGTGTTCGCGTCGCTTCCATTTGTCTGACAAGGAGCAACAGGACGATGAGTTGGGAGGCAGAGGCAAACGAAGCGTCTGTGGGAGGCGAGTCAGCCAGTGAACTTGGATCGCCTCTACTCACAGTTGATTGACTTTCGCCAGAAATCATCTAATCTTATCCCTTTCCCTCCCTCGATACCGAATGCCCAACCACATTGATCTGCAATGGCGACGCCTCCCATACCTCGCCCTTCCCAGTATCCAGGAGGTCGGGGAAGACTCCACCTGATTCCTGTACATGCATGGAGTTCATCCTCGTACAGCTTGACAGCGTTGGGCGTCGTAGTAAATGGGATTTGCGGTACGGTCAAATGAATCATGAGGGGGCATTTGGTGAGCGTGTTCTCTACGCCGGGTCAGTCCTGTATCCTGAGAGATCTCTGACCCACCATCCGGCGTAGCATCCGTCAATAACATATTCTGCTCTTGTATTCTCAACTCCTTCTCCAGCTCGGCAAGTATGATGTGTCTCGTCACATTGGCATGTTCGGGGAACAGTCGTGGGATGTTTCGAATGTCGATACGCATGCCATCAGGGAGACCAAAGAGATTGTAAGTTCCATTAGGAACAAAGTGAAGTCCCCAGAAATCATATTCAATCTCCTTATCCCCAGTGGCTGAGAGTGTTGCGCTGCCTTTGACCCATGTCCAGTCTGTGTGATTTTGAAGGAAGAGATTCCTCTCTTTGAGATTCATGCTCCATTTGTTGACAGCTTGAAAATCCCATTCTCCTTGGAGGTCTGCGACGAGGGTTTCGTTCCATTGACCTGTAGTGTTGACGGCGGGGAGAACCACGTTGTGAAAGAAAGGTGGAGATGATGAGGGAGGATGCAGCAGGTTGATCGGATGAACGCGAGCATCACGATAGAAGCCTGTAATGTTGTCGTAAAACGCATGAGTTGCGGGATGCCTATACTCGTGTGGGAGGAGAGCGAATGGTTGGACCTCAGGAGCAGCAGGCTAGGATAGGGGGTCAGAGAGAGGAACACAGAGACAATCTTCCAAGCGGGACAGCAATTACCTCGGACCAGTTCCCTGTACCATTCACAAAGCTCCTGTAATCCACATATTGTTCCTGAATGAGTCCCAGCTCCGTCTGACGCATCTGAATCTGTCCATTTTCACCGATGTATGCAGACTGAGGCATATTGTTACCCCCGTTCATAAAGAAGAACCATGCCGCCATGAAGAGCAGCGAGCCTATGTGATTCGTCTTCAGCATATCAGATCGATGCATAGCTCAACTTACCTAGGTTCGGACGAGGTGGAGGAGGTGCAATGAATACACCGGGTGGTAAACCTGGCGGCAAGTCTGTTCCGCCGGGCATGGGCAAACCTCGTCCCGCTGGTCGAGGGGACCGGGGAGAGGCTGGAAGCTGCGCCCCATCAGCAGGAGCTACCGGAGCCTCTCCTGGCTCTGTGTCGGGCATCTCGACTGCCGCCCACAGCAGAGAGAAAGATAAAGTGCAGATACAAACGGAACAAAGGGTCCGGTCCGATGCGCTCGCAAAGTCGCCACGTGAATTATTATTGAGGCGTTGCTTTGACTGTGGTCCGATGATGTAAATTCATGTACATGATTAGCATTACAACAGGAGCATGAGGAGGACTAGCTACTGGCATCGCATGCAGAGAGCTGAGGGCGCCAAACGGGAGTCTTTATCGGTTTGTTGCCGGATGGTCATCTAAGAGACGCCGGATCTCTCTGACCCTCTCTTCTGCGATCGACCAAGCTTCATCCAGGACATCCTGACCGCTTTTCGTATCTGTCCCTCCTAGGCCTTCGTGGCGGACCAAGCATGCCCTGTTCTCCTCGTCCAAAGCTATTGTCAGAGTGGTATGGATCAGTGGTGCCTCGAACGAAGATGGATCAGGGAGCAGATAGGCTCTAAATTGGCGAGTCAGCTCGACGTTACGGTCGCGGAGAGCGTGTGCTGCACTGACGATTTGAATATTCCAAAAGAGCAAGAGAGCGGTAGACGGCCCAGAGCAAGAGAATGGAAATCGTCACTGCAAGTGACCTTGGCCGTGATGTCGTCATACGTCGCGGAGCGCAGTCGAGCTGATACGCGTCAGCGCAAGTCCATAGAAGGGCAGTGTAGAGCGCTAAGATGCGACACGCACTATTCCCTAAAGCAGCCATGACTGCCAAAACGGCGGCATCAAACGCATTGCCGTCATAGTTGATGCACACAACATCAATATACAATGCCCAAACAGCTTTGCCAGGGCAAATGCAGAGAGATTGCGGATCGACCGTGCGTGAGCTATGAGACGTACCGTCAGATTGCGCTCCATGGATAGGGCTGACAAGACATGTCCGCTCTCGTAAAAAGATCACTCACGAAGTGATGAGGTCAAAGAGCCAGTTTGACATTGTCTGCGCTTCATCTGCCGGTGGACCAGGCTTGAACTTTGGCGAGCACAGAGCGGGCAGATCGATATTTGGAACTAAAAACGAATACTCAGTACAAGTCGGGAACTGTGTGCGACTCACCGATGTAACCTGATCGAGGCGACGTTGCCAATGGCTCTGCAATCTCCGCCTTGACACCGCACACCATGGTTGTGTCTCCGAGCCTAACGAGCGCCGAACCGTCCGCAGTAGACACGGAGCCTACTTGCATGAGTTTTCGGATCGTTTTCTGATCGGCCAGCTCACCCTTGTTGATCTTTACATCTCTCCAAGCGGTCACTTTTCTGCCATCGGGACGATAGCCTTTCGCGAGGAATTTGGACAGATAGGGGCCAGGGTGCAAGCGCTTGAAGGCGGTAGCTGAGGATTCCGCCTTAGAAGAGGAGTCCACTTCCATGTCCTGAGCTGATGCCGTTGCTTCTGAGACTGTCATAGGTGTTCCGACGGGTGATCCTCAATGCTGAATCTTCTTGGTTGACCCGGTGAACATCCTCCACTCACTGAAGATTTGGGATTAAATGGCCGAGCAAAAATACCACTCAATATAATAAAATAGTTTCACACGTGGCAATCTCAGGTGACGTCTATCTCTTCTTTCTTTCTTTTTTGATTCCGCTTTTCTCACCTGTCGTCCCCTTGTGACCTCGTGACTTTTTTGGAGGTGAGTCGGTAGGCCAGCGACTTGTTGTGACTGTTTTCACGTCGAGGACACTCTGTGGTCGTCCAGCAGTCTCTTCTGTGACCTAGCTCTGTCATACTCACCATCTTTTGATCACCCTGGCGCCACACACACGCAAACAAGTTACCTGTTCTCAATCCATGGCATCTGCCTATTCTCTACCGCAATTGCGGAACCATTCGACATCAGCAGCAGCAGCACGGATATCACCTCGTAGTTCACAGAACGCTTTAAAGGCATCTCAATCGCCTCCACCCCCCTCAGGATCCTCCTCCTCTTCGTCCTACGCTCGAAGACCCAGTCCAGCTTCACCTCGAAGCGCGACACCTCGTCAGACTCGTACCAAAGGGAGGTCATCATCGCGTGGACCAACGTCATCAGCCGCCAGTGAATCAGGATACAAGGAGAACGTACCTCTCGACATGCAGGAGGAATACGTGGATGGGGAGGCGAGTCGAGTCTCGAGATCAGGCAAACAATCACGACTATCCTCTGAACCGCCTCGGGAAATGGGCAACGGAGGAGGGAGGACGTGGAGGGATGGGAGTTTGGAGATTGAAGATGATGCGATCCGAGCGCGAAAGAGTCACTCTGTTCGATCGTCTAAATCACCAGTCCCATCTTCACCGGGGTCTCCAGCTTACAATGGACTGCCGACCCTGCCTACCATACCCGATCCCGACGAGGATACGGGTGACGCGATCCCCTCGTCATCCAGCATCACTTCTAGACCTCCCCCACCCGCTGCGTCGACTCAGACAGCATCTGGTCGGCCATTGCAGAGAAAACGTCGAAGTAGCAGTATCAAACGGAAACCAAGTCCTGGAGTCACGCCAAAGAATGTAGTAGATTGGGAAATTCCACGCAAGACGCTGCACTCCTCGATTGGGTTCTTGACTTTGGGACTTTACTACCTCGATCCCAAAGACCTCACATTGCTTCTTACGGTTCTTTCGACAGGACTGATCAGTGTTTTCACCATTGATCTGGCCAGACTTCGCTTTCCAGTCTTTGCAGAGCACTGGGAATCTATCGTCGGTTTCCTCATGAGGGAGCAGGAGCGCTCGCGGATCAATGGAGTAGTCTGGTATCTGATGGGAGTTATCACTGTGCTTGCAGTTTACCCTCGGGACGTTGCCGTCATCTCCATCTTGACGTGAGTGTAGTGTAGGCAGAACCTCTCTAGGCATGTGCTAACATGGTCTTTTAGCCTGTCCTGGTCAGACACCACTGCGTCGACGATTGGTCGGCTATGGGGAAAATACACGCCTCCTCTCCCGTCCCATTTCCCGGGAGTCCAGCAGCTTCGGTTCGCGCCTCGAAAATCGCTCGCGGGCTTCTTAGCAGCGACCGTTACAGGCATCTTGATCTGCCTCGGTTTCTGGTGGCATGGCAGTCAAGGTCGATGGCTCTTGTTGGATGGAACGTGGCCAGGCTTACTGAGTACCGCCGTGATTGTTGGGATAGGCGGGGCGATCGCCGAGGCTATGGGTGCGTTTGCCCCCGAATTTCTATCTCATCTCGAGTGCGCGCTTACCCAGCTCAGACCTCGGCCTCGATGACAATCTCACGCTCCCCATCATCAGTGGAGCCATGGCTTGGGCTTGGCTCGGCGCCACCAACCTGTTGCTGAAGTAATACGATGCTTTATAGAGAAGGATACGGTGTTTCACTTGACGACTTGACGACGAGCATGACGAGAAAAGATACCCTCCTTGGCCTTCGGGTATACCTAGATAGCATCCACGAGCTGAATTCGCGTGAAATATAGAGTATTATAGCTTGACCGTGTTCTCCCCTAATTGCATGTCGTAGCTAACAGACAGACAGACGCCATTCGTCCTGCCGAAAAGTTTGCTTCACAAAAAAAATTGCGGTGGAGGTGGCCATTTCAATGAAAGATTTTGAATTAGTCAACTCTGACTCTACATCTCTAGCGTTTCGCACCTCACACACTTAGACTGCGAGAGATCATGGCCAGCGCTATGATGTCTAATGGACATGCTCCAGATCTCTTGGCTTCTCTCGAAAGGCACAATGAATCATTCACCAAACTTTTATCCCTCATCCCGTCCAGATTCTACGCTGCACCTGAGTCTCAGGAGGTGAGCATGTTTTCAGCTTGTAGGTGAAGAAGAGTCTGTCTAACGGCTGTTTAGGTCGACAGCAAGTGGATGAAGAAGAAGAAGCGTCAGACTGGAGAGGAGATCAAGGAGCAGAAGAAGAAGGCCAGGCAGGACAAAGTACGTCCCGAAGGGAAGTCAACGAGACAGTGCTGAGGCGGCCAATTCTGCAGTTTGATCCATCGAAGCAGAGTACCGCTGCGGATCTGGTCAATTCATCCTCCCAGGCAGGCCCATCTTCTATCCCTCTTCCCATCTCTTCACCTGCTCTTCCGGCCCCGGTTCGACCGCTACCTCCTACGGCGAGCATATCAGATTTGAGGGCACGTCTTCACTCAAAGATTGAGGGATTTCGACGTGATCGTGGAGTTGACGATGATGCCGATCCTCAAAGTCGGAGCGCGTTGGAAGCGGAGACTAGACGACGGAGAGGTGAGATGAGGGATAGGCGGAGGCGGGAGAGAAAGGAAGAGAGGAGGAAAGCAAGGGAGAAGGAAGCAGTCACTGGCAAGTCTGCAAAGGTGATTGAGGAGGGTTCATGGCTTTGAAAGGGAGCATCTTCCGCTGATCAGACTGATCGTGCAGCCTCGACTTGTCGTTCCTCATCCTCGAGACAATGATGGAGTAACCTATCCTACTGTCAAGCTCCCTTCAGCTGCCCAGCACAAATCCAATTTTAAGCCTATCGCCAATCCATCTCACGCGCTGGCGCACTTGGAGAAGCACAAGCGCAAATTGGACAGCATGACGGATGAGAAGAGGAGAGAAGTGTTGGAGCGTGAACGATGGGCCAAAGCAGAGGAAAGAGCAGCTGGAGGCAAGGTCGCAGATCAAGAGACAGTCTTGAAGAAGGCAGTCAAGAGAAAGGAGAAGGAAAAGTCAAAGAGCGGCAAGGAATGGTAAGAAACCCGTTCGCTCCTGGGCATGGCAAACCATTGACATACGACTCTAGGAGCGAGAGGAAACGTGACCTCGAGCGGGCACAAGCTGCCTCGATCAAGAAACGATCCGACAATATAGCTGCTCGCGCTGATGCGAAGAGGAATAAAAAGCTAGGTCTCAAGGATAAGAACAAGGGCGGCAAGATGAAGAAGAAGGGTCGACCAGGGTTCGAAGGTGGCAGGAACAAAAACAAGCAGAAGGACAAGGCTTGAGCGAGCGAGAGAGGTGAGGGTGACCGACCGATGCATGAGTATTATACGAGACCAAAGTGCTCGGCGAATGGGTCGTCGTCCATTCCTGCTTCCCTGAACGAAGGGACATCAAGCATCAGGAACGAACTGCGTATTAGTACGGTGACGACACTCACTTCACTTCGAGAACTGCCAAGATCTGATCACCCATCTGCTTGGCTTTGCTCTGATCGTTCTCGTACTTGCTCAATAAGTGTCGTATGATCGCAGCTGCCATATCTATCCCAGCTGTCACCCCTGAACTTGACCAAATCTTGCCGTCTACGACCCATCTGCAGCGACGGGTTGAGCGAAGATCCCGCTATCACTTGCTTGTGACTGACCTTGCCTCTGGAACCCAAGTTACACCTTGGTCTTGGGTCGTCTCCTGAGTACGAGAGTCAGTGAGAATTAACGTGAGTCAGCGATGACTGACTATGACCTCATTGTATGCCGCCTTGTTCGTGGTCGCCTTGAGACCTCTCAGCAGTCCAGTAGAAGCCAATAGCCAAGATCCAGTGCATACTGCCCAGCCGCCGTCAGAATAAGATAGCCCTGATAGGTTGGTCGCGGCTCACCCGTCCAGACATACTCCACCTCTGGCACCTTGTTCTTGAGGAACTCTTGTACTCTATCATTTTCTTTCAACCATGGTCGAGCTCCACCTCCACCAGGTAGGAGGATCGCATCCCATGTCTCAGATTCTGCCTCTTCCAACGTCATGTCAGGGACAACTCGGAGTCCCCCGGCATTCATGACTGGATCCATCGTCTCGGACGCGATTTTCACTATCATGTTGAACGGCAAATTTCTAGACGCTGGTCGACTGGGATCTGTACTGCTGAAAACTGCATGTGGGCCGCACCAATCGAGAGGCTGAGAGTATGGGAACAGAGGCAGGACGACGCGGATGATTCGGGGTTGAGAGCTCATCTGGGCTGATTGAGGGTTTGGTACCTGACCAGAACTAGCTTAGACAAACTCCCGCTAGAATGGCCACAATCGCTTCTGGATGCCCGAGTTGACTGACTCGGTCGAGGATCTGGACATGATAAAAGCTACGAAGATCCGAAATGATCGACCTACCGGATTGCTTGGCGTGTGGCAGCCACGGTACTGTACGTGGCACTTAATTCTGTCTGGGATCCTTTGATTGTCACTTTACGCCAATCGATCAACATCGATTGAATGCATCTCCCTTGATCACGGCACACAAAGGATGATCTTGCGGGACCAGGAAGACCAAGTAGGTGATTGATTGAGGAGAGTGTCAGTGGAGACAGATAAGGGCAACAGTCGAGAGGATCGTTCTTCTCGTCACTACAGTACTATCACTCACACTGTACACGTTACGCTAGTACTCACGCCCCCTTAATATCATCATGAGCTCCACCGAAGAGCTGGAGGGTCTGATCAGGAGGATCATTGATAGTCGATTGATACGCTATAACCATGCGACTTGCTGGCGTCCAGTTGAATCGAAGAGCACGATCCAAGAAATGTGGACGGCAGATTACAGTGACAGGCGGAGCCCAATTGATATTGTTGACACTCGGTTAGAGGAACCGAGAGCATCGTCCGCGGCCAACTTGCCGAGCGACTCAACAACGGACAACAGACGAGGCACTGCACGTTTCCGTTCGGAGCCAGTACCTCGTTCCCTGTCAGTCTTCCCCTGGGAGCTCAACGGCCCAGGCTGCGAGTATGTCACAGAAGGGAGCCTTCCCGTAAAAGAGCGAGAAGAAGCCAAGATCCAGCTGACCACATTCCGAGATAAATCGAAGGCGCGAAGACATCGACTTATGAAGACCTTGCTTGGAGAGCAGAGTAAAACATATGGGCCATCATTTCGACTCTTGGACGATGTCGTCCTCTCTCTGCGGACCGAAGATCTGGACGATCCCTCCGATGTCAATTACGCCACAGCGTGTGCCAGTACTGACAAGTGGTTCTCCTCCTACATTGCCAGCGGTGCTCCCAGTACAAGCGCTTTGGAGCAGTACGCTGTGCTGCTTGCCTGGCAGGAAGCGTTCTCTCATCCCAGAGAAACGACAGATAAATGGGACTTTGAGACTATTCAAGGCTTGAAAGATCAGTATTTCAGAGACACAGACAAGATATTGTCCGCTTGGGATCTCGAAGAGTCTCATCAAACTGGATCGAATGTGGTCTGACTAGAGTCTTCGTTTCAAACACTCCAACAAATTGACCTCGAGCTCAGACAACGTCCAAGTAACGTCCCGAGTAACAAGTAGGCAACATGTCACGCACGTCGAATAGCCCCAATGCATAGCTGGTGTTTGAAGATACAATGCTGCGAGATATGCTTCTGATGTGCGTGCTCATTTCGGATGTTCGCTCGTCTTCCATGATCCCTTGAATTTGTGTTCTACCATCGCTTGTTCGTCTGAGGTACAGTGTCAATACCGGCATCAATGATGACGATTATGAACTCACCCCATGCCCATTTGGCTCCAAAATTACCTACTCCAGGCGAGAACCCAGTGACTGAGGAATTGAGCGTCAGAAAAGGATAGACAAAGACGTTCAGAGGTTGCATCTTACCAGGTAATACGACCACATCGCCTATACGTAGAGGCACAGTGATACTCCGCAGATCAGTCCATACGACGCCATACTTGACTTTGAGATACCTGAGACCATGTCAGCTTCGACAGTGCAGCTGGGAAATCTTGACTCACGACATGACTGCATCTGTCCATATACCCGGCCCTGTCCAGCTCATGACGCCCAACGGTCCGCCGCTCTTCGGCTCATTCATCACCGTCACCTCACGAAGCTCTTTCGCATCTTTATACCTTCCTTGGTCGTTCAAAATCTTGATGATCTTTTCATGCTCATGTGCCCAATCGATAGCCTTCGCCGTCTTGTGCATTACTCGAAGAACCGCTGAGAGAGAGATGGGGTGGAAAGGAGCGGATGCCATTGTCCATTGGACGATCTGGATCTGAAGGGGGGATATTGTGTTGAGCTCAGTCATAGGTCATGCCAGTAACTCACCGGCCGAGGCCACCATTTTGCCCAGTCCGCTCGCGTGCCTACATCCGCCTCGATCCCAACCACGACACTCGGTGGGCCCAACACATCATTGACGTCTTCCCCACCTGCCAACCGCCGCTTGGTCTTCTCATCCAGCCAGCCTTCACCGTATTTCCAGACTGTGGCTCCTGATCCCCATCTGGACGGCTCTTTGAGAAGTGACGTGTCCGTGTCGGAATAGATGCCGCCCTCAAAAAGTAGCAAGAGATAACGCAACAGGTCTGAGCGCTAGTAACATGTCAGCGAGGACCTGATAGTCGTTGTCAAGGAGACTACTCACGAGAATGCCCGTTGGCAAATCATTCCAGAGCATCTCTACCCTGCTTCCTCCGAGCTTGCTCTCGACGTATGAGTTCGCCCCTCTGTATCCGCTTCAGCCCACGCCTCGATACTGTTATCATACGCACTCGTCGGTCAATAATTGCCAGTCCCAACCCTCCGTAGTGGCTTTGCCCTCTCTCCACGTCTTGACATCTCGGGAAGAATCAAGCTTTTGATCTTTAGCCGTCTGCCACAGCTTCTTGCGCGAATCCCAAGTGGTATGAGCAAAGTCTGACGCCGTGTCACCCTCAAGAGTCCGAGCGATACCCTGCAATAAATCGGTGGACACCGAACCAGACGTTGCGATCTCGGCGAATTGCCTTAGCTGAAAAGTGTAATTGGCTAGGTCCTGGTGTCCAGCATCGTAAACATTATCTGCGAATTTCCCAAGTGTCGACAGCGCAGGCGTATCTGGATCATCGACTGGTTCAGCTGGCCAGGGGTCCAATCCTGCGAGGAGACGATCTGACCTGAGGTCTTTCCCCCAAGATTGAAGAGGAGTGAGTGGGGTGGTATCGGGTCGATTGGAGGATTTATGTGATTCGGCGACGCCATCTGCTGCGGTCTCGGATGACTGAGAAGATGAGGACGGTGTGCTGCCTTCGTAACTACTCGGCGCTGTAAAAGCCATGCCATGCCTCAGACTCATCCCTAGCATCAGGAATTTCAAGACTCACCGGCAGCGGGGAAAAAGTTCAGACTCGGTCTCGCAGGAACTTTCACTCCCTTGTACCATAATGTCAAGGTGATAATCAGAAACACAGCTCCCAATGCCTGGGTTGTCAATCGTCTCCGTCTCAAACCCTTTGCAGCTATCCCGGCACCTAAATTGTTCAAGGAGCTTGAAGGTGAATGCCATGACGTGGTCTTCGGTCCAGAGGACATTTTTTCCACATCGTGCGGTCTGGATGCACCCGACATGGACAACCTTGTCGAGTGGAACGGTGGAGAATGAGGTCGAGAGGAGGTAGAGGCGGAGGTGGAGGAAGAAGAGGACGAAGACGAGGCGATGGCAGATGGGAGGACGCTTGCTGCGGGATGAAACATTATTTCTGACCACAGCGATGATCAGGTTTGGATGCCGATAAAGGCGAAGTTGAGTGTCCTCGGGTGAGATTGAGTCATGCAGGCATGCGTTGAGCTTTCGTCTGAGGCTCTGGTCTGGACGCGTGAAGTGAGTATCGGGATGAAAGGATCAATATCGGAGGCTGAGATATAAAGAGGCTTCCAGGGGGAGGCCGAAGGGATGGGATGAGGAGTGCTCAAAATAGCCTCGGTCAATCTCAAAATTGTCGCAGATCCAGTGTAGAGTGACGTAAACAAATGGCTATCGAAAGTTTCATACTGCAACGCGATGGACCAGCTCTCTGCAGTCAGCAGCGTGAAGGAGTACCATAGGCTTGCATTGAACGGGACTCGCTGTTTGCTCCCAGCTCAAGGCCACTCGCAGCTTGAAGACTATGCTATCGCAGTATTGCCAGTCCCACTCGTTGTTGCTGTAGCTCCCCCAGCTGCGGATCCATAAAAGGCGGTCATTGCCGATACGCGGTTTTTTTCCAGCTGAAGACCTGCAGAGCGAGCACAGTCTTGGTTTCATCATCATTACTGATCTTTAAAGCGCTTACCTCGATAACGAAGGGCCACCGACCTGCTTTCAGAAAGGAGCCTACGTTATCGTTCGTGTAAGACCTACGAGCATCACACGTCCGAAGCTCAATTCGTCGTCGCCGTCAGCAACCGTCATCACGTGTACATTCCTTCCGCGCTAGGTTCCCTTTGTCATCCCAGAGGGTTCATCGACCTGGAGAGCACTATGGCGGCGGACAAGCGTCATGAGAGAATGCTGGAAGAGATCTTGAGGATGCCAGGCAATGGTCAGTTTGATCCTTCTGAGTGGAAGTCTGATCTCGTGCAGATACGTGTGCCGATTGTCATGCCACTGCTCCGAGATGGGCATCTGTCAACCTGGGTATATTCCTCTGTGTAGGCTGTGCTTCTGTACATCGTAAATTGGGGACCCATAGGTCCAGAGTGTGAGTTAGGCAGTACTGAACCTGAAGCCTTGGCCACAAATGCTCACCGTCTCTCGCCATTAGTAAATCCGTCACGCTTGACTCTTGGACCCGTGAGCAAATCACAGCGTGTCGAACCATCGGCAACACTCGTTCCAACGCCATATACAATCCGAACGAAGGGCTTCATCCGCCTCCCACAGCGACAGGCTCGGAAGATCGAGACTCAGAGATTGAAAAGTACATCAGGCGGAAATACGAACAGGGAGCGTTCAAACCGGGTGCCAATACTGCCACCTCTCGACACGCTCCCACCTCGTTGAATAGAGCTAGAGAAGCCAATGGGAGGTTAGTTTTGGGAAGTGTCACGGGTGCCTCTTATGGCAATGGAGTGGGTGGTCCTTCCAAATCCAGCAGAGCCGGACCCCATATCTCGAGATCAAATCCTGTCAATCCCGAATTGGAAGACGTTCTGATACTCACGCCTTCGGACTCCACCAAGGAGAGGGACCTGCCTGCTCTACCCGCTGCAAGGGGCGATGCTCTCCCTCGAGCTCGACCTTCTCGAAGTCCGACTGCGAATGATCAAGCGACACCGTCAAAGCCTTTCGTTCAGAATCCTTTCGGCACCACTCCGTCAACTGCCGCAACGACGATGAATTTGATCAATTTTGACGGTGCTCCGTCCAGTACTCGACCTCTGCAAATTGGTTCAGGGGATCCGAATCAAATGATGCAGCAGGGCTACGCGTCCTTCTCATCGCCGGGCTCATCCAATACCGGTAACCCGTTCACTCAGCAAATGGGAAATATGTCATACCAGTCTCAACCATTCGGTTTTCAAGGTGCGGCTAATGGATACCCAAATGCATTCGGAGCCAATAACCCATTCAACGCTTCGAGTGGCATGCCTTCGTATCAGGCTCAATCGCCATCCCCGTTTCACCAGTCGCAACCGTCCCCGTTCGCGCAGCCGCTGCAGCATCCTCAGATGTCGATGTACCAGCAATCTGCTCAAGGCTTCCAGGCTCCGGGCGGGATGATGGACAACATGGGTTACAATGGATATACCGGAATGAGTGGGATGAACGGAGTGAATGGGCAGATGATGGGGTCCGTCGGTTTCAATGGCATGAGTGGCAGTTACGGAGGGGATCCGAATGGACATGGGGGATGGGCTGGAGGACCGGGATATGCGAATGGGATGAGCTAGATTGTTCGGAGCCATTTCACAGTCTTTCTCTTGGTATACCATGTCATACTCATCGTCGTTCGATGCGTGCGAGCCCGCATCGCGCTGTACAACATATTGCATTATGTGTCATGATACAACAAGATGATCCCATACTCCAAGTAATCTATTGGTTTCCTTTGCCTTTGGAACTCGGGATTCAGGCTCCAGGTCCCGCCCCTTAGGCACCTGTCTCCATTGCCCTTGTATACTCCGATTCTGTCAACTCATATCCCCATTGCCAAAGACATTGCCTCAAGACCCTTCCAACATCTTCATCCGCGAGTCCGCCTCCGGGAACCCCACCGGCAGCATGAACCTTTTTCATTAGAGCGCGTTTGAATCGTCCAGTCGGTCCAGCGACCTTGAGCCCTACAAGAGGATGTCAGTCACGGGATAGGCCACCTTAGGTAAAGGCTCAGAAAGATACACCACTCACATCGCCTGACTTGTCTCTCATCATCCTCACATCGTCTTCCACTCCAAAATCGAAGATACCACTGCGCCCAACCTCTAGGATCTGCGGGCCATATCCAACCTGCTTTTTCCCATTCTTGTAGGCTTTGACCTGCTCGGACTTTGAATCGGTTGACATCCCCATCTGGTTCAGGGTTGGTGAATCGCTCAGAGAGGACGGAAGATGATGGGGCGGAGAAAGGGAGATCGGCGATATCTTGTGAAGAGGATAAGGAAGATTTCAGGACGTGGGAGTAGGTATCGCTACGTGTGAGTCAGTACAATGCTCTGTCAATCGGAAGACGAATAATATGGCCGAAGGGGATCCAGGCGTTAATGACCCTGTTGCCTGCGGTCCTGATTGAATCCGAGGTCTGAATGCTCCTGACGAGGATCCTCGTGCGACATATGCATGTCCCCTTGACTCACGCAAAGAAACCTCCAGCGAAAGCTCCACCAAGGAACATTTCCTCCGGACTGACATTGGGCGTAAAGACATCTTTCCACCGTCCTTCAAATATCAAAACGCCATCCTCTCGTCTGCTAGGTAAAGGGGCAGGCTCAAATATTTCTCCCGAATCATATTGCGGCCCAGAAGGTATGACTCGTGCAGTCTGACGTGGTAAAGGGTCTGGTCGGGTAAAGTTGGAAGTTGGGCCAAGGGTAGGTGAAGGAGGTTGAACGCCTTCCCTATATACGAAGCGTCAGCGGATTGGTAGATACGAGGCACGCCTCTCGCCTCTCATGCCTCTTGACTCACCCCAAATAATCTGGTGCTGGTTTACCAGCTACTCGAGAGCTCCTTCTCGTTGGCTCTAGATCCCTTTTCAAAGCCGCTTCTCTCGCCCTGACCTGTCTTCGAGTCCTCTCTTCAGCTGACGAGATGGTTCGTTTCGGTTTCCCAGATTTCAAGCTTGACGGTTTGTGCGGTCGAATCGATAGTTCCGAACTCAGGCCGAGGGAAGATAGAAGGGCGGCGTTATTCCTGACACGAGTATAGGGTCAGCTCAATCATCTTAAATGGTCCCCAACAATCTACACGGAAAAGTCTCCTCCGTCGGCTTGTCGCAGCGGAGTTGTGGTAATCTATCTGTAGCTGGGATGTCTAGACTCACTGGATGTTCTCCATCCGTTCTTGCTCATACGAGATGTCAAGCTCATTCGTCGCATCGTCATCGGAGTCGGCTGAGTCGCCTCTAGTCTTGAGCATGGTACCAGTCGGCAAGGAAGATGTAGGATGGTTAGTATTGCGATTCCGCTCAAGTCGATCGCTTTCCGCAAAATTCCAGCATTTCAGCCCAAAAAGTGACGTCAGATTATGATATTTCCGTTCGACGGCACAGAGCTCTTTCCACGATAGACAGACGCACATTGAAAGCATACATGTCACTTGAATCCCTTGCTTTTGGTAGATTTTAAGTTACGCCATAAACAGAGCAACCTCCTCTCCTTTTGACTAAGAAGTCATGTACGTAGCAGGGTCGATGGTGTCTGGCAATGTGGGTATTGCGACCGTGAATCTCTCTTGGATCTTTTGCAACACCTCCTGATCCGCATCGTTGGACACGAAGGAAATGGCCAGACCCTTTGTCCCGAAACGTCCAGCACGACCCACTCGGTGGAGGTAAGAGTCGGCATCGGCAGGGGCGTCCTGGAGAAGATGTCAGCGAGTGGTGGGGAAAGAGGAACATGGGATACTCACGTAGTTGATGACAACGTTGACTCTTTCCACATCAATTCCTCGTCCGAAAATGTCGGTCGCGACAAGGATTCGCTTCTCAAAGGCCTTGAATTGTTGGAATCGGGCGATACTGTGAACGCATGAGTGACGGCTGGGATATCCTGACTCACCGCTCGGGCTGAGCGAGACCAGAGTGGATACAAATCGAAGGGAAGTTGCATTCTTGCAGCAGAGCATCCAGCTGAGTGGCTCGTGGGACGGACTTGACAAAGATGCAGACCTGGGAGGTATGAGCTTGCTCCTAGATAAATTGGTGAAGCTCACTTGGTTGAATTCGAGGTTGTCCAGCAAATCGTTCAACTTTCTGTTCTTCTCCTTCTCCTCGAGCTTGAGGAAGTACTGCTTCAATCCGTGCAGAGTCAATTTGGTCTCGTCATCGACGTAGATCTCAAGAGGCTGAAAAGAGTTAGTCGCTGTCCATTCAAGCACTACTCACACTCTGCATGAACTTTTTGCATGTCGTTCGGATCTCCTTGGAGAGTGTAGCGGAGAACATCATGACTTGCTTGTGGTGCGGTGTCGCTCGGAAGATCTCTTGAACGTCTCGTCGCATATCTGTAGAGGGTGGACGCAAATGGACGCCAAGGTCAAGGGGGCATGTCAAATGACAAGTCCGTGACGAGAGCACAAAGGACGAAATGATAGGAGAGAAAGCCATACGTGAGCGACCGTACTTTAAGCAGAATCAAGATGGAAGGGGTCAGAATTAGAAGGCAGGAAATGAAAAAATTCCTGCAATTGTTCGATAGTGCGGAAAAGAGGGGCAAACGTGTCGTCTGTCGATCTTTTACGGGCCAAGCTCCAAAGTTGCCGGTCGAAGCAGCAATGAAGCGGCCGAAACGCCCCATCGCCGTCGACGTTTGTCGATATGAAGATGTTTGTCGAAATGACACATATTGAAACAGTTGGGAGAGAAAGAAAATGGGTCGAAAAGACTAACCGAGTTGTTCAAGCATCTTGTCGCACTCGTCCAACACGAAGTGTTTGACTTTTGAAGCATTCAATTTTTTGTCCCTGACCAGGGCCATCATTCTCCCTGGCGTTCCGACGACAATATGAGGGCACTTCTCTTTCGATGCCAGGATTTCTTGGTCTGCAGAGATGGGAGTACCTCCGTAAAAGACGGAAGTGCGAACATTGGTCATGAACTTGGAGAATCGAGCAAATTCGTTTCGAATCTGATAAGCGAGTTCTCGCGTGTGACAAAGGATCACAATGGAGACTTCTCCATCGACGGGTTCACTTGATGGCAGATCAGACTTGTTTGCTCTGTCTTGGGTCGTTCTGACTCACATTTGCTGCAGAGACGCAAGGACAAACACGGCCGTCTTACCCATACCAGACTTGGCCTGACACAGGACGTCGGTCCCGAGGATGGCCTGGGGGATGCATTCCTGTTGGACTGAGATACGATCAGAACATGGATCGAGGGGAATGGTCACTCACCCTCTGATGGGTGCTCGAAACCGAGATCAGAAATCGCACGGAGAAGCTCTGGCTTCAAGAGGAAATCCCTACACCGAGTCCATCGTTACCAAAAACATGTTCCGTCTGAGGATAGAAGACTTTTTTTTGCTGACCTGAAACCAGTCGAGTGGATACCGACGTAGGAGCCCTTCTTGTCTCCATCTGCTTTAGCACCATTGGTGGTGGTGGCGGGGGCAAATGTCTCCTCGGCAGCCTCATCGTAATCTACGAGTTCTTCTTCATCTGGTCGAGACATGGCGAAAGCGGTTTTTGATGCCTAAACGGGAGAAATGGATGGTGGAGGGAGAGAGGAAGAGAGAGAGAACGCGCAGACGCGGGTAGGAAGGGTTCAGGAGAAAGGAATGGGGGGTATGAATAGACGCGAATGGAGAGATTCATCCTGTAAGCCGATATTCCACTTCATGGTTTTGACCTCGCTGCTCTTGAATGGGGATCGAAGAGAGGAGGATCGAATGTGATACGCACGTTGAAAGTTTAGAAGAGAGCCCGACGACAGGAGACAGCGTCCAACAACAGAAGGTCAAGTCAGTAAACTGCGAGGAAGAATGAAGTGTATGTATGAGTAGAGCAACGGCGGTGGAAGCACGAGAGGAGAGTGAGGGGTTGAATTCGGCGTTATCATTGAATGTGGCAGTTCTTTCTATGGTACGCGTGTGAGTGGCAGTAGGCAGGTGGCGATTCCCTGATGTGGCAATTCCACCCCTTCCTGACCGGATTCAAGCCAGAGCCGAGGGGGGGCCACAGTTCCTTTTTCTTTTTGCCTCCCCTTCCCCCGATTCCAATTATTATTGTCTGTTCGGTGGTAAGTGGGACTTTTGCTGCAGGAAGGGAGGAAGTACCCCTGAAAGATTGATAGCATTTGGTTCAAACATACGTGGCTGAGTCGCAAGTTCCAAGCAAGGGAAGCAGAGGTGTGTGGGATCGACATCGGCTATCTCACCAAAAAAAAACTCTTTCTAAAGGCTATCTAATCAAGTCAGTCACAGAGAAAGAGAGAGAGAGAGACAAGGATCTATCGCCGCCTCCCGAACACTCTCAACTCCGATTTTAACCACTTTCTCTCCCCCTCTCCTTCTCTCCTCCCTCCCTCCCTGTCCCATCGGGGTTTCAAAAGGAGAAAGACTTGTTGGGTCTGTACGCCGTGGAACATTGGGACATCCCACCTGCAACAACATCATCATCACGAACGACGGACGCGACTGGATAGATTGTTCATTCAGCTTGGAGCGGGGCTCAACCTATCGACCTCTTTCGGCGCGTAGTGGATCGAAATTCCACTCACGCTCACGGATCGCCAAATATCCAAGTGGTTTTTGGAACGTTTCCTCCTTCAATCTCCTGTGTTGTTTCGGTAAATCGACCAGGTCATAGTGAAGCAAGGTCCCTGAGGGACTCGTCAAGGCGTAAGTTGATCAATTACCTTACCCGACATTTCGTCTGCTGACGGACCATGTGATAAGACTGGATTGTCCGTGATATTACGCGTCTGGTCTGACAGATCTTTCAGGACCCCTCATGTCGATCTTATAGATAGCTCTCGAGGTATGTGGAATGTCATTGGATATCGCCTGACAACTTTCGCTCAAAGGGGGACATGGCTACGGGCGGTAACGCGACTCAACCGATAGTCGATCCATCAACGTACGCTGCACCTCGATTCAATTATCCTTCTACGTCTGTCCAACAACAACAACCACAGCAGCACAGGGACATGTCGTTAGCTCAGTCCTCCACGATTCCCGGAATGTCAAGCGGTGGAGGTGATCCTGGACCATCTACAGCCCAATCTCACGCTGCAGCTGCGGCTCAGATGAGCAACTTTCGACCTCCCCCAGGTCAGAATCCAGTCATCAGTCAACAACAGATGATCGTCCTTCAGCAAATGGCGCAAGCTAGAGGTCCAAATGGTCAGCCTCAATGGTCACAACAGCAATTACAAATGGCCATGCAGGCCATGCAGGCGAATGCGCAGAATAATACTGGAGGAGGTGGGCCTCAAGGGGGAGGACAAGGAGGAGGCAATCAAGCTCAGGCCATGATGAATGCCGCCATGAGAGGGGGAGCAGGACAAGGGCAAGGTGGACAAGGCATTCAAGGTCAACACCAAGCTGGATCTCAAATGAGCATGACGCCTCAACAGCAGCAGCAGCAGCAACAACAACAACAAATGCTCAACAATCAACGTTTACAACAGTTGATGGCTCAACAGCAACAGCAGCAGCAACAAATCCAAATGGGTTCACCACAATCGCACGGTACACCCAATTCCACCGCTTCACCTATCCGCCCAATGTCGAATATGCCTCCGCCATCTATGACTCCACAGCAGCAACAGCAGCAACAGCAGCAGCATGCTGCTCAGGGACCACGGTCGCAGGGTGCACCTCAATTGAGTCTCTCGGTCGAGCAACAGCAGCAATTTACAGCGGCAAGGAATAATCTCATGTCGAGCCAACAGTTTCAATCACTTCCTCCTCAGCATCAACAGATGCAGCTGTTGGCGATGCAGCAGAACATGATGCGGGCATTTGCTCAACAGAATGGATTGTTGCCGCTCAATCCGGTTCAACAACAACAGCAGCAGCAACAGCAGCAGCCGCAACCTGGAAGCGCAGGAGGACAGCAGCAACAAGGGCATCCTTCCGTTCATCGATCGGATTCAGCTCACTCCAACGGGAGTCATCAGAGTCAAATGCGACAGAATACCAACGCTCAGCCGCCGCCGCCGCCGCCGCCGCAATCGCAGCACCAGCAGGGGGTTGCCGTATCTCAAGGCCAACCTCTGTCAAGTCTACCTCAACACATGGCACCTCGTCCAGGATCCGCCGCTTCTCATCGCGTCACTTCACCGCATGTCCAACAACACGGCTTTGCACAGTCTCCGACAGCCACGATGAACACGACTCCTCCGACGTCACAACACTCCAACTATCCCGTGGCGACGCCTCAACCTACTGGCGCGCCATCACCCGCTGCATCCATCCACTCGCATCATTCACATCAGACTCCGCAAATGCAACATGCTCCTTCCCCTGCTCATATGGGTACGCCCACACCTCAGCATAATCAACATTCCTCTCAGCATTTCGCGCAAATGGCTCAATCTCAGGCTATGCCAATGCGCACACCAACGCCTCAACAGGCCACACCGGATGCAGCGCAGCAGCAGCAGCAACAGCAGCAGCAGCTCCTCCTCCAGCAGCATCAGCATCAGCAACAACAACAGCAGCAGCAGCTTCAGCAAAATATGCAGGCGTTTGCCCAAGGAAAACCCCAGCAGATGCAGCAGCAGCAACAACAACAACAACCGGTCCAACCACCTCAGCCGCCGCAGACCGCCCAGCCGTCAGGTGAGGCCGACACATCTGACTTTCCATTCGATTTCCGTCTCCTGCACATGATCCCTGCTCTGGCCGATCCAGGTTGGAGGGCAATGATCCAGACGCATCAACCTCAGACGTTTGCCGCGGTGTCCCATGCTGCTGCCGTCTTAAACACCGGGACTGTGCCAGTAGACACGCTGAATAGGATGAAGCAGATGGCCTCATTGATGCGCGCACCTCCGCAGAACCAATCTGGACAGCAAAAGCCGAGATCGAGGCCAGTGTCCCAACATGGCACTGCTCCACCAAACGTTCGACCCCCACCGCCCCCTGCAACTCAACCCCCCGTCCGCCCTCCCATTGCTCAGCCCGTGCCGCGACCACAACCGCCTCACCTCGCTGGATCTGTACCGCCGCAATCTCCTGCCATCAGCGATGCGTCGCAGCAATCTTCTCGTAGGCAAAAGGATCGCAAACCTGAGCCTGTCACCGTAGATCCTGGTATGCCGCCTCCAGCGTGGATCCCGACCCAGCCTACGCCGACGACTCGACCATCGACAGCGGGCCGCGATGCCGTTCGTGGATCCGGACTCCCTGTCAAGGAGTGGGAATCTGCCCTTCCTTTGCCTTTGCCTATCCACACGATCACTACCTTACCTGAGGAAGATCCCGACGACCCAACGTTTGGTGGCTTGCTTCCGCCTCTGTCCCAAGAGGAACAGAAATCGATCAAGAATTGGATCGCCAATGATCAGGCGTATGCGCAGAAACTCGGAGAAACAAAAGGAAAGAATCGCGAAAAGATGTCCAGGTGGGCGCGGAGTCTGGAATTCCAAACACCGTGGTGGGAGATTAGAAAAGGCGAGACGCCGTTGCCGCCCCGGACGCGAATCTCCATCTTGTTCCCAGAGGAGAAGATGGCTCTGAGAGCGAGAGCTAGGGGTCGACGAGAGGTTCGATTTTCACCCGCTCAACTCAAAGCATTGGCCAATGTGGATGATCAAATTATTCCGGTGCGGATAGACCTGGAGCAAGATCATTGGAAGCTCAAAGACACGTTCATGTGGAATTGCGCCGATACAGTCGTCACGCCAGAATTATTCGCTGCGACCCTGTGTCTTGACTTTGGAGTGCCCGAAGGCGTCTTTGGACCGAGAATAGTGGCGGCGATCAGGGAACGCGAGCGAGAGTTTCAGAATCAGGTGTTACCGATACTGGCACGGAATGCGATGGACGGGACTCGGGGCAAGATGGATTCGGAGGGCAATGCGGATGCCAAGGCGACATTCGAGGTGTTTAGACGGGCAAGGGAAGGGAGTTTGCCGGTATTGGAGGACGATCAAGGATCTCAAATGGCTCATTCTGCCCGTTCGAGTGTGGAGATCAAGACGGAAGTAGGGGAGGATGATGAGCGAATCAAGATTGTCGGTCTGGATGCGGAGGTGATCGCAGACGAAGAGGACGCGGTCAAGAAGGAGGAAAAGCCGATGACGGTGGAAGAGGCTACGGCGACGTTCTCTTCGGTTCAGAGTGAAGACCTGCGATTCCTCATCAAGGTGAGTGATCACCATTGGCAACGTCTCACTTTGTTAGGTCGATATCATCCTTGGAACTCAGAACCTGACAGACACGTTCGAATGGGATCTCAACTCTGTCGTGACGCCGGAAGAATTCGCAGCTCTGCATGTCAAGGAGCTGGGGCTGTCTGGGGAATTTGCGTGAGTGCAGATAGGCTAATCTAGCTCACGGAATAGGACCGCGCTCGCCCACGATATCCACGAGCAGATACTCGTTCATCGCCGCTCCCTCTTCCTTGTCGGGCACATGCCTGGATCTGGTGTCATATTGGACGACGAAGTGAGGTCTGCTTTCCTCCCGCCGATCACCAAGTCGTCGCTTCTCCGCCGTGAAGACGTTGCCCTCGCCACGTTCACGCCAATCTTTGCGACCATGACCGAACAAGAAATCAATGAGATTGAAAAGGACAGAGATCGCGATGCTAAGCGGAAAAAGAGGAACACGCGTGGACGACGGGGTGTCGTCTTGCCGGATCGAGAGCCTATCAAGACCCATAGGACGTTGATCAATCCCATGGGACCGAACGGTCAGCTGCCGGTCGTCTCGGCGACTGAGGATGTATCTGCGCCGGTGGCCACGACTTCGCGTCGAGCAGCAGCCATTGCCGCTCAGGCCAACATCAGCGTCCTGGCACAGGACCTCGAGATGCCTTCGCCGCCTACTCCGCCAGCTGCTGCGTTGCCCACGCCATCAGTGTTCAACAAGATGTCGATGCGGAATTCGCGACCTCCAACGAATCGATACAGCCGCGGTGCGAGTCGAGCGAGTCCATCATCTGCGAGGGAGGACTCAATGGTCCCCAACGGGGAGTATGGGACACCAACCATGGCTGGTTCGAAGCGATCCCTGTATGATGATTCCGTATCAGAATCTGTCGGCAGTCCCATGCCGAGTCGCAAGCGTCCTTTCAACGGTCAATTTGACAGTCCCGATGGCAACGCGTTCAACGTCAAGATGGAAGCACCGTATGGCGAGACCAAAGTACCGTGGCGTTGCAAGAACTGTGGAGTTCCGGAACACTTGTCTCGAGGGGTCAAACGGGACGTCAGGAATGGTGAATGGAGTCTGTGTCTCCAGTGCTGTGAGTTTGGCGTCAGTAAACACGGGGCAAGCTGACTTTAGAACCAGATCGGTATTACTCCAAACGTCGGAGGCCGCGTCCTTGTACGTATACGGAAGACGAGGAGACCCACCGGCTCAGATTGGAGAACACTGGTCCTGGGAATCCGAACGGCGTCCCAGCTGGCATGCCGAGGACACAGCAAAAGCCTGAACCGATGTCTGCGCCGCAACCCTCACCGCAACAACCTCCACACTTCATGGGCAATGGCCATGGCTATGCTCCACCGAATCATGGCTATCCTCCGCCTCAGCCCATGTCGTTTCCTGATATGAGTTCTGGTCAGACGAATCCTCACCATGTTCCTGCGCATGTTCAAGCGCCTCCAGCCCCTGTCCAACCGTCGCAGCCACCGCCACCGCCGCAGGATAGTGCGAAGGATCCATCTCAATCACCTAGCGATAGCGATTCGGACAGCGAGTCTAGAGACTCTGTCGACACGCCACCACCTCCACTCTCTAACAAGCCATTCTCTACTCCTGGTCCTCCGCCGCCTGTACCTTCTGCGCCACCTCTATCGGCTCGTTCAGTCAGCGCAACGTCTGCCACGATGCCATCTCCCGTAACGAGCAAGAAACCCATGCCTGATCCGCCAAGTTGGACGAATCGTGCGCAAGCGGAATTGAGGGCAAAGTATCCACTCGATAGCTTTATCATTGTCCCGAAACTTCGACCGGCCGATCAACCCTCGGCTCCCTTGGAATGGAGAATCAAGTGTACGGATTGTCCAGGAAAAGTGTACACGTTGGGACCGGGTGAAACGTTGGACAATTTTGAGGTCCATCTGAGGAATAGACAGCATGTGGAGAAGAGGACCGCGGCGAGAGCTGCGAGGGGAAGGTAATGCGGGGGCTCAGATGGGTGACAGCCATAATCAATCAAACGGTCTCTTATATGCCTTCAATGATGCAACCGTAAATGTGAAATGATACATCCTTCCTCATCCGCTCGTTTGTATTGTCGTGGGGTCGCTTGGAATCGCTGTCGCAATCTCGGCTCCCTTGTCCAGATGAGCTAAATCTCGCTTGACGTCCTTCGCCAATTTGATGTCTCTCAGGAAAGCAATGGTGATGAGGCAGGCTGGAGTCAGCCTTGACCTTGGTCCGACATGATGCTCACCCAACCAGGACATGCCGGCCAAGAACCACCAAGCGGCGTCTAGCGATTTCCGGATGTCGCCAGACGACTCGTACTGCTTCGTCTGTATCAGAGAGGCTAGACAAGTGCCAATGGTCCCTGAAAACGCAATGACAGTTTGGAACAGGGCGCCAAGGAGTGATTGCTCGTCTCTGGTCACGAATCATCAGTTCCAAAGCCACAGCCAAACCACGGCTGGGGACTTTACCCAATAGCAAAGTTGGAGATCAGAACCGAGCCTATACCGACCGTACTTGTGGCGTCAGGTGCGAGCGCACATTGTCAAGCTTACAAGTCTGCTCCCCATGGATTGACAATGTTGGCGATGAATTCGAATGACCAGTAGGTGGATCCGGACGGCTGGGCAGCGAATAGCCAGCACGCAGCACTGCAAAGAAGGAGGATTTGAGCACAATGACAATGACTGGGGGGCCAAAGGAGCGGAAGGGGGGAGAGGGGGGAAGGGACTCACGCCGTGGAGAAACAGCCAAAAACGAGCAGGATCGGTGCTCTCACTCGTACGGCCACGAGTGGTACGATGAGACACGCGACCAGACCCATTATCGGTGCGGTGAGGGTATGGAGGGCAAACTCGAGTGGTGTCTCGCCTTTGAGCACTTGGAACCATTGGGACGCGACATAGAGCCAGCCCTGAGTAAACATGAGGGAGATGTTTTGACGGGTATTGGCTCACGTTGATCGCGGTATAGCTTGTGAATGTCACTGCTAGTAGGGCTGTGATTTTGCCCTTGAATCGGGTGAAAATATCAAGGTCGACGAGGGGAGGCAGGGCATTCTTGCGTTTGAGGTGGTGTTGCCACAAACCAAAGGCGAGTACCGTGATGATGGAGAGGCAGAAGACGCAAGGTATGTCTGGATCAAGCGTCAGGTCAGACAGAATAGCACCCCGACTCGGATCTCACAAGGCTCGCGCCATCCTCGATGGACTAAACCGCCCTGAGTGATGGAGAAGGACAGGAGGGAGATGGCGAGGGTGATCAAGACCGCTCCGATCATGTCGATCCGTCGGTCGACGAGCCGCCTTTTGGGATCCTTGTCCATGGGGATGACGAAGAGTGTGACCGCGGCAGTGACGATCGCTAGACCGCCCAGTAGGACAAATATGTAAGACCAGGATTCCCTAGAGTCTGAGCTTGTTCAACACAAGGACCTACGGCCTCGCAGTTGCGATGAATGCACCGAGAACCTGGGATACTCCACTGCCCAGGGGCCAACCCGTACCCATGATGGCGAATGCGATGGTCCTCCCCGGTTCTTGGTCAAACGTTGACCCGATGATTCCGAATCCGGCGGGCATGGCGATGGCCAAGCCTAAACCTGCGAGGGCTCGGAGAATACACAGTGGTATCAGGATCTGGCAAGTGTCAGTCCAATAGGCTGATGGGGGTGACCCACCCTGATGAAGCCTGAGGCGAGGCAGAAGACTCCGTTGAGGCACATACCAATGAGAAATAGCTTCTTTCGACCATACATGTCTGCGAGTCGTCCAGAGACCAACAAACCACTGAGGGCAAGGTTAGTCTGTCAATCACTTCACGACTCACCAGCCGTTGGCCAGAGTATATGCCGAAGCGACCCACTGGACGGCGAGCTGACTACCACCGAGATCGCGCTGTATCGATGGGATGAGCATGAAGGCAGAGGCCGAGTTGGAGGACTGCTCAGAGATTAGTCGCGCACGAGGACGGCTGGCAGACATACAGTCAGAAAATAAGGCGTAATCATCAGGCCAGCAACGACCACTCGTCTGGCTCTGGACAGCGCGGCGCGGTGTTGGGTTGACCCATCGTCGTCCAGCTGTGGGGCTGAGTCAAGGGTGGAGGAGGTCGGTAAGATCTTCTCGGTAGTCTCCGAGATACATTCGTCAGGAGGAACCTGTGGTATTTTTGCAGCCTGGTCGATGTGAGTGTTTGCCATATCAGAATCGCGAAAGACTTGTCAGAAGCTTAGCAGTCGGAGAAAACAGCTCATCGCCCTTGCATCCCCCTCGCTTGCGAGCCGGTGAGGGGTGAAAGGAGCAGATCGGCGGGTGTGCACCCATACATCGATTACTAGGATGAGATTGAGCGATCGTGTCTGTGGAACACTACTTGTGTGTCAAGTGGCCGGTAAGTGAAGCTGGGATGATATCCCGAGGCCTGTTGCGTTGTGGAGGGAGAACTCTGCGCGGAAAGGATGTTAAGCAATAGCCGGTGCCATCGGATTTAAGGCAGTCTTTTCTAAAATCCGATACGAGTCGGTGCCACACACTTGCCCCTGCCCTCCTCTCACCCTACGGCGTTATCTTCGGCGTTTTCAAAACATTTCAGTGCGGCAACCACCTCAGCAGCTTCGAGCTAAGGTGCAAAGCTTCGAGGTCGAGATTCAGATAGTCTGTCACATTCATAGCATTCGCATCGAGTAAAAATGGCCCAACGAGTCACTCTCCGAAAGCGACAGCCATACAACACCACCTCCAACAGGAGGAGAGTCGTCAAGACTCCTGGTGGAAAGTTGGTCGTTCACCACATCAAGAAGCGAGCTGTGAGTTGGATTGGGGATCGTGTTATGGGTCGAGGTTAGGGACGAACTTGTGGTGGTTGTTCGGGAAAATCAGAGGGACAAGTTGGGAGCAGACGAGCGGACGACGAGATGGAGTCGAGCAAAGCTTTGGGACGTGGCAGATGAAGATTGGATATGGACTGGAAAGATCGCTCGGAATCCACTGACGCTTGTTCAGGCCAACCCAAAATGTGGTGACTGTGGAGTCGACATTGCTGGTGTTCCCGCCCTCCGCCCTCGAAAATGTGAGCAAGGGAATGCGAGACGTTGGCTAACAGATTTGTAAAGACGCTACCCTTTCCAAACGTCAAAAGACCGTTAACCGAGCTTACGGAGGATCTTGCTGCTCTCTTTGCACCAAGCAACGGTGAGGGAGCTGTTCTGGTCATAGTGGACCCTGCGCTGACTGGATTCGTTTCTTCTCCTCGATTTCTGCCTGGCTTTCGTCCCGTCCCGTCCACGCTGTCCCGCTCGTCTCACTCGCTATCTTCGGTTCCAAAAACAGCATCACCCGAGCGTTCTTGATCGAGGAGGCTACCATCGTCAAGCGTGTGCTCAAGGCCAAGGCCGCTACTGTCAAGAAGTAGATGCTTGGAGAGTTTCACGAATCACGGAGGGCGAGTCGGCAGGGTCTGCATGACGATGTATACCATTTAGCATCACGTTGATTGGAGGAATGCGGATCGAGGCATACAGTTGAGATGGCGAGCTCAGACCACCGGTCGCTGTGGGTGGGGCGTCCTAGACCTCGAAGCACGGTGTTGGACTATGGAGACGGAACGACGTCTTTCACTGTGGACAAAAAGTCTCTGTTCGGAGCCTGAGTCGAACTCCATTAGGGCTGCCCAGACTCCTTGACGCTTCATCAGAACCCGAGGCATCCGTGACCCCCAACCCGCCTTGCCTACTAAATGCCATGAGCTCTCAAAGACGGGTCAACTTGAGCCGCTGGCATGTGCGTCATCTCTGTTCATCGTTGCCTCGTGTGAGAGATACTTTACTGGCTACATTGTCTATAATCTATTCCCGCGCCAAACCCTGACTGTCCGAGTATCACTAAGGGAGATCCAGTAAAGGTTGGAAGAGACACCGCGGTATCGCTACTCAATTCCACAACACACAGCCTCGGGTACTTTGAGCCAGATTTCTCCGCAACGTCCGTCATGGGAACGACCAGGAGGGTTTTCAGTGTCATTGAAGGCATTGAAGCCATCAAATCTGGTAGGGCCGAGTCCGGCAAAACAACCCACAGTGTGTGTATGCTGCTCACAGGGCGGATGGGGTATGACTGTCGAGTGAAGAGCAGGAATCGGGTAAAGTTGTCTGTTCGTGAGCTAACTGAGCGGGAACAGTCCGACTCACTTTTGACGGCCTGTATGGACTCATGCAGGATCTCGAGGCCAGGGAGCGTCTCCAGGATGGACTTTGAGCCGATGGCCGCGCCAGGTCCAGTAATTTCGGAATCCTGTTCCTGCGAGTCAAGCAGGGACGCAGCGGCTCCTGCGGTGGACGACACTGGTATGCGTTTTGCGTTAGGCAGGTGTTGATCCAGGAATCGAGCGCATTGTCCGAGTGCCTGAGGAGCATCAATACATTATTCCTCGCGAGCAATGCACCTGTTCGTGACTCTTGACCCATTTGATGTCTTGCAGAGAGATCCCCGCTTTGACGATCAATGAGTGGTCCACGGGTAGGTCGAGATCAGCCATGACTTGAGGTCCAGGCGGGCGGGTCATGGACGGGCGAACAGGGCCATACCATGATGCAATACAATTCAAGGTCTCTCTGACACCTCCGTGGATGGTGTTCTCCAACGGCATGACAATGTACTCGGCGTCGGAGGTCCACACATCTTGAGAGTCTATGAGTATGGGCGGCTGATGGCGACTCACCGTAGATAGTCTCGCAGGGGACGAGGCGTGCTGCCTTCAACATGGATGCAGAGAACGCCATAGCAGCCTGTGCCTGTCAGAGCACGCCGTCATAGAGGAACATACCTGGTGGCCGTAGGTCCCTTCGGGACCAAGATAAGCCAGACGCGGCCCATCCTGCCGCCTCTTTGACGGACCTCCATTGGACTCATCCATGGTTGAGAGGTGTATCCGACATGGACCAAGGCCGCGGATCGGAGATGCAGAAAAATCAGTGAAAGGTGCCACATACATATGCCACCTCCCACTCATATCTGACAAACTCCGAAACGCCGTGGCAAAACCTCGAATTCAATGAAATGTCCTTCAGCATCGAGCAGACAGAAGAGAGCTCTCAACCTTCAACCGCAAGTCATTTCACCATGGGAAAAGTTCACGGATCCCTCGCTCGTGCTGGTAAAGTCAGATCTCAGGTGAGTTGAAGTGGAGAGAGACAAATGCCGCGGGGAGACAGGGGGAACGTTCCATTGGATCGGAGATGTGGTTTGGGTGGCGGCTGACAAGGTGTAATAGGCCCCAAAGGTCGAGAAGCAGGAGAAGAAGAAGACACCAAAGGGTCGTGCAAGTGAGTGTCGGCGAACGGAGGGGACAAGGGCAAGAAGGATGTGATCGCAAAGCATCACCTCCCGGAGCCTTCCCAATTGTTCGTTCAAGTCCTGACGGTGACTTTCAGAGAAGAGGGCGCAGTACAACAGGCGTTTCGTCAATGTCACTTTGACACCCGGTGGAAAGCGAAAAGTGTGAGTGGAAACAAGCGTCTTCTCGCTCCTTCTTCTCCTTCTCCCGGATGATTCCACGAAAATCAAGCATAGTTCAATCAGATTCACATCATGATCGACACAATTCCATCTATAGTCTTTCGCTCCTATCTGAGATCATCTGCCCGCCTGGTCGCTTCTTTGTGATTCCGCCGGTTTGTGCTGACTCGGCCGCCTTTAGCAACCCCCAGCCCGCTGGAAAGTCTGGTTAGAGGAGACGTGTACGCTTGGGATGGGATCGCAGGTGTTGCACTGTACATGCATCTGATCATCTGATGGGCGGGACGGGCATGCGGATTGACATCACACTCATTATACATGGCATCGTTTTTACGTGTATACTCGTACAAGATGTTCACCGCAATACGGCGATGAGGATGATCGCGATAAGAGCCCAAATGACGAGAACGGGGATGGATATCGCCGCTGCGAGTCGACACCTGCTGACCCAGATATTGTCGTGCTGTGCCCATCGGTGCCGAGGGGATGTTGAACGGTGTATCGATATAGTAGAGGCGACGCCTGCCCCTGGTTCCTTCTCCACGTCGCTGGGCGCATTGTCGCAGGTGATCCATCCAGCGATGAACCACGTCAGGGGTAGGAGGAAACCGACGAAGAAGAGGGTCTGAGGGGAGGTGAGTCGTGACGGAGGTGACTTCGCGATTCCGGCATCCTGAGATAGGTTCGCCTCATTTGCAATCTGTTCGGCTGGACTCGAGGCTGTACCTCTCCACGAGTCGCGGTAGGACGAGCTCGCGGAGATTTGCACGTTCTGTGGTGGGTCGAGAGTCTGGGCGGCGGGATTCATCACGCGTTCTGCAGGGAGGCGACTTGTTCCCGCGTACACTACAGACCTCGATATCTTCTCCGATGTGCTCACTGTCATCGCCCTCTCCGGCGTCAATGGGGGCGACGATATTGCCAATCCAATTGAACCATCCAGTGGCTGGCTTGCGTCGGACACTGAGAGTCGACGGGAGGATGTGTTCGAGGGGGTCTTTGTGAAGTTCGGTCGGGAGGGGCTCGAGGATGGAGATGCGTTTGATACGGACAGAGCCGTTGAGGGGGATGACGGGCGTAGCGGGGGCGGGTATAACATATCGGATGCTTGTGCGCTGGTCACATTGACGGGGTCGAGGACGACAAAGGGGGTACTTGGTTCCGTCGTCGGTGTGGACAGAGGAACCAAGAGGCGCGATGGTATCGAGTCGTCCTCCCCGTCTTGAAAATCCGCAGACTCGGTGGGCTGTCGTGAGGCATCCCACCAGGGACCGGCGAAGCCCAGACCGGTGGGGGTGGGGTCGATTGCGCGATTCTCACGACGCAAACCACGGACAGGTTCCAAGCTAAACGGTGAGTCGAGATAGTGGTCGTGAGATGAGAGGGAGGCGGCATCCGGGGTGACAGGGCGTGACGAAGGAGCAAAGTCCTGCCCCCACGGCGTCCCGACATAGGAGCTGGGTCGTAGCCAGGCTTTTTCAGACATGAGTCGGCTGCCTTGCGCTGCGCCGCCATCCAGGGCGAGGTCATGGAGGGTGGATGCGTAGGAGTAACGAACGGATCGAGAACGGGATTCGGCTTCGAGACGAGGTGATGGATCCTCATCGAGGTGAGGTGTGCGGAACTCTGGATCGGGAGGGGAGTGCATGGCGTCGGTATCAACACCTTTTGGTGTGTCAAATCTCGCGTACCACGCTTTGGAGAGCACGTCGAAGAATGCCGGGTCTTCGAGCTCACGGCTGCCGATACCTTCGAGTTGGCGAACGGTATGAGCGATGGCGACGATCCGCTTTCGTCGAATGTCACGCGCAGCCGGCGAGTTGAGGATCTCACTTTCTGTGACGGTGCCATCGGATGTGAGATCGGTCTCGGTGGGGACGTATTGGGCGGCCATACGTAGCTCGGCGGTCTCGCCAGAGAAGGAAGATGCCCAGGAGTAGGTGGACTGAGAAGCGGGAGAGGAAGTCGCAGGCAACGGTCGGGCAGCAGTCACTGGCGATGCATCCTCGAGTAAGACCTCAAGGGTTTGGCCGAGGGGGAGGAGGGATGAAGCTGGGCGAGACGCGCGGCGGGCATGGACCAAAGTTGAGGTGCTGGTTGCCCTGGCGTGGCTCCTCGACTGCACCAGACTTAATGGTCTCTGTGCAGGCCTCGGGGGTTGATTCTCATCCTGCAAGCCCTTCTGCAGGCTCTCTCGCTTTTCTCGTCCCAGTCGACGCTCCTCCTCCAGTCGCTCTGCCTCTGCGGCAAGCGTTTTTGGATCGGCATCAGGGTGTAGGTGAGCATACTCCGCGGCGTGCTTTCGTTTGAACACCTCGACGGAGAGGACCGTTTTGGCTGAGGAAAGGGGACGTTTGGGGTGAGCAGAAGAGGTTGAGGCGGCGCGGCGATGCGTGGAGGGAGGGGTCGTGGGGCCAGGGATGGGTGGGAGGGATAAGATGGGGGTCATGTTAGACGGTATCTTGCGCTAGTCAATGCGGTCTAGTTGAGAGATCCATGGCGATGGTGGGGTTGTATCATGGGTCCATGATGTGTCGAGGACAGTAAGTGCTATTCGCTGCGATGATACGAAAAGTTCGAAAGGCTGACAAGAGGTTTCAAAGATATGGCAGATTTCTTCGAGACAAAGGGAATGGTGGAGTGAGACTGTGTCAGAATGTGGGTCGATCGAGTGAGTGAGTGAGTGACGAGGCGCCGAGTTGGACGGAGCCTTGTGCGATTATACAGCAATAAAGAGCTGAGGAGGGCGTGAGTGAGTGAGTGAGTGAGTGATCTGCTGCTGCGCCCGTTCTGTGTGTGTTTTTCCTCCTCCAAAAGGCAAAGGTGCGAGAGCAGAAAAAGAAATCAATCTCGAATTAAAAAAGAGGCCCGCATAATGTGGCAGCAGGTGAACATATACCCCGTGGGATGGGCATACTATCGAGTTGGCTTGAAAAGGTGCAGGAGGGGCGACGTCATGTTCGGTTCCAAAAGTGAGTGGCCAGGAGAGCAGCGTGGCGCTGGTACTGAAGCCGTGCTGATCTCCCGGCGGTGGCAAGGACCAAACATTGGCACACATAGGTGCATTCCTGGCACCTCCAAGCTGTCACGCTGTCCGCCTCACACGCCGGCTCACACTATCGGGCAGCTACTCGCACTCGCCGTTGTCAAGGGTGAATTCTTATGCATCACACTGATACACAGTGGCCCAACAATTCGATGCCCCTCTAGCATCCATGTGATCACCAGTCTCGCCACAAGTTCTGCCATCAACATTTAGCAGCAGTTACTACACCCGCCACACCCGCCTCGACGCTCTCTCGCCAGCATCACAGTCAACAGTCAAACAGATCGACCAATGTCATATCGCATAGTCCCTTAAGCTGCCTGAACCGCCCAAAACCCTGACACCGCCCCTGCCTCCTAAACATAGCCGTCGGGGTCCAGCATGGACCTTGTGCGGTTTTGTGGCAGAACGTGATCGAAGAATGTATGGGTTTTCTGGCTGGGCCTGGTGATTCAGAAGCAGCCGGGCTAAGGGTGAAGACGGATACCACATCTCGACTGCTCGCATGACATCCACTCTGTCGGAGCAGCAGATCGGGAATTGCATGAATGACGGAGTACCTGAATCCTCTCGAGAGAGCCGTCAGATATGCCACAGTGTTGGAAGTGTCTGCGGGACGCCAGTGCGCCTGGTACGGTCACTCATCGCCATTTAGGTGTCGAGTCCGCAGTCAGCGCCTGGACCTAGTCTTGCTGATCCTCCCACCCGACCGATGTACCTGCCACAAACTACCGTGACTCTGGGGAGAGAGCAAGGCGAGGGGAAAACCCCACATGGTCGGCGCCCGTTCTGCAGCCTCAATCGTCAGCACTTGTCCACTTCAGTTCAGCACTCCAAAGCCACATCAATCTTGTTGAGCGCGAGCCTCTCGTTGTTCAGTACTCGACCGTCAATCCTCCGCACACCATGCTTGACAACGCATTCGCTTTTGAGCCGCAATCATACATCCTGTCTCACACTGAGTCAGACCCTGAGTTCCTCGATCACGGGGGTGTGTGGGTCACTATCCCTGAGTCCAGCTTTGAATGAATCATCGTCTTCCGGTTCCGCCTTGTAGTGGATCCTGCAAGTCAGCTTAGCGACACCGTTAGCTTCTCACGGAGTCGTCGGATCCTGTGCCGAGCTCCTTCCCAACGCCGCTTTGACTCGCTGTCCTGCTCCAGTGCCAAACACGATTTCAACCTCCTCCAGGGTCATCTGAGGGTCAGCTCAAGCCGGTAAACTCCCCGACTCACCCCTTTGGTCTCGGGATACGTAAAGTAGATGACGATGAATGCGAAAGCCATGCAACCGGCGAAGAATAGCCAGATCCACCCGTGCATCCGTCTGAGACTCAGCTCCGATGATGCAGCTTCCACTCACTCGTACATCGGCAGGGCCGAGTACTGCGTCGCAAACCCTACTGCCATGGAAAAGATGTTTGAGATGGCGTAGCCTCGTGCTCGGAGACCAGCCGAGTATATCTCTGCGGGAAGCATGTTGACGACTGCTGTCAGCTTGACTTCTGCCGCGGTAACCCACCAGGGGAGAAGAACATGACCCAGAGAAACCATTGCAGGAGGTACACCGTGACAAATCCAGCGCCCGCCGCGTGATTCTCGATTCCCTTGTCAAAGATGCCAACGGCCAGGGCGCCTGGAAGGATGGATCAGCGACTTCACGCTACAATCACTTACACTGTATCAGGAGACATATACACGCCTCGCCCACGCCGATGAGATAGTTCGTTCGTCTCCCCCAGATATCTAACAGATAACCCCCGAGGATCCCCCCGACACACCAAGAAGCGTTCTGAACCCCTGCCAGACCGAACTGAACATGTGGATTGGTGATGCCCGCCGAGTCGTACACCTTGGTATAGTAGTAGGTGAAGACTGATCCTCCGTTCCACGCTGAGTCGTGAGCCTGCGTCTACACGCACAGCTCACCCCACCACGATTGACTCGAGAACGCCACAAACGACCTGTACCTGGCGGCTTTCGTGTTCCACAAAGCCGACCACTTGTCCTGACCGTGTTCCTGATCCCACGAGATGGCTAAAGATCAGCGCCGCGCCCACATGGCTACACTCACCCGCTCGCATGGCCTCAAACTCCACCTCTGCGGCTTCTGACAGGACCATCTCATCGTTATCATCAAAGGTGCACCCGTGCAAGTGTCCGACCACTTTGCGACATTGGTCATACTTTTTCTTCTCGTAGAGGTATCGAGCTAGGGTCAGCCATTGTTTCACGCGTCTAGCCTACGAGACTCTGGGACCCAGGGCAGGACGCAGATGAGGAACGTCGCGGGGATGAAGGTCACCGCGAGTGAGGCTCTCCACCCGGCGTTCCCGGTCGAATATGTGATGCCATAGATCAAGCCAGCCTGTGCCGGCGTCAAACGAGTCACGCATGAATCATACCCACCGCCAACAAGGAAAAGAAATTCCCAGTCATCAGCGAAAATGACGACACAAAACCCCTGTCTTCCTTCGCCGCAATTTCCACGGCAAAGATCTATCATCAGCGAGCCCCTCCCATATCTGGACCCCCACCTGGTAGCCCAGCAGCAGGAATCCAATCGACACCCCCTCGATGACTCGAGCAGCGATCACCACGCCAAAGCTCGGACTCCAGACCAAAAGCGCCGTCGACAGCTGCATGAACAACGCACCGACCCACATGCAAGGTCGTCGTCCAAACTTGTCCAGCACGAATGCGGCCATCAGTCCGCCGACGAGCTGGCCCAAAGAGTACACAGGGCCGATCCATTGGTTCTGAGCGCTGGAAGGTCAGCCCCGCTCGTTTCATCCCGTACTCACTCTGGTATCCCGACCGCCACATCATATCCCAGATGCTGGATCCATTGGGGCAACTGAATGATGGACGCAATAACCGACGACTCATAAGTCCTTGGGAGGGTGAGCGATGCGTAAGGCAGGTTCCACATGTGGAGAGACTCACCAGCCATCACCGGCTAGACTCAGAGCCAGAAGGATGACATACCGTCGGACTTTGAACTTGTCCCAATGTCTGACATTGTCAAAGAAGCCCATGTTGTTTGGACTCGGCTGAGCGTGTACACGCGCGTTTGAGCGTTGGACCGCAGAGGTGGTAAAGTCGTCCCAAGAATTGGTTGGAGACGGCGGGCGAACACTGTCCCTTGTAAGAGGCAACAGAGGATACGACTGCTCGTCTAGGGAGCTAGGTGGAGAAATGGTGTCAGCTTCGGTCGGGCACGACCGATATGTGATTCGGGTTCAGCAAAGTGTGCTGGTCAAACGTATTTCAGTGAGTGACCAATGCTTTGATACTGCGGCCAAGAGGCGATCTTTCTGTCAGAGGAGATTCATTGGACTCAGGTATGTGACCCTGCCTTAATTGCCAAGCTCCCACACCCACTTGTTCGGAGAAGACCTGCGTCCGATCGTCGGGCCAAAGGCATCGAATCGATCGCGGGAGCAAGCTTCCGTTGGATCATACACATTGATTGTATGTCGATCGACCTTCGTGCGGTCCTGCGCTGCGCCCCGTTCTGTCGTGGAGTCACCGATATTACATTCACTTCATTTTTATGCCTAAATGTAATACCTGGAATTTGCCGAAACAAGCAATTGCATGGATCAAGGGAGTGTGTGTCCACGTGACATGATCCAGCGTCCTGCCAAAAGAGATCTCCACTTGTGATGGGATCTCATCAATATCTACATAGACAGATCGTCGACCGATCTCATGAGCAAAGGGCAGCCCGCCCACGATTGAGCGAGAGGCGCCTGATATGTCAATTTTGGGTGTGAGACGAGACCATTCGCCCGACAAGGCCCCAGCACACATCAGGACAGCATGTACATCACCGAATCAGTGTCAGGTAAGATAGTCTGCTATGCTGACGACCTATGAGTCAGCTCGTCTACTCTCTCCCAACCGTCGTGTTAAGTCAAGCGTTCGAAAATCCGGCAAAAATACTCACACAGAGTCACACAGAGTCACACAAGGAGCATTATCTGGAGGAAATGTTGCTCGCGAGAGACTGACAGGTGCCACCATCCTCGTCATCGTTCGTTATACACCCAAAATGAATCTTGGAGTCGCAAGAATGCCGCAGATGTGGTATAGTCGCTCGTGGCTGATACTCAGTATAGAAAACTGTATGTCTGGCCTTTTCTTACACTCTCCACTATCGCAACACATGATAGCCCCCACAATCTGAGCTCATGATCCATCCGCACCAGAAGGCCCGACAATAAGGACTCATCACTACTTCCGCGCTAATTCCGCACCAATTCCGTGCCTCGATCCCATTCCATGGCGATGCATTCATGCCAATCTCCGCCATTTTGTTCCCGAGGCAGGTCGACCCGAGCAGATTTCCGCCGGCCAGGGACACAACCATGTGCTCCTGGGTACCAGAATATCACTGTGGCGTATTTCTGTACGTGTGCCTCACATGGCCACTGTGGTCGGACGCTTGAGGCATACTCAAAAAAATCGATATATAATGACCTATGGTGTCGTCTTAAACGCAAACCGCCGTGGAGCCCTATCGTTGCCACACCTCTCAAAGGTCTTCTTCTCACGATGAGCATTAACGGAAACATGGGCAACGCGACCTACTCGATCCCTCTGGATCAATGCTACGCAAACGTCTCTGCCGCCGCATGGGATTGTTGTAATGCAGCAGGAGGATTCCTCAACTATTACACAGGATACTGCTCTCGACAGCCTCACGCCAACACGTACAGCCAGTTCTCTGATTTATACGAAGGATGCGGCCGTGGGCTGAGATACTCTGGAGGAAATTTCTCAAACCTGGCGTATGGGTGTCATGGGAATGCAGCGACAGGTGCAGGGTTCGAAAGTAGCAAGCCCGTGGTCCTGTCTGCGGTGTTGGCTTGGTTGTTGGCGGCTTTCATAATGAGCGCTGTCTGAGCTGTGAAAGTTTAAGGGTGAGTATCAGGCAGAGCGCGCGCACTGACGAGTAAGCAGATTGAAAAACCATGTCTTGATTCGTTGTCAGCATAGAACCAGGGGCTTGGTTGTCTTTGTAGTCGAGAGATCTAATGACATGCTTGTATCAGAACCAGACACGAGCAACAGATGCGACACCTGACCATACTCATCCTGTGAGTGGCTCGGCTACCATAAAGTCACTCTAACAGGGAGAGCATCAGAGGTGACACAGGATCATTTTCGTCCTCGGAATAGCTGGGCTGCCACTAAGACATCCGAACACGAGTGGCATCGAAGGTGTACATACCTTGAGCGTGGCTCAGGACGTATTCGCTCTATTCGCTCTCAATGGCCTCATCTCGCGTCCTCAGTAGTCAAGATTTTCGGGGCGGCAGAGATTAGGTATAGGGCTGAAGAAGATTGGTTAGGTCGCACCTTGCGATACATAATGAGCTCTCACGATCGTCGTCCTGCCTACGCAAGCGGATAAGTTTTCTGGCACGTGAATGATGTTCCCAGCAACCGACCGAGTGTCTCGAACTACCCATTCCTTACGGACCTGGAGCACCCATGCATGAAGGCATCATAAGCTCTTATAGAAACAAAAAATAAGTATATACAACATGTCCATCCTTATCTACCTCCTGACCTTGCGTTTCTTCGGCTCGGAACCGTTCTGAGCTTTGCCCGACCTCCCCTCATCAGGTTCCACCTCCTCCACGTTGAGATTCATCTCAACATCAGCAAACGGCTCCGGTGACCTCTCAATCGGCTCCTCCGGCTCCTCCACCTCTTCTTCTTCGGCCTCAACTGGGTCCCGACTGAGATTCTGTCGCGATCTCTTGAGCGGCGTCGATGACTTCGGTCCAGACGCCTCAGACTCCAGCGCCACTTCGTCTTCTTCGGCCGCTTCCGTCGCCTCCTCCTCATGTTCCGAGCTCTCTGCACTGTCCTCGTCCTCGACAGCCTTCTGCGTCACCATCATTTTGACATTGGGATCCTTTGACGCAATGTTGACCAAACGCTTGTCATATGCTCGCCAGCTGTCCCACGCCTTGGCATTGCCAGGCCTCATACCCGTCGTCTTCCAAATCTCTTCCATCTCCTTACGAATGCTGACGGCGCCAGTCCCCGTGATCGGCCCGAGCAGGTGAACAAGAACCTTGAAGAATGCCAGACATTGATTGAATTTCCGCTGCGCATGATCTTGATTTAAGCCAGACTTTCGATTGCCCGACTTGAGTTGTCGGTGATAGTTGGCCAAGCGACGAGAGATGAAATCCAGACAGGATCGGTGCATGTCGCACACATCGTTGGGATGGATCTGGCGCAGGACGGTGAAGTGGGTGCCATGAACGATGAAGGAAGAGGCGATGGTCTTGGCGAGAGCCACCGTGGCGGTGGGCTCTTCGTCGTCGCCTTCCAGAAATGTCGTGAATGACTGATCAGTTTAGCGTGGACCTGCCGCCCGACTCGCTCACCGCTTTCAACGCTGAATCCGCCACATGCTGAACCAGATCCGCTTGCTTGTTATAAATGCCCTCGTCACGAAGCACTTCGGCCAACTTTTTGGTGACGGCGTCATAGGTCGGACCACATCGTCCAAACAGAGCCAACGGGTCTTTGGCGTGATCAATGTCCAACACGCCACATTGAACAGCCCCGACAAAACTTGCGGCAACTTTGAGAAAGAGATTCTCGTTCAGTGCTCGCGAGTCTGACACTTTAGCACTGTCTAAACCTTTCCACTTGCCATCAGTCTCCCCCTGATCAGAGATGAACGCCTCGGCGATCTGGCCAAAACTTTGACCAACACGATTCTGCACCTCGGAGTTCATTGTCAGGGTGCACGCAGCTGCCGCAGGCGTTCGGCACATAGTGTGGAGTTCGAGAAACGACCTGAAAGCCTGAGGAGTGAGCAGTCTGCCACTCAAGTCCGCATACCTTTTGACGAACACTGTCCGAGGCATTGCCCGGCATCAGGGCCAACCTGTCGTACATCTTGACCGCTCGATTGATCTTGACATTCACCGACTCGAGCTTCGAAGCGTCCTCGCTTTTCGTAAGGTTTTTCAACAAACGGGCAATGTGGAAGAGAATGACCCGAATCGCCTGCTCGACAAGCTACACGCGTCAGTTCCCCCGGATGGTCAAAACCCACCATCGACTCTGCCTTGTACCCGACCTCTCCTCGCTCCGCAAACGCCAGTACGATCTCCCACACCGAGCTCTGTCCACCCTCCTCACTCTCAAAAGCGTCAGAGATGTCAACTGTCTTTTGCAGCAGCTTGATGCGCAATAAGATGGCTTGGAGTGTGATCAATTGGTCGTCCTCCAATGTCATGCTGAAAACCTCCTCCCCATTGATTGTTTCTCGCAAAGACGCGAACAGGTTGTCTTCGAGCTCGACAAGCTTGGTCGAGTTGGTATTCGCTGTCGAATCCTCGGATGCAAGATGATCAATGGCCGCGGCGGCATTCTTCAGAACATCCTCGTCAGTGTGCTGGAGGAATTGCTTGATGACATCATCCCAGAGACTCTCATAGGCCTTGATTGTCAGTGCTTGGGGCGTTCGAGCATGCTCACCGTCATCTTGCGCATTTCCGCGTAGACAGACAGTTTCATGTGCTTTACCAGGGTCAAGATACCAGATATCCGATCTGAATCGGCTTGGTGCTTGGTGAAGAGTCTCGGAACCACATCGATCAGCGTCTTGGTCAGGTCGTCGCCATCCTGATTGTCAGCGAACGTTCTTGTATATCACCCACCGAATCGTCCTGCTTCACACTCTCCACCAAGACATGCAGCATCATCGTCTCCTCGTCGTCTTCCATCAGCCACGACTCCTCATTCTGCGAATGGTCGAGCAAGAGATACTCTGCGAGCTTGTGCCACTCCTGGAGCTCCTCGAAATCATTTCTGAGCGACTCCACCGCGGCTTTGGCCCACGAAGCCATCGTGTTGCTCTCGGCACCCTGACGCGACGAACCCACATCACTCTCCTCCAGCGATCGAGAAACGCCCACAAGGAGAGCTGCGAGCGCCTTGTACCGAAGCCGTTCCATTATGTCGTCCTCGGCTGCGCTCCGCTTCTTCTTGCCCTGCTTCGCTCCTGCCCACTGTGTCTGAAGTTTTTGCACGTCCTCCTCATAGAGACCACGTACAAAGCCTCCGATCGCTTTGCGAATCCGAGGTTCATGGTTGAACATTAACCGAGCAACGCGCTGACGCGGGTCTTCAGCTGTGCGTTGAGTATGCTCTTGTGGATCCGCCAGCATGCCAGTCTGGTCGATTTGAGTGATCAACGAGATTGCGTTGACACGCACGGAGAGATCGACATCTCGCAAAGCGATCTCGACCAGTCTTGGAGCGAGTCGAGACAAGAAATCCCTGGCACCAGGAGATTGTTGGTCACCAGAGAACAAGTTGGAGGCAGCTTTCACAGCTTCGACTCGTGCATGGGCATCCTGTATATCAGCGAAGATTCATCTAGGGTTTCTCACAGGATCATTGAGGCTTTTGGATAAGTATTGCAAATGTGTTCTGGTGACATAGAACTCTTCGTACTTTTTGATCCAGACGCCTAGCTCTCGAAGGCAGTCTTTGCGGATCGCCGGATCGGCGTCTCGCACGCGATGCACAAAGAGCCTACTACTCAGCTGAGCCAAATGCTGCACTCACGTATCGAAGGAATCATTCAATGCAGCATCCAGGGCCGCCTTCTTCGTTCCTGCCTCATTTACCTTCTCCTCCAACGTCTTGACCCTTTTCAAAGCCGCTGGACCTTTGCCGCCTTTTTGAACCTCGACGTCACGCTGTCTCTGCTTGACGCTTAGATCTTGGCTGATTTCTGATGCCACTTCGGCCAGGGCCGAGATCATCTTTAAAGTGATATACGTCGAGGTATGTCGAATGGGCCGGAGGGGCGAGGAGGACATGGAGTGGAGCCAGCTCAGGAGCAGGGGTAGTATGGCAGCGGAGCGAGCGCCCTTGGCAGTCGACGTCTCGTAGAGGCAGGGTGTGAGTGCAAGGGTCTTGATCAACCGGTGGACGAGGTTGTTCAGATTGTTTCGGAAGGGACGCAGGTTCTTAGTCTTTGAAACGAGCGGGTAGACAGCAGCGGTGCGCTGATTGTCAACGTGATAATATTTCCCTGTACTCACATGTACACTCTCATCCTGTATCCTCTCAATCGTCCCGATGATATCATCCTCGTCCATCGCCTCGTCCTCATCGACGTTTGCGCTCAGACCACAGCATCGGACGAAGAACAGCACCATTTCTTGCATGCTTGCCTTCTCTGACACTTCATCATTCTCCGTCTGCTGATAAGTCTCGACCCAATCATCGACTACCTGTTGAAGCGCGATATCAGGCGATAGGAGGGCATCTGAGCAGTTTCAGTGGTGAACACCATGCCCTTTCCTCACTGAACAGTGCAGAGTCGTTCTTGAACCCATCGACAGGCTCCACTGGTATCTCCTCGCCTACGTCCTTCTTCTTTGGCTTGGCGAGCTTTTTCGGTCTGCCATTCGACATTCGCTTCTTGCCAGGCTGTCGTGTGGGCTCCTCATCCGATAGATCGCTCTGACACCAGCGTCAATGACTGAATCGTGCCCACACTCACCTCGTCTTGTTCATCCTCGCCTTCCTGCTCTGCCGCTCTAGCTACGAACCTTCAGCTCCCAGGCTTTTCATCGCGACGCACCTGGCGGATTATACCTCTCCACTGTCTTCCTCACTCGCCCACCTCTTCTTGGTCCATCCTCTGGTTCAGGACTAGCTAGATCCATGGCCATGTTGTGGAAGAATGTTGTGAATCGAAATCGTAAAAATGTTGCAACGAATCCGTGTCATGTCCAATCAACCGCGACGCGTCAAGGGTCAACTATTTCCTCATTGGGCAACTGGTCGTGGTTTAGCGGTTTTAGCGGCGATGTCCGCGTTTCATAAGTTGCGGTTGTCGGTGACATCCCAAATCTCTTTCCAACCATATCACTCATCCTGGATCCAAACCTCGACATGTCTATACGGTGACATCGACCTAGCCTTCCTCCAGCCGCGCAATAGGTGAGACCCTATTTCGCTCGCTCTCAAATGCCTCACACGCGTTCGACTCGAGCAAGACTCCATTCAGCCTCAGAGTCCCTATCGCAATCACTGCCTCGAGCTCGTCGGCAAAGACGGGCAGCTGTCGAGGCGTCCAAAGTTGAGGAGATTCAAGAGTCATTCGCCAGCGCCTCGACTGCCTCTCTGCCTCCTGACTATACAATTCATCTCGCTCTACGACCTCACACTCATGTCGCCAGCGAGGAAGAGCTTCGCCATGTCATTCGGGGACAGGAGCTGTTGGCGGATGGATGGAGGCGAGGCGAGAGAGAGGGAAAGCTTTGGGAGCTCAGGGGCGGCGAACCTAGGGCTCGGAACGTCACAAAGACTCAGCAAGACCAGCACGGCCAGGAGCTTGGGTATGTCGAGGCCGACGTACTGTGGTACTCTGCAGGACTGAGATACGCTTGTTCCTGTGAGTTCTGCAAGCATTTCCCCAGCTGACGCCATCAGGTGATCTTCAGCCACTGAGGTCTTCATGGATGCCTATCGGCATTCCGCCGACTTCCGATGCCATGCCAAGCCTCCAACCCGACTCGCGATGCCCGCTGGTCGGAGATTGTCTCCCTGATTGGCAGACCATGCCGACAGGGGATCTCGATCCCGTTCTCGACTCTCTCGATGAGTTCAAGACAACATGGCAGACTGTCCGCGAGGTGGTTCCGCCCCCTATCACGCTTTTCTCTAGTCAGAAAAGCGCTCTCACCGTGGTTGAGGACCATCCAGAATCACCGGAAGCTAGGCGAATCAGGAAAGGGAAATACAAAGCAACCACTGTCCACTCATCAGTCACATTCGTGTCATCGAGTCCGGCTCAGTCAAACATTCCACCATCCCAGATTTCGAACTCACGCGCTTCTTCACGCAGCATATCCCGAGCCCGACAGCCACTGCTCGAGATGTTGCAGGGGGCGAACGCTGCGGGGAACTATACAGATCTTTCGACTCCAGATTGGGCCGCTCGCAAGGCCTGGTGGAGATCACTGATTCGGTCGGACGCAATCTATGACCGGTTCTGGTCGATCATTCCGCGAGTGAGTGACGCTGCATGAGATCGTTCTGACTCCAGCCTCACACGCTGGATGCATACCCCGCAAAGGGTGTCAGGAAAAAACGTCCGACTGTGCCAGACTTTGTGCTCCCGAGATATTATACCTCAACTCCTCATCACATCTTCACGCCAAACCTAACGTCATGGCTCTCTTCTCACCCCAAAGAACGACTCTACTGGATGATACCGCTCCATGGGCCGGTCATTATTCCCGGGTACTCGGACCACGATCGCGAACCTCCGCGATCGGCTCCCGTGCCCTCTTGTGCAACCCTCTTGATCGATCCATTGTCAAAGTCCACCCCTTCAACCTCGCCACCGGACATCATTTGGACGCCAGAACTCCTTGCACATTTCTGGGAATCGTTTCTTGCTCCTTTACAGTCAGACCCGACTCGTCCATTTGGTTCACTGTCGGTTCGACTCTCTGGACCCAAGCCAGATCCATTCATTGATTTCCCATCGTCCTTGGATCCCAAACCATCCAATCGCCCTAGTCCTGGTGTCGAAGTCGGAGATCATATTCGAGTCTATCTTGACGCAAAATACAGTCTACGATTTCGGACCTGGATCCGAGGTGTCGAGATTGATTCATCGTATCAGGGCGCCGGTATTGGGGAAGGGTTGATACGGCCATTTTTGAAAATTCGGCTCGTCTTGATGACCTTGTTTGGCCAGGCTCTCATTGTCGCTTGAGACTGATATCAAGTCAAGATCTATCATCTGCCAGTCGCTTGCTTGAGTATGCGGCGGGGCGGAAAGCAATTGCCTTGCCACGGCTGATTACGATCTTGCACGCATCCAAGCTCACGAGACATGCATAGAGATAGCTGGATACGATGCTGAGGCTGTCCTTGCAAGCTCGTGTAGACTTGCACACGGATGAATGGAGAACAAAAGACAGGCTACATGAGGTTCGAATGGAGGGGAAATATGATCAGGCCAACACATACAATTGAGATCATGCTGCCTGGACAGGCGCCGGCTGAGCCGTGGCTGAGGATCCTGCGGCTGGTGCTTCCTCGATAGTCTCGTTAGGATCCATCCATGAAGCCTCCACGGTAGTCTGAGGATCGTTGTCAGGCACTTAGTGCTCCTTTTAAACTCACCTTGACTCTCCGCTCGTACTCTTTGATATTATCCTTGTACAGCTGCGCAGCCTCTACGTTGGCGGGACTGGATGAGGCATATATGAGTCGATTGTTGAGGCTCCGTTGCCGCACTCACCTCTGAGGATTTGGATCATTGAGCAAACTCTGTACGCTGGTCAGGACGGCCGCTACGTCGTATGTCGGACTCCAACGATTTTGCAGGATATCTAAACACAGCTCGCCGTTGGAGTAAATATTCGGGTGGAACATTTTAGATACGAAGCGGACGGTAGGGGGTTTGTTCGGGTAGGAGTCTGAAAAGGTGAGGGTGAGTCGGAAGGAGCCATCTTCGAACGGTGTGTCGGCTGTGGTAAGGCAGGGTTGACAAGAAGGAGAGAGGCAATTAGAGCCAGCGGATCAAAAGGGACACATGGACGTTAGTGCTAATTCACACATCTTGGACCACTTCATCAAACCTACGAGGTCCAAAGATGACAGCGTTCCAGATCATGATGTTATCAGGATTCGGACTGCCAGAGATGCCCACAGGTGGATCCGACGCCAACCGTTTAAAGTCTCGAATCAGCCTTCGTTTGGCGGTCGTACTCTGAAAGGGTTTCATATGTCAGCAGCAGCATAGACTCGGGCAACGACTCCAGGGGTATCTGTGCATCTCGAGACGGGACTCAGACTCTCGTAACACTTATCAGAGAGCTTCCAGAGACCGTCGCAGAGTCTCATGGCTGGAATCCCTGCTGAGCAATCACTCTGTCGTGTGAGGGTCCTGCAGGGAGGGTATAGCGACGAGTCGCGCGAGTAGGCGAGACCGGGATCATTGTACTCACCATAGTGACTCAGTAGGCTGTCGATAGACCTCTTGTAGATTGCTCGCAGGCCGATGTGAGGGCTGAGGTGTTCTCAAAGGGTGTATCCAAGGTAATCACAATAGGAAAAAGGATCCAAGCTTGAAGGATCGGCCGGACTGACGGCTGACCGGAGAAAAGACAATCGGGCGGGGGTCAGGAAGCTGGTGCGCTTGCGTTCTCAGGATACTGATGTACGGGTGGTCGAGCTCAAAGACATGTGACGAGTGAGAGGTATGAAGGATTGAAGGTCAATGGATGGGTTGATGGTCGCGCGTGTGACTCGAGTGGCGGACCCCTCCACAACAAAGTGGCGCCATCTCTCCCAAATGGCGAGCTAGATGTTGAGAATGTCTCAGGACCCATGTATCAAGTACGGATGGTGCAGGCAATACTGACGAACAACGCAGCTGCTCCCTAGGGCAGCAGCACGAAATGCAAATGCAAATGAGGTCAAACATTATGGGCTCGTATAGATCATAAAAGTCATTGCTACGTCCATTTCGTACCAGTCATTGTGCGAGCCCTGCCTTCTTATCCTCCCATCCTCGCACGACGCCGACAGTCACTTCGCCCATTCCTCCAGCTGACTTGATCCTGCCCTTGCCGCCGACCGCTGAATCTATCCTTGTCCAGGCCATCCGAGTGACCTCGAGGACATCCCTGTCGGATACCTCCGGATGCACATGTACCGTCAGATTGACCACCAACGGAGTATAAGGTTCATCGAGTTTGCCAGTCGAGTTGACGCCGCCCAGACCGAGACCCAGACCTGCACCGCTATGACGAGTGGTCAAAAGCTGGTGAGATTTCCTCGTGGGTGACTCGGGTGAATCCAATTGATTCAAGAGGGGTGATCGGCCGAAGAGAGGAGAGGAAGGGGATCCGGGTGACATAGAGCCAGTCTGGGAAGGCTGCCGACTGTGTCCAGGCGTAGCGAAGGACCACGAGTCTTCCCTTTGAGGCATAGCATGACCCGCGCCAATTGTCCAACAGCGCGTCGTGCCTAGTCCCAAGACGCGGCGATCCTCCTCAATCTCCTTCATGGCTCGCTTCAATGCCTTCATCTGACTCGACTCGACAGGAGGAGCAGTCTGTAGCAAGACATGGGCAAAGGCAATGGAGGATGGGTAGGACAACGCCACGGTGAGGATCGTCAATGCAAGCGACAGGCTGGAGTCTAGCGTATGAATGGAGGAGCTGCCATAGCTATCAGGCTTTCGTCGGACGCCAGGTACTTACGAAGGCACAATCACGCTACCCAGGAGAGCCACTGAACACATGCCAGTGGTGGTCACGCTGAACGGATTGCCGAGAAATGTTGGTCCTTTCTTGACCAGGAGAGAGGTCATGTAACGATACGGCAGGAACAACGGCCCGACCGCTGATGGGGATCAGCTGCCCGTCAACGGGTGTCTCTTACGCACCATCGACGAGCTTCTGATGATTACCCAGATATGATCCGGCGAAGCTGGTTGTACATGCGGCGACGAGGAGCAGCAGGCGAGGAAAGGGTCTGGTCGTAAATGGTCAGCATATGATAGAGGTCCATTCCATTCCTGCCCACCTGTCGGCTCCCTCACTGATCTCGGTGTGCCCATGCTCATGTGCATCCGCACCGAGAACGACCGATTCTAGAGATTCTTTCGCTATATAAACCGCTGCAAACACCAGGAAAAGGGACTGTGTGAAATACAGTAGCGCGGTGAGACGAGCGAACCTGGATAGGATCAGCACCACCCAGCTGCCTCTGCGCTCACCCGTATGGCCTTCTGACGCTTCGCCAAGCTTCGTGACCCCTCTCAAAAATACCCACCGCCACGCCGATCCCGTCAAAGACGACCAGATAACCGATCCCAGCGAGACACCGCCAGCCGCTAATCTGACCTTCGATCCACAACGCAGCGCCGATGAGGCATTCCATCGCGGATAATGACATCAACAATTGGCGTTTAGGGTTGTTCTTGGACGGCGGTAGAGGGATCAGAGTGGGTGATCCGGGTAGCAAGTGGGGCGTGGCGAGCATTGGCATGGGGACGGGTTGTGGCGTGTCCAGTACCCGAGGTGATGGGACTGCTGGGGAAGGTGAGCGAGCCAGCGCTGGATTGGTCTGCGTAGGGTCGAGGAAGGAGAAAAAATTGTGTGATAAGGAGTGTTTGTGCTGTGAGCAATGTCAGCGAAGGGATACACCTCACACCTACATGATGACCTCTCCGCTTGCTCCGACTTGTCTCCTGTGTGCCCGTCGCCGTGCCACCGCCTGCTCTACCAAATGTCCATTCGCCTGACCCTCCGAACGGCATCTTGTGCTTTGACCCCGCGTGAGGAGCTTGCATAACGGCGGTGCCCTCTGCACTTGCAAAGTTCGGCGTCGGCGGCACGCTCAATTTGTCTGAAGATGGTTGACCAGGCGTGGGAAAGAAGAGTGACATGTTACGGGCATGAATCCCATGCTGTGGTGTGGGATCAAACCGACTAGGCGTCAAAGGGTTCGCAGGTAGATTTAACACGTTTGCGTTGGGTCCAAGAGGTGAGAATGGTAGCTCGGTACTTTGTCTCCGACCCTTGTTAGGTGACGCCGGTGCTCTGCTTTGAGCTACTTCGAACGATTGCCAAGCTGGAGATTTTGGAGCTCCATGGTTATCCGCGCCAGCAAAGAATGGTCTCCTGGGACTTGGCAGAACAACAGGTAGCGCGTGCAGCGCGTCCTGCTCCTCTCTCGTCTCCGGTTCCACCGAGCCATCCAAGACTGGTGCCAGTCCAGCGATATTGAGACCTCTAGCGTTGGATCGTGACGGGGAGCCCGCGCCCCCCGAAGACCCCGTGCGCAATGGTATATCCTCCACATGGGCACTGTCGATGTCGGTGGGTCTACGAAGCAGGATCGGCGGAGGCGGAGGTGCACGGGGATTAGGGTTGGAAGCGTTCCGAATAGATCGGTTTGACATGCTCGTTGAGGTTGAGAACGGTCTCTGTGCTCTGTCCACACTGATAATGGGTTGAGGTTTGGCTGATGATGCAGGGGATGTAGAAGCGTTGACATCCTGCCGATCTTTAGCTACAGAATCGTCAGGTGGACAACAAGTATCGCGGTCGCCGTCATCGTGATGCGCCGGATCCATCACTTGGGGAGAGGCGAGAGATGATCGTCTGGACGAGTATGGTTGATCCGGAGTGGGTAGGATAGTCTCTGCTACGGACGAGGAGGATGGTGAGGCCATCTCGGCAAGATAGTCGTCTTCCTGAAACATTCTCGAGTCGAACAGACAAGTTTGGAAGCTCCAGCAAGATCACCTGGGAGACATGATGACGATTAGATTGACGAATTGGAAAAACTTGGCGGGATGACCTCTCAGTTGTTTCGATCTCCCTTCAAGGGGTGTTGTCGGTCCTTTGTAAAGGTCGAGCAATGAAGACTTGTGACAATGGTCCCAGATCACCAGTGATGATGCTGTGACCTGACTTGTCTGTCGTCTTTGGTGCAGTAGATGCTTGGTTCAAGTGTTGTTAGGAGATGCGAGGGTTAAGGGAGTGGGTGCGGTTGTCCACTTTCTTCCTCGTGCTGCAACGCGACGCGGCGAGAATCTTTGATTTCACTTGGATTTGTGCGGCACAGATTCTTCTGATACGGCATTAGGAAATACCTTGAAATCATTAGCCCTGAAATACTAATCACCAGGAGAAACGAGGTGACGCTCTGTTGTTGCGACCCACGTCTTCCATCGATCTATCATTAATTTATCGAATGATTCGAAACCCAGCCTCGACCAACTGATTGTTTTCTCCAGCACACCATGTCATCTGCTGCAGGAGCATCCACGTCGCACCATGGCTCGAACTCCATGGAGGTGCCGGCTCCACTTCTCCCCTTGTTGTCCATCCTCTCTTCTCTCTTCCTCAACTTGTCTTCCGTCTTCCACAGGATACCAGGTTCACCCATCATCCTCCGATACATCAAGTCATCCTATCAGGATGATCCATATCGATCCCTGCTCGAGGTGCTCCTCGTCGCTTTTGCCATCCGTACCATTTTCAAAGGTCGAACTGGAGGTGAAGGACAAGGAAAGAGTTTTATAAAATTCAGTGAAAAGGAGATTGACGAATTGGTCGACGAATGGAGACCAGCACCATTGGTGGAAGAACTGGAAGAGTCGGATATCCAGACGCTGTCGAGCGTCCCGACTATCCATGGACCAGGTGGGACGCATGTCAAATTATCAGCCGGTGGAAAGTCTGTGCTCAACCTCGCATCTATTGATTGGCTGGGATTGGTAGAAGCCGATCAGATGAAGCAAACGGCCATCGACACGTTGAAGGAGTACGGAGTGGGGACGTGCGGACCTGCAGGATTCTATGGACTCTTGGGTGAGCTCAGTGACACCATCATTTGATTCCCAGAACTCAAAATGCCTGTCTCAGACGTCCACCTTCGTTTCCAATCCGAAGTGGCCGAATTCTTAGGCACAGAGGATGCCATTGTCTACTCACAAGCATACGCCACGACAGCCTCTGTCATTCCCGCTTTTGCCAAGCGAGGAGACATCATCGTCGCGGACAGAGGTGTCAATTTTGCCATCCAAAGGGGCTTACAGATATCTCGATCTCAAATCAGATGGTACGCTCATGGCGATATGGAGGACATGGAACGGGTCATGCAACAAGTCGAAAAGGAGCGAAAGCGAAAAGGAGGCAAGTTGACCAAAAAGTTTATCGTCACCGAGGGAATCTTTGAAAACGACGGCATGATGGTGGATCTTCCCAAAGTGGTGAGCAGAACGCGGAAGGGAACGAGGTCTCACCCAGTATAAGATCGAGCTCAAGCACAAATACAAATACCGTTTAATGCTTGACGAGAGCCACTCATTTGGCATGATCGGAGCTCACGGCAAGGGCGTCACGGAGCATTATAACATTCCAGTGAGTACCAGTTTTGCTGGACAATGCTCACTCTTCCAAGGCTAGCGAGGTCGACATGCTGATAGCGTCCATGGCCAACGGCTGTGCGGCAGGAGGAGGTTTCTGCGCTGGTTCTTCCGTCGTCTGTTCTCACCAGGTCAGTGCAAGATACTGTTTGCAATCTGACCCCTCTCTCAGCGTATCAATTCCTCAGCATCAGTCTTCTCCGCATCATTGCCTGCCATGTTAGCCACGACCGCCTCCACCGCTTTGACAGTCTTCAACAATCAGCCGGAGCTATTCAATGCGCTTCAAGCCAATTCCCTCCTTTTCCGTCAGATTCTGAACAAGCTGGAACCTACACCATTCTCCGTCCCGCCGTGCGATCCTGCGTACATAACCCCCTCTGAGAGCATGCCACCGCCAGCCGTGACGAACAACGAAGCCTTGATCCATATCCCTTCTCATCCACAATCTGCTCTGATCCACATTTTCCTCTTAAATCCTCCGTCAACGCTGCAAGAGGAAGAAGCCATGCTCCAGGATATAGTGGATGAGACGCTGAACACCAGTCAAGTATTGGTCACCCGGGCGAGGCGACTTCGAGGACAGGAAGGTCTGGAACCGGAACCGAGTCTGAAAATCTGTATGAGTAGCAACTTCACGAAAAAGGAGGTCGAAAAGGCTGCTCAGGCGCTCAAACAGGCCATCACCAAGGTCTGCTCAAGTGAGTAGTGCCCAAGTCCATTTAGAGTGGTGCTGACTTTTGTAGAACGACGCTAGTCTCCTGATGTGGATCCGGCAGGATATAGAGTATAACATTAATTATTAATTACACCCTTTCTTCACATTGACTACCGGTGCATACCCTCTAGATGTCTATGCCGCATTGTCTGACTGCTTGACCATTATTACGCAAGGCGTCCTTGACCTCGTCTATTCCCACCTCTTTACGATGAAAGATACCCGCCGCCAGTCCAGCTTCCACACCTGTCGCCTTGAATACTTCTACAAAGTCTTCAGACGACCCCGCACCACTGCTGGCCACGACGGGGATGCTGACAGCTTGCCTGATCAATCTCACGAGATCCAGGTCAAATCCTTTTCCACTCCCATCTCGATCTATCGAGTTGAGCAGAATCTCTCCCGCTCCTAGCTGCTCAACTCCTTGAGCCAATTGGACCGCGTCGATATCCCTCACGGCTCGACCACCTGAGACGGTACATTGGTACCACCATGCTTTGCCTTGTTCCTCGTCTCGTGTCCTCGTGGTGGATTTGGACCCCTCGACGACGCAAGCTCGATGACTGTCAGGTACGCTCTCGATCCAGTTTGGCGGTGTGGCGTCCACGTAAACTCTCTTGGGATCAATCGAGACGACGACAGCTTGAGATCCGTACCCTTCAGAGATCGTTTCGATGGCCGTTTTTCCGGTCAAAGGAGGTTCGCCTTTCGCTCGTCTTGCCAACAACTCCTCCACCGCAATGACCGCATCGGACCCGATAGACACCTTGTCCGCTCCACTGCGGAAGTACGCTCCTGCGACCTCAAGAGCAGACCGTGGGGTACCATCTGGATCAACCGTATCTTTGATACCGCCTCCGATGGTCAGAGGGACAAAGACCGTTTCCGCAGCGGCTTTGACGACCTCCAACATTGGTTGGTCCTGAAGGGCAGAGGACCTGAACGAAGTGATGTTGAGGAAGCAAATCTCATCAGCGCCGTCCTCGTAGTATCGTCTGGCTAGCTCGACTGGTTTTCCAAGATTTCGAACACCTCTGTCGTCTGTCTTTTCGCGAACATCATACTGGTCACCTTTGGTCACGACGAGATCGCCAGCGTCGTTGGACCTGACATCGAGACATGCCACGATTCGATTTGTGAGGCCTGTCCCGGAAGATCGGGAGGTGTCGGGGGACTGGAGTTGAGGTTGACTGTATGTTTCTGATGGAGAAGCGAGGGAGGAAGCTGGCGCTTGAAGCCATCGTTTTAAGAGATCCAAACCAGCTGGGCCAGACTTTTCAGGGTGAAATTGCGTTCCAAAGACGTTGCCTTTTCGAACAGACGAGATGAACGTCTCGCCTCCATATCTGGACAGTGTGTGTGCGAAGGGTGGTGGCCGAGTCTCAGTCGATGGAAGGGTAGCAGCGTAGGAGTGAACAAAGTAAAAATCCTCGCTTGAAGCCAGCAATTCACTCGAGTCATCAGACCACGCTTTCCACGCCGAGTTCCAACCCATATGAGGTACACTCTTTCTCCCGCGTTCATCTGATGATTTAAACTTTTGTATCTTGTACGGCAAGATCCCCAGACCTTGAGCGGAAGGAGATTCTGCGGAGGTTTCAAAGAGGACTTGCATTCCGATACAGATACCAAAGTAGGGTCTGCCAGAGGAGATATAGCGTTGTAGATGGGGTAGTAGACCAGAGGTTGATAATGATGCGGTCGCTTGACCAAAGGCACCGACTCCGGGGAAGATGAGTTTCTGGCGACCGGAATCTCAATCTACGCCAAAATGTGATTACCCACCTCTGCCTTGTCAAAGTCTGAAGCATCTTTGATCCACTCAAAGTCATACCCGAGCTTTCGGATCGAGTTGGCGAGACTAACACGCTCACAGTCAGTTCAATCTGGCGTGAGAGCTGCCTCATCACGTCACTCACCTTCGGACATTTCCCGCACCATAGTCTAGAATATAGAGTCTCGACTTGGACGAAGAAGCATGACCATTAGGTTGATCCACCTCGGGGACAGGTAGCACAGTCCAGTCCGACATATCGGGATGTCTGAGTCGCCAGTGTTATCCAGCCTCACGCAGCTTCTCAGAAGACCAAATGACTGTACGAGCAGCTATCATCGTTGTCCTCAGAGATAATTCGTGAACTTTTTGACTCGAGTCTCGTCGCCACACGTGGTCAGCTTACGTCAGCTGAGGTGAGTGCGATGGGTCTTGAAGACTTTGCCATAGACTATGCATGGCTCTCGCCTTGCAGAGCCAACATACGTGGATCTCATTTGAATCGAATCCGCTAGGTCACTGCTCAATGGCCAGCTGGTTGAGGTTGGTCGAATGGGGGGCCAATCATAAGACCTGACAGGAGCGGCATTCATCATTTATTTTGAAACCCATGGTGACGTCAGGGATTCAATGGCTATTTTACTGGAATCCAAGCGAAATCCTGCATCCCATCCTCTACTAAATACTCAATCAGTACCCAGCCAGCCCCGCTCGTAGCCCCTCATGGCCTCTGAGACTCGCAGACGTTCCGGCAGATTGGAAGCACAGAAGGATGCTTTCGCAGAGTCTGCCAAGCGGCAGGTCTCAGATGCTGGAGGAGTAGCCAGTGAAGCAGTGACGAGCGGCGCGTGGGCGTACCCTATCTTGGTGAGCCTTTGGGCAACACACCAGCCGGTCGTGACTGATATCCCGTAGGGAGTCTTTTATCTCGTGTCGCGTGAGAGCAGCTCTTGACCAAAAGTGAAAGGAGATCTCAGCTGACCAGACGGCAGACCCAAAGGTTGTCAAACCCATCATGCCCGCCTTGGTCAGAGGTACCATCATGTCATTGATGACTATCGGAGCATTGTTCACCTTCACCTATTTACCCCAAGTTGCTGTGCTTGCTTTCGTCTCTGGCCCTCTCGGTAAGCTCCGCGTCTACCTGGGGAGTCACGACGTGATAACTTCTTCTCAGCGTTCGTTGCTGCCATTCCACTCGTTCTTGGGGAAAGTTATGTAGTCATCAATTTTCTCCTCCGAGCCTTCATCTTTGGTCAGCTAGGAGAGGACCTGTTTGACATGGTGAGCTTTGAGCCTGTCTCTGATCGCGTCTCGCTAAGCGCTCGCCCCAGGTCCTGGTCCAAAAGGGCCAGTCAGCGCTCGTTGAGCGTGGCCGACAAGTCACTTCCAAGGGCGGCAAGACGATGCAGCTTGGCAAGATGATTACCAAACCCTTGTCACGATTCAGCACGGTACGTCGAGCCCAGGTCGATTTAGCTCACCTCGTCGCAGGACAACATTGTCCGATACGTCTTGACTCTGCCTCTCAACTTTATCCCTGTGGTTGGAACAGCCTTCTTCTTGGCCTTTAATGGTAGGTCGTGCCTGTACGGCACTAGCTCATGCTACCACAGGTTACAAGAGCGGCCCAGGGTATCATGCTCGATACTTTCAGCTCAAGGGCTACGACCGTGAGCGTCGACAAGCGGCTATCAACAAGCGTAGGGGATCCTACACTGCGTGAGTCTGTCATGCCTCGCAGACGAAAGTGGCTGAATCGTCTACAGCTTTGGCGTCGTCGCCATGTTACTCAATCTTGTCCCCGTGGCATCTATCTTCTTCAATTGCAAGTCAAACGGGTGTTGAGAGATCACACGCTGACATTCTGACAGTCACGTCGACCGTCGGCGCGGCGATCTGGGCAGCCAACATTGAGAACAAGCAAGAGGTCAACCCCGTCCAGGAGGTCGCTTCCGCCGCTAAGGATGGATCGGCCAAAGACGCGGTGGACGCGACCATGTCCAAAGACAGCAAGAAGGAGCTGTAAAGGCCAAGAATATGCAGAATGCATGAGATGTAGCATGAAGACGCTATGCTGGATCATTTGATGCGTCTGAGTTGAAGAAGGCTGACGCCATCGCGACTATACTGCTCTTTGGCTCCTGGCCGGGCGTCTTCAATGTGTTCACTGTGAAAATGTTTCTTCAGCAGCGCAAAGAACCTCTTGTCAGCCTGAATACGGGTATCAGTATATAGCTCGGCCAAAGGGTGCATTGCCGCACCTTTCTGCGCTTCTTCCAGCAGAAGAGCATCTCAATATCCTTGCCTATTGGTATCAGATCGCAAAGCGTCTGTACGAGGAGGGGAAAAGCAGGCTAGGGTTGGGGCGTTAAGATGGATGTTCAGAACGGATGATCAGGCTGACCTCGAAGTAGACGCAGTCCGCAGCGAGAATCATGTCCAGATCGTTCACAGGTATGTGCCCGGGGATTTGCTCTCCCCAATTGAGCTCGTCCACATGAACGTTGGAGCTGACGCCGTTGTATTCGACATTGCGCTCCATGAGGTCCAATAGCTGTCTGTTTCGAGGTCAGCGAAGGAACCTGACCCCTTCATATGAAAAACAGACTGACTTCTGATCAGTCACCCAAATTTCGGCCGTGGGTTCCAAGATCCCAGCTGCTATTCCTACTAAGCCAGTACCTGATCCCAGCTCCAGAATCTTCTTGCCTTTGAGATAAGACGGATCGCATTCGTACCTGTAACCAATGTACTGTGAGAGGACCTAGAGTTCGATCTGTCAGCTGCCCGTAATACACGACCCAGTTTCGTAGATACTCACCTCACCCGAGGGCCAGGCTATACCTCCACATCCGGGTCCAGCATCCACTTTGAGCCTGACTTCCTTCCCAAGCTGCTTCGAGACGTTGATGATTGATTCGGAACCCTCTACCGTTGTGGGCTCTCGTGGAGGAGCCAGACCCGACAGGGCATTAGCCGCGCCTACCGACTCGATGGATGTGACAGAGTCAGCCGAAGGAGAGGCTGGTCGCCTATCCCTCGGGAACTCCATGAGTTCCCCCTGCACGGCTATAAGAGCTGTCTTGATGAAGAGCATTAAGTTCCAGACTTTGGTTCGCAGATCTTTACTTTTATCCGAAGTTTACGCGAAGGAGGTCCCCGGGGGAACATTGCCGTTCCCTTCAAGTGATATCATCTCACAACCGTTCGAGCTATGGCACCAACATGGAAAGGCGACAAAATTGATCTGCCAGCACCTTCTCCTTCTCGTGCTGGGCCATCTCTGACTTCACCGATCCGTGATGACGGCCGATCTCCTCGCTTACGCTCCTCGCCCATCCTCCTTCACCCTTTGCCTCCCAGCTCCAATCTGGAGCAGATTGGACTGGCTCAATCAGAGCTCGAGCTCGACAAGCAGATCCGAGACCATGAGCGTGAGAAAGCCCTTAGGGAAGCATTACAAGACCAAGAATGGGAAATACAGCGTCTCAAAGCCAAAGAAGAGGTTGGCTCAATGTCTACCCGTCGAGCCAACGCCGCCAAGTCTACCGAGAACAGAGTGACAAGAGGATTCGAACGACCTCCTCAGGCATACGAGCTCTACTCCGCGATGGATAGACATGATATAGACTTTATCATGCGTGTCAGGGATCACGCCTTTTCGCTCTTGCTGCAGAAGAGCGCCGGAGAATTCCCTATTGTTTACGCTTCAAGATTAGGTGATGGGCATAGAGATATCGTCATTCTCTTGGTCGGCGCCATGTCTCGGTGAGTCGATTTCAGCATCCCAACGAAATGGAATGAGCTTCTGACTTACTCTCATAAGCTATGTTAACAACCTTGAAGGCGCAGACTTTGATAAGAAGGAGACGAGAAATATCCTCAAGGCACTGAGTGAGTGAAGCAAGCACCCATAGTGTCCGTTTCTTCGAGCTGATCGCACCACCCTGCAGGATCAAATGTACGTCCCCAACTTGATCTTGGGCTCACCTTTTTCAGCTCAAGCTGGCTATTGATCAAGCTCTCTTACCAGCCTCATCCACCCCTTCCCTTCTCTCGTCTTACCTCCAAGTTCTGATCATGTCCGAAGGCGATTCGTTCCTGTTTCGAACAATAACCGACCTCTCGTTACTCCTTCGGGACCCCTCGTCTACCCCTGTCAAGGCTGCTGAGGAGACTGTTCGGTCCTTCTGTACCAAAGAGCTTCGAGGGGTTCAAGGTGGCGTCTCTGGCGTCGAAGAATACATTGCCAATGCGTCTCTAGATCTCATCATAATGAGCGTCTGGAGTCTTGTGGCCGCTCAACTCGACGTCGAGAGATTACCGGTATGCAGCAATGTGTAGATTGTTCTGACCACTATTAGACCTATACATTCGCCCGGGATCTCAGGACTTGGTCTTTACTCAAGGAATCGAGGGACAAGAACGAATCCAAGTTGGTGAAGCTCAACGCTCGGACACGGTCACTGCTTGGCAAAATCTATGAACTGGGAGGCGATACGCGCAAGAGCATCCAGGGCAGATTGAAAGACGTCAGAGATAGCATTGACCGTGGGTTTTGAGGAAAATCCAGGGGTGTGAGGAAAGGGAAACCACGAGCCCGTTACCCCACCAAGCGTTCCGTCGAAATGAACGCTCTACCGAAACAAGGCCATGTCACGACATCAGCGCCAGGGCCCCAGAACCTGCCCGATCAGTGACACTGGTATATATGTCCAACCTCTACTGTCTTGGGATCCTTCAAATGTTCCCTCATCGGTGTGCCACTGCGTACGGATCAAGGGGCTAAGGCACTGTCCTGATTCGCAGATCGGTCACGGCAAGACAGGGGAGACTCGATATGGCCGGGTTCACGACATCCGCATCGATCCCCGAAAGGTCAAATTTCATGCGTCGACTGGACTGGAAATGGAGTGGGCATGGATCAGTGCCAGTACGCATCTGGTCACTTTGAAGACGGAACTGGAACATGCAAGGTAGTCACGTCGCTATGCGTTGATTCGTACACAATGACCACGATGTAGCGCTGGAGCCCTCGACTCTTGTCATAGTTCCATCTGTCCAGCTTGATATCTCCCGCTTTGAATCATTCCTTTATCTATATCTTGCCTCGGAGCAAGTTTCTGATCATTTCTCTTCCAGTGATTCTGACAGTGTGGTACATCGTCGGGATGTCCAGAGTCGAGCTCAAGCTGTCCGCAAAGCCAAAAGGGAGCATGGGAGGGATCCAGCCTGAAATGGGACATTAGCGGAAAGGCTCATCTCTCCGTCATCTCACCCCTAGCATACTCCAAGGCCCAAGTCTCTGGAGCCAAAGCGTATTGCCTGATGACTCCCCGCTCCATGAGGTTGACATCGCCAGGATTGTACACTCTTTTTGTCAATTCTCCAGCTTCATATGCCGTCTGTTGTCCTGTCAAAATGTGAAAGTAATCATCGGCCGTATGTCTCCCAGTGTGCCCTTCAGTTCCCACAGCACTGCCAAAGATGATGAGGTATCTATAGAGAGAAATAGCTGCTCAGATTGGGGAACACTAATGGGGATGGGGAGGAAAAGAAACAACAGATTTCGTTTTCCCAACTCACTCACTCAGTGATACTGGCGTGAATGATGAACATGCTACCCATGGCTCCACCAGCATTGTTAAATACCCATTCGCGTTTATCTTGAAAATCAGTTGCGAAGCTAGCTTGAGGATGATCCTTGACGAGTTGGTCGATCAAAGTCGAAATGAGAATGGTGAAATTGCCAGGTGCAGACGTCTGAGACGCTTGAGCAGTCTCAAGGGCCGTCAGAACAGATTGATGGAGCTCAGAAGGCTGCATGACGTAGAACCTGGATGGCTGGAGCGGGCAAAACAGTGAGCAGAATGATCTCTTCTTCTTCCCCATTGGTTACACTCACGTCGACAGTATTGATAATGGCCAAGATGCCAACGATAACGGCGATGAATCCCGTCAAGACGCTCCAACCAGAGCTCTTGGCTTGCTGAGTAGTCACTTTGCTGCCTGCCATGGTGTGGTCTGATTCCTACGAGATGATGTTGGAATGGCGCAGCTAGAATGGTGTCCGTTCAGATTATCTCGGTCGGTCGAAGCACTATTGGATTTTTCGAAAAAGCACGCACGGGTCGCCGCCCGGCGACGCGCCAAGCTGTGAGTGGCTGTGTGTCGACGACGACGATCGTACGATAGAGCCGTCACTCGTCTTCCCAAGGTCTGCTACTCTTCCCAAGGTCTGCTACTCTTCCCAAGGTCTGCTACTAAGGACATGAGACTCTGCATACATGAGATTTGAAAAGTATTAAATAAGGGTTAAACATGGCAGAACAGAATCTATGTGGAATCAAAGAATGTCGATGACGGGCGTCTATCTCTTTTGCCATCTCAGGAATCGAGCAGACAACAAAAGGACTAGGATGTTAAAGGCAGAATAGGCAACCTGGAGGGGATAACAGTCAGCAAGACGCATATGCCTGTTTTCAGATGGACTCACAAAGATACCAAAGTCTCTCCATCGTGTACCATAGCTGATCTCCAGATTATTGTAGAAGGACTGACCGACTCGGTACTGACAGTATTCACAATCAGTATTCGAGTTGGGATTGTTGATGTATCCTCCAGTAGCGTCTGCGAATGCTCCAGCGTAAGTGCCACAATTCTGTCCATCAGGTGGAGCTGCAGTCATTAGGTCAGCTCCAAGAACTTCAGAACAGCTATCATTTGACTCACGGAAGATGTTGAATTCTCCCTCTCGACAAACGACAGGCTGGTTGTAGAGCACAGTGGAGACGAGACCGCTGATAAGACGCGTGAATGGATCCTATGGATCATGTCAGTATGGTGGCTAGTCCGGATTGCTTCACCACTCACTAGCTGGTACATCCAGACTCTCCAGAAGTAAGGCAGCGTTCCAGGTGGCGCCGTGACACCACAGAACAGGGTGAGAATGACCAGCAAGAATGGGTTGAACAGCGCGGCAATGATGATGGAAGGCGAAAGAGCCGCGACGGCTTGACCCAACGTGACGGCGTAGATTTCCACAAACAGAATCATGATGAAGAAATATCCCGATCGGTACGATTCGTAAGGGAAACCGACACCAAAGTACAGCAGGAGGAAGAAGGCTGTAGCGCATAACAGAGAGTATGGCATCTCGGCCAAGAGCTGAGTGAGCGCAAAGATGGTGGAGGAGTACATTTTCGAGGAAGCTTCTCGGTTAAAGGTCATCCTGGACATGATGTATTGAGGTTCGATCTGAGCCAGAACTAAAGCGGGCAGAATGGTCGCGAAGAAGATGGCAAAGACTCGGTACTGCAAGGCGGCGAGCGAGTCGTTCAATTGCAGGAAAGTTAGAGTGACCGTCAATGCAATGGCAATGTGAGCGAACAGTCGAGTCCACTGGTAATCGGCATTTCTCCACAGAGCCACATTGGCTGCGATGGGTGAGCGAGTGCAAAGGCAAAAAGCTTGATCACTCACTTCTCGCAAGGACCACCTTGAGTTGGAACCAGAAGGACGTCGCGTACTCTGTCCGGTTGTCATTCTTCTCCACAGGCTTGGCCAACGCCTCGTCTCGGAGCTTGTGAATCTCCTCCACAGTAGCCTTGTGCTCGGGAGACTCGACCCATTTCTTATGCCAATCTCCACCACCCATTCGTTTTCGAGAACCAGCTCCGATAGCTTCAAGCTGAAGCAAGCGTTAGCTCGTTTCCCGCTTCGTCAAAAGCTTACCATAAATTCAGCAGGGTTAGCGTCGGAAGGCACCGGAGCACCATTCCGCTCGAGGTAATCGATCAAGACTTTGGAGTCCGGACCGATATCGCCAAAGTAGACCGTCTCACCGCCGCGTTGAAGCAATAACAACCTGTCGAACGATTGGAACAGCAAGGCGTTGGGCTGATGGATGGTACATAGGATCTTTTGACCAGCGGCAGTGAGCTTTCGCAAGAATCGAACAATGTTGTAAGCCGATTGGCCGTCAAGACCAGATGTCGGTTCGTCAAGGAAGAGCAAGAGTTCAGGCTTGGCAGCGAGTTCGACACCGATCGTGACTCGTTTTCTAGCTTCAACGGACAGGCCGAATCCGACGAACCCAATCATTGCATCTGCCAAATCTTGGAGTTCGAGCAATTCGATAATGTCTTCGACGTAGTCGTACTTCTCCTGTCGGGGAACGTGTTGGGGCTGACGCAGATCGGCCGAGAAACGGAATGCCTCTCGGACAGTCGTGGTCCATTCATGTGTGTCGAGCTGTTCAGCATATCCACAACCTCGTTGGAAGTCTCTGCCGATAGGTCTGCCGTTCATAAGAATGTCTCCAGATACAACGCCGATGTTCTAAAGACTGTCAGTACGCCATCTGAAATCTTCGCCGGCTACCCCCACCTTTCGATCCGCAAGCACGTCGAGCAAAGTTGTCTGAATTCTCTCAGCGCAATGTCTCCATTCTGACTCACCTTTCCAGCACCCGAGGCGCCCATCAAAGCCGTCAAACTTCCAGGTTTGACATAACCAGAAACGTTTTTCAGCAATTGCCTCTGTCCGCCAGGAACTGGAACGTGGTAGTTCTGATCGAGTCAGTACCGCTCGTCTGGCGCACCTATAAGCACTCACCACATCCTCCCAAGTGAAAGGCTGAGGCTCCATCTTGAGTTCTGACAAGTCTTGGTCCAACTCTCCTCGTCGGAAGGCGTCTCGTCGTTCTGCGAGTCTCTCGTTGAGCTTCTTCGTCTCCTTGTCTTCCTTCTTGAACACGGTGATAGCCAGGTGGTTCGCACCGTGAGACATGATTTCGATGAAGAGCATCTGGAGGAACATGAAGAAGCAGAAAAATCCGAGAAGAATTCCATAGTTTCGCCAAATGTGGTCTTTCCTGTAGTGATATCCAGCGTACATATAAGCATCACCGCTGACACTGTTCTGTCCGACACCACTGCCAAACAATGAACAGAGTTGATTGGGTCCAACGTTGTCCGGGTATCCTTCAATGCCAAGTTCAGGGATGTTTCTAGGGATGACATAGGTCGAATCGCATTTGAGGTTGATCCGACTGAACTCGTTCGCAAAGATCATCTCGTACCCGTAAGACAATGGATTGAGATAGTAGAGCCAGAAGAGCCATCGTTTCATGGTGAATACGGGGATCATGTAACCAGTGTATGTGACCATGATGGAGATGAGGACCGAAGCGAGACGAGCGGCCACATTGTAGTCCTTTGTGGCGACACCCAGGGATCTAAAGAACCCAGCCATGACCATAAAGGTGGTGAACACCGCCAAGAGGAAGATAAAGTAGGCTCCAGCAGACGGGTACAGTCCACCCATGAAGTACAGGATGATGGAGAAGACAAAAATATTGGTAAAGTTGTAAGGAACGTCAGCGGCGACGGCAGCGACGGCAAATGCAGCAGGTCGATAGAATCGATAACCAACTTGACGGTAGAGAATTGGCCTTCCCATCATTTGACTGGGCAATTCAGAGAACGACGTCAAGGCCTGAGTCGATCAGACACGGCACTGGGTGCTACACTCACGTTGAACAAAAGACCCAAGAAGAGCAGACCACCTCGAGTGAAGGCTCCAGACGCGGCATCAGGAAGTTGGAAATACACGGAACCGACGATTAGAGCGATGATGATGGATGTTGCGTAACCAGTGTAGATGCCAAACCTGTCTTGGAACTTGAGGATGGTCTGTCGCTTAGCGATGGCCAATGCCTGTGCCATGAAGGAGATAGTATATGGCGATTTCTTGCCGACACCTCGGTGTCTGGGGGGAATCAGCTTGCGCGAGCGCGTTGACACTCACTTCTGCTCTCTGACAGCCTGCTCAAACTCTTGTCTAGGTCCGACAGCTTCTTGACTGGCCCTGAGGTATTCGTCCTTGTCCTGCATCATCTTTTGGTAGATGTCCGACCGAAGATATGCTTCTTCCATTCGCTCTGCGGTGGAGGGCACAGAATCGGCATCTTTGCCTTCGGCGAACTGTCGCTCATTGGGATCGGTGCATCCTGAGAGGTAGTCTGCAGTGGTCTGTCGAGGCAGATCCTTGTATCCGAGACCGATCATGTACTGTCTGGCCTGATCAGCAGGGCCAAAGTAGACAACGTGGCTTTCGTTGAGGACGAGGACTTTATCGAATTGCTTGTAGATACCTTCACCAGCTTGGTAGAGTGAGACAAATGTGGTCATGTTCATAATGTCCGTCAAGAGACGCAGAGATTTGGCATAGTCCAAAGCTGTCGAGGCGTCCAGACCTCGGGTCGAGTTATCCCATGATGCGACACAGGCATTGGAACAAAACATTTCGGCGATGGAAACTCGCTTGCGTTCTCCTCCCGAGACACCTCGAACAAAGGCATTTCCGACGACCGTGTTGACGGTATGCTTGATGTTGAGCATGGAGAGCAGCAAGTCCAAGACTTCATCCTTGAATTGCTTGTCGGTGACTCCGGGAATTCGCTTCTTGGGCATCTTAGTCTCAAGGGCGAATCGGATAGTCTGGCCGACCGTCAAGGTGGGAAGATGGTCATCGTCTTCTTGATTGTACACTACCTCTCTGCGAGGTTATCGTCAGCTTATAGACTTGGAAGTCGATGACTCTGGCTCGGTACAACTCACCCCGCGTAGTACTTGCGCATCTCCTTCCAGCCAACACCGGCGTAATTGACATCTCCGTTGACCTCCATGAACTCTTCACGTTGATTCGTGATACTCTTCAGAAAGGTGGAGCAACCAGAGCCCGGTCGACCGAGGACCAAACACATCTCACCCGGTTTGAGGACACCAGAGTTCTTGTGCAGGATAGTTTTGGGAGATGGTGCGAAGAGTTTGAGTCCAAAGACACCCAAGAGCTTGACCACGGGCATCATGAATTGCTCAATGACTGCATTGGGAAAAGTTCGGATATTGATCTTGAGCCCACCGGCACCGACGACTTCAAGATCTTGCCAGACCACACCGACCTGTTTGTGTTTGATACCAGCTTGGTCACTGGCGTTGCGACCTTGATGAAGCACACCGGCGAGGTCGAATTCCTCCTTGTCGTCCTCAGCTCGTTGAGCCGCCTCGGCATCGCTCATAGCAGACGCATTGGTTTGAACCTTGGTAGGTTTGGAGAAACCACGTAGGGCCGCCGAACGATTCGACGCCCGAGTAGTCGACCGTTGAAGTTCGCCAGAACGTTGTGAAAGGTTTGAGAATCGTCGTTCGAGAGCTGCAAACTCTTCCTTTCCACGCCTGACCGACACTCGGTTCTCGCCGAGTTCAGCGACGTGATCGAGCGAGGAATGAGCTGATCGTTTCATACCGATCTGACCCTTCGAAGCTGAATCATCGCCATGGCCGTGAACCTCTTCGGCAAGCGTTCCACCTGATGAGCTTGAATCGCCCTCGGTAGACGGCTGGCGAGAGGGATCGCCCGCCTTTTCGATCGGTGCAGAGCCGTCGATGCCGGACATGGTGAGGGGCGCTGGAGAGGTAGAGCTAGTGTTACGTTGAGAAGAAGGTGCTCTTCTCCTTTGCTATTATTGTATATGGCCGAGCTCGCGCGGCCTTGTGGGCTCGTAGGATGCCCGCGCCAAAGGAGCTTATCGTTCGGGGATAAAATAGATAGATATGGAAAGGGCTTGGGATGCCCGGAATGGGTTGTACCTGTGACCAGGTATAAAGAGCTGATGATCACCTCTTGAGAGGCGAGTCAATGTACTCAGATGAGAGACACGAGGGAATGGGAATGTCGCCCTGTCCACCACTTGTCTCAACTGGACGATGTGTCTATGGCGATAGGAGAAGTGATGATCGAAAATGCATCGACTCCAATTTCTCTTTCCCCCTCTTCCCCAAATCCTAAGCGACCGGCACCGAAAGCAGTTGACCGTCGGGGATACTTTACAACTTTGTTTTTTGACTAAGCGCCAAGCTCATTTGGTGGGGGCAAGCTGCCAACCAGGCCTTCCATGACGGCTGGCTTCCCCCTTCGATTTTGCCCCCTCCCTGAAGGAATTCTGTTGTTTTTCTTCTTCTGTGGAGGTGGGTCGATCTTTGTGGCGGCAGAGTGAGGGAGCACCAAGACCAGTTGGGAACAATGACAATGTGAACCAACGCCGCCTTCGTCATCTCGGTCATGCCGAAGAAAGAATCGGCGAGGGTGGCGGCAAGCCAAGGGGCGGCCTCCCAGATCTCCTCTCTCTTTGTTAAAGAAAACTTTTCAAAATCTCTCTCTCGTAATGTCAATCCCCTTTTGGCCATGGCGCGCTGCTCAGATTCGAATGTGGTATAGTACATGGACCACCGGGGCCGACTTAGGCTGTCTGTGTAGGGAGCCTCAGAGAGACTTAAGATAGCTTCCATGCACAGACGGAGAGGCGCTGGCCTCCCGAGGCGCCACCCTTCCAAAGATCCCCGTAGTCATCTGTGATCAAGCAGTACAATGCCAATGATAGCCACTAGCTTCGGATCCGAGGCTCATTGTCACGTGACATTGACAAACCATAACGTAACACATCTTGCAAAAAAGTTCAATTTGACCTTCGACCGGCTGTAGCATCCAAGCAGCAACATTGCTGGCAGTAGTATCTCCTTGAAAATGGCCTTCCTGAACAGAGAAGCATCGTCTTCCAAGAGCACAGTCAGGAATGGCAAGGATGTATCGAAGCAGAGACCTCGTTCAGGCTCAGCACCCCGTGTCAATTCGAATCAAGCCAGACGAGACAGAGCAGATCAGGAGCTGATCTCGTTGCAACAGAGGATAGATACTTTCGTGCGTAGAGTGTACGGGCGTGCCTGCAATCCGCTGATTCCTTTCTTAGGATGCCAAGAAGCCTATAGAGACTTTCTCGGACCTACCTCTGTCTTCGAAGACCCTCAAAGGTGAGTAGTCTTTCGTGCCATGTCGAGCTGACCATTGACCAGGTCTCAAATCATCCCATTTCGTCTCTCCGACACCTATCCAGTCGTTGTCCATCCCAGACTCGCTGCGAGGCAAAGATGTACTCGGTTCCGCGAAGACTGGATCAGGCAAGACTTTGGCTTTTCTGATCCCTCTACTGGAACGTCTTTACATGCTCAAATGGGGTCCCATGGATGGCCTCGGAGCAGTAGTCATTTCACCTACCAGAGAACTCGCTGTTCAGACTTTCAACCAGCTGAGAGATATCGGCAAGTACCATTCATTCTCCGCTGGACTGGTCATAGGCGGCAAGCCGCTCAAGGAGGAGAGAGATAGGTTGGGAAGAATGAATATTCTCATCGCGACCCCTGGAAGATTACTTCAGCACCTGGATAGCACGGTCGGTTTTGAGAGCTCTGGTTTGAAGGTTTTGGGTGAGTTAGAGGCCGTAGACAAAGCAGCTGATTCCCCTCCTTTTTCCTTCCAGTCCTTGACGAAGCGGACAGATTGCTGGATCTTGGTTTCTTGCCGGCCTTGAAAGCCATCGTATCGCATTTCACCACTGGTTCGATGGATGATCCGACTTTACGTCGTCAGACTCTCTTATTCTCCGCCACTCAATCTTCGGATCTCGCTTCGTTAGCAAAGCTGTCGCTGAAGGACCCACTGTATATCAACTGCAATAAGCCGGGTGAAGAAGGTGTGGTGCCTACCAATCTGGAGCAGTTCTACGCCGTTGTCGCGTTGGATCGGAAACTCGACGCACTGTGGGGCTTCGTCAAGAGCCATATGAAAATGAAGGGAGTAGTATTTGTCACATCTGGCAAGCAGGTGAGTCGATCACTATCACCATCATATGTGTGTTTCTCATCGTTCAGGTCCGATTCATCTTTGAGACTTTCCGTCGACTTCATCCCGGTTTACCCCTCATGCATCTTCACGGCAAGCAGAAACAGCCTACACGATTATCCATCTTTTCTAAATTCTCAGCATCCAAGTCCGCCCTCTTGATCAGCACAGATGTCGCGGCGAGAGGTCTAGACTTTCCCTCGGTCGACTGGGTCATTCAATTGGATTGCCCGGACGATGTGGATAGCTATATCCATCGCGTAGGCCGAACGGCACGATACCAATCCGAAGGCAAGGCTTTGTGTCTCGTCTGCCCATCTGAGGAGGACGGCATGGTCAAGCGATGGGAGCAAAAGGGTCTGGACGTCAAGAAGATCAAAATCAAGGATTCTAAGATGGGAAGTCTGAAACAACAGATGCAAAACTTTGCGTTCAAAGACCCAGAAATCAAGTACCTGGCCCAGCGGGTGAGCCAGTATTCCCATGTGCGTGACTTCGTGCTCACATCACCTCACCAGGCCTTCATCTCGTACATGAGGTCTGTTCATCTTCAAAAGGACAAGACAGTGTTTGACTTGTCCGAGCTACCTGCCGAAGCATTTGCTGAAAGCTTGGGACTGGCCGGAGCGCCCCAGATCAAGCTAATGGATAATGGGCAAGGCAAGGCCAAACGCATGGGTCCTGCTGCCACCGTAACGAGAGTCTCTGTCGATGATGGAGAAGTCAGTGATGATGAAGGACTGGGCATTGGCGCTCAGCGAGAGATTGTGGGAAGTAGCGAGAGTGAAGGTGAAGATTCTGAGCAGGGATCAGGGATGGACGAGGAAGAGCAAAGGTCTGGGGACGAGGGCAAGTCTGAGGAAGTAGTGAGTATTGCCTTAGCGTGTCAGCTCAGCTCGGTCTCGTGCTGACGATTTCCCTCTCAGTCGACTGCAAAAGCAGCTGTCAGAACCAAATACGACAGAATGTTCCAGCGAAAGAATCAGTCTATTCTCGCTCCTCACTACTCGGCCATGGTAGCCAAGGATGATGACAGTGGTTCGGATGACGACGACGTCTTGAAGCTCGCGAGACAGGACCATGACTTGTCGGGAGATGAAGATGCGCACAGCGGCATTGAGACCCATCACATCACCGAAGACGCTCAAAAGGACACATCTGATGGTCCCAAATTCGCCGCACCGACTATGCTTGCGGCTGAAGATTTGTCCAAACGGAAACTGAAAGCTGCGTCTTCGAAACGAGGGCTGTTGAAGACTAGACCGACGGCTGAGAAGGTTCTCTTTGACGATTCTGGCAATGTCACCACATTCTACCAAGCTGGTCTGGAGGCTGAGACTCGAGCTGGCGCTCAACGTTCCGAATTCGTGAAGAACGAGCGAGAACGAATGAAGGACGCTACAAAGATTGATAGAGAGGCAGCGAGAGAGATCAAGAGGGAGAAAAAGAGAAAGAGAAAGGAGAGAGAGCGAGAGGTGAGTGGAATAAGTTGAGCGGTGATTTTCTTGGCGCAGATGTAATGACGCTTGTACGCAGATGCGCCGCCTTGCTGACGATTCGGGCGATGAGGGTGGCGGAGCCATTGCTATGCTGGGCTCTCCTATGGGCGAAGCTGAAGAGGATCTTGGCGAAATGTCTACGGCGGATGAAGAGAGCCATTCTCGTCAGTCAAAAGCTCAGAAACAGAAGCGGAACCACGTCTCTAGCATTGAGGATGAGGAGGCATTGGCCCTCAGTCTCCTGAACGGTTAGCACTCGGTCTCGTCCGTCATGCAACCCTTGTTGTTCGCACTTTGCATTCATTCGATGGCTATCTATTATGGTTCATATTTTCCGCTATTTGCTTTTGCTATCGCTACGACGTTGCAAGTCCCGAGTGTTTCCGCTACAAGCCAGATAGATGTGATGGTAAGGGAGTGAGATGTCTGTTTGAGATATGTAATGTGAAGTCATTCAGCCAAAGAGAAGATACAGAGAGAAGGATCAAAAAGGGACAAGAGATTCTAGTGGTGGTAAGTAGTAATACAGCGATTCGACGATTGTTTTTAGAGAAACAAAGAGGTTGTTGGTTCGACAGATCGACAAAGTGATGAAGTATTGGTTGGTGGATAATTGCGAGTTTCTAATATACAGCGTATCGTTTGAGCCTCCATGTTGTTGACGGGATTCCGGAAACGAGTCATTCCTGATTATACCGTGGCAAGTCATAGTGAGGGATACAGTTGGGAGGGAGAAAGCGATTGTGAATATTGTTCTGAATGGACTAGTGAATGATTGGCGTGGAAGTTGATTGGCAAGACTTGGGCATCTATGAAGCTTGAAGTGAAGGTGGTAATCCTGGGCTTGGAAAGGGTTATAATGAGCGGACGAAGCGAGACTTTGTACGTGAATGAGCGTGTGAGATCAAGCGACGACGGTGAGATCTTCGACGCGTCCAATCATGCCGTCGACTTCCATCATATCTTGTTCGTCGTCGAGGTCATGTTCGCCAACTCTGAGCATCTCGACCTTGCCAGCAGGCCGGCTCTCAAAAACATCCTCTTCTGGGATCTGCATCGAGAGAACTCGAGGAGTCATCGGCGTCGCGAGAGTGTATGAAGAGCTTCGAGACGATGCCGAATGGATAGACGATCCGGAGTGATTTCGGAGTGGGGCTAGGGACGGGCGGACAGGACGGGAAGGACGAGAAGGAGCTGAGAGACCCAACAGATTGGATTGATGAGGTGAGACGCCGGGACGCATGGGTCTTGAATCGGCGCCGGCGGATCCAGGCGAAGAGAGACGCTGAGGCGAGCCCGGGTGAATGGTGATTCGAGGCAAAGTCGCGCTGAAAAAGTCGGGAGGTGAGTCAGGAGGCGTGGGAGGCTTAGGCAATCATTGTCAGTACTCCGGGTAGAAATGAATCGCGTAGACATACAGTGGTCATGGCTGGGCCCGCGCAGTTCAATGGCCTGGCCATTTGTTGAGAAGGAGGTGACCTGTTCCCTTTACATCCGATGCTGCTCAAAGTCCTCTCCAGAGGAGGAGCCACCAATTCACGCTTGTCCGGTGTCAAATGTCCGCAAGCATTGGCTGATGCCAATGCAAAGGTCGACTTGGAAGTATCTCCACAAAAAGAGTGTGATCGCTTAGGAGCACCAGGCCGTGTGGCCAGGCCAGGTCGATTTCCAGACGAGGGAGGATCGGCGAGTGCGCTCATCGCTGTGTAAGGCGTGCAAGGCTCGAGGCCATATGCAGACGCTGCTTTCGGTGTTGATGGTGCACTGTGTTGCAACGATAAGAGTCGTCGAGGGAGAGGAGGTCGACTGGGGAATGTGTGTTGAACGGGAGAAGATGACACGGTCATTCCAAAGCAAGGGCTCGACATGGGCGCAGAAGAGGTGTACATGGCAGACATGGCGAACAGAGAGAGAGTGTGTGTGTGTTGGTGTTGTGTCGAAAGGGCTGCAATGTTGATTTGAGTCAAGAGATATTCCGAGGCAGAGGCAAGAAAGGAAGGGCTATGAAACAGACGAATCCCAGGATGCTACAGAGATATCGGAAACAGTATATGCTACACGGAATGAGGGATCAGTCAAGACGATCAAAAAAGATTCGGTTTCAGGCAGACATGATGACACAGGAGGGGGGTCCGTCGTCAAGGGGGGATAAATATTGCCCGCAGAGTCTCTGAATGACTCTTGGTTGCGTATCAAGGATTGATACGGTGGGTGAAGGAATGAGAAGAAGACGAACGAGCCTTTTGGTCGAGGGATAAAGGACGTCGGGAAGGGAATGTCTGTGCGGAAGGCGGGAATGTTGACCAAACTCACTAGTAACGAAAGATTGATGTTGAGCTTGGAAGCCGGTTGGGGAGGCGCCAGGCAGGGAGGGGGGGCTTCGATTGGTAGCTGACGCAAGGGGCTGTCTGCGGGCCCTGCGAGGATGGCGACGGCAGCGTAATGTCGGTCGACAGCAGCGACAAGGTTGGGTGAGTCACCCGTGAATTTTTGGGAAAGAGTCGAGGGTCCAGGTCTAGATTTTCTATGTGAGAGCGCGTGTATGAGGTGTGATGGTGGTGCTGAGGAGGAAAAGGAATTTGAGGAAAGCAAGGGAAAGATGAATTGTTCCATTGGATGGGATGTTGTGGACTATGTAAAAAAAAAAAATGGGTCCTGAGTTTGGTGGTGGTCGTCTGGGCGGTGGTGGTGGTGGTCGTCGTGGTGGTGGCAGACCTCCCCAGGAGATTTTCGGTTATTTCCTAGCGTGCGTGCGTGACACAGGGTCCAAACTTCGGGCCCATGAAATTCCGTGCGCCGTCGATCAGTATCTCTTCCGTCTTCGTGATCTCCCTAATGAGTGGTGGCGACGAGTTTTTTTCTTCTCTTCTCTTCTCTTCCTTCTGGTCCCTTTCCTTGGGTAGTAGCTATTTTGGACAGCTTCAGTTCTCGGCATTCCGCCTCGTTTCAGGGTCAGCAGCAACAGGCAGGGAAGCGGGGGAAGGGTGGCCAAACAGTGTGAATTGATCTGGTTTCGCCACCGCGTCTCTGTGGATTTTGCTCCTCTGACATCAGCCGCGAGCCAACAAAAAACTGGGCGGATGTTTTTAGGTTAGAACAGCAATGAGCGGTAAGAGGACAGACGACACGTCGAACACTTGTCATTTAGACATAATTTCAAGCCAGCCAAGGGACTCCGGGGCGTTACCGTTCTTACGCTTCGTTTGACATAATTGTGCAAAAGGGGAGGAGAGGTGTGGGGGGGGGGGGGGGGGGGAGGGTGGAGAGGGATCAGGGAAACTCGACCCTTTGTCTACAACGCCTTGCACATGTGTGAATATATGTGTCCCTACGACCGTGTGATTCTCATCCCATACAGCTGACCATTACAAAATAGAAACCCATAGAGACGAAAAAGACTGGAAAGTCTACAGCCACAACGTACCTGGGTCCTTGTATCCAAACCCCCAGCCCGTGCAATTGACGTAAAAACAGATCCTGATCCTCGCTCGACCGACTCCTTGGTCCCTTGAATACTAGAGAAACATCCTTTGCATCTAGCTTCAAACGTCGCGACGATGCGGAGCCATACAGATAGCCGTTTGTCTCAAACGTTGCAAACTCTGCATGTTACATAGGGATACCATGTACAGTTACCGCTCGAAACAAATTGAACTGAGATGGCCGCAACCGAAGATCAGGGATTGAAAATCATAGAGATCCCGTAGTTTTCTGATCAACCCGTAGATTAGTTTTTTTTTTCCTTTCTCTGCTTCTGGTGGTCTCTTATCCCAGAGACAAGAGCAGCGGGTCGGGGCACCGATCGACCGCACACACCACCACACGCGCACAGACTTCCGGCCGACCGAATTTTCTGGCTTTCGTCTACCCCCTTTTCAAGTGAGCTACCGGGAAGACGGTTCGTTTTCCATGAGGGGACGGAATGCATTTGAGTTTGGACAGTGACTACTATCGGACGATTGTCAGGAAGATTTTCTCTAGAGTGACAGGCTAATCTAACAACTGTTTGAAACGATCCAGAGCTAGAGGCTGTTCCACTATCTGCATAAGATTATGGACCAGAGGGATCCTCCAAAAAGAGGGTCCCCTATGTGACGCGTCGACACGGTGCGATGACAGGAGAGAAAGCAGAAAAAAAAAACTAGCGTGTCTTTTCGGAGTTGCCGTGCTTGCCACCATGAGATCCATCGGAGTCCTTCGTCTACCACCACCACCACCACCACCACCAACCTGTCCTGACGCCTCCACACGTAAGGACGCCTCAGAAAGGTGCCACATGTCGTCAATGGTAGGAGAGCAACGATGTATCTGCTTTAAAATCCGATAAGAGATGGAGATTTCCCCGTTTCCAACCCTCACAATGGCTGAATCTTCACACGCGTGAAACGGGTACATCAAGAGCTAGGCAAGCAAGGGCACCATGCCAGGACACTCGAAAGCCGAGGTGGCTTTCCGCTGCAAGATACAAACTCCTCCGGTCAGGACACGTGGCTGAACGAGGTCCGGCTAATTGAGCCGCAAGATTTTACGTTATCTATCCAGACTCGTCACTGATTCAATACATATAGCAAACGGAGCTCGGCTTCACGATCCCAGTAGATAGGCCGATGATCACGCATTGGTAAGACAGTGATCTAGGCCTTGCGATTCCGCCGCTCGCCGAACTCCGAGCGATGGACAGAGCCACGTGTGACAGATGGCGAGACAAACCACCGTGGCGGTGACAGGATAGTGAGGTGATTAGTCCTTTGGGCGAAACTCACGGCGTACTTGAGGTGACGAAGGATGGAGACATGAGGTGGTCTAGAGCTCTTCGCACGCAGGCGACGCTATGGATCACATGGCATGAGAGTAGCCGTCTTGAGCGCGAGATGTATGGAATTCTCGCAATAAGGACACGGCCGGTCTCGTTGAGAAACAGCAGGGAGACGAAGGGTATGAGGAAGAGAAGACCCGTTCGCAAAGATCGTCCGTCCTGTTCCAGCTTTCAGGTCCAGACGTCAGTGGCACAGGTCTGCACATATCATTAGGCCCCAACGTGGGATTTGTATTCCATGCCTGAATCACACATATTCGTGCCGATCATTCTAAAATTGTAGCATCACTGATCTCCAACGGCACTGGCACGGCAGAGTGAAAGAGCACATGAGTCTCCGTGCGTCTCGCCGATCCCGTAGTGATGCAGGCAGCAAACATTGTTGAGACGCCGGAGGAATTGAAGAACCAAGCCACCAGATCACAATATCAACAGAGTTGCCGTTGGTTTCATCACTCTCCACGGCAGACACGTCCTCTTCGCGGCATGCTCACAACAAGATGGGCAACTGTAGATACACCTCCGAGAGCGCCAACAGGCCAGGGGGAAAAGAGCATCAGTGCGAACTCATCGTATCGCAAAAGGGAGCAGAGATCCAGGTGCCAGCCGAGAGAACACGTTCCCGCTTGGTATTGCACCGGCATTGTTCCGGCAGCATTTTCGGCCGAAGTTTCACCCTCGTCAAATAGGTGACTCCCCATACAGCTTCTATCTGTATATCCGAGCTAACGAGTGAAGCAGAGGGGGGTTTGGATCTGATGATGTGGCTGTAAGCTACTGGGCTCTAAGCTACGCTATCCATGTTGCCTGTAACGACAGCCGCTCGGCGGCTTGGCTGGAATTTAGGATCCAGATCCAGACTGCGCATCGGCCAAAGGTGATGATTGGAACGTGCGGATGCCAACAATGAGTTTCGTTTAGAGTCTGTGTTGTTCGAGAGGTGGAATATTCCATTGCAAGCACTGCCAATGCATAGAACGATAAGCTGTGATAAGATGCGACCATCATCATCGAGCATGAGCGTCCACCGTCGGTCGAAGGGTCACCGTCGGTCAACGAGCCGCGGTTGACGGGATCAATTCCAGTGATCAGATCTAAGGCGGGAAAAAAAAACGGTTAGCCCAGATTCCCACTCATGATATAGATAGCCATTGATGACTCAACTGCCTTTCAAGCCGGCTTACGATCGAATTTTCAATCCAAATGAGGTGCTTCGGGCTCGGCATCATTTTTATCATGTGGAGGGGGGGTCTTTTTTTTTCCAGACCGCAGGTCGATCTCGGTCATAGATCAGTAATCATTCATCTTCCCACTTGCATATATATACCTAGGTGTGCCATAGCTATCGGTCCTCATCCTCCCTTTCATTTCCACCACCACAGCTACCACTCCCCGCCCCCAATTCCTACCAGATCAGACATTCTCAAACTTCAACCGCGTATCGAATAAACCGATCCTATCTCTGCCACATGTCAATAGAGCAACACTCCACTGCTACTGAGATGTCTAGGACACCTACCGTTCACTCAACAGACCGCACAGACGGTACTACCACGCCTGTCACGTTGACAGACGCCAACCCGATGGACCACACTAAGAAGGCTCAATCCACTCGTAGCACCAACAACGATGACGAGTTGACTCCTCCACCGGTCGCAAGCACATTGGGCAAGGTCGAAGCTGAGCTCGAGAAGGAGGGAAAGGTAGCCCACAAGGTCCCTTCAGATGCATTGTCATCCCTTCCCAGGGCGAGAAAGAATATCCTTACCCTTTGTTTCTGTCTGGCCATGGTGAGTAACCGTACAACCGAAAAGATAATCCATACTGACCCCGAAACCTTATAGTTTATCGATGCAGCCGGTGTTTCGGCCACCTTCCTCATGACCGCTCCGATCTCGGAAGACTTGGGCATCTCTGCCGGAGATCAAGCATGGGTCCTCGGAACCTATTCCATGGTCTTCGCCGCCACCCTGTGAGCATATTTGCTTTCTCATTCGGCAACGACTGACCCTGTCTACCCAGCCTGTTTGCCGGTCGAATTGCCGACCTCTACGCGCCTCACCGAGTCTACACTGTTGGATTCGTCGGTATCGCCGTCTTCTACCTCATCATCTCGTTCATGGACTCCAAGTATGCCTTCTTCGTCCTTCGAGCCGTCTCAGCTCTCTTGGCCGTCCTCACTATCCCATCAGCCATCAATATGATCATTCAGATGTACCCTGATCCTGACGAGCAAGCCAAGAAGCTCGCTCTCTTCGGTCTCGCCGGTGCTCTTGCCAACACTTTGGCCCTTGTCCTTGCTGGTGTCTTCCTCCTCGCCAGCTGGAGATGGTACTTTAGGTTCATCACGAGTGAGTCGTCAGCCCTTCCTAGGTCTCACACACCACTGACCCGTTGTCCAGTCCTCGTCGGACCTTTCGCTGTCCTCGCATGGTTCCTCTTGCCCAAGACTGCTGCCGTTGCGGAAGACCTCCCTGGTGCCGCCAAATTCAAGCGAATGGATCTGGGAGGAGTCTTCATCTTGGTCGCCGCTCTCATCCTCTTCATCCTTGGTTTCACCCAAGCTCCCACTGATGGATGGAAGTCTGCCACGTTTATCGCTCCATTCGTCATCTCCATCGTCCTCTTCGCCGTCTTCGTCGTCTGGGAGCATTACATGCCACGAGGATACGCTTTGCTCCCTCATGACATTTGGTCTTACCCCAACATCTTCCCATTGATCCTTCAAGCCTCTGCCGTCTTCATGTGGTTCGCCACCGCTCAACTCCGTATCGCCACATACTTCCAAGAGGCCCTCCATGACTCTGCCATTCTGGCAGCTGCCAAGCTCTTGCCCATGGGTATCACCGCCTTGATCGTCGGAATGGGATCTCAAGCCTTCCCCAAGCTTATCACCCGACCTCACTACGTCCAACCTGTCGCCGCAGCTCTGTGCTTCGCTGGAAGCATGTTGTTCGCTTTCAGTAACGGAGGTGCAGGCAAGGATTACTGGAAGTGAGTCGAAGACCCGGTCGAAAGTTCTGCCCCAACCCCCCACCTTCCCCCTTTGGCATCCCTCATTGTATCCTTTTGCATGCTGACCATCTCTCAACAGGTTCATGTTCACTGGCCAGATTATTGGTAAGTGGCACGGTTCATTGTCGTCCGTTCTTTGACTGACCTCGTCCAGGTACTGCCGGTGGAATGATCATATTCATTGGCGTGAGTCTCTATCTATCAGACAGCGAGACACATGCTGAACGGCACTTTCTAGACGAACACAAACATCATTATGAGCTTCCCACTCGAATTCGCAGGCATTGGAGGAGTGAGTTTTAGGGCAAGCGCTGCCTCTTCCAGTGTCACAATGCTGATCCACAATCGTTTCACTAGTCATTCGCAAACATTATCTTCCAAATCGGCGGAGTAATCGGAATTGCCGTCCAAGCTGGTCTTCTGTCCACTGGAAACGGTACCATTCAAGACTGGACTGGATCCAGAAACTCCTACTTCTTCACCGGAGGATACGTGTTGGCGGCCGGAGCCATCTTCCTCGCTTGGTACAGGCAATCCAAGATGCCCAGGCGTGAAGGCGTCCCAGCGGCTGTGTAATCGCGATTGACACTGTGTGATATTCTCCAGTCCTACTCTGCATGACCTAGAAGATTTAGACGAGAAACGACGTATTATAATTAATATCAGATGAGATAGAACAAATGCATGTTGTACAGAAATGCCACATGCCACTTTTGACAATTTTCTGGAAATTTGCTTCCGTGACCGGTTCGTTGTATGACCGAACTGCACTTCTAAATGGAGAGCGTCATGCGCGATGTTCCGACCTGGGGTGTCGACTGGTTCGAGATCAGGTACTCACGGGCAGCCTCGCTGCTCAAGCATGGTCACACGTAATTGGAGACCGCTTGTGGAGAGAGGCTGAGACCACCGCAACTCCTGTGCCCTTCTGACCCAACGGCTGTATTCAGAACCTGAACAATCCGAAGCAAAACGGAAAACCCCTCCGGTCAAAGGAAGTCCTGAACGACCTTTCGTGCCTGAGTCTACGCTTCTGAGTCTATGTGACACCATGTGGTCCAGTATGAGTCAAGGGCGACCTGCTGACTCCGAATACACTGTCACGATCAATGATGCTGGCTTAACTTCACAACTGGCTGACGTAAATCGCTGCGCCATATTGACAGGCTGCCTCGCTGACGGTCATACACTAAGCACAAAGCTGAAAGCTGACGCACGGTCTGACTTGCATAGCGCAGATTCTGGAATCAAAGGATGCCCTCGAGATGACGTGAAAATATGATATGACGCATTCGCTGACGCTCCGAATGACTCGCTGAGAAGGTATATAAAGTCTGCTCATGGTCTTCAGCTCGCCACTTATCTTCTCTACATTTCCATCGCTCAACATGTCTTCCAACCACGCCATTGACACCAACCCACCCAATGGGACTGACATTCACATCACTCGGAGAGGCTCGAGCTGGTTATGGGCAGTTTTCAGCATTATGGCGGTATCAGACCTCATCATTATAGGATGGCACTTTATGGTCCCTCGAGGTCAGCGAGTCTTCCATCAGCTCGCAGCAGTGAGTGACTTCAAAGGAGACTTTTCTGAGCTGATGAAACAAGATCATCCTTACCACCGCGTCCATCGCCTACTTTGCCATGGCTTCAGATCTGGGCTTTGCAGCTATAACCACCGAATTCAGTGGACATGGCTTCCCTGCCGGGACTTACCGACAGATATGGTATACCAGGCAAGTCTTTGCACCCTGGGCTCTTCTTATAATGTCTCAGGTACATTGACTGGGTCATTACCACGCCTGCACTCCTTCTCGAGCTCGTACTCGCCTCGGCACTCCCGCTGTCTGACATCATCACGTTGATCTTTTTCGACCTCGTCATGATTATAACAGGTCTGATCGGCGCCCTGGTACCTTCGAGATGTGAGTCCGGTATCTTGGCAGGTTTCTTGTGATTGACGACGCTTCCTTAGACAAGTTTGGCTTCTTCGCCTTCGGATGTGCCGCCTTATTCTACATCTGGTGGGCACTCTTGGGACCGGCTCGCACCTCTGCTAGAACCATTGGGGCTCCCTTCAAAAGATCTCTCACTATCTCGGCTGCCTACCTCTCGTTCATCTGGTTGTTGTACCCGATCGGCAAGTTTCATCTCCGTTTTCCTTTACGCTGACTCGGTACAGCCTGGGGTGTATCCGATGGAGGCAACGTCATCTCTCCAGACTCCGAGATGGTCTTCTATGGTATCCTGGATCTGCTAGCCAAACCAGTCTTTTGTTTCCTCCATCTTTGGCAGCTTTCTCGCCTCGCCTTGACCCTACTCCAGCTCCGCTCCGGCAAGTTTAGCGCCTACGCTTCTGACACTACGACCCTGCACAACGAAAAAGTCGGTCATCATGGCGCTGGCACCACCGGTGTGACTGCAGGACCTGGACGACACTCAGATGCTACCGTTGTGGACAATGACTCGAATCATGGCGTAGGCAAGACCAACAAGACGAGTCGATTCGGACTGGGTCATCGTCATCAAGGCGCCGCGCCGGCTCTGACCGCGGCCAATGACGGTACTGAGCCTGCAACAGTACATCATCCCAATGCGAATATGGCCCATGACAATGGTGTGACCGCCACTCGAAACACCGATGTGGCCTGAGGACACGAACCGTGTAGATTCCCCCCCTCTCATCAGCAATGGATCTGGTGTTGATATATGACAGCGAAGAATGAATACAAGTGTGCTCCAGGATCATGCCGCCGAGACCTATGTGCCAAGAATCTCTCAGCAGATCTACATGATGTCGTTATCACCACTCGCAACGTGTCTTTTGCCTTGATCTGACACGAAGAGGGATGGGACGGCGAAAGGAAACAGAAGCCACAAAGTATTCGCCACACACCCCTAGTTTTCATTTATTAACCTTCATCCTTTGTTTCTTTCTCTCGCGTTGCGCCCTTGATTTTGATTCCGCTTTTTGGTCTTCGGCCGTTACACCCAAAGGGAAACAAGAGAGAAAGAACACACCCACCATCCTACCCTCGTGTCATCCCAATTATCAACCGCCCAGCCTAACTCAGCTGCTCAATCTCCTCGGAGGACGACCACAGAGGTCACAAAGTCATCCATTTTACCGGTCATAGCAGATCCCATCTTCACGACTCAGCGTCGATTCTGAGCAGCAACCATCTCAACTTTGCGTGTCGCGCGTAGTTCCACACTGGATGGATTGAATTACCAAAACACACGCCTGAAAAAGAGGGGTGGAGAAAGAAGCGAGAACTTTCAAGGGTCCGGTCATCATCATCGACTCCTCGCAGCAGCGGAGAGGGGTCGACGGACCCAGCATCACGCCTAAAGGTCGACGTCGCATCTACTTATCCACACCCCTCGCTCATCATGTTGGGTCGAGGTCAAGTCGCCGCTTGGGTTCTCGGTTTGGTCCTGGGTGTCAGAGGTGTCGCAGCTGGCTACTTGAGTGTGAATATGACTCCGTGAGCATCGAGTCGAGACAGACACATCATGTCATGCTGACGGCTTGCTCCTCAGAGCAACTCAATGCGGAGTCTCAACAGTACAGTAAGTCATCCCCATGTCAGCACCTCCTCACAGCCTTCTTTTTTTGTTGACATTTCGATTAACAGATGGTGGGGTGACGATGGGCCGTATCATCTCCTTCTCACACCCGTGCGTATAGCTCCTTGTCCGGGGCAATAGCCTGCTGACCGAGACACAGACTCAACACGTCGAACACGGCTACAATGTGGGTTCGCTGCTGCCCGCGTCCACGCCAACTCACACATTCGCAGGTTTGGGAACCGTCTCTTCCAGCCGATAGCAATAAGTATAACCTCACCATTCGTCAGCCGACTGGCACACATTTTCTCCTCACCATGTGGGGAGCGAGTGGAATCTCGTATGCCGCGACTACGGACGTGATGAGTGGGTGCTCTGTCCAAGCAAAAATCACATGGTATACTCATCCACTCTCAGCGGTCGGTGCCCCTTTGGACAACACTGGCGCATCGTGCTTCTACAGCGATGCTGATATCCTGTCCCTCTATTCCTTTTCCTTCAATATCAGCGATTCCGGATCAGACTTTCCACCCCAGTGCTCGAATCTGACTTTATCATGGCCAACATCACTCGAGCAGAACGTGACGGGATTCAATGGAACGGAACCCGCAATCAAGCGGCCAAGTACAGAGGAAATTCCCTCGTCATCCAAACACAAGGGCAACACGACGTATCCACCGACCATGTTTGGAGTCATTCCTCTTGGCAACTCATTCTCGATTCCCATCACTTATGATGTCGACTCGCCTTTTGCCGATTCCCTACCGCCCGAGTCATTGTCTGATCAGCCAACGACATGGACGTATAATGGCGAGACGAACCTGAACTGGACGATTGATCTCGCGAAAGGCACCCGTTTCATCCTCGTCGCAGGTATCGGAGGAGACTCGCAATGGGCAAGTGGTGGCAGCAGTGAAATGATGACTGTGGGACAAGGTCTGACAGGATGTGTTGGAAGTGAAGATTACGGAGGTAATGGCGTCCCAACCATCACCGCCACTGGAACCTCCAGCAGCTATCCTACTGTGACCTTGGACGAGCAGCCTACATCTTCGTCTGCCGCATCGTCTGGACGCTCGGTCAATGTCGTCAAGACGATCGTGGCCTGTGTCATCTCCGTGTTGGGAACACTGACGGTCGTCGGCCTGGTTTGGTTCTTCATTCGCCTGAGACGTCAGAAGCGAGATCTCGCCGGGACTGGGAATGGTGGGCGTCCAGGCAGTGCAGGTGGATACAGAGACTCGTTTGTCAAGAAACGCTCCGTCACGTTCGATTCGGATACATTGGGTCCCGCGAGCGCTCGAGATTATTCATCGACAGATTTTATCACCATGCAGGATCGTCATCCGGTACCTACGCACACGGACGACATGTTTGGACCACGCCGTACAGCTTCGCCAGACATGACCGACTTTGCAGCCGGTTCCTCGGACGAACAATTCACGCCGACACGCCGGTCTCGCCTGCCATTGAGTCTCGATCCTCAACCCGCACCTATCCGAGGCTTTGACCCTAGTGGAACAGTGACGAGTATGGGGACTTACTCTTCACCTATTTCTCCCGTTGGATCGGCTGCGTTCATACGACTTGACGCAGAGTCGTCGCAAGACGCTCTACTGCAGAAATCACACAGTCGAAGTTTATCACAAACCGTAACCAGCACCTTTACCATGCCGAGACAATCTGCCGGACTGCGGCTCCACGACAGGGGAAGTAGACAGAGCGTGGGCGAGCCTGGGGAAGAGGAAGAGGATGAACATGAAGATGGAGATATATCAGACTTGAAGTTGGAGACGATTGCTGCGGTAGATCAAGGAGGTCTGGCCAGTTCAAGTACGGGAGGTGCAAGAAGTCGTCGCAGGAGACCGAGGAGAATTGAAGGAGAGACAGAGTATGTCGTTCATCGAGATGCTGGGCGGATACACGGAGGTCAATCAGAACACGTCCGTAGAGTTGAGCTGCCGCCGCGGTACGAAGAATTGAACTGGGAAGAGCAGCAGGACGCGATGAGAGGGGATGCGTCCAGTCGATCCGTCCGCAGATGATGATGGGGTCGTAGTATGAGATATGGACAATCTGGGGCCGGATGTAATATGGCATATAGAGATCATCTAAGCACATTCTCACATGTATCAACTAATCGAGGGCGACGGAAACTTTGGGGCTTTGTGATGAGCCAACGAACTCATTTGATCTGATGGAATGCATGGGAATGCGCCACGATCGAAATGACCCTCTAGATGAATGATGTTCTCAAACGAAATGTCCCACACTATCTGCCCCAACCGATACCTCCCACTTCATTCTGAAGCAAGAATCCTACCCGTCGCTGAGACTTGGGAGCTGTTCTGCCTCCCGTGGTCCTCATTTCCTGGCACACAAACGAGTCTGGCGCGCCGCCCCAATCCTCCAGAACATATTTGCTAGCTCGGTGATCCAGAGCCTGGTCGACTTCTTCTCCAAACAAATCCCTGGCGAGCTGTGTATGAGAGACTCCACCATAGGTCGTAACGCATCGTGGGTCGACCAGAATTCTAGCTGGGGTGAAGGCATGGTTGGGCACAAGATAAGCAGATGCGGGCAAGTCCGAAGGTGAGAGCGGTTCAGGAGCCGGGCCTGAAGCATCCTCGTCAATAGCATCAATGTCGGTTCCCGCCTCCTTGGAATCTTTAGATCCTGCCTCGACAGCCTGTTGAATCTTCTTGTTTCCTTCGGGCTGTTTCTCGACTGGGTTCTGACGCTTGACTGGAGCCTCATGCACCTGCTCTTCCTTCTCTGAGGCTTCCAGACGTTCGACGAGATCCTCGTGACGCTTTCGATGTCCAGAGCCGTATTGATGATGTCCATTACGTCTGCCCTCTTTCAAACCGCTCTTCGCGGCGTCTGTCCACAGATCTCGACAGAACCACATTTGGGTCGAGTCCATACACTGCGTTTCGGGGTCCCAGTTGGGCTGCTCAGCCGTCGAAGAGAGATTATGGGCATGTTGGGAAGCTCGATAGGAGATGTGACGGTAGTAAGACTGTTCAGGGTCCACAATGTGTGTGCCGGATTCGCAGCAGAATACTTGTAGAGGTAAATGGGACTTGAAACGCTCTGCTCCGATGTTGTCTCGAGGAGGTCCAGCTTCGGGCTTCGAGTTGGATTTGGCTTGTCGGAACAAGTTGCCCTCGATATCTCGTGTTCGCCATCTGAAGGTCGTGTCAGCAATGGGTCATAGATCCTTCGTCAACCCAACTCACCGATCGGAAAAGATGAAGAAGCCATTGTGCTCCGCCCAGTCCATTCCGCAGACCATGGCAGCACTGTTGGCTTCGCTGACTCGCAAACTCTCCAAGACATCGTTGGGACAGGTGAAACCCTTGAGCCAGATGACACGGTGAAACTTGAGTCTCCGTTTATTCCACAATTCGTGCAGTGGTTCCAGAGCCATATTCCTTGACGTAGCCTCTTCCAATGGGTAGTAAGCTGCGCTCGGGTCCACAGTCATAGGTGGGACCCGTCTGATCCTGAAAGCGATACCCAATATAGACATGACTGCCTCACAGAGATCCGCAAGGGTCGGTGTGGAGTCTGTAGAGTCTTGATCGAGCATGGAGACGAAGATGTTTCGCGTTCCCAATCGTCTGGCCAGTTGCACAATGACGGCCAACTGATCCACCAAGAAATGATCCGCCGAATGAATCACAATGGCAATGTAGTACAAGTGTCCCTTAGATGCCAAATCATCATACGAATCGTCCTTTTGGTTCTGACCAAAAGGCCGTACCAGTCCCGGACAAGCGGCTGCGACCCATCCGTTGAATTGGAGCAGATCATCCACCACGGTCCGCATGATCTGAGTGTCTAGATGAGCGGTCTCTTTATCGGTAATGAATGGCTTTTGAAATCGCGTCCAGTAGTCCAGAATTCCATCGGTGACTTCCACGTCGAACAGATCAGGACGATCATCTCGACCTTGACGTGATTGCAAGAAGGGGTATTTAGAAACGTCTAGGGTCTTCTCAGCGAGGAGGACGCGTTCCAATACGCCGTGAGATTGGATCTCTTCACCAGTTTTGGATGGTGCGAAAAATAGGGCTCGGAGGATGAGGACGCCGAGGAAGGCAAGCGCTGCTCGAATAGCAAGACGCTGTGTGTGCGGAGTGAAGGACAAAGGGGAAGATTGTGCTTTGGAAGCCATGTTGGGGGATTTGGGCACGGGCGAATTGCGATTGTGTCTTCTCCTAGACTCGTTGAACCCCGTATTGGGGTATCGACCAGCTGTTGGGGAGGAAAAAAAGTCAACGACGAGTGCAATTCAGCAGCCTAGGTCACCTACTGGAGGAAATTTTGACCTCGGATCGAGGCTACTTCCGTAGCCTCAAACTACGTCTATCCTTTCCTCGCGTTGTCAAGCGTGTGAGCCGGTATACGGTGGCCAGATGAAAAGGGCGAGGAATGGTCTCTCTAAGGGTCGCGTCGTAGCTATGATCGTTCGAGAAAGCCGTTTTCGAAAGTGCACAGCAGTATCAAGCCGAGACCAGCTCCCTATTCGAATGCAATGGGCGCGGAATGGTGACACTAAGGACGCAGACGAGTCTGACTGGGATGCAATTCACACAATGGAGATGGGATACCACGATTAGACACGGCAGAGAAAAAAGTGCGGTGGTGTGAAGCGGAAGCAAAATTCCCTGATACATTTTGTTGGTGTATGGATAGTGGCTACAAGAGATGAGGTGGACCCATGGGCTAGTTTCCCATGTGCTTCAAATATCTGCTATATCATAGCGAAACGAGCTTAGTACTCTGCGACCGATTCCATGGTCTATGAACGTCAGCTCAGGTCATTTAAAGCTTGCTCACAAAGGGACTGGCAACAGGTCCATCTAAAATATCGAGTTCCTCCTCTGTGAATCCCAGTCGGGGTACGACGAACAATCTCAGAGGAACGAGCAGCATGATGATGATAGGGAACCCAATGGCTGCGATGGTCTGGTGTTGGATCTTTAGTGGAGCTCGAAAGCTTCTCCGCTCACCTGTGTGATCGCAAAGGTCGCTCCGAATCCGAGCAATTCCACAATAGTGAAGATGCAAATACGGGATTTTCGAACCCGATTTAAGGGCTCCCTGGGCGAGGTCGCGCGCTTTTCTCGGACCAGGTAAAGCATCTTTTCCGTCACGCCAGATGATAGCAGAGCGTCCGTGCCCATGTACCACTGTAGTCATCAGGACTTTCCGAGGTGGGGAAAGCGCTTCACTCACAAAAAGTCCGGCAAGAACCCCCTTAGGGATAAGCCCCAGAACGTGCTCGAACGGCTTGGTCATGAGGACCAAACCTGACCATGTGTCAGAGCCTTGTTCGGATCACCACCAGCCGATACACTCACACAGACAACCTTGGGAGAGATTCGACACCCTCTGCTCCACCACAGCTACTGGTACCTCTCGCCGACTCGCATTCTCCTCCTGCATTGCCTTCCTTTTTTCCAGCTTATCCTTCATACTCATTCTTCGCTTTGGTTTCGGATGGGCTTGGCTGGATTGACGGCGATGCAAGTTCCCCCTCGCCTCTTCCATATCTGACATCTGGATGGTTTCTTGATCACGGGAATGAGAACGTTGAGGTCGATCATCCCCTTCATTCTCAGAGTTGGCACTTTCTGAGGAAGTAGCTGGATCCTTTTCGTAGCCTAGAATCACGAGGGACGCGGTGTGCAGGGGAGCTTGGGGGATCAGACCTACCATGTGCCGTCAGTCTCGCCAGTCGAGTACACAGCGGGATCCTCACCGTTAGGCGCAGGAACGCCGAAGACACCAGCGATGAGGGTCGTGCAGCCCAACAAGAAGAAATCCCAATGGAAAGCAGCGGGTTTTTTGAGGGGATATTCGGAACCTTGTGCAATCAAGGACTACCACCATCATGTAAGCAACCAAGCAAATCAAGCAAGAAACGGTCTCACGGATACGTTTGCGTCAAAGTAGAACAGTATAAACAGGATCAGACCAAAGGGCAAGGCGATCCCAACGTATTTCCCTTCGAGATGCCAGAATTTGATGACCCAGTCGCGACCGCCCTCGGCACGGAAGTTGGCCTCATTCACGGGAAGTCTCATGTTCGATTCAAGGACGTAGCTGGGGCAAGTCAGCAGCAGAATGAAGCAGTCAATTTACGAGTCAAAGCGGCCCCAGTAGGCGAGACCTGTGATCGCAATGATCGTTATTGGCATTCCATAGTCCGAACAAAACCGTCGAAATTGCCTCCCGATGAGTCCAGATCGAGCAAGGGCATTAGCATAATGCGGCAATATGAGCGTCAAGATGGCAAGACTGGGAGTGCATCAGGTCAAGCGGACTGGCTGAAATTTTGGGAATCGAGCTCACATTATACCAAGGAATCCACCAGTGACTGATGACTGAGAGAACTGCCGAGTGATGACCTGGATTCCATATTGCACATAGACTGCTGCAACGTAGAAGCCAAAGGTATCGCATGCGAACCGAGTGACGTATTTCAGGCCCTTGACCGCTGGGGATGCGGTCAGCTCACTCGTTCGAAACAGACGCTCTGCTGAAGCTTACCGTTGAACAGTGCTGAGACCCAGTGAAAGATGGCGCCCCAAAGGTAGACCCATCCCATGAATTCGAGATAGACGAAGCCATCGTTGCGACCCTTGAAAATGTCATAGATAGTCTTATTGAACACAGTGATGGGTCCTGTGGGGCATCAACTAACTGAAACGTGTACCGGCAAGCGGCTACCTACCCGTCACACCAGAGATGAGGAGCGGCTGACCGCCGAGAAACGACGCCGCTCCCGCTGCAATGAACTGAGAATGATCTCAGCGAAGACTCGGAGCGTAGGTATCAAGTGACTGACTGAAGCGAGCAAAACCTCCTGCACACCGTACTGGCCGGTCGTTTCCTGTTGGATGTAAGTGACGTTTTCATGGCGTATCTGTGACTCCACCCACTATAAGGTCCAAAGAGAAAGCGATACCAGGCAAAACATTTGCGAAAAAGATGAACTGGGAATGGGTCAGTCAAGTCACTCCCCTCGCCGTTGCCAAAACTCCACTCACCAATGTCGAAGGGACGACTCTGTAATTCCATGCGTCTGTCCAATCGCTCACATACCATGGTGCCCGCTTTCTTATATCATTCCGCATTCCAGCTCCGATCCTAGGCATCCAGCTCCATTTATCTCCATCGGCAGCTTTTGAAGCGAGCTTCCCAACCGCATGTACTGCCGCATGAGACTTGGTGTTCGAATCTCGACCATCCTGAAGGGTGGGAGTGGAGGTGAACTGCTCTCCCAAACGCGGAGGTTCAGAATACCTAGAGGCAGATACGACGGGGTGCAGGAGAGTCAAAGGTGGATCTGGTGGGTTCGTAGGAGGCTCTCTGCGAGGTAAAGCACGGTGAACAGGGATACCTGGTGAGGACGGTGGGGAGTGGAGTGATCTTGTTGACAATCGGGGAGAGGCCGGCATGGTGAATCCGGGTTTCATGGGTGTCGAAGGATTATAATGACAGGGATATGATTATAGTATACGATGATAGTACGACTTCAATGATGTCTCTCATGACCTTTGCAGCCCATCTCAGTCTCTGTACAGACGAACTCCGATCGATTCCAACAGAAACTTGATCATGTCTGAGGTATTTTTTCCTGCCGGAAACTCGAGCGTCATTCTGAAAAAAACAATCGTGCCAGCGACCGGCTAATCATCCGAATGAGGCGGATTCACGGTCGCTTGGCTTGTCGCCGATAGCTGAATGATACATAATGTGGAGCTACAAGGTGCCCTATCCACCTCCATGGGCAGAAGCACCGGATAACGAGACAGTCCGACTCAAAACCTCGTGCATCGGAGGCATCTGGATGTCGCTCACCGTGCCTCTGGGGACTGACCGTTGTGTCGCGGTTACTTGCTGAGATCGACGATTTGTTGAAAGTGGCAGGTGCCCCACTTCCTCATCTTCACCGTGATCCGAATCATTCGATAATGGCGTAGACTTGTCGGCAGGCATTCCAGGTCCTGGCTTTTCGATCACCTCTGTAGCAGACAGAGCACCATCTGGACGCCGACAGTCTGCTGGAGTACCTTCATAATGATATTTTTCGTTCGCGCTTTCTCTCCATTGATCACCCCACTTCAGTGTGGCCAGAACGAGACCAGAAGATGCCAGCTGAGTTATGGACACGCTCAGTCAGTGCCCCACGAAAGTCGCCGCCTGACTCACCACGATGAAGCCTGAAACGGTCATGGTCCATCCCCAACCGATCCGACTCGCCATAGGTAACACCCACGCCGATGCGCCGGCAGAGAACATGTATCTCAGGAAATTGTTAACGGCGATGACTTCCGCGCTACGTGTGGGCATGGAGTCGATAAGACTGTGTGAGTGATCAGACGGGCCAGCTAACTTCACTGCCAGTATGCGCAAGCTCACTACGTATTCTGCGGAGTCAATACACCCATGAGAGCCATCGACGGTAGCACGGAGACAGCCAAGGGGGCAGCGATTCCTCCTGCCCTGTTGAAACTCAATCAGCTGCACCAGGAGGATGTCTGACGACATTCACTGACCCAAAATGTACCAGCCACCCATAAGTGACTAGAATGCGAGTCAGCACGAGACAGAGATACCGCTCTAAGAAGATACTCACTAAGCGAAGCTGGCAGGAGGAACATCCCCCATGGCACCGCAGAACGAAGTCTATCCTCAACTCTCCGATAACCTCGCTTTTTAATATACTTTTTGACAGTTCGATCGGCCATGGCTACGCGATACCTCAGACTGGATCCAATGCAGTTAAAGTGTCCACTCACGTCCTGCTATCCTCGCTCCAAGCAGATTACCTAAACCGCTGGGCAGATATAAACACCCAAGGATGGCGAGATTGCTTATGTGATAGCGATCCTTCTACATTAAGGGGTCAGTGAGGAGGGATACGCGAATCAAGTATTACACTGACGAATAAAGTAGCTGGGAGAGGGCAAAATTTCAGTACAAATCACTCGCCCGACCCAAACCGCTTACACATAGGGACCTACAGGAGCATTCAGCGAGTTTCAAGTCGTACACAATCAAGGGCTCACCAAAACAGTGTAGATCGCGAGCAACACAGCAGCACTCGACAGAGACTAAGCACAGGTCAGTCTAGTCCATTTGGAACCACTCACCATAGCACAGACATTCATCCATCGAAACAGCCCGAGGCTGGTGAAGGGATTGAATCGATAGAAAACAAACCGTTTGCCCTTGGCTGCTTTCATCCTGTCGTGAGGCAGAGGTGGATGTGCAGTCTCGGGTAAGATGAAAGCGACTAAAAGAAAAGCGGTGGCCCCGGCAGCGCCGATAAAGTATCTATACCGGATATCAGTCACGACATCCACCGCCTTTGGGCATGTCAACTTACTGCGCAGAGCGCCATGTATCCTTTGGACGTATAAGCAGGTGTCAAAGCGGGACAAGCCGACTCACCCTGGTATATTCGCTGAAGAGACCGCCTAGAACAGGAGCAAATGTAGGTCCCATGAGAGCCTGAAGGGAGTCAGAGTGGCAACAAGCTTGCCGCTGGGCAAACTTACACCGCTATAGTACCAGCCCATGGCAGAGCCTCTCTCGGTGGGTCTGCGAAATTCAGCATGAGGTCTGCTCTTCATTCAAACACTCACTTGTAGATGTCTCCTATAGATCCTGCGCCAACGGCCAGGACACAACTTCCACCGATTGCTTGTAGGACACGAGTGCCGATCAATACGCCTACACTTTGACTCCGAGCGACTCCAAAACTAGCAGCAACAAGGATTGGCAAGCTGATCAAGTAGACGAACCGTCGGCCGTAAAACCCCGACAGCGGGGACCAGATCAGAGGTGAGATTCCCAGAACCACAATGAAAATGGCGACCGTATATGCGATGGTTGAAGATGATGAATGAAGTTGTTCTGCGATTTGAGGAATGGATGGCAGAAAGATGGATGAACAGATGGCTGTGCTGGATGATGAGTTATACCAGCCAACTACATGCAAGATCCCCACTCACGAGCTATGAATGCGCAAAATGAAACGATACCAACGATGATCTTCTTCTTGCGAGGTGTAAAGCGATCAAATATGTCCATTTCGGATGCTGGTGAGGATGGACCAGCTTCGACATCGGTCCCGCCAAGCTTGACATCCCCATCTCCAGCAGGTGAGCCCGTCTCCTCATCCTCCACATCTACAGGAATCATGCTGCCTCCTAAGGGCACAGGCGGAAACACAGTCCGCATGCCTCTGGCTCCTTCATCGAGTGTAGTGATAGGGACAGGGGGATTGAAATGGTCCTGGCCATCGTCACCGGCTACAAGAGCGTCGTTGTCCGCGACCGAAACAGTCTTGCTGGCAGTCTTCTCGCGGATTTCTGATACCGACATGAGAGTGGAGCTGCTGCTGTTTGGAGATGAGCTGTGTCTGCTTTCACCTAAGGGTATCGGTGTCATATTGAGATCATAAGGGCTGAAGTGATATCCAATCAGATGTCCGAGTCGGTCGAGATCCAGGGGTACATGGTATTACAGAGTCGCACAGGACCAACTGCCCAAAAATGTTGTTGGATCGGAAATGAGCGATAATCGGTCAAGTCCGAACGAGTCAGTCACCTGTCAGTCACGCGCAAAAATTTCCGGCTCAAGTTCCCTCCTTCCGGCCGAGTGGAGCCCATGGCTATAGCATCCATCTACTAGCTACAGATTTGCATGCTCAGTATACAGCAATTGACAATTGTCCAAAGATACTCCTTCGGTCACGCCGCCTTCAACGCCTCTCGACATACAAAACACCTAGATTCGTCTCTAAACCATCTAGTAGCACAAACCTGATGAGCGGCGTGACCACAATCGGGTACCATGACACCTGTGTCCTTGTCCTTGAATTGAGACAGACAAATAGGACACTTTGAGACTCTGACTCCGAGAAGCGATAATTTCAACTTGACCTTGCCTTGAGCTGTTGTGCGACGAGACTCGACGGTCACAAGTCCCGGTAGCAGAGTCCCCAGTTGAGCGGGAGTGGCTTTGGTCGCTTTTCCCGGCCCCAGAAAGGAAGAGATATGAGAATAACCCTTTCGCCATCACAGTCAGCAGACTTCATCGCGTATCATCGCCCGTTCGACTGACCTCGTATTCCCTCCCGGATCCTTCCAGACGAGAAACAAATACGTCAAGATCCGTGTACTCCATTTGATTCCCAGTCTCAGTGCGTTGCAGGGGAGATCTAAGATCTTGCGCGCTGGTCGATCGAAGAGGATGCGATCGATTCACAATGGAAGTGTCGACCGAGAACTCAGTCGGAGAGGAAGGGTTCGCAGGTGACAGCGGCGCTGGTTGCTCCCAGGTCTGCGACACTACCTTGGACCACTGTCGCATTGGTGCCGGGGGCGGTCTCGGTCCTCGCGGACGACTAGAGAGCGCAGTGTAGGGTCTTCTGGCCTGTGGAGGCGAGGATTCCGGTACGACGGCATCTGCAGACGATGTAGAGGTCGAAAATGTTACGGCTTGTTGAGGACTGGGACGGGTCGGGGGCCCCACTGGGAGAGGTGCCTCAGATGCTTCCGGGTCATCGGCAGGCCTCTTTGGCGGCAAGGGCGCGGGCCGTCTAGTCGGTAACCTTTCGGGCGGCTTACCCTCGGAAGGTGATCTTTGTGAGGCCGCCGAAGACAACGCCGAAGACTTTGTTGTGAAGGGGATGATGGGAGAATTCGCTGTGGATAGGACTGATCGCTTGCGACTGACCGAGGCGGGAGTGTCGGCCAACTGCTGCTGTCGCTTGACACGTAAAGGTATCGGTGGCGGAGGAGGTGGTGGGCGCTTCTTGCCTGCTGATATTGAGCTTATCACAGGCAATGTGGCTGTGGATGCCGAAGCAGAGACCGGCAACCCTTGAGAATTTGGTCGCTCTTGTTCAAGTCTATCAGCTAGATTTCTCGCCGCCACGGCTGCCTCGATCTCTGCTCTGACGACAGCCGCGGCCGATCCACGTGCCGCACCTTGAGATGAGCTCTCCGCAATGGGAGACGACACTTGATCCAACAATTGCAAGAGCTCCGCGGTCCAAGCCGAGTGATCTCCTACATCGGATGGCGATGCTTGACTATTGATTCTGTTGAAGTTGATCAGCGGTCCAGAGCTTTGAGCGACTGTGTTTCCTGATTTCGTTGGCGATCTCGGCACTTCATTGGACGTTGTATCCAGTGCAAGACGCGGCAAATGTAGGTCGCGTCTCTTCAAAGCTGCTTCGCGATGCGGGGGCAGAGCTTCGGTCGGTACATTCTCAGAGATGCTTTGAAGGAGGAGATTGGGCTGTGACTTGGTTCGATGCTTCATGATTGTCTTTTCCCTTGAAGGCACAATAGAATCCTCCTCTCTCAAGAAGCGTTGCTCAGACCTGGTGCGATTGCTCTCAGGAGAATCCAAAATCTGCGACGCTGTCCGTCCGGGCGATGAGAAAAGGGGCTGTTTGGGTGATACAGGTGACTGTCGATTTTGATTCGAGCCAGTCTCTGATCTTAATCCCGAAGATGTCCTCCGGACAGCTGCACCCCGACTCAGTTTTCGACTTGGAGGGGACACATCCACAATGGCGTCGGGGTTCGAGGTGGTGAGATCCACTGAACTGAAATTGCGAGTCTTGATACCTGAAAGCGGAGACCTCGGGGATACTGCTGTCCTCGAGGCCGTTGGAGGATTCGCTACAACCGAGGCCATGGCCAATTCCCTGCCGGGAGTGATGTTCTCAGCCTTTGGAGTCCTAGTGGTCGGAGACGCAAGAGGACCAGACGGCTGCTTAGTTAATGTCCGAATGGATCCTCTAGGCGTAGATGCCGTCAATGGTGATTCTCTGACCGGCGATGAGATCGGCGTCTGGTGTTGCATCGCCGCTGAGCTGGTGTCGACGACGGGCTTGGGTCGCGCCGAACCCACAGCATCGTTCGCTTCTTTGGGCGGGGGAATCACCGCAGAGTTCACAAGTGAAGCATCTCCAGGAATCGACGTTGCGGATGTTTCGTTAGGCAAAGTTGTAAGAGACCCCACTGGGGTAGACCGATCCTCTTCCCTAGACTTCCGCCTTCCCATTTCTCGCCTGACTCTCTCCTCCAGAGAGTATCCAGCCAGAAGATCTAGGTTCCACAATTGTCGATCCGATCTCGCTCTCTCCTCGTCCGCATCAGGTAAGGCTAGGAATGATCCTGTCGGACTGTCGCGAGCGGATACATAATCAGACTCGGGTGAAGACGGCCTGAAATCGAGAGCGTCTGGAGGCGTCTGCAAGGGAGGTTCGATTCGGGCAGCGAGAGTCTGCTGACGGGCAACTTCTTCGGTTTCCCGCACCGCGTTTGATGAATTTGGCAGAGGTGCTAGTCCAAGAGCTTGATCGAATGTCGGGGGAGGCGATCTAGGCCTAGTAGCAGACGTTGGGTTTCGCACCGTATTCTGGGCAGACTCGAATGTCGGTGGGAGACGATTAGTCGCTGCCGTTGGAAAGGGGAACGCCGGAGGAGGATCAGAAGATTCAGGCAGATCTGCGATCAGCGACTCGACCCCGGTCTACGCTCACTATCCCAAACGTTGAGTCTTCGCATACTTGCTCCTCTAGCTATACCCATGGCTCTTCCTTCCTCTCGCGTCGATACTGTCAATCTCCTCCGTGCCTCTTCCTCCCCTCTGACCACCCGCCTCCGACGTGCGCTCGAGACTTGTTGAGGAACGGGTCCAGCATCTCTAAGTTGCACCGGGAGTGAAGGTAGAGGTGGAACTACTGGATCCGACTGCAGCAACCGTCCAGTATGTCCCAAACTCATCATGCTCGCATTGGCTCCTGAGCCACTGATCTCCCGTAACCTGTTACCGCTCCTGGCCTTCCTGATCATCCCCTCTGGCGTGTCGTTGAGCGCTACAGGGGTACTGCGGCCTGTCCGCCCGGCAATCGCAGGTTGTACCCTTGGCGATGCTGCTACACCTCCAGGCATAACGGCGGGGGGAGCCAAAAGACCCGTCGCAAACTTTCTGGTCCTTCCTGTTGGCGCATGCCTCGAAGGTCCGGCAGTCGTCATAGCCATTGGCACATTTGGATTAGGCGAGATTCCTGTCCCACGAGGAAACGAGGAGGGAAGAACCAAGTTGGACAAAGAAGCATGAGAAAGCGCTTCGTGGAATCGGGATCCAGCGAGAGTGGTAGCTGGAGCTGGAGCCAGCGCTAGGAATGGCTTTGGGATTGTATTCTTCCTAGAGACGATATTACCGCTGCCCGTCTTAGCTTTTGACTTTTTCTTCGCTCGAGCTGGACAGAACACGAGTGTTAGTTGACATACGTCAGAGGTCCGACAAGCGGGACTTGCCTTGAGCGGTTGATGGTCCAGCCTCTCCAGCATTCTTTCGACGAGTGAGCATGATATGCCAGACCGAATATTTGACCTACCTGTCGCAATGCAGACCCTCCCACCGAGGTCCGCCCACTGCGCCCAGTCTCCATTCTCGACTGGCTCCAAGGTTATTTCAGCCAAGCCCTGGCGTAGCGTTGGAGCAGTCTCTGATGTGAGGTCCTAAACTCTGGCGAGCCATGACCATCCCACAAGAGAGGCTCAGAGACGTCGAATGAGCCACCCGAAACAGAGTTTCTGAGCTCGTTATCGAAGCTATACAATGCTCAAGAAGATGAAAAAAGTGATCGTCAATAGTGGGTCACCAAATTGCGGGAATGTCGAAACGCACAGCCAAAAATGGGGGGCATCTCTGCTTTTTGGGTGTGGCAATACACGGTGACTAGAAAGGATCTCTGTACATGGGGGTCCGACGCAATGAGGCAGATTTTAGTTTGAGCAGGGAACGAGCAGCTGCAGACCACGGCCCGCTGGACAGCAAGCGCCTGCAATGACATTGTTGATATGCATACTTGTTTTCTTTGGGACGGTTTATGAGGAGGCCCATTGCGAATTGCGCAAGGTAAACAATTCAGGATATGGTATGGCCTTTGCTACCGCATAGACCATCTACTTGGACTTGGATTTGTTGACAGCATCCTGAGCCTTGTCCTAAATTTGAGTTAGCCAAGGTGTGAGGCAGAACACAGCGAGGGAGCGAAAGAGTTCTGAGGCTCGTCTGAAGAGTGGTGCGTGGACAAGACATTGCAAAAGGGCCAGAATCAGACTCACGACCTCGTCCTGAGCAAGCTTCAGCTTGTCTTGAGCTTCCTTGAGCTTTTCCTGCTCCTTCTTGCGGATGTATTGTCCCTCCTCGGCTTGCTCTCGTTGGCTTTATACGAGGATCAGCTTGGCACCAGATCAGTCAAGCGGATATGCGGACGGGCGGTCCGCCCTTCGGTGTGAGAGTAATTGGGATGGATTAGGAGATGGATAGTGACAGCTCCAACGCCGGACGCGTCACAGCGGTGTCGGGACAATGCCCTCAGGCATGAACGAACCTCACACTTACCTGAAACCCTTGGAGGAAGCAGTCTGACCTTCGGGTCTGGTGCTGTCGGCGTAGCCTCGGGTGGAGAACATGACCTGCGAGTAGAGTTGTCAGCCAATGTCATGAGAGCCCACAGCCTTCTCAAGATGCAGAATCGACGAGACCGCCAATACGCGGATGGAGCTTGTTGCATTCCAAGAAGGGAGATCGGCGCTCTCGTTTCACTTGCAACCTCTTACCGACTCACAGTTGGTGCTCTGAGCGAGGTGATTCGAGCGGATCTGAAAGCGCGGATAGCAGACATGGTTAGGAGTGGCGATAGTAATTGACTGAGCAGAGTTATATACGTTTGTGTGAGAGCAAGCAGCGGCGGCAGGGAACGATGACGCTGAACCAACGGCAATCATTGCCAGCCGACCGATTGATACATTTGATTCCGCTTCATGACGTGTTCAGCTGGCCTTTGCTTGCCACTGGCGCGTATGCTTTTCGGTACGCGGTGAGATCTCTGTCATTTGGACATTACCGATGCTGTTATCGTAGTATGGCGACGGTCGCAATCCCTCCTGCAGGGATGACTGCTCTGTCTTCGGGCTGCAGTCTATGGGCTGGGCTGCCGTATACCCTTGATCTGGCATGTCCGCCGCGTCTCAGCTCGAAGAGCGGGCCAGAGTCGACATGGCCCTTCCCTATCCCGTGAGTCTTGGACGAGTCCAGGGCAGACTAACGCAATCCCAGATCACAAGCAAGTCAAAAAAATGTGACTGAGGCGTTCAAAAGACGATACATTGAGACCCTATACCTTCCGGAGGTGAATGTCTTCGACACCGCCCGAGCTCGCGCTAATCTCACGCATAGCTCATCTCCCCCTTGGAGCACTGGGCGACAGATGTGAAAGGCATGATGGAGGTGAAGGAGAATACAGACAGTGTGCGATTGGCGATCTTGTCATCCACGGTGTCTCTTGCTCTTCTTGAGACTCGGCATCGGAAGACTCTGCTGAACCATATTTCTCGCTGGATGTCCATGAAGAAGGAGGGGGAAACTGAATCGGGTGCCAGCGAGTCCAGTCCGTCGTCGGTGTCAGTGGACGAGCTGGAGGCTCTTCAAGCAGCAGTAGAGCTCCGTATGGACAGTCGATCAGCGGCGGAAGGCAAATTGCCGTCGGCGAAGAGCGTCTCGACCGAGTTTGAGCGAAGAGAGTGGGTCCAGATGCCCGGGGCGAATTCTACCTACTAATGCGCCGCTCAGAGCTTTGATGCAGGTCATCTTGCTCTTAATGCTCATGCAACTTGAAGTACCGGCAGGTTCATCTGTGGCGGAGACAAAGAGGAAGCGGAAGCGCTCTCGAAGCGAAACGGCCGCCTCAGATGATCCGTCTACTGCACTCGAATTACTCATGGACAGAATTGGTGTTTGGAATGCTGTTGCCGAACTTGGGATCGGTTTGGAGGACGTTGCCGACCCAAAGGGCTCGGAGTCATCGCTACAGATGGTGCTCGAGAGCTTTTGGCGGGCCATTCTCGTTCCACAGTGAGCTTACTCACAGTTTATTCGGCTTACCACGACAGATATCTCAAAGCACAGCCCGAGGCTTGTTCCTCCTTCCACCTCAAGGTTTTTGGGCGACCTATGCCCTCGGATCTCATGGCTGCTCCTTCCACAATTAAGAAACCCCGAAAACCAAAAATTACACGGTCGCGTCCGCCTGCCGATGGTCTGGTCACCTCGCGTGCCAAGATCTCGGCTTCTTCATCTCGACCAAGCGATACAGTCGTACCTGTGGTGCGACGCAATTCGTCCTCCCACTCGCAGCATGCTCGAGCTGCCTCTCGTGGTCCTTCCGAAGCTGGATCGAGGACATCCGACAATGATTCCCGGACTATGCGTCGCAGCCTATCCAACCTATCTGAATCAATGCCAGATCTTCATCGAGCCCGGAGTCGATCCATCGATCCTCCGACTCAGTCTTACGCCCAAGGAGCCTCTTTTGCAGATACTATCAAACAGCCAAAAAAATTCGGCCGTGCTCCGAGCGGAGCTGACTTGTTTAAAGGGAGGCAAGTGGGGCTACTTCGACGCACGGCCTCATTGGCTGGCAAGAAGGACAAGGAGACCATGCCACCAACCTCATCAGAGTCTCAAAATCGTGGTGGTCTTCTCGGCCGAAAGATCTCAGATAGTATAAAGGATCGAGAAGGTAATGTGCTGCGTTCTGGGGCGAGCTGACAAGGACAGCTTCCCGACCGCACGAGTCTCAGCAGAAAGAAGGAACTCTGATCTTTGCTACTCCATCGAAGCCCCGACTCGCCGAGACAATCTTCGGCCCTCGAGTAGCTCAATTTCAAGCGCCGACGCCGATTCAAGAGGAACCCTCCAGTGGGGAGAAGAGTGCATCGCGGTCATTCGTGGTGGAGACACCAGTACACGGCGCCATCTTCAATGCGGGCCGGATGGCCTTCACGTCGTCGTCCACTCACTCTGCCATTGTTCTCGATACGCCTGAAGTAACTCATACTCGAGTCGCAGAGACTTCCATGTCGATGCGATTCGCCGGCATGCCCATCTCCCAGATGACCAATTCGGTGGATGATGAGGATCAATCTGACGCGACGTATGGTGAGGATGCTCAGAGTGAGGGGAGCGATGATCCCCTTGCTGACTTGATGGTCATGACGGATGAGGAGTACGAAGAGGAGGATGGGCGAGATGTTGTGCACGATTCTCCCGGATAGATAGATTGTAGGGTTGTATGCGATGTCATATGCTGTAAATTGTGATGTACAAGATGTATATACCAGTGTTGATCTAGCGGCCATCATCGTTTCCAGGTAGTGGGCTGTCGAGTAACTCTTCCTCGTCACCAATGTCAAACACCTTAGTCCCGCGTGTGGTATCTCTGGACAGGTCCTCAACACTGCTGCGCCCCGCCTCGCTGCCTTCGTCCCATACATTACTGCCTTGCCTTTGATGACGATAAGGTCCTTGTTGAGGTGAAGGTGGTCGAACGGATGAAGGCTGAGCGGGAGAGTGGGAAGTCGGTGAGGCATCGAAGGTATGCTGTCGCCCTTGCGCATCGCGATACACGTGAGATGATAATGGCTGGTACAAGGTCGAGATCTCCATGCGCTTTCGTGATCGAGCGTGAAGTAAATGCGCCAAGTAGAGGAACAAGGACGAGCCTAGCAAGTTGGCCAGGATATCTCCCCATTGAAAGGTCTTCCACTGAGTAGGTCCATGAGCTGAGACTCCGTGCTATTCAAGGTGATCTTGAGGACTCACAGGCAGAAGACCCTGAATGAATTCGCTGATGATGCCTCCAACGAAGAAAGCAAAGATCACGGTGAGCAGCAAAGGCGCTCGCCGTATATACCAGACTCTTCGATGTGGCCCGCTGCAAGGAGTCGTGGCGTCAGCATTGGTGTCGAACTGTAGAGCCTCCTGCTTCTCGCTCACTCAGGTACGTCAATCACGAAGTAGAGCAAAAATGTAGCGAAGCCCATCTGGTATCGTCAGTGTCTCGTCGCCTAGTGAGAAATGCCTCACGTACTCCGAAGAAATGTAAAGCCTTATCGTTGACCGGCAAGTTTGGTAATGGAGCCATACCGAGTATACCAAGCAAGACGAGCCATGCAGCGGTGACCATGACCATTGCCTGAAGGAAGGTCAGCGACTCAGCCGAGTGACTTCAGGCAAACCCCTGCCCAGCTGCCAACTCACCGGCCTCAAATTCAAAGGCAGATCCCGGATTGGGTATGATCTCATGAGATACTCGGTGACTTGCTCGTAGACATGCTGTACCACTGCGGTAGGATGAGGATAGTTGTTCAGAGGCATGTTGACGCTGTTCAGACCAGGCTTTGGAGCTGTGCTGACTAGGTTGGCATGCAAGGTATGTGATGTTGTTCGGTTGTCAATAACCAGAAAAAGAAACACTCGTCAGCACCAATGACAGGAACCTCACATGGGCAAATTTGATTCCGTCATCCCGGCTCCCAAGTAACGTCACACAACCTCGTCGCAGTTCTCTATACATTCAATTAGCATTCGTTCACTGCTGACTGTCCAGACGTCGAGAGGGCAGACACATCAGCGCATCTTGATGAGCCTCGTCAACCCAATGAGAAGCATCTAGTCGAGCCGACCTGATCCCTTTACTTCGAACCTCTCTCTGCTGGGTAGAGTCACCCCCGTCTCCCCTTTCCTGTGTTGAGCGCATCATTCCATCAGTCAACTCGCCATCATGCCATCCACAACGGAGGATCATCCCTTGCATGGCATGTCATTAACAGAGCTTCAGAGCCTCGCCAAGGATCTTCCAGATGTACTGGATCTATCGCCCAAAGAATGGTTCGAGAAAGCACGCCATGCCGCTGATAAAGCCGTCCTAGCTGAACGTTGGAAGCGGAAGGAGGAGATGTTCGTGGAATACATCAGAGCTTGTCAGTGTTATCAGAACACTAGGGTACATCCAAAGTATGCAGAGGAAAAGAAGAAGGATCTGCATTGGACCAACAGGGTCAAAGAATTCCAGGAGGTGAGCTTTGAGGATGAATGAATGGTTCAGTAGTTAACAGTTCCCAGATGTACGAATCCTTCCTTCAGAGGGCCAAGGAGGTGAAAGACGCTTTGAAAGATAAGGAGTCACATCAGCCAAATGGGGCTTCCCATGTAGGGTCGTGAGTTCGTGTCTACACTCTCGCTCGGAGTAGTTACCGATGATCTCCCCCTTCAAGGTCTCACACCGATCGACCGAATATGCCCGATACACAATCGAACAATGGACCAGACACAAAGACAATCGGCAGTATAGCAGACCGAATGAGAGCATTACAAGGAGCTGGCATGGAGTCTGGTCCATCAAATCTAAGAGGCTCAACGCAGCGTGGCATCCCCGATTCGAAATCCAGTACGGGAGGCTCAACGGTCACCGCTGGTGTCGGTGCTCACGGCCTAGCAAGGAGAGCGGGACAAGTCGATGGCCCTCAAGCTAAATCTACAAGCTCCACCGGTCAGTCAGAGAATCATAGACCGAAGCCGATTGTCCCACCAAAGCCGCAGGCACTAAAGCAACATGGTTCACCGGCGGCGGACCAGCAGAATCATCCTCAAAACAGTGCCACCTCTTCTTCTGCTACACAGGGTCAGACGAGACAATATCGCTCAGCAACTTCTCCTACACAGCCAGAGTCTCCGAGCTTCCAACGCCCAACATTACAATCGCACCACTCTGGACCCACTCATTCTCATCGCAGTGTCTCTCCATCCAGGTCCCAAGGGCCAACCACACCTTCCTCGCCTCACCGCTCCATGAAGTCCCCGCTAGCTTCGCCCACAAAAGTCGTATCAACACCGCCACCGCATGCTTCTCGCTCCCATTCGACCGACGAAGTGAACGATTTCGAAAAGGCATTCCCGTCACTCAGCGATTTCGGTAAGCAATTCGAGTTGTCCGACGAGCCACCGCCAATCATGGGGACGATTTTCGAGGACAGTGAAGCGCCTCATGGTCGCTCGAATCGGTCGGGCAGCATACCTGGGCCCAAACCTGGCGGTCCAAGGGAGCCTAGGAAAGGAAGCTTCCGAAAAGACACAGATGAGGAGATCTCGTTCCCCTCAGTGCCCAACTTTCCAGATATACCGTCCGCGCCGACACATAAGCCAAACGATCTCCCGCCACCGCCGTCAGACGCGAATGATCTGAAGAAGCCCCATGGGGACCCTCCGAAGGCTTTTCATCCTCCAAGCCCTGATCTTGGATCTGAGCTCAAGCGGTCTGCCAGTACTCCAAATGTCGCGACGCTTATGGATGACGACGAGAAAATGTTTCCAGTCGCTCCCACTGAAGTGTCCAAACCTGTGCCGCCTCCAATGCCAGAAGCCCTCCGAAAGCATCGCGCCAACGGCAGTGGGTCCAGTGCTCAACCGACTTCTATACCTGGCGGCAATCCAAAGCCGGAATCATCTCGGCCTCTACCCACGCACTTTGAGAAGCCCAGATTTCCACTAACAAACTCCATCGAGCCGGACACCATCCGCACGTATCTCTTAAATCCCGCTGTGGATGTCTTATTCTTGGATGTCAGACCCGAGGAGGAGTACAAAATCAGTCACGTGGGAGAAGAGTATGAGGAGAGAGGAGCCAAGGTCACAGTGGTGTGGATGGACCCGACAGTCCTGTGTAGAGATGGGTGAGCAGCATAAGCGTTCTCTCGCTGACTGTGAACAGCATGACATCGGCCAAGCTAGAAGATGCTCTGTCGCTCTCCCCTGAGGTCCAGCGCAAAGCATTCGAGAAGCGCAACAAGTACGACGTCGTTGTGGTGTATGATTCCAAGTCAAAGTCGTGGCCCAGAAAGGAGACTGGTTCCACGATCCCGCCACTGGCTCGCTTATGGGAGATCATCTATGAACAAGAGTTCTCCAAGAAGCTCGAAAGGACACCTGTACTCCTCTCTGGGGGTTACGCAACTTGGGTAGAGTTCATCAAGGGTCGAGCGGCGAAGCATGCGGCAGATTATGCTAGGATGACGGCGATGGCTCAAGCGAATGGACATGGCGTGAAGTCACCAAAGCTGCCAAATGGGTATACGTGAGTCCTGCATCACACATTCATTTCACTTACCAATCACCGCAGTCACGAACGATCCTCGTCTCGGCCTCTCTCTGGAGACATGACGGCGAAGCGGGTCAATCGAGACATGCCCGTTTATCAGTCATCCCAATATGCCAAAAATATAACCGACAGTGTAAGTAATCTGAGTCAGAAGGAGGTTTGATGTTGACGCCTTATCTAGTTCGGATACGCTCCGCAATCAATGACTGGAGATTCTGCTTACCAACGCACAGCTTCTGGACGACCCTACGTCACCTCCCCTACGGCGTTACCCCTAGCCTCGCACTCTCCCTCTAAATCTACCTCCTCTTACTCTGCCAATCAGCCTTCTGCCATTGCCCCGCCTCCACAAGCTTCCATACGCCCAGGGCCAGGCAGCAGGCGGCGAAGCGACTTCGTCGAGCATGAGAATCAAAGTTATCCAGGATACGCCTCGCCACCATCGCGCTCATCGGTCGATTATCCTCAAGCCCATGCTCTGGCGAAAGTGCCTCAACCACCTCCTCCGGCGCAGAGTCATTCGTTCGATAGGTATGATACCAGGCCTGCTGTAGTTCGATCTGGCTCCATCCGCGGGTTGGACCTGGTGTCGCGAGAGGGCGACGAAGTCCGATATTGGAATAGCGTAGCGTTGGGTCTGACTGGGTTGAAAAACCTTGGGAAGTGAGTCGAAATCTCTGCGCCGGAACGTACATGTTGACGATACGACAGCACGTGTTACATGAACTCGACGATTCAATGTCTGAGCGCAACATTCCCCTTCACCTCTTACTTCCTAGGTATGTGTCAAAGTGCGCACGTATCATCATCATCACTGATGTCGTCATTAGATGGCAGCTATAAGCGATCAATCAACGTGAACAACCCTTTGGGCATGAAGGGTGCACTGGCAAACGCATTCGCAGAGCTCCTCAAGGCCATGTGGAAGGAAGATTACACGTTCTTGTCCCCCGTTACCTTCAGAAAGGGAATCATCAATTTTGCACATCAATTCTCAGGAACCGACCAACATGATTCTCAGGAATTCCTCTCCTTTGTCTTGGACGGTCTCCATGAAGACTTGAACAGGATCAAGCAGAAACCCCCACCCATCGAAATGACTCCCGAGCGAGAGGCCGCGCTGGAGACGCTGCCTCCAGAAGTAGCGTCCGAGAAAGAATGGCAGATCTACAGGAGACGCGACGACAGCTTTATCGTGGATTTGTTCCAAGGGCAATATCGGAACAGATTGGAATGCCTGACTTGCCACAAGGTATGTCTGTCTCTAGGCCCACGTGTCCCATGTTGAGTCAGAAAGACCTCCACAACCTACGACACTTTCATGTACCTGTCACTTCCCGTCCCGACCAACAAGAAGCACGTGATCCTCCAAGAGTTGATCGACGAGTTCGTCAGCTCGGAGATGCTTGAGAAGGATGATGCTTGGTGCGTGTCTTTCGTAGTGTTGTTCTGTCAAGGCACTCACCGGAGACCTAGGAATTGCCCTCGTTGCAAGGTACCTCGGACTGCATCCAAGACTCTCACCCTATCACGATTGCCCCCGATCCTTTTGATCCAGCTCAAGCGATTCTACACGAAGGATGGCATGTTCTGGAACAAGTCTGAGACGCCCGTCATATACCCAGTCAATTCGATGGACTTAACTCGTTATCTTCCGTCTCATCAAATGACAGGCAAGGAGGACTTGGACGACCCTCGGACACAGAATGCGCCATTCAAGTATGATCTGTACGGCGTGACAAATCATATGGGTTCTCTGAGCTCCGGTCACTGTGAGTTGTGTCTGCGATCTCTACCGAGACATGAACTGACCACCTCACAGATACCTGCTACGTCAAGAGCTCGAAGGGATGGATGTTTTGTGAGGATAGTCGTATCACTCCTGCCAGAGAGAATGACGTGGTGGTGGGTACTTCGAGTCATGCCGTTGGTAAGATGCTGATGGTCTATCTTTGCTCAGTCACGTCCAGCCTACATTCTGTGAGTCTCAATTCCGTCCGCATAGCAACCGCAGCGCACTGACGGCAACAATAGGTTTTACAAGCGCGTTAGAGTCTGATCCCGGTGCTCAACACGGGTTACATGTTATCGAGGGTTTTTGCAAGGATCCGCAAGAGAAAGCATGCTTCAGTCGTTGTATTAACTAAGTTGTGTATGCATCAGCTTTCTTGACTTGAATGGGCAAGAGGGTTCAGTAATTATCCGAGGCTGTACCGAGACTGATCAGCGGCAAAGTCGCGGCGCGGCGACGAGCGGGACATCGGCTCGCCGGTGCGTCAGATTCCATACATTCCTTGTCCCACCCGCCTGGCTGCGTATAGCCCTCTGCAGACCCAAGGATCAAGCTTCGGTGGACGCATATGGGCCAGTCGCGGCTATATGTCAAACTCTTGCTGCCCTTTTATCCCTGCCTTTGAAGACCAGCGCGAACCCCGCGCCGCGATACTTGTTTCTTAATGCCTTCAACCCACACAGTTCGAGCATCAATCATGATGGTGGTCGATTTACCGTCCTCGCGGTCCTGAACAGCCAAGTATCCAGGCTCCATCAACCGCTTCGATATCCCATATTCGAACGCACAGATCGCCCCTTCAGCTCCAAGCCGCACTTCTCCCGGAAAGAACGACCAACGTGCAAGCGTCCTTATTGTTCAGGTAGCCCGCAGCCATATGTGGAATTAGGTCAGTTTAGCTACGCGGGGAGAGACTTGTCTGAGGTTGCAAGCGTTGAGAGCTTAGTGAGTAACCGGCACCCTCAAAATGTTCTCATGTCACGGGCTCGTCAAGTTGCGGTACTGATGGCCTTTGATATTGTAGCCCAGACCACAATTCGTGGATCCAATCCTGCTCAGCACTGAGCACTCCATCAGAGATCAAGGTAGAACAGAGGTCAGGGTACATCTGTTCCTATACACCCTCGATACGAGGTCAGTCACCATTCGACCGGAAACTTGCTCCGGTACTTAAGACATCTACCAGATTCTCATCTGGATTCAAGCTGGGGCAACTTGGAACTACAGCTCTTTCGCTCGCATTGACTAAGTAGTTGGCCGTAGACGTGAGTGAATTTTGGACTATCTCACATCCCTTATCGGATGACTAGTAATAGCTGACAATGCTTCGTGGCCCTCGTAGCTCGAGAAGCCTCCCGAAGATGGACTCGTCACTAGCTCACCTCATCAGCTGGTCTGAGCCCACCAAGGGGGATGCCCCTCTGGCTCTCACTGTGAGTGCTGGATGCTCCTTCTGAAGTCACTGAACGACCATTAGGGGCCGTCCATAACCATTTCGCCCCTGCCGCCACCTCACGCCCCAACCGTATTCCTCTTTGGCGGCAAATACGTACACAACCGGAAACTCACCAACGAGATCTGGGCCATGAATCTCAACACGAGAATTTGGGAAAAGATAGATGCTGGTCCCGGTCCTAGTCCTCGTTACTTTCATTCCATGGACGTCTGTGAGTGACAAGTGATCAGGCTCGACATCTCGACTGACCCACACTCTTAGGGGAAAATAAGTTGGTCTGCTTTGGTGGCATGTCAGACTCGGAGCCTACCTCGGTGCACAACGATATTTGGTTCTTCGACTGCTCTACTCGCAAGTGGCTACCCTCGGACAACGGCTCTACCGATGGTGAACAGGCACTGGTGCCAATGGCTCGGTATGCCCATCTCAGTGCCATCTCTCGGGGTAAGCTCCTCGTATCTGGAGGACAACATTCGGACAACTCGTGAGTGGCCATTGGATTCATCTGCTCACATACGCAGATGGATCTATGAGATCAATGTTTATGATCTGAAGAAGCGGAGATGGATCTCCAAAACCCAGCAACCAGAGATGAACGGGCAGCATTCGAAAGGGGCATATCGCAGTGTGGCGACATCCTCGAAACAGAGAGTCATCATTCCGCCCAAGCGGCCTGACTCGAACACGTCTCAATCTTACTCCATTGACGAGGAAGGAGAGGGCGGAGATATCTGGTGCTATTCGAATTACGACTTCGCCAAGGTGCGAAGAGAATTGGACATCATAGCGCCATCTGATGACGACGATCAATCGGATGCCGGTCCTCGGTTCACATCGACTCCTTGTTTTGCCATCCGCGATGAGTCAACACGGATGCGGGGAAGTGCGATGCCGCCTGGTCTGCGCTTCCCAACTGGCGGTATTGTCGGAAATCACTTCATCCTGTGCGGTCTCTATCTTGCTTCATCTTCTGCCGCCTTTTCCATCTGGTCTCTCGACCTCACAACGTATATCTGGCGCCATATCGAGCCTGCTGTACTGAATGACGGCAGCTGGAACAGGGCGCTCGTCTGGCCTGAAAGAGCCAGGATTCTGGTATTTGGCAACACAGAATCTGACATCGCGACAGATTACGGCAAGCGCGCAGTCAGCGTAGATCACATGGCTGTTATCTCGTTGGAGACATATGGCATATACCGACCGCCTCGGTTAGAGATTCCTGTCAATATTCAACAGCGGGGACTTATGGTGTTGGACGAGAATCTGGCTTCCGACTTTGCAGTGATTGCTGAAGATGGGCGGCGAGTTAAATGCTCGAGACACGTCCTCCGTGAGCGATGGGCTTGGTTCGCTGCGCAAGAAAAGGACTTGGTCACTGCCATGGCTGGCGAAGTCAAGGATGCTCCTGCTGTAGACGTTGCCGACACCCTCATGGGCTCCTTCGAGCCGACCAAAATCGCGGCCACTAGCGTGACACTGCACGAGCCGTTTCCGGTGTGTGTCGCTCTGGTACAGTACTTCTACACACAGTCCCTTTCGACACCTCTTCAGAATAGAGCCCCGATACTCTCGGCTTTACTGTTCCTATCAAAACAGTACAAAATCGACAGATTGGCAAAACTGGTTGTACATGCTCTGCATGAGCGGCTGGAGCCAAACGTGGCGGTGGGGGTTTATGAGATTTCCACCTTGAGCGGGGAGCAGGCATTGCAGATTCGAGCTCTGAATATGATTCATGTCAGTGTCTTTGTCTGCTTTATCGCGTTCGCTGATAGCTCTCCAGTCGAGCAAAGGTAGCGGCACCCGTTCTCATCGAGCCAAGCCTTCCGGAGGTCAGGGCTCAGACGGTGGAACAAGCGCACAAAGCCCCGCGAGAGGTCCAAACAAATCCTTGGGGTTCCCACCACCGCCACCATCTGGTAGCGAAGGCGGTGGCGCCGGCCATGGCATCGACCCGTCACCTCGACGGAGCGAGAACGATACTCAGCGACGAGCCAGGGTGGAATCCATGACACTGGAGGATCCAGCTGAAATGGAGGCGGACCAACTTCTCAATGCCCTCCAATCACCCCTCGAACTCCATGACGATCCGCGAGATGCTCTGGTCCCTCGCAGGCCCACTCGTCGGGTCCACACAAGGCTTGCACTAACTGATTCTTCTGACGAATTACCACGACTTCCCATCGCCAGGTCACCGTCGATGAGCTCGGACCATCGTTCCCTATCCCCTAGTACAATCTTGCCATACCTTTCTCCTACAGACACGCCTCAGTCTGTGGATTCTGCGTCCAGCATCGGTCCAATGACTCCGATGACTACTGCAGAATCTCTCCGACAATCCGTCGACGCCATGTCGATCAGCTCTCGTGGCACGTCAGCCAATGGCCAATTGTACGGTCTTGGCCTGCCTCCTATCCCTCAAGAGCCTACAGAATATACGTGGACGTTCAGAGATGGCGCATCGGATCAAGGCAAGCAACCACCCGCCATGAGATCTGCCACCGTAACTCGTGGCGCATCCCTCTCTAGACCGCCCGCTGCTCTGAGCGGCATTCAAGCTCAATACCTCGGTCGTCGCCCGGATCACGCAGCAAAGGTCATTGACAGAGGCTCGACAGACGATCAATCTCTCTTCTCGCAATCTGATACGGGCATGTCGACTGATGGTATCCCTACTACGCCCAGCACACCTGTCTCGTGGGCAGATGGCATGACGGTACATCTGGATGGATCCGTGAAGGATTCGAAGTATTCCTCGCTTTTGTCTGAGACCGCCAGTGTTAGCTCCGGCTCTACTGGTGTGACGTGGAACAGCGACAAGCGAGCCATGAAGGAGGAGAAGAAGCGGTGAGTCCGAGGACTTGGAGGTCATCGAAGTAGGCTGACTTCTTTCGCCCAACAGCACTCAAGCCACTGAGAAAGCTGCTCGAAAAGCAGAACGGCAGGCTACATTCGAGGCGCTTCAGAAGCAGCAAGCGGCAGAGAGAGCAGAAACACAACGCAAAGCCGAGGCAGCGAGACTCGACGCTGATCGAAAGACCAAGGCGGAGCCGAAGTCCAAGCTGGGCAAGTTTGGCAAAAAGTTTACCAATGCCGTCTTGTTTCCAGAGGGTGGATCCAACTCGAATTACTTTTAGATTTTTGGAGAGTGGTGGGCATTCGGAGCTGGACTGTTAGGAATTTGATGCTTTTGACGACCCAAGATACTATGCCGTTGTACGCCGGTGCGGTGATGTCATGTCACGGATGACTACTCCAGACACGAAATGTCCCATGATTTGCGTTTGTCTGCCTCTATACGACTATGTCTCTATATCACGATCCATGCGGCGAAATTACTAGGTCACGTCTCATGCCTGCGGCATGTGCGTTGCCCAAGGCGTATCCGCCAGCCAATGCTGTTCGAACGCTGAGACTCCTCTCGCATAGATGCCCGAAGTGAATGCCTAGCATGTCGTGTCAAATTCGGGCAAGAACGGCGTGAGCTACTCACCAGCTCGTCGTAGAGAATGGCAGGCACCTTCTTACTCATCAAGACTGATCCTGGGTGGATCTTGACTTGCTACGTGGAGAGTCAGTCGAAAACTCAAGGCGTAGGTCCTGGCATGACTCACCAGTGTCCCGCCGATCTGTCGATATGAGCCATCTGGCTGAATCGCCGCAGTATTGGCGTAAAGACCTTGTAGCAAAGCTCTGACCACGACACTCTTATCGCTACCACAGGAGCCTCGCCAGTCCCTTCCGTCTCTCTCAGCCAATAAACGAATTTGGTCTCGTATCTTGATTGCTTGAACCAATGTCCGAGGATTGACAAAGTTGTCTCGGCACCACTTCTGCGGAGTAGCCTTCTGCTCTCGAACGGCAAGATACGCTTGGAAAGCATTGAAGGAAGTCAGATGATCCCCTTCTCGGGCCAAGAATTTATTACGCGCTTCGCTGATACCTTCTCGTTCGGACGAAATGTCGATCCACAGTTCGCCAGCATTGAGAAGAGATAGGATATCGATGATTTCTGACGGACAACCGAAATCGAACGCAGCGAGGAGGATACGCGCATGCGATGGGTCAAGAGGATAATGGAGCATCGCCCGGCCCAGAGGTGTAATCTCCGTCGGGCTCTTGATAGCGTTGAGACCTGCTAGCTGCTGCAGAGCGCCGTTCACTGGAAGGCTGATGAGCGGGTGCTGAGAGGAGAGCGATCACGGCAAGTACTGACAAGGATCTCGGCCCGGATTGTCCACAAAGTCAAAATTGACAGGATTGAAGGACATAGCGATAAGCTGCAGCACTGCGGCTGATAGGTTGCACCGCTGGATTTCTGGTTTATCGAAAGGCTCCAGCTTGTCCAATGCCTGCTTTGTGTACAGGCGGAAACACTCTCCAGAACGCTGAGCGAATGATCAACTCCGTAGTCAAGATCTGGCGAAGTCCCTCACCTCTCGACCAGCTCTCCCGGTCCGTTGCCAGGCGGCAGCTTGGCTGATTGGCTTTTTCTCAAGGTGCTCCACGGCTGGAGTCTGTTAGGCGAGTAGATTGAATTAGACTCACTTCCCCTGGACTGGAAGATGTAGTTCTTTTCCTTCTTAAAACCAGTATCTATGACATAGGCTATGCCTGGGATGGTAATGGATGTCTCGGCGATGTTGGTAGCCACGACGACTCTTCGAGTATTCGGTGGCGCTGGCGCAAAGATTCTGGCCTGCGCTGAGGGTGGGAGGGCAGCGAAGAGCGGCAGGACTTGAAGCTATTCGATATGTGTCAGGTGGTGGTGTGTGCGACTTATAAGGAACGCACCTTGTCGTGTCCTTCTGACAACCCATCCGACGCGTTTCGAAGCAGCTCGCAACATTTCTCAATGTCGTCGGCACCTGGTTCTGATCAGCTCTGAAACTAAATGAATAGGTCCACACGTACCCGGCATGAAAATCAGGATGTCCCCACTCGATTTTGGACTCTCATGGATGACCATAGCCTGAGTGGCAGCAGATTCTACGAGATCATCCGCGCTCTTTGAAAGGTGGCGGGTAGCAACGTCAAACATTCTGCCTTTGACCAGAAGGGTATCTCGGCCACTGCAAACGCGTCAGTCACTTCAACCTATTGGTTACGACGTACGTTTCGAAAAAACGTTGAAACTTTGTCGGATCCAGCGTAGCACTCATGATTACAATCTTGAGTTCTGTCACGGTCTCCTTTGTTTTTCGCTTCCCTTTCGTGTCCCCGTTTACGGAGGGCTGCTCAGTCTCCTTCCCCGCCTCGACCATCTGCTTGCGGATCTGTTGTACTCTCTTTAAGATACCGCACAAGAAGTCTGTATTCAATGTCCGCTCATGAGCTTCGTCAATGATGACGATGTCGTATTTCAGCAGAAGGTTGAGAGACTCGTCGCCCACGGCGCCTGGTCGAGTACCATCTGTCGCCGATGGCCCCTCCTCACCGGATTGTGACCGATCGCCGTTAGTGAGCTCCCTGAGACCAGTCAGTGCCGAAATGGTAACGGGTCGACCTACCGCATGAGTACACCTTCGGTCATATACCGAACTCGAGTAGAATGGCTCGAGACATCTTCGAATCTCACAGTGTATCCGACTGGTCCACCGAGCATCACACCCATTTCCTCGGCAACTCGAGTAGCCAATGAAATGGTGGGAAGTCGACGAGGTTGCGTGATGGCGATTGTTGGGCCCCGCTTGGAGGCAGGCGCATCTAGATTGTCTGGTGAATAGTAATGCCGTGAGATGGCATGAGAGCGAAGAAGTTGAGGAAGTTGGGTTGATTTGCCGCATCCTGTCTCTCCGATAATCTTGAGAATCAGTAAAGTGACACACAAAGCTCCTCACAATTGTGGTGTCGTGGTTCATTATCTCCTCCAGAATGCCTTTGCGGGCTGCGGGGTAAATTAGCAACCATGTCAATACTGCTCAAGAATGTCCCCTCGCCTTGATAGAATGGCAAGTCTTGCCTAGTCTGAAATAGCTCCTCTGCCCGTAGCCCACGCTTCCGCTTCCCCTCCACTCCATCATCTTCCCGATCATGGCCTCTCTTGATCCTTTTCTGCACGCCATTCATACGCTGCTCCCCCTTACCATCACGGGCTGAAAGAGAATCGTGGTGGTCTTCCACGACCCCAGCCTCTTCGTCATCTGACTCGAAATTCGCTGTTCTTGTGAAGGGCCGGCGTGATGGACCTGCGGGACTTTGTGCGCTGATTGTGAGAGCCATATCAGGGGCAAAGTCGTCCTCAAGTGATCTGAATCGAGGAGTATCAGCCACGGTCACGACAGGTTGCAGAGTATTTCGGCTTTCCCAAAAAAAAAAAGTTTGTCGGCAAAAAATTGTGAGGTCAAGGTCCCTATACTTGTCATAAGCATACAGGCCAACTCGTATGAATGCGCATGGTGCGGGTGATAGAATGATTGCCAACAGCCACGCGAAGCTGCCTCGTGCACGAGGGACACAACATTATGAGCCCGGGACGGACTTCCTACCTGGAAATAGCGACATTGACAGTCAAGCCAAGCTCGGGAAGTGGTGACGTCTTCGCGGATACCAGATCTAGATCTTGACCGAAGTACGCTCGGTGGCGGCCATGGACTCTTACACTTGAATGGACACAAGAGGCGCATATTCCACCCAGCCTACCAACACATCTGCTGTCATCCCTCACCAGTCCTGAGATTCAACAAGTTTCGTAGAAGCGAATTCTCTCGCTAGCTCCAAGTACGACATGCCCCTGGATGTGGAAGGTGTCAGAGAGCTCTTCGCTCCTCTGACGAAAGCAGACTGGCCCGGGTTCATGACGCGAGTGAGAGACGACGTGAGCTGGACGGTCGGGAACGGAGTAATCCATTCGTTTCCTGTAGCAGGGACACACAATGTGAGCTGGAAAATGCGCAGTCACCAAACTGATCAGACTCGGTAGAAAGAGGCCTTCTTGAAAGCTTTCAAACCCCTCTCAGAATGCTTTGACGATCCTATTCCGATGAACGTAACCAATATCATTCCCTATCCCGACGGCAGCGGAGCTGCTGTGGAGCTGACCGTCAAAGTAAAGGCGAAAGATGGCTCGCCGTTCGACAATTTGTGTGTCCGATCTATGACTATGACGCACGCGTGCTGATTCATTGTAGTTACTGCTGGGTCACGGAATTTGACGATGCGAGCCCCCCTAAGGTCAAGACCGTCAGAGCGTATCTCGACACTGCACTAGTCAAGTCGGTCATGGAGAAAAACGGCCATGGCGAGTAGAGCGCGAGGGGTGGGTGTGCTCTGTTCGTCGGGTCTGTGAAGAATGCATCAATGCTATGGGCGACGAACTCCCTCGTTGGCCTTTCTGTCCTTCATCTTCTGGAGCGCCCGTTGGATCAAATCTGACAGATCGCTCCTGGCCTCGTCTCCCCTCTTGGCGGCAAAGCGCTCAAAGCTACTCTGACCGGACCTAGCTGTCCTGTCTCCGAGGATATCATCTTTCCAAGAGTCCAGCATCAAATCATCGCCATCCGACTCAAGCGAGCTATCCTCTTTGCCCGCGACCCACTTCTTCGAGCCATACTCCATTACTTCCACTGGGATCTCATCGCCGACAGGAGATACTTGGAGATCGAACTTGAAAGTGTTGAGCGGCGTGACGGGTTTCCTTGTTCCCCCGGGTGTGAATCTGACGTTTCTAGCATCTTTGCGTTCCACATTGATGACGGTCGGAGGTTCAGATATCTGAGCTTTGGTGATCTTGAACATGGCGACTCCTTGATCCCGGTTGACTCGACCCCAATCCGTTCCCTCTCGTAAGATTTCCGACCTAGGATTCGCTATTCTTCCTCGATTCGCATTACTTGTAGCGGCCACACCACCCATCGCCACAATCCAGTTCTTGTTCAATGCTGACCTTCCTGACCGGGCACCATATCGATCATCCGCTGGGTGATCGAGAGCTCGACCCTTGTGATAGAGTAAAGGGTTGACAGTGGCGGAAGAACTTGGCATTTTGGAATATGCCATCCCGTAGACATTGTGAGGTTGGGAGACGATGTTTTTGGTTTGCTTTTTGGCCAGCTGATTCGCTGTCAGACCGACCTGGAAATTGGTGATATCGGCGTTGCTGAGGTATCCGCGAGTTCCCAGATTGACCATGGTCCTTTGCTCCGGTAATTCCAGTTTGCTCACCGTCTCCTCTCGTAAGTCGCCTAACTTCATGTCGAGGTACTGATTACGGTATGCCTTGACTTTCTTCAGATACTTTGCAAACTCAGCTTCAGTCATGTTGTTCACATCTGAAACGAGGTCTGCCTTTTTGTTCGATGCAGGCTCTGCGAGACCGCTTTCGGCCCATAATGAGGATTCAATAGGAGCATTGGCAAAGTGATCGTCGCGATCTGTCCACAGAGTCCGACCATCTCCATAGGCTTTGATGAATCGCGCTTCCTGCTCGGCAGACCTCCAGTCAGATCCCAGTAATTGACCGGCATCCAAATTGTGGACACGGATATACCCAGGACCTTTCTTCCTAAATATCGGCTTCTTCAGACCCCAGTCTCCATATTTGTGCACTGAGGAGGGTGTAGAGGTGTAGACTCGGGATATGCTGGGGTCAAAAGCGGCGAATGTGGATTGACGGAGGAGTTGAGGGAAGCTGGATGACATGTTGACCGGGGACGAGCGAACTCAGTGGTGAGAGGTGTGTTGCAAGGCCACGCCCCGCTATCTCCTTGGCCCTTCGTGCTTATCCCTAGACCAGAAGCTCTCCTCGATCTCTTGCTCGTCAGATATATCTGTGTCTTCTGTAGACTGTAGTGAGTCTTTGAGCCTCATTGCACTCACTTTCCAGGAGAAAATCATCGAAATTATTAAATTTTCGGGCTGCAGTGCATTAAAAAGTTGGACCTGCCTGGGTTCATGAATCTCTAGTTCGTCCCAAATTCCTCAAGAATCCCTAGAGCTCCACTATCGCGAGACAAGTGTGATGCTACACGATTCTCGGGGCCAGACAAGGCGACTTGATCGATCCTCGACCATTTCAGCTCATTTAATCCGGGCCTCGTCAATGTTTTCGCAACGTTGGCGTCGTTTGGAGAGTTTTTGGATTGGATTCACTCGAGGGGCTACTCGCTTAAAACAGCTTTGCGGAGGGCAGCGGGACTTCGGTACTTCTGCTCGATGAGTCAGAGTCACCTATGAGTAGCGACATCTCCCCATCTCATTCGACTAGACGTCTATGCATGGCTGAATCACGGATCGAACTATGAGCTGGTCTCGTAGCCGTTAGGGTTTTTCGTCTGAAAGTTCCACAAGTCTCTGCACATTGTCTCGAGGTCCTCTTCGGCTAGGAAACCAAGCTCCTTCTGTGCCAATGCTGGATCGGCAGTGAGGTCCGGAACATCACCAAGCCTTCAGGCAGCTGCGTCAGCGGGGCCCAAAAGCAGGAAGGATCGCACGCACCTCCTGCCTACAATCTCATACTTGTAGTCATAGCCCGTCGCCTTCTTCATTGCCTCAATCATATTCAAAACACTCATTCCCTTTCCTTTACCCAGGTTGAAGGCTCGGTAATATCCATCCTTCTTGACGTCGAGTTTGGAGAAAATGCTGTCGGATGGGCTAGAAACTGATTTGTCCAGGGCATCAAGGGACAGAACGTGTCCCTTTGCGAGATCCATGACGTGAAGATAGTCCCGAACACATGTGCCGTCCCTGGGAATCTGAGTCAATGTACGACTAATCGTCGGCCAATATCACGCTCACGGTGTCGGGTAGTCGTCTCCAAATACTTTCAAAGCCGACTTGTCACGTCCAGACGCCATCTGAGCTAGCAACGGCAACAAATTGCCGGGCTTTCCTCTCGGTTCCTCTCCAAGTTTGCCAGAGGGAAACGCTCCAGCGGGGTTAAAGTATCGCACACTGACCGCTCGGAGACCCTTGTCTCCGTGCGTGAGGACGGCGGCGCGACAGGTATCCTGCATGATCATCTCGACCATGGCTTTGGTGCGACCATAAGCGGATTCAGGGACGAGGGGACTAGTTTCGGGGATAGGAATGGTCTTTGGAGTTCCGTAGACGGTGGCAGAGGAGGAAAAGACAAGGTTGTTGCAGTTGTGCTTGGCCATAGACTTACGGTGGCCGAGCGGGTCAGTAACGGATAGCTTCTGAGATCCGTTTTTGACTCACCTCCATGAGTGAGATGGATCCAGCTACGTTGACTCGATAGTAGTCCAATGGCTTTTCTCCAGACTCTCCTACAGCTTTAAGCGCTGCAAGATGTATGACGGCCCAAATTCCGCCCTCGTTATCATACTTGCTAAACACCTCGTCGATAGCAGCGGGGTCTCGCAGATCTAAACGGTGGAAAAGAGGCTGCGGAGCGTCCGCCCTGCCAGATATGAGCATGTTGCAGTATGCCATAGACTCACCCCATCTCATCTCTAGCAATCTCGCCGCATCGCTTGACAGCTTCTGGGAAAGCATTGTGGCAGTTGTCCACTACGATGGGGAGATATTTGCCTGTCAACAGAAGAGCCACGACGACGTGTGATCCTATGTAGCCTAGCCCTCCGGTTACTAGGACTTTCTGCGACAGAATCGTCAGTGATATTTCCCTCGCGACCATGTTTTAGGAGGCTCACCTTGAGATCAGACGGAGCCATGATGTTAAGCGCAAGAGAACAGATAGATGGGTGACGATGAGATTCAGATCGAATAGATGAATCAGAAGAACGTGTGTCAAGTCAACTCCGTTTGACAAGTGCGTCCACGTATATGTATATATCCCTTCTTGTTGGTTTGTCTTTCTCCCCGACGCTATCCTGACGGAGCTCGCTCAAAGACTGGAATGGATTCCTCCCCCTCCCCACCGAGACGACAGCAGTGACGATTCCCGTTTGGCACCGGTCAAAAAGGCGGATGGAATTCCCGTTTTCTAAGCCGATCACGTGGGGTGATCAAGCTTTTTCCCACGGTGGAGATATTCCCTGAGTATGAATGACGTGGCGTTCTCTCACTATCACTCAGCTCTCTTTTGACCTTTGCATTTGTTGTCGGTTTCAAACGCGGATTGTGAGGCAAAAATTGTGAGGACTGGCCACTCGCTGCTCTCTGCTGCTTTGTCTCTGTGTCATCGATATTCAGATCGCTCAGAGCCAGACCTGATTGCTCTGCTAGTAGATCCTTGAGTGTCCGCTAGCCAGAGCCGGTTCATCACCATGTCCGACAAGCTTACCCGAATTGCTATCGTCTCTGACGACAAAGTAAGTCTTTTGCGTCATGGACAATCCTACTTGCTGATCCGTTCGACAGTGCAAACCCAAAAAATGGTGCGCGAAGTTCATTGAGTGCATCTGTGCCCCCTGCTGATATCCGTCTCAGCCGTCAAGAATGCAAGCGGTCATGTCCCGTCGTTAAGATGGGCAAATTATGTATCGAGGTCAATCCCTCAGACAAGAAGGCCTTCATTTCCGAGGAGTTGTGTATTGGTTGCGGTATCTGTGTCAAAAAGTAGGTCGAGAGTGAAGACGACACATCTAAATCAACTCCAGATGTCCATTCGAGGCTATCCAAATCCTCAATTTGCCCACCAACCTCGAGACCAATGTCACCCATCGATACTCTGCCAACGCTTTCAAACTCCATCGTCTGCCCACTCCTCGACCTGGTCAAGTCTTAGGACTCGTCGGGACAAACGGTATCGGCAAATCGACTGCGCTGAAGATTCTCTCTGGAAAGACAAAGCCCAACTTGGGTCAATATGACCACCCGCCAGAATGGGCAGAGATTCTGAAATACTTCAGAGGATCCGAATTGCAAAACTTCTTTACAAAGGTTCTGGAGGATGAGATCAAGGCCGTGACAAAGCCTCAATACGTGGACCAAATTCCTCGAAGTATCAAAGTCCCAAATATGACAGTGGCCAAGATGTTCGATCGACAGACCGAGCTGCCGAATCGAGATCAGCTAGAGACGGATCTGGAGCTCAAGGGATTACAGGACAGAGAGGTTGGACAGTTATCCGGTGGAGAACTACAGCGTTTCGCCATTGCCATCGCCAGTGTGCGAAATGCCGATATCTACATGTTTGACGAGCCATCCTCTTATCTCGACATCCGTCAACGTCTCGCCGCGGCTCGAGTCATCCGTGGATTGGTCACGGCAACCAACTATGTCGTTGTTGTCGAACACGACTTGGCCACACTGGATTATCTCTCTGATTTCATCTGTGTCTTATATGGTGTCCCTGGTATCTATGGTGTCGTCACCATGCCCTACTCTGTTCGTGAAGGTGAGCATGAACTGACGTGACGGCGCTGATCCCCAGGAATCAACATCTTCCTCGATGGTATGATCCCTACCGAAAACCTTCGCTTCAGAGAAGAATCTTTGACCTTTAAAATATCTGAAAACGCCGACGAGCTGCAAGCTGTCCACACTCAAGCTTACCACTACCCGGCCATGACCAAGACCCTTGGAGGTTTCAAACTTCAGGTCGAACCTGGTGACTTTGCGGACTCTGAAATCATCGTTCTGCTGGGAGAGAACGGTATGGGCAAGACGACCTTGGTTCAGCTGCTGGGAGGAAAGCTGGAGCCGGACGATCCGAAAGACAAGGTTGAGATGAGGGTCTCAATGAAGCCTCAGACAAGTGAGCGTTCGGTCTGGGGTGGTGCTCATAGGTCAGTATCACCGAAATTCCCTGGTACCGTCAGAATGCTTCTGATCAAGCGAATCAAATCCATGTTTATGCGTGAGTATGCGGATCCTCAACTGTGGCTGACATTGTAGACCCCCAATTCAATTCTGATGTTCTCAAACCGATGAATTTGGAAGGAATTATGGACCAGGACGTGCAGACGTGAGCGGAAAATAGCTCAATACTTGCTGATGAACAGATTGTCCGGAGGAGAATTGCAACGAGTCGCCATCTGTCTGGTGCTCGGTGTTCCCGCCGATGTTCTTCTGATCGATGAGCCGTCTGCCTACTTGGACTCTGAGCAACGTATCCACGCCAGTAAAGTCATCAAGAAATTCGTCATGAGCTCGAAGAGGACTGCCTTTATCGTCGAGCACGATTTCGTGAGTAGCCCATGTTTCAATGATTGCTGAACTTCCAGATCATGGCTACATATCTCGCAGACAGAGTCATCGTCTTTGAAGGTCAACCAGCTGTCTCGTCCACTGCCAGAACGTATGTTGAGCTGCTCAGGGAATGTGAACGCTGACCCCCATGCCTTAGGCCCGAAGGCTTATTGACAGGAATGAACAAGTTCTTGAGATCATTGGACATTACCTTCCGTAGAGATCCAACAAACTAGTAAGCGTGCCCTTGATATTCTGGTGTGCTTTTCTAACCCTTTCAAAGCCGTCCGCGTATCAACAAGATGGAGTCACTCAAAGACAAGGAGCAAAAACGTAAGTTCTCCTCGGCTGACAGTTACTGATGACTCATAGAATCTGGATCATACTTCTTCGTCGACACTGACTAGACGTTTGCGCATGAAGAAGACATCTAAAAGGATCAGACAGCAAGGTAGTTTGCAGCATATTGGACTGTGGCTTGTACATCATGCATTCGATAATTTGACCCATTCAATTCAGCAAATCATCGTACCTCAAACCAGAGCGAGTGCGCGTCACGAAAATAAAAGAGACCACACAGCTGGTCCAAAAGACATCACAAAGTTGCATTAACGTCGAAACTTGACCTCGTGAGCTGATCGTAGTCAGGGTGGATGATGCGCTCGAACCCTGAGGGCCTCTGAGTGGCCTGTTTCCATTCACCAGTCATCCTCATGTCAGCATGACAATGGCATCCCCATCGCTGTCGCCCAATCACCCGCTCTTAGCGGAACTCGCTTCGCTGCGTCAACAACTAGGTCAATATCAAAAATCATCACATCAATCTGCAAGTCAAGCTCAAGCCATACGGCACGAATTGATGGCTGTCAAAGACGCCAATAGAGCACTGCGAGCTAGACAGTCGGCTCTGGAAAATGAGCTTGAGGTGCTGAGGTGGGCCCCTTGAGCGTCTTGCGGTGGCTTGGCTTTGCGCTCATGGTCACTTCAGAAAAAATCCTGCACCAGTGCCTATCCCGCCGTCATCGACAGCTTTGACTGAACTGTCACTAGCTCATAGACGTCTATCTGCCAAACTCGACTTGACCGAAGCAGCTCTTGGCTCTACACAGCTGGAATTGGCAGCTTCAAAACAGGAGATCCAGAGACTTGTCCGAGATAGAGATGCCGACTTGAGAGCATTGAACGAAGTCAGACGTGTGGAGCTCGAGAAGGAGGAAGCTCTCGAGTGGGAGAGAGGGGAGAGGCGAAGAGTCGAGGAGCAAAAGAAATTATGGTGAGTGGGCCCTGACCCGGCTTCTGATCATCGATTGTACAGTGATCTCGCTCTGAAAGAGTATTCTGCTCTTGTCCACTCGCTAAATCCTTACGCTGTTCCTCCGCCCACCCCTCGATCCCCTAGTCCAAACATCCTTCAATCACCACCAGATCTTTCCTCCCCAACATCAGCATCTGTTGACAGTCCGCCTGTGACGCCTCATTCTTCCGCCGATTCGATATCCAACCTTTTGATCGGCCAGCGAGGTGTCCGTCAGCTGTGTAATGACTTTTCATCCACTCTCTTTGCCAAGGAAAAGGAATTACAGACGGTACAGCTCCGAGTTGACGAGCTGGAGCAGACTGTGACCACGCTAAGGGAGCAACTGAATGCGGAGACTGCTCTCCGAGTCACAGCTCAAGAGGATCGAGCGAAAGCCCTCCGGGATGACGGGAGTGCCGCAAAAGTCGTGGAGAGGTACATGATCTTTACGCAAAAGACACATGCCACCATCCACCTGCATCTTGACAATCTGCGAGTCCGCTCGGCGGCCACCCAAGCATCGCTCCGTAGCGAGCTCAACGAAATTCGACAGCGATTCCAGGACGAGGTCAAACGGACGGATCAGCTTCGAGTGGCGCTTGATGAGATGGGCGAAGGATTCTCGAGGGAGAGTGCGGGCAGACGACGAGAGATCGGTCTGAGGCTCAGTCTTCTCGCTGAAGAGGAAAAGAGGGAGCGTAAACTTGAAGCATGGCTAGACAGGGTGCGCAAAATGCGAGACGGGGCGGAAGGAGCAGTCATCGAACCTGACATGTTGGAGACTCTGCTGGACGAAGGAGTCGATGCTGTGTCCGAGCCATCCGCATCCAAACAAGTGAAGAAGAAGCGATCGTGGCGGGGTCTGATGAGCGGCAAGGGCAAGCAAAAGGCGATACCACTAACTCAGGATACGGCTGTCGACAATAGTGTCGCTCGGGTGCTGTTGGCGGAAGAGCTGGCTCAGACGCTGAACGCAGATCTCCAGAAGGAGACAGAGCGGCGATTACAACTTGAGAATGAGCGCGTCGAATGGCTCGCTAGACAAGCTACCAATGGAATAGCCCCGGATGCCCATGGAGAGCATGGGGAAGAGGGCGGAATCGTCTTCAGCTTGGAAGAGGACGTCGAGGCTCTTCGCAAGAATTCGGAAGAAGGGATCGATCTGCTATCTCCGACATCAACGGAGCCTCCTCTGCGCACCCCATCACCCCTGCCAGATCCATCGCCGCTCATCGACCACCTCAAGGAGCTCTTTGATCCCTTAACCTCTCAATTCACGCCGCTCCAGCTGGACCTTCATTCCCTTTCTCATTCTCTGAGCTCTATTCGGTCCTCATTGCCGTCCGCATCATCGTCCTCGCCGGTTTCGCCAACGAGACCCCTCTTCGGGGACAAGAAGTCAACAAAGCTGAAACTTGCATTGCGCCCATCTCCCTTTTCCGACCCTGTTCTGTTGAACATCCTCGACTCCATTCACGAAGTCATTGAAGATGCTCGGGTGGACGTCGAGATTGCCCTAGCAGACCAGGAACGAGTTTACCGAGGTTTCGAAGCGCTGCTCGGGGTCGAGAAGAGCGGAGCAATTCAAGGAAAGAACGTCTTGAGCGACGCAAAAGAATACCTCGAGGAGCAAGAGGCCAAGGGCACCATGTATAAGTTGCAAAAGCGAGTAGAGGATACAGAGGCGGACATCACGATGATCAAAACTCAACTGCACAGATTGGAAGGCATGGAAGTCGCTGAGGAGGATCTGAGCGAGACAGATGAGGAAGGTGAACGGCGATCACGATCCGTCTGGTCAACTTTGCACTACAGGACGGTCACACCAACAATTCCGAAACCCTTTCCGTTGTTACAGTCATCGTTTCTTTCGGATCAATCTGGTCAATCCGATAATGATCCCAGACGACGTGGAACCGGTCTTTTCTCGGGGATGGGCAGCGTCGGGCGATCATTCTCATCCACCATTGTGGGTGCGCCGAGACGGGTCGGGGGCCTTGCCAGTGGTCTAGCTGGTCGGTCGAACGTCAGTACGGCGAATCCTTCTCCAGAGACTCGGCCGGAGGAGCTGCCCTTGGTAGACGACGTAGAGTAGCCACAGTATGGAGACGTTCTTTCATGGCGCTCTAGGCAGATTTGAGCGCTCGAAGATATGTTCCCACACTAGCTTCAGCCACAGAAAGACGACGGGTCTGTAAGTCTCTGGACGAAGTCATCTTTTCTCGCCAATTCTTCTTGACAAGCTCACTCTCCTTTATCACCACCAGTAACGCTTGCGTGACGTCTGACCAGGAGGCTTGACGGAAAAGCGAGGCGGACACAGACTTTGATGCAGCACAACATTCAGCACAGTACCAGACGGTCTTTTCCGAGCTCTGACTCGAGAAGAGCGCGTATTTTGCATCAGACGTCGCATCATACAACATCAAGTGAAACCATGTCGGAGCGAGCTCTGTGCTGTTATCCTTTGAGGTATCCTTTGTTCATGAGGTGAATGGCTGCCAAGACAAGGCCACCCTTTTCTCATGCACCGCAGCATTTGGAACAGTCGACAGTTGTATTGTCTGTTCCTGTCCTCAACCATCCTGCATCCACCTGTACATAAACTGGTAGGTCATCCCTGACTCTTGAACAGCATGTCGATCGAAGATGAGGCGTTCGACTGGGAAGAGGTCACGTCCTTTCATGAAAATCTAAGCAGCACAGAATCGATCTTCAACTTCAAAGACAAGGTCGAGACCGTACGCGCTTATCTGTACAGCAAGACATGGACCAGTGATGAGGTCATAGAAGCTATCGAGTACTTCCTAGATAAGGCAGAGATAATAGGGCCAGACAAAGTATCAGCCGATATCACGCTCTCTGAGGAGAAGGCGGAGGTCGTTCATGATCATGCGCTCTTGCTCACGACCGCGTACAAGCGGGACCTGCTCCAAGCCTGGATCGACTTTGAGAAAGACGCTACAGGAGCTATCGATACGGGGACGACTGAGAACCGCTGAGACTTCATGGGTGGTTCAGTGAATAAAATATATCAAAATGACAGAGTAGACGCTGGAGACGTGAATGAGACCGGGATGTGAAGGCTGGCCCGGCGTGTGTCGCTCAGATCTGTGCTCTGACCATCATCATCGAGCAAGGTTGTGAGATGACGCCAGAGGACATCGCTCTAGAAGTTACGGTCCGCTTGCGAATAGGGTGAGCTGTACATGTCGAATTTCGCAGCCTGCATGGTACGCGGACTTGTCTCCCATGCTGCCCTAGTCGTATGCACCAATCAGACACTAGACAGCATGGACATGGGCTCTGGTATGTAAGAGTCTGCGTCTGCAACCGCACACATATACATCTTAGCCGCCACATTCGCTTATCTCGTGGGATCCGGCCGGCTGCGGCTAATTTTGCTATTGACCTCATTGTCAAAATGGACAAGGATTGATCCTTTGTGATCATCCAGAGAACTCAGGGAAGCGTGTCAAATCTGTTTCGTCGAGCGTATAACACCTTCGATTCACCTAACACCTCTTCAGCTCCGTAAGAGTGTATATAAATCACGACCGCACGATGATTGCTCGAGCTGCACGGCTCTCAGTCGCTCGGCGGCATCTGTCCGCTCGGTATCTCTCGACTCGCGCTGAACGTGTACTTGCAGCTGTCAATCTGCCTACGGATGGTGGAGAGATCGCTGGAGTATATGACGGCTCGTGGAAAGGCTCCGGCCCTGCGCAGGTCTCAAAGTGTCCTGCTACAGGGGAAGTCCTCGCCCACGTTAGAACAGTCAGTTAGCCGTACCCACGATTCTGAGCAATAGAGACCTTTGCTGATTGAGCTCCCAGGGAACGGTGAAGGAGACTGAGGAGACCATCCGAAAGACCAAAGAAGCCGGTAAAGCTATCAGAGCCATGCCTGCCCCGAAACGAGGAGAAGTCATCAGACAGATGAGAGAGGCCCTCGCGAGTAAAGTTGGAGAGCTTGGGGATCTTGTCAGTTTGGAAATGGGAAAGATCAAGAGTGAAGGGAAGGGAGAGGTACAAGAGGTGCGTCTCAGCCTGTGCTCCGACGTCTGTGACTGTAACTGACTTCAGATTCTAGGCCGTGGATATCGTGAGCTGGCTCGAGCATCCGCATCAATCTCCTGATACCCCTTTAGTGCGATTACGCAACTGGACTTTCTCGATCTATGGCTGGTCGAGTGTTGCCTTCCGAGCGTCCTAATCATGTAATCTACGAAAGTGAGTCCCTTGGGCTGAGGTCGGTGGCATGGTCTGTGCTAATGATTGAGTCAGTCCCAAATCCTCTAGGTGTAGTAGGCATTCTTACCGCCTTTAACTTCCCTGTAAGTAGACTATCCATATAGGTCAACGGCGCTGATGATCCGGCAGGTCGCTGTGCATGTACGTGATTTCGCGACGTGAGATTCCGGGATACTGACGTCTGCCATCTTGGTCCACAGAGCTGGTGAGTTGGGCCAATATGCTTAAGCTTCAACTGATCTTGTAAGGAACATGGCTATTGCTATGGCTGCTGGGTAGGGGTGTTATCTTGGGCCGAGATTGGTGACTAACGATTTGCAGAAACGCATGTCTTTGGAAACCTGCCCCTTCAACTCCCCTGTATGTCACCTTTGACAGATTTTCCTCCCCGTTGCTAATGGCTGTCAGATGTGCTATCGCCGTTACCAAGCTCTTGACACCGATCCTCGAGAAGAACGGATTACCAGGCGCCGCCATGTCTTTGGTATGTGGCGATGTGGATGTCGGCAAGAGTATCGTGGCCAGCAGGGATGTCGACCTTTGTGAGGGCGAGCCGGGTTCCAAGTCGGAAGTGACTGACCTTGGATATGACAGTGAGCTTCACTGGAAGTGAAAAGGTTGGTCAGATTGTCGCCGTAGAGGTCCAGAAGCGGTCGGGCAAGGTCAGTCGAAGTCACCGGCGGCATGTAGACGTGTGCTGAAAGTGTCACAGGTTCTGCTCGAATTAGGAGGAAACAATGGTGAGATAACGGTTGGAATTTTGGCTGACTCGTTGCAGCTGCTATCGTAGACAAGGATGCTGATCTCGATTTGGCGCTGCAAGCCGTCCTATTCGCTGCCGTTGGTACTGCGTGAGTCACCATGCACTATACATGCTGAGCATGATCGCAGCGGACAGCGATGTACGACTACGAGACGGCTGTTCCTTCACAAATCTATTGCTTCCAAGTTCTTGTCCCGCCTTTTGCCCCTCTACGACAGTGACAAGCTGCCGGTTGGCGATCCATTGAATCCCAAAACCTTGATCGGACCAATGCACAGCCAAGGAGGAGTTACGAGCTACATGAAAACTCTGGAAGGCATCAAATCACGCGGCGGACAAGTCTTGACGAAACGATCAGGACCGATCGACAATGTCACCGGGTTCAAAGAGGGTAGCGGCGGAAATTGGGTTTGGCCAACAGTTGTCAGACTCAAGGCAGACGATCCATCCTGGAAGGAAGAGTGCGTACCGTCAACACGTTGAGCGAGTACTGAGTCTCTCAGGACGTTTGCGCCTATCCTCCAGGTTGCCGAGTTTGATACGCTTGAAGAGGCCATCGAGTAAGCTGTCCAGTCCCATGAAATGGAGCAGTGCGCTGACAGAGTCCAGATTGAACAACTCGGTACCTCAGGGTCTCTCATCATCTCTCTTCACCAACTCCATCCGCTCGATGGGACAGTGGCTGGGCCCCGAGGGCAGTGACTGTGGTATCACAAATGTAGGGAGAGTCCTTCGAATCGTCGCCATGGGCTGATCGCAATTCAGATCAACGTCGGTACGTCTGGAGCGGAGATCGGCGCAGCATTCGGCGGGTGAGTGATTGAGCCTCTGTCACGTATTGGTGCCTGACCTCGAGCGCTATCAGGAACAAATCTACCGTGAGCTTTCTGGATCTCGCCCTGCGGGACATCTATGCTGACCCTGCGTCCAGGGTTGGGGTCGTGAATCAGGCGGGGATGCTTGGCATCAGTATGTTCGATGGTCCGCTGCGACCGTCAACTATTCCGACAAGATGCCCCTGGCTCAAGGTGTGGATTTCGGCTTTGGATCGTCATAGTTCACTGGATGACTCTTGCATGTTGCATGGCTGGGCGGCGCTCATCTCCAACTACTAATTCCACACCTTTCAACACGCCGGTGCTCGATATTGACTCGTGACATGAAACATCTGTTTACGCTCATCTCGGCCCACATCTGTCTACGCGCTCATCTCGGCCCACCTCTTGGTTTGCTATCTGTGTTCTGTTGCTGACGTGACTCTGCGTCGAATTGCTTTGGGTGGCTGGCATTATCTGGTGGCTCGAGAAGCTTTCAAGACGATGTAGATGACTGATTTGGTACGGGGATTAAGAGAGGTGCATGTTGCGAGGACGGACGGCTCATCTCCGCTCCTCAGGTCATGCCGTTTCTTGTCCAAGCCTTTCACCTCACCTCGAGCGAGTTGTCTCGGAGCTGATTCGGCGGTCCTTGTTACATTCGTCGCGCGAGAAAGCTATGAATGTGGCTCGGATGAGAAGCCATTGTTTGACAGTGCTCGTGAGATCTTGGTCGGAGGCGAAATTGAGCAGTGTGCATTGCTCTCACCATGCGCGAGACGGAGAAGCGGCATCAGATCACGAGGAGTTCGGACGGATCCCGTCAGTGCCAGAAGTTGACCATCCTGTTCGCCACGATGGACTCGGTATTTCGGTCCGCCGACCGAGTACGGCCGAAAGTGGCACGCTCACGGAGCAATTCCCGAAAGACCCGGGACACCAAGTATTGTCATTATAAGCAGGGCTCCTGGCCTTTGCTCATGTATCAAGGTGAATCATATGGGAGAGTCACGTAGCAGTCTACATGCTGGAACTGGGATGCGCACTGATATGCATGATTATCGCCTGATTTTATTCCCCCAGGTCACGTTGCGTCACGACGTATGACCACCAAAAAGGTTTGTGAACAAGACCGAGGTTACCAGAAATGGACGGCGTGAGAGCAGAGGGAGAAAAAAGAAGAGCACACCCAACTACATGTACCAGTGGCGCCGGCATACACCGTACACTTGGGTCACGGCCAGCAGGACCCATTCATTGCCTTGGCCCGCAAGATTCGATAGTCGAGCTCCAATGGTATTTTCGCCGAGAGCGTTCAGTAGTCGCTTGATCTGCGTCCATTTCTTGAGCAGACCACCATTCACCAGAGGAGCTGTGCATTACAATAGAAAGACAAAGGCGATCCAGCCGGGATTAGACACTTTCGCCGCCGGCGTCACCTTTCTAATTCGTCGGCATCTCTCCCCCCCCCCCCCCCTCTGCTCCCTTGTGCTTTCTAAAACCTCGGGCAGAATTCGGACACTGTTGACTCATCATCATCATCATTGGTCACCATCCACTCTACGACCAACACGCTTGCTCCGACAACTGTCTGTCTCGCCACCGCTTCGTATAGCTGGAGACATCGAACGCTTTCGGAGTGACAGACCACTTGCCCAACAGCCCCCCTTCCCCCCAAACGCAGTGACCGAATAAACCAAATTACCAATAAAAATCGCGGTTCACTACGGTGCTCGTCTTTGTGTGCGACGCTCATCTCCCTCCCTCTCTCGCTCTCTGTCCCACTATATTGTCTTTTGTTTTCAACAACAAAGCCGGGTCGACCTTGCTCTCAGGGCCACCTACCTATCCTCTATCCATTCGTCTCGCCTGTGAATAACTCCGACTCTCCACCAATCAATGGCCCTACCTTGAACCTATTCCCTCGTTCCCCGTTAATCTCCGCTTTTAAGGATCATCATCACCCATAACACTCGTGCCCCCTCGAAATCATGTTGTCCTCGAATCCAGCGGTCCCGATATCCTCTATCAACTTCGCGGATGATGAGAGGAAACGTCTGGCAATCTTGACTCATCACGGTCGAGAATTGTATACAGCTCACGATGGTCTCCCTTCTCCGGATAATCTGACGCCAATGTCTGGGAACACACCCGTAGACGGTATGACTCCAAGGACCGGAATGACACCTATCGGAACTCCACCCGACAGTCATCCACCGAGTCTCGTACCGAGTCGGAGACCCAGTCACATCATCTCTTCCTCTTCAGACGACGACGATCATGCACTGAGAAAAGTTCCAAGTCATCGAGACGAAGTGAGTCCTCATTTATTATTACCTATATATCATGCCTCTTGTTTTGCTTCAATCCTTTCCGCATACCTTGGCATTCGCTTTATTCGATTAGTCTCATGACCTATACCTCACCTCATCCCTCCTCCCGCGGATCGATCTCGTCGTACAGACGATTCGAGGGTTTCCTGGTCTACCAACCCCATTCTGGAGGAACCATCGGGTACAAGCCTAGGCTTGTCGTCACCACGGCAAACTTTCTTGGCAACCTCTGCCTCTCGAGCGCGATACAGATCACAGTATTGATCTCGGAGCTTTGCACTGTCTTGCTGTGTATCTTGTCCATATATACCATGACCGCAACCCTCTACTACCACCACTCCAATCACAGCTCGAGCTCCCATTTTCTCCGCCCTCCTCCTGATTTCCACCACCATCCAATCTTTAGACCTGCCTCCAATGCTCCTCCTGTTCCCCTCATCCCTTGGACTCATCTACCCAGAAAGGCCAAATCACGGCCAAACCTCAAACGTTTCTGGACTCGGGTGCGATAGACCTTACGAATCGTTACCGTGGAGGATCCTCTGCTGACCATCAATCCTTCAGAATGGGACCAGATCTCATCACGGTCATTCACCGCCGCGTGACTTGACCACTTCTCATGCCACTCATCGACCTTCCGTCCCCTCTGGACTCTCTTTCACTCCAGCTACACCTGGCGGGACAGTCCACCATCCAGCGACAGCTGCCCCTTCCCCTACTCCAGATCATCACCTTCCCCCAGGGTCTCGCACCGCTCCTCAGAGTCGCTCAGGTAGTCCACAAGACTCCCCAAATGCGACCCGGCATGCCAAGCATCACAATGGACCGCTGCATGATCTGAGAAGATTCCTCAACCATCACATTGGACACCATGATAACCACTCCAAATCGCATCACCCTCAGTCGGTCGCGTCCCAAGCCATGGCTACACACATGAACGAATCATCGACTCCTTCAGGAGCCTCGACTCCTGCCCCAAGTCATCATGGTGCGGCTACGCCCGCTATGCAGAGACGAGGCAGCTCGTTTGGAGGATTAGGTCAACATGCGCCCAGCGGAGTCCAAACGGGAACCTCCACACCGGCGGTCGGTGATGCCACGATGAAGGACAAGGACCATCATGGGGCTCACACATCACACTTGATCGGATTCATGAGGCATCATCACAAGGATCACAAGGACAAGGATAATGAAGCTGAAAAGTCTCATTCATCTTTGGCCAGCTTTTTCGGTCACAGCTCTGAGAAAAAAGAGAAAAAGAAGCGTTCCGAATCCAGACCAGGTTCTGCTGTGCCTTCCAGGACTCCGACATTGCACACCATTGAGCAGGAGAGCCTACCATCTACACCGATCGGCTCGCATCAGCCTTCACCAGCGACCACTCCAGGTATCGCCACGCCGAGGAATGCCGGCAACTACCCTGGAGTTCCCTATCCAGTCGTCGCCTTGACTCATCCGTCTTTACACGAAGCGACGCATGCGCATCTTTCCAAGAAGTATGGTAAATGGGGCAAGGTGCTGGGATCAGGTGCAGGCGGTACAGTGCGGCTGATCAAGGCGAACGCAAAGCAGGGCGGATCAACTTACGCCGTCAAAGAATTCAGACCTCGACGCCAGGGCGAATCGGAGAAAGAGTATCAGCGAAAAGTCACTGCAGAGTTCTGTGTCGGCGTGACCCTCAGGCACGTCAATGTCATTGAGACGGTCGATATCGTCAATGATCACGGGCATTACTACGAGGTGAGTCTGGACCTGGACGGCAATGGCTGACTATCGTCAGATCATGGAATATGCCCCATACGATCTATTTTCAGTGGTCATGTCTGGCAAAATGTCTCGGCCTGAAATCTATTGCGTATTCAGACAGATTATCGATGGTGTCAATTATCTCCACTCGATGGGTCTCGCACATCGTGATCTCAAGCTGGACAATTGTGTCATGACGCCAGACAACATTGTCAAGCTCATCGATTTTGGGACAGCGACAGTGTTTCACTACCCTGGCAAGCATCAAATTCCAGCATCTGGGGTGGTGGGGTCGGATCCATATCTTGCGCCCGAGGTGCTGAGCAGAGACACATATGACCCGCGATTGACCGATGTCTGGTCGGTTGCCATTATCTTCATGTGCATGGTTCTCAGACGGTTCCCATGGAAGATTCCCGACTACAAGACGGACATGTCCTACAGGTTGTACGTCAATACACATCCGGAATTGTGCCAGAAGCCCGAGATTCCCACCCCTACTCCATCCGTTGCGAACGGCGTCGAGTCCTCGGCCAAGATGGGAGGCCCTCACACATTATTGGCAGATGGCACAAGCTCGCTACCTTTCCGAACGCAAACATCCACTTCGACCGCATCGACCGCTGTAGATGCCAAGCAGCCGGAAACGGATAACCAAGAAGCAAGCTCATCGTCATCTGATGATGAAAAGTCAAAAACACCCTCTATTGCGACTTTGCATCTGCGGTCCTCTCCCACTGAGACACAGGATCCTTCTGATCAATATTTCCCTCGTCGAAGTGACACAGCCGTCTCAGTGCCGGATCACCCTACGCCTCGATCACCGTACAATGCTCAGAGGCACGGAACCCTACCGCCATCTGCGAATCTTGCATCACCTCAAGCGGATCGACAGAGACCCGGTCCTCATTCTCGTGCGCGTTCGAGCACAACCCCTACATCGCCTGCCCCTATGAGCCCGGTTTCTGAGATGACTGCCTCTCCTTCGAGAGCACCTTCACGGATGGAGCAGCAGGCCAAGCGGGAGCGAGCAGCGTCTATCTCGTCGACTCGAACCTTCCAGAGTGGTGGTGCCGAGTCCATCTTCAGGCTTTTACCCAGAGAGTCTCGCTCTGCCATCATGAGAATGCTCGCTGTGGAGCCGACTATCCGGTGCACATTGAATGATCTGCTCGTCGGACGCGGCAATGACGAGATGATGTGTCCTTGTGGATCTCCTGGCTGTGGTGGAAACCTCGCTGCTCCCCCCGCTGAAATCACAGGACTCGGCATCGACGAGGCGGACGAAGGCGATGAATGGGTCAAGAACATTGATTGTTGTAGCCATCATATCGGCAAACCTAGTAATCATTCGCATATCAAGGTCACGGTCGAGGAGAAGCCCAAAAAGAAGTTGTTCCATTAGGAAGGGAGTTTGGGAGTATAGTGATGGAGGAGCTGATACACGTTGGTTTCGCAATCAAAAAAATATGACCATCCTACCTTGTTGTCCTCCATAGTCCCGTCATTCATCATATCGTGCTCTGTCTGTCATTGTTTCTGAATTGACGATGATGAAGATCGCCAGGGCGACTTTGAATGTATTCTCTCTCTCACTCTTGCAAACTGCTGTAGCCATATCATAAGTGCCACACGTTAATCACACAGACCCAACCATTCCACGCGTTTTTCACGCCCTTGCCCAGTGGGAAAACGGGCTTTTTTTTCTCTCCTCCTGGCTGATGAAATCTGGTTTGTGTTGGGTCGAATTGAATTGGAATTGATTGACTGGCCGCATCGTTCTCGTTATCGTACTGGGTCAGAAAACCATCCACTTGGCTATACAAGGAGGTCTTGACGACTGCCAGCTATCCATCCTACCAGCCGCGACAGCTCCCGTTGAGTCACATTTTATCGGCGGCTTTACGCGCAAATACGGACAATTATATCAACCTGTGCTGTATGATGCTTGAGCAGTGCATCGTATAGTCTTCAAGCTATCAACGACAGTATCGTGCGGCTTAGCAAGAGCGAAGCGGTTGACCTGCGAATACACGAGACAAGCGATCGTCACATTTCCTCATCGGCCAATTCTCTCGCTCAGTCCTCCGCCCCATCCCTTATTTCTTTCACCGCAACAACAAAATGTTTCGCCCTCGAGGTCACGAGGGCTCACATCAGCCGGGAGACCCAACCTCTCCTGAGCCTGACACGCCTGCTTCTCATTATACCAATCGAGTGCACGACCAGGTCCCCACACCGATCACTGATCAAGGTGCTATCATGATGCCTGGAACCGGGACAGATGGTAGACCATTCTCTGGAGAAAATGGAGGACCATCTTCCGGCTCATCGGCGGCCGCGACAGCAGGTTCACATTCAGCCAAGCCTTCATTGAGTAGTCGAGGTGCACATGGAATGGGAGGAGGTAGTGGATCAGGCATGGGTGACCTGTCGAGCGAACCTAGGTTAAGAGGTCATGCCAAAGGTAAAGGAAGTGAATCTGGACTTGTGGGACTCGGTATAGCGACGAGAAGGGGCGAAAAAGCACCAAGATTGAGTTTTAAGCGATTGGTCAGTAGCAGTGAAGAGGTCAAAGGATTGGCCAAACGCGGCGCAAGGCTGGGTAAGTCACACTTGCTTCCGCGGGGGGGGGGGGGGGGGGGGTTCATCGATCCTCAGGCTGATGCGTCGATCAGGTCTATCACATCGCGCCTGGCTAGCCTTGACCGTCATCGTGGGCTTTGTGATGTTTACAAAGATCCTCCTGCGTAAGCGCATTATACGCTTCCGTCGTCTGACAACCTCTCAGCGTCCGACAATCGACGGTCTCACGCACATCATCTCGACGCACATGCCTTGATCCCACGCGATTATCTGAACAACTCGATGAGTGAACCCGCTCCCTTCGATTTTTGTCCCGTATTTGGTCCTGGAGATGCAATCGCAGAACGCAGAGGACAATTTGAATTGCTCAAGTCACGTCTTCACACCGGTACGGGGTCTCGAATCCAGAGGGTCCTACACAAGGCTATGAGCGGTGCTCCGATCACCATCAGCGTTTTGGGAGGTTCCAGTAAGTGTGGAGAGGCTTGTTCGTTGGACCAAATGTTGATTCTTCAGTCTCTGCATGCGTCGGTGCTGGAGATGACCCCATCGGCGAAAGATGCTACCCGCATAAGTTCTTCAACTGGTGGAACTCAGTCTTCCCTCATCCTGCAAATGAGCTCACAAACGGAGCGACGAGAAAGACAGACTCGGCTTACTATGCGTATTGCAACTCGCACCACCTTCCGGATCAGACCGATTTGGTCATCCTAGAGTTCGATGCCGCGGATCCAAAGTGAGTCTGGATGCGCCGAGTTATCAAGCGTGGCCCTGACTCGAACCTCCTCAGTGATCCCGATTGGCTCGCGCACTTTGAGTTGCTCGTTCGATCTGTCTTGGTCCGACCTGAGATGCCAGCTGTCATAATCCTTGGTCATTTCAGTCTGCAAGTGCAGGCTCAGAATGGATTCGCAGGACCTGAGCTGTTACACAACGTCGTCGCACAATTTTACGACGTGCCTCATATCAGGTGAGCCACAAGCAAATATCATCACTCGCATAGCGCTGACTCTACCTCAGTGTGAAAGGCGTGATCTACGAGCAATACCTTCAGAATCCCGAACGATCTCGATCCACATTCTACCACGATCCCAACCATGCCAACGCTGAAGGTCATGATTTAATCGCCGATGTCCTCATCTCGTACATGATGTCTCAGATCTGTTCTGGATGGTCGACACTCCAGGGGCATTCATTTGAAGTCCCTTCTTTCGGCATCGACGCCAGCGGTAGTGTTTCCGGTTCACCATCCTTGTTCGGGGGAGCTGGATTGCGCAAAGGCTCGTTTGGACAAGCTCAACAGGCTGGCGATGGAGACAGTGCTTCATCCACCTTCAACGAACAGTGGCACGGACTCAAGGTCCCCAATGCTAGATTGAGAGATCGCCCCAACGACGTGGTCGACTTCAGAGAGATTGAACCGTTTTGCGTCGCAGCTAGTGACCTGATCAACCCTCTTCCACCGAGTCTATTCTATGGTTCTGGATGGAAAGTTTATCACCCGCCTAGGCATGCGGTCGTAGAAGACAGGCATTACTGGTGGGTATCACGTCTTGGAACTGGTATGTGAAAGAGGATTTAGACTGACTCCACGTTTAGGTATGCGGAGCATCCGTCGTCTCGACTACGTATACCCCTGAAACTCGGTGCTGGAGACGTCGGTATCTATTTCCTCCAGAGTCCAGTTGATAAACCATTGGGTAAAGTCAAATGTTGGGTCGATGACAATGTGGCCGGAGCCAAAGAGTTGTCTGGAACGGCCGACATTGAGGAAGTAATGGCGACGTGAGTGCACCAAGGGGTCAAGGATCAGTAGCGTTTTCCTGACCAAGGATGATTCAGCCTCACCATCATCGATCGTCACGTATCCAGAGGTTCTCACTTTGTGGAATGCCAATTAGAGGGCGAAGTAGGTTCTGCCTCCCCTCCTTTCAAGATTTTGGGAGTGTGAGTGGCTACTGGCCCATTGTTGTGAAGGGGGATATGTCGCTGATGGATGATTCTAGCTTCACAACATGATGCGTGTAGGAATGTACATGGTCATTGAGATGGGATCAGTGGACCTTGACAGCCACGCCATGGGATTCATTTCTTCATTCATATATACGCACGCTCCTTGGGTAATCTTTGTCACTCTTCCGAGCTGCAACATAGCATAGAGCAATTTGGATGATTTCTATTTTCCGGATTAAAAAAACTACAATGGTCTTTGTCACCCTCTATTTCGCATGCATCTCGATGATAGAGTGGAACAGCGCTCTCTCAGGGTCAGGGTTGGATTGGAGGTATCTACCTGACTGAGTTTGGATGGCGCGATTATCACCAGCATCTGCTTCTCCACCTCTGCGCGAGATGAGTCATTTTCTGGAGCGACGGCCCTGGGCGGGGGCTACGGATGTCGGTCGAGTGTTCGCGTTGACCTAAATGATGCATCGTAAAAAGCTTATTTAAATCATCGAATCGACGAGGGCACACGGATCCTATCATTGATGATCTGATCCAAACGAAATTGAACATCATCTCTCACTCTCCACTTGACGACCATCTTTGAGCTGGCTGGTTACTTGAGGAGATTCTCGAGACAGAGAATCGAGACCCTCGAGACATAGTCTCATCCTACCAGTGTCCGCCCCGGCAAGCTCGCACTCTTTTTGGCAATTAAATTGGGTGGTTGGTGGTGGCCGAGGGTGATCTTTCCCCCTCCCCCCGGCCGACGCCTCCTTTTTTTTGAGATTCGCTCCTCGCACTGATACGGACCGAACCACCGACAGGTCGGTCCTGATTATCAAGAAGAAGTGGTCCGAACCTATACAGTGCTCTCTTCCATTGGTCAGGTCTGAGAAGAGGACAGTCGACGATCAACCCTCTATCGACGACGAAACCCCATAATTGCCTAAATTGTGGCTGCTCTTCTTCCCCTTTCCTCCATTCCTCCCGGCCCGAAATCCAAGATTAGCACACACACCACCCACACATCCCATACAGCGAAAGGCATTCCTTTTCCCAACAAGTACACTTGCTGTTATGATCTTGGATATATCCCCACAACTTTTGGTCGTCGGATGGCACTGTTGACAGGCCTCGTGCTAGCGTCGACGCAGGGCTAAGATTTCGTGAGGCTGGTTCACCTTATCTCTGGCATCACCGTCTCGGCGTCGCCGACGGATTCGGCGATTGGAGAGCCAGCAAAGCTTAGGACGGCGGACTCCAACCGCCGGTGCTGAGGTCATACATCCATTCATTCATTCATCCATCCCCTTGCATATCCATTGGGGGCGGAAAGATACCTGAAACAACGAGGTTGCCTCTAAGCGTATCCAACCTGCCTTTGGATTTTCCCCTCGTCATTCATTGGATCCCTACCTTGGGGGGCCAGGTCAAGATGTCATCCTCTTCTCGAAACTCTCTACCCATCTCTCGGACGAACACTGGTCTCTCTCACTCCAGTAGTATGCAAACGCTCTCCAGCAGCAGCATACACGATACACCGAGGGAACACACGACTACTTTATCGCACAAGCTCCTTAACATGTTCAGCTCTCAACCTCATGCTGTCTTTCAGGCTACCGTCACAATACACGAGCTTGCCAATGTTCCACAACTCGCTGGACAGTTCACAGTAGACTGGAAGTTTAGAGGTCATAAGCCGAAAGCTAAGGATCTGCGTGAGTCCCGCCATGCGACGCTGGCATTCAATTCACTTCACTGACGCTGATGCCGCGCAGTCGCCACGAAGAGTCGAGTGCATAGTAAACCGTCCCTCCCCAACTTGAAGCTCTCTACCATCTCCTCATCATCCGCGTCTTCCCTTTCCGTCAATAGCATTTCCACTTCCACCTCGGCGACGACCACCCCGGGCTCTCCCTTACCTCCCGCTCACTCCACCTCCCCTCATCTGCCTTCAACCACAGGCCGACTGCCCCCTCATCCTTCCAAATCCCTATCACTGCCACCTCATGCCACATCATCCAAGTCGGTTCACCTCCCTTCCCCGCTGCACAATTCTGCTACCCCGACCACCGTGACAGGAAGGACCGTCGAGAAAAAGGCCTCGGATCCAACACCGCTGAGGAACAGCATCACGCCTCCTCCCTCGTCCTCGGGGCCTGTCTTCGTCCAATCTCCCACCGTCCTTGACGAGCCCAAAGAGGATCCTGAACTGCTCAACCAGAAACCGAGGAATGGATCTCTCAGCAGCGAAGGCTCTTCCCCTGGAAGCACAGGGACAGGTAGCTCTGGTCCCAGATCACCCGCTCAGCGGATAGCGGCGAGTCTACAGATACCAGTCGTGAACGCTTCGAACACTTCTCCACCTTCTTCGTCACCTCTCTCAGGTCGTCAAAGTCGTCCTTCCTCAGCCTTGTCCACGGCATCTTCTCGCCTCGCAGCTTCGTCTTCTGGTGTTGCATCTCCTGGTGCACGTTCAGGTAGCACACCCACAGTCGCGGCTCTCGTGGAACCGCTGCCATCGAGTAGCATGCCGCCGCCGCCCGTACCAGGACACAGACGCGTGTCTCAGCGATCCACAACAGAGTCGTCAGTCACATGCGGAGACTCGCCTCTTGACTCAACGCGTAGACGCACGAGCTCTGGTCCAGCGTCAAACACAAAGCAGCAAAATTCCTTAGGCTCTTCATCTCATCGCAAAGGAGAAACCCCGGCCCAAATTCTGAAATCCCATACCTGTACTTGGGATTATGAGGTGGAGCATACACTCCGCATCCCTCTCACGAAGTCCGCCATTGGATCCTCCAGCTCTTCTCTCAAGCTCGGGCATGCCCAGAGTCGCGCGCCGGTTCTCGGAGCAGGACCCATGTCAGAATCGGGGATGCGACTGGTGATCTATCAAATGCCAACGGCCTTCGCGACGAGTGGGGCGCATGCCAATGGGGCAAAAGACACGCTCACATCTGCGTTGCATGCCGCTCACGTCGCGAATCATCAAGGGGATGGTAAACATGGTAACCCTAGTGAGGGGAGACAAGGATCCCAAGCGGAGACACTCAAAACTGCTTTTGGAATGGTTGATTTCGATCTCGCACCGTTTGCTGGCAAGGGACCTACGACCAGAAGGTTTCTTCTGCGGGGAAGCAGGACCAATGCGACGATCAAGGTAAGTCCAGCAAGGGACCACACCGAGCATCGGTCTGACACGTTGCAGGTCTCTGTCGAAATGAAGTGGCTGGCAGGAGAGGAACGATTCGTCCCGTAAGTCGACCGTGTCTCCTCCAAGTACTTTGACTGAGGTTCGCGACAGTCCGCCCCTGCAGGAAGGTCATCATGTCACGGCCATCTCAGATATTGTGGCGCACGATGCTGAAGATCGTATACGAACAGACCGTGAGGGACCATCTTTTTCAGTTGATTGCGCTCTGACTTTGCCATCACAGTCGACCTTGCGAAAACCCCTTCAAACTCGTCTTCAGCTTCTTCATTTGTCTCCGCACGTACCCCCTCCAACTCTTCGTCCGTTGAGGGTTCACGTCAACTTTCTCACGTCGATTTGACCGAAACCGCATCGTCCGCCCCTCCCTCCAAGCATTACGGAGGACTCCTGCAAGCGGCTGACGCGGAACGCCGCGAAGTGAGCGGCGGTAGCAGTCACCATCACCATCATCACCATCCTCATCGACAGTCGTCAAAGACTTCATCCCGGAGCTCATCCTACAATCCGAGCCCTGCCGACTCGTCTACACACGTGCCCAAAGCCACGTCATCGTCCGTGGCTCTCGATGTGCCATCTCACGCCAATCGCTTCCCCTCGACCGCTCAACGTCACCATCACCACCGTCATCATCATCACCATATCCGTGATCGACCGTTTGTCCCACGAGACAAGATTGAGCATTTCCCTGCGGAATTCATCATTGAAGCTATCTTCAATCCTACCGCTGCCAAGGAAGAAACGCCTTTCACCTATGTCCCAGTGGAACAACAAGGATTGAATCTCGAAGGCGGACTGGCAACATTGCACAAAGTCATTGCTTCCGCCGCTGCACGTGAAGAGACGGATGGGGGTTCCATCACGACAGAAGATTCGAACAATCGAGACGGCGACGGGGATAATGGCGCGTGTGGCAAAGGTGCGGGTAGAGATAAGCTCGGCTGGGGAGAGAGGATGAGACAGCGAAGGGAAAGGAAGGCGAGTCGAAAACTGAGTAGGACAGGGTCGACGCCTCCTATTGCCGTGGACTAGATATCGTTTTCTTTAAACGTCACTTGTAGCCTTATCATATACGCACACCATGTGGGATATTTTCCTCTCTGTATGCACATACTTTGTTCTGATCCGGGTTGTCAAATCTTCAGTGCATTCATATGTACATGGCTGTGGATTCCGAATTTTGGATCGGCGCTGACACATGACCGTGCCTGCTTTTCTTTTTCTCCCTAGCTACAGTATCACCGTGACCCCGAATCCCATTCAAAGTCTTTGGGATTCTCGGTTGCATCACCTGTCCAACATCACCACTTGGGCAAAATGACCGGTTCCATTCATCCATAGCCACGCACAAAGAGTCGTACATACGTGACGACTTCGAGAGGACCAGCGATGAGATACATATATCTATGGGAGTCCACGATTCTTTCCACTTCTCGTCTTCTCTTCTGACCACACTTGACCACCCACCATTAGCGACCTTGGTCTGACCGTTGACGATCATGGCCCCGTCAACGACCTTCCCGAGGGCTCAGGCGCTGATTTTATGCATGGCCAAGATCTCAGAGGCCGTGGCGGTGTGCTTCAGGTGAGTCCAGTGTATCAGAGTTGCACTCTTTCCCCCCCTTGCCACTCCGTGTCTGATCCCACATATTCAGAATGCCATTCGTCAACCAGATGGTGGTGAATTTTGGGAGATCTCCAGCCTCTGCACCCCAATACGCAGGCATCATCGATTCAGCGCTCATCGCTACGGAGTGTGAGTGGTGGGGAATTCAACCATACCGCGTCGATAGACATCGCGAAAACGCGAATGTAGAAGGATGCCTCGTTGACGCCTTCTTTGACCCTTTTGTCAGTCATCTGCGCCCCAATCTGGGGTACACTAGCGGATAAAGTGGGTCGTAAACCTTTGGTCATCCTTGGTCTGGTCGGTTTCGCTCTCGCTGCCATGGGCATGGGTCTGGCTCAAAATCTCTGGCAAGCAATCTTGGCGAGATGTATCTGTGAGTTGGCCATTGATTCTGGCCCACGTGGAGAGAGACAAAAGGGATCGAGGTGCTTGATGACTGGCGCTGATCAAGCTGCTCGCTCCTTAGCTGGCGTTCTTGGAGCTGTGGCAGTCCTTGTTCGAACGGTCCAGTTCGAAATTACGACCTCGGAGCATGTCGACAAAGTGTTGATGTACATGACTCCCTGTTGGGCCATCGGAGCAAGTATCGGTGAGTGGCAGTGACGATCATTGCTTGCGCAACGTTTTAACTGATGAGATGGCCCAAAGTCATCCAGGACCACTGATCGGCGGAGCTTTTTCTGAACCTGCTAAACGTCTTCCTGCTCTATTTTCTGGTACGCTTTTCGATCGATTCCCATACCTTCTCCCAGCACTCGTTTCCGCCTGTGTCCCTGTATGTACGGCCATTGGATACTTGTTCCTAGTCCCAGAGGTGAGTGTGGCAAGGGAAGAAATGTGGCACATTACAGTTAAAAAGCTGATCTGTGTATCCACCTTTGTCAGACCCTCGGCAATCCCATTGCGGAGTCTCCCAGCGAGCAAGCTTCAGCAGCTGAAGATGCCGAATCTGAATGTATGCCACTATTGGGCGGAGCTATCAACCATGATGCTGCAGAGACTCTTTCAACCTGGTCACTTCTCACAGACGTGAAAATCGCGTACGCGCTATTGTGTTCTGCTCGTGAGCTTTGAATGTGGCACCGGCGGGGTTCCTGGGCCGGGAGTGGGGGGAGTGGCGTCGTCGTACTGATGAATCGGTGCCAGTTCTCGCTTTTGTGTCCATGGCGTACTGCGCCGGATTCATGATGATGGCATCTACTGCAGTGAAAGAAGGTGGTCTAGGTCTATCGGTGAGCCGAGTAACCGTTAGAAGGTGCCTCAAACTGACTTTCTGCCCTCAGCCCTGGCAGACCGGTATCATGCTTGCCATCTCGTCACTTCTTGGATTCTTCGTCTCGTCCAATGTCATGCCCTTGCTTAGTGATCGATACGGATACTATAGGACCCTTCGTCTCACTTCCTTCGCCCATGTCATGTTGTTCCCATCCGTCAGTGTATTGAGCCTCATGGCAAGATATCAAGGAGGGGTGAAGATTTGGTCCCTGCCAGTATTGGCCATCATCATGGTTTGTTATGAAGTGGGCGAGGTATCTTATACGTGAGTGCAAGGAAATCAAGGGACGGTAGGGTTGATCAGGCTGACTTGTCACCAGTCCCATGGATGTGGTGTTCTCGAATCGATCGCCACGAGGCTGTCTCGCCCACGTCAACGGATTCGCTCTCAGCGCTGCGTCCCTGGGTCGAGTGGCTGCTCCTGCATTGTCTGGCCTCTTATGGTCCATGACGATGCAGACCAGATCCTTGATAGGGAGTCAACTCATGTGGATCATCTTCACCTTTGTCGCTATCATTTGGCATCTCACTACTCGTCGATTGTCATCCCCTGTCGAGTTCAAATTGCGAGCCCAGTACGCCTCAATCCGAGATGTCGAAGCGGGTGTAGCCATCTCTCGCGTCTCTTCATTCGGCTCGACAGGTACCACGGATACACTTGTCAAGACACCTCCTCTCAAGGGCAAGTCTTTCGAATCAGTTCTGGACGCTCTCAAATCTGTCAAATCCGTCTTTCGATCCAAATCACTCTGGTCTGATGTAGAAACGGTGACCACTACGAGCACCACCACAAGCACCCCCGATATGTCTTTTGATGCTTATTGGGCATCGTTTGCCGACCGGCTCGACAGTTCACCTTATGTTCCCATGCCTGATCGACGCGAGGTTGAAGGAGACGAATATGGCGATGGCATTTACATCCATCGAGCGATCAAACCGCATGTGGAGATTGACAGGCGAAAGCCCGACTTTAGCAAGACCCCACAGTGGATCATTCCGAAGAAGAAGAAGAAGGAGAGTGGTCAAAAGGTCGATGGGTTGGGTCTGGGGGAGATTGATGTGTCTGCAAGTGAGAGTGAAAGGGGAGGTGACGTGACAAACGGCGCCGCCGGCGGGGCGCAAGGTGGCAGTGTAGTTAGTGAAGAGACCGTGAGCGAGAATGTGGGTGGAAGTGAGGGTAATGATTGGGACGGAGCTGAGAGGATCAAGAGGGGTAAGGTAGAAGAAAATGGTCCAGTCTTCAAAGACTCGGACGTTGCGGGTTCTCCAACGCCCAGTGTCATGTTTGAGTAGCCCGATGGCGAAAGATTGAGTGGTCATCTATTGGATGAGCAGTGATTTGGCTTCTTTACACAGTCTACATATAGATACAGAGTGCAATGCAATGCAATATAATCCAGTACCCTTGAAAATCATCTTGGACCCCATCATAGATTCGCTCACGATCAACGTACCTCAGACCTCATTCACAAACAAAAGCTGCCACATGCTGACATCACTTTGCCGAAGTCCGCAGCTCTCTGCAATGGAATCAGGACCGCGCTGTTCCTGATCGAGCGAAAGAGAAAACAACATTCCCCTCTCGATCACACAAACGCCACATTACTATATACATACATACTGTACTTCTGTTATCAACGGGTTCCTGGAAGGGCGCAGTCTTCGCTCCAAACCTTCTCTTGCCAACAAAGCCAATTGAGGCGCCCAGCGACTCACGATGAATAGCTTGCCAGCGCGAAACCCCCCAACATGGGAAGTTGCATAATCAGACAAACAAACGAGAATGATACAGATTATGACTAAGAAAAAGATGAGACGAGTCGGCTCCATAGGGGTCAAAACGACTTTACAATGCGAATCGACTCCAACACCCGGAAAACATTAAAAACCACAGTCTACCCAAATGAGGCGCCGCATTACGGACCCATACCACCCGGAGCAGAGCCTAACCCGGCACCCCAAGCCCCTAGTCAATCTTGATGCCTCCAATCTTCATTATTGCTGTTTTCGAAATTCAATGGGTACCCAGAGAACGGTGGAGGGCCAGACTGCGCGAGACACAAAGAGAAAAGTCAGTCACGATGATTGGATTGTCACAGTCTCCGAAAACTCTCACCTCTGGAGGCCATGAGATGGAATCTTCACTCTGTCTTGGTGTGTAATGATGGACTTCGTACCGTGGTGTCGAGTGGGAAGCCTGAGCGTTGAAGACGGGTGTAGGTGGATCGTAATTCCTCATACCGGAGCCTGAGGAATACCTCGGATCGACAGAACGACCCTCTTGATTCAGATACGGTGAGGCGTTGGGATTGCCGGGCTGCAGGAAGGGGGAAAAGGATGGTCATCAGCGAAGAGGAAGGGAGGTGTGAAGGGTCTGGGTCAAGCTCACCGAATCCGTAGACATATTTCTACTCCTCGTCCTTTGATGCATGGGTGTGAAATGCTCCATGGGTTGATAATTTCCATTGCCATTACTCGATGACGCGGAACTGGGTCCACCTTCAGCTGTCGATGGCGCGGACGCTTCCTGCGCGAAGAGGCAAGACATCAGCGAGCGTCCCGCGTAGACGGATAATCCGAGGCAAAGGCAGAGGCGAAGCATGAAATGCATGGACCCCCGCCCTCCCTCCTCCCCACATTCAGAACCATGTACTCACTCCACTTCTCCTTGGTGATGCATTACCACCACCTTGCTGGTACACACCGAATTGACCGCTTTCATCCGGTTTGACATCCCATGATGTGGATCCAGTGTTCCCTCCAGGTCCACCACCCATGCCTGCACCGCTGGGACCCCCACCCACACCATTGCCATTGTTTGCTCCGTCCTTTGGACCTCCTTCAGATGTCGATGGGTAACTCGGCATCCGTAAAGAGTAAAGCTGCCGTCTGAGATCTGAATTTTCATCTCGGAGGTATGCGTTTTCAGCTTGAAGGGTCGCAAAGTCTTTATTGGACTGAGGTGAAAGCGGGCCTCCAGATTGAGATCCACGTTGTGAAGTGTAATAGGCTGATTGACTGAGTTGTCTCCGAGCATCTTCCAATTGAAGTGTGAGGAGCTGCACAGATTCTTCGAGCTAGGAAGGGGGGGCAGGGGGTTGGATCAGTCGAGATTATAGGCACGTTTATGTTTAACTCACTGCTTTGAGATGAGCTTTTCTCTTTTCCCTATGCCGCCTTTGGGCTTTTGCATTCCTCGTCCTGTTATCCCCATCTTCCAACATTCCAGATCCAGATGGCATCATTCCCATACCGATACCACCACTTGCACTCATCATTCCAGGTGGACCTGGACCTGGGCCCATCAGACTGGGTCCAGCACCCATACTGCCTCCTCCTCCGCCTCCTCCTGGTCCAACGGCGGACACTGCTGCCGCCGCCATCACACTGTTCATATCGTTCAAACTTGGATCTATAGATACCTCGCCCCCGTCGTCCGAGTGGGGGTCGTGATAGTTATTATCGTATGCTTCGTCTTCCTCGACTTCGGCTTGTCTGTGTCGAGTAGAAGCTGCCGTTGATTTTTTATTCGAACTAGTAGTAGCAGCTGTAGCTGTAGCTGTAGCTGTAGTGGTTGTCGAAGTAGATGCTCTACTACTTCTACCACCACCACCACGTATAGCTGGCATGACAGTGGGGGAAATTTATATGAGGTGGATCTTATGTACGAGAAAATGTTCGTAAAGCTGACGAGAGAGACAACTCAGTCGGCGGGGGGCCAGAGAGGGAGGCGGCGGCGGGCCAGAAAGGCGCCGAAAAACCCAACAGGCGGGGGGCTCGAAAAAAGAGAATAATTCCCCCCCCTCTCTCTCTCTCTCTCTCTCTCTCTCTCTCTCTCTCTCTCTCTCTCTCTCACTTTGAATCACGCGGCGAATGTATGGGACCGAAGAAGTTTCAATTGCCGGGTGGGCGGGAATGGGATTGTGCTGCTGTGGTTTGACTGCTGCCAGCGACTCCACTCTGTTTAAAAAAATAAATAAAAAATATCTATCATCTTGTGACTTTTTCGTCTGAACTACCCTGGTATGGTAATTGAGAAGTGAAATGATGCTGCTGGTGCTTCGCTGAACCAAATGAGGGCATGGTGAGAGATCCAAGGGAGTGGGAATCAAGGACGAGAGAGGCGAGGAAGAGGAGAGGACGAGAGAGAGAGACAGGCAGAACGTGAGAGGGAGAGCCCAAAAGTGATCGAGATACAGAAAGTGAAAATCTCCTGTCGTGTCTCACTGCTCTGACGATCTTCCCCTGCTCAAAGCAGGCGAAGGTCGCTAGATCAGGAACTATCTGTTGAATACACATTATAGTGTGGGACGATCGAAAACATGTGCAAAAAGCCAGCATGCCTCGAAGGCAAGGCCAGGCTAGACTTGGCTTTCTACGCTTGGCTCAATCACAATTCGGTACGGGGCTTATACATGTCATGGACTTGCCGAATCGAGGTCCGTCCATTTTACAGTTCCGGGACTAGCGTCGATCACCTATACCTACACCATGAATATGAACCTTTTGGTCCAAAGATACCGGGACAAAATACACTTCGGACCAGAACAACAGTTGGTGGGGGTGAGGAACGTGTGGCCACCGATCATATGGCGCCATTCCATGATTCATGGGGATAGGGGGGACAGTGGGGGAAGCGAGGACTATCTAGTTATGAATCTGTTGTCTGTTTTTTCCCTCCTTTTGCCTCCGGTCAGTCCAGTGGAGCGGCGAAACGTTCGACCGCCTATGATCTCCTTAACCCAAGGATGACATGTGGATCAAAGAATCCATGCTAGGTCGGAGCAACACGGCGAGAAACGGTCCGACTCGTGGAGCAATCTGCCATCAAGGAATGAAAGGTGTAAAAAGCACTTTTGCCCTGAAATGGGTGGGGGGAACACTACTGGACACAGAATCAATCACCATGCTGGGTCTTGTCTATCTCTCTCTCTCTCTGCCGGCTCCACAGACGACGGGATCTCGTTTCGGACCTTACTAGCTATGTTGAGCGCTCGCAGGCGGAGCTTGCCGCTCAGTGCGAAACTCGCCGAGCGGACGGACGAGTTTTTTTTTTCTAATTTTGCTTCGACCGACGAACGGCCGCGGACGGTGCGTTGGCTGATCATTTGGAGGATCAATAGCCTAGATGGTGGTTGTCGGTGCGGTCTCAGGGTTTGACATCATGGCCTCGAGGAAGTAGTTCGGTCCGCACATGAAATGTTTACATGCTCCGACAGGGTGAATGACAAAAAAGGTGAAGAATTGAAGGATGGATTATCCGACGTTTTCATCCCGCCATCAATAAATCGCATAATCCTCGCCCCAATCTTCCTCCGTAATGGTCTGTTCAGCGTCAGCATGATTGTCATCCAAATGAGGCTCCACTCATTAGCCAAGCGAGGTAGATCATCCCTATCGCACCAATGTTGAGAAATGTCGTGAGGAACGCTCCGTTAACCTTTTGATTTGAAGCCTGACGGAGAGGGTCAACCTGTCGCCGTACATTCTTCCGCCCTCCCCACTCACATCACACAAAGGCTGTGACGCCAGGAAGAAAATGACTTGGCCGCCTACAAACATGGCGAATGCGACAACGTAGAAGACTGCAAGGTCATCAGACTCATCATGTGGGACGCTTTACTCACTCGCAGGTTTGACCTCTCGAAGCTTGTACGAGACGATAAAGAGCATGATACCGAGGTTTGCCACGGCAGCGCTGGATGCGCCGTTTAAGCTGGGCACTTTTGCCGCGTCTACTCCGACCGACTGTCCCATAATACTCACAAGGCAGGCCATATCAAAGTGAGGACGAAGAGTGTTATGGAACGCAGCGATGACGGATCAGAACTATCAATCCGAAACGTTTCTGTCCAGTGGAGCCCAATGTCGAGAGCGATATATAGTGTGGGCGCAAAGAACAATGCAGCGATGACACATAACGGTACGACAGCCGCGGGCGTTCCGTCTCTGTGAAGGTGGGATGAATTAGCGAGAGCAGCTTGAGCCTTTGCGGAACCACAACGTGGAGGGCGAGATGGACGCTGATCAACTTACTCGACCACTTGCGTCGCTACAATTGCGTTTCCTAACAAGACCCAGAAGAAAGAGACTATCAGAGCAATATGAATAGCCGAGAGAACGGTCAGAGCGGTCGTCCCTGGAAGGGGTCTAGGTGAGCGAGTCCGAAGGGAGAGATTCTTTTCTGTACATTGTACCCACCCTGCTCCAGCAAAGACGACATGGTGATGATCTGCAGCGCCGAATGCAGTGCAAAGCCCTGGCCCGTCGTCAATCGCTCGCTTGGCTGGCTAGCTGCCTTCCTTGCAGATTCACACTCACTCCCAACAAGAGCCTCAATTCTACTCTGCCAACCGCTGCTCGTCTTCTCGATGCGAGTGAGATGAGTACAACAGTCACGATCAACGCTACCGCAGATAGGACGACGAGCGCTACGTGCGAGGAGCATCAGCATAGGTTGGGCACGTCTATAAGAGCTGTTGTGGACCCACCGACATCCCCTATGGATCCACGATGACTGACCCAGGGTATCTCGCAATTTGCCCCCAAGCCTGTCCCTGAATCCCTCCTCGCAGTCATGACGTTGGCATCATCTCGCGAGCTTTGCACATCCTTGAGTGGATCAGAATGTAGAGTTGGATGCACATATGAAGCGGAGGACTCACGACATCGTATTGGTTGTAAAAGTCTGAAGAGGTTGGAAAGAGGGTTGTTAGGAATTCTGAGTCACGATTCCAGAGCTGGTTGAAGAAGAGGTTGCATTGAGGGAGTGGGGCGTGCTGGCCTGAAGAAGGAGGCACCTGTCAGCGGGCCAAAACAACTAAAAGTCTATTTGCGTGGACGCACAGATCCAGTGAAAGTCCCCAAAGTCGTCTGGCATGGCGTTTCGGTGGATATGCGCAAAGATGGCCTATGAGCCGGGTCACGGAGGATGCTGAGATGCCGCCAGGAAGGTCAAGAGATAGTGCAAGGGGTAAGTAATGAGGATGGAGAGGAATCGAACCGGTCGTCTAGGCGTCCCACGTTGCGCAGTGAGCCCGGGGTGTGTGTGAATGTCCAGGAAAATGTCAAAGGTGAGATGGAGAGCAACGAGCCTGTCGTCGGGTCGTGAGAAGCGAGAGACACGATGGTGCTGTCAGGTGGACAGGGATACTGAAAGGCGCTCTGCTTTTCTAAGGATGAATGGATGGGACCTTCAAGACAACTTGCTCGACGTTGGTCAGGTCGGAAAAGGCAGCCCTTGGATTGAGGATGGATCAGGGGTTGTATTCCTTGCCCAACCCCGCCCAGGAGGTTGATGAGGAGGGTTGGTCGAAAGGGACCTTCGCAGCTGGCTAGTGGCGATGAACAAGTGTGCGGAAAGGACAGTGAAGGGGAGTCAATCAACGGTTGCACGGGCGATAAGAATGGAGTGGGAAAGATAGATTGACTAAGAGGGATGGATGGATGTGATTCTGGACGCTACCTCGACTGACGATTGAATGGTTCGTTCAGCTGCAGGTCGGGTCGGATCGATCAGTTGTGGTCAGTCTTCGCTGCTGCTCGAAAGGGAAGCTCGTCCAGTGGTGGTCGTCAGAGCATCTGTCCTTTGCGTTAGTGTCTGTGCATAGCCCCCCTCTCCTCTGAAGACTCTCTGCTCTTGCGCCTGAAGTGATGCCCACAGCGATGCATTGATCGCCTTCCTCCATTGATCGTTTCATTGTAAACCCCCGTCTATCTTCAACACTGTGCTTCACCTGTCGCCTTGACGACCGAGCGTTGCAGCGGCCCTCAATGATCTATATCCTCATCATCCCATCGTCCCTACTAAAAGACTGCCCTCATGACAGAATGCCTCGATGGGGAATAATAATAACAACTCGTTGTAAGCAGCAGATGGTCGAGTAGGATATCGACTGACGAGCGCGGCCTCGACAGCGCCATCCCATCCTTTATCCTACTCGATCGGTGTAGCCCATAGCGGTACGCCAAACCCGGAATGGCGCGCGTCGGACGCGTTGATAGAAAGGGAGCCGGTTTAGGTATAAACCTCCCCCTTTTTCTAATTGGCTTGATCGTTTTTCTAATCCTAAAAACAGAACAACCTGCGGGTGAACCATAATGATAATAAGGCATGATTAGGAAAAAGATGAAACAGCCATTTCGGAGTTTCAGGATATTACTTTATTATTATCTTCATGTGGAGCTTAAAAAAAGAGAGAAGAGATGGAAAAGGAGAGAAGACGTCAGAGTGTGCCTCGACAAAAAGAAGAAGGAGAACCCTGTACTCGACGCGTCTAAACGCCACATTATTGGCACCTCAACTTGGCAGAAAAAAGAAAAAGCACCACCCTTCACCGTGTTCACGACCGTAGCCGAAGGAGAATGGCTGTCCCTCACTTTAAGCTTGCCTTTCCTTCGTGTCGTCTTCTTGTGCTGCCCCTACAGGCCAGGGTTCATGGGTCAGCCTGAACCGCCATTCCCCTCCTCTCTTGACGCCTCATTCTGGTTCGCATTGCATGTGTATGTGTTATGTTGAGATGCTATGAATTTTCGGATCACACGGACAGATCATAGGGGTGGTCCAGGTCATTTCTTTTCTCTCTCTCACTCTCACTCTCTCTCCTTTGTTCCTTATACCTTTCGAGTGCACCGAGTGTGTCGAGTTGAATAGAGCGCGAGATATCATCATAGCCAGGTGCTACTCATCTCATCTCATCTATTCCTCTTCCTTCTCGTCACCGTCGGACCTCCTCTCTCCTCGTCACTCGTCACTCGTTTTTTGTTCTTCCTCGCCTCCCTGCCTCGCCTCGTATCATCAACGACACGCACAAAAGAGAGTGATCCCAACGGACGGGACCTACCTATCGTCCCTCTTGGCATACCTTTCAGTCACACCGCGTTCGATTGAACATTTGAGATTGAACATTTTCACTCGTTCATCATCTCTACACTCTCCTTTTTCTATCCTATCACCTCTCTCTCTCTCTCTCTCTCTCTCTCTTACAACCTCACCACGACGACTTCGAGGCCGGTACTCGAAATCTCGCTCGTAACTTCCTAATACCCGCAACTTGACCTCAACTCGCTCCACAATGTTCCCCACCATCAGCGCCGCCGCCGTCCTCCTCTTGGCATCCTCTCGCTCCCTCCTCGTTCACGCTGGACCCGCCATTCTCTCCAGTGTGACTCCAAAGCAAGGCTCATCCTATACAATCTCTCCCGCCGCTTTCCCAAACCTCTGTGTGGTCCCTTCTTCCGACGAGGACGGTTCAACCCTCATCGTGGTCGATTGCGACTCGTCCTGTGAGACGGAATGGGTTTTCGACGGTACAGCTTTGAAAAATGCTGCCTTTGACATGTGCACCGACGCGACGAATGGTGGAGCTTGGTCAGGTAATCACCCACAGGTCTGGGAATGCTTCTCCAACAACCCCAATCAAGTATGGCAATACACCAACGGGCAAATCAAATGGTCTGGAAACAACTTTTGCTTTGACCTCACGGATGGCGTAGGACAAAGCGGTACACAGGTACAGATGTGGCAATGCTTCAGTCACAATGAAAACCAACAGTGGGACTTGACAGAGATGCTCGACGGACCTGAAGGCAGTGGTGAGTCTAGCAACCAAAAGCTCAAAGTGATCCTTTCACTGACTTTCTTTCAGCCTCAGAGTCTTCCTCCGCCTCCGACGGAGCCTCAGCCTCGGTCGCTGCCTCTGCATCTGCGTCTGCCTCCGCATCTGCGACCATCACCTCGGCTCCCAGCGCTTCCGCGTCGTCCATCGGTGGCAACCTGGCGGCTGGTGGCGGAGACGGTATTGGCATCGGCGTCAGCATTGGCATCGGTCACGGCCACCACGCCTCTGCCTCTGCTTCTGCCTCGGCCTCGGAATCCGCCTCCGCCTCCGCGTCCGAGTCTGCCTCTGCTTCCATGTCCGAGTCTTGGGCTCCGGGGCCTTCCTCCACTTCCAACCCTCCGTCTGGAGGTAACAGCAACCCAGACTTTTCAGGCTACCTCCAGGTCTCTGGAACCAACGTTGTCGACCCTTCAGGCAACCAAGTCATGCTCAAGGGAACCAACATTGGCGGATGGCTCGTCTGGGAAGATTGGATGTGCGGTATGACTGACAATTCTGGTAATGCCGATCGATTCGCTCAGACAACCTTGACCTCTCGATTCGGTGTCGATCAGACTTATCAATTGCTCAACACTTGGCAAGACAACTGGTTTGTCGAGTCCGACTTTGATGTCATTGCCAGCATGGGATTCAACTTGATCCGTTTGCCATTCTCCTACAAAAACTTTATCTACCCCAATGGTTCCTACATCACCAACGCTCAGGGTGATGTCGACTTTTCCCGTCTCGACTGGGCCGTCTCCAACGCCAAGCAACGAGGTATCTACGTCATCCCCGTTTACCACATCTGGGATGGACAGGAGCAAGGCTATTCTACCATTTCGGAGAACTCGAACGAAGGTCAGCAACAACGAGACCTCTGTGGTGCTCTTTGGACCAAGATTGCCGCCCACTTTGCTGGAGAAAGTGCCATTGCCGCCTTTGACATGATCAACGAGCCTACTGGATCATGGGGCAACATCCTCCAACAGGACCTCTACACTGCCATTCGAGCGGGTGACTCCAAGCGGATCATCGTCATGGAATCCATCTCCTCCGCTCCGGACAGCAACTGGGAAAACGTCATGTACTCCATGCACGAATACAACATGATGGGAGAGGACAATGAAGGATACAACCAGCAACAATTCTGGAACGGGGTTCAAAGCTCTATCAGTCAATACAACGGCGTGGGCGTCCCGGCTTACATTGGAGAATTCATGGCTTCAGGCGATACGCTCACTTGGATGCTACAGCAGATGAACAACGATCAAGTTTGGTGGTCTGGCTGGACCTACAAGACTGTCAACATGGACCGCTGGGGTCTGCTCAACTTTGGCGGGAACAATTGGGTCTCTGTCTCTGGCGACTCGTTTGATTCACTCCAGTCCGCTTGGTCCAACATGGGCTCAACGACCCAATCTCGAGTCTACCAGAACTATGTCACTGCTTGTGGAGGTGGAAACAACTCGAAGCGAGACGAGATCGTCCAACAACGTACCGTTCAGCCATTCGTTCGACCTGATACTGTTCGATCAGAAGCTGAGCCAGTCGTCTTCTCGCCACGGGTCCGAGCTCCCAAGATTGGTCAGCGAGTCAAGAGAACAGCTCATGCTGGACGTTCGAGGCGAATGGCGAAACATGGCAAATCCTTTGGAAGGATATAGAGGAAGAGAGAGAGGGGCGGCGTGCGAACAGGAGATAAGACGAGGGGCACCCGGCGAAGGAGCCAAACTTTCAATTTACGACACACACCAATCACTTTGGCCACGATCGGAAATATATCGTCAGGTTACGACATTTTTGTTCGGCGGCACGACACTCTTTTGATCTTTTCTACAGCATCATCCACCAACACCGCTACTACTTCTTTCGAAACGAACATGACGAGAAGGGCTTGTTGCCGCAGCGCGGTTGACCACCAGGTCTCTTCAGATCAGATCACCCCACCACTTTGTTGTCTGGAACACGTACCATCACAAAATTTGCATTGATCTCCATCGCTTTTCGACATACTTTCTTCTCAAAGGGCAAACACAGGTCTTGCACGTCTGGACGTCAAGTGCCAGTCGGTTTTTTTTCATATCCATTTCTATTCAATGTCGACGGGGCCTCAAGGCGGAAGGGGTAGGACGGTTACTCCTCATTACGTTTTCTCGCTTCCATCTGGCTAGTACAGGGAGGACGAGAGCGTTGGGAGGCAACTCATAGGCCGGTCGAGAGAACTTGTAGTTTTTAGACTTGGCTTCTGGGCAATCGTCGATTGACTCTAGTAGTCTTGACGAACCAGCTGGAAAAATGTCTTGTTTGAACCATACAGTCTTGATGATTGTGTCCCTCCCCTTCATGCATTAGCCCCCCATTGCGCACAAGATCTCCAGTATCCTGTCCTGTAAAAAGCTGCATTGTCATTAAGACCCGGAATTGCTCGGCAGTAAATCCGAATCGGGATTCAGCTAGCTCCCCCCTTTCATTGTCTTTCGGTGGTGTTGGTGAATATCGGGAATCAACTGTCTTTCTGTTCAAGCTCACCTTGTATTCTTGATCATCACTCAGCATGAGAGGATTCTCCAAAGCCCGTGTTCTGGCTCAACAGGTAAGTCAACGATCACTGCGAGGCGGAGAGAGTCAGACATTGACGATTAATTCGTCTCAGGCTCAAAATGCAGCACAGCGACGCAACCTTTCAATTCATGAATACCAATCTGTCAAGTTGTTGAATGATGTGAGTTGGGTGGTTCTGGGCGAGGCGAGGCGAGGCGAAAGCGAAGGCGAACGCGAAGAAGATAGATACGATGTGTGGTCGGAGTACTGACACCTGTTGTCACATAGTACGGGATCCCGACACCCAAGGCCGTCCCTGCAAAGTCGGCGGAAGAGGCTGAACAAGTCGCCAAGGACTTTGGTGAGTGTTATGACATTGTCCTTGACTTCTACACTGTCTCGGAAAGCCATGTGCAGAGGGAGGGCAACGATAAAGTGCCTGCTGACGAGTCTCATTTAGGAAAAGACAAACTGGTCATCAAAGCTCAGGTTCTCGCCGGAGGTCGTGGGAAAGGACACTTTGAGAATGGATTCAAGGGAGGAGTGCATATGGTGGACTCGTAAGTGGTGATCCAGAGGCTCTTACACAGCGACGCGACCTCAGTTGTTGCTGGAAGCTACGCGCAAGGCGGGACACGGAGGTCACAGAGCTGACGCTTCCATCTTTTTTTTCCCTTTATACCCCAGCCCCGCTCAAGCCAAAGAATACGCCTCAAAGATGCTAGGTCAAAAACTCATCACGAAGCAGACTGGAGCCGCTGGACGGATCTGTAATACAGTCATGTTGGCTGAACGTATGCCTCCTCAAAAAGAATACTACGCTGCTATCCTGAACGATCGAGCGCGTGGATGTCCTGTCCTCGTCACTTCGAATCAAGGAGGCATGAACATTGAAGATGTTGCGAAAGAAACGCCAGATGCCATCATCACGACCTCGTTGGACTTTGATACGGGAATCTCAGCCTCTGATGCTGAAAACTTGGCCAAACAATTGGGATTCAAAGAGGAAGCGAGGGCAAACGCTGCGAAAGTCTTTGGAGATCTATATACCATCTTTAAAGAGAAGGATGCGACTCAGATTGAGATCAACCCTTTGGCCGAGATGGAGGACGGAAGAGTTTTATGGTGAGTCTTGTCAGGGTGGTGGTGGTGGTCCGTCACCATCAGCGAACGTGTCAATCAACGGAACTGACGTTGCTTGGTCCCGATCATGAAGCATGGATGCCAAATTTGGGTTCGATGACAATGCAGACTTTAGACAAAAAGACGTTTTCAGCCTCCGTGATACCACTCAAGAGGACGCTCAAGAGGTCGAGGCCGCCGAGGTGAGTCTCCAAATAATTAGTGTTGTGTATATGATCCCCGCTTAATGCCTCGAACTCCAGTACGGACTCAACTTTATCAAGCTTGATGGTGATATCGGATGCTTAGTCAACGGTGCTGGACTGGCCATGGCCACGATGGATACTTTGAACCTGCACGGAGGCCAACCTGCAAACTTTGTAAGTGTGATGGAGGTAGCCAGATCTGGCTCGGACAGAAACTGGTGCATTGGACCCAAGCTGATGTCTGTCTTTTCCCCTTCCCTTTTCGCAGTTGGACGTGGGAGGAGGTGCCACGGCCGAAGCTGTCAAGAAGGCTTTCGAGCTCCTATTGACATCTAAGAACGTAAAGAGTATCTTTGTCAACATTTGTGAGCTCAAGTCATAAAGACTAATCGCTATACTTCTGGCGACTGACGGTGACCCGGCCTCTAGTCGGAGGTATCATGCGATGCGATGTGATCGCTGAAGGAATCATCAAAGCGACCAAAGAGCTGCAATTGACAATTCCCTTGATTGTTCGTTTGCAAGGAACCAAGGAGAAGGAGGCAAAGCAGTGAGTGCAGGACGCACGAGGTCAAGCGTGTGTGAGAGAGCCCAAAGCTTATTCGTCCCCAACGTCTAGGATGATCAAAGAGTCTGGACTCAAGATTTATCCATTTGATGGGTTGGACGAGGCTGCTGCCAAAGCCGTGGAGATGGCAAAATCAGGTTAAAGGAAAAATGTAAGAGCCGGGAACAAGGGGGGGCGGTGTGTGTGTGTGTGTGTGTGTGTGTGTGTGTGTGTGTGTGTGTGTGTGTGTGTGTGTGTGTGTGTGTGTGAGAGAGAGGGCATGCATACGGAGCGTCAAGATATTCATTCGCGCAAAGTCGTGATTCCATAGTATCCTACCGCTCTCTACTCTTGTCTCTCAACACTGGCTTGAAACACAAAGTCTCCATGCCCGTTGCTTTCCGACTGTCGCCCAGTAATTTTCTCAAGCTCTCCAATTCGCGGTGAAAGTCGTCTGTGGATTTCTGTCTCCTGTAATTCGCAGAAATCGTATCGTAAATTTTGGACAAGGTATCATTCGCCTCAGACGTAATGTACTGTCCGACCGATTGATGAAAGTATTCAATCTCCAGTGTTGCCTGGAAGACAAAAAGAGAAGGGTCAATCAGCCAATGACCAGCTGTTAATCCAGCCTTCTCGCTGTCGGGCCCCCAAACCCCACGACACACTTACCATCAACATGCCTCCCGTACCGAATTGCGTGATCTTTTCGAAAGAACTCAGAGCGACTTTGGTCACCTCGTTGACTAACGCTTCAATGATCCGTCGAACAAGCGAAGGGGCCACGTCGTTGATCTTTGAGTGAGTCTCGACGAGGAGGAGAATGGTCTTGTGCATGTACGGTCTGACCTCTGCAGTCACACAGTCAGCATGGTGTCATGGTTGTCTGCCATCCATCGCTGCGATCATGCAAACCCCCATGCCGGGACCTACCCGTTGGCTTTGCAGTGTTGAGCCAATCCACACCTGCATTCAAGATTCCATCCTCGACAGCTTGGACCAGTGCCACAGTCTTTCGCTCAACATAGTCGCGGTAGATCATATCGTCCATGCTATCGAGTACTTCCACCAAGACATCAGAATCTCGTTTCGTATCCACCTCGAGGGTGGCAGAGATCTTGGATACGAGAGAGGAGAGGGTGAGCGAGCGTAATTGGTGAAATTTGGCCAATGTCATGAGAAGCCGGGTATCCTAGTCAGACATAGTCAGGTCGAGCATCGAGGGTGGAGGCCAGACGATCCTTCACACTCACGATATCTCGTACTGCTAGCAGACGGCGACTTGATGCTCGAGCCAAACTTCCCCTCCTTGCTTCAGACGGCGGATGCGTCGCGGCGTTGAGGATCCCATCAAAAATAAAGCACATCGTGTCCACAAAATGATCCTTGATTCGACGCTTGAAAGTCGTCGGTACAGTCTCTTTTTCGCCTTTACGACTCGCAATGATCTTGGAGGAAGCCACCACTCGAGTTTGAAGCGTCTCAACCAGTGAGAGATAACGATGTTGAGTCTTTGTCGAGGCAAGATGCCAATCTTCGAGCTCGTGAAGTGATTTCGTATCTGGGATGAATCAGCTGGGCTCAAAAGCCATTGTTGTTGCCCACCCCTCGTCCATGTTGCAGCTACGACTTCCTCCATCCTCCACCTGAGACTCTCGAGCATGTTCTTCAAGCTTTGACCAGCCTCAGGATGTATATCTAGCCCTATCAGTTCTCCCACATGGTCACCAGCTTCTTCCACTAGCTTTTCAGCGTACTGACACGCCGTGAGAACAGTAGATCCCACGGGCACGAAATCTGGTATTGCTGGATCATCGGTGTCTTTCCTGATGCTTGATTCGGCGACGCTGATATCGGACAACGTGAAGAATTGTGAGAGCAGTGACACGTAGAGCTTGGTAATGTCTAGGCACATCTGCCTCGGTGTGTTGATATTGGATCGCCTGCTCGAAGTGATTGCGCCGGAGGAGTCTCGCTACGGATACGTCAGAAACGCAAGTGGCAAAAGGAAAAGATCACACGTACTGTTCTGTGCTTGCCATCCATGCAAGCTCTGCCGATTCGCCAAAAATCTGGAAGAGCATGACTCAAATACTCGGAAACCCGTTTCACCATCTGGATGACAGCCATCCAAGCATCATCCGTCGGCGTAGCTGCGACTTTCGTGAGCCGTGCATCTTCAGGTTGATCTCACCGATCGGCTGCTCATCAGCATCCGGTGAGGCTTGGAGCTGTCGCTGCAGCGTCGAGACTGAGCTAGAGCTCGACGGCTGGTCGGCGCTCGCGTTTAATGCAGCTGGACAGGGTCAGAGGAAATATCGGAAACCATTGCCTCTCACCTTTGGCAGCGTCTTGAGCTTTCTGGAAGATTGTCCTGGTCTGCTCGACGATGTGTGCGTGCTGATACTCTAGATATGTCCAAGCAGGCTCATCTGTCCCAGAGAGCTCGACGAGAATCCTACACCGATCAGCATGCCGTCTGACACTCAATGGCACCTGGCGTGGGCGCCCATCTCACTCGATAATCTTCTCGTGCTCTTCTATTGTCTTTGTCGAATCCTTCAAGCCTGCATCAAGTCGTCCACGCATATCATCCATGATTTTCTCCACGCTAATCCAAATCTTATCAAAAATACGTTGTTGTTGTTCTCGTTGTTGAGATGTCGAGCTCGGCAAACCAGGTATCAATGGACCGGATTTCGCCGTGGATAGAAACGTTCCACGACGATAGTCTCGGAGGGCCTGCTCGTATTTACCCTGGCGTACAGAGTCAACCATTGAGAGCAAGATGACAGGAACGTGATTGCTTACCTGGTTGATAGACTCTAGCAAGAGTCCTGGAAGGTTGAATAAGAATTTTGACTTTTCAAATACGCCCAGTGTCGACCTCAGCTTCTGGGCCTTGACTGCATTCTCAAGGACAGGCAAGAAGACTTGATCGGATCGATGGGCAGCGACTAATGATAACGTGAGGTCCGACACTTGGGCGACTCGGCGACTTCCTCACCTTTGAAAATCTCCCTCAACTCCCGAGTCCCATGATCCGTATCCTGAGCCAAGAAGCTTTCCTTCATGTCCTTGTACACCACTGGAAGACGTCTCAGCTAGGTGCGACAATTGGTCCGGAAACTCACCATCACTCGTCGCTTTCACATTCACGAATCGATCGAAATGATCTTCGACCAGGATCCTAACAGCTTCGGACCGAGATTCGATAGCTCGTTCGAGATTGACTATTCCTTTCCTAAGATCTGCATAGGACGCATCTGGATGTTGGGCCGATAAGAAGACTTTCGGGTCGAAAGACTTGGACGATAAGGTCGTAGCGGTACCTAGCTTTTCGTGTAAGTGTGTACAAGAAACACTGTTGCAGGCCAGAGACTCACGAGTCCTGAGGTCCAATTCGTGAGCCCTGTTTGTACTCCATCAGTAACCTCCAAGCTATCCAGGTAAGGGAAGATGACTGACCCAGATAGCCGCCCTCTCAGCCCCAATGGATCTACCTCCTCGACCATACTTCCGTCCTCGCCTGTCAATGTGCCTGCCAGAGGACCATCTACATCATGGTCCACAGCTTCCCAGGTTTGTGGGTCGAGCGACGAGATGCCATACAGCTTGAGGACTGGGGCGGCATTGGTCAGACTTCATCACACGAAAGCACCAGGAGTATATCTCACCTGCTGCCTCGTCGATGTCTCTGCGGCTCATCTGCCTCAACGATGTTTACCACCCAGTCTATGAAGTATCTCGCTGTACATACACAGACTTTGCCGCGTGAAGCTCGCCGAGCTCGATGACGACGGAATCAAAAAACCCCACGTATTCCGTCGGAATTGGGAACCAAAGATCCCCCCGCCGCTCGGCGCCCGAAAAACATGAAAAAAAGAAGGCAGACGGCCAACAGAGCCCGGGTCCGCGTGAGACGCTGTGACCACATCGGCACGCTCAACTGTCGTCGCTTTTTATTGAATCTTGACATCTAACCATCCAAGACGAGCAGATTGGTACTTCAGTGTCGTAAGACCCACCTTCCCGCCCGTCCAGACAACCTGCTATCTCGATAGTGCTCGCTCCGTGCGAACATAGTCCGAATTTACGCAAATCCTTCGGTTCCGAGGTGGTAATCAGCCGAGTATAATAATAATAATCAGGTGCGGTGCCGATACATCTCGAAGAGGTCAGGTGTCAAGTCTTACCAGACCTTTTCATCCTCTCGTTCTTATTCTGCAATACTCAGGATGACGGTCGAGCCAGACTCATCGTCTGATCGAGTCATGGAAGATGCGACCATGGCTGAAAAGCAAGAACTCACTCGCGAAGGCGCCGTAGCCACCAGTGGGGTCCCGATGCCTACCATCCAAGGTCCTATCTCGGTAGATGCTACGAATCCTTCAACGACAAAAGCGGCACACACTTCCATTTCCAACCTTCCTTCTGCTGCTGTATCTGAGAAAACTTTACGAGCCAGTACTCCGACATCTTCGGAAGATACTGGGGTCAGTCACCAACAACATGGCAAAAAGAAAGGGTTCTCATTTGGTAAATCTCGTAAAGCGAAAGAAGCCGCCGAGAAGAAGAACTCAGAGAAAGAAGAAGAGTTGGCCGCAATACCACCAGTCGGATTCTTCAAATTGTATCGGTTTGCGACTCCTCTCGAGAGAACTTTCAACATTATCGGAGTCATCCTCGCTGCCGCGGCCGGAGCAGCTCAACCTCTGATGACGTTGATCTTTGGTCGATTCACAACGTCCATCACGGAATTTGGAAAGATTGAACAGACTATCGCCGAGCACAGAGGTATGGCCACTGCGGCGGAAAGGGCTGCATTGGAAGCTGCCAAACATGACCTCAGAATCGCCTCGGGTCATAATGCCTTGTACCTCATGGCCATTGGTATCGGAATCTTCATCACCACCTTTTCATACATGTTCATTTTCAACTGGACAGGAGAGTTGAACGCGAAGAGGATCAGGCAACGCTATCTCAAGGCTGTTCTCAGACAAGATGTGAGGGAAGCTCTAGGTCCAAAGATGAGCTGACGTGTCTCACACAGATCGCCTACTTTGACGATGTCGGCGCTGGAGAAGTGGCTACGCGAATCCAGACAGATTGTCACCTGGTTCAAGAAGGCACATCTGAGAAAGTCGCTCTTGTCGTGCAGTACTTTGCTACGTTCGTCACCGGTTTCGTCCTCGCCTTTGTCCGTGGACCGATTCTCGCCCTGGCCCTCTCATCCATCCTCATCGTCATCATGTTCGTCGGTATCATGATGCACAAGTTCATGGGACCATGGAACATGCAAGCCCTCGATGCCATTGCCAAAGGTGGTAGCTTGGCAGAAGAGGTCGTAGGAAGTGTTCGTACTGCCCAAGCATTCGGAACAGTCGCAGTACTCCGAAGTAAATTCGAAGTCTACATGGACACTATGAAAGAAAAGGGTAGAAAACTCGCTGTGGTTGAGGGCCTCGGTGTTGGTGGCATGTGTGAGTCGCTCGAGGCATTACCATACCGGACGACACTCACCCTCGCCACAGTCTTTGCTATCTACAGCGCATACGCCCTGGCGTTCTTCTTTGGTGGTATTCTCGCAGTGAGAGAGCCGAACAAGTACAACGCAGGTGTCGTCATCAACGTGAGGCGTCACCGCATCTTCACTCAGACAGACTTCTTACTCCGCCACCTTTAGGTCTTCATGTCCATCCTGATTGGATCATTCTCCATGGCTATGGTTCAACCTGAAATGCAAAAAGTCACCAAAGCTCAAGGTGCCGCCGCCAAACTTTTCTCCACGATTGATCGAATCCCCGCCATTGATTCGGCAGATCCTGGTGGCGAGAAACCCAACCATGTCGATGGAACCATCACTTTTGAGAACGTCAAGTTCCACTACCCATCTCGACCCAATGTCCCCATTCTCAAAGGCTTGACAATCAATTTCCCCGCTGGCAAGACGACTGCCTTAGTCGGTGCTAGTGGAAGTGGAAAGTCGACCGTCGTCAGTCTCATCGAGCGCTTCTACGATCCGATTTCGGGCACCATCTCATTGGACGGCCGTGAACTCAAATCGCTTAACCTCAAGTGGCTGAGACAGAATGTCGGTGAGTAGCTGCGTCCCCTAAGCGTCTCATAGATCTGATCTTGCGGTGCTTCTCAGGTCTTGTCTCCCAGGAACCGACTCTGTTTGGGACAACTGTTCGAGGCAACGTTGAACACGGTCTGATCGGGTCCAAGTGGGAGAACGCATCTGATGCTGAAAAGCTTGAGCTCGTCAAAAAGGCTTGCATGGCTGCCAATGCGCACGACTTTATCCTCAAGCTGCCACATGGATATGACACCCACGTTGGAGAACGAGGCATGCTTCTATCTGGTGGACAAAAGCAACGAGTCGCCATTGCCCGAGCCATCGTTTCGGACCCTCGCATCCTCTTGCTCGATGAGGCCACCTCTGCCCTGGATACTCAATCCGAAGGCATCGTACAGGATGCTCTGGACAAAGCATCAAAGGGCCGTACCACTATAGTCATTGCGCATCGACTATCGACCGTCAAGGATGCAGACACCATCGTGGTCATGGGTGGGGGAGAAATCTTGGAGCAAGGAACCCATTATGATCTCTTGGCGGATGAGAATGGTCCATACGCCCAGTTGGTGGCGAACCAGAAGCTCGCTATGGAAGCTGCCAAGGCCAAAGCTGCAGAGGACGGCGAGGAGGTCGCGGACCCTGATGCTGTCAAGCCTGCCATGCTCGCTGTCTCTCAACCTGGTTCGCCCGTCACCGAGAAGAATGGATACGACCTCACTCGAGCCGTTACCGGACGGTCTTTGGCCAGTGCAATGATGGAGGACATCACTGCCAAGAAGCTAGAGGAAGAGGAAGCTGCTGAGAAGACGCCCAACATGTTCAAGATGTACAAACGTCTAACCGGGATGAACGGCGAAAACAAGTGGTTCTTGGTCCTTGGTTTGATGGGAGCCATGGCATCCGGGATGACTTACCCTGCTCTGTCCATTCTGTTCGGAAGTGCTCTGCAAGATTTCCAACTTCAGGATCCTAATCTTCTCAAGCACGAGCTGACGGTTAAGGCGTGAGTTATGGAACTGCAGAACGATTGAACTGATGATCTCTCTCAGCCGGTACTATTTCATCACTGCGATTTTGGCTGCCTCAGCAATTACTGTGCAGATCTCTTGCTTTGCACGAGCTGGCTGGGATTTGACTGCCAAACTGAGAGGCACTCAGTTCAGTAGTGTCCTCCGACACGATATCGAATGGTTCGACGAGGAGAAGAATTCGACTGGAGCAGTCACTTCTGATATCGCGGATACGCCTCAACGGATCCAGGGACTGTTTGGAAGTACCATGGGTACTATTCTTCAGTCCCTCACGACTTTGATTGGAGGTTGCATCATCGGTCTATGCTATGGCCCGCTTTTGGCTCTCATTGGTATCGCTTGTATCCCTATCTTGGTCTCTGGAGGCTTTTTCCGACTTCATGTCGTCGTACTCAAAGAACAAAAGACGCGCAAAATCCACGCATCTTCAGCTCATCTCGCTTCGGAAGCAGCTGGTGCTGTGCGAACTGTCGCTTCGCTCACTAGAGAAGACGATGTAGATAGGATCTACAGTACAGCCCTGAAAGGACCTCTGAAGGTTGCAGTGTGAGTCAGGGAAGTACTCTCAGAGGAATGTCAATGCTCACATCCTCCTAGACAAGGCTCCATCAAGTCGCAACTGCTTTACGGTGCAAGTCAAGGTATCTCCTTTTGCATCATCGCCCTCGTCTTTTACGTTGGATCGTTGTGGATCATCAGTGGAAGATACGATACTGCCCACTTCTTCACCGTCCTCACCGCTGTCATTTTCGCCTCGATTCAGGCTGGAAACGTGTTCAACTTTGTTCCTGACGCATCTAAAGCCAATGGCGCAGCTGCCAACTACTTCCGGTTGGTCGACAATGTTCCGGAGATCGATGCTTTGTCCCCTGAAGGCATCCAGCTGGACCCGACTCAGGTCCAGGGACATATCCGAATCGAAGGTGTTCACTTTAGGTACCCTTCTCGTCCCGGCGTTCGAGTCTTGCGGGATTTGTCACTGGACGTCCCGCCCGGCACGTACGTCGCGTTGGTCGGTGCTTCAGGATGTGGTAAATCTACGACTACGCAAATGATCGAGCGATTCTACGACCCTCTGATCGGCAAAGTTACTCTGGACGGAGTAGATATTCGGGAGATCAATGTTGCGAGTTACAGGAGTCAGTTGGCCCTCGTCTCTCAAGAGCCGACATTATATGCTGGAACTGTCCGTTTCAACATTTGCCTCGGAGCCAACAAACCAATGGAAGAAGTCACTGATGAAGAACTTTTCGCGGCCGCTAAGAATGCCAACATTTACGACTTTGTCATGTCTCTTCCTGACGGATTCGATACTGAGGTCGGAGGCAAAGGATCACAGTTGTCTGGAGGTCAGAAACAGCGGATCGCCATTGCCCGAGCTTTGATCCGGAATCCCAAGGTCCTTTTGCTGGACGAAGCTACTTCCGCGCTGGATTCGCAATCTGAGCGAGTCGTTCAGGATGCACTTGACAAAGCTGCAAAGGGACGGACGACGATGTGAGTGATCATCAGTATCGCCAAACGATTCGGCTGATGTAGACTCCTTCTCTCACTCCTCTAGTGCCATTGCTCATCGATTGAGTACGATTCAAAAGGCGGACATTATCTATTGCTTCGCCGACGGCAAGGTCAAGGAGAAGGGTACACATTCAGAATTGTTGGCTTTGAAGGGATCTTACGTGAGTCTTCACTCTTTTCACTCTACTTGTTTGGGAATATTGTCCTGATAATCCGCAGTATGAGTTGGTACAGATGCAGAATCTGAGTCGACAGCAGTAGATCAGGTATACAAGATGGATCTTGATCGGGTCCAATCATTTTTGTCATGACCAACATGCGTGATGTAATACTTAGATGTCTTTGTCCAGTTCTTGCCCTTGCTGTTTCTGTGTGAGATCGGCTGTCGGGGACCGCGAGATGAAGTGGGACGCACATACGTGATCCCGTGATCCCGCGTGCATCTTTTGTAAGCTGTCCCCCCGCGGGGTAATATAGCAGCGAATTCTTCGGAGTCATCTGTTAGAAAGAGGCGTCAGACCTGAGAGCTTCAGACCGGCCTCCACTTTCCCTCGCCCCCCCATCCCCCCCCTCCCCTTGCGAACTCTATAGAATTCATGGGCGTAGCCATTTCATACCTTCTGAATACACTCAATCAATCAGCCGTGTCAAGATCATCTTGAATCTGCACGCATAAGGGGCTCGGAGGCTGACAGACCAATCGCGGCGTCATCTTTGGAGAATTTGACCTGGAATTGCTTCGTATCCCACTTCCCAAGCCATTCACACCATTCGGTGAGTTTACCCGGTCGGTCCGAGAGGGGAGCCTCATGGAAAGACGTGGTACGCTCTATACTGCTCTCGGATATTGGCCATTCGAAGGAGTTTGACTTGACTGACGCTCTTGGACCTCGACAGACTCTCTCCCAAGGTTTTGACCTGTTACTCTTGTAACAATGTCCGCTCCTATAACTCCATCTACGGCGCCCGAAAAGGGTATCGTCAATCCTCCAGGGACCACTTTGGTGAAGAAGCCATATCCATTCTGGCTGGGAGGTGAGTCGAGCTGCCTCAATACTTGGTCCGACGCGCACCGGGCACGCTGTATCCACTTCGACCCTTCAAAACAGTCGCGACATACCTCAGAATGAGGGGAATCCAAACCTTGTCTACAGGAGAGCTATGGCTGACCCACTTGACTGCACAGGTGTCGCTGCGTCCCTTGCTGCGTCCGTTACGCATCCTTTAGACTTGACCAAAGTCAGGTTACAAACGTCTGGAGATAAGGGCATGCTCAATTCCATGCGAAAAACGGTCGCTGCGAATGGTGAGTCTAAGGCGCTGCTTGTGACTTCCCTAATATCACCCCTCTTCAGGCTTCACTGGATTGTTTGACGGTCTCACGGGAACACTCCTCCGACAGATGACTTATTCCATGATGCGTTTCGCAGTCTACGATGCTGCCAAAGAGGCTTTACAAGATGGTAGGTATCGTCATGCAAAATTCAAGCTGATCGAGTTCTACTAGGACCCGGACCAATGCCAGCATGGCGCATGGCTCTGGCTGGTTCTATAGCCGGAGGAGTAGCTGGAGTCTTTGGAAACCCTGCCGAGTTGATGATGGTCCGTATGCAAGCGGACAAAGCCAAGCCTCCTGAGAGTGGGTCCAGGTGCCGCACCAATGCTGGATTGACACTGATGGGAAAACGCGTACAGAGCGATACAACTATCGAAACTCCATCCAGGGTCTCTACAGGATGACTCAACAGGAGGGAATCGCATCATGGTATCGTGGTGTGGTGCCCAATGGCTTTAGAGCGGTTCTTATGAACATGTCTCAATTGGCCAGGTATGGTAACCACTTCTTAACGTATGCTGAATTCGGGTGCAGTTACGACTGGTTCAAGGAGCAGTTGATATCCAACAAACTTTTGACCGACGGACCCGTATGCCATTTCGTGGCTTCTCTGGGAGCTGTAAGCACATCGACCAGATTGTGACAACGCTGATGAATTGGGACACAGGGTACAGTGGCGACCAGTGAGTGGCTCCATATGCCGATAGACCCCCCGCTGACCAGTCACTAGCCGTTTGCTCGCCTGCCGATGTGCTCAAGTCCAGAATTATGAATGCTCAAGGCGCAGGCACAACCAGTACCATCGCTGTCATCAGACAATCGTGAGCATGCCGCATGCCGCATGCCCCGCTCCATCTCCACCTCCCTGCATATGCTGATTTTGATGCGTGACAGTCTTGCAGCTGAGGGGCCCATGTTCATGTTCAAAGGTTGGGTTCCAGCCTGGATGAGACTGCAGCCCACGTGAGTGTCCGTCTTGATGACCCGTGGAACCCATAACTGACTTTTGACAAACCAGAACCATTCTCATGTAAGTCTATTTTCAGGTACGCGGTTCATTCATGTGCTCATATGCTCTCGCAGTTTCTTGATTCTTGAACAGCTTAAATCTGGTATTGACAAGTATAGACAAGCGGGAGGCAAAGCGCTGTGACGAGGGACTTGGAGCAAGGGACCATGGCGTCCGCTCGATGAACCGTCGATTGTCAGCGGGAGGTTTTGTAGGATCTGCGGATGGGATTTAGACGCATGTCGGATGTCTGTGCGTCAGGCCGCGATGCCGATGACGATAGTAGATTTCAGGCGCGCACAGAGGATGAAAGCACGATAGGTTGTTCACTAGCGAATTGAATGGAATGTACAGCCAAGATCGACCTGTTCCATTGCAAGGCATAGTCAAGACGGAGGGCCTCTCAGCTCATGCTCAGTGATAGCCACTGGATGTCGTGGGCCCTTCGATCACCTTTCCCCCCCACCTCTTTCCACCATATCCGTCTTTTCGGCATTTGCAATAATATCACGGTTAATACAATGTAACCGAAGACTGAAGGGATAGAGTACGTAATCTCCTCGTTATACAAAACGTGGCCATAAATTAGGCAGGATTAAGTTAAATAGGGGAGCAGGCGTCTAGGTCTTCTCTCTCACATCTACGTTGCGGCTACATTTGATCCTGCAATACTTGTCAGGTCCTCGCTACTGCTTTAGTATCACTGAATTCTCAGCAGGTATGTCTAACTTGACCGTTTGACCCTACCCTTCTGGTCAAGTGCTCACGCTGACGCCCCATATTCAGTCGCGAGAACTGAAATAGCTCTTTCTTCCCCCACTCGTCGCTCGTCAGACTCGTTTACAACTCGCTGATTCCCTCCCTGTCATGTCTGACACCCACTTCCACGCTCTACCCGACTCGGTGCACGGAGCAGAGGATGTTTTCCATCCTCCTGCCCGTCTTCAAGGAGAAGGTGGCAGACCCAAACCCCACGTTGGACCCGACTACAAGGCCTACCTTGCTGAATACAACAAGACAGTAGGCAAAGACAGTGATGAATGGTGGGGCAAAGTAGCTCGAGAGCTAGATTGGTACACACCATTCAAGACTGTCCGAGCTGGAGGCTTCGAGCATGGAGATATTCAGTGGTTGTGAGTCACACACATATATATTTACGCCGAAACACGACTCGTGCCAACGACTGTCATAGCCCCGAAGGAACCCTCAATGCCTCTTACAATTGTCTTGATCGACACTTTTACAAGAACCCAGAGAAGACAGCCATTATTTACGAAGCGGATGAATCGTCCGAAGCGAGAGAAATCAGCTATGCTGAACTCATGCGAGAGACTTGCCGAGTCGCCAATGTTCTCAAATCGTGGGGAGTGAAGAAGGGTGATGCCGTGTCAATCTAGTGAGATAGATGAGACTTGCTGAATCTCGGAGAGTACCTAATAACTCATACTAGCCTTCCCATGACTTGGCAAGCCGCTGCTGCTTTCCTCGCTTGTGCACGTATCGGTGCCGTGCACTCGGCCGTCTTTGCCGGTTTCAGTGCAGAGTCCCTGCGAGACCGAGTCAACGATTGTGAATGCAAGGTCGTCATCACCACCGAGTGAGTACGCCTTTTCGCGCATCGGCGGAGAATTGACCTTGATCCAGTGAGGGCAAGCGAGGAGGCAAGACCATTGCCACCAAGCAAAGTAAGCCGGTCCATCTCCGCTTGCTTCTGAGAGCAAAGCTTATATCGTTCAGTTGTCGATGCTGCCCTAAAGCAGTGCCCTTTGGTCGAGAAAGTGCTTGTTCTCCGAAGAACAGGCAACAATGTTCCCATGACTGAGGGACGAGACATGTGGTGGGACGAGGAGTGTGCCAAGGTGCCCACTTATGCTCCCTGTGAACACATGAACGCCGAAGACCCACTATTCATCCTCTACGTAAGTTGATGAAACCTCCCTTTTGAGCTCAGCTGATCCTTCGAAGACCTCTGGATCCACCGGAAAGCCAAAAGGAGTCGTTCACTGCACTGGAGGATACTTGCTTGGAGCCTATCTCACCGTCAAGTACGTCTTTGACACTCATCCAGAGGACAAGTTCGCCTGCATGGCCGATGTCGGTTGGATCACTGGACACACCTATATTGTCTATGGACCTTTGGCCAACGGTATCACCACCACCGTTTTTGAATCCACTCCAGTCTACCCTACCGCTTCCCGATACTGGGACTTTGTCGACAAGTGGAAGGCCACACACTTGTACACTGCACCCACGGCCATTCGTCTCCTCAGAAGAATGGGCGAAGACTTTGTGAAGAACCACGACCTGTCTTCCCTGCGTGTTCTCGGATCAGTTGGAGAGCCCATCAACCCTGAAGCATGGCACTGGTATCACGAATTTGCAGGCAAGAAGCAATGTGCCATCGTGGATACCTACTGGATGACAGAGACTGGATCCATTGCCGTTACTCCCCTGCCAGGTGCTATTCCAACCAAACCTGGATCCGCTACTTTCCCCTTCTTCGGTTTCGATCTCGACATCATTGACCCTCAGAGTGGCAAGGTGCTCGAGGGAAACGATGTCGAGGGTGTCTTGGTTGCGAAGAGACCATGGCCATCAATCGCCAGAACCGTCTTCAGGGATCACAAGCGATACCTTGAGACATACATGAAGCCTTATCCTGGATATTTCTTCTTTGGGGATGGTGCTGGCAGAGACAAGGATGGATATATCTGGATTAAGGGTCGTGTGGATGGTGAGTAGATAAAAACAGGGAGAGGAGTGTGGAGCTGACGCGTATTCCTTCCCAGATGTCATCAAGTACGTCGCGTCAGGTACCGCTCCCACTACAAGCTAATGTCTCGCAGCGTCTCCGGTCACCGCTTGTCCACCGCCGAAGTCGAGTCGGCGCTTATTCTTCACAAGGGCGTCGCTGAGACTGCCGTTGTCGGAGCCGCCGATGAGATCACCGGTCAGGCTGTCTTTGCTTTCGTCACGATGAAGCCAGAATTCGACACCCAAAGCACAAACGAGGCGGATCTGACCAAAGAACTCGCTATCCAGGTGCGGAAGGTTATCGGACCATTCGCTGCCCCTAAGAAGATTGTGAGTGAATATGACGTCCATCGTGCAGAAAACTCATTTGCTTCAGTACCTCGTCGGAGACTTGCCAAAGACTCGTTCTGGAAAGATTGTGTGTAACGCACGATGCTCCGCAGGGGAAGGTGCTGACTCCAGCAGATGCGACGGATCTTGCGAAAGGTGGTCGCAGGCGAAGCCGACCAACTGGGAGATCTTTCATCTATCGCTGATCCTGGAGTTGTGGATGAGAGTGAGTTGATGGCCTGTCCATGTCGGATGACGCTTACATGATCCGGATCAGTCATCGCAAAGGTTGGAGGAAAGAAGTAAATTAAATCACAACGAGATGAGCCTGGACGCTTCGGAGGATTCATTCTTGGGATTCGATGCAATTCAGGTCACAAGGAATGAGAAGGTCAACGGTGGTGGGAGAGGTGCAAGGGCAACAACAGCCCAAGTGCAAAGTATAGCAGACACCATATCGCTTCCACATATGCAGTTCTTCCGATCGACTAGTACACCCCTGCAGACCCTATTCGTGATCGTTATTAGCCGAAAGAATCTCTACGCGATTGGGAAAAATTACGGCAGTCGGCGCCCAGCTTTTGCATGAGACGAGATTTTCGAAGGGCTTGGTACGGGGCCCGGTCGCCATGTTGCGGGCTTTACACTGCTCGTTGCGTTCCAACTCGAAGAGCAAGCGTTTGAGCGGTTGACAAACGTCGATGAGACAGTCACTGTGATATCTAGACGCGACATCCGGTCATCCAGCTCCCCCCCCACTGTCGTTACCCACCGCTGATCTCCTCCACCATGCCACCACGGGTGTTGGTCATCGGATCTGGTCTAGCCGGTCTGACTACAGCATACTTGTTGCATAGGGAAGGTTGTGAGGTCTTTCTCGTCGAACGGGTGAGTGCCTTCGCGTATCGCCCTCGAGAGGCGGCTCAATTCCTGGCCATGGCGCTAGCTATTCTGGGCTTGTATGATCCAAAAGCAAGGACGCCGATCCCTCGAGGTGTCCGAAAAAACTGAATGACTGCTGCTGCTGCTGATCATGATGGTTTTTTGGGCAGTCTGATCAACTAGGGTTCCATTCTTCTTCCATTGTCATTCCAAGGGACAACGCAAAGGTACCCTGGGGCCAGGAAGATTGGGTGGTCGACGTTCCCATGCGGAGTTTCCAAGGCGGTCAGTATCACAGCGCGTTCAAAGTGGCAGGTCTAAGCTGACTTGCGCGCTGCAGGTTACTACCCTCTCTTGATTGCGCTTTACAGACATCTCGGACTCTCGTTCACCTCTGCAGACTTTACATTCTCCTTCTCTCGACTTCATGCTCCATCTCCCCTTCGCTCAGCTTCTCATTCCAACCGACCGACAATTTCCACTTATTTTATTCATTCTGGATCATCAGGTCTTTCACTCCCTTCCTTTCCTCACAAAGCTTACAGCTCGTTCATCGCTCTCCTCCGACACTCAGTCCGCTGGACGATTTTCGCCGTATGCTACATCTGTCTCCTGGTCTTATCATTCATCTCATGGCATACCCTCCTCCCTCTCCCTCGTACGCTCTCAGCCTTACTCGACTCGATCTCCGATCTGCCGATACTGTATCGGATAATAGGAGAATTCATCCATGAGATCTTTGTGCCGATCTTTTCGGCAGTAGGCACCATGACGTGTTCCGACGTCCTCAACACACCGCTCGATACAATCCTGGCGTACGTTCATAACACCTTTGGAACGAGTCATTACGCTCTGGCGCAACATTCCGCAAGGGATGTCGCCCGACTGCTGGTCGAGCCTTTGAGAATTCAAGGCGGCGAAGATCATATTAGGCTCGGCGCTGAGATCTCCGCGATTCGCATGACAACGAAGGCATCTCGAGATGATAGACCGTCGCCGACGGGTGATCAGGCCTTCAAAGTCAGTTTGAAAGAAGGTGATGAGATAATCGTGGACAGAATCGTCATCGCCACTCAGGCTAGCGCTGCCATTTCTTTAATAGACATGATCAAAGGCATGGACTCGCATGAGGATCAGCGCAGAGTCGATCTCTTCAAGTCAGCGCTGTACAGAGTCTCTTACAGGGTGAGTCTTCCCGCGTTTGTCAGCAACTTGACATCCTCCTGAACATGCCACGCAGGAGACCATTGTAGTAACACATCGAGACTACTCTGTGCTACCGAGAGACGCCGATACGCGAGACATCAACCTGGTCCTGCCGGACTCATCCTTGCTACATCCGACGACAGAATCAAGCTATGGGCCAACTCCAGCCCTTTCGTCAACTTGGACCTCGCGATCCCCCTCTAATTACGCATCTGGTCCATCCACACCGATGGAACCCGCCTTCCATCAGATGTCTATGCCTTATTTCCGTCCGAAGAACGACGAGGTGTATACCATGGCGACGCACATCATATATCCTCCCAGTGGTTTTGAATCGAATGGTCCGATACTACAAACGACAAATCCAATCGTACCGATTGCCTCTGGATCTGTCCTAGGTATAGCGAGACTTGAGAGGTTAGTCAAGCAAAGGAATAATAGTATCACCTAGCTGACTGATCGCTTCGTGTGCCAGAGCTTTGCCACTTGAGAATCCAGATACCATCCTCGAATCACTGAGCGTGGCGCCGGGCTCATCCGACGAAGCATCGCATAAAATTCACTTTGTGGGATCCTATGCTCACTCTGGAATACCCTTACTGGAAGGTTGCGTGGGCAGTGCGCTGCGAGTGGTCAAAGAGATCTTGGAGAGCGAAGGACTTCGAACTCGGACCAATAAGACGCCCCTGGGACATGTGGACTGGACCCAAGGCTTGGGAGGCAGAGTCGGCCGACTTTGGCGTTGGCGTGCGCGAAAACTCTATTAGTAACATTGTGATCGACCAGCCGATCAAGTATTGTACATGGCATACACTGCATAGGGCTGAAACTGGACGCCAAGGGACGCATTATGACTACAGTTGAGCGATAGCTGCGCTTATATTACTCGACGATCTCCCAATCCAGGTCTTTACCTGCCCAGAACGGCACGACCTCTGTGCCTTCGCCCCGAAGGATGCTGGGAACTTTCTGTCCCTTGACCCGTTTCAGCTTGAGCTCTTGACCCCTTTCCGGTGGCACATTATAAAATCTTCTACCATGACTACTGACATAGCCCTCCAATCTTTCCAGGGCTCCAAAACTTTCTAACAAAGTAGCGACGAGCGGCACGAGGATCGGACTAGTATACACTCCAGCGGCGCATGGACTCGGTTCTCCGCCTTCGACCAAGCCAGGCGCCTTGGATGTTGTCGGATGAGGCGCACTATCAGACCCTAGGAAAAATTTGGGATTCCCCGATTTGATGGCTTCTTGTAGTGCCTTCCTATCCTTGGGTTCCTTTGCTAAAGGTTTACAGAAATGATGAGGTTGAGGTGCGACCGTGTCGATTGTCAAATAGAGATGATGAGCTGTGATGGTGCAAGCGACGTTGGAAGGGAGTTCAAGGACGGTAGAGATGGCTTCGGATGTCGTAGCGTGTTCGAGAACGATGCGAAGTTTTGGGAAATTATGTGCTAGTTTGCGTAAATGGGTCAAGAAGTGTTTCTCTGCATTGAGGATGGAAATGTTCTGTAAGATCAAGTCAGGGTGGGAACCTCGTGGCTGCCGACAGACACACCTGATCCGGGTCGCTGGGGACTTCCCCATGCAGGTTCAATACCATGCCTTCCTCTTCCATGGCTCTGAATACGGGATAGTAGACGGTATAATCTTCAATACCGGAGCTGCTGTTTGTAGTGACACCTCGGGGATAGGATTTGACACCTTGACTTGTCAACCACCACGCATGTGTCGGAGACGTCATGGTAGTAAACTCACCACTGATACCTGCCTTTGAAGCCTTCCTGATCTCATCAGGCGTGACATCTGGGTGGAGATACAGCGTCATAAGCCATTGAGTTTTCGGGTCAAGGTTTTGCAAGTGATTTCTGTACTCAATCACCGCGTCCGTGGTCGTCAAGGGCGGTATGAGATTCGGCTGAGGAAGGCACTTAAGAGGCCTGAAGATCAGGCAGACTCACCATGACATAGGCTGTCCTGATACCTCCCTGTGAGACGTGAGGAACGACCAAGTCGCACATCGGTCCTTGTCGGACGTGGACATGAAAGCTGGAATTGGGAGTCAGCGATTGCAGTCAGATGCAGACATGTAGTATTGGGCCGGTGAGCTCACTCTGCTGGAGCAGGAAGGACGATTTCGTCGACCGAGGACATGTTCGGGAGCTTTGCTGTGCTATTTTGTGGGTTCCGATGGTGTAAAGGCTTGACCGAATGGCAGACAGCATGGTGCAGATACTCTCAACTTTTTTGCCCTCCACCTACACTCTCGGCGAATTTCACTCCGCCATTGCGCAAAGATAATCTTGCGGATGGGTCTATCCTCTCTCAATCATTCAGGTCGCCGTATTTGGAGCTGAATCCGGGAGATCGATCTATCTGGTCGAGCCACATCGAAGACTTCCCCTTCTTCCCTCCGAGAGTGTCGGTTTTGGTCCGCTCCGATTGGCTCGCGCCAGGATACAGTGCGCAAACGAACGTGTCTCCTCAACCCATCTACGAGGAGATCCTCAGTAGCCCGAAAATAAACCCTGCGTCAAGGCTGGATCCCCTTCCCTCCCCTATAAGGGCTGGGGTCGGGCGGGCTTGAATCTCCGCTCTTCAATGATACGGGCATCGAGGACAGAGACGATCAGGTATCGCCTTGCTCATAGTTCCCTTTCACCCCGGGCTTGCGCTCGGAGACAGTTTATAACATCATCATCCATCCTCTCATCGTCTTTGACTTCCATCAAATCCCGACAGACTCGTCTCTGGACTGTCTCCTCTGCGTCTACTTGTCACTGCGTCAAGAATAGCGGTATGCCGAAACGAAGGCACGCTTCGGGTCAACCCGGGTCTTCCTCTTCTGCTGGTCCAACACCAAGCTCCAGCTCGAAGCCTGCAGCGAGCAAATCTGGACGCGAGGTTGAACTTAGCCACGCGCATGAACACGACGACCACGATGGGCACGACCATCATCATCACCATGGAATATTCTCAGCCCATCATCACGATCATCACGAGGGAGCGGAGCAGATCATGCAAGCTTTGGAATCTGGCAAGATTGATAGAGGGACGAAGATAACGTTACTCGGTAGGTGAACAGCCCGTTGTAGTGAGCCGATTGTCCGCTGATAGACCGGTTTCTCAGGACTCGGAACCAATGTCGGTTTGACCATTACCAAGGGTCTCGCAGGTCTATGGATGAATTCTGCAGCACTTGTTGCAGAAGCCGGACATAGCTTGTCAGATCTGCTAGGCGTAGGTGCCGCCTCAGGCCCCAAGGCAATGTCAAGCTGAATGGCTCAATCATAGGACATTGTCACCTTGACAACTTGGCGAATATCACGGAGGAAGCCGACAGACAAGTACCCCCTTGGTTTCAGCAAGTTTGAAACGCTAGGTACCTTGACTGTCAGCTTTATCCTTGGTGAGCGGATTGGTAAAGGAGTATCTGAGCGTGTCACTGACTTTAGCCCTCAGTCGGCAGCGCAGCGGGCATTGGACTGCATTCCTATCATGTGAGATATTTGAAAGGCCTCGACGTGGACCATTCTAACAGGAACTTAGCTTCTCACACAGACTCTCATACCCTTTCTCGAATCCTATCCCTCCGACTCAATCCTCTCGACACTAGGTCGTATATTACCGCACGGCGTCCCTTCCCCACTCTTAGAAATGTTTCACTCTCATGGTCCATCAGCTGACGGTCATGACCACTCACACGGACTTCTTGGTCACTCGCACGATCACAGCCATTCTCTGGGCGATCATGCTCATTCCCACGAAGCCGTCTTGAATCCGCATGCTGCTTGGTTCGCCGTGGGCAGCATAGCCGTCAAGGAATGGCTTTACAGGCTCACCGCGAAAGTCGCCAGGGAAGAGCATTCACCAGTTCTCAAGGCCAATGCCTTGCAGTGAGTTTAGACTGGTTAGTGGTTCTCTCTCTCTGACCTCTGGCTTCAGTCACCGCGTGGACGCCATGACTTCGCTGATAGCTTTGGTGTCCATCCTTGGGTCATCATTAGGCGGTTATAGCTTCCTCGATCCCATAGGCGGCATCGCAGTCTCGCTCTTTATTCTTCGACAAGGTTTCGGTCTGACGAAACAAGCCCTGTTCGAGTTATTAGATCGAGGAGTAGACGAAAAGACAAGAGTAGCAATGAAGAAGATTGTCAATGAATTCGTGGACGGTAAACGTGTCCTCGAGATAAAGAATGTTCGAGGCGTCAAATCGGGTGGTGAGTGTTGCGTGTCCCGAGAATGTAGCCAACTCACGCGCACGCCGCCCGTAGGACAAACGCTGGTTGACTTGACCATCACCGTCCCGCCAACTATGACGGTTGTCGACTCGCACTTGATCGAGCACCAGGTCAGAGATGCTTTGCTCCGCGCGCGAAAGGAAGTCAAAGAAGTCCGGATACACGTCCACGTAGACGAGGACCCAGCGGATGGTAAGAAGGAGACAGATAAGGGAACAGAGGCAGTCGGCGTATCTGATTTTGGACGAGACGCGCATTGGTAGGCATGCGTCGAGATGACCTTGTCTTGAGTAGGGTACAGATAGATGCACATGATTGCATGTAGATGCTTAAGAGTCTACAGCAGTAATTAAAGTGTCCTTCCTCGCAAGCTTTTTTTCATCCTCCCTCCAGCTTTCAGCTTTTAGAGCTTGACCCAGGAGCCACTGCCGCCTGAAACTCGACGTTTCTTCTCGCCGCCAATGGTCAACCTTACACTCTTGACTTCGAAGCCACGGAAGTTGAGGTTGAGGACAGACGTCGGTACATCAGACTCGTCATCAGTCTCGAGCGACATGTTGAGGTCCGAGATGTTGTCTTCGAGAATGTTGACAATCTCTGCCTTCTTAACGGTGAGTCCGGAACTGAAGGAGCGGGAAGTCAGCATCTTGTTTGGATGACGAATTTAGCCGGCCACACTCACATCTTGAGCGAAGTCTTCGCGTGACCTCCCATGTGTTCAAACAATCGGATGATGATTGTCTTTTTGCCGTCCATGTCGAATTTGTCGTCCTCTCCTCGCTTGACGGTCTCGAGTCGGACGTTGGGAGCTCCGTGGAGTTTGAATGGCGAGGAGGCACCCAACATGTGGGAAGACGCCATGGGGCTTGAGGTAAGACGCACTGTGGGTATGTTTAAGTCAGCTCACTCGGAATTTGCTTGGAAGAGAGTACGACTCACGCTTCATGGGCTGGTTGAAAGCATAGGCAACATCCGCAACATCACTTTCAGCATAGACACCAGCGTGCGGGTAGATAGCCCAGGAGATTCGGTGAGTGCCCATATCAGTGTTTGGATCAGGTGCCTTAGGCGATCTAAGCAATGACAGGCGCATGACATTGCCATCGACGGCGTATCCGTACTTGCAGTCGTTGAGCAAAGCGACACCATAGCCATATTCACTGAGGTCGGCAAACTTGTGTGCACAGACTTCGAACTTGGCAGCATCCCAGGACGTGTTCTTGTGCGTTGGTCTAGTGATGACTCCGAACTGGGTGTCATAAGTTGCAGAGTCACAGTTGATGTCCAGAGGAAGCTCGAACTTCAGGAATCGGTGAGACTCGCGCCAGTCGATGACGGCGTCGAAGCGGACCATACTTCGGGCGTCAGAGTTGACTGAGGCAGAGATGGCATCGAGGGAGATCTAAGAGGAACATCAGCAATGTAAACAACGGCCATCTCGATCGACATACCTCGACCTCCATTCTGCTCTGTCCGTACATAACGGTAGCCCCAAGGGTGGCTCTGACCGGTCCATACTCGAGAATGTTGATCTGGTCGAATTTGAGGTGCTGTTGCTTTTGCAAGTGGAACGAGTCGACATCCCAAGCGTCCCAGTAATTGGGTTGATCCTCCATGATGACCATTCCTCCCGTCATACCCTCGGCAATGAGCTCCTTGTCAAGAGCGACATCATAGAGACTGGTGATTCGACCATCGTCGACCGTCATGCGGACAGACTGGTTGGCCATGATGAAAGTTTGAGGACCAGTGGTGTGGACGGACACGCGGGGTCGTTGAGCATAGGCCTGGGAGATACTCTTGGGAACGACAACCATCTCTTCCGCGGAGCCAGTTTTGCCTCCTTCCATCAGCATGTAGGCAGTGTGTCCATCTCGGCTGATCTGGACAGAGGCATCCTTGATCGAGGCGTGCGCATCGACCGGGACTTCCATGATCTCCTGTCGGTGATAGTTGGGCATTGTGTTGACGGCGAACAGGGTTCCCTCCTGGTCAGTCACCTTGTTGATGGGGATCGAGTTGGCGTAAAGGACCTGATGAGCCTCTTCGAGCACACCGCCGATGACTTTGACAATGTTGGCGTACTTCTCCTCAGCATCATCGTACACCATAGCGATAGAACTTCCAGGAAGGACATCGTGGAACTGGCATAGCAAGAGATCTTCCCAAGCGGCATCGAATTTCTAACATTGATGTCAGCCTGAGAAGGATGATCGGATAACGGAGACAAACGTACCGCCTTGGGGTACTCGTAGTCGGGATCAGCAAGAGAAGCCATGGTGGCGGCGTACTCTGCCTCTCGAAGTAGGATCTCATTCTTCCTGTTGCCCTTCTTGATGGAACCGTGCGAGGTGTAAGTTCCTCTGTGGACTTCGAGATACAACTCTGATTTCCAAGTGGGCAAGATTTTGCCATTGTCGGTTTTGGCTCGGAGCGTCTCGAAGAATTCGTCAAAGCTTCCTCCCATCTTGAGCTGTGGAATCAGGCCACCTGCATCATCCTGCTTGCTAGCGGCTCGGATTCGTCGGAGCTTCTCAAGCATGTTGGGGGTGGGTCCACCACCGCCGTCACCATTTCCGAAGAGGTATAGGGCGTCATTGGTGACATCCGAGTTCTTGTGGTTCGTCATTCCCTTGCGAACTTCGTCAATGTTACATTGGGCACCGTACGTGTCGACGGGAGTCAGGTGAGTGAGGACCTGAGATCCATCGATACCGATCCAGTTGAACGAATTGTGAGGGAAAGTGTTGACAAGGTTCCACGACATTTTCTGAGTGAAAAAGTATGGAACTCCGGCAAGTCGACAAAGCTGGGGGAGTTGACTCGAGTATCCGAAAGTATCGGGCAGGACAAAGATCTTGGATCGGAATCCGAATCGGGATTCATAGTATCGTTGACCGTAGAGGAACTGTCTAACGAGAGACTCTCCAGTGGGCATGTTGACATCCATTTCGACCCAAGTAGATCCCAGAGGTTGGAAACGACCGTCGGCTACTTTCTCCTTGATTCGGTCGAAAAGCTTGGGGTAGAGTTGCTCAACCCACTTGTACTGCTGAGCAGAAGTGGCGGAGAATCGATGCTCAGGGTATCGCTCCATCAAGTCGACCTGAGTAGACCATGATCGAGCTGCCTTCTGCTGAGTAACTCGGAAAGGCCACAACCAGGCAGTGTCAATGTGACAGTGTCCGATACCCCAAAGAGTTCCCTCTTGCTTGTCGGCATTTTTGCTGTCTTTCTCAACTTCCCTTATCCATCCTTCTCCCAGTACCTCTTGGGCGATCTTCCTGCATTCAGCAAGGGAAGATTCATCTTTATCCCTGAAAGCGTTCATGATCTTGTTGGCGACGTATTCTGATTTCCTCGCCAAGTGAGAATCTTGGGGAAGGTCGTATGCCATCTGATGAAGACATTCAAAGTCGTACATTGTCGCCCAAGCGTCGAGGTTGACAGCCACTAGATCGGCACTGTTCAGGGGGTAGTAGTTGTTGGGATTCGGGGGCTGAATATCGTTCTGACCTCCCAATCGATTACATGAAGCTTCGATGAAGTAGTGTCCGACACCGGCCTTTCGATCAGCTTCGGGAATGATGAATTCGACTCGTCGATCACCACCAAAACCACCCGTCAGCGCGTGGAGGGGAAGACCATCGGTGTTGAAGATTAAAGCTTCACCAGACGGGTCGAATTCGAGCTGGACTCGCTCGTATTTCTCCCAGTCCTTGGGGATTCGGACTGTGACTTTGAACCAGTGATTCGACCATGATGGACCGAATGACTCGCCAACATGAGCTGGTCGATAGCCAGTAGCCTTCTTGGCTTCCTCAAAGGTGGGTTTGGAGAGTCCAGGAGCTGACCAGACTTCGAGCGAGACATGGTCAGAGTCGTTCTTTCGACCGTAGAACATCATTGCTGCCAGATTGTTGTCGGAGTATGCTCCCCCCTGGTGTATATAGTCAGCGGGGACACGATACTCGAGTGAGTAGCGCTCACAGTAAACTGGTTGAGTCGATTGTGGATATCTCCGATACCCTTGTAGCCTGCATAGTCCACCGCATCAGCACCCGATCAAACTTGAGGAGAGGCAGACGCTTACGAGCAGCATAGTTCCTGGTCGGGTAAGCCCCGAGGCTGCCTGAACCGCTTTTGAGACCGCTCATCGTGACCTATCTGTACACTGTAGATTGGATGGAGAGATGAGGTGAGACTGCCTTGTCTACCTCTGTAATGTACAGTAGATCGTGGCAAGATGTATATGGAAATAGCTTGGTGGTCCCTCTGCCCGCCGCCCGCCCGCCCGCCGCAGTTTCCTCCTTTGCGCCCTTCGCCGCCGCCCACTTGACCCCCCACTTTTCGTCGGCCAGAAAACACCCCGGAAATGGGAGAATCGGCGAATCGCAGTACCGCCCAGAGTGGGGTGACGTGGCAATTTTCCACTCGTGGCATCAAGAGCAGAGCTTGGCTTCGGGGAGTGGAGGGGGGACTTGGGCTGGATGGAGGGAGCTCGAGGAGGGTGAACTCAGCGCTGTGTCGACGAAGGCCTGGCCTAGGGGGGAAGGTGGCCGGTGGAAGATGCAAGTCTGTTGCGTCAGATATACCACTTTCGTTATCAATATGTAGACGGATATGTCGGATATGTAAGATGATGCGGATGATAGCTGAGACCATTTAGTTGATGCTCTTGATGATTCTACTGTAAGGGCTCTCATCAGCGCTCAGTCTATCGAGTCCTTGATTAAAGCTCGCGTGCTCTAAAGATGAAACGGGGATCACCTTTTGCCACTGTGCTAAATATTCATTGCGCGTTATCCCTTGTATGAAATTCCTGCCTTCTGTATGTGTGTTCTGAGTGTCGATGCCAAAGCATCTGCCGACATTCAAGCACTTGCTAGCATCACCAGCCACACCTCAAAAAACACAGGACAGACCGAGAACCAAAAGCGTCAATGATCTCTTGGCCTCTTCACGAACGAATTTACGAGCTTCGAACAGAAGAAATGATGAGGATAATGGAGATTCATCCGCCAGTAGGCTTGCGTTGAATCCCCATCTTCAACCTGGTGAGACGATCTGGGCGCCACCTTCTGTCATTGTTGGAGGTGTGGCAAATCTAGACATACAGGAGGGTGTGGTACATCCCGCTGAGATCGCCAGGAGACAAGAAGCAGAGAGAAGACGAGCGAGGAGAGGGGTTGCTGGACCGGCTCCGCCGCCGTCATGGGGTACACCGCGCCAGCCTCGACCTGATGCTCAGAGAGTAGCGGGCGGACTCAGTGAGACGGCTGGAAGCTCTCAACATCTTGAACCACGACACGTCACCACGAGAGATCTGGAGAGATCGTTCTCACTTTTCAGCGATCATGGATCTACCGCTCGGGCTGGACTCCCTTCGCTCGTCGATCACTGTCTTCAATTGATCCTGTTGAACTTGAACGATGAAGCACCTCTATATACTGGCGAGACAAGTCCCGAGTCAGGTGAAGACCAGTGGACCATCGGCGGCCTTCTCAGCGAGCAACTCCCTTACCTCGATACCCACCTCAGAACCCAGCTTCTGGCTTGTCATGCGCTCCTACCGGAAGGATCCGCATCTCGATTGACGGATGACAATCTCGTTCGGACGCTTGCAGATGCCTCTAGGGAGGGATATGGTTCAGGTGATCTTCCCGGACCCATAAAGGAGGAGGAAAATCTGAGTGCAGATGGCCGTTCAATCCAGGAGATGCAGGGAGATCACCCCGATGATGACTTCACGGCTCAAGAAAGAGGCAGCGACAAGGGAGACACCCCGTCCGGGTCTTCTTCTGACTGGGATCGGGCCACTACTTCTTTCACGGTTCATCACCTACCCATCACGCTCCACCCATCCCCGGTGTCCCTCCTTCGACGGATCAATACCTTGGACTCGGTGTCGATCACTTCGATCAATTTGGCATACTCCACCATCAAAGATATGGAAAGGCTGGTGGCAGTTCTACCCGTGGGCTTGAGGGAACTTGGTCTTTGCGGAATCAGAATTGGTACAGGTGTCACACAGAGAGTGAGGGATGGTGAGGCCTGGCGAAGAGGGCTCAGTGCGTTGGCCAGGAGATTACTCGTCTTGAGGGTGAGCTACTGGATGCCTTGTGAGACAGAGCTCGAGATTGATCTACTGTAGATGCTAGACATCTCAGAAGCTCCCTTTCCTTGTATCCAGCACTATCTCACAGCCTTGCTATTCCCGCCATCGACGCGACTACCATCACTCCGCATCATGAGTCTGAGAAGGTCTCTGGGAGACACGCAGCTTATTGCCTCTGGCTCGCACGACGCGGCGGATGATATTAACTCTAAGCGACAAGTGAGGTCTGATCTACTCGATATTGTAAGAGCACGCTGCAGAGAGAGATACGTAGAGGTCATCTGGGCTTGAATAGCCATGCATAAGACAGTACATGTGTACATCTTCGGCACCGCTCATATTCTCCAGATCAAGCTCACTCCTTCATCACCTGCACTGATGATGACCTGGTCGATAACTCCTTGACCGGGAGCACTAAGCTGAGTTCCATCCATTTTCGCATCGCCTTCGACCCGAGGAGGTGCGCGGGCGACCGCCACACCATTGACAATCCCTAGATGGCCTTTGTGCGTAGCTATTAGAGCGCCCGTACGGATATCCCAAGTTTTGAGGCATCCATCGGCCGAGGCACTCGTGACGAGATGAAGATGGGGTGCAGGATGAGGAGAGATAGAGGTGATGGCATCCTAGTATTCGAGTCAGCGCACAGTTTAAGAGAAAGAAGGGTGCCCGTGATACCCACTTCGTGTTGCAATTCTGCTCGAACTCGTCCCGTATTGACATCCCATACGAAACCTTTGCCATCCGTTCCTCCACTGACTAAGACGACTCCTTTTCCACCTCCAGCTCCACTCAGCAAATCGACAAACACTAGCGCCTCGACACTTTCACCTTCCTTGTGTCCCTGTAAGGTCTGAACGACATCACCTTTGGGGAGATTGACGAGCTTGACTCCACCGGCAGCACCTCCAACAGCGGCAATCTGTCCGTTGGGCGAAACGGCCAATGACGTGATACCGTCTGTACCCGGGTCAAGCTCTGGGGAATTAGGAGCGACAAAAACGGAGGTCTTGAAAATTGGCGTGGAAGTCGACACTTCCCATAAGACTAACGTCGAGTCCAATGACGTGGTGAGGAGTTGTCGACCGTTTGGTGGAGGGAAGATCCCACAGGTCGAGGTGAGTGTGTGAGAAGAGAGTACAGTGAGGTTTTCACCCTTGGGTACTGAGGCAACAAAGTCAGCATGGTGTGATGGCTGCAACAGCCATACTCACGAGACCAGAGCCAGACGACTGAGTCTTCGCAACCTGCCGCTAGGACATTTCCTTTCGGATGCCACGAAAGCCACTGGAAGAAGCTCAGCAAATGAAGATTCTACGTCAGACATACCTGAACCTCGCTGGACGCATCAAGATCCGTCAAGAATTCCCATTTCTTCCAACTATCCATGCTGTCCGCAACCCCAGCAGCCTCTTCGGAATTTCGCCTGCTCCCTTTGACCCTCCGCCAGACTCGTACATGTCCGTCCATTCCTCCCGTAGCCACCATCTCACCGTCAAAATTCCAGGCCGCAGCTACAACTGAGTCTTTATGGCCAGTGAGCTTGACCGCAGGGAAAGAGTCTGAGCTGAAGGAGGAGGATGAAGATGCTTCTTCGTCGGGGTTGGCAGGTATGGGGCAGAAGATGAACCCTTGGTCGTCTTCACCTCCTGAGATGGCGAGGGGCGGGTTGGGGAAGTTCGGATGGAGAGCGATAGCAAAGATGGACTGTTGAGATTTGTGCAGGGCTGAACGAAGCGTCAGCATTGCCCAATCGGATCAAGTGAAGGAATCCAAGGGGTGGTCGACTCACATGAACCTCCCCAAGCGTTGTCTTCTGCTTCAAAATCCCTCATCATCTGCTCTTCTTCCTCGTTCGCAGGTCCTCCAATCACAATCTCTCCGTCATACTCTCTGTCGTCATCCTCATCTTCGTCCATAGGTTCGTCTCCGTCATCCTCATGTACTTCAACAATATCTTCTTCTTCCAGTTGAGCATCTTCGTCGAGCTCTTCATGCTCGTGCTCAGGGTCTACGGGGTGTTGCGACATTGTGCTAGGGGCGCTGCGCTATCTGAGACGGAATAGATTGATTGCCTCTGTCGAGGTGAAATATATGCTCCTTGGAAGGTGATCCAGCTCCAGTCGGTGCTTATAAAGAGTTCCGTGGAGATTTTTGCCAGAAAAACAGCCTCCACTCGGCTCGGATCCGAGATAGCATCACACGTGGCGACGGAGGCCATCGCCGGGGCTTGTTCAGCTTCAGCAGCTGCAAATTGCATCAGATATATAGCGGGCAGTCAAGGGTATTGGGACCCCGTGAATATAAGCAAGTCATGCGGAGATGTCGGGGGACAAAAGAGGATACATCGTAATGTCATAAAATTTAGCAGGACCAAATTACCATCGAATGCTCGGACACTTGAACCCTGGCAGAGGCCCACGCTCAGCCCCAAGCAAGCAGCTATTGGGCGAGAATTGATCGGACGAAGGAGTGGTAGTTGATCTGACCGTCTCTACCGTGAAGGTCAGCGAAGCGCTGGAATGGGCAGGCCGCACGCCTTCCACTTACTGTACCTGGAATCCCTTCAACAATTCATCCACCTCCTCGTCCGACATCTTCTCCCCAAGTTGTGTAAGGACGTATCGCAACTCTCCCGCACCAATAAAGCCATTGCCAGCCTTGTCAAAGACTTGGAAGCCTTTAATGAATTCGTCTGGGTGGCGTACGTAGCGTTAGCGGGTGGCCGGTTCCAGGATTGGACAATGAAAGGGGCATGTCGCAGGGAACAGGCGGATTCCCTTCAACAGGAGGGCAGTGATATCTCAACGCCAGGCAGCCGCCATCCCGTCTCGACCTGATGACACTCTGAAGACCGGACCTCTCGCTCACCTGCTGTGCCTGCTGGTTTCCAGCCATCAGGTCGGTTGAGGATCTGCAGGAAATGATCGTAGTCGACTGGACAGATGTGGGTAAGCATACGACTTCAATATGAATTGATCTTCGTCAATGAAGACATCCACTGACAAGTGTTTCCAACTTGACCCTGTAGTTGCTGGACCTCGGCCTGTGTAGGGTTTTGACCCAATGACCTGAGCAATTCTCCTAGGGTCTCTTTTGGGAGTTGACCAGTTCCTCGCTTGTCAAAGAGGGCGAATGCCTCTCGATACTCTATAAAGCGAGTTAGATCTTGTGTCATCAGAATCCATTGTGCCAAGCACAACAGATGGTAAGACCAATGTTGATGTTGTTGAGCTCTGTCGCTCGGACCCACCTGCGTTGTTACCGCTCTGCGATGAATGTCAGTACACCCACGCTTCCATCTACTCCTCAGCTCACCATGATGCTCGATACCTGTTATGATTCGAGAACGTTTGAAGTTGTTGAGGATGAAGATTGACGATGTGATTCTTCAGATGATACTGCAGCGGATGAATGGAGGGTTTGTGTCTTCTGAAACTCACAGCCACTGGACGCGCGCGCCCGCGTAGGGAGTGAGTCGTTAGAAATACCTTCCTAATGATGTGCCGGACACTGATTAGTAAACATTTCTAATCGAGACTAGGGGCGAGAACAAATATCCAGGCTCGATATTTTCTCTCAATTTATCCCAAAACCCAAAATTTTTACGAGCCAGTCACTCGTATCTCTCTTTTCTCTCTTTTTTTTCTGGGTGATCAGCATTCAGCGTTGTTTTCAACCTCTCACTCACTCTGAACAAATTCCATACGAACCTCCAAAACAAAGGGACTCTCAACACCCTCTGACTCCCGTCTCCCACGTCTCTGCATAGACTGATCTCTAGCATAGACGACTGATTGAAAATCCAGACAAGAATTCGCATTTAATCCTTGTCCTCCCCCTCGCGTCCTCGTCGCCACCTCGATTATCTATAAAAAAAATTGCATCCCCTCTCTTCAATCCAAATTCTAGAGTATGACCACTGGACATATCAGCAATGCTCATGCCAACGGTGCTCCCAACGGGCGTGTGAATGGAGACACTGGCTTGGAAAAGTCATTCAGTGAGTGGTAGCGCGCCGATGGATGAAGTCATTTAGGTCGCGTGCTGACATATCTCGCTTCCTTCCTTTGTAGATGCATTCACTTTGAATCCCGATCGACCAGCCTACATTCCACCTCACATGAGAGGAAAACTTCAACCTGCACCCGCACCTTCTAACGCTGGTCCCGGAGGTTTCAACAACAACAAGCAGAACGCAGCCTTCCCGCCCATTGGTGGAGCTCCAGCTCCACATGCCGACGGTTACAGGCCTCAGCAAGGTCTCCCTACGCCCGCGGCGACCCCTCCTGCCTCTTCAGCATATGTTCCCCCTTCCTCTAGGGGAGGGCCTCCCAGTGACGGAGGTTGGGGTGGTCCGCCCCGAGGAGCTGCACCTCAAGGACGAGGCTGGGGTAGCGGTGGTGGTGGTGGTGGTGGTGGCGGCGGAAGCGCTGGTGCTGGATATGGAGTCTGGCGAAACGGCCATGTAGTCGGGCAGCGAAACCCTCGAATGGAGAAAGAGCTCTACGGAGAGGAATCTGATGGATCGCACATGGTGAGTGGACCGCATCGGCCGCGATTTGCGGGATGTCATCCTGACTCTGTGACAAGGGCACTGGTATCAACTTTGACAAGTACGCCGACATTCCCGTCGACGCGTCTGGAAATGGCGTTCCCGAGCCAGTTACCCAGTTCACCAACCCTCCCATCGACCCTGTGCTTCTGGAGAACATCGGTTACGCTCGATACACCACCCCCACCCCCGTCCAGAAATACTCGATCCCCATCGTCGCCAACGGACGAGACCTTATGGCTTGTGCTCAGACTGGTTCCGGAAAGACTGGTGGCTTCCTCTTCCCGATTCTCTCATCCATGTTCTCCTTTGGCCCTATTGCACCTCCTGCCGATAACAACAGCTTCAGCTACAATTCTCGACGAAAATCGTACCCTACTGCTTTGATCCTCGCTCCCACTCGAGAACTCGTCTCGCAAATCCACGATGAAGCCAGACGATTTGCCTACCGATCTTGGGTCCGACCTGCCGTTGTTTACGGAGGTGCCGACATCGGTCAACAGATCCGGGCGCTCGACCGAGGTTGCGACCTCTTGTCTGCCACTCCTGGTCGTCTTGTCGACCTGATGGAGCGAGGCAGGATCAGTCTCTGCAACATCAAGTATCTCGTTCTCGATGAAGCCGATCGAATGCTGGATATGGGTTTCGAGCCCCAGATTCGACGAATCGTTGAGGGCGAAGACATGCCTGGAGTTCAAGACCGACAGACGCTCATGTTCTCTGCCACCTTCCCCCGAGAGATTCAGATGCTCGCTCGATCGTTCTTGAAGGATTACGTTTTCCTTTCCGTTGGACGTGTCGGTTCCACTTCCGAGAACATTACTCAGCGAGTTGAGTATGTCGACGACAACGAGAAAAAGTCACTCCTTCTCGATCTCCTCCAGGCTGAGGAATCAGGCGGTCTGGTTCTCGTCTTCGTTGAGACCAAGCGAATGGCAGACAACCTCTGCGATTTCCTCTGCGCTCAGCGACACAATGCGACATCTATTCACGGTGATCGTACCCAGCGAGAACGAGAAGCGGCTTTGGCCGCATTCCGAACTGGACGTGCACCTATTCTGGTTGCGACCGCCGTCGCCGCCAGAGGACTCGATATCCCCAACGTCACCCACGTCATTCTCTACGACTTGCCCACCGATGTCGCTGAGTACACCCACCGAATCGGTCGTACCGGTCGTGCGGGTAACACTGGTACCTCGACGGCCTTCTTCAACCGAAACAACCTCCAAATTGGACGAGAGTTGGTCGACCTCCTTAAAGAAGCCAACCAGACTGTTCCCCAGTGGTTGCTTGACATCACCTCAGAGCGATCTTTCGGCGGCGGATACTCGTCCCGACCCTCGCGTGGTCGAGGTGGTCGAGGTGGTGGAAACAGGGATGTGCGAAGCACTCCAGGTGGAGGAGGATACGGCGGTGGGGGTAGCGGAGGTGGACACCGAGGAGGCGGTGGAGGAGGTGGATATGGTGGTGGTGGCTACGGCGGAGGATACGGCGGAGGAGGATACGGTGGAGGTGGAAGCTTCGGTGGACCTCCCAACTCTGGCGCCGCTAGCTGGTGGTAATCGGCTCTGGCGTCGTGCTGGCACGCGGGCCGTGTCAGGACTGTTCAGTTCGAGCCATACTCTTCCCTCTTCCCCATTCGCCCCCGACTCGCCGACTCGCCTTTTCTCAGTAATCGACTCAAGTCCTCTGTACAATGTTTTCTCGCCGTACATCGCAACCGCTGCCACTATGCTTCGATCTGCGTCGACGGTTCAACGATCCCCTCACTATACTTGCTCTGCGTTCCTTCATTTCCCTCCCTGCCCACGGACAATACTATGACGTCCTGGACGGCAGGTACCGAAATGATGGGAAGGCAGCGTCGTCAACAATTTCTGCCTAGACGACACCATAGACAATTTACGAACCCGGGGGATGACGAATCAAACGACGTGTGTAGCACCAACAGCCTGGCGATGTGTTTGGCCCTCTATACCCCTCTTCCCGACTCGACTCGAAAGTTCCAGCATTCTGCACGCATGAAACAAGGCATTCGATCCATATCTCAGCTCTTTCAATTCCGACCAATAGACCACACCAGCATGGGGCATCTAATAACGCAAAAACATTCTAGACATTCAAGATACGCTGTACAATACAAGTTTTTTTCAAATGGACCTGTACCCATGACGCTCACCTGATGACTCTCTGCCAACACTTTCGCAAGTTTATAATACTTTGGCCTTCTCCTTCTGGATGGCCGCCAAATCGTTTGCGGGAGTCTCGAACCCAGCGTTGTATTACAAGTCCATCCAGCCTCCAGGTCTGCTCTCTCGCTGTTCTGTCTCTTTGCCCCCTGTTTCATGGTCTCGCCGTCGGACATTTTTTTTTCCCGGACTCTGAGCGACGCTGCGCTCCCTCTGATTGGAGATTGGAATACAGGACGAGGTCTCACACTTCGCCCATCTCATCATAACATAGAAGCCCTCTTTCCCAATCAACATGTGGAGTTGGCGTCTTTAGAGTCACATAAAAAGAGCATTGCATGCATGGATCACGTGTCTACACATTGAGAGTTGCTTTCCATCATAATTGCTCATTGACGTCATGGATATGATATTCCATCTGCCGCGGTACTTTGAGCTTCATGGCGAGACAACTATAAAGATAGTGATTGCTGAGCGATAATGGCAGAGAAGAGCAGCAACTCAGAACCACAGGCAGGTCCTCTTCCCCTGCCCCAACCGCTCAAGCTGCTGTTGGCTCTTGGAGCGCTATCCACCTCTCAGACGGTCAGTAATGGTGCTATATCGCAGTGGCAGAAGAACATTTCGGCAGCTTGGGTGCAATCTATCTGTCAGCTGATAGAATTCGATGCTGTGCTCTTGCCTCCAACTGTGGTCTCGGAAGGGATCAAGGAGAGTGCAGCGGATCAGATTGCAGAATGGACCGAGGAACAAAAGCACAGGATTGCCGAGGTATTAGTGGAAGCTAGTTTGGCATCCAGTCGAGCCGGATCTCAAGGGAATACCAAGGCGCAAGATGAGCAGCTGAGATATACACCTTTGGCACGCGCATGGTCTTTCAACACGATGAAGCTGCTGGGACTGCCGGCGAGAGATCTTCTGCCCAAGGCTGAAAAAGAGCTGTCAGCGAAGCTGTTTATGGCTATGAAAGCAGCTGAAGAAGCGGATTCTCAAAAGGAAGTGGAGTCGACTCGAGCAGCTCACTCTGAAGGATGGGGTGGTAAGCTAGGTCGAACATTAGCCACTGGCGCGGGAGTCGTGGCTGGCGGGATACTGGTCGGCGTAACGGGTGGATTGGCAGCTCCAGCTATTGCTGCTCTGCTCGCCCCCCTCGGTATTGGAGGTCTTTTAGCTGGAGGTGCGGCTCCAGTCGTACTGGGGACATTGTTCGGTGTGGGAGGTGGTGGGCTCGCTGGGAAACGAGTAAGAGAGCGATGGAAGGGAGTCGAGGAGTTTAGCTTTATTGAAGTTGGGGCTGGAACTCGAGCGACGAAGGAAGAAGTACAAGATCTGAAGGAAGCTAAGAAGAGGTTGGCAGAGAGAAAAGCGGAAGAGGAAAAGGCGGAAAAGGCGAGCGAGAAGGTTGACGAGGGGAGTGATCCAGCGGAGCAAGCTACCATCGGGGATACAGCTCTAGATGAGAAAACCTCTGCGGCTGGCAATGAAGCTGGTCAGGACAAGCCGACCGCGAACGATGAGCTGCCTGGTGCAGAGACTCCTGCAGAAATAGCTCCGGCTGAGATCGTAGGGGAGAGCAAAGAGGAGATCGAGCAGAGGCTGGTCGACTTATCCCTTGAGCGAGCAGCGGACGACTCGCGCCGTTCATCAATGGATGCTGGACGCCCGACCTTGGAGCAAGCACATGACGAGACGTCGTCAAGTGATGCGAAGAAGAAAGCACTCCCAAGTCTCACGGTGAGTCAACGATCGGCTAGTAGGTACTCATCCCTCCAATAGGCGACTATTGTCGTCCCTGGTCTATTAGTTATCTCCAAGACCGAGGCCATCTCAGCGTGGCGCTCCATTTGTGCCTCTGGTCCGCTTTCAGAAGTCTACCGCGAGGACATGCACGATAACGACAATGGTCCGGCGATTAATTATACGCCGCGCAGAAAGTCAAGACAAGCATCGGGAACCGAAGCGACGGCAGCCGCGGCTTTGACGCCGAGGGCGCCAGAGACGGACGAGAGGGCGGTGGAGAGTACCGTGGAAGAGCAAGCCGTCAAAGAGGAGGTACAGGTGTCCAAGACAGGACTGCGAGATGGAAGAGATGTCTACCTTTTACGATTCGAATCTGACAAGATGCTTAAAACTGGGAGGTGAGAAACATTCTCTCGCCGAGGTGTCCGATGCTGATGACCTGCGCTCAGTGATATAGAGAACTTCAGTACGTTGTTAAAAGCAGAGGTCGTCACCAAACCTGACACAATTCGCAGTTGGACGAAAGATCCTCACCAAGCTCAAGGGAGAGATTATCAAGCGCACTGCGCTGAATGCCTATTTTGCAGCCGTGAAACTCCCTTTGTCAGTGTGACTTAGCAGTTTGGACCTCAAGCTGATCCTTCTTACCCACCAGAATGACGTATAAAATGGCAATGATGGGCATGGATAACACCTGGATGCAAGCTCAAGATCGGGCAAAAAAAGCTGGTAGATTGCTCGGTGAGGTGTTGGAAAAGAAGGTGCAAGGCGAAAGACCGGTCGTCTTGGTGAGTCAAGGTTCCAGATACAGATACTCGCTCGACATGCTGACTCTCCGGCAGATTGGAACCTCACTCGGCGCATATACTGTTCTTGAGGCTCTACTCTACCTCGCTTCCCGTCCACCTCCCGCTGGCTCCAGGACGCCAGCACCCACACTAGTCGAATCTGCTATCCTCATATCGCTTCCGTCAGCTCCGACCGAGGATGAGTGGGCCAGAGCGAGATCGGTGGTTGCGAGGAGGTTTGTCAATGCCTACAGTGACAAAGATCTAGTGCTGGCTACAGTCGTGCGGTGAGTGGTGATCACTTTCCCGTAATCGATTTCTTCCCCTGACGCTGCCTCTTCGGTAGAGTCCACGAGATGATCTCCCGAGCTGCGACACTATCTAACGGCATCATGCCGGCAGGACTTGGACCGGTCGAGCGTCCGGGGATCGAAGATGTCGATGTGTCTTCTATCCTGAGAGGACATCTCGAGATTCAAGCCAAGATTGGCGATGTCATCAACTTGATCGGTATCGATGCCTGAGCTCGGCGGCCGTTGCCAAAGCCGTCCCCTTGGCACCAATGCTGTAGTATGCTAATTTCGTGTCTTCGTATCGGCGAGACACGTGCACGTGAATGTATGTACGATGTTCAAGATCATTGTGGCATGCCAACTATCGCGGCATTCCGTCGCGAAATCCCCCCAAAAAAGGATCATGCATTTCTCACATGATTCACCAATTTTGGGGCTGGTACCCACTATCGAGACTTGGATCAGATTGATACACTGAGATCGGTTCCTCCTCACGCATGAGAGACAGCTCGTCATTGAGAAGGTCACGGAACCTTTGAAAATCAAAATCTGGATTGTCCAACGTCTCGGACCCAGCCATGCTGAACATGCTTTCGCAGAAAGAATCACCAGTCTCCGGGCTCTCCCCATGCCGGGCACAGGAATCTGGCAAGACTTCACCTGGACCGGGTTTAGGAGCCAACACCACCCCTGAAGCTAGCTTCTTCTTGGGTCGACCCCGCTTTTGCGGTTGCACGGGAGTACATGAGATGTTCCTCGTATTGCATCGCTCACACACTTTGGTACCTTGGGAGAACGAGCATTTAGCTTTCGATGTCCTACATGACAGACAAGCCCCTCGTTTTGATTGGTATTCGGCATATGTGAATCCGCTGGTGCTTGCTCCAGTTGGACATTGGAGAGTCCCCTCTGGAGCTACCCACACGAGGTCGTCAAAGTTTTGACTTGATGCAGTAGCGTTGTACCCTCCTGTCGACTTCCAGTTCCTCATCGGATGAACTTCGTAAGGTCCCGCTCGTAGAAACCAGTCAGGCATACAAGGTGCTTCGCTTGGTGAAAAGTTGACGCCTTGTGGCTCTGTGACTTGTGTATAAGGTGTATCAGTCATGACATTCGCCTGAAGGGTTGATTGAGTTCCAAAGCCTTCTGATTGAGTTCCAAAGCCTTCTGAAACATGGAAAGAGGAACATAGATCCTCAAGTTCGTATTTCTGTGGGATTCTGTCAGTCCATTATTCAGCAAGTAGTATGTGTTGTCACCTCATGCTTCATTCTTGTCCAGTGTTCCCTGGCGCTCTCCTTGTCAATACTTAGCCGTCAGTGTTCGTGAATTGTTGAACACCCTGAGTCACCGTCCGTCCGTCTAGGTCAAGCTCGAAGCCACTCGCCACCCTCGTCAAAGGAACCTCTCTCCTAGACTCCTTACAGGCTGTACAGGATAAGGGATTTACTTGACTTTCGTTCCTCGTTTGAGATTTCGTGATTCTCACTCGTTGCTGTATATGGGGTACCATTCCTGGCAGAGCTCTTCTTTTGTCCAGCTTGTTGTGAGATTCTTCTCTCCTTCTCGGTCGTAAGCTGGCTGGAGACGACAAGCAAGCCTCATGACCATTCGACCATCAATGCTCAGTGCGAGTACCGTTTTGGAAACGATCAGTACCTGGGCTTCTGCCAGCATCATCAACACCTTGTTCCCCGGCGTCGCATGCTACTGGATTCAATTCGATATTGTTCATTCGTGATCGATTACACCTCTGACTCATGATGTCTTATACGGCGGACTCACCTGCATCTCATACCCGACTTGAGGCGTGTGGCTCCTGGTTAGGGAGTTTCATGCGGATAATTATCGACCACGTCCTCGCAGTTCGAATACGCTAGTGGTAAAACTGAATTCTCGATAAGAAGCGCTGCTTTCCCACCTTCGTGGTGGAGCTGAGAGAACACAGGTTTACAGAGCCAGCCTTTGTACCCTGATAAGTCGCTGCATAATTATGTACTGTATTCATTCAAAGTGGCGGGGTACTTGGACCCGAAATCGCCACTCGCTCGCATTTCCTTCGGAATTACGTCACCTCCCTAGTGAATCGGTTCGTGACCGTAACGGTCTGAGATCCGGCTTGGTATCGTCTTCAAACCTCTCGCAGCACTAAGCCACTATCAATCACTGTCTCTTGGACGGACAGCGGCTTCGAGAGAAGGCAAAGATACTCACGTCAAGGGCCAGGCCCAGCCATGATGAGAACGAAGACTCCTCCTCCTGCAGTATCCTCTCGCTGAACCATGTCAGCCTTGAAGCGTCGGGCGTGGCTCTTCTTAGCAGCAACGCTCACCCTTCAATTGGTCCTGACTAGATCAGCCAGGGTTCTAAGACATGATTTGACAAGTCATGAAGGATCTTCTGGGATCTATAAGAGGTCTGATGATCCGTCCGCACATGTGAGTCTGCGCTCGTGTGACCAAGGGGAAAATTTGCCTAAAGCTAGATTCAAAGTCCTCGCTCTTCCCCTTTCCCTATGCTGTATGGTACGAGGAAGCTTCGCCGACCACTAAACCATGGATCATTGTCGGCATGCTCCTTGGTCTCGGCTTCCTATTCTCATTCATCGGTATAACCGCCTCGGATTTCTTCTGTCCCAACCTTTCCTCTATTGCTGCCATCCTGGGTCTGAACGAGTCGACAGCAGGAGTCACGTTTCTTGCTTTTGGCAATGGCAGCCCGGACGTGTTTTCCACATTCGCTGCCTTGAAGAGCGGGACCTTTGGCTTGGCTGTGGGCGAGCTTATTGGAGCAGCGTCATTCAGTGAGTTCCTGACACGAAGACGCTGACATCCGCAGTCGTGTCCGTCGTCGTTGGCACAATCGTCTTCGTCCGACCCTTCCACGTCCCCAAACAAGCGTTCATGCGTGATGTCCTCTTCTTCACGGCAGCGGTTATCCTCTTGGTTGCGGTCCTGCGAGACGGCATCTTGACCCTGAGTGAATCTCTCGCCATGGTCGGTTTGTACGTCTGTTATGTGATAGTGGTAGTGGCTGGCAACTGGCTCAACCGAAGACGGAAAAGCTCCGAAGGGAAGATTCATGCCAGACCCAGTCCCGCAATCATGCGAACTCCATCAGGGCAAAGAACAGCCCTGCCCAAACTTCAAATCCCGGAGCCTACACCACGAGCTCCTTCACCTACAGCTGGAAACAGCGCCCACAGCGAGGCTTCGTCAGCAAATGCCTCGCCAGTCAGTGCGAACTCACCGAGTCGTCCCCGTATGAAGCCGGTGAGATACGCTTCTTCATCTCGAATACACAACCTTGGAGCGATGTCGGATGAGGGCTCGATCAACACGCCTCGGGCCAACTTTTCCCTTCTAGGCGCGGTAGAGTTCCGGGACGTGGTCAATTCCCTGCGAAGTCAAGATCTTGGCTCACGAGGACATAGTCCAGCTCGATCACCAAACAGTCACCATCATCTTGAACCGAATCAAGACTATTTTAGCGCCCGACCCGGCGATCTGGCTCACCGCCGAGCAGTCTCCATAGGTGTATCGCTGCACACCAAGTCGTCTAAGTATGGCCGGAAACGAGCAGTGTCCCATCTGGACCAGCTTCCCGATGAAACTAGCATCACAGCTGTCCTGACCCCGACCCCGCTAGAACTACCGGAGCCCAACCCATGGACAGACCAGCCTGGTCTGCCTCGATCAACCAGCACTCCAACCTGGTCCATCCATCATCAGCCTGATGTGTTTCACAATCCCTCGGCATCTGCTTCCCACAATCGGACACCATCGATTGCCGTTGTCGATCCATCGGGCGCAGAAGGCCCAGCAGACTCGCCTCCCTTGGAACCTACCTCTCATCATCGCAACGAGTCCCGCTTTCGCATACGGAGAAGGACGAGAATGGTCCTGCGAATTCTGTTCCCGAGCTTGCAGAGCTTTCGCCACAAGTCATATCTCGGCATGTTTCTGGCCGTTGTCTGTGTCCCTCAGCTCTTGGCTCTGACCTTGACGCTACCGGTCGTGGATGATGGCGGAGCAGAAACGGGAGGCATCGCCTTGCCGACGAGCGAAGCAGAGCCTCTCAATGATCCTGGTGTCAGTCCTAACAATGAGGAGGAGAGCGACGATACGGGAGGAGGTGACAACAGACTATTGCGGCCAGAGGTGGGGGAGGAGCTACATCATTTGGTCGACCATCGCTTTTCTCCCCTGCATTCACCGCTAGGTCGCATATCTCATGCGGCAATGCGGAGACAGCACGAGGACGAAGAAGCTATGCACGACGAAGATGGCGCCGATGAGGATGACTCGCAGAAAGAGATCTGGGAGGAAGTGGAAGAAGACGAAGCTTTGGATTTCAACAAATACCTGACGGCCATTCAGTGCGTCCTTGGTCCAGCTTGGTGCACATTGACCATCTTCAGTGAGTCTTCGCATCGGCCATGACTCGAACTCACGCTCTCTCACAGGAGGAGCATCCTACTTCTGGTGGATCCTTCTAGGGGTCAGCATAGCCGGCACACTTAGCGCAGGTGCTGTCCTGATGTACGCTGTCGATGGTAGCTCGCCGGCCTGGCGCATGGTCCGCTGTCTCGCAGGATTCGTTTGTAGTATGGTTTGGATCGCAGCGATCGCTGATGAGGTCGTTGGTATTCTCAAGGTAGGTCGTCTGCGCTCGTGAGCTTCAAGCTGATCCTTCGCTAGGCTGTGGGAGTGATTCTTGGTCTAAGTGATGCCATTGTCGGTCTCACAAGTAAGTTCATTCTCGTTTTGCAGTGTTCTCCGCTCATCAACCGCAGTCTTCGCCGTTGGAAACAGTCTCGCCGATTTAGTCGCAAATGTGACGGTCGCCCAATTCGCTCCTGCTATGGCCTACGCCGCTTGCTTCGTGAGTACGGTACTATCTTTGCAAATTGCTCATACTGATGCAACCTTTAGGGTGGACCGTGAGTACCTGCTCGAACATTACTTCGGCGAAACTGACTTTTCTCTAGCATGTTGAATCTCCTGCTTGGGGTCGGAGGCTCTGGGACATATCATCTCTTGACACATCCCAAGGAAACGGTGTCAATACATTTTTCACCAACGCTTTGGGTATCTGCCACAGGATTAGTGATCGTACTGGTAGGGACTGCCATTATCGTGCCTTTGAATGGCTATCTTATCGATCGGAAGTGGGCGACTTGCCTGCTGATCTGTTACGCCGTGTTAATGGTGACGAATGTCCTTGTAGAGATCAAGACGGGACGGTAGATGTCCAATTATTAGATATATCAATACACGTTGGGCATATGTCTTATCATGCATCGTAATGTATCTTGGTCGTTCATGGCATGTCGTGATGAGGCGTTGGGGATCCCTCAATATCATTGGCCTTGGCGCGGGGGCATGGCAGTAGGAACGATTCTGACTCGGCCTGCAGGCGTGCTGTCCTGACTTGGAGGAGCCCACAGGCTCGCACCTCCAGTAACTCTCTCCTCAGTGCTCCAGCTTCCGTCTACAGGGGTCCTACGACCGTCCTCTGAGCCTGTGCCGTCATCCTTGGGGAGGGTGCAATCTTCCACTTCGACCCTGACCCCTCCTTCTTCAAGGATGACCTCTTTGCTGCCTCTTCTTCTGTGCTTTCCTTTCAACTGCAAGGCCTCGAGAGCTCTTTGGAGATCTTCTGCGAGGGTCGATGAATTTGGAGCGTCCTCTACGACGGGCTCCCAACCTTCCGGGGGTGAACCAGGAGGCGATATGAGAAAGTTCTTCTCGGCGTGAGGTGGAGCGAGGTGAAAAGTGGATGGATCAGGGTTGAGAGGTGTAAAGGGGAGTGGATGAAGTCGGAGCGTTATCCTGTGCGTGAGTGTGAGTGTGAGTGTGAGTGTGAGTGTGAGCGGGGAAGGGTTGAATGGACTGAAAGAGTTTTCTTTTTCTTTTTGGCTCACCCTCTGGTTGGACCTTTCGATTTCCGTCGCCTATGACCTCGCTTGAATGGCGAACTCGAACTACCTTCGGCTCGCTGAAAATCATTCTCATCGATATCCATGACTCCGCTTCCATCCTCTGGTAATCCGTTCGGACCGGTACTCGATGCTGGCGACACATTGTCCAATGTCGGATCATAACTCTCCTCGGCGGGTAAATCGACGTCAAGTTTCAACCAATCGCCTTGTCTTTTCGCCCTCTCCGCGCCTTCTACAGAATCATAGACTATGATGACTCGTCCAAAACCTCTCACTGGCGCCCAATGAGCTATACTACCGTATTGTTCGTAGTGTTCTCTCAGTCTCGCTAGAATCTCCGGTAGGAAGAGGGATTGATGAGGGAGGATCAGGGCATGAGTGTTGGTTTCCGAAGGATCAGGTACATCGGAAAGCAAGCTTGGCGGAGAGGGGATATCTTGCGTTTGAGCTGAGCCATTCATTGCCTAGAGGGTGATTTTGGAATCGATATGACAGGAACGGATGAGACAGGTCGTGCGATGGGTAGAATACATGCCCCTTTGTACTGACGAAACCTGGAATCGCCAATTGCGCCGCTAGCCTCCACTCGCGTCGATCTTTTTTCGATTCACGGCAACATGACGTGAATTCTCAGCCGAAATACCGTCAAAATGTCTATCGGGGGGAAACAGGTCATTAACCATTATGCATCTCGTTTCATCCTCTCCTGTACATGTAGATGGTGGTAAGTTAGGACCATGAACAAGACAGCCTTGGTCATTGTAGACTTTCAGAATGATTTCTTGCCTCCTGATGGCTCGCTGGCGGTGAATCAAGGCAGAGACGTCTTGCCGGTCTTGAAGCGATTGTTGGATCGCTCAGAGTGGGATTGGGCGGCCGTCCTGGCATCTCAGGTGGGTCCAAAGGGCTTCATACAGTCTTGCAAGATATTTTGACGGGGCTTGCTCCACCTGTTCACGGTCGCTTGAACTCCAAACATGATGCGATTCCGGGATGCCTGACGTCCACTGACTTGGATCTCGCCAGGATTATCACCCCAGAGGTCACATCTCGTTCGCCTCGACCCACGGCGAAGACGCATTCAGCAGCAAGAGAGTGACCAACGCTCATGGGCTGGAGTACGATCAGATTCTCTGGCCTGATCACTGTGTGATAGGGACGAAAGGCGCAGAGATAGACCAGGACTTGAGACAGGATTTCCCAGCCTGGGACGATAGGATGACGATTGTTCGAAAGGTGCGTTTGCATTTTCGAGCCGACACCGTTTTGTCTCTATCGTCTCACGGGAATATCTGTCTCTCTCTCTTTGAACTGTCTGATGATAATCTCCTCCTACTAGGGCCAGTATTCTGGTTTGGAGGAGTACAGCGCGTTCGATGGAGAGATCAACGATCTCCTTCACCCGAAAGACAAGCCACCAAGTAGTGATGGTTCAGATCTGCCCAAGGGTCTCGGACCAAGTGATAAGCAAGTGGCAAAGCATCTTCGGGATAAATCAATTGAAAACGTCGTCGTGGTCGGACTGGCGACTGATTTCTGGTGAGGTTTCGAACAGGAACCATGGGAAACTATCAGCTGAGACTGATCGATAGCGTTCTCCATACTGCAATGGCGTCGCTTGAGGCTGGTTTCAAGACTTGCGTTCTGGCTCCAGCTGTGAGAGGAATCAAGGAGGAGGATATCGACAAGGCTTTCGAGACGATCAATTCTTCCGGTGGTGACGTTGTGGGGAAGGAGGATGAGGCGAGTTGGAGAGATGAGCTGAAGCGATGGACAAGCAGCTGAGAGTGGGAGAAATCAATTTATCGTCACACCGAGACGCCCACTGCCGTTCGATAATGATCCATTGGGTAATTCATATATGACGGCGTACAACCTTGATCTACAACCCCTAATCGCAGGCTCAATCCTGAGCGTGCACAGTTGAGCCAGCCGACTCTCTATGATTTCTAGGCTGCCACGAATCTTGTGCTATATCTAAAAACGTCCGAGTTCCAAACAGGGCATGCGCAGCGGCAATAAGCTTCGAGGAGTCAACGGGACACATTCCCATTCAGTGAGCCTCAACGCTCACCTCGTCTAGAAGGTTACAGAGCTCTACCAGAGCATCATTTTCCGCCATCCCGTATAAGATTGCCAGCTCTTCTCGATGTCCTCCGGGGCTTGCACAATGTGATTCACCTTCTTGATCTCCTTCCGTTTTGTATCGTTTGAACGTTTTTGCATGTTCGTCTACAGCTTCCATGATGCCCTTGAGGGGGACATGAGGTGAAGGCAAGAATTGAGGAAGTGGACTTCGTGATCGGAATGATTGACCAAGTGCCCAGAGATTGATCAAGATGGCTGAGACCTAAACGCTATCAGTTTGGCTGTCGGTGGACACCTCACTAATTCGCGACGCAGCGGCAAGACATCCAAGACCGTCTCTTTCCGCGGTACACTGAATCTCAACACTCTCACTTCGACCAACGTGTCGATCAAACGCTCCGAGCAGTCCAAAATCTCCGAATACAGCTTGATTGGTCGAGGCAATAATGAGACTTCATTCCGTTGGATATTGACCAAGGATCGACTCCTCAAGATATGCTTTCTCACTTCCGCTTCGAGTCGATCATAACGCTTGGCATCCCCGTGATACACGAGCGAAGATCTGAGATTGTCCCGAGACATGCAGAGATAATATTCCGTGATGCGATCCAAGGTCAACGATACGTCTGAAAAGTATCGTACGCGAGCATGGTTCGGCCAAATCAAACTGCCGATAAGGATCGCCGCAATGATCCCGATGGTGATGTCGATGAAACGAGTATAGGCCAGTTCGAAAGAGCTTTGATCTCTATCGAGGCCAAGAAAGTGTATGAAGACGAGGGGCGGAAGGGTGATCGCGCTCATCATCAGCGACTGGCGATGTCACATCACTTACGTTACAGTCGGAAGTTGTGGGATGGATGAGAAGAGGATGCCGTACGAGAGAGGTACGGAGCAGGCAGTGAGAAGCACGACCATTGGCCATGGGCGATCCCTGCAGATCAGGTCGAGCTAGAACGAGTCAATTTCCTGTGGTGTACAGGGGGGACTGTCTTCTAACTCACGATGAAAGCGGTCACTGCGCCGATAAAAGTCCCTAGTAATCGTAACAACCCCACCCGAAGCGTCGCTCCCGTGTGCGTTTCCAAAACATACGTGTAGCTGATAACTGCCCATGCTCCGCGGTAAGTGTCAAACCACTGCCGACCCGGCGTAGAGGGAGGCAAAAATCCAGCGAGAGATATCAAGCTGACCCCGAGGGCCATTTTCACGCTGAATAAGATGTGCCGTGAATGCCGGATCGAATGTAAGAATCGGGATGCCCGCACTCGACCTGGAACATGTCAGAAAGTCCCGACTGCAGCTCCGCCTCCACATGACCCACCTTTCAGGACCTGGGGATGATCCCATATCCGTCGCCAGGCTCGCGTGATTCTCGTCTTGAATGATTGATCCTGTTTGCGAATCCGCTTCTCACCTCGCAAGACGGATGTGACGAAGTCCATCCCGTCAAGGCAGGCAGGCTCGTGAGTTGCATCGATCGATTTGTCATTGGAGTCGCCGCTAGTATTGATGGATTGATCTGCGAACATGAGTTACTCAAAGTCACGACTACTGCTTTCAATGCCCGTATTCACCTGCCATACGATTACTAGTGTCCGCCGCGGTTTGAGGTAGCCAACCGAGATTGAATCTAGGAAAGTGCCAGATCATCCTGGCTTCCGCATGAGAACAGATCTCGATCGCCACGGATAAGAACCCAATGACATCGTTAGCACAATCAAGCAGGGCTGTCATGTAAAAAGCGGTATGAAAGAGCTCTCGATCTGGTACAGGGAGACCATGTAGTTTGTGATGATGAGCTTGCTGCAAGTCTGCAAAACTGAGCGTTCTGGAAGGTGAACCGGAGGTCGACGCGGATTGCTCGTGACCTTGAAGTGGTAGGCCCTCTGAGCCATCTAAGAGACCCGCGAGCGTCACTTGCAGAGCGGCAAGGGCAAACTCCAAATCCGACTTGATCTCCTGCAGAGACGCTTGATCACCATCGCCTTTGTCATGCTTCCAACCGTAGACACCGGAAACCTCCTCAGACGCTCGCCGCAAGCTCTTGGTGATTGTTTCCACAAGGTGCTTCGCAGCCTCCATGAGTCGAGAATGCGTGTTGACAGGTCGAATGGACGTGCGATCCCTGACGGGATAAAGGTCGAATCGCATGTGTCGGGGTAAGGACAGGCTCGCTTGCATTCCTCGAGCCAGGTCCACTGGGGAAAAAGTTCCTGCATTACCACGCTCTAGGATGGGCATACTGTCTGACGGATGGATTGAGAAATGGGATTGACGAGGTGTCTGTGGGACACTAGGAGGGACGGAAACGGAAGCGTAGGCTTTATCGATGGCTGATTGGATCCTTTCACCAGGTACATGACTTCCTGGTCCGAGGAGCGGATTTCGTGTCATTCGTTTAAGACTCGAAATGAGTGGTCTCAGAGCTAGAGGTGAAGAACGAGAACGGGTGATTTCATGCGTCAAACTCGTGTAGACTGGCGAGAGCCTTTCCATGTCGTGTCTTAACCGTCGGACGAGAAAGTCTTGCTTGAGTCGATTCGAGTTGGGTTCCGGAGACTGCTTCTCAGCTTCGGCGTCGTTGTTTGAATCTGTGAAATGATCCTGGATTTCCCCGTTGGCATTGTCGAGATGAACCACGAGAGAGATGGTCAAAGGTAAGAGTTGACCGATGGTATCTAGAGAGTCGATCAGAAGGGTACCGACTCGAGGTGAGGAAGGCCGAAAGGCAAATAAGAACGTGGGAATCAAGGCGAAGATGGCCGCGAAAAGAGGAACGAAGAAGACTTCGGTAAAGTATGAGGAGTGCATCTATAGAACAAGGTGGTCAGTGACGTTCGACATCGGTCTCTCGACAAGACTCCTGGGCGGGGCGGGGGCGCCGCACGCCCAGATTCGCCTACCATGGTGATATCCGTGTTACCCGTCAAGACGAAGATGGGGAAGAATAGAGAGATTCTCGAAGCTAGAGTCAATCGAGGAGAGTAGCTTCGAAGGAATCCACCTAGACACAAGATGGGTGTGTCAGTATTGGTCCCGGATCCGCGGTTGGGAAAAAGACGTGGGACAGGGAACTGACATATGAGAGAAAGCAAGGCCAGCCCTGTCCCTATGACGGCTCGCGATTGGTTCGAGTCGGGTCCATAGTGCGTCCCACACCACGCAGAGACAGCTAGAGTAGCACATGATATACCGAGTCCAAATAGACACCCAAGGAGACCCAAGACTGGCCACAAGAACAGCGCACAGGCAAACGTCAGCACGCTCAAAATGTGTCAAGAGATCGTGACTCACTGGTGAGCTCGACTTGGTATATGATTCCACCCAAGGGGAAGAAGAAGAGGTTTAAAGCTGTGAATGTCAGGTACGAGTACCTTGCTCATCATCAGCCCTAGGTAGTCATCTCCCTCAGTGACATAGCTGGATGCACTCACTGTCCACCCAGACTGCCCCAAGGCCGAATGACGACAAAGGTAAAACAGAGGAACGCAGAGATGGTCGTTCCCGTCAGTCTCCAGACTTTCCGGCGCCAGCTGAGGACCGCATCGGCATCCATGACAGCCGTCATGGCACGAGGTCCTCGTCTGTGCTGTTGATGGGAGGGATTTTTTCCAGTCGTTTCTACTATAATCACATCATCATCCTGAATTGACCATTGTGTCGAGTAACTGGTAGAACGAATGAAACTAGATAATCCACCGGATAAGGTCGTTTCATGTCGTTCTTGAGTTGAAGGATCTGAACATTCCGACACGTCACTATACCAGTCTTCCTGTCCAGCCTTGATGTCAAATATCACCAAGATGTCCAAGGGATCTTCGGCAGCTGTGTACACACACCCGCTGCTCTACAAAACTCTCTTCTATATTTGGTTCATAAAAGTTCAAAATTCCATTTCATCGGATCCGACGCACATAATAAAACGGCCATAGTCATTTGATTCCGTCTGCGCTGTATTCGAGGGAGGTGGGGGTTCGTTCCGTTTCGCTCACTGTCTTGGTCGTCCTGCGCTCTCTTTTGACCAAGGTGCGGCGTCCCTCATCATGGCCTCGTTCGCGGATACAGTCCGATTCTGTTTCCCAACCGCATCATCTTCTGCCAATGGAACCCGGTATCGAGGTTCGGAAGAGTTATCACTTCAGGATCGAAGACGCGCACCGGACGCTTGGATCGAAGAGGATGATTTGGGGAAAGATACCGCCAAGTTTAGTCTCGCTGGCATTTTCAAGAGCTATGCGCCAGACTGGATGCTAGTGGTACTCTTATGGTGAGATCGAGTCTGCGTGCGCACGACGCAACGGTCAGCGCGCGAGAATTTCCCTCATAAGTACTTTTTTGGATGCTCATGCCTTCGAGCAGGGTCGTGTATGCCATATTGAACCGATCTGGAGGTCATAAGAGGGAATTTTCCCTCAATGATATCTCCATCCAACATACATTTGCAGAGCATGAGCGGGTCCCTCCAAAGTGAATATTTTGACCATCGCGTCGTCTTGATGTCGTGACAACAAGCTCACACGATCCACATAGCCTCTTATTCTTCATCTCTGCTGGGATACCTCTGCTTGTGCTCGTGCCTGTGTCCGCTTTCGTCGCTAGGACCGGATGGGATATGCACAATGCCGTCGTCGGTGAGCTTGGAATTGGGGGGAATGTCGGGCGATAATGATTCCCCATCGACGTGTACTGATACTGAGGGTCTCCTCTGCAGGCGTGTTCATGTCTTACACCATGACGGGGACAGTGACTCAGTTGATCAAGGTAGGTCAAGATAACCTTGGCGACGAATACCATTTTTTTAAAACCTTTCCATGCTTAGATGTCAGTCGGACGACCTAGGCCTGATCTGTTGGCACGGTGTCTCCCTCGTGAAGGATCAGCAGATCATGTGTTTTTCGGTCTTTCAACCGTTGACATTTGCACGACGACAAATCAGCTCAGGCTGGACGACGGGTTCAAGGTGAGTGTCGGAAGAGCTGCCCAAGTGGAATTCCCCGAGTCCGAGTGACGACTTACAACATTCGTGTAGAGCTTTCCCTCTGGACATAGTTCTCGTATGTCTCCCTCCAACTTTTTTTCACGGAAACAACCTGCTCATTGCGTAACAAAGTCTCCTTTGCCGGTCTCGGTTTCTTAAGCTGTTATCTCGCTGGAAAAATGCACTTGTGGGATAGACGGGGACATAGGGTGAGAGGAGCTCGCCGTTTCATATACTCATCAAATCCTTACAATGTGCTCTCTCAGACACGAGGATGGTTTGCCCTCTCCCCGTTACTAGGAGCAGTGATGGTTGCCATATCTCGAACAGAGGATAATCGGCGTGAGTCGTCTGCAGCCGCAGCAGCAGCAGCAGCAGCAGCAGCAACGGACCGCAGGCAGCCATTTACCAAGTACCCGTATAGATCACTGGCAAGATGTTCTCGTAGGTTCGCTCCTAGGTCTCTTTATCGGTATGTCATATTTTCCCTTCCCTCCCTCCCTCCCCCTACATTAAGCTGACCCACCCTCTTCAGCCTGGGTATCGTACCGGACCTATTTTCGTGAGTCATGTCCCGCGTCAATTGCCTCTGAAACGATCACGTTAGCCCCACTGTCTCACCGTCAATGCCATCTCCCCCTGGCTCCTCGTAGTCCCGACACCATCGGCGTAGTAGAAGGAGACGAAGAGATGGGTCGGAATGGGACCCGAGTAAGACTCTTGGAGGAAGAAGAAGAACAAGCTCAATCGAGACCTAGTGAAGAGCAAGTGACATGGAGGAGAGGATAGAAAAAGGCCATTGAGCTCTTGCCCCCCACGTTCGTTTTGAGCTTTTGCCAGCACTTGCTAGTCCCATGTAGTGGGCATTTCTACTAGTCGTTGCATCGTCATCATCATGAATATACAAAGAAAATTACCATTATTCCGCTCTCTTAGCTCTTCCGTCTTTTCTACTGCCTGGATATCTCATGTTTGGACAGGACACGACAGACACATATATGAAGCAGTTGTCGGACGACTTGCCGGCAACTAGATGCCTCCGCTACCCCGTTCAAAGCTTTCGCCGAGTCCGACAGGGACGTGTTCAGGTTTATCCTCCCATATTCTCTCTCGTTTCACGACGATCCTCTCTGTGGCTGGTCCGGCTCCAGCTCCCAGTCCAGATCCTCGCACTGATCCTGGCCCATGTCGATCTCTTCGTGATCTATTGGTTTCCCAAGCCGCCGCCTCTTTTTCCATCTCTACGTCGTCTCCCCCTCCTGCATGAGAAACCAATTCGTCCTGTTCTTCCGCGTCTCGATCCGAGTCACCATCATCGCCATCGCCATCGCCTGATATGGACCTCGATCGGAGTTTGAATGGCGAAGTTTCTGTAGACGTTTGACCCGAATCTCCCAATCGGACAGATCCCAAGCTCATGTTCATGCCCATACCCATGCCCATGCCCATACCTCCCATACCGACTTTATCATCGTATGACGTTCCACCAGAGGGAGTATCCATCTCCATACTGCTGAATTTCCAGGACGACGCCAAAGGAGATCCATGCGATGACATGCCGCCGCCGCCACCGCCGCCACCACCACCGGGCGGACCGTAACCGCCAACTTTTCTCAATCGATTCTCGAGCGACATAATGTGTGCTACGGCTTTACGTAGAACGACAGCTTTAGAGTCGGTGGGTATAGAATTCGGAAGAACGGATCGAAGGGAGGTGAAACCAGAATTGATAGATCTTCGAAAAGAAAGAGAGTCAGAGAGGTGTTTTTTTAATTTTGGTTCTCTTTTCGCCACTCACTCTCTACGCTTTTGCTCCGACATGAGATGAGCAATGCGTCTATTTTGACCATTTGCAGCGGAACCTTGTTGATCTTGCGCTCCAATCTGTGCACTGGCAGAACGACTGGATGTATTTCCAGACGAGTGTCCCTTGTTACGAGTCACCATACGTTCTGGATAATAGGGATGAGCGCCCGCGGGGTAATCTGAAGGTAGAGCTCTCAGTGGTGGCGAAGCGGGTTCCGAAACGGCGTCCATGGGATGTCCAGGCGGATGACCATGACCGAGATGAGCGTGCGCCATCCGAGGTTCATACGCTCTTCCACCGTATCGATCGTGATAGGGACCATAGGGTGATCTCGGCGTTCCATAGTCGTATTCCCCTCGTCTCGCTCGTTCCCAGTCGCGATCGCGATTAAACATTCTCTCCCTCTCTGGATCACGCGTCCAGGGTGGCGAAAATCGAGCGTAAGGATTTATCTGTTGGTTTGGCGGCGGTGGTACTGGATCGGACGCATGACGACCAGGTTGGATTTCACCATGTGTCTGAGGTAGTCTGTCACTCGAGTCGAACGTTGTAAAGCTGGGTCGAAGTTGAGCGTATCCACGGGGACTGGCGTGTATTTTCTCGGCTGATTCACTTGCCACGGGAGATCGTGTCGCATGCATCGATTTCGGTGATTCGTGCAGGCCGGTGGAGCTCATAGTGAAGAGAGCAGGGAGGGTCGTTCCTCGACCTGGATTGTATTTCTCTCGACCTTGCTCTGGATCGGGTGATGTGGTGGAGGGTGTACGCAGTGCGAGACTGGACATGGGCGGGATAGACATGCCACGTTTTGGATCCCTCGATTCTTGATGGCTGGCGCGCGTATGATCCTGTGGGATCGGCTGGATGGGAGCAAGCGTGTCTCGATGTCGGTCGTCTTTCTGCGGCGTGGACTTGGCCAAGGGAGATTGAGATCGTTGCCTCCGTGTGCTGATGGTACTCGAGGGCCGGAGATAAGGATTGGTTCGGTGTGTCGACATGGCAGAGGTTGAAGGTGATCGAGAGACCATCGATCGAGATGGGTAAGGAGGGTAATGGTAAGGTGATTGCATGTCGGTTCGAGCAGCGACGGCAGCGGTCATGTTGGATCGATGGACGTCTGGACTACGTGGAGTGATGGGAGCAGCTGGATGGTGAGACGACGAAGCAGAAGGAGGAAGATCACTCGGCTTGTAGTACTTGTGTATCGCCAATGCCGGTGGAGAAGAGCTCATCACTAGGCTTGGCAATGTCCCAGTGAGAGGAGAGAGCTATGTAAGAAGGGTGTGTGCCAGGTATCGTTCGTCTCGGAAGCCCTTGGGCTGCGCACTTGGAATGACACCGGCCGGTGGTTGAAAGGATCCAAACGAGGACAAGGGGGGCCGGAGTAGAATCACTGTAGCAGGAATTATCGACCGGTCAATTGAAGACCGGATGAGGGGTCGGATGGGGGAAATTGTGAGGAGAGGAAGATAGTCGATGATGAAAGGATCGACAGCTGAGATGAATAGATTGTCTCGCCCCTGGTTCAAACACGCTCCAGAGTTACCTATTCTTTGGGCAGATGAAAGGATGAGGTGGGGGTCGATGCGCTGGCACCAGTCTTGACCGTGATGATCCGTCCGTTGGATCCCGGCGCCGGATGCGCTTGAATGGGATGGTGGGTGGGGAGGATGGAAGGTTAAAGACCTGAGACGCGCAGCCAAGGGGGCTGATCGGAATGGCCAATGATTGACCGAGTTGATCCTCGAATGGATTTGCTGCGGACGAATGCCAATAGGTGATTTTGCCACTGGATGAAAAAGGGGAAGGGGGGCGAACCGAGCTGGAGAGGTGCACGATGGACCTGTGGATCCTTGATATATATCTATCTTGACCGGGATGATCCCTTGTGACGAGCACTTCTTTTCAACACGAGTGACGAGGGAGGATGAATGGTATAGCCTGACCGCCTCCTTGAAAATCAATAGAGTCTTGTTACACCAAAATCTTTCAATCGACTCCTTGGTGATAGGATGTGATCGTCACTGTGTGGGTTGGAAAAGGAAGGGATGGCGAGGAAGGGGGGAAGACTCCTTTTGGCAGCTTGATCCTTGAAGCGTTGTGTCCAAGGAGATCGTGACCTGAGTGTTCCTTTATGACCCAGCGTAACGGTGGGATGAGGGGGGTACGTGCTTGTTGAAAGGAATGTGAATGGTGACGTTGAGTCTATATGCGAGATCATGAGCTCAGAGGGTGATGCTAAAGGAATGGCAAGGACGGGGGGACTACACACCAGACCAGCTCTCGACTGGTTCGGTGACCCCGAGGTCGAAGCCTGTGATGATGACTGAAAGCGAAGAATAAGATTATTCACCTCGGCCTTGTCCTGCTCGGAATGGGGGTATATTATAATGGATAATTGAGAAAAATACCTCGACTCTTCTCTCGCGCGTGATCCCAGATGTCCGAATGGATGGGAAGTGTGGGGTGTGCAGGTGCGAATGTACTCGTGAGCAAGAGCGGGTGGGTGATGTGTATGTATGTATATGTATATATAAGAGAGAGAGAGAGAGAGTGGACAGATGACCTATCACCTTGCCCCCTTCTCTTTTGCCCCCGTGCTCGAGCCAAAAAAGGACAGTCAAAAGAGACACAGAGCCAGCTGGCAATTTTATTATTTAGGTCTATCGGAATTGCGCGATGGTATAAGGAGTGTGTGTGTGTGTGTAAGCGACGCAAGGCGGAAGAGAGGGGGAGAGAAGGAGGGGGGGGGGGAGGGGGGGCAGGCGAGGAGAGGAAGGAGAGAAAGGGAGAAAAAAAAACGCCAAGGCCGAGAATTTTTCTTGCAGCCTACACGCGCTCGGCAGGTTCTCTCTCACACACAGTGTGCGTGCGTGTGCGTGTGTGTGTCTGATGGCGTGGCGATCCCTTCGCTTCCCCCCTGGCTGCTGGCTGCTGTTACTAAGCTTAATAGGGACCGGGAGATAGTGCGCGTGTGTGTAATAATATAATAGAGAGTCACCCATGAACTAGGAACCTCTTTTCTTCGGACATGGCCATGAGGAGAAAGAGAGCGGGTCATTTTTTCGACGCGGGAGGACAGGGGGAGACGACGCGGGCAAAACTGCAATGTGACTGGGGAGGAGGCAATTATCAATAGAGAGAAAATGGGCCGGTATGGACTACACTACATCCGACGTATTAGCATACCTCATGGGAGGCGGGCAATGCATGGAGACTGTAGACAGGTCAGCTGGACATGTTGACATGCCCCTCATCCATGCCACTCAATCTCCCCTTCCCCCTATCATCCTTCCTTTTGGCTTCTTCCCTTTGGCCCCCCCCCCCCCCCCCTGCGTACCTTTTACATGGTCATACCCATAGGGTCAGCACACTGTGAATGTATCGGCCGAGAAAAAGGATCACCATCACTACCACCACCACCATCACCACCTACAAGCAGGCTGCGCATGAGAACCTGGAGGGTTGCGGCGAAAGAATGGGCTCGTGCTTGAAACGGGCGGGGGGTCACAGTCTGGGCTTTCAAGGTTAAAGAAGAAACTCTTTGTCCCTGGCCGTTGCTCGGCTGGAGGAAGGGCAGACACGGGCTGAAGAGCATGCTCCCCCTCCCTTCGTCCCCTTTTTCTTCTTCTGCTCGTCTGATCCGTGGCGTCTTGCCGCCGCGCGCCGGGCCAGCCGATCTGATAAGCACCTATTTTGATCATCCGTTTTACCTTCGGCAGCATATGCGGCATAAGTACCGGGTCGACGGACGAGCGGGTGAGGTATATACACAGAAAAACTCGTCCGGTCAAGAAGAGCCTTGGCGACACCCCAATCATCTCTCAGCCCCTGAGGACCACACTGCATTCGTCCGTCTATCTATCTGGATGAGTCGAGGGGCCGACTAGTTTCTTGCTTAAGCTCTCTTACCTCCGCGCCGTCCGTGAGCGGCCCGGGAAGAGGCTGACTCAAGCCAATCGTACCACTTTATTAGAGTCTTGGTAGGGAAAGAGCACAGCGTCATCCAATGATGATTCAGCGGAAAGGTCTGATGGCGAATGTTGTTCATTCCGCTGGTATCTGATAAGGCTGAATTTCTCTCTCTCTCTTTCTCTCCCAAAAAGGGAAAAATGTTGGCTCTCCCGCGAGAGTTTGGTTGACACCGTGCACGACCACGGCCTACCATGCATGCACACACGCAGCCCTACGAGCTCTCTTTCCACACCGTATGGTATGACCATCTTTTGCTCGATCGAGTGAAAGAGATCGTGAAAGGTTTTGAGACCTCCACCTCGGGGCGGAAAATAGGTTGTGATCATCACTATGACGATGACGACGATGACGACAACGACGACGACGACGATACAATTGGCGAGGCCGAGGATGAGACCGACCTCGACACCGAGACAGGTAACCTTGTCGGCTCTTTTTGGCTTATTCCGTTCAATCCAGAACTCAATGGCTAACTTCGTCTTATGACGCTCGTGTGGCTGAAAAAGCGATCGAGACACGGGACAAACGCGCTCACCAACATGGATGACAGTCACCCTTTGCCCTTCCTGACACGGTCAGAAACATGTGCTTGGACGAGAAAAGCGGAGGTTTTGGTTGCGTAGCTCGGGCATAGTGCATCCGAGGGCCTGCCTGCATTTCCGACGGTCACAAGAGGTCGGCATACGGATCGAGAGGGTGGGGAAGGGGGGGGGGGAGGGGGAGAAACCTGAGAGGTGAACGCCACAAGAGGACCATTGGCATGCCCAATGTGTGTAGAAACAGGAGCTCGGCGCGGCTGTGTCAGAGCCTTGAAGAGGGCAGAACAAAGCCTGGATGTGAGGTGGACCCAATGTCGCCCACCTTATCGCCTGGGATGCATCTTCAAGTCATAATCTTGCTTTGCGATTCCCATGGTCGAGCCATTGAGCCAACAGACAAGTCTCGCTCTAGCTGCCAAAGCTTCATTCATGGAGCTTGACATGGGGGATGAGCCACTGACTGAGAAACATCAGCCGAATAGGTATCTTCGCCATCTGATTCGAGGCGAACCATCACGAAATTACGAGGAAGCGTGTCGGGCAACATTAGCTCGTCGTCAAAAGAGACCCCCTGCTAGGAAGTCGTCCCATACTTCTCCTCCCTGAGATTGTTCATATGGCCGGTCCATCCTCAAGTCTGCCAATGTCAAGGATTCCAGTAACACTCTGCGAATTGTTTTGACGACTTCTAGTTCTTCGCCTGTCAAGTGTGTTCAGTTTCACCTCCCAACGCCTTGCTGTGTCTCTTCTTCTCCTTTCCCCATGATAAGGTTCCTGTATCATTCAGTGAGAGTCCTTTCTCCATGATAAGGTTCCTGTATCATTCAGTGAGAGTCCTCTGTATAATTCTTTGAGAGTCCCTCTTGAGACTGCCCCTGCAACACCGTTTCCAGTCCCGCTATACCAATTCCAGTAAAATCAGCCAGCTCTCAGCGATTGCAATGGATCTACTTGTTACTACCACTCTCGCCTTTCAGGCTCGTCTCAGCCTGTTCCTTCTCCAAAGCTCTCTCCTCCGCCCACGATGAAACGTCCCTAGAGGTTCTGTGAACCCTCACTGTCACCTTTTTCTCTTCCAGCCCTCTACCTCTGACCTGCAGCACCAAGACGCGCTCGCCGACCCGCTCAATCCTATCGCTCTTGCCATCCTCCCATCTCAGCAAGACATCTTCCTTTGTCAGACCGTAATCTTTCAATGTGTTTGTGATATCACCGAGTGTGAATGTGGTGATGAGCACGCTCGAGTCCATACTGACGGTCTGAAGGTTGAAATCGAGGACAGGAGGGAAGGAATCGATCTTAGATTTGAGAGCTGCAGGCGTCGGTGTGATGGGAACGAAAGGTTTTGGTTCCTCCGTGGGAGTGTCGGGCTCAGCCTTGGATCTACGAGCTCGAATGCCTTGAGATTTGACTCGCTGATGGTCGAAGGAGAGCCGCGGATGGTGAATATGGGCCGTCGAAGGAGGAGCGAATCGATCGAGCCATATGAGCCGGGGGATGGATGAAAGCATAGGCCGAGGCGTGGACGTCGATGAGGGCGTGATTCACATGGGAGTAAAGGAACATTAGGGGCGGCGATCAACATCATCAGCATGTGTATCAAAGTTTGAAAGCACCGTCAACCCACGTTGGCTTTGCTAGGACCCAGTCCAAATTTTTCCGCGAATGGCACCCAACGGGCTTTACGCAGTGGAACTAGGTCGAGTCGTGCACGACCAGAGACAACGTGCACTCGATCGCCTGAGCAGCTCAGCGTTAACATGGCTGTATCACCCAGACTAAGGGGGATGATATGTGAAGGAAGAAGATAGGACAAAGTGGACGGTAATCTCCTCTGGCTTTCCTCCGACTCTTCATGCGTCAGGCCCAAAGACGCTTCTTCCGTTCTCATATTTCCCTCCTGAGCATCCACACTACGATACCCACATTTCTGAGAACACCGACTCACCTGGATGACCTAACCCTGGAACTCTCTGTAACAATTCCACCAAGACGGGTTTCCCCACGAGAGCAGGTGAGGAGGTTGAGAACGCTCGTATGGATCCATTTAACGGTCTATTCAGAACCGACGTGGAGGCTTTGAGGCCTCGCAAGAAGCCATTGGAGGAGATTGAAGGGCATGTCATGGTGTGATGGTCGGGAAAGGAGAGAGCAAATGGAACAGAGACTGTGGTAGGCAGCCTGAGGATTCGACCACAAATCTGACTTTCGAGAGGTGCCGATGTATTCATCCTGCACGTGATCAAATTTGGATTTCGATTAGGTCCCTTTTCTAATCGATGTTCGGAGATGATCGTGCCAGTCCCAAAAAAAAAAAAAAGTCTGATAAGTTTATGCTCTACCAAACCCATCACACACTAGTATGGACAGAGGAGCTGCTAGGAGTCGGAAGAGAGCACAACAGCTCGTCAAGCCAGTCGATGAGCGTCGGCAGGACTCAAGCTCAGCTGGACCATCTCGAGCCCGAGCCCGAGCTGAATCCAATTCTGAGGCTGGTCCGAGTAGGGCGAGAGGAGGCGGAGGCTCTCACGCTCATGGAGGTGGATCCAAGGGCAAAGATAGAGATGCAAGCTCAGAGAAGTCCAGACATCCGAAGAAGAGCTCGCAGAGAAGGAATATAGATGGACCGGTCGAACAGTCTCGAGATCCTGCGCTTTATCGGCCCAAGGCGATTCGAGATGCGACGGCATTGGTGTACAGTCAAGACCCGTTCGCCTTCCCGCCGCCAGATCTGAGTCATGTCACTCGATTAGACCTGGAGGGAAGCGGAGTGACCGATATAGAATGGCTGAAGGGTAGTAGAGTGACCTGGCTGAGCCTCAAGGGCTGTCAAGTGGAACGAGGATGGGACGCGGTCGGAGCTTTAGGAGGTCTAACAGGTGGGTCCAGTCACGGAATTTTGTCAAAGCTGAAAATGTGCCCTTGAAAAGTGTTGAATGTGTCGGATTGCGGGCTTGAGACGTTGCCTCGAGCGCTGGAGGGATGCTCGAGATTGAAAGCGTTTGTGGGTATGAATAACCCCTGGGAGGTATTGGATGAAGATATTGTGGGACATTGGACAGAGCTCAATTCAATGAGTGAGGACTTTTTCCTTCCTTAAGATCATCCTAGCTAGGTCTTCACATGTTGATGATCGGACGATTCAGTCATATCTCATTCGCTCAACCTCGTCAAGCTCCCCGCGACTCTTGGCCGACTGTATCACCTGGCCAAGCTGACCTTCTCGCATTGTCCCAAATTGACTTGTGGAGGTATACCCGACATGTCGAATCTCCCTGTGCTACGCGATGTGAAAATGAACAATCTACTTATGCTCAATGATCTTTCGGATCACTTGGCTCAATGGGGACGAGGAAGCATGAGTGTGCTCCAGGAGTCGTCCTCCACCTCCTCCTCCTCGACGACGACGATGGCAGTCATTGTCAATGATCGACATGGAGCAGGACTCCAATCGATAGATATCGGGAATTGCGCCTTGACATGGAAGACCATCTCGTCCATCTTCCTCTCGTCGTCGTCGAGATCCACGACTGACGAACCATCATTCCCAAACCTTCGATCATTGACACTTCATGGGAACCCAGCATGTCTGACGGAACCGACGTACCCTGCTCTGCTATCTTCCGCTCTGCCCCGTCTCCAGATCGTGGACAATAAACGGGTCAAAGAAAAGACGGAGAAGAAAGAGAGGGAAACAAAGTTGGAAAAGAAAGAAAGGGAGAGGAAACAAGGCAAGATGAAGCCCAGTGGAAATAATCAAGCGACGTTTGGTCCTATGCGGAAATGGGGTCAGCCGGAGGACACGCCGGAAGTGAAGAATAAGGGCACGGAGATGGATGCGGCGACGACCACAGGGGAGAAGAAGCGCAAGACCGCGGTCAAGCCACAGCATGAGCGAAATGGACGTCCTGGATCACTGGTCGATTCGAACAAGGTCGAGAGTATGGACAAGAAGCGTAAAGCTATACCACCTGATCATCCTGGTCCAGAGGGTGTTACGTCGTCCGAGCCCAAGGCGAAAAAGCCGCGGAGAAAGGACGAGCCGTCCCAGATAGCAGAGATGGAGACCAAATCCACGACAAAATCGAAACCGTCCAAGGTATCAAAGTCCCAAACATCTGTCGTTGGTGTCGTGGATGTTGTCGGACCTGCTCAAAACAAGCACAAGCCGTCATCTTCATCCAAGGCGACGACCACGGCTGGAATTGACCTGAAGTCTCTCTTTGACAAGGATCGTGACGATAATGATGATGATGATAAAGGACTCGGCGTAGGATCATGGTAGATTGGCAGCCACGTTGTACAAATCTTGACACTGTCATGCAAACTGATACAAAGTGTACATTGTGCCCTGCCCTACATCACAAGCCCCCCCCCCCCCCCCTAATCATCATCACTATCATCAGAGCTATCCCCATCGTCGTCCTCTTCAGCTACACCACTGGCCAACCGTCTCATCCCTACGCCTCCTTCTACACCTCCAAATGAGAAACCCAGGTCGGATCCAGGGTTCGCAGGCACCGGTGTGGAAGGATATCCTAGTTGATCCATGCCTTCCAAAGCGACATTCATATCCGCTTGTTCAACGTCGTTCAAACCTTCTCCAGCGGCGGCGGGGGTATGGGTCATGTTGGCAAAAGGATCAGAGTCGCCCAGTGGGGTGGGAGCCAAATCGGCAAGCTCAGCTTGAAGCATTGCTGCCATTTCGCCGTCATCTCCAAGCATCGGGTCATCACCGTCCCCATCCCCATCACCATCGCCATCACCATCATCGTCTCCACCATCCTCTACATCGCTCTCTCCATCCGCATCGTCTCCTTCGCCCTCCCCATCAGCATCTTGAGAATCGGGTGGCCCATCATCCCCCTCCGCTCCGCTCGCTTCCGAATCGCCGAAGAGGTCTTCCTCATCAGCTTCAAGTGGCGATCCAGGCGTCTCGGCCGCAGATGGAATATCTCGACTAGGTTCCAGTACTGCCGGCGTGCCATCCTCTCCCTCTGCCTCTGCATCCACTTCCATGTCTTCCCCAGGTGTCGCAACAGCCTTGGTGGTAGAAGATCTCCGACGTTCTTGCTTCTCTGCAGTGACTTGATCCAACTCATCGACCAGTCCCTGTCGCGTTTCCATTTTTGTCTTGATATCTGCTTGAAGACCCGCGATCGTCTCGTCAAACCGTTTCTTTCAACGTCAGCAGACGGCCTCGTGGGTGTTTTGACCCACCTGCATGATAGGATTGCCACCCGTGAATCCAGCTCGCTTCTTCTCAATGGCTCCCTCAAGTGCCTTGATCTCGCTGGTTAGCTGGCGAATCTTGACCTTTTTCTCCGCCGTCTCGTCATCATCTTCAGACTTTTCATCTTCATCGTCGTCCTCTTCCGAAGCCGATAAACCATCGTCTGATGCATCTGAGCCAGAGCCCTGTGGAGTGAGACACTGGATTTCACACCGCAACCTACCTGCTCCATCTGCTCCATGAGTGCAGCGGCAAACTCCCTTGAACCGTCAGCATTGAGAACCACGCCTCTGAACCCACTTGTCAAGGTCACCCTCTTCACTCGAATCGTCTTCGTCTCGGACGGACTGGCCCGGTGTCTGACTTGGATCACCATCCATCCAGTCTGACGCAGCGACGCTCCCAGGATCCTCATAAACTTCCGATTCACCGTACTCTGATCCGTGCCATTGCGCGTCCGGATCGTAGTCGATATAGTAGGAATCTGGAATATCAGGATTCGGGTGTGCATCTATCAGGTCTGAACTGGGGGGTCAGACGGTGAAATGGAGTGGGTTGGCAGACTTTGCAGCTGAGCTCACCAAAAGATGTGGATTCCGCCTCTTCATCTTTTTTCAACAGGTCTTCGACCTGTTCCTCGGTCACTTCGATAGCTCGCCGACTGAGACGTTTACGAAATCTCCGTTTACGAACATGTCGCAAGGGCGGTGTCAATCCATGAGGCCAAATATAGTCTTCCACAGACAGTGCGGCAGATGTGATGGCGCTTTCGTCTTTAGGCTGTTCAACGATGAGCATCTGAGAGATATCCGCGACCTTGAACAAGTGTCGATTATCATGCGTCTTTTGCGATTCGATAATACACGGCAAGTCGACGAGCTTGGAGGAATAAGTCACACCATTGATCTTGAATGCGGCGCGTCTGGAGTCTGTTGGAGGGTAAGCGCGGGGAGGGGGAAGGATGAGCATTATCCAACCGGTGAGACCCACCTAAGAACTTGAATTCGACACCTTCCAATCCTTTAGCTTTGCCCTTGACCATTTCTCGAAGGCCATTAGGTCCACCAGCCAGTTTCTCCGGTACACGTAAGATGAACTGCTCTTCAAATGCCAATGGATCTTCTGGATTCTCGTCCAGTTCCCTATCGTATTCCCCGAGGAATGACATTTCCCTCTTCTCGCCAGACTTTGAACCCGTCCCTAACTTGAGCTTGAGCTTTTGCACCTTGCTTTTGTGGTGATGCGCCGCTGCTGCACTCCGAGGTACACCTCCCCCTCCACGTCTCAAACGAGTCGCGGTGGGCGGAGACGCCCCGAGGCCAATGGTGATGTTGGAAGGAGCCGGACGAGGAGCTCGCAGGGTGATCCGACTTGGACCAGCGGCGGGAGAGTCAGTTGGTCCATGAGGTTGGACGTGGCCGTGTTGAGCCGCATGTTGGACTGAGCCTGCCAATGGGACAGAATGATGTGCGGGATAAGATCCCGACGGTCCAGCTCCAGATGATCCATCATTTCCCTGCTCCATCGCGTTGTTGTCAGCTTACGCTCACAATCAGGAGGTGAGTGAGACGGCGGAATCTGCAGCTGGAGGACGGTTTGTACTGTAGTAACCTCGGAACCAAATATTTTGCCCAAGAAAAATCGGTTGGTTGTGCATGACACCACACGACACACTACTGAACGAACGGCTTCGACGTGCTTGACTCAGACGCCAACTACCTAATGTACTTTCTCTCAAAGTATCTAAAGATGGGGAATGTGACTGCAGTGAAAGCACCAGCAAGCTCGAATCCGAGATCTCCACCGTATGGGCCACCAACAGCTTTTCCGACTGCAAAAGTCAGCAACTGCTAGACCTACGCCGTGAGCGACTCACTAGGTCCAGTCCACCAGACTTGAGCCATACCGACTGCAGCGCCTGCAGCGCCGAAACACATCGATGCGGCAGCTGCATAGCCGACTGGGAGGAGAGATTTCCGGTTCCAGGTCTCAGCAGCGTTGTAATTTGCGTGATCGCCTTTACGGAAGATGAAATGTTCTTCAAGTACGACAGTGCAGTAGATGGCCAACCAGTAGCCGAGTACGTTCATAAAGTCTTCCAAGGTCGCCGCAAAGTGATTGGCTCCGACAATAGCGAGGGGAATGTAGATCGCAGTAATGACGCACGGCCAGACGAGTCTAGGCACAGCAGCGAGGTAAATCGAGATAACACTGAGACTGAGCCCGTAAGAGTAAACGTTGATGATGCTGGAATGATGTCAGCACAGATCCGAAAACATGTTTCGCTCACTTGTTGGCGACCACAGAGAGCACTAAGATGACCATGAAGAACTTTCCACCGCCACCGATGGCAGGGACGAGGACGGCGTGGAGAAGACCACCAAGCTCATTGGCAGTGTACGCCGCCATCCAGTCAGTGTTGACCATGGCCGCGGCTCCGACGGCGGCTCCAAGCCACTGAACGAGGACAAGAGGGAAAATGAGACCGATGTAGGTCCACATGAAGACTTTCCACTTGTTCGATTCGGCGGGCCTGCAAAAGTGAGCCCAGAGTCAACAGAAGAGGATTCACATGTAGACATTGTAGTCGGAACTCAGACTTGACCAGCCCACAGCGAAACCGAAGATGACTCCTCCGAATGAGAGGACGCTGAAAAGGACGGTCAGCCATAATACAACAAGGGAAAATCCGCTGACCTCGCCGCCTCGGCTCGGCCGACAGGCATTGGGACATTGACAAGGTGCTTGGCAGAGACTCCCAAGAGAACAAGGAAGGAGACCAAACTAGGTATCCAGGCGAATCTCTCGAATCGGTGGACCAACTTGTACCCGAAGAGACCCAAGACCAAGGTGACAAGTGCGATGATGACGACACCTGCGGCGGCCGAGATCTTGTACTCTGCGACGGCTTCGAGCGTTTGAGCTCCCGCAATGGTGTTGATGATAGACCATCCGACACAAGCGATACAGTTGAGTAAAGCAACAAATTTGGCACCGTAGAAACCCCAGGAGAATCGGGACGAAGTCATCTGACGGAGTCCAAGAGCGGGTCCAAACGTCGACATGTAAGCTGGAATGCAGGCTGTAACGAGGTTGAAGAAGAGGATAGTGAGCCTGAGAAGGAATGTCAGCGGATGACACAGAAGAGCGAGACAACGTACATCGAGTCTCCGAGCCCCATGTAGAAGAGGAGGGGTCCAAGAATACCGATACCAAAAGTCGGTAAGACGGTATTCGCTGAGAGCCAGATCATGGTGTTGCCCCACTGAGCCGTCAGATAAATGGCTACCAAGAAGGGGACCTACGAGGTGCTTGTCGGGTCTCGCGGACTCTGGTACACGCTCGATACCTCGCTAGACGGAATGCTATCAGCATACGGCTCACACGACCACCCAAAAACCATCCTGAAACACTCACACTTTCGATGCCCAACTTGCGCTCCAACTTCTTGTTGTAAGCATCAAATCTCGCCCAGGCGCCATCGGAAGGCAGCGCAGAATCGTGTTCACCGGCGTAGACACCGGGATCAGCGACAGCAACACCTGCCAAAGGGTCAAGACCCTTCTCCACATCGGTATGGTCTCCGCCCGACATGGACTCCAATGACTTGTCAGACATGTCGCGCGCAATGGACATGATCCACGGTTTTTGATTCACTCAATGACGGGAGGGAAAACCGGGAAAAGGGACCGTGAAGCGTCTAAATAAGACCTTCGAGGGGGTGGTGAGTGAGGATGAGGAGGGGTGGGAACAAGGTTGTTATCAAGAGAGACCAAGGCCTCAGACGGGCATGTCCTTATCGCTACTTTTTTCTCTTCTTTTTCTTCGGATGCCACTGGGGGGAAAATTTCAAGCGGAGAATATCGGACAATCCCGAAATAGTCACCATGTGGGGCGGTGGGGGGGTACATGGAGGAGCAGCAAGTCACGCCCTGATGTTACAGTGTCAAAGTCTCTCGGAGGTGAGCAGTGCCTTGGAATGCAATGGCCTGTGGTCAAGATCTCACAAGCGCATGCATGCAGACCCGCATAGTCCCTCTCAGTGAGCCGACGCACTGACTGAAGATCACTAGTCGCCTGATGCCAAGACTAGATCCCAGGAACGCCACAATCGACCACCTTCACTGATAAGCAGTACGACTAAACGTCAGCGACGTTCCCGCTGGTAGGCGACACTGGACATTGGCAGCGGTACAGTTGCTACAAGGGTAACCGTGAGAGCAATTACACTGTTCGCCATCTTGTAGGCATTTCTCACATCGTGGCATCCACGTGTTTGATTGACCATATGCTGTGTTTTGGTCGCTATGAGGATGCCACCCCACTTGCCTCCCATCAGGCGTCGTGGTCGCGGGGCCCGGTCCTTGTTGAGTGCCTGGGTTCTGTCGACCATCGTATGCCATACTTGACTGACGTGTGTATGATGATGCTGCTACTGCTGCTGCTGCTGGATGACCTTGGAATGGTGATGTCTGCTGCGAGGCTTGGGGATACGTCTGGGCATGAGTGTTGGTAGCCCCATCGGCGGACCATCCGGATTGTGTGAATTGGGTCTGCTGGTACGGATACCGAGGCTGCGGCGCATGAACATCCCAGGATTGCGGAGCTCCTTGCTGCGAATGGTAATGGGAGTTGTCCTCGCTCTGATTGTTGTTCCCTTGGTTTGACATTGCTGGTTGATACTGAAGAATTGTAGCGGTTTTAAAACTGCAGTGGCAAATATAGCCTGTGTATTTTATGGCCTTTGAAGATCGCATCCAAAGGAGGTGTCGAAGACATTGGTGAAAGGAATGCAGTGCCCAAAGGAACGGGTTCGAAGAACCGGGCGCGCGCTGTCAGGCCATCTGAATCCATTACCAATATGGCCTGTCGATCACTGATTGCTGAACCCCTATCGATTGCATCACGCCATGATCGGCTTGTGACGCGGTGTCCACGGGCCAAGAGAGTTGTCCTGATGATGAGTTGGCGCCCGGCCGTTGCCTCGACTCACCGAGTAGAAGTCCATGGGATAATCTCCATCACTCCAGCTTTTGATTCTCCCCAGAGCCACGCTGGCCTCGTATGGACTCAATAGGGGGCGATCGAAAGCATACCCCCAGTCGATAGATAATCGAGGGCAGGATGTTTGAACAAAGGCGGTGAGGTCAGGGAAGAGCGCGAGTTTGACGGGAGATAACTCTGATAGAAGGAGGAGAAGGGGGGGATCATGTGAGGGAAGCGACGAGGTGATAGTCTGCCGTCAGAACCATGTGATCTCCTGCTCACCTTCAAGACACTGAGACTGCCCTGTCGACCCAGCGTTCCTAGAACGACCGCCCAGCTGCCTGGACCGCTACTCTCGAGACCTCGCTTGGCGGCCCGCACTGCGTCACTCCGAACGGTGCGCATCTCTTGATGCTCGTATGTCTCCCTGGTGAATTTCTTGGAGTATGGATCATACCGGAACGCAGGGATCGCCGGATTCGCGATCATGATGGACTCAAGGTGAAATCGGCCGTCCCCGACGTATCTGCAATCAGCATAACCAAGGAGAATGTCAACTCACATCAAAGCGTCGACATCCTTCAATTTTGGCGCTGTGCATCCAAGCACTTCACCCGGACTGAGAGGTTTGGATTGAGGGATAGTGATGTCGTACTTGCCTCGCCAAACGTTTCCTTCTCTCTTGATGAGGGCATTCTCGCCAGTCTCATCGAGAGAGGGCAGCTCAGATTCGAGATCGGTCCGCAGAGTCTGTACAGAAGCTACGAATTGAATCGTAGAGACGAGTGCAAGTCGAGTGGGCGAATCATCATCCATCGCGATGGGCATCTTGGCGGCGTCGACAGACTCTAGAACCATGCGGTGAAAGGCAGAGCGAGAGGACGGAAAGTTTTTCCTGACCGATAGTGAAAGGTGCGCAGTGTCGATGCCAATCTCAACGAATACATAGAGAGTCTTGAGGGTTGTTTGAGAGACGGGGACTGGAATCAACTTCCGGACAAGTGTACCACTCACTGAGACATGAATGTCCGTAGTGCACGATCATCTCCGCGCCCATCTCTTTGGCGGTGAAATCATCGATGCCTGCTAGTCAGACGACTCCCAGGCTCGGAACCTACAGCATGCACCATAAGTGACGTCGGCGAGCAAGAGTGGTAGTGCACCGGTAAACCTGATGTCAGTGAGGATAGTAAGACTCCACTCACTCCTCAATTATATCCGCTATGGCACAACCGTAGACCATGAGTCCTTCTGGCATTTGTAGAGCGACAGTCTTGATACCATCGCGGCGGATGTGGTGGACAGTTTTATGAATCTCAAAATTATAGTTACTGGGAAGGTCTGTCCGATAAGCAACGCATCTAAGGAGCTACTTACGAGAAATCGCCTCGTCCAGCACCGGGTCATTCAGGATGTCGTCGGGGATCTGATTGGCTATCCGACGAGGAGCTCGCGAAGATGCCTTGGACGTGCCAACGAAGCGTTTCCGAGGTTTCCCCGGGGCCAGAGGCTTCTCTATCCCTTCAGAGTGCTCCATGAGAGGCTTGCTAGATGGTTCAATTCGGTCCATCGTGATGACTACTGTTCCGTGATCACCACCATTGCGGTTCAGCAACCAAAAAATCCTTGGCTTGTGGCCAGTTTCCCACGGTGGATGAGGGGTGGTATTGACTTTTCGAACCAGCTGTCTGTATCTTCGATTCCATTGCTTCCAATAAACGAACGCTATGGAAACCAATCTTGCAGTGACCCAGGCTGAGAGGAAGGAGAGGCTTATAGCTTTACGGAAAAGGAAACTAGAGTCAGAGCAAGGCAATGGCGGACCGTGAGTTTGGCTGTTGGTGGGCCCAGCTGATGCCAGATCTCACTTTGCATTCAAGCAGAGGAATTTTGATCCAGAGACACGGCAGAGTCGGAAGAGGGATGGACCAGGGGATGATACTGTCGAGAAGGCCGTCGAGGGTTTAGCAGAGCAGATCATTAAAGAGGATGAAGAGAAGAGAAAGGAGGAGCTTGTGAGTGCTACGAATGGGAGAGACCATGCTAAAGGTTTAGGATCTTTTCAACATACAACCTCGGAGAGCTAATTGGGACCTGAAGCGCGACATGACGAATAGAATGAGCAAGCTGGAGCGACGGACGAACGAGGCCATAGCAACTATCTTCAGTGAGTCGTGACGACTTGCCACACTGATGATCAGGACAACGACTGCAGAGCATGAAGAAAGATAATCCAGGAGCCGAAGTGGACATTGTGGCGAGTATGAATGCAGCGGAGCACGAGAGGGACGCGGAGAACGCGGCGTCAAGTGACGATGAGTAGAATGTATAGTAATGACGGGAAGAAGCTTGGATTGAGGGACCATCGTCGGCGACCCCGTGTACAACAATGCATCATTCTGTCTCCAGAAACCTCCACAATGCTGCCGCATCCTTGTAGTCGTGATGTATCAGGGAGACCAGCCACCATTCAGACGCAATGGTGTCAAGCAGATTTCGGGCCTCAGAACCCCGAGGGTAGAGCATGGACCAATCAGTCCAGATGTCAAATGCTTCTTCCTTGACGATCAGCCAGGTACACCGGGGCGGGGAGCTCACCTTCCAGGCCATGAATGACGTCGCCTCGATGATTGTCGACTGAACAATCTCTTGCCCTGGAAATACGCCCCATGTGACTGCGTTGACAGCTCCAGGCTCGGTATTGGTACGAAACTCGCCCTGAAATAAGCGCGGCTGAAGGCAAGATGGCTCACCTTTTTGTTCGCCGCGTACATGGTGATACGCTTGGACACGCTCGCCTCGAGTCGCTGGACCTCGCTGAGTGGGACGAAAAACTCGACAAAACTCTTCTGAAACACGTAGCCACCTCGCGGCCCCCAGCCATGAATTGGGTCTTCGCTGGCGGCGGCGTCGACAGAGGGTTGCGAGCCGACAGTGTAGTACCGTTTGGCGTTGAGCTTGAGGAGGTGAGGGATGATAGAGGATGATTCGGCAGACAGAGGGAGGTCAGAGAATGGTGTGGTAGGGGGAGAAGGGAGGGATGGGTCGTTGTTGATGTATGCGGTGAAGAGGTTTCCGATATCATTGTGGCATGTCGGCGTGCCCCAAGCTTCCAGTGCACGAGCAGACTACGACTGGTCAGGCCATAGTGGACGAGGTAACTCACAGTCGTCTTGATCCCACTTCCCCACCCATCAATCTCACCGTATGCAGGACTGCGGACATCCGTGAATCTGCCGTTTGGGTATTCGTCCCAACTATCCTCAAGATTCGGCGGATTCAACGGCTTGGTCTGTGGCGAACGATGCAGTCCAATTTGAGCAAGATGACTCGCTTCGGAAGGTGAGATGGAAAGGTTGGAAAGCTGACCGGTGGCCTCTTCGATGACTCGATTGTGATGTTCAGGGGAAGGTGCAGCTGGCGCGGCCCACCCAAGGTTCTCAACGATTGTCCGGACCGATTTTTCGAGATTGAGTGTGCAGAAATGCACGCCCTGGACCAGTCCCGAGGCCATCAAGCGAGAGACCATCTGAGTTGCCAGTCTTGCACCATATTGCTTGACAGCTGCATCGTCGGTCTGCCATCAGCGAAAGTTGCTACCTCCACACACCTTGATAGGATAGAGATGAGAGAGGATGGAGTTCGGTACGGGGCAGCCAGTCAGGTTTACAAGTCGACGGAAAGATGAAAAGTTTTGAATGGGCATAATTCCAGGTATGATAGGTTGCGTTATTCCTGCACATACATGAGCGGTCAGCCTCAAAGAACCCTGGCTCACCCGCATCGCGACAGCGTCGAACCCAAGATTCGAACCCATGAACGTCATAGAATAGCTGGGTGACGATAAAGTCTGCACCGGCATCGCATTTGAGTTTGAACCATTTCAGATCATCCTCCATGGATTGAGAGTCTTGATGAGGTGTTGGATATCCCGCGACGCCGATACAAAAATAATCGCCGTGTTCTGCTCGGATATACCTCACGAGGTCATCGGCGTGCTGGAAGAAATCTGGCTCAGAGGGTGGTGTAAGAGCGTATTCCTCAGGTCTTGGAGGATCGCCTCGGAGTGCAAGGATGTTATGAATGCCGAGTCCACGGGCGCGCTAGATGCCAAGGTCAGCAATGAGATTTTGTAGCCCGGGTATGGTTCACCGTTAACGCCATGTCGACCTTGTCTCTAGGCATATTCGTGCACGTCAAGTGTAGGATGACTTCCACACCGAGCTCCACAACTTGAGCAGCGAGATCTAACGACCTCTCAGCAGTACTACCGCCCGCTCCCCATGTTATCGAGACAGCCAATGGAGGTGCTGATCCAGATGTGAACCTTCTGATGCGATCGAGCAGATTCACGAGACCAGGCTCGGTACGAGGAGGGAAGAACTCCAACGTATGGAATGGTCCATTCGCAGCTTGTATGAGCTCCGTAAGATGCGGCATAGTGTTGCGCCAGAGGCATCAGTCGTACGCCTTGGATCCAATGATCAATTAGCAGACCAGAAAGAAGACTTTTGAGCTTTTGACTCGGTCGTAAAATCACGTTATCCGGAATGACGCCGAAGATATTTGGACATTAAACTGTTGGTATGTGCTGGAATCAACTGATTGCAAGTGAGGATAGGCAACGTGGGGGGACACTCCGGGTTGTAAGTCCGAGAACAACCCTATCTAGCCTCAGGACATGCCATGCAAGCTATCATCTCGAGAGCAATAACTTCGTACAATATCCCACATACCGTGCACCTGCCCAGACTCGGCAGAAATGCCACATCAGCCACTGTTTTGGCTGAACTTATTTTTTTCTCATTGGGGGATCGTCTCCCTAGCCTCGAGCAACATTCTACAAGACTCGTCAGGAGCACCACTTCGACAGGTGTACAGGTCAGAGGTCGGGCGAGAGTAGGGAGAAAGACGCTCGCAAGGCCTCGGTGCAGGGAAATCCCAGTCGTCAGAAGCCAACAACTCCTCACTCAATTTTTTTCCAATTCCGTCGAAATCTGCCTTCGCCATGTCTGTCCGATATCTCAGTGAGTTGAGCGAGCTTTGCGATCTTGCGATCTGAACTATGACAGGTCACTCCTCTCCTATTGCTAGGGGTATCCTCCGTGGTCAGCTCTCTCTATCAGGAAAGCCCAATGTCGCTCCCCGTCTGATCTCCCTCAAATCCTTCTCGACCTCTGGACTCCGTGCCAATGTTGTACCTCCTGAACCCGTCGTCGTCCCCGTCACTCCCAATGCCCCAAAGCCGAGCTTTGGCCAGCGTTGGCGCAGACGTGTCAGGGCGTTTGCTCGAACTGTTCTGGTTGTCATTCTTGTCGGTGGAGGAGCATTCTACTATGGTCAGTACCTCTGCCTGCAGGTTTGCCTTCGCTGACTTTGCCCTTAGTGACACAACAGGACGTGCATCCCGGTGACCAACTCCCTTCAGATCCCTCCAAACCTACTCTTGTCGTCCTGGGATCTGGCTGGGGTGCCACTTCTTTCCTCAAGAACCTCGATACAGAGGAATTCAACGTCGTCGTGGTCTCTCCTCGAAACTATTTCCTCTTCTCCCCACTGCTTCCCTCAGTCACTGTCGGTACCCTTGAACCCCGAAGCATCATCCAGCCTACCCGCTTTATCACCCGACACAAGAAGCGAAAAGTCTCAGTCTACGAAGCTGAAGCTCGAGAGGTCGACCCGATTAAGAAGACTGTCACATTTAGGGATCAGACTGATATTCGGGGTGAGGCTGGTTCCGTCACCATCCCGTACGACTACCTCGTTTATGCTGTCGGATGCGAGAATCAGACTTTTGGTATCGAGGGCGTGACGAAATATGGCTGTTTCCTCAAAGAGCTCAGTGATGCCGACAAGATCCGAACACGACTCATGGACTGCATTGAGACCGCTGCATTCAAAGATCAGCCCGACGAAGAGGTCGACCGTCTCATGCATATGGTTGTCGTCGGTGGTGGACCTACTGGTGTCGAGTATGCTGGAGAGCTTCACGATTTCCTGATCGTGAGTGGGCTGGGTTATCCTTCGCTGATATCTAGGATGATCTTCGCAAATGGTATCCGGAAGTCGCAGATCGTCTTCGCATTACCCTGATTGAAGCTCTACCCAACGTTCTGCCAGCTTTCTCCAAACAGCTTATCCAATACACTGAGTCTCAATTCAAGGAGAACAGGATCGATGTCTTGACCCGCACCATGGTCAAAGACGTCAAAGAACGCAGTGTCGTCGTGCAGGATGCCAACAAGGAGATCCGAGAAATCCCCTATGGTCTCCTAGTCTGGGCAACCGGTAACACCTCTCGTCAAATCACCAAGAACCTCCTCGCCAAGCTGCCCGAGACCCAGACACAGAAGCGAGGGATCGTCGTCGACGATTACTTGTCCATGCTTGGTGCCGAAGGTGTCTACGCCATTGGTGACTGCACAGCGACTCAGTATGCTCCTACCGCTCAAGTCGCCAGTCAGCAGGGTGCATTCCTCGCCCAAATGTTTGGCAAATTGGGCCAGAAGGCCAAACTTCAGCGTCAACTCGCCGACCTCCGAGCGTCATCATCTGACCCAGTCGAGCTTGAAGCGGTTGTCAAGAAGCTGAACAGGGTCGCTAAACTCACGCCTTTCCACTATTCGCACCAAGGATCCCTAGCGTGAGTAGTTTGTTCATTCTCAGCTGAGACGTAGCTACATTGGATCCGAAAAGGCCATTGCCGACCTGCCATTTTTCAACGGAAATGTTGCCTCCGGAGGTGGTGCTGCCATGTTGTTCTGGAGATCTGCCTATATCGTGAGTCACAAGCGGTTTCCAGCTCGTTGCTGATCCCTCAGTCCACGCTCTATTCGGTTCGAAATCGAACCCTTGTCATGACCGATTGGCTCAAGGTCAAGTTGTTTGGACGGTGAGTCAATGATCCATACGTATCGTGCTGATGTTCCCAGTGATGTGTCTCGAGAGTAGGTCAGGTGATGGATCCCATTTCCATTCATAGCTATAGATTTCACGATGCATAGACTACCCATATAGGTTTGTATATCTTGCCTGCATTAATAAGAAGAAGCATAATTCCGATCTCGGTAAGAAAGGTCCGGAATTCTCGTCCAATAGATCCCACCCCGCTAGCTCATTCAATCACCCTTCTCGTAGTGGTCGCAGTACCCGCTTCCGACCATTCGCTACAATGTCAACGAAACGATCTGCTCCAATCTCTCCAGCGAGCGTCAAAAAGGTCAAAGTCGACGATGACCCCAAGACACCACGCGACGGGTCGAAGGAATTGACAAAGGGTGCCAAGTGGATGGTCGCCCAGGTTGAAAAGATGCAGGAGTATCATACGGTGGGCCAATTCGCCCCGTGCTCAGCTGATTTCTAGGCCTGTCTCAAGGTCGTCACGGTCATCATTCAGTATCGTACCTACGCTCGACAAATGTGAGTCCTTTGTGAGGAACAATTTGTTGACCGCTCGAGCAGGCGGATGAAAAACCCTCAGATTCCACCTGGACTGATGCAACAGCTTCAAAGCTATTGGGAATCATACGAGGCTATCAAGAGACATGTCGAGTGGTATATGGTAAGATTGAATTGATACTATCACGGCTCATTTATAGACGCAAAATGCTCTACACGCCTCAACTCCATCTCGACCTCCCCCTATCACCTCATCCCCCATCGCGCCAATCGTCCCTCCGCTATCTGCCATACAAACAGAAGTTCCGAAATCATCTCCTATACCTCTATCTACCGCATCTATGCTAGCCTACGACAATCAATCGATAGAAGCTCCATCTGTCGCTCCTCCTAATCTTCCCACCGTACCGGCTGTACCCTCGGTTCCTGCTCCGAAACCGATACCTGCGTTTGCCCAAGATCTTGGCGGCATGTCTGGTACCTCTACGACGGATCAGCTGGATCTCTCTTCCCTTGGAATGGAAGAACTATCTGCGCTACTCAACGACAACAATGCAAATCCCTTCGGCGACGGATCGAGCTCTGATTTTCTCGCGGGGATGTTTGATGACTCCAATTCCGCAGAGACGGACAAATTACTCGCATCGCTCTCACAGCCAGCTGGCGATGGGCAAGCGACACAGGCGGATGCTCAAACATTCGATTTTGACTTTGGTACGGAGCAAGCAGATATGGCAGAGCTTGCTGGATTATTTGGTACCGAAACGAAACAAGACGCGGAAGTAAAGGAAACGGCGCCAGTAGCGCCGGTAGCAGATGTCCAACAGACAGGAGGCCCTAAGGGCCATGTCAAGCGACCCTCTATCGGCGTCGGCAGTACACCAAATATACCTCCTGAAACGCCTCAGATCCCATCTGTCGAAGTGCCCGCCCCCACTGCAGAGACCAAACCAGATCCGCCTTCGGCTCAGGTGCAGGAAGCATCCGAGAATCCTGAGCCGACTTTCGGCGAAGAGCAAGACTACGACTTGTCCAATATCGATCTGGAAGACTTCAACTTTGGGGATGGATCCATGCCCAACGTTGAGGGTGACGAATTTGAGAGCTTGTTTGCAGAGTTCAAGTAGAGCGGCATTGCATCTTAATCTCCGATCTCTACTCTACTTATCCTCTCGTTCAATCGGCCATTGACCTGCTTTAGCCGATCCCATGCCTCGTCCCACGCGAGCACGGAAGGATCATCGTCATCTTTTACCTCGTATTTCAGTTCTGTATTACGCCGGCAGATTCTTGGACGTGAGACGCAATCAGATATGCAGACTCACCCGCATTTTCTGTCGAGAACGCTCTTCCGGGCAAATTCGGCTAGATGGGATTGAGAATGGTAAATGTTGTATTGTATGAGGGCGGATTCTACGTTTCAGCGCTGTATCGGATCGACGAACCTACCAACTATCGGATCGGCCGCCACTACCAGCACAAATTGATTCTGGGTCAACGGCTCCAGAACCACGGTGCAGTCGTCGAATTTGGCTTCAAAGCCAGTGAATGATTCTCCCGTACGTCTAGCTTTTCAGCCCGGCTTCGTCTACTCTATACCCACTGGCAAGTCTTTCGAAACCCCTTGATGATCTCCGAGATCTTCTCGAATCTATGTTTGCTCAGGCTGCCTGCTCCGTACCTTGTCTCCTGGTCATCCAGCTCTGCCTCATTACTGTCTAATGGCGACCCAGACTTCGAAATGACGAGGAATGTCTCTGCTTCAAAAGCCACCGCCTCCACGGCCATGCAGATGTCTCGCAGGTAGGTAAGATGCGCGGTAATGAGATTGATATTCGGTATCAGAGTGTGAATAACGGACGACCAAGCCTGCCGGTCAGTGTAGCCCCCTCCAAAAATCTCACCTTGTACAGCGATTCGTCCCATATACTCGTGGGGAAACACCTTAAACCCCCTCTCCTCCCATCGTCTGACATTTCACTCCGCACCCGCTCATCTATTTTGACGATGTCCTCACTCCTCTCGGCGTACTTCTTCCTCTTTGGATCTTCTTTGTCCACCAAATCCATCTTGTTGATGAGAACCCATACTCCCGCATCAGAACTGTTCTCCCGTAAAGCCGAGATGATCTCCTCAAAATATCGGACATCGTTCTCCCATTCTGTTGAAGTGATGTCAAAGACATAGATCAGGACTGCAACATTGGCAAAGATCGTGTCCTTCTGCGCTGTGAGGTAATTGTCCACGAAAGCATTCTGACCTCCGCAATCCCATAGATTCTGCGGGATCAGGCTTGAATCCCAGTGTTGCTTACCAGGACGAGGCTTCCAAGGAAACGAACGGCCGACTGTTCGACGTCTATCGTCGCACCTAAACGTCTAGTATCTCTTGCACTGTAGTTCTGACTTTGGAGATGAGTCTTAATCAGGAGATTTGACCCACAAGATGACCGATCTCATAGACGTCTTTCCACTCCCTGTGTATTTAGACAACGCTCGAGGTTCCCGACTCACCCGACTTCCCCATGAGCAGAACCTGAAGGGATTAGCTTACTCATCATGTAACAGTCGACCCCACCTTCCTCTTGGCTGTCGCGCTCATCTTGCAGTCGGACTTGCTGTCAAGCTTGTGGTCGAGCGTTGCAGACATCTGACGTCGGTGCTCGCTCGGCGAAGCGGAATTACGTAAATGGAGAGCGACGCGAGGTTAGATGGTGTAATGTTCGAGATGACCTTGCTTTCGGGACGCTTTTGACTGAGGAGCGAACCATCGCGGGCGAGGTCGCTTGACTGAACGGACCGCCCGCATCTTCTTACGAACGAACTCAGCTGCGCCATGGCAATCACGCCTCGCTCCACCAGATCGGCAACACGGTCATCTCCTCGATCTATCAAGTCGGCCAAATCTGCCTCGTCGAAACCGTCGACGCCGCTGAAGAAAGTCACAACAGCCAAGACGTCTGGAAAGAAGGCGCCGACGGCAAGAACTTCGCCGTATTTCCAAAAGACTTCAAAGCAGGTCAAGGGCAAAGGCAAGCGGACGAAACGCCAAGCGGAGGAGGATGGATCTGAGGATGACGGCGATCGTGCAGACAGTCCGACGGGAATGACCGAAACGCCTTCATCTTCCGACGCGGAGGATTCAGAGGATGATTTCAACCTCGAATCTGATGACGCAGAAGAGCCCGAGGAGGAGATTGAGTCGGACGTGGACAGTGATTTCTTGGATGAGGAGGACGTCCCGGTGAAGAAGAAGAGTAGACCGAGTAATGGATCTGGCAAAGTTCCTACCAGCTCTAGCAAAGGCAAGGGTAAGGCAAAAAGGGTGGAAATTGATGGCTACGAGGACGAGGAGGAAGAAGAAGATATGGAGGTCGAACTCGAAGAAGGACAGGAGATAGCAGGAAGGATATACCCTGCGCCAAAGACAGGCCAGGGTGGGTTTCGGTTATTGGGTTACGCTGACATCCCAGTGCCCCCGGGACAGATATCTCAGAACACTCTCAACTTCCTCAAGAACCTCCAGATACCAGAACGGAACGATAGGGACTGGTTCAGATCACATGAGCCTGCGTTTAGACAAGCGGAGAACGTGAGCCAGATCGAGAATTCCGCTGAGATCCCAGGAATGGAAAGCATTTGTGACCCAGGTACAGATGAAGTTCCAGGAAGGCGACCACGAAGTGCCGATACTGCCGCCGAAAGACGTGATAGTGAGTCAAGTTCATGCTTGTCGTCTGACAGATCCAGCATCGGATCTATCGTGACGTACGATTCTCATCCGACAAGACGCCATATAAGAAATCCTTTTCTCTCTCCACATCTCGCGGCGGTCGGAAAGGCATCTGGGCAGGATATCACCTGTCCATCTCGCCAAATGATAAGTCCATTCTAGCATGCGGTACATGGCAACCGGGAAAGAACGAACTTGCCTCGATCCGCCATCGATTCTTGACGGACCCTGAATTGTTTCGAGAGGTCATTTCAGCCCCGGAATTCGTCGAGCATTTCGGGCCGCCGAAACCGCATCCAAAGGGCAAGAGGCAGAATGTCTTCGGTCATGACGACGCCCTGAAGGTCGCACCGAAGGGGGTGGATAAGAGTCACAAGGATATTGATTTGCTCAAGTTGAGGAGCATTGCTGTAATTCATCAGTGAGAGCCCTCGAGATTGTATGGCTGAGCCTAGTTTCTCGGATAACGAAGTCCTCAAGAAGGACTTCCAAGATCAAGTTGGAGAACTGGTACGCGTCATGGCCCCTTTTGTACATTTGTGAGCAAAACTGACCTGGCGGTCACTAACAACCAGATTGAACGATTTTATCTCTGTTCCGGCCGGCGATAATGATGACGATGACGAGGATGAGAACGGGAACGAGGATGACGACTGAAGGGCCGTCGACGTTCTGCATGCAATGTCCGTTTCTTGTTTAGAGCTTGACTTTCTCCTTGATCTCCTCCACAGGTCCCTTCTTGGCGGCCTGCAGGGACAAGTAGGCGTTCCATGGAATGTTGACAGCGTTGATGACGAGCAGTCTGTATTGCAGGGGAACAAACTGGAAGATTTAGCAGGAGCAGATGGAAATCGACTCACGGCCTGTTATGAAGAGCAGCGGTTAGCTAGCGCTTTGCGTCGGAAGATGATAACTCACCATGTTGATCAGCTGGGTAGGAATGAATCTGTCGCACATCAGCAGGGTTGCACCAAACGGGTGCACTCACACTCCCCAGTTAGCTTGCAGGGTGGGAACGAATTGCTTGTCCTTGTCAGCTGACAACTAGCCTGAACCAAAGACCTACTGCATTCCATTTCTGCTTGACAGCGTTCATGTCCTTGCCTTCCAGCAATGTCATGACGGTGAAGAAGCCTGTAGATTCAGCCTCGATACGTCTAGATCCTCACCAGTCACGACCACAGGCGCGAACAAGAATTGATCGAGAGACGTTCGAACGATAGCTCCACCCCATTTGGACTGAATAGGGATCTTTTGCAGCTGTCTGAACCAGACTGTAACGGCCGGAGCGAATAATCCACCTCCCCAGAAGATGATTCGGCTGCGAGGGGGTCAGCCATGGAATTGCGCTTAGGCGCACCCAGTCCGCGCAACATCGTGATTCTTCCACCCTTTCTTCTCAATACCCTGCTGAGCGATGACTGGGAGCAAGTCAGGACTGCTACACGAAGTCGCTGGAACTCACTATCACCCGTAGCAAAGAGTACCTGGCAATGTCAGCACTGCTCCTGAGGGACCAACTCACCGCTGAGGTCAACATATTGCCCATGAAAGGTCTGTTAGTCAAGAGCGACTGATACGCCCCAAGCAGACGCGACATGGTGGCTAGTGGTTATTGAAGTAGGAGGAGGAGCACAAACGAGCTGGTGGAGCCGAGCTTTTGGTGATATTGAGGGAACAAAGGGAGACTAAACAGACTTTTGGCGGGGTGGTAAGAGGGCTACTTCGTCGATTCGGAGAAGCCTAGCTGACTTAGATTGTGCCTTCGTCGTGCGCAAACGTCAAGAAATGTCGTCGACAGGGCTCTCGTGTACATTGCGTAGATACGATTTTCCAACTGTTTCTAATTCCTCGGCGATTTCACGGCGAGAATGAACCACGCATCATGATGCATATAGCGAGACCAGCCTGAATCTACACAAGCTCAAAATATCTCTCAACTGGCCTTGGTTAGCGTCACCTTGCTTCGCGCTCACCTTCCCAGCTGGTCACTGCCTTTTCATGCAGAGCCAACTCATGCTCCCGTGTCCCCGCAAAGTGGTCCACAAACAGATCCCCAAAGACCTCTCGAGCTATGCTGTCCTTCCGCTTGAAAGTGGCTGTCGCCGCGGACAAGCTGGTCGGCAGATGAGGCAGTGTACCTCGAGTGACGCCCGGAGATCCGACAGGACCATACGGCAGCTCTATGCGTCGCTTGATGCCTCGCAGGCCGAGGCCGAAGATTGCCGCAAAGGCAAAGTACGGGTTCATCTGGAGGTAAGCACGGAGATTGGGCGAGAGACATACATCAGCTCCTGGGACTCGTACTTCGAATCGAGCAGCTGAAGCGCTTGAGCCTGGGGGACCGATGATCCTTATGGAAGCTACACGGGATTCGTAGCCATAGGATGCGGTATCAGGTGCCCAGAATGCCTGGAGTCAGCTTCGTACTCGATGGCTCTCACCTCTCCTCCCAGCAGCCTTTTGTATGAATTGATCGTTGGACACAGCATGGGTATGACTGTGATGAGCGATCACAATGCTTGAAGAGCCTACCATCTGCCAGACCCTCCAGCAAACCGGCCAAGAACCATTCAGCTTCTTTCGACAAGAACTTGAGGTCCTTGTGCGCTGCATTGCCGCGTCCTCCAGCCTTTTGATCTGCATCAGAGAGACTGAAGATGTTCCGTCCAGATTTGTCCTGTAGAGAGACGTGTATATGCCTGGCTGAGTGAGATGATCGTATTTTTTTCCTATCAGGCTCACCCTGAGCATCCCGGAAGCTAGATGATCAGCATGGTTCGATGGGTATGACTCACATCCCCCCATGGTTTGGCCATGAATGTTGGAATGATCCCATACTTCATGCCAACGCTCTTGGCTAGCAATTTGAACAAGCATGCGTTGTCTGCCATGCGATATGCCTCTGTATAGCCGAGAGCAGACTCAAAGACTCCCGGTCCGGTCTCAGTGTCTGAATGATCAGCTCCAAAGATCATCTCATGAGCTCACGGTGCCCCTCGATCTCTACACCAAACTTCTCAGCCTCATCGTAGAGGTCGTGAAAGTAGTCTGAATTGAGCGTCGGACGCAGCATCGAATATCCGTGCACTATACGATCAGTCATGCACCGTGAGGGGTGATACACACTTCCTGGTGTCAGTGAATTCAGACCGGCGAACCCCTTTTCCTTGATGCTGTCTGGAGTCTCTCTGAATTGAAAGTACTGCTAGGTCAGCGAGGCACAGAAGACCCAGCATACCTCAAACTCTGCGCCTGCCATAGCTTTGTATCCTAGCTCCTCAGCTTGACCGATGACACCCTGCAACAGACTCCTGGGATCCACGTCCAGTGGAGATGAGGTTTCGGGATCCACGAAAGAGCAGAGGAAGAATGGGATGTTTCGCTCCCATGGAAGACGACGATATGTTGACAGATCAATCTTGGCAATGAGGTCGCGATAGCCGTTCGCCTTGTTAGACACGAGCAGCTCCTTGTGATACGGTGCATCGTGAACTGCATTGGTCAGCTCAGTCCTGAATCTAGTTGCCTTACTATCCCATCCAAAGATGACTGAGCAGAATCCGAAGCCATCCGACTTGACAGCACTCAAGAACTTGCTCTTTGACATGATCTTGCCCCTCAGAACACCATCAACGTCCACACCTGATGCCATCAGCCGGTATGAGGTCACATGTCACCTCACCAGCGACCTTGACCTTTGTGTCATCTTTCAAGAGCTCTTCCAGATCATCGAGGCTTGTAGGTGCACCCTTGGTAGCTTCTGAGGGCATAGTGTGCGGCGGCTTCACTTATGGTCAAACAAGAGCGTCATTTCCGGCTACCGATTCCGCCGACGACTTGAAATTTCCTGTGACATTCATTTTGACTTGTCAATCGACCTCAATTCCAAAGACCGTACTTGCCCGGCTCGTACCAAACATCAACAGAGTCTTTCTACAGCTATCCAAAGATCGCCTTAGTCTCCTAAACACTATGGGAGGCGGAAATCGTCAGTGTCCACTGTTGCAAAGATATTGACAACCGCAGTGGAGGTGTTCAAGTTTGGTCTCTACATGTTCTTTCCCATTGTGATCATGTTCAAATTCGGAGACCCAGATTGGTGAGTTCGAGGTCAAGGAGGATTCACGACTGACAATGATTAGGTACAAACTCAATGTCGAACCTGTAGGTTCTCCAGAGATTGTCGTGTCCTAACCTTGTTAGCTCAGGGATATCTTTTACCCACCAGTGACGGATGCCAAGGTGAGCGGCAAAGGTTATCGCCTAGCCTGACCCCCTCAGAAACCACCACGGACGCATGAAGAGTTGCAGGAAGAAATGGCAAAGATGCGAGCAGAGACTGCGGAGAAGCTGGCACAGAGGCGGCAAGCTCGCTGGGGGTCACAGGTTCTACAATCAATAGCGGACGAGAGAAATAAGGAGGAGACAAAGTGGCCTGATTGGGGCCAACCTGCTGGAAGAATGGTATGAACATGTAATTTTACAATGATTGTTACATGACGAGTCTACTCTAGGCTGTCGCTGTGGCCGATGGCTCGATCGACTCTGGTTTCTTGCCTTTTGCTGGCCTGCTTCGACCCCATACCACCTTGCACCGCTTGCCCTGGACCTCTATGCCCCCCTGCGCTGATAATGCCTCTGCTGTCCGTTCGGCTAAATCGCGTGTCTTGAAATTGACAAAGGCGCAATCTAGCCTGTCAGCGGGGTGATGATGAGCGACTCACGGCTCGCCTCGACAATTGTCAGACTTTTCAGCTCTACCGGTTTGACAAAAGGACAGGAGAACACCAGCGCTGACCGGACATCTGTCTCCGTAGTTTCCGGTAAACCAAGGAACAGCAGTGTCGTCTATTATACTCAGCTCCGTAGGGGTTTGTGACACTCACGACAGTCTCGTCCTCTGGCGCCTTCATTCCCTTGTTCTCTGCATCCTGTCGCAACATCTTCTTCGCCACAGGATCGTTCCGTCCGTAATATCTGTCTTGCATGTTCTGGTTCTGCAAGCCGTTCTCTTCCGGCAACTCGTGTCTGCAAGGGTCAGTCTCGCCTTGAGAGGCTTGTCTCACCTGAATGGGCACTCGGCTCCTCGTTTGCACTCTCCCTTCACGAAGAAACTGCATATATGAGGCCTATTCCGCTTATAGAATGGATCGGATCGTGCAAGATTCTTGAGCATTTCCCGTCCAGCGCGATTGGCGACCTGCGAGTCGTATGCCATGCCGTCCGGTGAGTCCTCCATCTGCGCCTCAAGGTTCTGGATGTAGTATTCTGGAGGGTGAGAACGGCTCCTGGTTGGGAGACTCACGTTTGTTGATATCAGACGTTGGAGCCTGATTCTTCCGCCCTAACGCTGCATCTCTCACTTGAACCGGCAAGCCAAATTCGCTGACTTCAGTCAGGTTCCGGAGGTAGGCACTCACAGATCCAAGAGACAAGTCTGACACACCCCTTTTATCTTTGCGCAAGTTGTGCACACCTCTGTCTTCTTGTAACGGGCACCTTGACCCGGATTCCAGCGGAAAACTGTGAAGGGGCGGTTGCAAATCTGGTAATGGTCAGTCGTGTTGGTGAAAGGGACGCACCTTGCATTCACTTCCGTACTCCTGCTTGCTCTATCATATCATCAGCATGCGTCAGTTGTCGAGCATTGCTGCTCACCATCCGGACGTATGGGTTTGGGCCAAGGCCTAAAGCCATCAGCCTGACGTCATGCGCTGACTCCAAACTACTTACAAGTCTCGCATCTGCACCACGCTTAGCTAAGAGTGACCCATTCAGCGAGCGAACTCACAATATCGGGAAATCAGACGACTCCACTCCGACTTTCTACGTCGAGCGTCAGCAGGGAAACAGAGTTTCAGTTCGCACTCACATTTATATCATTCTTGGCGGGCATTCTGACAGTTTAGAAGTAGTTCAGGCGGCTTGTACGGCGTGAGGATGAGTAGCAAGTAATGAATGAATGCGAACGAGACTGACTTTTGAAAACATCATGACGTGGCGGCAATCAGGTTGATTGATAAGCCGCCGCGAAGGTTGACGGGTATGAGAGCCAACTTAGCAATCTCGTCCTATCGTTGCGCTCTCGATGTCAGGCTTATGAGCCTCGGTCGATCATGATCCATGTCAGAAGCACGCGAGTCACTGTGGTCGGTCTTCAGTGCAGCTGCGAAATCTGTTCCTCGCAAGCGCACGGCTTTGGGTCCATATCAGGTTGAGCATACGCAGTGTCTCCTGGGTTAATCATCAATGTACCGCCTCATGCTGATCCCATCTTGCTTCTCAATGATGCCAGCAGTCGCTCACCACCTTCTCCTTCCAACTTGACATCTCGATCGATCTCCTTTCTGCATTCGTTCAATCTTCCCCATATTCCTTTAATCGTCATTGCCCTCTCCCCTTGATGCCATTGCTCGCCGATCCTTGACTAGCCTAATGCAATCTCACAATCTCACCCTCGTCGACATCAATCTTGAACAATTTTGACCAGCTTCTTTCTTCTTATGATCATCATCCACTCACTCATAATGCCGGGCCATATCGAACAGCAACTTCATCTTTCCCTCCTTCTTACCGCCGTCCTCCGCTGACCCTTCACTCACCATGTCAACCCTGCTAGCACTTTTCTTAGCAAGCGCCTCTCCCACTCTAGCTGGCGGGATATCCAAACAGAACTGGGAGTCTCCATCGTCCCTCATCAACTCAGCTTCATCACAGGCAAAAGCAGAATGCTCCTCCGCCGGATCATTCTTCATTCAATTTCACGGTCAGGCGGTGTGTTCGTCAGACGACACGCGGATTGAGTAAGTCACCCTCTCTGTTTCGCTCACGTCCAGTGCATCTGCATCCACCATGTGTCCTATAGACTGGTCTATACAGAAGGACGTCGGCTGCTGTGTGCCTCCATACGTCGTCTACCCCGCGGACTGCGGTGAAGGTGAGATTGCTTTTGACCCTTGCTGACTCGCAGGCTTCAACTGGAACGGTAATCTCATGACCTGTGTCATGACCACGGATTCGAAGTGTACACCGGACCAATGGTGAGTTGACTCGCGACAATGCAACTTACGCCTAGGTTCAATCAACGTACAAATGATTGCAACGAACTCTCCTGGGCTATTGACCCGCCAGCCAGCAACCCGCCGTCGGGCAGAAATTGTCCAACCGGGTGGTTCTGGTACGATACACGAGGAAACTGTCAATCCATAAGTCCGAGATCTCCCGCTCCAGATTGCGATAATTGGAACGACAAGCAGTGTGAGTGAAGTGGAGCTGGGTGGAGCTGGGTCATGGCTGATTGCATCAGTGGTATGCGGCTCTGACCCGACAGCTCGGTCCCTACCGTCTGGAGCTGGCGGAGGGTCTGGCGGAGGGTCTCATGGTGGAAGCTGGAGCTCGGGAGGGTCGTCAGGGGGAAGCTCTAGTTCGGGAGGATCGTCGGGGGGAAGCTGGAGTTCAGGAGGGTCGTCAGGAGGCAGCTCTAGCTCCGGGGGATCGTCGGGAGAAAGCTCTGGCTCAGGGGGATCCTCAGGGGGTGGGTTCAATTGGGGTCAAGGGGGTGGGAAACAAGGCCATAGTGGATGGAGTCAAGGAGGTGGCCATGGCGAAGGACATGGAGGTCAAGGTGGCCAGGGCGGCGGATGGGGCAAGGGCGGAGGCAGTGGCGAAGGGCACGGAGGTCAAGGTGGCCAGGGTGGCGGAGGGAGCAAGGGCGGAGGCAGTGGCGAAGGGAGCAAGGGCGGAGGCAGTGGCGAAGGGCACGGAGGTGGAGGCAGCAAGGGAGGGGCCGGCCAAGGTGGTGGAGGAGGTGGTGGGGGCGACCACGGTCAAGGTGGTAAAGGCGGCGGGAAAGACTGCGGGAAACGAGGCATCAATGGCACAGAGACCTCAAACTCGACAAACCCGACCAGCACCAAGCGAGATTTCCTTGGCAGACAAAACATTCTCATCACACGAGACAACACGCAATCCGAATTGGACAAAATTTACTGTCCAGACGGTCTACACGCATGGTGAGCCTTGCCACCGTGATACAAACTGACTTCATAGTTCCGTCAATACTCCGAGTGGCGGAGCCTGGGCATACGAATGCCTCGATTGGCTCACTGAACTCGTATCCTGTGGTGGATGTCTATCGGATGGAGCGGGCAAAGACTGCTCCGCGATACCCAACACTGCATCTGTAGGGTGCGAAGCTGGCGACTGTATCAGTGAGCGCTACGATCCCCTCCATATCTAACCGCCCCTCAGTATATTCTTGTAAGCCTGGATTCGGTCTGAACGGCACGGACTGTGTACAGGTATGAGACCGTGGACAATGGAGACCTCTCTCTGCATCGACTGCTTTGTATAACGAATGAAGATAGAAATGCAGCGCTATCGCCACACGTGCCGCGGACATCCCGTGGAACTCCGAGATCCAACCGTTTTCCCAAGGGTTCTGGACATTTCGTCTTTTTTTCCTCACGATGCCCAACAATGCTGCTTTTCTAGATTCCGCGTTGTAGATCTTGCTCGCTGCTGTCAAATTCTAAATCTTGCCCCCCTACCACCAACACCATGACAGACTCGCCCCCATCCTCCTCGTCCTCCTCCCATCCTCTCTATTCACTCCCTCATCTCAATCGTTCGGCGTCTTCGTACAACTCGGCAGAGAATGGCATACCTGATGGACCCGAAGTAGACGGCTCAACCTATGCAGCATTGGTCAAGAACAGCCCTTCCGTCGCTGAGCCTCCCTTGGACTTGCACGATCGCGATCCTGGCACCGCTCGTTTCGCCGACCAAGGTGCGATAGACCTTGGAGATGATGACCTTGGTCGATACGTACCCTCAACGCCGATTATGCCCCGTGAGACACCTCAGCGTGTCAGAGGCTCGTACAGAACCGACAGTGATGATGGCGGAATGGGCTCCATCCTCAAATCTGGTAATTTTCTACCCCCCAGTGCTACACTCGGAGGAACTCCAGCCACCCCTGCACAGTCTGGTCTCGCATCGTTGACCCCGCAGAAGATCGGAAAGAGTATCGGTAATCGGATCGTTCGAGCTGTTCGTCGAGGCAACCTCCCGTTCCTCGTGGTGTTCCTGAGGTGAGCGGCCACGAAGACAGCTGCCTAACAACAGCTGCCTCGTCATCTTCTTCTCTGCACTTGCCGGCATCGGCTATGTTCCTGAAGAGGGCGAGCTCGCCCACCACGCGAAATCCCCGAGAGCCGTCGTCAGTGCTGTCGCTCAGGACCTCCAGGTGTTCAACGGCAAAAAGTTCCAGGAGCAACGAGAGCTCGAGCAAGAATGGGCGAAAAAGAAGCGACCAAAGGATGTGAGTTTTCCCGTCCTGCCGTGCTGACACCGCAGGGCGCTTGGATGGCTCAGGTACGGGATGACAAGGCTGTAAGGAGAAGACCGAACGCGGTAGCAGAGGTGGCCGAGACGCCCTCAGAGTCTGAGCTGGAGGCAAAACCTGAAGAGGCTGTCTAGGCATACAGAATATATATACATCACATGCAGATACGATACGTCACATAACTGAAGAACATCAATAATTGCCCCCAGTCGCTGTCACTCACCGTCCAGCGGTCTCACTGGCCCGCTCAATTTTCATGACCTGCCCTCTTCTTAACCCATAGTACCGAGCAACGGGATCCGTGATCATTATACGAGGTAATTGCGTCTCTTTGAGTCGGCTGCAAAGTCAGTCATGCCTACTTGTCTGCCCCACTATTTCTTTATCAAGGCCTGCTTGTCCTCCGTCTTCATGATGGTGTGTTTTGGTACAAGGAAATGATGAGTGATGTTGACGAGGAGATCGGTCTCTTTGAAGTGCTCCAAGTGATACTCTGACGACATCTCTTGCATTGCCTAATGTATCAGCCATGGAAATGTGAATCCCACTCACCCTCGCTGCTATCGGTGATAGCTTTTCGGCATAAATCAGAAGCCCTTTCTGAGCGTTCATCCGATCCATCGAGCCAAGAAACCTGGATCTTGTCAGCCTCAATCCCTCATTCCGCCTCACGTCTTCACATTCGCCTTTGACACATTCCTATCGCTGCAAAAGTAGACGTATATCCTGTTTCCAGACTCTTCCTCGTGATCTGCAGTAAAAGACATATTGGTCCGGCTTTCACTATCAGCGCAAAACCCAATGCAGACTCACTCGACCTGTCCGCTGCTCCCGTGAGCCTGTTTAAAATCGTCAAATGATGTATTGATCTCATAATCGGCCACCTGGTACCCCTGGACCGAATCAGCACTATCCACCCAGCTTTTCCCACCCTATCTCTCATCATCTCATGGACAGTTCTCGATACACGCCATAGTCTCGCCAGCTCTCTATCCAGTTCCTGCATGGTGTGATACGGTGCTGCTTCACTCGAGATCAAAAAAGTGTACTACAAAATTGAACTGCTGCCTGTCAGAAAATAGGCGAAAATTCTCCCCCCGGATCCAGCAAGCCTAATCCCCCACGCGTGACGGTGCCCGGGCCCGGTTCCGACGCGGAGACCTCGGCGTTGCCCAACGCTTTAAATAACTTTCGACTGGTACTTCATCGCCTCTTATCATATCTTTCGTACATACCTGAAGAGTCAGTCGCGGCGACGTGCAAGTAGCTGTAGCATCGCAGCTTCCACTCTCTTAGGCTGAGCGAGCGAATTCTAGCCAACGTCGGCCCAAATGTCGTTCAACCCGGCCGCGCGAGCGTTCCACGAACCTGTGGTGAGTCTACCTGCTGCTCCTCGGGCCACTGACGATACCTCATAGGACCTCGCGTCACCGGATGTGCTCTCTTTTCTCCGTTCTATTGGGTCTCTAACCCTTATAGTCATCCCGGCAGTCTATTATCTCTCCTTCCTGAGACCCATCAGAAACTTCGCCAACAATCTTCTCCCTGACATTGCCAGTCTCGAGTCCTTGATACCGCCTCGGCCAGCCTCGCGAGATGAGCTCCGCAAGGCACGTCGGTACAAATCAAAAGTGTGGCTTCAGACCGTCCTTGTCGTTCTAGGCCTCGCCGAGGTCGCAGTCTGGACAGGTATCACGGGCAGCAAGATCATGACAACGCGAGGCAGAGAGGCAGTCAGAGACATCTTGCTCTCTGTAGGAATGGTCTTTGTCTGGGTATGCCGAACATCATCTGCTCTTAGCTGACTTTCAGGCCGTTCTTGCCCTGCGTCCCCTTCTCCGGGCACCTAACAGTCCTCCCTGGTCCGCCTTGTCCATCTACCTTCTCTTGTGGATCATTTCATTGGCCTCCCTGAGTTTGGCCTGGTTTGAATATGCTAGCACAGGCCACCTGCCATCATGGGCCGATAAGCAGCATCTGATCATGGAGGGTCTAAACTTGTCTGCGACAACCATTCTTGTTGGGTCGATTGGGACGCTTAGATTGGCGAGCCCCGAGGCTTTGACGCAAGTGGTGGGTGTGTGTTCCTGATATCCCGCCTAACTTTGCAGCCGTACGTGTCACCAGACGACGAGGTCAGGCTATTCTCATGGCTCACATTCATCTGGCTCAACCCATTCATCGCTTTCGGGAGTCGCAAGGAAATGGACGAGAACGATCTTCCTGTCATCTCCATGACCATGCAATCGGCCGTCATCTTTGACCGATTCAAGCAGACCCAAGCCAGATCTCTACTGTTTCAACTCCTCAAGGCTCACAGACTTGACCTCTTTTTTGACGCTTTTTTCACCCTCACCGGTGTGGTCTTCAACTACGCCGGACCATTCTTTTTGAAGCGGATCTTGTGAGTCCCGTTGAGAGCCACTTGCCTGACCAGCTAGGGAGGGTTTGACCATCGCTACACCAGAAGCTCTATCTGCGGCATATGTCTTTGCCGCGCTAGCTCTCGTTGCTTCATGTGCCAAGGTGAGGACACGTATCCTTTGACGAGGACTGACAGGCAGGGCGTGACCGATCTGCTCCACCTTTACTACAGTCGACGAGCTTCCGTTAGAATCAAGGCTGGTCTTACGGTGCGTCAATCGCAAATGTCACAAGCTCTGACATGCACAGACTACCATTTATGACAAGGCGCTACGCCGCAAGGATGCCTCTGGAGTAGTGGCTCCGAAGCCTGGAGACGAGAAGAAGGATGGTGGTGGACAGAACAACTCAAACGCCGACGCTGGAAAGGTGGTCAACCTCATGGCCGGTGAGAACTGAGACTGAGAAGGACTCTGATTGCCCTCAGCCGACACGAATCGGATTGCCAATATCATTGCCGGCATGTACTTCCTTTACGGATCACCATTCGAGATCATCGTTGCGGCCACATTCCTGTACCAGTGCGTTCAGGCAATTCTCAATCGCTGACGACCAGAATTCTCGGATGGTCTGCGTTTGCTGGCATCGTCGTGCTCTGCATCGTTGCACCCCTCAACTCTCTCATCTCCAAACAGAGTGTCCAGGTGCGTAGAGTCGGCTTTCATCGCTGAGCTGCAGATCACTCAAGATTTGCTCAAAAAGCGAGATAAACGAGTTGGGATCGTCACTGAATTGATCAATGCTATTCAAGTAAGCTACATACCTCGCTGAGCTAACGGCAGTTTATCAAATTCTTTGCTTGGGTCGAGAATTGGAAGGCACGTGTGGCTGAGGCACGACGACAAGAGATGAAGACGTACATCAGATGTGAGTCGATCTTGTAACGGTGGCTTACGACACAGCCATGATCAACAACTTGTGGTTTGCTCTTCTGTGGAACCTCGCACCCATGCTGGTCACTTTGTTATCCTTCTTCTGGCAGGTCTCGTGGAGTAGTGCACATTCTGATCAATCACCAGCTTCATTGTCATTGAGAAGAAGGAACTCACTGTCTCTGTCGCATTCACTTCCATCTCGCTATTCACCATGCTGCGATTGCCCCTCAATGTCATTCCAACTTACGTGAGCTGCCTACCGATGAAAGCGCCTGATAGCATCAGATCGTCTTCATGCTCCAAGCTCACGTCTCCGTCAAGAGAATCCAAGAGTTTTTGGAAGAGGACGAAGGTAAGTCCCCTTGACTCTATCCGTCCTGACTGTGTAGTCCCTGAATGGGTCTCATCTTTAAAGCGAAGTCCGTATGCCAGATCCACCGATGCGACAAAGATCGGATTCGTCAATGCGACCCTTAAATGGAACTCTGGCACACAGAAGCAAGAAGCCGCCTCGAAAGACAAATCCAAGAAGAAGGGCCAGTCCCCTTTGCCCAGTCAGGAGGAATCCACGGCCAATGGCGACAACGAGGTGTTCCATCTTTCCAATCTGAACGTCAATTTCCCCATTGGCAAGCTTACGTGTATCACCGGACCCACAGGGTCAGGGAAGACAGCGATCTTGGTCGCTCTGCTGGGCGAGATGGAATTGATTGAAGGATCCAGTTCCCTACCAAAGGATACCATGCGAGTTGACCCAAAAACCGGGCTGCGGAACAGCGTGTCCTATGCCGCTCAGACACCTTGGCTGCAGCAGCAATCGATCAAGGACAACATTTTGTTTGGTGAAAAGTTTGACGAAGACCGATATGAAGCCACCGTTGAGGCTTGCGCATTGTACGTGGCTGTTGTGGTTGTACTGACCGTCTAGAAATCCCGATTTTGACATGCTCGAAGACGGAGACATGACGGAAATTGGTGCTAAGGGAGTCTCTTTGAGGTAAGTCCCACCTTCAACCAGTACTGACAGAATCAGTGGAGGTCAAAAAGCCCGTGTCGCATTGGCCCGAGCAATCTATTCGTATACCCAGCACGTTCTCCTCGACGACCCTCTCGCTGCGGTCGACTCCCACACTGCCAAGCATCTCACTGACAAATGTCTCAATGGACCGCTATTGAAAGGCCGAACGGTCGTGAGTCAGAACGGCCAGTGAGCCAGGCTCACGCTCAGATTATCGTCTCGCACCATGTCGAGCTACTCTTGCCTTGTGCTGGGTACCTCGTTCGTATCCTGGACGGACGCATCGATGCGCAAGGGACGCCCGACGAGATTCGGGCGGCAGGCAATCTGGACGGTCTGATCAAGATTGAGGAGGCCGAGATCGTCAAAAAAGAAGGTATCGTAGTGAACGAAGAGGTCGCAGATGAAGTACAGGTGGTGGACGGAGAGAAGAGTGTTCAGGAGGTTAAGAAAAAGCGGAAAGAAGGACCCGGCAAGAAGCTCATCAAGGGTGAGTAACGTCAGCGCGCTGCCAGCTGACAGGGAAGATGAGGAGCGAGCTGTCGGTAATGTCAAGTGGGAGACCTACAAGCTCTACATCATCTCCGCGACCTACATCACATGGGTGGTCTCGTTCGTCGTTTTGAGTGAGTGAACCTGGTCTGACACCTCGGCTTATATCCAGTCATGGGGCAGTTCACCTCAGTGGGAGAACGGTTCTGGCTTAAGCTTTGGGGCGAAGGTGAGCTCCGGCACAGAGCAATGTGCTGACAAGTAGCGTACAATACGCAGCTGCAGTCGATGATGGCGTTTGTCCGTCCAGGCTTCTTTGGGATTCATGATCAGTCTCACCAACACGTAATGAGCGACCATTCTCACCATATTTTGCATCACAGTCCCATGAGTAATGGGACGATGGGAGTTCTTGATGTGAAACCCAGTGGATCCTGGCGCTCGCGACTGTGAGTGTGTTTGCTGCAGAGTCAACTGACCTCCAGGCCATCGGCAACGGCGCATCCCGAGTTCTACTTGGCGGGTTATACGATTATCAGTGGGTGCACGTGTATGACTGTCGCTGAGTTCAGTCCTTTCCGATGCATTGTTGGGTGTCGTGCAGAACGCTGTGTCTAGTTGGGGACAATACAGAGCAGCAGTGTAAGCCTCGAACGAGATGTATCCAGACTGAACGGTAGCCGGCTGCACGACCGACTTTTGGACTCTGTCGTCAGAGGTGAGCTGAGTGGTAGATTCACGGCTGACAATAGGCACCATCCGCTTCTTCAATGTGACGCCTGTCGGTCGTATCATCAATCGTTTCTCGCGAGGTGGGTCGGGTATCGCGATCGCTCTGACTACATAGATATTGAATCTGTCGATTCATCTGTCAACTGGATCTTGAAAGCGATCATCAACTATATCGTCAATCTCATAGCCGCAATTGCAAGTCATGAGGTTGGCTCTCTACTGACGATATCCAGATCATTGTAGCCATCATTGTGCCTTGGTTCTTGGTCCCTGCGGTAATCATCAGCTACATCTACTGGCGGTACTCCGTCATCTATGTAAGCACGCGGTAGTGAAAAGGCGCTTATGATAGCTCCGTGTGGGACGGAGTCTGAGACGGCTAGAGTCGACTGTGAGTTAGGCCTAGATACGTCGCTGAATCTTGCGCAGCTCAGATCACCGATTTTGTGGGTCACGGCGGCTATGATTAGCTCTGACATCCTCTAGCTCTGGATTTGCCGAACTTCTCGATGGAGTCGTTTCAGTTCGGGCATTCTCTGTTGAACCTAGGTTCATGAAACAGCTGTGCGAACGTGTAGATATGACGAGTGCGGCGCATTATCAAGTCTGGGTTAGTGTATGATGTTGGACCACAGCTGACACTTTGCAGATGATGAATCGTTGGGTAAGATTCTCGAAGTCTCTCCCGCTAATTCGACCCAGCTGTTGCTCCGATTTGACATTCTCGGCGCCTTTTCAGTCTTCCTGACGACCATTCTTACGTTGAGTGGGACGGTCGCCGCCGGTTCAGCAGGTATGGCCATCCTCTCGGCTCAAGGCTTTGTCTCTGCATGCTACTGGACCTCCCGGTTCTGGGGACAACTCGAGATGGATTTCAACTCGGTCGAACGTGTTCAAGAATACCTCGAGATACCCAAGGAGCCTCCAGCCACGATTGCCAACCGCAAACCGCCTGCATATTGGCCATCAACTGAAAGTGGCGACCACTTCTTGGAGGTCGAAGACCTCGAGATCAAGTATGATCCCGAGTTGCCGACCGTTTTTAAAGGCTCTTTCAGCATCAAGGCGGGGGAGAAGATTGGTCTGATTGGTCGAACGGGATCTGGCAAGTCTACGCTCGCCATGTCTCTATTACGTTTCTCCGAGCCATACTCTGGGAAGATCGTGCTGGATGGTATTGATATCACCTCTATCGGAGTTGACGACCTTCGATCTCGAATCACGTATATTCCCCAAGATGCCGTTCTGTTTTCCGGCACAGTCAAGGAGAACCTTGATCCGTTCAACGAGCACTCGGAGGATGAATTGATGGAAACCCTTGCCAGGGTTGGACTGGGTCAAAATGCTTCGCCTCCGACGAGCCGCATTCCCAGTCGAGTGCCTTCTTCCAATCGGCTCGCTGCCATCGCCGCGGAGCATGCCCAAGAGATGGAGGGGTCTGGTACACTGACGCCATCGAGCGCCGCCGGCAAGCATATCATTACCTTGTCCTCAGAAGTTTCTTCAGGTGGAACCAACTTTTCTCAAGGACAAAGACAGCTCGTGGCCATGGCCAGAGCTCTGCTGAGGCGGTCGAACCTGATTGTCAGTATACCGCGCTTGTCGCTGGACTAATTAGTGTTTCAGATCATGGACGAAGCCACGGCTTCAGTTGACTTTGCAACCGACGAGTCTCTGCAAAGGACCATCCGAACCGAGTTCAAGAACTCTACCCTGTTGACCATTGCGCACCGACTGTCGTCCGTCATTGACTATGACCGCCTGTTGGTCTTGTCCGATGGCAAAGTTGCTGAATTCGATACTCCGATTGTGAGTTCAAACTCTGTCACACACGCTGAGACCTGCAGAACCTCTTACGAAAAGAAGAGTCACTGTTCAAGTCGTTGTGTGAGAATTCGGGCAAGTATAAGGAATTGTTCAAGGCTGCGGAGAAGAAGGAAGCCGAGGGACGAGGTAGCACTTTGGCCGCTTAGACGCAGCGTGCCTGGCTGTATATCTTCTGGTAGTAGGTGGTCTTGAAATCGGGTGGACGGCATCAAACTAGACAGGTCATGCATGCGATATCACCACCAAAAAAGCGAGATGTTCTGAAGGGACTCGCATTGGAGAAAGCCCTTGTCGTATGATGCAGTGAGGTCACCCTACCTAGTTCGGATGCATGGCCTGGGTCGAGCCTTGGCCGTCCGACATCATGCTTTGTACCCTTGGTCTCTCTTCGGAGATGTGACTGCCGGGCGTGTCAACTTGACCGTGCATCCCTTGGTACGACCCTTGACCGCCAAATCCAGGTTGTGATCCCATCCAAGGCATCGATCCAGGATGAGGTGGGGGTGGGGAGGGGCTAGCCCAGCCCATGTTCATTTGTGGTGGAGGAGACATGCCTGGCCAGCCGTACCCTTGATGATGAAAGAAAGGCGGGTATACGCCTGTCCCCGGTGATCCAGACATGGATTGATGTCCGGTCTGGCTTGCAGGGGAAGAAGGTCGATCATGATCGCCAGCTTGGGATCCACCCGCCATACTTTGCGGGTGATGAGATTGGAATCCGCTTCCAGCACCAGCAGCACCACCTCCTCCTGCTGGCGGTCCGTAAGCCATCATTGCTTGTTGATAAGCCATCTGAGCGGCCATCATGGCTTGCTGTTGGGCGTATGGATTGTAGCCCTGTTGAGGGTTGTAGGCAGATTGATACGGCTGTGACCCTTGTCAACACTATACATTCGAAACGGCTCACGTTGTATCCCATCGGAGGAGGCATGCCCATCATGCCCATGTACGGAGGATATTGCTGACTGCCGCCGTACATGCTCATGTTGCCTCCGCCTTCTCCACCATACTGACGCATATGATCCATTTGCTGGCGCTGCAGTCTCTCAATCTCTCGCTGGCGATCCTCCTGAGAAGCGAGTCAGCACGGCGGACGGTTCAGCCAGGTGAACTCACAGCCAATCGTCTCTCTCTCTCCCGATCAGTGATTGTGGCTCCGATCCCCCCAGCATTCTGTCGCTCCTTCTCATGCTGAGCGACTGCGCCGAGCAAGCCAGTCTGAGGGGGCGGTGGTTTCTCAGGTACATGGACCAACGAACTGCCCAGCTCCCTGGCCAGTTCTTCCTGCTTCTTGGCCGAACGATCTTCCTTGTCCTGCATACCAGCTTGTAGCAGACCATGCGGGGCAAACGCCTTGGTGAGTTGGGCAGGCTCGTCAATGTCAACGAATTTGCCAGATTTTGTCTGTTGGTCTAGACCGTGATCCGCTGAAAAGTTGGCGTTCCAAATCGTCTGACGAGCAGCAGGAGGTGGAGGGGGCTGGGGTAAGGGAGTCTGCTGCTTCGTCGCGTAGATGACCGGAGGTTGAGGCAAGGGTGCAGGTGGGGATCGACTTCTGGAGCCGAATCGATCGGGTGTAGAAACGGCTCTAAGACGCCCGCTGTCGTTCTCTCTGACTCCAGACATCGAACCAGCATCGCCGTTTGGCCGAGGGATGGCTGGAAGCGCTCGCGTTTGAGATACAACTCGTTGGACCGGTGCATCTTCCTCAATCTGTCTCCCATCGCCGGTTGTCTGATGTGAGAGAGGAGGCAGAGTCGGAGGTCCAGTGGACTTGCCCTTCGTGTCCCCAGCATGACCCTCCTCCTCACTCTCCTCATCCTCTTCTTCTTCATCCTCGCTTGCATCACTCCACGTTCCGCCCTGCACGCCGCGAACTCGTTTGCCACCCCCAGGAACATTCTTCGCCATCTGCTGATCCGCCGCGGCCTGCTCAGCTTTAGCTTTGCGTTCTGCAGCGGCTCGAGAAGGTGCAAACGAAGACCGGTACTCTTCTTCTTGAGGTTTGGGATCGATGGCGGAGGCTGCTGAAGCGGCTGGTCTGGTAGGCAAAGCCGAGGGAGCTTTAGCAGGGGAAGGTTGATCAGCAAAAGCCACAAAGTCCGCTGCATCCTCGCCCAGGTCCGCCATGCTGCCACTGGACGAAAGTCTTTGTTTCCGAGGTAGATTGCGCAGATGTTCAGGAACGTTGTCTTGATATTCCTCCGCTGTGGGTTGGAGCAATCTCGAGGACGAGACGGTATCTGATTTTGTCGGAAGCGGTCGAGCGCCAGACGGCTTGCGACCCAAGTCAGGACCGCTAGAGGGTCGTCGTTCGTTCGTGCTCGAGTCGAATTGAGTGATGATGGTCGGACGAGTCCTGTCCTCCGACACTCGATTGAGATCCAGAGGCGTGTGACCAGCCTCAGGAGATCGAATAAACTGTTGAGCGGCCAGAGGTTGCTGACCACCACGCTTCTCAACAACATTGGCAAGGTAAGCAGCGGCAGCTTGATCGTATCCGCTAGCGGTGGACGTTACAGAGGTTGGCTTTTCGACCGATCCTCGCCGAGGCTTGGGAGACAAGACTGGTGTATCCCGGGTCTGAGAAGTAGAGATGGGCGGTAGTGCAGGTGCGAGGTCTGGGCTCGTGGCTCCCGAGGCAGGTCGAGCTGTAGTGGATGATTCCGGTGTCGAGGCATTACCAGCAGGTAGGTCAGGCAGCTTTTGCTCCTCTTTGCTGATTGGAATGTTGAAAGACCCGCCTGGCTGAGGCGTGTGATCTTCGCTGTCCTCTGGTGCAGCCCCAGAGCTCTGAGACCAATTGGTTGAATGTGTCCGGTTGGTACCTGGGGTCTCTGCCAGTAATTCGTTCCTTGGAATTTGTTCGACCGGGCTCTGGACCGGCACGGTGTCCATCACTTGACCCGGGTTCTCATTACTATCCGCGATAGTTGCCAGTCTCTCATCTCCGCCGACGGACCCTGTATTACGACTCGAGCCACCACTAGTCTGCTTGGACACTTGTCGGTGTTGTCCACCGCCACTGCCGTCACTCGTGAAGAATGTGCTCTTCTCCGTCTTTGTCGATGGGTTTCGACTAGCAATATCGGTTCGCTCAGTGATAGGCGTCAAGGACCTGGGTTCGCCAGGCTGTCCATTTGGTGCACCCGACTTGTCGAAAGCCAGAGGCGGTAGTCGATACGAATTATTGTGCGGTTGAGGCACTTGACCCCCCAAGTCGCCTTCAGACCTGTATTCTGCATGTGGGCCCAGCAATCGGCGCTCTACGAGCGAACGGAAGGCCCCTCTGATAGCAGGGAGGTTGCTCGTTCTAAAGTCAGATCGCATCGCCTCATCGATGTCAAGGAAGAGTCGCTACGTGTCAGCTGAATGAACGACTTTCCACTCACCCCTCGCCTTTCACCTTGAGGATAAGCGAAGAATAGACTCTTTGGGTCCTTGACATCCCAGCTATAGTTCCCAGGTCGGCCGTACAGCTCGAACACATCGTGGAAGCCTGCGTGTCAGTACGACAGATCGTCCCAGATTGACACACCAGTGACCCATCTCATCATATCGCTTAGAGGAGACGCCGACGACTGAGAGGGACTTCCGCTGACGGCGTCCGGTGCTTCTGGCATGATCAAAGCCCAACCAGAGTCCCTCAACCTTCCTTCAATGGTCACTAGATCTCCGTTGATCCGCCCGACGACTTTCATGAGGTTGGATTGAGACATGACTTCCAGTCGTTCGGGGAAGACGGCGTATCTAATGATCAGCGAGCGGCGGAGTGCTCGACTCACGCTTGAGACACGTTGGTGATTGTTAAGACAGGCGTGTTGCTCGTCTGGTTCCTCTGCGTCCTCTGCTCGAGGTAAAAGCTCGCCATACGTTCTCCAGTATTGGGCTCTTGAACCGGGTCCTTGTCTTTGCTGTCGCCGATACCAAAGAGGCTTCTACGACGGTTCTTCTTCTCCTGGAGATCGTCTTTACCGACGTCTGGTGTAGATAAGACGACCCATAGTCGCTTCCAATCTGTCCCACCCATGACTCTGACTCGTACCCAACCTTCCATACGACCTCTGACAAGCTGAGAAGGCGCAGTATCCATGCCCTCAGACTTGATCAGATGGCCAGTGTAGATTTCTTCCAGTCTAGCTCTCTCCCAAGCTGCCAAACGCAGACCGGTGGCCCATTTCGCGACGTCTTTCTCGGTCGGACAGGAGAAGAGCAAACGATTGGAACCGGCAGTATTGAGCGAAAAGACAAAGTGATGCGGGTGAGAGTTTGGACGATGAGGTGGAGGCGGGAGAGGAGCCAGCAGCTCCAGTGACGAGTCGGTGATGTTGAAATACGTTGGAGGCACTTTTTCGCCTTTCGCAGCAGCAGCTCGTGTCTCTTTCATCGACCACATTGCTGGTGAGCGGTCAGTGAAGGGCTGAATGGAGAGCGCTCACAGAGAGAAATGCCAGACAACTGAAGCCAGACACTGTCCCAATCATTCGTGGCGCTCCCAGGCTGCCCTTGTCTGTGCCGGATTAGCATTTGTCCGTCCAGGGACAGCATCTACCCACTTCGGCTGACCTCCAGCGCTCGTCCTCGCCAAGATCATCTCCAACTCTGGCGGGCTGGCGACATACGTCTTTTGAGGTTGAGCAGCGATCAATTCGACTATATTGTCAAATGAATGAAGTTTGTAGGAATTGTTCTGAGAAGGTGAGGAGTTCCCTATCTGTCCAGCAGAAGCAAGTCTTGGAGATTGCTTCGGGGTCTTGTCAACAGGCGGAGGAGGAGTGACCTTGTCAGGTAAACCTCCGTATCCTCTATTCGGACCTTGTGTGTCCATGGGTGATGAGCGTTTATCTCTGGAAGGTATACTATCTCCACTGTTGCTCCTTTCGTTGAGCCGGCTGAAAGGCATAGATTGACTCTTGGCCATGTTCCGAATTGTCTCATCGCTTTGTTGTCGGATTTGCTGAGACATTTGAGGTTCGTCTCTGATCCCGCGCCCGCTTCCAAAGGCCATAGACTGAGATTTGGCATACCTCGAATCACCAGGTCCAAATTCATTAGGTATCGGCGCCGAGACTCTACGTAATTCATTGGATTCGAAACCATTGAATCGGTCGTCGTTTGCATGTGTAGAGTTAGACAGTTGATGAGGTGTTCCAGCCATAGTGTGTCGAGAAAACGCCTGGTTATCAGATGAAGAGGAAGGTCGACCGACAGTGAATGAGCTGGGTCTATCGCGAGGCTGTGAGGACAGAATCAACCACCACGTCCTCCTCAACTCAGGGCATGAAAGCCAAGAGTATCTATTGAGAGCCCGAGCACCTCTCCAACTCACCTCTTTCTCCTTGTCCTTATCCTTGTCCTTTTTTCCGAATCCAAAGAACCCGCTCCTCCGCTTTTCCTTCTTATCCGTCCCACTTCCAGCCGTACCAGTCGTCCCGACGGTTCCAGCCGTGCTGACCCGATGGAGGTCGATGGGAGACGGTACGCTTAGACTTTGCCCAGGTCCCATGGATAAAGGTCTCGCTCCATTCCGAGCGTATGGGGCTCCAAATTCATTCGCCCCGCCGCCTTCGCGATCAGCGTACATTGGGTTCGGAACACCTCCCATTGGAAGAGATTGTCTACGGTCTCGCTTATCGGTTGATTGAGATCCTCCAAAATACTGCTGCCGCTGCTGTTCCGATTGCTGTTGCTGCGGGTTGAACTGACTTGATCCGGGCGATCGACGGCCGTAAAAGTCCTGTTGCTGATACTGTGGATACGGAGCCGTAGAGGCGGGCGGTGGGTGTAATGGAGAGACCGAGGGTTGTTTCGACTTTTTAGATTTGAACATGGTTGTCTAGCTTGTTCAAAGGCCTACGTTGGAATGGTAATCCGAAGGCCGAGCTCCGGAAGGTCACCAAGCCGAGTTGGAGAGGGGAAGACTTTCAATGTGATAACCGCAGAATAAGGAAGCTATGTCTGCCTGGTCTCAGCAAGTCGAAGCAGAAACGAGGTATGTCGCTGCTTCTCCAACAGATGAAGAGTCGGATAGGAGGTAGGTATTTGACCGCGGGTGAAGTGGAACCACGACGGAAAGAACGATGCGCAATTCGTGCTGATCCTGCGAAAGGATCGATTCGTCCCAAAAGTCCTCGAGAGCGAGATGCGAATAGGCTGCGCACGATGATCGCTCAATACTCGCTGTCGGCGCAGCTCATCCACTGAGCCGCAGAACTCCGCTCCAACCCACCCTCTCCCCTCCGAACTGATCTTCCCGGCACAGCATCTTTTTTTTACGTAAATCTTCATTCAGGATTCCAGCCGAAGCTCCGAGATACAACAGGAGGGAATGTCCATTCACGATGCATGACACGCTACACGGGACAGCTGTGACTATCCTGTCCACAAGACACATCATAAAGCATGATTAAAGGTATGTTGATGTGATGCACATGAGACGGAAAATGGAGGAATGAAAAACGAAGATTTTCTAAAACGAGCGTGATGCCTGGACGTGACAGCGTATATGTAAGTGGTAGAGGTCGTCAACCATGTACTCGTGTATCGTATCAGAGATGAAGAGATATTGTTGCGCAGACTGCACTGTCCATTTAGAGAAGAAGAGCAGCGGCACCGAGGACCAATGCGACGACAGAGCAGGCTCCGGCGACGGCGGGGCCTTGGTTGATTCCGGCGTATCGGGTCATGGCAGCTCCAGAGGTGGTAGAGGAAGAAGCGCCACTGGCTTTAGCGGATCCGGATGCGCTTCCACTACCGCTCGACATCGACTTGCCAGAAGCTGAGGAAGTAGAGGTCATGGAGGCAGAGCTGGCCGTTCCGCTGGTCATGGTGCTGCTGGCAGAGGTTGAGTTCGAGGCCTCGGTGGCAATGGCAACGTTGGCAATGCCTAAATGATCAGTGTTGATAGCTACAGGTCAACTCACCGTTTCCAATGGTGGAGTAGGTCACACAGTTGGAACTGGCAGGAGTAGAGTAAGGAGTCTGGGGAGTAACAGTTTCTCCAACGGTAAAGGTGCCAACGCTTCCAGCTCCGTTGGTGTAGGTACCAGTGTATCGTTGAGCGAAGGTCGAGGTAGATCCGTTCGCAAGGGGGTAGAGACCGGGAGGGTAAGCGGCGTCGGCATCACAAGAGGTGAACGAGTTGTTGGTGTAGCTGCAGAGATGTGAGCATCGCAAAGCGGTGTGCGATGCGGCATTCGACTCACTCTCCTGGCATGACCCATTCACAGCCCATCTCATCGAGAGTGTGTTGGCACTCGAGGGCGGCAGAGTAGGTCGAGTTCTCGGCGGTACAGATACGGATACAGAATTGGTTGTAAGCCATGTAGCTGGGAGCATGTCAGCGCTGGTCCCGGCGTGGTTGCTCACTTCATCCATTCCTCGTAGTGAACGTCCTGTCCAGTGATGTTGGAAGTGACGTTTCCTCCGACGGGGTTTCCGAGACCAGTGGCTCCGTGAGGGTCGAGTTCACCACCCTCGTCACCGTACTGAATGTTGATTCGGGTAAAGTCACCCCATCTGAACACTGTCAGGCTTGTCTAGATGGAGTCGACATGACGCTCACCCCATGACCTGGACGTAAAGAGGACTCTTGACAAAGTGGATAGCCTGGAAGGTTCCGTCGGGAATGACTCGGGCGTCGTTTCGCTGTTCTAGATTGAGGATCAGCATCGCCCAGAAGAGCGCCATGATGACGTACGAATACACCAAGCGACTTCCTCCGCCTCGGTCTCTCCGATCACAGAGTTTGGCTCGGGAGGAGCAAAGACGCAGCTGGAGGTTGAGTGTCAGTACACAGCCCCAGACAGCGCGCAGCGGGCCTGAGCCCGACTCTACTCACAAGTCGTCAATCGAGTTGACGGAGACAAGTCGGGACATGGATGTCTGATTCATGGGAGTTCCCATGGTAGCTTGAGGAGGGTCTAGCAAGAGGTCAGCGGATGAAAAGTACCGACAGCGCGGAGAGCCTGGGACTGCGCGGAACTCACTGGTCGGACCCATGGTGCCGGTGGCGGTGACTTGAGCACGGGCAACACCAGCCATAGCGACGGCGCCGAATACAATGTTGGCGATCATGTTGGGTGAACGTCTGAGTGTATTGGGTCAGCACTGTAGAATCGTGAAGCTAGAAGAACCAGAGACATAGTTTGGGCACCGATGATTGTTTGGGAGGAGGAACACAAGAGACTGACTCGGCGAGAAGTCTGATCTCTCTTTGGCAATCCTCCAGTCAGTCCATGATGAGTAAGGACAGATTCCCCGAACCCCCCGGCAGATGACATGACGCCCATGACTCCAGGAATAGCTCCTCCTAGCCGATCTCCCTTCATGCAAACATTGACAAAGGATCGACGGCGGCGCAGATGACACGGCTGGGACATAAAAACATAGAAAGGAGAAGGGGAATGAGGATGGAGTCGATCTACTCACAAAGTGGGACGAGTTGATCCAGAGAGCAGGTCGACTGAAGGCCTTTCTGAGAATACAATGTGGAAGAAGTGGAAAGAAAGATGGTCTGTTGAAGGGGGTTTTGTTCTTGGGGGACTTGTTGGATTGGTTGGCGAGACTAAACACAGTCGCTGTGGCTGTGGCGTCACGGAAAAAAAAGTTTCCCCCCCTTCTTTTCGAACGCGCAGCTTAGTGTGTTTGGCTAAAAATAGACTCACTCCCAAGTGGATGATTTGCATTAGGATTTCCTCAGTCGGTTTGGAATTTTCAAGGGGGCTCTGATTAGGAAATCATGGCAGTGCATTAGAAATCTCCCCCCTCTTTCTGTCCCCCGTCTGTGAAACAAGCTTATTTACTTCCTTCCACCCCTTGAGTCCCCTTGAAACGTGGTGGCATGGCCAGGATTAGCACTGAGAAAAGCTCGGCAGGTCGAGACATTCAACGTGGTGTCAGTCTGATGCTGGGAGACAGACATGTCTGATGGTGATCAGTTGAGTGGTGTCGCCTTCACACATATCAACAACCAGGCTCAATGTCTCGTGGGGAGTATAGGCTCGATAGATGCCTTCCTCGCCCCACCTCGCACATTTGTTGATCATAAAACCAAACAGTCGGGCGTTGCAGTCGGTGGGAATCCGGACCATTTGATATACCCTGTTCAGTGGCTGATTTATGGCTTGTGAACCACGTCAAGACCCATGTGAGATGATCCACATGGCAGTACGGCTAGGACGGGTGACATGCTGAAGCGTACGGCTCGTCGTGGCTCGTAGTGAAACTAACCCACGTCATTGCGCCAAAACATCCCTTCGATCGTCGAAGCACTCCTTGACATCCTTTGTAGCTGTGGATATTCGAGACTCATAGTCGCCACTGCGTGCATGTATCGAGTATCCCTCTCTAAGTGGCCACAACGCGTTATTGCTTCGTCATTCACCTTGACTGCACGCACGCAGTCATAGCTTAACCTGTCACCATGACGGAATACAGCTGCCCACGCACTCACTCGTTATCTGGTCCGACTTCAGACTCACCTACCGTACAGACGCGCACAGATGTCAATCTGGACTCTCACGTTCGAAAGCTGGTCCAAGCAATCTTGACCACTCCAGAATTCCAATCCCGCTTTTGTCCAGGTACAGCCAGTGACGCCTTCCGCAGGGAAACGACAGACTCAACCGTACGAAACGTGTCAGGTCTAGCGGGCAACTCTCGCTTCCACTTTGAGGACTACCTGCCAGACTCCGCGTTCGAAGGGAGTCAAGAAGCTCAGACTCTAGCTGTCATCTCGGCGCTGAGCCCTGCGAATGGTAGTGTAAGAAGGATGGCGAGGAGATGGTCAATGGCCGGCACGCATGATTCTCAGAGCCGCAGTCGCGCGACGGTATCCTACGCATTGGACTCCACACCACAGCGGAAAACCGTCCGCTTCTCAGACAGTTGGGTACGTCGAACCGACCGATAAGAGCCAATCTGCGTCAAGAATCGTCCGACTGCTCGAGCCTCGTGTATGATGGCAAGACACGCAACGTGTCAAGCCCAGAACAAGCGCCTGATCTGTATCTCATGTCGGGGGCCCTCCAATGATTCCCTCCTATCCCGTCCGTATCATATACATCGATGCATGCTGCCTCGAGTCCCAGTCAAGCCGTACACAAAAGCCCTATCTTAAGCCTTGAGTGCGTACTCTGCAGGATCGTCAGCCTCAATCTTATCGGTGATGCCATTTGTGCTCACTTCGTGCTGAGAAGTGGACGTCACGCTTGTGTTGCTTCTCAGTGATAGCGTGAGACTCCTTGTGAGTCAATTTACGTCTAAGCGCACGGGTCTTCTTGTGTCGCAAGTCGAGGGGCATGTCTAGTTCAGACGTGAGCTGACCGATCGAGTGAAGAAGCATGCCTCTACTCACACTTCTTCTTCTTGTAGAACTCTCTCAGGTTTTGCCTCTGTTTCTGGTTGATGACAGTGAGGACTCGAGCGATAGATTTGCGGACAGTGTTGCTGAGTGGTTGTTAGCAGGAAGTTGTGGAATAAGAGGACGGTGGGTGCAGGGCACACGAGGAGACGAGACCACGAAATAGTAGGGGAGAGAGCGAAGGCGTAGAAGGGGTGTGATCCTCCAGTGATCCTCCAGGGGACGAAGCAGAAGTTTGGGTAGGATTGCTGGCAGCCCGATAATGACCAGGACTCCGTCCGCAACCATATTCCATAACAATCCTCGTAGAGCACGTAGCGCATCGGTTGTTCTCTGCCCCTCAAGCTTCCCAGGCTGTCGATTCTCGCTCATACTCCTTCTCTCTTCCTTTTCAATCGCCATGCGTTCCGGCTTAGCCCATGCCCTCGCCCCAGCCCGAATGTGCCTGCACCACACCGCACCTTCACAAACTCACATCTTGGTCAACTTGCTGGCGCTTCCACCGGCGATCTTCTGCACCCTCAATCCAGCGAGCTCAGTCTTGAGATCATTGAGCTGAGTCAAAAGATCCTGCTTGCTCCTGTAGACACACAGTATGAGCATATTGTCGACGAATGATTATCCTTCTCGGGATGGCTCACTTAGATTGGAGCTCGGAGGCTCTGATTTTGGAAGAAGAGGACGACATCTCTGTACGCTGGATGGGTATCTGTCAGTTTGATGTCCACAAAACAAGCAAAGCCAGACTGACTAGGATGGAGTGTTTTCTACGACAACCTTGAATCAAAGCTCTAGTCCGCGATGAGCAGGGCAAAGCTGGACTGCAGGCGTCGGCGATAAATTTTCAGTCCGTGGGCGGAGAGAGGAGGACTTAAGTCCGAAAGTGGCGAGTCACCTGGAAGTCTAACAGATGGGGCTGAATAAAGAAAATCGGACCCACGTGGCACCGGAGGCCGGTCCTCTCCACCTGCTGCCGTTGAAGGTCGTCAATCGCGCACATCAGTGATCTATCCAATTCAGCTCCATCTTCTTCGGCTGTGTATCGTTCTCAGGGGGGGAATCGGAATACTTCGGGGAATACTTTGATTCTCAACCTCCCTTCTACCTGCTATTCGACTTCCAAGCCAGCCCGCACGATGGTCAAGATCACGTTCAAGACTGTTCAGAACAAGGTACGTCTGATATGCCGATCACTTCTTTGCCGCAGATAGCATTGATTCATCTTACCACTGATTACACACGCTGCTTCTAGAGTGGAGTACTGACTTCATCTTCAGCTGTTCACGGTGGAAGCAGAAGGATCAGAGACGGTCAGTCAGCCCTGACTCTATGCCTTGCCTCAAGCTGACTCATTGAATCAGGTGGCGGACGTCAAGAGAAAGATTCAGGACACTCAAAGCTTTCCCTCAGAGCATCAAAAGTTGATCTACTCAGGTTTGTCAGATTTTGTCCGTCAACTCATTAACTTCGTGCTCACTCTTCGGCCCAGGAAAGATTCTCAATGATGCTGCGACAGTTGGTTCATTGAACATTAAAGAGAAGGACTTCATCGTTGTCATGGTGTCTAAGGTAAGCTCACTCCTTTCCACCTGACAGTGCGAAAGCTAAAGGTTTACGCATCAGCCGAAAGCGACTCCAGCTGTCGCTGCCGCTGCTTCATCCTCAACTCCCGCCTCTGCTCCTCCTGCTGCGCCAGCAATGTCCACCGAAACCACCTCCACACCTTCGGCCGCCCCCTCATCCACTGAGAACTCCGCTTCAGTGACCGCAGCTGGCAGCACTGCAACTGCGCCAGATGCCTCAAACGCTCCGGAGAGCACTCAAGCTGTCCCTGCCTCAGCAACCACAGGATCTACGAGCTCAGGACATGGTCTCGATGGAGGTTCATTCGGTAAGCTAGCTAGGTTGCCTGTATCTCAGCTTATCGTCCTCCTCTCAGTCACTGGACCTGCTCTTCAACAAGCCATTGAGGGTATGGTGGAGATGGGATTCCCCCGTGATCAGGTTCAAAAAGCTCTCAGAGCAAGTTTCAACAATCCCGATAGGGCCGTCGAATATCTCATGTCGGTAAGTCGGGCTGCAAGGCAAGGAGGATCAGTGTTGACCGTTCTTGCAGGGGGAGATGCCGACTGGGGAGGACGAGGGTCCTGCATCGTTACCAGTGAGCTTTGCTGACCTCAAGAGCCTGACGCTGACATCAACGTAGACTGCCCCTATTCCCGCGGCACCTGTGAGGACGAGTCTTATCAAAGGATCGGATCCTGTTCTGACTAATCCGCAGAGCACTGCCACACCCTCTGCACCTATTCAACCTTCAACCCAGGCTCCCGCAGTTGCGCCGACGAGCGACGCGCCGACATCTCGTGCTCAGGGGAGTGCAGAGAACCTGTTCGCTGTGAGTTCGCAGCATGATCCTCCATACCAAAATTGACGAATCATAGGCTGCCGAAGCCGCCAGTGAGTGCATGGCAACCCTTGTCGCCGCGATACGATGCTCATACTCGCAGTGAATCGCGATCGAGGAGTTCCAACACCGGCTGCTGGGGCTGGAGCAGCTGGCGCAGGCCGTGGTGGTCAGAGCGAAGCTATGGCAGCCTTCGCCAACTCGCCAATCCTTCAGCAATTACGTCAGGTGGGTCAGTCTACTTGAATCATCCTAATGCTACCCCAGATGGTTCGCGAGAACCCTGCTATGATTCAACCTTTACTGCAGCGGCTCATGAGCAGCAGTCCTCAAATCGCTCAATACATCAATCAGAACCCTCAGGCGCTGTACGACTTTTTAGGCATCGACGCGGGAGATGATGGAGATGGAGACGACGATATGCTTGGGCAACAGACGACGCAAATCAACTTGACACAGGAGGAGGCGGCAGCAGTGGAGAGAGTGAGTTAAAAGGTGGTTCATGTGATTCTTGCTAACCTATGTGCAGCTCGAAGCACTTGGCTTTGACCGGGCCATGGTCTTGCAAGCCTACATGGCGTGTGACAAGAATGAAGAGCTAGCTGCCAACTTCTTATTTGAGAACGGAGATGAGGATCAGGATTGAGCGAGTCCATTCCAGAGAGGGGAGAAGTCTAGACAGAGGACGAAAAGGATTTGCATGATAAAAACGTAATGTGGCGCTATGAACATCTAATGGGATGTGGCATGAGCCGTCTATCTCAGAGTGGTGGATCAACAGCAATGACCCGTAGTGACGTGATCGATGGTGCATGTGCAAGTGTCTCTGCCAAAGATGATGTATCCTGTGGTTTGACCGAGCTTGAGTTGATCAGCGGATCTCGCGTTGGGACTCTCACAAATATGGCGAAGAGCATGTATCCGTTGTAGTACATTCCAAGGAGCATCCTGTGATCCCGTGAGATACAATCGTCATGAGAATCGGTCGACTTACACTAGGAATGCAGCTGCAAACTGTGATCCATAGAGCAATCCTCGGAGGACTTGATGACCCCAAGTTGGGGTGTACCTGGTTCATCGTCGTCAGGTCGAGTAGTCCCCTGATACCAAAGCACGGAGGGTGCCCAAAGCACGGGGTGTGCCCGACTCAAACTCACACGAAAGAAGTACCTTCAGCCGATCCCAGATTCTTGTTAAGGTTATCTTCAGAGTTCGGAGCGGAAGTCGATTGCCCAAGACTCGCTCTGACCTGTAAAGAAAGATGGCTGAGCACCATTGCTAATGCCAACAGTTCGGAGGAGGCGAAAAGACTTTTGACCCACCCTCGCTGCAGCTACCAATCGCCTATCAAACTCTCTACCGAGTCGTCGGACAAACTCGATAGCGATGGTCAAGAAGAAGACGCCAATGACAGATCCCGCAAACATCGCTCTGGTCTTGTTGTGCCATGTGGCAGATAAGAAACACGTATCGACAGTATACCAGTTCCAGAGCATGGAGACTGATAAAGGCGGTCGGAGGAAGACCAAGTCAGCAGGCATCGAACCAATGCCACGCCACAGCCACAGCCACAGCCGGTCCCTGGTTCGCCTTGCCTCGCCTCGCCTCAATCCGTACTCACTCTTGCATCCATCGCCCATGCTCATGGACATGGATGAAGCACTGCTGTCATTCATCGAGCTGCTTGATCCGTGATCCATACTGCCCATATCCATCAGGTTCTGAATTGGAAGAGCCATGGTGTGAACTACTAGGGTGTGTGTCAAGGATGATGAACTTAGGACACGTCTCCAACGAAGACCAGTCAGTCTATAAGGACCATACATGCGCCTAAGAATACCTTTTGCTTCATTGCAAATATGAAAATGCAACCTAGATCCCAAACTTCATCCGCCAAGCAAAAGGGCTCTCTGTCTGGCGATTCGGCCTCAGATCATGAGCCATTTTGAAACGAGACGAGTGAGGCTTTATACCGAACCGGGCAGAGCGTCAAAAAAAGGAATAATGAACGGTCTCATGATACAGAGGAACAGGCCAAGAAGCAACCCAAATTGCGCGACGTGAGGAGGCCAACGTTCATCGAGCTGCCAGCAAAGGTGTAGTGGGTCCAGGGCAGCTGCAAATGCAAGAGGAGACCAGAAAACTACGACACCGCCAAAAAAAGAGGAAAACAAAAAAACTAGCCTCCATCGGGGTTCGAACCCGAGACCTGCTGGTTGATATGCTTTAAGTAAAAGCCAGATGCGCTACCTACTGCGCCATAGAGGCCAAACAAGAAGCTGGGGTAGTTTGCAAACATATGAGCAGTCCCGCAATCTACCGCTCGTGTGAACGCACAATCGGATTAACCATACTTCATAGTTCACCGTGATGCGCCAGATAGATTGTAGAATAGTGGGCGTGCAGAGGTCTGATAGGATTAGGCGTTGATGCAGAAGTTGGGGCAGAAGTCCTCCCTTTGGGCGTCGAGGAACTTTATCGTTCCGTGGTGTGGCACTTTCATGGTGATTCGGAAAGTCTTTTTGAGCTTGGTCCTTCCCCTGACTCATCGTCATCTGCGCCTCTTCTTGCCGCCTCAAGAACACTCCTCAGGACTCCTGGAGTCACCAGGCGGTCGAGACTCGGTACAGGCCGCTAGCGTTGCTAAGAGATGGTGAAGTGGCTTTCACGAGCACTATGATGCTGCCTTGGAGACCGACGGAGGCCTCCTGACGACAACAGCCGATTGACCCACTGCTCTTGACCGACGTCCCATCCTGTTTGAACTTACTGACAGGTTCCAATAGAGTGACCCATCTTACTCGCCAGGCAGTGAGCTCACGGAACGGAGCTTGAGGTTTTGCGAACCTCACCGGCTTGGTCTGATCGACTTACCGCCGTGGCAGAACCATGTTTGATCCCTCTTCTGATCCCATCTTATGCCTTTCCAGCCTCATCAATGTCCGCTGTCAGAGACTCACAAAGCTTCAGCATGTTGCCCTGAGCATACCTATAGGTATAGAAGTGCTCCTATTACCACTCCTATCACTCTTGATTCTCTACGGACCCCCATCGTGAGTCCTCAACGTGGCCCCTTGCTGACAGTACAGACGCCGACTCGTCCCGTTCTTGACGCTCGATATTCTCCTTCAAATCGCCGTGACTCTTGGGATCTGGTGCTTGTCTTCTCACCGCTGTCCATACGCTCGACCCAAGCCACGGACACAGCTCTCGGTGTCGCTTCTTCCCTTCCTACTCTTGCCCTGTTGCTCTTCACCACGGCCTTGTACCTGTGCGAAGTCCAACCTTGCCTTCCACCCGCTCTACAATCAAGAACGGTTATGCAGGGATTCGCATTACTCATCGCTCCCCTAGTCCCTATAGGCTTCGTCGGCGCCCTCATTGGCTCTTTTCTCCTGGTTTCGTATAGTAAGGTCGCGCCTGCGGATCAGTTCTAACTTGGGACTCAGCTGCCCGTCGAGGCAAGATCGAGATAGGATTTGATACCTTAGGGGAGCAAAACATCCACTGGATCATCATGTCTGCTTCTGGCATAGCCTGTGAGCCATCTCACAGTCGCACAGCTGACACATCAGGCGCAACATACCTCCTCGTGACCATCCTGACTCTCCAGGTCGTACTCTTTGATCAGCCTTCGCTCGCTCGGTGGAGGCTAGATCACCCTCATTCTCCGCGACTGGTGCTGGTCCTGATAGCTATCGGACTCTTCATCGCATCGACTCAGCTAGTAATCGTGTTGATCCCGGAATCTTTCCCGCTATTTCTCGCAAGGCAGATCTTGACACTCGTCTCGAGATGCTTGCTGACGTTGGGCTGCTGGCGAGCGTACAAGCCGGTCCGAGCTGCACAACCTAGATCTGCATTGGCATGGTCATCAGAGAAGATATCCCGCCTGCGTCCAGGGGAGAAGCCCACCCAATCACAGTCGAGGAAAGCGATCCTCACCACTCCACTCAAGCTCAAGATTGGAGCACCGCTCAAGACAACATTTCGACGGTTGTCCACTGAAGGCATTCGCGAGTTCTATGATATGCTATCGGATCGTCAGCAAAACGCTCCTGCCCCCAGTCTCCCACGACGAGCGAAACGAGTCGTCTTTCGTACACGTCCAAGGCGCGCACCCACATTGTCATTCACCTCGTCCACCTTTTCCGACGGGCAAACCATTACTGCATTGCAGAGTATCGTCTATCCAGTCGCCGAGCCTATTGCGGGTGTCCAGGCCGTACCTGACCATTCGGCGGTCAAGAAGAACTACGGATCCGTCTATCGTCCATTGCGAGTGAGCGTGGATCCCTCTGAGCTATCGCATTGGCCTCCAGCTTCAACAACTTCAAAACCAGCGGTCCTCACATCTCGTTCGAGACACGTCAGTCGACCATCTCTTAGTCAGCCTACAGCGTCGATGCGGTCACAGATTCCAGCCACAGAATTGTGGACGCATGCGAAAGCGGATCCACCCCGTCGCCCTGCTCGTAGCTTGGCTCGACTGGCCAGACCCGTGATGGGTATTCGTGACTCGGCCATTGGAACGCCATCACCGATCGCAGGCGAAGGATCGACACTCAGCGATGATACATTCGGTATCTTGCCTTATCCAGGGCCTAGGCGCAGGCCAATCTTGGGCCGTGCTGACCCCTCGAACGCCGCCATCGCACGGTCGAACTCCATTCCGAGAAAACCGCTACCTCCGCTTGAAGGTTACGCAGAGACCAACGAGGATCGCCGAAGTTTCGAGGCACGAGTGTTCCCTGTATCTGTAGGGTCAATTCAGAGTATCGACCTGCATCAATTCCCGATACCCCAAAGCACGAGCCGACCTCGGACGAGGACAAGCCATGATAGGCCTGTGTCAGCATCCACGGCGTTTTCGACTTCGTCGTCATCCGTCAAGACAATGAGGACTGAGGACTGTGTCGACCGGACATCGTTCCTCTTCATGCCGAGGACAATGGAATCGCCCACCCAAGCCGAAGCCGAATTCGAGAGCGAGGAGGATGAGTCGCAGGACGTGAACACTCATCGCTCGATTACATCTCGACCGCCATTGGCAGCACGTAAATCCAGCGAGATCATATTGGACACTCCCTTGCCCGCTGATCGATTGAGTGGCATAGTCTCACATCGTACGAGCGCTGAGCAGCTCTCAGCACGTCAACCCAAGTCCAGCAGCCGTATCATGGTCTGTCGATCCCCTTCGATGTTCCATGAATCGCAATGGTTCGCGCCGAATCGTCAGGCCGTTCTTGAAAGTTTGCAAAGACTTCGACGAGATGCAGGTATCACACCTGAGGTCAGTAGGTTGAGAGACTCCTTCATTGGGATTGAGCATCCTCCGCATCAGAGCTATCACAGTAACGTGCGGGAGACTTCGGAAGAATTAGCGGTCAAGCCTAAGCGTAGAGGGACGGAGTTTATATGATTCTTTGAAATGTGACCGTGTTGTCAGGCTCACTAGCGGATGCATCATTCGTCAGACGTCTGTGCCAAGCTGGAGTCAGAATCGTCGAGTTCTTTCCTCTCCCCTATAGATTCTTCGTCTGAGCCAGTCTCGCTATTTTCGGGATTGTCGATCTGCTTAGAGGGTCAGACTTATAACGACACTGCTAGGTCGACTGACCATTTGGACGAACGCCGATGCCGCTTTGTCTTCCTCGTCGATCGTCGAGGCTTTTGCGAACCACCCTCTGGCTTGACGGAGAAGAGCGACATTTGTCTTGGAGGAGTCTTCGTTCATGCTCAAGTCGACAGCTTCCGAACCGTCTTGTTGGCCGGCATTCACTCGATGCGCAGGGGGCTGAGCGAGGTAGAAGCACAACAGGCCCGCGTAGGTGTGCAGAGAGCCCGACACGAGGTACGGATACGACGGCAAGTAGCTGAAGAATCAGATCGGAGGAGCTTCCGGTATGCTCACGTTTCTAGCTCGCCGAGCGCTGCTCGATGCCGATTGTGTTTGATGAGATGCAAGACGAGGGCGTGCAACAGGGCAGGTCGCTAGGACATGGACCGTAAAGAGATATCCTAGATCGATGCCGGACCCACCTCAGCCTCTAGAGCCGAGAGTCTCAACGTCTTCAACCACTTTTCGACATTTCTGCCATCATCATCATCGTCTACCGCCGCCGAGCCACCATTGACAGACGGCTCATAGCTATGATTCAAAATCAAGAGGCCCCAATGCCATTTCGACTTCCAATCGACTTCACGGCATCGTATCTATGCGATAGGTTGAGCCAAAAAGTACTCCAGCTCAGGCCAGAACTGACTAGTATACACCATGCTCGTCTCGCTCTGTCTATCTCCCCTCTCAACAGACAGACGTGTAATAGCTCGGAGAGGTTCTGAATAGATTGTCGCCGGATTCCTACCTGTCGATGTGGAAGATGAGGTTGAATAGGCTGTAGCTTGGATGGCATACAGCCAATTCAGCTCGCTGCATGAACTGAACAACAACAACAACATCAACAACAACATCATGATGGATGAGATGATCCGCCACAAACGACAAAACACCGCAGCGTCACTGTACTTTTTCCATTGTCCGCCACCTTTTCGTCGCGTGGCTCCGCCGCCTTTCCCAATTTTTTCTTTTCGGGTCTCCCTTCCCTCACGGTGTGGCCTCCCAAAAATTTCAAACTGACGACCGAGGGACCAACTCTTTCATCTTCCAACTCAAACCCACTCACAAACCACCACCAATTCAACGCTCAAAAGATCAGCTTTGTCTAACAGATAGACGAAGCGATCACCCAAAACAAACAACTCCCCTCTAATCATGGCTGAGTGAGTATCATGACTGGGATAGGGAGAGGAGAATCGCGAAAAATTTTCACCTCGAGAATATGCCCAAAAAAAGATGGGAGGGATCGCGAGCGGAGGGATAGACATCGACGTACGCTGCTGCTTGACGAGCGAGGACTAGGAGCGAGAGTCGGTGCTCAGACAATCCTGGCGGCCTCTGAGTTCCGGAATGACCGTTCTGCATTCCTTCTTGCCACCTTTGTCCTTGTGTCCATATTCAGTTGCTGACTATTGCTCAGCACAAAACCCGCCGCTCCCCCTGCTGAGGGTGGATCCGGCCTCGACCTCGATGAGAACACCATCGAGACCAACTGGACTCAGGTCACTGACCAGTGAGCGTGACGGAGATCTGCAACTGTCCCCGTTCACTGACACTCTTTCGCCCAGCTTCGACAACATGGAGCTCAAGCCTGACCTCCTCCGAGGCGTTTACGCCTACGGTTTCGAGCGGCCCTCTGCTATCCAGCAACGAGCCATCATGCCCATCATCACTGGACGAGATGTCATTGCTCAGGCTCAGTCTGGAACTGGAAAGACCGCCACCTTCTCCATTGCCATTCTCCAGCGAGTGCGTCCTTGCGTCAACTACACATGATATCAACCATCGCTGACAACTGTGACCAGATTGACACCACCGTCAAGAAGACCCAGGCTTTGATCATTGCTCCTACTCGAGAGCTCGCTCAACAGATCCAAAAGGTCGTCATCGCCCTTGGAGATTACCTCAACATTGACTGCCATGCCTGTGTCGGAGGAACCGCCGTCCGAGAAGACATTGCCAAGCTCAACGAAGGACCTCACGTCGTCGTCGGAACCCCTGGACGGGTCTTTGACATGATCAACCGTGGTGCCCTCAAGTCGGATTCTGTCAAGATGTTCTGCCTCGACGAAGCGGATGAAATGCTCTCCACCGGGTTCAAAGACTCCATCTACGACATTTTCCAGCTCCTCCCCGCTGAGACTCAGGTCGTCTTGCTCTCGGCTACCATGCCCCCTGATGTCCTCGAAGTCACCAAGAAGTTCATGCGTGACCCTATTCGAATTCTCGTCAAGAAGGACGAACTTACCCTCGAAGGTATCAGGCAATTCTGTGAGTTGCAACAATGTCCTCAGTGCCCCTGTCCACCTATCTAATACCACCTCAGACATTGCCGTCGAGAAGGAGGACTGGAAGCTCGACACTCTTTGCGACCTCTACGAGACTGTTACCATCACCCAGGCCGTCATCTTCTGCTCTACCCGACGAAAGGTTGACTGGCTCACAACCAAGCTCCACGAGCGAGAATTTACCGTCTCCGCCATGCACGGAGACATGGACCAGGCTCAACGAGAAGTAATCATGAAGGAGTTCCGATCTGGATCTTCTCGTGTCCTCATTGCCACCGATTTGCTTGCCCGAGGTATTGATGTTCAGCAAGTCTCCCTTGTCATCAACGTGAGTGGACGAGGAATTCAGACTTTCGCTTCTGCGATGCTGATATATGTCGCAGTACGACTTGCCGCCTTCCAAGGAGAACTACATTCACCGAATTGGTCGAGGTGGTCGATTCGGCCGAAAGGGGTGAGTGGAATGCTGCTTGCCAGAGTCTGTGCTCATTTCTCCAGTGTCGCCATCAACTTTGTCACCACTGAAGACGTCAAGATGCTGAGAGAAATCGAATCTTATTAGTAGGCGCCAGGCTTTCGAGGTCCGCATGAATTGCTAGCTGACACTCTTTCGTAGCAACACTCAAGTCGACGAAATGCCCATGAACGTGGCCGACCTCATCTAAGCTCAACCTCCTTCACGACACACGATAAACAGATCGTTTTTTCCCGTTTCTCCAAATAGAAATATCTCAGACCACCATTTCCCCTAAAACTCCTTCATCATCACCTCGACCATGACCCATCGCTCTCCATCATGGTCATCCTCACCAACCCTTCTTCTTCTTTTCTCATTGTCGTATCGTAGTGCAGGCTGGGCAGTTCGTCGCAGGGGTCGGAGACCCAAGAGATTGTGCGGAGGAAAAGTGACACTGTTCATGGATGCCCAAGTGGTATCCACGTCTAGACTGGGGAGGATAGCGCTCTTTCCAACCTAGATTCATATACCCTCTCGCTGAAAAAGGAACCATTACCACCACTTCACTTCGTCGTTTTGGTCGTTCTTTCTTGGCATGCACAGTATTTCATTACTATGGGCGAGCATTTTTGTAATACAAATTGGCTGCACCGCTGTTACTGATCTGCACTGAGGACCTTCCAGTCGATGCCTCCTTCAGGGCCATATCGCTCCCTTAACCATGCGTTGGCCTTCTTGAAGTGACCGTTACCGAAGAACCCTCGCATGGCTGCCAGTGGGCTCGGATGGGCAGAACGAAGTACGAGGTGTTTGTTCTGATAAAGCGAGTCAGGTTGATCCATTGATTAAATCTCACCTTATCCACTCCCGTACACATCTTCTGTGCATGTGCTCCCCACGCCATGAAGACGACCCCTTTGGCTCCTGGAACATGATCCGAGTCCTTCAAATTTGTCGGAGCCATACGTGAAGTTATCACTTTGAGCACGGCAGCGGTGAACGTCTCCCAACCGCGATTGGAGTGTGAGGCGGCCTTATCTGGACGTGAGCTCGCTCCTTCCCGGGGAGGCTCCACTCACTTCATGCGCCCTGACGGTCAGTGATGTGTTGAGCAGCAGGACACCATGCTTGGCCCATTCTGTCAGGTCTCTGCATGGTCAGCCGGGTACATATGGCGGGATCGACATGCCACGGCCACGGGACACACACCCATGTTTTGGCGGTACGAAGCCGGGAATCTCTTCGGACATCTCCTTGTAGATGTTACGGAGAGACGGCGGTATTCTCATGCCTTTACGGACGGAAAACGCTAGACCCTGTGGGTGGCATGAGCTTTGGGTCAAGGTTCAGATCAGCAACAACTGACATGAGCTTGACCGTCGTCCTGGCGAAGAGTGAAGCGTGAGCAATTCCTGAGCTCTCCGACACGCGACATACATGATATGGATCTTGGCCTAAGCATCTTGAGTAAGAATCATCATCCCATCGGTAGGCGACCTACCCACAATGACTACTCTAACATCTTTCAAAGGACATAATCGTGACCACGAGTAGATATCATCAGCTATGTGGGATATTCAGCTGCCAAGTCCTGGTCTATTGTCGCATCACTGACCTGGCGGGAAAACTTTCTTGCTCTTCTGTTCTGCTACCACAAACTCTTTGAGCTGTCCGAAAGCCATGTCAGCCTATGTGACAACGATGTGGCCGATAGGCCCACCTGTAAAAAATACGGCTTGGTGAATTCATCCTGTAAGGCCAGTAACCAATCCTCGCCCATTGTCTCCATTTCCAAAACGAGCAAGTCCTTAGCTTTCGAGCGAGATGACAGGGCTATCCGTAGCTCTTCACGTGAAGATGATCGGTCTGACATTTCGGACTTGGCAGATTGAACAGCAGCGGCTTTGAGAAACACATCGGCAACTTGGATCCGGAGCATTAGCTATGCCAGTCGGAGCACAACCTCGCCATGCTGCTTACCTGGAGCTGCGTCGGAGTCGACTTTTTGTCTTTTGGAAGAAGACGGTCCTTCTCCTGCTGCATCGTGTATTGCCCTTTTGGCGGCGTCGCTCAATCCCCCTCCGGATCTTTTTACTCCGCTCGATAAGGCGGACAAGGGAGATGAGGAGGGCGCTGCGGTCGCAGCAGATATCTCTGCCCTGGCCGGAGTAGCGAGATCCGCATCTGGTGCTCCTTCCTTGACCTGCTTGGGAGAGGAAGCGACCACCTGAGTTGAGCTGAGAGCGGCTCTACTCGGTTGGGAAGGAGTTCCGCTACTTGATCCACTAGGTTGGGCTGGGGAGCTCGGAACTTTTGTAAAGTAAGTAGCTATAGATGCTTGAGGTGCCATAGCGAAGTGACGAAGACTGTGAGACGTCGTAGTAGTGAATATACCAGGCAGTCGATTCCAGCTCATGCGCCTCGTCGGCGATGCAATGTATGGTCTGAGATGAGCATCCCAAGAACCGCTACGCGATTGACTTTTTCTGACCGTCGATGCGAATTACGTCACGCGATTCATTCGTTGCCATGATCCCCATGAGAAGATAGATACATCAATGGCTTGACCTCAATCTGAGACCTCTAAGCACCTTGCTCAGCCAGCCCACACGCCGAACTGTGCATGATTCCCGTCAAACTTCGCTCCGATGCCCCGCACGCAATCGCAGACGGCGAGCGGCGACACCGAGACTTTGCGTGGATGCCAACAGAACTCCGGCCAAAAAGATCATTCGTCTACCCTGTCAACTTCCGGCCCGGTCCTCCATTATGACTCGCTCGGAACCTGAGTACCGCCTCTCACCGCTCGACGTTCCAACGCCTGAGCGACCCATCCAGCCATGTCAACATCCGAGTCTTTGTCCGCAAGTAAAAAGGGATGTTCAAGCAATTGAGCATATGTCGGTCGGCCATTCGGATCTTTCGTAAGACTAGGGCTCGTTTAGTAGATGCCCATTTACATCTGTGGCTCACCATTTCGCTACGAAATCGTGCGCATCCTCGCTGTATCCCTTTGGCAATCTCGGAGCTGCTCCATGAACAATGGCAGTCAGTTGAGCAAAGACATTGGCGAATGTTTCGGGTGGATACGGATAGCAACCTCGAGCGAGTTCGACGATACTCAGACCAGCTGACCAGACGTCGGAGGACACAGTATAGGTTGACAGCTGGTTCTGGGACTCCCCTTTTATCCTTTCGGGCTATTTATTGTTGTCAGCTGAGGATCTCGTAGGATTCCGGTTGCTCACCGCCATGTACGATTGGCAACCGATGTTTGTCTTTGCCAAGCTCTTCTCTAATTGTCCAGATACACCGAAATCGCATAGCTTGACCTCTCCTTTACGGTTCATGAGTACGTTGGTTGGTTTGACATCTACGCAGATGTCAACACCGTATTGCACTCCTTCCTGGACTCACCTCTGTGCATGATCTGCAGTTCGTCTTTGAGGAACTTGAGACCCTTTATCATCTGGAGCGTGATCCTCCTCAGAACAGGTTCAGGTACCCGCAGCTCCTGACTCTCGTCATCTGGATCTTTCTCGCCAACCTTGGCAGGCCGACCGCCTCCGGTCAAGATGTCCAATGACGCATCCATATACTCCATGCAGTAGTAGACGCAAGATTCGATCGTAAACGCGCCATAGAACTCGACAATCTCTGGTGATAATGCGGCCCGATGGAGGATGTCCAGTTCCATGATGATACCGTTCAACTTGGACTCATCAAGCTCCAAGCGTATTTCCTTGAACGATGTCAGAATCCTGTCGATGGCTATATACTCACCTTCATAGCCATTGTCACGCCTGTAGGTCGATGATACACCTGTTGCACCGAACCATAGTTTCCTCGACCAACTTCTCCGATCACTTCGATCTCATCCATATTGATCTTGAAACTCTTGCCATCCTCAAAGTCCACCCCGTGCGAATGCAATACTGCCTTTTTAGAGAATTTTAAAGAACCCGAGGGATCCCTGAAGAGGCGGGTGAGACGACCTCGGCAAGGTAAGGAAGAGCACAACTCACATAATCTGCCCAAAGTCTGAGAATTTGCTGTCGCTCTTCTCTGGACCACCTTTCATTCCGCTCAAGGTCAACCCTCCGGGAGGTCCCCGACGTCCCGCAACGCCACCAGGACCAGCAGGTGAACGTCCTAGCCCACGTGTTGGCGCACCCATAGCTCCAAGCGAGGGCCTGAATGATGGGCCACCGGCGGCGCGACGAGCAGCAAGACCTAAGGGACCAGCGTTGGGACCGACCGGATTCTTCCCGCCCCCCAAAGCTTGAGATCGGAGCAAGGCAGACATGGAGGTTGCATTGGGGTTTGGACCGCCAGGCAAGGCTTGAGGAGGTGCTTGCGCTCGAGATGCAACGACCTGACTGTATCAGCTTGGAGAATGGTCAGACCTATTCGATGACTCACTGCGTCCATTTTAGCCTGTAAACTCGCGGGGATTCGAGCCTGCATCGTTGATCCTCCTCTGCCCATGGCTGCCCTCATGCCCATGGGTCCAGTCATTCCACCACGAGGAATTCCTGGTCGTGGGGAGGCACTGGACCCAGCGGACGCAGGAGGTGGTCTGAATGATGGAGCGGGAACGGAGGTGGGTGCTGCAGACGATTTGAGCAGTCCATTAGATATAGGTGTCGTTGTTTCAGCTGCCGATGTTGATGAGGATTGTGATGACGAATCAATGGGAGGAATTTCCGCAGCCGGTGTGTAAGGGGGCGTATCTTCAGGCCGTTTACCATCCGAGTTGCTGGCTTGATCTAGGGGATCTGCGGTCTCTGTACCGGGTGTAGGGGATGGAGAGGGAGGACGCTGAGAGCTACCTGGAAGAGTGGAGGGGATGGCAGGGGCGGTATTTTCAGATATTTTGAGCTTCTCTAGAGAAGGTGGGGATGACATGTTGACGGGTAGAGTAGGGAAGAGCAGTGAGGATCGAGTAAATATCTAGTAGGACTGGTCCGTCGTGATGAATGATGGTCGTAGCTTTCAGAGACGATGTGCCAAGCAGAATGACGGATGCTCTACACTCGGCAAGTCGAGCGCTTTGGAAAGAGGCGCCGTGTCCGCTGGAATCGAATTTGATCTTTTCGCCGTGGATGCCCGCTGTGGTCCAAGTCGATTAAACGAGAATCGACGAGCAGGGGCGATGGAAAATGTATCACCCAGAGAAGAAGGATGATTAGTCTATATGCTGCCAGACGTTGGTCACTTTCATGAAATCAAGAAAAAGTGCTCCAATGTCGAAGAAGGAGAAAGCGATGGATGGAAAGACCGGCCGTATATTACTTGTATGGCAGAAAATAGGATGGTGTGGTTATTTCAGAGCCTACGCCTAGAGTGGTATAGCAGACGCCGGCTATGAGAGCCTATGGAAGTCGAGAGGAGGAGGGAACAAAGTGGATATAAAAGCTGTTGCACAGTACAGTGATTGTGTGAGAGCGCAGCTGTCTCAAACTGGGCAGAGGAGGAGGGATGCTCTGAGGCTTCTTCGATGGATGGATGGGATGGATGGATTTGAGAGAGATGGGGAAAAAAAAGAAGAGAGAAAGAGAGAAATGAACAGTTGTCATCATCATCATCATCGTCTTGCGCTCAGATTATGCATCCGCGACTTGAACGATAGGCAATCGACCTTCCATTGCGTTCATCCTCAGTTGGGAGTGCAACGAGACTGACGGACCATGTCGTCTCAATTCAAGGGGTATCTAGGGAGAACGGTGGACAAGCTGAAAGCAGCACCATCCAGGCGTCAGTGCTATGAATGCTCACCTCGCTGAATTTTTGGGAAACAGTATCCAATGGCAGATCAACGATCCCTCCGTTCACCATGTACTCATTTAGCTCGGATCTGCCGCCTCTGGAACCTCCCACGATCATGGCCCTCGGCGCCGACTCAGATATAGGAGGCTTATCAACTTCAAACGCTACTTCCATACCGACAGCTGCGTTCTACGACGATCCCGGTCCAAGTTCGCCCCTGTCATTCTCCTCAGATCAGTATGAGAACTCGGTGGCCGTTGCGACAGGCTCTCATGGAGGAGGTATCAGTCCAGGTCACATCGGGTCTCCTTCTGCGGGACCTTCCAGACCTGCACTGAAGCGCGATCCAAACTTGCCTCGAATCACTGGATCACACATGTCCCATGTCGCTCTTCATGGAAACATGTCACTGCGTCTGCCACCATCACAAATGGGCAAGATACGGACAGGATACGTCGGCATGAGGAATCATTTCCGACCCACTATTCTGGGAGGAGAAGATGCTTGGGATTTGAGACAGTATACTCATATCAAGATGCAGATCGCCTATCGTGGTTGGGAAGGATGGAGAAAGAGATGGTATTGTAATGTTCAGATCGCAGGTCCGACCGGCCCATCAAAGTGAGCACAACCATTGCCAGCCGGCACCCTTTCGCTGACTCCTCAAAGCATCGATGTATACCAACTGCGGATCGAGTTACCTCCTTCATCAGCCTCCACTTCATCTCGTGCACCCCTTGATCCCTTTTCCGGTGTACCACCAAGATGGACGACTCTTCATCTCCCCTTGTCCTCCTTCGTTCTGACAAACATGGGCAGCACCTCCCCTGTTCAAGTTGGTATGGACACAGAAGGGGTGAGGTCTGTCGGCTTCTCCCTCCTGGGTGGAGGAAGAGACAATCAAGGTTTACCACTGGGTCAACCTGGTCAATATCTTTCTCAGAAACATCGAGATCTGTCCCAAGTTGAAGACCTCGATCCTGCTTTCAACGCATCTCGAGCGAAACGTCGCAGGCATCGAGATGGGACTATGGACCGCGAGAGGGGTGGCGATGGTCATCCTGGAGGGATGGACAGGGTCTCAATCACGCCGTTCAGTGAAGGATATTATGAGCTCTGTGTGCGATATGTCCAGGCGGTACAGTACGATCCAATGACGGACGACAGGCCTTCAGAATGGGATGTTTGGGAGGAAGAACAGAGATTGGCCAAAGAGAGGCAGTCCCCGTGGGAGTGACAAGGGTGCCATGTAGCAGGTAGAGTGAATGTATGCATGTCCAAAAATGGTGTCTAGCGTACAGGATTGGTATTCAAGATGCAAGGTATCAAAGATTGTCCATCTGCTCTTCACCCTCAGACCGTCGATATCCCCATCTCCTGACCAATCAATTCAAGGCATCGACGAGCGATCTCCCTCGCTCCAACTTCAATTAACTCGCCGCCATCCCCCGCGTCGAGTCCCTGCATTTCGGACTGATCCACCCCACCATCGCCCTTCCCCGGAGCCGATGATTTGAATTCTCCGTTAGCCTGGTCCGCCGTAGGCGATTGCTGTTCGTACAATGTGGATCGCTCCGACGGGAACAGCCACATACTGGGAAGGGGTGAGCGCAAGAACGCCAGCTCCAAGAAGAGAGGGTAGAAGTGGAACAGATGGGCTCGTGTCGATGAGCCAAAGCTGTGGGCCTTTGAATTGACAACGACATTCGGTACAATCTTGAGCGTTGCTAGATGCCGCAGGATGTACAGCAACTCGTCATCTCGAACGCTGCAGTGTATCAGCTGCATTCTCACCGTAGATATTCATCACCACTCACCGGCCAAGTGGCATTTGCCCTCTGAGCTTTGCATCATCAACGTATCCCCTCAAAGCCTTCTCTGCACGTCTCAGTAGAGACGGCAAGACGAGCTTGGCCACCTTGGCGTCGTCTCCTTGCGCACCCGGATCGGACATTCCTACACCCGCCCACAGGAGATCGAACGCCCAGAAGCGCGTGCTCTCCAAAACATCCGGGACCGCGGGAGCTGTCGTGCCTCCGTTAATGGTCTTGACATCGAAACGATAAAGTTCGCTGGCGCGGCGCAAGACATCCCCATAGCGCTCTATGAGGTGGTCCGGAACCTGTGTCGCAAGGCGGGGTACAATAGTACCTTTCAGCCTGTCCAAGAACGGCAAGACGAATGACTCGTCCTCAGATACCTGGTCGCCTCCATTGGAACTGTCCCCTGGTCAGCTCTGCAGATCTGCCGAAGATCTAGCTTACTTGTCTGCCAGTAGAACAGCGGAAAAAATGTCAATGATCTGCGACCAGATCCCCGAGATACGACCTGGATCCAAATTGCTTGTGTCGATCGTAAACACTATTGGATCCAGAACGCGGGCGACAGATTCCATCGCGGTCTTCCACAGAGGCCCATCTTCGCCATACTTGTTGGCCGAAGGGCAATCATACTTGAGTTTGATGGGCACAGCGTATGCCTGCATGTGTCAGGATGATTATGGATTGTTCAGGACTGTTGTACTTACACCAAGTACAGACTCGACCGTTCCGTCCTCAAATATCGTCTGCTCCTGGGCGGACCTTTGGAAGACCTCGGCGATTTTAGGTAACGAAAATTTGGAGACTGCCACAAACGTCACTCGAGCTGCCTCGTCCCTGATGTACGCAAGGGAGGCGAATTCGGCCAAGTCACCGAGAACGATGGTCGAGCCCAGATGACTCGAAGCACAGATGAGTTGCGTTATACTAGCTTGCAGAGGCGACATGACATCTGTGTCTGGACGATACTCGGGAGACTTGTCATAAGTCATGACGCTCCGAAGGACCTGGGAGAATCTGGCAACACGTTCGTCTGTCCACGTCAATTGATCGTGCAGCTGTGAACCGACGCGGATCAGAGCAACGAGATTGTCCTGGGTATAAATCTCGGATCCCTCGAGGCAATCACTGAGATTGACAAAGCAGTTCCAGGTTGCATCCAGAATGAAGTCGCGGGCTTCTAGATTTGACGATGCTGTATCTGAGCCCGTGGCGACCAAGATCCTTTCCAGTGCCTTGAGACCCGCTGTGCCACATTGCCGAGGTTCCGTTGCGAATGCTCGCTCTATGCGAGAGAGTAATCGAGGATAGATGTCGGTGAAAGTATCGAGAATCGTGAATGTGGGTAGGAACAAGTTGAAGATGTTGCCGGTGGACGTCAGAGCGAGGATGGCACCTTCGTCACCAGTGGCGGCATCCAATAGGGGAAACAGAATCTTGCCCAGTACATCGGTCCACATATCAGGAGGAAGTGTAGATCCATAGAGCTCGACGCAACGGAACAGGGTTTGCATAGCTGTGGATCGGACTTCCAATCGAGGATCCTGGCCAAGTCCAAGGAGCTCCGTCAGAAGATGGAGCCAAAGAGATTTGAGCTCTTCTGAGCCGCCTTGTACAGCGTCAGAGACGTTCCATAACAGACCGATGGCAGCTAAAGCGATATTGACATCTTCTTTCTGACGCCCGAATCCACCAAGGCAAGAAATACAATGCTGCATCGATCCTCGATCCAGAGATGAGAGGAAATCGGTGCAAATGAGGTTGAGGGAGGGGAAAGCGATTCGGACGAGGTTTGCATTGCCCTTGAGACTGGACGGTCGGCCAGTATCGAGTGAAAGATTAGGAGTGTACGGGACTGATGGTTGCCTTTTTGCAGGGGCTTCTTTGCAAACGTCGTTAAGCATTGCAAATATCGTCTTCCATCCGACTTCTAATGAATGACCGGATGACTCAAGGATCTGATTGAGTGTCGAGTACCCAGCTGAACGGACGTCGTAGTCCGTCGCAACGATATTGCTGATTGGCATAGTGTCGACCTGCTTAACCAAGACGTTGAAGACTTGATGCTGGACACGTGACTGGGTTCCGACTCGAATGGCGCCCAGCAACAGCTCGTCAAGCGCATCAGATGCCTGGAGTCGGAGCGTTGTCGGGGCCGAAGGATGCCTAGCGACGGACAACAGATGCTGCGTGGTCGGATCCCATCCAATAGCCGGATCCGAGTTGACTATACGCTGTAGATTGATCATGGCCACGATTCGTAGCTTGGTCAGGCTAAAGGATCTTTCGCCAGATTTGATACTTTGGTTGATATTGATCCCACTCGCCCGTCGCTTGCTTTCTCCGCCAGGTGACATGAGCATGGAGGGCGAGTTCGGTGGCAATGACGCGTCGGACAGGTCTATTGTGCTTTGTATCTCCGAATCAAAGCCTATCATCTCTGAACTGAGCCGTTGCAGCGCATTTACGAACGTCCTGAATGCCTCATCGCTCATATCCCTGGTCCCATCGAACAGGATGTTGATGGCGTTTTGTATGGACTCGATGTCAAGGTCACCAAATATATCCGATCGATCGGGCTGGTCTGGAGGTGTTCCAGGCATCATGGGTGACTGAGGCATCTGTGGAGATCCACCGGTTGGATTACGGCGCGGCTTGCCAGGTTTCCGAGTCACAAGCAAGAAATTGGCGTTTTGCAAAATCTCCAGCACATCGTGCCAAGCGTCACCTAGAGTGGACGCAAGGATCCGAGCCGTTGTGATGGTGCTCCTGAGACAAGCCAAATTTCTGTCCGAAAGGCTGGGCGGACTGGCCGATCCGCTGCCTAGTACGCCTAGACCAAGCGAGTCCGCACTCAGCGCACTTGTAGTTCGGCCTCCCTGCCCCGCCCCTCCGCTCTCCATGTAAGATTGCATGGCCGATACCACCGCCGGTGGGACCGCGTACTTGCCAAGCGTGCTGATGAATGCGTCTCTCGGCGTAGGCAAATTGGAGAGACCACATGCGACGGTAAAGTCTTGCACAGCGCTCAATACTTCAGCAAAGAGCCCATCGGACAGATTGGTGCCCAGACAGTAAGACAGAGCTGCAAGCAATGCCGGCCAGGCCGACTCGGCCATGCCCGTGACCGCCATTTCGGGCTGATTAGACTGGCCGACCGAGATGTAGATGCCTTCAGCGACTACGTCCAGTGATTGTAAAGCCAAAAGATAGATGTAGGTCTCAGGTATGGGTGGGGCTTCGACCTTGTCGTGCTGCTCAATCCTTTAGAACATTAGCAGCTTCTGACTTCCATTACAGGCTTACAGCTTCAACTTCATAGCAGATTGCGGTCCAAGACCTGAGCTGCCAGTGCCCATCATCGAGCCGACGGTAGTTATACCTGCGCTGGCTGCGGATGCGACCATTCCGATGCCCATGTCGAGGTAACCTCCACTCGAACCTGTTCCGGCACCCGTGGACATGGCCTCAGAGTGAGGGATCCCGAGGCCATGCATCTGAGATCCGATTCCAAGCAAGGCAGGCTTTTCATTGACCAATCGGCCTAAGGAAGCGATGATTTTGCCAAAGATCTTTGGGCCATTTTCGGGTTGATCAAAATTTGTCCAGATGGTACGCAACAGGGCAGTATCTCCGCAAATGCTGAGAGGGTCAGACAATCTCCGACTGTGAGCTACGCACCCCCTCAGAATCTCCAACGCCAGTCCTCGAAGCCACGGCGGTACGACGTCTCTTTTCGCACCTTCCTCTGCATCCACCTCACCCATGCCGATTTTATTCAAAGCAGTAAGATACGCCTCGGCTTGCAGCGGCAATTGCTCAGTGAACGATCGGATCAAGAGAAAGATGAGTCTGCAGACTCTAAGTGCAATGGGGAACGATGGTTTGGTTCCCAGCAGCTGCAAAAGTAGGGGGTCAAGCGAGTGACTGAGTAGTTGCAGAAGCTCCGGGTGCTGTAACGACCGTTGGTGCTGTCTCACGGTTCTCGGCTCACCTGCTTGACACTACTTTCGTAGCCGCTAAGAATGCTTTCGATAAGCTCGAGACCAAAAGTCCGTTGAAGAGCACTGAGTTTGAGCAGGACTGGCTTGACGTCTTCTGCCTTGCCCCACAGAGAGAAGGAGCCGGTCCCCGTCCCCCGAGCAGTCAACAAGCAAAGATCAGAAAAGATATGGTACGCATCCAGTCCAGCCGGGGTGACCAGAACCTCCCCCGAGTCTGGACCGATCAACGTGAGGGGTAGAAGAGGAGTCGAGGTGTCCTTGGCTATACGATCAAAGATGACCATCACGGCTTGTCGGAGCGACGCCGCGGCCGTGGAAGATACCACTGATACTCGTGAATCTTGGAGCTTGAAACAGATGAGAAGAGCCTGCGCTGATCAGATTGGACTTAGACAATGAGCCTACGTTGCCGAGCACTTCATTATGGACGTCTGAATCATGAGACAGGATTGACAAGATCGTTTGAAGGATCTTGAGCTGAATGTCCACAGCTTGATTGGCGACAGAGCTCAATGACTCAAACACTTGAGGCAGTGAGTCCTAAAACATACTGTGAGTTTACAAGCCGCGTTCCTGTAACTCACTGTTGCGACCCCTCTGAGAATTACCAGTCGCTGTAGAGCAGTGATGGAGATGCCGACTATTTTCGCCTGTTTAGTCTTGCATCCCAGAATAACTGGCGCCAGCAGCTTGTCACAATGAGCTGCGATGGAGTTTGAGCTATGCCCTCGACCCACGGGGGGTAGGACTTACCAGCCAGGGTATCCTTCCCAGTAGTTTTCGCCTTCAAGATTTCTAAAGCAGCTTCGGAGGCCTGATGGTCAGCTCTGTATACGGCTATGCTCTCATACCTCTTTGACTTCTGGATATCGACGTTTGCTCTCGGAGACTAGCGTCTGTAGCTCTGCAACGAGCAGATTGTGGTCCTGGATGGTCAGAGACACAACAGGGAGAGCTCACCATCAGGGCCCGAGGACGGACAATGTCGCCATACGCTGAACCCTTTGAGAGACTGCTACGATGCGCACGATCTGACAGGACTGTGTAACGCTCCAGAGGCTCCTCTGGCCCCGCGACGCGGCTAACGGGATATCAGATTAGGATACACGCGCCTATATATCACCGGAAACATAGGCGCAAGTCACCCTTTGCTTAGCTGTAGACCTATAAGCTCATACATGCATTGTCTACATCCTGCCCAACATGAGCGAGAGAGATAGAGTAAGAGGCGAGGGCTCATCAAGAGGTCAGGATCGGCACGAGAGCAGGAGATCCGATCGTGACGACAACTACCATCGCTCAGAGAGTCGAGTGTATCGCGAGTGAGCCCGGAACTCCTGACATCTAACAGCAAGCTGACATGGGAGCAGGAGATCGAAGAGCCCTTCGGACAGATGGCGAAGCAATACATACAGGTCTAAAGACAGGAGCCAATCTCGAGGTAGGGACAGGGACTCGGTCCGGATCCGAGAACGGCGAGGTCATCGCTCGAGATCAGCCAGTCGGGAAAGACATCGAGAGAGTGATCGTGATCGTAGACGACGGCACGCCTCGACTGCGTCTGGATCTAGCTCGGAAAGTGAGACCGACACAGATGAAGAGAGAAGGCGAAGACGCAGGGAAAGGCGAAGGGAGGAGGAGAAAGAGGTGGGGTGACGTTGAATGGCTCGAAATCGGTATTGAATCGGATCTATAGGACAGACGGAGACGCAAGGAGAAGAAGCGGTTAAAGAAAGAGAAAGTATGTCCTGGAGGCGATGTAACTCTGACTCTGTGTGCAGAAGAAGGGGACTGTCGCTCTTACAGCTCAATGGGGCAAATATGGCATCATATCGGACGCGGAGTGAGTTGCGTTTGGACTGTTTGTACATCGGCTTACATATTTCAGCATCGGTAACAAGGATTCGGTGAGACGATCCAGCGCTGCCTTGACAGATCCTGATGTTAACCAAAGGAATTCCGAGCATGGCTCGTTGAAGAAAGGAAGATTAATCCCGAGACTCTTTCGAAGGACAGGACGAGAAAAGAATTCGCAGTTTTTGTTGAGGATTACAACACTGCGACTCTGCCTCACGAGAAGGTGCGAACACTCTTGCAATTCTTGTTTTCCGACTGATGATACGTTCCCTAGTTCTACGATATGCGAAAGTATGACATTCGCATGAACATGATTCGGTCTGGCCAGGTCATCGCAGCAGAGGACGACAAATATGACCCTCTCGCGGATGTGAAAGCCCATAATTCGACTATCAAGGTGCGTAGTGACACTCGAAAACCTTTGTCGCTCACTCGAAGACCATAGTCTCAAAGTGCAAAGAAGGAGTCTGTGCTCAGCCGAGCAGAACTGGAAGAGCTACGTCGCATCGAAGCCGAGAGAGTAGAAATCGCCAAGCGGCGACAGCTCGGCCTCGACGTTCCTCGGCACCTCGGTGTCCGGACAGAACAAGTCACCGAATTCACGTTTGAGTGACCACGGAACGGCGTTACACCCCATGTATCGGGAGTAGCGAGTGCCTATCCAGGTACCCGTCGTCGATTTGCGGGATGTTTAGGTCGCGACCGCAACCAGCCTCGTCCATTGCGCGACTGATTTTTGGGCCCAAAAAGTTTTGACTACAAAACCTGCCACATTAAAAAACCATATCGCGAGGATCTCACCAAGACCTTTCATTGCGGCTGACTGTCTCTACCAATGACGAGCCATGGTAGACGACATCATTGAGACTGGTGCATGGGCTGCCGAACTGAAGCTCAAGACATCTGAGCAAGTCTCTGGGGTCTTGGTTTTCCGGTCAATTTTTACTGATATACCCGTCACATCGAGGAGACATCACGAGTTATCTCTCCTTCTCAAATTCGCGGAGTCGCTGGTACTAGCCCCCTGTTGGACCTCCTCGACACTAGAGACTTATCCTTGTTCCACAGCTCAGGCACCTTAGACCACAGAACCAACATGATCTCTCAGAGGACCAGTGTTCCATTCTCCGCGGTCTCGCTGTCAACAGATGATGTCTTCATCAGTCGAGAGACGCTGAGGGACATGATGCGTCCTTCTGGTCCCTTCAACTTGTTTGGACAACAACTGGGTGCCGCCGCACCGATCAGCTCTCGACCCACGAGGGCGTCATCGTCTTCGTGGGCATCAGTCTCCCCCGAGCACCTTGGGCAAATGGCTCCGTCTGGGCTTGTTCGGGAAATGAGAGTCAATCGGAGAGTAGGTCTGATCGACCGTCCTCAACCAGTAGAAATGCGACGCGTCTGGGGTGCGGTTGATCTCTCTCATGGTACTCTCCAATCCGCCCCTGCGAATTTAGGGGTAGCCACTGGACAGCATCAGACCTTGTTGGATCCGCTGAGGGTCCAGGCCAGATTGGGGAAGCGCAAAGCGCTCAGAAGACTGAGCAGGCCAAATTCCGCCGGGGACATGACGATCGGCGGCGTCAAGAAAGCGCGTCAAAGTGGGCACCTTCTGGGCGAACGGGTTAGTTCTCATTTTGATATGGTCAGCTACTTCCCTTCAGCTGACGGACCAATTTCAGCTGGCCAGAGAATACCAGACGACGAGCCATGCATTTGTCTTATCGGACCCCCTCAACATCGTCTTGGGCCAAGGCTCCAATATCTGTCCTTCGACCAGCGGTTCAGCGACTCTATCAGAGAGTCACTCCTCATCCCCGGCAGACGTACCCCCTTCTCCATTGCTCCCTTCAATTCCACATTTCGATCCTATCATCTGGGGCGACGAAAGGGAGGTTTCAAATCCCCCAGATGACCTCTCTCGGGTTCACAGCGAGGAACTCCCACCAGCTGATGTCGCCTCGCCCTCGATGACAGGGTTTAAAGCATTGCGACCGTCGATTGGCCTGCTTTGCGAGGGCCAGATCAGTGAGGACGAGCGAGTCTCTAGGATGAAGAACTGCAGACTGGACTCCGGACTTGGCTTAGGTATCTTCCTGGAGGACAATTGAAGTGCGTTTATTATCAACAAAATAAAAATGGGAATCTATGCATGTTTCAGAATTCGGCCAAGGGAAAGGGCCAAGCGGCGCGTTTTGATGTTTTGATACTGTCAGTCTGAGCAGCTCGATCTCGCAACTATCCAGGGTGTCATATAAGACGACGAGGTCACTGTAGTAGCTATGGTGAGATAATCTGGAACCTCTAGATCTCCTTGGATGGACCGAAATCAAATCGTCGATCAACATGTCAAGTGCACCTCCGGGCATGCTTGATGATGAATATTGGAATGCTTTCACTGCCGACTTTGCGGACTATGAGCTCGCAGGGTCCATTGGTGAGATTGTGATGTCCATACTGATGACAGCTGACCGTGACAGGTTTCGGAGCGTCCTCCACGGTGTATGCAGCATTCTTCCACCCGTCTCTCGCCTCACCGAGCTCATTCCACGACTCTTCGGGCACGTCAAGAAAGCCGGCCCTGACTATCAGCATCCCGGCTGCCAACCCGGGAACATTAAGAGGACTATCTACAGGAGAGTCAAGAGAATGCGCTATCAAGGTCTCTAGCATGTATCCCGATGCTGGCCAGATGTTCAAGGAGTCCAGACTGCTGGGCCTGAGCAGGCATCCGAACGTATTGAGGTCAGAGCAAAGATCCACTCCGAACGCGTGAGCTGAGTTCAAGCCCTCAGAATCCTAGCGACCTTCACTTTGCCTCCAGATCACCGCCGGATTGCCATTGTCACACCGCTGGTGGATGGCGGGTCTCTCTCTGGCATACTTGAATGGCGAACGAGGCTATGCACGACCTCAAAAGCCCATCGCCGTCTAGGCAGATTCGGCATGGGTGGGATGCAGAACGGGGAGGCAGACGAACAATCTCAGGGCAGTTTGGACGAGGAGGAAATCAAGGCCGTGGTCAAGCAGGTCTTGGCAGGTCTAAACTATCTGCACCGCAATGGATTCCTGCATGCGAGTGGACCGCACATATCGCCCCGACAAGAACTGATACCTACTTCAGAGAGATTTGAAGGCTGGCAACATTCTTGTTTCCAGCGATGGGACCATACTACTCGCAGACTTCGGAGTCGCCGGGGACATCAATGCTGCTTTGACACCCGATGCAAAACCTCTGCCTACTGCCGAACAAGTACGATATCGCTCAGCGAATGAGGTACCATACACCGGCTCTCGCGATCTCGCTCCGGCATCCGTAGCTTTCGACGATGTTGGCAAGCGGAGATCCTTCGTTGGAACCGTGAGTGTCGCCTGATCTCAGTGACCATTGTTGACGATTCAGCCGTCCTGGATGGCCCCCGAGGTTGTCCTCGGTCAGGAATACGATGCGAAGGCTGATGTCTGGAGTCTGGGCATCACCATTCTGGGTATGTCTGTGTGTCTATCTCGATCGCAGACCCTCTCACGACTTCACAGAGCTAGCACATGGAGCTGCACCCCGTGCAAAGGAGAAACCAGGCGACATCCTGCGCCTCATAGCTTTCGAAGCGGCACCCACCCTGAATAGATCGGCTGGACCCTTCAGCAAGAGCATGAAGGAGTTCGTGGACCTCTGTCTCAGCAAATTACCCGAAGACAGGCCTAGTGCGGCGAAGCTGCTTGAGCACGCATGGCTCAGGGGGTCGAAGAAGAATGTTTATCTCGCCGAGACTCTGTTGAGTGACGTTCCGCCTTTAGACGCTCGACAAGAGCTGCGTGAGTAGTGAGATCACGAACTGAGCTCATAATTCTGCTTAGGCAGGGTACCGACGATGTCTACAATGCACTCTCGCGCATCTTCATGGGATTTTGCAACCAGCCCCTCGGTCGTGCCTTCCCCAGCTAGGACATCGTTTCCCTTCGGTAGCATGAAGTCCTCGCCTTCGCTCATTTCAGGACCGGAACTTACATCGTATCCATCTCGTGCTCATTCCCGCTCATCTCTGCGCGTGCCGTCGGTGCCGCCTTCTCCGAGAATACCTCTACGGCAGTGGGCAGAGCGAACAGCGAGTGTATTATCTATCGAACACGACTACAAGCGACGTTCGGCCAGCGAGAGCCCATACCTACCTCGAATGAGATCGAGATCCATGAGACAGCCATCCAGCCTGTCATTCGACGATGAGACGCAAGATGGCTTCAGTCCTCCCTTGGCTGGGCCAAGGAGGATGCCCAGTGGTGAGGTTTCACGGATGATGAGTTCCTTGATCGAGGCGAACGGCGCTCCTGGTTTGAAAGACACCGACCGAGGTCTAGCGCTGGGCATGGAGGTCTTGGGATTGAGCAGTCCTCAATCAGCGAGCCCTCGTCAACTGGACAACAACACTACCCCGACCAAGATCAGAGTGCCTTCGAATGATACTCTCGCCATCTCGCCCAAGCAGAGAAATGCTCAGCTCGTAGAAGAGAGGGTCGAAAGTAAGACGACTTCGACCGGGATTGACAATCGGATGATGGCAAGTTCGCGAACCAACTCGACAACGCAGAGCATCACAGTCGAACCAGTAAAAGGGACAGAGAAAGAAAAGGAGAAGAGAGGCTGGCTCGGGCGTCAAGTTAGCATGAGAAAGGAGGGTCTGACGAAGAAATTGTCAGGGAGGAAAAAGTGAGGATCCTGTAATTTTTGCATTGGCGATTCCTGTCGTCCAATAGATCTATAGACGAGCAGTATAGCATGACGAATGGAGGCTAGACGCCGGTAGCTGGAGAAAGGGCGCCAAGGAGCCCTTTGAGACGTGCTGGTAGGACCTCTGGGTCATTGCTGTTGTGGTGATATCTTTTGGAATTAGGTATCCTTTATCTCGAGAACTCACCAAGATGACCCCGTCCCCTCTAACGAACAGCATCTCCATCTGACGCCGATCCACCTGGAGCGTCTCAGCCCTGCCACTTCTAGCCGTATCTCCCTGACCTACCCTCAGAGGCATCGCCTGTCCATCTTCGGTAACGTCCACAATGTGTACTGCCTCCTCCACTTGTGACAGGACCAAGTTCATGTGCGCATCGTAGGCCTGTAGATGTCAACTTTGTCACATATCGTGACGGAGACTCAAGGCCGACCGCGCTCAAGCTGTAACGAAAGACTCACATGCAAAACGCCAGAGACCGTCCGGTCACCTCGAAGTTTGATGAAGACTCGTCTAAGCAATGAATCAGCGCAAATCCGCTAAGCAGCCCGAGAGAATGCCTTACTCTCCCAGTGCGAGCTTGACCAGATCCAGAGGCTCTGAGATGGACGCGTTGGCTGCTTCCTCCATCTCAAAGTATAGGTAGGTGAGAGAACCAGAACCCGGTTGATCCAGACGGTTGTCCTGCTGAAGCAGGACGGAAGCAAAATTTCGAGAAACAATCAATGACCAGACCATGTTTTGGAGATCTGCATCCATAATATCTAGCTGGCCTCAGCAGGCTTGCGGCAGCTCAGGACCCTTCGCGCCATCCATTTGAGGCTCAGTCATCCCTCAACACACTCACACAGCCTCGTGACGCGTTCTGATGGTGGCAACGAGGTCCAGAGCCTCTGTCGGCTTGAGCCCAGCGCCCGGAGATGAAAACAGGATCATAGCATTGGTGACGGGGGCTAACAGGTGAGTGAGACGCCTGCAGCTGTCCATGATGCGGAGCATCTGATTCTACCCAGTGGATATGGGCTAGCAGCATGTCAACACCTGCTCTCAAATCTCTCGCTGCCACCTCATACGCCTATGCCTGCTGCTGTGATTCAAAAGACAGCTCTGCCTCCGAGTCGGCGACAGGTGCTCATCGACCAAGCTCCAGAGCTCGTCTCTGAAGTGTCGGACAGACCACCTGCGACTTTGACTCTGATAGTCACATGCCGATCCATGCAAAATGCTATCGAAACCAAAGAGGCTATCTTGGAGACTCACATGCGAGAGCTTAAAATGAGGGAGAAAAATGGCATTCCCGAAAGAAATGGATGGCTAGCAGGTCTTCGTATAGAGTGCGAGACTGCAGATCTTTCGTCACCTGGAGGTTCTGACGGAGTTTTGGCTCTCTGTGAGCGACTCAAGAAATCGCAAGTTTACGACATGCCGTCTTAAAGCTGACCGTCCCCACCAGATATCCCCACATTACCTCCCTGTTCCTCAATGCGGCGATAGCCACAGCTAGCAGCATATCGTTCCCTGGCTTCCTGAAGCAAATATTCACGGAAGGCTTTGTCGAAACCGTCACGGACCCTCATTTCGTTCCGGAAACGCCAGGAGTTATGACTCCAGACGGCCGTCTGGGTCTTGTATTCTCCGTCAATGTCCTCTCGGTGTATATCATGGTGAGTCCGGGTACCCACGAAGTCATCTGATTCATGCAGGCCCGTGAACTTGAGCCGCTTCTCCGACGATCTCCTAAAGAACTTCCAGTACCTCCCCGTATAATCCTCTCCAGCTCCTACACCGCTGCACGGTCCTTACTCCGACCGGACCCTCTCGACGATTACCAGCTCCTGACTTACTCGTACGAGAACGGGGAATTCCCATACAAGGCTTCAAAATACATGGCGGATCTCCTTGCCGTTCAGTTAGATAAAGAATTTTCAGAAAATCAGGTAAGTCGAACGCAAAGCCGCGATATATGGCTGACGGTGTGTAGGGCGAAGATACACAAGAACTGCGCATGTTGATTGCAGAGCCCGGTGCGATGGTTTCCAAGATATACACTACCGCCTTCACGAACTGGGCGATCATCAAGTTCACGTTCACGTTCTTTTACGCTCTAGCCTTCAGGCTTGTGAGTCAGAGCTACGGTCGACATCTTGCTGAGATTATTCCAGGCGAGCTTGCTAGGCTCGCCGAAGCATGTTCTGACCGCTGGGAATGGAGCATTGGCCATGATCTTCGCAGCTCTGGTCGACAGTCAATACATCGAACCGGCATCCAAAGTCCCCGCTACAAAATTCGAATCCCGACTCAACCGTTGGAAACATCACCGTATCGAATATTCAGAGGTCGATTGTTGGGAATCGACACTGGACCTTGGCGCAAGTCTGATGAAAGCGTGTGAGACTATAAGGCAGGAATATAGGAGACGAGAGAGTCTTGAGTAGGCAAAAGATGGCAGTCAAGGACCACTGCAAGTCATGACAGCAGAGTCTATACATAGTCTTCTGTCTAGTTCTCCTCCATGTACCACTCGATGCCTCGGGTCTTAGGCTTTTTTCTCAATCCACCTTCTCCGTCGCTTTCCATCTCGGCTTCGTCCTCATCCTCATCATCCTCGTCTTCGTCTTTCTTCTTCTTACTGGGCTTAGGTGGTGGAGGCGGAAGCGCTTTGACAGGGGGACCAATCTTCATATGCAATGGAGCAATCTTGAACTTTCGCGACATGCCAGACTGACGAGCTCCCGGCAGTTTGGAAAGCACAGCTCCCAGATCATTGCGAGCTAAACAGATCAGGAAAATACAAACACAATACTCACTGGTCTTCCACTTGATGCCAGTATTGGACGGACCCGGCGATGCCCTCGCCGAAGGCTCAAAGACAACCGGTCGAAAGTTTACCGCTTGAGCGAGCAATGGCGATCTGGGTGGGTGCACTATCTCTTGATCCTCCTCCAAAGGAACAACGTCTTTCGGCTCGACAGGCTCCTCCTTATCATCTGACGGGACTATATCGATGCCCTTCATGTCTCCAGCCGCGAGCGGTCCTGGATCTGCTCCGGATCCCTTTTCCTTCCCCACGTCTTCTTGTTGCGGATCAACTCCAGTCTCCAATTCCACCATCTTTTGTATTTTATCCCCTACTCTCTTCCCCGACGCCTTCTTCATCTGATGCGCCTGCTTGCCGACTTTCTTTTCTACTCGAAGATGAGGAGGAGGTATCTCCTGCACTGACTCTTCAATCCGGGAATTTGCAGTGACCTTCACTGATGCGACCTTCTCATCGGATTCTTTCTGCCTGTGCAGCTCTTCCTCTTTCATATTCCTCTTTCTTTTTCCCTTGGTCATGAGCGGCGAATGGTCTGGGGTGCGTGACCCGTGCTCTCGTCTTGTCCTCGAGGTGGGAATATCGACTACAGGTATTGCCGACTCACTGCGTGAGGGTTTCAGCTTAGTTTCCCGAGCTCGTTCCAGATGGATACGAGGTGCGGATCTTGCCCCTCGATCTTGGAATTCCTCAATTCCAGCTTTGCGTCTCTCCTCTTCAGCTGCTTTCGCCTCTGCTTCCTTCCTCGCCTTGCGGCGGGCTAGCCTCTCTTCCTTCGCACGAAGTTCCTTATCCTTTTGGTCGGATACTCTCGCAGATCTACGAGATCCCAAGCTTTCCTGCATCGAGATCTGAGATTCGGCAGCAACAGACGATCTTTCCATGAAAGCTGAATGGTTCACAAGAGCGATGGACTCGTCAATTAGAATAGCGTTTGTAGCTTCGACGGCATCAAGGTTGGCAGCCATGGGGTCTGGGGATGTCGGTGAAAGGGCACGAGCCTGGTGGACCTGCTTTGCTGGAGCAGACATTGGGAAGGGTCTAGGCGTAGAACGGGATTTACTAGGCGGAGCTACAGGCTCTTTAGGTGGTGGACTGGACCGATACTCGACGTACTCCTCTTCCTCGTGATCAGAGGAGAGGTCATGACCAGTCTGTCGAATAGCGGGAGGAGACGGTGAAAGTACTATCTCCCGTAATGGTCTAGAAGGTCCAGCTTGAGGCCGATGCGAGGGCATATTTTGCGTTGGGGTTGCTGGACGGTGAGAGCCAGGCGGGCGTTCTTCTGAAGTTTGCGTAGGGGAAAAGATCGGTCGATGTGAAGAAGACCCACTGCTGCGCGACTTTTCGGTCGTGGAAAGCCGTGAGGAGGGGATAGGGTAAATGGGTGATGATCTAGGAGGTCGAGCAGAGTTGGTACCAGAGTTGGAGGACGGAGCAAGGACGCTAGACGGAGGCACAGTCACTTGAGGTGAAAACGATAGGATTGGGCTTGGGCCGGAGGCTACTCAATAGTCAGCTTTTCCTTCGTCTCGGGGCGGTCCGCACCACTTGAATTCGCCTGGTTCACGATCAATGCCTGTTGTTGCACCCCGGAGACTATCGACGCCTCCGTTCTTGGGTCCATTGAAGCAAGCAGCTCCATCTCTCTTCGGTCCTGAGTCGTACTCTTGGGGTAAGAAAGCATATGATGAGGAACCTTGGCTACTGTACGTGCTTCTTGAGTCGAGAGAGCCAGAGCACGAGCCAGATCCGCCGCCTCACGACGTCTGAAGGTAAGTCAGCACGATCAAGTACCAACCGGAAGTGATAGGGTGTGGCCGACTGACCTTGACATGTAAGGTTCAGGACGAATCTTCAGCAATTTGACACTTGGTCTGAGCAGTAAGCTCCCCGTTCGCACAAGTATGATCTCTGGCTACAAGACTCAAGAAGATGTTGAATGCAAGAAAGCAGTCGCCAATCGACATTGTTTTTAAAACGCGTCGCTATGGTAGGGATTTACGTATGGCCTCGCCATCAGAAATCGGATGATTGGACCGATTAGAAAATCCGATTACGATCCGATACGAAATTAATGAGGCTCATCAAGGGTCATGCATCATCTCTGCTCATGCTGTCATGTGGTCTCGTGCCAATACGAGTCTCTCTGGGTGAGCGAGACGAAGTTCAAAATCCCTCCAAGAGGTCTGCTACCCAAGGGCTAGCTTCGAACTTGCTCCTGAACTCTGAGCCAACCTTTTTCAATTCCGCTACCTGTTCGTCATGGCTCATCTCTCTGCCCCCGCTCTCAATCCGGGACTTCCACTCGTCCAAGAAGGCTTTGACAAGAGCGGTGCCTTCCTCCGTCTCTTCCTTGGTGAACTTGCGAGCAGGCTCTTCAGAAGCGTCTGGCTGCTGTTCAGCGAGACAACATGGTTGCTAACCGGCACGCTTACCGCCAAAGTCCTCCAACTCTGCAGCTTTCCTTTTCGCCAACTTGACCATCAGTCAGCTCCAGATCCCACGATCGCGCAATTCAGCTCACTTTGACCACGCTCTCTGGGAAGTTTGCCAGCTCCGCGACATGTATACCAAAGCTCTGATCGCATATTCCTGAGGGTAACTCAGCGAACACCGCGGCATTCTGACCCACCATCAGAGACCTTGTACAATAATGTGATGTCATTTTCCCTCTTGCCCTGACCACCGTCCCTCGACTGGACGTGCGCTTCAACGTGAAGGTTCTTGACGTGTTTGACAGTTGACTCGAGCGTAGTGAGTTCGTGGAAATGCGTCGCAAAGAGGCAGAAGCAGCGGATCCTGTTCGCGATGTCCCTGGCCGCTCGTCAGTACCGCAATCTGGAGCCGCAACCTCACTCGCTGATCGCCCAAGCGAGACCAAATCCATCATGAGTGGAAGTTCCTCGTCCCAGCTCATCGATAATGATGAGAGAACTCTTTGTAGCAGACTAGTGAGATGATCGTATCAGCGCCGCTCTAGCAAAGGTGAACTGTCGCACTCACTCTCAGAATCGTGGCGGTCTCCAACATCTCCGCCATGAACGTGGAGACACCCTTCAATTGACTATCCCCGGCCCCGACTCGAGCCAGGACACAGTCAAAGACTGGGAGCTGAGCCTCATCTGCAGGTACGAAGCATCCGATCTGGGCCATAAGGGCGATGACTCCGATCTGTCGAATGTACGTGGATTTGCCGCCCATGTTCGGACCAGTCACAATGGCAAACTCGCTTTCATCTGGAATGTCAGCGGACCATCAGAATGTCTGCAAACCTTTTCGCATAATATGATCGTTGGAGATGAACTGGATATCATCCTGGACTTCCAGGCAGGGATGTCGAGCGCCGCGGACAATCAGGTCTCCCGTTCCTGCATTATATCAGATGGATTCTAGAAGATTGCACTCGCCCATCTCGGTCAGTCTCGGTCTAACGTAGGCCACTGGCGCGTTCGCCGAGACGTGTGCCAAGCTGGAGATTAGCCGCGAGCGGTCTACAAGTGGTGTTCTCACCTGACTGAGACATCGATCGAGGCAATGAGGTCGTCCAGCAGCTCCAGGACCGATGTATAGGTGGCTATTACGGCTCCCTCAGCGTTGAAAGTGAAGCTCAATTGCATCGCCTCACCCGCTATGCCAACCACCTGCACTACGAGATCCCTCTGGCGATGATTGTACTCCTTCTGAAGCTTGAAGTACTCGTCACTGAGATCTCGTAACGTCCTCGTTGTGAAAATGGACCCAGACTTTTGAGTCGAGAGATCGATATACTCCTTGTTGCCACGGATTTTCGCTTGCTCCTAATCACAGTCAGCAATAAAACGCTCATGACTCTGTTTAGACTGACAGCCTTTGTAATGCGGAACGAGTATCGATAGACTTGATGATTCTCAAGGTGCAGCTTTTTCGTAATGTCCAGATCTAGTGCCTGTCCAACTCTGGCATGCTCCTCATCGAGGCCATCTCGGACAATTATCAGCTTCTCCTTGACTCTTTGGAGATCAGCGTCAAGTTCGGCCCGAAGGACAATGTTGTGCCTGCTCATTTCTGCCAGGTCAATCGTCTCTTCGACCATCTCGAGATATTTGGCGAGGTTATCGATGTGTTCCTGTTGGGAAGGATCAGCTCAGAACATCAAACGCTGCGGAACCACCTACGGTCAGAGGCGCAAGATAGATCTCGTTGATCAATTCCTTGTTGCTCGGTTCGGATGGCGCGACTTCCTCCAGCAATCGCTTCAGTTTCGGAAGCTTACTCTCAGTGTCTGAATGTAAGGCGTATCTCACCTCTTGTACCGCTTGGTAGACACGAACGACATCTTGAAGGTCCGCAGCTTTCCGATGAAACTTCTTGCTCAGTCGATGCAAGTCTGGCATTGCTTTGAGGAAATCTTTCTGTCGACAAGCTCAGTACGGTTTTGCAACAGCCGTGTACTCACCTGGATCTGCTGACGGGTGAACGAGTCGTCGAAGAAGGTCTCAATCACGCCCTGACGCTTGTCTGCCCAATCAGTCGCAATTTCAGTTCTTGACTCACTGATCTCGTGCAGATTGATGAGTGGCTGCTTGAGCCATCGTCCGAGTAATCTCTTTCCCTGACTGGTATAGCACCGGTTCAGAAGACCATACAGACTCATGTTGGCGCTTCCGCCGAGCTCCTGCGGATTCGGCATCAGATTCAACGCTTTAAGAGCCGAGGCGTCGAGTTTCATGTATTGTGAGAGGTCATGGCGATGCAGGCGGAACTGGCCATGAAGGGTAGAGTCCGATGCGAGGGACAAGAATTTGGTCAAAGCTGCCATGGCTGACATTGCGTGTTTGAGATCGAACTCGGCTGTGTCGTCGTAAGAAAAGTTCTACACAGTGCAACGCACGCAAGGCAGCATCGCTGTGACTCTCATTGAGGAGTCGACGAAGATCTTGCTCTACAGAATCGGATTTGAAGTCGGCTGGATGGCAGATTCCGGTCAGATAGGAACGGCAGATAGGCAGGTGGTGCTGACCTGATTTGAGTTCAGTCACCATGATGCCACAACGTTCTACCAAAGTGCGCATTGTCGTCAGATCGTGGTCGGATCGCTTCTCATTCGTTTGAAGCACGCATTCTCGGATCCCAAGCTGGATGAGGAGGGACTGCGTAATGGTCAAGATGGAACTAGGTCAACTCGCTCACCTCGGTGTTGCCAAACGCTTCATCCTCTGCAAACTCTGCAACACCCAGTATCTTCTCTTGTACATCGGCAAAAGCGCATCCGACGGTCCTCTGACCGTCTTTGACATGTACACGTAGAGCCATACTGACAGCGTTGACTTCCAGATCCGTCTGATTGAACAGCATATCCTCGACCTGGCTGATATGTCCAGGACTAGCGCTCTTTGCGAGGATCCACCGGGCATGATTCTTCCTTCCTCCAGCACCGTTCTCAGGCTGATATATCTCCACTCGCATCTGCTTCGTCGTCAAGCATTCACGAAGAAAGATGGTGGTCAGGCTTTGTGAGATGCTGACAGACGGAAGGCCTCGAGCGGTCATGGCGGATGTGCTGGTGGACGAGGTGGCCTGTGGTGTTGATCCAGAGCCAAGGTACTTGATAACATTGTTTGTACGGTACACCTGCTGGGCGACGAGCAGCGCGTCGGAGCCATGGGCACTGTAGTAATCCTAGGGCCGTCAGGATGAGTCGGCTAAAGGATTCTCTTACTCCTCGATCGAACAGTCGAACCATTCCCTCGGGCTTCTGCGACCGAGTCAGAGAGCTATTCTGACACGAGTGACACCTCACCTGTGGCATGCTGTCGACAAACTTGCAAAACAGCCTTTCCGACTCCTTGTCTAGACGGGCCCGTCAACGAAATCAACTGAAGGCAGCAACGAGCAATACTTGCCCATCTCAAACTGCGGCTTTGGAGCCGCAGTGGATTCGTTCGAATACATCGGCTGGTCATATCAGCCTGGATCACAGTAGGGTGGCCATTGCAGCTCACCATGGTTTCGACAAGCTCTACGCCCAGTTGAATGTAGCATGTAGACCATCCGAAAAGTATCGCAGTTCGCGATTCAAGCGCGCCGACATGACGGCTCCGGTGATTCTCCCACGGTCGTCTCGCTGTGTGAAGTCACGTGCTGTACACCCTACTTTTGCTCGACATGTCCGATTTCGGAGACGCTAACGGTCCGAGCGGGCCGATCGCATTCCACATTCCGTCATGTTCTCGGTAGAATCAAAAGCTATATAATATGGCTTCGGAGCAAATGCTGGGCGCCTTCAGGCCAGGTCTTGAACGAGCTGTCAATCACCACTGATCTTCCCAACGCGCCATGGTCAGCCTTGGATCATTGACAGCAGGTGTGTCGCTGTTGCTGTGTCTCTTCAATGAGACGCTGGCAAACCAACAACACCCAACAAGATGGGCAAATGAACAGTACCTCGATTCCATAGGGGCGTCCTCGAACAACCTAGACCTATTTGAGTACGCCATGGACATCTTGGACTCTAATTTCGGCCTTCCATTCTTGTCAGTTCTCCGTGCAAGCAAGACTGTCGCTGAATTCACATGCCATTTCAGATTTCAAACACCCAAGCTGTCCAGCTGGTATGTAGTTGGGCTTCTTGCCCGAGCCCAAGGAAACGATGTGGAAGTTGCCAACAAGTTGATTGCCAACATTGTGACGCAGCAATATACTGATCCATCATTCATCGGCTACGGAACGTGAGTCGATTTTGAAAATTGCAACTTGGGCTGATCTCCACACCACAGATTCAAAGATGGCTATCTGAAGCCTTACGTCGATGTCTCAGACACCCTATGGCCTCCAAAGATTTACAACTCGTATGACCCGAATGTCAAGTGAGGCATCGATGCTCATTAAATGGGACCTGACTGAATTGATTCGTGCAGCCTCTTCGTCACCATTGCTGGAATCATCATCGACTCGCAGTTCTCGCACCTCCTGTGGGACTCGAATCTAGCGAATCTTCGAAAAGCAATGTACATTGCCACTGTCGGAGATGGGTATCGCGTGGGTGGTCTGGACGGGGACAATCTTTACCCGGACTACAGCAATGTAGGTATGAGAAAACCGCTCTTGCTGACCTCACGAGCCCTGGTACATGCGCTGCGTTTCAGCTGCTTACGTCGGTAACATGTGCGGCGACTCCAACATGACATACTGGGCAAATGTAGGCGATATTCAGAGCCCCGCTGATGATCCAGGAATGGGCGAAGGAAGGTATCGAGCTATTCAACATGACCAACACGTTGTCCGAGTTTAATGGCGGGACATATGCCGGTGTCACTCTTTTTGCTCTCAGTCTTGCCCAGTATTGCCCAACCAATAGTACAATCTATCAGCAGGCACCGAGGGTCATCACTAGTGTCTGGGACCAGCTAGGTATGTCGTACATATGGTGCCTGACTGATTCTTCAGCCGAGACTTATAATCCTTCTTTGACCACTTTGTCCGGACCGTGGGATAGGACTTATGGATTCGACTTGACTCAGTACTATGGCATAATCGGTTCTGGGATCACGGGCATCATCGGGATGAATGGAAGCTGTAGGCTGCGGACGCTGAAGTGTCGCTAATAAACAGATCCCATGCCGAACCCCCTGGACGGATCCAACCACTATACCGACATGGCCATCATCCCGATGCAAGTCGTCACTTCTGTCTACACCGAGTCTCTGATTCCCTCGCAAGCCAAGTCCCGCTTTGCGGCACTGTATGCGCCACACATGTATGATACTCAAGCCTTTTCCCCGCCCTGGGACAAGCGTCCTCGGAATTACACGTTTTGGGTCGATGACGGACTCTCAGTCGGAGGTATCGAATTCGACGAATCTGAGGTCGGAGGTCCCAGTATCAATCAAGGAAGTTTCAGCCCTGGAGTCATTCTGTGGGATGCAGGAAAAGGAGGAGCTGGCGCTGGGTGGATCTCCGTGAGTTGGCGCAGCGAGTTGTACGTGTTGATGGTTACCAGTACTGGCCGACATCTCCGTCCTGTTCGATCGTGGCAACCCCATCGAATCTGACCATTAGATACCCACCATCTCAGGACTGGCCCAATTCTACCGTGTCGACTGCCATCTCACTCCTCCTGTCTCCTCTACCGGATTGGCAACTTGGTACGGGGTCTTTCAATAACTCTGACCACTCGGCTTCGTTCCCCGGATTGAATGTCAGTCTCAGCGGTAATGCGGTCGACCAAGGTCAGAGAATCCTTGAATTCACTGGAGACGAGATCAATGGATTCAGGTACTATAATTTGACGTACGATTTCGCGGGCGGAGTCGGTAATGAGGTGCCAGAATTGGTGGTGGCGTTCACCAAGACCACTCCGCCACAGATCGATCTGTACGTTGAATGAGTCAGGACGAGTACGAGAGCAGCACACAGATCAGGAAATATAATGTGCATGAAGTCGTTCAGCTGTCTCGATCGTAAATGACGTGAAACAGTCTTCACTCAGCTGAAGCCATCCATCTCAGCCAAAGACCTTTAATGAATAAACAATTGATCTTTTTGCTGGAATCACCCGAAGGACATCTTGTCCGATTTTTCCGGGTCACTTTGCCGGCCGAAATCTGATCGACGGTCCTTTGCGATAATGTCAGCCATAATAAAATTGTAAATCAACCTGACATCAGCTCATGACCAAATGACGAATGAGGTCACGGAAAACTGACCCCTTCCTCTCAAATGACTATGACGATGCAGCCAAGCACAACATAAGTAGGTCATCAACAGGTCATCGACAGTTGACGGCCATCGGTGAGCGAGAGGGAAAAATGGTATATAAGCCTGGGACATCCCTCAGTGGGATCGATTCAGAGCTCTTACCTACATCTGGCCATTTGATCTCCCATTCTCCTCTGACCTGACCTATATTATGGTGTTCCTCACGCAAGCCATCGCCGTGCTCCTCGCGGCCAGCAAGGTCCAATTCGTCAGTGCTGCCCCAGCTCCGGTCCCAAGCGGAGGTGTCGGCGTCCGATCCAATGACACGCCACCCGTCTATGGTGTGATGAGTGATTGTGAGCTGGCTGGTACCGAATGAGTCTCGCCGCTGACACGATGCAGTCGACTACCAGTCATTCCTGCTCGCTCTCAACCAAGAGTGGATCGAGCTGTGAGTCATGACACACACCTTGAAGAGTCCCTGCTGAGATCATGTCAGCGACCTCTTCAATTATGGAAAGTCCCGCTTCAGTGCCGAAGAATTCGCTAGTGCTGGTCTCAACGCCGATGATGTGTCGTTGATCCAGTTCAAGGCCGATCAAGTGAATCTGGCTCTTGGTGTTTTGGTGTGGAGCTGACTTCGTCCAGGAAGTGGGCCACGCTGATCTTCTTTCCAACATTATCTCTATCGGAGGACGAACTCCAGCGGTACAATGCAAATACAAGTACGACTTCGACACGGTTCCAGACTTTGTCAACTTTTGTCAGCGTCTCACCCGATGGGGAGAAAGTGGAGTGTATGGTTTCTTGTCCCACCTGGACTCGAGACCCGCCGCTGCCCTCTTGACACAGTCGATCGCCACAGAGGCTAGACAGCAGATGGTCTTCAGGCAGTTTTCAGGAGCACACCCAATGCCCGTGTTCTTCGAGGTAAGCACTAAATTGAAGCTGTTGCAGGACTGAACCTTGTTCAGACTGGAATCTCGCAATCCATGGCGTGGTCCTTGTTAAGTCGATATCTCGTGGAATGTCCCGCGCAGAACCCAAAGATTGTGATTGCCACACAGCAACGCCTTAAGACTGACTGACGGTTACCAGGAATGGCAAATTTTCCCCTGGCTATCCGTCACCAACGAGTCCAACCTCTTGCAAGATGGGTACCTCGCTGCCATTACTCACAATCGCACTTCTCTCTCTGAACCTGGTCGCAACATCACGTTCAGATGGGACGATACAAACCAGACCGTCAGCTACAACAACTCGTATACTACTTCGATTGGAGGCGCCATCAACAGCTCCGCCCCCGCGTTCGTGGCGTTTGTCTCCCAGCTCAATGTGACCTACGCTCCTCTCACAGTCACGGGAAGTAACACTGGATACGCTGCTCAACCGGGTGGAGTCGTCTTCAACAATACTCTCGACCCCGTTATCAACGGCACTACGTTTGTGGCACTTACGGATGTGGACCTCTACGTGACGCCGTACAATCTGTCGCTGCTTAACGATCACATCTTTGCTTGGGGTCTGTACCAGGCTGACTAGTTGGATTTTTTAGAGCACGTGGTCCCGTGATATACAGTATAATGAACAATGTCGTGACATGCATGTAAGATGAAGACTGAGGAAAGCGATCGCGACGAGGGAGCAAGCCCAAATCCTCTCCCTCCTATTATCCTAGCATCTTTTCGCTCATATAGGTATACAGTACAGCGGTCATGGGGATGATATAACCTCAATATCACGCTGCTTCCACAAAGGTGTCAGTACATGAGACTCAACGCATGACCCGTTATTCCCATACATGATGTTGAGTAGATACGTGAATGGTGCCTGACATGTGTTACTGCAGCAGCGCACTGCCAACCGACTCTCGGACGCCTTTGATCGCCTACGCTTAATGGACAATCTCTTCCGAGTCTAGGGACACTTGAGTCTTGACGAACTTGCGTGTTGGGACTTTGTTCTCAAACACTAGACAAGCGTTAACCCAGCTTACAGCTGCACGAGCATCAGATGACTCACAGATGTCCAACTCTCGGAAAGTCCGTCCCTTCGTCTCGGGTAATCGGAAGAATGCCCAAATTCCAACTAGAAGACAGCTGACGCCCTGAGCAAAGCTGTCAGCAATGTGATTCAAGGTCCTGCGAAGATGACCCCACCCAGAAAAAGCCAGCGTATCCAATCCAGTTCCAGGCAAGGGGATTGGTCATGCTGAGGTTCGATCAGGATATAGATCATCAAACTACAGTGTCACTCACTATGGCGCAATGACACCCGCCACGATGGCCCATAGATTGTACGCGTTTCTGGCCAAACCGACGGTTTTTCCTCTTAGACGGGTCGATGGGATCTCAGCAGCCACAGAGTAAGCCACTGGTCCGATAGTCGAGTCGTATGCAAAGGTGAAGAGCATGCTGATGACCGCTTGAACCCATGGCGCGGCTTTGCTGCCTCGAAAGTTGGCGATCTGAGCGAAACCAGTAGAGAAGAGCAATGCCCCGAGAATACCGAGACCCCAGAGGAAGATCTTTCGTCGTCCCACAAACTAGCTCTGTTAGGCACTGTGCTGCTCAAAGCCTGACTCACGGTAATCACTGCCCAGGCCAGGAAAGTTCCGGCTATACCCATGGCAGATCCTCCGATACCGAAACCTTGATTTAATCAGTATGATTTCACTCTTATCAGTATGGCATAAAATCTCACTGAAAGACGTTGTGGTGCTCAATCCAGCCCTGAGCATGCAAGTCAGCACATCGTCTTCCCACTCGCATCGACGTACTGTTCGAAGAAATAGGATCCGCCTCCTCCAAACCACGTCCCACAAAGTACTTGAGCAGACCAGGCCATGCAAGCGATCTCTGTACGTCTGAGGTTGGTACCTTTAAAGCAGTCCAAGAATGAGGTTCCGGCGGAATGCTCGAGCTCAAGTTGATTGGTACGGACCATCAAGGATACAGCACGAGCCGGGTCGCTCCTGTCGGTCTTGCTTTGGAGTTTCTGAACCGCTTTCTCGGCCTCATCGAGCTTGCCTTGGCTGACGAGCCACCAAGGGGACTCGGGTGCGAAATGACTGGTGGCGAAAATAAGCCAAAGTCACGCGCGACCTTGAGAAAGAGACTCACGCAAGGAGGAATAAAGGAATAGGCCAAATCCACTGCACCGCGTATGGGATCTTGTAACTCCATTTGCTGTCGATAACAGAGGTTCCCCGGAGTACTCCAGATGCCATGAATTGACCGATGACCCAACAAAGATTGTTGTAGCTATACGTCACTTTCAGCGAGGAGGGAGCGTCTCCAGATCGGTCTACTCACGTCGTAAGGTATCCTCTGAGCTGCACAGGGGTAACTTCCGCAGAGTAAGACACGGCGGAACTGGAGAATCCACCGAATGGAATTCCTACCAGAAGTTTACCCACAAAGAAGACTTCAATCGTGTTGGCGAAGAAGATGATGAATTGGAAGGCAGTCAAAAGGATCAAGTTGAACTGGATACATCTTCGATATCCATAACGATCCTGGAACCAAGAGGCCAGAACGATACCGCCAATGGCGCTGAAACTCGAGCAGTAACCAATGGCAGATTGCCAAGCTGGAATGAGTTGATATCCGTCCTTCTCACCGGCCCAGATACCGAAATCTCTTCGGAACCATGGAAGACCAGTGACACCTTCCAAGGATGTGTCGAAACCCTAGAATGGTCACTGACTGCATGGTACTGTAAGCAAATGACTCACCTCCATGATCAGAGTCAGGGATATGGCGAATGACCAGAATACTGCTTTCGGGTACAGTTTGAATGCCTCTCGAACGGTCATAGACCGTTCCTCGACTTCCGCACCGATCGCTTCGTCGACCACATGCTTCCATGTCTCTACTGGAACATCCGCACCCTTCTCTATCTCTATCTGGACGTCCTGTAGGACGTCCTTGTCGTTCATGTTGGCCTCGATATCGTTGTGTGACATTTGAGGTTTGCGGGGGATCCTCAGGACAATTCAGAATATGCATCTGGGAGCCCTTATGACTTCGCCTCAAGTCTATATATGTTGACAAGGTTTCGGCATAATCATGAGGACACTACCAGATCTATGTCAATGTGAGATGGCCAGAATAAAAATTACCGTTTTGTGGAGCGGTACGCCGTTTCGCCTCTCTAGCGGGACCGCGATTCGTTCTGCCTAATTAGGGATCTTTGGGAGTACGTACTATTCGCTTGGGGCTCGGCGGAAATGAAAGATCTGAATTGCATGAAGTCAGTGGCAAGTCACAAACTGCAGGGTGGTCGCACCTCTTCGGCGTTGGAAGCGGTGGGGACCGGAGTTGGCGTCGATGAGGCGCATATAGGGTGCTCATTTGTGGCTTGATGAGGTGTACAGAATTTGGTGTCCGGTATCTCGCGACTGATCCCATTCTTTCGGATTCACCGTATGCTCGACGGAGTTTTCGCCGATGGGTCAGAGTCAGTTTCCTTGAGTACACTTGAAGGTCGCTCGCCTTGCTCGATCGGACTCAGGGACCAGCGAGAGGGAGCTCGTCCGACAACGGAGCCAGGACTGTGGACCTGGCGCTCGAGACTTTCGTATCGATAAGCCGAGCAGACAGGACGGGAATTCCGTTTCGTCCACGTGCGCCTGTCTTGACTGTAGAGACTGACGGCAGAGCGCGGAGTCCGGCGTCTCAGACACAGTCACGGTTTACGCTCCTTTAAGGAGAGTGATCTGGCACAAAATCTTAAATGACTGGTAGGCGGAACAGGTTATGCATCCAGTCCATAGTCACCCCCCTCACAATCGCTCTCGTCACACGAATGACGACCAATCTGTCCCCCAGACATACTTTTCCTGAGATCGCATGTCGTCGATGTCAACTCGGGCCACATAAGTCTCATCGAGCCGTCGTTAGCGATATTTGTGGCTGAGATAATACCATTGAGTGGCCATCGCACGTCGTATTGGAGAAATTCAGGCTCGAAGGTTCGACCACAATTCCATCACATTCTTGTCAGGAACCGACGTCCTGATAGCAAGGCACCTGGTACGAGCTTGGTAGAAGACTTCTTGGCGTACACTATGGTGCATACCCTTTAGTGCACGTCCATGAGACAGCTGGGCTTTGTGTGGATCAGTCGCCACCGATACACTGAATCACACGTCGGCGCATGAGACACATACATTGCACGTCAGAGAGACAAGACACTATAATCAGACCATGTCCACATCTCAAAGCGCCGCATCGCCTGTATCTGTCAATTGCCATCCAAGGTCTACCAATCCTCTGCCGACCCGTTCCAAAAAGGCATCGCGTCGAGCAGAAGGTTGCGGCAAGAAGTAGACGACAATGTTGCGTAAATTGTCCTGGGCATCTGCATGAGCAAAAGGGCCGATGAGAGCCTGTGAGACTCACCCTGACGTTATTCACAAATCCATCGCAGTCTGCCACAACTTCCGGTGTCAGTCCATCGTACCCATCCTTGTGATCCCTCTCAAATCGATCTCGAGATCGTTTCACTTGACTGGTGAGAATCACAGTCGGCCTTTGACCATCGTGGAATTTCGGCGGTCTCACGTCGTTCAGACCGCGCCCCAGAGCAGCTTCTTGATTTGAGGCGGACGGAGTAGACTCCTCGTCGGCAGCAGCAGCAGCAGCAGCTCGATAGGAAGATTCTCGACGCGCATAATCCTCCTGTATTGCGTGGAATTGAGCCTCGAAATCGTCAGCCCAGTTGTGACCGTTCTGAGAAGCTTCGTGAGACTTCATTGGACGCGAGGGCTGGCCGTTAGAGCCATATCGAGATGGGCAGTCGTGATCAGAAACGCCATTTGCTCGAGATCCGTTGCCATTCTGTCCCTTCCAGAATCGTCGGGCCTGATCGTCGTCGGGAGTCTGGTCTCCATGCCACTCGTGGCGATGCTCGGCCTCTCTCGGTGAATGGGTCTCGTCCCGGCCCCGTCTTGCCCGATTCTCCTCACGTTTCCGTTCGGCCGCTTCAATCAAAAACATGGCCTCTGCCCTGACATCACTTTCTGGCGGCGGAGGGTGAGCTTCACCCATTCCGGCGCGGGGTACACGGGGCAAGGGGGCATCGTCGGGTAATACGACGGCGGAGAGAATGGGAGTTGACACCCTTGACCGAGCTTCATTTCTAGCTTCTCTGGCGACACGAGCATCTTCTCTAGCTTGGGATGTTCCGACACGACCAGGCGAGATGGTTCGGACGCGGGATCGAGGTGTGGACGAGCTAGCGGATGGATAGGAGGAAGATTTAGGATGTTCAGCTGGTATGACGTGGGGTGGAATGGCGGTCGGTGGGAGTGGAGGTGAAGGCGCAGATTCGGGTAGGGAGACGGTCTGAGGGAGAGGCGATTTACTAGCTGTTGGCGTATCTATGCGTGCGGATGATCCACGTCTACGCTTTCTTAGAGGTGCATCCCTTGAAGTGGTCTTCTCCAAAGCTTGAGATGTGGCCAAAGGTGAAGTGACTGTGCTTTGTCGACTGGCACCCGCTGCAAGGGTCAATCGGTCAAAATGTTTCGAACGATGAGGAGGAAGAAGCGCGAAGTGCATCGTGTCGAGATCAGGGGATTCGACAGCATTGGATCGTGAAGATCGACGCGGGAGCATGTAGGATAGGTTTCGAAATGATGAAGTGGTGAAACAACAGAAAATGTTGAGTGACTTGATCTCTCGTGAGGCAGAAGCTGGACTCACATGATCTGGATCCGACGAACGGGCTCATACTCTTTGCCTTTCGCATCGTAGGATCTACAGCGGCTGATCCTTCTACAGGGAGTCTCAGCACGCACCCACTGGGGTTCCCGCTCACCTCCGGAGGTCGTATCCTGTGCTCCTGGTTCAGGGCTTTCTCCCCTTGGCCTGTATTCCAACACATTTCCAGCTTCATCCTCCACGACCAAAGCCCATCCTTTCCATCCAGGCCTCTTTTTCCGCTTCTTTGCGCCTGACACACTACCATTTGTACCCTCACCCACGTCTGCTGAAGCTCCTCGAGGGCGGTGATGAGGCGCGTGTTCATCGATGTCCTTCTCCGGCGAGGCTGGGTTCTCTCGATGACCCAGGAATTCCTTTGCTTCGCCTGGGCCGTCGAGAGTGCTGTGTAGTGTCGTGGCGTCGCTTTGGATGTCTATGGCATCGGAGGGCGTCGAAGGTCCAGCTGTCGATAGCTCATGATGAGAAGGCGGAGATGCGTGTGTCATGCGAAAAGGCAGACAGGAGATGACGTCGAACGGGGTGATCACAAAGATGCACTTCTATAGATCATGCAGGATAAGCGGGGGCAGAGGACGATATGGTAGGTAATGGAGATGGGCAGATAAGTCTGGATGTGGAATAGGTGAGGGCCGAACGAAAACGAGTCGTCTAGATGGGCAATGTTACTGGATCAGTTCAATCTTTGGCGCGTCGAAGCAAAGTGGAAGCTCTCGGAAAATCTGGGGGCGGCGGAACACGGTGTGCAAAGGTAGATGGGGCTGCATCAACTACTCGTGGATTGATTTTCTGCACACATGCATGTATACAAAGAGCGTGAGCTGCCATTGGTAAGGCAGATGGATCAAACAGATCCCTATTATACGAAATAATGTCCACAGTCACCGTCTTTCTATCGTCGGATGGAGTCGTATCTACAACATCAGCATCTACCTCGGACAGCTTTGAACTCACGTGGGTGGGATCTCCGATGCCGCACCTCCATCTTCGTGAACTGTGACAGGTCCACCGCTTCCGGGGCTCCCTGGTTCGCCCTCCATAGCGCCAGAGCTACTCGGTGCTCCGGGTTGGTGGTTGTATCCGCCAGAGTATCCACCTTGATTGGCAACTCGAAGGCGTTGTTGTTCATGATACGCCTCGCGTTGCTTGGACGACATGGCTCCTCCGGCCGCAGCACCTGCGCCTGCGCCTGCGGCTGCGCCGTAGCCCGCAGCCTCGGCACCAGCCGGTATGGTTGGCATAGGCGGTGGGCTGCCAGACATGCCATGAGGATATCCACCGGCACCTCGACCTGCGAATCCGGCGGACGATGTGGCGCTCGAAGGGTTTCGTGTAGGTAGATTTTGATCGTTGTAACCATAGTTGCCATCTGATGTGGCTGATCGGGCATATTGAGTCATCTCAGGTGACTGAGCGGTCGAGGCAACGCCAGGAGCGACGTAGGGGCTGACAGAATTATCTGCGAGGTCGATTGCGCCGTGGTTCTGTGCTCGACTTGGATCAAACTAAATGTGTCAGCAGGGCATATACTGAACCGACCCACCATCATGTCATCGAATTCTGCCCTGTGCGACTTGCGTCGCCTGCGGATGAGGAACCACGCGAGAGCGGCCAAGATGACCAATGCAGCGACACCCCCGACTACACCGCCAACAATGGCGCCTGTGTTAGTCCCTCCACCACCTCCGCTGCTTGAGTCATTCGAAATACCAGTGCTCACGGCAGTGCCGGTGACGACACTTCCATTTGCTTGAGTCGAAGTGTAGGTGATGGTTTTCGTTTCAACCTGAGCTGAGGAGCTGCTCGACGAGGTCGTTGATGTGGCTGAAGAGCCTGATGATGTGGTCGAACTGCTCGTACTAGATGACGCGGCATTGGAGGATGTAGTCGAGGTAGACGACGATGAGGCTGCGGTCGAAGTGGATGACTGGGCTGTGCTGCTGCTGCTGGATGCAGTAGTACTGGAAGACTCTACGGCGGAAGAAGAAGAGGTCGTCGTCGGAGAGGACGAACTTGATTGAGCTGATGAAGATGAAGCTGGAGCAGATGAGGACGAAGACGAGGAGGGGGACGCAGAGGAGGAGGATGCGGATGAGGAGGATGAAGAGGTCACGTCAGCCATGGTCGATGAATGGAATGAAGGATGAGGGATGGTGGATGGATGGGATGGGGTAGTTGGAATAGATAGTCAAATTTGATGGTACCCTCGGGTTTGTTTTTCTCGGCGGCGCGGGAGCTGAAAATTGAATACGGGGGCAGTGTGTGTGAATTCAAGGGCAGTGTCACGCAAGGCGATGTAACAAGACGCTTACTCACACATTGTGATACTATCTTTCTCTATAAGTCGCTGTCCCAGCGACAATCTTTTTACGAGGCGATGGATCGTGTACTCAGTCTAGTGATCAAAGGAGAGTTGAAAGATAAAAGGAAAGTCTTGAGTGGGTCTTGAGACCAGGCTGGTAGTGTATCCATTTGTGGAATGCCCATCATATACTCTCGCTCCACTATTTTTTCGGATTTTTTTTTTTGGCCACCCCACAGTTTTTTTCGATGCTGCGGGTATAGAGCCTGGCCAACGAGACGTAGCATCATGGCGACAAGGATCGTCTACATCATTCGGCAGAAGTATGCCCCGGTCTCAGTCTCAGCTCCTCAAGGGGTGAGGGGGTGAACGAAAGGGCGACGAGGAACGGGCTGTGCAGGGGATAATCCCTTCACATGATCGAGGACAGAACCCGATCAGCAATTCGCCAGACGTCAGTCTGCTTATTCAGAGTGGAGGAAGGCATTTGAGCGTCTGAACAGTACAGATACGAGTCCCGCTCAGAAGGACCATCTTATCCAGAATCTTAGAGTGTAGCGCTTCCAAGGCTGGACTTTCAATATATGAAGGTGCAGAATTACCATACCTGTAGCGAGCAAATGCCCTCGCTGGATGACACTGACACCGCACGCGAGGCGCGTTGACAGAGACCCCCCGATTTTGACGATCCCCACCGACGTCGTCCAGTCGAAGATGACCAGCTCTGCCAGCTACTTGATAGCCTCCTTTCGGACTGTCCCTTTCGACTCGATGAGCCGACAGACACGCTGAGAAACCTTCTAGACACGGAAGACAGAAGGCAAAAGAAAAAGGTCGACACGACGGCGATGTCGTGACTTTGATGAAAGCGGTGGGATTCGAACCCACGCCCGAAGATTAGCGATCAGAAGGACCTGAAGCTAACGCCTTAACCGCTCGGCCACACTTCCCTAAGTAAGTTGTGTTTTGATCAAGGTTGATCAATGGCTGAATTCAGGACGTCACGGTGTCACACCATGCACCATTCGATGTCAGGTGTGGGTGAATATTTCGGGTCTGCTGGAAGCGATGACTCGTTCTTTTCTTGACATTCGACTTTCTCAAAATTCGCGCAGCATTGTTCACCGGGACCAGCTCTACTTACTCTTCTGCATCTAGCCTTATCTCTGCCAGCTTAAAGCCACGGAGGTGTGCACGATGGGAAAAGTTCCTGACGTCCAGCCCGCTATGTCCCTCGAGATACGGTGGCCCGGTGGGAGCCAAGGACGAAAGGGGACCGACCCTTTTAGCACACTTTCGAGTCCCTTCTGCCTAGACAGTTCAAGAGTGACTCAGATAGACAAATCACCAGCTTTTCTTCACGGTGCTCTGCCAGACCTAGATATTCAGTTTGAATGCACATCGGAGGTCAGTTGCGGCTTCACCAATGAACGATAAGTCTTGTGAGAAGGGATTTTCTGAGAACTTCGGGCGGAATCGCGTCTAAATCGCAACCTTATGTATGTATGATACATTGCCTGGGTCGAATATCATCATCTTGTCTCATAAAGACGATAAGCATTCGATCGTCGCCAGCACCTTTAGCCTCCTGAGTGTGCTGAGCGAGGATGACCTCGCAAACAACTCATGCAAAGGCTCCTGCAAATGCTGAACGAGCCTCACCGGGATCGCTCCTGAACGGATATCCGAGAGCCAGATCCTATTTCTTCTCGCTTGGACCAAAGCTCCATTACGATGTATGACTTTTGATCACGGTGCGGAGACTGATCCCGTTGCTGCGGCGCGTGTCCTCAGGATCCCTGCTTACTTCCACTCAAACGATCCTGCACACCATGACCGCGTCCTTGCCCAATGTCTCCGTATGTACCGTCTGCAGCTCGGGCATGGAATCTCCTTGACCTTCAGGTATCACACCTACCCCCTTACCGATGAACATTGGAGCGACGGTGATGACTACATTGTCGACCAAAGGCGTTCCGTCAGATCTGGACGGGGCATGGAGAAAGGACGAGAGGATAGCGGATCCGCCTTCGATCATGACGGAGGAGAGATTCAGTCGGGTCAAGATGTCAGGAAGGTCGTTGGGGTTGATCCGGCCTGAGACCATTGTTAGCTTTAGAAGGGTTTTGTGCTACGCTCACCATGTGACAATGGGACAGGTACCACTCTTGCACCCGCGTCCGCCATCTCTTTCTGTCTCGCCGACGCTACATGGTCTCCACATAGGATCCATGGCTGTCGTACTCTCCTGCTCCTGCCTTGAGAATCACGCCAAGCCGCGAGAATCCGGGCCGTAGTCGGGAATCTGAGCTGTGGATCGAGGATCAGAGGTTGAGGTGAGGACAACGACGGATCATCAGGTAAGAGATTGACTGGGTCGTCAGGGTCATTCAGAAAGCACCAGGGCTCACTTTGTAATCGCGGATCGTCAAGTAAGAGCGTGTTGATCCCGACCAATATGGAATCGTGCCTCGATCTCATCCTGCAGTCAGCAATAGGTGCCTCACTGGCTCACCAATGAGTCATGAGCATACTCTCCGGGCCGCTCAGAATTACTCTCTTGCCTCCCTCTCCGGCAATCTTCGCATCGAGTGATTGAGCCCATGTCAAAGTGACATACGGACGGGACGACTCGCCCCGAGGGGAAATCAGGTCAAGTATGGCCGGAGGAGATACCATTCGGTGAGGATTGTGCAAGGTCAAAACGGACATTTGGCCCGAAATACGCCGCGTATGAGCCGCGCCCGAAAATACCGTCGCAGAAAGGCCACAACGCAGACAGATACATCAGATCTCAAAGCCAAAGATGTATTATGCAGATCCCAATCGTCATCATGTTAAGGCCGAAACAATCCCTATCGTCACCTCTGTCTACCCTCAGACCTGCGGCAACGGCCTCGACTGTGGCTGGAGTCAGCGCCGCCTCGTCTCCTAAACACTGTTCACTCACCCCGGGGACCGCTGGAGGAGGTGGAACAGCACCACCACTCAGGTTTTAAAACGCCGGCGCAGTGACCCCCGCAGGGTTTGGCAAAGGTCGATTGGGCAGCCCGACAGCAGGTCCACCCATCGGCATGAAAGTGCTCCATGCAGGAACTCCACCAGCAGGGTTCTTGTTCTTGGTATCTCCTACCCCAGGTGGCGCAGGCGGCTTATCCTAGAGGTCAGTGAGATCATTTGCTATACTCACCTTTTGCTGCTTGCTCGCTTGAGGGTTCTTTGGCGGCGCCACGGGGTACGGGAGGATGGCCATCAGATCGCTGCAAGTCAGTGATGCTACATTCCCGACTCACCCAGCCGACTGGCGTCCCTTCATCAACAACAAGTCTGCAATCTCCCTGCCACGTCAGTTCAACCTCAGCTCTCTGTACACACATGTACAACGCCCTTCTCGACTCGCGCAGATCTCCGACCTCTTTTAGCAGCACCCGGACCTCGCCCTGCAAGTCAGTGATGGTAGACTTTCACGCTTACCGAAAGAGCCTTCGAGAAATCGTCCAGATATCCCGCCAGATTGAATCCGACCTGCTCCCGGGCTTGCTTCTTCGCCTCGGCCTGGGTCAGACCATGCTGATTCGAGTTCTGCTCCATAATCTCCGCTGCCAGCTTGCGGAGGAACTGAGCTTGACCGTCTCCTTGGCTCCTGATTGTCAGACTTGCCCTGGTCTACCACCCACTTGAGAGCGTCCAAGATGGCCTGAATACCAGGCTTCTTGTCATCAGCCGTTTTCTGCTTCTTTGCCTCGTCACTTCCTGCAACCAATCTGTCGAGAGCGTCTTGGACCTTTTTATCTCTCGCATTCTTCTCGGTTCGTCGCTTGTCACTAGATTTGGTACGGTCTTCGTCTGCGGTACGCCACATCTTTTGGTCGGCAGCAAGAGCATCCTGACGTAAGCCGAGTCAGATCTTCTGCTCACCAAGACACGCTTGAGATCTGCGAGGGCTTGTGCATTCTGCAGGTGCCTCTCCTCTGCCATCTTTGCCTTGGCAGCTTTGGCATCGTCCATTTGCTTACGTTCGGCAGCCTCGGAAGCTGGTCATCAGCGTGATTGCAACATTTCCACTCACCTGCAGTCTCGGCTGCAGCTTTTTGTTTCGCTGGACATCAGCGCCGTCACTCGTTGCTCCGCTCACTTGCCAACTTTCTTGCGTCTTCCAGCTCCTCTTCAGGACCAAGAGCGGCTTTGCCCTTCTTCAGCTTGCCAGGAACTCTCGGCGCCTCGTCGTCACCCGTAGGTAAGGGAATCGCCTCGGGGACTGGCGCTGTCTTCTTCGTCATCGAGGCAGGTTTCGCGTGATCCATAGGTCCAGGTCCAGGCGAATCGGATTGATGGACACAGTGATACAGTGGTCGACCCATACCGTCCCGAGGAGCTGAAGGACAGCACATGGGGCAGTGCATCTTGCCGATATCATGAATAGCGTCGTCCGACACTACAGCTCCAGTCTTGTCGGGCTTGCCCTTCGTCAACTTGCCTTTGCCTGGAGCTGTCTCTTCATTGCGAAGAACGTAGGCCTTGCGACCATCGGGAAGCGTCACTTCGTCCATAAGAGGTGCAGTGGGAGAAGTTCCAGGGGCCGCGTGTGAACCACCGTTCAGAGACGCTGGCAGACCACTTGGACCAGATGCCGCTGGCGCAGGAGCACCGCCCGGGCCAGGTGGGAGGATGGTCGATCCAGGGGGCGCTGCCACATAGCCTTGAGGGATGTTCGCCATATGATGATCCTCCTTCACCTGCTTGCGTTTCTCGGCAGCGTCCTCCTTTGCCTGCTTCTTAGCCTCATCTGCCGCTTTTTTCTGCTCCTTCTTCTCTTCCTTATCCTTCTTCTTCTCCTCTTCGTGAGCACGATGTTCACCAAATTCGGCGCCTGCAATAGCAGCTGGCACCGCAACTTCTGCGGCGTGCAGCAGGCGTTCTATCAAGTTAGATTGATCTAGCACCGGACTCACCTCCCCAGCCTTCCTCCTTGCCACCTTCATCCTTTTCCAGCTTCTCTTTCTCCTTCTTGCTGAGTTTATTTCTGCCAGAGCTCTCAGCAGGGACAGGGGCGACAACAACAGGCGGAACACCGTCACCAGCGGGTAGAGTGTTTGCAACACCTTGAGGAGTTCCTACAGGTAGAGTGTTCGCCGCCCCCTGGGGTGTGCCAGCAACGGATGGCAAATTTGCCACACCCTGCGGCGGAAGCGCAGTACCAGCGGGGTTCGCAGCGTTTGGCACATTTGCATAGGTCGTAGCGCCACTTTCCAGTCAGCGTGGATTCCCAAAGATGTGCTTACGGCTCATTTGGCGGCCGCTCTTGAAGTCTTGGGTCCCAGTGTATTTTGCCAGCCTTGCCATTTTTGGACGGCGTCCCTGCATTAGCCGGAGCGGACATGCTGGCAGGTTGAGCAGGCGTGCCGCCAGAAGGAGCGTCACCAAGAGTTTGAGTCGGCGGGACGTTGGCTGCTCCTCCAGGCGGTGCCGTTTCAGCGGCAGGAGGCACGTTTGCAGCACCACCAGGTGCTGTCGGGACATTGGCTTGAGTCGTCGCTGGCGTGTTGTGCGTATGTTTCGCCGGGTTCGTATCCCATACTGGCTTCTCCGTCTTGGCTTTACCAGCTGGTCTCTGAGTCGTCGCGACAGTCTGATGGCTCGTATCCATTGCTGGCTGCGCTGGAATCGCCATTTCGTCTTCCATCGTCGACTGCTGACGCGGTGCACTCGGGACGTTGCCGTAGGACCTGACTTGATGATCCGAGTGATGCTCGCTTGGAGCCGTAGGAACATTCATGACGGTCTCGGGTCCAGTAGCAGTACCAGGGTCGCCAAGGGATTGAACAGGAGGAGCAGTAACGCGAGTGCCATCCGGAGTAACATAGGTGCGAGAAGTAGTATGTGTATGAACAGGTGGTTGACCATCGGCTCGATGGATTATCTGCTGTCAGCGCAAAAAGCAACCAAGCACTCACCTCTTCAGTCTCTTCTCGGATCATCTGCGATCCAGGGGGAACGTTGCCTTCTTCTCGAATAGGTGACATCTCATGCGGGGAAAGAGACAAGGGTTTCGGCATGGACACGGGCTTGCCAGTGCGAGGATTGATTCGCACTGTTGCAGGCGCACCATCAATAGGACCAGTGACCGCTTCACCCTCCCATGTAGTTGCCGGAACATTTGCTAACTCCTCCTCGTGATGATGCCGTTCTACATGTCAGTTCGGGAATGAAATTTCACTCACTTGTAGGCAAGGGTGTTGCTTGAGCGCGCGTTGAGGCACCATCCACATCACCCGTCTGGGCAAGCAATCGATTGACTGGCGTCAGCGGTGTCTTTCTGTTAAACTCACTCTTATCCTCCAGCGAGGCCAGCTTCCTATCCTGCTCAAAGTCTTTCGTCGTCTCCGCCGGGATCATCGGGAGACCCTTTTCGTCCACCGGCGGAGCGCCCTTGATACCATCGACAATTTTGCCATCCGCCGTGACAGTCCCGTCAGGCATGACTTTACCTTTGACGTGCGGGGCAGAGGGAGGAGTGATGACAGGTGCGACGCCTGGCGTCGGTGCGCCTCGGATGCCATCAACCACGGACCCGTCTTGAAGAATGACCCGTCCATCAGGCAAGACATGACCCAATACATGCTTCGGCTTGAGCTCGTCGCGCAGTCTGGCGATATCACCGAGGATATCTGCCAGTTCCTGCTTGTGACCTCGACGAGCATCCTCGATTTGATCCGACATACCATGGAGGTATCGGGACATGCTGTTTTGCTGATCACCTTGGGCATGAAGTGCCTGACGGATGCTATCATCCTGAACATGAGCAAAGCTCAAGCGGAATATCTCACCTCTTCTTCATCCTCACCCTCTGCTGGGGCAATGTATGGAGTCACACCCACAGCCTCGCCGGGGGTGGTGACTGCAGGAGTAATAGGCGTCATGAGTTGCTCGGTCGTTGAAGGTGTCGTCTCTTCTGACGTGGTGTTACCCACACCTGTATCCGGAGTGACACGCCGCCTTGGCCCGGGAGGAATACCCGCTTCATATCTTGATGCTGCAGGCCATCCATATCCACCAGTATTAGGGACACCAGGAGGGAACATGCCAGGTTGTCGAAGATGAGGGTTGACATTGGGTCCAAGAGGTCCTCCGAATCCGTTCAGTCCAGGTCGCAGGCCAGGCATGAACGGACCCATCCCCGGTCCGGGGAAGCCCATAGGACCAGGGAACATGCCCGGAGAAAAGCCCATTGGTCCTGGAGGCGGGAATCCACGTCGGAAGTATGTAGTCGATATCGGATCTCTGACTCCAGCGATACGGGGGAGGGACGGTCGTGGCATTTCTGCCATACCAGGTGGAGGAGGAGGTGGCATGCCACCTGCAGGATAAGGCGGGCGCATGGGAGGTTGACCCATCTGCGGGTACCTTGATTCTGATTGTACAGGTGTTGGAAGGTCGACTGGTTGAGGAGGTGGCAAAGGGCGCGTCGGTTGTCGGTCATCCTCATAGTCGTCCGAGTACTCGGATGGCTCTTGCTCATACTCTTGGGGTCGATAAGGAATAGGCGTATGATCCCGCTCAGATTCTGGCGATGGCTCTAGAAGTGGCTCCGTACGTATGGACTCTTCATAAGGCTCGTCATCATGATCTTGCCGACGTCGGGGAAGTCGAGCGGCAATGTTAGGCGGTATCGTCGATTTCTCAATGCGATACTCATCGGGAGGTGAGTCCGGTGGGAGATACTCCATGGCGATCCGTTCTGCCTCCGAGTCAAAGTCGGCATCTCCCAGCGGTCCATCGAGAAGAGATGCAGGGACACCCGACCATCTTTTCTTCCGCTGATAACTTTCAGTGATCGAGTTTGCAGGCGTCTTTGCTTTCACCCAGTCATCAGAATATATTCCATCGGTCCCTTCGTACATGGATTCTTCCTCTTTCAGAGTGGCCGGCTCTCGCGGCCTGTATTCGGGCTCCAGCGGTCGATCATAGTCACTGAGGAATTCGCTGTCGCCAAGCCGCAGCAATGCACGTCGCAACAGATCCTCAATTCTACGCATCCCAGGACCACGATCGGAAATGTCCAGCTCAATGGACCTGCTGCGAGCAACCTCACTTGCGAGATCGTTCGTCTTGCCGATAAGCGTTCCGATCAAATGTCGCATGTCGTCAAACTGTTGGGCGAATGCGTCAGGAGGCGGTGTCACGGGTCGCATGGTCGAGGCTGAAGACACGGACGATGGCGAACCTGGCGGAGAGTCATCTTTCGAAGGTACAGGTGGGGCTTGGTCCCGTGCTCCAGGGATTTGCTCGGTCAATTGACTCATCTTCGTTTCGATACGGTCGAGCTGAATCGAGATCTTTGTCTGCTGACCCTGCCGCGCCTCATCTTGACCTTGGATATAATTCTGCACGTCAGATAGGTCACACTGAAATCACGCACAAGGAAGCGATTGACGTCTTGATTTGGGGTGCGGCTTTCCGAACTTTGGTTCGTATCATAAGACGACCATCCGCTTGAGTTGGGCATAGAGGGCGATGGCGGGGGCACAGGCTTGCGCCTAGACGAAGCAGCGACTGTCGAGGCCGACGATATGCTAGACGCATCCTTCAACGGGCTTCGTGTCAGTTTCCGTGCCAATCCTTTCGCTCACTGTTGTGTCTGAACAGCCGAGTACATGTATGTCTGAGTGGGCCAAGTCGGAGCGGTTGTATACATGGTTTCTCGAGCAGTGTCGAACAGAGTGTTCTCCACCGCCGTGCCAAATGGTGTCTTCCCAGATCTGATGCTACTCTTGCGTCCCTTTCTTGACGCGGATGTATTCCACACGCTGCCTGCGGATGATTGTCGCTCCAAGTCAGCCAAGAGACCGATATCGGTGTTTGGTTCAGAGATATGTGTCGCAGAATCAGACTGTTCTTGAGTGTCGGAGGCGAACGAAAACGTAAACCCGTGAGCGTACTGAGGAGCAGATTGGCGCGTAAAGCCAGACTGGTGTGTGGAACCCGAAGAATCGGTCCCACTCTGAGCAGTGTGCCACGTTGTCCGGGACTCCTGAGCCAGGTGAGAGCCAACAGGCGGGTCATGAAGCTGGTAGCGAGTGACCTGGACAGGCAATCGCTCGCTGGAAGCCAAAGATGCTGTACTGTAATGCGAGTCATGGGAGGGTACAGGCGGCGGAGCCGTCTCATAGCTCGAAATGGTCTCCCGAGATGCTTCAGCCGTCGAATACAACTCGGTACCCCCAGCGTAAACTGTTTCCTGGGCCGTCGAGAATGGCTCTGACAGTCGACTTGTGAGAATCGCTGTGGCAGTCTGGTAAACGCCGGATTCTGATGTCTGTGAAGGCATATGTGCAGTGTCGTAGACGGATGTTGGCGGTCGAGCCGTGAAATCTGACTGAGGACTGAAGAACCGAGAAGCGTCGCTGGCAGGCCCCATCCGGACCGTCTGAGCGTTGACGCTAGGGGAAGCCAGAGGTGGAGGCGCGATACCACCGGCAAAGGTGAAATCTCTGTTTGCAGAGGTGCGTCGGGCAGCATCAACGGTGAGAGGAGGACAGATATGATCCGATTCGGAAGGGACAAGATCATGAACTACACCAGCGCTTTCAGAGATATCCGCTTCGGATGCCACACGTCTCAGGGATCGAGCTCGTTCGATGCTTCCCGGAGCGAGTCGACGAGATCCTCGATGAGCGAGTGGGGCCGCCATTCCCGCCGAAGTGGTGATAACGGCGTCGTCAGTGGTATACAGTGGCTGATAAGGCGATACCGGGGAAGGTGAAGGGGCCATGTAGCGCGTGGAAGATGATCCGCCACCGGCAGACGAAAGGAGAGACATTGGCCTTGAACGAATCGAAGGAGCAGCAGACGATGCTGGAGCTGCTCGTGTCCTCTCAAGAACACTCCAGATTGCATTCACCCAGCGGACTGGACGTCAGTCAAGTTCGGGCCTGTTTACTCACCTCGATCTCTTGCACTATCACAGCCGAGCCTTTCTGTGCCGTCATCGTAGACCTGTGAGAGAGTCAATCAGTGCGTCGGAAGTCCAGCGCACCAATTTGAAAGGATACAGATGTTCCGCAAGCGCCCCCTGCCTTCTCGCGGCGATAGCACCGATATCATCCCCCGCCATCGGGTTGTTAGGGCTATAAGTCGATGCGACCTCTGATTGGTCAGCTTGGCTGGAGAGTTTGCTCACCTTCGCAGTATTCCAAGTCAAGGACGACAACAGCCTGTTGAGCCTCCGCTGTGCGCCACACCAGCTGCAGCCCTTCTGGGAACAGTCGCGCATCTGTCTGTACCCATACAAAATTCGGAGCTAGGTTCGTATCGTGAACGTTGAGATACCACAGCGAGCCAGTCCGCAGCGGCTAGGATGTCAGAAGAGTTTAACGGAAGACTCACTTGACCTGTCAGGGTTCTAGATTCGCTCGAGCGAGCACTTGGTGTCACTGACTGCAGCGAGGGCGTTCGAGGCGACAGGCTAGGCATCAACGGAGCAGTTGACGTGGACAAGGGACTAGTTGGGGGGATTTGTACCGCTTCCTCGTCGCCGTGCTCAGCAAGGACATTCTGTTCCTGATCGTGTCGTCTCCGTCTGCGGATGGATACGTTCCAGGCTCTATCACGTCCGAAGAGCCGGGGCGTCTCACCGCCTTGTCCGGGAGATCCGATGACCCGTTGAGTTGGAGAACCTGCTCTGGCTCGCCACGAAGCGATCATTGTCCTGACCTGGGAGAGGGGCGAAGCAGATTTGGGAGGGGTCTTGGGTGCTGTGGAGAAGATTGATTCAGCTGTAGGCCGGTAAGAGCTGGGCGCGGGCTCTTGCCGAGGAATGCCCCCCGACGCTCTCGCCATAGCAGTGGTTCTAGATACCAGCGCGGGGGCAAAGGAAGGCTGCGAAATTGGATCGGCTCGAGCTTCGAACATCTTAATCAGCTCGCTAGCCTTAGTTGGCGATGCGGTTTGAGTGCTTCGTGGACCTTTGACCGGACTTGGCGGCAGAGGAAATCGGCGTGCGATCGATGTGGCCGAGAGAGCGGATGCTGCATGACTGTCAGAGGGTGATGGGCTTCGACTCTCCGCTCCTGAGAGAGGTTCAGTGCGTTCAGAGACAGCTTCCAGAGGTATGAAGGCGAGGCCGGGCGACGATCCCTCGGATGGCGAAGCAGGCGGTCGAATGGGTCTAGACGGCTTCGACTGAGGTGGAGTAGGATAGGAAAACTCGAGGTTGGGTTGACCTGCGAGAGCATCGAATTGACTGAAGACCCCTTCGTACGCAGCGTCAATTGTCGACTGATCCTCCGACGCTGGTGGACTGGTTTTGAGCGGAGTAGGACGAAGCGGGGAAGTCCCGATATAAGCGTCTGGGGCGTGAGCTTGAATGTTGCTCATGGTAGGCTCACCTTGCTCGACTCGGGGACGTGGCAAGATGCCTTGAGTTTCCGTCATGTCTTGACCGAATAGTCGAGCACGCGCAGGAGGCGACGGTAGAGGGCTCAAGCGCCCCTCACTAGGCGAAGCAGGCGTCGGGACATCAATACGACTGGACCCACCTGGACGTAATGGTGAAGGAGATGTTGTCGTGATTTCCGGGATTGACATTCTTGATGATGCCAGCGGTGTAGCATAAGCTTCATCTCCAGCGCTTGTCGCCTCGCCAGGCCGCCATCCTGGAAATCCTCGCCCCGAGTCTGATTCGAACGAGGAGAGGAGAGCCGCGAACTCTGGATGAGGTGATGATGATGATGCTCGTTGTGGACGAGGCGAGAGCGGAGGGGGGGTAGACGACATGGATGAAGGAGTGATTGCTATTCAGTCATGCTGATGAGTGAGAATGCAAGAGGCAAGAATCAGTAACGATTGAACACGGGTCAGCATTGCGATTGTGAGCGTTGTTGACACTCCAGATGGCCCTGGCAGGGACACGGACATCCTTTGGCATTTTTAGTGTGTATCGTTGTAGTAGGTGGGTGTCGTTCAACGCGTCGCGGGCACCATCTCGGGCGGCAAGGTACATTGAGTATGTCTAGCTGAACAGGTCTTTACGCATCATGATACAGCTGTTCAAATGAGAGGTACGAGCGGCGAAGGTCGAGTTTCAATCGGCGCGGGGGCAAGGCCAACTATCAATTGCAAGCTTGTCAAGCTACTCGAGCGGATCCGCGCCATCGCGTTGACTGCACGTGGCGAATCAGTATGCCTCTCAGATTCATGCCTCTGCTCATGAAGATCGAGTCATTGATGCGGGCAGAAGTGTCCATGTCATAACAGACTATTAGAACAAAGTATTGTATGTATTACAGAGTGTATAGAGTAGAAGAAAAAGGTTGCTGGAATGCAATGAAGACGAGCGAAAATGCAAGGTGTGTAAAAGAGTCCCCCCGCAGTGATCCCCTGTATAGAAAGAACAAGGGTTTTTTTTTGGGATCACTGGTTTACTGGCCAATGTGGGATCAATCCGATCTATTTTGTGTTGACTCCAGAGGCTTTGTAAGATGGGTTGTTGAGGATCTGGCTGACCTCATCGGCAATGGCCAAGACCTGAACACCGTTGGCAATGTTTCCGTTCAAGGCATCAAGTCCATCAAGCAGACGCTTGGTGTTGATTCCAGAGGCTTGCATGTGAGGGTTGTTCATGGCGTTTGTGATCTCATCGGCAATGTCGAGGACCTGGACACCGTTCGCAATGTCACCATTCAAGGCTGTGAGACCGTCTACAAGTCGCTTGGTGTTGTAGCCAGAAAATTGGGCATGGGGGTTGTTGAAAGCTCCAGTAATCTGGTCAGCGATATCCAAGACCTGGACACCGTTGGCAATGTCTCCGTTGAGCGCGGTCAATCCGTCGACGAGTCGCTTGGTGTTGAGCTTGGAGGAAGACGCAAAAGGGTTGTTGAACGCTCCAGTGATTTGGTCGGCGATATCGAGGACCTGGACCCCGTTGGCAATGTCACCATTCAATCCCGTCAAGTCGTCGACGAGTCGCTTGGTGTTGACACCTGAAGCCTTTCCAAAGGGGTTGTTGAAGGCTCCGGTGATCTGATCCGCGATATCGAGGACCTGGACCCCGTTGGCAATGTCGCCGTTGAGTCCAGTCAAGTCGTCGACGAGTCTCTTGGTGTTGACACCCGACGCCTGAGCGTGAGGGTTGTTCAAAGCTTGGCTGATCTCGTTGGCAATGGCAATGACTTGGACGCCATTGGCGATGTCACCGTTGAGAGCAGTGACTCCATCGACGAGTCGCTTGGTGTTGATACCAGAGACCTGGGCGTGAGGGTTGCTCAAAGCCTGGGAGATCTCGTTGGCAATGGTCAAGACTTGAACACCGTTGGCAATGTCTCCATTTCCAAGACTAGCATCATCTGCCAAGGGCGATCGCTTGGTGTTGACGTTGGACATCTTGGCGGAAGGGTTGTTGAGAGCATTGCTGATCTGTCCAAGAATGGTGAGGACTTGGACTCCGTTGGCAATGTCTCCGTTCAGAACATCAGCATCATCGGCGAGAGGGGATCGCTTGGTGTTGATTTCCTTAGCGGAGCCGAAAGGGTTGTTGAATGCGCCAGTGATCTGGTCCAGAATGCTGAGAACCTGGACACCGTTGGCAATATCACCGTTGGCGAGGGTAGCGTCATCTCCAAGAGGGGATCGCTTGGTGTTGATGCCCTTGACTGAGGTGAAGGGGTTGTTACCGGCGCCGGTGATTTGACCAAGAATGTCAATGACTTGAACTCCATTGGCAATGTCACCGTTGGCAAGAGTAGCATCGTCTCCAAGAGGGGCTCGCTTGGTGTTGACGCCATTGACTTGAGTGTGAGGGTTGTTGAGCGCCTGTTGAATCTGTCCAAGGATGGTAAGGACTTGGACTCCGTTGGCGATGTTGCCATTCGCGGCGGTGGCGTCATCCAACAATCGCTTGGTGTTGATGCCGGACATGTCGGCGTGAGGGTTGTTCAAAGCATTGGTGACTTGGTCGGCAATGTCAAGAACTTGGACTCCGTTGGCGATGTCTCCGTTGGCGAGGTTGGCGTAGTCACCGAGAGGAGCGGCGGCAGCTTCGAGAGCGAGGCAGGCAAAGGCGGCGAGGACAAGCTTGGAAGCGAACATTTTGCAAGATGTGTGATGTGGGATGAGATGTGTGGGAATGGGCTTTGAAAACGAGTGACTAGGGTTGGAAGTTTTGGTGTTTGTTTTGTGTGATCTCCGAAGAGAAGTGTCTTTTGGTTCTGTGTTTGGTAAGAGAGGATGAGAAGAGTGAAGAATCAGAGACGCTGAAAGTTGCAGAGCTTTATATCTCCCAAAGCAGTGAGCAGAGTCGACGAGGGTCGGTGTTTTGCCTCAAATTAGCTTGTCAGCGAGATTCGTCCAACACTTTCTCATGATGACCATCCTGTGGGATCGTCCATCCAACCATCATGCAATGTTGGACGATCACACGGTTCACGTCTCAGGACTCGTAATGTTGTCGTGCGATGTAACGTTAGTGTGTATGAAATGAGCAAGTCTAGCCATACAGCGTGGACGCACCATGACCAGCGATACGAGGATGATATCACAATGGACGAGACTCGGCCTTGCCCTTGTAAAGAGATCGCTGCGTCGCTAGACCCAAATGGGTGAGAAATCTGAAACGAGTAGATGTATCTCATGTGTCGAGATCCATCCATGTCGCCATGTCAACACATTGACCTAGAGCTGTATTCGCTTCTCCAGCATCATCAGTGTGCATCCGCCGGGTGCATATCAGATCATCGCAGAAGGATTGAACGACAGTGGTGTATCTTTTTAGTCAGATGTTTAGTACAGGACGAGATGAATCTAACGATACGGCGGCTAGAGCGGAACTTTTATGATTTTAAATGTATTTCTCGCATTCATCACGTGGGTCAGAATGACTCGATCGGCTCAGCTGCAGTGAACTCATGTCGAGCGAGCTGATCGATTATAGGCAGAATTATGATACATGTTGCCGACTACGATTTACGTTCAGCGGCGCTAGCCTCTACAATGATAGTCCATTACTGTCCTCCAGCCCTCTTCCTAGCTGCGGCGTCTTTGGTTCTCATCTTTTGAATCAGGCCCGGACCTGACCCTGACACGCCATTGACTTTTTGCTTCTTACTCGCTCGGTCTTCTCGACTGAGCTCTTTGCTGTAGAGACAAAATCAGCTACAACTCCGAGCAAAGTAACAAGCTACTCACTTCACGCTCTTGTTCCTCTCCACATAACTCAGATTCTGGCCACCTGACAAGTGCTCCAGCGGCGCGGTGAATCTCGAGGCAGCCGGGACCATACCTGCCGAGGTGGACTGCTCCGGCTGTGCAGACCTAGGCCCACGCTGGTGTCGACCGTGATTCAATTTCATATAATGATCCTGAGTTTCCGCGGCATTGTCACCAGCATTCAGGACCTCTTCAAGGAGAGAAATCTGGGATGCCTTGGTGGGGAAGACCAGGTCTGGCATAGTATCTATGCCATGGAGCTCGGTGATGACTTTGAACGCGTAGCCCTGGTCGATGAGAAAGCCTTGACGCTTTGACGAGTAGTACATCTCTTGCGTATCTTTGGATACGAGAGAGTAGAAAAAAGCATTGAATCCTTCGTCGTTTCGTCGTTTCGCTCTGAGAATTCTGCCCAGACGTTGAGCTTCTTGTCGACGAGACCCAAAGTGAGACGATATTTGGATGAGGCAAGTAGCTTCAGGCAAATCGATAGATGTATCCCCGACTTTCGACAAGAAGATAGTGTTGAGCTGAGGGTCGTGTTGGAAACGGGACAGGATGCGCAATCGCTCGCCCTCGGCGGTTCCTCCGTGAATGAAGGATTTGCCGAGTTTTTTCGCATAGGCCTGCCTTTCAGCAAGTATTCGCTCATGGTCACTGACCTCGAGGGCATACACGTTGTCCGAGAACACGATCACCTTGTCACCTCGACTCTCATGATAATTGATCAAAAATTGACATGCTTGAATTTTGTTTGGGTTCATAGCGTGTAGCAAGATTCTCTTGCGTGAGGCTGTTCTGAGGTATTCTCGATAGAATTCGGGCGTCATGGGGCACCAAACCTCGGCGCATTGGACAGTTGCGATGTGTCCGTTTTTCGCCAAGTCCATCCAATTGGCTTCGTACAGCTTCGGTCCGATCAAATAGCCAAGATCACCGATCTTGTCGTCTTCTCTGACCAAAGTCGCTGCCCAGTCAGCTCAGGTCGGATGACACCACATACCTGTCAGCCCCAGCTTCGCGTGGACTTTGAAACCATTAAGACACTTTCGGAACATGTTGGCAGGCACGACGTGAACTTCATCGAGCAGCAAGAAACCCCATTCTCGGGATCTCAAGAACTGCATCATCTTCTCGGCATCGTGTGCTCTTTTGCCAGTGTGTGCAATCATGGGGTAAGTCGAGATGACAATGCCGGCGGGGCCGGTGAACTGGCTGTCAGAGAGCCATGCCACGCTAAACACCTACCATCTCCTTCTCCGACTGCGTGAATGCGCAAATCTGGCGTTCCGATACATTTGAGAAGTGCAGGAACTGTTGTTTCCACTGTGCCACGGATACCCTAGCGCATAAGCTATCAGTTCCAAAGGTACACCCACGCCGACGTGCACAATACCAGCGTGCTCTTCTTGATTGTACATGCTGCAGTGATACCGACCAGAGTCTTACCCGCACCGCATGGGAGAACGATGATACCAGACCTCGCACGTCCGTTTCCAAACATCTTGGCGAGTGACGTCTCTTGGTACGGTCTGATCACAGTCATAGGCTTGAGCTGAATGTCCAAGTTTGCATTGGTCGTGTCGTTTCTGAAGTCATACTCCTCCAATGCAGGGAAGTCCATCTCCTTGGCTCGACGTCGAACGACTTCCATCTTGTCTGCTTCCACCTGAAACCGAAACGACTTTTCGTCGTCCAATTCATCGGCTTTCCTGTCAGTTCCGCTCCCGCACCAATGACTCACTTCGATGAATACCGATTACCGCACCGATCACATCGTCCCTCACTCCATCCTGCTCTCCCTCACCGGGCTGTCTGCCCTCAAACAAGGCTTCTCCTCTCGCCATTGTAGCCTCCTCCAAAGCATCCAATCCTGTAATTTGCTGACCCGCATCCCCGAGCTTTTCAACTCCGCATGAAGCAATGACGGAGTCGGAGACCAATGGCTGCAAGAACTCTGGATCAGTCGATTCGAGATAGTACTTGTTTTTGTGGAGCACGAGCCGGATCTTTCCATATGACGATGTCCAATTGATGATCCTCCTCTCAAGCTTGGGCGACAAGGGGATCTTGGATAATCTACTGAGAACCTGAATGATGTCTCTCGTCTCTAGCCCGACAGACATGGCGGCATGAAGAGAAGGCTTGGTAATGCGGTACTCGTGGATGAGAGAAGGCCTGATAGATCAGCACCGGCCTTTAGACTTTCGTTCACCTCGAGACCGGTTCCGCAATGGCGATCAAGAAGTCTTGTGCTCTCGACGCTAGCGTGGCAAAAGCCTCAAGGATGCTGGTAATGAGCTCCTCTCATCAGCTCCCTGCTCACATGTTGCCATCGTCGTCGACCCATAAAGGTCGAATGTGATGGTCTTTTACCAGTCCTTGATCTGACAGATCTACGATCCTAGATCCCTCAATCTCTTCCACATCCTCATCGATCTCTCCTTCAGCCGGGTGAGCAGCAGCAGCAGCTTGGGCGTTTCTCAGAGCACCAAGATTGATGCGAATCTTGGTGGTCCCCGAAGTCTTGGGAGCTGTCCAGGCTGACGCTGCGGCCGTTGCACTACCACCTGATCCCCCTCCTCGTTTATCAGCTGTCCTGCGTCGGGGCCTGTATTCCTCTTCAGAAGACGCATCGGATTGATAGAAATCCAAAGAGGACGCTGGAGAAGGCGATCGAGACATGGCTGGTACAGTCAGACTCGTTCGTCAGCTCCGCGTCCCCTAAGAACGCCGATGAGAAGGAAGAGAGCTTGTGAATGGGAATTGGACGGTTTGGATTGACAAAGTGGCAATAGTTCGGATCCGAAGCGTAGTGACAACCAGGTTTTACGATGAATGAGAATGGTATCAGCGGGGTACCAGGGAGGATGGGAGGCGGCCAGTCAGCGACCTCAGACCTGAATCTCCTTGTGGAGCTCAGATTGCCCTTTCATGCATGCCGATCTCTTTTGAGCCCGTTCATCAAGCAAGTCTAGCTCAGACAGCTTTCGCCACTGCCAACCCGAATGGAGGCAAAAAGTTTGAAAAGACAAGTCCACTTGGTGCGCTCTTTCTATCAATACCCATAGCGACCAGCATGGTGAGTGGTCAGGAGCATCGCTGGGGGTTTCACTCATCTCCTCACAGAAGATCTCTATGATTAGTCGGTCACTTGATGACCATCTGCCATCCTCGTGAGGAAAGGCCCTCCCAAGCACACGCTTACCTCTGATCAGATCCTCCGCTCCTCATCCCCTCCAACGCAACTTGGCTCCCCATCTTCATCCGTTCGCGAAGCCGAGAGAGTACACTAGAGCCCTCAATGCGGTCAAGATTGATCGAATGTTCGCCAAGCCATTCGTCGGCGCTCTCGGCGGTCACCAAGATGGAGTCTACTGCTTAGGCAAGGACCCAAGAAGAGTCTCAGTAGTAGCTGCTGGTGGTGGTGATGGCGAGGTCATTGTCCATTCTTTGACTCTCAGAAGGCCTCTCTTGAAGATTCCGAATGCGCATCGAGGGATGGTCGGCGGTGTTTGCTGGACGTCCGACGCTAGGGACGGAAAGCGAGGTATCATCAGTTGTGGAAAATTGGACGGGACCGTCAAAATCTGGAAGAGTGATGCCTTCGCTCCAGGAAGACGGGACGATGGCAGCGACGATGAAGAGGAGATCTTGGATCTAGCAGGAGCAGTGGGAGAGAATGATTATGACGAGGAGGACGACCTGGCAATGGATGAAAAGGCTCGAGATGCCCGGGGCAAGAACCTGGAACCGGTCATGTCGTATACTACCAAGACGGGTTTCAACTCTATCGATCATCATTATACGGACAGTGCTTTTGCCACAGGGTCCAACACCGTACAGGTATGGGATGAGACGAGGACCGCACCATTGTCTACACTGCAATTTGGAAGCTCGCTGGAGTCAGTGACTGCTGTTCGTTTCAATAAGAGCGAAACGAGCGTGCTGGCCAGTGTTGGGGGAGATCGGAGCATGTGTCTTTATGACATACGGACGGGCAAGGCCGAGCGACGTTTAGTGATGCAGGTGAGCAGCACCTGCGACCAAGGCGCTGATTCCTAGTTCCGGTCAAATTGCCTGTCTTGGTGCCCTACACTCCCTACAGTCCTTCTCCTGGGATCAGAGGACCACAACAACTACACATACGATATACGGAACCTCGAGAGTCCCACTCAGATCTACAAAGGGCACGTAGGAGGAGTTATGGGGTGTGACTGGAGTGGGTGGAGCAATCACGATTCGGCTAATCACCTACAGGTCCGACTGGTGAGGAATTCGTGTCCGGATCCTACGACCGCACGATACGTCTATGGAGCCGAGATGCGGGAAAAAGTCGAGACGTGTATCACACCAAGAGAATGCAGCGGTGAGCGCTTCAGGGGAGGTCCAGTCTGACTCCCAAGTGTCTTTGATGTCACGTTCACACCGACTGCCGATTACGTTCTGTCCGCTTCAGACGACGGCAATGTCAGGATATGGAAATCTGAGGCCTCACGCAAGATTGGCCCAGTCTCCACAAAAGAACGTCAATCGATGGAATACCGCAAGGCTTTAGTCGATCGATGGTCATCGGTATCCGACATTCGCGCGGTCAAGGATCGACGACACGTGCCACAGAGTGTGCACAATGCCACCAAGTTGAAGAGAGAGATGATAGAGAGCCGAAATGTCAAAGAGGACAGGAGAAGGAAGCATTCCCGTGCAGGGAGGGAGAAGCCAAAGGCGGAGCGAAAGAGTAGGTCTCACCTCTCTCCTCAGACCCATCTGACCCGTCGCAGAGGCTGTTATTGTAGAGCAGAAATGACTTATTATGACCCCACGTCACAGTTTCGCTGGACATTCCTCTTTTCGCCATCTCTGTTGTATTCCAAATCATATCCTCGCATCTAGATGCAGAAGTATGCATCTGTCGTCGCTATGTACCTAGTACAAGTCTCGTCATGCGCGCCCAAGACCTAGAACCTCAGCTTAGTGAAGACTGCACGGCGTCAGCAGAGCTCATCTCGAGCGCAAGGCTAACACTTACACCAACGGTTGTTTCCCTTTTGGTATCTCTCCTCGAAAGCCTTCTTAATGTTCTTTTTGCTCTCCTCTCTCTGTGTGGGCTCCTTGAAAGTGTCGGAAGTGACTGACCCTTTCAGGTTGTCCAGTTCAAGCATGTATCGGGTGGGGAGGAGGTGAGCGTAGTTGACGACTTTGATGAAGGGCTTGACTTTGGATCGTCGAGCGACCTTCTTCTTGCCCATGGATTTGTGGACTTTCAAAGGGTATCTGAAGCAAATGGGATCAGACCTCTGTCCGCTCCTGCTCCTCTGCAATACCGACTCACCGCTCAATACCAGCAACAATGGCGTGAGGGTAAGGTCTCTCCTTGGTTCCGTCATCACGCTGTTGAATGACAACCACCTTCTTTCCAGCCTGTCGTCCCGAAAGGACAATGGCAACCTTGCCTGGCTTGTAGACTGTACCCAATCGTCAGCAACCCCTCACCTTGACGATATGATTGCACTTACTCTTTGGCATGTTGGATCAGAGCACACTATGTAGGATCCCAAACTGATCTCGCTGCCGACAGACTCCATAGAGTCCAAAAAACCTCGAATTTTGGTGACTTGGGTGATCGGAGTTTCGCGGAATTTCAAGTGTGGCGGCTTGTCCAAAGAAGATAGGCACAGACTTTTTGGAATAGGCGTGACTACCCCGGAAGCTTTGTTTTTGCCGAAGAGCCAAGCTGATGACGGTAGCCTTGGTGGTGATGGTGACGAAGGTTTCACTGTTGACCGCGTTCATTGATCATAGGAGCTCAGTGTCTGACGCGCTGTTGGAGACCGCATTCCCTCAGCTGAATCCACTCGGCGCTCAGCACCCCTGGACATCCTTTGGGAAGGCATTGTCACCAAACCCCAATGTGTATATCCTGAAGTGACTCGCGCGTCCGCGCATCATCATTCTTATCACTAGACCATGTCTTCATCAATGCTGTAGACATTCGACGACAATGGCACGACCAGCGAATACACAACGCTCCTCATCGAATCCATCTCCCGTTCCTCTTCTTCAATCCCCGTCTCGCGATGCAGGATCCGCTAGTTCCTCTGTGGTGGCAGCCGGTCCCAGTCGATCTGATCAGATAGTACACCGTTACTATCTCAAAACGGTCGCGGTATTGGTAGAAGGCAGATTGACACATTATAGCAAGCAGGACAAGAAAGATAAATGGGTGAGTCAGATATCTCCCCAAGAGCTGTCTGACATACAGTTCAACCTTACCATTCCGGATGTCGATCTGCATCGAGCGGACCTTGCGATCTACAAGTCTATCTCCAACTATGATGCGGAATATCGCATACCACCCCTGCTGATAGCATTCATCCTCGACACGAGTGACCTGACGAGTGGCCAGGCTTTGATGTGGAGTAAAGCAGGGGCAAAGTATACATTGGATCCTAGTGGGAAAGGCAAAGGCAAGGCCAATGGGATCGTGTTGGAAAGATGGACATTGAATGCGAGGTGAGACAATGGTCACCAAGCGTTGCTCATTCCCAGTACACCGGACTCTTCCTCTTCTATGGCTCCTCATACGGCCTATCGGCTGGGTATCATTCACTTTCGAGCCTTGTTCGCTCTCGTACGCCTGCTACCTGCCTACCGGCTCTTCCGCAGACTTCGACGCGCGAATAGCGGACTGAGACTGGGTATCAAGCTGTGGGGCCCAGAAGGCTATACGAATGATGCGGCATGGCAAGTGATGGAGCGGGGACTGATCGGTCTCGGCGTGGGACTCGATCAACTGGCCTTGGCTGGAGCTCCAGCGGAAGTGACCGAAGTGTATGAACCTCCAGAAACCGACCTGTTTGGAACCAAGTTTGGACTCCGTGTAGAGTATCGACCTGAAGTAGATTTCTCCGCGGAAGACATGGAGAGCATCCTGAGTGAAAAATTTGTGGACATGGATGAAGAATGGTTCAAACCGACCGTCACGGCGAGTCGCAAAGTCTCAGCTCCCACGCCTATACCTTCTACTTCGCCCATACCTCAAAGGCAGACTGCGACTGGAGCCTCTGGCAGAAGCACCAGCTCACGCTGGGGTTCGTTAGTAGAGGGCCTCCCTTTCGCTACTCCGCTTGGTACATCACCAAGCAGTATACCTTCAGGAGCAGCAGTAGCCGCGAGGCGACTGTCAGGTCATTCGGTTCATCCCTTCAACGCCTCACCTTCCACCTCGCAACTCCGTCAGACTCCTCCCATACGACCTGGTTCGTCCGTGGGCAGAAACTCCTCTTTCCTATCTCAATCCGGGCGATCCTTCACCCACGCGCAGCTCGCCAATATGTCACCCTCACCGCCCATCCCATCCCCCATTTCTCCGTCATCACTCTCATTCACCAAACAACCCATTCCGCGACCCGTTGGCGCCACGAGTCCAGGCACCTCTCCACAAGTTGTCAAACGACTCACGTCGCAGAACTCGACATTGCTCAGGCGGACGTCCACACGGACGTCACAAGAGAGTGGACTTCGACATAGTGTCGCCGGACCCGATGACGACGAAATACAAAGCTTCCTCCAATCTCTGGATGCAATCCCGCAACCATCAATGATCGCATCTCAAGCAGTTCACGCATCGCGTTCCCATCTGCCATCCGCCTCGTCATCTGTCTCGGTCCCTTCGGCCCCTTCGTCCCCGGCTATGCAGGCCTCGGGTGAGACTCGGGCACCAATGACTCGCCAGCAGGTTGACGATGCCCTCAAACAAATGATGGGCTCCTTCAACGTCAGTCCCCCGCGACCTTCTTTGGGTCTATTATCTGCGAGTCGACCTATCAGCTCCATAAGGCGACCCGTCACTGCGGCGCAGAGTCCGCCCGAACGTCCGTCAGACGCTACGCCTGGACCTCGAAGTTTGCCTGGATCCGAGCGACCGGCCAAGTCCCCGGCTATCACTGCGCTGCTTTCACCTCAGACCACTGGATCTTCCGCTGGAGGATCGCGACGAGGGCCAGTTCTTCTCAGAGGTGGATTTGAGCCTCATTTCAAGACCAGCACAAGCTCCTCGCCCTCGCACAGCCCTATACGAGATTTTGCAAGATTAGGCTTGGGGACGACGACCGGATCAAGATCTCGCAAGACACCCGGTCAGCGGACTGCTCCTAGCAGTTTTGGGGGACCCGTAGGCGATAATGACGAGGAGCGTGGTAGGCGAGGCGGTCCGTTGAGTGACAAAGGTGAAGAGACGGGCGAGTCGACTGATCCTTGGCTCTGACATAGCATACGAATCAAGATGTTTACATGATCTGTAGTAATGAACCTGTTTGTCATCTTATTCTGTCCAAATAATCATCGTTGCCTTCTGCCCAATCTTCATCGTCTTCTCCAAACTCGTCGACTTCCTCCCTTGTGCCTCTTTCATATCGATGTGGTTCTCTGCCTTGGGCACGAAGCGCAAATGTGTCTCCTTCGCCATCGTATTCTCCTTCTCCATCCAAGTCTAGATCCCACTCATCTTCGTCTTCTGGATCGCCTTTGTACGACATGAAAGCTTGCATTCGAGCGGTTGCTTGAGCTCTGGCAATTTCATCGGTAGGATCAAACGCCAAGTCCCGAGTAGGTGTTCCACTGGCAGCAGGAGATGGGGGGCGATGTCGTCTCCTAGGCGTAAGGGGAGACTTTGATTTGTCAGTAAAAGATAGCCCAGCTAAATTTCGAGCGGTCGCATCGTCGAAATCCCTTCGACCAAGGGCAAGGGTTTCCGACAGAGGTCTAGTTAAAGGCTTCAGTTTGAGGTATACGATCACAACAGGCCACGCTCACAATGTCACACTGTTGGGAGGTAATTTCGCATCTTGAACTTGTATAGTTTGCATGGCCATAGCCCGACCAGAGGATGCAAGTCCGCCTCCACTGTCCCTCCTCTGAGCCTGCGCAGAGCTCTCGGCGAGCTGGGGCTCAGCGTCTAATGACATGCCGTTTAGGGACCTGTCCAGTGCGGAATCCTCGAGCTCTCGCTTTCGCTCCTGTAGAGCTTGCCGAATGGCTAACAGCCGATCTCTAACGGGATCGTGGGCAGGAGGCGAGCCAGCTAATTGAAAGGGGGAAAACAGCGAGGTATTCAAGACCCGCTCGTTCCGCTCTATACGTTCATTGATCTGCGGCAGAGTGAGGGTGGAAATATCATCAGCGCCTACAGGCACAGATGAACGACGGCGAGGGGGCATGGAAGAGGAGATGGGTCAGCTGGAGATGCTTCTGCCGACTGGTTATCGCTCGAGTATCACGATGATACTGTATGCTACATCATCTCAAACGCAGCATCGAGACAAAAGGATTGTGGGGCTCCAAATTTCAGTTTGCCGCCGCGAGTCGTCTCAGTCGCCTTCCTGAAAGGTATGTACACCCATGGCTTATAGACTATGTAATGACATATTTTGACCCCTTCGTATCCCAAATGGACCGGCTTCTACTGCTTTGTCATGTATATCAACGTTGTCTCCGTTGTCGAGCCCGATTTCACCGCCACAATTTCCAGCTTGTTGTCAATCTTGCCCGGGGGAACAGCGATCTTCCACTTCATGCCCACTGGCGACGGTTTGGGAGAGCCTCCTTCGCTGGCGTCTGCTCCATTGACCGCCCCGGAGTATATTAATTCAGGCGAACCGGACAAAGTACCATTGATCCTGAGAGAGACGTCTGGCGATTCGACTTTAATTCCGTTGGCGTTCGTGTCTTTGACTGGCTCCTTCTCATCCGCCACGTAAGCGGTGACTTCCAACTCGGTCGTTTCGGGCCCGAGGATCACCGCATGAGTGACAACACCTCGAAGATTGTATAACCTGATCATTTGACGCCGTTCTGGCGGCGAGTCTGGCGTCGCAAAGGCGAAATCGAGGTGTTTGACAGTGGGATAAGGAGGAGCTTGACGATTGGTAAGGGGAGACACACCACCAGGGCGGGCAGAACTCGGCAACTCGGCGAGTTGCCCATATCCACTACCACCGTTGACGACTGATGGGGAATGAGTCTGGGCGGAGGGCATCGACGGCGTGATGGAGGTGCGTCTGCGATTCTCGTTCGCAGAGACTATAGAGCGATAGATTTGCATGCCTTGCGGTGGGAGCGAATTGACCCACGCTGATTGTTCATGGACAGGATATCGGCTGAGCGAGGCGACAATGTCCTCGTTCACGACCCCTCGTGGTAATGGTTGCAGGTAAGGAGCACGCTGAGGGGGATTCGGCGGTATGCCGGATGTGTTGTAGCCGTGTCTGGGAGCACCGGCAGGGGATTGCTGATACTGAGGCAGAGGCCCCGCTGGACCGCCGTAACGCATGGGATTTGCAGCAGCCGCGGGAAAGCGAGATTTCATGGCCTCCTCGTGGTTGAGTCGATCCCGTATTACTAGGCGCTGTCCATCGGCAATGGTCTGGGGACAAGAATTAACGCGGCTACGCTTCATGGGAACGTCTTGACTTGCCTTTATCTGCTGTGCATCTCTAAAGACCTCGGAATCGTCCTCATTATACGTGAAAGCATTCGCGCACATGAGATCGAGATCATCGAAGAACTGCTCATGCGTGTTGTATAATCTCGCCACCATTTTTGACTGAAGGATCAGTCAACACGTACCCTTGAACTCATGCTGGCTGGTCACTCACCTCAATATTGGACAACGAAATCGGTGATGTAATGGTAGTATAGTAATCGGGCAGCTCTTCGCGATCAGGCAGGTCCATGAAAATCCCAGCGATCTCTCTTCCGCTTCCGCTACGAACGACATCAGCGGGATCTGCCTTGGAAATGAGAGCGACTCACTCTCTCGCTTTGGCCTCCTTGATCATCCTTAATACCGGTTTGACCAATTTGTAAACGGTCGGACCATCCTTCATATAGGCCCCGCGTTTGATCCCCTTTCGTCCAGAGCTTCCAGCGCCCCCGGTCTGTGACTCTCCATCCATACTGGCGTTTGATGGGCCACCTTCTTGACCTCCAACATCGCCCTCATCAACCTCCATGGACGTATCTGCCATGCCGGAATCACGGGAGACTTCCCGGTCCATCGGTGGAGCCTCTTCCTCCTCCTCTGGCTCTGGCTCTGCCTCTGCCTCTGATTCGGATTCGATCTTTGCCGACGACGCCGTGGCGGACGCTTGGAATGCTTTGGTCATTTTCTGTGCCATCCAGTCAGTCACGAGGATAGGAATCCCGTTCAAATAAGGCTCACATGTAGCTTCTTTGCATACTGAAAGATGAGAGATTCTTTCACGTTATCTGCGAGGTGTGTCAGCGAAAGGAGACGCGGGAAGCAGACCACCCACATCTTTTCGCATTCCAAAAGATCTGCCCAAGATCACTGCAGACTGCTCCTAATGTCTCATACGATGAGCTTTGTAGTCTAGCGTGAACCATCTCCAGCGATATCGGGTGCGGAATGGTCTCGTAGTAATCGGGGAAGGAGCGCTATGAAATCGTCAGTACATATCCATCATCCTCGGCCCTGGATGATCCACAGACCTTGTTCGGCAGTTTTATGAATGGTTCTGCCATCGATCCGCCCCTAATCAACGTTTCATCAGCCGGATGACTTTGCGTCTGATGTGGGATGATGACGCGCACTCTTTGTCTTTCGATGCCATGATCTTTTCATAGATCTCCATACCCAGTCGCTTCGCTCTGTCCTTGTCTTTAGGATCCACGGCGTCCTTCGAGTCCCGAGCCTCAGGCTCAGGTGTCGGTGTCTTTCGTCTCTTGCTCCTGTCCTGACTGATGATCAAAGAAGGATCCACACCCCTCAAGTTTCTACGCTTCTTTGATCTACCCCCATCTCCAGTCCCACTAGGTCCACCCGAGTCTTCCCTCTCCATACTCTTGTCCCCTTCTTCGTCCTTCACATCTGGCATGCTGGACTATTCTGAAACCCGGCTCCAAACGTAGATCGCGTTCAATTTACGAATTCGCGTAGAATAATGTTTTGTTTTCAATACAGACGTCCAGGTCAAAATCGCAATGGACCTTTCTGACCTGCCGGATTGTAGGCGCACGACTCGAATCTTCGACAGTAGGCGACAGCGGCTGCAGCAAGTTGACGATGATGAAGGCGACGAGGTCGATGAAGCGTGATATCCAGCCAAATGGACACAGAGCAGGCGGAAGAAAGCAAAAGGTGCGCAAGGAATTTCCGAAACCGGCAAGAAATCGCGTTCAATGCATGAATGTGGCTATAGGGGCATCTCGCTACAATCAATGGATCCCAAGCAAGGCTCCTTCCTTTACAAGGTCATCCCAAGTCTTGGCTCCTGCTTCTGGCTCGTGGATCCTATTCCAGGATATGGGCGCAGAGTAAGCGAGGTTGATGGACCGAGCAGCAATATGATCGTCAGCTTCAACCTTTTCCTCAATTGGAGTGAGGGGACTATGGTTTTCTTCGACAGAGAGCTTTGGCTTGTCCACAATTGTCCCCTTCTCGGATGCAGAGCCAAGAGGCAATGCGGATGAAGGGGTTGACGGAGGTTGTCCGGCACCATTCTTGCTGTCAACCTTAATCATCGGCAGCGGTTCGGTGAGTGCCGCGGGCCAGGCCTCTGACATGATTCGAAATGTGCCGGATTCCCGGGCGGCATCGACAGCGACATGCAGGCTGACAGTGATGTCCTTAGGATCGATTAGTGAGAGCGAGGGGCATTCATCTTTCAAAAGGTTGATTGTGGCCTAAGATGCACGTCAGATGTGACGGTGGTGTGTTGACACTCACCGCGAGCGAATGGGGTAGAGGCCCAATAAAGGCTTCGGTCTTGACATCGGTCTGGTACTTGGCAAATTGGATGGGATGAGCAGGATTGGCCTGTTTCCGTCCGATCGTGTCACCACTCTCATCTGAGAACGACAGTGTCAGAGGCGCCTTGCCGATGTCAGCCTTGGCGAGAAGAGGTGTGATGGGAGTAGGAGGTGTAGGCGCAGTGAAGGGGGACATGGTGCAAATCTGTGTGAGATGATGTTCCGAGGAGCTTTGCTAAGGATAAGAGCTGTCGTGAGTGGGTGAATAGATGGTGGATAAACCAGATACGAGAGGGGAGGAGGATCGCCACTTTGTAGATAGCTTGACTCTGGCTCGCATCAGGGAGGTTAGTTGAAAGGAAGTTGCTCCTTTGCACGCCTCTGACTTGTCTCATAAACCTTCCTTGCATTGTAGACGGTCGCTGTGGGGCTCGATTAATCAGTACTTCGTGTGAGATTAATCTCATGGCAGTATCCCTAGGATTAGTGACGCAGAGCCTCAAAACACTGAAAAGACTCGAGCCATGCCCTGATTGATTCGCTGCATACAACGGTCGGTCCGTAGCCCTCTCCGGCCTCAGCTTTCGCCTAGGATCAGGCCCACTTCATCCATTGGACGCCCTGACATGGTATTCCGATCATCTTGGTCGCGATGCGCATCGTGGAAGATGTCGATGCCTGTAACATATTCAGCATGAGCTCGACGTAAGGGAAGCCCGGAAATTGCCAACTCACCCGAGGCTAGTGAATCGATTAGACGCTGCAGCCTTTGGCCAGAGAGCGTCGGCTCGGACTGAGCCATACTTAGCTATGCAAAGCGACTCGTAGCCCGTACTCACCGCTCTTAGCGCCTCTAGGTCACCACTAAAGCCCTGGACCAACTTGTCCATGTACAACCGCCTAAATCTCAATCTCCGTTCATCGTCCTCTTCGCTCCTACGGGGGGCGAAAAAGGACGGAAGTTGTATCGGCGGCGGTGAAGGTGAATCACTCATCCTCCGCGGCATGTGGGAGGTCTTGGAAGGTATCGGAAGGTCAGGTTGAGCGGGGAACGTTTTGGCAGGTTGTGAAGCGGTAGAGCTAGACGAGATTGTGGATTCTGATTCGTCGTCAGATTGAGACTCAGAGGGCATCTCTTCATCTTCATCAGAATCATCTGAGGACTCTGAATCATCGGAGTCTGATGGCGGGATCTTGTTTGCTGAAGCTGCTGGTAAGATCTGAGCTGGGAGAGTAGATGGACCTGCTTGAGAGGACGCCGCCTCGCTGTCTGATCCGCCGGAAGACGAAGCCGAAGGGCTGTAAGATGCCTGCCTTCTCCTGCGCTTCCTACTAGATTTGCTTCTGGCAGGCTGTTGAGGAGCCATGGTATTTCTAGATCGCTATCGACTTCCTTACTGAGACATCATCTATATACTTTAAGGCTTCGATCCCAAAATTGTCGTGTGCACGGGTGGAGGCCGGAGATCGTCGCAAGTCCGCCTCTGTGGCACAGCCAAACCGTCCTTTGGCAAGCGCGTGTGGCGGCGGCGGACACTGAATTATTATATGGGTCGCTATTCCAACCTGTTGATGGTGGTGCCAAATATGTCTCGGGGGCGGACAATGGACTAAGAGTAGCGTCTGTAAGATGTAGCGAGACCATGTCTCGAGCGAAAGATATGTAACCCAGGCTACATACAGGTGGAGCAAATGAAGGATCTTCTGGAGATCCCTCTTTTCTGAGACATATGTCACGGTGCAGTCTCCCGAACCCTTCGCCGTGTTAGATCGACGATCAAAGAAGGTCTCTCGATTCAAAAGTATGTGATGTTGCACGTTCCCGCGTCAAGGCGTTCTTAACGGCAAGCCTCTGGGTGTGAACGATCGAAGTTATGTCGATCATGGCTGGGCTTCGCCGTCTCTTAGTGCCGGTGAATGAGCAGATTCCATCTGACGAGGCGTGGGTATCCTCTCCACGGTATCCAATCGAGCCACACTGCTTTCCAGGCGATGAGCTCTATGCCCTCTAGACTTTGGCCTTTGCCGCAATCTTCTGAGACACGTAGATGCATAAAAGCTTCGAAAGACAGACGGGGAGGACCCCAAAATTCCAAAAATGGATATAATCAATGACTTATGATTGAGATATATCGCTCAGCACTAAATGCGGAAAAAACCCTGTGAGTGCTCGAAATTCAGCCGATACAAGGGAACAGGCGCTAACCCTCTGATGCTCATGAGAAAGCCGGTTCGCCATGTTGCGGCTGTTCTAGCTACTGCTGCTTTTGCGCCCCAACTGGTCGTTGCCGCCTAGGTCTCAAGAGGCAAAAAGGTTCTGACGTCGACGTGACAGGCAGGTATCCCAAGCATCTTTCTGAGACAGGCAAGGCCAAAAAAATGATAAAGGCTAGTGATAACATGGGCCGACTGGTTGACTGTTTATTGCTCTCGAGGTCCAAGGCGGGCAAAGAAGGATAGGAGAAGAATGATGACGTCCGCCATAGGCGCGGTATCCAAAATTGCCTTGCCAGGTGTGAGGGGAAAAACACCGGACCATCTCTACAGGAGGGGGCGTCAGGAGAGCAGGTGCGCAGGGGGAAAAGAAGAGAACAACCGTATGAGGCGTCAAAGGCTATGAACTCTAATCCTCTCCTCGAAAAGTGCTTGTTTTGAGAGCACTTGGGCCCGTGCCGCCTCGCACGCGGCGCCAGGAGGTGCTAAAACCCCCTCTGGCGATAACCACAAGGAGTGCTTAGGTTGACAGGAACCACTTTAAGCTTGACCCATCCAACCTCGCCTCTGCCATCAACGTATAGAGTTCCGACCCTTTGTCTCATAGGACAGTTCATGTACGTGTTCATTACTTTGTTATGATTTCCATTCACAGATCATCGGACCACCGACCCTTGCGTTGTCCATCCGAGTATCCGGCGTTGCTTGTGTTCTCACATCTAACAGGATATCTGTAAAAGGACCCGAAGAAGCCCCGCTGTCGAGTTTATCTTGTTCCTTCTTCGCTCCTCAATTTAATAGAGTTCTGAAAAAAGGATCGCCCTCGTCTCTCTTCTGTCCAAACGTATAATAATAATTACTCGTCGAGCAGCCTGCACAACCCCGCTCGCTTTTTCGCTCTTTCACTCTCATTGAAGAACGCCATCTCTCCAAACGCCACTAAGAGGCTTGCCTCCTCCATCTCTTTCTCACTCGTCCATTCCCCTTCTCTCACTTGGGATAATTTTTTCCATTTCGATTGAAGCTGGACGGACGCCACCGTGTTCCACCGTCTAATCGCCGGGCCTTCACATAGCATTCCCCTCTTCGGTCCTCGCTGTAAGGGGCATCTCAACCACTGTGTCTCGGTTCATCCGCGCAGTCTTCCCTCCCACGTTGTACCTTGCTTGGGGACGACTATTCAATCTCTCTCTCTTTCCCGTCAACAAAACACTCGAATCCCCATATATTATAAATATCAAGCATACCTTTCACGCAGAGAATTCCTCTTCCGACGAATTCAGCAGCTTGGCGGTAACGCATTTTCGGATTTTCTTTGGCACTCCAGGAGAGCAGCCCGCTTGCCAGTCGACGATCGAACGATCAGGCCATCAACTGCATCGTCTTCTCTGGTGACTGTGTCGGGTGATCATCTCACGTTCTTTACCTTGTTTTTCCGTCCTTTCCACCCTGTCTCTCCGTAACGAGGCGTCTTCGTAGCCATTTTCATAACGCTCAGTAGATTTAGTCACACGTCTTCCAGGTCAACATGATCGACTCGACGCTCTCACCCCGACTCTCCCACCTCCTTATCCAGGAAGACTCCATGACAGGACGTCTGCTCATGCCTGACGGCACAGATGCGCGAGAACCCATGGGCGGACTCTCACCGCCTCTCACTCCATCCACTTCGACCTTTGCCTTCGAGGCTTCTCCGCTTCACAAGTCTGCCAGGCTACCCAGCCCATTGGAGCCTAACGCCCTGTTCAACTCTCTCCGACTGCCACCGCCAACTGCACTCCCGTACCGGCGATCTCAACAGAGCGCTTCGCTTCTTTCTATCTTGTCGACATCGCCCCCAGATTCAGCAGATTCCTCCTTCTCCTTCGTGCGTCCCGCTTCCGCCGGTCAGCGTCTCGCACCCCCTTCCTCCCATTCAAGCCGACCGATGTCATCTCGTGCTGTCCCTCCGAGTCCTCCCCCAACGGTGTTTGTCGCAAGATCGGCATCCATGAGACCTTCGTGGTCGGGTCCCGGGCAGTTCGGGCCCTCTAGCTTCGGAAGTGGTCTGCGACCTCTCACGTCAGCGCCGCTCAGCTCGTCTTTCCCCAATAGGCCACAAGGATTTGTCCGTCGCGAGTCAGTAATGTCTGACATTCCACCGCCCACACCATACAGCCGACCCAATACCTCCCCTTATCCCATGCCTTCTGGAGCTCAACGTTTCCACGCCGGCCATGGGGTGGAAGAGGGAATGGGCAGCCGAGCGCCTATAAGTCGGACCACCAAGGCTTGTAATGCTTGCAGGACGAGAAAGGTCAGATGTGATGCAGGTGGACTTCCAGGAGGTCAACCAGGGACTTGCAGTCGATGCAGAGAATCCGGTGTGGATTGCGTCTACTCGGTCATTCAAAAGAAGCGAGGCCCATGTCCCGGGTGAGTAGACAGCGAAGTCAACTTTTACAGGTCAATCTCACTGACTGGACAATCCACAGATCTATTCGGGGGTCTGGTCCAAAGCCACGACGGCAGTCTTCCAACCGTGCTCCAGCCGAGACTGAAAAGCCACACCGCCGAAGAGGTTCGTCTTTCGACGAGTTGACAGCTCGAGCAGCTGGGGTCGACTTGTCCTCCCACGCAGCGTCTTTGCCATCTCAGAGACCGACCACTTCGCGCGGATGGTCTTCGGCGGGCATGCCTAGGTCTTTCTCTTCCCAGTCAGAGAGAAATCAAGGTGCTTTCGAAAACAGGAACATCATGCGATCGTCTTCGCCTCCGACGTCGTCCTTTCAGAGTCGAAGGACCAGCGAGGACTCGACAACCTCGGATTCCGCCATGCCAAGAACTACCGCAGACGATATGGACATGGACATGGATGACTTACCGGCTCGTACTACCCTCTCATCGATAGGGTTCTCACGAGAGCAGCCAAATAGGCCGCCATTGGCAGTGACGATCGGTGTCAAGAATCTGTACTATCAGTTGGGGTCGCCGTGAGATTTGCGACGCGATCATCTTAGAAGTGAGGAGGGTTCTGACTCCCTTTTTTGTACATTTATCGTTGTATTTGCTGGGCAAGGTCATCTGACCTCTGAGGTTTTTTTTTTTTCCCCATCGATGTATATCATGTGCCCAAGAATAATTTGACGACAAGTAGGCGGACGAACGGTGAGAAGGGATGTCCCGTGAACGCGAAGCAAGACGTGAAAGGCCTTGCCTCATGCATCGCCAAGTGGCAATATGGGACAGACCAGTCACAGCTCGACGATCTAGGTATGGGTCTCCTTAAGGTTGGTCTTTCTGAAACCTTAGTGCCACGTCCAAATATCAAATTGCATTGCTGTTCTCGGAGACCATGAGCAAAGGCGCAATTCCATCGACGCTGCATCGATGAATGCACGTTCCGAAGCATACGTGCATGCCAGGTCCGCGAAGGAGATCTTTCGCGCCGAGTCTCAGCAACTTCCCTGTTTCTCAGCGCATTCTTCGATGCTAACGCCACGCCACACCCTTGATCGTCATAACGCAGAATGCCTGTTGTCAACACAATTCAAATGCGCTTTTCTGCTTTAACGTTAGACATCATGCGACGGTGACTGGAGGCTGCTCGATTGGCCCACGGAGCGAATCCGGATCGCAAGAGACAGCATGCCGTTCCTTCGCTCATCGACACGACCTCGAGCAGTGGAGTGCTTCTTCTGCCTATCCGCTTCGTTGTTACCGCCCTCGGGTCTCGTTACGAACCGTAAAGGCAAAGGTCGAGCGAGCGCCAAGTCGTTAGAGACGGAGTGGAATTGGCACTGCGATAGATGCGGATGTTGGAATATCAAGGACAAGGTGTGTTCATCGCCTATTGGACGAGCTGTTGTGACCTCGAATTGTGAAGCTAAGTGAACCCAGAACGGTCATATGGTATCCGACTTGCCCGCGATGCACAATTCCAACCTCAACCAGCAGTCCTTCTCCCTGAGAGGTATGTCCGGCCTGGTACCTCGATGAAATGACCGTGTCCAGCCCGCCCTTCAAGCTCACATCTGCCTTCGGCCTCTGCTAGCGCTTCCCCCTGTTGTCATTCCTGTCTAGCGAATCAAACACTCATCATGAATATGCTGGCGAATTACCTTCCTGACGACAGCGTGGGTGGGCTCAAAGTGTGATTCCCCCTTCCCGACTAACTTCCACACCGCTCACTAGGATCCTTCATTTCATGCTCTCTACGCGGCGCTTCCGACGTATATCTCCAACCTCCACTCAAGATATCCCCCTGTCTGTCCAGAGTGTCAGCCCTCAGTCGAAGCTGCTCTCAGGAAGAGTGACCTCAAAGCCCAGACTGAGGCTTGGGGATCTGCTCTACAACGTGGTACGGGACGACATAGCGCTACGAGACAGGCCACCTATGTGGGATGGTTGGACGTAGTAGTATGGAGAATCAAAGGTGTTCTATTCATACTCGGATGTGCTTTCAGCTGGGGACAAGGTATCACGAGTGAGTGTGAACGAGCGGTCCCGTGTGAGTCGCTTTCTCACGTCGGTCAAGGCGCTGCGAGGTCTCTGCGCATGTACGAACAGACCCATTACACTGGTCATTCCCATTTCAATCACGTCGTCCTGGCGTATCATGTCTGCTCCGCTTTGTGGATGACTTGGGATCCCAATTGGCTCTCAAGGTCACGGCATCGACTGCGAACTTCATCTTCGGGTCGCAGAAAATGGATCATCTGCATGTTCACTATCCTGCTTCTGAGGATCGCTGGAGCCTCAAGCTTCCTATGGTCTCTTAAAACCCCTGTCGACGATACGTTACGTACCATATGCGTCTCGCTTGAAATGGCAATCTTCATTTACGCTCTTTCGTCCCTTCCTGCTGTCGGACCAGTCCCTTTGAAGCTCGTGCGACCAGTCCCCGTCCAAGTCCATTCACCAACCCATAACGCAACCCCTCCACCGGCTATAGGATCCCTCTCCCTGTCCAACGATTCAATCAAAGTTCACAATCCAGTCTTTGGCAAATCCTCATTTGTGACGGAGACAGAAGAAGACCACGTCGAGATGATGGATTGGGAGCCAGTCAATACTTCCGGACAGACGCACGACCCAGATCTGACACCGATGCACGAACGATCTGCCGGCGATTGGGACACGTTTGCGACCGGCAGACAGAGCATGTTCCCACGTCAAACCGAGGAGACTGGACTAGAATCTCTTCTGGCGAGTTGGCGTATCTCCAACTCTACCGATGAGGGTATTCACGGAGACGAGGCACAGGCGCAAAAGTGCGTCATAGCGTAAACATCTCAAACCATGCTCATTGATGCATCCAAATCTTCGTCAACCATTCTCCGTGAACCTTAAATAACTCTGTATTTGCATGTGCAGTCGTTTCCCGTTGCGTCTCCTCTCAAATCGTGATCACCTCTTAGCCCGTCTCAAAGGCTTGATCTTCCTTCCACTTGGACTCTCCGGCGCGGCGCCCATACTGAACCCTCCAGGACTTTCTGGCGGTGGTCCGCCTGGTCCGGGACTACCAAATCTCGGAGCATTGTTCTGCGCGCCATTCACTGCTCCTCCAGCTCCTCCAAATACGAATGGTTGACTCTGACCTGGGGTAGTCTGAGCGGCATTACCGAATCCAAAGGTCGACCCGGTGCTTTGCGGGGTCGACCCGGCGCCGAATTGAAATGGCGTGGACGAGGGAGTAGACGGCGAAGGCTGTGATGACTGTCCGAACGCGAAGGATGGCGACGGAGCGGCTGCAACTCCATTCCCAGCGGATGGCGCAGCGCCGAAATTGAAATTGAAGCCAGCAGAGCCCGTACCGGGAGATGGAGTAGGCATCGGCGATTGGCCGAAAGGGTTGGTCGGTGTGCTGGATCCTCCTCCGAATGAATTGACCTGGGGGTTGCTCGAGGCTGATGCTCCGCCGAATGGATTAGCTGGAGGTGCAGTGATCGAAGGGGCGCCAAAAGTGAAACCGGTCGAAGCGGGAGCAGCAGACGGCGTGGAACCGAAAGGGCTGCTCGTGCTGGGGGCGATTGAGGATGTGGCATTTGCCGCGGGAGCTGCGCTTCCAAACCCTCCAAAGCTCGAAGTCGAGCTCACGCCACCTCCGAACGGATTATTCTTGGGTTCTGAACTCGGAGTCGTGCTCGTTGATCCGAATCCAAAGGTCGGAGCTGCAGCCGCAGCTTCAGTAGGCTTGCCGAAAGTGAATGAAGGCGCTGCAGCTGGAGCAGCTGCAGGCGTCGTGTTTGCGGGAGCGCCGAAAGTAAACCCGGATGGCTTAGGAGCATCGTCTTTCGATTTCTCAGCCGATGGCGGTGCACCAAAGGTGAATGCAGGTTTGGATGGCTCCGATGTCATATGTGCAGGAGCGGGAGGAGCGGGGGCAGAAGTAGTGCCAAATGAGAATGCGGGTTTGGCTGCTGCTCGTGTTGACTCCGCCGGCTTGCTGAATGAAAATCCGGCATCAGTCCCGCTGGAATCGCCAGCACGCTTTGGCGCAGGCTTTGCAGTGTCCTGAGGTTGTTGACCGAATGTAAAGCCGCCGAACGGCTTACTGGGCTCAGCAGGCTGGGAGCTGGGAGCAGCCGAAGAGGAACCAAACGAGAATGCAGGCTTCGACGTGGATGTTGGCGCAGCTGCTGGGGTGCCGAACGAGAAAGGTGAAGATGCCGCTGGCGTGGCCTTGGCCGGCTCAGCCGGAGTAATAGACGCGTCTCTTGATCCGCTGGTAGAAGCTTGCGCACCGAAAGAGAATGGAGCCGCGGGGGTTGGTTGAGGCGGTGCGGATGGCACACCAAAATTGAAAGGGCTGGTGGTCGAAGTGGATGTACCGGAATTCGCCTGTGCCTTTCTTCCGAAAAAGTCTGGCACTTCCGAGGAAGAACTATCAGCCTGGGGTGGTTTCCCAAGACCAGATCCAAGTGACTTCTTTGGCGCGTCATTCGACCCGATACCCGCGAATAAGGACGAAGGCGGAGGTTTGGTAGGCGTTGTCGAAGGCATGGACGACGACAGCGGGAAGATGCCACCGGCGGGCGGCTCGGCCGGAGGTGCAGGTACAGAGGGCGGAGATTCTGGTGCTGCAACAATCGATCCAGAGGCCAGAGGCGAGGAAGCCCGGGGCCGAGACGAATTGATCCGGGACAATGGACCAGAAGATACTCTGTTAGGAACGTTGAGCGAGCTTTGATCATTCTTCGCAGGTCCAATTCGACTGCTCAGATTCGTTGAGGCAGCGGGGGGCGCGGACGTCGGTGTGGAGGTCTGTGTTTTCGGCGCAGGCTTATCCAATGCAAATGACACGCCAGAAAAGGAATTGAAAGGAATCTTGGGTGCTTCCAATTCCTCCATTGGCGGCAAATCCTCTTCTTTAGCAGAAAAACGACCGGAAGAGCTCGGCGAAGTGGCCCTAGAATTTGACAAGCTAACCGAAGCAGTATGCGTCCTCTTGGTGACGTTAGATTTGGCCCGAAGACTGGACGCTTCCCTCGAGACCTCTCCCTCGGCTCGAGGGGCGTAGGTCGAGTGCGACTTGGTGTCGGGCGACGGGGCGGTCTCAGTGATGGTCGGGACAGCCGGGACAGGAGGCACAGACTTGTCCGCCTCAGGGGGCGCAGGCGAATTGACTCGCTCAGCATGCCGTTTCGAACGTCGCGTCGATTTGGTGGGGGAGTCCTGTTTGCTCTCTCTTGCTGACGCTCCGGCAGCTTTCCCTTTCCCTGTCTTGCGCGCCTTCGGCGTGGTCTGCTCCGGTGTCTGTTCTCGCCTCTTGTTTCTGGACGATCGCCTGGGCGTAGGAGCGACCTCTGCCTCGCTTTCGGAATGCATCGAGAAGTCCGTCTCGCCTCGACTCGTTCGATCAGACGGCGTCAATTGCCGAGGCTCTGAGCTAGCTGTAGATTCTAAACGTTAAAGCAAGTCGAGGCAGGCGAGCTTACCTTCATCACGCTGGCGAGTCTCGGACCGACGCTGATCTCTAGTTGCGTCGTCCACCTGTCGGCGCCTTCCATATGGACTGATCATCATTGATGCCTTGTTTTCCGACCTATCTTTGTCTCGTCTTCCACGGGCAGTCTCACCTGCCATGGCAGTAGCGAGGGGCACGCTGATGGCCTGTCGAAGTGTCCGCGAAGAAGCGCCGATGAGTTCTGGAGGTAAAGATCCGCCGGGTACGATAGGCGAAGCAGATCTCAATGGAGTCGAGCGTTGAGCTTCCAAAGCAAAGAGGATTCTCTCTGCTTCGTTCTTCCCTACCAGCTTGGCAGCAGCACGATCTGAGAACTATGAGCCGCGCAGAATACAACATGATCAATAACTTACTGCCGGACAGCTCATCCTCCCTGATGAAGCCCTTCTCTGCGTCCCAAATTAACTGACCGCGTCGCTGCGGTGTCCCGTTCCTCATTGGCGAATCAGGACGAGCTGATCCACTTTCCCAACGTTCCCTGGCGAAGAACCCCTGACTTATCAGTGACGCTCTTGTTGGCACATACTCACGAGAGATGACCCTGGCCTGTCCCCGTCTACACTCATATTATCTTCGCGTTGACCAAACAACATTGAAGCTCCTCTACGAGGGCTTCTCATCGACTCCTTGCCCATGGAGATGTCCGACATGACACTGCCAGCTCTTGCAAAGCTAGTCGTATTGGCAGTGGTGTTGGATCGCGCAAGTCCACCACCATTAGCACGCTGAGACGGAGACCTGGTCGGACGGAAGGGAGATTGGGAAGGCAGTGGGTGCTGCAAGCCGTCAGCGCCAAAGTGAGTCGATAAACTCACCTCTACAGCTGCTGACCCTCGTTTTGAAGGCGTGGCACTCCTTGGAGGCAGCACCCTTGGGGAGGCAGCGCGATTTCGATCCTTCCATGGGCTCCATGTCTCATTATCGCTCGCCTGGACTGCTTCATCCATCTCCTCCGTATTGACTCGCCTCGATCTCGTCAATACGCCCGAAGTGCGGGTGCTAGTGGATGGCGTATTGAAGACTGATCCAGGAGGGTCGAGGTGAGGCAGAGAGCGGACAGTGTGCAACAGTCGAGAAGACTGACCACGAGTCGCTGCGACTCTGTTTCGAGGCGATAGGACGACGTTGGGTGGAAGAGGAGGTAGCATGTTGTTTGTATGGGTCAGGCGTGATTCATGTCGAGTAGCTGGCTCCACATGGCCGTTAGCTCGTCGTTGAGTGACCGGAGATTCTTGATCCTCTACATCAGCATCTCGTTTTGTCCCCCTGGAAGGCGTTGCGAGCCATTGCAGGGGCCTGGAGAAGATCGACTTGAAACCACTTATAATGCCTCCAGATGGTGTGCTGGTGAGAGATGGCAGTGATCCTGAACGAGTCATACCACTCGCAACTGTACTTGTTGATACCGAGTGTGGGAGGTCTCGAGTGGATGCTGAAGAAATCAATGACCCGGCAGCCCGACTGCCACTTGCGCCAGCCGGAGATCCGAATGTCGAGTCGGCATCTCCGCCTTGAGTCGAAGCACTGGGACCAGTGTACGATGCAGGACGTGAATATGGGCTCGAAATCTGGTGTATGCGTCTATTGGACGACTGTCGAGCAGCGCCTCCGAATAGGCGAGACGGAGTGTCAATATCGGATGGAAGGGGATATTGTGACATTGTTGAGCCGTGTCGCGATGACAATTACCGGGCCAGAGGTGAGAACATCCAAACGCAGAGTGTCTTGCGTGGTCGTATAGGGCGTCAAGGAGTCTTGTCGTTCGTCCCAAGTTTTGAATGTCAATGTCGGAGATTTAGCAAGATGGTTCTCGTCTGTGCGTCGAAGCGAGGCGCATGCGTGCAAGTCGTTCCAGTGGAGGCACTCCGCCTAAATTTCAGTTACGAACCAAGAGGATGGGGGAGGACTGCCAGTGAGACCCTCAGCAGTCCAGATCAAGGACAATAGAGAACAGGCGACCGACAGAGCAATCAGGGAAATGAAGAGGAGGCAAGGAAAAAAAGTTGGAGGCAGGAGACGGAACCAAATTCCCAAGTGGCACCTCCTACTGTGCTGTCTGGTTGAGTAAGGGCTTGCCTGGTCGCGACTGGCTTGGGGCAGAAAACTCGTCACACATCATCTGGGGCTCGAAGGGACCTTATAATATTGACCAGCTTGCGGTCTTGCATCTGTGACCTTCCTCCAGTGCCCCCTCCCCTCCCCCCTTTCCCAACGAGCCTAGATCCGGCCAGTGCTCAAAGTGGCATTGCCAGGGGAATGATGTCCTCAATGGAAAGATGCGATGGAGCTTACTGCCAACAGGTCATTAGAGGGTCAATATCCTGTTCATAAAAGCACTCTTCCCATCTGCGGGACCGCTTAGACTGCAAAATCTGTTTACTGCGACGATATCAGCCAGTCTGATCCCCGAAGACCGAGGCAAAGGGCGTGAAAGGGGTGGTTGTCAGAACGTTGAAGAGACTCCGCGGGAATGACAACAAGGAGAAGGCAAGGATAAACGGTACTTTATCGGTAGCGACGGAATACTGGCTCCTCGCCCCCTATCGGTGACGAATCGGTCAAGTCTTCCAGTGTTATATCATCTGCCTGAAAGCTCTCTCTGCCCTGTCGTTGCAATTTCAGCGCGTCGCTTTTTAGATAATGACTTTGGCCCAGCCCGCAATGAAAGTCTTCCTCACGGGCGCTTCTGGGAGACTAGGAACCGCCATCATTCCTCACTTGGTCGCTCGTGGACATACAGTCACAGGACTGGTACGGTCCCCGGAATCAGCCGACAAGATCGAGCGGCTAGGTGCTATTCCTGTGCGAGGGACATTGGACGATAATGATCTCCTTTTCGAGCAGGCAAGATCTCACGATGCAGTGATTCACTGTGCCTTTGATGGGAAATCGGATCGAAGTACAGAATCAGATCGAGAGTGGGAGATCGTCCAACTGTTCGCTTCAGCACTCGAGGGGACTGCAAAAAGGTTCTTGATCAGTTCAGGTGTCGCTGCGTTCAGCGGAGATCAAGTCGCACGAACTGAACATGACGCATTACCTTCAATGGGCAAGAGATCCGATACTGGGAACGCGGTGCTCAAACTCAAAGACAGAGGCATCACATCCATTGTTGTCAGATTGGCCACCCTGACACACGACGCGAACCTCGCACACCCATTTCTCGGCGCTTTCGTCAAAATGGCAGATACATTCGGATACATTCCCTATGTGGGCGATGGTACAAATCGCTGGTCCGCTTGCAATTCAGAGGACGCAGGTTTGCTCTACGTGCTCGCCATGGAGAAAGGTGAACCAGGCATCAGTGTCCATCCCGTCCAAGAGACTTTGCCATTCAGAGACATTGCCGAGGCCCTCGCCAGACGGACCGGGAAGACCGCAGGATCCATCACGCCGGAACAGGCGAAGGAGGCCGGATTCTTAGGTGGTTTCATGGGGCGGGACCAGAATATCAGCTGGCAGTGGACAGAGGAGACCTTTGACTGGGAGGCCAAGGGCCAGACACTCTTAGACGAGATTGCTAGCGCTCCTGAGGGGTGGCTCCCGTGATGGGGGATTTTCATGCAGTAGCGATGCGTGTCGCCGCGGCCTGATGGTATCAGCGGGATCCAGCTCCGACTGAACGCACCTGAGCCATGGTCATGTCCAATGCTCCCTTGAGCTTCATCAACTCCCGTTGAAAGCCGAGCTCTCGCTCAACTCGATTTTGAATTCTTCCCAGCATCTCATCAATGACGGAAGATTGTCCGAGGACTGGAGTGTATAGGTCTGAGTGTCAGTATTGTCTTGATCCGTTTCTGATCTCACCAATGACGACACCCGCTACTTGACTGGCCATTTGCCCGAACCGCGGATCAGTAAGGTGCCTAACGAGGAAGGCGAGGATAGGCTCGAGTGTGACATCGTCTCGACCGCCGAGTGCTATCCGTAGAGCATCCTGTTGGATGAGCTCCTGGATCAGAGCGAAAGTAGTGGAAGGTCGGACACTCTAAGGCACACTGGTAAGCAAGGAGGTAGTGACACTCCTTTCTCACCTTCTTTAAGCCGGCATCTAAAGCCGCAGAGTATTTGAAAGCCTTGAGAAACTTTTCAAACTCTTTCAGTTTCTCCTTCCTCCTGCCCTCGACTTTGAACTCGTCGGCCGGTCCGATGACGGGAGGGAGATCTGCTCGCTTCATCTTGATATGTCCCGTGGTAAAGATTTGTTCCATTTCGCCGAGTTGAGTGGGTAGTATCGGAGCAGACGCTTCGGAAGCTTTGGGGTCTCGACGTCTGACTGATAAAGTCCCGTCTGACATGCCCGCAGCAATATGTGTATCATCTGGAGAGACGGCAAGACTCAAGATAGGAGCAGGATATCGCATCGTATGGACGACTTTCCATTCCTCCACGTCATAGACTTTGATCATCATGTCCAATCCGCCCGTCAGGACCCGAGAGTGCGTGCCGTCAAATGTGGCGCAAGTGACGGTCTTTTGATGATTGCTGAGTGCTCGAACGCATTTGCCCATGTTGAGATCCCAGACTCGGAGGATGGGCCCTCCGACCGTGACCCCGACTCCGCCAGATGGGAAAGCGAGGATGTCTTCTATTGGCGCGCCTCCATGTCGCATGGTGATTGTATTGGAATTTTCTGGAGGCAGACGGACATCGTGGACACGGAAGGTCGAGTCGTAGGATCCGGACAGGATCAAGTGTGGGGAAGAAGGGTGGAAGAGTGCTGATCGAACGTAATCTGAATGGGCGCTTAAAGTATGCAAGCAAGTCTGAGTAGATATATCCCATATCTTGACGGTCGTATCGTCGGAAGCGGACAGAACGTGCGAGTCATGAGGTGAGAAATGGGTGACATGAACCGGTCTGTAAAGTAGAGTCAGTTGGGATACAAGCTCGTCCATCGCTCACTGTTCATGCTCCTTCAAGGTCCTCAACACGGCTCGACTGCCAACATCGAACACCTGTACCACGCCTTCGTCGCTACCCGCCACGACGAGCTTGCCGTCTTTCCTGAATTCTCCCGATCGAGCGACATCCTTGAATCTAGAGATAGTCTTGACTACCTTGCCAGTCCTAGGGGCGTATATGAGTACTCTAGACGCAGAGCTGATTGCATATCGATGAGGTTTGGTAGGACAGAAGTGAATGTGAGTGATGGGACTGGGGTGCTTGATGAACAAGGGATGACGGAAAGAGTGGAAATGCCGGGAGTGAGGAGTCGTCGAAGAAGATGCTCTCGGAGCAGAAGGTAGAGGAGCGAGTCGAGCGTAGTCCATGGTAGATCTCGACCTTGGCTATGTCGAATGAAGGGGTTTTCATCAAGAGCATGCACAGAAAGCCTCTCACTCACCAAACTTTTGAGCCAGAAATTATTCACGGCGCTGATCGCCGAGCCTCGATCATTCACCCAACAGAGATTGTAATGGATTGTTTTGTCATTAGCTTTTTGTTTTGTAATGATGATTAGAAACTCACCTCCCATTTTGATGACGATCAATTTGGATTTTTCGGAATTTTCAGTTCTCGAGCACGCAAGTTTCATCCCGACCCACCTTCGAGTCGTTTGCTGATAATCAACATTCACTGCGTTTGAACATTGTATATTCCCTATCTCACCGACCATGTCAGCTCCTCAGTCCATGCCCAATGGCAGGAGAAACTCTGTCTCAGCCTCTGATCCACCTCAATTGTGAGTCCCCCAACATGTGTCCCTGTCCCCTCATTCAGCTCACACGATGGGCAGCATACCAATTCCCGTGAATCCCAGAGGTGTTCCTCAGTCTTCGTATGGTCCAACTTCGCCCACTCTCTCGACCTCACCTAGAAATACATTCTCCGTCTCCCCTGGCTCGCACACTCGTCAGAGAAGTCTCTCGTCTCTAGCTACACCCGGGGTGGCCAGGCAATTGACGGCTTTCCTACCCGCTGACTACCCCTTGGCGGAAGAAGAAGACGGACCGGGTGACAAGAGACAGGGAAAGCAGAGGATACTGCTGCTGGAAAATATCAATCTCGACGCCGCAGAATACTTGAAAAAGGCCGGCTTCGAGGTACGTCCAGCTGGCCTGAACTTTGATTGACGAGTCAAGGTGGACCACGTTACCAAAGCGTATTCAGAGGAGGAACTCGTAGCTAAACTACCGGCCTACGATGCTGTTGGGATCCGTAGCAAAACGAAGATCACCGCCAAGGTCATCGATGCTTGTCCCAAGGTGAGTCGGATCGGGCCCAAACTTTACAGCTGAACTTTTGCCAGCTCCTGGTTATCGGATGCTTCTGTATCGGAACCAACCAGGTCGATCTGCTGAAAGCTGCTCAACGTGGAGTCGCCGTCTTCAATTCTCCCTTTTCAAATTCTAGATCGGTCGCTGAGCTCGTCATCGCCGAGATCATTTCCCTCTCTCGACAGCTTCTGGACCGATCGAGCGAGATGCGAGCTGGGATCTGGAACAAGCTCTCTAAAGGGTGCTGGGAGATTCGAGGCAAGACCCTTGGGATTGTCGGATATGGTCACATTGGATCTCAGTTGTCTGTGCTCGCCGAAGCTTTCGGCATGTCGGTCATCTACTACGATGTCATCCCACTCATGCCTTTGGGATCCGCACGTCAGGTTGATTCGCTGCAAGAACTGCTCAACCGAGCGGACTTTGTCACTCTCCATGTCCCAGAGATACCGGATACCATCGGTATGATGGGTGCGGCAGAATTCGCTCATATGAAGAAGGGATCCTATTTCATCAACAATGCTCGAGGCAAAGTCGTCGATCTGGACGCTTTGGCCAGTGCCTTAGAATCTGGGCATCTGGCAGGAGCCGCAGTCGACGTATACCCCAAGGAGCCAGGTGCGAATGGTCCAGGCTTCAACGATAATCTTGGACCGTTCATTCCTCGATTACGCCAGATTCCCAACTTGATCCTGACGCCACATATCGGAGGATCGACGGAAGAGGCCCAACGTGCGATTGGATCAGAAGTCTCAACCGCATTGTCTCGATACCTAGATGTTGGAACGACACTGGGAGCAGTCAATTTCCCGGAGGTTGACCTTCGAGCCATCACGACACAAGACGAGAGGCATATCAGAGTCTGTCACGTTCACAAGAACGAACCGGGTGTATTGAAACGAGTCAACAATATTCTTGCGGATCACAACATTGAGAAGCAGTTCTCGGATTCAAAGGGAGATATCGCCTACCTTATGGCTGATATCAGTGATGTCGGCGAAGAAGAGGTCGAGAACATCTACAAACAGATCAGTGCTGCCTCATCAAACATCCTGACGAGATTGTTATGTGAGTTGGAAAAGGGTGCGGGCTTCGCTGACGAGTCAGACTAAATCAGAACTGCCATGATCTTGTACCTGCTTTCATTCATCAATACCATAGAATAGAGGGTGTTCGACCCACATGTATCCCTTGCACATAGCGCGTCTTCAGCTGGCGAATGTGTGTGGTTGCCACACTTGATACGCTCCCGAGCCACGCGGTGAAAATAAGCTTAAGTTCGCATTTCGGTCAAGCGAAAGCTCAGGCATGTCATCTGGATTCATGCGACGTCTTGAACAGGACCATCGAAACGATGATCAGTCTGCATCTGGCCTTAGGGACGGACGTGCATAGGATGTATACCTCACCTTCAAGAGCTAGACAGCTCTACCAGCTGACGAGATTGAAGTCCAACATTTATCTCAAGTCGAAATGGCCCAAGGGTTGAAAGAGATACTTCTATCGCATCCACAGAGTAAAGACAGGACACGATGCTCAAATACGCTCATCTATATAGATCTGAGATCTTGCTCCAAGCATCCTTATCAGTCAACAGCAAGAGACGTACGACGACGATGCTCAGAACAACCACGCAACAGCCTCCTACCCTGCTGCCATTCCATCTATCATTGGGTTCTCGAAACAAGCCCTATCTGGTATTGCCAACTACCCCTCGGGGCTGGGCACCTCTTCGAGAAGCTTATGATCCTTCGCACTTACCGACTCTCCCACCGCTTCTACCTCATTTTCAGGACATGATTCGCCAAGATCATCCAGAACTCATGACTCTGGCCAGGAAGGGAGATGCCATTGTCTTGAAAGCGATCAGACGGGCCATACAAAGGGCCACCAGCGGCGTGTGGAGACCAGGCGGTGCATGGGAGAATGTGAGTATCATCGTGTGACTGCCATCCGACAGTGCTTTGTTTGATTGAGCTGACGAGAAAACCTTTCTCTTTCTTTCGCCAGAAAGTAGAAAGCATTCTCAAATCGAACAACGTCTTTGCCTACCTAGCCATTTCACTCGGCATTGTCACTCATCATTCAGCCAATCATCTCCGCCTCAAGCGTTCGGCCGATCTATTCGAAGCATATCTTGGTGCTTATGAGAAACAATTCAACCAATCCTCAGCGTCTGGTGTCCAGATGACTCCTGTCCAATTGACGGTATTCCTCGATCAACTTTTCAAAGAGAGAGTATGGAGGATTCTCAGACCAGCCCTTCCTATTACGCCCACGACGTCGTTCCGGAAAGCGTTGCCCTTATTCCCCACCGCTACTATTACAGGGGGAGGTCCTCCTTGCCCTCGTACTTTGCTCGACATCATAGCCTTCTCACCTCTTTCCGGCAATCGTCTTCCTCTCACCCCTCTTCAGTCCCAGAACAACGCTCTCATCGATCCTTCCCCTCTTACCAACTCAGTCTCTCTTGTCGGAGGCGTGAAAGGAGGTACATCAGCGTCAGAGAAGTCGAGAAAAAGGAAGGACAGCAAGAAGCGTGGCTCTCGAACTCTACCTGAGGATAGACAGAACCAGCAACAACGCGTCGAGACGCCACTTCTCCGTCGAATCGTTCGGAAAAGGTTTGATGTCTGCACCGCCGCCAAAGCTGCAGCTCGAGATTTCACAAAAGATCCCATAGACGTCACACCAGCAGCTGCAAATGTCCCGGCCACTTGCAACCCAGTGAGAGCCTCCATTCAGCTACAAGCAGGTCCGGTCAAGGTGAAAGACACCATCGTCACACCGATCTCGGAGATTTCCGCAGTGGTCTCAGCGACCAATAAGCCCCTGACTCCCAAGGGACGGTTCTCGACAGCACCGGAGACCAAACTGAAGGGAGCAGCCATCCTGGACAAAGTATCACCTTCGCTGCCTCGTGAGGTTGAGAAAATCGCGATACCCATTGCGAGTGGAATACTAGGGCCACTGCCGAAGCTGCTCGCGAAAAGCGAGCTACTGGTCAAGGAGAAGGCGGAGGTCGAGCAATTGTGGTCCAGAGAGAATGGCAGACTGAGAGCTCGCAAGTGATGCGAACAGGGGGTGATACGATATCATATGACATCAAGACCTGACGACCTTAATGAGCTGCATCTATCTACATCATGAAAGATTCTTCTTCTGCCTCAGCAGACGTGTTCCACCTTTGCCCCTGAAGAAGCTCTCGGACCCAAATCTCTCGCAACGACTCGATTGAACGTCTCCATCATCATTCCGAACAGACTCCTCGATAAAGCTGCGTCCCATCTGCCCTTGCTCGATTCGTCCCGGATGAAAGCGTGCTGAGCTTGAACTTCGATAAACTAGGGGCAAATGTCAGCTCAGCCCGAGAAAGCATTAAGGCCAAAAGCTGACGTTCAGGATCACCCCTGCATCGTCCATTGTGTTTCTGATTAGGGATCTGCCTTCACGATCCACGTGCGTATCTTGTTTGCCAAATACCATGGAGATTTCGCCTTTGAGGTGTCCTTGTTCGATCCGCTGAAGCGAGTCATCTGATTTGCCTTTACCTAAAGTTGAGGAGTGAACACTGGAGAGATGTCAGCTTTAAAAAAACCTTGAAAACACTGTCTGAAGCTCACTCGGTAGCAAAGTAGCAGAATGAAGCCAGTACTCTGGGATCGAATGCACACTGACATCTCGTGAGCCTTGTGAATGGGCATTATAAGTCCAGCTCACTCTCAATGCCTGTGAACAATGTCAGCGATTCTCCATCTGGTCAAGAAGACGGACGCACCAGGTGACCCCCGAGACACATGCCCGTAGCTGCTATCCGCCCAGTGCAGTTTGATAAGTTGCAGAGCAGGTCCACGGATAGTGTCGCGTCCTGAGCGAACGTTAGCTTGCGGGTACCTGGCGTTCGATTGGAGCTCACCTCGTCGTAAGCTTCGACCGTCTTTTCAACCTGGATCAAGGAATCAAAATGTACGTTAGTGGAGGTCTCAGAAGACGCACGTCGGATAATTCCTACCTTGTACTTGTTTCCTCTGTCTGTTCCTTCCGTATCATAAGGGATAGCTTCCGGCCCTTCGAACTCGTGAAAGCTAGAGGGCAGAGCGACGATCCACCCTTCCGAAGCGATATTGCTGGCGAAGCTGATTCAGAGGTCAGTTACATTCAGGAGAATTGACGAGAAAAGCTGACCGTTCGACAGGCCCAGTTACTTGATATATCTCGCTGAAGACCACTACGCCTGGGAACTTGGCTTCCGGATACTCTGGGACGTTTGGCTCGATGACGTAGATCCGCATGGTCCCTTTACTGCCGTTCGCTGCGGTTGGAACATCTCGATGAGAGGTCTTGATGAGCATGGTCGGAGTTTCGTGGGGCTTTGAGAACCTGGGACTGAACGCTGGCGAGAGGATCTGGACAGCTTCGAAGCGAAGCGTCCGGACCACCTCCACCCCGGAGTAAGGTTATTATTTAGCTTTTGGAAAGCTAATAAAGCCAGACGGGGGCATTACAAAAGTTGTTCTAATTGGCTGAAATATATCAATCAACTGGTCCAAACGCCGACAGTGGCAGGAGGCGGCGAGTGACGCTAGCTGTCTGATCTGATCATTTGATCGTCTTGCATCCTCTGCTGTCTTTGAGTGTAGATACGGCCTCATCGCAGACGTGAAACGCGAGTGGAGGTCCCGTCCTACACCGACTGCGCGCCGATTCATCATGTCTGGCGGGTTCTTCGGATTCGACGCCTCTCTACCTGAACGAAGGGATCAACCTGGTAGCGTCCAAGGTCAAGGTCATCGCGCAGGAGGAGGAGGAGGAGCCGGTGGATTCACAGGTTTCCAAGCTTCGAACACTGCAGATACATTCAGACTTCACAACGCAGGTGCAGAGGAGGATCTTGCAGTATATCAATGGGGTGACAATATCGGAGGCAGCCTCTTAGAAGGTGGAGATGAGATGAATGACGAGACATTTGGAGATGTCGGAGCTGTAGGTGAGTTGGAATGGGAGAATCTTGACATGTTTCGATGATGTTGATGTCCTTTGACGAATCTAGGAAACGACTTTCAATTCTCTTCATATACAGCTGCTCCTTCGACAAAACCTGCCAAGATTGCGTCTACTCAATCGAGATACGGTCCCAAAAAGGCCTATGATCCATTTGCAGCGTCGGAAGATGATTTTTACGCCTCTCGACCGACTGGAAAGAGTGAGTCGCCAATCCTACACTGCCCATCTACCTTCCCATATGGGTCAAACCACCCTGATGATTGATCTTTTAGAGGCCACAAAGCCAGTCACCAAGACGAGAGCGCCTGCTCCGGCCTCGTCAAGCAGTCGACCCGCAGCTCCTTCTCAATCGCTTGAGAACCTATGGGATGCGACCCGTCAGCCTGTCCCGACATGGAGCACTGGAAGTACCTCAAGTAAGTCGTATCTTTACTGCTGCTCCGACCGTGTCGCTCTGTTGTTGACGCAATTGCCAGTCCCAGCTTCACAGACTTCCGCTCCCGCTTCCCATAAACCACCTCCGAGTCAGATCAAGAGTCTAGAGGAGATCGAAGCGGAGATGGCCAATGTCGCTGTGGACGACGTCCCTTCAACAGATCCAAGCCGCAAAGTCTTAACATTGGAAGAGATCGAACAGCAGATGATGGAGACTGCAGAACCAGTTTCAGCCCCCGTCCCTCCTCCGCACGCTCAGGTGTCTGCCGCTGCTATTCCCCGAGAGGCCACGCCCACTCAGACTCCCGGACTCGCAGGATCAGGCTACGCGTCTCAACAAGCTCTGCTCGATAGCATGTTCCCTGAACTTGGCTCAGCCGCACCTCAAGGTCCCACAGCATCCTTTGCCCCCGCTCCAGGTCAAGGGCCTATCTCTGCGCATCCTACCGAAGCCGAAATGGCCAGATACAGAGAGCTACATGATAGGTTGCGGGAGAAGATTGCAAGCATGGCCAAATACAATAACCTGATGGGATCGTCCGACAAGGATTTTATCACTCGTATCCAGTTATCACAGCTCGCCACTGCGGATCCTTACACCTCGGATTTCTACGCTCAAGTCTTCTCCACCATCCAGCGGAGTCGAATGGCAGCGATGCAAGGAGCCTCGGAACCTGATGGACCTAGCGTCGTTCAATTCTCCTCGGGTCTTGGATTCGGTGTTGGTGGACCCAACGCCAGTCGATTCGGGAAAATGGGTCAGAATACAATGCAAAAATTGACAAGTCAAGTGAAGAAGCTTGTAGATAATCGCCAACAGAGGGCCAATTCTATAGCGGCATTACAAGGTGCGCTTGGTAAAGTCACTCGAGGTGGATCTACTGGTCCACGACCGGTTCTCGCTGTTCCCATGCCTGCCCGTAACGAAGCTCGACCCGCTTCCGCTCTCAATCAACAATCTGGGATCCGCCGTCAAGCGTTGACGAAGAAACAAGTCATGTTTGCGCTCGAAGAACTGTATGACTCAGTCCTCGAATTGGAGCAGAAGCGTCGTGATATGCCGCCGCCCACGGCCATGGAGGAGATTCAACGGTGGAACGATCAATGCGGCATGATGTCTGAAATCGTTTGGAAGCGGTTGATGGTCATGGAGCCTTTGGATGTCAGGTGGGTTCCGCAGTGTGGGGTCAAGCTGGTCTCCGCTGAACTCTTTCAAATCAAAGTAACCCACACCCATTCATCTCCTTGATGAACCCAAGCAAAGGTCAAAGACTGTTTAACCGTCTTTTGAGACACCTGTCTCACCAACAGTGCCTCACGCTCCTCACCTTGCTCATTGCGACGTATCCTCAACTCGACGTCGTGGCGCACGCCCCACCGCCTCCCGTCACCGACTCCTCCCTCCTCACTAAAGCGGATCGAGCGGATCGAGCGAGACGGGAGGCAGAGACCGATGGGTTCTTGCACAACATTATCCCTGGAGTAGACATGATCATCAACAGGTGCAGTCTGGCCTTGGTCGCTGGACTTCTGGGTCTCTGTTCTCAACGTATGGAAGTGTGGAAAGTGGCCACAACACGGGTTAGCCTAGCGGTATTCCCATGCAGTGCGAACTGACGCTTTGAGATAGCCCGGTGTAGCGCTCTTCACCGCTCTCCTCTCGCGAGCTCAATCCATCAAGGGGAACCCCGTTCCTGATCCGACCAACCCAGCTCAGTCTCAAGGCCCAGAAGCGACAGAATTGGATCAATGGTGGGTGTTTCGTTTTGACTCTCTGCATGGAGTGTTGACAAACCCTCTCACAGGGCCCGACAATACGCCTACTTTCTCCAGACACTCCTTCCTCACCTACCATCGCTCTTCCCCTCGGCGGCTGCTCAACGAGCTGCTTTCGGCCCCACCGCGTATCTGATAGGAGGCGACAAGTTGTCCGAGAGAGACAGTATCGAAATGGAAAGAAGGGATGCCGAGGTATGGGGATTCATGGCTGCCCTAGCGGTCAATGCGCCAGAGGAAGAACAGATGAATCTCGTGGCGGCTTTGAGGGAGAAGGTGAGCTTAAGCGTCACTACCCCTTCAGAGAAGATTGATCTGACGGCACACTCGCTTCAGATCCTGCACACCGTTCAGCTGGCGAGAAACCCATCTACCCCGCCAGTCAAGAGAGACATGATGTTGCGAAACGTCAACATGTTCTTGAATGGTTTGGTGAGTGGCGAGACCCTATTTGAAGACTTTGTGCTGATTTGAGTCATTCAGGGTGGTCTCGACGTGTCCATGATCGAATAGACGTGAAATCCTGAGCCCACAAAGGCAATCTGTACTCTGACCGGAGTAAGACCATCTGAGAACTTTAACCGAGACTGTGTCAACAATGATGCACCATTTTGTTCATGCATCACACATTTGTCGATGATGTGAGAGTCGGCTCCGGTCCCATACAGAAAAGATACAGCATGAACAACCCTAAATGTATACAAGCACGACCGTCAAGATGTGTTAATTTTTTTTTTTTGCATCCTCCTTAGACCTCCTTGCTTGGTTCCTCTTCCGCTATGAACGCAGCCCAGCCTGATCTGCCTCCAAACGGCTTTCTCCTCGCTGACTCTGCTCGAGGAGAAAGCTCGACGAACGCTTTGGATACCCCGGTACCACCGTTATCAATGCCCTGTCCACCGTTCCTCCCATATCCATCCAAGATCCATCCTGGAGTCTGCGGTCTATCCTCTGAACCCGTCACTGCCGTCTTGATACTGATTGATCCATTCGATTCTCCTCTTGCTCCCTTTTTCTTCAATGCCTTTGGCTTCATCTCTGGAAAGTAGGAATCCCTCAATTCCGATAACGGTGATGATGTCTTGCCGTTGACTGCGGCAGTCAAGGCATGAAAGAATGGCGGTGTGGGAGAAGCAGAGAAATCTGTTGGAGGATGCTCGGGACAGGGTCGTTCGACATATTTGCTCTGTTCAAATAAAGGTGTAGGGAGTCTCGAACCGCTCTTGGACTGAGTGTGAAAGCTCGAGATTGATCCTTGTTGTTGATGTTGATGATGTTGTTGTTGATCCAGAGTTGCGGCTGAAGGCGGAAGCATCAGACCACTATCGATAGTGAAAGTTGATTTAAGTGATGGTAATGTCGCTTTTGTCCTCTTAGGAGATTTGGACAATCTCAGAAAACTCGTTTGAGAAGGTTTAGGGGATGAGATAGCTGTTCTATCTGTCATGGGGGGCGAGGGCCAACGAGCGAAGGGAGCGCCGGACAGACCGGAGGATACAGGTGGAGAAGGTAGAGGGAGGAATGGTCGATCCTTTTCAAGTGGATCAGAAGGGTCGGCAGGACCAGGACCTGACCATCGCCAGAACTAACGCGGGAGCGTATCAGTCACCGATGGCAGAGAGTGAAGAGCCGAAACGCACCGTTGTCAAAGGTTTGATGGATGGCTCCTTCTCCTTTTCATTTGACCTGTTCCGCGTCCGTTTCAACAGCCAAATTGCAAGAACGAGGGCAGTGATGGTTGCCAGAGATGAGCACACCGCAATGGCTGCGATGGTCCCTGCATTGAGCACCGAGGAGCTGGCTGAAGCGGCCTGATCGGGAGATACAGTGGGAGGAATGGGAGGGATAGGTACAGGCGCCGCGAGTGGCTCATTGGTGACGGGCAACCTGCGAAAAAAAAATATGACGATCAGCTGGAGACTTTGCATTAGTCAGTCGTATAGCTCACAATCCAGAAGTGGCGTTGACAAAGTCAAAGCTCAGTCTCTTGCCTTGTTCGACATTCCGCAATGTTAGGTTATGCTCGGCATTGTTGAGACCAGACGTGTGATAGAGTAAAGATTGATACACTCTTGGCCCGCCGGAAGCATCAAACAAGCCTTCGGAAAGTCCATCCAAGAGGACTTCGTAGATCCTTGAAGACAGTCAGAAGGGCGTCATGCTGCGATTGCACCGAGTTGTGCTCACCCAGCCTCTCCGCCAGAGATACCAAATGTCCAAACGGATGTCCCGTTGAATCTGATCGTTGTCGATGCGTTCACCTGCTCAGTCCATGAGATAGAACCATTGAAATCGTTGTTCGACATCTGGAGCTCTGAGTCATACTGGGTCTAGGCGATGGGCATCAATAGGATTGTCTTACGGAGTAGTAAAGGAGCCGCATCTACCCACCGTGTTAATCCAATTTGACGCAGACTGCTCCAACATGTTCCAGGCTGGAGTCAGAATCACTTTATCCTCCCTCCATGCCGTATCGTCGATCGTCTCATTGGAGCTCTGAGCGGTCCACAGACTTCCAAGACCACCAGTGATGCCGTGGAAAGTGATATCTTCGCTCTGATCAGACGGCTGGTGGATGTCGAGCTGAAATGAGTAAGAGCCAAATTTGAGATTGGAGACAGACGTCGCCGTGACATTGGAAGTTGAAGGAGGATCCTCGCCGTCTATTGAGATTGATGTCGTGATGGATGGAGAGACATCTCCGAGGTGGAATGAGATGGAAGTTCCGGTAAAATTGAGGGAGATGGACGTATCAGGGGCGGTGGTCCTTCGACCAGAAGATGACGCCTGGTCATTGGCAGCAGGTGCGCTTGAGAATCCCAGAGATGGGTCACAATCTCTACATGGTGTGTAGCGGAACAGGGGCGAGCTGTAGAACCGCAAGTTGTCAGATAAAGGTACTTCGCAGGGAAAGCGGGGCCTTTGAGCACTCACGTCGCCGGGATAAAAGTCTCCATTGGATGGTGTGAGGGCGATGAAGAGTGCCAGGTTCGACTTGGATGGAAATTGAGCACTGATGATGAGTGTATCTGAGTGGTATTGAGTGTCACGGGTGGCTCGAGATCAGTAAGGAGTAGTGGTGGTGTGTAGATGAGCTGACTGCTGGTCGCCGAGAGTTGAATAGACGTCCAAGCGTTCCATCATCATCAACCCTTTTCAGAATCCATCAGGTCATCGCTGTTGAACACCCCACCCATCGCGTCTCTATATCGCCACCGACCCACCCAAACAAACATCCGTCGTCAAGCAAAAGCAAAGGGCACCATATTTCAGGAGGCACCAGTCTAACTAGAAACACTTCAAAGGGGGGGGAAGGGGCATTTAGTGACTTTTGGAAGGGGGGAAAAGGAAGTCAGAGAGTGGCACATCATCATCATCATCATCATCATCATGGCCAAGGATATGTCATGAGTCAACGGTCAGTCGGTGCAGCCTAGGTGATTGGAAATCGCACTGTTCGCATCCGGAAGCACGCTCAGCCATCCTTCCTATCCGTTTCGCATCTCTGCACGACCACGAGTCCCCAATCATATGGGACATTTTGACATGGCTTTGGCCACATCCTCGAGCATGTTGCGAGCTTTCGGTCGTTGGTCGGTGGTGTATATGGGTCGCATGCAGGCAACAGGAGACCTCGCTTCACCTCTTCGCCAATTTGGTTCCGGCGACAGTGTCCGTTTCCACTTACTCCGTGCCTGGAACTTCTTCGGCTCGCTCGGCAATTAGCCATACCAAATTTTCTTGTCTGATAAGTGTACAACCAGAACTTGTGTTGAAGGGGGACCCTGTTGAGCGGGAAGGGAGGGGGTTCAAATTCGAGCAACACAACAAAAAGGGAGTGCGCAAGGATGTACCAAGTCATGGCTCAATGATGGCTAGATGGAGCCCTGGGAGCCTCCTTGAGCAGCTCTCACAGCTCTCCGTGCAATATTGCTTCACGCGGCCACATGGACACAATATTCCGAAACCTGCAGGGTCACTGGGCGGCGGGGCGTGAGAATGTTCCTTGGAGAGACAGCTCGTCTTGTCAGTGGATGCAATCGAAGCTGAGTGTCCTCCGGATGTCGACCCATCTATTGGCTTCCCAAACTTCTGGTCAACATCCCCCTGCGCTATGCGTCTGCGCTATCGTACTGAAGCATAGCAAAGCCCAAGCTCGATGCAAAAGGCCATGCAGCCGATGTCCGGCCGAAGGTCATGACGCAAGACTGCCACACTCACCACCATTACGCGTCATCACTGTACTATTATTTTTATTATTAGCCTCCGCTCCCTCCTTCCCTCCCCCCCTCCCAGCCGCCACCAGCCTCTGTATCGGGCACGGCATGGCAAGGTCCCCCCCCCCCCCTTCTCTCCCTCTTTCTCTCTCTCTCTAAGCCGCTTCTCCCGTCGCCCCGTCGCCCCGTCGCCCGCCCTGCGCCTCACTGGCAAACTCACTCATATTTTATTATTTTCCTCCTCTTCCTTCTCTTCGGTGGTATAACATTCGACTGATCCCTTCGATCTGGGTCGTGGTTCAAAGTGGTGTTGCGTCGAGTTGTGCAGCGCTCGTACGGTGTGAAGCATTCGTCCATTCAGTATCTCTCTCTCACTTCACCCTTATCGTCTTGCGCCCATCATGCACGAAGGTCCTGCTACATCGGGATCCACATCATCATCAAAGACACCATCGACTTCCTTTACTCCACCTGATTGGACGCCAAGCTCACGCTACTCTCGAGGCTCATTCATAGCTTTTGCAGGATGTCTGTGGAGATGCGAGGTCGATCATACCAGTTCGGATGGCGAGAGAGGCATTGTGAGTGTTGAGGAGACAGAGAGAGCAACAGCATTGTGTGTCAACTCATGTTACCGTTTTAAAGCCACCGAACAACCTCCACCTTTGGACACCATTTGCCCCAATGTTTGCGCCTCGGCCACCCAACTCGGCAAATGCTGAGCAACCTCCATCTTATGGCTACCCTTATTATCCAGCTCATCAGATCTCATCGGCATCAGCCGAGGAGAAACATGATGAAGTGTTCGCCTCGGACTCAGAGGATGATTCTGGCCATTGGACCGTGATCGATCGCGGAGGATCAGAGGATCTAGTAGCTTCTCGTCAAGCTACGGCGATGGAGGAGAAGCATGTGGCAAAGTCTCGACCCGAGCTCGAAGCTGAGCTTCATGGTGATCGCGTTTGGAAATCGGCAGGAATTGGGATCTGGAGTTTCAGTCTTGATCCCAATGAGGAGCAAAACAAGGCGTCTGTGTGGAGAGAATGGAATGATCGACCGAGTAAAGATGCCTGGATCAAAGCCGCGAGAGCCAGGACAAGGGTGTACAATGATGGTGAGCGAGTTACAAGGTGGTCACAGGACATTGAAACCTGTCCCCTTCTTTTTTTCTAGCCTTGCAGACCCCCAAGCCCGTTGTCATGTGGAAGCTCGTGGAAGGAGGGGAAAGTTTCCCCTCCGACGCCATTCCTGTAGGGCACGAAGCAGATGGGCAGACGTTGTTCGCCGCTCGGTCGCTGTACGCCGGCGGTCTTCATCTGGGCAAGGCCTCGCACACAATGTTCAAGGGATCATCCATTTCCTTTGCGGGTAAAGAGCTCATCACCGATACGTTTGAAGTTTTATGCGGACCTAGAGATCCTAGAACGCTTCAATGGAAGAAATATAGGCATGGGGAAAAAGCCGTCGTGGGCAATTGGCAGCCTGTCGAAGGAGGCCGCGAGGCCGACGGACGAGCTTTGTTGATCTCACGGGCCGAGCATGCACAGTGAGTATTGAGCAAGGAGTCTGAGGTCATGGCTGACGGAACAATCGCAGCGGTCTTCATCCCGGTAGTAGGTCGTAGACTGACTGACAGATGGCCAAAGACTGACGTTCCTGCCGCGCAGAAATCCTAGTCGGCGACGATCATGCCTGTCTTGGATACGGCGGTGGCGAAGTCTGGGTCCGACCGTTTGAGGTCCTGGCATACTCGGCCAAAGCCTGATTGAAAGCATCTCCCCTACCGCCGCGTAACATTTTCCTCTCCTTGTCAACCTTCTATCTCTTTCTCTCATCTGGGTACCACGGACATTACAGTTTTCGATCAAAACACATATCCATTCGGGACTCGATATCATTTTTCTCACACATAAATGGGACAAACTGTACAGACACCCATTCTGCATACAGAACCGGAAGACGAAGAACACACACTCCCTCTCTCAAGATAGCTGTAGCTCTAGCAAACATGTTTTCTGCCTCTCTCGTACGCACACCCCTTGCTATATTACTCAAGACATATGCTCCAGATCGAATACATGCAAACGTGCCATATCATGTCGGCGTGCGCTCCAGGCGACTGTCGCTCTCGTCACATCAACGGCCCTCGTCCTCATGCTGTGGTTGATGCTTCCATCTCGGAACGTTTCATTGGATCTCGTGTGCCTTTGCAGACTCGATGCCCGACCTCTGACCTATGACCAATGATCAGTATTCGAACGCCTGTAGTACTTACTACTCTAACTCGCGCTTTCGCTCTAGACTAGCACCTTTTCCTTTGACAGATCCTTGCTGATCCATTCGAGGGGTAGACCTATCGAAAGGAATTCGAAATCGCCACGGTGTCAAAGGGAGAACCCTCAGAAGGCATGTCTTTGGAAGCTTCACGTCACCTGAAAGGGAGATCGGGACGATGTCGGAACTGTTGAAAGGGTACAAGGTCGTACTCGGCTTTGATTCCCACGAACTACTCGAAGGGACGTTGCGGCCAGTCGCTTTATGGATTTTCGAGGTCCAGATGCGAAAAGACTGACCGTGCGATCGTTTGGACGGTCAACGCGCTCGACAAGCTCTTGATGAGCTCATTTTAATCGTCATGAATCGACCTCATCTAGCTGGCGAATCGCATTGAATCGGCCAGAATCTTCACTTGGGAACCTCTCCCTGGAAATCAGCTCCGCCTTGCCGCTCAATACTTTGATCACAATGTGTGAACTCGTCCCTTCCGTCACGTTGTACGGGACGACCCAGATCCAAACGGTGGTCTCACTCACCTCGACCTCGACATTCGACGTGACGATGGAACCTCAAGTACACCTGACCACGAATTTGAATGGGGTTCCCTGTCCGCCCGGTCAACAAGACTGTCAATTTAGTCAGACGGCTCTCGTCACGGACACGCCGGTCTATCAAACGACTAAAGTCATTACCACATCTTCGACCAGCTTGATCACTCAGGTGATACCGCAGAAAACGCTCTACTACCCTTGTTCAAGCACTGGAGCCGGCGATGGAGGTGAAAATGCCGCTCAAGTAGAGACGTCAGCGGATGATCATCCGCCACAGACCTTTTCAGAAGCAGTCTCATCGTTCGCCACACCGGCATCATCGGCCGTTCCCACAACCACGAACGATGTGACAGCCTCCGTCATTGACTCCCTACAGAGTGTCTCGACCAAGCCTGCGGTCGGTCATTCTTCCAGTCAGAAGATCGTCAGCCCTTCAGCTTCATCCACAATCCTTGCCAATCCTACCTCTGAATCGTTGATCGTCGCATCCGCCACAAGGTCCAACCTGTTTTCAAGCATCACCTCCTCATTCCCTTCTGGAGGCACAGCAGTGCAGAACAACCAGGACACGAGCGGAAGCTCTGGCGCAAACGTACCGATCATCGCGGGCATCGTTGGAGGAATAGGTGTTCTCGTCCTACTGATCAGTTTCTGCCTCTGGTGTCGTCGACGAACGAGACTCCCGGTATCGAGAGACAGCGAACGAGACGCCTCTAGCATCTCGACTGATTTCTGGGAGAGAAGATTCAGACAGATCGAAGCAGAGGGTGATGGTGAGGATGTTCAGCACGGCGCAGGAATGGATGAAAAGGTCGTGGCGGAAGGTGGTGGAGTCGAACGAGTAGGAAGTAAGAAGATCCGAGTGAGTGATAAGCGAGGGAATACATCGTATTCAAACCTTTGATACGGAGACAGAAAGAGCTGATCTGACCTGCCTTCAGTTGACGTTGGACCTCGGTTCAAAGGATCTACCGAGTAGACCTGTATCGACCCTTTCAGCCATTTCCAGTTTCTTCAGATCCCACAAAGGCACTGCACTCCCATCTCGGGCCTCTCCAACCGACACCAACGCTCGCCCGTTAAACTTTTCACGACCTCGATTTGGTCAAAAACGTGGTTGTTCCTCGTCTACTCCTCGCCCCTTATCGTCATCTACCAGCCGGAGCAGATCGTCACATAGAACTCAAGAGAGTGTCAAGTCTCTCAGTCGTTGGCTTGGTAATTCAAGTGGGTTCCCATTCGCGAGCAGAATCCCATCATCGTCGTCATCGCTGTCGTCTCCACCGCGAGTGCATCAAGAACTTGTTGGCTCGAGAGATCTTGTGGAAGGCTCGACGTCTCAACGATCAGAAGAGGATCCTGAGTACCTTGATCGATCGTACGATCCGAATGACCCGACATCCGCTCGTAACCCATTCAATGAGCGGCAGTATGCGCCTCCCCGAATGACCACCGACGAGGAACCAGTTTACCCTCTGCAGCCGAACGATGGGACAAACGATGCTTCGGACTTCCATATCCACCCAGGGATAGGTATCAACTGGCGTCGCTTGACCCCTGGTGCCGCACCATCCCTTTCATCCAAATACACTACCTCTGACATGTCTCGTTCGACCATGACGAGTGAATCGTTCTCCTTACCCATGATGAGTATACCTCAACGCAGTACGGTCGATACGATGAGTACTGGTCTCGTTCCAATCTCAGGATGCCAAACTCCTCCTCCTGCTCCTGCTCCACCTCCTTCTGCTTATACTTGGGGGGCCCAGCAATCCGCCTCAAAGTGGAAGTCACCAAGTACCTGTCGGTCATCTTACAATACTGGTTCTGAAGTTTCCATTTCTGCCTCGAGACCAGTCACGCGAGAGTACGTCGGCATTCCGACTGCCCATCGCGATCCCTCGATCTCTTTCAATCCGTCTCGTGATACCGCGGTCGACGATAGTCAATCTGATCACGTCGTGTCCTCCTCCGTCATCCGTCGGCCGCCTCCGCCTCCGCCTCCGCCACTTCAATTCAGCCGAGAGGCCATCACTCCCAGTCTATGGGTCGACGAAGATGCCTATGATAGGTTCAGAGAATGCCAAGGTAGAGACATTACAAGTCTTCACCTATCTGATGATTCTTTATCGATCGATCCGGCGATAGATCGTGGTCATGATCATGATCGTGATCATGGGTCGGATGACCGTGGTGAAACTCGCCAAGTGAGATTCAGGACGTCCAAAGAGACTTTTGGTCATATCTCTCAGTCTTCGTCCTCGTCCTCTGAGCACAGACACGATTCAACATCGCCAAGATCAATAGCGTCTTCCTACCGTTCTCAGACGACGACCGCCACGGAGACCAGCGGTGCCTCAATCACATCTTCAAAAGAAGCTTCTGACAGCTCGGGACCCAACCGACTGAAGAGGAGCGCCGTCACTCCGCAATTGCCACCTTTGAACCTCGGTGGATCAACAGGAATGCGCCTCGGCACAGTGGGAGATGAAACGGAGGAAAAGATCATGTCTGTATATGTTGCCAAGTCTGAAGTTTGATACCCCCCGCTTGATGCTTGCCTGGGTCCCATCATGTCATATAGTCCCAGCTGAAATGGATGTGTTTTCGAGAATGGAGTCTGACCTTCAAAAGGTCTATGTCGTGCATAACAACGCTGGCCTGCGCAGCTCATTGAGCTACGTGCCAGTTCAATCTCTCAGCCCACTCCTTCTTCTTCAGGGTCAGTAGAACTTCAGCGACATCCTTGGCTCCATTTCCACTCAGACAACTAAATGCTCTCTATCAGCCACCATGCCCCAGCAGAGATCCCATCAAGAGCTAAGACTTACATGACCACATCCTTATCCTTTGGCAATGTCTTTGCCAACTGCATACCTCCCCAGAGACCGTGTGAGGACTCGAGAGCGGGGATAATGCCCTCCAGTTCTGTGCACAATTTGAAAGCTTGCAAGCATTCGAAATCATCCGCAACAAGGTATTCGGCTCGCCCGCTGTATTTTAAGTGTGCGTGCTCAGGTCCGACGGAATTGTAATCGAGACCTGAGAAGTCGCTTAAGCATGTGTACAATCCCGATAGCCAACTTTGGCTCACCAGCACTGATAGAGTGTGTCGGTATCAATTGACCCATGGCATCCTGGATAATGTACGAGCTCGCACCGTGTACAACTCCGATGACACCCTTGGCCAAAGTAGCTGAAAAATCGGGTCAGCTTCGATGTGATCAGCCGCAAGCAGGCTCACCTGAATGTAAAGGAGTGTCGATACCTGTGGAGGAGCGTTCGTCAGCCACAGCTCGCCAGGATGATAGAACGACTCGCCATTTCCACCAGCTTCGACTCCGACCAACCTCACACTCTCATCCTCGATAAAGTCGTAAAATGTGCCGATTGCGTTACTTCCACCGCCAACACAGGCTACCACAGCATCAGGCAGCTTGCCACACTTCTCCGCCATTTGAGATTTGATCTCTCGTCCAATGATGCGTTGGAAGTCTCTGACGATGGTAGGGAAAGGATGCGGGCCAATAGCAGAACCGATGAGGTAGTGTGTGGTGTCGAGGCAAGTGACCCATTCGCGCATGGCCTCGTTGACGGCATCTTTGAGCGTCGCTGTACCGGATGTCACGGGCACGACCTGACGTGGTCAGCCCACAGGAGACGGAAAATTGGGGGCTGACTCACCCTTCCACCCAGCATTTTGATTCTGAACACGTTGAGCTCCTGTCTCCGGACGTCTTCGGCCCCCATGAAGATGGTACACTCCATTCCAAATCGAGCACAGACAGTGGCGGTTGCCACTCCGTGTTGTCCTGCACCGGTCTCGGCAATGATACGAGATTTGCCCAAACGCTTCGCGAGGAGGATCTGGATGGTGTCAGCTGATTTCGAGAGAGGATGAAGCTCACCTGTCCCACGGCGTTGTTGATCTTGTGAGATCCGGTATGGTTCAGATCCTCTCGCCTAAATTCGGTGAGTCATGCATCGATGGAACGAAGCTTTAACTCACTTGAGCCAAATTTTTGCACCTCCCGCGTGTTCTGTCAATCTCTCGGCTAGATACAGCTCGCTGGGTCTTCCAATATAGCCGTACATGCTCTCAAACTCCTTCCAGAACTCCGGGTCATTTCGAGCCTTGACAAACTCATCTTCGAGCTCGTTGAGGCAATCGACGAACGCCTCCGGGATATAGGCACCACCAAAAATTCCGAATCGAGAAGGTAGCTTGCCAGCAGAGTTCACCTTGAAGGTGGAACCGCCGACCGGCTCATCGGCTGGGATCGGAAGGGGAGGAGACGGATGTCCCTCAGCGTCACCGTTGTGATTCTGCTTCAGACGTCCGAGAGGTCGCTTGTCTTGACCCTTGAGGGAAATCTCCCTGGCGTACGCCTCGACTGCCTTGGGAGCATCGCCTTCTGAGGCACCCTGCTGGATGACCTTGATGATTCTTGAGCCAATGACCACGCCGTCTGCCCCGGCGGAAGTGACGAAATCAAAGTGTGTTCGGTTGTCGACTCCAAATCCGACGGCCAGAGGGACTGGGGTGAAGGCTTGAATCTTCTTGATGAGCTCAGGGAGGGATGCAGACATGGATTTGCCCGCATCGGATCCAGTCACTCCCATCTAGACGAGTCAGCCATGTGGAATAACGCGAACTCACCTTTGATACGACGTAAATGAACGAGTCGGCGATGGAGGACAGGTACTTGACTCGCTCGACACTCGTGGAGGGTGTGATCAGGGGAACGTACGAGACGCTGAGCTCAAATTAGCAATAGAAGCAGAGCGTCCGAGCCTCTTCATTCACCCTGATGATGTGCAAATTTCTCTAAATTTCGCTGCGTCCTCAGGAGGCAGATCGACAATGATGAAGCCATTCGCCCCGGCCGCAGCGGCGTCGGAGGCAGCCTTTTCTTCTCCATAAGCGATCAAGGGATTATAGTAGCCTGACAACAGGATGAGTTCCCAGGTCTACTCAAAGAAAGGCCACTCACCCATGAACAGGACGGGAGCCTTTAGGCCTTTTGACCTCGCTTCTTTCACGTATTCCAAGCATTCAGCATAGTTGACGCCATTTTCCACGGCGACCTGAGTCAAGGGGTCCATTCAGCAAGGTCTCAGATCGACGTATCCTGACCATCCTCACCGTGTTGGCGGCTTGAATTGCAGGTCCATCTCCAATTGGATCACTAAAAGGAACTCCTAGCTCGATGATATCTGTACCACCGGCTTCCAGTGCCAGCATGAGATCGACAGTAGACTCTTTCTTGGGGAATCCCGCAGTCATGAAGCCCACAAAGACGCTTGGTGGACAACCAGTGTCAGTACTGCGTGCAAATGCCAAGGTGTTCTGAACATTGGATGAAGTGGCTCCAACTCACGCTTCATCCTGTGAATACAATACATGAGCATGTGAGAGACAATTTGAGCGGCTGACATTCCACTCACCTGCTCCTTCTTGTCCGCAAAGACTTTCTTGATAGCTTCTGCCATGATGATCAGCTTATACGTCTTAATGTCAAGCGATGCGAGTCGTCGATGCTCCTCCACTGAAGAGAGACCACCAACTTTTTGAGTCGATCGGGCGGCAAGCTCCATCTTCATTAGGATCGCTCAATTGCCATTAGTAACCAGAAATCCTAATGATCGATTAGAAAGACCTCCACACGTCATGATTTTGACCACCTCTGGACGCGACTTGCCAATTTCTGAAACCGCGGGAGTTTCGGGACGGCTCAACCAAAATGAAAGCACCATTCGAAGTCAAGTGGGCTCATGTTCACCATCCTGGAAGCATGGCAGCCACGCCCGAGACACAAAAGCTCGAATGGGCTCATGTGGCAAGGTAGGGAGGAAGTGCAGCTGTAATCAACCATCACTTCTTCGCTCTCCAACTAACTTGCACCCGCTCGCTTCTTGAGGTTTGGCCACTCTTATCCATCATCAACAATGACACCATCATCCTCCGACATTCCGCCTCTTGGATTATTCATCCAGCCTGCATGTCTCCAGCATCGCTATATCCGTCATGCCAACTCCTCGCACATTTTTGAACGGCCCGAAAGGCTGAGAGCTGTGCTTCTTGGCGTAGCAGCGGCAGTTGCGAGACTGGAAGAAGCCGAGTCACTATTGACGATTACTCAAACTCAAACCGCCTCAAACGAAACAAAGGGGAACTTGCAAGCTGGCTCTCAGGCAAACGCCCCCATTCCTCCTTCGACGTCTACATCTGATGATCTCTCTGGGCTACTGTCTGGGCTGAGCATATCGAGAGACTTCATCTTGCCCTCCGCACATCTTGACATCGTCCCTGCCGCTCCTGCTCCTTCATCACCTGGACAAATTCTCCTACATCACCCTGCTCTACAACTCGCACATTCAACACCGCCATCTGAATCGATGTATAGGGCAGCCCTTACCGCGTCTTCGCCATACTTGAAGAACCTTTACAAGTGGGCATCAGAAGCCGTCAATACCATAAAAGAAACTGGTTGTGAGATTCCCTCAGGATTGGGATTGAATCAAGGGGATTTATACCTGGGTCCTGGGAGTATACTGGCCATCGAAGGAGCGGTGAGCGCATCTGGCGTGTGGCTCTGTAGAGGGGTTGCTGACCTTGTTTCAGGTCCAGACCGTCTGTCAGGCTGTCGACAAGATCTGCGCCATTCTCGAAGCGATCACTGAGCCTCCGATCAAAGCACCTTCAACACCGCCATCAAAACCGCCATCAACTCCTCCTCTTCCTCCCCCCACATCCTCCTTCACAAAAGCATTCTGCGCAATCCGGCCGCCAGGACATCACTGTGGCGAAGATTCCCCTTCAGGTTTCTGCTATGTCAACAATGTCGTCGTAGGCGCTCTGCACGCATACCTCGAGCATGATATCGATCGAGCGATCATTATCGACTTTGATCTCCATCATGGAAACGGCACGCAAGCTCTCGTCATGCCTTTGAATGCAGCATCTCACGCCGAGGACATAGCTATCAAAGGCGGGAAACCGAACCCGACTGTTCTTGGACGCAGGGCCAAACCACGGAGAGGCTGGAAAGGGTTCTATGGATCTGTCCATGATATCTACTCTTATCCTTGTGAGGATGGGGATCTCGACCTCATCAAGGACGCTAGCCTGAGTCTCGCCGCTCACGGGCAATATATCGAGAACATCCATCTCCAACCTTATACGACCGAGGCAGACTTTTACGAGAGGATCTATCCAAAGTATCTGGCGCTGCTGGACAAGGCCAAAACGTTCATGCAGGAGACCGGCGCAGACTCGGAGAGGACTCTGATCCTGATTAGGTAAGAAGAGAGGTTCTGGTGACTTCAGGGATTGACATTTACCAGTGCGGGATTTGATGCTTGTGAACACGAGCATCAGCTGATGCAGCGACACGACCGTCGAGTTCCAACTTCCTTCTTCTCCCGCTATACAAGAGACATTGTCAAGTTTGCCAACCAATACACTCAAGGCAAGATTGTGTCTGTGCTCGAAGGCGGATACAGTGATCGAGCTTTGACTAGCGCAGCTATGGGACACATCATAGGGATGTTGGACAGGTCAGGCGAGGCATCCTGGTGGAGTGAAACGGAATTGGTCAATGTGAGTCGTGCCCCATTCACCCGAGCCTTGCTCAATCCTTCCGCCAGATCGAAAGAGCCACCAAGAAGAAACGCACAGGACCCCTCGCCCCGTTCCCCAAAGAAGTCTCCCATATTCCATATCTCCACCGAACGCATGCGCTCCTTGGTCATTTCGAAGGCACATCAGCAGAGAATCTGTCCGCGACCAGTACGCCTCAGCAGTCTCGTATGGCTCTAAGAGAGAGGAAAGCAGCCTACGGAGAAATACAAGAAACCACACCGCCTGCACCGGCTAGGAGAGCGCGAGGTCGAGGTGTGTCCACTCCAGCCGGTGCACCTCGTGCCAAGGCCTCGGAAACTGCCACGACACCGAGCGGGAGGAAGAGTCGAGCGGTTACACCCGCTAGATCGTCCATTCCCGTCAACCACGATCCGATGCCAGAAATCAAGAGAGAGCCGAGGGATACAGCGCCACCGTTGCCGACATCTTTGACGGCGAAACTGGAAGCTTCTAGTCTGCCAAAACAATCTGCAAAGCATACCGTCGATCCGTCTCGAGTCCCACTTCCCGAATCCCCAGCGGCTAATAGGGTTTTGCCTAAAATCATTCCGCATCAACCGTCACCTCTGAAAGTCGGTCAAGTGTCAGCCTTTGTTCCGTCTCAATCAGCCATGTCAGTCTCGAACCTCTTGTCGGCAGCGAGTGATAGGCAGTACCCTACGCACCGATCCCCAAGTCCCAATGGTCCACATAAAATCATGCTCCGATTGACTCGGACGCCGTCGCCAGTCAGTTCAGCTGCACAGACAGCGCAGGGCACCACTCCTCAGCCTCCCAATCCTCCTCGGGCCGATCAAGCTGCTTCTTCAGCCGGACGCTCAGACCTATCGCTTCCCCTGACGACGATTCCGCCAAATGACCCTCGACGCTACATTCCCATGTATCCGCCATTACGGTCTGAGAGCTTCGGAGACAGAATGGATGTGGATGATCAACAAGCATACAGAGAGACTTCTGCAGGAGCATCGAGCGCATCGTCAATGACGGATCAACAAAGCGGTAAGAGCTCTACCACTCAACCGTCACTCGAGTCTTTCAGGGCTGAGAGCCTGGGGTCAAATGCAAGTAGTGGTGGGCCTGCCATGCCGGGGAAATTTGCACAATAAAGTAAGGACATGAGCGAAATGCATAGTGCAGTATTCAATGCGGGCGAAGGTCCAAACTCGGGGCCTCGAATTGACTGACATTAGAGAGCCGACCTGACTAGGTGTGATAGAGGAGCATTTCGATCTTAACACCAAGGTTGGCAAGTGAGGAGCGGCGAAGCGTCTTCTTATGCTAAGGCCACGTGAGCTTTTCTCACGAGCCGTTGCGACCGCTGGACTGTGTGCAGAGGGGGACATCATGCCAGTGATGGTGATTCTAGGCATTCGGGGCCTGGACATATGTATTCTTCTCAAGCTGAACCGAAAGGTCAGTTTGGGCATCCTCGAGGATGTCCCGAATCATATGCTCACTTCCTCTTGAAGCAGATCCTTGACCTCCTCCAAGTACTGGCTCCTCACGAGCAGATGTGAAGAGTCTTTGACTGTTTCGAGTTCAGCGGGGTCATGAGAGAAAGGTTGTCGAAACTCGCCGTCATGTAGGATGAATTTTGAGGGTCCATCCCGTTGCTCATCGAGATGCAGAAGAATTTGTTTGGCTGCCGAGTCACTGTCAAGAGGATGAGATTATCAGCGATCTGATAATGTTATGATCATGATCAAGGCGGGGTCTAGACGATGACTTCGCTGTCCCTTGGATTCTAGACGATGACGCACCATGTCACAAGAACTCCGTGTGTGACCTTGACAGCGTATGGATCCTGGATCCCGGCACTCATTGAAGTGGACACGAGCAGAGAGAGGGATGTCACGATGATTATGAGTAAGCGATGCCTTGGTGAAGCAGCGGTAACAACCTTGACGGAGAATGACAGAACGGCAAGGACAGAGATTATTATAGTTGAAATTGTCCTGGGCTCCCGGCAAATTGGTGCGGCCATTCAGCCGGGGATTGCAGCCTAGAGGCTTAGGATTATTAGACTAACTCTGTCGAGGCTACGTGTGTCTAAACTTTGGTCTGGGGTGAATGAGAACGGTGGCGACGATCTTGAGCTATATCATTCCAGATTCAAACTCTTCAACCTAGCCCTAGCTATCAAGAACACATCTGTCATGGCTCTAGAACACTCATTTCTCCATTCCGGGCTATCGGGATCTCGTACCCTTTCTTGGATTTCGGGAGAATCGACCGCTGGTCGATCTACAGCTGAATCGTCCGGTAATGGCTCTGGAGAGACTGTGAGACCCATGTTCTCCTCCATCTCGGGGACGATGGCTGTTCTTGGACGCCCATTGACAAAAGTTATGTACCGTAAGCCCGGGTAAAGGGTGCAATAGAGCTCATTGAGGTGAGCTAGTCTGATAAGTTGGTTGAGTGAGGGCAACAAATGATATCCGATTCAAGGATTCACACACCTTTTCAACACCACCGGCCTCGTTGCTGGTCCTCCGCCCTGCTCTTGCCCACTCAAACCCCCTTTGACCTCTCCAATCATCGGATGACCATTGATGAATGCCCCTTTATCTTTCCATTCCCACTCGCTCACTACTTCTTGACACAAGCTTACGATCTCTCCAAATGTCGAAGGAGGATTCTCCCGCGCAGTCAAGCGGAGAAGGACAGAAGGGACCAGATGGGATCGTAGTTCCGGTGTGGGCTCGAGCAGGAGAGATAAGAGCGCATTCAGGGTATCGGCATCTTGACAGTCTTCGACCTTCAGCATCGATGGATCAAATCTGGCCATGGTGTATGGGGTCAGAGAATCGATATTGTAGCCTAGTCCGACACTGTCCCAGCTATTGCTCGCCTTGTCAATCGCATCGCTCCCAGCAACAAGAAGATCTAGTTCGCACACCCTTGGCCCCGCCAAGACGGAGACTGCAAGATCATCCCACACATGGCGGCGATCGCCGTTAATTAGGCCACGTTTCGAATTTTTCGGGGGAATTTGGGGGAGGAAGAAGGAAAGGTTTCTTTCGCGTTCAAACTCGCTCCAATCATTCCACTCCCAACCATTCGAGCAGCTTTTCACGTCGAGCTTTGGACAAGACGAGCACATGAAGAGGCAGCAAAAGGACTGATTCCCCTCTGGTTCTCCGTGTCTAGCCTCTCTTTCCCTCTCTCATTCCACCATGTCATCCTCGTCGAGCTTCTTCTCTGCGTTGCGCAGCAGAAGCAGTAGCATTTCTTCCACAATTCGGTCTCGTAGCACTAAGGACACGGAAACGCCTCGTCGTCCACCTCTCATATCGTCTGAATCACTCTATTCTCTCATCTCGTCAGCACCTTCAGGTGCGTCTGACGCTTCGGATGATGGGGAGATTTCTTCGAAAGAAATGGAGATGGGGCCAGACTTTTTGTGGATGACTACGGAGGAGCCGCACAGGTCGAGACGGATGGCCATCCTTAAGGCGCATCCTGAGGTGAGTGTTGCCTCGAAATACCGGCTATCCTCATATGACAATCGTACTCACTCGTTCCGATCAGGTCCGGAAACTGATGGGACCGACATTGTACACTCCCCCACTCGTCGCTTTTGTCCTCGCCATTCAGCTTTCCCTCGCCTACACCTCCCGCAACACTTATCCTCTGAGCCCTCTGTTCCTTCTCGCTGCGTACGCAATCGGAGGGACCTGTAACCAGAATATCTTTCTCGCCATTCATGAAATCACCCATAATCTCGCTTTCAAAGGCATCAAAGCCAACAAATGCTTGGCGATCTTTGCAAATCTCACAATCGGTGTTCCCTATGCTATGGCCTTCAAAGGGTACCATATCGAGCATCATAGGTTTTTGGGAGAGGATGGCATCGATACAGACTTGCCTACGCGACTGGAGGCCGTCCTGTTGAACAATGTAGCCGGGAAGACGTTCTTCGCGTGAGTGGAGGAGAATCCGATGGAGCGTGAACTGCGACTGATTGGCCCCCTTAGCACTTTTCAACTCCTCTTCTATGCCCTTCGACCAGGATTCATTCGGACGCAAAAATTCACCAAATGGCATGCAGTCAATCTCGCCGTCGTGCTCAGCTTCGATACCCTGATCGTCAAGACCTGGGGATGGTACTCTTTGTTCTACCTCCTGATCTCTTCCTTCTTTGCTGGCAGTCTGCACCCATGCGCTGCGCACTTCATTGCCGAACACTACCTGATGAGTGGTCCTGTCGGTATCGAGGGTGAAGATGATATCATCGGTCTCGGACAAGAGACAACGAGCTACTACGGTCCACTGAACTGGCTCTGCTACAATGTGAGTGATACTCCTCACAGTCTCGAAATCATATGCTCACGGCCCTGTTACAGGTCGGATACCACAACGAGCACCACGACTTCCCCTCCATCCCGTGGACACGTCTGCCCGCTCTGCGTCGTCTCGCCAAAGACTTTTACGAGCCTTTACCATGTCACAAATCCTGGCCATACGTCACTTGGAAATTCATCACGGATCCCTCTATCGGCATGTGGTGTCGAGCCAAGCGACTCGAGTCAGGTGAAAAGATAAGCCCGAAGACCTGGGATACATCTGTCAAGACAGATCCGGCTTCTGACAGTGAGGGTTCATCCAGCGAAGAGGTCGATCAGGAGATGGCGGAAGCGTTCGAACGAGGCTACGGCAGTGATAGAGACTAGATTGTAGATTGAGACTGGCACTGGGATCTCAAGTTGGCGGCGAAGAACGCAGCCCAATGATCGGAATCCAGTATGATGATTGTATATATCTGTTTACGAATCGATAAATGATGAATCTGGCGTAATGCTGTGCAAAAGCATACAATAAGCATAAGAGTGGTCGATCTGGCTGGATACAATCATTGCCTCGCGTTGCGACGCATTCTCGCTGTCGCCGGAGAGAACTGCTTTGATCGCTCCTTGAAGAAATTACCCCTTGCAGTTCTCGCACCTCTTGCTTTGGCCGTGCCCAGTTTTCCAATGGCTTGCGGGGTACGCTGAGAAACCATCCTGAGAAACTCTTCGTTCTCCTGCTTTGTGATGGCAGCCGTCCCTGATGTACCAAGAGCAGGCATCGTCTCCTTTCGAGATGCTTGCGGAGGAAGACGAGCAGGCATCAATCGAGGTCGTTGGAGGTGATCAATGACACCTATCGATGCGTCTCGTCGACGAAGCGCTCTCTCCTTTGGCGAGGCACCAAGGCGAGGGACAGCATCCAGCGGATGTTCGAGATTCTGAGGCCCAGCAATCTCGCTCATTCTCAGATCTCGACGCTTGAACAGAGCTTTGATGTACTGTAGACTGGTCCATTTTATGCTCGCTATGGCCTTGCTGTATTTTTCCACCTCGTCGGGTTGGTCTGTAGCACGCATTGCCTTGACGAGTTCGTGGTGCAAGTCGGAAACGTCCTCGAATGTCATATTGGGGGGTACATTGGGCTCGGCCACAGCCGTAGGATCTTCAACGCGGATGGCGAGTCCATTGGAGGAGATGGGCCGGAAGAGGTCGAGAATGTCAGAAGGCGGGAATCGGGCGCAAAAGTCGTGATAGATATCCAGAGCTGTCAGGGGCTCGCCGGCCAAGGCATGGACACGGATGACAGCCTTCCAAGCTTGCTCAATCTCACGCTCTCCAAAACCGAACGAGTACACTCTCGCGCGAGCTTCGGCAGTAGAAAGCATCGGCGAGGTGCCGTCGGATTTGGACCCATCCGTTGGCTGAATGGCCCACCTCCGCAACGGTTGGATTTGATCGCAAAGGGCGGCGTATTCCTTCCACAATTGCTTTGCCCATGCCAAGGCTACTCGTCTATCCCACTTGCCAGCTTGTTTCCTCTCCGACGCTTGAGAATGCATCCTGGGTGGATGCGCACAGTACTCGAGCGCTTTGAGGTAGCTCCAGCCATTAGGACCGAGACCTTTGGAAGTCTCCTCCGAGAGACTCTTCGCCAATTCGGTGGAGGTCGATGAGGAAGCCGTGTGGGGCTTAGGTACTCTCACAGCTTGAGACGCTTTCTCAAAGACGTCGGTCCACAAGGCTTTTGCCTCGTTGACATCCCAAACATGCTGAAAGATGACGGATAGATATCCCACGATTACCCTCTGATCGATTCGTACCTGGGAAAATGGAAATTCCAGCAGGCTTGCTTGGCCTGAGCGAGCCGCATTGACATCGAATAGCACTCGTTCCCAAATTGCTGAAGCTTCTCGCAAGGCCTCAGTGTGAGTCTGGGGAAAAGGTGAAGGTTCTGATGGACCCGGGTGGTCCTCTAAAGCTTGTGATTGCACATCTTCCTGCTTGGAAGCCTGTAACGACGCCATATCAACTTGGTCGTAATATTCAGGCATCTCCCCCGGCTTTCCCGCGGAATGTCCCACGGCGTTGTCGGGCGGCGAGTCACGCACCCGAGCCAGCTGAGCTCGTTTAGGAGGCGGAGGCATCCAAGTCGCGTACGTGTGAAAGACGTCTGCAACGATCCCAGCGTCTGGACCGGTGACGTTGACATCTTGCTGGAGGCAGGAAGCCTGGACAAGCTTGATCATCTCCACCAGCAGCCATCTGGTACGCTCAAGGTCGCCCGCGCGCTTTGTGCCTTGAAACAGGGCCGAAAATGTCCGCAAAGTTGGGATGTATTTGCTCTTCACTGCGCGAGGTGTATCGTCAAAGGGGATCCGGACGGCGTCTTGATGCTTGCCCAACATTTGTCGGAAGATGTCAAAGCCTTCAAGGTAATCGTTTTTGGAGGTACATAATGCCCGGATGATAGCGTTGTAATCATCCTTGTCCGGTTGAACTGCTGGAAAATCACCATCGGTGGTCATTTCGATCCACAAGTCTCGCGCTCGTTCGGGCTGAGGATCCAGTGGCGAAGCACAGGCAAGAATCATTGTTTGGTAAAGTGTTCGATCCGGATAGGGATGCGCAACGAGTCGCATATGGGCAAAGAGGTCTCTGGCCAGTGCTCTGGTGTGGGAGTCCGGTCGATAGACACGGGAGGGAATGCTCAGTCGTTGGAGAACAACCTGGTATGCTTTCTGAGATAGCGGTCGACCAGCTTGTTCATGCTCCTGGAGCACAGCAATGGCCTTGTGATGCCCAGATCGATGAAGAATTGCGTTGAGAGCGTTGGCTTGATTCTCCTCCACATCCGAGAACACTACAGTCGGGTCAGCTTTGATTTGATTATCATCTACGAGATAACGCACCCCTAGGCAGCTGAGCATTCAACCTGTCGACCTCGGCAGTTTGACCGGTCCTGGCATAAGCGAGGACGAGGCGGTCCATCCATGCCTTAACTGGGGAAAATCCGTGTTGCTAAAAACGTGACATGAGCCAATCTTGTAGACGTGTTTTCAGTCACTCACCGTCATCATAAGCAGAGTCTTCTCGGCAGAGCTGTAATCACGAGCCGCAATCTACGGCAGGAGTCAAAGTTGATCGACAGGAGATCCCGGCCCACTCACAAACTCTTCGAAAAGAGCTTGCCATTCCTTGACTGTCACGAGGCCCAGCGGGATTATTGGGCCATCCGTTTGCTTTTCTTTCCCCTTGAGACTGGTCTCCGTCATGTCGAATCCTTTGGGCACAGGTATGCGAGACAAGGTATCGAGGACATGTTGACCCAATCGCTTGGACCCATATCCTGAGGCAGTTCTCGCTGCTTCAGACGCCTCGGCATGTCCAATGCGCTGGTCCTGTCCCGCGTACGAAGATGAGTCAATTCTTTTGAGCTCGTCGCTCATTGATGAAGTGTCAGGTGAGGCCAGCGTGAATGAACCGTTCGAGCGGCCCAACCTAGTCGCCATCGACGCAATGATCTTCCGTCTCTTCCCCGATTCTATCCTCCAAGCGGGACCAAGAACCTCAGACTCGCTTTCTATTAATCCCTCGGCACCTGAGAAAACCATCTCCCGATAAAATTGTAGGAGACCATCTTCATCCATCTCAGGTTCATTGTAGTCCGCTTCTGCCGACAGACGACTCTTAAGATCCAAAGACTGAGCATCTTGTTGTTCTTCTGTCAATTGTGGTTCATAGAGTGGTGCCAGACCGGACTGCTCGAAGTCCTGAACGAAGCCAGGGACGAAGGATGGCCTGTGGCGAGAGAGTCAGTCTGGGCCTGGTCGTGTGAGGCATATCTTAGGACTCACGGTCGCTGGTAATAGCTTCGATGGAGCAGCCTCTCGCTCCTCACGCGGATCACCCGTCGTGCGATACATTTCGCTAGCATTTTCTTGCTGTACACGGTCGATCCAATGTATGCTAGTTGAGGTTTTGAAAATTATCGTCCAGCCAAGAGACCCGATTGATCGGAAAAAATAGGTCTCGCGCCACGTGGCACTTTCACCTCCCATACTCTAAGCACAGGTCACTCGTACATGCATTCATACAGCAGGAGACTGCATGCAATCTGTCTGGGACTATTGATACAACAATGATCGACACTAATTGTTTGGATAGATGTCCCTTATCGACTCGCTGCTCTGTTTTACGCTTGCACGCTGTGGGCCTCTTGAGTGGGCACCGAAGGATCGTCGATTGACTTCTGGTTGGAAGTCTGTTCCACGAGCGTGGCCTCTGTTCCTTCAGGCGAGGATGTATGGTCCACACCTTCACCCTTTTCAAGGCTCGCTCCTTGACTCTCGGCTTGGGCAACCACCGCGTCTGGCGCGTTCAACTCCCGTCCGAGGACCCCGCGGATGTGGTCCCGCAATTCCTTCATGGACGCATCGGCCGCCACATCCAGGAACCAAGGCTTAGACATGTAATTCCGTACCCCATCTGGCAGGATGACCACGACGTTGGCCTCAGGGTCCTTGGCGACAGCCTGACCGTCGGCGGAATGAAGGTATCTGATAGCGCCCGAAAGGGCAGATCCGGATGATCCTCCGATGAACAGACCTTCCGATCGACTGTGGCGCGTCAGATATGGCGTGAAGGAGATAGCTCACATTAAGCGCTTGGTGGCTGCAAAAGCCTCGCCGTCCTCGGTCTTGATCCAGCGGTCGACCGTAGGTGGCTTTGGGTCCAGAACCTCAGGGAAGAAGTCCTGGCGTGGTTTCAGCAGAGTTTGTAGTGGGTGTCTGAGCAGACTCACGTAGCCGATCCCCTCAACCTGGTAGTTCCCGGGCTCACCGCCGCCGAGAATGGACCCAACAGGATCTACGGCGACCACTGTGGTCCGTGCATCACCTTCCTTCTGCGCATCTCTAATTCCTCGGGAAATGCCGGTGATGGTTCCTCCTGTCCCTGCACCAGCTACCAGAACTGAGATGTCTTTCCGCGGTAGACTAGATGTCTGCAGTGCGTACTGAAGAGAACGGATCAGTAGTCCTCCCGGCGCAGGCGGAGTATACTCACCTCGATCTCTTTGTAGGTCGTGTAGTAGTGCGCTAAGGGGTTGTGAGGGTTGGCGTATTGGTCGAGGATGATGGCATGAGGAATAGAGTCTCGTAGTTTTTTTGCCACGCCTGGAACTCGGTTAGCTTCAAATATAGCAATCAAACCGAGACGAGATATAGGCATACCGATGTGGCTCTCTGGGCTGTCCCAACTGATTAAGATGTTAGCTTAAGGTAAGGCAGGAAAGGGTCAGACTTGCGCTGCTTCAGTCCTAAGAATAAGATTAGCATCGACCTGCAATCCAGTACTGGCGGGAGGCACTCACGGTGTCCGAACGATTTCCGCTCCGAGAGCACGGAGCATGACCTCCTTCTCGAGACTCATCTTGGCAGGCAGGGTAATAATACATCTGAGAAACAATGTCAGCGCATATTTTGACGTGTATAGGAATACTTACTTGTAACCTTTGATGGCACAAGCGAGAGCGAGCCCAATTCCTGAGCGTGGTCCGTGTTAATTGGTTGGATCATAAAGACTTAATGCGGCAAATCTTACCTGTATTTCCGCCTGCAGTCCGTCAGTACATGAGATCGGCAGAGATTCATCACTCACTCGTAGGTTCAATGACCACACTCTGCCCTTTGACAAGCTTTCCGTCCCTCTCGGCCTGCTCTACCATCCTCTAACAGGTATGTCAGCCCAAAAAGCATCATCTTTGGGTTGCTCCCGCCTACCTTTGCTATACGATCCTTGACAGATCCTCCAGCGGAAAAGAACTCGCATTTTCCCACTGGATAGAGTGAGCTGGCATCAAGACGGGAGGAGATACTACGCACTGAGGTTACACTTGAAGCCCTCTTCTCTCGCTATCGTCTGTAACCTGATCAAAGGAGTATGGCCGACTGCATCCATAGCTGAATCTAGAACGCCGTGCCAGTGATGCTGGGGTGCATCCTGCCTCTCGCTATTCCCCAGACCTTGCGCTGAGCTCGACTGTGCGCTCATGATGTATGTGACAATGCAGATAGCTGTTCAGACCAGGTGAAAATTGATCTCCAGATCGTCAACATGGTCTCGCGCGTAACAGACGTTGGTTCCGGCCGGTCTATTACGTAAGATCGGAAAGCCTGACAGATCACGTGCAGAAGATTCTATGCTCAGGCGCTCCGGACCTCTCATGGCCTCTTACTAGGGAGCGGATATTACGAACTGGCTTTCGACAGCCTAGTCCATGCATAATTAGATTTGCAAAGCTCCGAGACGGTCCGAGACACCATCCATGTCAGGTGGAAGAGCTGCACCACTTTTTTGGCTGTGTTTGCTTGAGACTGATGAGGCTTCTTCATCCGAGTCATCGTGAAGATTCTCGGACTGTGTGACGGCCGCGTCGATCCAAAGTCTCACAGCGTCGCTCCAGACCTTCCTTTTCACACTGTCGGCCTCGGTCAACGAATCTGTCACCCCATACAAACTCACCTTGGAGGCGCATCCTCTGCAAACAGCTCCTCGGTGAGACTTCTTTGCAGATGCTCAGGAGCATTATCAAGGGAGGCCTCGTTGGCGACAGATGCGACGATGTCAGATTTAGACCTGGTCAGCTCTTCATTAGTCATCCAGTCCAGCCGATCAAACAGCCACATATGATCCGGTAGCACGTCGACTGATCCTCTGAGGTCGTCTATCCATGTCTCGTGTAGCTCTCTTAATAGCCTTGTCTTCTCGTCCCCTTCGGTTGCCATAACTTGCTCTATCAGGCTCTCCACAAACTGACCAGGAGTGTATTCGATGCCGCGCTCAGACGCCCACTGCCCCGGCGTTCTGCCATGACAGTTTTCGAAATAGGTGGCACCTGCGCCAGTGCTAAAGAGGTCCAGGCTGAAGTTTGCTTCTTCGTATTGGCTCACAGCCTCTGCTTACGTGGCGGTCAGGACTCGTGGCGCTGAGGACACGTACCGGCTAGACCAGTGTCTTCGTTCGTTGAGTTCGTCATTGTATTATTTTCTTCGCTTCAAGATGCGAGACAGGGCTATCTGGAGAAGTGGGGGGTGTCAAGGGTAGAGAGTGGTCAAGAGAAGTCTTTCAAGTCTTCCTTGATGGCTTTATATGGCTTGCTCAGGGGAGCGTCAAAGGGCCTGGACTATCACATCCCTTGGCGTCTGAGTCTACATGTCCAACTCCGACTCCTCCGCTGGAACCCCTCCCTTTAGGATGACTCCTTGTTTGATCATCGACTCAACGCGGGGGCTGTCGATTGTGCTTGGAAGCTTGCTCAGCTCTATATCCGTCGACAGCCTATCTCTGGAGCCTTCGCTTTGCTCCGCGTTGCCTCTAGCGCTGCGTGAGCCACCAAATAGTATCCGTTTGAAGGTGGCAGTGCCACCTTTCTTTCGTTGTTGTCCATTTCATATTTACTTCCGTTCTCTGGTGTTTTCGCGACTGTTAAATTCCAACATTGACTTTCACATTCATCGTCTCTTGAAGCAAATCGATGGCTCAGCTCGACGTGACTTGTCATGTCCTCTGCGGCCAGCTCGAGGCTGTCTTCCGAACTGACGCAACTTGTGCCAAGTATACAGCATGACGGGATCGTGGTTGAGACTGTTCTCGCCGCGGGCTCGCGATCCGGGAAAAGCACACGCGAAGCCAGTTCCTCAGCACCATCTACTTCACGCCATCTTCGCCAGCCTACACCTTGCGACCCCGACTTCACCCATTATCATGTCTCTACTGGTCTCTTGGATGTCACACAAAACGCCTCTGGAGCCGTGTGTACCACTACCGGCGCGGAAGAAAGCAGTACTTCGCGTGACAGCGCTGCCGTGAACGAAGAGGTGATTGCCGCGAGCGACCATGGAGGTGACGGCGGGAAAAGCGTCCTGTTTTCCGATCAGCATCTGCTGGTAGAAGAGGATGCCAGAACTTTCCGGGAAGATTCGATGGGACGAGACACAGCCTTAAAGGGCTCGAGGTCGATACCGCGCGACAAAGGTGATGGAGCTGCTCTGGATGGCGATGTAGAGGCTGAAGACGTGGGAGTCGAGAACGCGGACGACATGCTGGAAGAGTCACAGGATGACAATGATTTTGAACTTCACACAACGGGCACGCGGCCAGTGAGAGCGGGCACGCCAACATGGCTCGAGGAGGAAGAGGATCAGCCCTTGGCGGGTCCATCGACGCGAGCTCCCCAGGGATACATGACGCGTATCGTCGAGTCAAAGAATCGCTCAGCTGGTTTGCGCTCCTCGCAAAATAAGACTGTACCTCATGAAGCGGGAGAGAGGTCGACGATGCGATCCAACGAGGTTGACACGGTTCTCGGCAACGAAGAAGAAGACGAAGAAGAAGAAGATGATGATGATTACTTGGAGGAGGACGTAGTTCCACCAGATCCAACAGACTACCACTCGGGTGACACCGCCGAGTTCGAGATGGATCACCGACCTGTGCTGGAGCGGACGGCTATCAAGGCAGCATGCCACTGGTTGCACTCGCAGATGTGGACGAATTGGGATGAGGAAGAGGGTTCAGTTTTGTACAAGGCTGTGGATCGGTTGGGCGAAGGTGTGTCCGATTTCAATATTATCTCTCTCCCTTCTGCTGATACATGGTTAAGGGACCTTTTCTTCCGTCTTTCTTGCAAGGGATCTCTTTCACACAAAGTATGACAATGAGTATTGGACCGGCAACAAGGCGCAACAGGTGTACACGGAATACTTCGGGGAAGACCCTACCATTCGGGTGGCTCTGAAGAAGATCTTGGTCACCAGTAGCCCTGTTCGTATAGAGAATGAGTTGTCTATCCTGGAGAGTCTGAGGGGCTCTCGGAACGTGTCTAAGCTCATCACTGCTTTCCGACAAGATGATCAAGTCATCATCGTCATGTCCTATCATCCCTGTGATGATTTTCGAGTGAGTCGTCATTTCCGCCGAGCACTGGAGCTCACTCGCGACCAGCACTTCTATCGGCACATGGATGTCAAGCACATCCGATCGTACATGAGGTCTCTGCTTCGAGGACTGAAGGAGATTCATCAAAGAGGTATCATCCATCGTGATATCAAACCCGCGAACTTTTTATACGACTATGCCACGGGGCAGGGTGCTATCTGTGATTTTGGTCTCGCAGAGGTGCGTCAAGATGACGAGAAACTTTTGCCTAGGGAGCTTCACTGACCCGCCACAGCGCTACAAACCCGCTCGCAGACCCACTTGCCAACACAGTTCGGCAAGCATTCGTAGCTCAACGAGTGGTAAGGTGCGGACGGCGGAAACGCCAGCGGTGGAGCGAGCAGTCTATCAAGCCAGGAAGCGAGCAAAGCTTGGTGACGGCAGAGTTGGATTTCTCGGCGATGACACTCGGCCAAGCATGAAGACGAACCGAGCAGGAACAAGAGGATTTCGCGCGCCTGAAGTCTTGTTGAAGTGCCCTGATCAAAGTTTTGGTAGGTCCCGCATGAGTTTGATAACGCTTACTGGCGCAGCCATCGACACTTGGTCGGCGGGAATCATTCTACTCTCCATTTTGGCTCAAAAGTTTCCAATCTTCAATTCAACCGATGACGTTGAAGCAATGATGGAGATCGCAGCACTCTTTGGTCGCTCAGCTCTTGAGCGGTGTGCCATGCTGCACAGTGAGTATGTCGCGCGGCCGTAAACTTACCCTTAATCAGACCGGACCTTGATATGTAATGTTCCGACTCTCGACGCCGATCCACAGCGAACCCTGAAGTCAATAGTTCTCCGACTGAATCCACATCTGTATACACCGCCGTCGTCCTGCCCCTCCAGCTGGGAAGCAGAAGAGCATATTCGTTTCATTGACCACGCCTTGCGCTTGCTGCATGGACTACTCAGATTGGATTGCACCAGCCGATTCTCCGCGAGCGAAGCTCTGCAGCACGAATTTTTCTCCGAAGAAGGAGAAGATATGGATCAGGACTTTGACGACTTCGAACCGGTAGGCATTCAGGATGGCAAGTGCGGCAATCTGCATGGCTTCGTCGACGGAAGACGTGCGTCTTACGCTGTGATCGCAAGCAAGAGCTGACAAGCGCAAACAGACAAAGCCTACTTTGGCAACAAATTGGTCGAGATGCACTTTGGTCAAGGCCGTACATCATCAACTGAGACCTGTGCGTACGAGTCTCATGTGCTCGAAATAGTCACTGACGAATGACTCAGTGTGCCCTGAGCACGAGCATTGGCAAATGCGGACTGGTCTCAATGCGTTGACTTCGTGTACTCAGTTTGTCCGCGACGAGCAGGAGCCTGCCGAAACGGATCACGAGGGCTCTGTTGATGAGGAAGTGGTCAAGCGTCTTCCATTCGCCGAACGGGATGGCAACCTCGGAGTTGAGGCAACAGGTGTGGAGCCCAAGGGCAAGCGACGGCGGGAAGACTAGTTGTGGAAACATTTGTCATTGTCAGACTCTTTCCTAAATTGTGTATAACATCGTCTTACGAAGCATTATGACACGACCGCATCGACATGATGTTATGATTATGCATCAATTCTAGTACATGCTCATGTGCGAGGGATGTGAGAGGTCATGAGGAGTCCTCATTGCCGATTGAGATAGTCCAAGCCTGTCGTTGAGCATTCTAAGCGATATTGCTTCTCTGCCGGCACAAGCAGAGCGTCGACCTTGTCCAAGACTCCATTATCCTGTGTAAGAGAATGAGCCTCCCATAGCTGTACACATATATTCGACAACTCACATCACCCTGTCTCCAGTCATACGCGACCCATTGGTCCTCTTCCTCCTTTTTGGCCTCGGACATCATCTTATTTCTGAAATCTCTGATCGATCCCGAACCATCGTTCTCCGCCTCTTCGGGACCACCCTGTGGCCGATCAGAACCAATGAAGCATTAAAAACGGCCGTGAGACAGCTCACAAGTTTCGGCTTGACAAGCACAACCGGCTTGGCAGGTATCTTCGACTTCTCATCTCTCTGGGTACCACTGGACGCTTGACCGAATTCATGATCGTCCAGATAGGTCATTGTTGGTCGAAATTGTACAAGCTTTGAGATCGGGTGGAGGTGCAATGCCCCTGGTCACATCGTCAGCATCATCTGGGGGACAGGGATATATAGAAAGACGCTGACCGTCGTGGACCATCCCCGTATAATATTCTGGTGCGTTTGGTATGATATCCCCTCTCAGCCGTCGCTTGTCGCCCCACTTTTCCATTTTCACGCTCTTCTTCTTCTGTCCTGGCTTGGTCTTACCATCCGCCTTGTTTGCGAATCCGAAACCTCCTTCTATGTCGTCACCGTTGGCATGTATGTTGGGTATGAACCCCAGCTCGGTTGCTCTATCATCGCGCCAGAACCTTGGTTGTTCATCCACCGGTATCTCCACTTCCACTCTGCCAGTCTGTTCTTTGACTCTTGCCGTCATAGTCTTTCCCCTCTCTTTTGCCCATTCTGGAGCCGCTAAGGATCCACTGAGCAAAGGATATTGATACAGGTTGAGATGAGGATGAAGAGCTGGTGAGAGGTATATTGGGAGCTGGGCGACTACCTCATTATCATCATCGTCGCCATCTCCATCGTCATCGGAGTACTCGTTTGGTGGGAAGGGGGTAAAGCGAAGGTCTGGAAGAGGCGGGGACGTTTGTCGCGGAAGATAAGTCGTTGAAGGACCCGGTACGTCGAGATTGTCCGGTCCACTGAGAGTCGGTCCTGATGATTCGGGCGGCTCGGGGGAAGGGTCGATAGTGCTGACGACTGACCGGACCTGAGCTGAGGTGGGAGCTCGAACACGAGGATTGGCTCCAGGCTCGTCAAGTTCCATCCTTGCTGAGCTCAATTGGACACAAGCTCCAAAATTCAATCGATGTAGTCTTTAGGAAGAGTTCAAAATCGCTAAAAGCTGAAACTCGAAACATTTTCAAACTCGTGGCAGCGCAAGGCTGTGGCGAAGACTGGTGTCAATAATGGAACACGAGCTTACTGTTAGAAGAGCAGTCTTCAATGATCATGAAAGCGTGTGGGCCATTCCTGGAGGATGATGGTACATGAGACTATCCCTCTCGGCTTTTCTGTACATTACGGAGATCCCTTGCGAGAGGCCGGTGAAGCGTGATGGTTCAATATCCTTTCGGGGCCCCTGTTGACACCAGGGTTCTAAGTGTCACTGCCTGTCTCTGACCGGCCCATGGTTGTATCTCAGCAGCCCCTCGTCACCACGACTGAGCATGCCTTTCGGCGTTTGACTTACTGTGATCCAAGATACGATACCGCAGAGGCGTGATGGGCGCTGCCACTAATCACTCCACATCATAAAATAATTTGGGCTCGGGCCGCATTGCGCGATCGACGACTCATGCATCTGTGTCTGAGTTGACCATCTCATACCTCATTTATCATGCCTCCAGTAAATCCATCACTATCTGAAAGCTCGACCTCACGGAGAGATAGTGACACAAGCATGTCCTCGCCCAGAGACCCGGCTCCTACCTCATCCAGCCCTGGCAGCTCGTCCTCATCGACCAAATCCTCATCGCCACCCCGCTCCAATTCATCGTTTCTCGACATGCCCTCTGCCGCGTCCCCGCACTCTAAATCGCCTTCGACGCAACTTCACCCCCTTCTCACTCCTATGCCATCGAGTGTGATGCTCGCTGCCGAGCTGGATCCTTACGGCTACAGCGATATGGCCCAAAGAGACCGACTCGTCGAAGCGGCTCAGCAGACTGCGATGCCTGAGAAGTGCTTGACCTTTTGTTCACAGAGAGCAAACGCGCCACCGCTGTGTAAAATGTTCTGCCTTAGGAAGAGACAGCCTCTCGATACAAGGGAAGAGCAGCTCGCGAGGCTCCGACCGCCGAAAAAGGCCTTGAGGCTCGCACCCTTGGCCGGTGATGAATCAGCTGCACCGGATTCAGGCAGGCAGTCCTCATCCATGCTATACCCTCGTCTCTCGCCTCAAGCTGGTCCATCATCTGATCCCACCTCGCATTCCTCTTCGTCTAAGAGGAGTCAGTCCAGTTCCTGGTCATGGTCGCCCTTTGAGGCCCTTCGCCGGCGTGTTGAGCCGTACTCTTTCATCTATGTCCGCGGTGCGCCAGAAGGGCCAGTCGGACGGTACATGGAAGAGTTGGAGTACAACGATGGCCATAATGACTTTGGACCAGCTTCTAGAGGTGCAGTTGAGGCGATGAAGAGGAAGCGGGTTGAGCCGAAGATGGAGTATATCGATTGGGGAGAGGAAGGGTAAGTCGCTTTCCTGGTGCATCTCGGAAAGTCATCGCTCATTCTCATCCCTCAGATCGGTTCTACACCTTCCGTTCACATCTCTCTTTGGACCCATCATCAACATTCCGCAAACGTTGAACAGGATATTCACACCATCCATGAATTTTCTGACCCTGTATCGCGATTCCTTCTCCTCTGGAGCACAGAGCAGAGGGTTGGAGAAAATACACTCAGAGATCATGAGTGGCTCTGCCTTCGAGCTCATGGGCAAGATTCGTGGGTTTTGGGCCCAACGGGTCAAGGAGAAGGAAGAGCAGCTAGAGAGGGAACGATCAGAGCAGGTTGGAGGAAAGGGACAGTAGATGATATAGAGAAGGCAGCATTTGCATGGAACTCCGCCCCCCCCCAACGCTCTAGAACCCGATTCAGCGCCTCGGCCATGTATCTCTCAAATGTACCAAGCTCAAAAAGCCCGTCAAGACCTGTGCATCGAGTCTATCCTCATTCGCGTCGGGAAGAGAGAACAATGACCTACACGGGGACTGATCAAAATGCGACAATCATGCATGAAACAATGTGCAGGATGATGAGGAGAAATATCGTAAAGTCATGGGCAGTGTTCATCAAGAGCAAGCGCAGGGCTAGGCACCAAGGTCAAGCCTGGAGGTGAGTGGCGGTTGCTAGTCTATATTTCGTATAACTGGAGGAGCGAGGTCTGTGGGGGAAGAGAAATGCCATATGAAGAGATTCAAAGGACATGGAGAACCGTAGAAGGCAATGCGAGTCTGTAGTTGAAATCAACCGTTGTCGAGGCATGAAAGAGATCTGATTTGTATCAAGGGTGGGTCACTTGGACGTTGCTCATGTCTGCGACAGCATCAGCTTTCCGCGCAAGGAAGAATGAAGCAGCTCTCACTCTGAGTGACGGTCTCGAGCTCTACATCGAGCTCCCCTCCTCGACCAATCGGACGATTGCCGGACGGAAAGTACTGCCCAGTAGCAGTGTTTGGACTACTGGTCGGAATTCCTGGACTAGGTGGCATAGGTCCAAAGTTTGACGAGTTGGCTCCGCTCAGTGCCCGTGAGAAGTTGAGCGAGGTGATGTCGAGGGACTGCGTCCTGGCGCTCACGGCTCGAACAGCGTGGGACTGGGGATGACCTGAGGCTGCTTGACGAAGCTTGTCCTGAAGTACAGGGTCGGAGTCTCGCTTTGATGCCTCCGCTTCGTTACGCTCGCCCCGGTTTGATGGATTTCGGCCAACAGAGCTCAAAGATGGTTGATTCACATTTGTCAAAGTAGCTGGACTTGTCTGTCCGTTGACGTTGATATTTTGCAATACAGTCTGAGGTCGAACATAGCTACGTTTCCAATACTCCTGAATTTTTGAATCGTGCTGATTCATGAATAAGGCCGAAGTATCGTCCAGTGATCGGAAGAGGCTGGCACCGTTGCCGATTTGGCTGGAAGAACCGTTGAAGAGCGCCTTGACATCGGAAGCTGACGAAGAGGTGTTGGGCTTCTTTTCGACGGACGGCTCGTTTTCCTCATCTACGACTCCATTAGCAATGGCGAAAAGGTCCTGCAATGACACGATGACGTACCAGGGCCATTGCCTCTAGTCGACAATAATTTGCTGTTGAAATGCGAAAACGCATCGTTGAATGACTCAGTTCTTGCATCCAGAGGCGTGGGATACACCTGAATGCTGTGCTGTGCGAGGAACTGCTCGAGAGAGTCCCGTGCAGTGCTCAAGAAGTCAATATTGCTTCTCTGACATCTGAACTTGAATACAGCTTCTTCTCCCTGGCCAAAGTTGGCCGAGGGCGAGATTGCAATCTGGTGATCTCGCTTGATCCGTTCGGCAAAGTTGATGAAGTCCGGTGAAGTCGCCAATCTCGCCAGCTCGGGATTCGGGGGTACCTGAAGATCCGCCTCGAAAGGGACATGGTCCAAGAGCATGGCAGCTGCGATGTGGACTTGGGACTCGGGACCAAAGATGGTCACAATGTCGCTGGCTGTCTCCTTGTAAGGGAATCGTACCAGAGAGTTGGTTTTATGCTCGATGTCATGTATGAAGATACTTTTCTCCCCGAGCAAAGTCCTGTGATACCGGCGAGGAATGGAAACGCTCTCAGTGGTGTAATCTTTGTCCTGTCGACTAGTCAGCTTTGCTCAAGGGTGTTTTCTGTACCTTTGGGTTCACCAGCTCCATCACGGCCTGTCTTAGGCTCTCCAGATTCATGGCATTCTTAGCTGGAGTCCTCGCAACAACGTTGTCCTCATTATCAGTGTACCCGCCAAGAGCCGCGAACTCTTCAGCATTGCTGAATTTCACATAGACCCCGTGTAATTTCATGATGCGTTGAATATTTTTGCCGCCGACACCGATGATTCGCTTGTGATAGCCTTCCGGGACATGGAAAGACACTTCAGCGGGTAATTCCTCTTGAAGCATGGACAAGCCTTGAAGCGCTCCAAGATTGCTACCAGAGACATCCATCAAGAAATTGTAATCGTTGAACGTCTCAAATTTGATTTTGACACCCGCCATTTTCATGATCTTGTTGATCTTGCCATTCTTTTTGCCGGCGATGAATTCTCGGTGCTCATTGGCCAGCTCAATTTGGAAGCGGACTTCGTGATGGAAGTTCTGCAATAGATGAGCTGAGTTCCTGTGGACCTCACAGGCACAACATACGTGGACTACGTCCAGCTCCAGCACCATCATCACCGCTGTTCTCACTTCCTGCTCAAGACCATGAAATTCAAAGCAGTTGCTCTTGAAAACAAGCTCGCATCCAGTCGCGTGGGAGATACGTTTGAGTATAGGTTGCATCTGAGCCGGGTTGAGTGACGCCTGGGGCATTAACACATCGAAGGAAACGGGCAGCAACCAGAACGACGCGACATAGAATTGGCAGGCCTAAAGTTTCAGCTCATGTACCAACTTGGTCCACCTACCAAAGCCATGATGCTCCGGATCGTCCGTTCAATATTGACTCGATGGTCTCCAAACACCGTGATCAGGCTCATTTGGGAACCAACATTGGGCACCTGGATGTATGTTCCGTTATCGTTCATGATGCCTCGAACCTCTTCGATCCGCTCAGTGAGAAGCCAATCAAGCTTGCGAGGCAGAATGGCGGTGTCTCGGGAGATGACAAGTTTGCTCTGTGCCACATTCAGCATTTCCGTCCCATGGCGATTGCGTTGCTCTCTCGCTCACCTTTTGCATCGCAATGTTCAACAACATGTCTCTGGCTCGCTGCACCCCGAAGAACTCCCCGGTGATCCATATGTGATTCGATTTACCGAGAATACCGTGCTCGCCTCCGTGGACACTCAATCCAGGATGAGGCGCTTGACCATACTGACCCAGCCCGTAGCCCAGATTCATTCCCATACCCGATGGATTCGGCATTCCCATACCATTGTTGATTGGCATAGGTCCGGTGGCGAAATTGGGGAGTTGCGGCTGCCCTCCAGGTGAGAAAGCATGAGGTGGTACTGGCGCGCCTCCCATCCCCGGACTGGGTGCCAAGTGAGTCTGACCGGGCGAGGGACCTGGTCCTAATGAGCCAGGATGACCGAGGTGTCCGGGCGGCGACAGATGTTGAATAGGGATAGGACTAGTCATGCCGCGCGTTTGGTAGCCCGTCGGAGCTTGCGAAATAGGTGACATGACAGACATCCCAGACATCCCGGAGACACCGGACATACCCGTATGATTGACTGTCAGTGGCGAAGGGCCTCCTAGGTGGTTCGGATGCATGTGGCTAGAGCCTGGTCCAGGGTTATAGAACTGCATGCCCGGTCCAGAGTAGGGCATTCCACGATTAGGATGCGAGCTGATATCCAATGGCTGAGGCTGGTAAGGGTAGTGAACATGTTGATGTGGGTTGTACGATGGAGGACCATTCTGACGAGGAGGCAGACTGTGAGCCGGAAAACCATTCACCTGGCCCATCCCCATGGTCGGTCCACCGACATTGCCCATAGAGTGCGGCGTCATGCCCATACCGTGTATCGGTCTCGCGTTATGACCCATCTCAGACATGCCTTGCGCTGGATGACCCATTGTTCCATTTGGCGGCAACACTCCGATGCCGGTGCCTAGTCCTCTATAGGTAGACTGAGGCGGCTGCAGTGGCGGCGGGTTCAAGACTCCGACCAGCTGTGTCGGGAGGTAGATATTCGTAGCGGTCTCCTCTTGAATGAACTGGATTGCAGCTCGCTTTCGAGACCCGATGATACCGTGCAGTTTGTAGTCAATGTCGCAGACTTCAGCGTGAAGACCGCTCTGGCGCCGCCCGTCAGTCAGAAACTTTGGCTGCTCCGAGCGACTCACAAGCTCGTCCAGCATGACCAATAGTCGCACTTTTGCAATCTCGACACTCTCCACTGACCCGGTGACGACCAGCTCGCATATCCGCTCCGTTTCAAGTCCATGGGCAACGTTCTTGGCGACGTTGGAATCTCCCACATGGTGGTCCGACGACTGCATGTGGCCCGTAGATGGTGTCTCACCCTCAGGGACTGAATCATTTGAACCGACTTGGCGTACAGCTGATGGTTCATCGTCATGCCCACCTGTCCCATTCTCTACTTCGACCGTAACGTCATTCGAGCTGACCTGCCCATTGGTTGACGCCAATACTCTGCCTCCTACCCCAGACGATCCCGTAGAAAGATTCAGCACGGCAATATGGGCAAGGCTATCCGCGGCGATGTCATCCAGCCGTCTCTTGACATCGGCCTTGAGTGCACTAGAGTTTGATAAGGGCGATTCCAGGATCTCGGTCCTTGGCACTTTAAGAACCGTCCTGTTGTCCCTTGGCAGCTCCCGTAGAATGGCACCTCGAGCCGCCATGACGGACTGATAGGCTCCCGATAGATGAACATTCCATACCGTGCTAGCGGGCACTGGCAACTCGTCTGCAAGGACAGATCCATTCTGAGCGGGCCCCGGCAATGGCGGTGAGAGACCTTGCTCAAATCCAATCTGTTCCTTGGTCACGGTGACCAAGCAACCTTCCCTAGATGTGATGTCCAATACGAGCTTCTGGACAGTCTGCCAGTCCTTTTCGAGCTGAGCGGCGGTTGTGATCGGACCTCTTGAGGACGACTTCTTTGCGGGCGCAGTGGCAGAAGTCACATTGGGCAGAGGAATGGTTTGAACATTCCCTGATCCAGGTAAGTTGAGAGCCGTCGGAAGTGGGGATGCGGCGGACTGAAGGCTCCGAGGCGTCGAGCGAGGAAAGCTGAATGAGGTGGTGTACAGGTCCATATTGAGGGCGTCTAGTGATTCTTGGAAGAGCGGATCTCTATGTAGCGAGTCGGTGAACTCTTGTTGAGCTGGGAGCAACGAGTTCGGGAGCAATGGATTCAGGCCGGATAGGTGAAGGGGAGACTGTAAGAGGGTATACGGTCACAATTATCTCCTGTTGACGAAGCATAGAGTCAGCTTGCACTCTTAACGTACCGAGCTGACCAGGGCGCATACCTTCGTTCCGGTATACAGGCACTCACCTGGTATCTTGGACAAAGTCTAGACTCGATGGTCGGTTACAGTCATGGACCCATCAATCGTTGCCGATGGACAGACAATTGAAATCCAGAGGGTAGAGAAGGCGGGATTCCAATGTGAATTTAACGAAGCGTCGATCACTTTCGGTGTCCCTGGTACAGGGTATGGGGTACGGATGGTGTGGGAGAGCGGAGGGTGACAGAAGGAAGGGAAGGAGATCTATACGGCCTTGGAGAGGTCAAGATGGATCATGTGGCCTCCGCTCATTCCCAGCCTAAAGCTACCGCAGCGGTTCCAAAGTCAGTCACAGAGTTGGCCTGTATGAGACAATGGAGAGACAAAGGACTTGGCTGGTTTAAATTCGGTTCGCGCCGCTTCACGTCAGGCCGGTGGCACGACTCGTGCGGCAGCGCCGTTGAATGAGTGCCACAAGGCAGCATGCATAGAGGCAGACTGACGAGAGGGGGCAGCTAGAGATGATGGTCTCGACAGGTATGGACATGCAATACGAAGACAACTATCAAGCATCTCCATGAACGGGACGATATTCCGGGTCCGCACTCTGCGTGTCGAGATGCTCCAACAGGTGAAGAGCGAACTTGCTCTCGAACGCGGAATTGGTGAAGACAGTGACCAGTTGATCCGAAGTCGTTCGCAAGAGATTCGGCGCAAGTACCAAAGCTAAATTTAATGTCAGCCTCGCTACTTCTATCGTCCTTGACAGGCTCACACAGATTGACGATGGTCATTTTAGTCTTGTCTATCACCTCTGGATTGAGAAACAGCTGGAAAAAGCTGATCACGAACATGAGGACTCGGCGATTGAGCAGAGGCAGACGGTCTATGAATGCCAGCGTCTGCGAGGGCGTCTTGGAAGCGATCAGCGCATCGTCGTACATGTCTTCAGGGATGACTGGGTCTCGAAGATCTCGAAGCCATAATTTGAGCAACGACGCCGTAACATGCGGGTCGTCAATGCCGCTCTGAAGGGATCCAATCAGCTGTAATTCTCGTCGTCAACCCACCAAGACGTAATGCCCTCTGTCCATTCGCGACTTGAGTTCTGAAACTGAGTCATTGTCTCCAGGGACACGGAAGATACCCTCCTGTTCAAGTCCGCCCAGGGCGAGGATCCCATCAGACAGGAATGGGAGAATCACCGGAATTTGGAGATCTGGATAGGTCGGAGCTTGTAGAGCCATAATCTGGTCCAGCGATTCGCCATACACCGATGGATAAAAAGCAGCATCCTGCATATCTTCATCAGGACGAAGATTCGAACCCGCGATTCGGACTTACTGCTGCATGCTCGATTTCGCCAATGGTCAAGGTCTTGCACCGTGATCCACGCTTGGTCATGTATTGTAGTCTGGTGAGGCAGTCTGGAGCTCATCAGACCGCACCCATTGGCGCTGACTCACACTGCGCCATTCTGCTGATGCCATCCGTTCCTCGAGCATCGTTCTCCAGGAACCGCTTGACGAATGGTTCAAAGTTCTTGCTCGGCGTGAACGAATTGACTAGTATGCAGAATAACTGGAAACCCATTATCATAGCGTTTCTTTGCACTGATTAGTCTCTGAGGTCCACATCGGCGGTCCCTTCACTCACTGATGTGGATTTCGAGTCAACTGCTTGACCAGTTGCGAGTAGACCTCATCCCTCATTTCACCAGTCCCGACAGCAAGCTGCAACACCCAGCGAATCTCCTCAAGTACAATAGTCTTGTCATCCTGCACCTCGACCCCATGAACTTTCGAATGGCCATTGACGTTTTGAGCGATCGACATGTCGGGCTTTGACCCATTTCCGCGGGAGAAGGCGAGTGCTGGCATCTTGACAAGATACGCACCAGTGTCCTTCTTGGCACGCACCTTCGAGGCCGAAGCAGCATTGATGGCATTCGCAGTTGAGGGACTGGGTTTGGCATGTTCCACCGGTCTGTCCCGCTCTCCCATGACGTGTTGAATGACCTTGAACGTGATAATGGCGTCCTTTGTCAGAGATCGGGAGATGACCAAGAGCGGTGCACTGATAGGCTGCTTTTGCCATTGCATGATCTCGTCGAATGGAACGCGAGATCGAAGCATGCCAGACCGTTTCACCGCAAAGTACTTCGAAGCAAAGTCTTCCTTTTGAAAGGCTTGGATTTCGTCACTGATAGAAGTGGGGAGCAGGGGGTGAAGTCTATAATGGAGTCAGTCTCGGGTACTTTTCGGAAAAACGCACCCTGTGCTCAGTCTCTTGGTCCTCATTGCACTGACTTGGATCGGTTCTGTTATTTCAGGTTGCCGTGGAATAGTCCCGTCTGTCACAATGGGCGGGGAAATCTCTCTGCGGGGCCTCGATTCGTCATTTGCCTCTGTTCGATATCAGCTGGCAGCCACAGAGAAGCCTGCCTACCTTTGTCTCTGTCCTCGTGCGCAGAACGATCTTTACCGGACCAAAGATCCCTTGACACCGCTGCATATCCATTGGCACCCTTGGTCGGCGAGCCTGGATCATTCGCCTCGGTCTCTTTCGGCGCTGACTCATACACGACACTCAGGGGTGTCCGAAGGATGGACGAGGAGGCCACGGTAGATTGAGAAGGCTCAGAGGGGAATCCATGGTCCACAGGGTCTTCGGATAGGTGCTCCGTGTTATCGGAGGAGGTGTTAGGGGACGGAGATGGCGGAACACTTCTCCGAGGGGAAAGAGGGGGCTCAGTCGGATGAGAATTTGGAAAGGGACGTTGTGGGGATGATTGTCTCTCAGGACGGACTGGTGGGGAGGCGGGAGCTCGAGACTTTGTGGGGCGGTTTGGAGGCGTCTGGTCTATAGAGTCACCAAATGGATCAGGTGAACGCTCTAGGTGCCCACTTGAATGATTGGGTTTCTTTGGAAGCGCATTGCGCTGGATATTTCGTTAACAATGATCATGAAAGCTGATTTATGGCTTGCGACTGACCTGAATCAAGCCCAATGGGATCACGAATGCTCCGTCCTTAGGACGAGACCATTGGGTCTTGCTAGTCACGGTGTCTGCAGCATGATCAGCTTCGTCCCATGATTGTTAAATTTGGTTTACTGTAGTAATAGCACCGATTGCCTCGGCTCGCATCGGCAAGCTCCCACCATTCGCCTTCTGGCATCCGGGGTACGATCATGGCACCGATGGGCGGATCCCAACTGCATTGGCCGGTCGCAGGACAGGCAAAGAAAACATTCTGAGTCTGATATATCACCGAATAAGTATGGAACGATGACGTCTGTACGCTCATGGACTCACCTGTGGATCTGCAATCGTGACCCAGAATTGAAGGCTCCAGCCCAAGGTCGGGTCTTCACACTTGGCCAGAGCATCTCGAATATCCATCCCGGGAGGTAAAACGTTGATCGTGGCGACGGAATCGTGTCGACCGCGGACAGTACCTGAGGCACTTGAGTCTGAGGAACCTGCTTGACGTGGCTCGTATCCTCTGAGCTGACTGGAAGAACTAGCAGTTGACGATCCGTCGACTGATGGAGGATTCGGACCAGGAGCAGAAGCGTCTCTTTCTGCGTCTTGTCTCGCCCAGTGGTCCCTGATCGCTTGCTTCTCCTTGTTCCGCGTTGAGTGGATAGTATGGTTCGATGGGGAAGTCGGTGAGAGGACGGATGATTGCCCAAAAGCAATGGTTGAATAATCTGGTGGTGATGTCAGGATGTTCTGAGGGGATTGCCCGGAGTGGCTGAGGGTCGATTCTGCGGGTGAAAGGGGACTATGAACAGGGACAACGGCGGGGGATGGTGTTGAAAGAGGCAGACTGTCTATATCTGCAGGCTTCAGGGTTTCTCCTACTTCCGCTTCTATCCTAGCGACTTTTGGAGTCAGTGGCGCCAAAGAGCTCGCAGCCTCGCTGACTTCAGATTCGCCCGAGGTGACCGTGACCAGATCCGGGCGACGAGGCAATTCGTTCTCGTCTTCAGTAGCTGCTGAGAGAATAGAATCCGTTGAGACCGGTAACGGAGGAAGTAGTTTATCGACTTGTGGAGGAGGACTGACAGGTGTTGTCCGTGCTTCGTCGTGGGGTCCAACTGCGCTTTGACTCGAGGCCTCCAAAGTGGGCGATTGCAGATTCACGCCGTTTTCTTCTGCAGACTTGAACGAGTCGTTCAAAGTGAAAACATCAAAGGTACTCGCAAAATCGTTGTCTGGTTGAAAGTTGAGACGTGGAGGATCCGTTGGCGAAGCGGTGTAAGCGTATTGTCCGTCGTTGTCAAGTTCTGGACCACTCTTGTACTTGCTGCTATTCCGCCTACTACTGCTGATGCTTGAGATGCTATCTAACGTTGATGGCGTCGAGCCCTTTTCTTTGTCTGAGGCGGATGAATGAGAGGTGACGATGGATAGCTTGTTCTGGGTGAGAGAACGAGACAGAGATGACAAGGCTTTCATGGCGAATTCAGTGAGGATCGATGTCACGGGATCCAAAGGGACGTGCGGCGCGGGTTGCAATTGTGCTTTTTATTGTGATCGTGAGTGCTAGTGCGAACGAAGGGGGAGGGGCAATCGAATCTAGAGCCATGGGGTCCAGGGCCCTCACGCTGCTGAGACAGCTTCTGTTCACCACGAGAGAGCTACCACCTGATCTCGTCCATTCAATCGAAATCCAATCCCACTGGTACCTGCCGTATTCTTAAGCAATCGACCGGGTATCCGGAGAGAGGCCTTTTGATCTGAGCGCGCAGAGGTGGAATTCGGGAGAGGGTGGTGTGTAGGTGTATCAAAAGGCAGTCAGTTCTACCACGGTGGGCACCTTATGGAGGAATGTGATTTGGGGTACGGGTAATCCATGAAATGACAGCAGAACGAGGTATACCTGAGGTGGATCTAGCCTGGATCTCGTTGTGCTCAACGGCCAATGGAACAGCTCAAAACGTGCTCCGGAAATAAATAAAGTTCTCCGTTATGAGTGAGGAATTCCCGATTGCGGCAGAAGCTCTCTCAAGCAGTCGCGAAGCGGTATGTAGATAGCGTTCTGAAAGTGGAGAAAGCGGTAAAGAGGCGTGTCGAGTTGGCAGATCATATCGACAGTCTGCCGATCGCCAATGACATTACTCTTGCATACCAGGTATCCATGAAGAGCATCCTAGGCAGACCCCAGCTAGACCACTCACTAAAGCCCCCTGCAACAATCGTGCCGGCGGCTTATCATCTGATGCCCATCTGATTGTTCCCTCCTGGTAAGGTAAGCACCATACATGCTTGCAGGATCGACAGGCATCTCCGATGGTCCGGCCCGGCAGGGACTTCTTCGTCGCACTTGACGATGCCTGGACTCGGGCTTAAGCCTATGTTCGGAAACACAGAGTTGGCTGGGTCAAATCCCGCAGAGCAGTCATATCGAGGACCGACGCGGTGCCACGATGCTAATACAGGACATACGTGCTAGGACTTCAACAGAAGGTACGCGATATGGATATGGCCAATTGACTGGACGACGGCAAGGTCCGCGAAGAGGCTGAAATGTACGGGTGATAAGGGAAGATCGTGGACCAAGATCCAGATACGATCCGAGGACTGGGATTGAGGAGGGCGGACATGGGCCTATTAGCTCTGGCTCAGCATCATATCAGTATCGCTGCTCCCGTTTTTGCCTATATCCCATGCATCACGGAGTCGCAAAAGTCGGAGCGTACAGTTGGCGGCGGAAAGATTGGAGATGCCGGTCCAAAGAGTTGCCCAAAGAGGATATTTCTGACTGTTTCGGTGAGGTAGCTCGTTGGAAGAGATCAACTGTCAACGGCCCAGACTGCAGACGGAACGGATAATCCATACTCCTCCAACTCCAACACAAGCTCTACTGCGTGCCGCAGAGAGGACACGACGACGCGAGAAAACCTAGTGGAACGCGCGATGGCGATAAGAAACAAGATGCAACGAGGAACGTGCCTTTCATCTGGCGCAGGGCAGATGGACGTGAAGAGGAACTCAGGAAAAGGAGAGAATGTCTGCTTACTGGCTGGACCTGACCTGACTTAACGTAGTGTCCAGGAGGTGTCCCTTCTACTGTCTTCGTGTGACCGATCCTTACTAGTGAGGAACTCAGTTATCACACTCTGGTCACTAGTGCGAATTCAGCCTCGTCCAAGGCATCTTAACAACAATAGAGGCAGCCGGGACTTTTTTCTACACAATGGTGCATAGGCCTCTTTGATGGTTTGGACAGATGGTCTATCGCGGTTGAGTCCATCGTACAACGCCTTTCGTCCTTCTCAAAGCATCCTTGATGGAGCGGCCGATGAGAAGGAGCTAATGGCTTGAGTGCGTTATTACCGTGAGTAAGAGCAGAAATCAACCTCTCGCTGACTTGAACTAAGATATCACGGCATCTTCACGAAGGGATCCTCTATTGTCTGGAACGAAGAGCATTCCTCTTCTATGCCTTTGGCCATTGGATCCGCCATCATCGAGTAGAACCTGTCTACGCACTCATGATCACGGTATCGCAATCCCTGAAGCTCTAGAGAAGATAGACAGCGATCTACCAATCAGATTCGGGAAGATCCCTTGTCGCGATGAGCAAGCGACAACAAGGCCAATCGTCAGAATGTTCAGCTACAGAGTCATTGGTGAGTCGTCCCATAAATCCTACGGTATGTACGGAGATGCTGAGTGCCTTTCACTTTTATACTAGCTCACCCACCTTCCTTTGACTTCTACACTTGTACCTGACCGGGGAATTCCATGGTCCGATGAAGGCCTGTCTGGTGGTCCACTTGCGAGTCCAGTGGACGGCAAAGATGGCGGACATACACCGAAAGACGCTGCGATCAAAGGCCATTACGCCCCGAAGCCCATTCGAAGACAATACCACCCTCGTGATACACCATGTCAATTTATCATCACCACTCCAAAGGATGGATCAACAGGCTTGGTCTCATCTATCACAGATATCCACCAATGTGAGCCTAAAAGCAAGCTATATCCAGCTATAGCCCCCCGGCCAGCTCCAATGAGCACCCTTGAGATGAGTAGCTCGTCACTGCATCGGCATTGGCCTGAGTCCCTTACTCGCTCAAACTTGGCTCACATCAAGGTCCACGAGGACCGTGCACTGTGTGCCGGATCATCGATCGATTCGAACTTGAAGTCGCCGGACTCTGTCCTTCATCCTGTACATCAGTCTAGTCTTTGCTCTCCTTCGTCGAAAATCTCCCTCGTGTCACCTTCGCCATCTCTTGAGCAGAGTTCACTGGCCGCTCTATCACCTCCTGGGCGACCTCTGCCCGACACGCCCGCATCCCCATTCATCTCTCGCAGAAAAATTTCGACAGCATCGCAATCATCTATAATTTCAACTTCGACTTCTGCATCATCGTGTCTAACCATGACCTCTTCATCCTCGGCGCCCACGCTCGCGACCTTCAGCTCAGTGTCCACCGCCTCATCAAGTTGTACAACTTCATCATTACATTCTTCACCATCTTTGTCAAGATTTGACCCGGGGGACGATTTTCTCCCCAAACCGCTTCGATACCCTCGTCTAAGCAAAAGCATGGCCAAGCTCACTGATAGTGGTTCATCTAGATCGAAGTCTAGAGGCAAATCACCAGGTCGATCCGTCAAGTCATCCTCTAGTCAGAGAAGCCTCACATCGTCCATCCTCTCGACGCCATCTAGCGCGGGGTTTTCGCCGACGCGAACAAGCCCGACGAGCTGCTCTATTCCGCCAACGCCTACCTCCACGAGATCATTGCCAAACAAGGATCTGTCGGCCGTCCAAGATCTTCCAGAGATGCTACTAATACGGCCTCAGCAGAAATCATCCACACCAGAAACGAAGACCGCCCGTAGTGTCATGCCATTATCGCCCACTGCATCTTCTGTATCACAAAGTTCAAGCCGAGCTCTGCGACACTCATTCGCGTCCGTGACATCGACTCTGTTTTCGACTGAAGACCATACCTTGACTGACTGTGGATCCCTCGTGTCAGCTTCGACCTCTGCCTCGTCGACATTGACTTCCATTGAGACAGATGAAGGCGAGGACAATGACAATGGACTACATGGGACCTGCAGGGATTCAAGCAGAGATTCCAGGTGTAGGGTCCGAGTTTGGGAGCCAGAATCGGAAGGGGGTCCACAAGCTGGCCTGGACGAGTTCCCACTACCTTCCACATCGACGCCTATCCGGTTCGAGGCTTTCACCACCTGCGTCGAGACAGACGCCACGCCGCGTGCTTCTAACGGCGAACATGTTTCTCCATTTGTGGACGGGCAGCAGTCGAGACATTTCCAGCCTGACTGTCTCCTTGACCGGACGCCAAAGAGCTACTTGGTCAGATCAGAATCCGACATCAGCGTCATCCGCAAGTTTCCCCTTCCTCCTGCTCGTTCACCCATCATCACCAACACGACCCAGTCCAGTGCACGGGCAAGCGTCGAACAGAGCCCCCGTAGTCTCTTACGCGCATACATCCCACTTCCTCGATTGCAAGAGGAGGAGGCCCTCAGCGTGGTCCCATCGGAAGAAGAGCGAGAGAATGTAGAGGAATCGACGGTGTTGCCTTATTTGAAGAGTGAAGATTCGCTCATTGACGCAATGGCTTTCGAAGCTGATGAATCCGATTTGGGTGAGTGCTGGAAGTCCACATCTACTGGCAATCCTGACTCTTTGCAGACATCCATGCACCGCTGGTTGACATTGCCCTCAAGTCTCGAATCATCTCACCGAATTCCCGACTCGCTCGTCCTACCTCGGGCTTTTCTTCAAGTTCGTCCACCTTCTCGTCGTCCACATCTAGACGCCGAGCAACTGGTGTCATGTCATACGGCCAGGGATCTGCTGCCTTGTATCTCCAACCGTTCTCCTCACCAGCTTCGAAGCGATCTTCCACTCGAAGTAGCCTCGGAACTCTGCGGCCACTGTCGACCCCCACCAGGCATAGTGGAGAGGGGTGGAGTGGGTCCGAAAGCGAAGAAGAAGAGTTCGTCAACGCCTTACAGGCTATCTCTCTGAAACGACTATCCACTCCGAAATTGAAGAGAATTCCCTCGTTGCTCAAAACGGTCCGCGCGAACAGGGGCTCCGCGATGAAGTCTCCGACAAGCAGCACTCAGAACCCCCGCAATCTCTCGCCTCTGTGTCCCACATACGGTGACGATCAGCGTCGACAGAGCTCGATACCTGCAACTTTAGGATATAGCTCGCTTCGAGGTTTCAATTCTCCTCGAACGCCTACTAGCTCCAGATCCAATCGGTTCTCGGGCCAATCTCAGACCTCTCAATTGTCCAGCGGCACTCTCTCCGGACCGGAGAGCACGCCATTGACTCCATGCTCATCCAATACGACCCATCGCATTCGATCTGACAGCCCGTTGTTGTCTCCTCGGTATGCCGAGAGATGTGACTCGGACCAGAGCGGCGGCTCAAAAGTAGCGGACGTGCCACATTTGCCTCGACCTACTCGACGGGTCGAAGGATGGGGTATGCCTGAGATCCTCATCGATGAAGAGTGGAGCAGTGCTGATGAGGCTATCCATGGTTGGTCCGATGATGAGGACGGGATACTTGGAGTTGGGCGTTTCATCCGGGATGAGGGAGATGATTGGCTACTTGGCGAGCGGTTGGAGGAGTAGATTATGGCACACTCGTAAAGACGACCAGCCTGTCACTACACGCCATAAAGTGTCATAATGTCAACCTTAGACGATATTCTCTATCAGTTGTAGGTTGTTCTCGTCAGATGCACAATCCGTCAGTCGGACTCTTTGGGAAGTCTGCGAAAGGCCAAAGGAAAAAGAAGGGTGAGCAACGATCCTGAGCCTAGTTCGTCGACTATGAATCATTAGTCCTGCCTGGCAGCCGAGAGAGCAGTATGACAGCGTGACAGACCCAGTCACTGTGGGACCCCTGGCTCAATACACTGATCACCATACGCCATGCATTTGACTTGTAACATGCAGTATCTACCAGAGATAGATTGAGCGCGAAAAGTGTGGAAATGGTCGAAAAGTCGAAAGAATATGACTGAACGTGCGACTTAGTCGAAGAGACCGAATCCCTGCAATGCGAGTCAGCGAACAGATGTTCAAGATTGACCGCAAGATGCATGCGTCCGACGCTGTCGGTCCAAAAAGGGTGCCGGTGGGAATGACTCACCATGTCGTCGTCAGACTCCTCCTTCTCCTCAGCCTTCTCCTCCTTCTTCTCCTCCTCGGCAGCAGCACCTCCAGCAGCGGCACCACCGGCGGCACCACCGGCAGCGGCGACTCCAGCAGCAGGAGCTCCACCACCTCCGACGTTGGAAAGCATGTCCTTGACGTCCTTTCCGTCGAGAGCCTTGGCGAGGAGAGTAGCCCAGATAGGCTCAACGTCAACCTTGGCGGCAGAGGTCAAAGTGGTGATCTTTTCGCCCTGCATACGACGGAATTCAGTATATGAATGCCTTCCCCCGGATAGATCTGATCTATCCCCATTGCGAGTCTTTGACTCGATACTCACGGTGATCTCAATTCCCTCGTCGGCGAGAATGAGGGCGGCGTAGGTAGCAGCGAGTTCGTTGGACTGAGTTGAAGAAAGTCAGCACAGTGAGTCCACAAATAGGGAGAGGACAATTCACCATCTTGAGAAAGTGCAACCACGATTTAAGCCGAAGCAGGAAGCACTATGAAGATGATACGGTTTTTAGTTGAAAGAGAGACAGAAGATGCGCTCCGAGTTGGACAAAATGGTTGGTTCCCAACTTTGGGCGTTGTATGCTGATAATTTCGCCAATTTTGGCTGTGGTTATATCGTTTGTGGCACTTTATGGGTGAAGAACCATCCTGTTGACGGTGAACGGAACCAATTTCGGCGTTTCCTTGTGAGGTTTTAAAACGCCGAGAAATCCTACCAAAGCCTTTTGGAGAACTTGGCCAGCAAAAACGAAAAATCCTTTCTCGTAGCAAAGCTTTCGCTGGTTTGTTCTACTCATCCACCTCTTGAAACGACATCGACGACGAGCAACCATGGCTCCTTCTACGAGGTGAGTGGAGGAAGGCTTCTGTGGAAGGTGGATGTTCTGTGACCCCCAGCCGATGCGGAGTGCTGCACGGGCAAAGGTGTCGCTCGCATGCGAGACCTGGATGGGATGGATCCACTTGCGTTCGTGCGACCCAGACTAACCATTTCATTCCTCAGTGTCCCATCGGCCGACCACGTCGCCGTCCCCGAAACTCTCCTCAAGAAGAGGAGAACCACCGAGGCTAGCCGAGAGGCTAAACTTGCCGCTGCTCAGGAGGCTCGAAAGGTGAGTGGATGGGTTTTCTTTTTCCAACAAGCAAGCGAGAGAGGCAAGAGAAAAATCTCCTTCTCGTCTGGTCCGACCAGCTTCATAAACGCACGGAGAACGATTCATATCAGACCCGTGTCCTTCTTCCCACCATCCCACCATGCCATCTTCATCCCCCTTCGCACGCTGTGATGCATAATCACCGACATTTTGTCGGCTTCTTTTTGGCTAGTCTTGCGAGACGATGCTGTCGAAATTATACCATCTTTCGGGGCTGAGGCGTTTAATTACCTTCGACACACCTTGTCATTTCTTCGACTCGTCTGGTCAAAAGTCTCGCCTCTGGGAGGACATTCGAGCTGACGCTCAACCTCAGAACCAAAAGGCCAAGCGCAAGGTCATCTTCAAGCGTGCCGATGAATACGTGAAAGAGTACATTGCTCAGGAGAAAGAGGAGGTCCGACTCAAGCGAGCCGCTCGGTCCACTGGAGACTTTTACGTTGAGGCTCAATCAAAAGTCTACTTCGTTGTCAGGCTCAAGGGGTGGGTCGAGAGATACTTTGGTGCTCTCTATTCGCTAATGCGACTTTCTAGTGTCTCCAAGCTCGCCCCCAAGCCCCGCAAGATCCTTCAGCTTCTCCGTCTTCTTCAGATCAACAATGGTGTCTTCATTCGAGTGACAAAGGCCACCAAGAACATGCTTCAACTCGTCGAACCTTACGTCACTTACGGAGAGCCCAACCTCAAGGCTATCCGAGAGTTGATCTACAAGCGTGGATACGCCAAGGTTCACGGACAGAGAATTCCAATTACCGACAACGCCATCATCGAGAAGCAGCTCGGAAAATACAACATTCTCTGTGAGTTGGACGGCGGGCGCGGCGCCTCTTTGTCATTGTTTGAGCTTTACTGACTCTTTTGACTCAAGGCATGGAGGACCTCGTTCACGAGATCGCCACCTGTGGACCCAACTTCAAACAGGCCACTTCTTTCCTCTGGGCTTTCAAGCTCTCCAACCCTACTGGCGGATGGAGACCTAGGAAATTCATCACTTACGTCGAGGGAGGAGACACTGGAAACAGGGAAAAGCACATGAGCAAGCTCATTCACCAGATGGTGTAATTTGTGCAAGGAGAATCTGCTGTCGCGAGAGAGCGGGCGGGATGTGATGCCACGGCGAGAGAGTGACGTTGGAGAGAGGCTTGAGAGGTCCGTACCGGGCTCATGCTCGTATGCGACTTCTCGCCTCGACTTGGGCAGGACCTGTGGATAGGTAGCCAAAACCTTTTTTTCCCTTCCTTTCCTTTCTGCGCATGTAAATCATTGCAATCACGAGTGTAGTTCGACTCAGGTCAAGGCAAACGAAGCTGGACGTGTGTCGTTCATCACGGCTCTCTCGTTGCACACGAGATCGTTCACACCTGGAACGTCTTTGAGCTCAGAGGTAAGATTCTGCGGGAGCTGCCTGCTTTGCTACACGACGTCTCAACCACCTGGTAAACATGGCGCACCTCTATTGCGCTGCCATGATCGTGAATCATGCGCTCAGAAATCACGATAACACCAGATGGGAGACTCATCACTGATATTATGCACAATGTGTCGATCGTTGTTCGACAGAGGGACGGGCATGCTTCATGCAGAGGCCCTTTTGACTCTACGTAGTTTGTACAAACAGACACACTAAATTGTTGACATTCCGCGATATCGCGTTTGTGATGTTGACCTTCTCCGAACTTTCTCATCGCTCGACATTACGGCGAGGTCACAAATGAAGACCCCATCGCACTCGCCGATAGATCGTTCAATTGACTCTGCGACGTTTCGAACAGCGTCTCTGTCGTAGCTGTCGTAAAATCGTACGGGGAGAGTTGGCTGAACAGGGTCCCTTCTGGATCGATCGAAGGGCGATCATTGCTGCTTTGTCCATCTACACGAGCAAAGCGGCGTGATCATCATCGTCATCCACGATGAGGTCATGTAGGTCAAGCTCGGGATCTGTCGATGAACCACTGTGTAACCCCACCGTTGCGAGATCGAAAGGACTCGACGACGTAGGTAAATCCATGGCGGGAGGAGAAGGTGCAAGGGATGGGTTGGTGAATGAGGAAGAGGTGCCTGGAGGAGATGGATCCTGTCGAGAGGGAGGGAGGGGAAGGACAGGGGAATGAAGTGATGAAGAGGAAGCATTGGAACGTTGTCTATAGACTCCCATACTGTCGAATGCAAAGATAGGAGGAGAATGTCGAACGGAATTGGCAGGTGAATGGGTGGTGGAGGAATTGCGACCAGAGGGAAATGGAGGAGCTTGGGGAAGGCCGTAGTAGACAGTTGGCGGGGGCGATGCGTTATAGGATGAAGGGGAAGTCTGAGAGACGGATCGATGGGTGAAGAATGGTTGGGGTTGCTCCCATGGTTTGAGCCGTGTGGGTAGGATAGAGTCAGAGGGAGGCGATGTCTGAGGTGAGCATATAAGTAATCCAGTCGACCTCCTCAAAATGTTGTTGTTACGCAAAACTCACATTCAGCTGATCAGGTATCATCTTGACCGGTACTTCCCCCGCCCTGCCCTCTGATATCAACGTGCACAACATGCTGAAGCTCATTCCTTGGTCGCCTGGGGAGCTCGACTGGACGGAAGAACTGGACCCCGAAGTATCTTCCATCATTCTCTTGGCTTCGGCGAGATGATTTAATACTGCCATTGGATCTCTTGGCTTCGGCGCCGGATGAAGCGGGGTGGGTGATCTTGAAAGTGATGAACCCCGAGGTGAGGACGATGTCGAAGAGGATGGGTGAGAAGTGGATGACCGTGATGAATTCCCATTGGACCATGAGGCGTAAGATTCCCAAGGTATGGATATCTGATACAGTCTGAACAAGGGCCAACAAAGTGTCAGGGGCCAATTGCCATCACTAGACTAGGGTTCAAAAGCTCAAAGCTCTGGCTCACCTAGTAAAGTAGAACCATTGAGCGCGACCCATTATCTCGTCGATCTGAGCTGCGCTCCGCTTCGTACCCCGTATAGCTCCAATGACAGTCGGTAGTCCAGCCTGAAATGGATATGCATGTCAGCAACATCGTGACGAACACGATAGACAGCTGACCCTGAAATTTGGATCATCCGAGAATCTATAATGCTCAAATGCTTCGAACAGAGCCGCTCGATCGGATGGGGATGTCCATGGCCCAGTGATAGTGTTATCAGATCGTGTGGCTTGGCCGGTCGTTGTCTCTGGACTCGTATGAGTAGGGCCTTTACTGGGGCCAGATTTAGGCGATAGCCGCGTGGTGGACGGATCCGCTAGGTTCATGCTTTGGAGATATCGTGAAATGGACGGGTCCGAGGGGCGTCGATAGGGGTCGACCGATGAGTCTGATATAGTGTCTCCAGTTCACCCCAGTTCACTCCACTTCAGTCCCGGAGCACCGAGGCTTGATATGTATAAGAGAAAATGGTAAGAGGAGAGGTAGACAGAAAGTTGAATTGCGCCGGCGCTTGTAAAAATCGCAACTCAAGCTTGTTTTTCTTCAGCTATGACCTTACCTCCTCCCCTTCCTGCCGAGTGAACGAAGCAGCAGGTAACGAGCTTTCGAGACCAGATGATTGGCAGGTGTACAGCCCGTATCATCAGCCTTTTACGATTCGAGCTGAGCGGTTCGGCAGGAGCGTCGGTAGCGATTGCCTCCGCGTGAGCTTCCTCATGGAATCGGATGCTTTTGCAGTTCGGACAATGCTTGCGGGGGCGAGGGGCGAGGGGCGAGGGGAGAAGGGAGAAGGGCCGGTGGATCGGGTCGCGACGTTTGAGTTGGAAAATAAAAAGCGGCGTATACGAAGCGTCGGCTGGATTCGGCGATCTATGTCGTGATATTATTATCTCTGGGCGGCTAAGCGGAATTACCGTGAGGCGGAATTAGACGAAGGGGGTGGGTCCGACGATATCGTTTTCACAGATCGTGGCTCTCTCTCTCTCTCTATAGGTTGTAGAATGCCTATTGTGGACGTGGGACCGTTAGCATGGACCGTCACAAAAACCCCATCTAGGGGCGGTGAAAAGCACTTTTATCACGACGATACCGCTTTTATCCCATCAAGATGGGGAGGATATACCATAGGTCAAAGGAACTGAACTCCACCTTCATTTGTCATACAATCCGCTGGTACAGTCACAGAAAGCGTTGAAAGCAATGCCAGTAGGACACAGTGATCTGACTCAGTTCATTTTGTCACGAGATGCCAACCCACCGAAAGGAATCGATGGAATGAACCGGTCCGTCGGGCGAGATTTGGTGATGCTTGCTTGGGCTTGGGGGTCCTCGGAGGCAAAATGAAAAACCGCCGTGGCACTGCAAATTGGCCGCGATCCGGCACGAGTGGAGGAGGATTGTACCTGGTTCACCTAGGCCGCTCCTGTTCCAGAGCGCTCTTTTTTTCCTTTGGTATACATGTGCTTCACTCCAAGGTGGAATGGGGGCGAGGCGGGCCAAGGGGGGCCTCTCTGCGGGACTCGCGACTGAAATGTCCAGTGCGGATCTCAAGCGGGAATGAAGCGTCACACGCCTCAGCCAGTAGCATGCGAAGGATATCATTGGTGCTTCTGAGCGTCATCGGTTGATAAGGAGTGTGATCGCATTCGCGGACATGAGTAGTCCATGTCACGCTTTGGATTTGCGGAGCAGAGAGGAAATGCTCCCATAAGAGGATATACCTGGATCTATCTGTTGATGATGATACGAGCCAAATGGATGGCGAAAGCAGAGACAGATGGACATTGAGTCGGTAGCCTCACGGTCAAAGCCTCAAGCAGCATACCTGCTGTAATTGAGCGTGCCACACTGCCACGTGTTGGAACACGTGGCACTCAGATCTTCATGATTCGGGGCGCGATGAAACCCGTTATTATTGCTGTCACGCTGGTCTCCGGGGACAATACTCGTCTTTCTCCCTCGCATCTCCCCGACGTCAGGACATGACGACGCTAACCGAGCCGACCGTACGGCAGATGACAGACAGCACATTGTCATCGATGGCCAAGGATATTCTAGACCGATCAGTTGGACCGCACAAAACCTCATCATCTTCCAATCAAGTTCCACAAGCAGAAGATGGGCACGCTGATGGATCAAACGACCTTGTCAAGGATCTAGCTGTGCATCTGTACGCGCTTCATGAGCTCGAAACGCATGTCAGACTTCTTAAAGAAGGACAAGAGAATGCAGTACGAAACGTCATCGTTTCAGAGCTTCAAACCACGAGGACCAGCGAGAGATTGAACAGCGAGATCTGGTCCATCCTGGATCAAATAGAGCACAGAGTCTTGAGCGGAAGTCAGCTATCATCGCCCACCAACGGATCTGCGGGGGCTGTAGTAGATAACCAAGAGGACGACGCATCTGTCGAGCAGGGAGCTTCGATCCGACTGGACGACCTTCTATGGAGCCGGTTCCACGTCGACGAGAAAGGTAGCAGCGTAACGGGTGAGTCAGCATCAATGTGAGATGGAACTCCCAGTTGACGCCAAAAACAACAGCCCTGGATCTCCTATTGCCTCCATACGGAAGAGGTCTGACGCAATCTCCGCTTTCACATCCGCTCGTCAAGATACTCATCAACGTAGCGTGGACGTGTCCAATACAGTCAACTCGCTCTGAACTAGGTCGTATCCGTCTCGACGAAAGTCACGGACGAGATGAGCTCGAACGAGGTGTACCGAAGCAAGTAGGGCAGTCGGGTCTGCGCAAAGCGTATTCCAAGCTCGAATCTTGCATCACGCCGAGGTGAATGAGACAAATCCCCCTCATGGATATCATTTTCAGCTCATATCATTCTCTTTAGTCGTCAACATAAGCTCGGATTCATCTCTTTTGGCGTCCTGTACTGCCTCACCCTCGCCTTGTCAACTGCACCCGGTACTTTCATCGTCCCCTACACTTACATCAATCCACAACCTCAGGCAATGGAGATAATCTACATACTCTGGGCGACAGCTTTTGTCATTGCAGTGAGTTTCAAGAATACCCAACGCTATCTTTGCACCTTGCTGATCAATCTCTCCTTCCACCGTTCAGTCCTTGCAAAGTCGAAGCACGAGCCGAATCCTCCTCACTATCCCGACGTTCCTTTGCCTGCATAACCTCTTTTCGCCGCCTAGCGCCTATTCTTTTCTATGTCTCTCCATTCCAACCCTGACGATAGCCTTAATCGTTCCTCGTTCTTTACCGTCTCTCGTATATCTCTTTCCAGAGACATTACCATTGTCCGCCATTCTCGCGACTTCCCTTGGACGAGCTATCAGGTCGTTGACTCTGCTCGGTCCTTTGGCTCTCTTCCTCTTCATCATCTTGGCCTCGTCGATGAATGGAGACTCAGACCTATGGGTGATATTTGGAAACTTCAGCTCGGATATGGGTACAACGCTCAGTCAACTGGTCTCGGCTGTCGGTCATGGTGCCATGGGCGGAGAACCTCCTGTCGCGCCTTATGAAGCTCGACAAGCCATCTTCATCTCGCTCAGTCTCCTACTGGCTTTTTCTATTCCACTGGCTATCGCTCAGTCGTACCCTCCAACAACCATTTCACTCAAAACGCCTTCGAGCTCACGTGGTGTTGCTTCGACATCATCCGAAGTGGTCCATGACGACCTGGATCGGAATTACTCACCATACATCGCACTATCCGCGCGAACTCACTGGGCTCGCAGTGTCAACCACTATCTGTCACCTCGTCCCATACTGCCATTCAACATCCTCACTCTACCCCTTGAGCTCATCGCGGCCGGAGTGATGATCCGTCCCATCCCCCTAGAAAAGGCTAAAGCGATCAGGAGCAAGGTGCTCGCTTGGAACGAGGTTCTCGCGGTATTAATTACGGCTCCGTTATGTTTCTTATTAGGGTTGTTAGAGCGCTTTACCCGTGTCCGAGGAACCAAGAATCATAAGTTGTAAGTGGGTGCAGATGAATATTGTATGTCATGATCGAGAGAGTGAAATCCGCAGTGATTCAGTCATCATTCCATATTCTAGACTCTAAGCGCCTGGAAAAGCACCTGGCATTTCACCTTCCTCAGTTCCTCCACCCTCCTGCCCTCTGCCCATCTCAGCCGCTGCTCGTCTGAAAGCCTAGAGTGCGAATGTCATCATCCGCAATCGTGTCACGGTCTCGCTCAAACTCACGCCTTGCAATGCTTGAGCATCCACACCAGGCGGTGCAAATCGTCTGGCCAATCGCTCAAGTATATCTTGCGGTATCTCCATACCTCTCCCCGTGAGATTCGTCACCTGTTCCATCAATCTCGTCATTTCTGACTGGTTTTCCCTCTCCTGTCGACTTGGCCTCAGACCGTTGAAATAGGCTGGATCGTACAGTGTACTGGCGGTTGAAGGAGGTAGTGGATCATAAGCATGCACCGGAGCATTCTTGATTTGAGGAGGGAGGAAACCCAACCACGATGTCGATTCGGAGCATAAAACGTGTCGACAGATGTGCATTGGGACATTGAGAATTCGGTCATTTGGATCCCTTGGGACGCTCAAATGGGCCAATGCGCGATCACGAGCCTCTACAGATTCTTTCGTATCGAGTTGAGGTAGCGCACTCGAAACTTGGGTTTGGAACCAGGACAGGACGGAAGGTTCTTTCCACAGAGCTTCAGAGCGAGAGACATAGATGTGGGACAGGAGGTGAACAACGTTGGTGATTTCGGGACTGGCAACAGTCAGTCCATTTCCACCTCTCCTCTACTTACGTATAGCTCGCTTGGATCTGCAGCAACGGGTGGGATCTCGATGAGTCAGGCACAGTAGCTCCAATTTTGTCTGCAAGTGGAATCACGACCTGAGGGAATGTCTTGATGGCATCTTGGAGTGCAGCATCACTCTCAGAGTGGTCCTGAAAGTTCCCATCAGCGTCCCCTTCACCCTCTAATCATATTACCCACCCCATGCTTCTTGGCCGTCTCATCGGCGCGTAAGGCCAAAGCTTGAGCATAGGCCATTCCAGGATACCCATGGAACGCTGCAGCTGCTGTTGACACCGAGGCCTGTTCAAGCATCTGGATGAGCCACTCCCCATTGCCGGATTTAACGGCTAAAAAGTCGAGCCAGAATGATGCACCGTGCGGGTCGCCCTGTGGACTGGTCAGCCGCGAGGACGATCTGGGAGGACGCACGATGGGATCTAAGGAGAAAAGTAGCTTGGCAAAGTTGAAAGCTGTTATCCAGCAGCCTCTGCGACCAAGGTATGATATGATTCGATGCAATCCCAAGAACAATGGCCTGTTCTCCACACGGTCAAAGTCTAACCGGCATGATCCAGTAGACGGATTGAAAGACGGAAAAAGACATCTATCAAATGCGTACAGCGCTCTTTCAGCAAAGTCGGAGGCGGCGCCAATGTCTGCACGGGCATGTCAGTTTAGCATTTAGACGAGGTCACACAAACGCACCTGATTGCAAGCGGTACACTTCGCTCATTTGTAAGAGTGTGTCAACATGCCAAGGGTAGACTTGTAAAAGCGCCATGAGAGTGTTCGGATCTGCGTGAACCATGAGTTTCTGGTAGCGGTATACAGATGCTCACTCACCGTGCGAAGTGACCGCGCCCAAGAACTGCCTGACAATCTCTCTCCATGCTCCAGAATGCTCAAATGTGAACCATTTTTCGCTCTTATCCTCCGATTCCACACCTTTGCCCTTGTACATGTCCTCCACCTCTGTATCCCTCATCTCACGCATAACAAGTCCAGAGAGGGATGTGGCAGGCGGGTAACCTGGTTTCGGCTTGGATATGGTATACCTCAATTTCGAGGATGGTCCAGCTCGATGATTCTTGGATGATGTATTGCCCGATGCGATCTAGAGGCTGATCAATTGGAGCACACGATCGCAATCTCTGCATCGTACTGACCACTTTTGACCCGAAGAATCTCCGCAGTTCCGCATCTGCATCCAGATTCTTAGGGTCGACCGAGAGAAGATTTCTGAAGGCCATGCTCTTTCTAATATCGCTGGGACCAGCGCCGGAAGCCGCCGTCGATTCTGAGTTGCCCGCATGACTGTGATATCCGATCAGCTCAGCCCTTCCTCGAGTGAGATCGATTAGACTCACCTGATACCCAGTTCTGCCAACGCTCGATCCACTTCATCCATTTGCTGATCCTCTGCATAAGTCATCTGCTTCTTCTTCTTTCCCGCAGGCATGCTGCTCTCTGCTTGAGGCGGACTCTCGACGTCTGATGAATGCTCAGCAGTCTTCTTCTTCTTTTTCTTCTTGTTCTTCTTCTTGGTACTCTGCGACGATTTCAGGATTTCTGCCGGACCTTTTCTACCATGTAACCACTTACACGCTTTACCTCTTCCACGTTGGCCTTCTGCTCATCTTCCTCGCTGTCCTCTTCGCCAGCTACTTCCTCATCGCCAAGCTGATCCGATGAGCTCGACATCAAGCGGTGGCAGGACATTACTCACCGCAGCGAACAGGTTGACAGGTTCCTCACCGCCAATCCGCTCTTCCACCTCCACCTCCTCTCCTCCACTCTCAGCCTGCTCAGCAGCCTCCTCGCCGCCTTGCTCCGCGATGACACTCCTCTCCTGGGCTTTGAGAAGCTCCAACTCCTCCTGTTCTCTCTGCTGTCTCTTGCTCAAACGCTTCGACATGAGTTTCACGGGTACAGCTCGAACGATACACGACTGATCATGACGCTATTCTATTGACTTTTCTCCCGGCCGATCGAAAAGCAAGCATTCGGATCCGAAAGTCAAAATCCAAACGGAAGCAAACGCTCTTCTGCCAAAAACCTAAGAGCTCTGTGCCACACTTCGGCGTTTCGCGGCGATTCTATCTTTCAAATTTCGTACGCATCACTGTAGGGTGTGGCTCTCGCCAACCCCCTTCTAGCCCAATTTCGAGGGAGCAGAGAAAGTGTCGAAAGCGCTTTGAATATCTTACTCTTGCTTCTCATCCCTTGGACATCTCATTCAACATGGCGGAGCAGACTGAGAAGGCTTTCCAGAAGCAACACTTGTTCCAGAACACCAAGTCCAGAGGTGAGTGAGGGCGCACGCCGGTCCCAACGAGCATGACTTGAAGGTTCTTTTGCTGATCGTGTGCTGTTTCTGTGACCTCGTTCCTCCAATTCCTCGCATCTGCGCTATCACCTGCATTGGACTCATCGTCTCTTTCTTGCTGTCGCATCTTCACCGCCCGCTTGTCTCCCCACTCTACAATCGGGTGGCCTGCTTCCTCTTCATTGTGATGTTCGTTTTGCTTGGTTTCTCTCTTATTCGCAATTCCCCTACTGGGTTTTGGCTCGGCATCTCCCTCTCCCTCAGGTGGACGAAAAGTCAATGTCAGGACAAAGAGATGGTGGAAGGACGTCGGATTAGGATTCAAGACCCCTGCCGAGGCCATTAACGGAACCTACATCGACAAAAAGTGCCCCTTCACCGGAGACGTTTCTATCCGAGGACGTATCTTGACCGGTGTCGTTCACTCCACCAAAATGACCAACACTATTGTCATCCGACGAGAATACCTCCACTTGTGAGTCGGTAGTGGTGCGGCGGGGATAACTCTGTTCCGTGTTATTGACTTTCCTTCCAGCATCCCCAAATACCGCCGTTACGAAAAGAGGCACAAGAACCTCGCTGCTCACTGCTCTCCTGCTTTCCGTGTCGAACAGGGTGACACCGTCACTGTCGGTGAGTGTGGTTTGAATCGTCTACAACTCCATTAGCTCCGCGCGTTGCTCCGCACGCCTGCTTTCGTCCAGCGCTTTCAACACTATCCACTCCCAGCGTAACAGCCTTTCACTGACCTCATGCCTCAGGCCAATGCCGACCCTTGTCAAAGACTGTCCGATTCAACGTCCTCCGTGTGGCCAAGAACAAGGCCGCCGCCAAGGCCTTCAACAAGTTCTAGATTGTTGTGAGGAACTGGTGCGGGCCCTTTATCAGGAGTTGGATTTGGGAGACGATGCATCCTCAGTGATGTTGAGAGGTCATGTACATCATGCATTTCCTTCATGAGATTGAGAGCGTGTACGCTTGTGAGCCGGGCCAGATGGTTTTCTTTCACTGTCTCAGGCAGTTTTGGATGACAATGTGCTCGAACAACGGCCCAATTTCGAGAATCGGCCCGTCACCGAAGCCGGCCCGGTAGGAATGATCATCTGAATATCCATATCTGTCCTGTTCGTCCACTGCCTGTCATTTTGACCGATATACGAGCCAATATGCCTCGCTTCCTTTGCTACTGCCCGGACTATCCTGATGCGCTTGAACTTAGGCTGTCAGTCAGAGCTCGACATCTCGAAGACTCTGATAGAGATAAGGAAGCAGGCAGGCAGAGTGAGCCGAAGAATCCCAATACCCATAGCATGCTATGCTGATTGAGGAATGCCCAGCCGATGGATCAGCTTTCCTTGCCATCCCAGGCTCTGAGGCTGCTTCTCGCACTGTTCCAGAGGGTCAGCCGAATCTCACTGGCAGCTTCATGATCTATAACTTGGAAACGATAGATCAAGTTTGGGACAGGATACGCAAGGACGCATATTGGGAGAACAATGTCTGGGATAGAGAAAAGTTGACAGTCTGGCCGCTAAGGGCATGATGTAGTGAGTGATCTACGAAGAATATACCAGGCGGCTGAAACTGCAGGCGTCGGTCTGATGAGTGTAACAGGTCTCGCGATCTCCGCGGCCATCCAGCATTCGGGAAGCCTTGATCGATACAGTCGAAGAACCCCGTGCACTTTTCAGATGATCTGCGATTGATCTAGACTGATCGGCGCGCATCTCAAGTAATCAACATGGCTTTGGACTCTTCCGAGACAAGCATGAAGTCCTGACATTGGTTCTATTCTAATATCACTCGATTCGCTCCTCCCCTCAAGCTCGATTATGCTATCATTTCGGCTCTGGGAGCACCCCTGACCCTCTTTCAAACGATCAAAGACGACTGTCGACGATCAACTGACAGTCTCGATACGGCCGTTCTGAACATTGTGCCGAAAACATACAATCTCTCTGGGCCAAGACTTTCAGTACAAAGGATCCTTGGACTCGCCCTCCCCCCTCCATACAGTATGAAACAAGCATCCTTTCACCCCACCCTCCGTGTTCTCACTCTCGCGTCTCCCTCGTCTCCTCGCTCTCCTTGAGGAGGCAGGCGGTCTCCTCGAGCTGCAGAGCACATCAAAGAGCCCTCCTTTCAGAACGATCTTCAAGGATTCTCCTTGTCTCCAGTACGGTGGAAATGGTTGAAAAGAGCAACACCCTCCAACGACACGAGAGACTCTCCCTCTCTTCACTCTACTCACCTTTGACGAAGACGCCTTACCTTACCAATCGTCTTCCTCTGTTGATACATTCTAAGAGGATAGACAAGCGCGCAAAAGACCCATTCTCCTGCTCTGACCTTTCCATTGATTCTCTCGTCTCTTTTGACTGCTTGATCTTGACTCTCCTTTTGACCTATTGCACGCTCATCAGCATACTCAACCGACTTCTTGCCCTGCTCTTTTGTCAAGTCACGAGATGTACTACGAAGGTGACGGTATAGAGACTGTCTTTGACGGTATCCTAGATGGACCAGTTCAAGGTCAGTCCAAAAGATGAGGGCCGACAGGACTGACGATCTGCGACCAGTACGAGACAGCCAAGACCACTCGCCACCATTAGTCAAAGAAGCCTCAAAGTCGCCTATAATCCGGCATGAATCTCAGCAGTCGCCTCCAGACGCAAACGCGAACAATGAAGATTCAGCAGCCATCGAAGAGGCTCAAATCGACCCTGAACTCATCGATGTCGTGTCTGACGAGCGACAAGCTACCACATTCGATGCTATCCCAAAGCAAGCTTTGTCGGGAAGTTTTGGCATCGATGTGCCTACTTCGAGCCTCGACGTTACGGTCGACACGTCACGTCCGGTCCATCCCGCTCTTCGATTGGCCATGGACACTGCTCTACCTGCTTCATCCAGTGCGTCTCCTGCCACTCCCATCGGTCTGGGACACGAAGGACTCTATCATGGCTACGACATGAGTCGACGGGGATCAAGTGATGACTTTGACAGCTACGTCGATGCCACAAAGGGCAACTCGACTTCTTTGGGCAGTGAAAGCGAGTATGATTATGGCATGATTGATAATGCGATTCCGGCTGGCGGTCTCGGTGATAGCGATCCTGGCGTTCCACCGCCACGGTCGATGCCCAAAAAGAGCCACGCGAGAAAGGTGAGGAGCTTCCCCTGTTGAACATGATTGCATGCTAAACCGCGATCCGAATTAGCAACCCGAGGGCCACATCAAACGAGCGAGAAATGCGTTCATCCTGTTTCGAAAGCATATCACTGATTCGAACCTGATTCCACCATCGGTCGAAGTTAAGCATCAGAATATCTCCGTTGTTGTGAGTGCGAGTCTTCTCTTGCCAGGAGTGCCACCGATGATTGCACAGGCGGCCAAGATGTGGAGAGAGGCACCCCAAGAAGTCCGCCAAAAGTTTCAAGAGCAGGCGCGGATCGAGAAAGAAGAGCATCAGAGGAAGTGAGAGCCCCTGGTCCACGGGGTTGTCGTGATAGATTCTGATCCTGCTTCAGATATCCTGGCTATCGGTACCAGCCCGTGTTCAGGCGAACCGATATCATCCGAAGACGTGTTCGGAAGGATCCAGCTGAGGATGACAAGGTCGAGGCCGTGGCCGAAGCTTTGATCAAGGGAAAGGTCGGGAACGATCTCGAGAAGGATATCAAGGATCAAATGGCCACGAGAAGTGATATGAGTGAGACCGAGTCTGACCAGCCTGCCCGAACCAGTCGCCGGTGAGTCGCCCTGTGGCGAGCCATTGGGTCTGACATGTTCCGTTAGACGCAGGAAGGACGCCGGTCAATTGTCCAAGGGTGCGATTCGAGCTCAACGAGCTCAAGCTCGAGCCAAGGCGATGCGGCAGAACCTTCTCGGATCGAATATCCTGAGTATGAGCATGTACAATGCTGCTGCTCAAGCGAATGGACGCATGAATCACCCCGGAGCTCAACATCATCTCCAATACGCTATGGCCGAACAGTACCTTCCTATCGGATACGACATGCAGCCAATATACGACCAGTCGATCTATCCTGCCCAGATGGACGCTGGCGAAATGTATAGATTGCCTCCGATCGATAACGTCGGAGCGATCTATGAAGGGAATTGGACTCAGGGAACCGACTACTGGAACGCTGAAACTATGGGACACCTACAAGAATACCCTGTGCCTCATCCTGGACTGCCGGGACAGCAGCCGATCGCCAATACCGACTACTATGCCCCGCCTCCTCTTCAGCCTGGATCACATCACGAGTATGCCCTTCAGCCAGGTCAGCACCCGCCTCAAGGAGAACCTGGACCTTTACCGAGAGATCTCAGCCACGGTCTCCCGGCAGAGTATCAACTACCGCCTCTCGACAGACAAGCTCATCATGGTCAAATCGAGTTCGAGAAGCATCGAGATGTCATGTTCCCAGATTGGGCGAGAGACGGACAACAGACACCATCTGGCCATGTCGTATTCAACGAGCGTCTTTTCGACGGAGCGTTAGGCAGTGCCACTTTGCCTGCCATCGGAGTTGATACTGGTCCTAGAGACGAGGGACTAGCAGGATTCGACGAGGCTATAGCTCAGGCTAATGACGTGTCCCACTGGTGAGATGGAATACAAGGCTCGAGACTGCATAGCTACGGCAGCAACATAACATCAGACATTACATGCAACATAAACATGCAGGGATATGCATCATGTGCCATTTGAGAGCTCTCAATGACGTGTAATTTCCCTTCTACTGGTGATTTCTGAAATGGCTCACTCGTCATTACGGATTCGACCTGACCCCAACTGCACTTGATAGATACACATTTCATAGGGGCTGCTTCTCTGTGCCGTACCGCTCTCTCTCTTCTTTCCCCCAACCATGTCGCTTCGTTCCGCTTCTCGGCTCGCGAGATCTCTCAGAGTCGCTCCTCGTCCCTCCGTCACTCTTCAGCCCTTGGCTCGCAGGCCCAACTCCTCAAGCTCTCATGGTCAACCGAAAGGGAACGACCGAATGTGGCAGGTCGGTGCTTTGCTAGGATGGGGAGCCATAGTGGGTGTTCGCGGGAGCTCAAAGAGCTTCAATTCCTGCTGACGACATACTCTCAGACTGCATGGATCTTCCAACACTACCAAAACAGGGCTCACCATGGACATGGACACGGACACGATTCTCATGGACATGAGGAGCATGAAGAAGTAGAGGAATCTAGCGAGGAGGACAGCAGCAGTGCAGAGGGTGTCGCTGCCGCTGCCAAGGGTCTCAAGGACAAGGCCGAAGACGCCACGGAAGATGCGGTACGCCTCTAACTAGCTGATCTTTGGCGCTAGCTCACTCTCCTTTGCAGAAAGAAAAGGCTTCCGGCCTAGCCAAGGACGTCAAATCCAAGGCATCCGAGCTCACTGAAGACGCCAAATCCAAAGCTTCAGAGGCTACCGAAGCTGTGAAAGCCAAGGCGTCGGAAGCGAAGGAGTCTCTGTGGTCTCGAGCCTTTAAGGCCAAGGAGAATGTCAAAGACAAGGCATCCGAAGCGAAGGAGGCTGTAGAGGACAAGGCATCCGAGGCCAAGGACAAGGCTGATGAGGCTACTGAGCACGTCAAGGACAAGGCTGCTGAAGCCAAGGAGAACGTCAAGGACAAGGCCGCCGAGGCTAAGGAGAACGTCAAGGACAAAGCCTCCGAAGTTGCCGATGCCGCTAAGTCAAAGGCTAAGGAGGTCAAAGATAAGGCTGAGGATGAGGCTGGAGTGAGTGCTCAGGATATCAAAGATAGCTTGAACAGAGCCGAAGTGAGTGACTCGAGGCTCAGCAGCGTAGAAATGAGGGTAACCACTGACATTTCTTATCGCTCAGAAGAGCAATGTTCCAAGAGCAGCTATGGCTGCTGAGGAGAAACAGTAAAGAAATCGATACCAAACATCAAACCTGAATGCAAACGGGACGATGCTGAAAGTTTGTATGGCTCGCATAAGTCTACTGATCAGGCAGAGACAATGACTAATACCCACAAGCAAGGACCGCCAATTCAGGAGGAATAAGCTAGGGGATTCAAGCAGAAGAAGCCGTAGTGCGAGGTGGATAGCTTACGCCACAGGTTTCACTCCACAGCCGGTCGGCATGGTTTCGATAATGCTCGGTCATAGATGTGAGCCTATCGATCTCCAACTGCGCAACCTTGAGAGCCTTTTGGCTCTTGGTCAGAGCATCCTTGCGAGACCGGTCGGCACTCCTGGTCCCCTCCATCTCATCCCATTCAGCTTTTTCAGCCAAGACCAGACCAGCTGTGTTTAATGATGCCTGGAACTGCCCAACAGCATCATCGAGCTTGCTGTGAGAACCTCCATAGTTGACCAGGCGAAGAACACTCATCCCGCTTTTGACGACTCGCTGAGTGTTCTCCAAATTCAGCGAGCGCAGGCTATCAGATATTGCCCTAGTGCCTGGACATGATGCGTCTGAGCGGGAAGGTCGTCGGTCTTGCTCATCTATCCCAGTGAGCTGATGAAACTCCCAAAGGCGAACGGGGAACTCACCTGAATCTGACGAGGAGTCAAGTCTGTATCGTCGAGAACCGGGCATATCACCAAGTGGGTTCTCACTGCAATCAGAAGGATCCGACCGAATGTAGTGCTTTGTGCCACGGCCGTGTGATGACCCCTTGAAATCTCCCTCGGGACGGATTGTTCCCGCATCGCTGACATTGACCCACTCATAGTCGCCGAGGATTGGTTCTTGACGAAACCGCTTCCCCTCACTCTTGGTTGTAGGCTTCGCCGTGGATGTAGGCTCGGGCCTCACTACGCGCAACAACATACTGTCGCGCGTGTGTTGAGGCTGAGTGGTCTTTATGAGGGGAAAGTCAGGTCTGAGAATTGCCACTACCTGTCCACCGGCAGCGCTCTATATGTCCTGGAGCTAAATCCCCAACCAGTCCGCTGAAGAGCCAATCAGAAGCTTGACCCCTGTGGCGCTTGACAAAGTCGACTTCTGATCGATCAATACGAGTGATATCGATCCAATTGTCTCCTGATGACATATACCGCCAAAGGAACGAGCTCAAACTGATGCATGCTAAGTTTGGCTGGGCAAAGATGTCTGATGCTCTATCTAGGTCCGAACACCAAATCTGCTCTTCACCGACTTTGAGTGGGTATCCTCCCAGTAGCCCGCCAGGTTACGGTTCGCGGCAACTTGACTTTCCGCAACACTCAGACGACGGTCCATATCAAGCAGCCTATTCTGGTACTTTGAATTATCAGACAGCGCCCGCATACCCCTATCGTAAGTATTCTCCGGGGCTAGAATCAAACCGGAACCGGAGAGAGCAGACTGCAGCTTGTCCACCCCAGCCACCAATCGGCGAGAGAGTATCCCAGGGTCGCCAGACTTCAGAGTATCGTAGATCGAGCTGAGGGTGCTGCCGAGTGCCCTCATTGTACTCAGGTCCATCCCCAGTATTGCATCGACAACTACGGCGCTGTCTTGTGAATTCACTTCATGTCGGGTCTCTTGCGTGTTTCCATAACCTTCGCGTCTCAATCAGTACCACAAGAACGGTCTGGAGGATTACTCACCAGCACTTTCCCAATACGTCGAAGTGCCTTGCCCTGCCTCTCTCCATTCATCCGGAATGCTTTCTTCATAGGATCTCGCATCATCGTTGACACCTTCTGCGCTTTCCCATGATACATCAGCTCGAAATCCTTGAAATGGCGTCTTGGGTCGTTGCTGGTAGCTGACGAAGGGTATCAGCGCAAGGCAGGTTGGTGATGGGCTGGCGTACGGGTAGGATGTATTTCCACTTCTTGCCTGAGTGCTATTAAGAAGATCGTCTATATAGCCCATTGCAAAGCAGAACTGGCACGGATCGAGCCGAATGAATTCACATTGACCAGTTGCCACTGCCACAGCTTTGCCTGTACACATTATATCTGTGGCCAAACAACGAAATCCGTTGATTTCGACGTCAATCAGAAGCTTTAACCCGCTTTTCATTAAGACCTGCTTCTGATTGCGAGTTGCATATCTTCTGGTGAGCCAATGATTGGCAGCGGATCCATTGTGAAGTCTGTAGCGGGGGTAAGATCAAAGGATGAATCTGGATCCATGCATTACCAACCCAAATTCGTGCATGAACGAAACCATAACGATGATCCGCCACGAGAACCGTTAATATCCTGGTCTGGGAATTAGCATGGCCGCCAACCGAAGATGAGTAAGTGTACAGAAGGCCCTCATCCTAACTCGATGCCTCAGGCTGTGTCCCGCCGGCAGCAATGATGGTCTGGTCATCATCAGCAGCCGCGCCGTCTTGCAGTACTTCTTTGACTGATCCGAGCATCTGATCTCGAGCTTCATTCTGTGCGGAAGTCTGTATGTTGACGGAGAAAGGCAGTCTCCAAGGTAGTGAGCAAATGGTGTGACGTCTTTTCAAGGTTTTGCGTGTTCATCTGAGCCTCAGGAAGCGTCTCCTGCCAGTCTTTAGTACGTTGCCGGTCGTTGAGGGAGTGGCAATAGGACTCAGCAGACTCTCACAGGCCAGGTCCTGGATCTATAGCCATCTGGTCGCCGCTTGTATTGCCCTCATGATCCTCATAGTGACGTCAGTGCTGAGCCGCTAGTTATCGTTGCATGGATGAACCAGTGTGGATCCATCTAGAAGGTATTCTGCCTTTGGCATTTGCTGGTCAAAGGTGGCTTCCGCCTCAACTAACGAGAATCCTTTCTCCAGAGAGGTATTCGACATCCCTTGTGGCACTTCAAGGTATGGCACGATCAGGGTTGAAAGCTGAGTTACACTTCCGCAGTAGAGCACCGAAATCCAATGCGCCAGAGGCGAATGTCAAGGAGACGGGCCAGCGGGCAGACCAGACGGGCATCCGTCTGGTCATCCGTCTGGTCTGCCCAAGGGCAAGCCTGTGGATGGCGTTGGCCGCCATCCACAGTTAGTCACAGTATGTCCCGTCATCCTGGATGATAGACTGGTGGCCGTCGCCGTCATCATCCCGCCTACCGCCCACGAGACTTAGATCGAAAAGGCTGCATTCCGTTCCTCCACTTGGATCCGTCTCCATTCGGAAAGACTGCTTGGATTGACTACCCATATCGCTGCTCGTCGTTCGAGCCTAGCTTCAGTCTCGTCGACATTCCGATCCTCAGGGAAGCCGTCATACACACCCATGTGGGATATGAGCTTGCCGATGGCTCCTCGGTTGTTGGTCAGCACAGTCATGCCGTGCTCGATTCCTGCTATTACGGTCCGCAAAGTGTGACTGGAGGGTGCCTTTGTCGTGGCATGAAAGACAGTTTTAGGTCTTCTGGGATTTCGAGACCGCTTCGGTAGATTTTTGATCTTGGTCGCATTCTTGTCTTTGAGCGATTCGACTTCAGAGCTTCCTAGGATGTCCATGCATGCCGTCCAAAGGCCGATTTCGAACGCAGGAAGTCCCCGAGGCGGTTCACGTGCGGCCGTCGTCGGACTTGATGCAATAGAGTCTGGGAATGTGCGGACCCTCAAAGTCTTCAGCGCGGTGAGTCTCCCCTCGTGTCGGCTGTTATGCCAGAATGCAGAGTCAGGGCCCTCGAGGAGAGCACTGGCTCTAGCTTTCTCCGCCGGTCCACCTATCACGTCGATGATACCCGGTATGCGGTCTTTGACTTCCTGAGTGACCCAGAATTCCAATGTATTTGGCGCATAACCCGCTTCTGAGAGACGATCATCGAGCTCTTGTGCAAGTGGACGCTGAGATTCCCAACGAAGCTGATCTCGAAGGTCTTTGGTTACATTGCTGTGTGGCTCAAGATCCTTGTCACCATCTGCGTTGAGGCACATCGCTCTGAATCGTCCCTCGAGTTCCTCTTCAGTAGCGGGCAGAGGTCGATGTGTCGAATCACAACATAATGCGATTACCACCGAGAGGTCAAGTACAATAGCCTTGCTGGGAACATAGCGTCGGGGAGGTTTCAGAGGAGGAATCTGCCTAGGTCCGCGTGTGCCGAGCTCAAGCAGCACGCCCGAGTCACTGATAGCTCGGAAAGTCTCGGGAATTCGGACGTCGAGATACTCCTCCTCTCGCTTCTCCTCCATGCGATTGAGAATCAGTCGAACTCTGGCCCTTGGAAGCCCGACTGGCCTCTCCTCGGCCTCGGCGGCTTTGCTTAGGCTATTTGCGAGTCTCAGAATGGAGTTCGACAAGCTGTCTCGCTGGGTTGGTGCTTCATCCTCCTCAGAGTCATAGTCCGAGTTGATGTACGAGTCTTGCTCCCTAAATTCCGCCACGAGGCGGGTCTCCTTGATACTACCGGTCGATCAGACCAGCTAAAAGATCAAAGTAGAACGTACGTGTTAACCTTTATCCATTCGTTTCCTCCATCGGCCACGATGTCAATCTTGTTTTGACCTCTCGATGCACCTCCTGCGAAGAGACCGATCGACACTATCGGCCACTTGGCATTGCAGAACTCAGACCATATGGCTAGCTGATTTGGCGCGTTCGTTGTGAAGTTCTCTGGAGCAACGCCAGAGGCAACGATCTAGCTCGACATCTCAGCTGCGCCCCTGTTCAACCCCTTGTCATTCTCACTCACTCCAGCTACATGATCTCTCTCAGCCTCGACAGCATCGAGGAATTTCCGGAGCCCTGCGATGGCCTTTTGCGAGTAATTGTTGGGATGGAAATGGTCGATCACAGGTGCTTTGAAGAGAGATGTGGGTTGAATATCTTTCTGGAAGGTTCTGATGTCTATACACAGCTGCTCAAGTTCATCCCTGACCTTGACCACCTCTTGCATGAGGGGTCAATGGAGCATGAGACGAGACGCTGGCCGGAGGCAGGAAAGGAGTTTCTAATGATGGTCCCGCCTCGATTACAAATCTGTCTTGTAATCGATTACAAACCCTGTGAATTCCCCAACGCGGCAAACAATTCGTGGCGGCACTGCACTGATTTTTTTTTCCTCAATTGTTGGTGTGTGTGTCTCACCATTCATTCCAACATTCTGCACATCATCTGAATCTGGGATCATTCTGGTGTCGAGGATATTCAACTCATCTTGTTCAGTATATTTGAGCTGCTGAAATCCACTCTCTTCCGTCACTTTCGCCATCTCTCGCATTTCTCGTAGAAATGGAAGTCGTAAACCACCTGAACAACCTGCAGGACTATGCCAGGACTCTAAAGGATACCCGCTTGTCGTCTATCAAGCACCCAGCAGAGTTCTTCAACTGGAGGCAATTCTCTAGACCTAAGGACATGCAGGAGTACATGAAGCGAGCAGGGTACAACGTGTCAGTTACGCAGCAATGGCTGTCCAAACCATTCTGCTCACAACATTCCTCAGTAAATACTTTTCCGCAAACTATGCCCTGGTTGTCGCATTGCTCGCAGTGTACTCCCTTCTCACGAATATGCTGCTAGTAGTGGCTTTGGGCTTCCTGATAGGAGGCTTCCTCGCAATCGGTCGATACGGTGAGTTATCGTTTGTCTGCCCCTTCGCTTCCCCGATACGCTTTCGGTTCATAGACCAGTTTTGTCCACTAACACGTATATATCTAGTGCCAGAACCCCTCGAATTCAGCGGCAAGGTCGTAACTCCCCAACAACTCTACATCGGTCTATTTGTCATCGGTGAGCATGGGTGTCGTCAGTCGCTTGTATTCTGCGCTAACAAATGCTTCAGGTATCCCTCTTCTCTGGTTCGCAGCTCCGCTTTCCACCTTCTTCTGGCTTGTGGGGTCCTCTGGCTGTGTTATCGGGGCCCACGCCGGATTGATGGAACCAGGAGTCGAGGCGTGAGCAAGGACATTCCTCAAATGTTGTCTAGACAGCTGACTATTGTGTCTCAGCGAGTACGCCAGTGTGGAGACTGTATAAGATGACTCCTGCTCAATAGATGTTCGCGAGCAGCGGTCAAGAATCGCACTGTTGCGTCGTTTACATAGATTTATAGACGCTTCTGGCCTGTCATGTAAACTGGCATCTCCGTCCTAGATCTGATCTTTGCAGATCCTAAATCTGCTTCCGTGTTTCAGGTCTCTGAAATTTCAGCGCCTCTTCTCGACTCGACATCATATCTTGCATATCGTCGCACAAGTGGGGCGAGCACGCGCTTCACAGAGAAGGACTTTGCCCTGCAGGAATTTGATACGCTGTCATTGACACTCTCATGTCGTTTCATCGAGCTTTAGCGGGCTCCTCCAGGGTTCCTGGTCGTCCAGCAGCTCGGATATTGCTCCAACGGACTTATGCTTCTGCCAAAGCTACAGCTGGAGTGAGTCTGGTTGTCATGACGGAGATCATGAGGTGCTGATGTTCGTTTCCCACCTCTACAGAAATGCCACGAGGCTACTCATCCAGACGAGTGTCCTCCAGAGACGGCTGACCTCATGGAGTCCCACTCTCGTTACCTTCTCAACACCTACGCTCGACCACCGTTAATGTTTGATCGTGGATCCGGCCTCTCTCTTTGGGACACATCAGGTCGGGAGTATCTCGACTTCTCAGCAGGGATCGCCGTCACAGGGCTAGGCCATTCAGATGAAGGTTTCAATAAGGTCTTGGCGGAGCAAAGCGCCAAAGTATCACACATCAGCAATCTATACTGGAATAAGTACGCAGGTGAACTGGCGAAAGACCTAGTCGAAGCGACTCGCAAACATGGAGGTCTGGGATTGAGCAAGGAAGGAGGTGACGGAGCAAAGGTTTTCTTTGCAAATTCTGGGGCAGAAGCCAATGAGGGAGCGCTCAAGTTTGCGAGAAAGTACGGGAAGGATGCCGCTGCCGCCGTGGCGGTATCAGGCAAGGACAAGGCACTGGACAAGAGTGGTATTGTCTGCTTCACCAACGCCTTCCATGGTCGAACGATGGGAGCCATCTCATGTACTCCGAATCCGAAATATCAGGCGCCTTTCGCGCCCCTGATACCAAATATCAGAGTTGGTCAATACAATGATATGGACGAGAAACGGATGCTTGAATTGGTGGATGAGAGTGTCTGCGGAGTCATTGTCGAGCCAATCCAGGGGGAAGGAGGAGTCGGTACAGGCAAAGTGGAATGGCTAGAGATGCTCGGAAAGAGATGTCGAAAAGTTGGAGCGGTCCTGATCTTCGATGAGATCCAAGTGAGTCCAAAATAGTGGCACGCGTGAGCAAGACTAACATTTTGCTTAGTGCGGAATGTTCAGGACAGGCGAGATGTGGCGACACTCTTCATTCCCCAAAGACGCTCAGCCAGACATGGTTACCACTGCTAAAGCCTTGGGCAATGGTTTTCCTATCGGAGCTATCCTCGTCCGAGACCACGTTGCCGAAGTTATTTCGATCGGATCTCACGGCACAACTTTTGGAGGACAGCCCTTGGCAGTCCGAATGGGACACTACGTCTTCTCGAGACTATCGGAGCCGTCTTTCGTCAAATCAGTCAACGAGACTGCGGCGCATCTCGACTCACTCCTGGAGGGTCTATCCAAGTCCTTCTCCTCACTCATTACGGATGAAAAGAGGGGCAAAGGCTTCATTCGCGGTATCGCCTTCAAGGATGAGAGTCATCCTGCAGAGCTTGTTCGACTGGCCAGAGAGCGAGGTTTATTGCTGTTGACAGCTGGTAAAGATGCAGTTCGATTGGTTCCCGCCCTGATCGTGACGAAGGAGCAATGCGACAAGGCCGTGGCCATTATGGAGAGTTGCTTGAGCATTATGCAGGAAAAGAGCACAAGCAAGGCGAAATAGAATAGACAGGACACGACATGGAGTGACGAGTGATCATAAATGCATTGTATCATGATATGCTCAAAAGCCCCACTTCGTCTCTCTGATCCCTCTAATCTCATCCTGCTTCCACTGGAGCTTGGTTCCGTAAATCATGCCGACGATTGCCAGTAACAGGAGTGTGATCATGGTCACCCAGCTCCCTACGCCGTATTCGTCTTGAGCCGGACGTTTACCCTTGACCCAAATGTCGACTCGACGGATCTTGTTCGCCTTTTTCCGGTCAGCCCATGCGGGCGCATCAGAAAACCAAAGATAAGCTCTTTGATTCTCATAATCGAATTTGATCCGTCCACCGATAGACACTTGATACTCTGTCTTCCCTTCAGCATAGATGCGAGACGGAAGGTAGATCTCGGTGATGTGAGCAGTGGACGGAACTTCTGCAGAGGCCGCTTCTTCTGACGAATTCGATCCTAGTCGAATAGGAGACTGCAGGCGGTAGGTGAAGACTGAGGTAGAAGGGTCGTACTCATGTGATAAGGGCGTTCCTGCCGTAGCGATGGCATAGGGTCGCTAAGCGAAAAGGTGTGAATTTTTGAACCCATGCGAACGAGGTTCAGACTTACGACGACGCTGTCAAGCAATCTAGCACCGTGATCGAGCCTCGATTTTGAGCCAGCTTTCTGGGATCCGACAGCCACCCGGCGACTTTCGTCCGAGTACCAAGAGAAGTTTTCAGCGTTCCACTTAACGAAGCATCAGACTGGCATGATCTTTTATCATTGAATCATTGACTCACATCGTCGCCAAGGTCATCCCTATTGCTCGGATTGTAGGTCCAAAGACTTTTCGTCAGTAACTGACTCCGGGATCGACGCACTTAAATCCGACCATCGAGGTTTCAAACGCTGAGATCATTGCGTCCATCATGCGCTCTTGCCACCTCCAATCGCCCGACTTGAACGCCGTTCCGTCACTAGACCGACGTGAGCGCACGGTCTCCGAGCGGCAACACGCGAAACTCACTTCATATCCATGGGTAGTCCACTCTCGCCGATCACTATTGGCACCTCACCGATCTGCTTCCTCGCATTCTCTACGATGTTTTTGACCTGTCTGGCATAGTTGGCCTTGACCTGTCTACCCCAATATAGACATTTGAACACGAAAGCGCCCTGAGAATTGGATCAGTGACTATCAAAAGGTCCGACATAGACACCCACTCTTGAGAGGTCCTGGACGTTGACCGTGAAATTTCCAAATTGTTTCTTGAACAAGGTATTGATATCGTACCTTAAGTGGCATAATGAGCGTATACTCCACGGGTATTGTAGCCTTCTCACCAGTGCGGGGCAAAGACGAGATTCTGAGGGATGACACCCTCCGGCCATTCTGGGCAGAATTCGTTGGGAACAACTTCGATCATGCGCATCTTTCCCTTCTTATCTCGTAACTTGTTGTTCATCATCGCTTCCCATTTTCTCACGAATGGCCAGTAACAGTCTTGGTAGAAATCGACGTCTCGTCCTTTGACGCCTTTGACAAAGTAGTTCTCTTGAAGGACCACAGCCGTCTGCTTCGCGTCGCTCCAACGCCAGACACCCTCTTTCTCCCAGGGACATGAACCCTTCCATGCCGAGGTGCCTGAGGGGTTGGCTGTGATTCGCTTGGCGATACGTGTAGGCCAAGGAAAGGATCGTGTATAATGGGGAACGTTTGGCGTCGGATGCCCGGCACCCATTGACATAGACTGGAAAGCTGAAGGATAATCGCCGAGATGCAGGTCCGTGTTGTAATTCTCAAGAGGAGTCAGCGCGATTCTTCATCGCTCAGTTTTCACGGTACACACCCATTCATTGATGGTTGGCAGTCCAATGAATCCGGGATGAGGCTCGTTCATCAACTGGCAAACCTCAGTATCGAACATGAACGTTGACCTACCTCGAAACCCAGGACACCGTTCACATCTCCCACAGCATCGATGAGGCGCTCAAAGGCTTTGAGGAAAGCGTCTTGAAGATACGACTGGATGTTGACTTCCCGTTCACCATCTTGCACCGTGAGAGACGGGGCGAACATTTTGCCTCCCCAGAAGAATGTGCTAGAGAACAAGTGAGAATGGATAGCCCACGCTACAAATCTTAGACTTGCCTCATTGAGGCACAAGCAAGCTTCTGATAGCCTGAATCGTCGGCTCTTGGCTATAGAGACCACGTACCTGTCGGCCATAGACCACGTTCTCCTTCCAGCTTTCCACCTCGGATACCGTCCAGGAACGCTGCGCCTGACTTGACGAGCTTTTCGCCGTCAGAGCTCAGATCAAAGCCTGCCGCCTCCAGTGTCCATCCAGGTGCTCCGCTCTAGATTGGATAATGTGAGCTTGCCACCGCCATCATAAGTTGGAAGCAGACCAACCCCTCCACAATACCGGGACCAAACGTCCTGATGCATCGCCTGATAATTTTGTGAGTTGGCAGACGCTCGAATAGCCTCATTGAACCTCACGACATATGCGACGATTCCATACTCTGACATGCTCTTCAGTAGGGCTCGAAGGTACGCCAGGTACTCCTCATCGTACTGCCCACTGGTGGCCAGGTCAGTATGAAAGCGACGAAATTCAAGTCAAACCCACTGGCCAGCATGCTCTATAGCATCCCATGTGACGGTTATGCGCACTGGAGGTCAGTCAGTCAGATGTTCCCGGTGATACTATTCTCAACGACGTACAGAACGTCAGGCCCCAGGATTTCAGCCTCTGCCAGTGCTCGGCGGCATCTTCCAAGGGGAAGGGTCTACCGATGTAGCTGACCTTGGCGTGCTCATGAAGAGGCCCAGAGGGGCGATTAGGTCTATAAATTTGGTCAATATCATCGTGAACATACACAGTCGGGTGTAGCGACACCAACGGCGGGTCACTGAGCTCAAACTCACACTTTGCTAGCAGCACCTACATTGGCCCCTCGAAGATGCAGAATTCTGCCGTGTTGGTCGATAAAATGCCGCTCAAAAGTCTTGACGTTGGATGCAGTTAGCTTCAGAGGCTTCAGAGAGGAAGTGTCCACCTCAGCGACATGAGTCGACATGGCCACGGTGTAAAGTAGATACCGGCAATCCTCGCAACCGTCGTCATTCAGTCAGAATCGATGGACGCAGCGCGCGTGAAACCGGGGACCCCGCACGTAGTGGTATACAAGAATGCCCAAAATGCATGACCAATCGTTCACTCATGGCTTCCCTCCTCGAGTTCAGTGGGATCCTCATCTCGCCTGAGTGTCAATGGCGGCTGCCCCGGAACGCGCTTGAAAGCATATCTACAAACCATCAGCGCTCTTGATTTCCCGCCCACTACGCCTCGAGTGAGACCAGCTGCCATCCAGGCTTTTTCAACAGTATAAAGTCCATCGTATCTGTACCCCCCAAGAGGAGCGTATGGCGAATCGAGCTTGAAGCCTCGAATCACTCGCACAGGTTGACGTGTTTCTGCGGAGCGCTTGACCAAAGTTATCATTCAGCGGGGTATAACATTCAAACGCCAAGCAGCTCACCTTCAACGCAGCATTTTTGGGATTGCTGAAGGATTGATCCGATGTCTGGGGCGCCGTACGGAGATTCTTTGGGTTGTTTTTCGTCCCCTTGAGATCCCTACCTCCGGAGCCAGTGTATGTGAATGCTTCACCGAGATCGACGCTGGAAGGCGGTGAAAAATGTCCCATTTCATTTCAATTTGAACTCACTCGTCCGGATATCCTCCTGATAATGCGACTGACCAAGCGCCATCCTCCTCGTTGCCCGATATTCCAGCCACAGTCGGCCTGACGAAGTGAGCATGAATGCTCGGCACTCAGCACTCACGCATGAATGGCATCTGTCGAACAGTCCATCCGGGAAGCCCACCACCTTCCTACTTCGACCCCCGGTATATGACCGAACTGTTTCCTGCCAGCCGTGAGTGCAAGTCCTCCGATCACAATACCTACGGGTCCTGTGTCCTGACTCCCATTCGTTGGGCATTCCGCTGTCGAGCCATGTCCTTGGCATCCTCATCTTCCTCCTTGTCATGGATAAACTCATCATCGTCGACAAGGGTACTGCTCCCTGTTCTACTCCCAGCGATAGTACTGGATCGCACTGACGAGGGACTGCCGATGGAGCTTCCATCCCCAGTATAGTCAACTTTGCGTCCCGGTGTCCTCCCGCTACGCCTCAGATTACCATCACCCGAGGCAGGGCTCTCGGCAGGTGAATCACCCATCCCAGTAGTCGTTCGCTTGGCCGAGGTGCGAGAGGAATCATCTTGATCCTCCGCTTCCAGTTTCCGCTTCACAGATAGTGATTTGCGGAGTGTGGTGAATGGAGCTTTCTTGAGCGGTGGTTTTGGATTTTCAGGTGCGATTCTTGCGCCCGGGCTGCTGAGACCAAGAGATAAGAGTAGAGCTTCATTGTCCCTCACGAGAATCAGCGAAAATCAGCGAGTCCATAGTCACCTGATATTCTGCAGCCTCTGGTCCTCGTAGCTCAAGGTCGCAGCTTCACCTGCCATCTCGTGAACGTTGATGAAACCTGAACATCAGTCGCGCGGCTCGCTTAGATTAGAGTCACTTACGTAATGCAAGAGACGCGTCTGGCTGATGTCGACCACCGCGGGGTTCTTGCTTCTCTACCATTGACAAACTGGTCTCCCATCTTCATTTTCAGCATTCCTCCCGGTCAGCTGTTGATCTTCAGGTTTCAGACGGATCAAATTGCGCTGGCCTATTTATGCCCTCCTGCTGTGACTCGACCTTCCCAGTGCGCACGAGTTACCAAACCACTACTTTTGCCTCGGTAGATCATGTCGCTTGGTCATCTCCTTTCCAAACGCCGTTTTGACCCTTTGAGCAGACCCGAGGGATCTCATTGGGCAGCCACACACCCCATCTCTAGGCTCATAGACGCTCCTCGGTGATCTTCCGATCACCGAAAAACAGGAGAGAGAAGCGGCTTGCCCATCGTCTCTAGGGACTTCTAACCCTAAGGTGAGCGAGTGTCCGTGCATTCTTGAAGTGAGGCTGACATCGTTCCAGTTGATTTCAATCCTCGTTTCGCTCCCACCTCTCTTGATGCTTTGTCTCCCATTTTCGCCTTGTGGCGAGCCCACGCCATACCACGCAGTACCTGCGCCCACAGTAAAGCCCTTGATTCCGATTTGGGATAGGTTACAAGGGCTTCCGGGCTTATACTCCTGCTACGTGGCTCGAGAAGCTGCGGTCTTCGGTATGGCTGTTGACGGATCGGGCTGAGGAGTTCATATCGTCCCAGAGGCTCAAGCAAAAGCCAGCGAGCGAGAAGATTCCCTCGTGGATGAACGGTGTAAAGATCCTGAGCGTCTTTCCGCACCATGATCATTGTTCCCTGGCCGCGGGCGGGAATCTGCCCTGTCGTGCCATCTGGGATGGGTCAAAAGGCTTTCTTTGGAAGGCCGAGGAAGATGCTGCTATTGGTCGTCCTTCTCTTTCCCGGAGTCGAGAGCTCGAGAGTGGTCAGTCTGTGGGGTCTCACAAATCGTGGATGTTCTGGGTCGAACGGCGTTTGCTTTCAACCGAGTGGTTTGTGTTTGATCATTACTTTGCGGTCTGGGAAGGTCGAGCATGTAGGAAGCGCTCCGGATGGGTTAGTCGATCTACGACGAGACTCGTTGATCCCTCTGGGAGAGATATACGAATTGGGTTGGCCCGCAGAACGCCGCCTCGGGCGGCCTCTGGCGACCAGTCTGCATGTCCCGCAAGAAAATTATTCCTCGAATCATCTCACACCCTAGCTCATAATCATTCTGCCCCTCTCTACCGCCGCCTTGTCGTTTCTGCCTTTCCTCGCGATCGAAGGCGTCAGCAGAGCCGGCAAACCTCGATACCGCCTTTGTCTCCGTCACCCTCCCCATGGATCCCTGAGCCTATTTGCGCAAGTCAAGTCTCGACTCGATATTCCGTCCTCTCTTCGGTTTCCCACGTGCTCGAAGACCAGCTGTACCGCTTCTTCTCCCGCACTGTCCATCCGTCTCCACTAGCACGCCGAATCCGACTCCTGCTGTCCGTCGGCGAAGACCCCACCAGGGTAGAGTCATGCGCTCGAGCCTTCACACCGTGGCAGGTTGTTAGATCCCCGGTCATATGCCCTTCAGAGCTCGTACTTGTGGGCGGGCATGTGGGACATAGTTGCGAGCGCTGCGAGGGCTGCGTGTTTTGAAAGAGAGGCGTCGAGTTGGGCGAAGTGCCGGGTAAAGGGGTTTCTTCCGGCAGCGGCAAGGTGACTGAGACTTGGCCAGTTGATGAGACTCGCCGGTCTGACGTGACAAGTGATGAGCGAGCAGAGTAGGGGTGTAGAAGGATGTTGGCATCCTTCACCAGAGTGTATGTGGGGAAGTCAGCGGGTCGAGGAGTGACACGGGGGAGGATCGCATTGTCGACCCAGAGATCCTGTTGCGGCCACATCGGCTCTTAGACTGCTTGACGCCTGGTGTATCTAGGCCGCCTTCGACGTCGATAGAGAGCGGAAGAATTCGTTGTATGCGTTTTCGATGTCAAATAGCATCTGTCAAAGCGTCAATGCGAAGCCTGCAAATCGTACTGCGCCGGACAACGAAAGCTCACTTGGCGAGACTGCTCTTCGGTAATCTCATCACTGGCTTTGAGAGCATTAAGCGTGATGAGCCTGGGCATCTTGTTAGCTAGGGAGGTAAGGCACTCTTGGAAATAAGACCGACCAATGAACAATCTTGCCCCTTCCCTCCCACTCTTGACTCCCCTTGAATCTCGAATACCCACTCATCAACTCTGTCAAGAATGGATGTAATTGGTCCTTCGCTCGAAGGTTGAGCTTGAGAGCATCCATGAACGTGATGAACGATTGAGTGGTCTCTGCGACCCATTTCCCATGTTCAGAGCCCCCTTCAGTGGCCTCTGACGAGTGCTCGACCGTGGCTGGGACACCAACCTGCAGTCGATGTAATGCGGCGGGATGATCCATCTTGATTGGGAGAGGGTAGTCAGACTCCGAATCCGCTGCTCACGAAACCCATGACTCACTTTGTAACGCTTCATGAATGTCTCCAAGCCTCCTATCTCATCTCCTACGAGCTTCATGAGACTCTTGTATTGTGCCAAGAGCTTGATGCACGCGGGTGCATACCTTGGAGCAGATCGTGATCAGCGATGCAAACATTGACGCAGAACTTGAGACGTCCAGCTCCTGATCTGAAGATCGTTCGACTCGGACAGTCCCTGCCATTGTCGATCGTTGCCCAGCTCAGGCCATCCGACTCACTCTTTACCGGTTACGCTGTCCCTCACATATGCTCGTTCAAGGTATTCCAGAGAAACGATGATGGAGTAGAGCGTAGCTAGATTCTCCACTTTTTCCCTCTCGGAAGAGGTGTGATAGAGACGGACCTCCTCGTCGAGATTCATGACGAGACGACGGAAAGAGCGGAAGAAGACTCAAGGCCAGGGTGCGCGAGAACGGGTGATGAAACGAAGTACAAAGTGACAGGTTTGGGCACCTTGGGTGAGCGGAAATGTCCGTGGTCGGGGTCGTGGCAGTCAAAACGTATAATGTGGCACCTCGGATCGAGGCGTGTGATTGCTTCCTGGGACCCTCCGGACTACGAGGTGAGCCAAGGCGATGCGTACGAATGAAGGGGGTGTCCTGTGAGTATCCCTCACACTCCCTGTATTCGGAGAGTAGAGTATCACAACGGATAATCTAATCGTCAGATTACGATGTGCTCGAACTCGAGTTTCCTATTTGTTACAGCTAGAGGCAGAGAAATGCATCGATCTCGCTTGACATGTGATATCTCTATCTACCATCTTGGACTGGTCCACAGTTCCCTGCCCGATGTATGGTAGTCATCGTTCTATCAGCTCTGTCAAGACCATTTCCGGGCGGGACAGAGGTCTCGTCCGTCCCTCGTAACACTACTGACGCGTGGAGCTCGTCCCCGCTTCGCTGCTAGACGCTCCATCCGTGGAAAGTCCCGTCGAAGCATCGCCCTTGACGGCATCTATCGAGGACCTGTCCAAGGATCCTCGCTCTACATTCCCTGGCAACGTATCAGAGGGGCCGAATGAAGGTTGTTGGCTACGTCCCTCCTCCTGCCTCAGAACTGACTGCACACCTTTCACGTCGCCGAAAAATCGCTTCAGTCCTGGGGGCAAGTCAGAACTATTGGCCGTGTCGTTGGTTGTAGTGCTTGTGTCTGCGTTACCTTTCGAAGACATGCTGGATCGGCTCAGCTGGCGCTCCGACGGTGAAGAGGGTCTCTGTGCTCAAAGGCAAGTAACGAAGGAGTCATTCTACAACTCATTTTCGCTCGCCTTTATAGATGTTGAACCAGGTCTTCTGTACGTCGGTCCCTTTGCTTGGCTCTGAAGCTCTCTAACGCGTTTCCAGGTGATGATCAAGGGAAGATTGTACACCATTCACCCCTAGTCCCCTGCGCTGATCCTTTCGTTTGGCGAGCTCTCCGTTCCAGGTCAAAACTGAACCCTCTGACCTCCCACGGCGCCGAGTTCGCCTGAGAGGAGGCATTGTACAGCGCAGGTCTCGCTTACGTCCAAAAGGCCCCATATCACAGTCAGTGCGACCATATCGAAATGGTCAAGGTAGCAATGTGCGACAGGGAAGACTACCAAATGACAAGCCGCCGAGACGTTACTGTAAGTACCCAGAGTGACACTGCATGAGCCGCTCAGTTGTCCTCGCGAAGCTTGCAAGGAACTGATCCAGATCGGTCACTTTTGATCAGTTCCAGGCTCATGTCAGACTCCGGGAGTTATCGCCGGTATTCATGCATTGTGGCCGTATCCGGACCCTTGGTTGAGATGACATATCAGCCGGGAGAAAGGTGGAATCGTGACCTGTGAGCTGTTCTTGACAATCAGCTGAGATGTGAAGAGGCGGTTGCGAATTGCCTTTGGAACACGCCACTGTCAAGTAAGATTCACTAATTACAGTATGTCACTCAATTTCTGATATGTGACAAGGTGGAGGAAGAGAGGGGCATCGTCCTCCACTCGAGAAGGAGCAGCTGTATCGTTGACATTTTGCATCAGACTACGCGAGTCCTGATTCCGGGGCTATCCCCCCCCCCCCCCCCCCCCCGAACGTGGCGCGGCGAAGGAAAGGACGGGCCGTCTAGCTTGCCCGTTGACACAGTATATCTCGAAGTTCTGATCATGTCCGCAAAATGCATGCTAACAGGATAAGTACGAATATGTGTGTGCGTGTGGTTAGGGATATCAGTGGGAGTGGGAACATGTGATGTGACGGACTGAGATGGAGCTCAAAGCCTGAGACCGAACTTTTCAAGTCGTACGACGCTACTTGCCCCCTGTAGGTTCAGTGACATCAGTGGTCGGCGCTTCAGTCGTAGAATCTTGGTTCGAAGAGCTCGCAGGACGATTCCCTGCCTTGGACACGGCCAAGCTTCCCCTCTCGACAGTACGCGTATTAGAAGGACCCTTCATAGTTTGCTGAGTCGTGTTCTTCTCGTATCGCACCCATGAGTCTAGACTGTCCAGTTCTGCCCTCATCTTGCTCGACATCTGGGACTGACCACCGGTGCTGTTACCGGAAGCGTTGCTGATGCTTGTGTTCTGGTTGCCGGACATATTGCGTATATTGGGGTCTCGAGGATGCGTCAGGTCAAAGACGTGTATCTAGTGGGTTCAACGTGTGCGAAAGAGAGGGCGAAGGTCTTTCAAAATCTGTTACCGAGGAGGCTCTTTTCTATGTGCTGCTTCCACACCTCTTGCGGGGCTTCCAAAGTAGGATCAAAGGAGGGGAGGCTCGACCTTGATCTTCGAGTCCCCGTGTATGGCCCCTGTGTCTCCATCCCTCGTCAGACCTTTGATGATTGGCGTCCAGGCTCTTGCAGAAGCTGTAGTAGATCTGTCATCCATTGAGGCCAGCGTGCCATCGAAGGGAGCGATGTGTTACACCTCGTGTCGTCTTCCACCCACAGCCAAAGGAGGGCGGCGGTATCCAGAGCGCCGCCCCCTGGATGATCTTCGGAATTATAAAGGATTCCACCTAACCCGCGGCATGGCAAATCCCCAGGGCTTGGCTGCCATTGCCATGATGATCAAGCATGCACCTGTATCATTGATACGATGCTCAACTTCTGAAACCATGACGACATGGGGATCCCACCCGCCGCGTCCACGCTTCCTCCCAAAAAGCGGACTCGGCCGGAACCCATTAGCCGCGCTTGTCTCGAGACGAAAATCATCTATCTCCTCGCGGGCCGCACCTATCCCGGCTCCTTTATCTATCGTGGACTGTTTCCAGTGGACCAGACTGTGCTTATCATCTTTTTTGGACAGACAAGGGGGTTTAGACATCGTCATTCGAAAGGAAGTCTACTCCACAAGGATAATCGCTTTCGTGGATCAAGCCAGTCCTTACGGATGCACGATAGTCCTCTCCCCACCGGTCCACGTCTACCGCCTATCTGAGAATATCAGTCGCGAGAATTTGGCTAAGAGTCGGTCTGCGTATTTCACTCTGCGACTAGACGTCTGAAGCGGATTTTGGTATTCAAGAAATGGACATTGAGAAGAATGGCGAGTCCTCGCGCCCTGGTGGGTAACCCGAGAAGATGAGCTCGACTCTAGCCTCGAGCCTGTGACTAACTCCATTCTAGTCAACAAGGTATCGCCAGCCGTCGATTTCTCAGCTGGAGTCCTCGCTGGAGTGACTGGATTGATTGCCGGTCAACCGTTTGACGTGGTCAAATGTCGTTTCCAGACTGTACAGTATGCAGGTCGATACGATTCGACGTTCTCAGCTCTCAGTGAGTCAAGCAGAGGTCGCGTGAGCGTCTATGTGCGCACTCAGGCTCGCGGCCATGTGAAACAGAACATGACGCTGATCTTACTACAGGGTCTATACTCAAGGAAGAAAGGGTGTGTACGGTCTTCAATGCTCGCCAGACTTTTAGCTCACCACCGTACTAGGTCGCTGGTTTGTTCAAAGGCGTCACGTCACCGATGGCCGGGATAGCCTTTGTAAGTCTTGTTGCATGCTCAACGGCAATATGGCAAGCAGGGCGGACATGTACTCACCTGTCATCCAGATCAACGGCGTCGTCTTCACTTCCTATTCCATGTTTATGAATCTACAACTGCCGAATGCCGATTCCGATGTCTCTGAACCTTCACTGGCCAAGATCTGTCTGGCCGGGGCAGGTAGTGGAGTCCTCGCGTCGTGAGTCATTCATGATAAAGAGAGGCACAATCACTGTACGGCTGACACTCCGCAGACTCATCGCGTGCCCGACCGAGCTTGTCAAGGTGAGAGTCAAGAAACGACGCATCAAAACCTGATCACTTTGCCCCCCTTGATAGATCCGGCAACAATCCGCTCCTCCGCATCTTAATCCCTCAACGTTATCGGTCTGCCGGAGCATCCTCGCAACGGACGGACTGAGAGGTCTCTATCGTGGTTTACCAGCGACTGGACTGAGAGATTTAGCTTATGGACCGTATTTCGGCACGTGAGTGAATGTCCAACGTGACTGCTGCTGATTGGGCCAAACCAACTTTAGGTACGAAGCTGTCTGCCGATTCTTCAAATCGCGTAAACCTCCTGTCGACTCTCCGTCTCCACATCGAAATCGCCATACGAGTCTGATTGACGAGGCGGAGGAGGAAATGGCGACGTTGACATGGCCAGAGTTGATGACTGCTGGAGGTCTGGCCGGAGTGGTAGCTTGGCTGGTGGGTTCGCAAGCGAATGATGATCCATGGACTGACTTTTGGGCTCCCATAGGTAACATTTCCTCTGGACGTGTTCAAGACGCGTATGCAGACTGTCCCTTGGAATGGAGATGATATAGCTTCAGGGAATGGATCAATGCAACGTCACCGGTCAGCGTCCAAGCCTTCACTGTATCGCGTTGGAGCCGATGCTATTCGGACGGAAGGCTGGCGAGTCATGTTTGCAGGACTGGGACCGACATTAATGCGGTCAGTAAAAGAAGAACGAGAATTGTTTGAGCTGAAATGCGAGTGACCCGCAGAGCTGTCCCTACCAACATGATCCTCTTCTTGACATTTGAGGGCATCGTGACATTACTATCGTGAGAAACAGTCGCCAAAGTCGGATCGGCATCTCCCCATATGCGCGGTCAGCGACAGCGACTCGCGCGAGCCCATTGCGAACGACGTGCTGGCCACGACGGACACGATCGCGCCATCATCATCTCACGGACGCGGAGTGGAGTCAACCCGCCACCTCTTGCTTGCGTCGATTTGATTGACGATCTAGATGCACATAGAGTATACTTGGACTCGCCACCCATGCATTCGCCGGTCGATCATGTATGTCCTGCCGTCCACTGATCAAGGTATGCAAGCCTGCCTACCTGACACAGTTGAGGGGGTGGAGCATGTGTCAGATCCTAAATGCAGCGATCGAGATTGATAGTTTGAATCAGGTCAATGAGCTGTGGGGGTAAATGAGAGGGGGATTAAGTACTCTTCGTATGGTTGATTGGCGAGACGATGATGATCCCTAATGAGACATGTTGGAATTTTGTGTCTAATGTCTTTTAGTGTTTTAATGAATGAAATGATCTGTCCTGTTTCGTCTAAAAGTGGCAGATTCCGAGGTGAGCCCGCGGAGGCAAAAGACAGAGTGCCACATCTTATTAGGTTACCATATTCCTGGCAACATTCGTTTGTGGCATTTCTTCCTTTTTGGCTCCATGGAGAAATGATAAAATGATATATCGTGTCATTTGTGCTAGTCTAGACAAGGGTTCTGGCTGATAGTGCGGATCCGGAGAGGGAGAAGAAGAGCACACACAAAAAAAAAAGGAGCCGAACGGCATTGGGGTGGTCAGTCTGTCTCAGTTTCCCTTATTTCGGCGAATTCCGCCACCGTGTCCCACAGGCTTGGCACGGGTGGTAGCGAGCAACGGAAGATTGTACCTTTGTCGTTATCGGGATGACTGGTGGGATGTCAAGCATGAGGTGAGAATGTATAATGGTGGTGGTTGTGGTGGTGGTGGTGGTGGTGGTGGCTGCGGGTAGCAAAAGATGACTGTAAAGATAAGGCGAGATCACATGCTCCGTCATGGGAAAAAGTGTGTCGTCCATAGGACGCGGCGCGCGCCTCGTCTGTAACGGTTATGTGAATGGTATATCGAGGTCAACGATGTGTCAAGTATAGAATCAATCCATCCAAATGGGTGGTGGTGATGATGCTGATGATGATGAAAGCTGATGACTCTCTTTCGTCATTGGAGTGTCACTACCAAGGATTCAATATACCTGCGATAGCGTCGTGCCTACTGACTACTCCATACCATACCTGGATGCGATGTGACTACGATCTCTCTGACCTGACTGACGGGATCTCTTCGGTGGGAACAGGTTGCGCGTTGTTGTAGACCCTGTGAGAAAATCCGTCTGTCCCGGGACACTCCGCCTCCTTTTCTTTGTCTCGTAACACATCTACAGCTACACGGCCCACGGAACACGGGATCGATCGACCTTGGGAACCGAGAAAACGAGGGTCGCTCGCATCCGAGGCAGAGAGAGCAGAGTATCATCTGAACGGAGCACGGAATGCGCGGGAACGAAGTGATGGAATATGATGAGCAAAAACCTCGTCGACCCCGTCTCCCGATCTCCCCTCTCCTCCCCTCTTCACTGTCCAACAGAGTTTCGACAAAAAACATAAAATTTCGAGGTGAATGAATCTATTATGAGGGTCCCAGGAAGACGAGGAAAAATATAAAAAAACACGGGACTGAACCGGGAGCACTAATGCCGTAAAAAAGAATAAATTTCGATGAAAAATGGAGTATCTCTGTCTCGCTCATGTCCTCCCTCTCTCCGCCCGCCCTTACTCTCATGTCTCTCGGTTCTGCCCCGCGCAGTGTTTCCCCCTTCTTCCCTCGCTCACTCAGAGAATGTACCTGAGACATTGTCCGAAACATTGAGGTATATCCCTTTTTCCAGAGCGTGAGGTCGCACAGGCCAGTGGCGTTCCCGTAAAAATGGCAGGGGACCAGAGACTGAGGGGTGGGGGGGAGATGATGAGACATGGGTCGAGGTGAGATATGCTTAATTGATAGACACATTTCAAACGGGGTGATCTCACAGCGACGTACAGCGCGCGTCTTCTGCCGAATGAGCCACAGTGTATATCTCTGTGTGTGTGTATGTATGTGTGTACCGTGTTGTGTAATAACCCTGTTTCGGTCCCGTGTCCACTCGGGATCTATCACTCACTTTACACACTGTATCTCTTACATAGGGCGGGACAAGGTGCAGGAGCAGGAGCAGGAGCAGCAGCAGCACCACCATCATCATCCGGCAAGCGAGGAGTGCAGTTCAGGACATTATATCCCGGAACGCGCCTTAGTGTCTCTGCCCTCTCTCCCTGTACCTGGCCGTCGGAAAGACACACACTCTGCTACTCCCTTGCTGCACGGTAACATACCTTATCTCCCTGAACTCCCACCGAGTCACCCGACCTTTCCACCGGACCCGCTCAACACAATCCACCACCACCACCACCACCACCACCAACGCCATCTCGAAATTTGTCCATCCCTCCTCCGTTCGGTTTCTCCACCTTGGACCTAACTCAAAAGTACCCACTTTCAAGGCCCCCGTCTTCCGGGATTAAGCATTCGGCGCTTACAACAACGTAAAGGCTGGGATCCCGAGTTTCCACCTTCTCCCCTCTCTGGGCCCACCAGAGAATTGGGATAATAATAAATTACCAGGATCTATCTCGATAGAGCATTCTCCTCGACTTGTATCTCCCTTACGGAAGAAACGGGAAGCCACAACCCTCTGCTCTCTCTCTCTCTGTGCGCCAGTCCCTTTCGTTCCCATACCGGCTCCTCTCTTCGGACTCGTATTCCAAAGACAGGTCAGGACCCCTATACATTGCTGGGTTCCTGGTTCATCGGACGCATCATTTCCTTTTCCCATCCCATCGATCATTGTTTCTACTTCATCATCGACCGACCTGGTTCCCAACTCACCGTGACATTCTTACATCGTCTCGTCAGTAGCTAGATCGTCCTCCTGGGTCATATTCTCGTCTTCTCTCCTCGCTCACCGGCCATCGAAAATTATTCCCTACCTTCCCGTGGTCCGTAAAACCCACCTTCCCGTTATCTCGACCTATTTTTTCGACCGACCTCTTTCGCTCTCCCGGTCACAATTTCGTCGCCTTTCGTCCCTTTCTTTTCGATACCGACCGATCCCAGATCCAGGGAGTCAGCCATACATCAGAACCAAGACTTGACCATCAGCCACAAGGCACACAAAAGGTCTCTCATCATCAAGCCGCCAAAGACGGACGCCCATTTCTCGAGAAAACGTTTTCAGCAAGTTCTCCTCGTGGAACTCCCGTGTGGTAGTGGTGGTGACTACAACTTCGACCGCCTTCTCCGTCCCTTTTCACTCGACTTCCAACCCACCCCCCTTACACACTTTTTGTATCCGAATAATTATCATCCTGACCCACGCTGAACGCGGGATAAGGATCCTCCTCCATCCCATTCCTTCTTATATTCGACCATCATCTCATCTTGGCTCTCGCCCGGACATTGACATCTCTACCTCTTTTCACGAGTCTCAAGATTTGACCAACCCAAAAGAGTGCCCAAGGAACAGCCTGTTGGAAGACATTGCTCCCTCGTCACATAAAATCCTTATCGCTCCCTCGACGCGCGAACTCTGGACGACTCTAACCTCCTCTCGATCTGAGACGCACTGCACCTAGTGCTCTCACCCACAGACCCAACCCTTATCTCATCATCATGTTGCTTCGTCTGTTGCCCGTTCCCACCGCGGAACAACCTGCACCGCCTACCATCCTTTTCACCCTTCCACTCCCCGTCCACCCTTACACGTGAGTGACCACGAGCCAATCATCCCGAATCTCATGACTGACGTGCGCCCCTTTCTCACAGATCCAAATCTCTTCCGCTCCCCGCCAACTTACATGCTCATCGATCTGTCTGTCTACAGGAAGACATTGACTGCAGCAATGTTCTACTTGGCGAGAAATCGTCATGGATCGGAGGTGTGAGTATAATTTTTGGGTTTCTTATTTTTTTATTATTTGTTCTCCTCCAAACGCGTTGCGCCGGTGCGCCGGGGCACATGCTCGTTCTCTACAATTCCCATCCGATGGCCTACAACCTTCTTTTGTCGGCCAAGACGAGGCTGACGACTTGTCGCTTAGATCATCGACGAGGTGACATTCTCTATGGCAGCTCAAGAAATTACCGTTCGATACATTGACAACTCGTTTTCTCTGGTTCCTCTCACACCCGAATGCACCGTCCAACTCGGCAATGTCATTCAGCAGGTTCACCTCTCGTTTCAACCTGCTCCTGCTCCGGCTTCCACCACCGATTCAGCGCCTCGAGCCAGCACTTCGTCTGCAGCTTCCGTCTCTTCCGCGGCGTCTTCAGCCTCGGGATCGAGCACTGGATCCAGCACCAGCGGTCACCGACGAACACCCTCGTCTCTCCTCTTCTCCTTCCTTTCGCCCCTCTTGTCGTCTAACCAATCTCAAGCCGCGGCCACAAGGTATCAATCTCCTGTGCCTACTCCTCAACCCCCCGCTCGAGTTCACCGACGATTGGCAAGATCCCTTCTGGTCGATGCTTACAGACGACACGTCCTGCCCGCTTTAAAGGAGCAACTGCCCTCGGCTTACCTTCTTTGGCAGATCGCCAGTGAGACGGCCAGACATCATCGCGATTTTGAATCCCTCAAAGTCGACATCCAGACCACTTTGGGTGCTGCTGGCGTCAACGCCAGCTTTGCCACTCCGATGAAACGATCGCACTCTGGGTCTTCAAGCTCCGAGAGCTCGTCTCAACATTCTGGTGATCTATCCGAGTCGGACTCTGATGAAGGCGTCCCCGTCACGCCTGCCACGTCGATCTTCTCCCCTTCATCTTCCGAATGCTCTTCGCCTCTTCAGTCTCCACGACGTCGCATGGTCGTCAACCCTTCCGCTTACCTCCTCACGCTCCCACCCGCGCCGACAGTTCCCGATTCTCATCGAACAGTGTACTCTTCTCAGCTCGCTCGACTCTCCCTCCTCGTCACTCGATTGAGCTCGATCAAGAAGCTCAACGCAAAGTACGAGCGAGAAGAAGGCAAGCGACGATGGCTCGAGTCTCTTGAACGTGGTCGTGCGGGTGATCGAGCCCTCCGCAAGGCATACTCCAACAAGGAGCCCACTCCCAACGTCCGATTGACCGCCGAGCCAATCAAGCGAAGTGGTCTTTGGAGAAGTTGGACCCTCGACGATCAAATGCGAGCCGAAGTCAAGGAAGCCGCCAAGGCTGCTCTTCACCCAGCCATGATGGAATCGATCGACGAAGTCGCAGTCACTTCGGATGACGATACCGAGGATGATCACTCGCAAGCTTCAGGCTCAACCATCCGACACAACGGACCTAGAATTTATATCCCGCCCACTGTCGAAGAGGACATTGACGACGCCGCAGCGACCATCATGGTCTGCGAGCAGATCATCCACGTTTCCGCTCGACCTTCGCTCGAGAGGGCAAACGAAGAGGAGGAAGACGAGGAAGATGAGATCCCCACTCTTTCGCCTCCATCCTCCCCCTCTGCCTCTTCATCCGATACAGAGGAGGAGCCTTCAACCCCTGCCATGGACAGGGAAGACGATCTCTTCACTCCTCCTTCTATCGATGATATCTGTGTGACCTCGTCCTCCTCTGCTCTGATGGGAGCACCTCTCAGCCGATCGAAATCACGCCTCGAAACCAACTCCAAGAATCTCCCCCAGATCAAAAGTATCGTGGGGTGGGGCGGAGTCAGTGATGATGCTGAGGTCGAAGAGGTCGAAACGTACGCCGGTGTCGAAGTCATCTACGCCTAAGCGCGCCGCCCGCACCGCTCCGTCTCTCTCTCGGATTTTTTGCCCCTTCGTTTGGGCGGCTTCCAACGGACAATCATGTAAAACAATTGGACTATTTCCTCCCTCCCGAAAAACAAGAAACCTTTCTCGAGGCTTCTAGACACGTCTAGGACCATGGACATTTTTCTCTCGCCTCTCGCCATACCTTCATTTATTCTGGACACTCTCTCAACTCGCCATAATTCTGGCTTTTCATTGCGGACCACCCACACGCAATCAAGTTGTACACTCATTAGCTACCACTGCCAATACTGCTACTACTACCACTACTACCACTGCTATTGTGTCTCTCTTATATTCGGCCAAAGGAACGATTGGAAAGGATCACCTGGCATGTACACATTATACCAAAAGCGCGCCCAAGGAAATGGAAGAAAGAAAGACGGAGAATCAAAAAAAAGAGAAAGACAATCTCTCTACTCTCGAAGCAACTTTGTTTGTAACGCGTAGAAATCCCATGCTTTCCCTTAGGTCTTAGCATACGTTTAGTAGTTCAAACGATATGAATCAGGACAATGAGAAATCGTACCTTGTGAGATCAGACCACTTGCACGAAAATCAGAGCGAGCAATACATCCAACATGAAATGTACAAGTAAGAGAACGCACCATACGGAGATCATCATGTTGGTCTAGATCCTCATCATAATCCCGCAACTTCAAGATTTAAATTACCATTCACAGTCTTCATGTACGCCTCTGTTTTAGAGAGCCAGTTGTCAGCCAGGATTTGGCTCCCGCTCGCCACGCCAGCCAAACGCCCTGTCTCGAACTCACCAGCTTGCCGCCTCATTTCCCAGTAATGCGCCAAGAGATCATTGATCTCCGTCTCGTGAGTCTGTGTGAAAGCCTGCATTTCGAGGTCCAAAGCTTTCTGGTCGGCTTTGAGTCGTTGAATAGTCTTTTCCCATACGGCACGTTCCTTTTTCTGTTGCTCGTAGCTGAGACACACAGGGATCAGCCAGCCCAAAAAGCTTAATTTTTCTGAGACCGACGGCGCGATGTCAAGGCACCAGAGAGGTCCGAGGCACAGTGGGGGAAACTGTCTCAAGAGATGAAATCGGTCCGACTCACGTGGTTCCGAGACCTTCCATACGGGTCTTTGACCTTTCTCTCATCTCGCTCAGGGCGACTTGTTGACGTGAAAACTTGTCCTTTGCGTTTGTCCATTGTCGATCGAGTTGCTGGAATGGAGCCGTCAGATATCAAAAGAGAAATAATCCTCCAGGCCTCACATCAAGTCTCGCTTTGAGTCCATCCGCCTCAATTTGCTTGCCCTCGCACCCTCCACGCAGCTTCATCAAGTTTCGTTTCATCTCTTCCACTTTGGATTTCTGCTGTTCGACCTTTCGTTCCATCTCAATCAATCCTTTGAGATCTGATTCGAGCGTTCCAATGATCTCCAATCGACTGCTGAGGTCGTGGGTTTTCCGCTGAATTGAAGCTAGAGATGCTTTCTCAGCCGACACTGTAGATGACATTTCAGAGATATGTCTTTTGATTCTGTCCGGTGATTGGACGAGACGAGATCTCGCCAGAGCAGTGTTTTGAGATAGGACGGTCTGCTCATTGTTCTTGCTGGCCTGAAAACCAAAGTCAACAACGTTGTTTCAGGAATCGTTCCGTACTCACAGCCAGCTCCATGACCTGCTGTCGCTCGCTCTTGAGGCTTTCAACAGTGTGAGATAGTTGAACTTGCTCCGAGCGAAGGTTCAACAGCTCTGCGCGCACAGCTTCATTTCGCTTCTTTGCCTCTTCTGTCAAGGGTCGATCTTGGACGTTTCTGATGCTTCACGGTGGAGTGAGTCAGGGAGCGTCCAGGTGCAACAAGGATGCAACCTACGAGATTTCCTCAATAGTATTCTCCACTCGAATGAGCTGATCCTTCATCCTCTCGGTCCTGCGACTCATCAGCTAGGCGCCCGTGGAAAAACACGAGAGGCAATGACAAACGTACTGCTCAAATTGATCTCGTAAACGCTGAGCGGGTTCCGCAAACTTCTGCTCCTTGTCCTCCCTTGGATTCTCCATCAGCGGTATCTTCATGGACGATGAAGCGCAGGACCCACATATACTTTGCAAAGTTCAACACGCCACTCAGGTGATGTCTGAATCTCATGGGATCCGGTCGAGTAAGGTCACTGATTCCAAAGTTGTGTATACCACAAACAGTGGCCATTTCGCGGCTATGACAGCGTCAGCTGAAGAGCATCACTTTCCAAATGATGGGGATCACCAGTGACGGTAGAACATGGTGAATTGTAGGGCTTCGCTGTACAGTTCCTGCATAACAGTCAACATTGAACACATCGTCTTCGGCTCGTCCATAGAGACCCCCTTGAACCCACCTTGTACTCCATCATGGACATCAAAGTCCCCTTGGGACCCTCAATCATGTCCACATTGGCGCCCATCAATTGATCCAACAAGGCCGTAAAGATCATTTGCGCAGATTGAGTCGTAGGCTTTGCGACATCGTCCATCTGGACGTGGAGATCCAATGCCGCGAGGATGTTGACGATCTCCACGTTTGTCAACACTGGAAAACCAGTTTGAGGTGTTTTCGTAGTCGTTATAGGCCTCCTGACGCTGTTCATCATCTTGTGCCGAGGTGCAGAGTGTTCTAAGATATCGAGTTGGACATGTTTACAATATTGTTTGTGGTCCAGTCAAACGCGTGAGAGAAAAACCGATTATGTAAGCAAAACGCGTGTGTCAACAAATGTCCTGGACTTTGGGAACGGAGTACTGGGGCTTTGGGAACATTCGGCCTGGTTCGTTGAGCGGCGCCCACGCGCATACATCAGCATGGTCAACGCCTCTACGTCGAGACCTCGAGCTGCATCGCTATCATACCTCACGACGAGTTTACCGGGTGCCCTTCCTCCGATTTTTGACCAGGTTCAGCAGACTACGGCCAATCATAGGAAGAACATCGTGGCTTTGAAGAAGATACAGGACACATGTGCGACGGTGACAGAGAATGTGGTCAAGGGTGAGACGTCTTCACAGTCTGACTGCCGTGACTTTCGGAAGGCTGAAGCCGTCCCACAGGTGGAAGAGCAGGGATCAAGCTTTCAGGCGAGAAAGCCTTCAACACTCTCTTTGTCGATATGGTCAACCGAGTCTTACCTATAAAACGAGGTGTCAGCGTTGCGGATCGAGTCGTCAAGTTTGTCGCTTCCTATGTCACTTATGTGACTGAGCAGGGTTGGTCCACTCGCACTCGCATGGATATTACCACGCTGACCTGTCTTCAGATGCCGCTCAGCGATCAGAAGGCGAAGATGAGGGCGATACGCCTGGATCTCGGTTCGTAGGGAAGCTCTTGAAACATTTGCTCTCCGGTATGCAAGCAAAAGACAAGAATGTCAGATTCAGAGTCACATTGATGACTGTATCTATGATCAACGGCCTCGGAGAGATCGAGTGAGTGCCCGGGAGCCGGAGCGAGAGCGAGAGCGAGAGGCCGATGTTCAGCGATGAGTTCGTTTTCCCTGACGTCAATCAACAGCGACGACATGTATATCTCACTTCGGAAGAGTCTACTAGAACGCAGCTGGGACAAGGAAGCTGCTGTCAGAGTCCAAGCTGCGCTCGGTCTGGCGAAATTGCAGAGTGGAGAAGATCAAGAGGATCTCGAGGAGGGGGAAGAGTCGCTACAGGATGTCCTGCTCAACCTGTTACGATACGATCCAGCACCGTGGGTTGGGACCCCTTGCCTCTTATCTGCCGTTGACGAGATTCCTGACGTCCTCGTAGGGAAGTGCGCCGAGCTGCTCTGTATAATCTCCCTCGGACGCCTGAGACACTATCATACATCCTCGCTAGGACGCGAGATGTCGACCCAATCCTCAGGCGAATCGTCTACCATGGATCACTCTCATCAACTGCTCTGCCTGACCCTAGAGCTCTCAGCATCGCTCAGAGAGAGGGTGTCGTCCAGAATGGATTAGGAGACCGAGAAGCCAGTGTGAGGAAAGCGACAGCGGGAATGCTGGGCGGATGGCTTGATCAAGCTGGAGGCAACTTGGTGGAGGTGAGCTTGGGCTGGGATCTGATTCTGATGCCCTTTCTCACCCACCACAGTTTCTCTCTCGCTTTGATGTCATCTCGAGTCAGGTGGCTGAAGAGGCCCTCTTGTCAATTTTCGTCACTAGGCCTGATACTCTAGACAGTATAGAACTAGACGGTGGGTCGGATGAGCCGCTTGCCGGTCGTGTATTGAATCCTTTCCCAGAGACCTTTTGGACCGATCTGACACCGGAGAAGGCTTTCCTCGCCAGAGTGTACGCAGAGCATCTCAGGTCCATCAAGGTATAATTCAAACCTTAGCTTACGCTGATGCGGTCCAGGATGACGCTCGATTCGACGACAAAATGCCTGTGGTCACTGCCCTCGCCTTCAGGACACAGGACGAATACAACAAACTCGTTGAGGTATCGACGGATACCGAAGAAGGGACGCAAGTGATGGAAGAAAGAGCATTTCTGGTCGGAGAGCTTCTTAAATTGGCGTTGTTCTTGGACTACGCAGATGAGACGGGGAGGAGGAAGATGTTTCAGTTGACGCGTGAGCAGGGCTGGCGCGGATTCTCGTCCCTACCATGTGCACTGATTGACTGGCATTATCTATCTAGGCGAAATGATCTCCCAATCAACGCTACCTGAGAATCTGGTGCCTCTGTGCGTAGATGTCCTCAGCAAGATTTCCGATGGCGAGAGGGATTTGATCCGTGTCATCGTGGACGTCATCATGGAATTGAGATTCGACGAGGCGGACGAGGACGAGGTGAGCAGCTCGGATCCTTCGGAGGGGAATCCGAGCTCATTTTCCTCTCTAGCCGTTCACAAATAGTCAAGCATCCATGCTGGACACGCCGGCACCTCGACGCGTAGCCCCGAGTCGTCCTGCTGATCCCGAAGCTAAGATCAGAGCGGCTTTGATCGATTTAAGGTGTTTGGCAATCTGCATCTCGCTCCTTGAACGGGTCAACTCGGTGCGCCTATCCCTGAAAGCTCATATCTCCTCGATACAACTGACCTGCATGCAGACCCTTCAGGACAATTCAGCCTTTCATGGCTTGTTACCTGATCTCATCATTCCTGCTGTGCGGAACACCGAAGAACCAGCATTGAGAGATCAAGGCATCATAGCGTTGGGTCTGTGCTGCATGATCGACTCGGTGAGTGGCACAGAGTCTGGTCAGTTCAGAAGTCTGACCCTGTGCTAGAACATGGCGACGAAATCCTTTGCACTGTTCATGCAGCAACTCTCGGCAGCAGACGACCAGCTCAAAGTCAAAGTCGTTCAGATCGTCTTTGACCTGTTGATGGTTCAGGATATCCCGACGCTAGTGGGAAGCACTATGCCTGTGAGTTGGAGACTTGATGTCAGATTAACGCTTTGGCAGGTGGACAAAATCCCAGACTTAGTGCGGCATACGCTCAGTCAAGATTCTCCCGAAGTCCAAGCGGTGGCCTGTGAGGGTATTGCCAAGTTGATGCTGGCGGGAATGATCTCGGACACAATGGTGAGCGATGACCCTGCGCGTGAAGGGGATCCTGACGCATAGGCAGACCCTGCAAACTCTCGTCCTGCTCTATTTCTCCCCTGAGACCGCGGACAACCAAACATTGAGGCAGTGTTTGACATATTTCCTTCCTGTCTACTGTTTTTCGTTCCCGGAGAACCAAAAGAGGATGCTTTCGGTGAGAATGATGCGCCCTAATCGGTCATGCTTATGTTGACGCCCGCTAGATCTTCTCCGACACATTTGGCCTTCTCGCCCAAGTCGCTGAAGACGTTGAATCAGGTCAAGAGATGTTGCCACTTTCTCAAATTGGGCTGATGATGGTCGACTGGCTTGACCCAACGAAGGCTGTGTGAGTCTCAGTAGCGGGCGGGACTTGATCCTTTCGGGCGACTGCTGACGACCTCAGCGAACGCGAGGGCCAACAGGCGGACATGACGATTCATCTCGACTTGGCCGTGGAGATGCTCAAGTATATCATGGAGGAGGACTCCAGTAGGTTGCTGAGATTGGGGCCCGATCGGGACGCTGATGCTTTTGTAATCCAGAGGAGCTAAGAAAAGCACTCATCTCTTTCCTCGGTAAACTTGTCCTGCCAGAGAGTGAAGAAGTCGAAGCTTGGAGAGTACGATGTGTTGCTCTGCTCATTGCGAGTATTCGCACGGTGGGTTGGAAGGTGGACGGCTGAAAGCGGAGCTGAGTCACTCTCTCAGAAATGCCCGATATCCGATGCCGCCTCCCGAAACAGTCTCAACAGATTTGACGCTAGCCTGCTCAAGAAATACAAGAATGAGCTGGACGACTTCGATATGGAGGCGTTCAGGAGTGAGGAGAATGACACTGTCAAGGAGATCTACGGCTTCATCGATGACGTGTCAGTAGTTCAGGCGTGATCGGGATCCGATGCTGACGATCAATCGATTTAGGGAGGAACGAGAAGGTGATGGCGCGAGCGAAGTTGGTTCTGGACGACGACGCCGGCGAGCCAGGACTAGCGATGCGACTAGCGAGATCACCGAAGGCATGACGACTCGTATGACTGGCCTGACTGGCGATTCTGGCGAGGCCGGCTCCGACGATGAGATCGAAGAGGGGCAAAGTGGCTCCACGTCACGGAAAACAAAGAAAAGAAGCCGACCTCGGAGCAGAAGTCGAAGTGCCATGCCTAGTGTGGCGGAACATGACGAGTTGGAAGGCGATACAGCTGGTGTATCGTATGGGGATGAGGATGGCGAAGGGGAGGAAGATGATGAAGAGGAAGAAGATGCGGATGAGGATGTCGAGTCTATTCTGGATCAGGATGAGATCTAGCAAAGTACACGGTTCGATGGTTAATGGTGCTCAATGTATTATATCCGGTTCGGTATTCTCGCTCATCCGCCACATTTCAATAAGCTTCGCCGAGATAACGGATGAACGCCGGGATTGATGAGATGGACGCCGATTAGATGCAAGTGCCGTGCCAATTCTGACAACACACGGTCCACGGAAGCCCACAAAGGCTCGACGTGAGACTTGGAGTACGCTAGAGTCGACTATAGAGGCTACAAATTGGGCGAGCTCGAATACGCACATTTCTCAAGCCGAGAGAATCATTTGTCGCTCTTATCATGTCCGCTCCTCCGGTCGTCGCCTTTCACGACCGGCTTTCTGGCACCTCCAACGGTGCTGGAGACCTGCACACGCACGACGGGTCGACGTTTCACACCCATGGGCATGATCATCATGCTACAGGTGCACAGCTAGGACCAACGGAGCATGGTCATTCGCATGAACACTTGGAGAATGCAGGTGAGTCTGATGTTCAAAGGAGGGTCGTTCGAGGAGGGGCAGAAGCTATGCGATGGCATCATCTCAGCTGTCGACCTAGACTGCCTAGACTGAGGACTCGCTATATCTCTCTCTCGCCGTGGCTCGTTTGGGCAGTAGAAGCATCACCTACTGACCACACCTTCGACTTTCAGGGAAATTTGCCGAGCGTGATATGCCCGATTACACCGGACGTGATTGGTCAGAGAGAGCCTTCACGATTGGTATCGGAGGGTGAGTGTGGGCAAGACAGCCTACGTGTCCCGCTCTGATCAGCTGCGGCATAGTCCAGTGGGATCAGGCAAGACGGCACTGCTGTTGAATCTGTGTCGTACCTTCCGGGACGAATACAACATCGGTAAGACACATGGTCACACGCGGCATCAAAGACAGGTGCTAATTCAAGTATCCTCCCAACCTTTATTGTGTCTCATATCCTATGCTCGTACCCTACACTCTCACAGCCGCCGTGACAAACGACATTTTCACTCGTGAAGACCAAGAATTCCTGATTCGAAATGAGGCACTGCCGGCAGAGCGTATACGAGCCATTGAGACTGGTGGATGCCCTCACGCAGCTATCAGAGAGGATATCTCTGCCAATTTGGGAGCGCTGGAAGGGTTGCAAGCTACATTCCAGACCGAATTGTTGTTTGTGGAATCGGGAGGAGACAACTTAGCCGGTGAATGGCGATTCGGACCCTCCAGGGCGAAGTGGATCCTTACTGATGTCATTTCCTTAGCCAACTACTCGCGCGAGCTCGCAGACTATATCATCTACGTGATTGACGTGTCGGGAGGTGATAAGATTCCTCGGAAAGGCGGACCTGGCATCTCCCAGAGTGATCTACTCATCATCAACAAGGTAAAAGTCGTAAGGTCTTCATGAATTGAGACTGAGATCTCATGTACAGACCGATCTGGCACCCCACGTTGGTGCATCACTGGAAGTGATGAGACGCGACGCGGCTGAGATGAGAGATTCTGGTCCTACGCTGTTCACCAGCATCCTCCATGGTGAGGGGGTACAAGCTGTCAAGGAGGCGATTCTAGGTGCTTGGAAGGTCAGCGGAGCTGCGCGACAAGGGCAGGATAAGGGAAAGGCTGCGCAGCAGTAGCGTCCACATCTCACATACCGTTGATCATGCATCTCAGTCCTCGAATCCACCACTTTCACCCAATCCATGCCACAGTCGGTGATTTCTCAATAGCCGAGGACTCGTCTGAGTAAATTACCCAATCGGGTTAATAGCCTGTGTGGGGAATACCCCGTGGAGGTGTCCCTTAAATGCGCGGGGGAGGCGTGTTATACTGAGCCCTCCCCCTTCCAGGTTACTCTCTCTTCTTCCCTCTCTACATCTCTCTCTCTCACACACACGTCTATCGATTACCCACTTCAATTCACAGTCCAGCTCATAAGCTAGTCAAACAACTCTCATTGCTACTTGCTATTACATCAAATACATAGCCAACATGTCTCAATTCGGTACTTCCCCCACTGAGTGAGTAGAGCGTTCCTTTCCATCACCGCCACCGTCGTCGCTCTGGCAACGGGCATCTCGAACGGCGAGCCCCCTGTGCCCTGCACGACCTTCCCTCTGGTGTCATCATGATTCAACGCTGACTCTTCGCTCAGCACCATGACCACCGACAAGTCGGGTAAGTCGACTTCCCCATGCCTGCTGACACGCCTCGGCATCGCTTGCCGAGAACGCGCGTGTGACCCCGCCGTCTCATCCGTGCTGACGTCGATCTTCCAGTTGAGATCAACGACGCTCTTTTCTGCGAACACGAGATGGAAGTCTGCCAACAATGCCAATTCGACGGACGAGAAGACAACGACGCCATGATGGGGTGAGTGGTGTTCATCCATCCAGCTTCACTCGGCTGTAGCCGGGGTCCCGATTTCAGCCGCCACAACGGTGCACGCTTCTTTTGGCTCTTGAAATTTGATTCCGCCGAGTCCCAGTGCTGACTTTGGATTCAAAGATACGACCCTTTGCCTCGAGCTGCTCTTGAGATTCCCGCTCATTACAAGTCCAACAAGGATGGATCTATTCTCTGCAAGGCTCATGCCAACAGCGATTGCAAATCCTGCTGTGAGTCCGAGGTGCTTCAATAGATGACTGCGCTGACACTATCCCTCGCAGTCGGATGGAAGAAACAGATCGGCAAGCTTCACAAGGAGGCAAAGAAGGCTGGTATGAAGAAGCAAGCCAACAGTTGGGAGTGATCTTGCTCCTGGGAATCTCCGGAGTTTCGGAGACCAGTTTGACCCATTGGTCGTCTTCCCCTTTCTCATTCCCTTACCCCAAGTCTCCCCAAGTTGTCGCCCACAGTTGTTGTTTAAAAGTCGAAAGCGTTGCCACAAAGTCAAAGCAAGTTGTCAAATAAAGGGAGGAAAGTTGTGAAGTAGGTCAAATGCACGAGTGGGAAGTCATAGCAGCGGCATGCATTGTTGCTCGAAAAGTCGATGTACAGCCCTTGCAAGCATACATCTCGCTATCCTCGCAAACACTAATCATGCGTTCTCTGAATCGCTTGACAAGATCATGCGCTGCCCATCAGCGACCCCCACCGAACAACGATCCCATAAGATTCTGGAGCAGGTCATTGCCTCCTTGACCGCCTCGAGCAGGTATCAAGAAGACATTATGAGAGATTTGACTGAGAGCCTGGAGCCATGTCAGTCTCGTTTGGGTGCACACAACTCACCTCATGCACATCCTTCTGCCCAATCACTCCGCTTGCGCCGCTGCTTCGCATGTACCGACCAACGAGTTGTTCCCACTCTTTGCCGATACCACCGTCCATCCCTCGGGCTTGAACAGCGCTCACTCCTTTTGCGGAAGCCCGCTGGATCGTTATCAAAGCCAATTGCAAAAAGTTGAGTGTTGGCGAAGCGGTGACTTGAATCTCGGCTACAGAGAAGGTGGTCTGAGAGGGAAGCGCAGAGATGATCGATTTGTGGAAGGGTGACTGAGGTGAGGAGAGAAGGGATAAGAAGCGGGTTAGGAAGGTAATAGCGGGGAGGATAGAAGGCGGAGAGCTTGTGAGGAAACTGAGGTTGCAAGCGTAATAGTGAGCTAGGAGACTCTCTTAATTGCAGCTGAGCTCACGGGAGTGTGCCTCGAATCGCGTATGGTCCAGGATCAAGCGATCCCTTTTCGCACCTGTCTCGTGTCAGGTGATGCTGAGGCAGACCCGCTAGGCAGCGTCAACCCACCACTCGAACATCATGTCGGCCAGCAAGTGCGCTGAGTCTCGCTTTCCGGAAGCCAATAGATGCTGTTCAGCCAGCTCAAATTGACGATCTGGCGGGGGGAAAGGTCAGTCCCTGAGGTCTATGGGCCCAAAGTTCAGGCACAGAGCTCCAGATTTACCCTTGTAAGACAGCTCGCCGATGTAGTGGTGTAGGGAAGGATCTCCTGTTGGACAAGAACCATAACTCTGGGACCATTTGATTGCTGCGTCAGCAAGCTTTTTGCGCCAAGGGCCGTGAGATGGCGTCAGAGCTAGCAGTTGAGTGATCGAGGCTGTTTTGGGCCGTCAGGTCTCCTTTCCAAGGGCGAGCTCAGAGCGTACACACCTCTCGACTTGTCTTCCACTGGGACCGAAGCATCACCCATGATACTGATCATTCTGCAGCCCAATTCAACTCCACTACCTGCTTCTCCAAGCTTGAGGAGCTCCCTGGCAGTCGCAAAGAGGATCTCAACGGCCACATCGGGAGCTGAATGAGCGATACGAGCCGTGGTGGTGAGTGCTTTTTGATGCGCAGAGTAGGGATTCGGACTGGGAGGTTGAAGGAGGTTGAGGATGGGTGGGAGAAGGGATTCTGCACTGGGCGGACGGCCTTGTCGGGGCGGCATGGTGTATGTCAAGAGCTGGTGCGTTCTGAGGCTACTATCGGGGGCGGTCTCGAGAACGTGTAGGAGGTTCAAAAGGACGAGCTGGTGATATTTCATCATTGAACGTAGATTTCCGCGTCGTCACACTTTGATATTTCCGAAAGTTCCTTAGCGATAGTTGAAACCAAAGATAGATCATCTACACAACGTTCGTGCTTGATCACGAAGCAGAGACTGGACTTCTTGGAACCATCTATCAGGATCACCTTATGTCCTGGTTGAAATCTGCTCCTTGAGCGACAGCAGCGTGGTGAACACGTAGTTATCAGCCATCATGCCTTCGGATTCGCCAAAGCACGGTCTTCTGTCAACCTTGACTCTGGGTCGGTCTTCTCGTTCCTCCAAGCCGGTCTCCGAGACCCTAACACACCCTCTGCTCGGAGCTTCGACCTCTTCGCTCAATCTCGTTAGCGATGGAGTTGCCGAGCCTTCTGGCTCTACTTCCCACACACGGCAAAGCTCTGGAGGACGTTCAGGACAGGTCGATGTGACATCTCTCCCTTATAAACCCAGACACAAGCCAGGACAAGGGCCCAGCGCGACCGGAGTAGGAGCTGATCAATCTGGAAGTATCCCCACGTCTTTGTCTGCGACTGGTGGCCCATCGACATCTCCCAATGTGTCGACTTTGACAGTCCCTACTTCGCCGGTGACGCCGACATCTGTATCAGCGAGACCTACGACTTCGACATTTACATCGACCACTTTTGCGCTGCCTCCCTCAGCTGTGGACTCTAATGACTCCCAGGATCTCGTTGCGTCCATTGGTTCGAGCTCTACCGCCACCAGCAGACTCCAGCTACAGAGCCTCAAAGCTGCTGTTCAACGAATTGGGCTGGGGAACGGAAGTATGGGGATGAGCATGATTGACACCATCTTTGAACGATCGCTAGGAGGTGCTTCGACCAAGGGCAAAAGTGTCGATAATGGTGAATGGGCGGAGATTGTCAAAATCCTCATGACGGGCAAGGTGAGTCATTTCCGCCCTGTTGAGTGTGATAGGATGCTAATCACCTTTGCCAGGCAATACTCCTTCTTCCGACCACTCCTGCATCGTCCTCACTACCCCTCACTGCTCAAAACGTCCGCGACCATGTCGCTTTCGTAGGACCTGCGCTGCCGGATCCTCGCAGGCGTTCGATTGGCTCTCCAGCGGATAATGGCGCAATGGTCGTCACTCTCTCCGGCCTCCTTGGGACCATGAAAGAGTGAGCAGACTCAAGCGCACCGGATGTTTGGGACGTGAAAGCTGATCGAGGCCATACACCCAGCTCCACCATCTTTTTCGAATCTGTGCTGGGATCTGATACCGTACCGAGTCTCTTGGGCCGCGACACGGGTCTCAGCACAGCACTCGGCAACCTCAGACCTGCCCATCACTCAAGTCCTTCCGCTCAATCCCATTTCCCATTGTACGCCTTGTCTTCTCAATCGACGTCTCTGCGCTTTCCGCCGACAATGACTATGGTACCTGCTGCAGGGGACGAGACGAGGTCTACAAGCGCCAAATTTGGTCGAATCAACCCTTTTGCGTCCCTCTTCGGGGGATCATCCGCCACAGCCGTAGGATCGAACGAGAGGGGAGACGTGAGTATAATGGGCCTAGACATGACTGACGTGTATATCAGGCAACGCCCAGCCCCAAACTTTCCGTGTCACCCTTAGACCCTGATGGTGTTTCCGTCCGCTCTAGTGACGAGTCAATTGATGGCTATCAAGTCCCCGCTTTCACCATTGCGAAAGCCGTGAGAATCAACGACGTGGCCAAAAGCATCGTCAAAGCTACCAAAGCCATAGTGAAGGCTGAACTGGATCACATGCCTGAGAAATTGGTTGATCGAGTCATACGACTAGTCTGCCCGACCGTCGCTGGTATTGCCTCGGACGAGAAAAGTGATGCCTCCGAAACGATTCAGCTGGACTTTACGGACCCAAACACGACCGGGCAAAAGCTACAGGAGTTTGTCGAGAAGGCGTACGATGACCTCGTTCTCCATTTTCGGGCCGACTCCTCACACATCTTCTCAGAGAGTTCCCATACCGGATCCAGATTACGGCAGAAGGCCAGCTGGACTAGGAAGCTGTCAATGTCAACAGGAGACGAAGAGAACGAAGCGGCGAAAGCCAGGCGGAAACAGAGAGCTCGTAAGGAACGAGAGGAAATGGTGGAGAGGGAAGCGACATCTGGAGCAGAGAAGATTGAGGGCCTCCTATGCAAATTCTTCTACAATCGGTGAGTCGAGAACCTTCGTTATCTCATTTCTCATCTCTCATCTTACAGCCAATTCTCTCCACCGGACACGGATGACTCTCGGCACGATGAGGCTCTCTCGTCGAGGATAGCAGCTCTGAACATGCTAGAGCTCTCGCTAGATCATCTAGGACTTGTCACACGACCTCCCGAGTTGCCGATGGCTGAGCGAGACCGTATTGCAAGAGGTCTTGAGCAACTGGTCGACAACGTTGGTCTGGGTGAGTTTGACTCAATCCGCTTATCCTCAGGCTGAGACCCAGCAGAATTGCAAAAACTCGATTCTGTTTCGGCTATCACACCAGGGGGTAAAGTTGCGGTCCTGATTTCTGCTCACAAGGCCGTTGTCGGTAAGTCCGCCTTCCGACTTCTGAATCACGCGAGCTGAATGCGAGCATAGATGGGCTTCAGGGCCTCCCCCCGATCCGTCTCCGGCCAGAGGGCGAGGCGTATCAACCTTCACGAGAAGAAACGTCCACACCAGTCGAGGATCGGGTGACATCGGCTCCTCCCATCAAGCCTGACCTAGCTGAGAGACGTCGGTCATCATCTTCCGCCCAAAGGGGTGTTTCCATGCCGATTGCACATCGCTCATCCACCGGCTCGACACCTCTCTCAACCTCGCCAGCGACCACAGATCCGCTTCGATCTATCGGAGAGGCGGCGCAGGAAAGCGGCGATCTTCCTTCAGAGCACATTCCGGGAATTCCTGAGGTTGTGCTCACAGAATCTGGCCATGAGCAGATGGAGGAAGCGATGAAGGACTCTGTGATCGATCTCCAATCACCAGCTACTGGCGCCGAGCCTGAGCATGAGAAGAAGGTCAACGAGACGTCTCAGTCTGGAGCTACTTCTGGTGCTGATCTCATCCTGCCCATCATCATCTACGCTGTAGTCAAGGCAAATCCCCCTCAACTGGCATCCCACCTCATGTATATCAGACGCTTCAGGTCTGCCATATGTCTCACTGGAGAAGCAAGTTACGCCATCGTCAATCTTACGGCCGTCATCGATTTCATCGAGCACGTCCAATTGGCGGATCTTGGGCTGGGTCACGAATCAGACAAGGTCATCAGGTATGTACACTTGCGCATCAATGGAGTCACGGAGTTGATAAATTCACAGTGTCGACAATCTCTCGCCTATTGGTCTCAACGACCTGGACAACGCGAATGCAGATACGGCCTCTATCGCCACAGCATCATCTCGACTACGTGGACGAGTCTTCCAAGTCGGTGAGCTGGCAGGTTCTGCAGCCGACTCTGCAAACAAGGTCATTACTGGCGTTGTCGATTCATCCTGGACTGCCATCCGAGGCCTCATATCTTCTCCAGCGCCAAACATCACGGCCACGGAAGAAGGACAGATGCCGCCTCCAGCAGACGTCCATCCAGAGGCGGTTGATGGAAGAGCTCGCGGTAATTCCACCTCGGCATTCTCACTTTCCAGCGTGACTGCCTCCATGGCTGGCATAGCGGCAGCTGCGACCAATCGTAATCGTTCGAGAGCCGGTTCCCGAGCTTCGGCACTGGAAAGGCCGGAGCATACTTGGAAAGGCAACGAAGAGATGATTGATGTCAGCTCTAAACCAGGTTCGATCCGCGAAGGAGCACTGCAATTCGACACTAATGAAGATGAGGCAATGACCAAGAGTGACGATGACGAGCACGTACCCGTGCGTTCCAATCGAGAGAGGAGACGCTCGGACGCTCGAAGTATACAGAGCGTATCTAGCGTATTCTCTCGCGATAAGGAGGAGGCGAGAGCCATGGAGAAGGATAAGGATAGGGTTTCGCTCAGCGATAGATTGGCTTCGATTGGGGCTCTCGGCCGTTTACCAAGTACCGACAATGTCTTTGCGTCAAGCTCGGCAGAAGTGGCCAAGGTGAGATTTATGAGCACAGGTCGCGTCCCTATGATGTTAATAATGATCTGCTGGATAGCCGACTGGATTCCTCGCCAATTTGACAGTTGGACGCAGCACGCCACCGCCGGATAGGACCCACGCAAGGAAAGCCTCGCTTCTGAGTAGGGCAGAGCCGCTCGGTGCATCCCCGGCGGGCAGCATTACATCGCTTCCTGCCTTGCCTGAGAACGCGGATCCTCCACTAGAGCGCTTCATGACCTGTGAGTCTCCCAGCACGTTGCTCCTGTCTGGGCTGAAGGCGAGAGCAGGCGAGGCAGGTGACCTGAAGCTGTCAGAGATCGGTTCACTCCTCCGGGATTACCGACGACTGGGTGATATTGTGAATGCTCTCGGAGCACAAGGACAAACACACCTTAGAGCCTAGGTAATGGTCGGGGAGTCAAGCTGCATAGATCAAGGCATTCATGCATAGATTTTGTCTCCTTTTTCTTTCGTCAGTCAATCTATTTACAGGTCAAGCAATGTTCATTTCATGATGGGTTCGCGGAAATATAGTATATGCGTACAATCGTTCAGTCTTGGCTCTTCGAGTTCTAGAACCACGCTACAAAGTTTTCGGGCATCTGAGCGAGATGATTGGGAGAGGTGGCTTGAGAAATCAAGGTCACAATGGCGTGGTAGTGGTCGGACGGGCTGTTCGGCTGCAGTCTTGGTCAGCGAGTCGATGGTGTTTTTTGGGGGGGGGGGGCTGTACTGCACCTTTTCTTTGCTATCACCAATGAAGCCTAACATAGTCGCGCGGCGAATGAAGTGCTCAACGTTCTTCTCCACTTGGACTGTAAGAGATAGCTCCTGTCGGGGTTCTTTCATGTACGTGTTATGCCAGATCAGGATCTATGGAGGGTCAGCTGACTGCCTTACGGAAGCGTTCTCAACCCACCTCGTCTCGGATGAAGAGTGACAATGTCCCGCCGAGGTCAAACTCGGGCATGGTCAGGGATCGGCCGATGGCCGTCGCAGCGGCTGTGATGACTCCTTCGATTCCGACTCGAGTGATGAAGTTCTGCATGTTGGGTGTGAGTCGGAATGGTACAGTCTCGTTGGATGCGATGATGGGATGCCCGTGTGCGAATGCTGCATCCCCTTCAGCATTTGTTCCGTGGAATGCGCCGTGAACTCACCAGGTAGTATCTCGGTCATATACATCAATCCAGTCTTTCGGCTGAGGTGGAATCGACTTGGCGTTCGATTGCTCAAACAGCAGACAAAAGTCAGGAACATGACCGTTGCCGTCTGCATAGCAAATTGCTTCCTCATCAACCACAGACTCTCTGAGCTGTTCATCGTCTTGATCATGTACTGGATTTCTGTCAGCCGGTGCTCTGCAATGGCAAACTCACATTGGTCAAAATCGTCTCGGGAATCATCTTGGTCTGGATTTCCTCCATAACCTCCGACTTAAGCTGATAGTACCTCGGATCCGACTGTCGATTAGCGTTCATCCGTGCGTCTTAACTCACCCTCGGTATGGCAGGGTTATGCAGCTGCTTAACACGATCATAGAAAGCCATGATGCTGTCCTCGCGAGACATGCCTTTCGATGAGCAGAACTCGTCATAAATGTCCTGCAAGCTGATATAAGAGGAGTCGTTTTGCACCAGTCGGAGTTGAGGGGCCAGGGCCACGGCGACCGGCAAGTGGAATTGGATGTTTCGACGTCGGGATTCCTTTCGGCGTTTCAATACACTAAGGAGGGTCAGCCTCCGTACTTCAGGTAAGTGCCTACAACTGACCTATTCATGATGCGGAACAGCTGTGTCAGTCGCTCTTCCCGTCGGCAATGTCGGGCGGCAGGCATCTGAACGTTGAACGTGTGCATGGAGCCATTGGAACCGATCATGGTGATACGTCGGAAACAGTGACCATGCCCACGGCCAAGTTCCGCCCTGGGTGAAAATCGCGCAATCTTGATGAGCTCTTCGGCTGGATCGATATGCTATGAAAAGTCAATTTAAAATCGCCGACGTCGACAGCGACCTCACCTGAAGGTATTGACCCGGTATCTCTACATCGTCAAATTTGGTTCGATGGAACTCAATGAGGTTGCATCCCCCTTGGTCGAGAGGCTGAACTCGAGGGCGGCAGTCGAGATTCTTTTCGTACATGTCTCGCCACCATTGTAGCCGCTTGATGTAGTCCCTTAGCTTCGGCATGTCCTCCATGAAGTCCTTCTCGATAGCAGCCTGGGATTGTCAGTTCCGACATTGAGAAAGACACCCACTTTCAGATCTCCCGAGAGGTTGTTCGAGAATTTAGTTAGATTGTCCTTCGTCATCGAGTTCAACTCTCCATCATCGTTGACGATTCCGCTTCGTCCACCCCATTGCTGCAGATGTCAGCTCGATACAAGAAAGTAAGCAGCAGAAGGCTCACCTGGAGAGCATCGGCAAGAAGCGCTGCGAAGAATCGATAAATATCCTCGTCGGAAGACGGCTTGGCCCGGATGGATATCTGGTCTACCATCTTTTCCATTGTCAGAGCCAACAGCGGGAATTGAGTCTTGAGCGAATTCATGATTTCGTCCACCAGTTCCCAAGGCAGACGTCCGGCAATCTGTTGACCGTTTTGCTGAATAGCGCCATTCGCTGCGGTAGCCTGCGGGCCATTGGCGTTCTCGCCATTGGTCTGCGCTGCCGATCCATCTTCGGCGCCATTGGCTTTCTCCTCCTTGTTGTCCCCATTCTCCACTTTGGGGGACGCCCCAGGTTGGCCATCTTGAGGCTTGCCTGAGCCTTCGGCCGCGCGTCGAGTGGCAGCGCGCTGAGTTAGCGTTTGTCTTTTGACGTGACCAAAGTCTTCTCGTGTTACGCGCAGGTGGTAAAAGAGGGCCTATGAAGAAGTAAGCAATGTGTATCAGACAGTCTCGTGCGTTCTCAATCACCTGTGGATATAGCTTGCTGAGACGGAGTAGAAGTGATCGAGCCTGCTTCGCCTCTCGATGAGATAGAGACAGAAGAAGCTGCGGTATGAGAGTAATCCAGTACCAAATGACCAAGTCACCCTTGTAATTCTCGAAGGCCTTGGATATGGTGTTGTGCGCGTCGTCCAGTCCCAGTAACCACAAGACCCGCAGAAGCATGCCTCGGGATTTGTGATTATTGTACAGACCTGCGGCTTGCAAGTAGCAAGAGACGGCGCTTGAAGCCAATACAGCGCGATCATGAGCATAAGAGGTGGCCCATTGTTCGTCCGTCATCTTCATCTCGCCTGGCTTTGGGTCGGGAGGTCCAGTCGGGCTGACCTCGGGTCGTTCACTGTACAGCTTGTCGTTGAATCTGCCCCATTCTGCCCATGCTTTGGGCAAGTTCATGTCCATCTGAATGGCGTGGGCAAACTCGGCGTTGGCATCTTCATTCTGACCGAGGCGACTGATGAACATGCCCTTGAGGGTGAGGAACTCGGCCTTTTGAGCGGGGGCAAAGTACATGAGATTCGTTGTACTGATGTTCTCGAGACCATCGTTGAACTTGTCTGCCTTGTGGAAGAAGCAAAGCGCCTGCTCACGCAATTTGAGGAAGGCTTCGGAGATCTCGATATTGGGAAGCGCGTAGATCTTATTCAACGAAACACTGCAGACGTCCAGTAGTCCGTGACGACGAGCGACTTCGCCAAATCGATTGATCATCCAAGCCGTCTCGTGATAGCCCTTGTATCCAAAGGTGGCCGTTTCACCTTGAGGAATCAGCGGTACGTAGACTCTAGTGACAGATTGGAAAATGTGTTGACGCCAAGCGAGTAGGTCGCTCCAGACCATGATGTCGTCCCAGAAGTTGGGCAATCGGTCTCGCCAAGTTTGGAAAACTGTCTTCAGATCAGAATTGACGCGTATTTCCAGATTCTGCTGATTGGTCATGGACAAACTGTCAAAGACTTGTGCTGCCTCTCCCAACTCGACGCATTGCTGGAACATCTGAAGGAGAGGCAAATGTGCGGCAGTGACGTTGCCGGATGGCAGGCTGACCCATTTTCGTAGCGTCACCTGTTGAGCTTCGTCCAAGATCCTGGCAAAGTCGTTCGGTGGCTCCCGAGCAAGATGAGCCTTCAACAGTGCCGAGAATGCTTCGAATGTTTTCCGACGAGGGGTTGCAATGTCCGCCACACGATTGAGGTTGGTTTCGATCATCTCGCGGTCCAAAGCGCCCCAATCGGACAGTCGCCAGGCACATTCCAAGAGGAGATCCGCATCACCATCCACTCGAGCAAGCTCCGTCAATCCATCCCAATGCTGGAGCTTCTCAGCTGCCAGTATCCAATGGTCCTCCCAAAAGCAGTACTCTTCCTCTGAGAATGGTAGCAGGCCATTGCGAGCCTTCATCTGAGCTTGCTCGTATAGCTCGATAGCTTTCGGCCACATTCCATTTTGCTCGTAAGTCAGAGCAGCCGTTGTCTCCTGAAATACGCATCGACCTCTCGCCAAACCGTAAAACATGTCGTCCTCTGCTAGCTCGGCGTAGAGCTCGCTCAAGGAGCCTGCACAGCTGTCCCGAAGTGCATTGTCCGGTTTGTACACCTCGCTGAGCTTCATGAGAATTTCAAAGCCGACGTACCACACATCAAAGGTCTTGGCGAGATACTTGACGAGAAGTGGAGGAAGGGTAACGGCGGGGGTACAGGGAAGAATACCTTCCAGGAAAGTCTGAATGACGTTGGGTCGAGCCTCAATCTGCTTGGAGTGATACTCTTTGGAGAGCAGCTTGACGATGTAGCCATTGAAGGAAGTCTGTTGAGCTCTCGAAAGGGAGGACCAGCACATAGGAAAAACGATCACCCAGAGCTTGTGCGCCAGACTGGTATCTTGGTGAATGAGGTTCCGAGCGGCCTGCACGAGGTCGCCAACGCTCGAATTGGCAGAAAGCGCGGCGACGACATCGTTCTCGACCAGCTTGGAGAGTGGTTTTCGCAGGAAGGTGTCTTCGTAGTCCACTATGCCAAGCAACATACTGAGGATCTGCGGGATCCAGTAGTCGCCCGACAGGGTATCCCAATTCTGAAGAGAATAGATGTACTGAAGGCGACTGTCCAGGGCTTGTGGCAACGATTGCTCGAGTTTGTCGAGGAATCGCGCACGCTGTGATGGATCTTTGGATTTTGCGCCAAGCAGGAAAGCTGGTTCGAGGCGGTGTGTAATATCTGTACCACGGAGCGAGTCCGACTCGTAAATGTCGTATATCACGTCCAGGTACTTTTGGAAGAGACCATTGTCCCTATTCTCAAATGCTGCCATCTTCAAGAGCAAGCCGGCCTTTTCCTTGCCCTGACCGGTAGGCTCAGGATCATTCAACACCCATTGACGGACCATATCAAGTAGGTAGCGACACAAAGTGATGTTGGTCGACCGATCGATGAGGGTGCCAAGAATGGAGATGAGATGTCGTCGCTGCTCCTTGAGCTCTCCGAGTCGGTCTCGAACTATGTCGAGGATGGCGATGATCAAACGGTGAGCCTGATCAGGTCCGTTCGAGGTGTGAACTTTGACGAGGTTGGCCAAGACACGCAAAATGCCCGTTCCAATCGTTTCGGTTTGCAATTGCTGGCCGGGCTGAGCCTTGAGCCAGGTCCGGAGAAGAAAGAGGGTTCCGGGCAGATGAGAGCTCGATCGGAGACTGGCATTGAGCCCGTCGTTGATTGTGTCTCTGACAAACGTGAGCAGGTTCTTGCCATCGGAATCTTCGCCTTCAGTATCTTGAGGCATTTCCTTGAACATGTTCTCGGTCAAAGTTTGCACAGTCTCATGAAGTCCGGTATCTTCGTAGACCCAGACTTTCTCCAGAAGCTTCGTCAGAAGACCGAGATTGGTCTTGACCCAAGCTTGGTCTCGGACGGCTGCGATAGCAGCGACCACTTCTGTAGAATTCGCAACGACGTTGATTGAATTTTCGTTGATCTCCTGAACCGATACGTCAGCCTGTACATCCAAATATACATTTCCTTAGCTGACCTGTGTCATTGTGCGACTGAAAAAGCCAAGCTTAACGTTCACATTTGGTAAACCTTTTGGTCCGAGAATCTCTTTGAAGAGATCCAACGCCCTCTTCGCAAGACTACCGCGAGTCATCGGCTCCGAAGAAGTGGCGACCAGTCGAAGCAAATGTGCTGTGACAAGTTCGCGAACTTGACTTGACGCTACCCATCCACCAGCACTTGCACTGGATACCGCGGTGCCCGCTCTGTCGATTCTCTGCTTCTTGACTGGAGACGATTCAGTCGACTCGTTTCTCAACCGACGCGCAGGCTTATCCACATCCATGGCTTCCTCCTTCGCCTCTTCTTTGGCCGCAAGACGCCTCTTCTCCCACCGGAAGATCAGTTCGGCTACATCCACAGTCAATCGCTTCATTTCGGGCGTGGACGCTTGAACGAATCCGAGCTTCTGGAGAGCATTGGCGACGTGTGGGACGTATAATTCTCGGTAGTCGTAGAACAGATCCGGATGATTGACCAGCAATTCGCACACCGTGACTAGCTGCCCTGAGGCGTGGCCATCTTCAATGAGCACCGTCCGAACGCGTTGCGCCCATTCGGGGATCACGTTCGGAGGAGTCGGATCTCGTATCGACAGCGATGGCGCGAGCACGTCGATGGCCTGGCGATAAAGGGCTCGATTGTCATTCTCCTTCAATCTCAAGAGACCGATCCAAGTCAGACGAACAAACTTGAGCGGAGTGTCGTAAGTGACCATGAAATGAGCAACCAGAACATAAGCCATGAGCTTGACAGTCGGCTCGAGGAGGTTGATGCCCATCCAAGCCAATTTGAAGACATCTTTTCTCGTGTCACTGACTTTCGCTCCACAGTGTTGTACGAGCAAAGTCGCCAGCGCGTAGACTTCTATCAGCAAAGTGTCCTCATGTTGCTTCGCTCGTTGAGATACAGCCAGCGGTTGCCACATTAGCTCAGTGATCTTTTGCACCATTTTCGTCGTGACGAGCGAACCATCATTGTTGGGATCGGCAAAGTAGGTCCGGAGCGTAGGGTTGACGATAGTCCGCAAGGCATTAGTCTTAAACGCCCAAGTGACCGCATCGTCCTCGTACAGCTGGATGAATTGCTCGAGCACATTTCGACGATACTCGACGTCACTCTGAAGCGCAACTTGCTGGTATAGGAAGAAAGAGACCTGCTGCCGCTCGATGGAGCTACGGATCTCGTACGCTTCGACAACATGGAAGAGAAGAGGGATATGCTGTTGTTGGCGCAAGCTCATCATGAACATGTCAAGTAGTAATGTCGGAGTCTGTTGATACTGCACACTCGACATGTCGGATTTGGTGTGCCGCGATTTGGTCAAAATCGACCGCCAAACGCCCACGAGCGCTTCTAAGACGGGTTCGCGGTCAGACAGCCAAGTCGTAGATGTGTTGGCCAGTTCGCGAATGAGATCCAGCCCGGGCAGAACCAAGTCAATCGCCTCGGGATTTTGAAAGCACAATCGGCAGATCTCGTCTGCCCGGGACGACAACGTCTCAACAAGGTGTGGGGCATGACCTGAAGCAATCATGTTGCGATACGTCCATATGTATCTCGGATCCCGGATATTGTCGAGAAGATTCTGTGCACCTTCAGTGTGGTATCGATCGATGTATTTTGCGAGATTTTCCGTGAAAGGTCCGGGCTTGGATTGCTGCAATCTCGCCTCGACGTCAACGACTCGCTGAACCAGGTCCTGCAGGAATTTGACAGCTGCAGCAGGTAGCAAGCGGAAAATCTTGACCAATCTGGTCATTCGCGATATATCCGAGTTGTCATCCAACGGAGAGAATGCCGCCTTGACCAACATTTGCTGATCGCCTAATGTCTGGAAGTGATCCAACAGCTTGACACCGATCTCAACCTTGAAGTAGTTGGTCAAAAGCTCCAAGAAACGAGCCAGACCGTCTAAACCGGAGACACTTAGCCGCTTGGCGTCCGCGAGATTGACCAGGATCGGTCGAAGACCAGTTTGCAGAACGTCCTTTGGGAGTTTGCTCTGCTGGGAGAGCACGTCTCTGAGACCTTCATGCGCGATATCGACAATTTCGGGACTCGGTGAGTAGACGTGTTTGAAGTAGACTTGGATGATCCTGCGAGGCACGTCAGCGGATCTCTGGCACCGTGAGCTTACCTTGATCGACTCGCAGCAAGGTTCGGTTTGTTCAGATACTCTGGATTCGCCATGGTAGCCCTGAGGAATCTGAGACACGACATGCGAAGAGTCTTCAGCCACATCTCTTGCTTGTGCGTCGCTGGCTTGGTTATGAGATTCGCATCGTCCACGTCTGCCAGAGCCAGAACCTCGTGCAACAATCGGACAAACTCCTCAGTCGTCTCGATGAACACTGGCTGAAGCTCCAACAGCCAGGTCATTGCATCGATGTTCCCGACTTGCATGGGGAATGGAAGGGCTCGAAGGGGCTTGGAGAAGATCGGTCCGGCGGACACGTCCAGCAATTTGGCTTTTGCAGCAGGGGCTAAGAGTTCTGTGACTGTCTGGCCGACCACCTTGGCGAGGTGAGTGAGACAGTACTGGGCAGCAGTCCGTGATAACCCGCTCTGACTGTGCAGCTCGACAACCAAAGTTTCGGTTAATCGCTGCAGACGATTCTTTCCATCTTCAGATCCTTGACAATTGCTGATTAACTCCTCCATTAATGTCTGCACCGCTTTGGATGTCCGCGGCGGATCCTTGGGTGCATCTCGCAAACAGAAGAGAAGAGACCGCATGAATTCGATTTCGAGCTCGAGCAAGAGCTTGCGACCGACATCGACCTTGTTGACAAACACGTCAATCGCAGCGACTCCTGCCATCTTCCGAGACCAATCTTCCTCGTGGCAGAGGTTGCTGAATCGCTGGGCGATATGATACACCATTCTGTCGACAGAGCGAGCATGTTCAGGCTTGCTGACTAGCTCTGGCGTTGCAGCCAGTTCCTTGAAGTCTGAAATGATCGTCGCCAAGAGTTTCTTCAAGCCCTCTCGTACATCCCCGCTGGATTCCGACAGGGTGGAGACAAAACTCTCCTCCAACGCCGTCGTGAGCGGCAGGTGCCGCTTGCTTCTTCCAATGTCTGGTATGTACTTCGCACCTTCAACCTTTTGGGGCTCCGCCCGTGATAGCTCAATGGCGAAGACCCTGCGACAAAAGCTTCGCACGAAATCGGTAGCGCGATCAGCCAGTGAAGGAAGACAGCAAGCGGTGAATAGCGCGGACATGGAGGTATGGAATGTGGTGTTTCCCTCGAGATTGGGCAGATCCTGGCGTGTCAGCTCGAACCTTGTAACCGCACTCACGTCTTGGAAAGCGGACAGGGCGGACAATATGACGACCTGAAGAGCGTCTTCCCTATAGTTCTCGTTGTCCTTCTGAATCGCATCACTAGCAGTTTTGACCAACGAATTCAGAGGCATTCGGTGTGTTTTACCCTCCAGCGTTACATGACAAGAAAGGTTTGAATCGAGTCTCTTCCAGTCGAGTTCTAGATCAACCTCTTGGAATCGACGATTACGTCCACCAAGCTTGCCGAGAATCTTAACAGCTGCATTGGCGTGACTGCGATTCGCCGGGATGGGTTTCAATAGCTGATGCAGGGCCGTCATGAGATCTCGGAGGACAGGACCCATTGTGGGATCCAAGAAATCGGCCGTCAAGTTGTCGATACATAATTCGAGCGTACGCAAACCTTGACTGATGAGATCAGGACCCGCTTGGAGAGCATGAACCAGTGGTTTCATCAGATAGCTGAGATGCGGTAGCAAGTTGGTGAGACGAACGGGGACGGTCAAAGTGAGCTCCACAAAGAGGTCTCGATCGGCCTCTGTCGAAGCATGATGGAGCAGGTGAGCGAGCGTGTCAAGCATCTCCTGGAGGATCGGCAAGACTTCTTTGTACAAAGCTTCGAAGCGTCCTCCTCCGATAGAACGGAATAGTGCTCGAAGAATCTGGTAGTAGATGGCAGAATCCGTTGCTTTGGCGGCGTATCCGAAAGAGTCCATGATGAGCTTCTGGAGATGCGGAACGAGCACCACCTCATTCGTCCCAATGTGCGTGTTGATAGCGAGGAAAGACATTTTGAATAATCGCAAGGTCAACGCTGCACGCGTCTTGTCGCAATCTCCGACCTCTGCGAGATGAGACATGAGGTATTTGAGCAAAGTTCCGACCAGTTGATGGGAGACTGATTCGTGCGTGATGAGCATCTGGAGGACGGGGAAAATCTGAGGATTGGTGATAGAGTGCTCGACAAAGAAATCCATGTGGTTCATCCATACTTCAGAGAAGACATGAGGTTCGAACAGCAGCAAGATTTGTGATAAGAGTTCGATGGCCTCTTTCGGTTCTCTCGGATCTCGATTGCCCTCATAGATGGCCAGGCACCGGAGACCGTGTTCGAAGAATTTACCGAGCATTTCCCCGTCAGGCTGAGCAGATGGTACATCGCTCTGGCGGGTATAGGTCAGAATCGACCGGAAAGTGTGCAGCAACGTTTTGAAGAGATATCTAGCCTCTGTGAAGGTGTCAACGTCTGCTACCCGAAAGGCTGAACTACACTCACCCCTGCAGAAAGACTCGTGAGATTCTTCCGCATATGCCACTGCATATACAGGCATAGCCTGCTCAATCTCCCTCCAGCCATGCTGCATCCTGTCGGCCTGTTTCTCCTCCTCCCGTTGCTTCTGTTTCTCTGCATCTGCATCATCCATTTCGACATCCCCATCGGGAGCTGAAGCAGTCTTGTCTTCTCCGCCGCTGTCGTCTTTTGCCTTGCCCTTGCCCTTGTCCCTCTCCGCTAGATCTTTCAGACGGTCATACGTTTGCGTCATGGCGATGAGCTTATCCAACGAGCTGAAAAACATGCTCTGCATGAGTCGATTGGCCTCTTGCGCATCGCCTTTACTGTATATCGACTCGATGACCGTGTTGAGAAGCTTGGCGCACATTGTCTGGATTGCGGGAGTGAAAGTAGGGTCGTTGAGATTGCAAGAGAAGACGTAGACGACACGCGCCAGCTGTGTGAGTGGTAATTCGTTCCGGACATGGTGGATGAGATCTGCAACGACAGAATAGGCGAGAGGGCGCAAAGTTTCGCGGCTGGTGATTCCAGTCCCGACGAGGACCTTTTCTTCCAGCAAAGTGTCGATATGAGGAACAAAAGAGGACCGAGAATCGGCAGTGAGGATATGCCTGGTCGCCACCAAGAGCTCCTTTCGAGTGGCCACGTCTTCAGGTGGGCAATCGCAGAGTAATCTGATGCAAGCCTCCGGGAAAACTTCGAGGTACTCTTTGATTGTGGCGGTTTGCGACCCACGCATGACGTACGCAACGAACGCCATGGTCTAAGCGACATCAGCGTGGAGCTCGGGGAAGGCTCTCTCACCTTGACTTGCGCCTTGATGATCTCCGCATACACCTCCCGGTTGGTGATGCCATTTGCGACGCCGACAAAGATCTCTCCTTTCTCAGCAGCTTCTGCATGAGCTAGACGCTGAGGTTCAGGCTGGATTTTGATACTCTCCATGACGAGCGGGTAGAAGTCGAGCATCGCTTGTTGCATAACAGGGCGGAAAGTCTGGAAGATGAGAACGACGGCGATCGGACATTCTGTCAGCACCTTGGGGGACTGTAATGCGCGGGACAGAAGATTGTGGCCGGCCGAGGGTTGAGTGGGGGTTGGTTGAGCCTGCGCGCCTGATTCGCCACTCGCTGGTGTAGGCGGGGCAGGGGAAGGAGTCGGACCGCCAGCGTTCTGGTAAGGAGTCAGCAAGAGCAGAGGAGGACGATACGAACCGCTGCCTTTGGTGTGTTGAATTCTCTGTCGACAACGCTCTTTGTATTGGCGTACATTTGCTTGACGAGTTCCAAGAATGGTTCAACAAATGGCTCAGCTTGCTCCTGAAGCCAAGCGTAAGCTGCGAAATGTCTGGTCTGGCGGAGGGTATCTCACCTTGTGATTGCGGAAACCGTCGATCATGACTTTTATGCAGATCAAGGCATTCTCCTCATTTTCAACCTTCATTAGCTTGACCATGAGCTCCATGACGGCACTCTCATGTTGACGGAATGGCTCTGTTCGCGGTAAGCGTTGGATGAAAGCTAGGAGGGTATGTCGGAAGCGCTGTAGATGTTCAGTCAAATCTTGACCTGACCCAAGCTTGCCCAGGACTCACCTGATCAGTAGATTCTTTGACGAACACGACTGATTTTTCTTCTCCGAGGATGGTAATAACGCATGGGATGAAGACTGCGAGATACTTCTCGTAGAACGCATAATCTCTATTGCTCTCTGCAGAATCCCGAAGCTCAGATGCTGATCCGATGCGTCAGCTAGGTCGGAAGACGAGTCCAAGCTCAGCTAACCAATATCTGCTTTTCGCTTAATCACTAAAATAAGAGCATCAGCATACAGGACACGAGCATAGATTTGATCCAAGCTCGAACCCACCTATGGAGGGATCTAATAATTGAGCAGCAAGATGCTCGCAATCTGCCTGAGTGACTGGGCCCGTGGCTGAAGTTCCTGGAGCCGGCATACTCATCCCTGCTCCGCCAGTCGAGGCAGTTTCAACAGTTGGCGTTGCAGGAATAGCGAGAGGATTGGGAGCAGTCGTTGTGGAAGCTTTCCTAGGGCGTCCATTTCGAGTTGCCCCCGACATGTTGGGATACCGTCAACGTCTGGGTATGTCTCCGAGCGCGAAGTAAATGCTTGAGGAGATGATATTGAGGCCGCCGTGAGGGCTTACCGGCTCTCTGCCCAAAAATGTGGTTTATATGTCCATGAAATGGGTGATGCACTGGGTTTGAATCAGGGCTTTTGAGGGTATCCTAAGGCGCTTCAAAGGTCAAACAATGAAATTGTGCTGCCGAGTGGACACAAACTGCCCGTGAAAGGGGAATGAAGACGAGTACAACTGGACGAAAGAGTATTTGAAGTGGTTTACGCGGAGAGGAGGGGGAAAAAGCTCAAAGCCGAGAAAGAGGTCAGTCCTGAAATCGCGAGGTTTTGGCGGCGGTTGCCGCTGATTCGAACCAAGCCTGCATGAGCCTTGCATTGATGAAGGGCATGTGTCCGGCCATATAGCGCAGCATCGTCGTAATACATAGAGCACGTATGCATGTTCTACCTCGCGGCAGGTTGAGAAGCAGACAGTACAGCTCTACGAGCGCTGAGACCCTTTCCATCCGCTGCTAATAATCTCTCCGTGGCTAAAGCGTCTAAAGCTTGTAATAGGGTCGGCTTGGTGGCCATTTCTTCAGGTACAGACGTGTCATTTTCAGCCGCAGCGTCGCTCATCAGCCGGCGGAGAGACTGAGGCAATGTCAATTGAGGACCTAGGCTCGGTATTTGTCAGGGTATCGACTGACCAGCTTGACACCCCACCATGACCTCGTCCGGCAAGATTCTTCCTTTGCGCCTGGTGAGCTTGGATCGGTCTGCATCTCAGTCGCCCGGAGAAAGTACTTCAACGCGAGCTGGTAATCTCTGAGATACACGTCAGCACTACTTAGATCCCTTGATTGACAGTGTCATGTCCCACCCCATCGTATAAGCGGTCTCTCCTGCCCTGCACACGGCGGCACTGTCCCATGCTTGAATGACCAGCAAATGTCCAAGAGCAGTCAGTGATTGCGGGTACAATCCCAGATCCGCATAGAGTTCTGCAAGAAGAGACCATCCATTCGGATCAGAGTAGAAGATATCGAGGTACGATAAGAGGCTCGTGATGGCGGCAGAGGGGTTGTTCAGCTGGAGAGCGATGAGTCGTTGGTGAGCGGGCTGAAAAGTAGGCCTGATCAGTACGAGCCCGACAGGTGAGCAGAGAACTCAGGCCGGCGTACAATATTCGTCTCGCTGACTTTGAGGAGACCAGAGTATGCTTCTTTGGCCTTTTCAAACTCTCCTCTTGCTTCTAGTTGTAGTCCGACAAGGATGTCAACTCGAGGAGAAGCCTTGAACCGGATAGCCATCCGGGCGAATTGGCGCTACGAGCGAGCGTACGTGAGCATCTTGCACAAGTGATGTAGACTTCACCAAGCCAGACGACTCACCTGAGCAACATCACTTCTTCCAATGTCTAAAGCAGCTATGGCGAGTTGTTCCCGAATAGCCCATTCTGCGTGCTCCGTGAGCTTTCGAGTGGGATTTGGGCGCGACGCTGCAACTCACGATCCTCGCCGAGTCCACCTTTCTTCAATACCCTCATAGCGATATCCACTACCTCTTCTGAATGCCTCGCCCCTAATCTTCGCCATCTCGCTAACTGCTCCACGTCCGAGAGTGTCATGGTAAATGGTGCGATAGATCAAGACACAGGAATGCAGCCGATGTGGTTCACGTCCGAGCCGTTCGAATGAGGGGGACTTTTCTAATGTCAAAGGTTATCGATTAGAGGGAAACTCTAATGATTGAATCCATTCAAATTGATATCGGCTACCTACCGGGCAGACGAACGACGAGGCCCAAGAAGCCAAGGGTCAGTCAGGTCGACCTTCGTTCTGGAGACGTGTTGTGTCGTTGATCATCAGCGCCAACAATCTCATCATGGCAGCACCACTCTACGTGACTCAATCTGGAAGGCTATGGCACGCAGGTCTCATTCTCATCTGTACCGTCGGTCTGCCAGGTAAGTGAGCTAGATCCTCGGCTCTCTTTCACCATATCCTTGTGGTATTTTAGTGAACTGACGAAAGCACGTCTCCAGCCCGAGGCAAGACGCATCTATCTCGAGCACTGGAACGATACCTTAGATGGCTCGGAGTCAAGACTCGCGTGTATTCCTTGGGCGACTACAGGCGAAAAGTGCTCGGGGGAGCGGATTCCTTGCCCTCCGATTATTTCGTAACGAATGGTGAGTACGCAGAGCGGAGCGTTGCATTGCATCGGATGGTATCCTGTGCAAGTCTCTCTGAGACCCTTGGACACTGAGGACTGATGCCTTCCTTTTGCTATCTCAGCGCCGCGATCAGGCTCAACCGACGCATTACGCCAAAGTATAAAAAACCAGCTGGAAGATCAGATCTGGGACTTCTTCACCGTCCAGGGCGGCCAGGTGGTCATCTACGATGCGAACAATGGAGACAAGATTTCCCGTAAACAATGTTTCGACAAATTCGAGCCGAGAGGTGTTCATGTTATCTTCATGGGTGTGTCACAGAGTGACAAGCCAGGCGACGCTCTGTCCGACTGACATCTCCGGCCCCAGAATCCATTTGTGACAAGGTTGATATCATCGAAGCGAACATTCGATCTGTCAAACTTTCATCACCAGACGTGAGGATATAGTCTGCTCCGATTGTCAACTTTCCTGACTGATGATGGGACCCAGTACGTCGGATGGGAGGCGGAAGCTGCGGTCGCGGATTACTGGTCACGTATTCGAGACCAAGAAGCAGTATACGAATCAGTGACCGTCGACGAAGGACCTTTCGTCAAGGTCATGAACGTCGGCGAGCGGATCGAAGTGAATCGAATTGAGGGTGAGTCCTGGATCCAAGCTTTCTAAACTCATGATCAACTCAAGGGTATCTTCAAACGCGGTGTTGTTTCTTCTTGATGAATATACATACGACACCCCGGACCATCTACTTTGCACGCGTGAGTCTTACTGCCCGATCGACTACCGAGCTAATGCTCTGAATCCCCAGTCTGGTCAATCACTCATCGAACACTCATACAAGGCCGATTCAGACCTCTCACCTGCAGGTTGGGAATACGCCGAAAGGCTCAAAGCTGCTGTTGCAGCGCGTCGAAAAGCCTTACGAGAGGAGAGAAGAGCGAACGGAGAGACATTAGGGACTGAGAACCCGTTACTCGTTTGGACGTCTGCTAGGCGAAGAGCGTACCATACGGCCTGGCCATTCGTTCATGCGGGGTACAAGGTGGAGCAGAAACCGATCATGAGTGAGATCAATCCGTGAGTAGCTATACAAACAGCGTATCCTAGGTGACTAGGCTCAACAAACTTTCTCTAGAGGCGTGTGGGATGGACTGTCGTCTCAAGAAGCGATGGAGCGGTATCCAGACGAATGGGAGAGATTCTTGGCTGATCCATATGCGCATCGTGCGCCGAGAGCAGAGTCTTATCACGATCTGAGTGGTGAGTACGGCTCATGTATCCAGGGATGTAGCTGAGTGTCTCTTTCTTCCTCAGTACGACTCGAGCCGTGCATTTTTGAGCTCGAGCGAGTGAGAGACGATCTACTCATTATTGGACATGCGTCCGTCATCCGGTGTCTGGTGAGTAGGGTCAGTATGACAAGGCGCTTCCCGCTCATCCTCAACGTCAAGCTCGCCTATCTCGTCGGTCTGCCACCAAATGAAGTCCCGGCGGTCGAGATCGCCCGAGGGGATCTGGTAGAAGTGACGCCAGCGTCATACGGAGTCATGACCCGAGCTTTCCATTTCTGGTAAGTTGTCCATCTGTTCCCCCCTCTCTACATACATATTTTCGCTCATTCTCCCTTTACAGGTCCGGTGAAGGTCGAGGTGATCAAAGTGGTCAGAACCTCTATGAGAACTTTGCCGAAGCGACCTCTGGGAAGGGGACTGTCCTTCCTGAGTCTGGAGTCAACTTTGCAGCCGACGTGGAGAATATGGAATCAGAAGCAGCGGAAGAAGAAGCGAAAGATAAAGAGATCAAAGCGGAATTGGTGAAGGATGCGTTGAGGAAGCGGTTGGGGAGTACAGATGGGACGAGGTCAGCTCCTTCTGAACCTCAGGGAATGGGTCCAGGCGAGGATGCAAGGTCTCACAAGGCTAGGCGAGCGAGTAGAAGTCGGAAAATGGAGGTATTCACCCCAGAGGATGATGAAGACGAGGATGAAAATGAGGAGGAGGATGAGGGGGAGGAGATCGCCGGTGGACCTGGAGGTTTTAAGACACCCGAAGGGACGCAAAGTATGATTTCCCCTCAGCGTCTTCAGAAGAGCGTCTAGGTCGGAAGTCGTACGCGGCGTCTCCATTACGCTCTCAACCTGTTAATCACTCGCATTGGCTTTCATCTCGCTTTCATATCTTGTACATTGTTTGATTACCGAGTTTTTAATCTGTTGTGTACTATCCTACATATTGCTCTTTGATGCATCTATCGGTATTCTACTTGGCCGTTGCTTGCGCCTTGGCTCTATGGCGAAATCCTTCACCCGGCATCGCCCTCTGATATCGGCTGATCCACATAGATCCAATTTGGCGATGTACTCGGTTTGACCCAGCTGAAATCGGCAACCTCGTGTACCCGGTTTGACAGTCTAATTCTGCCTCCCGCATCAGAGCCCGGATCAGGGCTCAGGTCTCGATCTGAGCAGTGCGTGTCCAAAGGTCTGAAAGTGAGGTGTGAACATGCCTCGATGATGGGTACTGAAGGGATGTAAAGAGATATATCACAGCGTGTGGAAGTATGAATTCGGAACTGATCCCAAGCGGGGTGTCAATGGCCTGACTTTCACTTCGCTCTGACCAGTCCCCCAACTCACCTGCTGTAATGAGGCAAAGATCTTGCAGTCCTTCAAATCATGTAGCATCGCACTCCCATTCATCTCTCCAATGATCAACGTACACCGGTCCAAGTTCCGAGCATGTAAGGAGCTCAGACCTGTACTTTGTGCCCCGTCGCCGGTATACATTGTACTCGTATTCGTACCTGTATTTGAGTCTGGTCTGAGGTCGATCGTGCAATCCTCCAAGTGCTCTAACGAGAGTGTCCAGCCGCCTTTGAGCCCGTTATCGCTGTCTATAGAGGAATCAGGTAATTCAAGAGCTGATAGATCTATCCGAGCGTTTTGTCTATGCGTAATCGTTCGGTGGATGGAGGACGGACCAGCAGTCGGCAGCGGAATCGATTCACCAAGCGCGGGCAAAGAGGAAGGCGAAATATCTCGTGAAATGTCTTGTTGCGGTTGTGTAGCCGTCGACTGGTCGGTCAGATCTTTTGGAACCGTTGTTCCTGATGAAGCGATCGTACCAGCTTGATTCGAGCTCAGTATTCCCTTGTTCGCGAATGAAAACTTGGTCTTTGGTCTTGATTTCGCTCGAAGGGTTGAGATCCTATTCTCGAGCTCTCGGAGTTGCTTCAAATGTCAGGCGACTATTAGCACGGTTTCCTCCACCTTGGCTGATGAGGCCCGCGAAGCAGACTACATCCTTGCTGACTTCCGCCCCCCCGCGAAAGCAAGGGACATGGCGGCTCGCTCTCCATAATACCAACTCACCAGCTCATAGTTCCTCTGGTCGTACGGTGGTAGACTTGACCTGACTTCCGCCAGCTGGCTCTTGAGTTCGGTCATCATCTGGGTAACTTCGGAGAATTGTGGACCAGGAGCATCTAAAAGCGATACGATACCTATAGTGGAATAGGATGTCAGCTCATTTGTCGTTGGAATCCATGAAGACGACCCTCGACTCACCTGATTTGCCAGCTTGAAAGGTCTGATGGAACTCAGCAGAGGTGCTGATGGAAGCCATGTCCGCTCAGAAAACGCTCCTGTCCCACCGCACCTCAAGATGAGGCGAAGAGTCCACCAGTGAGCCGACCCGGTGGAATTTCACTTTAATCTCCGATGAAACGCGATTCGGCCGGCGTTTCGGATTACAGGCAAGAGAGAGACCTGTAAACATCTTACGGACAGGACCGAGCCATACATACTCGACACCTGTTTTGTACCGATACACGTTGCATTGTTGATTAATGTCTGGACAAGTCTGAAGAAGACGAAAAAGCTATAGAGACAGGGAAACAAAAAAGAGAAAGGACGAAAAGCTACCAATGTTCTCATGCAGACACACAATCACGGTACCACTAAACGGCCGGGGATCCTTGGGGCCAGATTTTTCTCTCTTTACATCTTACATCAACAACCAGGCACCTCCGACGACGGCTCCGATGGCTCCGAGAAGGATGCTTCCCATTCCACCCTGGGAGACGAGTTGAGCGCGAGTGAATGCAGCTCCTGAAGTGCTAGATCCACTGCCACTGGTCTGAGCGGCGGAAGTCGCGGCCGTCATGGCACCAGTGGCTTCAGTCATGGTCATTTGGTTGTTGATCCCAGAGCTGTAAGCTGATGCAGCGGCACTAGGGTCGGACATGGTGTTGAGGAGGAGGCCGTCGATGATCTATCGGAGAGGGAAAGGGGGAGGTCAGTGTGCGTGCATTTGGAACAAATTTCCTCCCTTTTCGAGACGACTCACGTGCATGACACCGTTGTTGAGAATGATATCGCTCTGAACGATCATGGCGGTAGAGTTTGCGCTCATGACATAAGTTCCCGACGAGTTGGTCATGAATTTGAATGGTTCACCAGCGGCCGAGGTGTAGTTTCCGGAAGAGAGATCAGGGGAGTAGACGATGGAACCGTTGATGACGTGGTTGGCGAGGACGGTTTGGATCATGGACGAGTTGAGTTGACCGACTTGACTCATGACGGCAGAGATGGCAGCGTCGTTGGGTGCAAAGACGGTGATTGCCTCTGCCATTTCCAGAGGTTCAAGGAGACCAGCTTTCTCAACGACTCCAGCGAGGGAGGGGACGAATTCCATGGCGGCTCCAGAGACGTTGAGAGGGAGCATGAGGACTTCGTCAATGATGTAAATCTTTAGGTTGGCTGCGGTGGTTCCGTTACCCATGGCAGTGACGTTCATCATTGGCTCGACGATCATAAAGTCGGAAGCGTTGGAAGACATCTTCGACAGGACCAAAGGAGCACTCTTGTTTCCAGGCAGAGCGTACATGCCCATGTTGAGGAGGGTTCGAGCGATGGTGTGGTTCGGAGACGTAGCAACGGCTGCTCCAGACCAAGTGTTGTTGAGGATGTGGTAGGCCAAGATCTCCGTGACGAGCGTGGCGTTGTTCAAGTCGACGCTGCTAGAGACGTTGGAGAAGGCAGAGTTGGTAGGGGCAAAGACGGTCTAGCGATGTGAGTCAGGTGAGATTCCTTCGGCGGACCGTTTTCATTGCTCACCTTGTTGCCATTTCCTAGCGACGAGAGCAACATCATTCCGTCCGTGCTGTTGGCGATTTTTTCAGCCGCAGATGCCAACATGGTCAAGTTGGCGGATCTGGAAAGAATGATCGTTAGAAGGCAACCACCAATCACCAACACTCCCGAGACCAAGAACTTACTGCAAGGCTCCAAGGACAGCCTGAATGTATCCCGATGAGGAGGACGATGCGCTGCCACTGCTAGCGGCTCCTGAGGCAGAAGCCGAACTAGATTGGGCATATCCGAAAGGCGCGGTGAGAGCCAAAGCGGCCAAAGTGGAGAGTTTGACGTGCATTGTGAGCTGAAGAGTGGAGAAGAGTGATTGATCTGGTGTTGGGAAAGAAGAGGAGAGAGACGTGAGACGGGTTCATCCTCCGTGGCTGATATATATATGACTCTATGGACTTCCGCCTCGCCTCCCTTTCGATCTTCATCCGATTGGATCTCTCGACTGCGCACCGATTTTCACATTTTGTGTCTCTTTCCCTTGCTCCGGAACACGGGTTGGGTTACAATCATCTTTTTCTTTTCTTGGCGATCGCCAGACCCTCCCAGGGCCAAGAGGGGGGGGGGGGGGGGGGGGGGGGCGGGGCGGGGGATGATTGAAGATCGCGGGGTAAAAGGCGGGGAAGAGAGAGAGGCACGAACACGAGAGGATGACATACTACGCCACGCCTTTACCCAATTTCATTTGCCAATTTCCCTACCTTGGATGCGAGGGGCAAAGATAACATAGCATGGGGACCATGTAGTACGGCTCTGAGGCCACCTGTCCCCCCTTGAGCAAATGCGGAAGGGTTATCCGATGATAGTCAAGTGCCCAGGGATGTTCTAAGATTGGAACAAGACACAGAGAGGCAGAAAGACATGGCGAGACAGGGCTTTGATCCGCATTTTCTATTTTACGTCAGTGGAGTTTAGCCTTTCTAAGCTTACTGTCTGCGTGTGGGGTTAGGGAAGGGGCGGGGGAGAGAGAGAGGCACACGTGGTGGATGCTCCTTGACTGCGCATTTTCAGGGATCATAGGCTGTATGTCGGCGAATGGGGATGAAAGAACAATTCTCCGCCGCCCAAGCCACCACCATCTAGCTGCACGCGTCGGTTTGTGGGGAGAGAGTGAGAGGCGCATCTCTAGATCCATCCTTGGATCCGCCCTTCGATGTCAACGCGTCTCTGAAACCCCCACTCTGGTTCATCCGGCGGAACAATGATCGAAAGGGGTAAAAAGGAACATTAGTTTCTCAAGGAACATGTGTGTGGATTTGACAGATCGGCACCATCACGGCGAATCGGAGTATGCCGTAGTAGGGTCCAGACCATGGATCTTTGTCGTCTCACCACTAGAGCCCCCTACTGAGATCGATCCTGAGGAGATTGCGACCAGGGAACCCCCACTCCCACCCCCTCTTCCTTTCAATGAGCTCCTCGGGACAGTCAAGGCCAGAGCGCACTCATCGACTAGGCTCAAACCCAATTCAGATCCGGCCCGGTGAGCCTACTTTCCAATTAGAGTACCTTCTCGCAGGGATTGGTATCGGGTATGACCGAAAAACAAAGGGAAATCGGCGTGTCGTGTCGTGGTGGCGTGTGTCTCCGCGCGTTCTTTCCGCTCCAATCGGAGTATCCCATTGACCCAATCGGACCAGACAGGACTCAAGCAGCCGCTTAACCGGGATCCTTTCAACGAGGGTGCGGCACGCGACGGTCCTCTCTACGCGGTTCAGTGAGAGCTCACTGCTTGTTGGTTCAAAGCTTCACGAGGTAGATGATCATTCATCCTAACATCACCATTCAGATGACCCAGATGTGGGATTGTAGACATTCATCAAAAAGAGAGTGTCCCTGATGCAGACCCCAAAGATTGCCTTATCTCACTACCGTACGGTACTCACTGCTCCCAAATTTCCTTTCTGTATCTAGTTGAAGTCCAACAAAGCCGCCCCGCTGAAGCATAATATCCCCAGTCACTCCTTCTAATATGTCCCATCCCTACCTAGCCCTGTGAAGTCCTGGAAAGCTCCTCACACGATTCACCCCAATGATCCGGCTGGAACGCGCTGTCGCGCTGTCGCTCTGCCTCCGGTCCCCGCATGTCACCCTCACAACCTCCCTGCTAGCCTCGCTTCAATCACATCTGCCACCTTTTCCCCGTCCACTGTGATTTGTTCTCCTTGGAAACCTTCTGGATAGTCCACGTTAGGTAGATTCGGCGCAGTGAAGAACTGATCATGCTGGAACGCGAAGTGCCTGATACCGAGCGCATGGGCTGTCCATTGGTCTGAAACAGCGAACAAGCAAGCCAGGGTCAGCGAACAAATCAATGTCTTCTTCAATCTGCGCCGACTCACAATCCCTTGCGAATCCACCTTTGAAAAACATTTCTATTACTGCACTTCGAGGCGTCGCCGGCATCCAGACGAGATGAGTTAACCCGTTCCCATGGACGCCGAGCATGATCTGTATGAGGACGTATTAGCAATGTGATCACTTCGCTACCCTGTGCTCGCTCACCGTGGTCCTGGCGGCCAATGCTACTTGTTCCTCCTTTGTCATGTGTTCCGCTTCCACAATGATCAATTCAAAGTTTGCCTTTTGCGCTCGTCTCTGTAATGCGCTGACGAGATTATCATGAGATTCAGGTGTCAAGTGTCGTCTGGACTTCTGTCGAGAAATGTACGTCACGATTGGCGTGTACGTTCCAGGCGGAGCCAGTGGCTCGACCGTGTCCAACCCCGCGCCGATACTCAAACCCGCTTTGATACCGCTATCACCTACAGCCACCCCATGTGTATTGACGGCACCGAGCATGGCCGGATCGATGGATCCGTACCCTTCCAAGTTTCGCGCAATGACATCTTCAGAGACCCCAGAGTACCTCAATATCTGTCGACGAATAGGTTCCCACCACCAACGAGAGGTTTTGCCCACTTGAAGTGCCGATGCCACGGTTCTAGATGTAGGCGCTGTCCATTGACCTCGGAATGCGGCGGATCTGTCGGCCAACAGAGCGCGTTCGAAGACGAAAGCCTTGGGTCGAGTTGAAGCCGTCATGACGGCCATGTCTGCAAAGTCTTCAGGGTAGAGTATCGAGACCGAAGGAAAGAGGGCGAACAAGACGAGAGAATTGAATCGAGGACGATCTCGCCTGTAGCATTATCAGTGTCATCATTCGAGCAATGCAGCGATACGGTTGACGACGCACCACTCATTCACGGCTTGGTGCAGGAACCAGATACGTTTCGGTGGAGGTAGAGACGTTTCTCCCGCCGCGGTGATATCTGGGTCTAGACTGCAATACGTTCGCCAAGTGCCCATGAGTAATTCAGCCACGAAGTGATAGTAGTGGTCGATGACTGGACAAATTGAGTGAGTATCGCACCAGCCGCCATGGGTCGAGTGAACAGACCAGACCACACTCACATTGCCCATCGTTGAAGAGCCATGTCGTACCGTCCATTTGGTACACTCTATGTCCCCACAGCTTGGCAGCATGAGCAGGAGTGATGAAGAGGATCTTTTAGAAGAGTGTGTGGAGTGAATACGGCGGCTCGTTTATCCACCACGTCAACCCACCTCGTTCCCTTTCGGTTCTCTAGCTTCCTCATTCCCGGGGTCTCCATTGGCAGGTAGACCTGTCGACGTCATAAGGCGCAGTTCGGGCCATTGTTCACGATCGTCACTATGGCAGAGCCTGTGTTGAGCATCTACTGATGGTTTGTGTTCTGCCGTCAAACTCACGTTACGACGTAAAAGCTTCCATTATACAGATACAGCTTGTCCACCAATGTCCAGCCGGGTTGGAATCCTTTCAATACAGTCGCACTCCCATCTAATGTATCATTCTCATCATCTTCACCATCTCCATCCGCAACGACGGCATCTGAGGAGTCTTCTCCCTCATCCTCTGCATCACCGTCACCTGATTTCACAATTCCACCAGCAGCAGCAACGACACCTAATGCAGGGGCCTTGATGAATCCATGAGTTTGAACGCTCTCTCCAAAAGTCTTTTCGTGCGCGAGAGATCCAACAGCGCAGCTAAGACTCGACTCATCATCATGATCATAAGCTTCTCCAGATCCAGATCCTCCACCACCAGAGAATAACGATCCCCATTTCGTGACGCCGGATAATCGATCCGCGAAGCCTATCCTGCCATCTTCACCAGTTTTCAAGGATCCAGACGTTGAGATATCACTGGCGCTGGGTTTCGGTCGGGAGTTTCGTCGAGGGGGAAGGGAGTGATCAGAAGGATGAAACAACAAGTAGGATAAGAAAAGCGTCAATAGACACAAGAGGATATCTCTCCTCGTTGGCCTAAACACTCGGTGCCTTGATGGTCCCGAGGTATGCGAAGGATTCGGAGCGAAGAATGAAGAGAATCCACTTGGAGGAGCAGGATGCGGAGATCGTGGAGGTGAAGAAGATGAGCCAGAGAGGTATGCAGGAAGAGAAACGCCTCCAGGCATATTGAGCACAGGCATAGTGGATTTGGTAAAAGCCAAGAGACGAGGCAGAGGGTTAACAGTCGGAGCCACGGTCGGTTCAAGATACTCTCTAGAAGGTACTATCCGCTGGAATGTTTGTGTTCTAGGGCCGCAACGTCGGATCGATCGTATGCTCGGAGTGGGATCAGATCTTTTTGCGCGAGGGGAGGGGAAAACGCGTTTTCGTGTGCCGTGCGGTGGTGCCTGGATGTGAGGTTTGTAAATACACCCTTTAGCTTGTCCAACAGCTGGCGATTTTTGACAAGTGCGTCCTTCGAGATCTGCAAGGTCAGTCCAAACTGGCCCCAAAGTGCGACTACAGCCTTCGAGGGTCAACAGTGAAACAACATGCACTTCAGACTGTCAGGACGATGAGGAGGAAAAACGTTTGCGGGACCAAATTCCAGACTTTTGGGTGTTCAAAAATTCCGCCCCACGCCATCATAGCCGCCCTCAGTCATTGAACATGTTTGCATTGAATACATTTGTCATGGGATCGAAGACGAGAAAACAGAGCGAGGATTGACAGAGAAAAAAGACTGGGGAGAGCAAAGAACGAGTCGAAAAAGAAGACGGGGGGGAATAAGTAAAAACGTTCGTAGTAGTAGGGTATGGAAAACTATCCCTCGTGCCACCGTGTTCCCATTCAGTCCTCGCTAGTCATCGAGTCAATCTACTGTCGCTTGGGGAGCTCGTGGTCGGCGTACTCCTTTCCGGCCCATCTGAGAAAAGTGTTAGAAACGTGGTGATCCGGGTGGTGCAGCCTACTCACCCTTCCAACCCACTGAGGGTCAAGAGTCCGACGGCAATGTAAGACAGCGTTCGTCGATCCCAGTGTCTGTGCCAGTTCTCATAGGCGTAGTATCCGAGAGTTCCGAGGACACCGAGGTTCACTGAATAAAATGTCAGGACAGATCACACGACAAGCCAGTTCGTGACTCACAGATTCCAGCAAGACCACCAAAGACACCAGGTCGGAGAATGACTTCCTTGGCCCGGAGGTAGGCTCGAGATCCTTCTCTCTTGGCTCGCTCAGCCTCAGCTCGGCCCTCGGCAGTGTCGAGGTAAGAATCGGCAACGTATCTGGCGGGAAATGAGATGCTGTTCAGTGAATACTGAAGACTCACCCCTCAGCTCCGAAGAGGGCCAAAGTTCCAGCGACGGCTCCTCCGACAATCCGTCTGTCCCAAGGCTGGTCTCTGCGGGTATAGGCGTAGTATCCGAGGGTTCCGAGAATACCGACGTTGACTGGAGGATGTCTGGTGTCAGTCCAAAAAGAAAATAAAAAGGGGCTTGCTGGACAGTGCTCATTTGCCACTCACCGACTCCCATCAATCCTCCAAGGGTTCCAGGTCGGAGAACGACGTCCTTGGTCTTCTCCCAGTATTGAGCGGCGGCACCTTCGGCGTGGTCGAGTTCGTCCTGAGAAAATGGGTCAGGGGGAATGGTCTCGCGAGAGCGTGTGTGATTTCACACCACTCACTCCGGCCTTTCGTCCCATCTTCTTTCCCTTGTTTTGCCAGCTTTCACCTGATTCGGGCATGTTGATATCTTTCTTGTGAGGTGCAGGTAGAGGAGTAGGAGCCGAGTCGGAAGTGTGAGGTTGATACGAGTCTGCCGGATGGAGAGTCACTGGTTCAGGGGGAGCTTGACCAGTAGGGTGGTAGTCTGGGTGATTTGGATCTGATCCCGGTGGAAGGACGTTGATCTGGAGGTTGATATACGTATGAGTTGATGAGAACGATGAAGAAGAAAGATGGAGGTAGGAAAGAGAGATGAGGATATATAGGAGGGGAAAAATGGAAAGGAAAGAGGGAAAGAGAGAGAGAGACAGCGATCCTATGGCATCATAGGCTGGATGAGGTCGTGGGACGGAATCAAAAAAAGGGGGAAGATATCGGACAAGAGGAAAAAGTGACGTCACGTGTGAGGAACACTAATCCCCATTAGGAATGAACAGGTAATAATGGATCGATGGGATGATCGAATGATAATGGGCCAACCGAGAAAACTTTCTCACGCTCGTCTCTCGTCTCCTCCCAGTCACTCACTCACTCACCTTGGAATCAAACGTTGGATGACTATTGCTGTCACTGCTGCTGGAAGTAGCACCGTCTGCGAGATGTGGATCGGGCTTGGGCATCTCCCCAAAGGGAACTATTAAGGGTGGGTGGGTCAGTGAGAAGAAGATCAGAGAGAGAGTACACAAGCAGTGCCGACTCACTGTTATGCGAAGCGACAGATGCGTAGGACATGATGTGCGGTGTTATGGAATGTTGTCAATGACAAGGAAGGTCGGTAATAGGTTGAATTGAGAGTGTGTGTGTGTGAGCAAGTGAGGGACACCGACCGATTGTCGCATGAATGACGTAGTTGTCCAACCCCTCCTCGGTCGTGACAATAGGACTGAGATATGCTAATGCTGAGGGTTAATCATTAGAAACATTAGAAACTCGACGTGGTTTGATCTCCAGCCCGCGGTCCTATTGCCGCCCAAAAAAGGGACGCGCGCCGGGTCTCCCATTATTATTACTTTCGGTTGATTCAAAATGACAAAGTCCAGTCAACCGACCCTGTTTCACCCTACAAGGAGCAGTGGCTCTCTCTGGGAAGCTCTGGGTGAAGATGCAAGTTGACCCGTCGTCATCTCAGCAGCGACCTGCTTCTCAGCCAAAGCTGATCTCACGACCCTTTGTCGCTGGCGCTGAGGTTGGTCCGGGTCCTGCTCTTCCGAGCACGAGTCGGTTCTTCAATGGATCAGGCTCGAGCTCGGACTCACACGATCGAGTCAAGGCGTCCAGCTCGAAGGGTCTTGTCAGACCATCTGGACCGTTACCTCCACCAGGCAGCGGCAGGTACCACGGCTCAACAACATCATCCAATTTCGCTTCCTCCTCCACGACACGTCCGCTCAAGCATGATGATCACCCAGTGAAGCCTCAGCCCAATCGATCCAAATCAATCTACCTCCATTCCTCTTCCTCCTCTTCCTCTCGTTCACTCTCATCGCGTCCATTACCACCACCTCAGCAACGTTTGTCTGCCACACAGGATGCATCTCGATCCAAACTGTTTCGCATCTCTCCAGGGCCTCGCGTAATCCCATCCTCACAAAGGCAGATCATCGTCGTTCCGGATTCAGATGATGAGATTCAAGAACCAGTGGAACGAGAAGGATCAGACGAGTCCATACCGAGTCTAGCGAGAGCTCTAGGGCTCGGAGACACATCTTCCTCCTCCTCCTCCTCCTCGTCCAAGCTCAACACCATCAAGTACACCAATAATCCTTCCAAATCCTCCCCTTTACATTCCGATCATCCCGACAAATATCCAACATCTCCCAAAAAGCGAGTCAAAGACGTCTATCGATCTCTAGGTGAAGGGCTCAAGCGGACCATGTCCACTACGAAGATTCAACACCCAGATTTCCAATTAGGGCTCGGGACATCCGCCAGACCTATCGAAGTCCTCTCTCAATCATCTGGATCTTCCCTTGATTCTCTGGTCCTAGTCCAATCCCCTCCTAACACTGAGCGGCCCTCACAACTCCCACGGAACATACCGCGACCACCGACCACGCAGATTGAACCACAGAATTCGGGTCCTCGCGCAGTGAACTTTTCCAACATGTCAAAATTGGCTCGGAGGATACCCAAACCGCCGAGACCCTCTGATGGCGTTTTCGCTATGCCTCAATCCACCTCTAGACCTGCGCAACAGCAACCAGACAGAATCTCATTTCCCAGTGGCTCTCACAAGTCCGCTGACCTGGAGAAAGTCAGGGTTGTCAAAGGCGACGACATGCTCTTAAAGTCATCGGCGTCGTCTTTCTCCTCCTCCTCCCGTCCTTCAACTTCGCATCAGCATGTTCCTCCCGCATCAGCAACCAACTACAAATCTCCCGTCAAAGCCATGAAGAGGTCGTCAACCACTTCGACCAGTTTTCCCTCCAGCTCTTGCACCACCCCAATGAACGCTGAGGCAACGTCCACACACTCCCTGCGCCGTCCAACGTCGTTCTATGCACACGCCCCTCAGTCCACAAACCCCAACCCTTCACCCTCCCAACGAACCAAAATTGACCCGTCTCATCCTGCGCGAACATCGCCCTCGGCGGGTAGTCGACTCATTCTGCCGTCAAGCTCGTCTCGTCAAGGCCCTCGTCGATCAGCGGCGGCGACGATCCCATCCCGTCGAATAGAAAGACCAAAACTGATAGAAGATGAAGAATCGTATCGACCGGCTGCCAAGAGAGCCGTCCCAGCATCCCCGGAATTGTCTGCGGAGCACTCACGACCGAAACGTGCGCGACCTGAAGAAGGACGATACGTCATTCCTACGATGGACGCTGAGAAATGGCCAACCTCGAGCGGAACGTTCGGTTCAGGGTCCAGGTCTCGACTCGCTCAACCTCGTCCGGCGAGATCATCCACTCTGGCATCGACCAGCGTCAGGGCAAAGTCGCCACAGAAGCGGCTTCGAAACAGTTCTAGTTCCCTGTCGCCCGCCCCGCCGACTCAGCCGGCTCGTATGGGCAATCGCGCATCGATCTCGAAGTATGGCACCTCGAGCGGCTCGCGCATGGTCATTGGAACATCTCAGAATCCTGCAGAGGCCCGGAGATATGTACCTTCTCCCTCAGTACTGGTATCGATCACCAAGATGAAGGTAGACAGATCAGACGGTCCTGATGAGGAAGCGCAGGAAGAAGTAGAGGAATCGCTCGAGATGCGTGCCATCACTCCGGCAAGGGCTGTCACTCCTGCCCTCGATTTGGTGAGAGTCCCTGTCTATTCGTCCTACTGATGATACCCAGCTCGCCGACTTTGAAGACTTTGTTTTTGAGCCCGAATCTCCCACGACGGTGCGATCCCTTCCCGGCAGCCAGAGAGCCATTCCTCAGACGCCGAACAGCCATAAAGCGGCAGACAAGAAGTCACACACATCTGACACCGCTGCTTTGCCCGGTACACCTTCACGCGTAACAGCCTCCGGTCAACCATCACTCGTCACTCCGAAAAAGTGCTTGACGCCTCAGAGGCCAAAGTCTGTAAAGATCTCGCCCCGATATGTCAAGACTGGCGCCATTGGTTCGCCGCTTGGGGCGAAGGACAAAAAATCGTTCAACGACATCCTGGCAGCGGCGGAGCTGCAACGAGCTGCGGAGCGAGCAGCTATGCTCCTAAAACAGGAAGAACGTCGTCGTCAAATGGCCGAATTGAGCGCCAAAGTCGAGCGCGAGGCAACTGAGGAAGCTGAGGATGAAGATAAAATTGAGGGTCTTGGGTGTGCGCTTCTACCGGTCGAGCCGGAGCCGTCGCGAATCTCTTCGAGACTCAGATCGGCCTCTCTCGATACGGATGTCAAACCATCTTTGAGGCCCACGCCGAGTTTGCATCTCAAGCGAAAAGTCCCCATGGAGTTCGATCGATTGATGCGTGAGAATAAGCGGAATGAGAAGAGGGGTGTATCGGGTGCTCAGACTGAAGCCATCCTCGCTGCCATCAACGAAAACGAAGACGAAGAACAGGTGCCGTACCCTACACCTCCTGTCTCCGGCCAAGGAGAGGAGGAATACGACGGAGAAGAGGAAACGGACTGTGAACCAACCAAAAGAGCACGTCAGATCTCCGGATCTTCTTTGACCGCGGCGTTGGCGGATGTCCCACAAGGCCTGATAGATGCCGATATGGTCAAGGATATTGAGGCCGACGACCAGACAGAGCTCAACAGGGACCATGTACAATCTCAGATACCTTTCTGGGCAGGACCGCAGGAGATTGACCTGAACCGAACTTTGGAGCCTCCTGTCCTTGATCTTGGACCCAAGGTCGATTGGCGTGGGGAGGCGTTGATTGGCCTGAGCCAGAAACAAGGTGAGAAACCCGCAGTGGTACGTTTGACAGTCCCCGCTGACTCATTGCAGATGTTGCCACGATCACTGTGTTATTATCTGCAGGTCTCTTTGACAGGGTGCTTACAGCATCTGATGGTGCCGATCAACTTTATTCGTGGCTGATCAGATGTGGTGAGCCACACTCTTCCTACGGAAAGATCACATCCTGATTCCCTCTTAAAGCTCTCGGATATCCTTCTGGCCCTAAGCTTCTCGCGATCCGCTCTGCGCTCTGCTACGTGTCGCGGCATCTACCACATGCTTCACGAATCGAGCTGCCTAAAATCTGCCTGTCACTCTTAGAGGCTCTCGGCGCGAATCCCGTCTTGCTGCCACTGGCAAACGACATTCCAGAATGGGACGATCCAATCAGCCTAGATCGCGACATGGCAGCGGAGTTGATTTGTGAATTGCTTGGTATAACCACCTGGGACCAGATCCCGGAATCACATCTACGGTCCATCATCGACTGTGTCTTGGTGTTGCATCATCTGGCGGCTGACAAGTCGACAAGTGGGACTCTCCAAAGCTCGGCACGGAAAGCTGCGCAGATTCTGGTGTCGGCCGTACCGCAGGAGGTCAGTATGGACAAGGCGACTAGGGATCGGTCCAATGCTGATGAGCGGCTCAGAAACTCACTGCCCATGCGGAGTACCTTGTGGCTTCGTCCGAGGACTCTATGGCTATGGAGCCATCGAAAAGAAAGCTCAATGTGTACAACGTCAGTATGGAATGCTTCGCGGGTCCATCCTCGGCTTCTCAGGAATCAATGGCTTGGCTAGCTTGCTGCCTCCTCAAATCGCCTAACAAAGATATGGTAAGTTAGCAGTCCGTAAAAGTAACCGGCGACCGCTCACAGAATCGTGCTGTTACAGAGCACATGCGTTCCTCAGCTCGCCGACTTGCGACACGCAGCCGAGACCATCTATACCCAGCTCTGCGTCAAACGTCCAGATCATGACCTCGTGTCACGGATGATTGATCTCTTCACTTGGACCCTCGGTGGAATGTACGACTTTGTCGAGCGGACAGGTAAAAGCTCGATATCTGAAGACGACGCAAAGGATGCTATACAAAACCTTGGGCAGATCATTTCTGCGTCCATGCGCAAAATACGTATGTCGAGCCAACTTATGATACAAGCAGTGCACTGACGCGAGTCCCCAGGCACGAGACTGTCTGGATCCAGTGCCAGATGGAATCAATCTCGCCTGAGTCAGATTCATGCAAATCTAGGTGTGCACTTGACTTTGGCGAGGAAACGATGGAAGAGGGAACAAGTGGACAAGATGCAAGGGTTGAGAATGGGTGAGGGCGGAGCAGGCGGTCAGTTGCAGTTGGCATTTGGGGCGATGTGAAGGCGCTGGTTCGGAGTGAGGGGAGAAACGACAATGATACGAGCTGGACGACGCTTCAATAAACTTTTAACGTAGAGTTGTACATTGCATGGATCTCTGCATTGCATAAGAGCATGACGGGGTACGAGCATAAGAGAATTCGTGAAGACTGCAAACATTGACCGTATTCGCACTACCTATCATGGTATACGATACGGTCTCCGTTACAACCATTGGCCAGCCTCAAGGCTGTGAGTAAATGTTGAGTGGTGGGGTGCGATCGAGTCCAACTCCAGAAAGATCACGGTCGGAGCGAGCCAAGTCCCTTGATCACAGCTTTGCGCTTCTGACTGGCTCTTCTCGCTCCCCATCCGACGAGAATTTGACCACAGCTGTGGCCGCACCCAAATGTTTTGTATGCGATCCAAAGGCAACCACCCGACCTTGCGGATCGTAAAATGTGATTCTTGTGTAGGCGAGGCTCTTGCCTTTTAAAGAAGGTGGCATTCAGCGAGAGAGGTTGGTTGTTCGAGGAGGGGTTCAACAACTCACCCAGCTTGACAACCTCTCCTACGCCGATGAGTTCATCACCTGATCTTCCGCCTGGACGGACAAATTCGGTAGAGGCATTGACGGATACGCCTGTAGGATGATACCCCATCGTACTTATCGCGAGGGACGTCAGTGTATCCGTGAGCTAGAAATGTCCCAAAGGGGCGGGGGGTCAGATCGGCCACAGGACATGATGGGCTTCTCGATACTTTACTGACCGCAAGTATGACGCCTCCATGTATGGTCTGCGGCGTCGGTCCGTCAGCCAAAGAGGTACACTGGCACACACACATTATGATTGTTCACATGAATTTGATCAATCTTCAAGGATGCTCTCAAATGTCCCGGCCTGGCATGGATGAATGTCAACTGATGATCGTATCAGCTCAGGATCAAAACCACGTAGAAGAGTCCAGTGGCGCGCCTCACGGAAGACAGTACGTTGCAATCATGTCCTGAGCAGAGGCACATCCAAAATGAGTCGACTGCGATCACACTTGAGCTCATGGTATCTCACCTCCCTTGGCAATGGTCGCCGCCCAGCTCTAAAGCCCCGCCGCGCCTCAGATGTCAATGGGTGAAGGACAGCACAGCATCAAAAGCCGATCGGCACACAGACCTTTTGCACAAATGCTAAACACGCAGCCATGGCCTGAACACGTCTTGAGAGGAGGAGACCCCCCAGAAGCCCGACTGTGATCCGAACAGCAAGTCGGGAGCAGCCCAGAGCTTCCCGTCTGTCTGTCTCTGGAACTGATCGGAGAACAATTGTCTTCAATCGATCTACACTTGAACTCGCCTCGTCCAGAACGGTCGTCGGTGTCCGATGAAGTAGCTCCCCTCAACCGCTGCTGCAGCTTCGCTGGTTTTTCCGCAGCGTGACGTAAAAATCATAATAAGCTGGAGTCCAGACCGGCTTATATATTATTATATTAAAACCGTGCGAAACCTCTTGGACCAAGTCAATCCTCATCTGGCAGCGAAGCTCTCTGACGTGGTCAGGCAACCGTCGCACTGTATGGCGGAGATCTAAACTCTTTTCGAATCCAAGCTATCCCGTTCACCTCTTGTCTAGAGTTGAGCTCCTTATTCCCCCCCCGCTTCGGGTATAGCCTGTAAACCGGCCTACATGGATATCATTTTGTGGCGAGTGGAATGATCAATCACGCGTGTCCAGCAGACCTAGAACGAACAGAGCCAGCCCGTGGAATGACATCCACATCATGGAAGATGCTGGAGCCGGCCCATCGTCACCTAGACGAAGAACAAGTCATGAACATGTCGACCGCGACCGTGATATAGTTCAGGTCCAGGCGTTGCCCGATACACCGGGCACTACTGGTGGTCGACGGAGATCATGGTTCCATTTTGGCGGTTCATCATCGAGATTGGTAGAGCCTTCAGTGGAAGCTCAACGGAGAAGATCGGCAGATCATGAAAGGGAGACTTTATCCTCGAGTCTACCTACGCGAGGCTCGTGGGAGGAGATCATGCCCGGTGCGCCTGCCGGGGGGAAAGAGTCCACGAATGGCGCCAGAAGAAGAGGAGGACGTGCTGGAGAAGAAAGCTCTGATGGAGGCACTTTGGGTTTCGCCGACATGTCTCTAGCGACGAGACGGAGAGAATCGCAGACTACCATTACGCACCCGGTCCGGGATTCAAGGGATTCGTCCCCTCCAGCCGTGAGTCGCATTATGTCCCCGAGCTTCACGAGAGCTAAATGTCTCCATCAGTCCCTCTCTACCACCCCCCAACTAGCCTCACTCGAGACTCTTGAATCCAACATTCATCATCCGTCCCGAGAATCCATCACGCCTCGCCCGATGATCCCGGCCCGAACCTCATCTTATGGGGACCGCGTACCCAACTTGCTCCAGTTGGACGAATCTCAACCTCTCACCCCCACCGAACGACCCCTTCCACCTATACCTCTGGCCCTCCTCCCCGTCGATAGTCCGACCTTACCCACAGACATCGTCATCACTCCTTCTAGTCCAACACATCACTCGGATCCTTCGGTCTTAGTAGCACCCGAAGGCATCTCTCAGACTCTGCTGCCGCAGTTTTCGTCACCCATGACACGTAATAGATCCCGAAGTGCTTCACCCAGACCTTCACCTCGCGAGATCCCGTCATCCGATATCAATCCTCCCATCATGGACTCTACTCTGCCTCAAAAGCTCACTCCAATCGGCTTAGGGAGACCTGGACAGGCCGCATCCCAGCTTAACAACGACATCCCTCCTCCAGTACCCGCCAAGCCTGTCTCCGTCTCGACGCCTGTACGACTCCGGGCAGCTAGCCCGGCTCAGCGCATCGTCTTCGCGCTACCAGGAGAAGGCACCCATCAGTCCGGCCGGAGTACACCAAACGCAGAGTCACAAACCCGAGTGCGACGTGCCCGGAGCTTGTCTGGGATCTGGAAAGAATCGTCCTCAGGAGCCGCTGCACCCATCGGTAGCCGACCAGCATCACCAGAACCTGTATACTCAGAGTCGCCCTTGACCGATGAAATGGTTGTGAAAGCTTCTGGCGTACTCGGCTGGCTGGGTATCAAAAAGACGGTCAAGCGTCGTCAATCGGAGGGCAAACTTCCTCGAATCAAGACTGATCCGGAAAAATTCTCCGACGAGCTTGCATCTGGAGCCAAGAGTCTATCCCGGACATCTTCAAGAAGACCTTCACAAGAGCCACTGAAAAGGCCATCCGTCGATGAGTACTCCGGATCTAGGCAGACGTCTGGCGCAACTACTGTCGTCCCTGGATCCCAAAGCCGAATTCAAAGCCTGTTCAATCGCCGTGCTTCAGCTCAGAACGAGGAGCGTGAATCGGAAGGAATACCGACGATCCCCAATTCGCCTATTGTCTTACCTGCGCAAGCTCGCCCGATTCCAGCTGCTCAAAGATGGATAAGGGGTCGGCCCACAACGGCAGAATCATCTCAATCGTCTCTGCAGCTCGAGGCAGACAGTTTTTCATCGAGTCAAATCGCGGAGCCAGAGACGTGGGTCTCCACGCCCGATGGCGAGGAGACACTGTTCGACCCTGAAGGGAGCTCACATTGGGGCCCAGGGATGAGACCATGGATGGACAGCTATGAGCAGTTCAGGCCCGGACCCTCCACTCCCCTGGACTCTCTGCCCGAGAAGGAGGTCCTTCCGACGCCCAGCGCAAATCTCATCCCTGGCTCATCTCTTGATCATGGAAGTCGCGCTAGAGCTTGGTCAGATGCTCCTAGGCCTCGTGGTTGCGACAATGACCGCAACTCGTCAGAAGTTCATCTACCCTCTCGGTCACTGCAACCTTCTCCCTTTGAAGGCTCACGCCCAAAGATGCCCGGTCGATCCAGCTCCGGTAACGCTGCCATCATTGGTCGGATGCGTTCTGCTTTTTTACGATCATCCTCTCGGGGTAAGCCTGGGGTCGAATCTGACAAGGAAGATCAGATACAATCAGACGAGCTGCCCGGACGAATCGACACGGCAGAATTCGGGGGACGGCCGAGCGGAGATGGCATCATCATGCAGCAGACCTTGTCCTCATCCTCAGATGTCGCATCATCTCGACCGCGATCCCGTCGAGGTATGTTCCAGAAGAATTCTGGCTCCAATACTCTGCTTGGACTTCTCGATGGAGATCGACAGATCCTGCTGAATGAGACACCGGAACGCTCCCCAAGAACCTCGATGACTGCTACATCCGCATCTTCTGTCGCTTCGGGCTCAAATCGTCCACCGGCGGCAGCATTGCTGACAGGTCGGTCCGGAAGGGTCAGAGCTTCAACATTGTCTGCCGCCCCTTCCTCTTCCACATTTGTATCGCCCGTCTCTCCTCAACTCTACCCAGCTGCTGCGACTCCGCCGCGTCGACGAGCGAGCGCGATATCTCGAATGACGCAAAATCTCCTAGGCACCTCTCCGCGCGGTCCGACACTCTTCCCTTTGCCCCCACGTTCAAGTGGATCCTTGTCCTCGGCTTATCAGAGCGGGCTCAGATCGCCAGATGAGCCTAGTTCTCTGGTAGCCAGTCCTCGACCGAGTGCTGGTTCCATCTCGGCATTTATGGGCAATGCGGCTTTGAAAGCTATCTCGGCGCGCCTGGATGACGAAACACCGGAGCAATTCTTGGAACGGATCACTCGGAGCGTTGGCGGTTCGGACATTGGCACGGTTCTAGCCTCAAGGTGAGTAAATGGTGGACTTTCGCCGTTGGAAACATACTGATTTCTGACTCAGTGCGGACGACTTCTATCGGGATGCCCTGCGTCTCTTCATGAGTCGCTTTGATTTCACCCACAATTCTCTAGACGTGGCCCTGCGAAAACTTCTGCTGGCCATGTCTCTGCCCAAGGAGACGCAGCAGATCGATCGAATTATCGAAGCTTTCTCAGCACGGTACGAGGAATGCGAGCCGGCCTTGTTCGGTACCAAAGGTGAGTCGAGGAGGCGGCAGTCTGTCATGCTGAAGTGCGTCATAGATAACACGTACATCTTGGCCTTCTCCATGATCATGCTCCATACGGACGCATTCAACAGACACAATAAGAATAAAATGACCAAACCGGATTATGTCAAGAACACTCGTTTGGACGGCGTTTCGTCTACTGTCTTGGAGGTGAGAGTACGCCTGAGGTTAGTCCTGATCGCTAGGCATTCTACGACAACATTACGTACACCCCATTCATTTTCGTTGACGACGATCCGACCTCTCGATCGGCCATCTCAAGCAATCTAGCATTGGATGCGTACACACCGAGCTCAGCTGGTCCCTCGACACCGTCTGGCTCCATGACACTCCAGACTCCCAGATCATCTGGGAAGCTCGACGTATATCAGCTCATCGGTACCGGAGCCATGGATTCCCTGCGAGTGGACGTCGAGCGCTTCGTGCCTGTCGACAGTCCATTCAACTGTCACGGAACTCGTCCATCGGATGCGGATTCCCTACACAACACTTTTTTAAAGGGAGCCTTGCTTCCAATTATCTCTACGAAAAGGAAGTCGTCCACGGCAAGCTTCATTGGAAATTCATCTGCCGGGTCCACAAAGCGAGAGCCTGACTTGGTTCTCCGAGTGACCAAGGCTGGCTTGTTGTCTCGGAAAGGTGGGTGCGGACGTAAGACGTCTGATCATGCTTTTTTCATGACTGATTTTCATTCCCACCCAGATGAAGGGCCCGAGACTGGCAAAAAGCTCTCTCGCAAATGGAAAGCCTGGAGCGTAGTCCTCACCGGGTCACAGCTCTTATTCTTCAGAGATCCCACTTGGGCGCTGTCCATTCTTGAACAGACTCAGCGGACATCGGGAACCGTCGACGAGCCCACAGTGCTGTCGACAGTGGTCAACTTCAAGCCTGATGAAGTGTTCCCGGTGTCTCAGTGCATCGCAACGTATGACGAGAGCCTGGACTCAGTGAGTTATCCTCTCTCACCTTAAGGCCTTCGCTTATGGATCCTCTCCTCAGTCCTCGAACACATTCCGGTACCTCATGCCGCCGGGACGCTCCTACATGCTTCAGGCTGCGGATGAAAATGAAATGAACGAATGGATCAATCTGATCAATTATGCCAGCGCGTTCAAGACGGCAGATATCAGGATGCGCAGTCCACCTGTCCAGAAGGAGGGAGCAGTCCAGATTGGTGCTGAAGCCGCAAAACAACATCAGGTGGAGCAGAGCAGCGCAGAACCAGAGTCTGCCGAAACGGGAGCAAGTCAAGGACCAGTGAAAAAAGTCTCCTTTGAAGGTCCTGCCCCGACCGCTTCGCCACAATTTATCCGCGCCTCGAGTCACACCGTTTCCAGTCCCGCGGCTCCTCGGCCAATAGCCATCAGGGCCAAGAGCGCCGACGCCAGGGCCATGCCGGCAGTCGATACGTCCAATGAAGTGATGGAAACATCAGGCGAAAAGCTGGAGAAAGTCTTGGATGTAGTCAAGGCTGACCTCGCCGCCGGTTCTGAACCTGGAGATTTCATAACATGGAAAGCGAACATGGGCAGCACGGACCGACGCATAGGCCATCGTTCCCGAAATGTCGCGGTCGAGGTGAGTTTCGGCCCGGCAAAGATCATGTACATGACAGTGTGCTCATCCCATCTCAGCGTCAGATACATCGCTTTGAAGCTCAACTGAAGCACGTGAAAGAGAACCTTGAGGTCAATCTTCGACTCGCACGGAATTTAGCCATCCTCACGCCGTTTCAGAAACTCACTCGTGACCGTATCCAAAGCGCTGTCACCATTTTGGCTCAAAAAGTGCGCCAAGATCGCGTTCATGTCGCAAAGGTCCAATGCTGGATCGACGTTCTGCGCGAGGATCTCGAGCAAGACGAGCGAGATTGGGCGAGAATACACCAAGTTGCTCTGCAGGCAGCCACGCGAGCGCTTCGCGAGCCCGAACTTTCAGGTCAGAGGCGTGCTTCGAGCTCAAAATCAAAATCGCCGGAAGTGCCCACAGGCATTCGCACATCGAGCGATTTGCCCAAGTTCTCCCTATCATCCCCGGAGATGGACAATAAATCTTTGGAACACGACCATCGATCACCTCAAACCCCGATTCGCTCGATACCAGTCAAGACCGATACGTCGCATCATTCAGATTTACTCGGCAGAAGTCCCGGGGAATTGCCGATCGTCATCCGTCGATCTAGCGAAGATGGGCCACTACCAGTGAGACCTGGGTATTCCAGACAAGTGTCAGCGAATTCGTACTTGTCAGTAGACAATGATTCCAGTGGCAATCGGGAAAGCACACAGGACGAAGAAGAAGGCGATGGCAAGGCTAGCAAGGACACCATTGGGGTGAATCGTGATACACGGTCTGCCACCAACGCATCTTCTCCGATGCTTTTCTCCATCTCTGATCTCGGAGAGGCTCCGAAAACACGATAGCGACCCAAAGTCATACTAGGCGCGCTGTACCCTTACCTATCTTAGAAACGGACGAGTTGAGCATGTTGTTTTTTACGCAAATTGTAGTGTAGTGTCATTCTTAGAACGATGCAAGATACTGTAGTTCATGAGATCGTGAGGGGAATACGGACGTGAAAGCCTACGGATGTCTGAAGACATTATGGGAATGCAGGAAACGTCCGTCATCTAATGCGGAATTACAACAGAGAATGAGTGCGAGTGCGAGTGCGAGTCGGGGTATCAACGCTGTTACTGTCCTGTCATGTAGACTTGTCACATCGGCTCATCCTTGACGTCCTCCTCCATGACTTCATCTCCTCGATCATCATCAAAGATGGGTGCAAAGCTCTCCCGGGTCATCATCGTGGCGCTTCGGGATCCGCTTCCGCTGGCCAACATGTGATAATTCGAAGGTCCAGCAGGCGACGGCGAAACAGTACGGTGAAGTTCATGACGGGCAGAGGTGCCTCGTCTAGGTCGGGCAGGTGGCTCCAAGAGGAACTGATTGGTCGAACCACGAACGCTTGTATTGCCTACAGATCGATTGGCGAGACGTGTAGATCGCCTGGACCTCCCAGAGGTAGAGGGAAACACCGAGAGATTTGCCGCTGGGCCAGCCGCTGTTGACGCATCCGGTACATTCATTCTCCCCTTGGAAACTGTTCGAGCATAAGCCATGAGTGCATTGATGCCGCGAGGCGATGTGATCGGATTGACGCCGCCCAGATCTCGTGGTGAGGTCAGTTCGACGCCATCGATATCGTCAATCTGGTATGCCCGAGGCTCCATGGGATTGGCCGGTTCCCACGGCGGCCTCCGAAGCGAGTCGAGACGATCGTCATCCACCGGGTGGGTATGGCACTCTGAGCCGAAATCGAAAATGTCAAAGACTGTAGAGCCGCCGCGATTGGACGCGGCTACAAGAATATTATCATGGTAAGATACCTGCCAGACCGAGGTAATTCCGACCACCAAATCCCTGATGTAGGCGCCAGTGCGGATATCCCACAATTTCAGCGCACCATCGGAGCCAGATATCACTTTCGTCTCGTCATGTTGGAAGCATGTGATCGCTCCGGTATGTGAGGCCAGAATGTGTTTCAGATCGCCATTGTTTTGATCCCAGACCCGGAGACATCCATCTGCAGCCGCAGAGACCAGGTAGTTGGGTGAAGCACCAAGGAGACCGACCAGCGATGTATGCCCGGATAGTGTCTGCAAGCATTCTCCTGTGACCACGTCCCACACCTTGACAGTGTTGTCCATCGAGCCAGAAGCACATCGGTTGCGGTATCGGTCGTACACAATGCTGTAGACTTGGGAAGAAATCAGTAATGTCGACGAGGGATCTCTCTCTCACCTTTCTGCTCGTGACCTGTCAAGACATGCTTGCATTGTCCTGTGACAATATCCCAGACTCTGACAGTCATGTCGTAGGAGCCCGTCACACAAGTTCTGCCATAGGCAGCAAGTGCTCGGACAGCGCCAGTATGACCGTGGAGGCAGTGGATGTGGAATGGATTATTCTCGGGTCGCACAGCTTCATTGTCATCTTCATCATTGTACACAGGAGGCTCGCCACTCCTTGGCAGCTTCCACACTCGAAGCGTCTGATCACGAGAGCCAGTCACAAGAGTCGGATAAGGAGGTTGATATTCGCCAGTGGCCGGGTCAAGCACAGGCTCGATGATCTGCAGGCAACGCACAGTCGACGTGTGACCGTCGAAGACGTGCGCCGCCTCGAGGCGCTCAAGATCCCAAATGCGCACCGTTCGATCGGTGCTACCGCTGACCATGATATCTCCAAGATACTGTAGGGCCCAGACTCCACCCGTGTGGCCGCTCAGACTGCGACGTAGCTGACCTGTAACCGTGCTGTAGACATTGATGGAGTGATCGTCCGAGGCTGAAACGATCTTGTCTCGGTCGAATTGGAGACACGTGATGACATTGGTTCCATGACCCGGGAAAGCAGTGTGCTCCGGTTGATCGTTGAGCCAGCTCCTGTTTGACGTAAATCGTCGACGATGTACGTGCTTCAGAGCGAGCGGCCGCTCGAGGGTCGGACTGGCTCGCGATTCGTCGTCCATAGACTCGTCGTCAGCCGGCGTGCTGGATCTGCGAGCGGGTACGGCGGCTTTCCAATCGAGGACTTCATATCGTCTCCGAATGAGATCTTCTTCTTCTTCCTCTACGCCAAGCCCATAGTACAGGTCGTCGTCGATCAATCGTTGCTGCCAGATGCAACGTTCGGAGTCGATCAAGTGTTTCCACTTCTTCGAGACTCGTGTCGCGGCGGCAAGCGTTGTGGTGTCGACCTTTTTGAGAATTTGCACAGCCACCTCATGCGGCAGAAAGGAGATGAAGTCGCGTTTGAGAGCGGTGCCGGCGAAGTTGTATAGACGTTGAATGGTTGGCATCCTGGACCGTCGAAGCAGGTGCATCAGGACTTGCTGCTGCAGTTTGTCTGGGAGATTCTCAAAGTGCCCAACGAGTGAAGGCAGCGAGAAGAGAGCTGCGAGCTCCATTCCTGAGCCTATCTGAGGGGTAGGTTGCGTAGTGGGGGCAGAGGACGGCGATGCGTCATCACGATCAGGGGAGGGCAATGGCGAGAGAAGAGCACCTCGATTGTCGTTGGCGATGTGCAGCTCGGGTAATCCGCGGATCTTCTTCCTTGGAGGACTACTGCGATGAGAGACAGTGTGAACGCCTTCGGTCGTACTGGGCGGAGACGGGTTCTCAGAAGGCCTGATGGGGTTCGGCGTGGCGGCCATTATGTGACTATGATGTGATCGCTTCCGTGGATCTTTGCTGGATACTCGGGCGACAGCTTGAGCCATGTTGAGACGTTCTGCTCCGCCAACGGGTTCTGCGCCGGAGAAAATGGTCCGTTTCCACCCAGGACCCTGCATCACATTGTCGGCTTCAGATTCGGGACTGAAAGAGCCGTCCTCCTGTACCATCACTCGACTGTCACCAAGATTGATGGCAAAAGCTCGCATGTCTATCGGAGCTGGTTCATTGGCCAATGGATATTCTTCGGCTGGCAAGTGTTTAGGCAAAGAGATCTTCTGCGTGTGAGGTATACGAGGCAGAGGAACAGGCGCGAAAGAAGTGGTTGTGCGAGTTGTGTGAGTAACACTGTCATTTGGACATCAATAACAGTCAAGACGGAGGATGATGGGTTGACTCACACTGTCTCCACCACAGCATCCTCGAAACGCAAGATAGGCGCCCCATTCTGCCAGAAGAGCCCAGCAGCCCCGCCAGTGGATGGACCGGCAGACCGAGGGTCATTCATGTGCCCGCTGACAGCACTCGGCATCCCATGGTAGTCATATGTGGCCGTGTTCACAGCGTCCGAACGATCGAGGGGAGAATAAGTGCTCATGATGGGCTTTGACCGGGTGTCTGATGGAGGAAGAGAGAATTGGTCGTCCCTATTCCAGCTGCGTCAGCGAGCATTTCAAGGCGCTGCAGAGATTGTGAAAGGGAGATTGGCATTGGGAAACAAAGGAAAGCATTGGACAATGTCGTTTGACCACCTTTCGGACACCGATGTGAAGGATTACTTTGGTCCAGACGTGAAACGAGCACTGGCCCTCTGTAGGCGAGATGCAGTTCAACGACTGGTGGAAAGATGCGCCGTTCAGACGATCAAGTGGCTCAGAGTGACTCTGCCTGACGCACAGCTGGACAGCCGATACGCTTGCCATCAGGCAAAAGCCAGATCCCTGCAATGATGGAGAAAAAGGACTCACGAGACGTCTCCGGGACTATGTCTACCTCGCGCCGGCTTGGAAGACCCGTTTGAACCTTACGAAGCGCCTAGAGAGAACGAGAGAGCAAAGGTCCCTTGTACCGGTGCGGAGACCGAGTCGCACGTCTCTGAACGCAATAAAGCGACGAGACGTGAGTTCCGAGGTTTTTGTCACGTCTACCGGAGGTCTTAGAGCGAGTCGAAGCGATCTGAAATCCGGATGCGTCCACAAGGAAGAGCAGTCCTACCAAAGGGTGGTCCAATGACGCGTCTATGATGAGCAGAGCCAGTCAAGAGCTGAATGAGGTCAAGAAAGATGTGTGATTGTCATCGTTGTGTCAGGACGGAGATGATCACCGTACGAGGTCGGTTGCCTTGTCTCAGGAGGCTGCCCATGCATGGCCAAGGCCGGCTCGCGGCGCTGATCAGTCACGTGATTTCAGACTCTTTGCGTGGCTAGCTACAGCCTCCATCTGCGGCGTACACGCAAGGTACCTGTGGTTTACATTGTGCGAATTGTAAACCGAGGAGCTCCTTACCCGCCAAGGGAGCCATTACGAGGGCTGGTTCAGCTCAGACTTTCTGAGCTACTGTTCGTCGACCAGCTTCGAATAATGACCCAAGCTATGACGCGCCAGAGCCACCACGCCACATCCACATTCTGATCGGACCCCCATGCTGCAGTACCTCATCTGTCTTTCTCCAGAGAGAGGCGTCAAGGTGTAGCTGGAGGTCATGATACATGTTCAGTGATTGGCATTTTCACTCATGCATTCCGCCCATGATCCCTTCCAGTCGACTACATACCTCGCACTCACAGCATTTATAATTAATAATTAATAATCTCTCGGCCGTCGACGTCCCACCCAAAAGAGAAAAAAAAGAATCGCCGCCACAGCCACACAGCAGCTGCTGCAGCCACCTAACCTGCAAAGACATATCCGGCCATGGGACGATCATCATCATCATCATCGTTCATAGCTGTCAAGCTATTGAATGCTCCACCGATATACCCGAGAACACACTCTGAACCTATCACCAGGACACTAGTTGTCCCTTGACTCAAGACTCATCATGCCGAGCTTATGGGGCTCTGATGCTCCTCAAAATGGTGCGTAAACAATTCTTCTGGGATCGTCGTCGATGAATCTATTCTGGGCGAGGAAGGAGCAATGGTTTGGTAATGGCGAGCTCGTCGAAGCTATGGGGTCCTTGTCACTCATGGAGATTCCTTCGAGTTGCGCTGACGCAGTGTCTTTTTCCCTCTCAATACTGTCCTTTGTCGTCGTCAATACAACGGATCGACGCTGCATTCAACATCCATGAATCTTTCGCCATACACTGGTCACCGTCTGATTTTCGGTGTCCCGCTGAACTTGGTCGACTCATCACCTGGATAAATCTCAATCACACTATGTTCGAACTGTTGTCTCGCCCTATGCAAACCTCTAATGCACCGTCTGCTGCTCAAAATGTGGTCAACGAGACAGGTGCACCACCACGGTACCAAGCGGTTGTGAGTCCACTCAGCATCTTGTCTGTCTTCAGGCGACTGATGCTCTCCCCATAGATGTCCAAGCTATACCCTCACTCGATGCGTCCGGTCCTCATGGTCACAGCTGGCTTAGGTACTGCATGGGCCGTGATCTCTGGAGTCTCTGCCATTCGGGACATGGGAGGCAATGGAGGTATGTACATAAATTGACCTGGGCGAATTACAAGGATTGACACTATCGCCAGAGACTGGCAAGATGAAAGCCTTCGACTTGATCCTTGGGATCATGTACTTTGTTGTGACGGGTTTAGAACTCTTCGGCTTCTTCGTTGGATTCACCGTGAGGCTGAATGTCCTCTGTACCTGCGTTGAAACCCATACTGACGTAACGCAGGCTAAGATTAGGTTGGCAAAGATATTGGCCGTCCTGGCACCGGTAGCCGCAGCGATAGCCGTGGGAACTCAAATCGTTTCCATAGCATCGCACTATATCAACAAAGTGAGCAAATATACCGGAGCGAAGGGGCTAAAACCAATTTCCAGAGCGGTCTCATCAGTCAATGCGTCAACAGTACTGTTGGCGATATCGTGACGGATGTGCGTCAAATGCAGATACGCCCTCGTGTACTGACGTCTTTCATCAGGGGTTTGGCGATCAAGTCGGCGGCCCCATAGATCAGGCCCAAGCCGAACAGAGTGGGTGACAGACCATACCTCTTGAGATTTCACTGAATGTGCTCCAGTTTGTGGAGATACATGGTCTCACAGTACATGGGCTGTATTCGGGTGGCTCGTATTCGTCGTCCTAGTCTCCGTGAGTTTTGAAGATGCTCCGGTTGATTGTAGCACTGATTTCCTTTAGGCCGCATTTGCAGCTATCGCCATCACCTATTACCGTCAACTCGCGAACCCCAGTTCAATGAGACCACAGAACAGTCAACCGCAAGAGTTTGCCATGCAGCCACCGCCACCAGGAAGGACCTACAGTGGTCAAGGACAGCAACAGCCCTGGATGGTACCGCCTTATCCTGGTCCTCCACCTGAGGGAACACCGTTCGAAAAGTCAGACTATCAGCCTTCAGCCTCATGGGCAAATGGTGATCAGAACTATATGTATGCCCCTCCGAGTGGGTCTCCACCGGGAGGCAGCCAAAGTCGCGACATGGAGGGACGCGATAGCTCAGAAGGACTGGTACATGATGCTCAGGAGGAAGCATGGCAGAGAGCACAGACTACGGGCGTCACGGCTCATCTGACGGGACATGCGTCTAACTCAAAGGGTCGAGATGATGAAGAGGGATATACTGTGACGAATCGGGCAGAGGACGACGCTTGGGAAAATGCCAGGACTCAGGGTGTGACTGCTCACTTCACCGGTCACGCTTCTGGGGCACGGCGCGAGAACGATAGGGAAGTGTAAAAGACGGTGTTAAGGCACCGATGCAAACGATCTGGGATGTAGTTAACAGCCGTTGGCTGCTCGCGAGAGGCGTCAATCAGCGGTTGAAAAGGCTCATGGTAGTGATCATGACTTTCGCTTGCTAGGATGTATGGATAGCTACGTCATCTTCTCCGTACCCAACGGGCGGAACGTGACGATACTCATGACGATACTCTGAGCGTTGAGATACAGAGTGTCCCTCCACGAAATGCTAATCTACTCCCTCAAGACCTTGAAAGGGCGATTTTTTCAGTGAGCCTTGACATATACAGCGTGCGAATCATACTTGTGATACATACACCGCGACTTTAGCTCTTAGTCGCAAATACACGAATGGCGTGAAAGAGGAAACCTCCGGTAGCTGAAGTCGTCATGAGAGGGTGCGTTCGTCCGGGAAGGACCTAGAGGGTGTCATCAGTCCAGGCACAGATCCATGAAATGTCTCTGCCTGATCTGACTGACCTGATATGTTCTGGTCCAGGATTCCGTCAAAGTTCCCGCGAGGTAGTTGGGGTTCTTCTTCGCGTATGCCAAGACATCGACCAGGATCTGTTGATACGGAGAGTATATGACAATATTGCTGGATCCAGAGAGATAAGGAGTCAGACGAGCCAATATGGAAATGGGTGACATTTCAGTAGCCAAGATGAGACTGGGGAGCACAACATTATTAGCTGCTTGAGGTATCATCTCCTCATGTCGTACTCACCCGTCCCATTGGCCTAGATGAAGCTCATTTCGAGTGGCGTTCAGTTCAGCAACTTGCTGGTTGTGTCGCCGTAATCTTGCATGTGTCTTATGAGCAGCAACAGTGGGCAAAGTATCCTCATCAGGGGGCGGTGCTGTGGTCTTGTCAATGTCAGCGACTACGCTTTCACTAACCCTTTTCGTAATCCTCCTCCGCTTCGAGCCAATTTAACCACTTTACACATTCCAATTCTCTCTCACTCCAATTCATAACACTTAGCACTCCCCATGCCGGCGGAGAGTCCGCATCGGTAAATGTCAATATTCTCCCGGTGCATCCCATTCGCTCCATGATGGCTGCAGTGACCAGACCACCCGTATCGTCCACTACAAGGTATCTTCCGTCGGGTCGGATGTTGCCATAGGTCAACAGTTGTGACAAGGTGTCATCACGCATGTGTAGAATAGAGGCAGGAGAGCGGATGAGGTAATGGAGGCAAATGTTCGACGCTGTCGGTGCGATGGGATGGATGGTCTGAGAGAACCTGAAAATGTTCAGTTGGAAATCACTTTACGCCGGTCACAACACAGTCGATCACCCACTTTTTCTCTTTTCTCTTTCGCCATTTCTCTTTACTGAAATCCGTCTTCAGGTCGAACTTGTCATGCCGTTCAATTTGTCTCCGCATCATTTCCTCGGCAGACACTCCTTGAGCTCTCAATTCCGCGATCTCTTCGTGAGAGAGAAATGATCCCCTTGCAGTTTCAGAATCATCAATGAACTCATTTGTCTCTTGAATGTCGTCTGTAGACAACTATAAGCGGAACAATTGGGCGGATATCCATCTCGCTTACCGATCACTGCATCTACCAATGCACGACTCTTGAAAGGCCGTATTTCATTATTCCACGCTGGATTGCTTCTAAACCCTCCGGATTCACCTTCATTGCCCTTCGCTCTCCTCTGCTTCTTTTTGCTCTTCTTCTGTCCAAATCCAGCGATAGAAGCTTCTTCATCCACTTTCTTGGTACTCGATTCGCCTACATCTGCTTGAGCGTCGGCAGGGCCGGATGCCTCAACAGGCGTGCGATTGGCAGCTTGAATGATCTCATATGTGATGTCGTAGAATTGACCCAGTAGCTGGTATGCTGGAAAACCTCCATATTTGCCCAGAGGAATGATTCTATGGCATCTAGATTAGTCACTGGGCCACTGAAAACGGCAGGGTATCTACGTACCCCTCCTTCGACGCCACGACAGCTTTGATGCTGTCTGAAGGAAGGCGCAAGAGCACATTGTCACCTTCCTTGATCTGAGTGACTCGACGTCTGGCTAGGACATCCAGTGGCTCAAGTGGAGCTGCCTCCTGCTGTGCAACCGCGTTGACCGCTTTCCGTTTAGCAGGAACCGTCACACCATTAGACTTGGATGATTCGCCAAGTTGGTGATCCTCATCTGCTGGTTGGGCAGCGGGTTTGACGGTGTCCGTCCCGTCGCGTGGGACTGGATGGGCGTCTATCGTCTCTGGCTTGTCCGTCGTGACACTCCCTGATTTGGTTTTGTCGTCTATTTCCATTGCTATCTCTCTTTGGTCCTACGTGATGTTTCGTTTGTGCTTCAATTCAGGCATCTCGCTCGGTTCATCTCCGGAAATCTGAAACTTGGGAACATAAAATCCTTGGGAAAATAGTCGTCTGAAAATATTCAAGCTGGAGGAGTATGTATGGTACGGCTAATGGATGATCGATCCCTTTGATTGCTTCCTACGAACCGCAAGCAACCAGGTGCACGAAGATGGTGAGTGAAGGAAGAACACCTTCAGTAGGAATGTGACTCCAGTTGATCTTTGGTATTTGTGCAGGCTGCCAATATCTCTCTGCAACCCGCAACGACCTCTCGGGACATCACCAAAATGGAACGTATAGGTCAGTCTGCGTTGAAGCAGCCCGGCGCGGGGCGCGTTGTTGTCCCAGCCCTTGGCTCTCCGCGAGGGCATCATCCACGTACTGATACTGTCACTCCAGGTGCCCACTCTCACATTCACGGTCTCGGCCTCGACGACAACCTCGAACCTCGTGCTTCGTCTCAGGGGATGATAGGTCAAGGCAAAGCGAGACGAGCAGCTGGAGTGATCATTAAAATGGTCCAGGAGGGCAGGATAGCTGGCAGATCCATCTTAATGGCTGGTCCGCCGAGTACGGGAAAGACAGCCATTGCAATGGGTGAGCCGGTCCCGCGTTGACGAGCTCGGTAGGGCTGACATTGGTGGGGGCGGACCTTCAGCTATGACTCAGACTCTGGGCAGCGATGTACCTTTCGTGATGCTCACTGCCTCGGAGGTGTTTTCTCTGGAGGTACGATCAGCACATGGCTATGGAATGCTTCAAGCTGACGGCGATGCAGATTTCTAAAACGGAGAGCTTGACACAGGCTTTCCGTCGGAGTATAGGCGTCAGGATCAAGGAAGAGACAGAATTGATAGAGGGAGAAGTTGTTGAAATACAAGTGGATAGGAGTGTGACAGGCGTGAGCTGAGCTCTCATCTGCCTTCTGCGGCAGCTGACACCTTAGTAGGCTACCAAGACGGGTCGTCTGACATTGAAAACGACCGACATGGAGACCGTATACGATCTCGGGTCCAAAATGATTGACCAGCTTCAGAAGGAGAAAGTTCTCGCCGGAGATGTCGTCAGCATCGATAAAGCCAGTGGGAGGATATCAAAGCTGGGAAGAAGTTTCGGCAGGGCAAAGGATTACGATGCCATGGGTGCGGATGTAAGTTGGACCACTTCCCAAGCCTTTTACCTCACTAACAAGTCTCGAAGACCCGCTTTGTTGCGTGCCCAGATGGAGAATTACAGACACGCAAAGAAGTCGTTCATACCGTCTCATTGCATGAGATTGACGTGATCAATTCGAGAACTCAGGGTTTCCTTGCATTGTTCGCGGGGGATACAGGGGAGATCAAGCAGGAACTGAGGGATCAAATCAACGCCAAAGTCGCCGAATGGAGAGAAGAAGGTAAAGCGGAGATAGTTCCAGGAGTGAGTCCTAGGCAATTCCGTTGCACAGCGCTAGACCCTGACGTTTGCAGGTTCTATTCATCGACGAGGTCCACATGCTCGATATTGAATGTTTCTCTTTCCTCAATCGGGCTCTCGAAGGCGAGCTAGCCCCATTGGTGGTCATGGCCTCCAATCGAGGTATCACACGTATAAGAGGAACAAAGTACAAATCGCCCCATGGTATTCCTGCGGATCTACTGGATCGAATGTTGATCATTTCGACCAAGCCGTACTCTGAGGACGAGACGAGAGAAATCGTCAAGATCAGGCAAGTCAATCACAGCATCATTGATGACCGTTTGCTGAGCTTTCGTACAGAGCCGACGAGGAAGATGTCAAGCTGTCAAGTGAATCGCTCGACCTGCTTGCTCATATGGGCCTCCAAACATCCCTTCGATACGCCCTCAACCTTATTGCGCCATCTCAATTGCTCGCTCAACGTCGGAAGTCGCTCAGTGTAGAGGTCGAAGATATCAGACAGGCTTACAAGTACTTTTGCGACGTTGAGAGGAGTACGGCTTACGCCAAAGAAATGAGTGGAATGATGTTTGGAGAGGAAGAAGTCGGACAGGAGGGTCCAGCCGGAGGAGCGTCGACGGCGGGAATGAACGGGAATGCCAACGGGTCTGCCATGGACACTTCGGCGTAGCATCTGCATGTATGATAAGGTGTCTCAGCGTACGATCGGGGACGCAGACGTAGGTCTAGTCGCCCCGTCATGTATGTTGCGGCCGGCTATAGTCTCGAGCAGGGCCTTGACACGGGACAATAGACGCCGCGTCCCGGTAATCATGCTTAAATTGTTGCAGATATTTTGTTGCAGTCCATTCCTTGTCATCTTCCACCGACACCTAAGCTGCTCGAGACTTCACGACCAGTGGACTCCCATCCAATCCCTTCAAAGCCTCCTCTTGATGTACTCATTTCCCTCAATTTAACGGTCGTTGTCACTCCCAGCGACTCGCACAGAACCGGATTGAACCCGACTACGCTATGACCGACCTCGAAGCGGCTGTCCTAAATGGCTCATTGTTCAACCCGGATCGAACGACATCGCCCGCAAGATCTATCTCCCCGTCACTCACTGATACGGACGATGAACTAGGATCTGATCTGTCCGATACTAGGGATCATTCCCGTTCTCACTTCGAGAGCTCCAGCTTGGCAGTCTCTGACTCTCATGATCCTCAGACCGGACCAAAAGGTGTCATATCAGATCGACACGCTCATGACCGGAACGCAAAGTACGAGAAGAACAGAGCGATTCAAAATGTCAGAGATTTACAGGAGAAGATCAAGATGGTCGCTTTGACGGCCGATGAAGAGGATGTTTCGAGGCAGGACGAGGAGGCCAGATTGATCCAAGCTGAGAAGAGGGAAGGAATGGAAAAGGAGGATGAAGAGTATGACGAGAAATTCAAGGAGCAATGGAAGGCGCTAAGGAGGGATCAGCTGAAGATGGATAGGAACGGCAGTGGGGTCGCGAAAAGAGGGTTGAGGGAGATTGGACAAGAGGGATTCATACATGCTGTCGAGCGACCGGGCTGGGTCATAATACTGATTTACGAGCCGGTGAGTGGGGAAGATATGTGACGCGAACCTTCCATCGACTGCTCCTTATTGAATCGGTGTCGTAGGGTATACCACGCTGTAGCGCTCTCCTCGCATCGATGCTTCAACTTTCTCTCGCTGAACCACCTTTGCCTGTAACGCTCTTCCGAGCTCGCGCCACATCCCTCTCATTCGCGCTCTTACCGCCGTCATCTGGCGGTGAGAATGGATCAGAAGATCGTCGAGCCGATTTTGAAGTTCTGCCGTCCTTACTGGCGTACAAAGATGGAGAGCTAGAAAAGACTTGGATAAGAGTAGACTGGGATCTTAAAGAGGATGGCGTGGCGGGTTTGCTACGACGGTGAGTCTAGCGTAGCTCAGCTGCGAACGGCGTGAAAAAGTACGCATTCCTGACACTCAGTAGCGAGGGAATTCTGCCGCGTCTCGACTCTAGGAGGCATTCGCATATGCTGAGTGATGAGGATGATGAGGAGGAGGACGACGATTGAGGTGGCAGTTAAAGGTCGCTCTGAAGGATCCAGAGATGCGACTGGAAGATATTGATGGTAGTGAACCTTGCCGAGATCTATGTTGCTTGATGCTGTATCATGACACGACATGATGAGATGATAGTACGCGGGCCCAGCAAACGCTCTGTCGCCGATAGATCTCTGCGTCCCAAGTGACTGATGTTGGTCCGCGACCCGGCAGGCCTTCAAATCGTATACATGTTTCCACCACATATCCCTTTAGTCCTACTCCATCCTGATACCTGCATCCCGAGCCGTCTGTGACCACTGAAGTAGAGTCAGCATCGCATACCTCTGGGTTTTACACTATAGACTCACGTAGCGTGATGGTATAGGCTTGACAGGAGCTACAGGACGTTCCTGTGGTGCAGATGTCAGAAACACTTTGCCTTGATCCTGAATGGGCCAAAGGACATGACCACCTCACCTCATGTGCTGCGGACCATTTCCATACAGCTGCGCCGATTCCAGTTATCACGACCGCTGTCATAGCGGTATTGGTCCTCCAATTGCTAGGTCTTGACCACCATCCACCTGTGGGAGTGAGAGTGAGCGCGCTTGACGTACATGGCCATCTCAATAGCTGGAAGAGGCATCCGCCGGCACGAGAGCCAGACGTAGGATCTTCCATACAGCCAGCAACGAGCCTTCACCTAGCCAGTCAGACTTACCTGCGGGTGACCAGACGATCTTTGGGTAAGGATATCTCGCCTGAAAGGGGGGAAAGGGGCAAAACGTCAGTTGAAGGGTATGTGGAACGGCGACAAGTCTGAACTCACGCCACCACCCTGGAGAATGTCAGCGAGTCATGGTATACTATGGGTGATGTCACTCACCATGATGTACCGACTTGGTCTATACGACGTCGCAGAGAACGAGACTTCCCCTAAGAGCTGGCCAGAGGTGAGCGGATTGGCAGCCAAGGCTGATGACATGACGTGGCAATAATCTAACCCGCTAAATAAGTGGGTGACATCGAAATTGATTGTCATTGGCTGCTGCTGTGGCTGTGGCTGCGTCGGGGAAAAACGGGGGGATGAGAAGAAAAAAACTTTGATATTGGCAGGGGGTCATCATCGAAATGTGTTCAATTAAGTGGCTCAGTTCCATTTCTCTCTCTTGTTGCATATATTCAATACCCCATTTGTATAACACACCTTCAACACTCACCTCTCTCTCTCTATACCACATTCATAATGGCCGGAGACAAGTTCGAGAAGGTGAGTGCGTGCTGAACTTCACACACATCGAAAGATCCGCACCGCGCAAGGCTTTTGTTTGCGTGGAACGTGCTGCCGATCCAACGATGCTTTTCGTTGAGGCGACCGCTGGATCGATTCACGTTTTCGGCGGAGCATTCAGCTGATATGTCTCACAGGGTGACGCCACCAAGGGAGCCTCCATCTTCAAGGTAAGTCCACCTCTAGAGGGCCATCTTGGCTCTGCATGGTCGAATTCTTGAGCTGACGTCTGCCATCTCATTCCTCAATGTCCTGCAATAAATGATCCGATCGCCTCTGCATTCAACGCTATCGGCTCCATCTCATCCTCTTGGCTTTGAAACCTTTCACGCAATCTCTCTCTCTGTCTCCTTGCCTTGCCCTCCACACAGACCCGATGCGCTCAATGCCACACCCTCGGAAAGGGAGAGCCTAACAAGGTCGGACCCAACCTGCACGGACTTTTCGGACGAAAGACTGGACAAGTCGATGGTTTCTCTTACACCGCTGCCAACGTTAACAAGGGGATTGAATGGGTAAGTAGTGGGTCAACCCGTTGAGGGATAACTTTACTGACTGTGGGGTTTTAGGGTAACGAGACTCTCTTCGAGGTATGCTCGATTACCTTCTCGAAATGTCACCTTGATCCTCTGTGCTGACGTGTTTGATCCACACATAGTACCTCGAAAACCCAAAGAAGGTGAGTCTCACATGGTGACTTTCACGATCGTTCAGCTGACACCTCTCAGTACATCCCTGGAACCAAGATGGCGTTTGCTGGTCTCAAGAAGGCTAAGGACAGGAACGACCTGATCGCTCACCTCGAGGAGGCTGTGAGTCGATGCACTTGGCAGTGGGAACCTATACTGATCCAAACGTTACCTTGTACAGACAAAATAGACAGTTTCGAGCTGGAAGAGTCACTCATTCCGTGTTGATTTGAAAGTTCTTGAGACACAATACACACGGTCCTACCATACAGCATGCATCCCCTCTCCACGTATGTGCATCCTTGTTCCACTGGCTGTAGGGCCTACACCTCTACTGGAACCGCTGCTTGCGCTTTAAGCCCTCTTCTAATGCTGCAACCCGTATAGAGCTTACCACCACATGAGATAATCGGTGCCACAAATTGAGAGGGGGATCGATTAAAAATCGATATATTTCATGAAGCCTCCAAAATGTTGAAAGTAGTCACTCATCCACCCGTCTCATCAGTTTGCGATAGTTCATTCACGGATATGTCGCGATTAGGAGCCTCGCTGACGAACCTGAGGGCTGCCTTACGTGAGTCAAAACATCTTTGAAATCGGCCTGTGAGCTGAACATCTGCCGGTTCTCCTTTTTCCCTCTCAGCTCCCTTATCCCAAGCTGGGCCATCGTCCCGTCCATTCTCTTCCACCCCTACCATTCTCGCTCCTGGAAGCAGGAAGCAAGGTCGCAGATCCTATCGCAAGGGTCCAGCCGCTGAGAAGCCTATCGTGCTTCGCAAACGAATTTTCCATGAGGAGAAGAACAGAACCTCGAAGAACAAAGATATCAGAGACTGGTATCCGGATCATGTTCTGGGCCATGTCTTTTCTCAACCATTCGGTGGACCTAAGAAATACCATGGTAAAGAGCCTCCTCTCTCCGGATCATTGTGGGACGGTTGTCGTCTAGCCAAGACTTTGATTCATCCTAGACAAGTCTGGAGTTGGCCGGTACCTAAATATGAGCTGGGTGAAACGCCTCAACAATTGATCCCTGGTTTATCGGCACAGGACAAAGATATCTTATTTGGAGCCGTCCCATATACGTCGACGGCTATCCAGTACGATCCTGGTTTGCCTCAAGAAATTCGAGACGCAAAAGCGACGAAAGTCGCGGAAGATCAGGAGAAACAGGAGGAAATGGTCTACAGGATATTGGATCTTCGAAATGCCAGTCGAAGTCAGATTCAAGCATTCAATCGGAGGCGTATTATTGAGGAATTTGGACAAGGATACAACTCGGGAGACTCCATCTGTCAAAGTGAGTCGAGGAAAAAACTCCCCAGATGCGTGCGACTTGTATTGATCCAATTCGCCGTCTTTCCCAGGTGCACTCTTGACGATGGAGATTCGAAGTTTGAACGAACACTGCTTGGTTCAAATTCATGATGTTCAAAACCGGGAACGCCTGAAGCGACTGGTCTACGAACGTGCGAAACATCTCAAGTACCTCAAGCGCAAGTACCCTGCAAAGTACGATCAGGCATTGTTGGATTTGGGTTTAGATCCCCGGACCGTGGAGGGGGAATTGATCCTGAGGACCTGAGAGCAGAGATGCCAATTCGTGAGTATTTCTGGTTTTAGCGATCATGCCCCTCTTCTCTTCTTGTGATGCTTTACCAAACCTGATTTAATGAGCCTGACCGCGCAAGCGGCTAGATGTAAACCTTTCATACAATCCTGATCCTTTTCTTGCTTTCGTGCCCTGTCCCTTCGCTCAATGGGAACGCTGATACATTCTGGTCTACTTTTCAGCCTCTGGTTCCAAAGATACCAGAATGCCCCCTTCCTCCACACTCGACCCCTTGTTAATCTTGACATCGCCAATCACTCCATCTCTACCCGCCCTCACGTTGATTTCCATCTTCATACTTTCCAAAACACAGCATACCTGACCCGCAGTGACCTTGTCACCCTTCTTAACCCGGACCTCGATGACTGTCGCTGGCATCGGACTCGTCAAGTTGTCAGCCGAGACAGTGGTTGAAGCGCCTTCTTCCTGTGTCGCTTGAGGGAGCGTGAGGATATAGTGATCGGTGGTGGTGAAGATATGCAGCTTGTTACCCGTGTGAATGATCGTGCTGTGGTATCTAGTGTTGGGGAATTGGGTGATCATCTCTGTAGGGCCAAGAAGAGTGCAAGTTGCACTGGAGCTGTAGTCGCCGGAAGAAATGCCGAATCGGCCTTGTGACTCGGGGATCAGGTCGACAGTACCCTCGTCAAATGTGAACGACTTGACGGAAGTGTCGCCAAATCGTCTGAAGGCCAGGGTCGACCAGGGCCCGGCGCCTGTTGATCCAAGATCATGTCGAGCCTGAGCAGCGAGGAACAAGGCACCCTGTGCAAGCACAGTGGGAGGAATGGGCCGTTTCTCAAACAGCTCGTCGTGGTGCGTCTGGACATCAGCGTCGGCTGCTGTCCGAACGGATCTAGCTCACCGGCACAAAGTTAGTCTCCACAGCTCCCTTGACGAACTCTGGGTGTCCTGCAACAGCTTTGAGGAACTCGATATTCGTGCTAGGTCCGACGATCTGATACTCTCCAAGGGCTCGTCGCAACATCGACAGTGCCTCTGCGCGATCTTTACCGTGAACAATGAGCTTGGCGATCTGCAAGAGATGTCAGCACCTGCCTGTGTGCACATCTGTTGGAACTGACCATGGGATCGTAGAATGAAGACACCTCGTCGCCTTCTGCGAAACCAGTTTCCAAACGATGAGGAGCGTTGATCGGCGGACGAGTATGGATGAGCCGACCGGCGTCGGGAAGGAAGTTGCTGGAAGACATGATCAGGCACAATGTAGTGATCATCGAGTAGACTCACGCCTCGGGCCGCTCGGCGTATATACGCGCTTCAAAAGCGTGACCGATACATGGGATCTGCTCTTGGGTCATGGGCAGAGGGTTTCCAGAAGCAATCTTCACGAAGGGATCAGCATGAAGCATTGCCCCGTACGGCGGCTGTTCCAAGACTTACGGAGAACTGCCACTCCACAAGATCGACGCCGGTGACCATTTCAGTCACAGGGTGCCTATCCATCAATTAATGTTTCACGAGGCCCTGAGACGATACTCACTCAACCTGTAATCTCGTGTTCCTGGTCGTTGTCAGCGCCAGTCTCCTCGCCTAGACAGATTCACTCACATCTCCATGAAAAAGTACTCTCCAGTCTCTGCATCCATGATGAATTCCACTGTCCCCGCGCCAACACTGCCGCCAAGTCAGATCTCGTCCCGGGAGACTATGCGCTGTCTCACTAGTTGACAGCCTTGGCAGCTGCCACTGCTTTCTCTGCGAAATCTTTCTTGAGCTCAGGACTCAACCCAGGAGCAGGCGCCTCCTCGATAATTTCTGCGAGTGCTCCTCAGCATATTTTCATCATTCTGAGCGCGAAAGTGCCGACACACTCTGATGTCTCCTCTGAACTGAGCAATCTCTCTCCCACAGAGCCACACAATCGCCTTGTGTGTCTGCAAAAACTTGCAGCTCCACATGTCTCGGTCTTTCCAACCACCGTTCGAGTAAGACTTCATCGTTTCCGAATGATTTGGCGGCTTCTCTTTTGGCCGACAAGATCTCTTCCTCCAGATCTTTGGCATCTCGAACCACTCGCATTCCCTTTCCTCCTCCTCCGTGTGTGGGTTTGATCAGAAGAGGATAACCAACACGATCAGCTTCGGATTTGAGGGTCTCCATATCTTGTGCCGCGCCGTGGTATCCTCTGTGAGGGGTTTAGCTGTGACGGACACTGGGGGCCCATTAGCTCACGGGACACATGGCACGCCGGCAGCTATTGCGCGTTCAGTGGAAAGTCATTCTCGTGTCAACTACCACTCACCCAACATGATCTCCTTGCTCTCCCTCTTTGAGCCCATGGCTCGGATAGCCTCGGCAGGCGGGCCGATGAAGACCAAGCCGGACTCCTGAACCCTCGAAGCGAAGACTGTGGACTCGGAAAGGAATCCATATCCTGGATGAATGGCCTCTGCACCACTCTGACGAGCTACTTCGAGGATTTTGTCCATCACAAGCTAGACAAGGTTGATGAGCATCTCTTCGCATTGACTCGAACCCACGTATGACTCTGAAGATGGTGCTGGTCCAATACAGTATGCTTCATCCGCCTACATTGGTCAGTCCCAAGCCGGGAACGACAACGTACCATGGAGACGTGAATACAATCCTTATCGGCCTCACTATAGACAGCAACAGTCTGGATCCCAAGTTTCCTGGCTGTTCTGATGATTCGGCATGCGATCTCTCCTCTGGACACAGAGCGGATTAAGCTTAGCATCCAGACCGGCCCAAGTCGTCAAGTGACTCACCGGTTCGCGATCAGGATTTTCTGAAACAGAGGTTTGCTCGCCGTCTTCGAGATACTGAGAGTAGCCAGAGATGGGATAGACGCCTTCTTTGACGTCGACTTTCTGGCCGTAGCATAGTTTCTAGACAAGGAACGAGTTGTCAATGTACGAGAAGTGGTAGATGATGCCGATGGCTGAACGTTGGTCCCTCGGGAGATCAGGGCAGGCAGTGGAGTCGCGAGAGGGATTGTATGGATAGGCAGTCCCACTCGACGCCGAGAGGAAGCTACGATGGACTTCATGGTGGTCTGTTAGTCGCTGACGTTGTGCGTTGCAGAGGAGCAGTGGTGCTTGAATTTGGTTAGGATAGGCAGAGATTCACCTTTAACACCGGCTATGATGAACCGGCCGGAACTTGAATACTAGATGAGTTCATTGCCTCGACATTGAGCCGTGGAGCGGACATTTGCATGTTGGATTGTCATTGTTCATCTCCTCGCGAGATGGATGTTAGAAGTACAATCCAATCTCATGCATCCTAGAGTCCAGCCCGTACCCACCATGCGTCCAGCTGGTATAGCTATAGCTAGCACACTGGCTGATATGATTTTCCTCACGTGACGCTACTCTCATCGGTCGTGACGCGACCCGCGGCAACCGCCATCAAAATGTTTGAAATGAGGCCTTGAGCCCATTCATATGCTATACAGCCATCGAGCTGTATGCGGCACCATTCTTGAAATGAAAGGTAGGCTGGGACTGTTCGAGGTGCCAAGGGCTCGCTGAACGACGTCTTCAGCGAGTTTGAAGCGTCCATCCTCTACTGATCTTGCCTCGCCGAAAAAGAAAAGTGAGATAGGGATATGCCCTTCAAGTCTAACGGGCACACAGTTCATTCCTTCTTCACGGGTCAGAGTACTCTGCCAGGAAAGATCATTGCCTCCTCTTCTACGGTCGTTCACTTCCTTCATCTTGAACCATTTAGTGATGCCAACGGGCCGGCGTCCAGCTCGTCTGTCCACCAAACGACCGGGTCTTCTCCCAAAGCAGAAAGCAGTAGTACTCGGCGGAAAGTGCCAGTAGTATTGTACGATTTTGACGGCACACTCATCAAAACGAGTAGTGGAAAACGCTTTCCTTCCGGACGTGAAGATTGGGCATGGTGGCATCCTTCTGTGCCTGGCAAACTCAGAGCGGAGCACGAAGCTGGGAAACACCTCGTGGTGATTTCAAATCAGGGCGACAAAAGACCAAATGTCCGAGCGGAATGGAGGGCCAAGCTGCCATTGGTAGCGGCAAAGGTGAGCGAATCCACGTCAAGAAATATTCTGAGTTGTTCTCAAGTTGCCTGCTGGAGTTCCTCTTCGCATTCTGGCTGCGTTAGACAAGGATAAGTATAGGAAACCCCGAACCGGGCTCTACGACATATTGGACCAGGTGTACCGCGATCACGGCCTCGAAATCGATATCGAGCGTTCGTTGTTCGTTGGCGATGCCGCCGGCAGACTGGGAGGAGTGAAAGGTCAATTCAGAGATCACGCAGATACAGATCTCAAATTTGCTCTCAACATTGGCGTCCCGTTCCTAACACCTGAGGTGAGGCGAAACTCTGCGCGCGCTGGGTCATTGATGCATAAATGCACAGGAGTATTTCCTTGGGGACCCGAGACCTGTCTATCCTATGCCACCAAACGGATTCCGACCTGCAAAAGTTGGATCTCTCGGTACTCGTGAGTCCAGTAGGCGGGCAAGAGATCACTACCAAGTGGCTGAATGGTGAATATTTAAGTCCCGCCGGTCGTTCCGTCACACACGCCCATAGCCAGGGATGACTTGGAGATCGTCCTTTTCGTAGGTTCCCCCGCATCGGGCAAGACCTCCTTCTTTCGCAAACACTTTTCCCCGCGATACCGGCATATCAACCAGGATACGCTGAAGTCAAGGGACAAGTGTTTGCTGGAAGCAGAGAGATCTTTAACAAAGGGCGAGTCAATCGTTGTGGGTGAGTCAGTCAATCTCGAATCCCGTCTATGCGCGACCTGACCAGCAGACAATACGAACCGAAATCGAGCGACTAGATCACATTGGGTCAATCTAGCTGTCAAGCATAGCGTGCCGATCAGGTGTGCCGACTGAGGCACTATGTAACGACATCACTGATCGATTCATCTAGAGTCTTCCACTTTGTCTGTCCCGTTGACCTTGCAAGACATAATAATGTCTATCGAGCCTGCTACGGTCCGTCGGACGAACCTGTCCGTCAATTTCTGCCCGATACGGCTTTCACAAGCTATGCGGCTGATTCGGAAGCGCCAGTAGTAGATGAAGGCTTCGACGAGGTCAGAGTCGTTAACTTCATCTTTAGTGGGACGCCAGAGCAGAGATCGAAATGGGACCTGTGGTTGTTAGACAAGTAAAAGCTAGAGGCGACAGACAGCCTTATCATTGTTGTGAAGAGTATACATTGGACATATAAGGCCTTAGTGACGATGGACTTTCGGCGCGATCTCGGATAAATAGTAATCTCGGTCCGACGAGCCGCAACCTCCACCCCGACACAAGACCATCTTTTATAGCAAACGACATTGCACTCAGATCACTCGTCCAATAGCATCTCTAACATGTCTCTCGAGAATAACTTGACATTGTCCATTCTGGCCAAAGCCGAAAATGAAGGCTGTAAGTTCGCCTCGATTCATCCACACTCTAAATCTTGCTAACGCTCCTCGTAGATGGCATCCTCGCTCAAGCATGGTGAGACCAACTGTTTCCCTCTTCGGAGATAGGCACCCGAGAGCTGATTTCGATGTTCAGCTATGATGCAAGTATGGCTGTGGGTCTTGTTCGAGCAGCTGAGAGAGCTCGATCACCTGCCATTCTGCAAATCTTCCCTATTACTCTGGAATACGCAGGTGCTCCCTTCCTCCGCTTCTTGGTCGACTTGTAAGTTACAGATGAGCTTCGCTCAGCCATGATCGGGATGCTTACATCGTATTGCTCATCCAGAGCTCATTCGGCGTCTGTTCCGGTTTCTGTTCACTTGGATCACGCCACCACGGCTGAAGCTCTTGAAGTCGCCATCGGATTAGCAGAGAAACAAGGTATAAAATTCGACAGTATCATGGTCGACGCCTCGCATGCAGACGTGAGTGGCCTGAGCAGTGTTACTTAGATCACTCGTGGACTGAACTATTTTCTTTCACCCTCCAGACCGATGAAGAAAACATCTCGATCGCTGTACCGTTTATCAAGCGATGTAACGCCCAAGGAATTTCCACCGAAGTGGAGCTCGGTAGATTGGAAGGCGGAGAAGCTGGTGTTAGGGAGATAACTGGAGAAATGTTGACGGATCCATCCAAAGCCGAAGTCTTCATGAAGCAGTGGGTTCACAACTTCTCTGCGAACAGATGGTAATCGGGCTCGGCTGAATATTTCTAAGGACCGGTGCGAACATTCTCGCTCCTTGTGTTGGTAATCGGTGAGTTTTCCAGCCTGGAAATCCGTCTCGCTGGCTTGCAAGCTGAAAATTTTCGCTAGACATGGAAGCTACAAAACCTTTGGAGGTCCTCAATGGAAAATGGATCTGTAAGACATTGCCGGCGCTCTTCCATACTCGTGTTAGAGCTGACACGTCTCACAAGCCTAGAAACACTCTGCAAGCAGTTTAAAGGCCGCGTGCCGATTTGGTGAGTCAGGCGGCTTCGTCCGTCCCATCTCGAAGAAGAACTGACCTGGGCAGTGCCCACGGTACCGACGAACTCCCTGAACACTATTGGACGGATATGATCAAGCTCGGAGTTACAAAGGTGAGATTGGATACGGGCGAGCGAGATTTGGGACAAAAAGCTCACACTCGGCTTGACTCAATAGATCAATGTCAACTCGTGGTGCCGAGATCCATACGCTGCCAAACTTTCGTCTGGCCTGGCTTCCAAGCCTTTCCCCGAGGCTCAAGAAGAAGCGACAGAGCACTTCGCAAAGGAATGTGAAAAGTGGATGAAGCTGTTTGGGAGTGCTGGGAAAGCCTAGGGGAAGCTCTGGCGAACATGAGGAGAGACAGTTCATCTAGTCTATGCATGAGTGAAAATGAGACGAGTACATACAGAGTGCTGGAATTGATTATATAGTAAGACGTTCGAATACAACCTTGACTACATTGCAACCATGATCAGACGGAAGAGCGGTGCACTTCCTCTCCGGTGGCGGTATTCGTCCTCGACATTGTGCTCTCTTCGACAGGAGATAACAAGCCATGACCATGTGTGACCGGTACAGGGGTACTTCCTCCCGCCGTTTGGACATGAACTGCAGGAGAGCTGAAACGCTGTCGCTCAGAGCTATTCCGAGAAGGCAAGAAATGCAGTACACTCGGACTTGGGGGGGCATGCGAGACCTGAGTTCCAGTGTGGCCCGACGCTGAATGACTTCCTGTCCGCGAATGCCTTTTCATTCCCTGAGGAGGCGACGACGAACGCTCTCGATTCCACGGGGCAGATGTCGGAGTCACCGTCGCTGTCCCAGGCTGTTGATATGCGTCTCCTGAAGACATATTGGTAGTCGATCGACCGCGTCTCAGCTGACCCAAAAAATCTTCCGGTACATCAAACGAGCCCTGTCTGGACATGCGTCGGATCCTGTCCACACGTTCCTCGAATGCTTGTTCCTCTGCAACAGTGAAATCCCGTGGCAGCATCACGGCTCGATCAATGGCTACTGGAAGTCCACGATGTCGCCCTCGAAGCATGACGACGACCAACACGAGCTTGGACAGTTTGCGGAAAGAGCCTGACAAGCTGCAAAAGTGTCAAAGTGAGTTGAAACCATTTCACTCACGAATAATTGGTGAACGGCGTTCCGAGACTCAGCCCGACCGTGCCGTATCCACTGACGAGCTCAAAGATGATAGTGAAGATGTTGAGCCAGCCTTCATTATTGGCATCGTTTAGTGGACCGCGCTGAGAGAATATTTCAGAGACTAATACTGGACTACGACCCACCTCTATGATACAAATGACCCAGAGTGCAAAGCCCAGCCACCAGATGTCAAATGCTAGTTGTCTCCGGGCGCTGAAACAGCGGGCTCAGCATGGAACAGACCAGACATCGGCTACCACTCACTGCCAACCGAGATACTTTGCCACCGCTTGGGCTCCCTTGCCATCTTCCGCTTCATTCATCTCTCGATCTTCGTCCTCTTCGTTGTATAATCCTAAGGACCTTTCCTCGTAAACGTTGGTGGCTCGAACGGATAGAGCAATGGGGTAAACGGAGATGTACTACGGAGCTTAGCCGATGCGAGAAGCATTCCTCAGTGGACGTACCATCATGATGACGTAGAGAACCCTGATATAGTCAGCTCTGATCCGGATAGTGCTCATGTTACTCACTGGACAGCGGGAGCCAGTACAGACAGTGGCACGATGCCGAAACCGGCAGCTCGGACTGCAGCAGACTGCAGGAAAGCGTCCGCAATCCTGGTTCCCACGGGAATGGCCTCGATCGCCGGTGTCCCGATGTCGAGTACTAGGAAGCTGACCCAATCGGTGAGGCTGAGAGATGAGCTTCTCGCATGTTGCCTTGCACTCACGTCAAGGATAAGACGACACATGCCAAGACCCAAGTCTGAGTCGTGGGGAAGAGATAGATAAAGCACCTGAGAAATCGTCAGCCGCTGGCTCTTGGCGAGGGAATAGCGCATCTCACCTTCGCGGATGATCCAATAGAAATTTGAGAGTCTCTTTGACTCGACTCCTGCGCGGCACACTCTTGTAGATACACCACCTGAGAGAAATCGTGAGCCAGGGAGATGCGGGAATCAATGATCTTGCAGCTCACACTATAATTCTGAGACTGTCGAGCGGATAGGTCAGACCTGCAACATAACAAGGGTTACTCTTCGCTTACAAGATCGGCTGCAAAGTCGAGTGAGCAAAGAAGACATGAGTAGGATTGCAGACTCACAAAGGCAGTATTTCCAGCAAGAATGAGGACAATGAGAGCTGATCTGATAAGTTGGAAGTCATGTGCAGAAATGTCGGACTTACTGATAATCATTGCGTACGCTTTCTGGAACGGGACCATGCTTTGATCAACCAATGACATGCCCGTATTGGTGAATGCGGACACTGCCTGCCAGAAAGCAAACCACGGGATCCCAACTTGCCGAGGCTGTTCATTGAACACATACTGATACCGCCCATGAGCAGCAACAGACGGTGCAATGATGACGAAAGCTGCCATTTGGAAGCAGATGATGTACTAACAAAGTCAGCATACTATTTACAACACGAGAGGGCACTTACACCAATAACGATAAAAAGCAGCACCTTGAGAGCCCTGTACTCTACACCACCAAGTTCATCCATCTGTTCCTCAGTCAAGCCGGTGAATCGACTGTTTCTCCCCACGGTAGCTGTGAACGAGATGTACGGTACTTCTCTAGTAGTGGAGTCACCCGGAGCAATCGTCCCTCTGCCTCCGATTGTCGACGTCCTAGGCATGGTCAAGGATTTACCGAGACCGCTAGAGGCCTTTGGGAACACGTGCTCAACAGCGGAACGAATAAGCTCGAAAGGTGTCGGGAATCCTCCGAATCCGGACAGCCTTGTATCTTTCTTCCGATTAGCGGAGGGTAGCAGAGAATGGGTACGGGGCAGAGAGCTGGTCGCAGTCATGGGGACGCGACCTGACACAATCAGCATCATGTATCCGAGAGAGGCTAACCTTCAGTCTGACTTCGGTAAGTCGCCGTTCTTGGCATGTATCCGCCTTCCCTTCCCGTCGTGATGGCCTGATGGTCGTGGCTGAATCCATCATCTGGATCGTCAAAAGCAATCGTCCTTGAACGAGGAAAGGCGTCTGTCGGACGTCAGTTTGCGTCTGGGTCGTCTGGCAAGCCACTCACCATCGCTCAATACCCTCCCGGCGTAAGGTTGTCTCTCGAGCGGAACTCTAGCAGGCGAGTCAGCGCTGGAGCTTAACGCGGGGTGAGGGCCTTACTCGTGCTGAGGACTCTCAACCACTGGCGCGTCATCATGGGATCCGGTTAGTATGGTCGGAATAGTGATAGATGGAGGTGTCGGGCTTCGTATGTGTTCTCCAGTCCCTTTTAGCACAGGCGAGATAGGTTTCACCGGTTTTGGGGCTTGAATGTCATTCACGTTGCCATTTGCTGGCGGCGGGTTTTCCCCTTCATCATCCGAAACGAAGACTTCTTCGTCAGATCTGTCGCCGCCACGTGTCGTCGAGCCACTCGAATGCGTCGGTTGAGCGGGAGACGGGCTAGGTGTTTCTGCTCGTTCCGCATCATACCATCCCATCGGATTGATCAATCCTACTCCTCCCCCCTCAACACGCTTGATCATGGCTTTGGAGATGTTGTTGACCTTTTTGCCCCCTCGGTGGAATTTGGACTTTCTCGGCGTTGGTGGGTCGCTTGCTTGTACCGACTTGAGCTCGACAGAAGGATCGGAGTGACCTCCGCCGACGTGTTCGGTGCCATGTCTCTGGCAAGGAGATCAGCCCCTGCTTGACAACAGGAAACCGCCGTTACGCACCTCGACGACTGGCTTTTCAGACGGTTTGAGGTGCACGCTGAATCGCTTGCGAATGGCGGTGATGGGCCGCGTCGTTACGCGTGACAAGGTGTTGGTTACACCGGAAGACAAGCTTTTTTCTCGTTTCTGTCGCTCATGTATCGCATGCCTGAAGGCAGACCGGAAGAAGTGTCTACGCGTCCGTCAGAATGAATCACATGAGCGATACATGACACTTACCGCCTGACAATGATGGTGACGAGCGAGATGACTGGCTGTGGGGCGTGTCAGGATGCGTGTCCGACCATACTTGCGATGCTCACCGGATTACCTATCAACATGAGGATCAAGAGGAGGGTCTGTTGAAAGCCGGACAATGTGGACAGATTTATCGTCGCGAGACCGGTGACAGTCATTGCTGACATGCAGATGAACAGACTGTCGATATATTCGATGGTGAAGCCATCAGTAGCCGATGCCCACAGGATAGCGGAGAATACCAGTGGTGTCTGGTAGGATATCTCAGCAAGTCTTCACCCAGCGGCTTGAGAGGACGACGTACGATGGTAAAGTAGATGACATGGACACGATAAAAGTTGAGCTGCTCCGAGCATATTTGCAAGGCCTTGGCCAATCTGGGATGCAGTGGGATGCGCGTGAACAGGCCTTTGCCCGTCGTTTCGGAGCCCTCGTCGCTGTTTTGATGTTCCATGGTGATCTCTTGAGTGTCAAGAAGGGCGAAGCGTTGGGATGACGCCGGTATTATACAGCATTGTCAAGACTTTATCTCATTGTCACCGACGTGTCTGTGACCATGTCAGGACCCGTTATCTGCTTCAAGTCTTCAGAGGTTAGCCGCCGGGGGCGATGGATGGTTGCGTTCTCCAAGAGTATCCAAAGGTATGTCCAAGCGAGTCAAACGTGGGTCGTTGGGTATACAGGGATAGGTTCTCTGAGGAGGTTGAAGGATGGACGAAAGTATGTACAGAAGATGAGAATGGGGATGATGATGGTACAAAGGAAGACGATCAACGATCAACGGCGGGGGGTGACCTGGCTCGAAAGGTTTCAAAAGTTGATCATGCGCCGTGGTGCCGTGGCGGAGGGAAGATCACATGACGTATTAGAGTCGGATCCGATATTGATTAGGAATAACCTCCATTACACTTCTTGGATATATTCTCATTAGAAAAAATGGCCCGTTGGGGAGGCGGGGCCAGTGGTGGTACCTAAAACGGAAGCAAATTGGGGGGAGGAAAAGTTCGCAGTCGCGAGGAAGCTGCCCAAGCAAATTACCCAGCACACACTTTTGGAAAGATAACCAAAGGCTAAACATCGTCTGCACATCATCCTCAACTGATCGACCTTAGTACAGTGTGATCACACTGGGTGGATTTGAGTCGTTTCGTCACGTACCCTTGTGAAGGGTGACTGGTACCGTCTGCCTCGAACGAGCCCGCTTGGAAACTCTTGGCCTGAAGGAAAACGCATCTCAGCTCTTGGGGGGGACGACCGACTGTGGAATGCCACATTTTCCGTCCAGGCGGTGAAGCACGATCTTGCCCACATCGTCTGGCCAACTGTACGGCCCTCAAAGACATCCTCACCTGTCCCAGCCCTCGCTGCTGCAAGCCGGAACGAGACTATCTCCCAACAGAAGAATACAGGGCTGACTTGTGCCGTACATACCACTTTTTTTTTTGTGACGTCTGCTCTGAAAAGTCAACAGGACCTCCTTCTCGCGACATGTCACTCTTTGGTCAGACGAAACGGCATACGCCAGTCAAGCCGAGTCGACGTTCACCTCTTCCCGTCTTCACCACCGATCCAGAGAAAAAGTATGGTCTGAGTGGTCCATTGCCATCTGGATCCTCAGCCTACCTGACCAACGTCTACATCCCCATCCCATTTTTACCGGTCTCCAGATCCTCTTCCTCTGAGTCGCTCTTGAACGGCAACGGGATAGGATCTCCCATCAAGACCCATTCTCGTTCTAGCTCGTATTCTCATCGGCCCAAACGTTACGTCAGAGTTTGTCTTCCTATCCCACCTCATCTATATGCCAGGATTCCTCGGATTAACTCATTACGCCGTATCTTGATCAGCCTACTAGCCCTGGCCACAATCATCCTCTTTCTCCTCGGCTTCAAGAAGCGTGGGCCTGGGAAAAGTACCTGGAGCCCTCCGTTTGTCGACCCAAATACTCTGGTTCTGTCACAGGAGGAACTTGCAGCGATTTGGGAGTGGGAGATCTTGAGTGGACATTACCCGAGTCTCGTTCCTCGTGAGTGAATGATTATCATGGCCAAATCATGTGACGCTCACTCAGCGTAGCTCCGGACGGTCTGCCTCTCTCTTCCAAAATCAACAATCCTGCTGTCCCGGGGACAGAGTTGGCCATCCCCGCCAGTCTGCGGACCAATGGTGCTCCCCACACACAGCTGATAGGCATCGGACCAGAAAGACGCTTTGCATCACTCTCAGATGCTGTGGAAGCTCAACCTGGGTATCCGCCTAGGCCTGTACCTGGGGCAGTCCTGGACCTTGATTCTGTTGTGGAGAAATGCGATTTTGGTAATAACAAGGTGAATGAGTTTAAGTCGACTTGGCTGACTGGCAGTACGTCCGCGATTGCTTGGAATTCCTGCGTGTCGGGGGAAATCTCGACAATGGCCGTCGGGTCAGAAGAGGCAACTACCTCGGCACATACAAGCAAATCTACTTTGAAGGCAGCATGGAGGCGAAAACGCTCCCCTGGACCCAAGACAAACCTCACTTCTCCCTACCATCGCCCCAGCTCGTCCCTGCGACTTACGACTCCTTATCACCTTGCGACCCTGCGCATCCTCGAATATTCCACCTCTTCTGGGCAGGCCCATTCACAGACAAACCCTACATGGCCGTCATGTCTTTCCTCTTTACCCAAAACCTCGGCCTAGACAAACCTCTAAGCCAATACTCTGAAATCGTCAGGAGTACCTGTAGGCCGCAATTCTGGTTATGGATCAATCCTGGCCCAGCGGCTGCCGTACCGAATCCTAACGCCAAGCGAGAGATGTATGAATCTCTCGCAACAAATCCTTGGTCAGCTCCATTCTTGCATCAGCGATTCCGTGACGTAGTCAAGTTCAAGATGTGGAACACGACCGAGCAACTGGATGGTGTCGATGAGCTCAAAGATCACTGGCGGACTATGCCAATTTTCAACTCGGGAGGGAACACATATAAGCAGCCTGCGCCTCAACAGACGGCCGATGCGAAGCTTGCTCCCAAGGACGAAGCAGCCAACCTAGAAGACGTCCTCGCTGCTGAGGCCGAGGCAGAGACTGAGACCGTGACCAAGAAGAAGAAGCAAACGATATTTGACAAAGTTGGCACGACTTCGTCCTCTGAATCTGACTATGATCGATTGTCTGTCATCCTCTCGGACATGGTCCGGTTTGTTCTCACGCATCGATTCGGTGGAATTTATCTGGACGCGGATACGATTTTCCTTCGAGATTGGGAAGAACTTTGGAACTATAGAGGTCAATTCGCCTATCGATGGTCCTGGCATCAAAAATACAACACTGCCGTTTTGAAGCTACACAAGGGCTCAGCTCTCGGTTCATTCTTGTTCAAGACTGCGCTTGCCAATGGATTAGATTTCCACCCGATGACAGTATCGAGGTATCTCAAGGACGCCCAACTGGAAAAGCTCCTCTTCAGAATCCCTGACGCCGTTTTCGATGGCGCTTGGCTGAATATGGAAGGTTATCAGAGGGAAAGGCCGCCATTCCCTTACTTTAGAGAGTTAGTCACAACATGCAGGCTGATTGCTGACATGATTCAGTTTTTCTGTCTTTTTCTCCAACGACAAAGGCGACACCGGAGCACCTCAACCATCAGGCTTCGACGGCTTCTTCCGAGGTTCCTTCTCTTATCACTTCCACAACTTTTGGTGAGTAAAATAGACAACAACGGCGCCATCGACTCTGACGTCCTACAGGTGGTTACCGTTTGATCCAACGCGCAATTTCCCAGACCTCGGACCGAGATTCTCCAAAGGCGAAGCCAAATTACGGGCTGAAGCGAAATCTGCCAAGACGTTACCGGAGGGTGCGCCCGCAGCGGCTCCAGTGGATGTGGCTGAAGACATGGATGACGAAGTGGATCTGAGCTGGGCCACTGTCCTCAAGCGGACCTTTGAAGCTTACTTACGAGGTGAACGCCCGCAAATGTACGGCGAGTATCTCGAATGGGACGATTAGACATTTTTTTTCATCTTAATCACATACAAGGGGTTCTTTGGAGCTGATGATGACAAGACGAGACGAATGAGGAGCATGCATACGATGTGTTTGCCGGAGATCCCAAGCCTGGCTAGACGGCTGCACAGCGACTGGCATCCTCATTGTTTACAAATGTCATCTGCTGAAACGCGGCCACAACCGAATACGAGATTTCAATGTTGTCTCAGTTGAACCTCGCCGGGATCTCGTGCATTGATCTCTCAGACGCCTTTGGATGGTTTTGACTTTACCTTGATTATTCAATAGCTTGAGATGGATGGCTCTGAAGATACATGTTCCTGGGGGCCGGGCTTGCAGCTCGTTCTGCTTTGATCAAACCACCTCGACTTTGCCAGCAGACCCCCGGGTCGCTACGTCTCGATCATGTCCGGAGGAAATATAAAAGTCGTGGTACGGTGAGCTAGTGCAGAACATTGACGAGGCATAAGCAATTGACGGCGTTCGAAGATGTCGACCGCTGAATGCTCGAGGTGAGTACAACGACTGAATTCACATACCTCCATGTGATCATTCGTAGTGAGGCAGCTGACACTTGTCCTTGCTTGCCTTTAGAGCTCGCCAGAGGCTCAAAGGGTCTCATCAAGATGGATGGAAATCAGACGACATTGGAGCCTCCAGAAACTTCTGGATCCTCTGCAAAGGCTATAAGCAAGAAACCAATGTCATTCTCTTTCGGTACGCGTTGCTCAAAGTCGAACGACTGGCGCCTGAAATCTGACTCACGTATGTCCGACAGACAAGTCGTATTGGTCGGCTGGACCTCGAGATGAACCTGGCTACGCGAGTCAACAAACTCTGTACGACGATCTTGGCGTGGAACTGCTAGATCACAGTTTTGAAGGGTTCAATACGTGTATATTTGCATGTGAGCTTTGACGTGGACGCAACATCGAGCTCATTCTCCTCAGACGGTCAGACTGGAAGGTAATTGCTCTCTAGCTTATCTGGGAAACCAACTGACAGCGAGCATTTCACAGTGGGAAAAGCTGTGAGTAAGATGCTAATAAGTCTCCTGTATGTCGTACTAACGTCCTGCTTAGATTCCATGATGGGATGTGAGCTCCTGACATGTGCCTCGGTAGACCTAGACTTATTCTTCGCAGACGGCACAGACAAGGGAATCATTCCACTGACCACATCTGAGCTCTTCCGCCGAGTCGATGAACTCAGTTCTAAGGATCCGAATCTGCAGTACACGGTAGAAGTGTCCTACATCGAGATCTACAATGAGAAGTGAGCTCAAAAAAGTTTGATCAGAGCTCATTCATTAAGAGTACGAGATTTACTCAATCCCAAGAACAAGGGCAATTTGAGAGTCCGCGAACATCCATCTCTTGGACCGTATGTAGAGGACCTCAGCCGATTGGTGGTTGAAGATTACGGTCAGATGATGACTTTGATGGATGAGGGCAACAAGGTGAGCTGCGAGGCGACCAGAGGGGTGCGACTTCTCACATCAACAGGCTCGGACTGTGGCATCGACCAATATGAACGAGACCTCGTCCAGGTCTCATGCTGTATTCACCGTCATCGTCAGTGAATCCCCTATGACATGTTCTCAACTGATCGTTTCGCAGCTCACTCAAAAGCGGCACGATGCCGACACCAACATGACTGGCGAGAAGGTGTCCAAAATCTCCCTCGTCGATCTGGCAGGCTCGGAAAGACAGGCGTCTACAGGGGCGACTGTAAGTCTGTCTCGAGATATTACCATTTACTCGTCCAGGGCACGAGGTTGCGCGAGGGAGCGAACATCAACAAGTCGTTGACTACACTTGGCAAGGTCATTGCTGCACTTGCTCAGGCAAGCAGCCCGGAACCGGGTAAAGCGAAGAAGAAGAAGGACGATTTCGTGCCGTATCGAGATTCGGTACTCACTTGGCTGCTTAAAGAAAGTCTGGGAGGCAATTCAAAGACGGCGATGATTGCGGCTATTTCGTAAGTGCGGAAGGTCTCCCTCGTGAAGCTCGCTAATGATGCGTAGTCCCGCTGATTGTGAGCCGCTGTCTCAGGACGTGTGCATGCTCTGACAGCCACGCCCGCAGACGAGGAGACGCTCAGTACGCTACGGTATGCTGATGCCGCCAAGCGGATCAAGACACACGCTGTGGTCAACGAAGACCCCAACGCGAAACTTATCAGGTAAGCTCCGGAGGACACACAAGTAGAAGCTGACACTTCACCGCAGGGATCTCAAGGAGGAGCTGGAGAGTGAGTGCAGTCACCAGTTCGCGATCTGAGCTGACAGTATCCAGTGCTCCGCAGCAAAGTTGCTCAAAGCGGGGGGGTTGGCGAATCCACCTTTGATTCTTCTATACCTCCTGACAGGCAAATTGTCACGTATCAAACGAAAGATGGCGAGATCCGCCGGGTGACGAAGCTTGAGCTGCAAGACCAACTGGAGGCTTCAGAGAAGCTCATGCAGAATCTGAATCTTACCTGGGAGCAAAAAATGGCTCAAACTCAGGCTATACATGTGGAGCGTGAAAAGGCATTGGAAGAGATGGGAATCACGGTGGACAAAAACGTGAGTTCAAGCTCGAGCCCATCTCACAGGCACTGAAATCTCCATCAGGTAGTCGGCGTTAGCGCCCCTCAGAAGCACCCTTCCTTGGTCAATCTGAATGAAGGTGAGCGATTCCTTGCACCCGCAAGAGGCTGATTGTCCGCAGACCCTCTGATGTCTGAAGTGCGTATACTAGTAGTTGCTGAGCTCGGCTCATTTTCCTTCTAGTGTCTCATTTACCAGATCAAGCCTGGTATTACGACGGCTGGAAGTCTTGATGAAGACGATGCTCAGATCAAGCTGACCGGTGCTCATATTCTTCCAAAACATTGCGTGTTCGTCAATACCGATGGTGTCGTCACTGTGCAGGCGATGGACGATGCGAGGATGTTCGTCAATGGTAAACGAGTGGCACCGGATTCTCCCGTCAAGTTGTTGAATGGTTTCAGGGTGATCTTGGGAGATTTTCATGTCTTTCGATTCAATGACCCGGAGGCTGTCCGCGCCCATCGTCAAAAGCTCAGAGGCTCGGCTAGCATTGGCGATCTTGGGTCTCTCGAAGGTTCACCACATTTCCGACCAGAGTCTCCGAGCAGACCAGATGGCGAAATGATGGATTGGACTGCTGCGAGGAGAGAAGTCGCGGACATTGAGAAGCTGGGAGATCAGGACTTGGAAAAGCTATTTGATGATATTGCAAGTCACTCAGCCTCACTCGAGCTGATCCCCACAGGTCAAAGTCCGAACACAGAGAAAGCGGCCTGAAAGTCGCCGCGATGTGTCAAATGTCGATTTCGCCTCAGAAGATTCACCCGGAGACAATCCATGGGCAACAGTGAACGCAACAACCATCACGTCAAGTAGCCTGGGGACACCTGTGCATCTCGAAGGCGACCGATATGATCAGGCCCACGTCGACATACAATCCGAGGCTTCCACCGAGCAGCCTGTGCCCCGTTGGGTGGCAGCTTTGGATCAAGGAGTAGCCGATGCTCAGCTTGAATCTGCTCACTTGACGAAGCAATTAAAAAGCTTGGCTCAGGAACTCCGAAAGAGTCGGGCACAGGCGGTCACGGCCAAGGTTTTCGACCAGACCACAATTGAGCCTGCAAATTGGTCGTCGAGGGAACTGAGACTCGTCCAAGGAGCAGTCGCTAAGTGGAAGACCTTCCGGACTTTTACAATAGCCGAAGAGATTCTCACGAGGGCAGTGGATCTGAAGGAGGCGAATATCATTGCGTGAGTGAAGCCATTGCCAGTCGGATCTGACAAGAACAGTCATGAGATGGATAAAAAGGTGTCCTACAATTTCGTCGTTGTCGATGGACGCTCTGCCTCGCCCTCTTCGTCTCTGGATTCTTTGAATGGCATCATGGAATTTGAGGATCTAGCAAACGCATTCACCCCGACTCCTGGACCGTGTGTGGCGATCAAAGTCCTGGACAAGGAGGCCAACGGTGAGTATGCTTCCTAGGACGTGCTGACTTCATCAGCCGTCTACACCTGGGATATGAAACGCTTCGACCAGCAAATCGCCAAAATGCGCCATGTACTGGCACTGAAGGAGAAACCCGGATATTCGATTCACTTCAAAGTGGATTCTCCATTCACCGACAATCCTCCGCCTTCGTATTCTTACATCGGTGCTGCCAAGGCCAGCCTTTCTCTCTTGGCCCATCAACTCTCTTCCACCGTCACGATCCCCATCCTCTGTCCTTACACGATGGAAGCTGTCGGCTCGTGTCGCGTGGACATACAATGCAATCTGCCATCAAGATCTGGCGTCATGACGCCAGAGAACCTTGACGACTCGTTCATTACCCCTTTGAGGGTTGGCGAGAAGTTCTCCTTCGCAATCGCAATTGATACGGTCAAAGCCATCAGTTCGGCGGATTTCTCGTGCATCCATGCCCAACTTCGACTCTCGTCGATCGTGGGGCCAAGCGTAGAGTCGGAAGACACCTACACGTCTCAGCTGGTCGACTTGGGCAAATTCTCCTCCACGCACTTGAGCCTGCGAAGGACAATCACCATCGTAGCGACATCGGAGATCATAGAATATCTCACCACCTCGTGGATGTCCATCGAATTCTTTGCCCGGGTTAGACCCGAGTTCCTCACTCGTCTTGAGCGATTCGACCGGACGCGAGAGGCTGTGACTACTACTTCTGTGTCTGCTCCCGGGACACCTGTGCGACCTGGCGAGACTCGGCCGTCGATGCGACGGTGCGAGACTGATTTCATTGGTCCGGAGCAGCACGACATTCTGGTAACTGTTGCCTTGAGCGAGTTATCGTCAGAGGGCACTTATGAGATTGTCGAGGTCGTGGATGACGTCTTTCAACTTCGTCAAGGCGTCCAGCGTCGACTGACGTTGGGACTCACGCATTCGTCGGGCAAGACTCTGCCGTGGACCAAAATCCTGCACTTGTCTACGAGCGACATTCGGACAGTCAGCAAAGGCACGATTTCGTCCGTCAGTCGACCTGGGGTGGAATGTCGAATGACTGCGCAGGAGGTCAGACTACTTCCTGATGGGATCAGTCGGATGAGTGCATCGGGTCAATGGGATTCAGCGGCTCATCACAGTCTTCAACTCGACCGTCGGACATCATCTCAGCAGCATCTCCTGGTCCGACTGACGATTCTTGTCGATATTGAGACAGTTTTTGAACCTGCAGTCTTCAGCCTCGATCTACCAATGAAGATTTTGGCTCGAGATGCTCGACGCTCAAACCTCTTGGCATTCTTTAGTTCATCTCGATCGTTCACCAGTCTCACGTTCACATTCGCCTTGGACCTCCAACCGCCGATCGCGAAGTCCGCAGCAGATCTATGGCGACTGGATACGGCCAAAAAGCATGTGCGAGGACAGGAGGCTCTTGGTGATTGGAAGCCTAGGAGCTTGAGCTTGTTGAATGATTTCGAACGATTGAAGAGGGTTGAGACCAGTCTGGGCAATGTCCAAGTGACAAAGGCTGTGTTAGAGAAATGGGGAGAGATGGAATCGCTCAAAGTGGATGATGAGCCAGCGCTACTGGGCAAATGTGTAGATCTGTGGAAGAAGGCAGTATACCAGCGCATCGTTGTGAGTGCGAAAGCTTCGTTGCCGACATTGCTTATAGTTTCAGGTTGACGTCTCCAAACGGACGGAAGAGGAGGTTGCCATGACCAGAAAGCTTCGAAAGCTGTTGCCCGACCTCGAACCTAAGCTTGTACCTACCGTCAAGCTGCAGCCACGATTGTGAGGATCTGTAAATAGGGTACAACCTGACAATGATAGGACGGAAGAGATCAAATCTGGCACCTTGATGATCCTTCGGAACTCTCAAGTGAACTCTTGGGAAAAGATGTGGTTCTCCTTGAAAAGGTGGGTAAAACCCCTCCAGGCAGTGCTGATCTGCAATAGACCTTATCTTCTGGTCCAACCTTCACCCAATGAAAGGGAGACCCAGATCATCAAGCTTACCAATGCCTACGTCATTGCTTCTCCGGACGTTGAGAAGCTCCTCGGCGTGAGTCGCCCCTCGCGGTCTTAGAATCTCATTCATCCACAGCGCCGATTTGCATTCACCATCTTTACGCCCTCCAACTCTTATGTGCTGCAAGCGCCGTCTGCGAGAGACTTGCAAGACTGGATGACCGTCATCAGTGCCACTATTGAGCCTTGACGTACAGCCTCTCACCTTCCTTCCTTCATTCCTCCACCATTCGAATCTACAACTTGAACGAACTTGATGACCTTGATGATTCGGACGATCACTTACGACTTGTTACGACTAGATAGGATAGTCAGCATCATCCATATCACCTGCATTTGCTATAGCTTCTGCGTATCGTTTTCGTTTTCCCATTCATAGCGATGCTGGATGCGGTCATAGCCGAAGCACAAACGTGCTCCCCGAGACTACATTGTAGAGCGCCATGGCTCATTCATATGCTTCAGCTCGCATGGGTTTCAATCATTCTGCATAACATGGAGCAGCTACAGGTCGACGACAGGATCAAGGTCAACCTGTTGAGCATTGCATGCTCTCCGTATTGAGCCCTCTGCCTGAGGTATTTCCCCCCGCCACATATGCCGTGCCAGTGCCACAGTCACTGGATCTCACACTCTCAGAATGTGATATAAGTGCATGATGCATGATGCAGCGGCTTAATGGCAAATTGTTACGAGGCCGGAGGGAGAGAAAGAGAGCGCGCAGAACCGCAAGGGTGAGCCTTTAGAAAGGGATCGCACAGGGAGAGCTATAAGAGTGACATTACGATCGGGTCTTGCATGGTTGAGCAGTGTCTTTCATGTCCCCTCGAATCGAGTAGCCACAGCCACAGCCATGATCGTCGGTGAATCAAAGGGGCCAACAGAGTGGGTTGCGGTTTGTATAGGGTTCACCAGAAGGTAAAAAGGGGTTTGGAAACGCAATCATAAGAGCATGTCTGAGAGAGAGAGTCGCATAGAATAGGACCGGCAAGTCAGGGGCTGCGCGGGAAAGGGAATGAATGGGGTGGTGGTTGTAGGTAACAATAGCATAGTTTCTGGCTTTTGAGGTTATTACCGCATCGTTCTGGTACTGCAGCGGACGTGCACATCGCATGATTATCTGTCTGATCTGCACCTTATCGATCGATACATACATGTCCCAGGCTGAGCAGATGTAACTCGGTCTGGTTTGGTCTTTGATAATTGAAACCGAAGAAATCCGCCCCGGTCTATCCACAAGTCCACCCTTAACCCCCTCCGACTGTTTTGCCGTTCTTTCTCTCTCTCGACCGCATACATCTCGGATCACTCTAGTCCTACTCGATATAGCCATCTGATCCCATGGATCTATCGAGGAGACCTAGTGACCTGTCTGCATCATCCATAATACACCATCATCCAAAAGAAAACGTCGATTATACCCTTGGTCTCGCTGACTCTCTTCGTCCAAGTGGAGAAGGAGTTGAGGAGGAACGTTCAGCGGTCGTCGGTTTACCTGTCAATCGACGGAGTACAAGACTTTCTCAACAATTGTACATACCTGTCGGTCACGACCCAACGACTGTCCCATTTCCCTCATCGAGACTACCACTCCCACCACTCGGATACAGCGCGAAAGCAGCAGAACCTCAGCAACACCACTATCACCACCACAACCTCAATCTCGTCATTCCCTCAACGGGAGCAGGTACAAGTCGTTCATCTGGACATTCTGTTCATTCTCCCTGCTCCTCTTGCGACTACAGTGATATCCATCCTTCCCCTTCGACCTTCACCCTAGCTCCACCGCCCTCCTCGCATCCTCCACACCCTGGATCCTACTCGCATTATTTGCCCATAGCGCATACCCGATACGATCTTAGAAACTCAACTTCCTCCTCATCTACGAGTCTAGCAAGTCACAGCCAGTTCCCCCCTTCCTCGCTTCCGCATCCCTCTAGCGGTCCCAGTCACCCTCTCAGACCACCTTTGCTCCATTTCAGCTCGAGTGGATTGGACTTTGACGAACGAACTTTACGATCCCCTCATCCACCCCTCACTGCGACCTTACAAGGTTCCAGACCAGCTTGGTCCTCAACTCTTGGAAACCGTCCCACGCATCATCTGGCAGCGCCTGCTCCGTTGACGGCGCCCGTCATCGTTGATCGACCGTTTCATTCTTCTCCCATCGCACACGAGATTGAGCCCTCAGCCGGTTCTCAAGCTTATCATTCTCGCTCTCAAGTCACCTATCCTCTCGGTCCACCATCCGCACCCCCATATCTACCCACTTACTTTGGTGATCAATCCCCGTTCAACCATCAACATCAGCACAAGGCGTCACCCGTCCTCATCCCTCCTCCACTCAAGTTCAGCTATTCTCAGTCACCCCCTCCACCTATTCCTGCATCTCTCATATCGCACACGCACGATCTGGCCATGCCTCCTCGTAAAAAGGCTGCTGTTGCCGCGGCAACCTCATCAGGTCGACCCACTCCTTCAAACTCGCAGACCACAGGCTCATCAACAGCTCGATCTCGCAAGACCTACAAGGGTAACGGCTGGACCGTCGAGCAGACTTATGATTCTACCGGGAAACAGAAAGATGTCATTGTCATCGATGATAGCGAGAGTCCGAGCCGAATACCAAGAAAGCGGACTAGGGCTCAAGCAGCCGCTGCATCTAGTCAATTGAATGGTCATAGTCTCAACGGAAGCGTGGTCAGCGTCACAGGCTCCACCAAGAAGCGCAAAGCCGATGGCTCTGAGGCCGGATCTGCAAAGAAGGCGAAACCAAAGGTTTCAGGGGTGAGTATGAGAAGTCTGACTGGTGACTGATCACACTTTCAGACTGCGACATCGTCTCATCATCCCACCGCATTGCAACCGAAGCAGGTCGTACCTGCAGCTGGGCAATCATCCAGCTCATCCACCGTCCCTCCTTGGGATGATCCAGAAGGTCATTATATTGTAAAGCCTGATGACGTGATCGCCGGCAAGTGTGAGTAAGAGCGAAACAACATGCAAGCCCTCCGCTGACCCGCTTGCAGACAAGATCATTCGATTACTCGGACAGGGCACTTTCGGCAAAGTTGTCGAGGCCCGCCACCTAGAGACGAGACGCAAAGTCGCCATCAAGGTCATCCGAGCGGTACAGAAGTATCGCGATGCGAGCAAGATCGAGATCAGGGTGTTGGAAGCGCTCAAGAGGAATGATCCAGAGAACTACAAGTGAGTAAAATCGTAACAGGCTTGGCTCATATCCTGCAGCAACTGCATTCATCTCGTCGAGTACTTCGACTTCCGAAATCATCCGTGCCTAGTGTCAGAGCTGTACGGGATGAGTGTCTTCGACTTTCTCAAGCAAAATTCTTTCTCTCCTTTCCCGGAGAGACATATACAGGACTTTGCAAAGTCTCTCCTCAGGAGTGTAGCTTGTAGGCTGGCTGTAATGATCAGTCGCTGACGCAATCAGTCTTGCACAAATTACGCCTCGTTCATACTGATCTGAAGCCGGAGAATATCCTTCTGGTATCTAACGAGTCGAGACTTGGTGGACCGAGGGTGAGACCGACAGGCGGAAGTCAGGGGACATGTTCTGATGTCTTTCAAGGTCAAGAACGCCAAGTCACGATCGATCCTGCGAAACACCGACATCCGCTTGATCGATTTCGGATCGGCGACGTTTGAGAATGAGTATCACTCGTCTGTAGTGTCTACACGGCACTATCGTGCACCAGAGATCATTCTAGGTGAGGGTACTGTGATCACACAAATGCTGATCTTCTAGGGCTCCCATGGTCATACCCATGCGACATGTTCTCCATTGGCTGCATCCTGGTCGAATTTTACACTGGCGAAGCATTATTCCAAACACACGACAATCTGGAGCATCTAGCAATGATGGAGGTCGTCATGGGCAAGATGCCAGCCCGGATAGTAGAGCGGGGACGGTGAGTATTCCTGTGTTCATGCAAAGAGAGGCCCGCTGATGATCCGCTAGACATAAAAAGCCCGAATTTTTCAAAGGTCACAAGATTGACTTTCCCAACGCCAGTGTGTCCCGCACGAGTCGCAAATTTGTCAAGTCGTTACGAAGTCTTGCAGGTGGGTCCGCTGACTGAAGCGTTATATTGACCTGAATCAGAGATCATCCCTCCCACTACCGCGCACAACAAGCTCTTCCTCGACCTCATTGTCCGACTCTTAGATTTCGACCCGGATTCGCGTCTGACGGTGACTCAAGCTTTGAGGCATCCATATTGTTCAATGGAGATAGATCCACCTCCATGATGAAGTCACAGTCGATACCTTAACGCATATCTCGGTGAGTATACTCGTGACATGTACAGTACAGTGGTGATGGTTCCTAACGGAGAATCAGGTCATCATTCAATGTACATGTAATGCCTTTCCCTTCCGCATCTTTGCTTCTCACAACCCTCATCGGCTGCTTTATGTCCTTGTCCACTCCTGCATATGATTTTCGACTCTCGTATGGCGCACAACGACGACCCCACGACTTTGCATTCTCATGCTCTTACTGGGTCTGTGGCCCGGACTATTTCATCTCTCATATCTCTTCGAAAGATTATCACTACATGTCGTTATTCAGGTAGTCAAGCGACTGAATGCAAGTGGAATGAAGTGTTTATGCAAGACGCAGGAATTCAAGTTTAGGGGGCCAGTCATGTGTGGTCGAGAGAAGGGCTAAGCGTTGACGTCTCCCGAGGTTTATTTAGGTGGCCACCGCCTTCTTCCAGAAGCGCCAGCTCTTTTCCCTCACCTCCTCTCCTCTCTTAGCCTCTATCTGCCCCCCCCCCCCCCCCCCCGCGGGCGCCCCAGCACGCAGAGCGCAGTCGTCTAAGCTGAGCTACGAAGTGGAACTGAAGTGAGAAGGCTAGGCTACCGGATGCTGCTTTGCTTTTGATCGAATGATGTGCCACAAGCGCGGCTCTAGATGCATAACGTCATGGTGAAAATCGTCATACCCTGGACAGCCAGCCCATCCAGATGAGCTGCGTGGCAGCTACGAAAAGGAGGAATTGTACGCGACGGGATCTTTGCGAGTGTGATAGTGTGCCTGCAGTGACAGCAGGCATGGAAGATGGATCGGGCAAAAGGACGTATTTGAGCGATCGCAGCTGAGCACAGCATGAGCACCGTCGCCGCTGCAGTTAAGACCCACGAGGAAGAAGCCGTTCGCGCAGAGGGCATAGACAAAGACAGCGATGGAAGTCAATCGACCGAGATTTAAGAATCCGACCAAGATGGTCAAGATGATCCTAGGTGGATTCATGAGCTAGAGTCCCCGTTGTGAAAGTCAAATGAGCGCTCACCCGACAAATTTGTAGCCACCATAACCTATCAATTCCACGCCACTTGCTCCGCTGTTTCTGACGTCCAGCAGGTAGCATCCCAGTTTAATGATGCAGAATTCGACGATAACTACAGCGAGCGCCTTGCTGAGAGTGAACCCGAGGATCTCTGGGTGGAACTTTGATTGTAATCCAGAGGCTAGAGCAGACAACAGGGTGTACGTGACCAAGGCCATGGCTATGAAGACTTGTTAGCCGAATATGCAAGGTGTCGACTGGCTCGGAGAGACTCACTAGGAATGTACAGATCCGGCGCGTTGATATCGTCCCTGGGAGGCTGCCAACCCTCCACACCTCCTTCTCCTGTCCGTTTGACCTGGCGTGCCCAGGGTGAATGACGCCACGGGAAAAGGATCAAGCGCAGCTTCCTCAGAACATAAGAGTTGGTGACTGAGAACGATATCTTGATGAGTTGAAGGGGGAGATACCGTGTGAACTGCAAGTTAGGCACACATTAGCTACTGCGGTCTCGGTATAACTTTGGATCAACTCACATTCTTCTCGACGTACTCTTGACCTGCTGCGACTGCACTCTTTCCAAATTGCACACCCATCTGAGCCGTCGCGTCATTCATACCTGCCCAAGCACCGAATCCCTGAGGCGCGTTCATGCCGTATCCGCCCATCGCTGGTGGGTTAGGACTAGCTCCATACCCTTGCCGAGGATGGGTTTGAGCATTCGGCGCTCCGTACAGGTTACCATTCACCCCTGAAGACGATGCAGAGATACCCGTCGCAGCTCCAGCTGACGAGTGTTCACCAACTGGCGGGGACGAGTACCTCGTGTACCCAGCTCCATCTTGAGATATACGCTGGGCTTGAGAATAGGGTGACGAATTGTTGGAAGTTCCCGGTGTGTGAGGTGGTTCAGGAGGTGGATAAGCTGGATGAGTAGGTTTAGGGTGTTGAAGTGGTGGTGGAGACCTAGAGTTCATATATGGAGGTTGCGCCATGGCTAATGAAGCGTATGACACGGTCTGTCCCACGAACGGCCCTCCTAGCTGCTGCTACACGTCGTCGACCTGAAGCACCCGCGCAGGGAATATTATTTATCTCTCTAATAATTCATTCCGTCATTTTATCCCAAATGGGCGGCCTGCCTCCACTTCCGTTTCAGATTTCAATTCAGAATTTTTGAACGAGCACACTCTTTTTACACTCGGAATTTGCAGGTGTCCATTCACTATGGCATTCCAGAAGGTCACGAAACAATCCGGCAGGACTCCAGAACAGCAAGCAGCTAGAGATGCTCGGAAAGCAGCAAGACTAGCTGCTGCTGCTGCTGCGGCTGCGGAGCCGGCCGACGAAACCGAGCAGATGGCAGAATCCTCCTCCATGGCTGCTGCTAAGCCCGAAGAGTCTGAGCAATCGAGATTGAAGAGGCGGAGGGAAGAGGAGGAGAACGATGATACATTACTGGAGATCGATGTTGCGGCTCCGGAGCCACTCTCAAAGGCCGAAGCTCGCGCAGCGAAAAAGAGGGCGAAGAAGGGCTTACCTGAAGCCCCCAAAAAGGCAAAGAATGAAGATAAGGACGATCATTTCGAAGCCGGGGACGAGGATGAAGAGGTCGACCAGACAAGAAAGAAAGGGGAAAACAGAGCGGTGCGCAAACAGAACTCAATCTGGATTGGAAACCTTTCCTTCAAGACGACCGAGGAATCTCTGAAGCAGTTCCTCGAGAAGGGTGTATCAGAGCTTGGAGGAGTAGGAGAAGGTAGCGTGACCCGGGTCAATTTACCAAAGAAGGCTGGTAAGGGCGGATACGCAGAGAACAAAGGGTGAGCGTGTTCGATTGGCTCCAAATGTATGCTGAAGTAATAACTCCTCTCAGCTTTGCCTACGCGGACTTTGCTACTCCGGAACTGCAAGCTCTAGGTGTTCAACTCAGCGAGGCCTTCTTTGAAGGACGAAAATTGCTCATCAAGCTTGGTGAGTCCCTATATTGGTGTCGGCAGGCTGACTCACGTTGCTTTAGGTAATGACCATAAGGAAACTCCGAATGCTCGTACACCTAAACCTGCAAAGGAGGCTGGAGCTGCAATCCTCAAAAAACAGCCCAACAAGCCTAGTGCCACTCTTTTCGTTGGTAATCTGTCCTTCGACACGACCGAGGAAGGTCTAAGAGATTTCATCGAAAGTAATGCCAGCGGCTCAGGCGAGAAGATTGACACCGAAGAGTCTGCTATAAAGAATGAAGAAGCGGACGTCGATCCCGACGCCGAGGACAAGGATGAAGTAGAAGATCTCGACAAGCACAGAGGAGGCAAAAAATCTGGCCTACGCAAAGTCCGTCTCGGCGCTTTTGAAGATAGTGGAAGGTGCAAAGGGTGAGTTCCCACATTCTCCATCCTACTTGGTGCGTCTCAGCTAACCTTTGCTCCAGCTTCGCGTTCCTCGACTTTCACACCGTCGACCAGGCTACTGCTGTGTTGATCAACCGCAAAAATTATACCTTGGTTGGCCGGTCTCTTCTCCTACAGTACGCATCCGAAGATGCAGCTAGAAGGGCCGGGTCAGGACCAAAAGGACACACGAAACGCGCGCCGAGGACGGAACGAGCCATCGCTCAAGGAGACAGGCCTCCGCCTCACGCTCGTCCACCTAGGCCCGTCTCTACTCCAAAAAGCAGCTTCATCGATATTCAGCCTCGACCTCGCCCTGTGGTCGTTGAGGCAGAATCTCGGCCTATGACAGAAGGTCCAGATACATATGTAGACCGTCCAGAGCGATCAGAGAGGAAGAACGACAAGCGAGGGAAGAAGTGGGAAGCCACTGGTCGGCCTAAACCTGGTGCGGCTTTGGCAATGGCCAAGCGGGAAAAGGTCGGAATCGTTGAAGCCAAGGGCGAGAAGATCACCTTTGACTAAGCGTTGAGCTTCTGCTTGGACGGTGATGTAGCTCTAAGTGTCATATCATCATCCTGACTGGGATGCATACAATGACGATCTACATGGTTCATGCCAAGTGATGATCCGCTCGCTATATGGTCGGCCGGAAGTCGCGGTCAATTTTGAGTCTGTCGGAGAAGCGGACCCTTCGCTTAAAGGCCATTTTCAATCCATCCAGTCCTGACGCCCGCTGTTCTGTCTTTGCCTTCAGGTAAAGAATTTGATTCTATGAAGACGCTCTGAACCAGGAGGAGCCAGACCGTACTCCACCTATACCACGACAGCTGCGTAGGATACGGAATCCTGGATGACAGGCAGAAACGACTCGGATTTGACCTGCAACGAGTTTCGAGGTTGATTTCGTCTCGTGTGCATATTGGTACATCGGAACCCTAGGATCGCCTTTCCTGCGAGACATAGTGAGTCTTCTGAGCCGGTGCAATGAGTCTAATGCTTTGTCTGTCTTACTCCCCACTGATCATTTCGACCAGACATGATCCCCATATCGCGCGACGGGACTTTGGAAGCTAGTACTTCCAAATGTCCGATATCCCTGCCGCCGTTCCCCTTCATACCGACAGAACTTCCCATACGCACACCCAGAAACCAGCACAGCGTTTTTAGTAGACATCAATCCAACCACAGTGTCTACTTCTTACCAAGCTCTTTGGAGGTCAATGTCGACGGATCTTCGAAATCCCCAAGAAAACCATTTCATGTCCCTCGCGAATTCCATTCCATGGTAGCTGGAGCAGGTGCAGGATTAGTCTCGTCAATCGTCACTTGCCCTTTGGACGTTGTGAAAACGACTCTTCAGGCTCAGAGATTGAAGAGGGATGCACCGGGCTATGAGGGAGTCACGAAAACGTGCAAGAGAATATGGAGACAATCTGGTTTTAGAGGGTTCTACAGAGGACTTGGTCCAACCGTCACTGGGTACCTACCGTGAGTCAAGGGATGGAACTATACCGAGAATGACTGATGATTGGCTATGCAGTACCTGGGGTATCTACTTCACAGTCTATGACCTTGTGAAAGATCGATTACGTGGTTGGGCAGAGCATGGTGGTGAGGACTTGGCTGATCCGGCCCCCCTTCGTGGCCTTTGCTGATCTACGATCAGCCCATCCCAATGCAGATGTCGCCCTCATGCACATCCTAGCTGCCATGACAGCGGGTGCCACAGGCACATGCTTGACAAATCCATTATGGGTGGTAAAAACCAGATTTATGGTGCGTTTCATTGTTACCCCTCAGCACGCCCCCTCTATCAGATAAATTCCATCCTACATCTGCAACTATCTTGCGCCTCCCCCCCTCTCCCCCCTGCGCGGGGGCTCATCCCCTCCTATCCTCGTCTAGGCTATTGAAATGAGCTTCTCTGTCAATGGCAAGGACGCTCACCATGCATACAGGCACAAGCGGTCCTGCCGCCGACTGCTCCACGATACAAAAACACCTTGGACGCCATCTTGACCATCTACCGGACAGAGGGCCTTCGAGCTTTCTACAAGGGCTTGCTCCCGAGTCTCGTAGGCGTTTCTCACGTGGCCATTCAACTGCCGCTCTACGAGCGCGCGAAATCCTGGTCAGGTCAGTGAACATTGCATCCACGCGACTTTCCATTGACTGGCTCAGATCCGGGAGGAGACCACTCTCAATTACCTGCCACCACTATTCTCGCGTGTTCTTCTTTCTCTAAGATGGTTGCATCCCTCATCACTTATCCTCACGAAGTATTGCGGACTAGGATACAGATCAGTCGTCGAAACTTGGCAGCCCCGGCTGATTCCTCGCCATCACCATCGCCAGCCGCTACCCCAGGTCCCACTTCATCCATCCCTGCCCCTGAGTCAAATCTGCCTGGAACAACTTCTTCTGGCACGCATACCAAGCCGCCACCTACCTCACCCAGCCCTTCAAGCACTCCTAGACCAGCTTACAACTATCACGTCCTACCTGTCTCCACCACCCACCATCCTCATCTCTACTCACCTCTTTTGGCCGGTTCTCAACCGCCCGTACCGGTTCATGATACCATCTCTCCAACACAGCTCGCGGACGGGAGTGGTAATGGTCATCCGAAGAAGTATTTCGGTCGACGAGGCGGCATCATACATACTTTTCTCAAGATTCAACGACAGGACGGTTGGCGAGGGTTCTATCGAGGTCTGAGTATCAATCTTGTTCGGACAGTGCCCAACGCTGCTGTAACGTTTCTAACATACGAATTGATCATGAGGAATCTAGCCTAGAGCACGAAGTAGTACCGGGAATGCATAATGTAGCGATCGACATCTCGAGTCGAGCACTTTACCCGATGGCCTTGAAGAGTCCTTCGATGACAGTGGAGAACGCCATGGCACCTGGATCAGGTGGCAACTCCTTTCTATCTTCCCTCTCTCCCACATATGTCGCTCGACCCAGCTTGGCTTGCATACTGACAGTTGCCATTGAACCCTCTTTACAGGCTTTGGCAGCCTTGCCCAGATCTCCAGTGGATGCCAATGTATCTGAAAATGGGATGATTGCGTCCATCACGGTTCGGTGTCCCACACGAGCGGCCGTACGTTGTTTCAACGTCTCGAGACCTGAAAGACAAATCTGACCAAAGAATTCAGGTGTGATACTCGGCTGAGGAGATTGAGACGCAGCGTCGATGATTGAAGTCGTGATACCAGCTAGAAAGATGGACAGGATCGCTCCTAGCGTACCTCCCATGGAATCTGATGATGATTCAGTGAGCCCTTTCAAAACACGAGAACCTCACCATCAATGACTTCGGTGAGCTCTCTGAAGAACGTGACCAAGTCTCCATCCGAACCCAAATGGTGACTCTCGATTGCCTCGAGCACGCCTTTCGCGCCCATGGCGCAGGTCTCTCCGCAATCTCCATCTCCGACAATCTAGAACGATCAGTACAGAAAGTCTTGAGGTGGTTAACTCACAGTGTCCCATTCGGTGAGCTTTGGCTCGAGTGCCAAGACATCCTCTGCAGCCTGTCTCATGGCCTTTTGTATCATCGTAGAAGATGTTGAGAGCTTTGGGACGGACGCCACGACCTCTTTCTCCTCCTTCGCCACCTCTGTAAATGCATCTTGCCTTTTGCGGGCCTGCAACTTGCCAGGCAAGGGATAGATGTTCTGCGTGGCGGGCCAGGCGAAGGACGTATGCGGAGCATCGATCAATGTCAATAGCTCTTTGGTCGAGACACCAGTATCTTTCGCAATATTGGTAAGATTTGTCAATGAAATCGAGAGACCAGGCATGTTCATTGACCCCATGAAACAGCCTTGGAAGATTCGGACAGGTGTGATGCCTTTCTCCTCTATTCCGAGTCGAGCATTAGCAAGGTAGCGCAAACGCGGAAGATCGTTACCTACCCAGCTGATTGAGCGTTTCGTCCACCGCAGCTCCCATTTCGAGATTACTCATGCCTCCTTGGTTGTTCATCAAGAGGACGAGCTCGTCTCCATCTGCAAACTTGACGAAGGATCTCTCGGGATCATCTTGATCCAAGACGAGTTTGAGCATTTTGGCGATGAGCTCTTCAGGCCCCGGTTGAGCAATGTTGAGGACGCCCTGCATTTCCCCACTCAGCGTCCATTCAAGTCAATGTACTGAACCCCACTCACCGTCTCATTATGCAGCCCCAAACCGATCTCGCACCGTCCTTCAGGGATCTCCCAGTCTGCAGTATCTCTCCCTGGTACATGACAATGATTCAGAGCCATACAGATAGAAGCTGTATTGGTAGAGATGGATCGACCCAAGTCCACGAGATCATGGAAGGCCATATCGGCTTCAGAGCCCGCACCGAGAATCTTGCAGACCAAGGTTATACCTGCGAGACATCGTCGACCGACCATGTTTCCTCTTGATCGAGGGACAGAGACGTCGTCCCCAACCACCACCAGCTCGACGTTCTTCAAACCTTGCGATTGCGCCATGAGTCTCGCCAGACCAAAGTGGAGATTGTCACCGGTATCTAAACAACAGGTCGGTCAATCACACGACTCCAAACCGCTTGAGCCTCACAATTGGTGATGATGAGGATCGTTCCCTTGTCTGAAGGGACAGCTTTGATTCCTCCAATAACTTGCTTGGCGGACGGACTGGCAAAGACATCCCCCGCAACGCTAGCACTGAGGAGTCCTTGTCCTACAAATCCGACCGTACCAGGCTCATGACCAGATCCTCCACTACAGCGCAATAACAGAAGACTGTCAGAGATCCGATTATGGCTCATGATGTCCCGCTTACCCGCAGATCAAGGCAACTTTAGACGGATCGTGATTCGCATGGTAGACAATCTTCAGAGAGGGGATGACAGACAAGTGAGGGTGAGTTGCGACGAGCCCTTTGAGAGATCTCACGACGAGCGTCGTATGATCGTGAAACAAATGCCTGTCGGTCATGGCTGATGAGTACGGTGAATCTGACTGGCTCTACCCTAAGACGATGGATAGAGATCTATACGAATCATGCAGAGTCATCCTCAAGCCTCATATTATTAACTCCGGTCCGAATCCGAGCCGAGCTATATCATCCGCCATTGTGCCGAGTCAGTGCCGAGCATCATGACTCTGCCTTCTCCGTCTGATCCGTCGAGTCTGCTTCCGAGAAACGATGTCCTGAGAATCCCCATAGCGGCGGGCTAGTGACTAAGTTGAAAAAGCAATAACTGGCAAGGGGATCATCATCTGAATTCCGACAGGCAGAGTCATGTTGCTACTTGAATCGCTCATGATGCAACTCATATGATACATGCGAGCGTCCCACAGCCTGAGCGAGACGCCGAAGAAGAAAAGCGAAGAAATAGTAAGCGAGTCGAAAGCGAAGGAGAGGATACGAAGGTCGCTCTGAGGGACGTCCACGAAGGGGACACGGCTCGGAGGGAGACCTGAGGGTTGATGAGAGGTTAACGGCTGACAGAAGTCAGCACGCAAGTCCGTCTGACTTCCGGTTCTGAACCCACTCTTCAGCCCACTCGTTCTCTTTTCGGATCTGCTCCTCCTCCTCAGGAGTGAAGCTACGTAGATCAGCACGGTTTGTGATCTGGTGCGACACAGAACACACTCGTTTTGGATGTTGAAGAGTGTCCTAATCTGTTCAGGAGACTTGCCCTTGATCATGTTGCTGGAAAGAGATTGATCAGTTGTCAGTTCTCCAGACAGTCTCGGGAACATACGCGACCTGTAATACTGTCAGTACATGGTTTCAAACAAGTGTGCCGACTCACAGTCTTGCATCCCACGTCCCTGTGGAGAGAGTTGGTCAGTACAGTTGTGGAATCATACGTCTCGAGCATGGTGTATCATATCTACTCACAACAAAGGTTTGATATCCAGGTAATTGGCAGCGAGGATGATCTCAAAGAGCATTTCCTGGTCGACCTGGCTCAAGCTGTCAGCCTGGAATCATGGACCCGTAACCTGCGTCAAAAGCTGACCTGAATGAATCTGGAGCATCATTGTCAGGGAAGTTCACAACTCGCTCCTTAAGACCCACTTTGAATCCCAGTCCCCAATCTCTGATGTCTTTTTTCGAGAATCATCCGCGTCCGCATCCGCAGCGGGAAGAGGCTCATTTTTGTGGTGATCACAGTACTCCAAGACCTTTGCGAGAACCGATGAGGATACGTTAGGAAGCGGAATCATAGAGTCTTGGGAGGGAAGATCTGGCGACAGACGTCAGGACAAGACCTTGCAAAATGTGTAGCCCAAAATCAAGGCTGATTATTTAATTCAAGTCACCGAGTCGCCGCTCGCGCACACCCGGGGACCCGATGTATATCATCATCACCTTCCACTCACCCTCCAACATCGACTTGATCATGGCACTCCTCTCGGCAACCTTCTTCTCCACCGTGAATTGCTCATCGTCAGACGTTTGGAGGATGACAGAGTCCTTCTTTTCGGCGGACATGACGGAGTAGGGGGGGGGGGGGGGGGGCGAGGCCAGAGATAGACCTTGGTGGGGACTTCGGCGAGGGTATCAGACGTAGGTGGTAGGGCTCAGGTGTATGAGCCAGGTCCTAGACTAAAGTGAAAGACCAAAAAAGTGATCCACAGATTATCCGCGAGTGTCGTGTCAGTAGGTCTCAGCTTGAACACAGGAATGAGAGCTGTCACAAAGGTTGTGTCTTGGAGAACGAGCGTGAATGAAAGCAAGCAAAGCAACGCACAAAGGCTTGTTAATAGGCACGAGGAAAGCTGCGCCTATCTCTGCACCAGATCTCTGCTAATTTTTTTGCTCCCGTGATTCCCGTGGGCCAGAAAGCCACTCACCCTCCTCGGTCCTCCCTCCCTCTCCCTCCCCATAAGGTACATCTGGGCTTCTGGGCGTGCTATAATTGTTTTTACACTCTCCACTCCACATTGTCTTCCCAGATCTGAAAGTGAGAAGAGGAAGGGGGAGGAGTTTGTCCCATTGGAAAGAATTTTTGGAGAGCCTCGATCGATCAACCACTACCACCACTACCAACCTCAACGTCGCTTGGTCTTCTCTTTGCTCCATCACAGACATCGACCTTCGACAGATATTTGACTGACAGCGTAGGGAAGATAGCCTTCGATCGTGGCTTGACTCAGACGATTCCGTCACCCCTCTCTCAATCCTGATATCTGTATAATCTCTCTCTTCTCATCTGCTTGTCAGTCTTGAGGGATCTTCCTTCTCATCCCTCTTCTCATCATGTACGGCAACAACGACAAGGTGATATCAAACGATTATGCCATGAACGTAAGCGGACCCTCCACTTCCGATCGGGCGGCGCAACGAACATCACAGTCCGGTGAGACGCACAACGCAACAGTGGACGACACTCGACAATCCGATCAACAGTCCTGGTTCCCTTCCATGCTTGGCGAGCTTCCTGGTCAATCCATGTTTCCATCTCATCCGTCGCAACGTCAACCGTCTGTCGATTCGGGTCCAGCACACACCTCACAGAGGAGTCATCAGACGAGTACCTCAGTGACCAGCTTTTCCAGTCCTGAAGGGACGCTCAGCGCGAGTACGAGTGGTAGCAGACCTGCCCAGAACGGCAAGCTTGCCAAAGCCAAAGCCACAGCGATAGCTCCTGAAGCTACGAACACGACGAAAAAGAAGAAGAAGAGGAAGTCTGGCGAAGTGCCAAATTCAGGAGGAGGTGATGCGGACGGGGACAAGGAGAAGAGGATCAAAACGGGTAGAGCTTGTGATGCTTGTGTCAGTGGATATGTTGACTCAATGGGAGATACCGAAGCTGACTTGAAAATGTGTCTCCAGCGAACCAAGAAGATCCGGTGTGATATCTTGCCTTCAACGACGTCGCCCGGGGGCCGAGAATCTCAGCAGATTTGCGCTCATTGCAAACAGTGTGACCTAGAGTGCACCTGGTTCTTGCCTATCACTGAGACTCGTTTCAAGAAACGGAAAACGATGGGTGAGCTAATGCTACGTGGTCCAGTGTAATGAGCTGACGTCTGTGAAAGAGGACTCGAACGACGCCTCGTTCAACCTAAAGGCGAGTGCCACTTCCTCGCCTGGTCCGGCCACTCCGCGCGAAGTACCGGCAAGAACAGAAGGTGACATATTTCTCTCTGCTACGGTTTCCCGAGCTCACGTCGTCCAGGTCCAACATCCCTATCGTTTCTCCTTCACACCGCTCTCCCTGCGAACGCAACTGCTGCTTACGATCTGCGTCAACACAATCGTTGGGAAGTTTCGGAAGACGGGAACGGCCTCATAAGAGTGTCCGTCCCACCTCTTTTGAACGGCAACGAAGACGTGGAAGACCTGACAAGAGGGTACAATCGACTCGCTCGACCGACACTCAACGCTGCAACCATTTCCTCGCTTGTCAATGCTGACTTTGATCATATCGCGCCATTGTTCCCTATTGTCCTCAGGTGCGATTTCGCGGCAAAAACCAATCCCAGTCCATTACTCCTGTATGCCATCTGTGGGCTAGGCTCAACCCGTCGGGAGTTTCCGAGGGAGCTCTTCGCGGGTGTTAGGGGCATGATCAATGGATTGCTGCGGTCCAACGATATACTCAGTGATGCTAGATTTGAGCATGTCCAGGCCTTGGTGAGTATAGCGTTGAGTATTAACGTTCTGACTTGACGTTATAGCTCCTCCTTGCACAAGCCGGAGATCTTCATGCTCAACCTACAGCCGCCACTGCCAGTGCCTGTCTCATCCGACTCGCTTCTGCTATTCGAATGGCTCAAGACCTAGGTCTGCATCGAGAGTCGTCTTCACGTGCTCAAACAGTTCGAGATCTGGCATTCGTAGAGCTACGCCGGAGAGTCTGGGCAACGTGTGTGATTCTTGATCGATGGTTAGTGGTGGTCGACTCGAATCATGCCTTGCTGACTTCCCGCTCTCAGGTACGCGGCGGCCTTGGGAATCCCGCTGTTGGTCGATCTGCTCGACTGTGACATTCTGCTGCCTGCGCCATACGAGATTCTTCCCGATTCAGAGCCGTCTTCCTGGCGAATCGACCCGAGCTATCTCTATCTCGCCGAACACCTCAAACTAGCTATCCTGATCGGCCGAGTTCTCAAGACTATCTACTCGCCGACAGGTCTTAAACACACTTCAGATGAACAGCTGCGGAATATTTTGGATGACCTAGCAAATTGGCAGAGGAACTTGCCCAATGATTTGAAGTTCAGGGGGAATAGTGATTCGCCCACTTCTGGTGAGTAACCTTCTACTGGCTTCCCTTGTGCCCCTTTTGACCGGCTTTTAGGCTTGCTACATATTGCCCGCGCCGCCTTGAAGTTTCTTTTCTGGCGAGTGTTCCTACGAATCACATATGTGGTCCCTCCCCACCTTCAATTACGAATCCAAGTGGCGGATTGGACCGACATGGTCCAGAATGCAGCCGAAGCCATTCAGTGGCTGTCTTCCAATGACAGCGTCCTTGATACAATCTTTGTCTTTGCGTATACCCTTACTTCTTGTGCTTTGGTTCATTACCATACTTGGGCCAGGAGGAAAGATCCAGTGTCTTTGGAGATGCTTAGGTTGGTCAGAGACACGGCTCAGCGGTGGGAGGAGCAGGTCCAACCGGGTAAGCGAAGCGCGGGACGTAAGGGGGCCGGGACTCTGCTGATCCTTGGCCTCAGATCAAATGAGTCTCCGTCGGAAAACATGCGAGATCATGACGCTCCTGCACGAAGCCGCACTTAAAACCAACCCTGAAGACAACGGTCAACATCTCCCTGCCCCTGTCAACCCGACCCCCGGCGTCTCTGCGCGGTCCGATGTCTCCCGAGTGGCTTGGGTGAAGGACAACGAAATGCCAGGAACTGGCTTCTGGGTGGCGAGAAGCGACGAAGATCGTCGAGCAGGAGGGGTCATAGCTGAAGCTGTCATTCTGCTCGAGGATCTCAAGCCGCACTCGGACGCACACAGAAAGGCTCAACGGGCTTTGGGCATACTGGATGAACCTGAACCGCGACCTGGACCTGGACCGAGCGCAAACGATCCATTCGCGAGCATTGAGATGAGCGACTTGCCCGCCGAGATGCAAGCTATTGCCAATACTGCGAATGTCAATCCGCAAATCAATGAGAAGGGTGTGGATCCGTTCTCGGGGCAGCCGGGGCCCGATTGGACGAGCTGGGTGAGCCCCTCGCGCACGACGCTTTGGACGAAACAGTACTGATCGGATACTTTCCCAGTCTCTCCCATCAAATCCTGTGCAGGAGGTGCTGAATCTTGGCACGTTGGATACTTTGCCCATGAGCTCATTTGACTTTCCTTCGTGGGAGGTGAGTACGATGATGGTGCACCCGGGAGCAGCAGGGGTTGACCATGTCGTTCCTTAGCAATACTTTACAGCGATCAACTCGGCTGTATCACCTGAGCGGGAAACCTTTGGTCAGCTGCAGCCCATCGACTTGCGTAGTCATCCGTGAGCGTCAGCGGAATCGCAATAGTCACATTCCGTGACGCGTGTTGGATGTGGAGGGGGTCCTTTCTATCTGTTGGCTGTAGGTAGTGAAGATGGTTTTTAGTTCTATCTGCTTGTTGTGTAGTTGATCATCCGCGGATCATAGCTTGTACATCAATATCGTCGTGTATTCACATCCCTCCTGCCTACTTCTCATAGCTCTTGATGGCTTCGACTTTCGGTGCACTACTACTCTGTTCGTCGAACACAAGTCCAAGCCATTCTTTGACCAGTTTCCTAGCTAGTTCCAGACCGATGACTCGTTGACCCAAACACAAGACCTGGGCATTATTCGAGAGGACAAGTCGCTCGACAGAATACGAGTCGCTGAAGGGAAGCCAAGGGATGTTAGCCAAAGGTCATTGCGGCCGAAGAAGCAGAGTGTCAGCAGGGTAGGATCAGGACTCACTGGGCTGTACATGCTCGAATACCGGGCTTATCAAGAAGAATGAAAAAACCAGCACGTCAGCAGATGAAAGTAGCTGGTATTATCCGATGCGCCGATGTCGATACCGACGTCTCTCGCTCCGCTCCGCTCCGCTCGCCTCCATTCACCTCACGCGTGACTCACCACTTTATTCGCACTGATGGCCACGCCGATACCCGTACCACAGATCAATAAAGCCCTATCGACCTCTCCACTCGCGACTTTCCTAGCGGCTTCCACGGCGATATGAGGATAATCCGTACTGAGATCGTCCTTTTTCAAGCCCACACCGACATCTTGAACCGAAATGACCCTAGAGTCTTTTTCAAGGTCCGCTTTCAGGGCATCTTTGTACGTTTGACCTGCTGAATCACATCCAACTACAACTTTCCATCGAGGTGATGGTGAGGACATGGCGAGTCGGCTGGAATAGGCTGGTGGTGGTGGTGCTGCTAGTGGTGGTGGTGATGGATCACGCTTCCTTCGGGAAAGCTCACTGTCCGAAAGGGAATCCACTTTTCCCGAGATCATCCCGAAAGCGACCGTGGGATACCATAGCATCTTGTGCCTGTGACGATAGGACATTTATTCCGACAAAAAGTCACGAGGCGGTTTGAGCGGTTTGGTTCAGAGGAATGCCCCCTGGATAGCCAAGACAATGGTTCGCATATCTATTGTACATACGTCATGCACATCATTTGGTCGCGTTGAACATTCCAGAGACTGATGAGATGAATTTCACCCCCCTCTTTGAAAGGGAGGTGACTGCAGCTATTCCTACGTTTGACTTCCATTGCATCCAGTTCCACATCTGCTCAATACTCGTGCGACAGTCAGTCAGTCAGTCAATTAGCCGCCCTGTTTGCACCATGGCAGACACTCGTCAGCCTGACCCGGCGATTCCTCCCTCTGTCCCTACGGAGAAATCACACCGAGGTTTCTTCTCCCGCTCAGATCACCAACACGTTGGAATGGGTCAAACCCAGTCCAACGATACCACAACGACAACCACGGGTCATCAAAACATCCATCCCATGGGAAAAGGTCACCCACCCCAAAACCAGCAACAGCAGCAGCAGCAGCAGCAGCAGCAGCAGCCGCAGCGAGGGTTCATGACTGGTTTTGTGTTCTCTCATTGGATCCGACTCAATCTCGTTGATCTCCTCTGTATGGCTGCAATGGGCGCGATAGGATTAGGCGTCTACGAAGCAAAACCTGCCCCTCATAGGAGTTTCCCAGTGCAGTTTACGGATGGGACTATCGTCTATCCTGAGTGAGTTGGCTTGTGGGCCCGCTCAGACCATGACTGACTCGACGATGCCATCTGCCAGGTTCGCCTACCCGTACGTCTCGATGCCCAGAAGCATGATACGATTCACGATGACTGACTGACATTCGCTCTCACAGGCTTCGCAAAAACATCATCCCCATTTGGCTTGCTGCCCTCCTCGCTTTCATTTGCCCCTTCATCTTCTTCGTCCTCTTCCAATTACGGATCAGGTCATTCGCTATGCTTCTCGACACGACCATGGGCCTCCTAGAGTCACTGAGTGAGCACAAAGGAAAAGGTGCTAGTCCCCACTGACGATCACCCGCAAGTCACTGCAGCAGTGTTTCAAGTATTTCACAAGTGGCTCATTGGGCAAGTGGTGCCACTTTTGATAGTTTGGCGCCTTGAACTGACACTGTACCACTCTTAGCGGTCTCCGACCTCATTTTTTGGACGTGTGTAAGCCTGATGTCAGTGCAATTGCACCTACGGGCAACGGATTTCTCGATATAATGTACACTAGAGATATCTGTACAGGGTAAGCAGATTCCAATTCATGGACCTGTGTTTGCGGGTCTAGAGGCTGATAAAAACACGAAGCGACCAGAATGAGATCGATGACTCGCTCGAAAGCTGGGTGTCAGGACACAGTACCGCTGCGGCTGCGTGAGTCTTCCAGGTACCGATCCTTTACTGACCATTCGCAGAGGATTCGTCGTGAGTCAACTACGATATCGTCCAGAGGTCAATTCGCCACCAACGATGCCACAGTATCTCTTTCTCTACTTCAACGCTCAACTCAAGACTATGAGCAATCATCGACCTGCGTGAGTTAGCGTCTCAAAAAGCGACGGATAAAGTTCTCCAGTGCTGAGGCTCTTGAGACTAGCTATTGGAAAATGATCGTGACCGTGGCTCCACTTCTCGGGGCCACTCTTATCGCTGCCTCCCTCACCGTCGACGAATTCCACGACTGGGTGAGTGCAATGTAGATTCGATCTTCTCTCAGAGGCCTTGATTGATACCAGAGACCCAGTACGATCGCGTCGGGGGATTCTGCATCGGGGCACTCTGCGCCTTTATCGCCTATCGCAAGACCGTTGCAGCCGTCTGGGACTACAGATTCAATCACTTCTTGCTGCCTCGAAATTCCTCCCTCTTCTTCAAGAACCGCTCGGGAGAGGGAGTATACAGCTTTCACTATTCTGCTCAAGAGGCGATGACGCAACAGCCAACGGCAAGTGAAGGTGTGTGATGCCTCGCTGGGATGCCTAGAGTGGGGAACTAATTTCCTCCTCGAATCTCAGGCGGCTGGGGCCGAGGTATGAGTATCGCTGGAGCGCCGAACGACGCGGTTGCTGTCTGAAACCCACATTCACGACAAGCTCTCAGAGTCCCTCGAATAGCTCAAACGACTCTTACGACCATACACGGACACTCCGGACCCACTTTCACGATTCTGTGCAAATGTCCATGTAGCTATTATGCGATGAATGGGAGATACGACGCTTTTATGATGTTGTTCACGGTGAAGCCTAATCTCTCCGAGATTTCTCAAAACCGGGCTCCGAGCTTCTCCTGCGAGCTTCGCTCCCGAGACCAGATTCGAGATCAACGGGCTTCAGCAATGCCTCTGTTCGTTCATTCTGACTTGTCGACTCCAAGAGTCCTTCTTGTTCTGCCAGGTCTTTCATCGGAGTACTTTCAGCCTGCGGTTGAGGGTTCTTTGGACGCGACTTGATCCAGGTGTAAAGGAGAGAGCCCGTAAGAATGAGGGTGATGGACATGACACGACTCCTGCCACCAGCAAGAAAATTCCATCAGCTGGCTATACGCGACTCGGATGAATCCAGTTCCGACTCACGCGTTAATGATGTCGCGGAAAAGCCAAACGCCGAGGAGCGTCTGCAAGACCGATCTTACGGCTGAGGAGAACATGTGGGTGACGGGGGAAGTGACCTTGATGGACAGGAGACCAGCAACGCATATGAGGAATCCGACGAGTCCCTACGTTGTTTTTCCTTTTGTCAGAGCGTGACGATGATGATGATTCACGCGACCCGACTCACAGTGACCAATGTGCCCAGGGCAAAAGCGCCCAAATTTCCATCTTCTCCTCTGATTAACTTTGGGAGGCCTGCCAGCTCGCCCGATACCAAGATACCGGGCAGCAAAGCCAGTGCAGAAAGTGCGTTTGACCAGTAAGCCAAGTCGAGTGTTTTCCCATCCACCGATTTCAAGGCCGATTTAATCAATACCGCGTGAATGGCGACCATGGCGGCTGACAACACACCGAATACCATCCCTAGGACGGGAGCTTCAGAGCTCGACAGGACGCTAGACGAGACCTGAGCTTCGGAGGGCGCGATGGTACTCGCTGAACTGATGAAAGGCGTCGGTAGGAAGGTATGAGTGAATCCCCAAGTGACGATCGCACATGATCCAACGGTTCCCCACGTTGGCCTTTCACCCGTCATGACACTTTGAAGGACTACCGTCATGGGAAGTGTGAGACCTCTGGCGACCTGGAAGAAGGAAGCGTCGACAAGTTTGAGACAGTAGATGTTGAATGCTAATCCCACGACGTTGGCCGTACACACGGGAGCGACGGCAATGATGATGGATCGATTCCAACGTGGGGGAACAAAAGCGAATCGACTGGTGGGCGGTAAGAAGGATAGCAGAGTGAGACAGACGACAGAGATGACGAGTTGAAGTAGGAGGAATGTCAGGGGAAGGGAAGACGAGTTCAGAACCCATTTGTTGCTATAGCCCGAGTTTTCCCGTCAGTACCTGACTGTGTGGAAGCGAACGCTGGTCACGAGGGGGACACTCGACTCACACCATGACCATGACGAGGGCTGAGAACATGTAGAATGAGACGACGCCAAAGACCGCCTTGGGCGAAGACTGTTCTTCCGCTGCCATGTTGGCGAGAGATAGAATAGAATAATAATGAGCCACAGGCGAAGAAGGTGGTGGGTTGTGTGTGTATGTGTATGTGTGTGCCTGTTGATCAGACTCAAAGGAAGCTCCTCCGTGGACGTTTGATAGCGATAGATCCACGCCAGATCAGACACTGAACGCGCTTGATCGACGCCTACACGCCAAATCGCTTCACGAGGAGATCTGAAGATTCGGTATATGGAAGGAAAAAAAAAAGGAGCCGTCACACTTTCCAACATGATGCAGGAGACATTAAGCTATCTTGGGACACACGCACGAACGCTGACCACGTGACTGACTGGCAATTCCATTTTTGGCCGGTCGTCAGCAAGAAAAGCTTAAACTGAGGGGGAACAGCCGAGAAGCGGCCGATTGAGAGCGCACGCGCTTCTCGCCGATATGTTTTATGGCTATGCACTATGAACAACAGGTTTTGATATGGAGGCAGGGAGAGCAGTGCATGGCAGGGGTCAATGCTTGGAAACGGGTATATGCTGTACTGAATAGGCTCTCAATGAGAAAGACGAGCGTCATAGCTTGAAAGAGTGCCCACTGCTTTGAGAGCCCTGCGTGAGAATAATGTGAAAGCCCGTTTATCTGCGAGGCGTCTGACCGCAGGATGGATTGAATGCGTCTCACATTTCATGGTCGCCATGGGGGTTTTGCAAACCCACTAATACATGTCCTCTACAGGTAAACAAGACAGCTAGCTCTACAGACAGCCAATATTGTGACATGCATATGGTCCGAATGAAAGATGGACGCCCAGATCTTGTCCTGTCTCTCTCTCTCTCTCACACACACACATACACACACACATTGTCTACATATCTCGAAATAGAATACGACGTTCCCCGTCCAATGTGGAATGCTAATGGTAGAATGAGAGTGCAATGACGTCCCTGGCGAACTGAAAGGATTGAACCTTTTGTTTGGGAATCAGCTGAAAGGGCGTCTGCTATGCGTGCCCCTTGACACGCCTCCACCAAGTCCCATGGCTCGTGAGATATGACATCGGAGTATCCTCGCCACATCATAAAGAATGGGTGTTGTAAAGTCGATGTATTCCCATTGGATGTGCACGGGAGTTCACTTTGTGGGAATGCCGTAATCGATTTTTTTCTCCTTCTTCTTTCGCTGTGTGAGACATTTCAACCCAATGTCCGAGAATGGAGGAGAAGGGGCAGAATGCGGAGGGTAGTAACCGCCTTTTAAAAAAATGGGATGGGATCTGGGATGAAGATGGGATGAATCATACAGCGGTTTGATTGACGGACGGACGGGGCGACATTTGGAACTTTGTTGTGTTCATTAGACATACACACACACATATACATACCCCTCGCCTTTGCCCAAGGCCAATATCTCTGTTCTTTCAGATTCCTCTCTCATCGTCTCGCCCATTTCCCAACGCCTGCCTTGACACAATGTCCTCCACCACCCTCACTCCCCCTCTGTCACCCAGCACACCTTTGACCACGCCCAACCTCTCACACATCAAACGCTCCCATAGGCCGTCCTCGCTACTTCTCACTCCGCCTTATACGCCAAAGGACAGATTCGCTTCGTCGTCTCCGTCTGGATCCTCCTTCTCCTCCGCTGCCACTTCCCCTCGCTCATTCGTCTCTCCTTCGCCTGGTCTTGTCAAGTCATTGCAGAGCTTTGGCTTAGATGACCAACCCAGCAACCAAGATCAGTCCGTGCGACTACTCTCCGACAATGAATTATCATACTTTCTCCCATCCAGAGCCGACGGTGTCAATGACATGTGAGTGAACGCACATCACAACTCGACCATTCGTACTGATGAGCATGCCTCCTCCTCGTCAGGTACTTGCACCACCGGCTCACAGCCCCTTCTCACCTCGTCGAACCCGATAGAGTCTTCTACCTCTGGGCGTATCAACTCCTGCGACATCCTCTCCTAGCCTCCCATCTCCGAGTCAGATCCTACGAAGACGTCTCATTCGTCTTCCCTCATGCCAAAGATGTCGATTCGGCCCTTGCCGTCGCCGAAGACAGATTCATCTACATCGACGACGATGAGTCCTACAGGGACGTCGACGTCATCGATTCATACCTCAACGGGCCCCGGACCCTGTCTTCCAACAGACTGGCAGCGTTGATCTTGGCCGACCGAGGGGACCATCACGAGTTCATGCTCCTTTCCACGCATTATCTCGGGGATGGCATGGCATTGCACACTTTCATGAACGAATTCTACACCCTTCTGGGATCAACCAAGACTTCGGAAGACTTTTTAAGTATGATCCAGGAGCTAGTCGTCGGAGAACCTTCCGCTACGATCCCAGGATCACTCGAAGATCGAATACCGCAAGTGGGCAATGGTAGTCGATTCGCTTCCACCGTCGGGAAAATCGATAACAAGGCGAATGACGACAAGCTCATTGGCGGACAAAGCTTCCCTTCGAATTCGAAGAAGATGGATAGACGAACGGTTGTCCCTACATTCGCTTACAGCCCTGAAGAGACAAAGCGAATCCTTGGGAAATGCAAAGAAAATGGAGTGACCATCGCGCATGCCATGTTTGCGCTTTGCAATATTGCTTGGGCGAGACGGGTCACCAATCCCGATGCAAGGCAGCACCCATGTCTCATTTACTCTGCGTTGAACCTTCGACCCAACATGATCAAGGCGGAGACTGAACCATCTTACTTCCACCTCGCCGTGGGATACTTCAACATTGTTCTATCCTCCTTGATCCCTTCGTCTCTCTCCGCTTCCGAGCTGTTCTGGCACAGAGCAAGACAGACCAAAGCGCAGACGATCAAAGCTGTCAAATCACCTTTTGTGGTCGCTCGATCCCGAGAAACGAACAGGATCCGAAGAGAGAGGGCGATCAAATGGGCCAAGATAGACGATGAGGAAGAGAGGAAAAAGCAAGAAGCCAATGTGGCCCCAAACGGAGGTCTAGGTCTAGGTCTGGGATCTGTTCAGCCAGACAGTAAGATCACGACGGGTACACCCTCTACACCTGGACCCAAATTCGCGCCCTTACGTGCTACCCAAAACACGCCCGATATGCGGGCACCCCCAACTCCCACGACACCCTCGCCTTTATCTAAACCGTCCATCCTCCCTCCAGCATCGCAAAAAGCCCTCATGGGAGTGTCCATGCTGGGCAATCTCGATGGAATGTACAAGCACGCTTCGTACCCTGACATCCACCTCCAAGCTTTGACCACCGGATCCAGACAACGTCCAGGTGGTCTGCTCCTGTTTGCCTATACTTTTGCCGGCAAATTGTGGATGAGCCTGGGTTACGACGTCAATGGATTCCAGGAGGGGGTCATTGAGGGATTCTGGGAAGAAGTACAGAATCTCGTCAAAGAGGTGATGCTATAGGTAAATGGTCTCTCATTTCTTGAATTTCTATTTTAAATTGTATAATCCGCTCGAGACGGACGGACACTCATGCATCTCTATATTCACTCATTCTATGTTAATGTCAGCTCCGGGACCGGAGTGCCTGGAGTGGACTCGTCTCTCTCCTTTCTAGCCTTCAACCAAGCCTTGACGAATCCATTCTTCGCAGCGACACCACCATCGTCCTCGACCGTCTTGACATCGACGTATTCGCCCATGGCCAATCGGCTCGTATCTCTAAACGCTTCAAACGCAGCTCTAGCTCCCCCAGAAGCGATACTTTCCCTGGCTATCTTCACGCCGTCCTTGTAAGAGCTAGCTCGACCAGAGACAAATAGGAGAGCGGCGGCGTTCAGGAGAACATAATCGAGAATAGATTGTAGGGATGGCGAGTCGTCGGACGGAGGAGATGAGAGGTGGGCGGGTGGTGTAGCTGAATTCGCTAATATGGTTTGGAAAGTCAAGGCGTTGAGATCGGGTGTGGCACCCCGGACAGAAGACAGGGGATGTATCGCGAGGCCAAAATCTTCCGTCGGGTGAATTGAGCCCTTTGTGATTTCGCCATTCTCCAGGAGCCATGTCTGGAGGGATATAGTCAGACTTGGATTTGGCGATAGAGGTCGATGACTCTACTTACCCAGGTCTCCCCAGCAGGACTGATTTCATCGAGATTCTCCTTCCCACACACCACCAAAGCCCTCTCCACATTCAAGAGCTGAAGTACTCTCGCAAAAGTATCACCGAGATCCTTTCTCGCCACACCCAACATCATTCTAGCGGGTCTCACAGGGTTAATGAGCGGTCCAAGAATGTTGAAAATGGTCCTGAAATTGAGTTGTCTTCGAATCGGAGCTATATGCGCAAGGGCAGGATGATAATGAGGTGCAAAGAGGAAAAGGAAGGGCGAGGAAGGCAAGAAAGTACTGAGCGCGGAGGGTGGGAAACTCAAGCGACAATCGAGAGAGAGTAGGAGATCGGCTGAACCTGATGTTGACGTAGCGGCTTTCGAACCGTGTTTCGTCATTCGGACGCCTGCACCAGCTGCAACAACAGCAGCTGTTGTAGATACGTTGAATGTATCCCAACCGTCTCCTCCCGTACCGACTATATCGCAGTATCCGGTGTAGTTGTCCCCTTCCTTGTCTGAATCAGAGTAATCCCAATGTCCCGTCTTGGCTGTCGAACTCGATCCTCCATTCAATTGTTCCGAGGTGACCTTGATCGCGTGATCCCGGAGTACGGCAGCACACGCCGCGACCACCTCAGGGGAAGACTCCATACCCGAGAGAGTCAACGCGGTGAGAAAAGCACCCGCCTGAAGAAGGACATCAGCATTGAGACTGGACTTTATCAGCAAGATCGCTTCAACGACCCGGATGATTTCGCAGCGCATCATCGATACCAACGATCGCAAGGACAAGACTCATGATAATGACCCGCTACGACTCCTCTGCGATGCCCGCCGGAGCCAGTCAGTCTTCCCAAGCCACTCACCTGTGCCTCAGATGCACCATCTTTCAGACATAAGTGTTTAAACGCCAGCGCGCAATCCTCAGGCGTGAACTCATTCGGTGTCTGAACCAACTTCTTCAAGATGTCCTTGAAGCTATCAGGCGTGAGCCCGGAGGTATCCTGAGCATCTGTGCTCGTTCCAGGCATCATGACTCCAAGGCTGTAGTGACGAGTGAGGCCAACTACCACAAAAGTCAAGCATCTCAATCATATCATCGACTCGGGTCTACCGAAAATATTTACGTAAAACACCAAAGATGTGGAGGTCGTGCATTCATACTGCGAGATACAACGCTATAGGGCCTGCTTCCTACTCTCCCAGCTCGTCGGCTTTGCGTTTCATGGCAGCCGTCATGCGAGTCTTCGCCGCTTCGTGGCGGGCAAGTTCGGGATTCATGGTAGAAATAGGAGAGCGAGCAATTTCCTGCTTGAGATCGTAAAAGATTTCCGAGTCGGACTCTGCCAAGAACGAGATGGCAACTCCAGTTTTGCCAGCACGTCCCGTTCGACCAATTCGATGGATATAAGGCCTAAAGTAGGTTGTCAGTGAAGACTCAGTGTGGCAGCCTGAGTTTCGCTCCACGACTCGGGGATACGGCTGACTCACTCGATGGACGAGGGCATCTGCCAATTGATGACGAGGGAAACATCTGGGACATCGATACCACGTCCTGCTACGCTGAGAATGGTTTAAGCTTTCTGACGATTTCTGGGAAACGATTCAATGAACTTACTCGGTAGCGACCAAGACAGACACCTCTCCATCCCTGAGAGCCTGTAAGGACTCCTCTCGCTGAGCTTGACTCTTATCACTATGCAGTGATACAGCCGACATGCCACCTTGGTGGACATACTTGACGACTGTGTCTGCCGTCTTCTTTTGACCCACAAAGACGATAATGGGAGGGGCGAATTCCCCTGATCGTAAAATCTCTTGGAGTCGTTTTGTCTTTTTGTCTTCGCTTTGGACAAATTCGACCCGCTGCTCGACAGTGTCCACACCTTCTCCGACATTACCAATGGTGATCGTCGCTGGCTTTCGAAGGTATTTCATCGCCAGTCGTTGGACGTCGGCCGGGAAAGTAGCACTGAATAACGTAGTGACTCGGTAACCTTGCAACTCCTTGCTGTTTGCCACATCATGATTTTCAGGTTTGAAGGAGGAGGCGGGCATGGAGTCGAGAATCTCGTTGAGCTCTTGTTCGAATCCTGAAAGAGAGGCTGAGTAGAGCTGCGGGACTTGATTTGAGAGACTCACCAAGATGAAGCAACCTATCAGCTTCATCGAGGACGACATATCTAAAAGATACGTAAGCGCGTCTTGACCTCTCTCTAGATTCTTCTCCCACCTGCACTGGGTCAAGACAATCTTTGACCCCTGTAACATATCCCTGAGACGACCAGGCGTAGCCACGATGACTTCTGCTCCGTTCCTCAATTCCCACATCTGTCCTTCGACTTCTCGACCACCGACAATGCCAACCGTTGTCAGACCCAATCTTGAGGTAAATTTGATTGTTTCCGTTTGAATCTGCTGAGCTAATTCTCGCGTAGGGGCGATGATCAGGGCCTGAGGACCCAAGTGACGATTCTCATCCGACAAAGGTGGTAGTCGGGAGATATAGTTGAGCATGGGTATGACGAATGCAGCAGTCTTTCCGGAACCTAACGGAAAGGTCAGCTGAAAGTCTTTTTTTTTGGGGGCTGATAACACACCTGTCTGCGCAATACCGATCAAGTCTCTGTTGGTCAAACCAATTGGGATCGCTTGACGTTGAATCGGACTTGGCTCCTTGTAGCCGATCTCGTCCACCACGTCCAGAATGTTCTCCGGTATAGCTGACTCCCTCCAGCTCCTAAGCGGAAGAGGTATAGAACCTCCCCTAGCGGATATGCTAAAGTCTTCCCTAAAGATTCGCCAATCCCGATCTGACATTGCATCTAGAGGCTTCTCAGACCAATGGCGTTCGTCCGCTGTTCCCTTGCCTGCCTTCCTCCTCTCCAATGGGTCTGCATACTTCTCTTGCTCCGCAGTCATGGGTTGAGCTTGGCGACCTGTCATTAAAACGCTTTGAGCTTGACCTCGCGCCTCCATTGCCCATGCTGATTCCGTACGAGACGTATCATCTTCCGCTTTCCAGTCAAAGTTGACATTCTTGTTGTTGTTACCACCCTCCTTTCTTAATCTAGGCTTCTTCTCCACCACTTTTTGACCAAGGTATCTCGCTCGGATACTGTCGAGCTCTGCGTCTGTTGGCAAAGCCGCCTCTCCGGGAACGTTGGGCTTGGGGGATGAGGTGATTCCGTTCGAGCTCGAGGCAAGGGGAGATGATGTATGAGCCTGATGACCATTATGCATTGATCGAGGTCCAGCAGGAGGTCCATTACCTCGAGGTCCAGACGGGGGACCACCATTCATAGGAGGTCCATGTCGATGTGATCCATTCTGATGACCGTAGTCTGCTCCTCGTCCGTTCTGCCGACCATCTCGCGCATCCCTTCCGTATCCATTCTGACCACCATGACGGTCATCTCGACCCCCATACCGCCCATCCCTGTTTCCATACCGGTCGTACCGATCAGACCCAGAGCCATACCGCGCTGCCTCTTGTCGACGGCGTTCCTCCTCAGCGGCTTTCTCGAAGGCGATCCGGTCAGACTTCTCGGCTTCTTCCCTCTCTTGCTGAGCTTTGACCTCGGCATTGCGCTTCTCCAGAGCCAAAGCCGCTCGTTCAGCTTTTGAGAGGAATTTTGGCTGCAACACGGAGCAAGAGATCAACGTTGGTGATAGGTGCACGGATGGTCACCGACTTACTTTAGAAGCTGCTTCTTTTTCAGCCTTTTGCTTCGCGAGCATGTCCTCCACAGAGATTGGTGTAGGCATGCTGAAGGGATGGTCGGACCCTACAGATATGTAGATCAGGTCAATGTCAGAGCTCAGCGTGTGCTGTCGCCACCAATTGAAGCTCAACTGAATGGGATAAAGTCTGACACAAAAAATACTTGCAGCATAAATATTCTCCATGTGAGCCGAAGCCGAAGTCCCGAGAATCCGATTTTGACGTCAAAGGTTCGGTCGTTCCGTACCAACGAATCAGCCTACAATAATTGTGATCCAAGATCATCTGAGTCATTGGTCATGGTGAAGGCAGTCATCGATCCCTCCGTGCTGGCAGTGAGCTGATTCTCACGGTGTGAAGACGTTCTCCTAACAACTGTCCAGAGCGACTTGTCCGACCTCGCAGCAGAATGCAAGCGCATGGTGGAAAGCGGAGCCGATTGGTGTCATATGGGCAAGTCGATAGACCAAAGCGTTTACTTCAGCTCTGACAATCTCTTCAGATGTCATGGATGGGTATGGTTGAGCCTCCTTGAGATGATGATTCGGTGCTGACGAACGGACTCACAGCAACTTTGTGCCCAATATTACTTTCGGTCCTCCTGTCCTGGCATGCGTAAACAAAGCAGTCCCTGAACTGTACATGGACATTCACGCGATGGTGGCGAAGTGAGTTTAGTGATTCGGAGAAATCGGCAAGTAGTACTAGGCTCATCTTGTTCACAGCCCCAAACAAGTAAGGCTTTGATCCATTGACTGTGTCTCATCAGTACAGTGGGTCCCCGATGTTGCCAAGGCTGGCGCAAAATCATACACGTTCCACTATGAGGCGACAGGTACGGTCTTGACCTGATCTACTCAAACAAGAAATGACAAAATCGCTGACCCCTTGCCTAGATTCGCCAGCAGACGTTATTGCCAGCATCAAGGAGCATGGGATGAAAGCTGGGATCGCAATCTCCCCAGAAACGCCTTCCTCCGCCATCACAGAGGAAATCGGTATGTTCTTCCGACCTGATTCCGCAATCGAACTGAGAAGCACTTCGTGATCAAGGCAACTCTGTGGACCTCTTACTAGTCATGACTGTCCGTCCTGGGTTTGGAGGCCAAAAGTTCATGCCGGAATGCTTGGAAAAAGTTGCGGATCTCCGTAAACGGTTTCCATCCAAGAATATCCAAGTAGACGGGGGTATCGGTGCTGGCAATGCTTGTCAATGCGCTCAAGCAGGTTCCAATGTCCTCGTTGCTGGGACAGCCATCTTCGGCTCAAAGGACCCAAAAGCGACCATACATGAGATGCGCTCATCTGTTGACGGAGAAATTGCCAAGTGGGAGTGAGGAGGCGTTCAGTGTCCCAGTTCAAAAGTACATACAACGCTCGTCTTGCATGCAATCTATCAGTCTAGACATGTTGACTCATGAGCAGTTGGGTACACATCAATGCTTGATACCGAGTATCGGGATCCTGACTCGTCATCAATTCCATCACCCGCGTCTTGCCTCCTAAGTCGGTGACGATCCTATGCAATCGTGAGTCAAGACCACGCCTCACAAGCCTGACGACTCACTGTTTCGCCTTGTCGCCCCCGTATCGGATGTAGAAGCCTAGATCATGGGCCGCGACTGCGAGCACCACAGGCTCACGACTATTTTTGAGAAGCTCCACGAGGCGTCTGACACGGGATCAGCTCCGTAGTCTACCATCCAGGGAGTGTCTCACTTGACGGCTTTGCCGCCCGACTCTTGACCTATACGCATGGCGTTCTCCTTCCAGAAATCTTCACTCTCATGGACCGGACCCCAGACCAAGTGTCCACTGTCGAGCTCCGAGATCAATTCGTCGTACGTCGTGAGGTTCTCCAACCGGGCTGAGAGTTCCGATTTGAGGTACGATAAGTCCTCGGGAATATCCTCATCTGACCATTTCCGGTCTTGAAGCGTGATGACGAATTGCAACACTTTCGAGGTGAAGAAAGATGGAAGGCTCTGTGACGGCGCAATAGTCAAGAGATTCCTGAAAGTGGAGATGATGACTCGGAGAACCTTTTCCTTCACAGCTGCCTTGGCAACACCAGTGAGGAGGGCGACAATATCGTATCGCCTTGGCAATGTAAGCTTTTCGATTTTCATTAAGAGCCAGGACTTCTCGTCAACTCACTTATTCATTCCCTCTGCGGCAATCCGCTCAAAGCTCAACTGCCACAGGCAGGAAACAGCCCAGTATTGATTCTGAGGATTCGATGTGGTCTTGAGCATTTTGACGAGTCTGAACCACATTCAGCGTCTCATCAGAGTGCTTGACGACTCACCCCGAGATGCACTGCTCCTCCTCCCATACTGCCAGACGGAACTGCTTGGTACCAAGTACTGCGCTCAAGACCTGTGCAGCGACTTCCCATAACGGGATCCGGGAACCATTCAGCAAGCCCTGCAGGGATGCTAACAGTGTGCCAGTGAGGTTATACGGGAACTCGCGGGAGTCGGTTCTGAAACAGTTAGAACACCTGAATCGAGCACATTGACATACGCAATAAGGACTCCTAGAATCTTCAAGCTGGTCAAGATGACGAACTCTTCCTCCATCGCGAGACATTTGACGATGGGAGCATATGGATCATCAGGGTTCTCCTTTGTCGCCAGGCTGTGGAACAGTGGGATGGTGCTGGATGGATCCGATACCAGCATGTCATTGATTGAGACGAGTACAGCCTGGACGGTGTCCACTCTTTGAAGTTTTCTCAGGAGGTCAATGTATAATCTGGCATATTGCGCTCCCGATGAGGCGTAGACGGTCGGGCGTTGTGCGGTGGGCTTGAGATGGTGTGAGCTCAGACCGATTATTGGCAGCTCACAATTTTGGCGAGCGATTTCAAAAGGTTGAGCTCATCGGCAGATAGTAGCTTTGCCCGCTGATAGCCCTGTGGAACATGAACCTCAGTCCTTCATAATTTTATATGAACACAGCCCACTCACCTCCCATGGGACTGGCTTGGAATTGATCTTGTTGCATTGATCGTCGAGGTAAGGTGAGAAGAATGGCGGTGGGATAGGCTCTATTCTCGCCGTCATGTTGCCCCTGCCTCTATATAGCTGTCAGAGCTATCTCAGTGCCTAGCTCTCTGATAAGAATCTGGCCACTGGCAGACAGGTAGTTGTTGCAACTCCATACAACTTTGAATGGACCGTGATCCCGCACGACCCCGAAGGATGGAACAGGGAACACCTTAGAGGGAGGATCGAATAAAATCTCGACCTGCCTGTTGCCACTCAAAAGTTGTTAAAAGTTGAGGCGTGCCTTTGGATGCTCTCTCGTTCTGAGAGCCAAAAGGGTACCATGTCTGGACCCATCTCATTCACGGTCAAGCCGCCTTCGGCACCTCATAGACCCAGTCCGCTGGGAAATGGAGGCTATCGCTCGGGGCCACCGTCCCGGCGTATGTTTGAGTCAGGGCACGACGATGAGGACAACGAGGATGAGCGTTCACATCATCGCCGTGAAGGGAGGAGAGAAGAGCGAGTGGAGGGGTTCAGGAATGGCAGGTCTCACGGGTGGGTCCGTCTAACACCGTTAGAATCACTCGCTGATGCTCTTGCAAGAGAACCTAAGGACGAACCCCTGGTAATCCCTTCTTTGCCTAATCGAGATTGGCGACAAACTGTTCAGCGACGGACTCCTTCTTTTCGACCAGAGGAAAGGAAGCAGGATGGTGAGATGATTACACATGAACGGACTGGAGACGGACCTCAACGGTCAGGAATACGGATACCCGTAAGGACAGAGATGCAGACCAATGGGGAATCATCAACAACTCCAACGGCAGTCAGCGCAGCGGACGAGAGCGACGCAGGATCAGTCGTCCGGTCGGAACCTTTGAGTTTAGAGCAACAAGCCTTGGCGGAGATCCTAGCTGGGGGTCATCACACAGAGACCGAGGAGGAACGCGCCCAACGCGAGCTTGTCATTGCAATGTCGGAGGGCAAAGACATGACGGAAGAAGAGGCTTATCGTCGAGATGTGGACACTCTACCGGAAGAGTCGACATTGGAGGATTACGCTGCTATCCCGGTATCTGCCTTCGGTCTCGCTATGGTCAGAGGCATGGGCTACGATCCAAAATCTGAAAAGGGCACCGTGGTTCATGAACCGAAGATTCGTCCTCAGCTGTTGGGTCTCGGAGCGACACCTATGGATCCCTCGATTCGTCCGACGCATTCGAAGCACGGCTCCAAGTCTGCCAAGGAGCGACAAGAAGAGCGTAGGACCAAGACTGGAAGAGGTTTCAATGCCGCGAACTTGCTTGTGAAGCAGGAGCGAGAAGGCAGTTCGTCCAGCATCACTCCGTCAGGCTCGACATTAGCAAGCCCGAATGGAAGCGAAAGGAGACGTCGAAGAGAGGAAGGCGACAGAGATTATGACACTGGGAGGGAAGTGAAAAGAGAGCGGAACGATGAAGATCAGGCCTCGTCTCGTGATCGTGATCGCGATAGAGATAGGCGGCATCAGAGAGTATATGAGACGGAAGAAGAGAGGAGTGAGCGAAAAGCTCGAGAAAGGAGAGATAGAGATAGAGACAGAGAGTATGAGACGGATGAAGAACGAGCGGCGCGCAGAGCTAGGGAGAGACGTGAGCGTGATAGAGATTATGAGACTGAAGAGGAGAGGATGAGGCGGAAGGAGCGGGAGAGAAGGGACCGGGATCGTTATGATGATCGGGAGAGAGATCGGTATAGAGATGATAGAGATCGACGAAGGGACCATCATTAGGCTGAGGGAGCATTGTATCTTGTATAAATATTGACGACAAGAGATAGTCCGCCATACATAGGCGGTGGGATGAGGTACGATGAATATCTGAAACTTGAAAATCATGATACAAGAGTTTCAGCCGAGTTGATGATTGGACTTCGTTTGCGGTATCCTTCAAGCTCGCTTCTCTCTCTATTTGGCTCCAGCGATGTACCTCTCGACCATATTGAGAGATGACCCACCCTTATAATTCGGGAGGGCAAGTCATATACCGTACAGAGCCTCCCGTCCATCCGTCGTTCCGGCCTACAATCCATCGTCCGATCGCCATCGCTCCTCCAACACAGATCCACTACGAATGGCGGGGTCAAGTGGTACCGCCATGGCATTCGATCTCACATCCATCCTCTCACTCCAAGAGATCACCTAAAACAGCCCAAAATACAAAGCCAAGAGAGGCAGGATCTCCAGGAAACTCTAGCAAATCATCATTGTCGCTCTTGCCTCCTGCCTCCGGAGGCAGCAGTGATTCTCTATGGTTGAACGCCTCAGACTGGCCTGCTTTGGGCTCGTCTTCGGCGGCGAGCCCAACAGAGGTAGACGAAAAGACCATGCCTTCAAGTCCGCCCTCTAGCAAGCCCGAGCACACAGCCTTGGACCGCTACGTGAGCTATGGTTGATGAGTTTCACCTCTTGAAGCTGCTGAGCTGTCTCCCCTTAGGCCCCAGCATACCAGCCTGCCTGGATCCGTAATCTGCCTCCAGTATCTCATGTCCTATACTTGGACCTCGCTTTACCTTTTCCAGATCTTAGATATGCTCCTCCGACGCTTGTTCAACCGAGTCAGGTGCCTTTCCAACTTGGACGCGGCGATGTCTCTCGCTCAATATTGAGCGCACCTCCTGCAGACTCGACTTCAGCAATATTACCGCTCAACGACACGCTCGCTGTCGAGAAGCCAGGATCGTATGCCAACCACTTCTCTGAGCTGCTCTCATTACAACTCTTGTCCCTGGTTCAAGAAGCTGAAAATGCCACGCTTTACACGGAACACCTCACATCCATTCGTCGGGAGAGTAAGAGCGAACAATTTTCGCTCGTGATCCCAGCGATCAGAGAAGACATGCCTCAACTTTTCAGCGGGGACAGGCTATTTCTCAGACCGCTGAACGTTGGGCTGCAGAGGGATGCCGGACCCAGCATCGAAGCGGAGATAACGGGTCTTTTGAAACGAGACGGTAAAGTCTTCCTGAGATCTCCGCATCTCGAGCCAATGGTGAGGTACGTACGGTCTCTCGGCATCGACAATGTCAAGGTCCTGTATCAGATCTCTTTCAAGGCGAATGCTGGCCCGATCTGTGCCATGCAAGACGCCGTGAGTCGATTGGGATTGAAGGAATCTGACTGGTGACCAGGTCACGCGTTTAGATCGAGCGATGAGACACTCGAACGCGATTGCAAGACGATGGCTCTTTCCACAATTGGAAGGTGCTTCAAACCCCGCACAAACGCTATCTCACAGTCCATGGGATCCATCGACATTAGATGCTACTCTCAATGAAGAACAAATGTCGGCTGCTATCGCTATTGCGTCAAGATCACACACCATCCCATACTTGATCAGCGGTCCGCCTGGGACAGGCAAAACAAAAACATTAGTGGCTTCTATCTTATCCATCCTCCAAGTCAATCCTCATGCCCACATCATCGCTTGCGCACCCTCCAACCCGGCAGCGGACACAATCGTCAGCAGGCTCATCCCGAGGATGAACGCCAATCAGTTGCTTCGCCTGAACCCGCCTAATCGTACCTTCGCGGAAGTACCCGATGACGTCCTGCGATATTGTCACGTCGAAGGCGATGCATTTGGTCTACCGTGCTATGCAAAGTTGATGGCTTTCCAAGTGGTCGTGACCACGTGTCAGGATGCAGAGATCCTCATCAGAGCAAGGGCGACAAATCTCGACACGATGGCGACGGAGTTGGCTCACGGGGAACTCTTTCATCCCGATCAACCTTTGAACATTCTCCCGCACTGGACTCACTTACTCGTTGATGAAGCCGGTCAGGCCTCTGAACCAGAGATTGCGATCCCTCTATCTGTGCTTTTGCCACCTCCAACATCCCTTACCAGCATCTCGGATCCCGTCGTCGTGCTCTGTGGCGATGTCCACCAATTGGGTCCCCGCGTTCTGAGCGTGGCGGCACGAACGGGCGAATTGGACGTATCGCTCCTGGAACGTCTCTTTGAACGCCCAGTGTATGCCTCGCATCCAATGTCGAGGACTAGCATCAGACACAGACGCGCCAATGGTGCAAGTGGTGCGAGTGGTGCGCCTGGTCCACCTCCTTTCTGTGACCTGGTCCGCGTGAGTGATGCTGCTGCCGTACACCATGACTGATCGTGGCAGAATTACCGATCACTCCCGGAGATCCTCATGATCCCGTCTACTCTATTCTACGAAGACACACTCGTACCTGCCGCTCGCGACGTAGGCCATCTCGCTTGGGAGGGCTTGCCAAATCCTGCCATGCCAATTGCGTTTCTCGGATGCGACTCGGAAGAGAACTGGATCGAAGAAGGCGCGGTAGGTCACACCATGCTCTGACATGAGCTGACGATGTAAGTCGTGGTACAATCTCGGCGAAATCAGAATGGTCGTGGAGACTGTTGGAAGTCTACTCGGAAACGTGCCCGATCTCCGACAGGAGCAAATTGCAATCATCACACCTTGGCGAGAACAAGTGTGGCGCTTACGTGCCGCTCTCCGTAAAGCAACTTTCTTCAAAGTCGATGTGGGCAACGTTGAGAATTATCAAGGTCGAGAATTCCGAGTAACTATTCTGAGTACTGTTCGAGGCAGCAAGCGGTTCATCCAGAGTGATCATCAGGCCAATATGGGTGTCATCTTTGAGCGCAAGAGGTATGACTCTGAGGCTCGTACCCACTCACACGTCGTGGTAGGTTCAACGTCGCCATAACCCGTGCAAAGGATCTTCTGGTCATCATTGGGAATGCTGCTTGTCTCTCCCTTGACCCCTTCTGGAATCAATTTCTGCAGTTTTGTTTGCGCAATGGGCTTTACAAGGGACCAGAGACCGGTATTAAAGACACTGGAGCATGTATGTCTCGATTAGAGTGAGTGACCATCTCAAGATGCCTGTCGAAGCGCTGACCAAGCCTCAAGAATCGAAATGCGGATGCGAAATGAATCCGACTTGGACGAAGAAAAGAATCTGACGATTGCCAACGCTGTAGCCTCGTTGGCCTTAGAAACTAGATGATTGTCGAATCTCTAAAGTGTTGTATCCCATCCATCATGTCGTATGCCCTGACCAAGCGTCAGTTGCCAAATGCATTGCTTCTCATGAATATGCTGGTTTTACATGATACCCCTCATCATCATTCTCGTTTCCAGATCCTACACAGGTTTTCCTGCGCGTAAATTGTCGGACCCACATCTCCGGGCTCAGCCTCCATCATCCATTGACCACTGTCCGCATAAGAAGTAGTACGGTGAGTACCTTTGAGCTCTGGCGGCCCAGCAACAATGACGACGTATTGACCTGGACCGTCCGGTCGAGCTGGTCGTAGATATTCTGCTGGAATCTCCTCGACGACCGTCGGATCACTAAGCAAGACACATCGAACATTATCGTCCACTGTCCCTTGATGACCGAATCGCTGACGGTCATACGCTCCACGCTGGAAATGTAGCGGGTTTCGTGTCCCTACACGACTCGATGGACCAACTTCCACAATCACATTCCGGAAGTCCAGAGCCCAATCGAATGCTAAACCTTCCCGTGAACCTCCACTCGCGTCTGGATTGCCGTATGGTGTAGGAGCGGCACCATATGGAGTAGGCGCTCCATACGGTGTTGGTGCTGAATGAAGACCAGCTCCCGGCGTGGGAGCTGACAGGCCGGCTCCAGGAGTTGGAGCAGTGTAGGGAGTTGGAGCAGAGTATGGTGTAGGTGCGCCATACGGATTTCCGTTGGCAACTCCAGGTGTGGGGGCACTCAGACCGCCGATAGAAGGGGTCGGTGCACCGTATGGTGTGGGGGCAGAGAGCTGAGGTGCGTTATTTGAGAAACTCAGCTCGGAAATCGAACAGCTTACGGTCGATGAGCTAGCTTCAGCTTCGTAGCCTGCTCCTGGTGTAGGTGCGCTGACTGGTGCAGAGCCATAAGGATTGGGTGTCTTGCCTCCAGCTCCTGCACCAGATCCCGCGCCTGCCCATCCGGGTGTCCTGCCACCTGCGCCCGCGCCATAACCCGGAGCCGGAGTCCGTCCGCCAGTCCCGTAACCAGCCGCCGGGGTCTTACCACCCGCACCGAATCCAGCTGCTGGCGTTTTGCCTCCGGATCCTGCCCAACCAGGCGTCTTGCCACCACTTCCAGCCCACCCTGGGGCTGGTGTTCGACCTCCTGCAGCACCGCCATATGGATTTGGCGTTTTGCCAGCACCGATGGCTCCGCCATATGGGCTGGGAGTCTGACCGAAACGACCTGCCGCCGGGGTTCTGCCGCCGAATCCACCCGCAGCAGGCGTCATGCCGCCCGGAGGACCCATTTGACCGCCGTAGGGGTTGACGTCGTACCCTCCAGGGCCTGAGCGAACATTGTAGGAGCCGAATGTTGAAGGGTCGAGGGGATGTGTATTGCCAGTACGCGGACTATCCATCAGCTGCGTTCAATGCCTGACCGACTCACTCTTTGCGCTTCAAGGAGGACATGTTTATTGTCAGTGTTTTGTTGTTGGTCGCCAGCTCGACTCTGGCATTTTCGCCGACTACGTCCTTTATGACTCCCATCAGCCCCTTGCTCGTGCCTTTTACAACGACGACCAAGGTATTAACCAAGCGATTCTTGTTCGGTGTCACGGCAGGCGGAGGCATAAGACTGGCAGCTCCATAGGGAAGCTGGGCATTGAGAGCTGGGTTGAGTTTGCTGAGGTCTCCAGTCGCTGATTTTGGTGTCACCGAAACCAATGCTTGCGCTCGGGCTACAAAGACACCGTTGTTCTCAGTGATTTCGCGATTATAGAGGAAGACAAAGATGGACCGGAAGATGTTGAGGACTTCTCCGGATCGATTCTAAAATGATCAGGATGAAGTCTCGCGGGACAGACTCACTTCGCCCTCGACCTCCTTCATGGCATCCCCAACTTTCATGCTGTTGCCTTGAGAGTCGGTAGCGACCACAAAGTCACGATTCTCCCTCCGCATTGCCACCTGTTGCGGCGAAAGAACTCTGAGGGCTCCATTCTGATCGAGAATGCGAAGAACACCACCTTCCACTTTCGTGATGACTCCAGCCGTCGTAGAACTTCAAAGTGATCAGCAGAGAATTTGACTGACCACTTACTCCAACATGACCATGTCGTGAAGATCATAAATGCCCTGTGACGCCGTGACACCGGCAATGTCTGCTGCTTTGCGGACATCCTTGCTGAAGGCACGGATTTCTTGTTCCCCATGATCCGACATCAAGGTCACCACATCACCTTTCACCTCTACAACCATACCACTAGCATCGGCATTCTTTCCGCCAAGGACTTTGACATGCTCTCCAACTTCAAAACGCTTCTTGAGACTCTTCGGGTTGACATCGACCAAGTCTCCGTGCATGTCACCACCTTCCACTCGGATGGCGATCGTTTCCGAACCGATGATCTCGATCTTTCCAATCATTCCGGTTTGTTCGCCTTCCAGAACTTCGACTTTATCGCCAGGGACCAGCGCAGAGATGGTGATATTCTTGTTGGCATCGGCGATAGCGGACAGATCATAACTCGCAGTGGCTTGATCATCTCCCGTGAATCTCGAGATTTCCTCGAGGCTCGGTTGAATATTTTCCGTCGTAATGGCATTGAATTTGACATCTTTGATGCAGAATCCATCAATGTACTCCTCATTGTCGAACAAGAAACTGCCCTGAGCACCGGACCTAACGGAACTTCGACCATAGATCCGACGCACATCCTCGTACTGGAAAGGACGTAACGGAGGTCGCAAATTCGATCCAGTGCCTTTCCCGTTCGCCATTCTCTCGCGCTTCTTGTCCCTCGGAGTCAGATCGATACGAGGCATGAACTTGACACCTAGGACTCCGTTTGTAATCTGATCCGTGTCGATGATCTGAGCCAAATCGCCTGCGTACTTGCCACGCCTCATTCGGACCCACATGCCGACGACGTAGTCAACTTCTTGTTTTTTGATCTTCAGCAAGTCTGCCATTTCCTTGAGTGGGACGAGATTGACACCTCGGGACCAAAAGACGCCGACGATACCCTTGATGGCAAAGTCGACAGCAGCCGCTTGCCGAGCTTCAAAGAAGATGTGTCCGGACAGCGAGTCTCTGTAAAAGACCGAGCTGATCTCGATAGGTGTTGCTGAGTCTTGATATTTGAAGACTTTCCGAAACACGGAGGCAAGGATATCCTTCTCTCGTCCGGGCTGAAGGCAATAAGCGATGATCCATCATATTCGCTCACTTTACAGCGGACAGCCCACAGGCTCGGGTCATTGACGCTTGGCATTAGCAGGCGCTGAGGAACAGCATCGCTGTCGGGATTGTATGTCGCAGCTGATCTTCCCTTGTGTCTCTCCTTAAGCTGTCGGACAATATCCTCTGCAGTCTGCTCGTCGTTCTGTCCAAACGTCCTGTTCAACCTTCGATGCACAGTGTCATCTTGAGTGATCGGCTCATCTCCAGGTCTTTCATCGATGAAGTCGGCAACTGCGAATGTCATGAGCTTAAGATGCGTGATTACTGTCTGACTCACCATCTCCGAAATCATCCGCCTCATCATCTTCGTCTTCTTCATCGTCGACCTCTGCTTCAATATCCAAGAATCGATTCCTGTTTGTCTTTCGCCGGCGCTAGAAGGTCAGGTCTTGGTCCTCATGACCGTGCATACCTTTTTCCTACGTCCACCTTAATGACATTAGCTCGAGCCAATCATGGTGTACCTGAGCATCACTCACTGTCATCTTCCTCATCTTCCTCGTCTTCGTCATCTTCATCGCTATCATCTTCATCTTCTTCATCCTCCTCATCGTCGTCATCCTTCTCGTCATCCCTCGCACGTCCGTTCCCCGCGCCATTAGCTACTGGCTCGTCATCCTTTTCATCATCTACCCGATCCGGCTTTCCGTCCTCATCGACCTCAGCTGCATCTTCCTCTGCAGGCGCCGCGAGACATCAGTATCGGTGGTTGTGACTTGTTCTGAGGTCCTTACCATCGGGATCGACGAAACGAGGCTGTCCATCTCAATGTCAGTGGCTTCCAATCTGCAGATACGACATAGAACAGACTCACCCGCTTCCTTGACACCGTCCTGCCCTGCATCTCTGGAGAAGAGCTTCTCTCCTCCTTTTCGTCCACGATAGACCCTGAGTCTGACCTGTCGGACATGTTTGGGCTAGGCAACAGGGCCCCTTCGCGTCCAGGTCAGAGATGAGAAGACGACAGGAATCTGATTCGTTCAATGGTGAGTGAAGACCAAGTGGACCGTCACCACGAACGGCGTCTCGGGATAAAATGGTGAAAAATAGTGCCCCTAAGAGACGCGAAATATTCAATGCGAGCGCTCAAGCGGCGGCGCATGCCTGATATGTGCATGTGTGCATTGCAATCGTCTTGGTGAGAGTAGTACTGGTATATGGGGAATTATCTGCAAGTCATGCTAAGGCGAGGCTTGTCGTCTCGCTACAAAAGGGTTGTCTGTGTCAATATCTCCAGCTACTCATGCCTTGTCTTCCGCTCCCAAATGTGTTAGAGCAATTCGCCTCTTCTTCTTTGGACCCTGGGATTGATCCTCATCTCGATTGGATCTTTTGGTTTGCTCGTTCTGCGCGGATGCCATTGACATTCCAGACTCAGACCCTGGGCCTCCTTGACCCTTGAGAATGGTAGGTGCGGCGTCTCCTTTCTCACTCTGCTCTGGTGTTGGTGGCACCTCCGTACTGCTGCTTGTGCTGGAGGGTACCGTTGGCGCGGTTCCTGAGAAGGGGGGCACGGAAGCGCTATGGTGGGCTGGAGGAAGAGGTGCAATGGAAGAAGCCGTCGAGCCTTCTCGTTCTGATCTGGCAGGAGCAGGAGATTGACGCATAGTCGATACGGCCGGAGAGTGAGGAACGGAATTTGCGGGATGGACGTGAGGCGTCGAGACCCCACCATGAGAGTGAGATTGAGCGATGGCAGCAAGTTGGCGATGGTGCTGTTGGGTCGCATGTACGGTTCCAAGCTCTGCTAGATCAAACACCACAATCGAACAGTAGCCATCGGAACTAGCCAGCATGAGTGATTGGCCATCAGGTGACCTGAGCCGAGTCAGCGAGTGGAGGAATCTCACAGCTTACCAAGCAATGTCCGTAAAGCCCGCGTAATGTAAGCCTTTGAAGATGGCGATCGGACCCGCTTGTTGAGTGTCATAAAGTAATACCGAATCCTGACATGCGACGGCATACAGCAATCTATACGGTAAGGCAAAGATGCTGCCCAACGCCGACTTGTCTTCGGTTTCCTTGGACGGAATGGGCGGTGGTGGCATAGATAAGCTGACATGCTGAGGTGTCGGATCTGATCGGTCCAAGGTGATCTGCTTTGGTTCTTGGACAGATTGAGAGTCCGTTCGGAGGTCGTAAAATATGGGCGAGAATCGGATAGCCACACATGCGGTTTTGTGACCTGGCAAGTGAGCGATCGGCGCTTTGGCCAAATTCGCTCGGGTATAGATGTAAACAGTCGGCTTGCCGCTGTCGACATTCCGAAGTTTTGGGATGGACATAGGTCCGGCCGCCTCGGATCCATCCTGAGACAAGGATCTGGCCGTCATCATCGGAGAGCCTTTGTAGATCTGATCTTCGATTTGCCCCGCCGGCGTGAGCAGCAAAGAGCCATCCGGTGAAAAGCTGAGTCGCCTGAAGAATCTCGTGACGCCTTCCTCGCCATACAGACGCTGCATGATGGCCTGACTAGATGTGGGCGGAGCACGGATAGCAGGGAGAGGCGGAATAGGGGATGGTGAACGTCCCCGAGCAGGGAAAGCGACTGCCGAGAGAGCTGGTGATCCGGCTGCTTGAGAGCCAGAGAAGGAAGACCGACGTGATCCCGGTCGAGCAGATGGCGGAGGTGGATTCATACTTGACGAGGCAGGCCCTGGCGTAGACGGCACAGATGCGCTTGGTGTCATGGGCGCTCCTCCGATAGGATTCGACATGCTGGGACCGGGGACCTCGGTATGCTCAGACGCAGAAGTCATGACGGAACCTGTCTCAGATGTGGTGGAGGCTCGTCGCACCATATTTGGTCGTGATGAAGAGGGTATAGATGGTGTTCTTGAATGACGAACTTCCATACGAGTGGCACGAGAAACAGGGTGAACATCAGGGACCCCATTCCGGAAAGCAAAAGTGTTGACGTGAACAGATCGATCAGAGGACTGCGTCGCAATGTACTCGTTCAACGGATCCCACGAGACTCCTTGTACATTGTGCGAGTGTTCTCTGAGAGCAAAAACGCATTCACCTGGTGATGTGAGTGTCTGTGCGTGGCGAGAGAGCTCACCAGTGGAAGCTTTCCAGATAGTCGCCGTGTTGTCAGTGGACCCAGCGATGAAAAACTCTCCATCTGGACTCCAAGCGAGATCATAGACATGCTTCGTGGTCACTCTCATAGATTAGCGATGAACATCATTTTCATACTCACTGTAGCATTTTTTGCAACCTCCAATGCTCTTTGTCGGGTTGATCTTCAGAACTCTCGCCGAACGCAACAACTGGTCGATCAGATGGTACCCAGAGGATTACATTGCCATCTGCGATCGTTAGATGGAGCTACCCTCTGAGTCTAGCTAAAATAGCTCACCATCCCCAGCTGAGGCCAGTGTCTGTCCATTCGGACTGAATCTGACAACGTTGACGGCGGCGGTGTGCTTTGATAGAGTGGTGAGGTATTCCGCTCGAGGCGGATGAGGAATTGCTTCTTGGCCCGTCGCGGCCGCATGTGTCGAGGCATTCGCAGGAGGAACATTCGGATGAACCATCCATAGCTGGGTGTCTACTTAGCGATTTCCCTCTTCTATGTTGCGGTCTAAGCACTCACTCTGACTTTGGAGTCCCCTCCGGAAGTCGCTAAACGGTATTGTCTTCCACCCGCAATGAGTGGTGTCTTATCTGCTGGTTTGCCCTCTTCTTCATCGCCAGATAGAGGCAGCAGTCGTTTCAATTGGTTGTGAGGGAGAGGCTGAAAGTCGCAAGAGTAGACAGCTTGTGTCTCGTGCCATCTAGAGAGGAGGAGGTAGTGTGAGCTTGGAATACTGACCAAGAGTATCTATGACCCACGAGATCTCGAGGACCTTTGGTCTCATTCTGTCAGTGCGTGGATGTGAAGGGAGGTCTCGCGAGCGATAATATGTGGTAGGCCTGAGAGGCGTATTCTTTGCTCCCCGAGGCCTTGGCCCTGCTAGGGACCCAAAGGAGATTGGCGCTTGACCGACGAGGAGAAAGGAGGGTAGATGATTATAGGACAGAGAGCTTGGGATGATAGTATGCCTGTTTCACGGACTAAGAGGGAGCTCGATGATGGAATGAGCAGTGTGAAACCCCGGTCGTACCGGTTGAACGAAGCCTAAGAAGGTAAAAGGTGTTCCAAGGAAAGGAGAGACGGGGGAAGGGAGAAAGAGGCGGAGGTCGACGTCGATCCCCGCTCAAGTGCGACCTGCTGAGATGCGTGAGAGAGTCGGACAAAGGTTCCAACGGGCTGTTAGGCTACGCCTCGGAGTCACTGAGGGACCACCAGGGTGGAGCAACAGCGAAGGACAAAGTAGACCACCTACTCAACGCTATAGGTTCCAGAAGGAAATGAGGACGCGTGCGACGAGGTGAAATGCCGAGACTCTCCGGAAAATGGAACATTACATTGGACTGGTGATACATCATCTCATACCATGCTCGCTGCTGGTGCTGACGGCTCTAGACTCGGGCCAGCTGCGTCCAGTTCCCGCTCCTCTCTCATCCGCCGACCCTTGGTCGGAATACCAGCATATTTATCCCTCATGCGCTCGTACTTTACACGTTGCTCTTTTGACACGCTCGGCAGAGTCTTTTTCACCGCTCTGGCGAAATGATCGGCATCGACACGTACGTGGCTAGTGTCGATCGGACCATCCATCCTATCGCTCTCGAAGGCGCGGAAAGACTCGAGAGCTGATCGAAGAGCCAATGTAGCTGCTTCTCGCACCAACGCAGCGATATCAGCACCGGAATAGCCTTCGCACCCGTCGCCAAGGAGCATGGTCTGAATACCTGACCAGGCTGCGTCGTCGATCGGTGTACGAGTAGTGTGCGTTTTGAGAATCTCGAATCGCTCTTCTGGTGACGGCAGATCCACGTAAAGCAGCTTGTCCAGTCTTCCGGGCCGAGCCATGGCTGGATCTATCATATCTGGTCGATTGGTAGCTCCAATCACATAGACAGCTTTGCGAGCATCCAGCCCATCAAGCTCAGTGAGCAAGGTGTTGACGACTCGGGCAGATGACTCGGACTGCGAATCGTCAGCGATAGCTTCCTCACCAGTGTCGCAACGCACCATGGAGTCATCTCGACGAGGAACGAGCGCGTCTAATTCGTCGAAAAAGATGACGCATGGCGAGGATGCACGAGCTCGGGCAAATACTTGTCGTACCGCACGCTCACTTTCTCCAACGTACTGAAGCCGGTCAGCACATTGGCATACACGCTTTCACAACTGACCTTGTTGAGCAATTCTGGACCTTTGACACTGATAAAGTTGGCTCGACTCTCGTTCGCCACGGCTTTGGCAAGCAGAGTTTTTCCACATCCGGGTGGTCCCCAGAGCAGAACACCGCTCGGCGCATCAATTCCGACGACACTGAACAGCTCTGGATGGCGGATAGGCTGGACGATCGCCATATGTAGCTCATCACGTACAGTGGCGAGAGCTCCGATGTCGTTCCATGTCACATCTGGTATGGTTGCGAACCCCTCACGCTTGGCAGACGGTTGAACAATCTTGAGGGCGGAATCGAAATCGCTCGTCTGGACAGATACAGATTCTAATTGCTCGGTTGTTAAAGGTGATGGATACGACGCTAGAAACCTAGCGATGGGAGTGTCCCGCAAATCGGACGGCAGTGTTGAGAACGGTCCGTCATCAATCGCCATATTTTCCACTCCATTTGGCTCTGGTAATGATAGTTGACCAGTTCCAATTTCCTCAAAGATACGTTTCACTGCGATGACGCCGGCCTCGGTCACCAATGCCGTAAGATCAGCACCGACGTAGCCAGGTGTCCGCTTGGCGAGGTCTCGAAAATCCGTCTCGTCTGAGAGTCTCAGATCACGACACAAGACTCTTAGGATCCTGGATGATGTGAGCGACGGGATAGGGCATCGACTCACTCCTCTCTGCCTTCAATACTGGGCACACCCATCTCAATCTCGTGGTCGAATCTACCCGCACGCCGAAGCGCCGGATCTAGAGCATCCGGGCGATTCGTAGCCCCAATAATGACGACTGGCTCGACAGAAGCCGCAAGATCTGTAGCATGTCAGTCGGTCAAGCCTGATGGGGCAGCTCACCATCCATGCAAGTCAGAAGCTGCGCCACTATTCGTCTCTCCATCTCTCTTTGTGCGGTCTCTCGCTTCGGGGTGATGGCATCCACTTCGTCCAAGAACATGAGACATGGCGCGATAGTCTGTATACGAAGTTGTGTAAGCTGGTGGGCCGAATAGAGTGAGCCTCTCAAGCTCACTTTTGCTTCTTCAAACTTGTCACGCAGCGTTTTTTCAGACTCTCCAGACATGCCGGAGACGATGCTCGGTGCAGAGACATTGATGAATGGGAGACCGAGCTCCTGGTCATCTATCAGTGAGCGTGTCCTCATATGAGGAGTCGGCACCGACTCACTCCCGCCAGACACCGAACAAGCTGAGTCTTTCCTCCTCCAGGGACACCGTGAAGCAATACACCTCTTGGTCTTGAAATGCCAGTCTGAGAGTACAGTTCGGGATGCATGAGAGGTAAGGCGACGATCTCCATCAACTGAGTGATCTGATCCCTCAATCCGCCTAGCGAAGCGAGTTTCAGATCCGGAGGTGCATATTTGGCTGAGATTTGTGATAGATCGTTTCGAGGTTTCCTCCTTTTAGCAGGATTAGGAGGCGTTGCAGGTCTAGAATCTCCATTTGCTGCTGCTGGATCCGAAGGGTCTGGGGATCCAACTCGCGCTGGAGAGTTGAGCCCGACCGTCCGTTTTACCCTCCGTTTCTGAGCGACATTCGCAGTGGATGATCCGGGATTAGGGTTGGAAGAGGTCGATGGAACCGAAGCGACTGACCAGGCAGCTGTGATGGAATGATTCAAATTGCTAGGGCCGTTCATGTTGGCCGGATGCTGCAATCCGAAGAGCTCTATGAGAGGTCTACTGCCTATGCTTTGTAGAGGTGTACAGAGAGGTTCATGACAAGCTCGAAAAATCATCGGCACACGTGACCCAACATTGATCGACCAGGACAATTCTGCTTCCGTCGCCACCTCGGGGGGGGGTTGGACGCGATTGATTGTTTTTCCGAGCAAGTTGACTGGATTTCATTGATCTTCACTATTCAACCTATCGTCGAGCTCGACTCCGGCCCACACTCATGAGAGACATGTCGACAGAAGAGCAGGACCCATTCGTGGGCGAGAATGGAGAGGAGGAAGATGACACCTTGATCATGGCCCCGTTGCTCGTCGAGAAGCTCCAGGTGAGTTCCCCGTCGACGCGAGGCTGTCGATCAAAATTGAAAGTCATGTATAGGAATGTGGTATCGCATCGACAGATACGAAAAAATTGAGAGAGGCGGGCTATCACACTGTCGAGTCTGTTGCTTTCACACCGAAGAAGCAGCTGTGTACGGTAAAGGGTATCAGCGAGGCCAAGGCGGAAAAGATCTTGCAGGAGGGTGAGACGGCGCCCGATGCAAAGAAAAATTGCTTATGACTCGTATTCAGCGTGCAAAATGGTCCCTATGGGGTTCACAACAGCTACTGAGATTCATTCGAGGCGTTCAGAGCTGGTACACATAACCACAGGATCCACGGGACTGGATACAATTTTGAGTGGTACGTAACCGCCACTGCTTCGAGCTGCCTTGACTGATAACGAGTAGGTGGCATTGAAACAGGAGCTATCACAGAGCTATATGGTAAGTTTGTAGTGTTACGCTCTTTAAAGCCCGGGGCTGACTCTGCTGCAGGGGAATTCCGTACCGGAAAGTCCCAGATCTGTCACACCCTAGCAGTAACCTGTCAAGTAAGCTCCCTCGTTCCCACTACCCAGCGAGACTAATGTTCCAGCTACCCGTTTCCATGGGTGGTGGAGAAGGCAAGTGCCTCTACATCGACACTGAAGGCACTTTCCGACCCGTCCGGATGCTTGCTGTCGCTGAGCGCTATGGTCTGAATGGGGAAGAAGTTCTGGATAACATCGCCTACGCCAGAGCATACAATGCGGATCATCAACTGCAGCTTCTTGTTCACGCGAGCGCAATGATGGCAGAGTCCAGGTGAGCTGACCGTCCACATGGATGCGATCGGCTGACATATTCAGGTTCTCACTTCTCATCGTAGACTCTGCGACATCGCTCTACCGTACAGACTTTTCAGGTCGTGGGGAGTTGTCCGCTCGACAGACACACCTCGCTAAATTCCTTCGAACCTTGATGCGTCTTGCTGATGAGGTGAGTCAGATATGGAAGGGCATTGAGTTCATAAACCCAGTTTGGAGTCGCTGTCGTGGTCACCAACCAGGTCGTCGCACAGGTCGACGGCGGGCAGTTTGCCGGAGTCGATGCAAAGAAGCCAATGTGAGCTGTGCCGCCATACTCACAGCGAACAATTGCTCATCAACCCATAGCGGAGGAAACATCATGGCTCATGCCTCGACGACACGTCTCTACCTTCGCAAAGGTCGAGGCTCATCCCGTGTTTGCAAGATCGTAGACAGCCCATGCCTGCCCGAGGCAGAAGCCATTTTTGCCATCAAGTGAGACCCAGGTGAATCTTCTAATACTGACATTGTCCCAGTCCAAATGGTATTGGAGAGCCCGAAGAGCTCAAAATGGAGTAGCCGCAGAGGCGACAAGCTCCATGCCTCCCTTACTTCTCTAATCTATGATTTTGTCTTCCTCGTAGCATTGCCTCCTCATCCATTCCTTGTATTTGTATGTGGCTCGAAGCTCCTCATCTGAACGGTGAACAATTTTGATTCCGCCGCACCGCGTTGCAGGAGTTTTTGGGTGACCAGCTTTTTCCATCTTTTAGCCTGTACTTCCATTCCTCACAACAGTCTAGTGGGTCAACTTCATCGTCAGCGACGAGGTGAACGCTTGCACGCGACGTCCGATCAGATCTACAGCTCTCAGAAGTCTGCTCCAAAAGCACTTGAATAAGGATGGCAGGGCGCAAGATGCCATCCGCGGGATCCCTCCTGGTGGGGATTCTCGTGGGATTGCTTGTCGCTACTGTAAGTATTCTGATGTGGACCGCCCAACATGCTGACGGAGGAAATCTTTCTGGTAGCTTGTGAGACGTGGAGGAGTGAGTCATATATCATAAAAATGCCGCCTATGCTAATCTCTATAGTCTGACGGGGAAAACTGGCAGGGCTCTGGTGCTCGAAATCTGCGTTCTCACGCCGCTCTTGGGGGCTCATCACGTCTTCAGCGATCCCAAATCACGCTTCCCTCCCTCTCACAGCGACTCCGTATTCTTCAGCTTATGGGCACACTCTCTCCGCATCACACCAAAGAGTGCACGCGATCCCCACAGAGTATTTATGCAGAGCAAGTGCATGATAGATACGCGCCACTGGTAGGACATAAAAGATCCTGGGCGACATCTGGCTCATTCCTCGCGCGTATGCTCGGTGGAGGCAAGGACGTCAATCAGCTCAATGCGAACGGCGTGGGAGGCAGTCAAAACTCTCGTATAAAACGAGATCTCGCCGCTCAAAATCACAAGTATTTTTTCGCCATCAATCTTTACAATTCTTTCGACGTCATTCCAGACATCTTCGCCACGCTGTTCAGAACAGCTGCCGTGTTGGGCTACCACAATGTCTTTGTATCGATTTACGAAAACGGATCGAGTGATCAGACCAAATCTCTGCTGAAGATCTTCGATGCCTTGGCTCGAGCCGTTGGATTGCGGATCGACATTCGAACAAGTATGCGAACGAGAGGAGCCTTCAATCACCGTATCGAATACCTGGCAGAAGTCCGAAATGCCGCCATGGTCCCCCTCCACGAGCTCCGAGACAATGGGAACGAGGTCTTTGACTCGATCGTTTTCATGAACGATATTCTGCCATGTGTCGATGACCTGTTGGAGTTGATCTGGCAGAGCAGGAAACAGAATGCGGGTATCACCTGTGCTGCAGATTATATGTATCATGATGACATTGTGAGTGTTGTGCTGCCCGGTTCTAGCGCGAGCTGATTGACAAAAAGGGTGCACCGGTGTTCTATGACAACTGGGTTGCCCGTGATATCAACGGGACCGCCTTGGAGAATGCGCCTTTTGAACAGGTCTTCCACCATACCGAGTCCAACCATCGTTTCCAAAGGCATCTTCCTGTTCAAGGCGAGTCATGACCCCGTGCTTTGCCTAATCTTTTCAGTGCAATCTTGCTGGAACGGTATTGCCGTTCTTGATCCCGCACCATTTTACGCACCTCCAAACGTCAAGTTCCGGATGGCGAGGCTGCCGGATGGCGAGTGCTCCGCCAGTGAATGTTCTTTGATCTGCAGTGAGCTGGCTCCATTGAAGCCTAGGCCGAACTCATCTCTTTCCAGATGACTACTGGAATGCGGGTTATGGGCGAATCATCATGGTACCGCGAGTCAAGCTTGCATACGATAAGGTCAGTCCTCAAAGTCTGTGTTGACCTCGGCTTACACGCCTACAGAAAGTCTACGACATCATTCACCCTGATCGACGCAATCTTACCGCCATCAGAGGATACAAGCGACTTGGAGGACTCCCAGACGACCCCCATACGGATCCTCAGGACAGGAGTTGGTACGGTCCTCACGACAGGCTTTTCACCAAGGAGGAGGAAGAGGAGATGACTTTCAGGACTGGACCGGAGTCTGGTGAGCAAACTGTCTTGTCGCACTTGCCTCGCTGACGACTTTCTCAGTGTGGTGTTGGGGATGGGACGGAGCTGGGGATCTTGATGGTCCTGATGTTGACCCAATCTGGGAGAAGATGCAGCCCAAGTCGTACTCGCCGGAGGCCATCACCATCAAGCATGACAGAGGCATGTAGCGGTTGCTTTAGATTTCTTCTTGGGGAGCCACGCAGCATACCTGTCATGTCGTGCGATGGTGGTGGACATTCTTCTCAATGCATGGTTATACATATCCCAGGAATTTTGGAGGTCGCTTTGACGCACAACTGTTCGGTGTCCATTGCGGATCGATGCGGACGGCACCTCTGCGTTGTACGCGCATACATATCACACAAGCTAAGGTCTCTCACCCAAATACAAATCGTACGCTTACCCGCGGGACTGTCTGAAATGCTTCAAAGCACCCCAGAAATACCTCTCACGCCCGAGAGCCCGCTCATCTCGGGGCAGGACTTCGTCCTTGTTCCTCACGACCCCGATGTATCGCTTCATTCCTCTTGGTTTTTTGACTGGAGGGAAGATTTTCGGGGCGCCAGGTATGACGGATGGTCTGCTACCATCGTCGATGGTGCCTGGCTCTGAGATATTTCTAGCGGTCTCAGTGATCAGGACGGATTTCTCGAGGTGCGGTGGACGGAGGTGATGGTAGTAGAATTTGACGTATCCAGGTTCGAGGGCGAACAGCGTGTGGTCACGCCCGTACGCCACGCCTTGACCAGGGTGAAATTTGAGTCCTCGTTGACGAACAATGATTTGACCAGGTAAGACAAACTCGTCTGCATCGATGTCAGCGAAAAAACCGATAAAGTGACGACTATTTTCTCACCCCCAAACTTCTTCACACCTAATCTCTTTCCTGGGGTATCCCTTCCATTCTTTGTCGATCCACCACCACGCTTGGTCGACGTACGAATTTGGATGTAGGACGCTGAAGGGAGTCAGCGAGAGCTAGAGGAGACTCAGACACTTGGCAACTCACTCGATCCAGACGCGAAAACCTGCTGTCTATACTCGTCACAGACAGATGTCTGAACTATACGTCTAAGAGAGCTCCCTATACGCTGGCCAAACATGCTTGCAGGATGGTCAAAGGCAACGAGCAGGTGCTTCGGTTGGAAGACGTCTCTTTTGAATTTCGCTGCTATTCATTTTGCTTCCGTCGCCTCTACCTCCACCCAGGTCGGCCACTCACGATTCATTCCATCTCTCTACCCCATACCGGCCACAATGGACGCTGCAGCTGAACCACTGGACGATCTGCATCACATAGACGACTCGTTGAGGTCTATACAATATGACGATGGACGTAGATACCAGCCGTTGAGGCTGGACAAGATGTTTGCCCGAGCCACGAGCTGGACTTCCACCCCCCAGGTTGGACCTATCCAAAGACCTCCAACGCCGCCGAGGCGGACAGCAATGATCTACCCTTTGCCTCAGCCTCTTCAAGAGATAAACAAAGGGGTATCACCACTGGGCAAGCTCTTCCAGTACCCTGAATTGGTGCCGAACATTCTCAAATGCTTCGATCGGCCCCGAGAATTGGCTACATTGGCATTGGTTAATCGAGAATTCTGCAGGCTTGCGCGGAAGCGTCTGTACGAGATTCTGTGGATCAGGCCATGTGAGTGCAACAAGTCATCATCCTAATCACCGTCAGGGGAGAAGGGCAGTGATATCAAGGTGGGTGAGCTTTGGTCGAGGGATGCTGATCCACGTCAGCTTGGTCTCTTATTCGAGACCCTACATCAACATCCCGAGCTCTGCAAGCTGGTAAAACATCTAGGTGCGCAGTCTTCCAAGCCGGCAAATTGACGTAGCAGACGTTCGCTTCTTTCCCCTTGCGACAAGGGATACGGAACGGTATGATCTCGACGAAAAGGTGCAAAAAGCTGTTGCTGCAATGGTTGAGCTGGAGAGTCTCATTTGGACAGTAGGTCGACCTTGAATTATCGGTCTGATCATGCACAGCGAGATCGCAGCCTGAACAATCCTCTCGTGGACAACATTGCCAATTTAAGGCACCTCCGAACACTTGAAATTTCTGGTCACTCGCGGCGGTACTATGATCCTAGAGTCTTGAGTCGCTTACCTGCCTTGGAAGAACTTCGAGTCATGATGCCCGACGCAACATTTCGTGATTCCTTATTGGGTCTCGTCAAATCGTTTGATGCCAGGAGTAACGGCGGCCTGAGAGGTCTGGCGGTGGTAGCTAAAGTAAGTTTTGAACACCTTTCGACCATCATGACAGAGATCCAGGGATCTCCGCTGGTGGATGATGGTATGCTTCTAGCAATGGCACCATTCCTGCGCGATCTCAAACGCTTGACATTCTGGGGATGTACCAGACTCACTAGAGATGGTGTGAGGAAGATCCTGACAGAGGCAAAGGAATTGGAGGAGCTGAGTCTGGATACAACCTCACACTCGGCAAGTGGATCAGGGTCAGCCTCGCTGATGGTGTTAGAATCTCAACGACCTGACTCAAGCACCACCATTATCCGAACTGCACACTTTGTCCATATCGTTCCCTGCGCCTAATAGACTACCAAGTCGACCTGGTCTATCAGCCTCGGATCTTCCCTCGCTCCCGAGTGGATCCCGGCTCACATCCCTCCTTCTTACTTTATCCGGAGACAGGGCATGGATGCCGGCGGGCGGAATATCTCACCTGGCTGTTCAAACCGACTTCACCAAACTCAAGAGGTTGTCTTTGTTAAATCTCTTTTTCGGATCAGAGGAGCTCACAGAGCTCATCGAAACAGCCCCAAATCTGGAGGAACTATACCTCAGTATCCGTTCCCGAAACGTTTTGCTCGACTGCGACGCCCTTGACAAGACCCGGCTGAGGATCCTGCACACCAACGCACCAGAACGATGGGGTCCGACCCCAACAGACCTACTGAACGTCGCGGAACGCATACCGACATTGGAGCAGATAGGAACAGGAAACAGGGTTTATCAAATACTGAGGCGTTACGACAAGGACGAACCGGTGGTTGAGATCTGTCGGTGGAGTCAAACTGGTACGCCAGGATACTTTCAGGTTTGGCGTGGATAGTCATTGAAATATGCAATTTTCTACTCGTCTTGCTCCATTGCCTCTACAGCGGCATCCACACCAACGCCATCCTCAGCGTCCTCGTCCTCGTCCTCGTCTTCATTTGAATCTGAATCAGACATATCGTACGATAGACCTCCGCCAGCAGCACCCCCAGCCCGCTTTGCGGCCCAGTCTTGCGCAGCTCGGAAGAAATTGTAAGACGCTGGGTTGGCCTCGCGCTCGTCGTCGGGGAATGCAAGGTCCCAGTCTGTGATTCGAATCAGCATTGAATGAGAGCTCGACGTACATTCTTCGAGTTCCCCTGATCCATCTTCTGCTTTGCGCCATCTCTTCCTCGTTGTCGGCATCATCTCCTGCACCTTGACACGATCCGCGTCCGAACCGTGCTCCTCCTCAAACGCTTTCCAAGCTTCAAGCAGAAGCGCACGCTATCGAGTCAGCCGGACTATATTGCCTTGCACTCACGTCTTCCTTCTCGCCACGTTGACGGATCGCCTTGTACCCTCGCTCGAATATCTCCCTGCTCCTGTCAGGATCACCCTCCTCTCCTTGGATCTCATTCCCATCTTCATCTTCTCCACCTCCGATAGTTGACGATTCCATGAGAGCATAGGAGATGTATACCTTGACGTGAGACGTGCGCTCCAGCAGACGCTCGTAGAGCTCCCGGGCTCTTTCTCGTTCTCCCTCTCCGACTTCAAAGTCAATGTACGCCTGATAGTCAGACCCGGCTTCTCATTTTCTGCGTACCTTCCAGACAATCTCTGGCATGTCCAAGCTCTGCTGGACAGCCAACTCAAAGATCGCCCTGACACGCTCAAAGTCCTCCACGGCGTTCTCGACCTGTGTCCATTGGATCCAGGCCGAGCTCAACGAGGCGTCGTACTGAAATGTTAGCATGCCTAATGGTTGGACTGACCCACCGTCAAGAACTTTTCGTACAGCTTCCGCACTCTGTCAAATTCTCGTAACCGCATTTCGAGCTCGATGTATCCGGTGAACAGTTTAGGCTTGGGGCACATGCCGATACCAGCCCCAAGAACCTTGCGGGCCGCCATGACGTCTACCCGACGAATCTCAAAGTACGCGTACGCGAGCCACAGCTGATTGGTCAATGTCGAGACATTGAGTGCGGGACGTACCTTGGCGAAGGTGAATTGACGATGTGGGACGAGCTTAATGGCGGCCTTGTAGACGTCTCTGGCTCGGTCAAAGTCTTTGGTGTCAAGTTCCTCAAAGGCAGCGTATTGAAGCCACACTGTATAACGTCAGAGAAGGTTAAATTGCCTCAGGACTGACAGTACTGTAGGGAGTCAGCACATATTTGGCCATGACACTCACGATGTATCTCCTCCAGTATCTCTTCTCCGTCGCTGGCGGAACGTTTGCGACCGCACGCTCATACACCTCCCTAACACGAGTAGGCTGGACATCCTCGCCGTCCTCCTTGTCCGCGCGATATGCATCCTCTTCGAGCCTCGCAAGCGAGAACCAAGCGTCATAATTGGTACCGTCGTATGCTAGCTCTTCTTCGTACTGGATTCTACGCTTCCCAAGGACTGTAAGCTCAACGCCGGCTCGGTCACCATCTGCAAGTGTCAGAAGGATCTCAAAAATGGAAGCACATACGTTGTTTTTCGAATTTGGTGTACGCAGAGTATACTGAGGTTTCAGCGACGCCGGGAGAATATACTCACGGGACGCTGATTTCGATCTTGGCAATCGAGCAAGGGCAAACTGGAGATCAGAGATGTTTGCTTTATGCGAACAAACCTTGTAGATGACTCGTGCTCGCTCATACTCCTTCAACCGCGTCTCCATCCTAGCAAACGCTGCGAACACAGCCTGAGCCTTCTCGACCTGCTCCTCTTCATCCCCGAAGAATTCGAGAGCGGTTTGGAACACCTCGCGGGCTTTATCTATGGAAGATAAGTGATTGGTCGCCTCTGAAACCCACCTGGCACGCCTCTTTCCTCTTCAAATTTGGACCAGGTGACCCAGTTTTTCGGGATTGGACGACATGCTATCCACCTCTCGAAGATCGCAGAAGCCCTCTCCAGCTCATTATATCGCTCCTCAAGCTTGATATAGCTCTGCCATGCCTTGTCATTCGGCTCCCACTGCATCCACCGTTCAAAGATTTGACGAGCTCCAGCAATGTTGAGCAGCAACTCCTCGAGATAGACGTATTTGTACCACAGCTACCGGGACGTCAGACGAGGTCACAAATGCCAGTCCAGACTCACAGTATCGACACGAGGAAGTAGAGTCACCGCTCGGTCGTAAAGATTACGAGCATGGTTGATGTTCCGTGCCCGCAACTCCATGCTTAGAATGTGAGCAAATAGTTGCGCCAAATCGACTCACTCCGTGTACTTGACCCAAAGATCCACTGACCGAGGATCGATATCCAGAGCTCGTTCAAACACCGATCTAGACCTCTCAAATTCATTCTGGCTGGCTTCCCACTGGGCATACTTGATCCAAGCTGGAAAAGGAGTCAATATCATCTCCAGTTCATCTACCAACCTCTGATATTATCCCTCGAGTAACGGATCCGCCCTTCAAACTCGTTTCTCTTTCTCCCTTGGAACTCGGTCAGCTCCTCGAGATCCTGTATACGTTGCCGCGGCGCCTTGACCGGAGCTTCAGCTCGCTCTTGAGCTTCTCGCAAGAGTTGCTCAGAGGTGATCTAGCGAGTCGTGTTAGAGCTGTAAAGTTCCTGAGCTCGGAGACTCACCTGGACCGCAGCTGGGGCTCGGTTCTTGACCCTCGGAGCGCGATCACGCGCATCACGGCCGGACATGATGGGTCGGTGGTTGGAGAGAAGGGTGTAGGTGAGGAGGAAAATCAAGGTTGGGAATAACTTGATGAGGCCAATGTGGCAAAAAAAAATGGTGTTGGAATAGCGCAAAAAGAGAAGCCACAGAGTAGCTCTGGTGATGGACTAACTCGGACTCGAACCAAGGACCTCTTCAACGTTGCAATCCGGAAATGCAAATGAAGCGCACTACCACCTGCACAATTAGCCCAGAATACACCGCAGAAAAACTTTGGGATTATAAACCTAACATGCTACCCTTATGGTTTCGGTCGGTCCAGAAAGTGACATGGAGAGCGTGACGCAACCCAGCCGCTTGATGTAGCTATGAGACGAACTGCGAAGCCTTGAAATACCCCCATGGACAGATTCGCGGCTATGATTGCTGTACGGTGTCTGCTTTGTGGCTCCGAGAAAGCGGGCGGATCTGTCCTGTCTTTCGGCTCCTCTCGGAGGAATCTAGCCACCACCCCTTGCTGAGCAAAGCGATGGGAGAGAGAGCCATCAAAGGTGCCGGTCGAGGAGATTGTAGCAATCTCACGTAGAAAACAATATATGCCCTAAACACCTGCCCTGAACTCTAGGCCAGGGATTTGCGCATGGTATGGATTAGGGTGAATGGATGAGTGCAGAGATTGAAAAGGGACTGAACAATGCTGTGAGACACCATGAACGAGTCTGTGGTGACAGAGGAGGTCTCCCCTAAGGAAATGTCCAGATTCCTTCCACTCGTGTCCCTATACTGTTCACCATTGCTATCCGTGCACCGCAATGGCGCCAATCATTTTGACGCACTTCTCTCTGCTCGTAACGATCTGCATGCCATCCTGTAAATACAATGCAGACTCCTAAGCCTCCTGAGCTCGCATACGTCTTCGCTGGTCACGCTCCTAAATCGGCTCGTCAGTAGCTTGAACGAGGACGCCAGTGGCTACTCACCTCGGCAATGGAAAGTTTGACACCCTTGCCCTTGGGCAGAGAGACCTGGGCCTTGGATGATTCTCCAAGGATGAAGATGTTGCTCAACCTGCACGATGTCAGCCGTCGTCGCCCTAGAAGGAACGTCAGAGTGACATACCTGGTGGCGAAGGTCCTGTCGAGAACGTCCTTGACGTGAACAATGTTGAAACCTCCGTCGTGCCTGTCCATGTGAATAATGGTTCCCACTCTTCCCATGTTTCGTCCTCCGGTAATCATGCTTTTCCACAACGTCAGTGGTGCAAAGATTGAGGAGCACTAAACTCACCAGAGGTTACCGACCTCGAATGGGATGATCTCGACAATTTTGCTGCGTGCCGTTAGCAAGGAATACTCCTACTACTCACTTGGCAACAAAGTCAAATTTAACAGTGTCGTTGACTTTGATGGCAGGGTCTGGGTAACGGATGGTTCGTCCGTCGTGGGTAAGGATGTAGGGAACTCCCTTAGCTCCGAGCTCATGTCTTCGAACCTTGAGAAGCTTGAAATTGGCCTCCTCGGGAGAGATTCGGTGAACGGTGAATCGTCCCTTGACGTCGTAGAGAAGTCGGAAGTGCTCTCCAGATCGCTCAATGGTGATGACATCTGTCCGACAAGGTCAACTCCAAAAAATTCCTTCCTTCCAAATCAAAATCTGCCACTAACCCATGTATCCGGCGGGGTAAGTCTCATCAGTCCTGACCTTTCCGTCGACCTTGATGAGTCTCTGCTTGACAATGGCAGTGACTTCACGGTTGTTGAGGGCGTACTTGAGTCGGTTTCGGAGGAAGACAACGAGAGGAAGGGACTCTCGGAGCTTGTGAGGACCGGGGGAGGGTCGAGGGGCCTGTGATAGGTGTCAATAAATGACGAGTCCACAAGTGAGACCTCCGACTCACGTAAGTTCCCCCGAGTTTGTCCAACATCCATGATGAAGGAGCTGCGAGACGCTTCAGATGCTTCCTTGGTCCTCGGGCCTAGAACGACATGTTAGTGGACAGTCTGGGAGCGGTGTCGTGTAAGCCTTGGGCAGCGCTGATCCATCCTGAAGATCCCGTCGTATTGTCCCATCCTCATACCTCCAGATACACCTATTGCGCTGCCCACGGCCACAGTATACCCTCTACTCACCATTTTGTATGCAGTACAGAGGAAGCCTTCTACGGATTACCTCGAAGGAGCTTGAAAGATGGACGCAGAAGAGCGGCCCGGTAATTCGGCGTTAAAATGGAAAATGACCAGTGGCAGTGTGAAGTCTTATCGCCGACAGTCACGGCCGACCAGACATAACGTTGCGGAGGGTACTGTACATAACTCATACGCGCATTCTACAATGAAGCCGTTACTCATGAGCCTTGGTCTCTGCCGTTTCAAGGGTCCCACTCCTCCACGATATCCAGGAGCTCATTCGCAATCTTCTTCTGAGCTTCAAATGCAGATTCTCCCTAGCCCAATGAGCGATACCATGACGAAGCTCACTCACCTCTGCCGCAGAGATTGCCCGGACAAAGAGATACTTTCTCTCCATCATAAACTCTGCATTTGCCTCGCCATTCCAAGAATCCATCTTGTCTTTTGAACCAAAGATGGCTCCACCGGCCTCTGTAATGATACACGAGGCGGCCTCAGACTTTTAGCAAGGCTCTCTCGCTTAGCAGCTCACACAAACGTCCCATGGCCAACACTGCCACGCATGAGCTTCATCCGTAGTCCTTGACTTACTCCGATCTCCCAGTAAATGTCCAGTCCTCCGGTAGCCACGAGACAACCGTTCAAAGCGGCACTACCGCACAGTCTCATCGAGTGACAGTGCTTTCCTCCCAAGCTGGGATGAGCGGCCAGCGTGTGAAATACCTTGCTCTTGCGGCTCATGCTCGGTTCTTCACGCTTGGAACCGTACTCGACGCCGATCCTGTCGTCAGCTGTCAGATCATCCACTTGGGCCCACAGTGCTTGACTCAGTGACTCGAGCGGCATTGGTCGCCCTGTGAATGGTAACTTGGTCGTTCGATTGAGGTATGCACCATGACCTTTGGCGGCAGAGTACTACTCATAAGCATTGATTCGACCCGTAACTCACCAAGTAGTCGGTGAATGGATTGTAGACAACTCCAAGAACAGGTATGCCTTTGACGGCGAGACCGATGGAAGTTGCAACCATGGGATATCCGTGAATCTGAGGCTGTCAGCTGGGTACATGGGGTGTGCTTCACAAAATTGGTTGTCCCATCGATGGGGCTAAACAGTCAGCAATCTACAGGAGGGTCAGACCCACTCGACGATCCAGGTCGGCTCATCCGTGATCTGCTGGCCATCGTATGTTTCTTCGCCAATGCTTGCCATTTAGTACTCCCCTTCTCCACAGACTTACAATTTGAACTCTGGGTACTGCGAATGAATGCGCTCGGTGATAAATGCCTCGACTGCCTTGTCCACCTCCGTCACGAACTAAGACTAAGCGCTGCCCAATCAAGCTACTCACGTCTACAGCGTTTGCCTTCTCATCCATCCCAGCGCCAGCAGCGAAACGCTTAGCTTGGCCATCTTTGATCATTTTGCCAGCCTGCCCCTCAGCGCAAGCTCTCGAACACGACTCCGTACCTCTAACGCAACATCGATGGCGAATGCCAGGATGGCCTGCAAGTTCAGGTCTGTCGACATGGTAATAGTGCTGAGACAAAGTGGTATGTTGGACACCAACCTTCCCGGTCACAGCTCCCCCCGAAGTTGATGCGCGAGCAGTGGACATAAGATACATGGCACGACTACAAAAGATGTATCAAGCTATCCAGTTCGCTCTTCTGATCCTCTGGATGAATCATAATAGACTAGACAGATCCCAACGAGCCGACTAAAGCCCATTGACGACCCCTGGACAATGAATGATTGGTCTTCTTATCTTGCCCCTCTTTCCCCGTCCGATTGCCACACATTCTGGCGTCGATCGTGAATAAAGAGGCGTGAATTTGAATCATGAGCAGTTGAGAAAGGCTAACGGTGCTGACAATCTCGTCGCATGAGATGCATGCAGTGATGGATGGGATGAGTGTGGTTCGGATGAGAGGAGTTTCGAATGTGACCTTGTAATAAAAGTGACACGCGAGTTCGGGGTGGACGTCATTAATCTAGATTGCCGGTTATAAGTGCCGAGGACCCGTCTGTCTCCCATGTTCAACCAACCTGCTTCTCGCCCTCACTCGTCCTCTTTCACCCTTCTTCACCACTTTGTCAGCTCCGCAGGCTCTGATGGCAGATGTCTGGCATCATCAAGTCGCTTGATCATGCACTCGGATCTCACAAGTCCAACGATGTGGCTTCCACAAATCCAGCTGCGTCGACCACTGCGGAAGGACCGACCGTAGGCGGTCTCCTCAAGGCTGATGCGGAAAGAGGTGCAGCCGTGCATGTAAGGGAGACGTTTGATGATGGTAGCTGACCATATTCAGGCCTTTGATCCCGATGCGACACCCGAAGAAAAGGCTGCTGCTGCCGGCAAGGCTCGAGCTCAACTACAGGCTATCCCTGGAACTGAACATCTGAAGCATCGGCGATCCGCCCTGGGAGGTCGAGCCGTCGCCATTGACACCTCGACTACCAATGGTGCTCCAGCTCCCACTATCACAATGGCTGACATCGATCACGCCTCTCGCGCCGAGGGGCAAGAGGTTGGTGGACAGTCGGTCCCAGGTGCTATCCCCACCGGTGCTGCGCCTCCAGTTCCCAAATGGCTGCAGGTTGGATGGAAAGAGGTAGCAGGTGCCGCGTTGAGCGGATCAGATGAGCATCAGAGAGATTTGGGCATATTGGCTCATTACGTGTGCGTGATTCTGATGTTGGAACGAAGATCTCACGCATGACAGCTCGGACCAAGCGTACGGAGCGTGGTACCACAACGCGGCCATTGTAAGGCTCATTCTTTGAGACGCCACTGACTCCTAGATCCTCTTCGCCGTCCTCACCACGCGCTTCATCACCGTCATCCATCTCGGATGGGGTTGGGTGATCTGCATTCTTGCCTCTTGCGCCGCCTACTACACCCTGTCTATGCAACGAACACGTGCTCGCGCAAGAGACGACATTCAAAGGGAGCTGGTCAAGACGAGATTGGTCACAGAAACGGAAAGTGCAGACTGGCTCAACGGATTCCTAGATCGATTCTGGTTGATGTGAGTCAGTATCCCTCAAGTATCGCTGACTTCCAGCTACGAGCCTGTCCTGAGTCAAACGATCGTGGCCAGCGTCGATGCCGTGCTCGCAGCCAGCACACCGAGCTTCCTGGAAAGCATTAGATTGACGACGTTCACGCTTGGAACCAAGGCGCCTCGCATTGACTTTGTTCGGACCTTCCCAAAGACTCCAGAGGATACGGTCATCATGGACTGGGCATTGTCATTCACTCCCAATGACCTCATGGATATCACTCCTCGACAGGCCGCTAAGAGGGTGAATCCAAAGGTCGTGCTCAGCATCCGCGTAGGGAAAGGCGCCGTGTCCAAAAATTTACCCATCTTGCTAGAGGATATGAGCTTCACCGGTCGGATGCGAGTCAAACTCAAACTCATGACCAACTTCCCACACGTTCAGACCGTGGAGTTGAGTTTTATACAGAAACCGACCTTCGATTACGTGCTCAAGCCCCTTGGAGGCGAAACGTTTGGTTTCGATATCAACAACATCCCTGGCCTGGCGCCCTTCATCCGTGACCAAGTGCATGCAAACCTTGGACCGATGATGTACGATCCCAACGTCTTCACCATCGATCTCCAAGCACTTCTATCAGGTACGCCGTTGGATGCTGCCATTGGTGTTCTCAAGGTCACTGTCACCGATGCACGGGGTATTAAAGCGGTCAAATTTGGCGGCGGTGCTCCCGATCCTTACGTTTCGATCGGGCTTGGAGCCAAACCGCCGATTGCCAAGACTCAAACTATACCATCCAGTCATAATCCTTCTTGGAATGAGACCAAATTCATTCTGATCACGACTCTTGCGGACGTTCTGAATCTTGGCTTGTGGGACTACAACGAGCACCGCCCAGACAACCATCTAGGCGCGGTCACTCAAGAACTCGCCACGTTGAAGGAGGACGCAGAACAAGAAGGCCTCGTCGGCAAGATCATAAGCGGCGGTAAGGAGCGTGGAGAGCTGCGATACGACTTGTCCTACTTTCCCGTCCTTCAGCCACAAAAAGCTGCAGATGGGACGATTGAACCATTGCCAGATACGGAGACTGGTATCGTCCGTTTCACCATTCACCAGGCCAAGGACCTCGATATCTCTCGAGAGCATGGCGACCTCAGTCCGTTTGTCAAGGTTTTCCTCGGCTCGAGCCAACAGCCTGTTCACACCACACCTATCCTGAAGAATACCTCGAATCCCATATGGGAGTCACACTGCGAATTCCTTGTACCAGAGAAACACAAGAGCATTATCACGCTTCAAGTCATCGACAATAAGGAATGGGGCTCTGATCCTAAGCTCGGTCGACTCTCCGTCAAGCTGACTGATCTTATCGAGGCGAGGGAACGCCAGCAGGACTGGTACCCGCTTCAGGAATGTCGGGCAGGGAGAATCCGTCTTACCACCGAATGGAAGCCCGTGGCTATGGCTGGATCAATGGAGGGAGCCGGGACATACGTTCCTCCCATCGGTATCCTCCGGCTCTGGCTCAAGAAAGCTATCGATGTCAAGAACGTAGAGGCTGCTCTAGGCGGCAAATCGGATCCCTACGTGCGTGTCTTGCGAAACAACATCGTTTTGGCGAGAACAGAGGTCATCAACAACAATCTCAATCCAGAATGGGATCAAATCGTCTATGTGCCTGTCAAGAACCTCCGACAATCGCTCATTCTCGAGCTCATGGATTATCAAAACATTGGCAAAGATCGCTCACTGGGTTACACCGAAATCAAGGTTGGCGACTTTGTCTCCGAAAGTAGCGATCAAAAGTATCCCTTTGTGTCCAAGGGCACAAGAGAGATGAGCGACAAGATCAAGATTGACCGAGTCAACTATAAGGGCACCCTAATCTACCAGGTCGATTTCAAGCCTGCTATGTCTCTAAGAGGCGGTGTCTCCTTCGATCCCCAGGAGAATGCCTTGGACGCCGCGGCGGAAGCAGAAAGCGCCAGACAGCGAAAGGAGAGCGAAACTGCAGGCGTGCCTGCGGCTGAGACATCAGGAAACGGCTTGCGCCACAAGCCATCCGTGTCCATCGCTTCGGAAGCCAGCAAGCAGAGCAAAGCTAGCGAGTCTAAAGCAGGCGGAGAAGCTACTGCGGCGGAGAATCCCGAGGTAGGAGTGGTGATGTCTGATGAGGAGCTCATGGCCTCTCGTGAGTTGCTGGTATTGTGTCTTCTGACTTCGATCAGAATCCGGTGTCCTCGTTTTCCAAGTGATCTCTGGTCAGCTTGCGCGCAAGGGATCGCTCGAAATCTTATTCGACGATGGCTACTGGCCCAGCTTTACCACCGCAAGAGCAAGGAGTAGTCATCCGACATGGGATCAGGTGAGTATACAGCTTGAGTCCGAGCTGAGCGGCCAGATTGGTGAAGGCTTCGTCCGGGAGCTTGACTTTAGCCGCATATGGTTGAGGATCAACGCTGGTGACGATTCCTCTAACGAAGAGATTGTTGCCGAGTTCAAGTGCGACACCAAGTCATTCCTTGAGAAGTGCATGGTGAGTCTCCAAGCGACAGCATCTACTGAGATTTACAGAAAAAGTCCTGTGACTTTTTGCTCTCGCAAGCCGATGGATCCAATCGGTCCATGATCACGCTGAGCGCGAGGTACATCCCCGTGGACATCAAGCTGGAACCTAGGGAGAGTATAAACAGTGAGTTATATCCGACTCCATGTGTCGCTCACAACGCAGACATGGGTGTTCTACGTGTCGAAGTGATTGGTGCCAAGGGTCTTGCTGCGGCCGACAGGAGCGGAAAGTCTGATCCCTACATCATCTTCACCCTGAACGGTCAACGGGTATTCAAGTCTGAAACAAAGAAGAAGACATTGTCACCGGTGTGGAACGAAAGCTTTGAGACGCTTGTACCGAGCCGCGTGGCCGCCAAACTCCACTTTGAGATTAATGATTGGGACCGGGTCGGTTCGGCGACACCTCTGGGTGATGGCCCGATTGACCTCGCCGCTTTGGAGCCATTCGAATCGACGAATATCGAACTGCCCGTGAATAATCCGAGGGGTTCAGAAAAGGGCACGCTTTCCCTCAGACTCTTGTTCCAACCTGAGATCATTGCCCGAACTCGTCAAAAGACCAGCACTTTTTCAATGGCCGGTCGTGCGGTAACCCAAATTGGTGCTCTACCATTCGCGGCTGGCAAGGGAGTCGTGCATGGTGGAGGAGCAGTAGCTATGGGCGTTGGTCATGGTCTAGGGACAGTCGGCGGGTTCGCAGGACGACATATGGGTCTGATCAAGAAGAAGGACGCATCTGGGAAAGAGGTCCTCGCCGCTGCAGATGGAACAGTGGTGAATGGAACGCATGATGCTGGATTCGATGTCCCTGCTGGACAGACATCCCAACCTGTGGATGCGGAGGGAGTCAACGCGGATGGTCTTCCCGTAGGAGCCGCCGCGACCACTCCGCCGCCTCGTCCGGCCACGGAGCCTGGGGTTCTGAATGTGACCGTCATGGGTGCCAAAGATCTCAAGAGCGATGAGGGGAGTGGACTGAAATCGTTTGTCCAACTGAGAATGGCTGGCAAGGCTCATAAAACGGATCATGTGAAGGGCTTGCAGCCTGAATGGTGGGTGAACTGGTTTTCAAGGTGCTGATCAATCGCAGGAACGAGAGTTTTAGTTTTAATGTGGCCCCCGGTACGTCTACACTTCAGGTAGCCGTCATGGGTGAGTTTGATAGTAGTTTTGCGTCGAGGTCCCGCTGATCAGTCCTCAGAGCACCACACGTTTGGCAAGGACGCCGAGGTTGGCGAAGCTGAGGTGGACATTTGGACCCATATCCAACCCGCGATTCCCAACGCGGATGTCTGGATCGAGCTCAAGAACGGCACGGGTTTGCTGAGACTGCGCCTCGATTGGAATACGAGTTCAGCGCCGGGCAGTGCTACCGCCATGGACAAGAAGCTCAAAGGACGGAGTCCAAGCATCATTTCGAAGAGGAGCCATAGCAGATTCTCTTTATCGGCATTGACCCCGACCAAGAAGGAGCATCAGGATGTGTCATAGGTACCGCGAGGGGCATCGCTATGACAGACACGACATGACGACCGCTAGAAGGATCTGGGGTGGATACAGGTACATATTTCATTATAGGGATTTAGACCAAGGCATGGATATATCATACTTGCGTGACCTTTACTTGCGGCAGCCTGCCAGTGTCCATGTAGGTTATATAATCCGCCAACCGCCATCGTTCTTGAGGGTCCTCTTCTGGCTTTTTCGGTGTCGGCTTTGGTGCATCTTTGTTTGTCGATGTAGCTGGGCCGTCCATCATGACAAAGTCGTCCTCACCATCTCCGAAGAGATCTTCCTCTTGCTCCTTCTTTGCCCCTTCTACATCCGGCTTTGCATCGCCTTCTGCCTCTGTCTTTGCCGATGCCTGACCTTCGGCAATAGTATCATCATCGTTATCACCCTCCAAGATCCTCATCTCCCAGTCCATTTCCTCCTCTTTGCGTTCAATCTCCTCTCGCATGGCTTCCGCTCGTCGACTCTCACGCATGAGTCTGTCCCTCAACTCTTTGGATAGATCATTCGCTTGCTGCTCTGAAAGACCTTTCAGTTCGTCCATAGTCATCCAAGCCGTCTGGGAATCTGTGCGTTGACCCGGTGCTAAGAGCTGCGTTTCGAACGCTGACAGAGACGGGTTGGGTAAAGTCGACAAGACCCATTCAAATATATCTCGTGCTATCGGATTTATCTGATCACCTTGTTCGGTCCCTACCGGAGCCAAAGGGTTAAGCGGATGGACCAGATACTTGGACAGTATCGGATCGGTGGATGGCGGTTCGGTAGGATGAGGGGTTGCAGTTTGAGGAGGCGGTCTGTGGATATAGGTCGACAGGGCTTGAACGCGAGACAAGAGGAGAGTGTATCGCTCAAGTATGTTATCCCTGTTGAAGACATAATCAGCCTCAGCCTCATCGGGGAACCGGAGCGAGTGCCCTCTCGAGGAGTGCTCACCAGGTGGGCAGAGTGCCGTTGTGGGCTCCTGCAGCTAGGAGATTTTGAAACGCATCAATATCGTGAATCGCATGAGTGAGCCGAAGCACCAAAGCCTGAAGGTTCGCAGCGGGTATACTGGGGGCCACAGGGCCATGATAAGCTGTAGATGGTCCAGCTTGAGGCTGTACGCCTTGCGGTGGATTTTGAGCTGACATTGGAGGGTTGGCGAATGTCAGGTCCATCCATCGCTCCGTTGACATGCCCAGCGGCATTTTCATTTTCCGACGGAATTAACGAAGATCCTGTGACCGGCGGCGACCTTCAGTCACTTTTGGCTCTTGTGTCCGTCTATGAAGCGTCGACAGCGATGCAGCAGCTTCTGAGTGAGTCCACTTTGATCGATGAGATCTCAACATCCGTCCTTTTCTCTGACAACCGGGCACAGATCCATTTGCGCAAAAATATCCCGAGACTGTAGACTGTAATCTTCCATCTCAATCGACTTGTTGTCGGTTCAACAATTCTGGTCCCTTTGCAGGTCATTACCTGGCAGCAGGCGGGTCCGATGGTCTCATAGAGATTTGGGATGTGGAGACAAGAGACATCATACGGACGCTAGAGGGGCACGTCAAGTCTATCGGATCAATATGTTGGTCTCGGAACAACCGGTACTTGCTCTCAGCTTCCCTTGATTCGACCTGTGTCGTTTGGGATCTCTCTATAATGGACAACCCTGCGCTGTCGCCACGTACACCACTGGACTCACCTCATTCCTCGTCCTCTGTGTCTGTGATTGCGCCCTCGACTAGATCTCGGACGATCCGATTCGACGCTCCGGTCGCTATGGCTGAATTTCATCCTCGGAATTCCAAAATCATTCTGGCGACATTAACGTGTAACGAGGTCGTTTTGGTGGATTTGCGACCGGGAGGAGGCATGTCCATTGTGGAGGACGCGGTCGACGAGAGGGACATGCAAGTGGACTCGGAGCAAGGAGACTCCGCACAGGAGAGTCAGAGGTGAGCGAGATGAATCCAAACGCTCCCCACGCTCATAGATCGTATAAGGGCTATTCTCTCGTGTGCAAAATTCTCACCTTGCGGATCGAGGATTTATGCTGGATCAACTCAAGGAGAGCTCTTGATATTCGATCCAGTGACTCGTACAGTGAGCCCGACCGCCACCTGACGAGTTGGGAGACGACACTCGGACTGACACACCCCACTCTCTCAGGTGATCAACAGGTATAAAGTGGCCAATGCGTCTATCCGTCAGATCGCGTTCGACTCCCGTGGCCAGTGAGTGCTAATGTTTTCCACCACCTTCCTCAGTATGATGACTTATTCGATTCTCGAAGAACGTTTGTCTGCTCTGCGTCGGACAGAGCGGTCAGAGTCCTCCTCATCTCACCTACGACCGGTGCACTCACTCCCACCCATCGATTCCAAGACCTTGTCAACAGGACACCTTGGAACAGTGTAGGATTCAGTGGTGATGGAGAGTATGTCATGGGAGGTGCAGGTTATAAACAGGCACACAACGTGTTTATATGGGATAGAGCATTTGGAAATCTCGTCAAGGTCCTCGAGGGTCCAAAACAGAGTCTCGTGGATTCAGACGTGAGTCCCATCGTTCTCAACCGACAAGATCTCTGACTCGATTCTGTCAGTGGCATCCGACTCGACCGGTCATCGCGTCGATATCAAACGTCGGAGATATTCACCTCTGGCATACTGTATCTCCGGACAATTGGGCCGCTTTCGCACCTGGCTTTGAAGAATTGGAAGAGAATGTAGAGTATGACGAAAGAGAAGACGAATTCGATATCGTGGGTCTGAAATAGACTGACATGGGGCCTGTCGCTCGAGTGTAGCCTCTGATCGCCTGGTACAGGAGGACGAGACAGAAGTTACGAGACGTCAAGACCTGGAAGAAGATTCCATTATTGATGTCTTCACACCCGATGACTCTGTACCTAGACGACCCAAGCCAATAGTGCAATCGAATACGGGGGAATCCGAAGAAACTGAGGAAGGTAGAGCAGCAAGACTAGCAGCTCAAGTCATGGAATGGGCTGATCGAGAACCGGATGAGGATACGTGGGAGGGATTTTTCATCAGTCTCAACTTGCTTGAGCCGATCAACGGAACGGTCACGAACGGGTCGTGAGGGAAAGCATAGCTCATCACACTGGTAGTATACACACTTGACGAAACTATAACGATGTATAACGAAGTGACACGGACTTCTGAGCGATTCATTGAGCGGAAGACGGAGGATCGTTGGGTCCAGGCTGGGCGGCAGGTGCCGATGTATGACTCCTGCGCTTGCTCTCATCTAAAACAGTCAGCATCCAGGCATGCACGCAAGTCGGTCTCGAGAGACTCACAAGCCTTGTACGCTGCCCGCTGAATCTCCTCTCTTTCATTCTCCTCTGTGGCCTTGGATGCCTCCTGGGGTCTATGGGGAGGAATAGGGGGCGCGGCGGCAGTCGCAGCTGGAGCCGTTCCCTCGGGTCGAGGTGGAGGCACTGGAGCAGATGCCGTTGCAGCAGAAGGACGAGGGGGAACGTGAGGCGCTGTGCCTTGAGGACGGGTGGCTGAAGGGGTCTTCTCATTAGGCATGGTCGGGACAATCCGACCAGGCGCCGTTCTCGCTCCGGTACCACCGGTACTACTGGTCGTCGTCGATGCTTGAGCCTTTTCCGCATCTCTCTGTTTCGAAGCTGGCGTGTCGACCTTGACAAAGTCGTCTTGTTTCTCCGGCTTGTCAGCTTCTTTGCCAATACTTTCGAAAGCCTCGGAAAAAGTAAGCGCCTCGGTTTCGCCGTACACAACTTACCTCTGCCATGAGTCCCAGAGCCACGGCTCGCATGTGTCGCTTTTCCGCAGAGATGGACGGATCGGCCAAGACCTTTTCACTCGTCTCTCGGACGACACTCTCAACTTCGAGTTTGGCACCTTTCCACATAGTCCTCATGCCCTGTTCAGCGGCTTGTTCTTCAAGCTTGCGGAGTTGTTCGGGGGCTAGTCCAGCCTGCTCAGAAGCTTGCAGCTTGTCAAAGATAGCTTTGAGTTCAAGAGCTGAGCGCAGAGTTGATACACTAGATGGGGTCAGTGACATGACTCCTGGACGAGCTTCACTCACGTATCAGAGACAGCATTGAACGTATTTTTAGCTCCATGGAACCATCCGAGAGGGGCGAATTGCGATGACGCCTGGACATTGGTCAGCTTACGTTGTGAACGACGTCGCGCACCATGTGTTGCGAAGATTTGGCCTGGTACGCCCGGCCAATGGCATTCAATAATTCCACACCGTAACTCTCGTCCTTGAGCTCTCTGCAACAGTATCAGCCTGATTTCAGTGGGATGCGACTGACTCTGCTTCCAACCGACATTTCTCCTGTGAATGAATGGACGGTTTCAGCGTGCATCCGAGGGCGGCAGCACTTCACACTCACCTTGAAGGACGCCGCTACTGCCTTATCTTCGGGTCCTCGAGCAGCTTCAGTGAACACCGCAAGCTTGTTTTGAAGCGCTTCTGCAAGTTTATCCACTCTCTCCTTGCGGATTCTAGCTTTCTGCAACCGGATCAGCCGTCGGCTCCAAAGCTCAGAATCTCACCTCCTCCGCTCTGATCCTATCTCTTGCCATCTTCCTCTGCATAGCCTCTGGAGTCATCATCCTTCTGCCACCAGGACCAATCATCATGTCGCCTTCTTCCTGCTCTGATTGTTGTTGGAAAGCATCTTTCATATCTTTCCCGATGGAAATCTGACCGATCAACGGCTCAAACTTGTCACCCCCAAACATTTTGCCAAAGACTTCTTCTGGATCTTGGAAACCTCCCGCAGGCTCTGCGGATCCTCCTCCGTTCTTTTGGCCAAACTCATTGTACTTGTGTCGCAGATCAGGATCCGACAGAACTTGATAAGCGATAGAAATTTGTTTGAACTGTGTCGTGTCAAGGGGGTGGAAGCCTGTCAATATCCTCTATACTATACAAGCATCGCAACTGACCTTCTCTTCCGCATCGGGATCATCACGATTTTTGTCCGGATGCAACTGCGTCCCATTTTCAGTGTCCCTCCCCCTTTTATTCTCAGGGCATGTAGACCCACCTTGATCGCCAAGCGTCGATAAGCCTTCTTGACGTCCTCCGTGGTACACTGACTGTCCAGTCCCAACACATCGTAATAAGCCAAGTCGATAGGGTTCTTATCGGTTCCAATGGATCGTCCACCTCCGGCCCTAGACCCCATACCACTACCTGCACCTGCTGATCCACCGAATCGGGACGAAGATGTCCCCGACGAGGAGGTTCCTGCTCCAAATCCAAAAGATCCTCCTGGACCCGAAGAAGAGGGTTTAGGCTGAGGATGACTGAATAGAGATTTGCATCTGCGACAATATGAGTTGACAACGTAGCGGTGAGCCACTTAGACACTCACTGAGCACATCGTACGCGCAGTGTGCCGATGAACGTAGGTGGGATCATGTATTCTTGTTGAGATCGACATCTGCGACCCATAGTCAGCGAGTTCAGAGCATTCGGAACCACCACCTCCAGCACGACTGCACTCACTGTGGACAGTCTACAGGGGTATAAGTCCCTCTAGGTCTCGACTCTATGATTGTAGACATGATGTACAAAGATGCAAGGTGTAAAATCCAACGCAGCTCGCATCAAAATGGCAGTGCCGGTTCCAATATCGCTCCAGACGATGACGTACAATCAAGCGGCGCGTCACAAAAGTCATGGCGTCCAGTCACTGTCTAGAGCCTCTCTTCCCTCATGACATACAAGACACACTGCAGGTCAACAAGTCTGACAGGACACCTTGCTTCGTTGCATGAAACGCATAAAGTATGGATTCTGAGCGAATACACTGCGTCCCGGAGGTCGAAATGTAATGTGAGAGGGAAATAAAGAAGTTGCAAGTCACACTCTAAGTAGAAGCAATCATCGGCAAAAACGATTCGAACAGGGGAGGAAGTAGAGAGTTTCAAGCACAATGGTGGCGAAAGCCTCTCGGCGAGACCAATTAGGGGAGCTGGGGATATCGTTTCAACAAAATCGCGCTCGTTATGAACAGAATAAGCATTATACACTAGCCGGTCGTGAACATCCACCCATAGCGAGGGGATGATTAGGCAGCGGTAGCGACGGTCGGGGCAACAGCGGGAGCGGCAGAGGTTGGCGCTGTCTTGGACTACAGCGGCTTCAGCTTAAGCTCAGAAAGGAAGGTCAGAGCGCACCTCGTCCATCTTGATTGGCTCTGGGGTGACGGGCTTCTCCAACTGAGGAGCCTCGGTGGCAACGGCTACAGGAGCCACAGCGGTTGTGGTGGCGGCCTCCTCCGGCTTGACCTCGACCTTCTCCTCCTTTGCTGGTGGGGTGTCCTTCTTGCCAATGCTCTTGAGACCCTGAATGAATCTGGTGGAGATCCGTCGGTTGGCCTTGACTTGTTTGGGCTGAGGGACGCGTCAGGGAAAAATTCGAGGCTTGCAGAACTCACAGTCTCCTCCTGCTTCTCAACAGGGGCTGTTTCTTCTGGCTTGGCATTCACGGCCGGGGCGACGATAGCGGTCTCCGTGGCGGGCACTGTGGTCTCGCTGTATTGTATCAATGATCGACCCCGCTAATGTCACCTACGTCTCTTTCACGGCCTCTGGCTCGACGATCGCAGGAGCAGCAGAAGTGGAAGCCTGGGGAGCGGATGATGGCCCAGCAGCACTGGCCTCTGCGAGAGCAATACCGGTCACCTCCTTGTTGCTCTCCTCGGCGTCCTTCCCGACTGGGGCGGGAGCGGTGGAAGACTCGGCAGGGGCCTCATTGGTGGTGGCTACTTCCTTGATAGGGTCTGCTTTCTCGGTCTGGGACACAGTTAGTCCCAATCCCCTGTCAGGCTCTGTCAACTTGCCTTGGGGGTCTTGACCTTCTTCTCCTTCTTGGGAGACTTGTCCTTGCTGCCAAAGATTTTAGCGAAGAAGCCTTTGGACTCGGCTTTGGTCTTCTCAACCTTTTCCTACATATCGGTGAGCTTGATCACGCAAGACTTTTGTTGGCTGCTCACCTTGGTGGGAGTCTTGGTCTCCTCAGTCTTGGCATCGGCAGGTTTTGACTCTTCGACCTTGGGGGAATCCTCGATCTTGGCGGGCGTGCCGTCAAGCTGAGTCGCGGGTTCAGAGCCAGTGTGCAGGGTATCGCTCTCGGCGTGTGTGGTGGTGGGTTGTGTCACCTATAGGCTGTCAGCTGCTATCAACTCGCACATGACGGGCAGCTTACAGCTTCAACGACGGGGGCAGGCTCGGGCGCAGCGGCGACGACCTCGGGGGCGGCAACCGGCTCCTGAGCTTCGATAGCAACAGGAGCGACGGCGGGAGCGTCCTCGACGTTGGTGGTCTGAGCGGCGGTAGGTATGGGTTGAGAGGGAGATGGTTTGAGCATGTCGAGGAGAGTCATGATGGGTGGGCGGCGAGGGAGAAAGTAAGGGAGTAGTGTCAGCGGATGTCGCGTAGGGATCAGGGGGTCAGAAGAAGGATCAGAGAAAGTGGATGCCAGACAAAGGAGGTCCCAGCTGTGGAGTGGTAGAGGTGTTCACGATGATCTGAAGGTGAGATCGAGAAGAGGGCTCTACTGTGAGATGCAGCGAGGAAGAGTCAGAAGAGGGAGAGAGAGGCAAGCAAGGAACAAGGTGACAAGAAGTGTGAATGATCATGGAGGGAGACACGAGGTACGGTGGCAAGCCACAGCTGAGTTGAGAAGGTGAAATTTCCCCTTCTCTTCATCCCCTTAGACGCTAAACGGGGCGGGTTCACGGACCCTCGAGAGAGAGAGAGAGAGAGAGGAGCTTGGAGCGTAGTGTCACCGGATCGTTCACAGGCAGAGATGAGACTGTTCTACAAGAAAAGGGCATAGAGTCGTAGATGTATATATCAAGATACTACCTCACTCACCTTTGATACTTGTTCAACGGCGGACATGTTGAGTGATGTGTGTAGAGGGGAAGGGTGGTGAGGACTGTGAGAGGTAGAAGAGGGGGGATGGTGGTGAAGGTGAGTGTATCAGGTGACTTTGAGTGTGTGGCTGCGAGACTATGAGAGCTCGATAGCGTTCCGTACAGAGTGGAATGAATGAGTGGATGAATGGATGAATGAAAGATGTGTGAGATGTAGAAAAGAGAGAAAGAAGGAAGGAGTCTCAGAAAGTTTTGATTAGTCGAGTGGCGAACTGAGAAAGGGAAAGAAAGCAGAGATCATGGGGCTCGAGAGCCTTGAAAGGGAAGGGGTTAGGCGCCCTTACGTTTCATCTAGTCTACCATCTTCATACCACTTGTCTACCGTCAGTGAACAGGGAGCACTTTAGTGCATCGGGACTGGTTTAGAGGATCTATCTGTTCACAGCAACTCACAGCCATCCCTCTGGGAGGGGGACACAATCTCATTTCACCCGCGAGGAGCTTCCCAAATTCATCCCACTTTCTCTTATCGGGGCTACCATCACCATAACAAACGAAGGGAATGTCCAGACGAGCCAAGCACTAAAATAACATTTTAACCCGTTTAGGAAATCTTTGTGTTTCAGATTGACCCAGGGCGGGGAATGTATATAGCTGGGGGTGCAGCTTGCTGGCAAAGACTGCTCGACGATAGCAACGCGAACGACATCTAGGAGGCAGGAACCATAAGTCAGACAGAGGGATGAAAGGCCACTGTGCATCCCTCGATCTTGCTCCAGGTGAACAGGATGGGTTCACACATTCGCTAGCTTATGACACTGTAGTACCAACGCGGAATTAATCCCAGTAGTCTTCCGCCGCCTGGACCCTGTGTAGCTCTGATCTAGAGACGTCAGCACGTGCCACGATCACACCACAGGCGAATCGAGAGACAGAGCTTGGCTGAATCCGTGGCATAGACGACTGAAAGATGCTGCTGCATGTATTTCTGGATCTGCAGAGAGATGCACTCCTGGGTCGGTCGATCCGGCAGGAGACGGACCGCTTTTCCACCGAGAACCTCCCGCCGCAAGGTCCCGAAATCTTGTGTCAGCGAACCTAACAGCTGCTGCTACTAACCTCTCACCTTCTCGACTATGCGTGTACCTTCTCCCATCATGCACGACGCAAATGATTACCTGCAGATCAAAGGCGATGATATCGTTCTCGATGGAAAGCCGATCCTGCTCAAAGGTGAGCTGCCAGCGTGGGGGGCACATCGACATGGCTAACAAGATTTCCTCTCTCTCTGTCTTTCAGGTGCCGGTCTCGGAGGATGGAGTGGGTTCGATTCGATGAGCCGCAATGCTCATGGCTGATGAGCGTCCCAGTGAACATGGAAAACTTCATCACTGGGTATCCGGGACACGAGTTCCAGGTCCGAGCTGCATTGAAAAAGGTTCTGGGAGAGGAAAAGTATGACTTTTTCTTTGACAAGGTGCGTTTGACGGTGCCGATCAGGGTGTCTGTCTGACCTACACCCTCCAGTTCTTGGAATACTTCTTCACGGAGGAGGATGCCAAGTTGTACGCAGAGCTTGGACTCAATTGTCTTCGTCTGCCTGTGAGCGCGACCAAGCTTTGTGGATGGTGAACCTTGTTTTCTGAGACAGTCACAGGTCAACTACCGACACTTTGAGGATGATATGAACCCTCGAGTATTCAAGAAAGAGGGTCTGAAGCACCTGGACAGAGTGATCGATATCGTAAGTTGGATCTCAGTGATTGCAGCCTGACCCACGTAGTGCGCCAAATACGGCATCTACACCGTAATCGATCTTCATGCCGCACCGGGAGGAGCGTCCGATCCTCGCCGATGACCCCAACTGCACTAGCTGACCTCACTTCCAGGTCAGAACTGCGACTGGCACTCTGATGCTGGGAATGACCAAGCATTGTGTGAGACGTCTCATCATTCACTGCAACTCGTTCACTCATCGCTTGTCTGCAGTCTTCGACCACAAAGACTTTCAAGATAGAACCGTGTTGATTTGGGAACACCTCGCCAAGGTGAGCTTCTGGTACGGAGGTGATGCCTGATGCCTTTCCAGCACTACCGTGACAACACCTGGGTCGCAGGCTACAACCCTTTGAACGAACCGACCGATGAACAGCATGTTCGTCTCCTGGCATTCTACAAGAGAGTTGAAAAGGCCATCCGCAAAATTGACCCGCATCACCTTTTGTTCCTTGAGTGAGGCTCCGCATGGGGTCAAATGTGACGTCTCTCGCTCACATCGTGCAGCGGTAACACCTTTGGAGGTGACTTTAGGCACTTTGAAGAGCCTCTGCCAAATTGCGTTTACGCCTGCCACGACTACTCAAAGTGAGTGGATCGCTTTCGGTGACTAGGGCTGGCACTGAGCTTTGGCAGTTATGGCTTCCCGTCGGCGCCTGAGCTCTTCACTGTGGGTTACCTCCTGATCTTCATCAAGGTCTCGCACTGACGCTTTGTGCGCCAGGGCACACCAGAGCAGATCGAATGGCACAAACGATCTTTCAACCGCAAGATCGAATACATGCAGAAGCACAAGGTGAGTCGGATACCTGTGGAGTGTACAGTCCGAGGCTGACATATTCGCAGATTCCCATTTGGAACGGCGAGTTTGGGCCCGTTTATCAAAATGCCAATGATGGCCTGCCTAACTGGGAGGAGATAAACGAGTCCAGGTATAAAGTCTTGGAATGTCAGTTGGGACTGTATGCCAATGCCAAGACGAGCTGGTCCATCTGGTTGTGGAAAGGTAGGTCTGCCGGGCCATAATCCTCAGCGCTGACGCCGCCTTTCAGATATTGGATTCCAAGGAATGACCTATGTGGACCCTGAATCCCCATACATCAAGCTCCTGCAACCATTCCTCGACAAAAAGAGGGTGAGGCTCCGGTCTGACCTTGGCAAAGTACCCTTCTGATCCCTCCATCTAGCGTCTTGCGACTGACTCGTGGGGATGCGACACGACACCCGTCGAGCCCATCTTTGAACCCATCAATAAGTGGATGTTGGAAGCTGCTCCAGCTCTAGAACACAAATACCCTTCGACATGGCGAGGAGTCAAGCACATCAGTCGTATGTTGAGAAACTGCCTACTTTCGGTGAGTTCGACCCTCGAGTGGCACAACGTGGTCTCTGATGAAACACTACCAGGAATGTCTCGTAGACGAATATGCGAGCTACTTCGAAGGCAAGAGCATGCAAGAGCTGGATGAGTTGGCGCAAAGCTTCAAGCTGAGTGAGTTGGATCCGTTTGATACAGCTTGATCTGTTTGCTCACTCCACCGCCAGGCAAGTGCCAACAGAGGACAAGGCTCAACGACATCCTGAAAGAGGATAGCAAGCGGGCGGCGGTATAAGAAGAGACCGTATCTTGCTGTCAGAGCTACGTGTAATGCATCATCTATGACACTGCTAGGGTCGAGGAATTCATCTGTGTAGCCTGCGGTCGGTGCGGCCGGTGCGTCACCCGGATGCATCGGCGATCGCCGCTTTCTACTCATCTCGGCAATGTTGCGCGTTGTTGTCAGTCTGCGTGCAGCAGATCCCATCCAAGACTTCCAATCCGACCTTTCTTGATTCCACGATTGTCAACACAACGACTTGTCCTGTTTCTCAAACCATCGCATCAGGTGTCTCCCTACAATTGCTGTTTTTCTATTGTCACTATCGACTCGACAAGCCTTTTGTCCTTCTTATCGGGCTCCCGGTATTCCAGACACTTGCCACCCACAATCGTTCAAGTCATCCATCAACCGAGACATACCTACAGGCTTGATTCTCTCCTATCATTAGTATTCACAGCTATCCAAGTATTTTTGAGCCATTGTGTGAGTCCCTCATCGTCCTGTGCGCCGTGGCCTGAGGCGAAACCCTCGGCATTGTCATTCCAGCACGACTGACGTATTTCCGGATCTTGCAGTAATCATCCCGCAAAGGCACGAAGGGAGACCAACTACGATATCTCAGTGCGTTGCCCAACGGCAATCACTCTATGCCACTGTCGGACAATGTCGTCGTTCACCAACAATCAAGTTCAGGCGATGTGGGTCAGAGTTCGGGCAACTCGGAGGGAGTCAAGCCTGCGGTGGGGGAAGGACGGCTCGGCGTCCGTGAGTCGGCATGTTTTCTACGTGTCATAGTGAGCTGATGAAGCTTTTGAAATAGCTGTGACCACTAGGTGAGAGAACGTTTCGAGCTACCAGCGAACATGCCCATATGACTATAGACTCACGCCGTGCACCTAGTACCCCATCATCCTCCATCCTCCGCCCTTTGACGTCACATCTTCCATCCTTCCCCAGTGTCGGCGCGATGGGCCGCCTCTTACCTTCACCAACCAAGTCCTCCGAGGCGAGTCGTATCGCAGAGTCGACGGATACCTTGTGGCAGGAAGCAGATCTAGGCGACGGACGCGGTCGGAGGTGAGTTGTCTTATCATCGGAAGATCCTCGCCCCTTTCATTCTGCGTCTAGATCTGACACATACTCTCGTCTCTAGATCACTTCTCATGATTTATTCATCTCGTTGCGCGCTTCGCATCTTTTCCGCTCCTACCAGCGTACTACCAGATGATCCTCACGTTCAAGAGATATCTTATCCTCCAGAGGAAGTCTTCAATCTCCCTCGAATCATTTATACCGGCGAATGCAAGCGAATGAATGTAGGGACTATTCGGCAATCCCTTCAAGCTGCAGACGCAAACGAACACGTCGTCTCGTCTGTGCTTCTCGTCGATGGACCTTTATGGGAAGCCCATGGACCCGTCGCAGCCTTGTGGTGAGCCCCATCAGATCCAATGTGCAAACAAAATTAACGCATCTTCTACCTTCAGCGTCGTAGCTCGATCACGCAAAGCAATCAGTGTCGTCGGCCTGGTCATTGTCTCTCTCAAGACAGGAATCGCCCTATATAGGGTCGAGCTTGGAATCGGCAACGCTGCATCGGTGACGGCCTCCTCCAGAGCTATCGTTGTGGTAAGTCACAGCGAGACAACTAAAAGAGCCGAAAAGATTGATCAATGTCTCAGGCTTTATCTCATCCTTCGCCTACGTTACATATCCTTGACCCCTCATCTCTGGAACCTCTGCAGCCCCCCATCAGAGACCTGCCGTCCCATCATCGCACCTCTCTACCCGTCTTTTCCCTCATTGGCCGACTCCTGGCATACACAACTCACACCCCTCCTCTGAATCCAGGACCCGATGGTCTAGGCTCGATAATCACGGCCAGACCGCCTCCTCGTCCTCGTCCTTCCACTTCTGACGGCTCTCTCGATCTCAAAGCTAGCTCACAGGCTCAAAGCAGTCAATCGGCTCTTCTCGCTTCGGCCGTGGAGATTGGAGGTGGTGTGGCCAAGGGCGTTTGGGCAGGTATCAAATACGGCGCCAGAGCGGCTCAGCAGGCTCGAGCGGGCAAACTCGGAAGCAGTGCTCCAGCTGAAGCGAGTGATCTGCTGGATCGACAGGGGGACGAAGAAGCGAGTGCTGTTCGCAGTGATTTGGGTTCAGCGGATGGTTCAGAGGATGTCCTCGTATCGTCACAGTCTAAACCAGGAGTTTGGGTCAAAATTGTCGATCTATGTCCGCGAACAGCTTCTACAGACTCCTCCAAACCGCTCTTGAATCCGCTCAGTCGGAAGAGCCCTCCATCTCTAGATCTTTCAGCCACCGTCGAGCTCTCGCGAGGCCCGGAAACGCTGGCGTACTTCAAATTACCGCCCTCGAAATCTCTCGCCACCAGTCCAGCTCGCATCCGTTCCTCTACCTCCCAACCCATTTCCTTCTTGACTTTCTCCCCCAGTGGAAGTCACGTTCTCGTCTCTCCACAGGATGGTCGGTCTGCTCACTTGTTCGAGTTTCATCCCCTCGGGCCGACAAAGCATCGCATACGCAGCGAGACGAAGGGCTGTGTTTGGCACACCCATGAATTGCGGCGTGGTAATACATCCGCTGACATTTGTTATGCTCGATGGGACCGAACAGAACGATGGATCGGCCTGGGCACATCAAGAGGCACAATACGTGAGTCCAGTGTATTTCTGGTCATCCTTGATGTCTAATGCGTTCCTTTAGATCTTTATCCTGTCCGGGCCGACGGCCCAGCAGATGCGTCCTCTCATGCTCTTCTACAGCCTCAGGACCTCGATCAACCCCCCGCTCTACATACGCTCGTCGCCTCCGCTGCTCGGCTTCACCCGAGCACACTGAGTCATGAATCTGAGGGACGAGATGTCTTCAATCCCGGTGTTTTCCATTACACCCTTCTCCGGAAACACGACTTGTCAAGCACAAGCACCTTGTACCAGGATATTGTCATCGTTCGTCCGTTGGCCAATACGGTCGAGTTGTCTCGGATAGTCATCACAAAACGCACGGTCGCGGAAACACCGCGATCTCAGCCGATGATGAAACGAGCTAGCGGTCTCACGGAAATGATGCGATCGGCATATTGGAGTCCTGCCACTGATTTGGGGGTCAAATCGAGACCTGTATCGTTCTGGTCACTGCCTCCGGGTGACGAGCGAATCCTACCGCATCTGTTGAGTGGAAAGGCGAAGGTATCGCGACCGAAACTTGTCCCACCGGTTTCCAGGTGAGTATCATGCCTGCGATAAATGCCTCTGACACGATGCAGTCTTGCTCGAGCGGAGATACAGACGCACACAATGTGCCCTCGAATTGTGCCAAAATCAGTCTACCTCTCACATCAGATGGAGTTCTTCTCCGCCCGAGCGATTGACGATTTTTCTCCATTATCCATCATGGATCCCGAGGCGAAGACTCGCCGGTTAGTCTTTCGACACGAGGTCGAGGCGCAGAGGGTTCTCTCCAATAAGGACGCTCCTGAGGTCGACTCGTTTGATGAACCTCTTCTGACTGCCTTGCGTTCTATCATGGATTCTCCACCTGACACCCAGCTCCCCCGCCTGCCAAATGGCGATCGAGCGAAGCTTAATTGGCAATCTGCGACTATTCCTATCCGACACGTCGCCGTGGGTCTCGGTGAAGGTGTCGATAGAGTCAGGAGGGAATACGCTAGAGCTCAACATATACGACAGAAGCGGCGCGCCAGTCAAGTGGCGGAAGCGGCCGCCAACAAACTATCTTTTGAAGAGGACGTAGTCTTGCCTCCTTCCGGACCCAATCTTTCAGACTCCGCTTTGGAGGAGGATGTACTTTTTAGTCCTGATCGACCGGGATCAGCTCTGGACAAGAGTGATCTTGGATCTGGATCACTCCCGTCATCTGAACCGCCGCCATCTCAGACCAATACGGACAGTTCGCACGAGACGCCTTTGGAAGGTTGGGGAGAAGAATGGGAAGAAGAGTATGCCAAGGCGGTAGAGGACGATGGGGCACCTGAAGAGTTGGTATTGGGTCTCATGGATGAAGAGCAAGAGGAGAGGAAGAAATGGCTCAAACGGAGAGAAGATATGAAGCGGGAATGGTCCAAGGGGGCTTAGGGGGCGGGGCGTGGCGTGGCGCCAGTGTGGCAATTTGTTTTTGGAATTGGTTTGTTGTACATTATCAAGATCACCAAAGTATAGCTCATACATTGTCGAGAGAGAGCGAGAGAGAGAGAGCCAAGGTTCACACGATGTATTTCTTACGGGTCCTGGGGTGACTTTATGTACCCGACCCTTTGATCGGCCAATTGCCAGGGGACAGGGATCGTGATTGAGGTGACTTTATAAGATTGTCATTTTCCGCTGCATACTGATTATCAGGAGGGATTGACATGGATTGCACAAGCCGGTTCAATGGATAGTGAAAGCCCCTTGGACTCTCTACTGAGCATGTCATGTGCACTCCCCAGTCCCTCCTGGACGATATCGCTCCCAGCAGGATCGGGTCAATCGAGACACCCCCCTTCGTCCCCGAAAGTGGCATCCTTTGATCGTCATCCCTCAAAGTGGAGGCATGTCCAAAGGATGCCAAATCGTATGAGACCCCCTCTCTCTCTCTACGTCAGAGATTTTCCAGATGGAATTGCCAGGGTGGAGGTCGGACGGCTGAACCGTGTCTCGCCAAGGATATGGCCTGCGTTTGAACCCCGTAAGTGTGTAGCTTCATTAGGGGTGATTCAGGAGAGGAGTGCAGTAATGGTCTGGCCATTGGCTCCAATCCCCTTCCATTCGCTTGGTGTAAAGAGTATATATATATGTACATACATACCGACCTACTACTACCTGACTGGTCCAGGTATCTTGTAGCATCCGAAGCACACTCGCGAGTCGAGTTGAACCACTTCTCAATCCTCTACCGCGGTTTGTATCAGTCTGCACTGCTTTAGCCATCATGCTCGCTCACGTACTCGCTTTCGCGCTGGTCGCGCTCTTCGACCCTGTTGCTTCTATGCCATGGCGGGGACATTGGCAGGCAACGACCTCTACAGCAGTGGTTCAAGAGGGCGGCGTTTACGATCAAGCCGCGTCGACGGTACCAGTTGTCAACCCTGCTTCCTCTGCACCTGTTGACCTCGGTCAAGGTCAAATCCAAGTCCAGGCTTCTAGCGTGGCACAAGGGGTACCTCTGCCATCGGTCAGTTCTGGGAGCGCTGGAGGAGCCAGTGGGGCAGGAGACATCGCATTGGTCAGTACAGGGACTGAGACCCACGTCGTCAATGTGAGTTGCATATCTCAGCTCCCCTCAGGTCCCCTCAAGGCATCTGTCATGTCTCATTTTATTTAATTTGACCGCTTTGGGTTCAATAGTTGGTCAATCGCTGTGGTCAAGGCACAGCTGTCTTTCAAGACGTAGCTGGCAAAACGTACACTGGGAGCAAGACCACTTACTCTGGTGAATTGATCAGTGGACTCGCTTGGATCAAAGGCGCCTATGGGTGTGGAGATAAAGACGGAGCCAACTGTGGAGATGTAGAGTTCACTTTGAAGAATGGGGGTATCAGGGTATCAATTACTCGCTCCAGCAGAATGGTCAGCAGACGCATTCCTAGTGAGTAGGCAGCAAGTGTTGGGAGTTCTTCGACACACACACACACACTGATACCGGACATGAATCACAGCAAATACCCCATGTCATTCTCTACCACTTGTACGCTTGACCCACCTGCCCCCGGACAATGTACAGGGAGCGACCAAGTATCTTGCCCAGGGGCATTTGTTGGACTCGAGACAGAAGGTGGAACGGTCTATAGCTGTAATGGACAGAACGTCGGCGTAAGTTTGAACCGCAAGCATCGACGATGGTAATAGCCAAAGAAGACTGATGCCTCCGCTACTTAGATCACCATCACGTTCTGTTGAGCATTGTCGCGGAGGAGAGTTTGTCGTCGATCGCTAGGAGGAGTGTGTCTCGCCTCTTGCATTGTATGATGCAGATTGACCGCTGGACGGGATCGCTGTAGCAGCCGTGTACTCTGTAAATGTTTTGTAACATTCAAGACTCGTAGCTTTGTGTAATCGTCGAGAAGTGCTTATAAGCTTGTGTGTCGCACCATGAAACACGGGTATGCTTTGTTCTCTTGTAGGCCATAATCATCGTCTAAATCTTTATGTAACTTGTAAGCTGTTGCTTGAACGTCAGCAAGATCGAGACCTAGGGAACTCGCAGATCTTTGAGCATCTTGCTCGTCACCTGTAGACCTTGCAGTGGGTAGTCTGTCGTCTCCGTGAGGTCGTGAGTGACTGAAGCCGTAAGCTTCTGGGCGTACGAGATCGCTATGAGTCGTTTTGTGGAAACTGCGGGGTCCTTTCAAATATGACCTGAATGTTTATGAATGCTGCTCTCGTCAGAGCTTTATCTCCATCCAGGAGATCGAGTGCTTAGTGCAATGTCGATGGCGCTGAATTGGACCTCAGAAGCATTCTCCCTCGATCGGCTCTGATGTCGCTCGAGATCTTCGAGATATCTTTGCTTGCTGAGCCTCGTGCATGACTTATGGATCATGTAGAACGGAGACGTAGGAATGATGAAATGTCGGCCGAATGTTCCATCTTGTTTCGGATCTACAAAAGTGCATCATTTATAGTTTTGGATCATATACTCGTCCCGGGCTGTCGACTCTATCTAGTGGGATCTGGACCGAGTAGTCATCTGCACACCATGCCACCAAGTAAGAACAATACGAAGAAAGAGTCTGGACGGGCGAAGAAAGCCGAGAATGAGGTGGGTCATATCCACCGTTTCAACGCTTTCGGAGCTGATGATACCTGTTCTTTTGGCTTCCCTTTGACCATCGTGTGACTTGACCATGGACGATCGTCTGTCCATCTTCCCTCTCACCTTTTACTACCTCTTGCTCAAACTCTGGTATCTGTCGCATACTCTAGGAGAAGAAATCTCAAGCCGCTGCCAAAGCTCAAGAAGCCAAAGAAGCGGAAAAGTGGAAAGATGGAGGTGAGAGAAGGCGAAAGATATTGGCCAGTCAGGGAGTTTTGAGCTGAAAGGGGGGCGGTAGCAAAGGGAACTACGAAAGCCGACCTAGCCGCTGTCAAGGCTGCAGAACAGGGTGGGTGTCGTTATTCGGTCAGACAAACATTCTGACACGCCCGCCCACTCCCGTAGCGAAGAAGAAGGCCGAAAAAGAAGCTCTGCTTGCAGCTGAAGAAGCCTCTATGCCCTCTAAGCCTAAGGCAGCGCCTAAAGCCGGAGCGAAAAAGAAGCCGACAACTGACAAACCATTGCTTGCTCCTGGAGGTGGAATAGCCAACTACTCTGTGAATGATCCGCTTGGGTTGAGGAGATCAAATGCAGATCAAGCGGGAGAAGGATCGACGACAGCTCTTAGTGCAACGGGAGTGGAGGATATGTTGGAAGCTTTGGAGCTGGCGAATCAAAAGACGGATAAGGATACGATGGGAGCCAAGGTGGGTCGCGAGGGATTGAGCTTGTGCATCAAAAGTTGACGGTTGGGTAAGGCCGGTCTGATAGAAAGGCATCCAGAGGTGAGCATAGGATGATGAGCTCTCAGCGGAGACTTGCGGTGGGCTCAATGTTTTCGTGCCTGTAGAGACGGTTCAAAGCTGCTTTCGAAGCGTATTTGGAGAGAGAGATGCCCCGTATAAGGGAAGATGTGAGTGGGAGAACCCCATACCTGAAAGCACGAAGTTGACCCCGTCGCCGCAAGTATCCTGGTCTCAGACAGAATCAATACCGTGATAGACTGTTCAAAGAATTCGAGAAGCATCCTGACAATCGTGAGCAGGACTTCTGTTAAGGATCTTGGTCTCGCAAGACGCTGACAAATCTACTTCTTTTCCCCTGGCTCTCACAGCTTTCAACCAGGCTCAAGTGGCGTATAATGCGACGAAGGATGAGAGAGTGGACGCCCTGAAGCAGGTCATGGATGCCAGGGAGGCTAAGTACAGGGTGGAGCAGTGAAGGTCAGGATGCGGGAAGACGGCTGTACACATGAGACAGGAGTGTCTTGCTTTGCTGCTTCAGCAAGTAACTCCTGATACCTACTCATCCGGTGATGGCCAATCCGACAAAGTACATGTGGAGCGTGAAAGAAAATTCATGACCGCATGAATGTAGCAAAATACAACAAACGAAAGACACATCGCGAGACTGCATATCCATGATTGCTCGTCTCTCCCCCGCTACTCCACTTCCATGCCCATGCCCATACCTCCACCTTCGGCGGGGATGAGTCGACTCGGCTTTTTTGATCTGCCTGACCCAGTCGCCTTCTCCTGCTGCAGAGCCATCTCTTTCCTCTGCGCAGCACGAACTTTGATCTTTTCCCTGATCTTGTCCTTCTCCTCGGATCCAGCCGCACGAGGTTGGACGAGGTTGAGGTGTGTCTCGATGTCTTTGATGTTTTCGCGAGATTTCTGAGCGGGGTTCTTGGACATCCTGTGCGTAGGATTAGCACAATGTGAGGAGAAAGAAATCGCCGACTGACCTGTTCTTCCAAAACGCCTTTTCTCTCTTTTGTCTGATCTCCTCCACTCGGTCCATCGCTTTGAGCGTCGTAGCGACCAATTCTCGATCATATCGAACGGGAACATTCCGTCGTTTCTCGAATTCAAACGTAGAGTCCTAAAATGGGTAGGAAGACGTCAGTTTACGGTCCAAGCCAGCCCCCTCAAGAAACTCCCAAACCCACAATGACCATTTCCTTTCCGTGAGCCTTTCGGAAAGCTTTTGTCCATCTAACTTTTCTCGGATTCCTCTTCATTTTGAAATTTTTATGACATTTCGATGAACAGAATCGAAAGCATTTGGCATCATTCCTGACGAACATGGTACCGTGTCCTGGGTAAACATTGACAGAGCAGAAGTAACATTTCTCGATACGCATGATGGTGATCCGCCTGGGAGCAGAGGAGCTGTAGGAAGGAGAAGAGTGCTAAGTGGCCAAGTAGGGGCGGCTAGGTGTGGATCTCGAGCCCGGGTGTAAGAGGACGTTAAGGTCTCGACGATGAAGTTGATCTACAGACGGACGGATGACCTTGAGACGGATCGAGATCTTCACGCCGCGATGAGGTTCGCAAAAGACCGATTACGCTGTGTAAAGAAAGACTTGCAGGAGTGCAGGTATGCTGTTGTTCCACAAAAGATCAAGTGCTCTCAAAATTCTGGGATAAAATCAAGCTTCAAAGAATATTCATTTGATTACGTTATCAACTCTCTCTGCTTGATCCCCGCTGCAAAGGCCCGGGTTTTTCCTCTATCTTTTTTTGATTCCGGAATCGGCAAAGAGCCACTCCTCCCTCAGAGCCACCACACGTTCGAGACCTTTTTTGGAAAACAGCTTCACCATCCACTAGCTTCCCGTGTCTTTTTGGGAAAAAGTGAACCAGGTCTTTGTCTGATCATCGTTTGATTCATTCTATCTTACTCTCTATCTCTCTTCCTAGCAGCAACACAGTCATGAAGATGAGTGCATGAAGCATTATACCCGACGCTGACATCCAAAGTACGCTCTCATCCTCGTTGGTGGTTTCGGAACGCGGCTCAGACCATTGACCGTGAGTTTGACATTATGAGAAATGGGAGAACCTGGACCACAATGCATCCAGGCATTCATTCTCAACGCCTTCTTTGACTCCGTTGACACTCTTGCCCTCTCCAGCTGTCATGGCCCAAACCGCTGGTCGACTTTTGCAACAAGGTGAGCTACACGTTCCAGACTCTCTCACCGAAGCCTCGAAGCTCACATTCCTTCTCCCTTCACAGGCTATGATGTGAGCGTCGTGCTCGTCAAGTTTTGGCGATATGAGATTGCGAATACTGATCATGGATCAGTCTGCATCAGATAGAGGCTCTTGTCAAGGTGAGCGAGAATCAATTGCCAGCGCTCTAGTCTACCTCGCTGATTTTGCATTCCTCACTTCCTTGCCTTCGTTCCTTTCCTTGTGCTCACGATGCCTCTGCTTGATTTCCTAAACTCCGTCCATCCTCGTGCCTGCACCTCGTTCGCCGTCTCTCCTCTTTCAGGCCGGAGTCAAAGACATCGTCCTCGCCGTTAACTATCGGCCCGAAGTCATGGTCTCCGTCCTGAAGAAGACTGAAGAGGAGTTTGGCATAAAAATCACTTTCAGCGTCGAGACAGAACCTCTTGGAACAGGTGAGGAAGCAGATTTTATGTTCTTCCCCCGCCTCTGTTGACGCCCTCTCCACCAGCTGGACCCCTCGCCCTCGCTCGAGATATCCTCGGTAAGGATGACTCTCCCTTCTTTGTCCTCAACTCGGATGTCACCTGTACCTATCCTTTCGAGGCTTTCCGGTGAGCGACCCTGCTCAAGATAGATCTTGCGGCTGAACATGCTTACGTCCCTCAGTGACTTCCACTTGTCCCACAAATGCGAGGGATCCATCATGGTGCGCACTTGTCACCGGCATTGCACAAAGTTCTGTCTACTGACCTCTTTTTCAGGTCACCAAAGTCGCCGAGCCCTCAGCTTACGGTGTCGTCGTCACAAAACCTGGCAGCACCGCGATAGATCGATTTGTTGAGAAGCCTGTCGAGTTTGTCGGTAACAGAATCAATGCGGGTATCTACATGTTCAACCCATCTGTCCTGGATCGAATCGAGGTGAGCGGGCAGGGAAATGTCCGCACACCTACTGAACTGCGCTATGCTATCTCAGCTCCGCCCGACCTCGATCGAGAAGGAGATCTTCCCTCAGATCGCTGCAGATGGTCAGTTGCACTCGTACGACCTCGCTGGATTCTGGATGGATGTGGGACAACCCAAAGATTACATCACAGGTGGGACATGCGCTGCAGTGAGACCTGGGTCCGTGTTGATTCACACCACACACACAGGCACATGCCTCTTCCTCTCTCACTTGACATCTCAACACTCGCCTCTCCTTTCCGACCCATCCAAGAACAAATGGGTGTATGGAGGAAATGTTCTCGTCGACCCTACTGCCGAGATTGACCCCACTGCCGTTATTGGACCCAACGTTGTCATTGGACAAGGCGTCAAGATCGGACCCGGTGTCAGACTCCAACGATGCGTCATTCTTTCCAACGCTGTCGTGAGAGATCACGCTTGGATTGCCAACAGCATTGTCGGATGGAACAGCAATGTCGGTCGATGGGTCAGTGGGAGAAAATTGCACTGAAGGGAAGCGGTCGCTCACATTTCTTGCTCAGGTCCGAGTGGAGAATATCACCGTTCTTGGTGACGATGTCACCATAAAAGACGAATTGTACGTCAACGGAGCTTCTGTGCTGCCTCACAAGAGTGTAAGTTGTGCCTCTCCTCTGAAGGCATTGCCTCGGTGGCTGTGGCTGAGCTTGCCACTTTTAGATCTCCAGCAGCATCACCGAGCCCCGAATTGTCATGTAAAGAGAAGAAACTGAGGACGATCTAAAACCATGTCTTTGGTCACAGGACGACTTGATGGACACTTGCTTCTTTTTCTTCGGTCTACGCAATGTCCTTGCTCATTGACCATTCTCCTCTTCCATACCATCATTCATTCTTCACTCTTTGTCCCCCGTTGGGCATTCTCCCTTGCAAACGGATCACTAGTCTCCTAAGCAGCCCCTTTTACCATGCATACATTATAGACCTCTACGGGAACTGTGCACGTGAAGCTGTCTGTCCGGCCAGAGCTAAAGCCTGACTGGTGTTCGAGTGTCTCGCCCAGGGATGAGGGTGCCAAGATGCTTTTCGCTGACAGACAGCTAGCAAGCAGCAGTTGGAGTATTCCAACCTAATGCCACGTGACACAGCCACCGTGAGAATCTTTTTGTTCCTGGTTCCTGAAGGGCAGAGAGAAAAAAGAAATAAAAAAGAGGCAAAAGTTCCGACGCGTAAACAAAGACAGATCTCATCCACCACGACCAGCGGGATCCACAACACTGGAACGGCCAGTACTAGTCTTCCCGCTATATGATAGTGCGGCAGTAGCAGAAGCAGCAGCAGTCCCGGTAGCTGGAATGATCTGCGTCGGAGTATCTTCATGTTACATGATGACTGACGCTGCTGAATCTCGTCGCGAACCCCCACCCTTCTCTCGACACGTCCGTCCTCTTTCTTCGATGAACCCTTTTGAGGTGACGAAGACGTGAAAAAAAAAAGAGGTACTCTGTGTTCTCTCTCTCCTCTTGCGCCTCTGTCTCCTGCTGTATACCTCTCTCTCTTGACATCGCCATCCAATGCAGACATGTAGACTCGGACAGAGACGCCACAGTGTGTTATATATAATTCGTGGGCAACAACATATACACACACACACACCCATAGAGGAAGCAATTGACAGCTACTGAGCTGAGGAGGGGGCTACTGCTGCGCAAGGGACCAAGATACACTACACAACACACACACTCACTCTTTCTCTGTCTGTACATTGCTACATTGCTCATCATCATCATCATCTCACCTTTGGATCGCTGGGAGACATTGTCGAGAGGTGGATCTGCTACGCCCTCTCTGTATCTGAGAGCACTCGCCAACAGACAAGAGCAACGGGGAGGGTAAGCCTGACCTGCCCTGCCCTGTGGTCAACTTATCGGACCTGTGTCCAGGACTTGACAGGTGAGTGCGGGTTAGGCGTCTTGGCAGTCTTTGGTCGGTCGAACCACCTCTCCGACCGGGAAAACGATCATCGCATACGCATAGAGCGAGCTGCGATCCCCCTGTTCCACCTACAGCGAGTCAGTGATGGGGTCTACGCGAGGCCACCCGTGGTGGGTCTGTCGCCTTAGCGTCATCCATGGCGATCTTTTCTTCGACACGAGAAAGGATAAAGGCGTGGGTCGGGAACTACACAGATCCTGTTACAATGTCCTCACATCCCTTCCTTTATATCAGGCTCCCCTCTATAGAGAGAACGATCGACCTCGGTATGACGTCGAAGGGGATGCGTGTGGGGGTTGTGTGTGTGTCAGAGTGTAGTCGGGCAAGAGAAGGAGCGGGAAAAGCAGAAGGCGAGCGAGAGACTGAGGAGAGGATTCTCCCCTCACTTCTGCATTTTTCGCATGCGACAGACACTCTTCTTCACTAGTTTCACGCGTCCAGTCATTCGCTCCCCCCACGCAGTCAGTATCTTGCTGACACGGACTTTCCCCCGCCCAGTCGCCAGCCCTCGCCTAGTCAATCATAACCATGCCACCTCAACCTCTGCCTAATCCTACTATAACCCTCCCGCCTCCCGTTGAAGACGTGGCCAGTCCGACACTATGGGAGAGACAAAATATCGTCACATTGTCCGTAACGGAGACACCGACCATCACTGCCAAACCGCAACCTGCCAAATTCCCATTTGCAGTTGCCATTCCGGCATTGGCAGGAGGTATGGCGATCGCCGTCATTGTCGCCTTGACATACCTCTACTGCGTCAGAAGAAAGAAGAGACAGCGAAGGGTGAGTCGACTAGGGGGGAGAGGGGTCATCGTGTGAATTTCGTGCTGACGCAAACTCCCCTTTAGGAACGTTATGAGGCACGTCAACGGCGTGCTAAGCGTCGCGCGAAAGAAGCTGCTTTGCGTCGAGCCAATAGTGCGAAACGACATCAAGCGATGAGCTCCCGATCTAACTCCTCGACCAATCTTGTGACACCCATGTCTGAAAAGACAGATCATATCCCGCCAGTCCCTGCGCTGCCGAAAGAAGCTTATCACTCGCCTGCCTCGTCCTCATCGTCTTCTTCCATCGACGAGAAAGACACCAGTCCAAGTCCATCTCCACCCCGTCATCATGATAATTACTCGACCCAGCCCACTATAGATTCCACGACTCAACCATCATCCACATCCCCTACCAAACCCATCACCCCTCCCAAATCTAGCTCTCGTTCTGCCGCTAGAATGGCAGCCGCTGATCGCGCAGCGGCAAGTGCGTTTGGTGACCCTAATACACGCCATCAACCGCGGAAACCATCGCCGTTAGCGGGCGATAAGAATCCCAAGAAATGGTCTCGAGCCTCTCTTTCAGCGACTTTCAGAGCTTCTTTCAGGAGAGATAGAGAACATTCGACAGAGATGAAATCGCCTTCACCCTTCCGCGAAGACGATATGGATGATGCTCAATCGTTCGAATACGATGCTTATGATGAGAGACCAAGTTCACCCGGATCAGATTACGGGCGTGGTCCGTCAGGCGACTGGTCAGCTGGACAAAATCGAGATCGAAAGACGTCTGGCGAATGGAGGGTATCTTCAGGATCAGCCGCGTACGATGGGACAGTCGAACGTCAAAGTGGGAATGGAAGGAATCGATATTCTGGAGACCCGTATCTCTCTGTCCCGGGTCCCAATGGAGGAGCGTCGGATGCAAGAGGCAAATCGGGAATGTACGGGTCAGATCCATACTCAGCTTATCATGGAGAAGAGGAGCTCAGGGATGAGGATTTCGATGATGAGGAAGAGGATACCGGGGAACCGCAACCTGCGCCAGTCACAAATAAATGGAGGTTGGGGATGGGCAAATGGTTGTAATTGGCCGAGCTTGAAAGACAAGGAAGGGGAGGGGAGGTGGCGCTTTAGCTGTGATCTTGTAGCTCTCCTTTGGGATGATACGCTTTTGCTTCATGACCGGACATCGATTTCCTGACGAGGTATAGATGACGATCAAGATTGCTGCTGCCGGCTTGCTAGGTCGACGACCATTCCACATTTAAAAATCAGTCGCCTCGAAAGCTCGATTATATCAGGAGTTCAAAATTTTTGTCCGGAATCTCGTCAGTCGTCTTTCGTCTCCGTCCCATTATATTTCGGGCATCCAAAAGCAGACTTCCCTTCGAGCTGGTACTACGTCCTTGACTTTCGCAAGTAGCTCGCTCGCTTTGCATCTTCTATAGGTCAACCCAAAATGCCCCGGGGCTCACAAAGCAAGACAGTCTCAGCGCACCGAATTGGATCCCTTTTGTTCTGCCCGGCTTGCGGAACTCTGTTGGACCTACCAAGAGATGATCAAGATGAAATACCGTGTGCTCAATGTGGGAGGCTAGAGCCCGCTTCCTGTAAGTTTAATTCACAGATCGAAAAGGTTCAAAAGGGTCGGAGAGCTTGGGGACGGTGTGATCAGTTGAACGCCTGTTTCAGTCTCTCATCTGGACAGTGTACCTCTACCACTAGGGAGACGTCCATATTGACAGATATCCTCAACATTTTCCCCTTTTCATCTCCGATGACCCGTCTCTGAGTGTCAAAGGAGAATAGACTTTGCTGACTCCTCCTCGACTACCTTCATAGCATACGAGAACCTGCCCACCAAAACATACTCCTCACCACACGCATTTCCTTCACCGCTAAAGAGCAAACGAGGCTTGGTCCAAAATACAATGGACGATGGGGAGGCTGCGAAAGAGAGAGATCCAGTGGTGAGTCATGGAGTATCCAAAGAACTGCCCCGACTGGCTGGCTGACGATTGTGATCCGACCCTTTTCAGGCTCAAGAGAAATGTCAGAAATGTGGTCATATTGGGTTAAGCTACAAGGTCATGCAGCTTAGATCCGCCGACGAAGGCAGTACAGTCTTTTACAAGGTCAGTGAGGGAAGACGGCGCTTTTCACAGTGACGCTGACTCGAGGTACGACAGTGTTTGAATTGCGGTGATCAGACTTCGCTCAACAACTAGAGAGATTCGACTTATCTTGGGATGTACCGTGGTTACCACTACCACCCACTCGTTGTACAGAGCGCTTTGAAATCATTGATCGGGGTCAAAGATCCTTTATGCATCACACGATATAATATGACAGCGGCATTCCTGGCTCTTCTTCGGCCCCTACTTTCGCTGTTCTGGGACTTGGTTGGGCAGACCTTTGCCCTGCAGCGCAGAGACAATGTTGTCAAATACTTGGAGCTCCATCTTGGAGACATCGTAGGGTCAGCACAGTATCTCCAGTCAATTGATCGACGCACCTTCTTCTGACTATCCCTCGTTTCTGTTCCCATGTGAGGAAGGAGAGTAATGTTCTTCATTGCGATCAATTTAGGGTTGACGTTGGGCTCATCAGGGAAGACATCAAGACCCGCAGAGAAAAGCTGAAGCGCATTGTCGTGAGCAACATCTCTTCGAGGCCTTTTTTTTTTCTTTTGGAAGATCAATCGGCTGCCTCCTGCCTCACCTTGCCAGACTCCAAAGCTTCAATGAGAGCATCTTCATCCACCACTCCCCCTCTAGCGGTATTGACCAATACTGACCCATCCTTCATCTTATCAAATTGAGCTTTCCCGAAAGATCCTTTGGTCTTTTCATTCAATGGCAGATTGAGAGAGACGATATCCGATTGAGCGAGCAGGTCATCCACATTTTCACAGTAGGTACATGGGAAAGAAGGTTCCGGCGAGATGGGTCGGCGATTATGGTAAAGAATCTTCATGTCGAATGCGAGGAATCGTTTGGCCATGGTCTAAGTGAGACGGGAGAGCGGCGCGCGGTCAGCGTCACCTCGAGAAAAAAGGGGGTTCATCAGAGAGAGAGAGAGAGAGAGTGTGTGTGTGTGTGTGTGTGTGTGGGTTGACGCCTACCTTGCCGATCCCTCCCATTCCGATAATGCCTACTGTCTTGCCCTCGGGATCCCGGGCAGGTTGCAAACCTTGCTTGAATTTGCCAGCACGAACGTTGAGTTCCGCGACGTGGAATTGTCGCATGGCCGATAAAGCGAGGTAGATACCTACCGTTGCCGTCGCGTCATCTACTGATCCAGGTGTGTGGGAGACTTGAATACCACGAGCGGTACATGCGTCGACGTCGACTGGCGGAGAGAGTTGATCAGCACGGGTCACAAGACGAAAAGACAGAGGTGACCGCAAAGAATAGACTTGAAAAAAGCCCCACGTCCATGATGAATCGACATCATGGACCAAATGAACCTTGTACCTCCAGCCTCGCCTCTCTTCAAGACCAGCCTCACCCCTCACCCCCTACTCACCCGTATCGTATCCCGCTCCGTTATGGCAGACATACTTGACGCTCTTTGGCAGCGCATCGATCAACTCCTTGTCAAAGTTTCCAACGGCTGAAGCAGAAGCTCCATGACGGTAGATCGCAACGACTCCATCGTATTTACCACCAGGTTGACAATCTTTCAAAAAGGATTCCCGGTCAGATGAGGAGAGTTCCTATGCAAGAAAGTGAGAAGCACGTCAGCGGACAGAGAAACGTATGAACATCCAGGAGAAGAAGACAGTGATCGTTTCCCCTATCAATATCAGAGCTTTCAACTCACGATAACTTCAGCGACTGCTTCAAGTTGCGATTTCTGCTCTTCTTTACTCCAGATGACGCCTTCTTTAGGGTCGGCTACAACGCAGAATAACGTTAGCGCGAAGGGTTACTAAACCCCGCACAGAGCGGAGTCTGCATCCTTAACCTACCGCAGATCAAGACTTTAGACTGGGACATGACGTATGTTGCGAGCTGGAAGACTACGAGGTGGAGTTACAACCGTAAGTATGCCTCAGACTGTAATGTATGAATGAGCAAGGCCAAGCATTGGCATCTTCATCCTCCACACTCTTTTCCGGTAAAGTCGGCCCGAAGGTCCGTCGCTCCAGACCTTTTCTTGCGGAGACTGGTCCCACGACACGCGTGTAATTTCCTTGCATGCAATACATTCATGTCCCGACTACAGCCATGCAGTGATCGCCCGAACACAACACCATCATCACCATCATCATCATCATCGTCACAGTCGTCATCTACAGGATACATTGCTACATCGCTCTCGTTGAAATGCGTGCACATGATAGCTTGGGGAGAAATGAGATATCCCTCATGGATTTAGAGAGCCTTGAGCTGGCCTGACCACTGAGCGACTTTACGGTGCGCCATGACCTGACAGCCACGGCATCAGCTTGGACATTGAAAAGAAGTCATGAACTGACCTTGTCCGCTGTAAAGCCTAGCACCTGCAGTCCCTCCAGTGAGGTAGCTCGAGACAAGGCAACGTACGCTTGACCTTTTTCGAAGACCTTCCCGAGATCAACTTTGACTCGCTCAAGAGCTGGTCAAACGCATTAAACAGTGCCTCTACTGGCTAGGAGGAGACTTACTCTGTCCCTGTGATTTGTGAATTGACATTGCCCAGGCCAGAATCAATGGCAGCTAAGTGCGAGGGTTAGCGAATTGATACTGTCTCAGCGACATTGAACGCACCTGACTCCTCTGCGCTTGGACTTCGCCATTCGGTAACTCGGCCTTGAAAGCTTCCGCCTCGACTAGTTGATCTCGGAACCCGCCACCAGGCACTTTGAATCGAACGACAGGTAATGGTCTGGCACCTTGCCCAAGTTTCGAAATTGCCACTTGTAATGCCGTTTCCTTCTTCGCTCGATCCTCATCCGTCATTTCTGCCCAACGATCTTCCTGGACCCATCGTCCTTGATTATCGGTGTCGTACTGAATCTTGTGACAGAAACCAATGACTCTGCCCATGGATCCGTTCACCAACGTTTCGTCAGTGTTCTTGATCAACATGACTTGAGCGTCAACGTTGAGGTTCAGCATTTTCGGTGCCAGGAAATTGCTCAGAATCTTTTCCCTCTGGATAGGATCGGTGATCGCCCCGCTATCCACTGCCGAATAACTCCAGCCGTCCGTATTGAGCTGACGCAGTCGACTGAGGTTGGCTCTATCGACATCTTCTCTTCGAGGGAAAAGCTCGGTCGCTTCGAGCCCATCTTCTGCTTCTGACAGCGGACGCGACAGAGACTTGAAGGTCTGGATGGTGGCAGGTGTGAGTCTGCCAAATCGCATCTCGTTGAGCATGTCGATGAAACCTGGATCCTCAGTTCAGTCCAGAGAGCAAGACACCCACGCTGATCCTTTTGACGGAAGACCTTGTTCAGATTGACCGACATGTGAATCGTCTCGTTCCACGTAGCCGCTTCGAAACAGAACTTCGGCATGCCACCACCTTTGGTCACCGGTGGAAGTTGGAAGAAGTCCCCAGTCACGATGATCTGCAATCCACCGAACGGTCTCTCATTCTTCCGGAGCATCTGACCGATCTTGCAAAGCTTATCAAAGAACGCTCCGTCCACCATAGACACTGAGACAGTCAGCTCTTTGTTTCTCATGGACCTCGTTGAATTCACCCTCGTCAATGATCAATACTTTCGTCCTGACCCATCTCGCAACTGATTTCTTCTGCTTCTTTATCTTTGCCACCAGAGCCTTTGCGTCCTCGTTCCCGAGACCACATCCTGCAAACGAGTGTAAAGTCACGCCACCAATGTTACACGCCGCTATACCGGTCGATGCTGTGACAGCCACCGCATCCGTAGCCGTTGCAAATTTGCGTCTCAGAGAGGTAATGATCTCTCGCAGAAGGACAGACTTTCCCGTTCCTGAAGAGTCTCAGCTGGCGCTCCATCGAGGGAGAGATACGCACCTGCACTACCGGTGAAGAACATGTTCTTGCCTTCTGCTACGACCAACTGTAGGACTTGTTGCTGCTCCGTCGAGAGAACGATCTTCTGCTTGATATTCATAGTGGGCGCGGCAGCGAGACCAGATGAACCGGTCGATCCTGACCGTTTGCTAGTTGAGCTATTGTTCTGCATGGCCTTCTTCGCGACCCTGTGTTCCGATCAGTGCCGGATCCACAGTGTTACGGGAGTGCTCACAATATGTCCTCGTTCCAAGGGAAGGCCCTCTTCTTTGACTCTCCAGCAGATGAAACCCCAGCGGATCTACTTGGTATGCTTGGCAGCTCTTCCGTTGCTGAAGCTCTTTGCCCTGAGGAGGGCTCATCGTCATCCAGAGTGACCAAGGCTTTGCGAGGTGGGTAGAAGGAGGAGGAGGGGACGGCTCGAGATCCTACGGTAGAGGAGGATGCAGAGGAGAAGGAGGAGGTAAAACCATCGGCATTAGGTTGCAAAGCTGCCAAGATGGCTTTGCGACGCCTGTCTGCGGCGGTCTCGTTCATGGGGTGGACGACAGGCGCAGGTGAAGCTGCTCGAGTCTCCGTCTTGGGTTTCTGTCTTCTGAAAGCATCAGCTAGTGGACACGCCCATGAGGACCAGCCTAAACCCACTGCTCAGGACTAGCACTCCACTCGATGCTGTGCGTTGATGACCCTTTCAGAGAGCTCTTTGGCGGGTTCTCCACCTCTTCATTGCCCCAGTCTCGCTTGAAGGAATTGACGCGGGAGAATGATTTCGATGAGCCGGACATAGACCCGTCCGCCGCTCTGGGTGTCACCAGTGAGGGCATCTCCCTAGAAATACACAGGGAGCGTTCGCCAGATGAGGTAGATGAGTTCCACGGATGCGCTATCCCAGAGTACTAAGCCCCGAATGAATAGAAAGTCGAAGATGATTGGATTGAGTGAGACGCGATTGACTTTTGTCTGTTTGGGCCTCGGACCGCCAAAAATCTGATTCCGTTGACATTTACGTAAATCGTTCAGAATTTTGAGATGTCATCCATGATCCATCGATTCGTTGGACAGACAGAACTGCTACCGTACAGACGTGAGCGTTGACGTTGATATCAAGCGACATGGGAAGAGACAAGAAGATCCAGAATGCTCTCAAGAGGTCAGAGATCCATCGAAAGCAGAAGCGGGAAAAGGCGCAAGTCAAGCTGAAGAGGCGAATGGAGGTGAGTCCTGAATGGGAGAGATGCCCGTGAAATCTGATGTTGGGCTGCAGAACAAGAAGGAAGAGCTTGACAAGGTCTCTGGGAAGCAGAAACGCGAAGAAAGGCTGTCCAAAAACGTTCCGAGGACTTTGGACAACACCAGAGTCTTCGACTCCAGCTCGTACTTGACTGCAGACCCGCGGACACTCCTGCAACCGAAACCCAGCAAGTCCGAGGTGGTCAAGGAATCTGATCCGGATCCAGATTCCGTAGATGGATCTGGAGATGAAGATGAAGATGAAGATGAAGATGAGGAGATGCCAGAAGCTGGGCCCTCGAGCCTGAGAACAGCTGCAGCGGACCCTGAGGACGAAGGCGGGAATGAGGAAGAGGAGGAGGAAGGAGAGGCCTCTGCCTCCGCTCAACCTGCTCCAACGGGCTTCTCTCCGCCACCCCGGATTCTTATCACGACCTCGGCGTCTCCATGTAAGGAGACTTATGCCTTCTGCGATGATCTCAAGAACGTGTTTCCCGGGGGAGAGCTGTTCAAACGACCGAAAGGGAGAGGCTTTGAACTCGGCAGGATATCACGATGGGCAGCGAAAAGGAAGTACAATGCGATGCTGGTGGTCAACGAAGATCACAAGAGTGCGAGTGAGTCCATTGGATTAGCAGCTCAAGGACAGCGCTCATCGCCACAGATGCCATCACTTTGATCGTCCTTCCTGCTGGTCCTACGGCCTATTTCAAGTTGACTAGTGTGCAATTGGGCTCACAAATCTTTGTGCGTAAAAAACATGACCTGAGAGACACGACTTATGACTTGGCAGGGACACGCGAAGCCATCACCGCATTCTCGTGAGCTCGCTTCTGTTATATACACCACAATCTACAAGCTGATCGTGAAACCAGCCGAGCTCATCCTCAATAACTTCACCACCATCCTCGGCAACTCTGTTGGCCGCCTGTTTGCTTCCCTTTTCCCGCCTCAACCGCAATTTCGCGGACGTCAAGTCGTCACTCTGCACAATCAACGAGATTTCTTGTTCTTCCGTCGACATCGATACATGTTTGCTTCTCCGACCTCTGCCAAGCTACAAGAAATTGGACCGCGATTTACGCTGAAACTAAGATGGCTCCGGAAAGGGCTACCAAGTGTCACAGCTGCGGACGGATCCATTCCGAGGCCGGGAGGCAAAGAGGAGATGGATCATGATGACGATTTTGAAGACGATGTGGAGCAGGGTGAGGCTCAGGCAGAAAATGAGGCTATGGAGGAAATGGTCTCTGGGAAGACGTCGACGAAGTCAGCATCAAGACAGACCTCTGACGCTGCGAGAATACCTCCATTGGACGAGGAGCAAGAGTATGAATGGAAGTGGAAGGTGCGTTCTGCCTTTGGAGAGACAACACTGATGGAGTATCCTAGCCAAAGATGGAAGTTTCCAGGAGAACATTCTTCTTATAGGTCTGCCCGTATGGAGAAGAGGTTCAACTTTTGCCCCAATCACGACCCTTTGATATCCATCTTGGGATGGCGATCGACGCCGATGATGATATCCTTTCGCGCGTCACAGATCCGGTGATCATGCCAGGGGCTGAAGTCGTCCATTCAATCTGCTTCATGAGAAGCGGAGTCGCAATTGAAATTACACATAAGTTATGCTTGCGACTCTGCACCGCCCACAGGTTCTACTCACACTTTTACTCTCGTTAATGCCTTGCATCTGCTCCGGTCAGTCTTGGAAATCTGGCAACAAGCCGCGACACAATGTCATCGAGCAATCAGTCTGGACAACAAACCACCGAACACTCTCATAGAGCCGAGGCAGACATTAGTCTTACTTCTGCAGGCGAGAGCGAAGAGTCTCTTCCTTTTGACCTGAGGTTTCTGGGAGACCTTATGGTTGTGGACAGTCTGGTAACTAGTTTGCCCGAAGAAGAGCTCGATCAACAGTTCGAGGGTATTAGGAGAAAGATGACTGACAGTCTCGACAACAGCATTGATGACCTGCAAGCGTTGGACGAAGAGCAGGGCATTGAAGGCGGCGACGATGCTGACCATCAAGTTACTCAGGAAGAGCTGACAGACGCCATCATTGCAGTGTTGTCAGAAGTTATTCCCGAGGTCGCTGCGAGCGTGAGGCGCCGAGTGGCCCAAGCACTCTCCACAGCCGACTTGAAAGCCAGAATTCTGCACGAAAGAGGCGTTAGAACGATCGAAGGGGAGAACGCCACATCGGATCTGACTACGAAGTTGATGAACGGGTTGCTCATAGACGTCGGGAACGACAACATCGACGACAGAAGTGACACGCAAGAGGCGAAAGATTCGGTCCATGCTGGGACGCAAGATACCCAAGAGGAGGGCGGCACAGCTTAGCTCAGGCTCTAGCGAACCAGGTGCTTATGATGATCATCGCTTTGATTCTTCTTCTAGACCCATGCCATTGCTTTTCGCACTCTTTGCGGTTTGATTTTTGGGCATTGGCACCCCTCACCAGCACGAGGCATCGCGATGGCTCTCTCTGCGAGATGCTCTATCTTCTCTTGGCATGCGCCTCGGACAAAACGTCCGGTCTCTGAGTCGACCGAAGGGTCAAGTGTGTGTCTCTGCTGACAGTAAACAGCTGTCTTGCATTCTCTTACACCGTCGCCCATCTCGACAAGCTCGACAGAGGCTGGAAATCTCTGTTTCACTAGTTGTTGGATCGAGGCGAGGATCAAGCAATGATTGAGCTTACGGCATCGATTTGTGAGACCTCGCTCGCAACTTTCAACCGATCACTATTCCAATTGTGAAGGATATCGCAGGACACCGGTGGACTTTCGACCGACAAACAGTACTTCAACAGGTCACATCAAGCCAACGATTATGACCTCTCACCTTCTCCAGAAAGACATGTAAAGTATTGCTTATATGAGTCTCATGAGCTAAATGGTCTGACCAGCTTGATAATTGGCACTGATTACACAGCCCCGCCAATTGAGGTGTTTCCGAGGTGAACTTTCTTTCCATGGACCATTCTCTCGCTCAATGACGCAGCGCCTCCATTGCTTCGCGATGCTCAAACAGAAAGCGAAAAGGTTGACATGACCGTTCTTTTGTGGGCGACTCCTTTCGGGGCTGTTTCTATGTCCGCAGCGAACGGTCTCCTTTGATCATCTACATACATCGCAAACGGACTCAGAAATGCTTTAAGAGCCAATCAAGTTTTTCTTTTTTTCGTTCCCTCAGGTCTTATCCATTTCGCTGCTCTACTCTCGCCCAGTTCGTTGAATATCAATCCATCGACATTTCATGTCGTCAAAAGACCAGACTGATCCACAGCTGACTCATCGCTCCGTCGACGAGGATGTCAAGAGCGACTACAGAGGACTTGCCCCCACAGAAGGGAATGAGAACGAAATTCCCCTTGACGGCTTGACGGAGATCTTGAACAACATGACGAGTATGTCTGAAGAGGAGCTTGATCGAGGATCACGATTGTTGGACGAGCGCGCCACTGAAAGTCTTACAAGCAGCATCGACCAACTGCAAGAGCTGAACGACAAGCTTGGGACTGAAGATTATGACTCCGACGAGTCACCCACATATGAGGAGAAATTTGCGGCTTACTTCGACGCTTTGACAGAGACTGTTCCTCATCTCAACGAAGAGGTAAAAAGGAAGATCGCCTCGGAGTTCTCCCTGCTGGACTTCAAAGCCAGATTAGTTTCGAAAAGAGGCACAAGTGACCTCGGAGGGACGAATGTCGACGGATTGTCTAGCAAGGTGATGCAAAGCATGATCCAAAACACCATAGGAGCGGACACTCCAGAGACCGAACAATCGAGGACGGGTGACAGCAGCAAACAGCTAGGCCTGTGATCTCGGCTGTCATATCGTCGTCCGCGACCTTATCGTCTCGTGGACTGACGAGGCTAATGCTAGCATGTGATAGCCTTGTTGCTAGCCTTCCCTGTTGAACGATGCATTTTTGCGTGCCAAACGCTGAGCCCCAGCGGTCAAAAATCGCAGTGCGTCGAGCATGCAACTGCCACTGTGCCTCCATGACCTGCCCTAAGACTCCCCCGAACGGACTGATATCGCCAGGCATGTAGCCATGAGCAGACCACTTCTCTCTCCATCGGGCATCTGAATACATCACAGACTCCAGCAGAAGTGACAAGGTGACGTACTTGCAACCGGCCGTTTGGTCTTCTAAGAGTCCCATCCCGCAAAAGCTGAAATTGCACTACAGCCGCCTACTGCGCCACATTGCCACTTTCTTGCCACTTCCGTGACGTCGGGACTTGAACTGCAAAAGGTTATTTGGTCCTTCCACCCATTCAGTGCTCGCAAAGTCGTTTGACAGCATTTGAAGCATCGGTGCAGCGACCGAAGCTGGCTGTCACGGTCCGAGAGCCTGAACGTCTCATTTATCCTGGCAAAAAGCGACACGATGCCCTCAGTGAGTTTCGCTGGAGTCCAGCAAGAACGATCTGTTTACAATGCGGTCTCCAGCAATATGTCGCGGCACTCGTTCCTCAGATCAATGGGATCTTGAGAAGCAGCGATCTCAGCACAATGCAGGTCCAGAGAAATACGTATTCAGCTCCCTACTGACTTCGATAGCTCCGCCAAGGGCGTACGAAAGCAGCTCATCGCCAGTGGACATGAAGAGAGCGTGATAAAGGAGAACAGGACGGCGATTGATGAAAAGGTGGGTCATCGTCTTGACACCTTTGGCACTCCATTTTATACTGAGACCGCGGCAAGATCGCAGAGATCTATGAAAAGCTCATAGCCAACCACGAGCCTGGTTCACCCGATGGTCCGTCCGCTTCAGGATCTAGGCCCGATCCTTCTGCTTCCGCAGGTCCACCCTCATCGTTTCCGGAACCGCTTCGCAAAGCACCCAAAGTAAAGAGAGAAGTGGAACACGAGGTGAAAGAAGAGACGTATGCGCCTGTGAGGCGGCTAGAGGAAACGGATGAGCAGATGGCAGCGAGATTACAAGCTCAATTCGATGCGGAGGGAAGCTCGAGCCGAGCCAGTAGGAGTGCCGGAGCGCTGAGGAAGAAGAGCCGGAAAGTCGTCAAGAGGAAGAAGGGTACCGGTGACGGAGACAGTGACGATGCTAAGCCGAAGAAAAAGAGGGCGGGTGGTGGTGGAGGTGCCTTCAACAAGGAACTCGTATTGAGGTGAGTACATCCTCGCAAAATCAATCGGTGCTCTGTGCTTAAAAGTTCGTCTTTCCAGTGATGCACTTGCAGACTTTACTGGTGAAGCTCGACTCTCAAGACCGCAAGTAGTCAAGCGGATCTGGGAATACGTCAAGCTCCATGATTTGCAAGATCCAGCAGATAAACGGTTTATCATCTGCGATGACGCTCTCAAGACGGTATTCAACACGGACAAGGTGCACATGTTCACGTGAGTAGACGTGGTCACCCACTCCAGTACTCATTCGCTTTTCCAGGATGAACAAGATACTGGCTGATCATGTGCGGGATCCTGCAGAAGTCGCTTTCAAGGACGAGCCTGGGCAAAATGGACCTCGACAGGAACACGAGCCCCCTGTACTGGTGACGTCCTCTCAGACTGCACCGGTCAAAGCCGAACCAGCTGCACCTGCACAGTATAACTCAGCGGACATGTCGACTGACTCGGAGCCTGAGCTTGAGAGCGAGGACGATGAGGATTACTGAGGGCAATTGATTATCTTGATGCGTCTCAAAGATGCGTCTGTAAAATATTGTAGGACAAGTCGGTAGCCATCTTCTGCGGGGACAAACAGGAACTATACATGTAGCCGTGATGCAAAGTGACCAGCGTACCAACCATCCAAGCTGCCCTCTACTTCTTCTTGCCCTTGGTGGTAGTGACCTTCTTCTCCGGTATCTTTGGAGCCTTCTCCTCCCTTCCTCCCTCTGACATCCAGGACAAGTCATCGTCCGATTGAGCCTGGGCGGATCCGCCCTCTCCGCCTTTCGATGTTGCAGGTGACTCGGAAGAACCCAGATCCATACCTTCGAATCGTCGCTTGAATCGTCCAACGGCTCCTTCTTGATCTTCCTCGGCTCCTCTGGCTCGAATTCCAGGAGACCAAACAGGATTATTCGTGACGTCTCGAGTGAGTCGAATGATCTGAGGCGACGGCGCAGTGGTGTTGGTGTAGATTACTGATCCATCAGATAATGAGACAGTCTGTCTGAACAAAGCTGGTAAGGGCGGTGGGATGGATGGAGGAGGTCGGAGATGAGCCTTCTTCTTCCACGGATTCACATATTTTGTATCATAGGCAAGAGGTGAGGAGGAGGAAAATGCTCGAATCAGGGATGCTGGCGAGGTGCTGCATGATGCGGCGGTGGAGCGAAGCATAATGCCAGAGGCTGTAGATCGTGAAGAGGAGGCGATGGCCGCCATGGTGAGCGCGATGCTGTAGGATATGGCTTGTCGATGAGGAAATTGCAGGCAAATTGAAGGGGACGGCCAAATTATTGAAACATTGGGATCCACCGTGGGAAAATCATCAATCTTGGTGTGTCTGACACATTTCAGCTGAATCTTCCTTGTTCGTATGTATGCTGATGTCCTAGAATCGCGCTAAGCAGATAGGCACATCTTTCCTGCTCACTGTAGAGTCAAGCAGATCGTCTCTCAGCTCTTGCGTGATGAAAGCATGGCGAAATCCCGCTTCGAATATGTCAAATCTTACGAGCTGCCTGATATCTTGTTACCCGGGACGTACATCATAGCGCGAGTAGATGGACGAGGGTTCCACAAGTGAGTACGCGAGAGAACTTCTCACTGGCAGAGGGCTTAGATTCACGTGCTGCTTTCACTCAAAGGTTCTCCGACGCCCACTCCTTCGAGAAACCTAATGACAGACGAGCACTTAATCTCATGAATCACGCGGCAGGCTGTGTCATGGAGGATCTGAAGGATGTGATTTGTGCTTTCGGTGAGAGTGATGAGTACAGGTGGGGAGAATGATAGACTGGAGAGACAGACAGGCTGAACGGATCCTAGCTTTCTTATACGAAAGTCCTCCAAGTTGTATAACAGGAGACGGAGGTGAGCCTGATCCCGATGGGCAAACTCAGTCGCCCATGGTTGAGCTGTCTTTGCGGATCTGCTGCGTCACCTCGGATTGACCGCCTTTCGCAGTAAGATCAATTCGACCATCGTTTCCATCTTCACAGCCTCTTATGTCTTTTACTGGCCAAAGTTCTTCCCCAACACACCCCTTCAATCACCTCCAAGTTTCGATGGCCGAGTCGTCCTGTACCCTAGTGCCAGAGAGATCCGAGACTACTTTGCATGGCGTCAAGCAGACAGTGAGCAGGCGTCTCCAACGGCAAGGCTGTTGCTGACGAGTCCGACAGCACATATCAACAACCTGTACAACACTGCTTTTTGGGCTTTGATTCAACACGGTGGTCTCAGCACGACAGAAGCGAACAAGGCTCTTCAGGTAAGATCAGATGCTACCCAAATCTATCTCACTACAGAATTGGCTGATCTATCTGGCCTTCAGGGAACAGATTCGAAGGATAAGAATGAGATCCTCTATTCCCGCTTCAACATAAACTATAACAACTTGGATTCAATCTTTCGCAAGGGGACTATACTCGTGCGACGGCCTATTGAGCCTCCTCAGGAACTCACTATACCCAACGAGTCAAGCGGGGTTAATGCCAAGCCGGTGGACGAGACTCGACCCCAGGTCAAGCCGAAACGTCAGGAACAATACGAAGGCGTCACGGGCGAGTTGGACATCTTGCACGAGGACATTATCAAAGATGGCTTCTGGAATGCTAGGCCATGGCTCTTAGCTACCTAGATGCCAAAAAAAAAAAAACCACAGCATACATCGCCGCATGCCGCATGTCCACATGACCTCGATCGCAGCTGCTAATTGCTCTGTGGGGATCTGCTGCAGCCTCGTTGCCACCCATTTTCTGCGCCACGCCACGTGACATTCACACTACTGCGCCTGAGACGTCATCAATCTCCGAATTTCATTTTGATTTTCAGAAACCTGGCGACGACGAGCGGAGGGGGGGATTGCTATTGTCTTTCGTTGTCGTTCTTTGCCACTGCACTTGTGATCACATCACTACTTCAGCACTCCTCTAAAGCCTTCATCTCTACAGCTCACATCTCTACAATCCCCAGAGTCTCGTTTCAACATGTCCATGGCCACCAAAGCAGTCAACGTGAGTGAACCGCTAGGTGCCTCTTTGAGCGGTTTCGGGACTGACTCCACTGGCCACTCATAGAAAGTCCTCAAAAACCGGATGGCTCAATATGCACCCATCGATCCATACTACGAAGAAGTGGTAGATGAGAAAACTGGCAAGACGAAAAAAGCAAAGGTGAGAGGTGTTTCCCAAGCCTTCTTGACTCGCTCCTCCTCTATCTCCTCTTTTCAAGCTATGCCAAGCCATTCTGTGATCGCCCTTTTGCCCTTCCTTCTCACAGGACACGCGCTATGACACGAGACCCAGCTGACAACCCATGTGGTGTAGCGAAAGGTTCCAGATGGTCTTTCCAAACGAGATGCCAAAGCCCTCAAAAAGATCAGGAAGAGGGCCCATTACCTCGACAAAGGGATGCACATTTGTGGATTCAGAGTTGGATGGACATTCTGGATTGGTAAGGGGACTCCGGCCTTTTTCGTGACGAATCAAGCTCTAAACGGATATCTCTTTTATCATAGGTATCATTCCCGGAGCTGGTGATGTCGTCGATGCGGCTCTCAATTATTTCTTGGTTTACCGCCCAGCCGGCAAGTTGGACATTCCTTCTGACCTCAAGGCAAAGATGTTGATCAACAACATGGTCTCTGCTGGTCTAGGGTGGGTGACAACTGTCACTGCTTAATGCCATAGCTGATGACTTTCATAGAGTCGTGCCAGTCGTCGGAGACATTGGTTTGGCGGCGTGGCGAGCAAATTCAAGGAATGCCTTATTGTGGGTCTGATTCAGCTTGTCCATCGTCTCCACCCGCTCATAAGTATTCTCTGGCAGGCTCGAAGCGTACCTTGCTATCAGGGCTCAAGAGTATCTCGCCAGCCTCGGACACGTTCAATCGGACCTCGCTGCGATGGACGGTATCTCAGCTGCGGATCTCAGAAAGCTGTTCGCTCCTGGTTCTGGAATGCACCTGGACGGAGTAGAGGGGACGAACACGGCGCAGATGAGCATGGCCACGGGAGCAACCAGTACCACGCCCGGTGCGCCCCCAAAGCTCCCAGCCAGAACGGGAGCCGCTGCTAAGCGATGACGCACAAGGGTCGATGTTGTTGCAAAGGTTCAAACGGACCCACTGCCCTTAGCATTGGCAGGTTGATCGAAGGGGTACCCTCCCCGACATACCCATATACACGGTTGTTGTTTGTCTATAGTAAGATCCGTACAGATATGCATCGCGACATGTAGCTTTCCCCACGGTATTGTTTGGCTGATTCATTCTTGGCCGTGTAAGAGCAACATTGGAAGATCGATATCCTTTCAGTACTCGTCGGCCGTAAAGTCAAACACGACGACTTCCTCAACTCCATACGTGGGTCCACAGTGAGACTGAATGGGACGTGACATATGAGCTCATACTTCACTAAATTGGAGGACGCATGTTTCTGGCCCGTCGACTTACACCAAAAGCTTTGTGTGCTTCATCTTTAGAGATATAAAAATCTCTATCTTCGAGTGACTGAGGGGATGTGAGCGATGTCACTCAATATTGAGCCGTCTCCCACCCAGCTACTCCTGACTCGGAGGAGGCTCTCTTCATGCCTGACTCACTCACTCACTCACTCACTCACTCACTCACTCACATTGAAAGTCATGATGAAGACGACATCCATTCCAAGGTCTTTCCCCTCTGGTGAATGTTGCTTGCCGCCTGTGATCGAGACGATGTACTTCTTTCCATCTCGTTCACACTTGTCCTTGAGGTCCAAGAACCCTTGAACCATCAGAGTACGCTTGTCCTCCGAGGGTGATTTGAATGCCACTAGGGTTGAGGGTGAGGTAAGTCAGCAACCCATCGAACGAAAAAGGTGCCGTGAGTCATGGATGCAGCTGGTGATTAGGGTTGAGGAAAGGATCGGCAGAGGGTCAAGTCCAAGACCTGACCTTCTACTCACCGACATGCTTGACAGACATGGTAAACTGCTGCGTGCTATGCAAGACAGACATGAGCTTGACTGGAGACTTCAGAATGGACCTGCAAAAGTGGAGGTCGTATGACGGTCGATGCTGGGCAAATGTGGCGAACCAGTATACGACTAAAGTCTTTCGCGAGCTCAGCATTCCTGTATACATTCACAGCAGGACTCCATCTCTACACACTAAGTCCTCCAGGAGGCGGTGATGCTCATCCTCATCCTTCTTGGGAGAGTCCACCAACGATATCAAAATAGACTATAGACATAGGGACATGCCAAGACGAGCGAATCTAAAGCCGAAAACAGGGTATAATTGCCATTCGGTTCGAGCGAGACTTGGAGATCCGCCTACCAAAGCTGAGGAGATGGTTTTTCTTCTTCTGCTTCTTCATCGCCTTCTTCTCCGCCCTCTTCGACGTCATCATCATCCTCTCCCTCATCACTCAGAGACCTCTTCACTCCCGTCATGGTGGCCGAGGCAGAAGTTGCGGAAGTAGCTTCATGCCATTCGGGGACGGGTGGAAGCGAGGCGGATGCGATGGATCCAGAGGTAGGTCCAGCAGTACCGGAAGCGCCGCTGATCTTGAGCAAAGGGGATTCAGAAGAAGGTTGGATCGGTGTAGACAATTGGACGCTCATAGGGACATCATCTTCACCGTACATCGGGGGAGGGGCATCTGCAGCTGAGAATCCGTATCCCATGACAGGTGTCGACGACATGTTGTACGCTGAGCTAGGTTCACCCATCGTCACACTGACGGTTCGAGCAGATGGAAGAGGCACGACTGAGCCGATTCGCGATCGAGGAAACGGTTTGATCTGTCGGACACCAAGTTGGTTTCGCTGCTGTTGTTGGTGCATCGAGGTCGACGTCGATCCTTGGAACAAGGCCTGAGGTGGAGGAGTAGGGAGGGTCAAAGTGACGTTGGACAGATCGCCAGCAGGATCCGTCTGAGCCATACCGATGCGCCATTCGATCAGACCATGTTCGATGGGGGCCCATTTGTTTTTCCCACATGCTCTGAGGAATCGCGCATTAGTATTTGTGCTTAAAACCCTGCCCCCGACCGCCTGGCACTCACTTGTCGAGGAGGTCTCGTCGAGTATACTTGTAGTTCTCACATCTCTCCACAATTTTGCGCCTCACATCTCGGACCGCGATCCGGGTGTTGTGGTCTAACTCTGTGAGCTTTTCCTGAGGTCCTTCATACTTTCGATCACATCGAGCCGTGAAGGCATCTAATTGAGATAGGACCCGGCGACCACGGTGGTAAAAGGCTTGCAGATTATCTGCTTTCTCCAGTGCTGTCGCAGTAGACGGGATCGACCCGATGAGAGGAACAGAGTCCGAGTTGATACTGAGATCGTTGTTCAAGGTGTAGTAGAACAAGGGGTAAGAGCGGGGGATCTCAGGGTAGATCTGGAGCAAACCCCACAGTGAGAGATCGCTCTTGCGGCCCTGGACTGTCGTCAACCATGCAAGTACGTCGAGCAATCTCCAGAGCTCACCCTGGCAGTGTACGATGCCTTGCGGCCGTAACCTCGGGTAGACGTCTTGGTCCTTTTTGGGGGTCGAAAGTCGTCTTCATCATCCAGCTCTGGTTCACCACTGGACTGATACTCGTCACTGACTTCTTCGACGGCATTTCCATCGAGGTCAGCGTAAGATGCCCGATGCAGCGAGGCGATTCGAGGCGACGCTCGAACTAAAGACAGGAAAGTCAGTCGAATGTGGCAGCACACTTCTCGAATACCATTACTCACCCGGCGCCTCTGCCGAGGACAATCTCTTCTTGATTGGCGTCTTGCTTGGCGTCTTGCTCCGCTCTCTTGCGCCTCCTCCCGTGACACTCCGAGATCGTCCAAATGCACCACTACCTCCACCTAGACCCATTTCCTCGATGAGCTTTTTGTTCGTCATGATTTGTTGTTCCCTCTCCCTCTCGTAATCCGTTTCGGTACCTCCATTCAAACCAACCTTTGTATCGCCACGTTCGGAAGATAGGGCAAATTCTGCTCCCCAGCCTCTTGCCATCCCGGCATTCAATTCGGGCTGAGCTGGCTGAGGATGAGGTCCGAGTTGATTGACATGCTCAAAGGTGAATGCGGGGGTGAATAAGCGATTGGAAGGCATTCGACCGAGTGATTCGGACATTTTCCGCATTTCAATGTCGTGTGAGAGACCACTGTAAGGATCAGGACCGTGTCCGAGAGGTCGATATTCTGAATGGGGAGTCAAAAGGCGAGTGCTGTATTCCTGAGCGTCGGAAGCGCCAGAAGTAGATCTCGACATGGGATACGTCTGGTTGAACACGGATGGATTGATCGACGGGAAGCCTCCGCCAGCTGAAGGAGGAGGCACGTCCAGAGTCGCTGAATGTGGCGAAGACGAATATCGCGAGGAAACCGTATGATCTGTAGCAGAGTGCATAGGATGACCTTGCGAAATGGTCCGCATCATCGGCTGAGATGCTCTTGCGTTCCAGAGCTGAGTCTGGTCCGAGTAGAACGGAATGGGAGGAGCAGTCGATGGGTATCCCGTCGAAAAGCTTTGATGAGGCAAGGGTAGAGCCAAACTGGAAGGTGTGAAGCTCCGAAAAGGCTGGGCATGGCTGGGAGGGTAGGCCGCAGTCAAAGGCATCTGTTCGACATTGGGAGAATAGACATTGTTACCGTTCATATGGAATGAAGCTTGAGAAGCGGGTCGTTGGAAGTGAGGAGATGGATGAGGAGAGCTCAGATGACCTTGGTGGACCTGAGTCCTGTTAGGCTCGTATGAGGATGCGAGGGAGGCCATTCTGTCGAAATGTAACGTGTCGATTGGTGGCAGCAGAGTTCTACTGTTGCCGGAGGTACCTCTTTGGGGAGAGAGCTATCCAGATAATCGACAAGGACGGGGAATACGATTGAAAGGCAAACCTTGCACAGTAAGATGTGTGTAAAGGGTGGATTTGAGATGAGGGAAAGAAAGAGAGATCAAGTGTGAACCAGATGGTCCGTTAAAAAGGGAAGTGGGACCAAGAGACCTCTACGGGAAGACGAGTCAGCTCTGTCATCCTGCACCGTCTACCACTCCTGGGCCAAGCACGCATAGATAGACAGTAGTCATCGCCACCCCCTTCAAAGTCATTCCTTGTTGATACTCCTTGAAAACCACCCCCTTCAAACGAAGAGGAAGAAGCATTGGAGTACCGCTGTCCCCCTCACCCTCACAAGAAGGGCAGTGAAGTGGGAGTGAGAGCTTGGGCTGAGCAAGGAGTCAAGAGACAAAGGAAGAAACGATGTGGCAAAAGTTGCCAGGAGCGTCTCCAGAGGGTTTCCGACCATCGCCGCGTCCGGTTGACGCTGAGACCCTTTCAAGGAGATCTAGGAGGTGATCCTGCCTTTGGCAAGGAGGGATGTGCATTGGGTTTCGAGGCGCAAGAGGTAGTTAGATGGAAGGGGGTCTACTGGAAGGAAGAGAGCAGGAATCGAGAAGGGCATACAACCGCAGTGGCTGGAGTAGACAACCAGACTCGGCGGGTCTTGTGTAAAGACGCCAGTAGGACATGGTCACAAATCTCGTTGATCGTCGGCGCAAGGCCTTGGGGAAGTGCGCGCGAGACAAAGGAGAGAGGTTTCTGAACGGTCCACTCACTAGTTTTACCGGTCAGTTCGATCGATGCGGACGCTGGGTGCAGGTTCTGACTCTCTTGAGTGCACTCGATGCGCTGTCTCTTCGAACAATTTTCCGAAGGAAGTGCCTTTTGACTGAATGGTATCTCGATGGATCCGGTGGTCTGCAAAAAGGCAGGTATGCGCGTATATATGGAAGGTAGGTTGATCAGATATCTTCGAAGACGACCTCTCGTAGACGGTTTATGAGTGATGAGCAAATGCGTCAACAATGGTAAACAGGTCAACAAGAGGGACGTCTCTAGACTTTTAGGGTCAACTGATGAAGGTGGATTGTGTCTCTGGACGTGATACACGACTGCGTGTTGACCGCCTTCCGCTCTCTTCGCCACTGGGTAAATCGTCGGCGATGAGGAAGTGGACAGCAAGAGACAGTGTACTCCTGATTCGACTGTATCTTTGACGGGATATGACAGACAGCTTTTGGTTGGACAGAGGATGTGTGTCGCTAGACGTGTCGCGTGTGGAAGGTTGTCGAATGGGAATAATCACGGTGATGATAATGTCAGAAGATCCTGGCGCGCGCGAATTCGGTGCCAGTCTGTGTGAGAAGCCATGTCAGCGGAGTGCATCTGAGAGTGCAGATGGTCGGATGAATCAGGGATGCTACAAGGGATGATCGGAAGATGGTAAAAGGCGGAATGTAGATGGAGAAGGATTTCGACAGATCACTCACATCCCCGAGGTCCAAAGGATCCTCAACCAACCTGTGATCTGTGTAACTCGTTGTCACAACCACTGTGTCGAATCGTCTCGGAGTCCTTTGGTTTGACGTGAGACTGCTGGAGATATGATGCGAAGCAGCAGCAGCAGCAGCAGGAGCAGCAGATGCTGTCAATTGAGATGGTGGCGAGAAGCTATCCCTTTGAAGGATGAGTCGTGGGCACCTTTGTGGAGGAGCCTTAGAGTCATTGATGGCCATCAGCTTAAAGTGTCAGAGGGGAAGAGTGAACATACCTTTCGTGGTATACGTTCTGGTATAGCTGTTGAACGAGTGAGAGAGATGTGAAGATGGGAGGATTGAAGAATATGACTGGATGAAGATGAAAAGTGGGAGTGGGGAGTGGTTGAAGCGAGTCTCGAATCCGCGTCAACGACAATGCTGTTGGTTGCTCGCTTGTATGGTGGGAGCCTTCTGGAGTTCACGCGATAGGTCCAGTGGGAGTACTCCACCCCCTCCCTCTCTGTCTGTCTCCTCCGTCGCTGCTCTATTGTCAACACCACCACACACACACACACACGTATACACACATATACGTCAGTAGTTCCCGTCCACTGGACTAGTCTCTTCGCCCCTCCCTCTCTCTCTCCCTCCTCCCTCTCACCACCTTTATCTCTCTCGCTTGAGTATCGTGTTCAAAAAACATGTCAGCGTCCAATCCAACAAAAGCTAAGAATGGGGTCGTCGTCAGGCACTCGGCATCGCATCATCGGTCCTTTTGACCCAGTCCCTGGTTGTACCTGAACAAATGAATGACAATAGGGTGAGTAAGTATGGTCATGAGTACATGCCGAACAATCAATGATATACATGCAAACGTCGTCGCCTCGCGACCTCCGGGGGTTGCGAAGGGAGTGAGTTCCCGCGCCGGATGAGACGGTTTATAGTAACAACAAATGAAGCGGACGAATCGACCGAGGGAACAGGATCGGGGTCGGTCTAGGGTTGAAATTGTCCCCGAGGCCATAAAGGTACCATCAAGAAGGACAAGAGTCCGTCTAGCCAAGAAAGAGGGGCGGAGCAAGGGTGGAGAAGAGAGGATGGCGAAAGTGCGCCGATTGGAAAGGAAGGGGAGGCGAGTGTGTGCCGCTTGAGGATGATCCGACAATCCCGGAAGCCGCCTCGACCGGTCATCTCCGCTCGGTCCAAGCTCGGTGTAAGCAGCGTACCAGTTCATGTAAATGAGGTGTAGGGTGAGCGATGGGCGCAGGCGTATGGATAGTAGGAGGTGAGGACGACATTGGATATCTTGGAGAGGTGGTCGTCAATGTTGGACGAGTTAGAGAGTCGAATGAAGACGAGCGAGATGACTCGGAGGAGGAGGAGGAGGATGGAAGGGTAGAGAGGTAAGGTCGTTGAGGGATGTTCTGAGGCATAGTCATGGCTGGCATGATGGTGTCTGGCAGTACGAGAGGTGTGAATGACTGATGTTCAGCGGCGCGAGCGGGGAGATGGGGGGAAAATGGCCTACAGACAAAAGGGAGAATGGCTCCTTTGTCCGTTGACGAGCGCTCTTGTCCGAGGTATTTCCGTCGAGAGCCAGTAACTGTGGATGGAGGGTGGGGTCTTTCCGCGTAGATGCTGGCTGGCTAAGAGAGAGAGAGGCTAAGGACGAAGCTCAAGGGATGCAGTCAGACCAAGTCTTCTAGAGATCGAGAAAGTGCGATGTTGGAATACACTGGCCACCTGATCGGCCCCTCTCTCTCTCTCTATATATTGTTATTATTCCACTCCAAAACGTGCTTCGCTCAATTTTTCACTGCCCCATTCGGCCCTCGGATCTTCATTCCGCAAAGGAAAAGAAATAAAAGCAATCCCGCCCAATTCCACCAATCAAATTGCACGAATTAGTCATGCTCCTGCACCACCACAGCTACTGTACAGTCTCCACTACAGCAGCGAGCGAAGCTACGATCTGATCCGGAGTCATGTCCTTGGCCCACCAAGCTGTATTGTCTCCAGCTACAGAGTCCTCCACCTCTCCAGCTATATTGTCCCGTCCTTCATCCGTTGGATCACTGTCGTCCGCTACAAGTCTTCTTGACGGTGGTTCAGGCTTCGTCATATCGCCCTTTTTCCTCTTGGTCAGATGTAAGAGGTATTCAATGGAGTGATCAGGTTGTTGAGGTATCTTGATGGCTCCAGGAAGGAGAGGCGGAGCAGAGAACCATAATATATTGCCTCTGGCATCCCTCTCAAACAGCCTCACTGAGAATGACGAGCGTCAACTTTACATGCTCAATTGCAAGTCGTCTCGTTACTTACCAGTTTCACTGGGCAACTGCTCGCGCACAGTCATCTCGGTACTCCCTGGAGGTCGGGCAGGTGATGACCCCATGGATCCAGCTGGAGAATGTTGAGGTGGTATTCCAGGCCGATAAGGTGTATTGGGCAAATTGCCCATGGGGCGCTGACCTACAGACGCCGTGATGGACCCTTGACCAGGTCGAACAGGACTCTGTCCATAATTTGTGGGTGTGTACGGCTGCGCTGGACCTGAATAGCCATAGGACGCCGAAGGACGCCTTGGCGGTGTAGGCCCGTTCCCAGATCGCTGACCTTCCTCCTCTTCGTCTTCAAGCACGCCGCCTCGAGCTTTTGGTTCACCAAAAGATCCTGGCCCTGTGATGCCTCGCAAGAATGGTGAGTTGACGACACCTAGACCAATCTGCCGTTCAAAGGGCTCGACAGCCATGAATTGAGTTTGGCGAAGCTCCTGAAACGTCGCATCAGCTTGTATTCATCTCATACGACTCACATCCGGTATGCAGCTGTTCCAGTTCTTGATCCGGACAAAGACACATTCCTTGTCGTTGTACCGGGAATTGCAGACATCTTCAAGGTGGAATCAGCGGCAGTCAGAAAGAAGCATGAAACTGCCTCACAGATGGGCCAGCCAGGATAATACTCAGGAGGTAGTGGCCGTCCACGAATCGCCTTGACGTAGAATTGCACCGAGATACGCTCAATGATATCTTCAACGGGATGGTCGCAAAAGTGGCCTAAAGAAGTGAGTTCAATCTCATTTTTCCCTAGTCCCGCTCACCTGTTTTGAACACCTCTCTGTCGTAGAACAGCTGTTCTGGGGAATGGATCGTCTGCTCCGGGTAGAAATACCAGCAGACCGTGACGTGGTGCGTGCGATAGCCTTTTGTAGGGACGAAGGATTTGAAGACTTGACCGACAATGGGTTTTGTCGCGTCATCGGGATTGATAAGGTGAACGTAATCGCCAACCTTGTACGACATGCCCTTGTGTCTCGCTTCATCGGTGAACACGCGATCTTTAGTGCCGACCCGGAAAGTGGTCACGCCAAACCCCGCGTTTTCTTCCGCGACCCCAGCTCGTAGATCTTGATTGATCTCGTGCACTGGTCTAGCATTACCAGGTCCAGCGGGGAGCGAAGCGAATAATGTCGTCGAAGGGCTAGGAACCCCATTCGAAGGAATCACCAGAGGGTAAGGAGCCGTCAAGGCATTGTATAATCTCTGCAGGACGAGAACTCGACCGTACTCTGTGGAAGCATTGGCGTGGAACCGTCTAGCTTTCTCGAATAATCGACTCATGTCGAGATCAAAGTCTCGAAGTGTGCGATACCTTCCAGCTTCAACGTTGATGGATATAGATTCAAATGAGAGGGGAGCCTGCGTCGATTGTCAATCATAGCCTAGCCGCCGTTGGAGCGATGAGCTCACGTTGAATGACAAGTAAGGGATGGCCACGACGGGTGGTATACCTCCAAACACCTCTGCAAGTCGGGTACCACTGACACGATTCTCAGCAAAGCAATTCGAGCAATCTTTACCCAGCTCACGAAGCATCCTTGTATCCTTTGAGGGCCCCGACAACACCTTTCATCCTTGATAGCCATCCAGATTCTCCACCTGCATCTCGTTCGTAGTCTGGTACCCCTTCGCCCCACCATCCATTCCCTGGTATTCCCCCCAAATCTGGATTGCCCGATAAGACTGTATCTGGTCCTGACCATTTGGGCATCCTTGCGTCCAAAGCAGCGACCACAGCTTGATCCGCTTGACTCTGTACACCTTGTCTCATCCTTTCCACCTCTACTGATCCATAATCGCTATTCTGCCTGGGGGGTACCACGGGAGGAGGCATAGGAGGCGTCATGTTCATGTTCATTGCCATGTTCAGGTTGACAGGTTGGTGGTTGATCTGAGCGGCGTACACATTTGCGTCATAGGTGTAGAACCCGGGTCTCGGTCTGACTGCATTGGCCGAAGAGGAAGCGGCCTGACTATTACGGTAAGCCAGTTCGGCAGCTTGTTGTTGAGCTAGAATCTTGGCCGGATCCTTAGGCGGTCGACCCCGTTTACGCGGATACGCAGGAAGCAAGTTGGTCGTTGGTGTAACTGGGATAGCTCCCGAGTATGAGAGACTCCGCCAGTCGTGTAGAATCATGTCCTAGGGCAATGTCAACGAAACGTGGGCAGCCAGGTGTACACTCACTTCTAAACGTTTCGCATCTCGCCACATGTCCGTGTCGGGGTCAAAGTCTGCAAGGTGTCAACGTTGAGCCGGAGAGCAGCGAAGGACTACTCACACGTCTTCGCGTTGGTGCAGATCGTATGCAGCGCTCTGAAGAACGATTCGGGACCTTCGAACGATCCATTGCCAAGTTGAATCTGAGGTCGAGTATCAGGTTCTGTCAGAAGAGGACTGACTCACCGCGACGTTGTCTAATGATTCAGGTTGTCGGATCGTCCGAGAGTAATCTGGATAGAGGATGGGATCGGGTAGGAATCGAAAAGAATCAGATAGGCGACGACTGCAGACAGTGGAGGTCAGGATGTATCATGATCACATGAAATCAAATTCGGGAGCTGGCAGGACTGGTTGCGGCCTCTCGTCTTCTTGGACTCGTGTAACATCGTCTACCACTCACCCTCCATCTCTGGCACCGTACAGCCTCCTCAAAACCTCCACGCAACTCTGCCAATTCGCATAAGCCATGCCTCGTCCACCACGCAATCCAGGGTAATTGGACGGTATTGGCGGAGGTGCCGAAGAGGCACCTAGACCAAATGTCGAGCTCATGGTATTACCGGGGGCTGCAGATCGAGATGCGCAATGTGCCCTTGTAATGGCCAGCCTTTCCTGGTCCCTTCGCCTTAGGCTTCGCTCCACGGCTGTATGACTTGTGTACAAAAATGAACTTCGTCGGACTCGTCGCGCGTCTCAACAACATTTCATAAAGACCCACGGTAGGTCAAGATGTATGACGTGGCAGCTGATAAAAGAGATTCCGCTCCTTTGAGTCTCAACTCGGGTTCCTTGGCCCGGAGAGCAAGGCAATGAGAGTAATCCTCCAGCAACCTATACATCTCAAACCTCACGAGTTCAAGAGAGCCGTTCAGAAGCATGCTAGATCACGTTTCTATCTCACACCAGAGTGAGTTGGTCGGATTGTTTCCGGATGTTTGAGTCATGCAAGCATTCGCTCCTTCCACTTAAGACGTCATACCCTTGCTTACTTTTGACCTCTAGGCGGGCTGATCCTCTGGTCTCGGTCTTTCACCCCGACCTTCTCCGCACTCGCCTTGACGCCATCATCGCCTGTCAATGCACTCATCAAGGAGGCTTTTATCGAGGGGAAAGTGAGGAATGAGAGTGAGGGTATCGAGCGAGATGGATACAGTGTCAGGTGGACCATTGAGAATGGCCTTGGGCTGATCTTCGTGGTGAGTCGCGAAAAATGAGCCTCCAACGGGACTCGTATCTGAACCTAACTGCCTCAAGGTGGTCTTTCCCGCTCTCCTACCCTTGACCTATATCCCAGCCCTTCTCCACCGCGTCAAGCAGCTCTTCCTCTCGCTTTTCTCGCCATATCTCAGATCCTTAGTCGATTCTCTCACAGCGGGGTCTATCGCATTAACGGAGTCATCTAGTCAAGCTTTAAAGGTCATTCGGGAAAAGTTGGCAGAAGAGCGCTGGGAGAAAATCTTTGACAGGTGTTTAAAGAGCTTTGAGGGTCAGGACGTGAGTATCAGTAGAGATTTCAGGCTGTGTACTCACCCGCTACCAGTCTCGAAAGCAGGTCAAATCGCCAGTTTCGCTGCGAAACCAGGCTCAATTGGCCTCGGTGACGTCTGGTGAATCAAGTGAGTGTCTGGATTCTGCTCTTTGGCCAGACCACCTGATAGCCCCTCTCAGGTCCAGCGGAATCCGATGATAGCTCTGTTCCACTTAGCGCCGAGGAGATTAGCAAAAATGTCCAATCGATGAAGTCTCGGATCAAGCGTGGTCGAGCCAGCAGAGGAGGCACGGCTTCGCCCGTATCATCCCCGAAGAAAGCGGGTGGAAGCAGTGCCGCTGCGTCCAAGCTTATGCGGAAATGGGGTGACTCACCAGTGACAAAGGAGGATATGGCAGCTTTGGATTACTCTGCTCCTGCCCCTGGCGCGACGTCCAAAGGAGAGGGAGGATTATCAGATAGTATGTCTGGGCCTGTCGATACCGAAGGGATGATCTCGAATCGGGCGTTGGGCAAAAGGACAGCGAATGGATACGAAGTCGCCGATTGGGACTACAGGGGAGACGAGGATGAGCTGCCGACAGAGGACGAAATTCTGGCGAATGGGACTTCTAAATTGTCCATCGGGTCGTCAAGCATTAGGGGCGACGAGACCAAAGCGGGGGACGAAGGAGGTGGACTCTGGGGCAACATGTTTGCCAGATTGACAGGTACAAAGGTCCTGACACAAGAAGATTTGAAACCTGTCTTGGTCGAGATGGAGAAGCATCTCATGGGCAAAAACGTGGCAAAGGACATCGCGGAGAAGCTGTGCGACAGTGTTGGATCAGCTCTTGTCGGCAAGAAGCTTAGCGGCTTGGCGAGTGAGTCTGGGCTATCTCAATTGATTGCAGAGATCTGGTACTAACCATGAGGATCAGGTGTAAAGTCTGAAGTACAATCTGCGCTATCCGCTTCACTCACTCGCGTCTTGACTCCCAAAACATCGACTGATATCCTCTTGGAAATTCAACGCAAGCGGTCTCCCACAGCAACTATTGCGACGCCTGATGCCCCTCCCGAACCATACGCCATGACCTTTGTAGGAGTCAATGGTGTTGGGAAATCGACAAACCTGTCCAAAGTTTGTTTCTGGTTACTGCAGAACGGTCTTCGAGTCTTGATAGCGGCTTGCGACACGTTCAGAAGTGGAGCGGTAGAGCAACTTCGGGTACACGTCAGGAATCTTGGAGCATTGCAGGATGAAATGGGTCTAGGGGATGAGGATGGAGGGAAAAAAATTGAGCTATACGAGAGAGGATATGGCAAAGACGCAGCGGGTATCGCGAAGGACGCGATAGCGTATGGTGAGTCGTATGGGGCCTGACACACTCGCTGAGCTGCTTTAGCCAAGAGCCATCGATTCGACGTGGTTCTCATCGATACTGCCGGACGAATGCAGGATAATGAACCGCTAATGAGGGCGTTGGCCAAGGTAAGTATTTTCTGTCGACGCCGAAGCCGATGTCAGAGCCCTCCTGACACGTCGCCAGCTCGTCACGGTCAACAACCCCGATAAGATCATTTTCGTCGGAGAAGCTCTGGTCGGCAACGAAGCAGTCGATCAATTGACCAAGTTTGATCGGGCCCTTAGGGACTTTAGTAGCTCTGGTATAGGCGGAGCTCAGAGAAAGAGAGGCATAGATGGAATCTTGTTGACCAAATTCGACACCATTGTGAGTTGGCAATCCATTTCAGGGACATTCAAGCTGACAATTTTCTTCGGCCAGGACGACAAGGTCGGTGCGGCACTATCTATGACCTATGTGACTGGTCAACCTATCCTCTTTGTCGGTTGTGGACAGACATATACCGATTTGAGACATCTCCGTGTGCCCCATATCGTCAATGCCTTGCTGAATTCATAGATGATGACAAATAGAAGAAGTAGTTGTATAATATGCGATCATCTACGTCTCGTCTTGGATCCGCTCCTCCTGCGGCACGCACGTTCGCCTCAAGTGTTCGACTAAAGCTAAGAAGAGTTTCTCCTCCTCTAAAGCTTCCTCCCCTACCCGAACGATAGCCTCGATATGTCTCTTCCGCTGAGCATCCGCTGCATCTTTGGCTGCACCTTGAGCCTCGTCCTTCTCATTTTGAGCAGCTTTCAAGAGCACAGCGAGAGACGCCATTTGAGCCTTCATCAACTCCCGCTCTTGGTCCCTTGATGCCGCCTCTACTCTGAGCCGGGCAACCTCCTCGTCCTGCAAATGCATTGCATCCGCCTGGACTCCAGTCTCGCACAAGTTACTCTTCGTTTGAACCTTGGGCTCGAAGTCATCCTTCTGGGTGATATCCGGTGAGCGATCCTCTCCGTGGCTTCGCCTCCCATGCTCGTCCACTGAGTCGTTCTCGACCTCTGAATGTTTCTCCGCCTCAGCATTAGGCTCGTGTCTATCGATTGGGGTCTGAGTGTCCTTTATGAAGTGTTTCGTTTCAGCACTAGCCACGGCTTGATCGAGCGGTCTGTGGACTCCATGCTGACGCCTATGATTGGCATCCGAATGATTTTCCGGGAACAACCTTCTTGGCAGCTCGTCCCCACACGACGAACGTCTCAGCGCGGATCTCTTGATAATTGGTGTATCCCATAATCCATCTTCTTCCTGTCCGTCTATGAAACTCATTGAAGTATCCAGAATATTTGGCAAGGTGAAATCGATCTCGATCTCATCATTCAGGTGAGATCGTGGAGAAGAAGAAGAGGTGGGCAGAGTCTTGATGTCTTGTCGGCTACCTCGCGATATGATTGAGTGAGTGAAGGGGCGGCTTCCCTTCAGCCATGAAGTCGTTCTAGGGCTTGAAGGAGTGTGTATTTTGCTTGAGAAGGCGGCTCCCGGAGAAGGTGATGGACGCAAAGTGCGCTTGGCTGCCGGCTCGCTGGTAGTCGTGCTCGGGTCCAGGTGACCAGAAGTGAAACTGGGACGTCGAGAGGATATAGGGGCTCGGTTCCTTAAAGATGCGGTAGATGGTGCGATGATGCGAGAGGCATCATGACGCACGATAAGCTTGTTCAAACGCCTCGTTGTATGATTTGCAGCCGGCTCCGTGGGTCTCACCGTTCGAGTCATCTGTAACGCAGACGAATGTCGACGCTGAGCTTTGACCGCTGGGGTTGATGTTTCTTTCAACACACTGTGATACGGCATGAGGATTCTCGGCGTAGCTTCCTGTCGTTGACGCTGAGGGACAGCTCTACGCATGCTGGCACCAGCTTCAACTCGAAGGGCAATAGAACGGTGAGCGGGAGTCTTGGGATCAGTCGAAGGTGCTGCTCTTCGGTCGAGCGGATAAGAAGGACCAGAACGGCTGAAAGGTGATCCACTGGGTCCATGTGGTTCTCGAGAGCTGAGTATCATGACGGATCGTGGGCGAGGTATGGAGCGTTGACGCGGGGATTTGGGTTGAGCTGGACATGGCAAGGGCCGGCCTGGCGCAGAAGGGAAGGGTGCCATGGCTTCGCGGGAGGATCAGCGGGGCTTATCCACGGAGACAATCTCCACACTACCAGATGGGTCAAAGACATCATCTAGCATGCATGAGATCAGTGAGGGAATCCAAACCCTTCTGTAGAACCGCTTCACTCAACTCGAAACACATGGAGCTCCGCAATGTGGCGGCCGTCTCGCAGTCAAAGAAGTATCTCGTCCTGGTCGATACATGCGGTTTCAAAGCCTTCAGCCAGAGTCTGAGTGCGTAGCAAGGAGCAACATCTACTGACATTTGTATCCAGGTCTTCACTCCGCGTCCCTTCATAAAGGCAGGTTTGTTTCACGATCTGAGCGACGTCCGTGGCAGTTCACTTGAGGGTGATGCCGGCCCGTTCAATGACGGTCTTCCAGTTTGAGCCTTGCGAGGGGTTTTTTCTATCCTTGTACTCCTTTGTTTGTCATGGTATTTGGTACTCCGTCCTGTTCCCTTTCTTGATGCGCTCTTCGAGACTCCTTCAAGAAAGCAGCATTCTTGAGTTCAGAATGTCAACGATTTCTTCAACACTTCCATGGAGTGTGATCGGCAGCCTCAGTCATATCGCACATGAATCAAGACATTAATACGGAAACTCGAAAGGAGAGTCTCCCTTTCATTCATCCGGACAGAGCGAAGCTCATAACCGCTCGTTGGCCCACTGACACAACAGTAGGGGATGAAGTCAAGGGACAGACCGCGGATAATACTTATGAGGCCGGGTGAGTGGACTTCCAGGTACCCCGATGATTCACGCATAGACCATTCTCAAGGGCATCTCAAAGTGGCATCGATCGGTTGCATGAGACGTACCTGGCAGCCTGGACTAATGCTCTAAAGGCGAAGCTACGGGCGCATGATGTTCTCAAGTCCGAAATGGGTAGTGCGTGTGTCGAATCGTATACAGCTCGTCGAGACCTCTGGCCATCGTTCGAGTCGAATGTCCGGAGGCTCGGCATGGAGAAGGTGCGAGTTGGAGATGATCTAAGCGTCCGATGGATAGTCCAGCATGACCTCGCTGAGGATTTGATCTCTGGTAAAACTCAAGCGACGTGTGACGTATCTTTCACTGAGCCTCCTGAATCTCAAGAAGAGGCACAGAAAGTCATTATCTCAAACTCAGAGCGATCGTTCTCCTTGACTTCGACCTGGCAGCCTTGGCCGACAGGAGATCCGTTTGGGACGTCAGACCCATCCAAGCGATGGATGGAGAATCCAAAGTTCAATCGTACTCGAGTACGATTGTACAAGGCGTGGAGTAAAACGCTGGGAGCCTTGGTCGACGATAAGTGTCCCCTAGAGACCGGGACCGGGATCCTCGAGGCCGCTGTACCTCACCGCTTGGCCCTGTGGTCGGCAATCAAAACCTGGCTCTCTGAAGAGGATATCGTAGGTCCAGATTGTCATGTCTCGGCGACCAAGTCTCTCGTCAGCTGTCGACATAAGCTAGCAACGGACGGTAACACCATCCTGTCGAGCGTGAGTTATCGACCAGCGTTTGAGATAGACAGCATCATCAAGTATTGGCATCGTCCGTTCTTCGACGAGCGCGAATGGAACATTCAGACGAAGCAGCTCATCGAGCAGAGGGATGTGACAGGACAAGGACGTAATGAGCGTTTCGATCGGCCCGAAGCTAGCGATGCTGTCTCTGTCGAATCTGGAGATGTTGGGGACCCGCGAGACGTCCTACTCGATGGCGAGACGGAGCTCTGTTTTACAGACCTGCAATCGTCACTTCGCCGAAACAACGACGTTGGCGATGTACTCGAGCCGATCTGGGCGGATTCTGAGCTCGGATTGCAAGCAAGGCATGGTGTAGTGGAAGGGACACTCTCTGCCGTACATCAAGAACTTTTGCACGACATTCAACAAGTGTTCCCTCCGACCGATGATTGGGAGGATCTAGAATTGTCGGCCATCATCGAGCTGACCCATAAGGTTACGCAAGACTCTGACGATGGCTACACTCAGTGTACGATCGAGACTGGTTCTGTGGGTCACGCAGAATTGGATACTGATGGATTCACGTACCAGGGTTCATGGACATGGCGCACGAGCGACGGTCACATTTTGGGTCATGATGTGACCGTTGTGACTGGTCGTCTCCGCCCCCCCAAGCTTGAGCCGAGGCAGTTATGATCGAGGTAAACGAAGAAGAATAATGACCCTTTTTTTTCCTGGCAAAATGCCCAAAAATACATCCCGGCCAAGCCCAAGATCTGGGGGTCAGTTTTCCTCAATCCCGCTCCCGCGGAAAGAGCTCCCTCCTCCCAGCACGTTTGATGAGGGGAAAGCGGAGACGTGGGTCCTCAGATATGTGGATGGAGAGCGTCGAGGGTGTGAGCGTGGGCTGTGAGAGTCTGCCAAAGCTCTTCGCTACGGGTCGATCGCTGGTGATTAACGGAATACACATCTCAAAACGAACCCATCGAATATAGACCTTAGCCGCACTTTTCTTTTTCTTTTTCCCTTTAATAAAAGCAGGCTACACACCGTGACAGCTGAAAGAGGCGCCGCGCCGTGTTTCCAAATCAACCATCTTGGTATCCCTTCCATATGGAGGACATCTCGACATCTCATTGACGCAACGAACAGGCTTGGACCAGGATATTCATGACGTCTGCGCGAATGATCGACGACACAGCCTCGCGACTTTGAAGATTGGAAGGATTTTTTCTTTTCTGTTTTTTTTTAATGAGCCCTAGTTGGCTGCGGCTAAGCTGCAATGGACGATTGAATTGTTAGATGTAGATCTTTTCACAACGACCTGTCCATACCGATACATACTCATGCGTGCTCTGTAGACTTCCCGGTACGCCCTACAACTTTCTTGCATCGACCATGTCATCAGCCACCATCCAACCCTACCTGGTCGAATTCCTTCGTAACCCTACCACCCCCTTTCAAGCTGCGGTGGACGCTTTGGAAGAATGGATTCTGCAGCGCAGATCTAAAGGTGCGACCCTGTTCGAAGTATCTGTAGGGATAGCAGAGCTTGAAGCCAAGGTGAGGTCCACCGGTCTGTTCCGTCCTTTAGCTGACATGACCAGAAGACTCCGCCATATGTTTGCCGCGCGTTTGATCGCGCTCGATACGTCACCAACGTGCCGCAAGCTTCAGATTTGACCCCTCCTACTGGTCCATTCCCACTCGCCAGATCTCAATCTGTCCAAACCATCCTCCACCATCTCTTGTCGAAACCTACCCCGACCTTGCAGCATTCTCGCGAGGTTATTCTCGAATTCGTGCTCCCCAAGGAGACCAAACTGAGAGACAAGAAGCCAGGTCGAGGTGGCAAAGGGACGTTGGGCAGAGAAGGTTTCGAGGAGATATCCAAGCGACTGACAGAAGTCGAAGATGGATTACGGGGTTTGTCCGCTGCCAGTCCCAGGCGAGCTGCCTTTGCACGACTGGATGGATCGACCGAGGCCGATAATACCTCTCCATCAGACCTCGATGAAGCGAGAACTATGGGTCTGACTTTGATCCTATCTTTGCGACTCAGCCTTTCCTACTTTACACTTCAAGATCTCGCCACTCAATTGCTCTTACTGGCGACATCAGATGCCGAGAGAGCCCTGGTGCAGCACATACGGCGACGAGTACAGGGCGAAGGGAGATTTGGAGTTGGGAAAGAGCTAGACTTTTTGGAGAGCTTGGTGGGATACCCATGCTGGATACCATGCTGACGATTCAGACGATTCCGCAACGTCCCTCCCTGGGACCAGTCTTCAGATCAGCCAAGGCGCGCACCCATCTCCCAGCGGTCATTCGATACCCGGTCGCTCTGCCTGCGCCTTCCAAATCGGCTTGCATCAAGCAGCTTTCGGCGTTCAGCAAAGATGTTGAGGGTGGGTTCTTGTCAAATGCCGCTACAGCCTCGTCGCCCTTTGGTTCGCCCACAACGGATCCCCGCCTTCGTCCGAACACCCATAGCCCTGCATCCCGGGCACCATCTCTGAGTCCGAAGACTCCTTTGTCAGCTGTCCCCGCTACGCCGCCTCCCTGGATGCAGAACTCGCCTATCAAGCCTCCTCACCCGGATCCCGAACCAATGAAGCATTATGCCTTGGAGCTGGTCTCGGAATACCTGACTCGAGAAAAACGAGAATATATGCTGAGATCCAAATGGGCAAAGTCGGGCCGGGATCAGTTGGGCAAGGATCTGGGAGACATCGAATCTGCCCTTTGCATGTGCTCGAAAACGGCTACCACTCCCCAAGCGCCCATCCTCATGCCGGTCTTCCTGCAGCTTCGACGCACGTTCACCCTTCCACCATCTCCGCTCCCGTCTAGCATCGTCGAGCCCTTTCTGGATCTTTTGCCGGCGCCACCAGATCCGGATGAAGAGCCCTTCAGGGAGCCTACTGTCCAGACGACCACGGTTGCTCTGTATCAAAACCCTAGATTGGAGGATGATGCGGCTATCCAGGTGCTGGAGGAATTCCTTGACAGCGAAAAGGAGATGGTGGAAGCGGCCGGTGCAAACGAGTCACAGCGGGTTGAATGGTGCGTCAAGCAGATTGAAAACGTCAAGAAGAGGGTAGGTTGACCCTTGGGAGTGTGGGCTGACTCCAGTTTCCCGATGGGTCCTATGATATGGTGTTTGAAGCTATGATTGAGCGCATGACCAACCCTCAAATCAAGGCGACCTCTTCTCAGTCTGACCTCCAAACGCAATCATTGCTTTCAGTCTCGGCTGCTCATCGCCGGACTCGATCTGGATCTTTGTTGCCTCCATCTGCCGAGACTGGGACGTCATCCACCGAGCACACGCCGACGCCGACCTCGGGCGCTCGGGTCAGTCATTCTCGATCTCTGAGCATGCCGATGCGTAAGAGCACATACATGCAGAGGAAGGACTCCAGCTCAAGCAGCGATGGAAGTTCCGAAGAGGCGGGGGTGCCTGCTATGCCGAACAAGGTCTTAGTGGCCAAGCGTCAAGCTCCGGAACCGATAATCACCTCGTTGGATCCAGCCGACACGGCGCAAGGCAATCTTGCTTCAAATGCTGGACTTGCCATCAACATGTCCAATCCGAAACATTTATCCAATGGCAGTGGCATCCATCTCAGCTCTGCCAGCGGGGCAGGTACCTCTCGACACAATAGTCTGGATCGTCCGCATAGCGGCGGAGGATGGTGGGACGTGGTTTCGGCAGTATCGCCACAGAATATGGCTCCCTGGCATGAAAATCCACGCTCGACGACGGTCCGGCGCATGTCACGGACGAGCTCAGACATGCCTACAAGTCCCACGTTTGGGCAGAATTTGACCCTGCCGCCTGGCGCCGAGCCACCTGCTGTGCAGGATTTGTCCATGTCTTATGCGGACCTTATTGATTTAGGTAATCTCTCCAGACCCTCCAGCGGTTCTTCGCCCATGCGTGCCGAGGGGTCCATACAGCAATCGACGATTCGATTGGTCGATTCCTCGAGCCCCTCACGACCCAGTCTATCGACCTCACCAAAGTCGCCCGCGGACTCGCCGAATCGTATGCGCCTACCGTTCGCATCGTCACCCCAACGCACCGGGACATCTCCAAGCCGTATCCAAGGATTTTTCAAACCGAACCATAGTCGCAACTCGAGTCGAAGTCGATTCACCCAGAGTGTCGATGTGGAGGAATTGGATGACGAGCAGGATGACGAGCGAAAGGAAAGCTTCGCTGCGGGTCTGATCAACTTTAGCAGACCTACGTTGAGGAACGAATCGTCGTCCGAATCCAAAGCTTCGTCGCCATCGGTACATCAATCTTTGGGGGTTCCGAATGGGGATGTAGGAGATCCGGGCCAGAAGCAAGAGTTTTTGGGAACGCCTGATATGACGCCAGGACCAGTGGCCAACTATGCGACTCCGACTTTTGCGAGACAGGATCACACCACCCCCGGCCACAGTCCAAGTCGACGGACGCCCACTGCATCGACTACCACACCGTCTGCAGATACGCCCTCGAGCGCGGGCTCGACTCCAACCGGCGGCTTAATGCCGGGGAACAAGCCCAAGCTGTTTGCGCGGAGCATGACTTTGACATTAGCGACTAGGGGCTTAAAGAATCGTGATAGGAACAAGGAGAATGAGCGGGATGATCCATCAGCATCTCGGACCAGTCTCGGAATGATGACGGGAACGAGCAGCCGTAAGGAGAAGATCTCAAACAAGCCAAAGAATTGGAATCGAGACATGGTGGCTGATATCATGGGACCGCCAGCTGAGCGTCGGTGAGGGCCTGGGCATCGGTGCATTCTGGAAAGGTGAAGCAGTGACGAGATATGAATGACGAGATGACCTTTTGATTGTTTGATAATAGTAATATATACATGCATATACGTGAATCGAGTACACGAAGCATCCTGTGATTGCATTCAGACGAACGGAGACCCGGACCGATATCCAGGAAATCTCATCCAGCCCGCATGCGCAGCGAAGACTTGGTGCTCGAAGTAAAGCTATTCCCCGTCTTCCGCTGTGATGCCTCAATCTTGTTCCGTAGATCCATACATTCCACGGCTCCCACACGCACACACACACACTCTCACCCACGGGACCACGGATCATGGAATCATTTCTAGGCGACTAGGCGACTAAGCGTGTAGCCTACGCTTGGAAGGAAAAAGTCCCCGTCGCCCGGAAGAATAATCATAAAGATCACCGTCCATTACAATTGTGTGGCGCTCTGGCGCTCTGTGATTGGGTGAGGTGGTCTAGGAGAGGCCAAGGGAATCTATGATCTAAATATAATCATGGGTAAAGACTCTTAGTTCAGGGGTGGGTGGAGGGTTTTCACAAGGGAGGCAGCCAGCAGCACGCGAGTCCCGCCTTCTTCCACAGAGAGAAAGAACGAGAAGATAAGGCAGGGGGCGAGGCCACGGGTCCCAATTCCACCACATCTGGGTGGGAGTCAAGGACTGACAGGAGAATGACGAAGAAACGAAGACTTGATAAAGAAAGAAAGAGGCGCATCGACGGAGGCGAAAATGGGAGAGAATTGCATCACTCTTTTAGCCGCCGCCTATCGATGACTCCCTTTTTTAACCGGTGATGAAACTTTTTGGAGCAGCAGCAGCAGCAAGTTTAGTGGCAGGCCCGTGGAGCAAGCAGTTTACCCATTTCACATCGATGTGCCTTGTGGAGGAGGGAAGAGAAGGGGGGGGGTGTCGTATGGTGCCAGAAATGCATCTGATAGCCAGCTTGACGGGAATAGAATTGTTTCTTCTTTCCCCAGCGTTGACGCCCACAATCTGGAGCTTCAGTCCCCGGTTCACAGCGTTATCAACCGTATCTTTCACTCTTTGACAGCAGACACTGGGCGAAGGAGACTCACTGACCAACTGGCGTCAGTCTCTTTCCTTACTTCAGCTCTTCTCCACCACTCGTGCGATCATGGCCAAAGACGATATCAAGAATTACAACGGGGATGTCACCACCTACGTTGGTGCGCCTGAAGGTAACTATCCACCGCAATTCGAGGGCACACACCACGATGGCGATGTCGAAAAGGCAGACGCCATCGGCGCTCGAGACGGTCGAATCTTGGTCGATGGAGCCAGTGAGTCTCAAAAAGTCGTGTGACCAGTCGCTCGTCGCTCATGCTCGCTCAGTCGACGAAAATGACGGTGCCGTTCATCGTGTGCTCAAGGCCAGGCATATGGCCATGATTGCCATTGGAGGTGCCATCGGTACTGGTGAGTGGCATCTATAGCTCATGGGTGGATCGGACTCTGCTGACAGCTGATTGATCCCCAGGTCTCTTTGTCGGTTCCGGTGAATCGCTCGCCACTGCCGGTCCTGTGGGCGTGTGGCTAGGCTACATTCTCATGTCCACCATTGTGTACTCCATGGCTGTTGCTCTTGGAGAAATGGCCGCTTTGTTCCCTGTTGCAGGTGCTTTCACCCACTATGGAGCTCGATTCGTCGATCCAGCCCTCGGTTTCGCTCAAGGTATCAACTATTGGTACTCTTACGCTATCACTCTGCCAACCGAACTTTCCGCGGCCGCCATTGTCATCACCTACTGGGATGAAGGCTTCAAGCACGTCCCAGCCGCTGGTTACGTCACCATCATGTTGGTTCCCGTGTGGCTCATCAACTTGTGGGGTGCTCGAGCTTATGGTGAAGCCGAGTTTTGGTTCTCGACCATCAAGGTTATCACGATCATTGGTCTGATCATTCTTGGCATCGTTCTCATGTGCGGAGGTGGACCGACCCACGACCCCATTGGATTCAGATACTGGCGAAACCCTGGACCGTTCAACAACATTGCGATCGAAACGGTCACTCAGCCCAACAACCCAGGCTTTATTCCTGGCAACTGGGGTAAATTCCTCGCGTTCTGGAACGTTTTCGTCCAAGCCGCCTTCTCCTTCATCGGAACTGAAATCATTGCCACCACGCTCGGTGAGGCTCAGAACCCCAGGCGAACCGTACCCAGAGCTATCAAGACTGTCTTTTTCCGATTGGCCTTGTTCTATGTCGGGGGTATCTTTGTCATTTCAGTCCTGGTCCCCTACACTGACCCAAGACTTCTTTCTGGTGATGGAAACGCCAAAGCTTCGCCTTTCGTCATTGCCATTGTCAACGCAAAGATCAAGGTCTTGCCATCGATCGTCAATGCCGTGCTCTTGATCTCCGCCTGGTCAGCCGGAAACTCGGATCTCTACGCCGCCAGTCGAACACTCTACGCTCTCTCCCTGCAAGGCCAATTCCCCAAGGTATTCCGAAAGTGCACCAAACGTGGTCTGCCCATCTGGTGTGTGGCGCTCACCGGTGCCTTTGGAGGTCTCGGATACATGGGAACGGGCGGTACTAGTGTCGTTACGGCCTTCAATTGGTTGTACAACCTTTCCGCCACGACCGGAGTCATCACCTGGTGGGCTATCCTCGTGTCCTACCTTAGATTCTACTATGGTCTCCGAAAGCAGGGATACTCTAGAGAGGCTTTCCCCTACCGTGCTCCTCTGCAACCCTGGTTGTCGTGGTACGGTGTCGTGTTCTTTGCTCTCATCCTGATGTAAGTCATCCGTACGCCGATCATCCTGACATGTCCTCAGCTTCAATGGCTTCACCGTCTTCCTCAAGGGTAACTGGAGCGTCAGCAACTTCTTCGCCGCCTATGTCACTCTGATGATCTTTGCCGTGTGCTACTTTGGCTGGAAGGTCGTCAAGCGCACCAAGATCGTGCCACTGGAGGACATTGACTTTACCACTGGTCGACGAGAGATTGACGAGATGGAGGAGAGAGACGCAGAGCAATTCGCACAGCAGGAAAAGTGGTGGCAAAAGCTCGGCGCCTACGTCTTTTAAAGCCTTCCCTCATATTTTGTAACGGACAGAAGAGCTGTCTCTTGAAGTTTCATCTTGTCTTTAAGTTGGTCGTGCTCTAGACCAGATCCGCAGTGTGTAGAGGAGACACGACAAAACCGCCATGCATCATAATGAATATCAAGTGGTCAAATCTGGCGGAAAAGCCGATACTCCAGTCTCATATCCTTCCTCAGTCCCGCAATCAGGCGGAGTCGACCAGCTGATGCCATGTAATGGGGATTCATGTTCACACCGGCCTCGTCGGACCGCGTCCTTGTCCCTCAAAACTTGGCCCTAGAAGGTGTCTTTTTTTTCTGCGCGGAAAAGGATCTGGAAAACTGTACCTGGTGAAATGCTGTTCGAGACTGTACCGTACCAGGCAGCAAAACTGCAGAGAAATGCGGGACGATGGGGTCCAAAGTTCGTGCCTCCCTCTTTATCCCCCCCCCCCCCCCCCCTTCCCCTCCTTCTTCTCTCTTCTCCCAAATGGCATTCTCGGCAATCAAGAGCCTAATGGACAGCTGACGCCAACACGCAGTGTGACTTGGATTGGGGGGCAGATTTTTTCCCACCGCTTCCTGCCTCGATCTGCGGAATGCTAATTCTGTGTCACTATGCGAGTTGCGGGGCCAGTGCCTAACTGCAATGCAGATGCGAGACCTCTCTCGTCTCTCTCTCTTCCCTGACACGGAGAGAAGTGGTGAGGTCACAATGCGGAAGCAGCGTTTCGTGTTCTTTGGCGCCAAGGCGCATGCACGGATTAACTAACTATACATGAGTTCTGGTTCTGATTTTCTCATTGGTTCAAGCCATTGGAGGGATCACGTCAACGTCCTAAAGCACTTGACTCACAACTGATTATATTCTCACCAAGACTTCTGGTATATCAGCCGTTTATTGGTTCCACCTCGGGTGCAATAATCTGACAGGCATGGAGCATACAAAGCTCAACCTTGTCACGCATTTCTGACTACCTTGCCCCCCTTATCATTCTACGAAAGCACAATGGCTTCAGAGGCGAGAGTCGTCGACTCGACACCATGCTCTCCTACTATCGAGCATTGTCTGGCGGATCTCCATCTCTATCGTATGGGTGGAGGCGTCAACGCTCTGGTAACCGAGTCCATCGATCCGCTTGACGCTCGGCCCCATTCCCCAATCATCTCCAGGTCTAGCATTTCTATGCCGATAGACTACCAACCAGTCAATACGAATTCAGGTATTCGTCGAGCGACAGCTCCGACCAAGATCGACTTTTCAGGTGTCTCCCAGGGATTCACGCCGGAATCTCCACCCTTATCCAGTCCCATGATTAGAGAATCTCGAGTGTCCATTCCTCACTTTCCATTCGCCCCATCGCCTGGTGTGTTTCCCGCTCGAGCAAGCTTCTCGCGGAGCAGCAGCTCTAGCTCTAGCACGTTGGTCGGATCACCAGAGAGGAAACATGGCGTTCTGTTAGGGACCAGTCCTTCCCGACCACCCATCACTATCGAGTTGGACCCATGTAGTCCTCTATCCTTTCCCTTTCCTCGACGACCAAGTCTCAGTGGCACCCCTTTCGATTATTCCCATGGACCCCTGTTCCCTACCAGACCAATGATGGGACGTCGCAAGTCGTCCTACCGCTCAGTCATGACTGATCTGGCGAGTCTCGAGTTTGAAGACGAAGGAAAAGAAGGCCAGACATTTAGCCCCAAGGAGCTGGCGGATCGGCTTCAGTCGCACGTCGTCGCCAAGGCCGGCGAGCGGGACCAGAGGATCCGTATCGTGGGTATCTTGGCCAGTGACGATTCGGGCTGCAAGACGTACGCCTCGGCGTTGTCCAAATCGTCGTGCAAATTGGGTTTCGACTTTGAGATCAGGAATGTCGACGTGAGCTCGGAGGCTGAAGCAAATCGCTTGGTAAAGGTGAAAGAGGCGATCGAAGAGGTCAACGGGGACAAGTCGGTGAACGGATTGTTCTTGTTCCTGCCCTTGTTCACCGCGGAAGAGGTGAGCCGACAGAGAGTAGAGCCGCCGCCCTGACCTCGACAGGACAAGCAGCTCAGAGATGCCATCGCACCCCGCCTCGATATCGAGGGCATCAGTTCTGCCTCGCTCGCCGTCAGCGGCACGCGCCCGTGTACGCTGGCACTGGATGGGTCGGACGTGACCTACCCCTGTACACCTCTTGCCGTGGCGCATATCCTCAAGGCGCTCGGAGCATTTGAGTCTGCACCAGTCGGTTCCCGGTTGCAAGGCAAAGTAGTCACTGTGATCAACAGGTGAGTCAGAAATATCGCGCGTCAGCTAAACGTATGTCAGATCCGAGACTGTCGGCAAGCCGCTTGCGTGTCTCTTGGCCAATGAGGGAGCACAAGTCTACTCCATCGACATCAATGGCACCCACATGCTCGTGCCCAAAATCAAATTGCCCGCATTGACTCCGGCGAACAGCACCGAGCCGATAGTCGATGCTCAAAAGGGGGATCCGCAGATCGACGTATCTCCCTTCTTCACCACTCACTCGGCCCCTTCCCTGCCCATGGATACATGCCTCCTCTTATCGGACATTGTTATCTCGGCCGTACCCTCGTCTACCTTTAAAATCCCCACGACTAGTCTTCAATTCGGTAGCACCTGTATCAATCTTTCAGAACACAACAACTTTTCAGACAATGTAAAGACACGGGCAAAATGGTTTGTCCCTCGTGTAGGCAGTATCACTCGATTGATGGTTCTTTGTAATGCCCTAGAGTCGGCAGCTTGATTGGCCTTTTTGTAGCGTTTAACTTTGTCTCTCATGACTATATGTCACCGGCTTGAGCACTGCATGGATATCCCAGTTTCCCACGGTCGTTTCTCTAAAACAACTTGTACGAAAAACCCTCCCCTGATCATTGTGAATCTTCTCTAGTACTGCATCACATAACTCGAGATGGCTATCCCAGCGACTCGCATCGCATGCGGCAGCACACGGTCAATACCACTATGGGCAAGGACGTTTCATTCATCCTGTTCCAGCTCGGCGGCCAAGGGCAAATCCGATACACCATCGGCAGCGATTCAGAAAGAGAGAGCAAAGGTGGAAAAGGAAACCAAATTGCCTCTGATGCAGAACTGGAAAGTGTACGATTATAGTGAACCGCCATTCCTGGAGACTGTCAAGATGCTGGAGGTGCAAGAGACTTGGAATTTGGTAGAAAAATTGAGGGAGAATGATGCTTTGTTGCGAGGTGGGCTATAAGGGAGGGATATGAGACTAGACTGATTTCATCAGCCCAAGCTACACCTTTTACTCCTCCCACCAACTCTGTTCGCCTGACTCGCTTCATCGTTCCTGGCGCTCCGAATCACCCATCGAGCCTGAGACAACAGATTGTCGTTCCAGTATCTAGTCTTCCTCTGAACACCTCTGAAGCAAGACATCGCATCAAGTTGTTGGCCGGTAGCAGGTGGAATCCCGGTCGGACAGATGTGGACCCATGCAGTATCCATGCAAACGAAGGCTTCAACGCTGGACCTCAGAATATCGGCAAGGAAGGATGGCTGATCATCTCGTGTGATAAATTCCCTGAACCTCGCATGAACCGCAAGTTTGTAAGCGATACATTAGAGAGGCTGGTGGAGGCGGCGAACGTAAGTGCAAGGGATGAGGGCGACCTTGCTGATGAGCAGGATCCAAACTCGCCACTATCGACCGACATTCCCATCGATACTCGCCATCTCAAGTCTGCACGACGTAGCAAGAAATACGGAGAGAGCAAGATGAGAGCGATAAAGACATTAGAGTCTCTCAAGATGCAGAATGTGGGAGGTGTCAGGGGCTTTCCTGTCGAGTGGTTATCAGATGAGGCGTTGTCAAAGCCAAAGTATAAAAAGGCAATGGAGCAGTAGTTGCCTGGTGTCACCTGTATGTATAGACGGTATGAGGAGCTTGGATTCGGATATTTAATGATAATAAATAAGGTGGTCGGACCGCGAGGCCGAATCCCAACTCGATGTTCTTTTACCTAGTCCTAGTCCTAGACGTCATACAACATTCCCCGCAAGCTTGCTCATACGTTGCATCGGCACTAGCGCACCGTCTTGAGCATACTGTAGCGACGCAAGATGAACTTTACGACCGGCGCCAAAGCGTCCGAGCTGCTTTCGCTCGACCATATCAGGAGTCAATTAATTCGATTAGAGGATACCATCATCTTCTGTAGGTCAAATCTCGCGTGACAGTGCTCATCCTGAGCGCTTATCGAGCGCGCGCAATTCGCTCGCAATGCAAAAATCTATGAAAAAGGGGCATTCAGAGATATCATTGACTTTGATGGCAGTTGGGTGGAATGGTTCCTCTTGGAGACGGAGATCTTTCATGGTGAGCATGGCTCACGATCTGAACTGACCCCTCAGCCAAAGCGAGACGATTCACCAGGTGAGAATGGGCAAATTGGATGCTCGTCCTGACCTTCTAGTCCCGATGAATTCCCCTTTACTCCACTCGAACGACTCCCTCAACCGGTCATTCCCGTCATGACCTTTCCTCGTCTCCTCTACCCTCCTGCGGCATCCAAAGTGCGGGTGAACGATCAGATACTCAGGTTCTACTGTGGGGAGATTGTACCTGGAATCACGTCGGCTGCAGATGATGGCAACTACGGAAGCGCAGCGACACGGGATGTAGAGGTATTGCAAGCACTGTCAAGGCGTATACATTTCGGTGAGTCGGAATGGAAGGCCTGAGCTGAGCACGGCTCCAGGCATGTTTGTGGCCGAGTCAAAGTTTCTCTCTGCACCACACGACTTCATCCCTCATATCCTTTCAACTCCACCTAATGGAGATGCGCTCGCGGGACTCATCACGAAACCAGAAGTCGAGGCCAAGCTCCTCGTCCGGCTGGGGAACAAGGCGAAGATCTACGGGGGAGAGTTTGATGCGGACGGAAAGATCATAGAGACTTCAGGGATGGGCAAGATTGACGTGCAAAAGATCGTGGACATGTACAGAGATCATGTGATACCGTTGACAAAGGTGGTCGAGGTGAGCACATCAAGTATGGGGCATGGCTGATATGCAGGTGGAGTATCTCGTGCATCGTCTGGACGACGTCCCTCAAAGTCAGATCGACGCGTGGATGCAGAGTAGACATTAAGCGTCTGTATGGATAGCTTGAGTGTACTGCTGCCAACCATCTTTGCCATGAAACAGGGCTTTGAGCTGGGCGGGCGGCGTAAGCGAGATCATTATCGCCACCTCACCTTGTCCTCTGTCAGGAATTGAAACTGGCCAGGATACCATCCAGGCACCACGACTTCGCTGATGAGCGCTCCGACGTGTTCTGATTCCCTTTTGCCTTGCTTGATGAGCTCCAGATCTTCATCTGGGATCGCGCTGCACTTCCAGACACCCCCGGGGACCAAAAACCTGAGTGACTTCTCCTTCATCCACGATGGGGCCCATGGGGCCCATGGTGATGGTTTGTATCACTGGAGCGTCGGCGGAGGGATGAATAAGGGTGTAGCGGGATCTACCCGCGTGGAGACAATGAAAGTGCTGCGTGTCAGTGTCAAAGTGCACATGGTCTCACTGGATGAGCGTTCATGTGCAGGGTTCCTTTGGGATTGTCTCCGGTCAAGAGGTAATAGATAGCTGTCGCGTCTAGCTCGTGGTCTTTGCCCTTGGGATTGGGGTCATCAGTCGAGCCTCCTGTGACCTGTGCGGCTGGTCCCCATCCAATCTGCTCCCTTCCCTTGCCGTGGACGAGATCGGATTTGGGCAGGTCATCCGGCCATTGGGGGGAATCCGGGACGTACGAGGCGACTGCGGTGGTCTGGCAAAAGTAACCGCCCTCGGGATGGACTGCGAGGTTGTGGATCCTGATGAGTTCCGAGTTGGTCACGGGGTAAGCGTAAGGTCGCTCGCGAGGCATGGTCAAAGATAGTGGGTCTTATTGAATAATATGATAATCGTAATCACACCGGCCCCCCGTCTATTATGCCCGAAGTATCGGTGCCGAAATGCCAAGCACCCGGCAGCAGACATGTGGAGTAGGACGAACCACGAGTGCTGTTATCTGTTGTTGTTCGATCACACACTCGCAACACCATGGGAGCAGAGTATCAGCCACCACCACGACGTACAGCGCCTGCGCCTGCTGCATCCACCCCCTCGCCAGAGAAGAAATCATGGAAGGACAAGATGAGGGCGGCGGGCAAGACTGCCGTGGATAAAGGTATGGTCATTAGTGACAAGGTCGGTGGGAGGGTCAACGATATCGCGGAGAAGAGGTTGGGAACGGAGAGGTTTTGGCCGACGACAGGGGACTTTCCACAAGAGATGGAAAAGGCAGCGAGGATACTGACGTCGTTCACAGGTGAGTCTTGAAAGTAGAGGGCGATCTGCTGAAAATAGTCGACGGGGTCGTGACCGAGGTGAAGGACGAAAGCAAGCTGGGGAAAAAGGTCAAAATGCTACGAAAGATCCCCGCCAAAGTGTTCAAGGACTGTAAAGGCGTGGCCATCTTCACAGCCATGCGCACGGGTATAGCACCTCTGGGCGGTGCAGGCGGCGCAGGTATAGTCATTGCAAAGCTGGAAGATGGATGTGAGTCAGGGTCGACGACTGCAACTAATGTCAGCTTGGTCTGCCCCGGCCTCCATCACGCCAAACAATCTGTCCACGGGGGTGAGCCAGACTGTGATTGACCTCACTGACGTCTCAAGTTTCTGATCGGTGTCGATGTATACGACTGCGTCCTCATAATTCGAGATCAAAAAGCACTCGATTCGTTCCGTACGCACAAGTTCACTCTTGGCGCGGAGATTGGGGTCGCCGCGGGTCCATATGGAGGTGGAAGAGCTGTCGAGGCGGGGATCGAAAAGGCTCCGGTGTTGAGTTACGTCCGCTCCAAGGGGATGTACGCTGGAGTCGAGTTGGTAGGGCAGGTGTTTGTGGAGCGATTCGATGAGAATGCGAATATGTACCACTGGCCGGGCGTCAAGGCGGGTGATATCGTGAGCGAGCGAGAAAGCCAATGTGGACTGACACTTCAGCTCGCGGGCAAGGTCAAAGTGCCGCAAGAGGCGGGAAATCTGATCATGGCGCTGATGGAAGCGGAGAGTGGGAGAGCACAGCAAGAGACTGGTGCGATGGACGTCATGATCGGCGCCGGCCCGCATGGGGAGGATGTGCCTGTGGATGACGAGGGTGTGGATGTCGACGAGGAGAAGGGGGAGATGGAACATGGTAATCCAGAGGGGAAGCCGCCCGTCCTTCCACCACGCGAGCCGGCCTTGAGCTTGCAGCCTCCGCCACTACATCCGTCTCGAAATCCGACGGGAGAGCTCATGCGACCGCCACTTGGGACGCAGCATTCGTCGGCCTCGCATTATTCTGATATGAACGAGGCGGAGCCCGCGCCGCCACTGGATCAGGTCAGGGAGGTCTCAGCACGGATGGACGGGACACACATTAATGGATTCGATGAGAAGAATGGACATGCCAAGGAGAATGATGTGGGGGCGGTATACCGACAGGAAGGCGAGGCGCCACCGCCCGAGTATGATGAATCTTTAAGATAGACAAACCTGTGACGCGTTTCATCTCATTTCATTCCATGCATCATGTTCTTCAAAAAGGCATTGTATGCTGCTGTCGTGGTGGTGGGGACTTATCCCGTTATACTGACCCTGCTGTGCATACCAACGCTTCAGCGAGAGTGAGTGTAAAAGTTCAGGTCTCGCTGACGCTAGGCTGCTGTTCCTGAACCGGATCAAATTTCCATTCTTTGTGAATTATGATCGACCCGAAGATCTCGGACTGGCTCGTGGGTTGCGGTTCGGAGCCAAGCTGAAGAGAACAGCTTTCAAGGTGCGGAATTTATACCTAAGCACGAGCGATGGAGAAAAGCTCGGCGCATGGCATGTCTTGTGAGGGAAGTGGCCAAGTGTAGCGAGCTGATGGGCAGACCTCGGACGGTGTATCGGCAGAGACACGTAGGGTTTGACCAAGCCTTTTCACAGAGGCCGACTATCATCTACCTCCATGGGAACGTGAGGCGAAGGTCAGAAGGCAAGGAGCTGAGCTCAGGCCGGTACTCGCGCTACAGGCTACAGAGTACGGACATACAGCGCCATGTCGAGTGTACTGGACTGGTGGGTCGTGTCACGAGATTTTATTTTTTTTTGCGCTCACCTTTCCAGCAACGTCCTGGCCATTGATTATCGAGGATTTGCCGATTCAACAGGGACTCCCTCTGAGGTAGGACTTGTCAGGGATGCTCAAGCGGCGTGGGACTATGTCATCGAAAGGTCAAACAACCGAGCCGATATCATCCTTGTCGGGCACAGTCTCGGAACAGGAGTCGTTTCGGGTCTGGCGGGCAAGCTGGCATCAGAGGGTGAGGGATGATGTCGACTAGACTGACCAGCAGGTATTTCGCCCAAGGCCATTGTGTTAATCGCTCCTTTTGCATCGGTCCGAGAACTCCTCAGATTGTAGGACGAGACCTGGGGTGCTAGTCTGACGCTCAGATATAGGTTGTTCTTCGTACTGCCATTATTGAGTCCGCTCAAAGCATTTCCAAAAGCGCAGGGTGGGTGGTATGATGACTCCGCTCACAGCTTAGACTATCTCCTGAACTTCTTCGCGTACCCCTTCGATTCCAGGACGGCGCTTCAGGTGAGCAATCACGGAAACTATTTGACACCCAGAACGTTTCGTGTCCGGTCCTCATCGTCAACGCAAAGAACGACCTGTCCATCCCGCCGATCCACTCGCAAATCTTGTTCAACGAGCTGAATCGGCGGAATGAGACTGTGCAACGGAAAGGCGACGACTGGGGCACCATCTCCACATTTGGCGACGTGGTTTGGTTTGAGGGTCAGCATGGGGGTCACAATCGCATAGGCGTGACAGAAGGGACAATTGATCTCATTGCGGACATTGCAGGGCTGTGATGCATGCACATGTGCGCGGCTGCGGCGCCGATAAGGCGAGCCGGTCTCTGCGGCGCTGAGTGCCATCGTGGCCTGGGTGGTATGTCAAGTGTGAGCAAAATAATGACTAGAACTCTGTCATGCCAGCTTGACTCGGGGCGATCGACTGCGCATCATCGTCGCCCGCCTTGTACCCAAAAGCGTACATGGATGCCGTTGGGGCATCGCTCGGCGCGATGCTGCCAAAGCTCAGCCGTCGCCTCGCCTTGCTATCGGTATTTGCCTCGTGGGGTAGTCGGTCAAACTGACTGAAGGCGATACTGGGCGCTGGGCCACCGGCGACCGATGCGGTCTCGCCAGGTTGCTGCGAGATGACCGATGAGGCGTACCCAGTGTAGTTTTTGCCTTTCGGCATGGGGAACGAGGTGACCGCTTGGGAGATGACCGATTGGGCGTCAGGCGGGACATGCCCGTGAAGGTCGTGTGTCCTGTAGTACGCGTCAAACCGACTAGGCGCGGGGCCAGGAACTCGGCCCTTGTCCATGTACTCGGAGGACAATGTCGACTCGTGTCGCTTGAAGGGATCGAGCGCAGAGGCGAGGGACTTTTTGGGTCGAGAGAATTGGATCATGCTCGGTTGAAGATTGGTCAGGGGTCCCTCGACGAACGTGCCCTTTTCTTTGAAATGGGTCAAGAGGTAAAGCCAGAGTGGGTGCTGAGGTCAGCGGGGAAGGACCTAGAACTCACCTTGCTCAGGACTTTTGGATTGCCAAGGATGACCACGCCGTATTTAGCCCGGGTCAGGGCCACGTTGAGTCGCCGCGGGTCGTTCAAGAAGCCGATTCCCTGATGCTCGTTGCTTCGAACACAACTGAGAATGATGTAGTCTTTTTCACGACCTTGGAAAGCGTCGACACTGGCCACTTCGACCTCTTTGTAGAGGTCCTTTTTGAGCGCCCCATGCAGCTGCATGTAGGTTGCAATGTAGCTTCGCTGGCCTTCATAGGGAGTGATGACACCGATTTGGGAGGGCAAGACACCTGATTTGAAAAACTTAGTCACCATCTTTTCCACATTGGAGGCTTCGGTTCGATTGAGAAACGATGTTCCGCTGGAGGATATTTCCTCCGTGCCAAGGTTCTGATGGAAAAACATGGGCGTATCGGCAACTGGCCAAGGGAAGTCGACGTTTTTGCGCAGCCGTTCCGGTGCCGTCACACCGTTTTGCAATGTACCCTCATAGAACATGTTGGAGGGGAATTCGGACAAGCACGGGTGCATTCGATACTGCACTTGGAGTCGGATTGGACGATTGCCGAGGACTACCAAGCGTTCAAACAGGGATTGGGAGAGGCCGGCTTTGGAGGCTTTCTTGTTCATGATGACGGGACCAAGTTGTTGGTGGTCGCCGACAAGGACTGCTTGTTTGCATCCCATAACGAGGGGGATCATGCATTCTGGAGTCAGCGGTATGCCAGATAGAAGTTACTCACCGGGCTCGGCGGCTTGTGTCGCCTCGTCCATGAGGACCGTGCGGAATTTGAACTTGGCGAGGCGCGGATCGCCTGCACCAGTGCAGGTACAGCAAATGACATCCGCAGCGTTCAGAATGTCCTTTTCACATGCGCGAACGAGCGACTTGTATTTGCGTTCATCGCTCTGACTCAATTCACCCTGATCATTCCGCAGCTGGATGAGCTTTTGCAGCTCAGGGTGTGTGTCGGCATTGGCGACTTGGGTGTGGAGGGAGAGAAAGGCGACGGACGAGTCGAGGGCTTCGCGGGACTTTGCAGCTATACGCACGACCTTGAGACCGGTTTGGTGGATCTTTTCACAGAGATGATCCACCGCGACGTTGGAAGGGGCGCAGACGAGGACCTGGCCAGGGTTCATTTTTGCGAGATGGTAGACAATGGACGCAGAGGTGACCGTTTTGCCTGTGCCCGGGGGACCTTGGATCAAGCTGAGGGGTTTTTGCAGGACTGCCTTGACGGCTGCCATTTGGGAGTGATTGAGTTCGGGGAGGTTGGGCGCAGAGAAACGTTTTGGCATTTGGGTGCGCAGGACTTGGGGTTCGAGCTCGTGCCCGAGGAGTTTGTGGTACTGACGTTAGAATGGCACAGCTGTGACTCACGATGTATCCGCTGACACTCTTTTCATCCACGGCGAATGTCTTGAGGGCCGCTTGCATCCGGTCAAAGCTGGTCGCTTTCCAGACAAAGTCGACGGAGAAGCCGTGCGTACAGTCCGTGGGGACGCCGTCATTGCGACGCAGCTCGAGACACACCTCGTCGGAGATGTCTATGGTGAGCGGGGGAGAGGATCGTGCTCACTGTTGGGTATTTTGATGACACTCCCGACGGCTTCCCATACGGTCTCCTGTCCACCTCTGAGCGCTTGCAAGCCCTTCATGCCCGCGAGACCGGTCGTCGCGCCCACAAACTTGAGACGGAGTTCATCTCCGACAGCAAGCCTGACCTCGCCACTTTCAAGTTTTGGCATGCTGAACCATGCCAGGCGTTTTTGATTCAGTCCCATGTCCCAACGGACGGTGATATCGTTTTCGGTCTGAGATTCTTTCATCTTTTTGTCGTAATCGGCCTCGATCTTGACAAGTGGACCAAAGATGTTTTGATATTGATATGCGTCCTCGTATCTAGGAGGTCAGTGAAGGATGGAGTGGGGACCCACCTCATGAGGATCGGCTGCATCTCTTCCTCTCCAACCTGGGCCTCAGCATCTTCTAATCTCGCTTGGGGGTTGTCCCTCCAAAGGTCCTCGAGCATGGCGATCTGGGCCATGGAAATTTGTCTCGCTCGTAGTTGTTCCACTTCAGAAGGGACCTTGACTAGCCAGGAGAGGAATGAACGGTCGTCGATGATAGCTGACCACTGGGAAGTGTCCCAGTTGATGTCTTTGGCATTGGTCAAGGCGGCGCAAGGTTGGCTGGGATTAGCGGGGCGAGAAGGCAGGGAGGCTCACCGGCAGAGGAGAACGACGACGGTGTCGCTCTTCGCGGGAATGAACCCAAGCATGAAGACGTTCTTGCTCCCACAGTTGTAGCCTGGGATTTAGCGAGGTACAAGGGAGAGCTCACATTCGGGTATGGTTTCTCCAAGGGCACTCTCTTTGTGTAGGATGACCTCTTTGTGCTTTGCTTTGACCAGGTGATTGACAATATGAGAAGCCGAAGTGTTTCCACGCGAGTTGCAAAACCACTTGCTGCAGTGAAGACACTGCGCGTCAGCGGGGAAGTAGGGCTGCTCACCTTGACCACGCTTTGAGGGTTATGTATACCGCAGTAGCTAAATATCAGAGAGGCGTACTGACTGGTGGCCCACCTGCAAGCATGTTCTATATTATAGCCTAGCTCCTCTTCGTCCTCCTCGAGGTGGCCATGCCCGTTTACATGGCTCGTCGAGTCGAGCGTGAGATCATCCACCATGCTTTGAAGGTCAGCAGGTACGTCGTGATGGGCCTGGGAGGTCGGCATGGCGGACCAGACGGAAGTGACCTCATCCCGATCGAACGTGTACTGGCGGGACTTAGCGATGAAGAACTCAGCACTTACGTTGGAGGCTCCGTCAAAGTCTTGAAAGTCCATCGTAAGACCAAGACAGTAGACAAGGTGAGTGAGATCAAGAGGCAATGTTGAAATCACGATCGCCAAATTACTGGAACACAATTCCGCCGCCCGGCAATAATGCATGCTATTATTCTATCAATGATATGGCTACACTCCCTAGCATCTTGCGGATATCCTGGTAGTCTACATCGTGCGCTGGGTATCAGCTCGGTGATATGTATGCCACTCACAATCCTCGACCTCTCCCCATCTTTCAATCTGACTGCGTACTTCAACATGACTCGCATCGGAGGCTTGGTCAGCCGTGAGGCGACCAGAGCACAAGGCGAGGCCAATGATGAAGGATTTGGAGGCGTAGGTGGCTCGTTCAAAGGCTGTATCATAAGCAAACATCTGCATTTGAACACTCACCGGCAAGTTGCCAATGATCCATCTTATCGATCTCCTGTCGAAGCCGCTCCAGGACTGGTGGAGACTGCTTGGCGGGGGAGAACCCCGTGGCGAGAGACAGCTCGATGCCAAAGGATTCAGTGACCCATTGGAGTAACGGGTCCCAGTGATGTCTCTGCATCGATTCTAGAGTCGGTGCACCAGTCCCATCGTCGTGATACCTGCCGTCAGCGGGGACACGAGTGTGAGACGTACAATATGGTGTCGGTCTCCAAGTACTGCATGAGTTTGTCGACGACTTTGCATCGGGATGCAGGGTCATTGAATCCGTCAATGGCACGAAAGGCGAGGGATGTCTGGGGTCAGCGGGGCTGAACGTCATTCCTTACGAGGGCGAGGGAGGTTGGCTTCATTGCTTCTGCTTGATTGTCCCATTCTGCCGCGATGAGAGTCGCAAAAAGACGTTTTCCTTTCGGCAGGACCAGTATCTTGCCTGATGGCGCTTTGAGGTCTCGGTGATCTAATTTTATGCGAAAAGTCCCTGGCGATCAGCGATAAAAGATATGAAGCTCACCGTCTGCTTCCTCGGCGACATGGGCAGACTTCCAGAACCGGCGAAGGGTGATCTCTGCGCCTGAATGTAAGCCCGGACGGTTGATGAAACTTACGATTGCTTTGGGAGATGATTGGACCAGATTGTACTTCTGCGAATCGGGGGCGGGTGGAGATATATGAGCGGAGGAGTAGGCGAGAGGGACAGGATTGGCAGATCGGGGCAGGCTGGGGCCTGGTGGCTCTGACGAGTCTGGCGAGTCTGAGAGATTTCATCGTGTATGGTTGAAAGTGTAGGAGAAAATTCGAATTCGTGTCCGTCATCTCGGAGACGGGCGATGAGACAAGCCGGAATATGCATAGGGCTTTGTTAGACAACAGTGGACGTAGTGTCTCGACAAGAGATGTCCCCAGAAGATGCGCAGTCCTAATGGTCACGATGATAATGCAACCGCTCCTCGCCCCCGAAAGTCGTCTACATATACTTTGCCCTGAGACCCTTGTACTGCGACATTATCACCTGCCAGGTCAGCTATGCGCATCTCGTAAAACCCACCTCATTGGCTACCAGAGTGACGACGGTGTGCGGCCATATCCGTGCTGCAGGTCAGTACTATTCCGAGACAGGCTCACCAAAATGTGCAGTGGTGCCTGTCGTCAGCGGGACTCGCACATTGACTCACCCTTGTACCACCCCCTTATTCCCTCAGTCTTCAGCGTCTTCCACAAACAGTCTATCGGATTCGAGTAGAGAGCGCCACGGATTGCGCCAGTGACTGGATCCTTGACGGTGTTTTCTGGCGTTCAGTGTTCAGGACAGAGGTCATTCTCACGATTATACATTCGGGTCAGCACTGTGTCGGCCGGCTGCATGGCAAGGAGAACACAAAGGCCAGAGACAGCCGAGGCGACAAAGTACGTGCCGTACGAGTTGTCCTTCCATCCGTTCTGGACCAAGAGGGTTTTGCCAAAATTATACGAGGGAAGTTGGACCGCCGAACCCTGGTGTAAGCTCAAATCCCAGCACACACTTACGCAGGCCGTTCGTAAGATGGCAGTGTTTACGCCTCGCCATAAGCCCTTGAGTCCTCCTTCACGGTAGATGCTGGATAAGGCGTGCCGAGAGTTACGGTAGTAGTGCTGGGCACCGACAGGGAGGGCAGGAGAGTAGGCCTGGAGTCGAGCCTTGACGAGGAATAAGGGGGATCCGAGAGCGGCTGGGTGTTGGATATGAGTGCTGCGCACGATTCACTCACCTCCTATGCACCCTGTCAACGCTCCAGCAGTCAGCGCTGTGCCCATATTGACGACGGTGGGGTCTATGCCGACGACACGGTTGAGTGTGCGTCGAATAGGGTCGTAAAAGCCTAGTCTCGAGCCGTTGAGGAGGATCTGAATTAGCGGGATACGACAGACCGCTCACTTGATAGCCATAAGCTGGGAAAAGACCCCGTTGTAGCCCCTTGATCCCCTCATTACGCCAGGTCTTTTGAAAGACGTCGAGGACGTTTTTGTATACTTTAGGGACATTGGAATCGGCTTTTTGCAGCTCGCCTTGGAGTTGAAGACGAGTCTTCATGACCTCGGGCGTGTTGGCTGGCGTCAGAGAAGGAATTTAGGGGGGGGAACCCACACACTGTGACGGCGGCGCATCCTGCAAGGCCTCCACACATGAATGACTCCCATAATGAGAGGGACATGGTGTGGTGTGTAAATTCGGCTAACGCGATGCATCGGTGAAACGGTCATCATTTTCTATGGAGTCAAAAATCTATAGTAAATCTTTCTACTGCTCGCCAGTCCGCTCAATGGGCTGAATGTCAAGGTCCGAAGGGTCGGTAGGAACACTGTGGTCAGCAAGGTACATGTACAAGCTCACGAGAGGATTCGCAGGGTGTTGGTCTAGGGTCAGCAACGAATGCAAGGGAGCTTACATGTCCGAGACCTCCCTTCCAGCCTTGCACTGCCATGACTGTTGCCTCCGGCGCGACCACACGAAGTCCGAGCGCGTGTTTGAGACCGAATCTAGGCGTCAGCGTGATTCGCAACGAGTCTCACCTGATCCTATTGTCGACGTCTGTCTGCCACTTGTCGTCAGGGATGCCTCGGGGCTCGGGGTACCAGACGGGGTAAACGCCTCGGGAGAGGTGCAGCTGTCGAGCAGTGCGATCGTTACGGGTCACTGTGGGTAAGTGGAGCTCGAGGCGCACGTACTCACCGCAGATAATGGGACACGCGGGTCGGTACTTTGACAAGAGTCGAGCGGATCCACCGCTGGTGGACAGCACGATGATGGCGCCGGCATTTTGCTCGTGAGACGCGGCGACGGCAGACATGGCGAGCGTCTCGGCGGTCTCAGTGGGTCGAGGGGCGAGGTCACGAAGCTGGTCGAACAGGGGAGGATAGCAGATGGCCGACTCGGCGAGGTATGCGGTCTCTGCCATCATGGTGACGGCCTCAATGGGATACTTGCCCTTGGCAGTCTCGCCCGAAAGCATGACACAGTCTGCGCCGTCGAGTACGGCGTTGGCGACGTCGGAGACCTCGGCACGGGTGGGTCGAGGGTTGTACTGTAATCAGCGGAGTTCGAGCTGGGGACATACGGTCATGGACTGGGGTCAGCGGAGAAGACATTGTGTGCTCACCTCGAGCATTTGGGTCGCACAGATGACGGGCTTGCCGGCGACGTTGCATTTCGCAATCATCATTTTCTGCGCCATGAACACTTGGCTAGCGGGAATCTCGATACCGAGATCGCCTCGTGCCACCATGACGCCGTCGGTTTCTTTGAGGATCTCATCAAAGTTTTGGACTCCCTGTTCGTTTTCAATTTTGACAATAATTTTGATCGAGGCGCCTTGTGGGCCGAGGACTTTGCGAATCTCCCGGACATCGTTGCCCGAACGGATGAAGGAGGCGAAAATCATGTCGACGCCGTTCTTGACACCAAAGGCGAGGTCGGCTTTGTCCTTTTCGGACAGGGCAGGGAGGTCGACAGCGGTTTTGGGCAAGTTGACACCTTTTCGGGAGGAGAGAGTGCCGGCGTTGAGCGATTTGACCTTGAGCTTGTCGCCTTCGATCGAGACGACCTGGAGGGAGAGGATACCTGAGGTTAGCGGAGCGGAGACGAGGGCTCACCATCGTCGACAAAGATGAGCTTGCCGGGTGCGGTGACCTTGGGGAGATTGGCATAATCCATAAAGATGCATTCCGCAGTGCCAGATTCGGCATGGGATTTGTCAGTGGTGACGTAGAACTCATGACCGGCGGGAATGGGCACGTCTTGGTCGTCCTTCATCAGTCCCGTTCGGATCTCCGGTCCCTTGGTGTCAAGAGCAATGGCAACGGGTCGGACGCCAAACTTTTTGGCTGCCTCTCGAGAGTTGTCAATGACAGACTGGTGGTACTCGTAGGATCCGTGCGAGAAGTTCATTCGCACTGGGGTGAGCGACGAACGCAAAGGCTGGCTCACCAATGTTGAGACCCGCGTGCATGAGCTTTTCAAGCATTTCGACGCTGTTGGTCTTGGGTCCAATGGTACCGATGATAGAGGTCTGATGAGTGCTAGGCGCGGTGGGGGGCTCACCTTGCGGAGATACTTTTGCTCTGGACTAAAATCGTTGAAACCAGTGGTCAAGCCGGAGAGCCATGCGAGTTGGCCCCCGGGGGTGCTTCGGGTGGTGGTCATGGTTAGTGGGCGTCGAGGGGTGGCAGTCGAGGGGGTTTAAGAAGTTGGTGATTAGCTGAGTGTCGACCAAGAACACCGACGCAACATTTAAGCCTTGGGGATGTTGGAATTCATTACGTACAAAGCCACGTGCGAAAGACCATCGTGAAACGTAAGCTCTAACCAAAAAGTTGAACGTCGCTTCGAGTCGAACGTTTCGAGCTAAGGTCGAACCATCTTGAACTTGCTTTGCACTCGTTGCGCTCGTGCTCGCTCGTATAAGATGAGCTGGTCACCATCTTCTTGGAGGCAGAAACCTATCGCGCAGGTAGGCGACAAAGCACAACTGCACTAACCCCAGGATGTGGTCTACGAAGATAAGGCAAAGCTGGACAAGATCTTGAACAAGTTGCGCAAACTGCCCCCCCTGGTTTCCCCAACAGAGGTGGGTCTTTGTCGAGGATCGGCTGACAATAGATTGACCGGTTGAGGAATCAACTCGCCGATGTCGCCGCGGGCAAGGCGTTCCTGCTTCAAGGAGGAGACTGTGCCGAGCTGTTTGATGATTGCTCACAGGTGGGCAACAAAGCTAGACATAGCTAATGTCAAGTATCCTATCGAGCACAAGCTATCCTTGTGGGTGTATGATGACTTGCAGCGCTGATCGCAGGATCCTTCTCATGTCATTGATCATCCTCCATGGATCACGTCTACCAGTGGTCAGGATCATGCGAATCGCAGGCCAGTATGCCAAACCGCGGAGTAAACCCACCGAGATGATCGATGGCGAAGAAGTGCTCAGTTTCAGAGGGGACAATGTGAACGGGTACGAGCCGACGGACAGGAATCCGGATCCAGAGAGATTACTCGGGGCGTACTTTCACTCGACCGCGACTTTGAACTATATCCGGACATTGTTGCTCTCTGGGTTTGCGAATCTGCACAAACCGCTCGACTGGTCATTCTCCCATGTCCGCTCGCCAGAGCTACAAAAAGCGTTCTCGGGAGTGATAGAGAGCTTGCAGGACAGTCTTGACTTTATGCGCGTGGCTACGGGTGGGGACGGTGGGACAGCGAGAGGGGGTACTGAAACCGTGGACCTGTACACGAGGTGAGGCAGGGAGGGACGGGCATCGCTGATGACAGTCACGAGGCGTTGTTACTGGAGTATGAGGAGGCACTGACTCGGGAATTTGATGGGCGACCAACTCCGCGACCGACCAGTGGGACCGCATCGCCGGTGAGGCCGACCAAGATGGTATCGACCCCGTCAATGGCCTCCTTCCCTGGGAAGCGGTCATTCTACAACACGTCGAGTCATTTCATATGGATTGGGGATCGTACGCGACAGCTGGATGGGGCGCATGTGGAGTATTTCAGGGGGATCGCGAATCCAATGTGAGTGTGTCATTTGATCGAGCTCATGTCAGTGGAATCAAGGTTGGACCAACGATGCAGCCGGATGAGCTTGTCCGGGTTCTTGACGTTGTGGATCCGGACAGGATACCGGGAAAAGTTACGCTGATCGGACGGTATGGGGCGGATAAGGTGGATCAGCATTTGCCAGGGCATATCGATGCGGTCAAGACGACAGATCATGTGGTGGTCTGGCAGTGTGATGCAATGGTGAGCGAAATGTGAGAGATGGGGCTAATCCGCAGCACGGAAAGTGAGGTTAGCCCGGGACCCTGCTGACGACAGCACGAAATCTTCCATGACAGACCCCACGCTTAAGACGAGATACTTTGCAGATGTGATTCAGGAGATCACCAAGTCGATGGAAATACACAAGGCCAAGGGAACGATTCTGGGCGGAGTGCATTTGGAGCTAACGGGAGAGGTCAATGAGGATGGGTTCTCGGTCGTGAGTGAAGGAAACGCGATCGAGCTCAATCCTAGACCGAGTGCATCGGGGGATCCATGGAACTCGCCGACAAGGATCTATCGTTCAACTATCGCTCCCACTGTGATCCTCGGCTCAACTATGAGCAGTCGCTGGACGTTGCTTTTTTGATCTCGGATCATTTGAAAGCGAAACGGCGTGGCGAGGCGCCGAGAGATATCCTCTTGGCGAATCTGCGTGGTCGTAGATTGTGATGCATCATGTGAGGAGACGAGCTGCTTCAACAATGATTTCGTGTTCCACCTGAGGTCAGCGGGGGAACGACCCGGGCTCACTTTGTGGATGCGGGTCTCCAAGTCCTCGAGGGAGTCACCGGGTCCGATGTCTACCTGGCGCACGACCAAAGGCTCCCCCCGGTCGACCTCTTTGATGACTCTATGGACCATGACCCCAGTATGATGTATGTCTCCTCGCTTGAAGGCTTCGTAAGCTCTTTCTATCGCCTGTGCTCCGTCGAAAGCTCCGGGCAGAGCAGGATGAAGGTTGATGCAGGGAACATTAACAATGTCGAGGAACCGGTCGGACAAGATGTGCATCCAACCAGCGAGCACGACAAGGTCGGGTTTGCTCTCGACGACTAGTCTGGCAACTTCGGCGTCATAATCTTCCCTTGTTGCTCCAGGATGACGGTTGAGATAGGTCTTGAGAGCGCAAACGGATGTGGGGATGGATTGATTTTGGGCTCGAGTCAGACCATAGGCGTTGGACCGCGAGGAGAGGACAAAGGTGACTTGGGCATTGGGCAGACGAGGGGTACCTGAGGCGTCGAGGAGGGCTTGGAGATTCGAGCCTAATGTGGACGAAGGACGTGAGCAAAGGGAACATAGGCCAGTGTACACAGCGAGCATGGCGAGTGCGAGGCGGACCTCAGAAGACTTCGCGAGCCCCAAATGGAGCGTGCAAGCGTAGCTAGCCTCGGGCGGCACAAGAATCTCTTCTGAGGCTTCTCTTCTACCCAAGCTTGCCCCGCTCGCTCAACTCACCTCCCCCTGATATCAGTACGGTGATTCGGTGCATGGTAGGACGCCAAAAAATTGTGCAGACATTTTGTAATTCCGAAATGCTATTTGCCCTTTTTCACTCCACACACCTCACCATGGGCAGGTCGAAACCGAGGACGAACAAACGACCACCACCCAAAGTCTCCAAGATCGAACCAGAGATCCCTCGGGCACCCGAAGCTATCGACAGACCCACCGCTAAGATTGAGACATCTCTGGATAGGCTCACCTTTGCGCTGCAAAACTTTTCGACATCGGCCTTGGGCCGCTTGGACTCGTTGCCGCAGCTGACGCAGGCTCAGTTGACAGCTATCGCAGGGGCGGCAGCGGGTATCACAGATTCGAATTGGCTCAATGGATCGACAGATCTCTCTTCGGCCCTGTACAAGAATGAGAATGTGGATTTGCCCGCGAGTCTGGCGGCGTTGTTCGAAGCCAAGTTGACTCTGGATCGGGAGAAGGCAAAGCTACTCAAGATGCAAAAGGAGCTCAAGGGGTATCGAGATGGCGTCGCAGCAGCGACGGCGGGTGGGAAAGGGAAAGAGGTCGCAGACGATCTGGGAGAGTGTACTTGCGGTCGACAGTGAGTGAGGGATGAAGGGCATGCTGATGACTCAGACACGAGGATCTGGGGGATGACTACGAGGAGGAGTATGAGGAGGAGTACGAGGAGTATGATTGTGAGGATTGCGATTGTGATTGTCATTACGAAGGGGAGGACGAGGGGGAAGAACACCATCATGGGTGCGAGCATGAGCATCACCACGAACATGAGCATCACCATCACGAGCATCACCACCATCAAGAGCACCCCAGCACCCCCCTCACTGTACCCAATCCATACCTCCCACACCACACTGATACGGCGAACATGACCTACCAACAAGCGTTGGAAGCGTATAGAGACGAGAGAGATCAAGCTGCTCGTGGATTGGATGAAATCGGCGGCATGTTACGGAAGGCTGGATGGACGGGCAACGATCGGAAGAGTGACGGCATCAAGAGACCGCTCGCGGAGGATCCAGAGAGATTGGTGAGTCGTTCATATTACGGAGCTGACATCAGGACGAGCACGTCCGAGACTTGTTCAATTGGATCAAAGCGGTAGTTTGGACGATCGAGCAGGCAGCAATAGCGGCGGGGAGGAAGGGCCTGTTGAATCAAGCGTCGGCCCCTCAGTGAATGTAGCACTTACTCATCTGCGGACTTGGCTAAGCTGGATCCCGCTACGTCTGTGACTCTCGACTTGCTGGGTTGTTCCTAAGTTTCGCTAATGTTTTCTGAGGTGATCTGCTGAAGAGATCTCGCTTGAACGCAGTTGTGTCTCGGCACTGGCTGATTGACTTGGAGTACTCAGCGAATACCGTCGTGAAATGCTGATTTTGCTCGCTTGAGTCCTTTGACAACAATGTCTGCGCCTTCCGGTGTGCAGAACAGCCACTGTGTGGGATGACTGGGCTTGCGCAGCATACATGAACACATGTACCCTGTGTGTTCAATCCAGAGCAGGCGCAATAACGCCGTAACCGTCATTCACACGAAGAAAGGTCTCCAGATAAGAGCTACAATGTAATAAGACCCATCCCTTTCGCCTGACCTCAGTCCTCAGGATTCTGGTATGATTGATGCTCCACATCGAGACGAACAAAATGGAGACAGCGATAGGGACCGCGTAGTCGAAGTCTGCACCGCAGCACATGCGGTCTGTGCGGGACAAGGAACCCACATCATTGGGCAAGACCATCGCAGATGCGTATCAGAATACCTACATGGGAGACACGCACTATCATCGTCTTGCTCGATTCTGCTAACCTCAAGTCTCTGGCAACCGACATGGTACCATGCTCGGCCCGGATGTTCCCAGTGTAGCAAAATCGAAACGACCACGATCCGGTCCGATTTGTAGCTTGTCACCCCACAGAGATGGCATGAGATGTCACCTACCGATCCTCTAACTCCTGAATTTTGTAGCATATACACATACATGCCCAGCTATGCGGCGACCTCTGATGGCTCAGGGACGGCATCTGGCAAAGCTCTGGCCGTTCCATTTGGCCTGCCGCCCCGTCCCCTCCCTCGCCCACCTCTCTCCCCTCTCTCACCTCTCTCACCCCTCTCCCTCTCCCCGGACGCATTCTGCATCGCATACTGCACTGCCTGAGACCTGAATGCCAGTCCCCTCGTCGTTTCAATCAACGTCGCAGTCGGTGTCGTATTCTGTCTCGAGATGTGCAGCATATTCGACTTGAGATCAATCTTTGCTTCCACGCCCATTCTTGAATCCCTGATCAAGTTGACGATCCATCGCTCGCCCTCCTCAGTCGACATGTTGAGCGTACGCGATAGTTGACTGGCATAAGCAAAGTCCCCCCTTCCATCAACTCACTCAATGTCAATCTTCTGATGTATTCTGCAAAACGCCTCGGACACCAACCACCTGGCATTCTCTACGAAATCGTCTGCAAACCCAGAGAGGAAGAAGTCTTCTCTCACGACACTCTCGGCCACCGTCAGTCGCTCTTGCGCCTTGTCAAAGTCGAAATCGGTGAACAAGTCCTTCAAAAAGCCGGTGACCGGGTCCGAGTACTGATACTCCTCCAACTGAATGATCCGGGTGAGATCCTTGATGTGATCCCTGGCCCTGCCGACCTTTGGCGCGCGACGGGAGATGACAGCTGCAGCGACGAGATATCGCAAGAGATGGGGACACGATGTCTGAATTGTGTTGAGGTATGCTGGCGCCAGGAACATCTCGAGCAAGCCCTGGCACCCTTGTGCTTGGTTGAAGAACACAAACAAAGACCAATGGAGCAGCCACGTCCGAGCTTGTAATTGAGCCAATGGTTTCGCCATACTTGTACCGTGGGGGTTATCGATCGCATCACGGAGGTCCTTGACGTCGGTGAGGGCAGACTCCCATTCTCCGCTGAGAATATTGGACGCTAACTTTCCCCAGTGAGCCGAAATGTTGAGCTCGAAGGAAGGAGAAAAGAGCAGGAAGTGGTACAAAAAGTTGGCCGCCTGAGCATACGCTCCCAGCGTGTATTGGTACTGTCCAAAATGATACAACGCATTGATTTGATCGATATTAATCTGGAATGTCAGCCTACAACCCACACGTCGACCTACGTTGTATTCCGACCGGAGCATTTCCAAATTCTTCTCCCTGTCAACTCCACTCCTCAACTTTGCCACCGCCTCGGGATCCGCAATCACATTCATGACTGGCTGGGCCTTCTCCTGCAGATCAGTGTACTTGGCCGTCGCCTCATCCCTCAACCGTTGAAAGTCTAGCATAAGCAGAGCCCAGCGCTTCATTCTCACCCGTAGGTTCGGCATCCGGCAGCTGCTCATGCAGCCCCTGCACATAGTCCACCATGTTGGTCGCTTTCCCGAGGTCATATCTGGCGTGAGACGTGCAAACTATTGTTCACTCACTGAGCTTTGGCAATCTGCCCCGCGGGAAACACGTCAATGTCGGCGAGGTGATTCAGTATGACAATGGCCAAATGCCTGTCGAGGTGAGGTATGAGGCGCTAGGATAAGCTTGCGTTCGTGATCCTTTCTCACCTGAGTGATATCATACTCTGCCATGGTGTATGGTGGATGCCCTTGTGAGGTGATGCTACAGTGTCTCGAGGTCGAAATATTGTCAAAATTCGTCGCATGCCTATTGGCCGACCACGTGGGGGTGCCTCGCCTACTTTTGAGGGGTGATGCATATGTGGCTACAGCCAAAGTAATTATTCTCCCCTCCAATTGAATTTTACTCCCGTTATTATTTCCAACTTTGGACCGTCCATCCTTTCAACTGTTATTTCTTCACCTTTTCGAGCATAACATCATGACACTGTTCCAGAGCCTCCGCGGCCCATGGTATCATGCACACTGGCTCCTGAAGCTCATATCTTCGTTATGCGTGCCCATTCGACAGCGATTCGTTGGCCGTCTTTGGTATTCGACCTCCCTCCGATCTTGTTCGAGGTCCTTTCTTCGAACCCAGGTTGACTGACCTGTTCTATCCTGTCCCTTTGGTATTTACACCTGATCTACGGACTCGAACATGCATTGCTCTTCTTCAGCGTCTGATACACTCTTGCCTCGATGCCCATCTCGCTGCCAGCTGGAGCAGTCTCATCGGCGGTGGCCATTCGACGGCGCGGCCGTCCAAAACGACAATTCTTTACTGAAAGCACGTCCGAACCAGTTCTTCAAACCGACTCTGCCGATGCATCTGATCTGGCGTCAGATACCCAAAGCCTAGCTCCTCCACGTACTCGGCTCCCCACACCGATCACGACTACAGTGTCTTCAACAAATTCTCTGTCAGAGTCTGTGTCATTGAAGAGCAAATCAGAGGTGGCATCCCGTTTATGGCCACAGGGGGAAAGACCTGCTTTTGCTCTACGGCATGCCATCCTACGTGCAGCCCTACCCGTACAATTGCCTTCTGATGCCATAGACAAGCTCGACTTTACCTCATCAGCATTTCCGAACATTATTTGGACATCGCAAGCCCTTCGCAAATCTGCTCGAATGCGCCTCCAGCAGAGCACGATGGTCCATTCGCATATTGAGGTGCTTTCGCTCCCTCGATACTTTGACAGTCTGGTAAGCCCGGGCCCTCATTCGAAAGTGATATTGAACGATTTCACAGATGCATGACTACAGTATTGTGGTTCACACAGTCCATAAGGATATCGAAATAGAGTGGATCGATCCACCTGGACTAAAACCAACGGATATTTGAGCTCGACGAATGGCCTTGAGACTTACCTCTGGAAGTAGTCTGAAAGGCCCACTCGATATTGTCTGGCGATCAAAATACAAGTGCAGGGGCTCCTGCAGACTTCATCCCAGAAAATCGGCACATCAAGAAGACAATGAAGGAGAACTGGAAAGGTGGTCTAATGCTGTTCGAAACCGTCGGAAAGTGCCCGCTATTTGTTCGACCGAGGCGGACAAGAGTAGTAGCTCAGACGACTCTTCTGGTGACGCTGAGGATGAGTCTGTCACAAATTCCGGACGTCTGCGGTCGCCCTGCCAGATATTCCTATATGTTAGTCCCGTATGCAGGAGCCATGCTAACTTGCCAGGTTGAAATGACCGTCGGACAGATCCTTCAGAAGGAATGTACGGTATGGACAGCTGCAGATGTAGATCACCCCAATCCTGTTACACCAACTGTCCTCAGCGTTTCGCCCATGATTCGACATCAACTCCATAATATTGCCTCCACTTTCGCCATAACCGCTTCTACAATGCAGATTTGTGAGTTGGCCGCTGAGACTGGCTTCTCATGCTGCTACTGTCAGGGCTACAAATGTGGGAGTCGACCGATCCCCATGCTCGATATGTGGTTGAAAACCTGCCCCATCGAAGAGCCACCCGCCGTACAATTCAGCAGGCTCTGAAGACTGCTCAAGATCGACTTCATCTTGATAAGGATCCTCTGGTGGCCATCCAAATAATGGCCGAGTCCAGTCCAAGCTCGTTTCTACAGTGAGGTTTATCGCTAGTGTTTCGAGTCGCATCTACTGACGCTCGACCTCACAAGGTGTCGCTATCCAGATTTGAGGGGCGACGACCCAACCGCATCAGAAATTGAGAAGTCTGACAGGTTCGAATGCGTTGTCGCACCGCCTCATGCGCTAGACATGGCCATACTACACAGTCTAGAGGGCGGTTTGGGTCTGGATTCCAGCTTCAGACACAAGAACGACGATCGCTGCCCCCTCACTCTGTTAGTGGTGGTAAATGAAGCACACCATATGGAGCCAGGTTGGTGCGAAGACTGATAGCATGCTGAAAGGATAGTGGCAGCCATGGTGTCAAACTATCATGATCACGAGGCTTATCGATGGCTGCTACATGGCTTCCGCAAGGCAATCGAAGCCCGAGCCAAGCTCCTCCTGAAGGGCAAAGTAACGACAACCATACCAGATGAGGAAGGACCGCGGGCCACCCTCCTACGCAATTGCCGAATCATCGTTGAGGACGGAGATGACGCTGAACGAAAGGCTATTCGACAAGAATGGCCCTTTGTTGCGATAAGGATGTGCCAGTTTCATTTTATTCAAGCCGTTCGAGGACGGCTTCAGAGGATTTTTGGCAGAAGGGAGAGAGGTGGCTGGATCTCAGAACAGATTCTCGATGCCATTCGAAGGGCTCAAAGATGTGACTATCGGACCAAATGGCCCGAGTATTATGAGGCTTTAAAGCAGGAAGTCCTTCAACTATGTGGACACGATTTGGAGGCTTGGAATCATCTTCATCAGTATTTCCACCGAGAGTGGTTTTCTGAGAGGTGGCTTATGTCTGTTATCGACATGGGACTTCCTCCTTTCATAGACAACAGGGACGGGCCTTGGTCGACGAACAATTTTGTAGAGGCAGCCTTCCGCGTCTTTGATAAAGTCTTCCTGGCTTGTCGAATCAACAGGCGGTGGGATTCACAACATCTGTTACGAAGACACTGCTGATGCTTCTCGAAGGCTCGACCGTCTGCTCCATATACTTGTTTTTATCTACTTCCCGTATTACGAGAAGGGAGATCGAGGCGATCCTAGGATCAACAGAGATCTAGCTAAGCGGCTACGAACAGCAATGGACATCTGGGAGGATGACGGTATCAAGGAAGTTCCTCATCGTTACCGACAGTCATTCGAATGCGATACGAATCACCGCTTTACTTGGTTCGAGAATCTTCAGCAGCCGACGATGTCTTTGTCACTGGTCGCCAATACTACGTTGGGCATGCCAGAAACGGAAGAAGGCCAGTCTGCGAGTGTGAAGCTTTCGAGTATACTGGCAAGAGCTGCGCCCATCTCCTGGCATTGAAGATTGTCAACAGGTGCGGCACGGTCACCGATCACTTTCGCGACGCAAAGGCAATTGCCTCACGGCTCCCAGATCCTCCCACGAACGAGGAAACGTCCGAACTCAATGAACGACGCGATTTCCAGGCGTATTGGGGTAGTACTGTAGATGCGTTGGTTGGTGATGAGGGCATGGACCTCATGCCTTCCAAGCAAGGAGGTCAGGTCATCGGGTCTCAAACAATGGGACGCCCCGCGAAGCAACAGTCACTGCATCCTTCCCGGCGCAAGCTCGGCAAGAAAACGTTATTACGAAAACAAGAACTGGATCGAATCGGAGATATGCAGCCGATGGGAGTTGTTCGAATAGGAAACCAATGCTATGCGCTCAGCCTGTTCCAGGTCCTGAGTAACATCCGTGTGTGGCTGGAAAGCACAGTTGAGGCTTGGCGCGAAGCAGGAACGGCGCTTTCGTCGTCGCAGGAGCAATATCGTCAATTTGTAGGCGTTATTAATAGGAAGTTGGACGGCAGTGCGTCTAATCAAACTCTTCCCAACCTGACCGCCGCTTTGGCAGGTGAGCAGACCCATTGATTGGCTCTATGATACTGATCAATTCAGAGGAACTGGAGCTCACAGCACCGCAAGGGTATATCCGACCTCAGGACGCCGAGCAAGATCCAACGGAAATTTTTCTAAAGCTCATTGCTGTATGGGACCGCTTCGATAACAGCACCAAATATTCAGACCTGTTCAAAACCACCGTGTTATCATTCGACAGATGCGACGCGTGCTCTGGTCTTCGGCTCGAATGTCGTGAAACTCAGCACTATTCTCTCATGATTTCGTCCGGAAAGTTTTTCGAACCTCAGAACGCTCAATCAAAGGTTGTGGTAGATCACCTGCTGAGCGATCTGAAGATTGAACACAAGCGAACCATGCAGTGTCAAACACCCACATGTGGCATCATCGGTCCTCACAAAGAGGTTTTGCGGCTGGGAAGCACCAGTCAGCTACTAACGGTCCAGCTTCGATGGTCTCACAGCGACATGGAACACGCAGGAGCAGCTGCGCCATTCCACGTAGCTTCAACCAGGATACCTTCTTTCATGGAGCTCACAGAGCGAGGTATGGACAATGCTACACAGATCTCGATGTGGAGGATCAAGGGGATAATCTGTCGAATTGGTCCGCAGGCCGACACCGGCCATTACGTAGCATTGGTGCCCAAAGCCGATCGCTGGTGGCTCATTGACGATCATCGGGTTCGCCTAGCGTCATCTCCCGTTGATGCATGGCGTGAGGGCAGGTATCCATTGATGCTTATATTTGAAAGGATAGAGATTCGAAAAGCACAGTCGACTGGTAGGTTTCAATCCAAGACCAGACTGATCTCTACTCTAGGTTTCAATTTGGCGCAGACTGACACGATCCGAACAGAGCTATCAAGAGCACATCAACCGAAACAACTGCGCTCCTTGGTGACCGTATCAGACCACAATCAAGTCATTCTCAGGGATAACCCATCCATGGAACCGTATCTGATGCGATTACGGGCCTTGAATCTCCAGACCTCTCGAATAGCTCCGATGGTGCCGGTCTGCTCCTCTCAGCTCGCGGAGAAAGTTCGTTCTCTTTGCGCTCCATTACATACCTTCCTGCATGCTCACAATCGCGCGAAATCGGCTGCATTTGCCAAAATTGATCAAGATTTGGGGTGGCAAACAGAGGAGGAGCTTGAGTCGTTCTTCTTCGGAACGACCTTGTGGTCAGCACCTTTCATCAACTTCCTCTGTAATTTGCGAGCGCGGGCGTCGACAACCAGACTTGCAAATGGAGCAGTCTTTGTGCCAGAGCTTTTCTCCTTCGTCGCACGCAAAGGAGGAATCCAGCTCAATTGGCAGCGTCATCAACCTTTTCCCTCTTTGGGAAAAGATTCACGCTGGAGAGACAAGCTCTTGGTCAGTGTTGTCGGTGTCAGTGAGCTGCATTACGCGGCGGTGATAGTCTCTGCGTCCGAGAGGGTGACTTTGATCTACGATTCGATGGGGGGGGGATCTGATCACAGATCAGTCACAAAGGTGAGGGTGTCAACTGGAGATCAACCAACTTAACTGACGCTCGTGAAGGCTTGGCCGCATTTACTCGATTCTCGTCTCGAATGGGAGGCGGGGTCAGGGCTTGTGGAACCAGAATTCAACACTGGATGGCTTTATGGAACGAACACCGCGGTCGGTCAAAGCGGTGGAGATTAGATGCTGATGCCATGTAGGCGAATATGAAGAACCTTCAGTGGCCAACACAAAATGATGTTCACAGCTGTGGGCCGATGGCAGCTGCAGCCGCATTTCTTGCAATGCAAGGCGTACAGCCGACTCGAACTGCTATTGGGACCGCACGATCGTTCGTCTCCTCAAAGGAAAGCTCTCAGCTCAGAATGAGGTTCCTACACTTTGTCTTGTGCGAGGCAGCAAAGGACAGTAACTTCACAAATTTGCTCTCAGAATCCCAGACACAGGACCTGATACAGTTCATTAAGGAGGGCGGAAATCGGCAGGGCCATTCAAATAGCCAGTAGAAGAGATGAATTGGTATCGTCCGAACGCTCATGCATGACATGAGACGACTGAACATGAGATGGAAAGCTTGACTGGACATTTCGAATGGGAATAAGTGTCAAGGATCCTCGTTCGAGTGCGTACGAATCGGCTGAATGCTCGTTCAAACATATACCAATACACCTTCGAATGAGACTAATATATATCCCAAGTCCCTTTGTATGCATTTTTTATCGTGAATGATGTGCATATGTTCAGACCAGCTCACAACAATCCAAAACATTATACAATAGGGTACATACATAGCGCGTCACCTTACAGGGGAATTGATTTGGCTCGCCCTGGCTTCTTGTTCTCCTCTTGAGTGATCGGCTTGAGAATAGGGGGAAGCGGTTTGAGAGCTGAAGGTGAGCCAGCTTGGATGATGGTCGGTGGCAATGGAGGAGGTGGCAGGCCGCCCTGCAGTTGTTGAGCCTGCCGCTTGAGGGAAGTGATCTCAGCCGACTGAGCATCTGAAAGGGCTCGAATGACCTTCAGCTCGTTGTCTACCTCGGCTTGCAGCCTTTCAGACTCCGTAGCTCTGGCGAGAGCATCTTCTACCGCTGCTGCAGCCTCAGAAGAGATGCATTCGGCTGCAGAGGTTTTCAAATCTGCTTGTCGTACACTCTCGAACGCCTTGTCGCGCTGTTTGACAGCAGCTTGACGCTCTCGAACGGCGTTGATATGACGATTTTCCGCTGCGTCGCGTTGTCCCTGACACTGTTCCAACTGCTGTTTGACCTCGACCAGACTCTTCTCCACCATCTCCAGTTCCTTCTGCCTCTCAGCATCTTTGTCCGCGTATGCCACAAGTCTAGACTCAAACCCAGATATCTGCCCCTCTAGCTCCTTCGAACGGGCAACAAGGTTGCTGTTCTCCTTTGCCAGCGGTTCGATGGCCCCCAAAACATCCTCGAACAGTGCGAGCTGCTGATCGCCAGCTGCAATCAGGCCAGACGAGTGTTGTTCCACTTTGGCACTGAACGCTTGTAACTGTGCTTTGAGTGTCACAACGCTTTCTTTCCTCTCCTTGTTCAGCTCTGTCCATTTGGTGACGTGATCCTTGATCAACGGAATCGAAGTTGGTTCTGGAGGAATTGCTGCGGTTTGGGCGTCTTTGTGTTCTGCCAATCGAGATGGTTCGGTCAATCCAGGCTTGAACATGGCTTTGGCGGGATTAATAACATGGAGGCCGGATTTGGATGCGAACGGAGTAGGAGCGGGAGCAGACTGATTGCTGGGAGGTATCACGACACTTTGAGGATTCGAGGGCTGGAAGGATTGAGGCGAGGAGCTGCGTTTCTTCATCTGTTCCAGAAAGGCTCTAGCGCGGTCACCAGTCTTAGCAGGCCGAACGTCATTCGAAGCAGATCTACTAGACGAATCCAGTGGAGGAGACTTTTGGAGATTGTGAGCGGATGCGGGGAGGGGTGAAGGTGTGGGGGGGTCTTGAGGAGATTCGGAGGCTTTGGTGGAGACAAGATTGTCAAACATTGGGAAATCGACATCTACCCGTGCTGTCGAAGTCGTACCGAGCATGCTGAGTCGTTCGTCCCCTCTCATTCGACGATTGGGTGCCGACTCGTTTGACGTTCGTGGAGCCTTCACAGGTTGAGGATCCGAATGAGGGGCGGAAGATGGCCTTTTCGTGCGAACGGTAGAAGGGCTTGAAAGAGCAGCTTGTGGCGCTTCGAGACTTGGACTTGCTTGCTCCAGATCCAATTGATCATCGTCATCCAGCTCGTCTTCTCCTTCGGATGGTGGGACAGAATGGACCCTTCGAACGAAGCAGCCATCCATGTTGTCCGAGATCGACTCACTTTCATCAATAGACACTCGAACGGGCGCCGAATTCAATGAGCAGGTCGAAGAAGTGCTGGTATAACACTGCCAGCAGGCGAAATGACACACTGCTTCACAGATCGAGTTTCCATTGTCCAAGATGACCTTCTCCGGCTCGTACCGCCAAGATCTGGCATTGCAGGTTCTTATTTTTACAGCTCAGACATTGGACATCAGGACTAGATGAAGAATCAGCAAATCTCCTCGTTCGAATGAGACCCGAGACTGTCCCGAACCGGGATCGAAGCTTCGAATAGAGTATGTGAAGTTGAATGCAGTGCGAATGACTCACTGGGTATACAAAAAAGCAGGATACGACCGAATTTTATGACAACCCGCCAAGCGTTCGCTGATTTTGTTACCGTCGTGCGTGACTTGGGTAATTTTGCATTGTGGACCACGGTAACCCTGAGAGATTTGACTGTTCGAGTTCGGGACATACCGTCTGAAACCAAACTTCGCTGCGTATGTTGGGAATATTCGATCGAAGGCATGATTTGGGGGTTGGATTCTGCATTTTCCTGTCTTCTGAAGCCAATCAATGACCTTTTGATCGTCATGTATCGGATCCCCTGGCTGTTTCCTGGCAAGCGCCGTCGCAATATCCTGCTCCCAGAGAAGACCATACGGACCCAATTCCTCATTGGAGAAATATTGAATTGCATCGCCCTTGGCCTTGGAACCGGCAGCCTTCGAAGGTGCCGTCTTTGAACTTTTGGACGTCCCAGGCCGAGCAGGTTGTGTCCGCTTACTTTGGGGCGCCTCAGCGGCTTGACGTGATTTCAGAGCCATTGTTTACGAGTGCGACCAGGTAGGAAAGGGTTGAGAGACCGGGGCGCAAGCGTTTGACGGAGACGATATGACGAAGGAATCAGTGAGAGGGGATGGTAGCGGGAATGGACGAGCGTGACAGATGACGGAAGCCTGGCGGCTGTGCAGCAAAGTTTAACAAGTAAGAAAGGTTAGAGTGATGTCAAGTTAGACAACAGAGCTCAAGGTCACGAAGTTCGAAGAGACTTGTTTACTCGCGTAGAACGGTTCGATCAACGCTGGCTTGGCATCGTTCAACGCCGCGTGCCGGGGCTACTCAGCTCGAACGGTGTCGCAGAGGCGATAGGGGGAGTCTAGGACGCTTGTAGCATGCAGCACAGCTGGTCTGGACCTCGCAGGACACGTATGGACGATAACAAGAGACGATGGAGCAAGTCATGAGTTATTTGGTGCTGAAAGGATGGACGGTCGAAAGTTGGAAATAATAACGGGAGTAAAATTCAATTCGAGGGGAGAATAATTCTACTTGCTGTGGCTACACTATAAACTCTTGACTACGCGCATGACCTGCCCAGGTCTTCTCAAGGACGTGACCAAACCGGTGATCAACGTCAACAGCACAACACTGCCCGCCTGATGCGCCGCAGCCAAAGGTACGGGGACCAGGTACAGCAACGTAGTGATGCCCAACGTCACCTGAGCGATCGCTGCTGCCGCAGTAGAACGAGCGAGCAGCATTGTGGACCTCGGCAAGAGCTGCCGACTCGACGCAGTCATTATGACTCTCGGGAGCAGAGGCAGTGACAGCAGCACTGTGAATGTTGTCGTGGCCTAAAGTCAGTCTAATACTTGCCTGTCCACCCACAAATAAGCGATGATCAAATTGGGCAGTGACCGGATTCTCCAGCATATTCCGCCACCAATTATCCCTCCCATCCGGCCGTCGAGCATATCGCTGATCTAGCAATTCGTCGGTTGGAGGGACCAGCCGACCACCCATCGTTGGAAACTCGTTGTAGACCAGTCCTGCGTCCAGACCCGCCACAAACGCTCCAGAGACTGCCGTGAGAAACACCATGGCCCCTGCCACTCTGGCGACCCGAGCGAATCGTCTCACGTCGGGCTGTGCGAGTGCCACGTTGGGCACGTGCTGCCTGAGTGACAGCGCGGTGTGCAACATCCCGACATAAAGCGCCAAGGCGGCGCTGAGATGAGCCGCGAGTCGATACTGCGACACTCTCGGGACACCCCGATTGTCGATAATCTCTTGATCCAGACCCGATTTGACCATGTACCAGCCAAGAGCACCCTGAAAGCCTATACCTAGACCCAAGAGCAGCAGCTTCCCTTGTAGCTTCCGTGGTAGACGATATCTGGCCATGTAGTACACCATGGGCACGACGAATCTATCATCAGCCAAACCCAAATGTGCGCCTCTCACCCTACACCAAGAACCCTGCCAGCGATGCGATGCGCCCATTCCATGTAAAAGATCTTCTTAAACTCGTCCATTTCAATCCTCGAGTTGGTCCTGGCGTAAGCAACGCACTTAATGGACTCACAAGACGCCCTCCGGGGACACTCTGTACTTTTCCCACTCCTCATCCCATTCTGCCTGCGTCAAGGGGGGCAATATCCCCGTGATCGGCTGCCATTCGACTATACTGAGGCCAGACTCTGTCAGACGGGTCAGTCCGCCAACGACGAGGATGCCAAAGACTAGGGCCGAGCAGCCAAAGAGCCACTTGGGGAGAGAGCGTGGCACAGCTCGGGCGGGGGGGAGCGTCGACAACGATCTGGAATGGGTGAAAAAGGTGGTTTCAAAGTGTGTCGATGGGTGGAAGAAGGCTGGGCGGGAGGCGGAGCGGGTGAGTAGTGGGCGGCGGAGCAGCGGGCGGGCAAACAATGGGCGAACGGACCTGCTGAGCGCTCTGCTCGGCCCCATTACACTTGGTCCCCACATACTCGTCGATGGTCAAGATCGACGACAATGGGCATTCAGAAATTTCAAGATCGAATTGCCGAAAAATGCTTGTCCCACTTGACCATGCCCGAAGTCCAAGTCTGGCCAACCTTGGCTAAGAGAGAAGACCACCGTCGTTCTCAATCCGTCCAGAGCCTCATCGATGAGACGTTGCTCACGCCCTACAGCGTCCGCGAATCCTCTAAACTTGATATTAACCGATACACGGACATACGCGCGTACGACCGGACTGCAGTACCCGGGGTCAATGCCAATGTCGTCGCTGATTCTCATGGGCGGTGGTGGGTCGCCGCGCAGGTGAGCCCTCATTCAAGACCGTCGTTCATCCCAGGCACCCCTCCCGAGTAACTTCTACACCTTCTTTCACAACATTCTCCACTCTACGGCTTCAGCTCACCCCTTGATCAACAAACCTCCCTCACACTCCGCCGTCATTGTCCAGTTGACGGGATGGGAAGAGAACGGAATGCGCAAAGCGGACCCATACCTCCCGTGAGCAAGGTATCTATTCAGGCTGACCTCAGGGACCCTCACGGTCGCCTCACATTCACCCACAACCGCGATTCCATCATCCTTCACCACGTCAATACCACCTGGCTCCCATCTGCGGGCACATCCCTGTCCGAACTGAAACTCGAAGACATGGTCCTCTATCACTACCACTTCAAAGGCTGGAGCGATCACGGCGTCCCAAAAAACACATCCGAGCTGAGGCAACTGGTCATGGATGTGCACGCAAAGCAACAAGAGGCCAATTGTGAAGTCTGGGTCCATTGGTGAGCTCTGCTGAATCGCAGCTGACGCCAGCTCCGCCGGAGTCGGTCGCACGGGCACTTTCATAGCTCTCTCGTCACTCCTTACATCGCGACGTGAAGTAGGGCCGCAGCGCTCAGCGGACAAACTCCCCCCCGCCATTGCGTCGGACCCAGTTGCACGCACCGTAGACGAGCTCAGAGAGTGGCGTACGATGCTCGTGCAGACCCCAGGGCAGCTGGGCTTGATATATAAGATGATGTAGATGCATGCTATGAGAGTGATGCAATCGCCGACACTCCGTCCATGCAACTCGGTCATGCAACGTGGGCACCATTTATACATGAGACAACTTCCGTTGGAACCGATCTCCGCAAAAGCAAATGAAAAGCGTTCCGCTCGATTTCCCACTCCAACTCACTCTCTTGTTAACATCCCAACTTTTACACAATGTTCGACACTGATTTCTGGCTCAAAGCTGGTGCTGTCTCAGCGAGTGGTCTCACAGCGGGTATGTTGAGACCAATGGCTCGCCACGATGCTGACATGATGCTCGTTTCGTTCGCTCACTCGCCCCCCCACCCCCACCCCAGGCCTCACGCTCTCGTACCGCCTTCTCATCAATCCAATCTTCAATGGCCCTCTCGCCGCCGCCGGCTCCAATCCTGGTCCTACCCTGATGCCCTCGAGCCGACTGGCGGTCTGGCACACTGCTTTCAACCTCGGCGCAAAGACTATCCCTCCCTTTGCAGGCGCAGCCACCGCCTTGATCATCGCTCTCGCCGCGAGGCGCAGAGTCGGATCGCGGGGTAACTCGTCCAAGACCTGGCTCTTTGTCGCGGCCGCCATGCAAATTGTCCATGTTCCATTCACAGTGAGTCAAAAATCCTCCTCCTCCGCTGACACCTAGCTCCTCGCGATCGCTCCAACCAACGCTAAGCTCATCGCCATGCGGGCGGCCAAGAATCTAGATATGGACAAGGTAGGCATGGAAAATCTCAACTTGCTGCTCAACAAATGGTGCGGATTGCACAATGTGCGGATCGCTACGGCCACGACGGCCTTCTTAATGGTCGTGACATCGCTCCTCTCATGATGATGCATCCTAGTCACGTTGCGCGCGTTATCGTCTTCGGGATGGGGATCGGTTGGATATCTGCGGCTAAGGCTTTTAGTAGGGATAAGGATTTGAAGGGGAATTTCGTCCTGTCGTCAGCCCCGGCCCCAATGCTTGACCCACTTGCACATCTGGCACACTGGCAACGGCTTGCAATAGACTGAATGTCAGCTCCGTTTGCCTTAACGCACCCACTGCTCAGACAGACACTGCAGACGAATCCCACATCGACAACATCATGGTGACAGAAACAGACCGCCCGAAAGTCCACGGCGTCCTGCGGGAGTACTGCGAATGGCTTGCGCCGTAATGCAGGTGGGGCGAGAAAGATGGTCTACGGTCAGAGGCATGACCTACCCCACACTTACATGTAGATACTGCAGTAACCCCACCCGCCCATTCCATCGCCAATAGATGCCTTCGGTGAGATGAGCTGCCTGTTGAAGAAAGATCGGAGCGCCGCCCTCCGGTGGCAGGGTCAACACATCTATAGGAACTTTCTATACGCATCAGCCTGATCATAACCATGCGCGCGCCCACCCCCTTTTGCGCCGCAAAGACGCAATTCATCATCCCCACATAACCTCCCCGCTGCGATCCGCCATCTTCCCCTTCCCCCGTGGGCGATGGCGTCGCGTTGATGATCATGATCCGAGGCTGCAGCCGATCAGGCGTGTTCGCCACTTCCGACTCTGCACTGTCCTGCGGAATGACGCGATTAATGAAGCACAACGCCTTAGTCAGAGCCGATACGATGGATGGTGGATCTGACCTCAGCACAGCCAACGCTCCTCAGCCTTACCATTCAGGTGCTGCTCCTCCTGCTCGACACTTTTCAGCGCCCGCTCCAGCTCCAAGTCCAACATATTGAAAGGTTGATAGACGTTTGACCTCAGATTCGACGGTCCAGCGAGCCCAGACGGATATACCTGGCGTCTGGGGGAATAAGCTTCGTCACGCCTGATGCCCTTACGCTGTCCCTGCTCCGGCGGCAAATACAACCACTTCGTTGCCCCATCTCGCTGCAAGGTGCGCATTGAGCCATATCATGAGCGTGTTGAGGAACTCGGCCAGACCTAGACTCTGCACCGGAGCCCGGCTGATCGTGGCGCTACCCTCTAGCTCCTTTGCGGTGCGTGATCCCGATGATAGGATCGACCATGACGTGGGATGTACGTCCAAGATCAGCAGCAGTAGCGAAGGGGGAATCCCGACGGTGGCCATAGTGACAGTGTCGAGTCATTGAATGACGACCGGCTGATAGGCCGTTGGCGGAATCAAAATTTTGAAACCCAAAGAATTCGTCCTTTGCTTACTCACTCACTCACTTCCTACATCATCACATCCACATACCATGTCCGTCGTAGTCATCGGGTCCATGTCCAGGTTGGACGAGTACCAGTCCCTACTCACCTCGCACAAGAATGTCAGAGGGGAAATGGTGGATCGGGTCCTCGATGGAGGTAAGCCATATAGCTGTTCTTTGTTGACTGGCAGCGACAACCCTGCCCCCTGCCCCGCTCGACCTCCACCTTGTGATTCCTCAGCCGATTCCCTCGACCTTACTCTCCATGATTCCACCTTCCACCACTGTCCATGTCCATCTTGGTCCCTCCGATGACCCAGCCGCCATAATCACCGCCATGTCCACCTTCCACCCCCTGCCTTCCACCCCCTCTGTTCTCTCCTTCACCGCACCGTCACCTCACGTCGTTCCCTTACGCACACTCAAGCGTAACCCAACGGATAGGGCCAAAAAGTCTGCTCTCTGGGCCCTTGACTCGCCACTCCTCCCTGACGGTGGTCGATCCCTCCTCACCCCGGAAGACAAACAGCGTCCCGAATGCACAATTCCTGATACATCGGGGAAGCCCGTCAAACGCAGGCGAGCGTGTAAAGACTGCACATGTGGACTCAAGGAGCTGGAGGAAGAGGAGGACGCCAGGTCAGCCGCTGCCGTCAGAGAGGCTCAAAAGTCGTTCTTCCTCGAAGGCGACGATGATATCCCAGAAAATGTCAAGAAGGCCACCGAAGGGATGGAAGGGGTCTGGCCAGTTGACAAACGAGCAGAGGCTAAAAAGACGAGCAGTTGCAATAGTTGCTACCTTGGAGATGCTTTCAGGTGTTCGAGCTGTCCTTACCTGGGTCTGCCGCCGTTCCAGCCGGGTGAAAAGGTGCAGATATCGCTGGGGGATGATATTTGAGTGATCCCGGCGATGATCGTATATAGAGCATGCACTGTATCATACACACTTGTCGAGGGAGTCTCTCGAGACGTGAAACTTAAGTGATGATAGAGCGTTCCATGTAGCACACCTGAGTCAGGAGCACGACACACAAACATGACGTGCATCGTATCATCATGCTCTCGTCGACGGCTCGCGGCGCTTCGCTGGCTCGCCTCCTACGCTGAATCCGCGTCGCTCACTCGTATCCTCGGCCCATTCGAGGATGTCATGTGCACCTCTTCAAACCACGTCGCTAGACATCAGCCCCATACCTATCTCTCCTGAACCCACTCTTTTTCGGCTTCTTCCGCTTGATGCGCGATACCAGCGCATCATCATTGTCCCCTGCGCCGGCCACTGGGAAAGTGTCCCTTACTGAACTGATGAGGCTTCTAAAATTCGCCAAGATGTGTTCGCGAGGCAATGTATTCTGTCATCAGCAAAATTCCTCACAACCTCCTTCTCACCCTTCCGAAATCTGTCGTCAGCCATGAGCCCTGTCGGTTCCCACTCACTGATCCTCAACCTCCCCTTTTCATTGGTGAACCAATCTGTCGCTCCTCTCGCCTCCTGTATCCTCTTGACCAATTCTAATCCCTCACCCACACCGCCTCGCCTCGCTGTCGGCATCAGACCCCGTTGACCGAGAAATCGACCCAGCCGACTCGTCACTGCGGGCAACATGCTCGGTGTAGACAAGACTTTTGTAGGCCTAATCTTGCCCTCTTCGACCTCCTCAAACAGATCTGCTCCACCGACATACTGTACCCCAGCCTCTTTGGCCAATCGCGCCGACTCGGTGTCATCCTCCGCAAAGACCAAGATCACATCGGCAGTCTTCTTGATATCGTACGGTAGATTCGCCCTTCCACGAAGATTCGGTATGCTCCCCTTGGAGCCAATGGTTAACGACAGGTCAAATAGGGTGTTTGGCTGACCCGCTTCCACCGCCTACTTCGTCAGTCCCGGCCCCGCCGCGTGCCATCACCCACCTGTAGTACCGCAATGGCCTCCTCAGTCGACAGCATCGACGCCGCCAAAGCATCCTTCTCTGCCTTTCTCGCTGAACGCCTCCTCAACTCGGCATCTTTCTGAGCCTGAGTTTTCTTCCCCTGCAACTTTTCACGCTTCTTCACCTCGGCCAGGGTCTCTGTCTTCATGACGATCCTGTTCTTGGCGACGAGGGCGGTGGACGAGGTGGCGAAGGACCGAGAGGCCTGGATGTCAGCGTCGCCAATAATCAGTCTCCTCACCTCTGCTACCCTTGACACGGCCAGCCTGTTCATCGTCGCCTTCTCCTTGCCCCACTTAGCCCTGTTGTAATCCTCTCTGCTCTTTCGCTCAAACTTGATAGCGCGTTTCTTGATGTGAGCGACAAACTTGGCCCTTTCAGCGAGGTAAGCGTCGAGAATATGTTGGCGTGAGACCGGGACAGCAACACTCCTCCTCTCGCTGGTCGATCGAGAGCTATTGGGAATTTCGAGCATCTCTAGTTTCGGATCCGAAGAAAAAGTTTCAAGGTGAAATCTTTCTGCGGGCGACGCTGAATGTCTACAACAACGACCACGATCACTCTGACCCTCTGTCCGTTGCACAAAGGAAGTACAGACAGCTCCCTCGACACCATTTGGCCTGTTTCAAATCGCTGCCCAATATGTCACCGATACCACCCGCCGCTCCGGTGCAGCTACACCGAGCACGATTTCTCGACTACACTCCCTCCCCCATCACCTGCATCTCCTTTGCTCCTCTTCCCTTGCCGGCCCCGGACCTCGTAGGCAAAGGCAAAGGTCGACAAGACGCCTTTTCGCCTGACGAATTAGGTCTGCTGGTAGTGGCGAGGGAGAACGGTAATGTGGAGATTTGGGAGTGGATGAGGGAGGAAGGCGGTAATGGCAATTGGGTTCTCGAAAGGGTGAGCTCTCCATTGAGGCTTCACTGACGACAGGTCCTCCCACCGACTCTTACCCACCCGACGGTCTCCCTCATGGCACTGACGATCCGACCCAGCTTCAAGTCATACGCTGTACCGAAGCTGAAGGCCTTGAGATTGTTCACCGCGGGATCTGAAGCTAGCGAACTGGTCGAGCGCTGTCTTCAAACAGGTCGCATCTTGGTGAGCCATCTACTCTCTCTCCGCGCTGACCCCCAGCAATCCTACCATATCCCCTCGCCTCCCATCTGGTCACTTTCTGTATCCCCGACCCACACCTTACTCTGCCTCTCGACCACCGCGCCGACCCTTACCTTTATCTCACTCGACGACACCCTCTCCCCTCCCCCGCCCCACCTCCTTCGCACAGAGTACCTTCCATCAACCACGCGAACCGTGTCTATCGCCTGGGGTCCCCCTGAACCCATTCAAGAGGATTCCGAATGGGTCTGGCGAGACACCTACCTTGTCACCGGCAACTCTGACAGCTCGTTCCGCAAATGGGATATCCCACGGGGAGCTGGCCGAGTCACGATCAGAGGCCGGAGTGTCGTGGAAAAGGCTAAAAAAGGACGCAAGACAATCATCTGGGGTGTCGCTGCGCTACCGTGAGCTCTCTTCTTCGGACCACGCTGACTTTAGCGACGGCACAATTGTCACTTCCGACTCGCTCGGCTCTGTGACCTTTTGGGACGGATCGAGTCTCGCCCAAAAGAACTCGTTCAAAGCTCACAAAGCCGATGCCATGTGTCTCGTCGTCGGACCAGACGGCAAAAGCGTCTTTACCTCTGGACCAGATCAGCGAGTCTGTCAGTTCGTCCATACCGATGCTTGGCGTCTCGTGGCGAATCGCCGGATCCACTCACACGACGTTCGTGCGTTGGCCATGTTTCCCCCGTACACTCCCTACGTCTCTCCGCCTTTCTGCCCCATCCTCGCCAGTGGCGGCTGGGACATGTCACTTGCCCTCACGCCCGCTGGCGAGACTGGACGCAACCCCCTGGGGAAAGCCAAGGGTATGTCTCGGACCATCTTTGAAGAGTCTTTTGCTCGAAAGCTCAGCTACATGGGTGGCGGACGAGGCACCGGACGCATCAGCTTGGCGCGTGCCCCACGCCTGCTGCTTGCCCGGAAGGACCGATCGGTTGGCGTGTGGAAAATACTGGAGGACGAGCTGGGCTGGGAAAAGCTCTTCGAGATGGATTTCAGGGTGAGTAACCATCACCACCGCTATCTGCTGACGACAGCTGCGCACGAGTCTCATCGCTTCCGCAATCTCTCCCGACGGTCGCTGGGTGGCCGTGTCCGACCTGTACGAGACAAAGCTCTTCAGCCTCGATGCAAAGCCTCAACGCATGCCCCTGCACCTCGTCGACTCGCCCGAGCTATCCCATTTGTCACTTGAAACCACTGGCACTGGATCTTCCGCCCTTCTGTTCACTCCCGATTCTCAGCGCCTTGTGCTAGGCCTCTCATCCCAAGTTGTCGTTGTCGATATTGATGCCGCGCGCGTACTTAAATGCTTCAAACGAGATGATCCGATCTCCGGCGGCAGAGTCATTCGATCAGGTGATGCCGACACATCGAATGATCCCGCCATCACGACTCTCGCTACCAGTGATGATGGACAATATCTCGCCGTGGCAGATCTCCTCTCCCGCGTATCCATTTTCAACCTCGACACCTTGCGCCAGACCGCTGTCCTCCCTACACTCCCCTCTATCCCCCTCACACTGGCCTTTTGCCCGACTCACCCGTCCCTCCTTGCCATCGCCTCTCCTTCCGGCGCAATGACATTCTATAATCTCGACACGAACCGATTCCTCTCGCCTACCCGCCAATTGAACATTCTCAACGCCGCGCTCCGAGATCAATACACACCTGCCCAAGGCATCTCATTCGAACCGTGTCGCTCGACTCCTCGTGCAGCCAAAGTCGTCATCTGGTCACACGATTGGCTATGCACAGCTCGAATAGACCTCGAAGCGTTGAGCCGACAGGGCAAACATGACGAATCGCTACGCAAGAAACGTGCTCGTGAAGCTAGAGAAGCGTTGGAATCCGTCTCGTCGTCGTCTGCCGGGCCAGACGATCCCAACTTTTTCAAAATCTCCCTTGACCGATTTAGGGGCCTAGGCGGAGTAGATTGGTTGGCAGAGGGGGAGATGATCGTCGTGGAGAGACAATTGGGAGATTTCATGGGCGAGCTGCCGCCGGCGTTCTGGTCAGGAGGTTATGGAAGGGCGTAAATATATACATGCATAAAAACCTAGTGGGACCCCAAACTACTCGTACCCCCATGCGAGAACGATGAACCGATTGAAGTCCCCTCCGAGACGCACACCTGACCGTCAGCACAAGACAACCCTGTATCCCTTACAATCGGGAAGGCACCCTGTTTGCCCACTTCTGATCCTTCTCCATCCCCTGTCGTCGAAATGACCTGTGCTGTCCCCCATGCATCGTCGTACAGCCTCAGCACCCGAAGTTTCATGCCCGGTCTCAGATCCAGCTCATCAGGCAATGAAGCGGCGTACCTATCGTTGTCGTCAGAATCTCTCGTCAGATCAACGACTCACGGCCATAGCACATTGACCTCTGCACCCGTTTCTATCCACTTGTCTCCATTCTGATTCTCGTCCTTGACTCTCGGGAGCACAACCCCACTGGTCCTCTCCCCTGGTCCAGGCATACCTGATGATGAATGAGCTGCAGAAGCTGTCGCGGCCCCTGCTCCAGCACCGACCCCGAGCGCAGCAGCTGATGCGAAGCCTGGACCACCGCCTGCCAAGCTCGACATCATACTTTCACCAGGCTTCCCCATGGCAGATGTACTCCCGCCCATTGTCGGTGAGCTCGCAGCGGCCATCGATTGAGAGGTTCCCAACAGACCCTTCTCTGAGGAATTGGGCGGATGAGATCGTCCATTGTGGAAGAGTCCGAGTCGGCCGTTGTCGAAGGACGACGCCGAGTCGCGGTGATTCTGACGTCGCTTGCGAAGACACAAGAATGCGAGCAGGGCGAGAAGCTGAAGTTTAGCTTTGCATGTCGCCGCGACTCACCAAAAGACCCCCTACAACGGAACCCACCACCACACCAGCGATCTGACCTCCCGACAGACCATGATGGGCGAAATCGGTATTGTCACCGCCAGAGACAGAGGACGAGGTGGACGTCGATGATGAGGTAGATGTCGATGATGACGTTGACGACATCGTTGACGACGCCACACTCGATGTCCTCGACGGCAGTACAAATCCACAGACCGATATATCCGTGTTGCCTACGCGTCAGCAAAGCTCCCACGACCAGACCCACCATTATAGCAACAATCACTCGGATTAGATCCCGAACAGAAATCACACAGCTGACTCGTGCTGGAGCCATATCCACAGTTGTTCTCCCCATTGTCCTCTCCAGAGACACAGGTCTGGGAATCGTTTGTCGCCAGAGTGGTCCAGTTGGTGCAGTCGACAAAGTCCTTGTGTAGCCAATACGTTTGATTACCATTCGTCCCATCGGTAATGGTGGGTGTTCCAGGACAGAATGACGAATTGACAATCTGCGCCTCGCTTGCAGAGTATTGCAAGCACGTGTCCTGACAGACCATCTTCTGAGATGTTGCTGCGCTCGTCCCATCTAAAAGTCAGCTTTTGGGTTCAGCGAATCCACCTACTGTAGAGGCTCAAACACTGAGCACTCCACTTCTCGTTCACCCATTGACTGCACAACACTGTTCTCTCCCATCGGATCACAGCGTTCGACGCATTGGAGCACCCTAATTCCTCCACAAACTTGGTCTGCTGGAATTGAGCGGGGTTCGAAAAGTAGCCAAACGCATAAGTGTCAAACGTAGCGACATCGGTGACTTGAGAGAAGAATGGGAATGCGTTGGAGAGGTTAGATGGGTTGAGGTAGGCGTAGGAGACTGCGAGTCAGCCGAGTAGGTCCATACCCTACTTACAACCTGGACAGGCCGAACTTCCAAGCAGCCTCAAGCACCCATTGCTATCCACCGACTGCGCCTGCGCTCCTAGACTGCCTATCACCGCCGCCAGAGCGAGGAAGATATGCATGGCAGGGGTCTAAAATCCAGTCAGACGCTCCGAGCTTTCGGCAGTGACTCACTGTGTGGCCGATCTTTTTGGTAATGGGTTTCCAGTCCAGCTGACCTGTGTCTCTCTCTCCGACCTGAGCTATATAGTACTAGTTGAACGGCCGATGGGGAGAGAGTGAGAGTATCTACCAAGTAAGGTTTGAGGGGGATAATGATAAAAATGGCTCAAAAATTTCCAGCGGCAAGGCGGAATTCCAACGACGGGACACCAAAGATCTGGTGGATGGTGGATGCGAGTAGGCGAGTAGACGAATCAAAGGTGAGTAAGGTGTGTGTGGACAAGGGGGTGTTCAGATCGATTGTGTGTGTGTGCTGATATGAACCAAAAGAAGGTGGAGGGACTCTTGGAAGGATGGAATATTCCTCGCCCTCGCCCCCTCGCCCCCTCGCCCCCTCGCCGCCTCGCCCTTCCCCCCCCACACACTCTCTGCCAATACTCCACACATTCCCGCCTCATACACCTTGGCTGACAGCAATTTTCTTCTCACTCACGTACGCCGCCACTTACGCCTCCCTCCCTCCGTCCTCCTCCCGTGTTTTTGCCACTTCTGGGCAGTAATAGTAGATCTCTGTCTCCCTCTCTCTCTCTCTCTCCCTGTCGAACATTATTGTCGTCGCAACGCCCAAAAGAGGGTTGAGTTTGAGTAGTAAGTAGTAGCCGGCAGCCGCCCTCTCATTGGTCCAGAGCCATTGTTGTTCAGGTACATCGGAGAGAATTGAACCAGAATTATCGAGTTGTTGGGAACAGCTGGCGTCGGGGCGAGAGGAGAGTGCCACACGTCATTCGGGAAGGACTCCCCCTCCGTTAGTGGTTAAGAAGCTGCATCGGTGTCACCGCTGCTGCTGACGTCCTTGGAAGTCGCTGACCGATGCCGGATTATGCTCTTTCCTGCACAGACCATGATCGTCATGTTCGGCCACGTGGGATGATCGGATCCGAGATCTGATGGGCTTTCGAGTTGCGCCAAGATTTAAAGGTACCGACTGGATAGTTTGAATAACCTGTTTTAGAATGTACACCATGAGCCTGTTCAAGCAGTTCTTGGACCTCCATCCCGAGGTGCAGCACATCCGAGTGGACTTTGCAGCGTATGACAACTTCAAGTACTCCAAGGGTATCACCGCCCGTCACGCGCGGGCTCTAGGCCAATCCGGAGGTGTTTCTGTCCCTGGGCCCATCTGTTTCGGTCAGACACGATACACTCAGCTACTCTATGAAGCGATCAAGGACCAAGAGACAAATCATTTGGTGCCAGATCAGACGACCTTACGCCTTTCGATTGACCCGAAAGTTGCCATGGTCCAGTGCTTTGTGACCAGTCCAAACGCCTTGCGTGACGAGAATGATCTTTGGGCAGCTTGCCCCAGAAAACTTCTCCAGCGTGTCAATGATCGAGCTGATAAGAACGGCCTCGGCATCAAAGTCGGTTGGGAAATCGAGTTCCTCCTCCTTGCCTCCTCGGATGCCACAGCGCCTCTACCTACTCCCCTCGCGTCATTCTCCACAGCCGGTATGGAGGATCCCTCTTTCAAGGTCGTCTACGATACCGTCGAACATCTTGAAGCCAACAGGGTACCCGTCTGGACCTACCACGCAGAGTGCTCACCGCCCCACGGTGGCGGATTTGAAATCACCCTCTCACCTTCTTCGCCCCTCGAATCAGCGGACAATCTGCTCTACAGCATGAGTATAATCCGACAAGTCGCCCAGAAACATGGCTACCATGCGACGTGTCATCCCAAACCTTTTGAAGCTGGACCGGGGACAGGTCAACACATACACATGTCCATCGCAGGCCATGATCTCGCAGATTCATTCCTGGCCGGCGTCATGGCTAGACTGAATCAAACTACGGCATTTCTTCTCGGAGGCTACGATTCCTACTCGAGACAAGGCGCTTACGGCGGTGGATGGATATACCATTCCCCTGGAAAAATTCCACCTGTCAGAGACTGTGGAACGGCTCATTGGGAATTCAGAATGCCAGATAACCTCTGTAACCCGTATCTCCAGCTCGCAGCCATCATCTGTACCGGTCTCGAGGGGATCGATCAACAACTTTCACCTCCCTCGGCTCGAACCATCGACGAAATGATGGGCATGTCGGCGGATCAGGCCGCAGAACAAGGTATCAAGGCTCTTCCCAAATCGCTCAAAGCTGCAATCGACGAACTGGAAGCGAATCAGGACTGGTGGGCCGGTCAATTCTCCAAGACCAGTATCAAGGGGTACTTGATGAATTCCAGAGCAGAGATCAGTCAGTCGGACAAGATGGCCTATGCGAAAAGGGTGCAACTGGCAATGAATCACGGTTGATGTCAAGCAAGTCCATCGCTGCCCGAGCAGCCCACCAAGTTCACAGCATTCGGCTCGCATCCAACCAGGTTTCCCCCGTCGTCGAATGACGCTACGCAGCCTGGTGGCGAGAGGGTTTCGTGCCGAGTCCGGTGTCAACCTCGCACTCCATGCACATGCACAACAAATCCTTCTCCTTGTGCTCACCCGGCCTGATAACAGGGGCCCGAAATGCTTATAACCCAAACATGCAGCATGATACAATCGCCTCACTCTATCTCCCCTGCTAAGGTATTCTATTTCAGCTCATAGGTCGGTCCCTTGGGTTGCCCGATCATCGCCTTGGTCGTATTGTCCCTGCACCGTTTCAAGAACTTGAACAGTGGACTTCCTCCAGTCCCTCTGAGCTCCCTCACATCTTCTACCTGAACCACTTGCTCCGTTTGACCCAGCGACAATCTGATCCTCTCTGAAGGCTGTTTCCTCGCTTGTTGAACGATGAAAAGACTGACAATCCGCATGTGTTTCTCTCTGAACCGCTTCAATGCCTCCAACGCGCCATCGTACGCTTCGACGAGCCTTGGCTGACTTTGCGCATGCTCAATCACCAAGGATCGGAGAGGAGTCGGATGGGTCGAAAGGTGGAGCAAGAAAGTCCGGTGAGGTAGTGGCATGTACTCCAACATGCGTTGAACAAACGTCGCTTCCATGGGCACAGAGATGGTCGGTCGTTCCGTGGAGATAGGAGTGTGATCCGTCATGATATGAACATCCTCAGTAGTGACTGGATCGACCGGTGCGATCTCGGGTGTGCGATCGGTGTGGTCGACCGTCAGGAAGATATCAATGGCGTGGATGAGACTGCTTTGGCCTGCACTCGGACCAGAGTAGAGCTTGGTGTTGGAAGTCGAGCCCTGATCCAGCTGCCACGGACGACTGTCTGGTCCGTCATCGCTCCCTCTGAACCACGGCCTGATGAGGTGATAAAACTCTTCCGGGTCCACATGCTGCATCATTGACAGCGTAATGTCTCCAATGCGGTCAATGAGGACGGCCAGTTTTGTCAGATAAATTGTCAATCTCTGCAACGCCACTGCATCTGCCAAGAACAACTCGTCCAGCGATTGTCGCATGAGCTTGAGAGCGGCTGCCCCAGAAATCTCGCATTGGGCCGAAATGACATAAAACATTTCTTCCGATTTAGTGTTTGTAAAAGACCCAACGGCACGGCTCGGAGGATTGAGAGAGTAATGTGGGGGTTGAGAGGGATCGGTGGATAGAAAATTGTACAGGACCGTATCGGCATACGTGACGACCGGTGGCAGACCGAGCGAAGTCGAGACAGGTTTGAGAGGCGAGGCGATGGGCTGAGGGATGACATGTGTGATCTGACTCGGTGGCGAAGAGTGGACATAGAAATGCTGAATATACGTCAAGACGAGGTGAGCTCGGCGCATGAGCAATATTGATCTCTCCAATCCCCTCGTGTCAAGCACAGGCATCTAAATATATCAGAAAACATTTAATCGTCAAGACTAACCATTTCGATAGCACGCCTCCACTCCACATCTTTCGGCCTTGTACCAGCCAGCATTAACCCATCACCCACACCTTGACCTCTAGCAGCGTCAAACGCATCCTCCCATATATCCCATGGCGCAGGCAACCGTTCAAGATTCTTGGTCAGTGGCAAGAACCCTGTCCTGACATCGACTTCGAAATCGGCAGAAGCTAGAGAGGCGACATTGGGTGCCAGGCCGTTCGAGTCGTGAGCACTTGTACTGGGTGCTCCAGAGGGGAAGAGATCCGTCGATTGCGCATAGGATGGCTGGAGTGCGAGGAAATGGCCAGGTGGGAGAGGGATACGATTGAGAGGAGGTGGCGATGGGGATCGCTGGGAAAGCATCGGTGACGTGTGATGATGTGTCATGGTGCAGTCTACCTCAGAGTCATTATATAGCGCAAAGAACTGTCGGAGCGAACCTTTCTTATTATCTGTCGAGGCCGTTCGTCGATGAAGATTGAACAACAAAGCAACGATCTTCGAGGTTCCGCCCGAAAATTCAAAGGCGTCATTTTTGGGGAATGCGGAGGCGACGACCGTGGGAAAAAGACTGCACGTGGCTGTTTACAAAATGATCTCTCCGATGCGGTCGGCCTCCCCTAGCAACCAAATAACCATGGAGAGGAGCTCGACGAGTCATACGGTGGTCTCTGCGCCAGGTAAGGTACTACTGGCAGGTGGATATCTCGTCTTGGATCGCGCATACTCTGGACTGGTCGTCTCAACTTCTTCACGCTTCTACTGCGTGGTGTTGGACAATGAACACCGTCCACCACGGATCAACGTCCGAGCAGGCCAATTTCCAACGAGCTCGTCTACCTGGTCATACGATGTAGAGCGTCAAGACGGACTGGTAAAACTTTCCTCGATATCCTCAGCAGCAGGGAGGAACAAGTTCATCGAAATCACGCTTACCAAAGCACTCCAAGTGGCTTTCGAATCGGGTGTCGAGCTGCAACACAGTCTCGACCTTGTCGTCTTGGCCGATAACGATTTCTACTCTCAGCGAGAGCAGGTGAGATGGTCGAAGATATTCGCGCTGACATCAAGCTTGGCTCGCGCCCGCGTACTCTCTCATCGCTTGCTTCTCTCACCCCGTTCTCACCCCTGCCACGACCGATCCATCAAACCAACAAGACGGGTCTCGGATCGTCTGCCGCCTTGGTGACTTCCATCACCGCGGCCGTTCTACAACATCTCAAAGCCGTCACCATCCAACCTGAAGCAGGTCCATCTCGGTCCATCGACTTGATTCACAATCTTGCTCAATTATCACATTGTACGGCGCAAGGCAAAGTAGGCAGTGGGTTCGATATCTCCTCAGCGGTCTACGGTACACATCAGTACAAGCGGTTCTCGCCTTCCATCCTGTCGTCTGTACAGGCATCCGACCCGTTATTACCACTCTTGCGGTCCCCCGATTGGGACTATCAGGCCATCCCCTTCCGCTTACCAAAGGGACTGAGGCTGTTACTCGCCGATGTGGATGCTGGCACTGACACACCGTCTTTCGTCGGCAAAGTGCTAAAGTGGAGAGAGGAGAATGTAGAGGTGTCAAAGAAGCTGTGGGATGAATTAGGCAAGGCGAATGATGATTTGGGCGAGCAATTGAGAGACTTGTCGGAGATGGAAAAGGTTTCGGGATATGACCAGCAGATCGCGAGTGCTGGGCGTAAGGTGAGTCAACACAGTACTCTAGCCGGCGCTCACTCTCAGCTCGATCCGGAGCTCACAGTACACGCCGCTCTCGCCCGTATATCCGAATCACTCCAAGTGAGATCCCCCTAGTTGACCCTCCTAACGCCAGCTCATTCGCTCGTACCTTCAACAAATGTCCTCCCTCTCGCAAGTTCCCATCGAACCGCCCGAGCAGACACGTCTACTCGATACATGTACCGCCATCCCTGGAGTCATCGGAGGAGGCGTTCCGGGAGGTAGGCGCGCTCTCTCTCTCTCTCTCTCTGACCTTGCTGATTATGGCAGCTGGCGGGTTCGACGCTATATTCCTTCTCCTCATTGATTCAACCAGTGTCATTGAAGCGGTCGAACACGTTTGGTCGACATACAAGGAAATGAGTGTTTGCCCATTGAGTGCGAGACAGAGCGATGGTGGGTTGAAAGTAGAATCACTTAGCATACCTGGTCTGTATGATGCCATGAGTCGAGTATAATGCACCAATAACAGTAACAAATGCCTGGCGCCACAGAAAACAGCGATCTTCCTTCCTGGTACGTCACGGCATTTTTGACAAAGTTTTATCAACTGTAACGCTGCTTTGACTTCAACGTCTCAAATCACAAGCATCCATCTGCCAGAGGGGACGATCGCGAAGCGAGGGTCCAGGACAGAGCCTTCGACGGGTCTGTCCTGCAGTATCTAAGAGTTGTAAAGTATTTGTTGGCCGGTTCGCCTACCGCCAAGCGCCTTCCCATCTCCTCTCATTCCGCTGTTCATGACTATCGTCAGCCTACCGACTCGACTCGCCGCCGCTGAGAAGCTATCAACCTGTTGAGGAACCATAGCTCAACAGAAATCCTGTTGATGACAGACGCTCTTCTTCGCCACCATGTTTGACCAGTACCCTTTGGACTATCATCGTCGCTTGGACCATTGACCTGTAACACTGGGTCTGTGTTTCAGGAACCACTACTCGAACGTCATTGTAAGATGGTGCTGACCCTCTGGATGATGCTGACTTTGTGTCTCTCTACTCTTCATCTCAACGCACACTCGATATGACTCAGGTGATTCGACCTCTTTCTGCCGACCACACATCCAAGCGGTTCATCCATCACCCCAGTCTCAGCCTACCGAACGAAGCAGACTGGAAGAAGATCATCTCACCGAAAGACGCTGACAACATCATGGCCAACGAACCGAGTCCAAAGAAGAAGGGATTCTTCCGGCGACTATCTCTCTCTTCTTCAGCTCACAAAGCTCAAGCTCAAGTATCATCTTCATCTTCTTCTTCCAATGGCAACAAAGCTCCACGATCAGTCTCAGGGACATTGCGAAAGGACGCAAGAGTGGTTGCTGGCCCAGCTTACGATACATTGCCAGCTGGAGCTGCGCCAAACGTGTTCAAGGTAAACGCCCAAACAAACCAAGGTCAACCCACAGACTATGGGCCGCTTCCACCCATGCCACCTGCGATGCCTCCCCACGTCCCCATGAAATCATCAAGGACGCAGAATCGTACTACCAACGTGCCGGTTCAAACACCTCCCCGTCAAATGGGTCGATCTCCTCCAAGCGTTCCCATCGAATCCCCCCACACTCCAAAACGCACACCGACTCGTAATCCTATCCATCCGGCTCTCGCATCTCCACCTCGGAACGCTCAACATCATGGAACAGGCCCGTACGATGTCAAATCAGAACCGTACTGGAAACAGAACTATGTCCCCACTCAGATCACTTCGCCGCATAGCAGCAGGTCGTCGCCCCAAAACGGAATGAACATGTCCAATCTCAAGGCCGCGTTACCGAATCCTCCCGCCGGCATGCCTAGATCCGTTTCCAACACGTCCGGACGATTTGAAGATGCCGAGGGATCATCTGATCCAATGCCTCCCTACATTCCACAACAATCTCCTAGATCAACTCATCCCGCTGGCAGTCCGCGTACAGCAGGTCCATCCTCCTATTTTCCCCCCACCCAAAACCCTATGCCATCAGTGACTCGCACCAATAGCGAGACCCCGAGTGGGATGTCCGAGGCCAGCGCGTACGCCAAGGCCATGTCGTCAAAGGCGCCTCCGGAAAGCTCCACTCCGCCAGCCTCGGACAAGATGCGAAAATCATCGAGACCACTGCCTAAACCACCGGGACAGCAACCCTCTGCGCCTGTCGACTTTTCTGCCCCCCCTCAACCTGTCCAAGCAAATAGTAGACGAGACCCACCCGCTCAGGTTAACGCACGCCACTTTCCCTCTCCTCCCAGTGCACCTGTCCCGACCAATGGCCCGCGCTTTGCCTCACCTAGTGACGCACCCTCGCAGAGCAGCAGCCGGTATGTTCCCCCTCCTGTAATACCACCCGCTCAGCCCAACGGACGAGCACCTGCTCCTACTCCTGAGACACCTCCGCATCCCAATGGACACTTTTCCCCCCCACACAAGCAATCGCCTGAAAAGCCACGACCCAAAGTCTTGATCCCGCCTAGTCGTCAAGAGAAGCGAGTTTCTGTCAAGCCATATCAGTTTGAATTTTCGCGCTCACCGACTTTGCCCCCGCTGGTCGATCCTCGTTCAGATTTAACGCCATCTCGCGAGCCGCTCGATCAGTGGGCTCCACCGAGTCGTCAGAATGTCTCTCCCCCAGGCGGTCCACCCATTGGAGGTGCCCCCTCCCTCCTCGCTCCGGTGAAAACGTCCGAATCCGCGCTCCCACAACAATTGAGCTCATTCTCATCTCCCATGGCCATGTCACCCACATCCCCCATCGCGCGTCAGCGCAAAATCTCAAATCAATCCAGATCCAACTCCAACCGACACCTGCTGAAACGATCTGGCAAACCCAGTCTGGCCTTCCTTCTCTCATTTCCGACCATCCAGTCCTCCTTCTTGCCGTGGCTGACCATCAATTCGTTCCTCTCACTCACAGGATGCTCGGATGAAGTCAGAAAGCAGCTCAGTGGAGAGCTCGTAGGGAGATGGATCCTCAATGAATGGGCTCTGTCAGTGGACAGAGAGAAGGGTCGAAGCTGGCCAAATCTGACCGTGTGGGAAGGTTTCGGTGAGTACATCGTAGCTTTGTCCCTGACATTCAGTCGAATCGCTGCTGCATGACCCCGCAACATACTGTACTTATCCTCCCCAATGGCACGGTCTTCTCTCGCATCTTTCCCTCTCACACACGCTCATCGTCTTACACCTGCGCAATCTCCCTGCTACAGCATTCCCCTACCCTACACCCCTGCCATTTGAGGACGAAAGTAGCATTCCCATGGTGCAATTGTCATTCTCTCACTCTGCCAATAGCTTGTCATCAATGAATCTGCCGATACCTCGATCCCGGGCACCCAGTCGAGCCGGATCCGACGGCGGCAGTATCGCTCCAAGTGCTCGGAATGGAGGTCCACCTCCCAAAGCTCAGGAACGTCTTGTCGAGATCGTCATGCCAGAGCCTCTAGCCGCCAAGCCCCAGGAGGAGCTCGTTTCGTTTGCGCCTCCCACGTCGCCCAAGCCGAAACTGGTCCGCAAAAACTCTCGCTCCTCTATCATCTCCACTTCGTCCTTTGGGATTGGCCGACGTCGAGCCAATAGCGTCAATGCTAAAGATGCGGCTGCCCTCTCCCCCAGTTCCGCCACCCTCGCTGCGCCGATGCCCGGCAAGCGTGAGCTGCCTCCGGTCAGCTTTCCAGCGGCGAAGCGGTACACGTTCACGCGCCACGGCGACGCGCCTTCTTCGACGCGGACGCGGACTATGTCTGGAGGCACCTCGAGTCGACCTGGATCCATCTTCTCAGTGGCCAGTAGTCCCTCAGGCACGTATCAACCTCGCATGTCGATTGGTCCAGCATCACGACCATCCTTCGCTGTGGACCGCAATGCGCCTCCCGTACCTACCGCAAGATCTCCCGGGGGGTTGATGGCGCCTACGCCGGGTCAAAACTCTCACCGGAGCAGTTTCGCCTCATCGGATGGTCGATCAAATCGTGTGTCTGAGTTTGGTGGGTATTCGCCCGTAAATCCCAAGTCCGCCTCTCCCTTTCCCAATCGAGGTGAATTCTTGAGTTCCACGCCGCCACCGCGTCTCGAGCAGGCTTTTGAGCGTCCTCCGCCGTATACCATCGGCAGAGCGCCGATACTCCGAGTGTTTGTGCCCCTATCCGAGCGGGTCAGGAGATGGCCGTCAGCCGAAGGAGCTGCTGCGAGTGTCAAAGAGCTCGACAAGTGTGGCGCCACGAGACGGCTCAAGTTGGGCGACCTTGTCGTGAGTCGCGATTCTCCTGCTTTTACTGATGTCAGGTGAATACGGCGATCAAATACCCAAAACACACGGAACACGTCCTTCTGTTCGTCCCATACATCAAGCACCTACTCGTCCCGCTAGAATACAAGTACAGTGAAACGGGTCATCTGCCCTCATATCTCGACGCATTCTCCATCCCTCCATCCTACTATTATCCATTTCTCCCCACCCCACAGATCATCTTCCTCAATCTCGCTCCTTACTGCATCATGGCCATGGGTGCGATACGGTTGGCATTCGACCGACGAGATGTGACGACGACGTCCGGAGCGAGAATCAGTGCAAAGCGCTACCTCCATGTGACGGGCTTTGAAGTATGTCCCGGGGATAACGCCGCACCCGAATGGCAAGGCATGGTGTCGCTGGAGTCTGAAGGAACGGCGGAGGGGAAGATGGAGCTGGAACAGAGGTTAGGAGGTGGTGATCCAAACCGGGCAACGATGGGACCTTGGGAAGTGGTAAGGGAGAAGAGTATGATGGGGACAATCTGGTTAAGATTAATCAAGCTGCAAGAGTAGCAGCTGTATGCATTCATCTTGTCTTGGTTTTGATTTTGGTTTTGGTTTTTGGTTCAGGCTTCTCTCGAAGCTGTTTGCCTTCAGTCACCATGGAAAGGAACGAAGAGCTGGCCCAGGTGGTCCAGACGCCGAGTATGAATCCGACCGTGGATCCAAAGGTGGTCGTTAAAGGCCAGCTCTACGTCATGAGCTGAGCAATGTCCTTCTAAACGCACCTGCCAGGGTCTATCCCAATCTAGAGGGATCACAAACGCACCCAACCAAGCGCCAATCAAAGTGCCCGCGAAAGGGTACGTGATGCTTTTCTCCAAGGACGTTTCGGCACTTTCGTCAATTGCAATCCGGGCGTGGTGATGACCCACGTGAGCTCGCACAACAGTTTGACGAGTCTGAAACGCGAGTAAAGTCCCTTGTCATCCATCGAAGGGATACCGAAGGTGTAAATGACAGGCCATACCAGTAAGCTTGATAGATGGAGAGCGAAGAGATAAGTGTGTGGGAGGAATCTAGCCTTAGCAGAGAACATAGTTTTTCAAGCTCACTCGTCTAGTGGCGCACCGAGAGCCATGAGAAGAGGCATTATCAAGAGTGAGACGAGGATGGTCATGACGAGACTTCTACCCATTCGCTATGTCCGTTAGATACCTGTTCAGTTTGGACAAAAGCTCACCACCGTGACCTGACCCATCGTTTCCCCCTTCTCTCTCACTCCGTCCTTCTTCGCTCTAGGAAACCACCAGGCTCTCAATCGGGTTCCCCACCAAGCCATCACCACCATGGTACCCCCTGTCTGCCACAACATCGTCCGTAGTGGGTCCAGGGTCAACGGCATGAGGAACGGGTGTTCAGGTCTGTCCGCAGAGGATCTCTGAACCATTCCAGTGGATACCGAGGTTCGAGGAAGGAACAGGGTCGTGCTACCCAGTAAGAAGCTGAGAAAGACCACATTGGACGCGTACTTGGCCAGTGGCAGCTCTGCAGAGCTCATCGTGTACTGTCGTCAATGGAGTATAGATAGAGAGGTCAGGGCAAACGGCTCGCATTGAACGGCGCTGCCCGCCCGCGCCGCCCACGTCGCTGTAGCCGACGCTTCGAAACCCGGCAATCCCGAAAGGTAGGTAGGGATTGAAATACACTCGTATCTCTCACCACATCTATCATCTCACAATGTCCAGCAAACAGACCAAACTCAGAATCGCCTTGGCTCAAAACTCCCCTATCAATGGTCCAGAAGGAACTTACAACCCTGAGACTTCTAAAGATCATCCGTTCGCATCCGTTCAAAAGAATCTCGACAAGGCCACTGAATTCGTAGCCTCTGCCGCAAAGCAAGGTGCAGATGTAGTCGTCTTCCCAGAATACTTCCTCCAGGGGATCGTCAACGAGGGACGTCAGGTGAGCCATACGTACAACTACCGCTCACTGCAGTACCTCTGCCTGTCCTCTGATCATCTGACCGCTCACCTTCAAGACTTGGCTAAAAAGCACAATATTTCCATCGTCGGTACAATCGTACACGGAAAACTCCCTTCGTCGCACAGCGCAGCGTTGCCATCCGTCTCCCCATTCACCTCATCCGATGCAGCACGCAAAGAATGGGTCGAGTATCTCAAAGCCAACCCACCGAGCGATGAACAAGTCGCCGAACCGACCCTCCACAACACCGCGTTCTTCATCGATGAGAACGGCAGAGTCCTCGGAGAATACATCAAGAAGAACCTTTGGCACCCGGAACGAGACTATCTCACGGCTGGAGAAGAGTCTCACGAAGTGTTCGACACAAAGTGGGGCAAGGCCGGATTCTTGATCTGTTGGGATATCTCACACCCCGCCGCCGCGCAATCCTTAACGGACAAGAGTGTGGACATAGTCTTCTGCCCAATCTACTGGCTCGGAACAGATAGCGAGCCGTAAGTGAGCGGCATAGACACTGTTGACATGGCATCAAAGAGCAATCAATGACCACGAGCATGACGAGGACTATGAGCGCCAGTTGACTTCCGCCCTATGCTTTGCCAGAGCTTTCGAAACGGAAACTGTATGGATCATGTGCAACGCCGGTGGAAACAATGAAAAGGACCTCATTGGAGGAAGCGGCGTCTGGGCACCGCTCAGAGGTCGACTTGGTGGCTTTGACGGATCAGATGAGGCTGTCAAGGTGATTGACATTGACCTGAAAGTTCTTGAAGTGAGTCGTAGCCTCTATTCCACTAACGTGCAGGATGGTCGTAAATGGCATAAAATTCGTGAAGACCACAGCAAACGTCAAGCGACTTAGAGCCACAAGAACCTTTTGAAGGCGTAATCCACCCGTTGTAATAGTGATGTCGATTTTTGCGCTTCTGTCAAGCTGTCCAAGTCAGTGAAATGAGAATTCTGTCACTCACCTGACGACGTCCTTGTCAATGACAAATTTGTCCAGTGGGTTGACACGGCGACACTGATCAGAAATGCGCTTGACGATCCGATCTGCGGCCTGTCGACAAGTCTCATTTGCCCCTCCCTCGTCGTCCGTCTCACTGTCCTCAATCGAGGTGGGTCGAACGGCGAATTCCCGGGGCAATATCTTGAAGGCGAAGAATTCAGTGGTGTGAGGGTCAAGATCATCTCGTTGTCGGGTCTCGAGTTCATTCACCTCCGGCGAGGTGGTGGGTGATCCGATACCATGCCCAGCACGATTACGTAGCGAGTACGTGCTATACCGGGTGTCCTCGTGGACGGGTGAAAAGGAAACGATGAAGCCGGCGTTCTGAGTTTGTCAGTGATCGTATGATGAAAGCACTTACCTCTGAAACATCGCGCCCCGCTTCCTGCAGTGGCGAAAGAATGTACGCGCCTTGAATCAGCTCGACAACAGCCGTCACTTACCTTTTTGTATCGAAGTGATCGACTTGAGTGGGATGCGGCTGAAGCCGACCACTTTCTCCAGAGAGTAATTGAACGACACAACGTACAAATTGATTTTCGTCTGACCGTCAGCTCTGCTCGCCACAATCACGAACCAGAAGCAAAACCTTTTCCTCCAGCTTGAGCGTGAGCCTGACGTTCCGGTCCTCAGGTGACAGCATTGTCCATCCCGCGATTCTCTGCTCGTCCTCCTCCAAGACTCGCGCCGAGCTCGTCTCGACTTTTATGTCAGCGCATGCGAGTCAGTCAGTCCACCCACTCGCTGCCGCTCGGACGCGTGACAACTTGATCAACGTCGAAGCATCTGAGCTCTCTAAATTCTCCAAGAATTCGTTAAAGACGCCAAGATTACGATGTCCGAGGAGAAAGGAAATGACTGCTTGGTCGAAAAAGTCCGACACGGCCCCATAGAACATTCGGCTGATCGAGCTGATTCCATCGTGCAGCTAATGGTAAGCTCAATTGACATCGCGGCCTACCATGCCTTGGACGTCTCGCTTTCCAGTTCGCACGAAATCGCCCTTGAGTGCAGACGTATGCGCATAGCATAAGCTCAGCATGTCTCCGTTATTGGCCCAGACTGCAGGTCAGCATTGGTCGTCCTGGCGTCTCACTATCATTGAAGACTCCCTCAATATTGCTCGTGGATGAGTCCGGAATCAGTCCAAGCTGAGTCAGCATCGTCGAGAGCACGTGTCTGGCGACAGCCGATTGGACCACATTCGTTCGATCCAAGCAATCGATGCAGCTGGCATCAGCTTGCGTAATAATCGACCCTCACTTGGTCCGGAAAGCTCCGTTCTGCTCGCGGATCGACTCTCCCGACAGGGACCAGAGGTATCCCATCTCCCCAAAGTCCAGCATTTCGACCAGCTCTGAAATGTTCTCCCATTTCATGCCATGGCATTTGGCGTGAAAGTCAAAAGCGTGATAACTGCCATTAGCTCGATCCGGCATCTCACTCACGTCAAGTCCTTCCGAGCCAGGTTGTCCACCAATTGACCATATCCATTGGTCACGGCGCCTTCTTTGCCAGATTGCTCTCCAAGATTTACGATGGTCTACTGATCAGCTGCGCTGCGGCTGGGGACTCACTATAGGCCCGTAACGACTCTCGAAATCGTCAAAGTGGACGTTTGCTACAGAGAAGGACTGATCCACGGGCTGATCAAGTACCGGCGGCGGTTTCATAGAGTACGGACTCTGAGACCACTTCAACGGAATGGACCCTCTGACTTGCACAAAGCTGAACAGTGAGGCTTTACCTTCAACCTGAGGAATGAGCTTTGTCCCGAATGTGACCCACCTTGGCCCTGACGATCATCTCTGTCTCCACCATGTTTGCCACGTGTCCGTCATCATCGATACCTCTACGCTGGAATCTGAGCCCAGCTCGATCTCGGCTCCTGCGAGAAATGACCACCAGATCTACGGGAACAACACCACCACTTGGATCCGAAACGTTGCCCGATATCGGTATATTGAAGCTCGATGACTGTATCCAGCCTTGAGAAATGGGCAAGATGAAGGAATGTAGACCAGCTTCGATAAATTCGTGAAGCAGGAATTCGTTCCAGAAAAATCGACGATCCACACGACGCCAAAGAGGCACCTGCACATCGGGCTCAACAAAATCGTCCTCGATCACAAACGTCTCCGACGCATTGGCAGCCTTGCCGAGGATCTCCGAGGCTGTTGGAGGGAATGTGCCTGATGATTCAGTCGCCAGTTCTGGCGACTTTGGCAACAGTGTTTGCAGAGCCGTACTGGATGCTTTTCGGGTGGCCAACCGACGACGTTTGTGCTGCATGGTGTGAGTCAGATCGAAATCAAAGCTGTAGAAGAATGCACCCGAGGTGAATTCTCGAATGATCTGCCTTAAGATTTTGGTCTCGAGTTGGCGGCGCTGAGGCGGATCCATTGGTGGAGGATGGGCCCGAGCCGACTCTTCGGACATTTTGCTTTCTGGCTCGGGCCATTCCGGTGCGCGCGGTGTAGCCTCGGGATCTACGATATGAGAGTCGCGTAGCAGACCGTCCAGCTCCCCATTCTTTGGCTGGTTCCCTGTGGCTCGCACCGCCCCAAGCTGCGAGGTGAATTTGCCCCAGCCCATACTAAAACGCTTCTTCATGTCGTCCTGCGTGGCCGGAAGCTTGAGGGGGCTCTCATCTGCCTCTGGAGCAACGCTGCTGTCTCGACTAGGCTGAGACGAGAGGGCCGATCCTCCGGCAAAATTACTCTCCCCATCATCATCCGAGTCGTCCGACGCTTCGGAAGCAGGCTCCTCGGGACCTTCCGTTGGGGCAGGCGCCTTGATATTAAGACCCGATAGGAATGGCCATTTCGCAGGTTTGGCCCTTCGTTTTAACTCAAATACTCAGCAGGACCCACGCAGGCACCTACCTGTATCGATTTGAGTCTGTCCATGGCGTTAACCGCCAGATCATGCGTCAGAGGTATAGGGTGCACATCTGCAAGGCAGTGAACCAAGTGCGAGCTCGGACCTGCCTCTCTTCTTCGCTCATCAGTGTCCTCGCCAACTTTGGGGTTGACGTGGTCGCGGAAGAGAGGAAAGGGAGGGCGTAAGGATGGAAGAAAGACAAGCAAATAAGCAGCTGGACAGGTTGAGCCCTAGTCTGATTGATTACACTCACCATCCCAAAGTCTCACGAGACCGAGTATACCGCCAAGCTCAATGGCCTCGTCGTCGTGGATTTGCACGCGACCCTCCCAAGATTCCACCTTGCCCTTGAGACCCCACGATATTTTGACCCCCCTCTCATCATTGTCACTGTCCCCAATCGAACCAGCATCTCCGTGGACATCTTTTCTCGGAACGATCAAAAGGCAGTCATCTCGAACCACAAGAGAAAGCTTTCGATGTATGGTGGGCGGCATCGGAGGGACCGTGAATCGGGGTGGGAGACTATGCGACGAGGAAGAAGCAGAATGGGTATGACCCTTCTTCCCTTGCATGACTGAGATCTCGAGCTGGACGTCGAAGTCGAAAGAAGTCAACCGACCCCTTTTGCGACAACAAAACTGGAATGACGTTGTGGCACGTGGCAGTGCCCCCTATCGAGCTGTCCTCTGAGCCGTATCAGTCGACATGCATGCTGCCGGCGCGTTGACGGCGTTGATGGCCGTCTAAAGGGTGGATTCAAGTGCAAGATGTCTCCGACAAAGTGTTCACACCAACTCACAGCTGCTTCTACGACGATCGCCGCTGCTTATGGATCCGAGGCGCCGGTGGCGGCTCGCTCCGGCTTGCCGGTTACGCTTCGCTCGTCGCGCTAGGACAGAACCACGATTGAGATAACAATCCTGACTTGAAACTCGTCTGCTAACCACTCTGCGCCGTAACACGAGAACAGAGAACCCACGTCTGGCTCACATATTCGTCTGCTCCTGAAACCCTCCTTTCATCCAGCACCTCCTGATCCTTGGATGGGCAACCGCCTATCGAGTCTCAGTCTCCTCAGAGTCACCTCGCTCCCTTCGTCGAAGTCCTACTAGCTACTAGCTGAGAAGGCGGACGCTGTATCCCAGCTCTCGGACGGACTAGGCTATCTATAAGAGTCTCCACAGCCTTTGTGCCACCTGCTCTCGGCCCATTCCTCATCAGACTACTGTGTTACCCGTGAGGCAGCCCACCATGTCCACGCCAGAATTGGAACAGATCCTCAGACTCTTACAGAATCTCAGCAAGTCTCATGAGGAGCTTGCCAGCAAAGTGAGTCACAGCTCGCGATCTGACTGATGCTCTACTAGGTGGACGCCCTCACAGCGCGCTCAACAACCAGTAACGGCCTGGCCGCACCATTCTCTACTCTAACTGCCTCCCGCCCCTCGACATCAGTTACACCCAATCGGTCGCTTGCCGGAGGCGGCATTGACACGTCTGCGCCTCCTTCACCTATCTTGACGGGTACAGACAATATTCCTTGCGGACCAGCGGCGAGCGTACCCGGTCCCAACTCTACTCCTGGGTCGCCAACGAATCCTGCTGATTCGTTGAGCCACGGACTCCCCTCGCCGCGTACTGGAGGAGGGGTCGATGCGTTTCGCAAAAGGGCGTCATTCTCTACATCTCCTTCCACTGGGTTCGCTACACCCCGGAGCGGAGCAGCTAATGCTGCGTATGGGATCAAGGGCATGCCGCCGCCGGGGGCAACAACCCCTCCACGCAAAGATTCAGAGGGCAAGAAGGAAGGACTGTATCCGTCACGTGTAGTTCTCACAAGTAGGTTGGACGTCCTGACCAATCTGATATCTCAGCCTATCCGAATCAAGCTGGAGTCAATCCAATCCCGATCAATTGGGGAGGTGGACGTGGGTTCCCTGAGCGAAAATCTCTAACCGATTAGCAAACGGTCAGGATCGTGGTCCGGTCATTTGTTCAAGGATAAAGTCAAACTTGCCCCTCCGAAATGCCATTGGTGCGCATGCAGGCTCATACTCCATCTTTCGAGCCCTGAGTATCGCCATGGGAGAATTGCGACCGGACTGGCGACCGGACCTCCGAAACACTCAGCCGCCCTTCCAGCTCCCGCCCATGCCTGGCTGGTTTGGCGATGGAACAGGCAAAGGCGAGGAGGGAAATCAGAAGAATTGGAAGATTGTCTCGTTTGATCCTTTCGGTGCCATGTCCCAGGAGATCTGGGAAAAGGTGAGAACGAGGTGAATGTGGACTGATTATTCAGGAATACGCGCAAGGACTCGACGTCAGACCCACGATCGCTCAGACCAAGGCGCACATCAAAATCGAAGAGCTGGACGACCTTGCTAGGAAGGGCGACTTTCCCGTCGACGGTGAAGTCGTCATCAAGTCGTCAGAACTGGCAGCTTTCCCCGGCGTTGATCAAGGTGTCGAAATCAATACTTACAAGGCAGCTATTGATCCAGTCTGGTTTTTACCCGGAATCGCCGAGCGAATGGGTATCGAAGAATCTACATTGCGGAGGACTCTCTTTGAAGACACTGGAGGTGAGTCGGACTCCGGGTTCAATGGCTTATCCCTCGAGGCATGTACCCGGAACTGTTGACCCGCCCCGATATCAAGATCTTCTTGCCACCTGTCGGCGGGATGACCGTTTACATCATGGGCGACCCAGCCAAACTACAAGATCCGAATACAGAGATCACCTGTCGACCGCACGACAGTTGCGCCGGTTCCGACGTATTTGGAAGTGACATCTGCACGTGTCGGCCTTACCTCATCTTTGGTCTAGCTGAAGCCATCAAGTGCGCTCAGCGTGGCGGAGTAGGTGTCGTGGTCTACTTCCAGAAAGAAGGTCGAGCTCTGGGCGAAGTTATCAAGTACATGGTCTACAACCGACGCAAACGTGGTGGAGATACTGCTGCAGAGTACTTTAACAACACTGAACGTGTTGCCGGTGTCAAGGATGCTCGACATCAGGAACTGATGCCCGACGTCTTGCATTGGTTGGGAATCAAGCATATCACGAACCTCATCTCCATGTCCAACATGAAATATGACGCCATCATCAATTCCGGTATCACGGTCAAGAACAGGTACGAGATCCCAGAGCATCTCATTCCCAAGGATGGAAGTGTGGAAATTGATGCCAAGGCGAGTTTTTGCGTGCGGATTTTCGCTTACGTTCAGATACAAGCCGGATACTTTTCGACCAAGAAGATGACAGGTGAGGCTCTCATGGCGACCAAAGGGCGTGACTGGGGTGAGTGAGCAATCTACAAATCAGGCTGACACTTGTAGAGGACCTGGTTCATTAGACTTTCTCATTTTGCCGAGTTCATTCGCCACGAATCCACTATGCATTATGTGTCCTAGTACGGAACGTATGCGTTTGGGTGCCATTGCGTCAGACGTCTCTGAGCGGCTCTAAAAAGCTGCATATCAAGAGACCGATCAATCCGTCTTCGCTGCGCCCGACCTGAGAGTCTCAGCATTGAAAGAGGGGATTTCCGACTCACCAAGACACCGTCATTCTCCACTCCAATTTGAGGGTAGGGAAAGCTTGGCAGCTCATCGATACGGCCCACCTCGTAGAATACGCTGAGTTGTGAGTGATCGCTCATGCAGGCATCGACTCACTCGAACAAATCACCGACCTTCATCGATAGGAATCGGAGACCTCGATACTTTTTGCTGCCCCAAACTCGAATGTCACTGGAAGTGACTCAGTTGTGGTCAAACGGCCAGCTCACAAATCGGCAACGCAGGCGCATTGGTACAAGACAGGCTCTTTCCTCCATCCTTCCGCCGCATCGACCTTCTCTTTGGACGTGGCACGTGCAATGCTCGGAGACGCCTTGCTGATTACTTTCTCGGTGTTCTCTGAGGGTAGACCTAAACCTAACCCTGTCCCATCACGTCTAGCGCGAGGCAGAGTGATATCTGCATACGCGGTGGGATCAGATGTCGCTCGGTTGGTCGAACTCGTGGATGACTTGACAGGTGACAATCCAAGACCCTCGAAGATTCTCCCCGATTCGTCCGACGAGATTTTTGGCAGGCCGAAAGAGTACCTCGAGGGGTCACCTCCGAGGTGCGAAGCACTGGAGGGCCTGGAGGCCCGAGCGCTGAGGTCAGATTTCGAAGGTGGCCCACCAGGGGTACGAGGAGATTTCGTTTGCGTGTCGGTCATTTGCGAACGTCTGTAGCCGTCGATCTGAGGGGATTGGCTCGCAGACGATGGACGAAGTGAATTGGCACGCGCTCGCGAGGAGTTACTCTTCGGTGGACTGGGTGGTTTGTCGTCTGCGTTGGACGGTAAGGTATTGGCGCCGTTAAAACTGGCAAGGCGAGTCGGCAAAGCCCGGGCTGAGGGGTTAGCTACGCACCATTAAGCTTACTCACAAGGCTGTCCGAAATTGAAATGGTCAAGAGCTTGATTGTACTGTGACCAATCCTGATGCCAGCCTTGGACAATGTCTCTGCCCGTTCCCGGCTTGGCTGGCGGATCTGATAGTTCGATGGAAGCCGACTTGCGACGAGGAATTGCGAACCAACGCTGCTTGAATGACTCAAAGATAGCATTCACCGAATGGTGATACCGAGCTTGACAATGCGCAAAAGCCGTGATGGAAATATCTAGCAATCTGGCATAGCCATCCAAGAACGTGGGGAGCTCATGAACGAGTTGAGCGTGAAGCGACACAAAGTCTCGGGCGGATATAAGCAGCATTCTGTCAATGGGCCGACGACTGTCTCGCTGTGTAACGTATCGGCTGTATTCTGATAGCTTGGCGTCCCGGCGGGATATTACTCGTCGCGGATTGACAGCTGCTTGCAAAAGTTTGGCCAGACAAGGCATTACTTGGGCCTTGATTTCGGCATTCTAAAGGCTTGATGAGAAAACGATGAGGCTCATGAACTCACAAGGACAGTCCACGGACCAGTCAGCGCATCCTTGAGAACTACTCTGAAAGCCTCCAGTCGGTCAGCAGGCACGTTGGGATCCTCCAAGCGAATGACTCGAGTCCAGGCGTGAACCAACTGATCTTCGGCAAACAGCACTTCCTTCACTGCGGCGATCCAGAATACAATCTCCTTGCCCATACGTTTCACGACGATTTCGTATTCCTCCAGACGCTCGGCCAAACTCTTCATCAGGGACAAGGACGCCTCGGAGACCTCCAACGCCGCATTTGTCTCGCTTGCCGTCGAGGTGGAGGACGAGTTGGTCAAAGACATGCCTGCCGAGCTCTTGTCACGTCGGAAAAGCTTCAAGGCTTTGGCCTTGCCGCTCTCCTTGGCCGGGCTGGTAGCGCTGAGACTCTTTTTGGGTCCCAAGGCATATGCAACAGCGTCTTTTCGACGCTTCTCTTCGTCAATCTCGACCGCAAGGGACCGAGCCATCTCGGCAGCAGAGCGGATGTTGTAGTAGTCTGGATGGACGGGAGTAGTGCACGCCAATAGGTCATCGAAAAGAAGCGGATACTTCGTTATCCGTTGCACTGGTTTGATAAGCATCGAGTCCAGATTCCAAGCGTGGGTCTTAGACTTGATCTGCTCCCAGCACTGCTTGAGGAATGCCTGGTAAGCCGGGTCTGCCTGAAGCTCAATCAGGCGATCTGTGGCTGCAGCATGTCGTGCGCAGTAAAAGAGGTACAACGGCCGGAGTCGCGGAAGCTAGACGGATCAGCCAATTTTGACGGAAATTGACTTACAACACTGATGAATGCCTCCCCTATGGTATCGTTGCCGCCATCACCTTCGCGGGCCGAAGCAGCTTCGTCGTGCCCCACTGCCAACTCAAGCGCAGTCGCCATTTCCTCGGCTCCAGCTGCCAAGTGATCAATATTGGAGAAAATGACACGCATGTCATTGCTGGATAAACGTTTAGCAGTCACGGACGCGCCCGAGATCGAGATGAAGGACGATCGTTTGCTCGCCAAAGCGCTAGGATTGAGGCTGAGCAGTGAGCCGGAGCCTGCCGCGGCATGGTGTGGGTGCTGTCCAAAATAGCCCATCACGTTGATGGCTGCGTCTACGCCAAGGGGCAAACGACTGGACGACAGAGGGGTTCGAGCTCCCTCACCAAGGTTCAGATTTGATCCACTCGCTTGCCGAGAATGGATTGGGCTGACAGGTGAGGTGGAAGGATCCCCCAAAAGAGGAGGTGTGGACGTTGGATCCCGGAAGAGATAGGCGTCACGGACCAGAGCGAGGTCGGTGGCGTAAGCTCGTTCGGTCATTGCGATTTCTCGAAGCAGGTGTGCCCGTTTGGACCCACTGGGAGTCGATGGCTTTGGAGATAGGGATGGAGCGGTAGGCGATCGGCTGATTGCCGATGGCAAGAGCCGTCTCGAATCCGCCGATAGCTGAGTACGTGAAAGCGCTGTAGAGGATGGAGCGGAAGAGTCCTTAGACTTCTGATTTGGGCCCAACATCGGAGCTGACGGTGAACGGACTGGTTTCTTCGGGCCAGCCTTTCCGTCGGCATTGGTCGCAGGATGCCCGATGGAGGCAGTCGTAGAGGACATAGAGCGGATGGTTGCAGCAGACACAGCTGTAGCCGGGGATTCGCTCATCAGACCAGAGTTGGGCATTTCGTCGGGCATCAGCAGCCGCGGGAGCGGCGGTAGCTGACTATCAGCAACCTATCAAAACAAAAAACGCACCTTGAGGTCAGATAAAGCGTCGGAAACTACCTCTCGCTCCTGCACGGAGCCTCGCTTGCGACCCCAAACATCATCCAGATTACTACTTCTCCGCCTATCTAGATCTTCTGCCCTCTCATCATCCCGCTCGTGCAGAACCCGCTCGACCGATCTGATTGAGGGTGAGAGATCGGTTTGTATCCATGGACTGCTCGGTCCAGAGTCTGATAGGCGAGATACTGGCGGGCCCGCGTCTACCGAGTAGATCGATGGGTAGGCGGCGGACGTGAATCTGATATCGCTGGAACGAGGACTGTCCAGGGATCGGCGAGGGGAGCTTGGAGGTTTCGGCAACTCCCCTTCCTCCATTTCAAAGAACTTTGACCCTCGACGCTGACCACTGGCTCTCCGCTGCCTGCCAGCGGGCAGATTCGTGTCGCTGGCAGAAGCCCTCGTAACAGAACTGGAGGAAGTGGTGGCGGAGGTAGATGGACGATCGGGTATGGGACTAGGAATGGGAGGTGATTCGGTAGCAGCAGGTGGTGCAGGAGTATTCTGATTGCTAATAGAGCGCAAAGGACTCTTTGCTGGAATTGGCGGAGTGACACCTACTATACTCCTTCGAGACAAGGCAGGGTCGACCGCAAGGCCAGGAGCTTTGCGATCCGCAAGCGGCACTGGAGCCGGTCGTGAAATGGAAGAAACGGAGACAACAGATGGTGACTTGGATCTATGTGTTCCATCCGTGAAACTGGCGGTATCGCTGTCATCCTTCCGCAAGAGGGCGTCATAAGGTGCTCCAGTCGCCAGTGGATCCGTTCTTGAGCTCGCTCGAGGCGATATTGACGGACGAATACTGTTAGCAGGAGATGAGGGTTCAATTGATGACCTGCGAGGAGGGATATCGATGCGCATTCCTCGCGATCCATCCTCCGAGCCTTCCCTATCAGTGTTAGAAGTGTGGCCATCTTCGGATATATAAGGGGTATCAGACGCCAACGTAGACATTTGCAAAGCTCGAGGGGATGTACTGGGAGATGACAGGTGCACCGAATTTCGTTGCGACACCAGATACTGCGAGTCCGGAGCAGACGATCCCAGGGTCAACGGTGTCTCGGACCGAATCAACGACATCGCAGAAGGTGAGCGCATGTCGGGAGTTGGAGGATGCACCGGTATCGATAGTGATGACTGAGAGGCTGATGTAAGGATTCGACCTGAATCACCTTTAGGAGAAGTACCGGCTGGGCTACCCTTACGAGGATGATCTACATAAGATGACGGAGCCTTGCTAGGAGATAGACGAGGAATATTCGAGGGTGGTAGGGAAGCAGTCGGATGACGCAGGCGTGACTTGCCATCCGATTCGAAAGACCCAGGCGTAAAGCTGTCCAGTGCGCCAAACTCCTGGTATGAGGAGGAAGGGAGCGTTCCATCACTGGTCCATGAGTCGGGCCTGCTTCCCTTCCTGGGAAAAGAGGACGTCCTTGGTGAACCAGCTCCAGTGGACGGCCGTCTAGGTCCCTGCGGGCTCGCTCCCAGTCTCTGACCAGACGATCTTCGTGACTTGGAAAGCGTTGTTGACGAGGACGACGGTCGACCAGGTGGCGTCCGAGGTGATCCCTGAGCTGGAGTCGGAGGCTTACTCCTGGAATCTGGGCGTGAGGGAACCACTCGGGGTATGCCCGATGAGCTCTCGCGACTGGGGGAGACTCGGGGCGAATCTCCTAATTGTCTCGACCCTTTCCTGCCCGGGGACGAACGACTGGATCCAGAGGATTTCTCCGGTGATGCCCGGGCAGACCTGGAAGGAGAATGACGGAAACTTGAAGGACCTGGAACAGCGTTCAATCCAGGTGACCTGGGATATCGTGATGGGGAGCCGGCCAGCCCCGGGGACGAGCGATTCCTGGGAGTGTTGTAGAGAGAGGTGCTGGGAGATTCCAGGGGCGAGGTCTCGCGCAAAGAGGCTGGGGCAGACATTATGAATGGCTTCAATATGACTGATATGAGACGATTGGCGCTCCTCGACCTATATCTGATCCCTTGACGGGATCATAGGCCCTGCCCAGTGCATATTCCTCCCCCGTCTCAAGGATCGTTTGCGTGACACCAGACCTCGAAGTCTACCGAGTTTTAATTTCACGAAAGCACAAGGACTGGTCGGCAACCTCGTCGTGTTCCAACGCTATCTCCCGGTATATTTCTTGGGAGTACGATCTAGATAGGCAGCGCAGTTGATGCACTACAACTGACAACGAGAGATTCCCAAGGTCAACATGACACCTGTCAATCGCGGTCCGACGCAAGAGGTATCCGTTTTACGTAATTTGTTCTACCTAGGTCTTTAAGCCCTTTAGCTTACATGTTGAGGAGCTTCACGGACGACCAACATGAATGGCACAGCGAGGACCGCGAACGGCGTCGGAGGGCCGATGCATCAGTACGGTGGGCCATCTAAACGTACAAAAGCTGTTGTGAGTACCCTTTCATGGGGCAAAGTAGTCTGATGGAGCCAGGCTGTTGAGGAGGATGCAACGAAGCTGCAATTTGGAGGCGAGTGTTGACCGTGCTCGAGGACTTTGGCGCTAACTTTCTTCAGACTTTGCTGATGGGGAAGCTCTGACACCAATGGATGTAAAGACAGTTCTGGAAGCAGTGAGATCGGCACCTGGTGCTCCACCAGCTCCGGACAACAAGCGAGTTTAAAGGTCGCTTGAAGCTTGATATTAACAGCACTTGGCAGAGTTTACAAAGCAGCCTCAGAATACATCAATCAATTCTCAAATGCGTCGACAGAAATGGTAGAGTCTATGCGGACGTGAGTCAGGTCCCTCTCGCTCTCAACGTACGTCTGACCTCACAACAGAGCACTTTCGGCTCGACCTGGGTTTCTCAACAAGTTTGAGATTGCTCAAATCATGTATCTCCGCCCGTCAACCCTGATAGAGGCTGTGACGCTGATACCGAGGTGAGCGGAAAACTCATGCAGGAGCTGATCGCCCAGTCTGGAACGGTATCATAACGGAGACGAAGACCAGCGGATCCTGGAACAACTACTCGAGGACATAAAATTGATGGCGAGATACAACAGCCGGGCCTGATCTCGCAAGGTCAACAGCAGGACAATGGTTGATCAATGTACAACAGATGTAATGCTATGCGAGGTCCTCTAATACCGGGGCAGTTTGATGATTCCTCCGTCTTCTATCCACTTGACCAGCTCCTGCGTCACTTTTACCTGACAACCGAGCCTGCTCTGGCCATCTCTATAATCTATTGCGTACCCTAGCATATCGAGCTCCTCTTCTGACGGCTCAGGTACTGGTGGAGGCGAACCTGTAGGAGGCAGATACAGGTGACAGGTGGCGCATTCGAGATTTCCTCCACAGACTCCTTCAAGAGATGGTAAACCGTTTTCCTTCCCTATTTGCAAGAGACTGTCTCCGAGACGAGCATTGACTTCCTTGATGTCCCCTTCAAATGTTTCGAAACGGATCCTGACGGAGGATCCGGCGGCGTTGCTGACAGTTTGGGCCTCGCCTGGGTCGACCTGGTGCCACAGCTCTCCTTGCTGCTCTTCAGTCAGCCCGTAACGACCACGCCAATGCTTCCAGAGACTGCTGCGCAAGGGTCGACCCGTCATGATGTGACTCAGGAGCGCCGGGGCGTGCTCTGCCGTCAAGTTGGACAGCATGTCCAGCGATGGCGCAAGAATAGCATTGGCGGCATATCTGCTGAGTCAGCAAGGTCCTTTCTTTCGCGTTCACTTGTGACCTCCAACGTGGGCAATCTCACGCACAGCCACAGCATCGACTGCTCCTTTCCGCTCAATTTCTTTCCGCAAAGCGGCTACCAGTGAGCCCCCGCGATCTGAGCAGCGGCAGTCTCTTGCTCCATGAGTACAGACAAATATCTCTTGTAGTCCTGTTACGTTTCGACCTGACGATGTGGCAAGAGCCTTGACCGGATCGGGCTTGTAGTTGGCGTCTCTCATGACATTGTGATCCTGCAGTGAGTCGAGACGGAACTCAGGATACTCAAATGTACGCCCGTCCGGAAACAGTAGCCGGGCTGGGTATGTTTCTTCTTCGATCGGAAGGTGCTCTGCGGCACCCGAGCCATCGTAGTAGGCGTTGACCGCAAGCCCGTTGCGCTTGAAGACTTGTGACGCCGCTGACAAGAGCGGAGAGGCGAACTCTAGCTTTGCCGGCCAGGCCGAGGGCGGAGCCGGGAGGGCAAGTAGAAAGAGACCTTGCCGAGCTGCGAGCGAGCGGGGCAGTGGAAGGGGCCAAGGATCGTCCTGCGCTGAAGTGGAGTAGAACCTTTGGAGCTGGAATGTACGAATCCCAGGCTGCAGCAAGACTGATCGTTTAGCGATCCATTGCATGGTCTTCGAGGAGACTCAAATGGTTAGAACAGTCAATAATCATCGAGATTCGGAATTCGCCTTTCTGTAGTGGCACATGATTTTGGAGCTGATCGCTACTGCGCCATCGAGATCTCTGCATTCCGCAGGTTCTGCATGGTCATGCATCGGATGCAGAGTCTCAGCAAGGCAGCTCATGAAGACTAGTGCTCTTCCCATCCAGCTCTGAGGGGAAGGATGACTTCTCAGAACCAGCGAGCCAATCCTCAGCGGGCAATTCCACTGGATGAGTGACGTCTCCACTGAGCTCCACCGGCTCGGGTCCATGCACCTGAACACTGGGGACTGAGACTGATGTTGTGATTTGGGCTCCGGAATCATTGAGATTAGTCGAGGCTAGCCCATCCCGTGGGAGCCCGCTTCCTATGCTCCACGCATTGTCTGTGGCAAGTCTCGACATGCCAAAGAGAGCGGTCATGACCGAAGCTGATGAATGGCTTCGGGAAATATGGTCCAGTGGCCGCAGTATCACTGAGCGGAACATTCTGTCTGGGATACCCGAAGTTATTGAATCGAGCGAGAGACCTGGAGCTCGAGCTTGAGAGTCAGATCGTCTCCGAAAGACTCTTCCCAAAATGCTCGAACTCCGTCTGGTTTGGCCTGGTGAGAGCAAGTCATTCCCCGCCAATTCTTGAGGCCCCTCGGTAACCTGTAGAGGCGCAGGAACTCCAAAACTATCAGGGCCATAAGGTACTTCTCGTCGGGTAGGTATAAGAAGGAAAGTCTTGGACCCTTGATCATTCTCTTCATTCTTATTTGATCGCCAGCCAATCGAAATAGACTTCATCTCCCCAAAGCTGGCAGGGAAGGCGGACCTAGGAGCTGCGGTGACAATCACAGCATCACTCGTGGTCCATTCCATATCTCTGCCAAGCTCAGTAATGTTCAGTCAGAAGTCGTACCTACCGTAAGATCTCTTGTGGTAGAGTCATTGGCTGCTGGATGGTGGTCAACTCATCCCAGCATCGCACTTCAGCTTCTTGCTTGTACCATGGATTATCGACCATTAGCTGCGATTGGCAGCTGCCAGTGCATGTCCCGAAGATATATCGGGCACTCTCGATGAGAGATTTCGCTTCTTCAGAGGTGCCTTCGGGAATGGAGATCAGAGTCTCATTAGGCTGTGTCTGTGGGCAGAGACCACAGCTCAGTCGGTAAGTCTGATTTCCAGAGTCATCAGCAGTGGGTAGTCTGTCCATCAGCAGATGAGTGTAAGTGCGCTCACACGGTTCAATGGAGGAACGGACCAGGACAAGAGAGCTCCCTGGAGAGCCCTCTACTTCGGAAATGCCAGAATTCATGGCTTGCGTTTGTTTAGCTAGTTGGAGGCAGAATTGGGTGACGCTGCTCAAGGGCCACCACTTATGTATGTATGCTCCAGTCGATGGCATGATGCCATCGGACTTTGTGAACCTGAAGGGAACGATCAGATAGACGTCTTCCCACGGGGACGTGGGAAGGGATGATGATACACCTGAAGGGAACGAGTTTGGATAAGTCAGAACAACGGAGCCTTTGGACGACTTGTCTCTGTACTAAGTGCAATTTCACATGCGCCTGTGCAGTGATGGAATCGGCCTTCAGGGACAGGGTGAGTAACAGCTCACGTGTAGATTATGAGGGTCGGTTGCCACACCGCTACGGACACAGTCTTCAGCGCTCAAGTGGCGCCACCAACTTGGTACAATTAAGGTCTTTCTCTTCGACGTGGGATGGGCCTCACAGAGAATGTCAATGCACCGCTGAAGAAGAACCAAAAAGCCACTGATTCAGATAACAGGTGGTGAAAGCTCATCATACACTCCTTTACCTACTACTGCTCCTTGTCAGTGCGTCCGCACACACTGTTGAGGATGGCCCTCTGACAACAGATGCTATGTCCGATCATCGCAATTCTTTTCCGAAAATTTGCCGCCAAAAGTTGATTTTCCGATCTTGTATCTTCAGTACGATTTGACCGTCAAGCTGATTATTCTGGTCTGTCTGGTTGAGGGAGCTCGAGTCATTCCATGGGCCCAGGGACCTTATTAGCTCGTACAGGGCTTAGGTCCCTGACACCATGGCGATGTACACGAAACATCCAGACCCGACAGGTCCACTTCATCAATGATCAGAATATTTCTCAGCTCCTTCCGACGATGCACGACCTGGTGCTCAAGCGGAACGACACTAGTATGTTGAACATGATTTCACGATTCTTCAGACTAACATCACCGTTTCACAGTCTATATGGCCATGTCTGGAGGTGTGGACTCATCGGTCGCTTTGAGGATACTTGCTGAGATGGTGAGTACGCGCTGAGCGTTGAGTACCTCACTGACCCTCACCAGCCTCTCAACATACACGTCTTCTTCATGAGAAACTGGGATGCTCAGCTGTCCGAAGCCCTCAGCGAAGCTTCTGCGGGTGATTACAAATCCCGGGACAGCTTCTTCTCCTACGCCTACCCTTCATCATCACCCGGGGTTCCCTCTTCTTCATCGTCCTCGGCAGTGACTCCGTGTGGTTGGGAACGCGATTGGGAGTCAGTACAGAGAGTCTGTGACCATGTAGGAATACCAAGACACAGAGTCAAGCTCGTCGACCTGAGTAAAGAGTACTGGAATCGGGTATTTGAGCCGTCATTGCGGATCTGGCAGGATGGGGGAACGCCAAATCCAGATGTTGCCTGTAATCGGTGAGCTGTTGTAGACTCGGAGGCAATGCTAACGAGTCACAGAGAGATCAAATTTGGCGCTCTGGTGGATTATCTCCGCCTTCCGAGGGATAAATTCAAGCGAGAACGGATACACGTTGCTACCGGTCAGTGGAACTTGACCGTTATAACTGACCGACGCTAATGTGCATCACCAGGCCACTACGCTCGTGTGGTCAGGACTCCTCACATCCAACGACTTTGTCGAGCCGTTGATCAGAACAAAGATCAAACGTACTTCCTCAGCTCCTTGACGTACCCACAACTCAATCATGTGAGTCGCCGATCTACGCTTAGAGTTGACGGACTGCAGGCGATATTCCCCCTTGGTCAATTGACGAAACCCTGGGTCAGGCATCTGGCGCAGTACTACGGACTGCCGACGGCATCTCGCGAGGAGAGTATGGGCCTGTGCTTTGTTGGCGAGCGAAAACAATTCGGCAACTTTGTCTGTGAGTATGACGAGGATATCGAGACATTGGCTGACCACCATCACAGCTCAATATATGTCATCGGACGATACTCAGGGCTCCCTGGTGGATATTAAGGGCAATGAACTTGGCTCGCACGGAGGACTCTGGCGTTGGACTATCGGACAACGGGCAAAGGTTGCTGGACAGGGCGAAGCCCTTTTCGTGGCCAAGAAGAAAGTTGGCGAAAAGGAACGGAACATATTAGTTGTCCCAGAGTGAGTTCTTGTTTTTTTTTTTTTTAGATCTCAAGGCATGCTGATGGACCCAGTGGGCATCCGGCACTTCGATGTACCCGTCTGCGAACCGGTCACTTTAAATGGATAGGAAGCCGACCTGAGAAGGGCCTCGCGCCTGGAGCGAAGAAAAGGGTGCAGATCCAGGTCGCCTATCGGATGCAGGCGGTCAAGGCTTATATTGGCGCAGACTGGGATTCAAAAGGGTAGGTGTACCCTCGTTCCGAGGAGTTCCTATCTCACCGTCTGCAGGATAATAGTCGATTTTGAGCAACCACAACCGGGCGTCGCTACCGGTCAAGTATGTGCAGTCTATATGAATAACTGGTGCCTTGGATCCGGAATAATCGAGGAGTTTTGGACGGAGGATCAAGTTCCGATTGATCCCTTCAACCCAGTAGGCAAGCAAGCTCGGTCTATCGGTTGGATCGAAGCAGGTAAATTGGAGCAGGCAAAGGACTTGTACCCTATCAGGAGATACACCGCGAGAGATCTCGAGCCCCCGAGCTCGAGGACAGACCAATTGCCGCCTGAAGAATTGAAGACTGCCAAGATCGAGGCACCTGGATTCTACGTCCAGAAGATCAGACCTTACGAAATGGTTAGAAAGAGGGAGCAAGCAGAAATCATGAGGGCCGAGGCTGCTATGCCCTTTGCTCCTCGGGACTCGGATGATGAGGTTCAAAATCGCATATCTGAAGAATCACTAGACTCTGTATCGTTGTATTATCAGCCATAAACAGGTACATGTTGTAGCATCTAGACAAGACACATGACAAGCCATTCAATTGCTGCTGCTGATTCCGGCTCACCGGAGTATTTCTTGATCCGTTTCCGTTTCGATCGGCAAAAGATGACGAAAAGAAAGAACCACGAAGACGCAAGCATACGTTCATCTCGCACTATCCAAGAGCTCTTCCAACTGAAAAGAGGATGTCACGAGTGACCAGCTTCCATAAAGTCTCAGGGCCGCTCACGATTCCTCGAGCGGAAGTCCTGGTGGAGAGGCTGACAAAAGCCCTTGTCGAACTGAAGGACGAGCAGGATCTGCACAGCTCCGAAGGTGGGTAAGAGCTCCTCGATCAGTGAGGGCCCGGCTGAGTAGTTGAAGGATCGACTGGCGTGAAGCATGATAGTAAAACTTGGGCCGGTTGGGATTGGCCTCAAGGCGTAGCTCTGACGGTCCTGTATCAAGTGAGGCAAGGCTCCTTGGAACCAAAAGTCGACGTAGCTTACCCGCTTCAGCATTACCTCCTGGATCCCAGCTCGAAAGGATCTCAGCTGTCGCTTAAGACTGCAGTCGAGTGGTTCGAAGCTCAATGGGAGCTCACAAGCGGCAGCGGCGCTCCGAAACATGTCAACTCTATGGCTGCGATGTACTGCCTCGCTTCCTTGCTACAAGATGGAAAGATCGAGGATACAGACGGAAAGTGGATCAAGTGGTGTACGGAATGGGCCGAATGGATCATGAACGACATGCCTAGGACGGTCGATGGTGGATTCCAGCATAGTGAGTTGGGACGACATACCTCAGATTCAGAGTACTGATACGACGCCAGTCGTACACGACAAGGAGAACAAGGATCAACTATGGGACGATACGCTCTTCATGGCTGTTCTTCCATTGACTCGAATAGGTCTGCTACTGGATCGAACGGAATACATCCAAGAAGCGGCTTATCAGCTTGTTCTCCACATGAAGTACCTGAGCGACCCCTACACTGGACTATGGACGCACGGCTGGCAATTCCAAGGCGAGTCAGGTGGACACCACTTTGCCAAGTCCTTTTGGGCTAGAGGTAACGCCTGGGTGGTATACGGTATTCCACTGTTCCTTGAGATCGCAGGAGATGTTCTCCCGGAAGATGATCCCGCTCGTCGAATGGTAGTCAACGAATATAAAAGGCTTGTGAATGCGTTGGCACCACTTCAGGACACCAGGACGGGTCTATGGCACACTCTTCTGGACGATCGAACGACGTATCTTGAGACGAGTGCAAGTGCTGGGATCGCAGCTGGAATCTTCGCAGGTGTCAGGCTGGTGAGTCAAACGATGAAAACTCTGTTGCGAGTCTAATCCTGTGATTAGGGAGTGCTCAGCGCTCGCAAATACCTACCTATGGCCAATGCGGCTTTGGTGGGAGTGACGGGCAAGATACTCCCTAATGGGGAGGTCGATGGTGTCTCGAGTGTTACACCTATGGGTGAAGATTTCACTCATTATCGTGAAATCCCCATCACACCGATGCCCTATGGACAAGCGCTAGTCATGGCCGCCTTGGTTGAATGGGAAAGATTGTACGCTCTGGACGAAGCGCCTCATAAGCATTCCTCTACAATCCCGGGATCCCCTGTTTCCCCTGTCACTCCCACATCTCCGGTCTCGCCTGTTTCGCCTGTCTCACCCATCTCTCCAACGTCACCCACCGCGCCTCCCATTCTCCGACAATACACTGCTCCGCTAGATCTTCCCGGTCGATACCCTACGGAACACGAGATCAGAGAGAGGGAAGAGGCCGAACGTCGGTCGCGAGAACCTACCGCGACGGCAGAGAGTCCTGCAGAACCCGTCATGGATCACACCTTGTCCACTCAATTCGGAAGGACTGTAGCTGTCATTGAGCCCGGAGGAAATGAGGATAGTGTTCCTGGTGGTTCTATCCTCGCCCAAGTAGAGAATGCAAGGAACCAGGAGACACAATAGATATGACCCTTAGACACGTCGCAGTGGACAATATGCATTTCCACCACTCGACTAAGAGCTCCTGCCTCTGCTGCGCAGCCCATCATCAACATAGAGAGTTGTTCCAAAAGTCCCTGGTGGTTGTAGCGACACCTGACATGCTCCATCTGCAGACATTTTATGACGCAATTCGGCCGCGAAGGTGCCCGCATGCATCACAGACTAGACACAGTCTCCAGGTTACATGATTCTTGCTCGTTACCTCTCCGCCGCCGTTGCTGCACAAGCTTGACTCTAACTCATCGCCCTGGGGTGACCCTCGGCCAGTGAAAACGTGCCACTGGAACCCATTTTGGCCGAACCGAAAACGTCACCTCGAATTTGGTCCGTATGAAATGCTGATTTGTCGCCCAACTGTCACTGTCTAGCACACTTGAAAGTGTGGATCTCAAACACCATGGCTGTCCCTCCCCGACTGATCAGACCAGCTGCTCAGATCAGTGCTGGTAGGATAGCTGGACCTTCACGACTGCCCATGCCGCCTGATTACTCCCAACCTGCTCGCTTACTCCTTCGCCCGCTCTCTCACTCAGCGATAGTCCAGAATCGTCTGCGCACAGCATCAGCATCTGAGCGTCATGTGCGCTTCTCTCATCCCATCATTACCGGGAGTTATCCACCTGTGCGCCTTCGACGATTCGCCTCAACAATAGTCAAACCCTCAGCCTCGTCTCATTCACATTCCCACTCGTCCTCATCTGCCCCTCCGCCGGATCCAAGTCCAGAACCCGAGCCCACATCCGCCTATGGCCGTTTCAAACAACTGTCAAAAAAGTACGGCAAGTATGCCATCGCAGTCTACTTTGCACTGAGCGCTGTGGATTTGTCCATAACCTTTGGTATCGTTCATGCTTTTGGAGCCGAACGTATCGAACCTGCTTTCAAAGCCATCATCCATCAATACAGAAAGATCCGTTATGGCGAAGAGGAGGCTATAAAGATTGAACAGGATCATCAGCGAGAGACAGAGGCAAAGCGTATGGAGGAAGAGGCCGAGTTGGCAAAATTGAGTCCAGAGGAAAGGAAGAAGAAACAAGCATCAACGTGGGGCTCGAGGACGTTCTGGGCAGAACTCGTTCTTGCCTATACAATCCACAAGACGTTGCTGTTGCCCGTCAGAGCTGGATTTACAGTGGCTTGGACGCCGCCGTTGGTCAAGTGGTTGACGGCACGAGGATGGGTTGGAAAAGTGAGTCGGGTCTTCACGCTTTGGCGGCCAAAGTTGACCTAGTGCTCTCAGGGAGGATTAGTTAGAGCCGCAGAACACGCTCGCGGCAGGGTTCAGACTGCTTCGAGCAAGGTTAGAGAGCGAGCTTCGCGGACAAAGCAGAGGACCGATCGCAAACGCGACTGAGGACACACCCTTTATAAAAAGCCAAGCGATGCGAGCCTTCTTTCCCTGCGCACGTATCAAGAGAGCATACATCCTACAATCCGTGTCTACATCCGTGTCAGCGTCCCTCGAACTCGTCCAGATCATTATGATGCCATTCTAAATCCCAGTCCTAAGTCGCCACTTTCCGCCTGCTCTACAATGTTCGCCGCCTACAAGATGATGCAGGACTTCTTTTGCTTGCGTTTCCCAGCGACATGATTCCGATTCGGGGGCGCCAGAACAGCTCTGATAGCCTCATCGAACACATTCTTCAGCCCCTTCTGCCTGCTCGCGTCCTTCGTCAGTGAAAGAAACGAGAAATCGATTTAGACATACGTTTTTGAGCTCGCCTCGAGGTATTTGACAGCACCAATGTCTCTCGCACACTGCATTCCCATAGCGTACGAAATTGGCGTGAACCGCCTTTCCCGTAGTCGCTGAAGAGTCACTGGGTCATCTCGTAAATCCAACTTCGTCCCGACGAGTATCAGTGGAATGCCCGGGGCATGATGAGATATCTCTGGTAACCACTAAGAGTGATTCAGTTTTATGGTCCGAGGATAGGTCCGAGTACGACTGACTTTCTACGGGACACAAACTGTCAGCGAAGCTCTCTCTGGCACCTGCACGTGAACTTACTGTCCTGATATTCTCAAAAGACGGTGGGGAGACGACTGAAAAGCATAAGAGGAAAATGTCGGTTTGAGGATAGGAGAGGGGTCGGAGTCGGCTGTAGAGCAACGATGTAAGTCTCTACACGGTGCTGATAGATTTCAGCTCACTCGTAATCTTCTTGACCAGCTGTGTCCCACAATCCTAATGATACCGGCTTGCCGTCGACCAAGACCGAGGCGCTATAATTGTCGAAGACTGTTTATGGATTAGACACCAATGAAACTGGGATGGACGGTCTGAAAAGCGTACCTGTCGGGACGTATCTGAAACCAGGATCAGTATTCGAGCTTTCGCAAGAGCACAGCCAGTCCTACTCACTCTCCCGGAAACGAATTCGTGGTGTATGATATCAACAAGCAAGTCTGGCACGATGAAAGATCAGCCAATGAACATCTCCCCATATCATTGTAGCACCTCCTTGGTGACTAACCTTTCCGACCGCTCCATCTCCGACGACTACGCCTGTGCCCTGCGTTAGCTGAGGCAGTGATCGGGGGACATTCCCTTACTCACACTTTATACTCTGCATCTGCTGGTTCATCCTGGACTCTAGTTTCGTCTAGCTCCAGGAAAGGCAGGACTGATCCTCAAAATGGGTTTCGCTTTACGACCGGGTGTGTGTCCAAAACGGGATTGACGACAATTCACAAACAATCCTCACGGCCCAAACCTCCAAGTGTCGGACGAGCAGGGAATGCTAAAATCACACTGCACCCTGCTTGTCTGTCCTCTGTGCTCTTTCTTCCCCTCTTTCCCTTTGCACCAAAGAATCGGGTTAATATCAGCTTGTTGGTGGTGGCTTTGGGGCGTGATATTAACTTTGGCTTGATGGCGTTTGTCTAAATCAATTCTCAACTGCAAGAGCTGGGAAGTGAGACTGTGTTTGGACCACTCCGACTTCGAGGATGCCCTTCGAGCGTGCTGCTTTTGAGTTTTGAAGACTCGATAGTGATGATTGTGGTCACCAGAAGTGCTCAAATGTAGATTCCATGCATATAAAGTGCCCCACTCTCCCGAGTCCCTTTGAACATTATCAATTTTACCGGCATCACGGAATAAATATCCCGAGACTTTCCATAGCTCTGTCTGGTGCGGGGCACTGAACAAGACTCGCGATGCGAGATCCATGCAAGGAGAGAGAGCTGTGGAGGTAGGAGCCGCTCTTTGCAATGATCTAGCATCCATTCCAAGCGTGTTTATACCCAGCTCTGGCCCACTAAAGCGCCGCACGCACAGACTGTGCCAGGAGTGCCACTCTCGTTTAAATTCCCGTAATACCGATTAGGCAGCGGCCCCATCCTGCCTCGCGGCACTGAGAGGGTTGGGAGGAGAACGTATGGCATCAACAACGCTGTTTGACTCATCGTGAAGCCTTTTAACAACAGCATGTCTCTGAGGATGGCGTCGGGGTCCTTGCGCTCCTTGAGGAGCCTCCCATCTGCTCAACGGACGTTCTGTTTCCCTGTTCGTCATCTTCGAACGAGTGCGCCCCATCAAGCTGGTTCCTCAGATCATCACCATGACAGCCACCATTCTTCTGCTGAAGATCGTCAATATGAGACCAGAGAGTGTGAGTTGGGGTCTGCTAGGCATTGTGACATCGAGATTAGGGGCTGATCTGATCACCTTCACTGTAGCCTGGTTCATTGGTCCATCCCGCAACTTCATCATCGGATCCCTGATCGCTTATTTTGGATGGGACTATCTCCCAGAAGCCAGCAAAGTCGCCGCTTCTCCTTACAATGACCCCGAAGCTTTCAATGCCATGTTGAAGGACGAGTCGATCCCCTGGTATACTCGCTGGATCGCCAAACACTATGCCTCAAGAGAAGAAGTCTTGGCTGCGCGTGACGAGATGATCAGAGAGGATGCTCATCGAATCACGAACCGTTTTGCCATGTGGGACATGAAGGGAAGCGCATTGGGCGCGGTGCGGAGCAGTGGGTGAGTCCTCAACAACCTACCGTCTTCTGCGTTTGGTCGACTGATGTGCTCTAGAACGACCCAGATTGGCATCGAGTAGCTGTCGGAAGAACCAAATGGGCAATGTATATTACATCATGTTTGAGAACACACACAAAGGTTCAGCCTGCTGGGCTGCAGGTGTTTCCTCGCTTCTACTAGCTGCTACAATGGACCGATTTCATCTTGCCCGCTCATGCGGCATCAAGTCAAACTCAAATCCACAAGGATGGTGACGATTCCTAGCACGATCTCTATGCCGCTGGACATTGATCGTCAGTCGTTGACTGTGAATGCACGCCATGGACTCACATCAAGATGATTACGATGGACTCCAGTCGCTCTCCATGTGTGCTATTCACGCTTTCTTTGAGAAGCTTGAGCATGTCTTGCAGCACCTGCAAAGGGATCAACAAAAGGTTCAGATTTCTGAAATAGCGACTCTCACGTCGACTCTCGCATTGAGCAGATCGATACGTTGACTGATCTCAAGATAGGATCTGCACGCTGTATATAAAGGTTCGAGATCGGGAAAGGTCCTGAGAGAGTCAGCGTGTCGATAGCTGGGGAAACCGCCAAAGTCACCAGAAAAATTCCTGTCAATCGACATCAGCTGAAGGTTTCCAGTCGGGCCGTGTACTCACAGGAGAGTCTAGGATCGATCCGACAAGATTTATATTTATCCTCAGGATGAACAGGTTGCCAATCTGTTTCATAATCTCTGATCGGGGAAGCTGCAGCAGCTGTCAGATTCGGGCTGCGTCATACGCCGTTTGAACTCACCCCTATCTTTCCTGTCTCTGACATCGTCTTTGGAATATCCTTTGTCTGGTCAATGGTGCTACCAATCAACTCTTCAAACAGAGAGATCTTGACGGATTGAGCAAGCGCGTGAGACAGCGCGAGTTTGGTCCTGTCCGAGTGTCAGCAATTGTTTCCCAAGGCTGTAACGAGCTGACATGTAGGAAGAGCCTTTTCGCAATGTAATGACATCGTTGTATATCCTGGGCGTGGGCGATGAGCGAGCGTCCTCCTTTCCTCAGGGCGTGGCGTATCAAGCTTACCGCGAGTAGTCGGCATAGTAGAAGTTCAAATCCTCCATTTCGACATCCTCCGGAGACAGTCTTTCCACCTCGAACTTTTTCCTAAGCATACTAGTTAAGAAGATCCGCCATATTGACTAGCAATCCACTCACAGGCCCCTAAGGAATGACTTCTCCTCCTTCTCTGTCATACCCCAGATGACGACCGTCCCGTACTCGAATAAGAACACATCAGGTACCCATACCTCCTCCTCAAAGTCCTCATCATCACTATCCGCATGATCACCCGCTCTCCTCGTGCCCCCGGGTCGCTTTGAGAACCCAGTTTTCCGACGAGGTCCCGATGATCGAGCTTTCGATGGAGCCTCTGGCCCTTCATCTCCATTGAGATCGATGAGATCAGACTCGGGGACAGCATCGTGTTTGGTACTTGGCTTGAGATTTGGTGAACGCCAAGACGAGGATGCGGATGGTGGAGGAAGGTAAGGTGTAAAGAGACAACCGGTATCGAACATTCTCGGATGAGTACGATACGAGTCAGGTCGGGAGGACAAGTGTGCTTGGAGCGCTGGGAGGTTGTAAGATCTGGGAAGAGGGGGCTTTAGTGCTAGATGCGATCTACAATCGACGACTCACGCGGCTGTACAGTATGCAGTGACACGAGGCAATTTGGCCTTTTCACTCTTGGTCAAACGCTGAGCATCCCTCCTCGCTGTCCCTTTAGGTATCTGAGACAATGGCGTGTAGAACTGACCGTCCGTCATTAGCCGGGATCTGAGACGTGATCATTCCAACACACCTCGACCCCTTCAGCTTCGTCCCGCTCGGCAAAGTCCCGTGCTCTAGCCTCGTCATCGTCTTCTTCTTCCTCCTCTGGAATGGAAGGTGTATCTGGTTGGGTGGGCAAAACTTTGAGCTCTGCGATGAAAGGTTGATGAATTAGCACTCGCACAGCCGATCAAAACACATCACGACTCACTGGTACCGAGCTTGGACGTTCTATCAGGTGAGATCAATGTCTATTTCTCCATCGATGATCCAGCCTTGGCTCAGTAGCCTGACTCACCTCATAGGTTGCCTAGGCTCCCGACGCGGCTGCGAGTTGACTTGAGCATAAGGCAAGGGTAACGTGTTCCCAGCTGGAGGTGCCATTGTGAGAAGTAGCTCAGGAGGCGTATGTGCGACAACGCAGACGTGTTTCTATATCCTCTTGCTGACGTTGAGTGCCCCGATAACGATACAGCTCATGTATAGCCAGACTAACGCAACGAAGGTCAAATGATCAAAGCGGATTGGAATGATGCATTCGTTTTGGATTTTTAACCGAATTCCCGTTGTGCCTACCACTCCAAACAGCCCCTCATATTCTAGCCAATTGGTGATGCAGAGGAAGAGCCTCGAGTTACCTAGCGACTGTGTCAAATGAGATTTTTGTCCTGTATCTGATCACGCTGCGAGGGCATCCATGCCTCTGGACGACCATAGCCCGCTACAGTTCGCCGCTGTACGAATGATGCAAAAAGATCAGATTTGACAAAAAGGATAACGCCGCCTGGTTTCGATCCAGGGATCTCAAGGTGTCAGACATATGAGCCTTGCGCAATTCCTCTTTGCTACGGCGTTATTGTTAACCGTTATCCAACGATGACGATATCCAAGTTAGGCAGACACAATGGTATATATCCATTTCTGGGGTGCGCAGGAAAGTACCTGACATCACGACCACTTTCAGACTCTGTTGTGAGTCAGCGCATTTCTAAGTGCTTGATCACACAGTGGTAATGCATCTGTGTGTGACGCATGCATCGCGCGTCTGTAGCCTCTTGGAGGCATGTCTGTCTAAGAATCGGTCAAGCAATCGATCTCGGGAAAAACTCGGTTCTGTGACGAGTGCGGCACTTTCGACATATCGAACGAGACATCCAAAGCAAAACCTAGCCTGTATGTCCGCCGGACATGGGAAGGAGCAAGACGTGCATCTATTAGTTCTCACGTACAGCCGCTCTCCCCAGACTCGATCTCTATCTCTATGGGGACATACTGCTCTTGGCAGTCCTGCCGATCCAGTTCAAGGCACTTCCCTCCCTCAGCCACTCCACTTGATCTTTGCTCAGCGTATGCCGGCATTCGACGGTGACTTGCTCTCCGGACGGCTTGGTTACGCGCAGTTGAACTCGATCGGAGGTCGCAGAGCCATCTAGGATACTAGTGAGACCGCTCGTTTGAACCTTGTCTGCGGCGGAGATTTTCGAGTAATCCGATTTCTCAACAAGCCATAGTGGAAGGATACCCTGTTTCTGGTTGAGGGGACGCGTTAACATCTCTGCATGGAGCTCCTGATTGTAACTCACCTTCAAGTTCGTTTCGTGGATTCTAGCGAATGATCTGGCAACAATCAGACCACAGCCGTAGAATCGAGGCTGTAGCGCAGCATGTTCTCTCGCTGATCCCTCCCCATCTGAATGCGTGTATCAGTAACGCGCTGATGTTCTGACCGATTATGCTTACAGTTTTCATCGACAACCAGCATCCACGGTTCTTGCCTAGCACTGTATCTTGCCATAACGTTCGGGATAGTATCTTGTCCATCGACATCGCGAGCAACGTTGACTTCTCCGCCTTCATCGTTGACAGCAGTCATCACTGGTGGGGAGTCAGACACTAGGCCATTACGGCGGGGCCTCACGAGTGTTGGTTGCAATGTTTGACAAGTGGCCTTTATACTATCGGATGAGCTCAAGAACATATAGCAAGCTCACCTTGAGCCACGGACCCGCCGCACTGATGTGATCTGTCGTGCTGCAAGGTCTCAGCGTGGTTATCTTTGGAAAGGACGCACCATTTTCCCCTAACCCGCATCAAGCAAGTCATCTCTGGCAATTCACCTCGACCATTGTCGAAATTGGACTTGAACGGCTGCAAAACTTCGAGACGCTGGCTAGACGGATCGATGACAACGGGGGTATCAGGTGATGGGGTAGGTGTAGGGGAAGGCGAATAGGAAAGATCGCCAGGAGTGTAGCCTGAAGGGGGCAGACGGTCACCTTGAGGTGGTGAGAAGCGGAATGGGCCATTGGGGGTCTCGATGGTGTCGGTTGTAGGGTTGAAGTTTAGGTCACCGGAGAACGCCATCTGGTTGCGGTCAGAGCTGCACTTGGTCAGATAATGACACATACTGCAGTAACAATCTCGGGAGAAGCAAGAAAGTTCACTGAAAGCAGAATTCAACGGCTGACGTTCACTGTCTAACAGCGACGACCTACTCGTCTTCAAGTTGCCATCGTTTCTAGCCTTGAAATTTCGGTTGAAGGATGTCAGAATCGCTGTGAGGGTTTAGTTAACATTGCAGACCGAAGACGCCTCACCATTGTCCTCTTTTGGCGAGTCATTCCGTTTCCATTGACCGATACATGGCCCGCATGCATTGGCGAGAACGGTCGCACCCACACTCTCCAAGGTCTCCTGGACACCGTCTCTCTCAATAGTCGCGCGAATCAATTCGGATCCAGGAGTGACCAGAAAAGGCACTTTGGACTTGAGCCCAGCTTGTTTCGCTTGTTCAGCGATGGAAGCCACTCTGGACATGTCTTCGTATGACGAGTTGGTACATGATCCGATCAGAGCAGAGGACAAATTTGTCGGATACTTGTTGCTGGCAAGGAACGAGCCGAAATGTGATAAAGGAGTCGCCAGGTCAGGGGTGAAAGGGCCGTTGAGATGTGGTTCAAGCTCAGAGAGGTTCTAGAAGAATGAGCTGATATCCGGCGGAAGCAGGCCTGTGCTTACAATCTCGATGACCTCGTCATACTCTGCTCCTTCATCTGCCGCGAGGTAACCTTGACGAGCCGCATCATCAGCTGCGGCGGCAACAGGACCACGACCTGTGGCCTGGAGGTAGGACCGCATGTTCTCCGAGTAAGGGAAAGTGGAGGTGGTGGCTCCGACCTCGGCACCCATATTCGCGATTGTGGCCAATCCGGTACAGGATTGAGATGCGACACCTGGTCCAAAATACTCCAGAATTCTTCCGGTACCACCCTGGCTAACATGAGCGATGACCGATCAATTGGCGATGAAGCTTACTCTAACGGTAAGCTTTCCAGCGAGGTGCAGAATCAAATCCTTTGGAGTCGCCCACCCAGTGAGCTGCCCAGTCAACTTGACTCCAGTGATCAAGGGCGCCTTCAGCTCCCACGGTGTATCCGTCATGGCGTCCACAGCGTCCGCTCCTCCGACCCCGATGGCCAACATGCCTAGACCTCCAGCATTTGGCGTATGACTATCTGTCCCCAGCATCAACAATCCAGGCGCGGCATAGTTCTCCAGAACGATCTGATGGATGATTCCCGAGCCTGGTCTCCAGAACTCAATACCGTACTTCTTAGCTGCTGATTCTAAGAAATCAAAAATCTCCTTGTTGTTCTCAATCGACCTCGCGAGATCCTCATCGGCCCCGGTCTGAGCTTGGATCAAATGATCGCAATGGATTGATGATGGTACAGCGGTAGATGGAAGTTGACAGGTCATGAATTGCAAGAGAGCCATTTGCGCAGAAGCATCCTGTGAGGAATGTCAATTGTCGGTTAAATCCGATTGAGACGACTGCTGGACTGACCTGCATGGCCACTCTGTCTGGTCTGAGCTTGAGGTACTTCTCCCCACGTATCTTCCCACCTCCACCCAGGCTTTCTTCTGGATTCCTCAAGTGTGCATAGAGAATCTTCTCCGCCAAAGTGAGTTTGCTTCCTCTCGGCAAGACCTGTCGAACATTGTCCAAGGTCTTGAGGAGTCGACCATATGGAGGGGTGATGGAAGAACAGTCTTTCTGAGGCAGTGTTGCTGCAGTAGCTAGTCCACGTCTCAGCCTTTGGGATGCTCTCCCGGTGAGCCTTGACGATCCAGGCAACATGGCAGTGGTGGGGAGGAGTGATATCAATCTAATTTGCAGCATTTCAATTGGTCGTTTTCAACTTTTCTAACTCGATCGCATCTCGAGTGATCACGTGATCGGCGTCTGGGATTGCGCACATCCCAAAAGACAGTCGCGCATGGATCGCTTGTCTCTGTGTCATCAAGGGGTATGACTCGGCAGCTTGTTGACTCTCTACATCTCTTTTGCATCTGTACCTCATCCCCCTCACATCGCTCTTTACTGACATATCTGCTCACTGCCTTGATTTGTCTCGGTTCCTCGTGCTCACTCTATCCACCACAATGTCTGAAGCGGGTGAAGAAGTAAGTGGAAATGGACACGGCGCCAGAGACGTGATAACTGTCTTTGAGTTGACACCAGCAATCAGGATGGCATGGCTGGATTCGAGGTATGCTCTATGATATCATGAGAATCTGCTCTCCTACCTGCTAAATCTTGCAGTCCATTGACGAGCTCCAATCTCACGTGAGTGTCAACCACCACGCTCATCCTGCCTTGAGCAAAGCCTCGACTTACCACATCTCTGACTGCGTGCTCCATCATGGCTGATCTTCTCAGGGCATCAATGTCAATGACATCACCAAGCTCAAAGCCTCTGGTATCGTCACAGTACTGGGTGTCGCTCAGACCCCTCGACGAAACCTCCTCAAGATCAAGGTGAGCTCATTGGAATACGTGCCTCCCGAAGCTGACAGACACCTCAGGGCATGTCAGAGGTGATATACCCAATCATGACAGAAGATCTGACGACAACCTCTCAGGCGAAAGTAGAAAAGCTCAAGGCGAGCTATATATACTGAAGCGATATCGACAGAGGACAAGCTGACACTTCAACAGGAAGCGGCCCAGAAGCTCCTCGTATGCACGATATAATAGCCCTTTCACCCGTCCTAATCTACTTTAGCCTCCGACCTTTCTCACCGCCACTGATCTCGCTGAACGGCGACAGAACGTTATTCACATCAGTACCGGATCGAAGAGTGTCGATGCGATGCTTGGTGGAGGGATTTCAACTCAGAGTATCACAGAGGTCTATGGAGAATTCAGAACCGGCAAGGTTAGCCATAAATCAATGCTCAGCTTCTGGCTTATGCTATCATTAGACGCAGCTTTGTCACACACTCTGTGTGATCGCCCAACTTCCCGACGACCAGGGCGGGGCATCTGGTCGGGTGGCATATATTGACACTGAGTGAGTAAGAGCGTCTAGCGTGATGAATTGGTGCTGATGGTTCTTAAGGGGCACTTTCCGACCGGATCGTATCCGAGACATCGCCGAGAGATTTGGTGTGGATTCCGACATGGTCAAGGACAATATCCTCTGCGGTAGGGCTTGGAGTTCGGAGCAGCAGTGTGAGATGCTCGTGGACTTGGCTGTGCGGTGAGACAAGCACAGGTCTGCTGCCTTCACGAATTGACACAGCTTGCAGATTCGTAGAGGACAGAACCTACAAGCTGCTTATCGTGGATAGCGTCATGAACCTCTTTCGTGAGCACGAGTAACAGATCGAAGAATCCTTGGTCGACGAAGTCTTGATCTAGGTCAAGACTACTCTGGTCGTGGGGAACTGTCCGAACGCCAGCAGGTCAGATCATTTCCCTTCGCTATTGTCAATCAAGCTGACTTGAGCCTAGAGGCTAAACCAATTCCTCGCCCGTCTCCAAAAGCTTGCTGAAGAGTTTAACATCGCTGTTGTGCTCACCAATCAAGTCCAAGCCGACCCTGGCGCGAGTGTCATTCTACTATCCTGTATTGTTCGCTGCTGATCATCTATCAGGCTGCTGCTATGTGCGATCGTCTTGAACAATCAGTTTTGCTCAAGCTAAGGCAGTAAATCCGCAGGTTCGCCGCCGCTTCCAGTGCGAAGCCCGTCGGAGGCAAGTTCCACCGACCTTAGAACACTGCTCATGTTTGCAGGGCATATTCTAGCGCATGCGTAAGGCTGCAAAACTTCCAGCTGCATCATTGATCATCTCCGTAACAGCTCTGCCACTCGAATCCAGCTTCGAAAAGGTCGCGGTGAAGAACGAATTGCAAAATTGAATGACTCACCCGATATGCCTGAGGCAGAGGCGACTTACACACTCAAGTCAGGGTCAGTGCGATCATTCAGCAGTGATTGACGCTATTGACGCCCTTCTCATAGCGGTTGGGAGGATGTCAGTGATATTCGCAGCTGAATCGCCAAATCACTGACACTGTCAGGTCCAATGACATTCCGAGCAGATCCCAAGCATGAGGATCACGAGGGCGGGAACGAACCATCCAGACCAATCGGACAACGTCACTTTGCAGAGGCTCTAGAAGCCACAGATTCGTATCGAAACATCCCTTACATTTTCACCAAACCCATTCGTCTCGCTGCCCTTCCCATCTTATGTTGTACACTATGACGAGGCATGCCCTGATTTTCTGTAGCCTCGCCTCTGAGCGTAAGATTGACTCAGTAGCAATACATCCCGTATCCACACACTTCTCTCTCAGTCATGCGGCATTCCTTCCAAGCCCAACTTTTACCAACCTACGGCACGTTTCGCAATGTCGGATCTGGTGAAAGATAATTTTGTGATTTCGAGTCAAGGCCCTGATCTCCAGCCTTGCCTATCAGCTGCCATGGCACAAAGACATGTCCACGACACAGACAGTCACGGCATGACTAGGAGGAGTCCTACTTCATAGTAGCTGACTGATGAGGGCCTTGCTCCGTTCATCACGCTTTGCCCTCCGCAGCATTCCTTTGGTGACTCCTTTTTGTCGATCAGAGCCTTTGGTGATCAATAATCATTGTCTGCATTGTCATTCGTTCTTCTCAAGCCTTTCCATGTCATCTGGCTGCTCTAAAATGACACATCCCCATATCTCAGATCAAATAATGATCGCCGACCTCGCTCTGCATCTACCCACCGGCTTGGGTCCATCCGCATTCAACCTGAACCCACCTCCTCCCTGTCCAGCAAATCTCTCCCTTTCCATCTCGGTGAATGACAATGTCGTACCCTCGTGTGTGGTGGATGATACGCAAGGGGGCTTAGGAATCGACTACTCCAGTCTTTCCAAGGAAATTTTAGCTCTGAGCTCAAGCCAGGCGTTCAATCGACCAGACGAGCTGCTGGATGCGGTGGAAAGGCTAGTGAAGAAGAAGGGCGTCGTGCGGGGTCTACAGATGAACTTGGAGCTCCCTCGGGCATCGCTCAAAGCTGGAAGCATCGTGTACTCGAGGATCGCCACCTCAGGGGCAGCCGTTCGCTCGTGTCAGATACGAAATCTCAAGGTCATGACTATCGTTGGACTGAGAAGCTATGAGAGGCAACACAAGCAATGGTTAGAGCTCGATGTTCGTCTACACGGCTGTGCGGAAACCTGGGACCACGTCAAAGTTGCAGAGGAGACCTACAACGTGAGCCTAAAGATACCGGTCTAGAGCAGATCTGTTTCACTTACTCTTCGTCGTCTAGTGGGTCGAGCAATCGAATTATGGAACCATCGAAGCGCTGGTGGATGAACTGGCACTGCACTTCCTCACGAAATTCGAGGCTGATCTCAATCCTCGTGCGACTATCGATGTGACCTTACGGAAGCCCTCGGCGCTGCCATTTGCGACACCCGGCGTATCGATTCATCGGACGCTGGAAGATTACGATAAGAGAGCTTCGGGCTCGGACTTGGCAGTCTCCTCAGGCCTCAACGTGGCCAGCACTCCTACGAAGTCCCATCTTCGGGAAGGACATGATGGCTCAGGACTCGTCAGACGTATCTTCATCGGACTGGGATCCAACATAGGTGACAGGAAAACCAATATCTCTCGAGCCATTGATATCCTATCGGCCCAAGACGTCTCGATAGTGAGGCATTCGAGACTGTACGAAAGTGAGCCGATGTATCACGAAGATCAGGAGAGGTTCATGAACGCTGTCGTTGAGGTGAGAGCATCACTCGCTCGATAGCATGTCTGATCTGAGCAGATTCGCTCATCACTTTCTCCGGAAGAGTTGCTACGAAGAATGAAAAAGGCAGAGAGGGAGGTTGGTCGCACCAAGACATTCCGAAATGGCCCACGAGTTGTCGATCTCGATTTACTAGTATACGGGGACGAAGTGGTGAAGGTCGGTGACGTAGATTGTCCAGAGGATGAAAATGGAGTTGGATGGCTACGATGCCCGCATCCTAGCATTGCAGAGAGAGAATTCGTCCTTCGTCCCCTCGCAGAGTGAATCCTGTCCATTTCCTCGCGAGTCTCAGGAGAAGCTGATAGCCCGCTTAGTCTTGCTCCAGACTTAGTCCTGCCACAGATAAATCGATCTGCGGCTGAGATGCTCAAAACGCATCCAACGACATTGGTGCCCTTGTTGGCATTCCCTCTTCCAGCATCGCGAATGAGACTCACACAGTCTCCAAAGATCATGCAGATCTTCAACGCGACTCCCGATAGCTTTTCTGACGGATCGGAGGATGCCATGGATCCTGTCCTGGCTTTGCAGACCATCACAAAGCTGCTCGATGATGGCTTCGCTCCGGACATTCTGGACGTTGGCGGGCAGTCAACTCGACCCGGGGCCATCATGTCGACAGAGTCGGAGGAGTTGTCCCGAGTGATTCCGCTCATACAGGCCATACGAAACAGTCACGATTTACGCCTTAAGAATATACCAATATCCATCGATACCTTCCGACCTCTGGTTGCTCAAGCAGCCGTCAAAGCTGGAGCATGCTGCATCAACGATGTTCGAGGAGGTACCGAACGTGGCATGCTACAGGTCATGGCATCATGTGATGTCCCAGTCGTTCTCATGCACTCTAGAGGAGATTCGACGAGTATGTTGACTAGCTCTGCGAAAGACTATTCTGCTCTTGGTGGAGTGGTAGAGGGCGTTAAATTCGAGCTCGGATTGATGGTCCAGCGGGCTCTAGAGGCAGGAGTGAAGGCCTGGAACATTGTTATCGATCCGGGACTGGGCTTTGCGAAAGGCATGGAGGAGAATTTGACACTGCTCAAGCACTTGCCGGATCTCGTGGCACCTGGTTCACCTCTACACGGGTATCCACTCTTGATAGGGGGTAGTCGGAAACGGTTCGTCGGACAGGTCACGGGACGAGAGCAACCGACGGAGAGGATGTTTGGAGATGCCGCTGTGGTCGGACGGTGCCTGGCCAGTGGGGTAGTAGATATCGTCCGAGTTCACGAAGGTAGGGGTATGGGCGAGGTCATTAAAATGTGGGAAGCCATCGACAGTGCAACTTAACGAGTGCACTCGGCCTCGCATCATCGCGGAGCTGATGCATTGCTCTGTCCATAAATTCTATGGTTCACGTTTCCTCCCGGCGGTCAGGCCTCGCTTCCTAGAACCTTAAGCTACAGACAAGTGTCTGATCTCTCATGGCTTTGCGCTGAGGTTTCTGAATGTGGAGTCCGTGCTGAGCTGTTCGCTAACCCCCTGCTCCAGTACGAGGTTCCTGATCGACGGGATTCGACGATCGGGCCGAACCTTCTCGCTTGTGTAGAGCCGTGATGAGGCTTCATGATCCGGTCGTGGGTATTGGAATCTAGCAGACGGCTTCCTTCTCTTCACTACATTGCGAAGCTTTGAATGATCGTTGGTCTGCAGGCATCTTGACGTCTTGTGATAATTAGTCTTTAGGATCGCTTTGCAGATAGCTATGTGCCTGTCTCATAGACGGTGCTGACCTCTGAAAGGAGCGGAAGTGGTGTGCCTGTATTGATCGGCCGCAATCTGTCATCGGCGCCGGTTGGTGGCTCAAAAGCGTAGATCCAGAGAATTACGACTGACAGGGTCTGGGCCCCAGGTCGATATGCACCTAGCTATCCTTTAGGCCGAAGTCGGTGCGTGATGACCGGTCGATTCCCTGGTCTATCATTGAAGTAGGGCGAATTCCTCCACGACAATGGTTAGGGCAAAAAGTTATGAGCTCCCGAGCAATCCGCTCCTTTGCCTTTATGGCATGAGGGTCTCCGGCCTAGCCCGAGGCTTCTCATATGTAGCTTGCGCCCCATGCTATTCGAGACCCAAGATCCTTGCTCTGCCAAGTCTAGTGGGAATGAGAAACGTGTCTTGAGACCGGAATCTCTCTGGTCGGTGCGCGGGGAAAGATCGACACCGTCGCGCGATAGTCGGTTTTCAAGCCACCGACGTTGCCCTTGCCTCGCTGGCTTGATGACCTCGTCGTCCCAACGAAGCATCGTGCTTCTGCTTGTTGTCATCGGCATAAACTGTTGGGAGATAGTCAAACTTCTATGGATCGTCAGTGCTTGATTAGATTTAAAGCATGTCGCGCGCCCATACACTTTGACGTCGAAATTGAGCCCTTCTCGGACTTCTCGAACGACGATACATAGATCGGTGTCGTTTGTGATAAGTCACGATCGAGATGAGAAATTTGGGAAAGAAAGCCGAGCGATGAGAATAGTCCTGGCAGTCAATGACTTGTCAGACACACTTCCCGAAGCGAGAGAATAGTGATGAACCGTGCGGTGGACAATGGTCAGAGGAGCACACGGGAGATCAATCATGTCGTCGCCGATTACGTTTGGAGATTGAGACTCTCAGGATCATGACATCGTGACCCATTATCCAATTGCCCTACGTGACTAGCATCATCGTCCGAACCCTCCACCTGCCGAGGGCCCTTTGGGCTGTCTCATGATACCAGGAGATGACGTCTTCCTCTCGCCAGGCCCAGAGAGTCTTCCAGTAGTGTGCGGTCCTCCGTAACCCGAATCGCCTATGAAGCCAGGTTGAGGTGAACCTGCTTTACTCCTTCCTCCTGTTGGAGTACCACTTCTACTCCGATTGGCGCTATGCGTGCCGCTGGACGCAGCCTGACCGGGTTCATTGCTGCCTGTTGGTGGCCCGAAAATCCTCTCTCTTGCTAGACGGTATTCCTCCTCTCGCCTTTCCAATGTTTTTGTCCCAGTTCCAGGCGTTGACCTTCGACCTGTATTACCGGTGGAGTCGGCTGGCCTGCGGAGGATTTGCATGACAGGTGCAGGAGGCATGTGAGTGCCGATAGTGCCTGCGTCGATGTGTACCGCTGATGGGGCGATCACAGTCGGCGGAGCTGAATTATTTCTGTGGACATGGGTTGTCAGCATAGCACGATGTTGAAATAAGGCTGAGCTACACGCACGCGCTCTCCCATATCTGACGATTCGAGACGGGTCGTCTTGATCCGAACCATTCATCGTCACCTGAGTTGTTCCTGCTAGGTTGTCCGGTTGCCGGTTTAGAAGGCGCTGCCGGACGAGGTACAAAGGCTGGCGCGGAAGGTCGGAGAGAGGCCGCAGTTCCGCCTACAGCAGGCCTTGAAGACCCCTGATTTTTGCGAGCGGTGTTTGACAGATCGGCCTGCACACCATGAGATGAGCCGGAACGTATACAAGAGAATCACTTTCACATACCGTCTCCCAATCATCATCATCCTGCTCCCGCTGAATGGGGTTCATCAGACTGACCTCATTGCTCATTAAGCCGGCTTCGCCAGGATGAGATGGACGATACTAGACTAAGTACCGCTTCCTTATGCAGATCTTACTCGTCCTGCTGGACAGCTCTGCCCATGTAGGACCAGAGCGGATATGGTATGGTCCCAACCCAAGTATATCAGCCGCATCATTTGATTAACGCATACTCAAATGCAACTGTGGGAAAGTTGTTCAAAAAAGTTGTCCTCATGTCTGCTCGTTCGGTGACTTCATTCACTAATCTGTTCTCAACCTATTCACCATCAACACCTGCTCGTCATGCGACACAAGCGTGCAAAGGTGTATAAAAGGGCCATGGGTATATACACCCAGGCTTTCAATTTCCGTCAACCGTTCCAGATTCTAGGTGAGCATCGTACCAATCTGTCCTGAGACGTACAGCTGATGTGTGAGCAGTGTCACAAGATATCCTGTTGAGCCTGAATAAGGAGAGCGACATACACAAGCAGCTCTTTGCGTGTGTGCAAGGTAATGTGAAGCCAAGTGAGCACAGGCTGGTGATCCCAGAGTCATGGCTGAGACACCATAGTGATTACTCAGTGCTGTATCGATGCCTTGTACAAGAAGGGCAGAGACTATCAACCGCTTGTGGATATTGCAAAGACGTTTGAAAGACGTAAATGTAATCACAGGGAGGTGATTGAGCCGGACGAGTGTTTGAAGGATGTGATCGGTACGGTGCACGGATCTCACGAAGTGACATAGAGATGTTGACCCTTCTCTAGGCCAAACCAACAAACATCGCTATGTGCTTGCTGCCCAGTCAGTCAAACTGCGAACGTCCCTCTCTACTATCCCTGGCCTCCCAATGATTCATTTCAATCCCCGAGGCGTGCTCGTCCAATCTCCTCCATCCCGTGCGACGCTAAAATATAAGGACGCAATGGAAGAAGAACGAAGGACGGAAGGTGCTAGAGTCTTGGATGGCATCGTAGACGGAGACAACGTCCTGGGAGCCGCTCAGATTGACGGTGGGCAAAGGGCCGTGGCAGGTCCCTCAAGCAGCGGTCAACCTAGACGCAACAGGATCAAAGGACCGAATCCGCTGAGCGTCAAGAAGAAGAAGAGAAAAGCGCCAGATGACCAGGCTGAGACTGCGACCAAGAGGAAGAGCTCTGAGCCTCGGGACGTCCAGGTAGAAGGCTCAGATGATGTTAGGAAGAAGAAGAAGCGGAAACGGAGAGGCAAAGGAGAGGTGGCGTTGGCCATCGAGGAGATTAGGGCTGGACAGATGGCAGATGACTAGACGGGGGGCACGCTCGTGATGTGGCTTCTGACAGAGACTCTAAGAGCTCTCATTGGCAAGACTTTCCGTGCTATTGGGAGACATTGCTTTGCCTAACTCACAAAGTTGGTCACCGGTGAAGATGTGGCACCAACTCCTGCCACTTCTCGTAGAGCAACAACCCGTCGTGCATGTAATGTGCTGCATGAATACGCTGCGTGTCGTCTGGATTGAAACCTCGTCCGCTGGTAGTTCTTACCACCTGCTGAACAAGTTGTCGCTGTCAACACCTTGCAGCTGTAACGTTACGGCCGGATCAATGCCACTGCTGCCAATGCTGTTGATTTCCCATTTTCATTGCGCCTGATTTCCCATTTGTCCATTCCCAAAAAAGACTCGTCGACATGAACCACGAGCTCTTGCTTCACAGTCGCATTCTTCATTCCTCGACTCGACTTTTCATCTTTGTGTCACATCTCTTCATCGACTTCTATTCTATAATCTTGTAACACTGTACCAAAGGATACCCTCAAGCTGTTTATCTGGAAAAGTGGGAGATAAGGAGCCTCAACTCCAGCCGGACTGGGCGTGCCAATACCTGTCTTAGACTTGGCTTTCGAACGACGTGTGCCATATTGATACCATCATCTCTGGTACTTCTTCTCAAATCGGGACGAACACACTGTTGGACGGAAAGATGTCTGCACGTGCAAGCGGTGAATATACCCGGCCGGACGTCAAACGGAGGCTCTTGGTCATTGGAACAGGAGGGACAATAGCCTCAGAACCATCGTCGAATGGATACACACCTGTGCGTGGAGATCTCGGACCCCGGGGCCTTCATGGTAGCTGACTGTGGCGCTCCGTAGCTCCGGAATGATCATTTCTACCGTCGTATCCGACAACACCCTCTCCTGTCTGACCCATCCGGAACTTCCACACCGACCTTGTTCTCTTCACCCGTACTGCCAGTGGCTGTCGGTGTGAACACCCGTTACCCTGAACTCATTACGCCTCCGCTAGGTGACAATGAGGAGAGAGTATCGTATGAGATCTTGGATCTCGACAAGCAGATGGATAGTAGTGAAATGACTCCAAGTGGTGAGTTGCAAGGCGATTGTGGCGCCTGGCCGGCTTCAGCCTTTCGGCAGTCGCTCTGCGAGCGGTGATTGACAACGCTCAGAATGGAACATCATTGCTGGACTCGTAGAAGAGAATTGGACAGACTACGACGGCTTTATAATACTCTCAGGGACAGACACTCTGGTCAGTCTTGCAGCGCGCCTCCTCTGGCATTAGCTAAAGCTCCGATAGGCTTACACTTCCTCCATCCTCTCCTTCCTCTTTACGAATATTGGCAAACCTATCCTAGTTACTGGCGCACAGATTCCCTTATCTCAACCTCGTTCTGATGGCTGGGCGAATTTGCTTGACTCAATTTACGTGGCCGGAGTCATGAATTTTGCTGGTATCGGTGTCGTCTTCCACCATCAGGTTTTCCAGGGAAACAGGTCAGTTGCGTCAAGCAAAAGCTTCAATGAGAATGTGTTTGATGACCGAATTTAGAGCGACCAAGACCTCACCAAATCACTTTGCTGCCTTTCAATCTCCTTGCGTCCCTCCTCTCGTAAATCTGAACGTTAAAATAAGTGAGTATAGACATGCGTCCGTAGCATGCGGAATTTGACGATTATCTCAGCACTTGGGGGTTCTATAACACCTCGATCCTCCACCTTGCCTCCTCGTCTCATCAATCTGGTGACATCACCCACGGTTTTATCGTGCTCGATTCACCCAGGTATCACCGGTGCCCTTCTATCTGCCCAGATCGAAGCTGTGCCTACCTGCAAAGCCGTCATCTTGTCTGCGTATGGCTCTGGTAACTTACCAATCAGCGAGGAGAATGGCGCACTGGCAGCTCTGGAAGCAGCCGTGAAGCGAGATATTCTCGTCGTGGTCATCTCACAATGTGAGTCGTTAAAGCACTCAAAGTACGCACCTCTGATCAAAATCAGGTGCTATACCCAACGTCTATCCTCTGTACACCCAAGGACGGACACTCCTGTCCAAGGGAGTGTTACCGGGCCACGACCTGACCCACGAAGCTGCCTTTGCGAAGCTTCTATGGCTGGTCTCGAGAAAGGACCTGAGCTTCAGACAGAGACAAGAGCTGTTCGAGATACCCATTGCAGGGGAAATGGCGGCGTGACCCGCGTCGGGGTCAGATTCCATAGCTCATCCGTCATCACTCTCGTACACCTCACTCCGTCCCCAGCACACACTGAATTAAGGGGACTGAGACTCTCAGCGTTCATCGCCGCGACGCATGCTGTTGCCATCTACCTGGATGCAGCTAGATGACTCTATGCATGTTCATTTATGTTTTGCTGATGAGTCCCATCCGTGAAAACCGGGAGGTGGGAGCAGGCGATCGGCACTGGCTCATAAATTCAGAAAAGCATGCCGGCATCCACGATCACACAGCACCCGAGGGCGGTCATGGTATCAATTGACCGCAACTTGGACTCATTTGTTTCTCGTATCATCTCTACTCACTCAGAAGTTTGGATCTTCGTCTCCATTCAGCAGCAGACTCAGTTCGCATAGCGCATCGCTCAAAAGGCTCTAGCAGTCGGAATTTGCTTGACCGTGCCTTTCGATTGATTGGATACCTCGGGCGCGAGCTGTCGATCGAGGCTTCGGCGACTTTTGGGTAGACTCGAGAATCTGGTACCAGAGCGGTGTTGCACAGGTCATCAATACCCTTTTGAAAAGAAGAGGAGAGAAAGTAGAGGTGGAGCTGACTGTTGTTGTCTGGCGCCAAGTGTCCACCTTGCCGAGAGTCAGCCATACATAAGTTCGACCTTCGATCCCTCGATCCTTGCCATTCAACATGGCATCGCAGAACGCGACCGTCACATCCTCCAGTGCTGCGAGCTCTGCTGCTAGGGACAAGCAAAAGACCAAGATATGGTGGTGTGAGTAGCTCTCCTTCCCTTCACTTCAAGCTGCTTACCTGTGCACTCCAGCCAATGGCATATTCTTCATCTGTGAGCGCACGAATCGGCCTGGCTACCAAAAGCCTTGCTCACTTGTCTGGCAGTCATGCACGCCTTTGCTCTCTACGGAGTACTATACCTCTCACCGCTGAAGGATCTAGATAGGCGGACAGCCATTCTGGCGATTATGTCCTGGCAAATTCCGTGTTTTGGGTAAGTCTCAACGTCATATAGGTTCAGCAGTTTCTGACAATCAATCTCAGGATCACTTTGGGTTCGTCGAATATTCATAGACTGTGCTCATTCAGGTCCAGGGTACCACCGATTATGGTCACATCACGCATATGAAGCCACTCTACCACTTCGTATAGTTCTCGCGGCCCTAGGCTCGATGGGCTTCCAGGGATCCATCAAGTGGTGGGTTCTGAGACACAGATTACACCATCGGTGAGCGGCTTTCTCCCTATCATCTGCTTTGCAACTGAAAGCTTCTCTCAGTTTTACCGATTCTCCAATTCATGACCCATACGCTGCCACCAAAGGCTTGTTCTACTCTCACTGCGGCTGGATCTTCCTGAAGCCGTCATATCCCAGACTAAGGCTGATAGAGCGAGACGATCTGGACTCGGATCCTGGTGGGCAGAGCGCGCTTCATCTCGGCATTTCCCGTTTGACCTATCATTTCAGTTGTCCGCTTTCAGCACAAACACTTCCTACCCATCGCCATTCTCATGGGTATCGCCGTGCCTTGGGCTGTGGCCTATCTCGGTTGGGGAGACGGTTGGGGCGGTCTTGTATGGGGCGCCATCGTTGCCAGACTCGGCGTATGGTGAGTCGTTGCCGTCTTCTCTTCACTACCCTGATTGATGTCACCAGGCACTCGACATTCTGCATCAACTCGTTGGCACACTGGTCAGGTTTCCAGCAATTTACCGAGGATGTGTCTGCGAGAGGCAATTTGGTTGGTGGATATAAACACCCTCATTGCTGACTTTCCCGCAGATATTAGCTTTGATCACATCTGGCGAAGGGAATCACAAGTGAGCTTCATCGATTATGCTGCTAGCGTGCTGAACATAAGTGTAGTTATCATCACGCCTTTCCTCAAGACTTTCGGAATGGGCCACATAGCGGGTGAGCCGAGACTGTTGAGTTTGAGATGAGTATTGAGATGGCGTCGTAGTGATTGGGACCCGACCAAATGGATCATCTGGCTCCTGCACAACTTCACTCCGCTCGTTCCGAAAATATATCGCACTCCCGACTCAGCTATCGCTTCAGCCAAAGCACGCGTACTCATGGCACATGCGGATCGTCTCTACGCCACCGTGCCGCAGGAAGAGCGTGAAAAGCCGATAGAGGAGCTTCCGGTGTGGAGTCGGGCGGAGGTCAAAAAGAGGCACGGCGAGTTGGTGGTGAGGCATGTCCAAGAAGGTGATGGAACAGTCGAAAGTATCAGATGGAGGAGACTGCTGTTGATTGTGGATGGCTGCATTGTGGATGCCGGGAGATTCTTACCGGATCATGTAAGCCATATGACGCGTGTGTTTGACGTGTCTCAGGCTGACCGTTTCATTCGCAGCCCGGTGGGAAACAGCTTCTACTAGCTCACGCAGTAACGACCCTTCCAGCGTCTCATTTCGACTCTCTGGAATCTTCGCTATCGTCACCGACCTCTCCTGCCATGTCAGACTCTGGTGACTCGTTCCCATTCACCGATTCAGGGTACACCTCTGGCGATCATGATGACAACGATAAATTAATACTACGCGACGCAACGAAGGCTTTCTTTGGGGGAATGAACAACCATACCGGAGCTGCAAAAGCTCAAATGAGGAGCTTGAGAGTTGCAAGGTTGGCGGATGAGTGATCGGAAACTTTGGTATTAGGGGTCGGACCGACTTCGAGGACGAACAGAACGTATCAGCAAGTAGCACTAAGAGGGCGCCTTGGCTCATCTTGATATCCAGCATTCATGTATACTTTCCAGGTCGACAGTGGTGGTGTGGCGCACGGATCGCTGGCACCGCACCTTTGATGCCGCTTGGAGTGGACATTGATCTGCTTCTTTCTCTGCCTTTCGCTTCTTCAGCTTACTCCTCTTCACGCCACGGTGCACTCGCCTTGAGCTGGCTCGTCGACATCATGTTGAATGGTATTGAGGATAGTCCGAGCAAGAGCGAGAATCGAATCTCCAGGGTGACTGTGGCTGAGAAGTCCAGCCCGGAAGCTAAAGCTTCCGCCGACGTCCCTCCTTCTAAACGCTCACGGCAAGGATCACCCAGCTCACATCGCTCACAGAAGCGAGCGAGAACCGTTTGTCCTCATGCGAGCCCTGCTCAAACGTCGGTACCTCAATCTAGCATTAACAATCACAAGAAAACATCAGGAAGCCCATGCCGAGAACCGCAAAGACCTTCTGGTTCTCGAAAGTCTCAAGATGCAGCTAACGTTCAAGACTCTTCAATGGGCACGGAAGAGCCCAAAGCGATTCCCTGCGATCAAGCAGACAAACAAGTACCTCAAGTATCTCAACAAATCTCGAACAAGAACCCGATCCAGACTTCCAAGCCCAGTCCTCCTACTCCCCCGACTACTCCGACAAAGGAAATCCAGAAGTGTCCAGATGAGCGACCGCATCTCATGAGTAGCGGCTCAAGCAAGGGCTCGAAGATCTCAACGCGTGGCTGTGACACCGAGGACACCTTACGACAGGCACGCACAGACAACACAGCGACTAATTTGCGAGGAGATAAAAACGGTCACAGCGGCTCAAGCACTGGCAGCGTTGACAAAATGGGGAGTCAGAGCCGTGTGGGGATCTCGGACCACGCTCACAAGGAAGCCTCGAGCTCAAGATGTTCAGATCGAGCCAACAAGACCGTTGCCAGCACCGGGGAAAGAGCCAGGAGTGACATTGGCACTGGTAGTGGCAGAAGTGGTGAAGCGAGGTCGAGACCTTTCGCTATACGCCAGGCTGAAGCCGGCTCAGGAGATGGAAGCGGAGGTGATGACAGCCGGGGAGGCGGTAGTGGGGAAAGCAGTCGCAGAAGAGCCAATGACGGTAGTGGCGATACAAGCAATCTCAGGACCATCTCTGATGATCCCTCATGGTCATCATCTGAGCCAGTCACCCCACTCGAGCAAAGGGAAGGTCTGGGGATTCGATTCTGTGAGGTTCTAGGCACAGTCTACTAAAGGCTTTGCAAGAGCTCACGCAATCTACAGCTTTTATCTCACGGTACGGTCTCACTCGAGCCCAACACTATGGTCAGGCCAATTATCAGCGACTGGTCCTCCTCGTCATGCTACAGTGTCAAAGGGCCAGTGAAAGACAGATTGAATGTTTTTTCTCCGACGGTCTGAACGGTTACTTTACAGTCCCTTGGAAGGCGCTCCGGGACCGCCATGATGCCGCTGCAAAGAGTATGAGTGTGCGAAAGAGGGACTGGGTGAGGGTCAAGGGTATTTATCCTGAAAAATTCGGACGTAAGCGACGCGAGGTCGTTACAAGTCACGTTGCGGCTGACAAGGCTCTGGCCCCGGACAGGCTACCCAAAGCTGTCGACGAATGCTATATCACTCAAGGAAAGATGTGATCAATGCGGGAGGAGCTATTGTGATTCAACTCAGATGGCTGCTATTCATCTTTCGGGTCAATCTTACAACCCAGACACTTTGGTGAGCAACTTGAGGGATCGCGAGATATCGTGCGTTCACTTTGAAAGATCCCTCATGGTGATAATCGTGCCTGGAATCCAACCGTAGGTGCGTGATCTTCCGCCTTTTGCTAGGCTTCGCTGGAAATCACTTAGGCAGATCTTGCAAAGAAGCTCTCGAGAACAACCATGCCATCCAGCATTCGAGTGAGCTTACAGATTCATGGCTCTCATTCGACATCTCACCCTGATCCTAGTCTACCACACCTTTCACGATTTCAAGAAGGATGTGGCACAGCCACTTATGAGACGATTGGAGGTTCAAGGTGTACTGAAGACTGAAGATGGGATGATCGACGCTGATCTTGTTATTGGGCAACTGAGCTTCCTCCGTGGTTATGATAGAGTAAGCTTGAGTGATTATTGAAATTAAGCTTACGACCCCAGCTCATGGCCACTATCGAAGCTCGAATCGAGGCTGTAGAAAGACGCAAGATTCATCGAGAGTGTTCCGGTCGCCTGGACCCTGCTCCGATGCCTAGCCTGCCGTACAGGCGAAAGAAGACGCTGGTACCTGGTGGGCAGAGATACCAAGACAGTGAGGACAGTGACAGTCGACCGTCGGGAACCGATTCCCGTTCGGTCACCACATAATCACCCTGCTCGTTCACAGGGAAACAGAGCCCCCATAAGGTACGGTGAAGCGTACTTGCCTCGCCCATCAGACTATTCAGGGGCGTAATCTCGCTGTGACTTACCTCCATACAATGTAGAACTACTGTATCACGGCGTCAAACTATGTTCACATTAAGTACCATATACTCGCGATCCAGGCCATCCGCCATGTAATCACGTGCCTGTGTGAAACTTCCAGGGACAGATTTTCGCTCAGGTCCCGCGGGATGTTTCAAATCCCATTCAGGATCTGCAACGTGATAGGTTCGACCATTCAAATCGTCACAATTTATAACTGATTTCACAAGCTCACAGCTTATTCGATCGTACTGCTTTTGGACCCATTGGAACCCGGTGTGAGCGGTCAGGAGTCTGAACGGGAGAGCGACTCAAAGGACATGTCTGTGCCATAGTGTCTTGGTGAGACTTTTCAAAGCTCGTCAGAGCGTGTAATCAAAGGACTACCTGGCGACCGGGGGAATGCTACAAAGGTCAACGATCTTGAAAAGATTGCGTGTCAAGGGCGAGGGGTTGTGATATCCACAGCATGTGTGTGACACCTATTTAGAATGATGGCTATTCACATATTGAGGGCTGACTACCCGACTACTCCATAGGTCTCCGAGAGTTGATCGATCAGTTTTGATCAACAATATGGGTAGAGAGAGTGAAGGGGGTGTCCCTCTATCACCTTACAAGCCTGCATCGATCGACTTGACAACCACTCCCTATGGTGGATCACCATCTCTCAAGTTCCGAACGTGTCTGCGAGCAGCTAGTCTGCCGCTAATCTTTGCTCTCACGTCTATGCTGGTGGTTCTGACGACTTTATCTCTTCAACCACCAGGCACTCTCAATACAATACTGGCCTTTTTGAATCCATTCTATCAACCTTCATCATCTTCATCAATATCCGACTGGCCAACTGTGCACCTGCAACAATCAACCACCGAGGCGTATGCGACATTTCTCTCAGATATCGGACTCGATCCCATTTATCTCCTACAAACTCGCCTCCTCCTCTTTCAGATCAAGCATGACCGACTCACTGCGGATCCCATGAGAGATTTTGTAGTCTTGACTACTCCGAATGTTCCTGTAGAGATCGAAGATCAACTCCGAGAAGAAGGAGCAGTGGTCATCCGACGACCATTTGTGCTCGGCATGCCTGGCGAAGCGGCTGACTTGGGCGATAATATCCGATGGAAAGATCAATACTCTAAGCTGAACATCTTCAACTTGACCCAATACGAGCGTATTCTCTACTTGGATAGCGATACGATCCTCACTCGATCCCTCGAAGGTATATGGACCGAAGAGGCAGCTTGGCCAAAGTATGGTCTGGCAAGTGTGGGTGTGGACGAAGAAGTGGCACAACGGCCTGGTAAATTGGATGGATCAGAATTCAACGGTGGATTCTGGCTGGCTAGACCATCGGAGGACTTGTTCACCGCTTTGCTTAAGCAAGAGGACTATGATCCGTTCTACCTGGAGCAGGTGAGCCGTCGGAGTCCCTCACATGACCAAATCGAGCTGATGAGTATCGCTTCAAGGCTTTGTTGAACCACTACTTCAGCTGGACTGGGGATGCACCGTGGACAGCCCTCAAGCCAGAGTAAGTAAAGCAATGAACCTCTCTGATGGTCTACAGATGGAACACCATACATCCGACAGAACACGACTTGGTAGAAGGTGTCGCCACGTAAGCATAGTCAGCGAGCGATCGACCCGCTGACGAACCCCACAGTTTGCATGGCCATTTCTGGGAGCTGGATGCCGATGACCAACTGGGTGACTTTTGGCTTACCACGATCGGAAGGATGGAGCGGTATTGGATGGAAAAGGAGACGCATAGTCGAGGTTGACGAGATTAGCACCGGGCTGGACGCGGAGAGCAGAATATTCACTTTGTCTCTTGTCTACAGCAACACGATATATGCACAAGCAATGTTGTAAAATGTCGATAGATGTGAAGTCATAATGATATGAAACCTGTATTGTTACATACACGAAAGGGGAATGAATGGCTCCGTCGCATGCTCATTTGTCAGATTTGCCTCCAGTTCCCCATTCCCTGAAGAGACCTTCCAGGCTCTTGTGTATGAGCCCAGTCGGAAGACTCTTGATGATATCTGTGACCTTTTCGTTCACAACTTCGGTCTTTTCTCCCGCTTTGGCAGCGTAATCCGTTGTCAGGCGGTACATGGCGAGGATCGCCAAAGACACGTGGGTCTGATGAGAGGCATACGGCGAATCAGGTCGGATAACGGAAGCGAGAGGACCGAGAGTTGAGCTACTTGATGCTGTGGAAGGACGATCACCCCGAGCGAGGCGGAGGAGTATTTCGACAAGGTCGTTAGGGTCGGATAGGAGAGATGAGGTGAATGCTCGACGGGAATGAGTTGTGCCGTAAGATGCGGATGCTACCCAGCTGTCCATGATGGATTGAAGGGTGGGCGACTGCGAGCGAGCGTCAGCAGTGCTACAGATTTGCAACAAGGCGCACGCGTACCGGATCAGGGTCTACAATCTCCAACTTTCCATGCCACCCAGTCTCAGAGCTTGCTCGTCTGGTACCGAATTGCTCGATCAACCAGTCGTCTGCCGAGTTGTTACGACACCATTTCGGCTCGCTGAGGGGCTTCCGCATGTTCAAATACACGGACAAGACAAGCGGACTCTCCGCATTTTGTGGGAAAGCTTTGTGGAAAGGCGGAACGGTAATGTTTTCTTCTGTTTCACTCGACCAGATCTCTTCAAGCTTTTCTCTGGTAGACGAGACGAATCGCTGATCTGCCGAGTCGTAGGTCTCCACCTGAGCGAACATATGAGTAAAACGAGTCGCTCCAGGCTCGGGCCTCGTCCACTCACCAGTATACCCTGAAGCAATGACACCGGCGTGTCGTCCGAGCTAGCCTCAGCAGTTTGAAGCAAGTCTTTGACGAAGATCACCTCTATCTTGCCTTCTTTGCGATGGATCCGGACTTTCTCCACCACCACCGCATCAATACAGATCCGTCGCGAGGACTCCTCGTACAAGATTGACAGTCGATTGAGTGATGGACCACTCTCTTTGGCCGCAGAATCGGGTGAATAATCCTCCGAAGCATTCGAACTGACCGATGACCTCCTGCGAGCGCGGGTTTTGTATGCCGATGCAGTGTTCTCTGCGGAGTCGGCTAATGCTTGGGCTTCCTCCACAGAGACTTTAGGTGTCTCATTGCCGGCTTGAGTTCCTGTAGCACCTTCCGCTGAGACTGCAGTAGACTCCCCGCCTGTTACAGCCGGCGCATTTTGAGTCTCTGTTGACTCGACGACCTCCTGCTCTCCTTGCTCGACATCGACGACCGGGTCGTGATCACTGATAGCTGCTGGTCCTTCGACGACCGCGTCCCCCACTGCTGTTTTCGCCGCAGCTTCGTCGACGAGATCGTTGATGGCAGTCTCGATCGCACCGGCGTCAGTGACCATGGAGATGTCCCCGGCTTCCCCATGCGAGGTGGATGGGTCGACCTCGGCAGCTCTTTCCACTGTGACGGCTTCCGCATTTCCCAAGGCATCTTCAGAAACTAGTTCCGGAGCTGACAGCTCAGTCACTTCGTCTCCGGTAGACTCCTTGAGGGTTTCCGCTACCGCGTCTCTATTAGTTCCCGAGTTTTCTTCAGCGACTGCCAAGCTAGTAGCTGATGGTTTCGTAGCTTGCAAATCCGAACCTGCCTGATCGGCAGCGACTTCCTTGGCCGCCTGGGTAAGTTCTCCGCTCAAACCTGGGGCAGCGATGTCGCCATCTTCCACATTCTCCTCCTCCACAGGTTCGACAGTCCCCACGGTACCAACGGTGCCCTCCCTCACACGATCTCCAGCAACACTTGGAGCTACACTTTCACTGTCTTCTCTCCTCCACCGTTTGTTTGGATTCCGCCTTAGAGCTTTCGGAATCCGATCCAGCTCGGGAGGAGATTCAAAGTAAATACGGAACCGATTCTGATTCGAGTCTCGAGGCGGAGCAGAAGGATCATTTGGCCTGCCGTGAGTCACCGCATAGCCTCCTCCCTGATGCTTCTTAGAAGCTGATCCTTCTTCTTCTGACACGCGAAAGCAGTCTCAGCCGGTAGAACCCAGTCAGAGCGTTCATTGACTCACCACCACCTTCTGAAGTCTTCGCTTTGCGCTTAGCACCTGTCTTCTCTTCGGCGCCCTCGGACGCGTCAAGAGAACCGGCCTTGTTTTCAGCTTCGCCGAGATTCTTCGACTCGACTCCTACAGCGCCCGCATTCGCATGTTCAGATTCCACTTTACTAACACTTTCGGGATCCACTTTCACAACATCCGAGAGATCCTTCGTCAACTCTTCTTCTCCCTTCACAGGACCTTCTCCCTTCACAGGACCTTCTCCAGTTTCCGGAGCAGCTTTGTTTTCAACTTTTGACTCTGCAAAGCCGTTTGGAGCCTTCTCTGCCTCGATCTCTTCGACCTTTGCTTCTCCTTTCTCCGTGGCATCATTGGAGGCTTGAACTTCGGAATCATCTCCGAGTACGCCCCAGCTCCAGCCGATATTCTTCATTTCAATACCAATGATTCTGAAGTCAGACATGGTGGTCTTCGGCTCCTTCTCCCTATGATCACGATCGCGATCTTTGTCTCTCCGCTTCTTGTCTGAATCTCGATGGCCTCGAGAAGCATCGGGTCTGCGCATTCCGGCGGGACCCCTAGGAGCGTTCATCAATCCACCACGGCCTCCTCGTCCGCCCAGGCCGCCTCTCATACCCAGACCGCCGCCCATCATACCACCACGAAGCTGTCCGCCGAAAGGAAGAGAGGGAGGAGGTCCACCGAGCCCGAGATGAATTGGAGGTCTTGGAATAGGAGGAGCAGGGAGTGATGAGGGTCCGCCGATACCAGACGATGATCGACTGGCACTCGGACCATTGGGAGGATGAGGAAGAGCAGGAGGACGAGAATTAAAGTTTTGCCCAGAGGGCCTCACTGGAATCGACGCAGGTGGACGAGGCGGTGTATAACTTTGCATGGGTGTGTTTGGAAGTCCATGTACTCCTGTGCCTCCGGTTGTCATCGGACCTGCTGCTGCGCCTGCCACGCCTTGAGGTGAGTCGAATCGCGGTCGTTTGGCGGGAGGGAACCCAGACTGAGGTTGTTGCGCCTGGGGCGGTCGACCCTGGCCTGAAGGCGCGCGAGGTGCCGGTCCGGCAGGCTGATATGGCCGATTTTGAGCCTGCATAGGTGAAGGAGTATGGGCCGGACGATATTGCTGGTTGACCTGCGGACGAACGGGAGAGTAAGTTTGCTGAGGCTGTTGAGGACCAGCTTGTTGAGGGTAGTATGTCTGTTGGTTATTATAAGGTTGAGCAGCAGGAGCAGGAGCAGGAGCAGATTGCGGTCGATATGCTTGTTGACTGTGCGCCGGAGCTCCGTAGGTTGTGGCGGCTCCATAAGCAGGTTGAGCTTGCGTCTGTGCAGCGTAACCTGCTTGTCCGTACGCCGGGGCTTGCGGGTTGTACGGCTGCTGAGGTCCATACTGCTGTTGAGGCATCGGCTGTCCGTAGGACTGGGTAGCTGGAGGCCTGTACCCTTGAGCTGGCGGTCGATGATGCCCTGACGCATGGGCAGAGTGCTGCGCGCCTGCACCGTATCCATAGTTGGCGTAAGGATTCGGAGCGCCGGCTGAGGGTTGAGCCGATTGTGGCTGAGAAGCTCCCGCGGCGTTATAACCTCCTCCGCTTGCCATCCCTTGCGACTTGAAATCGAGTCAGTTCGTTGAGTCGCAAGTCATTTGAGCAAAGACCTACCTGGTAGTAGGCTGCCCATGCCGCTTGAGAGCTCGCGGATTGATCCTGAGCCGGTGCGTAAGACGTCGGCGGTGGACCAGGTGGAAGTGGAGGAGCTGGTCCTGGACCATTCATCCCTGGAACATATGGTCTGTTTGGCAGGACCATGATCTGTGAGAGGGGGATGATGCGCGGCAGAGGGGAAGGTTGGATGAGTTGAACAGTGAGTTGAAGATGATCAGCTTCAGACACGCGCGAAACTTTGGGTGGGAATGGCCGAGAAGCGGAATCAAAAATGAAATCCAACCAGAGGTGCAGTCACCAAAATATTAAGCGAAAGTCTATTTGAGAAGGGAGCAGGCAATAAACGTGTCGAGCTTGTACTGATACCATAGCCGCATACCTCCCACAATGTCATCCTCGACGATCTTCAAGATCCAACCTGGGATTCAGGATTATTCATGGGGAAAGAAAGGCTCAACGTCTCTGGCAGCTCAATTGGCAGCTGTGTCTGTCCCAGATTTCGAGGTTAACGAGGACAAGACATATGCCGAAGTGAGTTTGACCTACTGTCAACCTCTCGTGGTTCATGCATGACCCTAACCAACGTAGCTATGGATGGGGACACACCCAAATGTTCCGTCAAAGCTTGACGCCTCTACGACCCTGTCCTCTCACCTGGCAGCCAACTCCTCTCTCATCGGGGACAAGATCATCTCCGCCTTCCCGGAATCCAAGGACGGCTCTCTGCCATTCCTGTTCAAAGTTTTGAGTATAGGAACGGCCCTCAGTATCCAAGCCCACCCAGATAAAGCTTTGGCCAAAAAGTTATTCGAAGAGCATCCTGACATCTACAAAGGTGAGTAGCCCGGGTTCTTGCGGCGGTGGTAGCTCATCGTAGGACATAGACCCCAACCACAAACCTGAAATGGCGATCGCCCTAACTCCTTTCCTCGCCTTCCTCAACTTCTTACCTCTTCAAACCTTGCTGCTCAACCTTCTCTCGGTGCCCGAGCTGGATCCTCTCATCCCCGCCGAGCTTACTTCCGAGCTCGCCGTCTCTCTAACTCTCCCCGACACTAGGCCTCCCACCGCTCTGTTGTTCGAGCCGACTATCTCAGGACCTACGGATGATCAGAAAGCTATCCTCAAGAAAATCTTTGGAGCTCTCATGTCCGCTGACCCTGAGAAGGTCAAAACGAGCATCGAGACCTTGGTGGCGCGATACAAAGCATCCCAATCCGGCGAGGAAGGAGCTAGTATCGCGGAAGCTGAGAAAAGCCTGGTCGATCTCACCCTGATGCTCAATGATCAGTACCCTGGTGATGTCGGTGTCCTGTGTGTTTTCATTCTCAACGTTGTCGAGCTCAACAGAGGAGAGGCTGCTTTTTTGGGAGCTGACATGCCCCATGCGTACATCAGCGGAGGTGAGACGACAGGAGATCTCAGACGTCAGCCGTCGTCGGTTGTGGACTTGGCTGACACTTTCAGACATCATCGAGTGCATGGCAACTTCCGACAACGTTGTTCGAGCTGGATTGACTCCCAAACTCCGGGACGTCTCTACATTGGTTGAAATGCTCACGTACGAAGCTGGATCGGGATCGAAGCAGCTATTGAAACCGACATCATTCGGATCTGAAGGGGACAAGTCTGCCCTTTTGTACGACCCGCCCATTGCAGAGTTCTCCGTGCTTGGTATCCAGCTTGAAGCTGGACAATCGACAATCAACAGGGCTATCCAGGGCCCAAGTCTGGTCGTCGTCACAGAGGGCCAAGGCACAGTATCCTCCGGAGGAGACAAGATTGAGTTCAAACGTGGAGAAGTGCTCTTCCTCGGTGCCGGTGATGAAGTACATTGGGAAGCAACGGACAAAGTCGAGCTGTACCGAGCATTCGTGGAGGCAGGCGGTCAAAATTAGTATACGAAACGCAAATCCGGAGAGCCTGATTGAGGAAAACGAGTAGACTACCACTTCTTTCAGGCGGTCGCTTCTCACCAGTTGGCCGCAGAGTTCGTCATCCAATGCATTAGAAGGTTATTAAAGGGACACAGATTATAGCCACGTTGACGAAAAGTGCCACAAATGAATTTTGCCGGACTTTTGGAATATTTTTGGGTGAACGCTCTCTCTCTCTATTGTCGCGATCAGGACCAGGTGTGGGTCGACGATAACCGTGTTGGACTCCTGAGCAGCTCATCATATACGACACACGATGAGCGGTGCAAAATCTATGGCCGCGGCCTTGTCCGCGTCTTTACCGGCTCCTGTCCGTGCAAAGACTCCTCAGCCCGTCCAACAGAGCAACGAAGCCAAAGTTCCTCAACGGATGGAAGGCGTCTTGGATGTCGAAGCGGAGAGGGACATTGAGAGTGTCAAGCTCAACTCTTTGGTAAGTGTCCTGTGGGATGGTGACGGCGCAAGACTTCTTGGTGCAAAAGTCTTCAGGGAGCTCAATGGGCGAAGTGCTTGTCGAAACACCTGCTCACCTTGCTGTCAGGTATTCCTCAAAATGATGAAACACTCTACCGACAATTTGCCTCCTCCTCCTTCTGCGAGCTTTCAACAGGATCGAAATGCTCCTCCTCCGACTGCTCTATCATCTCATCCCGATGCTACAGGTATATTGCTCGGTCTAGACCTTGACGGAGTAATGGAAGTCGAAGACTGTTTTGCCTTACCGGCCGGTGAAACATCCCTCGGAGGTGAGTTTGCGTCTCGGGGCGAGCGACAGCTATACGCATCGCCTGCATTCATCCCCGCTGATGCTCTCTCTCTCTCCCTCTCTTCTGTCTCCAGCCAACTCGTATTCCTCTCGTCTGGTTGCTCATCTTCGGAGCGTTCAAACACCCGATTCGGCCGTTGGAATCTACCTGTCAACGCACAATGGTGGTTTCGCAACCCGCGCTGCCATCGACCTTTTGATATCGATTGAGCGCATTACAAAACGTGGACGAGCCGTCTTGGTCATTCATGACCAATCTGCAGCTCCTGCTGGTGATCTCAGTGTCAGAGCATACCGTTTGAGTGAAGGCGCTTGGGAGGCTGCTAAGACTGCCAAATGGGACACTGCGGTGTGAGTGGAGATGTTCACGGCACATCGCAGTTTTCCGCTGATATACACTTTTTTTCAGTCTGTCTGAGAACAAAATCACAGCTGCCAACATGCTCTCTCCTCTTCCCGTGACCATCTCGACTCCCTCTCTTCTCAACGCTCTCCTCGCCACCCTCACAGCCCCAGCATCTACTTCCTCCTCCTCTTCCGTCCTTGGCGAGCCTCGCTCACCCTTTCCACCGACATTCTCGGCTCTCACAAATCCCTTGCCCGCATCCCTCCCGTCCTACCTTTCCGACACCCTCGACGCTCTCACTCTGCATTCCCACGAGGCCAACAATGTGGCGTATCTTGTTCGTCAGATTGGTCGAGAAAAGGCAAAGCACGAGCAGACGATCAAGGATCGCGAAGAGGAGAATTTGAGAAGGAGAAAACAGGGCTTGTCAGAGCTGCCACCGGTCGGTGAGATGCGGGGCGGTATCAAAGATCCCAACAGGTTGGAATTGTTGTGCCTTCAAGGTCAAGTGGATGGATTGGCCAAAGGCATGAGCGCGGAAGCTGGCAAGGGTTTGGTCAGGTGTTACCTGTAAGATAGATTTCGTATGCAGTCGAATTGCAGCGCTGGCTGGCTGTGGATACTGGATATAGATACGGATGTAGCTGTGAGATTTGCGAAACTGTCAGGCATCGGCCCGGCTTGTTCGGAGACGCCGCCAATTCGGAATGGACTGATTTTTTTTATTTTTCCAAAATCAATCCGAAGATTATCCCTATGGCGTCTTCATTTTTGACCACCTCCTACCTGTGTATGAGAATCGAGTCGAGGATCGCAGACTGGCTTTGAAGACTTGAGCAGCTGGTAGATCGTCTTGCCTGTGATGCTCCTCTGCAAGATATGTCCGCGGTATCCGATGAGACGATAGTATCCACTCACTCGATGCTATCTCGTGCCAAGCCCAAGCCGCCGTCGGACGTACCCGACCAAGAGCCCTTGGTTCGTGAGAGAGGGGCTCACGTCGGTGAGAAAGCTCAAGCATCGTACCGGGATGAGACTATCGACATTGGTGGCCAAGACGAGAAAGTTGTCTTGAACACACTTGGAGAAGGTCCAAGTGCCCCTGGAGCCGCTGACGAGGTAGCGGAAGATGTCCAAGCCGGCATTGAGGACGTTCCTCCTGGAATGAAGGGATGGATCAATCTTTTTGGGGTAAGCACTTTGATCTATAGAGCTCAAAGGTGGATGAAAATTCCCTGATCAGACACGCCTTCAGGTCATCGGTATCAATGCCATCTGCTGTGAGTCTCATCTTTCGATCCGACGACGAAGATCTCCGCTGACTTGGCATGGCATCCGACAGATGGAATGACAAACTCTGTACGCTGTCCCTTCACGTCCGAACTCACATTTTGCTGATTTGCATTCCGTATACTGTCAGTTCGGTACCTTTCAAGAGTACTACGTTAGTCACTTCCATCTGAACCCCACAGCAGCATCTTGGATTGGATCTATTCAACTCTGTCTCATGCCACTTCTGGGATGCTTTGCCGGCCCTCTGTTCGATTCAGGCTACCTTAGGTATTTGACCGTCTCTGGAGGTTTCTTGTATACCTTTTCGCTCCTCATGACTTCCATTTCGAAACAGTATTACCAGTTCTTACTGGCTCACGGTATCGGCGCTGGCTTAGGCATGGGTATCATCTTCTCGCCCAGCGTCTCGACGCTAGCTCATCATTTTGGGAAAAGCAAATATAGGAGTTTGGCATATGGTCTTCAAGCATCTGGATCTTCTCTCGGAGGAATACTGTTTCCAATCTTAGCTAGGAGCTTGTTGCCAAAGATCGGATTCGGATGGACATTGAGAGTGTGTGAGTGTGCTGCCGCTGCCCGCCCCCGGGTTATCTAGACAACCTCGTCCACCACAACTGACTGGTCCGTTCAGTCGCATTTATAGTTCTTGCCATCATTGTACAGTCTTTCTTCACCCTGTCTACCACGGTACCGCCACGGCGCAAAGTCGCCATCCTTAGTCCTACTGTCTGTGAGTGGTTATTGGATTTTCAGACAGCCACAAACAAGGGCTTACTGTCAAGCTCCAGTCAGAACGACTGGCTACGCACTCCATGTTCTCGGATGTTGCATGTGTTCATTATGTGTATACTGTCCTCTCACCTTTGCCGTCACTTATGGTGTCTCTCACGGCATCTCCCCAAGTTTAGGAAACATTGCGTGAGTGTTCATTCTCCCTCAAAGCACCAGCGCCTCCAAACTGACCCAGGAAACTCGCGTCAGTCTCACAGTCATCAATGCATGCGCAATCATAGGTCGAGTTTTACCTTTGATCCTGGCACAACGAGTCGGAGCGATCAACGTCGTCTGTGCCTCTGGTCTCGTCGCTGCTATCATGCTCTTCAGCTGGACCAAAGCCACGACTGTCCCTGGGATCATCATCTACGATGCCATGTACGGAATCGGAAGTGGAGGTTATGCAGCAGGTGTCAATCCAGCCGCAGCGTCTTTCGCACCTCACACCAATCAGACAGGGTGGGTCCATTTCTATATACGCGCATGGTCACTGACTGTGACTGTGACAACCCACTCCAGCCTCTACCTTGGCATGTTCTTCTTCACCACTTCGTTTTTCTGGCTTAGCGGCACTCCCGCCACGGCCGCTTTGATCAACGCGCGTGGATACCTCGCTGCTTCAATGTTCTGCGGATCGACCTTGTTATTAGGCATATGTTTCATCTTGCTTGGTCGGAAACAACGCGTCAAAGCTTTAGGCACACCTTGGGTGTGAGACAGATGACCCCTGACATCCTATCCCTTATCATCGTATGTATCACCCACCCGTCACACTTATTTGCATGGGTGCACTTCCTGCTGCGCCTGACGTGTATCTCTTGTATCAATATGCATGCATTCATTGTCGTCTCGCTGATGGCATGGAGAAGACAGTCTACTAGCTGATGTCGAAAGAGATTGGATGTCCCTCTCGTTCAACACGAGAAGCATCCCCGCACAGACTGCACGCCATGAATGGGCGTCAAAACAGGTCCTTCGTCCTTGGCCCCCTACTGCCTTCAATTGTCACTCAAGGATACAGAGCAGGTTCGTTACTACCTGGTGGAAATCTCAACTTTGCGAGCATGACCGCCTCTCTGTAGCAGTCGTCAGCTTTGCTCCAGTACCATGTATGATCGATCCTACCTTCTCCCAGGCGTGACAGTGGAGACTTTGACGCTATACTTCAATTCCGACTCGTTCAGCGCCACATCAGATTGTACGCCATAGTTTCCCTTGCCCCCGGGAGCATACGGGTCAGCGTACCAGTTTTCCAGAGACGATCCTTCAGTGCCTTTGGTCGAGCGTTGGAAGACGGCAGATGATGAGGACATCTTGAACGCCTTTGTGGCATCGAAGGACTGTCGGTTGACGGCCCATGTTCCCCATGGTTTTCCAGTTTCAAACTTGGCATGAACATTGAAGGTTATCGTTGTTCGAGGTGCAAAACTTGATACCAGCATGGCAAAGTTGGCAGCTTTGAGTGTGCCGACAACCTGACAACGAGGTCCTTAATATTGTGGCAAAGCCCATTGGGGCCACCAAGAACAAAGCCTCACCATGATGATATCCTCCTTGGCGATATGGTGTGCATCACCATACTCTGTCAGAATCCAATCAATGTTCGCCACGAGGTAAGCCCTTGCTTCGGCAAACGAATCGTAGATCTCGAATTCGCCATCATCCACAATCAGCGCAGCCTGCTTCATCCCAGGTCGAAGCGGAAATGTGATTCGCCGGGAAACCGCTTGTCTAAGCGAGCGAGTTTCAGCCATGTAGCAGTCAACACTCACTTTGTCTGCTCGCCTGATGACCTAATGAAACTGGTCCATGAAGAAACCAAATCGAATCCCTTCTCTGCCGCTGTCCGGACATTGACGGGTCCTCCATTCGTATGCAGTGAGCTAAACTCGTCCAAGAATGGCAAGGGCGGCAACTGTCGCTGATGAGTGACGAGTGGAGGCCGATGAGCGTCCAGGAGCTTGACAAATTGGCCATGACGAATGTAGCCAACCTCGCCGAGCGAGACTAGCGACGGGAACCAAAGAGGTAAAGTCAGTCGATCGTCAAAGTCGTGCTGGAGATAATGTCTGTAATGTCTTTCCGCTCGGTCGGAGTCGAACGATGGTTCCGTTTCCAGATGAGGGGGAATCGAATGGACCGAGCCGGACGACGAAGAGTTCTCTTCGTCAGGGAGGACGAGTCCGTGATGTTTCGGGGAGATCGCCCTGTACTATCAGACAGGTTCGCAGACGAGAATGGTAATCTTACATCTGTTCTCTGTGCAATTCGCCCTCTGAAGCAGTGGTGTAGGAGCTACTGCCTCCGTCGGTCGTCCCTGATGCTCCCATCGGCTAATGTCATAGAGCCGTAAGTGTCACTTACCGGTCTGAGCGGTCGCTTGGCGCGTCTTCGCTGGCGTGTATATCTTTGCCAGCATCTTTGAAAGCACACTGAAGGAAGGACGATCAGGTGCACTTGCAGCCCAGCATTTCTGACAAATCTTGTAAAGTTCATCTGGCATCCCAGGTGGCTTGAGAGGCCTTTGACCTTCTATTTAGGCGTCAGCTTGTGCAAAAAGGACAAGAGGAGGAAGCTGACTTAGTATGCTCTTCCGAAGCAAGAAGTCGTCAACATAGCCATAGGGCACCTGGTCCATGAAGAGCTACAAGCAGGTGCATGAGTTCCATCTGCAGGACTCAGTCAGACATGTCCACGTACCTCGCATATGGTGATGGCAAAGGCGTAAACATCATCCTTGTAAGACAAAGCTGCCCCGCTCAGTCTTTCAGGACTCTGCCACCTCATCGTTCCACCCATAGCGGACCGCATGGGAGAGTCGGGTTTTGACTTGGTCACCATGTCCAATTTTATTTTGCTCAATCCAAAGTCGCAGAGGATCGCCTTGCCATCGTCATCCAGTAGGACGTTGGACGCCTTCGGGTAGGGAAGTCAGAATAGCTCTACACACGACAGACTTTCATCACACACCTTTAAGTCACCATGGACAATCTCACGACCGTGGAGATATTCCATACCCTCAGCGATCTCGTGTAGAATCGCCAACTTGCTAGCGCCTCGACCTCTCTCACTTTGAAGGTACTGCAGAGCATCCCCATTTCGCACTGTCCCGTTTAGCCACAGCCTACATCCTGGTGAGCTCACTGTACGGGCTCACAAGGAACCATGGAGGAGGTCCCGTGGTACTTGACGCTCCGAGAAATGGCAAGATATGTCGGCTCTTAAGCTGTCTCCAAACCTCTACCTCGTGGATGAATAATTGCCTATCGGCAGATGGGCCAAGCTCTTTAATTGCCACCTCTTCGCCCTGCCACTTTCCTCGCCAAATGTCTGCAAATCCGCCCGATTTCACCCGTTCATCTTGGATTATCTCAAGGGGGGTGATGGTCCAATCGGGGACAGCGACATCCGTACTGGTACTGTGTCGTCGGAGCACATCCAGCGCATGTTCGCAGAATTCTTGATGTTGGACGGAGTGCTCGTCATCCAGTGACATGGTCCTTCCTCGCGTGTATCGGCTCCGAGGAGACGGAATAGCGCCATATGAGCCAGAGGAAGATGTCTCAGCATGCGTGGTTGTTGTTGCTCGCCCAGTATCTTGAAGCGATGGCCGAGCTTCGTCCATGAGATAGGATTGAGGAACCGACATCCTCTCCAGACCGAGAATGGATCTCCCGGCTTGAACGTCATCTGCCTCGACCGCTGATCGAGTATCGCTCTGAGCAGCTAGCAGGCGATCTAAAGTCCGCTGTAGCGTCTTGATAGCTTCTTGCTGTTGATCCGCTGCGACGAGTGTCATCATAAGATATGCTAAGACAAGAAGGGGCTCACCTTTCAGTTCCAATAGCTTCAACAAAGCTTGATCGTCCTTGCGTGCTTCTTCCTGCTGCCGAATTAAGAGCTCGATATCTTTCTGGTGGTCTAGCCTGGACTGCTCTTGCCATGCAGCAGTGGAGATCATCAATTGAAGCTATAGCATGACCTTTAATCGATGTGGGCCCCGCGTGAACAAGATGCACTCACGTTAAAAATATCAATGTAGTCTGACAGGTTTTCCGTTGCCATGACTACCAGCCGCGAGTTCTCTTCCATATGCAAGTACAATTTGAGGAAAGGCTGCTGAGACAGCTTCACCAACAGCTTAGAGCTCTCTTGAAGGTTGACGAGCAGACGGTCAATGTTGGCCTGGTTGATAGCTGACACCCTTCCAGCGTTGTCAATGATGGCCTGCTGGACAGCATTGAGAACCGTGGCGGATCGCTCAACCTGTAAAATCTTGTCAATAATGGTCATGCCCTCTCAAACTTACCAATCTCAAGGCTGCGACCTTGCCCATACTTAGGTTTTTGGCGTTTTCCAGCATCTGAACGATCAATTCGATGCCTTTTCCAACTCCGGGGATCCAGCCGGCTCCAAGCTCCAAACCAGCTGCAGCGCCTCTGAGTATTGTCATGGTCGTACCTAAACGATCAACGCTACGCTGAGCATCCAGAACGCTCTGGTGGAAGGCATCCGATTGGAAGCTTATCGGCGGGGGACTTGAGGGGTTCTTGGGCAGGTCTGTCTGGACTTCGCTGGTGAAGGACAATGGTCGTCCTGGGTCGTCATGCGGTGTGTTGCGCTGTGACTTCCTGACGGTGACGTCGAGAGGCTCATGTGATGTCGATGGCGTGACGAGCTTGGTCGACTTGGAAGGCGTGATAGTGGGCTGGTCAGACGAGATTTGAGAGCCAGAAGATGGAGCTTTGCGAGGGTAGAAATCGTGCACCGGTGGGAGGGCCGTTGATTGGCCTAGAGGGGATCTCGAAAGAGGCTGAACCTCGTGAGGCTTAGTGATCGTTGCAGGTGGGATGCACTCCTCTTGGACTCCGCCTCGTCCCGTTGTCGACCCATCTGATGCCTTGCGATCCTCTGACTTGTCAATACTACTCCCGCTGCTACTGCTCGTGAAAAAGTGTTTGATCTTGTCCTTGATCCTGTCCTTGTCCTCAGAGTCGCTCCCATCCTTGTCTCGTTCCCGAAGACTGAGAGACGATCGCCTGAACCTCGAAGCGAGCCCTAGTCTATCCTTTGAGCTGAACGAGCTGGTCTGGGACGAAGGTATTTCGTTGACAAGAGGGCCAGAAGTGAGTGGACTCGAAGGGACTGATGAAGCGATATCGGGGAGCTGTTGTATCTGGCCAGGCGGGGACTGGGGCTTCGCGGGTACAGGAGGTGGAGGCGAGTAAGATGGACGTGGGATTGGAAATTGGACCGCTTCTTTGGGAGGTGTCGGAGGAGGCGCCATATCGTCCGTTGGTATGTTCTGTGTGGCTAGTGGACCCGGCATGGTAAGTCTGTGTGTGTGTATGTGAGTGAGTGAGAGAGAGATGAACGAGGTGACAACGTGGAGCAGGCCAATGTTGACGTCGTGGGGTGAGACGGACGGGCTTCCTGACAAGCTATGTGGAGATGAACGTCAAAGGAATGGTGGAGTCAAGGTGGCCAAGTGGTTGGTGGATTGAGCCCGTCGTCCAGGTGACGAGATGGATAGATCCTTCCGCCTCCTTAGTCAGGTCGAGTCAACCATGAGGTTCTAATCATATCCCTGGGTTACAACATCAGGCGGCTATCTCATAGCGACGAGAGACATCAATGACCTCGAGTCAGTCAACGGAGATGTTCAGATGACAGATGATGAGCCAAGGGTCAGAAAGACAAAGTGATTGAATAGATGCTGGAGCAGAAGCATATTTTGGATCCAGCCGCGAACACATACACAGCGAGGAACTGGCTTGTGAAAAGCTCAAAGCTCAGCATTTTGATCGACTCCATTAGCAGCATCACAGGATATCGAGGATAGCCGAGGCATCGGTTCGTTTCGAGAGCAGTTGAAGAATTTTGGTTTCTCGCTCCGGCGCGATGTGAGCTATGCAGCTGGGGTGAAGATCGTCAAAAGGCGAGCCTAGTCTTTGTGCGGGCTCCATCACAGCTACCGAAAACGCTTCCCTTCCTGATCGAGATCGGTCACATCATTCGTGATGTGAAGTTGGGATTTTCCAGCCGAAAGAATTCGAAGTCGCGGAACGATAGCGATTCCCCTCGTAACGTTGCTAACGCATTGCATCGGGAAAGTCGACATGAACAAGGAGACAACCGTAGGGACTACAACATTCACAACAACGATATGAATCTCGGAACTACAACTCTGACATGCTCGTCCACCTCGTCTACCTCGGACCCAATATATCCCGCTCAAGTCTCCACTGAGTTCAGTTCCAAGCCCCTGGTCTCCGTTGATCTGCCACGCTCAGCTTCGACCTTTTCTGCCCTCCACCTCCTGCCTTGTACTTGTTCTTCCTCTACTTCAAGCTCTCTCTCATCCAATGTGACTCGTTTCATACGGGAGATAATGTCCTCTCGCAGCAAACCACAAGCGCATGCTCTCCATTCCGCACCTCCGCCTGCAGGAACACTGCGATAAGTACATGAAGGGCATGTGCCATCACTCGTACCGACCAATTTCTTCGGATGATCATGTCTCGGGTGTGGGATCGAAGTTGGCGGACACGTCTGGCAGAATTGATCTTTCGCTGGAGTTTTGCACAATGGGCAACAGTCGGATTCAATATCAGACTGACCGTCGGCCGCTAAGAAACATCCAAGTCGATGTGAGCCGTCTGGTGAATCATCAGTCAGTCTTGTCGATCACAGACCGGAAGATCAGACGCACAGATAGGAAGGTCCAACACTTCGGGGATCAAGAAGCACTGGATAGTAGAATCTCAGCTACCTGTGTACAAGGGGATGAATGCGAAATTGGCTCACCGACGGCACGATCACAGGCTTTTCGACGCGAAGAATCCGAAGTTCTCCGGGAACATCTTTCCCAAAGGATCGGCCATTCGCATCTTCGCCCCGGACAGAGAACCAAACCTCTGTTCTGAGGGCGTGAGAGACACGGATTGGAGTCTCCACTCTGGTCGGAGGCGCGTTAGAAAGTCTCCTAGGGAGTGCCGAGTGCCAACAGAAATGTCGATTGACTCACCCCTCCAGAGTCGTAGGACGACCATGATAATCGTTCGGCAGTCGACCTTGACCATCTAGTCGCAATTCCCAGTCATCCTGACCTCCAGCTTGGACACCACGCCAAATAGCAGGCTGATCCGCCTTTTGAACCTTCCGTTTCAGGTCCGGAGGAACACCTTCAGCGGTGATGGGGAAAAGGCGCTCGACGGTCACTTCGGCCCCGTCTCTCGGTGAAGTGATTTCAGCCTTTTGATGAAGCGAAACTCTGACGTGGTAGATTGTGGATTCTGGGGATGGCGCCAAAAGATTCACGGTAGCTTTGAGAAGAGCGTAAATGCACCACTAAAGTGGGACAGAGTGAGTGAGCTGTATTCGCGGCACAAAGGAATCGGCCATGCTCACTTCGCCGGCTGCAAAGTTCAGGACATATGGGCCAAGCCCTGGGACATCACCGTCAACTCTGGCGTCCAGAGAGTTGACTCCTCCAGTAGGGTCCGGATTGTAGAGCAAAATCAACTCTCGAGTGATCGAGTGAACACCGGTGAGCCAAGGTATCTCGTTCTCATCGTGGGTAAACGCTGACGATGATCGAGGTAAATCGTCTAGGTTGTATGCGGGAGGTTGAGGTAGCATTGTCTCTTGGCGCAAGATGGTCAATGACGGCGAGGGAGACATGTTAGGTGAATAGAGCGGAGAGGGAGATCGTGTGCCTGCCGACCGCGGCGTCACGGAAGATGAGGAGGAAAGCGTGCTACTTCTTCGGTTCCAAGCAAACAACGACCTGGGATCCTGAATGCCTTCGATTTCAGCAAACAGGGTATTGTCCACTCGATGTCCTGGAGCGAAATCTTGAGCTGCAAGGTTACCAGGGATGATGATAGTAAAAGCGAACCTGCGGTTGAGAGCGCATCAGGAAAAGCACAAAAGAACGACACTGCCCACGCCCACCTTTGCAGACCCTCTTCCAGGATGATACCATCCGAGGTCGATCCCATCAGCTCTGCCTTGCCAGTCCACAAGGTATCCTCCTCTACGCCTCTGCCCACACCCATATCGAGCTTGCAGGTCGTTCTGAGACCGACGCGGATGGACTTGCATCTCACTGCTCCGAAACCAGAGGGTAATTCGATTTCCAGATCACCCGAAAGTTCCATATCTTGTCGTGGCGCATCTGGCTCAGATGTTGGATCTGGGAACGGCATAAAGACAGAGCCATAACTTGGGACGCGTAGATACAGTTTGATACCATTGGTCGAGACGGATCGCCTCAAAGGAGCTGAAGATGAGCTCCCTGATCCTTGAGTCAGGGAGCGAGAGAGGAACTTGAGCATGGACATGGCGGGCCGGCGGTCGATATACGACTCGCTCTAGAGAACTGATATGAATGGATGAGAGAACAGATATCAACCAAGTGACAGGCCGCCTTGTCCGAGATGTGCCACGAGGTTCATCTCAATTGATCTGATTGACTCGTTTGCTTCGACTCGAATAGACTTCCACGAGCGTCTTTAGATCTTGCTCCATGGTATCGTCTAGAAAAACGAGTCACATTCCATCCCGCATTCGGCTTCCCTCCTCCCGATGGACCGACCGGATCCCCGTGGATTTTTTTTGATTAGTAAACCAAGGGAATTCCGATTCCGGATATACCGCTGAATTATTAATGATCCGGCTTGACTCGTTTGCTACTGTCATGAGAGCCAGATCCTTGATCGATCTGACGCTTGGCGGGATGCTTCTTGCCCTGTTCCAATGCTTGTCGACTGAGTATCCTCAGTAATCTCATCTCCCCTATCCGTACGATAGCCGCGCGCCGATGATTCGTAGAGAGAGTGTCGACAGAGTTGGTCAGCCGAGCGAGTTCAATCTTATTTATGGGGGGCGTAAGCCACACATACCCGGAAGCCGCGTTTCCCGACGCGAAGGACGCCTTTCCAGCCCACTTACCTCCAGAGTCCTTGGATAAGCCTCCAGTCTTAACTGACAAGCCCCTTCGATCACACGTGCCACAGAGCCGTCAATGCTCTGCTTGGGCAGCTTGCCGCGTTGGTCGAATTTCTCCCATTCGGCGTCGTACAGTAGTATTCGGCTGAAGAAGATCAGACCGGGATCCGTGTCTGCCCCGGAGACGTTGAAGCAGCTGGACGAACATGGCATCAGATCTCGGACCTTTTTTTCTTCTTCTTCAGACAGGCTCGACTCACTCTTCTTGCCCATCTTTAACCCAAGCGATACCTCTTTCCTCTGCGTCTTCGTCTGACAAAGCTCGTTCTCCACATTGTTCCCTGATCGCATTGGCAGCTTTCACCACAAGCTTAGCGGAGATTTCCACTTCGTCCCCGGGATTGCCATACGGCCAATCACCGACCTCTCCCGGCTCAAGGCGATCAAGAGCATCTGACTCCAAGGCGAAAACATCTACATGTCCGTATTTTCTCAATAGCTCAGAATTTGGAGGAGAATCGTAGGTGTTGAACTGGAGGTTATCTTCAGGCATGATCTCCGAGGCAATCGAAGCATTACTCACAATCTGATCACCAAGTTTGACCTTTCTCTCCGTGATCATGTCGTGGTTGACTTGCGCAGCGTCTCCCTCTCTCATAGTTTCTTCCGAATCGTACAATCTCGCGTTGTCTCTCTGGTATGCCGCGTTCAACATGTCGGCCATTGGCATCATAGCTGGCACATCCCAGTCTTCCTCTTCCCATTCTTCTGGCTCTGACTCGGAATCCTCATCGTCCGCCCCTCTTGCACCTGAATCTCCAGGACCGGATCCAAGAACACCGCCAGCCGCTCGAACCGCCCGGAGATGTGAGATTGTGAACGACCGGGAGAGGATTCGAGAGCCTTGTAAGTGATACGCTTCGACGGTGAAGTGTGGAGAGGAGGGAGGGAAAACGTCGGGATGGGCCTGGGGTGGGATCAGCTCAGCTTAGAAACGGGTAAAGATTGTCCAGGTCAATTGAACGTACACGTAAAATAGGCATAATCTTGTCATGATAATCTTGCTCTGCTTCATCTCTTCCTATACGAGCTGAGTCTCGAGTATCAGCATCGTATAGCCTGCTGAGGAACCTGGCTCACATTCGATATCCGTCCCTTTGAGCTCTTCGAGGTCATTTGCACTCCAAAACATTGGGGTTTCGAATTGCTTCGGAAGGTTCCCTGGTTATACATCAGCATTGCACGCCCAATCTCCAATAGATATCTAAGATTCGACTTACTGAAATACCACGCCCAACTACTGCTCTCGCCTTTTGATTCTTCCCTCATCATCACGAGTATCAGGCGAGCCCAACCATGGCCCAGACTTTCAAGTTCCTCCGCAGTGAGCACCTCTTCCAGTCCTCCTGCATAACCCGAGAGGATCATCTTGTCAGGTATCGAGAACAGTCGTGTTTGCTCAGGTAGATCTTGTAGAGCTACTGCACCATAACCCATGGAAGGAAAAGGTTTCAAACCCATTTTATCCGTATCGATCCATCCTCCTGCGGATCTGAAACCATCTATCAGGTCTTGTGCATTGAACGAATCGTTCAGCGAGGTCATGCTGCCGTCTGAAGGATATATAACAGTATGCAGAAATCATAGATTGTCATGATCCCAAGCTTGAAATTTTGACAGACCCGGTGGAGGTTGCCGTTCCCCTTGGCTCAGCCTGCCAATCGAAGCCAGATCCTCTAGGTAGTTATGCATGAATACCTGTTGTGCTCTCTCGGCCGCAAGGGCGCCAAGTTGTCATTCGCATATGAGAGCGCCGCCTCTGCAAAAAGGGAGAGAGAAGAGAGCATCTGCAAGCCCCATGTTGAGTAAAAATGCTCTCTCCCAAGTTCCGCCCGATCGCTCAATCTTGATTTTCATTGCCCATTGTACCTGGTCAGCATAGCTATGGGTACTCGCACGGGAAGGAGAGTCCCCCAGCGACAGGGAGCTCAGGCATCCAAGCAGACGCAGAGGAGATGCATTGAGAGCGAGTCGTACGTATGCGATGCGGAGATGCGCGTGATCATGTACCTTCACGGTTACGGCTACGGTGACTAAAATTCAAACGGGCGGGGCCAACATTCCCTCTTCGCGTGTCTCCCCTGCGCCCCTGAAGCAAAAGTCCAAGCCCACCTCGGGGTCTCCTTCTCCTTCTTCTTTCTCACATCTCTCAGCACTTCTCTGCTGATAACGACCAGACTAACTCATCAATCACCAATGCTGACTCTCTCAAGAGTCACTGCGCGTGCCAGCAGCACGACACACGGGCAGCAGCAGAGACTGTTTGCCAGTGTCTCCAAGGCGCCCATCTTCGCCTCGAACCCTCATGTTCTTGAAGATCTAGAGGTGGTTCGGAATGGTGACAAGCAAGGTATCGAAGCTCTCCCACCGTTTGTGGTCAGTCGAGAGCGTGGATTCCTCCCTAGGCAGGTGAGTGTCTGTCTGTCGTCGACAAGACACCTCTTGCTGATCTGCCTCTCTTCACACAGGACCCGATGGTCAATTTGCCCCCTCAATTCAAGAACCTGGACTCGTTGCTTGACCGAATGACCATTCATCAGCCTGCCAAGTCCTCTGACCCGAATGCAGAGCGAGCTCCTGGTCTCCTTGCCCTGGGCCAATTCGGAGATGCCGTCGAATCGGAACTCAAGGTCGATGGACCTGAGATGAAAGCTGTCAAAGATCTTCTCGCGGATCCTCAGGGTCGCAACGTGAGGTGACACCGCGACCCCTGCGTTGATTCCAGCTAAATGAATTCGTTCTCTCAGAACAAGCACCTAATCGCCGCCCTCTTCCGAGACTACTGTTTCGCCGTCTCTAGCTACTTGCTTGAACCTACCGATCAGGCTTATCGAAAGACTGGAAAATACGTTCCTGGACGCAAGGTTCTCCCTGCTCAATTGGCAGTTCCCATCACTCAACTCGCTGAGAACCTTGGTCACTTCCCATTCATGGTGAGCGTCTGTCAAATGCTACCAAATGACAAGTTCTAACACTCCTCGGCCCTCTCTTCTTAGGAATACGCATCCTCCTACGCTCTCCAGAACTGGAAAGTCAAAGACCCTAATTTCAAAGGACCAGCCGGTCGATTGTCTTTTGACAATCTCGAACTCATCCGCGCATTCGAAGATGCTCAGGGTTCCGAACGAGGGTTCATCCTTGTTCACGTGGAAATGGTGGCCTTTACCAATATTCTCATTTCTGCCACCGAGGATGCTCTCGCTGCCATTCATGCCGATGATGTCAAGGGCTTTGAGAACGCCTTTGAACGCCTTTTGGGAGGATACCAAAAGATCAACCGATCTATGGACACCATGTGGGGCCGATCGAAGAATGGCGATTATATGAAGTTCCGAACCTTCATTTATGGAACTGCGCCAAAGAAAGTGAGTGGGCCCCGCAGCCTCCGGTCACCGTCAATTTACATGGTTGAACAGGGAAACCCAATGTTCCCTGAGGGTGTCGTCTACGAAGGCGTCAGTGAAGAGCCCCAATGGTACCGCGGTGAAAGTGGTGAGTAGACCTTTCGCCATTCGTGAAAACATCGGCTGATCGGCCGCGGCTCCCAGGTGCCAACGACAACATTATTCCCCTTAATGACAACTTGCTCGAGATTGTCAAAAACTTCCCCAAGAACCCTTTGACAGAGCAACTCAGAGAGTTCCGAAAGTACCGACCTGTGAGTCAATGTTACACTGTCTCGTCAACTGCAGATGCTCAAACGCGATTCTAGGCAAGCCAGCGAGACTACGTCAACACCCTTGAATTCCGAGCTCAGGACGCAGGTGTTCGAGACTTTGCCATGCGTAAGAGTGGCAGTGCCAAAGCAAAGGGTGAGCTTGAGGCAACGATACTTTGAGTCCCAGTTGACAGGTTGACAGCTCTGTACATTCTCCTCGTTGAGCAGAACAGAGAGTTCCGAAACCGACACTGGAACTTCACAAAGTGAGTCTCTAGGGACCCCCCTCCTCGTCCGCGAACAATTCGCCAATGTCGTTATCTCAGGGAATACATCATTAAGCACACCAAATTTCCTCTGGCCACTGGAGGATCTCCCATTATCAAGTACCTTCCTCACAACCTCGACGTCGTTCTGCGAACGCTCGAAGAATCCTACGCCGACTTCACACCCATGGACACTGCCGAGCTCGTAACGCGACACGGGTTTGCCGGCGAAATCCTCGCTAAGCAGGTCGAAGAAGCTGGTGTGAGAGCTCAAGCCCAACGCCGTGTCCTCGATCGAGAAGTCAAAGAGCTCTCAGAAGCAAGGGATGGAGGCGATAATGGCATGGCACAGCAGTACGATACGACTGCAGTGGACAAAGTCTTCCAAGATGTCAAGAAACCTCCTCAGAGAGGATGGGTTGGAAATGACGGTGTCGGATAAGCGGTGAAGCGATACGGGTAGTAGGAGGAGGAGGAGGCGGTGGACGGTGGACAGTGGTACAATACGTGACGTGACGTGCGGATGCAAAGGATGGAAACCCCCGACAAGTTTCCTCAGGCCATTCGTGTCGGACTCGGCATCAGACACTGACTGCGTTCTCAACGGGTTCCATGACCTTCACCTCCAGTGCTGATCTGCGAACGACAAGCCAAATCACAAGAATTTGAACACTGGGCGGTATAACTCACCCTCTGACGCAGAACAAAGGACTCGCCAAAAAGCCAAGAGAGTTTATTCCCCTCAATTCAGATCAAAGGAAACTAGGCATTGACGCTCGCTGATCTCTCGCTTTATTGGTCGACAAACGTATTGAAGATGGGATAAAAGCTGTTCTTTCCTCAATTGGTACAGATCGAGCTTCGCGAATTCTATTGACCTCCGTCGCTCGACAGAACAAGCTTCCCGAATCAATCTTGACTGATGACAAGCCGAGGCTGAAGCCTTATCGTATCTCTTTCGAGGCAGCTTTACAGCGGATATGTTGCGATGGGGATGAAGTCGCGCTCTTGGCTTCCTCGGCCCTACAAGGACGCCACAAGACTCGCGAATATCCTCCTCATTGTCGGTGTGACATCGTCGACGGCGCAGACTACCAACGCTACATGTCCGCTGGACAGTACGACGTCCTGGCTCTTCAATGAGAATAATGAGTCACCCTGGTCAGTCGGACACCTCTTTCCCCTCGTTACATAGCCCTGAGCTGAAGCCATTATTCAGTCTTGTGTGGTCCCGTATACAATCCCTTTGTATCCCACCTACTTCCTATATCAACGTCCCGCCCCTTCTCGACCCTTCTTTCGGTTATGCAAAGCCAGAAGGAGGCACAATATGTCAGTGCAATGTCATCAGCTATGCCTTGATGGCTGGTTGTATGTGGTATGTCTCAAATCCATGGGAACGGAGATCGGTATTGAACTCTCTCGACCTTCAGGTGTCAACTTGGAAATGTCAGTACGTGGCCGGACGAACGAGACTTCAGCTCTCAGTGTGATGAATACACTTTCGACGGGTATGTGAGCTCGAGGGTTTAGATGCCTGGTTGTTGGTCTGACAGAGATTGAATGAAAGGCCAGGTTTCGCCGAGGCTGTTCAGCAGATCCCACTGTATGCCTGGAAGCCATGGAGCGGTGAGTTAGATTCGCCCTCTCGCTCCGAAGCATTCTCAAATCCCTGCAGGGGAACAGTGGGCCGCAGCTCCCGCTTCGTCGTCCGCCACTTTATTCATCTCGAGTACTCCGACGGGAACCACTACCCTTTCTCGATCATTCCCTCCCGCGACAGTGACACGCACACCGACCTCTACGTCTCCAAGTTCCCTCACACGCTCTTCTTCGCCTTCTGCCTCTGCTACAGACGCTTCGAATGACGCACCGTCAAGCAGGACAAAGTGGGGATCCATCATTGGTGGCGTGGTGGGCGGTATCCTCGCCGTAATCCTCATCTTCTTCCTTTGGCGCAGACACGTCCGTCAGAAACGTCAACGGGACAAAGAGGATTTGGTTATTCGGTATGCGCCACCAAAGACGTCGTCTTCTCGCGGTCAGAGTCTCCTCACCTTCTTCGGCGCAGCTGGCTTCTTGGACAGATCAGAGAAGGAAAAAGACGCAAAAAGAGTTACGGAGCTCATGAATGATCCAAAGTCTTTCCGATCACCTCGACCTGCACCGAAGGCTCCATCAATCGACGACTGGAGATACACCACCACTCAAGACCGGATGCGAGCGAGGAAAGCAGATAGTGACGACAGTCTCAGTGGTCAGAGTGGAATGTCAGCTCGGCAGGTCCTTTTAGAAATCCATCAATCTCCGATACCAACCCCAGGATATAGCACCGACGGACGACTACTGGTCCATGAGTCGCAATACGATGACGATCCGCTGGAAGGCGAGGATCATCAAGAAAGCAACAGGGGTGCTTGGGCGGGTGGAAGTGGCCCTAACGCCCCACTTTCAACAGATTTCTCTCAGCCACGTCCGTTCTCAGCTTCAGATGTCCAGACCCTGCCGTCATTATACGAACCACAGACAGGTGCCACAAGGTTCACCAATACTAGCCTATTGACAGGAGATGCCACGCAAATGAGTCCTGATAGCCGATATCCCGCCACAGAAGCTGGGCGAGGAGGGTCAATGATCGGTGAAACACTAGGGACGGGGAATAGGCGAGCGTTTGGCACATCACCTCCTGCTCCAAGCCATTCTCAGAGGCCAAAGAAGGGAAGACGTAGGTGAATGAGGACCACTGGTGCGTCCTTACAGTGAATATTATCGTGCATGATGTCCATGACTCCGTCGTCTGGCCATGGTCGCATCTACATATGTTCCATTCGTGATTGAATGATGCAGGAGGTTGGCGAAACGAACCTCGATCGCTAAAACAGGAAAACCTGGTCTTCAAGTTTTGAGACCGTTCTCGGTGCTGGATATCCAATCTCTTTCAAATGAGCCCTGCGAGCCATGAGCTAGATTCTTTGTCAAGCCGTGTACTCACTTCATCGCGTTCATCATGGGAGGCGGGCCGCACATGAGGACCTTGTGTCCAACTCCATGCTCAGGTGATCCGACTCCTCCTTCTGGCATGCACTTTTCGATCATCTCCTTCGTCACAAAGCCTACGCCCCCTGTCCATCCTTGAGGCGGGTTGTTGAGGACGTACTGGAAGACATGAGTGAGATAGGTGCACTTTCGCTGATGCGTTGCTTCAAGTCACGCACCATGAGCTCAAATCTTCCCTTGGATTCATCTCGCAGCTTTTCCAAATCTTCTCTGAGCACTGAGATACGTCAGCTTCTGATGATGTGAGACATCGGCATCGCGCACAGATATCATCCTCCTCGACGTTGGCGTAGATCAGAGAGATTTTTGTCCTGTCCTGTGGGTCTTTCAAGGCGGTCTTCAAGATTTGGTACATTGGCGTTAACCCGGTTCCACCGGCAATCATCACCAGATGCGGAGCCACATGTCGGCTATGTTATCGTCAGATAGCACAAGATAGGAGCGATGCCTGTGTACCTACTCGTACTTGAACTTTCCCTTTGGTCCCTTGATCTTCACTTGTTGGCCGATAGTCAAGAGAGAGAGGTACCGAGAAATGTTACCCTTCTCGTAAGTCTGAGCGCCGGTCAGCGACTTGCTTGCCGTTAACGACCTCACCTTTACGACCAGGTCGAAATGACCCTTGTCCTCATCGAGCGTGACTGGCGTGTATGATCTCGTGATTTGCTTGCCGTCAATCTCAGCCATCACAGAAATATGTTGTCCAACCGGCAATCCCAACGAGTCTGTTGGCCTAGGCAAGGCAAATCGATACCTGGTAGTCCTGTGAGCAATCCGGATAGTTGAAACGGAGCTCACCTCGCAGTGTTGTGAGAAAGCTTATCTTTCCCCTCGAGAGTGAACGACTTCCACTCGACAGGATCGAGGACCTGACGAGGTGCTGAGACTGACACACGCTCAGTAAATCCACTGCGTTCATTTCAATCGTGCGCTACTCACGAGACCTCGTGACGAGGACGACTACCATCGACAGCAGCACGATGGCTGCTCCTAGCTCCTTGGGATACTTCTCCAGCGTTTCCATGATCTTGTCCATGGCTTTACTCGGGCTCTACACAATGCTGAAAGGCCAACAAAAAGGCTGAGCCACGTCAATGGTAATGGACATTTTTGGGGAACTGAAATCTGTCGGAGCCCCGCAGATTGACGGGTGGCAGGCAGCGAGCAGCGAGCAGAAATCTCGCAAATTGGGTTGTTCAAGTGTGGAGACTCAAAGAATTGGGCATGAGTCTCGAAGCGATTCGCATTGCTACGTCACCCGCCTGGCGCAGATCTGTAGCACTCGAGCACATGTAGTACTTGCATTATTCCCCCTCTGTTCCTAGACCTTGACCACACGTCTTTGCTATGGCGGCGGTGGCCGAACATGAGATCTCTAGCTGACCCAACTGACGGGACAGGCTGTTTTGTGATCATACACTTCGATTCAAAGAGGTATCGTGGGACGCCTGTCTTGTCTGGACTGATCGCTATCGCTGAATAGCTGCCGGCATCTCGACTACTCACGTACTCCATTCTCCATCGGAGACAGGGTCGACTCTCCAAAGGAGGAGTTGCCAATCCCTTCCCGGCTCCTCCCCCTTGCCCCCACGCGCGGGCATGCTCTCGCCATAGATTCAGCTCACGATGGTGTTGGAGACGGCGAACGCGACGGAGGAGCCAGATATACTCAGGGAAGAGTCATACAAGGATCTCACTCAGCCAGATGAAGAACTGGCGAATGTCCCCGATCTTCCAGACGTCTCTGGCCCTTCCTCGTCACGATCCTCTTCGATTCTGACATCACACAGGCGACGAAAGCGCATCGCAAGGCGGATAACATCGTTGCCGCTAGTGTCGAGATCAATCCGAGCCGTAAGATGGATACTGGGGCCCTCTACAGCAGTACCGGATTCGGACATGATCCAGCCAGATCCATCCTTTTCGATCCACCTCGCCTTACCTCGTCGCTCTTGGCACCTACCACTCGATGACCGTTTACGTGCATTTTCCAAACGATTCTGTCCAACCTGGCTGCTCTATCCTTTCTTGGCTCTCTGGTGTATGGCGTTCATCCTCCTCATCCGGCAACAATACTATGTGGGTAATATCGGGGTGATTTCCTGTGATGCGGCTGTTTGGGCGGATTGGCCACCGGATACCTGTGGAATCGATGGTTTTGCCTGCTTGGACCAGTTGGAAGAGGGTACTTATAGATGTCTAGGTGGTTGTCAAGGAGTTCCACTGGGCAATCCTCGATGGGTCGGGGGCGTCTCTGTGGACGGCATTCCCCTTGTCATTGGAGGAAACGACTCTATTTATAGGTCAGTCATGTCACCGCTTCCATGACTTGGAATCTAGCTGAATCCCTGTTTAGGGCTGATTCTTGGGTATGCCCTTCGGCAATCCATGCTGGTCTAGTCTCACCGACCTTGGGAGGTGTCATCACTGTCAAACCTTTGCCTTTCATCTGGGGTCATTCTGACTTCACCTCGAGTAAAGCTCATGGAATCCAGTCAGTCGGATTCGAACCAAAATATCCCGGTGCCTATCGACTGGTGTCTGCACCATTGAACGGGAATCTGGATCTCCATCCAATTATCAGCACAGTCAATGCTCTTTGTCTCGCCATTGTCACATTATTCTTACGTCCTTCGCCCCCCATACTCTTCTCCATACTTGTCGTCCTCGGATGGTTCCAACTTACTCTGATCTCAGATCCAGCGTCATTCCCACCTGATTGGGGCTGGGTCGCAGGCGGGATACCATTGGTTCTCCTTACTGCTTATTGGGCATATCGGGTCGCTTTTCAACGCACTTTGACCGCTTTCAGAGATTTACCTCTGGACACTACCATCTGGCAAGGCGCTGGGTATTGGATTGGGTTGGAAAGTTCTACAATCTTTGCAAAACTGCCAATCTCACGTTTAGGCTATGGAGGACTATCGGCCGACGGCGTCATCGCGCTCGTCTTGATCCTTATCGTGGTCCTGATCGTGGTTCTCATTCAAGCGTGGCAGATGCGGAGGTACGGATTATTGCAGTACTATCTCATCAGGTGAGAGTCGCAGAGAAGCCTAGGCTGATACGTGTATTTTAGATATCTGCCACTCGCCCCGATCCTGCTTATTCTCGCTTTCATACCTGGATATACACTCCGCATTCATCATTACCTGTACTGCCTCGCAGCCATCCCTGTGCTCTCTCTACCGAATCGAGTCAGTCTCTTTGGTCAAGCCTTCATCCTCGGCCTCTTCCTCGACGGTGTAGGCAGGTGGGGCTGGGCAAGTATCCTTCAGCAGACGACTTCGGTGAGAGAGATCTGCTCCCGGCTAGATCTATACAACGACTGATAGCTCTATCAGCTCATTGGCGATGCCAATACGGGAACCTATGTGCCCTTCCCACTGAACACCAGTACAATCACGGATATATCCTGGGAGCCAATCACTCAGAATTTGACTGAAATGGGATATACTGGAGTGGCTGTCATGGTCGATGACATACTCCGAGCAATCGTCAATTCAAGCAGTGAATAGCTCTCTCTCTCTCCCTCTCTCTCTCTCTCTCGGCTATCCCTACAATCAAACTGACCCACGCCTTAGGCTCCTATTCCCTGGACCCGCTCAAGCTCGCCCCAGGTATAGATCACTTTGTACGCCTCGCGGTAAGTGTTGGCGGTGTATCTCGTCCAACGCGATCGCTAACAACCTTCAGTACATGGCCAACGGTACATCACTAGATTACCTCGATCCGATTCAGCTGTTACCGAACGGAACTTTATCTCTATTGTAATGCGATCTTGTGACATCTGAGGTAGTTGTTAGACATTTAGAGCCATCTTGTAATGCATGAATGAACTACATTCGGCACGTCCTGCTCATGCAGGTTTGTCGGGCGGACGGCCGGGGTTTTGTGTAAGATTACGGCGGTCAACCTCCTGGACGACCTCGTCGAGATCTCGTATGACGTGTACGCCTTGCAAATCTTCCTCTGGCGCTCGTACTGCTCCATCACTCCACTCGCCCGGCCGCCGTATGAGTCTGGCCTCCAGTCCAGCATTTATTGCCCCGCGGTAGTCCCTGAGAAGTTGTCAGGAAGACGCAAAGCTGCGGACGCACGCTTTGAGCTCGTCTCCAACCATGATTACTCCCTCTCCTACGCTCTCGCCGCAAGATTCGCAGGCTTTCTGGAATATTGCTGGATCGGGCTTCGACAATTCCACATCCCATGAGAGAGTGGGAGGGTAAGACAAGAGATGGGTGATGCTCAGGGCGTCAAGTGTCTTCACTGAGGAGACATGAGCAAGTCTGGTCAATGCTGCCTGCTCACGTATGCGAGGATCAGCATTGGACACTAGAGAAACCTTGACGCCCTTTCGTCTTAATCTGACCACTGTCATAACTTCAGCTTCGGTCAAGACCGTTTCTCGTACGAGTTGTAAGGGCTTCCGGGAATGGTTCATACCCTTCATCACTTTCGAAACGCTCAAGTAGAGCTGGGCCTAAGCGAGGCATCACCTGCAGTACCTCTGGCAAGTGATCAGCACTTTTCTAATATCGCATTCGGTCCTTACCTACTTACCTTGCTCGTCGCCGCCGGCATGTACCATACATCTCCGTATCAATTCCGCCCACCAGTCCTCCGGTGCAGTTGGAGGATCGGTGTGTTTCCCGTACAGCGGCCAGATTTGGTTCATCTCTTTATACGCTAGGCCAAAGCTCAGACCCTGGCCTACCAAGGCATCGGTCGTCGCTCACCTATCTTGAATCCCTGTCTTATGCTCTCGGGTGATATGGAGCTCGAGTGTAATGACGTCTTTAGGACTTCCTCATGATATCTGCGAGTTAACAGTTCAGGAAGGTGAAGAGAGCGGCCAGGCACGTCTCACTGCTCATAAATTGGCATACGAGGCGTGCATAGCGTATCTGAGCACTAATCAATACTCCATAGATTGTGTGAAACGCACCAAAGATATCGAACAGGACTAGCCGGACCGGTCCGGCAGCTGTGCTGGAGGATGAGGCCATGGGCCGTCGAGGAACGATATGATATGATAACTTGAGAGACACAGCCCTCAATCGTAACGAGCCCCTCAAAGTGATGCTCATTGTGTGATTTCCTTGATCATCCACAGACCTCCGCCTGAGGATGTCAACATGCCCTTGGAGGTGACTCTGACGATCTGCGTCTCCGACTTTTCGGTTCAGTGCAAAACGGATAATCGAATGTGGCATTTGAAACTGAGTGCCACCGATCCTTTGAAGCCATGATCCTTATACAAGGCTAGGGGTCATGCAGCGAATGAGACGGATTGGAGAGGCTCCTTTGTGTGCATAGTGTCATTCATATCACTATTTTAAGATCATAAAGGCAAAACGACGAATAGACTAGAAACAGTCGCCCTTCCTTGTCACGGAAGATTGCTCGTTTCTCATAAGATGGCAGCCGCAATACTCAGCCCGCCATCTGGTCGCCTCTTCTTCGGCGACGATGTCTTAGCGTCGTCCCCGATCGATCCAGACATTGACACAAGTGGACTCCCTCCCCTCGACGAGCTTCGCATTGACGGTCCCGTCAAGTTGGTCAAGTATCTGCCGGCTGACAAGAGAGATGCTTTCATTGGTCCTCTCCATAGCAATGTAGAGGTAAGCTCAGCATCCTACTGACAGGGCGAGAGAGCTGACAACGATGTCGACAGGACACAGTCAAATTCGTCCAGCGCGAGTGCCCCTCGTTGAGCAAAGTCCCCGCCGAAAGCATCATCTTCCGACCTCGAATCAAAGATACGGCCAAACATACCAGGGGTATTCCGTTCCGAACTCAGACTGTTAGCTTGCCGACGACCTGGGAGCCACCTGCCCAGCCGGAGAAATTGATGGTCTTTCATATCGATTCGAAGGTTCCCACGGCAGCACCTTTGCTACCTGAGAACATCAAGCAGGAGAGCAGGGCGGACCACGGGGCCGCGAATGCAGGAGAGCATGAAGATCAGCTAGAGGTGAAGGGACAGGAAGATCAGCTAGAGATGAAGGGACAGGATGAAAAGGCAAAGGTAGCACGTATCGCAAAGATCATGACCGAAGGCCCTTCGCAAAAAGCTGTCGAGGCTCCCCCGTGGTCGCCTGCCCTTCCTCAATTCAGCATCTCGTCAGGTCCCAAGACTTGGGCTGATCTGGCTGCCGAGGGAATGTTGCTCGGCGAATGAGCAAGGTATGTTGTAGTGTCTCGGTAGGAGCCCGTTTTCATGTATCACCGTATTGGCGCTCCATTCGAAGATTCAATCTTCATTCCCCCCTTGAATTCTTGGTCTCTGTGCGCTCCTAGAAGAGAGAGGTCATTTGCCACATCAAGGCTAGAGACAAAGGGCTAGTTCTAGGCAGGACTGAGAAAGACCCGGCGAGGCTCATGTACGAGACCGCAAATAACCATGGATAAGAGGTTTATACCGGGCGGAACCCTACATGGTGTCGTGCATGCATGTGCTATACATCACTATCTGTCGAGCTGGATCAGGGGTCGCCACGAAACTGATGCCAAGGCCATTCGCCTGAAATTTGCAGGATCTCGGAAGGAGATTTCGAATTCGGAATTGCTGTATGCTCTGTTGACAACTCTATACATATCATTCACTGAATATGGATCTCGAGTACAATATGTGGAATGACCGAGCCTAATAGGCTCATCCACGAAGAGGAGCTCGAAGCCCTTCGAGCTACTTTCGCGGATGACTGGCACGACATTCCAGCTACAAAAACAGCATGGGGAACAGAAGCAGAGGGAGGGTGGTGGGAGGTGACACTCAGAGGCAGGGACGACGCTGAACGAGTCAGCGTGGTCATGAGGGGGAAATTGACGAAGGTGAGTCTTGAATCTTGTGATGGACCGTGATGAATCTGAGAGTTCCCGCAGAAATATCCTCAGCAACCTCCTCCCATCACTCTCCTACACCCGGTCTTCCTGTCTGCGAATCATGTACACATTCTGTCCAAATTACTGTCCGATACCGCAAAGGCACGGGTCGGAGACATGATGATATACGAGGTGAGTCTCAGCTACAGCGGGCTGGTGATTCCAGTTGAATTCCTGTGCAGCTCGCGGATACCGCTATTGAATGGATCAGCAATAACCATTTACCTCTACCCAAACCTGGGGAGGCGCCGAACCTGATGGCTGAGCTCGCAAGAAGAGAGGAGACGAAACGAGCGGTAGGTCGTTAGCGTTGGTCAAACTCAGATATCTCAGGAAGAGGAAGCTCAACGCCAAGCCGCGCTGGAGAGACAGCAAGCATTTCAAGAGGAGGAGAATCGCAGGCTCACTGAGAGGATTCAAATCAATACTTCTCAGAAGCAGGAACGGGCTCAGCAAGTAGCTCTTGAAGAGGCTGAGAGGCAACGTCAAGCAGCTCTGGCCACCATGGCAGATGGCGAGCTTGAAATCAGGGAACTGATTCTGAACTCGCCAATGAAAGTGAATGGCTATGACGGCTCATATCGTTCTTGGCTACTCTTTGGTGGACAAAGGGACCTCACCTGGACTTCATACAATGCCGAGCCTGACTCAGTCTCCACAACGTTTGTTCGTGCCAATGCCCCGCGACTGCAAGTGCAAGTCATCGATTTCTCGAGACCGTATTATTCTTCCGCTCTGGGCAAGAAGAAGATCGATAGTCTAGTCGGCGAGATTCAGAAGCTCACCGAAGTCCAATCGGACAATGTTCTGAAGGTGTACGGAAGTCATAGAGATGTCAGCCCCAAGGGCTGGGAGAGACTGATGGTGTTGGTCGAGCATTTTGGTGATGGCGGGAAGTTGAGTAGATGGACGCCATCGGACGGGTTCGGGGAAACTATGGCTCGCGTGAGTTCAAATACGGCTGGTTATGATTTTTGACATCGTCCAGGAGTATATCATGCAGATAATGAGGGGCCTTATGGAGATTCACGCCACGGGAATCACTCAGAAACGTGAGCGTCGGGCCTAGCCGCCTCGTGTCTCCGCTCACCTCGAGGCACAGAACTGGACCTTGAAAGCGTGATTCTCTGTCACAGCCCTGCCTCTAGTGGCGCTGTCGTCAAGTTGTCAGGCACAGGCTATGCTCGCCGAATTGCGGATCTTCATAGATCCAACCGCTTTCTGAAGAACTTCGAGGATTCAGTTCCTGATTCTTGGTAAGTCCTCATCTGCCGGCTTCCATACCTTGCTAATATCCCTTGAAGGCTTTCTCCGGATGAGATCGACTCCCCTTATACTTACTCCGCTAAAAGAGACATGTGGCATGCTGGTGTGCTCCTTGTCCAGCTTATATTCGGTCAAGCCTCCCTCGGCAAATACCCCAATCTACCAATTCTATTGCAGAGCGGTGAGTCGTTTGCATGGACCTCGATGGTACCAACTGACTGGTATGTAGTTCCAGAACTTTCAGACAACATGATAGATCTCCTGTCGGGACTTTTGCACCCGAATAATAAGAAGAGGTACACGGCAGAAGAGGCTCTAGTCAGATCTCAGAGCTCCGAGATGACAATCAGAAAGGCTGTCCACTGGCCAAATTGTGAGCCGATAGTCCTAAGTCAGACTGATATTGCTAGCCTCGCAATCAATCGCGTCACCGCGACCCATCGATGGCCTGGGCTCTTCCCCAACACGCTTGATGGGATCGTACTTTCCCAACACGTCGATGATGAAAACGCCTCATTTGTCTCGATATCGTGCAGATTTCGAAGAAGTCGAATTCCTGGTTCGTTGCAAGACTGTCCAAGTGCATCTGAGTCTGATCAGACTTAGGGCAAAGGAGGCTTTGGCGAAGTGGTCAAAGCTCGAAACAAATTGGATGGTAGATCGTACGCTATCAGTGAGTCATAAGCAGCGTAGCCAGGACGGTCTTTGACTACTCCCCATCAGAGAAGGTGAAACTGCGACCGGACGACAATGAGCAGAAGGTATATCGAGAAGTCAACAACCTTTCTAAAGTGTCTCATCAACACATTGTCCGGTACTATGGATGCTGGCTTGAGGATATTGCACCATCGCGCCCGGCAACGCCAGTGGTCGAACCTGCCGTGAATTCTGGAAGCACGACAACTGAGTCGGATTCTGATATATACGCTCCGCCGAATTTCAACGACTTGTCTTTCTCCCGGAATGATCACTCACGAAGCGCTTCGTTTCCTCGGATCCGTTTCGCCAATTCTGGGGAAGACGAAGATGATGAGGACGATCCTTCAGACGAATCGACATCATCTGAAGAAACGACAAATGCCACCTCCGTCCGAGCGGCAGATGTCTCGCCCATGTCCCCGGTTAGAATCGGACCAGGTCCATCCGTGTCGGTGACGGAAACTACCGAAGGTGATTCAGGCGTACAGCGTATCCTTTACATCCAAATGGAGTTCGTAGAGAAAGTGAGGACCTGGATATTCTTTATGCGCACTGAGCTCATGCCGGGCATAGCAAACCCTTCGTGAGGCGATCAATCAAGGCCTGGGGGACGACGAGCTCTGGCGGCTTTTCGTTCAGATTCTTCAGGCTTTGGCTCACATGCATGGTCTGGGAATAGTCCACAGAGGTGAGAGATCTGGTTTCAAGTCTCGCTGATCATCGTAGACTTGAAGCCGTCGAATATTCTACTAGGTACAGAGAGCGAGATTTGACCCTGCGCTGACGTGGGCAGACGCTACTGGCAATGTGAAGATAGCAGATTTTGGTCTCTCAGTGAGTGACGCCATTGGCTCGGACGCAGCATGTCCAGGTTGACAAAGGCAGACTACTGAGCTGGCCGCTGTCGACGCCCAATCTGGCTTGCATCCAAGCCATCAAAGTGGCAACGACGACGCAGAGCGGACTTCGAACATTGGAACCAGCCTATATATCGCACCCGAGGTCGCTATTTCACGAATGTATAATGAAAAGGTAAGCGAGACAGTGCCTTAGTGTCTAAAGCGCTACAGGCCGATATGTACTCCCTCGGCATCATCTTTTTTGAGATGTGCTTCAGATTCAAGACTGGGATGGAACGCGTCCAGATGCTTCAGGCACTTCGGAAAGAGGCGATTGTGTTCCCTTCTGCCTGGCCAGAAGCTGCCCGAACCTCACAGAAGGAGATTATAAAGGGTCTGCTGAGGCATGAGCCGGAAGCGAGACCAAAGGCGACTCAGCTTTTGTCGAGTTCACTGCTCCCATCGCCTGAGAAGCAGAAGGAGTTCTATGTCGCCGCTATTGCCGGTGAGCCCACGGAGGATGAATCGACCGTTAAGCTTGTGCTGATGCTCGCCTCAGAGCTGACGAACCCTCGGTCTACCGAATACTCGTCGCTCTTGAGGGCGCTGTTTGATCCGCATAACCATGCGTATTCGGTCTCCGTAGACAACCGCCTGGATGACTACACGTTCGACAACGATGTAGACGATGAACTGCAGGTCTGGCTAACGGTCGTCATTCAAAGACTAGTCGAGCTGTTCGAGCGGCATGGCGCAGTGGAAACATACCTGCCACTCCTGATGCCCGAAACCACCCTTTTGTCGGCATTCCCTGATCTTTCTCCGGTTCGCATGCTAGATCAAGGTGGAAAGCTCGTGCAGCTGCCGTCGTCCGAGCTGCTATCCATGGCGCGCACGGCCACTAGAAGGCGCATTGAGCGAATCAAGAGATATCACGTCGGTCATAAATACACTGATCATCCGGCCGGAGGGCAGCCCAGAGCGACAGGAGATCTTACGTGAGTGAACACGCGCCCACACGAAGTCTTAGAATGACGCTTAAGACTCCACAGCTTTGACATTGTCTCGCCCCTGAAATCAGCGGTGGCAGAAGCCGAACTGCTCGAGGTCGTTGACAAGGTAATATCGGAATTCCAGGGCATCCGAGCATCCACACCTGTCGACTACGAGTTCCACATCAATCATGAGAGTGGTGAGTATTCGATGAATACTCCCTGTTGACGGTTTTCTCAGTGCTCTCAACCATCTTGGCGACTGTGCCTGACCGTCTTCGATTTCAAGTATTAAAAGCCTTCAAGTCGATTGGCCCTGGTGTTGGATCTGCTCAATCGCGAATGCTATTTAGCGGCGTCGTTGGACTTTCAAAGCCGATTTTAGATGATCTAGAGCAATGCTGCATCGCCGGTAAGCCCCTCATGACTACTCACGAGTAAGTTTTGATTCAACCTTCAGAGGACTTTGATACTGTCAGAGGGAGACTGGAAGGCCTATTCAGCTCTGGAAAAAGGAAACTGTCTCCAGTCTTCGACAATATGGCGACAATAATCCGGCTAGCTAGGGCATGTGGCGTATCCAGGAAGATCGTATTCCGACCTACGCTGGCAAGAAATGCAGAGGTCAGTCCCTCTCAGGCACCATTGGGCAGCTGTTCATCGAATCTCAGTTCTTTCGCGGCGGTTTCATGTTTGAGTGCGTTCGGCGAGGTAAACAACGAGAGGTCATGGCGTTTGGTGGAAGGTGAGGAGTGGCCTGGCTGTAATCATCTAGCTCACTTTTATCCATCAGGTATGACTGTCTTCTTGAGCATTTCAAAGAGCCGGCACAGCAGATGCAGTCAAGGAAGGTCTATGGTGTGGGCATGTCGATAGCAGTCGAGTGAGTTGGCGACTCTTCGATCCGGGTCCATCGCTGAGAGTCACCCTCCATAGTCAACTTGCCCGGATGGTCAGAGTCTACGAGAGCTCTCTGTCCGAGAGACTCATGAACAAGGAAAAGGAGAATGAGCGATCATTCGGATTCTGGAGTCCATCAGTGAGTCTGGCTGTCCCACAAAAATGAGCGGCATCCACTCACGCATCTTAGCGATGCGATGTCTACCTCGCTGCTGTCACTCAAGTGGACCTCGCCACCCGCCTGTCGATCATTGGGGAGCTTTGGCGAGCAGGAGTTCGAGCAGATTTGCAGTATGACGACGACCGATCTTTGGACGAAGTTGCGACAGAGTGCTACGAACAGAGCACGCTGTAAGTTGTGACTTGCTTGACAGGAGGCGATCTGAGTCCTTCAGGTATCTCGTCATACCGCGCGCAAATCGTCCTACTCTCAAAGTACGCTCGATTCTCAAGCGCACCGAAGAAGAAGGTGCGTTCCCCAATTGAACGTCACGCCGCTGACAATTGCAGTACTCCGCGCTGAACTTTGCGTGTATCTCCGCCTAGCGATAGCCGAGCAACGAAGGATCGATGCGACTTATGCGTCCGCAGAGGGCTCTATGCCCTCTCTACAAGCTGCAGCACTCGCGGTCGACACGCGCAGCAGTGATATCGATATCCGCCTTGTTCTTCCGCCCGAGCCAAATAGCGCAAAAGGGACCAAAGGTCGACCTGTCCGAAAACACCGGCACGTCACCAAGACCGTCTACTATGACAAAGCTTCTGAATTTGCAGAGTCTACTCGGTCGACATTGCCAATTGTAGGCGTGGATTTGGCTCCGTCCATTCTTGCTCAGATGGCTCTGGAATCGTCCTGGTTGTCGGATGAAGAGGCCTGGCGTACACTTCTAGCCCCATTCTCCACTGCGGACAGGCGATATGTGGAGAGCATCAGAGATGCGATAGTCGACATCAAGAGTAAGAGTGAGGGAGACGGCTGGTTGTGGCTATTTGGTGTTCGGGATAATAAGGTCGGTGGTCTGCATGGCGCGCGGTACGGTCTCTGACCATCGCTACAGGGCTTCCTACTGCAGCCAAACTTGAAGTGACGAAACGACGCATAAACCCATCTCATAACTTTTGTCGCAAATGTATCACATGCTTCAATGCATTCCAGCGCGTCAGGCCTTGCCAGACACCAATTTCATTTAGTCTAGTCATCAAAAGGATACTCGAATGGCGCTGGAGGTTCAGCCTCTCCTCCAGGCAAATCGCGTCCTACGACCGAAGCATCGACGGGCAAGCCGGATTCCTGTGGCATCGGCGCTTCCTCAGGCTCAGACTGGACGTCAGGCCACAGATTCTTGTCCAATTCGATGTAGGATCCGTCCTCTTCGGGCTTAGTGTCTCTCAACAGGACGATACTTCCGCTCTTCGCGCTGTAATCGCGCTTCGAGCTCGCAGCATGAGAGTTCTGAAGCTTTTTGCTCCCTCGAGTTGGCACTTCTGACGGCCCACCGATGGCCCGAATGGGAACATACCGTCCAGTCTCAGGCAACGAGATGGTCGACTGCTGAACCGGGGTTACTCGGGTCATATTGCCGATGGTGAATGACGACGGCTCGGCGGGTTTGCGAGGCTTGGCTGGGGTAGACTGAGTGCCGTTGGGGACACCAGAGGATGAGCCTTCCAGTTTATCTGCAGAGACATCCTTTTCATCCTGCAAAGAGGTTTTAGCTCATGTCCTGTGAACGGCAAGTTTGACGTACTGTCTCCATCGATTCACCCTTCTCCTCCTTCTTGGTCTTCTCACGCGCTCTCGCCTTCGCAGTTGTACTCAACATCGCTGGCTTGGCTTTCGTCTCCTTCTTCTCAACCTCCTTCTTGACCTCGCTTGGATAGGCAAAAGTGCTCGGCTTGGCGTGGCAGGTGAAGTCGAGCTTGGGCACGCGGAGCTTTTCGTCGACGGCAATAATGGCCGTGGGAGAAAGAGCGAGACCGAGTCCATGAGCGAGAGGAAACCAGTACCAGAATTGGACAAAAAGTGTGAGACCGACGATGGCGTTCATGTTCAAAGTTCCAGCTCGAGTAGCGAGTGAGAGATTCATGTTACGTCCACCCGCATCGATAATGCCTTGCGCCAGAGACGCTCCGAATCGAGCCATGGGATCTTCTCGCTTGTTGGAGACTACTTTGCTGAAGATCTGACGGATGCTGGCCACTTTGCTGGACTGAGCCTCGGATTGCTGCATTAGAATCATGGCCAGGGCAATGAAAGCGCCCTGTCGCACAAAGTCGACGGGATCTTTGGTCAAGGGTTCGAGGAGGTCTACGGCAGTCTGAGGGTCAATCAGCACAGGTCAGAGACGGGGGAAGCAACACTGACCTCCCACCCAGTGCCAGCACATGAGATACCCAGAGCAATAGTAGCGCCATGTCTAACATGTGGGTTGTAGCTCTCTGCTAAGAGCTGGACCACGCGTGGGACCTGAGTGTAATTACGGAAAAGCACGAAGCCAAGACCTGTGACTGCAGCACGTCTGACATCGTCGTTGACATCGGAAACCGCATAATGGAGGAGAAGTTTGGTAGCGGCGTTGTCACCTGTGCCGACGTATGCCAAAGCGATCATGAACATGCCACCATATCGCATGATAGCGTCCTGGCGTGTGATCAGTGCCCCTGCTGTTGAATGAGCGGATGTACTCACCTTTTCGTCACTCAAAGCTGCAATGAGCTTGGAGGCTCGCTCCTTGGCACCGTACATGACAAATGCACGACCGATTGCAAGACTTCGAATGATCTTCTCGTGCTGGGTTTCTCTGGCATAGGCAGTCATCTCTTCTAGAGCTTTCTCTGATTCCGTCCCGAGCATGATCAAACCCATGGCGTATCCAGCGGCCTCTCCTGTAGTCGCATTGTCTTGGAACAGGGCAGATCGGATCTCTTCATAGAGTTCTGCTCGAGGCAGTCAATTGGAGCCAATCCCGGCATGATGCCTTCACTGACCTTCATCGGCGGTCGCCAGAGCAGAGACGCCTAGACCTAAAGCAGCGCCATGCTGCACAATCGGATCGTTGCCCTCGGCGAGACCCCTCTTCAGCTCATCTTCACATCCTTCCCTGCGTCCCGCGTAAATTAGTCCAAGGGCGAACAACGCTCCGGCTTCGCTGTAAAGATTCGGCGAAGCACCGCCGGGGAGATACGGCTTCACAACTCGGAGGCCGTTGACCCAGGATCCTCGGTGAATGACACCCAACGCAGCGGTTGTGGAGAATTTTGCCCAATTGCTCGCTCGACCCAGCCAATCGAGGTTTTCTCTAAGGAACTTGTCGGATGTGGTCCCGCAATTGGCAAAAGCGTTGGTGAAGGTAATGGCAGAATGGTATATAGAGTAGCGGTCCTCAAGTGAGTCCTGTGGGACAATCAGCGATCTTCCGGTCAGATTAGAATAGCCTACCTTGGTGACTTTGAGAATTGACATGTCAGTCTTGTTGTTCTTGCTGAGGAAGTTGAGGAAAAGCTCGGCGCTTTTGACTCCACGCAGAATGTCGTTGAGGATGACCTGTGGCGCTTCGAGCTACACGAAACCTGTCGGCTTGCTTTCTCCCTTCCAAATAGAAAACTCACATCTTCTTCCTCTCCCTCCTTTGGGTCTGGGCCAAGTCCGGCAGCCTGTAAACGAGATCGGACTGCTTCAACGAAAGCCTGTGTCGCGACCTCTGCCACATCGAAGCCGATCTGATACGCCTCGAGTACTTGTCCATCTTTTAACAAGTTGGCCAGCGCCTCTCCACAGGCGTCGGACGAATCGGATTGAACCCAAAGGGCAGTGATAGAGTTGTAGTCGGGCTTGGGGTTGAGATTAAAAAGGCGCAGAAGCAAAGTGAAGAGCTGAAAGAACCAGTCAGTTGTATCCCATCGAATGGCGAGCTGACTCACCTCGGTGACGAAAGCCTTTGGCAGCTCCTGCGAGCCCCCGTGGCCACTGAGGACTTCATGGAGAACGTATCGGAGCAGAGTCTCGTCGTGCAGAGGCCTAGAGGATGATGTAGCACCGCTAGATGACGCGCGAGAGCTCAGAAAGATCATTTCGACCAGATCGAGCCGTCTCAATGACAATGCTAATCCCATGACCTGAGAAGCGGTCAACATTGTTGTCTCTTGCAAGCTGGAAGTCCTCACAAGCTTCCCGTTCTCGCCGCCACTCCTAAGCACTCTATCGACAACAGATTGCAGCTTGGGATCCAGCGGTTTGCCCCATTCCGTTTCTCTGATCGCTCGATCCAGACATCCAGCTGTTATTGTCAGAAGATGCTATAGGTTAAGACGCGGAAGCACGCACAAATGATAGTCTCCTTGTACTCGCCCTCTGGCTCCCTCTCAAAGTAGTGATGGGCCCTCAACGCGAACTCGACAGCTTCATCCAGCTCTCCGATGTAAAAGTAGACCTTTGATACGAGCAGAGCGGCCTTGTCGCGACTGTCTGGGGGCAGCTCGGGGGCTAACTCATCCGCCAGTCTCTCGCTGCGGGAAGACATGAGCGACTGGCGTTCTACGGGAGTGACTCGACACTCACATGAGGCTCAATTTGTCAGAAATCTCCGCCCAGAACTGAGGTACGATCGCCAGCAAGTGGTTGAGAGCATACACTCGGACATCTTGGTCCTCATCTTCCAACAAGTGCAAGGATCCAGCTGAGGGGGGAGCATGATACGTCAGCCCTGAAAAAGACATGATTGCGATCATCTCACCAGCACTAGTCGTCACTGTTGCTACGGGCATGATGTACCAAGTGATCAATAGCAAGGATGATGAATCAGTCAACCAAACTCGTCTGCATACGCGCTGGCTCCGGCTTGAATTACACGTCACTTCGACCGGGTAGTTTTTGATAAGCTTGCGTAGGATCAGCTACCTTCTTGTACATACTGTATTGTTCAAGCTGCAATGCTGCTCGACAAGGTCGCTACCAGAAGGCGGTGAAGGCTCTATGTCAGGCTGACGAAGGGTCTACCTCCAATAGAAACATCTGAAGTCGTCGGCAAAGCTCGAATTGTGCGTTTCAGCCAGACTCTTGGAGACGATCCTAAGTGACCGAGTGCTCGGGGCTGAGTTTTGCAATGTTTCCACGAGAATGATAAGCGTTTCCGAATCTTTTACCGACAGAGAGGCACAAAGTGCTGTCCAGATCTACATTGCATGACCTACGTCGATCCCGCATGAAGAGCAAAATACCATAACAAAGATATGAGAACAGGTGGCGCCGCCACAGTCAGATGGCAAAGTCGATGGGTATCTTGGTCGTGTGAGGCTTAGGCTCCCCTATTCCCAATAGCCTCAGCAAAGCCAGGTCTCAAGTTCCCCTCCTGATCGAAGCATCGATCAGGCAGCACGTTCGACGTGTAACTGTGTCCAGACGCAAGTGCAGCGCTTGAATATGGGTCAAACGCTTGTCTACTTGATATGTCGCTGACGTATCTCGATTTGAGTCTGCCATTACGTAGCCAGGCGTCTTCAGGCAGTGTCTCTTGTTGAGACAAGTACCATGGCTGTGTAGGTTCAAGTTTTGGGGCATTGGCTGTAGCAGACAGCGTCGTGCTTCGACGTCTATGATCTGTCGATGGGACCTGTTCCTGCGTTCGACCGGTCACAGTTGGATGGACTGGACTGAGATCAGCAAAGCATGAATCGCTCCCCCATGGCCTTCTAGCTCACCGAAAGAAGATAGATCTTGAGAGCCAAGACCGAAAGAGTAGGCGACATCATTCTCGAATGCTCTTCGGTCTACCTCTGGCAAATCTGCAAAGGCGCTCGACAGATTCCACAGGAGATCTTGAGCGCATGCGTCTCGGGAAATGCTACCGCCGACGATGCTGTTATCGCTTCCCCTCCGCCAGGATTGATTGCACAATGACTGTGAACCATAGCCTCCCTGGATTCCGTCTGCCGGGTGCAGACAGTGGTCAAAAGCACCTGGGAGCCTGTGAATGCTTGTCATGTTTGAAGCTGTAGCGGACGATCCTTCCCGTATGTCGTGAATCGAGAGCAATTGACGAGTGATGTGGAGCGAAGGATGTAGTGTTGTCGATTCACCGCAATGGTGGCAAAATGTTTCGCGCTGTGAAAGGAGGGATGAATAGCTTTCATCATTCAGGGATAGTATTGCCTAACTCCATCAAAGCGCGTCACAGTAATGAATGTTCTAGGACTTCCCTTGAGCTTGAGCGTGACTTCGAGACAAGGGGGGGAGGGGGGTAGAAAATGCGGACTCAAGCAGGCCGAGCGTCAGGCCAGACCAAATGCAGTCAAGATTCACCATTAACAAAGATACATGTCTCAATGCCCAATTACCTCCTGTCATTAAACCCTCCAAGTACCTTGACTAAAGCTGACCGAGTTCCTAATCTGCGAGCCGTCTAATAGTCCGCCTTTCCCTCTCGCCAACGATCTTTAATACACCCTCGTCAACCAGTGCCCTGACGACTTCCGCAAACTCGGCATGGTCGACAGGAACCGAAGCTTGCTGTTCCAAAGCTCGAATAGCAGCTGTCCATCGTAGGCCAGTCCGGCCCCCGGCGTCGACGAGTGAAAGGATCTGCAACGAAACATCAGCTAACTCAGTCTGTGAGGAGGCATAAACCGCACCTCTTGTTTCAGATCACCTCGGATACGACGAGTCGTAGAACCTGCCCCGGTGTTGATGAGGTCGAGATCGATTTGTCCAGTCAAAGGATCGGTCTACAATCTGTCAGCGAATGAAATTGGAACTACAGGGACTAGCTCACCGCGCTCTCCCTGAGGGCAGCTTTGATCAATCTCTGCGCCTCCTGCACGTCGGCCAGCTCCACTCTCTCGGAGAATCTCATGCGAGCATGTGCCTCACTGAGTCGGATCATGGATTCCAGCTGTCTAGTCGTTGCGGTGATACGCTTCTCTTGGGTTCGCGAATCGATACCGGCTTTGCGCATGTCCACATAAGCCGTGACCAGAGCATTGGACGCGTCTTCTGTGAGTTGAGGTTGGATCTTGCCTCGAGCATAGGTGATGTAGGCTGTCAGGGTCTCCACAGGCTGGCGTTGGCTTCAGCTGCGGTCCTCTGCACAGCACACGTTGATCATGCACTCACAAGGATGTCGTGTCCACCAGTGTCTGGTCTGTCCTCGAGGTACAGTCCCACAAGATGCTTTGCCATTCTTCGATCGTTCAATTCATCGACCTTGTCGAGGACAAGGTACAAGAGGTCGAATCGTGAGATAAGAGTCGGTGGTAGGTCGATGTTCTGCGGGATGGGGAGCTTCGGGTCATAGCGCGAGTTAATGGGATTGGCGGCGGCAAGGATAGACGTCCGAGCATTGAGTGTGGTGATGATTCCAGCTTTAGCGATGGAAACGGTTTGTTGTTCCTGTGAGAAACGGATTAGACCCGCTCAAATAAGATTTCAAGCGGGATTCAACATACCATGACTTCGTGCAACACACTCCTCGTCGCATCTGACATTTTGTCGAATTCATCGATGCAACACACACCCCCGTCTGAGAGGACCAAAGCACCACTCTCAAGGACCAACTGCTTGGAATCTGGATCTCGAGTGACGTACGCCGTCAGTCCAACTGCTGATGATCCTTTGCCCGAGGTATAGACGCCTCTTGGTGCAATCTTATGAACATACTGTCGGATTGTCAGTCAGGCTATTCTTTATGATTCCGACCGACTGACCTGCAAGATCTGCGATTTTGCTGTACCAGGATCTCCAACCATGAGAACGTTGATGTCCCCTCGATATCTCGGTCCGCCTCCACCACCTCCACGAGCAATAGACTTGTTCGTACCTCCAAATAATTGAAGCAGAATGCCCTTTTTGACATCGTCCATTTCCCAGATCGAAGGGGCCATGGAGCGAGCCAACAGGTCGTAGATTTCGGGGTTGCGAGACAGGTCCAAAAGTTTCTGTTCCATCTCTTTGGTGGCTGAGAAAGCGCTTTCCTCCTGAGTCTCATCCTCGTCAATGTCCATCCCATTTGGTCGAGCAAGAGCTTCCTCTTCGTCGTCTTCGCCGCCGACCCCGACACCTGGAGGCTTGCCTTCTCCGCCTCTTGTAGACGCATCGTATCCCATACGCGTAATGTTGGTTCGCTTCACATGAACGACATCGACATAAGTCTTGAAAAGACTCTTGATACTCCGTTGACGGGGATTCACGCGGACCGGGATTGAACGGAAAATACCAGTGATGACAACTCGGTCACCCGGCTTGACGAGGTCGACAAGCTCGTCGTAGACGCAGAGCGAGACGGTATGAGGCGTCTGACCGTCAGGTACAGCATCTGGAGTTTCTTGCAGACGGATGACTTGTTTATCGGTGAATTCGCATCTGTTGTGAACGAGCGACATGGTGCCCTTCGAATTGCAGACATCTCGCGGGCATCTTTCAGGTTCCGTGATGCGACCTCGATCAATCTCCACTGGAACGGTGTGCTGGCAGATGAGGCATCGGAAGAAGGCTGAAGACATTTAGCACGGCAACTAATCTGTGCTGACCTGTGACCATATCGGGAATGATGGGTGTGGCTCTAATGACGAGGCCTTTCACGCTGACGAGTTTGTCGGTATCTTAGGTTGAAATTTTAGTCGTTTTTGGCGTCGGAGAGTACCTCTCGACACTCACCTCCAGGATTCAGATCCCTCATATTGATAGTCTTCTCGCCTCCATATGGTCTGACCTTGAAGATTCTGCCCTCGATCTCTTTCACTTCCTCCTCGACCACCGATATTTGCAACTCAGAAGCTGACCCCTCTTGGACCTTTGCTTGCAGGCTCTCCAACTCGTCCTGGGCTGACTCAATCATCACATCCCTAAGGACCTGATCCATGATGGGAACAACTTCTTGAGGATAGTTGATGAGCTGGTGATACAATTTTTTCGTAGGTGGGTAAGCAAGAAGGTTGATGGAGTCTAGGTTGAGAATATTTTGACCAGTCTCTCGAAGTTGTCGCAGGTATTTTTCGTAAAGCAGTTGTTCACCTTGGGCGGCGGTGAGACCATCGTACAATGGCATTGGAGGCGGAGCGACCCCACCATCCTCGATCAAAGCCTTCGCAGTGTTGGAGTTATAAGCCGCGCGATATTTAATCTTGAACCCTCGAAGGAACGACCTGAAATCGTTCATAGACTCCTGAAGTGAGATGGTCGTACCCCAAATATATTTGACCAAGCTGTTCTCCGCACCATCGTCACCGATATACCCATCTCCATCTACAGCTGACAAAGTTGGTCCAGAGGGAATATGACCATTAGCCGCCGGAGTAGAAGGATCATTGTAGGCTGAGTTAGAGGCGCCCGCGAAGAGCGAATCCTGTACAGGCTGTTGTTGAGCGGCACGACGGGTAAGCGAAGGAGATGAGAGAGGAAAAGAAGAATGGATGTCGCCTCGTCTCGTTCGTCTAGGTGTCGATCCAGCCGAGCTGATGTACCATCCATCAGAACCGCTGCAAAGACAAGTACAGCTCCACTCACGCAGGAAAGAACAGAGGAGTCTCCTCTCTGACTCTTCCGAGGGCACTGCGTTGCCCTGTCCTCAGGTCACTGGCCTCGGATCCAAGACCGCTACGACGAATGGCACTAGACGGCGGGCGACCAGCGGACGACGTCGGGAAGTGCAGAGGGGATGAGCTGCCCGGAGCTACATTCTGTCAGCGAAGGAGTTCGCCATGCGTTACGTAGTTCCAGCAGCCGAAAAGGCTTCGAAGACCGCTTAACATCAGGCCTCAAAGAAACTCACCATTGCCGCGCACAGCAGCGTTTCGAATCGACGAGGCTCTTGGCGTATCCCCTGCAGAAGAGGTAGGGAAGTGCAACGGCGAAGAAGAGCGATGATTTGGAGTGGACATGATGGTGTCAGCAGGACTAGGTGAGCTTGAAGCAGTGAGTATGAACGAAGAGGGAAGAGGGGAAATCTAATGTTCGAGACGCGTCTCGTGTAGACGCTTGGACACGTGAGGAAATCCCGCGATATGCCACGTCATTTATGGTTATCAATCGAATGCATTTCCTCCCATCTAACGAGACCCTCTGATTGTCTATGCATAGCTTCAGAGCGACGACTTGCTCTGCAGCTCGCCCTTTACTGCTTTTGAAACGCTCTCAGCAAAGTACTGGATGGTAGCATTAATCAGCATCGCGGTGCATATCTCTTCCACGACTCACTTGAATATTGCCCTCGTTGAGGCCAGCCATAGAGATACGTCCATCTCGAGTCATGTAGACGTGAGCGTGGTCTTTCAACGCGTCAACTTGTTCGGGAGTCACTTGACAGGGTCAGCGGCGGAGCTTTAAGCATATATCGACGCTTACATCCGGTGAAGGAGAACATTCCTGTGCGGGTGGGCAGTGTCAGTGTGATCCTCTGTCGCTAGTCTAACGACGTACCAATCTGTGACTTGATGTGACCCCATTCTCCAGGGGTTTTAAATTCAACCAACAAATCATACAGCCGCTCTCTCATCGCAATGATTCGATCGGCCATTTTTTTGACCTCACCCAGCCTGACCCAGTCAGCAGATGCTCCGTAAACGCGAATTCAACATACCATTGTTCGTAGAGCTCCGGTGAGCCCAAGATTGTGGCCACGAGTTGTGCACCGCTGGCAGGCGTCAGTCCTGTAAGACAGTACAAAGGGAGTACAGCTCACTGCAGGGGAGGACTGGAGTACAAGGGTCGAATGACTCGCTTGACCTGGGACTGGATTCGATCCTTCTCCTCCTTGTTTGTGCAGACCATGGAGAAGGTTCCGATTCGCTCGCCGTAAAGACCCAGGTTCTACACTCGCGTTAGAGCGTGCGAATGTTCATGCCTTTCTTATTAGCTCACCTTGGCGAATGACTGAGCGAGAAGAATCTGGTGTCCCTGCTCCACAAAGTATCTCACGGCAAAGGCATCGCGGATGATGTCCCCTGAGGCGAATCCTTGGTACGCCTGTGACCCGCATGAGGGAATGACCTAAAGCAGGATAAGGAAGCATCTCACCATATCAAAGAGAACCAAATGCTTCTTCGCCTTTGTAATTTCGCATAGCTCCTTCCATTGATCCTGTGTAGGGTCGATACCAGTGGGATTCTGAGCGCAAGCGTGGAGTAGGATCTAGAGAACCGTCAGGAGAGCGGGGTACAGGGCTACGATGCGGCGTACGATAGATCCTTGTTCTGCAGCCTGAAAACATCGTCAGCGATAGTCGCTAGCTCAGTGCTGAACATGCCTTGATGTCCTCCTTCATTCCATCAAAGTCAAGTCCGACCGTCTTCTTGTCAAAGTACCTGTGATAGTTCAGCATGCACTCAAGGTGTGTGAACCTCGTGGAAAATTCACCGGTATCGCGCGACTCGCATTCCAGTTTGTTCAACTACAGGAATGTGGTTTCCCCAGGTCGGGTTCGGTAAGTAGACGACCCTAGGACCGCTGTAGAACATGGACAAGAAACCGGTGGCGATTCTCAAAGCACCCGTTCCAGAGATGGATTGAGAAACGGCGATCTGTAAATTGGCGTCAGCCTGATTCTCGCAGAGTTAGATCAGACTCACCCTTCCATCTTGGAGAGCCTTGCAGTCTTTGCCGTAGGCAAGTTCACTGGCGAGTTTGACAAAGTCGGCCTCTCCCTGTGGGTCGTCAACCTGCAGACCAGGCGAGACAAGAGGAGGCATACCGTGATGGGGAGATACTCTTTGTTTGATCGCTTTTGGTGAAGGATATCCTCGGCCTTGCTGACAGATTCGAGAACGTATGGCTTTCCATTCTCATCTCGCTGTGTGCACCGTCGTAAGCATAATTGGTAGTGATAAAGCACGTCGCTATTTGCTCACGTATGCGCCTGGGGGAAGTCGTCAGGATAGCAAATGTATCAAAGGAAGTTGTTTTCAAACAGAGACAGGAAGAAGTCGAATGGAATACGTGGAGCATCGAGGTGGATGTTTAAAAGCAATTGCCGCAGAGCCATGAGAATGGACGTGAACATAAGGGTGGGACGAGGAGGTTTCAGACACCATATCAACGACTGCCTGAAAAGACGTCTTGCAACTGGACTCACCGACTCCAACATTGATCTTATTGGACGACTGGTCTTTTGCGAACGCCTCAGACACACCTAATCGCCTCAGCATATCATCCGTATATAAGATGGCCTTAGTTTCTCCCGCCAGACAGAGGCTCGAAGTCACCAGAAACTTACCGAGAATGGGGTCTGGTGGCCTGCGCGAAGAGGGGGTAAGCGGAGGTTCAACTGTATCGGAGGACAAGTCAAGCGGAGCGAGTAGAGATGATGTGATCTGTAATGATAGAGAACACTCTCATACGTACCCTTGAGGAACTGATGCCCAGAAGTTTGTAAAGTCTGAAGAGGAATGAACAGCGTCAACATGTCTCCAGAAGAGAGCGTGCGCAGAACCCTCGTAGCGAGACGTGAGGTACATCCCAGAAGTTGTCCTCCACACTCACGGCTCATTCTTCTCTGTGGATATGCTGCTACCTCGTCTGGTTATGCTAATGGCTGAGTGGTACTGCCAACGGTTCAAATAGCACTCAGAGAGCTGTAGTGACTACGAATGAGTATGAAGCCCCTAAAGAGGAGGCGGGGTCGATTCCGAGATCCGGTCCCTCGCCGAAGACAGGTTTCTCACGGTAGAACTCCAATTCTGGATACTCCCACCGTGGGAAAATGAGCTGAGTGTTAAGCTATTTTGCGGCAAAGGTTCCGCGGCGCACAGCGCACAGCAAGCAAGCAATAGCTCACCTAACAGCGTCTTTCTATGTACACCGTCACATTCCAATCCCCCTGCTGGTGATTGTCTTCGAACGAGGATACAGGCATCGAAAGGCTACAATAGCCTTACAGCTGGCAGTCCAGGCGGTCGACATTCCGCTCCCTTGTCTTGATCGTCCGACCGACCTGATGGTCACCCTTTGAAAACCCTCGCGCGATCTGAGCGAGAGAATCGTGACTGCTGTTCAGGTCACTGTGACAATTGCGTCCACCTGCTCTGGACGCCCATCTAATCTCCTATCAACACTGTCTGTACACCTAGTCATCTGCCAAGCAGCCCTCCCTGGTCTCTCACTTTGGCCCGTCAATCTCCATCGTTCCCCTGGACAACGACGTCATCCAACGAGAACTCGTCAATGCTGTCTTCCTCGTCCTCAGCACATTTCGACTCAACCCGACGTCACTATCGATCAGGCAACCCTGGACCATCAATCAACATCCCAGGCATATCCTCGATACTGTCCTCTTCGTCTCCATCCTCTGGCCTGTTACCACACATCAGATCCTCATCCTCATCTTCACCATCTCACAATCCAATGTCTCACGCCTTTCAACGAGCGACTTCGCGCTTACCACGCGCCGTCACGCGTGTACTTCTAGTCGTCATCTCTGCTGGTACTATGTTCCTGCTGTATACGCTATCGAGAGGAGGCGTCGAAGAAGGATTATGGGACGCCTCCTCATATTCTGATCGTAGAGGTGGGACACCTCATGGCTCAGGAGGTATAGGAGCAGTCAAGAAAAAAGTCTCGAATTGGTCCAATCCGGATCGATCTCCAGTCACGTCACCCCCCAATCCTGGGACGATACCTCGACCAAATCTAGCCAGGCAGAATCTCACCCTTCCTCGTCCGGAGCATAAGGGGATCTCTCGTGTTCCAGTACCTGGTGCGCCGGACAAATACACAACAGGCCCGCTGCCGACTCTCGAAGAGGCTTTCGCTTCTCTGCATCCCAAATTGAGGGAGGTGAAGGCCAAATATCCATCCGTGCCTCGGGAACACATGCTCTGGAATCCGATATTCAGTCCAGCTTTGACCGAGGAGCATCAGAAGAGGTATACTCACTTGAGAATGGACTGGGATGGCGTCGCGGGTGAATGGGTTCCGTCAGAGAAGAGATGGCTGTTTACGACAGTCTGTCGGCAGGTAGCTGGTGAGTGATCAAGGCGGATCTGTTGTGCAGTCGAATGACAGATGGATCCTAGGTATGCTGGCCGATTGGTTTGCTGCTTGGACGGTGTTAATAGACTTTCTGGGACCTGAGAGTACGGTGTTCTCTCTGTTAGAGGGCGACTCGGCGGACGGAAGGTGAGTCAACTTTGTCTGGCGTCTCTGCCGGCACTGATCATTCATCCAGCGGCGACATCTTGGCTACCGTCATGAGAGATCATCTCTTGTTCATGGGTGTTCCACCGCAAAATATACACATTAAAACCCACCTGCCAAAGATCGATTGGGAAGGCAATCATCGTATCGAGTTGCTGGCACAGATGCGAAACGGGGGCATGGCCCCTTTATACGACTCGCTACCTTCTGGACTTACCCCCGACGGCAAGCCTTGGACCGCAGTCATCTACTACAATGATGTGTATCTTTCCGCGGTGCATTTCTTGGAATTGATGCACCAGCACTTCATGCAGGATGCAGATATGACCTGTGGTTGGGATCATGCTGGGAAATGGTTTTACGACGGATGGGTCGGTAGAGATATGAGTGGAGATCTGTATACCCCGTTCCCAGTCAAGGAGGAGGACAAAGATCTACCTCAAAAGGTGAGCGTCCATTCCCCAAGCTCTACACCAGTGCCTGAAGCTGACAGTTTCTCAGCTTTTCATCAATCACTGGCCTACTAAACGAAGATACGATTACGCCCTCCCTTTCCAAGTCTTCGCAGGGTGGAACGGCGTAGCAGTCATGAACCCCGTTCCATTTATGCCACCGTACAATGTCCGATTCCGTCGAGGCGCTACGGCCCCACCGAACTCGGATCTCACAGCTGCGGATATAGAATGTCAAATGTCAGAATCAGCCTTTATCAGTTGGGATTTCTGGAAGTACGGCTTTGGGAGAATACAAGTCGTGCCTGGGGTTCATGCTTGCTATGGGAAGGAGGACGCTCAATTGAGGGGATGGGTAGAGTTCCCAAATCCTGATCCAGAAGCGGGAATGTTCGAGGAAATCGTGTGGCAGGATCAGTAAGTGGATTGCCGGCGATGCTCTCGGCGTGCAATCGGTGGGCTGACTACGTCGTCCAGACCACCCAAACAGGTCAGATGCCACGATTGGCCAGACAAACCAGGTAAAGGTAAGCTGTGCTTTGAAGATCTTTCAGTGTGGGTGTTGGCTGACGCCACTGCTAGGGTACTGGGCATGGGATACTGTAAGATGGGTGCCTGCTCCAGAATTAGAAGTGCCAGAGCAGTAGATGTCACAATGTATCCACGACAACGATCACAATCACGGCTCTTGCTACCAGACTTATCGGAGGTCATGGGGTGAATTCGCCAATGCACATGTCTGAAGGGGTCTCTTCCTCGATTGACCATTGAAATGAAGTGATGCAGTGCTCTTCCACTCGATTAATGCATATGCACCTATAAGCTGAAGGTCCATCCTCAAATATTCAGTGTCTGAGCTCGCATTCCCGTCTACGCGTGAATCAATAGCATCTGCCTCAGCAAGACCCTGGCTTGATTCAATGGCGCACTCTCGCCTGGATATTGTCAAGGTTGACCAGGACAGCAAATACGCAGGCAAACGCGACCCCTACAATGTACATCCACGGGAGACCCTGGTACCATCGGATGCGTTCATCTCTGACTGATCGAGGCCGATTGAAACTTGATCCAGTGAGCAAGAGGGAAGTGAGGACCGTCTGGCCGAAAGCCGTGATCGGAGGGTATCGAAGACTCATCAGTGGTTCAAAGCTGCGCGATGGGAGGTCAGATTTTGCTACGCAACGGCGGAACGGCAGCTCACTAAAGGGGAATCTCCAGTGTGGCTTGAGCGTCGGTAAGCTGATTTGCCTGTCAATATTTCAGCCTGACTCACACTTTTGATGCGTGAAAGTCTTGAAGCCGTCTTCGCCGTGATATGCGCCATCTTTGAGTCAACATCAGCATCTTGAAGGCGCTCAACGGGTACTCACAGCCACTAGCTCCGACTCCGCCAAATGGCAGACTTCGTGCTAGCCCGGGCGTTCAGTCACAACGGCAATTCTCTGCGAAGTCGACGCACCGAAAGTGGAGAACGCAAAGTCATTCCAAGTACAAGAGCCACTCATCGTCTCCTCGCAGACTATTCAAAATTTCAGTCCAGTCTGACTTGGACCAGCTCACCTCGTTTGAACACTGATCTCTTTGACGAGCAGACATAGATAGCTAGAGGATCCGGTCCATTGTTGATATACTCGATAGCTGTATCCAGGCTCTGTCCCCCCTGCATCAGCATGAAAGCTATCTGTGGTGGCTTGACTCACAGAGTACGGTATGATCGGCAGGACAGGACCAAAGATTTCCTCTTCTATCAGTGGGCCAGTCTCGCCAACCCCATCTTCATTCAGCAGTACCAGGCTGAATCCCATTCTCAGGCTACCCGCATTGGCTTCGCCTTTGTAAGCCAACCGCCCCGCGCTATCTGCTTGTTCCATGAACGACTGCATGCGATCGTAGCTCTCCTTGGTCCTTAATCGTGATGTGAACGGTTGTTTAAGCATTGATTGTTCGGAAGGTGCAGGTGGGAAAAAATGCTCCAGCCTGAGCAAGGAGCATATCTCAGCATCGAGCTGGATCGTCTCGATCTTACGTCTGTTTGCACTCCTCCACGAATTCCTTGACCACCTCGCGGTCGCATAGGATGTAGTCTGGCGTGACTAGAGGCACGATGCCTTAGCAGTCCTTCGTCGAAGCTGTCAATTCATTGCTCACCACACATCTGCCCGCAGGTCAGTTGCTTGATACTGAAGATCCGTCGAGCAATCTTTCGCAAGTCTGCGCACTTCGAGACTATGACTGGACTCTTGCCTCCGAGCTTCAAATCCATCAGTCTCCTGTCCCTAGACCAATTCGCTCACCTCCAGAGTCATCGGTGTTAATGTTTTTGCTGCTGCAGTCGCAACCATCGAGCCAATACGTCCAGAACCTGTAAAGAGGACTTTTGCCCACATCAGCTGGATCCCGCGCCGCAGATTCCGATGGCTCACTATGTCCCCACGACTTCTCCAGGAGATGAGCGGCTTGTTGCGGCCCTCCAAGGACAACCGAGTAGGCTCCAGAATCGAGGTACTGAGGTAAAAGCTTTGCAAGAAGAGCAGAGCAAGCTGGCGAGTGTTCAGAAGGCTGAAGCAGTAAGCCGTCAGCCTTTTATCTGCTTGTCCATTGACTGAGCCATGAATCACCTTGAGCATCACTGGACAGCCAGCTGCAATAGCATGGACTAGCGGGACAAGGGATAATTGCCAAGGGTAGTTCTGGCCGAATTGTCAGCTCGACTCTGAGGATCTAAGATACATAGCGTCACCCAAGGACTGATGATCTGCGAGACTTTGTCAGTCATAGCACTATTGAGGGTCAACTCACCAAACAGACACCCTTAGGCTGCTTCCTGATTGTCGGGCCTGTCAACCTGGTGTTCAGCGATTCCGGACTCCTGACCCTGCGCGCTAAAGCTCACACATGAACTTGAACGCCAATTGAGAATCCCACCAACGGACTTCAGGCTTCACCCACGTTGGTAGTCGCCGTATAGCAAGGGCTATCTCATTGTACACCGGCCATAGCTGGACGGGAAGTTCAGTCGGTCCTTACATCTTACAGGAACGTCGATTTCGGCGTCCGATAACGGCCATCGCCTCTACTCACATCGCTGATTGAACATGCCAAAGGGCCTGTATCTAGATCCTCTTTGGACGCCGCTTGGATAGCCGCCTCATTATCCTTGATCATCCACCAGAGCTGTTTGAGATTGTATATCCTCCATTCGACAGGTATAGTTGCTCGACTCTTGAACTTCTGTTGGTGCTTTGCATATAGCTATGAAGGACATGAGATGGCCGACGAAGTGGGTTCCGTTCGCCTCACCTTGTCGATCTGTTCCAAAGACGTTTCGGTAATTGAAGTATCATGGGATTCGTCGGCCATGGTACCAAGATGCTGGATATGAGCACTGGAAGTGGCCTTGCCTTCAGATTCGTAGGAGCTCCAGGTGATCTACGTCGGTCTCGAATAATAATCCTCGCATTTACCGACGCACCTTTCGGCTATTGATGACCGATCTCCATTGCCGTGCAGTTTGGTACGGGCCATCGGGGATACATGCATACAACATAACGGAATGGGTTCTGGTGGGCAAGGAAGACAAGAACAAGCTCCTTAAATCATCGTAACCGGGTCCGCTTCTGGGCAGCGACGGCGGTACTACTGGCAGGGCGGAAATTCGCACTGGACGGCAAACGAGGAGCGGCGAGTGACGGAGGAAGGCTGTGGCCAAAGTTTGTCAGCGGGGCTTATATCGTCGCCAGGTCGATTATCAACTCACGATCCCATCTTCGGATCTCCGTTGTCCTCATGTGTGACTCTGCGCGTAGGGTAAGTTATGGCACTACCTTCAAAAACGCTCCTGTAGGCGTCAGCTGGGCCGTTCTGAGACAGCACTCACTTGAAATTGACACCTCCATCCTCCTTGAACCAAGGGTGCGTCAGGGACTCCCGGGATGTAAGTCTTTTGGCTGGATCCCATTCGAACAAGCGACACAAGAGCTCGTAGCCTTGTGCAGATGATGAACGTTGATGGTACCACTGAGGTAGGGGGTTCGGCATAGGATATGGTCCCGACGTGGTATACGTCTTGTACTCTGGCATGTGGATGATTCCAGGCCACTGCTCGGCTGGAAGACAGACGCGTCAGTGGAGGAGATGATCTTCAGTTCGATTCACACACGCTTGACGGGTCCAAGCACCTCGCAGATCTTCCCCATTTGATCACGTTGGAAGGGCAAAGTCTTCTTGCTGTCTAGTTTGGCCTCGTCCCCCTTAAATATCGGTCGGAGGGAGAGCAACTCGGCATAGATACACCCTATAGCCCACATATCTGTGTGATCCAGTCAGAATTGCTGACCACGCCGCAGCCTGGCGAACTCACCGACAGCTGCGGTGTAATGCTTCGCGCCGAGAATGAGCTCGGGCGCACGATACCAAATAGTAACAACAACTTTATCACCTCCGAATAAACCCATGGATGCTAAAGGTTTGTGCCATAGCCTCGCCAGACCCAGATCACCGATTTTGACGATACCAGACGAAGTGACGAGGATATTGGCAGGTTTCAAGTCTCGATGAAGAACAAAGTTGGAATGAAGGAAATGAACCCCGGCGAGGAGCTGATGTAACAGACGGCGAAGGGTCATACCTGGGATCGGCGTGCGAGCCGTCTGCGAATGATGATGAATGATTTGCTGAAGGCTCGGTCATCAATGTGTCTAAGAGAAGGCCAGACTCTGACTCACGAGAAAATCATGCTCTGCGTATTCGAACACCATGTAGATCGCCTTGTCTTCTAAAATGACTTCCCGAAGGGCGACAAGATTCCGATGATGAAGTTCCCGGTTGAGCTTGTACGATGTGAGTAAGATGCTCAGTCACTTTTCCTAAGCCTCGCTCACCATAATTTCCCTGATTCCACTCTGACTGATCCCCGCATACGTTTGTACGTCCCCTTCCTTGTCCGGCTTGAACTTCTTGATGGCGAATACATTTCCTTCCTTTGCCGGCAGGTCACCAGGTCTCATACACAGCTCAGGATTGTTTAGAGCTTCGGAGCTGTAGTTCCCTGTGGCTGGCCATAGCTCATGAGGTGACAAGGTGGCTTTCTCGGCCTTTTCCTCTGTCGGCGCTGATTGTGGAGGCGCCAAAAGGACCGCTTTATAGACTCGCCCATAGGTTCCTATGGCGAAAAGTCAGCTTTGATATCGCAGCTTCGTACAGCCTCTGACCAGAGGATATAAAACCTATGATCTTGTAAGTTTTGAGTACGCTGGCGAACCGTCAGCAATGGATTCGAATTCGAGCAGAGTCGTGTTCCGCTCACGTCCTGCGTTCGCGATCCCTCTTAGCTCTGTACATGAGCATCGGATCAACAGTCCGAGTTGCCATTAGACCGGCCATCATTCAGAACGTATGCTCCTATGCTGGTATAAGTTCCGTCGCATCCCTCCTGTATGCACGAAGTAACGAATCCTGCAACAAGCACACCGTATCATGATCACCGGATGGCGGCGATCTCCGCCACAGGACCGCGGTTGATTGTTATTTTCCCACGCCAGTAGTCATCGTCCAGACTGACAAGACGTAAACAACACAACACATTACAGAATCGGTTCGACACTGTTATTCGCTCTCATAACAATACACATCTGGGGCATTTGTCGCTCATAAGAACCGTCTGACCAGCGCATCCACCATGTCGCTGGCTCCGAGCGCACCTGCTCGCTCGTCACCTCGACGCAAGTCGATGGGGTTGACAGAGAGAAAATCTAACCTCGATATGGACAATCTCACTCTTCCCGTGACGTTCAAGGATAAAGCCAAGAAACGAGCAGCATTCAGTATGGGAGGAGAAGGATTCAAGATTGATGGGAAGCCTCGATTTGAGATTGGCGTTGTGGGGGAGGATGGCTTGACCCCGAAGAAACGAGCACGGAGGAGTTTGGTGAGTGAAGTTTGGGAGACGTTGACTGGCCCAGTCTATGCGATAAGCAAAGCTGACGAATACTTCAGAAACCTCGAAAATCGATCTTGAAGGGCTTCAATGTCAACAACGACACTTCTGATGATACTGTCGACTTTGGAACGCAGAACTATGCGCATACGATTGCCTTCTCCACATCTGCCGCATCAAGACGAGTCAGCTTCGCACCTAGTGCTTCCGTTCGGTGAGTGTTGTATACAAAGCTCAGAGTGGCACCTGTGGCAATTCTTGACTCCTCCGCCCTTCCCAGCATGTTCGAAAAAGACAGAGAGAACAAGTCTTCCACGTCTGGTACCGATCCAACTCAACCCTTCCCATTGCCACCCAAATCCGCGACCCCCCGAGTCTCCATTACCGCTTACGGAGAAGCTACTGGTCCAGCTGGATTCAGTGACCCTTCGTACAACCGAAGAGTCAGTGTCGCTCGTTTCGTCGATGTAGGTGGAGAAGTAGACGAGATCTCCATGGACATGGCGTCGGACGACGAAGGGGAAGATGATGATGCTAGTGGCGTCCAGATGGGACATCCCCGAGCATCCCTTGGAAGGGCTGCGAATGCAGCCGTGCCGACCGTGACGGTCAGCCCTGATTCTGGAGAAGAAGACGAAATGGATATGGAGGAAACACAAGTCATCTACGGTGGAATAGTTCAGCGACAATCGGCATCGGAGCAAGATGACAGCTTCGATACGGAAGTGGAGAAGAGCATCGATGAAGAAAGGACAATGGACTTCACGATCGCCGTTGGAGGCATGCTCCCAAATTCCCCACCTATACACGCATCTCAAACTCGAGCGTCGATGTCGATTGGCTACAGTGTACCTATGTCGCCTAGATCAGCAGGTAACAGGATTCATCCTGGTGATCCGATGCCTGAGGAGGGGGACATGTCGATCGAGGAGACCGTGGTCATTGGTGGAATCATCGGTGCGGATGAGTCGATTTCGACGGCGAGCGAGACAAGCCAGACTCAGCAAGAGCGTACTATGACTTTTTCATTCGGAAATCTGAATACCCGACCTCCTGCTTCTCCAGGAATGGAGATGACCACTGTGCTGGGAGGTATAGTTGACCAGTCATTCTCCGCCACTCAGCCTCGAAGATCAGTCAGTGCTACTGAAGGACAGAATCAAACTTCTGCCGGAGCAGCCAAGGCGCCTACACCATCCTTCGCACGGGCCACCGTTTCCTCCGCGAAGAAAACATCGCCGATCAAGCGCAATGTCTTTGCTCCTTCGCCCGGTCCATACCCTTCTACGACCCCCCGTAAGGATGGAATGGCGACCGCAGCAGACGTCGCCAAGCGGCTCTCTTTCAGCTCCACCACCTCTAGCGCTGGGAAAAAACGAGTGCGGGAGGACGACGTGGACGTCCCAGGCAGCGCAAAGAAATCTCGACCTACTCCTCCAACTACACCTGCCGAGGCGGTCTTCGGCATGGGCTCCACTGGACCATCCAGACTGTCCATTGGAAAACCGTCCAAGTCGCTTTTACCGGCATCCCCTGGTCCAATGCCAGCTCCTCCTACACCCCAATCGTACGGTCGACCCAGGATGTCCAGGCAGTCCCTGGGCACGCCTTCACGCATGGACCGATCGGGCGCTGGAGTTACATTGCAAGAGCCATCGACCACTCCTTCCAAGCCTTATAAGTCCCCTCGGACACTTCGTCAGCTCAGGAACGAGCCTGTTGAAGATGAGGTAGAGGATGAGCAGGTTGTGGAAGGCCAAGAGTGGGATCAGCCTCCCGCCGTCTCACTCAGTGCTTTCTTGGAGATGGCAGGTATCCAGTTCAATGACGAGCTGCCAGGAATCGACATGAGACGGAATAGCATGCGGAGGAGTTTGGCCGCGTCATCGACACTCGGTAAGTCTCACACTGTCATTGCCACCATAGCTGAATCATAGCAAAAGATCGGGACTACACTTTGAATGAATTCGCAGAAGCGAGGATCCATGAGGCGTTTTACAACGCGTATAACTGGGCAAGTAGCATCGAGAAATTCACTCGATAAGCTAACACGATGACTAGGCCTGCTCAAAACTGCGAACGGATATCTCTGCTCGTCATGAGGAGCTTTTGGACCGAGAACGTGAATGCGCTGAGGATGCTCCGACGGTCATCAAGGAGTACCTAGCTGCCTCCGATGAGGACAAGGCATTGTTCGAGTCGACCTTCAAAGACTTCAAGTTGAACACCCTGCTCAAAGCGCAACTGGCCTGGTATGAGTGGAAGACGGGATTGATGACTGCTTTGAAGCCTCACATGCAGGAGTACCTGGATGGTCAGAAAGAGGTCAGCAAGTTGGGCTGCGTATGATCTCCATCACTGATGGAGGATACAGGATCAAGGGCGACTGGTCGAGATGGAGGAACAGGCAACTACGCTGTTGCCTCAGCTCCAGGACAGAGTCAAGGCGCTCGAAGCTGAATTGGCAAGGGAAAAGACGACCATTGCTGAGATTGCCGAATGCGACCCTGGAGAGTTGCAGGATCTCCACATGGCGATGGATGAGCAGGCGTGAGTCAGGCCAATTACGCTTCGCCTCGCTGATATGTCACAGCGAACAACTCAAAGACTTCCAAAAGGAATACGATGATGCGAAAACAAAGCTCGATGGACTCGCTACGAAACTGGGGGAACTCAACTCGAAGAAGAAAGACTGCGAGACCGCCATCAGTATCGCCGCGAGCAAGTGTGATCATTACACGAAGAGTGACGTTCTCCGTCTCAAAGGTGAGCTTCATGCTATCCTCACGCGACTCAGAGCTCACGAGTGATCAGACGAGTACGCCTCTCTGCAGCACTTGCACCTGTGGCAAGTCGAACTGGCATCACCTACCTCATTGGTCCTCGCCTTTGACGACGAGGTTCGGGTCGACCTGACTTGTACAGACTATGTCCCTGACATCGCCTCGGCCAATGTGGACCTCCTTGACAAGCCGGGAAAGAGAGGATCGAGATATTCGCAGGACTCGACCGATGCTATTTTTGCGCTGTTTGGCGAGGCAATGCGCATGTTGATGGGCATGGGTTATACATCTTTGTCACCGGTTAGTTCTCCTTACGGACTGCGCGGAGCTACACTAACGAGTAACCAGTTCATCCAACGCATTGGCCAGTTGTGGACCTCGTGTCAGCGCCTTCGATCTGAACTTGGTCTTTTGGCGTTCCGGCATCCCATCACGTTCAGAGTCGGCGAGGGCAGCATCATTGTCAGCGCAATGATGATGATACCGTCTTTCAAATCAAAATCATTGCTACATTTCCATCTCGAGCCTGACCTTTTGTACGACTGGCCGATCGGATTGGGCAATGTGCAAGTGACTTCGAGTATTGTTTATGGATCAGCCGAGTCAGTTTGTCTCCCGTCTACCGCATGAAAAAGGCTGATGTTTGTCTTTAGCGGCGAGGTTCTGAGTCAAGCCGCCAGCAACTCCATGCGATCGGCGACATCTTCAATGTACATTGGAAGTTTCTTGCAGGCTTGTGTGGAAGCGTCGGCTCAGGTGTAAGCGGGATACGAAGGGTGTCATTAGGTTGGGGGAAGTTGGAGGCATCTTGCGTTTATCCTGTATTCTGCTTGGCTCATTCTTATTCTTCTCCTTATTACGATGCGGTGCTCATGCTATGAACTGTGCTTTGTTGATTGGGGCGAGCTGTGCAGAGCAATGATCATACATTGACGATATGCACCAGACGCACAGCCGTGAACTGTCGTTCTGAGAAAGGGACCAATCAAGACAAATCGATGGGGAAAACGCGGCGGCCAGACTCGACTGGCTTTGAACGTTTTGGTTCTCTCTACTCATCGGAGATCTGACAGATGGGTCAGCGGTAATGGCGGGGAGCGTCCTGCGCCGTGATCTCTCACCTTTGGTGCAAGGAAGAATTGCAGTGTCCCTTGTTCGAAATCGAATTGGACCAGGAGCGGAACATCATTGCTCATATTGAGAGACACTGCCTTGGCTAACGGAGCGGATTTCGCAAAGTTTGACAGGTATTTGAGTGAGAATGTCAGGGCCACTTGTTTCTCCAAGATGATCGTGACGCCAGGTTCATCGTCTGAGGGTGCTGCCTTTGCCTTTTTTGAGGACTATGACGAGTAGTTAGTGGGAATTTCCCGGATTTGAGACCCACTTTTGATGTTCCGTTTGCGGACTTGCGTTTCTTTGGTCGATCTTCGTCATCCTGCTCGTCCTCTTGAGGTTGACTCTATCAGCAATGCTTTTCAGACTATCCGCTTTCCGACTCACCTCCCTCTTCATCGACATCGGGTTTCTCCTCTTCCTCCTCATCGTCGTCATCGGGATCCTGTTTGACTCTCTTTGATCCACTTGCCCTGTCTGTTCCCGCACTCTGTTTCAACAAGACACTTCCATTGCCCACTTCTCCTTCCGAACTAAATCTCACACCTTCTTTCGAAGCTTCAATCTTGACACTTTCTCCCAACGCAGCTAGATCACGACAGATACGTTGGAATTCAGCTGAAGACATGGTGATCGTCGCATCGTATTGTGTATCGGGGATTCCCAAATGTTCTTGATCAATGTCCATGAGTTTCATTTCGTATTCTCCAACTCGATCTTCCTCTACACGACTCAACGTTAGATTCTGGGTGATGATCATGACTAGGGGTCGCGCATTACTCACTAGGAGACTCAAAGACCATTCCCAGTGCATCGGCATCGTCTGCAGCCTTGAGAGTGACCACATCGTTGTCCTTTGCACACTTGAGGATCTTGGTAAGTGATGTGAGCTGGACGATGCATCAGCTCGTGCCGATTGAACGGATACGCAGGACAATGCCTCACGTTGACTCCCAGCGGCATATTCCTGTCACATCGATATGACTCGAATTGCTCAGCAACGAGCTTGAGAGATACGAGAGCGACGTGAGAGTTGTCCATGGCTTGCAGGGCCTGGCGATCGGAATGGTCAGTCAAAGACTCTAAATCCGTCATTTCGGAGCGCTGAAAGACTTACGATACCCTCATCGGTGCAGTCGAGGTTACCATCGGTGACTAGCTCCTTGATGGCTGGAGACAGACATTGTCAGCCAGGGTAACCAGCGCCATGTCCGAAAACATTGCCAGGTGTCTCCCAATATCGGCTGACCACTCACCATCGAGCAGCTTCTTGAGGACCGAAGCCTGCTTGACACGAGCTTCCAACATCTTAAGAGGGAAAGGAGTTCTGGAAAGCTGGTTTGATCTGAAATAAAATCCTTGATGACCCGAGACTGGACACTTGAGCAGAACGGGCGTCGGACGGTCAAAAGATCAATGTCGAGAGAAAGTAAGGTCCAAAGACGCGACTCACGCGTTAGTGATCAGACCATGACGTGGATTTTAAGAATGCCATTATCAAGATGGCGTCACGTCCTCATGTCTCCCTGTCCATGGCGGTATGCCAATGGGTCGAGCTCGAACTTGCCAGACAAGTGACTCGACGGCGAGGCAGCCTGCTGCCATTCCTGCATCTAGATCATCATCTCACTTTAACTACTCGATAGGACGCCCCCCAAGATGTCTGGCAAAACGTTCAATTGTCTACCGGTGATTTTGCTCAGACACGTTGCACTGATAGATACTTGAACTAATGTCCTCGGGTTCATCCCCGACTTTCAGCTACACGAAACGCTCAACCTTTACATCTCCCCGACTGCCTATGTCTTTGAGCCATCCTCCTCATTACCTTCTCTCGCGGTCGATGGACCGAGCCTCGTCAATGAGAAAGACACGAGAGAGGCTCTACATATCGATAGGCGAACCGGACAGATGAGTTTGAGCAGTGAGTCACCAGCTTTCTCAATGTCGATGACCGCAGCTGATGCGCGCTCAATTCAGCGGATACATCCGTCCCATTTGGTAAAGACAAAGTCATCACTTGTTATGGTATCATCGGAGTCCTGAGTCTCGCTACGAGTGAGCCAGCCAGTCTTCAGGTGCAAAGCCAATCAATGTTGACCTCTCTCTCTCTCTTCTTTTGCCCGTTTAGCCGACTTCCTGCTCATCATCACTGCTCGATCACCCTCCTGTAGACTTCTCTCTCATCCAATCTACCAAGCTACAGACTATAGGCTCCTCCCGCTCTCAGCTCTTTCCTCGTCCACTGCTATCCTCAATCATCCAGTAGAGAGAGAACTCATTCAACTCGTCGAACAGGGTTTGAGATCGGCTTCATTGTGGTTTTCGTACGGATGGGATCTGACCAACACTCTGCAGAGGCAGTCGGACCTCGAGGAGAGAGGCACAGGGGTCGGTCAGTGGCCGCTTTGGAAGAGGGCAGACGATGGATTCTTCTGGAACAAGTTTTTGGCCCAAAGGCTGATTGATTCGACGGAGAAGGAGGGCGTGGATGTAAGTGGTCAAAGCGAATGTGACTCTGCTCGTTCACTGATGCTCTGCCCAAGCTGAGTCGATTCATCCTCCCAATCATGTACGGATGTGAGTGATTTGTCCACTACGCAATGAAAACCTAGCGCTGAAGTCATCTAGTTGTCGAGCTGCGCTCGACTACCATCAACAATCGCGATCTCCTCTTCCTCCTGATCTGCCGCCGATCTCGCCACCGAGCAGGAACGCGATACTTTTCTCGAGGACTGAACCAATACGGTCAAGTGTCCAATTTCAATGAGACGGAACAGATTGTCCTGGTCGACCCACTGCCTGCCGATGGGGAACAACAGATCAGACGAGGCCGAGTGGATGGTAGAGAGCGTCTGAGTTTCGTCCAGGTCCGAGGCAGTGTCCCGGTGTACTGGGCTGAAATCAACAATCTACGGTACAAGCCTGATCTTTTGGTCATGGATAAGCAAGAGACCGTTAGTCCAGGTGCTAGCTCCAGAAAGAGTTCTGTGCGCTGACCGAATATGGCAGACGTCGGCCATGAAAGCTCACCTTTACTCCATGATCAACGCTTATCAACGAGTCGCTCTGGTCAATCTGGTCAACCACAAAGGTCACGAGCTGCCCGTCAAAGAGGCGTTCGAACGAAACATCGCAGCTTGCGCTGCTTCTGATCCCATGCTAGCCGCCAATGTGAATTACAATTATTTCGATTTCCACACGCAGTGCAAAGGCATGCGATTTGACCGTGTCTCCCTCATGATCGATCAAATCCAGACTTTCTTGGATGACTCGGGATGGTTCCGGTCCATCACGCCTCCTCTGGCGCCGACAGGTCAATCGGGAGGTCCTACTGCCGTCTTGGGCAGACAAAGCGGAGTGGTCAGGAGTAACTGCATGGATTGCTTGGATCGAACCAACGTTGCTCAGAGTGCCTTGGGCAAATGGGCACTGAACAAGCAATTAAGGGAGTCGGGTATACTCAGTGTCAAGGAGAGTGTGGAAGATCATCCAGAATTCATGTCCATGTACAGGAATGGTGAGTGATATTGGGCCTGCCCCAAGTCGGCTCCAGCTGAGACTTGGTCGCAGTGTGGGCAGATCACGGAGACACAGTATCCCGAGCGTACGCCGGCTCAGGTGCCCTAAAATCCGACTATGTTCGAACAGGAAAGCGTTCAACAGAGGGAATGCTGTTGGACGGTTATAGCTCGTTGATGCGGTATTTCCGGAACAACTTCCTCGACGGAGACAGGCAAGACGCGTATGATATCCTGACGGGAGCATGGGTCGCTAAGAGGGGCGGCATACCGCCTCTGACGGATACCAGGCCACTGTTGATGCGATCGGTGAGATGGTCGAGCAATACGCGGCAGGGGTCAGGCTGACTCGGCCTGGCGTAGATGCCTTACATTCTCGGCTTTGCATTGACAATGATCCTTGCTGCTATCGTTCTGCCTCGATCATCTGGTATGAGACATAGTGCAGTGTCTCGAACACGTCGCTTACTTATCACAGACCTATCCATCACTTCTTTCCTATTCCTCTGGGTGGCGATGGCCATGTTCTCCGGCTCATACATCTGGGGCAATGTGAGCTGTCAGAGAGCCTGTAAGACGCGACGTGTGCTGACATCTCTCCGCTTTGCAGGGCACGAGCTACGTCTCTTGGCCTCGATTGAACCCTCCGATAGAAGTCTTATCTTACAATGGTCCAGGAGCTAGGACCAAAGTCCGAGGACGAGGAGTCACGGTGGCTAATATGATTCCTGCATTGTTCAATCGTTCAGGCTCCAAGAGAAGCAAGAAGCCCGAAGAGGTTGAGCTTGGAAGAAGGAAGGGTGCGTTGATAGATTAGACCTAGTGAGATGCGGGAGAGGACCGGTATATAGACTTGAGTGATGTCAGTGATGTCAAGGATGGACACATGAGAGTTTCTTGCAGGCTTCCTATCCGAAGCACAGGGCCAAAAGCTCCAGACTGCCCGCTGATGATTTATCTCGACACGGACATGCGTTGCGGTAGTCGGGAGTGTCAACCTGTTTAGACGATCAGCGACACTTTCAAGCGCGCCTGATCGGACGGCGCGGTCCTGCATCTTGCATGTCTCACAAAGTCACCGAGTCGCTGACGTTCAAGGGAGACGCGTTGATTCGTGTGAGGACGTCTAGATCTCGCCACAAAGCATACCACCCAGACTGTCTGTCGATCGATCGTCGGTAAAGTTTTGGCTTTGCTAATTGTGCCAAGCAGAAGCCAAACATGTGAATGCCGATCCTTTGAGGCAAGAAGGACTGAGGAACAAGATTTTCATTCACAGGCATCGTCGTCACTTTGGGCCTTGCATGTGGCGTTCCCGCATTCACCGGACGACAAGGATACATACTCTGTGGACTTTATGGATCCCTCTTGAAATGGAGGCAGATCATCTCAAGCCTCATTTACTTGGGATTGAAGGATGGTTGACACGATCTATCGGGAACAGCGTGACGATCACTATTCTTCAGAACACAGGGGATCCCTGCATCAATTCGCCACGTTGATTGTGTGATTATGAGAACCATGGTATGCCTTGCTTTTTAGTCAGAAGGGATGACACTGTCGTGATAAGCCCCCTTCCCGTGTCTGCGTGTACGGTGAACGCGAATGGATTGATGCGCGTGAATGAATGCCTTCTGGGCCCTTCCAGACAGCCACTTAAGCCCATAAGGTTCGCCACTCAAACAAAAACCGTAGCCTTGATCCTATAGAATGACGTCTGTCTTGCAAAGGAGACCTTGGCATGGTCGATGAGCCGACCCCCAGGAGGTCTATGGGCTAGACAAGCACCCCCAAACTATAGTGGAGAGTGCCTGCCTGCCTGCGAGGGTGAATGTGGGGCCAATGAGATTCGGTGCCGAGCAGTGCTTGTGGCCCGGATCGGAACCCACGTATAGTCGATCCTGTGGCCTTTAATTGAAAGAGGGGAGGGGGGTAGAGGGTCGAAAGCTGCACGTTTGGGCAAGCCACATTCAATGTGACATGATGTGCTGCGATGTGCTGTGCTCGACTCCTTAGATCGACGCGGATCGTCACAATTACCAAAGACCGGCCGGAATGAGAGAAGCGAAGAGTCTTTGGACGTGTCTGTTGATTGTTTGTAGTTCGGGTCCACAGTGCACCGTGAAGTGGAGTCTTTCCCTACAAACAATGACACGCCCAGTACCTATCGGACCTCATTAGTGCCCGTCAAAGTTTCGGTCTGGCGCACAGCCCATTGTAGATCACAGACGGACGCCTCGATCTCTCCTTCCAACGGCAAGGTTCGTTGCGCGCTCGAGGTTGCTTGTCCCGCCCCTAGAAGGAGAGAGATCAACAAGGTCCCGAGCATCTGTCCCAGCCGACCGACGACGCTTGCCGAAACTATATTCACGTTACTTTGTGGAGTCTCCAAGGGTCCAGAATGCTCCACCCGAGTCTATACACGTCGTGGTGTATCCGGCAATAGCTCCATCAAGGTTTTGATCGAGAGGGGGCGGAGGAGTGGCTTCGATTGAGCACTGCCGCCACCGTCACCCTCCAGCTTGAATCTGCGAGCCAAAAGATACTGCGGCTGTTGTCGGCTGTTGAATCGAGCTCCAAGTATAACAAGGTTATAATAAACAAGCAAGGAGCTGGTGGTGGTGGTGGCTCCGGGTACGATCAAAGGAAAATCTGCTGAATGAAATTCTCAATTGATTTTCCTATACGTTCCTGAAAAGTGATCGTCCGAAACAAGGTTTCATCTCTGAGCAAAAATTTTTCTAAATCAGGCGCACAAGTTTTTAATTATGCTTATTTTTCTGAAACTTTCGGATTTTTTGAATCTCGCAATTTTGCAGTTCAAAATGTACAGTATAGCCAGCTAGCAGGTGTACGAGCATGGATGGCACTTTGTTGTCGTGGCAGTGTGGCGGACAAGCGAGATCGTATCTGTGTCTACCAGAGTGTGCCATACCCATCCGGCGAGGATCATACCCCTACCTGTAATATCGTGGTCACAAGCATCGAGCAAATACTGTATAATGGCGAGCACGATCTGCCACCATTTGGTCGCAGTGCCAGCCAGAGAAATACACTACCACTGGGCTTCAGAGCCTTGGTGTCAGGGTGTCCCAGACGATCTAGCGAAGCACTTCATCCGAGCCTTCATATGCGGGTCAGTCCGCGCAGCGAGATGACCCGGATGACACCGAACCTGGACCTTGTTGGTGAGCAAATCAACCGGTAAGAGATCGGTTGGCCTTTGGACCGGAGAATCTCTTGGCTGTTCGGTCATTGGAACATTCTGCCCTGAGCTACTGCATGGTGCGTCTTTGTGCTTGTGCTCCGTCGTTTGGACCAATATCATGCATTCTGCATGACGCTTGGACGACTCGGACGGGAGGGCCATCGGACACACAGTACATTCCCTCGACAGTCCCTCGCCAGTGAGAGCGAGACCATTACGGTGATCCTCGGCGTATTGAACCAATCGCCTTACTGCCCTCCTAACTCTCCCCCTTTCCTTCCAATTGATCGACGAGGGAGAGAGAAAAAAAAGGCACCAGCTCCAAGCCTCGTCATGGAACACTTCAACACCTCGTCAAGAATGGACAAGTCCTGTACGAGAGCGAGCGTAGACAGAACAAGTCAGAGGACAATGACATGTATATATGTATCTATTCGCATACACGTCCTTATGTCCACTATCCAACCTGCCAAACATGTCACTGTGTGAATGCAGCTCGCAGCCCATTCCAGCGGCAGCGGCCTATGCCCGAAGACGCACATACCCACCACCCTCGAAACTGATCAATCATCCATGATATGGTCCCTGTCACATCTACCCTGATCCAGCGTTATAAAGATTCCAATCGAACACGTCTCTGCGATACACTTTGAGCTGCTGGAATGGAACGCAATTAAGGAAGGGGGGCTAAAAAGACAATCTATCCTGTCCTTGGCGAGGGAGAAAGCTTGAGATGATGGTCCCTCGCTCGCGATCGAGTACCTTGACCTGGGTGGAGCTCGGCCGACTTCTTCTTCAGGTATGACCTACACCGCTCCAAGTGGAGGAAGATGCCCGGACCGATCCACCCAAATAGCAAGACCGAGTGATCCAAGCTGACCGGTTTGCCCAAACCCCCCTTCAATCCCTCCTTTGAGTGAATTCTAGGTGCAGTTAGCAGGGTAACACGAGGCACGCACATAGCAGCAGCATAGTACAGGAATGGGATGCATGTTCCATGTTACAAACCATTCATCCTCTCAAATCTATCCACGGCTCTGGGTCCCACTACACACATCCTCCCTTGTATTGTATCAACCACTCATCCCATCCCGCCACCAGACGCCGTCCCACTTTCGCCTCGCCTCGCCTCGCTTAATGTCGGTAACGAGCCAGCAACGAATTTTAACGAAAACCCCTCAAGGTCTCTTTGGCGTACAGCTCATACTGTGACGCCTCCAACAGAGTGAGTGAGAGCTCATGAGACCACCAAAAGCCATGGGAAAGAGGCAGATTTGATAGGCTCTGGTACATTGGGCTTCGCTGTGACTTGAAACAACAGCCACCGAACCGCCATCACTCCCTCCCCCTCCTCATCATACACACACATATACAGCCCTTGTCCATCAAAGACTCCACCCTATCCCATTCTCGACGTTTTTTCTACTTCACTCTGTCCTTCGTCCTCATCCAAAAACACACTCTGCACCTCTGTGGACATCCAGCGCTGCTACTGCTGCCTCCCTTCAGAGAAGATGCTGATAGACTCTGCCTCCTACCACAGCCATTCACGACCTCGTCCAACATAGAAGGACTTACGAAAGCAAACGAAAGGAAAAACTCGACCGATTCTCATACCCTCCCTACTCCCCTCCTCCAGAAAAGGTCAAACGCTGAGTTGCATCCCTCAGAAGACCATCAGAGCGTCAGCAAATCCATTGCATCGCATAGAAGCAGCATCGAGCCATCCACTCAACCTCAACTGACGATCACGAATAACGTACACGACACACAAAGACTCACGACAGAAAAGCGAGGAAGGAAGGCACGAAGGACAAAGTGTGAGTGAAGCTGGATCGAGCTTCCCTCTGACTCGGTCCTCAGTGACACACAGACAGGCTTTTCCCTCAAGTCCAACCTCACTCGCCTTCGCCCTGACCCCCTCCTTGCTCCCACTAGACACCGTCGCCGCTTGACCGAGATCAACAAGTCGACCGATACCCGATACACACAGGTCCATCAGGTCCCGCAGAGTGTGTCAGCACAGACAGATCAGCTCGACTGCCCTACTCAGGCTCAGGCATCGCTCTCCCCTCGCGCAATTAGCACCAATAATTAGCATCTTGCCTTTCAGCCCGTCCGTTTCCCCACAATAAATTTAGGAAAGACAATCATTCCGGCGCAGGAGGAGAAGAGACCGGCGGTCACCGGCAACTGCAAAGGATCAACGACAGGATAGTCAATATTGTTGATTGGGAGCGGACGAGGAAGAACACCCAACGGACACGTTTCATACCGGTCCTCTTGGCCCCTCTCACTCTAACCTAGCTCCTGTGCCTTCCGACTACGGCACGCTCCACCGAAGGCCAAGCACGAAGACGCAATAACCCTCTTCTTTACCCATTCACATCCATCCCATCTCAACTCATCTCATTGATTTCACAACACCTCTCGCACAAAATCCATCAAAATCAGTCACCTTCCCCTTAACCAGGACGCTACATTCGTCCCCGTCATCCCTTGATCCTCATCTATACCCTGTGAGTGCTGTGTCTCCCATTCCTAAATCACACTCCCACCGAAAACCCCATCTGGATCACCGAAACGCCATGCGGTCGAAGTTCGGCCATGCTGATAACCTTATGGACAGGACACGAAACTCTCGAGCACCCCCGAATCTACGAACCGACCCTTCTGACCTTGTCACAACTCGGGACGCCCATCGTGGTAACAAGCCATCGATTCTATTCCAGAGATTGAGGCACAGAGTGTGAGTTTCTGTCGCTTCTATTTCGGAGATTGAGGTAGATTGTGAGTTTCCATCGTTTTCACCCCTGGTACCAATCTTTGGGAGTCTTGCGACCACCACCACCACCACCGCAGCGATCGAAGCCTTCCCTGCCTGCCCTGTGGTGATTTTGTGACTTCTTATTAATCCTTCATACACGTCGTCCCTACTTCCTGTCTCTCTGCCCTGTCAGGACTCTGTCCTATTTTAATCTCGCTCTCTCGGCTTGTCACCTTCCCTCACAAATTATCATTACGCGCGCTTGCGCCGCGGTGAAATTTTCCGCCGGCAAGTCATTCGGCCTTGGCCGTTTAAACGCCTAATTCAAGAGGCGACTTTGACCGGTTGGGTCCCCCAGGTTCGTGGCGTGACCCAGACCCAGGGTCGAGGTGCGTCGAGTGCTGTCGCGTCGTGCTGGAGAGGGGTCCGGCGTTCGTCGCAAGCACTGCGGCGAGAGCAGCAAGCAGTGGCTTGGATACTCAGACTTTGCTACGCGGATAGCACCGTCTGCCTGTACATGCACGGCGAAATGTCAGGTCAAGGCAGAGAGCGGTGTTTTTTGAACTCGACCGGTGCCTTGACTCTCAGATGGCTTCGGAGAGGCAGACCTTTCCCACATCCTCCCTGCCCTTTCCTCGTTGTCGCATGTGGCCGACGACAACGGAGGCTGGATCTATGTGCATGATACATGTCCTTCCCATCACCCCAAACTCCTTGCTTGCTCCTTGACCTCACCATGCTGGCATCATGTCGAGAATTTCGAGGCATTGATGACGATGTTTGGCGTTCATGACAGAATCCCCATGACCCTCTTTTTTTTCCTTATGGGATCTTACGGCGCCGGTCTGTCTCACTGCGGAAGGGCGAATTTAGCCTTGGTCTGTCGTTTTTGTTGGTGGTGGTGGTGGCCGCGAGGGTGGTGGTGGTGGTGTGTTCAAGGGTCCATGAATAGGCTAGAGGTGTGAACTGTGATTACTGACTATTTGGATTGGAATAGCCCAGCCAACCCCCCTTTGCCTCCCCCTCTTGCTGCGCCACTAGACAGGACACTCGGGGAAATTGACCAAAAATCTGCTTTTACGCGACTGACTTTTTCCAAAACCCTCTCTCTTCTTTTGTCGCCACTTTCACCCCTTGGGCCTAACCGCGAGATCACACAAAAAATCAAGGGCTGAAAAATTGGGCGCTGGAGGATCTCCTTCTTCTCTCTCAGACTGGGTGAGTTTGGCACACATTTTTCTTTCTCTTTCCACCCCATTCCAGTCGCCGGTTGGTGAGAGAGAGGTTCCGGGGCGGATCGCGATGACTCGAAGATTTTCCCGTGCGGACCTGTCTGTCCGCCTCCGCCTCCGCCGATTTTCATTCCTTTTGACTCGGGAAATCTCTCAATTGCCTCTTGTCTGTGCGTCGGAGTGCATATCCCGAAGGTCTCTTGGAAAATCTCAAGTGGATTTTGTGGACGAAAGCACACAATGTGTGATCAGCCAACAAGTGGCTTCGATTACAATCATTATGCCCATTCCCCTGGACACGAAGTGCCACACGAGGTGGGCATGGGCATGGCATTCAGAATGGAGGGAGAAGAAAAAAACGGTCGTCCTGCAGGACATGTCATCTTGGGATGCAGGACCGACATTTCGTCGGAGGCGCGTTGTGTATGCTTGTTCTCTGTCCCGGAGGGGTCGAGGTGCCTGGACCGTGTTCTGGGGTGCGCAGTGATATCGTGGTGGTGGTGATGCTGGCATGTTACGGTCTGGTCTGATCTGTGCTTCCGCGCTGGTGCTCGTACTACCACTGCTACTTCTGCTGTTTCCTCCTCCCTCCCAAATCCTACACCTGCCAACCTTGACCTCTGTACTCATCCTCCTGCTTGACTCCTCTCACCATTATCATTCTTAACCACTCAATACTACCCCACAACGCCTATCCAAGCCCGCCTCCCCCCCTTCTTCCACACCTTGAACTCTTTTTGTGCATCCCTCCCGGGAAAACATTGAAAACTGCCAAAACGTTGAAACTTGTTAGGTGTTGGGAAAAACCCAGGTGGAAAAAAAAGAAAAAAGCGTGACGAACAGACTTTCTGTAACGGATCGCCCATTTTCATTTCACCTGTTGTTGCTCCCTCGCTTCCCCCCTCCTACCCATTTAGTCTTCCTGTGTCCCTGCCTCTTTTAACGTTTCTCATCACGTACTCCAACTAAAGCAACCACCAGCGTCATACCAAGGGTCCGCCGGTCTGCACCTCCTCTTTTTCTCAAATGTGTGAGGAACAGTGTGGCCAGGCGAAAACGTCGTGCGCACCTGTCTAGTTTTAAATCTGGCGGCTCCAGGTTTAAAGATTTAGACTAGCTGGCCTTCATCCCGCGGTCCCCTCGATTTCTCCTACCGAGTCTTTGTCTTCTCCCCTCCTCATTCTACCACCACTACTACTTACCACTATCCACCACCGCTACCAAGACTCCTCCCTCGTCTTCCCTCCTCGCTTTCTCGGATATCGCTCATCCCCCGGTCATCGCATTTCTTCTCACTTCCGCACTTTCTGTTCTTTCCGGGTCTCCTGTTGATTTGACTCCCTCCTCCTCCTCCTCGAGTTGGCTTCATTTCCTGGTGAATGATCTCATTGGGCTCGTCCTCATATTCAACTCGGTGCTAGCATAGTCGGGGACTAGACTTTCTCGGATCCCACGCTCGCGTCTCAACATCCTCATCACTTCCTCTCGGAATAGCGACCCAGGCCCCTGTGCTCTTGTCCTTGCCTTCCTCCCTCCTCTGCCCGACTACCCTGTCACGGTTCAACGACTATAGGCCCAGCTCTAGATTGTCAGTAGTAGCCCTTTCATCAAAAGCACATGTGGAATCGTCCATCTTGCTCGCTTTGTTGAATTTCCGGTCTATCTCTGTCTCTTGGTCATTTGCCTTTGCTACTATTCTCATAACAAGCTCAACAACAAGATCAGATTCTTGTCATCTCGACGTCTGACGCCAAACCCGACTCTTGTTCATTCATTATCACACCGGTTCACCTCAAAACTCGCGTGTCTTGCCCTCGTCTCTCTTCAACCAAGGCAAACACTTGACCCCTCATTATCATCATCATCATCCGAGAAGCTTGATTGCTCACGATTTTGTGTCTCCTCTTCCTCGCTACGACTGTATCGATAACATCATCATCATCATCATCATCATCATCAAACACCTGGCGGAATCATATCGTCACCTTGTGTCTACCCCTTCTTATACGACAATCCACTACGTTGACCGATTTTCAATTCCCAAACACTCGTGTTTTGGAATAAACTTTGAAACTTCGTCATCTTCACGATCCGAACTCGCTGCCACGACGACTGCCAACGACTCGCCCCGCGCTCTCCCATAACTGCCTGGTTGCGATCTTCATCTACCACTCATCACCTGACGACTTGATTGGAATTTTCCAACGCAACCTTGTCTCAATACCATTCGGGTTTTAAAAAAACCACCCAACACCTGCCACCTATTTATCCCTTGGCTTTTGGTCACCTGGTCACCTGGTCGTACTAAAAACCCATCCATATCGGTTTGAAACATTATCTACTCGACACCAATCCTCTCGCGAATCGCCCTATTGGTCGATCCATTCCGCCTCCTCGCCACTTGCTCTAACGCTTTCGCTGGTACGATTACTCGCCTCGCTTTGGACATTGGGTCGGATTCAATTCCAAACGATCGACAACGACATTGACGACGGTCTCGAACCTGGATTTTCTTATATACATTGATCATCCAACCGCCCTCTTCGGTCGCCTGATCAATACGTATATATCCCATTCTCAACCTGGTTGCATCCCGTTTCTTTTTTACCCAAAAAACGAAAAAACTCGGGAAAACCACTTCTTCATCCGAAACACTATTGCTTCGTCACACTCTTGCCGTTGGCCACTTGATCGTTCGCCAACTTGACTCGCCCCCCCCCTCTCTCGCTCCGTCGTTTCATTACACACCGCTTCGCCTGTCGAGCAGGTCTCGATTTCATTCTCTCCACTCCCGCATATAGGACGCTGCTTTTGGGATAGTCATCTCGCTGTTCGCCTCAAACGACAGTGACATCTCAGACCTTTTGCCCTCTATACGTGAGATGCCAGCTGCGCCTTCCAACATCAAACAATCAAGAGCCTCAATCTACGGTTGGGCGAAAAAGCGGTCCGTCTCACCTTCCGCACCTCAGTCTTCCCATTCAACCAAATCCAAACCTGCTCCGGTTCAAATCAACACCAAACCCTCTTCCAGTACCTCAACCACCACCACCACCACCACCATGAACGTTGCTGGATCTTCTTCCGCCCCTGCCGCACCCGTCCGTCGTCTAGAAGAGTCGCCTTACTTTGAGGAAGACTACTCGGATGAGATTCAATCCTACATGCACGCCATGGACGTGAGTTTGCATGACGCCTTGAAGTGCTTGCAATCTTGACTGACCCCTGCATGCGCGTCCATCAGAACTCGACGCTTGCCTCTGCCGAACTCATGGATATGCAACCCGAACTTCAATGGTTCATGCGACCTTATCTCATTGACTTTCTCGTTGAAGTTCATCAACAGTTCCGTCTTCGTCCCGAAGTCCTCTACCTCTCCATGAACATTGTCGACCGCTACGTCTCGAAACGCGTCGTTTACAAGAAGCACTACCAACTCGTTGGCTGTGCTGCCTTGTGGATTGCAGCCAAGTTTGAGGATGGCAAAGACAAGGTCCCCCTCGTTCGCGAATTGGCAGACATGTGCTGCAAGGCATACGACGAATCAGCTTTCATCCAGATGGAAGGTCACGTCTTGTCGACCATTGGATGGACTATCGGTCACCCCACAGCTGAGGCTTGGTTGAGGATCAACACGTCTGGACGCAAAGCCGAGGATGCCAAGGTTCAGAACGTTGCTCGATTCCTAATGGAGATCACCTTGTTCCACCGAGAATTTGTCGGTATCCAGTCCAACCTCCTGGCACAGGGTGCTTTGATGTTGGCGAGATTTATCTGCGGAAAGCCTCGCAAGGTGAGTCGACTCTTTGACAATTGGACGCCGGTCCACTGACAGACTCGCTCCAGCCCGTGTCGCGTTTCGAGAATGTTGCTGTTCGTATCGCTCAGGCTATCGACAAGCACTTCACCGACAAGCTTGAGAGTGTGTCGGAAATTGTCATTCGCAAGTACGCTCCGACCTACTACGGTCGAGCTTCGACTCTTGTTCGCGAATGGTACCTTTCTGGTCGTCGGTACCACTACAACCCAGAAGCACCAGCCACTCCAGTCTCTGCTGGTCTCCCAACGCCTGGCCTCGCTCCTTCCAGCTCTTGGTCCAGCAAACGTGGATCATGGATCTCTGCCTCCCCTTCCACCGGCTCCATGTCGTGCGCCTCCTCAGATGCCGGCGACGAGTCTCCTCTCACTCCCATCACTCCCATTCACATGCACGTCGATCCATTCTCTCTCGCCAGCAAGGAAAACATTGCACCTGGCATGTCGTCCACTGGATCATCCTCCTCCGTCTCCTCATTTGTTGGTATTCAAGCCAAGGATGCAGTTGCCATGGCAGCTGCCAAGGCTAGCCTGACACACTCTATGGCTCCTTCAACGGCTTTACCTGGAATTCCGCCTTACCCTGCCAATCATCGTCCCGTCTTACATGCTCTACCACCGGTTGGTGATCTCGCGATTCCCAATCGATCCATGAGACGTTTATCAAACTAGACAGGACGATGGTAGGGTTTTCTCAAGGCATCATACATTTCCAACAAGACACGACCAACATGACGATCCACCACGACGATGACGACGACGAGTCGCGAGCGCGCGATATACAGTATACATTCCCCGCACGATGGACATTCCGGACCTTCACCTGCCTTTTATTTGACCATATCGAGGCTTCAACAAGGCGAAAAAATACATCATACGACTGCTAAGCTCTTCGGTGCTCTTCTCTCTCCGCCCATATCCCCCCCTCCCCCTCACTGCATGATCTCAGACGTCCCCACCTTTCTTTGCATACCACGACGATACCTCCATGCCGCCTGACGACTCTCTAATTCCTCGACTGCTGTTGAAAGCATTGGAATCATCTGGCACGAACGCACGCACACACCACACGCACACCTGGTAGCTTCGCTTTCTCTCCCGCCTCTCCTTCACATTCTCAATGATAGAATCGTGTATAATAGTAGTATCGATCAGGCCCTCACGACATCTGCTCCTGGCCTTAGGGTCCCTATGGGATCCCGAACCAGACAGACTCACCTTTCTCCCTCCTATGTAACTCATTTCTATTCCATATGCTATTCTCCCGGTCTCCCCCAAGTCTCCTTCATTCGTTCCCTTTATGCTCATACCGAGGGGGAATCATTCGTCCGTACAGTGGAATGCAGGGGTTTGAAACCCATATGATAAAGACCAGATCATTATTGCTTCGAGTCGCAGCTGAAAGAGCACAGGGAGCAGGTGCCGCAACTGAATGCCGCTCGCTGTCAATAAGCTATTTTTGGTTCCGGGTCTCGGTAACGCGAATTGCTCTAGGTCGAGGTTGATGATAGCATGACGACCGGAAGCGTTACATTGTCTATTACACGGCTCGCTCGAGAGATCTCTTATAACACAAGAAACTCCAAGGAAAGCGGCCGTTCAGACCAGGATAGGACAAAAACTTTCATCCAGTGACTGATCGAACTCTCGATTCAGACATACAGGATGGATTATTGATGGATCCATAAACCCTAGTCCCGCAAGACGGTAGCAACGAGGAGTGTGGTCTCAAGGTCCTCGAGAGGGCACAGACGGGATGACCGACTCGAATAGATCACCTGGTCGTCGGCCGGGTGAACTCGGCCGCAGCATATCAACCAGTACGAGTCAACCAGCTCTTGGTCTACGGGTGGACGATGAGGCAGGAGGGAGATCAGGTGCAGAAGACGAAGAAACGGTGAGACGGGAGGGACACAACGAGACGAGCTCCACTTATGATGGTTTTCTGACTCTCCGTGGGTATAGATCGAAAGTTTGATGAGTCGACTGGCCATTGAGCGACGAGTTCAATATGGAGCTGAGAAGATGCTCGACGTGAGTAGAACCGTGTTCTCAAGCACACACACACACACACACCTCAAGTCAGGAAGAAATACTCGCTGATCTATCGACCAGGTCATCGAGAAACGTTCCGGTGATGCCGATGCTGGTGATTCCGAGCAGGTCAAAGAGAGGATCACCGCGCAGTTGGAGGCTGCCAACGAGCACATCAAAGCTTTAGAAGCAAAGCTCGACAAGCTGGAGCGTCTCAAAGGGACAGCATCCTGTACGTCACAGTATCCTTCTCACAGAGAATTCTGGTGATGTAGGTTTGCTGATTGGCCTGATCAGCAACGCCATCACGGAATCGACGGAGACCTCAACCTAGACTAAATGGCTACCCGTCCAGCTCTTCCCTCGGCTTGGGTCAGTCACTAGCTTCGTCCAATGCGCTTTCTGGGACTTCGCCGCGACCTCGATTCCCGAGACTCAATTCCAACTTGACTCCTGATCTGGCGAGTCAAGCCCAATTCCCATCTACTTCAAACCTTGGGTCACCACCAAGTTCACGATATTACAAGTCTTTATCGCCCTCCAGACCTAGAAGTAGAAGTACAGGGGAAGAAGCGTACCCTTACCATGACTATTCCTTCGGCGCGGAAGGCTCGTCATACTCTGGCATGAGTCGGATCGGACAAGGCGGTCCACTGTCTCAGAGCGAGATCTCCTCACCAACAGGCGCAGTGGACGAAGATCGGCTCATAAGGAAAGTGGAGGAAATCACCACACTTGTCAGACAGTTGAGGGATAATCAACCTGCTTCGGAGGCCTCCATGGAAGGCAAGGGCAAAGGAAAGAACATGGAAACGGAAAAGGTGAACAATGCCTGGGAGGCCCTAAGCAAGATCGCAGGCATGTTTCAAAGAGCGCCGATCTTGATACACTCGTTAAACATGGATCTCGTCGTGACGAGGTGAGTCCGGTTGCGCATATGGTGGACAGCTTGACTTAAAAGCATCATCAGCATCATGCCTTTTCTTGGAGACGACTCGACTCAGGCTCTCAGAGCAGCGAGCTACAGGGCACTGAGAATGTGTGTAGATCGAGCCGTATGGGGCGTCATGGTGTCTCTCGGTCTTGAATGGCTTATAGTCCCGTCAGTCTCGGAACTCGATGATCTCGATGGGCTCGCTGACGACACCTCAGAACCTTTACGCGAGATGGGAAGGCTCAATCTGAAAGAGAACAAGCTGTCAGACTTTTACGAGCCATTGTCGCATTGCCACCTCCTCCTCATCATTTGACCCATCGCAAATCACGGCGCGGTCACCAGTCGTCTCGTCCGGGTCATTCCAAGCGACCCTCAATCTCAGGCGCAGAATCCAGACGTCATTCACGTCAGTCATCAAATGCCGCGTACGATCTCGACCCGATTGAGGTCTTGCTGGGCAGGACCATTCCCCTGACAGATGGAATGGTCCGAGCCCTGGTAAGTGTTGCTGAGAATCCCGACGACCCGCTCAGGAATGTCTGTATGGAGACTTTAATCGAGATTGGTGAGTGTGATGCAGATGACAGACGTCTCCCCGCTAAAAAGTCCTTAGCTCTGATCGACATCGATTGCCTGGTTCGATCAGATGCCTTTCGGATCCTTCTTTTGGTATACAAAGACGGTCCCATTGAGCTCGGCCCACCCATAACTACTGCTCTCCTCCACCTCGTTGACAAGCCATCGAGTCGACAATACTTGCTTGCCGGCTCTGATCTCGAAACAGTCCTTGTTGGTCTCACCGAGGAGTATGGAAAAGTCCCTTCCAAGCAGCGTGATAGACACTTGGCAAAATTACAACATTGTCTCGGAAACGTCACCATTCTCCTGTCTTCTTGGCCTGGTGTGCTTTACATGTGCATGGACGATTGCCGGGCCTTCAAATCCCTTCTCAGTTCACTTCAGGCCCCCAGTACGGAAGTTCGAGGGATCGTCCTGGATCTTGTCTTTAGCATCCTCCGTATCAAGTCTCCGCCGTGGATGGACGCGTTCCTTCAAGGCAAACGATTGACAGTATACAACAGGACGAAAGAGGCCACCTCGGCATTACAAGAAGGAATTATCATAGAAGAACCTGCGCCCAAGCTGAATATGGCAGACCAATTCATCGGATTTCTTCTGTTGGTCCTGATCAAGTCTGGTCTCATAGAAGTGAGTGAACAGACTGGATTCAGTACAGATGACTGATACTCAAATAGGGGCTTGTCAACCTCGTAAATGAGTCCGACTTCAATTTGGCCCGAAAGGCGACTCTACTCCTCGGCGAACTCTTGCGCTTGTCCACGCGAATCCTGCCCATGGAATATGCGGCACATATTCAGGTCAGTACAGAAGTCACACATACCCGAATCATCATGTTGACGGCTCAAAGTCCCTGCCACGTCTATTTGGAAACGCCATGTCATTCGCGGATACGGAAAACAGACGTGTTGCTCTCTCTACACTGTCTTCGATCGACAGTCTAAATCGCAACTATAACAGGGCCATTTCGCGAACCACCAAAGCGACTGCCAAGTGGGTGTCTCTCGTTCGCCGGATGAAGCAGGACTAATGAGGTATAAGAAAACACGCCACATCTGAAGACTCGCTGGAACGAGGGAAGCGGCATGTCGAGCAGATCAAACTGCGCCAGATCCTTCAAATGGACGATAAACAATTCCAAGCCATGATCAATGAGACTGGCGTGAGTAGAGACCGCTAGAGATTATCCTGCCTGACTTATGATCCTTGCAACAGGTTCTTCTTGGCCGGGACCACACAAAGTGGAATTACGAGATCATCATGGATTTAATCAGAGGACCTTTGCTGAATCCCAAGCGACTCGATGAGGCCATCAAGGCCACGAAATTCGTCCGAAGGTTGTTCTCATTCTTCCATCCTGCGAACAATCACTTCAGCAGCATCAAGCGGACCAGGGTGAGCCATCCCAGACTCGTGAGATGGAGACCACGAAATGACAATGGCAGCCGAATCACAAATGGGTCCGATTAGGATGCGCTCTCCTGTCCACCATGCTCGCCAATCCTGAAGGCGTGCGCTTCGTATCGGAAGACAAGTTGATTCCTCAATTGAGTGATTGCTTTAATGAGCTCGATCAATACGTCGGAGTACCTAGTATCCAGCCACTTCTCACAAAGGCTCGAGTTGAGACGACCTTGACGTATGGATACTTTGAGATGATCGGGACGCTGAGCAAACACGCCGAGGGCATCAAGTGAGTGGACTCTTGCTCTCATATGGGCGAGGTGCTCACAGTGCGTCCCAGACTACTGGAGAAATTCAAGCTATTTACTTCGTTCTACCATCTGAGCGAGCAACGAGGTCGAGACGACTTGATGCGCATCATCATCGAATGCTTTGACTACACTAGCGATGCACATCCGCGGATCGTCCTCGCCAAGGCGCTCACATCAGCATACATGGAAACTAGACTATTCGCAACGCATCACCTTGCTCGACTGCTTCAAGAAAAATCGTATCTGACTGATTGGGCACTTCAATTGCTCATCACTCAACTATACGATACTTCGTTGGAAGTGTGCGATGTGGCTGTGATGTACTTGGAAGAAATCTGTTCCGACCCTGCTATGCTTGAGAAGGTGGTTCAGTTTCGACCAACCCTTGAGCATTTGGATGAATTGGGGCAACAGCTTTTCATGCGGTCAGTGGAAGACGCACGAGCTGTTCGTCTGAGCTGACTTGATGACAGATTCGTTTCTACGAGCGCTGGGTTTTCGTATCTCCACCGAGCGGGCTACATTGAACGAGAGCTGGAAGCTTGGCTCGAGGTGAGTGAACTTCTTGCTTATGTTATGGCCCTCACACTTCTCCCAAATAGGAACGCAATCTCCTCTACGTGGTGGAGGCAGAGACCTTTATCTCAAAGACTCTCTCCTCTACAGCTTCCGCCGAGGACGACTGGTCAGCCACCTGCTCGTCATCCAAGTACTCAGCTGACGAGGGACATGTAGGATATTCGAAGGCACAGCTCCGACTCACTTTCTGGGCGAGCTCACCAAAACTCCTGAGGGTTGCCAAATGTTGCGAGATCGAGGGATCATCTCTGAGATGGCTGAATTGGTCCGCCTCCATGGGATGGAGTCGAGCGATCAAGGTCTACTCATGAACGTCAAAAGCGCGCTCTGGGCTCTGGTGAGTGCGGCGTGTCATTGTCATGATTCTTACGTCCAATCGATCAGGGAAATATCGGTTCGACGGATGGAGGCTTTCCTTTCCTCGAAGATGAAGAGATCGTTGACGCGATCGTGGAGATCGCTGAGCTGTCTCCGATATTGACAATGAAAGGGTGGGCTTGAGCTCGACGTCGTGTATTGCAGCACTGTAGCTGATTCCATCTAGGACTGCCTTCTTCGTCATTGGTCTATTATCACTGTCGCAAGTCGGGGCGCAGATAATGGAGGAATATGGCTGGGTGGCGTGTCTTGATCCACTTGGCAAAACTACAGGCCTCTGCTATCCTAACGACATTAAGAAGTTCGCTCAGGTGGGTCGAGGACGACGATACTTCGACTTTGGTGTTGCTGACAGTGATCTAGATTGAGCGGTGGGTCCGAGTCGATGCAGACCCGCCTCCTCAATCATGGGGAACATTGGACGAGACGGAACTGGAGATCATGACCTGCATTGCAAAATTGAGCAATTACGTCCTGGCCAGCGGAGCGATGACAAGGTTGAAAAAGTGAGTAAGAGAGGAGAGAGAGCGAGAACAAGTTCCTGGCAACACCCACTGATCCGATCCGCTACCTAGAATACGACTTCGAGAACCTGATCGGTTCTCATCTCTCAACATGTTCCACCGAGCTGGCCGGCTGATCTCAACAAACCATTATCAAGCGCCTGTCAGGCGATTCATTTTGGAACTCTTCGATATCTCCATTGATCAAGAGACATTATGGGCTCTAGTAGATCTAGATCTGGACAATGAGTCGCGCTACGACCAAGCTACTGGCGACCCTTTGCATGCTTATCGAAGGCAGCCAAACTCCCCATCTCGGGAAAAGTACTCTACGAGTAATCGACAGGGATCAGCGACAACTAGCCCTAGCGAGCAACCTTCTATACCGCATCACCTTGATGATGGAGGCGATATGATTGACCCTCATGACTTCCGTCGGAGAGCAGCTAGTTCACCTGGTCCTGCTCCCTCGGGTACAGGTCGAACAAGACGAGATCGAGGATTGACAATCTCAGATATGCAGACTAGGCGAGCAGGTGATGATCAGGTGGTTGAGATGGTTGCTAAGGAGCGCGTCAGAGGGTTTGCCAATCCTCAAGCATGATGCATAGAGTACCATCTCTGCAATTTCCCGCGCTTGCGCGAGCCGCGAATCTCACGATGATCAGAAAGTTGCATAGAGGCTGGAACCAGAAAAAGGAGTAACAAACAATCTTCTATCTAATGAGTGCAGACACGATAAAGACTGTACTCGAACCACGCGGCTTGCACCTCAAGTCGCACACACGACCTTGACGTCGCCTCTGGCATCGCACAAGACGCCGAGACACTTGACCCATTCGATAGCTTCCATCAAGTCTTTCCTGACCACTGCCTTTTCGCCTGCGTGCTTCGCCCCATTGGTTGATACATCTGAAGCGATTTCAGTTGCCGCGCCAGAAACCGCAACCTCAGCTGCGAGAGCCGACATGACGCGCTCAATTTCAGGTTTGATAACTAGCGCGATTCGCTTGGCCCATTCCTCTGCTGGTCCGAATCCACCCAGGACTTGACGTTCATATTCCGAGTGTTTCCATCCCCAAATCTCTGCAGGATGTCGAAGGCGCAACTCATCTATGCTCTTCGTAGATAGCTTTTCAGGGTCGTTTGAGTGCTGCAAAATGGCAGCGTGGGATAAGGCCAAATTGGCTTGACGCAAGAACAAGCTGTAGAGGAGTACGGCTGGCGCATCTTCAATGGCATCATCCAGAGCTTCCTCTTCCACGTCGTCGACATCGTCCCTGATTCGACGGCACGTGGCCAGCAGCCTGGCAGAGGCGGGAGAGGAGCCGTGCATTGCTGCCGAGATAATGCGGAAAGACTCCAATGCCTCAATGGCTTCGTGAAGGGCTTCTCGGGCAAGGTGCTCCGTTGGACTCGGATCGGTTGTCGATCGAGTCGAAGGTAAAACCATGTTGCCAAGAAGACGCTTGACCAGACCTTCGAGAGAGTAGAGAGCATGAGTAGTAGGGTCCATCTTGTGCGATGATCGAGGAGGAGATGCAGCTCGAGAGACAGCTCGCGCAGGAAGCATCGTCGTAAGCTTAGCAGTCACGTGTCCAATCGATGCGGAAGATGTCACGCCTCCACTTGGATGATGAGAGCTTGAAGGGGTCGCAGTGCCTATGGATCCACCACCTTCCTTCAATGCCAGGTTGTTTAGTGCTTTCGCCACGCTGCCGGGACTAGGCGGTCGATGAGATGCCCCAATATCCTTTTCTGCAATCATGCACATGCCCTTCCAGATGACTGTCACCGCGACTCCAGTGACCCATCCTTCGCCATCGTCCGCACAGGGGAAAGCGATGATATGAAGGATGCGATGAGCAGCATCGACTCGTGACGCAAAGTACTGCAGGGAAACTGGGATGGGCATTTGACGCGAGGTGCCGCCCGAAGAAATTTCCTTGGTAAGCCTACCCGGGGCGGTCTCCTTGTTGGCAGCTGGTGCCGTAGTAGGCGCCGGAAGCGAAGCGAGACCTGCAGTCTTTCCAGAGGGAGATGCACCTTCTGTGCGAGTCAGAGCAGCAATAAGGTCTCGCTTGAGCGCGCCAATGAGCGGCTGCACGACTTTGCCGACAATCAGATCAAACTTGTCCATGACGGGTCGAAGCGTCTCATTTACGAATTTAGGCCACGTCCCTGTCTCCAAAGTCTGCTCGAGCCTTTCGCACGTCTCCCAAGCTGCATGAGCGACGGAAATGCTGAAGTATTGCACAGGATTGAGTGGGTGTGAGGTGATGGTAGGTTGATGGAGATTAAGGGGCGAGGCGAAAGCTGGATCCGTGATCGCTGGGAGCAAGAGCGACTCCAAGCGAGTAATGTAGATCGACATGGCCCGAACAGCAGTGCGAAGGACTGCGCGTAAAAGGTACGCATCCGAACTGGGTTGGGGGAGCTCCTTGATGACTGCTTCGCCTACGGCCCAACCAGAGCCAGATTTGAAGCCCTTCTTGGCCCGGAGATCAACTCCGGCACAAGCCTTGTTCACGCTTTCGGTCAGACGCAGGCCGATGACGTCCATATAGCCTGACGAGTGAGCAGAGACATTTTCGCCGGCCGCGGTGGCTCCCGGTGGGCCATTGGGTAATTTTGGCGTCGTCGCTCGACTGCCAGGCGGAGAAGGAACTCGTGGCGTGACTGACTGAGGGGTAGGTGCCGCTTTGGCTGTCATGGCTCCGTTGACTTGGAGCGAAGCCACTCGGTCCGTGACCTGACGTGAAAGTGATTTGGACCTGGGTTTACCAGGCTCAGATGCTGTATGATGTATTCCGACCGAGGGAGGCTGAGCAGTGACATTCATTTTATCGGTGGACGTCGGTGCTGGACTTGAAGGCCTTGAAGGCCGATTGAGGATGGGAAGAGCGCGTAGAGTGTTCATCGTGACCAGGATGATTGGTCGAGAATGTCAAAAGCACAGGCAGATTGGGGCGGCGGGATGAGGCAATACCAGTAAGAGAATGTCGTATAATAGATGATATAGAGGTGCGGGCAATGCACAGGGGGGGTTAGATACCAAAGGGATATCCAGCTTTGGTGAACAATTTATCCCATTGAAGCTTTCACAATATCGGGTGCAAGCTGACAGATGAGTGGGCGATTCTTGGGTGATCAGGCTCTGGCCTGGTTTTCGATGCGTGACAAAAAGACGAAAAATCCAATTAGGGTGGTTTCTCCCCGCTGTCAATGAGGAGAAGGATTTGAGGAGGAAGTCTGAGAAGTCGAGAGGCAATGGAAGAGCTACATGGTGTAAGTGATTGTCGCAAAAAAGGCGGAGTTTCTGGTGGTCATGAATGGAGTGAAGGGGGTCTGAGCTACCCATTGGGTTTGAAAAATTTTCGCCTCGCCTCCCGGACGATGACGAGATAGAGCACACCAGTCGGAGGACAGGCTTCGACACCCCAGCGACTTGAAGGCAAATCTGGCACTCACCTGCCCCTCAGTGTCACAAGAGAATAACCACTATTAGGTAGCTTAAACTTCTTCATCGGCTGCAGTCGATAGTAATGTGTCGAGAGGGTAGTCTGAGACTATGGAAGGAGAGAATATGGGTCCGATGCGAGCGACCAGATACAATGAGATGGGCCGCTGCTGATGCGATTGAGATTGTGTGAGACCTAGAGAGTTAGACAGTTGAGTTGAGATCGAGCAACGGTACGCGATAGACGATAGAAGAATGAAAGTGAGACTGACTGACGAGGCTGATTCGCGGGATTTGAAGAAAAAAGGAGAGGAAAAGATGGGCGGGTTCTAAATCCTAGGAATCAAAAATGAGCAACCAAATGACGATGGGCTGGACAATCAGAGCAGAATGATCGTGAATGCATTACATCTGGCACGTCGATGACTGGATGTATTGTACATCTGATCTGCACGACATCGTACTCATATAGACCATGCACTGCGTTACATACCTACTTCGTCTGATAGTCCCTTGATGCCACTTCCCTCTCACATAATGCCACGTCATTTGAATAACCGGGGAACACGGGAGGTCGTCCCGAGTCTGGAATACAGCAATTGTTGGATGGTACTCGACCACTGGATCCCCTTCCAAGTCTCAGCTCATAGACATCTTCAAATAGGTTGCTGAAGCAAGATGATGCTGCCAAGTCTTCGATCGGCTCTCAGAGCGAATGCTCGAACAACCTCATCCATGGCGAGACGGGCAGTCTCGGCTTGGGCAAATGTTCCTCAAGGGTGAGTGGGGGGTTATGTCAAGTATCGCAACGCGGCAGATTCCGATCATGCTGCATTCGGTTTCGCGCTCGCGACGTTGTCCGCTGACTTTCTACGGTTTAGCCCACCTGACCCCATTCTCGGTGCGTGTACCGACCTCTCAGCAGTATGCCAGCTCTGACCCGGCCATCATCAGGTGTCACTGAAAAGTTCAAGGCTGATCCCAGTCCGAACAAGATCAACCTCGGTGTCGGTGAGTGACATGTTCACGTAGCTGGACACTGCTAACAGTTGCCGTGTTAGGCGCTTACGTGAGTTCCAGAAGGGAGCGCAGCGCAGAATCCTGACCACAACGACAGCGAGATGGAAAGGGAAATCCATTTGTCCTACCTTCCGTCAAGAAGGCCGAGAAGCAGCTCGTGAGAGCCGGCGCGAATCACGAGTACCTACCCATTACGGTCAGCGGATTCCTTGCCTGTGGTGGATACATGCTGAGTTAATGGACAGGGTCTCGCCTCTTTCAACAAGCTCGCTGCTGAGCTTGCTTACGGGAAAGACTCCGCACCCCTGAAAGAGGGCCGAGTGAGTTGTGATTTCAGAAAAACGATCTCCTCGATCGTCTGATCACGCCGCGTAGCTTGCTATCACCCAGTCCATCTCTGGAACTGGAGCTCTGAGGATCGCCGCTGCGTTTTTGGGCCGATTCTACCCTGAATCAAAGACAATCTATGTCCCTACACCAACATGGGGAAACCACATTCCTCTGGCGAAAGACTCGGGTCTCGAGGTCAAGCACTACAAGTGAGCGTCTGATTTGAAGTCCACCTGACGGTGTCCAGGTACTTCGACAAGAGTACTGTTGGCCTCGACTTTGAGGGAATGAAGGCAGACATCGAGGCTGCTCCCGAGGGCTCGATCGTGAGTTCCAGGTCGACCGGGTCGTACTGACAGAACCAGATCATGCTCCACGCTTGTGCTCACGTTAGTCAACTCACCGTCTCTTGACTAGAGACCTATCTGACACTGGCCCACAGAACCCCACCGGTGTGGACCCCACCGAGTCTCAATGGAAGGAACTGAGCGAAATCATCAAGCAGAAGAAGCACTTCCCCTTCTTTGACATGGTAGGCTGACTGATTGGTTATATTTCAGGCTCATGCTGAATCCGTTCAGGCATACCAAGGTTTTGCCTCTGGAGACATTGTCAAGGATGCCTTTGCCGTCAGATACTTTGTCGAGCAGGGACATCAACTTCTTCTGTGCCAATCTTTCGCCAAGGTTAGCGACCAGGAAACTATCTGAATTCACAGCTCATGAGGTTTAGAACCTTGGTCTGTACGGTGAACGTGTCGGAGCTGTCTCGTTCGTCTGTGCCGATAAGGAGGAGAAGGCTCGTGTCGACTCGCAACTAAAGATCATCATCCGACCCATGTACTCCAACCCTCCCATCCAGTGAGGAACTTTGCAGTGTCTGATGGACATATCGCTCACGTACCAATAGCGGAGCGCGAATCGTCAGCGCCATCCTGGGTGACGAGAAACTGTACAATGACTGGTGAGTACCAAAAATCGACACCTCATCAGTCTCCGACTAAGTCTCTCGTCAGGCTCTCTGAGGTCAAGAAAATGGCCGACCGAATTATCAGCATGAGAGAAAAGCTGTACACGAATCTCGTCAAGCTCAACACCCCTGGAGAATGGGGTCACATTAAGTCTCAGATCGGTTAGTCCTCATGATAACTGTCATCTTCACTCCATTGACCTTCAAACAGGCATGTTCTCCTTCACCGGCTTGACCCCTGAGCAAGTTGACAAGCTCGCGGAGAAGGCGTCGATCTACATGACTCGAGATGGACGTATATCCATGGCCGCTTTGAACAAGAAAAACATTGACGTGAGCTATTTATGACGCGCCAAGGGTCTGGCTGACCCGGGTCTTCAGTACTTCGCAAAGGCTGTTTCTCAAGCTGTCAAGGGGGAGTTGTAATGCAGAGCATCTTGATCAAGGCATAGATACATTCAGTCTAGAGAAAAGCATTTTGCATGCATTCGAGAGAAGCACGACGGCTGCCTGGATGGATGGATGCCATTTTCCGGTTAATGCACGAATCAAGCCAGCCGACACAGGTCAAAAATCATTCCATCAGTATCTTCGACAGTATTACTGATCCATCCATCGAACCCAGTCCCGTTCGTGATGTCTTCAGGCAGCTCCAATAACCGTCAGGACCTGATCCAAAATGCCATCCTTTTCCTGAACGATCCCAAAGTCCAATCATCTACCCTCGCCTCCAAGATCACCTTTCTCGAAACGAAGGGATTGAACGAATCAGAAATCCAAGAAGCCCTCGCCAGGGCTCCTAGCGAGGAGAGCAGCGGGCAGAATGGAGCATCTTCTTCGTCAGCGTCGACTTTCAGGCCTTATGGATATACGAATCACAATCAGCGGTACGGTGGTCCACCGTATGAGTACAGCACGATGCCTCTTCCTCCCCGGCGCGACTGGAGGGATATATTCGTATGTCGCAGGGCTACACGGGCACGCTGCCTGACATATGACTGACTCGAGCTCTAGATCGTGGCTGTGATATCGGGTGGGTTTGCGTATGGCCTGACGGCTCTAGCAAGGGTGAGCATACCCTTCTCCCGCTGAAACACAGCTCGCGTTCGGGTGAACACAGTGCACATCAATTTCCTCGCTGACGCCGCCCTCTCGCTCTCTTAGAAATACCTCTTACCGCATCTTCAACCACCATCAACAACGTCCTTCCAGCAGACATCTCAGGATCTCACGTCTTCCTACGATGAAGCTGCTCAATTGTTACGCGAGTTGTCAGATCAAACAAACCAATTGCAAACTTCGCTAGAGAATGACAGGGAGAGGATAGACAAGGTCGTCGATGACGTAGAATTGGCAGTGAAGAGCGTTAAGGATGGTGAAGAGCGCTGGAGAGAAGAAATGAGGGATATGAGAGGTGAAGTGGATAGTTTAAAGGATTTGGTGCCCAGGGTAAGTCGAGGCTTTCCAGTCAACCTGATCGCAGGGCAAGCCCTGGTTCATCCACAACACTCATACCGTGGCTTCGCCTCTGCTTTCCTTGCTGACCCAGTCTCAGGTGATGGAGAAGCACGCGTCGAACCAATCTTCAGCACTGTCAGAATTGCAGAACGAACTTCGATCCCTCAAGACCTTACTACAATCGCGTCAATTGCAGTCGAGCACCGATGCAAATGGCGGGATATCAAGTCCAAATGGGACTAGCAACGGCTCACCGATATCCTCCACTCGAGCAGCTGCCAATGCCCTCCTGGGACCCAGCAAGAGAGGAATACCCGCCTGGCAGCTGGCTTCGTCCTCGTCCACGACGAATGGAGATCGGACCCAAGAGGGCAGTGCGGGATCAGCGAGTGAATCTTCCTCGTTGGCTGCCAGTGGTGTCTTGGACAGGTCGGAGGTCAATGGAGAATCCAAGGAGACGCAGTGACCTAGCCAGTCGGACGATGAGAGCGGCGAAGGTTCAAGCAAGTCTTTAACGTTAAATCGTAAATGCACGCAATGCAGGTGGGATACAGATACAGTATTAACTTCAGCAAAAGGCTACGTCCAGGTTTCTCCAAAGATCCCCTCTTTGCATTAGATCACATCGGAGCATCCTTCTCTATTCAGCTCGCCAGGAGCACGTATGAGAGCCTCCAAGGTACTGTGATACAGGATTCTGTTTTCATGAGAAGGCACCGGTTGTGCGTCCAAGTGTGGGTATCACCGGCCGGACATTGGGTCGCTCTGTGCTACATGGACACGAGTTTCAGCACGAGAAACCCCAAAAATGAATTGGCTCACTGTTAAACGAAACATCCTCGTCGTTGCACACAAAGCTGCCTAGCTCGTACTCGTTCTCACTCAGATCACTCCTCTCGTCATCCGTGACAAGGACGGGCTTCCTCGCCTTGGCCATGAACGCATTCTTGTCACCTCTAGTCTTGAACTGTAGACCTGCACGCGGTGCAGCTTGAGTAGAAAGGCCAGCAGCGTATACAGCACGTTGATTGTATCCTTTTGGAGCTTGAGTAGGGGCAAAGTCTTGCCCCGCGAAAAGGCGATCAGATTCCGTCTCTTCATCTGTGGATGGTTCGTCTGACGAATCTGACCCAGACACTTCTGCGTCAACGTCGAGCTGATGAAATCAAATGTCAGCCCTACCCCAGAAGCGTCGATATCTCACTCACATAGCCCTTTACTTGAGCCGCGTGCGCACGATCCGGAAGACGCCGTCCGGGTCGACGAATCGGACTGGACGGGCCATGCTCAGGCGATCGATTCAGTGCTGGCGGTCTCCGAACATGAGTAGCAGGGACGAACGGCGAGTCCTGTTCTCTCAAGGAATCGGAAGAATGCACAATTGGAGCCCGGCGACGAGCGCCGGGCCTACGAATAACTTGAGTGGGGTCCACAGGAGAAGTATCGGGTGAGGATTTCGGGATAGGCGGAGGAGGCATGATGTCCATACTCTTCGTTTGAGTTGGTTTCGGCCGAGAGATGCCCATTATACGTCGGCGAGGATGAGCAACGAGTGTCTCGGATTGACGAGATGATTGAGGAAGAGCCATTTCAGTCGGGACATCAGGCGAGGAGGGAGGCAGAATCGCTCCACGAGGCAAACCTGAGGCCACGGTTTGGCAAATTGCTTCGTCTTCATCGTTGTCCCAGCTCAGATCGATCGCATCGATTTGGCTGAAACCAGCAGCAGCAGCGAGACTGGAGGGCAGTCTTGTCCCTGCATTCTGCGGGCGAGCGAGTTCAGATCCTGCCTCGCTAGCGTGTCGCCTCTGCTTGGCCAGCGGAATAACCGGGGAAGACTCAACATCAGGTGAACCATGGGCGACAGCCTTGGTCCGATTCTCATTGGGGGTAAAGAGTGGGGAATTTGGCGGACTAGCGAACAGAGGTGAACAATCGCGCCGATGAAATGCAGACGACGGGTCAACGTTGAAAAAGTCCAATGCTGATCGATTCAGCTCGTCTCGTTTGGCCTTCCTTGATTTCTCTTCCTCGTCCAGCCTATCGATACTGGCATCTCGCTGAGTAGTACGAGACGAATTGCTCTTCCTGACAGCACCTCTGGGTCCAGCTTTCTTGACTTTCGCTGCAGTCCTCCGTGACTGAGACGTGACTTTGGGCTTGACCGCACCGTACAGGAGCTCATGGTTCTCCTCGACATCTTCATCTGAGTCGTCCGCGGACGGTGCAACCGGCGCATCAGATCTCTTGGTGGGGATTTTACCCCTCGTCATCCCGTTGACGGTGACCTCTATTTTCCCGGCCTTTCCAGATTCCTTCAAGAGCTCCGCTACGGATCTGAAACCCTCGTGGCCACCTTCAGGGATCTCATGACCTCGGTGCTTCTTCTTGGCCGGCGAGGTCCTCTCCTTGGAGGCAGATGGCAGTTTTCTCTTCAACTTTTGATCTTCTGGGTCCCATGGGTCGACAGGCATGAGTTGTTCCAGACACTCTGGGAGTTCCGGACCTGGCAGCAATCGTTCAACATCCTCAAACAGCTCGAGATTTCGCGAGTGGAGAATCTCCTCTTGAATGTCTCGATGGCTTCTTTGGGCCTTGTCCCAATTGGCGTCTTCTCTCTCTTCTGACATGAGGACGTGAACTTTGCCGTCCCTCTTTCGCCCGGTTCGACCGATCCGCTGAAGCTGCTAGATGTGAGCCAAAGTCATCCTTGAATCTACCGATCTGCGTACCAGTTTGATAGACTGCTTCGGCATGTCATAGATGACGACGAAATCGACTTCACCGATGTCGAGCCCTTCTTCACCAATCGATGTGGACACAAGGACATTGAATTTGCCCTCCTTGAAGTCGGCGATAGTCTACAAAATGTCAAATCTGGGATCTCTGAAAATATGGAAGACTCACTTTCTTCTGCTCTTTCTGGTTGAAACCCTTATCTGCTTCCTGTTTACCTTGTGACTGGCCGACGAATTTCGTAGCTCGCAACAGCCCAGGATGGTCATTCAGCATTTCCTGGGAGACTGTCAGCTCGCACCTTCAAGCTATGCTCCATACTCACCACAATCTCCATGACACATTCTCGAAAGGAGCAAAACACCATAGCCCTAGTATCGTTCTTGACTCCATGGACCTCTTCATCCTCTTGAGCTTCAGTGAAGTGATGAATCAGCTAAAATTGGTCTGTCAGCGGTGCATGTTCATAGCTTGAAAGCGATATATCCACCAGTTCCAGGGTCTTGACCATTTTCGGATGTCGATCTGCTCTGGTCTTGCCTCGCTGACCAATCCGAATGCTGTTCATCTCGGCATCGACGTCGCGCAACAGTCTGGTAAACTCGTAATTATTCCGCAATGCGTTCGAGTTGCCCTTGGTGGATGCTTTCTTCCCATTGGCATTGACTCCACCGGCAATATCTTGCAAGGTGGTGTGAAACATGCCCAAGGAGAATTCGAGCTGTCGATGTTAGTTGCCCCCAACGAATTCATGTCGTTGACGACATACCAGATGTCCCATGGCACGAGCCATCTTCTCGAGTGCCTGCAACGATCCGAAGCACCATTTCAATGACGAATGGCGGTCTCTTGCGATCTCCATTCGCTTTGCAGTCAATCGGAATGGCTTGAGCCGCTTGACATCAAGATCCCGTTCGTTCAGGATGTCCTTGTCGACTAGCTTTTGGACGTAGGGCTGTGACATCCGCGATCAGTTCAGAGCAAGAAACTAGTCGTCTGTCGCTCACACGCATCAGCGCTGCCCAACGATCCCTAAATCCCTCGATGACTTCGCCCATGAAAACAGTATGCTTTTCAGTCCGCTGCGATTCCAAGTCAGTTCCTGCCAGCTTACCGACGGCAGCGCAAGCTGACCTTCTCATTCATATATTTTCTGATCTCTGGCTCTTCTGCCTCTCTGATTTCTATCCGACTGATGTGCAAGGCATCGACGACAGCTTGGACGCGCGGAACGTCTGCACCGGGCGTGGCAGTCAGGGCCAGAACTCTAAAGTATGGATTCTGGGCAGTGATATAGGCGAGGATGGTAGTGTAGGCATATGATCCCGAAGCCTTATGAGCCTCGTCTGCGAACGAATCAGTAGACGGTTTGACAGGTTAGTATGGATGACTTGCCAAAGACGACAAGAACGATATCCCTTGGGTCGATGGCGCCTGTTTTCAGATCGTTGTCCAGAGTCTGTGGTGTGCAGTAGAACACCCTCCGGTCGGCCCACTTGAAGCTGTGCTTCAGCGGTCGAATCTCGATTCCAGCCAGGGCTCAACTCACTAACTTGACCCGCTCCCTTGCCGGCACACTTTGACCTGTCATCACAGCTGCGGCAGAGCTGGGAATCCCACAGGTCATCTGACAAGCCTCAATCTGTTGGTTGACAAGCGGCTTTGTAGGAGCCAAAAAGACAATCTTCCCAGTCGGGAACCATCGGTAGACTGAACGAAGGGTTAGCGATCTTTCTTCGCCCGAAAAATGCAGCTCCTACAATTGAGCATCACGACACCTGCAACGAAGGTCTTTCCAAGACCAGTCGGCAACGCAACTAGGCAATTATCGGTAAAGCAAGCCCGAATGATATCCCACTGATAGTCCCGCTTGGGCTTATTCGTGGGGTAGATATAATTCTCCATGGTAGTAGGGTGTGGCATGTGTTTCTGAGGACCGTAAGGAGCACCTGTACATGTGGTGAGGTCATGAGATAGCTTGAGCATATTTGGACTCACTCGTATCGACTAGAGGCCTAGGTCCCGGTACTAGTGGTTCATCGTCTTCATCATCATCATCGTCCAGATCCTCATCGTCATCATCCTCCTTTGCCCAATTCCGAGCCTTGTATTTGCCCTTTTTCTTTGCTCTCTCAGCATCTATTCTTCGTCCGCTCTCTGCAAATACCGTTCTATCCCATCTTTTGCCTTTTGTCGTCTGATCGGCACGTCGGAAGTTCAGGTGAACCTGGAACAAGTTGTCTTTACTCGTCGAGCTGTTCGACCGTCTCATTCCTAAACGCGAAGATGGGATAGCCAGTGCACCATTGAGGGCGGGAGGAGCCAGCGAAGCTTGACCTAGCTTCGACGACAAGTTCGGCCGTGAAGAAGGGGCTTGAGGGAGATCCAACGCCAGCAGAGCATCTGTATCCATGGAGAAATCATCGAAATCGTCTGAGGATGGAATGATAGCCTCGGCACGCGTTGAAGGAGTTGGTCCAGCTGGACGAGTCCTCGAGCCCGAAGCCACATTGTTTCGAGGTCCACTCCATCCTTTCGAAGCTCCACCATTCAATTGTTTAGAAGGATGAATAGGGTCAATGGCTTTCGCCTCTATCGTATCGACCTCGCGCAAGAATGAATCATCCATCAAGAAATCATCGTCGTCAAAGTCGACATCGGACATGTTGTCAGCCAAGACTTCACGCGATTCGCGCAAAGAGATGGCGGACAAGAAGCGGCCATGAGCCTAGCTAGCTAGGTTCTTTCCCAGCCTCGTGGATCCCAAGTCCAACAAGATCTCAGTGGCTACTATCCAGTTAATGATCGTCCTGAACTCAAAAATCAAGCGCCTAATCAACAACAGTCAATCCTCCCACGTGGCGATCGCTATCGGGGCTCACCGAACTATCGGGCCGGGTGGGGGAGACCAGCGACTCACCAGCTTTATTATCTTTGTCTCGACTCATACACAGGGACCATCACAATCTGAGCATGACTCGCCTCGGCAGTATGGATCCAGCAGAGCAGAAACATAACTGTAAGCTGAGCTCACACCATGCAAGGCTGAGCCATCTTTCGCAGTCTTCTTCTACGGGACCTTGATGGTGCCCGCCATCCTGGAACGAGTTCTGCGGCATCCGACGGATCATTTGACCTTTGAGGATGCCATCCTACCGGTCAGTCTTGAGGTTGATAGTCAGAAAAGGTGACTGAACTGATGTGGGCTCAGGGCTTCACGCGGCACTGTGTCAAAGGCCAGGATTACCCAGCCGTCACCAGTGTCGAGCAGAGCCACGAGCTCATGGCGTCCACTGGGTGAGGTTCTTGATGCAAGGAATGGGCACATTCTCGGACATTCGAAACCATGGAAGTGAAAGCTGACGGAGTTTACTCAGTCCATTGGACGCAAGAGACATGGACACTCGGGGAACACTGGTCAAGGGGTTATCCTTGAAGGATATTAGACCCTTGGACCTGTTTGAGGATATTGTACGCTTTGCATGCTTCACAGCCAGGAAAGAACACTGAAATCCTTTGAGCGCAGGAATACACTCGTGTCATGACGACCGTACACGTCCTTGGTCCATCCACCGTTCTACAGAGCCAGCCCAAACATTGGACTGGGGTGTCACGTTCCGAAGAGGCATGGGTCTACATCTGGAACGAAAGCCTATCGTTACTAGACCCGAAGATATGGAGGTATGTCGTTACGTCGGCGATCGCTCTGACGACAACCTCCAGCTTTGAAGATTTCCTGAGAGACAAGGCACATCTGTGGACAGGGTCAGAGACCTCGGAATTCTTTGAAGACTCTGCCAAGTACCACAATCCTAATGCCGCGGTGCAAGATAGCGCAAGCGAGGTGATCATTGCAGGTCAAAAAGTCGAAGGATATCCAGACTTCGGACATGGCATGCTGAAGTTCTGGCTGTTTCCCAGAGAGTGTGAGTTGGCATCCTTTTCACACCGATGAAGTATTGTTGACGAGGATTAGTGACTTATTTAAACAACGGTCAGTCACCCGACAACAACGATACAGCCCGACTGAATTTGCCCTTCAGGAAGCTATGGAGCGACGCCTATCCCCGTCATAGAAGCCACTAAGCGATTACACGAGCAGATTGAGCAGTTTCCCGACCTGTTCATGAGAAGGTCGTGGTTGCCCTTGCTCAACAACTCCCGCTCGCAGGTCGCAAAGATCATCAATGCCAAATATGATGAGGTGGTCATCGTCAAGAATACCACTATGGGTATTAGCACAGTCACGGACAATATCGACTGGCAAGACGGCGATGTCATTGTGATCTGTGCGTGCTTTTCTACTGTTATTTCCGTCGAATTCAAGGACTGAAAGATTCCCATAGACGATACCACCTATGGAGCCATGAGCCAGATGATGAAATGCGTCTGTGACCGTCACCCTAAAGTCAACCTCGAAATCATAAAGGTCACGCAACCGTGCTCTCATGCCTCTGTCGTGAAACAGACAGAAGAGGTTCTCGCCAAATACAATGAGGCGGTCCATCAGAACCCCTCCGACGCCAGGGCTCCGAAAGACAAAAGACAGGGGCAGAGGGTGCGGCTACTCCTCATCGATAGTATAGCGTCAAATCCTGGGTAGGTCACCTTGTGATTTCGTCTCGTCTCCGCTGAAGCATCCGCAGCGTCGTTATGCCTTGGGAAGATGTCGTTGGCTTGTGTCACAAGTATGGTGTACTGAGTCTCGTCGATGCCGCGCATTCCATCGGACAACAAAAGCTGGATGTTAAGCGATCGGATCCTGACTTCTTGGCGACAGTGAGCTGCTGCTTTATTGACGTTGTGCACCTGCTAAGTTCCACTCAGAACTGTCACAAATGGCTCATGTCGTGAGGCGGGCTGTCCTGTGTTCGCAATTAATATTGACCCACACCCCAGACATCGTGGCAGCGCAGTTTTCTACGTGCCGTTGAGGTAATATTGATTCAGTGGTTATAGTATCGCATCACTGATTGCCCGGTAGAAACCAGCATCTCATTCGTTCCTCGAACCCAACATCTGCAGGGTACGAGTCACGCAGGTTCCCGACCGAGGGGGTCAACCGACCATGGGAGTTCGCGAAGCAGGTCTGTCAGGCTCTCCATTCCCATCTTCCGCGCTTACAATGCTGGCTACGCACAGTGGGAGTGGAACGGTACACAGGACTGGGCTCCGTTGATGAGTATCGCTCCGGCTGTCGAGTTCCGTCGATCCATCGGAGGTGAAGAGCGCATCATGGAGTACAATCACTCTCTAGCCATGGAGTGAGTCTCACGCGTGCTCATCTATACATGACTGACCGCGAGCAGGGGTGGCAAGCGAATAAGCAAACGATGGGGTACAGAATTGATGGAGAATGAGGATCCCAAAGATGGTGTCCTGACCGCTTGCATGGTGAGACAAAGACCGGCGTGCCTAGTTGCGAAGCTCATTTCGACATGTTCAGGTGAATGTCGCTCTTCCTGACTTCCCACCTGCCAAGTCGGTCGAAGAAGAATTCGAATTGCGAAAGTACTTTGAGCAAGGCTTGCTCGATGAAAATGTGTTTGCGCCGCCTGTTAGTCCCGAGGTTGCAGAGTTGTAGAATGACAAACTGACATTCTGACAGTATCTCCACGCTGGCAAATGGTGGACCAGATTCTCGTGCCAAGTCTGGAATGAGGTGAGCTGCACGGTCTTGAGTCTGTGACATGCGCTGACGACGACTAGTTGAGCGACTTTGACAGGACTGCTGAGGTGTTTGAAAAGCTGTGCGAGGGTGTCAGGTGAGTGGAGGTATCTGATGAATGAGCCAGACGGCTGACCCCGATGTTTGAAAATTGACAGGCAAGGCAAACATCTCGATATCCACGTTGCGCCTACAGATACGCTCCATGAAGTCGGCGATCTGGCTTCTCAGGCAGATATTTAGACGGAACTCGTCTCAGGGGCTTATCTTGAATAAAGTGGGCCATCCCCATTGTACAGCATGCATATTGTCTGCCTTTAGCCCTTACTTAGTGTGGTGGATTCTCAGTTTACCGGGAACGTGAACGTAGTTGTTAGCTGATGAGAGAGTCAGTTCAGGTATTGTATGATGGCACAGCTGGATTCACCATAGTTCTTTGGGGGGATCTTGGTTTCCTTTGGAGGGATAATTTGATAGCTCCATCCTTGCTTTGTGGCCTGAGGACCACATGAGCATGATCAGAGAATGAAACGAAGCGGGGCGTCAAAGGCAACGCCTGACTCACAAATGCGACTGCCTCTTCCATAGTCTTGAAAAACATATTTGTCCCTTGCATATAATCTCCACTTGCTGCCCAACCCATGAGCGGGTTCGTCCATCTTCCAGCTCCGGCCAGAGTATCCCAATCAAGGACCCATCGGTGAGTCTTCCCCTTGGCAGATTGCATAGTACTCTTGGTAGGTTTGTATATCCTCACTTGACGGTGGAGCATGGCCTCTGTCGGAGCAGAGATGGGTCATTTTAGACACGATCGAAAATGACAAGGTCGCGCGATGCTCGACGTACCCGGTGCACCTGAGACTGTCTCCGCGGTAATCTCCGTCTCGTCCATCCATTCCGTCATGGGTCCAGGAGAAGCGCCGGCGACTACATCCGCAGGATGAAAATCGCCATGAGCTGAAGGATCAGGGTTGGCGGGAGTAGGAATAGCACTGGTGCTTGAAGATCCAGAGCTGGTCGCATTAGTCCGACTCAGAGAGATTCCAAGTAGACGAGTCTGACGAGCAGCTGGGAGTGTCCTTGTAATGCTCCTGAACGACATCTTGATAGCGATGTCTTATAACACTAGATAGAGCAGACCAGACGGTCGGCAGCGAACGGGCTGTCGATATCCCCTTCGCCTAGCTTGGAGGTAGGCTCAATTAATGAACAATCCTCTGACCCGGACTTCGGATCGCATTACGAGATCCCGTTGAAATTTCAAGTCCACTTTCATCCTTCATTGGTGCTTGACAGACGTTGCTGAACTCGATTTAGTAGGATACACCATGAGGCTAGACGCTACAGATCTGCGATTCGTCACACAAGAAGAGTTCAAAGTTCTCTCAGCGGTGAGCCCAATCCCACGGGGAGCAGTCCGATTGACCACCATTTCCAAACGCTAACATAATCCCAGGTCGAGGTCGGCTCTCGGAATCACGAAGTTGTACCGACCCCCTTGATAGCAGAGCTGTCATCTATACGGTCTGGAATCGTCACCAAATGCCTATCATCATTAAGCAAGAGAAAACTCGTGGCTAGGGTACAAGGAGCAAAGTGTAAGTCTGTCTCAACGTCCCGACTTACGTACAACCTACAACTGACTTGTACTGATTTCTCAGATGATGGGTACCGCTTGACATACGGTGGGCTGGATTATCTCGCTCTCAAGACCTTCTCTAGGCGAAAACCGGCAACTGTGGCTGGTGTAGGGACCAAAATAGGTGTAGGGAAGGAGAGTGATATCCATCTTGTACAGGATGAAGCGGGGAAAGAGAGGGTATTGAAGATGCACCGGTGAGCGAGGCCTAGGATAGAGAGCGGCGCCTATTTATTTGGCACTGACCGTTCCTTCGTGCTCAGTCTCGGTCGAATCAGTTTCCGTGCTATCAAGGAGAAGCGAGACTATCTCGGTAACCGGAAGAGTGCGAGCTGGATGTACCTCTCTCGCTTGGCTGCTCAGAAGGAGTACGAGTTCATGAAAGTGGGTCAGATAGGCCTCAACAATGTGATGCGCGCTCTGATCATTCCTGATCCGTTTTTTTTTCAGATCCTGTATAATAACGGATTCCCTGTACCTGTCCCCATTGACCAAGCCAGACACTGTATCGTCATGTCTTTGATCGACGCCTATCCATTGTGAGTATGGACAATTGGGCCTCGATGATATCGCCTTTGGCTGATCTACCACCTAGACGTCAAGTGGATGACGTACCGTCTCCAAGTACATTATACGCTACACTCATGGCCTTGATCCTACGCCTTGCACATTGCGGACTGATCCATGGCGATTACAACGAATTCAATATTTTAATCCACCGCAAGACTGGAGAGCCAACGCTGATCGACTTTCCCCAAATGGTCAGCACCAGGCACCCCAACGCGGAGTTGTGAGTACTTCTCCAAGAGTAACATCACTCTATACTCATGCCTGTGCACAGCTTCTTTGACCGGGATGTCGAGGGCATCAAACGTTTCTTCAAACGCAGATTCAGATTTGAGCCGTCTTCATGGCCGAGGTGGAAGGACGTTCTGGCGGGACCAGACTTATCCGAAACTGGTGGAGCGGATACCGAGCAGAAGGCGGAGAGCTCACAGATGGCATTGTACCCAAGATTGGACGAGCAAGTCGAGGCGAGTGGCTGGAACAGCAAGGGCTCACAACAACTGGAAGAAGTGAGTGGAGTTTTCTGTGACCTCGCGTCATGTCCTGACAAATACGCAGTACTTTGCCTCCATTGCGGACATACCCGAGGAAGAGTGGGATGGGGATGACGACGATGATGACGATGGTGACGATAACGACGAGGACGACAACGAAGAGCGAGTGGATGGAGAGGCTGTGTGGGGGAGTGGACAAACAGCTGAGGAGGTGGAGGATGCTCGAGATGCTTCCAGCGATCGGTCACATGAGCAAGATCCGAGCAGTGAGGATGAGGAGGCTCGAACTCGCAAGACCGCTGCCCGGCTGGAGCAATTACGACTGAATAGGGCGTTGGGAAATGATGAGCCTGAAGATATAGCCCTGGATCCTGAGGCGGTCAAGAACAATTCCGCGAGGGATGATTCGACGGAAGAGGAAAGCGGGGAAGGTGAAAGCGAGGAAGATCCAGAGAACGGGGAAGAAACACTACAGTCCTCTGCGAAGTCTGGCGGCGTGCGGAATTCCAGACCTCGGCCAGCTGATAAAGGATGGAAGCAAGGAGGTATCAAAGACCGCTTGGAGAGGGAGATTCGTGGGACCAAGACTGGACCGGGTTCCGGTGAAGGACGGGTGAAAGCTGGCAAGGCCAAGGGGCATAAATGGAAGAGCAGTGAGAAGTATTTGGTCGACAAGAACAGCGGATGGTGATGGGAGGACTCAGGCAATATGGCATGAGCAGCGTTGAGGCTTGGTTGATGTGCTGATCCTGCAAAGATCATTGCAGATCACGCAATCGAATACGAGAGAGCATGCACAGCTTTACCACACGGCTGCTCCATTTTGTGCGCCGCTCCATAGCGAGCTGTCGGAGATCTGGGACTGCATGACACCAAAGATCATGACCAGCTTACGTTGGGTGTGGCGATCTTGAAAGATGCTGCTTCTGAGACGAGCAATCACTACTCATAGCATTGCCACCGAGAGCTCCTCACATGCACAACATGGATGACACCGCCATCGCTAAAGACGAGAGGGCATGATGCTGGTGAGCCTCTAAATTATAACCTCCATTGTGCCCCCATCCATAAGCCACCAGGACCGTCTGCGTGAGCTTGGTGCAAGATACCGAAACGGACAACGAAGACGCAGTTTGAGCACCGCTGCCCGACAATCAGACCTTGTTCTCACGCAAAAAAGAAAGATGGGGACGCTTTAAGCTGTAGTGGGAGCGTTGCAACATGTCGTCGAAGATCCCGCTGGATGAATATTCTGCATCAGGCTGTATCCCGTTCGACAATTGATGCAGACTCACCGTTTATCGCATTGTCAGCGCAGCTCTTCTGCGCGAAGAGGGTGAAGGAGCCTGTGCTCGTGTAGTCGGAGGTACCCGGAGAGCCTTCGTAGACATAACAGGTTGCTGGATTTTCTGCAGAATTAAAGGCTCCAAAAAATTGAGCTGAGTCTATCGTCAGTTTTTCACGAGGCAGATGACATTCGTCAAGAAGAAGGATGAGGAAGCCCGGTAGAGCCAGTGAAGAAGGGAGGGACGTGAACCGATGAACTCACTTCCATAGGTAGTGTCAACATATGCTATGCAGTCACTCAAGCTTGAGACGACTGTATCGTCGTAAGCGCCCTCTGTGGGTGCCCCCACATTCATGTACACTGCGTGGGGCTTGGGCGGCCCGGATGAGAAACCGGGGCAATAGTCGTATGAAGGGCTCGTGGAAGCGCCTGATGTTCTTGGTCGCAGGCGATCTGAACGTGCGAGCTGTTGCTGTCTCTTGACGATTCCTGCTCGGCTAGCCTGCTTGAGAGCTGTTCCACCCGGCAGAGGATTCGCGGCTGCCCCCGAGTCTCTCGAGAGCTTTCGGCTGAATGTCAGGCCCTGTGCAGACTGCCCATAGAGTGCGAGGGCAAGGGCACACAATGTCGTGAGTCGGATCATCTTTAGTTCTGGTTTCTGTGCGGGCGGGGTGGCCTGGTCCTTGTTGATCAGACGTAAGAGATGGAATATGTGTGGAAGAAAGATATCCATATGGAAGAAAGGTGTCCAGGTTGTTTGTTTACATAGTGAGCTTTAGATAGATCTATGACAGGAGGCAAGAGTGGAACCGAACATCCACAGGATGCATGACCTGTCAGAAGGAACCGTCTCGGTCAGTATTGGGATCTGAGCTCGATACCTCCTCAACGGCGAGCAAGAAGGAATATGACCATCCGATGTTCAATTTACGCCACGAATGGAGAGGGGGACACGTAATGACAGTTGAAAATCAGTCACGTCCCATGGTATAAAATCTCCAATGCTGACCTCTTGCCCGTCTGATGGGCATCTGAGTTGTTGAGCATATCTCTTGCGTCACACGGTGCCTGATGGCGAGAGTATGGTAAGAGATCCGACCGCTAATCTCTTCATACTGGGGCCGGATTCAACGACAAAAGCATAGTCATTCATTTCGTCCGAGTTCTTTGCGCTAAAGAATCACATGAGAGGGTCTAGTAATCAAACCATCCAAGAGGCTCTCCAGTTGTGAAGATCGCTCCACCCTCCTCGGAGGGTCGAGTATCGATGGAATGGAAGGTAGCTTCGGTGGTTGGACTGGCCTTGTGGCACCGAACTGCGGTAGATTGTCAAGGTGTGATTCTGCCTCTGCCGCTCCGGTGGAGTCGAACGTACTGTGAATACATCTCCCTGCCTCGAGCTCTACTTCGCCAATGAAGTCTTCGCCCATAGGTCGCTGAACGGTAAAATATCGCAAAGGATGGTAGTACTGAGAGAGAACGGGAATCAGTGTTTAGCCATTCTGTTGAAACTCACGTCGATACCCTTTTTGCCTTCATCAGTGACGAGGTCAAGCGAGGCGAGTTCTTTCAGACCGTGTCGCTTGTCATCGCTTTCAGAGGAGTTATCAGCTGACACGCCGCTCAAGTTGGTGGGTCCAAACTTACATGGCAAGTTGATTGATCTTGACCAAGACATCATGCCTGACGTGCTTGCCTTCAAACACTGCCAATCCTTCGGTGTCCATCTTCTTCACGGGCGTGGCTTGCGAATCGGGTGGGAGAGTAGAACGATGAAGGTGTTCTTCAGCATGGGAATGACCACCTACACCTAGTCCCGTCGCTTCCGCCGCTTGACCCGCCAAGCTGGACACTTGGGTGGTAGCTTGGGAAGCGAGATCGGCAGCTACACTAGCAGCTTGGCTGGCGGCGTTCTGGATGGATTGCATGGTGTGAGTAGACAATTGTTGCGATTTGAAAGCTCGAGGTTCGAGGACACAAAGGGAAGTCACATCAAGAGGAGGTCCAGCTCAGCGTTCAAAGGTACTTTTGTAGGCTCGAGCACCCAATGACGACATTTTACAAGCGGAGGAACTCTATTCAAACTCACAATGAGCATGTCCGAGCAATGCTTCGAGAGGTTGACAGAATCAGATGATGCACAGTGTATTGAGCAAGGGATGCTAGGTTATCGCATTCTCGCAGGACCCTCTCTCTACTCCAACCAGGGCGGGTCCCACATGTCCCATCCTACTAGGTGAGGAGTGCGGAATGTTGCGATACATGCATAATATATGTGGCGCGGGGTTTGCGCGCCTGCATGCTTGGCGACCTAGCTGTGAGATGGGCTCAGTCTTCAAGATATGGTTCCCACGCAGCGAGATCGCATACTATGAGACTGATGAGCTGTGGCTGTTCGGGCCTTGTCAGCAGCAAATCCATCATCACTGGCTCCCCGGCTCTGTTCGATGACAAGGTTCCTCCCATCTGCCCATGCCACGTGCCAGCCTCCGTTCGTCGCGTCGGTTTCAAATTCCGAGGCCAGAAAGGACGTGTTTCAGAATCATGTTCAGCTATCAGCTATCAGCTCGCTGGAAATCCAGTATCAGAATGGTGAGTATGGATCGCTGTCGATGGCTCTTCCATGCTGATATGATTCCCCGGCTGCTCACTCTCAGCCCAGGTGTATGTATATCTCAAGCTGTATCGCATGTGCCATGTTACACTGATCAGTGCCAAGACTTTTTACAACCTCTGAGAGAGCTTCCTTTTGGGGGAAAGGGGAAGGTGGTGAAATGATTTGAAGGACTCGGCAAGGGGGCGAAGGGAACGAGGGCTCATGGCAGGTGGATGGCGAGACTGATCATCTATAGCATCACCACCACCACACTGTTCAACGCTCGCTGGTCGACGGGTCGGTATTTTGTGCTCCTCTGATCATTCTCTCTCTTGGACCTCTCTTTCTCCACTGCCCAGTCCTCTCTTGCCGAGTGATCAGATTCTGAGGCTGTGAAAGGGTCACTCCTTTTGCCTTGTCTCTGTAGTTTTCTCTTGGTACTCGCTCGCATCTGGCTCCTCTGCTGGTCAAAGAAAGATCGAGTCTGTGTTTTCTAACGCATCTTCTCTCTCTCTCTCTCTCTCTCTCTCTGCCTTGCTTCCCGTGATCTCACTAGAACCTGGCAGATCAAGACTTAAGTCTACCGGTGAGTATCTGCATCGACTTGTAGCGTTTCCTTCGTTCTGATCGACTTCTCTCATTCGAAGGATCCTCTCAAGGTGCTTGTCTGACCCATTCTGCAGACTCATCCGTCCCTCAACTGTGCAATGATCTCATCAACACTCATTTCTGTCTTTTCACTCCTTGTCTCTACCACATTCGTTCATGCTCAGACACGACACTCCAATATACCACGACGACCACACGAAACTCAGTCCGAGCACGAACATTATTCCAATCCCAATGCCAGGGCTCACACATCTCATCGTCATCATCGACCTCGGGCACCTTATAACCCTACCAATCCACATCGAGGCCTCTTATCACGATCCATCACCCAAGATGTCGCCACAGCCTCCGGAGCAAGCTACGACTTCATCATTTCCGGTGGCGGATTAGCTGGTCTCGCAGTCGCTGCTAGATTGAGTGAATGGAGCAATGTCACTGTTCTGGTCGTCGAAGCTGGACCATCAGGAGATGAACATCAGGATCAGATCAATATCCCTGGTGAGTGGTTGTTCCACGATTCACGGAGAGATGAGATGGGATGGGATGAGTGATTGATCCGATTCTCCAGGATACAGCTATCTACACTCCCTTGGAGGAACCATCTACGATTGGAATTATACGACAGTGCCACAGGTGAGCAGTCTTGAACCAACCCTGGAGAGTTCCACTAAGCCTTTCATTTCATAGGCGGATAGCTTGGACCGCGTCGTGAACTGGCCGCGCGGACGAGGTCTTGGCGGATCCGGTGCAGTGAATGGACTGTATTGGTGTTGGGCAGCAAAGGAGGAATATGACGCTTGGGCTGGTGAGGAGAGAGTGGATGGGCTATCATTCGCGCTGACTGTCTGCCCGTAGAGCTCAACCCTGATGGCGATCAAACTTGGGATTGGGACGAAATGTTCAAATACATGAAGAAGGCAGAGACATTCACAGATGCGCCAGCGACCACCAAGCAGACCATGGGTATGGTCACTGAAATGTCCAATCATGGTACCTCTGGACCCATCCATATCGGGTGAGTACACCGCACTCTCCTTCGAGTCGTCCTAACGCCGACGCCCGAAACTCTAGCTTCTCTCAGTTCATGTACGACGCTGTCAGTGCCTGGCTACCGTCCTGGGAGGCGATGGGCCTAAAGTCGATGGACCTGTTTGGTGGAGATACTCGTAGGTCAAGTCTACCGAAAAGCATAACTCACCTCGATGTAGGCGGGGCGGCTATCACTCCATCCACACTGAACGCAAGAAATCAGACGCGATCGGATGCTCGAGCAGGATACATTGATCCACTTCCACCACGAGATAATCTAGTCATTCTTACTGGATACCAAGTCACCGAAGTTCTGTTCAGCCAGACCGACGATGCGAATGGGAACAAGGTGGCCTCTGGAGTCAAATTCTCGGCTGGACCAGGACAGCAGGAGCACTTCGTCCAAGCCAACAAGGAAGTCATCCTTAGGTGAGAGATCCTCGGCAGACGAGACACTCACACCCACCTTCAATAGTGGCGGTACTGTTGGATCACCTGCTCTGCTCCAACTATCCGGTATCGGTCCGCAAGACAAGCTCGCAGATGCTGGCGTACAGACCAAGATCGACCTTCCTGTAGGCTACAATCTTCAGGATCACTTGTCATGGTCCATGTACTTTTCTACCCCGTAAGTTCTTTCATGCCACTACGATCTCCCTGCGCTAAAATACGTGGCGCAGGCCAAACACACCCACTTGGGGTGACTTGCAGAACGATCAGGCGCTTCAGGCTGAGCAGCTAGCACAGTGGCGCGATTCTGCCACTGGCCAGTGGACATTTATCAATGAGGCCATCGCATGTGAGCAGCGTCGCGCACATAGCAAGTAGGGCAACTGAATACGACCCTCCTCCAGTCCCTGCGCTGGGCGATCTCATGACTGCTTCTGGTGCCCGAGACTACGCTGCGAATGTTCAGGCCGCTCTCTCCAAGACTGCTGCCGATGTCACTTCTTGGCAGGTCCTCCCTCAAGGCGTCTCGGCGTCTTTGAGCAAGCAATACGCGATTCAACAAAGATGGTTGACCACTGGAGTTGGTCAAATAGAATACTTACTGACCATGCTCGGTCGGAACGGCGCAAAAGACCAAGTCGGCATTCAAATGGCCTTGCAACATCCTTGGAGTCGAGGGAGTCTCTTCATTAATTCGTCTGATCCGTTCGCGCCGCCAGCCATCAATCCAGACTATCTCGGCGTAGGATACGATATCGACCTGATGGGCTACGCTGCCGAATATGCTCGTAAGCTGGCCAAGATTGCGCCAATGAGTCGGTTGGCAATCACCGAGACGTATCCAGGAGCTTCAGCCACCGGCGATGCTCTCGCCAAAGCGACCCGAGAATCGTGTACGACAGAATATCATCCGCTTGGGACCTGCTCAATGTTGCCGAAGGACGAGGGCGGAGTGGTAGATACGAACCTCATCGTGTATGGTACTTCCAACGTCCGAGTGGTCGACTCCAGCATCATGCCACTTCAGATTTCTGCTCATCTCATGGCTTCGACTTATGGGATAGCAGAGAAAGCGGCGGACATCATCAAGCAGAAGCATTTCGCAGTGATCAAGCCCTCTTCGTCCGATGCCACTACCTCAGTGACACCGAGCAGTATTGCAAAACCTGGGGTGGCGACGGACAAGACCATCGTTGATGGACAGAACAATGCCAAGTCCGGTGCTAATGCCGACGGGATGAGCATGATTGCGAAAGTTGGTATTGGTGTCGGGGCTGGAATCGGAGCCATCGCGCTGGTTGTTCTTGCAGTAAGCAAGGTTTTGTCTGGTCATCGCTGCGTTGGTTCTGACCTTACTGTCCTTCAGTCCGTCCTCCTCTGCATGAGGTCCAAACGGCGTGAAAGAGAGGCTGCTGCTGCAGCTTACGGGTTCAAAGGATATGGCAATGGCGCTGGAGGTCGGTACGAGGGACTAGGCTGTGAGTCTCGTCTTAAGCCTTATCAAGATCCCTTGTGGCGGACGACTGACGATCTTTTGTTTGCTTGCTTGCTTGCTTGCTTGCTATTGCCTATGTCCTCTCCCTCTCACAGCCACCAAGGAGTACGACCCCTACAGCGGCGATTCCACACCCATGAATGAATTCTCTCGATCCCATTCAAACCTGACAACGGAACATGGTCGGCCAAGTAATGTTGGACTAATCGATCCGTATTCTGATGGTGGATACGCCGATTACACGCTAGGTCAAAGTCAAGCTCAAGGCGTTCACCACCAGAATAGTGGAAGCGGAGGGAGTGGAAGCTTGTTGATGCCTGTACCGGGACACGCGTATCCATCTTATGGACAAGGCGTAGATAGGTTCCATACGCCTTCACCTGGTCCTTGGGATTCTACTATCAACACGCCGACTTGGGCTCAAAGTCCACCCAGACAGGTATACCAACCTGTTCAACCGAGGTGACGACAAGGTGAATGAAGCATTGCCGGCTTCTGTATCTGCTGTCTTTGTGATCCAAGTGAGAACTTTTCTGAGTCTCGATTTTCGTCTACGAACACCCTGTCATGCATCTTTTACGACCTACTCATTTGGTTTTTTGGTAGAATGCCTGGGTTGCATGACCCAAAATTGTCGTGACATTCACGCGGACAGCTATTTCAAAAGGGGCAAGCGATGAATGTACCAAAAGTCGCCTTCCCCCTAACCCCCCTTGCAACATCATCATTGTCATCCCGTGCATGATAATCTATATACAGCAGGGGAACAGATAGTAAAAAGCGAGAGATGATAGGGTGTGGCAGAATCAAAAGACGTTTGCCTGTTTTTTTTTGGGCTCTTGCCAACTTGGCTGTACATCAAAGCGTCCAAAACGACGTCGACTACGTACATAGCATTATGGGTCATCGCCAATGCCACATTCTCCAAACCAAAATCCAAGCCCAGCTCATAACGTGTATTGACTTGCGCCCCAGCTTTTCCAAAAGCTCAATATATACTCTACGCTCTGAGTACGTGGGAAGGACCATCGTGAGGAGGAGAACTTCCTGAACTGTCTCGCTTATTCTCAGGCTCCTTCTCAGCCCATGAAGCCGTTTGAGATTGGTCGAATGCAGAAACGGGATAAGCTTCCTCGCCTTCGAGCGATTCGACAGTCTTGTCGAGCAATGTGGATTGAGGAGGAAAGAGGGTCGACAAGGCGTAGAAGACACCCGCGGCCATGAAGAACGAGGTGAGCCAAGAGGCTTTGTCTGACAAAGAAAAAGTGGTAGGGTTTAGCCCTGTCATTCAAGAAGGTCGGAAGCCCCGACTCACAAAAATAAGCCAAGTTGCCAATGTACACGTTGCTGTTAATGGCGTGCATGAGACCGGGCAAGTTGATGGGAACGACAATGATCAACGTGGCCAATGCTCGCCAGTTGAGACCACCACGATACCTGTACATGCCCTCGTTTTGGTACAGCATGGGGACGTGGAGGTGAGTACGATGGATGACCCAGTAGTCAACAATCTTGTGACAGATGGGTGAGCTTAATATTCAACAAGGAATACTGCACTCACCATGATGGACACAATCGGACCGAGGACGATGATGTATCCGCTCAAGAATGTAGACAAAGACTGGGCACTGGCTTGAATCTCCCAAGGACAGGTGGCCCAACCTCCCAGCATGGCAGTGATGAATGCGCCACGTCTTATATTGAGCCACTTGGGAGCGATAAATGCAAAGTCATTACTTGAAGCGATCGAATTGGTGGAGATATTGGTTCCCAGCGTGGCGAGACCAAAGGCAAAGGCAGTAAAGAACGCGCCAGCTCGGTTAGTCCAGAGCGCGATGATGGATGTAGGGTCCCAATAGAGTGTTCCGTAGATCTCTTGACCTGCAGAAGCGATGACGATACCGATGAAGGAGAATACCCAGTAGACGATGGGAACGAAGAGCATTTGCCAGTATGTGACACCGGGAGTACGGGCATAACGTGTCAGATCGGGCTATGCACTGTCAACATAGGGCGCACAGCGACACTCGGACCTTCTCACCATATTGATAGCCAGTGTGGTTTTGCCACTGATCGCGATGTTGAGCCCTGCGACCCAAGCCCAACTTCTAGCAGAGCCCTCGACCTTTGGCTTCTGCCGAAAGATTGGACCACCGCCACCGGCGTTCTTGACCGCCCATCCAAGCATGGCAAAGGCAGCGATGATGGCAGCCATGGACTTGATGAAGAAGAGCCATCGCATCTTTCTGGGATGAATGAGCACGAGAGGGAATTGCAGAATCCAAAAGACAGCATAGGCGATCAATTTGTTCGAAGTGACGCCGGCGGATTCGGGAATAGAGTTGGGGTAGGATCTGAAAGAAGGCCAGATTGCGTCGAGCATGATGAGCATGCACGAGGCGCCAATGTAGGTGTTGATACTGGCCTTGTATAAGCTCAGGAAAGGGGATCTTCTGCACCAGGCTCACCCAAAATAGATCAGACCAAGTACCATTCGTGAAACGACAGCAAAGTAGGAGAAATAGAATCCCATAGACGCTCTCGAAGCGATAGAGAAAGGAATGTGATGCCTCGAGCCAATGGCTCCATTGAGCGTGACTACAGCTGCGATAATAATGTTTCCGAGTGCACTAAGGGACATCAAACGGTCAGTCCCTTTGATCTGATGGTCGCTTGGGTCTGGGCCCCGGAGGAAATACTCACATGGCAACGGATGCCTCCTTCCATGACAGACCGAAGGCGACGATGGAACCGGCCTGCTGCATGGTACCGACATTGGCGCCGTCTGCCAGCCAGAGGAATAAGTAATTGATTCTGGGACAGGGTTTCAGCGGGCCTGGACCGCGGACAGAGTATGTACCGAGACTTACGCTCGCCAATTCCGCTGGTCGTAGGGAACGACATCGACATCGGCGTTACTCCATCCATCGTGAGTGGCATAGGATGCGGGCGGAGTCTCTAGATACCAATACTGTTTAGTGAACCACTTGCGCGGGTCAAGACGAGGCAAGGAAGGCAGCTGAACCATTGTAGGACGGGGGTTTGGGAGGAGATCCGGGCGCGGAGCGGGAGAGGATGGGGGGAGAATGCCAGTCGGCGGCGACGATGTCTATCGGGTGCTAGGTACCTAGAACAGAGTCGGAGGGTACAAAGGGTGTAAGCAAGGTCTAAATGGACCTTGGTACGAAGGGAAAAAGTGTCAAGATGAATGAAGGATGCCGCTGGGATGGGAAAGATGTCGTTGAGCGTGTGTTATATACCAAATGGAGGTGCTTTTGATTAAATCTGCAAGCCGACCATCAGCGCCTTGTCGTTAGAAAGTGCGATGATCAACTGAAGCAAGATGGTATTTGATGGTAGTTGCGAATGGACAAGGAGGTGAAGGAATGAGCAATGAGTCAGCCGAGGAGAGGGCCGGGCCTCGTCACTTCGTTCTGGAGTGGGATCAAGAGAGTAGGTATCCCACGCTTTTAGTTGGAAGAGGTCTTGACACGATAGATTCCCAGGGAAAAGACAGGTCGAGGAAAGCAAGGACGCACAAGGTGACAAACCTGGGATCTTGACTTACGTCTTCCGTCTGGATATGGTCCAGAGGTGGAGATAAGCGATGATGGAGGCGGCGGCGAGGGGGGAAGGGGGAGGAGGAGGGAGGAGGAGAGAGGTCGCAAGGTCTCTGTATTGGAGGGTGTCCGTTCATCTGGACAATACGGTACCATACAGGCGCCTGCTGCCGTGTGCGTTGATGATCCCACTCCAAGGCGAGCCATGCGAGGCGAGTCAGAAATGCGACCAAGTTGCCCCCTCTTTGCTTCCTCTTCCAATGCGCGTCTGGGAACGATTTGGGATGTTTAGCAAAGGCGCAGAGGATCCGTGTCCTAACAAGTCCTTGAGCGAAGGTCTCTATTGTTCACTTCTGAGAAAGGTTGCGGGATTGATTATGATGAATATTTTTTCGTTTTTAGGATGACAAAGTCGAGATCTGAGCGTCTGAGGGGGGATTTTGATCCACATCATGGGACGCATCCGTATCGAGAGAATGAGGACACGATGAGAGGTCTATACTCATAGTCAGTCGATAACGGAATGAAAGGTCATGCATGACCTTCGAGTCGCGTTGATCGAAGCCTTGAAGCCAGAATGGAAGTGGAGTCAGTCCAGAGGGGGTGTGAGTGATTTTATCAGATTTACACCAAAAGTGGCTATTTCAGTACATCATTTCAAAGTCTTGGCAATTCGTGGAGTGGCGTGAGGCATATACACACGAAAATGGCCTCATCAGGACAGCCAAAGGCAACTGCACACTGGCTTAGGACGATGTCAGCGTACTCGACGGATCTCCGGGAGTGGTCCTTGAGGACTCGAGAGCCGAGACCGGTAGCAAGTTCACGCTTCATCGAGGGAACTTCGACAGTGCCGAGAAGGGGAGAGGCTCATATGAGGGATTTGAAGGATCGCAGGATGGGACGTCCATACAGTGGAATTCAGTAAAGACTGTGGCAAAGGGGGGAAAGAAACGCTCATCCATGGGGAACAGGTCTCTTTTTAGCAAGGCCCATCCGTGCCTCGTGAACTCATCCCCCCCCTCTCGGCGGAATGGCTACATGTTTCGCCGAATTGTGGCTTATATGCCTAATAAAACCAGACCCGACGACGGCAACAACCCTCTGGGCAGTCAATGACAGTCACGGCAGAAGGCGGCGGCGACAGGGAAGTTGTCCAACCAAAGAAAGCGCCCCGCAAGAATGATCTGGGACCAGGCACTTCTCTCCCCCTCACCATGTGCCGCTTTTAGAACCAGTGACGACAGGTACCGCTCGAACGATAGAACCCGCGGCTCCAATGATGTTCGGAGAAAGACGTAGGCTGTGAAGAAGGTCGACGCTCCGCTCCATCGCACCAGGAAAAGAAAATAGAAAATTGAATTTTACAAACGCCACTGCTCATTGATTACTTCCCTCCCCTTCAAACCGTCGGCAACCGAAACGAAATTGATTAGTAGTGGTGTCCCTTGTGTCGTCGACGATCGAGTGAGGACGTAAGATCCAAGGGCGGCAGGGGTGAGAACCGATGTAGTCTAAAGACGGAAACACTGCGTCCATGGCCCCACTCCACTTGAAGCCCCCCTTGAAGAGTCTGGAATTTCACGTTCTTCCGTAGTCCGGGTTCTCGGAGCTGTCTGGGACGGGAGTCTTACCAAGTGTGTCGCGTGCCAAGGTACATAACTCTCTAAAATGACGTCTTATCATCAAGGGGAGTGGGATCTTGTTGATCGCCTACCTTCCTAGACATATATACCACCATCCTCCAGGGAGGGCGTAGAAGGAACCGATCATCGCACGTTACTGTGGATTTCGTCCTCTTGCTGCTGTCCTTGGATGCCGTCCAGATGGTTCAATCATGCATCTATCTGTACTGCTCCTTCCATGATGCCTTGTTGTCGTTGAGGCGCCGCTTTGTGGCTTGTGAACCAGGTAAGTAGGTGCCTTCCCCTGCCCTCCCTGGCCACCCCGCCCCGCCCCGCCCAGGTCCCAAAAATGTCTATAAAAAGTCCGTGGATACGCCCGAAAAGAGAAGGAAGGGGACGAGAGAAAAAACGGCTTGGAATATCGGACGAACGCCCCACCTGGATAATACTTCATCTCTCACTCCGAGCTTCTTGGAAGGTTGAACAAAAGGGCGCCTAAGACAGACTTCATTCTCACAAAACGACCGACCGACCAACCCTACTTCCGAGCATAGCTTACATCTCGAACCCGACAGACCCCCGAACACCCCCTCTCTCCGCCTTATTGTCCTCCTGCGCGGAGATCTCGGCAGATTATTGCCGCACGCGTTCCGCCAAAACCTAAGAGCCACTGGTGGGGGCCACCCTCCTCATCACCCTTATCCTTCCTCTCGAAATCCACACCGACATTGTACGAATGTCACTCCAGTGACAAACCTCTTGGGAGACATCACGCCGAAGTGTCCATCCCGAAATCGATCCGATTGAGGAACACAGAATAGGATTTTTCTCAACGCCGGAAGGATAGTAGCAGCTTTGATACGAGCACGGATAAACGGGACAGAAGAACCAAAAAGTCAAAGTCAAGCGGTGTGATTCCACCCCATCTTTTGCCAGTCTCCAACAGCCAAGCAAGCAAGGATGAATAATGGGGGAGAGGAGCCGAGAGAGGACCGTGCAAAGTCAAAAACTCTGATCTTGTGATGACCCTGAACTCGACTGTTCACTTTGACTTGGAGGCAATGAAGCGACCTCATCGTTCGGGTTGAAAGGGGATAAAGGGATATCGGGGATAAGAATTCGTCGATCCCTCGAGTGACTCACCCCTCTTTGTCTCTAATCCTTTGACGATTGGCCCCCCTTTACTATCTATGCCTTTCTCTTCTCGCATCTCACTCCACCTCGATCAAGCTCTGATAGCCTGAACCTCGCTTTGCTCTTGCATCAAACCACTATGTCAAGGGACGACCAAGTTGTCAATGACGCTGCGACCGAGGAGTCCAGCTCCGATGTTCACATCCCTCCCATCATCGCATCTATAGGTGAGTAGCGCCACGGAAAATAGAAAAAAAAGGTCGAGGGGTCCTCCTGCCAGGGCTGATCAAGTTACGCCAGGGACATTCCTGATCGATGCGTTCGATAGCCCTCCTCGACCGATTGTAGATCACATACACGCCGTACCGCCTGGTTCCAAAGGTACGACGTTGTCCCTATCGCCTCATTCTTCCGGCTCGAGCGACAGACTACGCCAAAATAGCAGTAGTGGGAAGGGCGTGACCCAGAGGACATACACCCTGTTCCCAAATCAAGGATACGGTCACTGTCTGGCCTTGGATCCTCGTTCACTTCCTCACGGCGTTCCCAAATCTTCGCTCATGTTCGTAGACCCTAGGACATTGCCGTTTGGTTCAGGTTCCGCCGTCAAACAATTTGGTCTAATCAATGACAGTGTAGTCGCAGCTCCCGCTCCACTTCTTGCCGCACGTCCTCCGCTTCCGACATCCGTATCTGCTCCGGTGACAGCGACCAAGGCCACCACCGCCAGACTTGGTCTTGAAGATACCTCCTCTCAAGCCCCTTATGATACCGAGAGACGTCGACCAAGTTTACCGTTATCGACCACATCTACAACCTCTTCTAACGACCCAAGCGGAAGCCGATCCGCTACTTCACAGCCTGTAGGTCAACAAGGATCATCTGCATCATCCGTCTCAAGGCCCGGATCAGGCGCTCTCACTCCTCAACAGGATTTTGACGATGATCCACCCGCTCAAACATTCGAGATTCTCGGCGGAGGAGGCCTTTACGCCCTCATAGGTGCCAGAATCTTTTTACCTTCTCGTCGGCTCAAGGCACTAGTGGGGAGAGACAGGAAGGCAGATGGTGGTCGAGGCGATCTCAAACCCGAGCTGGAAGCTCAAGCCGAAACATTCGGGAAGGACATGTGGATTTGGGATGAGGGAGAAGGGAAAAGAATGACAAGGGCGAGAATACGGTACGATGGGGATGTAAGGTTGTGAGTGGTAGTGCATTATGTATCTTCGCGTGCTAGATGGTGACTGTTCTAACCTTCTTGCCTCCGCCTTAGCTTTCAACCCATTGTTAAAGCGACATGTCGGACCATGGCTTCACTCATCGGCACACCACTGCAAGGTGCAGAATACCTCCACATTTCACCTCCCTTCTCGTCGCAAGACGTTGCGACGCTCTTATCTGAGATTCATGATTTGAACCGTCGATCCGTTGAAGGCGCTTGGAACCCGAAGATAGTCTTTGAGCCCACGCCCGTTAGCTGTCATTCTGAACAGAGACAGTGGCTAGAACAGATCGCTCCAAGCGTTCATGTCCTATCGTGAGTGGCGAGAAAGCTGCAGACAGAGTCTAGCCTGATCGCATCATCTTCCGTGTAGTCCCAACCATGAAGAATTGCTCTCGTTCTACGAACAGAAGTACGAGATTTCAGATCCAGGTCTCGTGCCTGCCATCGAGCATATAATGCACCATCTCCTACACGACGTGGGCGTTGGACACGATGGACACGGTATTCTTGTAGTCAGGTGTGGTCGTAAAGGGTGCTGTGTAGGAACTGTGAAGAGAGGCTTAAAGTGGTTCCCAGCCTATTGGCTCGGAGCGCAAGGCTCAGAAGTAAGGGACGTCACTGGTGGTGAGTGAGATCAAGTATGTCCCGGTGGGTCCTGGCTGACTTTTTGATCTCAAGCTGGAAATGCGTTCTTAGGGGGTTATACTGCCGGTCTGAGCCTGACGAACGATCCGTACAGAGGTGAGTTTGTCTCCTGAACCCGCGGCTCAGGTATGGACTGATACTCTTGTACCTCTCCAGCCGCTTTGTACGGTACAGTCGCCGCGTCATTCGTCGTCCAGCAGCTTGGAGTTCCGCATCTATCAAGGTCCAACATCTATCAACAACCGAGCTCAGCTTTGGATCCAAATGCAGAAGCCTGTCCCATGGTTCCAACAGAGTTCTGGAATGGAGACCTACCACCAAATCGACTGGAAACGTTCACAAAGCGTTGCGAAGCTCTGGGAATCCTCTAGGTGCACTCCAAATTTATTTATGAAAGGGCTGGAGAGGACGGGAAGGTCGGAAAATGCTCTCGCTTTTCTGTGTGTTTTGTCTCTTGCTTGATCCGTTAGGTATACCCAGCATCCACTCATCATCATCATCTATCATCGTTGTCTGCTTTATTATATAACCAAATCGTTGTCAGCCCCCGAAGTTGTTGAAAGAAAGCAAAATCCAAATGCATGACTGCTATCTGCATCTGCGACTAGTGAAGACGTCATTCCCATGCATCTCACTTCTTCGGTATGTAGATCGACTGGCAGGCCGAGATTCGCTGTCTCCTTATGACTGCGCCCAGACCATTTTCCTTGGACCCGCAATGGACCCAATCATCGAGGACGGTGCACAGGGGAAGCATGGGAGGTCGTCGATATTCACGATAGTCCCGGATCGTTACGAGTCGCGAAGGGTGACAGGCGTACGAGATCGATAACTGGACCACCTTTGTGCAGTGTCGGCGATGCTTTCGGCCTTTGGGGGAAGAACGCTTGGGATCGGTTTCTCATATATTGACCTCTTGCACTGGGTTCACAGGCGACGCCTGTATACCACTCCAGTACAGTCTTCCCGCGACCTGCTTGACGACCCAGTCAATCCCTGAGTCTAGACCCTCCGCCGTATAAGCTGAACAAGGATGAATGAGCCATTTATGAGATTGGACCAGGTCGAGTTCGAGGGCCTGAACGGGGGAGAATAGAAAATAATACACAAAGTTAGCTCGATGCACATACCATTCAAGGTTAGGCCATTCCAGTTTTCATCGAGAACAATGAGGGTAGGACTGGGATGGGAAGGAAAGTCCTTGGTAGGAGGGAGGCCCCGACTCGCCTCACCTGACGAATCTCATGTAACGTCATTGATCCTGATAGATCCTGTTTATTCGCAAAGACCAACAGGGTCGCACCTGCGAGTCTCTGGCCGAAAATGGTCATCAACGGGACAAACCGCCATGAAATTGGAGGCTCACTTCTTCCTGTAAGAGACCCCTCAGCTCATCCTTGCAATCTGATATCCTTAATCTGTCGGAGGAGTCTACGACCCAAACGATAGCGTCTGTCGATTCAAAGTAATTACGCCAGTAAGGTCGAAGCGTTCGTTGACCGCCTACATCCCCTGCAGCAGCAACCACCTCGTCAGAAAGACAAGCCTGAGAAGGGGGGGACATCATGTCACGTCCTTACAGATGTTGAGTGTGTATCTTGAATCCCTCATATCTTCAGCATCGGTTCATTTCGGGATTTGCAGGGAAGGAAGAAAGCTCACCCATCCCTTACAAACGTTTTGATATTGAATCCTAAGGTTGGACTGATCCCAGAAATATCCTCGTCATTGAGTTTCTTCAAAATGGTCGTCTTGCCAGCATTATCCAGACCTCTTGATGGGTCGTGAGCCCTCACGTATGACAGAAGCTCTGTCCAGCGACTGGGCTCACAAGAAGAGAATCCTCATCTCTTTGGATTTCGCCTTGTTCTTGCGAATGATGGTGAGGAGACCTGAGCGCGAGCGATGATCAATAGGTGAGGCGATGCAGTAGATCTTAGATCAACTCACCCATTATTAGGGGGCGCTGCGGTGAGGCTATAAGGGACCGAACTCCCTTGGCCTCTCGATACGGGATGTAACGCCAAAACGCACAAAGATCAACACTCCGACCAGCCGAATCTCACGCGTGGACTGCCCGATGACCTTAGTGGCAATGTGGCACAAGCACAATTTTTCTTTGATACATAAGAAGAGGTCACGATAGATAGACTGAACTGCGACTCGAGCTGACTGATCCACTGCGACTAGGACTCTCAACTCGACGACTTGGTAACTCTACATCACCTCATCCGCCCAATCCGACACTTTGCTCAATTGAGGGAATCCTTGTCCAGGTGCCTCGCTACAGGACGAAATGAGCGCTTGTCATGGGCGGCACTGGCCCTGCACTCACCTCGCTTTGGTCTGTACAAACACCTTGGATACACCCGCTACACGCTTGTCAAATTGCTTGTAGAGCTCTGGAAAGTCCTCAATATCGACACGGTGTGTGACAATGGAGGTGACGTCAAATTTGCCAGTCACGATATACTCGTTGAGGATTTCCTGCCAGTAGAGATGGACGGGAGCTTGTCCGTTCCCGATAAAACGGATTCCCTTTTCCATCAAAGCACCAATATTGAAGTGGTTTGTAAAGCCACTGTATACCCCGATGAGACCGATTCGCCCAAACTTCTTGGCGAGAACGATCATCTCGTTAGGAGTTTCGGAGACGTCGGTTTCGAGCATGAGAGCCTTTTCGACCTTGTGAAGCATAGTCTTGGGCTCGTGGAACGTGGTGGAGTCGATGCAGACTGGGCACGACATGAGCTCTGATCGGTTTTATTGGTGGTTCAAATTACACACCGTCCAAGCCAGAGGGGACCTCGTCTTGAATAGTCTTGATCACATCGACTTTGCTGAAATCCACAGGGATGACTTGTCCATCAGCGCGTTGAGCCATTGCGAGTCGACTGGGAACTTTGTCGATGGCGTAGACTTTGGAGGCCCCTTTGAGGAGAGCCCATCGGACACATGCTTGCTGCCGTAACTGTTAGCCAGATCAGGGGTTCTGCGAAGAGAAAACCCACGCCGATTGGACCAAGACTGCCCCGATAGTCAGGTCAGAATGGCATTTTGCACTCACCCCCAGACACCGACAATATCTCCCTTTTCGACGCGAGTGTCCATGATGGAGTGGTATGACGTGGGCAGTACATCCGAAAGGTCTGCCGTGTGTCAGACTACTAATATCGCGAAGCAGACATGAGCTCACAGAGAACTTGCTCGTCTGTCGAAGATCATCAGATGCTATACTTCGCCGAGCGGAAATGTAACTTACCAGAGACACCAGGAGGCACTTTGAGGCAATTGACCTCCCCGAAAGGGATGCGGACGTATTCAGCTTGACCTCCAGGGAATCCACCCGTCATGTGCCTGGTGACCGTCAGCAATGCTAGTCGGAGGAAGGAATCGCATGAACCTGACCCGTATCCAAAGAATCCCGCATCACGTTCTGAAATACACGTCAGCAGGAGTCTAAAGAAAATGCGACCGGATTCCCCACGCACGACCGTACATGCTAGCCATGAGAGATGAGTTGTTCGTCTTGTCGCACATGGATGACCACTTCTTCTGACAAAACTTGCAGGTTCCACAAGCTACCTGAAACGAGACGACGACTTTGTCTCCAGGTGTCAACGTCTTGACGGCGGGTCCGACACGATCGATGATGCCCCTTGAACAGGCGCGTCAACCGTACACCAAGGCTCAAACAGTACACTGGACCCACATGAACTCGTGTCCTAAGATATCCCCTTTTTGTAATGCCAGCATTTCTGAATGGTACAAGTGCAAGTCTGATCCACAGATGGTCGTCCCCGTGACCTTGATGATGACATCCTTGTCTTCAGATATATCGGGAATAGGAGCATCGACCATTCTGACGTCCTTGTTGCCGAACCAAGCTAGAGCTCGCATCGTCGAGCCATCTTCACGATGCTTGTATTCCGGCTTGGTCGCCGCTGCAAAGGATGGTCAGCGTGTCGAAGGTGGGGAGCGGGCTGGAGACTGCCGGCGGGGGGCGTGGGCGACTTTCCACTCACTTGGGACTGGACCCATGGCATCTTGTACTTTGTTTGATACGTATTGCATGGTGAACGGTGTGAGGTTGAGAACAGAACAGCGCTGGGGACTCTCGCCTCTTCAATCCCAGCAGTTCAAAACATGTCATCCAACATTCCCGAGATCGTTCTGACGTCATGCACTGTTTCGAAATGTTAATAAGCTTGGAAGCGATTCCAGCGAAATGAAAGGTAAAGGTCTAGTGGCGTATTGAAGCTTTTTGTATCGTGGCGTATTGGTCGACTTATCTCATAGCTGGACCACACCATTTGGTGCACTCAAGGACAGCTCACAATTGACCTGAGATATGACCAGCAGCTAGAACATGACGAGGAGGTATTCCGCATCATTCAGCTACCTCCTAAACCTTGGCATGCTCTTCATGCCGGCGATTTGGGGCACAGCATAGACATACATGGTTTGATACACTGGTGGAAAGATATCACATTGCCCAAAATCAGAATGCCAATCAGAATCGCTGCTTCATCCTCGCTCCAACGGCTTTGAGATGCGCATACACCTTGCCTGACCACCATGTCAGACATGTCGTGTGACGGGTCGGGCTCATTACTCACCAGGTGGAGATCCGAGAATCAAGGATGAAATGGCATCACGAGCGATCTTGATATTTTGCACGGAACCAAGAATATGAACATGTCTGAGGAAACGGCTCAGCTATATTCGTCGTGAATGATGGCCACGCCCCAGCTCACGTCTCGGCGAGAACTATACGGGTCCTACTTGCGTTTTCGATCGAAAACTTGACTTTGCCTCCTTCACCTGCGATACGACCTGATAGTGGTATCAGCTCCGAGCTCCGACATCATGTCAGCAACTTGCCTATAGCTCGGGACAGGTGATCTCCGTGTAGGGTTTTGACGTCTTTGATCTCGAATGAGTCAAGGTAAATATCATCCAGACGAAGTAGGGCTAGTGCGTCCTACAGACTTATTAGCAAGAGCTGGGAATACTTTCCCAAGAGTAGCTCACATTGACTTCGAAACCTAGTGCGAACGCCTTGACGAAATCGGCTCCTTTCTGCACAGCGCCAGAATCGACAGTGTGACCAGAAGTCTGGGAAAGCTAGTCAGTCTTTGGTGCTCAGGGGCTGCTCAGTGCCAGCGGTCGCCCACCTTGAGCTCCACAGCTCTCCGTTTGATATTCATCCTGACTTGCAGTCCAAGCATTTCAACCATAGGTGTATAGAGATTCACCCATTCCCGCTTGAGTGGGCTCATACGATGTGGTGGAATAGGGATACGTCGGAACTCGTTCTTGAGCACTGAGCTCTGAGCAGATGCAGGTAGAGGTGCAAAACCAGAAGCAGAGGACGATGGTTCCCCGAGACCTCCTCCAATGGAAGAAGTTGAAGCGACACCTTCAGTCGAGATCAAGACGTCTTCATCGTCTTCCACATCCATCGATTCATCCCTCAGTGTTGGTTTAGACAGAGGAGCTCGTTTGGCCGGAGACACGACTGAAATGGTAGGTGGTTCAAGCTCCAACTGAGCTGCCAGGACCTTTTGTCTGTGAGATTTGTGCGCCATATTGAGGGTGTCTGAGACGATGCCAATGGATATTCCAAGTGAATGATGTATGGGTTCGCTGCTACTTTGAGATCTATCGTGAAGAATGGTGTCTGAAAAAGTCATAAAACTTTTCGGTTCGCTGCTACTTTGAGATCTATCGTGAAGAATGGTGTCTGAAAAAGTCATAAAACTTTTCAACTGCCTCCACCCAGAGAGCGGACTAAATGATAAGCTCCGTGCCTTTAATCCCACGTCATGAACTCATATCAACGCTCAGACTCGCGTTTTTGCCGTCCGCCTTGAAGCGTCTGTCCATCCTCACTTCAATCATCGACTTATCATTCCTGGCTCTGACATTGGGCTCCAGTTGGCTCAGCGAGCTAGCTGAAATAAGATGCCTAGAGATCATAAGAAACACTCTTCACGGACTCAAAATCAGTCGCACCCTACACCCTATACCAAGCCCAGACCTCCATCTCATCCCTCCCAGCCTTTGGGCAAGCACGCATCCTCCGAGCTCGACCTATCCCAAGGAACGGCCGAAGCTGGTCCATCGAAGTATCTCAATTCAAACGAGAGAAAGCGGGCGAGGAAGGAGAGACGTCGATCAAAATCGAGAGATGGTCAAGCAGCTCAAGCAGACCTCACGGCCACTCCGGCGACAGGGGATGGTCCCAGCTTCCAAGGCGGAGAAGGACATTATGGAGGCTTCGGAAAGCCGAAGATTCTATCAAAAGCTAAATCTATTCTGAGCCCAGCGGCCAAAGCAAACGGTGCGGAGACCTCCATGGACTCTTCACCGACTCTCATTACGACTCCCAAGCATTTGAAGAAGAAGATGATAGTGGATCCTGTGCCGGAGAAGCCAAAAGACGATGTTAGGGTACAGTTACTGGAACGGCAATTGAAGAATATGAGGAAGGAAACGGAGAAGGTGACGGGAGCTCTAAATGCACAGATCGCAGGTTTGAAGGAGGAGATTCAGGCATTGAAGAGTGTGGATGTCGAGCATCAAAAGGTCAATCACTTGAGTGAAATGTGCTCGTATCCAAGCTAAACATCAGCCACAGGTCATGGAAGAGAAGAAGAAGATGCACGATGCGCTCACTGAAGCGGTCACCTGTCAGATCTGTTTCGAGCCATTCAATGATCCTCATATGTGAGTATGATCAGGCTGGGTCGAATCGTATCTAATCTTCACAGTCTCACATGCGGACACGTTGCCTGCAAGGGATGGTGAGTTGTTCCATTGTGGAGGCTCGTTGACCCTTTTCTCTAGCTTCATCAGCTACTTTCGTTCTCCCGGAGCTTATGCCACTCATATGGAAAACATTGGCCCCGACAAAGATCTCACACACTTTCGAAAACTGTGTCACACTTGCCGGGCACCCGTCGTCAATCGACCATCTAGAATGTACGGTCTTGCCAGTATTCTGGAGGCTCTAGGCCTCGATGCCAACATGCCTTCGCCATCTCAAGAACGACCTGCGCCTGCGGATGACCCTTGGCTCATGTCGTTCCCTCCCGCCACAGAGGATTACCGATACAAAGATGTGCATGACAGTGTCTCTCGGTGTCGAGACTGCGGTGGAGAGATCGACGTGGATCAGTGTGTTGGATGTGGAGCTGTCTTCAGCGAGCACGAGTCAATGGCCGACAGTGAGGAAGAAATGTGGGATCTTGGACATCCCTATCATGATCCCGATGTCACGGACTCGGAGGCTGAAGCATCGAATTCGGGAGCCGAGGCAGGCGGCGCCGCTCTGAGAAGACGTTTGAGGAGACGAGATCAACGTCGACGGCGAATGGCAGAAGGCGGCGACGATAGTGATGCCGACTCGGTCGTCGACGCAACAGCCGAGGATAGACAATTCCGACGCATCATGCGAGGCGAGGAAGCTGAGCCGTGGCAGGCGGATGTCCTCAGGACGCTTGAAACGGGAAATGTTCCGGCCCGGCGCCGCCGTGCGGCGTCGGAACCCGAAGATTCGGAGGAAGATCGACTACAAGGATATCTCCAACAAACCCGTCAGAGACGGGATCATCTTTTGGACCTCGTTGCGGACGTCGATGCGCTGGGAGATGATGTGGATTACCCTGAAGATCCCGATGACTCGGATGAGCTGTATGACGGGGAAGATTCAGAGCAATATGAGGACAGTTTCATCGACGATGAAGAGGACTTGGGGCACGTAGATGGAGGCTCTGACCAGGGCTCGGTACAGAGTGCCTCAAGCGCTTCAGAAGGGGAGATCGAGGAGATCGATGTGTGAGTGTCTCGCTGAGGTACTGGATGACACTAGCTCACGACGCCTTCGGATCAGTGTCGTTGATGAGCCTCGAAGAGCGGGACGACGAGGGGCAGGTCGAGCCAGGCGAAGGCTGTATAATGATCCTGATGAGGAAGATGACTAGACTCGGTGCAGCGACATCTCTCCCCCGCGAGACTCATCTCAGAAGTACGGCTGCGAACCGGCAACACTGCATCGTATGATTACCCCAGGCCCTCTGTAAATTCACGCATTTCTCCTACCATGTCTGTCATTCACACCCATCTGTTCCATACAATCATGTTCCATGCATTCCAACATGTATCAAAAAGTGCTAGAGTAAGCGGGTTGTCCGGTTTTTCCGGAGTCATGAGGTCACCGGTAATGATTTATGACTGAACTGGCCCGGGGAGGGCGCTCAAAGTAATGGAACCTCGTGTGTACCACCCAAAAATTTAATGACCGAGCTGTGCTAGGCCAAGTGTTAAATAGCTTATGAATGAGGTTCACCTTGGACTTCTCTCTACATCTGACATTCGAATCACCATGATCTCCAACAACACGAGCAAGAACAATCGACTGATTCTGGCTAAACGACCTGAAAAGGGTCCAGTGACACCTGAGACGTTCAAATTGGAGACTGTCGATCTGGAACTAGTTCAGGATGGTCAAGTCAGAGTCAAAGTGGAATATTCCGCGATTGTGAGTGAAGGTTTCTGGAGCTCATAAGGGACAAGGTCGCTGAGACGATGATCTGCCATAGGAAGCGACCATGCGAAATTGGCTCAATGAAGCTCGAAGTTATATCGAACCTGTCAAACTCGGAGCCGTCATGCGAGCTATCGGGGTCGGAAGAGTGGTAGAATCAAAGAGTGATGAGCTCAAGGCGGGAGATCTGGTGAGATACGAGACGAGCCCTTGGGTGAAATATCTTCGACCGACTTGATTCATCAGGTCTATGGCTTGCTCGGATGGCAAGAGTATTGGCAAGGGTCCGCCAAAGAAGTCAAGAAGCGAGAGTAAGTCGTACACGAGATCCAATTCGGCGTCGGCACTGAGACATTTGAAGCACGCCTCCGGGAGGACGAGATTTTGATCATATTGGACTGCTGGGCTCTTCAGGTATGTCCATGGGGATACCACGAAGCAGCATGTCAGCTCACTGAAATTCGGATCAGGGATGACCGCTTACGTTGTTCGTCGATCGTGACGCGGACTGGTCTATGGAATTCGTTCACTAAATTCATTCTACAGGGCATGTTTGACATCGGTCAATTGAAGGACGGCGACGTCGTCGTGGTCTCTGCGGCCGCTGGGTCTGTTGGTTTGGTAGGTCGACTCGATTGATGGAACAAAGGCAACGAACGCCCCGCTGAATGGCTCGTCACCTCCTGCAGATCGCCGTGCAGATCGCTCTTGCCCATCCGAAATGTAAAGTCATCGCTATCGCTGGTTCAGACGACAAGTGCCAAATGCTGAAAGACATGGGTTGTCATGTCGCTTTGAACTACAAATCGGAAGACTTTAAGCAGAAGTTCAAGGATATAGGATTGATCGATGTCTACTTTGACAATGGTGAGCCAAGCGTCCATGAAAACGTTTGAAATGAAGGTCTCTGACGGAATGCAGTTGGAGGAGAGATACTGGACATGGTTCTCGGCAGACTCAATCCTCATGCAAGGATTATTGCTTGTGGGGCCGTCAGTGCCTACAGGTGAGGGGACTCCCGTTGCTTTTAGGCGCAATTCTTTACCTGATGTCCTGTGGCAGTGCCAAAACGCCTTATGGTCTCGTCAACTACACCAGTCTCATCTCCATGAAAGCCAAGATCCAAGGCTTCATCGTCATGGAGCACGCTCATCGATTTGCGGAAGCAGGGGCATACCTTGCGAAACTTGCCAAGGAGGGAAAGATGAAATATGATTACACGATCCTCGAGCCGAAAGACGGTGAACAAAATGGATTGAGCCGGTGTGTAGAGGGTATGGAGTTAGTAAGCTCAGGGAACAATGTGGGAAAGACGTGAGTAGGATCCCAGTATCAATCCATCCAGGCTGACCCTAAATCCAATCCATTCAGTGTGATCCATATGTCTCGCAGTGACCGGAAAGCATCGCTATAGAATGCATTGAAAGGGGCTAGTCACCTGCTTTTGATCTGACGTCATTATTTCCCTTTATAATTCTGTTGGAATTGTGTGCCGATCTCTGATTTATCAACCGGAGATCGGACCATTATTGAGCGTTCGTGGCGTTGCTGGCTTGCTACTTTCAGTGTCCTATGTCTATCAGAGCTTTGAGCACAGTATCAACAGCTCTGTACCGACTGCAACTCAGACAGTCTATGCCTCAATTGACACTCTTTGCGGATCCCCGTTCGAAATCTCTGTCTCTCTCACCTCAGAAACCCAAAACCTCGTCTTCCAATCAAGCTCGATACAAATCAGGATATAGTCAAAGTGGAGGAGCGGGTCTCTGGGACTTACATCACGAAGAAGAAGACATGGCAGCTGCTAGCAAAGCTCGTGCAAAGGCCAAGGCTGAGGGAACTGAAGTTCCCATGAACGAGGATGGAGAAGATGGAAAGAAGCCGAAAGGTCAACCGGGTACGGGCAGAGGAACCAAGAGGAGTCATAGCCCTGAAGGAGGTGGTGTAGCTGGGTCGAGGGACACGAAGAAGCATAAGAATGCGTACGAGATCAGTACGTGACAGCCATCTCCCTCTCACGAGCAATGGATGTGCTCACACTTGGCAGAGGGAAAAGTCGCGACGGCAGAAGTAGCTGCCAAAGTGGATGAAGATCCACCTTTGGACCAGTTGATGAGATTGGTTTCTGAATCTGAAAAGGACGTCCAAAAGGGTGACAGTGTGGTGTACTGGATGCGGATGGAAGATGTCAGAAGTGAGTGCGAAACTTGCGATGACGACGCGATACTGACGGTCCGGTCCGTCCGCTCAGTCGAAGACAATACCGCTTTTGCGCTTGCAGGCAAGAAGGCGGAGGAGCTCGGTGTGCCTTTGATTGTGCTCTACGTACTTTCCCCTGGAGATTATACTTGGCACGACAGGTCTAGCAAGAAGATCGATTTCATTCTTCGTAACTTGCGATGGCTCAAGGTGAGACGATCCAGTCGCTGTCAAACAAGATTTGCTGATCCTTGTCACTTTGTCGCTCAGCCAAAACTTGACGAACTCAACATTCCGCTATATATCAAATCCTATGACAAGCGTCTTCAAATACCTCGAAGACTGGTAACGGAGGTCTTCCCAGAGCTCGGGGCGAATCACGTCTTTTGCAACATCGAATACCAGATCGATGAGCTCCGCCGAGATATCGCAACGGTGAAGCGAGGCAGAGAGAAAGGGATCGAGGTGGTCCCTGTCCACGACAGATTGGTCGTACCTCCTGGCAAAGTCATGAGTAAAGCCGGGAAGCCCCTATCAGTGTACAGTCCATGGCAAAGGGGTGAGTAGCGTGATTCTCACAGAGAGGAATCTTGACTGATCCGCGTCCTTCAGCTTGGGCAGACCTGCTGAGCAAGGACAAGACGTATCTTGAGATGTCTGATATTCCCAAGGGCAATGACGCCTCGCTCAAGAAGGATAAGCGATTCGGCAAGCTGTTCGATGTTACGCCCATCCCGGATCATGTCGAGGGCTTTGAATTGAAAGACTCAGAGGAGGTGCACAAGCTCTGGCCAGAAGGAACGGATGCTGCAAAAGAGGTACGCATAGCCCCTGGGGGCTCTCGCGATAGATAGCCTGACACGGCTTAGCTACTTCATCGCTTCTTACATACAAAGGCTAGGAAACAACAACTTCAGCTCGTTTCGCCCCTGTCGGAAGGAGCGGAAGAAGATGACAAGAAATCTCGATTGAAAGTGTATCAGGACGGTCGGAACCTGGTAGACGGGGATCATTCCTCCAGGCTCAGTCCATATCTCGCTTCGGGAGTCATCAGCGGTCGTATGGTTTTGAATGAAGCCAAAACAATGGGCAGTAAGGGACGTCTAGAAACGGGCAGGGATACTGGCTTGGGCATGTGGGTTCAGGAGGTGGGTTCAGGATGCGACGTTCCCGAATGACGCTGATTTCATGACTCAGGTGGCTTGGAGAGATTTTTACAACCACGTAAGATCCCCCCCCCCCCCCCCCCCCCAACGTCTCATGAACAATCTAAAGGCTCTTAGGTCATGGCAATATGGCCACGAGTATCTATGGGTAGACCTTTCCTTGAAAAGTTCGCGGATGTTCAGTGGGAAGTCAACGAGGACCATCTCCAAGCCTGGAAAGATGGAAAGACTGGGTATCCGATAGTCGATGCGGCTATGAGAGCTTGCGCCGCAAGAGGTGAGCAATATTCCTGCTTGATCGAATCTTTCGCTGACGACGTCTCAGGATGGATGGAGAATCGAGTGAGAATGGTCACTGCTTGTTTCCTGGTCAAGGATTTGATGCTCGATTGGCGTGAGTAGATTGTTTATTGATGGAAGGGCCCAGCTCAACGTTGCGACAGGTCTCGGCGAGAAACATTTCATGCAGAGCTTGTGAGTCTTGACCCTATTTTGTGACCATGACTGAATACCGCAGTATCGATGGGGACCTGGCAGCGAATAATGGCGGTTGGCAATGGACTGCGAGTGTGAGTGACGAGCGGGAGACGGGAGATCCAGCCTGATCAGTGTATTAGACTGGTACAGATCCGCAGCCATACTTTGTGAGTCGATAGATCAGCGTATCACTGCTATTCTGATGCGTCCACAGAGGATCTTTAACACCCTGACCCAGTCAGAGAAATGTGATCCCAACGGCGATTATATTCGATATTGGGTGCCGGAACTCAAAAACCTCAAAGGCAAGGCGATTCATGACCCTTTCCACTCCTTACCGAGCAACGAATTTAAGAAGCTTGGATACCCTGCACCTATAGTAGATCATAAGAAAGCAAGAGAGAGAGCCCTGTTCAGATACAAGAATGTGGGTGAGAAGGAGGATGACAAGTGAAAAGGACAGTCATGTAGCGATTTTATAGTGTAATCCTAGTGCCACATTCGATGTTGAGCCACTGTCAACTTTGCCGAGAGAGTCACAAGTTTTGAACGAGAGAGGTCTGACGTCTTTTTTGGCTGTCAAGTCGATTAGTTTCATCACTTTGTTGCTCAAACGACTCATCGGCTCATCATGGCGCCTATCGACCCCCAACTGCAGGTCCCCAAGGTGGTACTCGGAGATGCGTCTCGATTCTCGCCTTCCGCTTCTGCTGCATCTCCGATGCCCAATCAAGCCCCTTCGTCACTGTTCACCCGGGCTCAGAAATTCGTCGAAGAAAATCAACGAATGATCCTACTGGGCGCTGCGGTTGTAGCATCCGCTGGAGCAGGGTACTATCTTTACTCTACCCGATCTTCATCTTCGGGAGGTGGTGCTGGATCTAGAGGATCAAGTCCGGGCCCAAGCTCGACGAGCGGAAGTAAGAAAAGTAAGAAGAGTAAGAAGAAGAAGGGAGGAGCAAAGGATGAATATCTCAAGACGAAAGGGAATGATGGACCGCTCGTAGAGGAGATTCCGGGGAAAGCTGAAGAGTTGGCTGAGAAGAAATCGTCAGAAAAGGCAAAGGTGGAGGATGTTCAGGAACCCGGGACATCTCATCTGAATGGTGAGAGTGGACAAAAATCCTACAAGATCGGTTCAGTTCAGCCTTTCGATCCGCTGACACGTCGACAATAGATGTGCCAGATGAAGCTGGTCTGGCCGCCATGTCTGAGTCGGTAAGTGAATGGACCTATGCGGGCCCAAATGTGTGACTTAACATCATGACGTTTAGGATCGAAATGCACTCGGAGCGACCCTCAAAGACAGAGGTAACAAACTATACTCGAGGAAAGATTTCAAGCGGGCAGTCGAATGGTCAGCTTCCCACTCTATCCACTCTCAAACAGGCTGCTGACGACCAATCAGCTATACCAAAGCCATCGAAGTATCTATCAAGCGAGACCCTGTGTTCTTCTCTAACCGAGCTGCATGTGGGTCACGTCCTTCTTCCTGTGCGAAATCAGCTCATTTTCCCTTAGGTTACACCAACTTCTCTCCTCCCGAGTACGAAAAAGTAGTAGCGGACTGCGATGAGGCTCTAAAACTGGATCACACATAGTCAGTCGACGTCTCCAAATTCAGATGAATACTGACCGTTATCCAAGCGGGAAAGCGTTGAAGAGACGTGCTGCCGCTCTGGAACACTTGGACAGACTCGAAGAGGCCGTCAGAGGTGGGTCGCTGGGTTGCATCACCATCAATTCTTCAGCTGAGATGGGTTTCCAGACTTCACTGCCACGACAATCCTCGAGCGATTCCAGGATGAACAGGCTGCTGCTTCTGTCGAAAGATGTCTGAAAAACCTAGCTGCGAAGAAGGCCAAGGAGATGCTGGACGTGTGTCTATCTGAGGGCTAGAGCCAGCAAATCCACTGACCTCACGCTGCAGACCCGCGAACCCAAGCTGCCATCTCCGACCTTCATTTCATCCTACCTGTCTGCCTTCCGACCCCGTGAGCTGAGACGCGAACGCCCCGTCATACCAAGCTCACTATGTTCAGATGAGAAACCTACCCTACCCGAGAACTCCACGCAGGGTGATCAGACTCTCCTGCTAGCCTTTGATGCACAAGAAGCAGCGGACTATGCTCACGCCATGACGCTTGCGAATGAGGCTATCGATCAGGGCATCTCTTGGAAGCAGGGTCAAGCAGAAGCTTACAACATGAGGGGAACCTACAAGTGAGCGGCAGCACACACCATGTCAAGCCGAGACGCTGACCTGGCATTTGTGCAGGTTCTTGATCGGTGATTCCGTTGGCGCTAGAGATGACTTGCAGAAGAGTCTGGACCTGGTCCCTGAATTTGTGCAATCTTGGGTTAAGATTGCTTCCGTCCATATGGAACTGGGTGAGCTGCTGCACCCGTTTCACTTGCGGGCATGCGGCCGAGAGCTTATGCGTCCCAGGCGACGCCGCTAGTGCCTTTGGAGACTTTGAAGCTGCTATCAGACATAATCCCAACGACCCAGACATCTATTACCACCGAGGTCAAGGTGGGTCAAACGCGCCATTCACTTGCTGACAGTGTTCAGTCTACTTTATCATGCAGGAGTTTGCCAAGGCTATCACAGACTACACCAAGTCTACTGAGCTCGATGGATCATTCATCTTTACCCACGTTCAGCATGCCGTTGCGCAGTACAAGCAAGGCAGCGTAGCATCCAGTATGGCCGCGTTTAGGAGGATTCTCAAGCAGTTCCCTGATCGTGGAGAACCGAGCAACTACTAGTGAGTCGAGCGTGCCAGACCGTTCGCTGCCTGGAATTAACGGATCCCAGCGGAGAGCTCTTGCTTGACCAACAAAAGTTCCAGGAGAGTGTAGAGCGATTCGATCGAGCTCTCGAACTTGATAAGAACAAGTGAGCGTGTCTGTCTCTTGGCTTTGGCTGACATCTGTAAGGCGTCCCCGAAATGTCCTTCCTCTAGTCAACAAATCGCTAGCCATATTCCAATGGAAGCAGGACATTGGTCAAGCTGAAGCCTTCTGCCAAGAAGCTCTTGAGATTGATCCCGACTGCGATGTCGCCGTCGCCACTTTGGCTCAGCTGTCCCTTCAACAAGGCAAGATTGACCAAGCTATTGAATGGTTTGAGAAGAGCGCGAAGTTGGCTAGAACAGAGGGAGAGTTGGTCAATGCCATTACTTGTGAGTGGAGTTTTGAGGATGCGTGTGGTCTGGACTCATGAGACTCCACCAGACGAACACGCTAGTCGAGCACAACAGGCTTTCCTACAGGTGAGTTTGGCCTTGCAACCAGTTGCATGGGGCGGATCGTGGCTGACTTAGGCACTAGAACTACCCTGAATATGCTGAACGTCTGAGTCAGATGGCAGCTGGAATGTAAAAGAACGGCGATCAAACGTGAAAATGGTGTGGTTCTGTTGTTGAGGCACCAGAGAGATACACGATGGAAAAGGGGCGAGTGAAGAAGTGAAAGCTGAGCGGAAGAAGACGGGGAACAGGATTAGGATCAAGAAGATGTTTTCGATATCAACTGGCTTCAGCTACATCTCACTTATGCAACGACTCCTCTGAACTCTCTTTGATAGTGCTCCAGAGCCGTATAGCGAAGGTTTACAGTTTCGGTCTTGTCAGCTGTTATGGGGTGATGCTCGGAAAAGGAGTACTGAGGCTGGACCTCCTTGTTTGTCCGATGGCAACTCAACGCGGATGATGAGTGTGACATCGTTATCTCTCGAGCACCGATCCACGACCTCGATGCCCAACGCTGCCATCATCGTTGCTGCATGGATAGGGGCATTAAAGACCTACATACGAACGACAGAAGAAGACTGTACAGACTACCGACCCGCTTTCGCTCCGTTAGAAATTTGGGCGAATATCGAAAGACTGGGAACTAAGATGTCTGGGGCGTTGTTCTAGCCAGGGATTGACGCTCGACTCGAAGTTGACACCAAAAGATGATTTGGAGAGAACGAGGAGCAACTGTTTTGGGGAAACAAAGATTCCCTTGGCTTGCCGCACGAAGCCTCAATAAAAGAGACTTTGTTGAAGAAAAGAAGAAAGAAGAAAAGAAACGATGCAGGTCGAAATTTTTTGTACTTTGCAGCAGCGAATCAGCGGGATCAAAATCGTGAAACTACAGTGTGTGGTGTGGCAGGGTGGCGGCGTGTCAATGTAGTAAAAGGGAAACATCTCTTCATACATGGTCTTGTGTGCATGAGCTTAAGTGAGTCATATTCAGGTATTCGTTCACTAGGTATCGCAAGGGTATAGGACTTGATGGACGTCGAGAAGCAGAATGTCCCGAATGTATTTCTGTTCTGTCGCCGGGGTCACGCGGAAAGCTGGTTAAACATGCTCAGACGCTGACGGCTGACACTCCGTCGATCAGACGTTTTGCTGATGGGGGTCTTGACCTACAATGAGATCAGACTAGACCTAACGAGGGGGAGTCGAGCTCACCTGAAGATCGCCTGAAGGGATCGCTGCTGTGCGGTGTGAACTTTCAGGCACTCTTCCATCCGAATACTGCCACGGTGAAGGACCCTGACCACCTGCGTCGTTGGGCGAAAGCTGCGTCCCGACTTGACGTTGAGTGTCTCGCACAGGAGTAACATACGACTCGAGGCCCAGTGGCTGATGCGCAGCCTTTGGCTGCTTCGACGGAGTCGCCATTTGAGCTGGTCTGGTTTCCAGCATAACGTCCGGGTTGTCATACGTCTTGTTCATAGCCTCGGCAAGTGAAGTGATGTATGGATCGTCATCGCTTGCAAGACTATGATTGAAATCTTCTGTGACTTGAGTGTTCGCTGCCGATCCATTCCTCAAACCTTCATTCTGGCCCTCACCTCTATATCGGGATCCCTGAGATTGATCGGTAGCCGGCTGGAGCCATTCATTGAAACTTGACGGGATGTGAGATAAACTTGTATTTTGACCAGTGGGAGGTAAAGTCACATTCCTTGCTGGTACAGATCTGTTCTTGCGACGAGCTTGCGCTTTGCGTTTTCTGGATGCGTCGTACGAGATGACGGGTAGCCGACCGGGCGACTTGGTCTTGGTCCTTGGAGATTTCGAGGACTTGGCGGTATAGATGTCGGATGTCGGCTTCGAGATCGGATGATCACCTTCAAGAGAGACACTAGCGAGGTTGCTTGGAGGCGTGTCTTCGTCAACATCATGGATGATGACTGGTCGCTCCGACGTGCCATCTCGAGAGCGTGGCGTGACGATTCTCTCGACGAGCGAATCTGCAGGCGAAGTCGAAGGTGGTGCCAGTGGATTTTCACCTCCGTTTGAACTGCACAATGAAGCTTCTATCACTTGTTGTATCTCGATACTCTTGCTTCTGGTTCCATAGCGCGAGGCAAATTGGGTAGCAGGTGCGGGCGCGTGTGTCGTCTTGCGTTTCTTGGAAGGTTTGCTACCAATGTTGGTCCGCGACTCGAGGCTGTCAGTCTCTGTAGCCGAGGAATGCTGCGATTCTTTCGCGGCAGTCTGACACGTGATAACTTGAACCGGCCCAAACTCGTCTATCGATGCAGACCTCTTTGACTTGCTTGCAGCTGAGATCGCGACCAGACCTTCCTTTGAAGCCCCGGCCTCACTCCTCAACGCTTTGATTTCCGCCAGATTGTCCTTCAGTTGGTCCTGGAGCATCTGAAATCGATCGTTGTGTTCGTGCAGCATGCTAGGCGTTTCGATGATGTCTGCGATCGATGAGACTTGACGGACAAGGTCGGACACCCTGGTTGAAAGATGATCGAGGACGCTCTTGTCTGCATTCCGTTGTTGATCAACCTTGGAGGCGAGAGCCTCGACGGCACTAGTCAGCCGAGCGATAGCAGCACGAGAGATCGTGCAGTTGTCATGCTCAGATTCTTCTGTCCTCATATTGCGGTCAGTGATGGAGCTAGAGGTGGCGGCTTTGACTTTCATTTCCATCGCTTGGAGGGCATTCTTGAAGACCGCTACGCTCTTCACCGCTTCAGGGAGCTCCTTTAACGATGACAACGTGTCCTCGAGCTCGGACAGTTTCTCCAGCTTGGAGTCGGTGTGTTTGAATCTCTGTGAGATCCATGAGAACAGCTCGAAGTTGGTTTGATCTTCATATCCCTCACCTCGAATGAGAGCTTGTTGGACACCATCATCTCAGCTATGATCTTCTGCCTAGTATCGTTGAGATCGTTCGTGAATAGGGTACGGGTCTGGTTCGGAATTTGTTCGATCAAGGATGCGAGCTGCTCCTGGAAAGCTGTGGAGACTACTCCTCGTGAGCTCCCTGGGTCTAAATGCGGCGGCTGCGAGCTCACAAAGTCCGCCGAGTAACTCTGCCGTCTCCTCTTTCGACGGCAGACTTTTGACGAGTACCTGAGTGTCATGTAGATTGTCACGAACCCGACCGGTCGCTTCCTCGGATGCTTCGACCCTTCTTTTCACCTCGGCAACATCTTTGACAATACCTGAAGCGCGCATCAGCCTCTATATCATGTCAAGAACAGCAGAAAGCCCTCAGCTCACCGTCAAGCACATACATGACCTTCTCGCCCATCGTCTTGATCCGTCTTCTCGGTTCATTACCCTCTCGATAGACGTCTGAACCGGATTTGGGACTAGCAGATCTTGAAGCTGTACGAATGGTTCCAGGAGTGGGCAATGGGTTGTCCCGAGGGGATACAGGTGGAGCACGATGGTGGACCTGAGTCGGATGATAGTGATCGGTACGGATGGCGTATTCATGATAAGGGTACGAAGGAGTATCGTGACCAGGTCTCGATGGTTGGAGAGTCGGTGCCCACAGGTCAATTTGGCTCGGGCTAGGATATGGGTCGCAGACCGTCTGCTGCATTGGACCATACTGAGGTCCTGAGGTACAGTACCGAACTCCAGAAGGCATCGGATGTGATGGTCGAGCATGAGAGCCACCGGCAAGGCTCGCAGCCGCCCAAGGAGTCTTGGAATGAGGGTAAGGCGAGGGCGACTGTGAGCCCATGAAGTCAGGCGGGAAGGCAAGTCTAGCAGGATGTTGGAGGTCCGCAGTAGAAGGAGGGGGAGGTTGAGACGAAGGTGGCAGGGGCATGGGAGATGAGTGGGATAGGGATGGCTGAGAAGGAGCAAGGCCCTGAGACGGGGGAGGCGGATGATGCCTGGACCTGGTGGCGGTATGAGATCGGCTCATGATGTGTGTAGGCAAGGCTAATGAATGAGTTAGAGATCAGCCTGCAGTGTTAGAAGCCGTGAATGTTCTTGCGTTGGGAATGCGTATCAGGGCATGGGAAAGAATGTAGCTGATGAGTATTGTGCAGAGACGGGCAGGAACGAGGTCTAGCTAACAGCAGCTTTGAGTAGTGAGATGTTGATCAAGAGACACTGGACATCCCATCCAAACAGTCGTCACCAGTTGTAAGAATAAGGTCTGTGCGCAACAGGCACTTGACGCTCAGACCTCCTCCAACAGGTAGGTCCGTCACGATATATCTTACCCATAGTCCACCTATCATGCTCGTGATGAAGGGGCCTGTAGGAAGTCTGATGCCCGTGGATGGTGCAGCGAGTATCTGCAAGAACACCACAAGAGAGCGATGAATAAAGCAACCCACCAAGGCATTTTGAGAAACTGGTCAAGATTTTAAGCTTAAAACGAATCTAGAGTATCCATTGTAGGGGTAAAGTGTCAAACACAGCTGCGAGACTCTACGCACGCTCGCTCGATGCATACTCGTTCACTCGCCTTGCCCCCAACATGTACGGAAAATGCAGTTGTCTGATTTGAAATGGATAGCACGCCCACCCCGCTCACGCTAGGATCGTCAGACCGCCCGCGATGAGCCCGAGCAGCCCCACAGCAATTCCAAGCGTCGCATGCCCGCCGCTCACGCTGACCAGTGAATGAGCAGCACCACTCGAGTGTGTAGAAGGACTGACACCATTCGTCACGGTGGTCGTGTTGCTGACCAAACTCTTCGAGGCGAGCCACGAAGGGACTGTACCGAGTTCCGGGGCATACTCGTTAGGTTGGGTCGTGTTGTCCGTACCGTCCCAGCACCACGTATTGAAACATTGTTGACACTCGGTCGATCTATTTGATGACGTGTAGTTGAAAGCTCGATCAGTCAATGCGCATGCTAGACATTTTGGCCAAGTGGGAACCGAGCCATTGAGCGTGAAGGATCGCATCCCGTTGATGACCATGGATTGGGCTGTGGAATTGTCATAGTCCAGTTGATACTGCCGAGCAAGAAGTTCAGCGAGCAGCCGGAATTGCACTTCGAAACTCACTGTGGATGTGTTGGAGTAATAGCTCCACGGATACTGAGGAATATAGACGATAATTGGCGTATCCGTGCTGTTACACCCGAAAAACGTGGGTCTCGTGTTCCAACCACCGTTCACGAATCCATTCGTACTGGGCACTGCGGGCATTCGAAGAGGCACATTGTCCATTTGAGCTTGCTCCTTGGATCGAGAGTAGGTTGTATACAGGGACGAACCATTTGGCCAATTGTAGGACGTGTCTGCCGAGTTGTCAAACGCGATGATGGCGTCAACGTTACGCTCGGGGACCAAGAGAGGCTCCAAGGGGACATTTTGATTGGTTGTTCCGGCGTCAAACAGAGTAATATACTCGAGATCAGCGAGCTGAATCAGTCAGTCACACGGCTTCGCAAAAGACAAGGCATCCTAGCTCACCGGATTTGTCTGGTTCTGGTACCCTGCGAAGGAGTTGGGGATCCTGGCTACGTCTTCATCATCATCACTGATCGCGCCGGCCAAAGCCTGAATAGCGCTTGCCAAGAGCCCGGTAGCGTCTGAACTGTTGATTCTCTGGACGATGGCATTGAACAAGGTCGAGGAAGTACCCATGACGAAAGTGAGCTGGTCAAACCCTTTCCAGCAGGTCCCGTTAGCAGAACCATTGTTGAGAGACGAGCCGAGGTATTCCAAAGGCGTAAAATATCCTTGAGTCTTGTCTTCCGACCCGATGCTCCAAGCTCCAAATTCAAATGGTGTGAACTCCCACATGGTCGCATTCTCAGCAATGACCACTTCACCAGGTTCACGCTCAGCGGCAATGATGATCGGCATGGGGAGGGAGGCATTGTTCAATCCAGAGACGACAGAGGGAAGTTGAGAAAAAGTGAGATTTGGAGAATTGTCGAGGTGGTAAGGAGCAGGCAGGAGATGATTGCCCAATGCTAAGGCCCAATAGTCCGTGATTTGAGTAGGGAAGCCTTCAGAGCTCTTGGCAGCTACTTGAGACACCAAATCGGTGTAGAAAGCTATTTGGTCGCTGTCGGGAAAGACGAGGTTGGAAGAGAGGTCCCAGACCTGGAGGCGTGTCAGCGTGGTGCGATGGGGATATGAAAGCGCCCGTCAACCATTTGGGGCTCTAAATACGAGCTGACGATATGCTGGTCTTATTCTTTACTCACTTGCTGAACCAAATCAAGAGGTGACATCCCGTCGTTCGCCATAAAGGTTCCCGTACCCCATGATCCTCCACTCAGCCCAGCCATGTACGATAGACCGTCGAACCAGCCTCCGACGCCAGATGAGGCGGCTTCGCTAGACTGGTTCGTTGTGCCCATGACCCCGCCAAGCCCGACGCTATTGAGTGGCAAACGTCAGGTAAGAGTCAAGTGTAACAAGAGGTCCACGACCCACATCATGGCCCTGTATCCTCCTCCCGACAGTGCAGCTCCAATTACCGGGGTCCTAGGCGGTTTGGGCAGCCCATGAGAAGACATCATCGTGTTTATGGCTGACAGGTACTGGGACCGCTTTGACAAGTAGTCTTTCTCTCCACTACCTAATGAATCGGCATCACGAATCCAGGTAATGTCACTTGGACATGATACTTCGTACGGCTGGTATCCGCCTGTTGGGTCTCGTTTGGCGAGAGCGATGGCCCGAGCAAGTGGTGCAAGCTCTTCCTCCCGTTCATGTAGCTCTGATATGACCGCTGAGCCGAGTTGTGCGCGACCGAGAGTTGTACCGGAAGCCAAGGGAGTCGTGACGAGACAAGCCAGCAGCGGCAAAAGGGTGAGAAGTGATGGAAGCTGTGTCATGATGTGAATGCGAGAGAGATGCTGTAGGGATGGATGCCTTGGGGGACGCGAATGCCGGGCACAGAGAAACAGAGAGTATGAAGTGATTTCTAATCCCCAAAGATATATATGCTATATGCAGAGGCGATGAAGACCGAGGTCGCGCGCGGATGTTGAAAGAATCTATCAAAGGAGACCCAAGAAGGACCCAAGTCGCCAAGAGTAAAAGATGATGATGATGATGATGATGATGTCTTCCTCGTCAAGGCAGTCGTGTCTGCGCAGAATAGATGCTAGAGTGTCGTATCGTCAATGTATAGACAAGTGATCAATGTTCCAAGCATGCGTATGTCGTTTCGTCTACGGGCGCCGCACAAAGTCTACAAGGTCAGGTTCAGTTCACGGGATGTGATTGATTTGATGATGTAAAAAAGAAGTAGAAGAAGGCTGTCGTTATACGAGCGCGGAGAGCGGCATAAAAGCTTTGCATAGCTGCGTCAGCCAAGATGTAAGCTAGGTCATCTTGTTATCGATGTGGCCTCAGAGAAGATCACACTTGCGCTTGAGCAGCTATCCACTGCTGGGGCTGATCGCATACGAGCAGCAGCTATGCATAGACAGCCAATTGATCTTCCACGTGCCTGAAATGCCCCTATCACGCGCCGCCCCGCTTCGGCCGCCGAATCGGCTTCCGTCATGGCGATCATCTGCGGCCGGCAGAGGATGAGGATATAGTCGACACCACCGAAAGAACGAAGAGTTTTTTCACTCTGGACACGATGAGCTTAGAAGAGAATCACAGAGATACCGAGCACCACCACCACCATGATCGACACGCTCATGCCCATGGTCATGCCCAAGGTCATGGTCACCATCATGGCCACGGTCATTCGCATGGCCATGGGGTAGATAATTGGTCTGGCGAGGATTATCTCCAATTTCCCGGCATGTGAGTCTGCCCTGCGCATGATATCCTCAAGCTCATCTCATTCTGTGCCTTGCAGGAAAGAGACAGCTCTCAAATCTCACGAATCCGTCCTTCACACACTGCAAGGTGCAGATATCACCCCTGAACAAGTATCTACCATGTCTCTCATCGAGATTGGTTGTGGTGAGTCATCAATGTCCTTTCTTTCCTCCACCATCACCTAATAGAGATAATGGATCAGGTGCTGGAGCAGTGACGAAGCTCTACGCCGAATCATTCGCATCGGTGCATGCCATAGATACTTCCACGTCGATGCTTCTCGCCTTTTCAGATCGACTTCCACCAAAAACGACCTACTCACTCCATGCTCTCTCTGAAGACTCTCCGAAGGATTTTCAAGATGGGAAAGAAATGTTCTCACCTACGAAGTCGGAACAGGAACGAAAGCTTGCCCCTCCAAGAGCTCGGTTCGACATCGCTGTGGCCAACTTGGTTTTACATCATGTAGACAATCTCGATGGGTTCATGGCTGGCGTTGTGGGTTTGCTGAACCAGGGGGGCTGGTTCGTCATCACGGAATTCGCAAAGAATGAAGATGAAGGAGGCCATGATCATGCGCACCATCACGGTGGGCATAGCAACGCCCACGATGATGAACTAGAACGTGGCAAGGTGAGTCGTCCTCATCCACTGGGTCAAAGCTCAATCCCTCGTGTCCAGAAACTCGAAGGCGGATCCGTCAACGCTCCCAACCACTTTCACGCAGCTTTCTCTGTCGATTCCATCACCGACTTTCTCAAAAAGTACGGTTTCACCGACGTGCATGCAGAGATTCGAGGCAAGCTCCCCGTATGGGAGGATCCAGCAAAGTATCCTTCTTGCCTCATTGCCCGTGGACGCAAGCCTTGAGGATCCGTGATAGTGAGTGAAAATGCATGTATGAGCCATAGGTATATATATACATGTGAGATGCAGACTGACAAAGAGCCACGCCAAGCCGAAACCGATCAAATCTGCGAGTATTCTGTGAGCCAAAAACTGATCCAGTGCGGTTTGAACGACTCACCAAGGACAGCTCCAAGGTCCATACTCTCCTCGCCCACACCTTGACTTTCATGGTCTCCTTGCTCTTCATTGACTTTGGAACATCAACCTCTACACCATCCCACCAGCATTTTCTCTAGAGACATGCTCGTCAGCACACTGGAGTACACTTCAACCACCCATACGACTTACCGCTGGCTTCCTCCAGAATAACAACAATTTCTGGGCCGTTGCCATCTGAGGATGATCAATGAAAGGCACTGTGGTACCGGGAGGAGCTTCAGGTTGGCCAGGATGTATGATGCCGGTCTTCAACAGGACCAAGGCCATGGACGAAATAATGTTGCGATTCGGTTCGCAAGCTCTGAATCCCCATTCGTCTTCCCGATTGAATCCACTGAGAGGCAAACGTCAGCCTAGTTTCTCATCCATCGGGCGGGCTAGATTCTTTTACCCACCTCATACAGAGCATATCGATGAGATGTTGTTCTGCCAAGTTGTTCTCCTTATTCACGTTTCGTTGCAACGCCGCAAAGATGAGCTTTCGTTCAGCCAAAGCTTTTCCACAGTTGGCTTTCATGGCTCTGAGCTCGTCGTTTCCCAAACCCGTGTTTATGTCTGTTTTGGCCAGACCTCCAGGTTGAGTGATACTGAAATATTCCAATTCTTCCCGTAGAACGATGATGGCTTGTTTCGAGAGGAGCGGGTTGGAAGATTGATCAGTCGTCGGATCGCCAGGTGTAGAAGGGATGGAAGCCTGGGCATGGAAGAGGTCTGGTGTAGTGGCTGATCCGTAGAAATGAGCTTGGGCTGTTGCCCAAAAGTTGAGGATATATTCAAAGCAGTCGGGATCAAACTGAGGGAGGAACGGGAAGAGCGTCAGCAAAGTGCGCATGCCATCAAGGTCATCGTTCATGTACTCACATCCACTGTGAAGACTCCATCATCTGCACCTTCCCAAGAAGCGGGTTTTGACAATATCAACCCTTGAGGAAACAGACCCAACAAGACGCTCTCCGGTAAGAGCATCAGCGTCTCCCGGTCAACTGGGAAGACTCGGCCACGTAGGTCGAGATTGAGACGAGAGAGAAGCTGTTGGTTGGTCGCGTATAATGGCTGAGGAGCATAGGTCTGAGGAGCAACGGACGTGATGGGGTTTGAGGAAGGGGCGGCGGAGGTGATGGGATTGGAGGATGATACGGCGGCCATGGTGATGGAAATGAGCGGAGGAGAGCCCTCGAGATGCAGAGAGAGGAGGTTGAGCCCAGGTGATGAGACAGCTGACGATGCTCAGTTACAATAAGCCAAGGAGTTGGTTGAATGGCTCGCGATCGCGACGAGAATATCTAACGAACGAGCGAGATGTCGTCCAAGCGTCAGTGCCGGTCGTTTGCAAAGATGGTCTTCAAGTAGTCGAGGCACGACACGTTTCCGCCAATAATGTATACGGAAAGTTCACGGAGAATGAATGATGAGAGGATTAACAAGTTGCAACAACAAGGTAGGTGCAACTGCCCGAGAACCCTCAAAATGAAACATTGAAACGGGATCAATATCGAATACGGCCCGAGATTCGAGACGGCTGTTGCTGCGTTCTTGGCCAATCATGCATGCTACAACCACCTCCGCTCTGGATCTAGTGGTTTGCTGCCGCGTGCTCAGCCATGTGCATGGCATGATGCCCCTCTTTCGAATTGTTGTAAGCGTACCTGAACATAACATCAGCAAAATGAACGATGAAAAACGGAGGGGAGGATGCCACAGAGGTGGAACGAAGCCACATGTCACACCGAGGTCGTCTGCTCTACGCACTTTTTACTTCCCCATGAGTAAACTCCATAGCCTAGGAAGAATGTCAGCATGCGTCTGGTGAACCATGTCGATCCTCTGCGGCAGGCAAGCCCAAGCATGGCACATGCAAGTCTCCATTTCAAGGCTGATGATGCCTGAATATGCGATTATGCTATCTTTCTCATTTCTCAAGCATCGATGCGGGACGCTCGTGATCCGCAGAAGCTTCCAGTCCATAGCAAACTGCTCCACCTTGACTCACCTATTGACAATGGGACGAGGAAGTAAGCCGATTGTTGGATTAACCTCCTGGTGCCGTTGAAGATCCATCCACTGATTACTCCTTGGAAAGCTCGCTGACGGTACGGTGAGACACCTGTGGGGCACGGGGGGTCAGATATCGGCGGAGAGGAGCGGAGAAGGTCGAGTCGAAGAAGCGAAGAAGAGACAGAGGCGAGATGTAGTAGAAGGGAAAGATCAGCGTCTTGATACTTGCGTTTGACTTAGGACTGACTGTAGGTGACGATTCCCTTTTGCTTCGGACCTCCCATGGATCCCCACCAGCCCATCTATCGGCAATCATCAGTACATGTCTTGCGGTTGTCCGTCGTCCTCGTCCTGGCGCCGCTGCTCATCTCCCAAATCCACCTCCCGTGGAGAGAGCAAGATAGAATACATCACTCACGTAGGACTTGCCTATTGTATCGATCGAATCAGCTGAACTCTCCTTCTTCATGGTCATGACGATTCACTCACCCGTAGGCATTCCGCTCATGCTAATCTGGGAGGACCTCATTGTGTTATGTGTCGATGTATCAACAACTCGATCAAGCAAGGATACTGCTGCTGCTATGGTGCTTGATCTCATAGCCCTGTCCCAGCCGGCGGGGGGCGGCGAAATGAAAGAAAACGCCGAGAGTGGCACATGATTTCACAGGCTGAGTCCCAACCAGCGCTTCGTGTCTGCGATCACTGCTAACAGCACCCTCCCTGCCCATCTCCTCTCTTTCAACAGGCGGCGGTGTACCGAGCCTCCTACTCCTCACGTCTCTCTTCCCATTGGCTCTTCCGGATCTCTCCCCAACCCCCACCATGTCTTCCTCTTCCACCCGGTCTCCATCTTATTCCAGTTCCGCCGACAAAGTCTGGCCTCCTCGTCAATCCGATCACTCCAACTCGAGATTAGCATTCAACATGATCACTTCTACAATGTTCGGACTGGGCGTCAAGGCGACTCAGGTGGCTATCTTGATGGAGACAAAATTGTATCATTATACACCGGAAATGAAGGCAATCACAAAGATTAAGTGGCTGGGTAGGTTGGAACTCTCACACTTCACGCTAGGGTGTCACTGATCACGCTCAATACAGTCCCATCGGTCTATCTTAAGACTGCGGCTGTCTGGGCTCCTGTCGGATACATCTACTACTGGTCAAGATTGAGAATGTGAGCTTCTATTTCGCGCCTCTATGCTCCGAAGTCCAGCTCACGCCTTTCTTAGATCATACCTCCTGGCACAAAAACAACGGGAAATGGCTCAGAGTGCCAACAGAACACTGAGATCACAACGTCGTGCTGCGGACATTGAGATTGATGGACTGCCAATGTAAGAGAAAGCGAAGCACAAGAGGACACGTAAACTATGAGGGACTATACGAGCAGGTCGAAGACGCTCAAAAGCATATTGCGCATGTAACATTTTTGACTCCATAGACGAGTGGCAGCAAGGCAGAGATCTATACATTACACTCTGATTCGCACAACAGGCCAACCAGCTCCAATTTTCGAATGCCTACACTTGGGCCAATATGCCATCCTCTGAGCGACCTCCAGCTCCTTGCTCATACCTCGACTTCCGGCTCGAGATCTCCGAACGGTCTACTCCGGAAGTATGACTCGTCAAACTGAGAGAATTGCATGAGCGTGGGCGGCTCCAATAGTGTGCTATGACTCACCCAGTGAACTCGCACGAATCCATCCTCTGCCCCTGATGCGTATGCTTTGCCTTGAGGGTGCACAGCGAGAGTATTTATCGGGCCGCTGACGAGAGTTTAGTTGACTGCATCTGCTGGCCGCGCAACTCACAAATGTCCCCTGACTCGTCCAACTTCCTCCTCGAACAATTTGTGCCAGAACCTGGCCTCAAATTTACCAGCCCGCTGACCAGTGGTGGTGACGTTCATGGCTTCCTGACCACCTCCGAGGATGACCTAAGGGAAGCAGATGAGCGCAGTCCCCCAAAATTGCAAGTAGTCCCATGCCGACTCACATATGGTCTCAAAGGAGCAATGCAAGCCGAGTTGAGGGGTGTTTCAGTCACGTAACCTTTCATCTCGTCGAGCGTCTCGACGTCGAACAGCTGGTGAACGAGAGTTAGCTGGTGACATCTTGTATATCTGAGAACTTATACCCACCTTGGCGGTCTTGTCCTTGCTTGACGTGATGAAATACGTGCCATCCGGACTCAATTGGATATCTGTAATCTCTCCGAAATGACTCTCATTGGTCCTCTGTATCTCTTCACCCGTTTTGACGTCGTATTTTGCAATCTTGCCTGACTCATGACCTGTAATGATTACATCGGATAGGGGGGCGAAAAGGGCGACGGTGGCTTTGGGTCCGTATGTCGAGATGTTGATTTCGTTGATGGGCGTGTTGGATTCTGCAATAGGGGGGCAAAGTCAACAACACTTTCTTTTGCAGCCTTTCATCAGAAGAACGTACGGTTGGTAGGGTCTTCCCGGTTGATAGAGTATATCCTGTAGAGAGAGATGAGCTTGACCACAGGAACCCCATTCCCAGGAACATGACGCACCTCAGCATACTCTGTTGACCCTGACGCTGTTCAGTGATGGAGAGAATCATCGAATCGTCCTCGCTGATAGGGGCTTGTATCAGTATGCCGCTCCACTGCGAATCTCAATCGTTCCTCGCTCACCTCCACGCCACCCTCTTGACTGCCGTTAAGAACTCCCAGACTTTCAGACATTTACCAGTCTGGACGTCCCATAATCTCATCGTGTTGTCCGCAGATCCAGTGACAAGGTATCTGGATTGAGCTGTAGAACACCCATATGAGAGATCATACGCGAGGAGAGAGTTGAGAGAAAAGCGGCAAAAGCAAGGATCGAAGAAAAATCAGCATTGTTTCCTGCCCCCGTACATCCCACCTGTCTGCACTCACAGTCTACAGCTACGGTCCATACCGTTCCATTGTGCCCGTTGAACGTTCCCAATCTTTCACCGTTCGAGGTGAACCACACGTTGACACCTACGTCCTTGGACGCAGAGAATAGGAGATCACCCTCGGCATTGAAGACAATTTGAGTCAAGGACCGTTCGTGTCCTTGGAGAATGATTGGTTTCTGTGAGGGTACAGGTCAGCGAACCCGAGCTATAAGTCTGTACACCGTAGTAGCTGCAAGACATGGCCTTGTTGTTGTCTGTCACTCACCATGACGGTATGCGTTTAGTGTGTAGCCTGCTTCAATCCACGACACTTTGTGGATGGATGCAGCGACAATTTTGTAAAAGAGTCGCCAAAAATTCGTGGCGATTTTCCATGTGGCATTACTGTGAACAGAGCTACATTTTACTCTGCATGCGTGCATGCGTGCATCGTGCATAGATTGAGATCCGGCAGGCTCTATGAAGACCAAGGCATCCAGCCTTCTTTCCCAGAACTTCCACTCAACTCATTCGTTATACTCTTATGGGCAGTCATGAGATCTGTACACTGGATCAGCGTGAAAAGCTTCGTGATAGACTCACAGTCGGCATAGCTCAAAGCATCATTATTGCTGTCTTCAACCAGCATGTTGGCGAACTCAATCTCTGTGCCATCCATATTCTGCCTGACCATGATGACGGGTAGCGTGTGACCGACGATGCCTTCTAGATGAGTGATGATATTACGCAGCTGGGTAGATAATAGTGTCGGCAGCTTCGGTAGGCGTGTCTATTTCCCAACATCAGATAAATCCCCTCAGGTCGAAGGTTACAAACCACTTACAATACGTATGTCCAGTTCCTGCAAGCTCTCCGCGCCGTAAATGTCATCGATAATTTGAGGTGAGACACCTCCGCCGAACCAAATCATGGCGATCTCTCCATTAGCTACAGCTTTGATCAGCTTTTGATTCTTCTCTTCCATGACCCCTCTGTCAACCTACTCATCAGATACGCTCCCTCCGCGACCATCCAGGCGTAGCTTGCTCTCATAAATCGGGGTAATTTTAACCTCCCATTGGCACCTGGGAATCCAACGTCTTCGCTGAGATCATGGATCGCCAATAATCGAGGATAGAGAAAGTTCATGGTGCTAACGACTGAGAAGGAGCGAATGAGGCGCATGTAGTGCGATCGAACGTCCGAGGAGACGTTTCCACCTAATCACCGTGAGTTAGCCTCACCCGAATATAAATGTGATGCGTCTCTCACCTTTCAGTGGCTTGCACTTGAGCATGCAGAGAGTGTATAGCGGCAAAAGCTTGAAGCTCTCCGGCAGGATGAGCTGGGCACGATGTAAGCGAGCGGCACGTCCTTAGCCAATGTGGACTCACTTGACCCTGTTGGACTGCTGGCGCACAATGCTTCCGGTACATCAACAATATCCTATTACACCGATTGCTGAGATTCGTGCGAATGTCTTTGAGAGCCTTCTGGGGCATCTGCGACACAGCTAGAGGATCCTGATCAGTCGCCAACACCTCGTCCTGACTGCGAGAACTCACCATCCTTGACGAACAAAGTGACGGCGGCATCGAGATCCGCGAATCGAAAAACGTTCCCTATCAAGCTCGTTGTCGTCAAGCTGAGGTTGAGACATCTCACTCTCCTTTCCCCAGATGAGCTCGTATAGAGCACAGCAACCTGGACGAAAGCCGGTTGTCGGTCGTCCAACCTTTGACCTTCGTGTTTCAGAGCCGCTGCGAACGCTTTCGATTCGTCTATTAGGCCGTACTCCAAGTCCGTCATGGATCGTTGATAGTGGTTTCCAATATGATCCGCCACCCGCAACCCGTTTGAGCACCGGATGCGGATCGTAGCGTTGTATACCGTTTCTCTAACCATTACGCGCTTGATCTCGTCGTGTAGGGTGTCGCGATCTCGAACAGGGTTGAATTTGGGATGGAAGAAGACTTCCCCGCCTGTGATCGAGGCGAGGGCGCCAACAGACGCAACATCGGTATATTGATCAGGAAACAGGAAGAGGTTGACACCGACTCCGCATTCTGCCATTTCCTCTGCTGTCACACGCCAAAACGGGTCGGCGGGACCAAACAATGCTTTCTCCTTGTCTGTTCCAGAAGATCCAGGATCATCCCTTGCGGTCAGCTTGCCCAGACCAACAGTAGGCAACGCAGAGAGGTAGAGATTGATCTGACCACCGAGCATTCTCTGCAAGCGCGAGATCAGCCTGGACTATTGCTCTGAGGGGCACTAGACCGCTCGCTGTGACTTACGAGTCCCGATAAAACGCCCTTGATGGCTGATCCTGCGGCGACGCGGATGCCCTCCGATTGCTGCTCCATCATGTCCGGTATCAAGTTCAGCAATGCTTCCACCTGTGACCTAGATATCTGAGGATCCACTAAGAAACTATTTCCAGCGAGAGGGATGAACATGTCGTCGAGATCTGAAACAACCATAAGGGTTGGTGCTGGTAAGCCGGGCTAGGAAACAGCATCAGCTTGTCGCTTTAAACACCTCATCGCTGACGCACAGAGAGATTCCAGAATCCAACCGTCTCCGCCACTGTAACAATGGCCACTCTTTCCCCTCTCGCCATGATATCCTCGTCCTCTTCTTGTTCTTCTGCCCCGCCGTTAATTCCTTCAGGCTTCGAGGATCCATATATTGCCCTCCTGATCCCTTCACAGACCTCTCTTACAATTCCTCTCCCGATGCTAGGACCACTGACATCGATCACAAACACTCTAGATATCGGGGCAGGCTTTCGTACACGTCTCTTGTCCTTTTTCTTTTCCTTCTCACGATCCCTGTTACCCGGTGTCGGAGTTGGACCTCGAGAAGTCCCTTGACCGAGAGAAGCTTGGAGACCTGTAAAGAGATCCGAGGCAGTAGACGACAGCGCATCAGTAGTGGTATCGGTTACAGAGTCTAGGAGTGAGCCCGAAGGCGGTGGCTGAGGCGCATGATAATCTTTTGATACTGCGAAATCGACAGTCCCATGTTGTAATTCAGGTCGTGAGTCGTGATCTAGTCTCTGGCCCGTAGGCCCGAGGTGGGAGAAGTACAGGTCGGAGACTAGTCCAGGTGTAAGCTCTGTAGAATTCCGATGAAAAGGGGACTCACCAGCATTGGCGTTGCCACACAGATTACAGCCCCACTTTCTGCCACCGTCCTGCCATCGTGCCCAAGGATTGATATATCCTCTGCATTTATCGCACCGTGGCGGTCCGACATCTTCTTCCGATTCCTGGAGTGGATCAAAGGCCGACTGTCCAGAGACAAAGCTAGAGACGACAGGAATGGGTGCTTCGTCGTATCGAAGGGTCGCGAACGGCTGAATGATGAGTCCGAATGGGAGCGCAGTGGTGTCTAGTAGCTGGGAGTTGGTCGGAATGGTCGGTAGGGTAGGTCGGATGTGTCGCGGTAGAGAGTTGCCTGAACAATGGGCATGGTAAGAACGGATGTCTGATTTTGGTTCAGCGAACAACTCACCCTGATCTACACCTCTCCAATCTGTCCCTCCTAGCGGTATAATCCCTTTAGATTGACAGCTCAAGTAATCCTCATCGTCCCACAGATTCTGATCCATCTCCTGAGCTTCGATAGGATTTGGCATCTGACTAGGGTCGATCCTGACTCGCGGACCGGTAAGCGCTGGTCCAGAAGAATGAGGAGGTGCTGGAATGTGATGTTGAGGAGGCACGACGGAATGCCCCAGAGCAGGTTGAAACTGTTGTGTTTGTTCGAGCCCGGATTGAGGTTGGGGCTTGCCATAATGGTCAGGAGGACCTGACAGAGCACCATGACCGTGACCATAGCTTGCGGATCCGCTGGTCTGTAGGGATTGACCATACTGATGATGCTGCTGCTGGACTGGTGCGTATTCCCCTGTGGACGCTTGAGTTCGTCCATCGGCTCCTTGGTGCAGATGTGGATCCTGGTTCAGCGTCGGATACGGCTGTTGCGAATATTGCTGCTGCTGAAACTGCTGTTGAGATTGAGGCTGACCTTGCAGACTCGGGTCCACGGCATACCTCGATCTAGGCGGCATCTTGAGTAGCCGTCTTCTACAGCTCTAGGCTAGCAGCGCGTGTCCGCACGTATATATATATTGGACAGTCGCCTCGTCGCCCCCCAAGCCAGTATATGTCAGTTCCACGTTTTTCCATTAGGCGGCGATCACCGCTATCAGTCGGAATTGTGGAGGCCAGGACAGTGACGAGTCTTGCGAGGCTGCTGTGCATGGCTCACTCAGTACCACTTGTCGTCAGTGTGTCTACTCCAGCGTGAACAGAGACGACAGTGGGGACGATTTGGCCACGACAGGATCTTATTTCGTGATCCCAGATCATGACAGCCCAGAGATCCAATAAGAACACAGTGAGCTGGATCCATTTTCTGCCACTCCAACCCAGCTTACCATGCTCGCCACAGGTCAGACGTACCTCGTCGGCTTCTGACGACTCACTTCCATCTATCCTAGACTATTCCACAGCTTCTTTGACTCAAGTTCCCCACTCTCCCTTGTCCGACTTTGAACACTTGTCCCAACCTTCCTCCATGTCATCCAGCTCATCAGACAGGCCAAAGGCCAAGCTACTCTACTGCAAATCTCATATTGCCATTCATCCGACACAATTCAACAAAGATAATGTGTCTGGCTATCTCGGCATTGTCGAGACTCGAGGTCATGCCGTTCAGACTGATTCGGAAGGAGGCGTTAGGTCACCGTCAACCACTAGCACGGAGCTGCTTGTCACTTGGGTCCCAGATGAGTTACTGAACAAGATGGACAAAGAGGATAGAGAGGGATACAAGCGCGTCGATGCTCGAATCAGTGAGGAGGCGACTGAAAATGAGAAATATGACGAAGGTAGGTAGGCGACCTCAACCCTTGTCCCAACCCTTAATGTCCGTTAACGTTGACATTCGATTAAAGACTTTGTCTTTGTATCGGTCCCACCAGCCAGGGGCGAGAAGTACGCCTTCTCAGTACCCCTATCAGGAATTTACAGCATCTTGGTGTATCCTGTAAGCTTGAACTTGGGCAAGTATCATGATGAGCTGACTTTAGGCATAGCCAAGTCTCTCTCATTGGTACGGATCCGCTACACTTAAGTGAGATAGGCCAGGCCACTGTTGTGAAAAAGCGAGCTCATCAAATGCTAGTTTGGCCGGAGGCATCTCTTTGCCGACTCTATTCTTCCACGATGACGAGTCACCAATGCTGGCTTCAACTTCATACACCAAAACTAATCCTTCCCGCCCTATCGGTCGACCGCAATGGGGATTCCCATCCTTCCTACACCTGCTGCAGACTCGAGCTACTCTGCTCAAATCAAGACTGGTCTCTGGACACGCCAATCATAATGCTGAATTATGGCTCATCAATCCGTCAAAGTCGGATCGAGAAGTGCACGAGGCGGGTGTCTCGAGTGATGCCCTTCCGTCTCGCCACGCCGAGGGCAAGATCCCAGAACAGGCTTACCCTCCTCCGAAGGGAGGCTTTCCAGACGCCAAGGCGGTCATCGGAAACGACACAACTCCAAAGCAAGCGCTCCTGAGCGGTCTTTCTCAGATCACTCGGTTCTCGCGCAAGACGGCCAACCAGATCACTCAACAGGTCCTGTCTCACCCTCTCGCACAGGAAGTGGTACCGCGTTTGCCGCCTGCAGTCAGGTCACTTGTAAATGCGCACGGTGAATGGGAACGCTCGGGACGCCTGCCGCCAAAGAATGGCAAAAATGATGTGGTGACGGAATTTGAGTCTGCCAGACTCTACCTTGCACGATGGGCTCGGGTCGTTGCCGAAGAGGGTGAACGATCTAGACGCGAAGAAGTAGCGGGAAAAGCTGGTCTAGGGAAAGACGATTCTGCAGTGGATGACCTCACTTCATCCCTTGGCGTATTCTCCATTCTATCCTCGCCGAATTCTAAGCGACCAGTGCCTCACTCCACGAGGAGACCCCATCATCCCATCACGAGTCACGACTGGGACACCTTTGCAGCTCAGGGCCGAGACGAGCTTTGGATCCGACGGGAGATCTTCCAACGTGGCTTTACCGATTCACCGGAGCCCGATCAGAAGCGCGCCCGAAGGGAAGGCTGGGAAGTATTATTGGGGATCGTGCCATGGTCATTAGGTGGGTTGGGCGGTTTGGAAGCGGACAGACAGAAACGACAAGAGGCAAGACAGAAGAAGAGGGAGGATAATCGGGCAGAGTACGAGAGATTGAAGAGCAAATGGCAGAAGGAGACCGCAGAGCAAGAGACGGAAGAGTGGAAGGAAGAGTGGCACCGCATTGATGTGAGCCAGCTCACTGTATTAGAGCTAAGCTGACGTTCTCTCAGGTCGACTGCAGACGGACAGATCGAACTCAGCCTATATTTGCCATACCTGCCGAGGCCATGGCTAAAGGTCAAAGCGAGATTGAGGAAGTAGGACCGTCTTCTGCTTTTGATGATACGATTGAGAGCGATGGCAGACAAGCGTTGCTCAACCGTGAGCTGAAGTGATTGGGAGAGTCCATGGGGCTGATTAGTCCACAGCTCACGTTGCCGCACTCCGTACCATCCTGATGACTTACCACTCATATCATCCAGACCTTGGCTACGTGCAAGGTATGACCCCTCATCCGTGACGACGGGAGCGTTGCTCAACCTTTCACCAGGCATGTCAGATCTCCTATCTCCCATCTATGTTGTCCTGGAAGCCAACGAGGCCGATGCCTTCTGGGGACTCGTGGGAGTCATGAAGATGATGGTGGGTCCAGCGTGCTCGCGAGTCGATTGCTGAGGCTGCCTCAGGAGACAAATTTTCTGCGAGACCAAAGTGGGATGCGTATGCAGCTATCAACACTTCAGCAACTCATTGGCGTCATGGATCCAGAGCTGTACTCACATCTAGGTATGTCATCAGCAGCAGCAACAGAGTGGCAGGTATACTGCGTCACTAACTATCGCCGATAGAGAGAACAGGCTCGTTGAACCTCTTCTTCTGCTACCGATGGGTGCTTATCGCTTTCAAACGAGAATTCAAATTTGAGGATGTCATCAGACTCTGGGACGTGAGTCGCTCTATTCCCCTGTGGAAGTGTGATGATCAGCCGGCTCATGCTCTCGATCAGGTGCTCTGGACTGACTTCTATTCGACCCACTTTGTCCTCTTCATAGCACTCGCCATCCTCCAGTCTCATCGAGATGTCATACTGAGGTATCTAACAGAATTTGACGAGGTCCTCAAGTATGCAAACAACCTCTCTGGGACGGTGAGCTAACTTTTGCAACATGACATCCATCGACAAGCTTACGCCTCATCTCAGATTGAGCTTGACTCGACGTTGGCTCAAGCGGAAGTCTTATTCCTCTCTTTCAAGAACCTCGTGGAAGAACTAGATAAAGGCATTGCAGAGGCGGAAGGAGAAGCAGGTGACTCAGGTTCATCGGTCGACTTGCGGAAACGTGCAAATGCGTCATCCGTCGCAGGAGTTCAAGAGCAGTCCGATGAGGACAAGGAGCGACTTGCCAACATTGAGAGAGATAAACAGATTCTCACTCCTCAATTAAGAGACTTACTAGATAGCTGGAAAGAGGATGGCAAGAGGTTGTAGATGCGTTTGTTTGTACTCGACGCTTCATAGACACGCAATTGTGAATATATATCGTTGTCATTTGGATTTGGTCGCTGGCAGTCTCACCGAGCCGAGAGATTGCGGTAGACTTCAAATGAGTCGACTGTACATTTCTTCCTGGATCGTTTCCGTCGCTGACACACTCTCCGCTGAGACTTCTCAAGGGAAGAAAGGAAAGAAATGTCTTTTTGCATGCAAAGGAAAGCTCGGCTTCTATGTCGCTACATGTGATGTGAAGGAATTAAGGACTGGATAAACGTCTCGAGGCCAGATACCGGTTCTCACGAGAAGGATGTAGTGGGTCGAGATGAAGAAGTTGAAGATGAGGGTAAAGGTAACGATTCTGATGGTATTTCCGGAGAGGCACCCAGTCGAGCCTCTTCAAAAGGACCTTCATCCTCTTCATCTTCCTCAGGAAGATCCTCAAATTCTCGAGCAGCTTGGACATCGAAATGCTCTCCGGAGGCTCCTCTCATCCTACTCGTGCGTCTAGTATCTAGCCCTGAAGATGGGGCGTCAGGGATCATCCCAGCATGGAGAGTGCCGACTCACTCGCGAGTTCCTATGAATCGTTCGAACCTCCTAGAGAGTTGTACTCTCCCCTCACGCTCCCTTTACGTGGTCTTCCAAATACTCCTCCCATCGCGCGGGATATTTGTCCAAACATTCCCGAGTTTGATCCTCCTACTTCGTTCCGATTGTGGTATATAGGCAGTGACGAAGACGAGCTTCTCGATCTTGAACGCTTGCCTTGTCCTCGGCCGTTGACAAATGAAACTTCGGATTCAGACACGTCGTCGCCAGCATCGTCTCCGTCATCCACAGGAACGTAATCATCATCATCTTCGTCCTCGACAATCTCGTCACCGAACAGTCTAAAGAACAATATCAGCAAATGTCTTGCACGTTGTTCGTCACCCACTTGTCCATGTCCTCTAGAGCCACGCCCCGGGTTTCAGGGTACAAGAAGTAGACTGATAATGTCTGAGTGAAAGCTCTTCCCCTCTACGACATTGCACTCACCCAGGACAAATGACACGCAACAGAAGAAAGCGTGCATAGGGTATAATCGCCAAGCGATGAGTTGCTGGAGCAGCGGAGTCGAGACACCGACCCAATAGTTCTGGAAATGGCGTCAGCCACACGTTGGAATGTTCGCCATGATGACTTACAAAGAGCCAATTCTTACGACGCATCGTCAGCTTTAGTATCTCATACGGCAGCTACAATCTCACGGTAGCGGTCGACAAGGAGACTCCCTTGGCTCGGAAAGGCAAGGGCATAATTTCGGGAGGATATAGCCTGCAGTGCCTTCAACGCCGTCGCCATCCGGGTGCACGCATAACGTACCATGGAATAGGTCCCCAACTCATTCCGAAGGCAGCATTGTAAATGATCACACATGCCACCACTAGCTGTTGTCAGTCATTCTCCGAGGGAAAGGTTCACGTGACGCACCCGCAGTTGGCGTCATAGCTTGATCAATGTAAATCCACCAACCCATAGCCGTCAAGGATATCGCCATGGCCACTGCTCCGGAAAGAAGGATTGGCCGACGACCAGCTCGGTCCACCAAGAACCAGGGAACGAGGGTAGATGCCACGTAACAGAGGGAGTTGTATCCAGTCATGAGGATTGCATCTCTTCCGACCCAATTAGCCTCTGAATCACTTGTCAGCTCGCTTGGACCTTGGGATGGGATGAATCGACTAACGTTCAAATACCAAAGCTGACAATAGCGTTAGTGAGGCTCAGATTAAGACACAGCCGGACGTACGAGCGTAATAAGAAATGACTGATTCCAGCGAGATAAGCAAGCATGACTCCAGTCAGACGAATGACACGTACCGTTGATACCATTCTGTGCGACACGTAAGTCAAGTAACAGGAAATGCGGGATTCGCTTACCAGCTGCGCAAACATTTGACTACTCATGGCGATCAAGACTCTGCCCTTGTATCGTCTCCATAAAGCGCCGTAGGATCGGTCCCCCACGGCGCGCTGCAGCGAGGTGAGCAAAGTTCAGACACCTCTCGGCGCAACTCACATCTGCGAGCACTGCATCCTTAATTTCCTTGAATTCCAACTGAACATCTTCGTGATCTAATGGCTTGCCCTGGAAATCCGCAATGACGGCGAGACCCTCCACTTCACGGTCCTGGTCGATTAGGAACCGAGGTGATTCAGGAGTGATGAAACTGCCGAGGAAAAGGAAGAGCCCTCCGATGCACTGCACGGACAGTGGTATCCGCCAGGACAGGTCGTTTTGCAAGTAGGAGGAAGCGTATCCAATCCACTGAGCGCGGGGTCAGTTGGATTCTATACTCTCATAATAGTAACGTACGACAGAACAGGCGTATCCTACCACATTACCCGTGAATTCGACGGACCCAAGCAGACCGCGCTGTTAGGTCATTAGTCTTCATCCTCCGGATTCGACAACAACGAGACTCACATGCTCGGCTGGAGAGATCTCTGACTGATAGATGGGCACGACCATACTCAACTGACCGACACCAAATCCGCTTAATATCCGCCCTACGATCATGACCCAGAAACCATTGGTGAATGTCTGGATAGCACCTCCTATAGTGAAGACCAAAGCTCCAGATCTCAGAGTAATTCGTCGTCCATAGTTGTCCGCTAGGGGAGCGGCCAACAGAGATGTGACGAAAGCACCTATTTCCAGAACAGCCACCATATTTCCGACCTCCCCAGGTGTCGGTTGATTGAAATAGGCCTTGAAGTACGGGCCGGTGATGATACCGGACATCACACCTGATGCAAGTCAGCTCGCAGCTCCTGCAGCGCATTTTCGCCGTCTACCCACCTTGATCGTACCCGAACAGCCAGACTCCGATAGATAGGAAGACAGACACACTATACAGCAGAGAGCGTCCCTGCAGCTTTGACGACGTTTTGCCATGGACTACAGGGACCGACGGGCCCGACGCCAAGGTACTCGACGTCATGATGGAATCGTTCAAAGATTGGCTGAGGCGAGAATCCTCACGACCTTTCGACGTTTGAAATCGTCAAGACGGTTTGTGAACCCCTCTTAAGACTCTCGAGGTCGATGCTTGAAAGGAGCGTGGAGGTGGGGGACTCGTGTCGAGGGGTAAAGATGCGGGACCTCGCTAAAAGTGATGGTGCCCTCTGATCTTCCGGGAATGAGATGAGAGGTAGCAGCGGGGTATCGATAGCATGTAGACTTGCTTCTCCCCCAGGGACCTCTGTGTGAAGCGACAGCTAGTCTCAACTGACAGAGCTGATTGATATGGAATGCAGTTGAAGAGCAACAGGAGCAGCGTCTTTTTTCCTTTTCTCCAAAGCGCCGAAACAGGAGCCCGCGGGGGGAGATAATTTGATTCCGTCGATGTTTTTATGACGCAGAGCGCGATGAAGATCAGCAAGCAGCAGCGTGATAGCCATGGATGTATGAGATACAAGAGAGAGAGAGAGAGTCGTGGGATAGACGGAACAGATACAAAGTAGAGAGCCAGCAAAATCCTCGTCACCTTCTTGACCGCCTCACTGTGCCTTCCCACACACCCAACTCCATTCCGGGCTTCCATCCAATCTCCTCGACATCATCATCTTGATCATCATCTGTTGTTGTAGTCCTCCTTGAACGTCTGTCCAAGGGATCCTCCTGCATAGGCATGCGAATGACAACACCAACTCTAATCTCTTCCCCGTCCTCCAGCTCTCTTTCCAATTCTGGCGTCGGTGGATCACCATTCGCTTGATCAGGATCTACGGCCAACGACTCGTGACGAGATCTTCGGCGATGACTGAAATGAAAACCAGTGAAGGACATGCGTGGTGATGGACGAGGTCGAGGTCCAGATGATCGAGGTAAACGTGGTGACGATTGTTCGGCTGCGATATCCAAGTCAAGCTCTTGGTCCGGAGGCAGTAGAGATTGAATGGAAAGAGGCTGAAAGTCTATCAGCGACTGTCAAGATTCGGATTGCTCACTTGTGAGCTATCCCAATCCTGGTCTGCAGCACTCGTATCCCAAGCATGACCTCCCCTGCTGCTTGACATGCCCTGTCCCTCACGGCTATGCCTGCCCTCAGACAGCTTCTCGTCCTCCGCCATATGCTCCCATAAAACTGGTATCTTTCTCCATTTAGATTGAGCGCCTCCGACCAGTGGTGTTCCCCCGAGGGCGAGTCGATCCAACCCCGTCGAGTTCCAACCTGCGAGGCCACCCAGACCCCAAAAGTCTTCTCGATTGGCTGTAAAATCTGGCGGGAGACGATCGCCTCGGGCGATGGCTAGTTGTGTAGCTGTTCGATAACGCCTTCTGATGCGGAAGGCCCGGTACGTCATACATCCTGCGATGCAGAGTAGTATCACGAGGACGCCTAGGAACTTTCGACAAGTCAGTATGCGTCGGTCATCGAATCATCCGTAATAGGAGTTCCCATGATTGCAGCTCTTGAGAGCTCACTCACAACAAGGTAGTATACATTCGTCGAATTGCCCGGTCCCCCATCGTCGCTACTGGTTCCACTCTGAGTAGTTGTCGGGAACAGTGCACTATAACTGGTCGTTGCAGAACTGTTACTGCCTGATTCACCTGCGAATAGGGCAGTCGCACCAGACGTCGCGGGATGCGCAGTTGTCTGAGTTCCCCCCAAATTCCGGGCGACGAGTGCTGTGGCCATGGCGAGTGAATGTCAAGTCTGGACCTCGTTCAAGGGCGAATGTATTTTCACTCGTGTATAAAAGCAGAAAGCGTTCCAATGGAACCCAGCGCGTGAATCGATGCCGATGTTATCACCCTCCAGACTTGAGGAGTCTAAAGTTACCAAGAGAGAATCGCCGAATTTTCCACGGTCGTTTGTTTTCCTGGTCTCGCTTTGAACGATGTCACCTCAGAATACCCTGCTCCCTCAGAGACGCTCGATGCCGTCCCGATGGAGAGTAGAGCACTTGTCCTGGTCGTCCACTTCCTCAAGGTCAAAATAGAAAAAAGGTCGAACAACATCGGGAAAACTGGGGGGAATTGGGGTTTGCATCCTGTCTGGGCCAGAGTGGCGGAGGGGTTAAGCACTCCCTCAATGGGAGCTGGAGCATATAGGTGCAGTCTTCGTTGAGCGAGTGCATGGGTCCGGAGGGGTGGGGATCCGGAGGTCTTGGTCCACTCGACCAATCTCGACGCATTAGAGCTCAGCTGTCAGCCTCTGACTCCTTGGAATACCATTCATTGTTTTGCCACTCGGTATCAATCATTACTGATGCCACTGCCAAAATAGCAGACGCTCTCTCGCATTTTGGATTGATTTGGGAAACCCAAGACGACTTGCACTCGTCTTTCCACCTATCATCTCGACCCAAGACAAGAGTGAGCGGCGATCATCGCCATGTCAAGCAATGGCAACGGCCTGGTTCCTCGAGAGGGAAGCGGTCCTCGGTTGATAGAGGGTCCTCGAGCGGGACAGCGCAGTCTGTACCAGCAGCAAGTACTGGATGTGAGTGGACCCACCGACTTGGGTCTTGCCCAGCCTGCACAGAGATTGACGAATGTCTCAGGAAGACACCTATACCGACGCTCTATCACATATCATCACACGAGACTTTTTCCCGAACCTACCCCATATTCACGCTACGAATGCGTACCTCCAAGCTCTGACCAATAATGACCCAGAACTCCTTTCTTCGTCTATTCGACGACTCGCCGCTCTGGCCCAACAGAAAGAGGAAGGCGGTCGAGGCAGCTCGTCCCGTCAAGGTGGAGAAGCAGATCGTAGAGCCGAGCTGGAGAACATGGGAACACCTTATATGAACGTACCTGGTGGAAGGCGAGCTGCCCGGACGCCAGTAGGAGCTCGTGCATGGGATACGCCTATCATGCAAAATGGGGAAGGCTCGACGAGGAGGAGACCATCCGACATGGACGAGTATGACGAGCTTGAAGGGGACTATGGAGAAGGACAAGCTGGACCCGGGCCTGAAACTCGAGCGAAAAAGAAGCGGAAACAGCCTGTCAATCGCGTGAGGGATGATCTGCCCCTTGACGCTTTTCAGATGAACTATACCTCCGAAGATAACGCATCCTTCGTACAAATCGTTGATGAGGAGAATGAGAGGAGACGAGAAGAACGTTGGGGCTGGGCATGGGAAGCGGAGAAGAAGGCAGAGCAGAGAAGATTGGAAGGAGAGACGAAACGGCAGATGATACTGGATGCCGCGACCAGCGGGAACTGGAGGGTCAATGCGGATGGGCAGAGATTGATCGGAGGTCTGGCTGAGGGTGGCACGGAGAAGGACGTTGGCGAGGCGTGGAAAGACAGAAAATTGATCGGTGCTGCCCCCGCAGAGACTGATAAGCAAGCGGACGAGGAAGAGCCTACCGCAGACTCCAGCGGAAAGGCCTTGGTCAAGCACAGCGAGGGATCGTCTCAAGCCCTGGTCACTCGCTCGGATGGTCAGGCGTCCCAGAGCTTGAAAACGGGTGTACAGGAACAAGCACTGGCGGATGATCATCCACTCAATCGAGCTTTGACAGAAGCTGGGTTACCAGCCACAGCCTTGGTGTCTGTTGAAGACGGAGCCATCGTCCCTCAACGGGAGGTTACGAGCGGCGGAGGCGAAGGTCGAGGGCGAGGTGCGGAGGATCGTATCACCCGAGCACAGATTGAAAGATCTACCATGGGTAATGAGCAGTCTGAAGACTTGCCCCTGGCAGGCAGCGGAGTCGATCAGTGGAAATACAAGGTGAGCCCACAACTTCAGATCGGATCTTTTACTGAACGTTTCGTCTAGGCCATGAACAACCTCATGTTCTTGCCCGATGCCAATTCCAAGCCATACCCACCAGCTAGGCCGAAGGCCAGCACGTCTACATCCCGGCTTCCTCCAAAGGAAATCAAGCATTCCAATACGAGGCTTCCCGACGGCGACGATGAGGTCAGGCCAGCAGGGAGTCGAGCCAGCCGCAGCGATCGTGGTAGTAGTCCAGCACGGTCCTGGGTCGACGCAGCGGTCAAAGGAACGCCTTGTGAGTGTAACACAGGTGGCTGTACTCTAGGGAATCTGACTTTGCCTCAGATCGACCAAGTGGCCGCGATGATGATGCAATGCCTAGCATCGACAATTACCCTTTGCTTCCTACGGATCCTTCACCTTCACCTGCCGACTTGCCGTCTTTGCTGACGTGGGGAACTTTGCTGGCTACGCCGCGTGCTCTAGATGGAAGTGATGACCCGCTCGACTTCTCCGGCCCGACGTACACTCTACCCGAGACGAAGCGACGAGACGAGCTCGGTCGAAAGCTGGCTGACAAAGCGAGTCGATCTATGAACCAACGGGCCGCAGCGTACACACCGCGAGGAAAGAACGGCTCCACATCGACTCTTCGCGCTCTAGCCGATCGTACACAACGTTCTGTACGCGGTACACCAAGGAATGGTCTGGGGGACATGCTGCCTCCTTCTGCGACGCCCAGAAGACAGGCAGAGGCTTTGACACCGGCTGGAAAGAGGCTACTACAACGAAGTATGGGTGTCAAGTCAATGGGAACGTCTGCGAGGAATCGAAGTGCTGCTATGGAAAAGGGTTCAGGTTGGAGTAGCGGAGGTAGCGGCGGGCTGGGGGGACGGGATGTCGGGAAAATGAGCTGGACCCCAAGTCCAGGGAGGAGACAGCAATAATTTCATACACCGTGATGAACTTTTAACGATGTAGGTGCTCACGCTGGGAGGCTCGTGAGATCGCCAAGGAGCTTGTTGGGTCCTTCAATGTGCTGTCCTACTGCTGTGACTTCTTCTCTTTCGCTTCTTGACCTTTCCTTCTCGTCTCACTGCGTACGTACTCATCCCATTCTCCAGACTTTTCTCCGACCCCCCTGACGCCTTTCCAGCCCAAGATCTTTTCAGAGTTCTCCGCAAAGCAGCGACTATTGGAACCAGGGTATCTCCAGCCGTCCTTACCATACCTCTTCTCCAACTCCTCCACAGAGAACGGTTTGACTTCAGCAGTGCTTGCCCACCCTTGCTTGAACATCTCCTCCCCGATCAGCTTCATAGCTTCTCCAATGGAGTACTCCCCAGACGTTGCGAAGTAGTATCCTGAGTTGGTGGGCGCTCCGTGAGGCGCTTTGTCTGCCAAAGCGAGTGGATAGAGCTTTTCGAAAAGAGATGCTACTTCGAGGATATGGACGTGTACCCATCGGTTGAGGCCTAGCCAAACCAAACGGGGGAGCAAGTGAGCACGTTAGATCTGGCTTAGTACATGATAAAGAGACAGACAGACCTTTTCCTGTCACTCCCGCTTGACCTCTATCAATGCCGAATGCCGCTGCGCCCGGTATCTGTTGGCTGTGAGGGTTACTGAGACCCTTTTCGAATGCCACCATGTTATCGGGATCTCCCCAGATCGTTCCGGGGAGGATGATATAGGTACGACAGTATCCTTCCTTGTCTGCTTCTTCGACTAAAAGGTCGACAGGTCGATGAAACGCATCGTCAGGTAGACTTTGAATTGTCTTGGTATCTGGGTGAGCTGAAGATGGTTCAGGTAGATCCGTGTAGATCTGGGATTCGGGACTTCAGCGACTGTAACAATCGAGGCTCAACTCACGTCTTTTCCCTCGTATTCGCCTCTCGCATCGTCAATGATGGTACCCGTCCCGCTGACGTGTATCAACACCCCGACCTTGCCAGTGTTCTCATGCCGTTTCTTCATGCCCTTCAAGACGGCCTTGATCATCCCCACGTCGTCCGCGTCAGCGGCGCTAATGACTACAGGATGTTCGGCCGACAGATCTTCGAGTAGATGATGATCTTCATATGAGCCTTGAACACCGATACAATTGGTCTTGTGCTCTGAGAGGTTCTCGAAGATTTTGAGCTTGTCATTGGATCTTATGAGAGCTGTGATTTTGTGAGGGGGCTCAGGGGAAGCCAACAGAGTGGAGAGGAATGATCCGCCGACATAGCCGGTCGCTCCGAGCATGAAGATGTTAACGGGGTGGTGACTTGTCATGGCTGCGAGTGCGAGTGGAAGTGCGATGTCAGAAAGCAGATGATGAATACATTTGAGAGTAGTGAGATCAAGGTATAGGCTGTACGTCAGCGGAGGTCGGACCGGCTGTAGAAAGTGGAGGTTTGGTAATCATCCAGTCTTCGACTGAGGTCACTCATTCCCATCATCTTGTGGGATCATGGATGAGCAGAGTCAGCGAGCTTCTAAGCGCTGTGCAGCTCATGCAGTGGACTCGTTCATTACGCCATCAATCAATGATCACCAAGACTGTGTAGTGCATGATCCATCATCGTCTGCTCACACGGTGCAGACTGTACTCGATACCTTTTTCCCTTTGCGGGACTTCAGAAGGATGTCCTTTTCCTCTCGTATCTGGTCGCAGCCGTTGACACGATTAGGCTGATACTCACAGACGAGGTACTGATGTCCTCATATGCTTTGACGAGATGTTGATGGGAATTCTACATCGCGTCCGGGTTCTTGACGAGAAGATGAAGTGAAAGGTACCCACCTTATAAAATGGCCTCCGCTCCTGACATGGACTGCACCTCTTCTCTCTACCGGTCTGTGTTCTCATCATCAAACTCACCGTATCTACGGCTCCACAGACGATAGACGGCTTTGAGCGCATCATGTCGACTTTCATGGAGGATACACCGTCCCCTCCCTCTACGCCCTTGAGGCCTCCACGATCTCTTCGACGTGTCGATACGTCCTCTACCCTCGCGTCTAGCGCCATAGAGTCACCATACGACGATACTATCATCACTCCGCGCGATGCTGATACATCATCTCTCCCGACGGAGGCACTAGTCCTCGGCTCAACCTCAACCGACTCACCTGGCTCCCCATCCCCCCTCAATACATTGACACGCTCAAAGTCCCGTACTTCCATCAAGCGAAAGCCCGTGCCTCTAGATCCGGGAGAGAGCGTACCGGATCTTCCCTTGACATCACCTACAGCCGAATCCATCCATCCTCGCCGTTCGACTTTGCCTACTCCACCACTGTACACTCTGAGTGTGGACCCGCCTCCAACTCCCCCTTCACCGTCCCCTTCCTACCCCTCTTATCCGCCACCTTCGATCGGTGGCAGCTCGCAACGCGATACAGCATTCACCACAGATCTTCGACAATTCGGCGTATCGGCAGGTGTGTCCCCGTCCCTTGGCCAATCGAGCGAAGACCTGCCTGTATATTCTGAGCAACGAAATACGGAAACCAACACTCTGGCGAAGGAATTGTGGAAATGGGGTTGGTTATGCCCTCTTCTCTGGGGCGTTGGGATGACAATGTGGGTGCCGGATTTCTCTCCTAGTGTGTGTAGCAGCTGATGATCTTCCAAGCCTCTGGGTACCGCTGCACACCGAAGATGAGGAGGATCCAGAAAAGGCCCAAAGAATGAGGGAGCTGTGCGATATCGTCCGTGAAGTAAGCTCGGGACACTCCCAGAGGCTGCAAAGTTCATGCTGATTTGCTCTATCCTCAGACTGAAGTCAAATACGCTAAGCGTTGTCTGTACGGCTTCGTAGGCTTCAGTGTCCTCGTGGCCCTCATCATCACTCTCGTCGTGGTCCTCAAGTTTGTGCGATGAATCTGCACATTTCCATCTCTGGATGTCCGATTGGCCGGATGTACAGGCAATGGGTGCTTATGCAATGGTTGCTTATTGGGGATGTCTTAGTACCAAACTGATCTCATTATTCGGCGACCTCTTCACAGAGCTCGTCATAGTTGCCAGATGACACAGTTGACCATACATTGACAAGATCGGAAAAATCTGCTCATAATTACGGGTGCCAACCCTCCAATCACATTAATTAGACCTTGCCTTCTCTCGTCCTGCGGTGAGCCCATCCAAGTCTTCCATCTATGCCACTGGCTGCAGCTCGCTCAGGGCCGTATCCTTCATACTTCGTGAAGGCGGAAGCGACACCTCCGCGGGCCGTGAGAGGATATGGAGAGTCGACGTCGGCCTGCACGATTTGCTGAGTTGCAGAGGCTGAAGAGAAGCGTCACTTAGGTTTACGAGAGCTGTGAAGCTGCTGAGGCGAACTCACTACCATCATACCTTGCTCTGGGACCCACATTTGGGTCTCCCCAAGAGGTTTTTGGACCCGTTCTTCCCGTGGCGCCTCCTGCGGCCGTCTGAGGATAATAACCCGCGGACGATGGCGCTGTGCCGGACCCAGTATCCGTCGGCGAGCCCATGATTTGACTGGTCGGACCTTGAGTCGACAGTCCTTGATCATACATTGGTGACATGCCAGCTGGCAAATGCCCAGGTGGAGGGCCGGCGAGCTCTAGAAAGGAGTGGACATATTGAGAAGGCGCAACTCCCGAGGCTACCCAAACAACCACTCACCACGACCTTCAAGATAGCCATAGTGGCCCATCCTACCTCGCTTCATTTGACTCGAGTCGAATGGTTTCAGACTCCCATCAGAATTCATGGCACCCGATCCAGGTCCAACGCCAGGCGTTCCGCCAGCATGTGGCATGGGACCCCCCATCCCCGACATCATCGGATATTGCCCTATCATGCTCATACGAGGGTCAAACGGCCCACCCATGCCCATGTTAGAGTAGCTCCCAGCCCCAGGAGCTCCACCCATCATGCCCATATATGGGTTAAATGCCATCATGTTTGCTCTGGATGGCAAATTGACGGCACCGGTGGAGGGTGCAATGGCGAGTGGCGGCGGATGCGTCGAAGGTGGTGGCGGTACCGTTCGAGATTGGGGCGATGGAGCCGATCGAGATCGTTGAGTACCAGGACGCCGGTCCGGTGAAGTATGTCGAGAATTTGAACGAGCGTGTCGATCAAGCGATGGTTGGACGCGATTCGAAGCGAGGTTTGAAGGGGATTTTGAAGAGGTCAAATGTGCCACCCCAGCAGCAGCACGATGAGCGCAGGAGTCACGAGAGGGATTTGGGGACCGAGAATGAGAGTGTGAACGAGAGTTTGACGACATGGCGGGAAATTCAGAGGATGGACGAGGAAACAAAGAAAAGAGCGTCAGCGCATTGCTTTGGATATGGAGTCGAGGCGCGACCGAGCGGAAGGTCATGAGAGAAGTCGTTTTCGGGTTTCGGTCAATGAAAGGATGGACTCTGCCCACTGCGTCGAGGAGTTCCCAAAGAAAGTCAAAGGGCAGAAAATGCAGCAGAACGGAGTGCAGGAGTTCTCACACGCCGAGCATTGTTGTTATTCCTGACACATCCTCGGTGTCGACGTGGCAGGGCAGAGGGATCAAGGAGTGAATGGGAGATGATGGTTTCGAATCGATGCGAACGGGAACGAAGCCACGGAGAGACCAACCCATTGCAAAGTGCCCCTCTCATTCCCATACCCATTCCGCCTCCTGCCATGGCCATTGCGCGCATTGCCATGGGGTTCATGCCCATTCCAGGCATGCCACCTGCGAGTCCACTCATGCCTCCCATGGAGCCGATACCCATCCCCGGCATAGCCAGCATGCCTCCCATGGGCGATCCCATCATCGGCATGCCGATTCCTCCCATGCCTGTCCCTCCTCCCACACTATTTGTAGAGCCCATAGGTCCCATACCGCTCAATCCAAAGCCGACACCGCCATAGGCAGTAGACTGTGCTAAAGGCTGTTGGTATGCTTGAGGTTGTATCCCCATGCCTATACCGCCACGGCCCATCGACTGAAGAGTCATGGGGTCCAGAGTGGGAGAAGCGCCGAACATGACAAAGCCGTATAATTACTGGAGGCTGAATAGAAGACAAGGTAAGAGGTTGCCCAGGCGAGGCTGAAAAGACAACAAAGCATATCGGGGGATCTGCGTTGATCAACCCTTTTATGATGGACGAATCCGGCCGTCAAGGTCTGAATCACAAAGGGGAGCTCAAGAATGTCGATATGACGCTCAGATGTGGGTAAAGGGGTGGAGAATAAGTGCCTTTGAACACCGAGACCGGAAATGTCGTCCCAAAGGGAGGCGTAGAAGTCACTCACGGGTCAGAATACATTCCTTGATCCACGTAGTCTTGGTGAAGGGACGCGGCTGAGGATTTGGGATTGAGTCTTGTCTTGTCTGGGGATTCGGCAAAATGAACCTTGCCACTACGACGCTGGCTCAGTTTGGACGTTGAGAGATACGTCGAACAGACTCACGCCGCAGGTTTGTTCACCTCTGACACTTCGTCTTGCTGTGACTCTGTGACTTGAGGGTTCTGCATGGCCTGCGACCACCAATATGGATTCCAATAAGCAGCTTGAGAAGCGTACCATCGAGCCAGGTCATCCTGAGTCCAACCAGGAGGAATCTGCATATTCGCACCGTTGAATGCTTGGGAGGGGTCTATCATGTCTGGCAGATATCCGTATCCATTCCATGGAAATCCCCCTTCGAGTGGTGTAGCGATGCGATTCGAGCCATCAGAACTAGTGCCATTTTTGTTCGTCTTGCGGGGCTCGTCCCAGCTCTCCATGGGAGTCTGGCCGCCGACAGCTTTCGGCAGTGCAACATGCCTGTTTCGAGGGATAAAGTCGCCCACTCCACCTTGATCATCGCCTATGCCACCTTCCCGTTCAGACTTCCCGCCCAGCCATGCTTCGTACTCTGCCCTGGCTTTGTCCATCAGTTCCGTGGTGTATCGGGTGTTGTAGCTGCCCTTGACTGTGTCCTCGCCAGGCAGCGGGTCTGGTAGTGAAAGGCTGGGCAAAAATAATGGCACAGGGACCGAGGGGTCAGGCTGATTACGGTTCGTGGATTCGTCGACTCGAGAGGGATGCACCCGTGGTCGAACGCCAACGTGGACAGACGTTACGCCAGAGGGAGCAGCTCGAATTGGTGCTCGGGGTTGCATTGGGGGATAAGCTGCAGGTCGTCAGAGATTGGCCAAGATGCGCAGACTCACCGATCTCTCTGCTCGCTTCCCTTCGTGTGCGCTCTTCCGCCCGCTTGGCAGCATCCTGCGTGCTTTCCCATGTTCCGCTGTTTTCCCATTCGCGATCCTTCCTTCTCAGCTCTTCTCGATGTTGCCGAAGATTGTCACCTTGGTGGTCCAGCTGAGCCAGATGAGCTCCATGCAAGCTGATGCAACTTACTCTGAGATCCCCTGCGGCCTTCAAAAGCTCGGATTCCCATTGCCTAGCCAGTGAATCATCGGCGTCTTGTTGCGTGAGTCGGTGTGAGGGAGTAGCGACACCAGCCGCTCGAGCAGGTTTCTGCTTTGAGGGTGTTGTTTGTGCTGTCTGACCGTAGTCTTGAGCTTGTCTGCGGACAGGAATGGCGATGGATCGTCCACTAGAATCATGTGCTCTGTGGTCGTCGTCTTTAGAAGCTGATTTGGCTTCTGGGGTTGAGGCTCGAGGATTCTGAGGCTCCACGCCTAGGGCCTGTGTCTTCGTCGGTGTATTTGATTGCTCGGTAAGGCCAGAACGCTGCTTGCGCACAGTTCTTCTCGGCTGATCCTGGCTGACACGTTCGGACGAGGCTTTGTGTTCAATCTTTCTTCCCTCAGACACGACCTGGAAGGAGCTCTTGGAATGAGATGTACGGATAGATGGATGGGAGTATTTACGAGGCACAGGTGGTGGTGCAGTCATCTTGGGATGATCCTGAAGAGCAGTAGACTGAGGCACAGGCCGATGCTTCCCTTGAGAAGCTGGATCGGCCTCCTCGACTCCCGGCGTTCTCGTTCTTCTCCTTCGCCATGGTGATAGGGACGGCGAGGCCGGAGGAGCGATCCCTGCAGCTGCGGAAGTGAGAGGTGCAGGTGATAGAAGAGATTGATGAGGTTGAGACATTGGTCTAGATCGAGCTGATGAGGCATGTCTAGGCGAGTCTGTAAGTCCAAGAGCTGAATTGTCAAAGGACGAAAGGGTCGAAGGGTAAGTCGTGCTGGTTGCTGAAGAGATCAAGCTATCTCGGGTCATGCTGATGGATCAGGAGAGAGCAAGGGATCTTGACAATGATGTGAGATAGGGAGATAGATGACCTGATGACATGTACCCATGTGAATCAGGAAGACTGTAAGTAGGACAGAAGAGGAAGAGATGTTGAGCGTCGAGAGCTAGGCCCAGGATAACATGTTCATTCAACCCCTGGATCTTTGTACCAAAGGATGGCGGAAAGTGTATCTGCAGACATAGCATGTATCTTGTCAGGCAGGGACAGAGCAAGCAACAGGGATGTTGTGACAACATGACACTGTGTGGGTCGTTCATGGTCAATGTGAGAAATATGAACAGGTTGTTGGCAACATGATCGCCCATTTCTCGATTTTATATGTATTTCCGTTGGAACAGGCAATGCATCAATAATTATAAATGCACAGAGAACACTACAAACGGTGGCCATCAATCATGCCGAATCCAGCTTCGAGCGCTCCTTTAGTATCAAGGGCGGGGCATTCTTCCTATTCGAATATCGTTCCCTTATTTTGGGCAAGAGCAGACGTAGCGTGTGTTGAGTAGATTTGAGGACCATGTGTCCCCGTCCCATATCCATCTCCTGGAATAGGGGCGTAGATGCCATAGCGCTGGAGCATCGCATGAGAATGAATTCGGCAGGTAGGTAGCATGGGTTTGGTACGTCGCCTTCGGTGCCGTCTCCTTCTATGCTGTCGACATAAGTATCGGCCATGTGTACGATATCCCTGATGACGTCTATGGCTAGCATGCGTCCGCCTAAGTAGGTCAGCAGAAATACTGGAAAGATGTTATCTCGATCACTCACCACTACGCAAGGACAAGACATGTCGTGGAGCGCCTGGGACAACGTGCGGCATCCTACCAGCTGGAAGCAGGTATTCGATCGTGCACTGGCGGACAACGGGGCTGAGTCGTGTGAATAGTGTATCGGTCACCTTGATATCGAAGACGTCGTCCATTTTGCCAACGAAACCGAGTGTGACCAGGCGGAGCTGATCTTCTGGGAAGAAGTGGTGAATTTGCCCAGCAAACCATTTAACACCACAAGGCTTCTTCATTGTCCACGGTACACATTGAAAATTGAGGGAATCAATCGACTTGAAAATTACAGAGTTTTTCGGTGCCAGCACCTGTGATTGGGACCAAGCCCGAAGGGAAGATCCCACGGGCAGACTCTTGACAGTCAATCGCTTGACGTAGCCCATAAGTCGAGCTTTACGCTGCTCCGCATGCTCATGGGAACGCTCTTTGGAGGTCGTGGCGAGAGGCATCGCGTCGAAAAAGTTGCGTCGCGTGAGGGTGAGGTCTTCAAAGAAAATGGGAGTGGCAATTTTTTCAAATGCTTTAGAGACGAGTCGGAGAGATGCGAGCGCATCTCGATGGCCATCACCCCGAACATGGTAGATCGACATATTGAGGACCTCGAGGGGCAACAATGGGCCAGGCTTAGTCAGAGCCTGAGGACTAGAGGCGTATGGGAATCTTGTAATGAGACGCTATTGGACGCGCGTCAGTCAATTCTGTGCATAATGAATTTCGCCAACTCGCTCACCTGTATCGCCTCGGTGGAGTTTGCGAGAATTCCATGAGTATTGGGAGCTTGAGCTCCACTGAGCCCATCCACAGTGCTTTGAATGGACATAGCATTGGACATGGGGTCGATAATGCTGGATCTGCGAGCGTACTGCAATGTCATTGATGATGACAATGGAAGATGGGATGGAGGAGATGGGATGGAGGCGATGGGCGTCAGAGCATTTTGCTCCGATACCGTTGTCGCCCGTCACACGGCATGGTCACAAGCGCATGACCAGGTCACCTTCTCTCCCATTCACGCATCAGCCATTTCGGAAACTGCCATCGTTCTTCTGCAAGGTGGAGGTCGGAGTTTCAAAAAGACAAAATCGCGCGACCGTCTGAGACATTTCACTGTCAGTATCGGCGACGACCTAGGCGAATTCCCGATATGATGCATGAATGATGAGGCGAGGCGTGACTTGTGCGGTTTATCTGAGATGAGAGTAAGCTATTGCAGACCTGATAAGGAGGTTGAGCAAAGCTCATACAAAGATGCAGGGGTTATTGGGTGAAACGTCAAAATGATTCGTAAATTATTCTTGCTTCCCCGCGACAACGGCTTCGTCGCGGTCGTCCTCTAAGGCATTGACCAACACCATACAAGACTGGAGAGCTTGCTTGGCGTTGTCACTGTTCTCCGCTTCGGTCTCTAAGCGTGAACGAAAGGAGTCAAAATAGGTGTTGATTCTCTCAGCTGGCTCTGAGAAGATCCATCAGTGCGAGCGAAATGGATTATTTACCTTCGGCGACCCGCATCAATCTCAATCTCTCGACATTCTTGGCCCATGATTCCTCGGATGAATGCTCTGTCGAATCCACAGGGAGAGCTACCGAGTCGGCCAAACGCGAGATCTCGGAGAAGGAATCTTGTAGAGAGGTCATGATGCTGAGAAGCTGTGGTGTTCGGGAATTCAATTGGGCGATGGTGTCACCAGCCGCGAACAGCTATGAATGGCACCCTGTCAGCGGGCTCCGCACATCTCCAGGGTCATCCCGTATAGTTGGAGACTCACCTGATGATGGTGATTATATACCAGGGCATGTCTTGAGCCTTGCAAGTTGCCCACATCTAAGCGAGGATAAGTTGACGCATGGATGTACGGGAGGTCCTCACCAGCAGAAAGAGTATTTGCAGTCTTGATCAGATCCGCCAGAGACGCAGTAGTGATCAAGTTCTCATAATATTTGCTAGCATTGAACGATGAGGAGTCTGAGAACGCGTGAGTGAGCGATTCAAACGTTACACTCACCGATGTCCAAAGGATCCCCTGAATCAGCCTTCCCTGCTTCGTCCCCCGACTGTCCGCTGTCGGCTTTCTGGCCCTCTTTAATCCCATAGAACTGTCTCAGCTCTGCTCTTCTAGCTCTGCGAGCTTCCAATGACCCTGCACCTCCTGCACCACTGCCGCTGCCGCCTGTACTCCTCTTGGTCGGGGTATTTATCCCATCACTATTTCTGGGTGAAACAAGTCTCGGTCGGGCAGCATCGACTGGACTCCCATGTCGGATGGGAGTAGCACCTTTGGACGCATGCCCAGAGACGGGCGACGACATGGGCATACTCTAGCTCATCGGCCCAGGAGAAGGCGTGTTGAGATGTAAAGAAGGAGCCTCACCCTAGGCGAGTGCGGTTGCCCATAGGCCGACCTGTCTTGAACGCCACGTGGTACTAGACTACTTATGTAATTGGTCCATCTCATCTATCTCACCGATTGATGTATCATTGACATGAGAGAGATGCATGATCTAACATCGTACACTCCAGGCAGACGTCTCACATTAAGTTCTGTCCAGTCAGATGCTTTGAAGACAGATCCGACATAATGTCATCTAGTTCTCGAGACCAGGGCAAAATAGCTGCCGATTGAAATAGGGACGGAGGCGGCTTCCGTGTGCTCGATAGCGCTGTATCCAGGCCAAAGTAGCTCTGGAACTGTCAATGAGCTTGAAAGGTGTGGGACGCGAACAGAGGTCAGGAGATGCAGGTCGAACAGATGGATCACGAAAGTGACAGAGATCTAGCTAGTGTGATTTTTTGAAGACGTTCCGAATGTCGAAATGAGAAGGGGCGAGATGCCCCGATGTCAGGAGCTGTGAAGTGATCATGATATCTGACTCCGAGCTCGTCAATGAAACTCGGCGGTCAGTCCCAGTATCCCGGCGGACAGAGGCCGTACACGATCGGCTGTCATCGCAAGTACGCGGAGCGGCAGGTGATGTGCCACAGACCGGTCTTCGGAATGCCGAGGAAAGCAGTCGCGAGATTCGTATTGATCCATACTTCACCTCCCTCTCCTCTGACCACGATGCCGTGGCTCATGAAGGCGGAGCCCGACTCAAGGGTGGTCAAAGGGAAAGATGTGAAGGTAGGATCAGATTCGATGAGCACAGTCGCATTGCTCGTTTGACACTCCCCAGTTCTCAGTCGATGATTTCGAGAAGATTGGGTGAGTATGTCATGACTCTTTCAGGCGCGGATCCGTTGATATTTGGGTCAACAGTACCTCACCTTGGGATGGTGAGGTCCTCTATTGCGCATATTTTGACTCGCCAAGGTGTAAGGAACCACGAGGCGAAGAGTATAATGAAAGAGAGGATGAAGAAGGGCGACAAGGTACATAGTGATGTCATGTCTGGCCCTCGTACCGGCGACTGACCCTTGGACAGGTGCTTTTCTACCATTCAAACTGCAAGGAGCCTGGTGAATTTGGCAGCTTCTCCAGTGTGATTCCAGCTAATCGTACTCCAGGTGTCTTCGCCCTAGCTACCATCGCCAGAGAAGGTTATCCAGATTGTAAGGAAATCCCCACGTTTTGTTTTCGTTAACAAAGCAAAGACACTGCCTGGGACGCGTGAGGCGGGGAGAGCATTCTTCCTCGCCCATGATGCTGACTGTGTTATAGGTCCCATCCCTATTTCGACGCAAAGACGGACAAAGACAAGCCCATCTGGTTCATGGTAAAATCTTGACCTCCTCACTAGCGCTAAAATGTCAGGTCGACGTCAAATTCGAGAAACGCTTAGATCATCCTCCAACTCTCGCTCTCGTCAAGCAATTGGCAAGCTTGCCCTCTTTACCTGAGGAAGCAGGATACATTGGTCAAGATGGGTTGAAGGCTATCAAAGGCATGGCGTTGGTGAATCGGGGCAGACTGAGTACGGTGGACCGCAGGACATCACATCCTAACGAGTCCAGGTGTTCAGCCCGTTACGGACGAAGCTTATGAGGCAGTCGTGAAGCTTGGAACGAAAGGCGGATGGGAGTCTCTGCTGCCTGCCAAAGGGTTGAAGAAGACGTCGACAAAGCAGGAGCCAGACGTGGGGAACGAGGCGCCAGCCGACGAGGCTCACACGGCTATGAGCAAGAAGGCCAAAGTGTCAGATAAAGCCTCATCACAAGCCCGACGCAAAGCCATCGATGAAGGACCTAAAGAGGAGCAGCCGGAGACATCTCGGAGAAGCAAAAGGATAAAGAGGTAGCATGAGGCCGCTGGTCCGCAATCAGATGCATGTACACAGATTTCTTGGTCTCAGTCATTCGGTCTTTCGTGTGATCGATCATGGGTTACTCAAATCTCACAGGATAGCTTGTGGGGCTCGTAAAGATTAGGTTCGTGACGGAATCAGAAGGCGGTCATGGTCCAATCGGTCCTGAATCCTCGTAATCCTTACGACGAACCGACGAGAGGCGCTCGCTCTTCGTCATGAAGGATGTTTCGTCCGCCCTTGACGGCAGAGCTACGAGGAGTCAGCAATACATCGGGAGCACTTAACTCACTAGAGGGATTTCAAAATGGCGAAGAGCGACAAGATGAAGAAGACGAGGGCGGACCAGTGGATGAAAGTGTTTCGTTGGTGAATGACTAGCAAATAATTAGCTTCCACGATAAGCCCTTGACCCACAAATGGCGAAGAGTGCCCAGGTGATGGCGGCCGCGCCTGCTGCGTCTCCTTCTGCGCTTGCGAATGCGTATGCGGCGGCAGTGGTCTCGAGGAAGACGAAAGCGAGGAAGACAAAGATCTTTGTCCAGATACCCGCCTTGTGGGTGTGTGAGTCGACGCCAAAGGCTTCAAATCCAGAGAGGACGACGAGGACGATGGTCCCTGACGGGTCAGCTCAAGATGTCGCCACATGACCTACATCCGTGGAATAGGGAAAATGGCAAGTGTACAAAGACCTCCTCAGCCCATCCTTCTCGGTTGAAATGGTTCTTCTTGACAACGTAGTAGATTTGACTGACGGTGGCCGAGACAAGGAGACTGAGGATAAAGGCGAGAATGTACCAGTGTCGGGACCAGAAGAAGACGTAGACGGCATTGAAGACGCCGAGGAGTGCGAATCGCCATCCGATAGAATCAACGACGATCTCTTTACCTCGAGCTGTAAATTGGAAGAACATGGTTCCAAGCAGCAAGAGGTGGATCAGAGACCAAACGTAGAATGCCTCAAAGTCAGTCCCGGGTGGATGATATTTGGTCTCACATAGTATGAAGGCGTGATGTAGGTCGTCTGAGCGGAACGTCAGTCGGAGGCTCACGGGAATATTTAAACTCACCTTGGACGATCCATACATGTCCTCGGGGCCTGCAACGCTGTATACATTGGATCCGAGTGAGACGACAAAGACCACGATGTTTGCGATCTGAAGGATCAGAGTGTAAGCAAACTCGCGACTGGATCCGACCGCGTGTCGTTGGCCCCCGGGGGACGTTGGGTGGCCAACGAGCCCGCGAAACTCACCTTGATCAAAAGTCCGTCTGTGACTGACATGATGAAGGTAACCTGGATGCAAGACTATGGAGGTGTGAGGATGAGATAGTAGGAGCAAGGAAGTCGTCGCCGTCACGGTGCTCAAGACGTCGGGGCAGACAACGGATGTAATGTCGTATAGTAGTAGAGAAGAAAGGATTTCAACTTCTGGTGGCTGCACACTCAAACGACGCGCAATTTAAGAACTGATCGACTGACGTCAGAGATCACGTGACGCGTCGTCGCCGGCCTCCCCGCGCCCGGTGTCGCAGCAGCCTCGGTCAGAGTAGATCAGCTGTATCTGGTAGCTACGAAGACCTGCTCGGTGGTGATGGGGGACGGGTCGGTGATACCACAGTCTCATTTGTGACAGTATTGCTGTCTGCCTGCCATGTTCAGAGGGTCGATTCTTGGCTGATGGCCATGAAATCAACAACTATGGACGATCTCGTTGAACGCCGTCCTTGAAGGCGCGAAAAATTGCTATACCTTCCTTTGGGAGACACTACTGACATGAAGCAACATTCTTGCTGGCTCGTCCTCATTCATCGCTCACAGCACTCTCCGCAGAATGCTGTCAGATTCAGGTCGAGCAGTTCTGACGCTGATCCTGACCGCCAGCGTCAACGCCGCACTACCACCTGACACCCCTTGGCATGCTCGTCAGGATGCAAACACAGAGACTCTGGTCCCGACGATCACTGTACAATCTGCAGTCGCTTCATCCTCTGATATCGTTAGCACCAGCCGCTTGGTTCCAATCGCTACACCTATTCCGCTGGCCGACAAGATGGGCCTGATCATGCCGGACCCTTGGCACCCTGTCTATGCTGGTGAATTGCAATCCGTTCATTACTCAACGCTCATATCCAGGCCTGAATTATTCGTTCGGATTCGTTGATCCTACTCCGAAGCCTGCACCGACGATTGGAGGATGGATCAGGCAGATTCAGCCACTGCTCATCTTGCCCAACTACAGGGTGAGGGCTAAAGCGCTGTCAATGTCTGTTCTGACCAATCACCAGGTGAATATTTTCCCCTCGAGTGGACAGAGCAATCCCGAAGTGGCTAGTGCTGTGCCTCTCGGTAGCGATGGTCTATGCGGGTAAGCCAAAGATGGATCAGATAAAGGCTGACGACCTAGGGCAACTGTCATAAACTACGCGACGTCCTATCCATTTGTCTTTCAAGAATCAGGCTGGTATATGTTCGTCATCAATCAAACTTGGCTGCAACCTACCATTGTGAGCCATGTTACGCCGCCTTCACCTGACTGCCCCTCCTAGTCCGAAAATACTTGTCGGAAACCACTCATCTCTGAAAAGTCCTTCTTCGCCTGGCAATCCCTCTCAGTGGCTCCCTTACCTACGTCGACGCCCCTGCCCTCCCCCAGCACAAGGACCATATACAATAATGTCGTTACCAATACGCCTGGTCAATTGCCTTTCGAGAGGACAGTAGAGACGGATAGACATAAACTCGCAATCGGTATCGGCGTCACTGTCGCTGTGCTCGCTCTTATCGGAATGGGCGCAGTTATATACTTTGCACAGCGTAGAGCAAAGATGAGGCGGGAGGTGAGCACACTTTGTCGTATGCTATGCTGGCCTGACCTGGTAGAGCTTGGCTTTCTCTCGTTTGTCCGAACGAGACAAGCAAGATTTCCTGGCTGAGAACCCCGACTCATGGCTGAACCCCAATCGAAATATCCGCCAGAATCGTGGAGGCCCACCCGCTCCTCCAGGTACTTGGGCATACGAGAATTGGTATTGGCAACAGATGTGGAACCGGCAGCATGCTCCATGGCGTTGGGGCGGTCAAAGCAGTGGTGCTGGAGCTGAGCCCGCCCACCTGCAGCCAATGACGATGGTGCAACATGGATACCCAACATATCAAGGATATCATGGAGGGTATCAGTACAACGGTGTCCCCCAGCAGCCTGTATATCGCTAGGTGTCCACAGTATGTATGTTTTGATCTTGCCACTCGCCACCGATCTGCCGATTTCATGGAACAAAAATGTTCTCGGCTAGAAAATATCGAATGCGTTTCGTCACTGTCTGTTTCATTTACATCGTAGAATCAGCTTGACGACTGGAGCTCGAGAACTGCGTGTGCGTTCCCAGTGAGGGCCAGAGTAGAGATGGTGTATCGTCTAGGGCTCAGTGTGGAGCTGATCCAGCCGTTGATGAGATGTAGAGGGTTTATCAGGCCAGCAGGCCTTCCTGTAAGTTCAATATCGAAGCCTGTCTTCGCCTTCGGTCTACGTCTGATCATTACCCTATAGGCTGTTCTCAGGTCCTCTGTTATAGGTATGGGACGCATCTCTCCGGTGAATCTTCGCACACTCGCCTCGTCCTCCCTTCGTGCCGCCAGCCTTACATCTTCCGATGACCTCGACTCCCCACTCACTCCCTTCCAAAGCAAGATCGCGGCTTTAGAATCAGAGGCACTGGACAATCCATCGTCCCCTCAAGCTCAGTTGGACCTTCTCAAAGCATTAGCAGAGGGTCAAGAATATGCTGGGCTAGCGAAATACTACGAGACAGTGGCTCTGGAAGAGAATGACGATGCCAGGAAGAAAATCTTGCTGGAGAGTGAGGACGCTTGGAACCTCTATCTTCAATCGCTAGGAGCTACTCGTCGACTGTCAGACATTGCTAGGAGCGTGAGGAAAAGAGATGAGGCCATGCGCAATCATGGGATCTCGTCTGGCTCTACCAAATCTAACTCAGCCTCCGCATGGACCACGCCTATCGATACAACAACTGCTACTGAATCCTCATCCAAAACTACCTCGGCATCCCCTCTCGTTTCGTCTCTGTCAACACCAGCAACATCTCATAGTGCCTCGGCAGATACCACAGCTAGTACCTCATCGCTATTGACAAGCGCAGCGGGCTCGACATCCGGTATGGGTACCCCTCTTTCACCCATTTACGTTCAAATGGCCCCTCCAACTGCCCAGATGAATGCTGCAAGACTGGCAAGATGGCTTTTTGGAATGCTGATCTGGGGATTTATCTTCTTGACGATACTCAGTATGGTCATGGAGAATACCGGTTTACTCAAAGCTGGTCCTGGTCCCGCGGAATTTGAGCCAGAGGAGGGCAAAGTGGTCAAGTTTGCCGACGTGCACGGTGTGGAAGAGGCCAAAGCGGTCAGTCACACAAAAGTCATCCAGATCATTCTCAGCTGACAATCGATCCCCTCAGGAACTGGAAGAAATCGTGGAATTCCTTAGAAACCCGGAAAAATTCTCAACTTTGGGCGGCAAGCTGCCAAAGGGAGTTCTGCTCACCGGTCCCCCGGGAACTGGAAAGACGTGAGTACCCGCTAGGAGCGGACTCGGTTCTCTGACGATTCGTGTAGTATGCTTGCACGAGCTGTCGCTGGAGAGGCAGGAGTGCCATTCCTCTTTGCCAGTGGATCGAGCTTTGACGAGATGTTCGTCGGTGTCGGAGGTGAGTGACAAAATCTTCTTAACGACGCCGTGCCTAAAAATACTACAGCCAAGCGTGTCCGAGAGCTTTTCGCTACTGCAAGGAAAAAATCACCTGCCATCATCTTCATCGACGAATTAGATGCGATCGGTTCGAAACGTAGTGCCAAGGACCAGGTAGGATGCTCAGTCCTGGACAGTTCTGAGCTGACTATCTCTCAGCACTACATGAAACAGACATTAAATCAACTCCTGGTCGAACTGGACGGATTTGAGCAGTCCGAGGGGGTCATCATTATTGCCGCTACGAACTTCCCCGAATCTTTGGACAAGGCTCTGACACGTCCAGGTCGTTTCGATCGACACGGTGCGTTTCGCAGTAAGACTCATGGGCTTGAACTGACATTTCGTAGTGGTCGTCGGTCTTCCAGACGTGCGAGGTCGAATTGAGATCCTCAAACACCATATGGGAGAGGTCCAGTACGATGTTGAGGTTGATCCAAGCATTATTGCCCGTGGCTGCCCAGGAATGAGCGGAGCCGACTTGCAGAATCTAGTGAATCAGGTGAGCAATGGCATCACAAGTCCCTGGTAGCTCCGCGTTCTGACATGATCTAGGCCGCCGTGAAAGCTTCCCGTGAAGGATCAACGACCGTTCAGCTAAAGCATTTCGAGTGGGCGAAGGGTGCGTTCAGCCTTCTTCGGCAGGGAAAGCTGCTGCTAACTTGCCTAGACCGTATTTTGATGGGTGCTGAGAGACGGTCGCACTACGTGACTGAGGAATCTAAGCGCGCTACTGCCTATCACGAGGGGGGACACGCTTTGGTCGCACTTCACACACCAGGAGCCATGCCTCTGCACAAAGTGTGAGCTTTTTCTGCATCCCTTGATGATCCTCAGCTGACACGGAGGAAGGACGATTATGCCACGGGGACCGGCGCTCGGTATCACTTTTCAGCTTCCTGAGCAGGACAAAGGTGAGTCCGTCGTGCAAGGAGAGATACTAAACAAACACCTCCAGACTCATATTCAAGGAAAGAGTATCGGGCGATGATCGACGTAGCGCTTGGCGGTCGTGCAGCTGAGGAGATGATCTTTGGGCATGACGATGTGACCTCTGGCTGTTCGAGTGATCTGCAGCGGGCCACGGATGTCGCCGCTAGGATGATCCGAGTAAGTCTAGGTCAAGTGGCCGTGATCCACACTGCTGATCGATTACAGAGCTATGGTTTCAGTGACAAGGTTGGCCTGGTAGCGCATGGTGATGAAGAGTCAGTATACCTGTCGAGCAAAAAGAAGGATGAGATCGAAGGGGAGATCAAAGAGTATGTCCCTAACCACGTTACATGCTCATAATCGTGTAGCTTCTTAGACAGCGGGATGAAGCGGACAGTAAAGTTGCTGAAAGACCATGAGGACGAGTTGCACAAGGTATGTTCTACATCCTCGTCTTTCTCATGCTTGCAACCCACTGAATTACTATGCTTAGCTCGCTGCCGCCTTGGTCGAGTACGAGACTCTGAATCTGGATGAAGTCAGACTTGTGCTTCAGGGTAAAAAGCTTGACCGACCGTTGAATGTCGGGGAGAGTTTCAAGTCAGCAGCGGAGAAGTTGGGCCAGGGGGCGATCGTCGAAGGCATATAGTTGCATATAGACACTCATCACTGCATTGTAATTTCCGGCGATCATGGGTCTGCAGATATCGTTATCACTGGGTTTCCTCCCCTGCTTCCTTCAGCATTTGCTCGATAAATTGGACGTGCGCCCTGAAAGACGATCAACTGTGTCCGTTGTATGTAATTTGGACTTACTTTGCGTTGACCAGTCCGCGATGCGTTCCCTTGACTATGCCTCGTCTGTCGATAAAAAACGTCTCACGACCATCGGCGAGCCCAAAGAGCGACTTTTCCACTCCGTATGCTTTACGAGCCGAGCCTTTCTCGTCAGACAGTAATGGGAACGGTAAGTTATGTTGGTCCGCGAAGCTCAAGCCTTTCGCCACGGGATCTAAGCTCAAGATCATCAGGAATGGAAGACCAGGTGTACAGCCAGCTGTTCGACTCACCCGCACTGACGCCGACAATCTCTAGATCTGGATACCGCTGAAATGTCACATTCTCCTTTTGAGCGTCTCGAAACGAGCAGACTTCCGTCGTGCATCCACTGGTGCCTGCTTTGGGAAACTGAAGCCGGATATGTCGTATCAGTATATCTCTGACAGCACCATAGAACGGCCAGGGCGACTCACAAAGAACAACGCAATTGGCTGGTACGGTAAAGAAAGAGATAAACACACAAAATATTGTCAGCGATCACCAGTCTTTCCGAAGAAACCGGAGCTATGGTCCACCTTGTGTCCTAACGGAAGCTCGTATTGTCCTCCTCTGATATTGGGAAGACTGATGATTGGTGCTGGCTTTCCAATTAATGAGGAGCTCATGATTGCAATGTTTCAAGGGACGTGAAGGGAGTTTCACAAAGCAATCGAGAAAATGCTTCTAGACAACGACGACGACGACTCTGGTGATGATGTTTATAATTATAGACCTTTGAACACGGAGAAAAGGTGGAGTCATGATAATGGTACGATATATACCGTAAATATCAATGCATTTTGCCTGCTCATGCAATGGAATGGCAATCAAAGGCTCTAGATGGGCCCTTTGCCCAAAGCACCCTGTACACCTTGTCAACATGTGTATCGGCATTCACATGGAAGACGAACTCACCCCATCGACAACCAGGGTCTCTCCCGATACATAATTGCTGGCTGCCGAAGCCAAGAACACCGCTGGTCCAGCAAAGTCTTCTGGAGCTCCCCATCTATTTCCAGGCGTACCGACCAGACGATTCTTGACGAATGCAGGATCTTTCCGAGCTTCCGTATTGCTACGCCGTCTGATCAGCCACCGGCACACCTTTCTTCCACCCGACAATTCGTTCGTAAGACTGCTCACATGTCTGTGGCAATGGATCCTGGAGCAATGGCATTGACGTGAATGTTGTATTTGGCCCATTCGTTACTCAGGGCTTTTGTTAAACCCATAACGGCTGTCTTGGCAGCTGTATAGTGAATGACTCGAGCACCACCAATGAATGCGTTCAGAGACGAGACGTTGATGATCTTTCCGCGACGGCGAGGGATCATATGCTTGCCAGCTTCTTGACAGATGGTGAAGAGAGCAGTCAGATTCGTGTCGATCACCTGGGGAGAGGCTTAAGCTTGCGTTTTGCCAACTTGCTAGGCGTAGCCCTTACCTCGTTCCAATCAGCCGAGGTGATATCGACTGTATCCTGCCTCTTCAACATGCCTCCACAGTTGATCAAGATATCAATATTGCCCATCGCGTCCACGGCTCGCTGCACCACGGTTTTGACGCTCTCTTTATCCGTCAGATCGCATCCTATAATTTCGCATTTCCGTCCAAGAGCTCGAATAGCATCTCGAGTCGATGTGTTGGACGTATCACGCTGAGCGGATACTACGTCTGCACCAGCTTGAGCCAATGCAATGGTCATTGCCGCTCCAATCCCTGCAGTCGGCCCATCAGCTCCAGTTGACAATCTCCACTGCTCGAATACAAAACTTACCTCTGGAGCCGCCCGTGACCAGGGCCACTTGACCTCTCAGAGAGAACAGGTCAAGGGCCGGGATCTGGGGTGTATCCGCGAGCTTGCCTTCGTCCGACATTGTTGATTGAGGCTTCTTCGTGACTTGCTATGAACAATGATGCGGTTATACACCACCAAGTCATGTCCCTATCGGACAGAGGACCGGGCCGGCTGAACCGGGCCGGTTGTCTGCGGAGACGGGGTTTCCGTCTCGCTACAAGATCAGTCCGGATACTTTCGCCCTCAAACAGCGACATACAATCCATACCTCAATCTTCAGACTCTCAGCCAATCCATACGACGAAAGCAGACACCATGCTGAACGGCAAGAAATCAGTCCTCGTCATTAACGGACCCAATCTCAACTTGCTCGGTATCAGAGAGCCGCACAGTGAGTCGTATCGCTTTCGCCAAGGTTTTGAGAGCGCTGAACTAGGCCCTCAGTCTACGGATATGAGACCCTCGACGATGTTGTGAAGGCTGGTAAGGCTCAGGGTCAAGCCGATGGAGCACACGTCGATTTCTTCCAAAGGTGAGCGAATTAAACATGCCTTATCCGCTCAGAGGGATTGGGCTGACACTAATCTCAGCAACTGGGAAGGCGCGGCCGTTGATAGGATTCAAGAAGCCCGTACAGACGGTACTGATGCTATCGTCTTCAACCCGGGTGGATGGACACAAACTTCAGTTCCCATACGTGATGCCTTGTTAGGAGTAGCCATCCCCTTCATCGAGGTGAGTCCTTATTCGCTTGATTAGGAAATGCTGAACTCTTTTCAGCTCCACGTCGCAAACATTCACGCTAGAGAAGAGTGGAGACATCACTCGTACTTTCATGACAAGGCGACTTGTGTCATTGTAAGTTGGCTCTTCCAGCCTTGGATTGGCGCTAATAGGGACAGATGGGATGCGGTATCAAGGGATACGAATATGCCATCGACATGATCATCAAGAATGACAAAAAGTTCCCTCCGAAACCTGATGTTCAAAAGTAAGGCTTTAGGGAACAGGCATGCATTTCTCCCAATGAATCTAAATCATATTCCGTTACGTTTGCTCGTTTTCCGACTAGACTGACAACTTGCGTACCAACAATCTTCTGACCCTTTCGAAATAGACTAACAAGCTTTCAGAGAGAACCCAACTTTCCGAGACGCGCATAGGCGGGCCATGGCAGAGTACGAAGAAGAACATGCTCCATCAAGCACGCAGATGATCACGTTGGATATCCTCTGCCTTCTCCTCATCGCCCTGCGTCGACTCAGGGTAAGTCTTAGCAGCTTGACCATCGTCCACTACCCGATTCATCAGCCAAGTCCCATGACCTATCACGCGCTGGTGAAACTCACCAACATCCAAGCCTCCATCCTTTTCAAAGGCCGCTCGACCTCGCTCAAAGTGAGCAGAATGCGATTCATCGCCGAACAAGCAACAGAGGATGACCACGCCAGCCGCGACGCCCACAAGAATGGCGGATACCCGTCCATAAGCTGGCTTTCCTGTTTTGGGATCTTTCAGCTTTGCGCCCGCAGTCGCTTCGATCTGCGCCGATGCGGACGAGACCATGTTACCGATTTGGTAGGCTATGGTTGAGCCATCAGACGTATCTACGTGAGATCGGGGCCACTTACCGACTCCTGGCCACATGGCTCTGAAAGCGACCGGTGAAATTTCAGACAAGTACACGGGCACGACCCCATAGGCTCTGCGTAGATTCAGTCCTGACAGACACCGAATCACGGAAACGGGATATATGGCTTACCCCTGTACGCCGGCCTGGACGAGGAATGCACCTGCTGCAAGACCACTGAAGGACGAAGGCAACAGCCACAAGGGTAACATGGCGCAGCAGAAGAGGCAGAAACAGATCATCGTGATCCGTCTACCTAGATACTGCGATACGTAGCCTCCTATCGTGCATCCAGTTATGGCGCCGCAATTGCCGATGATCGTCGCTACTGTAGCTTGATGAGACGTCAGGCCTTTGTCGTTGGTGAGATACGCGGGATAGAGGTCCTGAGTAGCAAGTGTCAGCCGTCAAATGTCTGGCTCCTTGTGTGCATCGACATACTTGTGATCCATGCGAGTAGAAGTTGAAACCACTGAGATGGTCAGCGTCTCAGTTGAGGCTCCTTGATAAAGGACTCACGTCATGAGGACGATGGCAAAGATGCATCTCGCCCAGTGAGTCTTGAGCATCTTCCAAGTCTCCCTGATGAATTGTACAGACTTTTTGCTCGTTGCAGTCTGGTCCCCTTCTCTCTGACGAGCTGCCTGTCGTTCCAAAAAGTACTGCGATTCCGGCAACAACAGTCGTATGATGGCACCAGTCAGAGAGAAGGCGGCACCAGTATAAAATAGAGGCCTCCATCCAGTCTCTTTGGCGACTCGAGAGTTCAAGTTGACGGCAGCTATGATGAGGTATCCCACAGGGTATCCGAGTTGGAGGAATCCAGAGAACAAGCCGCGTGCGTCCACGGGCATGTTCTCCAGAGCCATGGAGACTGCTAAGCCCCAGATCCCTCCCATGCCAATTCCAAAGAGAGATCTACACGCTAAGAAGGCAGAGAAAGTCTTACAGAAACCAGTAGCGAGAGAAAGGGCAGAGATGATGATCAAATTGGCGACCAAGGGCCATTTCCTGAGACGAGAGTCAAATCAGGAGCGGTCCACGAGATCTCCGCGCTTACCGGCCATATCGATCACTCAGCATGCCAAATATGAAGGCACCGAGAGGTCGAAAGAGCAGCGTCAGCGTGATGGACAATGTGACCGTCGAGAGTGTTTTGTGAAAGTATGGTGCGAGTCGAGCTGCGCTGAGTGTGACCGCGAAGAAGCTTCATGCCCTTTAGCACCGCCAACAGCTTTTCCGCCAGAAAAGGTGACTCACTCGATGGCATCGCATACCCATGCCTGGTATTTTCAGCGGAGGCGCGCTGAAAAGGGGAGACGAGATGACCTACGAACCAACCCGAGAAGAAAAATGCAAACTGCAACCATGTGAGAGATCTGATGAGCTTGATTGGGTTCCGCTGGATCACCTGGGGACACGAAACTTTCAGTGGCGAACCCAGCACAGACAGTTAGCCAAGCTCTCACCCGTTCAGACTTGGCAGGGAGTCGAGGCAAGCTTGCCCCTGGGATCCAAGATCGTCATCATCAAAGTGGCACATCCTCATTCATTTGACGACTCACATACGGTACTGGTGATTGAAGCCATCGTCGCTGGATGGCAGAAAGCTTCAGGTGAGGTCGATAGTCATAGGAAGTCTCTTGGTCTTGGCTTTTAAATACCCGCTTATAGGTCTCGCACTTCCCAGACTTGAGTCAAACGGATGATCCCGAGGTATGTAGAGTTCCATATCCGATGCGGACCGTGCAATCCGGCGGTCCGGACCGGGCCGGTATATTTTCAGTCCGAGTGGCCCTCCTGTCAGGGGCTTTATGAGTCTTTTCAGGCTCCCTATATCATCGCTCACAAACTCGCGCATACACATATCCCGGCCAATCACTCCAGGAAACTCACTCACTTATCACCTCAGAGCCATCTCCATCCATCATGTCGAAGACTGCCGCTCCACGCAAGACTCATCGAGTCGGAATCATCATGAACGGTGTGACCGGTCGTATGGGTACCAACCAACATCTCATTCGATCCATCCTTGCTATCCAGAAACAAGGTGGAGTCACCTGTGCGGATGGAGACAAGATCTATCCTGAACCAGTACTTGTCGGTCGAAACATTGATAAATTGCACGATTTGGCCATCGCGAATGGAGTCGATAAATCCTGCTGTACAACGGACGAGGACGCTGCTCTGGCTGATCCGAAGAACATGATCTATTTTGATGCCCAGACGACGGGTAGACGAGCTGATGCCGTCAAGAAAGCTATCGCAGCTGGCAAGCATGTGTACTGTGAGAAACCGACCGCGACGACAACGAAAGGAGCATACGAGCTGTATAAGATCGCCAAGGATGCAGGTGTCAAGCAAGGCGTCGTTCAAGACAAGCTGTTCTTACCTGGTCTAGTCAAGCTCAAGCAATTGATAGATGGTGGATTCTTTGGCGAAATCTTATCTGTCAAGGGAGACTTTGGATATTGGGTCTTCACCGGATTGACACCCGTGGCTCCTCAACGTCCTTCTTGGAATTACCGAAAGGAAGATGATGGAGGGATCATTGTCGATATGCTCTGTCATTGGCGTTATGTGATTCACAATCTCTTTGGACCCATCAAATCGCTCACTTGCCTCGGTGCGACTCATATCAAGGAACGTGTCGATGAATCGGGTCAAAAATACAAATGTACTGCCGACGATGCTTCCTACGCGACATTCGAGCTCGAAAGCGGTGTCATCGTCAACTTTGTCTCCTCCTGGACCACTAGACCGAGACGGGACGATTTGTTGACGATTCAAGTGGACGGAACTCAAGGATCTGCCGTCGCTACGCTGAGAGATTGTGTCATTCAGCATGAATCATCTACCCCTCGACCTATCTGGAACCCTGATGTACCAGCTACGATCGACCACTATGCTACCTGGAGCAAGATGCCGGATTATCAAGTGTGCGACAATGCATTCAAAGTTCAATGGGAGATGTTTTTGAGACATGTCATCAAGGATGAACCGTGGAAGTATGATCTGCTAGAGGGAGCAAAAGGCGTACAGCTCACTGAGCTGGGTCTTCAGAGTTGGGCAGAGAGGAGATGGGTCGATGTACCTGAATTGTAGGCGTTTTGAGGGGCGGCGGCTCATCCCCAATGCATATGAAATAGATGCTATGCTCCCTTGCATGCGCGCGCTCCCTTTACTACCCATCTTGGACGAACGCGAGATCCGGCTTCGCGAGCGGACACTTGCACATCTACTACAGTTCAGAGACCCAATTACTCCGCGTGAGTGTGGCTCTTCCTCTTCATCAACGACCAGCAAAGCATCGAAAGCACCACCATGATGCCGACAAGGTGAGGGAAGATCCAGATGCCCCACTGCGACACAGTCAGCTATCTATTACCTCCAAACTAGACGCCTCTTACTGACACGGTCGAAGATTGCACCAAATGCACTGTTAAAGGCATATCAGCACCTAGTGGTGGAATCAATTGCGTTTCACTCACATTGGCAGTATGGCCGTGCCAAGACCACTGGTGGTACCCATGAAGCTGATGATACCTACTCGAAGATCTTCGTCGAGCTCTTCAGCGGTGACCATCAAGACATTTGGCCACATTGGGCCATACATCAGTCCAATGAGGGCGAAAGCGATGGAAGTTCCGACGTCGGAAGGAGTCAGGTAGCCAATGACCTGACCACCGATACTGATGATGGAGCTGGAAGATCGTCAGATCATGGAGCCTGAGAACAAGACATCTCACTCACTAGATGTACACAGAGTTATACCATCCCAGTTTCCTGCTCAGGGGAGCAAAAAGGAATCGACTGATAGTCATGGCTGCTTGCGTCAGCTCAATTCGTATGCGGACAGAATCATCTCACCAGACCAGAACCCAACACTTGCATATCCTGCCGAGATGGTCGCATTTCGCTCAGTGATGAGATATGATGTCTGGACGGTCTCAGCAAGGGATTTACTCCATGACCCACAAGATATTCACTGATCGCCATCTCGGCACCACACTTTGTAGCCCGTCAGCGCTGGCGTCTAGACGATGAAAGTCTTCACACTCACGTAGAAGAAGACCCAGCCAAGGACTGACCACACAGTGGGATTTCCCAACAACGCAAGCATTTTCTCTCCACTACCACGGGTCTCTTGCTGTTTCCGCTTTCGGGGCAACAGAGGCTGGTCTTCCCGTGCCAAGTCTCGTTCAACGGCGTGCGAGTCATCAATGGGCGCTGCATCGGCTCCTGCTCCGAGCAATTGCTTCTCAGTCTTGCCCTTGAAGGCGATGACAAGGATCAAAGCATTGACCAATGAAACACCCATGGCGACAAGGAAAAAGAGATGAGGACGACCTTGGAATCGCTCGACGATGAAAGTACTGACGAGTGGAGCAATGGTCGCTCCTAGAGCAAAGCAAGCTTGGACTTGGAAGACTCCAGATGGGACAGCCGGGAGACGAGATGCGAAACTATTGGCCTGGGCATCCTGATCGAGCGGTCATCCTGTGGGTGACAAGGGCAATGACTTAGAGAGCTTACGATGATGGCTCCGCCGAAACCATTGACTCCGTAGGAGAAAATGAAGAGGAAGAATGTGCCTCGAATAGAGGTCAAGCCATAGGCGAGAGCGACGGCAAGAGCACCGAGCAGGATTGTCTGAAGACAAGATCAATCACGAGTCCAAGGTGCAACATCAAACTCACTCTTCCGAACCCTAATTTGTCGGTGATGTAGACGGAAAGGAACCCTGAACCCAAGGAGCCGATGAAACCAGTGACAAACACGTAAGACACTAGGGTAATCAGGTGAGCGAGCCTCTACGTTTCGCGCCGGTCCACACTGGTAGGCTCACTCGTTGCGTAATTTTGCTGCGATGGTCGCGTGAGCTCGACACGGGATGACATCCTCCTCGACTCACTTTGTAGTAAGCCTGTAAGGACGGTAACAAAGGGCCTACTGAGCCTTCAACCCATCCACAAAGCATCATACTGAACATGAGAGCAGAACTGAGCGAGATTAGCTCGAGTGCCATACCAGCCTGGGTCAGGATAAACACACAGCATCCACACCTGTCTTGAAGGAGACGGTGCCCAATCGAGGGGTTTGCTCCCATGACCCTCGATATCTCTGCGCCGAGCAGCCACGTCTCTACTACCACTACTTGATGCCATCTTGACCTATGTCTCGATGATTGAAAGCAGTGAGCGACACACGGTAATATTGATAGTAAAGTGTTGCCCGAATTGGGCCGACAGAGTGGGGGAAGGAAGGGGGGGAAAAAAAAGAGGCGTCCCGTACTCGGATCTGTCCGTGGCACTCGCTGCGGTGTGTGTGATGTAGATCATCATTCCACTCATGCATGGCATGCTTCTGTGAGCTGCTCGAGGCGATGACAACGACATCAGTCACGAGGATACAATCTGATCTACCTTGGATTCCCTCGAGGCACTCCGTCTGCTCGACAACAACATGGATCGTATCGATATTTCCGCGCGGTGCGACATTCTACCGTCACGCCGGCCGCCACCTGGGGAGCTCCGCAATCAGATCAGAAAAGGTAAAAAGCATTTTCACATGGTGTGCGATGATGGGTCACTAATTGAACATGGCGAGTCGGATGGCTAGGCAGCGAATTTGAACCCCTCAGTCTAAGACTTGGCGACCCGCTCAATATCAAATCGCCGGAGCCTGCAAAGTGACCAAATCGTTGCCATCATGGACAGTGACAGAATCGAAGTGCATCGTCGGACGAGCCGAGCCGAGGGCAGCACACATTCCTTAGAGCGAGGAGGCAAGGACATGGAGCTGGAGCAGGAGCAGGAGCAAATGACCGAGGCAAATCCACTTGCATCAGCTTCAACTCCAGCCAAGTCAACACTGCTACTCAAGCGTTTGAGGCGGAAGCTGCCTCCTCCGAGCGACACGAGACTCATGTGGATCTTGTGAGTTGGCGGTACGCCTTCATACGAGCGGAATGCTCACTTGAGGCGAACAAGCGTGGCTTTGATGGTGACTATGCTGCTACTAGGGTGGAATGACGGATCTCTTGGACCGTTATTACCCTTCTTACAACGATACTACAAGGTGAGTCACCAGGATCAGCGGGAAAAAAATTAACCCTTTTTCGTAGATCAATTATCTGATCAGTTCGTAACGATTCATGAGGGCGCTTCTGGACCAGCTGACGAATGCGCAGTCTCGCTGAGCTGGCTCTGTAACTTTGCTGGAGGGGTCTTTTCAGGTCTCGCCTACATTCACATTACCGATCGGATCGGCTTTGGTTTTGTGAGACAGCATTCCTTGTCGTGCTCACAGTCCAGTTGCTGACTTTGCGTCCTAGGCCGCAGCTCTGGGTGCGTTGGTCCAAGCCATTGGCTATGCTTTCATGAGCACCGGTGGACCTTTTGCTCTATTTCTGGTCGGGAGTGGCTTTCTGGGCTTCGGCTTTGGGTTCATGGCGAGTCAAATACGCAGAAACATTGGTTCGTCCCTGCTGACACTTTCTGGCCAACGCAGGAAGCCCAGGTCAACAATATCACATCTCGTCTTCCGAACGCGTCTACAAAGATGTTCATCGTTCAAGCTTGTTTCGGTCTCGGAGCAACCGTCTCGCCGTTTATCAGTACTCCATTCGCTCAGCATGTCAAGAGGGCATATCTCTACTTTCTCGTAGCGATGGCTGTGGCACTCGCCGGAATGGTCATCATCCTCGTGACTGTTCAAGGCAGGACGGAAGCCCAGTGTGTGGGGCACTTACCACTCAAAGAGGACGAAAAGCGCTCAGCGGGAGAGTCGGCCGTTTTAGAGATGAACGATCATCAGGACAAAAGCACAGTTCAGGGTAGTTCTGCCGCTCAGGCTTTGGAGATCGCGGAGGATCCAAGAGTCCTTCCTCCTGCTGCCATCATCGCGGTGACGGAGGAGAGGTCTCATCAAGATCCCGCACCGGAATTGACGAGCGGTCAGAAGGTCAGAATGATGCTGAGGGAGAGGGCCACGTGGACCTTGATGGCGTATAACTTTGTCTATGTGAGTGCGTGTGTATTGCGCGTGGGGCTGATGAACATCGTTTAGGTCGGATGCGAGGTCGGTCTTGGAGGATATCTGGTGAGTCGCGGACGCTTATCTCACCGATCGTTCCGCCCTTAACGAGTGTTTCCAGACTTCGTTCTTGATCCATGAACGAGGAGGAACAGCCGCAGCCGGGTACGCCACATCAGGCTACTGGGGAGGTTAGTAATGCATTATTGAGGATTCGTACATTCCCTGACACTGGCTTAGGCTTGACACTGGGACGAGTCATCCTCATCCCAGTCACCAACAAGCTAGGATATCAGACTGCGATATACACCTAGTCAGTCGAGTCAACGTCCTCGTTACTCAACATGTACTGATTGCCCGCAGCACGGCCATCGCACTCGTGCTTGAGATCATCATATGGCAGACCCGTACACTGATAGGCAATGCTGTCTGTTTCGCTCTCGTCGGCGTGTTCCTCGGTCCGATCTACCCCGCTGCTCTGATGGTCATTTCCAAGATCCTACCCGACGAGATTCGAGGTGGTGTCATGGGTCTCACGGGAACAGCCGGGGGTGCAGGTGCAGCCGCTATGCCATTGTGAGTTGATCAAAAACACTTTGTTCTCGGGGGATTCCGCTGAAGAACGATCTTTCTAGTGTGACAGGTGCACTGTCTGACCGAGTGAGCCATCAAGAGCACTTCTCATGGACATAATGCTGACAGACTGTCTCAGTTTGGAATCTGGATTCTTCAACCATTTACCGTCGCTCTACTTGGCGCAGATCTGATACTGTGGTTCCTTGTCCCAACCAAACGAATACAAGCCAAGCGGCGGCAGACATGATGTTCCAATAGCACTATGTACCTTCAGCATTTGTTCTGGACTATTAGCGCTACATGAGGGGGGTAACTTCTAAACTTCCACGACGTCTAGATCTTCCTCCTTTGAAGCAGATGTGCCGGACTGCCCCCGTACCAAGTGATCGATCTCCTCCATCTTCGTTTCGTGTCCTTCTTCTCCTTGTATCAGGGAGACGAGACGTTCAATGGCGTCTTTGATCTGAGCAGGATTCAGCCTTGATCGCGAATCCGAACGTATATGCCTACCGCTTGGTCCGTTTCGACTTTATGAAGCTCCCTTACCACAATGTAGGCTCCGCGCTGGCGCAAGGCCTCTCGGCCGGTGAAAGCTGCCCATTGGCATCAGCACTGCAGTCTACAGGACAGGACGGTGATAATCACTGGTAGATAAGAGGAGAAGGATCTCGATGCACATCATCCTCAGTACTGGGTCCTTTTCTCTCTCTTTGGTAGGAGGCAGGAATTGCAGGGTCGGCGGGAGCTTCTCCATGTCCTGACAGGAGGCATCAGATTTATGCAGACGGAGGATGTTCTCTCTCACTTACCTCCATTTCATACTCTTCCGGGCCCATGAGAGGGCTCAGCACCCACGGCAATACATCTACGCCCTTGACGGTCCTACTTGGGTCCGAAGGCAGTCGGACGCGATCATCTATAGTGCGTGTAAGACCACTGAGATGGCTCTATCGGGGCCTGTCCCAACGATACTCACGCTCAGAGGCTAACAGCCAACCCATGCTTCCTCTGTCCATAGCACAGTTCTTGATGCATCCTAACGCACCTCCTCTGCGGATGAGGTCAGGATGTTCGGTGTAGATGACGATTTTAGAGAGAAGAGGCTCGTCGTTCTCTGATGGAGAAGCTGTGGATGGTTGCGGGAAGGGGGGACGAGGCGTAAGAAGAAGTGTACGTGTACTTGGGGTCTACGATAGTCAGAATACGACAGAACGTATTCCTGCTTCACTCAACTTACCATGCTGATGTTGGCGAAGACGGATGCCAAAAAATTGACATCTCCTTTCCGTTTCCCCTTACCCTCCTTGACTCCCTCAGCTGCCCCATCTTCGAAAGCTTGAACAAGAGCTCTCAGCCCCTCAACGGTCCGCTCTTCCTCTTGACCCGCCTCGGCATTAGGCTTTGTGATACGTGTGTCTCGCCAGTCTGGATGTATCGTCGAAGAGGCGGACGCCGCGGCAGGAAGATACCATGGAGGATAATGTTTGGAGAGTGTGAGAGGGATGATGGGAATATCGAGGTTGATGATTTGTGGTAGGAGGGACGGATGAGATGTCAGGTTGGAGAGCAACATGGCCGTCAAGGGAGATAGAGGCGAGGTGGTATTGGCAGTGTAAGAAACGAGCCACACGAGGAAATCCTTGTCCACCAAATGTCTAGCTACGGCCACATTGTCCGACAGGTTGACAAGTGCGGAGAGGGCATCATGGGCCATCATGGCTTGATCCGTACACAGATTGCCCAGATCCTTCAATGCTTTGATCTTGCTATCATCTTGCTCACTCCCTTGCTTTCGCTTCTCAGGCAATAGACCTCCTCCACTGGCTGAAGTTCCAGCGAACGAGGAAGGAATGAAGATGTGTCTCTCTGGATCATTTTTGGCTGTATGGCCGACGAGGTTTTGCAGCGCAAGCTGACGAGCGGCCGGATTCGGAGAGTCCAAGAACTCGAATAAATCGGACAGCGAGGTCATGATCAGGTCTGATGAGTCAAAAGGTCAATGAATTGAATGATGGCGCAAAGATTTGGACAGGTCATGTCGGACTGATTAAACTTTTTTTGAGTTCGGAATTCATTTCCGAAAATCCACTTGGATACATTGGCACTATTGTTGGAGAGGGATAAAGAGACTTGACCTGACTTGCCATGATATGGTATATCATCTCGCATCACAACCTTTTGCTTCATTCCTTCATGCTGATCTCTACAAAGCTGAAAACGATCATGACCTTTCCGAAAATTTACACGCCCCTCTAATTGCTGAAAAGCAGTCTGTACAAACGTACATACCAAGGCGCATTAGCCCTCTCGCGTCGATAGGCCCTAGACTCCTCAACGGTCAACCAGCACTTTCGTCCAGTGTCCAGATCGATCTCATGGGCTTTTCGAGGGAGAGTGCGTTTCCAGTAGTATCCGAAGATCCAGAAGACAGCAACGATAGGGACGGTGAGATAGGCGAGGAAGAACGATTCGGCTCTCTGAGATGCCGTGACGCTCTCTCCAAGGGGGAAGAGACCGATGTAGAATTGGGCGATGAGGACAATGACAATGAGGAAAGCACCGAGTGCTGAGCCCCAGTAACCTCCGAGAGCTCGGAACGGAAGCTCTTCGACTGAGTGACCTTGGACTCGCCAGGCTTTACGGAATCGCATGTGGGTGATGAGGATAGAGAGCCAGGTGATGAGTGTCGAGAGACCAGATAAAGCGACGAGCCAATCAAAGACTGTAGATCCGACATCAGCGACGTTGATGTAAGCCAATGGGGAAAAGACCAAGATGGCGATCAATGAGTAGAGAGGTCGTCCGGATTTGTCGACGTAGGTGAAGCATCGAGGAGCGTAACCAGTCTCAGCCAAGGCAGTCAGAGTTCGAGATCCAGCATAGACACAGGAGAGACCGATGGAAAGGACAGAGATACAAATGGTGACGTTGATCAAATGATTCAGACCCGGGATCCCAGCTCGGTCCATTAGGATAACGAATGGGGAGGCGTTTGCACCGGATCCTACACCGAGTCGCTCATCAGTGTAAGGGATAGCGAGACCGATGATGGTGAGCGAGGTGATGTAGATGAGGGTGATACGCCAGAAAGTGTTCTTGACCGCGGACGGGAGAGTCTTTCGAGGATCAGGTGTCTCGGTGGCGGCGAGTCCGACGAGCTCGGTTCTGTAGCATATCAACTCCTCGCTCGAAATAGAGAATCTTATAAGACCACATACCCTGCAAAAGAGAAAGCTGGGAAAGTAAGGTCAGCTCATGCCTTGAAGCGGCGGGGTATCGACTCACCTGCGGTGACAAACATTGCGCAGACGCCCTTGAACCCGTTGGCAAAGGCACCTGGATTACTCCAATATCGTCCTCCGACATACGAAGCGTAATCTCCATCTGAAGGACCGCCACCACAAATGCAAACGATTCCGATGAAAATGAAAACGATGACGACGAAAAGCTTGAGGCATGATGACCAAAACTCTTCTTCGGCATACCCTAGTGTCCCAAAGGCAGCAGCAATGAAGATGACGATCATGAAGATGGTGATCCAAGCGGCCAGAGGAACAGGAGTAGTCCAATATTGAACGGTAGATCCAGCGACTGTGATTTCAAGAGGTAAGACGACAGCCCATTGCAAGACGTAGTTCCATCCCATGGCGAAAGCGAAAGAAGGATCCAGCATTCGAGAGGCGAGGGTATAGAAACCACCTGAGACGGGATAAAGACATGCCATTTCACCGAGAGCTTGAGTGACGTTGATCAACATGACACCCATGATGATCCATGCGAGGAGAACGGCAGCAGGTCCACCATCTTTGAGGGATTGACCTGATCCGACGAAAAGTCCAGTGCCGATAGATCCACCGACAGCGATCATTTGCAGATGCCTAGGCTTCATCTTTTGCTGAAGGAGCGGATTATCATGAGCCACAAACTCAGGTGGGACGTCGCCGTGTGCCACTAAACCTCTGGTGGATCCTGGCGCACGCTTGAACGATTCAATACTGAGACCCAATCGAGTCATCAGAGTCTCTTGAGACGGATCGTACACTTCTTCGCTGTAATCTGGAGCATCGTGGGCTGGGTAGACCTTTGCTTCATGGCCTTGGATCTTCTTCTCTGGATCCTGCATGATAAGTGACTGTTTGGGTGTGTGTTCTCAAAGTAATAAAGAGACGGGGAAGATGGCTCCGGTCCGTGGACCCCGCGCATGTCGTCTTTATACGTTTCTCCCATGAGGGGCTATCTATCGGTGATAGCGATAGAAGAAAGTTCTTGTGCCTTGCTCCGCCCAGACAATTTGAATAGACTCTGCCCCATCCCAGTATGTCACGAAAGACTTGGCCAGTTGGCCCAATTGTCATTCCCTCTGCCCCATCTAGCCAAGAGATTCCCATTTCGTTGCCATGTTGTAGCTCCGGTAAACCCGGATCATAGATAGGAGGATGTACGTCAAATGGTCTTGGCGCCATGGGGTCAAAGGCCCAGAGATGAACATTTCAGCAGAGAAGCTGATCAGTTGAACATCGACGTGCTAGTGATCTCCCCTCTCAGCAGCAGCTCTGCAGCTCTGCCACTTCATCCTATCAGTCGATCGCTCTCTCTCTCTCTCTCTCTCTCTTCGCTCTGATGCCTTGAATACTCGAATTCGCTGTGTGCCAAGAAACTCCCCTGCCCCTCTCGCGCCATTGGCGGGTCTTGGCTTGCAGATATAGGATGACTCCGGACCATGATATGATGATGATGATGGACGTCTTCTACCGTGAGGCATGTGCTACGCGACGGCAACGGCTAGGCGCATAGATTCGGATGGGCCTGGAAGCAGAACAAGAAGGATCTCTGATAGGATCGAAGACTCTGGTCCAGAGGCAACGCTCGTAAGCTTTTCTAATCCCTTTGGACACCTTCTAATGCCGTATTAGAAACTGTGAGTGATCATTAGAAATCCTTAGCAGGCTTTCCCACGGTCGTACCTTTTCAGCTTCTCGTCTGCATATACGCAAGACCACAACTTTTCTGTTAGTGACTTCTGGGTTCGACATTGACGCGGCTTCGATCATCCTTCTCATGCCAAATACCTCATAGAGCCCTTACAGGCAGCTCATTACAGCTCGCGACTTCCCAGTTGGCTGGACGCATCGTCGAGAATTGGACTTCCCTCGGACAAATAGCCGCTCGTCCAGAGCTTTTGACCTGGTCCACCTCGCCCTCTCTGTCCTATTTCATCATGCTCTCCAACGCCTTCAGACCCGCATCTCAGGACATTGCTCTGGTTGACCCACCGCCAGACTCTATCTCACGCATCAAATTTTCTCCGACCTCGAATCTTCTCGCCGTAGCGAGCTGGGACAATGCAGTATGTAATATAACCCCTTGCTGCTATGCTTCTCACTGACTTCGGACACTAAAGGTCCGCTTATATCAGGTCGATCAGCAAGGACAATCAATGATGCAGGGCAAGCTCTCGCACAATGCCCCCGTGCTAGATGTGACATGGACCGAGGTTAGGCTTCTGGGGAACGGGCGCTTGCTTTTCTGACTCTGCATAGAATGGATCACATCTTTGTGCGGCAGGCTGTGACAACATGGCAACACTGTATGACGCTCAGACGGGAACCCCGCAGCAAGTTGCTCAGCATGATGCGCCGATAAAATGTGTGGAGTTCGTCAATGCAAAAGGGACAAATGTGCTGGCAACAGCTGGATGGGACAACAAGCTGAAGGTGAGTCAATATCCCTCATGCCTTGGACAGCAGCTCATGGACGTGTCAGTACTGGGACATCCGACAGGGTCAGACACCAGCTATGACGATAGATTTAGGGGATAGGGCATACAGCATGGATGCTACGAAGGAATTGATGGTGTGTTGTCAAATGTCTGACTATGTCTGACGTAGAATTAGGTGGTTGCCACAGCGAATAGGAGACTGAAGATCATCTATCCTGATGAGCGTCCCGAAATGATCTTCAAAGTAAGTACAGTCCGATTCAGCGTCGATTGACCTCCGTTCTCAGGATGTCGAGTCTCCGTTAAAATGGCAGACAAGGGTCGTGTCGTGCTTCCCTACTGGTCACACCTATGCCGTAGGCAGTATAGAGGGGCGTGTGGCTATACAGTGAGGACACATGTGATCGAGGCTTGCACTTGAAAGCTCATACGATTCACAGGTACCCGAAAGAGATCGACGACAAAAAGAATTACTCCTTCAAATGCCATCGATACGACATACCCAGCGGAAGCATGCCAGGCACTCCAGCTGTCTTTAATACTGCCACGAGTCAGAACTCTCAGAATGTCTTTGCTGTCAACACCATTACCTTTCACAAAGTTCATGGAACATTTTGTACAGGTGGGAGCGATGGAAGCATCACTTTCTGGGATGGTATCGGACGCACAAAAGTCAAGGGTGCGTTGAGGCCTAACGGACAGTTGTATCCGACTGACCATACTCAGCCTTCACACTTAAAGAGCTCAACAATGGAGACTCTGATGCTAGGCCGCCACAATGGGGCACGCCTGTCGTTTCTACCGCTTTCAACCACAATCAAGAGATCTTTGCCTATGCTTTGTCTTACGATTGGGCCAAAGGACACGGCGGTGCTCCGCCCCCTGGACAGAACCCAACAAAAGTCATGCTGCATTCCGTCAAACCGGATGAAGTTAGGAAAAAGGACAAGCTGGGAAGGTAGGGGCAGATGAAGTATCCGATTACAAGGGATCGGCACGAGCCAAGGTCTGCTGGTCGACCTTTGCGAGACGAAGCGTTCAACAGCAGAGACGAGCATAATATGATGTATAGCATTGACGACAAAATCACCACTGCGAATGTCCGGCTATGGCGCGATTCTAACCTCCTTCAGAAATGTTGCTTCGTACGAGGGGAGTATGTACAACATGATGGACTGACAGCTTTCGCTCAACTGCGCTCAACTGCGCTGATCTGCCGATGCCTGTTATGCGATTGGGACCTGAGTAACGACTGGATATCCCGCAGACCCGGTGATTGTGATCAACTGGAATCCTGAAGGAGCGCCTTGGGTGTTGATATCGGTATCCGCAGTAGTACTGGACCAAGCTTCGCTCGACTCCCAGGTAGACGACCAAGCGTTACTGGCTCCGAATGATGGCTCGCCCTCTTGAACAGTCATCGAGCCTCTCATACCATCTGCACCGCCACTTGTCCAGGCGTCACTGGTCCAGGAATCGCTTGTCCAACCGTCGTATGAAGACCAAGTGCTAGTCCAACCTTCAGTCTGGGACCAAGCGCTCGTCCATTCATTAAAGGAAGACCATTTAGATGTCCAGGAATCGCTCTCCCATGATTTCGTACTGAAGGCATTGCTCATCCACGTTTGGCTCTGGAAGATATTTTCAAAGCCAGACAAGAAGCTGTTCCAGCTGTTTTGCTCGTTCTGCGAGGTTTGATCGTTGTGTTCGTTCTGCTCATTGTGCTCGTTTTGTTCACTGTTGAAATTGTTCTTGTCCCCGTTGCCGCCTCCACCTTCCCCACCAAATCCACCGTTACCTGTATCGCCATTACCTCCGCTGCCGCCGCCGCCGCCGCCTCCGCCTCCGCTACCCCATTTCTTGCCTTTACCGAATCCTCCAAAGTTGCAAGTGATGATACCAAAGAGTTTCTTGCCCTTGTACGTGGTGGTGCCACTTGGCATAGCTTCGGAAGCCCCTGCAGATGGCGTGCTATTGCTGGACGGGGAGAAGGCATTCAAAGCTCCGGCGAGTAGATTGATCTTCTTTAGACTTTGCCAGAAGCTCACAGGGAAGGATGATGACGCGGTGATGGAAGCGGAGCCCAAAGATGATACGGACAAGGTTGCAAGGGATACAGTTACAGTAGGCATGAATGATGTCTCAGAGGCCGGTTGAGTATTGCGAGGCAGACGGGCAGTAGTCTTGCCAGGCCTTGGGGCTGGTAAAGAGAGGACAAGATCTTATTATGGGTGGGTCAGCAGGTGCCGTTGAGGGCCACACTGTACTTACGGAAGAATGCGAGAAGGCAGAGCAAGTGCTGTGGCGGAGTGCGCATTCTGCTGAGTGCTGAGAGGTGCCAGACGCAGCCTGATCAATCGGGAGGTTCAGGTATGGTGCAAGATGCCTTGGACTGTGATAGTGAGGGTCTGAGAAGAGGAACCTGAGGACATTTTCGCGTGTAACACTTCCTGGTCTGGGCATTTCGACGTCTGCTTTGCTTTGTCTCGACACAGACTACCAGGCAGGGGGAGAAGATTGCACGAAATTGGACACGTCGAAAGGCCTACTGAGCACCGCTTCGACGTCTCATTCAAGCTAGACGACCCCTTTGAGGACAAGGGGGAGATGACTTAATGTTCGTCACGAGTCATGGAAGGACCTCTTGCGTCCTAACTGCAAAGTTTTGCATTGACTCTCCGAGTCGAACTTTGTCCAAAGGAACTACTAATACATCTTCTTATTTACACCCATCCAGGATCTGGGCCAGATTGGCGTCGAGATAGGGACCATTGGTGGGGAGACAAGATTGAAGAAAGCGAACGAGATCGAAAGGCAGGGAGTATGTAATGCAAAGGCATCGGATATAGTGAGGGCCCCAGGATCAGAGGAGTCCACCGAGGAGTCCACCAAGACCTCCCAGTCCGCCGGCGGCGGGAGCGGCGGCGGCAGGCTGAGCAGTTGCAGGTGAGGCCGATGCGGAGGGTTGAGCGAGGAGCTCGGCGGCGGATACGGCTGCAGGACTTGAGCTCGCAGCTGCGGCTTGAGGTGCTGATCCACCTCCCATTCCTAGGAGACCTTCGACCATTCCCAGAGGTCCGCCTCCGCTAGTTAAGCCTCCAAGTTGAGGAGACGGTGCTCGCGCGACTGCCTCGGGATGGGGTACTGCTGGCAAGGCGTAGACGGCTACCGGCCAAGTCAGCATTGTTCAGTGTTGGAAACTGGAGTGAGGCTCACCAGACAAAGTCAAAAGGGTCAAGCTGGTAATTGAAAATCGCATCGTGAAGATAAGGTAGGAAAGAAGTTCTTGGGCGAAAAGATCTGGGGTAACAAGGACAGTGGGTTATGAACTGGTATTCGATCCGACCGAACGGTCATCTTATACTCTTTCTCGAGGGGAGTCATTAGTCTGAGTGTATGTGAGCTCCCGTCAACAGTGGAAGTAATGCTACTCCCTAGCTCGTTTCAGGTCGAAGCAGGAATAGGCTAAGCCCCGTACATATCTGCGGAGAGGACGGGAGGACGTCCTCCGTTCTCTCAATCTCTAGTGTAGCGTTCGCGTGGGTAAGCAACATGTTGACTGTTGACTCGAGATGTATATATAGAAATCTTCATCTGTCGCGGAGTATCAACAACGTCATGTCGCTGATAAAATCTCGGAGCGAGGGGGATCGGCACGGTACAAGATGAACCGACCGTACCGTCTATCCGCTCCAGCTTCTGAGTGGGCAGCCCGCGAAGCATGTGTAGCGCAGCCACAATGCATTCTAGAGTCGTCGAGGGAAGACACATCCAATAGAAAAGGCATCCGAAGGAATTGCAGGCGTGGACGGCGGGCAACTACTGCTGCCATCCGAGCTAGCGCGGAGAAAGGTGCGGGATGCGGGAATGAGGGTCGGCGGTATCCGAATAATGTCAATTTCGCGTTGTTGACAGGACCTTCAGGCTCATTGATTGGCGAGCGTTCGGACAGCGAATATGGATTGAAACGATCAGTGTGCCATTGAGACGACAATTCGATGAGACTGCATCCAAGTCGGCCTCTGAATGGTTTGGGAGCAGCGTCGGTTGTCGCTCGTCGCTCGTCGCTGCCACGAGTTTTGCAAAAAAACCATTCTGTGGCATGTGCGCCTACCAGAAAAACTTCAATTAGGCATCGGCTTCAATCTTTTTTGGAGATTTCCCGAGATGCTCACAACTTTTAACGACCGGCCAGACATTTTAATGCTATTGACTATCTAGATATTTCAGACAACATGAGCGACCAGCAAGCTGCCGCTAGCATTGCTGCCAAGGGGGCATCATCAAAGTCGAAGAAAGTAAGCTCGATTTCTAACCCCACAGCAGGAGTTCCTTCTGAGACTTGATATAGGCCAAGTCAGAAGCTCAAAAACGATACCAAGCGAAGAAGGCTAGAAAGCATCGTGTGTTGGCCAAAGCTCGTCGAGATGCAGCGCCAAAGAACAAAAAATTTGACGGTCAATCACAAGTCTATATCAAGGATGACAGTGGAGCTGCACAAGTTGAGGCCGGACCTTCCCGTTATGCCGATGCGTCGGAGGCTCTGGAGGATGTCTCGATGACTGCTAGCGCGAAGAAGAAGGGAAAGGAGAAGGCTAAAGGCGAAATAGGACGGCCTGGAGTGGCCAGTACAGCGAGTTCATCGAGAGAAGCAGGCTCCGATGACAAAAAACCGGAAAGTGCAAATGGTCAAGGCGCAGAGGACGAAGAACAGGAGCGCCAGGAGCGCAAGAGGGTGAAACGAGAGAAGAGGGAGAACAGAGATAGGTCAGCGAGGAAAGCGAAGCGGCAGAAGAGAGATGAGAAGGTGCAGGCAGGGGTGGACATCGGTGGAGCAGATTTGGCAGACGCCAACGACCTGAGAGGAGAAGTTGGGGAGGACTACGCCCTGGATCAAGACGGAGATCTGGACTTGCCGGGAGGCGATCAAGAATCACTGACTGGCGCTGATGAAGAAGATACATCTCCGTCCACCCTCGAGGCCTTTCCTCTTCCGCTGGCTCCGGCTGCCGCAGATCCTGTCCTACTCACCAAGCAAGGTCTTCCGAAAGGATTAGAAAATGCTCAATTGATAGACGCGGGTCTATCTGCTTCGCTCGATGAGGTTCCATCAGCCATTCATGAACGTCTGAAAGCCATCGGCATCGAACGGCTGTTTGCCAGTGAGTCAATCTTCGAATCACTAGACTTAAATCTCCCCAGTACAAGCGGCCATCCTTCCAAAACTCCTATCCCTTCCACTCGTCCCGACGCCTTATACTCGTCTGTGCGATTACCTCGCTTCGGCCCCGACTGGCTCAGGCAAGACACTCGCTTATGTCCTTCCCATCGTGCACATCTTGTCGACTCGAGTGGTCCCACAATTGCGTGCTTTAATCGTCTTGCCGACGCGAGATCTCGTGGTGCAAGTGCGTGAGACATTGGAGATCCTCACGAAAGAATCGGGCTTGATTGTGAGTGTCGTGCTGATGATGATGTGAGGGTCGTGGGCGCTCATTCCAGCAGATCGGAAGTATCACTGGTCAGCATAGTTTTGGACATGAGCAGGGTATGCTTGGGCAGCATCAAGCCAAGTTGGACATTCTGGTGGCTACACCAGGTCGATTGATCGATCATTTGAACGGGACGCCGGGTTTCACTCTGCAGCACCTCCGTTTCCTCGTGAGCAACACAATCATTGACCTGAGGCTGACATAGGCAGGTTATCGACGAGGCGGATAGGCTGCTGGGACAGTCATACCACGACTGGTTGGTACAAGTTCTAGGAAATACCTCTCCTTATTGTCAAAAGCTTTTATTCTCCGCCACTTTGACAAGAGATCCTGCTGCAATCGCATCTCTAAAACTCCACAATCCTCAATATCTCATCGTGCAATCTATCAAGTCAAACGATACCAACACCTTCTCACTGCCCGATACACTGTCGGAGAGATATATCGTCACGCTGGCTACGCTGAAGCCGCTGGTCTTGATTCACTTGCTCCATCAATGTGGTTCCGGCGGTCTGGTCTTTTGCAAGAGCGTCGACAGTGTAACTCGGCTAGTGCACTTGCTCACTGCGTACGGGCAAAAATCTGTCCAAGGCTACACTAGCGATATGAAAACTGCAGAGCGTAAAGCGCTCTTGGCCGATTTCTCGAGCGGCAAGGTCGATTTGTGAGTCTTCGGGCTACATTCAGCTGCTAATTGCCATAGTTTGATCTGCTCTGATCTCGTCGCTAGAGGGATGGACCTCCCGGTCGTCTCGCATGTCATATCATACGACGTACCGATGGATATGAGGAAGTACGTTCATCGAGTCGGTCGAACGGCTCGAGCAGAGCGATCAGGCAATGCATTCACACTTGTGGAGAAGCAAGAGGTGAGTTCCTGTGTTTGGATGCCCCGTTGACTATCAGGCTCTCTACTTCAAGGCTATGCTCAGGGAGGCTGGAAGAGACAAGGTTGTCAAGAGAATCAGATTACAAGAGGGCGATCTCGATGCGTATAATGAGACATACGAGGTGGGTGCCTGGGAGATGGCCTACAACTACCTGCTGATAAACCACTCAGGCGGCGATGAGCAAGGTCAAGGCTTTGTATGGGGCAGCTGAATGATATGTGAGGGGCGGTGCGAGACATGGATCAATCGCTGGGAATCTAGGCCGTACGTACATCCATTGTACAATGCAGCAAAAAGGATGCATATAGACGCCTATTCCGAGATCCAGACCACGAACGGATGCCAGACCGTCATACTGCGAAGTCGTTTCGTATGCTCAACCTCCTCACTAAAGAGTAAAGTCAAGACAGACGCAACGTCTCGTGTCAGCCATATACATACCACGTCTGGTGATTGACAGCAACAATGACACTCGACATCATCATGGAGGATCAAGAGGAAAATGTCAGAGACTTGGTCCACAGGATTCTGGCCGAGCAGGTGGGTTAATGTTGAAGGAGCTTTCTAAAGAAACCATCTTTAGCCTCGCTATGTCGGTGTTTACGCTCCAGGTATGTTGAACCAACCAGTCTAGAAACGGGCAGTGGCTGACTCGCGTATCGAGGGGACTTCAAGGCTCCTACTTACAGAATCGTTTTACCGGATCCAAATTCGTCCAAATCGGGCAGAGGCTTCCACGGGGTCAGAGAAGAGATAGTCAATGAATCTTACGACCGACAGGCCATCGATGACCTTTTGGATAAGCTCAAAAGCATGGTGAGTTGAGTTGAGGTCTAGATCAGCCACTCATAGCCTAGGTCAACAGTGTGAATGGACCCCGAGCGATTCGACACATTCGAAACCCTTTTGGACACCAAGATGAAGGCATTCGGATTGTATGGCCTGATCAAGGTGAAAATGGAGATCGAGAGATGGCAGATTGGCCCCGTCGTGATGCGCTGCTCAGCCAGGGCAGGAGAGTCAGAGCGACCGAGGGTGACGTGTACTCTTTGAGTGCTTTAGATGATCCCTTTGCCTCCCATTTGGGTCCTAGACCGGCGACCGGTGAATGTCAGGGCGGTGTCGGCGGCATGTGGCCCCTTGTCCCACGGATGTCAACTGTTGACATCACGATGGGACATCAATGAACGAAACCGATCCCGTTTGGATTGAATGCCCTGCAGTTTTGAATTCGCCTGAGTCTATGCATATTGATTGATGGGTAGTCAGTCCCATTGGCTTAGACTATATTTTGCCCGTCTGTGCTGTCCACCAGATACGAGGGGCGAGTTGCCAGTCATGCCTCTCAAGAGAACGATGAAAGGGATTGAAGTCGACTTTCTCCAGTCGCTTAAGATACCTCTCAGCAGGTACCTAAAATCATCTCAGTCAATGGTGTGGCTGTGTGATCAGCTTACCGATGCGAGGAATACTGGGAAGGCTGCTGTCGGCTCGATTTTGCCACCACTACTCTTCAGATCCCTCCTGGCCGTGATCAACTCGTCCATGCCTCTAGTCCCGATCTCATAGCATGCATCTTTGAGGCCTTTTGCGTTGCCTGCTTGTCGGATGACTTCCTCATCCACAATACTGTGTTTCGCACATATATCTCTGGGAAGATTAATTTCCCGTTTTGACTTGACGAGAACGGGCAAGTTTCGAATGAGAGATGCTGTCGTTAAGAGATTGGAGAGGTGAGAGAGCGTATGTGTCAATTCAGAAGTTTTGGGATCATTTGGAGGGATTAGCAGGGGTAGACTCCCGAGCAGGAGGGATGATTGAAGTGGGCCATGTGTCGCAAGATGAGATTCCAGCGATGAGGAGCTAGCAGCTTGATCCTGAATCTTCTCCTGCAAGATCTTGTCAGGTGTCTTTTCCAATCATTCAGGTGACTCTGACCTCACCCTGACATCGATCATCTGACTGAGATAATACCGCTGGATCGGCCTCGATCGCTTCATCTGCTCTAGCATGATAGCAATGGGATGTTGCGGTACAGCCAGGACTTGACCGTGGGCGGTTTTGCCAGTCCATATGACGCTTAGGGTGTCCCTCCAGAACTGATACCGAATGGCGGCCAGCCCAGGCACAGTGACAGTAGTGGAGATGAGATGTAATTCGATCTGCTCTCATCAGTCTCCTGCCCTGTGAACGACTCAACCCACGTTGAAGGCACGCCATGCTAGCCACCAGGACCGCTCACGCCTAGGCCAAAAGTAAGAACATAGCCATGCTTCTGGATCCAGCTTTCGGACGAGGGATGCACAGTACTCGGACGGTGCTTGGGGTCCGCCCGATGCGACCTGGACGTTTAGAGAGGGCTTTGCAGGGGACTGGCCCCCTAAGCGTGCGGGAATAGCCGAGAAACAGCGTCTACTGATGGACCCAGGGCGGGAGGCTGATGCAACGCTTGTCAGGCTCCATTTAACCGACATGATGATTGCTGAGATAACGACGAGGTGTTGAAGACCAAGATCGAAATTCATCCTCATGTGCGGAAATTATGCATAAAATATTCCTGATCACGACAGCGCAACCAGGACGCTCTAGCAGTCTCCATTCTCGCAGAAGACAAGGGATGTCAGTCGTGTGGTTCCTTCTGACACCATGACGAGAGACCTAGTACTCGAATGCAATTCCAGAGCTTGGTTGATGTCATGACCTTTCTTGCGTTGATCTCAGTCGGGTCTCGATAGACGCCGGACTCGACGTCTCTGGCCTCAGGGAAGAATCTCCAGGATTGTCGCCTATTGAAGTTGATCCAAAGAGTATGCTGTGATCTTCTTCATGACTAGAGAGCGATCTCGTTTGGCCTGCTCGTGATCGATTCCGCTCATGAGTCGCCATCCGCCTCGTCAAAGCTGAGCAATCCCTTATCCATCTTTTTCTTCTTCTTTGGCTTCGCCACAGCAGCTGTCAATGCATCCGGCTTGGACTCCTCCTTACCAACCAGCTTGCGCTTCGAGGACGTAGATGCCGTTTTGATGATCTGCGTTTTAGGCTTAGCGGTCTCCTTTTCGTTCGGAGCTGGTAGGGCGGCTGCCTCTGGTGACGGAGATTTTGAGGGCTTCCCAGCAGCTATGGGTGGGGGCACATTCGATCAGTGACTCGATCAACAGGAGGTGTACCAGCCCTCACCTCGCCTGCGTTCTCTCTTCACCTCATCCGCTGAAAGATGTCTCCCCTCCTTTAGCACCACCACCTGAGGTCCATCCTCTCCTCCACCTCCGTAGATCTCGCCCCATTCGTCATCCGAGTCTGGATTATTCGTGTCGTCCTTCTCATCATCTGAACCTTTAGCCCATTTGCCATCTCTGGGTCGTTCAGGTAACGGTTCTCTACCTGGTCGACCGGACGATTCAGAATGGTCAAATCGTTCCGCTGGAGGAGGCGAAGGGGGAGGTTTGCCAAAGTTTTTGAGGAATGAAGGAGTATTGGCGACGTATGTCAGCCCATTAGAGACTTGGTTTCGGGTAAGCTCTTTGGGCATCGTCGATGTACCGTGCTGAGAGCGTGACGTTCCAATAGTAAGGTTGCTGATCAGGGATAGTAAATAGACTGAAGCCCGCCTGAAAAAATTGATTCCGTTGTCATCTTTTGAATAGACGATCAAGGTCATCCATCCTCCTGCTGTTTGACCATCCAAACTCATCTTTATCAGTATGGCGGAAGAATTACAAACAGCCAAAGATCAGCTAGCCTATGTCAATCTCTCGCTGGACTCTGATCCCACGAACGATGATTTGCTGAAGCTCAAGGCAGAATTACTCGAACTCATCGATCTCACCGAAGCAGCGTTAGGAGGTTCAGGAGGAGCTGGTGCGTCAGGGCCCAAAAGCGGGACGGATGCTGGGAAAGGCAAAGGCAAAGCCAAGGACGCCCCGACCAATTGGCAGGATCTAGGTCCCTATAAGGCAGGTATGGACTGTATGGCAAAGTACAAAGATGGCAAATTGTAAGTCGCAACCCTGCGTCTCCTCCACATCTACTTATAGTCCTCTCTTCAGCTACCCAGCCAAGATCAACGCCGTCACTGGATCTCAGGACAAACCGATATACACGATCACCTTCAAAGGCTACTCTTCCTCTACATCCGTTGACCTCGCCTCTTTAAAACCTCACGATCCTAGTGCTCCCATTCCTCGTCCGGAAAAGCGACGCCCTGACCAGTTGTCCGAAAGGGAAAAGGAGAAGAAAAAGAAGAAGGGTGAAAAGTGGATGGAGACTCAGCAAGCCAAAGCTGACGATATGAAGGAGAAGAAGACTGCTTGGGACAAATTTGGGAAGAAGGCTCAGAAGAAGGGTATTCACATTTCTGGGTGAGTACCCAGTTGGGGAGTTCTGACTGACCTGTGCACAGGCTCGAAGGGAAATCTGTGTTCAGAACGCCTGACAATCCATTTGGTGAGTTCTTCTCTACGCCTTTTAGATCATGCTGATATTCTGTCTTCCAGGTCGAGGTGAGATCATCTCAAAACTCCTGTACCTCTTGCTGATCTGACTTAGTCGGTGTCACTGGCTCTGGAAAAGGAGTCACCGAATACGAGAGAATGGGCAAACACAAATTCGACACCAAAGACGATGAATGAGCATATTCGTTTTCTCCATTGCACATGGTCATGCTCTCACTTGTATCGCAGATATCGAGACCGCGAGAATTCCCGCGCCCGGCCAGACTATCGGAGGATAACGGGATGTATAGCTGTAGACAGTAAGGAGGTATGCGCGGCCGGTGAGTCACGAGTACACTGCGATCGCATACGTCTTTTGAGGTATGCATCGTCTCTCAACTGGACACATCGCATGAAAACACCAAAGATACTCAGATCTACGCCCTCGTCCACTGACTCCAGAGACTCTTCTTCGATCTGGGGTGATGTTTGGACGACGAGCTGGGATGTCCTGATCGATGCCCCGAGGTCGATTGTCCGTGAGGACGACTGGATGAACGGGAATACGTGTACGTACTCTGAAACGTCTCTTGAGGCTTGAGGAAGGCGAACCACGCGAGTCCAAGTATGATCCCACCCACGACAATCCTGCCTTTCAACACAGCGCTCTGAGCTCCACTTACAAAATACCCAATGCGTCCGCTCTGAAACGAGAAACTTTGGCTGCTTGACCCCAAAAGGCAGCATCTCTTGATGCTAGGGCGACGCTTAGCGCGGCGAGTAGAAGGGCTGGCACCCGGCTCCACCAAAATGGCTCGAGAATCGCCATTGTCTTGTGAGATCCTTTCTCAAAGGCAAAAGTAAGACAGAGGATGAGAAAGTAGACCCCGATGAGGATCCCGAGAATCAGGTGGAAAAGCAACCATATTGGCAGATCGTCTATCTCTTTAGGCCAGTCATCAGGCGCGGGATAAGCGAAGCGAGAACTCGTCCTGAACCAAGGTCAGATGTGTCTTAGTGATCAACTCACCATTGTCCGCCTCGTACCTTGTAACCCTGTGCTCCGATGCTGTGCTCTGTGCTGCCGATATCCAACTTGAAGAGCGACACTCGCTGGGCGACGGGAAAGATGAAGAGTACGGTCAACAGCGAGGGAAGGACCAGCAGCATGAGGCAACGAAAGGAGCTGCTATTGCCGCAGCAGCAATTCGCGAAGAAGCCAGTGTCACATTCGCAACCAGGTCGGGACGAGCGATGGGATCGACTTCTAGATGGCATACTATCTGCAAGGGGCAATGAGAGTCCGACGGCAACATGGCTGCAGGTGTCTGATGGTTGACCGCCAGCACACTCAATCACGTAAATGGTCATCGTAGGGGTTATCAAAGGATGATCAATGAAAGGTCTTGATCGGCGCCGCACCTCGTCCCGAGAGCGGCAACTCCTCTCTAGATCGACTCTGATACAGAGTAGGCGGCTAGTTGCTCCCATATTGCTGGATCTTGCAGCAGTTCCTCCAGCAGCGTCCCTTCGTCCATTGTATCGCGTCCGAGCAAACCATCTACAGGAGATCCAGGCAGCGGTGCATTTGGCAGACCTCCATTCAGATCCGTGAATGGAGGCTTCAACATGGCTTCGGTCTGGCGCAAGCCAGTTTGCTGAATCAACTCTTCCAGTCTTGCCTGAGCTTGAACGCTGAACGGACTGTGATTCAGGACTGACATGCCGTCCAGAATAGTTAACATGCTCTTTGCGCATCGCCACACGTCAAAATTCTGAAGGACCTCGATGGGAACAGGCTGTTGAGGAATCGCCGCCGCCTGGTCGCCAATCGGAGAGAGCCAGGGGTCTGTCTGGAAAGTACTGGGAATAACGAGCAAACGCCGCACAGCCTCGTCCTTCTCGTGCGGTGAGTTATGCTTGACGGCTCGCAGGACCGGAATGGCAAAATTGATAGCGGCATTGAAGAGGTTAGAAGCAAGCCAAGGCAGAATGATGGGCGCTCGCCCAGACGCGACTAGCAGCTTGATGTGCGGAATCGTGTTCATGACTGCTTCAGCATTGTCGAGACAGGCCTGTTGAAGAAAACGTTCCGTATGAGTCGGGTTGATGCGCGGATCGGCAAGCCATGGCCTGAGGAAAATCGCCAAGACGCAGTAGAAGGCATGGTGCAGATAGACTGATTGGGCCAACGCCAAACATGACAAGTGGTCTTCCGGGTTGATGTGTTCGACACCGATGAGCCCAAAGCCGTTACCAATCAACCGATCCTCTTTCCAAGCCATCATCTCCCCCAGCAAAGCACGACTTCTTTCTGCATCAGACGCTGAGCTTGCCGCAGCGAGCGTCGTGATACGGGTGAAGAATGCCGTGAGCTCAAAGGATATCGCAGGGTACATTGAAGATCGTTGACGTTCCGCAGATCCACGAAGGCGCAAGACTCGGAAATGTGTACCTTCAGTGTCGGGTTCTGAGCCGTCCACGCTGATAGGGGTTCTGAGATTTGCCCGAACCCTGTTTGGCCTGCAGACATTCGTCGGAATGTCCGCAATTGATGAATAAGGACCCGGGGTGAGGGTAGACCATCTAGAGCGGAGATGAGCTGAGAAAAGGGCAACAAGTGTTTCTCACCTTTTGCACATGATAATACTCTCCGCTGTTTGTCGCATATGATTTCTCTCTTCGGCAGTAGTGTTTTCCCACATGATGCTTGACTCATCAAGAAAGTTGGTCTTTTCCGCTGCGGCGAACATGGATTGAACGTGAAGGACTAAATTCCTTAAAGTCCTGATGTTGCCAGTGTACGTCCCATAGAAGCATATTGCGAGGAGCTGATCAAGATGCGATAAACTGGCAACGTCTTCGGTCTCTTCAATGAATTCAAGGGCGAGCTTGTACAGTGTGGTATGCAATTGAGTTGTATCGACTTGCGGCCGGTACAAGGATTGTCGGTGAGGTCCGATGAGCAAGGCCGCAGTCGCTAGTGAGCCACAAAGAAGCCCAGCAGTCGGGGTTGATACTGCTCGATGCCGAAAAGCTCGTTGCCAGAGTGGAATCACTTTCGGGTGAAAGTAGAGCCAGTCGCACTGATGGGTGAGAATGAGCTATCCGTCACAAATACAGGTCACTCACCTCCTGATGCAGGAATTCTAGCAGGATCTCCATCGCCTCTGTGGATGGCAGAACGGCAGTCATTCTGATCCAGTTAGCCTTGTGCTCGTCCGAATCAAGCGACTCTTCTGCATCCACGTCAGCTTCGGACTGTTGAAGCGTCTTGACGGTCTCTTCCAAGGCGACAAGAGATGCCCTGATCTGATCTAGGCCGGGACGAGGTGTAGAGACTGGTCGATCATATGGGGAAAATCTAGCGATACGGGGGACATTGGGATTGCAAGAGGCTTGGGTCCCCCGCAGGATACAGGATTGACACGGCTGATAGATTGTGGTCAGCGAATGCGACCCCAGTCACCTTACGATCTCATCATTACACCGTGACTTTCTCTTACGACTGGCGCATACAGTCAGCTTTGAATCGCACGACGCGGCACGTAAGCACTTGCCATGGCTCGCAACTCTTCTTGACTCTCCCTAGCTCACTCATTTGTATGGAAAGATCAAGAAAGAACTTGTAAACAGTATCGTAAAATCCCAGAACGGACGTCGGTTACCGGAAATCGATTCGAGGCTTTTCCCCTTGGGTGTGGCAGACCTCCCAGATACATATATGATACGGTCTATGACGCATTGCGATCTACAGCTACAGAATAAGGCCTATCGGGACTGCGCAGGATGGTGCTGTGCATATTGAACCCCCTAGATAATCCTGAGCTTCGGTCTGGTGGAGAAACTCAAGCCGAGGTATCCTGCAGCCAAGAAGGCAATGGTGAGAGCCGCCAAGAAGCCCGCATCAGCTCCGATGGAGAATACCTCGAGATTGTATGCCTTCAGAACATCATTGCCCTGTGCCCATGTCAGTTGTGTGCAGGATTTTGATCACTCACGGATTGGTAACACTGGCTTGAACTGTCATCGCATTGCAATTGAGCGCCTCGGAACTCGTTGATCGTCAACGCAGAATATGTGTAGTACAGTGGCGAGATGTATTTCAACCATATGAACCACGGAGGTGGGGACGGCAACAGATTGCCTCCGAAGAAGAGGAAAATGACGTTGACCACTGGCGAGAGAATGTTGGCAATCTCAACGGTAGGACTGACACCCGCGATTGCGAGACCCAGACCTTGTTCCATCAGCATTTTTCGCGACAGGCTAGACTCACAGACACTATTGGCGATGTGTAGGCAAGTGATTGCAAGAAATATGAAAATTCGGGCGGCTGAAAGTCGGAGCCCGATCCTGTAGAGCAGAGTCAGCGGTCTGGCAGCACAGGCTCTTTTCGGCTTACATGAAGTAAACGATGATCAGATAAGGGATCCGGAAGATGACGGCAATGGGGATCTCGAGCATGACTTTTGACAAGAAGAAGCTGCTGCATCGGTACAGCGCTGACGATCTTTCTCGGATGAGAATGGTTCGCTGCAGCGGGAAAGAGGCAAGGACGGGAGCTGATGCACCGAAAGCGGCATTGATGGGGATCTGTACGGGAAGTCATTGCTCAGCATGCTTCATAATGGCGCACGATTGAGGTCTCTCACGATGAACAGCACTCCGATTTTGGCCAGGACGTCCTTTTGAGAATCGTTGAGACGGAAGAATGCGAAACCTGATGGGAATCAGTCGCGTGATCGGGCAGATAGTCCTACCAATAACGATGAGGAAGACGATAGTTTGACCGGCAGAGCCGACCCAAAGCTGCTTGTCTCGAAGCTTTTCGTCAGTTCAGCCAATATTTATCGGCTTACCTGATCTTTGCTGGTGCGACGGAAGAGCAGCATCAATTCGAAGAACCAAGAAGTCGGCCACTGAGCTTTGCTGCTCTTCTTGACATCTTTCTCATCAACTTTGCCAGCTGGCCTTGAGACAGGTGTGGCTTGCGCAGCCCTCTCCTTCCAGTTGTCGATCAGTTTCTGAATGCGTGCCTTCCCCTCCTCGTCCCGATCAACATTCTCAGCGATGGAGATGAAGTAATCTGCTGGATTGACTCCTTCAGGAACGTTGTAATCCAGGCCTTTGAAATACTCGACGGTGTCTCGAGGAGGTCCATCGTAGTAGATAGCGCCTTTTGCCAAGAGGATGACCCGGTCGAGAGTGCAAAACATGTCCCATGATGGCTGGTGAATCGTCATCAAGCAGGCCAAGTTTCGCTTTTGGACCACTTCGCGGAGATTGGTGACCAATCGAGAAGCGGCAAAGGAATCCAGACCCGAGGTCGGCTCATCGAGGAAGAACAAGGATGAGTTGGACACCAGTTCCTTACGATGTCAGCGGTTTATCACTACTTGATTGAACTCACCACTCCGATACTGACTCGCTTACGCTCTCCACCACTGATCCCTCTCTTGAGCCCGGAGCCTACCTGGCCGTTCTCACAGTCCTCCAGCCGGAGCATTTCAATCGTTTCCTCAACTCTTCGCTTTTTCGCCTCAGCATCGAATTCGCTGTCGGGCAATCGGAGTTTCGCAGCATAGTTGATCGTCTCTCTCACTGTCAGTCGAGCAAAGAGAGCGTCATCTTGTTCTACAAAGGCGATTGTTCGTTTCCAGGTCGAGGCTTTCCGATTGACACCTTCGTACGTGATCTCGCCTGAGGCTTCGCCAACTTTGGATAATCGACCCGAGAGGACATTGAGTAGAGTCGTCTTTCCGCTCCCGGAAGCTCCTAGCAATCCTACAAATTCGCCACGATCGACGTGACTGCTGATGTTGTTGAGAATCCGACGCGACTTGTCGGCAGCTGGAGGTTCTGCCTCTTTTGAATCTGCCTTTTCGGCATCCTTTTGAGCCGACATACCGGCCAACATTTTTTTCCTGTCCTTGTCTTTGAGAGGTATATCATAGTCGACATTGTTCCAGTGCAGGCCGTCAGAGACCGTAGCTAGGGAAGAGCTGGACATTCTCTGATGGCTTGAGATTGAAGGATGGAATGAGAGCAGGTTGCAGCCTCTCGATGATCACGTCCTTGTATATAAGGCCAAGTTTTTCCTTTTCAATTGCCAATGACGACACGATCGACATCCGCGGCGCGGTCCGCGGTCCGCGGAAAAAGAACCTGACGTAATTCAGTCCTCGGGCTTATCACGAGCTTCCCATGATGACCGTAGACAGTCAAAGGGGATCCATGCCTCTCTGCCAGGGCCAGGAACGGAACCAGATGTTCGGATGTACATAATCGACATGTGTACATGTCGTATATGGGCTATTGAGTTTGACACCTTATTCGAGAAGGTTTTCAACCCAAAGAGAGACCTAGCCGACTGTACTCTCGGCGCAGCTCGGGGTAGGTTATCCTTGGTACACGCTACAGGTACAACGAATAACATCAATCGTTAAATTCAGCTACGGCAAGTCTGCATGCTCGTAGGCAGGATCATCATCCGTCAGTGAGAGCCAAAAACTTCTGGCTTCGAAGGCCGACGCCCAAGCTATGGAAACACGTTGCATAAACCTTCAAAATACATATCATGCCCCCCACACTACCAGTTAGTCGGAAAGTCCTGTGGCTCGAGACCAAAGTAGCCTCTCTCTGGTAATGGCAAGTAAGATCCCTTGTTGTTGTAGAGTGCGTAATCAATCCCATCCTTCTGAACTTCATTCCCCCACCATTTGAGTTCTTTTCCAGATCCGGCTCCGAAACTGAAGACCAAGGTGATGATCAACCCAGAAATGGTAGCTCCTACGGCCATACCAGCCCAGATAAGGTAAGCGTATTTTTGCCAGAAGGCACTGTATCGTCTCTTGAGCCAGAATTGGAAGAACCATGTCAACATGATTCCTTGGGTGGCTTGAGTCAAGCCGTTGTTACCACTCCATTGTAACATTCCATTGATGGCGATGGCCGGGTGAACATAAGCCAAGACATTGCCGCAAGGAGTCCAAACGTATCTGTCGAATGAGGTGAATGACCTGGCGTGCATCCTCTTCTCGAGGAAGACGTGGATCTTAGGTCCGTAGCTTTCGCCAACGATCCACATGACTCCAAGCACGGCTCCGATGACGAAGCAGTAAGGAATGACAGGGTAAAGCTTGAACATGTTGTTGGTTCCAAACGCTCCGAAAGCGATGGTGGAAGAGTAGACCGAATGCGCATACGCGCAGACCATGAATTGTGGGTTGTCATACTGGCACAATGTCCCGGTCGCATTGGCATAAGCGAGCATGACGTCGATCATGGCCACGTAAATGATACAGTTGACTACTTGGGCGACAAGGTGACCTCGGAATATGGCACGGGGTGGGATACGAGCGTACATGGCGTATTTGAGATCGGCAGTGAATCCACCAGCTTCTTGCTCAAAGGCACCTCCATACATGAGGAGCATCTGAGAGGACGTGAGCGGGTGTCACATCCGTTTTAAAACCAGGACTCACCAGCTGTGCGATTGGCTTTCCAGGGAACCAAACGCCAGGCAAGACTTGCCAGATCACACCAAGGTTGATTCCGGTATTTGCGACGGACTGAATGATGGTGTAAGGAATGGTGAGGACGAAACCTACACCGACGAGGCCAAAGATACTCCACCACGGTGTTGTTGTTGGGAAAGCGGCAACTGAGCAGATGGAAGTGACGAATCCACAGGCGAAGAGGATGGAGTACCACCATTCCGGTACTTCTGGATACTTTCGCATCATGCGTGTGGCACCATCTGTGAAACCGGTGTAGATCGATCGTCTCTTCCATGTGTTGACGACCATGCCGACGAAACATTTCTTGAGCGCGTATCTGTACTTGACAAAGACGTAAACGATAGAGAAGGTGTAGTAAACAAAGTTGCCACCAGTAACGAAAAGGTTGGAGGTGGTGTAGTAAGGGGGTCCATAATCTTTGTATCCATCAAGGTTCACTGTGGAGTCAGCGTTGATGACCTTGGTATAGTTGTAATTTTGACCCTTGTTGTCAAACACTCCGTTCGAATTGATCGGTAGGTAGGCACCCCACATCGAGTTCGAAAAGTATAGCGCGAGGATAACAATTCCGCCGAAGATTCGAAGTACATATTGCTGCAACTGAGCGAAGAACGGGGCGGACATTCCTTGTCCTCCTCCGAGGAATCCAAAAGTAGAGGGGTCCAATGAGGAGATGGGATTGAATCCAAGCCCACCGAAACCTCCCGTGACGACTGCCAGAGTGAAGTTCTGAGGAGAGATCCAGGTCATCCAGTTGAAATTTCTGATAGCGCCAAAGAGCTCGTTTGGGATCCAGTAGTAGATGCCAAAGATGACCGCCACGATTCCAAACATGTGGAGTCGTCGTAATTTCCATCCGTTGATCACCTCGTTCTTGTTCTCTCCGCTAACAAGAGCTCGAGTCAAGGCAATTGTAGGTAAGTTGCCGGGCCACACGGCCTCAGTAGGGTACACGGTCAGACGTCGTAGAATCCCCGCCATTCCCATGCCGAAACATTGGTTGGAAACCGCCACCAAGAGACAGAACCCGTAGGTCGCCCACTTTTGACCGAAAAAGATGGGCATTCGCATATCTAACAGTCCGGTAAAGTTTCCGTAACTAGTAGAGCCTGAGAAGATGATGGTGGTGAACAGCTGCTCTTTCGCTGACCAGGGATGGTGAGAGTTGATCTCGTATCGGTGTCCCCGAATGCTGAAGCCCCATTTAGGTAAGATCGTGGCGAGACCTCGACCCATGGGAACACAGAGTAGCTGAGCGACTTGGTTCGGAATACCAATACCAGGTTGACGCGGCGCAAAGACTAGAATCGAGCTCGTCAGCAAGAGCTTGATACGCGGAATCGGATTGTCTTACAGGTGTTAACGGCTGTCATGACGAGGACCCAGAAAAATCCCACGAGGTAGGCTCGAAAAGTTTCGCATGGCTCCTCTACGTTGTCGTACGGCAGTGTAACGGCTCGAACTTCGAGGTAAGCTGACCAGTTGTGAAAGATTCCCGCCATCTTGCAGACTTGATAGGCCCATTCCTCATGAGCCAAACCACAAGATTCGGGACCGGCGATGAGTTCCCTCATCCTGGCGACTTGGGTCAAGTCGAAAGTGTAATCGTTGTGCAGGTTGTTGAGGATGTTGGCCAGACACTCTGCGGATTGATTCTCGTCCATGGTGAAAATGGCGACAGCGAATCGATCGGGATCGCAGCCTGGAGGAAGTGATTCCAACTCATGGTGGCCGCTGTACTCGTCTTTCAGGCGCTCGTACCAATCTTGCGGCGCTCTCCAAGAGTGATCGGTCTCGAGAGTTTTGGTATCCGGGTAGAACCCATTGTCTTTTTCGTTTAGAGTCTCATCAAGAGTCGGTGTCTCCAGCTTGTAGACACCAGTCTTATCGAGTTCTTCGAGGTTGGACATGATAGAGTCGACTCGTCCAATACGAGTGGCGAACAAAACGAGTTGACGAATCGGCAGGAGATCTCTACACAGGTCTGATTCCTCAAGGCCTGATATATACAGATCTGAATATCAGGCTCGTGTCACACCCACCCTCGGCCAGCCGCGATGGAGTTTAAAAAGTAAATTCTATCTGACCCTTGGATTCAGATCGTCACGAGGAGAGACGACCACGGACGGCGGCACTCTCGCCGCAGCCAGATTCTCTCAGTATTGGGGTCCTCATGAAAGTTTGGAAACCGGTCATCAATGACCCCGCTAAGCCTCTGCCTATCCGCCTACTCGCTGACCAGTGGTGGACCCATATGGATCCACCAGACTGTTGAAAGAATTAGCCGACCTAAGTAAACGACAGAGATGAAAAAAGTCTATCGGGCCCGTAAAAGCGGAGCCCGATACATCATCACCGCCCCTGGTCGATGCCCCTTCTTGAGTACGTCGTGCTCCAACTGACCCCACTCAGTTATGTATAATTAGAAATAATCATACAGGTTTTGTCCGCTCGGCACAGTAATGTAATCAGATCTATGGTACCCACGCCTCTATTCTTGGTATTCCCCAGAGCCATTATTTTGCTTGAGAGACTGTGATCGAGCTCGATGATGTGTGTGGCGGTCGGGCTGTCGGTCGGCAGCGGAAACAATACCAGGTGGGGACGGTTTTTGCAATGTTATTCCTGGGTAAGATGACCATGAACGTCCCCTTCTGGCTCAGTCACCTATCAGTTCCCGGAGATTGAAACAAAGAGGCTGCTCGATCCGATGGGACAGTCTCCGGCGCCGGTCAGTTGGCTGCTTAGGGAAAAAGGCTGCAGAGAGGCAGTTTCCATTCGATCAGTGAGACCCTAATCCCGTAATTGTGAGGACCTGTCACTCAGAGTATGCATCCCGCTGCAAGCCCCCTACACTTCCTATATTGTATAGCTTCCCACGTTCCTTCCAATGGAGCTGTCAAGACCCGTGACTGGCCATTTCTTCGGCCAATAATTGACCTGTTATCCACCAAGGAGTATCGCGGCGAAGATTCCCGATGATTTCTGACTGTGATCCATCAGAGTCGCGACGTATGTCTCACGGCTTGACTGCATACCTCTTTGACCACGGAGACGGTGTCGAGTGAGGAGAGCATCATGTGAGGATCGACGCAAGCAAATGAGAGGAGTCAGAGGAGTTTGCGCCGACAAGTTGAGAGGGTTATCCTAGACCTACTGGTCGACTCCTAAACCTCGACTCAAACGCGAAGTCTGTTCGGTATAAGAGAGCGGTCGTACATGCCTTTGTCAAGTCGCAGGTAATCCCGGGATCTGTTCCCATGGAATGTTTATGGAGCGTTTGATGCTTGAGAAAGACGTTTGCTTGCGAAAATGCCGACTCCTGCCTCGAAATGGACAGGACTTGAACGAGGTTCAGGAATCAATCGACATCATGACACTCTCTATCTTAGAAGATAAGATTCGCCATCAATATTTCTAACTTCCCACTGCTGTAGTCTGTCGTAAACCTGAGCGTCAGCGTCCTTGTCATTTTCGTTTGTCCGCCATTAGATGCCTGCCCTTGAACCGATATCACGGTTCCAATGCCGCTAATGCCGCGAAGGCAGGGATTAGATTATCAAGTCGGGCCTACACCTGTCGACACATACAGTGCCTTATGAATGTAGCTATTGGAGTCATCAAGCGTTGCGCCACAAGGTGACACATAGCCGATCCTCGCTCTGGCAATCATGACGACAAACAAATGAACTTTCGGACATTTAAGCCAAGTGCGTTCCACGTGGCGCCGGTACAAAGGGAAAAAAGTGCGGTGTCTCATCCCATTCATCCCATTCATCTTCCATCTTTCAGCAGCACATCTCGATCTCATCTGCATATCATCACTTCGCGAGGTGACATATTTCATACTCTCAGTATTCCGTGAACTTGTCGTTTCGTTCCCCCCGACGTGGCCTGTTCATCTTGCATCGGACTAGAGCTGCGTGCAGTTCAAGTCAGCCGCCTGCAACTCAGAATTGGCCTGAATTCGTTACATCCATCGATCCATCTCGCCAGTCCAGAACTCTACCTCATCCCCAACTGTCGAATTTCCCGACAGTCAGTTGTGGTTCACCCGACACTTCGAATAGCCCCCTCCTTGGAGAGCCTCATACTCTACGCTCCTGATCTTTCACTCTTTGGAACCATGTCTGCGCCCAACGCCCCTTCCTCGTCTTCCGTTCCGGAATCCGTGTCTGAAGCCAACACTGCCACTCTCACCTCTGCCCTTGCCGCTGCATCTATCTCCTCATCCCCTGATACATCCGAGCCGAAAGAACTAGACAAGAAGGAGAACGTAGAGCTTGAAGAGGGAGAAATAAGAGAGGATGACGAGGAAGATGCCGAGGAGGAGGAAGATGATGGCAAAGTCAAAACCGTCTTTGATAGTAAAGACAAGTTCAACGTCAAAGTGGGTCGTCTGCTGCCCTGATTGAGCTTCGAAAAGGCTTATAGAGCACCTTTAGCACCCTCTCTACGCCTCTTGGACATTATTCTTTGATTCACCTCAGTCCAAGCTCTTGCCAAAAACGCCGTCCTCTACACCCGCGACCCCTGCCGGAGCCCATGGTGAGTGCCTTGCGATTCTGGGAACCTTGGTCATGGGTCACTGAAGGGCTTTCTCCAGGCGGATGGATGGACGATATCCGACGAGTAGTCACATTTGACTCGGTGGAAGAGTTCTGGGGACTGTACAATAACATTGTTCCCCCAAGTCAATTGCCTGGGAAAGCAAACTACTATCTGTTCAAGGTGGGTCAGCATCGCTGTACCTGTCAGCGGTGATGATTCTGACATGATATTCAGGACGGTATCGTTCCCGCCTGGGAAGACCCACAGAACAAGAATGGAGGAAAGTGGAGTATTCAGGTCCCTAAGGAGAAGAGTAAATCTCAAATCGACACCATGTGGTTGTACACTGTAAGTCGCATGACTCTCTCGGAACGATATTTCTGTCACGCTCATTTCGCCATGATAAGATGCTCGCGGCTATCGGGGAGACCTTTGAGACTCCTGTCAACGGATCCACGGAAGCTCCTCCACCAGTCAACGAACAGTCTGATATCGTCACTGGTGTGATTTGCTCCTCTCGACCAAACTTGTAAGTCTTCTTCTTCTTCTTCTTCTTCTTCTTCTTCTTCTTCTTCTTCTTCTTCTCATATCCTCTGAGTCCTTTGCTGACCCGTCATTAGCTACCGAATCTCCATTTGGACACGTTCTGCCCCCGAGACTTCCCTTCCTCCCACTGATCCGTTAATGGCTCGTATGATTGCTATTGGGAAACACTTCAAGTCATCTGTCTTGGGGTACGAGCCCGATGCCAAGCTGGCAGTGAGCAGTTTGTCGACCGAGATCTTCTTCGAAAGTCATGTGGACAGTGAGAAGAAGGGTAACAAGAAGAGGATCGTGGCGTAAAGAGGAGATGAGATGCGGAGACCATAAGCCAACAAACACAGCTTGTGCGCGAGAAGGGAAAAAAGAATTGATCAGCAGATAAGAGGTCGTCGGACCACTGGGGATGGATCCGGCGGCACTCATTCGGCCGCCACTCCGTCTAGCCTCTATCTTCCTTACCTGTCGTATTCGTGACACTGCCAGTACCATAAAATTTCACTTGTACTTCTTTCGTGATGCATAGCACTCTTGATATGCCTTGGCTCGTAGTCCATCATGTTCAGTCTTTAGCTACACCTGTTGCCGTCGTACCCGTGACCCTTGCCCCGTCCGTCCGCTGCCTCTCTCTCTCTCTAGACCTTTAGGATCGTCAAAAGGCATCGCTAGTCCTCATCCCGTCTCTGCAACCACTCTACTCAAATTGAATCTCCAAACTCAAGTTAGCGGCTGGCAAAGCCTTGTCTGTGACAGAGACCGCTCCGCCTTCAGGACCAAGCAAATCAAAGACCAACTTGTCGAGATTCCCTTTGGTCGCTTCGTAGATGCCCGGTGGGTCGTACCAGAACAACGGACCGGATTCAGAGGATAGAGACGGTCGGGAAAGCTTGCTACAAAGGATTTGCAGAGTTAGAAGAGATTACGGTCTACAGGATGAAGCCGCTTGCACTTACAATTCCTGGGCCTCTTTGAGATGCTCCACGAGCTGCTCCAATGTCCAGTCTTTACTGATTCTGACTAGTGAAGCTTCACCTCCACAGACTGGACATTCATCCCTTTTACCATGTTCGAACGTGTACGTGTAGATTGAGGAATTGCCAGTGTACTGAGAAATTTTCAGGTCAATTCATTTCCCTAACTGTACTGAAACTAGGCGTTCACCATCATATAGTTGTTGAGGTACGGTGCACAAGTGGTAGCGATCTTGAACGCTTCGTTACAGCAGGAGGCTTAGTGTTCATCAGTGCCAGCTCGACTTGAGTCTCTCATCCCGCTCACCCGCGATGATGGCGTTGGTACTCGCTATTGCAGGTATGATGTTCTTCACCACACCTTGAGTCAACTGCCAAGTCACACCTTCGATTTTGAACATAGCCGCTCGAGCAGTCGCCTTTTGGTACAGCCACTCGATATGTTCAGGATCATCCGTATCAAGCTTCTTATCTGGAAGCCACAAATAAGCGAGACCTTCGTCATAGCAATCCCAGCTCACCCTTGAAAGTCTTTGGCCATTCCAGCACAGAGGCCCATTCTATACAATGCTCTGGCAGTCGAGGGGTGTTGGCGATGGTACAGACGGGAAACACGGTGGGAGGAGTGAGCATGTCGATCTGCATCCCTCAGCAAGGAGCTTCACGAGAAGAGGTCGGCGACTCACGGAACATTCATAGCATGACGTGATGGTGGGTAGAATGACTCGTGCTTGACCTTTGAAGCCTGTAAAAGCGTCAACCTAGAGTCCAACAATTCCGGCTCACCCTCCGTGCCTCCATCGATCAATGGTTTGAGACTGTCTTCATTCTCTTCGTCTACCATATTAACCAAGGTAGCATTGATCCATCGACGTGCAGAGATGGAATCTAGACCAGCAATAATTATTGCGAATTGCATGTAAAAGTCTGGTGCATGGTCTTGAATCTTGCCGTGATACCTGGGCAGAAGGGTAAATGCGCATACAGTCAAATTTAACTGCACTCACGGAGTCACTTTGACACCAGGGACGCGGGACATGATGAAATCGGCGGCGCAGAGAGCTTTTGACTTGCCAACGTCGGATTCTCTGCATAGTCGGCGGATCAGTCGCTGGCAAACAACTCTTTCGGGGCGAAACTCACCTGAAAAGGAATTGTCGATTGAGGTTGGAGATATCTATCGTGTCCATATCAATGACGTGAATGTCGCTGAAGCCAGCTACGATCTTTTTGTCAGTCTCATTTCACCCTTAGGGACTTAGCCACGTACTCAGGGCCAGATTTTGCAGAATCTCACAGCCCAGACCTCCAGCACCGATCACGAGAATCTTTGCCTTTTGACGAAGAAACGCTTTCGCCTGCAAAGGCAAATATGTCAGTCTATCCGCTGCGAAAGCCGTGTTGATCGGCCCCCTCCCCCACGACTCACCTCTGAGCCACCGACGAATTGTTCATCTGTCCAAGGCCCTCGTCGATCTAACATCCTATCGACCGCTTCGTACCGGTTGCTATTAGCCAGATAGCTAGCATAGCGCTTCGAAGATTCCCCATTGAGCCCATTGCTTCCACTGAGACTGCTTGACCCGTTCGCCAAACCATTTGCACCCATCTCGACATCTCCATCCGTGTCCCTTGGATTCGGCTGCAGAGGCAGATCTTGGAGTAAGACTCTCCAAAAGGCCCAACCCACTCTTCCTAGCCCTTCACCACCTGATCCGTCTTTCCCGCGTAGACGACGGCGTGCTTCCTCCGTTATCTGCGTATCGAAAATGCCCGTCTCTGACCGCACGTCGACCATTTGACTGACTATTTTTGGTGTGAACTCTGGATGACCTTGACACGTCAGGACCTGAGCGAGAGGGTTGGCAGCTGTAGATGAAGGGTGAAGTTTGGCGAAAGAATGAACGGGGTACCGAGCAGTTGAGCCGAGAAGAATGCAAGAGGGTGGTAGAGTAGGGACATGGTCTCGGTGCTACAGACATCGGTTAGTGAAAGTTAGAGGGACCCGAACGAGGACATCCACCATTTGTTCAAGATACTGTCCACGTAGCCTCAGTAAGGTGCAAGGTTTTTATCGTCCATGGACGCACTCACCACTCTTTCTTCTCCTCCTTGACCAGATACATCACCACACCACCAGTACCGCCCTTCGTCAGTCAAGTCCATTCCGTAAACTCCGATTTCCCAACCCTCTGTTCCAGGAACACAAGTTCCTCCTAGCGCCATGGAGATGATCTGATGTCCAAAACATATCCCAAGTACTTGAAGATGCATCGTCAAGGGGTCATGCACGAGCTGCTTGACAAAGTCCACGAGGGGAGGAACAAACGTTTCCGAAGGGTCATGAGCGGTATGTTCTGAAGGGTATTCGGGACGTATTCAGCAGGAGCTCTCGACACAGCGTGGGTCGCGAATAGAACCCAATACACCTGCCATAGATGCAATGCAATGCACTGTACTCACTTGATCCCGTCAACATGACTGCGTCGTAGGCATCTCTAGCGCCCGCTATCAATCTCTCCCTCGGCGGAAATTGACCATGATCCACAACGTTGTATCCGTCAAGTATGAGCTCTGTGTCCTGAGCTATCTCCTGGTCGGAATATGTTGCCAGAGAATCAAGTAGCCAAGTACGGTATATCTGAAGGTCTGAGCATGACTGTCAGTATATCTGACCTTTCAGTACTCTGATCGGCTAGACTTGCAATCGCCATGGTCCTTCATCACTCTCGGCAGCTGACGAAGCAAAAGGGAGCGTTAGCCATAGCACGATGAAACTATGAGAGAGTAAGAGAGAGAGAGAAGAACCTCACTGGTGTATCGCATATCAAGAGAGCTATGCGAATGACTTTGACCGTCATGGTGTCAAGAATACACCTGTATGGGAAGTGTGCTGCAGAGAGAACGGAGGATGATTAATGTTCAGTTGCCTCGCGGTTTTAGGACTTGCCTCCACTCGGCAACCGCAAAGGCCTGTTTCCCGGTATTTGGCACACACTGCCACCAAGTATATAGTAAAACAGATCAAATGTCCATGGGTTATATGATCTACGGAAGGGTCAAGTGTTGATTATGATCAGGACATAAGGCCCTCCTTAGCTCGACTGGCGAGCAAGGGAGGACCTCGTCGACCCGTGAATGCTATAGTATGCGGAGAGCGCGTCATTTTACAAAGATTGTTCGTCGCCTTTTGGGCCAGCGTAAACATCATGTGTCGTCCAGCGACCTCTTCCCTCATGCTCGTCCTCTTGTTTGAGATACCCCATTCGCGGAGCTCGTAAGACCCTTACTCCTGCGCTCACAGTTCGCCCTTCCTCACTGATACCTCCCATAAGGGTCCTCGTACCTCCCTTGATTCGGTGGCCCTCCTCCGCTCGGACCACGCGGTCCACCCGGTCTCATACCTCCCCCGGGACCCGACGCACTAGGCTGTCTCATTCCTTGAGGGTGTTGGCTTCTAGGGTCTTGAGATCCTGGCGGCGGCGTGCTATACGATACAGGAGACTCGTGTCGAAGGATGGGACCCGGCGAGCCATATCGATCCATTTGCACTGGTGGAGATTGTCGATTTTGGCCTTGACCTTGACTCGATGCTGATCCTTGTCGTGGGACGTGAGAGGGCGCGAATGAATCATTGTAGCCCGTCATTGTTGCTCCTGGGGGTAGTCCGTACCCGATAGAAGGCTGTCGACTTCTTGACAAGTCGGAATTGCTCTCCCATGGTTGAGGCTGATGAGGTGCTCCAGCCGATCCTCCCCCACCGTTATAGCTCAAATCGCTCCCAGAGCGTTGTCGTGGAGCTCCAGGTGGAGTATAGCCGTGCGGAACAGGTTGAGTGTAAGCCGTGGGAGGGTAAGGCGCTCCGACAGTGCTGGTACTCCCTTGTCTTGACCGTGCACGCCTCGGTTCGCCATCAGGCTGAGGAGCATGTTGCAGCAATGGCACGCCTGTGACGGATTCTTGAGATTGAGATCGCAATCCCATGCCTAGACCTTGATTGAATCGTTGTTGACGTCCATAGGCCTCACCATCACCACCGCCTCGGTTGTACCCAGGTGCAGGATAGCCGCCAAATCCGAATCCAGCATTTGCAATATCTGACCCCTCACCCCTTGCTAGCAAGTAATCGGTTGAAGGGTTATTGCCCATTCGCATGCTGTTTTCCGGAGATTTATAGGTGAAGGGCGTTTCAGGATACGACCTGAACATGTCGTCTGTGCCTGGAGTCGTCGGTCGAGTGGACGTTCCCAGCATGTCTGTGGAAGTACGTGATCGCGCATCCCAGTCGTTTTGGTGAGCCTCATCTCGTGGTCCATCTCGTGCAGGGTCGTACTCGAGATTGTCCTAAGATAGTCAGCTCATATACCCTTCCCATGAGCTCACCTCTCTGACACCCTTGATCTTAATGAATCCAGAGTCATACTTGTCCCCGAACCACGGGTAGGCGCTCAGCACTTCCCTCGCAGCGTCTTCGGTCTTCTTGTGCACCATAATCTTGAACAGCTTGTCGTGCTGCAAAGCAGGATGAAGGAATCGCTTTTCGACATCGGACGCACGAGTGCGCTTCTCGTTCATAGATGATCTTCGCTCAGCCTCAGCTTCCTGAGGAGTCGGCTCATAGTATCGGAACTTGTTCCCATAGACTCGCTTGATCCAGAATTTGAAGGCGAAGATCAGGAGCACAGGAGGAGCAGCGGCAATTGTATCGAGCCATCGACGGCGGACCAGACCCGTGGCTAGATAGAGTGTGTCAGTAACACTCCCGCTGGCGTGACTGGGCGACCCACTCAGAATCATGAGTAACTGCATGAGCACACAGCATGCCAAGAGTCTATTGACATAGACATTCCACATTCGACCGCCACTCTCAGCGCGAGAGATCCAGACGTAAAGAAGTTGGTATTTGTACTGAAGAGTAAGCATGAGTCAACTGCTTGAATAACTCACGACGGCAGACGAGAACCAAAAGACAATGCAAGCACCCATCGCCACCAGAGGTGCCAGGGGTGCGTAAATCATTCCGATGGCACAGACGTAAAGCAAGTTGACAATGACTTGAGGAGATCAACACATGGATCGAAAGCGCTATGGATCGAAAGCGCGGGCCCGACTCACCGACAGGGTAATCAAAGTAACCTGGCTTGGTCATCTCTCGGATATCTCGCGGGGTATGACTGAACATGAACCGGCGGATCGAGACCAAAGCCAATTTGATTAATTGGATCAACTCGAAGATGACTAGGAAACCTCGAAGGGGAAGCCAGGTGAGCCAATAGGTGCTCTGAATGACATAGGTGTTTTGGATCTGGTATGGGATTTCCTTGAACGACTCAAAGACTTCCTTGGCAGACGTGTGACGACCAATCTCGAGAACCACCTGGGTGATAGTATTGTAGAGTACTCCCAAAAGAGAGAAGATGATCAAGTTGGAAATGATGATGAAAGCAAAGTATCGAGCAGTCGTCGCGCGGTCCAATCGGGAGCGAGTGGGAGCGCCTGATAGAAGGATGAGCGAGACCTAGGGGGGAGGGGGGAGCATTGATGATGACCTACCTTGATATTTGCTGATCCGTCGAATGATAATCGGCAAGAGATAGCCAAAGATGAACGAAATGACCGAAGGCAGTACACCAGAGACCAAAGAAAACTGACCATTAGCTCGTCTCAAGCGACTTTTAAGACTCACTGTCCAGTTACCCCATTGTCCAGCCTGACTCCACGACTCCAGGAAAGGGACGAAAACAGTCAAACTACTCAAATTGGCCAACAACGAGACGACCAAAAGCTGTGTCATGTCAGCGTCATCTACCATGCCCGTGACTCACCGGAATCGTGTTGAGGAAGCACACGATGCCAATAATGAAGAAGCCAAACTGAGTCCTGGAAGCGACTTGTCCCGGCTCCCTTCTCAAATTTTGCCAAACGATATCCTGAGGCATTGGGGCCAATTGAAGTCTCGCGCCGTGCAGCTCCTTGAGCTTCCCGTGATGCGCTCGAGCGATGCGATGCGCTTCAGAGATTGTTTTGAATGTGACGAAACCATAATTTTCACCCTCGATCCGATGATCCATGCCGCCCTTTCGTGATCGTTTTTGCTCTTTTCTCAGCGATTCAATGTGCTGACGCTGAGTGTCAACCTTCTCACGCAGAAACTTGATCTGTTTGGCGTAGTAGTCGATAGCATCGTATTTCTGACCGCCGAGAATACCCAAGAACGCTCCCTTGCGAATCGTCGGCCGTTTAGCGGCCACTTTGCCAGATCCAAGATATTTGACCAAGTTTTTCTCTAGATCCGCGACTGCCTCGTTATGCTCATCCACGAGTTCTGGAAAATCACCGATTCTCCTTCCAATGGTGGCGCAGTCGATTTCTGGACCAATTTTGATGCCGTCGACTTTGAGCAGTCCCATGAGCGCGACGAGTCCTGCGTCTGATCGATAATCTTTACGGATCTGGGTGATCATCAAGGTTCGCGAGTAGATTTTTGTTTGATAAGCTGGCGATCTGAACCATCGATGTCGGAGCATCACCATGGCTGTCCAGTTTCGCCATGAAAAGTACATGACGACAAAGTTGAAGAGATAGCTCGCAGCGACTGATGGCCAGACCCAAGCGCCTCGGACATTGGTGATTGTCAACAGGTTCATAAAGTTGCGCTTGTTGGAATCAACATATTTGAGATTGTAGATAATGTTGACAACGAGGAGTCCAGCTCCGATGACAGAGATGACGGAGAATACGTAGCGTAAAAGGCGGAGGAAACGCAAAAACGTCGCTGCGTCGAGACCTAAAGTAGATTAGCAAAGCTGCTGCAAAGGTCGGGAGTTGCCTGCGAGGGTCCGTCCACTCACCAACATTGGCTGTCGTCTGCTCCTCCTTTAGATGGACAATGGGACTGAGCCAAGCCCAGAATGAGTTGGAAATGGTAGGCGGAGGGGGCTCATAGTCTGGATCGTCGTGTGGATCTGCAGGTGCGGGCAATTGGTACTTGACCTGGTTGGCAAACCGTTAACTCTAGAACGAAGCGATAAGGGTTGGGTTTGATTGACTGACCTTTGGTGCATACACCTTTTTCTCCCTTGGTCGAAAGAATGAGAATGCGAGTACAGTCGCGAGCTGTTTGGGGGGGACGATTCAGTCTGAGAGACTCGCACATTGATTCTCCTCCACTCACCGAGATACCGGACATCAACGCAATTTGGATTCCTACGGCCTTGACCGAGGTTCGAGAGATATTGTTCTCCCATGATGCGACGAGGGATGACGCGGCATCGTCCACGGATGTACCTGACATGGTGGGAGGAGATAGATAGGGGGACTTTCTAGCTATAGCTTCGCTTCAAGCCTCCGGATGAATGGTGCGCCCTCTTCTTCAGAATGCAGAATGCTGAGAGAGAGCCGACAGTTCACGATGTGGTGGATGAAACGTCGTCCTTCTTTTTTTGATTTTTATTGTAACCTGGTTTGATTTTTCTTTTTGTGTGTGTGTGCCCGTCTTGACGGGTTCGAGGGGCGGTGGCGAGGCACCGTTTGTGCGATGGCGTTCCTCTCCTCTATGGGGCGCGTGTCGTGTATGTCTTATGTATCGCCCTCGGTATGGGACGTTTGGATGGATGGTTGGATGAATGGATGGATGAACGTATCAATGAACAGGTGTCGATCCCCCCCCCTTAACACCCCCGGTCCCCACGAGTATGCTTGCAGCAGGTGTCCCTCAAAAATTTCAATAATAAATTGCTCAATGATGTCAAAATGAAAAAGCCAAAGAAAAAACTGGGGGAGATACAGCAAGCAGCGAGGACATAGACAGAGTATCTCAATCGCGGCCGGCGATCTATTCCTGGTGACCACAATATCCTCTCGCTCTGTCGCTCTCTCTCTCTCTCTCGCCCTCTCGAAATATGGACTGAACCCCCTCACTTTTCTCCCCTGCCCCGCCCTGTAGATCTTCTCAAAGTCAGGCGTTCACACGCTACACACACTCACACCCTCACACGCTCCACCGACTTCGGCTCCTCCCTTCTCGACCGAAAACTCGGTGATTCAAAGTCGACATGCTCAACGTGAGATGATGATTTCATCAGACTCACGGGACATCAACTCGGTCAAGCGTATCGTCACCATCCATTTGCTTGTGGTTAGACACAAATCATCGGACCAAGGCACGAGACGACATAATATCACAGGACCAATTATCTAGCTTTGTCACTGATGATTCGCCAAAGATGGCTCATCTTCCTGTGCCGCCAGGATTGACTGACTGACTGACTGACTGACTGACTGACTGACTGACTGACAGACTGACTGACGATGCCATTGAATCCCGCAATCACGTCGCCACAAACGCTGCGTGACACAGCTTTTTGTGGGTAGCTAGCTAGGTTGCTGTGCATGAGATCCCCTTATCATATCACTCTTTGATAGTCCACGTCATGGTGACTCCTTTTTAAGCTTAAATTATTCCAACCCGGTCTTTCGGGGATCATGTGCTGCCTCGCTTAAAAGCCAAGCGAAAGCCGCACCGCGCCTCGCCTTGGGATCTCCAAAAAATATGTATCACATGGTTGTGTCTTCTGTTGTCGCAAACCGATGATGGTGGACGTGGACTGGATAGAAGTGACAGTATGGAGGAGACGGATCAGCTGGACGACGTTGCTGATCCTGTGTGGGCCTACCGTGCTCCTGTACCATTTGGATCTCGACGTGACGTACACGCCTCGTGGCACCCTTTATTCTGGTCAATGGGTCCAGATCTTGCTCGCACCTTGGGCTCTTCCTCAGTCCGCCGCTTCGCTCCTCTCTAGGATACTCCAACTCGCTGTTCAGCTCACTTTGGCGCCGGTTCACTCCTTAGCTCACCAGTACATCTTCTGGATTGGACTCGCACTGATCCGTACAGGATTGGGATTCGTGTTGACACGTTCGGTCGGTTGGGCATACCCTGCTTTGTTCAGCCATTGGGCGCTATACGAGTCGTCATCAGGATGGGGACCTTCTCTCATGGCGGTACTCAGCGTGACTCCAGACGTACCGCCGGCACTTTTACCTGTATCGATGGCCGCTTCTTGTTGGCTGGAAAATCGCCCATGGACCTATGGCACAGCTTTGATGCTCTCATTATTCCTTCGAGCTTTTAACCTCGTCCGCTCTTCCCGCAGCATGGGCAAGGACAAACCTCTGTCTACAGAGGACAAGCTACCGACAAGTACGACGCCAGTCTCTCCACCACCTTCTCGTGTATCCCTCAAATCACTTCTCCTCTGCATCCTGCCACTCGTGCCATACACGTTGATCACACCCTCTCGTTCGCCATGGCCAGCAACAGCGACGTTGGATATTCTCATCCTGAGCTATCCTCGTCCAGTAGATATCGAGCTCGATGCAAAGATCATATCAACGACTATCGATTCCTACCTTCCTCACAATCCCTCCATTTCCATATTCACCCATGCCACCTCTCATCCCGCATTCGATCAGCTCAAGGATGAATATCCCAATCTTTCATTCTACAAGGATACAGATGATCATCATGAGGATGTCCAAGGTCAAGCTCTACACCTCGCAGAAGGATTCAGCTGGTGGTTGAAAGACAGAGGAGCAGACACCGATTGGGTCATGTTGATAGAAGATGATTTCCCTCTGTGTCCCGGAAGATGGAGTGTCGTAGAGACGGTAATGAACAGGCTGGAGAGCGATAGGCTGAATGGCGATATTCGGTCGGGATTCATAGGCACCGGTGGAAGGTGAGTACGAGCACTGTATCCATTCAACCCACACTCACACACACACACACACTCTCTCTCTCTCTCTCACACACACAGCGGCTTGATCATTCATAAATCCTATCTACCCATCCTGATCCATCTCCTCCGACTCCATTCGGCCAAAAATTCGATTCTCCCCTCAGACGTTCACCGCCGCGCACCAGATCAAATCGTGCAAGATTGTCTACTCGGACGACCATCATCGTTGTGCGAGCGGAAGCCGAGAGACAGGAGATCCATTCTGCCTTTCAGCCTCTTCAGTGAGAGAGGCGTACCTCAGGACAACGGAAATATGATCATCAGTAGTCGATTAGTGTTGGATCATATCGGTGGAATGGCAACCACTCAGCATGCCAAGGCATTCAACAGTGACAAGTGGCGGTGTGGTTGGAGACATCCATTCGAAGGGGATGAGCAGGTCGAAGTGGTGTTGGTGTGACGTGACAGAGGATTCTAAACCTTTCTGAACGAGCCATTTTACACGACTTGTTGTATACATACATAGTTCGAACTCCATTGCTCTTGTGCATACACATATCGTACGTGATCGGCATCATCATGCATCATTCTCGTCATTATACATCAATCTCTTCGTCGCCGCGGACTCTCTCACGCATAGGCATTAAAAGCAGCTTCTTCACCTTGACCTTGTAATCTCCTCTCAGATCCTCTATTACTACCTCCACCACCACCTCCACCACCAGCTCCAGCTCCAGCATCTTTCAATCGATCGAGCAACGCCTGCAAACGATCTTCCACACTCCTACTCGTACTCATCCCACTACCTCCACTGTAAGCCGAAACGCTAGTCGCGAAACTCGCAGCACCTGGACTTGATGGATTCTTGTTCTGATAATGATGGCTGATCGACCCTCCTCCTCCGCCTCCACCCCCTGATCCACTCGGTCCACCTCGTCGGCCATGTCGGAGGAAAAGCTGACGTTTGGGTGAGAAACCTGCTGCGGGGACATTGGCAGATCCTACAGAGTAGCTTCCACTGCTTCCCTGTCTGATATGGCTTGGTCTGGTGGGTGTGGCGTCGACACGGATGGGACCAGGTGGCGCTTTCCGCGGCGAAGGTGCATCTTCAAATTGACCCGATACAGTGGACAAGGTCGCGTTCGGAGATCCAGTACTGTGCGTATATCCAAATGGAGACGACGCATTGGTTTGACGATCGACATTGGCAGATAAGAAATCGATTCGGCCTTTACCAGAGCCTTCGGCATCTTGGGACAAGTGATGAATCAGGTCGGCGACGTCGGCGGGCGAGGTATAGTAGACCTGTAAAGAGTCAGCACGTCTTCAAGCTTAAGCAGATTATTCACTCACATTGGTTGGCGGTCTGTCCAGAGGTTGAGCCCGATCCCGATGTCTCAAATTGAGGCCCGCTATGCCCTGGGTATCCAGGGCTTCTGCATCGCCCAGATCTTCCTTCTCTGAGGGGTATGCAGAATCAACAGACGTGTTTCGTGAATGAAGGCCAAAGGGTTCGGGACCATCAACCTCGTCGACATCCCGCAGTCCATCGACGAGCGACCAGACCAATTTACCGTCGGCATACTCGCTTCAGAATCATTAGCGTAATCCATCCTCCAAGATTCTGACTCACGTAATTTCCACCGCCTGAGAAGCCGTCTTCGCCCGCCGAGATGAACCTTCCTGTGGACTGACCAGCGTCTCCTCGCCTTCGTTATAATAATCATAGAATGATCCTCCGCCCGAAGATTGTCTCCCAGATGCTCGGTCTGATCGAGCTTCGCTCATCCGAGATCCACCCGTCTCAGCACTGGCAGATCGAATCATGGCGTTCGAACCTGTGGGAGGTTGGAGGAATCCAAGCCCGTGATTCTCATTCTCCGACACTGAACTCTTGACTGGTCCATCTTCTCCCGATTGACGAGACGAGACGCTGAATTTTAGGGAATGAGGTGAAGGCGTATCGGATACCAACTGTTGATCTTCTCGTGTGAGGTTCAGCGGCTTGCGCTTGATACTGGGTTTACGATGCGACGATCCTGGAGATCCAGAGGAGGCATAATGAGATGACCCTTGCAATGCCGTGAGATTGAATGCATTGGGTCCATCAGTCGGTATTAGGAGTGTTCGTCGGACGACCTTGCGGTCTGACGTGGGAGGGGCGGCAGACGGAGCGACAGGTGTCACGAGCGACTCGGTGGGCTCATTTGGACCTGGCTCGCCGAGGTCGATCTGCACAGGTTCGACCTTGCGATTTCTAGAGAGCGATCGGAGTAAGCCTTTGGTTTTGCCCTTGGAAGCCTTGTCGCTCGGTGCTTTCACAGTGTCAGGAGTAGCGTCCGAGCGGTTGTTCAAAGAATCGACCTGTCGGCTCTTGGACTCGGCCTTGCCCAGCCCATTCACAGCGATCATCTCCTTCAACTGCTCGTCTTCCAAGCCCGCCGCAATACCAGCCTTGACAAACTGCTCCGGGGGAGCATCTGCAGATATAGAGCCTGTGGCAGCGAGAGGTGCAGACGCAGGTGGAGTAGGCAGCGGTACCAAGGGTCGATGACGAGTCTGATCCGATGAAGCGGTATTAGGAAACTTGAACGCGTTGATGTCGGGAGAGGTCAATGTTGCCGTTTTGACACGAGGCGGTTCAGGTCGATTTCGTTTGAGTGCGATTGGCTCTTCAAGGATTGACGATTCGGAGGGCGTCTGAGGTCCGTCCCCAGAAAATGACAAGCCCTTCTTCAGCTTCTTCCAACGCTGGCTCATCTTGCCGCTGGATCCGCTAGCCTTTTCGAGGGCTTGTCGCATCTCAGAGTCCGGGGTGGTGGAGAGTGGAGCGATAGGAACATTGGCCGAAGATGATACCAATCGAGGACTGGAAATATTCACGGCTCCGCGACTTCGAGAGAATTTGCGAGAAAGTGAAATGCTACCAGAACCAGGTACTCGATTGAGAGCAGCTGTTGCTGCTGCGATTCGAGCCTCAAAGTCTTTTCGAATTTCTGGATCGTTCTCCGGAGCCACACGTCGAGACGTTTTGCGCGTCAGTCCCGGTGTCACGGGAGCGAAAGCGACACCGCTCTCGTCAGATCGCGCTGCTTGGGTCGAAGAAGTCGTGCTTGGGTTCTTCGTCATGGCGATAGAATCTGACGGGGGTGGAGGAGGTGCGGCTCGACGAGGCGCCACAACGCGCCCCTTTTCACTTAAAGATCGGCCAATGACTGTGCCCAAGACAAGTGATGAACCAGACTGTGTTGGGCTTTGATCCGCGATGGGATCATATGGCAGGCCGTGACTCGATTCGGAAGGTTCAGGAGAGTATGGGATGAGGGGACTCTCATCCATTGCTGCTCGTAGTGCAAGACGCTCTTGTTTCGCCTTTTCGACAAGCTTGCTCTGCATAGCGGCGAGATCAGCCTTATCGAATCCAGTCATCTTGCGAAGGGTCTGGGCATATACAGTGAGATCATCCGCAGGCGTCACAGGCATATCACCATCTGAATTCGTAGAAAACAGATCGTTCCAACCGAGGTCATCAAACTCGTCGAACCCAGATGAAAGTGAATCGACGGATCTTTGGCGCCCGAGTGTCAAGGTAGGTGAGCCCACTGCTCCCATATCGTTGGTATAGGATGTGTTGATCGTGTCGAAAGACCCATGAGCTTCGGATGACTCGTCCATTGTACCTTCTTGCGATGGCGCACAGCTAGGGATGACAGGTGAACGATTCACTTGTCCCGAGTGGGTTGCAATTTCACCTTGAGAAGGTGGATCCTCCTGATACGCAAGGTGCTGGCGGGATGCTGAACGGGAACCATACTCGTTGCCTCCCCGGAGATCAATCCTATACCCTTCCTCCTCCTCATCCTCTTCGATCGTATGAGGCGAGTGAGACCCTTGTGAAGACGAAAGCCGGCGTTGGGAATCGACTGCGCGTTTCGAGCTCGTCGTGCCGACTGATTCGTACAGGGACGACTTGACAGGGGTGAAATTTGATTGGTTGACAGATCTCGATCGGCCCAGTGAAGCCGTTCTCGAACTCACCAGGGGTGAAGGTGTTGATCCAGAACGGGAGTGACCGAGACCGATAGTGTTGTCTGGGTGAGTTGGCGTGCCCGAGCGCGAAGAGCTGGACCCCTCAGATCTATGCATACTTCCGACTGGTCTTGGCTGCCCAGGCACATAGACCGGAACTGGAGAGATGTATCCCGAGGAAGAGAGGGACAGGGAAGGAGTGTGTTTCACAGGAGTCGTCCGTGATGGTGTGAGGATTGGACGAGGTGTACTGCTCTCAGCTTGTCGTTCTGGTGCCTTGGATGATTTGGTGAAGCTGGGCTGCGGTGGTGGCGCGGGTCTCTCCGGTTCCACATGAGCTTGCAGGTTGTGCGATCTGGGAGAATGAGACAGCTTGGGCGGAGAGGTGGTGTTCGATCCGGATGCTGATATGTTGGCCGTGAAACTGCTTCCAGTTGGCGATGCCCCGAACGGAAACGCCGAAGAGGTCGTAGAATGGAAAGATGCGTCCGATGGAAGCCTCGCTCGATAGCTTGGTTCAGCCGGAGTCGAGTCTAGCATCTCGACCTCTTCACCTTCGCTTGTTGTCTGTCGAGCCGGAGCAGCTTGCAATTTTTGTTGAATCTCGCCAAGCGCCGAAGATATCCGTTTCACTTGAGCAGGAGTCAATCCAGCAAGCAGTGACGCGCGCCTTCCTGAGCTTTCAGTGTTTGCAGGCGCTAGCTTAGAGGCGAACGCAGTCGTCTCAGTAGAAAAAGTCAACGGAGGAATAGCCGAGGTTGGCGTTGCCGTCTTTTCTGACCCAGAAGGGCTAGGTTCACTGGCATTGCCAAAACGATAGTACTCGTTGGCCTTGTCCACCGCGATTTCCGGCAGCTTTGGATGTGCATTCATGGGAGAAGTGTGCTGGCTCGTCGCTTGATTTTTGGACCTCAGTCGCATGGCCTCCGCGTCCCGGAGTGTCGACTTTGAGCTGAAAGTGTTCCTCTCATATGTTCTAGGCGACGACTGCTTGGGTCCAAACGTTTCAAAGGAGGTGAACGAGTTGCTCGTAGGAGGAGGAGAAAATTGCCTGTCAAATGAGCGTGACGTAGGAAGTGGAGCAGAAGTGGGAGGAGATTGGGTGAATTGGGGATCTGAGACAGAGCTCGTCATGCTAGTGGGTCCACCAAAGGTTCTCGATATTTCCTGGAATGACAGAGGCGGGCGGCGTCCATCCCATGAAGATTGATTGATCTCCTCGAATAGCAGCTCCTCTTCCTCTAGAGTCAACGATGGTCCATCTCTCTTGCGTTGGGAAGCCAACAGATCGCGGACGTCAGATTCAGGTGCAGATGAAAGGGATGGGAGGAGAACAGAAAAGCGTTGAGAGAGACTAGATGCGAGTATGTATTAGCGAGAGATGCCTTGGGCTTGCTCCTTGGCACTGCTCACGCTGGGAGGATCAATGAATTTCGAATATCCACATCCAGACTTGGCGGTGTATCTGAGATGTTGCTCTTTGGTCCACTCGGTCCCCTAGGTCGATGTCCAAAGCTCTGATGTGAGGGTGATTTCCTCAAAACGTTCTGAGTGAAAGGCTGAGGTTGAGGCGGAGCGTCCTTTTGCGCAGATGAGCCTGTGCGTTTTCTGCGCATTTCGCGTCAAGCGGTGGGATCTAACGTCCAGCGAGCGAAGAATACACTTACCTGAACAGGAGACGATCCATGATGGTAGAGTGATGATTGTTCCCGAATTTCGGGGCAAGGCATGAAACGTTCGTAGCGAAATGTCGTGCAAATGGTTCGGTCTATAGATGCCGGTTGGAATGCGGAGGGAAGGATTATATTGCCATGGTCAGGATGTGATGGGTGATCCTCGTCGGTCACTTTGTGAGACAGACGATAGATCACGAGCCCGTGGTCCCTGTCTAGAGGTCAAATGTCTGAGAAAAAGCTACAAGACAGTCGTTTCCCCTCCAAAATTGAACTTTAAGGAGACAATAATGGTGCGGGAAAGAGAAAACCTTGATGATCCCGAGGTGGGGGTTGCGTTCACTTTGGCCCCGCTGCGAGTCCGATGACTAGCAAGCTTCAAGATGAATCACGGAGCTCGGGGATGTCGTAAGAAGATGGGTCGTAAAGTGGCAAAGTCAAGAGGCTGTGAAGGATCAGCAGGAAAGAATCTGTTAGAGGAAGAAGGACGAGGAATGGAATGAAAAAGAAGAATAGAATCATTCACGTCCGATATGGGAACTCTGTCTAAAAAAGTCTCTAAGTCAATCGCGTTGCGTCGCGAGTGTGAGATCACGATTCTTATGAGGGCAGCAAGAAAGAAAGAAGCATTGGCGATGTGTACAATACATACACGCTGGCATGCATAGCTTGGTCCACTAGTCCCTTGCATGCAGGGAGAGAGATCTCAGTAATTGGAAACCCTGAGAATATCATGTCTCAATATTCTCTTCGTTCCGCCACCGGATCCGTCGCTAGTCTTCCCGGTTTACGTGAACCGTGACAGAACAGCATGAAAGTCGAGGTCACGCTGTTTGGCAGTTGAACCTGCAAGAAAGGTGTTTTGAAGGTGACATGTCTCAGAGCCTTCCCGTCTCATCGGACCTCGATGACCCTGTTCGATTGGTCACTCCTCAAGGCATCTTCCATAATCTTGACCAATTCCCTGACACGTTCGACCCCGACCCGAACGACGCCCATGATTTCCCCGGGTGATAATGCCGAGCCTCCAGCTTTGGACAGGACGCAAAGTTCCCGCTGAGCATTGAGCGTGAGCGTTAGTGTACCGCTCGAGAGGACAGATTCGAGATGGGTAGGGTCGATGATTGGTGGAAGGCTACAAGGCGAGTCAGCATATCAGATTATCCTCTCAATGGACCACCACGCACTCTGGGAAGAAGGCGAATGACACGCAGAGTGGAGTGTGATGTATTGCCAATGGAACTGGAGCTCGTTCATCTGGTGAATGCTGCGGTCGGTCGGTCGGTTGTCAGTGATTCGTCCGGGCCTGCTTGGTGGAACGGCCACTGTACTCACCACGATCACATCTCTTCCTGATACTTCGACTTCCGGTTTCCTAAAATGCCTCAGGGCAGTCATGGCAGCTATAGAAGCGCAGTCTAGAATGTTACCTGAATCAGAGAGAAAGTGAAGCGTGAGACGAAGCTGCCAGACCTGAAGGACAAGGTCAGCTGAATCGATCACGCTTGCTTAGAAGGACGATCACTTTTTCTCCAGCTATGATACAGAGTGCTTCTCTGTCTACAGCCTCCGTTCGCCGGATGCTCTTTTCCAGCAATCTCGTAATGAGAACTTCGTCCTCCGATGCTCTGAATGTGACTCAGTCCAAAAGAATCGCTCATAGTCACCCACCTGCCCGCTTCATATACGCTCGAGGCCATCGGGCTGATCTCGCTGTTGATGATCAAGAATCCTTCGTACGGTCGATCATCTCGAGGTCTCACAATGGTTGCAGAGACATGAGCAAGGACCCTTTAGAGAGCAACTCAGTGATCGACCAGGCCACCTGAGCTCAAGACGTACGCTGTCTTGCCCAATCTCGCTGTGCACCATCCTAATTCATCGCCAAATTCCAATTCCACATTTCGTAACTCCAGAGGAACTCTACCGTCAAGTCGCTTGCCTTGTGCCAACGCACGAAGAACGAATTCTCTTTGGTTGATCGATGGCTCAATCTCCCTTGGCATGCTGCTGACTCGTCTCTCTGGGACGAAGTGTAAAGGTGAATGGGATGTGTCGCATGGAAAGAATTTGCCTTTAGGTCGTTTTTGGATCGGCCAGTGGCGCCAACCACCCGAAAAGTGGCGAAGGACCGCTTCAGTGGTACAGGTCGAAACGGTGGCCTTCCAGCTGTGGTGGACTGTACCATTTGAGCGCAGCACCGTCAGTGGTACGTGCGGTAACAGAACTGACGGTATCAAGTCATGCATGCAAGAATATACACACGTCGCCGTGAGCTGAAAGAAACAGGTTCAGAGAGCCTACTTAGTGATCACCTGATGTCATCTCTCCTCAGACGCATGAAAACTTTCTGAACGCACGCCTCAGTGTGAATCCGCATCCAGGTTCGGCTTGCATTTGCGATTCAGTCTCAACCTGAGGATGCGTGTTGACGGAGGGGTCCTCCTGGTTTCCATCCGTGGCCTCTTCGTAAGTGGGGAGCTGATGAGTGTCATCAGGGATATCAGCATCGGAGAGATTTGTCGTGATTATGCTTTCGACCTCGGGATCCTCATAAATGAAGGTGGCACAAAGAGGGACACTTCTCGATGTGCTATTGTCCAGCAACTCCTTCTCCTTGATTGGGTTCCTGAATCCTACAGCTTCGATCTTACTGAGTGGTGACGTCGTAAACTCCGGCCCTAGAGCTCGCACAATCTGCGAGCCGATGGCATAATTACTGTTCCACTTGGAGGATCCATTGTTCAATTCTCTGAACGTACGCTGCATTGGTCGACCATCACTTGACATTGAACATTGGAGTGTATTTGGAGTTTCAATGTCGACATTCGGGTTCAGTATGTCTGCCAGTTGCACTGATCGCGAGCCGTCTACCGAGGACATGTCACTCGGTAGGCTCACTAGAGATTGACGAAGGGGCAAGGGTTCAAAGCTTGGTGATTGATCGGAAGTGCCATCCTTGAGAATACCAGTCAATGACGCCGATGGGAACGTGACTGACATCCACGGCTTGCCATTTTTGAATCCTCTGGTGATAACCATTTCTTCCTCGTCTTCCAAGTGACCCTTGCCCTTTGACGATGAGGCTGCTGTAGAAGCTTTTCTGTCGCCCAGATGCCACTGCTGACAATCCGAAATTCCATTGAGTTGTGGAGGCTGGACCCAATACTTGAAGTATCTGTCCAAAGCGCCGCTTTCCGAATCGTCACTTGACTGCTCTCTGTAAAGCTCGAGGTAGTCTGGCTCAGTCGGAAAATTGAGTTTTTTGCCCGCTTCGAGATCCTTCTTTCTGAGGTATTTCTGCTGGGAGAACACGAATGAGGCGGTCACCGGAATGTACGTCATGCTGCTACCCTGGACCTTGATTCGCCCCTCTTGTGTCCCAGTGACGACGGCGCCTCGCAAAGCCAAGTCCGCCCACTCCGTGCCCCGGATCCCAGCTTTCGACCACAAACGATCGAGAGTCACTGCTTCTTGCATGTGAGTGGCGAGCCAGGGATCATGGTCGCGGTACTGGCTCAACTGCTTAGGATCCTTGGGGTCAGCCATGATGCTGTACTGATTGCTGGCACATGGATTCTCAGTCGCAGACAACAAAGAGGGAAATGGCACCACTCTCCCATCATCAGTCGAACAGGCGCCGAAGTCCAGTTCTTCGCCGCAAATGAGGTCGTACGGGGTGGGGTAGAGGCTGTGTCTACGGTTGTAAGCATGCTGTTGCACGAAGCTATCATGGTAAGTGATACTGAAGCCGGGACCCTCGTCGGGACTGTTCCAGACTGTAATCTGGGATCTCTTTGTCGATCCCGGCCAACCTACTACTTCAGAGCAGACATTGGCGTATTGAGAGGGTCGTGTTGCACTTGAAGAACCTTGTGTGCCACCAAAAACAGTCGCCCCGCCTCCGACGCGCGCCTTTCCAACAGAGCTGACTTTTGACATCCGGCACTTCTTCGAGAGATTGGTCTCTAGGGTTTAGCTGACAGAATAGCTTGAGTAACTGTCTGTTGAGGAATTGCTTTCAAAGGCTCAGAGTATCGTTAGCTGGAAATGGAAGACTGGATAGAGTGAGAAGAATGTGTGGCGGGCTTTCCAGAGCCCACTTATAGTCCTGTCCGTTGGTCTCAGAGACACTCCTTTGGGAGAGGGCAGACAAGGGAGGGCTTTGCAGTCCATTCTGGCGTCAGGGAGTCTCTGCGCCTTCTGATAGTAGCGTCACACACTTGTCACAAGACAGGTGAAACTCAGGGGCGATAGGAGGTGCTGGACTGTATCATCCGTTCGCCTCAATCACCAGACCTTCTCGCATCCTGGATGATTCGAAGTTCGTCGAAAGTAGCTGATGCTCTCGTAGCCCTTTTTCATACGCGTCAAGAAGAGCTCATGGGGGACGCTCATCCGTGCGGCATCATGTAACTACAGCGCCTGTTCTGTTTGGTTATGACTCCGTGGAAGGCTTCCTTAGCAACAGAATACCAACGGATGTACGGAGTCCGAGGGCGTTTCGGCGAGGAAATACCTAGAAGGCTTAAAGGTAGGGTCATGAGTGTTGGGATGTACAGACTCGAACCACCCTCCTCTCCACTGCCCCCCGCTCAGGCATGATACCACATGAGCAAGTAGCAACTGCACCCTCCGAGTAAGAAGATCAGACTTCTCCAGGTCCTCGGTCCCGCCATGATCAGTGGTCAGGGCTTTCGCTGCCCACACAGCGTACAAGTGTATGCCGCCACAAAATCTCTCAAAAATCGCCACTTTGGCTGAAAGCAAAGATCTCTGACGGGTTGGGCAGTCTCTTTGATCCCCCCTCTTGTTCATCCGACTTGCAGCAACAACCATCGAGGCATACACCTAAGTAACAGCACAGGCTCTCCAGTGACGAACAGGAGCTCAGCATCCTTCGACGTCAATCCTCTGCATCCTTGAAATCAGCTCCTTTTTCATTTTAGCTGCTCTCCAGCACAGCTAGCTGATCCTCTACCCCTCATCATGTCCAATCCGTCTTCTCCACGACCAGGGAATGACTTTTCAGCCTCCTCTTCACCTCTCAGAAAGTTCAAACTATGTTTTCTCGGGGACACATCATGCGGCAAGACCTCTCTCATCACTAGATTCGTGAGTGAGACGGAGCCAGCTTCCGTGGAAAAGAAAGGATACCAGCGTGAATCTGTTCGCTGTGCTCGCCTTTAGCGCATCCGTATCCTTACTTCCTGGAATACAGCTGATCTCCGTGATCACAGATGTACGACACCTTCGACAACACGTACCAGGCGACTATTGGGATAGACTTTTTGTCAAAGACCATGTATCTGGAGGATAGGACGGTGCGGTTACAACTTTGGGATACTGGTGCGTATGGGTCAACGGACACATCCATGAACCGTGCTGACCACCTGATATAGCTGGGTATGTGAGAACAAGAGGTCGACGAACGATGCGCTGATCATAATGTTCCGATCGTCACGTAGTCAGGTGGGGTCTGCCTTCCATGACTGTCGCTGACAACGCAGGAACGGTTTCGTTCTCTCATCCCATCCTACATTCGTGATTCATCCGTTGCTGTCATCGTCTACGACATTACAAGTGTGTAGTAAAGTCGACTGTCCATTTTTGCAGCTGAAACATGGAGCAGACAGAACATCCTTCATGAACACGAGCAAATGGGTGGATGATGTTCGTAATGAAAGAGGTCAGGACGTGATCATAGTGCTGGTGGGCAACAAGACGGATCTGAACGATAAGAGGTGCGCATTTCGACGAGCAGGATCCTGACAACCTCTGCAGGCAAGTGACATCGGAGGATCTGGATAAACGGGCAAAAGAGCTCGGTGTCATGTCTATCGAGACATCAGCCAAAGCAGGACACAATGTGAAGACATTGTTCAAAAAGATTGCCATGGCGTTACCTGGAGCCACAGATCCCCAAGCAGGCGGCGTCAATCAAAGTTGGTTCCATACAACAAGATGATTGAGGAGGTACTGACTGCTATGCTACAGAAATCGACGTCTCATCCAAGCAGGAGGAGGTTCCTCAAGCTTCGAGTTGTCAGTGTTGAGAGAGAGGGGGTAAGATTTCCGGGCCATCTTCTTGTATGACTATCATGAATGCATTAGACCATGCATCTTTGCGAACTCTAGGCTGCTCTTCTTGTATCTCGCAGAGTATGTCGCTCCAGTCGCAGTGTGTATAATCTGGTTGTTTTTTCCCCAGACCGAACATCTCTGTCTCTCATTTTCCCGACCTGACCAGGAATTGCTTTCTTTATTGGTCAATTGCTGCTCCCTCCTTCTATAGACTGATTTTTGGAGTCGCAACTATGGCCAATCAGGGTGGATACGCTGTGGTCGATGCGGACGAGGATGTGAGTGCGGAACTTCTTATCACGATCGTTGCTCATCTAGACTTTAGGATGGGCAAGGAGGTCGAGCTCCGGGTCTCGAGTTCAAGAGTGAGCTTCCGCAGCCCCAGTGCACGGGATCTTCTTGCTGCCCAGGACAATCGCTTTCCACGCACATCTTCAGTGCTGACATTCCCTGCCAGCTTTCTTAGGTACAGAATCTGCTCAGGAAAGAATGCCTTCAGCATCCACATCTTCTGGTAGAACACCTGCCGAAGTGCCTTACAGTCCATTCAATCTCGTCTACTATCAGGTGCGTGAGCGAAAAACACCTCCCCTACAAGAACTCGTCCTGATACTGTACAGGGATACTTTGATGTCGAGACTACGACCATTCTCAAACGCGTAGGCATGTCCATGATTCCACGGGAAGGCTTCATCCAAGAAGTCTGTGATGGTCACATCGACCTGTACGGTATGTTTGCCCCTCCGTTCTGCCCCGGCCGGAGTGTTGATGCTGGCTCTTCAGGTCCCTTCTGGACGTTGACGACATTGATTCTTACACTCTATACCACATCCACGCTCACTGCTTCGATCTCACAATACCTGTCAAATCCGGACCTTAAACCGGAATCGAATATACCCTTGTTGACGACCGCTACATCCTTGCTCTATATCTATGGGCTCGGCGTACCTGCCCTTTTGTGGGCAGCTACGAAATGGCTGGGAGTGGGTGACTGGGGCCTGGCGGAGGCTTTGGGCATATACGGATATGCTATGGGTGTCTATGTACCCATCTCGTTGTTGTGCCTGATTCCAGTGGGCATCCTCCGTTGGGTTCTGGTGGGACTTGGTGCTGTTAGCTCGGGTTACTTCATGTGAGTACTGTCCAGATCCCGAGAAGTAGTGAACTGAAGCTCCTTTACAAAGGGTCCGCAACATATATCCTGTTCTGGCAAATGTGAGGAATACCTTCGACAGAGCCCTCCGCTGATCGTACATCAGGCTGACAACAAAATGCTGCGACTCCTAATCGTTGCCGTCGCTGTCCTTCACGGAGTCATGGCTTTAGCCATGAAAGTCCTCTTCTTCTCGTACTCTGTAGCAGGCTACAATGTTGGTCCAGATCCCATCGCCACCAATCCCATCTTGACTGCTCCGACCGACACAAGCGATGGCTACAGATTGTAACAATCTTTTCCGGAAGCGAAAACTAGACTATGCATTGCAATTGAGGTCACCTCGAGATACCAAATGAAGGCAAGATGATTGTTGATACAAAATGAGTCGGAGACCTTCTCTCAAAAAGGGACATTCTTCATTTCTCCTGCTGCCAGAATGTCATCATCAAAGATTGCACCATCGTCAAATGAGTCGTCCTCCACTCTTTCGTCGTCAAATCGTTCCTCTTCGCTGTGCTCGATACTGCCCGCGAATACCGAGCCTCGGCCTTCTTCTGCTTTTTGTTCAGAGGAGACAAACTCGCTGAAATGCTCCCCAGTATCGTCGAAAGAACCAGGCATACTGTTCTGTCTCGGCCGTACTCGATGTTCGCCATACTCCTCCGTATCCGAGAGCTCGTCGGACGTCAGAGCCGGACCCATCAATGGGCTTGAGGGTCTTGAGCTCAGGCTCTTCGTGTCATCTAAATTGGAAGGCAGGATAGGTCGAGAAGATTTACGGCCAATCGTCTGCGAGATGCGACCGAGGACATTGTATCTCGAGGAGGTGGTCGATGACGCTGATCGGGCAGAGAGCGCAGGTGACACTGGAACGGGAGTCAAGTCGGGGAGCTGGACGTCCGGGATGGAGGATCGCCACCAGTTGAAGTCGGTGAATTCTGGTTTGACTTTGGTCTTGACGGGAGGGAACGTCTCATTGACAAGATCGTTCTCGATGGTCAGCTGTACTCCTAGCAATTCTCTCACCAATCCCATATAACTACCCTTGTGACCGGCAGCTTGCAACAGCTCAGTCTTGACAACACCGGTCGAATCGATCGTATATATTTTGGACGCTTCGATGCCGACACTGCGATAACTCATGGCATCTGTGATCCGATTGCCAAAACCAGCAAAGAAGGAATCTTTAGATCTGTGGCCAAACAGTCTCTGAATGTCTCGTAGACAGGCCATCTTGAACATTTCCGGTTTTCGCATGATGACTTCTCTGTCATGGTCGGTGAGCAGCTCGGTGTCATGACTTACCTGTGCAGACTCGCCATCAATCTGTCTGGACTCATGATGACAGGGCCCTCCGGCAGCCTGTACTCATTTTGGACAATACTTTTGAGATATTCCCTTGTCGAGTCGGCTTGCCCAATGGCTCGGGAGGTCAAGTACAGGATCTTGTAGCCGTTGTTGGCGATGTCAGTGTACAGCTTGGCGATTCCAAGATGCGTCCAATCTCTGCCAATAGCGGCGAATACATGACCTAGAGCATCGGATCTGCCCTGTAAGCCAGGATCCCAAGGGCATTGCTCACTTGGTAATAGTCCCATCAATGTCAGAAATGACGATTTGATCCGTGTTTTCCCAGAGGAAGATTCGGGCAGTGCACGTTGCCAAGCCAGAGTACGACGAAGTGACTGAGAAGTGAACTGTGTTTGGACCAGGCTTCAGGTTGAGAGATTTCTATTGGGTCAATTTGGTTCGCAGTTTGACTCACCAATTGATCTGATGACAACCTCAGGGTCTTGGCGTATTGCGTGTCGCGGGCTGGCTCCGACCTGGTGGGCACCTCTGCGCTCTTGGTAGTTGGGATAGACTCCGTGATGTGCGAAGCGGGAGCTGTTGAACCTGGACGTGAGGGTTCTGCTGACTGTTGACCTCTACGCCACCACTTGGACCAGCTTGAACCAGATGGTCGGGAAGCTGCCGTGAGACCTGGTGGTGTCATTCCAGATGGCGTCAGAGATCGCCGATACATGGACAGGGCGGAGAGAAGTTTTGATCCCGTTGACCAAGTGAGGTATCTGTGAAATCAGCGATTTGTAGCAAGCACCGGACTCACTGTAGACTGTAGCGCAGGACTAGACGGGGGTCATCAACAAGTTGGGCTTCTTCGATGAAGCGCTGGAAGGTGATGCGGTTCTGCAAAAAGGCGGACTCCTCCTCATCCTGTATGGATTCAGTGATGACCAAGCCGAGGACCTACCGATGCTTTGCCATTTGAAGCGAAGTCCTCCTTCTCGCAAAGGGCCAGCTCGAAAGTGTACGACCTCCCTTCCTCCATCTCCAAGACGAATAAATAAGGACTTTCTTCGACATTCTTGAGTCTACCTGGTGCAGATGACGATGGGTCCCTGGACGTTCCCGGAGGCGTGAGAGGCAGATCCAGTCCAAAGGCCGGCATGCTGTCAGCTCGCAATCTCTCCTTGTCGTTTCTACCGGATGCACCCTGCTCAATCCTTTCCGTGTCGGGATACGACGCCAAATCGTCTACGCCTCCGGACTCTGGAGATTGTGGCGGCATGCGTGCCCAATCCCAAGTGTTCGGCAGGTTGGTCGGAGTGGTTGGTCGAGGGGGCTGAGCCGAGGAATATGGGAAGATATTACCATTCGGAGGCCGAGCAAGCGATGAGGAAGGCATCGATGTCTCCAGGTCGTCCTCCATATCTGGCGGTGGCTCGGACTGTCCTCTGTCTCCGCGTCTAAGTGCCGAGCTCTTGTTCATCGGTGTCGCCTCTTCCAGCGAAAGAGAATCTAGTGTAGAGGATAGATCAGACTGTGAATGAGACGGCCGATCATCATTGCGATCCATATTGTCCAGTCCAGAATGAGCAGATGTCTCGTCAGAACGAGGCGTGTTGCGTCTGGAGCTGGTCGAGTAGCTATGCGAAGGTACAGAAGCCATCAAGTCGTGTGCGAACGCCTCGATCAGCGAAGCTCGTACTTTGGACGAATGAGTTTTCCCCTCCATAATTTTCGCAGCTGTCAGAGCACTTTTGACTCTATAAGCCTCTTCTGCCATGCCTCTCTCCGCTTTCGGATTGCGCTCTTCAGTAGCCTTGCCAGCACTGTGATAGCCGGACATGTCTAAAACCACATCCTTGCCATACACAACGTCAGGACCTTCACCTTCGCCAGGATCGACCTTTGGCAGATCGTCCGCTGGTACACTTCCTGGATCTAAGGCGTGTTCGATATCATGTGTCTTCTTGTAAGTGGAAATGGTCTGATTGCGATCGACATGTTTGGCATCCTCGCCTGGCTTGGCAGAAACGGGATTTTCCGGGTTCTCAGGAGGGGTTGTCTTTGACAAGACGGCTTTGCCCCTGGACTTGGCCAACGATTCCGCCGTTTCATCTGTTTCTGGCTCCTTGTTACTAGACTTGGAGGATGTTAGGAAGGACGGTAGAAGTGATGCCGGAGCATTAAGTATGGACGATGGAGAGGCGGTAGAAGAGCCCTTGTCGATATTGAGGCTACTTTTGGAGGGAGTCGAGTACTTGACTGGGTCCGGCTGATCCAGATCTAACGGCTCGACATCCCCCAGCTCGTTGCGGTCACTGTGCAGCGTATGATTGACCTGTTCTTCGGTCTCTCCGAAAGGGTTCTGTGTGAGAGAGCCGACGTGCACTGGTTCTTCATGCTGCCCGATCTCCGGTTTTGGTCCCTTTCCAGTATCTGTCCGAGGCTCGCTCAACGGCAGTGTCTCAGCGGAAGTCTGTGAGGTGCTTGAGAAGGGTGGAGTCGGAGGGATATCCTGAGAGTCAGACATCATTCATCTCAGACTAGGCTTACATCGGTCGGTGATACCACTGGACTTGTGAGTAGATCTTCCGGCACGTCTTCGTCCGTTTCCAAAACGAAAAACGCTTCACCCGATTCGCCAACCTTCATGCTGAATGGGGCGACATGTGGGGGCGGCAAGTTATTCGGAAGCCGTAAAGTCACCCGCTTCTCGGCTGCTCGCAGGACTTGCAGCTTGCCGAATCGGACGTGAAAAGGAGAGGAAGACAGAGTGACCTCTCCATCTTCGTCCACATGCTTCACAACAATGACATCGATGGCTCCGGATAAAGTTGCCGGGTTGATGCCCGAATCTGTGACGAGTTAGTCTCGAGGCCCCAGTTGGCGACTCACAGAAGCTGTAAGCTTTAGAGAGATACTGCATCGCGTCCGAATGTTATTCACAGAATTGAAAGAGTCCCAAGACTGATCTGAGGATCTCGCAACAGAGTCGGCCTGTGTCACCTTGATGTCTCCCCAAAGGAAACACAGCACATTAGCCCGATTCCGGTCAGATCCTTTGGCTGTGAACGAGGATCAAGCGTTGTCCCTCGGTGAAAGCTTTGAAGATGAGAGAGCCAATCAGGGGTCTGCCCTGCTCGCCGCCCTCCTCTCGTTGGTTCTCGCTATCGCTCAGTTGTGAGATTCAACAATGCTATTCAGTCCCATTCAACCAAGCGACGTCACTTTTCGGAACAACCGTCCCGTTATGGGGATGCGTTACGTAAAATGTTCGGTGAGTCTACGAGTCGTCGCGCCGAGGTACGCGTTGGGATAATTTCAATGTTTAAGCTATACACCCCCCAAAGCCATGTCCAAGAATCCATAGTGAGTGACAATGAGGGGCAAGGAAGGAAATGGTAGTATCGCAGCTGAACCTGAGTCGCATTGGCAGTGCGAACAATAGCCAATTGTCATCCCTCGAGCAAGAAGTCTTGTGGGAGTATGTCAAATTGAGTGATAAAATCAAACGGGTCAGTGGCGTGGACTGCTTGAGGACCTTGGAGATCGCATTGACTATCATAACAGATCTCCAATCTGGCAAAGGAGACAGCCGAGACACCCAATGAGTCGCTTTTGACGGAGCTGCGGGATCTGGAAAAAAAGATGGGTTTAGTATTGACACTGGTGAGGCCATCGCTCGCATGCGTATTGTGCGCTGACCTTTCAACCTCAGTTCAAAGCCTCGGTCTGGACAGTCGTCAACGATCGAGAGGCAGAGCTGGCTGCCAAAGTAGCTCAAGAGCAAGCTGGTCGATATCAGCCTCAAGATTACGAAGAGGAGGACAGTCTGGAGCAGGAATGGAGATGATAACCGCGACACCGGGGAAATATGTACGAAAGCTGGTTTGGCGCCGCTCTGTTGTATATGTCTCTTCAACCTGCATGCCCTATAGTATATCTAAAATTTGAACACCTCGTCGGAAGTGTAGCCCAAATCCTTGAGAGCACCCTGCACCTCTCCCTGCCGGGGTCCATCCTTGGGACCAGAGATGGATTTGACTTGCGGTGGCGGTCCGCAGACAAAGGCCATCACCTTGTTCTGGCCGTCGTGGTAAGGGAAAAGTTGAGAAATCATCTGAGCGTTGATGAAGCCAGTGGGACCTGAAGAGGGACGTCAACCGCCTGCACGTAATGATTGACCTACCTTGCCAGCCTCGAGGAGCCTTGTCGAGAACGAACTTGATATCCAACCTGTCCTTGTGTTGCTTTGCCAGATTCTCCCATTCTTTCCGCAGTACTGCACGTCAATACTCGACATAAGGGTTCACTCACAGATATCGGCTTCAGTTACGTTTGAGAAGATCAAGGTCCACTTGGTCTTGTCGTCGGGGATGGATAACGAATGATTGATCAATTGGTACATAGGCGTGATTCCACTTCCACCAGCGATGCAAAGACCACGGTCGAATGTGTTAGGTTGATATTTATATTTCTCAATGGGGCCCTTGAACATGAGTTGTCCTTCACCGGGCTTCAAGGTAGAGATGAATGGTGTGAGTTTTCCGCCCTGAAGATTGTGAGCCTTGATCACGGGGGCACAACACGAACTTTGTACTCCTTGATCAACAGCTTGACAGATCCCGTTTCATCAGGCGAAGATATCGGAGTATAAGGTCTGAAGATAGATCAGCTTGGTCGACGGCCTTGTTTCTAACCGGATCACTGGCTTGCCCTTGTCGTCGTTGATGCCGGCCTCATCCGGCGCCTTGGTCAACAAGGCCCCGGCTACCGGAATGCCAGTCGTCTTATCCTTGCCCTCCGGCGGGAACTCAAAATGATAGACTTTAGAGTTGTGGTTGTACGGTTCAACTTTGGAAAGTGTGAAGGGGATCCATTGGTCCCTGTCGTTGTCAGTCATCGCGAATGATCAGAGTTGCAAACCCACTTGATCAATACCGCTTCACGAGGAGCAGCAGGAGCAGCAGCTTGCTTAACGGCCTCAACTGCTGAACATATCTCAGTCTTCGGTCAGAGATCCTTGAAGTCACCTTCTTTGCTTTTCGCCTTCAGGAAGACACCATTCCCGGAAAGCTGACAACGAAGTCAGTATCCTGATACTACAGAAGACATTAGAGCTGACCTCTACAGCTCCCGCGACTCCCACCGCTGCAAGTAGCCATACTGAGAAGGAGCTCAGCCACCTGATCTCTAGCTACCCTTCCTGAGGCACTCACTCGGCAGACCCAGAATCTTTGCCCCACCAGAGCTCTGTCCAGATGCATCGGCATACGATCGGCATCCAGCTCTCAGCTGGTGCTATGGGGGTTGAATGAGCATTCGACGCAACGACACCGTACGAGAAGCTCACGCATGAAGTCAGACCAGCTCTGAGACTCGGAGCAGCTCTTGCGAACATGGGCATTGGGCTTAAATCAGGTATGGACCTACAAAGACATAAAGCATGAGCTTTGGCTATGCATGTCGTCAGTCAAAAGCTTACCGAGGGGCTCGATCAATTATGCACTTTACCGCGACGTTTGCTAGAGCTCACGACATGGACAGCCTACTGGATTGTGATACCAGCCGCCAACAGCATCACAGCAGTGACCACTCCACGGGACTCCATTGACTCGGCGATCTTCTTTGGTACCATCCAGACTTGCTCGACTCAAAGCGGCTCTACATTTTCTGGAACGCCCTTCGACATAGCCCAGTGGGCCAGTCCAGAAGAAACTCATGCTTCGCTAAGTATGCCGCGTGAGTTACCCGATCTCTGCCCCATTGAGGTACTGATTGCCCTACCAGTATCTCACTCACCCAACTCCAACAATTCGCACCTCTCCCCGAGATCGTACACCTCTGGTGTCTCGCCCAAACCCTCAGCTCCTAATCCTCGACTGAATCCTTTCGCCCCTCTGTCACCCGACATGCCGGAGAATCAGTTGCAGCCTGAAGGTGTACACGGCACAGAGATTGACAGGCTCTTGGGAGTAGTCGGCGTTGTGACCAACAAGAAAAGCAAATTGATACGTTATGACCGCGATCAATTGCTAAAGGTCGCCGCCAAAGGACAAAAGCATGGTTGGGTCATCCCACAGGGTCTTGGTCCACTGGAGACTTGGTTTGGGTGAGCAAAGATCCATCGAATGCATGAACCAGGTGACGAGCCTTCCTAGATCACCTTCGTCATCGAAAGCGAGTCTTCGTAGCGTTCATGACGATCCTGCCATTGCGTCTATAGACCCTACAGGAGGCGAGACTAGTCGACGTCCAGGCGCGGGAGGCTTCGAACAGGGGTTCGGATACGGCGGAGGCATTGGTGGAGGTCGAGGCCTCGCACGAGGAGGCAAGAACATCGGGTGGGCGGTCCCAGTTGGGTCGAGCTGATGAGCGCTTTCAGTCTGCGCAGACAGGAGGGACAGGTAGACGCAAATGGGCTTCCATTGCCTGACCATCGTCGCGATGCGTTTGGTGGTCAGATGGGTCGCTTCTCAGTCCGTCCGCAGAGTGAGAAACCAATGCGGCTGGGAGGAGACGAAGTAAGTTCCATGCACTTGGGGATCGTCCATTGATTGACGCCTCATAAGATGTCGGCCTCACAACAGCCCTCTCAGCCCCGGCGTGACAATATTGATCGTCGGGCCCGAAATGAAGGAGACTGGAGAAGTAAGGAGCTACAGCCTGGCTGAAAGCACATTGCTGACCCTTTGACGCAGGCAAGAATGCGCTGCCCCCTGCGCGTACCGGTGAAAGGCGTCCTCACCAAAACTGGCAGCAAGCAGGTGGAGAGGACGAATCTGCTCCTGCCTGGATGGATGATGGCCCTAGTCCGGAGGATTCTGCAGAAACTGTGGATCCTGCCATTGCAGGTTCGGGACCAGAACCAATGTTCAACTTCGTTCCTGGCGAGGATATGATTGCCGCGCATCGCAGACATCGCGGTACAGCCGATGATTGGCGAGGTGGAGGTGGGAAGCAACTCGTATCGTTCTTCGGCGGCGACGCAGCATCTGCGAGTGGACCAGCCATCAGCACCGAGCCAAAGACGTTCAACGCTGCAGACTACCTGTTGTCCAATGGGCCCACTGAAGAAGAACATCAAGAGGAAATCCCAGAACCCTCTCAAGAGCGACCCAATGCCTATACCAGTCGCTTTGCCAAATTCTTTGGTGGACCTGAAGCGCCAAGCTCTGGATCTGGACCGTCTCCTTTCACTTCGTCAAATAGTCTGACGGCTCCCCCGCAGAGGTTCTCGTCCGCATCCCCGCAGAACAGTGTTTCGCCTCAACCAGCTGTGGAACAGCCTCCTCCGCAGAATGCTCGCGTCGACGATCATATGTCGAGATTGATGGGACTGCTCAAGACTGCAAGTCCGGCGGCTACTGCTCTTGAACCGCCCAGGGATGATCGACCGAGCGTAGCACATGAGCACGAACGACACGCCTCGTATGACTTGCCTCGGCAAGGCGGTGGCGGGTCGTCTGTATTCGATCAACCTAATTTTGGCGGTCGACCCGACGTTGCTCAGGCTCAACAACCGTTTCACGGTATACTTGGACAGCCTCAGGGCGGTCCACCTGGTTTGAACCGAGATTATGCTCCAGGTCCGCCGCCACCTCAGCCTCATCATCTGCTCCAGCATTTGTATCAAGGCCGCAGCTTTGATGAATCTCAATCACCAGCTCAGCAACAGTCCCGCCCGCCACCTCCACCTCCGTCGGGGCCTGACCTCTTACACCTTCTCACCCAAGGCCAAGGTCAAGGTTCTCGGGGCCCTCCCCCGCCTCCACCCATGCAATTCTCCCAGGGACCACCTCGCCCTCCTCAAATGCATCATTCTATGCCTCCAGGGTACGGTTCTGGGCCTGTGCCAGGCGTTGGCCTTGGCCCCATGAGATCTCCAAATGAATACCGGGAGGAATTCATGTCTCTTCCTCATCTCATGCCGCCACATCAATCTCAATCTGGTGGTCAACCTTCTCCCCAAGGCTATCCCAATGGACTTTTCCAACAGCACATGTATGGATCTGGACCTCCTGGTCCCCATATGAAAGGACCAGGATATGTGGTTGGGCCTGGAAATCCGCCTGGATTCCCTCCTGGGATGCAGTACCCCCCTCACTCTGGTCAGAATCACGCGCAAGGAAGCAGTGGTACAGGCCCACTTGGCTTCCGACAGCTCGGCGCGGCACAACAAGACATGCTAGCGACTTTGGCTGGGCTCGGAAGGTCGTAGGAGGTGTCAGTGGATTAGCATCATGTCTGCGGGGAGACTTTAGAGGGAGTCTGCCCCGTTGACCGGCAGGGCTGGTATGATTCTGTACAAATCCATCGCATCCGTGTATCATATACATCATAAGTCTGGCTTGAAATAAGACCGCTGGTCGGTATCCGCGTTGTGCAGAGTAGAGTCACTCTATGAACGACCGAACCATGAGTCGCTCGGGACCGCAGTTCGGAAATCATAAACTTGGGCGTGGTTGGTTCCTGACGACCCAAAGGTACAAATGAAACGTTTTGAGTCAGCAATCCGACGGAAGTCATCAGTCAGATCGAAGTCTCGGCTGAAATTTGCTCCACTGGCAAACTCGACATGCTCCTCGCTGTCCTCAGTAGATGGGAAGAGAAACAGACGAAGCGGGGTCCGCCGTGGCGGAGGCGGAAAGTGGCTGATTCCCTCTATGGGAAAAGTGGCCAACATTCCCGCCAACATTCCCGCCGTGTTTCCTTCCGTGAGGTATTGGGCACCCGCGAGAGAGCCCATTATGGTGCACAGAAGTGGAGATGAAGCACGTCGGATGCAAAATTTCGCACCACTTTTTTGTCACTTATTACCCGTTCGTTGCGACGCCTTCCTGCAATGCTCCCAGAGTCCAGTGACCGAAACGGCATGTCATATTGAGTGCGCTTGGCGCTTTGGAGCTGACATTCTCTCGACGTGTGGGAGAATGCGCGAAGAATTATAACACGGATCAGGAAGCGGCGCGCGCGGGCTTTTGGGATGTTGAGGCTTAGGCGAGCTTCTTTCCCATTTGACGTAATGAGGCTGGACGAGAGGCAGGCCTTTCCTTGTACTGTGTGTTTTGGGCCTGTCCACCCACACCGGCCATAAGATCTGCAGCCATACAGGCATCTCGCGGAATCGAGCCCAACACATCATGACTTAGACTTGGTCTTGGTCTGTGCTAACAATAGAACTGCATGACTGAGCAAAGACCAACAGAGAGTAGAGAAGATTCGATCAGACTATCGATCCCTCCATTTTTTTTCCCTTGCTGACGTGGGCCCGTCAACATGTGCTACTTTTCTGCTTCTATCCTGACCTTTTCCTCCGTGCGGGGCAAGAGACTGTCGCAAGGAAGAGAAGGAAAGGTTGAGAGCAGTGGCCCACACAACAGGTAACACGGGAACACAACTTAAAAAAAAAGAGTATTGAGCAAGGCGTCACAGACGTCGGAGGAGACGTAGAGCAGGAGAAGGTTCGAGGGGAGGGAGGCGGCGGTCTGGTCGTAGGCGTGAGAGCGAGGGAGAGAGGTACACGCGCTCCAGAAAATGCTTTGTAGCCACAAATGGACTCGCCCGTGATTACGGTGCTTTGGATCCCCTCGACCTGTAAGGTAATAAAACCCAGAGCACAATGTCAGATTGGTCCTAACGCTATACTTTGGCATGATAGTTCAATTGCAGTGTGTAGAGCGAGGGAATTGCATACTCTCTCGCTCTTCCAACTTGTACGGATGGCGATGAGCAGCGATCAACCAGATTGGCATCAAGCTGGTGGTCTCGATGAAGCAGCAGTCTACATGGCTTTCGAGGCGAGTCAACCCGCCTGGCCCTCCTATAATCAGGTACAAGCTGCTCCTTTCATGACTGGACAACCTCTGTCAACAGCCGTCTCTATACCCAAACATCCTGCCCCTGCCTACTGGCATCACGGTCCGTCGGATATTGGCGGAAGCTCGGCGCATTTCGAACAAGCACATCCATTTCAGCCGCCGCTAGTGGCCAATGCTCCTAGGCCAGCCGTGTTCAGGTTGACGCTTGGGGAATATTTTCAAGCTCTTCACCGACATCAGCATGGTCTCGGGCCTTTAGAAGGTCCCATCGCTTTCCGTCCGGAGCGCATACAGTTACACAAAAAGGCTGTCCGCGCCAACGCCCTCGAGAGACAAGCCCAGGAGACGGCATGGCGAGAATGGCTGACAGGAAAGTTGAACTTGCCCGGAACTGTCAGCGAGTCAGCTCTGCGCCATACACGAACGTCGAAAAATCTAGCATTGATAGCCAAATTACCGGGCGAAGCTCCTCATTTGGCTTCTCCCGCACAAGATACACCTTATCATGATGATCCCCCGGTACAATTGTTAGCACTGGACTGGGACCTGGAGAGAGACAACCCAGAAATGGTCATGGAGAAAACGTTCACCCCAATCGACGCTATCCTATCCTTCAGCAAACGGCCCGCCGTAGTAAGTATTGGCAAATGGGAGTGTCCACCGAAGTCACTGACCAGACCATGGTCACAGTCTGGAGCAAATGGGCGGGTGGTCATCGAATCGTCTTCATCTGTGCGAGGCAGCATGCACAGGATTGTGTAAGCTCTTGGGTCCCAAGACAGCAAAGCTGATCATCATTTCTCGCAGAATCCTAATCACACAACCTAGAGACGGATCATTGCCCATCTGCTCTTCGCATTTTGCGGTCATTGGATTTCGTGATCTTCCAGGTAAATAAATGATCCTCGTTCGACATCCTTTGCACAACTGAACCTCGTTCAGGCGTCGTGCGAGATCGTGCGAATCAAATGTTCCTTTTGCAGGATGCAGAGCCTCTGGACGATGCACTTCAAGAGTTTGAGCAAGAGAACGTTAGTTGCCTTTCCTCACCTTCTCCATGTTCTCTATTGACGCCACCTCGCGGCAGATTTGTCATTCGGACAAACTGTTCAACGACAATCTCGCTGCAGGATACGCATTCTGCTGGAACAGTCGTTCGAAAGACACCTTTTACCGATCGATGCCGGCCCTGCGACAGCGACTACCGGTGGAGAGACAATACTGCCCTGAATGCTTCGCTCGAGAAGATGCCACATTATTGGTGCCGCCATTCGAGAGACTTGGACACGAAAGGCTTTGGACAGACTTCTGGGGAGTCCGCATGGCCCAGGCACTGGCCGCGGTGCATTCGGCCAATGGTGTAGCAGAGCCCAAAATTCCAATGGGTCCGGGGATAACCCAGATGGTCGAGGATGACATTAATTTTCGAGCCACGCACGCGATAGATGCCCTCGATGCTGGTCTATTGCTGCCTCTGGATCGTCAACTCCTCAATACTCTTATTGTTCAGCTTAATCAGCGAATATATCACGAGAAGATGCTATTAGCGAGCGGTCCAAGCTCTGTGCACTTCAATTCCCTGTGGAATGTCGAGGCGAGCGATAGCGTCGTCATTAGACGAGACAACATTCACCTGCTGAATGCCCGACTGCACAACTGTCGACGGTCCGAAGCCCTGGATCCGATGGAGAACCTGGCCCGGTACGTCTACCTCTCTAGAGTCGTCTTCAACTTCAAAGACGTCTTTCGACAGAAGATCGAGGGTCCCTGGCTCTTAGACACCTACTTTACCACGCTGGGCTTCACTCCGCAAGCTAGAAAGGTTTCCACGGAAAGGTTTTGGCTATGGCTCGATTTGGAGCACATACTGTACTTTTACTACTTCCTCCGATATGCCCAAGACCCTGTGCCATTACGATCGTTCAAAGGCACGCTGGTCTGCCTCACGGAGCTGGAGTCGATTACCAGGACACCTTTCCCGATACAAGTCTTGAGTGAGCTTGAAACAGATTCGGCAGCTCGACCTCACTGACATTCGCCACAGGTACGCCCATTTTGGACAAACTTCAGGCAATGCATCCCAAATAGATATCGTGTCCCATACATTGTGCGCAACCGCAGACCTAATGGTTTCTACCAAGTCACTACATCATATCACCCACAGTTGCATTCCGTCGGCGCGTCGGCGTCGATTATTCATTGCCGCACTGCAGAGCAGCGAGTCACAAAATTCCAAATGGTCAATGAGTAACAGACCTAGCGGAATTGATCAGACAACTATTCGTACAGTACCCACAAAGAACGCGTGGGGGGGGGGGGGGGGGGGGGGGGGGGGGGGGGGGGGGGGGGGGGGTGGATTCTCGCCCCTTGCAGCTGCAGCTCCCTTTAGGAGTTACTGGACGTCCTCACGAATCGTAGAACTAGTAGCTCAGATTGTAGACTTCTTTATCGCTTCTAGTCTGAAAGCTACAGTACAGTGCATCCCAGTGCTCTTGGGGATTCATCAGCGCGGCCGAACGTCTCAAGTCGCGCATGCAGCCTCGCGCCTACGGATTCGCTCTGGAAATTAAACAATTTGCCACACACTTCTGCATTAATAAAACCGGTCAGTGTCTCGGTACGTACCCAGTGCGTCCGAGTCGACTTCCAATGACATTGGCCGTGATATTGGGCAAGAGGCGAAGCCAACCAAATTCAAGATGTCTCGGATGTCCTAGCTGCCCATGCATCGTCTCAGGTGAAAAAATGGAACAAGGTGACTGCCCGTCACTCTGGGTACTGCTTGAGCACTAGAACATAGGGCGGGAGTACACGAGTCATGGACAGCGGCTGAGGAGAGTACAGCCAGTCGTATGACCTGTGATCTCGTGCGCCACGCCAATCTTTGGCCTCATTATCACCGACGGGAGATGTGATGAAACAGTCAATTGTGAAGAATGGTGGTCATTCATCGGGGCGCAGAATATCATCTCAACTTGTGCATCAGAACAGCATGAACAGCGCCATGTCGGTCATTCACCTGGTACTGGCCTTGGTATCGTGGTCTCTGGTCAGCGCTCTCCCCACGCCAGTCCCTCGAGTGAATACCCCCTCGACGACCACGACCCCGGAGAGCTCATTTATTGATCTGAGATCTTTGATTGACCTGACGTGTCGGCATGCTATCGACGCTCATCGCGTAGAGTGCCAGGCTCTGGTCGATGATATTTACCTGGATGTGATGGAAGAGGTCATGCTGACGAATTGCGAAAAGTGTCAGTTCACCCATTCTAGCGATATGAGCATCTGCAGCGCTGATCACCCTTCCTACGTAGTTCTGAAATTGAGCCCGGAGAGCCTCGACGCAGAATGCACATCTATCATCTCGACGGGGTCGGAACTCGCTCAACTGCCTGAATGGCTCTCCAGCGCCTCACAGAAGCATTCAATTCAATTCCAACTTCAAAACGCGCCCCGAGAGCGATTCGAACCGACCCTTTCCCTGTACTGAGGGCGGAATTCATCCTGGAATTGAGCCAAATTCCGGTTTGGGTGTGACACTCACTTGGACGGCGCGGGAATAGAACCTGATGTTGTAATCTGGAAAGTTGTAATGCAGATCTCAGGCCATTCGACTTGCTGGAAACCCTCCTTAATTTGGAGGAGTCAACCGTCGTTTTATCACCTCACTGCGGATCCGGCAAGCTGAACCGAAGGGGCTCGAAGATATGATGACCCTTTCTATGGACAGTCTGACTGATCCCTCTTGACTTTGGTTCGATCCGCTTCCTCATCTTTGCCATGTAGGCTGATGTCTCACCCTTGTAGCGAGTAAATATAAGGGGGAGGGCCTGTCTCGCCGTAATCGCCAGGGTGTACGATGTCGTCGGCTGGCTCTTCTCGACCAAGTGCAAAGCCTGTTATAAGCTAATAATGCATTGAAGGACAGGTAAAAAAGGCGCTTGGGTTCGTAATGGTCTCACACTGAGACACTCATGCTCCTATCCCTTGCCCTGATACCTCTGCTTACTCCAACTAAGCCACATTTCCGCCCAGACATCCTTTTCGACCTCGCCGGTGTCGCCCAGACCGTACGGCAATCCAAGACGCTCTCCTTCTCTCCCCCGAGCATCCACCCGACCACCCGCTGTCAAGATATCACATAGACTCCACAGACCCGGCTCCAGCTCTTTTCGTACGTCCAAAGGGATCATACCCCAAGAGTCTGCGACCGCTCGACAGTAAGACACCAGGATCGTAGGCACATGTTTGAGAAGGGAGTTTGCGATGGTAGTTCGGCCGAGCTGGCTCGTCCCCGCATTGTCGACTTTAGCATTGCATAGCATGGTCAACAGTCGAGCGAGTTGAGACGCATGGCATGCTTGAAGACCGCCTCCAGATCGATGGTTTGCAGACATTTCGGAGCGAATCGAACTTGGCTCAGCGAGCCAAGACGGCCACCGTGACATCAGACGTGCTCGGATTCGAGGCGACGAAGCATGCTGTCGACGTATCTCGAGGAAGAGCACAAACATGGAGGATATAACCCCGACAATCTCGGGACCATGCTCAGTAATAAGATCCGGGCGAAGTCTGACGACGGACCCAAGCGAGGACAAAACGCTATCGAACATCTCATACAGACTGCGAGTGGCTCGTACCGAACCAGGTGTGGGATGTAATGTCGTTATGAGAATGTGACAGACCGTCGCGAAATCCAGTGATCGGAGGATTCGAGACTATCGTAGAATTCAGCTGATGCCTTCTGGGCCTAACGACATACACGGGCTTGCAGTAGCTGATCTAGACAGCGTATGCCTGCGATGCAGTCCTGTACGCTCCCAGTCGAGACGACGCGGGCAATCTCATCCAGCAGGGGCATGCACAGCTTTCGCATGACCTTGCCAGATCCTGAGCGGCCGTCAGCACTCATCAACAGTGTCGATCACTCACCCTCCAGCGGGATTCCTACCAAAGTCTGTATGGTTGATAGATGTGCGGATGTCATATAGGTCCCTGGGTCTGAATGAGGCGTATCGGCGGACTGCGCTGCGAGGGACGCTTCGAGAGCAGATGTGAAGTCCTCCAACGTGGCTTTTCGCATGATGGTGGCGAAGGCGTTGCTGGCTTCCGCTGGGGTGGAGTCAGCGACACCCTAGATCATTTCGGCGACTCACAGCACGGTCTGATAGCATTGACAAGCGTGACGAAGACTAAAATGTCTTCTTCGTAATCACCAGCTTCATCGTGCGCAATTTCGATAATCGAGGACGCTAGGGAAGGCAATTTCAGTCTTGCGTACAAGGCGAGCAAGTCTCTGGACAATTTGACGCCTGGGGCTGCTTCATCATGAGCGCTTCTCGTCTTTGAAAAGACCCACCTCTCAGCTGGAGATGTCGAGACGACTGAAGCAAAATCTTCCACAGCTGGATCGCAGAGATACCGATAGAGACCTCCGAAGGCTTCAGGTCTCGCAGAAGACCAGGCAAGCTTTTGCCCAGCTGTTTCTTCGCCTTCTTGACCAGGGTCCGCATTCTCTCCTCTACTTCGGGAGAAAGGCTGCGACTGGTCAACTTCAAAAGACCCACAGGACTGACGTTTGAGCAGAATGCAGACAACGCAGAACGATCGTGAGCGTTTCGACCGGAGCATCAATTTGGCAAGGTGACTTGAGGTCCGAAAGACATGTCGTAAGGAGATCGAGAGTCTCAAGAATATCCTTGTCACTACCTCCAGAACGAAGTGCGTGCCTACAGATTTGGTCAGGGCGATTTGCGACAAGGCTCCAAACGTACTTCAGCATGGACGTCAGTAACTGAGCAGGAGCAGATTCAAGTTGAAGTCCGCCCCGAGAAACGAGCCGTGGAATGATCCTGGTGTCCTGGAGGTGTAAGCCTACCCTTTGTCTCTGCCTTACGATAATGCGTAGCTGGAAAACATCGAGGGCCAGAGTGGCCAGCCACTGTATGCTAAGCGTTGTGAAGGTTTCGTCGTAGTATTCCTCCGAAAGAAGACGGTTCATCTGAAGCTTGACGAGCTCTTCTTTCAGGTTCCGAGAAATGACGGTTGGGGGTACGTGAAGCAGGATGAACAAGGTGCCCATCTCCAACATACCGGAAGTCACGCTCTGCTCGAGTATGGCGAGTAGTGCACCTTGGGGGATTCAGCGCGGCATTATTATTGCAAAGACGTTACCTCTGATTCCCGGCAGCTCCCAGATACGGGTCCTCGTGAGCAGAATCTCAGAGGTTCGAGGGGGGAAATTTTCACGCTGTTTGCAGCACCACAAATGCGATCCGATCATATCCAGAAGATGTTGCTTCTGCTCAGGATTGGCACACATCCTAAGACAATCATGAGGATATGCAATCAAATCATCAATTTGAGCGAACTTACTCAAAGGTGAAGATGCCTTCTTTCCATAAAAGATTCCATGCTGCTGAGGCGACGCATTCCTGCGCTTGGGTGTCTTCCTCCAGCAGGCCGAGCCAAAGGTCGATAAAGGCCGTTATGTCCGAGCTCTCGAGACCGTATCTATCCTGTGTCTGTATGAGAAGACTCTGCGACAGACTTGACAGCTGGAACCATGTCAGGACGATACGCTGTGATTCCTCACGATGGCAGTCTTGGTCTCCGCCAAAGCCGATGCATCCTGCAGGCGCTTCAGTAAAGTGTGAGCAAGCGGTCGATCGCCGATCCAAGCACGATCAACCAATTCCAAGGTTTGGCTCAAGCGCAACTTTGCTGCCAGGAGGATATCCCCCGTCCATTGGGTGGCAGAATCCAACGTATCGCTTTTGCGGGCCTTCCTCTTCTTGGACTCATTTGAGTCACTGCTTGCCGGGTCGGCTTCATCCAGCTGGGACAACAACGCGGCTGCACCTTGATTGTACGAGTCGTCATCCTCTAACGGGCATCCCGAGGGAAGGACCAGGATGGCCAATTGAACTGAAAGCGCCAAAAAGGCTGCCTCGTGATCGGCTCGTTCCTTCTGTTTCCGTTTTCCACGTGTCTCCGTTCCCACTGTACTGTAGCTCAAGCTCGACCAGATCTCCTTTCGAACAGAAGGACCGGTCAAGGCGGTCAAGGACGATCGGACGAGACTCTGAAGCGAGTCGGACAGCAGTGCTCCAGACTTTAGGAGATCGTAGATTTGTCTGGTGACGGAAACGTCCAGGGAACCCGGGAAGAGACTGAGGATGGCTTCTCGAAGTAGAGTGAAAAACGCAGGAAGGGAGAAAGTGAGTTGATGATATCGAAGAAGACTGCTCAGAAGCTTCTCGGCTTCTGCACTACAGAATTTTGGCGCCTGGATATGTCAGCCAATGTCGGTCAAAGTAACTCACAGCGAGACACCAAGCGACAGTCTCTGCGTCTATAGCTGAATGTCCGTGATCCAGATTCTCCAAGACGTTTAGCAGCTGGAGAATGGCCTGTCGAGATTTCGGGTCGGTCGTTTGGTCAGATTGGTCACCTCGAAGTGTAGCGACCGCTCTCGCAGCCTCGTTACGAAGAAGAACAGCCCATGCTTCGTCGGACTCCAAGTATCCTCCCCATAGACTGATCTCTGTCCATAATGCCAGCTTTGATGCCCAGAGATCTGTCTGTGACACCCCTTGACGTGCGCAGATTCGGTCGACGTTATCCGAGATGGATTTGAAGCCGGATTGAACCGACGATCGAAGCTTTTCCGAAACGTACACATCAAATGATTGCTTACTTGAGGAAGGCTGGGTGAAGATCTGGTATTTGTTCGTCGACAAAGCGTGGATGAAGTCGTGCAAGAGGCGTGGAAGGAATGAGGTCGCAGCGAAGGAAGCCGCATCTAGAGCGATATTTTGAAGCTGATGAAGTATGGGTTGCAGCGGGTCATAGTCTCGGAGTATCGGGACCGGCAGGAACATCTGGTTCCTACGGAGCGAATCAATGTCAGGGTGTAGAGCCTGAGCCTTGATGAGAGCAGGGAAATGCTCGTATAATTGCAAGGTGGTCTAGAACAGTAAGCAGTGTTTGTCAGAATTCTGCTCACCTTCTTGACCTGCGTATCTCCTATGAGCTCATCAGGTCTCCAAAGCTTCACAACGAGATCATACAAGCCTCTCAGAGCGACGTCTGATCCCGCATATACAGATCCTGAAGATGCAAGATATGCCAAAGAGGTCTTCCACACCTCTACCCAAGCGTCCATTTTGACCTGATGCAGACCGCTGTAGAGAAGTTCAAAGGTTTTCGCAGCCGACAACAGAAGTTCATGACTATCCTTCGGCTCAGTGACCAGGGCTTGGAAGAATTTTGCGAATATGCTCAGCGGCAGCGGTGTTCCCAATGGCGAATCAAGGCATGTCAAGTATAGCAGGTCGTAGTATTTGGCTAGAAAGGAAGCGTGAGGGGTATGAGATCTGAGATGAGCTCAGCACAGCCCTATGAGAGAGTAGACGTACTTTGAAGCTGGTCTGAGTAGCACGTCCAAAACCCAGTCCCTCAAGACCTCCGCCTTCCGGGGCAGATGAAGGGCCTGATCCTCCCATGCCTGGAGGGCAATATCTATTTTCGAAGGCCAATCAGGATGAGGAGGGTCTGAAGGAGCCTTGAGAGCTTTGATGAGAGATGAAGCGGAGACGAGGTACTCCCTGCTTCCGTTTGAGCTGCTCATGGCTCCGTCTCCAGCTGTGGACGGCACAGTGGTGAAGCTGGTGATATTTGTATTCGAGGTGGTCTGTCGGAAATTTCAAGCTCCTTGAAATTTATTCCAACGGAAAAACATGCATAGGGTACCATACAACAAGGCTATCACTTCATCCTGATCCTCTTCAAGGAGCTCTGCTACGTCTGCCAGTCACGGATGTATCGGTAGAAGCGATAGAAGTGGATCGAGCCTGTATCATGTCAGTTGATGGCTTGCATTTACTCGCATACCTTCCGCTTGGCATCCACTGGCGGTACATAGCTCTCCTTCTGAGCCCTCAACGTCCTCAACTCTTGCTCGACGCGATCCACCTGCCGTTTCATATCTACTAGTGCACCAGCCGCGGTCAAGAGACCATCATACTCCTCCAGATTGGCACGAGTCGGCATGACGAGCGCATGTGTGCTGACACCCAGCTCGCCGAGGAGCTCGGTGATGCGGATGGCAGCGCTTTGGCGAGGAGTAGGCAGCTTGCTCGAACGAAGGAAAGCAGGGATATGGACTGGATGTTTGGTAGCGAGGTGTGAGGATTGAGAGCTGGAATCTTGCGGTAAGCGAAAGATACAATGGGCGGCGTCTGATGAAGATCAGCTATGACCAGGCCCAAAATACGCACCGAAAGCTGTAGACTCTGCTTGCCGCTTAGTGGGTGCGGCGGCGACTGGAGTGCTCGGCTCGGCCTCTTCTGCACGTTTCCTCTTCTTGTTCTAATATGTATGAGTACCTGAAGCTCTTGAGGCGGCCAGGCTCGACTCACGGCGCCGAGGATGGCCTCGATATTCGACGAATCGATGTTGACGAGACCGCTGTCCAGACCCATAACCGTTCGCATCAAATCGTCCCGATCTGATCTATATCTCTGAGCCGTCTGCTCCATCCTCTTCACTTCGATGATTAGAGCTTCCTCCTCTGCGATTTCGGCAGTAGTCAGGTGGAACAATTCTGAAGCATACTGCTTCCGCTTGATCTCGCGAGCTGAAGGTGAGCTTGACCCATTCGATAGCAACTCACCCTTGTCAAAAGAATACGCTTGGATCATCTGCTGTTGGCTAGCAGTGTCCGTAGCCGTCCGTGTCCGTGTCAGTCGCCGACAAATCGTATAATATCGATCTTTTATGTCCTGTCACCTGATCAGTTCCGGAGAACGTGTCCGACTGTCAACTTACCTCTATTGATCTCTTTTTGACCGGTCCTTCGCCGGACGGGCCCATGTATTCGTACCTATCGGCCGCAATAACGAAGCGCAGGTCGTAATCATTCAGCAAATTGAACAGGTAAGTCGTCTCATGAGGCGTCCAATCGGGGTCCGCGAGGTGTTGATCGTATTCGAATTGACTGTATTCTATCACAGAGGGGCCGTGAAGATTGAATTTGCCAAAGTACTCGACTGAGCATGTCAGCGACGACTTTGAAGCCTAGCAAGAGTATCGTACCTCCCGCTTCTGGATCTGCATCAGACGTTTGGACCCAATGACTCAGTCTAGCACGTCGGTCTGGCCTTGCAGCGGGGTTGAATGGCAGCCACTCCCTGACTGGTGTCAGCATAGAACATACAACAAACAGACGCCAGACACACCACTTGGCCTTCTTTCTAGATACTGATGGTCTTGATTTGTATTTCACAGCAGAGACTGAGGCTTGAGCCTCGGCAAGAGACGGAGCATTGTTTCCAATGAGAGCGTACAGTTCACGCGAGATTCCATCTGGACGTTTATTTAGATTGAGTTTCTTCGGTATCGGGGCATGTGAGGATGATGATCCAGCTTGAGGCAGCCCAAGAATACTCCTGACGTCGCTCGAGGACATGTTGAGGCGTGTAATGGAGCTTCCGAGGCTGGATGCTGCTCCAAGTCACTTCATGGACGGACAGTCTCGAAAATGACCTGTAGGTCAAGCTTCCTGGCGTGAGATTTGATTCCGCTCGTCTTGTGCATCGAACTGGAATTTGAGCTGATCTGACTTCGAACAGAGGTCACTTGCATTGTGTCGATCCCCTGAGAGAATCGACGAACGAGGCTACCATGGACATCAGACAGGCTACGGTATGCTGTGGCGAGCTGAAATTGAACTCATGCTCTCTCAGATCGACGACTTTCTTGGCATGCAGAATGCCAATCTGCTCAACCTGCCTGAAAACTATACATTCAAATACTGTGCGTTGATGGAGACTTTTGCGCGATTCGGACCATGCAGCTCAAGTCAGGATAGATCTTTACCATGCTTTAACATGGCCAGAGCTCTCATACGTCGCGGTGGACCCGAGAGGGAGAATCGTGGGGTACATTTTGGCGAAAATGTGAGCTTGGATGGTCCCGTCCCGTCCTGGATTATCGTGACCTCGACACACAGCATTGGAAAATCCCCTACTGATCATCTCGTCTACTCAGGGAGGAAGAGCCGACAGATGAGCCGAGCGGACACGTCACTTCCATTTCAGTCCTCCGACCATACAGGCGGTTAGGACTCGCGAACCGCCTCATGAAGCAGTCTCGTGAGTAGTCCTTAAGGCTCTTCGCTTCACACAATGCCTGTTGTACTCTACGTCGTGCCGCTACCAATCTGCTACCGGTGCTGACACCACATCTAGAGGAAGCCATGGTCGCCCACTATAATGCCGCTCAAATCACATTACACGTCAGGAAGTCAAATCGCGCGGCTATATCTCTGTACAGAGATTCGTTAGGCTTCGAAGTTCATGTCATGGAGAAGGGATACTGTGAGTTGGCACTCGTGGATGATACGATGCGAATCGTGACGCTGATGGTCTACTCCAGATGCTGACGGAGAGGATGCGTACGGTATGCGGTTCCTTTTCAAGAGGAAGGATGAAGAGAGCAAAGCTTCTACATAATTCAATGAATTTATCCACGACCGAGAATGTCTCAAGCTTCTGCTCGACCCCGGAACGTTTGTGTCCACGCCTGTCGGTGGGCATTAGTATTCTCAGCTCGCCCAGCTTCTCTGCGCTCGATGAGTCCCCTCTGTACCTCATGTTTTGAGTCCGAAATTGGTGGCTCCCAGTACCTGCGTGTAGCTTGAATCTTTGCGAAGTCTCTTTGAGCCATTGCTATACCTCAAGCTCCGATTCTGTGTTCTAGAGGCTGCCTTGACTGCTGCTTGAGAGAACATACGAGTCATGCCCGTTCGAGCGGAGCTGTGACAAACTCGAATGTGGCATATAAGCGCTCGGTCTCGCCGCAGATGATCTGATAGGCTCCTGTCTAATCCTGGTCCTCGGCATGGCTGTCCTGTGCCGAGTCGCTGCTGCCTCAGTCTTGAGCCAATCCGCACTCTCAGCACCACCCTCATCTGACTCCGCCCTCGCCACTCGGCGGAAGATCTCATTTGCCACCAGGTCCATTACGTACAAAAGGTTATCCGCCTCGTTCCGACCTCGCACGTTATCTCTTGTATCTCAACGTAACCTTGACTCACTCCGAGATCATCCTGTTCTTGCTCAAGGACTCGATTTCAAAGACGTCATTACCTGTTTGTGCAAGGCTGCGGATCGCTGTAGCACCTTTTCTCCATGTCATCCCCTCGACCCCTTGCAGAGGCAGAGGGGCAACCCTCCTTCCGGCCTGCAAAGCGACCCCGGTTAGACCCATTGAGCGCGCGATTTGAAACCCGTCAAGAGATACCTGAGCAGCAGGAATCCGAGCCTGACAAAGAGTTTGACGCGACTACTCGGGTCGTCTTGGCACCTCCATCACCTGCTGAATCGTCCAGCCAACAAGATGAATGTGAGTCCGATCCCTTGACCCTGAGCTGACCAGATCAGCACAATGTGGAGTCAAGTCAACCGTTACTTTTCAAGATGGCGACCAAAGCATGAGAGATACGACCTGCACTTCGTCTTCGCTTAACCAAATGGCCATGGACATGCTCGAAGATGAGCTCACGTGTGGCATGTGTGCCGGAATCTACATTGATGTAAGTACAGTCGTACAGAGCTTTGGCTCACAACAGCCGGTGGTGCTTCATGAATGCGGTCACAGCTTCTGTGGCAGCTGTGTTCGATCTTTGATAAAGGTATGGACGTCACGTATGACCTCGCTGATCATCCAGTCTCTGCCGCCCATGACTGCTCCGGCATTTCCAGGAGATCCTTTGCCGAAACCACCCTCATGTCCTCACTGTCGTCATGCGCCCATCACAGAGGCTCGCCCGTCTCGGCTCGCCAACGCTATGGTCCATATTCTACTCAAATGTAAACCAGAGGCTGCCAGGCCAGAACGAGAATTGCAGCAGGCTCGTGAGATTTACACAGCATCGATGGGTGCTTTGAAAGTGAGTCACCTTGAAGGACAACGCTGACTGAAGTTTCCTATACCGCCGACCCAGTCATACTGCCGCGAGAGCGATTACTGGAAACCTTGTAGATCGTGCTACCCCACCGTCGAGGGTGCTTGGAAGTGTTCTAAACCAGTGAGGGGGTTGGAGGATCATAACGAGGCTGAATCGCAGATTCCCCGCCCGCATATCCAGGAGGAAGCTTCGAGATGCGTGCTCAGAAGCGGTTTCTGTCCCGACGGACACAACCTCTGCTCGAGCTGGTGAATTCATTTCCTTTGGGACTGTGCTGATGGCTCAGTGATCAGTTGTGTCCCGCCGATGGACCAATGAATTTGAAGTGTGGAATATGTGGAGATGGGTTTTGTGGAGATAGCAAGGTATTCAATAGGAAGAAATCGAGTGCTGATCAGAGCAGTCTTCCGTCTGCACCTGTGTACCATTGGCGCAGGCGAAGCCGGCTGCTCATTGGAATCTGCTACAACTCTGCACAGAGGATGCCGTATCGGAGCTCATGTCAACGATTTTCAGGTGGGCCTTCAGCCTTTGATTTCAGACCTTACAGCTAGGGAGAATTGGACTGAGATCAAACACTTGTCCGCGTATCTGGCGAGCCTACCTCTCGAGGAGCGCATCACACCCGGATTCATCTTCTCTGAGGTTCTCACTGCATTTGAACGTCCAGACGGTCCCAAGTCGATCACCGATCCACTTGTACCAGTGCCTCAATTCGGAACACTGAAGGACGAGCGGAGTTCGTTGATCTGCGGTTCATGCACCGACAATCTTTTCTGTGTAAGCTACTGAAGTTTGTATCGGCTCAACCGTCCCCAGTCTGGGCTATACGAGTGGTGGCTGAAGGAGTATGAGAAGCCGGATGTGCGGGGCCGACTTCCAAAGGCAGTCCTGGATCGTCCCAATTGTAGACGAGGGCGACTGTGAGTGGGCCGAACGATGGAGGGACAGCGCTAATTACGAACAATCAGCTGTTCACAACAGCATCGGTCGAGTCATGCTGTGACCAGTGGGTGTCTTATCAGGTAATCTACTGATGCAATAGGAAACCACATCTGTCAGCCGGTCACTGATGATGAAGACGACGAGGAGGATGATGAAGATGAACATCAATCCAGTGACTACTCCGCTGATTCGTCTAGCGAATTCTCGTCAAGCGAACCGAGGCAATTCGCCGACAACGACGTTCAGAACGAGTCGGCAAACATCGCTGTGTATGAGGAATCGAAGATTACTGTCGCCGGCACCACGGACGCGGACATGGACAGTTCGGACGAGCAGCAGCCCGTCGTTTCGAGCCAGATGCGCGAGCCGGCAACGCATCTCGACAGCCCGATCAATGAGCCGACGAAACCTCCGACGGAGCCGAGCCCTGCTCAATCCGGTCCTATCAGCTCATGATCACTCGCATTGGCCTCCCCTAATTGTTCGCTCAGGATCACATTGGTCCACATCGCGATTCCCTCTTGTAACAATTCCATTTCCAGACTAGCATTTCTGCACTGGTTAATACTGTACTTCGTTCTCAACTTTGACCAGTCTACATAGACGCCCAGCCACGGACAGCAGCACAACTCTCTTTCATGACCTCTATGACACTTCATGACACCCTCGCATTCGACACATGACCCATTTCATGCATTTCCGTTCATGTCCAAGGAGAAGAATGAATTCGTCAAAAGAGCCAATGTGCCATCTCGGTCGCTTCTGTGTGTGATCGACATTATTTTCATTATTTTGGACTGAAATTCATTTCAACTGTCGATTCCTGACTCAAGAACCAGGTTGGCTCGCGTTCGGTCAGGTACTGATCTTGAAGAGCAAGACTGTCGCTATGGTTGGTCGTATTTGGACATTCAAGGATATCTTTCCCGAGGATGATGAACCCAACGTCAAGCGGGATGCAAATGGCAAGAAGATCATTCCGCCAGTTGCCTACTATGTTTTCGGAGCAGCGGTGAGTGCGAACACGCTTCACGAGTGCATTCTGATCGCTGAACGTTCGCTCGTTGTAGACATTTGTCACTGTCGGAATGAGCGTCATGATGATTCCATACGTTCGCGAAGCGATCAAGATGAACAAGATGGCGATGCACAATTTTATTGCCCATCGTCATTCGTCGACGAGATATCGGTCTGGAAAAGTCGCGCATCTTCCGAGTCTCCAATCGGAACCCTCTACGTCAGGTATCGCTCAGAGTCTGACTATGCAGAGATTGAGCCAGCAGAGTCAGAATCATCGTCTGGATGGTGGACGACAGGGTACCTCCTCCAATGCCGATACTATCGCTTCCGACATTGAGCCTCATCGGTCAGTGGAAGGGGAAGAGGCTGGACCTTCGAGAAGCAGAATTCTACCTGAGATCTCAGTGCCAGTCAGTCCGAGTGGGTCGAGCTCAGGGAGCAATATGGACACCATCGCATCGGATATCGAACCTCATCGGTCATTATCTCCTGGTCTAGGATCGTCAGGCTCTAAAGGGAAGGCGAAATCGCCAGATGATCATCCAGAATGGCCAGAGGAGCCTCTCCGTGACCCGGAAGATCCATTGCTCGTCAGTTCGAGACAATTCAACACCATGGAAGAACGCAGATTGCACGGTGCGAGTCAGGCAGATGGTACAGACGAGAAGGACAAGATCCCTCCGTCGATGTATCGGGAAGCAAGATTCGACGCTTTCAAAGCTTTGGGAATAGCAACCGCGATTGTAGCTACCTCTGCAACAGCAGGTATATGGGTCATGTCAAAATTGCTCGGCGTCTCGACGGTGAGTGGGTGTTGCCTGAAGGTACTGAGACGGTCAGGTCGAAGAGTTCGCTGAATTGATGCGGGGAACGATGAAGTCTGTCGCTCCGAATCTAGTCAAGCGGAACGATGCGGAGCGAGTTGAGGGATCAGACCAGAACGCCGATGTGTTGATCGACGAGTTATTGGCCAATGTCAGACAGGCATTCAGAGAGCGTCCCGGTCAAGAGAACGCCACACTGCGGCCTGAGGAAAAGACGTTGCCTAGCTAATGCGATAATCACCGAAGCATATCCGCAATACAGAGACATCTCGCATGCATATTACACGTATGGCTTGTCGCCTTTCGCTCAATTGGCGATGAATCTGCTTCAGCGCTGACACTCGTCCGTAGCAGACGGTTCCTAAGGCTTTCGGTCCTTCCACGCCTTATCATTCCCTTTTCGCCTGAGGCTCGTGTTAGCACATGCGCTTGGCAGAGGGAAGTCCCACTCACCCGGCGTCTGGGTGCGGTTGCGGGTTTCTATCGCCTAGAGTGCCTTCCTTGGCAGCCTGACTCAATGTCTCGTGTGCCGGATCTGCAGAAGTGGACGATTTTTTTACTTTAGACGACGGGGTCACATTTGGCGGAGCGGGAGTCGCGCTGGGGTCGTTGGTCGGGTAAGAGGACTTCAGATTGGTGGGAAGGGGCTCAGATGGGGAATCCTGACAATCAGCTATGTCCAAGAAACCGGACTCACATAGCCCGCTTTGGAAGGTTCAGGTTCATGGACTCCAGAGTACTTCTCGGCACCCTTGACGCCTGTGGTAGGGCTACTGTGCAGGGATCTGCTCTGAGAAGCCCCAGGAGTGGACCCAAAGGGGTTGCTCGAATGCTGAGGTTTCGACTTGGTCCTGGAAGGGAGATGGGGATCCGCAGATGCGTTCCCGGATTGGGCTGATCCCGAATATCCACCTTCAGAGTGCTTCAAGTGAGGGTTCTGATCGCCATGGACCGAATCGTCGACTGGCTTTCGTGCTCCTTTGGGATCGGCTCCTGGGATGTCCTTGTTACGAGCGGAAGACCACGTGTGGAATTGTCTCTTTGGCTGGAGGCATCAGCGGGTGACCCGAGGGTTTGGGTCCTCACATTCTGTCCACCAAAAGCATCTAGAACTTTCCCAACGAGAGTGTCTGCCCCAGTCTTCTCATGTCCTCCCTTGTGACCTCCGCTCGAAGCTCCCTTCTGACCTCCAACCTGGTCAGCAAAACTTCCTTTACCCTCCGGTGCGACCTTGCTCTCGCCTCCAACGCCTCCCTGTCTCGCAGCGTCAAATGGCTGACTTTGACCATTTGTCGAGGCTTGAGAAGCAGCTTTGTTGCTCATACCTTGCGTGGCAGAGGCCGATTGGACATCCTTGTCTTTGTGTCCCGGGTCCTGAGCCTTGGCCGTAGTGTGACCTTGGGTAGTGGACGCAGAGCGGATGGCGACAACCCGCGCGGTAGATTCGGCTGCTCGAATTGAGCGAGAGATAGCGAGACGGTACATGGTGATTGATAGGCTTGCTCCAGCTGTTGTTCAGATTTGGTCAGAGTGGTTGAATAACAATGGATGAATTGGGCTTCGATGATCATGTGTGCAAGACCTGTTTCTGATGTCATTTCCCAAGGTGCCGTCATCAAAGCTGGAGACCCCACAGATTCAGCGGCGATCACCGCTTCCCACGGTGTGCATGAGCTTTGACAGCCTATGAACAACGGTCGGCCATGTTGATGCTGGCGGGTGGAATGCGGAACAGCATCTCTTTCATGCAAGGATCCGAACCGGACTATGATCAGCGTCCTACGATCGTCAGGTTAGAATGCAGAAAGCAGCCACTCGTGGCCTCTCTCGGTGATCTCGGTCATGTTCGTAGATTGATGGACGACCTTCGCGATTCATCACTGCTATCCGAAGTTTGTAAGACCCAGACCAAGCCAAACGACATCAAAATCTTGAACCCGGTCCTGGAAATGGCTTCCCTTGCATCGCTTCTCTCTATCGCTTCCTCAGATTTGACCATCACCATGATGATAATGAAGGACGAACGGGAGGCATGCAAAGGGCCCCTTTGGCACCCGAATCACTTTGTTGGAGTTTCGGGAGCTTCAGATCCTAAAACTGATTCGCAAGACTTTAGAAAGCTGCTAAGGAGTATGCAAAGCGACAAGATGACCCGAAGAATATCAAGGCCAGTCGTTTCAGCATCGGAGCGCTTGCCAATGTCCCGAAGCCCCTTGTCCAAACTCAAGGATCGATCGCCCGGTCCCATTGTCAGCAGCTTGTTCTTCAGCAACATGACATGGCTAGACTTGCTTCTTGGAGCTGTTGACTTTTACTGGGTCTCTTCAGCTAGCCCCTTTCTCAGCGCTGCGATTGTGCATTTTGTAGGTCATTCCGGTAGTCCCAGTCGTTCAGGGACAGCACGGGGATCAGCCATGATCAAGCGCAGAAGATCGGGTTCATCATGAGAAACGTTCTCCAAAGGCTCGCAGGACGTGCAATTGGAAGCTTTCAGGATGTAGCTACTCATGGAATGACGGAGGACACTCCTCTCTGTGATATGCATGCTCCCTATCTGCCACACTGCCATTTGGGTGCCCCGTATTATCACCGGTCCGACTCTCGGCATCTTCAGGCGGCGAACATTGCTTAGGTGGCTCTCCATTTCTGTACCTTAGAACTGAAAGCATGGAATGTGAGTACACTGGTTTTTGAGGAATCTCTCAGCTGATGGGGACCTGAAGGCGCCGAACCGCCTCCTCCCTATCTCTTGTCCGCTCCGTCCACACGTTCGTCAGGTCCAGCGACTATCTCCTCTCTTCCTCTACACATTCTACATAGGATAGTATCTTTGACGTTGGATCCAAATGCTACTCCGAGTCGCTTCGCAGGTGACTGGCACGAGGAGAAAGTCAGAAGGATATGGGGTCTCTTCAGAGGTCTGAGACCAGTGGACAGGAGGTTCTACAAAGGTAAGACAAGCCACTGAAAGTGCAATACTGAAGATCCAGTCTCCACGTCAATCCTAAGAGGAATGTACATCAACCCGTATCTATCTTTGCTCCCGCGAGGTACATCTTCCAATCCTTTTCCTCATGATTCCGACACTTCCAATCTTGGTCCAGATTCTACGGCGAGGGCTGAATCGGTTTTCAAGCGCCGCAGTCGCGAAACAGCCGTCTTCGATCGGTTCATCGCAAACAGAGTAGGCGAGGATCTACGGAGAGTGGAAAGTGAACTATACGAAGAGAGCGAAGCCGAAATGGACATCATAAAGAGGCTTCAGGTGAGGCCACAATGAAATGCGGCACTGATAGGTCGTCAGCCGATAGCACGAACTGAAGATCTCTTACTTCGACTCCCACCGTCACTGATATTACCTGAAGCTCCTCCTGGCCGGCTACGCTCTCGAGTGCCGTTACCTCATCCACATCTTGTAATCAACCTCACACCAACATGGTGCCAGGTGTATCTGTCAACATTATCAATTGGGTCGATCGAGAAAAACAAGGCAGGACGAGATTTGGTGATCGAGGTGAAGCGTCAGAGAACACCTGAGGAGACAGTGAGAAAGATTGGGGAGGGTCTGGAAGACATACAACGGGGCATGATCCGATGGGGAGACAAGGTGTATTGAGGAGTCGCACAATTGGCTCAGTCACCATCAGTGGTCGGTGGATGCAGTCTGTTCGCGGCGGATCCGGTGCAAAACTTCGTCATCCGCGCGTGGAGGGCACTCGCAGATGTACTTGCTGCGGGCACAGCAACATGTTCGGGAGGCTCGTACGCTGATGGTCATCTGACTGGTCTCACTCATTGGTGATCCCTCAGTCTTCCACGCGGCCATGCAACTGACGCCAAGTATTGTTCATCCGCCACAACAGCTCAGTGTTCTTTGAAATTGTCAAAGATCAAGGCAGAACAGGACCACTTCAATGCTCATCGATCCGTAGTGACTTTTACGGCCTACCAACTGCCCCATAACCATTTATGCATGCATGTAAATGGCCTGAATGTACAAAGGTCTCAAGTAAACCACCGTAAACTTCATTTGTAAAATGCCACGTCAGTCACGCTGCTCGTCTCGTTGAAGCGCGTTTGAGCATTCATCGATCAGTCATTCATTGCATTCATCGGCGCTGGTTGTCTGCCTTCTTCGATCTCACCGACTGCCCATTCGTGCAGACTCTTGGACCTCTGACAGTCATCTGGGAGTATCGAATCCTCGACTGAATCGCGCCCCTTTTCACGTCTGAGCGAGGTCTTTCATCAACATGCCTGGATTGACCACCGCTCAGGTAAGCGTCGTTCGTCCGCTCAAGTGTATTCGGTATGCTAATTTGACTCCCAGGTCAATGCGTTGTCCGGTACGAACGTGTAAGTCCTGACCATCTCGAGTCTACTGTGCGCTAAGATCCACTACAGCGTTATTCATCCTCTTGTTCTCCTCTCCGTGTGTTTTCTATCAACCTATCTAGAGCCAAGCTCACCCATTCAGGTTGTCGATCATGCTTCGCGTGTCCCGTTAGGCAAGAATCGCCGGGTATTAGGACTTTTACTGGGTCAAGACGATGGGAAAACCGTTAACTGCGCCAATTCGTGAGCTATTTGCCGGTAGCCCCGCTGATCATCCCAGCTTTGCAATCCCATTCGAAGAGGACGAGAGGGATCCAAAGACTTTCTTTTTAGATTTAGATTACGTCGAGGAGATGTGGAGGATGTTCAGAAAGGTCAACGGTGAGTCAGTTAGTGGACGGTGGTGGCTAAGCCATTGTAGCCAAGGAGCGCCCCGTCGGATTCTACCACTCTGGACCACGATTACGATCGTCCGACCTTGAGATCACGGAACTCTTCAAGCGTTTCTGCCCAAGACCCGTAATGGTCATTGTGGATGTAAGAGCACAGGGAGGAAGAGGAGACACGGGTATACCTACGGATGCGTACTTTCCAGTCGAGGAGATCCGAGATGTGCGTAAAGACATATCGGAGCTATGGCTGATCGTCAGGATGGGACCGCAACACAACGTACATTCACTCATGTGCCTACTTCTATTGAAGCCGAAGAGGCTGAGGAGATTGGAGTCGAACACTTGCTCAGAGACGTTGCTTCAACGTCTGGTGCACCTTCCTCATCACTTCTCACCACTCAATCCCTTTCAACAAAAGTCGCTGCGCAGCTCAATGCCATCGAAGGTCTCCGGACGCGTCTGAACGAAATCAACGATTACCTCACCTCTGTACGGAACAACAAGCTCCCTGTGAACCATCAGATCATATACCACTTGCAGGAGATTATGGGTTTGTTACCTCAACTGGGTGGAGATCTGGATATTGGCAAAGCCTTCCGTGTGGACAGTAACGACTCATCTCTAGTCGTATACCTCAGCTCAATGGTCCGCACAGTCTTGGCTCTCCATGATCTGAGTAAGTGCCTTGTGTTAATGGGGACTGACGTCCTCAGTTGAAAATAGGATCGTCAATGCTCAGCAAGAAATCGATGATGCCAAATCTCCGGAGGAGAGAGCAGCTGATGAAGCTGCGGCCGCGGCTGGAGTCAAAGCTGCCGATGTCGAAAAGGCGAGGAAAGAGAGGAAAGATGAGGAAGAGAAAAGTAAAGCGAACAAGAAGTGATGGTGGCTCTGTCAGGAGCAATGCATTTGAATGGTACATGTCAATGTACACTTCCGGAAGAGACTGCTTTAACCTTCCCTCCCGCGCTGGATTGCATCATTCATGGCTCTGTGCAGTATCGTCACTGCCTGTGTCTGAGTTGAAATGATATGAAGAAAGAGGACTGTAAGCATGCCCTCCTTCTTTGGTGGCTGCTCGAACGGTAACGACTCCTTTAAGGGTGGCCCGGGAACCTCCTGCGTCCAGAAAGATCTGACCCATCGTGCAGCGCCGACATGGATTGGTACACTCCAGTGATTGGAGCTGCGGCATTTGTAGTGAGTCGTCCTACGTCAAAGCTCTATTACGGGCCAGGCTGCTTGAGCGCCACATTTGGTCGCCTCGGATCCGACGGGACCAGTCGCTTGGAATGCTGTCGAGTCTACTTGTTTGTCTTTCTCTACAATACATTGTCTCTGCGAGCTTGACGAGCTACAGCTGATCATGTCTCGTATCCCATCCGCCGAGCTCATCAAGCACTATGAATATGATCCGTCCACCGTGGAGCGTATCGCGCATCGGCGAATACCGATGGGTGAAATCACCATCAGCGAGTACGATCCAGAATGGCCAGCGCGATTCGAAGAGCACAAAACGCTCATTGTCAATGCTGTTAGCGACCGTATTATATCTATAGCTCATACTGGCTCGACCAGTATTCCCGGATGCCCTGCTAAACCCATCATCGATATCGACTTGGTCGTCAAGGATATTCATGACGAGTCGAGCTATATCCCTCAGCTGGAGAAAGCGGGGTATCGGTTCTTATTGCGTGAACCTCGATGGATGGAACATCGATACTTGGTACATGATGTGGAAACCATGTTCCCATGTCAGATCCACGTATTCCCCGATAACGTTGCAGAGCCTGAGCGACATAGGATATTTAGAGAATGGCTAAAGAGTCATCCAGAGGACTTGGAACGATACGCCAATGTGAAGAGGCAGTCGGCTGAGGAGGCTAATGCTCATGGAGAGGATCAGATGGGATACAACCAGAGGAAAGAGTACATCATTCGAGAAATCCTCGACAGGGCTTTCAAAAGCTTGGGCCATACTTAGGAATCTGTGATGTTGGGTGGCAGCAATCGGATCGTGGCAAGTGTTATGGACAGAGAGAAGTGGGCCTCTAGTATCGTTCTAGAGTCTCGCAGCATGATACCAATGAGCTGCACACGAGGTGTCTGCCATCTATAGACTCACTGCCACAGAGGTGACGTGTCACTGTTTACACATGTGATAAGATTGACTCCGGCTCAAGGCGAGCCCCTTTAACCGGCTTAACGCGCGGGGATGGTCACATCGTCATTCCCTCTCTATCTGATCTCATTCATCCCTTGCATCCATTACATCCACTTCATCTTTGACGCCTGCTCAGACTCTCTGCACCATGGAAACCGTGCGTTCAAGGCTGCAAATGTCTCTATGAGCCATGTCACTGACACTTTTGGTATGCATAGTATCTCAACAACGCCAAACAATTCCTGGGAACCGAGGAGGGTCAGAAGATGGAGAAGCAGTTTGGTGAGTGCTTGTCACATTCCTTGTCCGTCAATGGCTGACGTTCGTCCTTCAGAGAGCTCTGTAAGTCGTTACATTCGAATGCTGCAATTATCTAACCGTACAGACCGGTATCAACGTTGACCAATACCTGGGCGGAAACAACAACAACAACAACAACAATAACAACCAGGGACAGGGAAACCAAGGCAACTCTGGCTTCGGTGGCAACAATGACAACAACAATGACAACAGCTACGACCAGAACCAAGGTCAAAACCAGAACCAAGGACAAGACCAATACAATGCTGCCAGTTCCTCTACCGACGCATTCGGCAACCAAGGACAAGATGGACAATACGGCCAACCCGGTGCTTACGGAGCCGTCCGAGGCGAGGGCCTCGGTGGAGCTCTGAACCAGAACCAAGACCAGAACCAAGGAGGATACGGTGGACAACAAGGACAGAGTGCCTATGAAGGCATGGACCAAGGAGACAGTGGGTACAACAACCAATAAGGCATTATGCCTCCACCGCCGGGTACTTTCCCTTAACACAATCCATCCCCTGCCCTGCCTCTCCGGAGCCCGTTGTTGAAATGAGAGAAATGAATCGAACGAGAAGTAGAAATTCACGAAGAAGGAAAGAGCTTATAGGAGAGAGAAATCCCGCATGCAAACCCTTTTTGCTTGTCCCTATCCTGTGTTGTGTTGACGAGATCCCGCGCTGACACATTTGCGTTCAGGCACATCCACGGGCGGATATGGAGGAGCGGCTTTCTCCCGGGCCAATCAGATGGGTGCTGATGCCCACAATGATGGAGACAGCGACGATGGCCTTGCGGGAGGATACAAGACTGGCACCAGTACTCCTGGCTACAGACAAGAAGGAGGTGGGCAGTTGCTCAGAGCTGGATAGCTGACCCCGTGATAGATGTCGATGCCGAAGCAGCAGAGAACAGGATACGCAACCAGTCAGTCACCCGGGATACAGCGAGGAGTCATCGTAGCTGACGAGAGGATCTCTACAGAAACATCAACGTTTATGGACAGCAAGCGAACGAGGCGGCGGAAAAGGATGACCAGTACCACGAGCCGAACATCTGAGAAGGGCAACATACGAGACGTTGAGCGACAAGGCACGCATCGTGGGTAGGAGTGAGAGTCTGAGAACTGCATCAATAGCATATCAATAGTTGGTCATGCATGCACAAGCATTGAAAGGCATCCAATACATATATATATATTGCTTCTTCGATTCCCGACTGCCCAAATACCGTTCAATTGTTTACATCAATACTATGATTTTAACCCAGTCTCAAACATCAATGTTGAAGGGCCATGGCCGCCATCGGGCTCACTGAAATTACTCGCAGCTCCCAGGATGGATCTGCCGCCATTAGGCAGTTCGTCCTTTGTCCCACTGCTGCTCGCAGGCATAGCAGACCAACCGTCATTGCAAGGCTGGAAACCGGATCCCACCTTGTTCTCCACAATCCTCATATCGTTGATTGTGAATCGAGGAGCGCTGATAGTGGATGTCGACACGAATGAGGATGATAGTCTATCAAAGAGAAAGCAGATTGCCCACGTCGCTTCCCATGTCGCAGCGGTGAGTTCGAACGTCAAATTGTCCAAATCCGCTGACTCGCCTCAGATCACCAATGGCATCTTCGGTCGGTCTACCCATCATGCTCATTTGAATGCAGACACCACGCCTTCATCTCTCCCATATCACTTCTTGACGACCTCGCCCGAGAGTCGGACGAGCGTCTCCGTCTCTCATTCTCATCAAGGATCGAGCGAGACTCGACCCGTAGCCACCCGAATGGCATCGTCGTCATTTATGCGAGCAGCAACAACCACCACGAATCGTCGCTATGTTTCCGCCGCTTCACAACAATTCGGTCCGGTCTCACCATCGCGTACACCAGGATTCTCGTCTCGTCTCTCATGGACAATCTCACACCCGCCAACACCGCGATCGATTTCAACTCCAGGTATAACACCCGTGATCACGCCTTCCGTTACATCGAAAATTTCGACTCTACTCCCATCTTTACCAAAGACGGAGTCGCCGGATGAGCTGAAGGTCACCGAGCTGGGCGCGAATTTGCCATACCTCCCCCAGGTCCTCATCCTTACTGGCTTGGAGCACACGGACACACCGGTCTGGATAAAGTTGATGCAGCTTCTGATCAAGCGCAAAGTCATGATCGAGTCGGAGGATGGTGTTGATCTCAATCTAGATTTGCCGTCCGATTTCCTGCTTCTCTGGATAAGGGATAATCATAGAGATGACTACCCTAGCTACTTGGTGAGCTGCCGTCTTACTGATACCTGAGCTCAGACTTGCCAGATGGACCGATTCACATCATGGACGAGTACGACCTCGGACATACCCCTCCCTCCGGAAATCCCTCGTTCCCCTCTCATTCCCTCTGAATACATCTCCGACCTCACCGCGCTCTTACCTTATACTCACATCCACCCGTCTCTGCAGATCCACATCTCCAATTTGCTCTGTGCAGTCTCAGCTCACCCTCGATTGAGATCCACAATCACTGGTCGAATGTTGCGCTACTTTTCCGACTTTGTCCGGGCTCATCGGCTGCTCGCCTCACCTTTTGATCTGCCGGCAAATTGGCGAGCCAAGCTGCATCGTCAGCCGGGCCAGGAAGAGGCCGCAACACGACCTGCGAGCCGTGGCTTTGGATTGGGAGGAGGGGAAAATGGTGTAGATACTTGGGCAGAGAAGGCAGGTCAAGAACCTCACATTCGAGATCTTCGTCGGGTGAAAGAAGACGAGACCGACGGAGAGCCATGGTATGCTACGACTGCCAACGTTGGGGGTGTCTGGCAGTTGTGCCTTCGGCATCGCGTCAAGGCTAGAGGCGAAATCGACGAGATCATGTGGGTCGTTAAACGAAGTGCGGCAGAGGAAGAGACAAGGCTCAAGGGCAGGAGAAAGGTCCCCCAAAGGATCGCCGAAAAGATCCTCGACGAGCTGATCGTATCTGTATGAGAGTGTACATCCCGTCTACCATCTAATATTGTATCAAGTTGTACTACGCCAATATAATTGTCAATCTTCACACCAGCCAGCCCCGATGTCTGACTCTCCCCGATAAGCCTGCTGCACCTTTGCCAGCGGCATCAGGCCACTGAACGACGAACGTGTCAACCCATGGCCGAAGCAATTTGCCCGATAACGATAGACTATTCACTCGAGCGAATGACTCCACATAGATGATCCGAGATGCTGAGAGACCTAGGAAGCGACGAATATACGTGACCAAGACGAGCACCACGCATGTTCCCGGACCGTTTACCAAAAGCAGATCGACCCAAGGCTCTTCGGGCCTTTGAAGCAATGGTAAGAGGAATGTGTGCCACAATGCTACGAGGATAGTCTTGAACGTCGACATGGCGGTTGATAATAGCGGTTGACCGACTCGTCTTGCACGAGGTAGTGACAATATTGTATAGTCACTGGTCTGCGTCTCCGGTTGAGTTCCTTCCACATTTGCGATTGCAACCAAGCTCAACTGATCACCGTGGCAGACTACGTATCGCCTGGGCTTATACCGCTCAAGATCCAGAGAGGATAAAAGGATTTTCATCTCTCCAGTGTGACCGCCTGGAAGACTGGTCAGAACATATGGCTAGCCGTGGGCCAGCCTCACCCGACCCCAGGAAAACACCCAAGGAACAAGTCTCATCCTTCTGCCGTTTTGTCGGTTTCTGCGAGCGTACAGCTGGACAGATCCATACCAGTCTCGAGACGAGCAGGAGAAGCGCCAAGAGCAGAACCAAAACGACGAGTGGGACCACCATAGGTCCGGCTATGACATGGTTGGTTGAAGAAAGACATGAAAGCACCTGCATTTTCGGACATTGGACCTCCACCTGTTGTAGTCGGTTGCTAAGGAATGAATGCATTGTGGATTTGGGCATTTGATTTCACTCACTCATCGCCTAGTTCCAATCTTTCAGCTTTGCAAGGGGCAGGGTAGTCTTCGCAGACTCGTGCAGGCGAGCCGAACCGCTGCATCGTTACAAGATGGCCGTAGTGTTCCGGAGCACATCTGACCTGCTCTACCTGCCAGACCATGGCTTCGTCGAGGAGGATGGGGGTGAGTCCGGCCGGCACGACTCGCTTAACAAGCGCTTTCGCCATCATTTCTTTCGTCAGTGTCGCGCATACTGATAGTCCTGACAGCTATCAAAATCCTCCTTCAGATCAACCGCCAGATCCGCCGCCTGGATGTCTCTCACAACCTCCTCGGCAACGAGGGGATTTCAGTCCTGATTCAAGGTCTGAACTCATGTCGACACCGATTCTCTTCGACAGATTATGGGCTATGGGGTCTGAGAGACATCAATCTCGGAAGTAACTCCATATCTGATGAGTCGTTCTCCGCTCTCATGAGCTATGCGAAGAAGGATGTGTTTATGCGGAGAGTGACGGTTCAGGGGAATGACATAGAGGTGAGAGTCTCCACAGGTCCCATTGTTGATTGAGCTAGCTCAGGAACCACCTCGATTCTGTTCTCAACTCTCTCAATTCTTCACACATCGAGGACTTGTCACTGACGAACAATCCCTCCTTACTCTCCTCGTCAATTCGTAAACTCTTCAACACCATAACCACACCGTACCTCTCTCAGCTCTACCTCTCAGTATGCAACCTCGGTCCGAACATTATCCCACCTCTCGTCTCCTATCTCGGCTCGCCGAGAAGCCGGAACCTAGAGCTTCTCGAACTGAACGGTAACAAGCTCGGCGTGGAAGGCGTCCGAGCCATCGTGGACGTTGTCGAATCATTCAACTTTACTATCAAAGAGGTCTCGCTTCTGGCGAATGACGTCTTGTCTCGTTCGAACGACGATGTCGAGGAGACTTCTCGGCCTTCTGATGCAGAGAAAAGAGCGGAGAATGATGCTCTGGCATACGAATGCCATCGACGATTACCTCCGCTTCTGGCTCGTAATCGAGCATTGACACAACGCATCCGTCGAGCAGCCATCCGAGTTATCGCTCCTGCCAGGATCCTTCTAACAGCGCGACCACTGAACGACGTGGAAATGGCTAGACAAGTCATCGACAGTATAGGGACCCGACCACCTGCCTTTAGAATCCTGGACCTGCCGCGCGAAGTACTCTACCTGATTGTCCGACACTGTTCACGCGATGCGTCCGCGTTTTCCGAAGCTCAATTCACTCGGATGCGGAAAGAAGCTGAGAGCAGGGATAATGTGAAGAGGAATGGGACAATCATGCGGGAGAGGTTGCTCAAGGCAGAATCGGATCAGATTGGACGGGCCGTTTGGCAAGTGCGGGAAGAGTGGTTAAAGAAGGGAAAATGGGACAAGTGGGAGCTGGACAAGCCGGTCCAAGTGCCCGCCCATACGGAGACGGTGGAATCGCATTCGGGGAAATCTTCAGACTTGTCACCGGGTACACAAAGTCTGCAGCTCAGCTAAGGTTCCGTATGCGCGTAACGACCTAACGAGATGACGATCTATGTATATGTAGCTTTATATCAATCGAATAGATCATCTCACTGTATATTTTGCATGAACGGCCATCGCATATTGTCAGACTCGTGGATATCTCCGTACCTCTCTGAATTGTATGTTTCAGTGGACCCTGGTCATCCGCTAACAGGTCAGCCTGGCGACGCCGGTCACACTCACGTTGCTTCTCTTTTGAGCCCTCTTTTGAGGCGCGAGCCACTGACCACCTCTTACCGCTTCATCCTCGTTGGGATGCAGCAACAAGTTTACAGCAGCCGGGGCAGATGCCTTACAGCCGGCGGTCTTGATGGCAGTCGATGTCTTTGTTTCCCAAACCACCACGACCTGGTCTGCGCTTGATGCGAGAGAAAGTCTAGCACCAGATACTACCGCCGGTGCACTCGAGGTCACTGCTGCTGCTGCATTCGGCGAGGTGGCCGCAGAAACGGGAGGTGGCGAAGGCCTGATTTCGATAGCTGCTGCTCCATCTAAGCCAGTCGCTACAGTCGCTACGACCTGAAGTGTCCCTTGGGCAATGGTAGTGCTGGGGCTGGGAGGTACAGAGAAAGTTTGAGGACCTGAGGTAGCTTGCGAGGTGCATTTCGCGGTGGCGTCAAGGTATTCCGTGCCGGCGAATCTCGATCCAACGTAGTCTCTCCCATCGGGACAAAACTCGATCGTATAGTCTGAAAGACTGCCTGGAGAAGAAGGGCAGGTCCAGAGGGCGCTCTCGGATTTCTCACTAGTCAGCGTCAGCATGATCGGAGGATCTGGCCTCACTCGTAGGCATACTAATAAGAGGACGATCAGCAGGGCCCAGGAGTCGTAATCGTAGTCGAACTCACAGCATAACTCATGTTGCAATTATCCTTGAACAAGCTATAATAGTCGACACCACAGATTCCACACATGATAGGATCGTTGTAAGATCCTGGCAAGTTCAGAATGTGCTCTATCGACGCTTGACTCACCAGTACAGCAAGCTCTGTTTCCATAGGTCTCCGCGCCGAATCCTGCATTACACGCTGCAAGGCATCCTAGATTGACACCGTTACTATCCAGTCCGGTTCGAAGTAAGGGTGGACAGAGCGGGTTAATATTACCCATACAGGTAGGTTGAGGACAGTCAGATTTGGAGAGAATGATATTGAGTGGCACGTTGAACCCATCAACTAGAGAGATGTCATAGTTGTCTTCACCCGCCGTGGCGAGTGTGAACTCGGCTGCGGGCGTCAACTATCTTCATGCCGACCTCTGGCTCACCTAGAGTAGACGGAGGTGTGTTTGTATTCATACTGGTTTCCTATCAGGCTTTCATCGACTCACATTCCCTCACCAAGTCATGTCCCCTCCTTCACCTGAACCGCACTGTCCAGTCAGACACTGGAAGTTACCATCTTGAACGACGCATCCTGTTCTTGCCCAGATTCGTCCAGCCGTCCAATTGTCGGCGACCTCAAATGTCTCTTCGGATCCAGGTACTGCCTCCCATCCCGTCACATGATCGGGAGCGGTTCCACCACCCGTGTGCATCCCGGGCCATACTGTGGTTTTACACGAGTTCTTCACGGTGATCTTCCGGCTGAAAACCACCTGTGATGCCATAAGCAGGCTCGTGAACTGGAACGCAATCTCAAGGAACAGCATGTTGATAGGTTCGTTGGAAAATGAGTCGACTGTGCTTCAAGCAAAGCCGGAAATGGTCTAACCTTGTGATTCTGAAATGCTTCGTATGCGCCAAGGGCGTCCGTCAAAAAATGAGCGTGTGGGTCGAGTCAGTTGATATATGTACAACGCCAGGACGTCCTGCTAGCCTTGGGCTAGATCATGAAGTAAGTAAGGGTATAAACTCATCAGTATTTCGCGGCGACGCGCTGTTGGTGATGAATATGATAGCAACCATCAGAATCGGCGCATCAAAGTGTGCTCATTCGTGCCCATCTTGCTCATACTGTCCAGTCAGTTTATGATACGTGTATCAGAGAGACCAAAGGTTGCGTGGTATCGGAAAGGGATGAAACAAAAAGGAGAAAAAGTGTCTGAAGAATATGGATGCCTGCAAAGGACCATCAGCTAGGCTCGGCATCGAGTGTGTGGCCAGGCTCGTGAAAAGACTTGTATGTATTTGATGCAATTGAGGTTGGTCCCAGTGCAGATTGGGATATGGTCTCCAAATACTTGTCTATGCTGTAAGATTTACGGTGCTCTTCTCGAGGGCAAGTTGCGCTTCCATGAGCGATCTGAAGCGACTGTTTTGCGATCGCGACTTGTGGGGATCAGCGTCTGCGTTTCTGGAACTGCCCACCAAAATATCGTAAGGTCCTTGCTCTGATACTACGCCATTCTCCAAGACGATGACCTTCTCTGCACTCGCAACTGTAGATAATCGATGAGCAGCCATGATGACAGTGATGTTTTGCTCCTTAATGATGGACTCGACAGCCTTGTTGACAGCCTTTTCGGAGGTTGAGTCAAGAGCGGATGTGGCTGGTACCGTCAGGTCCAAGACGGGCTATGAACTCACCTTCGTCTAGGATCAGTATCGAAGGTTGACGGACGAGTGCCCTAGCGATGCTGATTCGTTGTCGTTGCCCTCCTGAGAGACTCGACTTGCCGACTGACGTCAGCGACAATGACAGATTTATGCTCACTTTGGGTATCGAAGCCCTGCGGCAGATCCCAGATAAAGTCACAATTTGCGGCCCGAGCAGCTCGCTCAACGTCCCTTCGGCTGGCTCCTGGCGTTCCGTACGCTATGTTGTCATGCACAGTCCCTGCGAACAGGATGGGATCCTGGAAAACCACTCCTAGTCGATCTCGCCATGACTCAGGAGTCAGATCCCGGATGTCTGACATGGTAAGCAGCCATCGCCAACCGGCCTCACCAGTCCCGTCAAAGGTGATTCGCCCTTCATTGGGGTCGTAGAATCGGCACAAGAGTTGCTGGATGGAGGATTTACCGCTACCACTGGAGCCGCTGCGCGTTCAGTAACGAGCATCCTCGAGCTGAACTCACACCAGCGCCACACTAGTGCCCGGTTCGATGGACAGGTCGACGCCCTTCAAAACTTCCACCTCTTTCCGGCTGGGATACGTGAATCGGACATTCTCGAAGCGAATCCGACCGTTTCGCGTCGGGGCAAGCGATACACCCTTGTCCAGCGGGATGGCAGAAGTTCGGTCCAAGAGCCAGAACACTCGTGAACTTGCACCGACACCTGGAGCGGTCAGCAGAGGGTTTGAGAATCCTTCTCACCTCTCATCAATCCCGTGAAGAAGCCTGTCAGGCCAGAAACGGAGCCTCCCACGTACCTGCTCGGTGTTTAGCTCATTGCTGAGGGGCGAGCTAGGAAAGTCTCACGCGCTGTACATCAACAGAGATGTCAAATCTCCCACAGTAATTTCTCCGCGAGATACCAATGTGCCCCCTATAGAGGATTAATGCGACGACTCGATCGGATTCTCACCGTAGCCCAAAAGACACAGTAGCGCAAGATTGCCCGTGAACCCGCTCATTCCCCAAAACACGCCAGTCATATATGCTTCCTTCCGAGCAAGGTTGAAGATCGCGTCGACCTTGTTGGCGAATAGCTTGGCTTCCACGGCTTGTGTGTTATATGCAGCGACCGTTTTGAAGGCGTTCAGTTTCTCCTCAGCAGTCTGCAGGCGTCAGTGTTGTCAGGGGCCCTTCTGCTAACCCTTGACATGTCTCCCACCGCTTCTTGCGTGAAGTTTGTCAATTTTCTTACATATCTGCCGTAAAACACCTGGCCCTATGAGCATAGTTCTCACCACCAAGACTTACGGCAAAAAGAGATACTGGCGGCACCACACATAACATAACAAAGGTGAGTTTGGCTGAGATCCAGAACATCATGCTGACTATGGGAACGGATCAGCGATATCCACGCTTCAAGCGAATCGGTTTCACCCCCAACAGTGGCTGATACCAACGCCCTGTAGATTGTTCAGCACCACATGGGGTAATTGGCCTCACCTCAGACCATCGGAAAGATTCGAGGTAACCGAGTCACCCATCATGCTCGTATCGACGCTCAATCGACTGACGATGTCTCCGGCAGATCGGTCAGCGAAGTCAGGCTCCTGGCGTAACGTTGCCCAATACGCTTGATTTCTGACTCGAGCGACGATTCTCAGTCCGCAAAGCCGCATGATGATGGCGCGACCTGAGATGTCAGCAACAACTTGGAGGGGCATGAGCTGGCTCACCAGCATTACACGTCGCCCCTATAGTGAATAGAACGGCCAAAAGACCTGCCGCAAATGGGAACGAGAGGCCAAGGAATGCTGACTGTGGCTACATAAACTTTTGATGTTGAAGCTTGTAAAGCTCACCGAGTTGCCGGAGAAAAAGTCGATCAGCTTGCCGACTGTAAATGGAACGGACATGCTAACAGCACTTGAGACGAGAAGCTGGTCCTCGTCAGCGAATGCTATAAGGAGGTGGATTCCACCCACGAGCCCAACAGCGATCGACAGCTGCTTACTCTCTGGTCTGGCCAGTTCGACAAGCTTGCGCACCGATGAAGAGCTCGCTTCCGTGGTCTTGTTGGTGCTGGGGTCATCTACAGGAGATAATGAGATGGCTGAAGATGCTTTGGAGAGGAGTGTTCGCGTGCGAGTGTAGAGTGAGGGTCGGCTCTGGGAAGATGAGGTTGGCTCTGTGACTTGAGTTGGGGCTTTGACGTCGTCGTCCGAAGGTCGTGTGGAATTCCATCTGCGAGACCAGCGTGTTGCAACAGCTGTAGGGTGATCTCCAGAGGTTAGAACTTGCCGTCGAGGCACTGACTCATTTGAGCATGAATATGCGTTTCATGACTTAGAAACTCACATTGTGTCACGGATGAGAGATACCGCCTCTGACTGATGACCTCGGACCACGAAAGACTCGGCGCCCTGGTCCCGCATACCGGAGGTCTTAACAACCAGGCCGAACTCAGCCCGACCTGTCGGATAGCGCTCATGGCGAGTGGATGACGTGCTCAGAAACACTGTTCAATGGAGTCTCATGCTCATGGCCATGGTTTCGGCTCGTGACACAAGAGCTTTGTCGTCAACGCTTCTGAACAAGTTCGACCAAGTGATCAACATGGTCGTGTTCGTCATTTCCGGACGTCTTTCGATCGAAAAATGGGAATAACGTAACTATTGTGGCGGCAAAGCTCGACTGCATGCAACATCTATTCTGCCCTACCGGATGCCCTCATAACTCAGTTCACAGAGACAAGCTTGACGTCGAACTTGAGTGTGGAGCTAGAGAGGGTCAGTGGGCTTGTTCTAGACAAGACCGAAGCCAGCTCACTTTTTCGGAATTCCAGGCAACTTTTGAGAACCATAGGCCATGGCAGGGGGAATCTACAAAAACAGGTCAACCCCACTATCACCGGTCATCATTGCCTCACGCACCGTCAATCTGCGTTCCCCTCCGACGGCCATGCCTTTGAGGCCCTCTTCCCATCCCTTGATGACCTCGTTTCTTCCCAGTACGAACGTGAACGGCTTCCCAGCAGTGTTGGAATCGAATTGCTTGCCGTTCTCAAGTTTGCCGATGTATCTGAGGCGATTCCGACGTCAATGTCGCATTCAATGTGTCTGCCGACAATCTACATACCTCATGCCCAGGCGCTTGCCGGCCTTGGCCACTGGCCCGTCACCGTTCTTGATGTCCTCAATGATCAGTCCAGATGGCAAAGTTCTCTGTAAGTGGGGTGTCAGTGTACTGAGGCGGACGGTAAAGGAAACGGGGATGCATGGTACGAGGACTGATGTCTACGATGAAGCTCAATGGCGACATGAGACTTTCGTGGCTTCTTCTGCCATACAGAGGGACCAACACATTTTCCGCAGTCTATTTCCTCACCTTCTTGTTGGCATTTCCATTGGCAGTTGGCGCGGCCGCCGCTGGCGTGGGAGCGGCAGCAGTGGCACCTTCAAGCTTGGCCTTTTTTGCGAGCTTCTTCTTCTGAGCTTTAGAAAGTCCCTCGGTGGAAGCGGCAGGAGTGGTTGTAGCAGCCTTGGGGGCGGGGGACTCGATCTCCTCAGCCTTGCGCTTCTTCGTCTCGGTGGCTTCAACAGCCTTGGCCTTCGGTTTCTCCTCCTTGGCGGCGGCCACCTTCTTGCTAGGCTTCTCGACGACCTTCTCCACGATCTCCTCGATGGTGCTGCATGATCAGGGACTATCTCTGATTCGCAGGACTCACGCTTCTGGCTCGTCTTCCATGTCCTCGTCCTCGGAACCATAAAGCTCGTCGAAGTCATCGGGTCCGTCGTAGAGCTCATCCGAGTCATATTCAGAGTCGATCTCTGAATCCGACAGGTCGGGTTCTGGCTGGATGACATAATTGCCCATGAGGTGGACAGAGCTGCGCATGTCAGGATTAGACGCAAAGATCGAACTCACTTCTCTCCGGTCACCTCGAAAACAACAACGTCACCCTCGCAGAAAGTGAGGTTGAGAGTGGCTTGCTCGACCTGGATGGGAGTGAGCTAGACTCTCGCTTGCCGAACAAAAAAAAAAGCTCACTCTTCCGGCCAACAAGGAGCAGAGCACGTTGGTCTGCTCGAGTCCCTCCTCAGAATCAGAGTAGTCGGAATCCATCTCGCTGTCCTCGGAAAGCTCTCCGTCCACCTCATCGTCCTCTTCCTCCTCGTTATCCTCCTCTTCGTCATCTTCCTCCTCTTCGTCCTCAGCAGCAGCCCCATTGGCCTTGCCCTTCTTGGGAGTGAGCTTGAATCCCTCCACCTCGTCTAGCTCGAATTCATCTTCGGATTCCTCCTCGTCCTCGTCCTCATCCTCGTCAGATTCCGAGTCATCGTTGAAGAGGCTAGCGGGGATAGGCTGGTGAGTGACTTTGACGATCGATCGCCCAGTCTCGCTTCGAAGCTCTTCACCGAGAGCAGCGTTGGTAAGAACAAAGTCCCGTTGAACAAAGAGAGGTGTTCGCTCGCCTGTGGGAAGATGGGTCAGTCAACTTTCCTCGAGAAGATAACGCCGGACATACCGGGCAAGAGGGTAAGACTCTGGCAGCGTTGTGAGCAGGACTCCTGATATGCTGTCGACAACTCACCCAAAGACTTCTCTTGACAGCCATGATGCTGATGGTATGTATATAAACTGTATAGGGTGGAGCTAGCAAGATGTTGGCAGAACAACGTTCAAAGAAAATCAAAAAAAAAAATATTATCATCTTCTTTCATTTTTCCAGCGCGTAGAGCACGTGCAGCCACGTGATGACCCATGACCTCGGATCCGAGAGCAGTCGGTATCATAAGTTGGTAGGTCGGCGTTTTATCTCATGTGGCACCCAGGGCATCCCCGCAATGACGTCCACCCACGTTACGAGAGTAGTTGTGCAGTCCAACTGTTGCTCATTCCGTCGTATCTCTCGTCAACGCAGAGTTGCATTGTCGTAAACGGGCGTCATCTGGGACGCTGAACTGCATACGCCAAGATGGTAGGTCTTTCATAAGGATGTTCAGCCATTCGTTGCTTACTCTCGCGCCCAGTCCAACACACTCCGACCCTATCTCAATGCTGTTCGAAGCACATTGACCGCAGCTCTGACATTACAAAACTTCTCGTCACAAGTGGTAGAGAGGCACAACAAGCCAGAGGTAGAATGCAGGTGGGTTGATGAGCCTTTCAGACCTCATTGTCTTTGCGCTGATTCACCGCCAGTACCTCCCCTGAGGTTCTGTTGAAACCATTGGTTGTGTCCCGTAATGAATCCGAAAGAGTCCTCATCGAACCATCTATCAACTCCATCCGTCTGAGCATAGCCATCAAGCAAGCGGATGAGATTGAGAAAATCCTGTGTCACAAGTTCACTCGTTTCATGATGATGAGGGCAGAAGGATTCGTGATCCTCAGAAGAAAGCCAATTCCGGTGAGGCTGAGCATTCTCTACGGCGGGGCCAGACGTCGAGGAAGCCTCTGACCCAAAATTAGGGCTACGACATTTCTTTCCTCATTACCAACTTCCACTCCGAGTCTATGTTGAAGCACAAGCTGGTCGATTTTATAATTCAATTCATGGAGGATGTTGACAAGGAGATCTCCGAAATGAAGCTGTCTTTGAATGCCAGGGCTCGTATCGTTGCGGAAAGCTACTTGTCAACAGTGGGTCACGATTCTCTTCCGAGAATGGGAGTCATCGCTGATGTGACCCTTCAGTTTGTATGAAATGGTCATGTATAAAGGGTGCATTATCAGATCATCGTGACCATGCTCCCACGCAGGCAACTGTCCGACCTGAGGTTCTCGTTCCATAATGTCATTTGACTACAATGCTCTTGATCAGTCCCTCGCCTAGTCTCTGGATCTCAGTAATGACAGCATCCTTATCGAGTGTTACGAGTGCAGCCTACGATCAGCTCGTCAGCATTGTGTCATTATCGACTTTGACAGCCAAACTCGCCTCGCCAGCGCTCGGCTTGGTGGAGTATCCCAAGAAAGGCTTCAGCGCTCTCGAAGGCACCTTGTCAGGATTCCACAGAAGACCTATGACTTGACCGCCGTGCTGGTCGAAAAAGACGAGAAGAGTGTCGCCATACAAGCGCTGTGGGAAGAAGAGTTAGACCATCCTGACCCGGTTCATTTGTACTTACCTGGATATCTTGAGCAAATGCCAGAGCGGGATCGAACGCGATTCGAATTTCGTCCCCATAGACTGTTCGTCGGGCATTCTTGAAGCGGGCTTCCGAAACCCAGTTCGCCGCGTCGGCGTGGACGCCTTGAGCATACGTAGGTAAGATACCCGAATGCAGATGAACGAGTACATCGTAATCTGCCAAAGGAGTGGTGAATAGCGCCTGTACAATCAGTGAACTTCGTAGTGATTGTTCCACTCACCCTTATATCCAGTTCTGAAGACAGGGTGGCAGTTCTGATTGCCTCCAAAGTCGCTCTTGCCAAAGACCTCACTCGATTTGCTACGACCTTGGAGATACCACTGGTCCATCGAAGTCCGGTGTGGTCCTGCTCCGTCGCGATAACCCACGCAGAGTGAAGGTAGGTCTTGTCCTTCGTTCTACGGGCTTCAAATTGCCTCACGATCCCATTTTGCACCTCTCCATCCATCCTTGGTCTACCGGATTTCCCAGCCTCACCAGACAGGGGAAGAATGATCGGCTCAATTTTCCAATCCCATTCCGTCAACACCTTGATGGCTCGTACGAATCCTTGTGGTGCACTTGCAGGACATCCTAGAGATCCAGGCTGCAAATACACTTTGGCCATGAGCAGCTCGATGGCTTCGGTTTCGATCTTGAGACTGAGCATATGAGCTGAGAACCATCGTTTGAGCAATCTACAAGCGGAGGAATACGAAGGATATCGATGATGTAGAGGAGCAATGGTCGCATGATGTCGCGGTAAGTGAATGAAGCGTCGGACGTGTAATTCCAGAGCAGGAATCGCAAGGCGACGGGGAGGCAGCGGGAGGGAAGTACCGAACGCAGGCGCGTCTCCCTCTATAGCTCTATCCAACAGAGTACGTTCTCGCTCGTGATAGATGCGAAGTAGGAAAGCTACTCCAGATCCGAGGAGGATCTCCAGACCCGCCGAATCTTCGATCTCGCTCGCGTGAGGATCAAAGACAATATTGATTGTGCTGTCTCGCTGAGCGTGACGTACTAGCCCCGCGAGCTTCTCCATGAGCGCAAATTTGACCTTTTGAATCGCAGCGAGGTCATCGGGCCATCGTGGAGAGGACTCAAACTGGACCACGATCTCCGCTCTAGAAACGTACTTCAGACAGTCGGGTGCAGTCGGGTATCGAGCAATGTCGATTGGGTGAGGAACGAATGTCGTGGAGTATCGAAGCAGCTCGGACGCAGGCTGTACTTGAAGGATGGAAAGTGGTAGCTCGTTATCGATGGACTTGAGCAGCTTGTACAGCTCTTCGTAGCCGTCCAATATCGGTCGGAAGCCTAGTTTTTCAGATCCAGCCACATTGATGGCATCTCGAGCTGCAGCGTCGACCTGTAAAATGTCCATCCACGATCGCTTGGCAGAGAAGGTGGTGACCTGAGGAGTTGAGATGTCCAAATGGCGTTGCAAAAGCCAACAGACTATCTGGTATGGGATGGTGGTTGCTTCTTCAGGCCGAACAATGCTCCAGACCACGCTTTCGGATATTGAGCCGTCTTTGAATCTTCTGAGCTCCGCTTTGTCTCCCCAGAATTCTCTAAAGGCTTGACCCTCCGCCTTGGAATCGCTAGACGGTCCAATGTCCATAACTCGAGTGGCGCTCGATGAATTGTATATCAGTCCCACATGAACAGAATCCGGATGATCCTGATCCACTGAACAGTGAACGAGCTTGACCCTATCGGTGAGACCCCGTCGAAGCAAGGAGCTGATAGCTTGTGAAGCTCGTCGGAGCTTCGTAGTCCGCTCACTCTCTTCTAATACGTCAGTGTCGAGGCGGATGCTGGAGATGTCGATTCTACAGCCGGTCAATTGGAGTTTCACGCCTTACTCACGTTAAGAAATCGTCGTACACCCCCGACGTTATGCTGAGATTCCTCAGAAAGACGTCTGAGAAATGATCCTCATCCACATGCTCCAGCAACGCCAAGGTCTCGCGGGCGTGATATTGCAGCTAAGGATTGAGGGACCGTCCTCAGAGCTATGAACTCACCAGTTCAATGTCACCCTCATCCCATTCGGCGAAAATATTGATGCTGCCGGTGGGGTCCACCAATGCGACAGAGAATGACTCCAGTATTTGCGGCAAGGGAATCTGCATGAAAGTCAGCTGGACCGAGATGAAACGGTCTCAAGACTTGCCATGGGATCTTGCGATACACAGAGAGATACCGGACGCTTGCTTAGATCCATACTCCCTGCAGAAGTATGAGCTGACCGATCAATTGTCATAGGTCTGACCCTCACCTATCCTTTCCCAAGCTGCTTTCAAGGCTGCCCACGCAGTGAGACTTTTGCCAAGCCCTGGCTCCCTTCGAAACTTTGTCCGATCCCCTCCGGAGCCACCAATCAACACGCCGTCCATGACCCATCCCAGAAGCATGGATGCGAACCAACCGCTGCCACCTCGATGCCTTTGTAAACCTCTCCGAGAAGCCCATATGCGCCACAGCGCGAGAAATGCATCGACCATCCTATCGACGGTGGCGAATTGACTGAGGTGATGTAGGTGTAAGAGATGGGCTTTGTGCAGAGTATCCTGAATGATGGACGTGGAGTATAGGGGCGTCTGAGCTGACTCGGGAATACCGGCATCCCTGAGGAGCGACTTGCTCGGGGAGAGAGACGATGGCTGAAAGAGGGCACCCGGCGCAGCTGCGGATACACTGATCTCGACTGAGTCACGGAGACCTTGTTCTGTGGAGCGGTCAGACGAGGTAAATGGCCAGACTGACCTTTGCCTGCAGAAATGACGATGATGGGCCGCCTGCTATCCCCGTGTGCGTCTTCCCATCGAACCTTGATACCGCTCAAAGATGCGCCTGATTTCTCTCCGAGCATCTCGAGAGATTTCTTGATTATGGCAAGGTAGTAAATTCGCTTATGAAAGTATCGAAAATCCATACGATCCTTTGGTGAGAACAGGGCCTGTTTATTCTCAGCATTAAAGCCTCATCCCTGACTCACCGCTGGCATGACAGCCACAACATTTACATCGCCCATCTCTTTCTTTCCCTTTCTATATCCTCCACACACACCCCAACTCCCACCAATGATCACCTCCTCTGGCTTCTCCCAGCCCAAAGTCCACTTCACATCGGCTCTTTTGAGCGGGTGGAAAACATCTGGCCCAGGAAAGGGGATAGCCTGTCCAAACCGTTTACAGGCTTTTGGCGGAAGCAGAGCAGGTAAAGAATGAAGCGACATAATATGCGAATGGATAGTTGCTAAGAGATCCTTCAGTCCAGCAGGAGGGGTCTTGGACAATAATGTCGATGTGAGGAGAGCGTCCAATTGAAGTGCAAATGTATTTCCACCGCTTGATTCGGTCTGACGTAGTGTCTCCAGCTCCTCCATTGTCGGCGGACGATATTTACTCTTGCCATTCGGCGTCGGCTTCGGCTTCGTGGTGGATGGCCCAGCCTCTGGCTCCACATCGTCTTCTTCCGCCTCTTCCTCTACCGACCCTCCAAAATCTTCGACATCATCGTCATCACCGTCCCCGTCTTCGTTCTCTACACCCTCAACCCAGCCTTCCGACACATCCTCTCCCCCTTCAGATGAGGCTGGCGAGTCATCAGGATCGATCATAGGATCCATGACCAGCGTGCCGACAACATTTTCACCAGACGTAGCAACGTCACTGAGCTCGGGGGATGACGGCCGCCGAGGTAAGTGCTTCCTCTTAGCAGCTCGCTGAATGTCTTGTGAGCTATTATGAACCATGATACAGGCACACTCTCACCTTTTGAGGACCTGATGTGCGCTCTCCAGCCTTTCGCTTCTTCACGTCCGCCATCCTGCTCGCTAGTTTCACTCGAGTGGAATGACCTCTTAAGCTTGCACCTCGAAAACCATCGAAGATCAACTTTTTAGCGGGTCACGTGAGAATGCGGCAGTCGCCGATGGGACACCGCGCCGTATCTTATCGCGCACCTAGGTGAGCCTTCCCGAAGCTGGGCATGTACTATGCATGGGCGTGGTGTGGGCAGGATAGACAAACTCCAAAGGCGTGGCACAGCCAATTTCGGTTGCAGGCCTCTCTGCCTTTCCTCCTTTGTATTTCTGTAAGCTTGACTGCACACGACCAGTTGCTCATCCTCCGCCGAAGAAAGCCGAACATTTCGTATAGCTTTCGCGGAACGGCTACCCCGTGCGTGCTATGGCATGCTCCGGGCCAATCTTCACGGGCGGACATAGGTGGACTGCCATACATGTCAATGCCTCTCCCAGGCTGAGGACGATGCGATATAGGTGGTCACACCATCTTCTCCAGAGCAGCTGATCCCAACCGGATAATTGTATTTACCGACGAAAAAACTAGCCCCGCGGAATGGCGACTCGAAAACGATCGACGTTCAACCTGGTGCTAACATCTGTCGAACGCTCACTCACTTGAGCAGCACATACATCTTCTGGTGCAAATCGATTGGAAGACACAATTCAGGCTCTTGACTCCCTCGCATCGCTCTTGCTCGGCTCAAGTTCCATCGCTTGTATAGTCACCATTGTGGACAGCGGCGGATTCTGAGAACCTCTCTCAAACAGATCTCGACCGACCTGTTTGAACCTCGCTTGGCGTAAACCATACGTGCCATACGGTCACTGCAATGTCGCGGTTCAAGATTTCAGCAGCACTATGGGACAGAATACACCATTTTGCCTCTTTCCCCCAGACCGGCGGTGAGCCCTCATTGGCCACCTTTCTTCCTTCGCGGTAACAGTTCGCGTGCTGATGTCTTGAACCAGTCTCACTACAACAAATGATCTTATTCGGCCAACATCCATCACAAGGAACACTACTCAAGGCTTCTCAGTTCCTGTCTGAGGAGCTACCGATACGCCTCGCTCACCGCGTGGTTGAGCTTGAAAGTCTGCCATATGGGATCAGCGAAACACCTAGTATAACCAAAGTGAAAGAGTGGTACGCTCAAAGCTTCGAGGTGAGTGCAAGTTCGTGCGATGCCGGCGAGGAGTGCTGAAAAGCATCAATAGGAGCTGGTGACATTCCCGAGACCAAAGCTGCCTCCAGAGATCCAAGAGATGCTCCGTGTACAGCCGAAAGACGAGTGAGCTACTTTCTTATCCTCCTTAGCTCAAACGGTTCGCAGCTCCCAATTCCCTTCTGCAACGCTCAACCCTTCTCTGGATCCCCTCATGCACGAGGGGCCCGTTGGAAGTAACCTCATTTCTGAACGGGGAGGATACATCGGTCAAATGGGCTTGAATGGATCCGGTAGTAGTGGACCAAGATTAAGAATACCCATTGAGAGAAGGTCAGTCTAGTTGACTTATATTGGGGATGTACTCATGTCTCTTCAGATACTTTTCCCCACCGTCCCCTGACATCACGTACCCGCCAGAGGTGCACGAATACAATGACCAGTTCACCGACCTGCTGCAGAATATCAAACGGAGACACGACCCTACCGTGACGACTGTAGCGCAGGGGGTCCTGGAATGGAAGAGGAATCAGAAAGCAGGGCGAATCGATCAGAGCATACAAGAGTGGTTGGACAGATTTTACATGAGCAGAATAGGGATAAGATTCTTGATCGGACAACGTGAGTCGTGGTCAGTGCTTCTGAGCGGGAAAGCTCATGACGCACCAGATGTCGCCCTGAATACTCTTCAACCCCATCCAGACTACGTCGGGATCATATGTACGAAATCGGTGGGTGACTCCTGCTTTACAATCCACTATTGAGCTGACAGACCCAAGAATGTACACGATATATGTCACGAAGCGATCGGTGAGTGTTTACCTATATGTCCGGATGAAGAAAAACGCTGACTTCGTCTCAGAGAACGCGCGATTCGTGTGCGAGGATCACTATGCTCTGTTCAAAGGTCCTCCAATACAACTCTTGTGTCCTAAAGATCTGACCTTCCCTTACGTCCCTGGTCACTTGTGAGTCTTCTCGTGCGCCCACGGAAAATTGGAGCTAACTGAAAACCAGATCACATATCTGCTTTGAATTGCTCAAAAACAGTCTACGCGCCGTCGTGGAGCGATACGGAGTAGCCAATGAGGACGAATTCCCACCTATCAAAGTGGTCGTTGTGGAAGGCAGCGAGGACATCACCATCAAGATTTCAGATGAGGGCGGAGGGATACCACGAAGTGCCATCCCTCTCATATGGACGTAAGACATTCACTGCGCATTCATACTGGTTCAGCGTGCTGATGATGCCGTAGGTACCTCTACACGACTATGAGCGATGAGGGATTGGAAGCGAACATTGAGAGTTCAGATTTCAAAGCTCCGATGGCTGGATTCGGGTACGGTCTGCCATTGTCAAGACTGGTGAGTATGATGAGCGGCGCCTTTGTGAATACGGTCGAGCTGATTCTCGCAGTACGCCAGATTTTTTGGAGGTGATCTAAGACTCATTTCGATGGACGGTTATGGCACAGGTGAGTCAAGTCGGGTGTATAAAGAAGCGAGGCTGATTGCGTTTCAGACGTCTATATCTCGCTGAACAAGCTGTCATCAAGGTGAGTGAAATGTGCCTTGGTCATCGCAACGCATCGACTGACGGCACATCAAGTCGGGAGCCTTTGCAATGATTCTCCTCCTTATTTATCTTACATCTTGCCGTCGTCAGCCTTATCTATCTACTTGTTGGAGCACTTCACTCTCTGTAATATGTGATCAAATGCATACATTGTATATCTCGATCGAGGCTTGAGATGAGATGATTATGAATTGAAGCACGAAAGCTATTACGAAAACACTATGATTAAGAAACGACAGATTCGAGAGACACGACAGATCTATTGGAATTGACGACGATTCTTGAGTCTATATTTACTCATCAGGCATTGTGGTTGGTTTCGGGCGGGGGCACGTCTTTCTTGCCATCGCTCTCCGTAGCTTGTTCTTTACCAGACTTCTTTGGCTGAATCGCATTGTTAGCCAGACGTTGAGACATAAGCCATCGAGTTCAACTCACAACTCTGACCAGCCAATACAAACCGATAGCGGCAAACACATTGAAAATGATGTAAGCCCACATGAGACCAAAGTCTCTGAATCGGTGACTGTAAGAAATCGAGAATTGATCGAGGAAAGTGTTTGTGGATCCAATCGAGCAGACAGTGCAGTCCGAGTTCGCATCGTAATTCTGGAGTGTTCCTCCGTACGCATCGAGGAATGGAGTGAGGTATGTTCCGCACGTTTCCCCATTGGGGGGATCAAAGTGTAGGAACTCGTCCTCCGAACAGACGACATGGGTATTGGCCACGGCAACTGAAAGGATACCTTCGACGAGGTAGGTGAATGGTGAGATTCTGTACATGAATTTCCAGAATCCAGGCATGGTCCGGAAAGGTACCAGTACACTGCAAAGAATCTCAGCAAGGCCCTCCGAAGAGAAACGATGAGGCCACAACTCACCCGTTGAAAATCAAACACAGGGAGAACATCAAGTTGGCAACGTTTCCAGCCGTCTCAGCCGAATCCATGGCGGCCACAATGGCAATGGCGAAAGTTCCGGTGAAGAGGAAGAAAGTCTCCATCAATCCCCACATGAGTGCAGTACGCTGAGGTACAGTATGCGTGGGCTCGGCGTTGCGGTAGTATCCAATCGGGTAGAACCAGGTGAGGAAGAATAGAGTGCCGACGAAAATGTTCCAGGGGATCTCAGCGATCACGTTGGATAAGATGAAGACCTTCCACGAGTACGTCTTGGCAGGTCGTTCTCGGACTTCGTACAGACTTCGCTGGGTGACGAAAGCGGGCATTGTCTGTTGACAAAGCTGAGAGAAGATAAGGAAGATCTGAGGGGCGCGTCAGTAAGGTACAAATGGATCTATATATTCGACTTGCCATGAATGCAGAGAACAATTGCGACTGTAGACCCGCTTGAGAGGTATCTGCCTTGAAAAATGAGAATCCGATGAAGAGACCAGCCAAGACGACCAAGATGATCTTTGACCAAATGTACGACGGAGTTCGCCAATACTGTTGGAACACTCGTCGACTGACGATCCACATTTGCTGCCAAAACGGCGCGGCGAACTCGGCGTAGGCAGCCTTGTCCAATTGTGCATCTTCTTTACTCTGTGAACTCTTTTTGGCCTTTTCTTCGGCGACGATCTTTCGTCGTTCAGTCTTCAGTTCCTCCAAGTGTTCCTTGACTTTTGCCCGTTCAGGACTCTCGTTCCAGACTTCGAACCAGTCTTTGTCAGACTTAGATCCGGGTGCCGCGCCGATAGCTGATAACATCCATTCTGCGGGGTTCTCGCCGGCGGGGTAAGGGATTGCTCCGTTTCGCTCGAAATAGTCGATAAGGATATGGGACCCTTGGCCGACTTCCCCAAAGTAGACAGTCTTACCTCCTTTTGCAAGGAGCAACAATCGATCAAAGTTCTCGAACAGGATGGCCGAAGGTTGATGAATGGTGCAGAGAATAGCTTGACCATGTTCTGTGAGTTTGCGTAAGAGCTTGAGAATGTTCCAGGACGTCTGAGAATCCAGACCAGAGGTGGGCTCATCAAGGAACAACAAGAGTGCGGGTTTGGCGACAAGCTCAACACCAATTGTCAATCGCTTTCGCTGTTCAACGTTGAGACCTAGAACTGCTCAGCGAGGATCATCTTACTCATCCTCACCTTCACCGGGTACACCGACCACGGCATCCGCATATGCATCCATTTCCAATAGCTTGAGCACCTCTTCGACGTAGTCCCATTTTTCCTGCTTGCTGACGTGTTTCGGCTGCCTGAGCTCGGCACTGAAACGAAGGGCCTCTCGGACGGTACTGGTTTGCAAGTGCAGATCCTGTTGTTGAACGTATCCAGTTTTACGCTGGAAGGATACATCTCGTTGTTCACCATCGACAAGCATTTCACCAGTGACTACACCCATAGTGACACGGGCAGCCAAGACGTCGAGCAGAGTTGTTTTACCAGCACCAGACACTCCCTGCATTCCAATCAGCTACCCCGAAGCGAGTGGACCACTTGGACAACTCACCATCAAAGCGGTCAGAGTTCCTGGCTTCACCCATCCGTCTACATGATTTAGAATACGCCTCGGTTCCTTCTTGATCTTGATGTCATACACGACATCCTTCCATGAGAAGATGCTTGTCTGCTTTTGAATGATACCTTGATCGGCTCGAGCAGTTCCGGTAATTTGTCTTTCCACTTTTCCGCCAAGCTTGCTCTTTTCGTTGGATCGGGTCTGTTGAGATTCCTCATCGTTTGCTTGCTTCTTGAGCATCTCCGCAGGGAAATGACCACGAGGGAAGACCAGAATTTCACCTTTGGAACGCTGGGCAGAGATGAGCTCTGTGGCGAGCAGGTAAACACCCAGGAAGAAAACAGCAAATGCGATAAGGATACCAAAGTTTCTCCATTTGTGCTGGTATTCGTAGCCGTAGGAGAGGTATATGTATGTGTCTCCTTCGACGTATGCGTCACCAGCTTGTGCACCGACCACAGAACAGATTCGATTGTCGGCACCGACATTTTGATACCCTGGTCCTGCGGGGATGTATTGCGAACACAGGAACTCTCGATCGTGGAATTCATTGATCATGAGTGACTCGAAACCGTATCCGATGGGATTGATGTAGTTAATCCATCGTGACCATCCTCGCATTTGCACAACAGGAATGGCGAATCCAGTGTAGACAATCAGGCCAATCATGATGATAGCCGCTGGCGTCATGGCGAGGACAAAGACACGAGAGAGCGCAGCGATGGATCGGAAAATCATCGACATTACGAGAGTCATGGTGAAGGTGATCAGGACGAAGAAGAAGAACGGACCAGGCGCTCGTCGCAAATTGGTCATGAAATAAAGTGTCAAGTTGGTGGTCAGGTTATTCAGGATCTTGTAGGGCATGTCGGTGAGCATGGACGCGAAAGCCTCGGCAGATGGGTGATAGCTAAGAGCAGATGAGCGACGTTCCTTGGAACCTGTGACGTAGAGCCTCACAAGGCGTATTGGGTGTGCTTCTCAACAATGGGTCGTTGGGCGTACAATGTGAGAATCTGGACGGTGTCAGCTCATCCGCGACATTCTGTAGCGAGTCTGACTTACCTCGAGAGCAGCTCCGAAAGCGTTGATCAACGCAGCAAAAAAGATCAAAGCTCCAATCTGGTACAGACTAGAAGTTGTGGGCTCTGAATGCAGGAGCTCGCTCAGCCAATGAACACAGGCAATTCAAAGAACGCTTACGGAGATTGTAAAAGACCGAAGAGATGATCAAGGCCATCACAAAGTTACCAAACAGCTGAGTGAGTGTAAGACTCGGGTCGGCTTTGAGTCGCCAGAATCCTCTTCGCAGACAAATCTTGATTTGCTGGCCGTACGACAGGGTGTAGGGAGACTTGGCGCGACTACGAGTAATGTCAGTCGACTACTCGAGTGGAAAGACAAGACAACGCACAGATGCTTGGCCTGTTGCTGCCTCCTGGAGGCAAGGAAAGTCTTGTAGCTATCTCCATCCATGGGATGCTTTTCGTTGTACGACTGGATATCCTTCTTGAGCTGAGCATATTCCGGGCTCTTCTTCCAGACTGCAACGAACTCCTGAGGGGTCGTCGGGACTCGACTCTCGTATCCTTTCTTAGCCTTTCGTTCGGAAGGGCTCGTCAAGGATGTGAGGAAATCAGGGACTGTTTGTTGTTCGGGACATTCGAAACCCATGTTGGTGAAGAAAGCCTTGGCGTCTGTACATTTACCGAAGAAGATCTGTTCTCCCTCGTACAGGACAGAGACCTTGTCGAAGAGGTCGTACGCTGATTGAGGGGATTGATAGATGGCAACGACGGATGTGGTGCTCAAGTATTCAGAGCTCAATTTCAGATTCTTGCAGAACTCGATGGCATTGGCAGAGTCAAGACCTCGAGTCGAGTTGTCCCAGCATTGCAGAGGTGCTCCTGACAATGCTGCTTCACAGATCGTCACACGCTTGCGTCTGGACCAGGACGTCAGAAAAGGCAGATGTGGTTATGCTTTGCCACAAGACTCACTCTCCTCCAGATACTCCACGAATGTACTCGTTACCGATGATCGTATTGACGGTGTGAGAAATACCGAATGTCGACATCATGACATCTCGACTATGAGACGCAAATTGCTTCTGGGTAAGTCCTGCAGGAGGCGTCCTTGGAACTCTGCATTCTGAGGCAAAACTGAGCGATGGTCAGCACAGATTCACGGTCACCACAGTTGAGGCTCACGCCAGAGTGTCTCCAACCGTCAAGTTTGGGAAGTGGACGTCCACCTCAGCTGTGTAGATTGCTTCTCCCCTGAATTGCTTGTGCATCTTCTTTGGGTGAATACCTTGGAAAGAAGGGCAGTGAGTCAAAGGTTCGTAAGTCGTTCACGAACCTCTATAGTTCAGCTCTGTCTCATCATCAAGATAGATTCCGTTCATCTCGCCTGCAATGGTCTTGAGCAGGGTCGTGCAACCACTAGACGAGGGTGAGCATAGTTCATACAGGACCGGTTGATGACTGACCTTCCCGGCGGTCCAAGGACCACAAGCATCTCTCCAGCTTCAAGATATCCATCGAGACCGTTCAGGATTTGAACTTTGCGCTTTCGACCTCTGATCATGTCCATAGCTTGCCCAACATATGACATTGGCAGATTTCCGACTGTCTTCTGGTAATCTACCGAAAGTTGACGGTCAGTGCCCGTGTCAAGCCAGTAGAATCGCAAGCAACGAGGTACTCACCAGCGTCTGAGCCATAGCCATGAACGCTGAGATTGGAGAAGGATACGCCTGATAACCTCTCCACACCTTGGTCTCTGGACAAAGCGGCAAGACCTTTGACATACTTTCTCGCGTTGAAGTTGTCTGAGAACGGGTCCAAGTCGGATCCTTCCTGATATTCAAACAAGTTTTCTCCGGTTAATCCAGTTCGCGTGGAGTGTCTGGTCAATTGTCGGGCCAGACCAGCGAGTTCTGCGTCTCTTTGAACACGCTTTGGATCGTCCGAAGGGCTACTATTTTCTCCATTTAATGTTCGCGCATCGCGATCGGAACTACTAGATCCGTTGGGTACGTCATCATCGCCAGAACGACCCGAGCTGTTGTCTGCATGAGGCGATGTGAGTGAGTCGGGGAGGATGTTTTCTATTCCCAAGTGATATTGTTGTGCAGGTGATCGATGATCCCCTTCTGTGGAGGCGATGGGTTTGCCAAGCTCAATAGCCGATGGGGCTCCCCGGGTCTCCCGATTCTCGAATCCGAAATCGAGTCCGGTGCTCATTGTGTTGGAGAAGGCTGCGCTGTAGACGCACTCTGAGCACTCAAGTAGCCAGCAGCCAGTTCTTGCGGGTGGGGATGGGCAGATAGATGATACAGGTCACAGAAAATGTGCTTGCGCCTGTTATAAGGCTTTCCCAACAAAGAGAAACACGGAGATGAAAGTCGGGGGTGGATATGATCAGACGATTTTGGCTGAAGAAAAATCCGGGCGCCGCTGATTGCATTGACTAAGCAAACAAATGTAATCAACCACAGTGGCGGGCGTATAGCAGACCGTCGGTCATCAACTGGAGGCTGCGGCTGCTGCAGCAGAGGCTGACTGGCTGGGCTCGCTGGCTAGCCCTTGAGCAGCTGTCACTTGTATGCATAAAATAATGGTGGCGGGCGGCGATGTCAGGGGCCAGTGGAGCTTATCCGGGCGCCGTGGTGTTTTTCGATCGACCGTCTTTTTCTCATGTTCTAGGCCAAGGAGGGGGGATCTGGATAAAAGACACTTACAGTTCACGTCAGCAGCTACATACCCAAGCAAAGCTCCATGGAGGGGGGTGGGGTGTATACTTTGGATGGTCGGTAGTGGATCAGATGTCCCGTTGACGCGTCGATGATGCTTGCCAAGTATGGCCGAAGGTCGTTTTTACCGTACACAAGATCTGGCCCGTGTCGGACGGTGATTGGCCCGATAGTTACATAAAATCATGGAGTCAGTTCTCACTTTGTAGGCGAAAGTTCCGGGGCGGAGAAACGGGTTGTCATGCTACTGACGAGACGTCTTGGACAGCGCATGGCGTCGGTCAATCCGGCCCATGCACACAGTGCGGCAACCTTGACTGGACCGAACGGAGACAAAGTCGTTCGGCAGTGGAGTTAGGTTTGGCTCAGAGGTCGCTTACGCAGCCGTTCTTTTAAATCCTAACTGACCTAGCGGCCGATATCGAAGCATCGACGAGTCTCCTTACACGATTCGCGCACAGCTGGCGCTAAAGACCAAAATCTCATGCATCACTGGATCCTGACAAGCTCAAAGGACTGTCTTGTCCATTTTTGACACCGAGCCAAGGAAGCCACCAGTGAACAGCCTCACAACCCAGCACGAGGCATTCGAAGGTGACGATGTGGATTCAAGCCTTGCAGGGCAGGTGAACATGAAGGTCCTGCTTCCCTCGCTTCCCTCGATAGTCGAACGTCGTCAGGTATGCGCATGGGGTCCTCGTGTATCGTTCAGACCTTTTGCTCATCTGATCTATTCATCGGCCAATTTACAGTACTAGCATTCCTCAGGCCTTTCCTTTGATTCAAGTGATGCCATCAGGCATGTCGACCTACTCTGGCGTGTAGCATTCATATGAATCAAGCTTGGCCGTTCAAGAGTTCATACAGAACCGTCAAGTTGGACCTGCGGCAATGAATTTGTCCTCCATCTGGACTATATCTTGACCACCATCATGGAGAACTGTATCGTTCCAGGGTGCGAGAAGCAGAGATGGGCGGAAGGTCATGTCTTCTGCTATGAACGTGAGTCGTACCATCACTGTCGCGATCCCTGTAGTGCCATAGTCGCTCAAATCGCTGCTCGATCGCGACGATTGAAGACGTCTGCAAGAAAGAGTACTGCAAGGACCGAGCGGTGACTAGGGGATTTTGCACCGGTCGTGAGTGCGGACTCGCTTACCTTCCGCATTGAGACCGTTGTCAATGATGGATAATGGTAGCAGACGCCAAGGCCAATCAACCGAGCCCATGATGGAGAGATGGGACATAGGGGATCTGAACAGATATCTTGGAGGTGGACACAATGCTTGCTGATGCAACTGATGAGACGCAGTGCCCTCACCCATCGCTGAACGCTTTGAGACATGAATGTTGGCCGAAAGGAATCTTCTCCACCTCATATACGTCGGAGCATATACAGATACAGGCAGCCTTCCATCAGTACAGAAGCACTACCTTTAAATTGCGTGCTATACCCCCACCCTTTGACACTTGAGACTCTATCGGTTCTAGCCGAAGAAGCATTGTGAAGTCGCTGATCTGTGTTCCCGAGGAGACGCTCTTCGCACCAATGGCCAAGCGGCAGCATTTCAGTCGCTACACTTTGCAATCACCGGACTTGGGGACAGACTGCTGATGGGAGTGATGAGGTCGATATGTGAGGATATAGACAGCGCTCGGGAGCGTCGTATTACAGTATGTACGACAGCGGGCAGCGTGCCGGCAAAACATAGCTTATAATGGGTATCATGCTTACCATTCTCGAGAGAACCCTGCCCTGAGGATTGTCACCTGAGATATCTGAAACAATGTCAACCTGTGGCGAGCAAGACTGTTCCAACTCTCCAGTCAATGGAGGCAGCTACTGCAAGACCCGTGAGACTCTCCGCATAAACTCGACCCCTCAGCTAATGCGGACACAGATACATGCGTATATACCGGCTGCACAGCCCAAGCTGTGATGTATCAGCGATGTGGTGAGCACGTTGACACTTAAACATATAGCATAGTCTGACGCTGACCGAGCTCCGATTTGGCCCTACCAGCGACTCATTTTGCACAGAGTATCAGTCGAACTCCGTCAAACTCAGATTGCCCTCGACCTTGTCTTCCTCCGCCACGTGAGAGGAGTCGCCCCTTCGGCCTTGGATCTCGGCACCTCAAGCGATGATAGTGAGGTACAACGAGAAGATCTCCAGGGGACGGACGGCTTGCAGAGCTGGTTGCATTGGACATAGCTCATCACGCCATGCAAGCATTGACCCATAGCAATTATCCCAAGCAGGAAATATCGCTTACGAGTGGCACTGCCACCCCGACTCCGACGCCTCGAGGCAGCCACACCCTTGATGTATCCTGAAGGCACCAGCTACCTTGACTGATCGCTTAGGTGCGCGTTCCTCGGTCGTTCTGATCGATGATTGCGGTGCTGTGGTCGTTGAATCCGAGTAAATCCGAAGTCGTACCTGTAAGAGGGCAGTGTATGTGTACGTGTACACTTGCGTGTGTGTATGTTTGTATGTGTGTGGGTGTGTGTTGTCAAAGGCATCGCTCGCTGAGTTCACTCACCCGCCTTCCCATTCTCTGCTCATCTTCTTGTTTCTTACACGATGAGGATTCAACGTGTAAACCCCTTCTCTCCCCTGAAAGTCCAGACCTCATTTGGCTCACTCACTGCCAAAACTGTACAATTATTGTCCTTCGGAATATTCGCGCAAAACCACACGCAAATAGAAGTTCTGACATGTCCTCGCTACAATCTTGCGTCTAGTGTATATCGGATGATCATCTTATGGTGTGGACTTGAGAGACCTTAGATCATGTATATTTAGACCTCGTCTGATCTCCTTCTTCGCCACCCAAATCCCCATCCTCGATTTGATCTCTGACACTTCATCACCTCGTCAAGTTACCGTACACGGCAGTGACAATTGCTACCTCTTCTCCCGCCACCATCATGTCACGACACGTTCATGTCGCCTTGAACCCCTTCATCGACCCTCAACCTCTTCAATTGCCCAATTGTCACTGTGGAAAAGCAGCGGGTTCTTCAGGCTACTGCGGAGAACGTGAGTGTTTGAGCCGCTAAGAGTCACCCAGCCTGTCAACCTGCCTTCCGGGCCCTCCTGTTCACCTGATCTCGATGCACACGCCACTTCACCCAACGCTGAACATGCTGACCGTTGCTGACGCTTCTCAGACACGTGCTCTGTGGGTGGCTGTACGAACGCCTCGACAAGCTCCTGGGGCAAGTGCTCATATCGTGGGTTCAACGACAGCTCCGTGGCCAAAACGGCCCAGACTGATGATCGTCGCAGACGGAAGTTCCGACTCGATCCTGATGTGGCCTTTCTCGACACTCGTGATCCCAAACTTGACCCACACCTATCCAAGCAACTCGGAGCTTTCAACGCCCATTCTGGAGTTCGAAAGCCACCAGTTCACCTCGTTTCGCAACGCCACTCAGCCATGACATGGCAGAGCGGATGGAAGCCGCGTGATTATCTGGTGGTTCACAAGTCGATGAGATGCAGCGAAAGTGCGGAGTGCTATTCTGTCAGGTGTTTCGTAGTCACGTTTGACGACGGTGTGTACTATTCATTATTGATCAGTAGGCACGTCTCATTACCTCATGTACATGCATATACCTCTGAGGTCTGAAGAGTTGTCCTCCATTGAGCCTGAACTATGATGTTCGATGCGATGCGATGCGATGCGATGCGATGCGATGCGATGCAATTGTGTATGACGTACTGATACAGATGAATGCTAAAGGAGAAAATCAATACCCTCCAAGTCAGATCCCACCGTGGTCGAGCTCTGCGCTTCCGTCACTCGTCCTCGTCCATTCCTGTCAAAAGACCATTCCGTATGCCCGTCTTGCCTCGTCTTGGCCCAGTGCCCCGTGATCTCCTCGCAGCCGTCTCATCGCCATCACTCTCATCGTCCGAGTCGTCTTTGATCCGTGAGTGTGGGTCCAGGAGAGATGAAGAGAGCGTGTTGACCAGTGTAGGTTTGCCCTCTGGCAATGCTCCTGCGAGACATATGAGCTCCGCTGTCAAGGTGACAATAACGTCATAGCTCACCAGACTCCTTCAACCTAAACTCGAGGGCTTTCGCACTGAAGTGATCCGAGTTGCCAAATTCCTCAAAGCCTACCAGCCTGACGATTCGAGAGTCAATGAACCCTCATACAATTTAGAGCGACTCACTGGTCTACACAGCGACTGTCCGCAAAGACCAAGACGCAAGGCAGGACCTTGATGTTGAACTTGGTGACGAGGAACGGAATGTCCGCGACGGATGCTCGGATAAAGAGAGTGTATGGATGTTTCGGGGCGAGTTCCTAAATCACTTCATATGAGCTCTCAGACCTCTTAGTGACGGCACCCGCACCTCGAGACGTCGATCCATGATCTGACAGCGCTGAAAGTCGGGATGAAAGAAATGGAGTATACAATACTTGTCTTTCCTATCGAGAATCTGGCTCAGCGAGGCGTAGGTCATAAATATCTCAGGATGACTCACGACATCCTCTCTATCAATTTGCGTTCATCGGTGAAGGTGACAACTTTTCTATAATCACTTTCTTGTAGCTGCTTAACTTTCTCAACCTCTTCTTTCAGCTTCTCCATCCGTCTATCTCTATCTGCGGCGATATCGAATCGAGGATCATCGTCCAGCGAGTCCAGGAGCGCCGAATCGGACAGCGTGGGAGAGGGTGGACCACTAATAAAACGTGTCGAAGGTCAATATCTGCATTTGACAATCTGACTTCCAGCTTCGTAATCGACTCTCCGTACCACGTTGCTTGCTCGCTCACTCACCTCATTGTCGGTTCAGCCTAACTGCTTAAAGGTCAATTCAATGTCCAGTTTCAAGTCGCGACCTTATGCCGCCGCGTCCGGTATCGCGGAACTAAAAATTGCCAAGCATGTGGCATTGTGGCACCATGTAACCTGATACTGGATGGCTCTCCACACATCGCCGACGAGGAATTTCACGAGGCGAGGTCATACGTATGGTCTCCTGTTTACTGCGATCATCAGGAGACGAATATCAAAGGAAGTTGAAAACTTTCCCTTGACCATGCCTTCAGTTTCAGGTTTGGTTGCGATAGCCTTTGGGAGTAAACCTGATCAGGCGTATCAGACCAGATGGATGGGTGGATCTACTACTCGACGTTCGGGTGTTCATTTTCCGGACAGCACGAGACAGTTTCCGATCAGTTCCACCGGATACAACTATCAGCCTTAGACGAGGATTGTTGGCCTTACAGACTTGTGTCAGTCCCCGGGCCACTTGACGCTCTGTCCTCATGTCCGAAACCCCCGCAACGGAAGCGGAAACATCCACATCCACATCGACGCCAGATGCCGCCTCTTCAGCCTCGGATCAAGCACCAAGCGACTCTTCGAGTAGCATGAGCTTGACAAAGCAGCAAGAAATCGGTGAGTATGATGACGCGTGACGCCTTGCTCCAATCGGGATGCAAGTCCTGACAATGCTTTAACGTCAAGGTATTGGCATTGGCGTGTTTGCACTGGTCCTCATCGTCTTCGGTTACCTCTACTACAAGAAGAAGCTATGTTTCAAGCCAAAGACGAGTGTCTGGAAAGATGATGAAGAGCATAGGACTGGAGGGAGGGTTTATCCCCGGAAGAGTAAGAGGGCGAGGGCGAACCAGCAAGAAAAGAGCGATGAGGAGGAGGAGAGTGAAATAGAGGAGTTAGAGTCGGATCAAGATGACGAGGATGAGGAGAAAGAAGAGGCGGAGGAGAAACCAATCAAGAAGAGTTCAAATGTCAGGGTCAATGATTCCAAGCGACTTTCGAGACCTGTAACGCGAAGTGAAAGAGCTACAAAAGCACTCAGCACGATCAAGGAAAAGGTTGAGAGGGATGAATCGAGACTTACATCCTCGGCTGGCACTATACCCAAATCGCGGCCAAAGAGTACGGTCCAGAAAGCTAGGGTAAGGGATGAGAGTGATGAGGAGAGCGAGGTAGGAGGAGAGGATGTGGAGGAGAAGCCGAGGCCTAGATCGAAGGCCCGGAGGAATTAGGAGCACGTCCCGCTCCAACAACGCACTGCGCGGTAGAACTATGCAGTGTCAAGTGTCGAAGTCGTCACATACATAGAAACTCTCCAGACTGGGATGCCTGCGGTCCCATTATTACTCCTGAGGACCTTTCAATGAACCGCGAAATCCCCTCTAAAACAAGCACAGCCGTCTCGCTTACGTCCTTTCACCTCTTACGCCCTCCACGCGCACAAAGGAAGGATGCAAGATTTGTTGCACTAACAGGACACACCACCCTTCCCCCTCTGACACTTTTCTGCATATTTGGCTGTCATATACTGTACAGCGGGATATGGAAGAAGCTGAGACCGTCCCAACAGAAAATCAAACACCTCTTGCTAGTGAGGCAGCGCCTGGCCTCCCCCTCACCTGATTGGAAAGCTGATATCATCTAGAAGTGATGATTGTCTTGGTGGCATTGAGTACAGCGAACATTTTGCTGGTAGGAGCTTGTTCACTGGTTGGACGAGCCTCTAGATCACCTTTCAGGGATAAATGACGAGACGGAGATAGTTTGAGAGGGAGACTGTGGCAGAAACTGCACTAATTACTGGCATGCACCCTGAACCCGAGGCAAATTGATTACTGGATCCTTGAAAGATGGAACCCGTCATGTCAGTATGCCGGTCTCTGACAGCGACTCCTACCCAAGGGGAGAGGCTTGGCTGAACGGCAATCCGCGACCCACATGTACAAGATTGGAAGCGTTTCGTCTCAGCGCTAACCGGTAACAGTTCATGATGACCCGCGAAACATTGATCAGGGCTTAGTGAACCAGTGCGCGTCTGCCTGATTCAAGCAGAACAACTGAAAGGATGTGTGCCATGTTCTTTTCACAACCCTCTCCTTGGACTTCACTCCAGGAGATACGCGCGAACACGGACACTAGTGGAGCATAAACCGAAGTTGTAGAAGTCCCTGTAGCATACCATCCGTCATGGTCTCGGAACAAGCTACAGGTGAGGGTTTTCTCAGTCATTGGGATGGTTCAATCACTAATACTGCACATTGCTCGATCCTGTCTTCAGCAGGCATCACTGCCACTTTGGCAATCTTGGTTGTCCTGACGTTGATCTGGCTCTACATGACGAAACGGAAACGATATGTCGAAAGTATCCTGCAGAAAGAGAGATGCTTCCGATGTGGTGGACGATTGGATTACGGTAATGAGAGAAACGAGGTGCGGCTCATGGTTCATGGTCATCCTGACGGCGAACATGCAATCTGGAGCCGCTTCATGTTGATTGGCTCGGCCAAGAAGAAAAGTTGGGAACAGGAGACGGTTGTGAGGAAGTGATAGGAGATCGGGAGGAGAGGATGAGACGTGGTGCCGTGCTTCGAGGCCCTCAGTCTCGCATGATTGTCGTTGAAAAGCTCAGATTATACGTAAGACGGCAGGATCAGGAGCATGTCTGGTTTTCCACCGCTTTGATCCATCTACCAGAGCACGTCGTTTACGGTCCACTATGGATGTATAGAAATGAATGGATTGATGAATGAGCTTCGGAATGTAGTGTATGCACGTAGCTGGAACGTGTTGGGTATCTGCACATGTAATGGCAGTCTTGAATGAGGTCGTTGTATTTGCGATAAGCCGGTGCTTGGGGTTCCGCGTCTTCACATTCCGCTCAGAGCCGCTCAACACCCTCGAGTTTGGTAAGCAGTCGACTAATGTCATTAGTGTGTAATCTCTGTATCACAGCTCACTTGTAGTGATCGTGCATCTGTAGCAGATCAGCCCATAACTCTCCTCCATTGAAAACATACCTGTTGCAACCTTCCCTCGCGGTTTGATACGTGAATTCCGATTTGGAGGGCGAGCTCCCACCAGTGCTTGGCAGCCTCGTATTTGCGCATTCTCCGCTTCAGCCAACGTTTGAACTGGGGGCGTACGATACCATCGCGAAGCCCACATTCCAGGCGCTGGTCATCAGCCACTCAATTTCTTCTTGAGGATACGTCTGTCAAATCGTCAGGTCATGTGGCACAACAAATGCTACAGTACATGTATGTACACACCGTCGGCGGAGCCGTTTTGATCACTTCAAGAGCTTTTTTGACATACTCCATGACCCTTGTCTGGTCTCCCTCTGCATTTCTGAGACGGACAAAGTCCACTGCAACTCGCACCCATCTGCTGTATCCGACGATGCCCTCTGGTTTTGATTTGTCGAAGGTCTGAATGAGAGTCTGTGATGGTCAGAATTAGCTCTGAGCCTTGCGATCACCACCCACCCCCAGAACTTGACCTGTAACTGGCAAAAGAATATGAGTTGATACAGCATGTGAAGGCTTCAGCTCACTCTCAACTGGACAGTCTGGATTTCTGTTGATGATGTCCATGACGCTCTCCATCACCTCTACTGTGTTCTTACTGCCCTCCGTAGGCATCTGCACAGAACCGGTGAGCGCATTGACTGTGGCGGGACACACCGTCACAGCTCTCGCCACTGCATCCCATTCTCCGCTTGCCGCCAACAGCTCAACTTCGAAGATCTTCAGGGTTCCAAAGATGGTGGCGAGCTGCAGCCTCGAGACCTTGTCCTGAACATTCTTAAGAGCGTCGGTGACTGCATCTCGGCACACCGGGAGGTAGTTTCTCAAGCCTTCAAGTAGCTGTTTCTATAGTGACATTTGCGCTAGACCCACGAGGATGATATTTACTGACTCACCTTCTCTATGCCCGGCTCCATACTACGAAAGGAGAACACTGAATCATTAGTGACAGATTCATCGCGGATACTCACAATTGCCACAGAAACAAGTATACTTCGCGATGGCAACATATGTTGACCATCGGGGATCGATGCCTTCCGGTATCATGTCCATGAGCTATCGAGTGATGCTCAGCGTACCCCAAGTACGTGGCTGCTTACCTGCGCAGCGGTGTCGAAGATGCTCGCCACGACGGATTGGGAGCATGTTGCGATACTCTTGATGCCCATGTTGTATGCTGAAGTCGGTCAGGTTCACGTATCACAACGCCTGATTACCAGTCTTGGCGACCCAGGCAACATCTGAACCGTGCTGTTGGACAAAGTCGGGATCACTATAGCAGTCTTGAGTGACTGTATGGTTAGCGAGATCAGACTTTCCACGAACTGTTCTTGACAACCCCTTGGATGCGCTCGAACAGCTCCTCGTCTCTTGCAAGGCGTCAATCGGAAGGACTGTGTGTCAACTTACCCAGATGCCTCCTTCTCCACACCCTTGTAAAGCAGATGGATTAGCGCTCTGATAGCGTTAGCGGCAGCATCATTTTGTGGTGTCCCCGTACTTCGGCAGTTCCATCTTTGACAGGTACAACTCCTCCGAGAACTGATCGGCCATCGACAGCATCAACTGAATGCAGGCTATAAGCACTTGATCGTATTCGGATCGCTGAGACAACGACCTTGGTCGTGTTAGAATACACTCAATTTTGCACCTACGCCACATTGAGCAATTGATTTGCGCCCAGATCTTCGCAACTAGCCATTTTCTGGATCGCCTCAATGGCTGCAGAGATCAGTCGCAATGCTCTGAAGTCAATTGTACCTACCTACTTCTTCTTGACCTTGAACAATATCAGCGATCCACTCATTGCCCTCGTCTTTCACTCACCCATATTCAGCCCGATCAGGAAGTGTAGATAATATGTGGCAGCTCCTTCCTCTGGGCAATCCCTAATCTTGGCTTTGGCGCGGTCGTAGTCTCCTGCGAGAATATGGCACATCGCTGCCTTGCGCAGAATCTTGTCGGAATCGTCAACAGCCAGCACCGGATGAGCTGCAAGGGTGTCTGGACAAGAATCAGCCAACAGAGCAGACGGTTACAAGAACGTACACAACCCGGCCGCCTGGTTGTACCTTTTCTGCTCAGCCTCGACGAGGAGATCGGCAAGACCGTACAGAGTCTGAAGCTGCGTCAGCTACGGAGGGAGCAGCTCATGTCTCACGTGAGCACATGCTGTTCGCTCGATATCAGACATCTCCCCACTGTTCATCATGCCTGACTTAATGAGCTGGGTTCACTATCGGGAAGCCTACCGTCTAGCAGGCGTCCGACAAAGACTATGCAGCGCTCGGGATCCGACACCGCCCGGCCTCGAGAGGCATAGATTACATTGAGTAGGATGGTACCGGTAAAAGCCTTTGCGGGCTCATAACGTAAAGAGCTATTGAGGAAAAGCTCCATTGCCCAATCATGTTTGTCAACGCTGAACACGTACAGGGTCAGCGGTAAAGCTCAGTCTGGGCTTGTCACATAACAAACTCTTCCCGGAACCGGCTAATCTCAAACAGCAACCTAGCCTCAAAGTCAGCCGGATGGTCCAACCTTGCCTGTCAGCTCACGAGTGGACATTTTCCATCGACCAAATCATCGTATCGACCGCGAGTCGGAAGTCTGGTAGAGTTAATGAGCGTGGCACACCAGATCAACGCACGCTTCTTGAAATCATCCTCAGTGCCACCTCTCTCCTTGAGAAGCGACAAACTGTAGAGTGCAAGAGCATGTATGGATCGAGGATCCTGGTGTTGATCGGATCAGCGACGGCACACCGAGAGCTTCGTTTGAGGCAGACTGACTCCTTCGCCAATCATTTCTTGAAGACTTTGTACTGCTGCGTATCCTCTTTCAAGGGAGTCAGGGTCACCTTTGAGTCGATAAGCTTTGACTGAGAAATTGTCAAGCGAGGCTCCAGATTCTGAGTTTACTCATGGTATGGACCACCGAAATCTAAGCTCTTAGCTTCTCTCCACCACTGAAAGATTCGAACTGACTTCAAGCTCAAACCATCTAGCATCCTCCCCAAAGTCTTGCTGGAGCAGATTTGCAGCCTCAAGGCAAATGTGGGTCCATGCGAGGGCATCATCCAGATAATACAGCTGATCAGCACCTTTGAAGCACAGCTCTTCACTGATTTTCCAACAGTGATGCGCCAGCCGTTTGACCTGCTCAGAATCAGTTATTTATCCTTCCAAGGCCATACATCGGTGATGTTGAGCTGACCCATTCTGCGGAGATCTGGAAGCGAGTCATCCACCGTCCGGTCGGAAGTCTTACCGAGTGCTTTGCGAGCGATGGTACTGGCCAGTTGAGCGTTGTCCTCGTTGAAAGCCTGCGGAGCGTGAACACCGTGCACTTTTCTGTATATTCACAAAGTCGATTCGGACGAGGTAGAAGTCCAGAATGGAACCCAGTACTTCAGCAGTATCTGCAGAGTGTTTTCCGGACAGCACTGTCCTGATATCTTGCTCGAGCTGGTCATACTTTAGTCCCGATAAGGGCCAAAAGACCTCACCTCAGCCCCATGTGTCAACAGTTCTTCCAGCTTAGCCTTCTGGTTGGATGCTGAATCAAAGTCAGATCAGCGGCTAGTGCCTACACTCACCCATTACGGCGGCGGCGGTTCGGCTGAGAAGGTATAGGTCCCTCTGCACTGAGGAAGGTCTCAGTCGAGCAAGAAGCAGAACACTCACATTGACTAGGACGAGGCTTGGAGTCGCTAGCCGCTTCGATCATCTTGTAGGCAGTGAGACGCACTGTCGCGGTCATGTCAGCTCAGGAAATCAGTCCCTTTTCCATAACTCACCCTGCGCCGCGATATCGAGATCTTCCTTGATCTCTGCATTTCCTTCGTATCTCTTGCTTGCTGCTCGAGCTTGGTTGAAGATGGACACGCCTGGGTACATATGAGGATAGAATTCAGCGTAACCGGTGCCCTCGAGGGCCTTCTACTCACCCTCCGTATCGAGCCAATCTGCCTTCTGAGCATCACCATCCCCTCTCCCCCTCTTGCCCTTCCTTCGTCCTCCATAAGCTCCCACAGTCGTCTGAACGGCACTCAGTGCTTCTTTCAGGCTCTCCACTCGGTCGGATGGTGTTGTCGAACTGACAGGCAGGTAGATGAGGAGAGGTCTGAGATGCTTCAGAGCCTCTAAATAGGAGAGATTCAGCATCAGCTCGCTTCAAAACGTATCGGATCGTTGGGGCACACCTTGGATTGGCCCAAAGTAGTCTTGCGGCATGTTTGCCGGCTTGCAGACAGTTTGGACGTGTGGTTGCCGAGTGAGGTACAGTGTTAAACACATTGTTAGAAGTCAAGGTCGTGGAACGAGGTTGACTGGACGCAAATCTGAAACGTCAGGGGTAAAAGGTCGGAGGTCTGTGCGAAATCATTCGCGTCGGTGGCTCGGGATTTGTTGCAGATTCAAAGCCGCTCTGGATCAGAAATGTTCCAGCACCTAATCTGAGCATTGCATGATATGTCAGAAGAAGAGGCCACTCCGTCATCTGTAATGTCATTACTGAGCCGTCCGACTGTCTAGCGGGTGCCTCGAACGGAATCGCGGCCGAGTCTCTTCATTTTGTGTAGATACATGCAAAACGGAAATTTGACTTTAGGAACACAACGCTCAAAGAGTGAGGAATGGTACAAAGATACGATGGAGTATGGTCTCAAGGGAGATAGCACAACGGGAAGAGGAGTACAAGGGTAAGAAGCCGAATAGGATGACAACTGATCGCTCGGTCGTCATTTTCGAAAAGGTGGTACAGAAAAATAATCGTACAATGTCGTGATGGGGCTCGCAAAGGTTCCTACTGATCAGCAATCTGCATGAGAGCCACGATGGTTCCGACAGAGCCCAACGCAACGCCAAGCATCATCCCTTTGAGCGTTGCGCCGAGTGTACTCTGTGGACCAGGAGCAGGAGCGGGATTAGGCGTAGAGCCAAGGGTCAGCTTGGCGACTTTGGCTGGAGGAGGCGTGATGCTGGGGCTTGCGAAGGACGATCCTTGGACGATATGGACCTGTTCTTCGTCCGACTCTAGAGATCTTTTCCGATTTTCAGGCGTGATGGGGCCGTCGGAAGATTCGTCAAACGAGTCACGTCGGATATGTCGTTGGGGCGCCGAAACGCTCCTGTATCTAGAACCTTGCGTCAATACGGGATGAGAATTACTCATTAACAGTCACTCACCGCCGCAAGAGCAATTTGATAGATTTGCTTTCATCAGGTTTGCTATCCCCGAAGCGTTCCACAGTGTCTGCAATTTCAGGGTAGGAGTTCCGGCTCATGTCCCATCGTCTCCATGCAGCTTTCATTTGATTGATATACGCTTCTTGATTGGGACCGGGCTCAGCAGCCCCTCGAACGAGCTTCCTGACCATTGTGACCAGGTCGCTGATGAGTATCGGGCGGTCGGATGGGTTGGCGGCGAGGAGACCATCAAATAAATCAGGTTGAATCCCATTTGGCTTATGGTATCCGAGCACTCGTTCCGCTTCATCACGATGCTTCTGCTCAATGAGGAGCATGATTAAAAGGTTGAGACCTTCCCTGGGCGGGTGTGTATCGACATCGACTGATGCTGCCCCAGTGACGCCGGTAAGAGTGTTGTCATTTCGGACAGATCCCTGTGGACGATGGGCGGCATAAGTCATGTCTGTGTCACATGGCAAGTCGGACAGTACGCGGTTTCTGATTATGTTCCGGCGGTGGCTGCTGCTTACGGAATTCCTTCTCGAGGTACGTCCTTGGGGAGCGTGATCGTCTGAAGCCATGCCAAATAAGCTTTCGTAAAGGTTCTGAACACTGTCCATGATATCACCGGCGTGATCTTCAGAGCACCTGCCCCCTACCCCTTCGAAATTGTCTCCATACTTGTCCGCTTCAGACGCGTGATCGTCGACTATGTGTTCTGGATCGACGTCAGGTCCACCATTTTCGACCGAGGCTGCTTGTGCTTGTTCGAACTGCGAGACATAATTGGATCCATGATGGTCCGCAGTCTCAAGAAGAAGATCGCCGAGACCCACAGCCGCACAGGGTTGTCGGGCAGCGGATCGGATGGGCGCTTCGAGACCAGAGGGATCGGAAACGTTTGATGCGGGTTGCAAAGGCCCAAGCGAGTCGGCATGGGATTGATCGGACACTGATCCATCAGAGATGCGAGATTCAGCGGATGTGACATCGGATCCATAGAGCAAACTGTCACTGATAGGGCTGTCTAGCCAGGAGACTTCCGAAGGGATTTCATCTTCGTATTCGTCTTCCATCTCCTCATCTGCTTCACTGTGCAGTTCATCATCGTCACTGATATAATCGTCTCCGGCACTCGATCCGTGCGAAAGTGAACGACCGTCAGCAGAATCATATTGATCGACTTCAACGGCTTGAGGTGAGCTGGCATTGACACGTGCGGCATCGGACTCAGGATCGTCCCCGGCGTCAGCCATGGGAGAAGCGGCATCGTATGCGCTGATATCCTGGTCTTCTTGAGGTCGCTCCAAAACGATAGGCACTACCTCGACAGGGAGCTCGATAATCGGAGCTTCTACCACCGGTTCTGATTGGATCAAAGTGACACGGATGACTTTGTCTTCAGCATCTTCGCTCGCACGAGAACGAGGAAGGTCTTCGTCCAACTCGCTCTGATAGAGGATGGAAGGAGGAACACCATATCCTGCATGAGATCGCTCTTGATCTGAAGATTCGCCTGCAGACACTCCATCGACAGAGACCAGTTCGACATGCTGAGTTGCGCGCATAGCTTCTCCCCAGAATGCAGGATCGTCTTCCGAGTCCGCCACCGAAATGGCGTCTTCGGCCTTGACTTCTGCTTTCATCTCTATACCCGAGTCTGACAGGCATACTGGCTCCTGTCGTGTGCCTTCAGTCTGTGCGATGTATCGACGAACTTTGCTCGAGACGCCAATGATGGTATTAGTAGTCTCCGCGAAATGTCTCAAAGCCCAAGCCTTTTCGACCACCCCCATTGATTTCCGACCGTTGGGGGCGCGAGGCTCTCCGAATTGAGGACATCGGAAATGGATTGTCAATCGAAGTGGCTCCAGAATGCCAGTGGCGGTTGTGATGGATCGACCAAGAGTGATGACATCGCCGTCAAGTAGCTGGACAGGGGCGAAAGGGAGTATTGACATTTTGCGGCCGTTCAAAAGCTTATAATTGGCATCTGAGGCGCGATCGGCGTGCAAAATGGTGGTTCCATGTCGCGAGCCCAAGTCGGTGAGGTAAACGTGACCCTTGTGGGTGACGTTGAGACGAGCATGAGCGCGCGAGATCGAAGAGATGTTGAAGTCCTACAATGCCTTCAGACTAAGCTCAGCAGTGTCCACTTACGCCTGAATCCTCTCGAATCTCCAAAGCGCTAGCCTTGCGACCAAGGATCAATCCATAGTCAATAGATCTTTCTTTCTTGGCATCGGCGTCCTTTGCAAACAGAATATCAGTTCGGCGGTCATGCAGTTGCGTAAGACAGTCGAGAGTGATCCTTCGGATAAGAGCGTTATTGATACCGGATGCTGCCTCGGGAGTGAGTGAGATGAACCAGTCTGTGAAGGGATGTCAGTCAATGTACCTGAATGGGGGTCGTCAAGAGTGGCACAGGGTGGCAACAGGTGAAAGCGTGAGGTGAAGATGCAGTGGTGCCCAAGAGCATATCGTGCGACAATCAATGGAGGCATATGAGTAGTAGCGAACCTCCCTCTTGACACTCGTATACCCCATCATTCACGAGACAGACCTACCTTTGTGCTCTGGCATGGTTGCGGCGGTCGTAGAGATAAGATGGTCTTAGCGGCGGGATCGATAGCAGAGTCCCGCCAATCACGCCGTAAGACGTGAGGGCGTCTCTATGGTGGCCTGAGATGCCCCTTAACTATAGTGGTGAACGAATGTCTATGATGAATGCAAAGACGTGTTGGAGGGAATGGAGGTGAGACGTGAGAGCGATAACTTGACTCTGATCTGAGCGGCAACTCGGCTAGACCCGGGAAGGGACGCGGACTGAGCGGGAGCAATTAATTCACAAAGGGTAGGACTGTTTAAAGGTGCCACGTGATCAAGTGTGGGTGGCACGCACTGGGAGCGGTCAGGAACGAAAACTGGATGCATGTACATGTAGTGAGCTCCTGCCCAATATGAGACCACTTGTGAAGGTCTGTCTAATGTACTCGGAACGCGATATACAATGTGACTGATCTGCAGCGGCACCCTCCGCACGATTGTACTCCCGGAGTGAAGTTCTCCCGTCCAGCTATCAAGAAAAAAAAAGAGCAACTGGCCAGCTGGTAGGGCTAGGTCAGATTACTCAGGCACGGGCAGGATGCGTGGGCTGTGAGGTCAGTCTGGAGTTATAGGCAGCGGCATATGCAGGGCGTGAGCGTAGGTGTCGTGATCAGGAACAAGAGTGCGAGAAGGGCGCTGGAGAGAGCGAGAGGAAGATGTGTGAGTGGCGTATTATGGAAAAACAGGCAAAAAAGCAGCAGCAGAATTCACTGAAATTGGCTGAGAATGGTAAGAAAATAGGACGCGGCAGTCCCGAGTTCAGTAAGGGTGGCGAGGAGGTTGTTCAGGCAGAAGGGCACGAGAAAGGGACATCCGACATGCCATGCAGGGGCTGCGTGTAGGATGCAGAGTGAACGAGGAGAAAGAAGGGCGACACACAGAGAGAGAGAGAGAGACACTAGCGATGATGTGCATATGATCCTACTAGGAAAAAGAAACGGAAGATCTCCGTCTTTTAATAGCTCACGCCGGGTTGGGTATCTTCTTCTTTGTTCTTCACCTTTCACTTTTGTTCTTCGTTTCCCTCCCCCCTCCTGCAGCAGGCTCGCAAATCATCCGACCCAGCCAGCCAGCCAGCCAGCCACACCTAGGTCGGTGAGGTAGGTGGTGAAAGTCTTGAGCGGTTTTGGCCATCGAGATCGGAATCTAGGGTTAGAAGAAGATCAGTACGGTCACGAGGCACATCACAGCGTCTACTTGAACGACGACGACAGTCGGGCCTCACAACTTTTTATCTCACCCTTGGCACCCATGAGCCACTAGTCTGGCCTCGTGAAATAGCAGACAAACTCACGCGACTTTGGATCTTCAGTCCTTCAGTGTCAGTTGTTCTCTGCCTTTGGACCTCTCCGTGCCTTTCAACTCCCCATCTGGCTGTCTCATTCAACATTCCTTCTACGCCCACGCCCATTTCTTCCATTATTCGGTTCGGCTCCGCGCCTCTCTTCCTCTCTCTCTCTCTCTCTGTGTGGACCTCTTTTCTCCTCCCGCTTCACTTCATTCGACAAGAAAGGTCAGATACCTAGGAGCATACTTGATCATTTGATCTTCCCTCCCCATCTCCTCAACCTCCTTTTTCTGCCATCTGTTGCCACATAACTTTCCCCTCTATCATGTCGTCGCATCAAGAGGGCTCGACCGCCCCTCCTTCGGCTACTCTCGGACCGCCATCATCGACTGCTTCTTCATCCTCCTCATCATCACAACCTAAAAAGTTCAAATTCGACCCCATGTCTATGCTACTGCCTCATGAGAAGAAAATGTACGCTGCAAAGGCCGCTACAGGATCTCAAGGAGGCGTAGCGACGGGGTACACCATGGGACAACCCCAAGCTGGGACGTATGTGCCTTCAGGTGAGCATTTTGGCGCGCGATCTCCTCCCCTTCCTTCCCTCCCTTTCCATCCCCTCTCTCGGGTTGGCTGAATTGACACTGGCCTAGCTCAAAAATCTTACTTTACACCCCGACAATCTAGCGATTTGCCATTATCTCCCGCCGCATCCAACGTCTCTACTCCCCCTCCACTGTTTGAAACACCCGTTTATGGTGTCAGCACGATCCCAGATGGTCCGCCGTCTTACATGTCCGCCGCATCTTCACGCTCGCAGTCTCCCACTGCAACGTCTAGACACGCGTCCAGGTCTTTTGGAAGACCTCCATCTCCCCATTCGTCAAGGCTGGAAGATTGGGAGATTGTGGAAACGCTAGGAACAGGAACATTCGGCCGTGTGCTATTGGTCAGACAACGTCCAACTTATCGCCCCACGTCGTATCATCCCATCTTCCCTCATCTCTACCAAACGCTTGATCCTCACACGCCATCGCCTTCGTCTACCTCTCATGCGGACGGTCAACTCCCTCACTTTGCCATGAAGGTGTTGAAGAAATCCGAGATTGTCCGCCTGAAGCAAGTCGAACATATAACTTCGGAACGACGCATTCTCGAAGCTATACGGCATCCATTCATCGTCGAACTGCACACGACCTATCAGGATGAGATCAACGTCTACATGCTTCTATCCTACGTCCCAGGAGGTGAACTTTTCTCACACCTCCGACGCGCGGGACGGTTCTCCGCCGACGTCACGCGATTCTACCTCGCTTCCATTGTCCTTGCCATCGAATACCTTCACTCGCACGATATCATCTATCGTGATCTCAAACCAGAGAATCTGCTCCTCGACAGAGTCGGATACCTTCGCATCACCGATTTTGGATTCGCCAAAATCGTTGAGGATCGCACGTACACTCTGTGCGGAACACCCGAATACCTCGCACCGGAAATCGTCCTTTCTCACGGACATGGGAAAGCTGTCGACTGGTGGGCTCTCGGTATCTTGGCTTTTGAGATGCTCGCCGGTTACCCTCCATTCTTTGACGATCATCCATTGGGCATCTATGAAAAGATTCTCCGCAACGAAGTGGCTTTCCCGAGTCATATTGATCCCTACGCCAAGGATCTCATAAGAGGGCTGTTGACTGCCGATAGAAGTAAACGTCTAGGCAATCTCAGAGGAGGTGGCAGAGATGTCATGAAACATGCTTGGTTTGCAGGCGTAGACTGGGGTACTTTGGAGAGGAAGGAGATTGGTGCGCCAATCGTCCCTCGAGTCGCCAGCATGGGTGAGCCTGCATTCTGATGGACATGACATGGCCAATTGCTGATGATGATCACTCAGGCGATTCTCAGAACTTTCAACGATACCCTCCGCCTCGACCGTCCGAGTTGCCGGGAATCTTTGGACAACCCTATGATTCCACAAAAGATCAAGCTTATGGCAATATATTTGCTTCTTTTTCGTTCCCCAGTACAGGGTCTCTGGCCAGGGATGACTTTTGAGCGAGCGTTTAGGGGATGCTTGTGCGTTGTATACATATGTGTAGATGCTCCTTGTGTGAGGTGGTGGTCGTTCTATGCAGCTGCCCATGTTCATTCACTCACGGTGATAGTGGAGCATGATGATGATTAATTGTCACGCTGAACACTGGTCCCTGTGACGTCAAAAGAAAAGAGAACACAGTCGCGGCGAATATTATGCATACCAAGCTGGCTCCAAGGTATATTAGGTGCCAACTCGAATTTACAGCAGCATCACTACATCTTTCATCTCACCTCACCTCGTTCATTTTACATCTTACAACATGAACACTGTCGGCGCAATCCTATCCTCTATGCCTGCTGATCCAAGAATGGCTCCAGGCTCATTATCTCAGGCTACGGCTACCCCACACGGTCCAGCAGGAGCGACAGCTCAGACTTCGGGCTTTGTGGAGGCCAAAAGTGGGGACGGTACCCATGTAACTGGCGTATCTTCTACCAAGCCATCGACAAGTACAACGACCTCTTCCTCTACGAATCAGTCAACCAGTCCAGGAAGCTCTCTTCTTGCTGAAGCAGAAGCTCGCTTTTCATCCATCTCAGCAGGCATCGGTTCATTCTTATCCTCTGGAGGATCCGCAGATGGTCATCCCCCTGTCTTACCTGCTGGTCACTCTACCACAGGCTTCTTGACAGGTTTCAACCCATCTCTTCAGCCAGGTGGAGGTCTCGCTACGAACCCTCTGGTACCTAGACCTGGGGAGAGCATAGACCCAGCAACGGGTAAACCTCACCAAGCTGGATTGACCAGAGCTCAGTTGGAGGCTAAACGAGCTGCGGAAGCTTCTGGAGCGTCAATCGCCGCGAGCTCCATGAGTGGAACCGCCAGTGGATCGGGCACTCACCTCGAAGACCTCAGTGGGAGAGAACAAGCCGCAAGACAATTGACAGGCACTGTACCAGTCCCTGCCCTTGCTCCTGCGCCAGCACTCCCAGGTGAGTCTAGCGAGGCTTGAGATCCAGCCGTCACTGACGATCTTTCAGGTACGAGAATCGGAGCGCCCATCGATCCTGCGGGCGCCAATGGCACAGGACACCACTCCGTCCTTGACGATGTCAACCATGGTCTTGAAAAGGTCGTCGATATGTTACCTCAGGGCCTCAAAGAACGACTGGCGGGAGTCAACGACCCCAAAGGTAAAATGTCAGAAGCGGAGCGAGAGAAAAGGTTGAGTGCGCAGGGTATGTCTCTTTCTGGCAGTATGACTTGATCCCTCGCTGATGTTCACACGTCAGGGATCCTCGAATCGGCCAGACAACAAGGTGGCAGGATCTTCCAAGATTTCAAGGAATCATTCAACGAGGACTTCAGATCTTCACCCAAAAGTGACAAGTCGGGTGCAGGAAGCACCGGAGTCATTGCAAGTGTCAAAGAGCTTTGGACAGACGTCACTGGTCCAGGAGCTGGGAACTTGTCAAAGGGCCCATCAGGTGGGTCCATAAGGCGTCTTCAGCGTTCGCTAATGATCTAGTCTTCACTCATGTGCCACCCGCCGATAAGCTCACCGCGCAAGCTGCTGCCCATTCTGGAGGCGTCGGAGACCTCCCTGGCAAGCCAACAGAGGCGGGTGTTGCCGTTCTACCGGACGAGAAGGGTGAGTGAGAGGTCAAGGGAAGCGCTGACTGTCAGTCGCAACGGAGAAGGAGCAACGATTTTTGCCAGGAGAAGTGGCTGGAGGCAGTAAGACTGAGAGCGCCGCTGGTGAGTCCGGCTCAAGTATCTGACCGTAACCGATATCTGACATTTCGTCAGACAAGGCCGTCCCGATCGCTGCGGTCACAGCGGTGGCTGCTGGATCAGCCGTCGGCGCCGATGCAGCCCTCGCACCACCTCTGCCAGCTACGACGCTAGGTTCCGGAGCTGCACACGGAGCGACGGACCTCGACTCGGTCGCAGGTGTCTCCACGGACAGTGCCACATCGATTGAACCTGCCACAGCTCAGCGTGTTGGCGCGCTTGATGTTGCGCCCAGAGGAGAGCGATCAACCTCGATGGCCAGCGTCACTGCAATCAGCAGAGGTCACGAAGGTGTCCGTCATTCGACCACTTCCTCACCTCTAGCCAACGATGCCAACGTTTCAGGACCTAATGACAATTCCTTGGCAACGGGTGCGGCTGAAGGCGCTGGAGTCGCAGGTGCGACGGCACTAGTTGGCAGTCTTGCACTCAAAGACTCTGCTCCCGGCCGTCATGAAGATGGAGTCGGGCATCCTTCGACCCGAGCACCCGAGACGACTAGAGAACCTGGGTCGTATCCCAAGGCAGACTTGAGCGGCGAAGCGGACCACGATCACAAGCCAAGCACGATGACCTCGACCGAGAGCAAGAATGCCACCAGCACCGCGAGTGCCGCTGGTGGACTTGGCCCCGCGGGAACCGTCGCTCCTGATTCTGATCGTGCCCAGACACAGACACCCACTACGACCTCGAACCAAAGTCACACAACTGCTGGACACGATGGAAAGAGACGAACGTCTAGCGGTGGATCCAGTAAGAAGAAAGTTGGGTTCATGAGCAAGCTCAAGGGAGAGATCAAGGTCATTTCGGGAAAGTTGGACCACGATAAGGAGAAGGTTGAGGCGGGAAAGCGAATGATCCACGGAGGTGAGTGACGATGGAAGCGCTCGACATCGTCCCTCATGTGCTGACGAGTGGGATCTCAGAATGAGCGGCAGGTAGATAGCCTGATACACGGTAGAATAATGAACTTTGTTTCTTGTGTTTTCGTCATCCCAAGAATGCATTAATACCTCGACGAATCGTTATACAAGAACCTATGATCACTGGTCCATCGCTCTTGTGAGCTTCTCCAGACCTTCCTGATCCGACCGCTGCATCATCTCTGATACGGAGTCGACCGACCCACCACCACCCCCATCCCGCACGCTCATAGTCGATGCACCGAGGTTGGTCGTCGACTTTGATAGACTCGCCTTATCATCGGATGTGACTCGATTGACCGCCCATTGGAGGTATGCCTGTCTTCCCATTTCCCAAGCTTTCGTATTAGATCCAGTGGGTTGAGCCTTACTCTGAAGCGGCTCGTCCGTCAATGGCTGGAGGGTGTCGTGTAAGGAGGAGAGGAATTTGACAATCTGCTCAGTCTTCTCGGGTAAAGGTGACACTGTACGGGAAAGGGAAAAACGTCAGCGGGATCGTCTCAACGGTCGGAAGACAAAATAGAGAATCTCACATCCTGACGATGCCAAGACTTGCTTCACGAAGCCTACTTCTGCTTGTCTCTGTTTGAGGATTTCTGTTTTACGATCCAGAGCTTGTTCAGCGAGAATCAGTCGTTGAGCAAGTAGGCGGGCCTTGCAATCCACCAGGATCAGTTAAATTATCTCCTCTCGAAACACGAAAGGCCCCACCTGCTCAAGCTTTGTCCGTGAGCCTTCCAACGACTCGGTCAATGAATCCAACCCATTCGTCTGGACGACATGTGCTGCTCGATCGAAATCGAGTCCTTCTTGCCATGGCTAGAGCGAATCAGAACGAGGGCCGGTCTAAGAATGATAGCGGCTCACCAAGACGACCTCGACGTTTGGCGGGATATCAAACGTGTTTCTCAATGCCCACGCTGTGAATTTATCCATGGCTTTATCAACGTGACTTTCGAGAAGCGTTTCAATCGCCACAAGGCCCTGTACCCAAAGTCAATCACGAACATGAAAATCTCAACCTGAGCACACGTACCATGTTCATCTCTCGTTCAAGTTTGTTAGGGTCACCGTCTCGTTGCCTGTATTTTTGTTCTGCCCAGTGTTGTAGGGTGTTGGTGATGAGCACAGGGACTTCCAACACCCGTTCAGTGAATTGATCGCAGACTTCTCTGGGATGAAAGCACACCAGCTAGGCAGGTATAGATCAGCAAAAGGACTGAAAAGTAACGCGTAGAGCTCACATCATGCAAAAAAGCCTCTCGATCCTCTTCATCCAACTTGATTCTCTCCCTTTCTGATGGCTGGTAATCTGGCGTGATGCTTTCCGGTATACTAGGACCAGGAATGACAGGTAGAGTGGTTCGACTACTTTCTCCCGCTTTCTGAGGTACCTCAGAGACCCTGGATTGTCGAGATGCTTTGGTCGCAGACTTTCGAGGTGGCATCTTGTGGAATCTTGTGCAAAGTAAGAAGGAGAAGGATAGACCTCGAGTCCAATGTTTACAATCACGTCTAGGACGCGGGAGCGGAAGCAAATATTCTCGACTGACTTTTTGTGACCGCTCGAGATTCCGGCGAGGAGGCCTCAGGTCAATAATGTCATTGAAGCTGGGTCGGGTCGTTAGCATTCGACGTTCAATAAAGATTCGAGCATAAGTCTCTGCAGAAAGATCGAGGCAGAAGGTAATTCTCTCTCTATCTCTTTGGCGTACACCTGGCTCGACAGCTAATTGAACGCAGACGCGCTCTGCCCTCGGCGCGATGAGACTTACCAGACCCAACTGGGTCAAGCATACCGGTAAGCAAGGGACTCGCACGCGGAATCTGATGTGGTGAACAGACGACAAGGACCGGCGCTCGCCCATCTTCAGTATATCAGTGCATCCAGATGGTACCCGCTTAGCTACTGGAGGCTTGGGTGAGCTTGAATTCGTCCTCGCACCTCTCAGCTCATACTTGCCTAGACAAAAAGGTCAAGATATGGTCGACGTTACCGATTCTGGACAAAGAGACCGACGAGAATGAAGCGAATCACAAACTGCTATGTACGATGTCTTCGCATACGGGTAGGCTACCAACATCGCAAAGCGCCATTGCATACATTGATGTGCCACAGGATCCGTCCTGGCGGTCCGATGGGCTCACCATGGCCGATTCTTAGCGAGTGGATCCGACGACACGGTCATTGTCATCTGGGGTATTGACCCGTGAGCCCCTCTAAAGCTGATTGTGTCTGACAATTCCGCAGGGACGGCGGAGGCCGAGTGTTCGGCTCAGACGAAGTCAACGTGGAGAACTGGAAGGCATTGACGAGACTTGTCGGACATACTGCAGGTGAGCTGGACAATGTCTATATAAAAGACTCACGTCATAGATATTATTGATCTTGCTTGGTCTCGGGACGACTCTATGATGGCTTCTGTGGGTCTAGATAAATTGGTGTGGATCTGGGATGGCCAGTCATTCGGTGAGCTCTCCGATCACAAAGAAGGAGCTGACCTTTAGATCGATTACGCAAAATCGATTTGCATGGAGATTTCGTCAAGGGCGTCTGCTGGGATCCAGTCGGAAACTTTCTCGCCACTCAGGTGAGATCTGCGCATCTAGGGCCCAGTTTACAGCTGACAACGCGAAGTCTGACGATAAGACGGTCAAGATTTGGGATACTGCGAATTGGAATCTCGTGCACAGTGTCTCTGCGCCATTCAAGAACTCTCCAAAATCCACGTTCTTCAGGCGTCTGAGGTCGGTTAGAAACTCTCCATATGTCCACTCACATCTGCAGCTGGTCACCGGACGGCGCGTTCATCGCTGCCTCCAACGCTATGAACGGTCCTGTATTCGTCGCTGCAGTCATTGAGCGAGAAGGATGGAATGCAGATATCTCGTTTGTGGGACACGGAAATACCATTCAAGTGGCGGTGAGTGGACTCGAAATGATCATTCACTGACTAGCAGGCTTTCAATCCCCGATTATTCTTTCGTGAGGGAGATGACCCCGGACGAGCAACCGCCTCTTGTATGCTGGCTCTCGGTGCAGACGATTTCAGTATCTCCATCTGGCGAAATACATTGCACAAGCCAGTGGTCGTTTTGGCAGATGTTTTCAACCGACCATTGTTGGATCTCTGCTGGTGAGATAGTCCCGATGACCCAAACTTACGCTCAGGGCGACCGATGGACATCAGCTGTATGGCTGCTCTGCAGATGGCACAATCTGCGCTATCAGCTTTGACGATGCGGAATTGCCAGAGTTGGCCGAGATCGAGAAGACTGAACTGGTGCTCAACGAGTATGGCTACAAGCCAGTGCGGAAGAGTGTCCCTAGACCTATACAGTCTCAGACTCCCGTCAACGGATTCGGACCTCAACCTTCTGGCAGCCATGTCAACGTCATTCAACCGCGGAAGGGCAAATCTAAGGCTCAATCTCTCACTTCTCAAAAACGTCGCGTCGAATTGGGTGGCTTTGGACCTCCAGCCGATTCACACGATGCATTTTCATCTGGTCAACTTCAGCCTCTCGGTTCAGGTCAAGATCATACGGCGAGAATGTTTGAAGATGCACACGCTGCCTTTGGCGACAACTCAGCAGGTCCGTCGAATCTGGGTCAAAAACGGAAAGCGAGTCTATCGAACGATGATCATCGGCAATATAAAGGTCGCACAATGGGTTCTTCGCGATCCGACGTCGACGTCAAGGAAATTCGAGCGCCGCGGGTGGTGGTCAGCGGGGATGGCAGTCGAGGTCGGACATTGCCAGTGCCTCGAGTGCAGACTTTGCTCCGCGTCAAGTCGACATACGATGAGAGTCTGTACCTCGAAGCGGAGAACTCAGAGGACGCCAAAGGCAAGACGAGAGTCGCACTCAGTCAAGACGGACAGAATCAATGGCTAGACTTTATGCCGGGGCCGGTCATCGCCATGGTCCTCTCGGAATCGTTCTGTGCCGTCGGCTGTGAAGATGGGATGGTGATGGTGTATTCACCGGCTGGGAGACAGTGAGTCGCTCAACGGGCCTCCAGCTGATGTTCCAGTCTGTCCAGCATAAAACTGGACTCGTCGATCGCCGAGATGACTGGGAATCGTGATAAGCTGTTTGTCATAACTGCTAGCTGCACTTGTCACATTCTGTGAGTGTTGGCAGAGACCCATCGCTTACGGGCAAAAGCGACGTAAAATCTGGAAAGTCGCTTTTCCCTCCCGTTTCCATGTCCCATCTGCTAGGCGATCATAACATCTCCTCGATCTCCGTTCGACCTCACGGTGTGCCCATCATCACCACCTCTCACCCCTGCGCATACGCCTACGACACCATGCGCGACGCTTGGACACCCCTCACCTCTTCATGGTGGTTAGAGTCATCTCCCTTGGCTGATCGTCGCTCACGTCCGGGTCCTTCGGGTCCGCTCGCCGATATCGAAGGTGAAGTGTCGAGACTTTGGAAAGGAAACCAGATATCGGAGGGGGAGAAACCCGAATGGTGGGACGTGGCGCTCGAGTTGGGTCATTTGGAGAGCAAAGTCAGAGCGGCAGAGCTACTACAAAGTAAAGAGGAGTACAAGTTCTGGTTGATCAGAGTTGCTGGAATCTTGGGACGAGAAGGGTTCAGAGCGCGTGCAGAGGAACTGATCAAGGATCTGTTAGGGCCATTGTACAGGTATGTCTGTAGGGTGCCCGGGAGTACTGACCCCGCCTAGTCATCCTGGACGAGATGCTTGGGTATCAACAGTTATTGGGTTACAAAGACGAGACCTGCTCAAACAGGTTCTCACAACGTTTGGTATGTCCGCTCATCGTATCTTGCTGACGAGATGGTGTAGCTCAAAGTACCTCGTTGTCGGGCTTGGCGCAGCATTATCAGGGCATCATGAAGGAGATTGCAGCCGAAGCTAGCGAGTTGTAAGCCGGGGTCCCTTCGTGCGAGGGTCAGGCACACGTTGCGCGTATGAGTCGCGTGAATGTAGCATGCAACGTACATCATGCGGCATGCCGTATATCGCGTTATCGAACAGGCACCAAAGGATGGGTCAGGCATCCAATTCTTGATATAAGTTGTGGCTCCTACATCCCCTCTTCTCTTCCGTCATCTCATTCTGTCGCTCTCGTCAACTCCTCCCTCATTTCAGCCCCCTAGACATCTCTGCCGCTGGTGAACCTTACATCACTGCACCACAGGACCACTCCATTTATTTACGATCAGCATGAAGTTCACCGTCATTCTCACCCTTGCTTCTCGCGTCATCCCCTGCGTGGTCGCTGGTCCCATCCTCCTTGGACTCTGCTACTCTGCATGCAATGCTGGATACGTATCGTGCTTGGCTGGTGCACGTGAGTTTAGCTGAGATTCATCGCTGAAGACACCCCGCCAGCACCTGCCGCTGTGGCTTGCTCGGCAGCCCAAGGAGCATGTATGACGCTTTGCGCTGCAAGTCTTGTTACTCCTCTTCCTTGAGTGGTGGGTCGACTATCGGACGGATTTCATGCTGAGTCTGTATAGCTGGGATGCTTCATTCAGTCAAGGGACGAAATCAGTACGGGAGATTTCCGTCATCGTACAAAGTCAGCGAGAGATGATAGACTCCATGCAATATGCTTGTATTATACAGATAAGACACAATGCTCTCACGGCTCGACTTTGACGCCCATAGACCTACAGCTTCCCAGTACACTCCTCGCCACGGATTCCAACTTGAGTCCTGACAGTCCCGGATCTGTCGCTTTGATCTTTGCTATCTCATATAGGTGTTTGAGTGAGATCTTTCCAATCGTCTCGGAACCTCCAGCTTTGCCCGAACCTTTTTCGATCCCCGCCGCCTGTTTGATCAGATATGAGACGGGCGGTGATCTGATTTCGAAGGAAAAAGTACGATCGGGCTGAACAGTGATGAGACATGGTACAGGCGTATCGTTTATCAGGTGAGCCGTCCGAGCATTACTGCTATTAGCACAAGTTGGAAAGAGAATAGCCCTCACAATTCTTTACAGAAATCTATGGCTTTCACACCTTTTGAACCGAGCGCAGGACCAACAGGTGGTGATGGAGTAGCTTTGGAAGCCGGAACCGTGAGGCGCTGAACATTAGCAGGACTCATATCTTCTCAAAGACTCACCACTATAGATGCCGCCGCTGCCTTTGCCTTGGACATGTTGATGGTATGGGATGATCCTCAGACATTTGAATGAGGATTTCAGTCCAACAAACCTCTCGGCGGAATCAAAATTTCAGGATGCGAAGCACTTGGAGCCCCGCCATTGCTTAAATGTCGGTCAATGATGCTTCGGGTTGAGCAGCGTGATTCCAAGCCTACATCGAGACCATGTCTGACGTGTTTCGACAGTCCGTACTGAACAGGCTCCCTCAAGAGGCTACGAAAGCTCCTTGGTCTGAAGATGAGGAACAAAAGGAGGAATTAGATGAACTGGGATCGTATGTCGCCGGGTATACACCATGTTGCTGACGAATAGTCTACCAGGTTCATCAAAGAACAGGGATCTCTCGCCATTATCAGCTGCAGGGTATTTCGACCAAGCGCTCGAGGTGGAGCCACCAGGAAGCGATACGACGTTCAGAGTCTACGTTTCAGAGCCGACGACCAAGGACAAGACATACCTTGTCTGTCATCATGGTGCCGGGTCTGGAGGACTCAGCTTCGCAGCGCTTGCAAAGTACGTCCGGGAGGAGAGTAAGAGGGAGCTGGGACTGGTGGCTTTCGATTGTCGGGGACATGGTAAAGTGCCCTTGGCAAGCATTCGAGCTAACGACTTAGGCAAGACGAGAGGTGGCAATGACACTGATTGGTCCCTTTCAACACTAGTCTCGGACTTTATGGGTATCATCGACCACATGTTCAAAGAGACAAAGCCCGCGTTTGTGGTGAGTCGCTCTGGATAGCAACTGCTGAAGAAAGCTCCTCGGGCACTCTATGGGAGCTGCACCCGTTATCTCTGCAGCACCTCTCCTGCTGCAGAAGGGGTACACGGTATCTGGAGTGGTTGTCCTCGACGTAGTAGAAGGTGAGCTCTCATGAAGACGTTGCTGACCATCAGGCACCGCAATCGAATCACTACCCCTGATGAAGTCGATATTGGCCAAGCGACCGACTTCATTCCGCTCAGTTGAAGATGGCATATATTGGCAGTGAGTTATGCATTGTAATCAAACCTGACTCTAGCGTCGCTTCCGCTACTATACGCGATACGGAATCTGCACGATTGTCCGTGCCGGCCTTATTGGTCCCGGCGCCAAATGTGACGAATCCAGGACCCCAGAGCCGTCAAGTGTGGCGAACAGACTTGGGGGCAAGTGCTCCATATTGGTCTGGTGAGGAGACATCACGAGAGCGATCGTCACTGATTCTGCAGAGTGGTACACTGGCTTGAGTAGCCGCTTTTTGATGTCCAAATGTGCAAGGTTACTCGTCCTGGCGGGACAAGAACGGCTGGACAAAGAATTGATGGTTGGACAAATGTAAGTGAAGAATCCGAATCCGACTTGACGTATTAGGCAGGGGAAATTTCAGCTCGAAGTCATGGCGGATGTCGGGCACTACCTTCACGAGGTAAGCAATGACGCCTGCAGGTAGGAGCTCATTCGCAGGACAATCCGCGGAAATTGGCCGCCATTGTCGTCGCGTTCTGGCGAAGGAATACAAGGATCCTTGTGCTGCCCCCGAAGATGGGATCGCAGGGTGTGGTGGTGAAAAAGGTTGGGGAGATGTAGACAGATTCTCATCGGGGCCTTGCCGGCGAAATGAATATAGCTTCGAGGATGATCGGCAGGGGCGAGGAATACGACGGTGGAGCTTTGACCTGATTGTCAGGGATGAGGCAATGTCAAACTCACCTTTCTGGCCAGTCTCGAATCATCTCCATCCAACCATCCAACTACACAGACCCATTCGCCTCGGTCTAAAGACAATGGCTCCCGATTGACAGGCCCGCGTGCCTCGCATTTCTGGGTATTGAGCGCGGGAGATAGACCAAGCAGAGGAACAGAAATATTCACAAGGATGGTCGGAAGTGGCCGCACCTCGCCAGCTGTGAGCAACAGAAGCGAAGACCGAGCATCGAATGCGAGAATTCTGTTGTCAGTGGTATTGCCTGGAAATGCAACTTACTGTCCGATGAGCCGCAACTTTTTTCCCCTGTGAGTCTCGGAAACGTTCGCCAGTGGGATATGCAGAGCAGATGCGATCAGGTCGCTAGGAGGAGCGGGCGGCGGTAGTATCACCGAGTCCATCGTGCTTGCGATGCTGAAATGTTGAAAACAAAATATAGGAGGATAGAGGCTGAAACCCCGGTTCCACTCACTACATGTTACGTCATCATCTCACGAGCTATGACCACCTCAGCGGCGAATTCGACATTGTTCGTTGTAGACCTATACTTACTTGACCGCGATGAGCAGCATGGTGGCCCAGGCTGGGTCACCGCTCGGGGACTACTTCAAAGGTTAGCGACATGAATGATAAGAAACCTGACGAGCAGATGAGGGTGATGAGGTCCAAGCAACTCAGGTGGACTCAGACGAAGGCGATGTGGTAGGTCATGACGTCGAGGATCGGTGGCTCACGTGCAGACTCTCGTCAGCTCAAGGTCATCTAATGATCCATCTGATGCGCCAATACTACCGAAGGGATGGACAGGTGTGATTGATGCTGTTGCTGGACCCTCAAGACAAACTCTTCCGGGCCAATACGATGTTCCGGACGAGGATGCGTTTGCTGAACGGTTCAAGTATCTGATATGTACGAGTGGAGTACTGGAGAAGGACTATGTTCCGGGTCTGGGTGCACCGACCTCGACGTTGGAAGAAGTTGAACCGGAGCGGAGGGATGTCTTGTATAAGATGAAAGGGGAGAGATGGGATATGGTCTTGGCTGGAGCAGTACTGCTTCTTGCCCTCGCTTGGATTAGTCCGCTGGCAGGGGCAAGTCTTCTGGGCATTGCCGCAAGTTGGGTACTTTTGGTCAGAGAAGTGAGTCGACGTGAGGTTTGTAGCTGATATCTAGTCTAATGATACCCGTCAACCTGCATACAATTCCCTTCGAACCTTCCTTACCCTCTCGCATGATCTCGACACGGTTATAGAATCCGCTCTCGGGAAGCTCAAGCCAATCGAACCGACTTCTCATGAGCAGCTGCGGATAGCCCTCAACCAGACGACCATCAGGATGATCGATCACCTTGCGGCGGCAACGTCCCAACTTCAAAGCTTTGTAGATGGGGATCAGCTCAAAGTCTTGGCGGAAATGTACAGTGTCCCCATCCCAAAGAGTCGATCATTTTCCGACGAGACACCACTCAAATCAATCTCCATGTCCCTGTCATATTCCTCCCCGGGTCGCCTTGGCAAGCACATGCGCAAACTCTCGCTTGCAGCTGCTCCGATGGATAGGTTCACAAACATCCCACCCAGGACCCCACGCGAATCGAAACGAATCAGTCTGGACCCTTCAGTGCTTGAACGCATCCAATCAGCGGACAGCCTAACACCACAAGCTCTACCAGTCACCCCTCTTTCGGGGAATCCAAAGAGGAGAAGTCTTCAGAACATACCTTACTACACGGACGAATCGCCCACAAAGAAATCTCGCGGACCAGTGTCTGAATTGCAAGAGCTCCGGAGCAGATCATCGGGTGTGTCAGTCCCCCGCCCGAGGCACACCCGACAGATGTCAAACAGTCCACTTGCCCTATCCGCACTGAAGGGGTCTTGTCTCAATACGCATCTCAAGCGTCGTCGGCTTGCTTGTTGCCTCCTTGGTCTGCGATTTGCTGAGCGACATTCGAGCTACTGGACAGAGATTTGCGAGGTCGTCGACCAACTCTGCACGGCAATCACATCTGAGGTGACAAAATTACGAGATGTTTTGAAATCGACAAAGCGAGAGCCTCAAACGGGTTTCGCGCCACGCCAGAGACCAGAGGACACTCTTCTCGGTCAGGTGGAAAGCATGCGATCACATCTCGTCGTCTTATGGGATCAAGTGGAAGACGTCGCAGCTCAAGTGGTTTCTGAGAACGATCTTGAAGATCGGTGGACTGCCATCAGGCAAACGCTGAGGGCGATAAATAGGGATTGGGAGCGTGGCAAGGAGTCTGCCACGGGATTGAGCTCAACAGCCAAGGAACCAGAAAGGCGGCCGGAGTCTCAGGAGCAAGAGGATCGTATCGAGCCCCTGCCCGCATTCATGAGGAGATGGTCGGATGCGACAAGCTATTCTGTCGACCAGGGAGAGACGAGTCAACCTGTGGAAGAGGTTCTGCCACCACCGGGCGTTGACGAGGTATTTGAGGCGGATATTGGGCGGGGCAGAGTTGAGAGAACTATGAGGTATTCCGAAGCAGTCCCCATGCGGAATGGCGAAGTGGTCGAAGAGCTCAAAGGGATGATAGGACTGATCCGCCAGCGCAAGGGTATGCCAGAGTCGCGAACGTCTGAACTAGCTCCTCCTCCACAGGTGCCGACGGTCTTATTTCCATCGGAGGAAATGCGTCGGGCGTTTGTATTTCCTACCCGAGATCGAGATGCATGACGCGAAATGTCCAGTTTCAATTACATTACACGGGACGGCAATGGACGATGAGGACAATGATTAGTGAGGAGCCTACGTATGAGCTCGTACCTGACTGTCTAGCGAGATTGAGCGTCAGAAGACGATCGCGGAGAATCAAGAGTTGCTCAATTCCCTAGGGCTGGACCCGAATGGATCATCAAAGATCCCATTTAGCAAGCCCAAAGCCGATCTGGCGAAATCGAAATCTAAACCGAGACCTAAGCGGAAGGCTGAGCCGGTAATCGAGGAGCCTCGTCGTCGGAGTGGTAGATTGGCAGGACTCGAAGCGACCCAGGAGGAAGTTGCAAAGCGGAATGAAGAGGAAGAGAAGGAGAGGGAGGTGTTGAGGATCATCAATCGCAAGACGAGGGATCAACTCATGGACATTGAGAAGATGGTAGAGGATACGAGTCCAGAGTCTGCAGATTCATTAGTGAGAAAACTAGCTCTCGAGCCCTACGCTGAAGGCAGTCCTCGTTCCTCCAATCCGTTGGTGCGGATCATGCTCCTCGACAGTATCCTGAATCCTCAGACGCCTACGATGACAAGGATACGCTCCCAGCCGAAGTCACGCGATTAAAGAGCGTATTCAAAGGCATGACATTGAAAGCCAACGCCAAAGTCACTTCAGAGCGTGTGTATACAATGGTAGTGCATCCTGAGCCTACCAAGACGTTGGCATTTGTCGGCGACAAGTTTGGTATGGTGGGAATGTGAGTTTGGATCCAGGTCGGAGCCTGGCTGAAAGCTTCGTCAGATGGGACGCACTGTCAGATGATGAAGGACCAATCTGGCATGTTCAAGCTCATGCGCGTAGTGCCGTGACATCGATGAAGGTAGATCCCATAGCGGGATCGGGCGTGAGTCATCCAGAGATCAGCCGATTGGGCTGACCCCCCGGTCCCTCAGCTCGTGACTTCCTCGTATGATTGTTCGCTCCGACGGATCGACTTTGAATCGCTCCAATCCACCGAACTCTTCTCCTTTCCTGACGAAGACATGCTCATCACCCATTTCGATCTCGTTCCGAATGGTCGGGAAGCATGGATAGCAGACAAAGATGGAGGAATTAGTCATTGCGATTTCCGAGAGAAACGCAACATTGAGAGGAGACGGTGGGTCGTACAAGAAGAAGGAAGAGCAGCCAAGTTGGGTGGAATCAGTGTCAACCGTAAGTCCATGAATGAATCCGTCGGCCCCCTCTAATTGAATGACAGCATTGAAACCTCATTTGGTCATCACGGCTGGAAACGATCAACACTTGCGGTTATGGGATACGAGATTGCTTTCACACCTCAATCCACGAAGCACAGAACTTTTGACGCCTCCTCCAACTGCTAAAGGACGTGGCGATCCATTGGCTGGAGAATCAGATGTCGGGACTCATATCGAGACGAGACCAACGTCGAGCATACCAAATGAAAAAGTCGGACACTTTATGAACAGTAATAAAGGCAAAGGGCTCCTCAAAGCGAGCTTTCAACATGGAAAAAGCTGCAGTGCAGCGTATTGGGACCCATGGGGTAAAAGAATCCTCACAACGAGCTATGATGATAAGTTGAGGAGTGAGTCAAACCAGAGGATGGATTGGGGCTGAATTGTGCAGTATGGAGTGTGGACTCAGATGATGTATCGTCGTTCAAACCGACAAAGATCATACCACACAACTGTCAGACGGGCAGGTGGCTGACGATCTTGAGAGCACAATGGAGCTTGAATACCGAGTATATGCCTCATTTTACAGTGGGTCTAACTATCGCGTCCAATGCTGATAAGTATCAGGTCGGGAACATGAAACGGACATTGGATGTGGTGGCATGCACGGGCGACAAAATCGCCTCGTTATGGACTGATGTGTAGGTGACAATACTTAGGACGCAGCTGACGGACACCAGGGTTACTGCAGTTCCAGCAGTTACCGTGAGTCATCCAGCCAGAGTGGATCATGTGTTGGGAGGCAATACCAGTGGGAGGATACAATTATGGACAGCGAGTTAGCCCTTATTCAGATTTCTTGGGCTTGTACTGCCAGCGCGGTGCTCAAGATAATGTATGATACATTTGATGTTTCATCTACCCGCCCTCAACCATTTTACATACGCAGCCAGGAATTGGACCTGTTCAAACGATTCAATAGCCTTGAGTCCACGTCGAGATCGAATCATAGCGATGACTCGCTCGACCATGGACATACAAATTTGATGTTCGAGCTCAGCTGGGAGATGAAGTCCCGGAGCATGAGGGTTCACATCGGACAGTTTTGAGAAAGCAGCTTCAGCAACAAGGGTCAGAGATGGATGAGGAGTCACGAAGCCCATCTTGATGGCCCATGCGGAAGCTGTCAGTCCAGCTCGTCCAACACCGCCTGGCATGGTTAGCATGACGGCAGCTTGATGATGTCCCACCTCGACAATGGACCAAGACGTTGATACCTTGGAGCGTGTACTTTTCCGCGATGAGGTTGATTTGTGCGTCAAAGAGAGACAAAGACACGGGTGTAAAACCGTCAGGCATGGGAAGTCTGTCTGTGTTAGTCACGCTACAGGAAGGTAAATTCACCGAACGACGTCGAGCCCAATCGAAGAGGCAACGGAAGCATATGTATCCCAGGGGACGCCAAGAAGGGCAAGCTCCGAGTCGTCAAGGCAGCTGGAGAGTCAGCGAGGCTGGCGATATTTACACACCAGACTAGACAGCCGACGCCTTCGTTCTTGATTCGACGGAGATCGGTCTCTAGGTCACGACATACAGGCCCTCGACCCTTGACTGGACCTTCCATTCGCAATCGTTTGCCCGGGCAGGAGCTTAGCAGAAGATTGCCAAGGAGCATACCAGGACCCTTAGGCTGGACTGAAGGCATGAACGACAGCAGCAGGGAGGGAACGTCAACCGATGAGACGAGGATGGATGGAGAGGCGGGTGATGTGGTGACGCTGTGTGAGATAATGTTGATGAGCTCGGGAGGAAGAAAGGGGGAAATAACAATCGGGTGGGAATCGGATGTCTTGACGACGTGACCGAATACAGTATCACCGAGATTTGGCGTCGAGGCGGACTTGATTACAATTTCTTCTACAACCATGTCATCCACTCGACGTCGCTTGTCTTCTTCGAAAGAGGCAGCTAGGGGACGCTTGAAGCCACAAACAGAGGCTGGTCGATCTTCCATACTGAGAGAGCGGAGATCCGACAAGCTGGTCTTAGACGTGAGTGAGTCCGTGCTGCTGATGAGCGAGTCGGACAAGCTGCTAGGAATGAGGGATTCAGACATGGCGGCGGAAAGGTCGGCCGATAGACGGGGGGAAGAATGGGGCGAACTGAAATTACTGGGTCGACAGGAAAAGAACAAGGCGGACTCTTGACACATTTTTCGTTCAAGCTCTGCTTGACGCTGCATGACACTGGCGACGTGTTGAGGGTTGCAGTAGGATTGAGGTTCGTAGTATTGTTTTGAGCCTGCGCATTCAGCAATCGTAAGTAGAAGCAGTATTCACCATATGGTCCCCATTTCATCTGGTTGTAGCCGCTCTGCGGCCACTGAGAACATAACCTTGCGCATTCTTGGACCCGTTGTTGCTGTTCTAGAGCCCATTGTTGCCGCCTAGCCTCAGCTTCAAGGCGCTCGATTTCAGGTTCTGGTTTCTTGCGGGACTTCTTGTCTCCAAAGCTGATGCTCATGCCATGATGAACAACGGCCTTTGCCATTTTGCCGAAATTTGGCACCCATGACTTGGTCGGTGTATCATCAGGTTCGTCAATCTGGATGAGAGACGGCGCTCGAGAGCTGGCAGGTGTCGCAAGAGGAGTGATGATGAATGAGGACGATGAAGTCGACATGGACGGGATACTAGAGCGACGATCATCATTGGAGAACGAACTGTCAAGAGAGGCCGAGGTCGCCACCGAGGCCAGCGATTGAGTTCGGGAGATTGTGTCTGAATCCCACAGTGATGATGTCTCGGGTTCGGGTTGCTCTCGGCGTGAGGCCCAAGCCGGCAGCTTGGCCTTGCGCCTAAGTTGACTCGGTTGCTTCTGAGGTGCATTATGCTTCATGGTGGGCGTGGCGACACGTTGAGGACAGTAAGGAGTAGGAGCGGCCATGATTTTGGAAAGTATGCGGAGAGATGCAGTGGCGAATTATCCTTTGGGTGGATAATCGGTCAAAGGAGCAAGGGGGGGGGGGGGGGAGTAGGGTATCCAGGAAGAAAAGCCGTGTATGATTAAGACCAGGTAAGACCTCGCGGGGCTTCTTCGATGGCGAGAGAGATGACCTCTCACCAACTCAGCACCCGCTCAGAGAGCGTTCGAGCAGCATAGCGTGCATGGCAGACATGATGGATTTCATAGACGAGTCGAATGGCGGGAGTCGCCGATATGCTTTTTGCCACACTGTATTGGCGTGGGAAAGGGCTGGCTGAGTGGTGTGTCGAACGGGTGGTATGGTGATGATGTTGACCTCGAAAGCAAGCTGAGACGGTGTCAGAGAAGACCATAGGGTCACATCTGTAAACATACGAGACGTGGGAAGAGATGATTCGCAGGTCTCGGAGTACTTCTCACGCTAGCGACAGAACTGCCCTGCGAGAGAAATACTGCGGAGCGAGTGTGCAGAAAGCCAGGCGATTGCCTAACCAAAGCTGCTTTTGAGGAGAGCGTGGTAGAGTGTTGCACGGACGGCAGTGTCGAGTAGGCCTGGGGTGCCCGTCACAGGAGACTGAGAAAGATGAGGGATGGATGAGAGGTGAACCAGTGGCGATTAAAAAAGCGAGGTCTTCCCTCTTCCCAGCTTCGGAGAGTAGTGAGTGGCACAAAAGTCCCAGGCACGGAGAATCAGAGACAACACGGAGCGGCGACCGTGGAAAAGTGGGGCTCAGTTAAGCGGGGGGATTCACATTCTAATGATACTTCTTATCGCCGACACAAACGATTTAATGAGCCCTTATTTTAACTTCTTATCGCCGACCAGCAAAAATCCCCTCCTTCGCACCTCGTGCGCTGACCTCGTAAGCTTGCTACCAGCTAGAACATCTGCTCACGCTTGCAGCAGATCCATAGGTGAGCTTTGGTATCAATCCACACACGCTCATACATCGACAGAGAGATTCCTCCCACAAGGTAATCCTCATTCGAGTACGCAAGCGATACCCACGACCCTTTCCCACCCAAACCTTCGAAAACATTTCCATTCAAAATGTCTTCCGGACACCCCGACTGCCTCAATGCGACTGAGGAGGATATCCAGCTCTTGTTGTCAGCCCAATGCCACTTGGGAACCAAGAACTGTGACAAGACTATGGAGCCATACGTCTGGAAGAGGAGAGCCGATGGTGAGTAATGCATGGGGGAAAGACCAAGCAAAGGAAGTTGAGAACGGCATCGTCAACACTGTTGGTGGTATCTGGATGCCTCATCGTCCTCGAATCCTTTCGCTTGTCTCCCTGGCAGCTTTTGAGAGAAGTCAATTCTGACTCCATCCAGGTATCCACGTCTTGAACATTGGAAAGACTTGGGAGAAGCTCGTCCTCGCTGCCCGAATCCTGTCTACCATTGACAACCCCAACGACATCTGTGTCATCTCTGCTCGACCTTACGGACACCGAGCCGTCCTCAAGTACGCCGGATTCACTGGAGCCCAACCCATCGCTGGACGATTCACCCCTGGAAACTTCACCAACTACATCACCAAGTCTTTCAAGGAACCCCGAGTCATCGTCGTGACTGACCCTCGAGTCGACCACCAGGCTATCCGAGAGGCTGCCTACGTCAACATCCCGTGAGTCAAGGGTGAAGCATCCAGCACTGAATGCTTTCAGTGTCATTGCTTTCTGTGACACCGATGCTTCTCTCAAATTTGTCGACGTTGCCATTCCCACCAACAACAAATCCCGACACGCTATCGGTTTGATGTGGTACTTGCTCTGCCGAGAAGTCCTCCGACTCCGAGGAACCGTTCCTCGAGGACCCACTGGACCTTCCGGGTGGGACGTCCTCCCCGATCTGTTCTTCTACCGAGACCCCGAGGAGATTGAGCGAGAGGCTGCCGAGAAGGCCGCTGCCAACGCTCAGGAAGGCTACGAGGGAGCCGATGCTTCCGCTGCCGTTGGAGCCGTCCAATCTGAGTTCGCCGCCGGCAATGCCGCCGATGCCGTGTTCAACGCCGAGCCCACTGCTCAAAGTGAGTGTCACTCTCGACCAGGAGGACATGAGGCTGATGAAATATCTAGACCTCGACTGGAGCGCCGAGGCTCAGACTGGAAACGCTGGCGACTGGGCCGCGGACCCTCAGGAGGCTACTCAGGATGCCACCGGAGGCTGGTAGATGCATGCATAATGCGATTGTGAGAGATCATACAGAGTGTTGCAAGCGAAAAAGAGAGTGAACTTGTCCAATGGCTGTCAATTAGCCCCAGGCCTGTGTGTTGCTGTCATTAGCTCCGATCAGGACTTGATGCCCACCTGTAGTTCACTATCAGATGCCCTTCAGTCCCAAAGCACTGGCGTTAGCTCGCGCCCAATGACTCATGACGCACCTTGAACAAGTTGCCGACAGTGTCATCAGGAGCAGGCGCGAATGCCGCGTTGATGTAGGTGAACTTGGGTTAACCCGACATCGCTAGTGCAACTCACTAATGGATCGCTTTGTTTGAGTCCGAGCTGATTCCTCAAGAAGACAATGACCGCTTGGAACTTGTTCCCTGCAGTGACTTTGAACACGTTGTTCTTCATGATGGGAGCTGCGCCAATGGATTTGAACCGGACGACAACTGCGAGTTAGCCCTCAGACGCGAGCGACTCCTTCACCTTTGGAGGCATCTTTGGTCTTGTAATGTTCAAGGGCGTCCAGGCCAGTGCGCGCGATGCTCCTGGTACCTGAGAGTCAGAAAGGATCGTTCAAAGCGCTCACTTGGACCAGCATCCAGCGCTGGACTCATGATATCGGGGACTGTGGTCATGATGGTTGATAGGTAGAATGGTTAAAAGTGTGAATGCCGATAATCGGTTATTACCTTTTCCATTGTGTATACATGGATTATGGCTGCTCACCGTGACCATGTCCGAGACTGTATCGGTGGAGCTCCCGACGTCTCTGCCGTACCCCATACGGATTACCAGGGTCCTGGCTGATGGCGAAGTGCAGCGTGGAACGGCGTTGCTTGAATATGCGTTCACGTCGGATGAGGCCAGGAAGGAGCTGGCCAAGGGTGGAAAGGGCGAGTGGGATATGGTCGGTTCGTGGGACAGCGCGATCGAAGGGAGACTCGATAGATGGGAAGAATGGGTCAAGCCAGGGACGAGAGTCGAGAGATCGAAGTTGGTTTCGGATTCGATCCACAGCTGACAATAGAATTGCATTGTGGCTCGAGCAGTCTTGCTCCCACCCAGTACAGCTGCATGGAATGTGTGGGGTCTGTGGAAGGGACCTGACAACGTGAGACGCTTGGCGATCAAGCTGACGACCTCAAGGGACGACTATCTCACACGAGGCGGACCATCAAAGTATGCTGGGAGTTATGAGATGTCACACGATTCATTGGGAGTGACCGTATCGACGAACGTTAGGAGACGAGAGTGGTTGAGGCTGACGAGCAGGAAGCTAAGCGTCTTGAGAACGTGACCAAGGAGACACTTCTGAGCTCGAAAAGGTTATCGTTAATTGTGGATCTTGATCAAACAATCATACATACGACTGTGGATCCTACCGTCGGCGAGTGGATAGAACAAGGAAAAAAAGCTTTGGAGGATGTGGCCAAGTTTCATCTTCCTGACGATGTCCCGCTGGGCTACACGGCGCCAGATAGATGGTACTACACGAAACCAAGGTGCGTTGAAAGGCAAAAGCACAGCTGATATCAGACCCGGTGTCAATCAGTTCTTGAGACGCATGAACGAGCTCTACGAGATGCATGTCTACACTATGGGAACGAGGACGTATGCCGAGGCGATATGCAATGTCGTGGATCCAGACAAGACCTTCTTCGGAGGGAGGATCATCAGCAGGGATGAAAATAAGAGTGAGTTGAGCGGCTTGGATATGGCTGAAACTATTAAGGCTTCAGCTCGAAGAGTCTGAAGAGGTTGTTCCCGACAGATCAGAGCATGGTTGTGGTGATTGACGATAGGGCAGATGTCTGGGGAGAGATACCTAATCTGGTGAAAGTCGTTCCATGTGGGTGTGCGACTAAGGATGGAGCTGACGGCAGACGACTTCTTCATCGGTGTCGGGGATATCAACAAGGCGGATTCAATGGCCCAGACCAAGTTGCTGGACGCACAGAGCGAAGATCGGCCGCTGGCGAAGGAGTCAGAGCCGTTGAATAACGATGATGCAGAGTTGGAGAGAGTTGCGAAGGTGGGACTGAGAAGTCGTCGTCAGAGCTGACGGAAGATTCTTGCTCAAATCCACTCCACGTTTTATCGAGCGTACGCGCAACGGGTGAAGGATACAATACCGATGGGATGCGATGTTGAGGTAAGGAATCGCCTGTGTGTCCCCTTGCTAATCTCCAGGTGATCATACCTGATATAAAATCAAGAGTACTGGAGGGATGTACCCTGGTTTTCTCAGGTGTTATACCGAAGCACCAGGCGGCAGAGACGTGAGACATAGCTGAGGGCTCTGCTAATGGCAGATCGGGAATCTTTCACGCCGCGGAAATGTTTGGTGCGCGAACCATGCTCGATGTCGGACCGGGCATGACCCATTGCGTGACGGCCACGGTCGGTACAGAGAAGACTTATCGGGCGAGTAGGATGGACGCTGCAGTGGTCTGGGTCGAGTGGTTTCACAAGTCCATCGCGCTGTGGAAACGGCAAGACGAGAGGGCCTTCAGCATCAACGGGGCCGAAAGCAGTACAAGTCCGAAGCAAGTTGAGAATGGGATCCCGGAAGACGGTGTAGATGATGGCGGTCTTGACAATTTGCTGGACGGGTGGGACGAGTCTGCGGATGCCGAGTTACAGGCTTTCATGGAAGGGAGTAGTGATTATGGAGAGGATACGGAGAGCGTGGGTAGTGTCCCTGGTTCGCCCAGTAAAAAGAGAGTCAGGTATGCCGACGAGGAGTCGCTGCCATTGGAATCATTCAGAGATCCACCAGAGGATCAAGATTGGGCTGGAGATAGCGATGATCGGCCGGCAAAAAGGCGATTGTTGCTTGAGGCGCCTACGGGGGACTATGTTCCAGAGGGGAATCGCTTCCAGTGGGATGGGAAGATGGACGAGAATCCAACTGCTGAGGATGATTTGTTTGCACAGATGTTGGAGGACAGTCTTGACAGTGAAATATCATAGTACAATTCATTGCATGATTCATACAACTTGAGCAAAGTTCCTCCTTCCAAGGAGAATGCCCTTCATCCCTCGTATCTCGTTTCGGACAGCCTTCCATTCCTCACTCCGAGGCGAATCAGTACTAAAGCTCGAACTGTGGACGGATCGAAGGGTGGTATCATGGAGTTGAGACGTGAACATCTCGAGGGTTGATAGTAAGGATGTACGTGTTGTCGAGGTAGAATCAACAGCAGAAGCGAGTGATCTGAGTTGGGTCGAAAGCGTTGTCAAGGATTCGAGCGGGAGCGGTGTTGAAGCTGGGTGCGAATGCAGGGATGTGGATGAGGAGAAGGATTCGTCATCAAGAGCTTCTTCGGCGTCTGGCTTCCTCCATATCTGTCTCGACCTGATCTCCTTTATGCTCTCTAGGAGCTGTGTGACTTTCTCGCTCTGCTGTTCCACCAGAGCGTTGCGCGCAGAAAATGTAGCGTGAAGTAATGGGAGGAGAAACGTCGACCAGATCCACGACGTAGCAGCTGCTGATCCCAAGAGGAGCGAAACGATGAACGTCAAACGTCTCAAGAACGGTATAATGGTGGAAGGCCGTGGCTGGAGAACAATGTCAGATACAACAACTCATACTCGTTGACGTACTTGAAGGGCAGTCAGAGGTCTCGCCCGAGCGGCTTTCAAAGCCAGGGTCTGCTCATCGAGTTCAGACATGATTGTGTGGCCTTTTCTCAATCGCTGATTGAATCAAAACTCGCTACTGCCCAATTAAGTGCGAGGGCGGGACAAACAAAAGATCATCTCAGAACATCTGCCAAAAGTTGGTCGGGCTACAGCGAAACGAATTACCGGTTCAGAAGTCGTTTTCCGAATTCAGCATCAAGGCCTGTATGCAAGGGCATGCCAGGCTGAGCCGATGACAGGAATTGATCCCAAGTCATGCTCAATCACAAATGCTCTAACTAAACATACATGCGACTAATCGCTTTCCTCATCACTACCGTAACCTCCCAGCAACGACGTCACCGCGGGCTTTGGCGGGACTTTTCTCTCCTTGAGACGATCCTCTTCCGCCTGTTTCCTCGTCATTTCCGCATAAAACCGCAAGTTGTCCATAGTGTCGGCGCTGAAGATTCCCTCGGCCATCGCTGTCTTCTTTGGATCCCCACCATCCCCATCACTATCCGCTTCACCATTCCGTATCCTCTTTGCGGGTCTTGCGGAAGCTGGGGATTCCACCGGCACTGACGCTTCAATAGGATAAAAGTCCTCCACATCGCCATCTTCTAGTGCTCTCAAAGTCTGAGCAGCCTCGACCAGGTCTTCATCCAGCATGCCCGCAATTGCCTTCTCTCCCAGCTCTTTGATTCTCGCATCTTCTGCATCCTTCTCTCCGGGATTAGGATCCTCCGTGGCCCACCTGTCAGTCAGCGAGGCATTGATGGCAGTACCCACCTGACGTTCAGAATCTCGTCCATGTCCATACTCTGGTTCGCCATCGCCTCTTTCGCGAAGGAAGCGCTGTGTTCCGACTCGTACGTTACGAAAGCGATTCCTCGATTGTAGAGAATGTTCCCTTGATGTCAGCTCCATCCAGCTCTGGGAGACACCTACATTTGACAATCTTTCCCCACTCGCCAAAATGTCTCAGTAACGTCTCTTTCGTCTGATTCTTATCTGGACTCTCTCCCATCTTGGCGATGTATAATGTCCGGTTGACTCGGTTGAAAGATCCCACACCACCCATATCATCTCGATAATCCGCGTGCTTTTCCCTTCCAAAACAGTCCCTCGAGTTGTCTGGCAGTTGATGAGATGGCAAGGGAAGACGATGCAAAAAATTGCACTCGTGTCCGTATGGGCAACATCCTCTCGCGAAAAAGAGGCAACAATACTTGTTGCCCGTCGCATCGGCTCGAGTATATCCAGCATCCCTCACGATCACACAGCGAGACTGAGAAAGCGTTTTGCTTAAGAGGTCAGCAGTGTCTATGCCTTTAACTCACTTTGCCAGAGCATCTTCTTTGTCACCTCCCGCCCACTTGTTATACCAAACGTCTTGTCACTCAGCTGCGACTCTCGCGTCATGACTCACTGTACTCTTTTCCTGGTTGAGGACCCTCCGACTTGTCAATTTCGCCTGGGGCTACCTGCTTCCGAGCTGGCCTGAGCTTTCTTTTCGGCGCAGATGTCGACATGATGTGATGGATGATCGATCAACTGGCGAGAGACGAGGTAGGAAAAGGTTGAAACCTGAAATCGCTCGGACGGAAGAATCAATCTGCTTACCTAATCCGTCATACCGATCGTCTGAAATGTTGATGAATGAAATGATGGTGGTCATCGTTAGGATGATGATGGTGAGCACAATGGAGGCAGAGAGCTCTGGAAGTGGATTGGCCTCTCCGATGGCAAAGTTAGGCATGGAGGATCAGGAGCTTGATCGCTTGCCATCGCGCCACGAGCTGCTCGCCCAACTCGAGCGGGACTACTTACTGCCTGCAGAGGATCTGGACCATCGCTGGCAATTGTGAGTCAGATTCAAATCGCTTGCACTCACCTCAGACGATTTCCATTCGATCTACCTGCGCCGCCTTTATCACTAGCACCGTTACCTCAGACTCATACCATTCTCCCTAACACCAAAGGCTTGTCCGCTCAATTCGCAGGCTGGAGAGAAGCACTCGCACCTCGGCAACCTGCTCATCCGACGCTTTCCTCTTCTTCGAACCGAGCTCCAGGTGATCTTCAGAATTTTGTCAGAGGAAAAGGAAGTTATGCTCCATTCCTACCTGGTGGACTGGAACCTGAAGTTAAGCAGGCGGAAGAGGACGAAGAGGAAGATGAAGATGAGGATGGATGGCGGACGAGAGCCCCTGGACTCCCACGCGGTCTCAAGTTACAAGGAGGTAGAGTGTTCCCATTTGCTACGCTAAACATTCAGCCGATGACTTTTTATCTGAGATGCTTGGCTCATCGTCGATAGCACCAAAAGCAAAGCATCGTAGGACCGATGGAGATTCTCCGACGCTCGAGGTTTCCCGCCTACCCGATGCTGAACTCCGGTCGACCTCCCGCAAAAATGTCGATGATCTCCTTCCCGTTGGGGTGAGCACCTCCCAACATTTTTTGACTAATAACAGCGGCTTCCTGCTCCACCTCCTTCTCGCCGGCAATTCAAGGCTCAACGGAAAGAATGGGCTCATATTGTGGATGTCAAGCAGGAACTGGTCAATGTGAGTCAGATATGGCCTATCTGGCTAACCTCAGTTCGACGAACTCGTTCCCGAACCCGCTAGAACCGTGAGCTGCCTTCTTGAACCCTCTGACATCAGTACCCATTCACTCTGGACAATTTCCAAAAAGAAGCCGTGTATCGTTTAGAAATGGGTGACAGCGTTTTCGTCGCTGCTCATACATCGGCCGGAAAGACCGTCGTCGCAGAATACGCCATAGCCCTAGCTGCAAAGCATATGACTAGGTGAGCTAGATAGCGTATACAGACTCCGCTGACTTCAGGGCGATCTACACGTCGCCTATCAAAGCTCTTTCGAATCAGAAGTTCAGAGACTTCAAAACGACATTCGATCCCAATATGGTCGGTATCCTTACCGGAGATGTTCAGATCAACGCAGAAGGCAATTGTCTGATCGTGAGTCTGGGTCTACAGTTTTGCTTACCCTTTAGATGACGACGGAAATCCTGCGAAGCATGTTGTACAAGGGTGCAGATTTGATTCGAGACGTCGAGTTTGTTATTTTCGACGAAGTGCACTATGTCAACGATGCAGAGGTGAGGACGGACCCGATTGGGCTGCAGCTGACCATCAGCGAGGTGTCGTATGGGAAGAGGTCATCATCATGCTCCCTGAGCACGTCAACATCATACTTCTGTCCGCCACAGTTCCCAACACCAAGGAGTTTGCAGATTGGGTCGGGTGAGTGACTCTCCCATCAGGCTGTCTGACAGTGAGTCGGACGAAAAAGAAGGATATCTACGTCATTTCGACGCCGATGCGACCTGTACCTCTGGAGCATTTTCTATGGGCCGGTCGTGACCTTCACAAGATCGTCGACTCCAAGTCTCGCTTCATTGCCGATGGGTGAGGGATCTCGCCATTCGTAGCTGATTACTAGGTACAAATCCGCCACGGAAGCGCTGCGCCGCAAGCAGGACAAGGAACGCGAGGCGGCAGGGCTTCCACCGATACAACGCACCGGTGGTCGAGGAGGTCCTCCCACACGAGCTCGAGAGCTGCCGACCGGGCGAGCTGCTCCCTTCACTCGTGTTGGGGGCGGTCGTACCCATACGAATCGTGGTGGTGGGATCAACGGTGCGCCGATACCTCGCGGCGGCGGCGGCGGTGGTGGTGGTGGTGGTCCTCGCGGCGGCGGAGGCGGCGGTGGTGGTGGTCCTCGCGGCCCTCGAAGCTTCAACCTGGACCAAAACGTCTGGACACATCTGGTCAACTATCTCAAGAAGCAAAATCTCTTGCCGGTAGTCAATTTTGTCTTCAGCAAGAAACGCTGCGAGGAATATGCCGGCTCATTGAACAATATGGATCTGTGCGATGCCAAGGAGAAGAGCGAGGTTCACATTACCTGGGAACGGGCTCTGACCCGCTTAAAAGGTAAGCGTGATTCCCTTTTCTCAACTGACGCCAGGCTCCGATAAGGAGCTTCCCCAAATTTTGAGAATGCGAGAGCTGCTCGGTCGAGGCATTGGTGTTCACCACGGAGGTCTTCTTCCTTTAGTCAAAGAGGTTGTCGAAATTTTATTCTCTCGAGGTCTAGTAAAGGTCCTCTTTGCTACCGAAACATTTGCTATGGTGAGTGAAGGTATCCCCTTATGCGCTAAATGTCAGGGCGTCAATATGCCAGCAAAATCTGTCGTCTTCGCGGGCATTCGCAAACACGATGGAACGTCCTTCCGAAATCTCCTGGCTGGAGAGTACACACAAATGGCCGGTCGAGCTGGTCGTCGTGGTCTAGATACAACGGGAACAGTCATCATTCTTAGCGGAGACGAGCTTCCATCGGTGAGACTCGGACCTTTCGTCACTGATATCGTCAGGTCCAAGATCTCACAGAGATGATGTTGGGGGTTCCAAATCGCCTCTCATCTCAGTTCCGCCTTACCTATAACATGATCCTGAACCTGCTTCGTGTCGAAGCTCTACGGGTGGAAGAAATGATCAAGCGGAGTTTCTCGGAGAATGCAGCGCAGAAGCTTGCACCGGAACAGCAGCGGCAGGTCGCACATGTAAGTTTGCAACGCTGTAATGTACTGCTGGAGCGTGGCTTCATTGCTACATTCTCCTTCGTTGTGGTGCCTCGTCAACCTCAGGACAGCTCTCTTCGCACCCTTCGTTCACATTTCTGACTCAAAGCTGATCGGATCACTTGTTCACAGACGGAAAAGCAACTCGCCCGACTGCCCAAAGTGACATGCGATAAATGTGCTAAAGACATCATGGCATTCTACGATCTTTCCGCTGAGATTGTCCGACTCAACACCCAGCTCCTTAAAACCGCCTCATGGAATCCGCAAGCGGGCAAGATCCTTGCCCCCGGTCGTGTCATTGTTCTTCGCAATAACGTGAGCGGTATGATTCGCTCCCGCTGATGATCAGCATTTCCCCGGCAACTTGGCGGTGATACTGCGTAATGCCCCATCCTTGGTCCGAGACGGGATCAAGACAGATGCGAAAGCCTTCCTCGTGCTTGTTCTCGTGACGAAAGGCCAAGGTGAATTCCACTTTGTGTCCTTCGCTTACATCAGAACCCGTCGACTCGTTACCGCCACGTTGGCCTGCGGTCCTGCCTTCCGGTTCTTTCTCGTCCCCTACGTGGGAGATCACAACTGTCGACGCCTTCAGTATATCTGTTGTAGTGGATCGCGCTCTAAAGGCAAGTACGCAGCCTGACTCTGCTGATGCCAGGTCGACTCCAATGCCGTTATCGATAAGAAATCTCGAGAGGCGCGGCAGAAGACGACCGACGACCTCGCCATCTTGCACGAAGAGCTATCCGGTTCGGATCTTGAAGTCTCCTGGTCTAGAATGCGGGATCTTGATTTCCAAGAGATGCTCAAACAGCGCAATATTCTTTTCGAACGCGTATCCAAGCTTGAGTGTCAGACATGTGAGAACTTTGAAGAGAACGTGAGCTATCAACTTCGAACACTGCTGATACTAGTATGCTATCACGCACGAGATCAAACTTGTAGAGGCGAGCTTGACCCAGCTCAAGATTGCCCTGTCGGATCAGAACCTCGAGCTCTTGCCAGACTACGAGTCTCGGGTTCAAGTTCTCAAGCGCCTGAAATTCATCGACGATAATGCCACAGTGCTCCTCAAGGGTCGCGTGGCATGTGAAGTGAGTCAATCCAGCCTAGTCACTTCGCTAAGCTCAGATAAATTCCGCCAACGAGCTCATCCTCACGGAACTCATTCTCGAAAACATTCTCGCCGACTATACCCCTGAAGAGGTCGTTGCTCTCCTCTCGATTTTCGTCTTTGTCGAAAAGACTGACTCGCAACCGATGATCCCTGCCAAGCTGGCGACTGGTCTCGATGTCATTTACCGTATAGCTGACGAGGTGGAACGCGAGCAAGACCACTGCGGCGTTCAGCATCAAGACTTCAAGGAGACATTCAAGCCTGGTCTAGTGGAGGTGGTTTATGAATGGGCAAAGGGTGTCGTAAGTCTCGCATATGTAACTTTGCTCACGGTAGCCCTTCAATCAAATCACCGACCTGACCGACGTGCCCGAAGGCACTATCGTTCGTGTCATCACTCGTCTCGACGAGACGTGTCGCGAAGTCCGGGATGCTGCGCGGGTTATAGGTGATGCCGAGCTGTTCCAGAAGATGGAAGCTGCCCAGGCGCTCATCAAAAGGGACAGTGAGTGATTTTCCGCTGAATCACGCTGATGATCAGTCGTCTTCGCTGCCAGTCTGGTGAGTAGCTGAAGTGACCACGCTGACAATTTAGTATCTATAGCATGCATGCATGCAGCCAGCATCACTGCTCATCTTTAAAGGATTCGAGCCAGGACTGGTGTTCCTCGAGTTTGCTCTGCATGAGGCGAAGCGAGGACGTTGCCTGATTCTCGCTAGATCCTAGACTAAGACTGCCGAGAGACGCGGCCAATGTAGCTTTTGCTGGGTCTCCCTCAACAGATCGTTCGGTCGCGTCTGAAACTCGTTCGCCGCCTTGAGATTCTTCTGCTGAACCCGCCTTCGTGCTGTCAGGAGCTTCAGATCTCGTCTCACGAGCGTACCGCTGCCTCGTCGCGTCGAGGTCGGCCTCACTGATCTGTTGACCGATAGCTCGCAAGAAGGTAGCCTGATCATCAGCTTGGGCTACCAAGTGACGGGATGACTCACTTGTCGTTTTACGGACAGAGGATCTGCTCGTGGTGCAATTTCGTAAAAGGTTCTGAGCAGCTGTTTACCAGCAGCATCTCGGTTCATCAATAATGTGACAACTTGGTCATGATCGTGCAAGTCGGTCCTCTGCGCGGCTAGGAGTTCCTCGGTCAGGTGATAATAGTTGCTCTGCAGGAATGGATCCTCGGTCCCGTCTAAAAGATTGGTCTCCACTCGCTTGCTAACGTGCTTGAGAGAAACTCCAAGCCGGTCTATGTAATCTGCTTTGCCAGAGTTGGTAAGGTCAGATATTTCATCGCTGCTCAAGGTCAATGCCAGTCTCATGGCGAGATCGGCGAGTTTGGGCTTTTTGGCCATCAGCTCAAAGATGTAAGCGTCCGAGTCCTTCGAGTCGTCAGAACCCGTTCCCCGAGGGTTTCCTTGCTGATTCGAAACCTGTGACGAGGTAGCCTGAGTGAGATTAGTGGAGAGGGAGCTCGCAACGAACCTGCGAGGCTCCCGTGGAGTCGTCTTCCTTCTTCTCCTTCCCCCTTCGCTTGCCCCGCTTGCTTGGAGACATGCTGGTTGTTCTCGCCTTCTTTGGACCTGCTGAAAGTGTCTGTATGTGGAATTGTCTGGAGTGAGACAGAAGGAATGGAGTGAGCAAGAGGGCAATCAGTCGCCACTACCAGTATAAATAGGATAATGGCAAGAAGCCCTATTTAATCGTCCATTGGAGTTTTGGACTCCGCTCTGTAAAAGGACGTAGGGACCAAAAAGGAACGTCAACTTCTCTTGGGTGGGTGGAGATATTCCTGCCTGACGAAGCTGTGGAGACTGGACGTCCATTCGGCCTGAGGCCAAGTAATGGCAGGTCGTTAGGTGTCACTGCCTATAAGACATTACTGTATGAGCCGAGCTGCGTTCTCGATACCGCAAGGACGCCATCTCGTTCGAGGAAAGCGCTGAAATGTCATGTGTAGAAGAGCATCGTGGTCAAGCGAGTCACATATCCTCGAGGTCTCTATGCGCAACGTCTTTGGGCGATTTTCAACGGAGGTACCGGAGAGAGGCAGGACATCAAGGCTTGTCAGACACGGGTCGGGGGCTCTGAGGGCAAGGACTCCCCTGACCCGCCCACGAACACTGATCAATATGGATGTGAAGTAACAGCCACACACCGCCACAAACAGCATTCAACAGTCCTGTAGCGCGCCAGGACCGTCGAAAACATCCAACGACCATGGACTGATGAGGGGCGAGATGTGGCTGCTTCGGACCGGGTCATGATTTAGACTTCAGCCATAACCTCTACCTGCTTCTTTGTAACCTGTCTACCATCGACATCAATCGGACGCCGCCACTAAGAACAACAACAACAACCATCAACTGATGTAAATTACGTAAATGATTGATCTCCCGCACCTGAGACGTGTTTCATCATCACCCGCTGATTTTTTCCCGTTTTTTTTCATTCCCGACGACGCGTTTTGCTCTCTTTCCACCATCTGATGTCGATGCTCCTGTCGCTGCTCCTGTCGCTGCTGCTGCTGCTGCACTCATCAAGTGCGGATGATACATCACATCACTTCCATTTCACACATCACAAGGTACTCACAGCTCAACAAATCAATCAAAGGAAGAGATCATGGCGCGCGATGTCTACCTTTCTATCCCTGGTCTAAATTTAACCTGGTCCCCGTCTGGCTGCCTTTGAACATCTAGGACGATACTCCGTGTCAGTGTCGTGTGCATTTATCGGTCAATGAGCAGCCATACGCTGGCAATGTAGCAGAGACGCGTCTTGAATGCTCATGTCTTCTTTGTCTCTGCGGCTCAACATGAATCCAATCTCAAGCCCCTCCCCCCCCTCCAGCTCTTTCCTCTTTATTTTTTTCCCCAATCATCCACTTTCCGACCCGCAATCTCCACTGATCCGCTGACATGAACATGGGTTGCCGCTGTTTCACCCTAATGCTACCACTCGGACCACCTGTCATCGTCTCGACTCGACTGTTGACACTGACCGACCATCATTTTTGCCGCAAATGCTTGGCTCCCGTCAGAACACACGCGGTAAATTTGGACCTTATGCGGCCGAGGAAGGGGGGCAAGCAAGTGCTCGATTGTTGTCAAGGTCAGGTCAGGACTAGTGAGTTGAGGATCAAAACAGTCGTTGTGTACACTCCCTTTGGGTCGGTTGCAATTGAACGTATAAAGCATTCATCCCATTCTCCACCTCACCTTCTTTCATCTTCAACCAACCAGCCCGCTAGTCATTCCTTCTCCCACACTCTTTCTCCATAGATTATAGAATTGACAATGCTCGCCTCTAGATTCCTCACTCTCGTCTCTCTCATCGCAGCGCCATTGGCATTGGCATCCCCTACGTCCACAGAAACAGCAGAACTCGACGAACGTACCTTTGGTGGACTCTTTGGGGGTGGTGGACTCCTCGGGGGTGGTGGCGGAGGAGGAGGAAGCGGTGGTGGACTCGGTCTCGACCTCAATCTCGACATTTGTCTCACCCTCGACTTGAATCTCGGAGGCCTTCTCGGTGGTCTCGTCAAGCGTACAGGTGGTGGTTTTGGAGGTTTCCAACCTCATACTGGATACGGAAACTGGGGACAACATCATCCAGGTGGCACATGCGGAGACCTTTCCCAAATCAATAACTGTTACAAAGTCGGACACGCCTGTGACGAGCACTGCGTCTGTGTTCCCCCTCCACCTGCCGTCTGTACCGATCAATGCGCCATTCTCAAATGTCAAGCCAAGGGTCAAGCTACCAGTGGGTCTAGATCCCAGCGGGGCAGAAGCTGATGTCAGATACCGACTGCTCTTGCAAACAGCAATGTGACTGCCAAGATCAATTCAACTGCTGGCAACAGGGTGGCAAGCTCAGTGAGTCAAGCCATTCACAATGTATTCTGACCTGTATCAGGTTCCAATTGCCAATGTGTCGTCCCAAGTAAACGATGGCACCGTCGAGACCTCCCTACCACTTGCGCCGCCGGCTATTCTTCCTGCCCCGTCCCAGGTTCTGCCGGATCCGAATGCCTCAACACCCTCATCTCGATGGAATCTTGTGGAGGCTGCACCTCCCTTGGCCAAGGAACCGATTGCTCCGCCATCGAAGGCGTCGACTCCGTCAGCTGTGTCGCAGGATCTTGTGCCGTCTCAAGCTGTCAACCTGGATACGAGGTGTCATCCACTGGTACCACCTGTATCAGAAGTGACGATACCGCGGAGATCCTTGTCGGTGCTCTCAAGAGCGCAGAGCAGTTACTACATATCTAAGGGCGGTGATAGTGATGGTCGTGGTATGGCTCTCCCCTAATCTGGACATTTTTTGCGCCTGTATATAGTATGACCCGTATGGACAATGAATGCATTTTTGCTCAACTTCGTCATTCGCGTCACGGCTCCGATACCTCGGCGTTGTACCTTGATCGTCGAGATGAAGATGCCAAAGATCATCTACGGCACTGCTTGGTGAGTCCCTGCAGCGGGAGATCCTTCTGATGACAAGGAAGAAGGACCGTACCGCCGAGCTGGTCGTCCAAGCTGTCAAAGCTGGATTCAGAGGTATCGACACGGCATGTCAGCCAAAGGTGAGTGAAGCCATTCAAGGCATCACGCTGACGGCAGCACTATCGGTGAGACATAGCCCTGGTCTTGGCTGATTTACAGCGAGGACCTAGTGGGGAAGGCACTGAAGCAGCTCTTTGCTGAGGGCGTGAAAAGGGAGGATCTGTTCATTCAGACCAAGTGAGTCGATCGATGGTCCCCGCTTACACCCAGATACACATCGTTAGATGGTCAAGACATGTCACAACCTCTTCCTTACGACTCATCGGCGTCCATCTCCGACCAAGTCACTCAGTCCATCCAGAAGAGTCTGACGAATCTTGGAGTCGAGTACATCGACTCTGTCGTCTTACATGGCCCGCTGCGCACCAGACAAGTTAGCGATCCGGCAGCTTTCCCATGCTGATCTCTAGGACACTCTCGCAGCCTATCAAGCTCTCGAATCTTTTGTCGATAAGGGTATCCTCTTGAACCTCGGCGTATCCAACTTTTACGATCCTACCCTCCTCAATTGGCTCATATCGAAAGTTCGTATCAAGATTGGCGTGGTGCAAAACAGATGGTACGAGGGTAATGGCTTCAATTGGCCGATCTATGAGATCTGTCAAGCCAACGACATCCACTATCAATCCTTCTGGACATTGTCAGGGAACCCGACGCTGCTTCATACACCTGAGCTCTTATCGATAGCGGAGAAACACTCCTTGACTCCAGAACAAGCAGTCTATGCTTTATGTCAGAAGTGGGTAGTCCTCACGTTGACCCCACTGATGACAGATGGAATATCACGCCTTTGTGTGGATCCACTACAGCCGGTCACATGACGGAAGCTCTCGCATCCCAGCAGACTAATTTGGACACAGACGACGTCACTGAGCTTTGGGACCTCATGCATAGATGATCACAACCCGAATTCCAATAAGTAAAGAGGCTGAGCGTAGAATTCCTCCTTGCCGAGAGCTGTGCTGCGGTTCGCATCCGGATGAACGTAGTTGATCTGAGTGTACGAAGCATAGATTTGGTTTGGGTTCGTGTTCATTTCTGGGTGCGCCGCAAAGCTGTAGGTGATATCGTTGCCGGGGTCCAGATAAGTCAAAGTCTCGGCCGCGGTCCAAGGTCCCTCGGGTAATAAGGAAGTCGAGGCGCTAATGACCATTCCGAATCCATTGACCTGAGCCAGCAAGACATACTGGGCGTACAGTTCAGAGTAAAAGAATGTTCCTTGACCACCAGCGCCTCCCACATAGACTTCGGCGGCCGTGTCGTCGATAGCGGGGATCGTCGAGACCCATAAGCCGCCAACGTAGAATTGATACTTTGATGAGTCCTCGATATCGGCCAACGCAACTCTGGCCAATCCGACTGTACCGTCGTTGGCCATTCCATAGAGATACAACAATCCGTCTAGCTGACCAATAAAACCACCGTATGCACCGTAGTTGTAAGTTCCCTCGGGGAAGAAGTCTTGGCCGATCAAGGTTTGTTCAGGCAAGGCGTCGGCATCTCCTCCGGTAGTGTACACCAGCTTGTACAAGCTGGTAGGCGGTTCAGTGTCAATATTCTTGAGCTGTCTGGTCAGAGTCATGTACATGTACATGGTTGTCGTGCCATCACTGGCGACATCCGTGACATAGGCAGGCGCATCAGGCCAGATGGCGAAACGGGTGCCGTTGCTGCATGAGCCTCCTGATGCCCCACATTCCGATGGCGTTTCTGGGAAGTAGGCTCCACTTGGTGGATCTCCACCATATTGAGTCAACTGGAGCGTATAAGGGTCTGTCACGTTCAATTGACCCTGCTCGGAGGGTGGAGGAATGGGAACCAAGTCGGGCAAGTTGCTTGCATTCTGGTTGGACCAGGAGGCAGTGGACGAGATGAAACCGTCGACTTGTAAGATATTCTGATCCTGGAGCAGCTCGGTATCTCGGCACAGCCAAAGAGCGCGACCTCCAACCAAGTGATCAGCAGTAACGCAAGAGTCACGTTGATAGTTGGGCTCGATGGTGATTGCTACTTTTGTGGCACTGACTAAACTTGGGATTGTCAACGCTCGGGGCTGGACAGGAGTTGCGGGAGCAGGCGCAGCAGCGACGAGTGCTGCACCAGTGAGGGCGACGAGGTAGGAGAGCATAGTGGGGATGTGGTTCTTACTCAGCGGGCCATTGCATTCATTGCCTTTATATATCACGTAGAGAGCCAAATTACCCGCTGATCTCTAGAGAATCTGCCTTTAATTAGGCAAGCGAGGCTCCATGGGGCTACAGATCTGGTTCGGGTCATTTGGATTTTGCCGATCTATGTCCAACTTTCCGGCGGCTGAGCCGTGGCATGAGCGAGCTGGGGACGCCACACACCACAACGTGATCTCCGTATCGATCACCGTGGCGCATGATCTAGCATACAATTCACGTACATTGACATCTTCGGGTCGTTGGCAGAAACTCGCTGACTTGGCTCAGGTCGTGGTGAAAGGATCACGGTTCAACTTCGGAGGCTCCGAGCATAAAAGGGCTGCAGATATCTGACGTGTTTCAATCCCGGATTTTGGAAAGAGGAAAGTCTTGCTGAGGAATTCAGCGAGTCCTTTGCGTCTGCGAAGAAAGGGGGGGGGGGGGGGGGTTTCCAAACCTGAAAGGTGCATTCAACGATCTCTAGTCAGTTATCATATATCGGTGCACCTTTCTTCAGACATCTTTTGTGAGAGAGGATCAAACCCGGATTCAGCTTTGCCTTGACGCTCTGTGACAGGCTATAAAGTCTGCAGTCTGAGATGTCAGAGATTGAAAAACTCTGATCCTGAATTTCGTAGGATCGTCACACCCACCTCAATAATGGAGAAAATATTGTCGAAGCTCAGACGCTCGAGAGGCAAGGCAGACGAATCACAGGCAGACCCCGATCTACCCTCACATCGGGGGTCCAAAGTGGGGGGTCGTCGCTTTGACAGTGAACTGATTAATGCGAATCGGGACACTCTCCTCAATATAGGCATCTGGAAAGAAGTTGACGTTGAGACCGGTAAGGAGAAGTGGCTCTTTGACGTTTTGAAGACCTCCAAGGTGAAGGTCACGCAGGATTTGATTGAAACTCTCAATACCTGGGCAGAGACAGCAAAAGCGACTTGTCTGACCGCAGAATTCTACATGAAGCACATTCACTTCGGCAAGAAGACTGACACTGACCTGGCAGACGCCGTCCTGTCAGTGCTAAGGGATACGAGACCCGAAGATACAACTTTTGACCTTGGATATTCAGTCTTCACTGACGCGAATTCCTGGAGAGATTTCCGACGGCATCACCTACCACCTGAGAGTCAGGCCAATAACGTCAGCTCTGCCGGTAGCTCCAACGCGAACCAACAGGCTGAAGATCCTTTCGGAGAGCGCGCTGAGCTTTCTTACGAGGTTGAAGATGAGGAATACGAACGAGACTCTGTTAATCCATTTGATGACAATACTTATCGCGTCGAAGAGAACTAGTCGGCTCAACCTGAGCAATCGGTGGTCGATTGACAGATGACTGCCTTCGCCTTCTTCGTTCGGTGTTTGCTATGTCTGAACTATGCATCGTGCGTCCAGGCTTTGCCCTGATGCCAGATCCATGACTCGAAAATTGAGCTGTGCATTCACCTGCCTCTGCTGCCCTTTACTGTATCCCACACTGATTTACCTTTCTGTCAAGATACCGTGAACCACCAGCGAGACTCGTGCATTTTGGGTCATCGATTCCTTTTTCGCCCAGGCAGGCAGACCCAGTGTAAAATGAGCTTCGAAGGCTTACATGTCATAATCTACCTCTCATGATCCCTCGGAGCCCAAACTATCGCTTTGCCCTCAGTCTATTAGTCCACTTATTATTCCCGCTCGCCGAATCGATACCAGTCGACGTAATCTTTCTCTCCTGCCTTTTCTTTCCAGGTGGCGCAGGCGCGAGACCTCCCGGCGGAATGATTGGTCTGTCTTTCGGACGAGTGACAGAGACGTACACGCTATCTGTGCGCGCTGTCTGTGGTACGCTCAACGCTGGTCCAGGCCGAGATAGCCATGACGCTTGAAAATCGTTCTGCATTTGTGGCGGCAGTGGTGGCACTTTGACGACGCCTTGTGGTGGCGGATATAATGGTCGATTTTTGGATGGCTGACTATCGGCTCCGAGAAGGTGGTTGATTTCGCTACCTAATGCTGAGCCCTTTCGAGTCGGTCGAGGTGTGGCGTACGGCAACACAGCCGTAGGAGCGATAGTGGATTGCTTTCGAGGTGGGCGAAGGATAGACTTCTGCCTAGGTACAGCTGCCGACTCAGCGTCGAACAATGTCTCGGCCGCCCGTGTTTGACTGGGGTTTCCGTTTGGAGGAGGTCGGGTTTGATGGCGTCCGGGCGGAGCAGGAAATCTCTTTGAGCTGCCACTTGATCCTGAGGAAGACAGTGTGTAGCTCCGAGCAGGTGGGATTAGGGGTCGACCTAAAGATTCAGCTATCGAGGAGATTGCCCCCAACCTACCACTATCTCCACTGCCTTGCTCTTTACTCATTCTCCCTCTTGATCTTTCCAGTCGTCTGTTGGCCTCTTCCACTTCTCGATTAGCCTCTTCCATCTCTCGTTCCACTCGTTTCAACTTCTTTTCCGCTCGAATCTCTTCTATAATCCTCAATTTCTTCTCTTCCTCTTGCTGTCGTTTCAGATCCCTGTTCGCCTGGATAACCTTTTCCCTTCTGGCCTGCTCCACAGCCTCCTCCGCCTCGAGCTGTTTCTTCAATTTGACCTTTTGTTCCACATACTTCAACCTGACTGCCGCCTTCTTCATTGACGAATAGGAAGAGAACACACTATCTCGAAATGTCTCTCGCTTGCTACGTCCAGCTCCTCGGGTGTTGACTGGCGCTGGCGGCGGCATCTCTGGTTCGTAGCGCCTCCCTTGTTTACCGTGTCGCCTGTCGTAAATGTCGTTGATCTCATCATCGCTTTCTCCTCTTCCATATCGTCCGCGCCTCCTGTCTCTCCGTTTCCTGGGGATGTAATCAAATTCAGTATCTTCAGAATCACTTTCCGTCTCTGACTCGCTCCATCGTCGTCTGCCTCTGCCATGCCGTCTACCCCTTCCACGACGGTCCACCATCCTTCGCCTTCTTCTCGGTCGGATGGTGCCTCCATCACTGATACTATCGTAGCTTTCACTGCTGCTCCCGCTCCAGCTCCGACTCCCGCTCGACCCACTGTCTCGTCGCTTTCCCTTCCTCCCTTTACTCTTTTCCTCGCCTTTCGCCTCCCTCTTCTGCCTTTCTAACTCTTCTTTCACCCGTGCTGCCTCTTCCTTCTCAGCTTCCGAAACCCTCTTCTTGTCGATCTTCCGCTTTCTTTTGTGTCGCCAATAGACCCATACGAGGATACATAGGGCGATAGCTCCTCCCAATCCGATGCAAAGAAGCTGCCACCATGCCAGGTTGGTGCCCGCCGCGGCAGTCGACAACAGACCGCCTGTATTCGTCGGTTGAACAGTGGTTCTAGAAGGGGTGATGGTGATTTGCGTCTGGTCTGGCGGATCGTTTGGCAGATCTTGTCGTGCATCTATACGATGATCGGTTGGGATGAACATCGAGCGACATTGCGGTAGATTCAAGCTGGTTGCCGGAGTACCAGATGATGATTGTCAGGCCATCAAGTAGAGGTTTGACCGCTTGGGGATTCTCGGCGCCTTATCGATCAGCCCGGATGACTCTAGCACTGTATTACCACTGGGTGATCTGCGAAGTGGCAAGAGGCCCGCGCCAACGATACACTGTCCTGGTCGATCTACCTATTTCTCCCTTTGATCTGGCAGCGTAGGGGGATTGTATCAAAGGGTCAGCAGACAAAGGACGATTGCAGGTCTAAAAAGTCGCACTAAAGCCTGAGAGTCTTTTAGACAGCCGTTTACACCTCACTATGGCGTTATATCTTGAACTTTACGATGCGCCTGGCTCACCACTGCCAGACGAGAAGCGGTCCATATTCAATCCATTCACCCTGTGCCTTCGACTGAATAATCTTCCGGCGGCCGTCAAGCCGACTCACTTGACCCATGTATTGAGTTATCCGCCGACTAGGCACGGTGCCATGAGTTGTAAACGTGAGAATGGCGTGAGCTTGTGAGTTTTGAAGCTGGGACGGCATTGACTGCATAGGGTCGAGATTTATACGGTTCCAAAGAAGGTCAGGTCAAGTCCTGTTGCTGGCGTCAAGCGCCTTCTCTGTGTTACAGTGGGCCGTCTGGGTGCCCGGAGCAAGTGGAACCGGCTGCCTGCCTCAGCCGTAGAGAATGATGGTGTTCACAGTCCGTCCACTCCCCGCGAGGCAATTTGGCTGCTTGGGCAGCCGGAGACGGAGACATTTGCGATCGTCCACTTCCGTGACGAGTTTTCCTGTGAGTTCGACCAGGTCCGTTTCTCTGACCGTGTAGTGTACCGAGCCAAGGATATCTTTCGTCGAGTGACCATAGACGGACGGCACGTCCAGCTGAAGACTCGGCGGTGGAACGGTTCAGCAATGAAGAGATTGCTCTCGTGCTGGACATGAATGCCTCGAGAACCAATCCGCTCGAGATGAGTCCAACGTGATCAGACGCCGCGACTCGCCGAGCTACTCCTCTGTGTCCAGCCGGCTACGGCGCCTGCTTTCGCACCAACCGCTCTCAGTCCATCCTTTGCCTGCTCGAGGTACTGCTCAATGCCTCCTGTGCCGGCTCCACTGGATCCTGAAGGAACAATATACGTGGGAGGAGAGGCGACACTTGCCCCTGCGGAGCTAACTTCGGCCACGGCAGAGGATGCTGGAAGAGTTTGATCCTTGGCGATGACTGTGGCCGGCGTCGTAGTGAGGGAAGGCTGCGGTGGTGGAGAAGTCAAGCGGGTTGGATGAAGGGGTGGAGAGGGCGTGAAAAGTTCGGCTGGAGAGGGTGGACCAACCAAGATCTAAAATGATGAGTCAACAAGTATAATGTAATAGGGACATACTTGGTGCGACAAATTGCTGTTCTCCTAGGCAGTATTAGCCTTGACACTTCGACGCTACTCACTGAGGTGCCGGTCAGAGAAGGCACATTGCCATTCTTCTCGAGGCAGAACGTAATTATCTTCAACAGAGCAGCAGGAAGTGGATTCGGTGGCGGAGTCTGGGGATTGGGCCGATCTCGTGTGAAGTGTAAAGTGATGAGATGCTCCTCCCACGGCACGAGTTCCTGGAATCGTTAATGGCATCCCATAAGTCGTCTCACTTCAGTAACTGCGAACCATCCCTTACGTGGTTTGCGTTGGAGGAATACCACTGCGATCTGCAATCGTCAGCGAGGCCGGCCGGCAGTTGCTCACCTCTCCGCTCGGGGCTCTAGTATCTACATACTCCCTGGTGAATTCTTCAATCTTGCTTGCAACGGTCTTCTCGATGGTGCTACTGGGTACTGAAGGCTGAAGAAAGTCATGAGTCGTCAGAACCTTGACATCGACAGCCCGCTCACTATGTGACATTCGCCTATGTCCCACGTCTCAGGCTCGAAGACGTCAAGCGTACGATGAAAGAAGATTGCATTCAGCAGAGCTCGGAGAGTAGGTCTGACTTGAGTGACAGGTATAGTCTGTTCCGTCAGTAGGAAGACAGCAGCGGACAATCACCAGCTCTATGTGATTGAGGACATCCATCGGCGTAAGAGGTGTCAAGTACGACAAAGAAGAAAGTGTCAATGGAACACCGCGCGCGACTGTCTTATGCCGTCATTCTATGATTTGCCTCGGCAATCTCATGGCTCTGAGTGAATATTGGATTGATACAGATACAACTCATGTAGACTGACTGGATACATACGACATGACTAATCGTCACTGAGAGCGGGACTGTCACCTCTTTCTCCTTCTTCCTCCTCCTCCTCATCGCCGCCTATCTCGATACCTCCATCGTCGTCTTCATCCACAATACCACGCTCCTCCTTCTTCCGCTTGTTCTTCGCCTCAAGCTTTGCCAGTATTTTCTCAGCCTTGTTGAAGATACCAGAGGTTGACGCTCCACACGCGTAGCACTTTGGTGATTTTTGGAAACGCTCGATAGCACATCTACAATCAAGTCAGCACCAAATCTTGTCCAAAACGCCGCTGAAAAACTCACTTCATGCAGAAGTAGTGACCACATTTCGTCACCACCGGCTCTGTGAACTCTTTTCTGCAAATGAGACAGGCGAACGGCACTTCCTCAATCTCCTCTTCTTCTTCCTGAGGTACACCTCCGTTTGGGTCCAGTTTGTCCAATTGCCATCCAGCGAGATAGTCGCCACGATCATGTAAGAATTTACATGAATCTCCGTATCCACAGAAACCTGTCTCCTTGTAGTCTTTACACACGTCTGGCTGATAATCGACGAGTGTGACTGTCCGGATGCTGGTGGTCGCTCGTATTGGTCCAGTCTGCATCTTTTTATCCAGTACATCGGTACGTTTATTGATCGTTTTCAGGTATCCTGCAGCTCCATGATACAATCCATCGTCGATTTCACCGTCCTGTGAACAGTCAGTACAGTCCCCTATAGATTGCCGCAGACTTACCTCATTCAGCTTAATCTTCTTGCCATCGATCTTTGCCTCCCCACCCGCCTCCAAATCCCACTCTGTTGACCTGGTTGCGTAGACATCCCCCTTTGCACCGGACAGCCCCTCCTCAGCTTTGTAGTCAAAATCGTCAAGCCCAGCATCCCCCTCCTCTCCGTTCTCATTCAGCTCTCTCCGACGTTTCGTGCCCTGCACCAATGGGTTCGCAACGTTCTTCTTGCTTGGTCGGACGACGGAAGAAGTGGACGGGCCAGCTTCTGATGACGCTTGGCCTTCATCGGCTGTTGGAGAAGGTGCACGATTCCGAGACTGCTGAGGACGACGAGAAGGGCCTTTCTTGAAGGTGACTACCGGAGCGACAGAGGTCATGTTGGGGTCTCACACGATGATTGACACCCGACTTGAATAATCACAAGTCTCGAGCCTTGCTTATCAATCAACAGTCCTTCGCGGAACTCGACAGGAACGGCGAAAAGTAAACCACGTCATGTAAAGTCACGTGACTATCCCTTTCCCACGCCGTGGACGATATTGAGTGCGATGCTGAGAGGCTTTTCCTCCCCTCTTCATCCCCTGCTTATTGATAATCACGAGGTGGTTGATTGTCAATCATCTGGCGTTGATCTGGGGTGACGCAGCAAGTCTCCCGCCGATTCTGATATCCTTCAAGGCAAGTATACTGCTAGGTGAGTGTGCGAAAGCACCGCACCGCACATGGCCACCCTCATCTTCGGGGATGTCCATACCGCCGATAATTCATAAAGATGTGGCATCCCAGGCCCCCCCGCCTCCCCTTTCCCAACCCCATCCTTACCTAGCCATCTCTTTCGCCGCGGGGTTATACCAGTGTGGTGCTTTGTGGTCAACTGACCTCCACCTCGCAGGTCCACCTGCGATCACTACTATGGACGACGCGACACATCAACAACATCAATCAGACTCGGATGCACTGGCTTCAGCTTTAGGGGCTATTGGTGCGGCGACAGACGATTCAGGAGGTGTGCACCCTTTCGGTGACTTTACACACGCTGCTCACCATCATCATGATGGTGATGACGATAAGGTCGTCCTGGAGGATGACGATGAGGATGGAGTGGTGGATGTATCAGCCTTGGAAGACGTCATGCAAGGGAGAGAGGATGAAGAGGAACTGGATCTGAGCGTGCTCGCTGCTGGAGATTTGGACGATACAACGCGCGGAGGATTCGATAGACCTCCAAGCATCAGAAAAGGTGAGTGGGCGTCTATGACGGGGAGTCGCTGATGCTCGGCATAGCCTGCGATCTGTGTCATTCAGCCAAACAAGTGAACCTCTCTCCATCATCCGCCTGTTGATCTCGCTGACGAAGACGCTTTCCCTTTTTCCCCTTTGTCCTTTCCCACCACCCATCTCAATCCCCGTAGAAATGTTCCGGGGATCGTCCATCCTGTACACGCTGTATCGCAGGGGGCTGGAATTGTAACTATGCACCTCGACAACGGCGTCGGACCGTTCCTAAAGAGGTCAAAGCATCCGCCGTCATGGACCTCGATCCCGCAGGTGATTTGAGTGACTTGCCAAGTGAGCAGCGTTGGATCACAGTGGCACACAAGCTGATCCCCATCTTTTAAAGTCGTTGAACCTGTCCAACCCACAAAGAAGAGGAAAATGCAACAGCGCGACTCATCATCCTTTGGACCACCACATGAGATTGACATGAAAATGGCTATGAACATGGCAGTCGATCTCGGCCTCACGACTGAAGAGGAGAATGAGGAGATGGTCTCGATGACGGATGAGCAGATGGTGAGTTGTTGATTCATTGGATGTTGTCAGCATATTCTGAAGTCCTTTGACAGCTCGAATCGATCGCCATCGATGGATATCTTGCCGACTTACCACTTGCTACCTTCGTCCACAATCTACCCTATACTGCTGGCGCAAATAATGACAATACCGTCACTTTTAACGCCAGTGACTTCTCAGCCGCTGATATGGATCAACATACCACCTCGGCACTCCGCGATGCCATCTTCTCCCTCAACGAATCCAGTGGAGGTCATGGAGGCCATGGGGATGGCGCAGGTGATGAACAGGGTGGTGATGCACATGGCGATGCTGGCGATAATATGGATCCAGACCTCGCCCTTCTCGATCTCACACACGTCGGCGATGGAGAAGATGGGACAAATGAAGAAACTCATCAGAACGGACTCAATCTTGGGTCTTTCAATCCCGCTACAGGATGTAATCACGTCCAAATGATCCCTCACCTTCTCAATCTCTTACTCCAACATGGCCTCGAACCCAAACCAGGCTCCAACACTCCGCTCAGTCTCGGCGTCTTTGCCCCACTGTCACGTTCACTTCGATTATTCCACTCCCTTCTTCATTGTTCATCCTGCCTCTCATCTCCTCAACAGACTCTGCCTCAGCTAGCTCTCCTCAGTCGTACAACCACCATTCTCACCTTCCCTTTCCCACCTATTGATTCCTCTTCCGTTGGCTCGAGCGCCCAAATCTCAATACACGGTGCTCGACTCGCAGGTACGGGATTATCAGAGATCATGGAGCAACATATTGTCGGTGTCGTTTGGGACTCATGGCGGGCCAGCGTTCGAGAAGTATTCGCCATCATGGAGCGCAAAGCTCAAGACGTTATCACTCTCTCGGCTGGACTGTCCATCGGAGACGACGAGGACGAAGAAGATGGTCCGAAGAAACAAGAAGTCAAGAAGCCGACACCGAATCCTAACGGCACCAGTGCAGAAACTCAGAGAGCGGGTCTTATGTTCCAGGCTATGACGCGGTTGAACTCGGCAATGGATGAGGTAGAGGGGACAGAGATCAGAGGGAGATCATTGTTCTAGTTGGCGTAGCAAAACGAAAAGTGTCTCGGTGATAAGTCAGGATCATATTGTACAGGTATTCAATTAACAAAAACTCTGGGCACGGCAAGTCTACAGCCGTAAAGACAAATGTATGTTGTGGTTGAGACTCCAACAAGCCAGCGGGAGACATCACAGCAACGTTGCCTCCCTTGGACCCGTTCACGTGAATGGCTTGTCTACTTGAAACGGCTTGACATCGACGATGCCACATATCATCGCCGCTGAGCAATTTGATCTTTTCATCGCTCGACAATTGCGCGAGCACTTTGACTGGGTCAACAGGTGCCATCATTATAGAGCGTCAGTGCAGTACAGATTTGGATGATGTAGGTTTCTTCACTCAGAACGAGAGTGCTGGTCCCTTGGAGGCTGCGAAAGACGGGGTGTAAGTGTTGCGAAAGGGCAGTAATCGGAGAAAGCTATGACGAGCGATGGCTTTCGGAGACTCCGTTGAACCGCGTTTCAGCGCCGTTTTGCATTGTCTTTTCGGCGTATCTTCTCCCGTTCATACATCGGCGGAGTGACCTTCCCACTCGATAGGCATCCAAGCTCAAGTTGGAGGCTGTGAGGAGAAAGTGCTGCCCGACAGTCAGTTGCGAGGATGTCATGGAGAAAGGACGAAGACTGAGCGCGTCTCGACGAAACGAGATCAGTGATATCCCCAAAACCATTCGTTGGCTTGCTGTGACCCGCCCGTTGGCTTCTTCAACCATACTGTAGTCCGCCCCTTGATTGTCATGAAAATGCATCATTATCACCATGCGCGTCGTGATTTTTGCTTCTGAGCGTCATATGTTCGCTAAGTCAAGCATCAGCTAAGGATTCACACTATACTCGTGGACGTGCTCACGTAGGCAGCAAGTGCAAATGCTAAGAATGCGCCGACACCGATGATCTTCGATGGCATCAGCTTTCTGAATTTTGATTCCTTTCTCACCTTCAAGATGAGCATGAAGACTGAAGCCATTCCCCCGGAGCTCTTCGCTCTCTTCGGCTTGAGATTCTCTTTGTCGACCCCGAGAACTTTTTGGTCGGGTTTGTAATTGTGCGGAGCATTGCCGTGGTCTCTGTACTCCTTCTTCAGGGTTGCGGTACTAGCCTGAATCGACACAATGCTGTGTGCTACGTTCAGCTTCATGCCTTGATCGAAGATGGAGGGATCTCACTCATGGTTGTCCGAAACGTCTCCTGTCAGTGCTGAGAACCCGAGGTATGGACTAGTCGGAAGGTTTGCCTTGATTTGGAAACATGTCTTCCACTGCCCCTCTTCTCGCGTCTGCAACTTCAGTTGAAGCATCTTGTCCCGCATGTAGGTCAGACGACCTTTTGTCACGATACCACGACGTCTGAAGTTCTCCTGCAAGCGAGGTGTGAGCTTGATACCTGCCATGACCAGTTCAAGCTCACAGAGCACGCAGCGATTTCTCCAGCCTCATTGTCCCCTCCGTGATCATACGGTGTTTTGCCATCCCCGATCATGGCAGTCACTCGAGGAAAGGAATATCCATGTTTCTTGTTTGCGTATCTATCGGGTCAGCTCGACAGCGCGCACTGGGAGCTCACGTATCGAAGAAGATTCCCAAGCCATTGAAATTGTCTGCAAGGTGATCAGTAAGACGGCCTTCCTGCTCTACCTCCTGCAAAACGCACCTGCACTGCCAAATACTGGACCCGGTTTCGCTCTTTCCTGCGTCACCCACATGGCAAACCCATCTCCGAACAAATTATGCGCTTTACCATCGACCTGAGAAGATAAGGCTATGAGCGCTCTCTCCAAGAGCAATGAGCTTGCCGCCTTGGCCTACCTTGAATTCGAATTCAACCTGCCAATTAATGGAGCTCATGGGCACACGACTCCACAGGAACCCTTGCTGCGACGGGCGATCTTGTGTGAGACGTATGTGTTTGTTTGTATTCTGTGGATAGAAGCTCAATCATGGTGGTCTGCTTAAACCATTTCTCGATAGCTTACTATGACTGCATCTGCTCCAAAATCCCACCTGGAATATTATGAGCTCTTGCACAGAGAGGCGTCAGCTTACCACCGATTTTGCAGATCACTGTCGACGTATGGAGGAGCTATAGAATGCGTCCGCAACGGTACTGTCTGTAGAATTCCATGAGCATAGACCTTTCACACAGAGGCTCGTCACCTACCCTCTCCACCATCAGCTCCCAAAGGTCCTCCTCGACAGTTTCTGCCGGCTCGACCGCAGCCGTATAGCCCACAAGACAACTTAGAGCCAGCAGACTCGTTATAGGATGTGGCCGGACCATTCTGACGGAAAACCCAGAGCTGAAGTAGCCCGGACAAGGCAATAGAGCAAGGGCGGGCGGCCAGAGAGTCAAGTCAGCAAAAGACCATAATTGAAGCTGCAACCTCGTCCAACGCGGCAATGCACTCGCGCCATGCCACGTGGCACGTCAGAACGATCGACGTCAGGTCCAAATGTCGCCGACTATTTTGTGATCTCTCTGTCTTGCTCAGTTTGAGCATGCCGAGTAGGGTGTCAAGCGGGGCAAAGTTGACTCTACAGCATGCGAGTGATTTGGTGTGTCGGCACTATCCATATCTGATGTGATCGTAGTTTCTGCTGCAATCCTCTTTGCTGCATGCGTACCGTGGAGCTGTGAGGGCGACGAGGCGTAAGTGAGCGGATCGTCTGTTTTGGCGGCGAACTTAGGTGCGTGGTAAGCTGATACGGACAATGATTAGCCCTGCCAGACTCTCTCACTCGTCGTGAAACCCTAGACTTCTTTAGAGGCGAGCTGGAGCAATTGCGTTTCGTGACGGATCTCGTGAGTGGCCTGCAACTTATTCTTGTCTAACCTGTCCAGGAGACGCTCAGGACCTCGTTGTCAGCTTTTCAACGCACAACCAAGATCATGGGACCCCAGCTCGGACTTGGAGGACTTTCCTCTGAAAGTGGATCGAAACTCATCGGCAGAGCTAGATCAATCTAGAAATCTCGGCACAGATGCTATACCATGCATGACACATCGACCTTCCGCGTATTATCACACCCAATTACACATAAAGAGGCTACAAATGACAGTCACAAATCAATGGAATGAGAGATCGTCTGTTCGTAATGCTGATATGATGCGCGCTCTGTGCCATGCAGATGTCTGTCGGTCAATGAGACATTCGGTGTCGATGCATCATGGCTGGAGATCGACCGTTTGGGCTCGCACCGTTCGATGCCGGTGCAGGAGGGAATTTGAGGAACTGAACATGTCCATCGTCCGAGGTGAAAATGACCTGCTGTCGTACGAAGCGAGGAAGCATCGGAGCTGTCGGCGGTGGAGGCATGGGCATGTATCCTCGTGGTTGTGGTCGCTGAGGTTGAGGTTGGGGGAATCCAGGTGGTCCAGGTTGTTGTTGACCGAACGGAGAGGGATTGAAACCCCCTGGAGGGGGACGGAAGCCAGGTTGAGCTTGATGCACAAGTTGACGAGCAGGCAACAGCGTCGGGGCATTGACGCGAGATGGAGGCGTGTCGGCAAAGAGGCAGGCAATATTGTTACCAGGAATGATCTGTACCAAGTGACCGGTCTCAACATGGTGCACTTCCACGAACGTCGGCTCAAAAGCCACAATGTAAGGGTATTGTAAGGCTGAACATCAATCAGCAGGACAACGAGGAGCGTTCACTCACCGAAAGCAGTGGGCATGCCCTCCCACACAATTGCCCACTTCGGCCTCGCTCGCCATCCGTTCTTGTTGACATAGAATGCAAATTCTGGCGTAAGCGTAATACCCTTTGTGCACACGCACCATCGTAGCACAGCAAAAAGTCCTCCTCGACACGGTAGATGGCGATGGGTCGCACGTTGTCACGCTTAAGCACAAAGTCCAAGCTGGCATCCGAGGGATCGAGCAGGCCTTGCATGTCGAGGGTTTCCAAGTCGACAATTTCGAAGCCCTTGGTGCACCCAACGCAAAGCTTGGTCTTGAGGAAATGAACAGAGCTTGATTCGGTGGGGATGTAAAATTCCTGTGCTGTCAGCTATGCTTATCAATAATGCTCACCTTGAACAGCTTCAGAGCCTCCTGCGCGCCATTCAAGCGCTTCATAAAGCTCGGCTGGGGTTTCTTCCCTCGCATAGACTGCTCCACCGGTTCCAATACTTTAATAGTACTGGACAACGTCGATGACTTGACGACTGCGACGAGCATCTTCCCAAGACAGATACCGGACTTGAAGAAACTCGTATGTGAGGCGATCCGTTTGCCCCGTTTCAAAGCGGCATTGGGATCACTCGGATCCAGGCAGTCCAGTGGGAACGTGGTGACCATCCGTTCATGGAGCACGATCAACAATTGGAACTCCTCAATCACATCGACTTGAGTCACATCGAGTAGATTGATGACCTTGACGGGATCCCTGAGCTTGACATCGCGCAAATTTGAGAAATAGACGCCATCGTCGGTACCGTAAATCATGCGATTGCCATTATCTCGTGATGATCAGTTTTGATGCTAATTAAAAACTCACCATAAGGACTGATGCAATTAATTTTGCGCAAGCCGATGAAGTGACCATCTGTGATCGTTTCCGAGATAAAAACGCAGCTCCGATCACGCAAGATAGTCTGCTGTTTGTCGATAGCTTCGAGCCACTTCTTCCTCCCAACGTAGGTGTCCACCCATAGCTGTAGTGAGTAACCCTTCCTCCCGAGATGAATGATGGTGATTGAAAAGCCGTGTTTGCTCTCGGGTTTTGGCGGTACATGTGATCCAGAGCCTGTCTTACTGAGCCCTCCCGTACCAGATCGAGTAATTAATTTGGACTTCCCCGACAATTTCGTCGAGTTATACTGATCATCAGGAGTTACGACAACCAAGAGCTCAAGTGGGATAGGCTGGATGTTAGCGGCCGCTGCGGGTGAGGACTCACCCTCCTATACACACGCAGTTGCTCGCCACGCGGAAGATGTTTCGGCTTGACGAGCAGAAAAGCATGATCAAACAAGAATCCAGTGAGATCGGCCACTTCATCTCGGTTCCCGCCACGACGCTTCAATGGACCTTTGTGTACCAGCTCTCGGCTCTTGTCCTTCAGTCGAAGATCCTGGAGGGTCAGTCGAGCAATCTCCGCCACACTCACGATCGTCTCATTTGGTCGGAATACCAACTGTGCTTCGATCTGCGCTAGTTCGAAGACATTTTCTGACTTGCCACTCTCGATGTTGACTTTGGTCAAGAAACCTCGGATCATCTTGATGACCTCTGGGAGATCGCGTTTGTCGGGGTTATCGTCCGGAGTGTACTTGAGAACCGCCTCCAGGAGCAGAGGGTAACGCCCAAGTCGGGTCGTCGGTTTTGTCAGGTAACCGTTCAATTCCAGCTTTCTCGATTCGGGCTTCCTTTCCGTCTCGTCCACGAATCTTTGGAACGCTGGATTGTTGCCCTTTTCCTTTTCAAATTCAAACTTTCCAAAGAGTTGGTGAGATCCATAAGTCACAAAAGGTTCGAATTGTGGTGCTCGCTCCAAGAACAGATCTCCTATCTTTTGCACGACTGGCTGTTGCTTTTGCCTTTTGGTGAGTCGTTCCGCCAGGACATGATTGACCGTCAAGACGTCTTGGAAGTTCCAGAAGACCTGATTGACGAATTCTTCCCTCCGTTTCGCATCAGGAATAATATCAGCAGATGCACGCAGCGGCTTGACCCATGACTGATGGTCAGCTTTTCTGTCTTGCGTCGCACTCACGTCTCGGAGATACTCCAAGTCTCTGACGAAGTCACGCTCAGTGTATATGACCTCGTTAATGGCTTCTTGACGCTTCTTCTCAGTGTCATCCACGCTGTCCAGAATATCCTGAGACACTGAATGGATCCAAAGTGTTCCCGTCTCCTGTAGAACGTCAGGAAATTATGCAAATACGCCTCACCTTGACATCACGCAGGGATTCATCGCTAATTTTCCTGGTGAGGCCCGGTTGCGGTTTCATGTTGAGTCTCTTCATTTGCTCCAGTCGCCTGGGACAATTGATCGAGTAACACAGGTTCTCCCTCGAACACGTTGGCGAATAACAATCTGTGAGGAGCGTAAAGACGCCAGTGGGGATATCATCATCATCCGGATCTTCCATTTCATTTGGCAGGCTGTTGACAGAGCTCAGTTTTGTCAACCTCGGCGAGGTGACCAGGCTAGTGGACGAGGTAGCTGGCGTGTTGTTGAAAAATGAAGTCGTTGATTCCGAAGTTTGGATGGATCCCGTTTCTGACGCGTACCGACTCGGCGTCGGCCTGGCATTGGATACACGGTTCAATTGAGCGTGCTCAGAGCTCGGACTGTCTGTCATGTCTTCGCCCATGAATGGCGCGGTCAAACGTTCTCTGAAGCGATAAATCTCGTTGGAGTTGTCCCGTAGTCGATGGTCGTATGTCACATCGTGAAAATACTTCTGAGCATCAAGGGCTCTTCCAAGCAACAGCGCCAAATTTCTGTCAGGAGTCTTGATGATGTCTGCGATGATTGTCACAGCACTGCGACCGTCGAAGGCCTCCTTGTATGTAATACCCTCTTTGATCAACTCAGATAGAGATATCAGTTGCCTGAATGCAGCAGCCACTTGTGACAGAAGCGCTGGATACACTTGAGGCATTGCGCGGATCGCTGCCGCGCGAGCTGACGAGTTTGACCGATTCAAAGATCCATTGAGGGATCGAAGTGAGGAACGTGGAGTTGTGAGAGCGTAGGATGAAGGGGGATTCCGGCCTGGCCGGCCATTTGTAGATCGAGAACCGTAGAAATCTGTCGGTGAAGGTCCGCCAGAATCGCGAGAATTGATCACTGGGAGTGATCGAATCGAATCCATCGACTTTCGACTGGAAAATTTCGGGCCCATGGATTCGGATCCCGTCGGCGTGGTGGGTGAGTCATAGAATGACTCTTTGGGCTCTCGAGGGGACATGGATATCCCTTGGCGTAACGACGTCATTGTGTGATTGCTGGATACAGACATGTCGGAGGACATGCGGTGGTGCCGAGACGATTGAGAGATAGACGTGCGGTCGCCCGACGACGCAGTGCCGCCGCCGCGAGCTGAGACCGTCAAACAGGGATCACGCGAGTTGAAGGAGATACTCACCAAGAATGTCATCAGACTGCGAGAATTCGCCGCCCATCAGGCCGCCGATCATGCTGGGTTCACCTCGCTTCGGTATACCCGCGACATCGTCGAGCATTCCTCGTCCAGTCAGATTGAGGCTACTCATTGCTCTCATGTAATCTGGCGGAGGTGACACCAGTCTCTCCTCCGGACCTCTTTCCACTGGAGGAGAGGCGGACGTGTAGCTGGGATTTGGAGAAGTGGAGGAAGCAAAGTTGGGTCCAGATGGTGCGGTGCTGCTCCTGTGGGGGAACACGGCGGATGCAGTAGAGGGAAGAGGTTCATAGCCGCCATATGCGCTCGATTGAGGTGCTAGTCGCAAATCAGACATATGGGACGAAGGCAGAGGAGCCGTAGGCAATCGACCGTGTCGAGGTGGCGATGGGGCCCGCTCTGGAAGATAAGTCGACGACGAGGAATATGCAGATGATGTTGCTGATGTTCGACGTTCCTGAGGCTACTACATCAGTGATGCCGATCGAGCCGCCGCCCTCACCTGTCCATTCATTGACCCAGAAGCATAATAATGCTGCGGTGCTCTCGCGTACGGCTGATCAAGTTGAGGTCTTTGACTTGGCCCTGCAACCACTTGAGGTTGAGGGAAGCCATAAGACGCCGTCCTCGGCGGAGGCATGGGTTGAGGCATGGGCTGCGGAGCGACGGGTTGTGGCATGGAAGGAGGGTATGATGGGACACCTGGTGGAAGAGAAGATTGTGCAGGATTGCGATAACCACCTGGAGGGGGAGGACCTCCTCGAGGATAGCCGTAACCTGCTCCAGCGGGCATGGCATGTTGCTGAGGTGGTGGAGGTCCTTGTCCCAAATGATGACCTACAGCTGGTCGACCGAAGATGTTTTCGAATGCCTCGTTCCGACTCCTGCCTTGCTGCGGTGGACCAGGCTGTTGTCTTTGCATGATGCTGGGATGAGTCATATGGCAATGACGATAGAGGTAGTGATGCGACGGCGGCTAACACCAAGGATACACGTCAAAGGCACCTGTATGCCTGAGAGGACATGGGTTAACGCGCTATGTCGTGATAGTCTGGGGACACAAGTCCAGTCGGGCGGGAGGAACTATGATTTGAAGCTTTCTTGCGCCTAGATCCGTCGAATCTATGCGTGGTCAGCGTCGTTGATTGCTGTTCAATGTTGTACAAAATGATGTCAAGACGAGCTGAAACCAATTGGAAGGAAGCGCGCGCGATAGCAACAAAAGTCAGTGGCACGATCAAATCCAAGTGATAACAGTGTCATAATCAGAGCATATAGTGAGAGAGCCATGCGAGAGCTTCGACGGCAGCTTTCACGCTTTGGAACACTCTCATGTATACCTTCAATGACTCATATCGCTCAGCATGGCATCTACAAAGGCCAGAGAAAGAAGCCCACCGACCCCAGAGTGTCCTTCCTCCAGATATGCCACGTCAGGCCCCTGTTTTTGCTAGTCATTGAGTTGTCGTTAGTAATGTATATACCTACACACATACTCTGATTGGGACGACAACACGAGCAACACAGCTGTTGCACCTTTGGAGAGCAGTCGAGAGTCGCTTCACATTTTCAAGACAGAACTTATAATATCGAGATCGATTTCGTCATGTGTTGATCCATTTCTCAATAAGCTAGCTACACAGCGCAAGATGTCGTCTCGCGACCCGCCAGCGGGTTTCAAACGAGAGACGTGGAGGCCTCAACCTACCAGCTCCTGGACCCCGAGACAGACGGACTCATTCAGACCGGGTAGATCATCTCCGAGCTCCCATGCTGGTCCTTCCAGGCCGCTGAGCCCTTCCAGAGGCGATCACGAATCTAGGTCTTCAAGACATCATGATGATCCGGGCGAGTCCTCCAGAAGCTCGTCATACCGGGACCGTCAGGATGAAGACGATAGGTATCTGAGGGCATCAGGAGGTGCTAGAGATGATAGATTCGGAGACCAGTCGAGACGGCAACGCAGCGATGATGCGAGACGGGATGATCACTGGAGACCGGGAGAAGGAAATGGGACGCGGCGAGAGAATGGTCGATCCCCTCCGCCAAGTTCACGAGGAGGAACCTCTAGTTTGCCTAATGGAAGTGGAGGATGGCGTGGAAGAAGCGAGAACGATAGACCGTCGAAGTCCAATCGAGACGACAGGGACCGCTGGAGGCCTCCAACTCGGGGTCATCAAGATTCTTACAGACCTGCTCGTTCTCCGTCTCCAAAACGATCGAGCCGGAGAGATAGTCCAGACTATGGTGTAGGACGACGTTCGTCACGGGATGAAGGTCGTCACGACAAATCTGCGTCGCGGTGCGTCGCACCTCCACCCCGAACCTTGTTGCTCAGCACTGACATGCACCTCTATAGGCGTTCCCTCTCTCCTCGACCTCGGTCACCCCCTCCCCGCAAACGTGCCCCATTGTCTCCGCCTTCCTTTTCAAACTCTAAAAGACAACGTCAGTCCTCTCCTCCATCGTCTCGCCGCGGTAGACCTACCTCTCCTGCCCTATCAGCCACTTCATCTCGTTTCCGCCCATCTCCATCCCGATCTCGCTCTCGCGGCCGATACTCACTGGAGAGATCGAGATCTCCTCCTCGTCGACGTAGATCACCCATACCTATTCGTAGAGCCAGATCGCCATCTCCGTATCGTCGTGGTCGCTCACCTTCGCCTCGAGACCGGAAGTCAAGTGATCAGACTTATCGAGCAGGTGGCAGAAACAGCAGTCCCCACCGGCGTATCTCTCCTTCCCCGAGGTCACCATCTTATCCACCTACCTCACGGAATAGGAGTTCGACCCCACCTAGACAGCCAAATCGTAGAGATGCGCACGATGGCTTCGACTCACGGCGACGTCCGTCGTCTCCCCGGCGGTCTCTATCTCCTGATTCCAGCATGCGCCGTGCCTCCCCAAAGCCTGTTCAGCTCCCAAATGGTCGTGCTCCGCACTCCGCATCATCTCCCTCCATGTCTCCTGCTGTGCAAGGTACTCGCGCACAAAATGGAGACCGGAAGACCCCACAGACACCTTCAGATCCGCCACCTCCTCCACTTCCGGTTGGATCCATCAAGATCGACCTCGATGCCGCTACGAATGGCCGACGGAGTATATCTCCCGCTAACGGCGGATGGAAGTCCATTTCAAATGGTATGACCCCCAAGACTGTCATTCAGCAATTATTTGATGATCGGCCCTCACCTCCTCGAGGTCCAAGGTCCATGACCGGGTCGCCTCAGAGACCTACGGCGGGTGATCAGGCGGAACAGGTACCATCTCCGCCACATCTCATTGCACCTTATATTGAGACTGCTTTTCAGCAGTGGGCAGCTCAAGGGAATCCACTACCATTGCGGGAGTTCCTCGTCCATTATTTTGGTCGTCCACCAGACACAAGGGAGGTCTCGCAGATGGAAAGGCTGGTGGAGCGGTCCAAATCTCGGGAGGTTTTCGGAGGACAGGCCAAGACTGGTGATCATTGGTCTCCTGTTCAAATAAGCTCTCGCCGACCTTCAGACAGAGAAGATGGCAAGAGGAACTCTAGCCGATCACCAGTCAAAGAACAGTCGGCCAACATGATCCCTTTGAATGGGGAGTCGCGTTATGGCAAGCCTGCCGATGCCAGCATGGCATCAAGTGCGAACGTGCAGCTACCTAGACCTGAGGTTACTGCCACGCCGGCGCCTATCACTGAGCCCTCTCCTTTGTCGGCCGGCCGACAGTCAACGAAGCCCACACGACGCAAGACTGGACCAGGCGAACTGTACGAGCGACTGGCATGTGTTGGTGAAGGCACTTATGGGAAAGTTTACAAAGCTCGCAATGCCGAGAACGGTCAGTTTGTGGCTCTCAAGCGCATCCGTATGGAAGGCGAAAAAGACGGTTTCCCCGTGACTGCAATGAGAGAGATTAAGGTTTTGCAGGCGCTCAGCCATCCTAATGTGCTCCGATTGATTGAAATGATGGTGTCAAAAGGTAAGTTTCATGAGAAAGAAGCGAATGCTGAGTGTCAGGCTCGGTATACATGGTACTTGAATACATGGATCACGATCTGACTGGGCTCTTGGCTCATCCCGAGATTCAAATGAGTCCGGCCAACATTAAATCTCTCAATCACCAAATGCTGTCTGGCCTTGCCTATCTTCACCAACAAGGCATCCTCCATCGGGATATGAAAGGCTCGAATATCCTGCTGAGCGGCCGGGGTGAACTCAAGCTGGCGGATTTCGGACTTGCCCGGACGTACTCTAAACACAAGAGGGATGATTACACCAATCGAGTCATCACATTATGGTACCGGTCCCCGGAGCTATTGCTTGGTGAAACGGTCTACGGTCCAGAAGTTGACATGTGGTCTGCTGGTTGCATAATGCTTGAATTATTCACGAGCAAGCCGGTTTTTCAAGGTACCGACGAAATTAGTCAACTGGAAGTCATCTATTATGTCCTTGGAACGCCGTCCGAGACTATCTGGCCCGGACTCGGAGATTTGCCTTGGTACGAACTTGTCAAGCCAAAGCAGGAACTTGGATCGCGATTTGAGGACATCTTCTCCAAGTGGGTTCACGTGTCGCGCGAAAGCTGACGATTCCACAGATGGCTCTCTCCCGCCGCCATGGATCTCGCTCGCGGATTGCTCACGTTTGATCCCAGTAGACGTCTGGGTGCCGAGAGTGCTCTCGAGACCGCGTACTTCGTGTCAGAACTACCTCCTATGGAGATGCCTACACAGTGGGACCCGCGTGTCTACTTAAATACAGGTCGCTGACAGTTCTCAGACTCGCGGACTGTGGCGAACACCATGAAATGTCGGCGAAGATCGAACGTCATCGACGGAGGCAGGGAAGCAAGTGAAGCGGGATACGAAGACGCTGCTGGGGCATTATGTATATCGTTCGCTTATCAGGAGCATGTGAACGTTGTAACGACCCGGGACGACAATGCATTATCATTTATCCGGCCTTGACTGCCGGCTTGAGGGGCACTCCGCTGTACCGGAGTTGCCAGACATGCCAATTCCTGTTCGTTCGCTATTTGGCTTAGAATATTATCAATGGATTCTGCAGCCGTCCATCGAGCACATCAAGACTACATGAGCTAGAGGGACAATTGTCACTCTCACACGAGACCTCTTCCTTGACGGATGACGTCTGAACATGCCGCGGCATCTCCTTCAACCGCTTCCTCGAGCGGTGTCTGGACATCGGGACAATTTCCAGAGGATTCACCAATACCAAGATGGTTCCATATGGGATAGACTTGACAGATGTCAGGTACTTGGCAACTCGCATACAGGTCATCGAGGGTGCGCTTCTAGCTTGATCAGCACGATTTGACATATTGACCCGAAAGCAGATGTGTCAATGCTTTGTCGTGGTCGAATGATGGCTCTACCCTGCTTTCAGGCTCAGACGATGGAAGGTACGTAGGTCTGCCTGATTGTCAGAAAGGGATGCTGAGTTGCGCTAGGATATGTATATGGGGTGCAGACTCATCGTCCATGTCGGAATCTCCCCATCCTCTTAGGCTCAACGACACAATCGCTACAGGTCACACTGGAAATATCTTCTCGGCCAAATATCTTCCTAATACCTCTAGTCCAATTATCGTCTCCTGCGCCGGTGACAGGACAGTGAAGGTCTTCGAGGTGGAGAGACTGGGCCGATCAGAAGTGGGTATTGGCATGGCAGCACGAGACGAGTTATGGGGAGTCAGAGGACCAGGGTCAGTTAAAATTTCGTCCATGGCGTAATCTCAGCTGATAAGACCGGGGAGCACAGAGTCCGGATCCTGCGCTGTCATACAGATCGTACGAAAAGAATCGCCACTGAGAACTCTCCTTTCCTCTTCCTCACGGTCTCTGAAGATGGTACAGTACGGCAACATGATCTGAGGCGACCTCACGTCTGTCGGTCCGATTGTCCTGATCCGCTATTCCGCGCTCCTCGAGGGATAGATCTTTATAGTTTGAGTGTCAGCACAGTCACGCCGAACATGTTTGCAGTAGCTGGAAGGACGCACTGTGTAGGCCTTGCCACCACTGTCCGAGCTCCAAGGCTGACTTTTCTGCGAAGGCTTATCTTTGTGACCGACGAATGCTAGAAAGACAGACGCCCAGCTGGGGTCCGAACATTCAATCTTCCGAGCAGGTCCACTGTGTGCGTCGTCTAGGAATGACAGACGAGCAATGGGCGAATGGACGACCTAGTGGGAGGATCTTGTCATCTGAAAAGCACATCACATGCGTGAAAATGAGTCCAGAGCATGCCGACGAGGTAGGGCCAGTGCACACCCTGAATCACAGTAACTCATCCACCTTCTAGGTCATCTGTGCATTTGCTTCCCATTCCGTGGGCATTTTTTCCACGTACGATTCGCCTGGGCCCTCGAATATGCGCCAACGGTCCGCTTCTCCCATCACGGCACCACCAGTTCCCACTCCAGTGTCTCGGAGACAGTACACTATAGACGACTTTTTGCGAGACTCTCCCGACCTTGCGCGTTCGAAACGCAGACAGTCCGTCTTGTCGTCTGTAGCGCCCGATCCTACACCACCACAGAGGCAGCGATCAGAAGGCGACAATGAGGATATGCTAGAGAGCCTAGGTAGCTCTTCTCACCCGATGGCCGTCCAGGACATCAGGGAAGAGCCTCCTGGAACAAACGCAGACGCGCAACTTCATTCGCCGAGACCAGCGACCTATGATCAACCTCAACGCATCGCGACCGCTCTCGATGACACGGTCTTCGATGCTGAGCTCGACGACGAGAACCAGGAGCTGTTGAATCTTCATGAAATGGACGAAGACGAGATCATGGAAGAGGAGGAGGAGGAGGAGGAGGACTTAATCCTGGATGAGGATGATGATGACGAATACGACGATTATGAGGAGGACGAAGATGTTGACGATGACGACGACGACGATGAGGATGACATCGACGCCCTCGACTTTATGGAACCGCCAGCCCGAGCGACAGTGTTCGACTCTGTCGACATGATTACTCCTCGAAGCAACTTTCGCGGTGCTAAGAATATGGACACGGTCAAAGATTGCAACTTTCTTGGGTCGAGATCTGAAAAAGTGTGTTGTGGGAGTGATGATGGGAACTTCTTTGTGTGGGACAAGGCGACGGGGCGACTGGATGGCATTTGGGAAGGCGATGGAAGTATCGTCAATGGTTTGTCCATTTGAATTCTAGTCATGCTCGACAGCTCATCTGCAATCAGTGATAGAACAACACCCCACGCTGCCTTTGATTGCCGTGAGCGGAATCGACAGTACGGTCAAGGTGAGTGATTTAATCACAGCATTTCCATTGCGCTGAAGGGACTGTCCATTGCAGATGTTTTCTCCACTCCCTCACAAGCCTGATCCTTCTTTTTCACGGTTACACCTCCGAGACAGTATCATCAAGGCAAATTTAGAAGAGAGACCCTTATTCTCCCGAGGCGGATTCGCGAGTGTCAGCTTATTTGAATTTCTCGCTCAGCGAGGAATGAGACCAACAGTGCATACTGCCGGTGAGAATGATGGTCGAGATGAGGATGGATCAACGCAGCAGTGTCCAACTCAGTAGCGACGCGTCGTGGGGCGAGTTTCTCGATCGTCAGACTACTGCCTCGCCATGTACTTCATGTAGTGTTTCGCTACGATGATATCGGTTACATGTAATCGTCATTCATGAGTCATCATTCAGCACGTATCAATCCTATTCCATCGGAAGACAAGTCACAAGGGGCCACGCTCCACCTAGCGAATCATAACTGATGTCTTGCTCCTTCCCTGCCCATCCCTCTCGCTCTCCTCGCCCTTCTTACCCGAAGCTCTCGGTTCCCAAATCTTCCAGAATTTGAGGTTCTCATCCGACGCGGCAGTCGCAACCGTACATCCATCGGGACTGAGGGCACTGGACAAGACTCGTTGATCGTGAGCGGGGATGTCATAGATTTTTCCGAGAGATGGATAAGCCCAGAGACAGATATTGTTGTTGGGGAAGCCATGAGTCGACAAGAGTTCTTTCGAATGCGGTGACCAGACAAGCGAGGTGACTTGGGTCTCGGTGTGTAGTGAAGCGGTTCTTGCACCGGTCGTCGAGGACCAAAAGTGAATGTGTTGATCGTGTGTACCACCTCCGGTCGCAAGCAGATTACTCTGCCAAGGGCACCAAGCCAAAGCCTGAGAGACATCAGCTGAGAGTCGCATTGATCGAAATTGACTCACTTTGACGGCGGCAGTGTGATTCCTTTTCGTCCATTTGGCGACACCTCGCGGCACTCCCTCGCCAGTGTGGAGGATGGACTGACCGATTCGACCACTACGCTGTTCAGAGGGAGATTCGTAAACATTGAGCCGACTCACTCCCAGCAGTTCACCACATTGTCATTACCTCCACTGGCAAGGAATTGACCATCCGAACGCCAAGTAAGACCGCATACCTGAGGGCATTAGCTCACTTCTGCGGATAGGCACCTACTTCTGCATTGTGCCCGACCAGCTCCATGACTTTGTGCTTGGCCACTCGTACGTCGTGGTGATGAATGGAGCCGTCCCGGCATCCTGAGGAAAGCACATGCCCATTCCAGGACATTGATGGGACACGAGCGTTATGTCCACCCATTACTCGCATCTTCTTGCCCTCCTCCACATCCCAGATCTCCACCTCGCCATTGTCGTTTCCGACAGCGAGATATGAGCCATCGTTTGACCACGAGACGCAAGTCACGGGCGTTTGATCGGTACTGAGAAGAATCAGCGACGTATTTGCTCCAGGGCTTGCCTTCCCTCTCCGAGCGCGGTGACAGTGCCTGTCTCTGCATCCCAGACGTACGCCAAGTCACCCAAACCGATCGCGACTCTGTTCGCACAACTCCAGTCCATGAGGTTGAGGTAATAGTCATCCACGAACCCAGGTGCATCAAGTACTCGCTCAGGGATATACGGTGGAGGTCGTTTCTTCACTCCACTCGCTGCCGTCCCATCTCCCTGAGTGACACCACGGCTGGAGGATCCAGTAGTGTGAAGTAAATAATTCCGCTGCACGTCCAGATGAGACGTGGCATGGGACGCTAGGGGCGGAGCAGAACGGAAAGACAGGATACGACGGCCGGAGGTAGGAATACCTAGTGATTCTGAGAGGGATGCGGTCGTGCGATCCCCTACTGTGCTCATCGAATGATCCATGGAGGTGTCAGGGGTATGTGAGTCCAGGGCGAGAGTCGGTAGGGTCGTAGACGAGTGGGATGTGTGATGGAGTGAGGTCGGTCGAGAAGGAACGAAACGGTCTCTCTGAGAATGTATATCAGTCTCTGAATGATTTCGTCTACGTTTTCAAACTCGCCTCTCTTCCGCTAGCATCCTTATTCTCCTTGAGTACTGCTGAGCCGCTGATATCCACTGCTCCACCCTTGGATGCGATATCCATCCTTCCCATACCTTCTCGAAGGAGACTCAAGGAGTCATCGGGGGTGGTAGAACCTTTACGAGGTGAAGCAGGAGTCTTGCTGATGAATGGGTTTGTCCTGGTCAAAGGGTTGAAATGTAAGTCATGTTGATTGACAGAATACAGGCACTCACACATCGCCCATATTGCCTGAGGTCGCAGTCTGCAGCAGAGTCATTTCGTCGATGTAGGTGGCTCACTCCAAATTTCACAAAGAAATGAGGGGGGCCTTGTCCCAGGTCGATGTTGGATAGGAGCTAGACTACACGAGAGATGGGTCGACAAAGTCGAATCAACGTACGAGGTGGCTGCACAAACTCCCAAAGGAAAATCAATCGCGTGGTTGAATATTTTTTTGAAACTCTCTTGGTATTTTTGGATGGCAATTTATCCCATTCAGATTATCATTCAGATTTCTTGGAATCTATCAGTCACGCACACTACAGCAACAGTCCACGAGCTCGACATGCAGCATGATGGTGGGAGCAGCAGTAGCGGCCAGTGGTCCAGGACCATCTACGGTGGCTTATCGAGCAGCGTTAGTCCTGAGGCGAGGCTCTCAAACCCCTTGCATTCCCCTCTCGGTTAACCAGCGAAAACACCATGTCGACCTCCAATCGTACAGTACTACAGTTCGTTCGAGTACAGGTGACAGATACCATCGAGGGCTTCGTACCGCAAACGACGGCAGGATCCCAATGGTTCACTCCTATCAGTCTCACTCCGCCTTGTCAGTCCGGCTCGCTCACTCTGCTGCCGAGACTCAGACTCGAGCTCACTCATCAAAATTGGTTACACCGAACCATCGAGATTCAAAGAAGGAGCCTTTCGTTGACGGTCGGTCTGCAGAAGGTTCTGATCGAAAGGGGCAAAACTCAAAGAGGAGAACTCCTAAAACATGGCACCATGACACAAGAAAGCCCTCAGTCGACTTCCCCTCCGGAGGTTCTATCGCCGCTACGCCACTAAGCGAAGCGTCGCGCAAGGGGAAATCATGCAACACTCTCCCGAAGGCCCATGCTCGCCGTCACGAGCAAGGGTCTCCGAAGCTCAGGAGACCTGGCTCGTCAACGGCTACCGGCCAGCCATTGACTTTTGTCCCTTCCGACAACATTATTCCGAACAGTATCGCAATTCCATCTAAAAAGAAATCTGGTCCGGAGGCTGACAAGACCTTGCCGGTCCCGCTTTCGGCTTCTCCAGAACGAACCGCATCTGGAGAACGTACTAAGGCCAAGCACCGCCGAAGAGCTTTGACCCTTGACCCTCTCAAGGCCGAGCTCAATGAAGCCGATCAATCTGCGAGCAAGGCAGATCAAAACGCTACCACTGGACAGATCACATACGCCGCCGAGAGGCCTTCGGAAGTAGCTCTCCGTAAAGTCACTGACGATTCTGCGACCCCGACCCAAATCGTCGAAGATAGGCCCCAGTCCAAGCCGATCTGGAAAATGAAACATCTGCTGGAAAAAGCCAAAACGTTTGACGATTACATTCAGGCATTCCACAAGACCTGGAATCCCGAATTGGCGGCAGAAACGACACCATACGTGTGGTCTCGCATCTCTGTTTGCATTCAAGGCTTCTGCGAGAGCCCAGCTGGTAAAAAGATGATAGCGGAACGAGCGGCCAAGCAAGACGATCGATATTTCTTGTTACGTGATATGGCAGTGGAAACAGCAGGCAGAGACTTTTGGCAGGGACTCTTTGCTCTCTCAGCGACGCTCTTGGCCGCGCAACATGCGGCACTCGTCGACGATATCTGGCTCCGGTATAAGGAAAAGCTCTTTCAGGTTCAAGGCAAAAACGAGCAAGACCTCACTTCATGGGATAGGCAAAAAAGATTGGCAGCTCGACCCGTTGCGGACGGCATCGATCCGATGAACAGAATATACCTCGCTGCGATAGCGGCACTCGATATCAGTGATACGCAGGTTTTGATAAATGTGACTGGCCTGCGCGGTCGGCTACCAATGGGGGCTAAGGTGATTGAAACCATTGACGAGGCAATAAGGACATATCCGGATCCGCAAGAGGTCAGACGAAGATATCTCGCTCTTAGGCTAGACGTCAAGCGGGCAGGGCTTCTGATGCACGGCCACGCAGCCATCGAATATATCAAAGATGTGACCCATACGAATCCTGAAGGCTTGGTGCAGCTTTACGACTGGATACTGAAGCAAGCGACCGGACCCAATCCACTTTTACGCGTTGTACCCTGGGATGCGACTTCGGTAACGTTGCATGCCTCTCAAATATCCACGGACTTTGCTCTAACACGAACAGCGTTCAGTGAGTACAGCGCAGCGGAGCTTTGGGTTGTACTAACGTCAAACAAATAGAGGCTTTGTCACATGCTTTCCTTCAGATTGGGGATTTTCCCAGTGTCGCGAAACTTTGGAGTCACGATCTGCCTCTACTGGGGCTCACACCGCCGGCAAAAGATTTCGGCAATGTAGCGTTAAGACTCGCTACCTCTATGCGGCATCTCAAAAATCAGAATGGCGACACGCTCGAATGTGAAAAGGCTATGCAGACTATGAAGGGTCTGCATAGTTTTCTGCGGGTCGGGACTGGAGGAGAGGACGATCCTATCAATGCCTCCCGGGTGGTCGAGATGAGTATCGCCGAGATTGAGGAACTCCTGGCTGGCGATATGATCACACGCGGTCACGAGTCCGGCGACAGGACCAGGGGGGAGATGATCTGGACTCTGATGCGCTGTGAACGCTTCGCTCAGGCATTGGATGTCCTTGCATGGCCTCCGAAACACGGAGACACCAATTCCAGATCCTGGTCCAGATTCATGGCAGCCATAGCGGGGGTCAGAGCCAGAAAGTCTTTGGTGGTGGCAGATCAATTGCTCGACCAAGCGTTGAAGGAGTCGCCTCCTACAGCTCGATCGATCGAATTCGAAGCGAGTCTTGCTGCACATCATATATGGATGGATCGAGACATTGGCGAGAGTTTGCGACCTGTTATTCAGACTCTGGATCAAAAAGAGATCGAATTCGGGGGGTATGCCTGGACACAAGCCTCGGTCACACTATTCGAAAATCGATCGTCCAGTGATACGGCACTCAATGATCGTTTGGCAGACGCTTCATTCAGGATCATCGAGCACAAACTTGGCGGCCAAACTGGGGAGCATGCCGCCGTTCAAGCGTTGGTGAACGTCGCCCAACGGATCGCTGCCACGTGCGTCCTAAGCCCTGAGCAGAGGATGAATTTCATCATGCGAGCTGTTACGCTTGGCAGGAGCCGTTACGAACGAGGAGCGTGGTTTGCTTACTGGTTTCCGGTCATACGGGCGAGTGTAGCTCGAGATGACGACATGTCACTGGAGGAGGCAATGGCTATCTGGAACGAGACAGCGGATTGGGCGTTTCATCTGCGTTTAAACGTTTGCGTTACAGGGCTGCCTGAGGACAGCCCTAGAGCTCGAGACTTTCTCATTGCGATCTTAAAGGTGGAGCACGGTCTGCGAGGAAAGGGACTCGCGAAGGATCAAATTTGGTCGAGTGAACCGCTCTTGTCGGCCATCAAAGCCCGTGGAATCCGACTAGAACGTGCTGGAACTGCCGGCGAGGCTGTCAAAATTGGTCACCTAGTGCAAAAGCCCGTGCAGAAACGACAGCCGCCCTCTCAGACACGGCGGCAGGTGACGAACAATTTAAAGCCCTACGCGCTACACGAAGAGTTGTAAGCTGTTTAGCGGGAAGCAGACCCGCGCCTCAGTCCGCACGGTACCACGGCCACAACGTCCGCCAATCCCATCCGCCGGTTTCTTTATCCTTCACGAGTCTCGGTTCTCGAGGTTGATCACTCTTCAATGCCGATCGTCTCAAAACCCAGGCAGTGGTTGACCACGTAGCGCTGGAAATCACGGCTGGGACGCATCTCGAAAATGTCAGAATAAATTTGCGCCGGGAGACTTACAGCCAGAATGAAGGTTCTGTCGAGAGCTCGACAACATCATCGGCAGTCTGTATGGTTCTCTTCACCAACAAGGTTGTTATTAGGCAGATCAGAGGGATGATGGGGAGGAGCAGTGGAAGCAGAAATGTCGTCCAATGCGCTGTGTTCCGATACAATAATGGCGGCGGAAAGTAGATGAGAAGTGTGTTCGCTGAGGCTATAATGAAGAAGAGAGCACCAGCTGTAGCGTTAGCCATTTATGATCCAGTTTATTCGTACCTGCTATATGCCAGACCAGTACCCCCCGTACCTGTTCGAAATGTGGCGGCGGATGCTCTCCAGCTATACATCTACGTCTCAAGTCATTGTCAACGATTGCAAACTGACCTGATTCCCTTCTCGCAGGCCCCAAGTCCACCTAAGAGCCAAGATCCCCCGTCGGTATACTTCAGATCTATCCACCAGTACCCTGATCCGGGTCCCGAAGAGCCTTCGAGAAGAATGAGGAGAGTAGTCAATAGTAGGAGAAATGAATGAAAGAGATGCAAGGGGTACCGGTGATATGAGATCAAGCTGTATTTGCCCTTGTGGCTCGTTCTAGAGGGCATGGTGCGCTTGATTCTAGTGGTGTGCAGTGGCATTCCTTGGAATGTGAGCGCAGGAGGCCGATATCTGAAGATGAGGGATTTAATTTGAAAGGAAGGCTGACCGAGCTCAAATGAATGGAGGGTGGATGTCCACAGCCACGCTGAGGGATCTGATAACGACGTGACTGGCAGGACGATTGGTACATGCACAGTGCTCAACTGAGATAAGTCTCGACCACACTGTCCATTGCCTTTTTCGTCTCGCCTCGCTCCGTGCTTTCCAAGAGCAGGTCTCGGAGTTTGCTAATCTGCCCTCTCATCTCGTCATATTTGGAACTGCGCATGATGCTCCAAGTGCTTGTCATCTCTTCTTTGATGGCCTCTTCCGTCTCATGGACGATGCCGCCGACGGCCAGCGGTCGTCCTTTCATCCCACTGTTGACTTGGTACAGCTGGACTCCGGCAGAGTAGACCCTGCAAACTGCATCGAACAGTCAGAAACACCTTAAAGAATACACGCCAGACGTACTGATTGTAGCCCACATCGGCTGGTCTGCAGTGAAAGGCCATGCGACGATAGGCACACCCGCCATGATAGCTTCGATAGTCGAACCAGATCCGCAATGTGACTGTGAGGGAGATTAGTGGTGTTTGACACTCACCAGTCAAACTCACAATGAAGAACCTTATGGCCTCGTGTTGAAGAACGGCGACTTGTGGCGCCCAGCTCACAATCATCCCTCGACCGCTCGCCTCGACGCGCGATCTGAGCTCTTCACTAAGACTTGCACCAGCTGCGGAAGCGGAGACCAGAAAGGGCAGAGCAGGTTTAGCTTCTAGCAAGGTCTCGACCAGATACTGAATCAATTCCGGCCTGTCTTCCGGCCACCACTGGCTACCGAGGCTGAGCATTTCGAGTCAGATGTGAGCTCTTGAAGCTATAGATTTACCAAAAGTACGCTGTTGATTTGGCACCAAAACTGTCTTGGGCTTTGTCGAGAAATTCGAGGATCCCCAGTTCTGCAGCTGACCGCCCCTTGCGAGACTTTGGAGATTGCTCAGTCCATCGCTGCAGATCAAGCTGTGGTCTAGAGTAGCCTCAGGAGGGTGACTCCTCCTGACAAGCCTTGACTCACCCGATCGCGAACAATGGCATGGGCGCTAATGTTTTGCGAAGTAGCTCGTTCGACTTTGGCTCGATTTCCTCGACACCGAAGGTGACGAATCCATCACTACTGAGTCGCGCCTCGAGAACAGCCCTGACTCGAGGAGTGATCCGAGCAGGGAAACCTCTGCCATACAAGCCGGGATCTGAAAGCATGAGTCTCTGGAGGAGGTCGGACATGTCTCACGCAGTTCATCTAGAGAAAGACATTAGCCGAGTAAACTATTGACCACTCCACTCACAGTCGTACATTGGCGGAAGGTCTGGCGTCTCAAGCAGCTCCCCATTCATCTGTGCAAATGCCTGGTGGTGGTCAGAAAAAGTCAGACCTCGTGCAAGTTTTTGACGACCGACCCACCTTCCTACCCGCCTCGCTTGGTGATAATCCCTTATCTTCGTTCTCTTTCAAGCTTTCAAAGAAAGATTCATATCGACCTCCGTGCTCGGTTTTGCCATTGAGTCTGCGTACGTATACTTCAGCACAGGCACTAGTCGATGCAGTGGAGGGACCTCACCTCAGAGAGCCAGCGGACAGGACGGGAGCGAGATAAAGGCAAGGTGCGTAGGGAATGTTGAATTCGTTCGAAATGCCGCGTACAATGCTTTGAGTTGGAATGGTCTCTACTGCAGTCTGCGACAAGCGGATCAATAGTGAGATCTACATCCAGCAAAAGGCCGCTCTTACATCATATATGACGAGGCTGGGCGGGACCTTGAGCCTATTACCGATGGTGTTTCCCGCTTGGTTCGAAGGTACCATCAAACCAAGGAAGAACATCTCGTAAGGCGTTCTCGAGTCGGTCTCTAGCTCGTTCTTGATTTCCAGCCACTGGACGCGCGAGACGACCTCTAAAGAGGTCTCTCTGTGCCTCCTAGACATCTCCTCGTCTAGCTTTGAATATGTATCGGGGAAAGCTGCGAGTGTCACTTGGAGATTTGGAGCCCTCTGCGCGAACTTCAGAGCAATGAGTACGCAGGGAATGACGTGACCCCTGTGCGGCATGAGCGCCAGGATCAGGCCTAGAAAACTTTAGAGACTCGACCTCACCATCCTGGGCCGGTGACCACAACCAGGTGTCGCTCGCTCATATTGCTTGGTAGGTTGAGAGAGAGCCATCATCGGGTCTCAGATTGTATCTAGCGCCCGACGCCATCTCCGTTCTCCCGGATCTGCTCACGTGTCACTGCCGTTGGTCAGCTGGTATGTTCAGACTGCGTGCACAAGCTATTGGTGACTGTTCAGGCAGCGAGCACAACGACGGAGATACATTCGTTTGGATTTTCGTTCAACTTTGCACGAGTAGCACACGGATCTCTGAGGCTTCTCATCTTTTCTGCTGCCTGCTGCTATAATCACAGTCTGCTACGATCGCGAAGCGATTTACGCTTCGCCGTCGACTCGCCATCCGTCCGCTTAGAGCTTCTCCCATACTGCTACAGCAGCCTTGGCGGTAGACGTGGCGGACGCAGGATTGGCTCCAGTGACGAGGTTCCCATCTGTCTGGGTGAAATCATCCCAAGGTCCAGCAGGAGACACATAATTGGCTCCGAGGTCTTTGGCAGAGGCTTCGATAGTGGGTCTGTTCCACGACTTGATGGTGTCCAAGACACCTTCTTCTTCCTCGCCCTTGGTCGTGAATCCAGTGACGTTCTTTCCCGCGATGATAGGTTTTCCGTCCTTGTCTTTGATGCCTTTGAAGATGGCGCCTCCGTGACAGACTGCAGAGACCACTCCTCCTTCTGCCCAGATATCCGAAGCGATCTTTTGAAGATCCTTCGCATCAGGATAGTCGATCAAGGAAGCATGACCAGCCGATGCGAAGAAGATACCATAGTCCTTTGAGTTTAGGTCGCTCGCCTTGTGAAGCTTGTCGAGCTTGGATCTGAAGCCAGACGAGTGGTCCTCGTAGATCTTCCTTTCGTCAGGTTTGAGCCAGTCCTCGGTCGTAGACAGCCAGTCTGGAGAGTATGTCCCAGTCTCTGATGCAAGGTCAACTTCGAATCCAGCTTTCTCAAACACTTCATACGGGTGAAGAGCTTCGGTGATGAAGAGGCCAGTCTCCTTGCCGTCGGGGTACAAGGGCGCGTGAGCCGAGGAGATTGCAATGAGAGCGCGCTTGGGAGGGGCCATGGTGTTTGATTGGGTATGTCCGATGATATTGGAGGAGGAGGTGTCGAGGTCGATCAGTAGAGCAAGCTACGTGGCGCATTGCTCGGTAGCATTTGGTACAATACCCGGTCAACGTCATAGCTCGTTCAAATGTGGCAGATTGCTTTGGTGGGTGTCTTCACGAGGCTCGACTCGCCACGCCGCCACGCCGCCCTTGTAAGCAGGAGCCCCAATGGGTCACTCCCCATTGTCTCCTTCTTCTACCCTTCCATGTTCTTCTCTTCTAGCTCCAGGAACACACAGCGGCTGCCCTAGATCGATGAACAGACATCCCTTTCCGCCGTGAGAAAGTATCTAAGTACATTGCTCCCTTATAGTATCAATCTGCGCCAGATATCCAATCGCGACTGTGATAAATGGCCAGAGAACACCTGAAATAGTCTGAAGACTACACATCTCAACTACTTGCCTCATCTCGTCATTGGTCCACCATCTCGATCTGCGATATCAGGGTGTCTTATACGCGGAGGAGGTGGACGAGGTGGACGAAGCGTCCTCCCGGTCCCATATTACGAGGACTGGCACGAGATAGACGGTGTCAACGTTCGTTGGTCTTGATGCATGATTGCAGCGCATACCCGCGAGAAATCGAGGCATCCTAGACGTGGTCACGCGCCTCATTGGTTCGTGCTCAGCGGCCCGCAGCATCAATCCAAATCCTTCATCCTGATAGGCAAAGTGTCCCCTTGGAACCTGCCCGAGACCCACTCAACCCTGACCAAACCACTGGCCATTCCACTAGCCAACCAGCCGGCACTGTTCAAGCCATTGGCAGAATTCCAAGTGACCTTGTGAATCGCACAGTGAGGGGACCAAGCTACGGATTTCATGAAGGCCGGATCGGCCAACGCATCTCCACCCTTCTTTAGCTTAGTCCCTCTATCGATAGCGTCTTGCGCCATGACCGACTTGGGGCGGACATCAATGGGCATCGAAAGGTTCGTGACCGACACTACTCACCTCTTGATGAAACTGATCAACCATTCGGTAGGTCCCCGACTCATGATCGTAGTCCATCTCAAAGCGACGTAGAAAGTGGACTGGCTGAGCTAATGTCAGACAATCGAGATTTCGCCTCGTGCTCTAAGACCTAACTCACCGCGCCCTTGCGCTTGTGCCAGCCTCTGTTGAGGTTGCTCAGCAGAACAGCCCCGTCCGCCCCGCCGGAAACCGCCATCGTATGGTAATCTGACGTAGCGATACTCTGGAGGGATCGTCAGCGTCGGCAGGGCTGCGGCTTAACATCTGACTGACCCATACTGGGCCACGATGCATCATCAATATGTTTGATCGGTGTGTAGCTGCACCAAATTGCTTCTGCATGACGACGTTGAAGTCGCCATCGCCATACAAGGGAGCCTGGAGCTGTGAAGAGAACGCAGTGGATATGATGGGAGCTTGACGTCACACAGGTAAAGTCAGCGAGAACGAACCTCAATCGTCGATCGTCAAGCAAGGACGACTCACTCCGCTGATGATCCAATTCAATAGGGTTGCTAGCGTCTCGAGTATCAAGCAATATGGCGTTACCATCATAAGTCCCTGCGAGAAGATACGTTGATTCTCTGTCGTATTGCGGTAGACCTTGTGCGGTCCCGTGTGGTATTCTGACGGCGTTGACACTGCGGACGGCAGCCATGGCGATCTGTGTATAAGCTGTGGGCGAGACTGGCGGCGCGATGAGCACAATATTGTAATATAGCCCCACCATCCATTTCACCGGCTTTCAAAGCCTCCAGCACATCCCAGACAACGACGTGAGCTTGCTGGTCAGCTCCTTAGTCGATGACACCTCACCATTCGACAAACCAGCGACTAATCGACCGCCGCTGAGCCAATCGCAGGCATTGCACGCTGCATCATCGACTTGCAATTTGAGGAGGGGTGAAGATTTCACTGCGACTTGTCAGCAATATGCATTGAGAGCTTGGTCGACTCACGATATAACGGTTTCCCATCGTTAGGGACATTCATAGCCTGTCGAAGACTCGCCGGTGTCGGCACGGAGTAGAGCGATATCGAACCATCTAGCTGGACAGCCGCGAGGATCCCCAATTTTGGTAGACTACCATCCTTCGTCGAAGACTGAGGTTGGCGAATCAGCAAGCAGCATGAGCAGTCACAGATCGCCGACTTGCCTCGTCCCACGCTCCCAGGGGCATCCACTTGACGTCCATCGCATTACCACCTTGGATACAGAGTACGATATCACAACGAGCGCTCGAGCTCGAGGAATCGGAAGACAGACTCATCGACCAGATCTGAATACTTCCAGGTGTATCCTCAGGCCATTTCTCGCCGATAGACGGCTGAGTCTCGATGTGAGGCAGAGATGAGACTGCGAGGTATTCCGTAGAGGATCCTGGGCGGCATTGTCAGCTGACATCTGCAAGGCTTACTCACGGTCAAGACCCTGAGGGCACCAATCAACACCCCACACTGGTCCGCCTGTAGACAAGAGGAATCCTTGATGCACGGAACCGAGGTCGTCTGATCAAGATCAGGCACGTCCTTAACGTGGCGACTCACTCAGGGGCAAATTATCAAAGATGCCCAGGTTGACCCGCATTGCCTCCGACCCTTGACCACATTGTAAAGGCACCCAAGTATTACCATGTATGTCGATCAACGTCGGTAGGAAAGACTCGGCATCCCTGTTGAGATATCAGTCACCCATAGCTCGCCATCTCCCATGGATGACGTACTGCTCAGACAGCATCTGCATCTCACTGAGATCGAAACGTCCCACCCCTTCCAGTCCTAGTCTAACCTCTTGTCGAAGAATCCATCCAGGAGGTCTCTGAGGGGCCTGTTCTTTGCCTTTGCCTTTTCCGCTCTCGCTCGTAGATCCACTCGCGCTGAGACTCTCACCCACTTTCGTCTCATGCCACCATCCTTCGCCTTCCCAGACTTGCCAAGGAACCTCGGTAGCTACTGCATATTCCCATTTCCAGATTCTCTCTCTTCGTTTCGCCATCATCCTATCGCCGTCAAGTGTGTCAGGAATCCAAGTCGGTTCCGCTCGACTTTGCACCCCGGAGCTCCAGTGATCCCTTGGATCCGATTCGAGTCGGGTGACGAAAGGTGTCAGAGGTCCAGTCGAGAATCCTTCCATGCCCATGTTCCGTTGTCGATCATGATGTATTTTGAGGAGCTTTGGATCTTTGACGCCCTTATTCGGAGATTGAGAGAGAACTCTCGCAGAGTTCTTGAGGAGATCTTGGTAGGCCCTCGGTGTGATTTTTGTATCAGATGGAGAGTAAAGTTTGGCGTCGATCGTGCGCCAAGTACGCGGTGGCACACTAGCTCCGATAGCGGCGTTGCTCGACGATGAAGATCCCAGCTTTTGTCGTGGCCATTTGCTGGCATGTTGAGCGCCATCCAACGTATCATCGTCCACGATGCTACCGCCATCTCCATCCTCGGCCATATCGAGCAGGTCATCCTCTTCCTCATCTTCGTCCGAGTCCTCAAACGAGCTACTTTCGTCGTTCTCGGAAAAGGAAGCGGCAGTTCCATTTCCCTTGGATGCAGTCCCTCGGTTCGTTTGACCTTTGCCTTTGACCCCTTTGCCTTTGACCCCTTTGCCTTTCTTCTTGTCTCCATTCTCAGCCTCAGGGTCAAACTCGCTCGAATCACCAGACGAGACAGAGCTCTCATCGTCTGAGGAAGAATGACTGCCTGATGCAGAATCCGAACCTGAACCCGACTTGGACCCTCGAGGTGAGCCGGATCCGGAGCCTGAAGCGGATCCCTGCTTGCTGTCTGCATCTTCTTCGTCATCGGACAGGTTTTCGAGGCCCTCTGCCATAGCAGCATAGGATGGTCTCGACTTGCGCTCTCTCAGCGAAACCATGCTGCTCGACGATCAGTCACGCGTCAGGTACTTGACGAGAAAGACACGCACGAGCATTTCGAACTTTTGTCATGGTCGCCGCGTTGCGGACATTGGGTTTTGTTTACACATGTCATCCATTCTGATGTGGCTTGCCTGCTCTTTGAATCATACGACAGTTGCCAATCTCGGACTCTCCAGTATATCGTATCGTCGCAATGCATCATGATGGGTATTACGTGACACCAGTGTCCGTGAAAGTATTTGTTCTCTCTGATACAATTACTATGGCAAATGTCGCGTAACGTCCGCCTGCCGTGTCTAAATCCTGAGGGCGAACCTATCTGTCCCTGATCCTCAGTATCGCCTTGAGCTCTGACTGTCACTCCAGTCCCCATCCTCTGGGTCCACCTCATGGAAGTCCATTTTCCCCATGCCTCGGATAGGACCTTCCACCTCCGCCTCCCTCTATCATCACAAAAATGACCTACAACAGCAAGACGCTGATGCTGGCCATGAGACCGACGGCAACACCAGCGGCGCCCATGACGGCATTATCTGATCCTAGTGATAGTCTTGAAGGGGCAGATCCACGCTTGAGGAAATCAGAGATGGTGACGGTCGACCGTTTTCGCGTTGTGACCTGCTGTCCACTCGCCTGGAGACAAGTGTCAGCGAGTTAATGATGAGGTGTTTTGATCAAAACTCACGTTTACTCCTGTCAGAGGCTGAGTGGGGAGCATGTTGGGTGGTCTCGCTGTGAGGTACATCTGTGTCGCGTCAACAAGGGATCCCTTATATCATGGATTCGTACGCACCGGTGGCATCTTTGCGCCATCGAACCGGTTGAGCTTCAACACGTAGTTCTTCGTCTGTTGATCAATGGTAATGCCCCAATCCGCGTACAGGGTCTGCCCAAAAAAAGGTTATTCACAGGTTCCCCATGAGAGACGAAGAAACAACTCACCTGCTGGTCGATGTAGGTGATGATATTGGTCACCGCAGCACACGGATCCTGGACCTGGATTCGGCCATCCGCGCCAAACGGATAGAGAGTCATAGATCCGTTGTCGTTCAACCCATATCTACCATGTTGCCATTGTATTGTCGCAGTGATGCACTTTGGATTTGAGGCATTCCCTTTGTACCGGTACATGGCTTCCTCGAAAAATCCATCGTCGGTGCTGTGATATGCAGACCACGGAGGGAGAAGTGGTTGTAACAGATGACAGTGAGGTGGAATGGAATGGAGAGAGAAGACATCCTGGTCAGCATGATCAAACAACCTCCGCATGGTGTCAATACTCACAAAGCGTAGGCGATACCAGTGTTGTTAGGATAGGTAAACTTCATCTCTGCTGGGATGCAGAAGTCCTGAGTATAAGCGTCAGTGACAGCTCACGACGTGAACTAATGGCGCGAGAAAGCGCGAAAGGGTTGACGGGGACATGACAGTCTTGGCGACCTGGGAAAGCTGGGCATGGGCATCCACTCACTCCTCCTGTACCAACGGCTGCATTCGAACTCCATTCGCCCTCCAAGGAAGTGACGTTGTTGGCAGATGACAGGTCGGGACCTTGCGCGCTAGCCAGAGGGCTGAGCAGGGCGAATGAAGCGAGGATGAGTGAGATCATGATCCGAGGTTGATGAATGAAAAGGGAGAAGGGAAAGAAGGGGAGAGATGCCGCGCCAAGCTACGGGTTCAGCTGATGGGCGGAAAGATGTTCGATGAGGTCAGGTCGAGGTAGGGACCGAACTCGGGTTGAAGGACCAGGACAGATTGATCGCACTGGCTGCTTGTTGTGAACACGCTTCTCAGCAAGATGCCTTGCGAGACCAGTTCTATTTGTTGTCCTGTAGAGGATGCTAAGAAATGACTGTGCACCGGAGTGGCGGGAAATCCCAAGCGATGCTGCCTTTTTGTAGGGGGGGGATGATGCTCTTTGATTCTAGCTGTACTCGTCTCAGCGGCCTCCAAGGTAGCAGAAGTGAGCAGCAGCAGCAGCAGAGCGGTCTGTAGAGAAGATGGTGTTTGAAGGACGAAGGGATGTATTGTATTGGTTGAAATGAAATAAATAGCAAAAGAGGGTTCAGGGAGGGGCGTCGTGTTTTTCCTTTGCAGTGCTGCTTGTCTTCCCCCCCGTCGTCGCATCATCGCTATTTACCCAAAAAATTGTGATTTTTGATTCCGCTGCAGCTGTTGGGAAATTTTGATTCCGTTTCTGGTCTGGCGGCGGCTGTTACCGCTACAGCCGCTAGGTGGGTGTGGCGGAAACTGAGATGCATCATCATTTGTGGCGTCAGGTCTCTTTTGCTTTCTCTAGCTGGATTCTGCAGCAGCACATGTACCCTTCTGAACTCTCATGGGATGGGCTTCGGTGTTGAAACTGAGTGAGACTGATCAGCTTCAGACCTTTATTGATATCACGTATCGACTCACACAAAGGCGTCCAGCCTTACCAGATCCGTGTCCGCGAATGTGAGATAGAGATACTTGAGCGTCTCTGCAAAGTAGTAACTGGAGCTCCCTCAGCCCCTGTTCCCTTAAGCTACTGTTACCTCACCTCGGTATATCTGGATACTGATCACCTCCGTTGGGCATACTGACGTTGAAAAGACTCGACATGGTCACTGGAGGTCTCTTCCCATCTCTCTGTTGAGCTTGGAACACTTCCCAATTGTAATCTCTCCATTTTTCATCTCCGGTGATCCGCCAAGCGTAAAACATACTCTCAATAGGTTCAGGGTATAAAGTATAGAGCGCTCCATAGTCGTCGTATCTGATAAAATAGCCCCACTCATCAGCATTCGCTCGAGCGACAGCAGCTTCCGAGCTGTCGTTATTGTATTTCGCCTCGTACGCCAAATTTGTCTCCGCATCGTACCATCCAATGGCCAGAGGATTCAAGCCTGAGGCGGTACTATTGTACAGTGCATGGCAGGTATCTGCATAGGCAGATCCTAGGTCAATGAAGTCTTGTCGATTGAGGTACGCTCCCCGAGTAACCAGTTGCCACCGGCGAAGCAGGAATAATCGTCCATTTCGTCTGTGGGATATCCTGTATTATTGAGGATATTGATGAACGTCAATTCAGAATGATTATAAGGATGAACAGCCAGATGTTGCTGCGTGGACTCCACGGCTGTCGTCCAGAATGATTGGTATTCTCCAGCGTATTGTTGAGTATCATCATATACCACAGACTTGATGAGGTACTCGAAAAAGCTATCCACACCACTTTGCCAACCTGCATTTTCATTCTCGAACTGACCAGAGTCGATATTGACTTGACTTCCAACGAGACTAGGATAGACTGGGGCCGGTTGAGGGTTTAAAAGCCAAGCCTCAGCCCTGTCAGCTTGGTTTCGATACGTCTCATCCCCGGTGAGATCGGATAAACGGTGGTATTCCAAAATCACAGTTCCGAACGTCGCTGTGTTCTGGAAGAATCCTTCGGATGGAACTCGAGTGGTGGTGTTGATCCAAAAGTAGGGTAGACCGGTTGGTGATGAAAACACTGGAGACAAGAAGTCTGCGAGCGTCTTTGCACCGTCCAACAGCTTGGCGACTTGAGTCTGATTGTAGTCTCCAGCAAAAGGCACAAGCTGCGAGGTGATGAGATCGTAAGAGCTTAGTAGACCTCCAATGAGCCGAATGATGGTGTCGAATTCATCGATCTGAGGATCCGTACTGACGTTGAAGTTTTGACTCGCAATATGCTGCAATTGCCTATCCGCGATATCCTTAAGGCCCATAATGACGGCAGTATCGAAACCGTCAATGATGATCAGACCCCATCCGCCAGACCCAGTCGTTCCAGTCTTGGTCAGGGGATTGTATCCGTCAAATCCGAATGCATGATCTGCGTAATCATTCCAGGCATCGACGTAGGCAGCCTACATGTCGTCAGTCGGTGATGCTGAGGGATTTGGGACTTATTTCACCTTGACAGCATCGGCTCGGGTGTCATTGGCCCCTCCGTTGTCGCCAAAGTCGTATTGTATACCTATACAGCTACTCTTCTTGTCCAAGTTGACATGAGATGCGATGCAGGAAGTGGCAAGCAGAGCCAAGATCGACCACTTCATCTTGAGTGTAGTCACAGGATCAGAAAACAGGGGATGGCGGATTCATTGGGCATAACGAAGACCAGACTACCTCTCTAAACATTCATCATGTCGCCCCCCTCAAGTTCATCATGTGGAGTCACCGATCAATCAGCCTGAATTCACCACGAATATGACACGCTAGCAGGGCTCTTGGTCCCAACTCTATCTTGCCCGGCCACCTTCAGACCAGTCTAGTGGATTACAATCACGTCCTGGATAGAGTTCGGCTTGCGGGCAAATCATGCGCTCTCGCGGAAATCATCGCCGGTGAACGAGACGAGATCCCGCTTTGCCGCTTGTTCGGGCTCGGCAGAAGAGCTCTTCGGAAAGGTGCGGCTCGTACCATTGCAGGATGACATGCACTTTTTCCAGCCCCCATTAGACGGGTATACAAGACCTCCTTCCTAGAGCAATACAGTGCCGCCGCTCATGAAGGCGACCACTGCCAATCCAATACTTAGGCTCAGTACCAGTCTTCCATATCCGTCCACACCGCTGATAACATCATGCAGGCCCAAAGCCGATCCATCAGAAACATTTCCGCCAGTCGCGTTCGAGGACGGCCCTGGCATGAGACTGCCAGTAGGTCTTGGTGATCCAGACGCTCCAGATATTCCAGATGATATCAGAGGATGAATGGATTCAGAAGCCGCCGTCGCCGTCCCAGTCAGCAGGATTCCAGAACCTGAACCTTGAGATGCCGCTGATACGCCACTTGCAAGCAATGACCCAGCTGAGTCTGTAATCTTTGCCCCTCCACTCGTCAAAGATGCCCCGACCGCATCGGAAGTCTGAGCTGCGCCTCCTCCAATGACTGTTGGTGTCCAGGTGGTAAAGCAACATTGATCACCGCTATTGGTCACGGACTGAGACTCCACGTCCAAATCTTGCCGTCTGTTCAAGTCTATATCCGGAGGTGTGTCCACTAGACCTCCTCCTCCAGCAGCAGCATTTGACGTAGAAATTGGAGGCGAGGATCTGACCTGGGTGATGCCGACATTTTGGGTGACGTCGCTTGCAGGCGCCGATATGGCCGTCGATGACAAACCGGCGTCGCCATCTCCGCCTCCGCCAGTGCTGCTGCCGTTCCCTCCCGCACACGGTGTACAAGTCTGGACAGCTACCCAACTGGTCGACGGCGAATTACCGTCATTCGAGGCACCAGCCTGTCCAGTTGGTATGCCACTAGCCACGGACGCTATACCAGTCCCATCCCAACTGTAATATGGAGGCATGGTCTGGCCGTTGGCTTCGCTAGATCCGGTCTGACAATTGGAAGGCGCGGGAGCAGTAGGATCAGGTGTAGGCTGGGCTCCCTGGAAGCCCGAGGTCAGAGCTAGGGATTAGGTAGACGTGCTGAGACTCACCTGGGAATAAGTTGATCCCCCAATGACTCCTGGCGGATCGCCATCGTCTGACTTGCAATTCTGCCAGACTCCATCCTGTCCGATTGAATTTCCAGTGAAGAAGTAGCAGCCCATCTGATCGTACGTGGCAGGGCAGAACCTGAGAATGGGCGTCAGCTCACCCTTCTTTTCGGGGAATGATCACACCCTTACTTGGCGTCACCGGTACATGCTCGCAGGCAATACGTTGTAGCGGAGATCAGCATCTGTGCGCCAGTCAGTCCGACCGCAATGTACAGGACTGACTCACCACCCAGTCCTTGCTCGTGTCGGAATCACTGATGAACACTTTCGCACCGTCCGGCGTATGTGTGCTGGAGTCAAACTGTCCACCATAATCGCCAGGGGCGATATTGATCTTTGTAAAGTCACCACTGGATGAGATCAGCCTCAAGCAGAGGAAGCTGAGACGCCTCACAATCCTGACACTTGAACGTAATTCGGCGTTTTGACATATGTCACCCCGTGCAATGTGCCATCAGGTATCAATCGAGCATCGTGTCCCGCCTTTGAGTAGTGCATGAGCACCTCACCTCTTCCAATACCTATCTTTGGCAAGTCGACTCACCTTCGAACACCACGAGACCACGTTGTACCCCGAGTCTGAAATGTACGCGAACGGATCCGGTGGACCAAAGAGACAAATGTCGTCGTGCCCCGTCAGGTAGATATCCCTGCTGGTGCTCGTCTGCGAGCCCTCCTGGTGACATCAGCTCGAGATGGTTGATACGGGCACCTGAACCCACATGATCCCGCTTGCCGATCGTTCGATTTTGTGTCGTCCCAAAGTCTCTCTCGTGTATCCTTGTGCGCTCATGTCTCGAGCGAACGTATTGAGCACTAGTGAGGGGTGAAGGGTGGGCGAGGCGAATGAGAATGTACAGGAGAAGGAGGGGAAACGGCACACCTGGACGCCGTGATCCCATGATTGTTGTCCTTGTGGTGAAGAGGGTCGGGACAGGCCTATCGTGTGTGTCGAATGGAGGTCCACTCGACGTTCCTCCTTTCAATGCTAGCTCTCAACCTTGCTTCAATGCAGTAGATCGCTCCTGGAACTGGGTTTCAATGATGTTGAGAGGTACTTCAGGGTGATTGAGAAGGATGATCAGTGGCGAAAGATTCCCTAGTCAGATTCAACGTCAACATTGACAACGGCAAATCCAACAGCACTCCTCGGTCAACGACGCAACCGGTAAAAACAAGGAAATGCCTTTCCCATTAGTCCTTTGACGAGCAAGGGAGACCGGATGACAAAGGAGGTCGAAGCGATGGGTGTGGAGCAAAGCCGGCGAGACGTCAGTATCGATACCAAGATTTCGGCTAGGTGGCAGAGTGCGCCACACATCAGCATAAACAGTACAGTATGCATTCAGCAGACTGAAGCCACATCAATGGACTGGGAGCCCTTTTGACGTTCTGCGACGCCTTTTTCAGTGACCACGCAGCCTAACGAGCCGTCAGCATGTAGTTTGCGGAGCTACAACTCACTTATGAGATCGGCAGGAGTGACATCGAATGCTGGGTTGTAGACTCCCTGCCAAAGCTCTGATCCCTCTCCAACCCCTTCTGGTGAAATACGGACGACCGACATTTCTCCCGTCTCGAGATTCTTGCCTCGCACCTGAGTGGCTTCCTTGCCTGGACGCTGCTCGATGTTTATCCTGGGATCACTCAGCTCCTAGTGCTTCATCTTGACTCGGTACTCACTCCGCACCGGTCTTCAGCGATAAGTCGACGGTTGTAACTGGCGCAACGACCATGAAAGGGACGCTGTGCCTGTTCGCCAATACAGCAGCTTGATATGTGCCAATCTGGCGGATGTGAGCAGTCATAACTCTCTCGGACTGTCACCGCGCACCTTGTTGGCTGTATCGCCATTGGCGACGATCCTGTCCGCTCCGACGATCACGCCATCGATGTCGTGAAGCTGCATCAGAGAGCCGAGCGCAGTATCGCCTGAACAATTCTCAGCAATCATGGGCTTGAGTAACGGGCACTTACAGACCATACATGCAGGCATCTTCAATGTCGTGAGCTCGAGAGATGTGAGACGAGAGCCTGATATGACATCAGTGCAGGTCTTTCAGCTCGAATTCGACGTACCTTGATGATATGGTGTAGTCTGGGCATAATACGCTCGTTCCAATTGATCCGCCTCGAACAAAGCTGTTATGACTCCGATCGCGGTTCCGTAGCCCTGGGAGAAGATGAATGAGAATGAAAGCGATCGGAGTTTGAGGTCTATCCTCACCGATGTGGCTAATGACCCCGTGTTACAGACTGTCAAAACCTTCAGACCCTTCTTCCCACTTCCAGACCCTGCTCTCCTCTTTGCCCATAACCACTCGGCTCCCAGTCGACCCATGGTAATGCACCGTTCAAGGTCTTCTCCATGCACAGCAGTACAGATTTGTTTGATCTGATCGACGAGGTCTACAGGAGATTGGGATTCGGAACCAGAATCTAGAGTAGATCGGATCCTGTCCATCGCTTCGGCAAGATTGACCGCTGTCGGACGAGATGACTGGAGGTAGTCACATATCCTGCTGACATCTTCCTTGACGCTGGACGTGGAATTGTAAGAGTCATGAGCCGACAAATGAGAGCGGATGGACAGAGCAGCCAAAGATGCTATAGCTGGAGCTCCTCGAATCTAATGTTGAGGGAACAGTCAAGAGCAGCTCGCGCGATGCCGCTGGGGCTCACCTTCATCGACTTGATAGCCTCGAAAGCTTCCTCAGGTGTGGAGATAGGGATCCAAGTGACAGTGTGTCTGGTTCATTCAGCTGTGCCGGTCACACAGAAGACACGGCGGCTCACGGCAGTAAGAGTTGGTCAACGATTTCAACTTGACCCGCAGTGTCTATCCGAATGGAGGTCATCATTTCCGGGAGCGGATTCCGCTGGGACCCGGCGAAGGCAGTCATTCTGGGACTCTCTTGCCACGGCTTGTTACTGTGTGATACGCCTTGCCAGCTGTTGACAGGTACTGTGGGGATCGTTAAATGACAGATATATTTCTGTTGTAAGCACGTTTCAGATTTTTGGCAGCAAAAAAAATCAATCCAAAATTCATTTCGAACCCCGACGGAGCGGCGATAATCGCGACGGTCCATGTAGCTTGGTGTCTAGAATATAGAGCTCATGTATGCCCTCAATAGACTAATTATCTACAGATATGTTCCTCGCATGCCCATCAGGCTTCTGCCCCTTTTCGCCAAATGGACGCCAAGGGGACGTCGGATTCGAGTCAACCGGACTGTACAGGTTGATGTATTCCATCGGCGGTTTAGCAGGTAAAGGCGGAGGTGGTCCATCGGCTGGACCTAAATCCTTCGGATCACTCGTTCGGGATGATGCACGAGCCAGGACCTCTTTGGCCAGCGGAGAAGTACTGGAATAGCTGGGTTCTCTGACGGGCTCGGGTCGAGAACTTGAGGCAGTAAACGATGATGGTGGTGGCGGAGAGGATGATGATGATGACCCATTCATTTTTTTCTGAACGGCTTCTTGAGCTCGTTCAAATCGCTGCTTCATCATTTCTTTCTCCTCTGACGCTGACATGTATTCTGATCTATTTGTGAGAGGCGAAGAAGTCGATCCCGATCCCGAACCCGATCCCGATCCCGACATGATCCGCCTCGAGGGACCGGCAACGGCTGGCGTAGGTGTATCTGGAGTGTCAGGGAAGATTGCCGCTGTCGACGGTCCAGCGTTCGGTGTCTGAGTATCTGTACTCGGTGGTGAGCCAGTAGCAGCCCGAGCCACTCGGTCTTGAGCTTCATAGTACCGTCTCATCTGTTCTTTTTCGCTCAGAGCTGTCTGAGGCGAAGATTTGTGATTTGGCGTGCCGGAACCAAGCGGTTTTGCAGAGGAGGAGGAAGAAGAGGACTCTCCAGGATTGAGGGAACGCCTGGAGACTCTATCTTGAGCTTCGTAAAATCGTTTCATCTGTTCCTTCTCACTCAGAGCTGGCGTGGCTGTCGAGCTCGAGGCACCAGGTGTCGGAGATTGCTCCGTGGCTTTCGAACGGTCAGGAGAGATACTGGCTCGAGCGACTCTATCTTGAGCCTCATAGAATCGCTTCATCTGCTCTTTATCGGTGATACCCGCTGCACTACCCGAACCCGACGGCGACGGATCGGATGGTCGTGACTGCCTAGCAGCGCTCGAGCTCTCAGGGGCGCCGGAGCGAGCCACTCTATCCTGCGCTTCATAGAATCGCTTCATTTGTTCCTTCTCAGTGGAGCCCACAAGTCCGGTCGGAATTGCGACAGTACGAGGAGTAGCCGGTCCAGGGACGGGACCGGCGTCAATCGCGTAAGAGGGACCTGCCGAGGAGCGAGGTTGTCTAGGGGCAGGACCTGCATCAACCGCAATGGAGGGTCCAGGGGATGAGCGAGAGGTAAGAGAGGCTGAGCCAGCGTCTATGGGGATGGAGGGATCCGTGGAGGAACCTGAGGCTCTCGGTGTCCCGCTGCTGGACCCTGAGACGACTCTATTCTGAGCCTCTTGAAATCGTCTGCGTTGGGTCTCCTTCTCCTCGGCGGCGGAAGCATATGATGAGCTGGGTAATCGAGAAGGACCAGCTGCCGACGAATCCGTCGTAAGAGAAGGTTGCGTGATGGTAACTGCTGGGATCTTGGTGGCGAGGGGAAACAGCGGATCCCCGGGTGGTGGGGGTTCATACTCAGGTGGAGGGCCTTCCATACCGATGGTATCGAGAGAGGCGCCAGTAGCCGATTGACTAACGACTGCTCGGGATCTAGCATCGTCATAGAGTTTGAGCTTCTCCTGCTCCGCATTAGGCCATGCCGTCGCTGAGGTTGACTTCCGTTGCGGACCTGGCGGCGAGCTTGTGCCTGGTATAGCTGGTGATCCGGTTGGTGAAGATCCAGTTCGAACCGGGGCTCCCTGCGAGAATCGTGAGCGCCGTTCGGGCTAGCATCACTCACGCTGATAGCATTCTGAAGATCTCTATCCCATCGACCAAAAGTCGCTGACGTGGCGGTTGAATATCGCTTCATCCTACTGTCGTGGCTGATCTCTGAGCTCATCCGCTCATGACTGTCAGAGCTAAGCATCGGCGACGCTGATGGCTGCAGAGGTGGTGCAGCTGAGCCTGTATCGGTTTTGAGGGGCGTATAAGCCGATGGAGCCGGCATGGCAACGGAATATGGTCTTCCAGTCATATTTGTCATGGTAGTCATGGTCGTGTTGGTCGTCGCGGTAGATCCGCTCGAAAGTTGCCGCCGGAAGGCTTCATTCGGGGTGAAACCCTGAATGGATTGAGGGCGACCTGCAAATGTTGCGGGACGATTATTCGCATCCGTCTGTCGTCCTTGCGCATTGGGACCAAAATTGGTATTTGACAGCTGACCGGCGGACGTCGGTCGAGGCATGGCACTAGAATTCATTGACGGCTTGGGGGACGGATCTGGTCGGACAACACCGGGACATAAGGTCTCGACGTAACCGATATCGCTGGCTTTCAGCTCGGAGTACCTTTTCGCGATGACTCACTTGACTGCTTGCTGCGCGTTGGCTCGGGAGAAGGGCCCCACAGTGTAAATCATTCCTCCCATCTTGAGCTCTGGTGCACCATGTAATACAGCCTTGACTTCGAGCTTGTATTCTATCCTGAGGAGGCGAGCTCGACTGACGGTCAAGAACATTTTATCTCCAGAGGGAGCGTTCATGTCAACCCGAGCGGACTTCTCGCCTCCCCTGCCGAGACTCTCCGACACTGCTATCCTTGCAGATGTCACGACTCGACTACGAGTGACAGGTTGAACGGATTGTCTACTCTTCTTTTTCGTGCCAGCTTGATCCTGTTGAGGCAGAGCAGTGACAAGCTCCACCAGCTGGCATTCAAAGCCTTTCAATTGAAATGGTGAGGGTCTATTAGACTTGAGCGTCGCGGTGAGAAGCATCCGATCATTGGGTCCAATACCTATCCACGGCCGCTGGACCGTCAATGTCAGATCGTTGTTGGATCCAACGGTCGTATCAGGGATGTTATAGACCGGCCAAGCAGAATGAAGATCATGTCTGATGATCCGAAGATGCTCTGTGACCTTGATGATCGGGGCGCCCTCCTTCTTGAAGACTCCGCCTTTCTGTCGATAGCACAAAGCGGCGACAAGCTCGTAGCGGATGCCTTTGCCCTGAGGCATCTCGACTGACGACGGAAGATCATCAGGAAGAGGCAATGAGAACTTGAAGTCCCCTTGCTCCAACACATCCCATTCCTTGTCCTTCGCGGTCCAAAGATTGCAAATCTCTCCGACATGATCCCATGTCTCTCCCTGAGACGACGTAGGAAATCCTGGAGGGAGTGATTCGTACTTGCGTAGCTCGACTCTGACCCACTTTGCCTTGATCGTATTCTGAGCGACCCGAAGTTCTAGCTGACCATCCACCGTCGGCTGTTTACGAGAAGACGAGGAAGCAAGGATACCTGGATAACCTTGAATAAAGGGAAGATGAGGCGGCGCCCGAAGTGAGAGTCGAGCGGGGTGAGCCATGGTGAGAAAGTGGTTGAGATTAGGCGAGAAGAGGAGCTCTAAGGATATCTAGCCTGTCCATGGCATGTCATCGGGTGGACTGCTCCGGACTCTCAACTAGCTGCTCCTATCATTCCAAAGACCAACAGACCCATATATACTCGGTTCACGAAGGACTGCGTTCCGCGCTTAACTTTCCGGAAAGACCACGTGGGTAACACGTGACCATCATGACGTAACACACATGCGATCTCCGATGTTCGGTGGATGATCATCGTCTGCTTGAGGGACAGGACAATAGGACGACAAGGACGAAGCCGCACGCACAGCTCACTATGTCTTCCTTGGCAAAGATGGCACTGCCAGTGCTTAAGCCAGCGATGCCTTATCTGGCTCGACTGCCGACATCCCTCCTAACCTTGGTCCCCAGCGCCGCTTTCCACTTTACCTCTCATCCATCGCCGAATCCATGGACCTACTTTCTCGATCCCTTGACTCACCCACTACATGCTCCTATGCTCTTCACGGCGTTCATGATACCTCTATTCTACTTTATGGGTTTGATATCAGGCAATGTCGGTTGGGTCGACCGATCTTGGCCTTTTTACACTCCACTTTGTAGTTACATGATCCTTCTGTGGGCTTTTCTGAATCCTTCCGCTGGGGTCTATGCGCACAACCTTCCTAGATTGGTGTTAATGATGACCCTTCAGGTGAGCCATAGTGCTATAAAACCCTGATGCTGATCCTCTCAGCTCATCTGGTCGACCAGACTCTTCGGTCATGCTCTCAAGCGAGACTTCTACGATCTGACATCAGAGGATTATCGATACACTCAGTTCAAGAAGCTGGTCCCCAACTGGCTCTTTCAGCTCGTGCACATTTTTGTCATTGGTGAGTTAACATGTCTGATTTTGCGCTGACCCCCCAGCTCTTGCGCAACCTCTACTCCTGTTCGCTCTGGCACTCCCTTTCCATGCTGTTCTCGTTCACCCACCCTCCGAGCTTCAATCAGGAGCCATGGCCTTGCCTTACTCTGCAATTGAGCGTTACCTTCCCGCTCGCTTTCAGACTGCTCCAGGCTCAACACCGGTCCTCCACCTGGGAGATGTTGCCCTGACGTTGGTTGCTCTGACGATACTCTATATCGAAGCGAAAGCGGACCGCCAGATGTATGCATATCAAACGTCCAAACACTCTTCTAATGGAGAGACGACAGTCTCGCAACCACGCCACAGCACCCGGATTGGACCGAAACCGGCTCCCTTCCCCAAGTCCCATCACCCTGGCTTCATTACCTCCGGCCTATTTGCTTGGACGCGCCACCCAAACTTTGCAGCTGAGCAATTATTTTGGGTCTCTCAAGCGCTATTCGTGGTCGTCGCAGGGAACAGTAGTCAAGTCACACGGAGTGGATGGCTGGTAGGGTCGATCTTTGGACCTTGCTTCTGCGTGAGTGCAACACTTAAAAGACAACCTCTGACGGACACAGCTGAGTCTCCTCTTCTGCGCGAGCACGTTCCTCACGGAATGGATCACAGAGCGCAAGGTATGTGGTCTACAAGGCTTCCCGCTGACGGACAGTACCCCTTGTATCATTCTTATCGTAGACTGGTAGGCCAATTTCTGCCCCAAGAAACCTTCCTCTGCTGGCTCTGGTCCACGGTGACTGGGAGTAGTGCCGAGCATCGCCGAGCATTGAAACGATAATGCATCTGCATCACGCATCTGGCGGACTCAAATAGCTGTATCCCTGTGCACCCACATCCTCAAAGATCTTTTTGACCGCTGCGATGGCTTCTGCCATTTTCGGTGCTTCCGGTTCCAGGTTTGCTTTGCGCCAGCCAGTGACTGTCCGCCTGACTTCGTCCACGTTCTTGCACCCAATGACTGTGGGCACTCTGACTCCGTTCGGTGATCTCAGCTCCTTAAATCCAGATTGCACCGCAACCTCTTCCAATGTCGTCTCATTTTCCTTGCACCATTTAACAGCCTCTCGCGAGGCATCATAAGCCCCGCTCTTGTCTCCTGCCATCCGTAATGGATGCCAGTCGGCAGCGCCGGCCGACGTGAGGACGCCCATAGCTAGAGGAGCAGCGTTCATCACTTGTTTGACGCCCGCTTCTTCAAACTTGGCCAAGTAGCCCTGGCTTAGTGTCGAGCACTGGAGTGTCTCATGAGAGTATGTCTGAAGGATATCCAGGGGTCCAATGTCCGTGCTAGCTGCTAGTAGAGCTATACGAAGAAGAACGGGAAGAGTGTATCCGGCAATTCCAATGGCTCGGATTGTGCCTTCGGCTTGAAGGGCTCGTAGTGTTCTGAGACCCTCTAATACATTATCTTCTCCTGGGCCGAGAGATTTGATAGGAGGGGTCAGAAGATCTGTCGGAGGCGATTCCAGGTGATGTCCAGCTGGAACTTTGTATGGAGTCACAAACTCGACATCGTGAAGGTCTGCACTGTCAGCAGTGGTTATTGTCCGAGATGGACTCACAGACGACGTCTAAGTAGTCCGTCTTGAGTCTCCTTAGGCTATTTTCGACTGATTTGCGGACAGTCTTTTCATCGTACATGTGTTCTGGCGGGCTCGGGCCATATTTGCCCACTTTCGTCAGAATCTTGTAGCTTGAACGAGGGAACTCGGAAGCCAGTTTAGCTAGAGCTTGACCCAAGACCTGTTCGGAGGGATTATACCACGGCGCTGAGAATCTTGTCAGCTTCTCGAGAGCTCTGAGAGCGTCCTTAGCTTACACGTGTCGAATGCATTGATGCCGGATCGAAGTGCATACCGAACGGTCCGGCATGACATGTCTGACAGAAAGTTCTCCGTGTCTGCATATATGCCGTAGCCAAATGTCGCACATCCTAGAACAACAGGGGGTAGATTCTCGCTCTGCAGGACACCATCGGATCAGCACATCACGCCCACTCACACTCCCTGAGGTGAACTCATTGGACTGACTGTTTTCGGGATCACTTGATCTTCAGTCGGGTGCTCATCAGGTGGATCGGGGATGCTACCTGGAAGCGGTGGGATAGACTGTTCGGGTTGATCTGGATGATACTTTGGTAGATTCGGATTGAGGTCAGACATGGTCTGTCTGTAATAGCACTCGACAGGGAGCTGACTATGTGTCGAATGATGGAGGGGTACATATCTTTGTTGCCAGGTGGAGGCTCATGGACGTGACTTTTTCGGAAATACGGCCACGAGCGGTAAAACACACTACCGTATCTCTTGTAATCAGCTGGGCATGCAAAGGGTCTAGATGGTAGATGGTGTTGAGACTCACAGTGGTGAACGATTCGGGTCACCCTGTCAGTGCGGCAGAGCTCAAGGACCTCTAGATCCTGCGTGACAGGTATTATACCACGATAATCATTTGGCTAAAGATGTACGCCTCTACGACTGCTTGTCATGGTTCCGAACACTTTGAGAACATATTGAACCGAGGTCAGCAACAATGAATCTTGCATCTGAGCCTTTCCACGTCTCTATCGCATGGACGTAAACGTTTAGGCATAGGTCGAGGTGTTCCAAGCAGCAGAGGATCAGAAATCAGATCGCCACGTACGTTTACCGCCTGTAACCGCGATGTATAGATCAGATATAGTCGAGTTCAATGTTGTTTTATTGGAGGACTCAGTCAAGACTGCTTGCATCTAGCAGGCTAGCATGCCTCTCAGACTGCTCTCGTGCGGATCCAATCCGTCGGGACAGCTCTCTTTGGGTCACTCCGATGACGTGCATCAATACTCGCCGTGTCATTTCCACCCGTCTATTGAGCATCTCCTGAAGAAAGCGAGCATCCTAGATTTGGTGTCATCCTCCTCTCACTCCCTCCTGCTCCTCTCAACCGAAGTCGGCAATGTCCTCTTGGGAGCTGGCACTAACACCCTGGGTCAACTTGGTCCCCGATGCGCTTTGTGGGCCGATGTGTCTCCAGAGACAAAATTCAAATCTGTGGACCTACTTGGACCGGCTGGATTCAGCACGGACGAGTGGACACCGGTGAAAATCGCATGTACATGGACGACGAGCTTCGTAGCTTACCGAAAGATCACGAGGGGCGATACGGTGCTTTCGCCGGTGGAGCAGACACAGATGGTCCTCGGTTGCGGATCGAATGATTTCGGTGAACTCGGTCATGAAACCATCTTGGAGGGTCAGGCATCGGTAGCCCCTAGTGCGATGAATCTAGGTCTCGAGCCGGGAGAGGAACTGGAGATGATTTGCGGAGGACAGAGACATGTGATAGCAGTCATCAGAAGCTCAGATGGAGGGCAGCGAGTCGTAGGATGGGGTGCAGCTCGAAAGGGAGAGTTGGACCCTTCACGACGGTTGAAATTTGGATCAAGTAAAGGCAAAGGTCAGGCCTTGCCCAAAAGTATCCCTCCGACTGTACTCGATTGCAACCTATCTTTAACTAATCCTATTCTTGACATTGCTGTCGGCACCTCGCATGCCGTCGTACTCCTCTCAAATGGCTCGTTGATGTCTTGGGGAGCGGATACCAAGGGACAGATCACCCATCTTGATGATCTTGGTAGTGTCAGACGGATCGGAGTGACTTGGAATGGCAGCTATACTCTCTCCCCTTCAGGAATTCATTCTCAAGGGTCCAACAATCATGGGCAACTACTGCGGCCTACCGAAGCTGATTCTCAATTGATACCGTTTCCAAAGGAGGTGGACACTTTTGTCTGTGGTTCCGAGCATCTGCTCGTATTGTGCCCAGGCAACGTGGATGAAAATGAGCTATGGACAGGAGGTTGGAACGAACATGGAAATCTGGGACTTGGAGATCTAGAGGACAGAAATCGTCTTGTGAAGGTCCCGCTGGAGACAGGCAAGATCACAGGGATGTGGGCTGGATGCGCTGCCAGTTGGATCTGCATGGGGTGACCGTCGCGTCAAAATAACCCTCCTGGCCATATACCATCGGCAGACGATTGCCTATTCTATTGTAAGTGTATCACCAAAGGGTTGGTATTGATCATCCGCTGCAGATACCATGCCTTATTGTGTACGATGTAACTCGCTTCACATGGGTTGACCAGGCCTTCGCTAAATGGGTACCCTATACACACGCACACAGATCGGACAGGGTCTCACCCGAATATCTTCCTCGATGGCACCCTGTCACACGCCGTTCATCGCCATTCGATAGCCTGCAGGCAGAGTCCTACGGCGGACAGACTCGTTTTACCTCAACTTGTCGGAGATACACCTTTGATCGACCAGACATTCATCGCCCTTGCACTGAGCTGCCGCACAGCTCCCATCTCACATGTCACGATCGGCTTTTCCCGCCGCACCCTCCCCCACGCCTGTCCCTCTTCCCTCATCATCTTCTCCGAATCCACGACCCGCCGCGCAATCGCCATCAGGAGTATCCTACGAGTCCATCTCGCCCTCTGATCGATCAGTCTTTGAACGCAAAGTCCGACGGTATGAGGATTGGACAACGGATGTCACTCGCCAAGGTGGTCTTCGACCAAGCGAAAGCTCATACGGACGTTTCGCAGGCGTAGGCAGTGCAAGCTGGTCGAGCTTGCCTACAGTCAAAGCGCTTAGCCGGGATGGTACAGAACCTTCCACCATTGTGCACCAGCGTAACAGGGCAAATGAGGCATTGAGGAATCCGCACGGACATGATCGATCGCTAGTAGATGATATTGGTGTAGGCTCTCCAGGATTAGGAGGCCACCAACCAATGCGAAAGCCCAAGGTGCACCAAGCAGGACTCAGCGCCGAGCCCGATTCTCGACCGACGGAGAATCACCACTCAGCCCCGCGCCAGCCCTCCCGAGCAACGATGAGACAGCATCTTCCAACTCCATACCTCGCTAAGGCCCCGTCACCTCCCCGAAGAGACCAGGTCCCTGATGTTTTGAACGCTTATCAGCCTGGAGAAACTCACACCCATCTTAGAATCCCTTCAGCATCGCCTGGTGACCATCGCTCGTCAGGACATTCGTCCCGTTCAGCCTATCGCGAGCGAGAAGCATATATCTCCTCTGCCCTTCATCTTCCGATTGAGATGCTCTCTGAGACCCAGCCAGGGGCTCATTCCTGGAAGGGTCCCAAGGAAACCGTCAAGCGATGGACGAGTCTGATTCGGAAGACCTCACTGCGGAATGAAGGGCAAACAACGAACCGACCAAAGCGAATTCTCTCTGGTCCTGAAGCCTTCCGACCGATAGATCGGAACAATGGGAAGAGTGCAGCGCGAGAGTTATCTCGGCGCGCAGAAATTGCATCCAGTAAGGCTCTGGGCCGCAGTCAGACCATTCCTGCTACCCTTGCCCGGGACAAACCGAATATCGACGAGGCGAAGCAATCATCGACATCTCTACCAGCTCGGAACAAGTCATCACTGATGTCGCGAGACTCACCCCGGAAGGCTGTGCCGGCATTGTTCCCAGAGGTCAGAATTGGGGAATCACCTACCTCTCAAAATCCAGATCGTACTCCAGGCAACGCTGGAAGAATGAATGAGGGCATACCTGACCATGGACAGCTTGAGGAGCATCCCAAACTACCGAGAGATCCCACTCAGCGACACCTGGCCGTTCCGGGCGTTACCACATCTGTGCGAGCGCTGGGCAGCGCAAAGTCCGGTCAATCGACTCGCTCAAGTTCGCGGCTGAATCGAGACCAGCTACACGCGTTGCATGCGGATGACCCAGCATCGCAAGCCAACAGACTCCGACCCGAGCGATTGCCTCCTCCCCTACCTGCTCCGGCCCTATCTCGATCCTTTTCATCCACTGATGGACTGACGAAGACTCTTGGACGACGGTTCCGCGACCCATCCTTGACGAATCTCACCGCGAGGTTCGAGCCCAATATGTATCCTCTCCCTGACAGTGCGCCAACAGGAGACGAGAGAGCGCTCTCGCCGGTCAAATCTGTACGTCTAAGTCGATGTTTGATCACACACTACTGACACTGGCTCAGACTCTCAGACAGCGCCTTGATCGTGCAACAGTGCCGGACAGACGACGTCAAGATAAGCCATCCGACGAAGAAGCTCGACTTGAATCAACGAGGCCATTTATATCTGAATCTGCAGCTCGTCAAACCCAGACTACCGCTCCGGTCACAGTCACTCCTGGCCTGATGCACCTGCAACCGCAGAGTACCCTAGACTCCAGACTGCTCAGCGTGACTAGTCCACGTTCTCCGACGTCGAGAGGATCCAGTCCAACCCCTCTAGAACACCGTCAAGATGTCCAACACGTTCAGTTCTCCTCTCCAGCAAGGACCGCACACCGAAACGATGCAGAGGAAGTGCATTTCGAGGTCCCATCGCGCACGAATGGTCGACTTCGTGTTTCGGTCGCTTGGCTCAGAGATCGCGATGGTCAGCGAGAGATCGCCACCGACAATGATACAGAATCCTTGACACCACCATCTCTGCCGCCCAAGGCATCGGCCCATGCTGCTGGAACGGCCAAACGGGAGGCGCCGAGATCACCCAGTACACCGGTGCCTGTCTTTTCGCCTGGTCCTGATTTTGCCACGGGATACCCGACATCAGCGCCTGGGTCACCCATTCCACTAGGTCAGAACCACGGATATCCATACTGGAACGACGGTCGAATAGCACACTATCCCCCCTCTAGATTGCCGCAAACGTTTCCTTGGAATCCCGTCCAAATGCCTATGACTTATCCACAGCCTGGCCGATTATATCCACATTGGCTATCAACTGGCCACATCCCATCTCACCCACATCCGAGAGCACCGTCGCCTCCTCGACCGCCAAGCATTGATCCACCTTCCAGTCGCGGCTCGCCTGTAGCTCATAATGCTGAGCTCCCGCTCAGCTATGGTGTCACAGGCCAGACTACCTTGTCGCCCGACCGAGCGTGGTATCCTCCTCCTCCACTGCCGTCGCCGACTCATCAGAATAACAATCTCTTGGCAAGTTTGTCCGGCAGGACCAGGTCGTCAATGTTCGGAAAGTTGTTTCGGCGCGACCAGAGGCGAGATCAAGATACGAGCACGATCAATCGATGGAGGAAGGGGGTTCCATTGCATTCACCTCCTCCCGCAGCTTCGACAACTTTTGGCGGTAGAGATCCGGTTTCTGTGCGGGTTTACCCGCACCAGCTGGGCTATCGTCAACCTGTTTCTCGACCTGCTTGGTGGAATCGACCTTCAAAGACGGCTTGGACAAGTGAACGGCCCAATCAGGTCGACCGTGAGTACGCCCAGGATCGCGATCGCGAAGGGAAACTTCAAAACAAGATGAAGCGAGGAGACAATAGGGGCATCTGGGGCCTCTTCAGCGGGAGTATCGACCGTAATTATCTTGAAAGAGACTCAGGAAGACATCATACTGCTTCGCGACGGGGTGGAGTTTCGCACGACAACACTGACGGTAGAGAGGGACCATGCCTAGCTCCTAATGGTTCTCAACAAGGACGCCGGCTAGGGATGGCGCAGAGGTTTTCTGGCAGATGGAATGGAAACATTGGTCGTCCGCAGAATCAGCTGAACCAGACTACGTCTAGTGGTGAAGATTATAACCGGGATCAAAGACTGCGGGTCAAGCAACGGCGCAGGGAGAAGAAGCGAGAGAGACGCGAAGCTAGGGAAAAGAGGCGAAAAGCTAGGGTTGAGGATGGGCCTCGTAGGATGAGAGGAGATCGGGGATTCTTTGGTGCTAGGACCAGAGAAGCCACTCCAGGCGGTCGACCACCTGCGCTTTTGTCCCGGCAAAAGTCCACTCTAGGCAGAGAGAGAAGAGAGGAATTTGGTAGAGGCAGGGAGGATACGCGTATGGTGGGAGATTGGAAACGGGCACTAAGCACGTTCTTGCCTCGGTCGCGGCGGGGGGCCGAACGACGACATCAAGGCGAGGCTCGATAAAGCTCGGTGCAGAGGTCGACAGGAAATGCATATCATTATTATCATCGTATCCTTCTCACTCCAGAACGCAGGCAAGGGTACGCAAGCGGAAAGATCCTTATTACATCGTGCTATTATCTCCTAACTTACTGTCCCACATGGTCCACTTTCGACATTCATCTTGCTGCATCGCAACCCGCCTCTATGATTTCTTCCCCAGGCTAATCTTTGTCCTGGAACTGCCGACGGCGCCAGGTCCCCGACCTCCAATACTGCTACCGGCTTGACTCGGCGCTGTCTCATATTCCGATGTTGATTTCCCAAATTCCGAGACAGCAACATCGCTGTCTTTGGCTGGAGAGGGCAAATCAGCATCCAAGCTGCGAGCTGATTGTGCCAAGAGAATGGAGCGGGAAGGTTGTACATGCGGCGCAGGAGGCGCAGGAGATTTGCGGAAGTATTTGCTGATGCCTTTTGGCTTAGGAGCCGTCGCCTCTGGTGTCAAAACGGTAGGTGTGGCCTGCGCTGGCGGGGCCAAGGTAGACTGAGCGGCAGGTATGACATGAGGCGAAGTCACCGAGTTCACCTCCTGTGTATTGGCTGCCGGCGCGGGATCTTCTGAGAGGCTCAAAGGCTGTCGTTTCGGAGATGCTTGCCGTAGCAGACTGCCGAGCCCGCCAGGACCTCGATCAGTCGGGAGCTCTGGTCGTGTCTCAGGGATAGCCAAATGGTCTGTATCTTGGCCAACGGTTCTACCGCTACTCAACCTTGACCTCGAGGGTCCTCTCGAATGTCCAGATCCGCTCACGGGTCCCTGCCCAGCTCCAGTTCCGCTAGGCTGTCGCTTTCGATCCGATGCGAATGACAACACGGATTGACCGGCATATCCCATGGAGCCGTGCATGCTAGCTAGTGCCGTGGGGTTCTGGACAACTTGAGCCCTATTCGCGGGAGCGTTGTCCCGGAGCGCGAGTCCTCCGTATCCCTCAGGCGTAGTGAGGTCGGTGTGAGTCATATCGGCTGAAATTGGCTGCATGGGTCGACCCAGTTGATGCATTTGATCTTGTGGCGGAGCGAGTGGAACGCTAGCGGAAGCGGGCAGACCGAGACCACTACGCTCGGGCATCGCATCTGTAGCGTTCTTTTGTGTCACTGGAGCTGAATCAAGCCCAGACCCAGGCTCAGGACGGACAGTAGCTGGTTGTGCGTGTGCATCGGTATAAATCGAGCTTTCGGATCCTTGCGTCTCATCCGCAGACTGTCGTTGTTCATGCAGACTCATGCCAATGGTCCCAACCTTCGCAGGAATGTCGATGAGAGACCATCGGTCGGCTTCAGGAGTGGAAGCGCCACCTCCACCTTGAGCGCTGGGCGTTTCTTGACCCGCTCGTCCGGGCTGAGAGATAGGCTGCCAAGCTGATGGCAGGTGTGTTTGTTGGCCCCTGACGGATTGAAGTGACTGGCTACTTGATCGCTTGCTCGCCTTCCGGCGGGTAGAGTTCTTCTTGAGAAGGAGATTTCGTGGTTTAGGCGAAGACTTGGCTGATCCCGACATGAGTGGACGATCTGAATCGACAGAAGGGTCACGTTGTGGCGTGTTGGAGACCAGCTGAGGTGAAGGATTCACGACCGAGCCAGAGGCGTGTCTAGCATGTGAGCTAGACTCGTTCGGAGTCGGATGGGCCTCTGCAACTGAGGTCCATGGCAAGATTCTTCGTCCCGAGCTATCTACCTCGACAGCGTCTCGACCTTTACCGTCTCGAGGGGGTGGTACATCATTCGTTTCCATGTGGACAGCATGACGTCTGGCTGTTGGCTCATCGAACGTGACGGGTCGCGAGGCCGCAGGCGAGACCAGGACGAGCGAGGATGATCGCGAGGTATGATTCGACACATCCGGCTTCCACCCGTCTCTGTAAGATAATCCCGACGAGGGCAGTGTGGAAAAAATGAGGATGTCTCGGCCTTTGCTGATTGGCAGCAACGGGATAGACGAGACGAGATTCATGTGAAGTGCCGATATATTGTTTATGAGCCCGAGAATCAGTGTGGGATGCAGGCTGCGGGGCTCAGCAAGACTACCTTGTATCCTTGACTCACTTGTCAATAACCTTTTTTCTCACTCCACCAACGACCCATCGCCTCATTCCGCCAACCCAGAATCGGTAGACACCAGGATGGACCCACCCTTCGAGCTTGACACCTCGTTGACCTTTCCACGAAACGGCCTTGATGGACCCAGCAGACGATGCGTTGGCAGACATGGTAGATGCTCCTGTGCCTTGGCGCGAATGCATGGCAGAACTCGTAGTGATGGCATTTCTGACGGCAGAGACGATCGCGGGCGTATTTTTGGAGGGCGCCGAGATGATGGAGATTCGATCGGGAACTGTGGCCGTGAGCTTCGATGAGGACTGAAAAGAATCGCAAGCTCACGAGGGAAAGATAGGGCGAAGAATGCGGGAGGAGTCGCAAAGATGTCAGGTGAATTAGAGAACAAGAGGTTGTGACACCCTTTCTGTAAAGACTCAATGTTCGCACACCTATATCGGCTCACCTTGCTTGTACCCGCTTGGATTGAGTCCTCGACTGTCCATCCGTGCACACCGAGTGCTGTCAGGACAGCCAATATCAGTCGAATCGAGCTGTGACGCTCATCAACGCGTGTCATGAAGAAACGCCTATCAGACTTACTCCAGCTCTTGCCTGCCCTTTCGCTTCCACGCTCTACCCTCGAGCTCTACTTTCCACAAAGCCCCATCTTGAGCCTCTCCGCGCCGCTGAAGGTCATATCGACTTTCGCTGCGATTCGTGACACCTTGATGCCAAGCCTCGCTCAGCGCTTCATCGGCGGCGATCACAGCGGTAGCGGGGAAACCCGTAAATCGTAACGTTGCAGGAGGGACGAGGGATAGAAGAGCGTGTCGAGTAGATCGAGGTGGGACTCGATTGAGTCTGAACTCGTCACGGACGCTCAATCCCGCTGCTAGCGATTGAACACCAGGGGACGTGACGAGTTTAGGCGACATGGATCTGTTAGCGAGGGATTGAGAGTCACTTTTACTGTGACCATTCGCGGTAGACAATGGTCTCCCATCGTGGTTCGGAAGTTGAGCCTGAAAGGGTGGTTGTGGAGCCAGCGGAGGGATTGAAGGGGTTGGATCAGACCAAAGAGGGAGATTGGGTGGAGCACGTTCAAGCTGAGCCATGGCTGCGAGGTAGAGATTTCTTTCACTCGGTGATACGTAGAGTGAAGCGATCCGAGGCGGACCAAACTGAAGAGGTCGATATGGGTCTTGTTCTGGGATTGAATTGGTATTGCCAAGAGGTGACGTCGTTGGTTGAGTGTCGGCTGACTTGGATTTGGGACGGTGAGCAGAGAACCTGAACCAGGATCTGACACCGCCGACGCCGTGCTGTTCTCTAGCTTTGGCAGGAGGGTCAGAGGTCGATGGGTTGGAAGGGAGCTGCTGTGGATGAGGTTGATTCGACATTGTTCTGGGATGAGAATGAGGAAGCGGGGAATGATGGAGCAAAGCAGTGATGACGATGTCTATCTGTCAGGTACTGAAGAGGGAACGGGCGCGAGGGAGGCTCGTGCGAGTGACGATGGAGTGAATGGGTGGGTGTACCTTGAAGTAAGATCACGCGTCAATGTATCGAATCTTGTGATCGAGTGTGATGCAGTGTGATTCAACTCTTGTGTCAGTGAGAACAGTCATTCAGACCCCGCATCTTGTCATCGACACAACACATTCATTGTGTCATGGATTTCAGCAGCGCGTTGAGAACAAAGGGAGGGGGGGTTGGTTTGAACATGAATCCTAAAGGGACGGCATGGCGTGGCAACGAAAGGGGAAATATGAGTCTAATGGCTTCAGGAAGAATGACCAGTGTCCAGCATAGATGGGGTCTCTTGATAACGGGAGCCATATGGTCATATGAACATACCTGTAAATGAAGTGAGCAACCATTGAGCGAGCCAGTCAATTCTCTCTCTTTGGTCCAGGCGTCAAAGTGTCTAGCCGTTGTGGCGGTTTTGAATGTGGCGCTCGTGATGCAGTATCGGACTGTCAGTGGACTCAATGGTCCCTTCCTACACGGCAGTCATGGTGATTTTTCACCGTGGTGAGCCGTGTGTATATTTGTGACAGCCAGTTCAGTGGACGACCATTGTCAACACAGTACACTTCAATGAAATCTGTGTAGCAAGACAACCACACGTTAGTCAAGATTATCTCCGCAGCTCGGACATGCTAATTGAATGGCATTCTGTAATGACGTAACATTCAAAAAAGATACGCGGACTATATTATTTCATTCTCTTGGTATCATTCTGTTTTTTCGTCTCGGGTCTAAGAATCATTCCTCTTGCATGATCTTTTTGGGTTCGCGCCGGATGCACAATCGACTTGTTACAGGATGAAGAGATAGGCTGAAGATCAGGCGATCAGTAGAATTCACTCGTCAGAGCAGATCCAAACCTCCCTGTAGCTATCAGGTATCGCCTATCAAGGATGGCCGCTGCGAACTCACAGCCTCCACCTTTACCGCCCAGGAAAGTGTCTGGCCTGCCGACTCTTGGACCTGTCAGTAGTGTCACCTCGAGCATCTCAAACGATATCGATAACGCTAGTGATGCTTCACCTCGAGCTCCACCCCCACCCCTTCCCGCACGAAAACCTCCTCCACTTCCCATCAGTGTGCCAAGCGATGATCGAACTTCCACCACACCGGCTCAATCAAGTAGATTGGACACACCAGCTCTGACCATTACTCCGGCATCCCCAGATGAATCAAAACCTCCGACCTGCAGCTCTGAAGCCCATGCTGCCGCAAGCAAAACCCACGCCTCGAATGACAAGAAGAGCCCTTTCGACGGGGTCTTCCAGAGCTTCTTAAAGGAGCTCCACGAGAAGCTTCCGTATCCGGACCTATTTGTGGTCTGCATGCTCTTGCTAGACCTATGGGGCACAAGACTCGCTAAGAGTTGGGTCCTCGTCCTCGCTATCGCGTATAGCCTCCTACGATGGCACCATGGCATTCGTATGAAAGCCAAAGCTGTGAAACCCGACGCCGAGTCCGATTCATCGCCTACTCACCTTAAACCGCCGTCATCGATGGATTGGCTCAACCACACCCTGTATGCACTCTTCCCACTCATCTCAACAGACGTCCTCGCACCATTCATTGATCTGCTGGAAGACGCCCTGATCGGCCAATGCCCCGCCATCGTCACTTCTGTACGCCTGACATCAGCCTCGCTTGGAGCACAGCCCGTCCTTCTGACCTCTTTGAAGGCCCTTTCAGATAAGGAATGGTTCCAGGCGATTGCACCTCCCGGGGGTGGAGGGAGGAGCAGCCCGACAGGTCTAAATACCGCTGCGGCCGGTGGTCGCAGACGATCAACCAGCAGTTCCAGCACCCACACGCTCGGGAATCCAGAAGCTCAGCTCGAAGGTGAACGTCGACGTAAACGAGATCGTGTACTACGGCACCTTTCTCGAAGACGGCGGAGAGAGGGTACTGGCCATACTATATACACCGGGGACCCGTCCTCCGCAGGACGAGCAGAGGAGCGAAAGGATGCACTTCGACCAGCTGATGCCGAAGGTCAAAACGATCTGCCAAACGAAGAGGACATCGATGCGGAGAGATATGTCAACTATCAAGTACAATTCAAATACGATCGACCCGAAAATCTGGGTCGTAAAGGCTGGGGATTACACGTTTTGGCTTACATTGGGTGGGGGCTGAAAGGTGTCGGCAAGTCGGAGATTCCGGTTTACATCGATGTCTTGTCCATCCGAGGAACTGTCAACGTCAGATTATTACTGTCTGCTACACCGCCGTTCGTCCGCACAGCTATCATCTCCTTCCCCCATCAGCCGACAGTAGACCTTTCCGCCGCCCCGTTGAGGAAATATGGTTTTGACGCGATGGGTCTACCGGGCATGAAGTCGTATGGTGAGCATGAGCTGCGCCTTAGGTATATTGACGATCTACAGTACAAGCATCAATAGCCGAGGTTGTTGGCGCGTTCATACGCCCCAATACATACTCCCTAGATGTGGAGAGGCTGCTGATGGGTCGCGAATCGGCACTCCGAACTTCGGCTATAGGCGTTCTGCAGATCGTCATTCACAGCGCTGAAGGGCTTCGACGAACGGACACTATGGGATCATGTGATCCTTATGTTGTGGCTTCTTGGAATAAGTTCAACAAGCCACTATTTAGTACCCGGACCATCGTGGCGACCAGAACCCCCTCGTGGGAGGAAACTGCATATCGTGAGTCAAGCCCTGGCTCGGCACCTCTGATATCGAGTGCTCGTCACCGGCGATGCAGTTCAATCCGGCGAGAAACTCCGACTACGTGTCTCAGATGCCGACAGGTTCTCCTCTGATGACAGTCTCGGTCAAGTCGAGACGGATCTGGCGGACATTATCGATCGTTATACTGCCAAAGACGCCAATTCGCTGCCCGAACGCCTGAACAGCCAGCTAGTTGCAGATCATCCTGGTATGAAAGCGTCTGGCAGCATCGATTGGTCAGTGAGGTTTTGCCCCATTTGGCAGATTCCCCAAGAAGAGCTGCAACAGAGGCTGGAGAAGATGAAGGCATCACGGAAAGGCGAGCCTGGCCCAAATTCCGGAAGCAGCGGGTGGTTGATGGACCTCGTCAACAAGCTCAAACTCGGCCAAGATTGGGAGGATGATCGGGCGGCACGGCGACATGAGACTGTTGCATGGTTCACGGGCGAGAAGGAGCGAGAAGAGATGGAAGCTGCGATGCGACCTCCGGACGACATGCGAAGTGGAGTCTTCCAGTTTCACATCCATCAATGTGATGACTTGGAGGTGGAAACTGTGCAAGGGACATTCTCATCCCCTCGGAAGAGTCATGAGCTGTCAGCTGCCGGCGGAAGACCTGCCCTGGCTGATGTGATCGACAAGACGCCAGCAGAGAACACTGAGCCGCCTTCCGCGTACTGCGAGGTGTACCTGAACGATAGTCTGGTATTCAGGACCAGGACGAAACAAGTGACGCCCTCACCTTATTTTAACGCAGTCAGTGAGCGGTTCATCAGGGACTGGCGGCTTGCCAAAGTGGTCTTTGTATGTCGAGACGAACGGAATCTTGAACATGGTGAGATCACTAAGAGTCGTACTTTGATTGATGAGAGCAGATGCGATCCTTGGCATCGTCAGTCTGAGGCTAGGTGACGTCTTCGCCGAGCGTAGTCAAATCACCAGGTGAGTCGTATAGGTACGTCCCAGGCTCACGGTCAGATGGTTCCCACTCATTGGAGGTCTCGGATGGGGAAGAATACGCCTATCCTTGCTGTTCAAGCCAATCGAAATGACACTTCCTTCCATGGTCTCCGGCTACGAGGTCGCAACTCTGGCCATCAAGGGTCTGACCGCCACACAGTTCAAGGGAGCTCCTTCCTCCATGTCGGTCGTGGTTGAGACAGAGACTGACTCTTATGAGTTCTGCGACCCCGAAGAAGTTGAGGAAGACGCTGAAGCTGTCGAGTCACCTGGTGTTACGCCGTCAAAGTTGGAGCAGACTGCATCCATTCGATCACTTCCCGGTACCAAAGCGTCATTTGACTTTTCTTCAGCTGTAGACGTGGAGTGGGAGATCAACAAACCTGTTCGACTTGCCGTTCAATATCGACACTCCTGCCACGTTGTGTTGCGGTTCTTCTCTAAGAGCGGAGTTCGACGTAAGCGTAAAACGCATGGAATCGCTTGTATTCGTCTCGACGATGTACCGGAAGGAGTGAATCATGAGAAGATTGCACCTATCTTCGAGACCGATGATCTGAGGTTGGCCGTCAAAGCTTCGCACGAATTCGCACGGGATCAGCCGGACGATTCTTCAACGACATCTGTACCGGACACACCTGGTCTGCCTGTGTCTCAGATCTTAGGCTTCGCTAATCTTCATATCAAGATTCATCCCGGAGTCAGCAAGGCACACCGCAAGCTCTGCAGGAAAGATCTGAGGTTCAAAAAGGTTTATGAAGTCTGGGAGATCGCAAAGGAAAGAGAAGTGGGTTGGGATAGAGTGACATTTAAAGACCGACAGAGGTTGAAAAAGGAGGATGCAAGAGCCGAGATGGATCGACCGATGGATTCGTCAGATGGGGGCAGTGAAGGACGGACTCGGGTCTCTCAAGACGAGGGCAGTTGGTCAGGAGGTGACGATCTGGACGACGAGGATGAGGACGAGCATGAGACTCCAGACAACCTTCGAAGGGACAAAAAGGACGATTCCGGGGACGAAGGGGAAGATGATACTGGGTTCTTCGCAGAAGCTAGAGCGCATTCTCGAGCACTGCATAAACGCGTGAGTTGACGACAACAAGAGGATATCTACCCGAGCTCAATCGATACGCAGAACAAGGGCATCTTCCAGCTCAAGATTGCTCGTACAGGCAAATACGTGATTGACAAGTTGCAAGCCAAAGCGTATTCTAAGAAGGACATCAGACGAGAGCGGGGAGCAGATCTGAATGTCGAGCATGAGGGTCAGAGCTCTCTGTGAAAGAAAGGAGTGAAGCGCCAAGTGGGTCACACATCGCCAGTCGAACGAGTCAATACGATACATACAGCTTTATACGATTGCTACGCCATACAACATATGAATACATAGATCCACGCCGAGCTCTGGTTATCGTCTTCTTGTCAGAATACCCAGTCGTATACTGTGGTCAGACAAGCAGCGACTGATATCAATAACACGCCTCCTAAACTTGACAACATCCAGACCAATTCCTTCTTATCTGGTTTTTGAAATCCCCCATAGTCTCTCCCTCCCATCAGCCCCCCGACTCCCTGTACATCCTCATCTGAAAGGTATTCTTCCTCGTCATCAACTTGAGAAGAGTTGAAATCGTTCGCGAATCCGCTCATGTATCTCTCCCTCGCTTCATCCTCTTCTTTCAATGTGGTAGGGACCGTGGCGGTCCTAGTGAGGGATTTCCCACCCACTCCATCCAGTGTCGGCACACCACTGGCAGGAGGCAGTGTTCGTGTCCGATTCAACGCGAGTGACTTGATGCCTAAGGATAAAGAGTTGGAGTAAGAATCCGGAGCGACAGATAAGGATTGAACGTATGTTCCGGAAGGATGTGTTGGAGATAAGGAAGATGGAGTATGTGGTTGATACTGATCTGGTGGGGTCCCGAAAGAAGATGAGAGCACGGAAGGTGATCTGGCGATGGAGAGCGAAGAGGCTCTGTCTCGGCGGGATGAGCTGGCCATGGAGGATGGTAGGTGTTGTTGCGGTTGTTGTTGTTGTTGTTCTGGGAAGACGATGGATGGTTTATTGACTTTCTCAGACATGTCGTACAGATTCGAGCTTCGAGACAACGGGTCGGTTGAGAATTGTTTGCAATGAGGATGTGAGGTGAGGAATTGGACAGTCCTGGTGAAATGTCGTCTCTGTTGCCAAGGATGCTCCTCAGAACCGCCAAATCTGATAAGACGAGCAGCTCGGAGAAAAAGCACGGAGATATGTGGATCTCCGCTTTCTTAACGGGACTATCACAGGTTGTGATCGACCCTCGCTCGCCTTTGTTAAAGAAAGACTACCTACTTTGCCTCCAACCGCATCGACCTGCTGCTGCGATGGAAGAAGATCCATGGGCAGCAGGTTCATCGTGGTCCATTCCTGGTCGTCTACCCGGTGAAGATGATATCCAGAAACAGAGAGAATCTACACCACCGCCGGCGGAATCCCTTGATGCCGATCCTTGGGGGACAAACGTAGATATACCGCCAACGGGCATTCCCCGTGAGCCTGCGCCTTTACCCTCTGGATCTGCTCCGAGCGGCTTTGCAGACTTCCCGGAAACGCCGTCATGGGGACAAGAGACCTCTACACAAGTCAGAACTGTTGAAGCCCTACCCGAGAATGTGGATTCATCTTCGCCTCCCCAGCCCCCTCTACCTGAGTCTCCGCTTGCTGGCCCCTCAACACCGAGCGCATTGGTCTTGAATAGTCCAGAGATGAGACAGAAGTGGCTTTCTCAGGATACGGCACTCTCATCTCCACCAACATTCCCTTCCGACGGCTTTGGGTCTACTGGATTCGAAGCAGACCCTCCAACATTCTCCTCTCCTGGTCCTTCTACTCCTCCGAGACAATTGGCCCATGCCATCCCTGATGATCTTGATCCTGAGGCAGATCTCATCTCAGCTTTGAAGATCGCAAGTCCTAAGCCGACATTCTCTTTACCTGCCTCTCCAGCATTCAGTGATGGTGGATTTGGAGGCTTTGCATCACATGGTGATGGATCTGATCCATGGGGTGGAGGAAGCGGGCCCGGGGGAGGAACGACAGGAATGGGCGGCATGGGCATGAGCGATTCAGACGACACCTGGGGTAGAGGATCTAATTCTGGAATGTCGCCGAGATTTGACGATGGTGCAGGAGGCCATGTGGACTCTGACTGGGGAGGTGCATCCCCAGGTCGCGTGACAGCTCCAGCTGCCACTCAGCAGGACGATTGGGAGGAAGCACAGCGAATGATGAAGCTACGAGCAGAGCGAGCAGTAAGCAGTAACTTATGTTTGTTGACTGAATCCTCCACAGCCCGACGAAAAGGTCCAGAAACTGAAAGCGGAATGGATAGACCTCGCGAACTCTGTCATCGGTCCGGCTACGCTGGAGAAGCGCACGAATGAAGAGGAAGCGAGACTGGAGCAAGGCGTCGCCTTGATGCTCGCGGAGACGTAAGCCTCGAGTGCCAATCAAATGAACGGTCTCCACTAATGTTCCCTGTCTCACAGTAGCGAAACACTGAGATCACTTTCGGCCATTCCCAACGATATTTCCACTTATCCACCCGTCATCTCATCTCTTACGACTCACGAACGCCATACGTATGCCCTGTCACGACCAAACCCTGTTCCTTCGACCTCTCTCCTGACCGTCTTCGTCGCTCGTCGATCCAAACGAACTGACAATCTCTCCACATCATCACCCTGGCTCAGCAGATCGCGACTTGGCGAACCCGATGCCCCGATCATTGAAGCGCCAAATATGGTTGCCGAAGATAGTAAAGGCAGATGGTCATTCTGGGGACGCAAAGCTGCTCCTAAACCACTCGTCACATCCGGGGGAAGCATTCTCGAGGTCAAAGGCTCTCCTACTGGCGAGACTGCCAGAGCTTCTGGATCCGCTGAGATGAACCGCTCTACGAGTCGGGCACCTTCCGTTTCAGTCTCTATTAACACATCTCGTCCCGTTTCGCCCGCACCCTCCCTCCTTGCTCAAGCTGCTACACCTACTCAAGCACCCTTACCACCGAGTATCAGCCACGAATCGGTAGGACACAATGCACCTAGTGGGTCTTTGGGTCAGCAAACGCCTGCCGGTCCATCTGCAGTCTCAAGGTTCTTTGGTCGATTGTCGCGCAGACAGCCGTCGAATCCTAGTCTCGATATGGACGGTACAGACCTTCAATTGTCCAATGATGACCTGGACTTTTTACAAGAAGTTCCGAATCTGTCGAGCGGTTCTGCCAAATACGGCGCCGGAGATTTACTGTCCTTAGAGCCTGGGCGCTCGGAGGAGATAGCAGGTCTTGAGTCAATGCTAGCGTCACGACCCAGTACTATCCCTCCGCCGCTGGCGCCTCCACCTCCCCAGCGGACGTTTAGTCGCACGTCATCTGGAACAGTCCCCAGTGGACGGTTCGTCGCGAAGATGAAAGCGGCACCGGCCACCGATATGGATCTCCTGGGTGATCTGGACTTTGACATGAGCGAGACGACCGCTGCCCCCTCTTCATCGGGCCCACAAGCATCCACGGCGGCCCCATCTATGTGGGAGGATTTGCTCAATTCATCGACGCCATCAGAACCGACGAGTGGGGGACCGAAACATATCCGCATGCTAGCTTCGCCACCAACAATACAACGAACTCCATCGTCGACCCTCAACTCGATCCCGAAAACTACGGCCCCGTCATCCACCAGCCTCTTTGACGATTTTGCTAGCCCTCTGCACGCAGGAACGAGCTCGACGACGTTTGATGACTTCGCCAGTCCACACAAGGCAGAGCCGCCAAATTTGACATCGTTTGACGATTTTGGCGACTTTTCAGCTTTTGAAAATGCCGCTGCCTCCTCTTTCAGTCTCGGCTCCCTCTCTACTCCTGCATCGAACACGAAGTATCCTTCCAATCTCTCCTTGACGTCCCAGTCCAAGCACGGCAAGACTCCCTCCGTGGATCACAGTTCAACTATGAACCTTTTATCTGAAGCCAGTGCCTCAAAAGGTCGGAGGTGGCCAGCTCCTCCCTCACCGGCCGCTCCGAACCTTGAACCACCACCACGTGCGCCAGCCAATTCAAACGGAGTCAATCGGTCTACTTCCGATGGCTTTCCATTTCTCAGTCCTCCTCCTCCTCCTCGACCTGCTTCAGGTAATGGTAGGATGCAAAATCTGTTGGATGGGGACGATGGTGGCTCATCTGTAGTTCTCAGTCCGTCCGGGTCACTACCACCCCCGCCTGGATCCCGTCCAACAGTGTCCGGCGGCGGCTTGAGCGGACCAAATCCAGCGAAGCTCAAACCCACTTTATCCCCCGGACCAAATCTCGCCGCGTCAGATTTATCATTCTTTGATAGTCTTTGAGACCTTGGTCGGGTCCCGCTTGCATTCTTCAACTGACAACTGTAACCCTGCATGCATCTATGACTGCACTGAAGACTTGATGATTCGTTCCGCTTCATCCCGTAATCTATGCTCTACTTCCGGAGATAAGGGCCAGTCAAGGATCACGTTCTTTAGGTAAGAAATCCTATGCCACGCGTTCCAAGGTAATGTCCAGCCGTACCCTTGACCCATGTAAAGATTCCAGTTCCGCGCGCGCCCAAGGTCATACGGTTTCTCCCAGGGCAAAGTGGGAACAATGACCCCGCGCCGAAGCGAGTCGCCGTTATGCCCATTCCGTTGGGCGAAGAACTCGATCCCGTCTTCGAATTCCACTGGGACCCAGAAGAATGATTGAGCCGTCAATTTTTTCAGGCTCTCTTGCATTTTATCAGGGACGGGCTTGCCAGCCCTTGCCAAGCGATGCACTTCGGCTTCGATCCGCCTGAAAGATTTCGCGCGCTCTCTGTCGACAGTGAGATCGCCTCTAAGGATACTCTCGATGCTAGATGCTGCCAAGCCCTACGAAGGTAAGCTTGGAGTCGATGGCCGCAGGACGTGATCAGCTTACAGCAGTCATCATGGCCAACAATAGTCCAGCCGCGGCCAGAGCGCCTATCTCCATACGCAAAGCTTCTTCACCGTCAACTCTATCGAGCGCTTTCCAACCGAGGACCACACCGCCTACGTAGCGTCCTATTGGACCACCAGCGACGAACCAGGACCCTGTCCAATGGTACCATCCGGAAATGATCTCCGGGCTTGACCTTGATAAATTGTACGCCTCGGCTGCTCTCTCACAGAGGGGTCGGATGATGGGGACGAGTAAGATGATGACCGTCGGTGGGGTGTACAGCAAAGTCAAGAGGAATATAGGGATATAGGGTGCAGTAAGGCAATTGGCAAACTGACCAAACGCGTAAGTATACTTGTGAATACGCCAGTCACTAGCTTACAAAAGCACAATGGTGATCGAATCCCATGCGACATGTTCCACAATCTGAACAATGCCTCGTCCTAGGAGGTTTCCAGCGAGATGAACAGCTCGGTCTGTCGCACCGGGTTAGGGGCACATCATTTTGGAACACTATCGACTTGGGGATCCCCAGCGGATACTCGTACGTCTTCACATGCGGAATATGGTCCGTTGGTTTTCTGGGCGGGACCGATTGATTTGAAGGCAGAAAGTAGAGTCGCAAGTACAGCACTGTGATGGTGGATATGGATACAGTCGCGAATGCGGAATACAGTCTGCCTAGATGCGGACGCCCGAGCGTTCCGCCAATGTATTTGGCTGTGGATCGTTAAGCGATCTCAATAAAAGGTCCTGATCGGCTTCATCTCACGTCCAATATCAGTAAGACAGAGATACCACGTCCTCCTGAGATGTGTCAGATTCGACGGACCTCCTGACTGCTTGCATAGCTCACGCAAAGAATGTCAAAAGAGCTGGAGGCAGGAGGTTTTGCAGTAGCCATTTGGGCCGGAGTTGTCTCGGCCACATGGTTCTTGCGTCTCTCGTTTGATCCGGTCCTGATCCATTCACCAGATCCATCCCCCTTGCGCTCTTGGTCAGTGATCCACCATCTCGGCTGGCAAAGAGAGTCAAATTGAGTTGTTGACGGGCAGGAGAATTAGGATACAAATCGTTTCTGATTCCCGTGATTAACCGAGTGTACTGAAATTTTGCTTCCGTCCAATGAATGGGATCTACCCTATGACGAGCGAAACCCGCGTTGACCTTTTGTTGTTGTTGCATGTAATGAGCAACAGCCCCTTTGTCTCTTGACTCTCAGTTTCTACTCGTGTCTAGCCGTGGAAAGGACTTGGAGCTGATCTGCAACGAGGTCGTCTTGCCACCTGTTGGTGTGAGGAGCAGCATGGCCTCCGCTACCTCCAGGGCCATGCCCACTAGCCAGTCTAGACCAAGTAAGCCCACGATTGCCGCCTCATTACATATGTTCCTCTGACTTGTCAACAGGGCTGTCAAAGAGCGACTCAACTGTCAGCTTTCAATCCAATGCATCTACTCCATCTGCAGCTCTATACAACTTCAAGCTCCTGGAGGCGCTCCGTTCAGACGATCCTAAAATGGTCCAACCCTTTATCGATGAGCTCAAGCCGAGTCCAACTTCGGCAGCTGGTCAGGCCGATGTTCTGCGAGCTGGAAATCTCCTCGGGATGGCAGTACGAGTATCTTCCAGTGAGTAGACAGTGGACAGAGTTTGGCTCAAGCCTTTCCTAGTGCCCATCGTCAATCTTATCATTTCCTCACCATCTATCACCTCACCCAATCTCCCAGTATCATCTGCCTCACTAGCCACGTCTTTGCACGTCGCCAGTGAGATTGGCCGTATAGAAGCAGGTGAGATCATCTGACTCTCATCCCACTGACGTACTAGTCCAACTGCTCCTAAATCATCCCAAGATTAACGATACTATCCGAGATGATCAAGGACGCACTCCCTTGGAGTGCGCTGCAAATGCCGAAGTCGCAGCTCTCATTGAAGGTGGGTGACGGAATCACGAGCATAACTGACGATGCTCAGAATCTCGAACCAATCTTCAGCTACAATATCTTGGTCATCTCGGTGACTATGTGTCTAGTCCGTTGAACTCTGTTGAGGAGAGCTTAGCTATGGTTGATTTCCTAGAGGGTTCTCGGTGAGTTCAACGTTGGAGAAGTGGAGAAGTCGGGACCTTACTTTCTAGTGTCGAAATTCTGAATCTCAACGCGCTAGATGAGAAGTCAGGAACATCGCTGCTTCATGAAGCGGCACAGTGAGTACTTTGTAGATCTGTCTGCCTGACAAATAGCCGGAGAGATTTGCGTCTCGTCGAGTTGGCGTTGAAGAGAGGTGCAGATGTCTTTGTGAGGGATCGCAAAGGACGGAGGGTACTGGAGGGTGAGAAAGGAGCGGACGAGCGCATCAAGGTGTTCTTGAAGCAATGTAAGTTCCCTACTTTGTGTCGACTGCAATACAGCTGACGTCCATCCCCTAGTCAACAACCAGGACAATCTGGTCCAGAACAAGAGCGATGGTCGACCGCCTGATCTGAAAGGCTTCTTGAGCAAATGGGTCAATTACCGGAGTGGATGGAGGACAAGGTGGTTCGTCCTTGAAAATGGAGTGTTGAGCTATTGTGAGCCGGCAGGTCTAGGGAATCAGACTAACTCCTAGACCGCAATCGAGAAGACGAAACCGTGGCCTGTCGTGGTTCCATCGCGATGGCGACTGCCAAGATTCATCCCTCAACTGATGGTTCCCGGTTCGAAGTCGGCTCGCGGGTGTCTTCCTCTGTCCCAAAGATGATCGTCAAATCAGCACATCGAGCGGAAATTGCGAGATGGATCCAAGCCATCAAGCTTAACGTAGAGTACTATTCCAACCAAGCGGAATCTTCTGGAAGAGGCCTCGATGTCAAAACCTCGAATCGTTCACTCAGCTCATCTTCCAGTCAGAAGCCAGTCGGCTCTGCCATCCAGTCTCTCCCTCCCAGTGACAGCTTCCTTTCAGCCAAGCTCGCTAGAACTACGACTGGACTCAGCAATCTGAGTGTCAATCCTCCAGCCGCAAGTTCTAGCATGTTGTCATCGATCAATCCCGTTGTGGAGACGGAAGACGAGGAGAGCTTATCGATTTACGAAGCTGCCGAGAAGGACAGCATCGTGGAGAGTATACGCGACCAACCGCATCCTCCGGCGCACGGTATACCCCACGAGAATACGTATGACCTCGGCGTCCTCAATATCAAAGCTCAAGTAGAGCTGACGCAACAACTTGTGAACTCGATTTCCATCACTCCCCCTGGATCGCCGATTAGGGGCGGCGCGCCTCTGGTCCGGACCAATTCGCGGCAACAAGCGGTCAAAGAGGCTCTTCGAGCGTCGCTTGAAACTCTCGCTACTCAGGTCTCGGTCCAGACCATCATGGCCCAAGATCGAGAACGCTATCTTCTCGGTAGGATCCAACGCGAACTTGAAGCTCGAAAAGTATGGGAAGAGAACATGCTTGCGGTGGCTCAACAGCAGGCAGATACAGACAGACAGCTGAACGAAGCCGCAAAGGATAATGAGAAGAAGCGGAGGGCTCTGCGAAAAGCTCGAGGTGTGCTGGCTGGTCTCAGCAATGCAGATAGTCTACCTACATCGCCGGCTTTGGAGTCTGCCACTACTCCTCTCTCTGGTATCTTGGACAAGGCTACAACCCCATCCACGTCCACCGACTATCGGTCGCTTGCTTCTCCACCTCTATTGGATCAATCCATCTCCAATATGAGGGAGATCAACGATGCTCATGACGAGATTATCGCTGCTGCCGGGGCTGAGAGTGACAGTGATGAGGAGGAGTTCTTCGACGCCGTTGAGGCCAACACTATCCCGAACCTGCAATTGCATGAGAGCATCGCGAATCCAGCCATGCAAAGAGCGGCCGAGGACAAGGCGGCGACTGGTGGTAACAGCAAGAACACCATCGTGGCGTATCTCGGCCGGAAAAGTCTCGAACCCTATGGCCACCTTAGATCCAGGCTGCCTATCGATGACGACAAACGACCTTCCGTCAGTCTGTGGTCAATTCTCAAATCATCCGTCGGCAAAGATCTCACGAAAATTTCATTTCCCGTCAGTTTCAACGAGTGCACGTCCATGCTGCAACGTATGACTGAGGACATGGAATATGACGCTTGCCTCACAGTGGCGGCGGAACAGGAAGACTCCCTCAAGCGAATAGCTTTTGTCGGCGCCTTTGCAATGAGTAATTACAGCTCTACTATTGGACGTATTGCCAAACCTTTCAATCCATTATTGAGTCAGACCTTCGAATATGCTCTGCCAAATCGATACAGATATGTATCTGAACAAGTATCTCATCATCCTGTGAGTCTCCAGGCGGGATGCTCAGACTGACTTTTTCAGCCGATATCGACATGCTATTGTGAAGCTCCACGCTGGAAATACTATGGCGAAGTGGACACCCAGAACAAGTTCCAGGGTCGAAGCTTTGAGATTCGACCTACTGGAGTCGTACACGTTGAGCTCATCATCCCGCTGTCATGGGTCAAGGGGGTCGACTACCCAGCCGCAGGACCAGAATACGGCAGTGAATTCGTCGTAGAGCACTACTCATGGCGCAAAGTCACCACCAACATCTCTGGCTTCATCACTGGCTCGCCTGTCATTGATCATTATGGCGACCTCATTGTGACGAATCATCGGACTGGCGAAACTTGCACATTGACGTTCAAACCAAGGGGATGGAGGGGCAGTAATGCGTTTGAGATCAAGGGCGACGTCGTCACTGCGGAGGGCCAAACAGCCTGGGATATCGCCGGTCGTAGGTTAGCGAGATATCGACTTGACGCTAACGATCCAGGCTGGGACTCGCAGCTCGTCGCTAGAAAAAGTGGAACCGGATCTGCTCCCCTCGATGCGGATGCCAAATTCGCCCCATCTCAAAAGGAGTATCTGCTATTGTGGCGGAAGACCGAATCCCCAAAGTCTCCTTTTAATCTCACTCAGTTTGCAATTAGCTTGGTAGGTCTGCCCCGGGGCTCAATGCTGATCAGCAGAACGATATACCTGAAGGCCTGGAGCCATACCTGTGCCCCACCGACTGTCGACTTCGAACTGATCAGAGAGCATTCGAAAATGCAGAATATGACTTGGCTCAGGAGTGAGTCATGACCTCTCTTGCACACGCGAGTCTGATCTTTTGTTTCCAGGCTCAAAACTGCCAATGAGGACAAGCAGCGCATGACTAGAAAGCTACGAGCGGAAGGCAAAGTCCCACCACATGAACCGAGGTGGTTTGAACCGGCCACTGAAGCAGATACGAATGAGCGTGTGTGGTTGCCGAAGAGAGCGGAGGACGGCGAGGTCAAGTTTTGGGCTGAGAGGGAGAAGAAGGATTGGTCAGATGTGGAGCACATCTTTGTGGAGGCTGACAGCAATTGAGCAAGATGAGCATGTCCAGCAGTGTCATATTCTGTCTAATCACGCCGATCCATGCTGGTCATTCACTGCTCGCTGCCATGCACACATTTATTTATTTTTCCGGTTCGTATTGAAAATCTTGTTAACCGAAAATGACGAGCGATGTCTGTTTTGTCTTGTACACCACGCTCGGATTATCTTCTTCATAGCTGAGGGCTGTGTATCTGAGACTTGATGTCGACTCAGATCCGCTGAAGATAATGGCTCATGGGATGTGGCGGACGCAGGACATCCAAGCTGAAGTCCGAGCTCTACCCAAGGCTCAGTATTCAGGTCCAGAAGAACGAGCTCTAGCATCAAGGGAGCTGTGGAACAGACTTCAAGAAGCTCGTCGTGGACCAGGGCATGAGAAAATCAATGGATCAAGAGATAGTCAGCTTATGGACGGCCGTGTAGGTGTGGCTGTCGAGTTTCCCACGGACAGGCGGTTGAACCCGGATCAACCCCTAAAGACCCTAGTCATATGGGCTGAAGAAACCGACGAGGTAGGTCTGAAGCCGTTGAGCTGGAGCACACACCACTAAGCGCATCTGCGCAGGAGGTACGAGACGACGGAGCAGTTCTTAACATCCCGCATCACTTGTTTCCTGTCCATACGCCATGCCCTGTATTCGCCAAAGTCCACCCTCACAATCCTGTGAGACTTGACCTTGTGCTCGTCCAGCCGATAGTCACTGTGGAATCGATATCGGACTCTGCCATATTCAATGTCGATGATATCGAGATCTCCACTGAGAGCCTGCCCAGCGGACCCGGTCAGATCTTCCGTCAAGGAGAGCGGACTTTCCTGAACCGTAAATCTGGGAATGATCAACTGGTCAAGGCCTTGCTTGTGGAACCGGTGGATCAAGGGATCATCACTTCAAATACCAAAATTATCATTACGGCTGAGCCACTGGTAGACGCTCTTGGTCTGGATGTAAACGACAACGTCTCACAGTCTTCTCATTCCCGTCCGTCCTTGAATGATTTTGATCCCGACGCATTCCTATCTTCATCCTTGGGTCTACAATTATCCTCAGCTCTGGATCATAACGCATTGGACAACGAGGAATTAGCAGGATCCATCGACTCTTCTACTTCCGGTACCATTACCCCTCGACGTGGTTCATTGCGTCTCCCGAGTCCGCCCGTCGAATTGGATGAACTGGAACTTGATAGAGAGGATGACCGGTACGCCAGATTTACAGCTGTCAGGGCTTTGGGCCCGAGCTCGTCGGTTGACGATTTGGACAATGTTGATGTCTGCTGGATGGGTCTAAGTGGGCTAGGAAGATCAGGGATATTTGAGCATGACTGGGTGAGCATCACATGTGGATCTACAGACTAGGAGCTGACGTATCCCAGGTCTTAATTCGTCCTGCAAATGCTTCGGATGGGGCACAAGGTCAAGGCAGATTGGTACGGGCTGTGGCGTGGGAGATGCTAGATGAGGAGCAGGAAAACTTGTGAGCCTACCCCATAATCTTCTGAGCAAATCTGGCGCTAACACAGCCCCTGGCAGACCTTCAAATCCAGTCCTCCTCCCTCCAGCGATCTATCGTGCATTGTCTCCTCATCCTGCAGAGTCGATCCACCTCGAGATTGTGGTTATTCCGACACCTTTTGGCGTGAGAAGTCCAACCCTGCCAGTCGCAAAGACCATCACGATCGCCCGAATTGCCACTGCCGAAGGTGTCGATAAGCGATATGAGAGGTCGTGGCTTCGAGGGCTGAAGAATGCCTTCGAAACCGCTTCACGTTGTAACTCATGTCGCTCAGATTGCAAAGGTCGTCTCGTCCGTCGAGGCGATATCATCTCTGTACCTCTTTGGAAGGATAGGACCCTTGAGTCCGAGGAATCGCTCTCAAATGAGGAGCAAGACCTCGACATGGACGCATTTGAAACCTTCACAATTCCGCAACCATCGGCTGTAGGGCACTTCATTGTCACCGGTCTATCGTATGAGCCATTAGTCCCACTGGAAGAGGATTTTGCAGCTTCGACGTCCTCCATGGCTCGAGCGGGAGAGCTAGGATGTTGGGTGGACGTCGGGGCGGACGGCTCCACGAGCATGGTTCTGCAGGGCGTGGAGGAAGCCAGGGTGTGCAATAGACAGGCCGATGGATCGTGGCTAGGGATATGTGAGTCGTTTGGCTTTGCAAGTTCCATTGAAACTCATCGGGCATAGCAAACACTCCCAAGCCGTTCAATCCCGATATCTCCAGGCGATTAAGGGACCTGCTGTCTTCCGCCATCTCCTCCGCCTCCCGTTCAATTCCTCTGTCTCTCTCTGTTCTCGTATCGGGTGCCAGAGGTTGCGGTAAGACTATGCTACTTTCCTCAATAGCCTCTGCGCTGGGCTATAACATCGTCATGGTGATTTCCAAACTCGGTAACGAGTGTAGCCACTGACCTGTTCTACAGGTAGATAGCTTTGACTTACAAGGAGAAGCATCGACTCGACTCGAAGGGACGCTCATGGCGGCATTGGATAAAGCGGGCTCGTGTACTCCATCCATCCTGCTTGTTCGGCACGTGGATGCCTTGGCCAAGAAGACTGAAGCGACTGCGATGGGTCATCAACCGCCTGTCGTGCGGATCCTTCGGGTCATGAGTGTCAAGATGCAGTCTTTAGGGAAGGATACTGGATATCCGTGTGTCCTGATCGCCACATCGACGGAAGCAGACGATATTCCGGGAGACCTCGGCTCCTGCTTCAAACAGAGCTTTGCACTAGAAGTGAGTTTTGAAGACTGTTTCAGCGGTAAACAGTACTCACCATTCCAGGCTCCCAACGCCGAGCAGCGATTCAGGATCTTTGCCGAACTTCTTCGCGGTCATCGCGTCGCGGATGACGTATCATTACGGGATCTTGCGGCGCAATCTGCATCCCTACTAGCCGGCGACATCCACGCCTTGATCCTGAGAGCGCAAGATTTGGCCATACAACGGGCTGAAGACGCTACTCGGCGAACCAATGCGGAGCTGCAACAAGCGGGAACGTCCATTCACAGAACAGATTTCGATCGTGCTGTCAGCGAGGCCCGAAGCAGCTACTCCGACAGTATTGGAGCGCCAAAGATTCCCAACGTCCAATGGGAGGACGTGGGTGGACTAGCGTCCATCAAGAAGGAGATTTTGGAAACTGTTCAACTGCCCCTCGACCATCCAGAGCTATTCGCAAAAGGTCTCAAGAAGCGCTCTGGACTGTTACTATACGGGCCTCCTGGAACTGGAAAGACACTGTTGGCAAAGGCAGTAGCGACAACTTGCAACCTCAATTTCTTCTCTGTCAAAGGTCCCGAACTATTGAACATGTATATTGGAGAATCCGAAGCGAATGTTCGGCGAATATTCCAAAAGGCTCGAGATGCGAGCCCGTGTATCATCTTTATGGATGAACTGGATTCAATCGCGCCCAAACGAGGGAATCAAGGTGACTCTGGCGGAGTCATGGATCGTATCGTGTCGCAGTTGCTTGCAGAACTGGACGGGATGAGCTCTGGTGAATCTGGTCAAGTATTCGTCATGGGTGCGACGAATCGACCTGATCTACTGGATCCTGCCCTCTTACGACCAGGACGCTTCGACCGGATGCTATACCTTTCTCTGCCTACGACACATGCCGCTCAATCTAGTATCCTCAAAGCTCTAACTCGAAAGTTCAACTTGGACCCCGAGCTCGACATGGACCAAGTGGCCGAGATGTGCAGTTTCAACTACACTGGGGCGGATTTCTATGCCCTGTGCTCCGATGCCATGCTCCGAGCTATGACACGAACAGCTGCGAATGTCGACGAGCGAATTGCGTCATTCAATACGGCTGGGATTAGCCCACCAAATAATGCACCCAGACCCCTGACTGTCCAATTTTACCTCTCCAATATGGCTAGTAAAGCTGAAACGACGGTCGAGGTGACGTTGAACGACTTTAGGGTGGCGATGGAAAGCTTGGTGCCAAGTGTCAGCGACGCCGAGATGGAACACTACAACAGGGTTCAAAGGGAGTTCAAGGGGTATGCGCTGGTGCAGAATGGGAATGCAAAAGATGCTTGAGCCAAATGCATAGGGCATTTGCCGTCTGCCAGATCACCACTTAACAGCCTCGTGGGTCAATCCTCCATTACTCAGGACATCGCCCTCGACCTTGCGGAATCGGGTGCGGAGAAATTCCCATCTTGCAGCAGCGTCATTGCCCGTCACATCATTGATAACCTGATGTGCTAGCTCATCCGCCAACTTGTGTTTCTCGCTTTCCGTCTTCCCTCTCTGGACTGTCAAATCCACAGGATCAGCCTTTGGAGATGGTGGAGGCGTCGGCAATCCATTCCAATAGACTGCTTCAACTTTGGCGACCCAGTCTTTCGTGCTCCATCTCGTACCCTCGTGACTGTCCTCCGGGAGTTTCTCAATCCCAGAATCGACGGTCATCCCCAGATCCGTCCCGTCGTCCGGTAGGGGTCGCTCGTATCCTTCTTCGTCTAAGACCTTCCGCGCGACGCTAGACACGGGTTTCATCTGTCCTCCACCATTTACACAACCAGAAGGACAAGCCATGACTTCGACGAAATCGACCTTTTTCTCATCCTTGACTGCGGGTACTGTCAATGATTCGGCATCGCTATCGATAGGTGTTGGCGTGGAAGTGATTTCGCCACCTCGAGCCATGCGAGATTTCCGACGCCGAGCAGCCAACGCCGCACTAAGCTTGCTTGATGTTCGAACGCTTTTCACTAGTCCAGTTTCTTTTCCGACTTTTCTGACCAGATTCTGAAGATTTCGGAAACCATAACACTTGATCCCCTTGAATATGATCTCACCCGACGATACTTCTTCCAAGAGGTATTCAACGTTATCCGTGGAATCACGAATCTCGCGAGTGACCAGTCGAGTTGGGGAAGGATGGGAGGCCGCCACGAGGTCAATGATCGATGCGAGGTAGCTGCCAGAGCTTGAACCGGGGTGGTTGAGCAGTTCCGGCCATGGTGAGCCAGCGAGACTTGTCGCATCGAGTTCGGTCATGTGCTCCTCAGGAGACGGCGTGAAAGGGTTGAATCCTAGCTCTGAAAGAAGCAAATCTAGTTCGCCAGTCGTGAGTACGCAATCGACATCACGCGTGGAGTAGGCTGCCGAATAAAAATCAGATCGAGATGCCTCGAGTTTCTTGTCATAGCACGGCATAGCAGTGACATGATAAATGTCGGACGGACTGATAAAATCATTTCAGACGAGGTCCTGTTCTGATCTGATCTAGGACCTCACCTCAGATCCATCATCTTCGCCCACCAAGTTTTGACCAAACCTCCCATGACTGCTTGACTGCTCCTCGTCTGACTCAGCAAAGGGAGCATATCCCCTTGCGCCTTCTCGGCATAGCAGACCCAACCAGGACATGCACTAGCGAGTACAGGCAGAGGTCCAGGTTCTGGACTAGAGCTGTCCCATGCCACCTCCTTCCCTTTGGCGGACCACTGACGACGTTCTTGGAACTCCGCCACAGTCTCTCGGAGCGAGAGGTGTCGGGCAAACGTTGTATCCCACGTTCTCCACTTTCCATTCTGACTGGTGGCCATGAAGTAGCGGATACGGCGCAAGAGTATCAGAAGGGGAATAGGTGGAGTGGATGATGACGAGGCGTATGACGTCGACAGGGAAGCGAGGGTCTGAGGAGATATCGACAAGACTGGTGTTTTGACAGCGGTGGTGGAAGAGGCAGATTCGGAGATGAAGGACAGCACTTCGTTATGCGATTGTAGAGTGATGAGCATAGACTCAGTGGAAGTTATGCAGCCACTGAGGGAAAGTCCATCAGCAAAAGGAACCCAAGCCTCCGAGATCACAGCCCACCTGCAAGCAAGACAGTCATTCAAGTTGATTTCTGCCTTTTCCAGAGCCTTCTTGCCCAGAGCTTTGGCTGAACCTGAAGAAGGTCCAGCGCTGGAGGTGGGATATGTGGATACTTCATAGTATGTATTCGAGTCGTCGATTTGAATCTCGGTCTACCCAAGGCATTAGAATTGGTGGTCCAGCCTGCGACTCACCGATCCATCATCTTGCTTCCCCGGGACACTTCCTCTAACGGGGATGATACATGCTTGCGAAGGGGTCAGAAAATCATCCAGGTCGGTGATGGTCTGGACCACATGAGTAAAGACGCCATCTCCATATCCGAATAGCTCACTAATGCGCCTGAGAAAGCCATCTTTGTCCCAACTTAACTGCTCTTTACGTGTGATGATCATCAATTGATCAGCATTTCAGCAACATTTTATCAATGCCGACGACTCGGTACATCGGCTTCATCCGCTTATCACCGGTCGGAAATGTATTCCACGTCATCTTACTGCCACTCGAGATTTTAAATGGACCCTCGTCTTCTTTCCCTTTGTTGATCTCCTTGTCTCATCCCCCCGTTTACACCACGCAACCTCCACTTCAGAGGTCCACCTCGACCTCTGACACACAGTCAATCATGGCAGCAACAGCAGATGAGCAAACACTGGCCAGCTTATCGGCAGTAGATAGCTCCACCTTCGATCTCGATCCATCACTCAATTCGACAGACACAGACTTGTTCCTATCTCAGTTGAAGAATGATGGCGATGAGACTAATGACCATGGAATAGACGACGCGACTGTCACTGCTATCAAGCAATCACTTTCAGAAGCTCAAGCCCATGCAGATCGACAAGCTCAGGAGATTGATGGGAAATCTGGATCTAGTCAAAGTGGACAGCTTGGAAGTGAGGGAAATCCTATCATCAATCCTACCGTCCATCTCGCGCCATTTTCTAAACCAGAAAGAGCGGAGGGTGCGTTATGTCCAGAACATTACAAGTTTCCGAGCAAGGCGGAATTCGATATTTGGCTTGCGGGCGAAAGCAGCTGGTGTCATTATGTGCAACGACGGACTACGACACCTCAACAGCGAGCAGATGAAAGGATGAGGGCGAGAGTCAAGGCGCATGAACGGGCATTACAGGGTGAGCGGGAAGTAGGCCTCGAGTCACGTATAACTGACGGGATGATCTTCAGCTCTAACACCTGAGGAAGCTGCCAATGCTCCCCCGTTGAAGACGCGTAAACGCACGAACAACACGAGTGTCTACATGAAGATCACCTACACGTGTCATCATGCCGGCAACTATAACGCGAGGCATTCTGATGTCTTGCCTGAAAAGAGATTACGTCTCAAAACGAAACAGAGTGTCAAGTGCAAGTGTCGATCTAGGATCATATTCACCGAATTACATTCAGGAGAATGTCAGGCAGTATATCATTGGAAGCACGATGGGCATGGTGGGCTGCATTTCTGCTCGAAGACCAAGCTGATATCATTGCAGAACTCTTCTCCGATGCGGAGCATCAGTCTGGGCGTCTGCCTTCAGTAATCGATGACTGGCTAGTGAAGCAGATCGAAGCGGGCAAGGAGATAGACGAGATTAGAAGGGTGTTGTCGATTCCAGAGACGGAGAAGCAGGCAGTGAGCTGTTGTTGCATCTTCTTCACAGCGGTCTTTTTGACGCCTTTTCCAGTACGTTCAAAAGGTGACAGAAGACCCGACTCTGGTCGATCCCGATATGCCACCGCCACTCGCTTTCCAGACCAAGGTCAAGTACCCAGATATCTACAATCGATTCAGAAAGCTTCGGGGACCTGTGCGCGCAGCTCGATCGCCAAACTCGAAGCGGTCATCAAAGAGGCGGATATTATCACCCGCGGCGGAGCAAACGCCAGGGTATGGTGCCGGACCTGGCTCAGCAGCAGATCTGGATGATTCAGTCCATCAAACATTCAACATTGATGGTGTTCCAGCTGGATTCGACCTCTCAGGATTAGCAGGCACACATCACGCGGATCTTGCCGAAGCTCTCTTAAGAATCCCTGCGGTGTCAGGGGATGTCAATGGAGTTATTGGTGGACCCAACGGATCAGGAGATGCAGGTAATGACGATGATCATCAACAACTAGATGAGCAAGTGCTGAAGATCGCTCGGATGGCTGCTGAACAAGGTGAAAGGGGAGGGGAAGCAGTGAGCGATGAGGAGGAAGAGGAAGTGGAGGAGGTGGAAGACGATCATGGAGATGCAGAAGCACGGGACGAGATCGCGAGTGTCGACTGGAACGCCTTTGCTGTTTAGTCTGGTTAGCTTTTGAGAGAATCTAATTTGAGTGTTGTAAAATAGTACAGAAGCTTCCATTCATCGTCTTGTATTTTATCATTTAGTCATGAACAATGTCGTCATGTGCCTTCCGACGCTGAGCTATATGGCCAGACGATTCCTTGGATTTTCCATTTCTCGACTGCATCAAATATCTAAGGATCTAAATACAAAATATCCTTTCGTCAATGCCTATTTGCCTATTTCGTTGGTCCTTACTCCGCCTTGGCAGCCTCGCTGGCCTTCTCAGCCGGAGCGACAGCTTCCACCGAATTGGCAACGACAGGTCTCATCGCGGGGAACAAGAGGACTTCCTTGATATTCGCTGAATCAGTCAAGAACATGACCAATCGATCGATACCCAAACCCCAACCTCCAGTCGGTGGCAATCCGTATTCCAAAGCATTGATAAATGTTTCATCGACGCCTTGAGCTTCGTCATCTCCTTGATCCTTCTGTCTCGACTGCTCAACGAATCGGTCTCTCTGGTCGAATGGATCGTTCAGTTCGGTATAGGCGTTGCAGACTTCTTTGGTGAAGATGAAACCCTCGAATCGTTCACAAAGGCCTGGTCGGGATCGATGGTATTTGGCGAGGGGGGACATGACTTGAGGATGACCGACAATGAAAGAGGGGCTGATACATTGGGTTTCGATGAACTCGCCGACAAGCTAAGTGTGAGAGAGAGTGTGTCAATGATTGTCACATGGGATTGAGAGGAGCGTGTCTCACTTTGTCCAGCAATCTGGCATTTGTCTTGGGCTCTGAGCAGTCGACATTGTGCTGTACCATGTCAGTAACATTACCTTGTATCATCGGAAGTGGACAAACCTTTGCACATAAATCACGCAAGAACTTGTTCGCATTGTCATCATGCAGTGTCTCTCCAGGCGGGAACTTGACACCCAGCTTGTCCTCCAACTCGCCAATCATGTCGAATCGCTTCCATGGTCGCTTAAAATCGGCCTCAAGAACTGGCTTGCCCTCGCCTTTGCCCTGTGGGTGGAATTGGACCTTTGTAGTTCCAAATAGTTTGATCACGAGATCTGTGATCATGGTCTCGGTCATCTCCATCAAATCGTACATGTCTGCGTAGGCCATATAAAATTCACAGATGGAGAATTCGGGGTTGTGGGTCATATCGATCTGTTCGTTTCGGAACACTCGGCCAATTTCAAAGACTCGGTTCAGACCACCAACGACGAGCTCCTTGAGATACAATTCAGGCGCGATACGGAGGAAAAGGTCGAGCTTGAGGTCATTGTGGTGGGTGATGAATGGTTTGGCTGTGGCTCCTCCAGCAACCATGGATGTCATGGGTGTTTCTACTTCGAGGAAGCCAAGATTGTCGAGGAATCTGCGGACGTGTTGGATGACTTTGGCTCGAGTGATAAATGTATCTCGAGTATGGCTGTTGACAATCAAGTCAAGGTATCGCTTTCGGTATCTCGTCTCTTGGTCAACTAGACCCTCACGCCCTGGAAGTTGATGCAAGCATGGCGACAAAAGTTGAATTTTGGATGCGAGAAGGGACAGTTCCCCCATCTTCGTACGTGATGGAATACCAGTGGCACCGATAATATCGCCACGTCGAATGATTTCATTCTCCTGAGCAAAGGCTTCGGGTGACTCTGCGTGCCTGAGTGACGGGCAATGAGCCACATTTCAATGCTGTCCTTGGGAACCCGACTCACTGCTCCTGTGCCAGAATTTGGACCTTGTGGCCATCCGCATGGACATCGTAGAACTTGATCTTAGCCCCGGACTCTCGGATAGACATCACACGACCAGCTAATGAAACCTGCGATAGCGGTGAGCGAGACCGAGACGTAAAGCAGGGACGCTTCTTACCGGTTTAGCATCAGATGCACTCGTTCCATTCTCAATCTTGCCCTCCGCACCCCACTCTGCAATATATCGAGGGATAGATTGGTCGACGTTGAACTTGTGAGGGTAAGGATTCGGGTTCTTGGTCTGACGGAGCTTGTTGATGGTTTTGGATCTCAATTCGTAGAAGGCCTGAAATGCTTAGCTGAAGTATTATGTGTGAAGGTCTAGACATACCACGGCGTCCATCTCCGCCTCCTTGGCAGCTGCCGAAGGACCTGCAGCAGCCTTCTTGGGCTGAGAGGCAGCTTCTTCAGCCTTTTTAGCTTGAGAAGCAGCCTTGACTTCGGCCCTTTGTCGTTCCTTGATTCGCTTCTTGTGCTCTCTAATGTTCCAATCAGCTGACGGTATACCGGACTAAAGCCCTCGGACAAACTCACGACTTGGACACCATCTCTCCAGTCACCTCATCCTTGTGCAAATTTGCTTCGTTGGGCGCGGACATGGTGAACGATTTGGCGTGTAAGGTGAGAAATGTACTAGGACCAGCGGATGTGTAGCTGGGTATTGGTCTGTTTGCTTGAAAGACTCGACCCAAGCTTCTAAGCATACAATGAACGACTCGGGATGTATTCAATAGCAATGCTCCCACAACGAGTCGACTGGAAAGGGGTTCTTGAATTTTTGGGAATCCAGCCTGTCGCGAGGTCGTCAAGCGGTCATGACGTGGATTTACAGAAAACCGCATTGATCCTCTCAAACAATCTGATAAGAAAAGTTCCCCCTCTCTCTAGCCAAATCTCGACGAAATCCCAGCTTGCTGAGTGTAACTCCATCGTGTACTGCACACACGGTCACCATGCGATTCAATCCATTCAGCTCAATAGCTTCCTTCTCCACAGCTCTGCGTGCTTCAACGTCTCGTGTCCGACTCCCCGCTCGTCCCTCAACTCGCCTCTTCCTTCCAGCACTCCCGCCTGCATTTGTGCGAGGCAACCATGATGTCTCGCTCTCCAGCCTCAAACCAAGTCCAGGATCCACGAAGAATGTACGTGCGGACTGAGTTGTGTCTTGAAGCGGGGTCTCTGACGCTGTCGATAGCGCCGCCGAGTGGGTCGTGGTGTGGGAAGTAAAATGGGAGGACACACGACTGGACGAGGACACAAGGGTCAAAAGTCTCGATCTACCATCCCATATATTGGATTCGAAGGAGGTCAAACACCACTTTATCAGAGAATCCCTAAACGAGGATTCAGCAATCCGTGCGTCGATCTATATCATTGCACGAAGCATCGCTGACATTCTGTTTCCTTTTCCTTCCACGCAGGTTCAGGAAGACTTACGCTTCCCTGTCTATTGCCAAGATCCAGAAATGGATCCACCAGGGTCGAATCGACCCGACCCAACCTATCACCATTCGAACAGTTATCAAATCCAACGTAGTCCACGGGATTGGGACGCATGCAGGAGTCAAACTACTCGGTACCGTTGATGAGTCATTACCTCTTCCGAGTTTGAACATCAGCATGTCAAAGTTCACGATGGCTGCTGGAAGAGCCATCATCAAAGCTGGTGGAACTTGCACGGCAGTTTACCACAATCGACTCAGTCTGATGCAGGAACTACGACCTCATAAATTCATCGGGAGGGAGATCACGCCGGCTAAACCAGTCCGAAGGAAGGATATCGGTGAGCACGATCTGCGCATTCATCGTCAAAGCTCACGCTTGGTATAGAATACTACACTGACGCCACTAAATTTGGATACCTTGCCAATGAACGGGATAAATTGTTCTTGGATCGTGGATTTGATCCGCATATGAAGAGAAGCAAGGTCGCCGGACGACCATACAAGGACACTAGAGGCTTAACACCGGAGGAAGCTGCGGCAAAGGATGCGGAGTTAGCGAAAGAAAAGATGGCCAACATCATGAATATCCAAATGATGAGGCCGTGAGGGGCATTTGACAAATGCAGGTAAACCATGCTTTGCACCCCCGCCGTATGATCTAAATGCATCATATCACGGCTATGATCTGTCGCTTCTATCTCTTTCAGCTGGTCTATCGTAGTGTTCACTGCGGCGGTCATCACGAAGCCGGTCATCTCCGCGATCCCTATCGTCATATCGTGTACGATCACGCTCGTTATCGTCGTAGCGATCTCTGCGGGGAGCGGCCTTCCTATCCCCACGACGGCTCCAGTCGCCATTATGTCTGTCCCTCGAACCGTTCCTGTCCAGCGCTTCATCGTCTCGTGCTCGGACCCTCTTCGCATCCCGTTCCAGCTCCCAACGCCCTTCTCGCATGTCGTCCTCGCGGTCACCCCTACCCGTCCGAGAAGGCGGCTTATCATCTATTCTCGTGTCACTGTCATCTCGAACCGCATGACGAGAGCTCTTGCCGTCTCGACCATCTCGCCGCCTGTCGTTCTCAGAGATTCTACTCGGATAATCTCGATCTCTCCGTTCGCTCCTGTCATCGTCTTTCCTGCTGTTCCTGGACCTATCCCTGTCCCGATCCTTCTCCCTTAGCCCACTGCCGCTTCTAGCGATGTCCTTGCCTGATCTCTTAACCTCCTTCGCAGCCTTGCGAGCTTTCTTCGCTTCCTTCCTCGCTCTCCTCTCCTCTTTACTCTCCCCTTCGTGTTTCCGCTTCTTGTCTTTCCCATCTGTCAAAGCTTTCGCTTTGGCCTTCTCCTTCTTCTTCTCTGCGCGAAGGAAGACAGCCATAGGATCCTCTTCATCTAGCGAGTCGTTGACCTCCGACTCAGATGATTCGGAGTCGTCAGAGCCTGTATAGGAATCCGTCAACGGTGCCATTGCTAATCAGGTACACAGGCAAGGTGGCTTACCCTCTATTGTGGGCGGCATGGCGTTGTATGTCGGCTCCTCAGGTTCTACATATTCTCCTTCTTCATTCTTCGTGCCCCTTTGTTTGTACTTTTGGCAGTGGTCGACCTGACAACGTCGAGTCAATTCAGGCAAAGAAAGAAGATTGATGCGCCTCGATCAACCTCACGCGGATAGTCCTCCCTAGGATCTGACAGCCGTTCATATTATCCACCGCCAGGACTGTACTTCTTTGATCTTCGTACATGAGAAAAGCGAACCCTCTGACTTTCCCAGTCTCCTTATTTCGAGGCATATTGATATCCATGACTTCACCGAATCTGAAACGAACCTATCAGCTCGTGTTTCCAAAATCAAGCAAAAAGATGCTTCTTACTGCGAGAAGACGGTGATGACATCTCCTTCCGTCAAATCGAATGGCAGCCCACCAATGAAGACATAAGCGGAGTCTGGATACTTGGTGAGATTGCCGTCTTCTACCGCCACCACTGGACGACTCACCTCTGTATTGGTCGTGCCAGGAGCCCTTGTCTGCCACTCCCAATTCCAGTTCACGTTGGTTGATCCGTTCGATTTCACGGACAGCACTGATATCCGTTAGCATTTCCGAGAACTTCCCGCACTCGAAGACCTACTTCATCTCGTCCTGAAACCTCAGAAAGACTGATGTAGTTGAACTTTCAAGATTCTGCGAGGTCATAAGCTGAAGCTTCAGCTGAAATATCTCAAATACGTAATCAACTCATAATTAAACTGTTTTTGGTTTCCGTTGAAAATATTTCAAAGTCGAAGCCGTCGTCGTCTGAGATGGGATCTATACACAACTGATTTAGGTATCGAGGTGAAGCATTTGGGCTGCGACTTGGTGACAACTATCCGAGGCAAGTCAGCAAATAATGATCAATTCTCTTCTCGCTGACGATATCTGCAGACATGTTGACGATCCCTGGCTCGTCAGCACTCACGCCCTCGAGGCGGAGCACCGTCCTCAGAGCCTTTCAATCCGTGCTCCCAGGTATAACCGCCGTCGATGCCGTCCACCTTCACCTGGTCAACCCTACGTCGTCAGAATCATCAGAGCTGCTCAATGGGTCTACTTCAGAACGCAAGGTACTCGATGCTCTGCTGGCTTACGGAGACAACGACCAATCTGAAGCGATGAAAGCGTTCGTCGCTTCTGGACTAAAGACACCACCTGATGCTGGTCTAACGGCACTTTTTATCCTTCCTCGACCCGGGACGATTTCACCATGGTCCTCGAAAGCTACAGAAATTGCCAAGATCTGTCGACTTGGTGCACACGTCTCAAGGGTAGAACGTGGAAGTCTATACCTCATCTCCTCGTCCTCTCCTCTGAGTCTTCCGGGACTCTTGCCTCTCCTGCATCTCATTCACGACCGCATGACTCAACTTGTGCACACTTCTATACCTGAAGCATCTACAATCTTCCCTCCTTCACCTCCTCGGCCATCGCCTCTCGTTTCGTACCCCATCCTCGACGCGAAGGATCCACTAGCCGTTCTTGGCGAAGCCAATGCTGGAATGGGTCTAGCCTTGTCAGACGAGGAGATTTCGTACCTTGTCGAGTCTTTCACCGCGGCCGGCCGTAATCCCACTGATGCCGAATTGTTCATGTTTGCTCAAGTCAACAGCGAGCATTGTCGGCACAAGATCTTCAATGCCAAGTGGACTATTGATGGCCAGGACAAGGAAAACAGTCTCTTCGGTATGATCCGGAATACCGAGAAGGCCTGCTCCTCCGCCGGCACGCTCTCTGCATATGAGGACAATGCGGCCGTCATGGACGGGTACGAAGCCCCACGCTTCGCAGTCCAGGGAGCACATGGAAACGGAGCTTACGGGTCGACATCGGAGAAGATGCCAATACTGATCAAGGTGGAGACACACAACCATCCTACGGCCGTATCACCTTACCCGGGTGCTGCCACTGGATCTGGGGGAGAGATCAGAGATGAGGGAGCTACAGGTCGTGGCTCTCGTCCAAAAGCTGGTCTGGCAGGATTCACCACCTCTGATCTTCTGATCCCTGATTTCTTGCAACCCTGGGAATCTGACATTGGGAAACCAGCACACATTGCTTCAGCAATCGATATCATGCTAGAAGCTCCGTTGGGAGGTGCCGCTTTCAACAATGAGTTTGGACGACCAGCTCTTGGAGGATATTTCCGGACGTTCTTGATGCCAGAGTCGGTCACAAACGAAGGGGACTCAAAATGGAGAGGATACCACAAACCAATCATGATCGCCGGAGGTTTGGGTAATGTCCGACCACAATTCGCTCGAAAGGACAAGATCAACGCTGGAGCCAAGATCATTGTCTTAGGTGGTCCCGGTATGTTGATCGGTCTCGGAGGTGGAGCAGCTTCGTCCATGGCCAGTGGAGCATCTTCTGCCGATCTCGACTTTGCCTCAGTCCAACGGGAGAACCCAGAGATGCAGAGGCGTTGTCAGCAAGTTATTGACAGCTGTATCAACAGTTCGGAAGGCAAGAACCCAATTCAATCGATTCACGATGTCGGAGCTGGTGGTCTGTCGAACGCTTTACCGGAGTTGGTCCATGATGCCGGGCTGGGTGCTCAATTCGACATACGTTCGGTGCTGGTTGACGACCCTGGAATGTCTCCCATGGAGATATGGTGCAACGAAAGTCAGGAGAGGTACGTTCTGGCCGTCGGCCCAGAGGATCTAGAGAGATTTGAAGATATCGCAAAACGAGAAAGATGCCCCTTCTCCGTTGTCGGTACAGCTACCGAGGAGGAGAGACTGGTCGTCCGCGACAGTATTCTTGGTGACAATGTCATCGATGTCGCCATGTCGGTCCTCTTTGGGAAGCCACCAAGGATGCACCGCAAAGCCGAGACTGTCAACCCAGCTACTGAATCCTTCGATTCCTCCCTTTATACCTACTTGCCTGTTTACCGAGGCGCCCCCACGACATCCCTCGTCGCGGAGACTGTAAACAGGGTCTTGCGACTTCCGAGTGTTGGCTCCAAGTCTTTCCTCATCACCATTGGTGATCGAACAATCTCTGGACTGGTTACCCGGGATCAAATGGTGGGGCCTTGGCAAGTGCCTGTAGCCGACGTGGCTGTCACTAGATCATCGTACGGTTTTGATGTGCTGGTCGGAGAAGCTATGGCAATGGGCGAGAGAACGCCTCTGGCGCTTCTGGACGCTGCTGCATCTGCTAAGATGGCCGTTGCCGAAGCCCTGACGAATCTCGCAGCGGCGTCAATTGACGATCTCAAAAAGGTCAAACTCAGCGCCAATTGGATGTCTGCTGCTTCCTACGAGGGCGAAGGGTCGAAGTTGTACGAAGCCGTCCAGGCTGTCGGAATGGAGTTGTGTCCTGCTCTGGGCATCGGCATTCCCGTTGGCAAGGACTCAATGTCCATGTCGATGCGATGGTCAGGTAGCAAGACCGGCAACAAGATGGAAGTCACTGCGCCACTATCTCTCATCGTTACTGCATTTGCGCCTGTCAACGATGTCTCGAGGACATGGACACCACAATTGCGGACCGATGTGGAAAGCACGATTCTGGTCTTTGTCGACTTGGCTCGTGGCAAGCGACGACTGGGAGGATCAGCCGTGGCGCAGGTCTACAAGCAGCTCGGATCTGAATCGCCAAATGTTGAAGATCCGACCGATCTTAAATCATTCTTCACCGCTGTGCAGGCCTTGAAATCCAACTCTGTTGTCCTTGCTTATCACGACAGATCGGATGGTGGTCTCTTTACAAGCATCGCCGAAATGGCCTTTGCCGGACGTAGCGGTGTTCAAATTTCTCTCAACTCGATCACCTCTGAGCCTGACTTTATCGCCACCATGTTCAATGAGGAGCTCGGTGCTGTGATGCAGATCAGAGAATCTGATCTTGCGGCTTTCACCGATGCTTTCATCCAGGCCGGGTTCCCCACGCGTTATATCCACTCGATTGGAAGAGTGCTCGGTCGAGAGGATCAGACTGTCAATTTCATTTCTAACGGCGAGTCAGTCTACACTTCCACTCGAGGAGCTTTGCAACAACTCTGGGCGGAAACATCGTACAGGATGCAATCGATGCGTGATCAACCTCAGGCTGCCAAAGAGGAATTCGAGTCGATTGTGGACGACGAACAGGACGGAATCATTTACGACATCCCATTTTCGACTCTACCTTCACCCTCCGCATCAGTGTCTGCCAGACCACGCGTCTGTATCCTTCGAGAACAAGGTGTCAACGGTCATATTGAGATGGCTTGGGCTTTCCACGCTGCTGGCTTTGAAGCTATAGACGTTCACATGAGCGACATCATCTCTGGGAGAGTGTCGCTGTCCACCTTTGCAGGTCTCGCGGCATGTGGTGGGTTTTCCTATGGTGACGTACTTGGCGCAGGTAGCGGTTGGGCCAAATCTGTTCTACTCAACGACACTGCTCGGAAAGACTTTGAAGCATTCTTCCAGCGTAAGGATTCGTTCGCCCTTGGAGTCTGCAATGGCTGTCAGTTCTTTTCCGGTCTGAAGGAGATGATTTCCGGCGCAGAAACATGGCCCGCATTCAAATCCAACCAAAGCGAGCGATTCGAAGGACGAGTATGTACTGTCAAAGTGGATGCGAAGACGACTTCCATCTTCCTCAAAGACATGGGATCGGCGAGGATGCCCGTCGCCGTCGCTCACGGCGAAGGACGCGCTTCCTTCGCTACGACTGGCAGCCTTGAAAAGCTCAACGAGGGCGGTCTCATCCCCATACGATACGTCAATTCGCAAGGCGGCATTGCCAGCAAATACCCTTACAATCCCAATGGCAGTCCGGAGGGCATTGCAGCGGTCCAGACTGTCGATGGGAGAGTTTTGGCTATGATGCCTCATCCGGAGCGAGTGATAGCGTTGGAGAGCAACAGTTGGTTCCCACCAGCTCTTGCTGAAGCTGCTCAAGGCAAGGGACCATGGTTCAGGTTATTCCAGAATGCCTACGAGTTTGCAATCAGTCAGAAGAATTAGAGCTTGTAAAGGAAATCTGTGAAGAGGGGGTTGGAAGGTGGGGGTCAAAATGCATAGGGTCTATGAAACTTGAAGGTGATGTTGAATACATATGGATGAATGTCAAGAGCTTTGATTTCATATCTCCGTCTTGACCCCTCTGGACTTGTTCTTTTTCGACTTTTTCTTTCCCTTTCTCAATCCCAGCTTTTCTCTCGCTGCATCTCTAGCCTCTTGGATTCGCTTCTTCTCATCTGACGCTTTTTGAGCTGGGGTTCTAGGCATGTCCTCCTCTCTGACGCCTATACCGCCCGGCTGTGCTCCACGTAGTCGAATCCGACCGTCTTTCAAGTATTCAGTGATGACTGGGGATGCGGCTGGGCGATACTTGAATTCTTCGCTGTACCTGTAGCCTAGGGTCAGCAACGACGAGTTTTCCCGCAGTGATAGACCTTGTATGGTCGACGCTATACTACATCGTAGAGAGCTCCGAGCGCCTCACCTCACCTCGAAGCGTAGATGATCTGTGGTGATTTCTTCATTGTTCCAAGTCTTATGCTGAGCCATCCGAGGACAAGCATGAAGAGAATGATTCCAGCCCGTTTCCACCAAGCAGGAGGAGGTCGATTGAATTCAGCTTGAACGCTGGCTCGTAAAGGTCGATGGGCATCATTATCATCCTCCTCGAGAATCTCTTGGCCTGTCGAGTCGCGTGAAATCCGAGGTGAGGAAGGGCGGGAAGAGGATGGAGAGGTAGGGATACGCTGATACGAGCCTGATGACATGATGATACTGATGATGAGGGCTGAAGAAGACTCGGCCAGGTGTCTCTGCCCTTTCACTCGCGATTGTCTGCTTGAACGAGTTCAGCGTGGAACAGAGGTTTCTGCGGCATACTACGCATTTCAAACTCGTGACGATCAATGCGCCCAGAACGCCAGTACATTACGTAAAACCACGAATTCAGCTCATCTTGACACGTCCATCGTCGAGCGATATATGTTGTTGTTGTTGTTGTTGTCGTCGTTGTCGTCGTTGCAACATACCACCCTTCTCACTCGCCTCGGCTTGACAGGCACCATGAATTACCTCAAGTCCATCACTACTACTGTTCTCAACTCGACCGGTGTCTCCTTCCCATTTTCCATTGGAGAACGTATACCAGGTCTGGATACAAGCACATCCATATGGGACGTCAGAGAAGGAGTCAAGAAAGATGACGGTACACTCTTGACATTGTTCATCTTTGATTCGACCTTGGGGCCTTTCCAACCCGGGAGCAAAGATCGAAAGACCTTGATGCAATTGGCCCGGAATGCATTGAAGAAACTACGGACGATCCGGCATCCAGATGTGATCAAGTATATTGATTCGGTGGAGACAGAGACGCATGTGTATATTGCGACGGAAAGAGTCCGGCCATTGGAAGGGGTCTTGAGGGACTGGACGACGGGAGGTGCTTTGTCACAGGGAAAAGGAAAGGGAAAAGAAGATTGGATCGGATGGGGAATAAGGAGTATATCAGTGAGCTATCACGATGGCAGCCATTCCTCTGCTTACGGCTGGATCTCTAGACCGCTTTGGCTTTCCTAAACTCTCCACCACTGTCATTACATCACGCATACTTGCTTCCTTCAAGCGTGTTCGTTACACCAGCTATGGAATGGCGCCTGGGCGGATTTGAACTGTTGACAGCCAAAGACGATTCAGCCGGTGTCCTGTGGGGCTTAGGCGGGGTAGCTCCGGGCAACGTCGGCGAGATCAGTGGACCAGAGGTCAAAAAGGGAGGATGGGGAGTTTTGAGAGATACAGATCCCGCTCAGGCAGATATCTATCTCTTGGCCCTTCTCCTCTTCATCCTCTACAACCCCTCGTCTCCATTACCGAATCTCAACGCTCAGCCTACTCCCTCATCTTCTGGCTCTCTGCCCAAAGCCTTGTTCCCACTATGGAAGCGGATGCTCAATCCCAATCCTCGGACGCGACTATCGACCTCTGCATTCGTCTCTGATCCAGCGGCGCTGTCTTTCTGGTCGAATAATCCTTTGGCCAATCTCGTTCAAGGCCTGGATGGATTCGAACTGAAATCGGAAGGCGACAAATTGAGCCTCCTGAGATCTGTCAAAGATGCAGCAAGTGCAGGAGAGATACCACAACCTTTTCTCTTGTACAAAGTCCTACCGTCGCTCCTTCACTCCCTCTCCCTTCCCACGGCTCCGAGTGGCGCAATGTTACCGCTCGTTCTCGAGCTCGGAAAGCTAGTCTCACCTGCAGACTACGGCAAATTGGTCCTGGATCCCGTGGTCAAGCTGTATGCCAGCCCAGATAGAGGTACACGAATGGCATTGCTAGATGGTCTCGGCGAGTATGGCCCAAAACTGGATCAGCGGACAGTCGTGGATAAGGTTTGGCCACACCTTGTGAGCCAGCTAGCAACACTTGCGTCGCCGGATACAGCTTACATCTCTTAAGATCACTGGATTTGCAGACACCGTCCCCGTGATTAGAGAAGCAACAGTCAAAGCAGTGTACCCTCTGGCGTCAAAGGTGACTCCGCGTCAATGTGTACCAAACTGACTCGAATTAGCTGAATGACCGTATACTGAACAACGATCTCTTGCGTCTACTCGCTAAAATGCAAACCGATACCGAGCCATCGATCCGTACCAATACCTGTATTCTGATCGGGAGACTCGCTCCAATGCTAGGACCCAACACAAAGAAGAAGGTTCTAGTCCCAGCTTTTGCAAGGAGTCTGAAGGATTCATTCGTGCACGCTAGAGTAGCGGGGCTGATGGCTTTGATGGCTACGGTCGATGTGTTTGACCGGGACGATCTGGCTGGCAAAGTCGTTCCCAACATGGCCTTCACACTGGTCGATAGGGAAAAGTGAGATATCTCCAACTCTACTCTCCGGTCATGGCAAGCTCACATCGCTCATCCAGGTTGGTTCGTGATCAAGCATTCAAAGCTATGAACATGTTTCTGAAGCGTATCGAAACGATGGCCGCTCAAATGGTACGTCTCTCCGCTATCTAGATCATATCTGATCCTTTCATTAGCCCGATACTGTCCTGTCCGATGAAAAGTCTGTTTCTAGCTTAGGACCCGTCACAACCACATCCGCCTCCAACGGAACAGGTCAAGCGGGTCTAGTCAATTCAGCGACTGGCGCCGCTGGAGCGTTGGCAGGTTGGGCCATCACCTCGTTCGCAAAACAACTGTCTTCAAATGAGGTTCACTCGACTCTGTCTGCCGCACCTGCCTCTGCCAGCGCAGCCAATGCGTCTCTCGCTCCTCCAGGATCATTCACCAATGGCTCTGCCTCGCCGTCGAGCTCTAGAAGATCCAGTACAGATTCGACTGCCTTCTTTGGAGCGACTTCTGCTCCAGCCAAGTCCTCTCTCGGCGGTGTCAAAAAGGCGCCTGCTTCATCTCGACCATCAGCTTCAACAGGAATGAAGCTTGGCGGATCATCCAAAAGCCATACAAAGTCCTCGGCCAATGCCGGACCCAGCTTAGCTGATGTTGTAGCTGGAGAATGGGAGGACGATGGAGAAGCCGCCAACGCATGGGGAACAGACGACTTGATCGACGTCAATGCCGATGAAGACGATTGGGCGGCTTTCGAATCGGGTCCGACCATCGAAGTTGCTGTCCCGCCCCCTCAATCGTACTATGTCACTCCGCCAGCAACTACTTCGCCAGCTATCAACGGCAATGTGAACGGTCCGTCTAAAAGTGCTCCACAACCTAGTTCATCAAAACCCGTCCCCCAAAAACCTGCTCCAAAGGTCCAGCCTGTCTCCGCATCGCCCGCGCCAGCGCCAGCGCCAGCGGAGCCGGCAGAGTCGAACGATGGCTGGGGGGAGATCGACGACACGCCGTCGACGCAGAGTAAAGCACCGGAGATTACTACTTCTGCTCAACCGTCTCTTGCAGGGATGAGCAAAGAAGATAAGGAGAAGGAGATGGTCAAGAGGAGAGAGGAGCGAAAGGCTGTGAGTTTCACTTTCGTCGTTTGCATGATTTGCCCGCTGACCAATTGGGGGAAATAGAGGATAGCAGCGATGAAAGATCAGAAGAAGGGCAAGGCATGAGGAATGAATGGAATCTCGCCATCATCACACAACATTACATCACCATTGCAGGCATATTGGTCGTACTTTTGACTATTAAGAGGGATATCAAACACTGCAGGTTAATTAAATACAATGGATGCTGGATATCACCTGCATTACAAGGTTCTTTATTCACAAGTCAATCAAGGTCCGTTCAGCGAGCGAGGTATACCATTCAAAGGTCAGGTTCCACTCCATCGATCGGATGATCGGATTCGAGCCTGCAAGAATGGGGTAGGTAGATCAGGATCAGATGTTGAAGGGGACGCTTGGATCCGCTGCCCAGTCAAATCCTCCTCCAGGTGCCAACTGACTCCAAAAGTCACCTCCCATGAAGTTTGTAGGGCTGGTAGGACTCAAACCCGGAGCCGACTGACCAGGGATCTGGGTCGTCGAAGCTTGTGGCGTGGAGCCAGGTATCTGAGCGTTCTGCTGCCAAATGCTACCGTTGGTGGTCGTATTACCGCCTGGACTCGGTCCATTTGAGTTTGGCGTATTTTGACCAGAGATGACATAGTTGGCCTGACCGGTAGGACTGATGAAAGAGTTCCAGAAATTCGCAGCATCGGTATTGGTGAATCCTTGTAACATTTCCAGTCCGTCAAACGTTACGCCTCCGACGTCGAACAAGTTTGGATTCGAATCGAACGGATTATTGTTCGCATTGCTCAGTTGATTAGGGGTGAAGTGAAGTTGATTCGATGGAGCAGTATAAGGAGATCGCTGAGGTTGTTGTTGTTGTTGATGATGATGATGCTGCGATTGCTGAGCACCATTGCTAAAGTTGGCAAAGATATCGTCGTCTCGAACCATTGTCCTTGTATTACTCGTCTCGTATGCTCTTCGAGGATCCACAGGGGATGCATTGGGGTAATGTCGATCAGGTGGAGGTCCCATAGAGGGTCGTTTGGCAGTGGACGAACTGACAGATCCATTAGATGATGTCTTCCGCTTCTTCATCATGGGTCGAGCGACGCCGGACGCGTTCCCAAGTGCCACTTCCTTTGCTCGGGCCTCGGCATCATTTAGTAGCTCTTTCAGTTTTCTGGATCCAGGCCAGGCAGGTTCCAAAGCTTGCAGGATCTTGCGGCATGACTCGACGCTTGAGCCAACAGCATCAATGACGATTTGGTCCCTTGCTTGTACTTCGCACAAGAGGAGCACGACCGCCGATGACCACAGGTTGTGGCAGTACGCCGAGAGATGGTGTGAGGGAGCCAACAGGACACTCTGTTGAGATGCGACGTGAATGACGGAACGAGCTGCTTCGACGAGATGAGAGAGGGATTGAGAATTGGAAGGAGGTCTCGGGCGTGGATAATCGGGATTAGAGGGTAGGAAATTCCGGTGAAGAGTGAGAAGGACGGTGAAGTAGGCGTTGGAAAGAGTGGCAGACACAAGTTGGACAGAATGAGATGTCGTTGAGGATGGATCTTTGTACTTTGAAGGCTTTTCGAGGTCAGTCTAAGGAGACCTGTAGGGTCATTCGACTCACTACATCATTCTCCAGCCAGTCTTTAAGCAAGCGGTCGAGCTTGTTAATGGTGCTCTGTTGCGATGCTGACCAACTTGGGTCCGAGACAGATCTGCCATTGGACGGGCGATACAGCAACTGAGCGACTCGACCAGCGATCTTACACAGCTTGGTCAAGGCGATAAATCCAGATATGGTCGACTTCTCGGGCTCCTCTGGGATGTCCGTGTCTTTAGAAAATCTCCGCATGGCCGTGTCGTCGACGGGAAGGGGCAGAGCAACATCAATATCCAGATCCTCAATGCCGAGTGGTCGACCCAGGGATACAGAAACAAGTCTAACAAGATAATTAGAAGGAAGCGCGCTGCGTTACAGTCTTCACCCACCTCTCCAGTCCGTAGATAGACCACCAGCATCTCGCTCGGATCTGCTTTTCTGCTAGGCTGATACCCATTCTTGCCGTCGAACGCTGCACAAGTCAGAACCGGTCTCTACGTGAATACTCGGGTGACATACGTGCAGTCCGAGATCCTGAGCCACCCGAATAGCCTGACCCGCCAGCAACCATGACATGGGCATCGCATTCACACTGGCCTGGAAAGCAGCCATCAAGGTGAGACACTGAACCTGATGGATGTTCACGTCTTTGAGCGTCGTGTAGTGGAGAATTTGGGCTCTGCGGAAAGCGACAAAATATCAGCGTGCTGCACACGACATTTGCGACCACCTCGCTCACCTCTCGTACCAGATCACTCCGGCTTCGGCCTCCCCTGGCAAGACTGTATCGTCGTCGAGTGGTATCTTGTTATCGTCGACTTTGCTTCGTTCCCTCTGCCAGGCTTGCGAAGTCACCAAGACACGTTCTCCCAATGCATAGATGGCGAATACGACAGAAATGAACTGGGCAGTGGGTTAGCGCGAATTCTAAGCGTCGTTTGAGATGGCCGACTCACCCCGCCCGGCTTCTCCGGCTCTCCCCTCGACCGCCGCTCCATGATGGCCGCGTGTTCTTTCCTGAAATCCTCCTCGACGACAACGGGCAGGATAGGATAGACGTCCCGAAAGAACGCATCGATCATTGCAGCGCCTTGCTTCTCCTCCGGAAAAATGACCTCGTTGACTCCTGGCAAAGCATTGACGACACCTGATCCAGCGACAGGACCAAAGTATGGATTTGAAGATGATGCTGAAGCTGCTCCACTTCCTTTGCCGTCCTTCTCCCCACCTAGAGGAGGCGTTTGAATTTGAGGGGATGACCTGTGGGCGAGGGAGTCGAGTAATGAGAGAGTGTTGGAGGATCCGATCCATCTGTAATTGCCTCTGTCATCTTGTGTGATCTGACCACCGTCTGGTGATAAAGATTCGGATGACTCGTGGAGGTCTGGATCGTCATCCATGTCTTGATCACCACCGTTGTCTTCTGACATTCTGCTGAGATCGATACCCGGTTCAAGCTTGAGCGTGGTCGTGTGGGGTCCCGTAGCGGTACCCGGTATAGGTCCAGGAATCGATCCGGCTCGCATGCTCGGAGTTCCTCCTCTCAAGCCAGGATGATCTTTCTCAAACACGTCCAACATGGGCAACATTCTTGATTGTGTCATCTCGAGGGCTTGGACTCTCGCTTCGAGATTCTGGACATATTGTCTGGAATAAGCAGCTCTATCCCTCGTCGGAGGATAAGTGCATTCTATACCTCCAGATATACACTGTTGACATGGTCCAGGTTGATCACTGTTGGCAGCAGCACCTCGCGCACCTCCACCGCTCGTAGACGCCGGTAGACACCTGACCTTTTTCTGCCGACATGACCGACAAGCAGCATAAGCTCTGACTTTTGTCAAGTCTACCGTGTCATTGGGTATAGAAGCCTTTGATTTTTTGGCGCTCTGTTGCTGCTGTTGATGTTCTGGAGGGGGCGCCATGGGGGTGGAGAGGAGAACGGAGGGGATGTGGAGTTGAAGGCGGGGTAAAGAAGAAGAGAGAAACGAAGGATAGATGCAAGGTCGAAACTGCTCGAAAAACCACACAAGTGAAGTGGGGGCGCCGGGGGGAAAAATATAACGGTGATGAGATAGCCGAGATGATGATGGGTTTTGTGGAAAATCAGACCAATTTGCACGTACAGTTCTTACGAACTACACCATGTGTAACGGAATGGATAACAAGAGCGTGTCGAGTTCAAACCGGTACCCCAGGTCTGAAATAACTCCTCCCCCTCCTCGTCGTTGTCGTCGTCGTCGCTCTTTGAAAGGAAAGTAACTGTGGTCTCGCCTTCTGGGGCCAAATTTTTGGACGTTGTGGCGGAAAGAGGAAAGAGGGCGTCTCTGCGGGGTAATGGCGGCTAGGCGGCTAATGAACAAACGTTGTGGTGTTTTTTTGTATGGCGGTCAAGGTTAGGGGGATGTACGGAAGAGGTGATCAGCAGACTCAAGTGAACGTTTTGTTGCTGTTTGGGCACTATAGATATGATCAGATGGACATGTATACCATTCGACCACCGGCGATGTATGTACCTCGCAGCCAACTGTAAGTTATATTCCGCAGGTGACCTTGCTTCTCACTCTGCGGTTGCGCTTATTGACCTGGAAGATTGGAAAAACGGCGAAAAATCGGTCTTGGAGGGGGGGGTCACCATAGCGGGGTTCCGTGGAGAACAAGGTCTTCATCGAGAAATGGCGCTGATGGCACCGTTATGCTCTTAGAGCGACCATGTTGGTCATAAGCAGGTAGATCGTGGTCACGAAAGGGAGCAGATGGACAGATGAATGACAGGACTCATCTGCGAGTCCCGGTATCACTAGCTTTGAAGCTGTCTGCCGGATCACGAGTGTGTAGGACAAGTACCCTCCTCTAGAGAAGCCGCTCCTTGTCCGACGCGTCAATGAGCTCGAGACAGGTCGTTCCACGGCTGAAGCATCCGTGAGAAGCCCTAACTTCTCATCCCTTTCTTCATCAACATCGAGACTCTCTTCGTGACGGAGGCTCTCAGCACGCCAAAAGACCTCCCTGAATTTACGAGGGATAGACACTGCACAGGTCACTGAGTCGCTATTCATCCCAGACCCTAGTCAATCTGGGCAGTCAAATGCCTCCTGTCCCGTATACACTATGCATACATTTGCTCTAGTTGCCACCTAGCTGTACGTGGGGCTCCAAATTCTGAAACAACCGATTACAAAATCCTCGTCAACCGCGTCGAATTCGCATGTCAACGTTCAACATTCGCTCAATCTGCAGTGTGTCATCGAGCTCCATCCAGCATAGGCTAGCATCAGCCGTTGCAGGACGAGATGGCTCGTGGATCCAAACAAGAAGCTAGATCTGGCGAGGCTGAGGAGACGGATGACTCGCCCCAAACTCTTATTACACAGCCCAAGCTCGCTTCTACCCGGGTTCATGAGACCACAGAGCTGTTGGATATGATACTCGGTCACATTGACTCAGAGACCTGGAGAAGACAAGGAATCACACGAGTCTCATACCGTACCTTTGATTATTACGCTCGAACACGATACTCAGTTGTCTCTTGGAACAGGTACGACACCTTTAAACGGTGGCCTGTAAGTCTTTTTGAGCATCTTGGATTCTCTACAGACGCTCACTACGTGCGCGCAGTTCCCCGAACAAGCAAGAAGGTACCTATATCATTGCAAGACTCTCACTGCTAATGAATGGTCACGACGACGTTGCAAAAATGGAAAGGGCGATGGCGTCTTCGAGAAGGACATTCTCGAGACCGTACGCGAACTCTGCCCGAACATCGAGACAGTGCGATCAACTCACGACCCCTTCTATGACCGATCTGATAAGCGTCTCGACCGTACCATAGCCACTTTCTCTGATGGCAAGACTCCGCGCATCGAGTTCCAGCATCGCACGACACTCACTGCTCTAGGTCGAATAGTTGGTTGCGAGTCTCGATGGAAGCCAGTCAAGTGGGAGGGCTGGGATGCGAGCGGGAAGACGATTATCATATTTGGTGCGAGGGCCAAAAGCGACCCCAAGGAATACTGGGCTGAAGATAAACAGTATTCAGAGGGGAAGCAACTCATCATCCGGGCTCTAGGCACCGGAAACCCTGGGCCTTGTCCAGTAGTGTCCATCAGATTCCCTGAACTGGATTGGACATTGGACGAGATCGCCAGAGTGGTCAGGCGCCGAGGTGAGACCGAGTTCGGGAAGCCTCTGGACGACGATCGTCCAGAATCCAGCATTGAGAGGATCACCGTATCCCAGATTCAGCCATTCAGCCGAGAGGAATTTGCGCTCTTCTGCTCCAGGATCGGACCGCAAGTGACCGAAATACACTTGAATTCCTGGACGGTCCCACCGTCTTCATCAAATTCCCTACTCGAGTTGCATGATCTGCCCGAACTATTGGTCGATGTTCAGACAAAATTGCCAAATCTGACTGATCTCTGCCTGATGATTGGAAACGATACGAGGCTCGCCTCTCAGAATTATCAATCTAGCTCTGCTTCAAGAACGCGATTAAAGACGTCCGGCGCTCTCAAGCGAGTGAAGATCGCCATTCGTGGAAGCCATCCTGATCATGCGGTCTCAACATTGAATCTCGTCCGCAGTCTTATGGACATAGCAGGAGACACGGTGCAGTTTACTTTTCCAGAGTTTTGGGGCGATAGATGGGGACCCGCAACACTATCGAACTTCATCTCTCAATTCTCCATGGTGTTCGATTGGTTCATGAGGTCCGTTAGAAGAACAGTTCTGCTTTTGTGGGCCTGCCGCTGATCCAGAGCAGCGCCTCCGAAGAACGCAAACGGCGTATCCGGGAAACAAATTTCGAAGAAGTCTTACTCGAGCACGGTCGTGCTATCGACATTACACGTTTGGCTCTGCAACCCAACGGAGCTTTCGTCACGCAATCTGTACAACGTGATCTCGATAATGTCCAAAAGACGAAATCAATGATACAACAAGGCAGGGCATCATGCGCGGCTTGCTTTGATGCTTCCGAAACCTCCGACCCGCATCAGAAGAACCGATCCGCCTTGAGTCGGATCACTGCCTTGACCCAGCTCGACAAATTGGACAGTCGGAAAGATGCCGCAGAGGTCGCACGGTCAAACCTTGTCGCGCTAGGTTACCGTGTCGATCCTTTCGACTGGCCTAGCAGAGACGATCTCCCGGGCGAAGAGGGCGAAAGCGAGGAGGTCACACGGCTCAAGCGAAAAGTGAAGGAGCTTCAGGACAAGATCAGGGAATTGCAGCAGCGTCTGGATGAGCAAGAGGATGCTAGAGGGTCGTGAGAAGGTGGCGAGGGCGGTGTTTGTAATTCGCTAAAACGGATCTCGATAGATGTTCACTTTGAGCAGGTTGAAATATGCAATCCTTCTACAGATATTTCTTGGTACGTAGCATATTGTGCATCATTCTGAAGGCTGCGAGATGTGGCATTGCCACTGTCTTCCGTGGACATATAGAAAGAAGTGTGAGCAGAGGCTCGATGAGTGCACCTGTCACACAGCTTGAGTCGGAGAGCGGTCACGTACAAGGGGAAAGGACTGAACTCAATGTCGCAAAGTCGAATCGAAGGTATCAGGTCTCCGATCCATCGCCTGGCATGAGAACCGCCAGGTAAGAATTGAGGCAATGAATGGGATTTATGTATGAACGAGGGGGGCAGGAGGCCCGTGGGAGATCCCAGGGGGGGGGGGGGGGGGGGGGGTTGGGTTCAGGCAGGCAAACATCTGCCGTATGGCTTCAGAGCTCAATGGTGAGACAGCCAAAGTCGGATCCTTCACCGATCTAGACGTGAAGACACCTATAGTACCAACATGCACGCTCGTAACATCCCGTCCACATGAAACCTTCTCTAAGTTTGCTTCTCTCACACGTCTGTACCGGTGACTCGCAAAGCCACAGTCTCCTCATCGCTCTCTTCCTCATCCCGTCTAGCCGAATCAACCATCGGGACGGCTTCGTACCCTGAGCTGTCGTGCTTTCCACCCGCGTCAGAAGGCATCGACTGAGACAAGACGACTGAAGGTAAGGATATGAGAAGGATGGTCACCCAGGGCAATTGCCTTCCCAAAGTTCCAGATTCGTACTCTGTTGAGATGGAGTAAATCCATCCAGCAATACCTGGTCCGATGGCCCGTCCAAATGCTCCAGCGATGAGGGATACCGCACTGCCAGTAGCTAGTAAATGAGGATAATCGTCGAAGCATCCGGTGGTCATCATGTCGCTTAAGCTGGAAAAAATGACGGATCAGCAAACAAGGGAACCAAAATGGATCGCGAATGGATCGCACTCACGGCCAAGCCAGTCCAGCAACGCATCGTAGAGTCTGATAGCAAAACAACATGAACCACATGAGAGGTCTTGCTGTACCTGCCAAGAAGCTCAATAAGGGCATCATGAGGGCAATGAGGACGTAGATGAGACAACAGACTCGAAGTGTCTTGACGGCTCCGTAGCGCTTTTGCAGTCTTGGCAAGAGGTATGGGCTCGTGAAGATGTAGATAAAATTGTTGAACGCGAGAAGGAGTCCGATGATATCCACCTGGGGATTGAGAAGTCAGGAATGTGTACACGATACAAGCACACCAGGGATGATGACTCACGGACATGGCGAGACCACCACGATCCAGCTGTGTGTAGAGCCAAACCGAAGCCATTCCGTCCCACGATAATACAGCTGAGGTACTTTCAGTATGCACTCCATCGGAGAGTCGGAAGAAAACCCACAAAGTTGAAAGACTGGAAGGTGTCGTCAGTGTTGACTAGAGGTCTATCAACACCACTCACAGCAAAAGATGACTGTGATCCGCATGAAACCAGGCACCTTCATTGCGGATGCATATGAGATTTTGGATGAAGCCTTTTCAGATTCCGACTTTGACAAGTCAGAGTGTGTCTTTGGCGGACGAGTCTCTTGCAGCTCTGCAAAGCCATAAACGACGGTAAGGACCCCACTATGAAGGAGGTATGTCAGAAATTGTCCGCAGTGAGATGCAGGGAGTGATAGCTGACTCACAACACGGCGAGCACGACGCATGGCAGGGCATATGGCCAGTCCCTGTACAGTTCTGTCGCTCCGCCTAGCCATGCTGGGAGTCTATGCCATGGATGAGAGAATTCTCCTCCGATCAGATTACCGGCCATAGCTCCGAGCGCGAAACCTGGTGAGAAGATGGCGAAGACTTTGGCACGGTTGCCGGGATGACAGATCTCCGAGGCGAGAATCTTCCCTATGACTCCTATTGGGTTCATCGTGCCGACTGTGGAAGGAAAAGTCAAATTAATCAATGGGGACGATTCGACTTACACAATGTCCGCCAGAACAACAACTGCCAAGGTCCTGAACAGAACCCAAACATGAGAGCTGGGAGGATAGACGACGCGTAGCCAAAGTTCATCGCCGCTCTCCTTCCATACCTGTCTGCGGCTTTGGCCCAAAAGGGAGCGGCGACAGCCTCCATCATCATCATGGACCCCTCCGCCAATCCGGAATACAGTCCAATTTTATCTTGAGGAACATTAAAGGACGTGACGAGGGCAGTGACGAATGGAAATATGACACAGTAGGCCGAAGCGTCCGCTATACGATACAGTTGAATGGGCATCAAAGCTCTCCATGGAATATCCAATGATTTTCCTGGTACGAGTCTATCGTCTGAAATGGAGGGTCGCGAGGATGACGGTTGATCATAGGGAGGAGGAGATCTGGAATGTTCGACATGCAGGAGAGCGATGTCAGTCAGAGGGACAGGAGGGATCGGGGAAGGAGATCGGGGCATGGGCTGAATGATTGGGGGCTGCATGATAACAGGGATTCAAAGGTCGTGATAATAGATGGATGATTACAGAGCGGACGACCGGTAGTCGGAATGTTCGTTTACAAGGAGGTCGGTTCCAGATTTCAGGTCTATAAAGTCTCTTTAAAGATTCAGCGTTCCACAGGATCGTCCAAATACGCACCCACGTCTATGCTTTGTCTGTGGTCTTTGACGCTCAATGGTTCGTATACAGGATCCTCCAAATCCACAGTCAATGTAAGCTACAATGGTCGATGTCGATTCGAGTCGCTTGTGATCGCGCCTCTTGAGGCATATATTTCATCATTTTGCCCCCTTCCCCCCCACTTTGTACGGGGGAACCTCCACATTGGGAGTCGGGGAAACCCGTGCCACGGTCCAGACTTTGGGACTGTGAATGCATTCTATGACTCTATGGATGCTCAAAATGATCGCTGCTCCTGCTGCTACTGCTGCTCCTGCTCTTGCTGCTGAGCCTTGAGCAGCTTGATATGCTGGTTGACTGGTGCTCGCTTCTCCAAGTCTTCTAGACTGATGTATTTGGCTCCTCGAATTTGACCCAGACATTCCTAAGGAGTCGAAATTGTTTTAGCTCATTTTGAGCCCGCACTTCGGATCCGAAGGCCTCGTTTGGTGCTTCTCTCACCTTGGATCCGCAGGCACAATCGAATCCTTGAGCCATATCCCATTCTGTACTGGGGTAGAAGAACGTCACGGGCTGGCCAGCTTGAATCCCTGAAGATGTAGTCCGGATACACCATTGATGTGGTTGATCCAAAGGCAGATCAAGGTAGACGGAAGGGGAGCAAGAGTGATTCACTGAGCCGATGGGATTAGCTGTGTCTGTGTGTATGACTCGATGTATGTAAGACCTCATTGAGCATACTCACTGAACAAGAGGTCCGAATTGAGCTCAAAGTGATCTCGGGATCCGACGCCATATTGCACAGAAGAGTACGCTTTCTCCTCGGCGAGGGACAGGTTGACCAAGGGTGCGATGACAGTGTTTGGGGGAAATTCCTGAAACCGCGTGAATCAGCTCGTCCTGTGAGAGCTTACTCGCGAACAGAATCGACTCACACGAACAGCGACTAAGCGACTGCTATATGTCTCCTCGTCTGGACCTTGATCGGTTCCGTTGGCGCTCGAGAACTCTACTTTGAACAAGTCTGGATGAGTTGGCTTGTAGTGCTTGGCTTTGGTGGGCTTGGTATAGGGCTGCGAGGGCTGACTAGGGAGGAAGGCGGAGGTGGTCATTCTCAAGCAGAGTAAAGCATGTAAATCGACTGTCAAACGACCGACACATGCAATGAACCTTTCAAAGCTATTCATTTCATCCGTACAATGATGTGATTCTCTCTCTCATATTTACGAACCGGGTAATTATTTTAAGCGGTAGAACAGCAATGGGGGCCCATTCACTCCATAACCGTCGCGGCAATAGTGGTTAGGGGTGTTCCGAAGCATGGCGAGCCATTGCATCGCATGCATTGCACGCTGCTGAAGGACGAGCGTCCTTTGTCATGTTTGACTAGCTGATTGACTGGCTGGCTGACTCATCGGCGAGCTTGAGATCACTGCCAAGACGAACGGCAAGGGCCGAGCCTCGCGACCCAGATTATAAAAGCTTGATAATTGACGACTGTTCGCCAAACCGTCCTCTCATCATTCAATATGCCAGTCCTGCTTGAAGGGTCAGTGGAGTCTCATGCGTTCATCTGCTATGCTGATGTATACTATGCAGAACGTGTCACTGCAAGCAAGTCAAGTATACAGTCGAGGTGAGTTATTGATGAGGTCATCACCAACATTTCCGCTGAATTTCAATCAGTCCAATACGCCTGTACCATTTGCAGTGAGCCAGCCCTTTACCCCTTTGCATTCATCGTGTCGTACTCATCATTCGCGCTTCCCCTCCAGCTATGCCAATGTTCCATCTGCCGCAAAGTCGGAGGATACATGGGTAGCGTGAACATCATGGGCAACACGGATACTCTCAACATCATTCGAGGGAAGGACAAGATCAAGTTGGTCCATGTGTTGATTGATGCCAGTCATGATGTCCTATTCGCTAATGTCTTGCTCTCCAGGGTCTACGTTGCTCCCATGAGCTTTGACGAAAATGATCAACCCAAAGAACAAGGTTCCTCAAAGAGAAGCTTCTGCTCCAACTGCAGCAGCATGCTTTGGAACTACAGTGATGAGTGGCCTCATGTGAGTCAAGTTCAGTATCATCATCCTCATCCCTGCCAATCCAAGATCCAGCTGTCCATGCGCGTCCAGCTCTGGCTAACGATTGTGCTCCAACAAACCAGTGGATCTATCCCTTCGCATCGACTATTGACTCGCCCAACCCTCTTCCACCCATTCCCAAGGGTCACAAGATGATATCCATCAAGAGAGACAGCTGTCCAGAGTATGTGCCTGTCCCGGAGGGTGTGACGGCCAAAGCGGGATACGGCGATATGGAAGGCATCGAGGTGAGCCTGGACTCTGCTATTGAGACACATCGTCTGACGGTCACTTCTTCGTCTAGATCTGGCACAAGAAGACAGGGGCTTGGGTAGACTAGGCGAGCGTTTGCGGACTGTCTGCCTCGTACCTCGTGAGGGGTCATTCGGATCGTGATCCAGAGTCCAGTCAAATCCACTTCACAAGTCTGCTTCAGTCGGAAATATTGAGCTCCAGTCTTTACATGCAGTCCATCGTTCTTTCCAAAGCTCGTGAATGGTGCAAGACTTCTTGTAGATGTGCTTCGACCTCGTCGCTGGTATTGCTTGATTCAGCCGCACTGTCAGTAATCCGACGGCATAATTTCCCCGCGACGACGCGACTAGAACGCGCCGTGCGCTTTCTTTCTGAACATTGTGACACTCTGGACTACTTTATCTTGAACCGACCGTACAGTGCATGCCTTCTCAGACATGATAGACTACGTCTCTCTCATACCCAACGGTAGGTTGATCCGTGCATATCTTCCCAGCCGAGCTAGTCTCACTCCCCTCACCCAGACGTTGATCTGTCTCGATCTCATCCCTATCTGCGTTTACCACATCCGAGAACGGGAAGTCCCCAGCTATACCTCCCATATGTATCACCCGAAGGCAAAGAGACAGTGTTGGAGGCAGTCAAGCTCAATGGCTCGAAACGACGGACGTGGTTCATCGGTGACTCGCAGATTGACGGTGAGCCTGATTGATCCTTCTCAGACCTTATGAAGCGAAGCCTCTTTGCTGAATACCGCGCGCAGCGGGGACCGTATTGATGCATGTCCCTGTGGACCCTCTATTTCTTGTCATACCGCTCGTGTTCTCCCTCATTCCCACTCAGACCCCTTCAAATCGCCCATTCCAACCTTTATCAGACCTCATTTCCACGGTGTCCTCGTCCCCGATGTTCGCCCTCACTCCACCATTCACATCCAGCTCTTCCGCCGTTCGTGGAGGCTGGAACGAAGATGTTGAAAAGCTTTTGAACCTGAAGAGTGTCCGAAGGGCTTTCAAGCTCTGCTGCGAGAAGAAAGGTGGGATTGAAGTAGTGGAAATTGGCTCATGTCGCTCTAGTGGCGCCTATTGGACCCCCATCACCGAATTCCACAGGTGAATCATCTTCTAAGCCTGCCAGCATAGCCTATTATCGACCATCGATGGACGCTATCGTTCATCTCTTGCGTATCAAGGTCGATCACTTCGCTGCGCCACCTCAGTGGGGCAGCTTTGATCATTTGGTCCGAAGCCTCGCCAGGGACGGGCTGGCGGATGAATCCCATTCAGAACTTGCAAAGGGCAAGTTTACAGCTCCCATTCTGAAGACATGCTGACGGAAAACTCAAGAGGCACGACTCAAATCTTCAATCGAGCACATCGCCCAGTATCTTCCGGCAGGCGTTCTTTCTGCTCTCCAATCTTCCTTCAAGTAGGCTCAAAGCAGCATTTCTCCCTCGGGGAAACAGCTCGCTGACCCTCCGCAGCTTTTCTGCCCTGCAAGAGTACCTTGCCAATCGGACAGCGGCTACACTGGCTGCTCAGATGCCTCCTAGCAAGTCAAACAAGGAGAAAGCGGCAGCGGGCGTGAAGCGTAAAGGGTCTGCGACAAGTCGTGGAGTGGAAACCCTCAAAAAGGTCAATACGAGCTCCATGGCCAAGTTGACAAGCTTCTTCAAGCCCAAGAATTAGAGTGAATGAAGACATTGAAATGTTTAGATCACCTTGTTGTATGCCCATGAGCAGTGCATAATCTACCAAAACTCCTTCCTTCTAGCTCGTACTTCTCGCGCCAATCGCTTGCTGTACGACATTTTATCTGTCACTCGTTCGGCGAGAGCTTCTCTCTTTGCTGCTTGTTCCGCTGATTCAGGAGCAATGGCGCTGATGACAAGTCTGTAATCATCCGGCAAGCCAAGCCTAAAGAGCAAATCAGCATCGAAGCCGAACCCTCTTTGGGATGAAAGACATACCTCTTGACGATCTTTGATCGACTCAACCCTATACTTCTCAGCCTTTTGATCTCTGCGCATAACGGTTGGTCGGACTTGACAGCCAATGTCTGTTCTCTGAGATCCTGACCCAATTTCCTCGCTAGCGGAGCCCTTTCTTCTCCAGATAACCTGACACTTTCTCCTCCCAGCCAATTGACTAGATCAGGGACATTTCCAGTGGTGTAGCTAGGAGCCGAGGCAGGTGGGGAATGATGAAGCTGAAGTGAGGAATTCTCTAATGATGTAAATGCTGATGGTCGCCAACCGAAATCTGTGCGAGGACTAGGGATAAAGGGTGATGTTTCAGACCAGCCTGAAGCAGCTGCGTCAGATGATGAACTGGATCCAGGATCAGTCACTGGTGGTCGTTTCAAGGTCGATGGTTGTTGATAGGGAGATCGGATTTTTGGTAACTTTAGCTTGTTCGGTTTGCCCTTGACGTATCGATGGGCTCCACTGAGCTGACGTGTAGATCCGAGCCAAGGTAAGGACAGAGATGGCAAAGTGAGCCGGGAAGACGATGCGAAGATGGACATGGTGTGTTTGGTATGAGGGGGTGGTTGATACTGAGACGATGGCTCTTACATCCAATCCCAGCGAAACTTGCAACATTCTGTGCAAGTCCCATTCGCTCAAAATGACGTGGCGAAACTCAGCACAGACAGATGCCTTGTTGATAACCTCTGTTCGAATACAATTGGCCCTACCGGTAAGAAGGTCGTGGCTGATTTTCTTTTCATGCTTCATCCAGCCATCTCCCATCTACAAAAGTTGATATCTCCCATCCTGCCATTCCAACTTGCCGATCCCTGTATAGTTCATGAACTTCATATCAAGGGGCGATAGCGAAGTAAGGGCACGACTCTTCAGCCTCATAAGAGGAGGCGCTGTAATGACGAGGGTTTTCCGATTGAAATAGCAGGCAAGAAAGGTGGAGAACGAGCAGAGATGACATGCTCTAGCTGAGAATGCCGGGGTAATCTTTAATCTTTGGCGTTCGCCATGCTTTGCTATATGACAAGGGCGACAGGGGGAAGGACACCGCTTAGGTCTTCCTGGGCTCTTCCGGGCCTAAGAGAGGCTTTTCTCAATGAATGATCACTGAGCTCTGACTTTCTGACATTTAACTTCCTACAACACTTTCATCAGTGGTCTCGTGGAACACTGACAACGGCAAGTTGCAGTCGACTCTACGACCATCTTCCACTTCCACTCCACCTCGATTCGCTAGTCGATCGAGTGTTTCTTCGACCTGTCTGTCTCTCGCTTGAAGCGTAGACCACATAACCCTCACACGGACAGCTCGTTTCCCATCCCATTGCCTCGACGGCATCCACACATTCATTCATCCTTCACCCTTTACCCTTCACCCATTCATCCCCTCAAAGTCAATCTCGGTTGAGCACATCTTTTACCATGCAGCTTCCTACTTTGGCTCTCCTTCTTCTGTTCCCTTCCCTGATCGCTCCCACCCTGGCGTTGCCGTCTCACTTCTGGGTGAAAGACCTCAAAGGGAGAAGCAAGCAGCATCGTAAAGCCCTCGGACGTCGTGATCAAGCAGACTACACTGGCATCCCAGTAGCCACTACTTCTCAGCTATTGTCAAACTTGATCCCCTCATCCGTCGCTGTACAAGATGCGCAAGTATCGAGGTATAACAAGGATGCTTCTCGACCAGCCGCTACGAGCGATATTGATCCTTCAGTCATCAACTCGCTTCTGGCTCAGACCGCCTCCTTCAATACCTTCACTTATACCTCTTTCACCGCCGCGCCTTCGGCCTCACCATCTCCAGATGCTGGTGAATCAGCTTCACCCAATGCTTCATCACCTGACGCTTGGTCAGCCTCGCCCAGTCCTGCTCCTTCAGCTGCTACACCCGTCGGATCCAGCTCAAACGATGATGGAGTCTCGGCAGAAATTGAAGCTGCTGCGCAGAAATACGCCGCCCAACAGATGGGCAAGATGTTACCGACCATGACCCTAGAGGTCATTCTCGAGCCAACACAGGTACGTTCTACTTCATAATAGCATCTCCATCGCTAACGCTTAATTCCAGGAAGCAGACGGAACGTGGGACTATGTGGTCCACATGGGCCCAGATGGAACAGCTACCGCTTCTCCGACATTCGTCGCTGCGGTGTCGTCTTCACCCTCTCCTGCCGTCTCGTCTGCTTTGTCCACAGCGGCTTCAACCAGTGCCAATGGATCAGGATACGGCGGACCGATGACGACTGCAGCTGACGTCGCTGGCTCTCCCACCAGTACGGCAGCTAGCGATCCACCGACAAAGACTACCGGGTCCTCGTCTGGCACTCCGGAGGACCAATCATCCGGGTCATCTCCGGCTACTGGATCCTCCTCAAGCTCAGGATCTGGAGCTTCAGGCGACACCTCGAGTTCTGACTCCAGTCCTAATTCTGGATCTGGCACTACCTCAGGGGACTCCTCCGGCTCTAGCTCTGGATCAGCGTCTGGCTCGGATGGAACTTCGTCTCCCAGCGATTCGGCCAATACTGGCGGCGGGCAGATGTCCGGTGATGCATCGAGTGGTGGCTCCAGCAGCTCCTCATCCTCGAATGGGTCATCCGGATCTTCAACCTCGGGCAGCTCTTCAGGCTCGTCATCGTCTACCGATAGCCCCTCCTCAGGATCATCAATGTCGGGTGGGTCCACCTCAGACTCCTCGACCGGCTCCTCTTCATCTGATCCCAAGACTGGATCTACCGATTCTTCGGGCGCTCACAAGGGCTCAAAGGGCACAGGCACAGCAGATACCGATCCCAATTCCACCTATTCCAGTGGTAATGGGCACAATTACGGAGCTGAGAATGCTTCTCCCAACTCGACGGACTCCCACGGACACGGATACGGCAGTCCTCCTGTCGATGACGCGTCGCAAAGTTCTATGGATTCTTCTGATGGTCAGTGGCCCTCCGCTTCTGCGTCCGCGTCGGCCAGTGCGAGCGACTCGTGGGCCTCAGCATCGGCATCCGCTTCTGCCTCAGCCTCAGCCAACAATGACGCGTCTTGGGCTTCAACGTCCGCTTCGCCATCAGCCTCAGCAAGTGAGGATGGTTGGCCATCCGCATCTGCATCAGCCTCGGCTAGTGTCAGCGATGACTCCCAATCGGCATCACCTCCCGCCACCTCTACCAACCCTCTCTTACAGCCTGCTACTGGCGTACAGAGCCCGCCAACCGCAGCCGTGACAGCTTCTGCAGCTTCCAGTAGCGCTCAAGCTTCTATGTCTGCTTCTGCCACGAGCGACGAGGCCATCGCGTCAGCATCCGCTTCGCCATCTGCCTCAATGTCCTCTGACGATTGGTCGTCCGCCATGCCCTCAGCTTCCTCCGCTACCTCTGTATCTGCCTCTGCCGAAGAGTCAGCTTCGGTGTCTCCTTCGGCCTCGATGTCACCTTCAACTGACAACTGGCCAAGCATGACCACCTCGAGCTATGCTCCATCCAACACTGACATTACAAATGGTACAAGCCATGTTGGCGGTACGACACATGTTTACCCTAGTCACGGAGTCAACAATACCGGTATTGTCGGGGCTGGACCGATTGGGGTCAACAACACCATCGGGAACAACGGGACTTCACCTCTGTCTTCGTCCCAGAGTCACAGCGTCTCACTCATGCCGTCCACCAGTGTCGCCGTCTCCTCCACGGCTTCATCTAGCTCTTCACTCGTCTCAACTAGCTCCGCTCCTACAGCCTCTGGAACATCGCAAGCTCCTGCCAACTCTGCAGTTGTTCAGTCGAGCTCTGCTCCAGGCTCAAGTGTAGCTTCAATGTCGAGCTCTAGCTCTGGGTCGATTACAGCCTCAGCTGCCCCACAATCCACTTCCGCGGTGGCTGAGAACGAAGATGGGATTCAGACAGATTGGATCACTTCGACTACCATCGTGAACGTGACTATGACCATGACCATGTCTGGTAGCAGTTCCGCTCCATCGTCGACCTCCACTTCCCTCAGTGTTTCCCTGGGATCGGTCAATCTAGCCCCGGTCGAAAGTGTCTCCATGCCTGCAGCTGCAACTTCTGCATTGGCTATGGCGTCCAACGTCCCTAGTGTGACCGTCACAGCAGGAACTCCTATGGCTTCAATGGTGTGTCAAGAAGTTGATGGTGAATGGGAGGAAATCTGGGTCGAGGAGAGAGATATACAGGAAGGCGATATCGTTCTGGAGTAAAGGGGTGTGGCGGGTAGACAGGTGGAACGTTGTACCACCCTCTCGCATTTTTTGGTACATGCATGCCGCTGGGCGGCGAAACATCACTATCAACAGGATCAAGTGGATCGTGGCTCCCTATTGTTCGGATGTGATCCGTCTATGCGGATCTCCTCCCAGCGAATAGGTCTTTCTCTGGGAGGGAACGGGACCCAGACGGCATCCCGAAAAGTGCTGTAGACTACTGGAGTATACGTTGGCTGACTTTTGCCAGTGTTCGATTGATTTCAGTCAGCTACTGACACAGCTGTTCATAGCAGATGTCTGCGTCGCATTTTACTGTTAGCTTCTTGATCGTATGACATGCTTATAGCGGCATGTATGGACTGCGCAGATCTGTCAGGACAATATCCTGGGTCTGACAGGGAGAGCCAATATGTGCGTTACATGCAAGATCGAGATCGTGGCAATTCGTGGATGTTGTGCGGTATCGCTCCCGAGCAAAATCGTTTCATCTCAATATCTGTTCCGAATACTGTACGGTATGTCCGCCATTATGATGGCCGATGGGACGTAGAAGGATGGCGTACTCGACGAGTGAGCAAGTGCAGAGGGTTGATCCCTGATATCATCAGGCGCTGGACCTCCAGTCCCCGGACTCACGATTATATGGTCTGCCCAGACTGCTCGGCTCCGTGTTCCTTGCTGGTGGAGGTATTGCCATCGGTCTCCCTCTGAGTCTATCGTTGCCTACGGTCACACGGCTCGAAGTGACGCTCTCCGCTCGATCACCATAAATATCACTACCGTGCGTGTCCATCCTCGAAAACGCCACACTCTCACGCACTCCCTGCCGCCACTCCTCAACATCCAGACTGGTCCGCTCGGGAACCTCGCGATGATCTGGCTGCATACTTCGATGAGCGAGAATCATCGATCGATGAAGCCCTCGGACAGAGGCATGGGCATGGGGGGCGAACGGCCTTGTGGCTTGTTCGGGAGTAGGCAGCTCGGCGTCATCAAGAGTACGGGCATCTTCAGCGTAATCAAGAGTACGGGCATCTTGAGCGTAGTCAAGAGTACGGGCATCTTGAGCGTAATCAAGAGTACGGTAATCTTCAGCTCCGTTTGAATCTGCCACACGGCCGGTCGCGGGCGTGGCACTCGTGGGACGGTTCATGACCTCTGAGTGGCAGGATTAAGCCATGTGGTTGAAATGATGCAAGCTCTGCTCACGCATCCTCATGGTGTTGACGATTGCCCTCAGACTGCCGACCTCGTCCAGGATTCTCAAGTTCTCGGTCATAGTGCGTCTGGAGTAGCTCGTAAGACCTCGGTCAATCCACATCTACTCACAATTCCCGCCGTCTTTCCATCTGATCTATGCCTGCCGCCAGATGCACAGCTACTCTCCTGAGAGCCGCGATCATCTCCTCGGTGGAGCTGTCCGTACCTAGATGATGAAACGCAAAATCGGCGAAGGAGCTTGCATCCGTGTGTGGTTGGAACATCTGAGGGAGACTGGGTACCGCCGACATATCTGCAGCTGCTCGATTGGTGATGTTATTGATAAGCGGAGGTAGGGGCAAGGATTCAAGCGGGGAGCTCGAAGGGGAGGTTGCGTTCGTTGCATCCCCCATAGGATAGGATGCTGCCTCCAGAGGTTGAATTTGTGGCGATCTGTCCGATGAAGCCGTGATGTCAATTGGAGGGCCGAGTACAGGTGGCACTGCAGGGGCGACCATGGATTCCAGAACAGGCGATACCGCTCGGGTACGGGCTGGGCTGGTACTAGGCTGAGGAGGGCTTGTAGGTGCTCGCATATTCCGAACTCCACTGAGCCCACCCAGACCCGCTGCTGTCCAGCGATCTCCGATCGTCTGTCTTGGGATCATCAAACGGAGGTTGTCGAGCTCTGACTGCAGACCAGTCATTTGAAGGACTAGCTCTTCGTTTCGTTGCTCCAAACGGGACATACGAGCATCACACATGTCAAAGTAGGCTGCAAGAGGCTCAAAGGGACAGGCGATCAGATGAGTCGACAATTCAGCTCTAGCTGGCAGAGCAGCGCAACCACGCTTCTGATGCGGACAAGGCACTCGTGCCTGAGGACAATGCCATTGATGCAGGCTCTTATTGGTACCGACTACAATTGTCAGCTTATGGCTCGAGAGATTGACACTGACAGGTTTGATCACACGCTTCGCAAACATCCTTATCTTCTCCGGTGCCTGGGTGGGAATGGGACTGGAGGTCGAGAGATCAGCTGTTTGGTTATAGCTTTCCTCACAGTTCTGTCCTTGAAAGTGAGAATGACACCGCATTTGTCACATTCCATACGTCGCTGAAAGCAGTCGTAGGCCCTGTGATGGGGTAGACGAAAGCGCGCCATCTGAATGATCAGTCATCGACGGCCAGGATGACAGGGAATGGTATGCAGCGGTTGAGTCGCTCACTGAGAGTCCACATTCGCCTTCATGACACTTGATCATAGCCTTCTGACAAGTGGTGACATGACCCAACAGGTGACCTCTTTGCATAATCTGTCCACAACCCTCTGACCCGCATCTCACTTTCAACTCGTCCAACATGAGTTTTACCAATTGCTCGGTGTCGCGAAGGCTCTGCGTGGTCAATGCGCTCCGGTCGATTGGACATTGCGGGTTGACCGATATGGCTCTGTGAATGCAGTCTCGACAAAACGTATGCTTGCAGGATGCAGTAGTGACTGGATCCACCAGAGCTGACTGGCAGATCGCACATGTCTAATGAGGTCCATATGTCAGCAGGTACTCAAGCATACAGTACCTTGCTCAGTCTCACCAGATTGGGGTCGATGTCCTCGACATAGTCATAGCCAGCCTCTGCCGCTTGCAAGGCACTTGACATACTCGTTGACTTGTCTTCCGTCAATTGGTCAGAGTTGCGATTGCAACGACGAAGCCATGTAGAGTACACATAGGGGAAAGGGAGGCCGGCGAGAGGACAAAAAGGGACAGAAAACTTGTCAATATGAACCGTGCGGCGGATCCACAGGCAATCAAGTCAGACTGACAGTCGATTGCTGGCCTCGCATAGGCACCATGGATATATAGATAAGGAGCATCACAACATCCCGAGCCCATACTGACCCGCTGCAGGCTAGGATGCTCAGACTGTGCTGCCAAGAGATCGTTGTCCTGGAAATTATGGAAAACTCCGGTCGAGCGGAACTCAGATTGAGTCATTGGTCGCCGACATGCAGCGACGACATGCATCCCACCAATTCGGGTGTGTCTGTCATTCTCGCCAGCACAATCTACAATTCAGAGCAAGATGACCGACATAGACCACTATTTTATTCTCCTCGTCCAAGCTTGTCCAAAGCCCTGACACCCTGCTCATCCCATTCAGCCTTTGTAACCCAGAATTCCTCTCGATCTTTCATGATATCTGCCAGAACTGCGCCTCCGAGGAACACCATGTGCTTTCGTCTGGGAGGGTCTTCTATTCGGATCTTGAAATTCTAAAAGAATGTGAGTATGTTCGCTCGTTGAAGAGGCCGAGATCTTTGATGCTCACCTTTAAGCGTGATCCGTCTCCGCCAAGGACGCGTGTGAGGTATAGCTGCTTCATCTCTTTCTCCAAACGTGAGGGGAATCCAGGGTACATGGAGGATCCACCGGAGAGTACGATGTGCTTGTACAGCTCGGGACGAATATCGACTGCGGCCTGAGTGATAGTCTGGAAAAGGAGTTCTGATCGCAGCATTAGTCGAGCTGAAACCGGTGCAGCCTGCCAGACTTACCGGCAACACCAGGCTGTTCGAGGTCGACCAGGTGAGGCTGGAACATGCACTCGGGGGCCTCGTATCGCTCTGATCCGACCTTGATGACACGACCATCCGGAAGCTGATCCAGCTGTCAGTTGGGAACGTGTAGCAGATCTGAGCCGGACTCACGGTATAGTTCTCGACCAGTGTCGTCGTCTCCTCACTGAGCTTCTTGTCCTGCTCCAGATCGTAACTGACGAAGCACAGGGCTTCCTTGATACCTCGAACAGTCTCAAAGTCTGCCGTCCGCTCGAAAGCGTAACCGCGCATGAGTAGGAGCTTGATGAGATATCGAGTGACATCTCGACCGGCAACGTCGAGTCGTTTGGTGAGATGGGGTAGAGCGAATCCGTCGTAGACCGGTACAATGTGTGTCACACCATCACCAGAGTCGACGACTACTCCGGTTTGGAGACCTGGAAGCGAGGTGAGCGCCGGCCAAACACTGAATCTGGTAGAGCCACTCTCACCTTGAGCATACAAGGTCAAGACGGCTTGAATAGCCACGTAGACACCCCCAAATCCATACTCTTCGAACATGACCTGACACATCTTTTGTCTGTTGACTTTCGGGTTCATGGGCGGTTCAGTGAGGAGAATCTTTTGCCCGTGAGTGTCGACCTTGAGTTTTTCATCAAAGGTGTAATCCCAAAGATGCTTCATATCCTCCCAGTTCTTCACGACTCCATGCTCCATCGGCTGTGTCATCTGAAGGAATGAACGATTCTCTGCCGCTTCATCTCCGATCATCAAGTCTCGAATGGACGAAGATCCAGTGCGTTCTTCCGCTCGCAAAATGGGTCGTCCGACAACAGAGGGGAAGACTACGAGATGGAGGAAGGGACAAGGACATCGCATCAGTCGCCAAGTATATGACAGCACCCTGGAATACTCACCAAACTCGGGAAAGTTGGATCCCGCATATCCACACTTGACGAACTGAAGCAGCAACGTTAGATCTGCATGCTATCCGAGAGACCCATCACACACCCCTGTACCATTGTCCACTACAAGCGGTCTAGATTCGGCCATGATGTCGTCCGGCTCTCTGAGAGCAGCGTATCACGTTGAGTCCCTCCGGTTACAGCTCAGCGTTGAGCTTGTCGAGGTGGTGAGATGGGTAAAGAGAATGAAGACAGACTGCTTGGACAAATCGCAGCAAGGCGGGCGCCCTCTTGAGCAACGTCATTCCCGGGGGAAGAGATTGATAATCAACTGTTCCACTAAAACGCCACGTCACGTAGCAGGCCGTTCGGCGCCGCTTGAAATGCTTATGCAGATGCTGCAGCTGTTTATTATCCAACTCAGCAGCTCGTCAGTCACGCCGGGAGTACAAGATGGTGTGCAAGAAGTGTGAAAAGGTCAGCGGCTCCATCCCATTGAGGGTTCCACGATTGCTGAAAATCCACCCGCTCAGAAAACTTCTACCCTCGCAGCTCCAGATCCATTTCAACCTTCTTCATCGACACGTAAAATCGGCGAGAACAAGTTGCTCACGGCTAGAGCGAGGGCATCTCCGTATGCCAAACCCGGAGGAGCAGGTGCTGGCATATCGAAAGGCAAGATCAATACGTATGGGAACAAATGTATAGATTGTAAAGTGAGTTTGAGACGGGCTTTGGGCTTCTCTCCGCCGCTGGCGAAATCATCAACTGATGGGTGACCACACTATAGCAATCCGTTCAGCAAAACTACGCCACGAGGTGTCAGAAGTGTGCGTACAAGAAAGGACTGTGTGCAATATGTGGAAACATTGTGTTGGACACGTCTAGTGAGCTAGCGACCCAGATGTGCCATCGCCAAGCTGACACATATCCAGGGTATAAGCAGACTACCAAATAACTCGTTCGTCCCTGCTCCAGTCTCAGTCACTCTGTATGGCGTGTTGTATCTTCCGGAATCATCACAAGTTGTACACTATCATCATGGCCTGAGACATGGGCTCTCACACTTAGCATGGAAAGCATGAACCTCTGGAATCGAGATACATGTTGTCATGCCTGTCATTATAAATCATTGAGCTATTCAGCATCAAGCTGAGTCCGTCATCGCCAGTCAAAAAAAAATGTCCATCTATCGAACCAGTCGTCACTCTTTCCGCCGCATGAAGCTTCCGAAACGACCCATTTTCTCGGTCTGCGAATGATTCGGCTGTATATCAATCACCATCCCGTCGACTCCTTCATCCCTTTCGATGATATCCGCATCTCCCACTTCGCTCTGAACGCTCAAACTGACTCTCGATTTATTGTTGAGGCTCCCCACAAAGCTCTTGGCTCGATTCCCTAGATTCGGCGATAGACCCGATGACATGCTCGCTCGTTTACCAGCCGAGATGACGGATTGGCGCGGTGACGATGTCGATGTACCGGTACCGTGGATTGACGGAACTCCACGGGAGACATCACCGTTGATTGGAGAAATGGTGTGCTGGGACTCGGACCTCAGATGCGATGCATCTACAGCCACCGACGGCGCTGAACCCGAATGCTTGATGCTTGGTCCAACTCTAAGTTCAGGCAAGAGGTAGCCGGTCTCAGTCGCGAGAGACATGGTGGACATTCTGGCGGGGTTCACAGCGATATGATTGCCTTGCGATCGAATAGTGGAGACGGACGGCTTAGATCCATGGCCATGACCATTGGGTACCGCGCGACCCATGTTGCCAGCCGAATGCGTAGAATCTGACCAGGGTGGTAGCGCTGCAATCTCGTCTGGGAAAGCGGCATAGAAGTCTGGGGCGGGTCAGCCCTCGATGACCTACCGAGCTCGGATTGACTCACGACTCTTAAGCGCTTCGTGAAAGGTTACATCCTTACAATGTACTCGATGTACCGACAGCGCGTTTTGTATGGCTTGCACATAGTTTCGTAATGCCGCATCTAGCATACCGACCTGCGCAGTCTCCAAGGGATGTCGATTCAAATAATCGCCTTCGATAAATGTCTGGATGTCGTCAGCTCCTGGATTTCTTTGGGCGCGTTACCTTTCGATACAGCTTGACACCACCATTGACAGGTGAATCGACTGCTCCATTGATGACGGTCCCGAGAAGTTTGACACTGACACGAGATCAGCACAAAGCAGGATATCATCGACTCACTCGACTCGATATCCAGGTGCCTCTCGGCTCAAATCTCTGAGCGCCCCGGTGGCTTTCCCAACTTCAGCCAAAGCAGTGGACAACGGTGAAATCTGCTCGTATCGGATTTCGACGACTTCGGACCGATTCAATACGTCCGGGAGAATCTTCTCAGCTACAAGGAACTCGTCAGTGTGTGCACCACGGCTGAGCCTCACTCGTCAACCAGGTCTTCTCGATCCAAGTCATGACTCCCTCTCCCACGCTCTCTGCCCGGGAGTACGGACGAAGACATGAGAATGTCTTGATTTCGTTGTTCTTGTGATAGCTTTGTATGGATTCAGGCACTCCCTCGGCGAGTGCGGGGTGATCGGGATCGGGCTCGGGATGAACTGAGGTGATCCAAATGACTTGATCTTCACCATCTCTATCGGATTCCGGAGGCGGAACCTTTGACCGGTGAATGATGGCGGCAGGATGCTTGTGCTGAATCTCGTCGCAGCTGGACAGTGAGATCAGCCATGACCACGATTGATACACAGACAGTATTCACAAGTCTGAGAATCGTTGCCAAGGTCTGCCTCGGACAATGAAGTCCTTGTTCCTGTTGATCAGGGAGAAGTCGCCAAAATACGCCTGTGATATCAGCCTATCGTTCGCACTCAATGCACCCCTTCTCTCGTCTCACCACTCTGAAGTACTCTGGCTGTTTCCGACTGGCGGCATTGATTCTCTCCCAGAGCCTCGCTTGATGACTCAACAATTCAGACAACTTTGGTACATTAAAAGTCAGACGCTGATGCTGCGAAACGAGCTCTTGACAAAGATGCAGAGCAGCTTCGTACGCTTCTGCCTCCGCTGAATGCCGAATGTTAGCGGAATCAAGTGAGGATCAAGCCGACTTACCAAAGTAGTCAATGGCATGATAGTATAGCGATTCTTTCCTTGCGAAGGCATTCTGAGCAGGTAAGGACATGGATCCGCTCGTGAATGGTTCCAAGAGCACCTTGTCCAGTGTCCAGCCGTGTAGATCGGCATGCAGGCATAGAGCTTTACCTGCTCCCATCCAATCTTGCGCATCAACATTGAGTCGGACCAATTGATGAACAAAGCGAGTATACAGATCTTCTCTGTTGACCCGTTGAGTGAACAGGATCAAACGATAAATGGCGAGCGACCGTTCATCCTTCCATTCGGTCGTATCTGGAATATCCCTTAGATCCAGGAGCAGCTCGATAAACAGCTCGATCTCGTCCAAGAGATTACCGACTTTGACATGGAAGTCTGCATCAATCTCTGGCGAAGCCTCAAAGACTGATCGAAGGTGCGCCACGAAGTATGCTCGCATTGTTGGATCCGACGCAAGGGTCGAGTTGCCCTTGTCGAGGAACTGCGGTGATATGTCAAGATGGGCAAACCCCCTGCCGCAGGAGTAGCCACTTACCAGAACATCGAGCTTCACAAAGATGTCCGTGGCGATGGACTCAAATTTGCCATCCAATACGTATTCCGCGTAAATCATTGAAAAGAGGATCTCGACAGCCGTCTCACAGAGCTGATCATGACTTGACAGGCAAAGCCCCAGGACCCGCCCAGCGAGACTGGTGAAGCGGGTCTGATACTGCAAGAGACCGATTGAGCCAAGGTACAGCATCGCAAGACAAGACTCACCCCTCCGTACCTGGACTGGACCCTCTGTGCACTTGCACTGTCCGCAGGCCATCCAAGGGCGTTCCATAGTTTCATGAGGAGTCTTGCCCCATCATCACGTAGATCACCAGCAATGATCCATTCTGCCCTTCTTCTCTGAGGCGCATGATCTTCCAAAGCCAGTTCTTCCGACCCGCAGAAGTCGCAGAGGAGTTCGAGGCAGTCTGTCCAGAGCAATTGATCGAATGAGGCCATCTCAGAGATGGGAGGAACGAACCCATCTTCCAGTAGATCTGAGATGGCCTGAAGGAGACCGAGCATGGTAGAATAAAACATGAGGTTCATACTGAGCCATTGTCGGGGGAAGGCCCGTGAACGAAGGATGGATCGACAGAATGCAAAGACTGATCTGAGAATCTTGGCTGTACCCGCGGCGCCTTCAATGTCCAATAATTCGGCCAGGAACCGGGCCATATTGGTGGTCGGTGACGCGAGGATCAAAGTGAAAATAACGGCTGAGCATTCACCCAGACTAGGGATGAAAGGTCCACTGGAAGGCAGGACTTCATCCGCGACTGACGTGTGGATCTGGTCGACTAGAGGTGGTGGTGGAAGTTCGGACAGAAGTGGAAATGGATGCGATGAGGGGAACATGTCCGGTGTGCGCTCGTAGATCGAAGAGGACACTTGACTCTTCTGTAGCGTGACGAGGGTGCCTGGCGAATCGAGTTCGGCATACGATTCGAGCAGGCTGGACGATGTTGTCAGCTGAATTCGCGGACTTCAAGGACCCCCACCTCGGCAGTAAAGTCAAACAGTACTCGATATTGTCCTCCTCTTGGACTTTCAAGCCGTTGTCCTCCGCTATCAAGGGTGAGTCCAACCAGTCCTGCAATTTTGTCACCGTCCATGCTGCTACAGTGACAGCAAGACGATTACACTCCATCCACTTGATTTTCTTCGTATCGGTCGTAGAATCGACTTGCCCGTCAGGATGTTTGATAAAGGCAATCTCTTCAAATCGGCCGAGATGCGGTTTGACCCATCTGACAAGAGCCGGGACGAGAAGCGCTCTAGCATCGGAAGAGTCAAAGATGTTTTTGATGACTTGAAGGAGGAGTAACAGCTTGTAGATCGCGATGGATCCTTTGGAGTAGGTCAACGTGTCCGCGAACGTGATCACCATCTCTGCAGTCTCCAAGGGTTGAAACACTTGAGCAAGATATGGCAAGACATCCGCGTAATGCTGAACTGCCAGCGTCTGTGTTCCAATCAAGCCTTTATCAGTCATCTTCATCAGACTATTGATGTCTTCGAGGATAGCCTTCATTTGCCGCTGGAAATCCGCTTCAATATGTGCCGACGTGGCGTCTAGTCCTATACCTTTACCTCTGTCCAATTCCCGGGACCGGATGATGAATCGGAAGAAGAGATGCCAAACTTTGAGGAACGACCGATAGTCTTTGCTCTCCGGTCGAGACATGACTGACTTCATGGATCGCAAGAGGTTGAAAGATGAGGACGAAGAAGTAAAGTGATTGGAGATATAGTCGTCTAGGACGGCATCAAAGTCTCGAAAACGTCGATCTGAAGTCATGGAGAGGACTTTGACCAAAGCTCTAAAGATCAAAGTATCGAGCTGCTCTTGTTTCTCGCCGGCATTAAAGGATGTCATGCCAAAGAGCGAGTCCAAGATGGAAGGAACGAATTTTGAAATCTCCTCTTCATTGACAAAGCTGAACATGTCGAGAGTCTTGCAGAGCTCGTTGATGTTGTCTGCTAGCTTTTGCCAGTGAAATAAGGCCTGGAGAGTCGGATCTTGCGTCTGAGTACTCGAGCAGAGATACGTTCGTAGCATCATTCGATCTCGGAGTGGCGTCAGCGTCTTGGAAGTAACGACGCCGTGGGTCGAGGCATCCGAAAATGGCGAACCAAGGTAAACATTGGGAGCTGGCTGTAGATTCTTCTCCAAGCGATAGAGTATAAGATCGTGGGATCCGTCTTGGACGCAAGAGGTATTCGAGAGTAGAGGAAGGTACGCAAAAGCAAATGGTTTTTCAAGCTCTTGTGAATCGTCTCGTCCTTGTCTCTGGGTCGCTGTGCGGGAACGGAAGGTCAAAAAGAGATGACAATCTGGAGCACTCCGACCGGGCAATGCAATCTTGACCAGTTCACCAAAAGTTGGCGTATCATTCTGTTGAAAGACCAACGAGTGGTATTGCCTGACTGGACCTTCGCCAGAGCCTCCAGAGAACATGATATCGGGTAAAGCCGTGCCGTCAGACTTGCGAACTTCCAACGAGACTTGAACATTGCCATGATTGACAGCTGGACTCGGGCGACGAACTCGGATGGAGCCGCCCGACGATGTCGGAGAGGGGAAGAAGGAAGCTGACCAGAGCTTGACGTAGAGATCGTTCCGGTCCGTGTTGGGTAACACGACGTCGGGGAAGCTTAGACGGGAGGAGAATGGTACTTCTTGGAGAAGGGAAGGATGTTCACGAGCAAGTCTCGGAGCTGATCCTCGTAGCACTTTGAGTGATACTACGATCGCTTCGGCGCTGTCAAGGTGTATCAGGCAAGAGCGCATGTGAGTTTATAGGGATGATGTAACTTACCGTCCAGACTTTGAGAACTCTTTAGATCGTTGACGGATGAGGTCCTCGTGCAGGGTCGCGAACGTAGCTTCGTCTCGCGGCAGATGAATTGACATTGTGTACTCTGATCCCGTCCCAGGAACGATCCCAGCTTTCCCATCATCTTCGCTCAATAGCTTGCTGATGGGAGGCATCTCCAACACGGCACATCCGAGCGGTCGACGGAAACTCGGTCTACCATCAGACATAGAAGGCGAAGGGGTCGTGGTCGTGCCATTCGTATGCGTGGTCGTGGTTCGATGACCCGCAAAGCCCGACGTGATGGAAAACGAATCGTCTGTCACTGTCTCACTGATACTCGGTATTCCCCTCATCGTGTTTCGATCAGATAATAATGTTTGACTTTGTCTCGAAGCCGCCGCGTTGACATTTCGATATTGCGATTCAAGTGTTCCCGCTTGAGCGTCCGATCGCATTTTCAGGGCACCATTCCTGACAAGTCGGCAGATGAGATATACCGAAGGACCAATATCTTCAGGTTTCAGATCGGTGAACAGCGTCCGAAGTCGACCCAGCCGCTGTGTTGAATCCCTCGCGGGACTACCAAGGTGGTTGAGGATAAGGCAGAATTCCTCTGTGATGAACCGATTCTCTTTCGCATTGAAGAGAGAAAAAAACAACTCTGCAGTCTCACCAGGGGCGCATGGGTTGGCGATGAACGCCCGAACATCGAGGAGAACGTGATGATAGACTCCGAGGGGTGCATCCAGGGCTTGCCCCAGTGCGAGTGGTCTCGCTTTGGCAGCTGCGAGGGAAAAGCGCTGGCTCCTCGCGTCAGAGGCGAGCGGGAGACCCTCGAAGAGTCTTGAGGATCTGCCGAAAAGTGTATCCAGGGGTATGAGATCGATATAAGCGAGCTGCAACCGTCTGTCAACATATTATTGATGACTCGACATCAATACCTACTTGGAGCTGTTGGATGTAGAGATTTATCCCGCCTGCCCAGGTCGCGCCCGAGAAGGCTCTATCCTTCTCTGTGACCGTTACGCTCCCGTCTTCCAGACTTCTGACTATCACTTCGAGTCCCTGAGCGACATTACACTTGACCAATCTTGACACGCATTCCCTCCTGACTCTAGCGAGCTCGTCTCCGCTCAATGTCTGTGACAGTAGCTGTCGCCTGCCAAGCCATAAAGCATCAATGTGCTGAACGACCGTGGTGAAGAGTCGATAATCTCTGTTCACGAGATAGGTCGGTAAGCGTTGATACCAGTCTCTGATGGCACACGCAATCTCGTCGACGAGTGGGTACAGCTGACCGGCTAAGGTTGAATCTCCAGCAGTCAAACGGGGTAGAGGTGGTTGATCCTTCTCTTGGAGGCCATCTATCGTTTTCCTCTTCTCTAGAATGAGCGATTTTGGCCTCGGTGCTCGAGTCGGGGTGGTACCAGGGGTGCCACCGATAAGCGTCAAGCTCTTCCTTCTCCCGTCATTCGTGGTCGCTGAGATATCTTGCTGAATAGCGGCATCGGGTCCTTCAGCCGGTTTCTCCGCTATCTCAAGCGGGACGATCCCAATCTCTGGCGTTCGCTGTACTTCACCATCTCCAGGTGAGCCTTCTTCATCTTCCTCTTTGACTGTATCCATATCTCCGCTGAATCCTGTTCCCAACGCGAACCCCGTCGGGCGACCATTTCCACGATCCCTATCCAACTCCTGAGCTTTCTTCACCGCCGCTTCGTACGCTGCGGTGAGCGACCCATCATCCATTGACGCATCGTGTCTGACGTAGACGCAGCTCGCGGGAAAGATGCCAATAAGGACAGAAGGTTCAGGTCGAGGTGGGATCGCAGTACCGGCCGGGTTGGTGGTGGTGATAAGGGGCATCAAATTGGCCAACGAGACGGATTGAACGATGTATCCCCTGTACCATAATTCACCTCTTCCATCTTCTTCCACAAGACATCTATACTCCTCAAAGGCGAAGAATTCATCGCCTATATCCAAACTGACCTCGTAAGGATTCCCATGCTGATTCGTCGTCGTCGTCGTCGTCGTCCCTGCGAACCTGTATCGACCTGATTGATTCCCATTTGGTGGTTCTTCACCTATAGACTCGAGGTTCAAGGCGTGAGAATACTTGTTCCTATATGCTGCAGCTTGACTCGTCTCGCCCAGCTTTGTAGGTGTAGGAGGAGCAAAAGAGGGTTGATAGGGGTGAACGACGAATCCCGAATGAATGTATGGCAGAGGTTGCCATGTCCCACGACTGTAGCTAAAGAAGAAATGAGTAAGACGGGCGGCGCTTTTGGGGAATGTAGAGAGGGGTTACAACCCACCGTGCGCTTGGATTTGTACCATTTTGGTAAGCCTGGGAGGCGAACGACATGATCAAAGAGCCTCTATCGTCATTAGCCTTCTCCTTAGGGACCTCTGTAGCCTTTCTTCGATTCCATCAAAAGCTTCATGAATACCTCAGTATGATTGAACAAGAGATAGATTCTTTCAAGATCTGGTCAGCGCGACTTCTGGCGAAAAAAAAGGAGAACAACCCGAATATCCGAGGCTCCGGACAAGGCATGGAGAGAGGAGAGTGAGTGTCGAGGAATGTGAATGGTTCATTCAAGCGACATGCATGTTTGGCTGATGCCTCGTATGCATGTCTGGAGACTCGATATAACCCCTGACTCCATGCATCAGTCAGAACCGTGTCCCTCTGAACCCCTTCGCAGGCTATTGCTTCCGGGTCTTGAAACCAGTCCCATAACGTAATCAGTACCATCTTTCTGAAGATCATCGCATTCATCGCTTTCCCATTTAACGCTGATCAACCCTACCTGAACGCTTTTCACGCTCTGAGCATGCCAGACTGCCCGGTATGCTCAGAATCTATCGACGCAGATGAAGCTGCCTTTTCGCACCATGTGAATGGTCATTTCGAGGATCGCTCAAAGTGCATTGCACCGAGCAAGCTGGACGACCACTTTACAAGTGATGCACAAGACGAAGAACTTGCGACCTGTCCTATCTGTGATTTTCCATTCTCAGGCATCCCCATAACAGACAGACAAGCCCATGTCAATCATTGTGCGGATGGCGACCATGCATCTAAGATCCAAGTCACTGGCCAGCCGCCTGCGCGAATACGAGGTTTTGATCCTATCGCCACTACAGTGTCTGAAGGGGGCAGCAGTGAGGATCTCGAAGCGGATTTCGATTATACACCTGAGAACATCAAGCGGAATGGTCAAGCGGCGGATGATGAGAATATAGGGGAGGAAGATTCGGATTGGATAAGAATAGGTTGGAATGGTCCTGCTAAACCTGGAGGATGGCATGATTGGGTACATCGGAAGCGGGAACGAGGAGACAAGTGGTGAGTTGGCTTTGTATCCCTTCTTCCATGCAGATCGGAACCTTTTTGACGAATACAAGGTGGGATCCAACCCCTCCCAACCTCGATCTCGACGCTATACCACCCAACTTTTGCCCATCTCTGATTCCCGTCCTGCATCACCTGTTGACACTCTCCTCGGCGAAAAACATGACTCGTCATGCTGTTCTTGCGAGCCCTACGACATTGATCAAAGGCGTGCTAGGTTATGACATGGGATGGGGATGTGGATATAGGAACACCGAGATGGTCATCACAGCGTTGTTGGATTTCCCGTTCAGACCGGAATATAGGACTGTCTTTGACGCTGAAAAGAACGGCTCCGAACCCTGCGTGAGAAGGACACAGGGCTGGATAGAGGAAGCGTGGAGTGAAGGATTCGATCCAGAGGGGAGAGCTCATTTCAAAGGCAAACTATTGGGAAGCAGCAAATGGATCGGACCGACAGGTAAGAATGTCCAGTCGAGTCATGTCCCTGTAATTTGACCCTCACTGCAGATATCTATGCCATGTTTTCCTACAAGGGCATTCCGTAAGTGTCCCTGACACGGTTCGCAGGATATACTGACTCTCGAACTAGCTGCCAGCTCTGTGAGCTACCGAGTGCCTGCTCCTCGGTCTCTGTGCTGTGATCTGATATGCCTGTCAGACGATTTTCCAAAACCTCAAGGGGGTCGAGGCACCCCACGGACAGCTCATATAGCCCTACAGCAGTGGGTGAGGAAATACTTTGTGAGCTTGAGAATTGTCCATTTGTCTCAAGCTAACACGATCTCATCAGACTGAAGAAGATCAAGCGAGTGGAGGAGGACACAGCGACCAATCCGCATACGACCAAATCATGAGAACGAGTCAGAATGGCTTGGGTAGAGGCAGTCCAGTGAGGTTGACCTCGAAACTGCCTTTGATCCTGCAAGTGAGGGTCCACACTCCGGGCAATGCTGATTTGACAGCACTCTGGACACTCGCGGACTATCGTAGGGTACGAAGAGATCTCTCAAGGCAATATCAACCTTCTTCTCTTCGATCCTGGTCGATCCATGTCGAAAGAGCTCCGGAAAGCGGGGTTGGAACAATTGCAAGTAGATCATCATCGACATTCATCGAGCGGGTTGGGTCTATCTCGTACCGAGTCTCCATCGATTCGTCGGCAAGTCCATGCGTCTGGATCTCGAAATACTCTACGCAGATCGAGCGACACTCGTCATTCGCACGAAGCAATGGTGTTTTCGCCTCCGTACACCAACGGCGCGTCGGAGTTTGTAAAGGTTGATGCGCCCTCACCAGAAGACAGTGATGAGGACATCGAAGCGAGCGTATCGGCGAATGATCCAACACCAGCAGATGGGAGGCATGGCGATTCTAACGATAGTTTTGAGCATGAGCTCGAACCTGCCGATAGGATCCGAGACGATGAGCAAGTCAGCAAAGGTGGATGGGTCAGAAAGAAAGCCAAGGCGATGGCTCCGTTTGCGCTCGTCAGAGATTCTTCCAAGCCATTATGGGAGGATGGACCGGGTGGATTGAGCAAGGCCCTAGGGTATTTTCGGGTAAATTTGAGCAAGTTGAGCTCGCATACAGAGTATCAAGTGTTGGCGTTCACAGGTGGACCCCTGCTGTCCAGCAGAGAAAGGAATGAGAGGAAGCGAGTGGTCAGTCAAGTCATACGGTGAAGGGTTGAGCGCGCATCGTCGCTCAGAGTGTTGTACTGTTTCATTGTAGCATTTAGAGCATGGCATGACGAGATTATCGAGCGGATCAAGAGGCGCAGAACGTCCCCCCTTTTCCTCAAACATGACGGGCCAAGAGACCACGCGAGATATCAGGCGTAGAAATGTGCCTCACGTTCAGAGCTTTTCTTGTTCTTTAGGCAGACTGAACACGTTTTTCCTTCTCGTCATACAGACACCGGATCATTTCACTATTTAAGCGAGATCCCGACACCTTGTGAACTCCCCCCGGGCTTGACGCGCCTTTGGGCGGTCTGCAACGTGAGAACACCAGGCCAGGAACGTACGAAGAACTCGTAGCAAGGTACTGACCGACAACGTATCTTCTCTCCAATCAAGCAGGCAGGCGAACAAAACGGGGCTTATGAACAAGGTTTGCGACCTATCTCCGTGGTGAGGTAAAACAAAGAATTGGTCAATGGTCGGTTGCTGATCGATTTGAACGTTTCACAGATGCACTAAACAGTGTCTGACATGGTCTAGACTGGGCGGCAGTACGTTTCATCCCCCTCGTTCTTCTCAGTATCGCCTCAGCCAATCTGTTCCTGGAATCCAACATAACCACAACCACAACCACATCCGCCGCTCGCCCGCCCGCCACGACTGACATGTGTCCGTCCCACCAATGGATGATAAGAATAGAAGAAGAGGCGCTGATGCTGGGCAAAATCCGGCACATTTTTTTTCGCCTCGTGCTTGGTTCTGTTGTCCGATCACGGACACGAAACCGGAGAGTCGCAGCTCGTCGCAGCTCAGCTTTTGTTTGCAGTGGCGTTGTGCCGTCTGTCCCAATTGCGTTCCTTGGACCTTTTGGACCTTAGACCAGGGGGGGGTAGATAGGATAGATTGGTAAAGAATAGCAGTGGCTATACCATCTCGTTGTGCTAGAATCATCTAAAGATCCCGATGAATGGTTCTCTATACTGGAAAACGCCACGCCACGAGCGGGCGCCCCCTGTTAACGGCAAGCAGCAAGCAGCATCAGGTATCCATCGGAACGACCAAAACGAGGGGCGGCAGAGGCGCCGCCCAAATTAAGGGGATGAGGAAGGGGCGGAGGGGGAGAAAAAAGGGACGGGCGGGCGGGCGTCTTCTTATTCCTGATACTACTCCCTACTCCTGCTACCACTACTTCTTACTCTCTGGGTGCATGACAAGTCCGAAAGGCTGATACCTTTTTTTGGATGCACGGCGAATGGGACCGGATATCTGGTCCGTCTTTTCCCTGACCTGTTGCCCAAACCACATGACCTCTGCCCCTTCCGGAAAGGCTGTTCAGCCCGACCCTGTATAACGCCATACGCGCGATTACTGAAGTTATGGGGACGGGCATATCATTCATTGTCTGGATCAACTTCGGGACAATGAAAGGGTCTCATCCTCGACGTCGTCGTCGTCGTCGGCGTCGTTTCGTCGTCCTTTCGTCGTCCTTTCGTCTTCGTCTTCTTGTTGATGATGAATTGTCCCGCGTGGATCTGTTCCCTGCAGTCACAGCATTGCAGTCAGTATGATTGGCCAGGCACCATCTCCCCAAATATAGAGAGAGAAAGAAGGATAACGACGTGTCGCCGACGAACAGCATGTATGACGACGAGTCTGTTCATGCTGATATATCAACAACCACGGCTATGTGATAACAGGGTCAACAGGAAAGAGGGGGGGAGGGGGGATGGATGGATGGATTACCAAACTTTTCTTTTTTGGCGAGGTGTAAGAGAGACAGAGAGAAAGCGGTAAAGCGTGGCGTTTTCTCCAGATGCTCGTCGTTGCTTTCTGCCATCACGTAGCGATAAAGTGGGGAAGAGAAGAGGGGGATGCCAACGGAGAGAGGTGGCCGATAGAGAGTGGTGATATGTCGCCCGTCTTGACCTGAGACCTACTCTTCCCGTCGATGACCAGCAAGCCCGACAAACTATTTCCGCGATCTGAGGGATTATATATATCTATATCCCGAACAACCATCCCCCTCCCAAAAGAGAGAGTGAGAGCAGGACCACGTTTGGCTGCACACACCCCCCTTTTCATAGTCCCAAAGATCTATTCCAGAAATCCAGGAACCGAACCTATTTCGACTTTGTGCCTCGCCCGACGTCGGTCTATTGTTGGGTACTGCTGCTGCTGCAGCTGCTGCTGCTGGTACTATCTTGACAAGGTACCCCACCCCGTTCGGAAGTAGCACAAGGTACCTGAAAAAAGTCAAACAAAACTAGTCGGTTTTGTACGTACAGCCCAGCCCAGGCATAAGAGGCGGGGAGAGACGGGGGAAGGGGGGCACAAAAGGGGATAATAACATAAACCCATAAAAGAAGGTTGGGTTCGATTGGGTGATGTGCCACCTTTGAGGAATTTTTGGGTGCTATCTGTTCAAGTGTATAGTCCGGGAGAGGGAGAGAGAGAAGGGGCGGCCAAAAGCTTTAGCTGGAAGCTGGGTAGCAGCCGATATTGGATCGACTCTGAAACGCGTTTTGAGAACGGGGTGGACTTGGGGAGCTCTTCGGTCGGACAGTGTAAGGACCTATAGCCTCTGGGAGAATCTGGGTGGAACGGAGCTGCTCACAGGTTGGACGCGAGCAGGGTCTATCAGCAAGAAGGGGCCCGCCCAGAATTCGAATGGACACTTGGTTGGATTTAGATGGAACTTTGGTATTGGCCGATTTGGATGTCATCATCTGGCCGTTGGGCGTAGGAGCAGCAGCAGCCGCCGCAGGAGCAGGAGCCGGAGCAGGAGGCAATAGAACCAAATGAGAAAGGGACTGGATCTGACACGCAGCTAGCTGGACGGACGTGGTGTCACCGTGTGTGAGCTTGGAAAATCTTTCCCAACATTCAACCATTTTGGGTCCGACGTAGTAAGGTCAAGATCAAGATCAAAACCTGTCTTCGCATCTGAATCACGAGGACGACATCACGCACAGCAGGGATCCCACACGTCTTCGAGGTACGATCAAACTCCCATCAGTTCCGGTCGACCGGTCACCATCATAATAATAAATATATAAATATCATTCGGACATCCAATCGCTCTCAGGGTCAATTTAAACCCGACATAGAATAGGTCATCCAAAACGTCCGGAACCTGGTCTGGGCGGGGGTGTTGAGCTCGACAACTCGACCTATTATCACCGGTGAACTTCACTGCATTTTCAAAGCACTGCACAGCACCGTTCCTCCCAACCCCTCTGGGCCATCCGCCACTTATCCTAACTCTACCGTATCTGAACCCGCGCAGATGCTTCCTCGTTGAGACGGTTCAAGGTCTATCCCTTTCGACATCACCTCCTTTCGCCAAGGCACCGGAAGAACCCGCTCAACAGCTTCTTAATTGTCCAAAAAGAACGTCAAAACCACTGGCCTTCATCTTGTATCGAGAACATTTCGACCTCGCTGTGGATATAGAGCTGAACGCCTTGACACCGCCAGGTGAGTGGAATGGCTGGTGAACCAGCTTCATTGTTCGCATACTGTCATCTTGCTCCCCTCATCCCTCTTGGCCTTTGGGCTCCCCCCTCTCTGCCCAACTCTCATCTTCGCACGCTGCGAAGTGTGTTAGGCAACACCTTTGTCCCGTACTCCCTCGCCAAGTCCAACTGTCGGACTCAAATCAGAGTGTGCCGAGGTGGCTGACGTCGTGAAAGGAGCAGGACCGAAAGCCTGGACCTGGATCATCCGGAGACGGGACGATCTCCCGGTGGACATTACCTTCATCACCCAGAGTTAGGCGATTGACCTGGAAAAAAAGACACTGATCTTGTTGCTGGACCTGTGCACCAATCATCCTCCCCGTCGTCTGGATACCAGTCCATTTGAGGACATCCGCTTGGAACATTCTCGCTCGAGTCGCTCACTCACATTCCTTCACACGATCCTTTCGGCGACTCGCTGTCTCTACCTTTTTTTTCGTTTGTTCATCTCTCCAACGCTTTCCCTTCCTTATCCCTTTCAGATTGTCCCTTCCTATCTTCTCGATTTGTCTGTCCAACGAGGTCTAGCTCCCTCAAACATCAGCAAAAGATGACAGATGCTCCCTATCCTTTCCCGCCTGAGCCCGAAGCGACGGCCGAATCGTCATCTAGTTCACCCAGTGGCGAGTTTGATTCTGGCTCTAAACGGAGGCTCTCATTAAGACGTGGTTCCAACAATGGTAGAGATGAAATCAAGAAACATCGTGAATCGCCTCATCTACGTCGTTCCTCTCGTACGGATACAACACAACAAAGAGATTCGGCCGATGTATCGGGCGGTGTCGATGATCTATCAAAGGAAGCTATTGGCTCCGGTCAACGACACGAAGACGTTGACCCTGAACCAGTTCAAGGGGTCACGACAAACACTAGTGTCCATGAGCCAAGTCATGACTCGAAACGTGTCAGAAGGAGGTCAAAAGAGGACCATTCTTCTTCATTGTCTTCCCCTCGTCCTCCCGCTTCGCCTCCTGCTGCGTCCTTTTCATCCTTCGAACCTGTCAAACGGTCCAGAAAATTCAGTCCATCCGGTCAAATCACAGAAAAACATCATTTCGTCGCCAAACGTCCCCCCAGCACTGGCTTACCTGTGCATCGTTCGACTTTCGACCCGGGACCAACATCTCATCCATCTCTTTCGCCTCATCCGACAGCTTCAAAAGTTGCCATTTCAGAATCATCTTCCTCTCATTCATTCTCTCGACCTCCTCGTTCACTCACGGCGACCTCGCCCTCCAGCTCGACATCTATCGATAGTACATCTCACGTCTTCTTATCTGCACCTGCTCCTTCTTCCCTCACTGCCATTTCAAGTGACGCCGGGTACCATTATCCATCCTCTCGCCCCAGTCACCCACATCATCCACATCTACCAACGCCCATCTCTGCAGGCTCACGCTCAGGCTCAGCTTCAGCCTCAGCCTCGGGTGCACAGCAACCCCGCTCATCCATGACTTCTGGCTGGATCATGTCCGAGCGTGAGCAGGCAAACGTCAACCAAATAGATAGAACAGACCGTGAAGAGGAAGACGAAGATCAAGGAAGATCTTCTCGGCGTCGTTTAGAGTTGGATGTTGATGTTTCTCGACCGCGTTCACGACATCACGATCAGTCCATGAAAACAGAAGATCCCGAATCCCAATCTGCCATTTCATCTTCCTATTCCTCTTCTCGTTATTCTCGTCCATCTCAACAAGGTCTCTCGACGTCCGCGCCGTCTCGATTCCCATCTCCTCCTCCATCTTTTAGCCTGTCTTCTGGCCGTCCGCTCGTTCAACCTCCTGCAAAGACTCAAGCAGCCTTTGTAGGGAAATTATATGCCATGTTGGAAGACGAAGAAATAATCAAGACGGGTTTGATCCATTGGAGTCCAGATGGGACCATCTTTACATGTCCTAATCCGACAGAATTCGCAAAGTGAGTCGGCGTAGTCACCTACGGTCTCTGTTTTTTTTTTGTGACACGATGTGTTCCGCGACAGAGTGGTGTTGCCCCGATTTTTCAAGCATAACAATTGGCAGTCTTTTGTTCGCCAATTGAACATGTATTCGTGAGTTGCAGTCATCAACAATCTTGTCAGATGCTGACAGTGATCCAGATTTAACAAGGTAAAACTCGCTCGTATGACATCCGACCCTGCTGACATCCCTCACCAGGTGAACGACCTTTTCGCCACCACGTCGGATCCCGGCGCTTGGGAATTTCGTCATCCCCTTTTTCGACGAGGCGAACCTCACCTGCTTGCGTCTATCAAACGAAAAACAACGAGACCCACTACGGCAGATGGTCCCAATTCACCGCCTGATGATTCAGACACTGGATCTCGAGCCGTTGCTGGCTGGATGCTAGATTCGCCAGCTGTCTCTGCGCCAAGACCTGGTTCTAGCCACGCAAGTAGCAATGCGCGAGCGTTGGCCTCGACCATCATGTCGACAACCGTTGGATCCAAAGCCGGTACTTCACCTAAAGCTGATCCTGAGGCGCCTGCAGAGACGATATACGGGCACGATGTCCGAAAGGGTGAATCTGTGACGTCTAGCTCAGCAAGGGATCGAGCCGGAACTCGCGCTTGGGCATGGGATGGTCAACCGATTCAACCGATCCAGAATATCCAATCTGTACCACTTGCATCCCATCATTCGCAGTCCTCCGACACTACAACGTCCAATCGACCTCCTGCAACTGCACCGTCGAGCATCAGTCGTTTTTATCCAGGTTCAAACGCTCCGTCCTCGAGTCGATACCTGGATTCACCTTATTATCCTCAACCATCAAGCAATATGAGTGCCGTGGACGTGCTTGCGGATCAAGTGGCGAATTTGGAAGAGCGGCTCGGCAGAGCGATTTCGTTGTTGAATGATGAACGAGTGGACAATGTCAGGGAAAGTTTGAACGCAACATCATATATGCTTCGGTTGACGGATTGGATTGGATCAGAGAGAAGTGAGCTGCACTTTGCCTGCCCCATTGTTCTTGAGATTCTAACCCGACTTGGTCCAGACCCTCACCCTTCCGAGCTGCATGCGCTTCGCGAAACGTTACAGCGATCTAGTACAGAACTGCGACAGCGATACGAGGTATTGGTGACCTCTGATCCGTTATTATCTGGACATAGTGCCGGAACCGCAAGGCTGGGACACGGCTGTGAGTTTGATCCCCGCTCCTCACCGTTGCCTCGCTGATATATATATATGCAGATGATGACCGGCCCTACCTTTCGCACCGTCGATCGGACCTTCTGGAACCTAGACCATCCGGCCTCGGTGCGCATACCTACACCCCACGAGCATCACCTATGAATCCCGAATTCCCGCGCGATCGTTCCAGTCGGATTCCAGGTCGGTACGCCGAGTCGGATCGAGCAGTCGACATTTCTGCCGAACATTCGACACGACTTCGACCCATGTCTTCGTCTGCCGTGCCTACGGCATACACTGCGGATGTCCCTCCCCCATCGTCTCATCCTATCCATATTCCACGTCAAAGTCAATATCAAGGTCATATTCGACAGCCCAGTCTCGGCAGATCTCAAACGCTGCCTCCAGGTCCTCCATCTATATCCTCCAGTCACAGTTACACGCATAGTCAGAGTCAAAGTCATGGTATTCCAAGTGGAAGTTCCACGTCTCCTCTTGCATTGATCCCGAAGACAATTGGTATCACTTCGCCAGTCATCTCCATCGGCTCAGGGACCAGGTCGCGACCCGAGACGAGCTCAGGTGTGGCCGGTGTGAGTTTGGGACGGTCGCAAGGGCCAATGATTGGAGGCAACAAGGACGACCAGATGGATGTGGGCGACCAGGCGACGGAATCGGTGGGTAGGGGCACCCGGACACAACCAGGTTTAAAGAATATTCTCAATTTTGATTAATTGGGTATTAGAGCGCTATTCAACCTAGCGACATTTAACTCTTCTCGTCATCACCTCAAAGCATCTGTATCAATGAGCAAAACAAAAGGGAATCCAGAGGGAAGACAGTCATCTCGGAAGCATGTCTATCTTACACGGAGGACCATTCTTGTCATGTCTAATGCAAATTCTTGATGTTCAGCTGCGTGCGTTTTCAGTGCCACAGAACAGGTCGCGGAAGCAAAAGAACATAGCAAGGTGGAGGTTCGTGACATTTATCTCTCCTCTACAGCATATCCCTACCATCCCCGCTGCCTAGACACAATGGGTGATTCGACCTCTCGACTGGAGCCTTTCATCCTTCTTGCGAGGTCTACAAAAGGGGCAGCAGCGGAAAAAGTCATTCAAGACGCCACGGCAGCTGTAAGTGGAGAACGCAATCCAATTGCGACCCGTGCTTGCATGTACCTTTTGTCTAACTCCCCGCAGACAGGAGTATACACCTTTACTGAGCTCTTGAATCTACCCAACATCCAAGCTGTGAGCCTCAATTTGCCGCTGCTTTGTCGAGCTTACAACCTGCTCCAGCTTGTTTCTGATCCATCGGGTTCGAAGAGCGTCAAGTTGCTCGAGCTTTTTGCCTTTGGGACTTTGGAGACTTATCGAGGTGAGTGCAGTGATCTTGATGGGATGAAGGCATCGGAAATTGAAAGAACGCATCGTACTGAATACAACCTGGTCTGATTTAGCCGACGAGTCGTCTTATCCGCCTCTCACATCGGCCCAATTGCAGAAACTTAAACATCTGACGCTCGTCTCTCTCGCTCTCCATCACAGAGTTAGGCCAAGACATTTTCCATCGTTCGGTACAAAAGCTGACACATCTTTGCCTCTTCTTCTCGATCTCTACTGCTCTCCGTTCTGTTCCCGTAGTCTCTGTCCTATTCGACTCTACTCACCATCCTCGAATTAGACTCTGTCCGACAGCTCGAAGAACTAATCATCGATTCCATATACGCCGAACTCCTCACGGGTAAAATGCACCATCACGAACAGATTTTACATGTCGATTGGGTCTCTGGGCGTGATCTGCGGCCTGAGGACCTGGTTCATATCCAGAAAGGTTTGGAGACCTGGTGTCAGACAGCTTTGACACTGGTTCAAGCGCTCGATGATCAGATCGCTCTCGTTAGGCAGAATGCAATCGAGGGAATGTCCGAGGAACAAACGTATAAAGAGGAGAGAATGGCGATGCTGGAATCACTCATGAAGACTCGAGGTGGAGGTCGTCAAGGACTTGGTCCACCGGGAGCGGGAAACGGGCTTGATGATCAGTCAGACGACGTCGTGATGAGAGCTACTGGTGCGATGGCAGGATTGCCAAGTGGTAAAAAGTGAGCAACCCCCCCCCCCCCCTCCTCCATGAACTGTAAGCGCGACATGGTACAGAACGCTGACTTTGTGCGTCCCTTTTTCCAGGACCGGATTGAACCGAAGAGGTCAAGGCAGCGCAGCATCTTCTGAAGAGCTAGGTAGGACGCGAGGATCCAACAAGAGACTCAAGGACAGTCCATGAAATACGAGGCTCAGATCAGATTCCAAGTTCGTCAGATGATATCCCACACTTCATTTGTATATAGACATGCTGCCTTCCTACACCACTGTTGTAGCATACATACTTCATCATCGCCCCAGGTACACGACCAAGACCCGACACGCCATGCATGTCATACAAAGCGAGCGAGAAGGATCGGCCCCCGCCGGCCTTCCCACGACGCGATCACGTGACATTACGTCATTGTCCATTGCAGCTGTGTCTCTTTGTTTGCCACTCGACGACGCGGTGCGATAGTAGATAAGCTTTGGCGGCGGGGCACCCACTCTTTTGTTTACGAGGGTCCGAGTCATATCTCTCTATCAACTGCATACCTCGACCTATACAGCCTTTGTTATATAGCTGGCGAGACTTTTTGATCTCGAGCGACATCTTCCTTTCATCTACCTTTTGATTGGAGATACTAACCTCTGCCCCCTTGATCCATCACCAGCGAATCCTCATTCCCTCCCCATCTCCTCTATCGGACCGACGGGTTCCGATAACACACGTTCTAATCTGGCGTCATCGCTTTTGATATATCCCCATTAACACCAAACATCATCCCTGTCTTCGTGTTCCCCTTCCATCAATTCAAACGGAATCCCATCTTCTATTCATTTGCTGCTGGACGCCCTCAACGGTGCTTGCGCGATCCTCATTCATCCCTACCCAATTCAATCACCCGCCGCTAAGACCTCTTGCCACCCTACCGACACACGCAGCATGCCAATCCCACCTCGTCCCATTCCCAACTCGCAACGCGTTCGACCAGGTACTTCGGTCCCTAGGAAATCCCTCGTCGCTCTAGATAGAGTCGATTGGCGATCCGAAATATCCATCTTGACTGATTATCCTCGATCCCTCCCCACTGGCAGTATCAGTGGCGTCAGACTCGAAAAGGCATTACCCAAGCCTTCTTCGGTAGAAGCCGCCAGCAGTGCGTCGAGAAACGTCAAGCGAGAAGTCGATATGGAGAGTTTGATTGCAGACAGTCTGGGGAAAAGAGAGAAACGATCCACAACGGCGACGACCTTGGGTTTTGATTTCGTACCGAACGTCTCCATTGTCGCTTTACCGGATGATCCCGCGCCTTCATCGTCCAGGTCCACACCATCACTCCTCACACAGACCAAGTCTATCCCTGGAGCATTTCCTAGCAAGGGAAGAGCGTCTCCAGCTCTTTCCGTCACACCTGCCACGCCTGCTCTCATCCCGCACAGACCTCAAGCCGAAGAGGAAGAGGACGACTTGGACGAATGGGAACATGTCGATGCGTTACGTGAGCCATCAGAGGAGGAAGAGAGGGAAGGAGCAGACAGCCAGAGTGAGGAAGACGTCATTGTGCTTGGAGAGCTGGAGTTGGAAGACGAGTTTGATCAGGTGGATCAGCGACGAGAGAAGAAGCATGCCGCCAAGTCTGGATTCGGGCTGGGCAAAGCGAGGCATGGATTAACATACGCGGCGGCTCTGGGTACGACGCAATGATCCAGATTTCGACGCGAACGTCTCAGGTCTTGGTATTGCTGAATTCATGTCGTGTGTCCCCGAGCGTTTCAGAATCTTGAGGAGTTCCGATATTCGGATGGACGGTTTAATTTTGTATGGCATCGAATGGCCAACCATGAATGTTTGTATCTAGGCATCATCCTATTGCCCGATCACAGGTTGACTTTCCAATACCGTGCAGTCCAAGCGATTGCTGAGACGGCGATGCTGTACAAGATCAGAATGCACATAGCTTGATAGTTGGAGAGGTACATTGTCTTGAAGGACAAATTGACAACCCCAGTCAAAAGGTTGGCAATGAGAAAAACCATGAGACCGTTTCTGTTGATCGCATCTAGGAGTGGAGGGACCGCATGAGGCGGGACAGGGATCTCGAGCAGGTATATTTCGAGTAAGAGGTAGCCAAGGAGGAACAAGGTGTTGTACCCTGCAACCCAGAGGACGTAGGCGCTGTTGGCCTTGAAGATGGGCGTCAGTCAAATGGGCGTGGAGACAAGGTTGCTCACCATCCGCCTCGATACCTCGACACCCATGAATCGACTGAAAGCGAGTAAAGACCACCATCCAAGGCCGAACGATACCAGTTCCATTGCCAAATTCGCACGCCGCTGTTCGTAATGCCTCTTGATACGCTCCTCGGCTTTCTCTGTAGCTGACTCGACCCGTTTCGCGGGCGCAGCAGCGCGCATGACATGTTGACCTATGGCCACGCCGAGCAAGTAGATGGCAAGGTATCCAGGTAGACTGACCAATCCTTCCTTGTTCATTTCGATGAGACCGTTTCGATCGGGCGACAAGATCCAAGATTGTAGGTTGAAACCTGAGCTTGACAATGCAGACTGATGTAGGACAGCCACGAGCAGTCCAGCCTGGGTCCATCCGACGAGCTGGCACACTGGGCGTAGAGAGATACCTATTACGGGGAGGATGGCGAGGGTGAAGAAGAAGTTCCAATGGACGCCATACTCCGTAACGTGCTCGGGATACTCTGACCCTTTGACCATCAAGACTCGAACGAGTCCAAGCACAAGGGTAGGCAGTGATTTCCAGATCGATTGTGAGATCTTCAAGAATATATTATCGTTTGAGACCTGAGATCCAACCAACTTTCGAGCAGACACCAATCCAAGTGAAAAGACAAAAGATCCCACGCCGACATCCATCTACATGCTCAGTTTCGTTCAGACCATGGCTCACCAAGCTCGCGCCAAAATCCTCACACTTGCCCTGACGTCTAGGGAAGACTGGAAAATCCACTGCGAGGATACAATGCACAGTCATGATCATCATATGGGCTCGATACACAGATAAGAAAGAGAGCTTGTCGCCCGCTCCAGGGACTGATACCTGTCCAGGCGATTGTTCCGAGCTAGACGTCGGGTCATTCGACTCGCTGAGCAGTGACGAGCTGCGTGAAGAGCTCGAGGGCAGCTCAGGCGTAGGAAGAATATCTATAGCAGTGTGTGTGTGGGTCGACGGCGTAGGGTTATGTCGCCTTCGCCATGGCTTCTGAGACATGCCCATAGATCCTTCAGGCGTCGTAGGAGATGCACGTCCGGGCGGGGTCCTGGGTGGTGTCGATTCACCGTCGACAGCTCTCGAAGGGAGGAGCACCCGGACGCGGCTAGGCTGGGCCGGCACTGCAGGTGGGACCTCTCCTGCAGACTTGACATCTTCCTCATCCGAATCCGACTCTTCTAGCCATCTGCCGAGATCTTGGGATTGCTCAGCACCTGGTGCATGCCCGTTCGAATGGAGTGCCGGGCGAGGTTTGGGATATGTCCACCATGTTAAGAAGAGTAACCCAAAATTCAGCAACAGAGGTCTCGAAGAGAATATCGTGACGGAGAGGAGAAGCGGTAGAATCGTCGTGACGTAGTCCTTGACGAATGATGGGCTCGACCGTTTGCTGCTCAGAATGTAGCACAAGTAGGAAGTCTATAGTCCTCAAATCAGATTCCGACCCTTCCCCTACATGTCAATCTCTGTTCCTCACCAACGCCACGAAACTCGTTATATTGATGCTGAGAATTGATTCGCCTTCATTCCCAGAGACGAATGCTTCCTTCTCAGTCTTGTAATCGTTCATCCTCTTTACGTTACACACACATGCGGGTCATCCACCGCATCGTTCGTGATGAGGAAGCCATTCTAGCAACAGCAACAACAAACAGAATAATACCCAACTTTTCTAGTGATTCACCTCCACCATCCCATTCAGGGGGGGGGGGGAGGGGAGTGCCACACGTTCGGCCATTCGGCGTTATCTCTCCTTTCTGGGGACTTAGCCATTTTTCCCATTCAAAAAGCCTCGCCGTTTTCCCCCTCGTTGCACCCAAGCCAGCTTTTTTCCAGTGAATGCGCCATATCCTGCGTCACTGGTCCTCCGTCTTACAACGACGACCATTCTTCGTTCTTCCTCTCTCTCCTCATCGTTCTCTCTGCAGACACGCGTCCACTACCAAACCGCTACGACCAATCATGTCAGGCCCATCAGAGCCCATGGCGGTCGTAGCGCCTAGCTTTTCATCTGATCCAGCATCTCTCGCGGCACACGCGCCACAAGTATTGTCAAATGGCGTCAATGGTCGACAAGAAGACAGTAGTAGTGACGAAGAGATGCCCCTTTCTCAACATACTCCCAAGAAGATCAATGGAGCAAACGGCAAGCGAATCGCCAATCCAAGCAGCAGCAATAGCAGTGAGGATGATAGACCATTGGTAAGTGTGTGCACATCTCAGAGAGGGACTTTTACGCGCGACGCAGTGGACCACCTCCACTTTAAACACTGAAGCGTCGCTGATGCATTCAAATTAGACTAAAAAGCCCAGAGTATCGACTGGCTTGGCTAGGAAAAGGATCGTTGAGAGTGATAGTGAGCAAGAGAGCAGTGCAGGGCCATCCTCGCCTCCTGCACCGCCTGTAAAATCTGCGACAAAGCCTCCCGTGAGTCGGATGTCGTTTTAACCACAGTCGAGCTTGAGCTGGAGCAATGATAACAGTCACGCTCAAATGGAGCTATAAAGCCCAAGTCGAAAGCGAGATCCCCATCCGATTCCGAGCTCAGCAGTGAAGATGAGAGACCGCTAGCGAAGAAGGGATCAAAGGCACCGAAACGAAGCGCATCTCCTGTCAAAAAGCCAGCCGCGAAACCTCGCAAATCATACAAGGAGTCGTCAGGCTCCGAAGACGAGAAGCCATTGGCTAAGACGGTAGCTACAAAGGGAAGAAAGAGCAACGGATCGGCTTCTGCAAGGGTCAAAAAGGAGGAAGAGTCGGAAGACGATGCGCCGTTGGCGAAGGGCAAAAAGAGAGCGAGTGCGGGCGCTGATTCGAGTACCGCTAGAAAGGACGTGAAGAAGAAAGTCAAGGAGGAGAGTGGTAAGGTGAAGAAAGAGGTCAAGGAGGAGGACGACGAGGAGATGGTGAGAGTCAGATCAGGATTAGCGAGGGATAAAGCTGACATCCGCAGTACAAATGGTGGGAGCAAGGCGAAAACGATGGATCGGTAAAATGGACAACTTTGGTGCACAACGGTGTCTTATTCCCCCCACCATATGTGCCGCTACCTAAAGACGTCAAGATGAAGTATGATGGTGAGTGGTCAGGTCCAGCTTTTCTGACTCCTGAAGGCCAATCCATCACCCTTCCTCCGGAGTCTGAAGAAGTCGCCGGATTCTTTGGAGCCATGCTGGAGACGGATCATGTTCTGGACCCGGTTTTTAAGAAGAACTTTTTCAACGATTTCAAAGATATGCTGAAAGAGTTCCCGCCAAAGGAGAATATCAGGATCACTTCCTTGGAGAAGTGCGACTTTCGACCCATGTATGAACATTTTGAACGAGAGAGGGAGAAGAAAAAGGCTATGACGAGGGAGGAGAAGAAGGCGTAAGTCGTGCGGACGAGATGTCTCTGACGAACATAGGATCAAAGAAGCCAAGGACAAGCTCGAGGAGCCATATCTCTATGCCTTGGTCGATGGACGGAAGGAGAAGCTAGGCAACTTTAGAGCGGAACCACCAGCGTTGTTCCGTGGTCGAGGAGAGCATCCGAAAAAGGGAACGTTGAAGAAACGACTGCGGCCTGAGGATATCATCTTGAACATTGGGAAGGACGTGCCTATACCCAAGCCAAACATCCCGGGCAACTGGAAGGGGGTGAGCTAAACCGGTTTCGGTGAAGAGGCTTAGCGCTAATGCGTGTCAGGTCCAACACGACAACACGGTCACTTGGCTCGCTCATTGGAAAGAAAACGTCAACAACCAAGCCAAGTATGTCTTCTTGGCAGCATCGAGTTCTTGGAAGGGACAGAGCGATAGATCCAAATTCGAGAAGGCCAGAGAGCTCATCGTGAGTCGCTTAGAAGTGTCATGACGCTCACGCTCCAGAAACACGTCGACAAGATTCGTAAAGACTACACCGAAGATCTCAAATCCAAGGTCATGGCGGATCGCCAACGAGCCACAGCTCTTTACTTTATCGACCGACTCGCTCTTCGTGCTGGGAATGAAAAGGGAGACGACGAAGCCGAGACATATGGTTGTTGTTCCCTGCTGTTTGAGCACGTTACGCTTTCTCCGCCGAACACCATTATCTTCGATTTCCTAGGTAAAGATTCCATGCGTTTCCACCAAGAGGTAGATGTGGACATTCAGGTATTCAAGAATATCAAAATCTTCAAAGCTGAGCCCAAGAAGAAAGGAGACGATATATTTGATCGATTGACAGTGAGTAGAGATTAGACGTCGGGTCGCGTCAGTGTTGACAATCCGAAGACCTCGGGACTCAACGCGTACCTAAACACCCAGATGAAGGGTTTGACCGCCAAAGTATTCCGTACCTACAATGCTTCTTGGACGTTCCAGCAGCAGCTCAAAACCACGCCCAAAAACGGCACTGTTCAGGAGAAAATCGCTGCGTACAATACTGCCAATAGAGAGGTTGCCATACTGTGTAACCATCAGAAGACTGTCAGCAAGAACTTTGAGCAATCCTTCGCGAAGATGGGAGACAAGGTGGGTGTTTGCAGTGGAGACGAATGGCTGACCTGCATCAGGTCCGCGCACTCAAGTACCAACGCATGAAACTTCGTTATCAGCTTTTCACCCTCGAGCCCAAAATGAAGAAGAAGCGAGCTGATCTGGCCGAGTCAGAATCCGATATGGATGACGAGTTTATGGAGCGACACGAGGAAGAATTGCGAGAGAAAGCAGTCGAAGCGGCGAAGAAGAAGTTTGAGAAGGAGAATACCAAGCTGGTTGCAGAGAAAGAAAAGGCTCAGCCAAAGTCTGTGCTCGACGAGCGCTTAAAGGAGATCAAAGCAGAGTTCAAGGAGCTCGCCAAGGAGCGAAAGACGAAGAAAGTTGAGCCGAAAAAGGGAGCGACGGTGGAGAAACTTGAAGAGCAGATCCAGAAGATGGAAGCTAGGATAGCGGCGGCCCGGGTGCAGATGGAGGATAGGGACAAGACCAAAGATGTGGCGTTGGGAACGTCAAAGATCAATTACATTGATCCGAGATTGACAGTGGCTTGGGCGAGGAAGTACGATGTGCCGCTTGAGAAGCTCTTCTCAAAGACGCTGTAAGTGCTCACATGAGCTAAGTATCATGACTCTGCTGACGTGACGATGCAGACGAGAAAAGTTCCCTTGGGCCGAGGCGGAGGCAGATGCAGATTGGGTCTTTTGAGCTGCCCTGCTGTGCTTTAGCGCCATGCTGCCCTGTAATATCAACATTTTGAGCATGTCATTGCATTCTATCCTACTTGTTTGAATAGCCAAACAGTCTGTCTGTAAGCCCGTCAAATGTAAGAGGTGCCACCTGATTGGGTGGGGTGGTATCGGAGATTGTCGCAGTCTCCATTGCCGGGAATTACCGAGTTGATTGGGTGGAACCTTTTTTTGGGACCCGGCCATCGACGACCTGTTCATCGCAGCGAATTCATCAGAGATCCTTCTGATTGTCACACTTGGCCACTGCGAGGGGCTATCAACACCTCTATCTCTCCACTCACTCACTCACTCTTGCACCCTCCACGTCGTATCTCCCCACCCCTCCCCTTTCACCATGAGACTCTCTCGCGCGGCGATGCTGGCGAGGTCATCCCGCTCTGCGGTCGCGATTCCAAACACCAGATCCTATGTTGTGGCCTCTCAGACTGCTCGAGCGACTGAAGCCAAAAACTTTGGTCAACCCAAAGGCTACCCTATCATCGATCATGAGTTCGATGCTGTCGTTGTAGGAGCAGGAGGTGCAGGTCTTCGAGCAGCCTTTGGATTGGCGGAAGGTGGACTGAAAACTGCCTGTATCACCAAATTGTTCCCTACTCGAAGTCACACTGTTGCCGCCCAGGGAGGTGTGAACGCTGCGCTTGGAAATATGACGGAGGACGATTGGAGATGGCACATGTACGATACTGTCAAGGGATCCGATTGGCTCGGAGATCAAGACGCGATTCATTACATGTGTCGAGAGGCTCCCAACACGGTTATTGAGCTCGAGCATTATGGCGTTCCATTCTCAAGGACGAAAGAAGGCAAGATTTATCAACGTGCTTTCGGAGGTCAATCTCTTAAATACGGTAAAGGTGGTCAAGCCTATCGATGTGCTGCTGCGGCGGATCGAACGGGTCACGCCATCTTGCACACGCTATATGGTCAATCCCTCCGTCACAACACCAACTTTTTCATCGAATACTTTGCGCTCGATCTTTTGATGCAGGACGGCAAATGTGTCGGCGTTATTGCGCTCAACATGGAAGATGGAACTCTCCATCGATTCAGAGCTCACAACACTGTTCTCGCCACGGGCGGATACGGACGAGCCTACTTTTCTTGTACTTCGGCTCATACCTGTTCGGGAGACGGTAATGCCATGGTCGTCAGGGCTGGATTACCATTACAGGATCTGGAATTCGTTCAATTCCACCCCACTGGTATCTACGGTGCTGGATGTCTGATCACGGAAGGATCAAGAGGAGAAGGTGGATACTTGCTCAACAGTGAAGGAGAACGATTCATGGAGAGATACGCTCCCACCGCCAAGGATTTGGCGTCTCGAGATGTCGTTTCGAGATCGATGACTTTGGAAATCAGAGAAGGTCGTGGTGTCGGTCCTGACAAGGATCACATCTTCCTTCAATTGAGTCATCTTCCACCTGAGATCCTTCACGAGCGATTGCCCGGTATCTCCGAGACTGCGGCCATCTTCGCCGGTGTCGACGTCACCAAGGAGCCTATCCCCGTGCTCCCGACTGTCCATTACAAGTGAGTGAAGCGAGTTGAAGCCTTCGACTCATCCCTTGCAGCATGGGAGGTATTCCCACCAAGTACACTGGTGAAGTCCTCACCGTCGATGCCCAAGGCAAAGACAAGGTTGTGCCTGGTCTCTACGCTGCTGGAGAAGCTGCTTGTGTCTCGGTTCACGGAGCCAACCGACTTGGAGCCAACTCCCTGCTCGACATTGTCGTCTTTGGTCGAGCTTGTGCCAACCACATCAAGGAGAACAGCAAGCCTGGGCAACCCCATGGACCGATGCAGGATGATCTAGGCAAAGCCAGTATCGCCGAGCTTGACAAGATCAGAAATTCATCTGGTCCCCTCAGCACTGCTGAAATCCGACTGAACATGCAAAAGACGATGCAGACCGATGCTGCCGTTTTCCGAACTCAGGAATCGCTCGATGAGGGAGTCAAAAAGATGACCGACGTTTACCAATCATACGACAAAGTGGGAATCAAGGACCGAAGTATGATCTGGAACTCGGACCTCGTTGAGACACTGGAATTGAGGAATATCATGCAGAACGCCATGCAGACGGTCGTCTCTGCCGCTGCTCGAAAGGAATCGAGAGGAGCTCATGCAAGAGAAGATTTCCCAGAACGTGATGATGAAAAGTGGATGAAACATACACTGTCATTCCAACATGATGCCAACTCGCCAAAGGTCGACTTGTCTTACCGATCTGTCATTGACACTACCTTGGACGAGAGCGAGTGCAAGCCCGTGCCTCCTTTCAAGCGGTGAGTTACGGACCCCGTCAAGCGTGAAAGATGTTGATCGTTTTTCACAGAACCTATTAAGTGGTTTCACTTGATGTATGACTCGCCTTGTCTTTTCTTTCCCTCAGAGTATACGATACTGTGGTTTGTTTGCTGTCGTGAAGATGCATGAGCGTGTCCCATGTACACATTATGCAGACCACACGGGATTTCGGATCATGGGCGTATCACGGTCGCCATTGCGTCATGATGATCTTCTTTTCTGAAAATCCCGTGATTCCGGTCTACGGACCAATGTTGGTGACTACCACTGGCTACATATATACATTGCACAGCTGAACCTCATCTTGAGCCGTCGACCGCCTATCTTCGACGGTCTGTTCGTATCTTGTCCCTTGTGGCCATCTTCTCAGAGAGTATCAAAGGATGTTATGGCGTCAATCCAATGTCGATCACTGTCTTTGTTCGACGTCCGGATCGACATATACCGTCAACAGGATAAAAGCTCTCACGTCAAGACGCAGGCACGCGAAGGATTGCACTCGGGCTAGATTTCACATCCTCACGAGAGAACCCTCGACGGGCCTTCGCGTACCTACACGACCCATGTCTCTCTTCCCAGCCCATATCTTCCAGATACCTCTCCCATCGCTTGTCTATCTCCTCCCACCGCATCATCCCGCTCAATGGGTCTTCCGGGGGGTCTTAATGGTGTATGTGGTGGTGTTGGTGATCCCCCTGGTACTAATCCTATCACCCCTGTCCGTGCTGCTCGGGAGTCTGCCATGGCGGCATGTCAATCGACTAACTCCTCTTGCCATTCATCCTGACAATCTCCCGCCGAAGAAGCCTATCCTTACGGCCTTAGGACGATGTATCGGCGTCTACATCGTCTCTTCAGTCGCTTGGGCGATAACGAGCTCTGGGTGTGCACCTGATACCTCGGAGACCAGGACTGGTCCAGTAGTCAGAGGCACTCTCAACACGATCGAATATGTCTGTCGATCCGAGACAAGACTTGCCATCGACGAAATCAACATGGACCCTGCTCCGGAGGAAGCTTGCATAGGCGTCATGAGGATGAAAGGTATCGAGAGGGTCTCTCGTCGAGGATACTGGCTCCGGCAGCAGCCTGCCAAGCTGCCTGATGGATCCGGCTCGATGGGCAAAGTTCATACGGGTTCGGATAAACATGCCATTCTCTTTCTCGCTGGAGGAGGCTATGTTACCGGCGCCACGCTCTCGCACCCCTTCGTCTACTCTCTCATGAGGTCTTTGCCCGCTGCCTGCCTGCCCGGAGGCTATTCACTCCTCGCGCCGAGTGTGAGAAAATCTCTCGACATGTCTCGAGCCTTTCCTGCACCGTTATTGGACGCATTGGCCGGATATTGCCACTTGTTGAAGGACGGCTACTTGCCTGAAAACATCACGTTCATGGGCGACTCGGCTGGAGGAGGCCTTTGTTGGAGTCTGTTCGCAACTTTGGTGGTCCTCGATGAGGAGACGGATGCGGGTCTTGGTGTACCTGGAAAAGTGGCCCTGATATCTGTAGGTCAAGTGCGCAGACAGACCAACCACACTGACGCCTTTGTAGCCCTGGCTCGCTCTTCCACCCTGTCCCTCCGCTCAGTATCCTGATTTTCTGAACAAGCCCATGATGCTCAACGCCGCTAGATGTTACATGGCGAGATTCCCTATCGTCAAACATCGTCCGGATCCATTCAAATCGACATTACCTCAGTTGAGCTCAGACATCTCGCGGATGGGCAGAGCTCTGGGAAGAAGAGTCGATGTCTGTGCTCGGCGGTCAAAGTCAAGCGACGTCGAAGCGAACCATATGACACTTTCGAGAGAGATATTAAGACCGGATGACGAGATGCTGGATCAATCGTTATCATCCTTATCCCGCTGGTTGGAGATAGAGACGTTCACCAGAATGACGTCGCATCATCCGCTTGTATCGCCCGCTACAGATCCGAACTCACCGTTCGTCACGCTAGTCTTCAAAGCCATGTCGAGGCTGGGTACCAAGCTTCTCATTCACGCAGGTACAGGCGAAGGATTCTACAGTGCCGCCATGTCGTTTGGGAGAGCCGCAAAGGCTGCTGACACGAAAGTTCAAATTGAAATCGAGGAGGGAGGTTTCCATTCGGAGGCTTGCATTATGCCTGGAGAATGGGGTGGTGCGAGTCAGAGGTTGGTCGGGACATTGGTCGAATGGCTGGCAAGGTTGAAGTGAGGCGTCATGGAGGGAAAGGAGACGGCTCATAACGCCAGCATCTTGTATGTAGAATCTGAGAGTTTGTATTTGACATCATCTTGCATGGTCATTTGGATGGTGGTTGTCGATGTCAGTCAGACCAAAGTCATAAGGAATGTGTCAGCGCACGGCTCATGTCCCAATGTCCACCACCTCGCCGAAGCCGAAGCCTAGATATACATACGCTGCACCTCTCAATAACCTCCCCGACCACGACCCCCAAAGCCTCCGCCGCCACCACCACCAAATCCTCCTCTTCCTCTCGGTGCACCACGTCCACCGGAGCTGAATGACCTTGCACCTCCCCTGCCACCTCCTCGGTCTCCTCCGAATCCACCGCGTCCTCTCGGCGCTCCACGTCCACCACCTCTTCCAGGAGGTCCACCTCGACCCCTTGGTCCACCACGACCACCACCTCGTGCTCCTCCTCGTTCTGCAACGCCAAGTCAACATAGCACCAAACTCCCTGGGAACGAGAGACCCACTTTCGACCTTTGCGCCTGCTATCTTTGGTTTGGGCAAGAACCTCTCTATCGGTAATAGCTTATCTCCTCCAATGTACACCTTGTCGTCCTTTTTGAAACTGTTCGCCATCATCCCTTGGTCCATCTTGACGGTAAAGAAGACCTCGTTTATGGGTCTAGAAGCGATTCAGCACTTGACATAGATTGATTGCAATTTTTCTCACCCCAGGATCTCGTCAACTTTCCCAATCTGAGTCTTGTTCGACAGATATATCGGGGCGTTAAAGTATGGAATTTTCGTAGGAGCAGTGAGGGAGCAGAGCATTTCAGATTCCACAGGGTGCATGAAGGACCCGATCTCTGTGCAGGGATCATCAGCACCATTCGAATAACTTTGGATGTTCTACTGTTGTGCTCACCCTGCACGACATCAGGAGGTCCAAAATCCCTCTGTTGGAATCCACCTCGTCCACCACCTCGACCACCTTGGAAGAGATCAGACATCATCGCTGATCCAAATTTTGGCTCGAGCTCACCTCCAAAACCACCTCTTCCTCCCCCTCTTCCCCCAAAGCCTGATCCGCCACCTCTTGAAAAGCCTCTACCGCTCATGCTCGATGTCGCTTTGGCTTGCAAGGATGTATGGCTATACCTACAGAAGATTTTGTAACTGAATTTCATTTCATGAAGCAAGACGGAATCAAATTTTGGCCCCGCATAGATGCCACGTGTTGATGGAGAACGGAGCGCGAACCCATGTTGTACGCTGAGATGCTCGCGTGAGGCTGCAGCGCAGACACGCTTGGTGGATCATGGGAGGTAGGTTCATAGGACAGAGAGAAGAAGAAGCAGGTTTACTGACTGAATGCAGTGACATTCTCGACCCTATGGTCGCGTCTGTTCCTACGGAAGGAGACAAAGGTGTTGATTCTAGGCTTGGACAATGCTGGAAAGGTGAGAACACACGCCTGAAGGTTGGCTGAGGTTCGCCAAGTCGACGATACTGTATCGTATAACGATGGGATCTGTAGTGGCATCCGCCCCGACCGTAGGATCAAATCACGAGATATACGACTATAAAGGCGTTCGATTCGGGTTGATCGACATAGGCGGACAGACGAGTTTAAGAAGTAGCTGGAGTCAATACTTTGCAGGAACCTCAGCTATCATCTTGGTCATTGACTCGAGCGATAGTGCAAGGCTGCCTTTGGCCAAGGCCGAGCTGAAGAGACTCGTCTCGGACGATGTGAGTCCTCGGATTGGCCAGGTCAAAACTAATGGCAGTCTCTGCGGACATCATTACTACTCGTTCTGGCAAATAAGCAGGACCTACCGACCAACCAGGGTCGATTGACGCCTGCTCAAGTATCTGAAGCTCTCGGACTGACGGATCTGAGGGAACGAGAATGGCAGATCATGGGCTGTAGCGCTTTGACAGGAGAGGGCTTATTTGAGGGAATGGATTGGCTCGTCGGTAAGCTCGCACGGTGACATGGGCTCGGTATAGAAATAAATGCATGTACGATATGGGGCAAACCTCTGTGTCTGAGGCCTATTTCAGTACCCGTTCCCTCTCAGGCCCACGCCGGACACCCCTCTGGCACCGCCAAAACCTCTTGGCTCCTCCTGCCCCATCATCATGGCCCAGAAATTTCCACCTGTTCTCCACCAAATCCGCCCGACCTTTACGAATTCTCTCGCGAAAATCTCCCCAAAACCAAGCATGACGCCGTTGATGAATGGTAGAACAAGATTGATCCCGAGAACTGCGAGAATCCGAGGGAATGACATACTGCCTGACGGTCCGGTAAACAAGGACAAGGTCAAAGAAGGTGGTTGAGCTGGTGGTCCAGAAGGTGGACCGCCAGGTCTCTGAGATCCTGGCCGTGATATCCTGACCATGTCGTCGTCCTCTGATTGACCGTGAGGCGAAGCTTGATCGGGTGATGAGGAATGGCCTGAAATCTCTTCCCATGCCTGTGAGGTAGCACTGTGACGAGACAAAGTCCCAGATTCAATCTTGTGGAAAGACGATGGGGAAGAAGGGTCATAGGGGGAGGACGAGGATGTCATGGATTGCTTCATGGATGGAGGCAGAGGTTCAGTCGAGGTTGTCGGATCATAAGCGGTCTGCATGGGCCGTCAGAAGGGATGATAGGAAGGGGTTCACTCGCCTGTTTGACTTCAGGCCTACTTTGACCGACAGACAATGCCTGACCTGCCAAGCGATCTTCGTCCGTAACACCACGTCCGTCCACCACACTTGAAGCTCTACCTTTATTTGAACTGCTGGACCCAGCTTGAGTACCGCCTTCAAGCTCCATCCTTAACCTCTCGGCATCAGCTTCGAGCTTAGCTTGTCTTTGCTGTTCCTTCTTCTCCGCTGCAGTCTTCCCACTCGAAGCTTTCTGACGTTCTTCTTCTTCTCTTTCGTACTTTTCTCGAGTCTGCAATGCCTTCTCCCTTGCCTCGGCAGATTCAGCTTGCCAATGAGAGAGGTACCCCTCGTAAGTCTCTTTCCAGGTGTCCATCCCGGGCACATCATCATCTTGTATAGTGGGAGCTTCCGCGGCCTCGCTCTCTGCTGACGTCTCCTTGGTCCGTTCGGAATCCGCTGTAGGCTTGGGAGTCGGTTTAGGGATCGAGAATGAATTGCCTAGGATCGACTGTAAAGAGGTGGTCAGCATGGGGAGTCTTTCGACATATTTACTCACCCCCAGCGAGTCCTCCATTCCACTCGCCATTCCTGCCGAGACGAGCTCTTGATCTGCGTCGTTCCTAGTGTCTGACATGGTTGACTGGTGTAAGAAGAGATTGTAAATGGTCTAGCACGATTCCAGTTGAAGGATGAGCGGAAGCAATTTTGTTCGAGTTGCGCGCCAGGATGAGCCGTCGGGAAAATCATAGATACATCCAACGTCTCTACTACTGGACCCCTGCACATCATGTCAGTGACCATCGAGTCGCCAGAGGCCCCAGCGGATCGTCTCACGACTCAGGAGCGGCTATTACTCTCTCAAGCGGTGTACAAATATGGAGCGGTGGCTTGGCCAGTTGTTTCCCAAGCTCTGGTAGCCCATCCGTTGATTCATGGGAGACCAACCGAGCTGTTTGGACCGGAAGGATGCGAGAGCGCATACGTGGCGTTGATGAAGAGTGTAGGGCAGAATGTGTGAGTTTGGAACGACTATATCTTTTCTGACGAAGAAGGCCCGCACCTGATGGTATGAAACCTCAAGCGAAGACCCACCTTCGACTGGCTCAAACATTTTACCTGGCGCGATTGGAAGAATTGAAGAAGTCTATAGAGGCTCATGAAGCTTCTTTCGTATCGCTCATGAGCGAGATCAACTCTATAAAGTCTGGTCAGCTGGACGGCACCATTGTTGAGGAGCTAAGAGGGGTGCTAGCACGGAAATACGGGAAGAAACGACTGGACAGCTGGATCCCTCCCTCGGAAGAAGTGAAGGCTGCTGTGGACGCGGGTCCGCCTGCGGAGGAAGAGATGGCAGAAGCGAGCAAGGCACTCTTGGTGGAGGAGCAGCCTGTGGTGGAGGAGCAGCCTGTGGTGGTGGAGCCGACGGTGAAAGAGACCCCAGTGGAGGAGAATGTCATGAAAGAGTCCGCCGTAGAAGATTCTGTGGTGGAAGAGTCGGCCATCCGAGAGCCTACCGTGGAAGAGCCTGCTGTGGAAGAGATAGCCATGGAGGACCCGCCGGTGGTGGACACAGAGCCGGAGGCAGTCAAAACTGACGTATCCGAAGAGGCCCCGAACGTACTGCAGCCCGCTGAGCCGAACGAGATCCCTGCTGAACCCTCAATCATTGTCGATGCTCCAGAAGAACCAGTCCAGACTCCCAAAGCCGAGTCACCAGCGTCCGACCTCTCACCTCCTCCATCGGTTCCGCCCACCGCTCCCTCACTTCACGTCAAAGACCACGAGACTGTGGAACCGACTCCGCTTTCTCCCGTAGACGCCGCCTCTCCATCCACTCGCGCATCTAAGCGTAAGGCTTCTGCCCAGCCTCGCGGACCACCACCGAAGCGATCAGGACGTCGAGGTGCTTCGCCCATCCGCAATGCATCGGAGGCACTGTCTGACGTCGAGGCGGATGAGGAAGAGGAGGAGCTTCTCAGTGCCAAGGACAAACGACCTGCTCGACGTCCGAGTCGCAGAAGTCGAGGTGATACTCGGGAAAGTCCTAAAGCTTCTTCTCCAGGTTCCAAACGAGCTGGTTCTGTCGTCAGTACGACATCAACACCTGTCACCGAAGAGAAAAAGGCGCCTCGACGTGGAGGCAGAGGCCGAGGTATGAGGGATGAAGTCGTCTCAAAATCTGTTCGGGAGCAGAGCGCAGCTGCGTCAGTCAAAGAGGAAGTGACAGAGGCGGCGGATGCGGTGGAGGAAGAGACTCCTCCCGTCGCGAGACCCAAGCGGGGACGTCCACCTGTCATACCTGTAGAAGAGAAGCGTGGAAAGAGAGGATCTTTGAAGGGTGAGTGGCATACGAGAGTCGTATCTGATTATGCCCAGGCCCAGCTGTCGCCGAAGAGAAGACCGAAGAAGCGACAGACGAGATGGATGCGACCACTGCATCGGCTTCGGTCCCACCGCCTAGTATTTCAAAGGGGTCTCGGACGAAAGAGACAACCAAGGACGCGAAGGCGATGCAAAAGCTGCTCTCGTCCTTATTAGATACTATCTCTAGTCACAGGGACGGCAGCGTGTTTCAGAATCCAGTCAGAAAAGTAAGCATTCACCTGACGGACTTGGCTTATATGTGCAGAGCGATGCACCAGACTACTATGACATTATCAAGCGACCTATGGATCTGAAGAAGATGCGACAGCGGATAAGAGACGGCCACATCAGCAGCATTGACAAGTTTGAGAGGGACATACTGCTCATGTTTTCGTGAGTCATTCATTCACAGACGTTCTTGTGCTGACCGCTTCAGAAATGCTATGATGTATAACGCTGAGGGCAGTCAGGTTCACACGATGGCCCAGGACATGTTGAAGGAGAGTGAGAACCATATTGCTCACTACAGAGCGATGCAGCATGATATGGGCAGGTAGCGAGATATGTATGATGCCGCCTCGAACGGAATCAATTTCTACCTCGTCGTCCTCACGGCACGTACCTCCGCGCCGAGGCCACCGCCCGCCCTCCCCTAATAGCTTGGGGTCTCACTGGGTCACTCTTTGTGTGGGGTCATTCGCTCTCTCACACATCGGTCTCATCGAGAGGTCGAACGATAGCGGGCAGAACGCCTCTTCATAGCGTGCTGGCAGAAGGATTCCAGCAATGGTATGAACAGACAAAGCCCACTCAATCACCCCTCCTAGTTCTGCATCACCTAGCGTGGAACGATCAACCACCGGAGTGGGTCGCCCCGCCTCCCACCCCATTCAAAATCGATCACATTCGGACCACGACCTGTCTATTCATAGATCAGCATTGAGAGAGGTCGGGACCTGCTTCCAATCACACACAGGAATCTCTATCTCCGCGCTCAGTGATCGTGAGGCCCTGGCCCGCCCCGACTTGCTCCGACAATGTCACGACCGTCTTACCAGGATTCGCGGTACAACCACGACGACCCCTTCAATTCGCCCGCTTCTTTCGACCTTCCACTCTTCAATCCCCATCCCCCCACCTTATCTCCTATACGTACCGATGTAGGGGGTGTAGCTGGAGGTCAGCGTGGACTCCAATTTCCATCCTCGTCTCACCTACCTCCCATCCATCCAGGTCATCAGCAAAGACACAGCGTCGCGACTGGAAACAGCTACGATTTGTCCTCCCCCTTCATGGGCGCTTCGCCTCGCCTCCCTGGACCCTCCACAGCTCAGTCTCACGCTCGTCAAGGGAGCATGTCATCCGCCGCGCCCTACGGCTACTCCCCACAGGCCGAATTAATGCCACCACCCTCCGCATCAGCTTCTTTTTCCCTGGGACGAAGTGCGTCACTGGGGACCAGACGTAAGGATCCGTACTCGTACTCACCCGACGACGTCGAGTCAGGCCTTGGCAATATGGATATGGGTACCGAGCCTGCATGGGCAGACTATGGAGGGTACAACGAATCAAGAGACCGACTGCAACCTGCCCAGGTATCCGGGTATGGATCCAGAGACATCGCCATGTCACCTACTCGACCCAGTCCGAATCGTCAGATGAACCCTCCTCCAGTGCCTGCACCGGCCCCAGCACCTACGCTCAGCTTTCCCAGTCCGAGGCCTAGAGATGATTCAAGAGGCTCATCACCATCGGCATTTCATTATGGACACAGTAGAGATTCTAGCGCGTCCAATCCTTACATCCCTCGCGCGTCTGATCCTGGTCCTTCTGCTGGACCGCAGTGGACAGATTATCGACGGCCACCGACAGGCAGCAGGATGCCTTCTGCCAATTCGCTCGACCATCCGTCTCCGGCTCCGCAACAACTATCACCTTATCTCAAGCCAGAAACATTCCCCTCGAGCCCCCACCCTCCTCTTGCCAATGCGTACGATACGTCGCCCCACACTGGCTCGACCGCTAAGATGCCCACTTCGCCTCTCGGCACGACAACTTGGAACGACCTGAGCGGTCACAGCAGCATGCCCATTTCACCGCCTGCGCCTCAACGGGCAAAGTCTTCCCAGACTTATCCTGCAAGTCAGCCAGTCACCCCGGCAACCAAGGCAGGGTACGAAATGGGTCCGCCGAGGGGCCTGCCATCGCGATCAAGGAGCGGAGGCGCGACCTCGAGGACGGGTCTGAGAGAGGTCTCAGGTGCTCAAGATTTGAGGCCAGTTCTTAACGTGCATTCTGCTGGACGGCGGGCGGATCCCGATGCACCGGGAAAGTATCTTAGTGTAGGTTTTCGAAGGTTTCAAAGCTGATTTCAGTCACTCAAATGCTTGACGTCGGCCCTGCCTCAGACCTATGCCCTCTGCAACCCCTCATTCCGATACGAGTCATCTGATAATCCACGTCGAGTCCTCACCAAGCCAAGCAAGCCAGCTCATAACGATGGTGCGGACAATGAGGACTGGGATTACATACTCTATGTAAATGATGTGTTGGGCGGCGAAAGTGGTGGCGATCGGTGAGTCGTAGATTGCGCCAGTCCTGACTTTAGATATCTCATTCTCGACGTTTTGGGCCAAGGCACATTTGGTCAAGTCGTCAAGTGTCAGAACATGCGAAATCATGAGATCATGGCTGTCAAGGTGGTCAAGAACAAGCCAGCGTATCTAAATCAATCGAAAATGGAGGTCGCCATTCTTGAGCTGGTGAGTTACCAGAGCGGGCACCCTCTGACCCCCAGCTCAATACTCAATGGGATCCGCAAGATCAGCACCACATCCTCCGAATGGTCGAGCATTTCACGCATAAGAATCACCTGTGCCTAGTCTTCGAATGCCTCTCGTCCAATCTCTACGAGCTCATCAAGCAGAACCAATTTAAGGGCTTGAGCACGCAGCTGGTAAAGGTGTTTACTCAGCAGCTTTTGGACTGTCTCTCGGTACTCAAGGACGCGAGATTGATACATTGCGACCTCAAGCCGGAGAACATTCTCCTGAAATCGTGAGGGAGGCCCAGGGGTCACGCGCTGACTGCAGATTGCAATCACCGCAAGTCAAGGTCATCGACTTTGGCAGTGCCTGTCACGAAATGGCCACCGTATATACCTATATCCAGTCTCGTTTTTATCGGTCCCCAGAGGTCTTGCTTGGTCTGCCATACTCGGCTTCAATCGACATGTGGTCTTTGGGCTGTATCGTGGTAGAGCTGTTCCTTGGTCTCCCCCTTTTCCCGGGAACCAGCGAGTATAATCAGGTCTCGCGCATTGTGGATATGCTGGGGTGAGTGAAAGAGAAACGCAAGCCCTGAGCTATTTAGCAATCCACCCGGACATTTGCTCGAGGTTGGCAAGCAGACGCACGAGTTCTTCAACTACACCGGTACCGATGCGTTTGGCAAGAAGCAGTATGTCCTCAAATCGATGGACCAATATGCAACCGAGCATCGGACTAAGGAGCAGCCGAGCAAGCAGTACTTCAAACAGACAAAGCTACAAGATATCATTCTCGAATACCCCTTTGCGAAAAAGAATCCGAAACAGAGTGACATTGACAAGGGTAGGTCGGCATGGTCACCCTCAGCTGATGATCAGAAATGGCAAATCGCCGGGCATTCATTGATTTTGTCGAGGGCCTCCTCAATCTTGACCCAATACAGCGATGGTCGCCTCAGCAAGCTGCAAAACACCCCTTCATCACGGGAGAGAAATTTACGGGACCTTTCCAGGTGAGTCGGAAACAGACAACGTGGCTCACTCTTAGCCCCCTCTCGTGCCTGGGTCTCGCAAGAGCAGCAGTGTCGCTCCTCCCACCCCGGCAGAACCCACTCCACAGACGACGACACCGTCGAAAAAGTATGGCGGTCTCGTGCAGAGTCCGTCATCTGGACGAGGAGGCCAGCGGGTCTATTCCGATGCGGCGGCATACAATCATCAACTGTCACAACATCAATCCTACACTGCTCAGGTTCAAGCTGCCAATGCCGCGCGTCATCAGCCATTCTCTCCAGGGTACGAGGCCACATCGACACAACCATCACCGTATGCCTCGCGAGTGGCTTCTCAGCAATTCACCAGATCGGATCAGACACCTTCATGGTCGAGCATGCAGCCGCCGCCCCAGCCAGCCATGAATCAGCGGATCGTATCGTCTGGACTGCCGACATCTGCATCCCACTCGGCTCTGCGCACAAACGCGCCGATGATCGCTGCTCAAACGAACCCGCCTCCTAATTCGTACTACCCGCCATCCCGAAATCGCGCCAACACGATCAATCAGATGGATGCGATTCCCCCGGCTATCGCTCGGTTGGCTCACTTTGGCGCACCTGATCCTTCTGGAACACGTAACCTCACGCCAGTGCTCAATCGAGACGATGCGATACGAGAGTGGGAGAGGCGTCAAGCTGGTCACAGTAGGACGAACAGTATGGCCAATGCGTCATATCCTCAACTCGAGTACCTTCAAGAACAAGCCGAGCTTGCTGCGATGGGCGGAGCGGGTCAAGGATGGATGTTCCCCGGAGCCTATACACAAGGAGGCAATGGACACGGCGGCCACGCCCATCGACCTAGTCATTCGCATTCGCACTCGATTGGAGGGTCTCAAACGTATCAGATGCAGCCTGGGATCGGGTTGCAGGCATCGCCAGGCGGTGGGGCTCCGGGAATGTTGGGAGACTACAGGAGAGAGTACGAGAGTCAACCGAGTTCAGCACCTTCATCCTCTCGGTCATACCTTCCTGCGTTTCCGCCCCCCGCAGCAGTGACATCGAGCCCGCATGCTGGATTTGACGGGTTCGATAATCGCGAAAGCAATATGGCGATGATGTATACTCCCCTACAGGCCGGACAATATCAGAGCGGGGTTACGGGATACGGAGCTGGACACAGCGGGCATATGAGTCATAGTGCTAGGTCGAGCTATTCGGGGCCTTATCACGGGACGCCAGGCAAGGCGCAAAATAACAATCCGTTCGCCTCGAATCATGGACCGAATCCACCGCCTACGAGCCCGAGGTATCAGAAACGAAGTGGAGGTGCTGGAGGTGGTGGTGGTGGAGGAGGAGGAGGAGGCTACGGAGCTTAAGGATTTACGTTTCGCATTTTAGACAGTATCGATTTGACGAGAAACTTACGATGCACGAAAGATTTGCTCAAGAATCTGCGGCAATGGTAGTACATATGGCATCGTCATACATCCAGACTGTTCCACAGAGCTGGTTCAAAACTTGTACTTTTCCGCCTTGTCCTTCCCACTTGACCTTCCGCTTCCTCCTGTCTCTTTACGGGCTCGTTTCTTCATTTCACCCGATACCACTTCATCGAATCCACTCCTGTCCGCGTCGGCTCCTGGTACGTGAACCTTGTTTTGAGCCGCTCGTTGAGCCTCGTATCGCTCTTTTAGCTGGGCTTGAGTCAATTCTTCGTCCGTATCAATGGCGATATCGACATCGCCGGCTTTACGCTGGACACATTAGCACTCCTGAGCGGTTATTGTGCCTTACCTTGTGCGTGCGATCATCACCCAGGACACCAACCCCGCTTTTTGAAATATTGCCCAGATCGTATCCAGTTGAACTTCCCATGAACCCTCTGACGCTCGTCTCCCGCTCAGGAACGACATGGTACAACTCCTTGGGACCCGTAGATTCTGTACCTGCCCTCGTGTTCTTCCGCAGATCGATAAAGTCCGGAGTCTCAAGTCCACCAGGCACGGTTGAGACTTGTGATTGGAAGCCTGACGGTGTAGCGAGACCAGATGGCGTTTCAGCCCCAGCTCCAGGCGCAGCAGCGGATCTCGATGATCGGTCCTCCTTCTCAGGCTCGGCTTCAGTTTCAGATTCTTCTTCGTCTTCCTCTTCCTCCTCCTCTTCCTCTTCTGCGACGTGTCAGCGGGACCAACTCTCCCTTGAGGCGCTCTTGGGCTCACCGTCCATGGCCTCGATTTCCCCCCACAGCTCCCGATTGATCTCGTTTTGGTTCTGACATCAGCCGAGTCGATGATATCATTGACTCACTGCTATCTCTGCTCCTTGCATCACTCCAAAGACGTCTCCATATAACGGTCGGTTGAAGTCGTCCATCGGCGGCTTTCCCCAGCCTCCAGGGTGGAATCCCCATTGAGCGCTGAGAGAGAGAGAGATGAGCGACATGAGGCCATACGAGGTTGGCTTACCCTGTCGGGATCGGTGCATTGAGACCACGTATACGCAGGTTGGGATAGGATGGTGGAGGTCCAAACCGTTGCATCGCAATGAGCCAAGGAGGAGGAGCGAGTGGGGGAATGGAAAGAGCTTCGATCAACTCGTCTGACAGCTCCCCGGGCTTCTTCGTCCGCAAGTCTGTCTCTAGCTCTTTGCCTTCGTAATAGCTGCGAGAGAAAGGTCAATCCAGACCTGCACTGAATGACCAACTCACGCCTCGCCAAACTTTGACATGCTGGGTTTGCCTTGGAATCGGAAAAACGCATTGTGGAGTTTGTTGTAATCGATGTCGATCTTGCCCATCTTTGGTTGGACTCGTTCTCGTGTCTTTTGCCGTAATGATTGATCGGCCTCTTTCGCCTTGACCGCGTCTCTCTGCTCCCCGATACCAGTCTCTGCAATCCAAGCTGGAGGAGAGTTAGTAAAAGCAAAGCAAATACTCGAGAGTTACTTACGCGGTAAGAGATATGGTGGCTTCTCGATACCTCTCTTTCCGGCTAGATAGTCTCGCTTTGCGTTCCAATGGACCGGCACAGGAACGGTGCTGCAAGTCAGCAGCAAACGTGATACCCAACTCACTTTCGATGGGATTTTAGACTGATCAATAGACGTGGATCTCGAGCATCGCAGTCAAACCATTCTACGACTTCTGGACGTTCGACCAGCTGCTTGAGCTCAGCAACAGTGAGTTTCTAGGAAGATCAGTACGATGCTGGCCAAGATAGAACCCACCGCCGCTTGTCGACGTTGCCGCCTAGTCATTCCCTGCTGGTCCATCGCCCTACGCGCTGCTGCCTCTCTACTTTCCTCATCCTCGTCCTCTTCGTCTGAGTAATATACTTCTCCCTTACTCGGTCCCGTCTCAATGGGTCCAAATCCGTTGGAATCGCCCTCCTGAAAATGTCGAAAGACATTGGCAAAGGAGGAGTACGCCGGGTCAGACGGGTCAATCGAGAGGTCCAGGGAAGTTGTGGAGGATGCGACCGACTGAAATCATAAGGTACCACTCTATGTGATCTGACCCACCTCTGTGTCTGATGCTCGCTCGCTTTCCGACTCTGCCTCACTTTCTGATGCACCTGACGCAGCCTTTGCTTTGGCCTTTTGCCTCCTTAGAGCTGCTCGTGATTTTGGTTTTTTCGACCCAGAAGCGACTCCGTTGGAGTGTCCATTAGGCAGACTAGAGTCTCCGTTGGGAACGGCCACGGCGGCTGGCATCGTGTATAGGCTGCTCGCTATACAACAAGCTCTGGATGCGTGCCCATCTTAAAATAATGGCATAACGAGGCGATCGGGTATCGGGATTAAAATTGAGATATCGAGGATGTGGCAGTGGGATTAGTTTATAACGTGACTGGTTTGCCACTGGCGACCGACGTACCCTTTGTTACTTGCAACATATACATCATCGTGATTGAGGAGCTTGGGAACTATAGCCACAGCGAGCTTAGAGGTAACTCCGACAGGCCGAACAGCACGCTTGAGATAGTTCTCAATTCGACAATCGATATGTCAGCATTTCAGCAAGCGCTTGCCAATGCTCAACCTCAAGCGTCTGGCTCTGGCTCCGGGTCCTCGCTCTCCATTCGTGGATCAGCTGGTGAGGGACCCTCAGCCAGGACTCTGGGGACAGCTCTGCGTCAAGCCGGTATCTCGACGCAGGCTGGGATGGAAGTGGACGGCGGCAGGGGCTCGAGAGGGAAGCGGGCTTCTGTTCATGGACGAGGACCGTTAGACCAGGTAGGTGTCGATTCAGTCCGGCGCAGGAGACGACGAGAGAGAAGCGCAGGCGTATTGGAGGGGGGGACCGATGGGAGACGGATCTGTCTGGAGCTTCGCGGGTGGTCGATTTGCATCTGAATTATCCCTGGTTATCCTTTCAGACCGCTCCCTTATGCTCTGTGGGACGAGACCTCTAGCCGTGCTACAATATGCTTACTTTGCCCCTTCAATCTCGTTCACTCGCTCCCGATTTCTACCATGTACTCCCTTCACCCTCGCCATCAGACCGGTCGCCATAGGCCTCCCAAAAATCCTTATGACAAACCTGCTCCACCGTCTGCGCATTCTGGACCAGGTCGGCCTGTCAGGGCTCGGGGCAGCACATCCTTGCCTTCAGCACCTCACAAGACCAATCTCAACAACCTGCATCCACGGCGTCAGCCCGAGGGTACACCTCCGATACTCAAGAAGCGTCAAACAAACGAGGATCGTCAAGCTCAGGCGACATCACACGCTAAATTAAACGAGAAACTCGGCAGTCAGGAGATGAAAGACTGGCTCGGGGCTAGGATGATTTCTGAGGGCGTCATGAATATGGCGGTGCGTAGTGAGAGAGGGACTGAGGTTGACATTATCAGAACCTTGGTGAAGACGCTTGGTTGAAAGAGAATGGAATCCTACCACCAGGCGCCAGGAACGCCCCTGGCAATGCCGGTGCAGTTTTCTGGCGATTGATCGATCATGTCATACAGAGGGTGAGTACGGCCTAGTCGTTGTGCTGATGCCAGGCCCGTAACATTCCCATCCATACGCTGTCGCTGGCCAACAACGACTTTCACTCCCTGCGACAGCTGGACAAGCTGCCAAACGCGCTGCCTCATTTGCGAGCACTTGATCTCAGTAATAATCCAATAGCCAAATTTACCGAGTTGGAGGTTCTGCTAGCCTCGGGGGAGAAGAAGGGCAAGGCTACGGCCGGTGCGGGAGGTTTGAAGAGCTTGATCGAGCTTAAGTTGAACGGCTGCACGTTCCGCGAGGAAGCCCTGGCCAGACCGAAAGGCGACGATACATACAAGCAGTAAGTCCAGCCGAAGTAACGCTGGCTAAGAGTCAGTGAAATTCTCCGAAGGTTTCCTGGCCTACTTATCCTCGACGGCGTCAACTTAGACCGTATAGTCTTTCCGATTTACCGCAAACCTCAGGTCCGGCGCAGCGAACAGGAGAAAGAGGATTTGCGGAAGAAGCCGTTCTCTTTTCCGATGGACGCTCAGGGTGGTTTCATCGACAACGAGATCGTCAAGACTTTCGTCATGCAGTTTTGCGCCAAGTGGGTCGATGGGTAGTGCGCCACTAAATGCCAGGTATTTCCCGACGTTCGACAACGACCGAGCCAGTATTCTGCCTGCCTATGCTCCCAACGCCACTGCCTCCGTCTCATCCAACACCCTCATCTCCCGATCGTGGCTTCAACAAAACGATGTCATGGCCACGAGATCTCAAAGACCCAAAGCGGTCGGATTTGATGCATGGACGTCACTGCCTGGACGAAACTTTTTACGTACCGCTACGAGTATAGATCAGCGGATGAAGACGCTCAAGTCGCCAATGGACTCTCAAGAATTTCTCAGGTTCTTCTCTACGGCTGTACCCAAGACAAAACACCCATTAGACGATTCTACCAAGTGGTGCATCGATGCTTGGGTACTAGGAGGTGAGGGTGTTGATACGAGATTGTGTGCGATGATCCAGGGGGAGTTCCAAGAAAGTGAGTGAGAGGCAGAATATCAGCTGATGTCAGTGCCCTCCGCGACAGTGCGATCGTTCTCGCGCACCTTCATCCTTGCCGACGCGCCTCAAGGGTCACCGTAAGTGTGAAGGCGAGACCGAGCTGACTTTTTCCAGTGCCCACTCGAACGGATGGCCAGCGACGATCCTATCTGACACCATGGTGGTTCACTCGTACATGTCGACGGGTCAATACGATGATAAGCGATCACTGGCGAAGCACGGTGTCACCATTGTGGCACCAAATCTCAGCAACAGGGATCAACTCGTGACACAAATGCGGACGCGGACGGGCATGAATGCTGAATACGCTCAAATGTGTCTGAACGAGAATGGATGGGATTTCGAGAAGGCGGTGGCCAACTTTGAAGTACTCAAGGCGACCATCCCGCCTGAGGCGTTCCAATAAAAGTGAACCCTGTCAATAGTTATAATGAATTGCATGTCCGGATGGGATGATGGGATGATGGATGTCCTGACGTCACTGAAAAAAATCGCAACAACACACTCGCGGCAATTGAAACAATAAGATCTTGAACCTACCTATCTCTCTGCGTTCATCTTCAAGTTTTACTTGTGTATAATCACTGGAGCTCATTCACCATGGCACGACCACCTTCATGTATGCAGACCCAGAATCATATCGATGCTGACAAGCTACAGCCAACGGAGACCTCCTCCTCTACGTCTTGGCCATTTTCATCCCTCCCGCCGCCGTGTGAGTGAGACATGGACATGAGCAGGTGCTGATGCTGATGCTCTCACAGCTTTGTCAAGCGAGGTGTGTATGCGGTACGATGACGTGGGTAAGAAGGACTGACATGATGCAGGATGCGGAGTTGATATTCTCATCAACATCCTTGTGAGTATCGGATACCTGTTCGCCAACGTGCGTCATAACTGATGCCGTATACAGCTTTGGATTCTCGGATGGATCCCAGGTGAGTGAATCGAAGCGCATATTTGAATAAGCTGCTCACAACGATCCAGGAACGCTTCACGCTTGGTGAGCTATCACGCCATCCTCAAACGAGCTGTTGTTGACGATACCATCAGGTGGATCATTTCCAAGTACGAGACGCCCGCCAGGGTCGGATACTAAGCGAGTAATCACCACAATGGTCGTGCCTGAGATCCTCCATTCTATGCCTCATGTATCTTGCTACGGTCATCCTCATCTGGACCGCCTGCTGCACTTCGAATATTTGTTGCCTGAAGATCATCGCCCAAATGTGGCGCAATGACGATTTCTATATGACCAAGACCTTGCCTTCACGTATGTTTAAAGCAATGCTAAATCACTCGAGCCGACCCCAGGAATGCCCATGCTCAAGCTCTGGCAGACGAAGTGAGGGTCGAGAAGTCGAGAATCTCGACGATCTGTGAGGAAGTATGAAGACCCTGGGTTGGGACATGCGTCGAAACGTGAAATTTGAGCCAATCTGGTACGCTTCGGAAGGTGACAGAGCGGCCAGAGACTACAACATTCGTATCACTCCCCTCTCTTGACAATTTGCGTGTTGCTCTGCGCCCGGCATCTATGCATGGGCGTTGTCATACCCACTGCTGGCTCGTACTTTGTGCCTCGCAGCGGAAGCAAATTTACCGCGAACGTCAAAACCGCGAATTCCTTTCTGCATTCAGCACCCTTCTCTAGACCACCATGGGGGCCTCTCAATCCAGTCAAGCTCGTCCAGAGCAGGTGGTTTCTGCTCCAGAGTCCTCTACTTCTGTCTCAGTGAGCATACCGGTGGGACACAGCTAACGCCAGTTCTCGCCGTCCCTCATTGATCGGTTGTCCTCCCCTGCCTCGTCAAAAGAGCCGTCCGAGTCTACAGATGACATTGTCAGACGACGCCTAGCGGCTGAATCCGCTCATATCCGATCGCAAGAGGCTGAGATCTTGTCCAAGATCTCTGCTGCGCTTGAAAAAGAGAACTTGGACAAGGAGAAACCAGGCATGTCAAGCGAGGTATTAGGGAGAGATATCGAGGAGGTCAGGGAGAAAGTTGAGAGGATGAAGAGGGATAGGGAGGAAAAGGAGGGTGAGGGGATCCGAAAGGCAAAGGAGGACATTTTGCGGTGCTATAGGTGCGCATGGGCCTGAGATTCAACGCTGATGGGGCAGGGAAAATGCGCAGAGACCGCTGGATTGCTGGCGTGAGGTGGAGACCTTTAAGACTGAGGTCGCCAAGTTGGAAAAGGTCAGTGAAGATGCAGAGGTCAGAGCTGACGTTTAGGCATTTGTCAAGTCGTTACAATGAACTTGAAACATGCATAGATGATAAAGGGTCATTCCTTTGAACCTTAGGCCGGTTATAAGCTGTCACAATGTTGATGAAGATCTCACCATCTCACCATCTCACCATCTTACCATCTTACCATCTCACCATGGTGGGCATCAAGTATACTGTCGGCCCAGTGGTCGTTCTCGACACTGTTCCGAGGCATGAGCACCGTCCCAGAGTCCCGGGCAATCAAGCCACTGCACTGGTTTTCCCCGCCCTGGCGGCGCTGATCCTTGTACTCATCTCAACGTTGTCAATCCCTATGATTCATGGGCTGTCGATAGTGGACGTGGACATGGGCATGAACGGCACAGTGCATTTCGGCGGATGGGGATGGTGTAGTGAGGGTGTACCGGGGAACAAGTGGGTGCAGGTGAAATCTGACTGACAACAGGGACATGTGCTCGGATCTGAGGGGGTTTGCCTCAGGCATGGCGCATCAACTCGAGCAACTCCCTGAACCTGTCAAGAGTTTGTCAGAGCTCGACAGCGTCGTGCCAAAGGCGTACCTCACTGCGCAAGGGGTCGCGGAGATCTTCAGCGTCTTGTTCGCATGGATAGCGATCAATTGCACGTTGGCTGCGTCGGGATTCTGGCAATCGAAGGAGAACATTGCTTGGAGTTGGACATCCTGGTCCTTCGCTTGGACTTTTTGGTCAGGTATCACGGGCATCATTTCGGTGAGAGAGCCCAATGGCACAGAGACTTATGGCAGTGGGGCCTGGCGTTGGGTCAAGTGACTCGATTCAAGGCTCATGCAATGAGAGTGGACGGGACAAAGGCAGAGGTCACGCCCGGGTGAGTCATGTCAATGCCTCACAGCTCATGAAAAGACCGGTCATTTGGATGATGCTTGCCGCGATCCTGCTCAACTTTCTGTCCTTCGCAGTGAGGATCGCATGGGGTAAGGATCGAGCTCGTCCTCTGTGGACAGTCAAGGGGGACAAGATCGAAGACCCCGTCGGGGACGCAACAGAGCTTCCCACATGGTAGGTCTCGAGGAAGGATCTCGGCTGAATCCGCAGGGACAGTCTCAATATCGACCCTGAGACGAAGAGAAGCTCAATTGACAAATCCATGAAAATGTAGAAATGATGATATCACCTTTGAATGTATACCCTGCCGTTCCAACGAATTGTGGAGCATTTCGGTGTCGATATCGTGCGATTCCGGAGCTGAATCGGAGTGAATCTGGAGTCAAGTCGGAGCTGACACGGAGCGATTTTTGGAATCCTCGGGAGATCATGTGGAGCATTTTGAGGTATCTTCGAAAGTGTACTTCGATAACTTCGGTAGAACCTTCGAAACATCTTCGAGAAGACACAATCGAGGGATCGTTGGGAAATGCTGGTATCATTCCCCCCACCGCTCCCTCTGCACCTCAACTTCCACGTGCACCCGCATACCACTTCACTCATCGCAAGATACATCACAGGGGATCTGCAAACACTTGCGGGGCATTGTCCACCATCCATTGTACAGACAAAGCCTTTCCAGCCATGTCTCCGAATTCTCTGCCCGGATCTGACGACCGCATAAGGGTGGCTGAGTGTCAGCGGGGGTTCGATACCCAGACTCACGTCCAAACACCACACCGAGGTTCTGACTCGTCATGAGGTTCACTGAGGCTAGCTGGGCCACCCTATTTAGATGGAGCATGAGGAGGCGAAGGGTGTTGTAGTTGTCTTTGGGGAGCTCTTTTAATAGCGCGCAGAGTGCAGAGTGCTTGTTGGAAGCGTCGCGAATGCCTGAGGTCAGCGATATTACCGGGAGTGACCTACTTGCTGCGGCCACAAAGGACTCGTGAAGGGCGTGGGTGAGAAGCGGATCAGGTAATTGGCGGAAATATGTCTTGAGCACAGATGTGGTGCTGGAGATATCGTTGAATGCTTCAATGTCGGCGAGGTCAAATGCGTCGTAGTCACCGCGCTCAAATAGTTGTGTGATCTGTTTAGATTGGGATGAGCCACCCGTCTTCCGATAGATTCCCTCGTATTCCATGCCTGAGGTCAGTAGAATCGGGATGCGTGCACTTACCGACCACCTCGACCGCTGCGATGCACTTGGTGACAATGACTGGAACTGGGAGCTTGTCCGCTGCGGTTTGCTCGGCGAGGTCGCGGCCAAACATAGATGGCGCTGCGGTCAGCGGGGCAGGAAGAGTAGACGCACGCATCGGCCCATCGAGCACTTCTTGCCGGCCAGAACAGGATTTAGGTAGCTTTTCCGCACACTTGCTGTGGCATACCATGCCGCAAGCTGAGGTGAGCAAAGTCAACGCGCGGACGCACCTGCACAACGAACTTCCTGGAGGCCCCACATCTTCTCCTGACACAGGTCACACCGGGTGAACCGCATCGTCGAGTGCTGCTGGAAGGCGTGATCGCGGAGACCGATCTCAGTAGGCGGACGCCGGGGTAGAAGAGGTCGGGATATGCTTGCCGAGCCGACCGATATGTCTGGACCTTTGGACGATTTATACCATTTGAAGCGACGCGCAGGGGCAGCTTCAACCTCGGGTTTGGTGACCTTGATCACTCGTGCAGTCTCCTCGGGCACCTCGTGTAGGGTGGCTGATGTGGCGAGACTGGACATGGAGGGTGAGCCGGAAGGATGGCGACCTTTGAAGATGGTCGGTCGGGAGCGAGCGAGGGTGTCCTGTAGTTGTTCAGCCTGACGAGAGAGCTGAGCGTTGAGTTCGGCTAGCTCCTCGTTCTTGGCTGCGAGGGCGGCGGATTCTTCCAGGAATTGCTCGCGGGTCTCTCGCAGCTCGGCAATTTCACGTTGCAGAGCCTCACGTTGTGCCGTGAGGGGTTCGAGCTCTTCACGGTACTGCTCTTTGATCGTGTCGAGGCGGCTCGTGAGCGCCGTTGCGGGATCGGACGCGTCACCAGCGGATTTCTCTAGCTCCTCAACCTCGGCCAGAGTCATATCGCGTTGTGCACGCAGTCGACTGATGTCGCGTTCCAGGCCAGTGAGACTCACAGCGAGGTCGTTGGACCGCCGCCGCATGTTCTCTTGACGTCGTTCATCACCGGAGATGACACTTAGTCGTGCCGTTTGTGAGTGGACCTGTGCTCGGAGACGTGACACTTCGGCTTCCAGTTCCCGGCGATGAGCAACTTCCTTGTCGTACTCCTCGCCAGCGACCGTCAGACCTTCGCTGTATTGTTGGGAGGTGCGCTGGTATCAGCAGGGTTGATGTAGTGGCTCACCTTGACACCGGAGTATTTTGTTTTCAACGATACCAGGGCCTCTTTGAGGTCCTCGATCTCCGAAATGATGCCTGTGAGCAGTGAGAGGTCCACCGATAAGGTCTCTTGCTGCTCGTGCTTGGCAGTGGCTACCATTTCAACTATGGAAGAGAATGCTCCAGCTTCAAGGCGAGAGAGGGAGACTGTGGACTCGGCAGAGGGCTGACGAGTGCGTATGAGGAGTGGAGTTGAGCCGGCGTTGGGTGAGAGGCGGGTAGGGGATGGAGGGGATTCACGTTGGTCTATAGTGTTGAGGATGAGGGCAAAGTCGGGGTCGGAGAGACTGAAACTCATGTGGGGGATATTCGGCGGATGCAGCTGAGGTGTGTCTTTGGGTTGAGGCGTTTCTTTGGGCGGGGTAGTCTCTTTGGGTGGGGGCTCGGGAGCTTCGGTGAAGGACGAGCGAAGAGGAGAGGAGCGAGGCTCGGCAGCAAAGGTGGAGTTTGCAGAGTCCATATTGAAGTTCATGGCAGGGTTGATGGATCGACGTTTCTCGGCTTTGCTCATGGGCACGCCCAGACTGACGCCTAGGCCGACATTTCGGGGAGAAGCAGGCCGAGGGGATGGACTGCCTCGATCGGAGCGGACGGATTCGGCGGGGGTTGAAGGGATAGGTCGATCCACACTGGGTTCACGGGATCGGGGCTCGCCATCTGTAAAACGGGGTGAAGGTTCCATCAAGGGAGAGGGGCTCGGTGGGGGATCAGGAATGGGAGAAGGGACGTGGGTTGTTGATCCGTTTAATGCAGCGACTGTTCGAGCTCTCGCTTCGTCCTGGTTCTCCTTGTCCCTGCGCTCAGCTTCTTCACGTTCTTTATCTTTACGAGCTGCTCGTTGGCGACGAGCTTCAGCATGACGGCGAGAACGGGCCACGCGCTCATTGTGGCACGCCTGCGTCAGCAATCGTCAGCGGACGGGCGAGGCAGGGAGCGAGCTTGAATGGGAAGATCACTCACCATACAATAGATCCCCTGTGATGTCTTTGCAAAGACTAGCTCTTCTATGCGTCGCTTGCACGTCCGACAAGTGAAGCATTGGGCGTGATAGCTCTCGTCGCCGGTCATGATTGCTTCTTCCGTAATGGATTGTTTGCACACATAGCACTGAGAGTGTTAGCAGAGTGAAGCGGAGCCTTGCGACAAAGCTGGTAGCACTAATCAGGGAGGGGGTTCCCCAGCAGGCAGCCGTCCTGGTCATAGCATCCGCAGAGTACAGCATGAACCTGCGACAGCCTGTCGAGCTCATTTGTCCTCCGTCTCGCGCTGCTTCGCTGTCGCTCGCCAGCACTCTTACTCACGTTGTACGAACACTTTCCACACACCGGACTCCCATCAGACAACAGCAACAAGTTCGTATCCGCCGACACCTTGTCCTGGCACTTGGCACACCGGAAGCAGTCCACATGCCATAATGAATTGCTAGAAATTCAGTCCAGACCCACAGGCTTTGTAGCCCACCCGAAAGCGACGACCACTCCTCCGTTCTCCTGATCGATGACCTTTGTACATCCTCCACACTTTACATCCATCTCACCGAGATTCGGCATTGATTCCGTGGTGTTCGTCTGAGCATCTGTCAAAGGCGCTGGACGGAGGACAGATGGCGCAGACGACGATGCTGTTGGCGAGTGCATCGTGCAGAAGAGTGACAAAGATAGACAGAGATGGAGGAGGAGGAGGAGGAGGAGGATTGTGCATAAAGGAAAGGGTTTTGACGCGGCGCGTCCTTTTTGTGGCAAAAACAGAAAAAAACAACCATACAAGCGACCGAATGGACTGGACTACAATTCCACCTTCCATCCGTCTGCGACAGGATTCCCTTTGACAACGTATTGATGCGCCGTGACATCTCCAGAGATGGTGGCGGTGGACTGGAGACCAAGTTCAGGCCAGGCGACGACGGTGAGCTGGTCAGTTTCAAATGTCGTGTGGATAGATAACGAGTCGTTCTCCATAGATACGGTCACACCTGCCAATGTGGCAAATTTATCCATCATGCCGAGGACGGCAATATGCTTCCCACCGACGTGCCAGATCTTGGCAACGATGATTTCTTCGGCGTGGTCTTTGTCGAGACTGATGGGCAGACTACCTTTCCAGCCCTTTGTGGCAATCTTCATGGTGGGTTTGGAAGAGAGTCCGACGGACCATAGGACGTGGTCGGATTCGAGAGGACCACCGAGGACATCTTCGACGTCACGGAGACCAATGGCGTCGATAGCTTTGCCTCCTTTCTCATGATCACGCGAGTTCCATGCACCGATCAGAGCGCCATGGGCAGAGGGGACGGCCACTCCGGCGACGATAGCGGGACCGTCGCCGTGAGCGGCACGGACATTGTCCCAGAACCATCGATTGGGCAGGAGAGCGGCAGCAGTGGATGTTTTGACGGATTTGATGCTCCCGTCGGAAGTCTTAGAGATGATCTTGCGTTTGATGGCTTCGTCAGGAACGTCACCTGGTAGGTCGGAGATGAGGATCGGGCCAGTGGACATGCTTCGGAGAAGAGCGTGGTACACCGGGAGGTGATCCGCGGGGGTAGAGGCAAACATATCAAAGTCGAGACGGAATGAGAGGTGATTGTGGAGGATTGCAGAGTACAAGTTCCAGTAAGGGAACTCGACATGCTTGTTGGGAAATCCAATGTTGTAATCGTCAGAGTTTCGGAAGACTAGCTCGCCAGCGGGTCGATCAAAGTCGAGGCCGCCCGGGCCATTGAGCATGCGCTCATTGTGAGACATGCACATGATGACGCGGTCGACTGAACCGAAGATTTCGACGACGGCTTCGAGCATTCCACGCCACATGGCTTGGGCAGCGGCGATACAGCCAGCACCGGTGAACATATCGTAGCCGGCTTGATTGTCGATCTGATCGAAGAGAAGTCAAGTCAGCACCAGTACGCGGATGTCAGACGGAGCGAGTATAAGGAAAACAGATGAAGCCACAGCGAAGCGGATCTTTTGCCGTGAGGCCTCGGGATATCATTGTTCCGGCTCGCTCGCTCGCTGCGCTCGCTTGTGTGTCAGGACTTACCTTGACAAAGTCAATCCCCTGCGACTTGAGCTTTGTGAACCAGTCCAGCCAGAACTGCTTCGCCTTGTCCGGCCTAGGCACGTAGAGATACCTTGGCTCGTCTGTGGTCTCTGGATCCAATGGACCAGTTTGGACACCATTACCGTCTTTGAATTGAACACAGTTGTACGTCTTCATGAGCTCCGACTTTGGATCGATTGAGAACCAATAGCCCTGGAGGGTCATCCAGACGCCGACTTTGGTATCGGTTTTTGACTTGATAGCATTGACCACTTCGTCCATGGTACCTCCGAAACCTGACCAAGTGCCAAAGGAGTGGAGTCGACGGGGACTCCAGTTATCCCCATCCTTGTCATACCGGATATCCTGCCATCCGTCGTCGATGAGGAACGTGCTGATGGGATCAGAGGGGATGAGATTCATGAGAATGTCTTTGCTTGCTCGGAATTGACCTGAGTAGGTGAGCGAAGAACGGAATGGTACCTACCGGTCTTCTCTCCGACGGTTTTGATCGCTTCCCAAGAGCAGATACCTACGCCGTCCCAGAAGCCGCCATAATGGGGTTCAGGCTTGGGACGACCGCCGACAAGTTTCCGAGCTTGCTCTACGGCAGTTTTGACAATGTCGTTCTCCTCCCATCCACTAGCTCGGACACAGACTACGTATGCAGTATCTTCTCGATCTAAAGCTTCACGGCGAAGATTTGCGTGAATCACACCGTCCACCACTTTGAGATTTGCCATGATGGCGGACGTGCCCACGGGGTAGAGCGCGAGGGTGGAATCGGCTGTTTTGAGGAGAATGAGGGATGCAGCATTGTCGGGGTGAGATGAGAGCTTTTCGAAGAGATTTGCTTCGATCCAGGTGGCCCTGGGAGTCAGCAGGGTCAAGCCCAGGCTCACTTTGTGCGAATCCAAGAGAGTGTCTTCCAGTCTTTGGACCCGGAGAGCTCGTTCCAGTTGACCGGGGAGCGTAGGAAGTCTTGACCCGGGGAGAGGGTGAAGGAGTTGACGTTGGTGAGCATTTTAGAGCTGAACTGAGGGAGGGACAGACGATCACAGCGATACAGCGTCTTCACTATGACGGACTCTACACCTGTTGTTGTTGTTGCCCCGAGATCTTCTGGAGGATGCTGACATGGTATTTCCGGTTAATTTTTCTGTATGCGGCTCCCGGTTGAATTCAAAGGAGACGGGAATTCGGTAGACGGGAATTTTAAAGCGAGTCAAGGTGGGGGTTCTTCCGATATGCCATCTGAGTGTCTGGTCAGGCCGCGTAGCGAGAGCGTGTGCAAGCGTCGACGCAGACTCAAATCCTCCTCAGACGTCTGTCCGATGACTGGCGCGCGACACCAAGAGCGATGGGCACGATGACTACATGGGACATTGCCGACAGCGCTGTATTGCCGGTCAGCGAGCGAAGCGAGACGACTGACCGAGGCAATGGAGGGATCGCCCACTCATTTCGGTTCATTCTATCGCTGAAGGGCTCCTGCTGATCTGAGAAAATATCCGCTGGACAGATAGCACCTGTCAAGGCGAGAGCGGACCGGATGAGCGGGGACATCAGGTCATCGACCATGGCACGAAGTACGGTGTGGTGTTCCAGGGTGTGGACGAGGTCAGCTTGACTGTGCAGCGAGGGCATGAAGCTCAGGATCGCTCGATGTAATGCTCGATATTCGTCAGGCGCCGGGCTGCTCACTACTCAAACGGGAGTTGTTCGGACAGGTGGGCGAAGTGAGACGAGGACAACCGCATGGTGGCCGAGCGCTGAGACCTCGCTCGTATCTCTGTGCACATAATCAGAGTCGGAGATGAATTGTTTGGGCAGGTGGACCTCACCTGAGTCACCCAGAGAAAGGGGCGGAATAACGATGGAGAACTGGACGAGGTCTGCTCCGCAGCAAGTCTCGATGCCGCTGGCGTTCTAGCGTGGTTCTCGAGTCTCCTAGATGCTGACTACTATGCTGAGCCGCCTCGCCTCAGATGATGTGGGCGTGATGATGTGCCTGCCTCCTAGTCAATTTGTAGTCAGCAGATGTATATCAGTCTCAGGGTATCGGCACTCGAACATGGCTTGGTTCCATGCCTTCATCGTCAGAAGGCTTAACAGAGGATATGCACGCGGTATACAACACAATGTGACATTACGACGGGGTATGATTGAGCCAGCGCCGACTTCTCAGTCTGGACAGACGACGAGACCAAAGCAGCACTCTTCGCTCGGATCCGGAGGCGATTCAAGTTTCCCAGGTTGGCATTCGGAGCGTGGATTTGGGGTATCGACCGGGTGATCGATAGTGGGAGCCATCCGGACGGAGCTCCAGGGTGAATTTGGAGAGGTGACATGACTGGACGGGGTCACGTTGGTGTGACTGGTATGGACAAGAGTGTCCGCCGACGAGTAGTTCGTATATGGTGGGTAGCGTGTACCCAGCTGAGTGAGAGCGTCTCTTGCGGCATCCAGTCTGCGTTGTGCGTTCATCAAATCCCTCTGAGATTCCTCCAATGCGCTGACAAAGTTCGCATACATGGATCTGAGTTGGGATGCTTCGTCCTGGAGCACAGCGTTGACATGTCGCAAGCGGGCATTTTCCTCCTCCAAATCGCGCTGGTCGTTCAGTCAGGTTCGGGTTGTCGGCTCACCGTATGAGCAGCTTTCCGAGCTCGGTAGTCTCTCTGCTGGGTCCTGGCCCTAGTCGGCGGAAGCTTGAGATCTATGGCTCGACCTCGAGCCATGGTGAGATATAGAACAACAAAAGAAGAATTGTATGCCAAGAATTATCTGCCACGTGGAAATTTTAATGCATTTGTTTTACCAGTTCTGGGTATGTCTCCCGCCATGCCTTGATACCTCCTACAAGGACATACGCTGTGGTGCCCGGGGCGTGGTCTTGGAACCAAGAGGCGCAGCGAGGTCCCCGGCCACGAGAGCTGGAGCAGTGGAAGATGACTCGGGGTATGCTGAGCGGTCGACGGGATTTAGCGCGGACTAGGCAGGGCAGTGGATAAGCCAACCTTTTGAGTAGCGGATGAAGCACAGGGAGGGTCTGATGGAAGCTCTGAGCGGGAATGTTGATGGCACAGGGGTGGATCACTGCCTCGGCCTCCTAATCTGTCAGCAGAGTACGATTTGTCGCTCACATCGAGGTCGGTCCGCCTGACGTCGATAACGATAAAGTCGCGGCCGGGTAGAACATTTGGGTCATCCATGAAAGCTTTCAGCTCGGTGACGGATATCTCGAGGGGCTGAGACACCGGCTGGGGCAGGTCAGCGTGCCATGGCGTGGAGTTGGACATGGTACAAGAGTCGATGCATACAAGAGAGCTCTGGACATGGTGCCTGAATTTGATTTTTCAATGCATCTATCTATATCTATCACACGTGGCACACCGACAGGTTGATTTCTGAGCCCTTTTCGCTCCAGCTTAGGCGCGATTTGAACAGCAGCGACACGTAGCTGAGGGCGAGGAGGACCGGAACCTCAACGAGAGGGCCGATGGTAGCGGCCAGCGCTTGGTCTGATTCCACACCGTACACCGCGATGCAGACGGCAATGGCGAGTTCGAAACTGGGATAAGCGAAGTCTTAAGGATAGCACTCACTTGTTGGATCCTGCGGTGAATGCCTGCACGACGGCCATTTCATAGCCGTACTTTTCGGCACCGCCTTTGCGCCTGGACAGCCAGTAGATAAGGAAGAAGGTCCCAGCCCACATGATCACGAAATAGCAGATCATCGGGACGAAGACGCGGAAGACGTCGCCAATGTTGTCGATGATGCGGTTGGCTTGCTCGGCAAATATGAGAATGATACTGGAGTCAGCGGGGAAAGTGAGCTTGCTTACGTGTAGAGGAGCCCAACCAGCGCCAGAGGTCCAAAATAGGGCAGGAACTTGGTCTCAAAGTTGGTCCGACCGATCATCTTCATGACGAGGAAGCGGGTCAGGATGCCCGCCGCGAGGGGAATACCGAGGTAGATGAGTACAGCGATGGCCGTCGGGCCGTATTCCAGCCGGAAGGTCTTCTCTCCAGAGATCACATTAATGAAGAAGAGAGACATGGGGGAGTAGAGGATGATCTGGAGGACAGAATTGATGATAACGAGGATGGCACAATAATCGTGATCGCCGTGGGCCAGTTGATTCCAGATCATCACCATTGCGATGCAGCGCGCCAGACCGACCATGATGACGCCGATGCGATAGGTAGGGAGATCAGGAAGTGTGGCCCAGGCGACACCGAGCATGACCTGGCGTCAGTTGGGGGATTCACACCGGGCTCACGAATGGTCCGATGATCCAGTTGAGGACGATGGAGATGAGGATTTGGCGGTAGATATGGACCATGCGGAAGAGGGTTGGAAGGCGTTCATATTGGACTAGAGTGAGTCAAGAACTGTGAGAGCCTCACCTTTCGTGAGAATCGGCCACATCATGACGAGTAAACCGATCACGATGGCTAAGGGGTCAGCGGGAGTCTAGAGGGTGACTAACGTATTGATACGCCATTGAGGGTGGTACCTGTGAGCACGGCTTGGACGTTGTTGGCGTAGTGTCCTGGAGTCAGGGTGGGTCTGACGGAGGACATACCTATTATCACGCCGAGAATCATGGCTATTAGGACGAAAAGAGCCAGGAAGCGGTCCAGCCAGGAGAGGCCGAGGAGGAGGGAGCCTAGGGTTCAGCCGGGCTGAATGGCATCACTCACGGGCCATCCGCGGCTGAGCGGCGGTTTCATGGTTTTCTGGCTCGTTGGCGAGACCTGATGCGCTGTCTAAGCGCTTTGAGGGCGTTCGAATTGACATAATAATTGGGATGGCGGCAAGAATGCAGGCATGATCATTTTGTTTTTAAAGGAGATCATCGTTCAGACAAAATCAAATTCAGGGAAATTTTTAATCTGATTATCGGATAAAGATCAGTGGAGCATCGGGTGGCACGACGGAGTTTGAGCAAGTAGGCCTTGTAGCTGACCAGGACTCCTCGCGGCACATTCCATGGACATCATATCTGATCTTGAACAGAGCATGGTACTTGGGTATCGTACCAGTCAGAGTCTCTGTCTGAAGCCTCTGTCTCAGACTTCTTCGTAGCATGCAAACCCGACCGGGCGTGACACTTGAAGATACAGACGTTCCGCAACCTGGTCGACTGCCGACAACGTGAAAACAACTTTCATGTGTTTCTTGCTATTGTCGCTTGCCTCACCTATAGCTGGTGTTGCACTGCGCATTACTGCCACGTCTCCACAGAGCCTATAAGGGCCTTCAAAGGCTCGCGATGGATCTACCTCGTGCATCACAGACGCCTACACGTATTAGGGACTGACTTGTCCGGCCTGAGGGTGCTACACGGGCAGAGTTCTCCTGAGGTAGGATGTCGGACCTGCTGGCTTATACAATTCAACTTCGCATTCTGATGATTAACCAAGGAACAAGCTGCTGGTGTCGTAGGAGTGCAGCAGAACACTGCAAGGATCTGGTTCCATACCTAACCATTATTTAATGCTAGACTTCCGCGGGCACTCGAGCTTCGAGGTTGAGGTGAAGATTGAGGTGCTATGGATGCACGCGGATTTTCACGCTGTGTGGAGCTCATTGGCACATTTCTAAATTGTACAAATGGAGTGAGAGAGAGAGAGAGAGCTGCATTGGGTCGGATGCCGTCGGGTTGACTAACGTGTCCGAGCTGGCAAGCATGCATTCATTGAGACATGGCTCCTAATATCAGTCCTTTTCCGACTTTTGTGGAGGCTGGGATTTGATAGTCTAAATCTCCTGGATGGGCGTATCATCAGAGATCTTAAACGAGCCATGAAATCTGAATCCGATCGGATGCCCCCTCGTCACTTCCCCGACCACCGTAGTTGTGGTCGATACGACATCCATCTAACAGAACCGAGGGGAGCAACTGGAAACAGTAAGTAGGTGAGGTCTAAAAGGCGAGTAGCCCTGGCACTGGCTATTTGCGAATCCTTCCGTAAAATGAAGAGACTCCCTCAGCTGGCCTGTAGAGGCGATAGGAGTTACAATAGGCTGACGAGATGCTACGTTTATCATCAGCGTCGTGGAAAGGCTAGATTGATGATGAGAAGAATCTGCAATCCAGCCAGACGTTTGTTCATTATTGTTCTCATCGGATACCTCATCTACCTGCACAGTTGAACAATACCTTGATGCCAGAAGTCGAACACTCCGGACGAATGGCGCTAGATATGTCCTACTAGCCTGGTCCTATCCATATCTGTAACAGTCATCTCGCTGTTCGCTGTGTTGAGTGCTCCACTGTCGCAAGAGATTACATGAGGATGTCCTGGCTCCCCACAGTCACACCGCCACTCCCACGTCATGTCCAAACCGCCACACTCGCGCCCGGCGCCACCCGCCACTTTCGACCTCTCCCCTTTAGCCCCTTGAATTCTAGGCCTTGCTGTTCGTATTGTTCCCATCAGACAATGGCGACGGGACCTCTCCTCGTCGTCGTCGACGACTTGAGCGACGGCCATGAGAGAAGAGAAGAGGTTGCAGCGAGGAGCAGCGAGGAGCAGCAAGGTAGCAGCCGAAAAGGAGTGTAGCCTATCTTAGTCGTGCAGCTCGTCGCGGTCCTAGAGGTTCTGTCCACTCTTGATTGACGCGTCCCATACATGTACACAATGTTCCACAGCATGCATCTCCATACCTAAAATTCATTCGTCCATCTCGTCTTCAGCTTTCATCATCACTTCAACCCTGCTCCTCATCGTTCATACTTTGCTACCGCGTGTTGTGCGGGAAGACTTTATTTTCCGTTTTAATAAAAGCCTCTACGCGTCTTGGCTTTCAAAGTCACATTTCAACCTTGACCTGTTTTCTGGCTTGTGGATTGGATCACGAGGACGGCGTCAGGGACGTCTGCGAAGGTGGTGGCAACGACGACGACAGTGAAGACAGAACGACCTTCGACGCATGGACCCGTACTTTTCCAAGACGCCTCATCCAAGTAAGGACCCCCCTTTACCCCCTTTGTGTCTGCTCACCTCCCATAGCATGTCCACAACTCAAATCTACCATCGATCTAACATGTCTACGGGATCCATCTCGCGCAAGCGAGTCGGCTCCATGTCACAACGCGGCGACACGCCGCTGACACCGCTCGACATTCAGTCCATCCAGATGCCATCCAACCCGTGAGTTTACGCCATGTTCCCCGCTCACGCTTAGTCAAAACGCTCTCGCACTCAAGACCGCCGCTCTGTCCTCCACCAAATCACTGTACCAAACATGTTCTCATCTCCGCAAACGCCTACGCTGTGTTGAAGACTTCTCCCCATTCCTAGGTAAGCTATCCATGATTCCTCGCTAAAAGCTCAGACCAGCCATCATCCGCGGAGCACCTTGATGTCGTCTCCCACATGGTCCACCTCTTCCGTCTCGGTTCCCCCCTGTGTCATCTGTACAACCTCCTCATCCCTACATTTCCCGACGCCCAACCCATCCCATACGCCTTTCCCGACTTCATGCAATGCCCCGAGGGTATTCGAAATTGGGCCAAACGGCATGAAAACGCAAAGCAATGTCAGAAATACATTGCCATGTTTTGCATGGCCATGAACAAGCGGCAAGACGGTTTCGGCGAGATATGGGCGCTCCATGAGCTTTGGGGAAAGAGTTCTGGTGACGAGATCGAAGCCTACGACTCCACTGGCCTGATGAAAGTCCTTCACACCGTTGAGGCGATGCTCGATCGTCTCCCACAATCCGCCATGTCGCCGCTGTCTCCCGCCACTCCGTATACCCCACACATCTCCCGTTACGACCTGCCCTTCTCCATGGGTGGCAGTGGCTCCGGCATGAGCGCGATAGAGACCATGGCGGCGACGATGAACGGCGGCGTCCATATTGGAGGTGGCGAGGCGATGTCCCGAGGCTTGTCCAAATCGTCTGCCGATTCTAACGCATTCAAATCAGTTGAAGAACTTGTTGCATCAGAAAAGAGCTACGTACAGGAGCTGGAGATCCTCGTTCGGTACTCGACAGAATGTGTCGCGAGGCAGATTATCTCCACAGACGCGAATCACGCAATCTTCTCCAATCTCTCCAAGATCCTCGACTTTCATGTGAGTCGCAGAAGTGATGTAGCTGATGATCAGCGCAAATTCCTGATCAAACTGGAGACTGAATATGAACCGATTCAAGAGGGCAGGACGTGGGCCGAAGGGCGCTGGGGCAGACCATTCGTGTCGAGCGAATCAGAGTTTGACTGCTATGGGCCGTATTGCGCCAACTATCTCGACGCGATATCGATTGTCAATGAGCAGATGCCAAATTTGCTGGTGAGTCCATGAGCGCGGCGAGTGAGGCGTTGCAGCACGGTCTTCGTCTTCTGTGACCGCATGGCCGCAAACACCGGACGATCGCGCACCGCGCCTCGCGCCCCGCTGATACCCCGCAGCGTGGCCAAGACCTCCCCTCGTCCCAACGCCCCTGTCTCCACCCCGAAACCGAACTTCAAGCCTTCATGATCAAACCCATCCAACGTATAACCAAATATGGCCTCCTCCTCGACGTGAGCTCCTCCATAGTTCCCCGCTGACCCCAGGCCGTCCTCCATGCTACGAAGAAACACGACTACGCCTACCGCTTCGAACTCGAAGAAGGCGCGGCGGCCGTGCGCCGAATCGCCGCGTCCATCAATGAAGTCACCGACTACAAGGCCAAACAAGCCACTGTCCGTGAGCTTCTTGACCGCGTGGAAGATTGGAAAGGGCACGAATTGGATAAATTCGGCGATCTCTGGCTCGACGACCACTTTACCGTCACCAAGGCCGACTCGCCCCGCGAATACCACGTCTTCCTCTTCGACAAGATGCTCCTCTGCTGCAAAGAGATCATCCCTGAGCGCAAAAAGTCAACCAAAAACTCGAGCATGCTGCGCAAAGACAAGACAGCCAGCAAAGTTAGCATTCCCGTGCGCAAACTCGCCCTCAAAGGCCGGATATTTGTCTCCAACATCAACCGTGCCACCTTGGAGGATTCTCGCCTAACCATTGCCTGGACTGTACCTCATCGCGATCCCAACGGCTGGCACGACGAGGTCGAAGACATGTTCGTCATGACAGGCAAGAGCGACGATCAGCTCAAAAAATGGGCAGATAAAGTCATGGAGCTTGCCAACATCGAACGCAAGCGACAAGAGGAGATCCGCTCACATAGCATGCGTCTGAGTCAACAGTCCCAATTCGAGCCCCGCACGCCAGCCTCAGAAACCGGACATGACGGTCGTCGGGTCCAATCTCACTCCATCTCCCGCGGATCCTTCCCTGAGCCTCGCGCGAGAGCTCTCACCGAAGACCAATTCGGCCCTAACGTCAGTCAATGGCGCGCTCAACCGCCAATGCCTCGACTTATGTCCACTTCGTCCGACGTCATGCCCCGACCCACCCGCCAAAGCTCGCGGAATGAGGTCGACATGCGCTATGCTCCCTCGCGCGGTATGCCTCGCGACGCCATGCGATCTCGGTCCGCCTCACAACCGCACATACACCCTCTTAACACGGACCTTCCGCCAGTCCCTAGTTGGCAGGACCCTGCATCATCCTCGTCCACCCTCGTTGGGCGGCAGAGCGATAAGCGGTCGTCAGGGGATAGTCAATCGACAGAGACGAGCGAGAGTAGTCATAGCCCAGTGACTCCGTATGGGATGGGGTCCATCTTGGTGCGAGTGAAGTGTGGTGCGGTGAGTCTGCGGCCGTGGAAATTCTACATTGTATGCGCTGACGGTATGTCCCCTTCCTCTCTATGTGCTTGACTGGCTCTACTTGCTCGGATGCTGTCTCATCGCTCCGCCTCTCCTCGACCCGCTGCGCTCGACTCGCTCACTCATAGGACACCTACCACGTCTCCGTCCCCCTATCACTCCCTTTCTCCGATTTCTACGCCAAGGTGCACAAGAAAATCCGCATGTGCCGGGGCATATCTGACCACTTTTTGATCAAATGGATTGATCTAGACGGTGACGAAGTGACGATCAAATGTGATGCCGATGTCGAGGGAATGCTTGACGATGTGAGAGATAGTGGTGAACCCTGTGTCAACATTGTGATCAGATAGAACTTGTATCCATGAATTATCATAGGTTGGGTTGGATGGGTCGACGTCGCAGTCGAACAGGTCGGGGCGTATTTATACTAGTCTCGGGTCCATTATCGAGTGTCTTCTTCACGCCCTCACTCGCACTCCCCTTCCACATTTCGACTTCCTTCCTCTGCACCACCTTAACCTTGTACGCAAAGATCCACAGTAGAGCACCCTCGGTGATTGCCACCACGACCGCTGCGAAGACGCCCAGCAAGACGCCCGTCTCCCGCTTGTACCCTGCTCCCGTGATCGCGGCCATGTACACAGCGACACCTGCTCCAACCACAGAGAACAGCACGTTCAACGCCGTGGTAATCTGTTTTGACAGGGCCTTGTAACCCCCCGAGAGCGATTCCCTCGGGCTCAAATAAGACGGCAGGAAAGCGTCCGCCTGATGTCAGCAACGTCAACTAGTGGGACCCACCTTGCCTGACTGCTGAGCCGATTTGAGAAACGCAGCCCGCTCAGGCGTTACAAACACCTCGGTCCCTGCGAAGAGGCTGACAAGAGAATAATCCTCGGAGTCTGCTGCCATCAGCACGGTCCTTCCGGGGGTCCTCACTCGACATATGTTCCCTAGCCCACTTGGACAGCCTCAGCAGCGCATCCTCAGGCACAACCTCCCCTCTGAGCTCCTCTCTCAGCACTTCGGGCAACCCATCCGCCGCCCTGTCAATCTTCTCCCTCAAGTGCACCGGTACCGTGATCAAGGTCTCCATGATATGTCAAAATTCAAACCATTGTTTTTTTCTACACATGACTACACTCTACCATGTCCGACCATGATGGCGGCGACGCCGATCCCGCGAGGGTCATTGACGAGCACACGGATATGACGACTCTGACGGATCAAGAGATCATGCGTCTAACTGAATCCATGGGACAGGAGGACGTCACGTCGCGGGTGAGATACCATGTCTGAACAACGCTCACTCCAGCCCCTCATCAGCGCACCCGTGCCGCTCAGCGTCATTCGCGACGAGTACAAGAACGGCTCATCCACCGTCCTCAAGAAGATTGACTGGCTACAAGCCAACGGATGGGATCAGGTGTGGAGGGCCCGAGGAGATGGCGACTGCTTCTACCGATGCAAGTAAATACGGATAGCACCCACTGACCTTCATCAGCCTTCACCATTGCGTACTTTCTCCGCATACTCCATTCATCCGAGCCTCAGCTCCAGGCCAACCTCGCCTTCGACGCTGTTCAACGCGCTCTCCCTGCCATGCAGCAGGTCGGATTTGACCCAGATCTCGTGAGTGCGTGCCTCGCCGTTCCCGGCTGAATCCAGTACGAGGAATTCCTCGAACCCCTGCTCGTCCTCCTCCGCGGCTTTGATGCCGACACGCCGACCGAATGGACCCTCATTCAACAGCTACAAGACGCCGAGCGCAGCAACTGTATCGTCGTTGCCCTCCGCCTGGTCACCTCTGCCTACATTCGCACGCACGAAGACGTCTTCTCCCCCTTTCTTCTCTCGCCAACGACTTTTCTCCCGCTGACCACGGACGATTTCTGCCGCCAAGAGGTCGAACCGTGTGGGAAAGAAGCAGACCACGCTCAAATCATGGCGCTCTCCGAAGCCCTCCACATGGGCGTCCGCATCGCCTACCTCGACCGAAGCGAGGTCCAAGACATCAATTGGGTGTCATTCGGGCCAGAGACTGAGGACCCCCTGACTCTGTTGTATAGACCTGGACATTACGATGTTGTGACAAAGGATCACCTCCTTGCATGATCAAGTGTACCTCTTAGCTGCCGAGCCAGATCACTCCCGCGCATGCGTCGGCGCCTAAGATCAGCGCGGCCTTGAATACTACCTACCTGGATGCAGCCCTCGAGGCCGTCTTCTCCTTCCATATCCCGAGCACCTCGCCTGACGTCAGTACTGAACCCGTGTCGACCCACTCAGCAGCCTCTGCTCCTGTGGCACCATCACACTCTTCTCCATCTGTCTCGTCTCCAGCGCCTGCCGCCATTTGCTTATCGCCGCTTTCAGTACCCGTCGCTTGGTGAATGCGATGAGAGGCAGGTTCTGCGGTCAGCGAGGTTGCAGTGGCGACCCACCGTCGACTTGACGACCCATCGATCCCACACCGCAAACATCAGCCCATCCTCCACAATCTCCTCCACGCGCCGAGCCATCGGCTCCAAGCGGCGCTCCTTGAGTCTCCCCCGCCAGGTCGCAAAAGCGTTCATGATTATCCTGTCGCTTTGCTCAAGGGCCGAGCGCTCTGCCCTTGTGCGCAGATCCCTCGCCCTGACGGCTTGCTCAGACCACAGTCGTATCACCCTCCTCGCAAGATCTACAGTCAGCTCGTTCACATCCGGGCTCACCCTCATCCCTGACCTCCAGTGCGCTTGCGAGGAGTATTTTTCGACTCCTTACCCGAGCCAACGCTGCCTTCCACCGTGCCATGGTGTCGCTTCCGTCAGCCACGTTTGAGCTATGCCTCACCGCTTGAGCTTTCTGCGCCCCTGGGCTACCGCCTCTCGCTCTTTGGATTTGATGCCCACTACGCGACCTGCCCAGTGATTTAAAGTGCGCTTCATGATGACCTGCCGTCAGCAACGCTGTTGTCCTCGCTCACCTTTGATTGTTCTTGCTCAAATTCCTCGAGCTGGCCTTGAAGCCTCCGCTGACGCTCCGTCGCATCCCGCCATACTGCCGTCAGCGTAGTCTTCGTCACGCTCACCTCTAAAGCAGTCTTTGAGCACTCTCGACCTGGCCAATTCCGCGGCCTTTGCCAAGCGTCTCTTTTCCAGCACTCCCCGCCACACTGCCAAGACCTCGCGCTGACGGAAGTAGGCAGCTGCCTTGTCCGCTCGACGGGAATTGACCAGGACGATCTGACTTGCGCTTCTCCACTGGCCGAAAGCCCGCAACTTGACGGCCGAGTCATGCATCTGGATAGCTCTCTGGACAGCCCCCCGCCTGGTCTGAGCCTTAACACGCCAGGCAGTGAAGCACCGAGCGAGATGCGCTCGGATGGATCCATCGTGATGGCCAATCGCGACATCTTCTATGAGCCAGGTCATCTTTATTACTCACCCTCGTTCCTCCTGACCGTGGCCAACCTCTCATTCCAATTCTTCATGACTCGCTCTGCCGCCCTGACATCGCGAACTCGACGATACAGCCCACAGCGCTCCTGTTGGATCCACTTGGACATTGCACATTGCAGCAGGCTTCGATTCCTGAATCTCTTCGCCGCTGCCTCCAGTTCCTAAGCGTCAGCTAAGCCTTGTTTACACCAACCTCTCGCTTGGCCTTCCTCGCCTTCATCACCCTCAACCCCATTCGTAGGATTCGCCGAGAGTCGTGACTTTTACTCATCCTACAGCTTAGCAGGCTCTTACCTTACACTCACGTTTGCAACCGCCATTGATCCCAGCATCGCCTGACGACCATGCCGTCCCGCCTTTGTCCCACGCGCCGCGCCATGCCTACCACGACCGCTCCTTGGCGCCAAAGAGTGAATGTGGACGCCAGCATTTCTTCATCTCGATCATCCATCCTCTGCTTCAATCGACGCTCTAACACTGTCCTCTTGAGCCACGTCTCGAACAGAGCCATTGCCCGTCTCTTCGAGAAGGTATCCGCAAGCCGCCCATCGACCCGTTCCCTTGCCCGACCGTGCCATCGCTTTCGTCAGCCTGACCGGGCACCAGCTCACCTCAAAAGCTGCTCTGATCACTCTTTGCTCCCTCTCCGCGACAAAGTGCTCCTCCCGCTCGCCCATCTCCCGTTCCCACCTCCGCGTCTGCCTTGACTTCACGCATGAGCGCCATCGGTCCAGTACAGCAGTAAGCCCAAGCCTCGCTCTCTGCGCCTCGTATCGCTCCGCACGTCTCTCCAGCGAGCTCAGCCTTGCTCTGGCCATCCATATCTTGATTACCGTCGCCTCCTGTGCCAGTTGTCTATGCCTATCCGCCGTCGACGCCATATTCAGCGTCCTCTCGTATGCCTGGTGCCATCGCTGCAGAGCTTGCCTCAGCAGCACCTTCCTCCTTACGCTTTCAACCTGCTCAGTCGTTTCCTGATGCTCAGCCGGGCACTCCCTCTCAACCCACCTCGACCCATCGATGAGCCTGGCACCACACATCCCAGCACCGTCCCAGCAGTCCAACTCTGTAGAATGCATCTGCCTTGTTCTCATCCTCCGTGTCCCACTTTTCATCCCTTTGAGACAGACTATCATCGGGGACAATGCTTGAGCTGAGATCGGACACAGAGTAAGGCGGGGGACTCTTCAGTACGGGAGTCGAGGTCCTGACCGGGGTCAATGTGATCGCATCATAGTCCAAAGATGGCGTCCGAGAATACTCTGACGCTCCGTCAAATCCATAGTCCAGGTCTGAGCTCGCGGAAGACAAACACGGTAGCTTGTTCTTGATATCTTTTGAGCGAGATCGCTGCTTGTAAATGTCCCACTTCTGCCCCCAAGTCGATGCCCGAATCACCCCTAGCTTGAGAAGGAACTGGTAGTAGACCGTATCGCTTGACGCAGCGAGACCACTGGTTCTCAGCTGGACCTCGCATGATACTCACTGTTCCTCGAGAACTTCCCCATAGGCCCGATAGACAAATGGAAACGACGTAGCAGCCCTCGGCGCCCTCTCAATGATCTCCTCAACGATCTCCAAATCCACCTCGGACGTCATGGCATGGTGTGTACAGAGATGACTTTTGCGTTCGAACGCGTCTGGCTCGAGATTCATCACCCGCGGCGATCGCCGCCCAGGTCGACCTCGCTCTTGGATTGACCGACCTTCCCACCTTGCTGCTCATACCAACCATACACCATGGCAGAACAGAACTTTTCAGCAGCGTTGGCGACATGGAAGGGTGAGGCGTTACTGATACTGTTCCTGACCCTCCAGAAATCAATCTTTCCGACTTGCAAAAGTCGCTCGACACCACTGCTCTGGAATTGGTGGACAATCAGAAAGACAACATGATGGGTCGAAAGAAGCTCGCCGAGCAGACTAGAGGTGAGCCCTAAGCTAGACCCCCGCTGACTTGCAGAGTTCAAGAAACTTCCTGATGACGCCGAAAAGTTCAATGCCATCAAGGTCTTGCTCAAAGCATACCAATCAGAGATCGATTCTCTCACTCGCCGAGCCAAAATGTCTGAAACTTCTTTCCTCAACGTGTACAAGCTGTTATCCGATGCCCCTGATCCATATCCTCTGCTCGATGCCGCGGTAGATCAGACCGTAAAGGTTGCTGAAGCTCGGATGATGCAAGCCGAAGCCAACAGGTTGCGCGAGGAGAACGCCGAGTTGAAGAAACAGGTCGCACAGAAGGATCAAGTGGAGGAGAAGAGGAAGAAGGCGGAAAAAAAGGCAGAGGATCTGGAGCAAAAGGTGAAGGATCACGTCGTGCTCGTCTAACGTATCTGTCAGATGGACGACTTGATCCAAGAACGAGTTGCGTCGAAAGAAAACGAACTCAACGCCGAGTATGACGAACGGATGAGAAACTACGAAGAGAGGTGAGTACACAGTCTTCTTCGCTGACATGCAGGGAGAAAGATCTCCAGCGACAAGTCCAAACGGCCAAAGACCAAGTCCGAGACATGCATATGTCCAACGAGAACACCCAAGCCAAGTTGATGGACGCTAGCCAGAGACAAGGCAAGTGGAATTCTCAACACAGCTGACGATCAGAGCAAGACGTGGTTGCAAGACTCGCCGAGATGGACCTCGTGGCGGCGGATTTGATTCGTGCCAACGAGCGGGTGGCAACTGTGGAAAGGCGAAATGTGAGCCCAAGCGCTTGGATCCGCTGACGCCAGGAACTTTTACGTTCCGAAATTGAAAGCGTTAGAAGCGGCTCTGCTCATGCCGAACGGTAAGTTAGGTCTCAGGACATTTCTCATGTCAGGGTGAAATCCCTCGAATCACAGATCCAGGAGCTCGAAGCTGAGGCCTCCAAACTGCTCCGTGCGTTGGACCAAGCCCAGGACGCAAAGGCAGAAGCAGAGCGGAATGTGGAGAAACGCAGCGAACAGACCGCAAAGGACCTCGCCGCGCAGGTGAGCACCGTATCGTTCGCCGCTCACTCTAGGCCTCTGAAATCGAGACCCTTCGAAGCAAGGTCAAGCAATTCGCCGACTATGACGAGATCAAACGGGAATTAGAGATCATGAAGGTGAAGACCCCAAGCCATCTCGGCTGACGCGCCAGTTTGTCGAATTCAGCGGCGCCGACTTTGACGATGACGATGTTGGACTTCCCGACCCGAACGCCGATGTGGCCAACAAGGAGCTCGGGAGATCCTTGGAGAACCTCCTTGTCGCGAAGAACCGCCGAGTTCTGGACGAATTGACGCGCCTCCGGGTGACCTGGGAGGAGCTTTCCGCAGAGCATGCCAAGTCGGAAGAAAACCTGACCTCCCTGCAAACCGAGCTGGACCGCGTCAAGGGTCTCAACGAGAAACTAGAAAACGATCTGATGAGTATCAACAAGGGCGAAGACCGCTCGACGACCGGCCTCGCGGGTCTAGACATTGGCAAGGTGGGGGCCGCCGTTCTACCACGCTAACCCGCAGGACCGTGGCGCCTCACCCGCTCCTGATACCTCTATCCTCCCCATCGTCACAAGCCAGCGTGATAGATTCAGACAACGCAATGCAGAACTCGAGGAGGTGAGTCGCACGCCGGACTCGGTTGACCTTCAGGAACTGCGAAAACAATTCGAATCCATCTCTGACCTCCGGGCCGAAGTCAAATCCCTCCAAGCGGACAACCTCAAATTATACGAAAAAGTCCGCTACATGCAGTCCTACCGCGATGCACCTGCCGCTGGACCGAGTCGTGCAGGCATGCTGAACGGCGTCATGAGGCGTGAAGATGAGATCGGACGCTACAAGGATAAGTACGAAGAATCGATGAACCCGTTCGAGGCGTTCAAGGGGAGGGTGGGTGTTGACCCGTATCTCGCTGACGTTGTAGGAGGCGCAACGGGCGATACAAGCGCTGAACCCGTTAGAACGCGCCGTGTTCGCCCTGACCCGAGCTATCATTGGGAACAAGCGGGCTCGAAGCCTGTTCATCTTGTACGCCGCTTGCTTGGTGAGCTGTCTGATTGAGACATGCTGACGACAGCATCTTCTCATCTTATTCGTGCTATGGAACACTATGGCTGCGAGTGATTCTAAAGCGCACGAGATGATCCCTATCAAACCAACATGATGTATGCATCTAGGCTCCGAATTTGGCCAATCTTCTCCTGCGGATCTCATCTGACGGTCAGGAGAGTCGGTTTCTGTGCTCACCTGGGGAGAGTTCCTCGGGCTCTAGCTCATTGGTCTCATCCTCGCCCTCGGGTTCGGGCTCTTCTTCCGCCTGGGGTGGCGCAGAGACTGGCTCCTTATGAATCATCTCTGCTTTTTTCGGAGCCGTCTTTGGTTGCAAGGTTGGTGCTACCCAGTCCGACGGGATATCCTCCATACTGGCTCTCAGCGCCGCTTGCAACGCCGCATCCTCATCGTCATAATCCCTCTGATGTTGAGTGAAGTCGTGAACTTCATCCAACTCCTCATCCTCCCACACCTGGGCAGGCCGACGCTGAGCCGGCGCAGTGTCCTCCTCAGCATCTCCGAACGGATCTACGGGGTCTGGCTGACGTCTGCGTCTCTGGGACGGTCCCGCTCTATCAAACGGATCGACATGCTCATCCGGAGGGGTGATGGTAGAAGGGTCCACGGAGGGTTGGTCTGACACTGCTTTATGAGCTTGACTTCTCTTTTATTTTTTGACTCACTCTGTGCTCCTCTTCCGATCGGAGCGACTGTCCCTCCTGAGCGACCTTGAGGTTCACCCAATTGTACCGCAAAGACATCCGCCTGACATTCCGGCAAAGAAGCGAGACCTCCGTCACCCCATCCGTCATCAGATGGTGCCGCTTTCCTCACGCAAAAGACTGAATATCCTTCCTGTTCCGCTTGAGAGAGGACCATGCGGAGATATGTCGGTGAGATCCATTCTGGATGAGGCAGGAACGAGTTGAGATTGTACCATCGTTTATACGAATCGTTTGAACCGAAACGACGAAGCGGGATCCAATGCGATGACAGGTGGAGGATGAAAGCGACTTGTTCCCTGATACCTAAGCTCAGAGTCGTTTGTGTTGACTCACTCAGGATGCTCTTGGTATTCTCTCATTGCCTCCCCTCGCCACCTTACCAAGGTCAAATCCCACACTTCAAGAGCTCGTTCAAGGACTGAGATGGAAAAGTACCCCGTGTCATCAAAGTTATGGGATTTGCTCTGCGGCTCATGCAGCTGAGCGCGTTCAGCCTCATCGAGCCTGCCATCAGCCGTGCTCGCTCGGACTCTGTTCCCACCTCTTGGCGATATCAGCGAGGTCAAACTCGCTATAAGTGAATTGCTGCAACAAATTATTGCTGTCGTCAGCGCGGCAACCCCGACCTCTACCTACAGGCAATGCTGAGCACACAATTGAGACCCAGGCTCTTGCCTCTCCCAGTACATATCTTTCGTCAGATCCGCTCAACATGCTTTACTCACGAGGAACCAAGTCCATATTTGAGGTCTAGGTAGAACACTGATGAAACGATGTAAACGCGACGTCACTTCGATGCACGTGAATGTGGCACTATGGATACAATGACTGGAGACTCTTTGTACATCCAGGTCTAGCCTTTTCCATCTCCTCCAGAAGCTCTCCCCAGTACTGCTTGATGACTGCCAGTCCAGTGGCCTTGGGCATAAATGTCGAAGGGGACGCTGCGGGTTCGGCACATGTGAAGTACTGAACATCAGCGCCGTCTCAAACCTCTGTAACCCACCTCGACAGATTCAAAATCACCCACGGCGGCGTGGATCAGATTTCTGGCGCCGGCTTCGCCAGTCCTCGCAATCACTGTCATCCAAAGCATAGTGCCCCAGTGAGATGGACTGGTCCACGATCGACCGAAATGCCTGCCAAAGCTAGTCTTGCAGAGCCCAGGATTGACCGCGATGATGGTGATGTCTGGTAGCGCCTGAATCAAATTTCGTACCGACATTTGAAGGAGGAGCTAGGCCGTGAGCGCAATCGCAGACTTATTCTCCCCACCTTTGTCTCCATGTAGCGCGGGAACCCGGCTACCGGACTAATAGCGTCCAGACCTTTGATCACGTTACCCTCCTTAGCAGTCTTTGCAATCCCCTTGCCATCCGTCCAGGCGTGCACCTCGGACGTGGTGAAAACGACTCTGGGGGATGTCGACTTGCGGAGACAATCAAGAAGGGAAAGTGTGATGAGGATCGGAGCGAAAGTATTCGTTTGAAGCCTTTCATGTCAGCGTTGCCTCATCAGATCACGTACCCTAACTCGTGGCCATCTTCTGTCATTTGAGCCTCTTTCACCGCGCCAAGATTCACCCTTGAAGTCAGCTCAGCGTGGGTCGTCCGACCCACCCAGCATTATTCATAAGCAAGTCGACCGTTCCCAATTCCTTCTCTACTCTGGCCGCGAACGACTTGATGCTTGCATAGCTGGCCAAATCCAATTCCCACACGTCAACTTTGGCGCCGGGAGCTCCCTTGAGGACCATGTCGAGCGCCTCGGCTCCCGCCTTCATGTTTCTCGCTGTCATGATGAGCTTGCGAGGCGACATCTTGGCAAATGCCAATGCAGTCTCGAATCCGAGACCTATGGGTTAGACCCAGGTCCACACGGGTCACACTCACCCGTGTTGGCGCCTGTGATGATGACATTCTTCCCCTCCAGCAGAGCACCTGTTGGTGGGACGGGGACACTGGTGAACTGTTCGACGTAGAATGTAAGAGGTGGAGCTGACATGTTGGACTGATCTGTGATATCGTTTGGAGAACTCTTGGGCCAAGTGTCCAATTTATATATGTGCGCGGGCGCTATTGAAACGAAGCGTCATGACATGTCCGAGAAAAGTGGAGGTTCACAAATCCACGTGGCTTACCTCGGCCATTTACGTACACCAGGTTTCAAAAGTTTGTTACAACGAAGGTCCGTCCCATTTTGCCAGTCATAAGCACCCGCATCCATGCCGAGACGATCACAAGCCTCCACCTCGGCTGTTCAGCCATCCAAAGGAAGGAAGACTACATTTGGAGACGATGACGATGATGTGGTTGAGGATGTCCCACAGAGGGACCTACCTGCTGAGCCGGACGTCGAGGATTCAGAGGACGAGGACGACGCCCCTGAAGCTGTAGGCACCAGCGCGAGCAAGATAGCGGAAGATGAGGCTCGTCAAAGGAAGGAAAAGTAAGCATGGTCCATCGTCTCACGTCTGACCACCAGCGCCGATCTTGCGAAACGTCAAGCTGCCCGTATTCGATTACAAAAGATCCAAGCGATCAAATTGGCGCAGAAAAAGAAGGGCAAGCAGCCGATGCAACAGCCCGAAACCGACACTGGAGACAGTGATGATGATGATGCCGAGACGAGACGACTAAAAGCTAGGATGGCGAGAGCGATGGACGAAGGGAGTGGAGACTCGGAGGCGTCTTTACACACCGATTCGGACGAAGGATCTTTCCATACCGATGATTCAGACGAAGACGAGCCGGAAGACGACTCTGAACATGTCTCGGACGACTCGGACTCCTCAGAGACCCTTCATGAAGGTCCTCTCTCCGCCAACGACATCAAGATGAGAGCATTGATGGATCAAGCGATGGCCGCTGCGGACAGGCGGGCGGGGATCGCTCAGCCAAAGACGAAATCTCAATCCAAGGGCAAGGCTAAAGCCACGGAGGCTACCCAAGCGGCTGAGGCTGTCGATGAAGAGGCAATGTGGGATATGACTCCTGGCTTCGGTCCCAAACCTCTATCGACTGCTGTGCTGGCGGCTGCTGAGAAGGCTGAGACCGAAGCGGCCCTGCAGAAACAGCGAAAGAAGGAGGAAGCGATGGCTCGTCGAGAGGCTGAAGAGCGAGCGGGAAGGAAGAAACAAAAATACAAGCGTGCTCAGAACGACACGAAGCGCTTAAAGTGAGTGGGTCTTTGGTCGAGTGAGGATCCCGCTGATTCCGTAGAAATGGCACCATTGTACAACTCCTTCCACCACGTCACGAAGAGACCTCCTCACTTCCTCCCATGGTCGGGCCATCTCGCCCGTCGAAGGCCTCCTCCTCCTCCTCCTCCAGAGACAAGTTCCTTCGGACAGCTATGAAGCGCAGTGGTCAAATGCCAGGATCAAGCCCTCTCAATGGACGTAAAAGGATCATTATGAGACCGAGCTAGTTGTAAATGCATGTAATTCCGTCGGATCTGATCAAAAGAATGTCCGAATCTTCGCGCTTACAAGTCGCGAAATGTCTGTTTCTACTTTCTCCAGCCTGTACCATGAACGATCCTCTATCGCCTTTGACAGTTCCACCGCCCAGATATCTCCTCGAATCCGACTCATCTGATGAGGAGGGCCAGGGCTCTTACCTCGCCTCGCGGCTGAAGACAGCATCGGCCTCTGTCCCGTCTTTCTCGATTCAATGGGCAGATGCCGAGTCCAGCTTTGACACTGTCGTTGTATCCACAGGACAAGCGGGAAAGTATATAGCCAGGAAAGCGGGTGCATCTTCTCCTTGTTTGACAATGCTCATGGATTCCGAAGTGATGGGTCACGGCTATCGATGCGCCCAGGACCTCATCATCGTGCTCGACGACGAAATCGATGAAGCTCAACCGGCAGTCTGGGAGGGAGCGAACGCGTTATTGGGCGTACAAGCCAATAAATGGTATGTCATACGGGCTATCTTCGCTGATATCAGGATCATCGCCGCTGCCTATCTTCCATCCATATACATCACCGACGAATCTGAATCGCCATATAAATTTCATCCAATCCGCTACCTTCATATCCGTGGACCGGATCCTCAGCTCGACAAATCCGGTGCAAGGCGTCTCAGTCCGCCCAACTTTGTCACTGGCCTACCGGCCAGTATCTCCAGCATCGTAGGCTATTATTGAAGAGAAGAGGCTGACATGAAGGCATCTCACCCTTCTAGCCCTCTACCCCTGTCTAGCCCAGTCACCACCTTACTTTTACCCCTTCCGCTATCTTCCATCCCAAGCGACCACTTCAATGCCTCTATAGCGGCCATTTCGTCATCACTCGGCAAGAGTCTCACATCGCACGCAAAGGCCTCCGGGTCCAGGTGGACAGAGGAGCACGACGAGCAGTTCTCAGCTCCTGGAATGGGAGGTAAGCGCAAATGGCGAGATAACAAGCAGGCTGCACGGGAAGACATTTCAGTAATGTATATGTAGTTTGGCATCAGGCTTGTGGCATCTGACTCAGCTGGCGACTTCGATGGTAGGCGGACGAGTGTTCATGCATGTGATGTCAGTCATTCATGTATATCTGGTCGCGAGACAAGCAGCTAACCGTACAATCCGTCGCCCACTCGTCACCGAGACGTTGTCTGATTCTGTTCGCCAGCTCCGGTCTGGGTCGTCAGCGACCGGATCCATCATGTGTCAAGGGGCGTCGGACCCGTCTGCCTCGGTCTGCTTTTTCAGATGAGCTTCGATGGCCTGTTTCGCATATTTCTCGGCCTTTCTCCTCGCATCGGTCAGCGCCGTTTGGATATCCGTGTCATCCAAGCTGTATGCTCTGAAGGCGTCACCAACGGACGTGTCGCCACTTATCAAGGTATCAAAACGACTTCGAATATCTGTGCTGGCATCGTTGGTGGGTTTACTCCCCATCAAGGAGATCAGGTCTAAACTAGGTGCCGTCGACCCCGGGCTGACCACAATGCGGAACTCGTTTCCGGACATGACTGCTCTGTATGAGAATCGATTCTTGGGACAGCGGTAGAGGGACGTGTGTGTGTGGTGTAATCAGCACCAGTGCCCGTTATCGATACCAGAAACCGTTCTATCGATTGGCCTGAAGGGAGGGACTGTAACCCTGGACATCGTTTCAACGCATAAAGGATCTTGACATCGAAGCCCAGCAACTTGAATCTGCTATGTTTCTGGGGTGCGGGAAGCTTCTAGTAGAGCTCAAGTTCAGCAGTGCTGATGGCTCATGACTGATGAGAACTGCCTCGCCATGGTGATTTCAGGAGGCCGAACGCATGGGCCCTAGAAAGGCAAAATGGGAGCAGGAAAACCAGGTGACAGACTTCGCATATGGCTGTGGGGATCATTTACACCAAAGGGCTCGACATGAATGGAAAGACTAGGAAGGCATGAAGAAGGCTTCCTGCAGTACATCTCTGCCATGTCTCTTGAGTTCCGCCTCTGTCCCTGCTCCTCGACCCCTGGGAACGAACACACTCTCGCCACATTTTGATGCGCCACACTTGCTTCGATCGATTCCAGCAAAACTTGGAGAGCTACTGTACGTCATCCCGCCTGGCCGATTCCAACCGGAGTTTTTTAAGTTAGTGTTGTTCACTGCTGCTGCGAATAGGAGAGCCTGGCCTGGGCAGGTCTTTTGGGTGCAAGGCGGCCCGATGATAGCGTGAGGGCAGCGGCTATAGAGGTGAATCTGGTGGATGACCAGCACAAGCTTGGAGAAAGGGGGAGGGAATCGAAGATCGAGTCCATACATATATAATAATCCATCAAGTACATATAACATTCCATGCCACGCCGCATCCCACCGATCCTCGATCCAATCGCCTCCGATTCAACGAGTCACAAATAGTCTGCCCGCCCAACTCCACTGACATCCCTCACACGCACCCGCGAGAGATAGAGGCTGGCTGGCTGGCTGGAAGTTCACGCAGTTCCCACCACTTTTCATATTCCTCCTCTTTTTTTCTTGGTTGATGTCATCGAGTATCGGTCGTACTAAAAGGAGACCACTCTTACCTACATCTCAAATATCCTTCCTATCACTTCCACCAGCACTCGCTCGACCACCTTCATACAGGTCATCGTCCAGTGTAGCTCTACCACCAGCAGCAGCAGCAGCATCGACCTCTCGCTCACCACTCCGATCCATCTTTCGTAATCCCTTTTCCTCATCCGCGATCATGGCTTCCTCTTCTTCGTCCGATGAGCAGATCCCCGAGATCATCCTCAAGACTCGAGCCGCTGCCTCTGGAACGCCAGGTGAACAGGTAGAACCGAGACAGGTCCTACCGACAGAAGATATGGAGCCAAACCCAAGCAAGAGTATCCCTCTCCCTCCAAACAGACAGAAATTGATCGACGATGTCATTGCCTTGTACTCGTGCGAACCGACCGTCGAACGAGTCGCTCGATACGCGCCAGGTGAGTCACCGGGCTCCGGATCACACACTGATGACTAGCTTGCGTCTATGACGATCAATTCGTGTACGCAAATGGTGAGCGCAGCGTGACCTCAGTCCCTGGTTGACAAGGACCAGACCGATACAAGATGGCCGGTCAATGGTTCGGACTTCCCAAGCTCTTTCCCAAGTCTGAAAACCTAGGATACGAGATAGTCAAAAACGACGACACCTTGATCCAATTCAAGAACAAGCAGGCGAGTTCGTCTCATAGCTCTCATCTCTGACGCCTCAGCGATGGTCATTCCACCTGGTATCCAAGCAAGCCACGATCAACGCCCTGGTCTCCCTCGTACTCGACCCCGCTACCAAAGACTCCGACTTCCCCCTCATCCTCTACCACAAGGATCAAGCCAACGAAAAGGACTACTCACACGAAGGTTTCGGATTCATGTTCAAGAAGACCCAAGCTGATCTCGTCTCGCACTTCATGTCGAGCAAAGAGGTCAAATACTTCAAGGGAGACGAGAATGCGACCAAGGAGCCGGTCAGAAAGTACGGCAGCGGCACCGCCGAGGCCCCTATGGCCACTCATGTGTAAATGGTATTGCGAATGTGACAACAAGTGTACATGCAGATTCTACCGCCTGATCTTCGGTTTCGATTCACCAGCTTGAACAGCCCTGAGGGAAAGGGTCAGCTGAGAACACCTGCGATCGATTCAACTCACTGCCTGTTGCCTGTCGTCAAAACCATATGAGCGAGACCAGTCTTGTGCTGTCTCTTCGAGAACGCATCCGACATGCCTAACGGCGTGTCGCTTGCACCCATGGTGGCCTGCTTGCGCTCTTCGGCGATTCGTTTTAATCGCTTTTCGGTCTTCATGCGACCAGATGTTTTGCCACTGCGGAGAGTTAGAAAAGCAGTGGTGTGGTGACGATGACTTACTGGAATTTATGTGATAGCGATTTCCAAGCTTCCTTGGGAGTCATTTCTGAGAAGAGATCAGCCTAGTCCACCCGACCTGACACGATACTCACGTCTTCCAAACTCGTCGTGATAGACGATATTGATATCCGGCTTGTAGTTCTTGTACAGCTCCAACGCATCCCTCGCTTCGTTTTGTTCCCTTACCCTAGCTTCCCATTCACGTTGTGCTTGGTCCTTGTTACCTCCTCTTGCTTGTATACGCTCCATCTCACGCTGAGCCATTCGACGGCGGTAATCTGCCAACCAGAGATCCTTTTGCTTCTGCACCCGCTCGCGCTCTTCATCCGCCTCGCCAGCTTTCTTGAGAGCTCCTTGGTTCCTTAGCATGGACAAGATACCGGCAAGACCATTGCCTGTGACGGCGGGTTCATCGGATGCCTGCATGGTCAGAGTGAGGATCAGAGACTCGCTCACCTCTCCATCCCCGTTGGCCTGTATCTCCGCCACCTCCTGCATTTGTTGATCCATCTTTAGTCGATATTCTTCGATCGACATGTTCTCCCTCGCCGCCATCTCTGCCAACACCTCGTCTTCATCCTCCGAATCAGAGTCGATAGCTTGGTCACCATCCTCATCACGCTCAATCTTTACCACAACAGGTTCATGACTGGCTCCGTTCGTCGGCGGAGTGGCTGCCCGCTCCTTCTTCACAGCTGCTATCCGGGATTCTGCTGTGACATTACGGACGAATTCCGATGTATCGTCAAAGGTGATTCGACCATCTTCATCTCCCTGAGGAGCGTCGTCCTCGTCTCTCCGAGCAGCGACTAAGTCGTGAGCGTGTGAGCCTAAACTGCTCTCACCTTGCGCAGCGATATCCTCCGCCTTGACTTTTGGCTTCGTCTTGGCATTTGCCCTCCTGGCCCTGGACAATGCCGCCTGAATGTCATCGTCATCGACCAGGTTTTGGGGCCCATCATCCACTCTTCTCCGTTCGAAAGTGGGCCCGTCGACCTGCATATCGTCCGCTTCTTCTGCTTCTACACGTCTCCCAGATGGCTTTGACCGCTTTTTCTGCACCCAGTCAGCTCAACAGCTGTCGCCTTACTACTCACTTTTCGCTGCTTGAAGCCTTTGTCCCCCTCTTTCATATAATCAGACACCTCAAAGTCCTCTGAGCAAGTCAGCGAGCGCCTCTGAGGGCCACACTCACTTGTAAAGTCCAAGTTTAATTTGACCTTTGTCGCTGGCGCATGACCCAGCGTGATCATTTCCTGATCCTCATCCTCCATTTCCGGCTTCTTCTCCGATGCCACTCCCAGCCTAAACCCTTCGCTCTTAATCTTGCCCGTAGCATACTCGTCATCGTATTTCGACAGTATATCTGCTTTTTTGCCGATCCTGTCCTCGTCGAACTCTTCATCATCGAAGCCCGTGTATTGTGCCTGAGCTTTGCGTTTACGTTCTCGAACAGCTGCCAGAGCCTCATTCTCGACCATGTGGATATTCTGTAGTTCATCCTCTTCGTATTGTCAGCTCCGCTCTCATTCAACTATTGAAACTCACCTTCTCCAGCCAAGACCCGACTGTCCTTCAAGGTCAAAATGACATCCTCCCCAGCCTCAAAGTCTGCAGCCCCGTGTCCAACTTTTAATCCTGCCAGATCCTCTTCTCCATACGCAGCCTTGTCGAGTTCTTCCTGTTCTCTAGCCCTTCTCGCCGCTAGCTCATTTTCACGCTGCTTGGCTCTCTTCTTCTGCTTCTTTAACCAGGCCTTGGCGTCTAAACCATCATCATTGGAAACATCTCCAAGAGTCGAGCCTTTTAATTTGGCATTGAGGTCGCGTTGATTCCGGGCTCTGCACTAAGTCAGCGATGTGTGCAGACGGATATTTACTTGAACCCACTTTGCTATCCTCTCCTTCAGATCACTCTCCTCTTTCGCCTTCTTCATCTCCTGTTTCCTCTGGGCAAAGTTGGCTTCTGCAACTTCGTCCTCGTCCACTGGCGGTTCCTCCCCATCTTCAGCCTCCGCACCTATAGGCTTGAGACCAAGTTTGATACGCATCTTGTTGGTCTCCTCGAGAGTCAAGCCCTCTTGATTCATACTGTTCTCCGCCATATTGAGTCCGAGTCCAGCCGAGTCCAGCGGCGAGCTGTGCGTGTGACAAGCTGAATGAACGACAGTGAATGAGATGCTGGCAAGTGTAGACTTTTTGTGACAGTTGGGTGGCGAACGGAAGCAAATTTGTTGCACGCACTGTGAACCCATGTCTGCAGACACCGTCTCTCTCTCTCCCTCTCTCTCTCTCTGTGTGCCTCTCTGTGTGTCTTCTTTCGACCGCCATGCCGCCAAAAGGAAAGAGAAACGACCTAAGAGCCTGCTTAGTCTGCTCTATACTCCAGACTGCAAATGGATTCCTAACGCAAGGATGCCCAAATTGCGAAGATATCCTAGAAGTGAGAATGATTTCCGACTCTGTTGTTTTCCCCTACAATTGGTTACTGCTGACCTTCATTTATTCTTGCACCTGATAAGATGCGAGGAAGTGCAGATCGCGTAGCGGAATGTACGAGTATACAATACGATGGGATGATAGCTATGATTGAACCGGAGGAAAGCTGGGTCGCGAGATGGCAACGTATAGGTGGGTCTGGCCTATCGTCGAGACTCATGTCCCTGACTCTGTTGTTGTCTCTCAGACAAACGAGCGAGGGGATTATACGCCGTTCGAGTGACTGGACGACCACCACCAGACGTCATTGACGCGATAGAATCAAGAGGAGGAGTCTACAGACCCAGAGACGCTGTGGATGATAATTGAAGCAGGCTTGACCACGACACGAACCAACCCTTGTTGTATGCATCACTACGCGCTCGCCTGAAAAAATCCTACATTATACTGATACATCACATTTCTGGTATACAAAGAACTCTTCCTCAATCTGAAGGACCTCTCACACCTCGTAATCGCTGACCAAATGATGCCCTGACCCGGTCCTTCCTCACTCCAGCTCTAGGTGGGGAGCTATTGTGCAAGACAATACACTCTGCAGGCACCTTTTTCTCTCCCTCATCCATTTCACGTTGTCGTTTCAATCCTGATCCAGGACTCGTCGTAACCTCATCACAAGTTTGTCGTGTTTGGCTCGTGTCGAAGATGTTGACATTTCGTAAGGGAGCTCGTTCAACAGGTAACGCAGCCTTTGTTCTCGGTGTAGCGGTCACTGGCTCCACGAGCTCCACCGGGATGATCTTATTGGCCGCAGTGTTCGCAGCAGTTTCATCGTCCGCTGTAGTGGCTGCCGCCAGGTGTCGTTGCAGTTTGGCGACCTTCTTCTCCAGCTTGGTCTTTGCCTTGAACGCCTCGCGGACTCGGTCGTCCGCTTCGTCGACCTCTTGAACTTTGAGCGTAAGGGCGGTCTCGAGTTCTGTGCGCGAGTATGAGCGAAGTCTAAAGCTTGTGTACCCACCGGTGATCCTCTCGTTTAGCTCTGCGACCTGCTCGCTATCCACCGGTGTCCCCGTCGCCGCTTGGGCACGCTCTCGTAGTACGGCGAGTTGAGTGTCCCGTTCTTCAAGAGCTTTCGCATGCTCATGTCCAGCCGATTCCAGAGCAGATGAGCCCTCTACGACCTGCTTCTCGAGGTCGAGCACCAACGCATGGAGTCGGGACACCTCTTGCTGATCAGAAGCCGCAGACGCTTCCAATGCTTGGACCTTGGTGTTGGTCGATTCGAGTTCGGTGCGCATGGACGCGTGTTGCTCTTGAAGAACCTGCAACTCTTGGCAGACACTATCCCGAGCTTGCCTGACTTCCGCGAGTTGAGTCGTCAACCTCAACAACTCTTCCGTTCGCGCATCCAGTTGACTTTGCAGATCATTTGATTGACTTTCACGTTCCGTGGCCGCTTCCAATGAGGCTCTGAGAATCGCCAGGTTCTGTTCAACAGCCGCGGCGTCTGCAGTCTTCTTCTCCAACTCGAGATCCTTCTCTGCCATTACGCTCTTGAGTGCCTCCATGGCTGCCGCGTTCGACTCCGCCACCTCAGTACGAGCCTTCATGTCCTCTGACAACCGCTGAATCTCGGCCCTTGCCTCGAAGATCTGCTTCGACAATGTATCAATTTCATCAGTCGCTGATCGCAGTGCAGTCGTCGCATCGATGGAAATCCGTTCGATCGCAGCGGACCCTTCTTCCAATTTCTTTCTTTGATCCGACCAAGCGTTCTGAGCGGCTGAAACGAATTGTCGGTGCATCGCCAGTGTGATCACCAGACCCCGAATCGCGGATTGGCTGTCCTGTTCGGCTGCGGCGGTAGCGGCTCGCAATGCCTCGAGCTCTTGCTCCACTTCGAGCTTTTCAGTGCCGACCTCCTCGGCAGCTTCTTCTGCCAATTGGAGATTCGCTTTAATCTGCCTCATCTCATTCTTCATGGCTTCAATGCGCACTGAAACAATGTCAGTAAACAGACTCACAATCGAGCGACTTACTGTTTCTACTCAAAACTCGGCTCTGTAGATCCGCACGTTCCGCACGCAGCGACTCGATCGTCTCCCCGGTGTACACACCAGAGATACGTCTGACGTGACCGCCCATGCTACTCCGACTGGCCGGTCTCTCAGATCGACTTGGAGGTCTATCCGCACGACTGGTAGGTTGATCACTGCTGACCTCCCGAGTCGCCTCTAGCTGCCCTTGAAGACTGTCCACTCGCTCTTCGTATTCCTTGTTCGCTTTTCTCAAGCTGTAAACCTCCATTTCCGCCTTGCTAGCCTTGTGTTGAGCCAACGCCACCTCATTGATCAGATGCTGGACCTGAGCTTCCTCCAATCGCTCAGAAAGCTGCTTGTCAAGTTCTTCGACGCGAGCGAGGAGGGCGTCTCGAAATGATGACGCTTCTCCGAGATTACTTTCGAGTGAAGTCACCTTGGCAGCCAGCTCATCCTTTTCAGCTGACGCCGCGGCATACGAGCCAGTCACACCATCCAGGCGAGAAGTGACGCTGTCCAGAGCCTCCTTGGCAGCTGCGTGCTGTCGTTCCAAGCCTGAGATGGCATCGAGTCGTTCTTGTAAGTCGGCACGCGTGCTTTTCAGTTCCGCCACAGCTGTCGCTTTACTCGCTTCCACCGCATCACGGGCAAACCTATGTTCGTGTTGGACAAATGAAAGATTGAGTCGTAATTCGTCTCTCTCCGTACGCAGACGTCCAACTTTGTCTTGCAAGAGAAGAATTTCTCGCGACGATCCCGGTGCGTGATCTCTCGGTCGAGAGGTCTCTAGATCCGCGATGCGCGACCTGGCCGTGCCAAGTGCTTTCTCCGAGTCGCGAAGGCGGTCAGTGAGCATTTGGATCTTTTCCTTGTGATCAAAGATCTCAGCGACGCGATCCTGAGCTTGAGATTCTGTAGACCGATTGGCGACGGTTTCGCGCAGGTCGGCAAGGGTTTGCTCGAGGTCGAGCTTGGATTTCGCACAGGATTCGTACTGCTCTTGCATCTCGTCGGCGTGAGCCGAAGTGACTTGCAGTTCGTGCTTGGCATCCTCGAGTTCGGTTTGAAGCGCCTCACATCGGCCTTGGGATTCGAGCAGTTCGCGGGAGTGGTCACTGGCGTCAGCGAGGGACGGCACTTCAACCCACTCGGAAGCCTTTGCAGTGTTCTTCGTCAGATTTTCCAAAGCATCCTCCGCCTCAGCAGACCTCGTCTCAAGTTTGTCCACCAGTTCCTCGAGTCGGGTGATCTCTTTCTTCGTGGATTTTATCTCCTCTTGCAGACCAAAGACGACCAGCTCGTGCTCCCTTGTGATCTCGTCGAGTTCAGCAAGACGAGAATCAGACAGTGATGGGTTCTCTGAATCTCCAACCTGAGGCGAGCCAGGCAAAGGTACTGCAATTTTGAGCTTGAGAATCTCCTCGTCCTGGGCTTTGAGCTCCTCCTCCAAAGACTGAATACGGCTGTTGAGAGTCTTGATCTCCCGTTGATACTGCCGGACAGACATTCCGTCGGGAGACGAGGGAGCTGCAATTCGACCTTCCAATTCTTCGACCTTTTTCGTCAGTCGGGAGATCTCGACATCTGCAGATGCGAGCTGTTCTCGCATCCTCTCGGCAGCTGCCTCCATCTCCTTCATCTTGGCGACATGCTTTGGATCCTCAGCGCGAGTGGGAGCCTGTCCATTGACTCGCCATCCATCCAGCTCATAGTTTGCATCCTCAAGATCTGACCGCAGGCGATCGAGCTCTTTTTGACTCGATTTCTCCAACGCCAGCTTGGCGTTGGTAATCTTGTCCAACTCTTTTCTTGCGATTTCCAATTGAGCCGAGACCTTGTCCATCTCCAGCCCATGGGACGAGTGTAGCTTGCTGATCTCTGTTTCGAGATTCGAGACCCGTGGGTCCGCGGAAAAGGAAGCAGAGCGTCGACGTCCTTTTGACCGACCAGGAGGCGATTGTGGAGGGAAAAAGGTGGTCGATGATTTTTTCAATCCGCCGAAGGTGGACTCGGGCTCAAGTGAGCGTTGCAGACAAGAGCCTACTCACCATAGCCGGCTGGCTCCTCAATCGCTCTATCTCCTCATCCCTCGCTTTTATCTTCTGCTCCAACTCCTTCATTCTGCCCGAATCGCTGTCCTTTCCACGTGCAGACCCTTGGGACGCCACGTCAAGCTCTGCAAAGTTCAGCAGAGTACCACCGGCCACTCACCATACTGCAGCCTCTCATTTTCCTTGTGGCTCTGACTCAACTTCTCGTTGGTCACCTTGAGCGTCGATTGAAGGTTGTCATACTGTAATCGATTGTTTGACAATTCCTAAAGGATCAGTGAACGAGAACCCAGCCTACTCACGGAGACTTTGGCTGCCAGAGATGATTCGGCCTGATGAGCTCGCACAGAGAGAGATTCGAGCTGATACATGAGTCTACTGCATCAAGTCATTCGCCCACCTTGGACTCCGCATCTGATCTACCTCGCTTTGCTTCTGTCAGTTCAGCTTGACTTTTGCCCAACTCGTTCCGAATGGATGTGAGTTCAGAGTCTGGTCTATGTCAGCCATCTTCCCACCTTGCGATTCACCTTTGGAGGCAAGCTGCCTTTTCAGCGTATTCAGCTGCGCTTCGATCCCAGCTGATCCTATGAATGCCATGATACCATTGACCTCGAAGCAATCAAGTCGAGTTGAAAGAGAGAGAAAAACATTCGCGTCTCACTGTTTATTATTATTATTCAAACGGGCTCAAATTGAAAATGGCTCATGATGAAATTTGATTCCGTCCAAGTGGCACAGGTCTGCGATACATGACAGTACGTTATGACTGTTCTATACTTGTAGTGCTGCTTGGCGGCACAGCCTTCCCCTCGTCTGTTGGTAGTTCTGCTGTTACTTGTACCTTTGCCCTCAGCTTCGGCAGCCGCTCTCGCCACAACTTCATCGCGCCGTCCAGGTCCTTTTGAAGAGCCTTTTGCCTATCATCACTCGTGGGATGCGTCCTGAGCAATGCAAACCGATTCTCCATCGTCGTCTTTTGACCCGCCATCTCCATATCTTCTTCGACGGCGCGCATTAGGTCCCAAAGGTCGAGAGCCGCTCGTGGATCGTAACCGGCCGTCGCCATGAGCTGAGACGAGGAGTCAATGGGAGTAAACGTGCTAGACTCACGTCCAGACCGAAGGCGTCGGCTTCTATCTCTAGCTTTCGAGAGTATGCTCTTTGAGCGACGATGTCGTTCAACCAATTGATGAAGAGGCCTGCAGAGTCGGTAATGCTGAAATTGCTTCAGCACTGACTCCGAGGCCAAATCCTTACAATGGGAACGAAATGGTTAGAGCGAACGAGATGCCTCGGAGAACATCAAAGCCGACTGCAGCTACATTCAAGAACTTGCAGCATTAGTCGTGGTCTTGAGGTCAGCTACTCACTCCCAAGTTCTCCACGCTGTGCCTCTCGGCAACGTGTGCAATCTCATGAGCGAGCACCGCCGCCAGCATCGCATCGTCGTCTGGTAATGTTTTAAGCAGCCCAGTGTAGACAAAGATGTCTTTACTGGGCAGGGCGAAAGCTTGCAGCATGGGCTAGAGCGAGCTCAATATCGTTGGAAACGTGATCCCGCTTACCAGATCCAAAACGTACAGATTCCAATCTGCCGATTGGAGCTTCTTCAACGGATTAGACGTGTCCGGTCTGAAAGGCATAAAGCTACTCGTTGCGGTGCCACTAGGCTTGTATCGATCCTCAATGGTCTTTCTCTCCCAAGCTTCGCGCTCAGACACCAAATGGCCTGAGTCAGATGATCTAGGGGGCCAAGCGGCTCCGCAGACGTAGTGGTGTTCTTGTTCTTCCAATGCAGTGATGAGTCTAGCTGTGACTCGACCGACTTTCTCACACATGGGGTCTGAAGGTGATAGTAAGACCTCCCCATCGGATTTGAGAATGTCATGGCGTCTGAGTGTGTCAGTTGGGGCAATCGGGCACATTCCTCACTTCCGACGAGACCAGGCCAATTCTTCATTCTCCGACATGAGTAACAGGCGCCATCTGCCTGTCCGTGGGCTTTGATCCAATCCAAGGGCAAACACGACGCAGAGGGCGAATATCTGGGTGTAAGTCAAGCACAAGTGTTCCAGCTCACTGGAATTTGGATCAAAAGGAAGGATGTCTTCCTATACCGTCTCCATAACCTGTGCCGTGTGAGCGAGCCAGTGGCTTGTCGACTCACCTGTACCGGAACACAAAAGGGAGGAAAAGGAGGGTGATACGAGTGACATTGAGCAGTCCGCTCTTGAGAGCTGGGAAAGCGACGAAGAAGACATCGTTCCGCCGTCTCGATGGATGAAATTGTCGAACAAAGTGTGGATTAAGCTGAAGAGGGGAGGATGGGAAGGGGATTAAGCGGAGCGGCAGAACGACAGTGTGAGGTCGAAGAGGTGTAAGAGCAGCGCGCGCCGGTGGTCGTGATCCTCTCAGGCCAGCTAGATAGCTCAGCCTTACTGTCCCTTTCATGATATAAACGACTTGTGACGAGCAAGAATCAAGGTACGGTTCAGACAACATTGGTTGTCCGGCAAAGTGGAATGACCGCGGCGCGGGGCCAAAAAAGGGCTGTCGTCATCAGATTCCAGCACTGAGTATGTGGTGGGCCGGCTATCGTACATGCATACAGTATCTACGGCTTGAAACGCCGCTCGAACTACATCTTTGCCTTGACCAGACTCTTCATCGACTCAGGTTCTAGGACACTCTTTGGATAAGGTAAAGGTGATCGATACAGGTGATGATCGCCTCCATCTACGGGGATCTCTGTGCCTGTAATGTACTCTGCTGCGGGCGAGAAGATAAATACGGCAGCCTGCGCAATGTCCACTGGATTCTGTCAGTGAGAGAACTACACATGAAGACGCACTCTTTGTGCCGATTCGTCCAAGTGGAACACCCTTAGAGGGATCATAGTCTTTGACTGATAATCTGTCCCACCCACCAGTGTCCCCAATGAGCCTGAGTCGTTAACAGGACAGCACGAAATCTTGAGCGTTGGAACTCACCCCGGGGCAATGACATTTGATCGCACACCCCTCGGTCCTTCTTCCACAGCTATGACACGACTCAAAGCGTGTACCCCGGCTTTGGCAGCGCTGACATGAGCTTGCCAGGGGGTTCCACGGTAGTGAAGCGTGACTCCAATATGGAGGTACGCCCCTTTACTCTCGCGCAGATGGGGTAAAGTGGCTTTGACAGTGTGATAAGTGCCCAGGAGATCAATTTCCACGACCGTCTTGAACGCGTTTTCGGACATCCCAGAGATGGGAACGAGGCTGAAGATCAGCAGATTCCCTCCAGGCAACAGCCTACAAGTTCCCAGCGGCGCCTGACTGTCAGTCTCTGACCCAGAGCTTTCGCTTACCGCACACCACAAAATCAATCCTTCCAAACTTTTCTATCGTCGCTTTGACGGCTCCCTGTACAGCCTTTGCATCCCTCACATCCGCTGGAGTTGCAAGACATTTCCGCCCAGTCGCTTTGGACAGTTTGTTGGCACTCTCCTCGAGACCTTTGGCACTATCATGTCAGCGTGGATATGCTCGCGCCTCCCTCACTCTCTTCCGACGATCGCAGCATCCGCGCCAAGCCCCATCATCGTTTGAGTGATTTCGTAGCATATTCCACTTCGACCTGCAACATTGAGTCAATCTCTGGATGGGCCAGTCTGCTCACCCCCCGTGCAGAATAGTACCTTGCCCCTGAATAGATCCTGTCGAAAGGTGTCCATGGTGTATGGTCAGAATGCAAAGACAGGTCGAGCCGAAGGGCCGGTTAGAAATCGCGATGATACCCGGTCGCCCGGCATTGTCAAAGGATATATATCTTTCGCATCTCCATGACATTCTCATCTACACATAATTCTTGCTCAAGAACACCTTGACCTTGTCCGCTACCTCTTCGACATGCGTCTCCAGTAAGAAATGACCTCCATCTAGAAGATGCACCTCTGCATTCTTCACATCTCGCTTGTAAGCCTCAGCGCCGGGCGGGATGAAACAGGGGTCTCCTTTGCCCCAAACGGCCAGTACGGGAGGCTGGTAGTCCCGAAGGTATTGCTGGAATTGAGGGTAGAGCTGGACATTGGATCCATAACTGTAGAATAGGTCCAACTGGATATTCTTTTGCTCTGCCGTGTAGGCATTGTTGAGATAATCGTTTGTCCAGGCCGAGGGATCGACCATGGTCAGATTGTCCTTGGGCACACCGAGTGTATATTCGTCCTTGAAGTGACTGACATTCAGCACCGCGCCTGAGATCATCTCTCGTGTTTCTTTATGGGAAGCATCTCCACTTGCCCACCACTGCTGCAAGGGCGCCCAGAAATCAGGTCCAAGACCTTCTTCGTACGCATTTCCATTCTGGGTTATGATGGCTTTGATACTCTCCGGTCGCTCAAGGGCCAGTCGGAACAGAGTCGGCGCACCATAGTCAAAGATGTACACTGCAAATGCTTTGATCTGAAGGGTGTCGAGCCACTGTCCTATGGTCGTGGCCATGTTAGAAAACGTGTGTTGGTAGTCCTTGGGAACGGTGGTGAGACCGAAGCCGGGCAGATCAGGAGCGTAGATGTGGTATTGCTTCGAGAGGAGCGGAATAAGGAGCCTGTATTGAGTTGAAGAAGTGGGGAAGCCATGCAAGAGGACTAAAGTCGGTTTGCTGCTGTCTCCAGCTTCGACATAATGCACAGTGGCACCGTTAGGGACGGTGACATCAAGATACCGTGGCATTTCGTGGAGAGGGGAGTTCGGATATGATTGGGTAGAGTCCACTTGGGGGCCAAGGTGCCAGTCTTATTGACGATGATTCTCGCTGCCTTGTTACTTCATGTCCTTATATACATCTTTCGATGCTCATACCTACCGGTCGCAACCGACTGTTTCACGTGCTGACAAAGCAATCACGTACAGCTGACTAAAAATCAATCAATTCGCGGGTCAATGGCCGTCATCGCGGATGAACGATCTCTTAGCTGGTGCTTCTGCTTTGAGCTGCCATGTCATGGAGGAGTGTACAGCAGGTCCATCATCACTGAAGCCAAGAGGAGGACAAGTATCTCCCGCGAAAGAGACTTATAGGTGAGTCAGCGTCAGCTGGCGTCACTTCATCGTTACATCATTGTGCTGATCCGGACTGGCAGACATCTTCTCAGTCCAAGTGCCCTCACACCATCGTAAATCTTTGCAATTATCATCGCCGATGCTAATCAGACTCAGGAACCCATTCCGAGTCATCGCACATTGCGATGTCGATGCAGCTTATGCTCAATTCGAAGCCGCACGGATCGGATCGCCGGACGATGCGCCGCTCATAGTGATCCAATGGGAAACTATTATCGCAGTAAATTATCCAGCGAGGAAGTATGGCATCACAAGGTGGGGGACGTCGTCGAGATTGGAACTGACGGGGGAATCAGATGTGCCGGTATGGGTCCCAAGGAAGCACTGGAGCTCTGTCCTCATCTGACCGTGGTGCACACTGCGACGTTTCGACCTGGTGAAATGGAATCGGGTTATTGGGATGATGCAAATGTCCTAACGCATAAAGTGAGCCATCCCAACTCGATATAGAACACGAAGCTCATGGAGCAGGTCAGTCTCGATCCATATCGCAAAGAGAGCGCCAAAATCATGGCCATCTTTAAGGAATTGGTTCCTGCCGGATCAGTTGGTGAGTATCGATTCTCTCCCCTCTCGGGGGTTTCGATTGATCTGTCTCAGAGAAAGCAAGTATCGATGAAGCCTATATCGATCTCACGCCCGTGGTCATTGAACAGCTCCTCGAGCGATTCCCTTTCCTCTCTTCTGTCCCTCTCGATGCTCCTAGAGGTCTCGATTCTCACCTACCCCCCGCCCCGCCGATTCAGTGGTCCCACACGGACAATCTGCTTCCGGATGAGGAGACGAATGACGACATTCCCTCGTCTCCAATGTCTCAGCGATCATTGGAGGATGAAGAGTTGCATGTCCGGCCACGGACACCAACACCTTGGCGAGACTGGGCCCTGGTGATCGGTGCCGAGATCATGACCATGGTCAGGAAGGAGATTTGGACGCGATTGCATTATACTTGCTCTTCTGGAATTGCTCACAACAAGGCTATGGCCAAGGTGTGACTGCAGAGAAGCGAGAACTGATTCGTAGCTTTCCTCTTCTCAGCGAAAACCCAACGGTCAGACTATTCTGCGACACTCTGCTGTGCGACGATTCTTAGCAACTCGGGACTTTACAGAGGTGAGCAGATAGTTCGTTTGGGTCTGATACTAGATCCGCAACCTTGGCGGCAAGCTTGGCCGAGCGATCGGAGAAGAGTACGGCTCTGAGCGCGTGGAAGACCTATTGTAAGCTCAGGATGTCATTCGTCCACTCACACGCCCTTAGAAATGTCACTCTGCCTGAAATGCAGGCCAAGTTTGGCGACGAAGTCATATGGGTGTACAATCTCATTCGAGTGAGTTTCGATCAAGGAGGAGTACTCATACCCAGGGCATTGACGAGACGGCTTTGACATCGAGAACACTACCAAAGTCCATGATAGCCTCGAAGAATGTTCTTCCCGCCATCACCAAGCCGTCCGAAGGGGAGCGCATCATCAAGCTTCTAGGCGGAGAATTGGCACTGCGATTAAGGGAAGCCCGGGAAATTTCGCCTCATCTGTGGGCAAAGACGTTGGTTCTCAGCTGGCGCATCGGGTTTGGATACGGTGTCAACAACGTCCGGTCCAGACAGTGCGGATTTCCACAACTCAATGTGCCCAAGGCAGATGATCCGACGATCTCGTCTGAAAAGCTAGAAGCGATCCAGCATCACATGCTGGAGGAATTGATAGTCAAGCTCGGACAGAGAATGTGGGACGCTGTGGCCAAGGGGTTGTGGGTCAGAAGCAAGCAGACCTTGATCACCACGGTGAGCAATGAATTATATCCCCGAGCTCATCTCATACAGCTCTCCATGCAGTTCACCGGGGTTCAGAGAGTCGAGGAGGGACAAAAGGGGATCGGCGGATTCCTCACCGCTGGACCGCAGAAGCGTAGTCTCGATTTGACAGAGGGCACTGAGGAGGAAGATGTCCAACAACCACCAGCTCCTAGAGACATCGAGACCATTCAAAGTGATGCTGCGATCTCCGATGATGCCTCCTGGACATGTTCGAGGTGTCAAGAGGTGCTACAAGACTCTGAAGGGCACCTACCCCTTGACCGACGGAAAATGGAACATGAGGATTATCACGCTGCGCTCGATCTTCAAGCGTCTTTGGAGACTCGACTTGAGCCTGCAACGTCACCTCTTAAGTCCAAGCGGAGGAAGACAGGCAATGACATCAGACGCTTTTTCAAGCCTTCATAGATGATCCTCTTGTTCTTGTTGTATGCATATACATTGTGCCCGGAATTCTCGGGGATCTCGCATGCATGGTTCGGGGCGGAGAGCACCGAAGAGGGTGGGGCCGAAGGGGTGGAGGAAGGTGGAGGTCGAGAACAAAAACGTCAAGTGGAGAGAGAGGCGCTCCATCGACTTCTACATCTCACCTTCTTTACATCCTGGCATAGACTTAGACCCATCTTACGAAGCAACAGATAAGTACATCACCTCCATCATGTCTGTCGAATTTGAGCCCAAGAACATGATCTTCCGAAACCTCGGAAACTCCGGTCTCGTAAGTCTGACGAGCATGTGATGGGTATAGGTCTTACTGAATGCCTTCAGCGAGTCCCCGTTTTCAGTTACGGGGGATGGTTGACGTGAGTCGTGCGATCTGTCTGGACTTGTTGCTGTTCTGATGGAATGCGGTAGCGTTGGATACGAGCAGAAGGGAGACATCGTCAAGGAGCTCATGAAAACTGCTTTCGAGAATGGTGAGTGAATTTCAGGAGGTCCTTTCGATATGATGCTGACGAATCGGACAGGTATCAACATGTTTGACGTGCGTTCTCCGTGGCAAATAGCTACAAAGCTGACGATGTGACAGAATGCGGAAGCTTACAACTCTGGTGAAGTGAGTATTCAGCCCTCGAACCCATGCACGGACTCTTGCTGACAGCTTTTCAGAGTGAAAAGGAGATGGGAGCCGCCATCAAGGAGTTAGGCTGGGTTGGTTGTCCTAATCTCTGTGTATCATCAGAGGTGTATCATCAGAGCGCTAATGATTGTGGCTAGGACCGACGAGACATCATCGTTACCACTAAGATCTTCTTTGGCACTGAGCGGAAGAGCAGACACAACACCAGAGGATTGAGCCGGTGAGGCTTGTCCTGATCATGATTAGCCTTGATTCTCTTTTGACAAGATGCACAGAAAGCACATCGTCGAGGGCCTCAACAAGAGTCTGGAGAACCTGCAGCTCGACTATGGTCAGTCTCCCGCCCTTTCTCCATGAGACTGACAAGATTCAGTCGACATTGTCTTTGCTCACCGACCCGATGTCACCGTTCCCATGGAGGAGGTGAGCAGAAATGTGACAATGAAACTGACTTGCAGACGGTTCGAGCGTTTAACCACGTCATTGACAGTGAGTCCACTCCACAACGGCCCTACTGACCTTTGCCCAGCTGGCAAGGCATTCTACTGGGGAACTTCTGAATGGACTCCAAGTGTGTCTCCTACTTGACTTCCGATCGCCCCGCTTACAGTGTCCCGCAGTGCAAATCCAGCAAGCTATCGAGATTGCTCGCAGACTCAACATGATTGCGCCCATTGCCGACCAATGTCAGTACAACATGCTTTCTCGAGAGAACTTTGAGTCCAGGCTCGAGCCTCTGTGGAAGTACGAGAACTATGGAAGGTGCGTAGACGGAGTACCACATGCGCTCAACCCCCTCAGTACCGTTTTCTCTGCTCTTGCCGGAGGTATCCTTACCGGAAAATACAATGATGGCGTTCCATCCGACTCCCGACACAAGGACAACGCAAAGCGATTCGAGACTGAGGAAGGAAAGGCTCAGCTGGAGCACGTCAGACAAGTCACAAAGATTGCCGAGAAGTTGGGCACCAACGTCTCCAACTTGGCTCTTGCTTGGGTCCTGAAGCACCCCAACGCGTCCAATGTCATTGTGAGTGCCGATGAATGTAGATATCTTAGAAAAACAACTGACGGCGTTTCCCTAGCTCGGAGCCACAAAGGTAAGATAGACCCAACTGTAATCCATGCTCACCGATCAGCCCGAGCAAATCAAGGAGAATGTCAAGGCTCTCGATGTCATTCCTAAGCTCACCCCTGAGATCATGGCAGAGCTCGACAAGATCCTCGACAACAAGCCCAAGCTTGGAGTAAGTGGATCGAGAGGGTGATGTAATAGGTCCTGATTTTTCCACAGGAGTCTTACGGTCGTCGAGCCGAGGATGGAACCCTCATCTAAGCGGGCAAAGAAAAAGGAAGCAGAATTGACTTAGATTGTCGATGTGATCAGAATGCATAACGTACATGCGTATGGGTATGATACAACATTTGAAGGTCCGATCATGAACTCTTTGATACAGTTGGTGCCTCTTTTCGAGAGTTTGCCTTGTCCCAGAGAAAGCTGTCATTAGCGGTCATTCAGGTCTTCTCGACCTACAAATCACATCGATATTCGGGATTGACATCCTGACGAGGTCGTTTCGATCGTCCAGTGTCATAGCCAGCACCGACCGGCCTGACAATTAGCTACGCGACACGGATTAGGACTCACAGTGAACACAGCCAAAATCTTTTGCCCTTATTTGGGCCCGGAATCTTGACGACTGCATCGCACAGGTAAGCGTACTAGCCTCGGAACGGGACCTCAAGACTCACTGTAATCCTTACATGGTCTCTGATGAACAGAGCACAAGGGAGGCAACTTCTTCGCAAATACATTGGCCCAGATCGGAGCAGCTTGAGCATTCTTCTCAGCTCGCTGAGAAGCCTTCTCTTCGTCAGCCTCTGCGATTGCTTGAGCTATCAGAGCGTCTTCATCAGGATCGAAGCTGGCGGTGCGTGCGGAATTTGATTGTTGCGTTTGTGGCAGTGACGGGGAAGGAGTTTCAAATCGTTTGTCTGCACCATTTGCGAGGGTTGGGACATCATTGCTGGATTTCCTCTTGGCTGATGGCGGGGGATTAAAGAAAGAGGACAGCTTGGCTTGTCCGCCAGACTTTGTACGTTTCTTTGGTGGTAATACAGAGTTATTGTTCGTTTCCTCAGTCAGATCGACTGGTTTCGGCCGCGAAGGTCCGGCCCGGCTGTCGATGACGTTGAATGCCACACGAGCGATACCGAAGGGAGTTGTGATCGGATCCGGAGCCGGAGCGGCGACTGGGGCAGAGACAGTGCCTGGAGAGGAGGTGACAACGTCCGACTTGACCGGGGATGGCGGTCCGTTGTCCTTGTCTGCAGCAGACAGATCGTCCTTCGGTTCAGAGGGGCGCTTTACCGCACCACTGAAGAAACTCTTCAGCGTCTTTTGACGACCTGAAAAGTTGTCGTAGAATTTCGTAGCGAATCTAGGAGGTTCAGGGGCGATTCGAGGTGGATCAGTAGGGTAGCATACTGCTGTTGTCGGTGGTCGATCAGGAGGATTGAGCATGTCTCTGAGGTATTGGATGGTGCCATCCTCCATCGTGATGGAATCATGCAAATCGATATACACCGGACAATGATCTGATCCGTACACTTTCGCCTGTATATCGCCGCCTTTGATCCATGGTCGGAGGCCAGGCGTACAGAGAATGAGATCAATCCTAGATCCGTAATTTGCCGACCTATTCAAGTCAGTATGTCACCCTCGACGAGTCGCTCACCTAGCATCGAGCTTTGTATTCCAACAGGTAAACATGTCTTCTCTATCTGGCCAACTTTCTCTGACGACGTCGACCATCGGCCCCTTTGGGGCACACCAGTCATTCAGGATGACCCTCGCAGGGTGTTCATAATGCTGTTCGGCGGATGTTTTAATACCTCCTTCGCCCGAATCGATGGGCGCTCGCATGATATTGATGTCTCCAGCGATAATCACTTCGCGACCAGATTTCTGTAGGGTCCGGACCCGATGTTGTAAAACTTTGAGAAAATTCATCTTGAATGGCCTCCTCGCGTCATTCGTCTCATTCGGACAATACAGGTTGAACAGGACAAACAGGCTGTATGATCAGCGGTTGCCAGTGCCAAGGCGACTCACCCAAAGTCACAGACTACAGCTCTGCCTTCTACGTCGAGGCGCTTCGGATCAAATGCCGTACCATCCACTTCATCATCAAAGTCCAGCTCGTCAATCTCTCCGTAATCGCCTATTCGCTCCTCTGGCGTCCAAGGAGATTTCATCGTACCGCCCTTGTCGTCTAACAGGAGACCAGTGATCCCTTCCTCGGCTTTGAGAGGCACACAGACCCTCGAATCAACATAGGTACAGACTCCAGAGTATCCCGTATTCTTTCGATTGAACGTCCAGAATGCATCGTAAGGTCCTGGGCATGCCATGTCCTTCTCTAGCTTATCACGGCGAGTCTTGTGTTCTGCCTTATCAGCGCTGAGACTACGACATGGATGTACCTTGAAAACATAATATGTCTGCGTGAAGCTCATCCAACAGACCCTCCACATTCCGTTTCTCCATTTGGGAGAACCTGCTCTTGTCAAACGAGTGCGGAGGATCGCTAAAGAATGAGCTCACGGGTGATAGTTGAGGCATGATCCCAAGAGGTTCTACAAGAGGTGAGCTTGATCAATTAATTGAGATATCTACTCACGACGTTCCATGTCAAGATCCGCATGATCTATGCCTCATTTCATAGCACGATATGGCTCAAGCTGGGAGATGAGCTCGCCGCTACCAGTGCCGATCATCGACGGATACAGCCAACTTTTCCACGGTGGATTTCCGGCTATCGCCATTCAAGTCAGTCAGTTCCCCTTCGGCCCTTTGATTGCACCATTCATGCCATTGTTCACATCTATACATAGACATTTGAGCCCATTCAATCCGGTCTCGGGATCTCATACAGCTTTGAACTATCAATCTTGTCATTCCTGAGAGTCCAGCATGGCGCCTCAGACGGTTCCCTGTCAGGTACGTCACCGTTCTTAATCAAGTGATCAATTGACCAATATTCGGCACAGTACAAGACAGGAAAGACTTTGGGGAGGTGAGCAATGAAGTGATCCGAAAGCTGATCCTCCACAGTGGAACATAGTGGGTCTAGCTGCTTGGAAAATGTCTAATGTGCCAGTGCCGTTGTCAAAGAATGTGTGCATATAACGGTCAGTCACAGTTTTACCTTGGTAAGAGAGATCCTGATGGCTCTGCGCAGACCGGAGAGTATTTTGCTTGTAAAGTCTTGAACAAGAAGTTCCTTGTCGGCAGAGAGCACATGGTGAGACTCTCATACGTTCATACGTTCTGCCGGTTGATATCGCTAGGTCCGGAATGAGATCAATGTCCTGAAACGCGTGTCTGCGGGCCACAAAAACATTGTATCCCTGCATGACTTTTTCGAGACGACTCACAATCTCTATGTGAGCGGGATTCGCTCTCAACGCTGATGCCCAGCTTGTATTTGACCTCTGTACCGGCGGAGAATTATTCGACAGGATATGCCAGAGAGGGAGCTATTACGAGAAGTGAGACCATGCCAGACTTCCCCGCGCTAACTTTCAGGGATGCGGCGGGCATCGTACGGACAGTGACATCTGCTGTAAAGTATTTGCATGATCAGGGGATCGTTCACAGAGGTAGGAACCCCCGAATTGGGCAGAACTCACCGGCTAGACTTGAAACCGGAAAACATCTTGTTCAAGAGCAAAGCTGAGGACGCAGAGTTGATGTTGGCAGACTTCGGAGTGAGTCGGAACGGATCAATTGATACTAATTGCCCAGCTTTCGAAAGTGCTTGACGAGGACAACTTTTCAATTTTAACCACTACGTGTGGAGTGAGCAGACCCCTGGCCGCACTCTCTGACAGCCAGACACCCGGCTACATGGCGCCTGAAATCTTCCGCAAAGCTGGTCATGGTAAACCGGTAGATATCTGGGCCATTGGAGTCATCACATACTTTCTGCTCTGCGGATACACACCGTTTGACAGAGATTCACAGTATGAAGAGATGCAGGCGATCTGTGCAGGAGACTACAAATTCGAGCCAGTGAGGACACCCATCTTAGAATTGAGCTCATAGCTCAGGCCGAGTACTGGGCAGGTGTTTCCGAGACTGCCAAGCAATTCGTCCGAGATTGCCTTACCATCGATCCGACAAATCGCCCGACCGCTTCCCAATTACTGGATCACCAATGGCTACACACAGAGGTCGACCATGTCGATCTGCTACCCAACGTCAAAGCAGCGTTCGATGGCAAGAAGACTTGTAGGTTCATTTGGGAGGACCCCGCTCACCACACCTTTAGTCCGCAAAGCGGTCTTGGGCATGATGGCTGTGAAACGAATGCAGGACGTATCGATGCACGAACACGACAAGAAGGTCAAGGATCAAGACAAGCTCAAACAAGAGGTCGAGGAGCGCAAAGCAGAGGCAGAAGAGGTGAGCGGTAGTGCGAGAGAGCTCGCTGACACTTCAGGAACACGTCAATACACACATGTAACACATTCTCGTCGTTGTCTGGTGGTACATGCATTGCCATACAACACTATGTCTTGAAGACGATGATCAGGATCAAGAGGATGAATATGAGGCCGACAATTGTGAGGGTAGAACCTGATAGTGAGCTGCGAACAGACGAATTTGACCTACCGTGTTGTCTTGCATCCGAAGCAACCTTGTCTAAGCGTTTCTTTGCCCTGTGTAATCGTTCCTGTGTTCGGTCCATAGCTGCATCTGTGTCCTCCAAGAGCTCGTGATGGATATCCAGCTCGTCACCGATCTGCACAGAGAGGTGGTTCTGACGCCCAATTGACGACGATAAGAGGTTCAGGCGTTCATCTTGGTCTGATAGATTAGCAACGCTGAAAGTCAAAGCGCCTCACCATCCATCATCATTTGTTGTTCAGATAATAGCTCATGCGGCGTCTTGCCAGGTGGACTGGATGATCTACTCCCTCCCTCTCCTCGATCATCGTCTGGGAAATCCCGGAAAGGTGCGTCGACAGCTGGTGTCGGTGGCTCAATACTGACGCGAGGGATCGATGGCGGAACCGAGACCTGAGGTTGGGGCGATAGCGGTCTAATCATGAGCTCAGCGGTACCTAATTTGGCTTACCTCTGCTTCCTGGCCAAGCCTTTTGCTCTCTCCTTCCCCATATCATCACTGTCCCTCAACATTTCGACTAGATTATCGTATCTCTCCACTGCCTCCTTTATCCCACCGTTCGCCCTTTTGCCCTTTCCTCCTACGCTGAGGCCCGAAGCTTCGATATCTGATTCGTCTGCTAACTTCTCGAGGTCGTTCTTGATAGTTGTGAGATTCCGGACGATCTGCGAAGTCGAAGATGCTGAAGGTGCAAGGTTGAGAGAGATGACTCGAGATCGTTCGAGGAGAAGCGAAGAGGTCGTCGTGAGGCGAGATTGTATAGATAAGAGGGATGGAGGAGCCATGGAGAGAAGCCCTTAGGAACAAATTGAGAGGATCAACAGAGGTATTGAGAGAGATGTCCAAGAGGTTGCGAGAACAGAAGACTTGATGAAATGCGTCAATTGCGATGATGCGGGTGATCAGCCTCTGGAAGCAATTCAATGCTGAGTGGCTGCGAGGCGGAGGACGCCGATGCAAGGGCAACTTCTACACAATTGATGGACCGCAACATTCAGAGCATCCTGTCCGTTAGTGACTGTAGCTCGTGTGTCTCACTGGCTAATCGTACGGCATACTATACCTTGGTTCTCCTTGAGACTAGAGACTGGTTGCGATGAACGAGTCATTCCCTCTCCGGTGTTCGTGTGGAACTGGTTAAAGAGTTGAAATGTGGCAATAATACCCTATAAACAATATATGGCTCAGGCAAAGTCTGCTTGACAGCTATAGCAATGTTACGGAATGACATTGACAAGACCCTTGGGGAAATCTTTGTCACAGTCTTCTGTCAAGTATCGACACGCCAGAATCTTTGAAATGTGTGCAGTACATGGCATTCTCATCCGGTCATCATCTGCTCGTCTTGACTAAATCGGAGCAAGTTAGTCTCTGAGTCTAGATTCAAGTAAACTCTGCTCGGCAACAATCAGACAGACAAGAGCAACCCTCCTAAGAGCAACCTTTTCAAGAGCTACCCTCTCAAGTGCAGTCAGCATATCCTTTCTTATTGCCGGGCGTCTGCGCCCATCTTCAGTAGCTTGACGTCGATTCTGATGGACCGCATTGTATCCAGCTGGCCAAAAACTTGCCAAGATATCCAACTCTTCTACGACGTCTCACGAGACATTCTTTCAATACAGCTCAAGAACGAGCTCTACAGTGATCTCTCTATCAGTGAGAAAAAAAAGGGGCTTCTCCGCCGGAGAATCGAACTCCGACCGTCCGCGCTCAATGTCTGAAAAGCGGAAATCCTAACCATTGGACCAGCGAAGATCGAAAATTACGGTTCAATGGTTGATTATGTAGGCGTTCAATCCCCTCAAGGGAAGCTACTTACAGGTCATTGGCAGCATCTGAGCTCACATCCGCCAATGGCTTTTCTCCTGAGACCATACTACCTTGGATTGCGAGGCAAGGAAGCGATTGCTTGTCAGCGGATGTTCAGATGGGGGCCTCAGACATTGCTGGTCAGCGAGCCGACTTCACAGTCCAAAGGTGGACAGGATTCATTGACACGGAAGAGAGGCTACTCCCTACGGGATTACTCTTGTAGCTCACATCATCTTCGCTCTCGATGAACGTCAAGCCGCAGGCTGACTACAAAGGCCACTCTGGAGACGTTCAGTCGATAGGCAGTATCGTTCCGCCAGATCACTGCGTTCGCACGTTCATGCCATAGAAGGGCTGCAACGCCACAGCTGATGGATGACTGGGAGGACGGGCCTGGCTTTGCGACTCAGGGTGTCATCCCGGCGAGCTTCGGCATGTAGACCGTTCTCTACTCTTTGATCGGCACAATTGGCTTCAGGAATGTGAATCGTCCGGCTCTGGAATTAGTCGGGTGGCGTAGATGATTTGTCATGACATGCTCTATTTGCTTTGTCAGTGTGCGCTTATGTATATCAATGCGTCTCAACCGATTCCCCATGCATGCATCATTCCGAGATCTGAGATCTGGCTTTGTCATGGCATGATCCAATACCCTTGGCACTCAATGCGTATATGTGGCATCCGATCTCTTCGATTCACCGCCAGAACCACCTACTCCCAAAAGCGCACCTCCCAACGCCTCTCCACCATGCCAATCGCTCTGATCACTGGCGCCAGCCGTGAAGATACCATAGGTAATGAGTGCACAGCCAACGACCCTTCTCGCTGATGCTCGTGGGTCAGGCTTCGAAGTCGCCCGACAGCTCGGTGCCAAAGGATATGACCTCATTCTCCCTACTCGTTCCATAGATGCGGGGAGGAAAGTCTCTGAAGTGCTTAAGACAAAGCATGAGGTCAACAACGTCCACGTAGTCGAGCTCGACTTGACCAAGCCGGAATCTGTCAAGGCATGCGCAGACGAGGTGAAGAAGCAGACGGGAGCTCTGGACGTGTTGGTAAACTGCGCTGGGATCTCCCTGGCATCCACCTATGACAAAGGAATCGAAGCGTTGAAAGGGTGGAAAGACTATAGCTTGACTGAAGGCTTGAGAGCAATTGATACGACACATGATGACCTGGAAGCGATCTTCCGCACCAACGTTTTCGGGGCCATCGAACTGACTAGTGAGCCGAGCGTTGGATCCTACGGCTCACCACTCAGATGCGCTCGCTCCTCTTCTACTCCAGTCCAAAGCCCCTCGCTTGGTCTTCGTCTCGACCACGATCGGTACATTTGAGTCTGCCGACAAGCCAGACGCATTCAATCACTACTTTTTCGCATATGCATCAAGCAAGGCAGCTCTCAGTGAGTCTAGACGCGTTTGAGTGCCTGATAGATCAGACATGGCAGCACTGTCGTACAGCAAGCAGCTGCCAAAGTTGAACCCGGCGATCAAAGTCAATCTCGTCTGTCCAGGGTATCCAGGTGGGTCGAATTCGATATCACTGCTGACGCCTCAGCCACTGCCCTGAACGGATACCAGGGTTTCGGGACTACGCCTGATTCAGCCATAGGGATTGTCGAGCTGGCCACGGTCGATGAACACGGACCGAACGGTGAATTTCTCGCCGCATATGCTCCATATGGAGAGCCAGGAAAGATGGGAAGAGTTCCTTGGTAGATACAGAAGTAGCAAGACAGTGCCAAAACGGCCTCCTTCAACCTTTCCCTTAAGTGATTGGATGATTGAGGGTCGCGCAACGCCTTAGCTCAAATCAAAAGCATCTGGAGATGTAACTTGTCCCGTTCTAGAGCTTCTTCACAGCTGGCGTTAACGCGAAGGACCCGTTAGACTCTCTCCTAGCGTGCGAGCCCATCGTCTGCAGCAGAAATGTGAATGGCGAAGCGACCCTTTTGTCACGTCTTCCGCCACATTCCCAACCATACCCGACCTGCCGTTGGATTTGGACCAGGTTAATTATCGAGTATCATTGTCAATCCGAGATCTCCATGGAGACAGAAGGTCCGAGTCCAGGATCGCTAGACACACTTCGCCACCTCGTCAAGTCCACTCTTTGTCATGTCAGCCTGAAGTTACTGCTCTCGAACGGGATGAATACCCAAAGGGAAGGCCGCTCGCTTGCACTGACGTCTCAAAGGGATGCAGACTCCTTTCCACCCGCCAACTTTTTGCTGACCTTTTCATCATCTTCGATCGTATAGTTTGTCAACATACTAACATCTGACACATATACATACTCCCGATCGCCCTCAAACGACGCCTTGCGCGTACCATATCACGCCGTGTAGTATACGTCGAGGATCTGGAGTTTCCCAATTCTTGAAAGGCGCTGAACACAAGTCAGTCAGTTGGACCTCAATGGGCTTATCAGATCGACCATCAGGATCTACGACTTCGTCCACTCTCACACCTGGTCCTCCTTCTCAGCTCAACTTCAGCTCGTTTCCAAGAAGGGTCTCAACGCCTTCAGCCTGTACACCATGCAAGAGATCTCACTTGGCATGTGAGGCGTCTCGGCCTTGCGGACGATGCATCAAGCTGGGCAAAACCGATGATTGCGAGGACGCACCGGTGAGTTGCAGTTTGATGCCGTGCAAGTCGTGACTGACCCTAAGTTAGCAGTTGAAGCGTGGTCGACCAAGAAAGCTGAAGCGATCCAGTACACGGTCTCCAAGCGTTGATTCGAGTAGTTTGACAGCATGTTTGGAAAGAGATGTATTTACACCAACTGGATTCGAGTCAGGCTTCGACTACCCTAGCCTTCTCGAGTCGTTCGAGCTTTTCACCACAACAGACTTCAAGATCCTCAGAGCCACTGATCCCTGCTATCACCTCACCGGATTTCACCCTCACGAATTCATCAACATACCTCTCCAAGAACTTGTCTTCCCTGATGACTGGCCCCAGATGAAGCATCATCAGATGGCACTGACGAACCCCTTGGATGGCCCCGCCAGACTTCGGACCAGTCGCCAAGCGCAGGCCGCGTTGACACAGCTCGACGACCTCAGGCTTCGAGTTCCTGCCCAGGGCATGGTTGCGCCATTTCCGAACGAGAATGTTAGGGTCGTACGAAATGACGGGACGTACGCGCTTTTCAACGTCCGCATCCACCTCGGAGGAGCACTCGAAGGTTGCCTGAGAGAGCTGGAACAGCTTGACTCGAGTTACTTTGCCATATCTCTTCTGATCCTTCGATCCTCCGACTCGCCTATCCTCGTCGACAAGGTGATCCCACCAACTCCTCTCACACCGTCAGTGGGCCCTATCTCACGTCCACAAACCGAAAGCTCATCTGTCGACCCTCCTGGGTTCTCCACCTTTGCCGCTGCCGCAGCCCTGCGGGAGACCAGTCGATATGCGCTGTCGCCTTCCTCGACCAGGCAGGACGGTTTTGCAGTCAACTCGTTATCCCTCGAGACCCCGTTTGAAACTTGGCGTTCTTCCGCGGTGTCTCGGCTGCGAGTTCAGTACCAGCAATCGTGGTATGAACAAGCCGGCGATCCAGTCAGAGAACAAGGATGGAGGAGAACATACCTAACTCCCACGCACAATGGATCACATCAGGGTCTCCAGATCACCGGACTACCTCAAAATGCCCAAATGGGTACAAGCTGCCAGCCCCTGAGCGCCTATACCGATGAATATGGAGATTGTCCTCGAACGAGCCAACCTGACATGCACCACGCAACTACAGCACGTCAGCCTCAGGAACACCTCCGGAACGGACGGCAGGCGGCATGGCCGATAGACCTTGCTCAACATCCCCTACATCTGACATATTCGCCTGAGAATCTCCACTGGACTGGATAATCGTCGCACTCGCAATATCTGCCTGAACCTCGCTTCGAAACACGTCTCGAAATCAGTAGAGATCACCCCTATATCAAACGAGAGTTCTAGCGTCCAACAAGTCTTTGGCGTGACATTCTCTACATTTTGAGGATTCTTCGTCTGTAGCATATCGTGGACTTGTTGCAGCCTTTATATCATTATACATGCCAGACGATGCCGAGTGGGGAGACTGATACAATAGTGTCCGTTCATGCTGCTCTTCATTTGGAGCCCAATTCGACCGCAAAGGCCACGGCAAGTTTGGAGAATCTCACAGAATGAGCGATGAAGGTGGGATGTAACTCACTCTTTCATATGACTGAAGGAGAACTCAGGGTGGTCGATGGTGTCCTGTGTGGAGTGGATGTTGTGGTTGATGTTGTCGAAAGTGCTTTCCGACCTGGAGACACATCAGCTTATACTCAGTCGTCGCATGATCAACTTACGCGCAAGCAGCTTGGTATCCTGCCTTGGTGAACGACGCATGGTCCGAGCAAGCATAGCCACATTTGGTCCGAGCGGCGGGAATGCTCACTGAAGCTTGTCAGCAGACGTGCCAATCCCGCAACTTACGATACTCCACAATCAAAGCCTCAACAAAGTCTGTCAGAGCTGGGTCTGTGTTGTCCTCCATGATCGCAGCAACTTCCTCTGTACCTTTCTTCACCCAAGCCGTCATGTCCATGTGCATCATCCCTCGGACCTTGACGCCCCTGTCCTCGTAATCCTTCGCAACGGCTTGCGAACCGAGTAATCCACCTTCTTCAGCAGAATAAAAGTGGAATTCGACAGGTCGAGAAGGCGTGAAATTCGCAGTTGCCAAAGCGCGGAAAGCTTCAAGCATGGACGTCGTTCCTGATCCATCATCATCTGCCCCTGGCGCAGGCAGGAAAGGCCAAGCATTAGTAGAATCTTGGTGAGCGCCAAGAATGACGACCGGAGCCGACTTGAGATCCTCCGAAGATGGATTGAATCGAGCGATAATGGAGCTCTGTGTCCAGGTATGGGCAAATTCAGAGATCTCAACGCCCTTGTGGTGAGATGACAGCTTCTGAAGTGTCGACATGAGGAACTGCTGGGATTGCTTGCCAGTATCTGAACGGTAGTATCGCGTCCTGAAGCCGGTGAACTCCTTCAGGAAACTTCGCATGCTCGATACGTCGAGATTCTTGTTGATCTCTTTGATCGCCTTGGAGTGATTTCCAGGTGCCGGATACTCGTTCTTCACCAGTGCTCCGGAGAGGAACGAGGAGAACCCGAGCGAGGGAGTATCCGTAATATCCATAAAGTTTTTGCCGTCGGCTCTGGCTCGGATCTTATCATGTTCAGTGATCCAGCTGTGTGATTCGATCAGCAGATCCAGCGCAATGCAAGGCTACTCACACTGCCAGCTCATCCTCTGCAAACTGGACCAAACGTAGCTCGTTCAGATCCATAGACCAGTCGTACGAGCTTTGCGAGATGATGTCTGGCTTGGCGATGGGGATGTTGGAATCATGCTGAAAGACCAATGATCTAGCTGCGGGAGCAGCCAGAGTGAAAGGTAGTGCCAAAGCAGCAGCAGCAGCGGGAACGAGCATCCTTGTCGACGTGGAAGAATGAATGATTCAAATGAACATGAACATGAATCTGGGGTGATGATGCGGCGTCGACAGGGAGTTGCCGGCTGGCAAGCCAATTCTGCCGGAAATGGGAAAATGTGGGGCTCCGAGATGAAACCACGTGGCGAGATTCAAGCTCGCGTTTTTGTTGAACCTCGACGTCAATTGCAACATTCTTGGACTGGTTGTGTTAGGCTGTCTCGCTCAACCATGGTCAATATGGCAGCTGCTCCATCTTCTCACTTATCTGCATCTCAGTCCTTTGCAAAAGTGTTCTCCTCATATCATGAACAGTATGCCGAAGCTGGACCGTCGAGCGCTCAGCTCGATACTCCAATACGATACGATGTGGTTTTGGACGAGGAGGGAGGATTAGTGACCTCTCTCATGGGAACGCTGGAGCAGGCGTGAGTCAAATGGATCTGGCCAGAATCATTATATCTCTGACTACTCACAGGCTGCTTCGCGAGCTGGCAGCTAGCGACGATGGAGAAATGACCGACGATCTAAAAGATGCCTTAATGAACGAACATCGGACATGGCAGCTGGTCAGAGCAGTGTACGAGTAAGCCTTAGCGAAAAGGTAGACGCTGCAGGACATTGACTCGTGACAGCGTTCGTCTACATCGTGCGGATCCGGCTTTCGTCCGTGTATCCGCCAAAGCTCATCTCGCTCAAAATCCATATTCCTCTCCTGAAGAGTTGACCCAATACATGGTCAATGAGGATTCCGAGCTCAGTCTCCTAGCAGTGAGGCGGTTGCAGCCAGCCTGAACTTAGACTGACTATGAACAGATGCTAGTGGACCACTTGCAGACCCGTACTTTACTGGATCAAGCACCTCCTCTCGAAGCGCGTCACGGATACCTTCCTGCAACAATTCGGCGGGCCAAAGCGACAATGCTCTCTGCGACACATCGTCAGAACCCGTCCCTCGATCCTGATTTTACTCTCCGAGACCCTCATGGATCACACCTTGCGGGTGAAGATCAGACGTATCAGGTACCTCTGCTCGAGACATTGTGGGATCTCGTTCGGCATGGAGAGCTGGATCAGGCGTTGAAAATCTGTGAGGAAGGCGGTGAACCATGGCGGGCTGCTTCCTTGATGGGCGGAAGGCGATGGAGCATGGGAGGGATGAGTGAGTAATGACTCAGTGAAGATCGGACTGGTTTGACGGATTCACTACAGCTCAAGATTCCACAACCGGCCCGCTTGAGGGCAACAGGACGAGAAATTTGTGGAAGAAAAGCTGTAGAGCGATAGCGACTAATGTGAGCCGATTCGCGGGCATATCAACGCTCATTCTCTAGCCAACGTTGAGCACTGCTGAAAGGCGACTCTACGGCGCGCTCATAACACACCTTCCGACCCTTTTACCCGCCTGCGAGACGTGGGAAGACCACCTCTGGGCACACAGTCAAGCAATGATGGAATCGCGCCTAGACCAGAAGTGGAAAGATCTGGCTGGGTTCTGGGAGCAACAAGAACAGGTTCTGGGAGTGGATGATGGATCCCAAGTCATCCAAGGAGGGATTGATGATATTTTCGCTCGTCTAGATGATTTTGGTCGCGAAGATATCCAGTGAGTGGGACAGTGTGGAAGTTTAGCTGACTCATCAGCTCGTCGTCTCTGGATCCGTACCGCGTAGCTCAGAGAATGGTCATTCAGGGTAGAGCGGATCTCTTGCTGGATCAATTTGCCACGCGTTTGCCGGAGATCGATACGGTCATGGCTCCGGAGTGAGTTAAGCTGGGCGCTCGATTATCATTGAAGGCTGATCATGCGCTTTAGGTTGATCGCTCCGCTCGTTCGTTTCTTCAGTCACCTTGTCCTTCTACTCCGCACGCTAGGTCAGCCTGTACCAGATGGTGCAGCGAATCTCATTCTGGAGAAATACTTGTCTATCCTCAGACTCGAAGGCAATGACAGTCTTGTGGCGATGTACGCCGCTTGTCTACGAGAAGGCAGCGGCGAGGAGAGCTACGCGAGGTTCTTGCGAGGTGAGTAGGAAGCTGCCAATGGGTGCGGCGGAGATACTTACAAGTTTCAGGTATGGATCCCAATGCAACCCGAGAGGCAAAGTATGAGGCTTTGAATCGAGCCAAGCTGCATAATCTCGATATTGCTGTCATTGTGACGCAAACAGTCCGAATGATTCTTCAGGAGGCCTTTGCTGTGAGTATCTCGGATTAATGTCGATGGTCATGGCTGACTCTAGCCCAGTCCATACCCGCACTGAGAGGCGACCAGCCAGATCCGACTCATTTGCGAACAGGACTGGACGAACGTGATGTCTTCTTGATACGATCATTGGAATGGCTCACAATGGTACCGGATACAGCGGACGAGGCTTTAGTTCAGTCCAACGCAGTTGCTCGTTATTTTCTGGGTACGTGGGAAATCGCAGGCAAACAGTGGATTACGCTGACTCTGCCTTCCAAAAGCCCTGGGACAAACACACGCCGCTCAATCCCTTTTCCGGTCTCTACCAGCTGGCATCTCAACCATCGCTGAGGATGAAGACGGAGAACTACATGCTCTCGAGCACGATCACTTCCAACAGCTATTCAACGTCTATGCCTGTCATGACTTAGTGGACGAGGTGCTAGCGAGATCGCCCAAAGCCACGTAAGTTTCAGGATTATCTGCCTGAGCATCGTCTGATTATACTTCAGCGCAACGAAAACAGAGCATTTCAACTGGCGCAAAAGCCTTATCACTGCCATTGACAAGACGGAGAATGCGACTGTGACACTGCTTACATGCGATTGGTTCCGCTTCGACCTGGTGGGAACAGCGGGTGAGTCGAGATCTCCTCCTCCTCAACGTAACTATCAGCTCATCAGCGAGCAGAGCAACAACGCATGAAAGAGCTCGAGCGAATCCGCCAGATCTTCGTCCCTGATCTCACTGTCCGCTTACACGATCTCCTCGTTGCGCACAAAGCACATCAACCGATCCTCCTACAACGTGCTTTGGACCTCAGCAAGGTCGTCGCGGCGGAGGAGTACCATGTCTATCAAGAGTTCTTTGGCAGGTCAGGAGGTGACCCATACAGGCTATCAGCATATCTTGAACGCATCCGCGAGGCAAGTTTGGAGGCCTTGAAGTCGGGTAGCGGGGCTGCGTTTGTAGTGAAGGCTTGAGTGAGCATCCAGGTCAGATCACATTGTCTAGAGTCCCGTAACACCGCGACTTGCGCGACGACAATGAACCAACATGAAAAGCAGATTGCATGCCACCGTGAAGGAAAAAAAAAAAAAAAGCCAGGTCCGAAAACGACCAATGTCCCATGAATTATACAACGTACTACATACAAGACTCCACTCTCGCACTCATGTCTCCCAGCTCATCTCGCTACACTGATTCTGTTCCTCCCCGTTGCTCCTTCACTTGTCCTCGCCGCATTGCTCTTCAAGACTTGTTGATGCAAAGTCCCGGATCGACTTCGAGGAGGAGCCTTCTTGTTCCCAGTGATATGTCCTATGCCAACTCCGACGGACGGCTGGACGTCAATACTGCCTAGAGGTTGACGAGTAGGAATGATCCCTTGCTGAACGTATTGGTCTCCATTCTGTTGCAATCGAGCCGGAGCAGTAGGCATGCGCCGAATGAATGGGGATGGCAGATCGGGATCTTCTGCGCCCCATTTTGCTGGAGTAGCTGCTTCTCGATAGACAAAGCTCGCAGGTCCAGGAATCATGGTCGGCGGGACGACAGGGACGTTCTCATTGGATTCATGCGATCGACGATCGTTTTCGGTGTGATCAGCGGATGTAATCGAATCTGTGGACGTAGAGGTGGACGGTGGTCGCGATGATGATTGCGTCGAATATGCACTTGGGGCGATGGAAGATCGCCTTGGTCGGGGCATGTAAGGCACAGGAGACATGAATGCTGAGGAAGCCGGCGATGCCATGGAGATGTCTTGGTCCATCCGAACATCAGACGGACTGCCGATACTGGATCTCTGCTTGGCTCCGAAATGAGGCAGGACCTGACGCGCGGGTGTGCCTTCGTGGCGTGCTTGATCCATACGATACTGCGAGCCGAGATTGCCCATTGACTTGGTGGCATTACGTCGCAGTGGCGTCGCTGCTCGAGATCCTGGTCGATCACCTGAGTGACCAGAAGCGTTGGACAAGAACGGGATCTTTGATGGAGTATCATCGTAGGCGCTAATGGTCGACTGTACGGCGGCCTTGGAGTGGCGGCCAGTGGCGGAGATGACTGGTGCGGAATTACGTTCTTCTATTGCCGGTCTGCTTGGAGCTAAAGAGCCCCGTCGTGACATAGAGGGCGCATCGCTTGCTCCCAACATGGGCATTCCAAGGGAATCTCGTGTCCGATCATTTTCCTCCCTCATTCGATCCCAGTGATCTCGCAATTGTTCAGCGGCCGCATTGAGACGACGCTTGGTCTCTCGAGTCTCTTCTTCCCTTGTTCCGAGCTCGTGAGCACGAGCCAACAGACTGGCTTCCATAGCTGCAAGATGTTTCTCCTTCTCGTCCAAACTAGCAGCTCGTGCTTTCAGGCGCTCCTCAAGCTGTCTCAGCTCTTCACGCCGGGACACAATAAGAGCAGCCCTGGAAAAGAAATCAGCCAGAATCAACATGAGCGTGACCCACTGATTCTGCACAGTGAATAGCTTTCTGTGCATCTTCATTTCGCTCAGCTCCAGTAGATCCTTGGTTGTCGGGCGTTTAGCGGGCTACACAGCTGATCAGAGACGCAAAAATAGTGGTCATATGAGAAGACTCACATTTAGCGTCAGCATCGCCTTGACAACCTGCGTTAATTCCGGTGATATCGACGACGGTAGAGGTGGCAGTCGGCCAGACTTGACCATTGCTATGAGCTCGGCCTGAGTTTGAGCGGTAGAAAATGGAGACCTTGGAGAGTTGTGAGTGAAAATTATTCGGAGGATCTGGCGACTCACGACAGGGCACACATCTCGAAAACGACACAGCCGAGACTCCATATATCTGATTTTGTGTCGTATCGGTTCTCAGCCAGAATCTCGGGGGGCATGTACAGGGGGGTCTATCAGATGTCAGCCAAGGTCGAAACATACTATGGAACTTACGCCGACATAAGTGCTGGTGAATGCCGAGTTACCCATATCCTTGCTGAGTCCAAAGTCACCCAGCTTTACAAACTCGTCAGACAGGAAAACTACGTCTGATCAGCGATAATCCGAATATAGTTCAGGCTGTGGCAGGCAGCTCACTATTCTCTGGTTTCAAATCTCGATGAAGGACCTGATACCTGGGTACGTTGTCCGCAGCAGCGGTGCTCGTTCTGCCAGATTGACGAGCAGATGACGGGCGTTCAGCTGGCCAATGGCAGTGATGGAGAGCGAGGGTGATTTGAAGGAAGATATTCCAAATACGATCTTCGTTCAGAGGCTGCCCAGATTTCTGAGCCTTCCGTATCATCGTGCCTAGATCACCCGAGGTGCAGTACTAATTAAGTGCGTCAGGTGAGAAGCTTCACAGAGTGGATGACACTCACCTCCATAACGATGTAGATTCGCTCGTTCTTGGGGTCCTTGATCTTCTGAACCAGCTGGACGATGTTCCGGTGTTTGAGGGACTCCAGAATAGCGCTACGAAATGTGAGCTTCGAGACATTGGCAGAGCAGACTCACACTTCCGCCAAGATTTGCCGGCGGTCTTTATCAGTCAACTTTGAGTAGTCCAGTTGTTTCATGGCGAATTCCTAGATTCAGGTCAGCATCGTCAAGTTGGAGGCTCGGAATGTGTGGGCGAAGAGGATGCTACCTATATCAAGGTGAAAAACACCAAGTTTCCCAACACTCTGACGCATTCGACCCACCTTGCCATCTTCGATCCTTTGGACCTTGCTAATCACGCCAAAGCTGCCTTTGCCAATGTTGGAGACCAGTTTGTACTTATCAAGTTCTGCTATGTCCGCATAACCTCCTCCTGAGAACGTCACTGATGGACCGCATGCGGTGGCTGATCGTCGAGGTATCGCCATGATGTCGGAGATGTAGGAGGTGCCGAAGTTAAGTGAAAGCTGAGCTGTCTGGCCGGACGGGGGAGATGATATAATGGACAGTCGAGTGAGTGTCAAGAGAGATAGCAGGTCATTGGGAGGGCCTCTGAGCCTTTCTGTAGCTTCTTATGATCTGCTAGGGCAGCTGCGTGGTTGCTACCATCAGTTTCTCCCTGGACATGAGCGATAGTCAATGTTGAATGTTGAGAAGAGGAGGCTGGGCGTTGAATGACGAGAATTAATCAGTCGCGGGGGATTAAATCAGAAAATCAAACGGATATAAATATTACACGTGGTTTTTGGCTAGATTCGCCGCTCAACGGAGCTGAGGAGGATTTTTTTTTTGGGAAAAGTCGTAGTGGAAGATCATCAACAGGTGTGCATCCTGCATCGACAGTTCATATACGCTCATATACACCATGTCAGACTCTGAATCTGAAGCTGGACCGTCCAGATCACCATCTAGATCACCTGATCCATCTGTAGATGGATCTCAAAGTGGAGCGAATGACTCGTCAGTGATCACTACCTCTCGCACATTTGCTTCCCTCGGAGTGATACCTCAATTGTGCGAATCATGTGCAGCTTTGGGGTTCAAAGCGCCTACAGAGATCCAGGTGGAGTCTATACCTCATGCGCTAGAAGGGCGAGATGTCATTGGCCTCGCTCAGACGGGGAGTGGAAAGACAGCAGCATTTAGTCTGCCGATCTTGCAAAGTTTGTGGGAGAAACCACAACCGTTCTTTGCGCTCATCCTGGCGCCGACGAGGTGAGTCGGAAGATAGCCGGTGGACATACGCCTGATAACATACAGAGAGCTGGCGTATCAGATTTCCCAGCAGGTCACCGCCCTCGGCTCCGCTATCGGCGTCCGCGCCGCAACCATCGTGGGAGGTATGGACATGATGTCTCAATCGATCGCCTTGTCCAAGCGACCTCACATCATCGTTGCGACACCTGGACGTTTGATGGATCATTTGGAGAACACCAAAGGCTTCTCACTTCGTGGGTTGAAGTATCTCGTAAGTCCAATTACTCCACTTCGGCACATACGTGCTCATATGCTCAGGTGATGGACGAAGCGGATAGATTGCTGGATATGGACTTTGGACCCATCATCGACAAGATTCTTAAAGTGATCCCAAAGGAGCGAAACACATACCTATTTTCTGCGACGATGACTACAAAGGTCGCCAAGCTTCAGCGGGCGAGTTTGTCAAAGCCTGTCAGAGTAGAAGTCGCTTCAAAGTCAGTTGAGCAATCAACTTGAGTGAACCACAACTCACACTGAACTAGGTACTCGACAGTGTCAACTCTGCTGCAGCACTACCTCCTTCTTCCGCTCAAACACAAGGACGCTCACCTCCTCTACCTCACCAATGAGCTTTCCTCCTCCTCCATGATTATCTTCACCCGCACAGTCCACGATGCTCAGCGTTTGTCGTTGATACTTCGGAGACTCGGTTTCCCAGCCATCCCTCTGCATGGTCAAATGTCGCAGTCCATGCGGCTGGCCAGTTTGAACAAGTTCAAGAGTGGAGGGAGGAGCGTGCTAGTCGCTACGGATGTAGCCAGTCGTGGTTTGGATATTCCACTTGTCGACCTAGTCATCGTGAGTTGACCATCTCAGGGGTAGCCGGGTCTTTCGCTGACAGACTCAGAACTATGACATGCCGACGAATTCGAAAGACTACGTTCATCGAGTGGGTCGTACCGCACGAGCTGGAAGAGCAGGCAAGTCTATCACCCTAGTCACACAATACGACGTCGAGATCCTACAACGCATAGAAGCTGCGATTGGCAAAAAGATGGTCTCCTTTGACGTGGACAAAGAGGCAGTGGCGGTACTGTCGGACACTGTCGCCCAAGCGAATCGAGAAGCTGCGATAGAAATGCGAGAACAAGGCACGGGTGGAAGTGGTGGGAAGAGAGGCCGGGACAAGGGCAAGCGTGGGCGAGGATGGGAAAATGATGATCAGGACAGGGATGATGATGTGGTTCAAGCTGGGTTGCCGAAGAAGAAGAAAGGCAACAAGTTCAAGTCCGGCCCAGGGAAGGTGAAACGTTGACGTATCGTCACATCTTGTTATAAAGGGGAGGCATCGGTTTCTGTACGAGTATCATCATTCACCGGGCCGAATTGCGATGCATTATTGGAGGACTACCCAAATCATCGACTGGAGGCACATGGAATGCTGCACTAAGGGATCCGAGGGAGGAAGATCACAACGCCTACAATCGTACCCTTAGGAGACCATGAGCTACGCATGTTCACACGGCGCGTCCGAGCCATTGCAAGGTACACACAATGTTGGTGCGTTCAGCATTGTGTAGTAGCTGCAATGGAAAAGCGATCGACCTAGAGGAGAGGCGACAGACTCCCGTGGGATTTAAGCGCCACTACAATCTATGATCCCGCAATGAGGACTCTTGCGGTGTATTTGAGTCTCAGTACGGGCCATGACTGGTGCTTGTAGTCCCGTTGGCTCGCTCTTGTACAGTTAGAAAACGAGCACTCCGCTCGATTATGTGGCACTGCCACTGCGATACGCTTCTTTTCCCCATAGCCTCCGGAGCTTCGACAGGACAAAGCCTCTTATGGCGTCTCATGTGAGTATGAACGGCCTTCATCAGCTCCTGGAAACCATTTGATGACACTCAATCGATTCTCTACGTGGAGGTCGAACCTTTCATAATCCATTTTCTGACGGTGAATCTCCAACGGACAAAGGTTGACGAAATGCCACCACCGTGTGAGTGTACAGCGGGAACCTTTGTAGGCCAATGAGCTAAGGGTTAGAAACAGCAAGAAAGGCTATAAAATGCGAGGTTCGTGTATGGGGAGCTACACAGAACTATTCTCCCCACAGTTCCTCTCACCAACACGCAACATCTTTTTCATCCGACGCTGTTAGACAATGAACACGTCCGGCAGTATCCCCACGCGATCCATAGACGACTCAGGAGGCACAGAGACTAATGCCGCTGAACGTAAGCCTTTTTTCGTACCGTGAGCGGAGGCGCTGAATGTGACAGCGAATTCCAGGGAAGGTGAGTCCTGTGGTTTCCATCCATGGGGTAGACGATCCGACCAATAGTTACTCAGCAGACGAATCGTCGGTGTCGCCAGATCGGCCCGCTGAGGAATCACGATCCACTGGTGGCACATTGACCCAAGCGGGTGGGGAGACCAATTCCACTGGGTACTCAGCCTCCATTCGTCAAATGAACTACGAAGAACCTTCCAGTGCTACGAGCGATGAGCCAGGTGGAACGTCTGCCAGCTGCCTGTCCAGCACAGGAACGTGTCTCAAATACGCAGGAGCCGGTACTTGCTTGACCGTGCTCGCTTTAGCTGACTGTGCTTATTGCATTGCGAACTGTGCAACGTGTGGACTAATTAGTTGTATCTGCTAAGAAGCCTGATACTTCTTTGCTGGCCCTAGTGGGCTGGGCAGAGGTAGCACTTCAGCAGGACGAAGCTGATCAAGCATGCATACTATGCCTCACCAATGCCCAGGCCTTTGTGTGCAAGACTGCGACGAGGCGGAATATCTACACCGCTGATCAGGATACAAACTCTCTTACGACGTATGGCTTTTAAGAACCCCAGCCAGAGTGAGTCTGGAGCATGCTGAAATCCTTTCTCGCCTCCCTTACAGAAAAAAGGCCAGACTGGATTCTTGCTCGTTAGCGTGTCGAGGTTCAAGAATCCTTTGACTCGTAAGCCCCTGCTCTTGATGGCTCAGACATATTCAAAAGACGTACAATCAATGGAGACTCGTATTTGTATCTGTATCACATCTGTAATAAGACCAGGGCCAGATTCTGGATGACCCTCTACTTCACCCAGAGAACTTTCTGCATAAGCCCCTCAGTCCTGCACTATCGCCATGTCAAATCTCTCCAGAAATGAATCCAGTAACGGAATAGAGCTCTCCGAGCTATCAACGACCACTGACTCGGGAACTACACCACCACAACCACGAGGAACGCAAGTTGAAGGCACCACCGCTATGGAGGCGGATGAAGGATACACAACCGAAGCGCCAATGTCTCTCGCTACGCAAACGCAAACGCTCGCGACACAAACGAGCTTGCAAGACGTCGAACCCGCTTCTTCTCGTGCGCGTCTCAACGAACACTCCGGGACCTCTTCATCGTTGGACTGTGCACTGAGTGCGATAGGTTGCGTGTGCTGTACCGCTGGTGCCGCTGCCTTAGGTGCATGGTGGAACGGTGCCATCGGACTGGAAACCTGTATGATAGGCGGGGGGATATTATCTGCAGCCACATGTGTTTCCTGTTTGACGGCTTGCGCCTGCTATAAGTGTCAATCGTAGCACTGAATTACAACGTTTTCGGCTCCCCATGGGCTGGTGGTACAATGCATGGAGCTTTGCTCATGGCCAGTACTTCGACCACACCAAGAAGTTGCAACGTACGGAAAGCGAATTGCATTCTGTCACGAAGAGGCTTATCTTGGGTTGCTACCAATACCCATAGGTTGAAACAGTCAAACCCCTTTGATCCAAGATTGGCCTTGATCTTTCCACGCTCTAGAGTCTGCTGCTCTTTTTTCGGCAGGCGCCATACAACGGTAGTGTCGAGTCCACTTGCCTTTGTTCGTCTGGCGTCCCCGCGTCCCCCCGTTGACATACCCTTTGTCCGCTGTGACTTCTCACGCCTCCGAAGGTGCCGCAGGATACCGTGATTCACCGTCCTTTCGGACTGTGAGAGGAAGGCCTACTTCCGTGAAAGATGCGGCTCATACAAGACACATGATGCGTAAAGGTTGAGCAGAGAGCTAACCACACTTCTTCAAGCCATAAACGACTCACATAAACCGATATTCTCGCTTGTCACAGTTACGATGCAGTCCGAGACTGACCAAATGCAAGACTCACAGACTTGGGACACACAAGCCAGACAAACTGATCTAACTAGGCATGGGACGCAGGCTCGAAGAGACTTCGACCTTACGTTGCAGCTGGGTGACCGCCCAGCCACGGATACCAACGACATAGAATTGTCTACTCTCAGGACCGACGGCTCAGCAGTCCCAGAGAGGCAGCGAGTGAGGCCGCCTGATCCGGTTTACCAGCGAAATCCAGACATGACGACCGATCCCGAGACCGCCACCACGCTAGCTCAGCAACATCTGGGGGGAAGTACCGACAACCGGAGTGTGGATTGCGGGGCTGATTCAGTGTGTGCGGGCTTCGTGGCGTGTGGCACAGTAGGGGGTATCATAGGTGGATCTCTGATGGCCACTCAAGGACCGTTGTCCTGCTGTCAAATAACGGTAATCAGCGCGGGCTCTGGCACTTGCGGTATCTTGACAGGTAGCACCTATTACTTCGTGGGAGATCGCGTTGTACGCTGCTGTAAGGATCACTGTGCGATCTCCTGCTGTCGTTCGCAGGGGGAAGCATAGGAGTGACGTCTCTCTTCAACTTTGCCAGGCGCTATGCATGGTATGGTCTGCGTTGTTTCATGGAGGTCCGGGGAGTCTGCCACTCTCGTTTGGCGTGTCAGATACCCCAGGTCCACCTCCTCATTCTGCCGTGAGATGCCGCTATCGTCCTGATCTTCTTTTGATGTCAGCAGGCGTGAGAATACAGCGTGTTGCTCCCTTGTAACGCCACTGAGGCCAAGTCCCCGACGACAGCTGATGTCAGGGTATTTATACCCCCAGACCTTCGTTCCCGCCCCTCGAAACTCCCGGAGCATTCGCATTACAATCCAACTTCACGCACTAGAACAGACCACCTTCGCTTCGACCTCGACGATCATGTCTTCTGAGCAGACCACTAACACACAGCCAGGTGAAGAGTAGTCGCGATACCCAGACCGCGGACAGTACCAGCCAAGTGCCCCGATGTCTTCCCAACCGGGTGGCACTCAGGCGACCGATTCACCGGACTCGAGCTGCGGCGGGTGCAGCTGTGACACATCAGGCTGCGATGGCTGTGGTCTAGATGGCTGCTGCTAGGGAGTGCGGGTTTCTGCTGAGCTGTGACACATATCAGGCTACACGCAACGCTATGCAGGTTATGCCGCCTGAGGACATGCTCTGTCCAGACACGAGTACCTGTCTTTGCCGTCTCAGCTTGCATAAAACTCGGCGGTATTCAAAGTTCGGAGAGGATCTTTGATACTGATCAGTCGCTTTGGCCTTGTCCCTCCGCCTCCGAGTAACAGAAAGTCATGTCCTGCATCTGTAGGCTGGTGTGAGCCCGAAAGCGAAAATGTATGCTACAAATTGTGCGTGCCCTCATCATCTGTTATCGATCTAGACGTAGTGACTGAAATCGCTCGTATGTACCGCGCTGGCATCCTGAACCAAGTCGAAGCTGTAAGTTGCACAGTCCACGTGCGTCCCGATACTGAAAGTGGAAGGCGATCGGGCAAGCTTGCCCTTGGAAGGACCGTCGGAGCCGATCCCAGCACGATGGACGATCCATTCGATATCCATTGCTTGGGTTGAGAGGTATTCCATCACAGCTTCATTGTCCAAATGTTGTCCGTGGAACCCTCCCGCATATGCCAGCGTGTATCGTAGAAACCAAAGAAGAGGGGTGAGCGATCCCCCGTATGGTCGACTGAGACCACCGGCCTGGAATAGGAATCGTTTGACTCCGTTCTCGCGCATCGAAGGGACAAGTTTCTGGACGAATTCCAAGCAGACTTTTCTCGTTTGTTGTGTTTCTTTATCTCCGAGCATGGCGACAACATAGTCGACCCCTTTGACGAGTGCGTCGGTATCCACATTGTCCGTGATGGATCCTTGAACGACTTCGATCTTATCGGCGGCTTCGGAGGGCAATTTTGATGGTGTCCTGACGAGGGCTCTGACGCGATGTCCATCACGAAGACACTGCGTGACAAAATGCTTGCCAGTACCTCCTGTGGCTCCGAGTACCAAGAACAAGAGAGATTGGGTCATTGTATCGTGGAGGGTGGTATGACGATCGCTGACAACGAGATGTCAGCAGTGTGAGCGAGAATCGCGTCGCTCCTGCAATTCACCAAGCTTGTAGATCAAGCCTCTATAGAGTGAGGCAGTAGGTAGACTGCGTCCTGACCTGAGCTCTATGCGATGTTAGGATTCAAGGTTGTCATTGAGCCCATCCCTTTATATATGCTTTGCATTGTAGTTCAATGACCGAAGTGATCACAGCCGAAGCGATATGAACGTTTATCATTTCCGACGGAAACGCAGAGTCCGGCGGCTGAAGAGGACATGCCCGAAGACCGCGACGGTCTGATACCAAACGAGGCGATCGGTCCATTCTCGAATCCCATGCCTGCTATAGGATCGGGAAGGGCTGGATGGCCGAAGAGGACGGATGATTCTGCACCCCTCAAGTGCAATTGGCCCGCTGTGGCTTTAGGCAGGTGCCGTAGGATCGATTTCAGCAGAAAGCCAGATGGTTTAGGGCAAGCTCTTCGATCACGATGCAGAACATTGTTTACTCAGAGATGTCTCCATGCCTTCAAGTTTCTATCATGGACATTGGCCGAGCTGCACACTCGCTACACAGCGACCAACCACGACCAACAAGGTGGCACCTTGCAGTTTTTGCCACTTGGCTGGCTCTTCGATCGCGAGACTTTGATTCCGCTTTCGGAATTCGTACAATCATTTTAGAATCCAATCAACCATCCCACTGAACATTGATCCTCGACCTCTGTCATCATCATGGCATCCTCCATCTCCAGGATCAGCGCCCGCCGTTTGGCTCAACTGAATTCCTTGAGGAGATCCTTCCATGTCTCTCCAGATCCATTCGCAGCCACTGCTGTTCGCGCCGCACCAGCTGCGAAGCCAGCCACGAACCCTTCAGCCACTGCTCAGTCTGCTTCATCTGCTCGAGATGACTTTGAGAGCGTGATGGATGAATTCGCACCATCTCGACCGTCCTCTTCAGCCTCAAAGTCTACACATTCCAATGGCCAAGTCAGTCCTCCCTTGAAGACTGTACCTGGCGAGAACTCGGACCCCTTGCCTGAAGTTCATTCGGACAACGGCACCGACTGGACGACCAGTTTTTCCGGTATCGGAAGCGCTGCATACCCTAGAGAAACCATCGACAGGCTGCTCAAGCCTTTGAACCCTTCGGATATTGAGATCAAGCCAGGTGAGCCTGAGATCTATCAAACAGTACGTTCTGAACGGTGCTCAAATCCCTGTAGATGGCATGATCTACTTGCCCGAAATCAAGTACCGACGAGTCTTGAATCAGGCCTTTGGGCCAGGAGGATGGGGCATGGTGCCTAGGGGACAGACCAATGTCAGTGACAAGCTCGTCTCTCGAGAGTGGGCCTTGGTCTGTATGGGCAGGTCAGTGGGCTGAGGATGTGATCGGGAGGACAGCATGCTGATGACGTTCTCAGAATTGCTGCCATCGCTCGTGGTGAACAACAGCTGTATGAGGCTATCGGTGTCCCCACAGCAACCGAGGCTGCCAAATCTAATGCTTTAATGAGATGTTGCAAGGACCTTGGAATCGCCTCAGAGTTGTGGTATGTGCTGAGCTATATAAGTTCTACAATATCTGACACGCAAGCCCAGGGACCCACAGTTCATTCGAGATTTCAAGAAACAGTACGCTGTAGAAGTCTTTGCCGAGCATGTGGTGACTAAGAAGAAGTATGTTTCTGGCCTGTGAACCGAATGCTGCGGAATCCTGCTGACGGATCCATCACATCAGGAAGAAGCTGTGGCGATTGAAACGAGAGCCCAAGCTCGATTATCCCTGGAAAGAATAGGTCATGTGTAGCGAATATATCTCTGTAGTACTACAGTACATGCATAGACGGCTTCTCCCTTCAGCCCGCGGATGTCATTTCTTCTTTGAGCTTCGCTAGCTCCTTCTCGTGCTCTATAAGTTTGGACCTGAGGCATGAGAAGTCAGTGGCGCCAAAGAGATGAACTATCGTGACAGCTCACCGCCACCTGTCCATCTCGTCGATGATCTTCGTCCGTGTTGTATGCAGCTTGTTCCACTCTGCCTTCTCCATTTCCGTTGTGAACTCTAATGGAACATCTGCACTCCCAAATTCGCCAGGTATGCCCACAATTGCCGATGTCGGCGCCGGTGTCGCCGCAGAGCTCTGCTGCCTTTCCGTACGAGCTGGAGCAGCGGCACCGTTCGCCCCTGAAGCATCGGCCGCTGGTGTCCCAACGGCCTGTGTCGCTGGAGTGGAAACCGGCTCGACGGTCGCTTGCCGGCTGCTAGATGCTATTGCGTTTTTTGTCTTTGCCTTCTTCTTTGACTCAAATTGTTCCCTCTGATCTCTTGGTCTCCTATTCTTCGCAGGTAGCTTTGTCGGTGGATGCTCGTTCAGCAAGTTGTAAAAAGCCAGAGGTGGATCGGAGAAGACCAACTCGTCATATTGCCAGGCGAGGACTGGCCATTTGGCAGCTGCTGACACCCGTTGTTCCGCAATGACTTGAGCGTGGGTATGAGCTCGCGTGTGATGTGTTTCAGCAGCAGAAGGCGGAGGCTGAGATCCGCTAGCTTCTGCCGAAGTTTCTGGATCCGCCTTTGTGTCCTCGTCTTCTCCCATGACGATGTCTGGTCTAGGTGTAGATGTCTCCGCTTTGACTTCTGAGTCTGCTTCCCCATCCTTCTTTTCCGCACCAGACAATGGTGGAACTGAGCCAGTGACGACACCACCTGCAGCAGACGGCGTACTTGATCCATTGATCACGCCTGTTGCGACGCTTACCGAGCCCTCTGTCGTCGTCATATCCTCAATGGGCTTTCCCCAGTGATGTAATTTGAGTCCATGTTGGAAAATCATCGGCTTCTCTGCAGCTTCATTGACGAATTGTATTCTTATTTGAATGACAAATTCACCCCATCCAGTCTCTGAGACGACATAGGGTGGTTTATCGAGTACTAGAGAGGGTGTGTGTGAGTACAGCCAGCCAGCCAGCAAGCAAGCGACTTGTGAGTCTTTCGACTCACCTCGTGAGGGATTCGGATACGTTTCGTGTAATTTAAACGTGACTTTCTTGATCAAGTAGCTCAGATCGTCGGCGCCTCCAGGAAGGAAATCATCTTCGACACCAGCTTTCGGCGGTGGAGAAGCTGCAGAAGTGAGAAAGACTGTCCAACGGTGTGTATCTGGATCCAAAGAAAACAAAGAAACATGGCATATCAGCACCTTGGGTTCTGCGCGATTCCTGCAGGGTGGTGACTCACGACCTTGTGTCGACAGTTCACGCTCTGCATCAGTGAGCAGACGCGCATGAGATCCATAGATGATTGGTCTGTGTATTTGAACTCCTCGTTGTCGATCAGCCATAGCTTAGCTTACAGTCCAGTGAGCTATATGTCCAGATTGAAACCTATTTGGCGCCGTGGCAGCTTGTCGAAATTTGATTCCGTTTTGCTTCTTTTCCCCGGGGCCGCCCTCTTTTATTAACTGACATCATCATCATCATCGAATTGGCCGGCGTCCCCTTTCTTCTTCTTCTTCTCTTTGCTTCTTCGTTCTCACTCTCATCCATATCTCGCTCTCAACACGGCCAAGCAGTGTGTGAGGTACTCTGATTGGCAGTAGACTCCAATACTGGCCCGTAGAATCGTCTTACAGCCCACGTTCTCTCTCATCATCTTGAGACTCGGGACACCCGCATTCCCTCCATCTGATCTATCTTTAAACCTCCCGACAAGCGACTTGTTAGATCTCGCAATCATCCTCGCATAACCATGTCCAACGCCGGTGGATATATCAAAAGCGGTATCAAGCTCTTTGATGCTTTGAACGAAGGCAAACCTCATTCGTCCATCACGGACTGGGTCGAAGTCTTGACGTCGGACAGGTACGAGGAATTGTCATTGGATGGTGTGCCGGAATTGGTAGAAAGCATCAATATTCAAGGTGCATCGGGTACGACGGTGAGCCACAGCTTGATCGATGATAGATTCAATGTCTGATTATTGGTCCCTGCCCATATACACAGGAAGGAGCACGAGCCATTCGAAAGAAGCTCAAGTACGGCAATGTCCATCGACAACTCCGAGCTCTCGTTATCCTGAGAGCTCTGACTGAGAATGCTGGAAAGGGATTCAAATTGAATTGGGCGAATCCCGAAATCGTTACTAGATTGAAGGACATGGCACAGGATGTGAGTCACTGTTGTTCTAGCCCTGAGCATCAACTGATCTATCCTCCAGGCCTTGCTCGATCCCAACGTCAAGAAGAGGCTCTTCCTCGTATTTCACGCCTGGGCTATTCAGTACAAGGTCAGTCGGACGCTTCATTCAGTCGGTGGTCGCTCATCTCCACCAGGATGAGCCCCGAATGCAGCATGTAGCCAGGCTCTATAGCCAGTATGGCGGTGGGGGACCCACGGTCCGCAAAGTGAGTCACTGCGTTGTGTTCATGTCTCCTCTCTGAGCATCTCCTACACAGCCCACGGCTGTACACTCAAGTGCTACCACCGCATCCCCTCGAGCCTCCATCGACGCTGGACGACCAAGCAGGGGCCCAGAGGGTGGATTCAACGACTATGACTCCCTCTTCAGTCACGATTGGGCACCTGCTCCCGGCAAGCGAGGACCAGACACATACGCCGACTTGGCCGCAGCCAAGGCCGATGCAGAAGAGCGAAAGCGCCAACGAGAAGCGAGAATTGCACTGGAACATCGAGAGGCTGAACTCGAGCGGCGAGAGCGAGAAATCAGACGAAAGTCGGAGATGGAGGCTCTGAACATGCGACGACAGCGGGAGGCAGAGCAAGAGGCCGAGAGGAGACGAAAGGCCAGGGAGGAGATGTTGAAGGCTAAGAGACAGCCGGCTCAAGCTCCAGCTGCTGCTCAGCCGAAGCGACCCAAATTTGACTTTCAAAAGGAGAAGCCACAAGTTTTGGTCGCGGTTGCGAATGCCATTCAGACGGCCAACAATCTTGTCAACTCGTGCAGGGTGAGTTTAGGCGAAGCAGAATCCGCTGACAAAGTCAGCATCTCAATCGAGAATTCGAAAACGTTCGAGAATCCCCTCGAGTCCAGGAGAATCTGGACAAGGCCAAGGCTGCTCGTCGTATCATCGTTCGATACATTCAGCTTGTCACCGATGAAGAATTTGTCGGGACCTTGATCGACGCGAATGAAAAGATTGTTGAAGCCATCCAATTGTATGACAAAGTAGGTAGCAAGAGAAAACGATCCAACCTGACCCTATTCTAGCTCTCCAAACCCGCACTTTTGGACTCTGACTCGGACGAAGAGGCTCCTCCGGCCGACAAGAAGGACATTGACAATCTCCAGAAGCGGTTGGAGGCACAGAAACTTGAAGCGGACAGGACTGGAGAACTCCAACGAATGCAAGAGCGTCAGAAGAGAGAGTCGGCCAAGAGAGAACAGCGCCGATTGGTCCGTCAAGCTTCCATGGCTCAGGCGCCTACTCGAGGACACCCCGATCTCGACGACCTAGACTTTGGCAGTATCTCAAAGGACAAGGCTTCGGCGAGATTGCCTCAGCCTCTTCACCCAGACTCGGACTACGACTCGCAGGGCGGAGGGTGAGTAGCGATCGTCCCGTCCCGCCCCTTTTTCGTGACTGACTAGTGGGATTCCTGCAGATTGTCTGATTACTCTGACTACGATTACAACTCTTCTGACGACGAGTGGCGTGCGTCGCGTTCCAGAAGACCTTCGATGGCGGCTGGCCCTTCACACGCCAAGAGCTCAGGACAAGCGAATCACTATCGATCGCTTGCGGATGATGGCACACACGCCAAGAAGGGATTATTGGACTCCAACGATCCATTTGGTGATCCATTTGCGGATGACAATGACACCCCGCTGGGTGAGAAACAAAGGATGACCTGTGAGTACTTGCGAGGGATTGTCTGCACAATCGGCTCATGCGACTGTGCAGGGACCGAAATTTGAGGAGAGACGTGAAACATCTATTTATCGATGCCATATACCCTCGGCTGGGTTCAATCTGTGTCAGAGTACGAACGATCAAGCTTCCGGGGTTTCCAATGTTAGGGTAGCTAGCTGGAGAAAATGCACGAATTATACATCATGACGAGGATGCTTATTTTGCTGTCCGCCTCAGGGTATCTCCAAGAAGGCCTAACCCCGCCGCTACTGCACCCTTGAGTCCGATCCATCCTTCCAGACCAGTTGCAGCCGTTGCGCCCCACCCGTTGTGTTGAGTTGGTGCTGCTCTGGGCGGCAAAGCCCCAGCATTCTCCATGAGAGCCTTTTTCAAGGGCCCAATCTCGTTGATCACATCTAACCCGACTCCTCTAGCCCAATTGATCGGACCTGATCGACTGGCGAATACGTGGTGTAGTGTATCGGTCGTGGTCAATAATAACTGATTGGCGGGATACCGTTGTTTAGGATATTCAGCACAATCAATCTTTGATCCTATATCGCCGCCTTTTCGCTTGACTTGTTCCCAAACTTCCGACAAGACTCGAACGTCTGCCAAACCCATATTCAGACCTTGACCAGCGAGTGGATGAGTTGTATGCGCCGCATCCCCCACTAGGACCGTACGATTGCCGATATATTCGTCGGCGTGGGAGAGTCGCAAAGGGAAGGAGGCGATGGATTTGGCGGGGATGGCTTGAACAGCAGGTGGCAAGATGACCTCTTCAGATGTCAAAGATCCACCCGAGATATTGATGGTGGAGATGAGCCCCTTGATAGTCTCGCAATCCAGTGGACTGCCCGATGCGTCTGCAGACAAAATTTTCTCGTTCAAATCTGACAATGGCCTCTCCTGCATCGTGTACCCGGCGTTAACCATGTGAGTCAAAGCTTCGGGCGATAGACGTCTATAGGCTGCGGCATGAGTGGGATGAGTGGACCAGACCAAAGTCGAAGCGGTCGCTGAGAGAGGTAGGAAGGCAATGGGACCGGTTGGAAGAAATCGTTGGAATGCTGTATTATTGGGGTAAACAGAGGATGGAGGGTGCTCGAGAGTGGCTACGATGGCATGGGTCGGATACGCGTGTCCGTAGGATTCTATGGCAGAGAATTTCCTGACTGGTGAATTAAAGCCATCTGCGCCGACCTGACGGGACGGAATGAAATCAGTTCTATTCTGTCACCAGGGAAGTCAATTGCTGCCTACCACGACAGATCCCCTGACCCAAGAATCTCCCACTTGCAATCCGATCCATCGTTCACCTTCGCCAAGACGCATTTCACCGACTCTTGATCCCTCTCTGATGTCCACGATACCTTTTCCAGCCTCGTCTATCCGACGGAGTAGCGCTCGCTGAAGGTTGGTGTTCTCCGTCATATGAGCCATGGGATAACCGAGAGGAGGGAAATGGATGGACGGTGTCTGTCCCGGCGTAGGGTTCGACCAGATCTAAGACGGGTCAGGAGGCTCTAGGTCGAGTCTGTATTGCGTTTGCCACTTACGACCATTTCGTTCACTGGACAAGTCCTATCTTTGGCTATGTATTGCCAAACACCGATTCCTGATGCATGAGCGTCAGCCAAATGTCATAGCAATCCAGAGCCCTGCTTACTGTCCAGCCAAGCGACATTCTCAGCTGTGAGACTGCTGACTCGATTCTCCCAGGCGCCATCTCCCTTCCAGCCTCTCACTCGGTCTAATGAGCCTCCCTCAAGCAGGAGTATACGTGAGGTTCCCCGGATCGAAGGTTGGTCCACTTAGTTGTCAGCACCTTTACGGTGACTCACACTCACGCAACGCGCAAGCCAGTGCAAGCCCTGCATTGCCGCCTCCAATGATCACGATATCGTACGTGTCCTTCATTGGTATCTCGGGCACAGTTGAAGGTCCAGCTTGAGGAGCTGCAGTTTCCGTCGCATACCCTCGCCTGAGTTGCACAGGCAACGCAAAAACGGATCGCTGGACTGCATGACGGGAAACGCTGGGCAACGCCCGACCCCGCATGACCGCAGCAGAACTGATTCTGTATGATACCGACCCTGCGGTAAGTTCCGCAGCTGCCTTCAGCTTGTTCTTGAGCATGGCGAGATGATTATAGACGGACGGTATGGGTGCTAGAACGACCACCGACTTTTGAACCGAACATCGCGGACGGGCAAGCCGTCACGTGATCCGTCACCCAGCAGCGGAGTTAGCCGCCATTGACTAATCGTGTTTTCCACCTGCAGCTTCTCTTCGTCACTATTCACCATCATCTCATCTGATCCGCGAACTCCTTTTCGGTTGATCAGCATCTTTCTCTGCGTACCCTGTCTCTGCGGGTCTGACATCAATATAAGACTCACGGTACCTTGATCCACGGGTTTTTCGCAATAGGCTTAATGAGCGAGCGCCGACTTCGCTTGGTCTTCATCCCTACTTGATTTTCTCGGCCGTCGCCACCTTCGGAAAGGACCGTTCTTCGTGTTAGGCTTTAGCGTCCGTCAGTCATTTCTCAGTTGCTCAAGAGTCTTCAGTCAAAATAAGACTTTGTCTGAGCTCGGATCGACACTGCTTCTACGTCGCTTTCAACCGCCACCTCGCCCATCATGTCATCAGATGAAGACGCCAATGACTATTTCGAATACGAGGATGATGGATTTGAGGATGACGAAATGGATCAAGGTGAGTATCCGCCTGCGCAAATGAGATACTGTATCGTGCCACGATATGGAGTCCATCGCTATCAGTTCTATGTCTATCCTGACGTGCCCCATCCATGCTACATCCTTGCGCCCCGCGTCGATCAGTCTAGGATCTTGCTGACGTGGGACAGACTCTGTCTCCAACCCCGATACCGAACCAGAAATCTTCGACCCACTCAGTCCCACTATAGAGCGTGAGTAGAGAAGTGCCTTTTGGCAGCCATCATCTGACAGAAACGCAGAGGCACCAGTGAAGAAAGACTACGACGTGGCCTACAATGTCAAAACCCTTTCCCAAGTCATTGACATGCAGAAGAAAGCGATTGCGAATATACAGACCGTTCTAGAGCTCGATGTGAGCAATCTCTCCAGTTCTGTTTGTCGCTCCAAAGCTAAAGCCATTTTCAGGCCTCAACTGCCGCCATTCTCCTCCGTCACTTCGGTTGGAACTCCGAAAAGCTCCAAGAGCAATTTTTCAACGACCCCTCCAAAGCACTCACCGATGCCGGCCTGTCACCTCCATCGTCTCCATCAGCTCACACTTCACCTCTTCTGCCCCCGACCGCTTCCTCTTCGACACCCCCACGAATCACCCGATCCTCCAAGCGTGTCGCTACGCCTGCAACGACGCGCTCGCGCTCGGCGGTCTCAATTCAGACTTCATTCGAATGTCCAGTCTGCTGCATCGAATATCCCGCTGCATCTCTGTCGACAAAGACGCTTGCGCTCGGTTGTGGTCATCGATTCTGTAGGGATTGCTGGGTTGAATATGTTGTTGGCAAGATCAGGACGGATGGCGAAAGTGCAAAGATCCAGTGTATGGAGAACGGCTGTCACAGGATTGTCAAAGGGTCTTTGATCGATCAATTGGTGGATCCAGACACGTCGCAGAGGTCAGTCAAGATTTGTGGGCGGATCAAACGAAAGCTGACTTTCGTTCCAGATATCGAAAACTGCTGAACGAAGCGTTTGTATCCGATACAGCGACTTTGAGATGGTGTCCTCATCCAGGATGTGAAAATGTCATCGAGTGTAGCCAAGCACCACCAAGGATGTTGAATCAGATCGTACCGACCGTCACGTGTGGCTGCGGTAACGAGCTGTGCTTCGGGTAGGCCAATCACATGTCTTTGCCGAGCAACGATCGACTGACAAGCATACAGCTGCGGTTTTGCAGCGAGTCATCGACCGGTCTTGTGCAAGCTCGTCAAGCTGTGGCAAAAGAAGTGTGCCGATGATTCTGAAACAGCCAACTGGCTTCAGGCCAATACTAAGGAGTGCATCAAGTGTCAGTCGACAATCGAGAAGAACGGAGGGTGCAAGTGAGTGCGGCGCGAAAGCTTCATCCCACTGCTGACCCGCTCCAGCCACATGACATGCAAAAAGTGCAAGTGGGAATTCTGCTGGGTCTGTATGGGCCCCTGGTCTGAGCACGGAACAGCTTGGTACCAGTGCAACCGATACGATGAGAAGAGTGGCATGGACGCTCGAGATTCTCAGGCTAAGAGTAGAGCGAGTCTGGAGAGATACTTGCACGTGAGCATAGTCTCTTTCGACGTAAGGGCTGCCGTCTGATGTCCTTCCCAGTACTTCAACCGATGGGCCAACCACGAGCTCTCGGCCAAGCTCGATGCAGACTTCTACAAGAACACCGAAAAGAAGATGGAAGCGATGCAACAGTCTGGAAACCTTTCTTGGATCGAAGTCCAATTTGCCAAACAAGCTGTGGACACGGTGATTCGCGCTCGAATCACGCTCAAGTGGTCCTACTGCATGGCGTTTTAGTGAGCCCGTGCCTGACCTCTTCCGAAGGAGGCTGACGAACTCGTTCAGCTTGAAGCGGAACAACCAGACCGAGCTGTTTGAGGACAATCAGCGAGATCTTGAGAGGGCAGTCGAGAACCTCGGGTATCTTTTGGAGCAGAATCCTGAACCGGATTCCATCTCAAAGCTCCGTGCAGATATCACGAATCAGTCGGTGAGTGAAAGGCATTGCTGTGCTGTGTCTCCGGAGCTGACAATGTGTAGGCATATGTGCAGAAACGGCATGACATTCTGATGGACGATACTCTGAAAGGATATCTCGAGGTGAGCGTTTCACTGTCATCCATCCATTTGGCCTGGCTCACTGGTGCAGCGTCGTTGGGAGTTTTCGGTTGACATATGATAATATTCGACGTCTCGTCGTTCTCATTGCACTGTTCTTCGTTCCTCTTGTAGCGCCTAGCCCCCTTCACATTTGCGTCTCCCGACACTCTTCATGATTTTCCCTTGCATAGATCCAGTGCTTGTGCGCAACGCCAGGAACAAGATTTCGGTCGGACTGGGAGATTTCGATCGGCTGAAATGAGAATATTAACGCACATAACGCCCCTGCCATAACATACCTTACTGCTGTATCTTCTTCGAGGCAAGCTCGGCAGCCCATTGAGGACTCTAGGGTGTTCAATGCCCAAGTCAGATACAGATTGGACAGACAATTTGTTGAAAGCTCGCTCGGCCATCAACTCGCTGATCGACTCCATCCACTCATTTCCTCACGCTGCATTCCTATTCAGAGCACCTATCATCGATCAAAATGCCAAGGGTGCATGGTCACAAGATGAGGTCCTCGGACTCAGACGCTTTATTCAGAGCGTAGAAGACCAGGCGGTATCCTTGGACCAGGTGGGCAGACCGCTGGACTCTGCCCAGCTGACAAAATCTACAGCTCGCTCGAGAACAGATTCCGGTCTCTGACGATCCACTGCCCAATGTCTTGACGCAGGTGGCTATGTGGAAACAGGTCTTACTGTCTCGTCCTCCTCTTGCTGGTATCCGGATACCCCTATCACCTGGCAAATTATCCTCGACTCGAGCCTCTGTCAAGAATGAAGACGTCAAGGGCAAAGGCAAGAGCAAGGAAGGGTTCGTCGATATAATCGCTAGGGGAGGCAAAGAATGGATCAAGTTCTACTCGTATGTCTAGCCTTCACCATCTACCAGTGTGCTACTAACTAGTCACACTGTTAGAAAGAAGGAGTCACAGCTCCTCGCAGAGTTCCGAGAATACGATTCTTATATCAACTCTGATTTCGAGGACAGTGATTCCGATAGTGGACCGTCCAGTTCAACATCGGCACATGGATCTCAAGCAAGGGCTGATCTTCCCACCAATTCCTTGACTGCACTGGCGGAGAGTCTTCTCGAATTGGCGCAGAACACAGACAGAACACCCGGCGCGCCGATACCGAAGTTGACTATACGAGTGTCGAGAATTTCAGACGACCCACGGCATCATCACGACGAACGCATCTCTCGAGTATTTGAGGATCTATACGATAGGGGGATCAATCTCGTCTTTGGGGATCTATCGGATCGAACTCTTGAAGAGGTGCATAACTTTGCACTGAAAGGCTACCGTGACCGCCTTGTGGCTGAAGAGAACATGAAACCCTCTCTACGGATCAATTTGGATCCAACGTCGCTTATGGGTCTTTGCAGTGATTTGTTACATCACCCTTTGCCTGCCGACAAAAGCGAGGCGAAGAAAAGGTTTTACCGACCTGCTCATGCCTTGCAAGCCAACGGAAGAGGTCGGGACCAGCTTGAAGCATCTCCCAACCAAGATCGAGACCTTGATGACGATTGGACAACAGACGAGATGCAGAGTCAGAACAGCCGAGAACTGGTCCGGAATGTGCTGGAAGAGATGGACTCGTCCCTCATTGAAGAGCTCCGGGATGGCCTTCGAGCCGCGGCAGATGAGTATGCGACAAGGACGGGTCGACCTGCCAAGATCGAGTTTTGGGCCACTCCAGAGGCTATCACATATGCACAGGAGGCCCTGGGTAGTGAGAAGCTCGTCGGAGAAGGTATGGAACAAAGACGGTTGAGGCGTCTTCTTGGGCAGGAGGACGGAGACTTTTTCCAAGGATCCAGGTATGAGAGGAAGGAGGGCGTACTCCATGGGATGCGGGTCCGAACGATAGGTCGTGACATGCCGACCACCGATCCGCCTAGATCTACACGATCGCCCTCTGAAGCACAATCGTCGTCCTTTCATCGTTCCTTGCATTGCGCTGCATCGATGTTTTTGGCCGACTACGATAGCTACAAATCCACAGGTGACCCTGCGCGACTACCGAACTTTCTCAAACCCAATCGTTTACCTGTGCCGAAGGTCGCGAGCCTTTCCGTGCCCTTTCCTATCGTGTCTCTGATCTCATTGGCACAAGGTGCCAAGGAGGGCATGACGACATTGATGATGGGTAATATCGTCCTTCGAGATGTCTTCTTCCAGAATCGTTGGCGAATTAGGGGATGGGTTCAAGGAGACTACGAGACTTTGAGACCGACACCAACGGACGATCAAGATTCATCCGCGGGCGAAAAGGCGGAAGATGTCGCTGCGGTGTGGATGATGCCATATCGTAGTCTTGGAGAGGGTAAAAGGGTCAGATTCGCCCGAGGTGATTATTCATATCCCAACAAGTGATCGACTTGCATGTACATGCATGACTTCCAACCCAAGAAAGCACTATACAACTCATCTTCCGCGTAAACGCCAAATCTCTCTGTTCAGGCTACTCATCAAATTCGCTCATCGCTAGCGGATCTGGACAATGATGTTGATCAGAGTCTGGAGCGACGATTTCGAGTGTAAGCCGGGCTCACCGTCTTCTGAGTCATCTAGCCCGGGACTACCAGGCTCATCCTTGATCTTGATCTCGATGTCATCTATGTTTCTGTATGACCTCTCGGTACGGACACGACTCGAAGAGGTCTCTCCATGTGAACGGGTATTCAGCCTCGAACTAGGGTTTGGATTGGCTGTCGGTTTCGCTCGTGATCCTGACGAATGCTTCTCCATCTGAGCATCCTGCGCTTTTCTCCTGGGAGTTGCATCGTTCTGTCGCGTTGTCATTCTTGGACTTGCTATGACCTCTTGAGGCCGAAGGTTGGGTCTCTTGACTGGCGAGGGCTCCCGATCATCTTCGGCCGACGAGGTCAATCGGAGCCGCTTGACCCTCCGTGTCGCCGATGAGGAGACCGCTGCAGGAGCTGACGGAGATCTAGGAGACTGCACGCGTCCAGCTTTGACGGAAGCTGCTCGGACAACCTGAAAACGTATCAGTCTTAGCGTTGTGGATGGTCAACCTCACGGTCTGACGACGCGATGAGCCCGCTTGAATGCTAGCTGCTTCCTGGCGTGCCTTGTCTATGTTATCTATGAAAGCTGCAAAAGCTTCGCTGAGATTGGCAAATCGATTGATCCAGTCCAGTTTCTCCGCTTCGAGAACTTCAGCAGCTTGCTTGGCGACTTTGAGCGCTTCTTTCAGTTTCTGACGATCCCGTTCCCATGTCATGGCGGCTGATTCCCACTCCTTCAAAGCCTTTTGAGCATCCTCCAATTCATCCTCCACTCTACTGAGCTGTTTTTCGGATCGTCGGAGAGATTGATTTTCCGATTCTAGCTCTGCGATCCTCACTTTATGTTCTGCATTCGTCTGTAGTACGCCTTTGTTGAGAAACGCAGAATACTCCAGTTCGGTCCGGAGCTGAATCACTTCGTCGCGTGTTGAGGTGGACGAGGTGGACATGGCTTGAGCGATGTCTTACCGGCCGGGAGGAACAGTGACTGATTTGTTAAAGTGATCGCTTGAAGCAGACCTCCAGCGCGTATATTGGCCCCTCTAGAGGTCCTGAGGTGAATTCTTCCAGAGCTGGAGTGAAAGGTCCAATGTTCCTCTAGGTGATCTGGTGATCTGGTGATTTTGTATTTTGAGATTTCCGAAAATCAATTTGAGAGAAATATCCAACGTCCATCCAATCCTGAACTGATCTCCTAGGCTTCCTCCTCATATCCCACTGCGCGAACGCACACAGTTCAGGGTCACGATGGATCGCGATGCTTCACCCCCTCGCCGACGTGCACGCCGTTCAGCGTCCCCACCTCAGCGCAATTTCGAGCATCAGGGTGGAGGCAGATCATCTTCTAGAAACAGATCACCAGGACACTATGTGAAGGATTCTCGCGATAGGGAGCCAAGGCGAAGTGGAGGAGGTTCTGGAGAATTCAGAGACGCTGGATACGGCAATCATTCAAGAGGAAGCTATGAAGATAGCAGGAGTGGTAGAGATCCGGGTCACCGTCACGGAAGATCTCGAGATGATGGGTACGGGGACAGGTCAAGACCGAGGGATAATGGCTACGGAGACAGGAATGGAGGTTCGAGACGGCGAGATGGAGACTACACAGCACAAGACAGAGAGAGGGAAAGAGCATCAGATAGGAGCAAGTATGAACTTGAAGCCACAGGCGAGGTGAGCGCCGCCTATGAATAAACGAAGACATGACTGACAAGGTCTCGCTTTCAGGATAAAGAGAAAGCCTTGATCGAGGCTTCCAAACCAAACTTCAGCAATTCTGGGCTTTTGGCCAAAGAGACCAACACTGTTAAAGGCGTTGAGCTGAAATACAACGAACCTCCAGAAGCAAGGAAGCCTTTGAAGAATTGGCGGTTATATGTGTTCAAAGGCAAGGAGCAGCTAGGTCCGTGTCGTATCGCAGTCAGATGAGCCACCTGACTCCTCTTTGCAGACCTGATACACATCTACCGACAGTCTGCTTACCTTGTCGGTCGGGATCAAGTGGTGAGCAGTTGCTGCATTACCTCCGCATCCTACATGGCTGATTGCTCCATCTCTTCCAGGTCACCGACATTCCCATTTCCCATCCTTCTTGCTCGAAGCAGCATGCAGCGATTCAGTTCCGACAGATCACCGAAAAGAATGAGTATGGGGACGTCACGTCGTCTGTCAAGTGGGTCTTGTATTTCGCTTTCAAATACCGTGTCTGATCTGTGATCACAGACCGTTCATTATCGATCTCGATTCCACCAACGGCACCCACGTCAATGATCAGGAGATTCCCAAATCGCGATACTACGAGCTGAGGAATAGCGATGGTGAGAGCATCAAGTCTCTGTGACGCGCGAGGGATTGCTGACACTTGAACAAGTCATCAAATTCGGCACATCTTCCAGGGAGTATGTCTTACTGCACGAAGATGCTAGTTCGTGATATGAGGACTTCCCAATCCTTGATCTCAGCCGTCTGCTCGGTTACGTGAGCGTGACCATGCAGATCTGTTCAGGAGCTTAGCGTTGGATCGACATAAGTTGGTCATCGAGGACACCAGCAGGGCTCTGCAGGGTGAATGTAACATTGTATATCAAATGCCCCCTTTCTGCCACTGCTTCGGAATCATTTTGCCTCACTGCGACTCTGAAATGCCTTTTGTCGATACTCCTCGGCACCTCATGAAGCAGTCTGATCCTCACATGAAAGTCGACTGTCCTGAACGTCTGCATCAATCATTGGGGCTCTCGACGTACTCCACGTAGCAAGGTACAGACATTTGCCCGGATCCACGGACGTTTGAGGTTCCTCATGAGCAGAACAGGGATCCTTGGGTTGCTCACGCTGGCCAAACCAATCCTGTCACAATCTACTCTAAAAGGACAGCTGAGTTGTGTATGTGGAGCTAGACATAGGGAACGGAATTCCTTGAGATGCAAGGCAGACAAACATCTTGCACACGTCCTTCAACGGATGAACGTCAAAGGGCTCGTCGGAAGTCATGCAAGATTCACATCGCGCGGGGCGTGCTGATATCACTTCCAACTCATCTCATCTTCTGACTCTGACTGACCCCAATAGTGCTCAATATGAACAGGACTGTGAGTCACATCCTCCCATAGACGCCAAGCTAACTCTCACCCTCAGTACGATGACACTTCTCCGCAGTTTGTTTTTACGTCTGCAAGAAACAACAATTCGTGGAGTAGTATCAGCGACAACAGCGACTACTATGCAAATACGTACCACACCACTTCGACAGTGGATGATTTTGTGACCATCACATTTGAAGGGACAGCGATATACCTATATGGAGCCAAACGTGGATCCACTCGAGGCTTCACGGCGTTCCGGATCGATGGGCAAAACCCACTTCATTTCACAGAGCCGCCGTTGGGTCAACCACGACAACTCCTATGCGCTTCAACGGGCTTGGATCCAAATAATCAGCATCAGCTAGCTTGGTTCTCCAATCCTGCCGCAGGGGCGACAGAGTTCGATATTGACTATGCTATTGTCACACTTATCGCTCCAGACTCAGGAGAATCTGACAATATAGCGCCAGGTCCGATAACAAGCGTGAGCGTCAACTCCATCACAGACCCTACCATGACCGATGCCTCCTCCACCTTGACCCCTCAGTCGTCCGCATCGCTCCAGTCCAGCCTCATCTTAGAGTCCTCCTCAAGCTCAATGACCTCGGTTCAGAGTCCCACATCCTTTGGCACTTCATTTCCAAGCACCACCGCATCAACTGGCGCCGTGTACACACCTTCTTCCCCAGCAAACGCCACTGGAGCGGGAAATTCCCAAGATACAGGTAGGCCTTGCCTAGATGCACCTACACTTGGAGATGACGCTTCCACCGCCTCATCCGCAGGTGGCGCGCAAGGTTCAAATACCAACATTGGGGCAATAGCTGGTGGAATTGCGGGTGGCGTGCTGGCAATAGTCCTTGCTACAATTCTCATCTGGTGGCTGTTCTGCCGAGGGAGGCGACGAGCCAGCCGAGCAGGACATGTTGATTCTCTGGTCGAGTCGAAGCCCTTGGACCTCGCGGATGCACCGAGCGGCCAACTTCCTACCTATGTCCAATCTCAAGTCGACAATGGTGAAATCATTGCGCAAACGATATATTACCGGTCTCCGACTTCTGGCCCGGAAAATGAGGCTCAGGTATTGCCAATGATCGATACGCGACACCCTTTTCTAGTATCTGGTCACACGACGCTGCCCACATCCAACTATCCCTACAGTATCAACCCACCATCATCAGCTGCATCTGAACCCCACAGTCACGGTAGTCAGACTCCATTCTGGATGGGCCGATCTCCACCTGCGACTCCTTCTTCAAGACAAGGCGCAGCATCTCGTACGCCCTCTGTACCTGATAGTGCCACATTCCAATACTCTCTGCATTCTCGAGATGTAAAGTCACCGACGTCTCTACCATATAGAAACTCGACACCGCCGAGCATTCCGTCAAGCGCTGCTCAATCGACGTCGGTGGCTTCAGACACTTCTCACTCTTATCGCAAGCTATATCGTATCTGGGACCAACGCAATAGGACAGGAGATGAGATCAAGGAATGATGAGCATGGTAGACAGCCCGCGCAGCGTTGTTTTTAGCGAAAGGGATGCGCAATGCAGGGAACGGCAGGTCCTTCATGTCACTGATCCCCCCTCGCCCCGTTTTTCCCTGTGTCCAAGGCTCCTTTGTGGAGCTACGCGAGCCTCTACTGACCCCGTATACTTCATTCCACAAAGGAAGGGCTGCGATGGGATCCCCAAAAGGTTCGCCTTTGCCATGGTCTCCCGTTGTCTCTGGCGTGCTCAGAGTCTAACCGTGGTCGGAAGTGGTTCACTTGCCTTTGGATATCGTAAGACTCACCAGAACCAGAACCTTTGTCCCCGTCTCATTTGCCTCGCCCGAGACCGAGATGGGAAAGGCACAATTACACTCCTGTATACTCACATACTCATCAAGTACTCATTGAGGCGTGATCTTGCCGCAGTGGGGGCCATGAATGTAACAGTACGTACACTGAGCCCCGACTAGGCCGAGCGTCAACTGATTGCGCATCATCAGTTAGACGATGTATCGCCCATGTTCCGGTGGTACAGCTCAGGCTCTGGTAATGATACTTGGCATCGATTATACGATCAACAGGACCATTATCTCCGGACATACCACCATACCTACTCCAGCGGATCGACCATGGAGCTATCATTCAACGGCAGTGCAGTCTACCTATACGGAGAAAAGTTTGGCAATCCAGCTGGATACTCGAGTTATAGTATCGACAACGGAGAGCCCTTCAATTACACGGAACCAGCTACCATGCTGTCTCAACAATTATTTTTCGCCCAGACTGGACTCGATCCGACTGTGCCTCACTTGCTGAGATGGTACGGATATCCTGGAAATGGTATCCCCGGCACCAATGGCGATAATCGGACTGCCTTTATGATCGACTATGCCATCTATACTGCACCTGCTGTCGGTACTATCTATTCGATGACCATTGACGATTCGTCGCCTGTACTGGATTTCAGTGGCAGCAGAGCCCTGGTAGTGAATGGGACGTACAATTCCACGCAGACATCTACGGATGAATCAGAAGTCTTCAGCATGAGGTGAGGGGGCTGCTGGGGTTCAAATGGGTTACACTAATCGGATGAAACAGATTCACGGGTTCATCGATTGGCATCTACGGGACCATTGGATCAGATCTCGCCAACATGTCCGTCAAGTGAGCAGGAAAGCCTTTTGAAAGACCTTGTTGACTATTGAACATCTAGTCTCGACGGACTCGACATGGGATCACGGTCAAATCAGTATCCAGGAAGGCTGAGACAGATACCGCGTGGGTTGAACGTTCTCTGGTAATGAACTCGAGTCGCTGACCGTGTGCCTGCTTCCCGTGAAGTTTTCTATGCCAGCGGTCTCGAAGATACGGAACACTTTGTTCAATTTCGCAATGTCCTTGTTAGCAAGGGTGAACGTTGGCTCGGCATCGATTTCGCAGTCGTCAACAGTACCAATCCTCCACCTGCCACTCTGCCACCTGGGGTCGTCGTCTCTACCTCAAAAGCGACGGCCGTGGCGGTCGTGCAATCGTCACAATCATCCTCTAGACCAATCAAAACTTCCGGAGCCTCCACCTTCTCTGTCTCATTCAGTGTTGCGACACAAAATACGACACCCATCCTGAATAATGGTGTACCTGCGGGCGATGCTACGGTCCTGTCTACGGCGTCCGCTGAGACTCACCGATCAGGTTCCAGGCTCATGGTCGGAGCTATCGTAGGACCTGTTGTGGCGTGTGCGATCGTAGTCATGCTGCTGACAGGATGGTACTGCTATCGCAAGCGGACACGGCCGGGATGCGAGACTGCGGCAGCTCGCCTATCCTCTGACGGGTCGTTCTTCGAAACAGACAAAATGTACTCTTCTCGTGAGCCATGCTTCCTGGAAGTGAGCCATGTCGCGGATCGCAGCAGCTATGAAGAATCCGATGGACGACGGCGACTCGCGGCGTTCGTCGGAGAGATGACTGCTCGGCAGCCTATCGCCTACACTCTTCGAGACACTGGAGTTACGCCTGCCACCATTGCGACGCGTTCACCCCAGCCATATTACGCCTTCCACTCCAGAGGGCATGACGTACACAGCGATGCTTCGCGAACCTCAATCTATGCAGAGTCTACTCCAGCCGCCTCATCACGGCAAGGAGCAGCATCTCGCCCAACATCAGTTACCACTGTAGATACGTTTTCAGCCTTGCGCACCTCCTTGCCGTATCACCATTGACTATTGTATGTATGTTTCTGTCATTCATGTGGCCCGCGCAATAGTCTCAAGCTATGCATGATATGCTGCAAGCTACATGATGTTATAGGATCCATGCCGGAAAGCCCAGACTCCACCATTCTCTGAGAGATATATTCGTTTCGACGTGTTTGTTGATAGTCATTCGCGTTGATGAGACGGGAGACACGAATGTATGCGAATGATGCTGAAGCCGGATCTCGAGAATTCGATAGCAGTACCGTGAGCTCATGCCATACAATCCAGGGTTATTGATATACAATGATCCACCGTGATTAGAGAAGATTTGGAATGGGGAAATCGGGGAGAGTAAGGCCAGATCTGAGAAGGACCAGAGGGGCGCGAAACCACTGATCTGAACGTCGCTCTCGATGGCGGAAGCGGGTTAATTTTGCTCGACTCAGAAGGCGTGCGGCACTACTGATGCACAAAACCTAAGCATGAGAAGGCAAACTTAGATCGAGCCGTCCAAGACTCCCCGAATGTCCGTGACGGTTGACAGATCAGTGAGGAAAGGACACAGATCCGTCAATTCAGTGTCGTGAGGATCATTGAACCATGTGGATACGGGGACGGCGTTGTTGGGATGGAAGATGTAGGAAGCAGGGGAGTTGTCGATGATGATGGTCTCATGTATGTCACGTCCGAGTTGTGACAGGTCCTGTGTACACACCATGAGCTGGGGCAAAAAAACAACAATGCAACCTTTCTCACCTTGACATAGTTGCCCTTGTGATTGTAGCAGCTTTCTCGGAATAAACGATGCCTGACGACACGGTTCACGTCGAGCATGTCGAGAACTGGATCGGCGTACTGAAGGGAAGTTTTCAGTCAAACGAAGGAGATCGGTAAGGACGGAACCCACTTTGGATAAGGAGGCGGTGAAAATGACAACTTCATATAGTCTGCCCATCTCCTTGAGAAAGTTGTCCACGCCCGGACGCTTGATGACATAGACGTTATGTGTTTGACCTTCAATCTCCACCGGAACGATGTAGTCTGCGTTGGGGAGCATCTGCCAGCGTCAGTCCTGCAGGTGATTGAAAGATTCACCTTGAAGCTGGAATGTAACAGCGTCTCATCGAGATCCAGGACAAGACATTTTCGGCCAGAGTGAACCCGATCCATGACTGGTAACAATGGAGCTGGTTGGCCATGCTGCGACGGGTCAGATTGCCCTCTCGTACCTGGACAGAAATCCGACTCACCTCGTCTATCGGGATGCCCATACCTCCCTGGGCGATCAGCCTATCCTCTTCATCCTCGTATTCCTCTTCTAACGGATAATCGCCGTCCTGTTCATCGCCTTGCCCACTCTCGTTCCCAACAAGCATATCGGTATCAGGCATGTCGGAATAACCTCCACTGGTCTCTGATTTAGACGCGTCGCCTGATGATGTCCCCTGAACCTGCGTCGGTGTTGAATCTGCAAGCCCAACATCGCGGTTCTGAGAGCTTCGATGTGGGGTGGAGAGGAGTTCCGATCCGGATCCAGGTTGCTGAACAGCTGCCGAAGTTACTCCAGCAGTCTGAACTCGCGTGTCAGCATGGATACAACGACAACACTGTGTTCTCACCTCGTCCACTGGAACGGAGACTGCGGGTGTTGGCGCGATGACCACGTCCGCGCCTTGGGGAGACACGGCAGGAGCCAATACCGGAGTAGTTTTGGATCCCGAAGCGATGCCTGGAGCGCTGACCCCACCTGATGCGCCGGCAGCGCCAGATGGGGTCGCCAACTTCTCATTCGTAGCAGCTGGCTTGACATTGGAGGGTTTTGCTGTTGTCGAAGGGTTTTTCTCCACCGTCGGTCTAGAAGGATTCTCATCCTCGAATTCCGAAGCAGACAAACATCCCAGAGCGAGCAGGAATGCCGCAAAGCCTGTCCTTTTCCGCTTCTTCTTCTGCGCAGCGGATGGAGGAGTGGTACGGGAAGGTTGACTCGTTGATGATGTGGGGTTGTTGGACGTTTTGGAGGTGGATGCAACAGCAGGAGTTGTGGCTTTGGGTGAAACGGTACTGGTTGAGGCGACTTTTTCATCCGTGAGTGTGGAGTTGGCGACCGGTTGGGATTTGCTGGCGGCCCCCTTCCCAGACAGCTTCCTCGTCAATGCATCTATTGGTCCCGACTTGTCAGACGCAGTCGCTTGTCCGGATCCAGGTGTTTGTTCAGCTGTCATCGCGCTCTTCTCCTTGTCAACAACCGACGCAGACGTGCTATTGGACACCAAAGCGGTCTCCGAGTCTGTGGGCTGCTTATCCTTCATGGTTCTAGGCTGAGCTGATGATGCCGTGGTGTTTGACGGAACAGGGCCAACGGAAGGCTGGTCAGGAAAGGTAGAGGTGTCCGTGTTTGAGGGTGAAGCAGGAATAACGGATACAGTCGGCGGATTGGCGGAAGAGGACGCTGCGACGTCTGGAGCAGATTCACCTCCGGTACTTGTACTACCAACCAATCGGATGGTCGATGTGGAAGTCGGTGTATGATCGGTCGTCAAGGCAAAAGAGGATGGTTGATGGGAAGTGGTAGTTTGATTTGCGAGAGAGACCTGGTCCGCCGTTGACATCGCACCTTGCGGTAGCGATCGATTGGAGAGCAGAGGTTCGACCACTATCTGCGCGCCACGCCAGACGACGTAGTGATCAATTTGATCCGCTTGAGAAAGTTGATGAGGAGCTATATGATCGAAGTGACCCTCTCTAAGGTCTTTGAGGATTGTCCCGGGTAGCTAGAGAGAAGAAGGTGGTCCCAGCTTTTCCCTTGTTTCACTGATGCCGTGTTGAGTCACTGTTATCTACTTCTCGTCGTCGCTTTCTGGCCAGATGATATAGAATAGAGGTGTTGTTTAGGCTTCTCTGCACAGAGTATGGCTATATGCTATGAGACGAATATGAGGGGACGTCGAGGAAGAGGAGGAGAACGGGGCATTTTAAAAGAAAGAAAGAGAGGTTCACCACGCGACTCCCCTTGTTTTTCTTGCCTCTTTCGCCTCTTTCTACTCTCTCTCTCTCTCTCTCTCTCTCTCTCTTTCGCCTTCTGCTGACCACTCGATGCAATCTCAGTGGTCTCATACAGATGAACCTATATTTCTACGCGTCCTGCGATGCTCTCATCGCTCGGCTTACCACTACACAGCTCAATCAGCCTCCGTCTCATACATTGACAAGACCAGATTTACCACTTCTCATGTCTTGTCGCTGAGGTCAGTCGTGCCTGAGAGAGAGAGATCTGAGCGATAATGCAAATGTGGCAGTTCTCAAAATGCGTCGTCGACATGTGGCACTTTTTTGTGGTCGCAAAGCCAAAATGCAAACCCTTACAACCGTCCCATGGTATCTCTCCTGCGATGGAACCACGAGATGATCAGACTTCTAGCAGTCGGAGCCTCGTACTCTATCATCAGCTCTTGATCATCAAAGTCAGACTCGTCATCCTCCCCTCTCAAACGCTTCTTCCTCCAAACGCAAAACCCGATCATCACCGCTATCAGGGCAATGGTGAGAACAGAGCATATTCCTGCCACAGTCCCGGTCGATACGTCTCGTTCGTTGTGATCATCGGAAGAAGATCCGGTATCGGTAGTGGAGATCGTCACAGCGCTCTGCTGATGTGAGGGAGATGGGAGAGAAGGACTGGGGCCGAAGATGGATATGGCGCCACTGATGTTCATACCGGTGGGTAAACGCGGTCCTCCGACCGCGGCAATGGGGCTGGCAGTTCTGGAGACTGGATTTGAGCTGCTTGACACGGCATTCTCGATATTGCCCCCAACAGATGTGGTAGGTCTGAGCGATGAAGACTCAGCCTCCACGGTCGAGTTGACAACCGCGTAATCGATGTTGCAGTGATCACCCTGATTTGTGGGTACGTTCCGAAGCGTCAAGGTATGTGGACCTTGCTCAAGACCAAGAGCTGTGTAGACTTGAAACCCACTGTCAGCGGGGTCTGCAGTCGACTTGATGAACTCACTCGGAACTCGGCGTAGGGTATTTACGGGATCATTTGAGTTGAATTGCTGCTCTTCTCCGCTGTCTAGGCTACGGACAAAGTGTCAGGACCAAGACAAAGAATCTATAGCATGGTTCCGTGGAAACAGCTCACGACACGGTGTAGTTGCCGCTCCCCTGAGTCACTGTGCCGAAGAGCTGAACCGCATAGCCCGTGAAGCTGAGTCGTCAGTATATGACTTGCAAGGCTGGATGTCGCTCTCTCACCTAAAAGTCAAGGAAGCTCCATTCGTAGTTGTCACATTGCGCAGAATCGGAATACCATATTCCTGAACTGTCATTCTTTGAAGTCCAACCCGTGTCGAATGCGAAGGCGGAAGACGTATCATCGACGGCGCTGGTATACTCTTGGGAAGGGCTAGGCAACGTGAGACGTCGATCTCCAATGCACACAAAGGTCCTCCACGACCTCAAACTCACAGAGGATAGGTGACTTGAATGTAGTCAAAGCTGAGATACACACTATTCGGCTTGCCAGGATTTCCAGCATTCGTGATGACCTACTGACGACGTGAGCGAATCGATAGGACAAATCAACTCCGGTAAGCACACCAGTGTATGATCTACCATCGGGTCGAGATCCGTGATATCTGGTAACAGATTGGTCATCTGCCAATCTGCCACGCCGGAAAACTGCCCGATGCTCTTGTCGTCGATTGTCACTGGCCAAGACGAAAGAGGGCGCCGCTCAGGTTCAGCTTGCTGCCGCAAAGAGGGAGCGACGGACAACTTCTCACCCGTGTAGTTCCCGTGATTCTCATTGTATGGTCCGATGGCCGATACTCCAGATCCGCGGAACGTCAAGGATAGGTAGTCGCCCTGGATGCCGATTCAGTAGTGCAATCAATCTGGGTTTGGTTCACAGAACTGGGAGCCTCACCAAGCCAGTGGATAGATGACGAGTCTGCCCATAAAAGTGACCTTGCACACTGTCTGTGATGCATACATGAATGGCCAGCTCATGTCTACCACATTACTCCTCCAGGAGAATGCGACTGACCATTCATGAAAGTCGTCCACCCTCCGCCTCCATTTTTCGGCAAGGAGAAATATTGGATTTGAGGCGAAGCATCGTCAATCTAGAGGGGTTGAAGAGGGTATCAGAACAAAATCTCTATTACTTTTCTCGGTAGCACATCATCATTCCCCAGCTCACGATAACTGTACTCGTCATGCCTAGCTCCCTTCAGACATTCTCAGATACGCTTGAGCCCAGAACGAAAGATGGAAGGGCTGAGCAAGTTGTCCGTAGAACGTCAGAACTAAACTTTACGGGTGACTTACAAGCAGACCTCATTCTTCCCCCTGTACGGAGTACTGCCATCGAGTATGAAACAAGGGGCGAGGTCGTCATTATTGCTGCATTTCGAAGGAACACCAGAAACACTGAGAAAGGATCCTGGCCGGACAAAGGAGGCATCAAGTCAAATCTTTCTCTCTCTCCCTCGACACACTACCGCGGCCCACATTTCAGCCTTCGTGAATAGCGGCGTCGATCAGTGTTGCCTGCCCCTTGTCAGCGCTTCTTATCAGGACATCGAGGGTACGGCAAGGCGGCAGCCGATCTGCAATCCCCCGAGTTCCCTTTGAATGGTGCATGCCAAGTACCCGGCCAGGTCTACCCTATTCTTCTTCCTCAGGAACATTCTGCTCCACTCTACTAAATTTGGTTCCTTGCCAAACCATGACGAGCTCGGAAACGAGTCTTATGACTTTATCCAGACCAAGACCTTGGCCCACTTCGTACCGTCCGACGATGATCGGTAAATGATACAGGAGCCCTCCGATTGATTGGACGAGCGAAAGCCAAGCGACGAGATGATAGGTGCCGGCGAAGGTTTTTGCCTTTTGATTATGTACCAGCTGGACTTGGATAGCCACGCTCCATAAGGCATCGACTAGTGCTCCTGCTGCAGTCTTCCAGGGCTTCTTAGGTGGCTCATGCGCGAAGGCAGCTGCGACAAGGTGGAACCGGCCGATGAAGGAGTAATACGTGATGCCCCATATTGCCAGGAGGATCTTATGGAGGGCATAATGTCAGCTCGTTTCGATGGCCGTCGTTCCCGGATCTGCGGCATACTCACCCCGAGCCACAAGAACCAAGGTCCCGTGTCTATCCTCCTACTTGCACGTTCTCTGTGAGAAGGCTCCTTTCGCCTGACGGCGCCTTTTAGCCCCCCTCCAAGAGACATCTCGTAAGGCAGGATGAGTCGCGCAATGATCCATATTTGGAAGAGGGACCATAAGAGTCCGACCGCCTGGAACGCCAAAAGTCCAATCTCCTCGTACTTCCACATTTCCGAAATGACTTGACCGACTTCTACCACCCAGCTCAAGATGGCAAACGTTGCGCCAGTGATTGAGATTCCAGCTGCGGTCTGTCGCGTTGCCCAGTAGAGAAGGCCCAGTGTCAAAATGAAGGGTGGCAGGATGACGTCGCTAATAATTGGTCATTCTATTTGTCGAGGACGTCGGATGGAAGGCAACTCACGACAAGGTCCCCAAGACGAGCCTCGTGTATGGTCGAGCTCCCGTCATTCCGTTGCCCCAGACGCCATCTAAGAAGAACGACAGGAACTGAGCAACGACACTTGCAGTGGCAGGTGGTGACTCACTGCTCTGCTCCCAGACATCGTGAGCATCCGCCATTTCCTTCTGCGTTGCTGTAAAGTTGATGTGCGCTGCCGGTACGAAGTCTTCCAAAAGTCTGAGTCGAGCAGGTGACATGGTCGAGAAGCGGACCTCATATTTCACAGGAACGAACTCTGGGAGCCGAGGAATGTCGACCGGAGCGGAGGAGTTGACGCACACCGCTCGCTTAGGAAGCAGATTTTGAACGTGCTACATGGATTATCAGCGAGAGCTTGATGAACGATAGAGTCCACGGACCTTGGGTCCTGCTGACTGTCCGACGACACCTAAGAATGGGCCGTATCGAAGGTCCTGAGCTGAACCATCTGGGCCGATCGTGAAGACAGTCTCCCAGTTGCCATGCAATCCATATGATCTGTGACAATTGAAACGGGAGATCTCTGGCGGCAGGTAGTTTCGGCCACACTATAGTGAGGTTTCAGCCACTTACCATCCCGACACGACGACGATGACTCACCGAGTTCCTCCTCAATTGATCGTGCCGCTTGTCAAAGTCCGCTTTAGGAATCGGACGACTCTCTTGAATCATGTAGACGTGGGACCTGGATAGGCTCACCTCAGTACGACGACATGTTGATGCTGACGGGTAACATACCTCGTGTACAAGTATGGCTTGCTGGTCATCGCCAAAGCCACAGCCTGATTCGCTCGAGCCTTGTTCGGTACAAAGTATTCCCATTCATCTTCCACATCAGGCAGGACCCAATCAACCTTCTTAGCCATATCGAGGCATTGTGTCTCGGAGACGAGCTCTACCAAGCTGCTGCTGATGCCAATGTGCTTCAGAGCTCCCCACTTCAAGGTGTTACTGCTCGAGTGGGATTGGTCGTACTTATGTTCGAAGCTGAAGTTGGCGACGTTTAGCACCGTACCAGCTAACAGCCACGTACTCCTCTGAAAGTCTTTGCAAAGGTTTGACCTTGCTTGGTCTCCAATCTGAGTAATTGCTCATAGCCTCAAGATCCGCAACGTGAGGTATGACGGTGATTGTAGCTCGAACATCGCTCGAAAAGAGCAGACTGTCTTGCCTGGTTCGAACGATCAGCGGGCAGATCATACGAGCGAGGTAGATAGATGCATGGGAGTGGACATATCTGATCACTCACAAAATATCCGTGGGTAGATTGAATTCGACGACCTTGTCATGGGTTTTACCGTTCATCTTGATGTTCTTAAATACAGTTTCTTCATATATGATTCGGTCATTGCGCTTCTCCAGCGGGAAGCCGACAGCTTTCTTCGGACGTTCGCTAGTCGTCGAATTATCCTGACTGTTTATCTCCTCCAGGAACTCTGCTGCCGTTGAGACGTCGACTTTGGCATTCGGCTCTCGGACCCAAATGCCCAAGACCACATCAAAGCTGTCATCTTGCTCTATCAATGGTCGGACCATGTCCGGGGTATGTATAGTCGCATTAGATACAAAGAGTCCCTTGTGAGGATCTCTCATATCGCGGATAGCGTTCCTAGCCAAGACGAAGCAAGTGACTCCAATGGCGACACATATCAAGGCCCCAAAGACAACAACGATCCCGATACAGCATCGGACGGGACTGACGCCTTTCCTCTTAGTCCGCGGACGGGGGGCGTGAAGAGGGGACTTGTCGTCTTCCATAACGTCTTATCCTTTGGTGTTGTCAGGGGTCATACACAGACCCTCTGAAGACGATTAATGGGAGACGGAGATGAGGAACGAAACGTCAAGATCCAAAAATCGCATGCGATGCAGTGCCGGCAAGTAAATGACGCCACGTCGGATCCTTATCAGATTTCATCGCCGATACGGCCGGGGGAAGCAAGTGACCCAGTCAGTCAGTTGCTCCTGCCAATGCGCTGACATGCACACCTATTCTACCTATGGCATCTGCCGCTTGTGATCGACTCATCCCCGGAAACGGACCACGAAGACACACTACGAGGTACAAACCCTTCTATCCGTCTTGTTCGCCACGGTAGAATACTCCAGGGACTCGGAGGTGGCGCCACGAAAGGGTCAGTGTCGACACAGGTGTCCTCACGATCTGAAATCTCGAGTCGAAAAGGGGGCATACTGAAGGAGCGAGTCGTCATCTCACTGAGCCTCTCGGATGGGATCAAGTGATGTACATCCTCTGAATCCTTATCGGCTTCCTCCTGTTCTTCCTCTATGGAGTTGAGCGAATCTGTTGGGAGAGACTCTCTAGTGAATAGCGTGGACGAGTGTCCCGTCTCCTTGATAGTGGCCGCGCCACGGAGATGCACAGGTTGAGGGTACTCCAGGTCACTCGCTGCCTTCACGTCGACGCCGTAAGAGACTCCCGTGTACGCGCTCTGTGTCGTCTCAAAGCCTGACATGTAAGTCGATCCATACCCCGTCATCAAGCCTGTCGTAAGCGGATCCACGCTCTCCAAGGACGCCTCTGACCGGTGTCTACTTTCCGAAGTAGAGGCGAAGAGATTCCTCTGGCTATCGGTGTCATCCTCTCTACGTTCTCAACCTTCTCGTCTCCGCTTGGTCCAGATCCATAAAGCGAGCAAGAGTCCGGAGACAATGATGGCCGCTACGATGGGGCTCCAAATAACGGCGGGGTGTTGAGTTGCCAGGCTGGCTGATGATTGACTGTTGCCAGCCTCTATACTTGGACCGGGGATCTGAGAGGTAGAGACGAGATGTGGTGCAGAGGTTGAAGTGGATCTCAAGGAGCTTCCTAGGGAGATGTGAGATGTCCGCGAAGAAGGCTCTGGTTGGAAGTCGGAGGTAACGACTGACGGGTCGATGACAACAGAGGGTATGACTGGGAGACTGTACGCCGAGGATGCGGATGCCTCGGATGCTGAGTCAAGCGTGTAGTTCACAACTGCGTAATCTATAGCCAGATTACCAGGGCTATCTGCCGCAACGTTGGTCAGTGTGATCGTGTGAGACGTATTGCCCAGCATGGCGGCGGTGAAGACTTTGAAACGCGGTGTCAGCGAGAGCCTGTGGTGGATTGAGTCGGTGAAAGAGAAATCTTACGGGGGACCTTGGAGTAGAGCTGAGAAGCGTTGCCAATGTACGTTGTCTGTTCCCCGCCGTCAATGCTGAACGAGTACATCAGTCTCCGGTCGCCTCGCTGTCTTTAGTCATAAACCTACCTGACAGAATACGTGGCATATTGCCATCCGAGATTTCCAAAGATCTGTACTCGAGGTCCAAAGAAGCTAGGAGAGGAGTGTGAGGCATATCCATTCTATGAATGAAGAGCCACACACCTCAACGAGACGCTATCTCCAGGTGTCGAAGACTGACGGAATCCTCCACCTTGGTTCATATCGCTCTGCTGTGTAGACCAACCTGACCCAGAGTATTTGAAAGCGGAATCACCATCATCGTGTTGCGTGGTGACAATGCTACCAGTCATGAGGGGCCTGACACTCTCATGAGCTTTCCTCCTCATCTCAAATGCTTTGTCCAACAGGTGTACACACCCTGCGGGATTGACGAGGAAGAAATCAATGTCTAGGTATATCCATCCCCCTGGATCGGGTAAAAGACTGAGATTAGTGAGTGACGGTCTATTGACCAGAGTCTACGGATTACCGAAAGGTCAGCGCAAAGGAATCCTGATGATCCGACTGACATGATCGGTAGAATCAACCGACGCACGAGGTTATGATGTGATAGACCCAATCCTTCTCCTTTCCACAAAACCTGCTGGTACAGGTCGTTTCCAGCTCCAAGAGTCTCATTGACGAGTTTCCCATCCAGGAAGACTGTTACGCAGATTGAGCGACCTTCAATAGACAATGGAGAAAGAGTCACTGACCCTGATAAACCCCGTGATTCCCTCTGAGTGCACCAAACGCAGTGACGGCAGAACCGTTGAATAGGAGAGTGGCGTAGGATCCCTGGTGGCTTTGTCAGTGCCACAAAGTAGGCTGAAAGATACGCGCAGCTTGTGAACTGACCTCGCCAGTGGTCATGTGAAAGGTGGAGTCCATGTATGACATAAGAGCGCCCCCTCCATCTGTGCCCTGGTGAGCTCATACACTCCAGAAAGGCAGGGATATATATGCGGGGACTCACCATTTGCCAATGTTGGAGCTTTCCATGTTCCCTCTGGGCCATAAATGATCTGAGGTGAGATATCGTCAATCTGCACGGAATAAACTTATCAGCAAGCCTTCAAAGGGAACCCCCGCCGAAGTCTCGAGAGACTCACCTTGACAATGCCATCCTCCATGTTCGTTATTTCCTAACTCTCAATGGAGCTGCTCGAAGCAAGCGGGCCAACTCTGAAAGCTGCAGCTCGGAGCTCTTTTGAGAGATCGAGTACAAATAGCACCCTCTCAGGACCATTCATCCCGCTGACACGTCAAAGGGATATCTCCTGCACCCATGGACAAACCCCTTTCCCCTTGACCGTCGATGCCGAGCGATGATCACTCAGGCTCACAGTGAAAGGATTGGGGGACGCCTTCCCCTGGTTGATCGACTTCAGCTCCGAAGCGCTATTCTGCCGAGTATTTTCCCACACAAAGGAAGGCAGATAGATCAGTGCATGACGTTCGGTCGAGAGTTGCCTCATCGGTTGGCTTGTCGTCAGACACAAGATCCACAGGGCAAATGTGACTCTCCTTTGCATTATAAGAGACTGGTGGGTATTTCATTTTCAGCCTTATGAGTACGAAAGCGGATGAATATGTATACACTGGGTCATATGCATGTCTGAGAATGTCTATCAGTAATGTTGTTATCCTACAGGACTTGGGGCAAGATAGTGAACAAAAGGCCAAAGATGCGGCGATCGATGCGGACTGGGACCTGGTTCACTGCAAATGGCTACACGAGGCTTTGGGACTCCAGGATCATCAAGATAGCTGAGAGGACATCAGCATGAAGCATCGTGGTCGGCAGGGGCACTCACAGTGAACAATCTCCGGAATACTGTCCGTCCTGAGGTCGCAAGTGTAATCGGCATCGGTAGGTGCCTCATACACGTCTCCAACACCGGTCAAACCCTTGATCTCTCCAACTCTTGCGCGCTTGTACAATCCCCTCCTGTCGACCTTTTCGCACCATTCCAAAGGTGTCGCGACGTGAACGAGGAAAAAGTTGCCACCGCTTCCTTGGACTTGGTCCCGAATGGCTTTACGAGAGACATCATGTGGTGCTGTCGGGGCGGCAATGACTGCGGCTCCTGCTTTTGTCAACTCGTTGGCTACGATTCCAAGTCGCAAAAGGTTCAAATGCTTGTCTTCGGGTGACAAAGCGAGGTCTGTCGTCGGCGTATGACGGATATCCTCGCCAAGGAACAAGGAGACGGATCTGGATCCGTTCTGTTGAAGCGTGACCTGGAGAGCTCGAGCGATGGTATCTTTACCAGAGTTGTGCAAGCCAGTGAGTAGGATAGTGAATCCTTGTTTCGGTCTTGGTGGGTATGATTCCCGGAGCACCTTGACGACTCCAGTGTAAGAGAACCAATCGGGGATAGGAGCTCCAGTGCGTAACCTCTTTCTGAGCTCTGTTCCAGAGATATCGGCGGTTTTAGTACCCTTGGGAACATCTCCAACGGGTTGGTATTCGTCAGAATCTGGGAGATAGGTCATGGCTTGGAAAGGGACCATTTCGATGCCAATCTCTTCACGATATTGAGCGACGAGTTCCTGTGCATCATAGGGTCCGTAAAAGTCTTTGCCTTGAGAGTTTTTACCAGGCCCAGCATGGTCTCTACCGACAATCTACGAGCGATGAGCCTGATTTCGCGACAAAAGGCGGTATGCACTCACAAAGTGGGTGGCACCATAGTTTTTTCGGATGATAGCGTGCCACACTGCCTCGCGGGGCCCAGCCATTCGCATTGCAAGAGGAAGCAGAGCCAAATGTGCCAATCCATCCGGATAGCTCGACATCACCGCCTGATAAGCTCTCACACGAGTATAGTGATCGACATCGCCAGGCTTGGTAAGCCCGACGACGGGATGGATGAGAATGTTGGATTTCTGTTGACGAGCGGCTCGAACCGTGAGCTCTCGATGAGCGCGATGCATCGGGTTTCGCGTCTGGAAAGCGGTAATCTTTCGCCACGAGAGCTTGTTGAAGAATGCTCGGAGCTCAGTCGGCGTGTCTAAGCGAGGTCGTCAGTGCATGATCTACCTTTTTTTGTGAAATGGGTCGCGCTCACATCGGATTGCGACGTAGTCGTAATGGGTAGGAAGCTTGATAGCTTGGACATTACCACCGACGTAGTATTCTTTGGTCGTGTGGTGCAGGTATTTAACTGCAGGGTGTGCAAGGTCATCGGCACCAAAGACTTGTTCAGCTTCGATGTGTTTGTCAGGGCGGTAAATGTCGCCAACTAGGACAACGGGGCGTTTCAGCGCATGACAAACAAGACTGTTGTGGCTGTGGCGATATAACACTCACCCGTCAAGATGGCAAGTGCTGACTCGTCTCTTGGATCTCTGAGAGCTACCCTGACACCTTGTGCCAAGCCTAGGACTTGAATATCCTGAGCCGAGACGTCCAGCGTGATGGGGATCGGGAAAACTCTTCCCTGTCGTTGTCCATTGAATCTTGCGAGTCTAAGTGTGTCCCTCACACTCAGGTAATCGGCTTCCGACATGAACCCCTCGAGCGGGGAGAACCCTCCGTTGAGGATCAATTCGAGGTCGCATAATTGCCGCTGTACGCAATCGTTCAGCGCGCTTCCTTGACGGGAATGCGAGAAGAGAAGAAGATCGATCACTCACCTCGGTCAAGAAGATATCAGCTAGATGACGAGCTTCTTCGTTCAGTCGTTCAGAAATAGATGCATCTCTAGCGATGAGGTCCTTGAGGACTCCACCGTGAGGGGCGATGGCGATGGGCATTGGGAACGGAAGCCGAGTGTGGCGAGAGACGATGGAATTTGTCAACAGAGTCGCCTGGCTGATCGCTTGATCTATTCGGAGTCGAGATAAGTTATTATTCGGAATGAGGTAGGGGTGCAGGCAGCACACGGTGAAAGTTGAGGTTGAATGGAGAAAGAAAGAGACAGAGGGAGAGAGAGAATAAAGGATATGCCCCTCCTACGAGCTTTTGGGATGCTGGCCATAACCCCCCCACCTCTTAGTCAGACAACGCTCGCTCATTTTTGCACCTTTTTCCTTTCCATGTCGCCATATCTGGAATCACAAAAGAAAGGCGGCGGCGGCGGCTCGGCAAATTCGATGAGTGATCGACGATTCCCGAGCGGCTATCAACAGCAGCTAGGAGCAGATACAGTCCTGATGACAGTCACCCACTGGCCACATTGACCGACGAACCCCAATCACAGCGAGCAGCTGCTGTTGCTGCAACTTCCTATGCACGACCTGCCCCTACCATTGATCATTTGGCTAGCTGCACCAACCAGTTCACCACCCACTGTCCCATCCACCCCAGAATACAACCAACAACATGGCGTCATCGCTTCATTCAAATCCTGTTGTCGCCATTTCAATGGCGTGCTCGGGGCAAAAAAAAAAATATATCATTGAGTTGGAAATTTAAAGAATGATGAAACATCGGGGGGCAGGGTTTACACATATTATTATGTAATATATTTCAGAATCGCCCCGTTCAAGCAGCATCTACCTGCTGCTGCAGATGATCCACGCCTCCGTCAGCCACAGCAGCAGCAGCAGCGGCAGCAGCTGCTGCCGCAGCCGCGGCGGCATGACTGAATATATCACCAAAATCATCTTCACCACCCCCACTACCACTACCCACACCACCGACTCCTCCTGCAACGCCCTGCACAGCGGCTGCTACATCCCCGTCGACGGGTTCTTCTGCAGCTAGAAGTGTCCCATTTCCATTCGGATCCACTTTAGCACGTTTCGCCGAGGGACCCAAACTATCACCATCTCTTCCGTCGGCGTCATCGACCATGCTGGCGGATACATTAGATCCTCTAGGAGCTGTACGGCGTTTCTTAATGGATTTGCCGTCTCCCCAAAGTTCTGCGGGGCGAATGACTCCAAACTTGACGTGATATAGCCCGCATGCTACCACTTAGCCAATGATCCATCAACACCTCCGACTCACCATTGCACACTTTATACTCTTGATCGCCCAAGCTAAGCTTCCGCCATACGCTCGTCTCTGTCCTTCCACAGATATCGCAGCTCCCCGGGGGCCCCTTTTTCAGTCTTGACAAGACGCTGGCGTCGATTTCTCCGGGTCCAGCGCCAGAGTTGGCTCCAGCCGAGTCAACACCACCCCTGTGCTGCTGCTGCTGTGACGTCGCTTCTACCGCCAGCTTCTGCAGCTCGGGATCGATGTGACTAGTGACTTCCCCTTCGTCAGGTAACAACGCCGCAAAACTGCTGGAGTCGCGGAGGTGATCCAACAAGCGCTCAGTCTCCGCAGCATCCGCCGTCGTATGGTGTGTCTCGTCGAGATGGACTTGAGAGGCTTCCTGTTGCTGGTCGTCCTGGGTAGGTAAGACTTGCTCGGACAATTTAGACTTCCGCTTCGCGCGGCGGATAGCTCCGGGTGTGGGCGTTCCAGGTGCAGATCCGGCTCCTTCTCCCGCCGATGCAGCGTTTCGGACAGCACCTGATCGTGTCCGAGCCGACAGACCAGGCGTACTCTTGGCTGGTCGTCCACGTGTTCGAAGAGCGAAAGCGGGCGAGGAAAAGGAGGTACTGAATGCGGGATCCTAAGGGGGCATCTGGATGAGCAGTTGTCGAGTTGTACGGTTCGTCAACTCACCTCGATCGTTCCGACAAGACTCCCAATGTATCCTGTGAGCGCCTTGAGAGCATTGATGATCCCTTCCTTGTCATCCACTTCAGACGACTTGGTTAGGGTCTGAAGCTCAATGACCTTAGCAGCGAGTACCGATTCGACATTCAATTTTGCCTGCTTAGCCTGCATGACATTGGATCGACGACCGTGCAGTCCATCGCGTAATTTCTGCATGTGATCTTGTTGCTCGCCAGCATATCGCGTGAGTGTATCCTTGTCGTTGGAGAACATGGCTCGGGGAATACTGAGGACCTCGTCGTCTGTGCTGTGGAATTCCTTATCCAGGGTAGCCGATGATTCTTGAATCTGAGCGATTTGCTTCTCGACCCGCCCAATGGCAAGCTTAGTTGCGACCAGGTCCTCTCGTAATAATCGCTCGACCTCAACGTTGAGAGCGATAGCCATGGCTGAGGAAGTGGCTTCTGCAGCTGCCACTGGATGATAGACCAGCGTGTCGAATTCGGTCCGTCGACTTTGAGCATCTCCGCCGTGCGCCTGAGCTTCAGACGATTCGCCTCCTTGACCTTCGCCCTCCTTCTCGTCTCCATCGTCTCCTCGGACTGCGGCTACGGCTGCCAATTCTCCCAACCTCCCGTTCGATTCCGCTTCTTTGAACATGTCTTCTACACCTTGCATCCACTCGTCCTCATCCCCTCCTTCACCAGGGACGAACGCGTCTGTATCACCCACCGCATCACTCATCAACGCGGCCAAGATGGTCCGAGAGTGTGAATCTTGAGCGGCGTCTCCACTAGAAGGCTCGACTCCATCCACGTCCATATCGCCACCTGCTCCGTTTCCAATCACTTGAGCCGTCGGCGAGGCCTGCCCTCCTGCAGTTTCTGAAACGCCTCTTCCAACTCCTATGCCTCCCTTTTTCACCTTGGGAGCTTTCAATTCTGCATCCTCCATCGACTGTCCTGCTCCAACCTTGGTCGAATGGCTGGCGCCTTCTAACTCGACAAGGGTGGAATCTATGCCGACCTCCGCTTCGAGCCTTGCTATATCCGCTTTGAGCTTTTCATTCTCCGCTTTGAGCTCTCCTTCAGCCTTCTGAAGCGTTTGTCTCTTATCTTGAGCTCTGTATCTCGATCTCACAGCTGCCAAACGATTCGCTTCTTTCCTTCTGAAATCTGCCGACGATCCAGGTACGATACCTCGACCGCGCCGAGGTTTGCTCTCTGTCGCGGGCTGATCGTCTGTAGGAGAGGGGACAAATGAGGTATCAATCATTTGCTCGTCATCTTGTCCTTCCGCCATTGAGGCATCAGCAGCTGCGGCCACCGCTGCGGCTGCCAGGTCTTGGGCAGATCGCAATGATGGATCTAAAAGGGAAAGGAATGTCAGTGGGTGATGGGGGGACATGAGGCGGGTAGCTCGGTAGACGCACCGATCACAGAGTCCATGTTGGGACGACTCGCCGGAGAGAAAGGTCTCTTTAGGCAATAGATCGTTTCGCAGTACGGACCCACTGTCCGTATCAGCCTCACTGTTGTCAATAGAAGACAGGAAATCAGTCCCTCATGCATCAACATAATAGCGGCGTCCACCGAACATAACTCCGAGTGTTCAAATCGCCGGACGTGGCATTTTTCAAGGATTCGCCAGGAGCTCGTGGACCTCAACTTCCCTTTGAATCGTTATCACCACGGGTTCGCCCAGCTACGACGCGACCGCATCAACATTACGCTCCTGGTGGCTCTTCGATATAGACCCAGTCTCGAGTATATACATCACCTTGCGGAGCTTACAGAGCCAGAATCACACCTTGAACTTCCGGACCGCCTTATAGCAACGCATTTTCCACTTCCTCTGGGCTTGCATCCCTTCCACCTCCCACTTCGTCTCGTTCAACATCTCTCTGGGCCAACATGGACGCCAAGTTGTGAGTAGGGACGTCTCGCGGGCTCTCAACGGGGACCACAAACTCATTTCATTCACACGTTGCTGACGTAGTACGTGCTTTAGACAAAAGCTAAAGGTTGCCGAGCTGAAAGAATTGTTGAGCAAACACAACCTCCCGCAGACAGGCAAGAAGGATGAACTGGTCAAGAGACTGGTAGAGAACAATATCTCAACAGAGGAAGGGGACGAAGAGCTGGTGAGTTAACAGTGAAAAGGAGGTAATTGTGCTGACTTTTTATCCGCAGCTTGATCCGGATGATGTTGAAACCGACCAAGCAGTGAGCTGACTCAAGTCACTTATTGGAATGACCAACAACTGACTCTCTTGATAGACTGCGCCAACGTCCTCCGCTGTACCAGCCGCCTCGACTTTAACTTCGGCTGGGGAGATGCCGGAAAAATCGACAGACCCGACGAATGGCTCATCCGTCGAGTTGACACCGGAACAACAAGCTATGAAAGCTCGAGCCGAGAGGTTCGGAATGCCGTACAACCCCAACGCCTCCAGTCGCTCAGGTCAGAAATCAGGCAGCGGTTCGGAGAAGGCAACTGCCCAGCAACCGCATACACCGGCATCCAGCTCGACCTCACAGGCTCAAAAGGCTGGACCAATCGATAAAGCCCCTCTTGGAGTATCGGAAGAGACTCTGGCGAAACGAGCTGCCAAATTTGGATTACCAGAGAAGACGAGCGCTGCTGCAACTGCTCCTGCTGCCGAGTCGCGAACGAAGGCTGCCTCTACCCCCGCCCCTCCCAAAGCTGAAGCTGAGATGACACCGTGAGTGGTCTCTCCTTACTGTAACGGTCTCCCTTATGACTGATCCTCCGCCATAGAGAGCTCAAAGAAAAGATTGCCATTGAAGAAGAAAAGAAGAGAAAACGAGCCGAAAAGTTTGGTACTGCCCAGCCAACCAATGGTACAGCCGCAGAGCCTGTGAGGAATTCTCCCAGTCTCACTCATTTGCCCACTCTGACACCATGAATCACGCCAGGATGCCAAAAAGACAAAGGTCTAGGTGAGTTTTAAAGCCATCCTGTATTTGTATCTGTGGGCTGCGCAAAAGGGAAAAGACATGCCCATCACGGTCATGCATCTCGTTGACTCTCGTTCTACCCATGTGCGGGGATCCCCAAATCCTCAGAGAGATTGCAACCTAACGTTCTGTCGGAGTCGGAGATTGACCAGCCTGTGGCTGTGTAGCTTGCTGATAGTTTGGTGGCAGAGTCTGCGCGAATTCTGTCTGCTCGTCCTCGTCCTCGTCATCTTGAGGTATGGGACCATGATCCACCTCTCGACCAGGAACATATATACGTGCTGATGTCACAGCCGAGATGGTGCTCCCTGCTCCAAAATGGGCGCCAGGGCGAGCTGTGAAGGAAGAGGCCAGGCCCGCCGATTTGAGACTCTGCGAAGGTGGAGATCGGTGGTTTGATAAGGTAGAGACGAGAGGGAGAACAGGCAGGTTGTCTTCCTTTTCAGAACCGGGTGTATCTTGATCTATGTCCTCAGCAGACGATGCGACATAAGCGCCTCCAGTAGCTCCTGGTGGCAGTTGACGGGGCGACTCCATTTGGAACTCTCTGACAGATGGTAATGACATGCTTGCGTCAGGCTCATTGAGAGGGTATGAAGTGGCATTGGAAGGAGGTGGCGGAGGGGCATTGAAGAAGCCAACAGCGTGTCCAGGCTGAAGGAAAGTAGCTGATCGAAGCTCGCTACTCGCGTAACCCATCTCTGATACTCCGGCTGGTCCTCTGGAGTCGCCATTGTTAGGATTCAACAAGGAATCCAATGGGTTCCTTGCATGGTGCGATGAGGTCCTCGTCTGAAATGGCGCGACTTCTCGCCCATCAAATTGATGACTGTGGTGCGGATCATACGCATCGCCATTCAAGTCCATCCTCGGCTCAGATGTCCCCGTCTTCCGATACTGCCTCTTTTTCCTCTTGATGCAAAAGAGGAGGATGAGTGCCGAGACCAGGGCGATGACCAGCACCGCCGTCACGACACCAATGACGATACCCGTAGGAAAGTTAGAGCCTTTCGAGTGGTCCTCAGAGCTGGGAACGGTATCGGATGAATCGGTCGTTGTGTTGGTTGCATTGTTACCGGCGAGATCGGGGGACACAGTCGAGTTGACCACCGCGTAGTCGAAATCAAAAGCATTGCCCGCAGTGCCACCGAGATTGGTCAAGGTGATGAAGTGTTCTCCTTCGGTCAAATTTGTAGCGAGGAACACTGCGCTCTGTATGTCAGGATACTGTGTCCTCAATCGTTTCCGAGGGGGTTGACCCACGAGACTGTTGACTCCAGAGATCTGGCGAAGACCCATTGAAGACCTGAGTCAATCCTCCATCGAGCCTTATGGGAAGCAAACGTGTCGTCAGCCCTTTGAATGTGGCGGATCGAACTTTGAACCCACACGATGGTATAATTCCCATGATCAACATTGAGACCTCCGAATATCTGAACAGAGGTTCCATTGAAGCTACAGTTGACGGAACCATACAATCAGTCAGCCGATCTCGATCGAGACCTGGAGTTTGTCTGTCCGGCACCCACGCAAAAGCTAGCGATGCCGACGTGTTGAATGTCAAATGACTCGTACTGTTATAATACCCATTCCCGAAATTTGGAACAGGTTGGAATTGACTGTACGTGAAGGATGGAGAGAAGTCATCGTAAGTCGTGGTGTAAATCTTGTCCGAGCTGGCGGAGGTGATCAGCAGACCACAAACAAAGCCGAGGAGCATGCCTTCCGCCGCTCACGGAACTGGCTGTGTGATGACGACGTAGTCTATATCCAGGAAGTAAGGGTTTTCAGCTGTTGGCGCCGGGTTCGTCTGATCAGCCAGATTGGTCAGAACCTGCAGACTGTGTGGTCAGCCCTTCGAAAAGCTAATGAGAGTGACTCTAGTGTTGCCCCTCACTACGGTGTGCGTTTTCGCAGGATTCAGATTCTCAGTGAAGAACAACGGCGCTTGAAAGATCTCTGGCTTGGCGGCGTAACCGAACAAAAGGCCTCCTCCCGTCTGACCGTCGATCGTGGCTGGAATCGAGAGAGAAAAGTCAGCTGAGGTGATCTCAAGACTAGGTCATCATCGATTGCAGAGGGTGCCACCTGTGGGTATCCCGTGTAACCATCAGGTAACCTGGCAAACTCACCGGAATACGATCCATGATTGGAGCGCTTTGCACCGTAGACATAGACTGCGCTCCCGTTGAATGTAAAGCTCATGTAGTCGCCCTGGGACAGCTCTCAGCCAACCAGCTGGAGAGGGTGTTTCTCATGCTCGCTCACATCTTGCGTGGTGGCGTGGAATGTGGAACGGAAGTATCGATCCTTCAAGGAGTCTGTAGAACCAAAACAAAAATCAGCGTGTCAGAAGGTCGCCTTGCTTTCAATGCGGTCGAGGTCTGATACAACGAGTCAGAGAGACCAACTTACCACCTGGATGCTTTGACGTCCATTTACTACCTGCTGACTTGCCATTCTTATCATAGTATCCAATCTGAGGAGACAGGTCGTCAATCTTGAGATATCCCGGTATGTCAGCGTCTCGTCACATTCTTTCTGATGGCCGCGGCGATACAGCCATGCGAATAGTCCAAAGCAGCTCACGGTGATGTTCATGGTGTGCAACATCCTATGCCTTCCGCGAGACACTGAGTATACGCGCAGGATGTAATGTGCGAGTCTTGAGCTCGAGTTACTCCAGAAGCGTCGTCAGTGGCCGTCTTCGAGCCTGGCGACGAGGGGTCCTTTGGGACCTAGTCTAGACAAGAGCTTGACTCATGACCGACAAGTGGTGAACAGACGGTCCAGTCCGTCGTTTTTTCTTGTTGGTCGATCTGTAGTCGGAGAAAGGTTCATCGGCTTGGACTACAGGTTGCGTTCTGTCAAGCCATGAGAACAGATCAGCATGGAGACTGGTTCCAGATCTCAGGTCAGGTAGTCAAGCAACGCTTTGGTGTTCGGGTGTTCAACAACAGTCATTATATATCATCTCTAAGCTCATACAAGACCATATCATTCTCCCATAAGCTCAGCGCTATGATACGATACGATGCGAACGGATTGGCACGACCTCGTCAATCTGTCGACTTTGCAGTCATGAAACTCGCCTGGTCCGGATCCACTTGACCTGGTAGTGGTTGAGTCGCTTGTCGGTAATCCGGCGGTAGTGTTGAATGCTCATGACTCGCAACAGGACCAAGATCGGTTTCCCTTCCGGGCACTTGCATCCGACCGGAAATCGGTGACGTTGGGCTGTCGGCGTGACGAGAGTTTACAGGAGACGTCGATGTGAATGGGAGTGATACGCCTGCACTCTTGCGTGATTCCGACAAGAGAGGCCGGGAAGTCTCTCCTGTCTCTCCAGAAAACACGGAAGGAGCTGATGGGACAGACCGAGCCGTTCCCCCATCAGCGTATCGCTGGACAGCGGGTGAATAAGCAGATCCAAATCGCTCGGTTGAAGCCGTAGCTTCTCCCCTCTCGTCGATGTTGTTCAAGTTGACAGTGGACGGTGGGTTCTCACTCCGTGGGTAGTCGCTTCGAGGGTATGAAGTGGCGTTTGACGCGGGTGGAGGAGGGACAACCGAAAAGAATGGCCGTGATGTGTCCATTGGACTTGTGCCGGCTCGACTGGAGGCAGATCCACTGCCCGTGGCGTAGTCTGTGCGGGACAGCGAACCGGGTTGCGAATGAGTAGTGTTGACCATGTTCTCAGTGGTAAATGGTGTCGGGGCATCCGGGTCTTCCCCGCTCAGATTGACTTTCTTGCTTCCCATCATAGACCCTCGTCTCCTATGCGAATCACGTCGTCGACGGAACAAGAAGAACCAAAGAGCCAGAGCGATCAATGCCAGTGCAATGACACCTCCAACGACTCCACCGGCAATGGCACCGGCGTGCGAGTGGTGACCGCTGGATGTCGACGAGCCAGTATTGTCGGAGCTGGATCCTGCAGATGCAGATGCAGAAGGAGAGGTGCTGCTCGTGGCGCTCCCTCCGGAGGCAGAAGACGTCCCGCTGGATTGAGTCGTATTAGTCCCTGTGGAATTGCCCGAAGTGATCATTGGGGCGAGCGTGCTGTTGACCACGGCATAATCGATATCGATAAAAGATCCCAGTGGTCCTTTGCCATCGTTCGTAATCATAATGGTGTGATTGGTGTCATTCAGACCGTCCGCGATGAATACTTGAGGGCGGTGGTTCAGCTATATAGAAACTTTTGAACACCAGTGGGCCACTCACGAGGCTCTTGCACTTGTAGATCGAACCATGTTCCGTTGTATGTGCCAGCATTAACGCCGTCGAGCCTGGACGTAAACTCAGTCATGTTCCCCCAGACGGACATTCTGGCACTCACGTTACGGTGTAATTGCCGTGGTCTTTGTACAAACCACCATAGATGCCGATTCCAGAACCGTTGAAGCTGTACGTCCAGCATTAGTCACAGTCAAGACCGATATGGTGATCAACTCACTTCAGCGTCACAAAGGCTCCAATCTCGTTAGTGATGTGTGCTGTGTCGTTGTAGTACGTCTGAGGATCCAGAGGACCGCCTCCCCAATTACCTCCTCCATACGTGAAGAGAGGCGATTGATCGTCAATTTTCGTCGTATAAACTTTTTCCGTCCTGCGAATAGCACTCTTGGTCAGTGGACTGACTCTCGTGGAATCATGAGACATCGACTCACTCATTGACAGTGATGATGGCGAAATCTACGTCGACCCAATAAGGCGCATTATTTACACCTTTGATATTCGTTTGATCTGGCTGAGCCGTCAAGACGATGGTATGTTCTTGGTCTGTCGATAGACCGGTTTGGTTAAACAAGACTTGTTGAAATTCGTTTTGAGCAGAGTAGCCTACTGCAGTGACGGCTTCACCTCCATCGAGCGAGACTGAACATTTTGGTGTCAAGCCTTTTCCGGGGAAGACTGGATGCTGGACTCACCTGAAAATTGCCCATGATTCGGACGTTTGGCGCCGAACAAGTAGATCGCACTCCCATTGAAAGTGAGTGAAACCCAGTCTCCCTGGAATACGTCGTGTCAGCTGGGATCTCTTCCCTTTGAGGCGAGGCAAGTGCCATGACTAACCTCTGAGAACGAGCCGTGAAACGTATCGTCATAGTAATCATCCAGGGCTGGATCTACGACCTTTGAATGAGCGTGATGTGCACTACTATCTTGCGAGTCACACAACTTACCGGGGTAAGGGGTTCCATTGGCATGGTCGGTGATCCAAGAGTTGTTGTTGGCAGCGGAGTGAAACTGGAACAAGGGGGAAGCGTCGTCAATCTGAAAAGAAAGATGTCAATCAGCCGGCCGTCCTTTGGAATGCTATCCAGCCTCTAGCCAGCTCACCGTAATATTCATGGTGTGTGACTGGTCGTGTTGTAGATAGGTAGCTGAAGGCGATGTAGTGTGATGCTTCGAATCGTCAAGGCAGTAAGTAGATGGCGCCTTGGGGGTCGCAAACAGGTTCGAAATCAATACCGCAACGTGAGGAAAGATACTGTTCAGAAAGGGTCGTTGAATCGTGAAGGAGAAGTCAAGACATCAATTCTCAGTCAGTCATGGCTTTTCATATCTTATCCCGTCATATCACCTTGACGATCTCATACCGGTTTATCACGCTAAGTCACCCAAAGCTCCACCGATCTCATTCAATGGCTTACTTTCACCCCCGCCATGGGCCAATCTGGATACCCCACCCAGCACGCCCGCTGCCTTCAACCCACATCCGCTCAGGCATCAGCCGCTGATTTTTTAGAGTGTGTGCCTTCCTCCTGCACGTCGGGCATGATGAGTCCACCGATGCCGATTAATGGAGGAAGAACGGTAGATCTCCCAGCAGCAAAAGGAAGCTACTAACCGGTTAATTTATTTTGACTTTTTGCTCTGCCCGAGATGACCGAATAGAAACTGTGGAGTACGTCCTATGCGAACAATAACGATAAATATCATGGATCCATGGATCTATGGAGCCAAGCGGACAATGCCACCGGATCGATGACATCAATGGCAGGAGAGATGGGCGTATTCGCAGATCTCAACTGGGAACCAAGCACATCCCGTTCTCAAGTGCGAGGGATCTAAATATGCAGCACACGTGCGAGACAAGGGAGGAAGCACACAAGACTTCGTATTCTATACATACTGGAGACATCTATACGGGCAGGGAAATGATCAGATCTTCTTACGGTGTTCCTGTAAAATGGTCGGATCAGTAAACGATCCCGTACATCCCTTCGATACCACTCACCGGCTTGTGTGAAACTTCGTGATCAACATGTACGAAACACCTGTCCACATCAGGTAAAGCCTCCACTTGATCCTGCAGATCCTGAGCGATGTCATGTGCTCTCCACAATGGCATCTCAGGAGGTAGCACAATGTCAAGTTCGACAAAGTAATTTGGGCCCGAATGATACACACGACAGGTATCGACTTGTCGAATGTCCGGGGAGAATGTCATTGCCTAGTAAAGTATGAGCAAGTGCGCGAGGTACACAGACCTAGACTCGCCTTATATGTGACGAGGTTTTGATACTCCACCGGGGCGACGATTCCCGCCAGATAAGTGAATTGCTCTGATATTTTGACATCAGCGTGGTACAATATTACACAGAGCCAGACTCACCGTGAATGGTTCTTGACCACACTATAATGATGGTCACGGCGATCATCATGGCTCCCATTGGGTCAAGCTGACAAGTCAGAAACATACCTGCGGGGCAAGGAGAAACTATGACTCACCCACCATGCCAACTTGCTTCCTCCAGCGGAGGTTAGGATACCGAAACCGTTGCTGTATCCCAATCAGTGAACGGGTGGTACAGATACACTCACGTGAGGAGATCATTCCGGTGGTCTTCCCACAGCACTTGAACCTGTGATGACGCCTTTCGGATGGCGAGACAGTACAAGAACAAGAAGAGCTTTGTGACTGCTCGAGGTGAGATAAAAGGGGTGGGTATGCGGCATGAATTGCTCACCGAAAGCTACACCAACAGCGATGATGGATGGGACGTGAAATTTCTTCGTCTCGCTCCCGTCATATGTCACCAGATTTTGAATTGACTCGACCTAAGAGGTGTGAGTAAGAGGCGGCGCGCACAGAGGGTGATGCAGACGCACGATCAGGATCAAGTTGACTGCAGCCATAATGAATGCGTAGACTAAACGATTCAGAGTTGAACAATTGGATTACACTAGACTCACCAATATTGCCTCTGGGAGCGAGCATGCCTGTCAGGTTGCAGATCTCACAGTCAAGAAGAGAGGGCACCTACACTGCGGGATATGAGCTTTGACCTAAAGACCAGCTTTGCACTCACTCGTCTCGAATCTAGATCCTCTCACAGGCCATTTCTTCTCCTCTGCTCGATCGGAAGCTCTATGCGCCATATACAGGATGAGGTTGGCCACCGGGTCGACTGAAGAGTTTTAGTATGGCTGAAAAGAATGTACTGTATCATATTCCACTCACAGACTGTTTAGCGAGTCAGCACTGTTCTTCTTGTGACAGCCAGAAACTCACCGGCATCGATACAACTTGCGAACAGTGCCAAAGATCCACTGCTTATAGCGGCATATAGTTGAAGCGCCGCCAAGCAGACATTGGCGATCAACGAGGCGTTCACTGCGATCTTGACTTTGAGTGCCATATCTTCAGCGGATTGTTCTCCCTCGGCAGAGAGCGTGGACAATGGCTTGAGCATGTCTTGGATGTGATCATTTTGAGCAGAATAGAATGCAGCAAGTTTCTTTCCGATTCGCTTCTTGTTCTTCCGTCTGAGAGTGATTGTTGGGAACGATGCGAGGAGGATGAAAATCCAATACGACTCACTGCCTGAGCACATCGATGGTCTGATCCGACACGATTCTCTCCCTCAACAATAGGGGATCCCTCTCTCCTGATTCTCTTCCGACAACACTTGGATCCATCATCATCTCAATATCATCATCCCCTTCTGGTGAGTTGGAGCTCCGTCGAGATAGACTGGTCGGTGGAGCTGCCGATTTCGAACCATGGTGTGAAGGAGAACCTGAATTCGCTGACGTCGATTTCCGGAGCTCACTGAGAAGCGTAGGTAGCTCTACTGTCGCTGCTGGGATCGGCATACTTTGTATCGTCGCGAGGTGAAGAATGTGATCCTATCAGCTTGCCCGACATTAATAACTCAGTATTCTCGTCAGCGGAGGAAAAGTCTTGGCCTGGAAGGGGCGGCAACAACCGCCTGTTCCATATATATATATACCTCGAGCGAGTATACCCCTTTCACGCTCTTGGAGTAGGTTGTACCAGCAGCGCTTGATGTGATCGAGGTACAGAGGGCTTCCTCGATGGCTAGTCCCTCTGGTGAGCGAGCCAAGTAGCTCTTCAGCCTTCTTCGTGAGCGCTCACACCGTGAATAGAAGCTGAAATGGCAAAGCCACAAATCTGAGCAATAACGGATGGCGGAGATGTGAACCAACTCCGTCTCAACATCTGGTCTTTTGGGCATAAATGGATCAACAGTCTATTTCTATAACTCAACAATTCATCTTACCAGCTGGCCAGCGGGGAGGGTAGGTCCGAGCATATACGCACAGAACACACGCAGTCGAGAAGGGAACGATAGACTGAGACTGTTGTAGCCACTTGAATCATCCAACATGGTGCGTCATTCCTGCTTGCCAAAGGTGCTTGCGCTAAAAACATCACCGATCTCTAGTCATCACTTGCGTCTGCCCGTTTAGCAGAAGAGCGAAAACAATGGAGAAAGGATCACCCGCATGTGCGTAATGAGCTTGGATGGCGGCCATTTGCTGACCTTCAATGCTCTGGTCTGACTCATGTCCCCTTTTTCATTCCCGTTCTTCTCCCCCATATGAATGTTTACACACTCGCCTGCAATCCGTCGTCAACGCGATCTTTGGCGATACCGTCTACAGGGTTTCTTTGCTAAGCCGGTGAAGAAGGCCGATGGCAGTCTGAACCTCATGGAATGGGAGGTCGGTATCCCAGGAAAGGAGAAGGTGAGCTGAGATGCGAGAGTCCCTGCACCTAGCTGACGAGAAGCAGACAGATTGGGAGGGAGGACTGTACAAGATTCGAATGACGTTCCCAGAGGGTGGGAATCGAGGTCGCGAATGGCTATGTATAAATGGCTGACATAACCCACAGACTTCCCTACGAAACCGCCAAAGTGTACGTTTGCTCCCACCCCCACCATCATCGAGCTGTCCACTCACCTTTCTCTTCCAGGCAAATTCGAACCACCACTCTTCCACCCTAACGTCTATCCGTCCGGTACGATCTGTCTCTCCATCCTGAATGAGGACCAATCATGGAAGCCGTCCATCACCATAAAACAGGTGAGAGACATATTCGATCATGAGGCCTTTAAAGCACCTTGCTGACCCTCGATGCTCCACACAGATCGTACTGGGTGTTCAGGATTTATTGGACAATGCCAATATCAACGATCCGGCTCAGGTTGACGCGTATAGCATGTTTAAGTGAGCTTGAGTACCCGAATTCCATTCGATTCTGACGACTGTTCAGGAATGACAGAGAGAAATACAACAAAAGGATCAAGGCTCAGGCTCTCGAACGAAGGCCTCAATAGTCCTTCTTCAGCACTCAGTGTCTGATCTCTTCTGACCCGATCTCCATTCTGCAGCATGTTTCATGAGTCGTTCAACGTCAGCGACTGCTGGACTTCATCCCCATGTGCGATTCTCGTCTATCAGTGTGTGTATATATTTTTTTGAGGGAGAAAGTCTGGAGAAAGAATTTGGAGTTCGACGGCGAACCCTCTGTCGAGTCTTACAGGCTGCATGTCGCATATATTGTAGATGAGAAAGCATCGAGTGACCAGATCAGAGATGAGCCCAGTTTTTTTGATTCCGTACACTGTTGTCAGAGCCGCAATTCCCGGGAATCGGAAATGACGGAATTGAACCCGAGATCTCTCACAGATTATCAATCCATGTCCAAAATGTTGTGCGTGAATGGGCATGGAGGCTCGCTGAGCATATAAGGGCGCCGTTGGACTGACAATGATGCCTAATAGCTTCTCACATGCCTCGAGAAAGGTCTAAAGGGATATATAAAAGATACAGCTTGATACTCATTACACTCATCCTCATCATCGCCTTGTTTCTCGCTCGCACATACAGAACTCCACTTCTGTCCCGAGGTCTGTCTGCTGTTCTACCCTATCGTCACGTCAACACAATGGTTCAGAATAATCAAGACTTGAAGAGAGCGGATGTGTGGTTTATCTGTCACGGTGAGTACTGCTCACGAGCAGAGAGAACAGCATCGCTAACAGCCCATCAGGCGTACGTATCGTGTGAAGCGCCTTTTTTCACCACTCATGACTGATGATTGTACCAGGGACCGCCTACGATGTTCGACTTCGAAGGTGAAGGCTACAAGTCTTGGGTCAAGATGGGTGAATCTGTTCGAGCTTCTAACCCCAAAGGCATCGTGATTGTCTCGGCGCACTGGGAGAGCGACTATACGAGTGATCAAGGCATCGTTGTGTCCAGTAAGTTTGGGGGCCATCGGTATCATAGTCATATCAACGTTGAACAGTTCTGCGAGACTCCATCGCTGATACTCTCTCCCAGTCAATTCAGAATTGGATAACCCTCTCATCTATGACTTTTACAATTTTCCCAAGCACTTTTACGAGGAAAGGTTTTGCTCCCAAAGTGATCCGGCGATACGCAAAGCCGTCAAGGATGCCTTGACATCGGAAGGCGTCTTGATCAAAGAGGAGAAGAGGGGCATAGATCATGGCGTGTGGCGTGAGTGGCCAGGGATCGTTTGCCTGAAATGCTAAAAACGCTCTCCACAAAGCACCGCTCAAGGTTGTTCTTGGTGAGAAGACTACAGTACCTATTCTCCAGGTATCCCTGCCGGGAGACTCTAGTCCTGTATCCACAGCCAAAGTTGGCAAGGCTCTCTCTGCGATCAGGTGGGTTTGCTATCGGGCATTTCAAGAAGCACAGATCTGATCCAGACTCAGGGATCAAGGATACACTGTGATTGGTTCCGGCCAAACGGTACACAATCTGCGAGATTACTGTGGGTCCCCCCTTGCACCTTTACAAACGCAGGCCATACTGACACGTTCCATGTATAGTCTCCGGTCGGCCTACTCCTTACACAGAGCCATTCCTCGCCGCCGCATCCGCCGCAGTACACTCTTCGGACCCCGTCGGACAAAGTATAGGCCTTACTAAACATCCACTGTATCGATCTGCACACCCGACAGATGAACACTTTCTCCCTTTGGTATTTGCTGTCGCGGCTGCAGATCCAGGAGACAAGGTTGAGGAGATCCTATTGACGCCTGAGAGTGGTGGCTGGGGTAGCTGGAGATGGTCTTCCGCGAACAGTATTAGCAACATGGCAGAGACAAGGATACATTTGCACTGCATCTATAAAGTACTGGTACATACAAATCATATTGTACTCCAATCCGATAAGACTACTTGATTTCCTTGGAATGCGGCATCTCAATAATGATCTTGCCCTTGGATCGTCCTGATTCTAGCTTCTCGAATGCCTTGGCGTAATCCTCCATCTGATACTTGGAATCGATCTTGACGCTGAGTTTGCCTTGCTCCATGAAACCGATCAGCTTGGCGAGCTGAACCCCATCCGGGTGCATGAAGAAGTAATCGTATGTAACTTTTCTGGCGTCCGCAGCATTTCTTATGGCCCTAGATTTCCACCAAAGCATACCATTGACCAGAGGTCCCTTCCAACCAAGGTTGAAATCGTCCAACGCACCGGGGATCATGACGCCAGCGACTGAAGTGATCTTCCCTCCTTCTACCACAGCCGGTATGATATCGTTGATCAGAGCCTCTTCACCACCTGCGCAGTCAAACACCTTGTCGAATTTAGTTGGGTGTTCTGCGACTTTTTCATTCTTGTAGTCGATGATTTCGTCCGCTCCGGCCTCTTTGACGATAGATGATCCAGCTTGAGACGCAGTTGTGGTGACGTGTGCACCTCGAATCTTGGCGAGCTGGATGGCGAACAGCCCAACACCACCAGCTCCCCCTGTGACCAGGAGTTTATCGCCCTGCTTGACGTTCAATCGATCGAGACCTTGTTCAGCCGTCAATCCGGCAAGTGGGAGACCGGCAGCATCAACGAGTGATAGTGATTCTGGCACCCGAGCATAGAAGCTCGCGGGTTGAACGGTGTACTCTCCCAGCGCGCCAAGCTTTAAGAAATCGGTTCGACAAGTCACTCGATCGCCCACGGTAAAGTTGGAAACGCCTTCACCGAGCGCAGTGACGATCCCTGAGAACTCGTTCGCGGCGACCTGGGGGAAAGTGTATGGACTGATTTGAGCCATCGCTCCATTTCGCTGATGCCAGTCTACGGGATTCAGAGCTCCCGCAACGACTCGAGTTTGAATCTGACCTGGACCAGGCGATGGGATGGGAACGGAGACGATCGACGTCACTTCCGGTCCGCCGTATTTGGTGTAGGCGATAGCTTGCATGGTCTTCGACATGATGGGAGTGGTCGGTGTGATTTGGTTATTCACCAAGGCTGTTCTGCTTGATTCTTATATCTGTGTTGCCTTCGAGAGCACGAGAATCTTCTGTCAGCAAAAGAAAAGACTTTGGAACAGGTACAGTCACCGTCACCTATCGAGCGACGATGATTCCGGCTTTTACGGGAAAAATTCAATGACCATCACATGATGACGCAATTTTGATTAGGAAGAATCTGGCAGCAAGATCGACGCTTGAGCGCATGCCTTTGACGTTGAGGACAGATCTTCATTAGATCAAGCCAGTAGCTTGTCACATTGTGTGTGTGTGTGTGTGTGTGTGTGTGTGTGTGTGTGAGAGAGAGAGAGAGTGTGTGTGTGTCAATCAGCCGTTCCTGCACAACGCTCAATAGCATGTCAGCAGTGAGGCATCCTACACAAGGTCATCGGGAATATCCTACCATCTCTGGAGCCAACATGGATAGGAGGCTTCAAGTTCTCTGCCTTGTGAATGCTTTGTCATAATCCGCTGCTGATCAGACGACGTCGTATGGATCACTGAACCAGCCTGCCACAACGCACTGTGCAATACTCTGATGATGGCATTTTGCATCTGACCCGCAGCGATTCGAGTGCACTGATCGCGACCTTTTTTTAGGTCTAGTCAACCTCGTCAATGTGTTGGAAATGAAATTCAACACTATTTAAGAGCTCACCACGTTCAACCATCTCACTTCTCAACTCTACTTCTAACCCATCCCAAGCCAGCTTGAGACGTTGAGAGCAGAACAAGTCTTACGCTTGCTCATATACTCGCTTCGAGCTCTTGTGACAGCTCCTCTAGTTGCTTCTTTAGACTCACTTGCCAGGTCATCATCTCCCCGAGTCACATAGCGCTCAGTCCGAGTAGCATCCAATCGTCTCTTCCCAACCCGCTTCCATTGACATCTTCCAAAAGTCATCCAACCCTCTATTGATACCCTCACCCTCCTGATCCCCCGCATGCCGGGTGATCACCTACGCCGAATCCTCAGACTAGCTGTACATATCGCCTCGTTCTGCCTGCACTCCGCTTGTGTCCGATCCCTCGTGTTGGTACTCCGAGCCATGGCGGGTATCCTTGACGCCATCTTGAGGGGTCTAGGTGGCGAGGCTCGCTCTCAGGTCAAATCCGCGGACGGCCAGCAAGTGAGTGACACCATCCGTCGTTCCAGAAGCTATTCCTCCCTCGCTCACGGGCACGCATGCCCACTATCGCCGACGATCGCTGATCACCCTCTCACAGAAGATCACTCAACCCTCCACTACCACTTGCAGCAATACCTCCAAACATGTATTGAACACTTCCAACGAGACCATGCAATCCAACCAAGGCCCAGCCTCTCCGGTCAGAGCCTCCTCTACCATTCCTTTCGAGATCGAAACCACCGACGTTCCCTCGATCATGACTCCCGTTCGAGTGATCTCTTCCTCCAGCAGGATCACACACAGCACCCCTCGCGATTCGTCGGCGGAAGCTGCAAATGTGTCCTCTCTCTCGGCTGTCGAGCTCTCATTTGGTCCTCAGCCCATCCCCTTCGTCTACAATCGAGACGGCCACCTGAAGAATATCCAATCCCAACCCTCTGTTCTTGTGGGCAGCGGTCCCATTCGATCCGCTGCGCTTACCCCTCGACAACCCGAGACGGAGATGCAAATCCCACACCAGTCTCTTGAAGAGGGCGAAATCGGCCAACATAGCGATTCTGAAGCCGAGCATCCCGTCTCTCCAAAGCAAGAGCTCAGTTCGTGGCGTAAAGCTCAGTTGAGATACCGCAAGACGCCTTCCCTCATCCCTGGTACGGTCCTTCGACCAATTGCGACCCTTCATGGACCTTCGAACCTTCCATACGCGAGAAACCCCAGGTAAGCCGGTCGACAGTGCAGCCTGAGCTGACTGGCCATAGTGGCATCGATGCGACAATTCAGGATGATTCAGTCCTCTCACACGTCTGGGCTCAGGCACTTCAAGTACAGACTCGGAGCCGTGACTTCCGCTCAACTCCTGTAGAATTGATGCCTTCACGCGAATCCGCTCAGGTCAGACAGACCGCTAGGCCTGTGAACGTCTCAGCCAACGTGGGTCATGCACAGCAGTCTGTCACGCCGGAGATCGTCGCCGACTTTGTTCCTCAAAGCAGTGCCAAGGTGAGCTTCTTGCAATGACTCACCTCCTGACCCTCACTTCAGGCGTCACGCTCTGTGACCCATAGCCCGGCCCGTTCTGAGCTCACGAACTCGGTTAAATCTACTCAGTCGGCTCCTGTCCCCCCTGCTTCAGCGATTCTAAGGGCACAGCTCGCCCCACCCGCACCGCCCAGGCTTGAACCTATCCCTGGCTCCCCTTCGGTACTCATTGAAATCCCATCGATGCCCTATTCAAGGCTCTCTCGGTACAGAAGGAGACGCCTGGCAGTGCCAGTGCCTCAACTCCTGTCACTAAGTCTGGCGCAGATGCAAATAAGGAGAACATTCCTCCACCCAAAACCGGTAGCCAAAGTATTCAACGAACATCACCCTTGGGCCCCGTTGAGGGGACAAATTTTGGCAACACTCAGCGGATCCCTTCAAACGAGACGACCCAAAGTCACCAAAGTGGCGGCTCTGGTGGTACTCACTCCACCTCGAGAACTTCGATGTCTGTCCCCGTCACCCCTGGCCAGATCGGTAAGGCAGATCGGAGCGACAATTGGCGTGACCGCGTACCTGAGCTCGAGCCACTTGGACCTTCGATTGTTGTCACCACGCCGAATAAGTCTCAAACTCCAGTCCACGCTCTCGAGAGCTCCTCGACCCAAGGCGTCATGACCATTGATTCGTTGTTTGAGCGCTACAGCGGAAAGAGCTCGGTCAGTTTCGGATAAGACTCCGGGAGGGGTGAGCTGATCTCCAAGCTTAGGACTCCGCCCCAATTGTCACCTTTAAGCCCCCGACGCCGTCTAAAGCAAGCTCCAGGGAGTCAACTGCCTTGCCGCTGCCTATGACTCCTCTGATCTCCACTCCCCCTCCTCGAGCCCCACTCGGGGAATCTTCTGATAACCAGGCCAATACCGAAACTGAGAACATCTCCCGATCACTCAGCCGGAAGCAGACCGAGCCATCGAATGACCGTTCTCCGACCCTAGCCAAAGCTGAGGCTTCTAGCACCCGTGGCACTCCCAATGCCGGCAGATTGCTCAAAAAGGGCAAGGATGCTGGTACGAATGACAAGGCTCAAGGATCTGAGATGAGCAGAACATCGAAGGACCGAGTATCCGCTAGAAGTAAAGGCAAGGGTCGAGTCAAAGCAGCTCCGGCTACCGGTGCCGCTTTAAACTCGACCTGAGGCATTCTCACGACCCCATGGATCATTTCTACTGTGTATTGCTTCTTTCACTACTCCTGGTGCTTTTAGCTCGCTCATGACATACAACTTTCACATTCAAATACATTGGTCCTTGGCAGCACTCGACAGGCACCGGCAACAACAGCAAAAACCACATTCACAGCATAGACAGAGTAGCATGTGCACGCGAAACATCGTGCGGATTGATAGCAATGCATATGTATCACCATGTACACATAAAACGCAGATGTTCTCTCTAAGCATAACTCGGTGGCTGTAGAGATGGGACAGCATACCGAGGAATAGATGAGGGTTTGTATACTGATGACTGATCTAGGCTAAACTTTTTGACCCACTCGATTCGGAAGGGTCGAATCGAGGGGCTTCGAAAGTGCCAGGCAAGGGGCTATGAGCGGTGTGAGACATGCCTGCGGGGTCAGTCAAAGAGAATCAGCACCGCGTCCTTCCGATGCAGGGAACGGTGCTCGAATTCCGTAACAGATGCATTTTGATTTACAATCTGGTCGCTTCTAGATCAGCTCTAAATCTCAAGGATTGTCACTCGTACTCACCCTCAAACACGCCTGGCCTTTCTGGGCCTTCTTCCTCCCCACCTCAAAGGTGTCCTATCCTCGACTCTACCAATGAAAGGCCTGAAGTCGTCTCCAGTGGGACCAGTGATAGCGTTAAAGACAGTCTCTCTCCCGGATCCCTGCATACCCCTGAAAGTGAGTCGTAGTCTTATCCTGGCATCTGGTAATTTTCTACTGTATTCCAAGACCCGATCCATCATCTTGACCGTAGCCTGATGAGCCGCTTCGACACTGGATCTCCCTTGTCCTTTGAACGTCCTGCCTGTTCCTCCCGAGATGGTAGGACCAAGTTTACCCAGAGCATCCTGGAGTGAGAGTTGAATATTGTTTCGAGTGCTGTTGATATAGAGTGTATGCGTCAAAGATTCATCATCTGGAAGGTTGGTTATGGGGGCATAGCGTGGATTATCAGATAACATGGATCCACCCTTGATCTCCTTCATCGCTGAGGCCATCGGGATTCGAGGTGCCTTTTTCTCTCCAAAGAGATTGGGCAGAGGATTCGAGGGTGAGGAGGTCGACTTTGAGCTAGATCTGGAAGCAGTGGGTTCCGGTTCGAAAGCTGAGCCATCACGTCGCTGTTTGGGATAAACCTGAGATGGTTGATCGGGATGAAGGGTGAATGAAGCGGATGGCTTTGGTTTAGTCCTAGGTGCGGGGGTTTCGCCAAAAGGAAATCGCGCTACAGCAGGAGGAGGAGGAGGAGGAGGTGGAGCATCTTGTAGAACAGTAGTTGTCTGAACAGGAGCACGTTGTGCTCGCGGAGCAGCCTGAGGTCCTTGGCTGGAAGAAGATGAAGACGGAGGTTTCGAGTCCTCTCGTTTGCTGGTACTTGAGTGAAACCCTGCTCTCGATGTCGAGGCAATCAGATGCTCCGATGCGAAAGGAGTGATTCGATACACCGGTCTGATCGATCCACTGAGAGCAGTTCGCAGAGCCATCGTGTCGAGGTAGCACCCAATCTTTCTCGCTATGCTGTCTAGTAGTCGTTAAGCGTACAGGAGTCCAGTTGGGAATTTCGTCTTGACCGTTACAATGGGAAAGATTTTGATTCCGCTCATCTGCCTTCGGGATGTCGGGGCCCGCTTGAAATGCCGAGTATTTGTACAAGCATACTATCCATCTTGACCGTCAAGGTGGATGACGGACACTTGTAGATAGGACTGGACGATATCTATATAAACTTCTTAGCTGAGGTAGGTGAATTTAAGACTCAGCTGCAGCCTGAATACATCATCTCTTGGTCTCGGTCCGAATGGCGAATACTGGCAACTCTGTACGAGATTCGACATTTCCCGATCCAAAGAAACGTACTGGGAGTCGATCAAGTTACGGCTCATTCAAACGCGACCACTTCAATGCATCTGGTCAACCCAGTGGATCTTTGATCAATGCCCCAACAGAGACTTGTTTGGGAGGAGGTTCTGAGGACGAGCAGCATGGACTCCAGGATCAGCTTGGACCGACCAAGAGTCGAACAAGCGTTGCTGAGCCTTCCATCGAGAAGAATACGAGGAAATGGTATCATCCCAAAGCATTGCTATTACTAGCCATCTCAAATTGGTTCCTGATCGGTATTGGGATAGCTATAGGCTTGGCTTCGAGGTTTCCCCAGGTGGCAGCTGAAGGCGGATGTGAGCAATGGCGGGAAAGAAGAGCGTTGAGCATACAGCTGACCTGAAAACCTACCAGATATCCGCTCTGAATACTCGGTGAGCGCGATTCTTCCAGCCGGTCAACTCAAACAGGCTGACGTTTTCCCAGATCCAATACGGTGCACTAGCGATCATCTTCCTCATTACCGGACTCACTTTGTCAACACAAATTCTATATCGTCAAGTGAAATCGTATTCCCTACACTTGTCAACGCAAATCATATCCCTTCTGGTATTCCCGACGGTTGTTTTCATAATCATTACCATCATTCAATCGGCAGATAACCCTGCGATCGACAGATACATCCTTGTCGGACTAATGGTTATGGGCGTACTTCCCACCACCGTCGCTAGCAATATCACTATGACACGCGGAGCGGATGGCAACGTCGAAGCCGCCACTGTGGAGGTCGTCGTCGGTCAGTGATCATACACATCACGCACAGGCATAGTTAGCTGAGACAGACGACCAGGTCAAATTCTCGGCATCTTTCTTTCGCCATTGTTGCTGAACATGTTCTTCGTGGGCTCTTCCTGGGCGTATGGTCGACCAGTTGCCGAAGCGGGCAAAAAGGGGACGGCAGGTCTCACTGCGATCTATCAGCAAGTGGGCAAGCGACTTGGACTGGCTGTATTTCTACCAACAGTAGGTTCAATAAGCTTTCCTTATAGAGACACCTGGCTGACGGTACCTCAGTTTGTAGGGCAGGTGATACAAAAGTGAGACGGGTCTTGTACGCCTCAATGACACTTGACGCTCACACCGATCAGTATTGGCAACGCTAGAAAGTACATCAAATGGGCCACGACACACTTGCATCTGCCGAAGATCGCCACATTCATGCTGCTGTTGATCATCTGGTGTGTCTCTCGGACAAAACGCTCGATATGACCTCGAAAAACTGATACCTCCACCCACTCTGTCCCAGGTCCGCCTTTTCCAACCAATTCAAGAATCACGCCTTCGAATCGATATCACCTCAATCCGTCATTCTCGTCTGTTTCTTCAACCTTTCCCTGTACCTTTGTATGACCCTTGCTGTCCTATACATTTGTCGATTACCCTATTTGACAAGATCAATCACTCATCCTCCCATGGCCTCTGCCCGGTGGCGGCGAAAGCTCGCCAACTTTATCCTTCATTATCGATTTGCCAAACCGGAGACAACGGCCATTTGCTTTTGTGCGCCGGCTAAAGGTCTAACGGTCGGCTCTCCGATCCTAAATATCCTTTATGCTGGCTTTCCGGAAGACAAGAGGGCGATCATCTCCATTCCCATCGTCATTTACCAGGGTGAGCTAGAGTTAGGCGTGGTTCGGAAAAGCATCATGCACTGACCTCTCTTGCTCGTAGGTCAACAAGTCGCTGCTGCACAGATCCTGACGTACCTTTTCAAACGATGGAACGCAAAGCCAGATACACTGGTTGCAAACAAGGACCCTCCGCCAGAGCTGCCGACGTCCAGAGCTGGCACGCCAGAGCTCCAGGACCGAGCTAGCAGCGTACCGCCATGATGTCTCCCCTGTCAAAGACTTGCGATTATTTCATCTGTGTTGTATGAGGCAAACATCTCAAAGCATTCACTGTATCTCTATTGGTCGTAGGCTATGCATAGCATCTGGCATGCTGTTGAAGACAAGGATACCGCTACATTATGGATACATTTTGGCAACCAAGATCAATCCGTCGACGTTGTAGTCGTCGTCGAAGTATCATCGCTGAGACTGATCCGCCCATCGCTTCCGACTCGGCGCACCACTCCTATCCTGGCCTGACTTTTCGAGGCGGAAGGAGTCAAGTCAAGCTCCGACATGCGAGTTTCCAAACCTAATGCAGTGCCGTGTCGCGAAGATCTCGACTTTGTAGGTGTTGCGTCGCCCAAGTGGGGAGAGAGGTGATCAGAGGACTGAGAAGCGAATATTTCATCCTCCACGTGCGCAGCCACGGCGATGCCTAGGCTCTCGACACGAGAGGCCAACCATCCGGCAAAAGTTGCACTCATACAGAATGAAGCGTAGAAATCATTCTCCACTCTGGACTTTGAACTGAGACCCTTTGTTCTAAAGGCCAGGGGATTTGGACCTTGAGTTTTGAGTTGCGTCAAGAATGTCGGCAAGGAGAACGGTTTCAGTGAAGATGTTGAGAGTGAGACGCTCGAATGATGAGTCATATGGGACGATAAGGAGCTTTGAGACGCTACAGACGACACGGAAGCCATCGATGGAGATGGTGTAAAGTTTGGGTTGGGCGAAGGGGCGGGTGTGAGAGTTGGAGCAAGGGTTTGAAAATACCGATTGAGAGGTACCAGCATTCGCTCCGTCAACTGTTGGAAATGCGTGCGGAGCGCTTCGTTGCCTGCTGGATCTACAAGACACTTTCAGGAGATGCTCTGAAGACTGAAAATGATTTTCACTGACCATCGTATCTTCCCTCGGCTACGAGTGCCTCGAGCCGCTTGAGCAACGCTCTATCTTTCGAAACGCTGCGGTGCCGCCTGCTGTGGAAGCCATCCGACTGTTCGGCTCGTTGGGGTGGACCAGAGCCCATCCCAGGCTTCTTTGTCCGTGCAGGTTTAGCAAGAGAGATGGAAATCACGTTTGGCCAATGCGACGCGGCATTACGAAAGAAGGGATTCTGGGGATAGCTCAATCAATGTTCTACTATACAAGCGACTCACTGTCACACCGACGACGACACCGGGTTGAGGTTTGTTAGAATTGACGAGGAGAGCAAAGTCGTGGTCGTGAATGTGTAAATATGGTCGGAAGTCTCCCGATGGAGGAATCTGAGCGTGTCAACTAGGTCGGAGTAGGCATCCTGAATTCGCCTCACCGGCCGGAATAGATCTCTCAGCCACCATACGATCTCGGAGCACATTCGAGGATCTGGTGCGATGACTAGCACTGGTTCAGCGAGAACTAGGCATTCCCACAAGGACCACAGGGAAGGTAAGAAGGATGCAAATGTCCTGAGCGGCGTAGAAGATGGCAATGATGCTAGAATCTATGATAGAGTGAGCGGCTCGTAATCTGATGGCTGATTCCCCACATACAGGATTATGGGGAGACGGCGGAAGGAAAGCATGACCAATTTGAGGCGTATCCTTTGTATCTGGTAGTTTTACAGTGATGACATGAGACATGAGTGGCAGTTCCAGCATCTGGTCTGGACTAGGATCGGGCCTGTACGACGCTGAGCATTGGCAGACAGGCACATGGCCATGGACCCACCATGATGCAATTGAATGACATGCAGCTTCTAATGCGGAGTACCCACGCTCGAAAAAGATTGGGGCGACTCGATGCAAGATGGCAGAGAAGAACGATGGGAAGGGTAGATGAGTCAAGATGACAAGGGATTTCTAGACCTGCTTTGAGCATGTGCAAGACCTTTCATCAATATCGTGAGACTCACCTGCATGTATCCTCGAGCGATACCTCGATCTCGCCGTTGCTCGAACCAGACGAACCCGTACAACCATTCTCGACCCCTTTCATCCCATTTCCGATACTCTTCAGCCTTTTCGCCTGTACTCAACAACTGGGGTGGGCCAGGCGAAGGTGACTGGACGTCCCGCGGAGACAGAAGCCCGCCATTTGAGCTCGACTTGACTGGCGTCTCTTTGTAAGAATCCAGGAATCCTCCGCTTGAATCCGGCATCGGAGACGGTGGCTCAGAATGATGTAACGAGCTTGGGTCTGGAGGTATATGACGGATCTTGAAGGAGAAGACGATCGAGCCTTCGGCAAAAAGAGAGGTATCAGGGAAGCTGGAAAACGCTCTGAAGGAGATGGCGATCGTCAGCTCAGCTTGCGGCATCCGAGCATTGAGGCCCCGACTCACACATTCTCCTTTTCGCCCGGTCCCCAGCGTCTGCCAAGCAACCGGCGCTCAACTACCGGGCCCCTCTCCAGGTCAAAGTTGCACACTACGATCTCCTTGATCCAACGCCCCATCTTCTGGGCAGTAATCGCCTCCACCAAGGGCGGAGGTCTGGGCTCACCAGGACGCCGACTCCAACCTAAGCGTAAACTTGGGGTGATTTCGTGGTTCGTAAAGCCTGTCGAGGCTTTATCCTTGGATCTGGACCTAGAAGGTGGAAGAGAAGGATCGGGTGATGTTGACAAATCATACGAAGGTAATCTGGCGTGAAGATGAAGGGACTTGCTTCTGCCCACCGTAGTATTGCTAGAAGTTCGCCTTGGCAGCGGTCGTGAACTCCCACTCTCAGCAGGACCAGAGGGGCCAGCCGAAGTAGACGATCTCGGATCAGCAGATGACGGTCGAATGGGCTCTTCTGGTCCCCAGAATGAACTGGCAACGAGGGGTGTGGAAACGTCGGATCGAGAGTCGTCCTGATCTACTCCTGAGCCAACTGATTGAGCTCCCAAGCGCGAAGGACCAGACCTGCTAAACTTCTCCTTTGTCGGCGAATCATTGAGCGAGATAGATCCTGTCACTGATGGGGTGTTGATGGCGAGACCAACGAGCGATGAGGATGCTGGCGGCACTGAGCGAGCCGCGGAACCTCGGTGCACATCGCGATTCAGCACCCTTCTAGGAGTGGGACTCGAGATGTCACGATGGTGCCGTCCATAGGCTCGGGCAGCGTGAACCACGTCATCTTCGCCTACCGGATCTCTGAGAATGCTCGATATCTGAGGAGTGGAACGCGAGATGGGGAATGACAAGGAAATGTCTCCACCGTCATCGTCGTCTGGAATCGGCATCACTGTAGATCTATCTCTCTTTCGTCCCCACGACAGTGCGCTGAGCTTCCCGCAAACAGGAACCTTGTGACAAGGTGCAGATGATTACTGCCGCATTCTGAGGGGCATATACCAGCCTTGATGGCGTTTGAAGCTGAGGGTTGTCTTGATACAGTTGACCTTAGTGTCCAGTGAGACGTATCACGGACGGACGTGTTTTCGTCGTTTGCGGCAATCGAGAGATCAGGGTTTCCACTTTGATTTATTAATATTGTTGTGGAGAGAACCACACCTTAATTTACTACAGGGCTTATGACATACAGTGACGATCACATAGAGATGCTTCTTAAGATGATGCGCAAAATACAGATACAACGACTTGGATATCGGTCATCGAGTCAAGGTCCACGTCCTATCACCTTCCGGTTGATGTCTAGCGACTTGAGGAATCCTATCAACAGCCCCGTAGTTGGTGAATCTAGCAGCATTCTTCTTGTCGTTGAGACCCGTGAAGGCGGAAGTCGGCCTTGGCTTGAACATCGTGCTGTCTTCTTCATCCTCATCTTCCTCAACAATGTCCGGAATGATCTCGACTGCTCTTCCCTTTCCTTTGTTCTTCGGAGCCGGGACACCGGTGTCCAGATTGGGGTCACCCGGGCTAGGTCCAGCCAGAACGACGCCCGAATCAACAGCTTGATATCGCCTCGTGACAGCGTCCTCCGGCAGAGGGTCAGCCACAGCTTCGCCTTCAATCATAGCCTCTTCTAAAGCCTCGGCGGTCTCTTCCATGTCACCGAGATCCTTCTTGAAGATCCGCTTCAAACCGACAGGAATGAGAATCGCAACGGCGACTGCGATCATACCGAGAATGTTCCTGACCGACAGGATATGGAAGTCCGCTGCTGATGTCATTGAGTCAAGAGAAGACCCGATTGTAACGTGGATGAGGGACATAGGAGCGATGCCTACGAAATGTCAGATTGTTCATCTAGACATGGGCGATCCCTGCTCACCAATGAAACAACTCAGCCAGAAGAGACCGAGACCGATGCCGAGATGAGGGCACACGAGATTGGTAATGCCGTGAGGTGGGAAAGGCGAGATTCTGAGAACGAGGAGGAACGCAAAGATGTCCATGGTCGAGACAGTCTGGCCCTTAGTCGCATCTCCCATCAGTTTGGCACGGAAAACGGCCACTCTGGATCGATAGAAAGGCAGCATGAGGAGGGGAGGTGCGAGGACAGCGGAAAGAAGGTAACATAGGACTGAGCCGACCGACTCGCACTGGAATAGGGCGTCATGATACTGGCACGTTTCTTTTTCAGGGTTTGCTCACGATGCAGGCCAGAATCAGACCCTGACCGATACCGTAGGCTGCTCCAAAGACGATCGCAATGTACATCGACCCAGGAAGGGAGAATGTTTGGACGCTAAGGCAGGCTTAGCATGTGCTGAGGCCATGGCCACTGTGACTCACAACAGATAGGTGACTATGCCACATGTCAGAATACGCAGAGGATAGCCTCGTTTGTATTTTTGGAACATTGCACTACGGGAAAGGTCAGCTAAGTGATTCCGGTTGACAATGCCCAAGAAGGCCCACTTGAGTGCCTGTAGATCCGCAAAGGAGTGAGGGATTTTCAGTATCGCTCGGTCCTCTCTGACGAAGGGTTGGTTGTAAGTACATATTGGCCTGCGATCGGAGACTCACGGTTCTAGCCTGGGCAGACAGAGGTAGAAGGTGATGGCTACGAATGCAGTGAAGACCACGAAGAGAGCAGTGAATTTGACGGTGGCTTCGGCGTAAGGACCTCGGTACCATTTGGCTTTGTCTGCTTGACCTAGGAGTGAGGTTGTTTCCGAAGCAATCTCGCCCTCTTCGGCAACACTGGAGTCATCGGAAGTCCTGCGATCGATGGAAGAGTGCCTCGCATGTTTCATGAGGGTGTCGGTTAAGAGATTCTGACGGGTATCCGATCGGGTAGGTGGTAATGACGCCTCAGTCTTGGCGGGTGAAGTGGGTTTCGAGGTGGATGAAGTGTACGCAAAGCCGTTGTCTTGACTTTGATCGGCTAGACTCCCATCATCAGATGATGCCCCTGATGAGCTAGATGACGAGATCTGAACAATGGTGGTAGACTTGCGTTGTCGAAATCGAGGGGGCGATGCGTGTCCAGGAATAGAAGGTTGAGCGTAACCAGCCAAGCGGGGGGAAGATGTATAGGAAGGAGGAGCGGATGAGAACGGCTCAGACATGTCTGGGCGTGGTGTGGATGAATACGTTGACCGGTTCAGATCATCCAATAGCTTGAAATGTCCGTCAAACGTGTGTGCCGAGATGGTGAATCAACAGTGCTCCCCAGCTGTCTCGATATATACACGGGTGGCCAATTCTCTCTGCGTGAGCCAGCACGGGCTTCCAGCCGTTATTATCCTGACTTAGATGACCCGTCGCTATTCACCTATCCAATGTTCATGTAACAAGTACAAAGGTAGCAATGCTTTGGATGGATGATGATGATGTTGAGTGTCTATCGAATCTAATGGGACGACTAGGCATTTAAACAACGTAGGCTGGCCGAGGGCCATTTCTGGAAGCCACGTGGTGAACCCATTAGGTAATAGATCATAAATAAATTATATCTGCTCCCGGCCGAAAGCTCGGCTTCATGACAGCGTGGCGTGACCATCTGCTAGCTTCAATACGCGACCACGACTTTTGGACCACGGGACCTGGGGATGATGGATGAGCTGAATGCTGATGATGATGTTGGGAGGAGTCGTGACTTACCTCATCGTCGTAGTGGCTGACAACGATGACAGCCTGCTCAGGCATCTCCTTCCATTCCGCCTCCAATAATTGGCAACATTGATCCCAAGTCACTTCATCCAGACCTTGACTTGGCTCGTCGAGGACCAACAACTTGGGTCGAGAGACCACTGCTCTGAGGAAGAGCAGAAGGGCTTGTTGAGGCGCCGTGAAGTGTGCGAAAGGTCGTCGACCGATCGAGGTGACGCTTTCTGCTTCAGCTGTCGAGCCTGTATCATAGCGGGTTGGGGTGAACTGCTTTATGAAGCGCCCCAGGAGAGACCTGACGCGCTCTTTCTGCTCAGCGTTCAGCTGCCTCCTGGAGAATACGCCTTCAAATCCTGATCCGACTGCCTCAGTAGCTGTGAGACCCATTCCTCTTGGGAACGCAGCATAGATCTCGGGGGACGTGTGACCGATCATGGTCCGAAGAATCGGGGTCGGCGTCATCCGTCGTGGTTTGGAGAACAGTGTGAGAGATTCAGCTGGCAGACTAAAGGATCGAGGATGATGCCCTAGAACAAGGGACAGGAGAGTAGTCTTGCCTGAGCCTGGGGACGGTCAGTCTGATACAGAGTGATTAGCCTTGCCGTTTGATCCTTGGAGATGCCATTTCTCTCCAGGTAAGATGCTCCATGAGATATCTTTGAGGACCTGAAATATGTTTTTTGAGCACTGTTTGTCTCCTCGAAGGAAGTCTCAGCTCACAGGTCGGCTACCCTCCCCGTAGGATATAGAGACTCTGCTCATCGCAACGACAGGCTCAATGGCCTCATTGGCCGATGGCGGACTCGATGATTCGATCACCTCAGGTGAGCTCTGATGAATGTCAGAGCCTATACTGGCCGCCTTCTCCTGCTCCCAGACCTCTCTAGATCCAATCCACACATTTCCATCCCGAATCTCGCAGATGTCGGTGACCCACGCTGGTATATCGCCCGTCTTGCCCCTGAGCACGAGCACGATCGCCGGATCACATTTCGCGTTGATTTCACCTAGGATGGCTGACACTTGATCCCTCGAGTTCACATCCAAGCCAGACATTGGATCCTCAAAAATGAGCAAAACGGGTTTCGTCAACAATGCCGCCGCTATCCTAGCTCTCCGAGTTTGGCCTGAGGACAACGACACAGACGGCAGATCCAGAAGGTGATCGATTTGCATCTTTTTGGAGACAGATTCGATAGCATCGGGAGGGGGCGTAGGATCTAAGGAAGAGAGAGTCTGCCTGAAAGTGATTTTGTCGTCCTCTTGAAGGGCTCCATATCGAGCTGTGAAATCCGTAAATTCACCCGTTGTAGGCGGACGAGCGAATGAAAGGTGTCGAACGGGCTTTGAGGTGTTGAACACATTCTCATTTGAGAACGGACTTGGAGGTGTGCTGATGTGAGTGATGTATGGGAATGGCCCAGGAGGAGATGTGATAGGATGAATACGATGTCGACTGAGGAGAGTCTGTACAAAGGGGGCGTGGCGTCAACGCTTGTTAGATCGAGGGCTCACCTCAACGGCCAATCGCCTGCCCTCCGAGTCTCCCACTATAGCCCAACCTCGAGCTGGTGTCGTGTCCCTGTCGATAGTCCATCCTGCTGGCGGGAACCGCAAGAGAGCGAGTTCCTTACGAGCCGTTGATGCCGTGCCCAGGCGATGGATGGTCGCGTTCGGCGGCAGCCTCACCAAAGGTAATTTGGTCATCTTCGGTTCACCTGTCCTATCCTCGGGCTCCTGATCATTGTCTCTCGATCCATACGCCGCTCATGACAAGGGCGGGATGTCGAGTCGAGCAACCATGCTTGGAACGATATTTCCAGTGGAACGGTTGTTGTCCGGTTGAACTGACCCGAAATATCGGGCAAAAGCAAGATCCCCTCTCCCTTGCTTATCTCGTCCATTGGCTTACAAGCATAACAAGAGAGTAAGAGAGTCGGAGCAGGATCGTCGGTCTTCTGAAGTTATCCGGACCTGGACACAAGCTAAAGCGGCACAATGCTGGCGATGGAGGTTTGCTTAGATTCGGTGGACTCGGCCAAGAAGTGGGATCTGTTGGATGCTGGATGCCCATGATTTGGAACGCGAAGCTTACCGCCCTTTCTTTTTCAGGATCGCTCACATCGTGAATCAGGGCCAGAATCGCATAGAGCTATGTGGTAGTCTAGTATATGGTGCGACCATCTTCCATCATGGCTGTGCCTAGCTAATCCTCACTCTCCAAAGGGGGTGGTCTGACACCAACAATCGGGCTCGTCAGACAAATTAAGAATATCATAGAGTCTTCTCGCATCATGGCGAGTCCTCTGGCTCTCCTCCGAAACAGGATGACACTGAGTGTAACTCCAGGTCATGGTCCGTCCACGTACTGGCTCATTCATATATACCCCTGAGGAGATCAATACCATGATAGAAGACATCAAAGCTTTCAAAGCCGAAGGTGTACGGGGCGTCGTGTTCGGCTGCTTGACGGAAGACGGAGCGATTGACGAGAAGGTCACTAAGCAGTGGGTGAAAGAGCCCTGAAAGAGATACCTTCATACTCATGCTGCGTTCTCAGGCTGGTGGCTGCTGCGAGGCCCTTGGATGGTTGGTCTCGTACATGTCCTTCATTAGGCCTGTCACTCATGCCCGTAATCTCCAGTGACATTTCACCGTGCTTTTGACATCTCTACAGGCGATTTCTCTTCCAGTGAGGCTTGACTGGAGGGGTGCTTAGGCAGACCTGACGTCTTAGGTCTCGATACACTGCAGCGTATAGGTGGCATCACACGGCTTTTGACCAGGTGGGCAGAGTCAAAGCACCTTTAGTACCCAGAGACAGGAATGTGCTGACTCAACATCAGTGGGCACGGAAAGACGGTCATGGATGGCGCAGTGGAGCTATCCGGTCTCATCTCGCACTCATCTTCCGTCAATGGTCCCATCATATGCCCGGCATCCGGTATCAACAACGAGACTGTATTAAGGCTCCACAAGGCCGTCCCGGGACTCAAAGAAGTGCACCTCACAGGTAGCGGTATCATACCGTATCCTAAAGACAGTAGATCGATTATGGCCCAGGATTTAGGCTTTGGCGCAGGAGAGTGGCACTTGGATCCGGTGAAGATTGAGAGAGTTTGGGACATTGTCAAGGACTGGTAGGAGCAAGCGGAGGCTCATGCGTGGCATTTCAGCGCAAGAGGTCTTGTTGTTCACCGGAGGGATGTCGTATATGTAGCTAGTCTCCCCTGCATGTCCGAGATCATGATGAAGTCTATTCTGTCGCGGAAAAGCAAACTCAAAGACTGGATTCGCCACTCGGAAGATTTTTCCTCCGTCGATCGCATTCGGTTTGGAAAAATCTTTCAACTGCTCGTTTAAAGACATCAATCACTGGCATTCATTGCTCCAGTATCGAGCTCAGGTGAGATGGTCAAGCAGCGCAATTCGCGAGGTATACTCCTCACTTCGAACTTGCCCCAATTACAAAATCTGATCAAGGTATGTCCCTCCCGACGGCCCATTCGAGTATCATGTTGTTGAAAATTTGTTGCAGCGAGATCCAAAAGGATATAAGGAAGAGTTCTTGTCGCAATATAACCACTATCTCTCACTTTTACGCTTGCACTCTATTTCAACTTCCTCAAATCAGGTGAACAACGACAAGTCAGATGAACAGTTCGCCAACCTCGTGACATTTGTGTCGCAAGTCGCTCAATGTTATCCGGAGGAGACGAAGGAATTGCCTGAACAGCTCAAGGGGATTTTGTTGGGTAGTGGAACGGGTGGCACCGCCGTGCGAGGGGATCTGAGGGAGACGGCTGTCAAGAATCTCATCATGTTGCGGAACAAGGAGGTGATCGACTCGATTCAGTGAGTCGAGGAAGCCCAGCCTTCAGACTCGACTCGAAGCCCCACGCTGAACAATGTTGTCAGGCTTTTGCAAATCCTGCTTCCACTCCTGGCTCATGTTCCTTCCTCTCTTCGCTCATTGATTCGCCATACCATCCTCACGGACCTGAAGACGTCCAATCAAAAGGCAAAAAACCATAGACTCAATCGAGTCGTTCAAAGCTTGCTTTTCGGAATGGTGGAGAGCGGAATGGGAGCAGAAGTTGTCGGCGATAAAGGAAAAGGAAAAGCCAATAAGGAGAAGGGAGGCGAAGCAATGTGGGCAGTGATGATGGTCCGCGAGCTCTGGAAGAAGGGCGTCTGGTGAGGCTAAAGTCATAAAACGGTGATAGGCTGACCATACCAATAGGAACGACGCAAAGACCGTTTCCATCGTCGCTCTGGCCGCCTTCCACCCGAATACGAAGGTCCAGTCAGCTGCGATGCATTTCTTCCTTGGGTCAGAGCATGATGCGGATGAAGAGGACTCAGACGACGAAGAAGCCATCAAAGACGCGAGGAAAGACGTCAGGAAGCTGGAACATCGATCGACGGTTGGTAAAGGCAGTAGAAAGAAGGAGAAGCAACTGGCGCTAGCAAAGAAGGACGAGAAGAAGGTTAGTGCCAACAGACCTGTTGATTTGGTTTGTCGTCATCGCTGACATTGTCGACAGAAACGGAAGAACGCTGCTCAAAGCACATCTGCAAACTTTCCAGCATTAGAGCTGTTGCATGATCCTCAGACATTCGGAGAGAAGCTATATGACAATCTTCACAAACATGGTGAGCACGCGAACCAACTTGTCGCAAGTCGGGCTCGACTGACTTCGCCCACCCCAACAGATAAACAGTACTCGCTTGAGCACAAGGTTTTGATCATGCAGCTTCTCTCGCGAGTCATGGGAGCTCACAAATTGTGCATTCTGGGTTTCTACACCTACATCATCAAGTGAGCTGCGACTCATTTTCGTGATGGATAGCAGCTGATACCTTTGTCAGGTATATGACATATCACCAGCTCCAAGTGACGACTATTCTCGTGGCTCTCGCACAATCAGTACACGAGCTCACACCGCCAGACGTCCTCACGCCGGTCATTCGAAAGATTGCTCAGGAATTTGTTCATCCAGGAGTCGGAGCTGAAGTCATCGCTGCGGGTCTCAACTCTATTCGAGAGGTGTGCAGGAGACAGCCTTGGTGTATGGAGGAAGATCTTTTGGAAGACCTAATCGAGTACCGGAAGAGCAAAGACAAGGGCGTCATCACCGCCAGTCGAGGACTGCTGCAGCTGTTTAGAGAGGTCAATCCTGGCATGCTGAAGAAGCGAGAACGAGTGAGCCTCGTGTCACTTCATCCTCGCTCTGAGCTCACGCACTACAGGGTAAAGCTGCTACCATGGGCGAGAACAGCGGTCAAGTACCTGAATATGGCCACACCAAACCTGTATCTCAGGGCATTGAAGGTCTCGAGGTGAGTCGCGGAGACCGCAAAGCGATCTCAGGTACTGACTCTGTATTCAGCTGCTTGAAGATCACCTCAATGCTATGAGACGCGAGGCGAACCCTGACGAGCCCGTCGACTCAGGTGACGAATTGTCCATCGACGAAGACGATGAAGGTGGCTGGTCGGACTGGGAGCGGGAGTCTGAGAGCTCAGACTCAAGTGGATGGGAGGATGTGTCATCTGGCGAAGATGACTTTGAAGTCAGTGATAGTGAGGATGAGGAGCGAGAAAAGAGAAAGGCGTCCAAGAAGGGCAAGGGGAAGACGGTTGACAAGGTCGCGGAAGCGGAGGATGTGGATATGGACGACGTGGATGATTCCAAGTCAATGGTGTCGATGGCTACTACAGACGTGTCCGGAGCTACGAAGAAGCTATCTCTCCTGGCTCAGCAGAAGGCAAGTTGGAGTTGTCTCGCTTCGGACGATAGCTGACTTCTGTGTCAAGATCCTGACGCCTGCAGACTTTGCCTTGCTCAACGAGCTACGACTCAAAGCGGCGAAAGATCTCGTCACGTCCACATCCTCATCCTCCGCCAAGCGCAAGCTGGCGGCTCTCGAAGCGTCCAAGAAACACACGTCAGGCGATGACCAGGCCGATCGATTCTTGGAGGAAGCTGATATTCTCGGACCGAGAAAGCGTCAAAAGCAAGATTACGAAGAGCGAATGGAGTCGATCCGAAAGGGTAGAGAAGGTCGGGACAAGTTTGGAAGTTTGAAGGGTAAGAAGATGAAGGAGAAGGAGAGTAGTTCGACGAATGCTCAGAAGAAGCGAAACAAGCCAATCATGATGGCTTTGCAGTGAGTGGGAGCGGTCCCCCGTCTCGGCTCGAGATTACTGATTCTGTCACTAGCTCCAATTCTATGATGCAGAAGAAGAAGGCGTCATTGAGGGACAAGCAGATCAAGTTGAGAGCTTCTATCGAGAAGAGGAAGAAAGCCAAAAGGTAGTCAGTTCCGCGATGGGTTGGCGATCTCCAACATGTATGCTGTGTCTTTTCTTCATCACGTACGAAATACATGCAAGAGCGTTTGATGACTACAGGCATAAGACAACTAATTTGCCCGTTAATGAGAGGAAAACCTAAGATTTTACAGACAGTATGTGCGTTTTTGAGTATGGTATCCCTTAGAAGACTGGACCCGCAAGCTTGACTTTGGGGTCGATGTCCGCCTCGTACTTTGTGTACGCCTTCTGGAACATTTCTCCGAGCTTTTTGAGCTCTGCGTCGAAAGCGTCTTGGCTAGGCCAGACTTTGGCAGGGTGTAAAATGTCTGAAGGGACACCCTCGACGGCTTTCGGGATGGAGAGGTTGAAGACTGGGAAAGTCTCGTATTCGGCTTTGGCGAGGGATCCATTGTGGATGGCATCGACAATGGCACGAGTGTATTTGAGAGGACATCTCTTGCCGGTACCGAATTTTCCGCCGGTCCAACCTGTGTTGATGAGCCAACAGTTGGCATTTGAGGATTCCATCTTTTCAGCGAGCATCCGAGCGTATCGACCTGGGTGAAGGACGATGAACGGTTGACCGTAGCAGGTCGAGAAAGTGGGCGAAGGCTCAACAACTCCATCTTCGGTACCTGGTGTCTTTGAAGTGTAGCCAGCGACAAAGTGGTAAGAAGCTTGATCGGGTGTCAAGCGAGAGACAGGTGGTAAGACTCCGAAAGCATCGCAGCAGAGCATGATGATATTAGAAGGCTGTCGGTTGGCGATACAGGGAATCTTGGCGTTTTGAATGAATTCGATAGGGTAGGCGCATCGTGTGTTCTCAGTGATAGAGACATCGTCGTAGTCGGGAACTCGATCCGCGGGGTTGTAGACGACGTTTTCGAGGATGGATCCGAATCGGATGGCGTTGAAGATTTCGGGCTCCTAGAAGATCAAGTCAGCGAGAGTGCTGCTTGGATCAAGCGTCCAGCGCTCACCTTCTCAGCGGACAAGTTGATGCACTTGGCGTAGCAACCTCCTTCAATGTTGAAGACTCCAGTATCACTCCAGACGTGCTCGTCATCCCCGATCAACATTCGGTTGGGATCGGCAGACAGTGTAGTCTTTCCGGTACCACTGAGACCAAAGAAGAGCGAGACGTCTCCATCGTCCCCCTTGGCTTGGTTGGCAGACGAGTGCAGAGAGAGCTGACCAAACTTGACGGGTTGCAAGTAGTGCATGACACTGAAGATTCCCTTCTTCATCTCTCCAGCGTATTCGGTACCGAGGATGACCATTTCCATACGCTTAAAGTTGATTTCGACGGAAGTGGAGGATGTCATACCGGTTGTGAATCGGTTGGCGGGGAATTGACCAGCGTTGTAGATGATGAAGTCGGGCTCGCCGAAGTCTGCCAGTTCTTGAGGAGTCGGTCGGATGAGCATGTTGTGCTGTTGCGACGAGATAAGCATTCATATTGGGATTGGGTAGCGTGAGGAGGTGACTCACCATGAACAAGGCGTGGTAGGCTCTCGAGGCAATGACTCGGACCTTGATTCTGTACTTGGGGTCCCATCCAGCGAATCCGTCAAACACGTAGACGTTTTCACGAGTGTTCAAATAGTCGATAGCACGTTCACGATTGATCTCAAAAGTGTGTTCGCTACACGGGGCGAGCGTCAGGACTGAAAAATCCTCACCGCCGGTCACACGACCACTCACTCCATCTTGATGTTGACGGGACCCCACCAGATCTCATCTTTGCTTCCATCCTCGTAGACGATACGTTTGTCTTTTGGTGACCTTCCAGTCTTCTTGCCTGAAAAGTTGATCAAAGCACCAGTGGAGGAGATGACAGCTCCCTCGTTGAGGATGGCATCTTCATACAGTGAGGCGATGGGAGCGTTGCGCTGGGAAGGTGACGTTAGCAGCGCTCCCCTGTTTGGGCATTGGCCCGCTGAGCTACTCACCTTGATATGGACTCTGTCGAGATCGAATCCAGCTTGGGAGAAATACTTCATCTCCTTGCCCAATAACGGGTTGGCTTCGAATTCATCGTGGTGGTGTCTGTGGGGAGCCATGGTGGAAGTTTACGAAATTTGAAACTGAAAGGCTGATGTAGGAGCAGATTAGCAACTCTCGCGATGTGTGGTGGGCAGGATGCAGTGAGTGAACAAGATGTGAGGGGAGGCAATGGTCTAGTATAGGATTGGAATGTAAAAGGTAGCCCAGCCGCAAAATGCAGGTGGGTTGAATGGGGTGTAATGATGTTCCGGCCGGGAATGAGAACCGTAACCGGGGGGGCACGTAATAAATATGCGTGGGGCCGCGAGAGCGAAAATAAGCGACGCGAGCGGGTGACTCACTGTGTATGTAGGGATGCTTGATCGCAATGCAAGTCTATGTATATGTGTATGTGTGTGTGCGAGAGAGGAGACAGGAAGGATGTGCATGAAAAGAACAATGACTCCATGGACCTACCTATATATGTATATGTATTGGCCCATGGTCCGTATGATTCCGAGTCTCGCGTCGGTCTCAAAGCCAAGGAAGAGCGGAAAATGACTTTCCATGCCCCGCCAATCGGATTAGATCGGCTTTAAGTTTAGAGGACCGTAGAAAACCGAAAAAAGGAGGAGCTGAGAGGATATCCCAGGCTCCGCATCAGACAATATGCATAGACATGGAGGCCCGTGGATAGTCAAGCGAACGACACATGTGCATGGTGGCATACGGATCAATTTCACCCATGGCCGGAGCTGAGCTGCTCATGTAATTTCGAATCTGGACAAAAATGATTTCGGATATGGCCATAGTCAACACATATTATCGAATTTGACTCTCTTCTTCCGACCTCTTCCGGCGGTCTGGACATGACGTTGAGGCGAGTGACGACAAACAAGGTGGTTCAGATACACGTAAGGCGTGCATGGATACAGAGCAAGACACCCAAAAATAAAATCAGACGAGAAGGCAGATCTGTATCGGCTCAACCCGAACGCGAGCTCGGTATTGCTTTTATCGCCAAGTTCCGATGCAACCGATTAAACCGCGACTAACACGATGTCAAATCATTATGCGCGAGCCAGGCTGATCTTTATCGACCATACAATGTACGCTATACTGGCAACCTCGACAATCCTCATTCCAGGCAGCCGAAAACGATTCATTGCTGGCCCCTGAAGGATCCAACAGCAACTTTCGGGCTCAACTTGCCCTGATCTTGATCTTTTTCCAACGCCCTTCTGACAGCCTCCACCGCCTCGGCTGAGCCATGTTTGGGCGAGGTCGTCAATTCTCCCAACTTGCTTGCGCTCCCTTGATTCGTCATTGGATGGCTTGAGAGGTCGCCGTAATAGTCACGTGCAGTGTTCGCCGTAGCGCGCGAGATCGCTTCGAGATTATCTGAGCCGTGACCCATGACAGAGGATCCGCCAGAAGGTATGGAGTTCTTGCGGTGGCCGGAGTTGGGTTTCGGTCGATGGGTGTCGACCGCTGCGATCGGTAGAGGGTATCGTTCTTCATGACATCCATATGCCATAGGTGTAATTTTGATCAACGTGTGCAGTGGGATCTGGGGATCTAGTCAGATTGCGTCCTTCCCCTTGATTCAAGCACTCGCCTTGATGTACGGCAGCTCCTCCTGTGGCAGAGCCAAAAAGTAGGCATACAAGCATCTTAGAATGGCCTAGCCCGTCAGTCTCATCCATCTCTTCCCACCCACCTGATGCGCAATGATCAGAATATTCTCCTGTCGCTCAAGCTCCATGATGACTGGTTCGAGTCGGACAACGACGTCTCGGTAGGATTCTCCACCGCGATATCGATAATTGAACTTGTCGTCATCTCTAGCCTCGTAGTCTTCAGGGTACATGGCTTCAATCTCCTCGTAAGTCATGCCATCGCAGACACCTGCGTCCAATTCGTCCAACGACTTCCAAGTCTTCTTCTCGAACGGCAAGAAAGATCCGGTTTGGATTGTTCTTTGGAGTGTTGACGTCCAGACCTGAAGGTTGTCAGCTGCAACGCTCCCTGCATTCCTAGCTTACCTCTAGTGGCAGGTCACCAATATTCTTCTTCACCAGGTCTGGTAGTGCTCTTGCGTATTCCCAGCCTCGTTCAGACAGATCTGAATCACCTCCAATCTTCCCGTCGACGTTGTACATGCTTTCTCCGTGCTGCGACTCATGTCAGATTCTGATCTTCAGCCTGCCATTACACTTACACGTGACAGGTAAATGCTTCGCGGCTTGAGATGGAGATTCATAAGGTAAAATGCAATTCGACTCTGAAGGTAACCTTCGATCCGATTGATAGTGACTTGAGAACCGACGTTGAGTATCCGGCAGAAGCTGACATCCGGCTCGTTGATCGATTGATAGACCCGCTCGTATTCCTCTATACGCCATCTGAAATCTCTTTCAGCCTCCTCGCGAGACATGTTGGCGTAGTCTGGATCCCCCGATTGGACTTTCAAAGCGATATTCGTCGCGATGACAGCTGGATCGTTGCACAAAGATTCGACGAACAATAGCTGGAGCTTGGGTTCGCGAGCAAGTCGATTCTTAATCAAGGCCCTTGGAACGTTAGACTTGCGTTCGGGACAAAATGCTCACCTCCGCTCAAATGTGCTATTCGTGGCATCTAAACGAGATCAGCCTCCGTTCGCCCGTCCTAACTCACCCATGATACCGACATTGCCCTCTGCCTTGAGCCATGCGATCAGCGCTTCCAAACTCTCAGATGCGAGCTGTGTCCTGGCCTTGTTCCCCTCTTCGTTAGAATGATTGAAGAAGACAGCAGTATGATCGGCTTTATCCCCTCCACTGCTCCGTCAGTGCTGTTTGAGAGATGCACTCACGATTGAGCCGCTGCTCTGGCTTTCGATCTCCGCAATTGACCAACATTGAACACTTCGACGTTGTATTCAAGCCACTGACGGATGATCAGTCACGTATTCGCTCAGTGCCTCTCACTCTCAGATATCTCATGAGCTTGTTGCTGAGGTATGATTTGCCTCTGGCAGGCAGTCCGACCTGAGAGAGAGCTTAGCCATCAAATAGAGTATTCGCGCGCCGGACTGACCATTGCAACCACGATCTTGGCCTCTGAATAGTCCGGCTTCTCCACTGCGCCATATCAGCGATCACTCACATGCCAAGGGCTTGAAAACGCACCGACTGCCCCAATGCCCGACACCGAGGACGCTCTCGATGGAATGTTGGCATTCTGCCTGATAACCTTCGTACTTTCATCCAAAGTCTTGAGCAGCTCTGTTTGTGCTCCAAAATGAGGTGTGCCAGGTATACTCCTCCCCAATGTCGCCGCTACAGTCTCTGAACTACCGGGGATGCCAGATTTTGCGTCTCCTCCGCCAAATCTCTCCAATAAACCAGCTTTACCGGTCGTTCCACTGGGTGACGAAGCCCCCGAAGTGACCTGGGAATGACCTGATGTGGAAGATGGAGACCGAGTCAGACGTAGTGAATCAAGCTTGTTCATCGCATCTTCAAGGACCATTGGGTCGACGCCTCCTCCTGGATTCAAGGCCGGTCTGGTCAAGCTCAGTCCGCTAGGATTGTTGTTTCCATTAGGACCCAGAGCTGACGGAGGAAGAGAGGTTGTGGCCATGTCTGACAGCAGTGAGTTTGGTCCTGTCGGTCGGATACGAGGCGAAGGACGTGAACGTGAGCGGGTCAGTTGAGGAGGTGAAATTTTGTTGTTGGAAGATGGACCTGCACCTGTACCTGACGAGGGCGGTGGAACGGGGGGTGAGAAAGACATGTTGACCGAACAGTACGTCACGACGACCGAGAGCAGCCACTGTGCACTGTGCTTCTTGGTGTGAATCTGGTTTGAGGTTGCGATGGACGTGATTGAGCCTTGGACTGCAGCAGCTACGAAGACCCGTGAGCTTATGAGAATAATGATAGCCGGTCTCCCCTCAAAAGGCTGCCCCCCCTCAGCATTTTTGTAATCGCATTAGGACTGGGTCCCTAATAGTCCCCTGATCCTAATGAGCGAGTCCACTCACTCGCGTTTTTCCAAGACAAGTCTAGTCAACCGACGCTTCGATGTCAAATCAACTTCCTCAATCTCCTTCCCCCTCACACTCTGACATTGGACACGATACTACTCCACCAATGTCATCCTATTATGGCGACAAGCCACGAGATATCCCATCGTGGGATGCGTTCGAAGCTGAAGACGATGAGGAGATCATGGACAGCTCCGAGGTGAGCTTTTTGGGCATTTTCCACAGTTCTTCATCTCTGATGCCTTTCGCTAGTACGCTTACGCATCGAGAGACCACGTCTTGTTCTGTATAGACGCCTCGTCCTCCATGCAGACCCCTAGACCCGATATGTCGACCCCTGAAGGGATCATCCGCGGTAAATCTGCTCTGCACCAGGTCATGGACGCCGTGATGGATCTACAAAGGAAAAAGGTCATTACCGGTCCAGCGGATAGCGTGGGCATCATGTTCTGGAACATTGATGTGGGTCATCCATTGGAGGAATTCATGCCATGTCGGAACTGATGGTATCCTCAGCCCAGTCGTCCTACGACCTCTGCCGGCTCGTCTGGCGGATATAAACCCGGCACTCTCGTCTACCAACCTCTGAGAACCATTAACGCGGAGGAGATGAAACGAGGGATCAAGCTATTGGAGCATGCCCAAGAGGAATACGAATCCCAAGAGGAGACAGAATCAACCACTCAACCTGACACCCTGACGGAAGCTTTCCCAGCTTGCAAGAAGGGGGAGGAGCTGAAAGTTGCCGAGGTGCTTCAAACGTGCAACCATTTGTTCAGGGATGGGTGAGTGGATCGTCGGCGGCGGCGGCGGCGACCGGAGGCTGACCTGAACGCTTATGGAAACTTTCAGTGGGACGAAGCTCATCGGGAACAAGAGAATCTTCCTCATCACGGACAACGACGAACCGCCAGGTGGAACCGCTACTTTCGCTGCCAGTCGAACGTCTTACAGTGTCAGTTTTTCGGCAATCGACTCCCGCATCAAGCTGACCGTTTACAGGATCTTCTGACGCTCGGCGTGACCATAAACACGTTTTTCATCGATCGTCCAGATCATCGATTCAACCCGTCTCTCTATTGGAATGTCAGTCTCATCGATTTGAACGGAAGATCTGACTGATGTGACTCGCAGGACATTCTCGGTCGGGAGACTGACGAAGACAAACCAGACGCCGGAGCCGAGCCTGAAGGGCTCGACAAGTTGGCTGACTTGCTGACTGATCTGGCAATTCGTAATGCACCGAAACGGATCCAGTTTTCGGTGCCTTTACGGATAGGTAAAGAAGGTGGAGGCATCGAGATCGGCATATCGGGGTGGGTTCCACGCATCTTAAGTCTAAGCTGACTGAAGCAGGTACGCCCTCGTATCCACTCAGACGAAAGGGCAGCCTAAATATGTGCGAATGCGGGGTCAAGAGGTGGAAGAAGTAGTCACGAAGACCGAGTACACCGCGGCAGTAAGTCAATTGCTCTATTGCGGACTAGGAAGAGAGGCTGATCTGTATCTCAGGAAACTGGAGCGGTCCTTCGTCCCGAGGAGATAGGCCATGCCTTCCAATTCGGACACGAGAGCACCATTCGGAATGTCCTTGAACCGAACTGGTGGGAGAGTAGTGATCGACAAGATAAAGAGCAGCAAGCGGCGGAAGAAGCTCTTCGGCGTGCAAAAGCCCGCCGAGATGCTGGTGATGGAGATGATGAGATCGATGAGGAGGACATCAAGCCGCGGATCAGCTCGAGCATGAAGCAGGAGGAAAAGTCTCGTGTCGTGGCGAGAACTAGGGTGTGTGAACCAGCAGGATTTAGACCCTCTGCTTTGCTCATCTGCCTCAGCTGGCTTTCAAACCGGAAGAGGTAGCAGAGTTCAAGTCCATGGGGATCACACCGCGTAAGTCTTCGTCAGCCGCCTTTCTAGCACGTCTTCGACTAAGCCTTTCCTAGAAATCAAGATTCTTGGCTTTCAGTCGCCTGAAAACATCAACATTGAAGACAATATCAAACATTCCTATTTCATATACCCAGATGAGAATGTGAGTTTGACTGGAAGGCTTTTCCTGAAACGGCAGGCCTACACCGGCAGCACGAGGACATTTGCAGCCCTGCTACAATCTTGTATCAAGCTCGATCGTCACGCCCTAGCTCTATGTCGTTTTAGGGCCAATAGCACACCTGAGTTTGCCGTCTTGATTCCTCAGGAAGAAACTTTTACCGAAGGAGGAGGTCAGGATATGCCACCTGGATTTCACGTCATCGTCTTGCCTTTTATCGATGACATCCGGCAAGCGCCAAAGAACATGACGGAGAACCTCGTTGGTGAGTAGTGCGGGCGGGCACATTCGACTCAGTTGATCACTGACATCGTCACGCTTCAGCCAACGAGAGGCAAGCAAAACTGATGAGCAATATTGTCAAGCGGTTGAGGAACAAGGCCGGTAGATATCGATCGGAGGTGTACCCGAATCCTTGTGAGTGAATCTGTAATCCGCCCGTGACATTTTCATTGAAGACGCGTATCTCAGCGCTTCAGTACCATTACGCTCAGCTCCAAGCTCTGGCATTTGAGGAAGACTTCGATCTCGCTCAGAAGATAGACGAGATCGACCGAACGTATCCCAAATATCACGGGATGCACAAAGCTGCCGGGGAGTTTATGGCGGAATGGAACCAGGCGATCGAAGAGGACGAACGGGCGGTTGAAAGTCTGAAAGCACCTACGAAGCGTGCAGCGGCGACTGTGGAGGTGGGTTGAGGAACGCGCCGAATGCAGAGTTTATTGACGCCGCTAGGTCGACGAGGCGGAATTGGAGGACGTTGCTGGTGCATACAGAGAAGGCACCATTGACAAGGTGGGACATACCAGCTCGCAAGCGTGATTTTCGCTCACAATCATGCCAGGTCAAGGTTGCCGACTTGCGAGCTTATGCAAAGTTCCACAGTGGGTTGTCGTCCCGTCCTGAGAGATATCTCCATTAACGAATCTGATGTAGAAATCTCGCTTTCAGGCAAGAGTGCAAAGAAAGACATCATTGAACAGATCATTCCCTTTCTCGAGACTCTGGGCAAGAAGAGCAAGAATTGATGTCCGAGAAGGAACAGCCTCCATTTGTAGCATATTTGCCTTTCTTGTATATCTGTGGACCCACCGCCCTCAGGATCTTCGCAGTGACACACGGCGATCGACTTATTGCATACTGCTGACTTGGCTTGACTAGACTGAGTCAACCCTGGAAGACTGACTTTGCTACTGTTCCACTTAGCCTCGCTTGAAAGCGATGATCTCCACCCAGTAACCTGTCCAGCAGTCAGCTTGGAAATATTGATGGAAAGAAAGCAGCTCACCATCGGGGTCGAGGATGAAAGCAATGTGCTATTCAGTGAGACTTCGTCAGCTTTTTGCCTTTGCAAGGCGGAACATTGCCTCGCACCCTCATCTTGCCCTCCTCGGGCCTCTTCTTGAAGTTCACACCTAGCTCGTCGAATCGCTTGCAAGCTGCCTCAAGGTTGTCCACCGCGACACAGATGTGTCCGAATCCTCTCCCAGGCTCAGAATTTCCATTGGCGTACCCCTTAAATTCGGAATCGCTCTCTGGAGTGACCCAAAGCGTCAGTGAGAGTCTGAATTGAATGAGTCGGAGTGGAGGACGTACCAGTTCCCCAGTTGTGGCAGAGCTCGAGGACTCCTTCTCGCTCAGCCTGGAACTTTTTCTTGTCTTCCTGGGATTTGACCTTGTCTGACTGACCCGAGGGGTAGGCGCTGAGGTGAAGAAAGACTTTCAACATGTGTCTTTCAACAGTTTAAATCGACATCACTCACAGGAAGTAGTTTGTGAAATCCCCACCGGGGCTCTCATTGATCAACTGTATGTGGCGCATTAGTGAGCTTCTCAATCCTTGAGAATGTTGTGATGCCGGCCGCTCACCTCCATACCGAGGACCTTTTCATACCATGGGATAGAGACTTTAGGGTCCTTGATCCTGAACATGGTGTGATTGAACTGATGTAATCCCGTTAATCATCTGCACCAGTCGCGGGCCAGCAAAACGATCATGCATTCACCTTGTAAGTTCCGACATCAGTAGCGGTGGACGACATTCTGAATGGTGTCGTAGCGATAGATGGTTTGACAAGTGGTCTTGAAGTTTGTTGTATGATTCTCTGCAAAGATCTTTGCAAGTTCATAGAGAGACAAAAGGAGTCAAGATGATATCGAGATGAGTCAGACTTGGAGACGATGGCCGGTTACAACATGACGTCGAAGTTAGTGGCGACACCCGCTCCACGCGGACTATGCCGCCATCCAGCGCAACTGCAGCTGCTGCCAGCTGTTAGTCCGGTTTTCCCGGCCGCGACAACGAGGAATGTCTTGCTTTGACAGCTACCTGACCGACAGTGATGCGTCAGTCCACATTCACTGCTCCCTCACTTGTTCATATACATGAGCTGCTGACCATAAGGGTAAGATAACTTTGCGGCAGCTTTGAAGGATCACGTGACGTACAAACCATTCGCTTACGTACGTCCTATCAGTCTTGCGTCTTTTTGTAGCTTGGCAATTCGATGATGATAATTCTCGCATACTATCCATCCTGCTCATTGTTGTTGACATTGACAGACCGAGAACGAGCAGCTGAGACGAGCGCACAGGAGCTGCTGCTCAATCGTCTTTGGAGCAATGCCCGTCCACGCAATCATCCCAGCCGCTGTGCAATCCTCCCAATCCCACTACACATCCGGAGCTGGACCGAGCAACGGGGCTACATACCCTTCAAATCAACATCGCCGGCCAATTCGAGTCTCCTACGGCGCAACCTCTTCGACGCAAAGCTCTCCGCCGATGGGTGTGAGAATAGAGGAGCGGGACGAGGACGGCGATGATGGCGATATCACCATGACGCTCAGGGATGGATTCGGAATGGACGATGACGAAGAGCTAGACGGGTCATGGCGAGCTGGACGTAAGTGATCTTCATCAGTAGTTCTGATATTGTCGAAGTATCCTGGAAATTTCTATCGAGGCTTTACTTGGTCATACCTGTGTCCACGCTATTATTCTTCGTCTGCTTGGTGCTGCTGATAACCTTTGCTTGGTGAGTGAGACCCATTGGTTGGCCCATAGCTCACAATTGACGAAAACAAAATCCAGGCCACCAACGAAACGTGAACGAGACGAAGGACAAGTATACCCTCATCCCATCTTTTGGCGTCCGTTTCTCATTGGACTATTCGCATCATGTACCGTTCAGACTCTTCGAGTCCCCGTCTGGGTATTCATGTCGTGGTTCAGCATCCCACCATCCCTTGAAACCTTTTTGTAAGTCCACTAAATCGGCCGAATCATTTTTCTGGACTGACCCGGGACTCCCCTTTCATTCATCTTTGCCAGATCGACTACCACCCATACTATCTTACATGAGCTTGTTCGACTATCCAGCGTGACATTGATCACCCGAACCACATGCTCAGGGTTTCACTCGGTGTTTTATCTAGGATTAGGCTGGGGAGCAGCGGAAGTCGCCTGGGGTATCGTCCAAGGATACGAACAGCTGTCACTGTATGAGGACTTGTTGTCGTCTGGTCAAACTGAAACATCAGCACCACAAGAAGCAGATGAGGAGGAAGAGGATGAGGAGCTAGAGGTCGGCAATGACACCTTCGCTCTGGAGCAAGAGGCAGTGACGGATCTAGAGCGAAAAGTGGAGGTCCTGGAACGAGTCCGGGCAAGGAGAGGTGAGTTTGTTGAACGTCACTTGAGACATGTTAATCTTGGCATCAGATCTCGAAGAGGTCATCGGCGTTCCCTACCCTGTACGGCAATCTCTTTCCGCCTTCTTTCACCGCTGACGTCCCCTTCTAGACCATCCCTTTCGCGTTACATATCCTGTGGAGGATCGACACGCTCTTGCTGAACCTCGGATTGACCCTTATTCTCGCTGCGTTCTACTTCAACCCCTATCCCCTGTATGATGACAGTGACAACCTGCTCCCGCCGTATCATTCCGACGAGAAACCCAGTCGGCTGTTGTGGCCTGTATGGGCGCTAGTCGCGGTACTTCACGTTTGTATCAGTCTCGTTTGGAAAATCGTCGGACGAGTGGGCATTGAAGCGGTCACCTGGGGCGTGAGTTGGAAGGGATTCATCGAGAGATGCTGTCTGACATCGTTCAGGGCCTGATTGTCGCCCTCGGAGCATTGTTCTGTGGGCTTGGCGCTTGGGGAGGGCTTGTGTGATACCGAAGTATGACCTCTATCGGGTGAGCGAGGGGCCACAAGGGCCTCTGGGAGCGTTGTAAAGATACACAACATACGATCATTATGGCTACATGTGAATATACAGCATTACTCATGTCCAATCCTTACGCGTTGATGGCCGCTGCTAGCCTCTGTCTATGCTCTCTTTCCCTCTTCTCCTTCTCACTCCATTTCATCTTGCCCTTTTTGCCCAATTCCAACTTCGACATTGGCTTTCCGGCATATTTCGCTCTCTGGCGAGCTTGAGCAATCTCTTTGGCTGTATGTGTGACTTTTTTGACTGATTCGGGATTACCAGGTCGAGTGCTTCGGATGTGGCCTATTCCCAGTCGATCGAGCTTGAGGGCCGTAGCGATGGGTGCTGTCCTGCCAGGTCCACCCTGACGCGGGGGTTCTGCTGCATCTTCATCGAAGTCGTCATCTTCGCCGTCTGAAGCGGCCGTCAGATCTACGATAGTTTCAGCAGCTCCAGCCTCGCGCTGCCTGATTTGGCTTTCAGCATCCTCTTCGATCTCGGCTTTGAGCTGCGATGCCAGTCTTGACGGTCCCGCTTCGGGCATCTGTCGAAAGCAATCCAAAGTCGTTGGCTCTAACCAGCCAACAGGCCTTCCCAATCCTCCACCTTCCCATCCTAGGCGATCTTTCAGCATGGCATAACCTTTGTTCTCCGGTCCAAGCACGTAATGAACGGGTTGAGCAGGTAGAGGTTTTGTAAGGTCGATTTCGACGAGACGACCGATGGAAGAAGGTTTCGACTGGACCAAGGGTCTTCGAGGAGCCCCTTCAAGTTGACATCGACGGAGAAGCGCTCGACGAATATACCATTCGTTTCGATTGACACGCAGTGGTTCTGCCTCGATCGTTGAGGGTGGTTCCATTTTCAGTTCATCCTCGTCCTCATCATCCAGGTCTGTCAAGTCGACAATAGCAGGTGGCCCTTTCGGCCTCAAGTCAGACGGCCCAGAACCGGGTGTCGATGACCCGGTAGTCGGTCGAGATGCCAATTGAGTATACCACGCGCTGACTCTATCTCCATCGTCCACCTCCCTGGGCACTTTCACGTCGCCCTGATCCACCTCTATACCAACACCATCACCGAGACTTCTTCCAAGATCATCGTACTGTTGCTTGGACGGCAAGAAAACGGGTGCCCGAGTCAACCTTTCCGGTCCATGCTTTGCAGGGTTCACAGTCCACTCTTTCCAAGACTGTCTATCCGTCGGCTCGTAATGTTGATCAGCAAGGTGAGAAGCTGACACTGGTCCGGAGCGAATGACGACTGCCTCAGGTAGCCCTAAGCCAGCTCTAAACGGTCTCGGAGATGTCATATCGGCATGACGTGACGATGTTACTACTGCTCACGACAAAGAAGTGAGTGTCAATCGTTGAGGAAGGAGGCCGCTGTCTCGGTCGGTCGGTGGCAACGAAATGGGAATCCGCTCGGTGGTTTGCTTCCGTGACTTTGTGCGCTGATAACTGGGCTGATCATTAATCATGGTAGCGAGTAATGATTTATAGAACGAGGGAGAGAGCGTCGCAACAGCAGGTCATGCACAGCTCATCAAGTATCATGGAGTAGGTCCGGAGAGCTGGTAGTGGCGCGAACGTCTATACAGCCCCCGAGAATGAAGTTTGGCCAGTGAGCAAACTATTCCACGCCCCATTTCGCCTGGACCTGACATTTCTTGATCTTTTTTGCAGGTATCTGAAAGATCATCTTACCCCAGAATGGAAGCGGGCATACATCGACTATTCGGCATGCAAAAAAGCGATCAAGGTCGTCAAGAAGCGTTTGGATCAAGCCAGAGAAGGGCAAAGGGATCATACAGCAGGAGAAGGAGCACAAGAAGATGGTGACGACCGAGAAGCGAGCTCGGACCTGGACGATGAGGATCATGGTCCGAGCAAGCCAAGGCGAACCAAGACTGTGTCATCGACTTGGAGTGCGAGATCCCCGAGGGGAACAATCGGTTCGGGGAGGACCGCTAGGACGCCTGGTTCGGCTTTGAGGCAGGTTGATGTGAGTTTATGTTGATTTCTCGGTCGCACACGTTTATGCTTGATTCAGTCGCGGGGACGATCGGGTGGTTCAAATGCAGTTAGTCCGCAAGCGATTCCACGAAGACCATCGCCTCCGCCTCCCCTGGATTTGGGCGAATCAAGTTACCCCAAGTCTTCCGAGATTCAACAAGCTGGCCCGGACACTCCACGAGGAGCTCTTGGCAGACGGGCAGCCACTATATCGGACGCTCCTGCGCAGATCATCCATGCTAGCTCATCCTCGAGTCCCGATGAAGCGGGAGATCAGGACAACGATCCTGACATGTCAGACTCTGGTCGAATCCTGACCTCTCCAAGCAAGACCAAGATGAAATCCGCCACGTTCAGTCCTCGCTTTCACAAGAGCCCAAGGATCTTCCAGCGATCTGGCCCGACACATAGTCCGAAAAGCTCCAGAGGCAACGAGAGTCCTCAAGTCAGTGGTAGAGGAGGCAGAAGCATTCGTAAGTTCACTACATAAGGAATGCCTCGGCGAGTTCTGACAATTCGCAAGGATCTCTTGCACTCCAGTCGCCGAAGGCCGCTTCAGTGGTAGCTCCGACCTTCGAAGACTTGTACAAAGGGCTGGAAGAAGACGAACGAGCATTTTTCGACCTCTTGGACCACGAATTGAATAAGGTTGAACAATTCTTCACGGCTAGGCAAAAGGAAGCGCAGGACAGGTTCAAAGAGTTGAAGGATCAGTTAACTACACTCGGCGAGCATCGTAAACGGTACCATGAACTGTATCCAAACGGGCTACCGGGCGTACTCTTGCCACCTCAACAGGTCCAGAGCTTGTCAAGAGCTGCGAACAAGCTGCATTTGCGGATCCCGTTTACCCACGACGCGGACCATCATGTTGCGAAGACCGACGGCGAAGGTAACTCCACGACACCCAAGGCAGTGCACGATAAAACCAATGGAATTTCGGGAGATCCATCGGGCAATGCGACCGCTGAGAACGGCAGAGGCGTGGCTTTAGGAGAATTCGACACCTATAATCCAGAACGGTATCAGCATTATAAGCGAGAGCTCCGTGCAGCGAGTTTGGATTTCTATCGACATCTCGAGCGAATCAAAAACTATCGAATTCTCAATTTGACTGGGTTCAGGAAAGCCTTGAAGAAATTTGAAAAGACTACCAGAATACATTGCATGGACATGTACACGGACGAGAGGATCAGCAAAGAATCCTTTGCCCAGGGCGATGTGGTCGAGAAATTGCTAGATCAGATGGAGAAGTTGTACTCAGAACATTTCGGTGAGTTTGATTCTCTCCCCGCCTCACAGACATTCTGATTTATGACGCAGAGCATGGCGATTCGAAAAAGGCAAGAGATAGACTACGGCGCCAGACGGATGTGCAGACGGTTAGTTCATGCGTGATGCTTGGATCTGACGGTCCTTGCAGCATCACACCAGTGTTTTTAGAGCCGGTATGATGATAGGTCTCGCAATGCCAGCAGTCATCTTCGCCTTGGTCATCGGTAGGTTCTGGATGAACGCAGACGGTCTGACCTCTTAGCGCGAAAGCCGGAAACCAAGGTGGCCATACCCCCGAGGGATGAGCTCTTGCAGGTCTACGGAGCGCTCTTCATGCCAGTCATGTTTGGTATGCTATTTCAACTAAATCTGGATGCCTTTGTATCTGCCCGAATCAATTACGAGGTGGGCTCGGCCGTACGACGAGCGCCATACTGATCACCTTTCTAGTTTGTCATGGAATTGACAAAACCAACCTTGGACTACCGTTGTTTCTTAGAGGTAAGCTTCATTTTCTTGTTTCACTGTGATTCTGACATCTTGTATAGATCCCGGCCTTCCTCTTCCTGACCCTGAGTTACTGTTGTTTCTTCTCATTCTATCGTGTCGGTGCCTCTCACGTTGCACCAACAACGTGAGTCAGTCCCAAGACTTCTCCTGACGTTTGTCAGATGGCCAGCAGCCTGGCTTGTATTCGTAGTTGTATTCTTTCTAAATCCTTTCAACATTTTTCGGCGCAGCTCTCGATATTGGTTTTTGCGTGTGCTTTTCAGAGTGGCCACGCCAGGATATAGTAGAGTGGAAGTGAGTTGGACGATGAGTGAATGTGCGACATGGCTGATGAGACACGATATTATTCAGTTCATTGCCTTCTTCCTTGCCGATGAGCTGAATAGGTTAGCCTTTGCTCTTCACTATTGCATGCTGATCCGGCAGCTTGGCTTGGTCCACCGAGAACGTCTATTTCATCGCTTGTGCTTGTGAGTCGAATGAGCCCAGTCGCGCGCGATTGTTGAAACCTTGTCAAGACAGCAAGCACTGGCCTGGAGACACCTTTGAAAGATGCCCTGTCGGCAAGCAATGGCCATACGGCGTCATGCTGTGTCTTGCACCGCTGGCTCGGCTGATCCAGTGTCTCAAACGTTATCATGACTCCAATATTGGTATCCACTTAGTGAACGTGGGTTCAGAGGGCCTGAGCCAGAGATCGATCGCTGATACAGAGGCTAGGCTGGGAAGTACTTCAGCGTCATTTGCCAGTACTCTTTGTTCGTTCTCTGGCGTTCAAGAGGTGAGCCCCATGTAGAGAATGTAGAGCCAAGCCAACCAGAGTGAAAAGGAAGCAATTTTCACGATCCCGTCTTCATTGTGTGGATCTTCATCGCTGCCGCTGCTGCCACGTATACATCTTCTTGGGTGGGCCTAAGCCGCGGTGCAGGTGTTTGACGGGACTGAATCTCTTCCAGGACCTGATCGTCGATTGGAGTCTATTCCGACCGCACTCTGCCATGTTGCGCCAGGAGAGAGGGTACAGCAGTCGACACGTAAGCTGTCCCCCGTCTCGGCGTATTTTCCAGAGGCTGAAAGTAGTACAGATCTACTACTTCGCGATGGTCACCAACGTCCTAGTCCGGTGGGAATGGATCTGGTGAGCTCGTCATCTAAAGGTTCCAGATCAGTCGAGTTTATGGGCGGTCTCCTAGGTACTTGCCCGTTGCAGGCCGCTACGTCAGATTACGTACCTATTTTATTGCTCTGGCAGAAATGCTCCGTCGGTGGCAGTGGAACTTTTGTGAGCATTCATAGCAAATTTGACGCTAACGATATCGTAGTCCGAGTAGAGACCGAACACTTGGGTAATGCCGATGCGTACCGAGTGACGCGGGAGATTCCACTGCCCTACCGTCGAATCGAGCATGATTCCGAGGAGGATGAAATGGGTCCGAACAGAGCCTCTAAGCGACCCGGAAGTCTCAGTATCAGGTTGGAAGCTTTGAAGCGAGAAATCCTAGGCAGGGGACCTAAAGGCGAGGGGGATGGGAATGGAGATGGACATGAGCCTCAGCGCCATGTTCAGAGAGATTATGAGGCTGGACAGAGACTGGATCCTGTCGTCTCCAGGACTAGGGACGGTGATGAGAGCGAGGTATAGAGCTCTCTGCAATGCACAAATTCATCTTTAAGTCCCTATCTATGTAGGCTTCCGTCTGTTCAGTCAGGGCTGATGGTCCGTTTTGGGTACTGTGCATGGAAGTTGCTGATTGAGCTAAGTGGGAATGATGTACTGTATCGCATGGTAGTTTTGCCCACGAGATGTTTGGAGCGTTGACACTGTAGGGAAAGCTCGTCAAAAGCTGCTGTACCGCATAGTGATGAGGACTGAGACATACCTGACGTGTCTCCGCACCTCCTGCTGCTACACCTTTGGCGCCACAAATGAGTTTTGAGGCAAAGATTGATGTTCGTGGCACTGTGGCGGATGACGAGTTGTAGCAAACTGGATACAAACTCGGTGAATGACCTCGACGAAGTTTCTGGGGAGCTCGATCTCCTGGGCAAGGAGACAGTCGGGTAGCTCAGTCTCATACTTGTCACTTACTTTGTTCCGAAGAAACCACCTCCCATGTGCCAGTCTCTCCAGGACGCCAAAAAACACCCGTTGACGATTTGTTCAATGGAAAGGATACGGTTGAATGGAGTCCCGTCCCGAAAAGTCCACTTTACATAGCTTATAAGGTCTTGTCACTGATATCAGATAGTGTGCTGGAAACAGGAATCCAGTACTGGCTGGTGTCACCTCCCATGCGACAATGACGGGCAACTAGATGCATCTGTTTGGGGAGAGATTGGTATAAGCATGAGTGGCTGTGACCACAAGGGAATGTCAAAGGGCACTTCAAGGTTTTCATGGACCCCGATAGCCTATCTCCTTGTTCTTCGTTCACTCGAACTGATTACCCGATGAGTGAGTCTCAACGCGAGATGCTTCCTGATCTGTTTTCGTTCTCCATTTAATCTTGTACTCGTCAACAAGATCCTTAATTGATTGCTGCTGCTCTCCAGACAACCTATCCCAGTCAGAACGAATGCTGGAATCTGCTTCGTTGGATCCAGTGTCGGACTTAAAGTTGACACTGCCTCGTCTTTCTTGTCTCATGTTCTTCAGTTCATCCGTCAAAGTCTTTGGAATTGACATTTGCCTGTATTCGGTAAGTTTGGCCCACATGTCCGAGCCCAATGACGTTTTTGACGCCACGTCACCTTCATCCATGCCCTCGACAAATTCGAGAAGCTCAAGGCGAAGTTTGTCTCTTCGTTTGGCGTCACCATAATCGACTTCAAGCTCGCCATCGAGCTCTGTTCGGAGGGTTGCGATCGTAACGTCGCAAGTGGACATGGCTTGGATTGTTGATGTGTACTTGAAGTGTAGTGTCTCCGTATTGGTATGAATCTGCACCGAGATTATGGAAGGAGACAGGCTTCTTATATGTATGCGATCTTAGAGCGACAGAGTGGCGCAATAATACCCTTTTTGTTCAGATAAGCCATCCCTTACAGTGAAAGGATGCAAGAGGGGCTATCTTGTTCTCACAGAACTAAGGAATGACACCGAATTTTGGACTTACTATATACTGTACACTAAGTGAAAGGGAAGATCAAATTCGATGGGATGATTTCGGTGTTTCAGCAGACAAACGAGAGCGAGCCAGGATGGTACGATATTTTGTTTTCAGGACTCAGCATCACTTTCTAAACTTGGCGTTTCAGAGGAACAAGACTGTCATTAGTCTCTCTGACAACTCCTCATAGAACTGTATCTCGGTCCTACTGCTGGTCCCACTTCTGCTCCTCTAACGCTCATGCTGGCTGACTGAATGCGCATGAGATTTGCTCAATTTCAGCTTTATATTCGGATGCATGTATCAAGCGAAGGTACGATATCAGATCAAGCTCCAAAGAATTTCGACCGAGGAATTCGCCACTAACAGGCTACGTTACGCTACCCTCCTCCCTCACTCAGAAAGGTTGTCATGTTTCTGAGACTCAGGCTCGGTGCCGACACTGAGCCTTGCTCCTTATCGCCATCCGCGCACCGAACCAACGACTTCGGCAAGGGTTCGCTTCTGCTCTTCTGACAGCCGGTTGTAATCCGGATGGTTTCTGGTGGCATCTGAAACGGTATAAGACCCCTTGCTAGAGCCCTCGTCTGGTGAGAGAGCATCAGCGGCAGAATACACTGACGACTTCTCCGCGCTGGTCATTTGGTCCGTCATTGACTTGGGCACACTCAGATCCCAATATCTGGTCAATCTTTGCCAATCTGTCTTGCCAATGGTCTTCTCTGAAACCGTGTCGTAGTCGTCCATCTTTTGGAGCCTTTCAAGTAGAGCTAATCGGAGATTCTCCCGATAGACAGGGTCACCGTAGTCGACCTCTCTCTTGGTCTCAAGATCGCAACGGACGGTGGCTACGCTAAGGTCCTGCGAGTATTTAGAGTTGGATGGCATTGCTATGTAGACTCTGTAAGAGATGTGATGATTGGCGTGTTGGTGAGTGTGAACGATGATGGAATTGCTAGGGGGCATGCACTCGTCTTATACGTATGCGGAAAAGAGCTCGGTGGCCAGAAATATCTCACCTCTTCTTCTCACCACCTTTCACATCGAGAATGGACCACATGTCGATCAAAGCATGCACACTCGTGCCGATATCACAATCTAGAAGTAGGAGAAATTCTGAAGATCGATGTCCACCATTCTCCACTGTGATTGCGAGGAGGTGGAATGACAATGGAAAGCCAGCATTCATGGGAATATCGTGCGTTCCACAAAACCGATCGATACAAGTCAGTTCTCGCATCTCCCAGTCGTAAACGCATACATTCTTGTTCGTACATGGACAGCTGCAGGGAGCATAGCTAATTACCCTAGATCGCTTGACATACGTTTGACAGTGCCAAAGGAGTTCTGTCATCTCCCCGCGAAAATCTTACAACTACCAGAAGTCATCACCGCCCCCGCCGCCACCGCCTTTCTTGTTCGCAGTCACTTGTCGTTGGTAGAACTCACAGACTTGCTCTGCCGATGTGGCCTCCTCTGGATTTTTGTCATCTCGGACTTTGATGAACCTCGGAAATCGAAGTGAGATACCCCTGGGATCAGCCTATGGGATGATGTGAGCAGCAAGAAACATACAGGATATGTGCACGTACCAAGCCATGAGCCGCGGTGTAGACCGGACTTAAACTCAGATCGGCAGTCAAGACTTCCCACACGATTTTCGGTTCGAACCAGACATCCGGCTTGGCCGCTCCAACTTCGATGTCGCCTCTGGCTCCGCCAGCCAGTTCCAAAGGCCTCAAAGCCTCGTAGAATTGAGTTAGAATCTCCTCTGAGAAACCCGTGCCAATCTTGCAGATAGTCTGGTAGTTCTCCGAGTCTGGGTCGTAGCATGCTAGGAGAAAGGCTCCGTAAACTGCTGTCCGCTTTCCTTTTCCGTGATACGCCCCGACGACGACTAAGTCGAGGGAATCACCAACTCCAGATAAGTAATCCTTCTTGAGCTGATGAGGCGTCAGCCCTGAAGCAATCAGCATCACATCCTCCACTGACCTTCAGCCAGTTCATCGATCTCCGGCTTGGCTCATACGTAGAAGCATCGGTGGCAAGCATTTTGACCATTAATCCTTCACATCCATCCTTAACGCTCTCCTCCAGGAATCCCTCAATCTCCTCCACCGAGGTTGCATCAGACGACTTTGCAAAGTCGAACTCGCCTTCCACAAAGTGGAAATGCTCCCGTAGCAACTTGCGACGTTCTTTGAGTTCAAGTTTCAGCAACGACTGCCTAGAGTCAGCACGACCAACTGGCCAGCGAAAGGGTGACGGACCTCGCCATTGAGATACAAGAGATCGAAAGCAAATAGGTGGACTCGGACTGTGATATCCTCTGTCCTGACATCCTTTCTTTTCCGCCTTGACAGATCCTGGAATGGCAGTAACTTTTTGGTTTCTAGATCGAAAGCGACAGCCTCTGCATCGATGACAAAGCTCTTGGTGCCCTCTTTCACGCACTGACGGGGAGTGAGCTCTCTTCTATCAACATCGGCGGTCACCTGGACTCACGCGGGGCACTTGCTGTACCAGATCGGGATACTTTGCACTCATGTTTTCAGAATTTCTACTGAACACCGCAATCTCGCCGTTCTCGAGTCTGTGCACCTGCGCTCGCTCGCCGTCGTATTTGTATTCGCAGGTGAATTCCTTGCCCTCGAATCGATCCAGAACTTCCGAGATGGCTTTTGTAGGTTTGGCCAACATTGGCTTTAACGGTACCCCTGATGTTTGTCAGCTTCAGTCGGCCGTGCACCCGAAGCAAAGCTCACCTGGGGTGAGCTTGCACACCTCGCGTAAATTCTCAACTCCATTCTTCAACAACGCAGGGACGATCAGGTCGTAATTAGGAAGCTCGCTGAGATACATGAGGACCTAGCGATTGTCACACTCGACTGACTTACCTGTAGACCCCCTTCACTATCTCCGCTCCTTCTTCCAGCTTCGCCGCCAGCTTGTCATGCGGGAGCTTTTTGTCACCTAAAACCATGAACTCTGCACACTGACTGGTAACTCACCCAAATTCCGCAAGACGACCGCATGCGCCAGTGCCACCACGAGTGTCTTTTCCGCTAATCCTATCCGGAGCTTTCCTTCTAACGATCTAACGATGAATTTCGCCTCGTTGCCTTGACACGCGGCGAGAAGTTTCTTGATGATACCGACCTTCTTCGTCTGAGACTGTGCGATGGTCAGTGATGCGCATCTCAGGTATAGTCAGGCTGACGGCATTTCCGGTAGCATTCGCTATTTCCGTGAGATCCTTGAATACCCCCGGTACAGTCAACGGCTTTGGTTTGAACATCGTGGGCTGGGTATTCCGGGACATCTGCAGCGGGAAATCAGCGAGACCGTGAGCGGATCGATAGAATGGACTTGCCATTGCGACGTTTCCAAGGTCGCCCTCGGACTTGAGATCTTCCTTGATCTTAGTCGTCGCTCGCCCAGTGCTCTCCGCGATAGCTTTTATCAAGAGCGATTCGCCAATACCAAGCTCGATACCCATGTAGTCTGGACACAGCTAATAGGCGGGGGTTAGTGCCGATACGAGGAACCGAGTAAAAATACTTGTAGGACGTACCCTGTTAATACACAGATAAATCACCTTCAAGAGCTGAGAGTTCTTGGCCTCGGTAGCCGTGTCCCTTTTCGCCACAACGACCAAGAACTGAGTAAGATACTGCAAGATCTCCAGACGTTTCGTAGTGGAGTCGACCTTCTCGAATGTCGAGACCAGAGCCGAGTAGGGAACACTGCGGGGGAGTCAGCCATATCGAGATACTCAGCTCACGGTTCGCCCTCCTTCCAGCCCTTGTCCGCAACGGGCACACTCTTGTGGTCTTTGGTGAAGATCGACGCTCTGGGCCACATGAGTCAGGGAGCACACACGGATCGTTTCCGTCGTACAATTTTACAGCTGCTTCTCCTTCCTGCTTATCCTCTATCTCATCGTCCAATTCATCCTCTCCCTCCTCATCAGGTTCAAATTCCTCATCCCGTGGTTCCTCTTTCTCCCTTGGCTTCGTCCCATTGGAGGATTTCCCCGTAGGCTTCGCAAAGATCGACGCTAGAGGTTTCCCGTTGGTGCTTGGCTTCGATGTGGACGAAGAGGCAGAGCCATTGACGTGTTTTGAGGGTGATGGCACCTTTGCTTTCTTCACAGGCGGCGACGATGCTTCGAAGACGAATCAGATTCATGAGCGCGCTCGGATACCGACACTCACATGGACCTCTCTTGTGTGTCGATGGTCCACCTGCATCCTCGTCTTCCTCGTCTGACATGATGACCCGCTTCTTCTTGATCTGCTTCTTGACTGGTCCTTCATCGTCTGGAGGACATTGATGAACTCCCTCAATCGATCTCAAGATCTCACTCACCACTCATCCTGCCTGGAAATCCAAGATCCTCGTTCCCACAATCTGGTCTGCAATGTCCGACACCACTCACTTCAAGGAAAGTCAAATTATCGCTGCCCGGCAGCGCGCGTTGTATCGCGTCATGTATATGTTGTCCGACAGCGGTGATCGCCGCTCTCAAAAGCTTATTACTAGCGAGAGGGCACAATAAAGGCGGTGGGTCAAGACTCAAAAGTTACGATCTGTCCTGCTCACTCACACCAGACCCATCGAGAAGCAAGTCTCAAAGTCTTGCAAAACAACGAACAATAAGGTCTGAATACAAGGTTGAGAGCAGTCAAGATATAAAAGTACCTCTACCCATTGTTCTCTCCGCCGCAATCTCTGCGTTCTTGTCATCGACCCTAGCTCGCCAGCCTCGGTTTTTTTCCTTCATCATGGATCACACCAATTCATCAGGTTCAAGGGCAGCCAGGTCCGAGAGGGTCAATGCAACACCGTATCGCCGACCTCAACAAGTCAAGAAATCAACGTCAACTGTAAGCCTCGTAATTTGTCGCGATGACTCACCCTCCTTTAGCCCTTTTCCGGTCTGCGAAATATGATCAGTTATGCCCTTTCGCCGCTGTTCCGCCAGGAGAACCGTCTAGCTCTTCCTTCGAATACTGGCGATATCACTATGGAGCCAGAGGTACCCTCAGAATCAGGCTCAGAGGACAATTGGGGATCGTCACCGAGCAACACCCGACAAGGTGATGTGCTCTCGATGGCTGAGGCTGCAGGCAGAAGCGGAGCAGATTTTGAGGACAGAGCCGCAGAGTGGCGAGCCAGAGGCGAAGTTCCCGGGGGAAGAAGGGACACGACCAGGCGAAGTCTAGCTGTGAGCTGGAGCAAGTTGTCTTGGGAGGATCACAAGGCTGACAGTGTGTCGAGGGGCAGCTCCCGCAGGAGCATAACGAGGATCCTTCAGCTCACAGGTCGGGTCCCAGTCATCGATATCAGACGGAGAATTCGACACCAAGAGGAGCGATCGACCGGGAAACACAAGATGCGCCGGGCCTTGTTTGTCAAAGTCGACCTAAACGAAGGAGAGGAGAGTCTAGTCTGCCGGAAAGAGCCGCTTTACCGTTATTCGACCTGCCTGCCACCCCCGCGACCCATACACACACTCCTCACGCCTCCGCCTCTTCTCATATTCCAACAGCATTGTCCGCAGCGGCCTCAGCTCTGGTGACTTTCGTGGAGGGAAAGCAAGATCAAGCCGTCACAGAAGACGACACTTCCGTCATAGATGCCATGCTAGCCAATATTCGTGCTGCAGCGACTCCCCTTACCTCTGCTTCCGCAGCTGCCTTGACCACGTTCCTTGCGGGCAAGAGACAGCAGTCTCTGTCGGCCGAGGACGTTCAACTCGTTCAAGCCCTGACAAAAGGCATGAGAGCAGACACAGCTCATCGACTGGGAGGGTGGAGCGCTGGTACACCTCGTTCGGTCAAGGCACTCCCAAACAGCGCTTCCGTCAACAGGTCCTTTACGCCCAACCGCAATGGCGTAACAGCTCCATCGACACCGGGCTCCATGGCTTCGTTCGGTGACGACACAATATCACTCTTCACCTCGCCAGAAACTCGTCGGCATAGGGTTTCATATCTCGGACCTGGCATGTCACCGCGACGCATGCTCGGCAAATCGCGCTCTAGCCTCGGTCTCAAGCCCTTGCTGGATCTCGAAGCGGACGATCACGAGGAGAGTGCAAAGAAGCGGCGCAGGACTGAACAGGGAGTACATGAAGACCCGAACGATTCCGCATTATCTTCTCCGGCCCATGCTCCTCTCGCCGCTCATCCTTCATCCTCAGACTCCTCATCAAGCTCATCGACTGCCGCTACCTCTCACATCAAAGAGAAGGACACGTCACGCCAGCCGACAGGCACTCTCCGACACCCGCTCAGCCAGTCTTTCACCGCTGTGTCATCTGCAGAATCGAAGGATGCACACGATGTCGTGTCTATCGGCAAGAGACGTGCCGCCGACATCATGCGGGCGCTCATCGTGGAGGAGATCGGACCTGTTGATCAATCCACACGGCAAGAAGAGATGATCATCAACCCTTACGACACGCCACAATCGTCATCGGCATCCGATCATTCCAGGACACCGTCCCCCAATTCTGCAAAGTTCGCCTTCAACAGTCCTAGACGATCAGTCCTGCGAGCCACACTCAAGGAGAGTCCGAAAAGAGGAGCAGCGGCGAAACTGGAAGCTACGAAGAGTATTGGTCGACAGCTCACGACGCTTGAGGTATTGACTGGGAAGAAATCGGTGAGATTTGTCTGCAGTTGCAAGAATTGAGTAGCTGACTGGAGCGCAGTGGCAGCTCGATGATGACGGACATGCTGGAGCGAATGGCTCGCCTAAGCCATCGGTGAAAAACCCGGATCGCAAAAATATCGCCGGAGCGGATCAATACTCTGCCAAGCCGCCAACTCCGGTATCATCGACCGCACCTTCCAGTGCAAATACCGCGCCAACACAGTCGTCCCCAAAGAAGCGTGCTGTCCCTGAGCCGGCTTCATTCAAACCTTTCGAAACTCCTGTACTCGACTCTCCGTCCCGCCCACTGCCCAGTCTGAAGCCGAATCCAGCAAAGACTGATTCCCTACCCGCGTCTTTGGAAAGAGCTGGCGCAAACCCCACTGAAGCGCCCAAGTTCCAGCTTCCCGCCATCCGCCCGATCGAACCGCATGATGAGCCTATTGAAGACCTACCACGTCGAAAATCTCCTACCAAGGTTCGATTCGACCCCAACATCATATATTTCTCCGCGAAAGACCAAGCTTTGCAAGTCGACAAGTCTGCTCTACCTTTTTTCACCTTCACGCTACCTTCCGCGATCTCCGGGAAGGACGCGAAGAGCGCACTGGATGCCAAGGCATTGGCTTTGAAGGCTCCACTGGCGACATTCCACTTCACACTCAGTCAAATGAAGCTCCCGGCGCCCCTCGATCAATGTTCCAAACCCTCAGCTCCGGCCTCCGGTGGAAGTAGCTGGACCTGCGATCTCTGCATGCTGCAGAACCCTGCGACAGCGACTGAAAAGTGCCAGATCTGTGAAGCGCCCAAACCGACGGGCAAAAAAGCAGATTTTGGACCGCTGTCCGGATCCAAGGTAGACAGCAAGGCGGACAACGCGAAGAGTGATGCGGATTGGACGTGCAGCTTGTGCATGTTGAAGAACCCTGGGAGTGTCAAGGAGAAGTGTACCATTTGTGAGGCGCCTCGGCCGTGAATACGCATAACCAGGAGTCGCGAGCGACTATGTCGACATGCTGTGAGCTCTGTCTCATGTATAGTTGAGTTGTATGAAGTTGCAACTAGTGCATAGGAATGGAGACAGTCCGTACAAGCTCGATTCATGCGCCTTCTATAGACACGCCACAACAAAGAGCCCAGGACTGAAGCCTCCGGAGAGGGGAGCAACACAGTCATTAAAACACTGGCTTCTTGGGCAGGCCAGCTAGACCTCGTTTGATCTCCTCCGATCTCGCCTGAGATCTATTGACATTCGAAGCGGATGCAGTGGCATTTGATATCGTGGGTGGGCGTGAAGGTAGGCCGGCGCCAGGAACGAGCTTCGGCATCGCAGGTTGTGTAGCCGGTGGTGCTGGGGACTGAGTTGATCGTTGATCATGCGCCGGACTTCGTGGCGACTGTGAGCTCCTCGGATCGTCTGTGCTGCCGCTACACGGCGGCTGTGTGTTGAGCTCAGCTTCTAATTCTCTCTGAAGATCATCTGCCGCCAACATGCCCGCTACTTCACCAATAGCATCTTCTTCCATAATCTCCGTGCCAGAGTGAGGAGATGCTGATCCTGCGATTGCGTGCCCAAGTGGGTACTGATTGAACCCAGGGACGTAGTCTTCATCGGCAGGTTTGGTCTTAGCCATAGTGGCTAGTTTGGCTTCCATAGCAGCGATTTGAGCGGCGGCACTGTTAGTGAGTCAGTCTCAGTAGGTAAATTAGAGGAGATCTAGCCGGGCAGCGGGCACTCCTACGTACTTCTGTGGACGGCGATTTGACTTCAGTAAGGAAAGGGTGGTAGTTTTTGGAGCATCGGTTGGACGACGGCCTTTAGTGATGAGCGGCAAGTCGTTAATGGGCGCCTTTGATAGTCAGCTCTGGCTATGATTGGAGGCGTAGATGGAAGCTTACCGAGTTTGCATATGTGACAACGAGTTTTCGGCCTCTCAAGAGTCGATCGTGAAGTTTGACCATCGCTCTCAGAGCGTCCTTTGAAGGCGAGAACGCGATATCAGGAACCGTTCGCTGGGCGGGAGTACCCCATTGAGCCGACTTACATCTTTGTTGCTGAATTCCAAGAACGCATATCCCCTCGGCTTGCCTTTCAGTACTCCGCTCTTGTGAAACATGAAATCCAGCTTGGTGATCTTGCCGTACTTTGAGAATACCTGGATGAGGGTGTATTCGTCGACGGTTGGCGAGAGGTTGCCGACGAACAATCTGTCTGGCTTTCCGCCACTGGCGGATGTGGATGGGTGTGATGCGGTTAGCACGTTTCCAGAAGACAAAGACGAGGATGCTTGAGAGCCGGGAGACTCCATACTTGCTGATCGTCTCGTCTTGAAGTGAACAGATGAAGAACGCTGATCCCAGGATTTTCCCTACTTTGTTGACGGATGGATGGATTGGATAAGGGGAGTTAATCATGCTCAAGTCGATTAGGACATTTTGTAATAAACTATGAGCTCAATCCTAATACGTACTTTCCACGCGTTTGCCAGCGTTTCTAATGACATCAGATCAACCCCGCTCACACGCACGAAAAGCAAACGTAGCTTGACATTGAGCATACTGTCAAAGCTGCGGCTGATAGGCAGCTACGATGGACTGGTGAGCGAGTGGAGTCACTCGAACACAATATATTCCTGACTCCTCGGTTAGTCTCGACGAGCCTCTGCATTTGCAGATACTCTCGTCACTCGCTACCAGCTTGGCAAAGAGTCAACCTGAAGAGACCAAGGCGAATGGCGATGCGACCCCTAACGGCGATGTTAAGGCTGATGACGGACGCCTCGACGTGATCACCAGGGGACTTCCAGAGGTGCAGAGTGTCTCCAATGGAACTCTGCGCAGCTCTGATGACAACGAGACCGAAGATGAAGACTGGGTAAGGATGGCGCCTTGTCTTTCTCATGTGTCGAGCTGATGAACTTGGGATGATAGACCGAATTCGAGATCAACCATGCTATATCCTACGCTCACTATGTAGTGGCCTTACCTCTTGGATCACCACAGCTGAAAGCAGCGTTGCGTAGGGTGAAGGACCTCCTGAGCGGTCTTTTGGCCCAAGGCAGGCAGTCTGGGACCAACTCGTCACCATCTTCGTCGACTAGTCAGACCTCGGAATTGAATCTCTCGGGCACACATCACCAAGCAAGACTCTGCGAACAGCTTATCAAAGCGTTACTATGGATCTCATGGACAGACGAAGCGTCGAACAAAATTGCGGCTGAGGTATTGAATCATCTGTTCGAAGACATCGGAGAGCTTCTAACGACCGGCGGGTCCATCAGTGCGTCAATGGCTTGTCACATTCAGAACATGACTGATGTGACTCTAGCATTCCCGCTGGTCCTGCTGAACTCTGCTCACTTGGTGCTCTCCCGATGCTCTATTCCTGCTCTTGTGGACGGCTCTTTGGCGACGGTCCTCGATTCCCTCCTCAAGATCGCTTCGCCCTCGAATCTAGTCAAAGTCCTCCACCAGAACTCTCATCATTCGAGCTTTCGTCACGCCCCCTCAAGATTCTCATTCATCGCGCCACATCCACTCACACCCGCGGGAGTTGTCACGATCGTTTCCGAAATAGCCAATATCCTGCTGGCGGGCAGTCTTCTGCCATCGAAGGACCCCGAGCGAAGGCCCTTCATGACTCCATCGAACATTCATTGGACGTCCACTGGTATACCTGAAGAGCCTGACATGCATCACTCTGTTCTCAGTGTACAGATCGAAAGTCTGATCTCACAATCGATCAGTCTGCCGGTGGAGAAACGGCTGTTCGGGCAGAATAATACCAGTGCAATAGGCGATGAATGGGACAAAGCTGCACTCAAGTGGTGGAACGAAGCGTCTGCGCCGATGCACGATGGATCCGACACGGGCCATGGAGATTCTGGCCGCCGAGAAAGTCTGTTCTCGTTAGGCGAAGCGGTTGTGGACGAAGAAATCGAAATGAGCGTCACGGTCTTGGTAAGTGTAACATGCATGCGGATCTGCATTCTGACCGGCCGAAGCACCTCCTCAACCTGCTCAACCTACATCGCGAAGAGCCTAGCTCGACTCATCTATCACGATTGACCATGCTTTTGTCCGAGAACTCCACCGCTTCCGACTGCAGAGTCTTTGAGACTGCGTTTATCTGCACCTCGATGATCGTCAGGAAGTGAGTGCGAAGCTCGACAATCATCATCAGCTGATCATCCTCAAAGTCATCCTGCCCTCGGCACGAACATGACACTGCACATTCGAAGACTGTTGATGACTCCCCTGCCGGCCTTTGAGAGTGGCATGAATTGCGCAGCCGGAGATGTACCGCCGGCTGTGAAATCAGCGTCTCGCTGCCTGGCCATCTGCATTGAGGTTTGTAAAACCTGGAGGAATGAGAAAATCATTGACTCTCTTCAGATGTCTCCAAACGACGACCTGATCTCATCGACTCTCTACTCGTTGCTCAATCTCCTACAACACGGCGGCTCTGCTTTGGGCTCGAGCGTCGCCCAATCTTTGCGATCACAGCCTGCACCGCTCCGCGATGGTGAAACTATCGGCACATTGAGTACACTCTCTAACGGCAAAAAGACGGAAGAGCAAAAGATGCTGGTCGCCTTGACAGCGGTGGAGGTGGTCTCTTGTTTAAGTTTGGATCTGGGCAGAGATGATGTAAGAGATCTTTCAGTCGTATCATCAGTGGCTCATGGCGTCAGATCATTCATCTTAGCATCTCACTGCTCCTCCAACGGCTCCGGGGAGTCGACTTGATGATCGAGAGCGCCATTGTGACCAATTTAGTACCACTGGCCCTGGCAGCTTCAGACGCAGATGTGGTGGAAGTCTATCGAGCATTCTCACAGATATCTCGCTCTGCGCACCCAGAAGACCCGCGTATGACTTCGAACGCTGTCCTTGCAGCTCAAACGCGGCTCGCAAGGGGCATGGTCAAACGACTGCGATGTGCCGAAGGATACTTGGTGGATCTATTGTCGCTGTTCGCCGATAAGGGAACTCAAACTCAAATGATTGCCATGTCTGGGATAAATTTCGAAACACGGGACAAGGAGAAACAAGCATTATTAAAGAGGGAGAGCGAGGACCGAGTATCAGATATGAAGGCCTGGATGGGGGCATTGTTCATTCCTCTTTCGACACTGCTCTCACATGAGTCATTCAATCCTGCAAAAGGTGCCTCGGCCGAACTCGTTAGTCTCTTCAGGAACTTTTGGTTTCTCTGTGTGGCATTCGGTTTGAGCGGTCCGGCTGGCGAAAAGAAGCTGTCAGAGTATGAGTGGAAGGCTCTGGGAGATATCGCCGTGAAGACACCTGCGTTGGTCCAAGAGGATGCAGTGGACTTTGTGGACAGTGATCTCGAATACAACTCGATCCTCAGAAAGGACTTTGCCGCCTCGGTAAGTGCTCCCAGCGAATTCATGCTAAGATTTGCAGATCGCGAACAAGAACCGCGCAACGCTCCAGGAGTACCTCGCCAGTCAGAAGAGCGGCTATGAAATTCGGACAATGTCGGCTCCCCAGACCACGTTGTTGATCGCCATTTGTGATCTCGAACAAATGCGCGCTGCAGCCTTCCAGCCTTCTATCATGCTCGAGTATTTCAGTAATGAGTCTTTGAATTCGAGCTTTCTCGCTCCTCCTCTTGTGACCATAGGTCAAAAGGTGAGACGGCTACCTGACGCAATTCCGAGGCTGACGGCCTACAGGTCTCATCGACTTTCCTGAAACAACTCAGTCGACAGGTAGTGATACATCGCTCGCCTCCCATTGTCGCTCAGGAGACATGCCGCGTCCTCGTCGCTTGCACGCACAGATTCCGCAAGACTCGAGAAGTCGCCAGAACATTTGCCAAGCAGATCCTCGAGACATTCTCCGCACTGCTTTGCGATCGCCAGGTGGTCTTCACTTTACTCGAGATCCTAACTCTGATGAGACGGAGTTGCGAAATGCAATTTACCGATGAGGCAAGTCTTGTTGATTTCTTGTTGACCCGGTGATTGACTTCAAGCAGTATTCGCCGATTCACGAATTCAAGTCGGATAAGATGGCTTTGACGCTATCTTTGACTGACGATTACATGGCTCGGAATGAAATTACGACTCAGCTGTTCGAGCTGGCGAGTAATTGGCTTTCGTTAGCCATCTCCCGTGCCCCGCTAGAAGTGCAATCGACTCTACAATCCTACTTGAACGAGTCTCGAGACGTGCTACTCATTGACAGCGTCGAGATGGGGGCGGGATTGGCGTTGCATTATTGCAAAGCTATCTCAACGCTCGACAGGCAGGAGGGTGAGTAACCAACAGCGATGGAATGGCATGCGTGGGCTGACTTCTGTAGCGATCATGCCGAAAATTGGCTCCTGGCCTGCGGACAGCTCGAACTTGGTGGCGAGCCAATTCGCAGCGAAGAATTACTTCAACGGAGAACTGAGTGGTGCTCGACACATTTTGGAGCAAGGTAGGTAGCGACCCCCGTGATCGTTGGTGGGAATAGAGCTGATCTGCTCTCAGGTCTTTCCAATCTTCAGCAAGGATCTCCTGTCGAATCGTCCAAGGCTGAGTTGCATGCTTTCAAGACCCAGATGGCGGACGCTGTGCGAAAGGTTCGGAACAAGGAACACTTCTCCATTCCTGATCTACGACGGCTCTTGCTCCGGGCTTCCTCCGTGTTGACCTCTTCCTCAACTGTCAGTCGGCCTCCAAGGGATAATACTGCAGCTGATGTTCCCTGCCAGGTCGACCAAGACGTCATACATTACCTCGTGGAACTGCCCATGGCTGCATTTACTCCGTTGGCGATTGCAGCCGGTGTAGATGCTTGGACATGGCTCTTGCGTGAGAAGCCCGAGGCGGAAGTGGCTCTGCTGGGGGAAATTTCTGCGAGCTGGCTCGAGACCATTCGAACGGAGAAGGGTCTGTTCAGTACCTCCATGAAGTGAGTCTGGGACTTAAGGGCATCTCTCTCACAGGACTGATCAACGCCGAAGCTATGCGGACCCCTTCGCCGTGCCGGTCGAATATTCCCCTACTGATAAGCAAATTATAAACCTGGAGCTGGCCAAAGCGAAGCGAATGCTTCGCCCTCACTTGCTTTTGATTCAAGTCTTGTCAAGTCAGTTCCAAGCTATCAAATATCGCGAGCCTGGAATCATGATCGCCTTGACTCGCTTGATGATGCGATCGTTGGGCGCGGCACACAAGATGAGGTGAGCGCGGCTTCAACGGAAGATGAAAACGAGCTCATATGGTGCAGCACGCATCCCCTTGCTCGAGAAGTACGATTCTCCCTGCTTCTCTTTGGCTTCCAGATCCTTGCTTCGTCCCGTATGGAGGCGCTGCTGGAGTTGCGACTTAGAGACCGGCTCTACGCCGCAGCTTATGCTTGGTTCTCTGTCCGGCCTCAATGGTCGTTTGGAAGTGACCGCATTCAGGTTGGAGCGGAAATCAAGCTTTTGCAGGATTTCGCTAGAGCCATCGCGGAGGATCATGTTCGCGGAGATCACTCGACAAGCAGCATGTCGGATAGAAGTCCAGCTCTGCTGATCAGAGGTGAGCTGATCAGTGGAAACATCTGCTGATGTGGTCATAGGGTCTACAACGCTTCACGAGTACAGTGTTCAGCATCGAGATAGGATCAAAATTCTTCAACTACTGGTTGAGAATGAGATCAGTCGGTTGGCGGTCTGGTACAATCCAGGTGGTGAGACCTCGCGAGGCATGTTGGCAACGGGTGCCCTCGAGAAGGGAGTAACCAATGTGCGTGTTGATAACGGAGAAGAGTGTTCACTTATTATCTCTCTACAGGACGAGTGGACTCGCCTCATTTCCAAAGCTTGGACCCTGTCTCCCTCCATGGCCGTACACATGGGCGAACGGTTCAAGCAATTCACGGTTCAGAACGAGATAGGTAGATTGGTTCGAAGCAACCCTAAAGCCGTGGTGGATGTGCCAGAGGCTCTGCACTATCTATTGGGCGAGAAGCTTTCTCAATCCAATTCTGGCGCACTGAAGGTGAGTCAATCCATACAGTGCCTGCTGACGAATGCAGTGGCTACCTGTGTGGGCGGCCGTACCGCCCGTCACTGCCTTGGCGTACTTCCAACCTCGATTTGGGAATCATCCACTCATCCTGCAATATGCCATGCGTGTTTTGGAGCAGTATCCAGTCGAGTTGACATTCTTCTTTGTACCGCAAGTAGTCCAAGGGCTCAGAACGGATAGGTCTGGTACGTCGGCAGACCCTGCTTAGCGTGCAATACATGCTCACTTTCACAGGCTACGTCGAGCGTTTCATCTTCGAGACATCTAAGATTTCGCAACTTTTCTGCCATCAGATCATCTGGAACATGAAGGCAAATATGTACAAAGATGACAATGCGGTGAGCAGCGGTATCTATGATGTGGCAGGATCTGGACCTGACCATGCGCAGACCGAACCGGATTCGATGAAACCGATGTTGGACCGGATGATCGACATGATCGTCGCTGATCTCTCTGGCAAGGCCAAAGCTTTCTACGATACAGAATTCACATTCTTCGACGCTGTCACCTCTATCTCCGGCAAGCTAAGGCCATTTATCAAGGCGTCAAAACCCGAGAAAAAGGCAAAGATCGATGAAGAAATGGCCAAAATCAAGCTCGAAGTCGGAGTCTACTTGCCCAGTAATCCTGATGGAGTGGTTATCGATTTGGATCGCAAAGCTGGTCGACCACTTCAGAGTCATGCAAAGGTGAGTCGAGGTGGCGTTGTCGATCGTTGACATTTGTACAGGCGCCATTCATGGCCACGTTCAAGGTCCAAAAGGAGAGACTTGACATTGAGCCTGATTCGTCCAACGACTTGTCTGACGAGAAGGCCTTGGTAAAGCGCAAATTTGATACGTGGATCTCTGCCATTTTCAAAGTCGGGGACGATTGTCGACAGGACATGCTCGCTTTGCAAGTCATCGCCATGTTCAAGAATGTCTTTACGCGTATTGGATTGGTTCTATATCTGTTCCCATATCGAGTGACAGCGACTGCTCCAGGCGTGAGTTGTTGATTAGTCGAGGCATGTCCCAGGATGTTGACAATATGCCCGGGCCAGTGTGGTGTGATTGACGTCGTGCCCAACGCAACATCGCGTGACGAGATGGGTCGAGCTAAGATCAATGACTTGCTCGCATACTTTATCGACAAGTATGGCGGTGTCAACACGGTCACTTTCCAAAAGGCCCGATTAAACTTTATCCAATCTATGGCGGCCTATTCTGTTTCATGCTACATCTTGCAGATCAAAGACCGACATAACGGAAACATCATGATTGACGGCGAGGGGCATATTGTACATGTGGACTTTGGATTCTTGTTTGATATAGATGAGTGGTTTCAGTTTTCTAAACCCCTTAGTGTGACACTGACATTGGAACCGTTCCTTGTCGATCTCACGTCCAGGAGTGAGCCCGTTTCGTTTTCGCATAGTAGAGAACCCAAACTAAATCCAACTTTCAAGGGAATCAAATTCGAGCCAAACTCCTTCAAGCTGAACCACGAGATGGTGGCTCTCATGGGCGGCCGAGAATCCCAAGGATACAAAATGTTCACTGAGCTCACTATCAAGGCCTTCCTTGCTATCCGACCACACGCCGATCAATTGTGCGATGCGTGTCATTTGATGCTTGGGACTGGACTTCCTTCCTTCAAAGGTGAGGGAACCATCAAGCGCCTCAGGGATAGGTTCGCCTTGCATTTGAATGAAAAGCAAGCTGCAGAATTCATGATGGGTGTCATAAGAAACGCTCATGAGAATGTGAGGAGCAATGTGTATGATGGGTTCCAAAAGTTGCAAAAGTGAGTTTGGAAGGGGGGTTCAGGCAGTGTCCGTCCACATGGAAGAAAAAGCTGATTCAATGAATAGTGGAATTCCTTACTAGATTGTGCGTGTGGATTTCGGGAGTCAGTCTGTCTCATGCGTAATGTCATGCCCTGTCCTGCTCTTCACGATAATGCATTTGGTCCTTGCATTCCGAAAGGGGGGGGGGGGGGGGGGTTGTGGTCAGTTGGTGATCATCTCCGATCTGACGGACTTTGTCGAAGTTGGGACGTTGCGATTTCCGCACCTCGTAATCTTCATCGTCTTCGTCTTGCTACGAAGAGGTGGAAGCTCGCTGTGCCGACTTTGAGATTCAGTCTGGCGACTTACCACTATTTCCCGCGTCAAATATTGAAGCCAGCATCTTCCACAACACTCCGGGGACACCCCTCCTTTGAACATCTCATCGGGACAACACTCGCCTGAGCAGGACAGCATGCCTTTGACAATACAATACGGCTCCCTGCTTGAGTCGGCTTGGGGACAATACATGCCCACAAGCTTAAGGGGTCACGAGAGGGACAAAGACACGGCTGGAGGGACAACGCACTGACTGGGATGTTGAAGCTCATATGAACGCACAATCCATCCGATCAACCAAGTAGTCTCTGATCCTCGTTCTCTAAACACGTCCAAAGCCTCCCTAATTCAATTGACACTGCCCAATCACTTCAGCCACAGAACTACTGAACATTTAAAGCCGTATTCGACCAGCCCTATCCCTAGCGAGCCGATCGGCAACTCGTGGTCCGGTGTGAGTTCAGTGACTGAATTCTGAGCCCAACCCTTCACGAGCTACTCAAAGCCCATTCTGGCTTCTCGCTTCGCCGGGATCACCGAGAAAAATGCAAAAGCTGACCATGCCATGACCTGAAGCCGTACGGATACTACTCTCGTTGTCCTGCAGACTGCTGTGACGATACAGATTGTTCATGTTGCGCTGCTTGCGATAGAGGAGGTGGAGGTGAAAGAAGGGGTACATGGCAAGGAGGTGAGTCTTTCAATGTGTTGTCTTCGTGTGTGCGGTGTGTGTTGCCTCGAGGCAACCGTCTGTTCGGACGGATCTTGATCTTTGGGAGACCTACTTCCAAGCGAGGGGTCATCAACTTCACTCGTCTGCCTTCCTTCTTCTCTCAGGACATCTGGTCTATTCTCTTCCACTTGGTAGAAACCTCTTCCGCCACCTCTCCTCGCCGCTCTCATCTCTAACCGGGATCGCCTCACAACCTTCATCTCCGTGCCCCACTCTCTCGAGCGGTGTAAGCCCTACTCGTGCGATGTCACTGGGCATCACGCTGACATGTTCATCTTCTTACTGCAGGTATCTATCCCCAAGCTTGGGCCCATCATCGCGCAACTACCATCGTACCTCACCGGCTCGATCATCACTCAACCCATCCCTAGTCCCCCGCTTCTGGTGCCCTCGTGCTTCTTATGGCTCACCCACAGTCTATCCATATCATACTCCAATCGTTCCACTTCAACGTCTCGCTTCCGCGCCTACGTTGCCTACAGGCTCAGACCTTCCATAGGGTATCCTCTATCCAGTCAATTGTTCTCACTTGGACCTACAGCTGAAGCTCCAGCTATTGTCGTGCCTAATACTCGAGGCACGCCACGTCTATCGCAAGGAGAAGCAAGACTGGAGAATCATCGTCAAAGCCGCTCCACACCGTCACCTCGCTTGTCTTCGTCTTCTCCCAGGTACCAAGGAAGAGTCTGAGAACGCTCGTTAGGTCCACCCTCTGCAATGCTGGAGACGCATGACCGTCGATCAGGAGTCCCACAGCATAAAACTACCCATCCGCGGACCCGAAGGTCATTTTCACGAAGAGTATATCGCTTTTCAAAAAGCATCAATCGGCCCCTGAGCATCACTCGTTCGAATCTCCACCGCGGGACAGGGCGTTATCAGACCTAGATAGTGGCTCTCCTCGTAGACATCATCGACACCATTGGCGAGACCGAGACGCAGAGCATGCGCTTGACCGACATGAGTCATAATGGCAGCCATAAGGCTGCACCGTCCGTAGCACCTTCTGTCACATCACGACGGCTAAGACCAACATCTCATTCTCATCATCCTCAACACCACCATCTTCGTCATGACGATCAGGCGGGACAATATCACGCACACCCTCATCATCGTCACCATCATCATCATCAGCAGCAGCAGCAAAACGGATCAAGTCATACGGTGCACACCGCCAACACCCATTCTCACGGCTCACGAGGCGTACAACGACCACGTCGCTACTCAAATGTTGACTCGCTCGAAGAGACCGCCGCAAAACGACTCTCCTCCACGGAGACGTTTTACCCTCATCCGGACGCCGCCACAGCGGCATTTGAAGCGGAACGAGAGCAACGACGTCGACAACCTCGATCATCAACACCATTTGCGAGAGAAAGCGATTCGACTATCACGAGGAAGCACAGTCGCTCCTCCAATAGGTCTCATCGATCCACGCACTCCCACGGGTCTCGTCGATCACGCGGAACTGCGCACGATAACGGATCAGAGGATGAGTCTGACCTTGGGAGCGATACTGCCACTGTTGGTCCGTACGCTCAGCCTCGGTTCGGCCCTCACGGTGAGCCAATCGAGGTCATCGGTCTGGGTCGGAAGGAGCCCAGACACCGAACCCTGTCATCCAACAATCTCAAACCGGCCCTGAGGAACAGCTCGTCCATCGGACGACTGGCTGGTCCAACATTTGCCAGTGGAAGTGGAGGTGGCAGTGGTGGTAGTGGTAGTGGCACCAGACTCGAACGAAGCGCCACGTACAACCAACATAAACCTCTTCCTCAAGCTCCGTCCACGTACATAGCCCCTGTTGTAGATAATTTCGTCTCTCCTGAACCTCGGAATGTCCGTCAGGCTCGTCACATGTCTCAACCTCCTCTAAGCGTCTCCGCTGTCAATAGCCTTCGCTCACTATTCTCCTCATTCACTCTAGATTCTCCGTCGACTCATTCTTCGGTCCCTTCCTCACATGGCCAATTCCGACCTCCGATTCGATCCGTCCTGTCCAGGTCATTCTCTCGACGTCGACATGACCCTCTTTTACCCGTTGAAGACTTGTTCACGTATCTCGCCATGGTGGATATTCCGCCGTGGATCGACTGGCCGGGGGATACTCGGCCACCTAGCTCCTCTCTGGGGCTATTGAACGGGGATCTGTTTGGTGGGAAAGGTAAAGGTCTAGAGAGTATGTCTTGGGAGTGGAGGAGAAGATGGGAAGAAGCGGAGAACAATCGGACAAGTGGCAGAGCGCTGGTCGCTTGGGAAGGCCCTAGCAAACGGTTCGAGAGGCATATCATGGAGTGTGAGCTGGGGGTGTTGAGGATTCGTGTGTTTTCTTCTGCTGATCAAACTCAGGGCTGGAAGATAACGTTCCGTCCAGCCCGATTGACGAGACGAATCGATGGGGATCACAGTGAGCCTAGATTCCAAGGGAAACTTCTCTCTAACAACGAGGATATTTGCACTCGTGGCGGAAGGTTACGACACCCTCGAGTTTCACGACGATGCAGTGCACAATGCTGAAGATTTTGGTCTCTTGAGCTGGCTCACAGGATCAGTGAGTCATGTGATAGCTGATTATACTCAGACTGGTCAGGTACTTCAAACGGCCACTTCGGCGCTCCACATGCTCCGGTTCTCTTCCCAACACTTTTCCTTCCACCTCATACCCACTCCTCGACCACCCTACGCTCGGAACGGAACGCCTCATGCACTCTGGGAAGGATACGGTACTCTGGCGCTTGTCAACAAGGCGAATGAGCTCGATCGAGCGATGGTGTTGGAAGTGAGACCGCCCAGCGTGGTCGATTATGGCGTCATGAAAGAATTTTCGAGAGACGGAAGAGCTGGAGGTCAAGCAGGGTGGTATCACGTCGCACCTCAGTATTGTGTGGGTGATGCTGGACAGGCAAACTTGCTTCAGGCCCAGGTGAGGGGGTTTCGCACGCTCGAATGTTTGCCGTGCACTCAAACGGTGTCGTGTCTAGGTGTATGATAGCTGTGTTCAGAATCAAGTGTACTTCTTTGTCGTTACCAATTTGAAGCACTGGGTGTTTGGCCATTTCGTGAGCTTGGGTGCTCTCTATACGTCAGCTGACACGCTTCAAGAACGCCAACTACTCTAAATGCACCGTCAGTCCTATCATCGAGCGCAAACACCGCGTACCGTCCGTCATGCAGTGTCTGGTTGCCTGGATAGTACGATCAGCAGACGAGGTGAGTACAGTAATTCATGGAGATCAGTCCAGGTCCCAAGCTCATCCGGCTATTCCAGCGGCCCCGGGCAGGCGAGCAACAGCCTATCGACACGCCGTATCACCTTGCTCATGACGTGCCCCCGTATTCCCTTCCGCCAAGACGACACGGTCATCGGAGGCACGTTTCGCAGACCTTGGAAAGTCCAGTTCATCGACCGGAACCCCAGCAGTACCCATCGTACAGCTCTCTCCGCTCGCAGACGGGTACGTCCGGACCTTATCCGTACCCTCAGCCTCAATCCCAGTCATCGGACTTTGGCCCTAATGCCCATTCGCACATGCCGTCCATGGGATACATGAGCCAGTCCATGCCGATGAACGGATACATGCCACCTGGATATTACGACGCGTCAAACTTTTCGCCTTCGCCTGCTTCTTCTCAGATGTACGGTCAATGGGATCTGCACAGTGGTTCAGGTCAAGGATCCTTTTCTCCAATGCCAGCAAGCCCATTACCGGGGTATAATGGAGTAGGGTGGTATTCGGGAGGCATGAACTGGCCCGGGATGCGGTAGGGCAATATCTGTGCCCCATGTCTCACGTCATGTGTGATTCTTGTCTTGTCGATTGTCTGTTGATACATGCGATGCGCTGGTAATATACAAGATGGATGTCGTATGAATGCTGTCTGTATGTGCAGGTGAGAGAAACGAGAGACCTAGAAACCCTTTGGATTTGTTCTCATCGTCAACTGGAGAGAGTGTATCAGTCAAGGCCCCCTTCCCCCCCCCCCCCCCCCCCCCCCTCCTGTGAAGCATCTGTGCGCATCTATCACCCACCCTGGTCCACTTTGGGACGTGATGCTGTCCCTTTCTAAATTTCCTCCCCTTGTGACTGAACGTGGTGTATTTGTCTAAGGAAAGACAACACACAAGAGATTAGCGACTATCCCTCAAGATGAACAAACCCCCATCTCTCTCACCTTTTGGAAGCATCTCATGCTCTGTCGGTAATGCCAACGCTTTGTCCAAGGCCCTAAACTTGACGTTGCTCTCCGCGACGCACGCAATGACATTATCGACTCTTCTTAATCGATCTCTCTGTCCTTGTTTCTGAGTCGTTGACATGCGCCATGATCGTTTCCTTTGGGGGAAAAGGGTGGTGGTATCAGCTTTGAGATGAACCATAGGAATCGAAAGAGCCAGTAAGCAGGCAAGCAGCTCACCATAATAATCCTCCTAGAGCCACTTGACTCGATCTGAATGCTCCCAGCATCGTTGGCTTGGCTTGATAGTGACCCTTTGCACAAAAGGCATTTCAGCTGTAAACCAAAAACCCTTCCTCCTCCTCCACTCGATCGCCGCCGCTCACTGGTTTATAATGCCGATATATAATGCCGAGTGTGGCACTTCAGGAACGGTCAGATATTTCCAGGCACGGGACAGAGAAAAAGGGCCGGCGGGGCATCATCATGGTGTGTGGGATTCGAACAGTGAGAGAGAGAGAGTGTGTGACAAGGGGGGGGGGGGGGGCTCAAGGTTGCTTCCACTCATGGCGTGAAGTCAACTTTCATTCATCGTTCACCCTGACATCCCCCACCGTCCCTGGGCTCGACCTGCTCAGTATTGCACTACGAGGCAAACGTATAGGAGCTGATTCCTCCATGACTCTCGATCTTCGCCGACCAAGTGTCATGTCGCCTCTTCTGTCACCATCCATCTCTTAACCCCCTCGCGTGCCTTAAAAATTCTCCCCTTTTCTTTTTTGCATCATGGCTCATTATATAAGAGGGGGAGATCTTCCATTCCCTCATCGTACATACCATCCCATTCTCAGAGAGAGAGACATTCATACTACTACTTCGCCATCTCATAGCAGTCGATACGTCTCAGCAGCAGCAGCAGCAGTCTCTCGGCTCACTGCTCGGATCATCTGAACCCCTTCCCCCCCCCCCCCCCAGTCACAGTCCCTGTCCGCACGCCCCCCTCCCCCGCCCCCCGCCCCTTTTTCCCTTCTCTCTCTCTCTCTCTTCTCCCCTAAGCTGCATCATAACCTTGTGAACTCTAAAAAGGTATTGTCGCCAACTCGGGTCGTTTGGTGTCTCTTTCACTTTCCCGGACGATCAATTCGATACACCCCAACCTATAGGAAGTGACCATGATTAATCAATGATATTGGCGGTATCGGAGGAGGCCCACTCACTCACTCCTTGACGCCTCGGTAGATCCGTCTTGCCTTCTTTCACGTAAATAAATTGGATCGACGAGACGACCATGTCGTCTACGCCTGGATCACCATCACCCCACAACTCTCCAGCACGACCCGCCATGTCTGGATCCGCAACGACAGAGACAGAGCCTCAAGCTCAGAGCCGTAGAGCAATGGTCGCGGCAGCTGTGTCGGGTCTTCAGCGTTTCAAGCAATCATGGCTCAGCATCATGTTGCTTAAAGGGGGTATCGGACTTGGTCAGGTGAGATACGAGCTCTCTGCTTCGGAAGACGTCCCCCGCTCACACTCATCCTGCCACGCCAGGTCATCGTTCTCGTTATCCTTCTCATTCTTGCCAACTTCATCCCCTCCCCTATCACTGGTCGTCCACAGACTCAGTCGTCTGAGGCTTGCCCTCGACCTCATCTGCTTCAAGCTTGGATAGGCGCCAGTCTTGCTCGACTCGTCATCTGCTGGAGCGCGAGTGTGTGGATGTGTCTGCGACTGAGGCGAAGATTGGCAGATGCGGAGAGACAATCAGAGTCGGTGGGCGAGGTCGAGGTGATGATACCGGCCACTGTGTGAGTCTCATGGCCGCCATGTCCCCTCCATCAATTCTGACATCGTTCATTCCAGCCGGTCGACCCACCGTCTCTCGTCTAATACTACAGAAACCACGCTCACGCCTTCCCTCACGCACTCGCAATCCTCTTCAACCGCCGCATCCTCCTCGTCTGCAACTCTGGCCCAGGTATGCAGTAGCAACAACAAGACAGATGACGTTCAATTGTCCAACACCTCTCCCAGCACTTTGTACGCCTCGCGAATGGGTCGCGAGTCAGATTATTCCCTCGATCAGCACCTCAAATACACTACCCAAGAGAAGAAGGAGACTGAAGAGGTCTTGGACACGTACGAATTGCTGGAGGGGTTCGGAAGGAAACCTCGACGTATGAGGACAGAGCAGACCCTTCAGGCCGCACCTCAGATCCCTGTCTCGGCACCTTCCCCAGCCCCAGCCGCTTCTGAAAGCCTTCAAGCCGCGAGAGACCTCGTCGCTGGTCGCGACACGCGCGGCACACATCACGTCAGTCTCGCGGATAGACTTGATACACTGGCCCCTAAGTGAGTCACGTCCGCATATGTTCACGCTGACCAATCCAGTGTTTCAAAACTGATGGGCGCCCTTTCTGCCATTCTGTTCATCCTAGGCAACGTCTTGGTCTTTTACCCCCCTCCCTCGGCCACCAACTCGACTTGCTATCATGCTTCGCCTTTGCTGTGGTGGGCGGTCATGACCGTCACGGGTGTCGGATGGTTTTTGATCGCTCAAATGTTTGTCGTCGTAGTCATTGTCGGCATCGGAGGGCAAGCCATCCTGGTAAGCATGAACACCAGGTGTCATGATGACGAGATACTAACAACGTGGCCAGGTCTTGCTTCGATCCATCGGACTTAGCCCTGCTCCTGTTCAAGCGACTCCGCGACCCGCACTACCTCCCGTCCTGACTGCGAAAGAGCTCGATCAACTCCCACTTTTTGTCTACCTGCCAGCATCCGCCGCACCGTCTACACCTTTGTCCAGGTCTCAAAGCAGGTTCGCTTCGCCAGCTGCATCACCCGCTCGAAAAGGTCGCCGAGACAACTCTACACCTCCCGTACCCGATTCACCCGTCAAAGCCAGTCCAGGTGGTCGGTCTAAATCACCTTTCGACCTCGATCGTCTCGCTCAGAAACCCTTGTATCTCCCCGAAGACAAGTCGACCTGCGCCATATGTCAGGAGAATTACGAGCCTCCGAAAGAAGCCCGCACGATCATGCTACAAGGTGACGTCTTGCGTCAACTAAGCTGCAAGCATGTCTTCCATGTGAGTGAAGTGGCGAAGCGATGCTGTGTGGACGCTTCACTGATGACTGCTTCTCAGTGCAAGTGCATCGACCAGTGGCTCCTGGGGGGCTCGGGCAATTGTCCATTCTGTAATCGTCCGGCGCGAGCCGGGGACACGTGAGAGCATCGTCAGCTGTAAGCATACCCCTATCATCCAGCCTATACATCATCAATTCATCATAATTCATAAGGAGGACGGACCTCTTGGGAACATTCTGTTACCATCCTGTAGCATAGTCACATATGATCATCTCCGGTTACATGCATATATTCTTATCCACGGATTGATCACATCGGTGCCACGTTCGGCGGCATGGACTGTCGCCGGGATTTGTGTCTTTGCGAAGTGCCACCCACCATTTGTTCCACCGGAAGGGCGGAGGGGGGCACGACCTGGTTTGGAGCTCTGTTGCTTGACCTGCACATACACGGAGAACCCCTTCAGTGCATGGTCTATAGTCACAGGTAGCACACCTATTTATCTTCTGGTATATACACTGGTCCTGGTCAACGGATACACGGAACAAAAATCAGAGCAGAATCTCCAATCATGGCTTTGAGCGCTGCAGAGCTGCAAAAGGTGAGTTGAAGTAGTCGAGTCGTGTTTCCGGAACAACTCTATGTTGACCGCCTCGGCCAGCGGCACGGGCTCGAAGGAGCTCCCGATCCGTTCCCAAGTCTCGGCGGAGGGGGGTCCGGTGGATCTTCAGCCCCATCTCAATCGTCAGCTTCTAAAGTCAACGGAACATCTTCTTCTTCGTCGAACACGGTAGACACTTCGTCTCAAGATGCTTTCCCATCTCTCGGGGCATCCTCAGCGGCACCTACAACTCTATCTAAACCTGCTTCGTCCATGTGGGCAGCCAAGCCTTCAGCTGTCAAAGCAGGCAAGTCCAAGCCCGTAGCTCCCGGTGGTTTAGGTCGATCTGGAGCACCTACAGTCGGTTCTCACCCTGTCAGCGATTCATTCTCTATGCCCGCCAATGAGATTGACACGAAAGCGCTTGGAGAAGTGTTGAAAAAGGTCACTGAACAGACGGGTGCCATTGTGGAATCATCGACTCAGATGCGAACGGGTCTCAAGACGTTTTTGATCAAGGCTGCTGATCAAAAGCGATTGGCGTACGCTAGGAAATTGATCGAAAGAGGTCTATCTAAAAACGTGACGATCAAGGTCGAAGTCCCCATCACGACGCTCGGAACGATCATCGGACCCAAAGGAGCTACATTGAAATCTATCACCGATTCCACAGGTTGCAAGATTGATATTCCTCGACGAGACACTCTGCCTTCATACGATCCTAAAGAAAGACGAGATGCCGGACCCGATGGTGATGAGGACGAGGAGGACCAGGACGATGAGGATGATGAACCTCTGGTCGAAATCTCCGTCTCTGGTCCTTCAGTCGCTTGTCAAGATGCCAAATCTAAACTGGTCGCTTTGATCGCTGGTAAAACATCTCAATCATCTTCATCTATCAAGACAATTCCTTCCTCTTTCTACCCCTTCATCGCCGGTCCCAAGGGTGCCAAGGCCAGACAATTGGAAGAGGAACTAGGTCAAGGCAAAGTAAAGGTTCACATCCCTCCTCCAGCCGTTTGGAAAGCTTTGGAGAGACAAGGCGACGAAGAAGGTGGTGCAGCCACGAGTGACCGTGACTTGTCTATCAAGGTCAAAGGTGACAAAGAACGGGTCAAAGCTGTTGTGGCCGAAATCCAGAGGCAATTTGATGAACTTAACAACTCGTTGCGCGACATCAAGTTGTCGATCCCTAAACGTCAGCACCGATTCCTCGTTGGATCCGCGGCCGATGACATCCTCTCGCAGACTGGCTGTATTGTCGAATTACCTCCCGTTGAAGACCCTTCGGACCTTTGTCGAATTCTCGGCGCTCAAGCCAACCTCGTTCCTGCCCTCACCCTCGTCATGGACAAGGCCAACGCTGTGGCCGTTGAGACAGTCGACGTGGTCTCCATTCACCGTCAGGGTGTTTCGGACCCACTTGCACATGCTCAAAAAGTCTTGCGATATCTGCAAAAGAGCTCCAAGCTCAGGTCTATCGCTGACGCTCATTCCGGTGTCAAAGTTTTCCCGCCTTTCGCCAGTGTCGTGGCGTCCAGTGGAAACGTCGTGATTGAGATTGTGGGCGAAGACAAGGATGCAGTCGCAGCTGCTCGAGAATCCATCGTATCGACTGTACGAGGTATCCCTCCAGCCGCTATCACCACGCTTGAGATCGATCCATTGGTTCACCCTGTTCTCATCGGCAAAAAGGGAACCAAGATCTCCTCTTTCGAATCGACTCATGGTGTCGCGACGGTTTTCCCACCTGTTGCCGACGACTCGTCAGAAGTCTTGTTGGTCTTCGCGGGCTCATTGGACTCGCTGCCCAGCGACAAGAAGGCTAGGGATGCCAAGCTTAAGGAACATCTGACCAAGGCTCGCTCAGCACTGGATGACCTTGGCAAAGACGCGGCCGATCTAAAGACTGAGACACTCACTGTCGACAAAAAATGGCACCGATTCATTATTGGACAGGGAGGTACCGTTCTCAACGCTCTCATAGGCGAGGACGGTCTTGTAGCTGTCAAGGTTGGATCTAAATCTGGTTCTACATCGACAAGCGAAGATGACATTGTGACCGTTCGAGGTCCTTCCAACGAGGTCGACAGAGTCGTCTCTCAGATCAAGCAGATTGTCGAAGATGCCAAGAATGACGACATTATCAATGGATACACGGTTGAATTCCCAGTCGACAAGAAACACGTTCCTCATCTTGTCGGCTCTGCAGGTGCTTCTATCAACAGGTTGCGGGATACGCTCGGAGTCAGAGTCAATTTCGATGATGATGCAGACAAGAAGAAGCCAAAGGCCACTTGCAAGGTGAGCATGATGAGTCCCATTCACAGCTGATACGGTACAGATCGTCGGCCGAAAGGAAGCTGTCGAAGAAGCCAGGCGACGACTGGAAGCCCAGATCGAGAAGCTTGCAGATGAGACTACCGAGACGCTCAACATCAAACGTGCTATCCAGCCTGCGTTGATTGGCGCCGGAGGTAAATACGCTATTCGACTCGAGGAGAAGTATGGTGTCAAACTTTCCTTCCCAAGAGACAACAAGGACGGTACGGCACCCACGAAGCCTGATGAGGTTACTATCCGAGGTGGTCGAAAAGGTGTCGCTGCAGCAAAGGCTGAACTCCTCGAAGCCGCTGCCTTCGAGAGTGAATCGAGGCAGAGTCTCGAGTTCACCGTCCCGTCCAAGAGTGTTGCTCAGATTGTCGGTAAATCCGGAGCCACGATCAATGCGATCAAGGATGAGACGGGAACCATGATTGACATTGATAAATCTGAAGCTGAGGGCAAGACGACCACCATCACTGTGAAGGGAGACAAGAAGGGTATTGCTGCCGCCAAGGCTGCCATCCTCGCAGTCGTCGATCAAGTCAAGGACGTCGTGACTGTGACCATGACTATTGACCCGAAATTCGTGAGTCTGGCTACGCATACTTTGAACCCCGCTGACGTTGTCCTCAGCACCGCTCGTTGATCGGACAGGGAGGTCAGAAACTTCGTGATCTTGTTGCTTCTGTTGGCGGACCTACCGAGGGATACAATCAAGCTGGTTTGATCACTTTGTGAGTTTGTCACACGCTGGCTTAGCTCACAAACATGCAGCCCCAAGCAAGGCGATGAAGCTACGGATCAGGTCAGACTCCGAGGAGACTCCAAGCTCGTCAATGCGATCAAAGCGGAACTCGAGAAGCAGGTCAAGGTATTGAAGGAAACGATCGTTGTCGGTGTTGTCGTGCCTTCGTCACACCACGCCACGAAGATTGGGCGTGGTGGCAGTGCGTTACAGGATCTGCAGAGGAAGACGGGAACCACGTGAGTCGAGGTGGGGCGGTGTCGGGCCCTCGACTTACTTGTTGATCAGCATCCACTTCCCTGGATCTCGACAATACTCCTCGGTTGGAGAACCTGAAAACGCGTCAGAACTTGGAGATGCTCCTTCGACGGACATTGTCAAGGTCATCGGTCGAAAGGAGGATTGTGCCAAGGCCGCGGAGCAGTTACAAGTGAGTGCACACCACATGAACCTGATGCTCACCTCCAGACCGTCACTGAGCGACCTCAACGCAAAGATGCCGGTGCTTCCTCTGACCTACCCTCCCGCACCATGTCCATCCCCAGCAAGTACTACCACGCCATTGCCGGCGATCAGTCCCTCTTGCGAAATGTCCGATCAGCAGGTGGATCCTTGGCCATGCCTCAAGGTGCACCTGTCAAGCCTACTATCCCTCGACCAGCCGCGAGTAACGGATCGACGTCTCTCGCAGCTAAAGCCGCTCGAATCGATCTGGACGCGGGCGATGCGGCGGCCGGCGATGATTTAGTCGAAGAGGGAGATTGGGAGGTGATTGAAAATTACCAAAATGCACCAGAAGGCGAACTCGAGTGGACCATCCGAGCAAGGGAAGAAAACTTGGACAAGGTCCAAAAGGTCCTGGAGGACGCTCTGGAACACGCGAAGAACGCGACTCACAGTGAGTCGAAGGACTATACGTCGCGATCGCGCTGACGCGGTGTGCTCAGTTGGTCTTTGGACTGGTCTTCCTCGATCTGCTTTCCCCAGAATTATCGGCTCAAAGGGAGCCACTATCTCCAGGCTGAGAGCTGAAACCGGGGCCGATATCCAGGTCGGTAAGGATGATGACTTGATCACTATCACCGGAGGTGAGTGTTGTGCCCCGTCTCATTCAGAAACTTGCTGACGCTGTTCCAGACGAGCAGTCAGTTCTTCAGGCCAAGGATGCCATCAGCGCGATCGTTTCTAGACCTGCGAAGTACTGATTTGGAGACAAGGCTGAGATCAACCTCAATTAAATCACATCATGCATATTTTTTGTCTGAATTACACCGATTGTTCACAGTAGATACCACAGGGGCAGCGGGTTTTGGCTGAAGAAATCGAGGATCATTGGCGTGGCATTGAAGCTCACTGGGTGATATGGTGGCAAGTGGGTGTTGTCGATATTTGGCTGTGTGCTTGGCCAATCGTGTCCGTTGACTGAATCATAGACCAAGTTGACGAGTCCTCCGCTCGTACAATTCGTTGTACTTCCATACTTGTAGATCACGGCGTCTTCTGCAAAGGGAACGGTGGTGTTTGTCTCGCTGAGACCATCTCTCGCTGCCCATTCCCTGATCCAATGAGGGATAGAAGGCAGACATTCGTCCTTTCGCTCGCCACCGTCATACGCTATGATGTTATCGGCTCCTCCATGGAAAGCGAGGATGGGCACATCACTCCGAGAAGCATTACATGGGATGGTAATGGTATCGGGGTAACAGGGAAGCTTGTCGATATAGTAGGCACCAGAGACAGGTGCGAATGCGGCGATACGAGATGAGAGCGTGGCATCGCATGCGAGGAGGTTGACGAATCCTGCTCCGTCTGATTTCCCGCTGGCTCCTATCTTTGTGAGGTCGAGGCAGTAACTTGATTGAACAGAGTTGAGAATATCAGTCGTGAAGCCTAGATCATTGACGTGGTCTCCAGGAACACCTTGCCATCTTTCCTGTATGGGATCACAAAAGCGTCGTCAGCGCTGGACAACCCCTTTGCTCGCTCCTCGAACCCACGTCGATCCCCTGAGGGTAAATGACAAAAGAGTCATTGTTAAAGTAGGGTTTGGTGAATTCGTCCAATTCCAATTGGTCCATCGCTGTTTGTAGTCCGCCATGGTACGACAAGATCAACGGGGTGGGTAATAGGGGATCATAAGTGGGAGGTACGAAGACGAGATACGACCGCGTCAATCCTCCGGATTCGATGGTCACGTTGGTGACGCTTCCAGGGGTCTGACCAGACGGTAGAGGACTGCCACATCCTGTACCTTGGCTGAGGATAGGAGGGAGTGTCAAGGCGGACGCGACGGGTGCAAAGAGCAACGATAGGAGCATGTTTCTTTTCTCTTTGGTCAAGTGTCAGTCTGAGATATGAACAGAGCTTTGCTCGACTAGCTCTATAACCTTTATATGCAGGCCTTCCTTGATCCCATTCTCCTCAGATCCCATGGGTTCGGTGCGGATGCCTCGAAACGCTCGGTTGTATCGGCCTTTGAAGCTCGGCTCGACTCGGTTGGGAATGATCAAAGAAGCCGAGTTGTAACGGTCTTCTCCAGCCGAGGAAACACTAGACCTGAGGCGCAACTACTCAAGGCAGTTCCTGTAATCATCGAGAAGCACGACACTCCCTCACGGCTCGACGCGTGGGCTAGGGCGCGGGCGCCGGCGAGGGAAGGGGCCCACGCAAGGGGGCTCCGAGAGCGTGAGGACCGTTATGATGGGAGATGCCTCAGGTCCCGGATCCGAGGCTATTTTGTATCCTGTGGCACGGTGGCTAGTGCAAGTATAGGCTGTATCTCGGACGAGCATCTATTCTCAGGCTGTCAAGCAGCGAACATAGAACGAACAAGCCCAAACGAAAGGCACATTGCGGAGCTTCGTGATTCCTCCAAGACCCTTGCTCTCAGGCCGATATGCATGAAAACTGGGTTCTTGGGAAGAAGCAATTCTCCCAATCCCTCCATTTCCGCCATCGACACACTCTCTCAAACACTGAATTTACAAGGCACACCAAGAGATATACTGGACCCGTCGACATCATCGAAAGGAGGTCTCAGACTCTATCGGATCGATCAGGCACGCCGGAAGAAGCCAGCCTCGTAGCTACCTTGGCTCTATTCATCAAGAACCTCTGACCGGCTCTTGATAAGCCACACATCCCTTCCGACCTTGGCATCTGCCTCGTCGGACTGGTCAACTCATCCCACTCTCGCATCGTTCAATATACTCGACGAGCTAGAGCTGTCCCTTCTGCCGTGGTCGGACAAGAGGATGTCACGTCGGTCAGTCATGCCAGTATCGGATATTCCGAAGTGATCGGCATGACCGTCAGCGGTTCACGTTGGCTCTCGCTCTCGGTGATGCTGTTCTTTGAACCTTGATTTGGACTCGATCGAACAAATGCTCTCGTCAGTGCACGAACCGCTGGAAATGATCTCTGTGGCCCCGCATTCGCATCTCTCGCCCGTGACTGTTTTTTGCCCTTTACGCCCACCGCCTAGAAGCTTTCGTATCGGAACCTCTCAGACTTCAACAGCGACGACCGCTTCGTCGGCCGTTCCCACGAGTCATGATTTTCTCTTCGGCCAAGGTCGATCAGTGGCTTTCAAATGACGTTTGGCAAGTAGCGATATGACTGTGACTTTTTTTACGGATATCTGGGATAGTGATGGCGCGCATTTCGGAGGCCTCTATGAGCCATACTGAGCAGGTGCATGTTGACTCGCTAGTGCCCGGTGCATGCATGCTGTACAACCAGAGTATATAGCAGCAACTTCGCTTTCCTCAGCAAATGAATGAATGGCCTGCGGTCCGCCACCAAAGAAACTGCGAACAAGTTGAGCGGTCGCAGCCGCTGCAAAGTTCTCGACTCTGGCCTGCTGGGAAGGGGGATGATGTACGTAATTCTCATGCACTGCAATTGCGTCATTTCACCGTTTCTTCGGAGCGAAAAATTCACCAGCGAGGCGAGAGAGTTGCAGGAATTTCCACTCAGCCAGCCAGCGACGAGGACGATGATGACCCAGTCCAGTGGCCAAGCTGATTGATTGATCCCTTCTTGTCGGTTCTGAACTCCTCTCACTGTACCGGCACCTGTTGGTCAGCCTAGCTGCGAGGCAGCAGTGCAGAGATTGGAGGGTCTCTGTCCGTCTGAGACTTCTTCTCAGATAATCCCCGTAATCGATAATAATAATTCCTCCCGCCGAGACAACGTGGTTCCAACATTGATCGAGGAATGATTCCAGGGCATATGTAGACGATCCGAACGACTTGGTCAGGTTCAACGTTTTACATTCAATGTCGTTCTTCATGTCCACCGGGGTCTGATCTACCGAACACGCTTGTTCGGGACCAGTTGCGGTCCGCTGCGGTGAGTTGGCAATTAGTCTCAATAAAGCTGCGGATCCCCCTGCGGACTCAGCCTCAACTATCGGCTGATCTTCATCTCAGGAAAAAAAGTTTTATAGGCAGCTCGATTCCAGGATTGACTGGATAGATTCCCCCTCCTCCCGAACTCTACATTCACCACCTGTTCAATACACACCTCCCACCATGTGGGCGAGATCCTCAATCCTCCTCGGCTTCCTGTCCATATTCTCCGTTCTCCCCACCTCCGTTTTTGCCGGTATTCTCACAACCGACGCTGTATCTTATTGCACTGCAGACAGTGCAGTGGACGTCCAGCATCTCGATATCACCTACCATCAATCTAACAGATCCGTCACCTTTTCATTCTCCATCCAGGCGATAGAATCAGACCTCAATGTGGATGCCTACCTGTACTTGTCGGCTTATGGTCGAGACATTGTCAATCTCACCATTCCACTGTGCAGCATATTTGACGGCATCATCTGCCCGCTGCCAACGGTAAACTTCACTGGTAGGTACGATAGCACTACTGTCCCTGACCAGCTCTATAGGCTACGGGACCTACCCCATCCCCGAGCAGTACACCAAAGATATTCCAGCACTCGCGTACAGCGTGCCTGATCTCGAGGCATATGCGCAACTTCAGCTCATCCGAACAGACAACAATCAAGTGGCGGCTTGTCTTCAGGCCACGCTATCGAATGGCAAGTCGACACGGCAGATTGGCGTGGCCATCGGAACTGGTGTTTTCACCCTCGTAGCCCTGCTGGTTGGTCTCTGGCATACTGGGATGGTTTACTCGCCTTCTCCAGCCCAATATAGATGGTTCGATATCCTCTATCTATTTCAAACGGCCGCTGCGTCGGGTTTGCTCAGTGTGGAGTACCCAACAGTTTACACCAGTTTCAGCAGAAACTTTGCTTGGGCTTTCGCCCTGTTCTACTCCAGCGACATGCAGAATAGCATCGACCAGATGCGATCTGATACCGGAGGTACAGTCGAGGCCGCCCCGGACAACCAAATTGTGAACAACTTGGTGACCTCGAATCTATACTCGCGAAACCTGGTCGATTTCAACTCGTTCACGTCGCCATTGGCTTTGAGGGCTTACATCGAGGAACGGGCCGCCGTCGTTCAGAGCTATTTCGATGACAACTCGGGTCTCGCTCATTACGTTGAAGCGATGCATTTCCGAGAGAAAAACGTTCTCGATACCATCTTCTTCTTTTACCTCGCTTTTATCGGCATCGCTATCGTATTTCACATCATTGTCTTCATCGTGGTCCTTATCTGTGCCAAGGCCGGAGCAGATTGGGCTAAGCGGTTGCGACAGATGTGGTGGGGATTCTGCGGAGGAAACGCACTGAGATTGGTAAGCCTGACGAGTCGTAACCTCATTAACGTTCAGTGCCTCATCGGATTCCTTCCTCTGTGGATCTTTGGCTTCCTCCAATTCCGACTGGGCGGGTCAGGCCTCTCAATCTTCTTCGCAGCGTTCGGCATCGCCATCACTTTCCTGCCTCTCCTGGCTGTGTTTATCCTTTCGATCCTCAGATCATCACGGACATACTCGACCTCGCCCAACATTTCCCGCCTCTACACCTCTTACAGATGGTTCCACTCTGTTGGCGTCTTGTACCGACCGTATCGCCAAAAGTTCCACTACTTTTGGTTCGCCCCTCTCATTCTCGCCATGATTGCCAGAGCAGGTTTCATTGCTTTTGGACGTGATCAGCCTTGGGCTCAAGTGATCGGTAACGTCGTCATTGAATTCATCTTGCTGCTTCTTTTGGTGATCACACGACCCCACAAGGATCTCAAAGGAGACTTCCTCATTTTCTTCTTGTGTTTCTGTCGTATGTGCGCATTTGGGCTCATGATCGCCTTTATCCCATCTGTCGCTGTTGGCGGTATCGTCAAGACCATCATCGGTTTCGTCATCATCGTCCTGTTTGGTGTCCCCACGATTCTCTTGCTCCTTGGACTGTTCTGGAATCTAGGTGAGCATCTGCCCCGAGAACTCAGGCTGAGACTTCAGGCTACGGGTACTGGTGGCGCAGAAACAAGCGCAGGATTGAAGATGGTCTTGAAGTCGACCGCTTTGTCGATTCCCAAGATGATCAGCAGGATCACCCTGAAATGCGCCAGTCTGTCGACGCCAACACTTTCGTTTCTGGTGCTGGAACATACGGAGCGCGACAGAGTGTAGAGCCATCAAGACGAACCTCCGTCATTGAGCCCATCGCCGATCGCGATTCTCGTGCCGCCCCCACACACTATGGGTCTCCAACAGGTTCAGTACCTTCGTCACCGGTCGGGCCAAACTCTCCCACTAACCAATTGAATGACCCTTACTGGCGCACGAGCGGTCCACCCATGGCATCAGCCGCGGCTTATGATAGAGCCGCATCGGGTGGAGGCCACTACGGCGACAGGTATCCTACAGATCGACCACTGAGTTCAGGATCGAACCGAACCAATTACTATACACCCATGTCTCCGCCAACTTCACCGATTCACCGAAATGTTGATGAGATCCCCAGAGCTAGCTGGAGGAATAGCGGACAAGGCACTGGTTACTTTGCAAGAGACGGATGATGGAAGAGAATCGCCTCGGAATCTATGTATTTATGTCTTTGTACGACCTTCTCGTTACGCGAGGGAACGGAGAAACACGATGCATCATTGTTTGGCATGCCCATTTCAGAGTGCTCAGCTTTCACCACAGCCTTCGCCATTGCCAATGGTTTTCTTATCGGTGTTCAAGAGGTTATATATTGTCAATCACTTGCTTTTTGTTTTGCTCCCGCGTGGTACAACGGTATTGCGCCAGGCCCGTATAGCACAGTGGTAGTGCGTTGCACTTGTAGATCATTCAATCTGACATGCAAAGGTCCTCCGATCAAACCGGAGTGCGGGCATTTTGCTTTTTACATCTCGGGAACATCTGTCGATGTTTGTGTCATCTTCTCCCCAGGAGAACCCCACGTTCACGAGCCTGGACAATGATAGAGTCCAGAAGGAAGCTGTAAAGCTACATATGAAACGTGATGCGTCATTCATGCTACATGCCCAATTTAATGACTGCCTCGTTCGACAATATACTGTGCTCTCTCGAAAGCCCTTCGACATCCAAACCTCATCTAATCCCAAGTGAACATGTACAATGGCTGCTCATAGTAAATGTCGTTTGAGTTGCCATCGTAGAATTTTTGCAGCGTATAGGTCAGGTAAATCTGCTGGCTGTTAGAGGACATCTCCGGATGAGCTGCTACGCTGTAGGCATAACTGTCCCCACTGGGTAAATTGGCGATCTGAGTAGGTGTGGACCAAGGTCCTTCTGGACTGCTGGCGGAGGAGACCATGACGGTGGCTCCGATGGCACCCGTGGGTTGCCCAATCCAGAGGTAGCTGTTGGTGTAGTCCGAGTAGAAGAAAGTGCCACCTTTGCCGAACTCTCCGTCCAACCAAGCACTCTGGTCGTCGACCTGGGCCTGTGTGGTGGACCATGTACCGTCGTTGTAGTAGTACTCATAGGTGGACAGATCGGTTGGATTGGAGCAACGGGCGAGCGCGACGGGTTGGTGTCCGTTGTTGCTCTTAGATAGGCCTTGACCGTAAAGGTAGAGCTTCCCATCGAGTGTGCCAGTGATACCTCCAAAGTCGCCATAGTTGAAAACGCCGTCAGGGAACCAGTACTCGTTGATGAGCTCGACGGATGGCAACGAGTTCGAACTGCTGCTTGAATCGTAATTGATCTGGTACAGAGACGTAGGGAAGGTGGAAGCAAGGTTGGTCAGTCCCTGAATGTGTGTTCGCATCATGTAAACGTAGGCAGTAGCGGAGCCATCGCTGCCTTGGTATACGTATGGAGGAGAATCAATCCAGAGGGGATATCGAGTGCCGTCAGAAGCACATGTACCACCCGTTCCAGCTTGGTTTCCATTTTGATCGCATTCATCGCTGGCGTAAGGGAGGAAAGAGGTGCTGGTAGTGTCGCCTCCATACATGGTCAACTGCGCCGGGTAACCACTGGTAGCCTGCTGCTGACCTTGGTTGGACGGGATAGGCACGAGGTGAGGCTGAGTGCCGAGCTGGTCAGACCAGCTGGCGCTGGAACTGACAAAGTCTCCCGCTTGACCGTTGAACTCGTCATCGATCGACTCGTCTACAAGAACCTGAGTGTCTCTGCATACCCATAGGACTCGGCCGTTGATCAGGGATGTGGCACTGACACACGAATCACGTTGATAATTGGGGTCGAGGGAGATGGCAGCGAGATTCGACTCGCTGACTGTCGGGTTGGTGGTTCGGGTGACGAGCTGCTGGGAACGAGTTGTGGGCAACGCCAGCACCTCTGACCCGGCGGCGAGGACAAGAACAAGTTTGGCAAGTGCTGCAAGGATGGACATCGTGGAAGGCAGCAGATGGGCGGTTGAGGGAGGCGTGCTGTACGTGCTACCTCATGCCACAGATTATATAGAGAGCCACACATCCATCTCCATGGGGCCCTGGGGCATAAATCAGGCTTAATATTGGGCCCCCAATCGAGGATACGATTCGGGGTGTTCAGTATCGCTTGCTTGCATTTAATTTAGATGTCCGAGAAGAACAGAGTTACGATCTAAAGCCTAATAATCAGCCACAATTTCAGCTGACGGCGGGGCCCGGCGGAGACGGGGGAGACCAGAAGCCAGAACGACACAGCGGTGCCATTGGGCATCCCAGGATTTTGTGTTCTCTTCCGTTGGCTCGCGCGAGCATACCAGATCCCCATTTCAAGCTAGTGGACGCCACACGAAGATATCGAGCTCCGGGGCACAAATGCGGCATTTGAGAGCGGCAAACGACACATGGAGTCAAAAACCAATATGAGCATACAGCAGCTGACGGGTTGTTGAGTGTGGCTGAGGGCTACGAGGCGACGGACAAGGCGGAATGAGGCTGTATATGTGACAAAAGTAGCCTGCCGGCCGGAGTTGATCACACAGGATGTTCAAAACATCGTTCACGCCTTGATCGGCGAAACTCGGTGCAAGCGCGGGGAACATTGGTGTCCATTGCCTCCGGGATGCGGCCCGAGTGATTTTACCGAGAAGTGATGCAGCGATCGGGGTTATGAGATTGAGTGGGGCATGCGTTGAATCTTCCGGTCCCTTGAGAATGTATGAATTACAACTGGTAGCCCCAGGACACTGTGCAAATGGGACGAGTCTCGACAGACAGTATGAGCATGCAATCGCCTCGACGTGACACGTGGGACACACTCGATCCCGGGATCTTCCGGCCGCATCCACATGTCATGACGCCATTGTGATTTTTTGGCCTTTCGAGGTGGTCTGGTTCGTATCAGCTGCGAATCCATCCGATAAATCACTGACAGCTTGATACAACGCTGCTCACACCCGACAGTGGAAGATGTCGAAACAACCTTTGAAGCTCGCGCTGACAGGTGAAGCACTGCTAGACAGCGCACGTTACAACAAGGGTACTGCTTTCACGGAGAAAGAAAGGGCAGCATTCGGTCTCAGAGGGCGACTGCCTTTTGCGTGAGTGAGGAGAGCCAATGCGCTGCGACCTGACCTCTTTGCAGAGTCAATACGCTCGAACAGCAGGTGGAGCGAGCTTACGCGCAGTACAAGGATCATGATGTTGCCATACGTCAAAATGCGTTCCTGCAGAGTCTGAAAGGTGACAAACGGCTCACCAGTTCAGATGCGACTGACGTTCTTTCGATAGCCCAGAACTGGACCCTTTTCTATGCCTTGATCACCCGACATCTCGAGGAAATGTTTCCGGTGATCTATACTCCGACCGAAGCAGATGCTATTGCCAATTACTCGCACCTGTTCAGGCGAAGTGAGGGACTGTTCCTCAGTCCCCCTTCGGTAGACAATATGGAGAAAGACTTTTTGGATGCGTGTGATGGCAGGGTCCTGGATTTGGTACATCTGTTTGCCCTTTGGTGACGCTTTGCTGAGCAATTCCTCAGATCGTTGTGTCAGACGCAGAGGCAATCCTGGGGATTGGAGATCAGGTGGGAGCCTAGAGTCAACGACACTAATGTCCAGGGATCGGGTGGAATCGGTATATCGTCCGCGAAGGCTGTCATCTATACACTGGCTGCGGGAGTGGAGTCAGTTAGGAGACTTGGCCATATCCGTCTTTTGCTGAATGGACTGTCATCAGCCCCGCCAAAGCATTGGCGGTCACCCTCGATGTCGGCACGAACAACGAGAAGCTTTTGAAAGACGACCTATATATCGTGAGTGATTTCATCTACTTCACTTCCATAACATCCCCAGGGGTACAGGGAGCGTCGTCTACATGGCCGCCCGTATGACGATTTCGTGGACAAGTTCGTCGGACTCGTCCGTAAGCATCAGAGCAAGGCACTTCTACACTTCGAAGATTTCGTGAGTCCTAATGTGAATGAACGACCTCTGAACACACAGGGTGTATCGAACGCCCAACGGCTCTTACAGCGTCACCGGTGGGTCTCTGCTGGTTCCCACATTGTTTCGCTGACCGGGAAAGCGACACTCATCCTATCGTAAGCATGAGTCCTCACTCTCTCTGACAGTTCAGTTCAATGACGATATTCAAGGCACCGGTGCTGTAACAGTGGGTCACTAGCATTTTTCTGTCTCATACTCTGTAGCTAGCCGCCCTTCAAGCTGCCATTTCCGTGACCAGTTCCAAAGTGAGCGCAGCGGGCCCTTGTAATTAGCTCACGATTCTCCAGCTCCAGGATCAACGAATCGTTGTTTTTGGCGCAGGCTCAGCCGGACTAGGCATCGCAAGACAGCTGCGAGATGCCATGCGAGTCGCTACCGGCCTCTCCAAGGAAGACGCAGCCAAGCGCTTCTGGCTCATCGACAAATACGGCTTGATCAAAGAGTCCCTCGGAGATAAGATCCGAGACGATCTGGATTCAGAATTCATCCGAAGGGAAGACGATTGGGGTACGGATGAGAACCAGCTGGCCGAAGTCGTCAAGCGAGTCAAGCCCACCGTCTTGATCGGAACTAGCACTCAGCCTGGATCCTTCACGGAAGGGATCATTAAGGAGATGGCAAAGCATGTCGAGCGACCGATCATCTTTCCCGTGAGCTAAGATCGAGATGGCCAAGGCTGACAGCTTCGTAGTTGAGCAATCCTACCCGTCTACACGAAGTCCAGTGAGTCTGGTCGCCCAGTCCTCCATTGACCTATACAGACCAAAAGATGCTAATGCATGGACGAATGGTAAAGCGTTGATCGCCACCGGCTCACCATTCCACCCTGTTGATATCCCCGGCAAGTCCAAGAAATATGTCATCGCGGAGTGCAACAATGTCAGTCGAAAACTCGTGCTTGATTGCTCGTGCTTGATTGCTCGTGCTTGATTGCTCGTGCTTGATTGACCCAATTCTAGGCTCTGATTTATCCGGGCTTGGGTCTCGGGACTATTCTCTCGCGAAGCAAGAAGATGACTGACAAGATGATTATCGCCGGAGCTCAAAAACTCGCAGAGCTTGCACCGGCGCTAAAGGATCCAGATGATGCTCTGCTAACTCCTTTCGGAGGTGAGAAGGCCCCGCCTCGATGCAACGCTGATGTCCGCCCAGATGCTGCCAAGGTCAACTTTGAGGTTGCTCTAGCAGTGATCGATCAAGCTGTCGAGGAAGGTGTCGCTGATGCTGACGTTCCCAAAACCGACCGAAGGAAGTGGGCAGAAGCACAGCTCTGGAAGCCTGAATATGTCGAGTATGAGTATTCAGCACAAGGGCTCTAGATAGATCTGAAAGCGGAAAATAGCTCAAATCTAGATACAGATGCATCCCGAATGCTCTGCGACAAGGGATCAGAACAATGCTGGAAAAGGCATGTCTTTGGTTGGTTGCAGCCTAGCGGGTCAGTCTGGCCTACCGCGAAGACTCACCAATTCTTCTCATCGTATGTATATCCTTCGGCACCCTCGATCATATGAAATGTGTAGATCAAGCGAGATTTGTCCGAAGGATTTGGTGGAGATCGGTGCATCACATTTCCTATCTGTAAATGTAACGCTTTGGTATGCACCACTTACCATGTATTAGCACGAGTGTGCCCGCTGGACAAGCTGCCTCAACCCAGCCGTCGAGCTCATCCCATTTTTCTTCATTTGGCTCAACGCCAGCCACCGACTCAAATGTCGTCCCTCGACCGCTGGGGTCTTTAACAAAGCGTGATGAGACCCGGGCCGTCTTGTGTGATCCAGGGAGGAAAGACTAGCGCCACTTTAGCCTTGTCATTGGGACTGTCAGGGACCTACTAAACACCCATTCTGAGGTGTACACTCCTCGAGAGCTATCCAACAGCCCACGGCACTTGGGGGATCGGTGTACAGGAAAGTCGAGTCATTATGTGATGGAACTTGAGCATATGTCAACAGCCTTCATGCTGAGGCCAGGACCCAAAACTCACCTACACCACCTATTCTAGGCTGCTTGCAAATGATCATGCTCTGCAAGACTCTTGGACTCTGATGGTAACCCAAGTCTTTCGCTACGTTTGCGACCTTTTCGTTTTCCAACGTGTATTTTCGGAAGACCGGGTCGAGCTGGGCCAAAGCATGGCCAATCTTGTTTATGGACTGAGCGGGAGGTACGAGAAGCTTTGAAGGAGCTCCAGGGGCGGGCTTGGATAAGGACGATGGTTCGAGAAAATACCGGATCTGAACAGAATGGATAAGCGATTCCCGGCTTGGATGAAGCCTCCTTACCTTGTCATTTGATCCGATGAAGTAGTCATCACCAACATGCTCGCCGTCGGCCTCCGTTTTGAAGGTGGTCTTGACATTTACTCAGTAGCATATCATCAGGCCAGATGCTGACCTACAAGAGGATGGCCCTCGACATCGAATTCGTCCAACAGTTGACGAGCTCGGCCCAGCATCTCTTCGGTTGCAGCTTGCTCAAAGAAGCCAGGTAGAACGAGATAGCTGACAATGAGCTCTCAACAAGATTTGTGGCTCACCCATCTTGCCTCCAGCGCTGCTTGTCCTGTGCTGATAGAACATTCATCATGAAACAAGAGGTCTATCAGCAAACCGGAACGTACTGCCAATTCGCAGATCTGGATCATCCACGCCAGTCGGAACATCGCCGAAAATTGCCGATATCACGTGGCCAAAATCAAACGCGTGTGATCTCGCCGAAGCTCTAGCTAGATGAAATGTTCAGTGCGTCGTTGAAAGATCTACATTTGCATATACTCATATACTTACGGAGGTATGCCTGACGAGGCAGTAGAAGAGCCCCAGTGGGGACGTCGTGAGTATCGCTCTCTGGACAGAGAATCCTCGCATTTGCTGATCCCGGGCAGTTTTACTCACGGGTGGCATTCATTGGTAGGTTACCGTCTCCTTTGTCAGCCTGACTTCTCCAACAGGTCGCTCAATGGCCGCAAAGACAGGACGGCACAACAATCTAGAGACTTGCATATCCCTCATATCCTGCGCTCTTTATGCGATGCTAAAATTGTCAAGATAGTCACAGGACATGCTGCCAACTACGGCATGGCTATAGATAGTGGGTTGAGAAATGACCGCTTCATCTGAATTGACCCGATCAGTCCGAGGGAACGCTTGGCTCTTCGGGAAATGTCCAGCTATCGCTCTAGGTGCTAATACGAATGGCGTCATATCTGAGCAAGCACCGCTCAAGATACGACCGTTTGAGACGGGCTGCGGATTAGGCGTCAAATTCGTCGGAGGCGCAGCTGGCAAGGGCAATGCATTCCTCCTTGACAGCGATGGCGGTGCTTGGGGTTGTGGTACCAATCACTGTGCTCAGCTTGGCTTGGTGAGCAAGACTGGCCATTGTGAAGCTCATGAGATGTCTATCTGATCTCCAAGCAGAACCTGCGTCGCGAGGCTGAAGTTTCCGAATTCACCAAAATTGACGGACCATGGGGTGATGCCAAGATAGTTCAGGTACATTCATCAAGCTCAATGTCGATCTGACACTCATTGCTTGAAGATAACAGCAGGCTGGACATTCACCTTGTTCTTGACGGAGGAAGGGGAGGTATACGGCGCCGGATCTCACGAGAGCGGACAGCTGGGCAGCGGAAAAACTGGTTGGTCTGAGTATCTTCGCCTGCTACAAGCTGAACGATTCTCCAGGAGCGAGGCTTATGAAAGCAAACAAGATGTACCATGATTTGGAGTCATATCCGAGTGTGTCAGCTAGATGTATCGGTCGCTCAGATGCTGACGGAAAGACAGTACTCATTCGAGGGCTGGAGGGACACAAAATTGTTCAAATTGCTTCTGGTAACCAACATTCCTTGGCAATGAGTGATGACGGGCTGGTCTGGGCTTGGGGCTGCGCTGGTTATTCCCGTCTTGGGTTAGAAGATACTAGAGACCGGTATGCGTCTCCTTGATCGTCTACGAGGAGAGGGTTCACTTACTCTGAAATCAGGTTGGAGCCCACCATGATTCCTGCGTTTGCTGGACGTGAGATGTCTCGAGCATCTGCTATAACTTGCGGTCCTACCAGTGAGTTAAAGCACAAATCACGGCTCATCTGATGCTGCCCAGATTCTGTCGTGATCGACCGCAGCGGAAGATATTGGATGGCCGGCAAGTGGAAGATAACCGGTGATGGCTCAACAGGACAGCCTTATTCATCGTTCAAGAATATCCAAGAGAGTGAGTACATTCTACGCATCGAGGCTCATATACCTCCAGTAAATGGATGTCGAGCCTTGAAGACATCCTCAGGTGGATGTACGCATTTCATTACTACGCCGACAGATGAGGACGGAATTCAGACGATTGGATGGGGTCAAGGAGTGGTGAGGATCTCCCAAGTCTAATGATCTACCGGGCTGACCGCCACGCGTAGCTTTACGGGGGTTAGTGGGTCAAGCAGAACTTTGCTGATGCTCCAGAGCTCGGCCTTGGTGACACAATGTCGAGCACCAAGCCCGTTGCGATCGAGGCGCTGGAGGGCGTCGATGTGATTGAGTACGTGTATATGAGCCGCCAAGCAGCTAAAGCGCTACAGCATCGCAGCTGGTGCTTTCTTCACCATGTTCCTTGCCCGACCTGGAGGGAAGCTTTCCGATCTTGACCGATATCCCGAGCATGTCAACTCGTCAGACATCTGCATTGTGTGCGAAGAGTCTGATCACCAATTGACACTGGAATGTGAAAAGGCAAGTACGTCGCAGGCCGCTTGAGATTAACCTTTGTCATAGTGCGATGAGCCGTATCACCTGTCTTGTCTGGATCCACCACTGCTGTCACTACCAGAAGGGCAGTGGTTCTGCCCGCAATGTATTGAGGACCAAGAGCAGGAAATTCGCGAAGAAGAGGCAGACGCCGCCGAGGCAGCTGAGCAACGGACAAACGGGGAAGATAGGTTTTCGCCCAGGTCTGATGGCGGCGAGATCCCACAAGACTCGCCGAGAAAGCGACCGCGAGTGCAAATATTGAGGAGAAAGCCGAAAGGTAAACAGCGCTGAATATGTGAAGAGAGCGGAAGAGGTACATGGGTATTCTCTAATCAAAGCACAACATATAGTAGTCCTCGTCGCTGTTCGTGTCTAGACGTCGTGTCATCAAGTGTTATCTTACAGCAACATTTTATGTGATCGTTATCCACAGCCAGTACTGTCAAGGATTAGATGGGTTGGAAGGTTATGACTCACCTTCTCAGTGCCCGGGTTATGGGGCACAAACGCCATCTTTGGTTGGAACATTCTGTCAAAGACTGACCTTATTTAGCTATGTCCATGTGGCTCGACTCACGGGAAGTCACCCATGATTTGGCAGCACTCTGACACGAAGGATGTGGCATGACCAACGAAGGATTGGTAGGAAACACTTCGAGCTGTCTCAGGCATCTGACAATGGGTCAGCACGAGAATGGGATGTTCAGAAGCCCCACCTGAATGCAACCGAAGGTTGAGGAGGACCATAGCGACTGACAGCACTGTGCGCTTGCCTCCACTTTTCATCCAGTGTAGCTTGACAACGAGCAGGATCCGGACAGTCTGGTCGCTGTGGACATGTCAGCGATTGACCGGTAAGGTGAGGCATATACTGACACATGTGTACTCCTTCTTCACATCGATACTGCCAAGTTTGAGAAGGCGCTCAAGGAACCAATTACGTCTGAGGACTGGTCAGAATCTGGAGCAAAAAGTTCTTGCAGGCACCTTTTGGATAGTTTGAGTTGAGTGATCTCGCTCAACATATCCATCTCCTCCGGAGCCCATGTCGCTGTGGACAATGTCAGTCGCCAGACCCCGCTACTGATGCGATCAGATTCACGCTGGTCCAAGACAAAACGGCTCGCTTCCCTGTAGAGCTCCCCGTTATTGTGCATTTCAGCGAGCATGAGGGCCATGACAGGTCGTCCGGAAGCATGAGTCATGAGAAAGCGCTCGCATAGCTTTTGCAATGCGGGGGTTAGCAGCTTCAGAGATAGGGCCAGAAGCTGCATCATTCTGCTCAGTCCGGGTCCTTGTCAAATGACGAGCGATGTACTCACGTCCTCGACGTTTGTCCAGGTGACTTTGCAGTCCAGACTTGGCTGTGTCAGCGCAGTAATCGAGCAGCGTAGGAATACTCACTGGGGATAACACCAGAAGAGAAAGTCTTGAAAGGCGGCGGCACTTTCTTCATGTAATTCGACTACGGCCTCCACACTAATCTGGGAAGTGTCTTCATCTGTCAACGGGGCGGGCCGATGTATGCTGGCACTGGAGAAGGAATGTCTAGTCCGAGATCTCTTTCGAGGGCTTCGGGGAGCCTTACGAGCGGTAACGATGGACTCGGTCTGTTGTCCCGGAGGGGTTAACGGTCGGATCGGATGCTCTAGCTGTGCCGTCGAGTTTCGATTCGCTGGATCAGGTATCTCACGCAGCTCTCTCAAGATCTCCGTCATGGAAGGATTGTCTTCTGCCGCATCCAGGTATATAGAAGCTTTTTTGGCATCTTCGTCTTCGTTTTCGCCCAAGGCAGGAGTGTGAAAACCAGACTCGATAGGTGTAGTCGGGTCTTCTGGCTCGTTTGACAAGCTTTTGACATATTGAACATGAGCAGCCTCCTCAGTATGCTCCCTGACAAGCGGTAGGTGGGGCCTGTCGGTATCTGGGGGTGATTGGACGTTGGAAGCACGCCGTGATGGTATGGTCGAGCCTGGTGGAGTCTTTCGACTGGTTTCGGCCCAGCTGAGGAGATAGATCAGTCCCTCACTTCATATGGGTCCTTGTTGACTCACCTCCCCTGTAGCAGACATTGGAAAAAGGGACTTGCAAACCAGAGCACTTCCTTGTGACACCAGAAGTGATACCTTCCAACGATGACCTTGACTCGACCTGGCAGAGCGGACCCAGGCTGGAAGGTTTCATGAACCTCTACAGTTTCCTCTTCCTCGTTCACTTCTCCGCTTTGGTGTTCTAGCAGCGAACCGTGTTCATCATCGTTGAAAGATCTTCTCAGATCCTCTGCAGAACGAGTCGCATGAGTATAGGTCCATGTGCCGATGCTCGGTGGAAGTGATGCGGATGGAGAATGTCTAGCGGTAGAAGTTGGTGCCAGCTGTGGGTGAGCGGGTGATCTTCTGGAGAGTAGACGATGAGAAGGATTGGATGGATTGGTCATGAGGACGAACAGCGATACTCAAAGACTGACATGAAAGGCGGTCTAACGCGATATCTTGCCGGGCGAAAGCCGCTCGAACGGCTTTAATTGCGATTTAGGTGGCGACCGCCTCATGGTCAGTAGTGTGTTCTCGCAGAAGGATGTTGATGCTCAAGTTGGCAGATATGTTTCCATAACTGGTTCAGCTCGACTTACTTACAGGCCCCTTCAGGAGGATGCTTAGGGTATTCAAGAGATCCATCTGAAGCGGTCTCACCACGCTGTCGTTCTTCACACCGATGTGGCGATCCTTGACATGTCTACAATGAAGCTCTGGCCAAGCATGTCCGTGTAAAGGAGCATGATTATAGGCTCGGACATCGTGAGCAAATCAGTTCCGGCCTCGATGCATCACTCTCTATGAGACGTTGCTACACAGCACGGCCCCAGACCGACCTCTAGATCTCACAAACATAGGCTACGAAGACGCACTATGACAGGACTCGATTGGACTACATCATGTCTCACAGGACCAACGCAATTCCAGCTCCGATGGCTCCAGCCACCGCAGCAGCAGTCAGACCCATGTTTGATGATCCCACCCTGGACTGACCAGCAGCCCCGCTCGTAGCAGCCGCGCCAGAGGATTCAGACACACTAGCTGACGTAGTACCTGATGGAGTCGATTTACCATCTTCTTCAGCGCTAGAATTTCCGACCAAGCCCACGCCGTATGCACGTGTGGAACGTCCTTCTAGGGCCCAAGTAAGACCGCCCATGAGGTGGTCAATGAAGGTATCGTTCTGCCAAGCTGCACTGCCAAATGAGCATGGTAACACTAGATGTTATTGGAGGTAGACTTGCTCGTGTTGAGATGTCCTAGCGAAGTGTAAAACGATCTACCGGCTCTTGGAGCGTCCGCCTGAAGGGGTAGGGCGGATTTCGGCGACTCAATGTACCATGCTTGGTTGCGTCAGTGATGAAGTGTCAATCACTAGGTGATGCTCACCGATCGGATGAGGTGTCCCTTGATCGGGGTAATCGCCTGTACTGCTGCCGCCGTCTGTAGTAGGTCAGCGAACCCCGAGCACATTTTGACCTACGTTGGTAGCTGTTCTCATCGACTGTCAAAAGGATGACTGCATCATTACTTCTTGGATCGGAGCGAAAGTTGTACACTTCTTCCTCCTGTGGATAAATCAATATCCCATGTTTGCACCTCGAAGAAGTGGCTCGATTGACTGACCCAAGTGAATCGATCAGGCAGGTTTTTGGTTGCAGGGTGTGTATCATTTAGGCGCTCGAAAGTCTTCGTTTCTTTAGTCACAAAGCTGAAGAGAGCATTTCAGCAGGACCCACTGCACTCTGGAGCTCAGGATGATAGTCGAAGAGCGCTGATTTCCCGTCAGTCATCTAACTGCCGCCCTTCAAAGTCCAAATTCGACTTACCGCCAACAGCTTGAGCGTAGTTCGTATCATTGTAAAGACAAGCACTGCCCGAATGAACCCCAGTGTATACCCCACCAGATTGGAAGAACGTTTGCAGGGCCGCTTGACCATCATCGTCGAGAACTGAGGGAATTCAAGGTCAGAATGACATCGGTGAGTGGAGGTTTTCCTTAGATGACATACCTTCTCCGCTATTTAAGGCAAACATGACCCCATCAAATTGACTCAGTGTATCGGTAGTGAACATGCTGGGGTCTCTAAGTACGGTAAGTTAGTCATAATCGACATTTCCACGTTACTGGTACTGGCGCCGCGCCCGATCATCACTCCGACTCGCTGCCATTGCGAGCGATGACACTTACTCTGTGAACGTGAAGGAGACATTCCACCGATCAGCCTGTTGACCTAGGACATCGATAGCGGCTGGTATGGATTCATGACGATATCCCTTGGTCGCGGTGTACACGAGGATGTGAGGCGTGGACTGGGCTGAAGTGGACATGATGAATGCAGCAAGGTATATAAATGCCAAGACTGGAAGCATGCCACTGTGTTTGATCGGCGGACGGTGAGGACGAGCAGAGCACTCGGAGCACGAGTGATAGGTCAATTTGGACCTCTGAGACCTCAGCAGCTGCGATGTCCGTCAAATTGACTTGCTCATAGAATCATGAATTGTGGATGACCCAATGTACAAAGGCTTGCCAGCTTATATCCGGGCCTAAAAGATGACGCTCAAATTCCCCCGGTTTTCGCCGTCATCCGCCGCCCGGGGGGATGGCTTGGAACTGCAGCCAATCAATCGATGCCTCCGATCTCGCAGCGAGGTTCATCACGAGAGGTCCAAAGAGACAGGATATGTCATGGTAAAGTGCATGCGTGCAAGAGGAGTGAGATGAGAGCTCCGTAAGACTCGAACATTATAAATACAAACATGAAGGATTGACGATTCTAACTGACGGCAGGGGCAGCGGCTTGCTCCGGCACTGCAGGCCTGGATCAGAACAGAGCAACTCCCATTGAACCCAGACGACTCACGCTGCATCTGCGGTATGGGCTGAGCAAACATTCGATTCATGAGAACTCCTACGCCTTGGGGCAAGAGGTCAGCATGAGCTGAGTTGGACAGGAATCAGGGACCACTGACCTTCAAACACTCCAAGCAGAATACCACATCCCACAGCTGACCCGAACGCTGATCTAGGACCAGCTATATCCAATATCAGCAATCCGTTCTGGCGGCGTCCGAGGAGTCGCGAAGGACATTATGCTCACCCCTGATGGCCAAACTTCCACCGGTTAAGAATCCTGCAATGATAGCGTTCCATGGGTCCTCCTTTTGCCTGTAGCCTTTGACGGCACAGTCATATGATGAGAATAGACCTCCCCAAACACCGAAGTTTCCTCCCAAGACAGGCGCACGGGCTTTGATAGCTGATAATGAGCCCACAAGACGTTCACCCTGTGAGGCGAGATCCCCAGGTAAGCGGCAAACATCGATTGAGTGGCACAAGTCGGCATGATGACGAAGGAAGAAAGCAATGTGGAACGGATAAGACGAGGAGAAACGCAGATGTCAGGTCGGATTTCTTTGATACCCTCAAACGCCTTTTGACTCACCCTTGGACTATTCCTCGCTCCCTTGATTCCGTGCCAGATGCCTCCTCCGATCGCTCCCATAGAGAACGCTCCACCAAAATCTGTTAGAATAACATAGGGACTAGATACCGAATACTATTAGCGCTCTGTCCAGGCCATGAGAACCAAATCAGACCCACCAGGGATCCCTTGAGTGATCGCCGTGAGACATGGTTGAGTTTGGAGGTAGTCCGGATGGTTGGTAGGCAAGGTAAAGCTTTCACGAGTAGGGAATGGATCAACGTAGGAACGTCGGATATACAGATCTCTGTTCTGAGTGGGTCGTAAAAGCTCCCTCCCTGTTGGCGTAGCTCTTCACTGTCAATCGGTTGGATGTCCTCAATGTTGAAAAGTCCGGAAGTCTCAAGGCATCTCGAAAAAAATATACAGAGACTCTATCGGCGGGATGGAATAAAGAAAATTTCAGGTCCAGTAGCGGCAGCATGAACAGCAGATTTGCTCTCAAGTTGTATCGTTTACATTCATTACATCGACGACGACTCAGAAGCAGGAACTGAGCCATCACTGCGCGTCTCGGATTCAATCAGGAGGGAAATTGCTGGTCCAGCTGCCTTTCAAAAAAAAATCCAATCGTGGTTAGCTCTCCGCAATGGCGGACACCAACATCATCTTCGAGGACAGGTTCACTGTTGATGTGAGCTGTTTTCCTCTTGACGGTGATATGAGAGGCTGATGCAAATCTCAGACTATAGATCAGGATGGCAAGAAATTTGATAGAGGTGAGAGATGACCTTTGCCATACGCTCTGGTCATTGTTCGAGGCTGACTTGCTTCCTCAGTATCTCGTATAACAGGCAAATCACACAACCTCTCCATGCACCTCACACTGGATATTGCGTCTGAGCTATACCCTTTATCTGAGAATGAGACCATCACTCTGGCAGTCGCTCGAAGTCTGGTTCCGGACGAGTTGGAACCAGAAGGCGAAGGGAGTCAAAATGGAGATGAGGATGCTCCGAGGAGAGTGAAGAGGGAATTATGGAGAAGTGGCGACCAGGGTCTAGCAGCGGACTTCGAGTATGTCATGTTTGGAAAGGTAAGTTGGCGAGAGTGAAGTGTTGAGATAATGTGTGCTGGCCGCTGAGCGTCCCTCACTAGATCTACAAATTTGACGATTCATTACAAGGGGAAAATCAGACGTGAGTCAGAACCACGGGAAGTGACAATGCGCCGAGGCTGACTTCAGGCATCCATAGTACCGCCTACTTTTCATTTGGTGGCTTATTGATGGCTTTGAGAGGATCATATAGACATCTGGCTGGCGTCGTACAGGGCGAAAATGTCTACCTCCTGATACGGAAGTAGACACTCATCACATGTATAATGATAACGAGCAAGCCCAAGCGTAAGAGCCTAGCGGGAGCGATGTGCGGTAGCAAGCTTCTGAAGCATGATGACATGATGTTGCATACCTCGTACAGGTGTCTAGAGTGGGTGAGGGCTAGTCCGCAGGGAAATCATAGATCTACTGATCCTTCCTGTCCTTGGTGACGACAAGAGACTTTCCAATCTCGAGCATTCTTGGAGGGACCTCGATCGATACCAGAGCCGTGATGCCAAGGTAAAGGAACGGGATGAAGACCAAAAAGGTGACGAGTAAACCGGTAATGATAGGAGCAGTGAAGAATTGTGCTCGTTGGAGGAGTGGAGCATTAGACGGTACTGGCGTATCAGACGGTTCACCCGGCTCGGGACTAGGTCGTTGAGGTACGTCGGGATCCTCCGGGTCCTCCGGGTCTTCTGGGTCTTCTGGGTCTTCCGGATCTTCGGGATCGTCTGGAGATGGCGAAGGTGAAGGAGACGGAGAGGGGAATGGGTACTCTTGGCGTTTGGAAGGAGAAGTCGGTGTCCCGGTGAGGATCAACAGGTCGTTTTCCGGTAGAGCCTCCATAGCCGTTTCGAGATTGCCTGAAAGTTTAGATCAGCAAGTTGTCCCGATATCATGTATCCATGCATGGACTGACTGTTGTTCGGGACGATCCTCCACATCATACTGCGTTCCCTTCCGTCATCGCTACACGAGCTGAAGAGTTCATTGATCGCCGCTCTGAGGGAAGGCTGATCCAGGCTTTTGACGTAAGGAACATGAGCGGTCGGAGAGCTCGATTGAAGCTTCAGAGACGAGACATGGGACTGATGGATCTAGCACTCGACTTCAGCAAAGCCAATCATCGAAGAATTGGTGTCAAATGGGGTGCAGATGGCGAATGAAGCTTTCGTTTTCTTTTGGACACTCACACCCTCAGAGTATGCGACTACCAAGTTGGTCCAGTCGCATCCCAGCTTTGATATACTAGCATACGCCTCATCTGCACTTAGTATGCTTGATTTGGCTTGAAAGGCCGAGATGTGATCACTAAAAAAGGACAAAATGGGTAAGCCAAGCGGAAGGAAGAGTACGATCGATCATACCAGACTCACGATGAAGACGACCATACGTATAAGGGAGAGGTTTCTTTGAATCCGTAGACTGAAGCAGGAAGCACAGCCACCGCTGCCGCAGCTGCCAACGAAGTCTGTATCCTCATGGCCGATGAGGGATGTATGAATGCTACCACAAAGAGCACAGATGCCTGGACTTATGCGGTCGATGGAACTCCCTTCACAACCATTATCGCCTATTTCCTCCTCATGCCCAAAGCGGTAGAAACGGGGTTTGTCATAGGCGCGCGTCGGTCGGCTATCCCTCATTTGCGCTAAAATGACTCCTTCTCTCCTCTCTCTCCAATTCCCCATTTTCGTCCTTCATCTTCATCTTGGTCTTTTCATCGTCGTTGAGTGGAAGGTTACAGCTGTAGAGACTCTCAAGCGCAGAGTCAAGATAAGTGAGAGGTGAGTCTCTACCGCGTTTATCAATCTCCTGTCCGCGCTCACCATCGCCCATTTCCCCCTCGTAGCTCTCGCCGATAGACCACTTCTCGAGTGAAATCAATCGTCAACAAATCGCGACATTCTGACCAGGGGTGATTGTGGGTTCTAAAGAGACCAAGTCCAGTCCTTTATAATCTTAGTGAGTCCCATGGTTTCAGCCTGCGATACTTGTGGGAGCTGACCCGCTGTAGCAGATACCAAAGTTGATGTCGAGTGAGGAAATCATTCCAGCTTCTTCTGCTCCTCAAGACTCCACTTCCAAACCCGAGGAAGACCCATCCGCATCCGCATCATTCGCAGCAGCCGATCCTTCATCCGCCGAGCCCACGGAGGAGAAGACATCGGGTGAGAAGCAAAGACCAGCTTCGTCCCCCGTACGCAAAATCGCTAGACCCGCCAAAGCTCGTTCCTCAATGCCTGGTGGATCCAGTAAGAAGGGAGGGGCAGCCTCTAAAGGCGGAGCGTCTCAACCCATCAAGTCTTACAGCCCGGGAGATATTGTCTTGGCGAGACTCAAGGGTTTCCCAGCGTGGCGTGAGTTCTGGATCTTGCAGTCACGGAGCAGGTACTGATGTGTTTTCTTGAATTTCGACAGCTGGTCGTGTGCGTCGAAAATTCCCCATGAAGCTGTATGATCATCTACTGACTGATGACCGCAGATTACAGACCCCTCTAGAGTCTCCGCCGATGTCCTCAAGAGTCGTCCGAGCACTAAACCCTACATCTACTGTGTTGAATTCTTCCCTGCGGGGGACTTGTGAGTCTAAGCGAGGTTTGAATCGGACGTGCCGGCTGACGCGACGGACTCTCATTTTCCTCTTGCGACCACAACCCCCCATCGGCACGGTCTCTTCATCATCTCATTACCTCATGTGCATCTTTCTCGACCCCTCTGCTATCCACTTCGGTTTTCCAGTGCCTGGATCAACGCCAATGAGATCAAATCCCTGACCCCATCCGATATTGAAGCCTACATCAGCGAACCCCACCGAAAAGTCAGCAGCTCACTGCGAGAGGCCTACTTGACTGCGCAAGATCCAACAGAATGGGACGAGGCGCAGGTCGGGTACCGAAAGGCAAAGGAGGAAGCTGCCGCTGCCGCCGCAGAGGAGGTCGACGAGTTGGAGGACGATGACGATGCGCCGTCGGGTGGAAAGCGGAAGAGAGCAGCGGAGAAGAAGACAAAAGCAAAAAAGCCAAAAGCTGCAAAGAAGGTGAGGGCGATAGTCAGAGTAAAGATCTTTCAGAGGGACTGACGCCAAAACACAGTCTGCTGCCGAAGTCGAGTCAGAAGAGGAGGCACCCAAATCCAAAAAGGCCGCTCCGGCCTCAAAGGCCCCCGCCTCTAAAGCTCCGGACTCCAAACCGGTCGACGATGGTGACTCTACTTTTCGACATAATTTTCGACAATTCGCTGACCCTTGCGCAGACCCGCTGGCTTCTGATCCCGAGTGCATCAAGGTCAAGGACTGGCGTCACAAGCTACAAAGAGGATTCTTGGGCAAGAGCCTCCCAGAGGCATCTGTGGGCCAGCCTGACTAGACGTCCGCAGCAGCTTGCTGACTTTCTCCTCAGGAAATGGCCCACTATGATGACATTTTCAAGACGATCGAGGGACACAAGGGAATGACCATTGACGCCTTGTCATATTCCAAGATCGGCAAAGGTAGGCACGGCGTCTGATTTTGGCTTTAGGAGTTGACCACGTAAAATCAGTCATGAAGAAGATTGCAGTGCTCGAAGGGATCCCAAAGAACGACGAGTACAAGTTTACAGATCGAGCCTCGAAGCTCATGCATTCGGTGGGTGGGCAACCTGCAATGATACGAGAAATACTAACACGCGACGTAGTGGCAAGAGTTCATCGATAAGAAGGGAGTAGCGAACGGGAACCACGCAGATGCCAACGGAGACGCTCCATCAAAATCTGACGCTCCTACTGCTGCTGCCACTGAGGACGTGAAAATGGCCGAGGATAAGTCAGGAGGCTCAGAGTCAAAGGAGGAACCGGCGGCGGAAACAAAGCCTGAGGGCGCTGAGGCTGCTGGACCCAATGGCGAGTAAGCGTGGCGCTGGCCGGTATGCGACAACAGGCAGCGATGCAGGTGATCGGATAGGCAAGTGATGCAACGGGGTGGTATTTCTTCATCAGGGCATATAGCGGCAAGGGAAGGCTGGGTTTGCGGCGGGAGGCGACCCATAGGGAGTGCTTGCGGACGAAGCGGATCAAATACAACGTGATATTTTCTGGCCACTTGGCCCTTTCTTACAATGATTCCCGATCTGTTCATTCTCTCTCCTCTCTCTCTCTCTCTCTCTCTTATCCTGGGGTCGTGTACACCTCTCCCTTTATTCTCTCAGCGATCGGTGAAGCAAAAAATTCAGTGGAAGAAATTGTATGCAAAGAGGGCGCCAATCTCACACAGGTTCACGGACAGGAAAGTGGGACAGCAGAGTGTGTTACATGTCATGATGAGATGAGAAGGGTGCGGAAAAGCTACATATGGTGTTTTCTAAGAATCTAGGACCTGGATCAGCCTGACTGCTCAAGCGTGTGCAGGCACACGTTACGCAGACTGGGCTGGCTGATCGCCTAAATCCACCAAAGCAGTCTCGCTCATTGGTCTAACGAGATCGTCTTGACTGGCTGGAGTGCCCACAAAGCTGTTTCGTCTGGAGTTCACCACGGAATTGGCGGTAGATCTTTCACTCGCATCGTAAGTGGGGAGACCCCTGTCCAACGGTACGACACCACCACCGAGGAAACCCCTCGAAGCAATGGCATATGAAGGGACTTGAGTTAACGGATCTTGCGATTCGTCTTCTGGTGTCACGGTGAATGAAGCATGGGATTGTTGTCGTGATCGATTGGGTCGATCATGTCCTGCACATTCATTCGCGAATTGAACTCTTCCGTGAGCTCGAGTAGTGGGACCCATGCCTGGACTGGTGGAACCTCCTCCTACAGCAGAAGCTCCTGCCGGTAGATTCGGCGTCTGAGTACCATTGGGGACCGATTGAGATCCATGGACGTGAGGCGATCTCGAGTGATCAGGAACTGAAGTGGAAGAACTGGATCGTCGCATGGCATCTCCTCCTGCGCTCAAAGAAGAGCTTGAGAAGTTGCGCAGAATGGGTTTACTGCTATTTTTGCTGAGAGGCTTGAAAGCTGGTAGATGGATTTTGAAATGAGAATGACGACCAGTGTGACTACTGTGCTGACCCTCAGCTGCATTGTATGATCCCCTTCGTTCAGGACTTGGAGGTCGAGAATTTGGTCGCGAGGAGTGACGAGAAGCACCGCGCGACGTGCTGGGAGTATCGCGAGGTGAAGAATTGTGTGAGACCAAGGCGCCGAGGGAGAGCAGCAATTCTTGGTCATCGCGATACGATAGCTGCCTTCTTGGTCTCGCCGATGATCCATGCTCATCTTCCTCGTCCTCCTCAGGTAGTGGAGATGAAGGTCTAGACGCAGGTCGCGAGACGGGAGGAGTGATGGAGAGGGACGATTGGCCAGAACGAGCCGCGTACATTGCCGATGAGGATTCAGCGACGGCGATTCGATCATAGACATGATTGCTGTAACTTGGCAGGTCGATCGGAGCATCTTCTTCCGCTCGACCAAAAAGAAGGTTCCGAGTCGTCGCTCCAGCGGCGTGGGCATCTGTCAACTGGGAGTTGTCCAGGATGATGACAGGAAGGGCGCATCGAAGCTCAGAGATGTGACCGTCCGAGTTGGAGATGCTACAAGACCACTTGATCTTGTGAGAGATGACAACGGGGGAGACGGTATGAGTAGGTGTAGTCCAAGGTGGAACAGCCGCGAAGAGGAAGGCGCTGACTTCGTCATCTCCCCTTTCCATGTGCTGAGCAATCTGCTCGTCGGAGGAATCTCCAGGAGGGGCAGGAGAGGTCGGTCGAGATGGTCTGGAATTGGTGATGGTCTGTCCTCTCCATCCCAATGGCGGATGACTTGGTTCCTCGTTCACCAATTCCGGTCTGCCAGACGACAAGTCATGCCGAACAGTCGTGACTCGTCTCGAGGCATTCCGTGAAGAGTACTTTGTCTGTATCGTTGCGGTCTCATGGATCTCGGTGGTGACTGAAGTCACCTTGACGCCCTTAGCCAGAGGCATGAATTTGACCAACACGGGAATATCGTCACCCGCAGCGTACGCTTTGAACGGGAGCGTGATGGCGTACATGATCTTCCCGGGCCAAGTGTTCTCAATCTCGAGCGTTTGATTAAACTCGAGTGCGTCCTGGGTGAATGTCCGATGGACATGAAATATTCTGGAGGCATGGAGGTTTGACGCCAGACCTGATCGAATGGCGGTCGCTCGGAGTTTGTAGACGATGATCGCATCATGATTCTGGGTTGACAATGAAGCTGGGAGATCACCATTGAGCATGAGAGAGAAAGGGAACGAGTGATGACCCGCTTTGAGAGTGTGGTTGTGTTTCTTGTCCCCCTGGAGGAATGACCAATCATGATTGAACAAGACCTGGGAATTGTGGTGGCTTTTGCTGTTAGAGACGATGTCAGTAGATGTCTGGCTCGTGACGACTCACCCTCCCGTAGGATCCGTGAATTGAACCTTTGCCTTGCAAGTCAATTGCATGGTGATATCCTTTAGGTTCATTGACGAACTCAGATTGAGCTCTACATTGCCCGTCAAGTACGTTGGATTCATATCGCTGCCTTGTCCACGCATGACAAGCTGATCATTGTCGAGTACAATGTCCAACTGTTGTTCATGTTCCAAGCCTGGCGTGATAGCTCCGGATGATCCAGGCCCAGAGCCAGCATTATGATGTCCATTCATACCGCCCCAACCATCGCTTGCACCACTCAACGAGCCAGTGACATGCGTAGGACTGCTTGCGAATGGGAACGTACTCGACTCATCATCGAGTGTCGATTGTCTCGTGGGAATGGAAGAATGCGAGTGTTGTCGAGAGGGTGAGCCTGGTCTAGAAGGTGGATTTGAGTGGAGGATAGAAGGTGTCATCGTGAAAAGATAAGGCGAAAGGGTGGAGGCTGCTACTGCTGCCCTTCCTCACTTCCCTTGGTATCCTAGCTACCGGGTGGAGGCGGCGGCAGGGATAGATCTACGCAAGACGCTGTCTCCTGTCCAGTCTGATTGAGACTCGTAGGTCGATATTCTAAAATTGTTGGTGAATCAAGGTATCACCCGGTTATATCGTACTGGTGGTGCTCTCTAATAAGTCCTGGTGGGGATGACGATCCTTATCTAAAAGCGGCGTATGTGACAACCAAATATGGCTAGGTCGAGGGAAATCGTCGTTTGGGTCACTCGGTTTGGTCGTTTGGGTGCTGCTCAATGTCTACAAAGCAGCTCGACTTTGGTCCAGGAGGTGTCGAAGCAGCTGCTTGTTGTTATATCTATCGCCCCTATGCTCTCTCTCTCTCTCTCAAACTGATGATGATCTTCAAGTTTTTTTTCTGAAAATATTTTTCTGCTTTTTCTCATCCGTCGACGGAACAGTTTTTAACGGGAAGAATCGAACACAGTAGAATGAAGCAGCTGCCTGCAGCGCGGCAACCTCAGCAGCAGCAACTGAAGCTTCACTCCGAAACTACCGATATCAGTCCGATAGCGCGCACATGCATTATAGCACAGCCGGTCGCCCAACGCAGTGGAAAGAGATAAGGCAAAAATTTTCAAGAATTGGCGAAAAAAGCCACCTGCACCCGAGGCCTCCAACCCACGGGTTCACGCTATACTCATCGCCTTGGCTACGCCTCTCTACGGCCGGGAATAGCCATCAGGTTCAGGTAATGATGTGATCAGGCGTGAAGGATTCCAGAACAAAGGGCTCATGGGCGATCGATGGATCCTGAACGGAAAAGGTCACGATACGTAGGGATGGCTTGGGAACGTGCCATATCAGATCACGCTATTCTCACGCAATGGCTCACCAAGATAAAGACTCGATGAAGGGTGTACTTGTTTCCCGACTTCCCCCAATGCTTTGAATTCCAAGATCAGCCAACGTATTGACTGGTACAGATTTTACACAATGTGCAGACGTATCCTGATTGTATTAAAAGCGATGAGGGGAGCCAAGCCGACGATCATCACGGCTGTTGTATAATGCACGCAGCTGACTACTCAGGAGGCCATAAGGACAGACTCACTTGCTCGTATCCGTGATCGGGAAGACGACGACGTGCAATGGTGGATCGCACTGTTGGATCCCGAGAGCGGAAGATAGCCTCGCCACGCCACATTCAAAGGAATACTGAGGTGCCTTTGGCCTCGACAAATGCTGCACGATGCTGACAGATGACCTTGCCGACAACTGGTTGCGCTGCCCACGCTGCAGGACAGGTCGGCGGGGCTGCTGTTTTTGAATTCCAATGGGATACTTTTGAGCCAGTTGGGTATCAAAGATCTGATCAGGGATTACAAGGAGCCCGATGAACCGCTCACTGGGGTAGATACGTCACGGCCTGGCCAGGTTGCCATGCCGATCAAACATTGCGCACCAGTCTCACCTGATAAATGTATGCATGATTAATTGATGCTCTACCACCTGATCAACGAGCAACCACCCTACCATCCTCCTTCACTTCGGTATGCTCCACGAACTTTGCCGCCTCTTTGCCTCCGCCAGATCCTTCATCCCGGCTTTCAATTTGTTGCCTTGCAACCTCAGAGTCAGACGCGATTGGCTTGACTCCAGAGTCAGACGAATCGAACGATTCGAACGACTCGAACGATTCAAGCGGTTTAATAGGTCGTAAAAAGCCGGGTCGGAGGAGTTGATAGACCTCTTCGGCAGTGTGATAGAGCCGGCCGGATGCCTCAACTTTGGCTCTGTCGGCTCTCGTGCCCCTGGCAAGTGCGGCCTCCTGTTCTTCGGCAGCGGCAGGCCAAACGGTCCGGGCAACAATCTTCTGTGGACCTCGCTTTCGAAGCCTCTCTGAACGCAATCTCCTCGGAGCGATTTTGGATAGCTTGGCAGGGAGCCAAGTCGAGCCTATCATTGCGCCTTGTTGATTGATCGGATCGGCTCGGGCAGGTAATGCTTGGAGAGGAGGAGAAATGGGTGTGGCTGATGCTATGAGGCCGAGCCGACGTTCATTCAAAACGAGTTTAATATTGCCTAGCGTCCTACGGGTCTGCGAAGGGAGGGTCAAAAAAGAGCACAATGGGACAGATCAGAGGGAACATCTGGACTTGCCTTCTTCTGACGAGAAGAAAAGTATCGAGCATCGACGGGCAGAACGCCAAGCCGTATCCTTTCAGCCTTCATCGTAGCCAAAGTGTTGAGTTCACGTTGACATAACCACCAGAGGGTATGCAAATTTTGGAATGATTTCGTCCTCAGTTCATCAACATCCCAGGAACGACCTGCGAAAAGAGAGTAAGTACAGCGCGTCCTTGGTATCATGACATGATGGGCTCACCTCCGGATTCAAACGTCTCCTCGTCGCCTCGTTCTGTGTATCGCTTGAGGGACCCGCTCCAAGGAGGGCTGGTGACATCCGATTTTGGAGGTTCAAGCGCTTTAGCAGGGACCCAGAAGAACTTCCATAATGGATGGGGATCCTTTCTCTGTGTTTCTGCCTCTTCGAGCCATCCTTCAGGGGGTGGATATGTGGGAGGTTCAGGTAGGCCAGAAGGCAAAGTGACTGGAATTTGACGTCTTGGTCGGATGAGTCGCATGAGACCTCGTCGCGTGTAATCGGGTCTGTAATCGGCTGGACGTAGTTCTCCATTTGATTCCGAGTCTGTGGATGAGGAGGAGGCGGAGGTACTCGTGATCGAAGAGCTGGCTGAAGAGGCGGCGACAACGGGAGGTTTGTCTGTCTTGCCCGTCGACGCCTTTGCCGCCGTGCTGAGGCCAGGTCTCGAGGCGACTTTGGTTTGAGCCGATGGTGGATCGGTCTTTTGAGGTGGGATCGGAGTCGGCTGATGAGGTTTGCTATTGGACTTTGAAATGGTCCGACCATCAGAGTGCATCCATCTCGCTTGCTGTGATCGTGAGAGGACCCGAATGTAAGACGCGGGCCTCATGGTGAGTTATTTTGAATTGGGGCTGTCGTTGAGCTGCTGTCGACATACAATGAATGGTAATGGCCGTTGAGGGTTGTGTCTCGACTGCACTTTTCGGGAGAAAACAATCGAAAAAAGATGGGATGAATATAATCACTATGATATGTGTGGCATGCATGGTATATATCCATTTGGGCTCTCGCTGCACTATGATCAGGAGGGGCTGGTCCGAGCCACAACGGCTATTCTAGTACGACTGTAGCAATCCGACCGCAGAGATACTCCCCAATTTGTAGTCTGAAGATAGTATGTCGATTCTCGCATAAGGGGGAGGCGGCGGTCTTGGGCCATGACCCATTGCAAGGCTTCACGTCATACTGGACCTCGCGGCAAAGAGCCCAAAGTCATAATGACCCGCCTGACCCAGCTCATTGAGCGTCTTCTGCCCATGCTCAGACTGGAAGAGTCAATGTCGCATCGCGCATATCTCCACTTACCAGCCATATCTTTCTAAGTCTGCAGTTGGCGTACACTCGAATATATGTGATGCTGCCTAGACTTCCGTCAGGTAAGTGTGACGAGTCCTCCTTGAGCCTTTTGCTCGGTCTCTCGGCTGGTGTAGAGTCTTCTGTGGCCTTTGAGGGCGGCTTCAATATGCCAAAGAGCGATATCAATGTGTTCAGATTAAGGGCGATATCTAGCCATGGCGTGAGCTGAGAAGCCGTCTTGGGAGGTATAGCGATCGGCAGGTGGATGAGTGGTGTGTGTCGATCAGGGTGTAATGTTGGGGTGGTCTGATGGACTTCAACATCGACAGACACATTGAAACCAATAGTTCACCGGACTTACTTGAAAGGAGGAACACCTTACGATGCCGTGTTTTCCCCGTGAATCCACGAGGCCAACTTCTAAGCTGAAGTGTCTACGTCCAAGCCGACGAAGCTGGAGGCATATCCAGGGATGAGTCGCCCCGATGGGCTTGCCAGACCGCGATTCCGGGCCCTGGGTATGACCAGTGGGGGGATCGCTACCCATTTGGGTATACGTATCCGTGAGGTTTGGGCTTTGTATATGAACCACTCGATGTTTGAGTGCGCCTTTCGTTGGATTCCTGGGCCGGATGTAGCTCTGACGTCCAATTTCCTCGTCATCGTGGATGACTGTGATGATTGACTTTGAGCTTGAAGGGTCAGACTGCTGGGTAAATAGAGGCGAAATAGGTGGAATAGATGTTGACGAGAGCAACGTCAGAATCGGTGGCTGAGGCGATGATCAGCCAACGCGAGTCATACAGAAGCATCCAGAGCTACCTGAACAGTTTGAGAGAGCAAGCTTGACATCTTCTGTGTTCCTTACCTTGACGCTTGTCGCAGTAAAAGTATCAAATTCAACATGTGCCTTCAGCTGGACCACCTCCACTTTCGTCGACCGGTCGAAATGCCTGACCTGGCTGCAATAGTTCATTCCTTTCTTTCTTCTCCTACGCATCCCGCTAAAACTGGCCTGCGCTCATGTTCAAAGACGCTCATCGATCATGACACTCAGCTCAGACGGAGCTGTACAATCACTCAAAGACCTTCGCAATGCTCTTCGAGATGCTACATCCGAGCTGGACATCGATAGTTTCACCTTTCTTCTATCATCAACACTACAGAACCTAAGCCTTCATCCGACTTCCGTGCCGCCGCAGAATGTCTCAAATACGCTCAAAGCCATCGAAAGATATCTCGGATCGGTACAACACTCCCTCCTGACCGTCGCGCTGCCGACTTACTTGTCAGCGCTAGACGTGGGAGCTCGATCCTTACTTGATAGATTCTTCGTCCCGCCTAAAATTGCCAACCCGTCTAGCCTTGCCCTAGGTAGAGCTATCGCTCTCGTATCATATTCCTCTCTCCTCGCTCTGGTGGCCCCCGTTATATCCAGCAATAAGGAGCGAACGACAGCGTTGCCAGCCCAGAGCAGAGAATACGTCCTTCACCTCCTGGACGTCTTAGGTGCCGAGTATGGTATCGATCAGCTGTACTGGGCAATCTGGGGTGACACGACCACCTCAGACCACAACGTCAGTGCTGAGAGCAGCAAAAGCGGCAACATCAAGATGCATAAATGGGAAGAGACGGTCCGCACGGCTATAAGCATCCCTGCTAAAGTTGCAAATGCTTGGGGGAAGTGGAAAAGTGAAGGATGGGCGGGCGACATACCGCAAGGCTTGGTGACACGGTGAGCTTTTACTACGATTTTTTGATGTCAGTGAGTGAGCTCATTCAATGCTCAGAAGATATTTTGACAGATTTGTTGTTAAATTGGAGAGCTTGATGTACCAGGAATCCCACAGCTCAAGGGGTAGGTAATAGACTGCTCAGAGCGAGTATGTGGACTCACGAGCATGCAGGCGAGTCGGCGATCATAAGAATCGTCTTTGAGCGGCTCATCGCTATTGGTCTACTCAATACACCTCCGACCAAGGATCATAGCCCCGATGCTTCGCTCCTGAGACCACTTTTGCCGCCGCTCCTTTCCCACCTGCACCCCGATCCCGATGATCCACTACCACCGTACTCTTCGGGCTACCTTCCTGGCATCTTTCTCCCTTTGTCCGGAGCTGCCCTTGCTGCTTTCGTCTACTCTCTGCTTTCTTATCTGGCTTTCCACTTGGATAAGAATACAGCTCTTGAGCAGCCCAACGAGCAGGTCAAAAGAGCGGCGTCCATTTTCTCCAGCATTCTTGGCCAACCTGATGCCGAAGGTGAAGCTTGGGACGCAGTCTTACGCTGCGTATCTCGGGCTTCTGTGATCAGAAATGATGCTCGGGAGGTGAAAGCCGGCATCATCGTTTCATGGGTTGCAAGCGGGTCTCTCACCTGTGAGCCTGACCCATCTGCGCTTGCTGCTATCCGCATAGCTCACAGGTCATAGGCATCATGAATTTTACAGATTCGATACTGGATCTGTGGACGGATCCAAGGCACATCAAGTACGCTCTGTATGATCACCAATATCGTGAGCTGGAAAGGACAACCGCCGAAACCTTTACGTCGCTTATTTTCTAACAGAGCTTACATACACCCTGATCCGCGCCATCTCCCTGGTCGACCCTTTCGAACCATTCCTGGTCCGTCTTTCGCATCGACCAAAATTTCTCAGTGCCATGCAGTCTTACCTCGCTCATCCTGACCCTGCCATCCGTCGACTAGGTATGCTAGTCGCCGAGATAGTATCGGAAAGAACGGTGGTGGATGATCCGGCGGACGCTCAACAAAGCCAGATTGATGAGGTGGAAGAGCTGAAGGCAGGCTTGGATGTGGAGGGAGAGATCGCTGCTACTCGCAAACCTATAAAAGGCGGGAAGAGACTACGATTCGGAGGCGGTATGTGGGACGGACCCGGGGAAGGCAAAGACGAGGCGAGGCGGCTACGCTCAGTCGTTGGGGTGCGCGACAATGACGCTTCCCTGGCCGACGTGAAGGGAACAAGCGCATGGATTTTGGGCTGGAAGACGGAAACCGAAGAATCACCTGAGACGTCAGCCCCTGAGCACACTTCAATCGAAGCTATTCCGATCGTCCCACGCTCAGCACGAGCGACTACAAAGAAGCCCTTGGAAAAGCAGGCTGCGCGGCCAAAGATTGTCATGCTCGACGACGAGCAAGTTGCAGATCCACTACAAGGGTATGACATTCCCTCACCCGCCTCATCTCGATCATCGTCTCCGACACCCTCGTTCCTCGAGGAGGTTACTGCCGACCCTTCGCTAGCCATCGACGCAGCTGGAAAGAAGAAGATCAAGCGGCCAGTGTACGTCTCGCAGTTGATGGCCCTATTGAGGGAGAGGGAGAAGCCGGACCATCTCGAAATGGCTTTGAAATGGGGCGAAAGTCTTATCCGGTCAAAGCGTTCGTTTGGTGGGGAACTCGGTGGGTAGTGGCTAGGAATAGTCCGTCCTTCAGCTGACGACCTTGACAGAGGAGAATGCGGTAAATCTGGCGACCCTGACCGTGGCACTCAATAACCCTTTCAACCTGGATCACTTTGACGAGAGCCGTCAAGGTATACTCAATGCCTTAGTGGTGTGTTCGCCACGTAAAGTCGCGCCGTGAGTGCCTTTATAACCGATGCTCTCTCGGCCAGCTTACAACTCCAGATGCCTATGCGAACTGTACTTTATCGGCTCCTATTCTCTCCACCAGCGATCAGTCATCTTGACTGCTATAGCAATGGGCGCTCGCGAGCTAGCAGGGATGACAGTCCCTACCGCTCCAAAGACCAAGAAGATTGATTTTCCGAGCAAGACGCTTCCCCCGGCCCTGCACAAGATGTACATCTCAGCAGGGGATCTTCCTGCTGGTCAGCTTGAAGCTGCCATTGATGGTGTACGTGGACTCCTCCTCAGCAAAGGCGCCAAACGTGGCGAAGAGACCGTACCAGAGCTCGCAAAGGAAAAGCGACTCCGGGTCGGATCCAGAGTGGCTTCCAAAGTTTCCGAAGTGGGATCCCTATCAGATCGACAAATGACTGCTGCACCAAATGGAAACAAATCGCAGATTCCAGTGGTACCTTTCAGGGATATCGCAGCGGAGTACTTTATACTCCCTCTCATCAATCGCTTTTGGCAACATTTCCAGGACGCCTCGTTACGCCAGAGCCGAGCGTTGTCCTCCGGGACGAGGTATAGAGGTGCAGGAACCGGTCTCCTACTATCGCCAATGGCATTGGAGAAGTTTTTGATGACCCTATCCTTGCTGCTGCACGCTGCTAGACATTCGTCCGTGTACCTTGCGGTCTTGGCACCGGAAGCGCTCGAGCTAGCAGCGGCGATGGGAGCTCAGCATCTGTCCCAGCCGGATCTATTAGACGAGAACGTCCCGGAGGGCAAAGAAGCTTCCATTGTTGGTGCTGCCTTGGAGATGGCTCTGGTAGTGCTCGACGCATCTAGGGATCTGGATGGTGGTCGAACGCTAGCCATGGACAAGCATGCTCTCTTAATGGCCGTTGGCGAGTGGGCGAGCGGAGTCTTCAAGCTCGAGGAGCATGGGAATGGCGTCAAGGCTGCTGGCCAAGGTGGATTGAGAGAAGGAAGAGTCAGAGCTGCGGCTGCCGGTGTTGTCGTCAAAGTCTCTGACATTGCTGAGAAGTGGGGAAGATTGTCAATCATGTAGGAGATTTTCGAGGGTGAGGCTCATTTGCATCTATTTTCTTGCTCTGTGACTGTAAACGGTACTATGCTGCCCAAAAAAATCTGTGTCCTGTGCTGTCGCCGTGCTCTCCTCGACCCTACCTCTGAGTGGCTGAGCGCCCTCTAGCCTGGTGACCGGATCGACCGTCCGGAGTCGATCTCGATGTCGTCCTCCCTCTATTAGTATCCCTCATTTTGTACGCTGCCGAACGCGTCGTATCCGTCACTTTGGCCTTAGTCTCGCGTAGAATCCGACGTTTTTGATCTCGAAGTCGTTTGGGAGTAGAGCGGAATATCATTCGAGCAATTGGCCAGACAATGACTCCGATGATGAGCCAAGCAAGTAGCCTGGGGGAGTCGTGCGGTATGAGCACAGAAATGGTACTCGTCTGCCGTAGTCTGAGAAGACTCACGCAGTGTAACCCCGTTGCCCGTCGGCATCCGCCTGATCGACCCAGTAGATCAACAGCAGAGCGAAGGGTAAGCCAGACAGCACAGTGAGGTCCATGATCCGCAAGAAAGTATTCCTGAGCTTGGTTTCCATCCGCATTCGATTCTTATCCCTTTTGTCTAATGTCTTCCAATCCACGTTGGAGATTTCATTCTCGTCTTGAGCCCTTTGATCCAAGGCCCTCATCTTTGACGTCGAGGCATCTCCACCGTTTCGGTCTTCTACGTCAACAGTCTTACAGGGATTGAGGCTGCTATATGTGGATGGGGAGCGGCATTGCGCCACTAGAAAGATGTAGGACATGGCGAGAAGGGAGGTACCCCCAACTGATGGGAGTCATTCAGCCTTCCTTCAATTTGCCCAGAGACCCTGTGGAACTCACGAGCTCCAAAGCCCAGTAGTAAGCCTGACAAGACGATCGTCTTCTCGAAAGTGTTTGAAACTTCTGCAGCAGTAACAGTGTATGCCACCGCCGTTGTGCAGGTGCCTCTAGATGAATGTTAGTCATCACCGACCGGAACGATGACTACGGAGCATTGTGGCCCTCTCACCCTTGACAGTAGCCTATGCCTCCGAGCTTAATGTCATTCGATATGCAGAACCACCACCATGTGATTCCAGGAGCGGGTCCAGTGGCCCCAATAGCAAGCATCAAACAAGAGATGGTCAAAGCGATGGGAATCGCGATATAAGCTCGCACAAGGATCCATCCCTCCCAACCCCAGAACCACCTCCAAGATCTCTTTAATGCTCTCCACGGCGAACCAATGGAGGATGGCTGCCGTTGTTGACGCTCTTCGTATCGTTTCCTCTGGCTCTCCACGGTCTCATCTCCCGAGTCAAATTCTGCACCCTCGCCAGATGTCTTGGTAGGCCTTGGCGGACGACGATTCGCAGTACCAGCCTTGTATCTTGACGGAGCCGCCGACTTTGCTCTTTGTGATGTTGCTGAGGACTTCCGGGAGGGTCTCGGTGGAGGCTCGTTATCTTCCTCCTCCTCTCCGCTGGAGATGATCGTCTTACGCAAGGTTGGAGCTTTCGAAGTGGAACGTGTTGAAGGAGGGGTTGGTCGATTGTCGTCAGAGCTGTTATCCTCAGACTCTGGCGTCGGGGCCTGTGAGCGACGAGGATGTTCCCGTGAAGCGACAGGGTGAGCATCGGAATCAGAATCAGTTATTGGGCTAACAAGGCCAGGATGGCGAGCAGAACCGTCATTATTGCCCGGGGTGGAAGGTGGAGAGGGGGATGCCTCTGGTGTGAGTTGCCCGTCAGAGTCTGACTCAGATTCCGAAGACACTCTAGAATCCCTGTGACCCCGGGCCCGCCGCGGTTGTTTCTGAACCATGACTTGGAGTTAGGCATTAATCGGCAACGAGGTCCATCTTGATCATGCAACGTAAGTCCCCAAGTGAGCTGGCAGTGACCGCTCTTTCAAAAGCTCTGGGTATCGCATGACGATCGACGCTCACTCTGGTCGGGAATGGCAGCTTCCTTTGGATGAACTCCTGGTCAGTTAAAGGACTGCGGAACCTCAAACGCGGAGATCCAAAGGACGTATGACATAGCAGGACTGGCATAAATCTGCATGACGATGAGTTTGACAGCTCCGCACTGGCTCTGAAGCTGGGCTGTGCGACGAAACTACTCCGAGCGATCGCTCATGTCCGATGCTGAGTCATCCTGTGCGGAGTCAGAGGGCTTGAATCTACTCCAGAGAGAGAGTGAAGATTAGACTCACCTGGCCGAAAAATGCAAATGCCTTGGCTCGACTATCCTGACGTTTGGGTGGAGGGGGTTTACGAGATGAAGAATGATGCTGAGGTGAATGGCCGATGGTCGTGGGATGATGTTGGTGATTGTGACTGTGACTGTGATGCTGTTGATGTTGGTGTTGATGACGATGACTCGCTCTTGGAGTTTTCAAATCCGCAACACCATTTCGCATGTCCGCCAAGGCCATGCTTGGGCTGGCAACAGGAGATCGACCGGAGGGTATCATATGACCATTGCCATCCAACCGTTGATTTGACGATCCCGCTCTGATCTCATCTCGATCCCCTACTTCACCTTCTTTGGCGTTGATTTCGGCAGCGGCGAGAGCACGCATCAGATGTCGTTGAGATAGAGGCGGAGGCGCATCGCATTTCGTGACGTATCGATCGGGCGAACTGACTCCATCGACGTGCTTCATCGGACTCTCAATCTGTTTTAAGCGATCCAATGGATGCTTTGGGTTCGTTGCTGAGATGTGGGGAGAAGACGGGTTGGTGGCATCGCCACTGGATTTGCTACCCAGTCAGCTCATATTCACAGAGTACCACTCACTCGTCAATATCGAATTGCTCATCCTCTTCATCCTCCTCCTCTTCCTCTGCGATACCTTGATGGGCCGGGATTTTCGACTTTGCCCCGTCGCGCGAAGGGCCATGCTGGTGTTTCGAGCCGTGTTCCTGCGTAGCTGAGGGTTCTCCATCTTCTTCAACCACCACAAAGGACTTTTGCTTCTCTCGTTCGTTCCAGCGAAGTGTCCGGGAGATTGCTGAGAACCAGTCTGTCGAGGCCTTGTCCGCACAAACAGTTGGGAATGGATATTTTGAAGCAGTCACCTTGATATGGTCGCCCTCTGCAGCGTGTCAGTCTGGATAAATGTGTCGTTACCCACGCTTGAGCTCGACACGGCCTCGACCATCAAAGCTTGCCCAGGCTGTGCTTCTAGAATTGTATGGCACGCATATTCTTAGCTCCATGCTGTCTGGAAGCAGCATAGGCCGGAAAGACAAAGTGTGAGGGCAGATCGGCGTGATGAGCAATGCTGGAATTTGAGGGTGTACCAAAGATCCTCCCGCTGATAAGGAATAGGCTGTTGACCCAGTCGGAGTGGAGACGGTCAGACCATCTGCTTGTACTGTCGTCAAGTGTTGCTCATCACCTGATACTCATCAGCTTCTGTTGTACTGCCAGAAAACTCACCGAACAGCTCCAGCAAGGAGACGAATGGGCTGGGCCCTCGGTCCACCACGAGGTCATTGAGGACCTCGAATTGCTCCACTGGTCTCGTGCTGAAACACATAATCTCTTTATCCTTCCCGACACATCCTCGGCAATCCTCTGATAATCCGTATGGAGCTTCCAAACTGTCCCAGCCATTTTTTTCCACTCTTGACATCATGATCCCTCCACCCGACTTCTTGATTGCCTTTCTCACCCTTCCTTGACCGTCCGCTGCGGCAGCGTCTTCAGGTGCGATCGCACGATAAACAGTGCAGGTAAATCGCATTCTCAAGTTGACACGAATGCCGTCATCGACGACTCTGTCCATGGTCTCCTTGTATTTCGCAAAGTCGAAATTAGTCAAGAAACCGAGAGAACCAAGAGCAAAGGGAAGGACAGGAGGGACAATCCGTTGACTGGATTCCGAATCAACAAGAGTCAAGCCATGACTGATGCACTCACAATAGCCAGGAAGTGAATAATACTGTGCCATCTCCGCCAAGCTTAAGAGTCAGCAAGTGCTGAAAGATGTAGAACTCACCGTGACGACAAAATCGAACAGGTTCGATTGAGACGAGCAAAGCTCTGCTGTCCAGTATCTTAACTGTCCCTGTCCTTGACTCTGGCCGTCGGTCTTCTGTCTCTCCATCTCACTGACGCTGCTTGAGCTGGGAAATGCACTCAAACTGCTTGTTCCAGAACTACTCGCACGCCTCGAGGAGATCGGTTTGAAGAGCTCCGGATAATCTCGCTCCAAGCCTTCGGCGTCAAATCGTTTGGAATGTTCGAGTTGAGCATCAACATAGACTATCATCCCTCTGTCACCGTTACGACTAGCACCGTCCGGAGAAGACGTCGGTCGTTTCTGCATCAGGTAAAGTGCGAGTTCTCGCGTAAGCTTGATCAGTCGATTGTCCCTGGCCTTGGTGACGATCAGAACGTGTTGAATCCGCGATCGGACTCGAGTGCGGCCTGAGGGACTCAATAAAACGCTCGCATCTGTGAATGGCTCCTCACCTAGCTCCTTAGACATTTCTCTCACTCCTTGAGCCGTCTCTGCGAGCTGCCGCGTCAGACTGCCTCCCTCTTCATCGTCTTCATCGTCGATGGCGCCTCCCATGGAGGACGGATCCGTATCATATCCTCCACTCAAATTGGTGACAGATTCCGAAGGACTCCCGACAGATGCAGAGAGATTCGGCGACGGAGTGGACCGAGCAGGGGCTTGAATACGCTGTCCAATGGATGTCGAAAATGATACACCGCCCTGTCGAGATGCATGCGGACCTCGGAGGCCTCCGGAGTGCTGATGGCCCGTAGGGTGGTTGGACGGACTATAAGAGGCAGAGCTAGCAGATGGATTGGATGATCTTGTTTTGAGCCATTCTTGCAGAGAGCCCGTCCCATGACGATCCAATTGAGAGTGAATAAAGCATGGTGACGATTCGGCAGGTCCGATCCCCGGCGTGGGTGAGAACTGTGAGGAATTGGCAGAGTTTGGCGATGGAGGGGTGAAGGGAACAGAGTTGGATGATTGGGAGATCTGCCCATCAGGAGCAATCTTAGATAGTGGGGAAGGGGGGTATCGTTTACTAGATGATGCGGTAGATGAGGATGTTATAGCGTTTCCATTGGTAGGAGTCCTTCCGCCCGAAGAAGCAGGCGAGGAATCAGTGGGAGCTGAAGAGGTAGTAGCCATGTTATAGGATTCCTTCATGTTCCGTGAAGAGGTAGGCGTTTTCGTGTGATCGATGCTGTCGTATTCAAGGGGATGACCGACGCCTGGTACAATGTCGGGATCGGGACTTGTCGATACTTGAAGATCGCCCAAGACAAGATTCTAATGAGGTGACTGTCAGCGATGCGATGAGCTTCTGTACTAGCATCGGACGCACCAATTTGTACCTTGTCGCATCTATGTCCAATCTCTTGACACCTGCAGACAGATTGCGCCGGGATAGCGGTCGTACGGAAGAATAATGATGACCGAGATTGTCACTGGAGGGATTTGAAGGTGAGGATTCGATCAAACGGACAGACGGCGGCTGAGCAGATGGGTCGGCAGAGCCAGAAAGATGATATACAGGTTTGATCTGCTCGTCAGAGGAAATATGGACCGATGACCGTTGTACAGATAGCTGTGAATCAGCTGGTTGAGATGATGATGAATTGACAGTCCGGGTCATCGTAAAAAACGCGGCAACAAAAGAGTACGTGGGTGGAGGTGGAGTAATCAACTCTCTACATGCATTCCGCAAGCCTTATATGGAGTGATGATTCGCGAAGAGGCACTCATGGACTCTATGCAGGTGTGATTCAGTGCAACGACCCGCTTAAAGGCCGTTCAGCTACGAGTCAAAACTGGTCGACCGCATGACGCCAGGAAAGATTTTCACAGGCTAGTTGGTTGTCGAGACAATATGGCCTGGAGAGAGGATGCACCTCGCCTCTGTGACTACATTGCTTGAGCTACTTTACACTCGGATCAGGATTTTCCCGCGCAGATCATCTTTGCGTTGCTCGACTACGGGCTGAGGAAAAGCCTTGTCGTGTTGGAGGAGTGCGTCTGAGACTGAAGGCTAAGCAACTTGTACACCCTGGAGATAGCTTGAGACACCTCCAGTGCCCCTGACATCTGTCACCCGACCATCCTTTTCTATCCTCTTCAAGAGCCTCGCCGGGTTTCCAGCGACGACTGTCCGAGATTCTACATTTCTCGTGACGACGCTTCCGGCGCCTACGACTGCTCCGTCCCCAATAGTGATACCACGAAGGATGATGGATCCCGCTCCGATCCATACATCTGTACCGATGATTACTGGCTCTCCAGTCTCAGGACCACAGCAGCCATTTCGTTCTTCGGGCGAGATAGGATGATTGGAAGTGTATATCTCGGTATTGGGTCCAATCTGTGTCCGGGATCCAATACAGACTGGATCGTGACGTGTAACCATTAGCTTGAGAGTGGAAGGTTCAGAAGAAGGGGAACAGGACCAAACGTTACATGTCACTCACTAGGAGCGACATCGATGAAGGTACATCCTGGCCCGACATAAATCTCTCTCCCAAACTTGAAACTTGATGTTAAAGCCCTGTAGCGAGCACACCATCAGCCGAGTCACGCACTTTAGTCAGAGGACAGCCATCTCAATGGACGGTCATGATTTCCACAATGTCATGAATTGTGGGAATGTCCTCTCAAAGTACATAGCTCTCTGACTACGTCAATGGCACAGCCAACTCACCTATTCACAGATGAACGGCTTGAGCAAGTACACAGATTCGGTATGACCCCTAGGATTTCTCACGGTCAGACTGACCAGCCCCGATAGGAAAGCCTGTCTCTCTGTCCCCTTGAGGGTGGGCGAGTTGAACTTGTCCAGCTTATCATAGCAGATCTCTCTTGCTCTCACGAGGAAAGGGTCAAAACCTTGATAAGGTCTGCCAATTATTGACCTGTTATATTCGTCCAATGATTCTCCTTCTTCCAGCTCGGGAAGCTGAGGTTGGAGAGAGCAAATGGGTGGGTAATCGGGTGCGAAGCGATCTGGATGAGACGCGTCGCTCGATGGAGCATCAGAGGGAGTCATCATGCAATAGCAAGTCCCCGTTCGAGATCTGGACGGAGGGACGTCATTTAGAGTAGAATCATGTACTGGGTCTGAATGTCAAGGCTCAACGCGGCATCTCGTTCCGATGCACCGATCCTGACTTTTTGGCAGCGCTCTTCTCGTCGCTTGCTTCATTCTCGCGACCGTGAGTTTCCAGCCATTCGTGGGACTGAAGAGATGTATACATGATGATCTAGAGGTTTCAGACTGCTCGGAGCGTCATGTCTACAATTTTGGAGGTACAAACGGCAAAGAGCTAGATAATCCTCCATCGATGGGGATAGCTTGTCCGTTGATATAGCTGGAGTCGTCTGACGGGACTTCATTAGATTCGATATATGAGATGAGCGTAAAAGACATACCTGAAGCTAGGAAGGCAGCGACCGGTGCAATCTCTGATGCTATAGGGTCAACGTTTCTGCCATCGAGATAGATGGATGGAAATCATCACTGACCTGATGCGATTCCAGCTCTCAACAGAGGGTTATACTTGCCAATCTCGTGTGAGACGCCCTTCGCCTCAGCTAGTAAGAAGATTCCCTTAGGCATATCCGTCTGAGGTGACCAAGAGTGTTCAGTGAGCAGGCATTTCTAGGCGTGTGACCAAGAAGACAACTCACATCTATCAACCCTGGACATATCGCATTGACTCGGATGTTCTGACCTGTCAGAGCTGATGCCGACGTCTGTGCGATAGACACGACGGCAGCTTTGGATGCTGAATAAGGAATAGGACCGGCATTGGCTTTGAGACCCGCGACTGGAGTAGGGACATGAATTGACTACCTTGTGGATAGATATTCAGTCAACTTACCCGAGGCAGTGAGGATGATAGATCCTCCAGGGATGTGTTTGCCTTTGGACGGGCACAGCTTCGCCATGGCTGGAGAAGCGTACTTTACAGCCAGGTATACGCTTAACCAATGCCATCAGTCAACCACCCCTACTCTCTTCCCTCGAGCTTCAGCCTGCCTACCTACCTCAAGGTGTTGATCCGCATGACCTCCATGAAGTCCCTATCCGAAACGTGCCAATCCCTCACAGCCTGTTTCATCCCCTGAAAGGCCGATCGACTCTCTGCCTCGGGATTTGGAGGCGAAATGACACCGGCATTGGCAAAAAAGAAATCGAGGTGTCCTTCTTCCTTCATCACCCTATTGACGAGCTCAGAGATGACTTTTGAGGATCCAGCATCACCTTGGACGTGGGTGACTTTCGTTTTGGGGAAAGCATTCTGTAGGTCTTTCGCTAGACTCGGGAGGTTGTCCATGATATAATCCAGGAGGTAGAGGTGGTTGGCACCTGTGATTGAAGGTTTCAGCGCGCGGTTCAAGGGAGAGCAGTGATGATCCTCACCTTGCCTAGCCATGAGTCGAGCAGTTGCATACTGATGAGAGTCTCATTTAAGCAATTCATGATCTGGACCGTGAGTCTTGCACTCACCCCAATACCTTTCGGATGCCCAGCACCGGTGATGATCCCAACTTTGCCTTTAAGCCTCGCTCCATCATCCAGCGATGTAGCGTCGGCTTGTCGTTGCAAATGCTGCATGACCGCTGCCTTAGTTCGTATTCTGGGATCTTGAGGCTCGCTCATTTTGAAATTTGTTTGTCCTCTGGGCGAGAGCCAGAATTAGAGCAGCCTGACGAGGTTTGAGTGTGGAATGAACGACATTTCGATTGTCCTTCCAGCGACCAATTCGATCAATTCCCGGTTATGAGGGACCGTCGGTCATTGCCGGGTGATCTCGAGACACTCATAGGATAGCTTTCTGAGAGCGACTTTGAATGCGTCCGTCCAGCTAATATGGGCTCAGAGACCCAATGCGTTCTGGTCACGGCGTCAGAGCTTCAATGAGATCGCTGAATGATGTGAAGGATGTAATGGCTTGTGACCAGCAACATGAAACCCGTTTCAGGGTGTGCAGCTCGCGTGAGCCCCGGGTTCAGGCGTTTCATGTTCAGCTTCTTTAGTGGACTCATCTTCCATACCTGCAAGTGTCACAAAGCAATGTCACATACTCAATTGTGAGGTTGCTCTTCCAACCGTGACCGACGCTTGATCGCTAGCCCAATTTTGTGGTTTACACAAGGGAGTCCCCCGAAAGGTATCTATCACTCGCCGGGGCGTCCCCCTTCTGTTCGATCAGAACCGCATTCTTGCATTTCGCAAGTGATCCACCTTCCTCTCGGTAATGGATGGGCCACTTCCTCTCATGTTTAACCATACTGCGTACCAGATCACGCGCCGCGACTCCTCTCGTCGAAATCAGTCATCCTTATCCTCTAGCACCGAAAGCCCACACCAGACCCGACACAGATCAGAGCGGTCAGAGCGGTCAGAGCGGGGACAGTGTTCAGCATCTGCTTCGATATGGTGTGCCGTCCGTCATGAGAGGAGGTCCGAGGTCGTCCAAGATATCGAGAGGCGTGGGATCAAAGCCGACGGATCTGGTCGATGGTCGAGAGAGGATGACGGACGATCACTTACCCTGCCATGATGAGCGAGTTACACCGCCGATATATCCTGGTCTATCGAAAGCCTATAATGCTCGACATGAAGACTCTCTATACAATTCTTGGGCCAATGCCTTTCACTCATCCGACGCGATACACGATGACACAGATTTGAATGATGAATTACGCCCAACTCCTAACCTGTATCACATTTCCGACATTCCTTTGACGACTTGTAACGACTATCACGAAGCGGCTCATCCTCGATCGCACTCTCAAACTCTTCACAATCACATGTATAATAATGCAGCAACTCCTGTTCTTCTCCACGGCCCTGTGATATCCTCTTCGACGTTGTCCATCGTTTCACCGCTATCTCCCGGCTCACCCCTGTCATCCTCCTTAGAATTATGGAAGACGTATACTCGCGGGCTATCGATTGCAGAAAGGCTCGAATCGTCCAGCGACTTATCAATGGCTGGACGCGCGGACTCCGCCTTCGATCCCATCAGGCCCTGGACAGACGGAGTGCCTTCTGATCTCGCAGAATCGGATCCGAGAGATGACCCTGTACAGCGGTTCCCAAGGTACGAGGGGGAGCAGTCTCGGCCATTGTCAGCTCAACTCGACCCATCGCCTTCTCCTGCTCAATCGGCTCGACCTCATTCATCTCCTTCACAACGGTCAGCTCGCAAGCTTCGCAAAGCTATGATCGTCGAAGGCGACTGGGATATGCTGCGAGAGGGGGTTTGGGCACCAGCTATCAGCTTGCCGAATGTTGCCGCTAGCCCAATGTTTCCAGACATAGCTGTAGCTTGTAAAAGTGGACCCGAGTAGGTGTATGTGTCAAGTGCCCTACCAATCTTGTCAGGAGACGGAGACCCTAGGACCGTCCGAGACAATGCTGGCACACGCACTGTGGAAGTCCAGTTTGAAGACAACATCTACAAGCGATACCGATGAATACATGGCTAACACTGACCCTTAATCAATCAATGACGAAAGGCTCCTGTCGCCTGTGTGCTGGGCCATCTGGACCTTCACCGCTCCAATGACCGTCCTCATCCTGCGGGCCCCCTTTTCGAGGGAAACGAGGCTGTCCGAGGGTCCACAACGAAGTACGATTATCAGGGTGATGATGCGTTTCCATGAGCCCCTTGCCAAAGTTGCTGAAACAAATAACGCCATATGAGAATGTTGCCATGAGTATGAGGATGGCGAATACTGAAAAGATGGTCATTGTGATCTGGTGTAGTGGTCGAATGTCAATGTGGGCTGTGGCGGCCCCCGGGGCCGAGCTACGTAGCGTCGCACGCGCGGCTTTGTTGCTCACCTTGGTGTTGATATACAGATTCTCGGTCGAGGGCAAGAACATGGATGCTAGTTTGTAACTGCAGGGTGCCTTGTGAGCTGAACCCTAGCGCAAGAATCACCCCTCCGTCGCTCACATGAAGTACGCCAACCCCGCGACCATGAACACTAGACAGATTGCCATTAGTCTGAGCGCAGGTTAGCTCCTGTGAGGATGGTGCCACACCCACGACTTGTTTTCCTTTCTCAAGGCCCATCCACACGCCAGCATGACAAATGGAACCAGTACGATGGCGATGATGGTGACGACGCTATGAGAGGATGAGCGAAGACTTCAGCATCCATCATCCCACAATTCCGCTGTCATGCTGGTTTCCGTGGCTACAAGGACGAGATACTGGTTGGAATCAGAAGTCTGTGCTATCTTCTTGGTCGAACCAAGGTCACGACTCACCGCGATACAGAAGGCAGTGGCGAAGAAGAACAAGAGCTTGAGGAGAGAGATCAAGCTCTGATACTCTCTGTGATATCCTGGCAGGCTAGTGTCAGCCCTGTAGATTAATACTAAATGGGACGAAACCAGAAATCTCACGCTTGACATCTGGACTCGCGCCAACGAGGTAGAATACTGCCCATCCGAACTGGACGTGTAGTCGGTGAACCAGGACAGCAAATACGATAGAGCATACGCCAATGACGATGGGAGTGACAATATAGAGTTTCTTGATCATGTTGAAGAGGGAATGTGGACCCGTGCATCGCTGCCGTGTTACTTCAGGAATGGTCATAGACTCATAAGGACTCATGACTCACCTCGAAGGATCCGCAGAGATCCTGTGGGGTGCCCTTGAACGCATTTGCAGTCTGAGGGATCTGCAGGACAGAGTAGAGCCAGATGCAGAACTGAAAGCAGAGGTGTAGGCCGAGCTGAAAGGGAAAAAATTCTGAGCTTTACTCATGTCGAGAACTACTCTCGCAGAATTCAAACGCACTTGGACGATGTTCCTGGCTCGGAGCGCGTCGAACACATATAAAAGTGAGAAGATCCTGTGCGACATCAGCCCAAGCTATATCTCAAAAGTGAATCGAATGGCAGACCACTCACTGGGCAAAGATGAAGTTTGACAGATATACTGGCACCGTTTTGGTCTTTGGACCCGGAGTCTCTATGTTCACCTGAGAACATATGTCAGGTGGAAGGACGGAGACGGACTGAAGGACTGGCGAACCTGTATCAACCCAAAGGCTGTGAACGCGACGGCGAAGACGACTAGCGCCTCGGAAGCGGCTGCGCAACAAAGTGAGCATGATCAAATCCACTCGAGCCCTAGTCCTGGGAGCGACCGTTTGTGAGACATACCTACTGTCATGTAAATCTTCTCTGTGCTCGTAGCTAGCTTTCGATATGACATGCGGCTCTCTCTGGTCCTTTCACGCTTACTCTCACCCCTCGCTCGTATGACCTTCTCATCGTGCTCCTCTACTCGAATGTCCCGAGGTACAGCAGATTCCATCGCCGTATCACGAGCTTGCAAAGAGACGAGGTGGTAAGCTGTGGATGATGTTGGGGACGCCATGCGACAGATGTGGAGCGCTGGGTCGCTTCTGACCAGGGGAGTAGGGAATCTTTTCTGATCCGCCTCGATCCCGTGGAATGGTGGTTTCCTCGCCACAAGATCCCGGCACGATCTATGCTGCTCAGCTCTTCACTGCCGATGCAGAATCCTGGTCAGCTCAAAATAGGTAGGGAAGAAGCAGTTGGTAAGGATGCATGTCGAGGTCTTGCAGGTCCATCTCGTCTCGCTACGATGAGGTTGAAATAGACAGACAATATACACTGTGTGGATTGAGTTGAATTGACCGAGAGCCCGGACCCAATCTGTGATGACGCCTATCTTTTCCCTCATCATGCCTATTCACTGCGGGGTTAAGGGTCCCATCATCATTTTCAATTTCAGGCCATAAAGGGGAAGAGGAGGAAAGGGGGAGGAGGGTTGTGTCATGGAACAACGGGAGATTCATAGAGGATCTCAATGTTCAGACTCGACATCTAACATTGTATCAGCGTAGCGAGCAACGAGGGATTATAGGGCACAGGCTACACAGCCAGTCTCTGGGAGCATCCGATCCCCGCACGTAACGCGGATATTCCTTGGAGTAGTCGACTCAGGCAAGGAGAGGACCGCGCCGCCTTCGCCGCCAATTGAAGGCTGATTTGGTTCGGTCATCTGCGTCGCGAGATCCCATCGCTTCGATATAGCTCCAAGTCAAGCACTACCTTGAAATCTTCCCTGTACCCCATCCGGCTGATTCGTCATGGTCGGTCTCCCGAAGAGCAAGGCAGACTTTGTCCCTAAGAAACATCATGGTTTCCAATTCTTCATCTTTCTATGCGGTCTGCTCCTGCCACCTATCGGTGAGTCCCATCAGGCTGGCCCCATTCTGTCGATGCTCATGCATGTCTCGGTCTCAGCCGTGGCGGTGCGTTTCGGGGTTATGACGCATGATTTCTGGATCAATGTATTCCTTTGCATCTGTGGATGTAAGTTGAGCCATGTTTGCTGCGCCATGGACAGGAGGCGATACGGTATGCTGATGCGTTGAATCCGCAGACTTTCCATGCCATTTCCACAAGTGAGTGGCGACGTCGCTTTGCAAGGACCGCGCACCATGCTCACTGAGACTCAGCTTCTACATCCAAAACATCCGAAACAAGTATGTATGGCCCGTAGAACGGCGATCTTCCTTTCGCTCCCCAGTTGACGCGAGGTACCTCTAGCACCAACCGAGCGCGAACACCTAAATGGGCACTCAAAGCTGGTCTGATCAACACAGCGGATCGAGAACGTCGTGCCAAGAAGAACCAATGGGCCAAACGATTCGACGAGCGGAATAATCAGTCAACTCACGTCGGTCAAGCATTGGAAGAGGGGGAAGTGGGGGACAACTATGTCCCCGTGTCCGACGCTGAGAGAGAACGGGCTGAGAGGAGGCCTCACGAAGGATTGTGGGACGATCGTGGAGACACAGAGTATTACAATGAGGGTGGGTGTGATGTGATCTCGATCCGTTTACTGCCGAAAGATTTACCTGCTCCTCGCTGTAGAACCCGCCCCTAATCAACAGCACTGGAGCTACCCTATGAACTTTAGTGGTGCGGTCGCTGAAGGCGGATCAAAGAACCGAAAAGATCTGGCTAGAACGACATCGAACGGCGATCGATGGGAGAGATCGGTGAGTTTAGAGGCTGGTACGGGGGAATACATGTTCGCTGGCCCGACTGGGATGACGTCTTCAAACGTCGCTAATATTTCGCCGCAGCGAGCCACTCGAACCGCTTCAAGAGACTCTGAGACGGAGTATTATCCTACAACCGGTCGACAAGATGACGAAGTTCCCGAGTGGGGCAGAGATTATGGCTCGAGAAAGGCGAGCAAGAAAGACAAAAAGGGAGGTGCCACTGCTGGCAAAGGCGGATGGGCCTCAAATGGCGGCTATGTCGATGATGTGGCGAATCAGGACGGCTGGGGTTCAAGCAATGGCAATGGATCGAGCTATGGAAACGGAGGATCTGCTCAACCTGCCGCCGCTGCGAAGAAGACTTCGAGACCTGACGATGTGTTCAATCACGAGTTCTGAGCTGGATCTGGAGGGACTGTGCTGAGGCTTGGATGCAGCGTGATTCGTGCGCAGAGAGAAACAGGAGAATTTCGCCGAAAGATGAGAGAAAGAGGGAGAGAGAGTTGCGGTGGTGAATGATTCTGAGAAATCTAGTCAGTGTATACTGTGTCTTTTTGTTTTTTTGGCTCTGCTGTGGATCTGCTCTTATGTGGATCTGCTCCTATGTGGATCCATGGTCTGGTGATAGATATATCCAGTGTGTGTGCAGAGCGTGTCTGTGTATCTGTCTGTCCGTCTGTCCATCGTTCTACCATAGCAGTAATCATCAGCCGCCTTTACGCCTTTACAATATGACATTCATCTCATGGATTATGGGCAATCTGCAGAGAGAGAGAGAGAGAGAGAGAGAGAGTACGTAATATACCTGCTTCTTTATTATTATTGCCATTTCCTCAATTGCCATAAGAAAGAAAGACTCAAAACACCCTGCCAGCCAGCCAGCCAGCCGGATCTTGCTCTTCTTTCTCATCGTCTACTATCTCATCTGTTCACAACTGTGTTCATATTCTGCTGAACCTCAAGTCCTCATACACGCCTGAGGACTCAACAGATCAGTCTCCTTTTTATGTCGCTTCGGACGATCAACCCTTCTTCTTCACCTTGAATCTCCTCCCTCTCTATATCGGCTATTTCAAGGGTCGAAGCGATATTGAGGGAGTTTGACAGAACATAAAGAAGAGCTACAGGGCGACCGTGGTCACTCCTCGTGTAACCTTTTGGACAAGCTGGCTAGCGTCGTCGAGTCTACCCTGAACGCGATTGTCTGACCTGGGACACCCCGGAGCCCAATCGGAAATTCATCCATCGCTCAGACAGTCTCACTGTCGATTTTCATCATCAACCAAGACAGACGCACACACGTACCATCGGACCATATCTCCCAACCACTTCTCCTCTGCCGCAGATATGTCTGAGGAATACACGCCTTCTTCTCAGGTGGACCTTCGGTCGTCCCCTAGCAACCCCATCAACCCCAATATGCCTCTTCTCGCTGTTCCCCCTCCCCTCAGCAACCTGCCTCGTTCAAAAGCCCGTTCTAGGCGGTACTCTAAGAACCTTGGCGGTCCAAGGAATGCTGCTGCTGCTCCCCTTCCTCCGCCTGGTCCGCCCGTCAAATATCCGCAACCTGGAGTTGAGGTTTCTGGCATGGCCGCGGCTAGCAGCCTGGCAGCGAGCAGCAGTAACAATAGCAGTACCCCAAGCTTGAATTCCTTACCTCGTGACAACTCCATGACCGTTGACTCGACTTTGCCTTCTTTGACGACCAGCACTTCGCATTCTATCCATTCGACCAATCCTTCCACTTCGACAGACTCACAACAACCCATCATCACGCCGCCTGATGGCTCCAGCAGCTCTACTGTACCCACTATTCCCTCTGGATCAGGGACTGGAGGAGGCGTTCCTTTTCCAAATTCGCAGTCGTCTCAGTCTGTTGAGCAGAAAAGTATCACTGCGAATGCGTTTGGGGAATCTCTAGCCGAGAGATTGGGACAGTATGCTCAGCCGACGGGAATCACCCAGATGGCAGAAGCCGCGAGGAGGGGGCAAGCTGGGCTGGGGATAAGTGTACCTGCAAAACGATCGACAGAGGAAGAACATCCACTTTCAGACAAGGCTCTCAAGGCGAGGTGAGTCGGGGAGGCTCTCTCGCGCCCACAGAGGCGAGGCTGATTGTCCATTTTCTCAGAGGCTACCACACGATTTTGGCCCAACGACATCTTTTCCACATTCCCAGTCGGTTCAACTACGTCCGACCATTAGGTTCAGGAGCCTACGGTCTCGTCATTCTGGCCAACGAACCCGCCTCTGATACGGACGTGGCTATAAAATGTGTCACTCGAGTCTTTGATCAAGTTATCTTGGCCAAGAGGGCATTGAGAGAGATCTCACTGTTGAAGCATTTCTCATTACAGGGAGGCAATAAGAATCTCTCGGGGTAAGTGAATCAGATTCTGTCCCGGGCGCACATCCTGAAGCTCGCAGTTTGGTGGATCTGGACTCTGTGTGGGAGGGCTACAATGAAATGTGAGCTTGACAAGCTGTCCGTGTCATCGCAGTGAGCTGACGGGTTGCAGCTATTTTTATTTAGAGGTGGGATACGGGCGGATCGACTTGTCATCGATGTTGAGCTGATCTGACATGCGGTGTGTAGCCTCTGCAAAGTTAGTGCGCCGCCCAGACTGAAAGACTCGCATGCTGACTTGTCTAAGCTGATCTGCACCACGTTATCCACAAATCCAAAGAGATGCTCTCGCTGGGTCATATCAAGTGGATCTTCTATCAGATTCTCAGGGGAATGAAGGTGAGCGTGATCTTCCTCAAGCTTTCCTTCAAGTCACGGAAGACTGCTCACACCTGACTTACAGTATGTGCATTCTGCGAACGTCATACACCGGGATCTGAAACCTGGTAATATTCTCCTCAACGAGGATTGCGAGGTCCGAGTCTGTGACTTTGGCTTGGCAAGAGGTTTCTACCCCGTCAAGGGAGAAGAGGACCAGAACCAGCAGTTATTACTGACGGAGCGTGAGTGCGGGTCTTGCGAATTTGAGCTCATATCGTTTAGACGTGGCGACCAAATGGTATCGTGCTCCTGAGGTTCTGCTCCATCATCGTCGGTACACTACTGCTAGTGCGTCAAGCCGAGGTCCCTCGGTTGACATCACTGACGAACACAGTCGATGTCTGGAGCATCGGGTGTATCCTTGCTGAGCTGCTAACGCGGAAGACACTATTCCCTGGTGAAGGGTGAGTAAGACTTGGATAGCCCCACTACCGGCTGCTGACCTATCCTTCAGCACATTGGACCAGGTACGCTAACTGTGTCCTTCACGTTGCCTTGTTGAATCTCTTCCGCTAGCTCAAACTCATCCTTGGTGTGCTTGGCACTCCTAACGACGAGCTGATGTCACGGGTGGCAAATGAAAAGGTCAGTCGGGAGGTCCCTACGGCATCCATGGCTGAACAACATCTTCTAGTCTGCTGAGATGGTCCGATCGCTGGGACTTTATGAGCCCAGACCGCTGTCCGAAGTCATCCCCGAGGCTGACCCGGAGGGTGAGCCAGCACTTATGCCTGTATCGCTGATTCGCCGCAGCCCTCGACTTGCTGTCCCGACTGCTCGATATCAATCCCTTCACCCGGATAACCGTTCCAGAAGCCATCAAACATCCTTGGTTGACGGGCTTACACGTTCCATACGACGAACCCGACTGTCCCGAGGTCTTTTCGCAATGGGAGGAAGTGGAAAAGCTCGATTCGGTTGAGGCGATACGAGAAGTGATCACCCGGGAGATCGAAGAGTACCGCGAAATGGTCCGGAACCAAGCTTACGAGGACGACTCGGATGTCTTTTCGGAAGGCTATACGTCGGGCGAGGACAATGGCGGCAGTACGCCTGGCATGTTAGGCGTGGACTCGACTGGTGCAGTCTACATGACTCCGATGACGACCTCAAGCTTGGGCATGTCTCCAAGAGACAGTACAGACGCTTCCGCAACAATGCCGCCGCAGTATGGCAACGAGTTGAGTCGGGGTTCTACCTTGGAAATGGATAAGAGGCAAGATACGGTTGTCCGAGGACCGCTCGCACCGAGAAAACGGACCACCTCGAGTAAACTCTTTCAACGTGATTTCAGTCCTGTTCAAGGGACACATTCCAGATTGCCAGATCAAGATATCGCCGTGGAATCACCTTCCACTTCTAGTTCTACCACTGCTTCTCGAAAGAGCTCTTTCCATCAACATCGTCGACCAAATTCGTCTTTCCTCTTTGGCAGTGGCATGACGCCAATGTCTCAAAGACCTAATACGATTATAGGAGACGAAGCGCTGTCTTCGATGACGATGTCTGGTCGGAGGCCAAAGAGTCGCACGCCATCACTTGCGGCTGCAGAGTTTGGGGCTGTGAGGCCAATCGTACGTGGGCTCAGCAGCATGAACCTGCATGATCTTGGTCAGCGAGCTCGGGAGGAAGGCTGCGAAGATGCATTGGCGGGAGGAGACGAAGTCTTGCCCAGGGACGGCAGGCTGGATCCCGAAGGTAAAGGCGCAGCGCCGATGTTGGTCTCTCCTAGGGATGCTCCTCCAAGCGCAGTGAGTAGGGTACAGGCACATTGTTGTTGCTGCAGATGAAGGGATCCAGCTGACCGGATATGACAGCAATCAAACCTGTAGTCAAAATCACTTGACGTGCTCTTTGACTCTTCCACCCCTTCGACATTCATCTTCCTGCATTCTCATTGTATCGATTACTTCTTTGTTCATCATGTACTGTCTACATCGTCTAGCATATCTCATCATCGTGTCCTGGAGGAGTCCGATTCGATGCTAGCATTTGTTCATGTATTGCGCATGCAACGTGTCTTCCGTCAAGAAACTCGGATGGCAACCTACTTATTGGTTCATGGGAGTTCTGAGTCGGGTGAAGCTTTAGCTCCTGCCGCATCGAGATCGGTGATGTCGTCAGGGTCCAGCTTGACCTCTGATGCGCCGAGATAGCTCTGCATCCGTTCTGCTCTAGCGGTTCTGGTCACAGCGAGGACGCTGAGCCGGCCGAATGTCAATACCGCAATCCAGGGAGGAGGCCTTCACCACCCACTTCTTTGCTCCGGCCCATGCTAGTAGCACTTGCTCAGATTGACATTTGAGCTTTTGAGCGATGTCATGAGCAACTCGGACGACTGGCTGGGGGTTGTCATCTGCTAACGGGCGTAATGTCCAGTAACCTTCGATTTGGACATCATGCTGTTGAGCCAAGTCCAAGAGGGGTTTAGATGACGCATAGTTATTTGGACTGAAGTAGATTTGGTTGACGGCAGGTGGGACAGTACATGATTCGAGCAGGGTTTCCAGATCATCAACCTTGAAGCTAAGAAATCTTTCAGTCACCCTGCGATGCGACTGATGATCGTTTGTTCAATTTTGTGCTTACTTTGACACGCCGATACTCCTTGCCAACCCCATCTGCTTGATTTCCTCCATCAACTTCCAAGTGCCCGGTATATCTCCCGCACAGTTTCTAGGCTGATGGATCAAGAACAGATCGACATAGTCTACGCCAAGGAGTTTCAAACTCGCTCGACAAGCCTGAAGAGGCGTAGAACTCGTAGGATTGGACCACTTTGTACTGATGAATAATTCTGAACGAGGAATCCCAGATTGAGATAGTATCTCTCCCAGCTCCCTCTCGTTATCGTATGCTAGAGCGATCATTCTTACGGTAAGCCTCGATCAAATCATACACGGACCGAGGAGGTCGTATAATATGAAGGGGCATGCAAGGAGCTTGCCAGACTTACCCTTCCCTTGAGCCGTATCAAAATGTCTGAATCCAGCCTTGAGCGCATTCTCTATCCTCGGACCTAGCTCTTCTTTACATGTATATGCAGTTCCAAAGGCAATACCAGGTATACTGGATCCATCGTTCAGTGTCCGAGACTCCCACATGGCTGATAGTCTTGATCAAGACTGGGTGAGTGCTTGAACTCAACGAAAGGATTTGACTAGATGCAGTCTCTTTCCCGAAGATATTTCGGGCTTGTAAATGATCAGAAGCTGCATTTGCGCACGCACACTTTCGGACTTCTCCAAACGGAAATGAACGATCCTCAGATTTGGTCTATCGCCGAGAAAACTTTGGGTGGTAGCGTCAAGACATAGCTAGTATGATTCTCTCGTATACTGTTCCCCGGCGAGTCCGGCTACTCACATACTATTAGCTTACTCCAATCCAGGTTCATGAACCCCCCCAGGACCCCCGCAATCTGCCAACTGAATTACGACGCACGGAATTGAATTGGTTCCCCCGCTGATCAAAATCATAAAAAAATTCGAGGTGGCTCGTCGGTCGAGGAGGAAAATAAATCAGTCACCACTTGTCCAGCCACTTTGGACATGACGAGCAGAGAGAGAGGGTCGACAGCAAAGAAAGAAGGGCATCTTTCTTCCCCATCCCATGTACAATCTAAGGGCAAGAGTTACAAGAGCAGGTCAAACGCCAAATTGAGTTTCTCGCTCTTGTCCTCAGGTACTCCCCCAACTCGCCCTCCCCTCCCCCTCCTCCCCCTCCTCCCCTTCCCCCCTCCCCGTTCCCCTTGCGCGCCCTCGTCGCCATCTCTTGCAACCTCTGGGCATCCCTTAGACGAAGCCCGAAGGGAGCGTACAGCGAGAGAAAAACGTCAGAGGAGCTTGCTAGACTGCGGCTCCGGAACGTTTACGTCCTAGCAGTACTCAATCCGAGAAGAAAATTGTCGTTGAACCGTTGCATCCAACACCTCCTCTTCCTTCCTCGACACATTCCTCTCAAGATTTGGACAGCAGCGTGCAGGCACACGTTCGAGTGATCCTCACTTTGCTGACCTCTTCGGTATCCGACCTACCTGGTTCAACCTTTCCGTCCGACCCGCCCCTCACGCCTCGACAGGTACCCCCACACCATTCTTTTCCTTCCACGAATCCACGAACGAGCAGTTGATCTGCTCATCCTATCTGCAGCGCAGAGAATCCATCCTCTCCACCGCGGCCAACCTCTTTCGGAAAGGTATATTCCGATATGGTTCAAGTCGGCCCTCTCTTGCTCCTGGCTGGAGCTCTGGCCGTCTCTGCTAAACCTCACGGATTGTTCAGATTCGGCAAGAAACACCATGCTCGTGCCGCTCTCGAACAAGAGTTGGAACAGAGGAGATTACTGGAAGAACGCTTGATGCCAATCACAGCGACCACTACTATGGTCGTCGAAATGACTGAAACGAGAACCGTTTGGGTCATGGCAACTCAAAACCAAGCTACTTTCGCAGCTGGTTCGTCGAGCGTGCAGAGTTCAAGCTCAATGGCTTCGGTCGACAGCTCGATGAGCATGTCCTCAGCCATCTCCTCAACCTCCGCCGTGATGTCTGCGGCATCATCGGCATCTACATCCGCCGTATTGAGCGTAGAGGAAGCATCGTCGACTTCGGCCAGCTGGTCCGAGGCAAGCGCAAGCTCAACGACAGAGTCGTCCAGTGATGCTGCTAGTGTCGCCATGAGTACCTCCTCTGCTCCGGTATCGATTACCTCCTCAATCTTGAGCTCGTCATTCGCTCTTTCTTCCACCCTCGACGCCGAGTCCGTAACGACCAGCTCGTCTGCGGTAGTCTCCGGTAGTCTTGGGTCCAGTTCCTTGGCATCCTCTTCATCCAGCAGCGTCTCCCCCTCTGGATCATCGTCCGCGGCGCCATTGTACAGCAGCTCGGTGGTTCTCAACACCGAAGCTGTCACCAGCATCGGCCCATCCAGCACAGCCTTATCCTCCAGCATCCCTTCGTCCCACGTCACTCCCACACCGATGCCCTCGATGAGCGCTTCCGAGTCCGAGTCTGCCTCCGCATCTGAGACCGATCCTTCAGCCTCAGCGTCTCCTTCTGTATCTGAGTCAGCATCCGAGAGTGCGAGCTTGGTGGGGTATTCCCTCGCTGCGAGCTCCTCTGCGGTATCTGCCAGTGCATCTTGGAGTCAGCCTTCTCCCACGCCTACACCGGCATGGCTAGAAGGTACGCTTATGAACGGCTATTATCCCGATTGGTCAGCCTGGTATCTTGCGCCTGAAGATGTAGACTTTACAAAGTTCGACGTCATCGACTTTGCTTTCGCTCTGCCGACCGCAGATAACGGTCTTCAATTCACGCAAGACACGTCCTCTGATTCACTCAGAAGACTGGTCACAACGGCTCATGCGGCTGGGAAAAAAGTCAAACTGTCCATTGGTGGATGGACAGGTTCACAGTATTTCTCCACCATCGTTTCTCAATCTTGGAGCACTACTGCGTTCGTCAACAACATTTTGGAGGCATACCACGAATATGACCTGGACGGGATTGACATTGATTGGGAGTACCCCGGTGTTCAAGGAGCTCCGGGAAACGCAGTCTCACCAAATGACGCTGCAAACTTCCTCAACTTTTTGCAGATTCTCCGGGCCACACTGCCTTCGGATGCTTTGATTTCCCTTGCGACTCAGGTCTGGCCCTTTGCTGGACCGGATGGGAACCCTTTGAGTGATGTCAGTGGATTCGCAGACGTCATTGATTGGATCTTGATCATGAACTATGATATCTGGGGATGTGAGTTGACCGGTCAAATGAGCAACCTGCGTACTGATACAATTCCTTCCCCCTCTCAGCATCTTCGACACCTGGGGCCAACGCGCCACTCTCCAACGGCTGCGGCAACTCGTCTCAACCGCTAGCCAATGCTTATAGTGCCGTGGCATCTTGGGAAGCAGCCGGCATGCCAGCCAACAAGATCACGCTGGGTGTCCCTGCTTACGGGTACTTGCAAATGTCTTGGGCTACGCGTCTTCAAGATCGAAGCTTGCCTCACAAAGAATACGCTGCCCGTGATTACCTGACCATTCAGAACGATAATGGTGGCACGGCAGATGGGCAAGTTATGTTCGAGTCCTTGATCAGTCAAGGTGCTTTGGTCTTGGACAGCGCTGGTGATTATGTCGGAGGTGGCGGCTTCTTCCGTGTATGGGATGAATGTTCCTCGACCGTGAGTGCCTCGACCGGCTATCCCCGTAAACAGACGCTGACCCTTGAACCAATGTAGCCCTTCCTCAAGTCATGGGACTCGGGTCAAATCGTCACGTATGACGACCCTCAATCTGTCTCTTTGAAAGGACAGTTCGCAGCTCAGGCAGGCATCAAAGGATGCAATATCTTCAGTATAGATGGAGATTGGACTGGATCGTCTTGGCCACTTACCGATGCCGTGAGGAGCGGCATGGGTCTCGATTGAACGAGGCCAGGGGGGCTTACACAAAAGGGGATTCAGGTACTCATGACCATCCATCTGATAGATATGTTATTTTTGGGTATGATCTAGCATGCTCTTGATGCGGCATGTACGGGCTATATGCGAAACATGGATGGATCGGTTGGTTAGTCACCTTGGGATGACAGGGTACTGGCGGACCAATTTGGTTCCGTTCGGCTGGTCGGGGCGTGCTCGCGGCAAAATCAAAAGACCTCCTGTTCCATGCAAATCATTCAATCACTGTCCAATCGCTCTACTCGACATCTGTTGGAGGAACTGGTGGGATCCGGCTACCTGGACTCAGGCTCTCTTTCAACATCATGTCTTCTCCCCTTGCTTCTCATCCTCCTTCCACACCCCCGCCACGCTCTCAACCATTTACCGCACCCAAGTTCATCTCCCACAATTCCCCTTCTGTCCATTCTTCACAACACCGTCGTCCATCCGATGCATCATTTTCAGCCTCGATGATGGACGTAGATCCTGGAGGAGATGGTGAAGAATCAATCAATGATGTCGATCAAGATATAGACGAGCTCTTATCGTCTTCTGATGAGCGACCACCAGCTTCACCCTCAGGATCAGGGACAGGGAGTCGAGCTGGCGGAACAGCTGGAGGTGGAGCAGCTAGGAGGACCAGCGGGAATGACAATGCATCGACTGGCAGAGGAGGACCGAAGAAGATGAGAGCTAGAGCTACCAAGAAGAAAGTAGAGGATTTACCTGAATTCAGTTGTCGATGGGATGATTGTGAAGTCATTCCGGACGATCAGGAGAGTCTCATCAATCACTTACATGAGGGTGAGTAGAGCATGAGGAGGGTCTCGGACAGAGGATAGCAGGGGGCTATTGGGAGACGTACTGATCCGGTTTCCAGTGCACGCTCCCGAGGGTCTCGAAGAATATCGTTGTCAATGGTTTAACTGCCCGAGAAAAGGTCACAAGCAGTCGAATCGGACAGGTCTCATTACCCATGTCAGGATACACACGGGTGAAAAGCCGTACAAATGTCCACAGGAGGGTGAGCAGAGCCCCCAGCGTTCCCCATGCAGGCAACATACTGATTACAAACATCAAGGCTGTGACCGAGCATTTACGCGAAACGATGCGATGAACAAGCATTTAAGAACATTCCACGCTGAGAAGCATGAGGAATTGAAAGAGTTGAAGAACAAGGAGAAGAAGGCGACAACAACAACAACAATGACCACGACGACCACGACAGCAATGACGAATTCTAATTCGTCGAGATCTCAAGCTCGACGAACCGGTGCTTCGGGATCGACGACGGGAGGATTGAAATCCTCGGATAAAATCTTGATGGACGATGCGGACTTGATAGACGTCTTGCCACGGTTGAGGAATCGGAAACGATTTTGGACGATCACAGAAGATGATGAAAAGGTTCTGGCGGCGATCAGATCTCGATACCCAAGACCACCGAGTGATTCGAGAGAATACGATGAAGAGTTTGACCTGGGTCGATCTAGAGACTTCCCAGAACGGTGTCCGGAAGATATTCAATCTCAGGCACATGAACCACCATCGGATTCTCAAGTCATTTTCATGGGCAGGAGTCAGTGGCAGGTCCGGTATATAATCGCCAAGGCCAAATTGATGTTGGTTGAGGAGGAGAACGCGATGCGAAAAGCTCAGTTGATGGAGCTCATGGAACAGGAAGCTCAATTGTTGGCACAACAACAGTCAGAGGCGTAGGCAAGACTCCTTTGCAAACGAACGCACAGAATCAGCATCGTAAGGGAGTTGTCCACAAGGTCATGTTGTATGCAATACACATTCATGCCAGTGCTGTCCTGATCTAGTGGAATTGTGGCATGGCGACGGTTGCCTAAATGGCTGTCAGCATCATACGAGAAGGTCAGGTTGGAGCTAACCTTATTTCCAATGGCATCCTGAGCTGGCCACAGGGATGTAGTGGTCTGTTCGCCCCGTCAGTGGCTGCTCTACCGCACTTCACCATGTGTCTCCTCACCTTGCGCTGAGTGTAAAAGTCGAGTCCAGTCTTTCCGTAGAATGGAATGTCACCCATGAATGAACCCTTGTTACCTGACCAGTTGAACATGGGCAATGGAACGGGGACAGCGACATTGATTCCGATTTGACCTGGTTGAGCTTCCACTTCGAACCGTCTCGCCGTAGCACCATTGTTGGTGAAGATGGCAGCTCCGTTTCCGCTGATCCTCGTGTCAGCTGCCGATCCATGATCAAAGACTTGTTGTACTCACTATTTATTAGCATTGATGATTTCGATGGCTTCGTCCAGTGTCTCGGCGCAGATGACGCTGAGGACAGGTCCGAAGATCTCGTTCCTAATGAACGGAGTCAGCGAGACAAAGATCCGTGAGAGGGACGATACACTCACTTGTATGCGGACATGTCAGTGGTGACTTCGACGAGAGTCGGTCCAACAAAGTTGCCCTTGGGGTAACCAGGGACCTCGACGCCACGTCCATCTACCAAGATCTTTCCGCCCTCCTTCGGAACAGAGGCGATGAAGCCTTCGATTCTCTCCTTCGCCTGTGGGGAGATGACTGGCCCGCTGAGCAAGGCGTCAACTCTGACATACGCCACGACTTTGTCTCTTCGCTCACAGATCAGTTCCGTCCTCGAATCCACCGGATACTTTGAGAGCTCTTGCTCGCTCGATCAATTCTGGGATCATCTCGCGAGCAGCTCCGACAAAGATTGCTGGATCTCAGTCTCGTCGTTTTACAGCTGTGACTCACCGACAGACAGAGCCATACATCGCTGACCTGCGGCTCCAAATCCTGCACCGGCCACAGCGTTGAGGGTCAAGTTTCGATTGGCTGTAGGATGAGCATCAAGTGAGACGTCACTGCTCACCGTCAGGCATGATGACGCAGTGATTCTTGGCTCCGAGATTTGCCTGCACTCGTTTTCCTTGAGGAGTCGCTCTGGATACTTGAGCTTCAATTTGGCCGTGAGTGGCTCACCTGTTGTAGATGTGCTTTCCGGCATTGTCTCCTCCAACGAACGAGATAGCCTTGATATCCTTGTGGTCGCATATCCTGTTGACTGTGTCTGCGCTGCCGTGGACGCTTCAAGCGTGTAAGCTTGGTCATGTCGGTTGGTCTCCTGCTCACACGTTGAATACACCTGGAGGCATACCGGCCCGTTCACACAATTCCGCAATAATCATGGTGGCACCTGGGTCTCGCTCAGAAGGTTTGACGACCAACGTGTTTCCAGTCACTGTTGCCAACGCAGCGGACCACAAGACGATCATGGCGGGAAAGTTGAAGGGTGTAATGGCCGCTGTGACTCCGAGCGGGAGTCGACGAGAGTATGTGTCCATGTCTTTGGCTACTTCTAATTTGTCACCGAGTAATGTTGAGGTAATGGCGGAAGCGGTCTCGACGACCTAGGGAATTTGTCAGTCAGGCAAGATTGGGAGATGGAACTCACCTGGAGACCTCTCTGCACATCTCCTTGAGCGTCTGCAAATGTCTTGCCTTGTTCCAAGACGATGGATTTTGCAATATCAGAGGTGTGCTGACGTATCAAATGTTGCAATCTGTGGGCGCGAGCAGCGAGGCGAGGTGTCAGCCGGGTCAATTGGGCGGGGCGAACACAATGGTTCAACTGACTCAAAGATAATCCTCTGACGGCGGATGATACTGGTCTGGGACCATTCTTTGTAGGCCTCTGCCGCTGCCGCGACTGCAGAGTTGAATTCACTCTCCGTCGTCTCCGGCACACGGTTCACAACGGTCTGTGTGGACTGAGCGAGGATATCAGCATCTGCCAGACTCGGTTATGCTCAGACTCACAGGGTCCAGCACATCTAACCATTTGGTAGCTGAACTCTCTCTGAACTCTCCGCCAATGTAGTTCTTCGTGTTTCCACCGTTGGCAGTAGTTCCCTTCCATTTGGACGATACTTCGTCTGCCATCTTAGAGGCGAGCGAAGAGTAGCGGGCCGTCATCATAGATTTCGATGGGGCAGCCCGCAAGGCCTGACGAGAGACTCGGTACATCTTCAGTGACTGCTGCTGAGATACTCGCGATAGCTTGCCGAAATTCAGAGTTCTTCGATGTGTATGACCATAAGAGCTTGCCTGCCTCTTCAACTGGAAAAAGTGCGACATGGGCCCCCTCGTCCGGATCGGATCTTGGCGATGTTATCGCAACCGGCGCGACGACGTTGAAAGATCACGTGATGCTAGGCCCACACTTTCCCACGATGGATGCTTCTATCCCTGAATGCCACACTCGCTATAATTCTACAAAATCCTCGCCGCCTGCAGAGCAACCAATCTTCCATCCATAGACCGTCGATTCAAGGCTCTTTCGAGACGCCGATCAGCCTCAGCTCACCATGTCTGAGGAGGAGAACAACGGTGCTTATCCTCGTCTCCAGTCGTACTCGGCTCCCCAGGAGATTCTCGACGAACATGCCGCTCTGGCTGACGAAGAGGATGTCCCGGATGCTTTCCAGGATCGAGCTCAGCCTAAGCAGGTAGCTGCTAGGCAGACCGATTACCAGCTGAGACGGTTCGAGAGGACAGAGGCATTGGAGGAAGGGGAGGATGACAGTTATGAGGATCGGATGAGATTGGTCAATCTCCAAAGGGAGGAAGAACGCGTCAAACGATATAGAGAGCAAATGGAGAAGGACAAAGAGCAGCAGGACAAGCAATCTCAATTACCTGCTGATGACAAGACGCCTCCAAGAGCTATCGCAGATGGAGATCAGACGCCTCCGAGGGAAAAAATGGAACAAGATGGAGCGTCAACGCCGCCAAAAGCAAAGAGACGGAGGTGGGATGTGGAAGAGACTGAAGTGAAGAAGGAAGAAGGTGGAGAGGACGATGTGCCAAAGAAGAGGCGATCACGTTGGGATCAGACACCGTCTGATGCGCCTGAGGCTGGTGAAGGGAAAGCGAAGAAATCTCGATGGGATCAGACACCCTCAGCTTCGACATCTACCGTTGTCCATGGACAGACTGGTCAATTCACATCAACAGGCGCTATGATGGTCGAAGATAAGCGATATCGAGCCATGACAGATGAGGATCTCGATCATTTGTTACCCGGTAAAGCTGAGGGATATGCCATTTGCGAGGTCCCCGAAGACTACAAGCCCGCTCCGACCGTTCGAAAACTCGTTCCGGCCACTTCGGCAGATCACGGATTCATGATGCAGGATGATTCAGACGCTGCCAAAGCGAGAGCCGCCGTCGGTGGGCTTCAAGGCACGATGGAACAGACTGAAATTGAAGGGATCGGCACGCTACAATTCCTCAAACAAGAGGACACACAATACTTTGCAAAGATTCTAGGGGAAGGTGGCGGAGAAGAGGATGATGTTGGGTATACTCTCGAAGAACTCAAAGAGAGAAAGATTATGCGTCTGTTGCTGAAGATCAAGAACGGAACTCCACCGGTCCGAAAGACTGCTCTTCGACAGATCACCGACCGAGCCAGAGAGTTTGGCGCTGGACCTTTGTTCGACAAGATTTTGCCGCTGTTGATGGAGAGGACTCTGGAAGATCAAGAGCGACATCTACTCGTCAAGGTCATCGATCGGGTTTTGTACAAGCTCGATGATCTCGTTCGACCGTATGTCCACAAAATTTTGGTCGTCATTGAGCCACTCTTGATCGACGAAGATTACTACGCTCGAGTCGAAGGTCGAGAGATCATTAGTAATCTGGCCAAAGCCGCTGGTCTGGCCCACATGATCTCCACCATGCGACCTGATATCGACCACGTTGACGAATATGTTCGAAACACCACCGCTCGAGCCTTCTCTGTTGTCGCCTCCGCTCTTGGTATTCCTGCTCTTCTTCCTTTCCTCAAAGCCGTCTGTCGGTCCAAAAAGTCATGGCAAGCTCGTCATACTGGTATCCGTATTATCCAGCAAATTGCTATTATGATGGGCTGTGCCGTCTTGCCTCACCTTCGAAACTTGGTCGATGCGATTGCAGACGGTTTACAGGATGAACAGCAAAAAGTCCGAACGATGACCGCTCTGTCGCTCGCAGCCTTGGCCGAGTCCGCCGCGCCATACGGTATCGAGTCATTTGACAATGTTTTAAAACCGCTTTGGCTCGGCATTCGTCAACATCGAGGGAAGACGCTCGCGGCGTTTCTCAAGGCTATTGGATACATCATCCCTCTGATGGATCCTGAGTACGCTGGATATTATGTCCGAGAGTGTATGCCGATTTTGATTCGAGAATTCCAAACATCGGACGAGGAAATGAGACGTATCGTCCTACAAGTCATCAAGCAGTGTGCCATGACCGAAGGAGTTTCACCGACGTATGTTAAGGAAGAAGTGTTGCCGGAATTCTTCAAGGCATTCTGGGTCAGACGAATGGCGCTTGACAAGCGAAATTACAAGCAGCTCGTGGAGACCACCACAGAGTTGGCTCAAAAGGGCGGAGTGTCGGAAATTGTTGGCCGAGTCTGCAACGACTTGAAGGACGAGAGCGAGCCATTCCGAAAAATGGTCATGGAGACCATTACCAACGTTGTGGCCAATGTAGGAGCTGCCGATATCGATGAGCGATTGGAGATACAATTGATCGACGGTATCATTTACGCCTTCCAGGAACAGACTCTGGAAGATACAGTCATGTTGGATGGATTCGGAACCGTCATTAACGCGCTTGGATCCCGTGTGAAGCCATACCTCCCTCAGATCGTTTCAATGATTCTGTGGCGATTGACCAACAAATCTGCGAAAGTTCGAATGCTCGCCGCGGATCTCACAACCAAGTTGGCGCACATTATCAAGTCCAACGGTGAGGATCAATTACTGAGCAAGCTCGGAGTGGTCATCTTTGAACAACTTGGAGAAGAATACCCCGATGCCCTCGGAAGTTTGATCGCGGCAGAAGGAGCCATCGCCAATGTTGTCGGAATGACTCAAATGAATCCGCCAGTCAAGGATCTTCTCCCTCGAATGACGCCAATCTTGCGAAACAGACATGAAAAAGTCCAAGAGGCCACCATCAATTTGATTGGACGAATCGCCGATCGAGGTGCAGAGTTTGTCCCTGCCAAGGAATGGATGCGAATCTGCTTTGAGTTGTTGGATCTGCTCAAAGCGCATAAGAAAGCTATCCGTCGAGCCGCTGTCAATTCGTTTGGATATATCGCAAAGGCTATCGGACCCCAGGATGTGCTCAGTGTCTTATTGACCAACCTCAAGGTCCAGGAACGTCAATCTCGTGTTTGCTCCACTGTCGCCATTGGTGAGTCTGCTGTCTGTTCTCTAGCTCGTCCATAGGCTGATGCCCCTTCCAGCCATTGTCGCCGAGACATGTGGACCTTTCACCTGTATCCCAGCCATCCTCAACGAATATCGTACACCTGAACTCAATGTCCGAAATGGTTGTCTCAAAGCTCTCGCATGGGTATTTGAATACGTCGGTGAAATGTCTAAAGACTATATCAATTCGGTCGTCGGGATCCTCGACGATGCCTTGACCGACAGAGATCATGTCCATCGACAGACGGCTGCCGCAATCGTCAAGCATCTGGCGATTGGAGTCGCGGGTCTAGGACACGAAGATGCCCTGACGCACATGCTTAATCTTGTCTGGCCAAACATTTTTGAAACGTCTCCGCACGTCATTGGAGGGATGATGGATGCCATTGAAGCTTTGAGATTGGGTTTGGGATCAGGACCGATCTTGTCATATGTCTTACAGGGTCTATTCCACCCGTCTCGAAGAGTCCGAGAAGTCTACTGGCGTATCTACAGTGAGTGGTCAACACTCTTTCGCAACGCAAATAGCTGACGTTCTTTCCACAGATACCCTTATATTGGGCTCCTCAGACGCCATGGTCCCATTCTACCCCAACATGGGCTCCGCGTCGGATCTCGCTTCTGGACAAGACTACACGAGACACGATTTGATGGTCATGGTTTGAGGGAAGTAAGGCCTGGCATCAAGTAGAAAAATGACAATGTACACTATGTATCGAGTATCACGAAGATGTTCTTCTGGGATATGCCTGGGCCCGAGCTTGCTCTGGCATTTGGTTTAGCGATCCTGCCGTACATCGCAGACAGGATTGTTGATTGAGATTCCGCGTCTGTACTAGCGGAATGCGCGCAATGGTCTGCTCTACGATGGGAGGTTCATGTCGAGACACACGCTCCTCCGCGGCGGAGTTCTGTAATTATTGGCTTAGAGAGTATCCCTGCTGCTTCGTGGATCGTATGCGGAAAATCACCGCACGCTGGCTTGAAAGTTACAGATTCCTCAACGTGCGTCCATCAAATCAAGTCATGCTCACGAATCGTCCTACATATGTATGATTCCTCGCCCTCATCGACGCCACCGACAAAATGAAGTCGGCCAAAGCAACCGTGGTCCCACTTCCTGAAACCCCCTCATTCCCAAACCCTGTTGTTACGTAGCTGATTCTGGCGCCCACATATCGTAACTGAAAGTGCATTGAAATATCGCTTGCATCACAGATGCAAGGTGATCGCACCTTGTGCAAATCCCTTCAGTGGAGTACGCAGTATGTATTGCACAGAACTAAACACGAAAGTGCTTCCAGAGACCTCATCCTGCGAGTGAGACGTAGTAGTCGCCCAAAGTGTTTGCCTGAATTTTCAGTCAGCGACGGATCTTCGATCGAGAGGACGACTCACCGTCCCATCACTGTTCTCGAGACCATTGACATCGGTGCTCATTCCTGGGAAAGCGCCGAACCAAGCCCATCGATGAACCATACTGCTTCCTTCACCTTTGAACCAATCGACAACCGTCTTCATGAAGAGCTCAGTAGCAGCTTGGTCGGGACATGAAGCGCCGGTGGAGTAGTCATGACAATCCCACTGAAAGAATCCGTGTGTGATCAGTCGAGTGACAGAGATTAGGGGCTTTGTGGCTCCTCACTTCAGTAAGCCACAAAGGCTTTTGGAAAGTGGTGTAGAAGTCCTTGCGGCAGATCAGCACGTCGACAAAATAAAGACGGAGAGGTTTTCACCCACTTGAGCATACGAGATCAAGTCCTGCGCATTCGTACCGTAAAAATGGAACGGAACAAAGTCATACTCGCATTTGCCCTCACAAGCTGCGAGCCATTGCTGCCGGGGTGGTCGTTGTCGATCAACACTTGTGGCGCCACACGCCGCCCGGTGTGTCTGGCATCAGAACTCACCTGCATCCAAGTCTTGCCTCCTCTCGCAACGGCTGGTGTACCGATCTGGTACTTTCCATCAAGGGCCGCGACCCATTGCTGGTGAAGCGCAGCTGCGGTTGAAGGATCGATGTCTGATCCTCCATCAGAGGCGGAAATGTCGGCTAGAGAAGGTGTGAGTGAGCAAACAGTATTCCCGCGGAGAGAGAGAGAGTTTACTCACGCTCATTGAATCCAAGGACGTATCTCACGTTGGTCCAAGATGCAGCAGCACTCGCTACGCCATCGACATTGCTTGCAGAATGCACGTTGGGAACGAACTCCAAAGAACCAGTATCACTGCTCGGGGTCAAAGCCCAATTCCAGTACCACGTGAGACCGGGAAAATTCTGGGCTTTGAACAAGGAAGAATAATTGATACCGAGACCTGCACCACCGGCACCTCCACCACCTGCACTTCCTCCAGTTGCACCATTGGATGAATCACTCGGCATGGGAGCAGCTGCTGAGGTGGCCGCTGCCGACGTTTGGACGACGAGTTGAGATGTCTGAACAGCAGCCCGAGATTGCGTCTCGATAACATGCTGAGAGGTCGTTGGATGATCAATCACATTGGACTGATGGTTTTGTCCGTGATTTCCATGGTTTCCTCCGTGTCCGTACCCCCAGAGATTCGCGAATTCCGTAGAGTTACCATGCAGATACTGTCCGCCTGCGGCCGACTTACGACCACACGAGGTCGGAGCTGCCAGAGCTGTTGACAGGCATCCAAGCAGGGCTATGATGGAAGGCGTGACGAACATCCTCTGAGAGTAGATATCGTTTCGAAAGGGATGTGGTCAGAAGAATGGGCTCCGAGTGGGTTTATACGACTCTTGCCGATCGGGTACTGAGGAGTTGGAAAAGGAATGTGAGCGGCCTTGGGATGAAGATCTGGCGCTAGTCAGAGTTCAAGGGTCCTGGTCAGATTAGATCTCGGCCGGTGGGAGAGGAGGAGGAGGAGGAGGAGGAGTCAATGAATCGGTCAACGATTCGAATGAAATGAGATGGAAGGTGGTGCAAAGGAAAGAGCAGCATGTCTGTGACTCTCCCTATATATAACGCGGCCTCTCTCTCTCAAAAGGTACCATATATTCACACAGGCGCAGATATCCTCGTCGTCAAGGAGACCCAGCCAGCCAGGAGCCAGGAGCCATAATGGATCATCAGTGTTTCAGAAATATTAGCCTTTAACGCGAGGGGGGGGGGGAAAAGGGAGGAGGATGAAGAAGAAAAGGACAGACTCAAACGCTCCTTTGTTGCACACAAAACACACACACAGAGACAGTCCAGACCTTAATACATCCTGTCTAAACGCCAAAATATCATACAATCCAGGGCAAGGGGATGGATGCGGCTCAACTGAGCGGGGGAGCTAAAGGAACATAGACCTCGGAGGCTATCGTGGAATGGCCGCGACCTCTGTCTTCACACTCTGAGCTCTTTGAGCCCGAGCAAGTTGTTGAGGAGCGGACTGAAGGACAGATAGGAAATTCAGCATGGACCATCAGATTCTCATCGACGGGCTCACGCTAGACAGCTCAGACAAGTTCGAGACGACCTGTTGAAAGGTTTCCATGACTTCCTTATGTCTCGGCGGAAGGGGTAAATCTCCAATTGGTTTACGGTCTACGCACATGGATATTTAGCATACTGGGATCGAGAGAACGAAGCTACACTCACTCTCAGCGAGTAGCTCAGCATCGTCCTCTGGTAACCATTCCGCAGCTGTGCGGTCCCTCTCTAATCTCTGCTCTATGGCTCGGAGTAAAAATGGCCGTCTTTTGCGTTGTTCCGATACGTTGATATTGAACACGATCCTTTCAGTGTTAAGTCCATAGATACTTCGATCCAGGGCTTCGTCAAACGGTTCAGTCGCTGAGAAAAACAAAATCAGTTGAATCAGGCGGAAGAGCAACTCACCCTCAACGAAATCCTCATAATTGTGTCCATTGACACTGATATTGGATTTCGTCATCCTCCAGAGTTCTTCTTTTATCTAGATAGATAGTATTGCACGTCAGATGCCTTGACTCTGTCTTATGTGACCGCACTCACCCTCGCCAGCCTCCTCTCGGCCTCTTTCCTCACTGCTCTTGACGCCTCACCAGTTTTGCCCCCTGGTAAAGCTGCTAAACGAGCTTCGAGTGATTGATCCAATGATCGCTCAACATTCGCCTTGACCCTGAGCCAGTCACTCTCCGTCTCAACACTGATCCTAGTTATCCCTGCGTCCATGATGAGCCCCTCCAAAGGTCCTGTGGTGATTGGTACAGTAATCGAACAGCACCACGGAACGGCTTGTTGTTGTCAACATGAACCACGCGACGACGGAAGCAAATTTCGGAAAATCCGCGAATGACTTTGCCTTTCTGATTACAGATATTGAACATCCTCTAGCATGTCTACATACCTACAGGCGTGGCGCGAGGGCTCACTGGCTTGAAAGTCAGTGATCACTGGGTCTATACCATAACCGAAGCTCACCTGGGCACTCGCGAAGGTTCTCCCTCACACACGATGGCAACCGATGATCCCGAAAGCCTCGGCTCGACAATGAGCAAACAGATCGATGGTGAGAGATACACATGAGCAGGTACTGATGCGCTTCCTAAAGACTTTCAAAGCAGAGTGAGTCAACTCCTCCGCCATCTCAGCCTTCTCCTCTGACATTTACCAAGTTCAAGACACTCACTTCCGATCTCTCACGACTAAAGGACAGCTGCGCCGAGAAGAAGATCGAGCGGAGCCGTCTCATATCCGAGTGCGCTCAAAAATCAGCTGAGAGAGACTCTATCGCTTCTCATATTGCCGCTCTCAAAAACGAGCGCGATATCCTGCGTTCAGAGGTAGAAAGTACCGGGCGGGAGCGTGAGGTTCCCTATCAAGGTGGAGAAAGCCTCTCCAGCTCTGTGAACGAAATCGGCAAATTTAAGCGGAAAATCTTGGCTCTTGAACTTCACCTCGAACAGGTCGAGAAGCAGAAAGGTCAAATAGTCAAGGATGAACGTGAGGTCGCGAGGGGCTTGAGGGAACGGATCGGTCAATTGGAGGCGTCGGTCCGGGTTGAAAGGGCTCGCGTTGAGCAAGTCGAGTGCGCTAAAAAGGAACTGGACAGACAGAGAAAAGACCAGGAGGAGCATCTTGACAGCCTTATTCGATCGAAATCGAGAGAGATCGAGGAGCTACAGAGTGTATTGAGAGAAGCGAACCAAAAAGTGGCCAAGGTCATTTCAGAACGTGATGACTTACTGGTGAAGATGTCTGAAGTCGAAGCGGCCAAGCGGGCGGAAAGTGTGACGTGAGTCCAGTCTCAGTCAACGGCTGACCGGCAGCCCCAGGAAAGCCCTCCAACCCCGTCCAGCCAATTCAATCATTCTGAGCCGACCTCAATCGCCAATAACGCCTACGAAACAGCAACGAGATAAACATCAACTTGGAGTATCTTCGCGCTCGCCTCATCCATTTGGTCCTGTTGTAGACGCTGACAAACGATACCAGCACCTAAATGAGCAACATGTGGCGCTTCGATCAGAGTATGAACATATTCGTGCTCAATATGCCCGCGATCTGACTCATTGGAAGGAGTACAAAGCGCTGGAAATGGCGAGAATAGAAGTCAAGAAGAAGCGCAAGGCCGAAAAGAAGGCCGCGATTGCCATTGGGAGGGCAGGAACTGTGTTCAAGCCGGATCATGGGACGGAAAAGCCGCCGATTCGTGGTCCGAGTGACTCACGGCCAGTGTCTTCTGGAGAACGAGAGGATCAGGGTCACCCTGATACAGTTCTTTCTTCACAAGCTTCCAATCCACCATCTCAGGAACCCGGCAAGCTAGTCAGCGCATCTGAGGATTCCCAATCAGTCCCTCGACCGCCACAAGCACCAGGTCCCATCTCGCCGACAAAGCTCGAAGTGACGGATCAGGATGACGATCTTGAAGCGGACTACGAAAGCGAGGGCGAGGGGAGATTCGCGGTCATCCCGTTAAATCTGTCGCCAATTCCTACAATTCCTGCTGTTCCAAGCATTGATCTCTCAGGACCTGGCTTGACGATACCCGCAGACCGCCGACTTGACCCTCGTCCTAGTCCTACGAAACGGCGGCTGGAAGAGATGCTCAGGGGCGGACGATGGCTAGGCGGTAACGGTGAGGGAAACGCCAAGACACCCAAGACGGGCTCGAAACGATTCGCCAGCCGTCAGCGCGCTGTAATCGTGGCAGAAGATACCGACATGGAGGAAGAGGGTTCAGACCCAGGTTCAAGTCGCATTCCGCTTATACGAGATCGAGGAATAGGTACGCCGGCGACCACACGAGCTCCTATTGGGCAATCCATCTCAGTGCAAGAGATTTTGGCAAAACGTAAAGCAGGCGACATGATCGATTTGACGCCAAGACAGAAGACTCGCGAGTTGAAGCGGCTTAGCAGCATGACCGCTGTGGAGAAGAGGGAATATTATGCACAATACAAGGGCAAAGGGCGTTACGTCCCTCCGGATACTGTGTGAGTGCACGCTGTCCTGAATGATGGTCGCTGATCTCGCTCGATAGGGAGACGCGGATTCGAGACGAATATGAGATCGATCCAAAGCAGAACGAAGGTGCCAAATTCCAGTTCCATGACGTCAAGAGAAGAAAAGCGGACAGGCAAAAGATGCACGGGACAGATTGCGAGTGCTGCAGAGATGTGAGCTCAAAGCATACCCTGGAGGAGCTGAGTCTCACGACGACGACGACGGCAGTACTACGAGGCAGTCGGCCCGCTCCCAAAATACAATCAAGGTCCTAAATGGCGAGATTCGTCAGATGAGGAGGATGATCGAACCACCGATACAGCGCTAAGAGAACACCAGAACAAGGTCTCTCGACATCGCGAGACGGTGAGTGTTGGTCTGTACTCGGTATGTGACCGGGCTTAGTGGCTGATAATCGTCTTCGTCAGTGGAAACGAAATCCTACGCCACCGGGGTATTGGGAGATTGGCTTTCCTAGCACTCAAAAGGCTGAAGAACAGAACGCAATCGCCGATGAGATGAACAAGGAACGAGCGAGGCAGTTGAAACAGGAGGTCGAGTGGGTATTGTTCTTGTGCCGGATCAATGCAAGCGTTGCTGAATCACTCATCAGGCGCAAGGATAGTCGATGGAGGAAGAAGAAGTAGGGTACTCACCGCAACAGTAAATGAGTGATGAGGTTGCCTTGGGCATCATAGCGGACTCTTCGTGGTCAATATGTATATTAATCATCCATGTTCTCGTAGTTCGGTGTGCCTTGTGACCTCTATTCGGTATGTTCACGTTCCAAATCTGTACAGGTACACAGAGCACGTCTCTGAAGATCCATGGCATTATAACGCATATGCTACAAGACAAGATACCATGCGATCTATTTCAATGTGATCCAAGACTCCCGCCAACAAACAATGCCGGTGCACAGTGCAACGCTCACATTCCCAACTGACTCTTTGGCCGTTCCTTGCCTATAAATCCCGATCTTCTGGCCGATTCTCGCAGATGCGCCGATGGTATCCTAGGAACAGGAGGAGGAGTATTGGCTCCAAAGACAGGGACAGAGATGGGTCTCCCAGGACTAGCTTTAGGAGCTGGAATTCCAGTAGGCGGTAAATCTCCTCCCTCCAGTCCTACGCCGACGCTTGATCGTCTCTTCGATCGCTTGAATCCCGATGGCGTTGAAGCAGGTTGACTGGTGCTACTTGTCAACCCGGCGGAGTGAGGGTATTGAGTCGTTATAGCGGGAGGTGGACCTTTGCCTATACTTCGAGTAGCTCCTTGTCGTGAAGGCGCACGCGAAGTAGAGGCAGATAAGACGCCAGTCAGGTTGGGTGTAGGTGATCGCATGTGTGATCGCGTACTGTGAGGGATCATGCTCGGTGACATGGGTCTTGAATCCGCGAGCGCTTGGCGTGAAGATGATCTCGACATGCCGTTGGGCGTAGCCATGACTGACGAGGTGACTGAACGCGTCGAAGCAAATCGTCCAGAATCCGATTTCGTCATCCCCGTCGCTTTACCCCCTCCGCCATCATCATGTAGTCGAGATGGCGCTCTGGACGATAGAGCCAGATTGGAAGATCTGGAAGCTGGTCGATTGGTAGATTTGCTCAGAGACGCAGCGAGTGGTGAAGGGATACCTGGCCGGCTAGGGAGAGGTTTAGAAGATGTCGATGCTGAAGAAGTGCTGCGGAAATTGGCCATCAGAGGAGACACAGGTTCACGCGGCATCCCATGGTTCTGATTGGTCGGAGTATCCTCATCGTCCACCATGACCCAGCCGTTGGGTGATAGGAACGTCGCACCGGATTTGTCGGCATCCGCTACCGGCGTCATGTCGGGTTTCTGGAGGTCAGTGACACGAGAATGCGATGCTTTGAAGTGTGCAGGTGCATTCACTGTCGATAGATTCGAAACATTCCGCTTACTCTGACCTAGAGGCATAGGTGCAGAGACATTGCGCTTTGGGACCCTGGTTCCCAGCTTGTCATCCGTAGCTTTGAGTCGAGCCTGCAACTCGTGCAACAGCTTGAAACCCTTGTTTTTCGCTGCGAGATTGGCGTTGGCCACTCTACCCGGAGAAGCAGCAGGTAAGCCCCCACGGACTCTTCTGAGGGAGGGCGAGGCTGTGACGCCATTTGCGGCCATATTCCTGAGCGTCGAGGACCTTGACAAGCTAGCGATGGGCGAGTCTGCAACTGAAGACAACTTTTTCGCGGAAGGTGACATTGTAGGGATGGAGGAGACGGTCGGACTTTTGGGAATACCACGAAGGCCAGGTCGCGATTCATCAGAGCCTGGCGTCTTGGAAGGGCGGTGTCTCTGGGGCTGTCCGCTGAAGGAAGCCTCAAGAGAAGAGGAATGATCAAGGGGTAAGTCTTGGGATGGCTCTTCTTTCGGAGACATGGTAACGGAAACTGAGGAAGGAGGAGTAGGCACACCGCGAGTGGCTTGATCGCGTAAAATTCCAATCTCGGTGTTCGCATCTAGGCATTATCAGCTCGTTACCGAAGAACAGTTGCTGTTCCCACCTCTGAGGTCATCTTTCAGTCGCTGGCATTCCTCCTCCAGCTCTTGGCGCTGAACAACTTCTTGCTCCAAAAGCGTCTTCTCCTCTATCGCTCGGTTGTATTTGCTTTCCAAGTCAAGAAGGGAAGACACGGCCACGCTGAAAAAGTGCATGAGTTATCCACCGTCACAATGACTGCTTCCTGAAATGACTGCTCACCGTTCGTTTCTCTCTAGCTCATCATTCCCCATCTCCAGATCCCTCAGCGCAACTAGCGTCTTATCTCTTTCCGAGCGGAGATTGTCCATCTCCCTCTAGCATCACATTGTATGAGCTCCGAGCGTCGATGGAAAAGGAGGGCTCACCTGCATATTACCCACTGTGGAGCTGTGTAGCTTTTGGAGAGCGATGTGTTTCGCCTCGGATATTGTCAGCTCCCCCTGAAGTCCATCAAAGCTATCTAGCTCACCATCCATTCCTCTTTCTCCGTTTCTAGACGCCGAATCTTATCTTTGAGCTCGGATTTCTGTTTCTCCGTAGCCGCAAGCTCTTTCTCCAGCTCATCCTCGAGCTCTTTTGACGAAGCCTGAAATTCGTCTGTACCACCATCATTAAATAAATCTCCGGCGGCTAGATGAGTCAAGCCAACATACCCAGCTCTGCTCTTGTCTCATCTAACGCATCCATGATCCGACGATATTTCTCTCTATAGTGCGAGGCTTCATCTTGCGGAGAGTCAAATCTGATGACAAGTGAGCTCAAAAGCCCTGAGGGGCAAACTTCATGCTCACGTTAATCCCTCGTCGTCCGAATCCAACCCTGCGGATGCGCTACCAGTGGGTCGGGATGATTCGCCATCCTCTTCTGTCCCGGGAGGATGGCCATAAGTGGACGAATCGCCCAACATTGTGTGTCTAATGGCCTCAAGGCTGTTGTCTCACGCAACACGAGCTACCCGATTGATTGTACAATGTTGAAACCAGTGATCACTGCATGGTGTCAACAATAATAATCAGGAGTCTGAGTTCGGGCTGGATGAGCGGCGATCTCCGTCACTGCAATCAGAAGTGCCACACTTGACTGAAACGCCGGTTTGGGTGAGAGGCGAAGGTTTGGAGGTCAGTCAGTGATCATGTTGATCCATTGATAGCACCTTGGACTGAACAAGGAGGGGCACTGTCATATTCTCTTCATCAGCTAGGCAAGGGTCCATCGACCGAGACGCGAGATTTGGACGGACGCTTTGGATACCCTTGCCTAAGTACCCAGACACCACCCACCATGAACGCGGACTTGAAGCGAGTCCGCGAATCGGGTGTAGATGATGGACCTTCTCCACTCAAACGGAGGGCTACAGGACTCGCATCACCTCCGCCAGCTGTCAACCTAGAAGATGCGGGTCTAGAAGAATGGCAGAAAGTCATGGAAGTGAGTTGACATCCGCTTGACGGTATACCTTCTGGGTCGCGCGACCCCTCTGCTCTCAATGTTCCGCCTACATTCGTGTTCTGTTTTTAACCGGATTCCAGCAATCAAGGATCGGTTGACTGACGCGTGACTGGCCAGACACATCGCAAAGAGGCTATCTACCGACAGATGCTGGAAAACCGTCGGCGTGAGGAAGCTGAGCGGAGGCGAGCCGATGAGATCAAACTTCAGGAACAAAAGCTGCAGGCTTCTGTTCAAGCTGTCGAAATCTGCTGGAACCAGGTTCGTGTCTTGGTGAATCCCCCCGGAATGTAAATTGATCATCTGCTTAGCTGGTTGCCGCCGTTCGATCACTCTGCCCAGCGGACAAAACCAACGTTCAAACTGCCCTTGAACGTCAGTCGAGATTCACTTCTGTCAAATACCTTTTGCTGAATAATATGTTGTTCAGCCGTCCTTGACCCTTCCTTACCGCATGAGCATCTCAAAACCGCACTAGAATCAAGATTGCCAGCGACTACTCACCTGGTGGAGACTATTCTCAAGTCAAATCCGAATACAAGACCGTCCAGTGATGAGATTGTGTCTAGGAGCATTCGAGCGGAAGCAGAGGTGGGTTTCAGAATTACTCACAAGTCGTGATCGAGACTGACAGCAGCAAAAGGCCAGCACTATGCGCGCAAACGTACAGAAGCTGCAATCTCAGATAGTCTCACTCTCCGATTCCTCACACAACTTCGAGCGGGACTTGTTACGTGCACAAAAAGCCTTGGATAGACAGCGTATGGAACATGATAAGCGGATAAAAGAATTAGAGGCGCAAACGAGTAGTATGGCATCGCCATCTCTGGAGAAGATTGCGAACGGGTCTGGACACGCAACGCCGAATGGCAAAGCCGAGGATGTAAGCGAGATCTATAGCTAACCGTCTCAAAACTGACAGTCCTCGTCTCAGCCTATGGACAATCAAGCCAATGGTCCTACCACCCTCATTGTCAACTCTGCAGAGCTCGAGGCAAAGGCGGACTCTAGACTGAAACTGTTAGAAACTCTGAGAGCAGAACACACCGCTCTTCAGCAAGAGTGTGATCAGTTGAGACTTCTCGTGAGTCCGGCGCGAGGGTCGTTTAGCTCATGTAACAGGTGTCTCATCCCACCGAAGCCATGCTGCGGCAATCACCATTCTTCCAAGTGTATCTTCAACAATTGGCCATCCAAATGGACCTGGCCACGGGCGCGCAACAGCGATTCGAGGCTTCCGAACAACGGTTAGATCGACTTACTGCGAACAATCAGGAGTTCCAGAACTATGCACTTTCCGACAAGAAGGCAGAGACGGATGTGTTGAGACAGCAGAACGCGAGAAAAGATGCGGATTTAGCGAGAATACGAGGACTCAGGGATGATGCGGCGGCTGAGTTGGCAGAACTCAAGGCGAAGGAGATTGAAAAGATGAATTTTGCGGGTGAAATGGAAAAGCTTGCAAACGCTCGAGCGGTAAGTCTACAGATGGATGAGTCGTCGTAGTGCCAGGCTGACGTTCTCGCAGGATCGTATACAGTTGCTCTCCTCCGAGGTGACAAGACTCAAGGGCAAGCTGGGGGCGGAAGCTGGCTCAGCGGGATATCTGTCATTTCTTCGCGGAGACGGCGGCATCGATGGCGACTACGTCAAAGATCTGGAGGAGAAATTGCAGTGAGTCTCTGCTGCGCGTGACAAGATCAGGATTCTGACGATAAGCAGGGATCTCAGAAGCCAGGTATCAGCCATATCCCAATCCAACAACTCGGCATCCGAATCCCTCCAAGCCGATCTCGAGGCAGCCCGTCGGACACTGTCACGCTACGAACGAGTCCTAGGTCCGAATCCCGAGGCTGTGGAGGATATTCAGCAACTGGCACAGAAACTGGACGCTGCGGACAAGGAGAATGCCAAGTTGAAGCTTCAACTTTCCGAAGCAGAGGCATCGACCAACGCGTTGTACACCGAGGTGGAGGGTCTGTCAAAGCTATGGGAAGGCCTGGACAAGACGGCGCACAGCAAAGTATTCGACCTGAAGGACACGGAACTCAAAATGGGTCGTTTGGCGACGGAAAAGGCCAAGGCGGACAATAAGTATTTTCAAGCGATGCGAACCAAGGAAGCGATTGATGTGGAATGCAAGACGGCTCAGCGGAGTGTAGAGAAACAGCTTAAAATGCTTGACAAGGCACAGGAGGTGGAAAAGGCACTCAATGCTCAGCTGGTGAGTTACATTCCCCGTGGAGTCTTCCGCAGCTGACGGGACGGCTAGGCCACGCACGAGAAAGGCCTCACTGCGCTCAAAACCGAGGCTATGGATCTCCAACGCCGACTCGCATCGGTATCTTCTGAGAAGATCCAATTGGAAACTCGACTGTCTGAATCTCAGAGTTCGCTGGCAGATGCACAGGCCGTCATGCGTCAGCGAGTAGCGGCTCATGCCGCTGAAAAGTCAACCAGAGAAAAGTTGGAAGAGGAAGTGGAGAGCAATGCAATTGTCATCAAGCGATACCAAGAACGCGAGGAGCGGGCCAAAACTTCTGGAGGGGCAGTCTTTGATCAGGACCAAAAGGATGAGACTGAAAAGCTCTGGGTGAGGACGAGCTCCTCTACGACTCTCAGGCGTGCTGTCTGACTTGCTTTCAGGCCGTCCTCAAGTGTCAGTCATGCAAGCACAACATGCGAAGCAAGGTCATCAATGGGTGTTATCACAGTGTGTATCTTGATTTTCTTTGAAGGCACGATCACTCACTTTCAATGCTAGCTTTCTGTGCGCCCTGTCTCGACTCGCGGATTGAGACGAGACAACGCAAGTGCCCGGCTTGCGGGAGGTCCTTCGCGAAGGAGGATGTCCATACGATCTTCTGGCAGTAGGAGGGGTGCGCGTGGCGTCGCGCCAAGTCATTCGCAGTACAGCATGTGTTTCCTTGAGAGCAGTCGTCGTTCTCGCCTCTCCTTGAGGGTTTCCATGGCGCTTCGATACGCAACGGTACTCCCAAAACAGAGATGCATGGCTCATGTCATACCCAAAGCTCGATGGTGGATCATTTGTAGTATTTTGGAGGAACAAATGGCATGGGTCGAATGAAGGCCGGTCTGAGCTTCTTTCTGACTTCAACCTGAACTTCAGTTCCTTTCTTGTGATGCCCAGATGCGACGTATCCCATGGCAATGTTGGTGCCAGTTGTAGGTGAGGGAATACCGGAAGTCACGATTCCTGCAGTTGATCAATGCAATGCCCTGTGCTGGTAGACTGATGACTTACCGATCTCCTGTGTGCCTGTACTGTCGAAGATCTTGCTGCCTTCTCTTGCGGGTGGGCCTTCAACTTGTAATCCTACCCGTCGTCTGGATGGACCGTTGGCAATCTCAGACAAGATCCGAGATTTCCCTGGGAATGGGCTGGCTTCTTCTGATCGTCGCTCTTTGCCTATTGAGACGTCAATTGACATTCACGAATCTCAAGGGTCCAGACGGTTGCCTCACCGATGGTCCATGTCAGTCCCGCTTCTACTGGACTGATAGCTTCGTTCAGGTCATGTCCGTAGAGACACATTCCAGCTTCCAGCCGGAGTGAGTCTCTGGCTCCGAGGCCAATCATCATGACATCGGGATTGGACGCTATCTCCTTGGTCAATGCCACAGTGTGTTGCGGAGGGATCGAGATCTGGATCATCGGTAGTCAGACCTGCTCCCCAGCCTGACTGTGAGGCTAATCTCTCTCTCTCACTCACCTCAAAGCCATCCTCTCCGGTGTATCCTCCACGAGCGATATGGCACTTGACCTTGTCGTGACCGACCGGAGCAAACACGCTCTTTCCAAATTTGAGGCTTGTCAGATCTACATCCTTGATCAAAGCCTGCAACACCTCGGCGGATTTAGGTCCCTGTAACGCCAATAGTCCCCAGCCGTCCAGAGTCTCCCATCTGACCGGTTCACTCTGGTGAGATTCGTTCCAGTCTCGTAATTTCTCCCTTATCAACTCTTTATCTTCCTTGATCCGACCGGCGTTCGTAACGACATAGTAGGCTTCCGAGCTCGATTGCTTGGTGACCATCATGTCGTCAATGATACCTCCTTGTTCATTGAGGAGGACAGACAGAGACGAGGTGAAAGGCGGGAGGGCGTCCAGTGAAGTAGGGCAAAGAGACATGAGGAAGGCTTCGGCAGAATCACCCGTGAAGCGATGTTGCAGCATGTGAGAGACGTCGAATATACCTGCAGCTGTCCGGACATGGTTGTGTGCAGCCACTGAGATGGCCAAATCAGCCACAGATAGCTAGCGTATGGTCTCTTGACTGCTCTCACCTTGGCCTATATCGCCGTAGGATAAGGGCATGGAGAATCCAGCAAAAGGGACCATTTTCGCGGATTGGGAAACGTGAAACTCGTACAGCGGTGTCTTGCGAAGCTAGCTCACGCTGTCAGACACGACGAGGAGCCCTCTTGTGACTCACATCTTGCCATCGTGCAGCAGTACTAGCGATGCCTCGTCGGCTTATGAGTCGTGTTGCTTGTCGCAAGGCATTTCGAGGTGTAATCTCCGCTGGAAAGATAGCCGCACGTCGCAGGGACCGGGACAACATGGTGAACAGTCGTGGCTAGCCAGCAGGCAGACCAAATCGTCGAAGCGAGCTGTAAGTGAGGAAGGAATGAGCTTCCTGCCGATGCTCGTCGAGAAGACAAAGCCGTTCAAGCCACCAAGACCTTGGTCCTCGTTGGAAAAAAATCAACGGTTCCAAAATATTGGAATTCAATTTCGGATCTCGGACCGCCGGTTTGGAAATTAATAAAGCGCAGGGTGGTAGCCTATCGTGGTGACGTGTAGATGCATACATATAGTCATAGTCCCTCCAATCAACTCGCTCTCTACGGTCATCACATAGCACCTTCAGGCTTGAGTCTAGGAGGCGATCAGTCATGCAGCGGAGCAACCAGAGACTAGCTCACGATGAACGACCCGCTCGGAGGATCTCGTCTGTGCTCAAGAGGTTGACAGCGATGACGGAACTGTTTCGCGGTTCAGCTGTTAGGATCAAAAGTCACGATGCAGTTTAGCCCACCTGGAATGTAGCATTTGCCTCTTGACTCTGTAGTTGTCCCAGATACCCTCCACAACAGGATTCATAGGCTCTCCGGACCTCAAATCCAGTCCAACGGGATCATCCGTTTCTTCTGCCTCCTGCTGCAGTCCAACAATGGCATCCTGAACATCGTATCCTCCGTTTGACGCAAGCGTCTTGGGGATGACCAAGAGAGCCTCCGCGAACGCAGCGACTCCAAGCTTAGTCCTGCCCTTCGCACTAGATTTCAAGGCGGTTCCCAAGTGTGCAGAGCACGCCACTTCGAAGGCTCCAGCTCCGGGCACGAGTGATTTGTCTTCCAGGGCGTTCTTGACCGACCGGAACCCATCGCGAAGAGCATCCTGGATCTGGGTCATAGTGTGCGCGTTCGGGCCTGAGGTGAGGGTGAGCTGCGGTTTCTGGCCATCAAGCTCACCTTTCACGAGCATAGTCACGCTCTTTGGCTCTTTGACCTCCTCTACAAAGGTGTACTTCTCCTCGCCCAGTGTATGCTCGTAAACCAATCCCGCCCATCCCAGGACGTCAGGTGTGAGATCCTCGACAGAGTTTTGAGCCACACCACCGCAGCACAGTTGCAATCTAGACCCGGGTATGAGCATAGGGGTGACAGAACAAGGAGGGCACGGCCTACCTCTCCATGTTCCTACGTTTGGCACGTCGTAAAGCCAAGATCCCGGCCTTTGTCAGAACGTCCAAACTCATTGGATCAATACCCTTCTGGTTGATGACGACGAAGTTCTTCTGCTTTTCTCCGGATCCAACGGCCTGGTCGCAGACGGCGTTCTTGAACTCGACAATCTTCTTCAGCTTCGCGTCGACGAATCTCCTCTCGGACTCCACGAGCTTTTCACGTTGTTCAGCTGATGAATAGAAGAAACCAGAGTTGACCTCGCTAAGCGTCTGTAAGCATGTTGACTTGGAGCACTCGCAGGTCCGGCACTTCGACTCACGTCTTTTCGTATTCCAGTGAAACGTTCAAAGTGAGGATGTAGGCATTTTCGACCCTCTTCGGCATGTCAGGATGCCTGGCTCCGTGGTCCATCACTAAACCCTTGACCAACTGAGTGTCCGTGTCGACCTTGTGCTGCATCTTCATCACTTCAATCATGTGCAAGTCGATAGGGTCCCTCCAGCCCTTTTCATCCTCCTGTGGCCGGATGGCCAGAACGGCATCAACGACGTCTGCGGAAAGCTTCTGAGCGAGAGCAGAGTGGAGTTTGGTGGAGAGGGAGGTATGAGCGACGTTGATGAGATTGGCTCGGTCAAGGTTAGGAGATTGCTTAAAGGTTTCGAGGAACTGAGACAAACGTCAATGGCTGAGCCTGCCTCTGGGTGAATTCAGCAGCTCACCGACAAAGCCTCCTTCTTAGCCATGTCGAATCCTTCGCCAATGACTCGAGGGTGAACTCCTTCCTGAATGTACCTGTCCGCCTGCTTCAACAGTTCTCCAACGAGCAAGACGACAGAGGTTGTTCCGTCTCCAACTTGCTCGTCCTGAGCGACGGCTGTACGTGCAATCATAGCTGCTGTCGGGTTCTGCTGCAGTCAACATGACATCTTGTATGAAGGGTCCATGCACATACCTGAATTTGCATTTCGGAGAGCAGGACCTTCCCGTCCTGTGGCAATTGGCGTTAGCTGAGATAATGTGACGAGCCCATAGAATGCCACCTTTGTCATCTTGATCTGACCCGAGCCATCGACCAACATCTTGATTGTTCCTCGTGGCCCTAGGATGATATTAGCTTCTGAAACAAGTGGGCAGAGTGATGCTCACCAAGATTGCTTTTGACTACATTGGCGAGGCCAACAGCTCCGGCCTATCTTATATCAGCCCCAATACCAATGGCACAGCATGCGACTCACCGTGTTGACCTGCAGTGCCTGTGTCCGCCTGACACTTTCGGCTTTTGGGTTGATGAGCTCGATACTGGACATGGTGGACGTCGAAGATTGGGTATGCCACAGTGGTCCTAAGTATCGATCTAGTATGATTTATATCAGTCAGGACCTCGTTATCTGATACAAGTAATGCTCTCACTCTCGCTGGAGCGCAATGTCGAACACCAGGCTACTCTGTCGCTGCTGAAATGTTCATGCACGGCGACGGGACGCGAGAGACCGTGACTGAAAGAGGTCATAAACATTATTTAATTCCACATATTTTCGAAATATTTAATCCCAAGATCTTTGGATGCTGAGATGCCATCTACGATACCAGTCGATGAGCGATAGTCTACACCGGTCAATCATCGACACAATGAGAGTGTTACCGAAGAACAAGCTCTTCGCGAAGACTCAAACCATTCCTGGATATGGTCACTTCTTGACGCCGTTGAGAAAATTGATCTTGGATTACAGCGATTGGTCACCGGTACATGACGGATTAAGGTGAGTAGTTGTCTTTTGGACTTCGGGGAGGCTCGTAGGTCCATTGCAGAGAAAGCGGATGACAAGGACGGGGGAAGAGTACCACATGACCGTTGAACCTGACACTTTCTACTAGATCATATCTCAAGGGTCCTTTTGTCAAGGTTGCACAAGCCAACCCAGATGTCGAATTCGTAGTCAGGATGGTCCATCGTAACGGGAACGGATTGCTGAGAGGCCACTATGGTGAGTCTTATTAGTCTCACCGCAAGGCTGTGCTAATACGGTCACAGTCAATGGGAGAGACAAGGTCATTTGTGTGAACAAGTTGACTCAATCAGAAGTTGCAAAGAAGGTGAGATGAGGAGGCACCAAGACGCTCAGAATCAATTGCTCACATGACACACGACTGCAGGTCGACATCCTACTCAATGCTTCTGGCCTGCAAATCAGATCAATGAAGAACCTTCAACTTCAACATGCTCCTGGAGCCGAATCAGCTCGAGGTATTTGGAGTTCGTTGCATGCTGCCAAGGGGTCCGCTGGTGCATTCAAGATATAGATTGTGTCGGACAGTTATTAGGGCAAAGACAAGCAGGATATAGCCCGATTTCCTGTCTGTCAAAAGGCTGCAGAGGAAGAGCATGGGAGTCATGGACATGGTCCGAGATGGAGATATCATCAGAGCATTTACGATCGACAGGATGGCAAGTGGCAAGCCTATCGACATTATTTTGTATGCATATACGACTCAAACAGCTCTATGTTTGCATCTCATCAGTCGGACTTCCGACTCGTACTGTACTCTTCTGTCAGGGATCCTTCAGGCGCACGGAGTTACAGTTCCTGAAAGTATCTGGTGTTCCTTGTGTCAGCCGCTTTGATCGCCACCACCGCCTGTTGGCCTCTTGACTCACTCATCAATCTGCCAAGCTTGAGACCACTTCTTCACCTCGACTTTCAGACCCTCCTTCTCGCCTTCGTTCTTGATCCTGGCATCTAGCTCCATGTTCTTCCGCACGAGCGCCCAGTCACCCTCTTTCATCCGTAATAGTGGGCAAAAGTCGTTTCCACCATCACCAATATACACGATCTTCTCATACGAACTCCTGCCACCTCGCTCAGAGATATAGGCCTCCAATTCTTCTCCTTTACACATGTTAGCTAAGCATCCGACCTTGCAATCGTGTTGAGGGCCGTTTGCCGGTACTCGACGGCCGATATCTAATCGGTTGGAGTTTGAGCTATTCCATGAAGCGGGGTTGGTGATTATATTGGAGAATAGGTCTGTCAGGCCGTGACGCTAGATTTGAAGGTCAATATAGCATCGTTAGTCTACATTCCTTCCTCTCACCTCAAGGATAGTGCTTATGTACACTTCGTTGGAGTTGGAGAGGCATAGATATTCGACATTGGGATTCCGCTCCCTTAGACCGAGGACAGCGCGGCGCATGGCGGGATGCTGGGAGCCTATCAGGACACATTTAAAGGGAGTGTCTTTCAGCCTACTCACAAATGGCAATATCCTCAGGGCGTCCAGGACCTGATCTTTGGTGAACCCCTCCTCAGCAAGATCACCCATGGTGTCGTTGCTAGCCAGCTTATCAGCGATGTGATATTACAGTCAAGCCAGCAGGCAGAAGATCAGATCTCAGCGCAAATAATGCGCGTCTCTCTGCTTGACTCATGGTGCTCGCTCACTACACTCACACTACGTCTGGCGTACATTGACTCCCGGCGCTCTTCCTAGTCTCGAGGAGTCTTCTGAGCTTTGTCGAGAGCACCTCGAATACCCATCGATCGGTATCCTGATCGACAAATGACCAATCAAAGTCAAATACGACAAGTGTCTTGCCCATCGCTTGTCAGGCTGAGTGAGTTGCGGACGGGTCGACAACGAATCAACAGTTCACTGGCAGACACGTTCGATGGAATTTGGACTTTTCCTCAAATTCCGGCCCAGCGGACATTGTCACGATAAGAAGTGCTGTCCCATTGGCCACTCGACATCGACTCGGAAATTGTCCCATGGGACAGTGCTGTGCCCTTCATGGCAATGGGATGTCTACATAGACTGAAAGGAATGCTATGTACGGGTGGGATGGACTCGTTCTCCGTGTCTCATCGTGTATCGTTACAGGTTGAATAATTGTCCGTTGTGAATCTTTGATCGTGCTTTGAAATCGCCATCTACGCCTGTCTGTGCACTGCTCTAGAATTCGCTACTCCTGGCCGGCTGGTTGCCCGACATTATGCCGCCACGGCAGTCGAGCTAATTGTTCCATTTATCGACGCTGTCGCTGCGTCTGCCGACATGCCAAGTTCTCCTAGATCAGGAACAACCAATGGACCTGGGGCATATGAGGCGGATCTGTAGTCTTTCAGCCGAATGGCACTTCTCTATCGAGACTAAGAAACAGGCCATGCACTCACCTGAGTAGGTCGATGAATGAGCGCTCGATAAGCATCTACGATTGTCAAGCAGCAAGGCAATGATTAGAGCAAAGAGGCGGGATGGTCATCCTCCACGAAGGAACAGTGACGGAAGCCACAATAGCGTTTGGACAGACAAGGGAGAGGATAATTGCAAGTCGAACCAGCCGGGAGGATGTTGAGGATCACGTGGGAGCTTGCCGTGAGCAGAAAGCCAAAGGGGAATCAGGCGATCGAAGCATACGTGGGCAAAAGAGTAGTAGCGCCAGTGAGACCATGGGAAAGCGTATCGATACAAGCCTGGGATCTGGAGCTTGGAAGGATCGGAACAGACCTGCGTTGATATGCGCGTCAGCCATTTTGACCTCGGAGACGATGAGAGGCCATCCAATTGCTCACTTCGCTTCGAAGGGATGTCATGACTGACACTTTGTCGGTCAGGATGGCCTTGATACCCCAAGTCATGGCGGTCCTCATCTCGACTGGATCGTTGACGGTCCAAACACATATCTCTTTGCCTGCCTTTCGGCAGTCCTCCATGAAATTCTGACCTTCCTGACCCATGAGGCACGCGAAATTGAGTGAAAAGCCATGGCATGTGTCCCAGAAATATCTAGATGGTGTCTCATGAGATCACATTGTCCCTCGCACGGGGTTGTACTCACTTGCGAACGACGTTGGGCGAAAACCCAATGTGATAACGCGTCAGAAGAGGAAGGTATTTGAACGCGGCTTTGAGGAATTGAGGATGCCATAATCCGAGGATTAACCTAGGAGCGAGATCATGCTCCCAGTTTTCGTGTTGTCTGGGAATAATGAGCCGATCAATCCAACGAATGATAGGTCATCAAGCTCACGAGATGACACGAGCCATTTCAGGCTAAGGGTTGTGAGACTACTGATAATGGTCGATTAGGTCCGAACAGCACTTACAAACAGCTTTTCTGGATCATTCTGCATCTTGCAGTCAATCTAAAACAAAGTCAGATCCTGCCAGTATGATGAGTATTTGTGTCAGCTTACATTGAGAGAGACGTGACGGTTGTTGGACTGTCGCATCCATGAGCTTCCAGAAGATGACCTCGCGCTGGTGAAAACTCACTTCCATCAGCAACGCAACGAGCTCCTCGAAACGAGGTATAGGTTGAGGGGGTTGTGCCTTTGTCCGGACATGTCTGCGATGTCAGAAACAGACTAAAAGCTTATCCTCTGTCACTCACTCAATACCGCCATGCCATCGCTGGACCCTGATCAAGCCGGTTCCATCCGTCGTCCGATCAAGGTCGGCATCATGAAACATCAAGATGACTCCATCGGCGGTGGCGTGAACGTCTGACGCAGATGAGCTCGGACACAATATCGACAGACACGACCACGTACCACTCTCAATACCCTCTGCCCCTTCTTCAATCGCAGCTCGAAAACTTGCAAGGCTGGACGACATCAGCAGCTGCGACGGCGGGAGACCACGCAATGACTCACGTATTTTCAGGAAGCAGCGCAGAAGCACCTCTGTGTCCCCAACATTCTATATCTTTGGGTTGTCGAAATGGCGTGGGGACAGGTCCGACGGCAGGTTCAAAAGTACTCGAAGGTGTCGAACTGCCGTTCGAGTTTGAGTCGGCCATGGTGTATTCGGATGATCCGTGGGACACGTTCTTGCGCTTGACCATGATGGGCCGAAATAATGGGGAAATGGGAGGCCTCAGAGAAAGTCGATTGTGCAGTCAGTCGAACAAACTGCTGGGTCTCGTCGATGATATCTATAGCGAATCGTAAACGGTCCAGTCGTCACTAGTCTTATCTGAAACAGGTCGAATTCGGAGCCGGGGTTTGTCACTGCATTCCACAAGATGGATGTAACCAGACTTTCTTATTGGTCCTACTTGGAGAGGACTTTGCCGGTCGATGACCTCGCACCAGAGTCGATGAACCAGTCGCCTGACGCCGGACAATGTCAGATGATGCTCAGTGAGCTAGCTGGATGATTCCAATTCTTTATCCGTTTCTGATGCGCACGTAGTCGGTGCAAGCGACGCCAAAAACTGAAAATTTGGGTGAATTTTTCCCAGCCAGCAGTTGTGAGGTGAGCCATGCATTCAGCAGCAGCAGCAGCAGCAGGGCACAAGGCAAAATCGGTGCTGTGAGTAAGTTGCCGTTCCCCGTCGTCAGGTGCTATTCTTGGCTGCAGCGGCTCAGGAATGCCCTCCCGAACGCAGGCCCTGCCTTCATAGTTTGAATTCTGCTCTGACACTGATCACCTGCGTGAACCGGACCATACGGCCGTTGGTCCGTCCGAATCGGACTTCGGCTGACAACTTGGGAATGTGAGATTAATACATGTGAACGACAGCAAGATCGCAGAGTCGGATGCTTGCAGAATAGCGCCTAGTCAGAGGTCACACCATCTCCTCTCAAGCTGGCACCTTCATCGCCGCTGCTCGCCGCGGCCCAATGCCCAGCATTCTTCACAGCCCCGAGCCTGGCACCTCGTTCACGAAGAAAGGAAACGACTTCAGAGCCACCGCGTTGACCTCGAGGTAATGGCCTTTCCCACTCGTTAAGGTCCTCGTCCTCTTTCGAAAGCTTGAGCACGTCTCCTCCGAACCGCTCTGCGAGCCAAAAGGAAGCATTGACTTGCGCGTCTTGAGATTCCAGCTCGAACAATGTCGATGCGAGCTCTTTCGCGGCTTCGAGTCGGTACCGGAGCACATGCCGCACTAACACTCGTGAGGGAAGACGTACAGGACGTTTGTACTTCTCGGGTTGGGTTGCAGGGGGCAAACCGGCGATCTTGGGCGGATCAGGCGCGAATTTGGTCCATGATTCGAGGAACGACGGAAGTGGCATTTCCCAATTCCTTGGAACCCAGACACCGATCAGAATACGCCAAGCAGCCACTAGACGTTTGTATCTGTGCGCTAATTCAGCTTGCTGTATATCGAGTGAAGGAAAATCTAAGCTCACGCTTCGTAGTTCTCGTCAATGAGGCGGTAATGATAGCGTTGAAGGGCCCAGACAATGACAGCGGCGATGCCTGCACCAAGCGGCACCTGTCTGAAGATGGACCAGACGATGAAGAACAGAATGGGCACACTGATCGTACTGAATAAGATGCCGAAGACCATCTTCATCATGGCCTGGGTCTCCAGCTCGTCCTCTACCATGCGAGCGCCAAGTGTTCCGACGACATAAGTGGGAAAGTTTACGATGAGAGGAATGAGGAAGAATGGAAGATGAAACAAGGAAATGATCGTATCTTTGACGAGTAGCCAGAGGGTGGAGAAACGAGATGGCAGAGCGACTTTGCGTGTCGGATCGAGAGTCTGAGGGAGAGGAAGATCGGTCAAAGCGGCATTGGTCAGTCGAGAAGAGGCCAAGAGTCGGTGGTAATTGACTAAGAGGCTGCGGAGGTTGGAGATGCGCTCATTAGAAGTAGTGGTAAAGAGGTCGACGAGCCTGAACATCAGTGAACACACGCCAATCATTCCTTACGTCTGAGCGACATCGACATAGTCTTGAAGCTTGAGGGAGTCCTCGCGCTCCCATAATAGTTCACGAGCCATCTGTGCTGCGAAGCTGGTGTCCCTATCTTGGTCGTCAGATAATGGATTTGCAAATTAAGGACTGACTCACCAATCCGCGGCGTTCACAGACATCATTTTCATTTCTGTATCTACCTTTCTCGTCAATCGTTTGACTGCGAGTTTGCGCTCCTTCTCATCGCCGTTCAAGAAGTCCTGCTCGTACTCGTCCATGGGTATGGCTTGACCGTAGCTGAGCAGGGTATCAGACATGGACCGCGGATCATTCCGGTAGCTCACTGGACCGCGACTCTACTGCGGTACTTTGACTTGTCGACGTATCCGATAGCCACAGGTACAATGATACATTTCCTGCCTTTCTTTGGACCTCCGTTCTCCTTTGACCCGTGGAGATACTGAAGGTATTCGAGAGCGGCCCAGGCGGTACCATCCTTGAGCGCAATCAAATGCGGTTCAGTATGAGATGTGCCTTCAGGGAAGACTCCAACGCATTCGCCAAGCGCCATGGCTGCGGGTAGAAGGTCAGACAGCTCCTTGTAAGTGTCTGGAATGTGCTCACCCTCAAAGGTACCCTGGTAGAGCTTCTGATTGTTCTTGTTTTTCCGGTCCACAGCTGTGCCAAATGTCAGCTCTAGAGCAGATGCGCAGGCTTCAAGCTCACCGATGTTTCCCGCATTGCGCATGATGACGCCCGCTATAGCCGGTTTGAAGAGTGAATCTTTTACCTTCAAGCAGTGTCTTTGAGCCTTCATCCCACCAAGACTCCTTTCGCCAAGCTCACCCAGTAGTGCAAGAGATGACCGTGAGGCACGGTCGTGCTCAACACGGCGGGCTGTCATTCAGTCAACGCTTTGGGTTCACGACTCACGTCGACAGCCATATTCGTATGAGAGCAAGCACTGTCTATGTCAACACCTCGGATCATCGACCACACAAACAGCACCTACAAGATGATGGGTCCTTGTTCAGGGACATTTTCAGCTCCGAATACCTCGATGGACCGGAAGAATGAGCATATAGCTGAATTGGCCAAAGCCACCAAAGGCTTGTGAGTTACTCCGAATGGCATGACGGCCTCCCGGAGCTCTTTAAAAGGGCAACGAGTGGCAAGGACGTGTGACAGACGCTGATACCAGGTAGGTATGTAAAGCAGAGCACACGTCGGACGAAGATCCCCGGATATCTCAATTGAACAGCGAGGACATTTTGCTTCCGTGGAGCCAAAGCGGACATCGCCGTTGGATAGAAGAATTTTTGGAAGGATCCCGAATGTCCACTGCGTTGTCAACCAGCAACCAACATTGAATAGCATTGAATTATGGCCACCTCAAAGACAGTCACCCTATCGAAGGAGAGCCAGGAGGGTCAGCTGATTCGATAGCTCTGTTTGCCCAGCTGACATTGATCTCAGGCCTTCACGCTGCAATTCTCGCTTATCTCGTCGAGAAAGGCTTCACTCGATCCGTCAAAGCGTTCAGCAAGGAAGCCACTGCGAGCTCAGGAGGACATGCTCAATCGCTCATGAAAGCGTGGGAGAACGTCAACAATAATGAGTGAATGCCATCTGTTCATATTACATGACAGTTGCTGATCGTAATACACTGTGCACAGCGACAGCGACGCCGAGGACAGCTCGGATGAGGATTCCGATGCTGATTCTGAGTCGTCCGATTCATCGGAGGAAGAGGAAGTAGTGGCGAAGCCGGGAATAGGTGCAAAGGGTGAATTAGGAAGAGGATCTGTTGGGTGTGTGAGCTGACGCTGTCCAGCCGTTCCTGTCAAACCAGCAGCTTCGATCAAGAAACTCGATGAAGAGTCTGAATCGTCCGACTCAGGATCAGACTCTGGCTCTGAGTCCGATGCGTTTTCTTCTTCTTCCTCCTCCTCCTCCTCCGCTTCAGGGTCGTCGAAATCCTCAAAATCTTCTTCTTCATCAGGCTCGTCAGCTGGATCTTCGTCTTCCGAGTCTACAAAGGTCGCCCCTGTTGCAAAGAAGGCCTCGACTCTCAAAGTCAACACTAAGAAGGTCGCCACGAAGGGCGATACTCCGCCGAGTGCTTCGACAACTCTGGATGATGAAGAGAGTGAGGAGGGTGATGTCGAGCCGGTCGGAGGATTTTTAGATGTCGAAGCGGAGGTCAGTGACGATGAGGAAGTGAGCAGTGATGAGGAAGAGGAGGACGACTCAGAGGAGGAGGATTCCGAATCTGACTCGGATTCTGAAGAAGACGATAGCGAAGATTCCGAATCATCTGAGGACGAAGAGCCTGTTGTCAAGAAGGCCGTCAAGACTGCCAAGGCTAGCGCTCCAGTGATAGGTACGAAGCGAAAAGCGGCTTCTCCATCACCTTCCGATTCGTCCGCCTCTTCGGACTCCGCTGCTTCATCTACCTCGTCGTCATCCTCTTCTGGTTCATCATCCTCTTCTTCTGGTTCATCCTCCACTGCATCGTCCACGCCCGGTCCATCGACAAACAAGAAGCGCAAGGTTAATGTCAACGGGGATTCCATCGTCACTGAGACATCGACCGTCCCCGGAACAGCCACGACGGCCATTGGAGAGATGACGCCGGTCGCTGTGACCACCACAACTACCACTACATCTCATCCTACACCGAACGGCAGTGTCGAGGTTTCAAAAACGGTCGACGTCATCGTCAAGGACAACAAAGGCAAACGCGTCCCAAATCAGCGATTTGAGCGTATCAAAGCTCAGAATGTGACATATCATCATGATGGGTTGAAAGACAACTCATTCGATGCGAGAGTGAGTATGGAATCGTTCATGGAGGATCATGGACTGATGTTGCCTTTAGATCGCCGCTGGAGCACCAGTGAATGATTATGGAGCCAAGGCATCAAGGGACTTGATCGTGACTCGAGGAGCTGGGTTCCGCAAAGAGAAGAACAAGAAGAAGCGAGGCGTGAGTCCAGATCAAGAGGCAAGTGCTTCACTCGGCTGACTGCACGTCACAGAGCTACGCTGGAGGGGAGATCACCATGCAGTCTCACAGCATCAAATTTGATGATTGAGCACAATGAGATCGAGCGCCTTGGCCCATGTTTCACTCGCGAGACCTCCAGGCGGGGCGTCCGACCTTTGCTGGTCTCTCGTGTGGGCTTCCCAGACTATATGTATGTAGATCATTTCTTTGCATTTGTTTGTGCTTGGCCATCTTTGGCGCACTTACATATTATCGAGACTCTGGATTATGATGAGGGTTGGACCTCGTTTACAACGTATTTACTTTTGTTTCCAGTCTTCAGTCACCTGGATGGTTTCTAAGGTAGTCTAAGCAGGAGGGTTGGACCCCCAGTGGGCGGCGGAATGTTCTACAAAGGAAGGGAGTTCAAGGGGAGGGGGCATATAATCTAGGAGGGTTGGACCTCGATACAAGCTTTGCCAAAAATGTCGTCAAGAGATCATGAAGGATCACGTAGGAAAGACAAGAGGGTTGGACCTCGATGCGATGAGAATAACACAGAACCGGAACCTTGTGTGATGAGTTGAAATGGGAGAAATGCGCTAGAGGGTTGGACCTCGATACAGTATGGTGATTGCTTGCGTGCGGAGACGTTTGGTTGTCGTAGATGGGTATAAGCAAGACGGAACGAGGGTTGGACCTCTGGTATCTGACAAGTCTGTGTGAATATGAGGGGTATGAAGCAGGATGCTCAAGAGGGTTGGACCTCGGTATATATATGGTGGCAGGGTATATCGACACGCAAGGGTTGGACCTTGGTGCGTTTTTGCTGAGGCAGTGGCCAAACTGGCCAAACCGGTCTCGATTAGATCGATCTGGACGGTTTGATCGTCAAGCACGATTCGTGAATGACATTAAGAGCTTTGACAGCGTCCTTGTTCTCAATGACTGGATAAGATTGTCAGCGATTGAGGGCCTCAACTAACCCACCACAACTGATGTTGATCTCGCTAGCTCCTTGACTGATCATCTCTATGTTGATCATGGCCTTTGCCAGACTGCTGAACATGAGCCCGGCGGATCCAATAGCATTGCGCATATTGCGTCCAACGAGAGAAAGGATGGCCATGTCTTTCGAGACCGTGATTTCGCCGATTCTTTCAAGATCCTTCACGAGTCTGTCGAGTCTCCGTTGAGCATGGAAATCTTGCATCGCCATGGAGACCTAAGACCGGCATCAGCCAATACATGTGAAACCTAGCGAAAGTTACTCACGTGCACTTCGGACGTCGAGATGAGGTCAACTACGACTCCAGCACGATCCAGCGTGCCAAAGATTCTAGCCAAGAATCCATGAGAGATAGTCTTGCGATTCGAATGAATGTTCAAGACGATAATGTTGTCCTTGATCGTCACTGCAGTCGGCATTCTACCCTCAATCTTGTCCTTCTCCTCTTCAAGGATTCGGAGCGCGGCAGGAGGGGAGCTGTCTATGCCTCGCGGGAAGCCCTCATCAGGGTAAATGATGGTACCTGATCCAGCTGGATGATCGACATTCTTGATTCGGATTGGAATTTGAGCTCGAATGACTTGTTCCATAGTGAATGGATGAATGACCTCGGAACCATAGTAGGTCAATTCGGCAGCTTCATCAGGAGTAATGACGGGGACCAAGCGAGCAGTGGGGACTTTTCGAGGATCCGCAGTGAAGATACCGTCTACTTCCTTCCAAACCTGGAGCTCTTTAGCCTGTACTCCAACGGCACATAGAGCAGCACAGAGATCAGTGTAGCCTCGACCAATCTGGGCGAGGAGAGAGCCGGGGACGGGACCGAAGTAGCCTGATGCTAGTGAGCACGCGCAAAGGGGGCGCCAACGCACCGGTGATGACGGGCACTCTCGTGCCGCACTCTCTTATCCTCTCACCGAGTCTCTGTGCCAACTGATCGTAAAAGTCTTGTCCGAGCTGCGCGACCCCTTGGTCGCCAGAACTAGTGAGCTGAGGATCACTCAAAGCCTGCATCGAGGCATCGACAATGTTGTCCAATAGAACCAATTCCGAATCGATGCCCTATGGAAGAGTCAGCTCAAAGACACCAAAGTTCGCACCACCCACCTTATCTCTCAATGCCGCTGCGACGATTTTGCACGCGAGTCTTTCACCTGTGCCGACAATTGAATCCTGACTCCGAGGAGAGATCTCGTCGATGATCTTGGGGAATCAGCCTGGATGCAACTGTCTGACCTCACCTGGGCTGCACAGAGAAAGCTTCTAAGACTCTCGCAATCCCTCTCAATCTCATCTTCCAGTTCGTCCCTTAGCGGACCAGGCCTCAAGGATTGCCTAGCAGCTTCCAAATGACCTTTCTTCAACACGTCGACGGTTTCGTGAAATGCCGATGTCTCGTCGACTCCTCCATTGACGCCGGGTGTCAAGGGAGTCAGCGGAGGTGAACGATTACGAGCACTAGGAGAGGGTTGGAAGGGAGATGGAGAGCTAGAGCGAGTGAATTCAAGTTGAGACAAGGATGAGATGGATGAGATCATAGATGAGGAAAGTTCCTTGGTAGATGTCGAGGATTCTCTTTCTCTGGACTCTCTGGGTTCTCGGAACGTCCTGGCTTCTGAGAAGAACCCAGATCCCACTCGCTTAGGGAAGAATGGGGTCTGAGAACCTGAACCAGATGTAGGTCGAGCAGAAGGCGGTTGCAGAGCTTCCCGTGAGGCTTGAAGCAACAGATTGGTCGTTCCCAACGCTTTGGTATGTGAGGATCTGGCGGAACAGACCAGAGCCACTCGCGAGCCAGAGAGATATGACCTTGCATGTCAGTCACTTTAGCTGTGATGCACACTCACTCGACGATCCTGCATATGCTGTCTAGGGATTTGCCTACGCTTGTCCCCCCATACTTTTGGACAACCCAGGGAAAGGAATTATCCGAGGAATTTCTGAGCAGATGTTCCTCCATGCCATTCAGAGAGTCTGGTGGACTCGAATATGAGTTGGAAGCGGGAATCATCTTGAGACAAGATAGCTTCTGATATTCACGTTCGACACACGAGCAGCGACAGCAACAAGGTACGAATTGAATGAAATGAATGAATGAACAGGAACGAACCAATGAGCAGCCGTCATTTCATTTTTCGGGAATTTCACTCGAGTCGAGCACGAATGGGCAGATTATTCGGAAAACACGGCGAACCACGTGGTCGAGGGGCCTGGCGGTAGTATCGTTCAACCTACAGTATGATGGTCATGCATACATTGTACGAGGAGATGAGCTCTTGGCGTATCAAAGGCCTTCGCAGTACTGTACTACTTGCTTTTATACTGATGAAGCTGTCAGCGAGATGGAGTCCAAGACCACGCTCACATCATAGAACCCTTTGCCACTTTTCCGCCCCAATCGACCCTGTTTCACCATGTCCTCGAGAAATGGTATGGGCCTGACGAGATCGGAGGAGATGGTGCCAGGGTTCGCAGCTGCTTTCTCCCTCCAGCCAGAAGCAATGTATGATGTCGTATCTGGAAACGTCAACACCCCGCATCTTAAATATCACGAACCTAGACCGACGAAATCCAGTAATTTGAATGGCTGATAAGAGGATACGTCAGTCGAGATAGAACGAAAAGACATACGCCCATAGCTGTAGTTGTCAGTTACGATCCGGACCGGTGGACTTACGATAACCGGCGCCTAATTCCATTGCCAGATCCACGTCCTCTGGAGTCGCCTCTCCCCGTTCGACCATCCGAATGGCTTCCACTAAGATACAATACGTGAATGGTGCATTCACCGAGGGAAGCGATCACTCACTGAGGTAAGGCAGAAGTAATCGATTGACGATGAATCCAGGGGTATCCTTGCACGTCACGGGCGATTTGCCCATTCGCTTCGTGAGACTATACAGTGTCTGGTAAGTCGATTCGGAAGTGTGCGGCGTCCGGATGATCTCGACCAGTTTCATGGCAGGTACAGGATTGAAAAAGTGAAGCCCGGCGAAGCTTTTTGACTTGTCAGATACTTGAAGAAGAGCTAGCTCACTTTGCTTGTCGGTCTTTCGAACATGACTCTGCAATGTCAGATACGGAAAGCGATGAGGTGTTGGTAGCGAATATGCAAGATGCGCTTCGTCTCAGTGTCAATTCCACTGAAGATGCTCACCTCGCGTGTTTGTCCAGGAAACCGAAAAGATCACGTTTGACTTTGAGGCTCTCGATGATAGCTTCGATGACCAAATCGGCATGCGCCACGGCTTTGGCGCTATCTTTCGTGAGCCACGGCGCGCACTACGCGCATGCTCACGCATCGGTCGTTGTCTCTATATTGTCCATGATGGACCGAGTAAACTTTTCCACGGTATCTGGGTGTGTCTTGGCTCCTACTCGCGCGAGAGATTTGCGAATGATGTTTAGGCCATTCCTTGCGATCAGCGTTCAAAGGTTGATGGGCTGCTCACTCAAGAGCTTGGTCCGTGACATCAGACAAGACGACCTGATTGTCAGCTGGAGCAGGGCCTCTATGCTCACTTTCAGTCCACTTTGTGCCCCTATCTGACAGATACCCGCACCCATCAATCCAGCACCGAATACCGTCAAGTGTTGAACATTTGATTGAGCAGGACGTCTTCCTTCACCCGACTGACTGCCGGCGCCATCAGACAGATGCCGATGAATAGTCGACAGCCTACTGGCCGCTTGAGCAGAAGACGATGACATGATGCTGTAAGCTGGTCGAGGGACTAAAGACAGTCTGCCCAGGTGCATGATGTCCGGATGACTACTTATTGTGCATTCCGGCTACTGCACGAGGAAAGTGAACCGGGTGAGCCGAAGTTCGCCACGTGGCGAGCCCTTATCTATCGGTATGTTGTATCTAATCTATCTGCATCCAGCGATCCATTTCGAAATTGAGTGACAGTGCTCCCATTGCGAGCTCACGGCGACGAGTGAATAGTCCACATTTCGCTCAACTCATTATCGATACTCTCTGTGATGTCCGAGCAACCGGGATTCCTTTCAGCCGCGCGATACGGTGAGGTTCCAATCGGGGTCCAGAACTCATTCTTCTTCACAGGCAAGGACCTTGTCAAAGTCTGTCGTGTTGTCAGAGAGGATGAGAAGCATCATGTGGTGGAGTATGTCGTCAAAGGTGAGTCTGTCGATGGCTCCAAATCTGACGTTCAGTGATGCTGGAAGGAGATATCGAGACTTCCTACACAAAGGCGGACAATGCGAGCGTTGTAGCGACTGATACGAGTGAGCTGATGAAATTTTCCGCCCGAAAAGGCTGACGAAGGGACAGTGAAGAATACTGTGAATGGTATGTCATCTCATGCAGTCACCTGTCAACTCCATAGTCTTCGCCAAGACCTCTCGTCATGTCCTCGACCCGACCCTCTTCGCCCTTCACCTCGCGCTGCATTTCGTTACAAAGTACGCTCATATCCATAAGGCATTCATCGACGTCACCTCCCTGCGATGGAGTCGTATAGAGGTGTGTCCATTTATCTCTTCGGTCGAAATCGGTAATGTGCTCAGATGTCCACCTAGGTCAATGGTCAGCCTCATAAATGGTCCTTCGTCCGAGATGGTGACGAGAAGCAGACTTCGGAAGTCGCTGTAGATGCAACGGCAGGTAAAGACCATCTCAAAGCGAGTGTCAAAGCCGGTTTGAAGGATCTCCTAGGTGAGGTCATCGCACGGATCAAGCACTGACTCGATAGTGCTCAAGACGGGTGGTTCGGCATTCGAAAAGTTTCACAGAGACGAATTCACGACTTTGGCCGGTGAGCAAACAAGTACCATTGCAGATTAGTTGACACCTTTGTAGAGGTTAAAGATAGACTATTCTCAACAATGGTCGCCCTATCATACACTGTTGACTTGCCGCCGAATGTCTCCCTGAGTATCGACAACCTCCCTGAGATAGGCAAAGATATTGGTTTTACCAAGATTGCCCAACTTGTTCGACAGAACACCCTGGAGGTCTTCGCGGAGGACGAGAGTGCGAGCGTCCAGGTAGGAGCTGATGGTTTTAATTCGCCAGGGCGCTGACCTGCGCCCCCAGGCGACAATGTATAATACCGCTCAGAAGGTATTGTCCTCCTGTCCTGCCATCTCGGAGATCTCTTACAGCTATCCGAACAAACACTACATGTGAGCCCGTCCATTCACTTTCTTTTTTTCCAAAAGAGACTGACGATGATCCAAAAGTCCGGTAAACCTCTCAGCTTTTGGATTGGAGAATGGATTGGGCTATGAAGGTGGCGCAGAGGTGTTCCATCCCACCGCTGATCCATCTGGATTGATCACTGCGACCGTCTCGAGGCATCGATGATGATGATGGCGGGTGGTGGGAAAAGTGCCACAGTCCCTCCATTTTGCAATGCGAATGCCCATTTTTCCTAATCTTGACTAATGAAAAGGTAATTGATTTACGGCATATTTACGATTTAATATTCAAATTTGGGCTTTTCACCGTCGCGCGTCTCCTCTTGACTCCCTCCCCACGTTTTTGTTGTATGGTGTGTTTCTTTTTTCGTTTGCCATCTACATCATCCCATCCCATCCCATCCATTCTTCTCCGTTCATCCCAGCAGGATAGCTTGCACCACCACTGTTGGTCAACCGGCTGGATCTGCCAGCTTGTCCATCCACGACTGGGACAGTCCCACACCTCTCGTCTTGTCTGCACAGCTCGAAGGTCTCTGTCGGTTGGGAAAACACAGCACGACCTGGCTTGTCGGCTATTATTTTTTCCCCTCCTCTATGTTTAGATCACCAGTTTGAGCACTCGTCTCGTACACATTTCACATCCATCCATCTTCATTCATCCTCAGTCGCAGCAAAGTCACCGCACTCCAGGGCAGCGGTACTTTAACGGCGGAGCCCAAGAGGGGCGTTGAGATTACATCATGTTGTAAGTACCGTCTTAGGGCGCAGGTTCACACAGCCTGCCTCGGGCCTGAGAAGCACACTGACTCTCTTTCGTTGGAAGGTATCTCACTGCTGATAAATTCCCGGTCTGTGAGTTGATGCCTTTCTGGTACTGTGATATCATTTGCTGACACCTGACAGTCGTGCCATTCGGAATCATTGGGTGAGACTATCGGTTGCTCATGCGCTCGCTTCCTCTGACCAGAATTAGATTCTACCGATACCTCTGGTATCTCATTCGACTAGTAGCCTATGGAGTCTACCGGCCTATTCCATTACCTGAGAACCCGACATACATAGCGAGCGAAGATGTGACCATCATTGTGCCGACCATTGATGCAGGAGAAGAATTCAGAGGTGAGCTCTTGTTTCCTTTCAGGCCGCAGCAAGGGGTTCAAGCTGATGTCGGTCTCCAGAGGCGGCCTTCTCATGGCTCGAAGGAGACCCGAAAGAGATCATTATCGTCACTGAGGAGCGAATGCGAGGTCCATTACAAGATCTGGCAGACTCGGTCGATCCATCTCGGATCCGCGTTCTCACTGTTCCTTTCGCCAACAAACGAATGCAAATGTCCCATGGAATCCGACATACGACAACGGACATCATTGTCTTTGCAGACGACGATGCCATCTGGCCTTCGACCCTCCTACCTTATGTCTTGGCCTGCTTTGAAGATCAACAGGTTGGTGGAGTAGGAACCTCTCAACGTGTCAAGCCTTGTGGTAAACGAATGACCGTTTGGGAAGTTTTGGCGGCTTTCAGGTTGACCATCCGTAATATCGAGATCGCATCGTCCACTCACATCGACGGCGGTATCCCGTGTCTCTCTGGACGAACAGCAGCTTACCGAACTGTCATTTTGAAAGACCCCGACTTCTTGCACGGATTCACCAATGACCTCTGGTTGGGCAAATACCATCTCAATTCTGGAGATGACAAGTTCCTCACTCGCTGGATGGTGTCTCATGGATGGAACACTTATGTTCAAGTTTGCAAGGAGGCTGAGCTGTTGTCAACAATGAAACCCAATTGGCGATTCCTCAAACAAGTCTTGCGATGGACTCGAAATACCTGGCGATCAGACTTCCGTTCCATCTTCAAGGAGCGATACATTTGGACCAAGCATCCATACGTCGCTTACATGATGCTGGACAAGTTTATCAATCCGTTCACCCTGTTGGTCGGCCCAGCCTTAGTGGCGTATCTGATAGTGAAGAGTACGAAGGATGTATTGGATGGAGGATATCATTTGCCCGCATGGTGAGTTTCACCACCGCCGCGAAGTGCAGAGTTGCTGACTCTTCTGAAGGAACATTGTTTGCTCCGTGAGTAGTTGCGATGCGCTCAGGCTTTCCTTGCTCACTATCCGCAGTACCTTGTCTGGCTGATGTGTACGCGTACCTTCAAACTCCTCCCGCATCTATGGCATAACCCAGCGCACATCATCTACGTGCCGATCTGGATCATCTTCGGTTACTACTTGTGAGTCGGCCAGACTGTCTCTCAAAGCTTGTGCGCTAATACGTTGCGTAGTGCCATAATGAAGCTTTATGCCGTACTGACCCTACACAAGACTGGATGGGGAACGCGATCGGGTATCGGTGACCGTGAGTGCTAGCCTGCCATGACATTGGCAACAACTTGGCTTTGCTGACTGCGCACTAAGCTGCCACTGCTACCGCTGCTGTGTTGGAGAAGCATGACCCGCCTCAACGTCGAAGCCCTCCGACACCGTATGACGTCGAGATGAATTCGAGGAAGGGTTGAGATGGGCACGGTGGAGGAGTATGAGCGTGATCAGCATAGATGGATGGATGGACGGATGGACAATATGGTGTCACGACCACGGACAAAGTAGCATATTATGATTGTGTTTTTCAATCTGTACGCGACGCTGTGTACGCACACCGCGACCAATGATGAATGTAGCGCATGTTCTATTGCCGATTGGCTTGCTTCTATGAGTAGAGGTGCCTAGGGGCCGGGCCATTCCGCAACAAGGCTCATGACATTCATGAACCGATCTCGCTCCCCGTTCTGCGTGGCATCCGAGTCTTCAGAACCATCGTCCTCATCCTCGGACTTGTTCCTAGAGAGTGTGAGGCCCACCACAACAGGTCTGCGGACCGCATGGACCTCCTGTAAGGTCCACCAGATCAATGTTGAAATCTGGGAAACGTAAAGGGAGTGCAAGTTTAGGTCGGGAGGGGATCCAATCAGTGGTAAGAGGGATATTGTTTCGGGCGGAGGAGGAAGGACGAGGGGATGATCGGGTGATGATGATGATGATGATGCTGATGATGATGATGATGGATCGGTAGGGAATTTATGAGGATGTGGGAGAGGTTGGATAGGAGGGATGGACGCTTGAACCTGAGTATCGCATCAGACTTTTGGCTTGAATGATGAGCCAGGAAAGGGAGAAAGACTCACTAGGCTTCCTACTTTCTCGTTCTGAGTAACTATAACGAGTATACGGTCGTCAAAGGTTTGAATGAGAATGTCGGTAGGGTTGTCAGAGATGTTCCGTCGCTTCAACCAAGATTTGATAGGCGGTCCGGATGATGAGCTCGTAGGAACCGATGCGAGGCGAGACGAATAAGCGATGTCATCATCATCTAATAGAGATGACATGCTTGATTGGAAGCTAGCAGGGCAATCCTCGCTGCGTCTTCTCAGCCCCTTCTTCCCAGCACGCTTCCTAAGACTGTGCTGAGTTCGAACTCTGAAGATGTGTGCGGTTGGCGAAAAATGAATCCCGACCATTATTTGTTCCGATCGACCAAAAATGACGAACCTTTGGATTCTCGCTGTTCATGTCATTCAACTCCATACACCATCTTTGTACAATGAGGATAGGCAGTGCATCGACAACAGCACTAGTACGAAGGATTCCTCATCTTTCTTCCCGCCAGGCGCCGTTGCAGCCCCCATGCAATCGAGCATTCGCTTATCGCCGGTGCCTTGCAGATTCCACTTCGAAGCCTCAGAGAGCATGTCCGTCATGTCAGGCCCACCTACCCGTAACGACCACACCATGTTCAGAGTGCCAGAAGCTGCTACCGTTCCCATCTGGTCTATCGCATCATTCTATACTGGGTGAGCGTGCACCTTTCCCACTACCTGCTACCCCATTTTCAGCTGTTTCAGCTGACTTGAGCTGTGTCTCTCTCTCTCTCTCCTCTTTAGGTCTCTCTGAACCTATCTTAGCCGATTCCTCATCCTCCATAACATTCGACATTCCGGCTGAATTATCCACCATCCCTTCACATGGCTACGTCTTGGACGTCAGGGAAGCACGAAACAAGATGCTCCATCGGCAGAGGGAGCTACATCCGGATAAATTCGCCAGTGAAGGCGAGGTCATCGTGCAGCTTGCAAGGGATCTGAGTGGACGGGTCAACGAAGCGTACAGCGTGTTAGCGGATCCATTGAAGCGAGCCGACTACATTGTGAGGAGGCCCAGCTTGTTCTGAACCCCAACGGGAAACGAGACGGCATGGCTGATTCCATGTTTGTTGCACGGCAGCTCTCGGTTCACTCTTCAGCGACCGAGGAAAGCGACTCCTTAGACGATCCAATGCTCCTCGCTGAGATTATGGAAGCAAGGGAGGATTTAGAAAATGCAGAGACGAAAGATGAGGTAGATCGACTTGGGGAAGAGAATCAAGGTGAGAGACCCGCCCTGCATAAGCTATGGGACAGAGTGCAATCTCTGATGCGGGCCCCCTTACCTCCTCCCATAGAACGCATCGAAAGCACCATCGCCCAAATTACCGAGGCATTTTCTCAACAGCCACCAGACATAGTTGGGGCTAAAGGACTAGCCGTTCAACTCAGGTACTGGCGCGGGTTGGAGGATGCCATTCGAGATTGGGAGCCTGGCAAGAGTCAAGTTATGATCCATTAGAGAGGATGCAGTTCTGGAGGACCCCCCAGTCTATGTATCGTTTAAGAATCTCGTTGTAGCCAATATATGTCTGTCAGCCCCAGGATACATAGCATAGGATGTGGGTCTAAGTCGACCAGGTACGGATGTAAGATCACCCTAGGATCGATTTCAATCTGCTCGTCCGATGCCACCATCCTCAACCACTACGAAGCATTTGAGCCGATAGACGAGGACAAATGCCCATCCTTGGAGGAAGTAGACCCTTGTCCCGAACTCGTAGGACGTCGCAGAGAGAAGAACCGAAACGGTCGTTTGGGTGAATCTCCAGGGTTCTCTGAAGATTCGTCATTCTGACCTTGACTTTGATTTCCTTGACCCGCCGACAACGTCGATCGAATAGCGTCATTCGAGACCGACGTTTTGAGCGGATGAGTATTGTTATTACTGCCATGTGGAAATCTTGAAGAAAGCCAATTGGTATTAAGTGACAAGTTTCGAGCCGTTCCGGCTCCCCCTTCGTTCCTCGTCCTATTGCCTCGACTCAATGGACCCCAATTCAACGAACCAAGGGCCAATGCCTTTTTCTCAGATGCAGATGGTGCAAACGGATTCGGATTGGCTTCGTAGCTTGTCGTTCGGACCAATGGGTCGTTCGAGGCGAATGCTAGGTTTTCCGAAGAACTCGTAGATAGCCAAGGGCGAGCGATAGGTAGAGATGGAAGTCCAGGTAAAGCAGGTGCACCAGGTGGAGTCGTAGACGGCGGCAAGAGACGCCCCTCGCGAAGATTGCCAGCCGCAGGAAGGGGTGACCGCCACAGATCATGTTCAGAGGATGAATCACTGCTGTCATCCTTTTCAACTCCGAGCTTGGAAACAAGATGACCATTGGCCGGAGGTGAGCCTAGTGAAGGCGTCTTCTGTGCAGTTCCCATTCCCAGCACTGGCATGTCCCCCATTCGTTCGCGAAGCGGAGTCTGGTCGCCTTCGAGTGATCTGAATAGTCCCTGAGGTAAAAGATTGGCACTGAAGGTTGATGAAATGCCTCCATTCGGCGAACCAGGATCATGCCCCCAGATATCCGAGCCCGAATCACTTGACTGAGGGGGTGTGGAAGGTCGTAGAATATCCCTAGGTGCCGGTCCAAAGTTGTCGAATCCAATGGGGTTCTCGGTACTTTCCTCGCCTGATCCTCGCTTGTTGCCTGCAAGGTGACCAAACGAAGCAGATTGAGAAGGACGGGCCGTGTAGTTATGATCCAGCATCGGCATCCCAGCTTCCGCCATGTACGCCGCGGCTTGATTGGCCCATTGATCCCGATGACCTTGATGCGCATGAGCTCGCGAATCGTGATATCCTTCTTGAGCTGCCGCTTCGTAAGCCGCCGCCATCATCATCATCTCCTCTTCCGGTCCAAGCTTCTTCGCCTCCTCCCCTGCTTTGAGCACCTCGGCCACCCTCCCTTCAGCCTCCTTGATAGCTTGGGCAAGTCGATTGTTCCCCTCGTCCAGATGCTCGAGATCGCCTTCCAATTTCTGTAACTCCTGCTTCCTCCTCTGAACAGCCTTTTGCGTCTGGACCACGCATCGGGCCCCTTCTTCTCTAATACTGACAACATTCTTCTTTGATTGTTCCACAGACCCTGCCAACCGCTTGATCTCGGCCTTAGCCCCTTCAATCTTGCTCTCTAAACCATCACGGATACTCTCTACAGCCTTCAACTTTTTCTCAGCTTCCCGCTTCGCACTCTCTGCCTGACGTTTCTGCTCATCCAGATTCTTTGTCCGACCCTTGAGCTCTTGCCGCTCGTTGTCGTCCTCGCGCCGGCGTGTCCGGTGCTCATCCAGAGTCGTTTGCAAATGAGCATGGGCACGAGTAACAGATTCTTCATGAGACAGGAGTTGAGCTTCAAGTTCTGAGAGGGCAGATTGTGCAGCGCCGAGTTCAGCCTTGAGCGAGATCAATATTGGGGAGTTGGCATCGGCTTCTGGTTGAGCTAAGGGAGTGGCCAGATTGACCATAGAGGGACGACGTGACTCCGGTGCGAAAGCTTGTATCGGTGGGTGAAGTGGAGCAGAGGATTCAAAGAGGTTGTTGACAGAATCGGATTTTCGAACATTTTTGGTTGGGGACAGCATGGACAGCATAGAGTCCCGTTTGGAGCCAGCTGAAGGTTCAATGCCAAGTTTGCGGGCCGATGGCGTACCTGGAGTCTCCTCCTTTGAGCTGATAGCTCGCATGCCCATGACTCCAGGCTTTTCCAGCAGAGATTTTCTCTTGCCTTTATCCTTGGGTCCATCGGTGAAAAGTCTCCACACCCATTCCAACCGTTTTGGAACCATCCCCAGCCTGACCCAATACCCAAAGAAACCCATGTAGAGAACGACCCTTTCTCGTGGCCAAGGACATTTCCTTCCCAGTGGTGTAGGAGCAAGATCGGGTAGAAATATCGGAGGAGCCAGCGGTGAAGTAAGGGCCAACGAAAAGAAGCAAATTGTACGATAATGTAATGGTGGTGTTCGAAGAGAGACCGAGACATGACTGGCGAACCTGAACGGCGCGACGGGAGCGATCTCAGGAGTGACATGACCGCTCGAGTCGATGGTGGTTGATTCTTCCTCTGACAGGACGATTTCGTCTGGAGACCGAAAGTAGGCCAGATGTCTCCTGAACGAAAGCTCTGTCAAGTGTGATCGGAAAGAAGCTTCATTGGGATTGGTGATAGCAGCTATGATAGGCGTTGTTAAGCTCCATGTCGCATCTGCCAGCCCAAGACTCACCGATGATTAAGATAATGACGACTGCACCGATCCAGTACAATGTCCCTCTGAATTGCATCATCTCCTGCACATGCCATGTCCATGATCCCGAAGCCACACGTGCGCCCGCTCCAGCAGCTGTTATTCCAATGATCCGGCTCCATCGACCAGGAGAAACATGATGGATGGGTTCACTCTCCATCGTCGGCTCTGGTTCAGCTCCTCCTAACCCTATCCCGTGTCCAGTGAGAGCCGACAGTCGATCGACGAGACCGCCAAACGACATGGCTCTCAAGCTGGACCTGGGGACTGTGGCGGGAAGGGTAGAAAAGACTTGCACCTGATTAAAAAGTCCAAAATGAAGAGCCAACACCGAGAATGATGGGTCCTGTCGAGACACTCATAACCGGTAAGCCCGGACAGGGGGTTTACTCAAGGTGTTTCACAGAAGGAGCGACGAATGAATGATTGGACTTGTTCAATGTGGATATATCGATAACTCGTGCTGATGGATTCTTGGAGATGTCAGGCTAGTTGAGAGCCCTGTCGACGACAGAATACAGACAGACCAGACTTGAACGAGTCAGAAGAGGACAGAGAGAGAATTGTTCGCGATTGACCTTTTGCTATGGTTGAGACTTTTGACGCTAGTGGAAGCAAATCTTTTCTATGGCGAAAGGGGAGGGGGATGCGCAGCAACTCGGAATTTTGTAATCAAGATACTAATGGGTTAATAGAATATTAGTAAATTCACTTGGTGGGAATCGCCACATCATTAGAAAACACCGGATAATCCCGCTCGCCCAGCTTAAAGAGGGCCGTCATGGCGAGCGAGCGGCTTCTGATAGCGAGAGCCATACACGCAGGCCGGGCATACCTACATCTCTGCATCGTGAGTAATCAACCAGAACGATCGCGACCCGTCAGTCTTACCCTTCGACCAGATGCCAGGACCATTATATCGAGATCCATGGGCGGCTCGTGAAGCATGGAGGACCCAAGGTGTCTTTGACCCAAAGTACATGAGGAGGTGGGTATGCTTTACATGGATGAGCGTGTGGGGTATGACGAGCTGAAACTTCATTTTCCACCATTGCAGGAACATGTTCCCAGGCCTTGGAATAGCAACGGTTGCCTTTGTCGCTTATGTCATATACGATGACTATCTCAAACCAAAAGTCAAACATCATGCACCTGCAGAACAGCACTAGGATGGAGAGACACGAGCTCTGGTCAGGCGTTGGTAGCAGCTTGAGGGAGAGGGAGGATAGCACGGCAGCAGCAGCAGCAGCAGTAGCAACATTGCAACCAATGTAACACTATAGGTATGGGTCAGGCTAGACCTCAGGGTAGCATGAATACCAGGGTCTGTCATTTGTTTCACGAATGAGTGTGACCGCTCTCCCACTCACGGAGACTGACGTGGAGAGGTGTGGTGATGCTGATCAGGGAGAGAATACTCTATGCTGGCGCAGATGATTGGAGCAGAGGATAGTGGTGAGACAAGATAGGATCTGGGATCGAAGCATGTCTCCCGTCGTGCGGTGGATTGAGTGATGATATACCGCCAACCTCTCCGAGAACACCGCTCCATTGTTTCTGGATTGTGGGCAGGCTCAAATGGGCGCCGTGCATACTCAACGGAGAGAGTTTCGCAAAGGTCTCACGGATCCATCCAGGCGTTGGAACCAGCGAAGGAAGCCACCACAGGATGTGCTTTGAACGGAAGCGTCATGAGAGCTAGTCGCGCGTCTGTGGTCCCATGCTACGACTGAAGACTTGAAGACGCACGCTCACGACACAGCTCCCCCCAACCATCTCGTATAGACAAGCTGTAGCGAGGCTGCATGCTGCATGACAACGATTCGAGCGACACAGGCCTCGTGTTTCAGCAGTCGGAGGACGGTAAATGCCACTTTGTGGCAGACTCGAGAATGCAGCAATCTGTGCTACACGACTGCCCTGTCAGGCGTCTGACCTGATAGGTAAATGCAACCTCACGTGTAGTGAGACCATACGAGCCCCTGAGCCAGCCACCAGAGCTCGATGGGACTGGCCGTCAAACTTGATTTCCCCGAAAACAATATGAATGAATGCTTACAACATTAAGTGAAAGTGACCGATATCTACAACTTGCCCTACCATACCTTACCCAAGACCCCAAGACCCTCCAGACTGATTACTTTCGTTCCTCTCCTTGTTCTCCGCCAATAGCTTTGCCAAGCCCGACCTCTTCTTCCTCTTCCCAGGCTTCTGCTCCAGAGGGACGAGTCGAGGTGGTTGAGGATATGTCGGAGGAGTGGGCGGATCAAACAGTATGTGCGACGTGGTAGGTTGGGCGAGAAGATGAGGTGGAGGTGAGGATGATGGCTTAGGTTTGAACGGCATGACGCGAGGTAGTGGCATGGAGGGACCAGACTGCGAAGCAATGTTGGCTGCGTCCAGAGCTTGTTTTCGTCGAGCTATACGAGCTGATGGAAATCGTCTTTGACTCGCAAGATTGGGTTGTGCACGTCTGAAAGGAGCTCCACAGATCATACAGTTGGGTGTCTTCCGCTTGCCAGTTGTGCTCAATTCTGCTTCGACACCATGACCAACGGGAACGATCTGATCATGCTTCCTCCGCTTCTTTGATGTCCCTCCGTAGCCTTGCCTCAAACCTCCACAAGAATGACACCAGCCTTCGGACAACTGGCCAGCAGTTGAGATCGATAGCCATAGCCTCGCTCTAGCCAAGTGCACGGCTGCCAGCGTTGGCGAGATGGAATGCATGAGAGGTGGGAGAGAGAGCATGAATCGCTGAGTGTGAGGATCGATCGGGCCAATACGAGGACCAGGAGCAGCGGTCGCCACAGACATCCCGGAAGACTAGTAAGGGGTTGCTCACTACCTCAGGTGGCCCTGTGAAGAGGCTCTGCACGACGAAGGCCCTCTGTGTGTTGCGACGATGAGTTGTATTGAACACAGAAGCCAGTGATCCGCTCGAGATCCTCAAATACCCACCACACCCCTCTTTTCTCTTTTTATTTTTTGCCACCAAAAAGCTTTTATTGGAAGCAGCGACGGAATCAATTTTTCAGTTCTGAAACGTGATTTTCCGCGCGGTCGGATTGTTCAACAACCAGCACGAACATACCTCGTATAGCAATAGTGACAGGCCAAGATGCCCAAGGGATGGTTCAGTGAGCTTCTAGGAGGGGGGAGGAGGAGATATGCGCCTAGTCGCTGACCATGACATCCCAGATATCGATGATCAGACGGATGATATCATCTTTGGAGGGGTGAGAAGCTATACAGAGAGGCGTTGTGATGTGCTGATACCTCGGCACGCCATGTTACAGGAGAAGTCGGCATTCTCAAGTCTCGGACTCACGCGATATCAGCGTCTTGGTGGATTTGTGATCTGTAGGCCACACTCAGATGACGCGTTAGACTGAATCCTCTCACAGGCTTCATTGCTGGGTTTGGTATCTCCATTCTTGGCGCTATCATGCTGTTCTTGGGAGCGACAGGAGCATTTGCAAGTGAGTCGAGGCGAAAGTATAAAACGTCCTCGGCTCACACATTCTGCTTAGCTCTCTTTGCCGTCGGAGCGATCGTCTCGCTGATCGGGACGGGTTTCTTGATGTGAGTCGCTGGTGATATCGTTTCTCACATTCCGCAGCGGTTTCCGAACCCAGCTCGAGAAAATGTTCAAACCTGTTCGAGTGGTCGCTACGATACTCCTTTTCGCAGCTATTGCCATGACCTTTGTCAGTGCATTCGTTCTACCTGCAATCTTGTGCATCGTCTTCGTTATTGTGAGCGGTGAAGCAGAAGCAGGTGTGAGCTGATTGGGGCAGGTGCAATATCTCGCTTTCCTCTGGGTCAGTGTTGTCTCGATTTCCCTGCAGAACCGTCTGAGATCTGTCGCAGTATTCTCTCAGCTATGTGCCATACGCTCGAACGGTGAGTTCATGCATCAAGGACATCTCTGCTGACAACGCAAGATGGTCAAGAATATGGTAGGAATGAAATGATCCAAATTTACAGACACATTACGTCGTTACGCATCACCTTCATGTCATATACGCCCTCATGCACATCACTTGCCAACGTCCCATTCTCTTACACCCCCTTTCTTGACGTAAGGAATGTCAAAGAGACCAGGGGTCTCCGTGGTCGCCTTTGCCTTTTTGTCTTTCTCGTCATCACTATCGCTGTCTCCTCGACGTTTCCGCCTGTCCTCTTTGCGTTTCTTCTTTTCAGCTTTTTCAAGCTTGCGAATGTCGATCTCTGGAGAGTCTTTGCGAAGGGAGACATTCTTAGGAATGGCATAGCCGTCATCGGACAATGTTGGAGATTGATGTCGGCGCTGCAAAGTGTACTCAGCCGAGCACTCGGGCGAATAAGCCTCACCTTTTGTCCGCGTTCCTTCAACACTGCTAGCATGTTGTCCCAACCCACCTCGGCCACCATACCTTCCTTGGGGACTTCTCCGAGATCCAAGCGAGGATCATAGCTGGTGTGAAAGTATTTGTCCATTTTTGAGAGGTTGCTAGGAGGCGATGATGAGCCAGCAAATAATCCAGCATCTTGGACAGTCCGAATGGGTGATTTTCCCTTGACTCGAGATGTCTTCGCTCTCGATACAGACTCGTTCAACGTTTCCTCTTCACCATCCGAATCTCTCCGTCGTGACTCCTCCTTTCGTGGCGATGGCGACCTCTTCTCCTTCCGCGGCGACCGAGACTCGTTTCTCTCCTTGCGCCTAGATCTGTCCTTTCCAGGTGACCAAGGCTCCTCATCCCGCTCTCTGTAACGTTCCTTGAGTCGCTCAGTCCAATGATCCCCTCTATCCTGCTGCTCCTTCCTGATCTTTCTATATCTCTCATCTTCTTCCCTGCCTCCTCGCTTCTCATCATCATTGAAGTAGGCCTCTTCATCTTCCTCCTCTCGCCTTTTCCGATGCCTCGATCGTCTGTCCTCCTCTCTTCGTCTAGACTCTCTACGATTCAAATACTCCTCCTCATCCAAGTCATCCCTTCTAGATCTCTCCCCCCGATTGATATGATCCCTCGTATCGTACCTTCTCCTACTTTCCTTCTCTCTCTCCTCTCGTTCTCGGTACACTCTATCATCCACATCCCGGCGTTTTTCTCTCGCCAGTCGATCATTTCTTCCTACGCTCCTCATGGCTCCACCGAAAAGCCGACTGGAACCAGCGCCACTGGAGTCCCCTCGTGACACTCGAGCATCGCGAGCGGCGGCCGCTTGGGCACGTAATAGAGCGGAATTGTGACCGTCAACCGTCCTTATCACACTCGCCAGGAATCGTTTGTTAGGCTTCGGAGCATTTGGATCGGGCCTAAGTACCGAAGACCCTTCATGAATGGAAGAACACGACACAGTGATCACTCACGAGTCCTTGCCTCCTTCTCTTAACAAGCCTGACAGACCCAATTCGGACCAGCTTTTCTCCTTGTTTTTGGCTTCCTCAGCCAACAGCTTGGCAACATGAGCGTCGAGGTCTGAATCTGAGATATCTTGGGGTATACCAGCGGCCGCTCGTACGAGATTGTTCACGACGCTATTGAGCGACATGGTCGTGGTCGTGGTTGGTATGATGGATGACCTCTCATCGAGTGTGGCTTGTTTCAGAAATTTTTGGACCACGTCACGGTTAATTTTGATCCTGATAAGCTCGCTCGTATCTCCTGGTCCGGCTCCCAGTTGCTGCACCTGGAGTTATTGTCTGCACACTCCTGATACCATGACACTCCCCTCTAGGATAGATGAACCATCCGCTTTGGATCCTCTTCTTCTCCTGCCATTGCCAGCAAAATTGCCATCGAGCCCCCTGCCAACGCTTGAACCCTTATTGTCAGCCTTGGAGGAACGATTGAACCAACCTGGGACTTCTGCAGATGGTCTGGCAATCTTCACAGCGCATATGCGTCAGGTGACGAGAAGGGCTCAGGTGAGGTTCTTGCAAGGTACCTTGAGCATAGTCACTGAAGCCTTTACAGACTCTGCTCAACGCTTCCCGGGTTGGTGCTGCTGAGGCGCGCGAAACTCTCGACAGGGTTGATGTGGACCTCCGAGGCGTAGAGTATGAACGCGATAGGATAAGGGAGGAGATCGCCAAATGCGAGGACTACGAGTGGGTGCGAAGCGAAGAGCCATGAGCTCATGGCACAGGGCGGCCTACACGGACATACAAGTCGATGACTCATTTGTGCCGGACTCAGAAACATTGCGTGAGTGCAAAAACGACAAGAGCTCATTCTGACAATACAAGCTGCCCCTGACTCTGACTCATACGACTACGCCTTGATCATCGCGAGATTGCAGAACGAGCTGCTGGAGATCGAAAAGTGAGGCGAAATGAGTTCGGTCTGACGCTTACACGCGCAGGCGGGAAGCCGCGATCGCCTCCCTGACAAAGGACAGAGACGGCATCATACAATCAAAGAAGGATATCAAGCGGAAATTCGACACTTCGGATGTATACCTGGGAGATTTCGCCAAGGTGGGCTGATTCACGAATCTTCTCTCGCTGACAGGCAGACTGCGGCCGCCATGTCTAGCAAAGTCATGGACGTAGCCAAAGGGAACTGAGCATGCATCAGTCATGCTTTTTGCTGTGATTGTTATTTGTAACACGGGAGAACATCTCCAATGACACCTCTGGTTGTATCGATAGCTGTCGAGATGATGACGCCGATTCAGTCGACTTGCGCGGGGGCTTGGGAGCCACTGGAAGCGTGTATGTGATGGGCGGCGGAGGCACGGTGAATAAGGATGACAATTTGTCGGCAAGGGATTCGGATCGTGGTGGGAGTTGAGCTACAGGTGGTCGCAGTCTGACCGTTTTCGACCTTGTCGGCAGCGGTGGTAGCGATGGTGGATCTGGAGGTTTGAAGGCCGAAGGGAGTGTTGACAGGTCATGATGGATATCCGGGCCAAAAGCCTTGCTAGACAGGGAAACGGATCGGCGAAGCTTGCTGTTATCTAAGGACTTGCGCTGCATATCGAGGGATGGGCGGGCACTGGATCCTTTGGACTTTGGGAAGAAGGATAATTGAGAGCTGGGTACACGGACAATATCCAGTACGCGAGGTGATTGAGGATCAGAGGGGCGGACAGTGTCCATAGAGCTTCTCGAACCGTCAAAGTGGTCGATCAACGGTTCTTGCGCTCTACCTTTGCCTTTACCATGAGAGGCATTCTTCGGTGTCAAGGTAGCTTGACCTTCGCCAGGTCCACGGGAAAAGGTCTCCTTGGCCTTGTTCCATCTGCAGGCGTCTAACGGCACGTACAGATGCGTTCGAAGATGGACCGGGTCTGACGGCCATAGCTTGTTGACTTTGCGCAGCGTCGGAAGCTATAATTCAGTGAATGTGGCTTTCAAAGGGCTCACTTCTATACCGTAGAGTAGGGCGATGCCAGCCAGACTTTCACTCTGCTTGACCTTGCGCTGTCAGCTCGACGATCTTCACTACTGGATCTCACCTGATGCACAAACACTTCTACCTCCTCAGCTTTGGACATTCGTAGGAGATCTAAACTTCCACGCGTACTGCTCGCACCTGACGTGCTGCTCTCTGCGACTTGACGTTCCGTCTCCGATAACAGCCTGCTCAAAGTCGGACGCGAATCTCCAGGCGAGCTCGCCAGAGACAATGGATGATCGGAACCATCTTCTCCATTCTCCGAATCATTGAAGAAGGCTCCATTCAGCCTTCTGCGACGTAATGGTGATGTCAATTTGGACGGACTTTGAGACAAATGCGAGATTGCTGAAAGGGTTGATATCGTCCTGGCATGCCTGGAGGTTTGATCCTCTTCCCCGCCCCAGGGATCAAATTCGTTCACGAATGATGATGCAGGGCTCTCCACCGCCCTCGAACGAGGAAAGGTCATGGTTAGAGCATGCTGGAGCTGGCCCTTAGAGGAATGAGACCCTGAAACAAGACCAATTCACGTCCTTTTGCAGAGGAACATGCTTGCCCCGGACGAGGACTTCACCGAAAGCGGCACTCGCCGATTTGACCGATGCATGATCGAGTGATTGAGCGCGACATGCATATGAGCCATGGGTTTTCATCCTTCAGCCTTTGTAAAAGGAGACCCTGGTCGGGCACTGGGGCAGTGACGGACGATGGTGAGCTCATGCGGTGTGAGATCCGTTTGTTGAGGCTGAGATTCCTCATCGTACATACAGCCGCCGAAGAAGAGTGAACTGGTACATGTCACGTTCCACTTTCACAGATCCATCGTGGTCCTCTCCGTTCCCGGTTCAACGTGAATTCGTGTCTCAACAAATCTGATTGCTGACAGACTCTCAGTACCGTCTCCCAACTCAAGACCGCTCTGATACCCGCGCTCAAACCATTCCAAGCATCAAACTCTCCTCTCCCAGTCCCTATCCCATCTTCATCAGCGGATATTCAACTGTACGCTGAAAAATTGGCGGTGGAAGGAGCAGAGGATATGCCTACAGCTCTTCGAGTCCTGGATGACGACAAAAAGACCCTCATGGGTCTAGAGCTGAATAGATGGCCAAAAGTGTACGTGAGGTGAGCCACCGAGCCATGGGGACACAGCTGAATTATAGCTTCCGAGGAGCGAAGGGATTTTCAGAACCCGAATACACGATTCCACGAGTTGACGATGAGGTTGCCGACGCGGAATAGATATGCATGTATCACTATCATTCGTCCATCTCCTCGTCCTCATCTACCTGCTCTTCGTCCCCTTCCTCATCTCCATCCTCATCTTGATCCATGTCGAACACCTCGAGCCGTCGACCCCCTGTAGTCAAGACGCATCCGGATCTCCTTCCCTTTCGCCCATTGGTGGCTAGGGAGTTGCGACCCGAAGCAATGCCATCGATTTGGCGACATCGAGAGATTTGCAATGGCACCTGATTTGTCAGAGTCACTTGGCGATGCAGACTCACATCCTCTGCTATGTTTCGCTCTATGTTGACTGTCGCGAGGTAAGTCTGGCCGTCGCACACCAAGAGAACTGCCAGCTCGTCCTCGTCAAAGAAATGCAAGGCGATGATCTCTCCGTCCGCTTCGAAAGTCGCTTGTCGCGGTCGATCCCAGGGGTTCAACCAGCTCACTGTAAGCCGTCTGGTCGTTCCAACGTTTACCCAGGCCCTCAATTTTTGGCCATCGAGGCCATCGAAATCCGCTTCAGCGTAAACCTCTTTGCCCAGATCTTCGTATCCTCCCTCATGTTCAGGCTCCGGGTATGAGACCATACTACGGCATTGCTTGAGGAGAGTATTTGCCCAAGCCCAAGGCTCTAGCATCACATTCCGATAGTCTTCGACAGGATGTTCGACCGCAACAGTATCTGGTGAATCGGGTGAAGAGTCCGCGTCATCCTCATCGTCATCATCGTGAGATATGGCAGATGAGTCCAATGAAAGGTGCGCGTTCACAGGCGAGAGCTCGCGTACCGGTGTCGAGACATGCGCGCCATTGAGACGATGCACAGTTCGCCTGAGAACCGTGTCGAGCGGTAGTGGTTTGGCCTTGGGCCTCGATGGGATCGTGACATAGTCATCCTTGTCGAGCGAGTGGAAGTGCTGTTGTAGCGGGGAATCGATGAATCCGGCCTTCAGAAATGACCACACGAGTTTGAGATCATAAGTGATGGAGGGCTGAGCATCACTAGATTGGTCCTGACTAACGCCACGCGCAATTTCTGTTTCATGTCAGACTTCACCGCGGTGCAATTACGAACCATAATTTAACCATTTGATGAACTCAGCAGAGGCCATCGCTTCGTGTGCCGCCGTCTGTCGAACACCTTCGATCAGTTTGCATAGGCCAAGAGTGATCGGTCTACCTCGTTTAGCGGGAGACTAGACTAAAGGGATACGCTCACAATGTCGCCCGATGCGGGGTCAATAGGACAATGCGCTCCAAAGCCGGGGTGATGCTCTCCGAAATGACAGTTTGGATAGCTTTATACCCATTAGTCATGGTCTCCTCCCACTTGGTCAAGGTCTGTCTCATGAGCTGGGTCCGCTCAGAGGCAAACCTACCCTCCCAGTCAGTCGGTTCCCGAGCCATTCTGACACTCCGGGCGAACATCTTCCAGTCATTAGCAAGCGGAATAGATCCGAATGTGTGTCCTTCTTTGACACTGCGGCGTCAATGGGGGAACGCAGAAATTCCGACTCACTTCCTTGCTGTTCACCACATGTCTCGACTTCTTCCCTCCATATCATGGTTTGCTTGCCAGCTTCGCGAAAATGATGATGCGCCACGGATATACCCCTCAAAACGACGTCCAGCATCTCGGAAATCTTGTCAACGAGTAGCACTTGCCGTAAGTCTGTCCTCACGTCCGTCGGATATGTCCCCGTCAGAAACAGATGACGAATATCGGATGCTGGGGGACCTATACGAAGTATGTCGGGGGGCATTGGTGAGGCGGAAGGAAGCAAGCAAGGGAAATCTTTGAGAAGTTCATGTCTGGGTGCGGGAGATGTATCATCTGGCGCTTGCTTGAGCCGCATCATCATGAGACTCGAGGTCAGCGAGTGCGCAGAGGGAGAATCTCACTGAGGGGGTTTCGGTTGTTCTGGGATGCTGACTCGAGGAAGAGAGTCGAAGATCGTGAGAGGCTCTCCAGGCTGAATCATAGGTCAGCAAAAAGCTCAAAGAGGGATCTCACTCCACGCTGTGGCCACGGCGACTTGCCTGCCTCCCAGCCCATATGCCACCATCGGTTGCCATTCTCATAGGACAGCCATTCTGAATCAGACGGATGGATATCCAAAGGGATCGACCTGACGGTCTTGCCATCATGTACCGACAGGTGATCAACCGTACAATCTCGGCCGTGCAATAGTAACAGAGACAGATGCAGGCCTGTTTTGTCAGTCGACAACTGTCACATTCATCGCACCATCTAACGTCCATGCTAGCCCTCCTAATCTCCCTTGGATCTCTCTGTCCCAGACTTTGCCTCCTGACAATCGCCATAGCTCGACAAGGATCCCTCCAGCTCGTTCTTTACCCTTGCCATGCGTGTCTGGGCTGGAGAGCAAGATGACCAGGTCCATGGTGGGATTGCATGCTGAAGGGTGGAGAATTCGAGGTTCATTAAGATCAATCGTAGCCAACGGCGTGAAGGACGACGACGACGACGGTATCATCTTCACCTCGGCACCCATGAAGCAGTGTGGTGATACCTCCAATCTAAGGATTTCATTGCTCGAGAACATTTCGAGCCCCACGTGGCGTTGACGCGTCGAGGCGTCTCAAAAGTCAGTCGCCATCTGGATCCCTGCCTGCTCTTACAATATCAGCTTGGTCGAGGCAGTCATGACCATGGATCCGGTCAATCTCAGTCCCGTACCGCCCTTATTGGACTCCTATTGCTTCCACTCAACTCGACATGAGTCTTCAGAAGGATGGATCATGGGGATCGATGAAGCTGGTCGTGGACGTGAGTCAAGATCCTGAGCGAAGAATTGACAGAATGCAGCTGTTCTAGGTGGGGTTGCATGCCAAATGATGCTCATACTTTAGGTCCGATGGTATATGCTGCTGCCTACTGCCCAATGTCATTCAAACCGACGCTGGAGTCTCTCGGATTTGATGGTATGTCTATGACGTTAGATGCTTCGCTCATTGGTCTAGACTCCAAGGCGCTATCTCCGGAAACGAGACAGGCCTTGTGGGATACCTTTGATACCCACGCACCCCTGTGTTACAGCAGTGCTACGCTATCCCCCCAATCAATCTCTGCCGGAATGTTACGGCGGGTGCCAATCAATTTAAACCAACAAGCTCAGGTGCGTCTGCGACTTGGATGGTCCACTGAATTCCAAAGGACGCAACGATAGGACTGATAAGATCAGCACTGGAGCGGAATATTAATGTCGTGGAGGTGAGAGGGTAATGGAAGGACTTCGCTGACTGTAGTGCTACGTCGACGCACTCGGACCGTCTCCACAGTGGCAAGCTCGTCTCTCAGAGATCTTCCCAACAATCAAGTTCACCGTGTGTCCTAAAGCCGACTCGATATACAAGATCGTTGGTGCAGCTTCCATCGTCGCAAAAGTCACTAGAGACCGATACGTGCATCACTGGGTGGACCCAGAGGGAGACGACACCGCTGTGGACGGCGATGCGGGTGGATCTCGAGGAAGCGGATATCCTTCAGATCCACGTACACAGGCGTTCTTGAAGGATCATATCGACCCAGTCTTTGGTTACAAATCCATCGTGAGGTTCTCTTGGGCGACCGTCAAAGTATTGCTGGAGAAACAGGCAGTGGAATGTAAATGGTGAATCGACAATTGCCTGCAGAGCTGACAATGCAGGTCTGATGACGATTCATCAAACCTCTTTGACTCAGATCGTGGCAGGCCTAAAATGTGGAGAGATGTTGGCATATCAGGAGCGGGAGAATTATAATCATGTATCAGAACTTTGCTTCCCGCAATTTGGAGGCCTCTGTCCTGACACGACGGTCCCAATGTTCTTTCGCCAACACCTCGACTTCCCACAAGCTCGTCGCCAGAGGATTCGTCAATTGCGGGTCATCCAATTCCGGCTTGTACACTCCATCAAACATACGCTCCTCGGTATCCAGCATGCCTTCCAATTTTGACTCTTTGATCATCATGGTCCGCACGATTTCCAAGGCCTTGAGAGCACTTTGGGGCGGTAGGAGTAGGGCAGACTCTGTCAAACGCTTCGCGAACGCTGCTAGACGCCAAGGCGGCATGGAAGACTTGTTGACGCGGGAGAAAAAAATCGTCTCGATACACTCAAACATAAGCGCGGATGTCGAAGCATTCAGTCGAGATGGAACTGTGCCGTCTGGTGGATCCTCGATTCCAGTGTCAAGCGCGAGCGGTCTAAGAAGAGCAAAGAGGGCGTTGACGAAATCGGTCAAGTCAATATTTAATGCTTCGCCTTGTCCAGACAACAGATCAAAGGCGGTAATGATAGCGATCAATCGTAAGCGGACACGCTGGTTCGCCGCAAGGTCGTCCGCGTCGTCCACTATCAACCTGCGAAGGACGACCAAGAGATCTTTGAAAAAGTCAATGTTGATGTGATGAGCGAATTGCGAGATCCCTTCAAGGGCTGGGGCCAGCAGTGGAGTCGGGGTCGGGTGCTTTAATATGGAGAAATACAGGACGAAGAGGTTTTTGAGCGTTTCAGTTTGCTGCACATCAGCTGAGCCAAATGGACAAGCAGACTCACCACTTGGGATCGCTCCTCCTCATTCACCTCTGCTTCTGCCTCTGCCATCTCCTTCTTGATCTCTTTCAACTCCTTGTCCCTTTTCTTCTGGTTCTTCGTTCGCCATTTCTCCCTTACATCGGACTTAAATTTCGCTTTCATCTTGGTGCCCTTGCGATCTCGCTCATCCCTCTTCGTCTCGCGTTTTGGGTCAAGCTCATTGACCAAACGCAGATGAAGAAGAGAGCCCAGTATCTTTGGATGAACTTGATATTTGCGCTCCTTGATCATACGAGCGATGAGTCGGACCAAGATCTGCGAGTCGTGCGCCGAGACATCTGCCTTGAACACTTTGACGACGGTCTGAAAGACCAACTCGGCATCGTCGTCCCACGTCTTGCGAGCCACACGACCGACCAAGACTCCCATGATGTTCTCCGAAAAGTTAAAGTGTGGGACCGCCGTGAGGAGCTCGCACATGCAACCGAGGCAGAGAGATGCGAGTGTGGACCGAGCTTTGATCTCTGTCTCCAGAGTCTTTAGATAAGCTTTATATGTGTTCACGAGAAGCTTCTCTCCTTCTCGTTGGCGTTTGACCTCGTCTCGTACCTTCTCAGCCTCCTCCAGCGCAGTGAGTTGCCGAATTCTGTAACCGGGGATAATGTCTTTGTAGACAGCCAGTAGAGACAAAAAGGCTAGACCTCTGATGGACGCAGGGACAGGCAGCTTGGATCCATCGTCAGGAGAGGGGACTGTCGGCAGACTGAACGTGGATAATCGGGTGAGCAGAGGTGCCTATAGTCAGCCGCAAGTAAATGTATGAAAGCTTACTGTGTCGATGAGTTCGCCCCCAGCTAAGATCTCTGCACCTGTCGAGGCGATCTGTTCTTTCGCCGCGGCCAGTCTGTCTGCATTCTTCCAGCCGGGTCGTCCTGCGATTTCCGCGATCCCGAGACGACCGAACTTGCCCTTTTGGCTCGCCATTCGATGAGTCAATTCCTCCGTGGTCGGCTCTAGCTCCTCTTCGCTCTCTTCCGTGGATTCCGGTGTTGGCGGTCGTGGCTTTTTCGTCGGAGGCAAAGTGATCTTTGTCGATCCCTCAACTTTTTGAATCTGCCCAGAAGGCAGCTTAATGGGTAAACGACTGACTTGAACGGAATCCGATTCCACCGAAAGTGAGCGCTCCATGCGCTGCCTCCCGGCACGCTCATAGTCTGCTTCCTCGTTGGCTTCCTTTTTGCGTTTCCTCCGATCACGGTAATCCACGGCATCCGAGTCACTACTCATAGAATCTAGGCCGTCAACCTCCGAGTCATCATCCAGACTCTCCAAGTCGGAGACATCCTCTAGATCTGAAGGGAACTCAGCATCAGAGTCGAAAGACCCCGTAGAGGCTGATCCTAGGCTTGGTAGCTTTGGCTTGATACGGGATTGTTTCGGCAGCGGTTCTCGAGACTTTGCAAGGTCGTGCAGTCGCCGAGTCTCCTTGATCGACCTAGTACATGAGGCTCTGTGGTCTGAAGATTTGCCTCACCTGCTCAAGGCAGACGGGTCTGCACTAGATATGAATCCCGCTACATCTCCCAAATCATCGTCCAGCTCATAGTCATCTTCTAGCTCGTCGTCTTCGCTGCCGCCCGCTTCGTACGTGCTCTTTGGGATAGGTATAGTCTTCCGGTCTCTCAATTTCGTCTTCTTCTCGACCTTTTTGTGCTTGTCTTTAGGTCGAGTCTAAGTTTGTCAGCGTGGGACAGTCCTGATTGACATGCCACTTCCGGTTGGGCCTTGCGCTTCCCCAATGCTTTTGCAGACGGCATGATTTGAAGGACTGCTGGATGTACATGTCAAGGACAGGAGAGCGCAGGACTAGCAGATGAAGAATTCTGAAATTTCTTCGGGAGCGGAGATCGCCGCATCGAGCGCATCACCGCGCTGACCTCGAGCCGAGTCGTTCTTATACACGACCTATGCTTCGGACACTGGTGACGGTGACGAGCAGACGTTATCGACACACCATGACGGATCTATCTCTGTCTTACTCCCCACAAAGGGCTGAAGAGCTCAAAGAGAACATGAAGGGAGTCTTAGATGACATTGCGGCTGTCGGTAACGTAAGCAGTTGATCGACTGGTCAAGGCTGACTGAGTACAGGCCCGTCTGGTCCCCATCTCCAAATTAAAGCCTGCATCAGACATCAAAGCCCTTTACGATGCTGGATACAGGCATTTTGGGGAAAATTATATACAAGAGATGGTCGACAAAGCGGAGGTGCTCCCCTCGGATATTCGTTGGCATTTTGTTGGCGCACTTCAGAGCAACAAGGCTAAGCTGGCAGCATCAGTACCCAACCTTTTCCTGCTGGAAACATTTTCATCCGTCAAATTAGCAGATGCGGTCCAGAAGCATCTACCGGAACGAGCAGAGCCCCTCAATGTTTACATACAGATCAATACCTCATCCGAAGACTCGAAGTCTGGCCTACCTCCTCTCACATCATCTTCCACCAAATCTGATCCCGCTGCTGAACTCGCCATACATATTCGAGATCACTGTCCGGGTCTGAAACTCCTGGGTCTGATGACCATCGGATCATGGGAAGCATCACACGATCCTTCAAAACCCAATCCCGACTTCGAGACTCTCAAAAGCACAAGGAAGGAGCTGCTCAGATTACTCGAAAGCGATCAGGAGCTAGAGTTGAGCATGGGCATGAGCGCCGACTTTGTACAGGCCGTCAAAGAGGGAAGCAGTAGCGTCAGGGTCGGCACGCGGATATTTGGTGAGAGGCCACCGAAGAATGCATGAGACATTTCAACGGAATGGGAATCCACCTTGTGCCTGCGATGGTCAGCCCGATCTTTACGCGGGAGATTCATTTACCTCTGAGGCGCCGATTTTCATCCAAAAATCTTGCAGATCGAAGCCACCAAATATACTGCCCGGGTCTTCGCCCAGCGTCTCTCCAAACCAGTCATCCAGCGTGGCAGACCCGGTTCTGCTCGTTTCAATCGCAGCAGTATCGGGTGCCGATTGGAACTTCGGTGAGCCCATGGGTCCAGTCGTCGGAATGGCAGTCAACCAATCGAAGCTGTCGTCCCAGGCTGCATCTACCCTAGCGGTGGCATCCCATGGAGCAGGCGAAGTGTTCTCTGCCGCCGGGGCTGGGCTGCTCGGCTTGCTCTGCCGGTCAGTTTGGGATGGCGCAGGAGAGGCTCACCAGATCAGACATGGCCGACAGCTTGCGCTTGAGGCCTCTCAGCTGGCGGCTATATCGAGCGGGCGGGTCGTTGTCTTCTGTCGACGCTTCTGTCAAGCAGGAGCACAGTCGGTCGATGAGTGTCAAGGTTCTGGCGTCAGCTTTCGGGCCTTAAAGTGTCTCACTTTGGTTGATCTGCACGAAGGACGGCACCTGAGTAGACCGCCTAATATCAGCAACGACCTTTGTCCAGCCCACCTTGAGGAGCAGAATGGCAGCATAGGTGAACCACAACAGGAATCGTGATGGCAAATAAGGCAGCGCTCCGCCAGGATGTAGGCTATCAACACAGATCCTTAGGAGCGAACGAGCCGCGTCACATGACTGGAATATGTAACGGGCGTCAGGGCTATGCGCCGCTCCGCGAGGGAACAAGCTGAGTGGTGGACGAGGCGGAGGTAGCGACTGTGATTCTGCAAGTTTCTGGTATTCTTCATCGGCTCGGATGGCAGCGCGCTCAACATGCGCTTGCTGGAGGTATGAGCTTTTCAAAAGCCGCAGACCCACATAACTGAAAGAGCAGATGTATAGTTGAGCGTAATAGAACATTGCCCACACGGCATCGTTCAAAGGAAAAGTCCGCCACCTGCGATGAGACCAATTCGCTACTGTATCAAGACCCACCTCTTATTCCCCCAAAGCACCTTGAATCCGTCCAATGAGCGCACGAGCTCGTCGATATATTTGAAGTACTCCCCATAGCTCATTAGTCAGTACGGCACCGTACGACTGCCTCACACAACGAGCGACTTTGTCCTTGCAGCATTTGGGTACAAGATGTCATGAGCACTGGACATCATTTGCGTCAATTCGACGTAGGCCTGGATCAATCCTGCCAGGTCATCCTGCTCGCCCGAATCTGCGGGACGGAAAAATGGGAAGTTGCCACCCGATGCAGCTGGACCTGTCTGGTTCGATGAGGAGTAGCCTTGAAAGCAGACGGCGGGGCCTCGAGACCAGAACGCCTTTCCAAGACGGAGGGAAATGCTGGATCAAGTCAGTCGGCTTCTGGACAATGCTGCTCACTGTCTGTCGAAGAGATAGCAATCTGGAATCAGCGTGGACTCATTCACGAAGCTCACATGTCCACGCCAGACGAGCTCTTTCGAGCTCAAAGGTTCTTTCCTCTTCATCGAACAGCTTTGTAGCCATCTGGTGATTAGCATTGTCTATATCAAGGCCTACTTTGTCTAATCTCAAACCGTACGCGACGCGGATAGCGGAGCCTATCAACATCCAAGCCTGTCGATTTTCTTTGCCATGATGTTCCTCTCCCAGTCCAAAGGCTTGAAGATCTGCCGTCGTACCTACCTCGGGATCACGAGGCAGGTTTTCCGCCAGTAACAGCAGGCATTCAACAAGTCCTACACTTGGTGGAGCCCCAAGACATTCGATATCGGAAATCCAGCCCTAAACAGTCAGCGAAATAAGTGAATTCTAGCCTAACCCTCATGACCGACCAGGAACGATCGTGAATCGTTCGCATACCCTCGCCGGCGTGATTCCGGCTGGCTATGATGATGATCCCGGCAAGGAGGTAGGGTTCATCGCTGGCAAACCGACCCAGGGTTCGCGCCCGGGGTATGAGATAAGCGGGGACCATTGGCTGAGATGCCTCAGGATCAAGTGCATCACGAGGCAGCTCACGAAGAAGTGATGGTGGTAGCGGAAGAACGTATTGACCAGATCAACTATTTGGCTGACGGAGAGTATACGCTTCTTGACCAGGATAAAATCTGACAGTTCGGCATGTACACTCTTGCCTGACCCGGTCCGAGCAGGTATAGAGCTTCTCGAGGGTCCCCCCGACTGTAGGTCACTCTGACCGGAAGCCAGAGCAAGGATATGCAGCGCATCAGATTCGTTCTGCAGGTCTGCCACAACAATGTCGCTTGGATCGGCTGTCCTAGGTACTATACGCCGGCGTTTAGGGCTCGTTGTTGATATGGGGGGATGTTGAGGGAGCTGAGGGAAGGGATTGGCCAGATCCCCAGAATTGTACTCATCGGTCAGTGATGGCCTTTTAGGATATGGGTTAAGTCCCAGTAATCCGGAGTATTCGACATTTGGTGAAGCCGGCGGATCCATAGTGCGGAGAGATGGCCGAGGCCCCGGGAACTCATCCATGTCTGTGATGGAAGCTGAGGTGGACCGTCGACTGTTTCCACCTCTTAGACTTGGAACAAAGATACACTCTCGGGACTCCCGGCGGCATCGAGAGCAAGGTGGTTCGGATGGTGCATCAATATCACCCTGTGCCCTGTCAGGTGTATGATGAGCATTTCAGGACTCACCAGATCACATTTTGCCTTCCTACTGCGACAGTGCAAGCTTCGCTCATCAGCTCCCGTCACAATTGATCTCACCATGCTCTGTAGCCTCTTCGCAGCTTCTCGGTCGGTTTTCGGTCACTGCTCATCGTCGTTGTTCATGAATGATGCATCAACGTTGTATACAGGTCAGAAGCGGATAAACAAGGATATTCAAGGCTCGACGGTTATAAACGGAGATGGCTTCGGGATTTCGCCGATCTTGTCTCCGGAAAACGAGGCATACGCTACATGACTACACAATCGTCACGGACAGATAGCGAGTACATGGCCTGAGGCACCCGTCAGGTCGACCAGATGTCGTAGATCTCTCTCACCTTGTCCACAGTCTTTTCAATCTTCTTCCAATCGCTCCGTCGTTGGATGAACTCGTAAATGCTTCTCATTTAGTCTCGGCAAGATCCGGGCGAGCTCACTCTTCGGGTCTGAAAGTTCCCCCGTATCGCGTTACGTCACGGACGATCTGAGCCAGATCCTTGCCGTCAGACACGATGTAGACGTGGCCTAACATCTTCAAGTTGGCAAAGTCCTCAGTGATCCGAGGCTGCTTGAGAGAGGTGATGAAAGCATGATAGGCATTCAAATCGGCAATGATCTGGAATCCGCCTTCGAGCGAGATAATTTGACGTTTGAGATGCCGTTGGAGGATGCTGATGATAAGCGGCGCTGTACTCCTTCACCTACGCCTGGAGACGTATCCCGACTTCTTGGTAGAATACCTCGAGGACCTCCTTAGACGTGCTTCCCCTGAGCAGGTTGCAGTGCATTTCAAGACACGCAATTGCCTCTCGACAGCCCTCTGTCGGTCCGAGCTCGAGCGGAGTTCCCTCAGTTGGATAGTATTCTCGAGGACCCGTCTTGACCTGGATGATGTGCTCAACCTGTGCAAGTCAGCCACTGGGTCGCCGAGTGAATCCTCAACTCACCTGATTCATCAAGACCTCGATACCGGCATTGAGACCGCCAGCCACGGCATCGTCCAATACGGTCTCGAACCTCTTCTTCTCCCTCATCACGGCATTCAGAAAGTCAGTCTTGTCCACATACTTGGCCAAGTCTTTGTCAAAGTAAACCTGTACCATAGACTGGATAGTGTCTCCAACGTGGACCAGCTCGAAGAATTGCAAGAGGGGCGCCACACTCGTCGTTTCTGCAGCCGGCTTGTAGGAGCTCATCTGTTGAGAGGCGCTGATAGTCAGGCATGGCATGCACTCAAACCCACACTTTGAACCCCGGGGCGATGTGCCTATCTCCGACGGCCTTCAGGAGAAGAATGAAGATCTCCTCGATAGTCTCCCGCACTCGATGACCGGCTTTACCTGGGTAATTGGCAAATGTCTCGCAACGCTTGAGCGAATCTCGATCCGCATGAATAAGCTCGAGCGCAGTGTCCAGAGAGACTAGAAGCTGTAGACGATCGAAAGAGGAGTCTGCCTCGTCTCTGACTTTTTCTCCGATTGGTGGCGGAGGAGGAAGCTCATCCTTCTCTTCGAAAACCACCTGCTGCTTCACTTCAGAACCACTCCACTTCTGCGGATTCAACATCGATAAGCCATTGACAGCATGCGAGCCGCCCGAGACAATTGCGTGCACTCCGTATGTGACGGTACGAGGGACAATCGTGACCGGCAAGAGCAGAACATCTCGGAACCCGGCAAGGACATTCTTCTTGACTTGATCTGGATTTGAGGCATTGAGGAACGTCGGGCCTTCCCCCATACTCGCGTCCGCGCCTCGCTGCGTGTCCCACATTCTGCAAATGGAGTCGAGCGAGCGTTTGACCGACTCTGTTTCCTCGTCGAGGTATTCGTCAATGTTGACCTCAAACATTTTGTAGCTAAGATCAGTTGTGTTACAGCTTAGTTTCTCACATGACATCCTCCACTTGGATTGAGAGAGATTTGTCTCCGAGGACCTCCATGGTTACGTCCACTAACTTCCAAGACTGAACGAAGGCTGCGGCACTGGCCTGTAAAAAAAGCTCCGGAGAGACTATACGTGTTTGCGACAGCAGGGCCTGAACATACTCGCCAATCTGATGTCAGAAAACGATCCATTCCTCACACTTACGACATCGTTCGCAACTCGGTCACAAAAGGAGACGACAACTCTCGCCCCGAGGGGAAAAACACGAGTAGCCTTTTGGGCGTCCAAGCGGAAAGTCTCTAGCACATGGGACATGAATGCGTCCATGGGAGTGAAATCCAGTTGCCGCACCGGCTCACCAGCTGGCGACGTCGTTTTACTGTGACTCAGCTAAGCTGCGAAGGGCAACAGACCCACACTATGTTCTCCAAGGCGTCCCACTTCCCGGTCTCATAGAACACTTCTCGTTTCTCCACCCAGACACGTCCACATTCCCACTGATCTCGACTGCCTCCTCCCGCGTCCCACACTTTCCAGCTACTTTCCGCTGCAAGCCGCATGTCATCTTCGTTGCCTTTGTTGTCTGCAACTTCAAAAGCTACCAAGCAAGTGGAGTCGAAGCGGTCCGCGGCGGCAAGTAGTGCTTGTCGGAGAAACCCCCAGTCGTGTAATGGTTGTAGTCGGGGGCATAAGAAAAGGAGTAGTGATAAAAGCATGTCGGACTGAGCGGACAGCGTGGTGGCATTAGGGAAGAGAAGCGCTAGTGTGGAGCTTGGAGAGGGCGACGATCGGAGATGAACGCACAAGGGGATGAGAGATAGATGATGCTGCTTGTAGGCGAGATAATAGGGTCCAAAAGTGCCTTTCATCGGTTTTGGATTGAATGCAAAGAAGCCAGACGCTCGATTATTTCCATTGGCAGCCGGACGAGAGGGTAGGGGGACCTCGTCAAAGTCCAGAAGACTCATCTCTTTCGCCTTGGTCGTCACTCCAGCAGAAAAGTCTCCGAAATCTACATCTTCAAAGTCTCCGTTTGAGAAGTCTCCATAGTCTTCTTCAATCGACCTCCGCAGAGACCCTTGACGCCGAGGAGCTTGTGCGGACTTCTCGACGGCTATTTGAGACGGCTCGCCCCCTTGGTCCACGTCCAATCCCAGCAGCTTGCATCGTTTCTCCCATATTCTTTCATCTCTAACAAGTTTTGCCAGAGCCCGATTGCATCTCGCGACGTTGGGCAAATCAGGTATGGGAAGATGGTGGACTATGCGGAGCACGATGGATTCTGGGTATCGGCCTATCAGTGGACCTGACGTCGCAGTCTGGGCTGCATGCTTGGCAGGCTTAAGTACCGATGCCCAAGATGAGGCTGATGATGATCCTGCCTTGGAAGGGGCCAGAGGTGCCCAAGAATTCATGATGTGGTGTGAAGGCGACAAGTCAATGTTGAATTTGGCGCAGCCGGCATGATTGGTTCGCGTTTTCGGCTTAAGACCCGCTTATGTCTCTACATCATACACGTAACCGCATACTTCGCAGCGCGCCGCCCTACACTTGCTAGTATCCGCCGACAACGTTCGAGACCTCTTCGTTACCCTCTCTGGCCTTGCGCTAGCAGCGTCCATCATGGCCACTCCGCCGACCCTTTTACCTGGCATGGCCTACATCCACGTCTCCACCAACGAGCCATCAGCAGTCACGTCGGTGAAGCATCAGCAATGGACACTGCACCACGTTGGACCGGTTGGAGAGCTACAAGGAGAGCACCTGTTCGAGGTCCGTCAGCCCGGAGGCACAGTCATGGAGCGGTCAGGTCTAGACGAGCCGGCTCTGTTGCAGAAAATCAAGGATGACACCGGACTCAAAGGCGTCAAAATGGTAGAGATGAAGCAGAGGGTCAAGAGGGATGAGTTCTGAGAGGGACGTATACGAGTAGCCGGGGATTGCCAGCTATGTCGCACTGCCGGACATCTACCCTGCCCGCTTTCGAGCTGAAGATTAGGCGAAACATGTGAATGACGACCAGATACTCGGATACTCCACCTGGAATTTAGTTGACATTGACTGCTATTGGTGCCCGGAGAGCTACTGGGATGACAAGCAGCTGCTGAAGATGGCACCCATGTAGCACACCGACAAAGAATGATTTATGCTGCCGAGATGTATAGGCACCTGTGCAGAATTTCTCATTGTACGATAGAACATCATGCGAGGACGCGGAGATGAAGTTCTTTGACAAGCTCGACGGTCGGGCTTCTGAATTCTCTTTGGAGCTTTGAGACGTCCAGACCTCTCGAATCAGTCAGTAAACGTCAGACCTTATCACATGTAATGAAATAGCTCCCAGCTCCGCTCGACCGGAAAGACCACGTGTAGGCTGCAATTGCATCAGGTTGGGCTTCTGGCGACCATTGATATCCCTCACGAGATACGAGATGAGCTCGGAAAGGAAACGGATCATCGTCATTGGTATCTCGTGAGATGATGCTGACAGACCATATCTGACCTTGAGTGGTGCTAGCTGCTCTGGCAAGACTCTTCTGGCCAAGACATTGAAGTCAATCCTCCCTAGGGCGACCATCATACATCAAGACGATTTCGCTCCAGTGAGTCGCGACGACCTGGGATTCACTGAACAAGAGGCTCCTGAGGATCTTCCACTAGTCGATAGGCTTCAAGATTGGGACGATCCACCGACCTGCATCATCTGGGACCAATTTCGTAGCACGCTCAAAGACATTCGCTCAGGCAAATCGCCCTCGCATGAGAGCAACGACCATCTGAATGTCTTGGATGCTCCTGAGCTGGATACGGCCACGATCGGGAAATGGAAAAAGGCTTTCTCAGATTTAGAGACGGAAGAACGGGCGCATGGCGTGCAGCTCGAGTGGTATCTTGTGGAGGGTTTCATTTTATATTGGGATCAAGTGAGTCTTTGGCAACTGCCCAGTTGGCTGACCGCAGCAGGCTGTCACCAATGCGCTGGACATTCGACTATTCCTTCGCGTTCCTCATGAGACGCTGAAGCGCCGAAGAGAGGGGCGTTCAGTCTATGTCATACAAAGTAAGTGATGTTCAACATCGCACCTTATTGACAACAGGCGCCTCGGCAGCTGGAGATGTCTGGACGGATCCACCAGGATACTTTGACAAGATTGTCTATCCTGCCTACGTCAAAGGGCATCGGCATATGTTTGAAGACGGAGATGTGGAGCAGGGAGATGTGTCAGAAGAGTGGAGAAATAGCCAACATCCAGTCAAAATGCTCGTGCCGGGAGAGGGCCCAGAGGAAGTCATGAGGGTTGTCGAGGATAGCTGCAGGTATCTAGTCGATCAGGTCAAGGCTGGCGCGGGAGTCGCATTATGATGCATCAAAAATCACTGTACTGCGAGATGTGTGAATAGCCTGGATGGATTTGGGATCAATATCGACTTCGACCCAAGTCGGAGAATGTTGCACCTCAGTCTCTCCTAGGTCTGACATTAACGAGTTTCGGGCTTGACACTCACTCAGATCTCGAGTAAGGACTTTGGTCTCCGTCACTACCACTTCAAACCTCGATCCAACTCCAGCCAATCGGACCTCCTCGGCCAACTCAACCAACTCCGGATCCTTGGATCTCGTATCGATCAAGTAAAAATCACCAGCTTCAGTGACTACGCCAAAGCGGTTCCTCGTGCCGGATATGAAGGTGAATCTGAGACCTTCGAACTCCTCTATCAATCGTAGTCTAGGAGCTGCATTTTGTCTGAGATCCCCGTGGTCGATCTCAAAGAGGTGCTGAGCAGGCCCATCGAGCACTAGGAAAACGCGAGATTCCGCCGCGTACAACTTGCCTTTCGAAGTCGCCAGAAGTGGATGTGTGAGGGTAGGTTCATCATGCGCGGCCTCGAGAAAAGCCTCCATCTGGTCGCACATATAGATACTGTCCTTGTACCAAGCATAGACTCCTCCCAGGCCAGTGACAACCACGTCGTTCCATTCATTTTTTGACCGCCGGCCGTCCAGAGTATATACGAATTTGTCTTGAATGTATCCTATCAGATCATCCAGCCCGAAGAGACGATCAGACTGAACATCAAGGTTCTCGAGACGTTTCTTGAGCCTGGGATGCTCGCCCCATATCTTGGGTTGTCCGGTCAGGGCGTCTTGCCCATTAGAAAGAAAGACCGCCTGCAAATGCTCACCTCTTCCAACGGTCAAGGTGAAACTGTGCCAGATGACTTTCTCGCATCCTGTCTTAACAGTGATATCGGTTGGAGACAGAATCTCGTTCTGACTGGTGGGATCCAAGTTGCCGAAAACATTGGAACCAAGGGCGATCAAGGTCATGAGAGAGTGGACGATCAAAAGATGGGGTCTTGAAAGGTGGAGGTCAAAACATTTGGCACTGGGGGCGATACGACGATTCATGCATTGATTAAGCCAGATATGATGGGCTTTGCGGAATTATCAGAGAGGAGCAGAGTCAGCTGCTCGGCTAAGACTTTGCAATTCTCCCTGATGCCCTGCGTATCCTCCGAGGAGCTCTGCATAAGGCTTCTCAAAACGTCAAGAGCTGAGTCCGGCCCGTCCCCGGTCTTTTTGTCTTCCAAGACTGCCGCCACGAGAGAGGCTCATTGTCAGCTGCGCCTTAATTCATGCTCACCTTTGGCTGGCGTGAACGTCGATATGAGTGTCAATGCGATTATACCTTCATTGATCAGAACGGGAAGTTGGTGACCGAGTCGAATCATCTCTGACAGATAACCAATGACTTGGTCGTTGACCTTGGCTACCTCACCTTGCTGGCTAAGGCTGCGAATGACATTGACGTATATCCTCGTGGCTTCGAAACGCAAAGCTTGATCATCTGTCCGAGTCATTAAGGCTAAGAGGGATGTTTGATCGGTGCCCAGGAACCTCTTTGCATTGGCCCCTATCTTCAGCGCCAGGACGGCTTCACTCAACTCACCATTGTCCCTACAAAGATTCTTGATCAAGCCGATAGCGCCACCCTGGACCGATCCCACCAAATCGCGTTCGTCGACCCATGGTCTCATGCTTACAACTCTCTCAATTACCGCATGATCTCCAATATATTTCTTATTGGACGGCGAAATAGACAGATTCCGCAACATTCCGAATAATGCGTGTTGAACTTTGGCCGGTGTCGTTGCGATGAGCAGTGACAGAACATCCTCCATGATAGCATTTGTACCTTGAACCAGACTTTCAGCCTTAGCGTCTAAGAGGTCAGCGAATGAAAGCACAGACACGCACTATCTTGGGCATAATTTCCATAGCACAGCAGCGCACATATCGTCAAATCTTCGCGGTCCGAGAGGCTGAGCCAAGCTCTCATCACCTCCCAGAGTGTATTGTCTTCGTCGAGGCCGGACGCCATTTCACTTAGCGCCGTGATAGTCGCTTCCTTCGCATCTGACAAGAGCTTTGCTGGATCCTCTTCACCATCGGCGTCCCATTTTGGCACATCCCCGCGCTCAACAAAGTTAGTCAGTACGTCGATGGGTGGATATCTGAGGACGTAGATTGGCAAAAGCTCCAAGATTTCGCAGGCGGCCCGGAGAATGAATATGGTCGACTCGGCGAGATCGTCTTTGAAAGGGGGAATGAAGCAATGCATGGGTCTGAGCAGAACATCCCACACAGCCGAGTCCACACTCTTCGCGAGAGCTTCGGAGTCTGAATCTTAGCACAGGGGTACCGATGACAAAACTCACGCTTCTCAACGACCTTAGTTGTAATGTCTGCTGACCACTGAGCCAGCATATCGTCAGCGTTTTCATGCCCAATTTCAAGCAACGAAGTGATCGCTGTCCAGTCGGCCAATTGGTTTAAGGCCGCGTCTGAATAGTCAGCCGTTGACCCCTGACCAAACTTACCATGATCATTCATGGTTAGATTCAGGAGACTTGCGACTAGAGGCCGTGCGCAGTCCAGCGAAGGATGACTGCCCAGCATCTCTATGACGGCCGAGATATAGCCAGCTCCCACCATCAAGTCTCGGTTTGGATCTGACATGCTCAGCTTGGACGCTTCCTCTGAACGCACCGCAGTCCGCTACGAGATTGGCTACGACCCGGCCCACCTGCGCAGAGTGCCTAGTTTCCCCATCCTTCACGCATCTTGAGAGAATCTGGGTCAGCGCTGAAGCAATGGCCATCTCTCCAACGAGGAGTCTGTAATGGGCTGCTATCAGACTGTATCATAGCACAATCTCACCATTCCTAAGTGCATTTGCGGTTCTATCCAATGCTGTCAGGAGATTGACATCATTGTAATGGGATGACTTTATCGTCCCGATGTCCTCTCGGACTCTTTCAGGCAAGCTCTCGCTGACGCTCATATTGAGTTGAGCGATGGTCAAAACGCTGCGACGTTCGTAATGACCATTGACGCACGCGAGTTAGATTCGCACGGTCGCGCGTCTGGGATGTATGTTTCGTGGACTTGCAACACCTCCTTGGACATTCTTCGATCCACTCGTTGAGCACTGTTACGAGCGATATGGACTGCAGGCTCGTGCATCTGCTCTGATGAACAACATAGGACAATGAAGATTACCAAGCCAGCCAAGCGGCTCTCCTCAATTGTGAGTTCAACTGCTTGACCGCCAGCTCACTGGAATGATAGCCTCCTGATGTCGCTGCTCAAATCAAGATTATAGAGTCGACACCCAATGAATCGCTGGCCACTGTCCTGTCTGGAATAACCAACTGGCCTTATCCCAGAGGTGACTTTCAGTCATGGATCCCGATCTTGGATAAGTTTGATGGCTGCCTCGAGGAAGTCATTAGCAGTTATGACCTCTCCAGACCTCAGACGAACGACTTCACCCCCACAACCAGGGAGACAGTTTTGCAGGTGTTAAGATTCACTCGTTTGCTATTGGAGAACTGTACGCAGCGCAAGCTTTACTCATCATACGACGTGAGTGTCGCCACCCTCGATGCCGCTGACGTGTGCAGCGTCTTTACGATCTCCTTCTCACCAATGACCTCGATGTCCTTATCGCCACTCTGTTCGTCATCCTCCGCCCGGCACAGCAGTATGGCACCCAAACCCCTTTTGAGACTGGATACGGCACAAAGATACGTCGCCGGCTCAATTCAATATTTCGTGGTTGGGATGTGTTCCACGGCCACAATGTAAAGCTATCGCAAATTTTGACTGCCAAGCTCGACCTGGATGAGTCATTCTACCATGCGTCGTCTAGCTTTTACACGCCCAAAAAGAAGCAGCAAAGTGTGGTCGACCTTGGAGATGTGAGAACGTTCAATCAGGCTGAGATCCCCGACAAAATCCAGACCCTCGCTGAAGAACATGACATGCCTCCGGACGAGCAATTCAACGTCTACAACAGGATTCGCGTCATCCTCTGCAAAGACAGGCAGAATCTGCTGGTCGCCAGACTGCTGGCCCTGGCGTGTCAAGGTGAGGATGTTGTTGTTCATGATGCTCACGAGTGCAGTCTCCCTTTCACACGAAGATGCAATCCAGTCTACCATTTTCCTCTACGAGCCAGACCTAATCCCTCAACTCGCGGAGCTCATGCGTGCGCATGTGGACGATCTTGTCCAAGCCTCAAGTGTCCTCGCTCTCGAAGCTTGCAGCCACCATCGCAGCAAGACTTTGGAAGTTTTGACCGCCATTGGCCACAGCAATAGCCACGGAGCCTTATTGTCCTTATTGCGCTCAATTGTATCTCGCTTGGCGCATGAGTCTGTTCGAAACGAGCTGGTTGACTCGCTCCTGTCATTCATAGCCTTCACCGCCACTGTTCAGGGACATGTCGGATCGCTTTTAGGAGCCGGACTCATGCCGATTTTGCTTGACTTCCTTAAAGTCAGGGGGGAACGAAGAGAGTCTGTGAGGTTGCTGCATAGGTATCGAGCTGACGTCAGTACATTCCTCGTGCGCTTGGTCTCATTGATGCTATTATCATGATGGGAAACAATACGCTTCAAGTCTTCAACGGCGCAGATGGTGTCAATCTGCTCGTCGCCGCAGCTGGGGTGAGCGAGCGATGTCATTAGCCAGCTGACATTCAGAATGAAGCCACGAGTCTGTTGGAAACTCCTCTGCCGAAGTCCAGCGAGACTTTGTCGGAGGATAGCATTATCCTCATTGCCAGTCTGCCGCTCAAATCCATTCTCCGAACTCTGCACAGACTTCTCTCCACTGCAGGCGGGACGGACGGGCTCCGGACATTGATTGACTCCGCTCTGCCCAGGGTAATCAAGACCATATTTGAGAATTCCGCCAAGTTTGGAAATCGAGTGTTCAGCAATTGTGAGAATCACTTTGCCCTCCTCAGCTAACATGGAGCAATCAATATCCTCGCCGCTTTCATTCACAGTGAACCGACATCCCTTTCCCTTCTCCAGGAGATGCAACTTCCGCAAAGCCTGTATGCCAACCTCGAACAGAGCGTGCCGAACAGCTTCGATGTAAGACAGCACGATTGACTAGGCTAATGTCAGATCATGCCAGCCATTCCTAATGCCATCGGTGCAATCTGCCTCAACGAGGTCGGCTTCAAGCTTGCCAAAGAGCATCCAGCAGTCATCCAGAACCTCATCACCTCAGCAGCGAATACTGTCATCGATGAAAACCCGCACTTAGAGAAAGATCAAGCGCACGTTGGCCTCGGAAAAGGATTGGATGAACTTGTGCGGCATCATCCTGACTTGCAGCCGATCGTGCTCGCAGCAGTCGTACAGACCCTGAAGGACGCGACCGATGAAGCGCGAGCGTTCCGGCCCGACGAGGACAAAATCAGGGATTATGTACTTAACGCTGGGCCGAACGATGCTTCAGAAACCCCAGAAACGATCAACGAGCCTTTGAGAAAGCTCATGAGGATATGGAAGGTGAGCACCGAAGGTCGTCGCGCATCGTGTGCAAAATCGAGGCCGCCAGTCCTTCGGAACCTGACATGCCGCGCAGCTGAGTGAAGGATTCTTCCGCAATGGCTCGGTCGCGAAAGCTTTCATCAAAGAAGGCGGTCTCGATCTTCTCTCTCAAGTTCCCGCTCTACCCTGTGTCCCGGTGATCCTGAGAGGCAGCCCATGGGTCTCTGTCTTTGCCGATGTTTTCCGCTCCGTGGGCGAACACGATCACGTCGTGGTCGTGAAGCACTACGTGGACGTCATATCCTCAATCCTAGCCGAGACGACAGCTTTGTGGAAGGAAGAGAGTGCCGATAGCAATTGGAGAACTCTAGAAGCCGGCGAGGCGGATGCCGACTTATTGAAGGCCTTTGAGGCTCTCCGAGGTCTCACGCTGCATCTGTACTTGCTTAGCTCCAACTTCATGCTTTTGACATTTGGACACATCCGCATCAGTACTGCTTTGCTTCAGGCCCTCGGTGTGACTTCTGGTTCCTCTTTCGTGTCGGACCTCGGGAGACTAGACCGGATCTGCTTTCAGCAGCATGCTCGAATGAAGCCAGTCAACGAGTTCGAAGACCCCCTTCACATGTCCGCGCCTGTCGCCATCGGTCTCGATACCGACTCAAAGACGCAAGCCGGCGCGAGGACAGAGACTGGTGCGTCCAAGATCGCTTCGAGAATACACAGTCTATCGTGTCGAGCTCTAACATGTAGGTCTGTCAGACAGCCTCAAGCTGACCAGCAGGCTTCATCAAACTCTTATGGATCAAGCGAAGTACAGATGCCGCTCATCGCAAAGAAGCGGTCCCCCTTGCTCATGCCCTCGCTGCTAGCATGGTGGAAAATCTTGACGCTTCCTCGACTATGGGGGCGGAGCTCATGGCAGTTGGCATAGATCTCTGGTTCCTGCATGATGGTGAATAACACTCGTCTGTCTCACGCTGACAACAGCACGCTCGATGGAGGGTCACCTCAATGCTCCGCTGTTCATTGCGTTCAAGGAGCTCGGCGGATTAGACTCTATTTTGGCATTGGGCAACCGGATTGTGGACCACGTGGACAGTGAGGATGTGACTGGAAAGGCAGCAGTTCGGATACTGTCGATGGCCCTGCTTGCCCTAGTCTCGCGCAGATCATATGAGGGTTCAAACGCATCATCGTTCGCGATCGACAATTTTTCCATTGTCACTAATCTCGTTCAAATTCGACTGTTGTTTGCGCCGCTGATCCACCGTATATGGAGCGCCTCATGGCTCACAGAATGCCCCGAGGAGCACATCAAGCTCGCCGCCGCCGCTTACCTCGCTATCATGAACGGAGAAGGCGAGGACGAAGAGGAGGTCGAAACTCACACTCACACTCCCTCGCCTGTTCCACGTTTACGGCCAGCTCCTCCTATAGCAGATCCCGCTCGCGTCAATCAGCTGGTGGATATGGGGTTCACCCGCGAAGCTGCCGAATTTGCTCTGCAACGAGCTCGAAACAATGTCGCAGCGGCTGCAGATCTCATTCTTAGCATGCCGCACCTCTTCGCCGGATTACCAGCTGCGGCTGCTGCGCCTACAGAACCGACTACTGCGGTCACAGCGGAGGCAGATGCTTCTGCGGACGCCGCCATGGATAGCGATCAACCGCCAGAAGCAGAGGCTCCGCTCGCCTTGTTGGCAGAGACTGAATCCGAAGCAAAGGATGAGTCCAAAGTAAAGGATGAATCTGAAGCAAAGGACGATGTCCCCAACGTTGAAGCTATTCGAGCAGATCTGGCTAAATGGAGAGAAGAAAATCGTCCAGGCCTGGCTCAGCGCGCCCTGGATTTGATAGATGTTGCAGATGACTTGGTGTTCGACTTGGTTCCAGCCTTTCCCAAAAAACAAGAGGGTCTGTCATTTATCTTCTCGAAGACCGAAGAGTTATGGCAGAAGTACGACCCCTCCAACGACAAGCTCTTGAAAGGCCGACTTCGGCTCGCGTCTGTATTTCTAAGGACCGGCGAACAGACTCGCCTGGAGTCACAACTCTCGCCGTACATCCTGGATTTGTACGCCTGCCTACCTATGGACCTTTCCCCTCGTCCCGTGTGGACATCAGTCCTCCTTCTTTTCACTGAATCTGTATTGGTGCTCATCGAGTCTGTCCGTGAGGCAAAGCTAGGTGTGGACCCTTCGGACGTCACTCGCAGTATTGCGCCTCTTGAAGACCGAATTGTCCCATTGATGGACTTGTCGGTGGATATGTTGGCCGATCAAACTTCGTCTCGGGACGACATCATTGCGGCACTCCGAATTCTTGTCATTCTCACCCGACATGAGCGGCTCAGCGAAGATGCTCTAGTCAAGACTTTCACTCCGGCCCGCAAGCCCTCGGACAAGCTAGTAGGGTGTCAACCATATCTCGCCATGATCGCGCGTCATACCATCGAGGACGAAGCGATCTTGCGGACTACAATGCAAGCGGAAGTGGAGCATTGGCTGTCGCCCACCAGGAACAAGGTCTCCGACGTGACGCACTATGTCAAACAATTGCGACAGGTAGCCGCACGAGACCCGGCCTTGTTCGTGAGGATCACTGAAGAACAGTGCGAGCTTGTCAGCCCTACCCCTCCGACCTCGGTTTATCATATTCGCTCAAAGAATACCGCTGCCACAAAGTCTGAGCTGGACGTTTTTGCGGACTCAGCTAGCTCTGCCGACCTAGCAATGTCGGCGCTACTGTCAGAGCTGACCACCAGCATCAAGGACGCGTCCGATGCTGCGGCACACTCGTACAGCGGACTACTGCTGTCTATCATTACGGAGCTGGTCGGGTCATACGTCTCGGCCAAGAGCGCGTTCCGATCATCTATTCGAACCGGCAAGTCTGCGAGCCTTGCAACATTTATGAACGACATGGTATGCTGCATTGGACTAGCTGAGGATTTGTCACCTGGTTCCCGTCGCGATGCAGAGAGCACGCGGCGTCTCACTCTTTCCAATTGGTCAATGTCTCTCCTGGTCGCGCTATGTTCCGATATCTTACCACAAGATCCCAAAGTCACCGGAAGCGAGGAAATGACGATCATCCGAAAGAGTGTTCTCGATTCCATCGTCAAGACGCTGAAAGACACCACTACGACTGATCTCGCTGTCAAATACACTCGACTATGGGCCATGTCTGAACTCATCTACCGCCTCCTGCTTGCGAAACCAGCAATCGTTTCAACCCGGGACAAGGAAGAATCAAGCATTCAGATGGCAAAGCTCATGCTTGAAAAAGGTCTCGTTGGACTTCTCGCGACCGCTGTAGGTGATGTTCAGCTCAACTTTCCGGATATCAAGGTGGTCTTGGCATCTGCGTTGAGAACCCTCGAGTGCTTGTGAGTTGCGTGGACTACGACTAGGCTAATGGCAGGACCAAAATCTCTATTAAATGGGGCAAGGTCGAGAAGCCTAAGGATGCAGCGCAAGCTCCACCGAGCGATGAAGACAGTGAGGAATCGGATGTCGAAATGTCCAGCGCGGACGAGGCCCCGGATCTGTACAGAAATTCCGCACTTGGAATGTGGGTAGTTTAAATCACATATTATGCTGATGTAGTAGGCTCGGGGGAGGGATCCGCGAGGACGACGAAGAAGATGAGGATGAGATGGACGACGAGGACGAAATGGTGGGTTTCAGAGAGCGGCGAGGCTGACGGCAGATGGACGAATATGAAGGCGATGGTACTGATGATATGGTGAGGTACTTCACTGTGGCATGTGTTGACGCCAGGACGATATCACTGATTCTGACGGGGATGAAGACGAAGACGAAGATAGCATGGAAGAGGACGAATGGGTGAGTTTGTGAGAACGGCCACAACTAACGGCAGACGGATGAAGAAGAGGAAGAAGATGATGGCCCAGAGGTCATTCTTGGTCACGAGCCCCCCGAGGACGGTGCATGGGATGTGGGTATGAGATAATTGGGCCTCGAGCTGACGCCAGGATGCTATGGATATGCCTGAAGGGGACGAAGGTACTGATCAAGATGAGGAAGGTGGGGATCCCGCTCGTGCCGAGCTCACATACCTAGGCTTCCTGCTTGATGAAGGCGAAGAGATGTTCGATGGAGACGAAGAAGAGATGATGGGTATGCCCATGGATGTCGAGATGGGAATGGACATGGAAATGGATGACGATGAGATGGATGAAGACGAGTGAGTCGTGCGGACGTCTTGAGCTAAATTGCCAGCTATGACGAAGAAACGTTCCTGGAGCCCCTCAACGAGACCGGAGAATTCTTCACGTCTGTTCCCGGCATGGGCGGACCCGCGCCCCCAGAGCTACCTGGACATTGGGGCTGGGATGGTCAGCGAGCAGGCTCCAGCCGTCGTCTTACAAGTCGTCTTATGGATACGGAGGTCGCCGATAGGTCCAATGGCGCTGCTCCGGCTTCTCATCCACTCGTTACCCAACCTTCAGCCCCGGCACTGAGGCGAAATCTACCTCGAAATCTTATCGACAATTTGCAGAATATGCTACGCACAAACAATGGAGGTGGCGGTCCTGGTCAGATGTTGGAAATGATTGAGCGCCTGCTCCAGCGGATCAATCATCAGGCAACGCACAACATGCAGATCCGTCTCAGTTCAGAAGCGAATGGCAGTATCGGATTATCGATTGGAGATCGCAACTACAATTTTGGCCCTTCCAGCAGCCCGACAGAGACGACAGCTGAAGATGTCACTGCCGAGTATGTCCCGAAACCGACTATGCATCGCTGGCAGGAAGAGATGTCCGTCATTCCGGGCAATTCCAGTGTCATGGTCACCCGTCTAGTTCACCATATCATCAATCGTTTGCTGCCCGATGCTCGCAAACGGGCGGAAGAAATGGAGGCCGCTGAAGCAGCTGCGGATGCAGAGAGAGCCAAGCAAGCTGCTGAAGCGGAAAGTGCAGCTCGAGCAGCGGCAGCGGAGGCGGCAGAAGCTGCTCAATCGGAAGCTGCTGCCGTCGCTTTACCAGCCTCCCGTGGCTCCCCTGCTCCGGATGCAACACCACCCACTGAAGAGGTGGAAATGGAAGAACCTGCCGAGACTCTCGCTCGGACCATCATTCAGATCCGAGGTGAAGACGTCGATATCACTGATACTGGAATCGATTTGGAATTCCTTCAAGCTCTTCCCGATGATATGCGCGCCGACGTTGTGGAGCAGCACATGAGAGAGCAAAACCGATTACGGCAACCTCGGAATCCCGAGCTCCAGGCTGCTGAAGCCGCCTCGTCAATCTCTGCCGAATTCCTCGATGCATTGCCCCCTGCGATCCGTGCAGAGGTTGTCATGCAACAAGCGATGGAGAATGCCCGTCGTCCTATGGAGCCGGATCCCTCTCCAGCTGACCGCGAACCCCATATCGGGGACTTCCTCGACGTTCTCAACCCAGACCTTCGGAGAAACGTCATCATGCTCGGCCCTGGAGGACTTCCAGCTATCGACCGCGCAACCGCTTTGCAGCCTGGCCCTAGTCATCGAACTCCACGTGAAGTTGTCCAATTGCTTGATAGACCTGGCATTGCCTCGCTCGTCCGCCTCCTGTTCTTCCCGGAGACGTTCAGGAAGAGCTACCTTTTCCGCGTCCTCACAAACCTCTGCGCAAACTCTGTGACGCGGGCAGAATTGCTCAACCTACTGTTGTCTGTCGTCCAGGATGGGTCGGGGGATCTCCCAATTGTCGACAAGAGCTTTCAACAGATGTCAATCCGTCCAGCAACGACGCCGAAGAGCACGGTCAAGAAGACGGAACCACTCACGCCTGGTCCTATGCCGAGCCTCTTTGACCACCTTGCGAACGACAACATCCCCACTTTCATCGCTCAGCGATGCTTTGACGCACTGTCATTCATTGTTTCCAATTATTCTCCCGCCGTCAACTACTTCCTGACCGAACATGAGCAGCCAGTTGGATTGAAGAAGACTTCGACCAAGAAGGGTAAAGGAAAAGACAAGATCCCTCCGCAGACCAAGTTTCCCATTGTCATTCTTCTTGGATTGCTGGATCGGGTCACCTTGCTCCAGTCTCCGGGTATGATGGAGTCTTTGACGGCGTTGCTGGCGACTATCACTCGACCTTTGGTGTCCTTGAAAGCGTCGGACTCAGCACAGCCTCCCAAAATAGAGGATGTATCTGCTGCTCCTATCTCCGGGACGGTGGCTACGCCTGCATTGCCGGCCACGACGACAACGACGACGAATACCGCGGATACTCCTGCTCCTGCGCCTGCGCCCGCGGGTACCGAACCGGCCGTTGCAAGCATCGTTCCACCATCTACTGGCCTGACTACTTTCCCCGCCATTCCTGCACCGGTTCTGAAGCTCGTTGTCAATTGCCTCACCACAGGGGAATGCACGAGCAAGAATTTCAGTCAAACACTATCTGTCATGGCGAACCTCTCGGCGGTGCCAGATGCTCAGGATACGATTCTGGAGGAGCTCGGCTCGGCCAGCAAGCACACCGGTCAATCACTCATGGCTGAACTGGACGACTTGCACCGAAACCTGCAGAATGGAGTCGAGCCTCTACCTTTGGACGCGTTCTCTTCTCCGTCATCGTACCAAGCTCAATTGCTTCGATTGCTGAAGACCATCGAATACCTCCACTTGCAGAAGGTCGATGCTGAGCTACCTGGCGAAGAGATGACTGAGCAGGAGAAGGCTCTCAGCAAAATATACGCCTCCTTCGACTTTGACACGCTCTGGTACCGACTCGCTCAATGCCTGACTTTGGTCCGAGATCGCGAAGACACGGATCAGATTGCCATCGTTCTGCTACCGCTCGTCGAAGCCCTAATGGTCGTGTGCAAATACCGTGGTCAGCCGCCTCGAGAAGTTCGATCGCCTTCTCTACCACCATCCTCGGCGACCATTGACCTAGGTGACCTCTTTGTTTCATTCACCACTGCTCACCGCAAGATTCTCAACGTCATTGTACGGAACAACCCTTCCTTACTCAGTGGTTCATTCTCCCTTCTTATCAGGAATCCCAAGGTTCTTGAATTCGAGAACAAGCGAAGTTGGTTCATGCAGAAACTGCGACGCAAGCGGAACGAGATGTCGCATAACGGAACGCTGCATCTCAATGTCCGGAGGCAGGATGTGCTTGAAGATTCTTTCAAGGCTTTGCGTGATCGGACTGGCGACGAGATCAAGTATGGCAAGCTGTCTGTCAAATTTGCCAATGAAGATGGAATCGATGCTGGTGGTGTATCGCGAGAATGGTTCACTGTTCTAGCTCAACAGATTTTCGATCCAAACTTTGGTGAGTGTCAAGAGGTGGAACACTGCTAAATGTGCAGCCCTGTTTGAGCCCTGCGCGGCAGACCAGCAGACTTATCAGCCGAATAAACACTCCGGAGTGTAAGTCTCGCATTTTGCTAGTCCGCTGAAGCGCAGTCACGATCTCCACCTGGCTTACTTCAAGTTTGTCGGACGAGTCATTGGGTGAGTCGTCCATCGCAGGCAAGTGCTGACATTCTACAGAAAGGCAGTCTACGAGTGATTATTACCGTTGAGTGCGCGTGCTGACCCTCTGCAGCGGACGATTGCTCGATGCCTACTTCAATCGAGCGTTCTACAAGCAGATTTTGGGTCGCAGTGTTGACATGCGTGACCTTGAAAGCATTGACCCAGAGTAAGCTATGATGACTCGGCTGTATGATTGACCACTAGATACCACAAATCTCTCCAATGGATGATGGACAATGATATCACCGGCATTATTGACGTGAGTGGTCTACGCCGGATTCTCGCTGATTCCGTCGCAGCAAGAATTCACCATCGAAGATGATCAGTTTGGTGAAAAGAAGCAGGTCGAACTCAAGGGAGGAGGCGCCAGCATCCCGGTCACCGAGGAGAACAAGGAAGAGTACATCAGACTGGTTGTCTCGTACCGGCTCCACAATTCTATCAAAGATCAGCTCAAGGCCTTCCTTGAAGGTTTCTACGAGTGAGCGTGATTTCAATGACGACCTCTGATCCTTCAGTATCATCCCCAGGAATTTGATTCAGATCTTCGAGCCAGATCAGTTGGAGCGTGAGTGAATCCACTCTGCGGGCGCTGATGTGAAAGTGTTAATCTCTGGAATGTCCATGGTGGATGTTGATGAGCTCAAGAATGCGACTCAGTGAGTCCTGAGTGCTCAGTTCGTGTGCTCACGGTCAGGTATGCTGGATACAAATCGAGTGACCCTGAGATTGCTTGGTTCTGGCGCGCCCTGCGAAGTTTCTCGCAAGAACAGCGATCTCGATTCCTCATGTTCGTCACGTCGTCCTCTCGTGTGCCGCTCGGAGGTTTCACTCAACTCGTGGGAGCATCAGGCATCCAGCCGTTTCAAATTCAAAAAGTGCGTTTGACTGCCCAGAGCTTCAGCTAATTTTGTCGCCCAGCTGTATGCCAAGCCTGGCAGTCTCCCTCAAGCCAGTACCTGTTTCAATCTCTTGTTGATGCCTCCTTACGAGTCGTACGAGCAACTAAGAGACAAGCTGATCATGGCCATTGAAGAGGGCGGAGGGTTCGGTAAGGCGTAAGCGGAGGAGTCAGCGACAGAATGTGCATAGCAGATACCATTTGACAGCATGAACACTTGTAGCGAAAAAGATGAGGCATTGTCTGCGAAGCTGGTCCACTTGATGAACAGCTGATGAAACCTTGGTCAACTCGATTTGAATTTGAGCGGCTACGACGGTAGTCCTGCATAATCATCTCTCTTAGTTCGGCCGACCGGACATGAGCCTTATAGCAGCATTGATGCTCTGGGAAATCTCGGTCGGATCTCCAAGCAAATCAAAACAAATACAGTGAATTGTCCATAATTGTCGCTGACGGGCATCATGTGGTAGAGCCATGTACTCAGGCCATCATCCTGCATGATCTGTAGGTGTATCGTGCTGGGGACAGCTTATACAGATTGGCCAGCTGGGTCCATTAACGAACATGGTGAACTTAAGAAAACAGAGACAAACGTATGACTTCATGCTTGGCTATGGATGCCCACATAGTGATAGCAATCAGAATTGGAGAGGTTGTGTGCAATTCGATGATCGGCCTCCTTCGTGTACACCATCTGTGGAGTCTTTCATGGCCTGCCAGTCCAGCAGATGAAACGAAAGTATCCCATGACGACGCGCCACACATGGTGTGACCTGGGTTCTAAAAATAAATATAGATGCCTCACCGAGCCGCGACGGACGGTTGGAGGCTTTGGGAGGCGAACGTCACATCCCAAGAGGTATTGGGGTCAAGGTATCATCGCGGTAAGATCTGGGTCCCTCCATCGCCACCTACGCTACTCCAGCCCACGCCAAAAAAAAAAAAAAGAGATCTACAATGTTGCTCGGTGCTCGGTGTGTAACCCGGAAGCAATTTTCACCGAACACATGGGTTGCCGACTGTGCCGAGGTTTTTATATTTTATTGCTGCTGGCTGCTAACCTCCTTGGTCTCGGCGATCATCTTTCAGACGGCTGAATCATCATCATTTTCATCACTGTACATTAATACTTAGACAGAGAAGGGGAGACCGGGACATCCCTCTATCAACATCATGTCAGCATCTTCAGAGTCCACAGCAGCGGACGAGAACAGGATTCCGGATGAACAACTACAGCATGCAGCTCACAACAACGACCAAGATGTGGAAAAACAACCACCCGCGCCGAAACACGGCATGCCAACTTTTCCCGAAGGAGGGTTGTTCGCGTGGATGGCAGTGGCCGGTGCTTGGTTAGCGAGTGAGTAGTGGTGGAGGGAACGTGTCGATCGGCAGTAGTACAGCAGCTGACATGGACTCTCCGCTGAATAGTCTTCACAACATTTGGGTGAGCATACTCGAAAGCAGCGAGCATGTCGGGGCACGGGCTGAATAATTTTGCCCCTGCAGATATGCGAACACATTCGGTGTATTTCAAGTGAGTCATTCGTGCTGCCCGGTGGTCTGCTACCAATTCACGGCGCAGCTGCTTCTGACTCGCTGACACGATACTCAGGACTATTATCAATTCAAAGGATATCCCAATCAACCCGCAACCAATATCTCATGGGTCGGCTCCGTTCAGCTCTTCTTCCAATTCGCCCTTGGTGCCGTTGCGGGTCCCTTGTATGACAAAGGGTACTTCAGACATCTAATGGTCGTCGGTACCGTCATCTATGTCGTTTGGTGAGCTCTAATCACTCTCAAGATTCTTCTTTGGTCCCGCTAAGCTTTGTGTTCAGCCTCATGATGACCTCGTTGTGCAAGGAATTCTGGCAGACTGTCCTCGCACAGGGCATCGGCGTTGGTATCGGAATTGGCCTAATCTACCTCCCTGCCCTGTCCATTCTCTCTCAGTTCTTCATGAAACGACGTGCGACGGCCATCGGCATTGCGGTCACCGGCTCTTCAGTTGGAGGTGAGTGATCCGAAGATCCCTCAATCGCTCGTTGTCCTCATGCTATTCTACAGGTATCTGTCTCCCAATCATGCTCAACAACTTGATTGAGCAACATGGCTTCCGGAAAGCTGTTCAATACACTGGCTACCTCATCCTGGGCTGTCTCGTGCTCTCCATCGCCCTGATGCACCCGCGAATCCCTCCCAACCCGAATCCACCCAAAAAGCCCTCTCCTAAGGAACTCTTGAAGGACATCCCTTACGTCTTCTGCTGCCTCGGAGCGTTCAGTGTGGCCCTTGGGCTGTTCTTCCCTTTCTTCTATCTGCAGGCGAGTTGATCTGCCGCTACGGAGCAAGGATGAAGTTAATCCACATTGCAGGTCTTTGCCCAGGTCCACGGTCTCAGTCACAATCTCGTCTTCTACACTCTCGCTATTGTCAACGGCGCTTCGGTCTTTGGTCGAGTCGTGCCCAACTTGGTGGCTGACAAAATTGGCTCGCTCAACCTCATGACCGCTGGCTGCTTTGCATCTGGAATCATCGCCTATTCAATCTTTGGCGCTGGCACCCCTGGAGGTCTGATTGCAGTCGCAATCCTCTACGGTTTCTTTTCCGGCGCCTACGTATCACTGATTTCCCCGGCGCTCATTGCTTTCGCCAACAATCACACAGAAATCGGACTACGGGTTGGTTTTGGTTTCATGGCAGTCTCGCTCGCAGCTCTTTCTGGCACTCCTATCACCGGTGCCCTCCTCGATCGTTATGGATTCTATGCCCCTATCATCTGGAGTGGTACGACCATCACCGCCGGAGGCGTCTTATTCTGTTACTCAAACCTTAGATTCAGGCAGAAGAAGGGAACATGGAAGGTCTAGAGCAGCGAAATGTTCCCCAGATCAAAACATCACAAAAGCAATGACCAGACGAGGGGGTTTGCTGCAATTCGTCATCGCCTCGACTGGACTGGAGGATGCCGAGGCGGCATCAGACTACTAGGCTCGATACCTGAGCAGGTCCAAGCCATCGTCATTACCACTACGTTGTCCTCATTTCTCATATATGCATGTCTATAATAGTCACTGCGCATAGCCAGTCCGTGCCGCTATTGTTTCTGAGAGACGCGACCGAGACGAGTTTCGAAAACTACGAATGTCCCCGCGCGTGCTCTCTGTCTCTCGTCAGTCTTGCTATCGAGGGCTCGAGGGCTCATTAGACCTTGCGTCTTGCTATCCAGGATTCATGTCAGTCGAAGCATCCTCCAGCAGAGTGACTCTGCCTGAAAAGAGCTTCCAACCTCCACTTCTCGCAAACCGACAATGCTCAGCTTGTGGATTCTCTTGGCCGTGGGCAATCTTCAACACAGATTCGAGACACATCAACCATCATGTGGGTGCAATGCATGTTGCAAGCGGAGCCGGATAGATCTGACCGTTTCTTCAGCTGCTTGACAATGTCTGTGTGCGATGTCAAAGCCCAGAGCTCGAAGGATGGCGGTGGGATAAGCTCAGGCACGAAATGGTACGCCCCAACGAGGTTCGTTGCATGAACATTGACAGTCTTCTAGCGAAAAGCAGCAAAGTACCAGCGTAAAGCCATGCGCATGAAGAGAGCTCCTCCTGATAATGCTCCTCCGTCCCTGATTGATGCGGCTCGTCAAACATTGAAGAAGGGCAACCAATCGCCAGGAGGTGGGAACTTCGAGAACACGAAACGTCTCTTTGATCGGATGCACAAGTCCAAAGAGTCAACTTCGGGGAACAAGCAAGCCTACGTTGATGTTCGCTCAGCTCCATCTCAACCGCCAGATGACCGGGGCCAGTCTCGCAAGACATCGGATCTGGTCTGGAGGGACCCAACAATGCTGCCCCAGGATCGTCGCAAGAAAAGAGGCAGACCACCGAAACAACGTCCTCTTTCCTCGGTCGCGCCCGTCCAAGCTCAAGCGGATCCGCCCGCTCTACCTTCACCCATCACGCCTTCGGCCGCTCCTCCCGTCACTGCGACGGGATTTCAAAATGGCTCATCATTCCCTCCTCTCCCACTGGAATACCGATACGACATTCCGCAAGATCCAGGAGTGACTGTTGTCATGCCTCCTGCTCTCCGCGTACTGCCGGAACCCGCAAGGGCAATGTTCTGGTGAGTGGTCGATCCGCCTTCCGAAATGGGACCACAAACTGAACTATGCTTCGATTTTCTAGGCTCAGGATGCACTATGCAGCAACGCTGAGATCCATCTCCACTCCTCAGATCCACATCTATCACGCTTACCGAGCCGCATTCCCTCCTCCGACAGCTACAGACAGAACGCCAACTACGCCTCAGATCCATGGCGCAGACCTCATCAGACTCATTCCCAAAGTCTTTCCCTCTTGTCGACTCAATGCAGCTGGTTACGTGGTCGAAGGTTTGGAACTTCGAAAAACCGTGGAACCCGCTATGGCTTCAGCTATCTTGCTTCAGACTTCACAGTACGCTGCGGCGGAAAATCAGAAGTCATTGAGTCAAATCTTGCGAGGACAACCACACCAGCAGCAGCGACAACAACAGCAGCTACAGGTACAACAGCCCATACAACCTGCCCAAGCTGTGCCGCCTATCCAGTACAGTGGCGTCGCCGCTCAGCCGATGCACCCACAGCAGCAGATTTTGAACATCTCGCAAGCTCCAGCACAAGGGATTCCCGCCACAGCTCAGGTCTCAGAACAAACGTACCGGCCTTACACATCCACAGTGCCACACGCCCTATACCACTCGCAGGCCGCCCAAGCTTCTGGTCCTCGACAACCCTCAGTGTCTGTTGTCTCGACACAACCTGAACCTGTCGCTCCTCGTCCAGCCAAGCGTATCCGACTCGAGGCCGCTCCATTCCCATTACTCCAAGACGCGAAGACATCAGCCGAGGCTAGATCAAGGCCAAACACACCGACCTCGTCAGCCGCTGCCTTTAACCCTCCGCCACCGAGTGCTCCAATAATGCAGATGGCTTCTGCTTCAACGCCACTTCAGCAGGGTACATTGGCGCCCGGGGTCACGTCTCAAGCTACATCTGTGCTTTCCTCAAGCACGAGTCAAAGGGCTCCCTTTCCTCCCTCAAGTGTACGGGATCCTTCCGTGGTCATGACTTCGCGGGATCAACAGGGACCCCTTACGCCAATTTTGACTGCGCGACCGACTATGGCTGCTCCAAGTGCATCTCAACAGTATTCATCTACACCGATCACCGCATCTCATCGATCCGAAGTTTCGCCCTTGTCTACGCCAAGTAGGAAACGAGTTATCGATCTCTCGAGGCCGCGGAGCGTACCCGCCAGTGATCGTCCCCGAGTCGCTGCTGTCCAGCCTCAGCCACAAGCAGCGGCTCCTCAATCCCAGGATCAGACCTCAGGCTTAGACTCAGGCGCCACAATCTCCACGCTGTCTGCGACCGCTGCATCGCCAGTCCCTTCGCACATGCCCACAACGGGCGGGTTTCAGCCCCCGCCCGCCATGGCATCGTTCCCACGTCAATCCATCGCCGTGGGCTCGTTTTCTAATAAGCCGCAAGCTGCGGCTGAGGGATCTGGACAATGGTTTGAATCACAGGGATCTCTTCAAGCCACCGAGCTTGATTCAGAAGATGAAGTTGGAGCGGCACTCGGAGCATGACAGGGCGTTAGCATTGATTGGAAGCCGTCCGTTGATCAGTCCACTTGTCATTTAATGAATGATTCTTGCTGCATGTCGCACTTCAAGGCATGCATTATAACTACAATCTTATCACTGGCGAACCACAAGTTACAAAATTTCTACTGATCCAGGTGCCCATCACTCGCTCTGTCTAGATCAGACTGCTTCCGCCTTGTTGATGTTGTTGTTGTTGTCCTCCTCCAAAGGCTTGACCGAAAGGTCCGCCCTGGAAGGCATTTTGACTCTGGTTTTGACCGGTGTTCTGCTGTTGATTGCCAAACGCCATGGAACCTCCCCCGAGGGCCTGATTGCCGAATGACCCACCTCCAGTCCTGTTCTGACCTCCGAATGGTGTGCCCTGTCCGAAGGCGCCTATCGGCTGATTCGGCCCATTCGTAGTTTGCCCGAAGGCACCTAGAGTGCTCTGCCTGAAAGGATTGGGCAGACCAGTCGCTTGAGGCTGCATGGTGGACTGACCGAACGCACCACTTCCAGTTGATTGTTGTCCGAATGGTCCAAGAGAACTGCCGGAGAAACCACTGGCACCATTGGACGATCCATTCGGCTGCTGCTGTCCAAAAGGACCAGAACTGCTCTGTGACCCATTTGAAGACTGATTCTGAGCCTGGTTTGTCGAACCTGCCGACTCGTTGACTGTCGGTAAGGATTCTAGAAGCTGACTTCCGAATGAGCTGGTCGGTTGGAACTTTTTGACTGTGCTCCCTCCGAAACCTGTGGGCTGGGGTTGAAGACCCCCAATCGGCGAGGTCGGAGCGGGCGACGAAGATGTTTGCGATCCAAATTGCGTAGGCAATGTCGACGTCGACGTGGCACCTGTTCCCGTGACATTCGAGTTGACCGAGAAAGATCCAAATTGAGACAAGAAGTCTGAGCTGGATGACTGTTTCGAAGAGTCGACAGCAAAGCTAGAAGCAATGTCTGATATTCCCGTCGGACCAAAGTCGGAACTTGGAGTCGATGGCTTGCCATTGAAACTGGCCCAAGGGGAGTTGCCGGTAGGTTGAGGGTTGAAGCCAGTCGTAGGCTTTCCGCTGACAGTGGCCCAAGGTGAAGCACCGGTTTGCTGAGGGACAACGCCGAGCTGACCTTGTGCCTTGTTCCAGGCCAGCTCGTTCATGGATGGTCCGGCGCTCTCTTTGGGCTTTTGGACGGGAACTCCTCCCGCCGGTGCAAATGGATTTTTGCCCGTAGTTGCAGCGGCTTGGCCAAGTTGAGCCGTCCCGCCCGTAGCCGGTGTGGATCCAGGTCGGTTGATCTGGGTCGACTGTCCTCCTATCGGCGAAGTGGGCTGCGACAAGACTCCAGTTGGGTGTCCTTGACCAAACATCATGGTGCTTTGTCGGAATGGGTTCGAGCCTGTGGCCTGTGGTAGCATAGTCCCCGGCTGGAATTGGTCTTGGAGAAACGGAACCGAATGTTGTGCTTGAGGCTGGAACATGCCAGTCTGTTGAGGCTGGATGAACGGGCTTGAGCCATTCTGTTGGAAAGAGGGATGGTTGCCAAAGGCCATCTGTCCTGTCATCTGAGGCTGCAGATGCCCGCCAGGGAAGCCAGTGGCCTGGGGCTGCATGAAGCCAGTCTGCTGAGGCATCATTATGGATTGTCGGAAGGGGTTGAAGGGTGCCTGCATTTGAAGCTGAGTCTGCTGAGGGAATCTGAATAGATCAGCACCTGACACAGGAAGCGTGCTCACGGTTGCGCTGGACCTCCGAAGATGGTCGGCTGGTGATCCGTAGTGAGCGAGTCGAAAAAGTCTTGGATCTTCTGAGATGTCCCTGGTGGAGGAACAAACGGTGCTGGACTGGGAGACTTCACCGGAGAGGACGAGCGTCCCGCTTTCACAGGACTGGTGCGACCCTTGCTTTCGTCCTTGTTCGCTGCTTAAGACGACATCAGCTGTGTGCGGTCGCCCGGACTCACCTGCTGGAGAAGGTGTTCGCCCAGCGCCTCTTCCCTCTACAACTCCCAGACTAGCTCTATACTCGCGCCTGTTGTCCTCAAAATTGGGATCATTGAGATACTCTTCCAACGCCTTCACCAGACCAGTAGGCGCATGTTTGAGATTGGGTACAGGGACATTGACGACGTTGTGCAGCTTCCGCGCAATACCCAGGAAATCGACTACTCGATCAGTCTGCTTGATGAAGTATTTGTAGATTTCGAACGACTCAGTAGCGTCCTGTTTGGTCATTTCAAAGTAGTGCTCTGTGTAAATGTCAGACGGTGACTTCGCAGCTATTAGATGAACCTCACCAAGAATGTTGCAGACACCCTCATTGCCAGCTTGGAACAAGACTAATAGATCCTTGATGATCATACGGAAGGCCAAGACGGTGTTCTCGTCTCGTAGATCGTCGTCGTAGAACTGAGCGTTAGTGGAATGTGGGCCAATTGAGCTCACTTTACACTGAACCAGAGTATCCAAAATCCGCTGCACCCCTTTCACCTCGCGCAACAAGCCCTTCTCCACGGAGAGATGCCTGAGACGGCGAGCTTTGGCTACAATCACTCAGTTCAGATGATCTAGCCAGTCAGCGACACTTACATCCAGCACCAAGCCCGTCACTACGCCTATTTGATTCAGTCTGCACTTTTACCAGATCATGACGTAGATCCCTCCAAACCTTGATTCTTGAATCAAGGTATTGAGCGTAAGATCCTAAGTTGGAAGGCGGAGAGTAGCCTGATGATATTTCAGCTCGTCCTTACATCAGATCCATTTCTGCTGACCTTCCCAGTGCTGCCCAGATATATTTCTCAGGCGTAAAGTATCGCCTGTTGCCAGACTTTCAAGCAATTGATCCGTTGATCCAGATCTAATCATCTGATGTAGGGTAAGGAGAGCCTTAAAAACCACCTGCGGGGCATCAGAAGGCAATCATAAATGGCTAGCCGTGACGGACCACTGCGTTTGGTTCTCGCAAGCGAAGTGACAAGTGTCGTATGACATCGTTCAAAGATCCGTCGTCGGCGTAGGTCGCAGCCACGAGCACGCTATGGAGTATGAGCTCAGGTCACACACTATGGCTAAGTGCAACTTACTCAACATACTAAGAGATAGAGCATGCTAGTCAGCTTGAATGACCAGGACAGCAAGGCCGGTCGTGCCCGTGCATTCCCGTTTGGGACTTACCTTGGCCTTCGGAGGGGCATTCTTGGGTTTACAAGCAAGTTTGACGATTTTGTCGTAATTGTTGTTCGACATGGTGACCAAGGGGTGATCAATAGGCTGGACTGTGGGCTAAGACAAGCTCTGAGCTCAAGTGTCGTGATCTTCGAGCTGTATTTGCTGATATCGCTGAGGCGCAATTCTGTAATTGTTGAGATGACGTCGGTGATCTGGGTGGGGGTTGCTGCTTCTTAAATATGGTCTGGAGGCGGGACCAATTACACTTGCTGAGCAATGAGATGAAGACTGATCCTCACGGTAAATGGACCACTAGCCGGCCGTCGAGGCGATGGGACAGGTCGAAGTTGCAAGATGAATCAGCTAGAAAGAGAGAGAGAGAGGAAGAAAGAGAGCGAGGGAGATGGCGTCGAGCTCGGTCATTGCTCATTCACGGCCACGTGGTCGGATGATCCGGACCCGGTTCATGAGATGGATTGCACTCCATTTCAAGCATCTCAATCAAGGACGAGTCTTCAAGAGGGGTCAAGATGGACGTGGACAATGATGGAGAGAGCGTCAGGGAAAAGCTGAAAGCCATAGATCTCAATAAGTGAGCTGATGGTCCCGCGCGAAGACGTTCTGTGCTGACTCAAATCCAGCGATCACAAGGAGAGAGCAACCGAGTACATGTCAGTCTTGGACTCGCTTCTGCAAAATGGATTGACCAGCTCGACTCCCTTGATCACATTTGCTAAGCACTTCATCCATTCGAATACTCTGCCTATGGTGACCGCACGTCGTGTCTTTGACTCGCTCGTCCTGGTCTTGTGTGCTGGAACGCCTCTTCAAACTGTGAAAGCGACGGAGGGAGAAGATGAGAAGTGGTTGGAGAAGGGCAAGAACGCATTTGCTGGCGAGAATGGCCATGAATTGAGGCGCGAAGCTGTAGAAGGTGTCCGAGAGGCTGGGCAAGGCGTGACATGGTGTGATGAGCAGGTCGGTGGCATCGAGAGCTGGCCTATGTGGAACTGACCGAAATGACAGATGACGACCTTGTCTCGCTTGGAGGCACATCTTCTTGAGCAGGAGGAGGACTGGCTAGGCGCTGCGAGAGCTTTGATACGGATTCCGCTCGAGGGGACGTCGAGGTGAGACCATGATCTCGCGGGCATCGAGCATCGGCCTGAAGATTCAGAATGATCCCAGACGAGGAGAAGGTATCAGTGTATGTCAAGATCGTCAGACTGCTCCTAGAGGTAAGTTGGGGCGATCAAAATGCAGACAACCCAGCTGACAATACGTCAGTGCCAAGAATGGGGTCAAGCCCAGACCTATTTCTCCCGAGCGTCTTTGCTCATCCACACTTGTCACGATAAAGAGACATTGCTTGCCTACAGGCTATCACAGGTGAGCTACAGGCTGATACGAGGGACTGACATATTCTAGGCGCGTCTTTTCGATTTTTCAGCTCGTTTCAATGAAGCCGCTCAGAGATACCATGAGATCTCGTTCGAATCCATTATCGACGAAGAAGATCGGTTGCAAATGCTGTAAGTAGTGCGGGGCTGTCCGACCGCATGATCTAAACGGCGCGCCACAGAAAAGCAGCGGTGACAACGTCCATCCTGGCGCCCGCAGGACCACAGCGATCCCGTATACTCGCCGCGTTGAATCGAGACGACCGAGTGCATTCATCTCTCCCGCCGGCACTCAGTACGATGTTGCGAAAGATGCTTCTGGAATACATCGTCAGACCCGAAGAGGTCAGAGAGTTCGAGTTAGGTCTGGAAGAGCATCAGCGAGCTACGGTCGAGGGCGGTGGTACGGTTCTGGAGCGTGCTGTCAGAGATCATAATGTCGGCGCGTGTGGAAAGGTGAGCAAAGAGTTGTGGCGCGATCAAGCTTACAATCTTGCAAGGTCTACGATAACGTCAGCTTTGACGCTTTGGCATCAATCCTGGGTCTTGATGCAGACTCGGCAGAGATCACCGCACGAAAGATGATCGAGCAGGGGCGGTGGGTCGCTAGAAATGACCTTGATACGACGCTCATATGCCTTAGACTCCGCGCGTGGATTGATCAACCTCTTCACCTGCTATACTTCGAGTCTAGAGTGGCTCATGACACTGACGCCGATGCGCAAGGCACTGCTGGTGGTCTCGGCGTAGAGCGAGTGGAGAAGGAGGTCGAGCCCGTTAGCTGGACCGAACGATGGGACGACAGGATCAGGGCAACAAGCATGAAGGTGAGCACATCGGGTGGACGGACGGCACAGAACCTCATGTGATTTGCAGGTGGAGGCTCTCGCAGCTGCTATACAAGCCAAGAATCTGATCACGCCGGCTTGACGCACGTCAAAGAATACCTCAACCATTTGTACCATCTCCTGAACGTTGTAGCATAATTCACCAAGAGCTTTGGAGATACGACATATCATGCATTTCGACATTTCACTTCAAGCATTACAATTCGTCAATGACCGCGATTGAGCGATCAAGTTGAATTACATGGTCATGGACATCATCATCGAGGATCAAAATCGAATGCGGTGAACGAGGGCTGAGGAATGGTGGTAGGGGGGAGGAACAAGACGAGATGAGGAGAGAGAGAACGTGGATATCTGGACGGAGGCTTAGAGAACAGTGAGGAAGGCATGCTGAAGTGAGTGAGCTAGAGGACACGAAGAGCGCTCTGTTTCACTCACCATGTCGTATGCGTCGTCACCGTAGACTGATTTGAAGGCATTGATGTCGGCTGAGAGGCAGATGAGGTGCTGGCACGGTCCACCAGTGACGAGGAAGACAGGGGAGGAGGCTGTGTTTTGAGAGACTGTCAGCTCAGCTCAGCTCCTTGTGCTCGGAAGCGATGGCACTGACAGCCATCAGGGTTGACGTAATGAGCGAGGAGCTCGTTGTAAGGTCCTAGGGTCCAGATGGAGGACTGTCCATTGGAGCTTTGGCTTCCTCCCAACAGATTCAAAGGGAGATCAATGTTGATGAGGCCTTGGTCGCCTTCAGAGAAAGAGAAGAGAATCAGCCAAGAGCGCGAGACGCGACTCGTATATCCGCCGCTCACCTGGTTGTCCGAGCCCAAGAGGAACGTAGCTGAGATTGACTAGTGAGCTTTGCGAACCGACGATCCGCTCGATGCCGAACTCACTTGGCTGAACCGGGAGATAGGACAGGGGCACCATTACCGATGACGACGGCTAAAAGCGGTCCAGCTCCCGCGAATGTCCCGTACTGGAGCCAGGTGAGCTATACTCCATCCGTATGATGCAATCTTCCCACTTACCGGGACCATGGAGAAAGGTCCAGAACCGTTTCCGTGTCTGGAGAATTTCTGAGCTCGTCCGGCGTTGGGGTCAAAGTTGGCACTGTAAGAGAGGGTCAGCTCGATCTGAAGCTCTGTGGACTTGGTTGAGGACTTACAGGCCGTCATCGGGTAGTGTGACGACTCCTACGTCGACGGCATCCCCGCCTCGACCTCTCTTCAACCGAATGACAAGCGGGCTGAGCCGGGATCAGGAGTGCCACTTTTGATCGTCATGGTTGTCAGCTCACCCGAGTCCGATATCAGATTGGTCGGCTGCTTGGAAGTTACCGGATCGCTTAGCCTTGGCAGCTGATGGAAAAGTCAATATCATCGAAGAGAGTTGCGTGTGGGCCGCTGACTCACCAGTGGATCTTCGAGTAGGTGGCAAAGGACCTAGACCTTTGGCCAATCGTTGAGCGTTGGTGAGTTTTCCACCGTCGAGTTCGACCGTGGCCAGAGATCCGACAGGTCCATCTCGTGGAGAGATAGCTGCTCCAAGGACAAGGGGCAGAGCCAAAGTGAAGATGGAGAAAGATTTGAAGTTGACCATTGTATAGTGATGAGATATAGAGCAAGAGCGAGAGCAGAGGTCGTAGGTTTGAGTTGTCGGATGACGGGGGAGAGGAGAGAGTTAGATAGACCGTGTACGAGGGGAAGAAGCCAAGTGAGGATGAACGGGTACCTTTTTGTATTCTATGCATGCTTGCTCGTCCTCTGAATGACCTTGAGCGATGTTGACCATTGTTGACACTGCCATTCACCCCGCCTCGTAGATCATGTGCTTTCCAACGTGGCTGGCGGGATACTGCCACCTTTTGGACGCAATGCATGTATTTTTGATGTGAGGTCAGGGTTGCGTACCCTTTTGCAGCGCGCGCTGGCAGCCTTGAACAGTGTCTCGGAGCCACCATGTTACATGATATTGTACCCCTGTATCATCATCACAGCCATGCTTCGATCTGCAATGATCATTGAGACAATCGATTCACACCATCATCAGGACTATGCGGAATGAGACAGGCGCTCGAAAGTGGCACCATTATGTCGGGAATTATGTACGTGTGCGCTCAATTAAGCGTACAGTAGGTAGAAATGCATGGAGGGATGAAATGTGCCGAAACTTGATTGTTTGTAGGCGCAGCTATCATACTGTGACTTTCAGTCGACTGGAAAGTCAACGGATCCGCATGAGCGACGCAGGCGGAGGAGCAGCACCTGAGAGGACGGCATCAGTATTGAGGGCATCGCAATGTGTATGATGCTTCCTCACCCTGCGATGGACCATCATCTGGTTGATCCGAGATCAAGGGTGCGGAAGAGCTAGCTTCGGCAGCTGTACTACTGATGGAAGGGCCACTGGACACGGCAGAGATGCCTGCCATTCCGCTAGAAGGATAGGCCGAGGTAGAAGTCTCATCATCATCGCATTCGTCATCATCCCAGGATGTCGAGGCTGATGGCTCGGGTGCCGCTGTGGATGTCTGCGCCCCACAATTGTCGGTGGTGATCCAGGTCGTGGACGTACAAACACCAGTCGGTACATTGCGCCTCAAGATTGGGCCTGTATCCTGCGGAGGGAGGGCTCGGCCAACACGAGCAGAGTTAGGACTCTCATAAGTCCATGCCTCCCAGGCTCGTTTCGCCATGCCCGGCCATATCCAACTGGAGTGAGACGAATGCGATTCGATGGGCAGTTCATGCTCGATGTCATAGCTGGATATATTAATCAGCGAGCGAGATGTTTTTTGGGTCTCACGTCTGAGTTGGGCATCCAGAGGTCGTGCACGATCCGTTCTTGTACCCCCCAGGTTCGTTACGAATCATAACTGAGAGAGTCCGGTCAGTGTGCAAAGACGAATGGACATTTCACCCACGTCTACCTGTCACTTGCGGTTCTGTGTCCCGTCTACCTGGTGGCGGCGCAGCGCTAGAGACGTGTCAAGATCAGGAGCTGACCAATCAACGAGTTCAGCTCACCCTTGCGACGGGCAACCCAAGCCTGTACAGACGACCTGACTGATCAAGACACCGCTCATGCTTGCCCCTCCACTCAAAGCCGCACTTCCACTACCGCTCGCACTTGCCCCTCCACTCAAAGCGGCACCTCCACTACCGCTCGCACCCGCACTCACACTCACACTCACACTGTGGCTCGCGCTAGCCGAGTAGCTAGCATCCACAGCACTCATACCTTGACAGGGGCAGAGTGACATTGGCGCCTGTTCTCGTCGATTGTATCTCCCTATGACTCCTCTTCGTCGAGCGATGGCAGAAGGTCCCGGAGCGTCCCCTTGCCATTGACCACTACTTGTCGATTGCGGATTGATCAATGCTGTACTTGTACATGGACACAAGACAGGTGCCGAAGATGAGAGAGGTGCTGAACTTGAGCTACATGCCGTCGTCAAGGTAGCGTATGTCAGAGATGTGACTGTCACTGTGACAGGGGCCCCTTCTCGCTTCCTTCGTGTGAAGCCTTGAGGAGGTCCAAGGCCTGCAAGCGCGATGAGCCAGTGAAGATGATAATCAAGTGTTGCTCACCTTGAGAAGGCTCCTGTGAGATTGCGGCCGTCGAAGTGGACACAAGTGGTGCAGCAGAAGACGATGCAACTGAAGGCACAGCAGCCGAACCAGACTGTGAACTTGCACCGGCCATACCTGAGCTTCCCGAGCTAGCGGGAACTTGACTTGCATAAGCGCTCGAGGCGTGCCCCGCACCACAGTCATCGGTGGTCAAGGTTATTGTAGACCACGAGACAGTTGTCGACGTGTCTATACCTTCTGCTCGTTTGACAGCTGCTGCATTCACATCAGGCTTCTCAATCCGATTTCTCTTGTATATCATCGTCGCGTGCGAGGCGGACGCAGTGATAGTCGTATCCCGTTTGGTATAGGGCGGCGGAGCGGCGCTGCACAAGAGGTAAAAAAAGAGGTCCATGATCAGCAAGTCGAGCTATTTGACTTGTCCGTGTGCTCACCCTTGTGAAGGACAATTCTCTCCTGAACAACCTTCCGATTGAACCAACTGAGACTCGCAAGAAGATGTCGTCGTCGAATACTCTGCACTGATGCCCGCCATCCCAGAGCTGATGAAGGATGACGCAGCAGTAGCTGAAGAGGAGGAAGGACAGCACGGGATCCCCTCGTCATGCCTCTTGGGCCAGTATCCTCTTGCAATGGCACTGAATTGGCCTTGGTCCACGGCACTAGATGATTCGGGGTCAGTTTGTCCGTCCAACTTGGACACTCACCCTTGGGACGGACAGCTATCCCCTAAACATCCCTCACTTGGCTGAACCAGGGGTATGCTCGACAACGCACACGGTGTACAGCTCGGATTTACCACGACCTCCGAGGTGGCAGATGACGCGGGAGGAGGCGAAGTCGGGGAAGGTGCAGGAGGAGGATTCGACGACGTACTCGCCGAAGCACCGATCCCAGACATGCCCTGGTCAATGGACGACGTCTCAGAAATAGCAGCGGAGGAATAGGCCTCAGAGGTAGCGCAAGACGTGGAGCATTCAGTCGTTGTCGTACTTGTTACCCAGACTGTGGAGGCGCAACCTCCATCGGGGACGGGTGATTCACTCGCGACTGCAGATTGTCCAGCTTGACTCTGAGGTATAGAAGAAGTAGGTTGATAGGAATAAGTGTCGGGGAAGTCGGTCGTTCCGATATCTGTAGGGTAAGGACAGGTAGTGCCTTCTGCTGAGCGGGACGACATGACAGAGGAACAATCCGGTGGAGCTGTAGCTCCTGCCGCCAAGGGAGTGCAGCATTCTGGAAAGACAGAGTTAGACATGTCGAGTGCGCCGCACTGTCAGGGTTATACGCATCAGTTATCCGTTCACATCAGTTATCAAGGGCTAAGACTCACGCCAACGTTGCAATATCTGTCGACGAACTTCAGCATTGCTCTTTCAATAGTGTCGACTTACCGCCAGTAATAGTCACCCGGTGGTTCCATGTTCAAAGCTGAATAGTAGCATGCCTGAACCGTTCTCATAGCCTGCATCAGCCCCAAAAGTCCGGACGTCTTCATCTTCATCTTGCTGGAACTGCTTCGAAATAAGCTTGTGTTAATGAGTGTGTAGACCACAGGTCGAATCAATGGGTCAGTCCTGGCCAAGCAGTGAAATGATAACCGCCTTGGGGCAGATGATACGATGAGTGAGAGATTCGTTCCATCTATGTCTAGAGAGATTGGAGCGACTCTGAGCATATCTGAGCTCACTCCTTCCATTTAGTATTACACCCTGGATTTCGCAGGATACACGGGCTCTGGCAAGGGTCCATGTTGACAAAGGACTCAATGAGGTGATACGCGTCGCATGATCAAGCGATCCATTGAGCATGAGACTCATTACTCGGCGAGGGTTGTATAAGGAGGACACCGGGAAAGACTCAAGATGAATGGGTCTCCTATCATATTTAGCCCGTTTCAAGAGTCTCGTGGCGAGGGCTGCGGATAGGAGTTCCGGCGATGATTAGGTCACGAAGGATCTGGTTGGCAGCCATCCTTTGATCGAGTGCACGATCTGTCTTCAACCTCATTCCATACCAGGATTATAGAGTGATCTGGTCTGATCAGCCTTGGATCCTTCTATGTATCGCCAGTCTGAGCCGGCCTAGTAGCAAGACGACGATGCAGGAATGATTTGATCGACGTCATGGACGGATTTTAGGAAATCCGGCTATTTTGTCGCATCGTCCACTATCACGTGCTTATACCGCCATAATTCGGTCGTCGGTCGTCGGTCGTCGCCCGTCGTTTTTGCACAATTCTTGCCGGCGCTTTTGACACTTCCACATTACTCGTCCATTACAGTTGCTGCACGTATTCTGAGACATCCACTGTGTTCTGCCACTCATTGCGCATCCATACATACCAGAAACAGCGCCGGGGAAGGCATGGAACCTGAGGTTCGGCGGAATGAACCCCTCCTTTCAACTACTTATATTGCGTTATAGGTTATAACACTCTCCAATGCAGATATTCAAGCCTTTCGTGCCAAGGTCCTGGTCAGAACAACCCCCATCACCGACTACATCTCTATACCGGCTCTCGAACGTGACCCCTTCCTCGTCAGCGATCACCTAGTCAACCTCAACGACGTCATAGAAGCGGTATCAGCGATCGCAGAATATTTGCCGGATTCCATATTCCTTCAACTCAAACTCCATCTCCAACAGCTTCAGGATGATCTAGCACAAGCCGAACGTCTCCTGGAGAACCCTGAACTCTACCAGAGCGACGATCCCCTCAATGAGGCCAGTGTGGAAGAGTGGATCGAGCAACCGCGGGGGGTCGGTCGACCAGGTTATGCGATACCATTGCAGCTGTTGGAGGAGATGTACAACCTCGGTTGCCCGAGGAAGTACATGGCAAGCGAGCTGGGCGTGTCCTTGAGGACATTGGAGCGCCGCTTGAAAGCCAATTTTGGCTCTCCAGACGAAAGACTATCAAAATATACCAGAATCTCGGATGTTGACCTTTGCGAGGTATGACTCACCCGTCTTGCCCTTTACTGAGCTCACTTCAGGCTATCTCTCGAGTCAGGACTCAAGGCACGCAGAGGATCGGTGTCATGGGCTGTTGGTCTGCATTGGAGGCGACTCTTGGTATCCTCGTTCCTCGAAGTCGGGTGCGACTCTGTCTTCGAATGTTGGACCCAATCGGTGCCAATGTCAAGTACGCAAAACTCATCGACAGGCGGAAGTTGTCAGGTTTCGTTGGCTTGAGGAAGGTAGAATAGGATTATTCTAGACGAAGGCAGGCGAGACGAGGCGAGGGCTTCCGATATTCGGCGAGAATAGTCGAATAAAGGTAGGACGAAGGCTAGTGTCGAAGGACCAGAGAGAGGTTGGCTGCGAGAGGTATTCGAGGCGTAGTTCGGCGAACTCAAGGCTATCAAAGGCAACTGGAGGCGAGCTAAGGCGAGCTAAGGCGACTGAAGGCAATTGGCGGCAATGGAATGCAAGATCTAGTAGTATTGAACTTCAATCTTGGATCGCTGGTCTATCTAAGGCTATCTGCGGCTGCTATATATATCCTTCGCCGATCCTTCACCTGTCAATCAATACTCATGCCAAGATCCTGTCTTTCGGTGATCCACTCTGCTTTTCTCGCCGAGCTTTTGATTAGATAGTGAAGTGAAGGCGAGCTTCGGCGAATATCTTGACGAGCCGTTGAAGTTGAGGCGAGATATCGGTATTTTGGGGTTATGACCTTGTGGCGTTCTGACATAGATGAGGATCTGGCTCATCATGCAAAGACGAACTTTGCAACGTATGGTGTAGACCCCCGAGGGATATCACACGGTAGACAAGCTAGACCTGACGATCCCTATATCCCCGTCTCTGAACCAGAGGTGTACTTGCCGGACAATGTTGGACACGCCTTAAAAAGTCAACAGTTTCTGAATTGGTTGGACGACTATATTGGACCGGTCGAACCTGATAATCTAGATATGGGGGCAGCACGCATCATCAGGTGTGTTCAGGCAGTCGAGCAGTACCTCTCCCAAGCTCAGGGCGGTTTATCCCATTGAATGCATGCGTGTATCGTCGAGTGCAGACAGATATGTTTTTTGTTATAACTTATAACAAAGCAAAACGAAAAGCAAGACCATTTCCCCGTGCGCCGAACGACGAATTGATTCGCCTGTTGACCGTTTTCTGGACCATGAAGACTGGCCCTGGGTGCTCTATGTCTTTGCCTACTCTAAGGACGTCGAACCATGAAGACACATCCTTCATTGTTGAGAGGTGAAGTCAAAGGGGTTGAAAGTATAAAGGGTTGAATGACCCCGTCTATCTTTCGATCTAGAAGATAACAAAAGGTCATACAATAGCGTCACCCCAACCCTCACACTTCAGGGGATGAGAACAATAGGGAGCGTTTGAGTAAACAAAGGCGTTCAAGGAAGACCAAACACCTTTCAGGAGATGTTATAAGTTATAACAGACCAGGCATAATTGGAATCATACCCCTCGTCTTTAAAGTACATTGTTGCCACTTCATCTGAAAGCCTCTCATTCATTGATCATAACTGCCTTCCTCATGCCGCCCAAGCCCACCAGGCTCATGTTCTTTAATGGCTCTCTACGCAAGTCTCTTGAGACTTTGGTCCTCCCGAGTCACAGGCTGACAATGATTTAGGTCGCCAATCCGCCCAAGGATCCCAGGACCAAGCGGCTCTCGCCCCCTCTGACCAGCAGGAGCCCCCGCAGTCTCCATTTGATTCTCTTGATCCTTCTCCTGGGCAGAAGTCATGGAGTGAAAGCCTCGAAAGATTGGAGAATAGGTGGGGTTATTACGGGAGACAAGTCAACGGTGTAATGGCAAGGACTGAACGTAGACGTAGGGAACGGGATATGGTGGCAAGGTTGAGGGGTGATCAGGCGACCGATAAGCGCTCTCAGGTAAGTAGTATCAGTCCTTCATTTGAGGCTCAGTCTCACATTCCATTAGCGTAGGGCCGAAATAAAGTGTATGGCTTCTTACACCCCAACCCCAAGCGAGAAGGAGGCCAAGGACAAGTGCTCCAAGGACAAGCGCTCCAAGGACAAGCGCTCTCGGGACGGTTCTTTGATGCCCACCTCTTCCTCATCCTCTTCGAGCATCTCAAGCTCAAATTCTACCGACAGGGGGTCTACGACCAACAGGCCGAGAAGGAGGAAGAAGACCAAGAAGGATAGCCACAGTAGAGAGGAAAGTAGAGAGGAAGAGACACCAGGTTTGAGACATTTGGATGAAAGTGTGAGTATTCGCTGCTTATATGAGTCGCTCAATCGGAACAGCATGTTTCTAGGTCCTCTAGTCCAGTCATACCTCTCCCCGCAACACCGGGACGCGAGCCCTCTCCTGAGCTGGACGTAGTAGATGGATTAGTGTCTCTTGGAGAAGATGCGATGGACAGAGTTGAAGATGATGTGGCGCCAAAGAAGGACAAGAAGGGGAAGGGGAAAGCGTTGGCTCAGCCGCTTCGAAGGGGCAAAAGGAGGTTGGAGGATATCGCTCCGGTGCTCCCAGTGAGCTCCCAGGTGAGTGCTTCCATGGTCTGCAACAGTAAGGCTCAAACTTTGCAGACACGATCAAAATCGGTCTCTTTGGCCACTCCCAAAAAGTCGTCTGATGTCAAGACTGCAAAGAGAGCGACCACCAGCTCTCCTGTCAAGCGAGGTCGCAGTGTGAAGCCATCTGTGACTCCATTAAGGGCGTTGGAGGAATCTGGGAACGCAGGACCGTCGTCGGTGAAGCGTAGACGGATGTCTACCAAGGTTAGTGAAGCCGTTATACCTTATTATAACTTATAACTGATCTTTGGTTAGAAATATCCCAGAACCCCAACTCCTGCATCTCCCGCCAAGTCTCTCCCTCGCCATAAGAGCCCGGATGCTACACCTGCCTCTTTAGAGGCCAAGTTCGCCGCTTACTGCCACCCAGTACCTGCTGAGCGAGCATGCAGGCAGTGCAAGAGCAGAGGGCTCCCGTGTTGGTGGCGAAATACCATGGGGAAGAAAAAGGCATGCGAAACTTGCGGGACAAGGCCTGGATGCGAACCATGGGTAGACCCGTCTACTCTTACGCCTACCGCCGTGATTATCGACACTCGGGACAAGATGGAGCGACTTGACAGAGTCATTGCGGATTCATATCCGGATGATCAGTCAGAGGCGCGTCTCCTTGTTTCACAAGTCAAGGATACACTGCGGAGGTTGATGCTGAAGGAGTACGGTGATCGTATATAGCTGTATGTATACATTGAAGAGCTGCAACATTGTTTCAATTGAGATACAACCGAGTGGATGATGTGAGTTATAAACCGTTATAAGTTATAACATCTTGTCAAACACCTGTCAGTTATTGCCCGTCACTCGTGAACTATTGAAGCGAACCCGACCCGAGCGGGCGCTTGTTCCTGCTGGTTCCCTGGGTGTCTCCGGTCCCACAGCGTCCCTCAATGGAGATCTACGAGCTGGTCGAGACCTTCTACGACGAGGCGGCGTACGCGGAGATTGTATAGCAGGAACGGGCAATTGTGGTGCATTACCTCGAGGGGTTCTGGGTCGGGGGGCATTTCCAGACCGGGTAGGATAGCGAGATGTAGCAGCTCGTCGATTTGTACTTGAACCAAGCGAGATAGGCGGCTCATTGACGCCCGCACGTCGTCGAGACGCCAATGGACTTACAGAAGGCCTGGAGGGACGTTCGCTGGATGCTAATGCCGCCCGAAGGTTCTCAAGAGCTGTCTGTGTACGGGATGGAGTATTCAACACATGAGCCGACTCCAATGTCTGTTCCACTGCTGGGTCGGATGGTATCAGTTGAAAGCGAGGGGCGTGCATCTCTTCTGTCACTGGACTCGAACGTTCAGGAATGGTGAACAAGGGAGGGCTCGGGCTCGAGGGCTCAGGAATGGCAAAAACGGGGGGATGCAGGTCCAGCATACGCCCCTCGGACATATTGACAGGCTATGAGAGGTGATCAATTGCAACGCACAGTCTACCTGTACTCACCCTTTTCGAGCATTGTCCTCGATGACGTTCGTATAGCTCCTGGTTTGCCCAAATTTGCTGACAATCCGCACAGGTGATGGCTTGAGCCTCCTCGTCCTCGTCCTCTTCATCGTCGTCGTCATCATATCGGTCCCGGCCTTTCTTGCCCCTTCTCCTCCGGGTGATTCTTTTTGCCTCTATAATCCTGGTGGCAAGGTCCTCCATAAAGCCTGGATCACCCTCTCCATCGCAAACAATGAAAGCATGGTCCTTCTTGACGAACTTGTTGTGGAGCTGGATGCTGGTGAGCTCGGTTTGGTGAGCAGTGACTAGAAGTTTGTGGTCGTGACGACTTCTTTCGGCCCAACTATGAGAGATTATAAGTAATAACATCTTATAACGGCCGGCCGCACTCACATATATCCGTGTTTGGTGAGGTCATGTCCACGCTTTAAGTATGCTATAGTCAAGTGGTTCTGTACGTCTGTGGCAGAGCTCGTATTCCTGGGCAGGGAGGGATCGAAGACACATCTCTGCTTGGTCAAAAGGTCCATCAAACAGTCGAAATTAACACCCTGCAGGGGACCATTCCAGTCTAAGATTGCCCGAGTGGGGATGTAGATTAGCTGCGTGGGACTGGTTAAGCGCATTCTAGACAAGAGAAGCAGATCTACCTCCTTTGTCGTTCCGAAGAAGACGTAATCAATCCTGGGGGGTTTGGTAGGAGCGGTTTTGGCTAACTGTGACAAAGGCTTGGTAAACACGTGCTGTCCTCCTTGTATTGAAGTGCCGACCACAGTCGCAGCAGGGCCTGTTCGATACTCTGCTGCGGCCTGCTGAGCATTGAAAGGCCGAACAAATGTTTGTTCATTCTGCGTAGGGAGAGGGGGGAGAGGAGGGGGGGCAGGTTGAGGGTTAAACTGGCCGCTGAGGTTGATACTGTTCGCTGTAAAGGCGTACTGAGACGAAGAGGCGTGCTGGGCGATGCCCACAGCCGCAGGTGAGTGGTGTTGAGAGATCGCAGGTATAGAGGGGAGAGAGTTACAAGCAAGAGCGGGCGGAAAACTTGTTTGGGTGTTTATACGATTGGGGTTTGGGGTGGCTGGGAAATTTTGAGTCCGGCCTTTTAGAGAGTCCACATCGCTTCTGAGGACCTCTACAGCCCTTGTGGTACTCTCCTGAGAGTCCCTTACGCTGCGTAGGTCGTTGGATATGCGTTGCAGCTACGGATGCATGATGTAAGTGTCGATGTTATGGAGGGTTATAAGTTATAACTCGCCATAACCATAATTTCTTCCGCTCCGGAGCTCATGGTGGATGCTGTTGGATGAAGAGGGTATGGTTGGACTCAGAATCGCTGGCGCTACACAATGGTGGTAGTCTGAGAGCCTGTAGATGCGTATTGATGGAGTAATGTGGAAGTGTCAAAAGCGCCGGCAAGAATTGTGCAAAAACGACGGGCGACGACCGACGACCGACGACCGACAACCGAATATTGGCGGTTTAAGCACGTGATAGTCCACTCGCTGGCATTTCAACCATCATCTCCATCTCATGACAAGCTGGTAACTTGAGGTGTCTTCGAACGATAACTTGGGAGGCCTATCAGGACGATGAGCAGCTCCACACCTTCTCTACGACCCTCACCTCGAATCATCACAACACCTCGATCTACTTCTCCCAATTCACCCATCGTACCCGGCAGCAACAACACAGCCTTTGCCTCGTCCTCTTCCACTTCGCCAAATGTACAATCATCACGGCACAAATCTCGTGGCTCTTTCGCCTCGCCCGTCGAAGTGTTATCTCGATCTCCAAATGCCAGACGAATGTCTAGATCTGTCTACTCGCAGAGCGGAACCATGTTACCGGATGGTCCGATGAATGTGAAGAGGCTCTGGGATCACCCAATAATACTCGCAGGGACCCTTCTCACAACTGTCATGCTGTGAGTACTGACAGCTTATCGTCATTATTTCCCTGATATCGATCTTGATCTCACCAACTTCTAGCTGCGGCATCGTCTATTCTCTCATCTTCCACACATCCCTCGACACTTCCTTACCATCCTCATTCCTCACCCGTGATAGACCTGGTGCACCATACCTCGCGCGAAAGTCAAATATCCTCAATAGGCTGTTTGTGAAGTACTGTTGGGGCTGGACATCCCTAGCTTTCATTTCTCATCTCATCTCATCTCCCCCTTCTGCTTCCTCCTCACGATTCACTCGCCTCATAGCTTTTGGAGCCGGAACGGCAACCTGGCTAGTATTCACAACTTGGTTCTTTGGCGCTGGCCTAGGCGATCGAGTCATTGCTCTGTCAGGCGGCCACTGTGCCATTACTGTGCCCTCAGAATGGGGTGTCAACCCAGATACGCTACGCCATTTATGGTCAGACATCACAGATTCCGTACCGACATCATCATCATCGTCGTCCTCATCTCTCCTTGGCTCGGATGGTGGACCGTTCCTCCTGCCGCTGCCTTCGAGCTTCTGCAGTTCCAAACTCGCGCTTACCCCTTCCACTCATCCAACCCTTTTCAAAGCCCTCAAAGGGAGCATGGACTCTACCTTACTGTCCCGCACACGGATCCCTCAACCAAGATGGCATAAAGGCTTCGATATCTCTGGTCATGCCTTTCTGCTCACGTTGGCTACCTTGCTTCTGGTCCGAGAACTGGCCCCGTCATGGCGAAGCTTGTTGCGAACTCGACGTACAATTCATACAACGATAACTCCGCTGTCCATAGGGAGAGGTGGTAGCGTACATCTCGCCAGTATTTCCTTCGGGACTGCTTTGACGACTTTGTGGACCGTCATGCTGGGCACGACGGCAGTCTATTTCCATAATCCTCAAGAGAAGCTCTCAGGCCTGGGTAAGTGTTGTATGAGCGATCGCCGGCTCTTGTCTCCTGCAAAATTCCATCTCTCAGACACTACGCTGATACTGGCACATAGCCCTCGGCCTCGGGTTCAGCGCTCTGATACACGCTTTGACACCTGAATCCTCCTCCTTGCTCAGTAGCCTACCTCAAACCATAGGCACGATCCACGAGGACGAGAATTCTGCACGGCGCGGGAAAATAGTGGACGATGGAGAGGTTGTAAATCAGGACGTCGTCAAGGCTTTGGAGCATCCATAGTCTGAATGACCATGACCTTGTAATGTCACAATGTGAAATAATGGGAACGTCCTGGACCATATTCCGATTAAAAGACTGCAGCTGTGCAGTACCTGCGGTTCAGAAAGGAGCTGTCCGAGAGCACTCGAGGCCGTATCGCACACTTGACACGCAATCACGCGCCCTATCAGCTGATCGTAACGTCGTATGCACCATGTATGTAGTACACCCGTGTATCCAAGATTACAAAGTGAGTTTAATGTAATTTATCTCTCGTATGGTGGGCGTGCTTGGCCTCGAGCTCAGCCCATCGCAGACTCTCCATTGAAACCCAACGTGATGTCACCCCAAGCGCCCATGATCAAGACCTCGCCATCACACTGTGTGGTCTGTTGAACAATCTGAGGTGACGGTATCGTATGCTCGGTGGTAGTATTTAGCCAAGTCGCCACACCAGATATAGAGTTAGGACTATCGTCCAGGCTTGAAGCGTTGAACCCTCTTCGTTCGAACAATCCTCCCCCGACTTCGTCTATTGGTCCGAGAATATAAGATCGAGATCGACCCTGGTCCAAGGGATCGTTTTGAGTATTAGGTTGAGGATCTACTAATCTCACTTGACCCCAAATGTTGGATGCGATGAAAGGACCAACGTAATTGGGATGTAGAGCGACAGAGACATCGCCTTGGTGCGTGTAGATCAATGATGTGAGGGATGTTCGTGGAGGGTGTTGGAGGTAAGATGTAAAAATGTACCCTTGCGAGGTGACGAAAGTCGTAGAGATATTGTGTGTCGCATGAAGCATCTTTTCAGCAACAGCACCGAGGTTGAGGGGATTGAAAGGTGCCGCTGGAGCCGTGGCGTTGGGTGGAGCACCTGTCTCGGTCGATGAGGGGCTCTCTTCTGAAACGGTGATGTCGCTACCACTTGAGGATGTATCGTCCTGATCCCCATCGTCGCCATCATTGCCGTTCTGTCGGCGAACAGGCTCAAAGATCTGGTATGAGGCTGCTGGGGTTGTGTCCGCCTCGTTGGGATCGTGAAGGATGACGTTGGAGTAAATGGATCCGCTGAAAATCACGTCAGCTGAATGTCGATGATACCGACACGCGCTACTCACTCCGTGCTGTTGACGGTAATGGCCTGTGAGATGTTCCACACTCCCCTGACGGCATTTGCACCGGTCCAGATGTTGACCGTCTCAGCAGCTACGTACTCTGCAATGACACCTCCCCGGCCAGAATTGACGTTGATAGATCCAAATTCGGCAACGTTGCTGAGGTTGCCGAGTCTGACAGCCATGCGATCAAGTTCGAAGCTGACACTGGGCGAGTAGACTAGAGGAGCCTGGCTCCATGCTTGTAGAGCCGATGGCGGCAGACGAATGACGACGTGAAAGGAAGGTAAAAGCATTGGGTTGAGCATGTAAGCGTTGGATACCTTGCCGTCGGTTTGGGAAGGCGTGAATATGCCCACTCCTAGCCCATCTGGCCGTTGGAGAGTGCACACCTTGATGATCGAGTCTAGGTCCTGGAAGCCGCTGTATTGAGCAATGACATCAACAGTAATATTGCCCTCCAGGCCGCCAGCGATGACGCTCGCCGGTGCATCGTTGCCAACGATTTCCACCGTCCCGCTCGACCCAAGTCCTCGCGCGATGAATGTAAAGTCTGGCAGGGTGAGAACGTCTGTTCCATTGGTTTTCGTCAAGGGGAATGTGAATGTAATGTTTCGTTGGATCTGAGCGGGAAACGGTTGGGACAGGAGGTTGAGCGGCGAAGATTCGTTGAAAGGGGTAGGAGTGGGGCAGAGAAGTAGTGTTCCGTCTAAGGGCCCAGGACCATCACGACTTGGGACATAGGTGATATTTAAGGACTCGCCAGACTGGTAAACCAGCATGTCAGCATGACACTAATTTTGATGAATATGCTAGCCCTCACCGTGACCCAAGCTGAACTTCCGTCATTTTCCTGCCACGGAGATCTCGTGGGGATGGGTGCAGTCTTTCTAGCCGCCTTGAGTCCTACGAGTAGACCGACCGCGACGCCGATACCAGCTATGAGGAAAGCTGCGGCAACATATATCCATTTTTTCCATTTCTTCCACCATCGTTTCCACTGTTTCGTCTTGTGTCGATCGACGGCGCTGGGTTGTGATCCTTCCCATAATTTGGGATCGATGCGGGATGATGAAGATGACGGAGCGGTGAGAGGAAGACGAGCGGTGGAGGTGGAAGCAGTCATCAAATCTTCATCAAGAGGCGTCAAGGGAGATGGTTGGATGAAGGTGGATGAAGAAGCACCAGGGATGATGAGAGACGGTCTGATGTGGGTACGTTCTCTCATCAATGGTGGAGAGGATGGACTACCCGGATCCGCAAAGACATCATCGTTTGAAGATGAGGCAGAAGATAATCCTTCCATCCGCTGTCTCTCATATGGTGGCAATGCTTCTCCAGAATATCCTAAGCCTAGATCGTCCCCGAAAGGATATCCAAACGCATGATTGGATGTACGGGCGCGGGCAGGAATTTGAGGCCGTTGAGGTACGGTAGGTGCGTTGGAATGGTCGTCATCCTCATCGACGAGTCCCTCCAGGACGAGAGATGAGGAGGATTCTGTCCTGTTGAAGACGTTTGGATCCTTTTCCGGGTCGGGAGGGATAATCATGGTGAATGAGGAATCTGATCAATTGCAGGGGGAAGCCAGCGTGGAGAAAGAAGGTGGTGTGAGCAGTTTTGATGAACCTCCAAGAGTATCCGACGCCGTCAAACTTGTCTATGACACGAACTGAGACGAGAGTCTCGCACCAGGGGTCGACTGAAATAGACGAGGGATATGCGGACGGGTGTCCAAAAAGATCCCAGTAGAAGAAGGGAATCAAAAGGAGTGCCGTCCTCGTCGGGAACGCGTTGTTCTTTCCCCGAAGCGACTATATTTGCGAAGAGGGGATAACAGGTATATATATCCTTGGGCCGAGGAGGCTCAGAGCATGATCACTGATATCTCCTATATCCTGATGAGATCCATGAAGCCAGACTTGACTATCTGAGAGTGAATAGGGATGATGAAAGAGATGGATGTGTAACAAACCCAGTGCAGCAGCTGCTGCTGCTCAAAGAGGGAAAGAGAGGAGAAAAGAGAGTGTCAGTGGGAATTTGTGGCGAAGAGAGGGAGGGAAATAAAAAAACTCCAATTAGGATCTCGGTGGATTTTTCATTACTTCATTACCAAAAAAAAAGTCAAAACTCTAATGGTTCAAGTTTTCCCGGGAGGAGCGTGAGAAAGCAGCGGCGGCGGCGGTGGCACATCCTGGGTCGTCCTCGTCACAGGTACAGCAGAAGGAGGGGGGCCATGGGAGTGTGGTCTACAAGCAAGCCTCACTGACGGTTGGCAGCGGCTCGTGCACTGACTTGACCTCTGAGCCATATGAGAAGGTGCCAGAGTGAGCCACAAACCGATGTCTGACGCATCTCATCTGCTCACCTGCTGAGAACCTGAGCACGAGGGGGATCACTGATCAGCCCCGTTTTGTGTATACATCAGCTCAAGTGGCACTCACCCAATGTGCCAATGGCCAGATCCAGCTCATGATAGTCAACAGAGCTCTCTGCCAGTACACGGCGTAACCCTCTTTCATAGATAGGTGTAGTCGCCTTTTGGCATCCTTCATGTATCCATATGCTCGGGTGAGCATCTGTCGGTGAAACGAAGGCAACAGAGCGTCGATCGGTCCGCCTGGTCGAAAGCCACTTGTGAGCGCCTGCGCCTCATACAGCAACACAGGCCCGGCTACATACCCTGACCGCCCGCCTCGTCACTGGAAACAATGACTTCTGCTAATGCCTGTGCATCACACAACGAGGTTGCGCCTCCAGCTCCGCTGCCCGGTGATAGTTCAGCGGGAAACCATCACCTGCTATTTCGAGCGCCACTTACCCCTGAGGAGGCATAGTATGAGCTGCATCACCAATCAAGACTGTCCTCCCGCCTTTCCATTCCAATGGATCTTTATCATCGCAACAGACGACTTGCCAAGCACCAACGGTCTGAGGGACCACGTCTTCCCTTATCGTCTTGATGAGATTCGCATCTCCTCGATCCGATTCCAGTAACGTGGCCATCTTGTCTATCCACGAGACAGGCGTCATATCTTCCCATCCGTGAAACATCTTGAGACTGCATGCGCAGAAGATGTAATCTGGATTAGGTTGATCCAATGCCTTGAGCGTTGGCTCGATATCCTCGTTTGAGGCAAATGGGTTGTTTTCCCTAGCGGAAGCGGGAAGCTGGGGTACAGGATGACCGGACAGAGGGATCATAAGAAGAGCATAAGACCTCGTCCCAGTGATGGTGTTGATGCCGTGTGGGTCGTGTAGATTCAGATGAGTCCGGGGCAGGAGCTTGAATTGGACGGTAAGATATGGTAGCGTCGGGAACCGTCCCATTTCCGGATACAGCTGTGCCCGAAGGATCGACCCCATCCCATCGGCACCTGGCAAAGGGTCAGTATTCAGCCATGACAGTCCGTTGACATGCCAATGACGAGATCAGCCAGCTCATGCGTCCCATTGTCAAACACCACCTCCGCCTTGCTGTCCTGCCTGTTGACTTTAACCACTCGCCTACCACGCTGTACGTTGACGCCTTGCTCCAAAGCATCCTTGAGCAGCCATCGGTGTATAGCAAATGGTGTTTGACCTTCGTATCGTCTGACCGAAAACAGATTCTGCAATGATGGAAGGAGGATTGAGATGCCACCGTGGGTCAAGCCGTGATCCGATACGGTGAGAAGCTGGTCAAATTCAGAAGGACTGAGAATGTTTCGGAGCGCTGCACGTCCGTCCTGTAGGAGCATGAGCGATACGATGCGCTTTCGATAAGACGAACGGTTCCGCACTCACCGGTGCCAGCCAGATAGGATACCTTGAGAAGTTGCTTTCGTCTGGTCTTAGTGGCTCAGTGGAATGCCTACGGAGCTTCACGGTGACCCACCGGCCTGTCTCTCATACACCGTCACACGTACATTCTGGCCCCTCCCTTGACTTTTCGCTCTCTCGATAGCATGTGCAGTGGCGAGACCGGCACTTTCAAGAGGGTCAACGATCAGGCAAATTACCATATATCTCAAGTCCAGCTCACATGCCTGCGCCAACGATGACCACGTTGAAGCTGTCCTTGGTCATCTCGGCGTGGTGATCAGTGTGATTTTGCAGTATACGGTCTCTACGTGAGATAAAGTGTAGAATAGTCTGACCTCATTGTCAAGCTGCTATTCCATTACATGCTGCTCAACGTCCTTTGCAACTTCCATCACTGTTCCGTCACATCACAGACCATGCGGGTTCTCGGCTCCGATGTACATTCCGCTCACGGGCGGAATCAAAAAAAGTGCCACATTCAGTTTGAAGGGTGACGGGGGACTGCGCGGGGATTAACAACGTCACTGCTGCTTCTCATCTTTGAAGGCGATCATCTTCTATCAGCGTTTGCAACCTTTTTGGGAAGACGACCTCAACTGGGTCGAATTCTCAAAACAGCGACAGAATGTCACGGCAAGCACCTCTTGTCATCGACAATGGTACGGGTTATACCAAGATGGGGTGAGTGGGAGCATATCTGGTGCGAAACAAGAGAGAGAGGGAGAGAGAGAGAGAGACATCGATAGACGAGTCCGGATCTGTCCTGAATAGGCAGGCTCTGCTCAGCGAGACGATCGTCCAAGTGGATACCTTGATTCAGACATCTCTCTGTCTCAGATGCTTGATTATCAATCTTCATCCGTGTCGTGTATCGCTCACGCCCCGCTATCCAGATTCGCAGGCAACTCTGAGCCGTCCTTCGTATTCCCTACCGTCATTGCGACTCACCAATCCGCATCGTCCACTTCATCCTCAACGGGTGGATCAGGATCTGCAAGGGCTCCGCCTCCCGTAGCTTCTAAACCTGGGCATCTCGCCAGTAAGAGAGGGATTGAGGATCTAGACTTTTTCATTGGAGACGAAGCTGTGGCTAATTCAAAGTGAGTCTAGTCAGGCGTCCAGGTGAGGTGCGAATCAGGTCGCTGACCAGTGAATCCTTCCTCCAACCCACCCTCTTTCATCCATCCGGATCATGTCTGTCTCCTGCGTATCTTCCGGGCCACCCACTCGTGACTTCTTTACCTCGGCACTCTCAGAACCTATTCCCTGCACTACCCCATCCGACATGGTCAAATTGAAAACTGGGATCACATGGAGAGATTCTGGGAGCAGTGTATCTTCAAGTATCTCAGAGCAGAGCCAGAGGATCACTACGTGCTCTTGGTAGGTCTACCGTCCCTTGCACGTTCTGACGCATAACGCTCAGACTGAACCGCCCTTGAACCCACCTGAGAATCGAGAAAACACGGCTGAAATCATGTTCGAATCCTTCAACGTGCAGGGATTGTGAGTGTCTCACTCAACTGATACCCTGGCAGTGAAATTAAAGTCTTTTTCAGGTACATTGCCGTCCAGGCTGTGCTGGCCTTGGCGGCCTCTTGGACTTCGTCAAAAGTTTCCGAGCGGACCTTAACGGGAGTGGTTATCGACTCGGGAGACGGAGTGACCCGTGAGTCGAGCTCATTAGCACAGCACGGAGTAAGCTGACAGCGATATCCAGACACTATTCCGGTCGTACGTGGTGATGACCAATATTCAAGCGGGATCTTAACTGATTGCACCCACAGGCCGAAGGATACGTCATTGGATCATCTATCAAGGCCATCCCTATTGCCGGTCGAGATATCACCTACTTTGTCCAGCAGCTGCTTCGTGATAGAGGCGAGAGTGGAGCCATTCCCCCGGAGGACCAATTGAAGGTGTAAGTATGCTGTGCTCGACAGCAGCATTATCTGCCATAGACTAGGCAAAGCTGACTTTGTCTCTCTTTCTCTCTCGCAGCGCTGAAAAGATCAAGGAAGACTACACATATGTCTGCCAGGATATCGTCAAAGAGTTCAAAAAGTACGATTCGGATCCCTACAAGTACTTTGCGAGATTCTCCGGCGAGCACAGTGTGACGGGAAGGGTAAGATTCACTCATGGCATGGTTGCAATGCAGCTGACAGACGCTTCAGAAATACGACTTGGACATTGGATACGAGCGATTCCTTGCCCCCGAAATCTTCTTCAACCCTGAAATTTACTCGTCCGATTTTTTGACCCCTCTACCCGAAGTTGTGGACAATGTCATTCAGACTTCGCCGATCGATGTCAGAAGAGGGCTGTACAAGAACATAGTGTTGTCAGGAGGATCCACCATGTTCAAGGACTTCGGTAGGAGATTGCAGAGGGATGTCAAGGCCATCGTGGATGGTCGAATTGCGGGCAGTGAGGTCAAGAGTGGAGGGCACATGAAGGTGAGTTGCGGGCAGGCGAAGCGAACAAAGCGAGCGAGTTGGGTTTGCCGTCAACGACGTTTCGCACTATTTCGCAGTACCCTTCATAAAAGGGTTCATCCGCTGATGTTCTCTATCAGTCGAGCGGTCTTGAAGTCAATGTTATCTCTCACAAAAGACAGCGATATGCAGTATGGTATGGTGGATCTTTGATGGCATCTACGGTGAGATCATGCGAACAGATACACACGGCTCAAAGACTGACACGCCATGTAAGCCTGAATTCTACAATGTCTCGCACAGCAGAGTAGACTATGAGGAGTATGGACCTTCGTTGGTCAGGCGGTTCTCTGTCTTCGGATCTGCTACGTAGAGCAATGGGAAACAGGAGGGAGATTGGGTGGAAATCGAGAAGGGGGTCTCTGTCCAGAAGCGAGGAATGCTTGATGAATGATATTTTGGTCGTTGAGCAGGCGAATCAATGTGGCAGGATCGATGATAGAAAGTGGCATAGGAGACAGGAAATAGTCTAAAAGAAAGATTTGGACCTCGCTTAGAAGGAAAGGAAGGGGCGACTGGGGAATAGGGAGTGCCTTTGTGCTACTCATGCCCTCTCACCACCATGGTCCCTGTTCACCTTCTCTCTCTCTCAGCTTGGATCAGTCCAGAGGAACTCGCTCGTGTACTGAGATCTTGTTGAGCCCTGGAGGACAGAGCCATACATGTCTACCGACAGCAATTCCACGCCGACCTCGACCTTCGCTTCATCGTGGTCATCCATGTACCATGATCGCCGCCAAGGTATCATTTTCTTCTGGTACGAGCCCTTTGAGCTTGTACTGACCTCGGAGCTTCCTGTCGACTCCTACTGCGGTGATGAGGCTGGCATATCCCATCCCGAGGGGGACACCGAAAACACTGCGTGCAACCACCAAGCTTCACCGGGCGACGATGCAATACAAATCGGGTCAGAATCCCTTGCGTTGACCTCGGGCTCGGAGGTGTGCGACAGAGGCTCATTAGACCTACTCGCCATCCTGGCTTCTTCTCAGGAGGTATGCGAGTCGCTCAACGTGCATGTCGAACCTCTCGCAGAGGGCGTCCAGGATATCGGCAAGGTTGAAGGTGTGATTCATAGAGAGGTATGTGCTTGGTCAAGCTATGTGCGTGCATCGCAACACGGATGCTGAGAGTATTCTTTACGTCAGGCCTATAACTCATCATCGTCCCCGGAACTCGGTTGCTCAGTGCCGCGGAAACGATCGAAGATGGATATCCAAGTGACATTCGCTGCCCCGTCCCTTGGGATCATGGGAGCCGATTCTCCACCCCAGGAACGTTGCGCCTCTCAGCTGTCCTCGGATAAGGTCGACAGCTTTGAAGATGTCGTCTCTGAATACGACCTGGCTCTGTCATGCGGCCATGGAGCAAAGGACGCAGTCAGAACAATCTCGGACGGCCTCGATCAGCCTTCTCATCTTGACGAACCTGCCAGACAACACATGTCATCCCCGCTGAGACTCCAGCACGAACCGAATCCAGGGATGAATTTGAATGAAGAACCTCCAGCCGGAATTCCACATAGAATCTGGGTCAAGTATGGTATGGATTACTTCCTGAGTAGTCTGTTAGGCTGCAGACCCAGTCATGTTCTCTCCTCGGCTGACCGGCGTCCCTTGACTTTCTGGATCGCCGATATGGATCGTCATGCCCTCGTGCGTGACTATATCGAGGTCAGTGTCGGCGTCGTACCCTCGGATCAGAATTGCTGATCTGTCGAGTCTGTCTTACAGCGTCACGGCGGCCGACTTGTACCTTTCAGATTTGCAGAGTTCATTGTCTTCGATCGGCGAAAGTTGCCCAGCGAATCATGGTCCCCTTACTATGACATGAGAGAAGATCAAGAGGCTGTTCTCCTCAATTGGATAGTCCAGAGCGTCAACGAGGGACGGATCTTGCCCATCGTCCCGTATCTCGTTCGATATCGGCATTGCGACTACAGAAACCATCGGCGCGACACTAGAGGTCCATCATCCAGCCTGTATCATCATCATCCCCGCTCGCAATTCAGGACCCCTGCCTTGTATCCCGAAAGAAGGGGCATCCCACCAGACGGTCATCGAGCTCGAGGTTCATTTCACTCACTTGAAATGGATTCACCATATACTGCACCTCGCCATCGTTGGAGCTCTGGAGCCAATGGCTGCAAAGACAGCCTGAGATCTGGCCGGAGCAACAATCCTCGTCAAGATCTTCGTTTCGAAACGTCGACCAGCGTGGGCACGGCGAATCCTGTTCCAAATAGCAGGGCGGGGTCTCAATCACGTGGAGGATCCACACGACTCGATATGGAAGTTGACCAAGTGGATCCGGCTGAGAGGCTTGATACGATCCCTTTCAGAGACCCTTCGTTAGACAAGAGGCAGCATGAGGTATCACCCATGGAGGGTTTCTCCGATCGAGCCGCCTGCGCTGGACGTGAGGCCGATCAGGAGATCAAAGGAGGCAACAGCGATGTCAAGACACTGGGCGTCGAGAATCTGAACGTTGAGAAGAGACCTGCTATGTCACGCTCTGAGTCGTCCATGTTCATCAAGAGCAGTAGGCGTTCGGCATCTCGGGTCGCCGTCAAGTGTCCGACGGCAGCATCAGAAACACAAGCCAGTCCGATTCATTCAACAATCTGAGGGCAGATCGTCATCGATCAGGAGGAGGAGAACCGTCATCTAGAAGGACAGTACGAGAGGGTCCGATCAGGGGAAGATATCACGCATTCGTACCGGTAGATTGACAGCTACGAAATACATCATGCGAACATCTACAGGCATTTCGAAATATTTCCCACTGAATGACTCTAGCTGACGTAACGCGTTTTAGATATTTTGGGCCCGCTTGATCTTGCATTTTGGCTCACGATACTTCTGTCTTGAAGGTAGTGTCTCCGCCTGCATTCAAATTTTGGCAATCATCCTGGCATTCAAGTCGTCGCATTTGAATCGATATGATCTCACGCACATTGTCGATCACTGACAACCGATAAAGCTCTTCGAACACCTGAACTATGAGATTGGACACACACTACGCTCTGATCTCGACTCGTTTCCGCTTTCCACCCTTCTTGCCCTCCGCTAGTTTCTGCCTCACTCTCTCTTCGTCCCAGACATCTTCTGCCATCCCGGCGACCTTTTCGTTCTCCCATCTGCCTTTGAGATATCGCATGGCTGCGATATTGTAACCCATCACATTACGTTCTTGTGTCAGAGCATCGCGGACATGGTTCCTGAGATTCAAGATTGTCGGACGAAGTGTACGATTGGCAATCAGTGAGGCAGAATGCGTGCGGAGGAGGAAAGTAAGAATTCGAGACGTCAAGACGATGTCTCGATGCTGATGTTTGCATGAGCGTTCTGCCTTGACACCCCTTTACTGCCTAGACTCACCTGTCGAGCCCACTCGTCGAGATATGTCAAGAGACTAACCACCTGGCCAAAAGGCAAGACGAGCAGGGCATCTTCCATCGCGGCGGCTGGAATAGCCTTGATGACCTTGTAGACGTATTCTTCTCCATTGACATCTCCTCTCGCGACCAGGACTGGGTTTCGATCTGGAGCAGGAAGCTGAGCAGCGGCCTCGGAGCTCAATTTGGCTTTCTCCTCTTCCCAGCTCTGCAAATCGTCGCGTTCGCCATCGGCTATTTGTAGCGCCTCCATGATCTTCTCACCGGCCATCAATGTCTCGTTGGTTTGCTTCTGAACAGCTTCCACTTCATCTCCTTCACCAGCTGCTTCAACTCGGTTTGACTCTTCCACCGCGTTGGCATCGTACATTGCTTCTAACTCTCGCTCTCGCTCTTCTTCAAGAAACAGGGGTTCTTCAGTCTTTTCCCAGATTCGGATAGATTTGTCATGAGAGCCAGTCACGACGTATTCGCCTTGATGTGAAGTGGCCAGAGCCCATATCTCTCCATGATGACCCTCGAGCTTCTGTATGAGCTCAAACTGAGAGAAGGGGTGAGCAAGAAATGGTGTGACCTGACCGTGCGATTCACCTTGTCGGCATCCCAGTATTTCAAGAACTTATCCTTTCCAACTGTCCAGAAATTATGGCTATTGGCCTCGAACGAGATCTGCATGATAGAGTCGTCGTGGGCAAAGATGGATCGATGACAATCGCCAAAGTCAAGACCCCAAATCTTGACGTTCTTGTCGGCCGAGCAGGTGATGATGAGTTTTGAGTCGAATGAGATGTCCAGAGACAAAACTGGAAGCTGAGCCAATGTTTAGCAGAGCCTGGAAAGCTTCTGGAATGACTTGCCTTGTGACCATACAAGGACAGGAAAAATTTGAGACTATCTTCGAAAAAGACCTTTACGGTCGAGTCCAACAGAGAGACCGCCAACAATTTTCCATCAGGGCTGTACTTGACAGCAAGCACGTCGTCCGTCATCTTGAGTGTTCGAATGTGGACCAAAGCAAGTTGCTTTGTCTTGAACTGATGTCGAGTGAGCAAAGAAGGTCTCCTTGTCTCCAAATTTTACGTACCACAGTCTCTACTCCAAGCCGACTGACAACCTTTTCACCCGGCCCTTCCTCTCGCATCTCAAAGTTCCAGAACTTCACATCCTTATCCGCACTGCCTGAAACTAGTCCGCGGCCGTCGGGACGGACATGCACGCTCCATACCGGTCCAGAATGGGCCTTGTAGGTTGCTAATAGGCTAGATGCAGCAATGTCGTATAAAAGGAGCTCGCCGCTTTTCGTACCGATCACGACCTGACATGAAAGTCAACGTGCGACAACTCTGCGCACGGGACTGCTATCACTCACGTGCCGATCACCTGGTAAGAAAGTCGAGCAGATGGCATAACCACATTCCATTGTCCTGAGGCAGGCTGTCGTTTTCGCATTCCAGATCTTGAGCGTACCACTCGCGGCACTAGCTATGACCTGGTCATCTGAGGATATGCTAAGCGTGCGAATGTCTTGTCGATGTCCCGGTAATTCCAAAGAATGCGTCTTTGTCGGCTCAGGGCTAGTTCCATCCGGGAGCTTAGACTTCTTGCCCGTAGGAGTAGGAAAAGAATAGGTCTCAAGAGAGTTGTTTGAGAGAGCCACGAGGAGCTGGGGCAAAATCAGCAGACTGCCTATCGAGCCACGACCCAGAGTGTCTCCTGACTCACCGGTACTCCAGACTTTGACGACCCGGAATCGGCATCGGCGAGCGAGAAAGACTTGATCTTCGCATTCGTCCGTATGTTGCACCATGCCTGGACACGATCTTGCCATCCTACCTTCTCCGTCCCTTCTTCCCCGGTCTCCTGTCCATTCTCCTTCTGTCTGCCCTTCTCGCGATCTCTCTTCTTCCGTCTAGCTCGCTTCGCAGCGACTTCCTCCGTTGACCGCAGCCTGAGGACATTGATCGTTCGTTCAGACGTGTGAAGGAGAATCATGGGGAGAGATGGGTGGAAGGCGGCTTGAGTAACAGGATGAGAGGATGAGGAGAGAGGGAGAGTACATAAAGGATGGATCAGGGAGGGGAGCTGGGACAGGATCAGCGAGGTCACTCTGAGATCTTGGAAAGGCAGATCACTCACCTTGCCGTTGGCATCTTCTTTGATACCGCTACTCAGTGCTGATTTGGGCAGTGTCCACACCTTGGCTTCTCCATCGCCTGCCCCTGTCAATAGCAGCCATGCACTAGAGCCCTCTCCCACATGCTCTCCCTCGCCTGGTAGAGCATCTTCTTCATGATTCTCCTTCACAGCCAAGCAATGAGCTTCTCCTCGTCCAATCACCACGGTTTGAAGACAATGTTGTGTCCCGAGATCCCACAATCTCATTGTACTGTCTTTAGCCGTGCTAACTAAGAATCCAGGATGTTGTGAAACGCCCAATGAAGGATGAGGTATGAAAGCAAGTCCAGTGATAGCTCCTCTGTGCCCTTTCAGTCGGAATAGACCAACTTCAGCCACACGGTCCCAGATGACGATTTCTCCTTCTGATCCTCCACTCGCAAGTCGAGATCCGTCGGTATCAAAAGTCAAGGTCGTGATGGTCTTCTTGTGCCCATTGAATGTGACTTGCTCCACAGCTTCTGTCGATGTGCCCGATTCATACTCCCAGAGACGAATTGAGCCATCGGCGTAAGCAACGGCAAATGTCTTTCCAGAGCTCGAAGAAGAGGTAGAAGGAGTAGGACATGGGGTCATGTAGGTGACAGGTGAGGTCAGTCCGGACGAATGCCACATGGATAGCTGGACTTTTTCAGTATCACCCTGTTCTCCTTAGAGAACTCACCATCTCTCCACGCTTGACATCCCAGACAAGGACGTCTTCCCAAGCTGGTACATAGGCCGACTTGCCATCGAAGGCCGAATTGGCGGTGGGCGAGCAAATCACACCAAATGCCTAGGCGCGTCAGTTTGATCCCAGCGTCAAACGCAGTTGAGCTCACCTGCGTAGGCCCATGGCGCATATACGACTTGACCATGGTGTCGGACCGTCCTGTACGACTGTTGCTAGCTGCAATTGGAACGATGGACCGGCATCTCGCAACTTTTTTTGGTAGTTTTTGAAACCTGCTTACTACCGTGGGAAAGTCATCATTTCCCGGTTCAACGGAAGACTGGAACTCTCATTCTTTCAGTCTATGCTATTCTATCCTGCATCTGACAGGACACGTTCAGACCGAGTACGGCGGACCGGAGATGCAGCCCATGAAGCGCAAGACGCCTTCTGGGCATTCTCCATCCCCTGCCCCAGGGAGTGGAAAGCCTTTCGTCAAGCCAGAACCGGTAGAGCATGAGGTGAAGAAACAACGATGTAAGGCTCATCCCTCTTGCTGAAATGGCGCCTTCTTTACGGTCCTAGGAGGCGCACTTACTCATGTCATTAGTCACTGCTGGCCCGAGCTTCCAGTCTGGTCCTGGCACTGGCTCCTCAGTCAACGCCTTGGGAACTGCCGTGATGCAGATGTCGGCGCATCTGAAGGTGGTGTCTTTCCCTCACTGGAAGAGGAGTAATGCTGACGAACAGTCCGCGCCTGTTTCATCAAATGACCTTTCATCCTGACTCTCCCATATCCTATTCGTGGTACTTTTGATCTCCATTCTCTCCCCAAATCGCTTGCTTGCGCACCGCTGGAAAACAGGCTGTTGGAACCTTAGGATATCAAGATGCCTACTTCCATGCTCAGGCCGAATTCCCTTCGCATGATCCCGTCAAGGTCCTGGAGATGCTCAAAAGGCTGGAAAGGGTGATTTTCAACGACGTCAACCAGGTGTTCTCGTACAATGCGAGTCATTTCTACCTGTCAGTGGAAAAACAGCTAATCTTATGTCCGCTGCTGTCTTCCTCTCTGGGTACCACTCAATCTATTTCATGATGTTCACCGCGATTCACCTCGACTGATCGGTCACGATCATAGCCTGAGCTCACCCTGGCCAATGAGGCCCAGATTCGAGGCTATATCAGGACCAACTCTACCCCGACTCAGCCGGTGCTCTTGAGGAGTATCCGCGAGGCCCTCCCGCCGAACGGCACCAGCATTATCGAGGATCTCGAGCGTCGAGGCGAGATTCAAGTAATGCGATCTCTGACAGGGCAATTCAAAGATCCGCCTCTTCCGCGATTAGGTCGGAAGAATATTCTGGGATTAAAAATCAATGATTCGGGCAATGGAGGTTCCAGAATGCGTAGCCTCTGGTGGGATGATCTGAGAGAGAGAGATAGAGCGGGGAAAAGAGCTGATGATGGTGAGATGGCCATCCTGTCGCTTGCATGGGCTTGGCTGATCATTGCCATTACAGATTTCATCTTTGCCTGGGATGATGTGGTCATCACCGAAGCGGACGACATTGTTAGACTACTGGAGAAGGGTGCGTTGAGAGTGGTATACAGCATAAAACTGATATTTCTCCTCCAGAAAATCTTGGAGCTGGATCTGCCATGCCGGCTGCCCCCAAGATTGTTGCCCAAGCGCCAGCCAAGAAGAAGAAGACACGACGAGGTCCCTTGAAGATATCCAACGTGCACATGAAGGAACAGGTGAGTAGGGGATGCTTAGGGATTGGCGGTTACACACACAGTGCTCATGCTATACCTCTTCCAGGGCATAGACTTTTCCAAAGACTATGAAGGGCCTTCTTAGCGGATCCAAAGGGATGTACCTTTGGTTGGGTGGTGGCACCCATTTTTTGTGGCATGTGGATGTGGCACCCGATGAATGCCGGCAACGTTTGTTTATGACCTGACGTAGCTTTTAAATCAATGGAGAGGGAGTGTGGAGTAGGAAGATGGCAAGGGATGGGCGGAACAGTCATTGTTGTAATCAAGCATTCGCATAAGCACAAAGTATGTCGTGGAGAAGTAGAAGACGCATGCATAGTACCACACTGTCGCTCCATGCATGACTTTGTCCATTGGGTTGCACACAATATAACGCAGCTGCACACACCATTAGCAAAACCTAGATCGACCCTGAATTGGGGGATTTGATTACATTCAAAATACTTTCACTTCCGAACAAAGGTCTGTCTCAATCACAAGGCTCCATATACATCTCACAACAACATACTTGTCATCACTTGGGACCACTTCAAGGGCTGTCTAGAGGGCAGCTTGGCTCTTCTTCCCCATTTGGGACATCTCATCCCTTGTTTCCCGGAACCCTCTGTCCTCTAAGACCGACGACAATATCTCGGTTCCAAAATCGTCCCAACGGAATCCTGTCCTTGTCTCGGCCCTTTGCAAACCTTTTGCCCTTGAACCTCGCTCTCCCTTTCCTTGTTCATCACCCAAACGTCAGAAGGGTCTGCGAGCTCGACTGTCAAGCCGTCCTATACCGTCATGAGCGCGGATGTAGCTGTAAGTGCTCCTCTGTATCAGCATCTTTCATGTCTTCTTTTTTTGTTTTCACCGAAACTCGATCTTTACCACCCACCCCCCCCTCTGCCTTACTTTAGAAAGCTGTCCATTCTGTCTTATACCCCTTTTCAAAGCTGGTCTTGGGAGGCCTGCTCAGACGCTCATCTCCATACTATTCTCCGTTGCGACCGCCTTGCAGTCAATGCTGACCTCAGGATAGACAAACTCTGCGCCTCCACCTTTCCCACCCACTCCGACTGGTGACGAGGTATCGTCTCTGCTTCCTCCAGTCAATATGCCCACAAAGGATCAATTACAGGTGAGTCAATGTCTCGAATAGTCCTGGCGGATCAAATATCATTGTATCTATCCTTCATCATCCCTCCCTGCCCCCGCCCAGCAAAGCCCATCTCTGCATTGCGAGCACAAGTGAGCTGTTTGCTTATTTACAAAAAACTCTCCAGTCTTCCGGCCATCCCGTACTCCGAGCTTCCCCTAGGAAATCATCATCTTCCACTCAACAAGCCTCTAGAGCTCTCCCCACACCTGTGTCTATGTCCCCGACGGCTGGCTCTACGTCCTCTTTTCATCCACCTCGACTCCCACCTCAATTTGACAATTCTCCATGGTCCCGGTATACCGCCCAATATTCACCGTATCGGCCGGGCGAGTATGGAAGGAATGACCATTATGCCAAATCTGGTCGGAGCCTCGCGAGTGAGAGGACAAAGATACAGCGGACTCTGTTCGAGAGCAGCGAAGATGCAGATGAGGATGGGGACCACTTGATGATCAAGAAGAAGGAGGATACCGGTAGTAGTCCGCTTGCGCCGGCTTTTGAAGCCAAAATGGTTTTGAGAAATGGCGCCTCGGTGGATCTCATCTCTTGGTATGTCGAGGTCGGAGCTCACAGGTATTGACTTGTTCAGGCTTCGCACAAACTTTCACCACATCCCTGAATCCCAACACAACTCTATGACCCCTTCCATGTCCTTGATCGGCATTCGTGCTCTCCTACTCGAACGTTTCCCCCGGGTCCCAGAACTCTCGGAGTTGTCCAAAGCAGTTGTCGCTGCTTTCCCTCGATCACGATGGGAGTCTTCTCATGGTGCTTTCTCCAAGGCAGAACCACCCACCATTCGCGGTTTGTTCTGGCACGGCAAGGATGTCGCCGACGAGGACGAAGACGAAGAGGAGGAGGACGATTACGTGCCTTCCCGTAACAGAGAGAAGCCTCAACCGCAGATCGTCACAAGAGCGAGGGCGAATGGAAAAGTCTGGGACAATGGCGAAGCTTCAGGCTCCCAGAGTCCCATCGCCAGTGCGCTGGTCTCCCCTATTTCATCTTCTGCTCGCAAGCCGCCACCTGCAACGCCAGCTCGTTCGGTCTTGGAAGAGTTCGCAGAGATCGCCACACTCGCAGACAAGACGCCTAGGTCAAAGACTCGATCTTTACCCGAAGACGGTCCCACGGATCGTTTCGAAGGTGCTCCCACCGGCGCTCTGGCACTGGCAGATGTCTGTCATTCGTCCTTCGACACGACTAAGCGGAAACGTCGAGCAAGTCAAAGCCCCGAAATGCACAGGAGACGGTCCTCGACTCCTGACAAGCTCCACGGTCTACTGGCAGCTGCGGAAGCAGTCGAGGGAAGTCCTTTGACCTCCGTCCTGGGTCACAAACGTCGACGTACGATCGGCGGACCTGCACCAATGTATGAACTCATTCAACATCCTCACCGCAAATCTCACAAGACGCTCTCTCGAGGCACGGCCTCCCCTGCGGGAACTGAAACGGTATTCGGCCATGGCTTCTCTCATGACATTGTGGTCCCTCTGAACGATACCGCTTCCGCAGTGTCCCTCGCCGATCTAGACACTGTTTCCCTCCACACACCCTCTCGACAGGTCCCCGGATCCTCGGCCCCCTCTGCCTCTTCTTCGTCCGCTTCCCAATCTTCCAACATCTCATCGTTTGTCCCTGGCGTGGATCAGCCGCCGCCTCGTCCACCGAGACAAGGTGGCAGAAAACCCAACGAATTGCCTACTGATGGCGAAAATCCTGGAGTGGACTGCAAACCCCCTCACCCTTACCATGAAATGATCAGATACGCTATTGAAAACGCCCCGGACAGACGGCTTCAACTATCACAGATTTACAGTACGATCGCGGATAGATTCCCATTCTTCAAGACTCTGGACGAGAAAAAGACGGCAGGATGGCAGAATTCTATCCGGCATAATCTGTCCTTAAAGTGAGCATTGTTGAGGGTCATCTGCTATGAAATGTAACTGATTTCGTGTTACAGGAAAATGTTCGTTCGAGTCAACAAGGTTGACGGAATGATAGATGATTCAGGCGGGAAAGGTGGTTGGTGGACCGTCGAGCCTGACATGCCAGACGAGGGAAGACCTGGTCGCAAGGTCAAATCTAAAAAGCGAGGCGGTGATGACATCGCCGAAGAAAGCATCGCAGAAGGGTCTACAGCGGGAGAGGACGACAAGAATTGGATGGGCAAAGGCGGACGAGAGGAATCTTTGGCATCGACAAAAAGTGGCAAGGGTCCGAGACTATCGGTCGCCCCCATTCCTCCAGCTGCACGGTGACACTGTGCACACACCCTCCATGGTTCTTCCTAAATTTCCATTTCTTCCACCTCCCCTTCCTCTATCTCTCTTCATGACGTCTGATGATCTTGTTGTTTGCTATCTCCCGAGTGGGCACGTAAAAAGATGGGTTGTTTGGTATCTTGTTATCCGGAAAGAAAAACGCTGTTGCAAAAGAATCAAAGGCCTGGGCAGCGGTGTGGTAGTTGAAAAGAGAAGCTGCAATCAATGCAAAGAGTGGTGGAATCAGCCAAAGAACCAATTCATGCTATCGACATGCTGCTGGTCAAAGAAAGAGGTGATCTAAATTACGTGATGAGACCGGCATCCAGGCCTTGGCGATCTCCTGCCTACTAGCACGGTCCTTTGGTAAGAGTTCAGAAGAGCAGGTCGTCGAAGTTTCCACCCGATGTGGGCTTTGCTGGAGAGTTAGGTTGAGAGGGCTGACCGGCGGGACGGGCAGTTGGTGTTGGACCCCAAAGTTTGTCCATTGCTTTCTCCTTTTCGAGATCCTTGATCGTCTTGTTTCCTCCACCAGCTGCTCCGGTGGTTTTCGCCTGACCGCCAGCACTGGTCAAGGATGTTGTCCAAAGATCGTCGAAAGCGGATCCAGTGGTCGCCTTGGGTGATGTGACTGCTGGCGCAGTGTTTTGCTGGGTGTATGAAGGCCGAGAAGACAGGACGGGCTGAGAGGGAGACATCATTCCGGGTGAAGATTGGAACGAGGGTGTGCGAGCGGCGTTCATGGTTGGCATGGTAGGTTTAGGAGGTGCCGCGGCAGAAGCAGCATTGAGGAGATCAAACACATTTGCGTTCGCTCCAGGCGCTGGCTTGGGCACAGGTGCGCTAGTCGTCGATGTCGACATGGTGTTTGGAGCAGATTGGAAATCGTCAAAGTCGTCTGAAACGGAGGGCATCAGCAGGCAAGCGGGCCTTGGGGACTCACCATCTCCACCGGTCAAGTCTACAGCAGGAGCTGGGGCAGAAGTAGAAGTAGATGGTACCGGGTCATCGTCAAAGTCGAACAAGTTGACCTCTTTCGGCTTCTCCACAGGCTTTTCGGGTGCTTTTGGGGCAGACTTGGGTGGCACCTCTGGTCGAGAGCCTTGTCGAGCATGATGAGAAATCGAAGTTGATCGTCGAGGTGGGTGGTCGTCAAAGTCGTCTGCTCCTTCGTACTCGTCATATTCAGCCGCAGCGGCCCGGTTATTGTAGTTGCTTCCGCTGCTGTTACGAGAACCTCGGTAGTCTGAAAATCTCAGCTTGGTGTCCTGCGTGGTGTGAGAGAGATCTCCTCACCGTCATGATCATAGTCGCGGCCCCAATTGCTGCCTCCGCCTCCTCCGCCGCCGCCGCCGCCGCCTCCTCCTCCCCCACCACCAGCAAGGTCCTCACTGCCGAAGCCTCCGTACTTGCTACCTCCGGCAGTGATGAAGCTCATTCCGCCGCCTCCGCCTTGCCCTCCATACTTTGTACGATTAGCCTTGGCTTTCCTCCGCTCCTGACGAATTCGATCGACATCGCCAAGTAGAGACGCGACCTCGCCGGCACGATTTCGAACTGGGCACAAGTCAGACGACGACTCGTCCGACAGATGTAGAACCCACCATTGATACCCTGATCTTTGCCCTTTTCATCTATGTAGTGGAAGGATCTGAGCATCTTGATGGTGGAGATATGGGCTCTGGCATCGTCGACGACCCGTTCTGAACCGTTCTTGACCAGGTATTCAAGGAGAGTCAATGCCTTGTAAATCTGGCGCCATTCACGGGCTTCTTTCCTGAATGCAATATAAGCTATGAGGAATCGGTCAATCAGAAACTCTGCTCACTCCATGAACCTTGAGTAGATGGTAGGCATGATCTCGTTGAATTGGGAGCTGGTCTTGTCAGTCGATTGTGCTGAACTATTTCAACATAGGCTCACAAGTTGTGCGTGCTAGAGAAGGTCAGCGTGGGCAGCTCTCACCAAGAGCTCAAAGACTCACCCCTCCGCGATCTCCTGCATAAGCGTCGTGCTCGCTCCCCTTGCATTCACATCAGCCCCCGGAATCAATCGTGTTCTCTGCCGACTTTCACATACCAAGGATCATCGTTCGTCGCCTCGCGCACTTTGGCCTCGGTCTCGCTGACATTCAAGACCATATTTTTGGCCTGATTGTAGTATGATTTGACATCGTACATTGTGATCTGCGAGGCCTGCTTGGCCAGACCTGAGTACGGGGAAAAGGAAGGGGGGCGTCAGCTTGCGCAAAAGACGCGGTAAGCGATGTCTATACATACTCTCGATGTAATCCATCTTTGATGCTGATCGGCGCTCGCTGTTGTTGGTCGCCTTTAGAAGGTCTGCGGAGTCCAGAAGATACTCAAGAAGATGTCGTTGTTGCAGGACTGAGGAGGGATTTGGACGGGAGGGACCAGGAAGACTGGGCAAAAGGGAAAAGCGCATGGCTCGCCCTGGCAATTTGATTCCGTCCGTGCTTCGAGATATCATCGGTTCCCGCTCTTCATACTTGCCTTGTCATTACCGACTACCCTTGGACAAGGACAGCATGGACCGCGAGACCAAACCTGATGTGAAGCCTGATATCAAGCCTAGCATACTACCTCGTGGTCAAGGAGATGAGGACGAAGAGCTCGGCGTAGAGGCCGCGTTCGACAGTTCGAATGTGTGGTCCATGAAGATCCCTAGGTTCTTGTTAGAGCAATGGGAGCGAGTCACCGAAGGAGGCGTAGAATTGGGTACACTGGTAGTTGATAACAAGTGAGACGCAACGGACTATCTTCGCTTCTCGTCATGCTGATGATCATTCCCAAAGCTTTCAGCCGCCAAAAATCTCGCTTCGGCTCCCTGATACTTCCACTTCGAGCACTGAAGGTCAGGACGACCCGATGAATGGTAACCGGGCGGGTCCAAGCAGGAGACCGCGATACGATACATCCTCTATACCGGATCAGTACGAAGTCAATGTGCCTGAAGAGCGAGCTAAGAACACTTTCGTCTTCACGGAGCGAGTGAGGAAGTGGGGTCCAATAGCGAAAGGCATGACGGATCAAGGGAACAAGAAGAAGCAGCGGGGTGTGTCTGACTTCATACTATTCTAATTCAATAGCTTATGTCGACCTCAGCATATCCGAAGTTGGTCGCTAGAGTCGCACACGAGTGCACTGTCAGACCGATGGGGAATCAAAAATACCTCAAGATTTTAGCTCAGAGACAAATGGAAGCTGAGTCAAGTCGTCGGTAAGCTATTTGAGCAGACCATGAGCGATATTGGCTCATGTGTGGCCTCCAGTCCAATCGTTTCATTGGAGAGCACAGGTATATCAAGAGCACAGCAAAACCAGATGGCAGCTGGTCTCGCCAATATCAACAGTGGTCTGGGCAAAGGCTTTGTCGTAAGTCTGTCAGTGCTCCCTCTGCCATAAGGGGTTCTCACTCCAGTACAACAGAGTCTCGGCAATCGCAATGGACCGACAGGGGAGAAATTCGTCCGATTGGAGCGGAAAGACCTCACCGACAAGCTCTTTGCGCTGTTCTCTGAGAAGCCATATTGGAGTATCACAGCTCTTCGGCAAACTCTTCAACAGCCTGACATTTGGGTTCGAGAGGTCCTCAAGGACATTGCGGATCAAGTCACCCAGGGCGTTTACATCAATCTGTGGAAATTAAAAGACATTTGGAAAGACGCAGACTCGGCTATCATGGATGAGAAGGGTGGAATCAAAGGGGAGGGAAGCGATACGGGAGATGAGGAGGACGAGGAGGGTGACGATGAGGAGGAGCCTGATCTGGAGGAGGTCGCAATGTGAACGACTATGGGATTTGAGCTGTATTTCTGTTCATGTAGCACCGGTATCAGAGTTGATCATTTGTCTGCGAGCATGGATGCCCATTACTTGCAGCTGTGTCATCGTTGTCGCCGATGGAGATTCAGCGAGCCACCACCCAGCTCAGTTAGATCGCCTAAAAACAGCTAATCCGGAGGAATTACACGAGTATCTCATATGAAGGCTCACGCGGTGTGCTTCTTCTTCCCGCTTCAAAGTGTTGGCCGCTGATCAGCTCCGAAACCCAGAGAACATTCTGAAACTCTTACGTAAACAATGTTCGAGATATCCGCGAAAGCGAAGTAACGAGGCGAGATTTCAAGTCTGTACTCTATGCGAAGATGAGCTCGAGGGGCGAACAGGTAGAAGCCTCGAGCAGCGCACAAGAAACAGGAGATGTCTCTGTATGGGATATACCGGCGGGAGTACGGATCAAGCAGTCTGTCGGTCGCGGAAGAGGACTGTTTGCCGAATCGTCTTTCAAGCCAGGTGAAGTGCAATCTCTCTGGGCTGAGGTCCTACCTCTACTGACCTGATCACAGGTGCTCGTATACTCAGAACCAAGCCGATAGTCGCTGTCAACTCTACCAAGAATCTTTCCACCTTCTGCTCGGCCTGTCACCTGGCACCTGGAGATATCGCTATTGCCAGAGGACAGAGGAATTCGGCGATAACCCTTAAGCGATGTCAGGGATGCAGAATTGTGCACTACTGCTCGCAGGTGAGCTCAGTGGTACGTCAGGCATAGGAGTTAATCAGAATCAGGGATGCCAGACGGGTGACTGGACATTCCATCGTGAAGAATGTCGAGCACACAAACGTTTGCGTGTGGAGTATGCCAAGTTCAGGCCGAATGCTCGCCTGGACGAAGATCTCAGCTGGATCATGGATGAGAGATTCAGAGCTGTTGGCAGGCTGTGTTGGGCTAGAAAGAGGGAGATGCAAAATGGACGTGACCCAGATTGGTGGGCCCAAATTGACGCCATGGAGTCTCGTGAGCTCCTCGGGATAGACGTTGACTAACTTCAGACATCGACCGCATGCCCCAGCAACAAATAATGGAGCTTGGACAACAGATTCAGCGATTCCGACAGTATTTATCAGCAGCCGAGCGCGATACACCTGGCCTGGCTGACATGGAAGAATATGGCTTCGGGAGGTCATCCGACCTGCTAAAGCTGTTCTCCGCGGTGAGTTATAGGACTTATGGCTCAGATCGTAACGTTGACACATTGGGAAGTTTCAAATCAACTCATTCACCCTTTCATCTCCTTCTCTTTCACCGATAGGAGTAGCCATGTCACCCATCGTGGCGCTCTGCAATCACTCTTGTGAGCCCAATGCGGTTGTTGTCTTTCCGCACGGTGGCCGCGACATGGACATCGTAGCTATACGACAAATTGCAACCGGGGAAGAAGTGCGTTGAACCGTATGGGACCAGACTAACAAGTAGATCTTAACAAGCTACATTGATATTTCACTACCTTTAGCGGAACGTCAAGCAGACTTGAAGGAAAGATATGGCTTCATATGCGATTGTGAACTCTGTCAGAGGTCCAGAGAGACTTCTTGGGTTGACCCCAGGTGGTGTGTATATGATTCATCGGGGGGTTTGAAGAGCTTCGAAGGTGAGTGCTCTGACTTCAATGACTGCTCACAATCTTCATCCTCAGTTGACAAGCATTTCGATTCGATGATCCAGCAAGGCAGGGCGATGCTGAACGAGGACGAGGCTGGCACCCTAGGTGAGCCGCTTGTGCAGCATCAACTCATGCTTCCCAGATGTCCAGCAAGCACTGGTGAACTTCAGATCCCTCATTCCGACGCTATCACAGAAGATGCCATCATCGTCGTACCCTCTGCAAGCTCTACTACGTCTTCAGGCTCTGCTATTGTCTCCTCCGAGAAGCACTGCAGATCGCGATTTAGCCATCGCGAGTCTCTCAGCTGCATTTGCTGGCGCTGAGAAAGTGTACCCCGCTGGTCATCCGACACTCGCCGTCATCTCTGCCGAATGGTGCAAACTCGTTGCTATGGATTCGCCAGAGGACACGCCTACCGATATTTTGAAGAAGCTCAAACAGGCTGTCATTGGGCTTCGGAAGACCGTTAAGCTCAATGAGGTTGGTTTTGGGGCCGGAGGTGGAATAGTTGGAAAAGAGATGACAGAGCTGTTGAAGGCGTGTGAAGTCGAATTGAGTCAGCTAGCATAGTCGAATCGCATCCAGTCATTGGCATCCAAATTGTCACCCTTGCATACAGATCATCCTGATATTAAATTCTACACTGGTTGGATTCTGACCTCTCCGTCCTCCTCTGTGGAAACGATGCATCAGACTGGCTAAGAGACGGGCGATCCAGGTCCACTCACCGACATGCTCTATCGTGCTGTGAGAACCACCCTGAGAGTCGTATCGCAGAGATCCAAAGTGCGCTTCTTGGAGCTGAGCGACGACAAAGGGCATGACTGGAGGGACGCGTAAGCGGTCTGCTGGACAGGCTAAACTCACTCGTAGAGTGCAGATTGTCCTGTTGCAGGATCTCTCCGCCTGATTGCGAGCGAGTCTCAGCACTGACAAGAGTGTCCCAGCCTCATGAGGTACTCGCCTTGGTTCTTGACATCACTCAGGACTTGTTCCCTTTCCTCCTCCGAGGATCCCTTCTTGAACGTGATGATGACTGCGGAGGAGGATCAGCACCATTGTGAAACTGAGGATCTACGACTGCAATCACCTTTTTTAGCGCTAGACATGTTGACTCGCGTTGTCAGAGGTCTGTATAGGAATCTGTGGCTAGGTATATTGAGTGTACTGTTGCAACGTTGAACGAACAAGCAGAGTTATCAGTCCAGCCATACCCCCTTCTTACCCCGCACCCAGTTTTTACCCCACAAAAGCTGACGTCATTCAATCATCGGCCATTGCCGCTGTTCACGCGGTATGTGATGACCTGTGAGGCCTTGGCAGGCGAAAGCACGACGTGAACATGGAGTGGTCTTCATTGGGTACACCTCTTGGTCCATGTAGAGACAAGAGTCGATATGGCACCTCAAAGACAGCTCTCGACGGGTTCTTGTCGGAAACCTTCGAGGCAGCAGGACGTCTTCCTCGGCATCGCCCTTCAAATAGGGGAACAACCTAAAACTGCGGCATCTGAAAGTGGCGATAAGTCTAGGCGGGACCTGGAATACACCATAGTCCTACACGATGGTACGGGTGTCATAGGAAGTGAAACCTTCCACTACGTTTGGCATACTCATGGGCTGGATGATGAGGCAAGGAAGGACCAGGCAAAATCGTTCGCAGGTGAAGTCTTGGCTACAATGAGGGAGATTCAAACAACGAGATCGATGAAGGTGAGTAGAGCGTGTGAGACTTTAATGAACGAACAATACAGATATGCCTCATAGCTGTCGCACAACCTGTTCCTGAAGAGATCAAAAGCAGTGGTCGTGGTACGCATTTCTTACCTACTGTGTGGCTCCACGTCGATGCCATTCCGTACGTGAAAGCGACACCATACTTGACATTTACATCGCACAGATTCACGATCTTGCCTTCCACGGCCATCTTCACCAAGCTACCATCTCCGTCGACACAAGCTGGAGCAACTGCTGCTGTCTCTGCTGCTGTGAAGTACCTACACGCTGTGAGTCAGGGCCTAGGGTGCCGAGGACCATCTTTTGATGACGAAATCAGGCTACACACACGGCCACAACTGCAACATTGGACAACAATGATCATCACGTTCAGGTCGATTGCGATGGGCAGGTTACTCTGTGTGATCTTATCCATTATGAGGAGAGCACAAGCCCACAGGTCAGTCAGCGCTCGATGTCTCATCTCATCCAGACGTACAGTAGCTTTGGAGTCGGTTCATGGCTCTAGCGAAACTGATCCGAGGGACAAACACCTCGATCCATTTCTTCTCCGCCACACCTCAGGGTGAGCCACCTTATCGTCAATTTTGCCTGATAATGGACAGGCGGTGGGGTCGCCCTCATGCGACATGCCTTGGTCCGGCTCTGGAAACTTGTCGGCGTACAAGTCAAATGGTTTGTCCCAGAGGGTCACCCTACCGTCTTTGACATCACCAAGCGGAAGATGCATAATGTCCTTCAAGGCGTTGCTCCGCAGGGTACGGAGATGACTGACGAGGACAAGCAATGCTTCGAGCTATGGACAGAGCAAAATTGTGAGCTGGAGTCTTGCCGGGTAGGAATGACAGGACAGATGAATCGTTCTGGTCGAGGGGTGCCATCGATGCCAGTGTCATTGTGATCGATGATCCGCAGTGTAAGAGCGACGAACGATGTCGGAGCTCATCATCAGTGACTGCTCTGATCCCGATCATCAAGAAGAGGCGACCTGACGCCAAGATTATCTTCCGATCGCACATCCAAAGTGAGTTCGCTCATAGGCATTGCTCATCTTCCAAGTCCAAAGCAATCTGACCGATGACCCCTCGACTCCGCAATATCGGACCTGGAACTACTTGTTCAACTTTGTCAAGCAGACTGACCTTTTTCTTGCGGTGAGAAGTCTACCTAGAGCTCCCTGACCCCAAGCATCCCGTCAAGTTCTTCATACCGAAAAATGTGCACGAGAACCTGCCTGTGCTATACATGCCACCTTCGACTGAGTGAGCTCGTATCTGAGGTTACCATCCTGACTAGACAGTCCACTCGATGGTCTCAACAAACTCTACGGACATCACTCTGTCACATATTACAGAGAGTACTTCAATCACCTCGCTTCGTCGCAAGGAGATGTCGCGATCGACTGGGCACGAGGCTATATCTGCCAGATTGCTCGTTTCGATCCATCCAAAGGTGATTGCGGCGCCACAGAATGGTGTTGATGCTCCAGGGATAGATGTCCTCCTCGAGGCATACTTGAAGTTCAGGCAAAAGCTCGAGAAAAGTTCATTTCCGCCTGAAGATGGTGGCCCACAACTTATCATAATGGGACACGGCTCTGTGGACGACCCGGATGGCACCATGATATAGTGAGTAAGCGGTGCATTGTGTGGCTGAAATCCCAACAGCGAGATGTGCCACGATGTGGGTGGTCGGACTCATTGCGAGTTGACTCTACCAGATCCTGTCGAAAGAAGAGTACCAGCTGGTCAACGGTGATGTTGCAGTAGTGCGAGCGCCGCCGGTGAGCCCTTCGGGTCATTCTCCGGACTCAACTTTCAGAGCGACTCGCTGCTGGGCTGTATCTTACAGGGCGCTTGGGTAGCGACGCAGCTATCTACGCGGTGAGTGATCTCGGTGACAGAGCCGCTGAGCCTCTTAGCGAAGGGTTCGAAGTCAAAGTCACAGAGGTAAAGTCAGCTCCATGACCATTCTGCTAAATATCAGGCCATCAACAAGCGCGTGCCTATCATTGCGTCGGACGCTGGAGGTATCCCCGTCCAAGTGAAACAATCCCTCAATGGGTGGGTTGTGCCGGCAGGGAGGTCTGAGCCCGTCGCGACCCTCCTATACGACATCTACACGGGTAAGGCCAAAGTCAAGAGGCCGGTTCCCAAAGGTAGAGACACGCAAGGCGAAACGGACCCGAACGCAGTGGCCGAAGCCTACGTTGGGGGCTACGAGCAGCCTGTCCCGCCTGTTCGAGCCGATATCGGTTCGACCTCGGAGGACTACTGGACAGTGGGCAACGCCGCCAAATGGATGCTGTTGTTCTCAAAGATCTTGCAGCTTCAGGTGCCTGAAGGGCTTGGAGGAACCGACGCAGACTTGCTGAATGGGATGAGGGCTAGTGAGCGGATCGGAGGGAAGGAAGTGGATGCAACTGCAGTATGGCAGATGGTCATGGGCACGGACATGCTGAAGGGTGAAGGCGAAATACGATGATCATACTGCATGCCCTTGCTATCGTGCCATCTTTACTTAAACTGTGACGAATTCTTTATGATCGCCATGTATGATACGATTCCCCGAGAAGGAGTGGCAGAAAAAACATGGACACGATGCCTTCAGTAGGCATGAGCCCGCGCTGGGCTCGGTCTCAGCTCAAGAGGCTCTCCCTTTAAACCTCTCGTGCATGAAGTTTTCACAGGGGTCCTCAGAAATAGCTATGCTTGCAGACTACAGATACAGCAGAATCCGCCAGCCGCTTTTACAAAGTTTAGACTCCCGCTGTGGATGATTCTTTCGCGGGCCGAAAAAGAATCAACCGTCATCGTGAGAACCGTCGATCGAAGGTTTGGGCTTCTAAAGATGACATCCACCCCGTGTGGCTCAAACCTGCGCGACTGGAATCTGCCTTGTTGACGTTAGATGTCCAGGTAGCCCAAGAAGGAGGGTCCGGAGCAGATCTGCCACACTTCCCAGCTGACTGGGCACAAACGGAATCAAATTGGCGATTCTCCCAAAATTGGGTGTAAACAAGGCACAGCATAAAATCAACCAAAAAATGAGGAGAGACGCGAATGTTTTACCTTTGAGTTACCTCACAAACTGACATTCAATTCACTCTTGATTGGCATACTTTTGCTGGCATCGCATTCAACTGGACAGTCCTGCTGCTGCGTGCACTGCTATCTTGCCACTCGGGACATTGGCGAGGATCGTCAGTGATCGACGCATGCTCTTTGTGATCTCGAGTCGGATTGCTTGGACGCTTTTCAGGGTAGAGAGCGAGCGGCACATTATTTTAAGGACATCACATCCGTCGAATCACCAAAATCACTTGACCAGTTGAGGAGAGAGAAAGATTGTACACAAGGCGTGCTGGATCTGTCCTGTGTTGTCCTCCTATCGGACTTGCTTCGACGTAACCCTGCTCGTTCAGTTGAGCGACGAGTCTGCACGATACCGATCCATCCCCATCAACGCATACGATAATAAGCAGGCCCGCGACTCAGACACGGTCTCGGTCTCGGACCTGTTTGACACCATCTCTAGCCGCCCATCCAATCGACCACTCTCTTCACACCATGCACGGAGATCCTTCACCTTCGTCGTCCACGGCTTCGTCGTCCTCGTCCCTCCTCCGACCGCGCAATATCAATCGGCCGGGCACCTGGTTTAAACCCAAAGTGGGGCATACAAAACTGGCCACTACTGCTGAAGATTTCGTGATGATCTCGCCTATCAAAGCTCATCAGGCCATGCCTCCAACACCTGCACGACTTCAAGGCGACACGAGCTCTTCATCTCCAGAGGATAGCCCAACGCCGGCGTGTGGAGTCGCGAGTGCTACTGCGAGATTGAAACTAGTGGATGATGACAGTCCATCAAGACGGATTCAGCATGAGCAAGGCGTCTTCTTATCGACAGGTCTAAAAGGGCGAGAATCGCCCACTAGTCCACTCAAATACTCGACTCTCTTTCCAAATCCACAGGACGAAGATTCGCCTCAACTCCCTCCAACCCCTCTCATGTCCAACGCTCCCCTTCCACAACCGCTCTTTCCTCCACTTCGCACCTCTCAATCACAAGACTGCGACGCGACAAAATCGGGATCCGATGCCAAGGCGAGCTCGCATCGAGCTCGCTCATCGACTGACGCTCAACGGCCATTGTTGGGACAGAAAAAGGCCATCTCACTTGACGCGCTTCACAAGACAGCGGAAGATAAGAATGAACCTTTCGGACATCACCCTCAACCGTCTTTCCTTGGCAAAAAGTCTCGGCCTCCATCAGCCGGGTCGACATCGGTTCATCGTGCACACAAGCGACACAACTCCGGAGATCACCATGGTCTTGGATCCATCTCTCGTTCCACTGGACAGAAGTCGGGATTAGCCTTGACTTTGACGCCTGCAAACTCGACTGAATTTGCATCCAGCTCTTCTCTCTCCTCCACCTCTTCGTTCTCTCCTGCCGAGCCGCCAATCTTTGAAGATGTCAAGCCTCTCGCAGAGGCTTTTGAGAACAGTGCTGGGACGTTGTTGCGGAAATTCAAGCCTAGAGACTCCGGGGTGGCTATGGACGATCCCTCACCATTACTACGAGTGGCGCCACCTGCCAAACCTCCACCGCTCACTCGACCCAAACGACCTGCTATGCTCAAGCGGACTTCCTCTATGGGGGATGAGCGAGTCTCGTGTCAGACGCCCAGTATCACTGGGCCGAGTATGGCCTCTGGATGGCCCACACCGAACGCTTTTGGTTTCCTCGGAGAGACCGCCAAAAACCTGTCGTTCAAGGGAGATCAAAAGCCATCCATGCCGGATACCCCTGTCAAGAGGAATGCTTACGGTCATATGAGGACCGGATCAAGAGGAAGCTCCTTGGGTGGTCTGCCGATCGCCAAGGCCTCTTCCCAGCCGACCATTGAGATCACCACGGATATGACAGGGACCTCTGTCGACACCAAGCCTTTGCTTAAAACTCCGGTGCCGGCAGTGACGCTTACTATCACTTCCTCTCCGGAGACACCAATGGAGGTTGATGTTTCGAGTCCGACTGTCCGTCTTGGCCCGCAAGGCCTTCCTCCCCATGCCAGTCATGATCCTTCACCTTCGAAAGTCGCTGGTCGAATGGATCTCTTGCGGGTCCATGCCGGTGGCAGCAGTAGTGACTGCAGCGAAGATGAGGGGACGCCAACCAAAGGCGGGGCTTCAGAACGACCCCGCAATCTTGGTGTCACACCTGGGCCGTCGCCCTCCCCGACCCCGTCTAAACCTCCGGCTGGTATCATGCCTCGGATGTCGCTCCCAGCGTTTGCTGCGCCGAAGCAACACAAGACACTGCATCATCGTCAATCTCATCCCGCTCCAAACATCCAGGTTGAGGAGGATCTCTTTGAGGCTCGTTTCATTACCCTCGATACGCTTGGCAAAGGTGCTTTCAGCACCGTCCTAAAGGTACAGGAACGCATTGGCGACGGTCTGTACGCGGTGAAAAAGGCGCGAGGGGTCTTTGACGGTGTCAAGGATCGTCTGAGGCATCTCGAGGAAGTCGACATCTTGCGCCACTTGTCGAAGAGTCCCTGTCCTCATGTCATCAAATTCGAGGACGCTTGGGAGCAAAATCGTCAATTGTTCATTCAGACCGAGCTTTGCCTCGGATCCCTGGCCTTTTTCCTCGAAGAATATGGTCGAGTTGTTGAGAGGCTGGACGAAGGTCGTGTATGGAAGATCGTTCGAGAGCTCAGTGACGTGAGTGTCATTATTTCGAGGCTCGCTGACATTCAGGGCATCAATCACATCCATTCTTCCGGTGTCATTCACTTTGATATCAAGCCGGCAAATATACTCATCTCGTCTACTGGTTCGCTAAAAATTGGCGACTTCGGACTCGCTACTCGATGGCCTCGTATCTCGGCCGATGAGATCCTTAAAGGATCTGGTCTGGGAGGCACTGCAGCTGCATTCGGACCGAAGAATCAAGAAAAGCTAGAGCGGGAAGGAGATCGTGTTTACATGCCTCCAGAAATGCTTCGGGGTGTATTTGTCCAAGAAGCCGATATTTTCAGGTAGGTCTTCAGGATGTGTTCTCGAATGTCCGTGCACCTAACATCCGTCCTAGCTTTGGTTTGGTCATCTTGGAAGTCTCAACCAACATCTGCGTGCCGGATGGTGGTGCAGCATGGCAAGCATTGAGGACCAACGACTTCACAGTCGTCGATCTGTCACCGCTCTCACCCGCCCTTACCGATCTCATCGTATCGTGTATGCAGGCCGAACCGAAAGCTCGACCTCTAATCAGCCAAATTGTCAGTCACCCCATTGTTCAGCGCGCTCGGACCGGTAAAGACGCTTTGGCCCCGGAGGATCCAAGATGGTTGGTCGATATTCTTAGTGGTGGAAGCAGCCTCGGCTTTGCACCTCGTCCGATGGCATCGACTCCAATAGATGGCGATGTGGATATGATCGATTAAAGGGCATTATCCTATCTCCTTCTGTCCCCCAATCATCCTTGCCAAACGGCAAACTTCCCTGTTCATCACGATCTTGATCTCATGACTGTTATGCCTGGTTCACATATCTCTCTCTGTGCCATCAAAAAAGGGACCGCATTCCCGTCCCCCCTCTCTATCTTCTTCTTCCGGAATACGCATTGCTATATTTAACGACATCTCAATCACTCTCTGAGGAGGGCTGCCTGGAATACGACACGACTCTTCGCTAGATGCGAGTGAGACTTGTAGAAACTGTTTGTATATAACTATGTTTTTGAAAATATCTTGCAAATCGCAACGAGACGGGATGACATGCAACGATACGATGCAATACATTATTTGCATGCGCTGCTCCACTTCAAAGAAGGCGGGCCGCTGATTCTATGCTTCGTGCTCGTGCTATCCACCAGGAGCAGATTTGACCAAGCTCCTCGCACCCAAGATGCGTTTGGCTAGAGCCCCGACATTGGCTTCTGCAACTACGACATCGACGGTCATTTCCACGTCGAAAGCCGCTTCGCACAGTGAGACAATCCGCTTGGCTTGCTTTTCATCCATGATGGCGAAATCGTCGGGATCTCGACCGTCATCTTCGACAGAAGTCGAAGCTATATCAGCAGATCCATCTGTTTCAGGTGAAAGGTCATCCGAAGCTACAGGATCAGGCGACACATCCGGATCAGGAGATGATGGGATACTCTTTGACTTGGCCTTGAGGACCGAATTGGGCAAAAGTGCCGGATTCTCGTCAAGCGAGACTGTGACAATGTCCAGAAGACACGAGCGCACAGCTTTGTACGAGGTCGGGTCGGATGGACGGCTGACTGTCAATGTGTAAGTCATAATCCTCCCCTGGACAAGGAACAACTCACCCTCGATCTCAATGGGCGCCACTCGCGACATGACGTTGTGCTTCCCATCATGGTGATACCTGAGTTCATATCTGCCTTCAGACCAGGGCAGTTGATCGCCTCGAAATACCACTTCTCCACAATCCTCTTGTTTGACAGTTCCAAGTGGCGAGACGTACTCGTCACCATCCCATTCATCTTCAAAAATTGGCATCCATTTACCCATTGACGCGATCCTAGTGACCAAATTCGATCGACATGAACCGAGTCGATAGATGCCAATCCAATCCTTTCTGGAATGATTCGAGGGTGCAGTCCATTGGACTCTGATGGGTTGACCGACTTTGAACTTGAGTGCCGGGGTAGAGGAGTTGGTCGCAATCTTCAGTGAGTATCGGCTCGTGTCGTAGGCAGAGATGTCACTCGCCACACGAGTGATAATCATCCTCTCCCTGGACTGTTGAAGTAGGATCCTCGTGTCGTTGACCATATCCGCAAAGACCGGTCGAGCATGATCCAAGAACTCTTCGACGGCTTCCGTAAGCTTCTCCTCGACTCGCTCGATAGATCCTCGGACCTCCTTGACGACTCTCTGAATCTCGGGTGCATGCTTCCCAGCACTGTCGGCCAAGGTCTTTCCTGCCACCGACTTCAAGGTCTTGGTCAGACCACCATCCTTTCGCAATCGATCTCCGTATAGCTTCTTCATGTGGGGCCTTTCCACGCTCGAGAGGAACCACCAGTGACTCAGATGTGATACGACTGCCAGGAACAACACGAGCTTGGACCAACTGATCAGCCATAGACCGAAGAACGTGGCTCCCCCCATGCTCTGCTCAGGGTTGTTGAGGAATCGGTAGATACCAGTGTAAGCCAGCTGGGACGGGATCTGCTCGATGAGGAAGAAGTCGGAATAGAACCATCCGAAATCGCCCAAGACCTCGTAGCTCGATGTAGCAGCCCATACGTGAAGAGCGACGAGAGACTGCTGGTCAGCCAGAGCAATCTTCATGGATACTCACGAGGCCCAGCACGTGTCGGAGCAGCGTTCCGCTCACTGTCCAATCTGCAGGCAAATGATAGGTTTTCCACGCCAGCCCCGCGAAGGACACTGCCGCGTCAGTCTTTGCCATCGGTTAGTACCTCACCATAGGTCATGACCAGACTGATGTTGTACGCCACTTGCCAATTTCTGAAAGCCTCCTCGGTCGCACGCTTGACTACGCCCTCTCTTTCCATACCGGAACTAGCTTCGCTGCCAACCTCATTGGGGTAATGATAGTGTTTCAGGTAATGTCGAACCAGCCATTTCGTCTTGGATTGAGCCCGCAAGAGCAATCCCAGACCATAGGAATGAAACAAACGCCACGCCAAAGCATGGAGGAAATGGACGCCAAGACCGACCTTTGCCGGAAGCGCAGGTACAAGCGAGGATAGACTGTATATGAGGAGAAGGACCAGTGCGAAGTCTGTCGATCGAAATACGTCTAGGCGATTGAGGATGACCAGGGGCTTTCGGAAGAATCGATGTGTGAGGTCGTGCATAGTCGCTCGTCTCGGTCGGGTCTTGAAACCGCTAGACATGTTCTTGGGGAGCGACATGTCGCCTGTGGGTGTGATCGACATGGACATGGAGCTATACGAGCTGTCGGAGCGGTTCTTTCGAATCTCGGGATTGGAGATGGGTCCGTCGGACAGCTCAGGGAGCTCAGGCTCCGTCTCGGTCTCCCCTGAACGGATCAGCCAGATGGCTGCAGGCATGACGCACCTTCGGTAACTGCAGGTGTCCTCTCAGGTACTTCTTCGTCTACTAAGACTGATTCTGTGGCCGGCAAGGGGTTTTCGCCCCATGCCAAAGGAACTCGCGAGGCAAGCGGTTTCTTGCCACCTCCGTAGGTCCGCTCGATATCTGCGAAAGGTCAGATTGTTGACGCCTCGGTAGACTCACGTGGGTTCTCAAACCAAAGCAGGAAGGCGAACTGGGCCGCATGAGCTGCCAGCGAGACGAACAACACAGTGTATGATCCGACGACTGTCATGATGAGCCACTCCTGAACTAACGAATCTTAGCAAGCTCACCCATTGAAAGGCCATAGTAGCCAGCATATCCAACCGAGTACATGGGATGTGGCGCAATTTCGTAGACTCCATCAAAGACCAGGTCGTGCTGCATGACCATGAGCCAGAATGCATCTCCCCAATACCAGGCGTAATCTTTGACCACACGATGGGCATCGACTTTGACCCAGAGATTGAAGAAGATGAGCGACCATCCTAGGATCCAGCGGAAGACATGGAAGAATGTCGTATGGCCTGATGGGAAGCTGAGGTTGGCCCACGCAAAGCAAGAATAGGACACAAAGTCACTGGAGAGTCAGGTCTCCTACCTTCCTCTGTGACTCACTTGAGCAGAACCAAGTCGACCAGTTGGCGAAAGATCAACCATGCGTTGAATTCCTGGGGAACGTCTTCCCATTTGTACCCCTCTCCCATCTTCATCTCGAGCTCTCGTTTCCACCATTTTGCCCAGACACGACCTTCTTCGCCACCGGACTCGGATTTCGTATCTAGCCAACCACGTTGCCGGAGCATTCGAACTATCCATTTCTTCTCACTTTGTCTCCTGAGAGCCCAAGCGAAACCCCAATCATACATTCCTCGCCAGAACGTAAAGTAGATCAGGAAAAATGTGGAACGAATGCCGGGATGGTTTCGCCAGAGGTAAAACAAGATAGGTTGCGAGATCAAAGTAAGAAAGGTCAAGCGGGTCAACGAGGACCTGTGCAGAGTGTGTAAGAGCGTATGGAGGAATGAATGAGTTGCCGGGACTCGAAAGACTTGACCGGATGGAGTTTTACCCCATGTCACCTCGTCCTGACCTTTTTCGCTGACTTTGTCGTGCTCGCCCTCATTGTTGAAGTCCACGTTCGGGTCGGACGACCCAAGCGTCGCGCCAGTCCTGCGATGTCTGAGGGTAGGACCGTTCGTGGTCGTGATGAAATCTGCATCCTCCGCGGGAGCAGGAGCCACGTCCGATGCCATGGCTCAGTCGTGATAGCTCGGACTCGGACTGCTCGCTGTATTTGGGTCAAAGAGCGTTTATTACACGAATCTAGACAGCTCACCTTTCGGACTTTTGATCTCGTCCAAGCGCGGAATTCCGGAAATGATGATAAAGCTCAGCGATGTATGTGACGTGGCATGTGGCACTCAGACACTTGGTTCTGTAGGGGTGATGCGCATTCACAGATCCTGGCTTGCGTTCTTGATGTCTGTGTGGATCACAGGCTCCGACCTCAGTAGAAGCCTTCGGAAGACAGCATAGCTTCCTGGGGATCAAGCAATAGCTCACCTGGCAGAGGTCGTTGGGAGGCGCTTGTGCCTTCCTCTTCTCCAGGTTGCCGCGCACGTAGACTTCGGGCTGGACATACCAAAGGAGGTCCTGAGCTTGACTCGATAGCAAAACGTTGGGACGCTGAGTCTTGAAGGTCTGCGAGGAGTCACGACGGCAAGCTGGGTCTGGGAGGCTGCCAGAGTCCCAGTCTGAAGCACTCTATGCCCTGGATGATCAGGGGGATTGCTGGTCCGAGCATATGAAAAAGGATTGCGAGGAGTGATGTATAGCGAGCCGCAAGTCTTAGATACACACTCTCAAGCATTCGAGGGACAGGTAGGACCGTATACACACTCTGTGCAATATCGCGCACTTCAGCCTTGTTGCTTGCCCATGATTAGCATCCTGCCGCCACACCCAATCTGCCACAATTCAATATGAGTGAAGCTTGCTCTGCCTCCACTTCGCGACCTTTCGATACCTTACAGCGCACTCCTCATTGCACACGATGACATCGATGCTGTCGTTGCCATCCTATTCCAATGCTTTCTCTCAGTACAGACCCAGCACGAACGCCCATGTGGACTTTTTGATCCCTTCGACCAAAGGCAAAGCCGCCGGCTCGATCGACAAGTCATCCGTTCGAGTCATAAAGGTTTCTCTGCCTCGTGAGTGCTGCCGCTGGTCTCCTTCCGGCCAAGCTGATTTCCATCACGCAGCCGTATCAGGTCCTTCGTCAAAAGATGAGCTTGCGATTCTACTCGACTCGATCGCTCCGCTCCTCGCCGGGCAGCCCACCCGGGCGTCATACCAGCAACTTTCACAGATTTGCCGTCGTCTGGTGCTTTGTACAGACTCCAAAGCTCCAGAGATCTACGATCACATAGCCTCAGAGCTCGATAGGAGCGTCGCTAACTTGGCTAGAGAATGGCGAGGGTCTATCATGAGTCGGGAAAAGGACTGGTTAAAACGCTTGACGAGCGGTTGGAAGGTCTGGGAAAAGCATGTCGTGAGATGGCGCAGCTCGAATCAACGCATCGGCACAAAGCTCACAACGAAGCAGGACCTCTTAGCATCGGTATTCGTGTATCTCGATAGGGTGTATTCAAACGAACAGAACGGCAGACAGTCGATCAAGTGAGCCGGATGCGTGCAGCATCAGTACTCACCGATCAGAGAGACCGCGATCAAGGCATTCTATCAAGGCATCTGGACAGATGTGTACCTCATGAAGACGAAAGACGAGCTGTTGGGTTGGGCGGCAGCTGAGAGAGAGCATGATCTGTAAGTATGCGTAGCAGAGAATACCCTCAGAGGCTGACCCACCCTATCAGACCCAACACTGAACTTCGCCCAACCATCAAATCCTTGATCGAGCTCTCCTCCATCGTAGCAGATGAGCCCTCTCTCGTGGCTCCTTATATGGAGCAACTGATCGACCATTACACCTCAGTCGCATCGTTGAACATTACACGCGTGGAAGAAGGCACAATGTCTGCATCAAAATACGTCGATTGGGTGCTTAATAAAGCGGCCGACGAAGTCGAACGCGCCAGAGCCTGCCTGTGGAGAGGCACGGACGCCGAAGTCAATCCTGTCGTTCTGAAGACAGCTGGGCATGCAATGGGAGATAGGGTCGTCCGAAGGGGTGAAGCTATTACACTCGTCACCAATCCGCACGCTAACCTTTGATCTCAGCACTCGACGAAGCTATGGACTTCACGAGTGAAAAAGCCTTGGCGAGATTGTACGAATTCAGCGTGGCTTGCGATACCTTCACCCTCTTTGTCAAGGCGCTGTCTGATCATATTGAGGTGAGCTGCCATCTAGCACGCTTGACTGATCGCACAAGGCACGCCTCCGCACTTTGATCTCAGATCCTGACAACGATCCCAAAATGATAGACTCCACTTTGACACTGAAAAAGTTCACTGACAAGAGCATTGCGCGCTTGTTCGTCGAGCCTGATGGTGATACAGATATGGCCGAAGCGACGACTGTCAGTGCGGTCGAGAGGATCCGACAGATCGAGCTGGAGGATGCCATCCGGAGAGGGTTCAAAGCGGGAATGGGTAGCCGACAAAATGCTCCTGCGGAATGGATCGGTGGGTGCTAGTGAAATATAAGCTGATCTCCTGCTCCAGCCAAGCACCTCGATGCGGCGATGAGACGGGGACAGGGGTCTGGCACAGAGGCTCAATTCAATGCTTTGCTCGATGAAGTGATCGCTCTCATAGGCTTCACAAAGGACAAGGACGTTTTCAAAGCGTTCTATTCGACTCAGCTGGCCAAGCGATTGTTGCTGAGCAAGAGTGCCAGTGATGATATGGAACGAAACATGATCGTCAAGCTTCAGCGGGAGATGGGCGAAGAGTTCACCTCGGGAGACGTGATGATGAAAGATCTGTCGCTGTCTGAAACGTGAGTGTACCGTGTCGGATGAGATACTCACCATTTCAGCCTCGTCAAAGCGTATCAATCAGCTCAGGCGAAGAATCCAGACGAATTCAAGCATGCCGGTGACTTTGCAGCCAACGTCTTGACGGAATCGGCCTGGCCGGCGTATCCTCTGCTAAAGGACGGCTGGAACTTTAAGCTCACCCCTGAGCTACAGTCATCTATCGATCAATTTACCTCATGGTACGCTACTCAGCACAAGAATAGGCAGCTCTCATGGCGTTGGCAATTGGCCACGGTCACGTTGACTGCTCGATTCCCTTCCGGGAAATACGAGATTGGGGTGTCCTTGTTCCAAGCTGTTGTCTTGCTCCAATTTAATGCAGACGATGCACTGGACTTCAACGAGATTCAGCAAAGGACAGGTATCGAGAAATTGGAGTTGGTTCGAACAGTCCAGTCTCTTTCTATGGGTCGGAAAGGAACGCGAGTGTTGGTCAAGAAGCCGGCTGGGAAGGAGGTCAATCCCACCGACACGTTTGGCTGGAACAAGGCGTTCACCTCGGACAGGATCAAGTTCCGAATCAATCAGATCCAACAGGATATGTCGGCCGAAGAGAGTCGAAAGACAAACGAACAAGTGGCTGTGGATCGAGTATCTGTCCTGGAAGCCACCATTGTTCGGATCATGAAGGCCAAGAAGAAGATGACTCTTCAATTGTTGATCGACGCCGTGGTGACAGATGTCAATAAACGATTCCCGCCTGACATTAAGGAGATCAAGAAGCGCATGGAGAGCTTGATCGAGCGGGAATTTTTAGCTAGAGACGAGGATGACAGAAACTTGTTGCATTATCTCGCGTAGGAGGATTCGATAATGTTTGTACGTCGTATGAAGCCTGGCAGTATGCATAGCGTTGTATCCAAAGAGCATTGTTTCCAAGAGCCGACCCAATCCCTGCATATGCATTAACGGGAGGGACATTTTGTGGTCTGGGCACGTTTTACGTGAGTGACGCAACCGAGAGGCGATCCAATTTTACCGGGTCAAAGCGTTTCACCAAATGTCTTGTTGGGCAAGCATACCATTGACCTGTCTACCGTCAACAACTCGGGACGCAGCATGAGCCAGTCTTCGCGGCCAGCATCAGGCTATGATGTGTACGAAGACTTATCGCTGGATGACGACCCTAAGGCAGAGATCAAGACGTCATCCCAGCTCCCACCGACAGTGGCTTCTTCTTCTTCTTCGTCTCTGATGAGATCGCCCAGTTCGTATACAGGCTCGTCAAGATCAGCTATGGAAGGTTTAGGCTCGCCAAACTCCATATCATCCAGCTCAGGAGGTGCGAAATCGAGTCCTTGGGAGAGATTCGAAAGTCGAGTGAGGAAAGATAGCAGTGGAACAGCTACGCCTCAAGACGTGTCTTCGCCTGCTGTTGACCAAAGTGGGTCAAGATTCTCAACCCCTTCTCATGTCATGTCCACACCACCACCACACATGGTTCAGAGAGACGAGCGTCCCGGTCCAAGTTCGAGACCGTCTCTGCTCTCACACCCTACGGGATCGAGTATGAGCGTCATGACGGCCTTGGCGAAAGATTTGGAGAATGTCCCTTTGGTACTCGGCGTGGTCCTCGTTGATTTCAACCACTTAGTACGTCTAAACCTAAAGTCTAAGTCAATTTTCTGACTACAGATAGATCGGACCGACAGTCGAGTTCGCGTATCCTCCCAGTCTACAGTCGGCTCTGACTGCAGACGACGAGCTCAATAGGATCCTCCCGTTCCTAGCACTACCAGATGGAGCTCATCTGACTGAAGAAGACTATTCATATTTTCACTGCTCATATCGCCCACCGAACGGGACTGTAGCGGAGCAAACAGATGTCCCGGTTGGGACAACCCTCTTTGGAATCTCCTGCAATAGACAACTACAAGCCAGCGAATTGCTCGTCAGACCGAGCGACGTGACGAGAACAACGGTGCAGAAGGCTATTGTGGTCATAGCGTCCCAGCCAGTGTTTGTGAGTTCAAGAGTCCTTTGTAAAGAATGCCAAATCTGACGTAGTCCGCAGGGACCCATTCGGTGAGCTGCAAAACGTGCGAAGCGTGGGTTAACCTGACACGATTATCAGCGATCGCCTTGGCGTCGTCACTCGAGCATTCTTCGCTCAACGGTGAGCGGACCCGATCGCTAGACGCTCTGAGCTCACACTTCGTAGAGACTTTACCCAGACACAGATCCTACAAGACTTTTACACCAGCCTAGAATCTAGTCTGGATGGAAAGAGTGGTGAAAGTGCGATCTATATGGGTCAGTTTGTGAAAAAAGACATCATTTTTATGGGTAGCTGACGCTAGAAGGAACGAGCCTCCGCGAACTGATTCACAAATTTCGCCATCGAACACTTGTCCTGCTCAAAATACTAATGCTGCAGAAGAGGGCAAGTCGACTACACTCTACTGTCAGAGGCTGACTATCGCGAGCAGATCATGCTCTATGGACACCCTGTGGAAATGCTCTGCACGTACCAGTACTCGCTTGTCTCTCTCATGCCTGGTGAGCTGAATTCATACCGTCAGCTCTCGATCTCACTCGTGTTAGGGCTGCTCATGAATTTGCGGGATTGTGGTTCGGCCGAGCTCGATGCAAAGACCACCCGAACTAGGCCAAACTCTCTGCGGACGAGCGATCGAGCCAGCGTGCTCCGCTTCATGGGCTTGCGTGAGTTGCTGCCCTTTTGACGCAGTCTGAATGTATCCAGCGCTGCACTTATTCGGCAATGGGTGCTTCTTCCAGCCGTATCTCCCGCTTCAGCAGATGGATGACCTAGCTGCTGATTCCTGGCTGATCGGAACGACGAATCAGATCGTCACGCAGTCCAGAGAGAATCGCTATGATTTGCTTGTCAATGTCAGCTTCGGATATACTGTGATTGGGAATTAAGCTGACACAACTGCAGATCGAGAATATGTCCTTTGAGTTCTCCGACCCAAAGATGGAGCGTATAGTCAACTTGACCCCGGCTGACCGGAAGTGGATGGACGACGTAGTCAAAGCTGTGGAAGAGACATGGGACCTGCCGGAAGGCGAACGAGCGTCGTAAGTGTGCAACCGCGACCGGTTCTGATTTTCTCAGATTCCGAGGCAGTGACGACGATCTGAGATCAAGGTTTGAAGAATACATCAGCGGTGCCTTGTCATCCTTGAAATTTGCCGAATTCAAATTGAAAGGCAAGGCACAGGATCTTTCGATCGTCGGTGTAGGTGCGTACGGGGACGTGGCAGATGGCCTTTTGACTTTGGCTGATCCCACCCTCAGCTGGCGAGGAAAATCCCCTTCAACCATTCTCAGAGTTGTGGCTCGAAGCATTCCGTCAAACTCAGGCCTATGAAGTATGGAGTGGATGCACAGATCCGGTCCTCTTTGATATCTGCGAGCCTAGGTGGGTTTGCCAACAAAAACAGGGAGCTTTGATTGACCATGTGTGTGTGATCAGGCACCCATGCGACGGCAGAGCGACGCTCATCTCCGACTTTAGTCTCCGTCTAACGGAAGGAATCCACGATCTCAAATTGGATCAGCAGCTTGGGCCTACACGCGAAGTCTTGTCGTCAGCTTTCTCAGCAGGTTCGACCGCGCTGGCAGCCGGTTCATCCACCTTTTGGAAGACTTTTGACGGTGTCAAGGCCGATATCAGCTCGAGAATCGAAGCGGAAAAGCAGCGACGTGCGACGACCACGGCAGCAGCAGCGCAAGATGGTCAAGGTGGACCTCTTTCGTCTGGTCCTTCAACCCCCGTCACGGGTATCCGGGACTCGGCACAATCCACCCCGAATGCTCCCATCAACGATATCAAAGCTACGTTAGGCGGTATCGGATCTAGTGTCGGATCATTCTTTGGTAATCGAGTAGCGTCCTTTCGGAGTAGTGCGGCAAAGGACGATGAGGATCGGAGGAAAGGGTTGCGTCCAATGAGTCTCAGTCCATCGGCCAGTGCGGATGCTAAGCGCAGGAGTGGATAGACAGGGTTGTTCGTGCATCTAGAGTATAAATGTAGCGCAGTGTCTCGTCGTCAGGGCTGAGGGTAGGGTGGTAACATGCTACTTCGACCGCAGCGCGCATTGCCGGTATCTTTGGTTAACCATACATTCATTTGCATTGACTATATGTACATTGCTATTTCAATCACCTCCGTACGAAGCCCTAAGGCTCAGCACAATGAACCATCCTTAGTTGGTGGTGGGCTTGTTCTCGTTCATGCCGAGGGCGTCCTTGGCCTTGTCGAGGAGGGAGCCAGAGTTCTCGTTCTGGTTTCCAGAGATGGCGTCACCGGCCTGAGGGGTGAGGTGTGAGCGGGTGTGCATCTCTGTTGTTAAAATCATCTTACCTGTTGAGTCCAGGACTTCTGGGATTCGGGTTGGGCAGAGGAGGCGGCAGACTACGGGTGGCGTCAGCGCGTCTTGATGGAATGCCTAATCAGCGTTTACTCACGTCGGCCTTTCCGGCAATGGTGTCCTTGGCCTGCTCGAGGTAGCTGAAGAATTCCAATCAGTACGGGCTTGAAAACGTTCATCTGGTGAAAGGGATGTTACCTCTTCTGGGAGTCGGGCTTGAGGGCGGCCTCAGCCTCTGAAAAGGGCATAAAGGTCAGTGGATTGACCTTTCTCAAAGGAGGGATGAACCTAGTACTCACTGTCACCGAAGGATTGTCTTCCCATGTCGGACATTGTGAAAGGTTAGTTGTGTGTTGGGTGTTTGGGGTAAAAAGGTAAGTGTTATAGTTGAATGGAATGTAGTGTGAGGTAGAAGAAGAAGATGAACGAGGATGGAAGACCTTGTTATATATACCTCGACTTGTGCTGCCCTGGCCACCCGCCCGGCTATCAGGCTCAAGTTCCGACGTGTTCAGTGATGTCACCGGCTACGTCGTGCGTACACCTTTTTTCCTTGGAATTGATCGGCAAATTGTGACATAAAATTTACCTGAAAAGGCAAATTGTCTGATGGCAGAGGGACTTTGCCACAATCGTCATCGTCAGTTCTTGTACCATGATTTTATTACCTCTTTCATGCTAAAAATCGTGTAAACCCGTAACCGCCCCCCGGTCGTGTGTCATTGTTCATTACAACGAAATCATTTTGGTTCATCATTGAGCACGAGCACATTCTAGAGTTTCAACCTTTTTCACTTGGCACTCTATCGTATTTTCATATCCACGCTCCCCTGCACTCCCATACCATCCCAACCACCTCTGCATATTCATCATGGCTGACAACAACACTGGAGCTATCGACCCCAAGACTGGCACTTCTGGTGAGCAGAGGCAACGTCTTTTGAGAAGTAAATGGTGGTGGAGCTGATCATGGATTGCTACCCCTGCTTTATTCTTTGGATCCCAATCCACCTGGATGCAATGCACCTTTGCTACCACTACCTGGATCTCGTGTCGATGATCCGATCATTGCATTCCTACGTCACTCGTCTTGAATAACGCTTTGACGCTCTCGCACCTATAATTCTTCACCTTACAACAACGCTGTTGCCGCTCTTTACTTGATCACCTTTCTCGCTCCCCTGATGATACTTCAATCTCGATCTTGCCCCACTCACTTCACTCACTCGCTGCTCTTCGTTCATTCGATCATGTCCCCTCCCCTCAGGCCACGCTCAAACCGGAGAACGATTCGAAGTCGCCCCGGAGAACGCTCACCTCCGTCTCGACAAGAAGGATGAACGATCCCACGCCAACGCTTTGGCCGACGCTGAGAAAGTAGCTGCTGTCGAACGAGCTGTCGAGGAAAAGAAGAAGGAACTTCAGGAACACCCAACGGCCATTGCTGAATCTCATGGCAACAAACCGTCTCGAGGTGCCGTCATTGATGAGCAGCTCATCCAGGAGGAGAAGGAAGAGTTGGCGAAGAAGGAAGAGGCAAAGAAGCAGAGTGAGGAAGCGCACAAGCACTAGGTCGTTTGAGCAGGACCGACGAGACATAAACAGATGACACGAAGAGAGAAAAAATGCATAGTCAACCTCATCATAATCATCATCATCATCACAGGCTGAAGTTTTCAGTCTCTCATTCACTTGTACACCGTGGGAATCTAACCCGCAGCCGCCCTTTTCTTTTGAATTTTGAAACCCGCGTCAAGAGACGTTTCAGGTGGCGCGTCTGTCTGCACGTGCCTTGGGGAAGGAGGCTATGCATGGTACAGAAGCCAAAACACTGCATCAAGGTTTATCATAGAGGAGGGCTTTGATATAGCAAGCCCAATTACTTGAGCGCAGGGAGCCCAACATCAGCCAACAGCGTCGAGTTGTATGGTCCGCTGCAGTCTTGGATCTCACAAAGTATTCGACACAGCCCCCCCTCTTGATTTTCTATTTTTCTTCAACCAAAACATACATAGCGTGGAAGGGAAAAAAAAGAGGGAGAAAGGGAAGTTGACACGATCGCGGGATACAACTGCTTTTTTCTATCTAGACCATACGACAACACAGCTCCGGGATTGACCTGCAATCCAGCTGTTCCTCGACGCGGGGCTTTTGACGATCGAACCAGTACAACGCAGGACAGTATACTCTTGCTCGACTCATAACCAGTAAACGTCCTAGCCGACCCCCTGTGTTTGGACCTGAGCGGCGTTGGCAGATACAGTCCGTAGTCCGTTCTTTCCTTTGATCATTTCAGGTGCACGAACCGGGCACGACACGCAACAAGGCGTAGGTTGAGAGATCCTGGGGTTTTCGGAATCCAGCTCTGGTCCTCACACAGCACAGTCTCATCCAGAGCTCTAGCTCGGACACACTATACATCTCATCCTCGTCAGCACCACCATCATCATCATCATGGCGACCCCGGCGCAATCTCGATCTCAAAGTGGATCCGCTCAAGCCTCAGGATCTGCCGCAGCTTCTGGCTCAGGCTCGGCCAGATCAAATAGCACGACAGCCACCACATCTATCTCTATACCGGCCACTGCGGCTGCTGGAGGAGTGACAGTCACTCAACCACCATCGACAGGTGAAGCATCTTATTACAAGATTGCTTCGGGGGAGTATATAACGTTTGGATGGAACTTTACGAGTCTATAGTGAGTGAGCGAGCGCAAAGCGAGCTGTTTTGGATTACACGTGCGGCGCTGATCAACTTGGACTTCGTTCGATCTATCCCCCATCCGTCTCTTTCCCATCCACTCTCATCTCGTCCATGCTCATCTTACCCCTCACCTGACACCCTGCCCACCCCCCGCCCCCCTTATAACCCCTGTGCCACGCATTGTCACCACAGTGTCCAGCCCGAACACCTCACGATCATCGCTTCATGCTCTGCCAATGGTAACACCTATCCTGTTGGACCTACCGCCTCACCGTCCAATACGCTAGCAGCAAACGCTACCAACGTCGTGTGGTCACCTTGGGAATGGGAGCAAATTCAAGGCCAAGTCCCATTCGCAGAAGCGACCTATGTGCTCAAAATGTGGGATCAAAGAGGTCCAGATGTCGGTATAAAAGGAGGCTATTTGAGTCCTTATGCGGGTACAGAGTTTGCTCTGTATAGGCCAGGACCGTATGTAAGCATTGCAGGTGAGTCCCTTTCGAGCAGGTACGATGTCGGCGGCGGCTGGCGTATAGTAACCATCGCATTACCCTGCTGAATCCTGCATTTCCCCCCACCCCACCTTCTTTCAGACGGATGGACATGTTCGACTTGCAATGCTGGTTTCGAACGGCTCTCCGATCCGCTTGGTTTAGCGGCCATGTTGACATTCGCCTCTGTCATTTTTTCCGTCTGGAATGTATGGAGAAGATGATGAGGTGGTAGAGTAACAGTAGAAGAGGTACGAGAGAACGGCCTGGACACGACTTTTGATTTGCAGATGGACATTTGCTTCATGACATTCATGCACGATTATAATCTCATCCTTGAAATTCCATTTACCAGTGCATGAAATGCGTTGGACATTCGTAACCCCATGGGTTCTTGTCCACTGCATAAAAGGGGGGGGGGGGGGGGGGGGGAGGGTCGAGGATCAGCCACTTTGCACGTACGATACTCGACTCGTTCAAACACTCACGATACTGCTGATGGTAGTCTTCCGCAGAATAGAATTTCTTGAGCTGAGTGATCTCGGTGACGATTGTCTTGCCTTTAAAACTGGGTCTCAGTGTCAGCATTACATGGCCCAGACGGAAGCGGATCGCTCGAGGGACACCTTGACTCACTACTTCTCCTGGACTTCTTTCGTCACTTGCTTGGCGATTTCTTCCTGTTCTTTCGAGTTGAAAAAGATACCGCTCCTGTAATCTGGGAGTTGGCGTCAGGATTGTTGTTGATAATGATGCTTGACTTGCAAAACTCACGATCTCCGCGATCAGGACCTTGACCTCCAGCTTGAGTCGGGTCATGTGTCCTGTAGAAGAACTCTACGAGTTCACCGTACCCTACAGCTCCCTTTTGATAAGTCACTTGGACACCTTCTGCGTGACCCGTTCCGCCCATACAGACTTGTCGATAAGCTAGAACAAGACGAGAACGGGGAAAAGCGAGTCAGCGTAGCTCGTTTGGGTCCAAGAAGACGACTCACATGGATTCGGGACGTCTCCTCCGGCATACCCGCTGACTATCTTGTATCCTGGTAAAGTGGAGTAATATTGGTTGAACAGGTGTTCTGTGCCCCACTAAACGTGATGGAAGTCAATAAGATGGCCATTCGTAGGAAGTCTCCTCAAGAAAAGAAGAGTAAGACTTACAAAGCATCCGGCGGTGAAGACTGCCGATTCGACTGGGAAACAGGGATAATATATCAGTACGGTACGATGGAGTAAGGGTTTTCCGGAGGAGCGGCTCTCTCGCTTCGGGTCGCCGCTCGAACTCACGACCTTCTCCTGGTCCAGCCTTTTCAGCCTCTTCCCTTGCCTTTATAGCCGTTGGAACTGTCGGCGGAGGAGGTGTCTTAGTCTTTACCATCTTTCCAGTTGGTTGAGCGAGTTTACCAAACAGAGATCGGATCGATGAAGCCATAAACTTGTCGTCCTTGGAGAAGATCAGGAAGGTTATGAATGCGATAGAAAGTGAGAGGACAGTAAGAGGGCGTATGATGGGACGACGACTTTATTGCTCTTTCCCTTTCAAGAGTCTCAGTAGCAAGCCTCGAAGTGTAGTCGGGACCTGTGTCGATATATCGAGTTGATGGAGTAAGCAGACCGATGATCAATACACAGTCATTTAAAAGGCCGATCCGATTCTTTCTTTTCCTGGGATTTTCAATTCATTCGCCGACCGATGATGATGACAAGATGAGCCCGAACTTTCACCAACATGCACACAACTCTCTCCCAATGATCGCACGTATTGAGCGAGATCACCGGGCGGTAGTGCACGCTGCTTGACATGCAGTGCTACTGATTCATGGCTTCATAAAGGGAGAAGATGCCCCCGACTCCCCTCTCTTATTAGCTACAAGACTGATCTTCAGGCCAAGGATAGCCTCGGCAGCTTCATAATGCCCTTTTGTGCCGTCAGTGCGCCCGCCGCCGCCCCCGCCCTCGCTTCAGCCGCTTGAGCCCGCTTCGATCTCTCACTCTGTGCCTTTTCACCGGGAACAATATCAAAGTCCCAAGGTCTAGCGACGAGCGCAGCTGGGATGAACCTGTGGATTCACGTCAACCAGGGAGACTTGCAAAATTGTTGTTTTTCGGTGGACAGGGACGAGAACTCACCAAGTCGCTCCGCAGACTACACCTCGACCTTGATCCTGGATCGTCAATATTCTCCACCTGAAAGGAATGGAAGTTGTGAGATCAGTCATTTGATTGGTTTTCCACTCGGTCTCCCCAAGTTGAGCTGAACTCACTCCGTCTCGATGAACCTGCTCAAGACACCTACGAAGGGTGCTAATTCTCTCGTTCCACCCGGAACGGCGTACACTATGACGCCTAGGAGGTTGAGGAGCGACGTGGAGATTTGCTTGCATTGGGAGAGATACTCGAGAGTCGGTGGCGGCTGAGGTCATAAGAGTCAGGTCAGGTTCACTCATCGTGACAGATATGCTCCACAGAACTCACCAGAGCGAGCTCGAAACCCCACCAATCTGATGAGGAAGCTTGGTCAGTCTGCACGTCCTGATGTTTGGTATGGCGAGCTCTCGCGTGCTCACTCGGCCGCTCACTCGCACTCACAAGTATATATACTCATCCTATCTAAAGGCGGATGAATCCCAACATGACTAGGCCCCTGGTACAGGTATATCTTGCTCTCTGCATTGAGGAGCGCGTCGAATCCTATTCGAAGGGTCTCCGGCGTGGGGAGCGCACCTGCTAGTGGTCTCGAGAGGGACATGGCGGAAGCAGGCATCAAGAGACCAAAGGGGAGTTTGGCGGAGTCGCCGAGAGTTGCTGGGCTGTTGGTGGTATGTGATTGGGTGAGGGCAGTTGGAGCACGGTGATGATGCGTTTTCTCATTCAGGTCTCGAGGGGTCTCCAGCTCCGTTGAAGATTCGATGATCAGATCGCCTGCAAGATGCGTTTGTACCTCGAGCGTTCCCGTCCCACCTCTAGACTCCACTGAGATTGCCTCATCCTTTACAACTCCCAAGAGCGACAACAACACTGGCAATTTTGGGATCGGTATCGGAGCAACCTTTACAGTCTTGAACTTTTCTTCATGGCTTGATTTGACCCAATACTCCTTCTTCAACCCTTTTTGGACTTTGGCAGCCTGTCGAATCAAGTCCTCCGCTTTGTCATCTAGACAGTCCAGGCAGACAGCTCGCATGGGCTCTGCACCGGGTGAATCGACCTCGGATGCGGTTTGGCTCAGGGCCTTTGCAGACGCTATGACCATGGATGCTTGGGTCGGGTTTAGGAGCTGAGTACGGAGTCTCTCAATGTCTTTTGCTCGGAGTCGTGGCACCGTGGTCTTGGATCGGGCAATGGTAGACGCGCGGTAAGGAGACCATGTTTTGAACTTATTGGTTCTGGGGTCATGCTTCGACTCGTCCGAGACGAGGGAGGTCGACATCTTGGCTGAGATTGGATCCTCAGGCGGAGACAGAGCAAGTGAAAGAGGATGAGGTGATGTACATGGGGTAGAGGTGACGAGAGACGGATCAAGAATCAAGTCGCGAAGTGCCACGGCCGCCTTATCGGCTCGTCGTTGACGTGCCGATGAGCGTGAAGATGTCCAATTTTCAGGACCAAGTGGAAAGCGTGAGAGGGTGAGTCGGAATGGGAAGGTTTGAGGAAGTGAGAGACGGGATAGGGTGGATGGGGTTGATGAAGTCTGAGTCGAGCCTGATACTTTACGTTTGGTTAGTGGCATGGCGATGGATGCACGAGCGCAGCCGGCAGAGTGGGTGAGTGACTGTATGGAGCAGGCCAAGGTAATGTGACCCAATGACCAATAAGCCAGAACACTGGAATCAGATAGATTTAAGGATATGCTGCTGGCTTCATACATTAGGCCTACACTCGAACATGTCGACTGGGCTCGCATGTCCCGTCGGTCACACGAGGCTGGTTTTTCAGGGTCGGAGCACTCGTCCACCAAGTATGTTTCACTCGCCTTTCCCACGCAGAACTCACGTGAGCGATACTCTGTTCCCCCCCAGCCATCATCTATGCAATGCATGTCGAATGCTCTATGCTACAATAGACTTTGCTCAGACTGTTTATTGTGGTCAATCGACCAAAAGGAAAAACAGTGAAAACTTTTTTAGGTGGACCAATGCTCTCTCTCTCTCTGTTCACCCTCGCGACCATTATACTGCTGACTCGAGGGCATCGACGACCGACATGGAAGCTCTTCTAAAGGCAGGCGTGTTGGAACCTGGTGAATCTCCCGAAATGGTGGCGGCTTGTGAACTCATCCTCAGGATGGATTTACAAGGTAGACTGGGTCCCATGGATCGAGTTCGGATGATTCCAGAAGTGGCATGGGAGTCGGATTTCCAAGCGTCATTGGGGTTGGTCACTTGTCTCCGTTTACACAGTTCGAGAGCGGAAGGGGATCTCGCTGCGGGTGGACAACAATCTGGGGATGTCCCAAGGATCTCATGAGAGGTAGGTGGAGGTGAACGATGTCTTGAACACCTTTCGACACATTTGGACGTGGCTATGGAGATTTTCCTTCCTCTCGTGGGGCTCGTGCGACGACGAGAATCGTCCATCATCCGCTCGACTCCTTCATCCGACGTGGAGGTGGATAGAGGGATAGAGACGGGGGGGAAGCCGGGTGAGAAAGTGTGAGGGGTGTAAGGTCGAGAAGAGATGAAGGAAGATCCAGACGAGGGAGGCATGCCTCTACCGAATGGGCTGGTGAGGTCTTCATCGGAAGTGAAACCACCTTCTTCGTCCTCTTCATATCCATCATCACTATCTCCGTCTTCTTCTTCCTCCTGTTGTTCTTCTTCCTCTTCGTCATCATCATCATCATCCCTTGCGTTGACCTGGCGTGTGCTGAGGTCCAAATCCAACATGACACTGCGTTGTGAGGTGGGTGAAACGAGCGATGTGGCTTGTCGGCTGGGCGGTGAGCGGACCGCAAAGGTCAGACAGGATTGTCGTTTTTCGACGCGACAAGTCGGAACGTGTCCTGTTGAGCTAGTTTCGTCAATGGACAGGCCGAGACCGTTGAAGCCTCCGTGAAGGGACGAATGGAGATTACTCAGAAGGCCTTGAGACTTTGAGTAGCCTGATCCATCATCACTTGTCGTGCAAGTCAAGGACGACGAACACTGCGGTCTTCTGAGGATAGGTCGATTGCATGATGATGGACCCCCGGACGTAGGGTTGACGAGGTGAGGTGTGATAGGCGTCTCGTTGCCACCGTTTGAAGAGGATGATCCGCCAATAGAAGCTTTTCGAGCGAAAATGTACGAAATGAGGGATGGTGAAGGTTGATCATCCGTGACGCCAGGATCCGAATGAACCAATTCAGAATCCGTAGATGTACTTGCTGATGGTGATCTTACCGGAATCTGGAGTTTCGGGAAAGATAGACGACTAGATGTAGGAATGTCGGACACTGAACTTGACATCACGCGAGCGGGGTCGAATGCAGGACCGCAGGCGGCAGCAGCAGCAGCGCGGCGGGATGACGATGATGATGATGAAGACGACGAAGACAAGGTCGTCAGAGTTTCAAATGGATTCGATCGCGTCCATGTAAACTCGTCGATGCCGCGAGGCGAGGTGGTGAACAAAGTCATGGCGTAAGGCGTGCGCGCAGAAGGTCGAGGGAGGGTGTTGAACTAACGGGGGTTGCCTTGAGACGTAATTGAGCGGCCAAGATCCGACACACTGTGATTGAGAAAAAGGTCACGCTCTCAGCGTTCTAGTGGGATATACTGAGCATCATGGGTGGTGGACGACAGCAGAAGTTCCTAAGCTATCGTTGACGGTTGACTGCCGTGAGACGGTTTTGTTGTTGGTGAAGATATGGGGTGCGAGTGAGAGTCAGAGAGGGTCAGATGAACCACACATATACCCAATTTCCCATTCGTCGCTCGCCAATCCCTCCGCGCTGAACCCACTATATCTCCCGGTGGGGCAATTTTAAACCTTAGACACAGAGCTCCCTCTTTTTTCTCTTTTCTTTTCTTTTGGCTCCTCCTTTTTTTTGTTTCTCACGCGGGGTCTCTCTCTCTCTCTCTCTCTGATAATTTGTTTAAATTCGAAAATATACATACACACAAACTCCTCGTTTGAGGCAGTGCCGCTGGCCGCTGGCTGCCTAACGATAAATCAACCAGAGTTCAAGCGATAGCGTGTTGGAGCGGGAATGTAGCATGATGATGGATGCACACAGCGCGGCAATGAGATCAACCCTACATCCATGATGATGATGACACCTGTTGTCGCTCAGAATAAACCCCATCTTTGTCCAATGCTTGATGCCCCATATATAGCCAATACGCAAGCGGCGACTGGGTAGCAAAAGACGCCACAATGAGCGGGTACGAGTATGATTTATTATTGTCACTGCTCACTCATCCCCGGGGGTATCCCTCAAAAAATGGCATCATCCAACCCCGAGGGTAATGGATACATTAGAAAATCGGCCTGGTCGGGGATTATGGCTAATCATGTTCTGACAAACCTCTCATTAGCAAATGGAGGCGGGGTTAAGAAGGGTTATTTTGGAGAAAGGGAAAAGGGGGAAGAACACCCGGCGAGCTGACCGGCGGTGATCACCGACCAAGAAAAAAAGGGGCAAGGCCCCAGGACCAAGGGGAGAGGGGATACAGGAAATCCGACTGTTTCCGACGGCTTAGGCGACATACGGAGCGGAACTGCCATCCATGGTAGCAGCAGCAGCACCGCCGCCGAGGTTCTCGGCACATGCAGTCGTGTGACAAAGGCGATCACATAATGAAGACAAAATGCCTACGGCCCGCATCTCCGAGGGGAATACAATCACTGCTTCTTGAATTCCTCACGACCCTTGGCATCCACCTTTGCCCAGATAGATAAACTCTCAGCGGGACATGAGAAATCGGCCCATCCATCTTTTTTTTGGAAAAAATTTCATGTATCATGTCAGCCAAGCGAGTAGCGCTTCCCACGCCAGATCATTTGACTCACCTTCCCCAATGGTGACTTCGCCCTGGTGCCAGCCGAGCACATCGGTCCATTTCTCACCGGCGTGCTCTTTACCCACTTCACAATGCTTTGTACCTTCATCTGTGCCATTGCAAAGGACAACGACACATCCATCGTGCTCCTCGTCTCCTTTACGGACCCAAGCGAGGCAGTTGGCTGAGGCATGTCAGTTGAGAGAGTACAGAGCGGCTCAATGACTTTGACCTCACCGTGATCCCAGTGGTCGACTAACTCTCCGTATCTGACCAGTCAGGTCAGCTGTTCGTGTACTGCCTACTCACGCAAAGAGCTTTCTGCACCGGACGATATCCTCCAATTGGTTGACCGGCTCCTGTGGGTTCTCTCCTCCACATCCGTACAAGTCACCATAGAAGACGCATCTGAGAGGAATGAGCCTCTGCGCTCACCAAAGGATGAACTCACGGATATCCATCCACTCGGAGCAAGATCAAAGCGTAAGCCAAGGGCTTGAACCAGGATGGTACCCATCGCTGGAGCGACTGGCCGACCTGGGTGTCGTGCTGCCGCCAATCAGTACACTGTATCGTGCATCGCTCACATTGTCGACAAGCGTACTGCGGGTCAGCACACTACCAGCGACCGACACACTCACACAGCGTCAATGGGACGACGTTGCACCAAGGTGTCATCAAAGATCTTTCGCAAATCATAGCTGGCCCTGGCTTCACCAGCTTCTTTGAAATTGGCTGCAAATGGTCAGCAAGCAAGCATGCATGCCAGCCATGTTCGAATTCTGCTCACCCTGGAGAACACAGTCAAAGCAAGAGAATTGAGTCCCCAGTCCATCAAGGTACGCGATGAGGGTATCGGTAGAATCTTTCCAGAATTCTCCGACGCAGAAAGCCTTGGTCCGTCCACTTTCTTGCGATCGAATCTTCTTGACAAAGTCGCCAATGAATTGTTGCGAGATATGCTTGACGGCGTCGAATCGGAAACCATGTGCTCCAGTCTCTTTCAAGATCCAATTTCCCCAGTTGCTGCAGGTCAGTACTAACATGATTGTGCTGTTTCCCTCACAAGTATTCCTGAGCGACGTCGGGATGAGAGTGATCGACTGGACATCGTCAGCGGAATGTCTGTTCCCCGATCCCTCACCATCCGCGAACATGAGATAATCGTAACCACCTATAGGATGGATCAGCTTGGAATTGCCGAGTTGTGTCTCACCATTCTCCTTGTCGACGTCAGAGGCCCAGCTCTTGCCGTCGCCTTGGATCTGGTCAAAGTCAGCCAAAATGGCACGCTCAGCATCTCATCTCGACCCCCACCCTGAAGATCGCCGTCGTCTCCGTCTTGGCATCATAGTCCACGCCGGTAAAATGGTTAAAGTTCTGTCATGTGATCAATTATATTGTCGTTGTTGTTGTTGTCGATTCGTCTACCAAGTTAACTCACCCATTTCATAGGCGAGTGCTTGTCACCTCGACCGGGGAATGTGAATCTAGAATCAAGGTGTGATTAGCCGTCGCACTTTCATATGCATCAGATGACACGTCTCACTTGGTCCATCCCTCAATATTGTGCATCTCTCCAATCTCCTTTTTACGATTGTTTTGATCGACCATAATAGCCAAGAATTCTTCCTTGTCGTCTGCTCCTGCCCTAATGAGTATATCAGCTCATCCTGCAGAGCCCTTTCCAAGCACGCTTGCTCGGACCCACTTGTGGTTCATCACGGCATCAATGTACGTCACAATGCCTTTATCAGCAGCCGTTTTGATCGCCGCCAACAGTTCCTCTTTGGTCCCCCAGTTGGTCCTCTGAGCACCCTTTTGATCAAACTCTCCAAGGTCCCAGATATCATAGCTAAAGCGTAACGTGAGTGAGCAAGCAAGGCTCGAGGGGACAGACGGGCTTGACGTGCCCAAAAGAAAAAGGCTCACATGTCGTAACCTGTTCCGTCGACTGAGGATCCCTTGGTTGGAGGTGGAATCCAACAGGCTGTGATTCCCATCGAGGCAAGACGATCCGTCTCGCTTGCGTACTTCTTCCAGTGGACACCTTTACCTTCAGCGTACCACCTTTTGAGGGTCATAAAGCATCAGCTCGGAAGAATCAATCGGACTTGCTTGCTCCCTGGACATACTCGAAGAATTGCATCATGGTGAAGTTGGCTATATGGTCAGGTCAGTAAACCCCCCGACCTGGCCTGGACTGGCCGCTGGCTACTCACTAGGTCTCCCCCAGTGTTCCTCGTTCGCATGATGAGCCATTTTGAAATGTCTATGGTTTCTATGCTAATCTATAGTCTATACCAGATGGAACAAAAGATCGACAAGATGATAGAAGCCAAAGATAACGATAGCGGGACAAGGTATATGAGAGAAAGAGGACACGATGTCCCCGCTGCCCTATAAAGCTCTCTCAAAAATAACGTGTTTGTCCCGGGAATCCAGATGCATCGATGATGATGCAAACGGCGTCGAGTGAAAAAAAAGAGGCGGAGGGGGGGCTCAGGGGCAGAGAGAGGCTGTTCGGGAAAATCAGGCACGGGTACAAACTAGTAAAGATCTGAACGTGTACAAGAGGTTTTTGCTACATCGTCTCAGCAGCATTGGTTGTTACAACGTTGCTACATTCATGCCATTGCTACACGCTACAGTTTGACTCACTTGAACACCTTGGCACAGGCTGACCAGCCACGCCATCATCTTGGGGTTCGGCCAGAAGTCCAGAGTAACACAATGACGTGTTATCGCCTCGCAGGACCCCCACGCTTCCCCTTGTCCGGAATCACGACCAATTGTCCACCTTGACCCGAATCCTCACCTCCACCCGCGGCTTGAATCTTGAGTCCAGCCTCAAGATTAAACATGAGATCTCTGACGGTCTCTTCCAATGTTTCAACTTGTTCCGCCTTATCCGATCGTTCCTTTTCAGCCTTTTCGACGTCCTGTCGAAGTTTTGCCAATCGAGTCGTCAGACCGTCCGACATGGCTCTCTCGGCAGATAGACTTTGCTGTAACGTCCTGCTGAGTGCCATGGCCTTTTCAGCTCGTTTCTCGGCTTTATCTTTGGCTTGTATCGCATCGTCTTTTGCTTTCTCGGCTGCTAGAGCTCTGGACTCGATCTCCTGCAGGCTGTCCAGCTTGGACGCTTGGTCTCGAGCTACAGATTCGTAATGCTGCCTCATGGCTTCCAATTGGGATGAGAGGAGGTACGAGTACTCGAGCGTGATAGATTCGATAGATGACATTTTCTCCATATCTCCAGATGAGGGACCAGCATCATGGGAAGGTTGTGACGTGTGTCGAGGTGATGTGGGCATGTTGGATGTCACGAGAGACGAGGCCGAGGGAAGTTCGACAAGCTTGCCGTCATTTCGAGATTGGATCAAGCGATGAACATAGCTGTCTTATCAGTTCCCCAGCTCAGGTCGGTAACGACTCACTTGTCTCCTTTATAATCCCACACTCGCTGTGTGTCTAGCTCCATGGCGAGCACATGACCACTCTCCTCCCAATGCCGTCTGGCATGTCCTTTCCCCGGATCATATCGCCCACACCCCACGACGCCACAGACGACGCATATCCAATTGTTCGATGTCGCTCCACACGTCGCACAATTGGTCAATCGAGTGATCTGACTCCTGTCTTGAGCTGGCACTGTCGCCAATAAGAGATGAGATACTCGACAGACCGGACAACGGGAATCTCCCCATTTTCTCAGACAGTCACAGTCGAACGTGTGAGCACAAGGCAATGTCACTAAGCCCGTGATGGTCGAATCAAGTCGCTCGAGGCACACCGGACAGGATGGAAGCTCGTATGCGCCTTCGACACCTGGTAGCAGGCGACTGGACCGAGAAGAGTAAACGGAAGGGGGAAAGGCAGGTACGGGCGTGGTGGAGTCGAAATGATGCAAGAGGAGGTGATGAATGCGAATAGGATGACACGTTTCTCTCGTATCAAGAGTCGAAAAGGGTCGGCCAGTGAAGATGACCATAAAATCCGAAGCCTGGAGTGGGTCACGAAACTTGAGTAAGACGATGGACCGATTGGGGGTCGTAGCTTCCCTTTCAGCAGACAGAGTCAGCACCCATTCACCAAGGACTCCACCGCCTCCACCCACCTGAACATCCTCATACCCTCTAGACAGGTCGCCCAGCCGCCGATGAACTCTAAAAAGTCTGCAGGTCTCATCCAGGCAGGTACAGCGAGAATGGCCACGAGACTTCCATCCTCTCCTTCAGCTCGAACGCCATCCCACTCGCCAGCTGACGACGAGCTTGACGATTCGCCGACAGGATGAGCATCCAAGGAATCGATGAGCGTCTGAGACGGAGCGTGTCGAAACAGATGAACGACACCTCGCCCAATGGCATGTTTACCGGATGCCGTCGAAGTACCCAGTGGATTTGGACCTGGGAAATGAGCTACGAGCGGTTGAAGCGAGAGCGCGTCAGGGTTGGAGGCTGGTCCTGACGTTTGGTTCTTGGAGCCAGACGGCGGTCTCACATTGGATCTAGGTGACGATGCTGAACTGGGGATGATAATATTCCGCTTACGAGCCGGTGTCATTGGTGGCGATACCAAAGATAATGGAGGAGGTTTATCGACGCTCTTCTCGCGAGTAAAGTCGATATAGTCGACTGCGATATCTCCGAATCGCCAATCGGAGAGGGAAGATGAGCTATTCGAGTAGATAGCTATGACCAGGGAGTAGACATTGGAGTGGCTCATGTCAGTGACATGGTATGTTGAGCTCTGACAAAAAGAAAGGGAGGGAGGGACCCGAAGAATTGGGAGATCGTTATTGATGTTACGGCATCGAGACACGGACATGAATAAGGATCTCCGCATGACGCGCATTTCAAGACGAAATGCCCCTTCGGCAGCTCGAAGATGCTCACTGTCAAAAGTCTAGAGAACGACGGAGATGGTGGGACTCGGGATAGGGGCTAGGCTGTCGGCTCTGCGCCATCCAGCTATCTGCTTCAAGACCATTCGACAGCCTTCTCCAAGTTTTGGCCCATGCACCCGACGACAGCTCTCGACCTCTCGATCATTTCAAGAGCGTCTAGGGAAAATCACTCCGAAGCGGATAGCCATACCGTTAGGCAGTAGTCCAGGGATAGTGTCAGACGGCACAGGTCCATCGTTATCGATATGGCGACCTATCATCGTGAGTCACACTCGACGACTTCGTAGCACGGCTGATGCGGCTTTTTGTGCAGTTCTGTCTCGTTTTGGGTGGCGGAGCCTACGCTGGAGCGGCAATATACACCAATGCCGAGACTGATACGTGGGCTAGGAGGCTAGGAGACGGTGCATGGTGGAGACGAGGTACGAGTGGTAGAGCGTCGGATTCAGAAATCTTCCGAGCGAAAAGGCTAGACCAGGCAAAGGTGGGTGGTGGGTGGGCGGGGGGCCAAGGGATTCAGCGCAAGATTGGCACAACTTTGCTGATGATGAATGGGGATTCATAGGAAGCTCAACAGACCATCAACACCATTACTAGCAATATCACTTTCTTACCCAAATTTCTCCAAACGATCATCCTCCGCACTAGTGTCATGATTCTCGAAGGAGAGCTAAATACCCCGCCAGCGACTCTGGTCCCACTTGAAATTATCGGTACTATGGCGTTCATCACGCTCGCTTGGAGAGGTCGTCGGACAGAAGGGTTCATGCGCCGTTGGTTCCTTCATCGACCCGTGGTTTTTTCCACCAGTGCCAAGAAGAAATGGCAAGAAAGTATCACGTTATTTACGAGCATAGTCAGTGTCCCGACGTGGTTCACTGCCAATTAAACACCCCGTTGACGTGCCGTGCCATTTTCCAGCTGTCTCATCAAACACTCCCTCACCTCGCTTTCAATTGCCTCGCACTGTATTCCTTTGGGGGTGCAGCGTACTCTTTCCTCTCGGCTCCTCCACCAGGCACCACGCCACTCCTCTCATCGACCTACACACCTCATTTCCTAGCTTTCCTCCTCGCTGCTGGTCTCACTTCCTCGCTCGCCTCACATCTATGGACCAACCTCTTCCGACTTCCAAGACTTCTTCGTGCCCTCGCTAACCCCGCTCGTATATCTTCGCCTCAGGCTCTAGCAGCACACGAAGCTATTCTTCCATCCCTCGGAGCCAGTGGTGCCATCTACGCCGCAGTGACATTGACAGCTTGCGCGTATCCTAACTCAGGAGTATCTCTCATCTTCTTCCCCTTCTTCGCGATTCCCATTGGGATGGGTGTCGGGGGAATGGTCATGCTGGATGTCATTGGTCTCATCAGGGGATGGAAGTGAGTCGTTCAATGATCTCGGCAACTGTTCACTGATATCATAGGATGTTTGACCATGTCGCCCATCTGGGAGGGGCGCTATTTGGCGTGATATACTACAGTTACGGTAGACAGGCGTGGGTCTGGGTCAGGCGGACATTGGGTGGGGAGCGAAAGCCTGTGACCGCATAGCGGACGAGGTCTTCATGCACATTTCTCTTGAGCAAGACTTTGTTTGACCTCGAGGTCGCTAGTGGCGACCACTGACGTGGCCTTGTGGCAGCGGGCTCTCAATTGGATGCATCGACTGGCCAAACACAACGTTTTATGATTCCTTCGACACCGACTACGATAGAAATCTGGCTGAACAAAGCCCATGGTCACATGGAATACCTTGCGATGAGATCAGCACTCGTACTGCGCTAAGGAATAGCCAGCATTTGGTGGACTCACCGGAAGAACGGATTATCCACATCCGTAACGTCTTGAGCGCCCAACTCTTGACCCCTTCTCTCCGCTTCTTCAGGCGTCAATCCCATGGCAGCGACGATTTCTGCCTTTTTCTTGTTCTGTCTGACGAGATACAATCTCCAAAGGGTAATGACGAGGCAGCTGACGCCCATTGTTGTGCTCATCGTGATGACTCCGGGGACATAGTGTGGGGCATCTTTAGCTGTTGTGGCGGCGGAGATCAGCTCAAACTCATTGAAACAAATCAAAATACCCTCACGCTTCATGACTTGACTTCCGGCTAACCGTCACTCGTCAGCGACTGGAACTCCTCAGGCAACTTTCACACGCACCAATGTTGCCCGTACAGTACGCGATGAAGACCATGGCGCTGAGAACGGAGATCTTGGTCCGGCCAGCAGTGTTGGATGATATGAGCGCCCTGAGGGAGATTCAGCGGCGGCTCGTCCTCGGAACACTAGCTTGAAGTCAGACTCTCACCAGGCCGAGAAGGAGGGAATGACTTGGCTTGGAAAACGGGATCAGCCTCTTCTCCTGTACATCATGTTGAGCTTACAAATTGGTCAACCAGTAACAGCCAAGTTTCGGCCATCGATACTGATCTTCAATCGGGAGCAAAGCGATCACGAGCATTGCAATAAAGACCACTGCGGTTGATACGATCATCCAGTACATTCTGATACCGAGGTACCTGGTCGACGAGATGCCAATGATGAGGAACCAAATGGTTGAGATGGTGTTTCGGACGTTATCATAGAGAACCACCTGGTAAGGGGAGAAGCCGAATGACGTCTGGATCTGTGTCCCGAAAGTTGTCAAGGCGCCATTGACCTTTTGGGGGGGGGGGGGGGGCGTCAGGACCAAAGTGGACGACTGATACGTCATGTTTTCACTTCACTTACGATGCAGGCCAGAAAGGTGATACAGAACTGAAAATACAGTACGGGATCGGCAAACGTGCTCCAAGCTTGATCCCAATTCCAACCTTTGGTCCCTGTCTTATCTGTCCCCGCGTGATTCCGCAAGACTCTAGCCTGAGCGACGACCTTTTCCCTCTTGGTCAACCATCTGACATCGTTCGGTGTACCGAGGAAGAACCACGCCAGGACAGAGGCGATCAGCGTCTGGGTACCGAGGAACAAGGACATGGATCGCCAAGCTCTAAAACTTCCCGGGTGATGTTCTTCGTACTTTGCGACTCCGTAAAATGTCAAGTTGACAGGAATCCCCCACAGGGCATTTGCAGATTGGAAGCAGAGGGCACGAGAGGAATGTTCTCGGCTAGTATACCATTTCGCGATGAGGATGTTGAAACCTGGTGAGATGGTGCCTTAGGGGAGAGCGCAAGGGTCAGCAAGGAGTATGAAATACCCTGCCATGCTCTCCGACTTACATTCCAGCATACCCTGGAGCGTACGCTAGAGATATGGAATCTGTCAGGCCCGAAAGCAAATTCAAACGATTGATTCACTCACAAAGACCATGAACTCTGCCCACGTCTTGAAGAAGGCTTGAACGAATACCACGATCCCCCAGAGAAACATGAACACTGCGAGCGTCTTGCCAATGTTCAGCCTCTGCATGAGATAGTTGAATGGGAATTCAAAGATGGCATATGCGACGTAAAACATGACGGTGAGTAGACTGTATTCCCTTCCGTGCATGTGTGTATCCGTTTGAAGTCCGAAAATGTTCATCGTCGCTAGACCAGTCTTGTCGGATTGTTGGATACCTATGTATAGGCCCCCGAATGTGGTCAGTCAGTAAGGGTTTCTTTTTTGAATTTCCTTTGAGTCGACTGATGACTAGGCGATGAGAACTCACCGTACATCCAGAACATGAGTGGAATCAAGATCAGATCCGTCTTCCTCTTGACACGCTTGTATTCTTCATCGGAGATATCATCCTCCGCGAACATGCTACCCATCCATTTGAGCTATGGCCTATGACTGAACCTTTCACCCCGCCCCCTCCGGTGACTCACGCTTCGACAGCCACTACATCTTCAGTCACGCCGCCAGATGAGTCTTTCTTCCCTGCACTGTACGTCGAATCTCGTCTGGAGCCAATGATCTCGCTCGCATGCTTCTCCTCCATTGGACTCGCGACATGCTCATCAGACGACATTGTGCTTGAGTCTATCAGGTGTCAGATTGAAACAGGACAGTAGTATCGAGTGAGATACAGGTCCATTCCAATCATCTCCCCCTTTTATCGCTGACGTCCTCTGCTAACCTCCCCACCAGCCCAGCTTCATTCTCATCCGCCATTCAACACATCGGAGTCATAATTGGAGCTATACATAGAAGTCGGGTGAGTATTGATTGTGCTTACTCTGCTCTCACGCCTCGCCCGACGAACGATAAGAAACTTTCATTATCTCGCGGCGTCGACCGTTCAACTTTCGCGCTAGTCCATCATTGTCGGCCCCCGCTTTCTCCGCCCGGGCTTCAGAAACGCAACAGACAGGTCACCATCCTTATCACGAGTGGAAGCTGTTATCATTCACCATCGTGGCGAGATTTTACTTGACCTCGCTCGCAGATAAAAACAGCAAAATCTACGCGCCGCTAATGAATCGCGGACCTTCGGCCCGCAGATTCGGCTTGGCCCGATAAGGTTATTATGCGCTCGTACAAGGTCTATAAAGATACAACAATCGTCGTTTGCCCCAAGAGCCCACCTACCTCACAGATAACGGTGCTCTACTAGATGAAGATGCCTGCGCCCCTTTCCGACCTTTTCCAGCAGCTGATGGTCCATTATTCTCCTTGTTGCCGTCAGGAGCAAAATGCGACCGTCTCTCAGTTCGCTGTAAGTCGGGTCAGCAAGGAGTTTCCACCCTTCCCGCTGTGCTCTCACCTGCACGATACTTGTTCCATCACGAAACATGGCTTTGAACAGCACGTTCGCATTGCTGAAGAGACCTTCTTTAAGGGAAACCACACAACTGCGAGGCGTCAAATGGATCACGATCAAGGTACTCACAATTGAGATCCCTTGAACCGGTTCTTAAACAGTTGACCAATGTGCTGAGTATGTGAGAGATCTAAAGCAGCGTCGATCCTGCAAAGTGTCAGTGATCAATTCTATGTGAACCACTCACTCATCGAGAATATACAAAGGCGCAGGGTTGAGCTTGAGGAAGGACATGATGAGAGATAATGCAATCAGAGATCTCCAAGTCAGTACATCCGATGGTGACCTGCAACCCACCTTTGTCCTCCAGATAGCTCTGTCAGACTGGCCTTCCAGATCTGTCCCAATCTGACCTTGACCTCTAGACCCTGAGTTACGTCCTGGCCTTCTGGCGGCTGCAACATGGCAAAATTGCCGGGTAAGAGCTCCATAAAAATCTGCCCGAATTCCCTGCGAACGTCAGCCGGGACCACTATACACAACTCACTCATTGACCAGCTCCCAAGTCTTCTTCAGGGCGTCCCGCTTGTACCTGTCCAGCTCCACAATGGTCGCTTCGATCTTTGCCTTGTCTTTCAAGACCGTCGACATCATCTTTCTCAAGGCCTGCTCTTTCTTCTCCACACTACACTGTCAGCACCGTTCAAACCCTCTTGTCTCACCCCTCTATCATATTCATGACCTTTGTATTGACCTTTCGTCCCATGCCCTTCTGCTGACTCTCTAGCTCTCTGCATTGTTCACGAGCCTGGTTCAAATTGACACCGTCAAAGTCGTACGGTGACCCGCGCTTGCCAAAGAACCTGCAGAATGAGCGTGGGCACGTTGATCGACACTCACTGGTGCTCGTCCAGGATCCAGGTGAATTGCTTCTCCAACGCATCCTTGATATTTTCCGAGTTGGTCTTCTCCTTCGCGGCAAGTCCAAGGTCGTGCTCAAGCTTCTTCAGATTCAATTCTGAATCGACAACCTCCTGCTTCTTCTTTTTCAAATCCTTTTCAAGATCCTTGAGCTCGTTGTCCGTCGCAATCAATCCAGCTCGTTCCTCTTTGAGCTTGTTCTCAGCAGTTTTGTAGTCATTCTGTGGTCAGCCAGTGCACAATGGTCAACGCGCCCACCTGCTGCGCTTTGAGTGCTCCTTGCAAAGCTTGATGTTCGGACTTGGTCTTTTCATGCGCGGCCTCCGCTTCCGTGATCTCATTCTTGGCGGATTCCAAGTCGCTCTCCAGTTGTTCTGCTCCTCAGCACAAGCTCACTTGACTGGACTTACGTAGCTCGAGTTCAGCGGTCTGGACCTCCTTCTGCCTAGTCTTGATCTGGGCCGTCTTCGTACCTAGGTCCTTCTTCTTCTTCGCGATCTCCGCCTACCCGGTCAGCGTTGGATGCCGTCTCGTTCCCACCTTCATTTCATTGAGCTTTGAGTCCTTGTTGTTCTTGAAGTCCTCCATCTCCTTCTCCAACCGCTTGACATCGGCAGTAGCGACCTTTTGTTTCTCCTTGGCTTGGTTGATCACTTCCTTCAGTTCTGCAAGCCTAGCCTTGGCTGCCTCGACTTCGGTGATGATCTGAAGTGTCAATGTCGTCTTCGGCTTGGCTCACCTTTGTGGCATTACTTCCGCTGACTTGCTCTTCCAATAGCCTGACCTCATGCGACCGCAGATCCAGGTCCTTCTTGTCCTTGCGCCATTGGTCAATGATCTTCTTCGCGCCGGCCAATTCGGCCTTTATCTGGTCGACCGAGAGTTTTCGTTCTGCTATCTCCTTTTCAACAGCCCGAAGTTCTTGTACTTTGACCAAAAGTCCACTACTGCTTGGCGCGGACCCTCCGGACAGTGTCCCAGATGGGTCGTAGACATCACCTTCCAGCGTGACTGATTTGACGCCAATCGCCTTATTGAATGTCACAGCTTGTGCTGCCTGCTTATCGGCGCAGATGAAAGTATCGCCAAACACGTACGCCATGGCAGCAGACACTTCGTCATCGTAACCGACTAGATCCAGGGCAACCTTGGCTTTGCCCTGAGCCACTTGATTTGCAGCGGCAATTTTCTACCATCAGCAACGTCGGCAAACTCCCACGCACCTCTGCCGACATGCGGAACGCATTGATCTTGTTAAGAGGGATCAAGGTGACTCGTCGACGCAGTTTTCCCCTCTCCAGCAGCTTGGAACCGACGCGCTCGTCTTGCACCACCACATTATATAGCTTCCCACCGGCACAGATCTCCAGCGCCGTTGAACTCTTGAAGTTGGCCTCGTCTAATTCCACGAGCGTAGCTACCAAGCCTTTGACTTGGGACCGGTCAAAATTGGGCTCGGGATCGGAATACGAAAAGTCGATAGCTGCGAGTCGAGACTTGAGAACATCACGTCGCTTGACAGATTAGCGTAGCCTTTGCCTCTGACTCACCTCCATGAGCTCTGCCAATTTGCTACTCTGATCCGCCTGTCGCTCGAGCAGATCCTTCTCTCTCCCTTCGTCCCAGCTGCCGCCTGCCAGTTTTTTGTGCAGCGCCTCCACAGCCGCCTTCTTATCACGCAGCTCTTTCAACACACTTTCTCCTTCCTTCTCCGCCTTTTTTGCCTTAGGCTCCTTCTCCTTGACCTCCTTCTCAGAGGCAGTGATCTTGACCTTGGCTTGCTCCATCTCGGTACCGGCTGCAGACAATCGGGCTTTCGCTTCGGCGAGCTGTCCCATGTAGCCTCCGGCGTTGTCATCGTTGCCGTCGTTAGTCGAGAGACCAGTGATGAGGGATTGTAATAGTTCCTCTGCTTTTGCCAGCTCCGAAACACCTGCATCATAAGCTGCCTTGACATCCGCGAATGCAGCAGTCTCCTTCTCCGTCGATACACGGTTCTGGTCGATGGATTTGGCGAGCTGAATGTCAGTCAAGCTCAAACGCGCGTCTCACATCCTTGACGGCCTTTTTCGCCGTGTCGACCCGCTTCGAATCATCCTTCATGGTGCTCTCGATGATCTCCAACTGAGTCTTTGTCTTGACCAGTTCGCGATCCAGAGCGTTGACGGCCTCGGTGAGAGTCTGAATCTTGCCTCCTTTGGCTTCCTGAAACAGGTCAGACGTCATAAACGTCCCCGGGACCTACCTGATCCCGTCTCTTCTGCAATTCGGCCACCTCCTGCTCCATGCCTTCGCATTCCCGACCTCCACGTGCAACGTCCTCTTTCACACTTTCTATATCGCGTTTCTTCTGTTTCAACGCCGCTTCTGCTTTTTCCGTCTTCTCCACCATGACCACCCATTCGTAAGCTTTGACCAGTCTCGTCAGACGTTCCAGTTCGGAGGTGGCCTTTTGGTATTCAAGGTAAGACCGCTTTTCCGCTCTGAGCTTTTCAAGCTTTGGGTCGATCTCTTCTCGCAAGAGCTGCAAGATCAGCACTCGTTATGACTTTCAAACCCACAGCTTCGATCTCCTCCACCTTTTTATCCTTCTTCGCCATCGTCTTGACCGCCTTATCTTTTCGTTCCTCAAACATTCTTGTTCCAGCTGCCTCCTCCACCATACCGAGAATCTCCGCCGGCTTCATGTTGAGCACCTTGGTGATTTTTCCCTGCATGATCAAAAAGTTTGGGTTGTTGATGTTTAGCTGGACGGATTGGAAGAGGTTCTGAAGAGACTGCAGGGTGGATTTGTGTCCGTTAAGCAGGTATTTGGAAACGTTCCCGACGGCAATCTCGCGATCCTCAGCTGCTTTCCCACTGACGGACTCACTTGTCGTGTCACAGTGATCTGAGGTGTGTTCTCGAAACCAACAGGGGATTTTGAGCGGTCCTCATTGTTGAACACAATGGTTACCGAGGCCTTGGTCACCCCAGCTTGCCCACTAGGAATATCAGTACAGCTCATATGCCTGAACTCACCGTTTATAGATCAGATCCATCTGGTTGTTGGCTCGGACCTGGAAGTCAGTTGTTATTTGAGCCCGCTCGCTTACCGATTGCATGTTGGTGATACCGAGGACGAAACATATTGCATCGAGAATGTTGGACTTTCCGGATCCATTTAGACCTGTGATAGCATTGAAAGACTCGTCGAAGCCTTGAGAGACGATCAGCATAGCTCTCAAAGGTTGAACATTGCGTACCTGTGATAGTCGTTCGAACAGGGTAAGACTTGAAGCCTGGCAGCGGTCAGCACCTCAGACGGCCACGCCAGCTCACCATCCAGAATCAGCTCCTCGATACGCATTTTGCTCTCGAGCTCCCGGCTTTGGAGGCTTCTCCAGATAATCCTTCTTCGCCTGAACTTTCTGTAGTGTTGTAGTGTCTTCGGTGGACGTGAAAGGTCACTGTTGACAAGAAATCAAGTCGCGTGTTATGATAATACACGTGTCGCATCCAATGACCTCCCACGTCATGATCTGGTCGAACCTGACCTGTGCTCCTCTACAGGTTGATCTGCGCCGGAGAAGACACGCAACATGCGACCTGTACAAGGGAGTGTTTGAGAAAATGAGCTTGCAGACGTCTATGGCTGTGAACTCTTGACGCATATTTTATCAGACACCTCAGACAGTACAGTCACTGCGGTGCCAGACCTTTACAGAAAACTCGAATCATCAATCCCTTTCATTGTTGATCCTTTCAATTCACTGACTGGCGACTTGTCAAGATTGGTGAGCAAGAACTCAAGGTGTTGAATGGCCTCTCATCATCACCTCTGAAATCTTCTCTATCACCAAATCTCATTCACCATTCTCATCAAGATTATCAGGGTCTGACCAAGCAGACATGCCACGCCGATATCTTCTGCCCACAGAGGATCCACCCAAGCTGTATCTGAGCCTAGTGTCAGATCAAGACAGAGGCCGAATCGGAATCAGACCCCGCATCGATGAGGCATCCCTCGATATGTGGGATCCGAAGCTGCAAGAGAAGATTTTCGGCGCCAGGTTCGATGTTGAGCTTGAGCTTGATTTGGGAGGCGCAAACGAGACTGCAGCTGACTCGGACACGTTGCTCCCGACTCCGGGCGTATGGGACGAAGTCTCTCAAGTTATTGAACGAGCGATGGCCACAGCCCGCGAAGTCAAAACAGCGGGCGACGTCTCAATCGCAGCTGGCAAAGGGGGAAAAGCAACTCCAACCGAGCTCCTCACCGCGAGGAGACAGGCCCTTCAGATGTGTTCCATCTTGGAGCAACTCGATGTGCTGACGATGAAGATTCAGGATCACGCGGAAGGGGGATATGAAGGCCTACACAATCAGTCCTCCAACCAGGAGGACTTGGCAAGTTCGCAGGACCTCATGCCCGATATCAATCGAGAAGCTGCCATTGTCGAGTCGAGATTGCGATACGTTTTATGTAGAGGCAGCATCAAAATGGCGCAAGGTAAAGATCCTGATTCTGTGATAAGTGAGGCGTGGTCGGATGCGTGGAAATTTGTGGGACACAAAATGGCAGTTGATCGATGTTCGGCGTACTACACCCGCCGAGCTGCAGGAGAGACCTTCTCGGAAGAGAAGGATCCTGGAGATCCTGAGGCAGAGTGGGTAATCTCTATCGAGACTGGTAAGGATGGAAGACAAAGACCAGTGGCAGACCTTGTTTATCCATCCGAATCCCTTTCTGAGCCTTACACCATGCGAGTGGGAGCATCGAATGTTCGGCGAGGGTCTAGCTCAGAGACCCCTGCGGAATGGGCTGGAAAGCACTCTCACGACTTTTCGTCGATCGGGGACACAGCTCGAAAATTGAACGAGTTTCAAGGCCTTCTTAACGGTGCTGTTGATGGTCGGGCCAGGCTTTCTCGTGAAGACGGGAGAGAAATAGTGAAGCGAATCATCGATACGCCTACGGAAGCCACTGCCCTCACGATCAGGCTCGCAAACAGTCATCGAAATGCCGATGATCTTTGTAGCTTTCCCCAGTATGGCTCAAAGGCATTCGCTGAAGCTGATCAGAGACTCCAAAGCGACTACACGGATACGCTCGCTCAACTTGAGGATCAGGTCAAAACGATACAAAGTGACCAGGGAGATGCCGGTGACGTTCTCAACGATCTCATCAAACAGTGCGTCACCACTTGGACGTTGATCAACGATCCCAGTCACGCCAATTCTTGTATGACGGCTCGAGCTCGACTGCTCGAGCTGAAGATGATGAAACGAGAGCTGGCTGAGGAGGAAGAGAGTGACGACGAGGATTCATTGGCTCGAAAACAAGAGGCAATTGATGGACAACGGAGTCAGCACATGAAAGAGCTCGAGGAAGCGTTAGACACTTCTAAGAAGTCATGGAAAGCTTATACAGGCCAGAGCGCTCGCTCACGCGCTGCGCTGCGCAAGAACCTCTTGTCCCAAGGCTTTACCGACGATGACTTTGAACTCTCTCCTTCAGAGCTGATCTCGCGTATCGCAGCTGACCGACTGTCTCGAAAGCAAAAGGCGCTCATGCGACCCGTTGACGATATCCCATCTGGTTTGGGCCTGATCGGCTGTGATCTGACTCAGGAGGAGAAAGAGTGCCTCGCTGCCGAGGTGGCATCAATCCTGCAACCCAACGCGAAGACCAACACTTGGAATTCGTTGAGCAGCCGAGCTCGAGGTGTCGCAACCTCTTACCTGAGGTCTTTGGATGATCGCTCGGCCGTGGATATCAACAGCAGGGGCCATGAAGATCTGCAGTCGGACATCGTCAGAGCCTTGAGCAACTACACGCCTGAGCAGCAACAAACAGCCTTACAGCTGATTCACAGTAAAACGTACGACTCAGAGGAGAATGAGAGTGCAGATTATTCCTAGCCTGGCCACTTATTTAGACTGACAAGAATGCACAAGTAAACCTGTTCTAACCCGCCCTCTTTGAGCCAAAGCCCGAGCACGAACCCAGGGAGTAATCCTCAAGTCTGCGTCACATCACACACACGACCAGATACAGTGCTGCATGTGCACACAATGACAATATCAAATGAGAAGCCTTTCAATCATACCTTCTCCCCTTGTACCCGCCCTGGGGTGAGCCCCAACCTGTATCATCATCCGCTAGAGGCCCTAAAGGTCCATAGCGATCAGGACCCGCACCTCCACTCCTCTTCTTGGCGTGTCCTGAAGCTCCTGACCGACTATCGACAGAAGACGAAATGCTAGAGGCGGAATGAGGAACGCGAGGGAGAGAAGGAGGATCGAATGAACTGTATTGGCCCTTTTCATAGTGCTGTCCGAAAGGGCTGCCACGCGAGTGAGGGGAGAATCTCGAATTGTACCCTTGTGCGGGGTTTAGAGCTGGAGCGTAGCCATTCCGGAGTGGCATCTGCGGCGGAACGTCGTCGAAACCTGAATCGAGGATTGCAGCCATCTCATCTTGGCCAAGGGTCGCTGAGCTGTCCTGAAAGCTCACAGGCGGAAGCGCGATAGGAGGAGGCGGGAAGGCAGGGTTGTTTTCGTTGTACTGCAATGTCAGCGAATAGCTCGGTGACGGTTCACTCACCCCTCCGATCTCTGACCCCCACACATCCTCCTCTGAGCTAAAGACACTGTTCGCGTCACTCTCATACTCGCTTCGAGCCCATGGGCTGGGAGCAGGAGCCAGTTCGTCTCCGTGAAATCCACTGCCATACTGCCGCTCTAGATCTCGCCGCCTCTTCTCCTCCCGTCGTAGCTTTCGTAACCGAGATCTCTCCCAATCTTCCCATCGCCTCAACGGGATAGTGGTACCATCAAACACGGCAGTCTTATCGTCGTGCGCCTTGGACCGGATCTCTCCCTCGACACGTCTTGTCTCTCCCCATGAAAAGTCATCAAAATGCCAAAAGGCGTACACCGGGAGGACGAAATTCCATACCGGAAGAGCCACGAGGTAGACTGCCATCCAGGCAATGTAGACGACTTTCCGGGTCGTGATCAAGATCAGAATGGCCGGAAGCCCGATGACAGCCCCGAGAAGCATCAAGGGAATAGCCTCTTGGAAGTTTTGAGGTGGACTGAGGGCCGATCGAATGATGAGGGCGAATGTTAAGCAAATGGCGACCGGCAAGACGACGGTGCCAATCAGGTCCATGAAGACCACAAACTGCATTGAGAAGCAAAAAGTGCCACAGAGATCACGGACTCGGACCAGTTCCATGAGATTGTGAATGGTCGAGTTGATCCAACGACGGCGTTGTGATAACAGCACAGAAAAGGTATCTGGTGCGATCGTCCTGCATCGAGCTTGAGGCAAAAAGATATTCTTGCGTCGTGGAAAGGTGCGAAGAAGGATGGTCGTGAGGAAACGATCCTCTCCAAGCAGCAACAGATTCTTCTGGTGCAAAGTCGAGACCACGTTTTGGGAGTACTCGCGGACGATCTCTGGCTTGACGAGAATGGGAACCCAGTCATTGTCGGCATCCTTTCGAGCTTTAATCCGGTACATGGAGAAACATCCAGGCAAACAAGTGACACCGCCAAACACGGACTCGAACGCCTTGACCAGATGATGAGAGATAAAATATTCGTACACTTGGATCGCCGTGACCCAGGATTGTCTCTTGTTGGCTATCCGCGTCTCCCCACATACACCCATGATCATATTGTCCGTATGGAGGCAATTGACGAAAGCCTTGAGGGAGTCGGGATAGATTTTAGTATCGGCATCGACCTGAAAGTTCAGTGTACCGCACTTGGCTCGCACTCACCATCAGAATCGTTTCAAAGTAGTCCGGGGTCACACCGGTCAAAGTCTGAATCTTTCTGAACAGGTCGAAATCCAAGGGCGACATCCGGTCGTTGTACGTTACTCGGGACAAAAAATTCATCACAATCAATTGTGAATCTCGCTTGCCTCTGTTTCCAGGCTTGTCTTTCGCCTCGCCAGGCATTCCGCATTTGACGACAACGATGGTGGGTGTTCGATGTCCATTCTTGGAATTGTAATGCCCCGCGTAGACCATGGCTCGGTTCTCTCGCTTGGCTCCACTGCCAACAGCAATGTATCCCATCGGCATGGGATTTCCAAACCGCGGATCAGCGTCAAGCATGCTGACACAAATATCGGGCGTGCTCATCTTCTCCCCAGCTCCTGTGATCATGCCATCACACACGATCCAGATGAGCTTTCGAGAATCCGAGTAGTTTGTCGAAGCGATCGATTCGACAGTCCCTCGGACTGATGCTTCGCCCTCCGAGTAACACGTCACCATGCAAATGGTGAACAGCTCCGCACCAATCCTCGCCAAATTCATCATCGGTTCACGCTTGACATCGGCACGAGTTTTTGGCTCGGAAGCCCACGGCGCAGTTCCGGTCTTGTTGTGAACCGACATGTTGGCTCCCTCCGGCATCACGGCGGGCGATATGCCTGCACGGGAGAGGTGCTCGGGTGCCTTGACGAGGCGAGCCGAGAGGAACCAGTTGAAGATGCAGGCCATGATGAATCGGACAACGACGACACCGAGAATGACGATCAAGGAGGTATACAGAAAGAGATCGGCGACAAAGCAGCCTGGCGTAATCTTGTCAATGTAGCCTGCCAAGTATCGTGATTGTAAGCACTGGACTGCATCTTGTGTTGCCTTGGTGTTGTAAAGCAGGCGAGTGATATCCTTGCCCGAAGTCGATTGGTTGTAGATCACTTGCCGGATAGCAAAGTCCACGTCGTCGCCGGCGATTGGGGCCGGATTTGCGGAGAGGTATGGCTGCATATTGAGGACCAGTCCATCGACGACAAGATACGTCTCAAGGGCCGCGACTTGATCCCATGAATAACCCTCTTGTAGACTGGTGTTTTGGATCTTGAGCGAGTTGAATGTGGCGTCAGAAAGGACGGGCAAGGGACATGGCTCCAGGGTACCAGTCTCCTTGACTTTGGGATCGGCCGATGAGGCGCACAGCGGGGTCGTGGCGAATCGGTGATCCGAATTGCACGCTGGGTAGCTGGACATGTTGCGAATGAACAAGTTGGTGACGTCTTGCCCAGGTAAAGCTTTGGAGATCTTGTAGAAATCAACGTCGGGTGTGGTCAAAGAGCTGGAAATGTTGAATACCCAGCCTTCAATACTAACGGTCACTAATGAGGTGAGCGATAGACCAAAGTGTCCCACGTACTGTCGTCACGGCCTAGCCGTTGGTATATAGTATTCGTCCTATCACCTCCAGGACATAATGCTCTTTGCAGCCCCATCGTCGCGAACCCGACAACCGCACCCAATAATAGAGCGATCCAACAGAGTGTGATCTTCTCCCTCCACGCTTGTCTGCTCTGCTTCTCCTTGATGCCAAACAATTTGAGAACGGCAGGAGGAGCCCACCAAGTGGTCGCATAGGACCAGATGACCCACCAATCCCATGCTTTCCTTCCTGTGACTGGCTCACTTGAAGTACCTCCGGCACCTATGATAGGAGGCGCGATCAATGGAGCAGGGACTACATGTCGTTCGGGTCTCGTCAAGGTCTTGCCTCGTTTCAAAGATCCCTGAGCACGGGTTGGTTGTCGGGTGGGGAGAGCTCTGGAGGATGTGAAGGGGAGTGGGACGTCTTCACCTCGTGGTCCGCCCATGATGCGTGAATCGAGTCGATAGATCTAGTTGGGACGAAGATTCGAGGTGACCAGACGTGCCATCAGAGCTGCGTGAAGGGTCAAAAATTCCAAGCTAGTCAGTGAGCACGGATCCAGGGGATGATGAAGTTGGTGAACAAAGAGAATGCGGTCGGATGCAGATGGCTTTCGATAGACGGGTCCAGGCGCTGAATACAATGGATATGATAAGGAGGATGCTGAGCCTGATAGCTTGCAAGGGTAGTTTGCCAGTAGAGTATAGTCAAGGAATGTCGACGATAGGGAGGGCTGTCAAAGGGGAATAAGACGGTTCTGGTGACCGTGACCACGCTCCTTTGAATCGCGCGCGATGAGAGTGAACTGCCAGATTACTCTACGCCGGTCAGCTTGCAGCCTTGACTTCCCAGTCCCAAGCTCTTCTCTTTACACGCTGTTGGACCGTTGGATGGGTCGTGATAGGGGATCCAGAGCTATCGATAGGGATCGAGATCAAACACCAGCCAAACTAAAAGAGCCAAATGGAAAAATAAAAATGCTGAAACGCGTCCAATCAATAAGGGTGAAAATAACACTAAAAAAAAGAGGCGAAAACATGGTCGACGACTGAATTCAGTGGCATGGCGCATGTTCACCATCGGCCATCTTCTGTTGCTGTTGCTGCTGCTGCTGCTGCTGGGCCATCGGACAGCTCAGCAGCCTACACTGGAGGCAGAGATTTGACATGAACACGGTGCATCTTTTATTATCTGTACACATGAAGAACAGAACATCTTTTTTTGGTTTACAACTCGATCCCGACCAAGACCCAGCGATTGGAATCCCAATCCCAGCCTCCTTCCAGTAAACCAGGTCTGACAACTTGACCTCCGACAAACATGAGCGAATGGAGCAGTTCATCTAGACCTCCCAGATCTCGGTCGCTCTTGTCAAGGACAAGGATCAAATTCTTCGCGTCTAGAGAGTCTGAGGCCAGATCCAGTAATGCCGTGAGGGATTCTCTGATATCCAATGCCTGACTTTCGGCCAAATCATCGTCCGGACTCGTCCCTCGCATACGGGATGGATCGTGAGGTCTAAGAACTTCTGAAAAATTTGCAGAGAGATCTTCAGGTCGATCCGAAGCGGAATGAGGTGGACGAAGGTGGATATACACGGATCGACCATAGAGTTGGTGGTCGAGAATGAATCCCTGGGTGATATGATCAGGCGGAGTGACAATTTCCAGCGCATGGGTACAAGTATCAAATTGACTGGCTTGTCGAGGAAAAAGGTCATTGACCAATTGGATGGACACATGCGTCGTCATTCTAGGAGGCGGAGAGGGGCAAGTTTGAGGGCTGGGAAGAGACTGAATCATTGGCTCGTCGGTCGGGATGGAGTCTGGCGTGAGAGGGAGGGATTGTCTTCGATCAAGATGATTTACAACGGCGGAAGCTTGAGGAATGTTCACATTGGGGGTATAAGATGACGGAGGCGTCAAAGGAAGGGTATGATGATCTTGTGGTACAGGTTGATGGATCCGAGAGTCCTGCTTGACAGTCGCAGGATGAGAGCACGATAACAGGTAGGACATCAAGGAGTCTCTCACGCCCCTTGGCGGCCCACTGACAGAGTCCTGAGAAATCGAGCGTCAGCGAGGATGTCTCAATGGTGACCAAAAAAGAAAGACCCAGAGGGGATCCGCTGGCTTTCGCTCTAGGTTGGGTTCAGGTGCTCGTGTGCACTCACAATGGGCGATCTCCTCCTGCCCTCCTCAAAACCACTGCTTGCCCCCGCCGGCAAAAGTAGTGAATCCATTCGAGGAACCCCTCACGACGGGCTCATCCGAATAAACGTAGATTTGTCCTCCAGTACCGCCAACTCTTGCAACGGCAAGAGCGGGACAAGTCGGATTATCGATATCGTGATGAATAGTCGTAGAGAAGAGGGATGGGAGAATGTCAGGTGCCCCTTTGCTAGCGCTGCCCAAGGCGCCACTGAAGTATAAATCAGCGTCGATACTAACGTATTGAGGGACGAGAAGCTCACGCGGGGCCGAGATTCCTATTGGAACTTGTCATTTGTCTGATATTGCGGGACATGGTGGAGACGTCGTCGGAGATTTAATGCCCGAGGCTTCAACGAGCTGACAGAACGAATGAGCGTGAAGTCGCAGTGCTTCCACGATTCCTACTCACATTGGTCTGTTGCTTCTGATACGGATGTCAGCTGCTGACTGATGCAGCACCTGCTTGCGATGAACTTGATCTGGACAACTTCGAGAGAGATAAGGTGATACCTCCATCACTCCAGCCCTCTAGATCCTTCCGTACCGAAGGTGTCCTCGCCACTCAAATTTGATTCCGCTTTTCCTTTTGATAATTGCCCCGTTGGCCACTTTGTACACCGCGTATTCGGTGATCGTCCCGTACTTGAATCTCTCTCTCTCTCTCTCTCTCTCTCGTCCATCCTCTACTCACATTCATACTCGATCTACGGCTGGGGTTTCATCATGGCACTCCCTCCTAAGTATACCGATGACCCGGCGCCAGAGGCACCAACGATCAAGACGTATGGCGCGACGCCCAATACGTCTCAGGCGAATGAGCCTCTACTCGCACAGTCAGCGTCTGCTCCTCGAGCTGGTGGTATGCCGGGATCATCAACAGGAAACACATGGATGGACCAGCCCTCCGAGGATGATATCCCTGACGACTTTAAAGTCGGGGTTGCAGTCATCGATTGTGATGCCGCCATCAGACTCGCGTTCATTCGGAAAGTCTATTCTATCCTGTTCATCCAGCTCTTGGCGACGGCAGGTGTATCGGTCGTCCTGAGTCTACCTCAGGCGACATCATTCATGCAACAACACGGATGGATCATTTGGATCCCAGTCCTAGGAAGTTTCGCAAGTCTCATGGGTGTTTACTGGAAACGACACCAGCACCCGGCAAACTTGATCCTTTTGGGATTATTCACCATGTTCGAGGCCATGATGGTGGGAACGGTCGTCAGCTACTATGAGAGCAGAATCGTGAATCACAACCGGCTGTGGAGTGAAGCGCCAGAAGGCTGACATACTCGCTCAGGTTCTCCAAGCGTTGTTCATCACCATGGGAATATTCATCGGGCTCACCCTCTTCACTTTCCAGACCAAGGTGAGTGACACACAGATAATATAGCATCTCGATACTGACCTTTGGCTTTCCCCAGTGGGACTTCTCATCCCTTGGCCCATTCCTCTTTGCTGGAATCATGGGCCTCCTCACCATGTCTCTGGTGCAAATATTCCTACCTTTCAACGCCAATGTCGATCTCGCCATTGCGGGATTCTCAGTCATGCTGTTCTCTGGCTTTGTCCTATACGACACACAGATGATCATGAAGAGACTCAGTCCTGATGAGCACATCGTCGGTGAGTCAGTAATTCAGTGATACTTTGCCCAAAAACTCCATCTTGCCCTGGCTTCTTTCCCAATTTTATATTCATTTCTCCATTTATCCTTGTCGTACTTGATGTTTAACGCTGAACTGGGGTACCATAGGCGCGCTTCAATTATACCTGGACTTCATCAACCTCTTCCTTGCTGTTCTGCGTGTCGTGAGTGCTTTAGAACGCTTCCGGAGACGTCCGGAAACGTTGCATCCGATTCGAGCCCCTTTTGACAAATTTGCGTCAGCTCAACAACCAAAACAACCGATAAAAGTGCTTTTGATCGACCCATGGTTGCACAGTTGCAGTCATATGGTGGGTTAGACGGGTGTGTTTGCTCGACACGTGCATATGGCTGACTTTGATCAGTGCAAATCTCCACTTTCCCCCCATGTTACACTTGCCACAACCGTTTCCCTTGCGCTTCTTGTCCGGCCTCGATGACTTTTTTTGTACAGGCATGTATCTGATTTGCACTGATCATGTCACACTACGCCTGTGGATCCAACGCATACGGTCGCGCATGTCGATTCCAATCATAAAGCACTTCGATTCACATGTCTCAGGACCGAACGCGAATGTCTCGGATGGAATCGATGTGTCTCACTGAACCGGACGCATCGTCTTTGAGGAGCCGGTGTCGGCGATAGTGACTGATAGTGAGCATCATGCGACGGAGTTGGATGCTGATGGAAAAGAACTTGCTGGATGCGATATTCCTCTGAGACGGAGTGACATGAGCTGCGTTATTGATCAAGACATATAAGAGCAATTGCCTTTACTGACATTGACAAAGAGCTGACCGACCTGCAAACTTCAAATCTTGACGAGACCGCCGTACGTTGATAATCACACAAATCACGATAGGGTTGCTCTAGTCCTTAGAAACAGACACAGTGTCAACCTCTATAATCCCCGCTGATACTCAAATCCTTGCGCATCGACACCATCAGACCACAATCTTTTCCCCCTCTTACCCGCTATGCACATCCAACAGACTCTCGCCCTCTGTCAAGTTATCACTCTCTTAGCCACCGCCACACCCTTACCTAACGACAAGCCAATATACACCAACTACCCCGTCGCATCACCTACGACTCCTCCGACGGAGGGAGGTCAGATCCCCAATACTCCATCTCCTTCGCCTGCACCTCCCGTAGAAGGAGTCAATGGCGTAGCATCGTCATCTCCAGCTGCTGTACCAGACGACAATGAGACATTGACACCGTCAAGCGGGACGACAAATACCTTGACGCCATCGAGTCCGACGTCCACGGGCGACGCTTCGGTCCCGTATCCCTCTGGACAATCTGTCCCTGCGCGTGTGAAACGATTCTTTGCCCGGGATGATCCCGACGACGTCTTTGGGGGACCCGAACTCGCAGTGGTCTTGAACGAGCAGCGATCCGTAGCGAAGAAATACGCCAATGCCGTCAAGTATCTCCAAGGGGTTTCACCCGGTCAAGTGGATCTAGGCTTTGAGCCAAATGTCAAGCTACAGAGTGCATCGTCGAACGCGACAAGCTCAATGACTGCGTCATCCAATCCGCCCTTCACGAGTACGGTGGTGGCGGCTGATACGATTGCTAGTCAGACGACGACGACCACAATGACGACGACGACGACGACAACGACAACGACGAACAACGCTGAGCCTGATCCTTCTGGCCTTGTGGCGGATGCTTTAATTGGACTCACTGGTCGTCGACTCCCCGCTCGATCGACATCCACGCGGATTGGTCTTACGGATTGGATATCTGGCGGAATGGACGTGCTGTATTATGGAGGGCTCAATATCGGCACGCCGGCTCAACAGCTCACTGTGGATTTCGATACGGGGTCCGCGGACCTTTGGGTGAGTCAATGAAAGCATTGATCAACTTCTAACCGATCTCCAGCTGCCCGTAGACTGTGACGAATGTACGTCCGAACAGTTCGACGCGGATAACAGTCAGTCGTACTCCAATACCGGCGAAGACTTTTCGATCCAATACGTGAGTTTGGGAATAACCCTGGTCAAAGCTGAAAGTGTACAGGGGACTGGATCAGTTTCTGGAACTCTGGCTCAAGATTCCGTCTCGATCGGGGGATCTTCCGTTCGAGGCCAGTATTTCGGAGCGGTAGATCAAGAGTCTGATGATTTCGATGGAAACCCCAATTCAGGCGTCATGGGGATGGCCTTTTCAAGTATCTCTTCATCGGGCGAACAAACTTTCTTTGAGAACCTCATATCCAACAATGCGGTCTCCTCGCCCATGTTTGGATTTCACTTGACTCGGAAACAAGCTTCAGGCTCAACCTTATGTCTCGGTTGCGTCGATACGTCAAAATACAACGGCGCGATCTCTTGGGTCCCAGTGATCAGCAAGACATATTGGAGTGTAGGTCTCAGTGGCATGTCAGCATTGGGAGAGGGAAATGCGCTGAGCAAGGCGCTCGTGGCGGTGAGTCGAAGATAATAAAAAACAGTAACTCCTAGGCTTAAAAGAGGTCCACTCAGGCGATCGACACGGGTACGACCCTGGTCTATGTTCCTGATAGCGTCGCATCAGATTTCTATGCCCAAATCCCAGGATCATCCAGCGCTTCTCAATTCGGACCTGGTTTCTACCAATTCCCATGTACTTCACCACTCCAAGTGACGCTGAATTTCGCATCTAAGCGGTTTCCCATGAACACTGTGGATTTCAACCTCGGTAGGACAGCCAGTGGATCATCGTAAGTGGATCAATAGAGGGCAGCTGCTGACGGCCAATTCAGACTTTGTGTCGGTGGAATTCTCGGAATGAGCGATGACTTCCCGGACAACCTCGCCATTGTCGGTGACGAATTTTTAAAGTCCTGTGAGTCTTCAACCCGTAGCTTGCGCTCATACTGCCAGGGTACTCTGTATACGACTACTCGAATGGCGCACGTGTAGGCTTTGCCTCGAGCATAAACAACAACTAGGAGAGAACGATAGCTGGGTGGAAGTATAGAAATATAGACAGATCTCGCAAGTGATGCAAACGTTCCGACACTCAAGTTGCGTGAGGCTCGAATCATACTCGTGAACATTTGCATGACAGTGAGGTCGTGGTGTAAGGGTGTACAAATGAAGATTTAACAGGCTAAGCTCGCCATGACAATGATCGAGACAAGAAAGACAACAAGACAAGCGTGACAAAGGGACAAAGAAACACAACAGAATTAAGAAACAAGTATACAAACACATCACACCATATCACGCAGTCTCCCTTACATTCCATCCGCCTCTCGCCTCTCCGTACTCATTGACGAGGCATCTACCGAACACTGCAGTGTGCGCCACGGGGGCGTGCATGCCCAGTTCGATTGGCCAGGCAAACACGTCTGGGTTATCAATATCGAGTCGTTTGGCGGACCCGAGCGTGTCGCCTGGAGCGGGGAGCGCCTGATCGGCCAGTTCGGAATGAGTGGCCAACTCAAACGATTGGGGGAATCGGGTCCGGAGAAGACCGAGGGAGAGATGATGCCGGGAGTTGAGAAGGTGATGTTGAGCAGACGAAGAAGAGGACGTACTGCTCGCGATGAGAGGCAGGAGATCGTTCAAAGGATTGCTGGAAGTGTGAGATGCTTGAGATTCAGCAGAATGACCTGAGAGAGCTGGAGAGGCTGCAATGGCGGGTGGAGATGGATCGGTCGGTTTGGAGTCTGCAGCGCCACTCGAGCTCGTACTATTCCCACTGTGGGACTGAGTTGGGGTCGGCGGAGCCACAGCGGCGGGATCGAGTTGTCGACCTTTGCGAGAAAGTTGAGAGAGATGATCAGACGAGGTATGGTAGGAGATGACAGCCTCGATAAGGTACCTGCGTGCCATCAGCGGGGAGGACAGCGGGGAGTGTCTCGACTCACATCAACCCGACCATGCCTTTCGCAGCTTCCTTCTCCACCTCTGTCTCGCTTCGCCTCATTCTTCCCTCCCACGCTGCTCTGACATGATCACGCAACGGTTTGGACTCCTGGTACTCGAGCGGTCGTGTTCTGCCAAAAATTTGCTCCTCGCACCAATAGGCGAATAGCCACATGAGGATAGAGTCGGTGAGGCACAACAGACCTCGAAGAGGGTCTTGTTCACGCGCTCGCGCAAGATATTCGGGTTTGGCGCCTGCGTACCGGAGATATGCGTCTCCAAGTCGTTTGAGTGAGATCGCTCGGTCACGATATCTGGCCGTCAGCTGGCGTGAGCGCTTGATTTGACCCACCTTTTCCCCATCTCGGTCCATTTCTCCTTGGTCCAGGTGGCCATACTATTCTCTTCTGACCATTCGGATTTACGAGTCGTTTTAGCGGTCGCCGAGCTCTGAGACGACAGCCGACGCTTCTTGCTGGACGCTGACCCGTCCTCGGACACCAAGGACAAGCCCAAGCCTAGTCCGACACCCGTTCGGGATGTAGACCCGCTCGACCCGGCAGATCTCGACGAGACTGCAGAGCTAGCCAGACTGTCATCGGAGAGCGATCGTCTTCGTTTGCTGGACTTTGCCCAATCGGAGAAAGACTGAGTTGGACTCGGGGTTGTCCTTGGGGTCGGCAAGAATGTTGAAGGCAGTGTTTCGGGAAGTGGCGCAGGGAGACTGGACAAGATCTGGAAATAAGCCTGTCAGCGAATGTGATGTGAGAGATAGTGACGGATCCTACCTTGAGAATGGCATGCGAATCATCGGCCTCCTTGTCCTCGGTCGGTCGCACAGGCTTCTTCTTCTCCGACCGCTGTCCATCCCGGAGCTCGTGCTTTAAACCACTGCCTCTCCTCTCTGACCGATCATTGAGTCGAGGCGTCATGGCGGGTGAGTTTGGTTTCATAGGTAGCGGATGAACAATCGGAGACGATCTCGCGGTTTGAGCGGTCGTGGTGACGAGAGGTGAGGATTTTGAAGCTTGATGGGCGTGTAAGATTGGGCTGGCAGGTGTAGATTTTGGTCGAGTCGAAGATGAAGATGAAGATGACTGACCAGCGACTGCTTGGCGAGTCGTCTCCGATGATGATGTAGATGCACGGGGATGGGTACTGGTCATTGATGGTAATGCGGGAGAGGCGGGTCGTGATCTAGGGACATAGGAAGATGAAAAGGTATGCGGGGGCCTGCTAGCTGTGGCCATGGTGAGGATGAGTATAAGATGTCCGACAAAGACAAGAGAGAGACGTATGGAGGGTCGGTGGGGTTCGGAGGAGGAGGAGGAGGAGGAGGAGGAGGAGGAGGGGAGATTTTGGAGAGAAAGGTAAAGGGACCAAAGCGCCTTCGGAGGCTTCGGCGATGGAACCGCCTCAAGTGACACCAGATGGAGGGAGTCGTGGGAGAGAGCTTCGTGAGATGGTCTGGTCGGAGAAGGTGTGTGTCTACTATCGGACCAAATAGTTGAAGAATGCTTTTGAGGTATGTAGCTATTGGAGGAGGAGGCGAAGATGGGTCGATCCCTGTAATCGGAGCAGTCCCGAAAAGAAGCAGCAACAAGCGAGCGGAGGTTGAGATCCAGCAGCAGCGAGCAGCAACAGCGAGTAGCAGCAGCAGAGTCACTCACTCACCAGGCGGCGGAGCGGCGGAGGCGAGTAATCGGGTTATTTTGGAGAAAAAAAGGAAATAAGAGAGAGGGAAAGGGAAAGAGAGAGAGACAGGGGGAGGAAAGGGGGCCAGTTGTATCACCCACACAATTATTAGGGTTTATTATTATTCCAGAGATGCTGCTGAATGGGAAGGGGGGAGTGGGGGGGGGGGCGACGAGCAGAGAAGAGACTCGGGACGGCAGATGCGGAGGTGGATGGCCCAGTTCCACTGAGGAAGAGCTGCTGACTACGGGCTTTTCTCACTTGGAAACCCAACGCCGCCGCTGCTGCTGCCGCCTTCGCAGGATTTTTTGGAAACTTGATGAGATCAGCTCAGGTCCAGGAATACTACTACTACTACTACTACTTCACTCACGGATGGGCTGACACGCACGCCACTCGCTGGAAAAAACTGGGCAGGTAGGGCGAGACAGCAGCTGTTCTGCTTTTTGCTACAAAAAAGATTGGGAAGAGGGTTCAGGGGGAGGGAAGGAAAGTGTGAGCGTCGTGGGCCCTTCTTCTTCTTCTTCTTCTTCCTGCTGCTGCTGCTGCTTGAAGCTCCTCTGACGTTGCCCCTGCCGATTCTTTCACCCTCTCACTCGCCTGGTATAATGATCAGTACCTTTTTTTGCTTCCCCTGGGTTACCCCTCTCCATATCTCATCGGCTATGGCGAACGTATACAATCAGGTATGATGATCGATCAACCACCATGTTCTGCTGCCTGTAATCACACAGTCCGAAACCAAAAGGCGATATAAAGGAGGCGATTGACTCCTCCCAGAGCTCATCTCCTTTCATGATACTTCCCTACACTGAGTGGCTTTTGGGTGATCGACTGACAGGACTGCCTCTTGCCGGCTGGGCTACCTTGTGGCGTTATCACTGAAAAAACGAGAATGGCCCGACCCGGGAAGACGGACCAATCCCGACGTTTATTTTTTTTTGGGTTGATGCCAAACCGCGGGTGACATTTCCAGGAAGTGGCTTAATAAGGCTGTGGGCACTGAGGATCGGAGAGGTCCAAGGGATCCAAACAATGTGGCATGATGTATGACGCGAGGATCCCGCTTGAACATGTCGTGTGAGGACTGGGCATGGGGGTGTGGAGACTAGACCGTGAGACAGAAAGTGATACGTGGCGGAGGGCCATATTACCTCACTCGTATGTCCTTCCGGGCGTTTCACATCTTGGACTGTGTGCGACTGAGGGCGATCACAGGGGCAGTCATGTTCTTTTGAAGGGAGACCACGAACATCTGCCTCCCAGCCCTGGAGATGCCTTGTCTGGCCACAGCGGCTTGTGCATGTTCGGATCGAAGACCCAGTTTGGATAACAAGGTCGGTGTCTGTCCCAGAAACGCGGAACGAGTGTCCAGTGAGATAGCTCGACTGACCTCCCATTCCTCGAGCCATACATTCCCCATGTATCGTGCCACCATCGCAAGACTCCCCAGAGCATCTCTTGCAAGACAGATCCCATATCAGTATACATGAATCCAGCCCAACATCCCTCTTCGGACGAGACCGTGGTGCCACGAAGCTGAAGTGGGTACGTAATTCAATCTTGTGATGCCTCTGACGTGGTAATACTTATTATTATTATACAGGAATTTTACCTTTTTTTAGCCGGTCACAAGTCCGGCGGGAGAAAGCAGCGACTGCTGAAGAGGGGTGGGGGGGGGGGGGGACAACAGGCCTACCTTGGCTGGGAGGATCTACACTCTTTCATCTCATCATTCCAACAGTCCAGGACAATAGCGAGTGAGAGGAGAGTCGGGAGAGACTGTCAGACCCATTCTGCCATACTTGTTTTGAGCTGTAACCAGTGGCTCATCTTGTACAACCCCCAGTAAGATTGGTCCACCTCGACTCATCCTCTATTGTCATCTCCGGACGAATACGAGTACCCCTTCTTGTGATATCAGCGCAATCACCTTTCAACTAATCAGCCTAAGCTCGCCAGTTGGCCCTCTCACCAGTTCTATCCCCAGCTCTACTCCCCTCTTGTCCACATCCACCATGCCGCCTATTCCCGTCACCATTCATTCCCGCCCCAGCGCGTCTAAAAGCGTCATGGGTCTCCAGTCAAATTCTTCCAGTCACAACAGATCTCTCACGACGAATCGCTCAGCACCAAAGTACTACACTATCACTACTACGACGACGACGACGACGAATATATTCAACCTCACTCCCGCTCAACCTCCCGTGATTGTCCTTCCGACTGCTTCCTCCTCCGGATCATCCTCGACCCCTTCACCCATTCTGACCACTATCACCATCAAATCGTCTTCTCAGCGTCGCAAAGCCAAAGTCTATCGTCCTTCTACCAATGTCGCTGTCGCATCCCTCACTCCCCTTCTACAGCCCATCGTCACGCGATGTCTTCCGCTGAAACCCGACGTCTCCCCCGCTTCATCACACACCGCCCTCCCCTCCCCTCCTCCGGTGACGAAAAGGGGAACCGTCGGTAATTATGCCTTTAAAAAATCATATCGGCCTCCACCACCACCACCCTTGACCCATATTATTCACCCTTACTCTCGTCGATGGGACACGACGAATGACCGATCGCCCAACCCATCGCCTAGAGAAGTCGCCAAAGCTCAGCGTTTAGAGTTGGAAAAAGTCAAAGTGCGGGAAGAATCAGCGGCCATTGCCAGAGCCGCAGCGGCGGCAAAGAGAAAACGAGGCAAGGCCAAATCCACGACAAAGAATAGCGCCCCAACCTCAAAGTCGGAAAGCCCACCGGACAAGACTGTAGCGTTGGAAGATGGTGTCCCCGTCATCACCAATGAGCCAGCCTCTAGCAAGGGATCTCCAACGCTCACTGCTCCCACACCAAGCGCATCCACGATTCCACCTCGCGCTGGGCTCAAACGTACTCGATCCATCGGACTCGGCATTTCCACCACCGCGGCCAACAGTGCCAATGGTCAAATGGCCGTTGGAAGTCCTCTCAGATCTGTCACTGGACCGATCTCCCCAGAAGACGAATCAAGAGACGCCAAACGGACCAGACTAGGCGAATCTGAATCCGGTCGAATCTTCAGAAGGGGTAGCTCTGGTTCGCCAGTGGTCCCTACCCAAGGTCTCCCAGGTCCTTCCCTCAGGCGTGCATCCGCCAATGGCCTCACGAGCGAAGCGATAGCCATGAGGCGAGCTGTATCCGCCACAACGTTGGCTCAACAGACCGTCAACGGAGGTCAAAGCATGACCAGGACGGGAAGCGTGGGCTCCACATCTAGTCTTGGAGAAGCTCTGGCCTCGGGAAGAGACAGAGCGAGACGAGAGGTGACTCTACCGGGGAGATTGAGAGATTACGAGATGCGAGCGGGGACCGCAACATAGCGTGAGTGATACATGGCTGAATGGAGTGGTGCTGATACAGCGTACAGGTCGTCATTGATCGAGTAGCTTACCTATACTGGGACACCACCCTATACACATAACCACATTTCCAGGTCTCACTTCCACACGTTCCGAACTTTTACCGCAATACTCCTCGCTTCCACCCTGTTGTTTCCTGTCTTACGAATTGGTCTTCACACCATACCACCCCTGTTTCTGTGGCACATCGTCTATACATCTTATACGTTCTATTCTTTGTATCTTGTTTTCTCTGCATGAACTGGAGTTGATTGCTTCGGCGACACGGTGACTCACGCAGATCTTGGCGGCGATCTTGGCGGTCCAAGGACTGGAACAGCGGCGATCACCGCTGAAACACGCTTTTCATGCGTCATTGCCGGTAATCGATCGACTGCCAAACAGGCGAAATGCTGAAAATTCAAGTTATACCAGACTTCTAAAGGACCATCGAGATGGTCCGTATATCCATCCCGACCCTTCCGCCACTCCCACCGCTTCCACCTTCAGCACTGACTCTACTTCCAGCGAGAGAAGCAGCTTCACACCTTGGGGAATTTCTCGATAAAGGTGGGTCGTTATCGATGAATGGATCTGGTCGGCGGACTGATGAGACACCTCGCTAGGCAAGGGCAAGACGGTGATCTTGACCGGAGCTGGAGTCAGTGTGGAATCTGGTATTAGAGCATACCGAGGAGAAGATGGAACGTATTCGAATCCAAATTACAAGTGGGTCGGTCTCGGCTCCCATTATCTTTTTATGTTGATGATTCTCCAAGACCCATCATGTATCAAGAGTTGATACAGGATTCACCGACCGGTCGGATGTTTCGCAAGCGATGTAAGTGAAGGCAATTCAACTCTGCTGATGAGTCGTTTCAGACTGGGCAAGATCATTTCTCGGTGTAAGCAGGAAGTCTGTATCTGAATCGAGGTTGACGCGGCACGACTTAGTACCCTCCAGTCAGGGATGCACAGCCAAACCCGACACATATTTACATCGCGGCTCTTCAAGTACTTGGACTAGCCCCGAGGCTCATCACTCAGAATGCGAGTAAAGTCTTGGTCGATACGCTGACTTGCACAGGTCGACAATCTCCATCCTAAAGCTCTCAACCTCGTTACATCCCATCTCCCTTCTTCGTCCCTGAGCAACAGTCAGATCCTAGAGCTTCACGGGACATTGGCCAAAGTGCACTGTCTTGAACATTCTCACACTCAACCACGAGACGATTTTCAAGCTCAATTAGGCCATCTCAACCCTCTATGGCAAGCTAAAGCTGAAGAATCAGAACGAACAGGGGACAGACCTCGCACGAATCCGGATGGAGACGTCGAGCTTCCAGGCGCAGATTTCAGAGATTTCACCGTACCAGGCTGCAAGATCTGTGAAGCGCAAGGCAAAGGGAAAGATCAAGGTATCGTCAAGCCGAATGTGGTGTTTTTCGTGAGTATGCCAAAAACAAAAGCTTTCGGCTTCAAGCTCATCCTGGTCCAAAGGGAGAGACGTTACCGACTCACGTCAAGGATACATCGTATGTCTCGCACGGCAAGTTCCTCCGCTGATTTCACTTCACACATGACAGCATACAAATGCTTGAATCAGCCTCTCAACTCCTGGTCATCGGTACATCCCTCGCGACCTACTCTGCTTTTCGACTCGTCAAACAGGCCCATGAACAATCTTTGCCGATCCTCATGATTTCTCAAGGTCCTTCAAGGGCTGAACGAGGTATCAAAGGATTCGGAGAGCAAAAAATGGATCGACAAGCCGGACCAGTCTTACGGGCGTACCTTAACGAACTGCTCAAGACAAATTCGGGTCCAGAAGTGGAAGCAGTCAAGAGGGTCTTAGATCAAGGGGTCGTCAAGCGTCCACCGGAAGTCGAAGGACCGCGAGCAGAGGGATAGGCATGGTCATCGTGATACATTGCATCTTATTGGTACAATCCTATTTGATACAGAGTCGTAAAAACGTCGCGTCGATAGATGGTCGTCAATTGGTCTCGGACTCCTTTCCTTTGCCAATCTTTCTCGCTTCAGCCTCTTCTTCCGCCTCTTTCGCCCGCATCAAGAACAACTTTGCCTTCTTCTCCATTGCCTTTTTCCGCTCATCAATGCTGTCCAGCAGCTCCTCAAAGCGATGCAGAATCTCTTCTTTCTCTGCTTGGCTCAATGACGCTGCACCAGCTTTCGCGAGCGCTTCCTGAGGTTCCCGAATGGCTCTCTCCGGAGCGCCTGCAACCTTGCGTCGGAGAGAGAGCCAACTCCCACGGATAGGCAGTGCAATGCTGCCGAGCACACCTGCGGCAGGGCGGACATGGACATTGACCCCTGAGGGACTCAACACGCGTCGCAGCTATCCACTCACAGCTTCTCAATGCCCCTTTGGCGAATCCCACAGCCCCCTGTGAAGACTTAGCTTCTGTTCATGGCACTTGCTCACCTCTTTCCTCGCCCCGTCAATCGGCTCCGTGACCAGACCAGTGATTCCATCCCACCATCCATAGAACAGCCCCTTTCCACCTTCCCTCATCCCCGAAGAGAACGAATTGACCGTCCCCCGGGGTCTGACTTCGGAGCCCATACGTGCGGTGATCGCAGCAAAACCTTCGTGCATGCCGACGATGATGTCGGCGAGACCTACTGGTCAGCAAAGTCAACTCGGGCTGCTCACCCTGCGGAATCGACGTGGCGTACGTGACGAATCCTTTGGACTGAGCGTCAGCTCAAAAACCGGGTCACTTCCGTACCGGCTTGTAGAACATTTGTGCCATGCCGCCATAATGGTTAGACAGCATCAACATTAACCCAGTCGCCGTTCCCGTCACTGGGTCTTGCGCACGCCAGCGAGTGGAGTGCTCTTTTGGTCCTGCCAGGGTCAGTCGAATGAGCGAGTGCTGACTCACGTAAATGATCGAGCGACTTCCAGTTGAGCTTGCCAGCCTCGACAAGCGTTCCTGCCGCGGCATTCGATATGCGGATCAGAGCGGCAGGATACCACCATTGAGCGGTACGAGAGGGCGTGATGTCGCAGCTGCGTCTCAGCACGGTCGATGGCCTATACTCACATCATGGCCTTGAGGGGCAGATGCTTGTGAAAGCTCTCCACACCCTTTTCCTCTCCACTTTCGGACCTGATTTGCTCGCCCATTTTCCCTGCTGCGGCCTTTGCCCCGGCGGATGTGGCCACTTTGATAGCGTCTGTCAGAGCTTCCACCGTCAATTGCTTTTGGGGAATAGGCTTGGGTCCGCCTCCCGCGTGATGAATCATGTCGCCCCAGAATCTACCTGTCAGCGGATCCCGAAGAGATTACCCACTTTTGGTCCCCGAAGAATGGGACCACGATCGTCGGGAGTCCATTGCGCAATCCAATGGCGGTTGTGCCGGCACCTTCAGTGATCAGATGTGTTTGTCTGGACACAACTCACCCCCATGGTGACAAACCGCAGCGACTCGCCCGTCGGCGAAAAGCCAATCGTGAGGGATGTTGCCTGAATATCAGTCCCATCCAGTCCTTGTACGAACCCTCAAGAATGAACACGCTCTCTGGCACATCTGCACCACCGAGACCTCCCCATCCGGCGCTGACGAGAGCCCGAACGCCGGCTTGTCTGACAGCGTCAAAGATTGTTCCTGCACAAGTCAGCAGTGTATATATTTCCCCTCACTAGTCATTGCCGCGGCGTCATCGACGACGACAGATCCGAACCCGACATAGATAGGCGGTTCCCCGGCAGCGAGGAACTTTTCCAACTCGGGATCAGGCGAAAAGTCCGAGTCCGCCTTAAGAAAGTAAAAGCCCGAGACGTCTGTACTTAGCTGGAGACCCTTGCGCTTCTCACCTATATGGCCCTTCCAATCCTTTGGTTTGGGGATCAGACTCTCGCTCCAGCAGTACGTCCATGGTACCTTGGTTCGCTCCAAGACAGGAGGGCCGGAACGCGCTGTCAGAGGTTCAAGTCCGAGGGTCGCGGTACGAAATGTATTGATCACATCCCCGAGGCCTTGCCATGTCCTGTCGTCAGTCAGCAGCTGGGGGCATGGCTCACATCATGTCTGCCATTGCGAAAGAGAGGTAATTCGTCCACCGTTGATCTGCATTCGAATCTATGATGTTGACGAGCGGGTGCGAAAAGGCTGTAGAGGTGGACCATGGCATTGCTGAGGTCAGCACACTCTTTCCAGGCCCTCACTGAAAGTCAAATGACACGGCAAGCCCAGGGCCTCGGCAATGTGGATATGTCCAAAGGCGGGCGGGTTTGAGATAATTGCGTCGGCGACAAAGGGCTGCTGTGAGACCGGGTCGGGTGAGTAGGTCGACTTGTAAAATCCTTGCAGCATATCGGCAGTCATCTGGCGTTTCGCCCCGATATCTCCGTTCTTGAGACTCTCCCAACCGGGCATCAGTCCGGGGTCTAGGGGTCAGGATTCGCATTATGTCAGACTCACTCTTGACCATGTAGGCCATCAGGGATTTTGGATCACCGCCGACGTCGAAAAATCCTAGCCTTCCTTCGAGAGGCTTGCCATTGTGCTTCTTGCCCTTGAGTCGCTCATTTGCCTTGTGGATAAAGTCCTTGAAATCCGGGTGGGTGGCGATCCGTACCCTATGACCATTCTTGAGGATGAGATGGAGCGCGAGTGAGAGGTACGGTTGAACGTCGCCTGGCGTCAGCAGTGCCCTGGGCGGATACTAACCTCGTGAGCCGACGATGAAGATGACAATGTTGAGTGGAGGACACTTTGCGGCATCACTCGCATCGATATCCTCTTCCTCTACTGTCAATGCATAGTCGGGTGGAATGTCCGGTACTGTTTGCTTCAACTTGACCCAGATGTCTATCGTCCCATCTTCTTGAAGAGAGGCGGTAGAGTCGAGACCGGGACCAAGTTTCGAAAATTTTGCATAGTCTGGACTGTCAGATTCGTCAACCAACACGGTCGACTCACTGATTCTCGGATCAATCTGGATCTCGCCAACCTTTGCCTCTCGCTTGCCGGGACGTGAGGAGCCCATCTTGGCCGTCTTGTCGGTTGGCCGCTCGGTATTATCTACCTCCTCCAGATCACCCTCATCCTCATTCTCATCCTCTCGCATGTAGAGAGGAATGTCGCTCGACTCGCTCATGTTGCTCATGGTATGTTGTCAAGAGGTCCGGTAGGCAATTAAGCGAGATCGACATGAGGCGCGTGACGTAAGCCTGACGTGGCAAAAGCTCAGGATTATTATCACTCTTGTAAACAAAGTGTGCGACTGATTTTACTTTCACATCCCCTCGGTTTGTACCTTGAGCCCAACGACGCGATGGACGTACTGACAACCCCGAGACCGGCTGCGGGGAGTGAGGAGCTACCCATGACAACCCCAACCACCGACTTCTCGGTGATCGAAGCGCAGAAGGAGAACATTCGACCACATGTCTCTGGCCGATCAGCCGCGACATTGTCCAACCTGTTTGCAAAATCCTCCGAGAGTGACAGGATCGTTCAAGAAGGGCATGAGAGGCATCAAAAGGCAATTGAGGAGGCTGAGAGGAGGGATAAGGAGGGCGAGGAGATGGAAGAAGGCATAGTAGATGTACTGGACGCTTACAACAGGTGGGTCGCCGCGACAGGTATAGCTGATTGCCAAGGTACATTCTCTTCACGGTTCAGCACCACCCCTCAGCTGCATCGCATTTGCTGCCGCTGCTAGAGTCCACCACGAGACGGTTTGTCAACGATGGACGGTACGCTCAAGACGCTCGACATCTCAAGTTGTGGGTCATGTACGCGCGACACGTCGAAAGGAGGGAAGAGGTATGGGCTTTTCTGGAATCCAAGGATGTAGGCACGAAACACGCGGTCTTCTATGAAGAATGGGCCATGGCTCTGGAGGGTCTAGGGAGGTGAGCACGCATGTTTTTTTCTGAGCTCATGTTGTAGGAAGAAGAAGTCGGACGATATTTACCGCTTGGGAATCCACAGAAAGGCAGCCCCTGTGGATAGGCTCAAAAATCGACATCAAGCCTTTCTCGCCCGTATCATGGCGCCTCCGTCGGGGGTCGTCCCGGATGATGAGCCTGAGCGGTCGACCCGGGCAGTACTTGGACAAACTGAAACTGGACCATCCCTCATATCCGGCGCCGTTCAGCTCGCACCCTCTACACGCCTGTCACGAGCGCCAAACGGACACAAAATGGAGATTTTCACCGACTCTGGAGCGTCAGGCGATGATGGAGAACGTGGCGAGTGGGCCGATCTAGGAACAAGGGATGATCGGCGCAAGGAAAATACGGTAGAAGCCACGCCTTGGAAGGGCGAGACCCTCCCACAGAAACGGGCTGCGCAGAGGACGCCAAAGCTCGAGGTTTTCAAAGACTCGGTGAGTACAGTGGAGCAAAGAGCCACGCTCACGTTCAGCTGGACAATGACGCGGTTCGATCCGCAGATGAGGTGTTCTCTCGACAGCGTGCCTCTCAGAGCGAGGCGGAGATGCTCAAGGCCAATCCGCTCCGCTTTCACGACACCTCGGCTGTTTCCACGGCAATCCCTTCTTTACCTGCTCCGCCGTCTGCTTGCAAAGCTCCCAGGGCTAGAGTGGAATCGTCCACTTTTGTGATGATGCCGTGGAAACGCCCATCCGATGGACCCGAAATCAAGGACGCCAAGGGCAAGACTGAAAGACGAATGTTCCCGTGGGACGCCGTGTACAAAGGTGGAGAAGAATGGTGCTTTGAAGAAGTCAGAGCAAGGCAGAGGGGTATCCTAGGGAAGGAGTATCGAAAAGACGTCCAAGAGTGGGAGATGCAGTGGCATGAGCCCGGAGGTGAGCAATTCTGGGGGAGCGTGGCTCATAACGCAGCTTCCACGCCAAAAGCCAAAGCGCCACCGCGCAAACCTCCATCTCCTACGTTCAATACCAAGCTCGCCAACGAGGAGGTCGCGCGAATGTTTGATCAGACGATTCATGGAGGCAAGATGAGGGATCCAGATTCGGACTCGGACGAAACGTCCGACGACGAAGACGATGTGGCACCTGTATTCATCGCGCCAACGCCCAATCCCGCCACCATGCTCAGCCCCGGCAGCGGCATGGTACCCCCCACACCTACCCCAGCGCAGGGGTCTCTTCTTCAGCATCGACCTGCACAGAGCATGATGGTGTTTGCGGATGAGAATGCGGGGCTAAGATCGGCAAGCAAGCCAAAGTTCAACATATTCAGTGACACGCCGGCACAAACACCTCTTGCTGCCAAGCCCAGAGCCTTTGGTGTGTACCAGGAGGAGCCTAGTCTGCCAATGACGGCAACGCCAGCAGTCCGACCACGCATCGCCTCGAATCCGTTCGCAACTCCCGCGCCAGAGGCCGTGCGACCTGTCGAAGCGCCAGCCGAGCCAGTCATCTCTGACGTGATTGAAGAGGCAAAAGAAGAGGAAGCCTACGTGGAAGAGCATCAAGATTTGAACGATCAGTATGAGCCGGTGCCATTCAACAATGAACGAGACTTTAAAAAGCGCCTCTCCACCATAAGCGAACGAACCATGGAGTACACGCAAATGACCGATGGGCGGGGATCCAGCTCGGTGACGCGTCGGACGAGTGCGGCAAGCTCACTTGCGGATGAGGCGTTCAGTGCCGGGGACATTTCTCGGCGGGGCTTGAATGTGGTCGCCGAAGAGGACGAGTCGCGAGGGGGAAGGACGAGTGATGCCAGTTCTGCGGTCAGCCCTCAGAACCAGTCGGGCTCCATGGGGACTGGCTTTCATCTCCCTGAGGGTTTCACGATACATGGTCAGGCAGACAACTTGGCACACACTTTGGTGGTGACAGAGGTGTACGACACGATGCACACGGCTCGTGAAGGGAGTCCGGACACTGGAGACTTTGTCACTGCGAAGCAGGCATTACCCAACCCCTGCAACCCGTCGGATCCTGACATACTGACATCTCTGTTCGCCGATATGGACCTGGGCTCTCTTGGCGGATACCTGTTCCAACACGAGGACGGCTCTCGCCGCATGGATGGACTCGTCAAGTTTGCCAAGAGCAAGGGTCGACGCAACAGCACCAGCGCCAGTGCCTCGCGCTCGTCTCTTGCACCAGAAGAATGCTTCCATCTCGACTTGTCGGGCAAACCGTACGAAGTCTTGGACAAGATTGGTGAGGGAGGATTTGGCGCCGTCTTTCTCGCCGCGGATGTGGAAGCTCGCGATGCCCAAGATGAGGCCGACAGTGACGACGAGGATGGAGAGGAAGACTGTCTCGTCGCTATCAAGGTGGAACGCCCGTCTGCGCTGTGGGAAGGAGTTGTCCTGGATCGGATCCATCAGCGATTGGAACCCGCTGCGAGACCGTCTATTGTCCAGCCTCGAGCTGTGTACGCATTTACCGACGAATCCTTCCTTGTCATGGACTTTGCTTCTCAAGGTACCCTACTTGATGCCGTCAACAAGGCATCATCCATGGGTATCGCGCCTCTGGTCCCTGGCGGTCCATCGGCATTTGATGAACTGTTGGCGATCTTTTTCACTATCGAGCTTTTGAGGACAGTCGAGGACTTGCACAACGCCAAGTTCATCCACGGTGATCTCAAGATTGACAACTGCTTGATCAGATTGTCTGAAGTCCCCAATGCCGAGTGGTCGGCTCAGTACCTGCGAACTGGAGCGGAAGGGTGGTCGGACAAGGGAATCAAATTGATCGACTTTGGTCGGGGCATCGACCTCGAGCTATACCCTCCTGGGCAGACTTTCGTGTCGGACTGGGAGACGGACGAGAGAGATTGCGTGGAGATGCGCGAGGGACGAGCGTGGACGTATCAGACCGACTATTCGGGGTTGGCGAGCGTGTGCTACTGTATGCTGTATGGCAAGTATATCACGACCGAGGTGGATGCAAGCGGCAGGCAAAAGATCTCGACGCCCTTGAAAAGGGTGAGCGATTGTTCGGGGTCTGTGCTCACGATGTAGTACTGGCAGACCGAATTATGGACTACACTCTTTGACATGCTGCTGAACCCGACGTTGATCCGGGAAGGAGAACTGCCGATCACGCCCGAGTTAGCAGATTTGAGAGTCAAGTTTGAGGATTGGCTAGAGGAGAATTGTCAAAAGAGTGGCAAGAGTCTGAGGTCCATGTTGAAGAAGATTGAGCTGCAGGCGATCACCAGTAGGCGTGTTTGATATCTGCTTTGTATGAATACCTTGGAGAAAAAAGACAGTCGCGCGATTTTTGTCTTTTCTATCACCCACCATGCAGGATGAGTCGAGTCAAGTGCAGGTGATCCATGAGGGTGGGTACGCAGGTCGGAATGAACTGAAGACGGTCAGGGCGACACGCTTCCATCGTGCTCTGGAAAAGGTCTCCGGGTCAGTCGATCATTGTCAAGGCGTTTCAGCAGGATTCAATTCCACTGGAGATTCTAGTGATTCGGAAGCTGCCAAGGCATCGGAACGTAGGTGTGAAGTACCGTTTCAGTGCTGAGGGTCAGATCATCTACGAAATCAAGGACGTCTTCACGCAAGACTTTGGCATCTCCATAGCGTTGCCTTGTCTTCCCGTGTCCCTGAATGATGTCCTCACCTCGCCGCTGGACGGACGGCCGGCAGTTCCCCAGGTCATGGCTCATCAGCTGTGTGCAGGACTCGCATTTCTACATACTCGCCGTGTCGCTCATAGGGATATCAAACCGGATAATGTGATGCTGGATAGCGACGGGACAGTGGTCATCATTGACTTTGGGTCGGTGTGGACGGACAATGAAATGTTTCGGGGAACCTCTCCCCCTGATAGGATGGATTATCAAGTCGGCACGGGGTGAGTGGTGCAAAGGAGACGCAGGCTGATGGTAGTCCCTATCGTGCTCCAGAACTACTGTTTGGACCGACGATATACGATCCATTCGCGGTCGATAGCTGGGCCTTGGGCTGTGTCATTGGAGAAATGCTCCTCGCCTCGGACAGCGGTAGAGCACCAGGCACCCTCTTTGATGCAGCATTTGGAGATCTCGGCTTGGCCGGGTCCATCTTTCGGCTCACGGGTACACCGACGGAGCAAACCTGGCCAGTGAGTCAGAGGGCCCGTGTGGGGGGCTGATGCACAGGACTTTGGTTCGCTGCCTGACGCTGGCAAATTTGCGTTTGACTATCGCGAGGCTGTCCCTCTGCATCGTCGCATACACGCACAACCCGAGGCGATAGATCTCGTGTCCAAATTGCTGCAACTCGACCCATCAACACGCCTGTCTCCAGCTCAAGCATTGGTTCAACCTTGGTGCTCCCTCCTGGCATCGCCGCCAAACCTCTCTCGCTCAAGACCTGACGATGCATTTATAGGAGCAGCAAGACTTGGTCATTCTCCAATACAAGATCGTGCGATGCAGCCAGATGCCGCCGAAGGTCATACAGACGATCAAATCGTTCGAGACATGTCTCTGGACAGGCATAGCGACGCTTCGCATACGCCTCGCCAGTGAACGCCGCTTTCCCATCATCGACCTGTTCAGTCTCAATTGGCCCCTTCTGATGTGACAGCAAGTGCCGATGCAGATTCGATAAATGGGGGTAGGCGTACTCGCAATGAGGACATTTGTGACGTCGCTCAGCCTTGTGTACCGCTTGAACATGCGTACTGAGAGCAAACGCCTACCAGTCAGCACAGGCCACGTCCGTGTACCTTACGGATTTGAAAGTCTTCTCGCACCCGTCCTCCCCACACGCAAAGTCCTTGCCTGCCTGGCCGTCCTTGATCCGCTGCAGCTTGTTCGGTCTCTCAGCCTCGACCCGGCTCATTCTCCTCTTCTTGGCCCGTCTCGATTCCTTGGTCTCGTCATCTGTCGAAATCGCCTCGGCAACATCTTGTTCGTGATCTGCGTGAACCTTGAGGTGGTCCTTGAGACGCTGGTGGTTCTTAAACGTCCGGCCGTGACATTCTCCATGAGGACATGTCGGCGGATGCGCAACGTGCAAGTGAGTTTGAAAACTGGACCAAGTGGAGAAGGAGGGAATATCGAGACCATGGTCAGGATGTGTGCAAGTGTACCGAGTGGCTTGGGTCAGCTTTATCGGAGGGAGAACTCACTGTCATGTGTTTTGAGGTGCGCTTTAAGCTGGTGATGGAGGGCGAAAGACCAATCACACCCGTCATTTGGACATGGGTAAGCCTTTGTGCCTGGCGGCATGTGTTCGAGGACTCGATGATCCCTTAATTGACGAGCCTTGTGGAATGTCTCGCCGCATGTATCGCACTGGTGTGAGCTTTGTCGAGAATGGCACGCACCTCAAAGGACGGCGTTTGGTCATGTAGCTGTTCATGTCGCTTCAGATGGGTGGAGGTCCAGAACCGCTTGTCACATCCGCTCCTGTTACACGCATAGGGCTTGTCATCGACAGACAGGTGTGTACGGACATGTGCCTTGAGATGGGACGATCGTATATAGCTCTGGTCACAGTGTGGACATTGATGAGGACGCTGGAGGTCAGCAAAATTCGCAGGTGTTGCTCACCTCTCCCGTGTGAGTCAGGACATGCTCGGCCAATCGGGATGGTTTGAAGTAGGCCTTGTCGCACCCTTCATAGGTGCAGACAAACCGTCGTTCGGTCCGGGAGGGAAGTCGTCGGGAGGAGGGTCCTGGAGCGTCACCATATGTTACAAGTGAGCGTTCAACTTCCAGCTGCGGCACCGGCTCTCTCGGGAAGGCTGGAAGGGGTCGTATATCCACGGCGAGCATAGTGTGGTTCGAGGAGATCTGAAAATTATCTGGAGCCAAATAAAGGGAGTGATAGAGGGTGGCAACTTGCCACGTCATGACATTTGCCACGTGGAACGTTCCGCGACGCGACGGCACTGAATCTGTGTTTTCAACGTCCAAGGTCATCAGATCAATACCTCGAGTCAGTGTCACGATGTCGGTGAGTTTTGATATCTGGCGCCGTCGCTGAACGACTCAGGATCGAGGGGGACCCACTAGACGGCCGGATATTAAACGCAAGCTCGTGGTCGTTGGGGATGGAGGTGGGTCCGTGTGCGGGGAATGCGGCTCACAAACAGGTTGCGGCAAGACATGTCTGCTAACAGTTTATGCTGAGAATCGGTTTCCAGAGGTAGGTTGACTCACGCTCCTCGCTCACACGTAGCAATATGTTCCGACAGTGTTTGAAAACCTCATCACCATGATCCCTTCCCCGACAGATCCGTCCAAGATCATCGAGCTTGCTCTGTGGGACACTGCGGGACAAGAGGATTTCGATCGTTTACGGCCACTCAGCTATAACGACACGGATGTGATTCTGATAGTGTTTGCCTGTAATCATCGCCCGAGTTTGATGAATGTCCAGGATAAGGTGAGAGCACACGATAGATATCGGCTGACATTCAGTGGTACCCTGAGATGGCTCATTTCTGCGAGTCTGTCCCCCTCGTCCTCGTCTGTACCAAGACGGATCTTCGGAATGACCCCACCACCGTCTCTCTCATGGCCGCGCAGGGCACCACGCCCATCACTCCGTTGGAGGGCGAAAAAGTCGCCAAGGAGATTGGCGCGAGGCGGTATCTGGAGTGTTCGGCCAAGGAGGGGCGAGGTGTGAGGGAGGTGTTTGACGCGGCCATAAGGGAGAGTTTACGGAAAGGCGGGCTTGGCAAGTTGGGCAAGAAGAAGTGTGTGATAATGTGACCCCGGAGCATCTCTCTCATGTTGTGATACATTACGTTTTACGAGGCTATGACATATTTTACAACCTGTCGGGAGAGTCTTGCGTGTGGCGCTTGGTGAGGGCGTCTTTCAGCAGGGATTGGAGGCTTTGTATCTCGTCGGCTGGTACTTTGCCGTCATCTTGGATCTCGGGTTCGCCTGATGACTCGTATGGCGTCGATGGCACGGCCTGACCCCACTTTGCCGCTAGCGCCGCATGCCCCTCCTGTATCATCTGCTCGAGCTCATCAGCCCAGCCAATCTCCTCGGCAAGCTTGCGAACGGCGTCGTCGGCGTCGCCCTGATAGAACATGTCCGTCGGGCGGGTGTCTTCGAGCAGACTCAGACCAGCAAGAATGTGACTTAGGGTCTTTTCGCCATCAGGTTTAGCGAGCTTCTCAATTAAGCCGACTGCTTCGCGGTTGATCAAGATCCTCGGTACGTGTGGTCTGGCATAATTTGGAAGACGAGCGAATGGTTGGACTTGAAGGGATGTGCCGATGATTATGCAGAGATCGCATTGACGCATACACTGGTGTCAGCGGGGTCGTCAGGGCAGCTCACTGGCATGGCATCAAAGAAGGCTTCTGGCAGGCCCTCACCGAAGAAGACAATGTCAGGTTTGACGAGGCCTTCACAATGCGCTTTGGGGCATCGCACGACTTCTCCTCGCCTCACGCCGGACTTCAGGACATGCTCCGTGGACGACTCGGCACGGCATGCGAGGCAGTGAGCTGTGGCAAATGACCCGTGGGCTTCGATGATAAGGTCTTGGTCCATGCCTGTGAGTTGTTCGAGCGTGTCAATGTTTTGGGTGAAGACCTTTTCGAGGACGTTGTGTTTGGCGAGGAGGGCGAGAAAGTAGTGCGCGGGAGTGGGCTGAACTCAGCGGCTGGACGTTGTAGTCTGCTTACAAAATGCTTCCCCGGATAGAGCTCTTTCGCCAGCGTCCAAAAAGGTTTGGGATTGTCCACAAAGTAGCCCAGCTCGAAGACCGCTTGCGGGTGAGGCAGATTCAAAGCCTGTAGGTTATTGTAGAGTCCTGTGCCCGGGGATCGAAAGTCGGGAATACCTGCAGAGGTTGACATGCCGGCACCGGCAAGAACGACGATGCGTTTGGCTTGGAATGAGCATGGGCATGCGCAGCGGGGGAACTCACCCTTTCCATTCTTGATGAGCTGGGCGACGATGCGCAAGGCAGCGTCACCTGTCCGTGAGGCTATGGATGCATCGTCGGGGAGGTGCTCCAGGTCAGCAGAGCATATGTGAGAACCTACATTGACTGAGCGACTTGGACTAGAACCCTCGCTCGACGATTCGGATTCCGGTGACATCGTTGCAAGTCATGGCATCGCCGGAAATTGAAAGATCAAATTTCGATGCAGGTAATTTTTGCATCTTTACCATACTTGACAAGATGGTGAGCTACGGAAAGATCCCTGTCGCTGATGTACCAGTCGCTCCCTAGTAGAGTCATCGAGCTCATCGGCGTGGGTACCCGTGCTTTTGCCAAGGGTCTCTCTGCGGCAGGGAGTCAGGCGGTGAAAAGTGGGTCAGGATGTCGTCCGACTACGCTGACCATGAGATATGAAATACAAGCCAGAAGGGATGCAGCAGTCACGATCATCTGGATCAGGGGGTTCAAGCAAGGGAGGAGACGGTGCGAGGGATATGCCGTTGGATGAGGCGTATATGATTCTTAATGTCAAAGAGGCAGATTCCATGGAAGTAATACGGCGGGTGAGTTTTGCGTTGAGGAGGCATCATCTGATGGGGACTAGAACTATGAGAGCATCTTCACAGCCAATGGACCACCAAAAGAACCTGAGCCCAAGCCTGGTCAACCGCCAGCGCCGAAGACGAGACGACAGGTTCTTCATTCTCACTATCTACAGTCTAAAGTGTACCGAGCGCTGGAGCGGATAAAGGAGGAAAGAGGTGAGGTGGACGAGCCCCCACAGGCTGCGCCCACAGGATTGGAAGCAGAGGCAAAGAGTGATTCCAAATGATGTTGTATATATCTCTATGCACCCCCCTCGTGACCTGTAAAAATTCCCGGTGACCTTTTTAGCCGGCTTCACTTTGATCTCTATCTTTCACTTGTATACCATGTCAGCGTTCTTGGGTGGTGCAGACTGCGGACCGGTCAACCCGTTGAAAAACGTGACTGGGAGGCTCGACGTCGATAGGTCGTTGTTCCAGGTGGGTGATGTGTCGCCACCGGCTCGGCTGACGGTCAGGATCGGTTGGTGTCGAAACCAAATATAGCGGGGCCGTCAAGGGTGCGTCGGGGTTGGTCGAGATAGGATTGACCGTTGCCAGGATGTTACGAATTCTCAATCCCCGTTTGATCTCTCCGAGCTTCGTACCCATCTGGTACCGGCGGCAGCGCCAATCGGGCTGCAGCTCAGGCCAGCTGTCTCGGACTGGGCTCAATCCTTTGTGCCTTCCGCCCGAGCGGCGGGAAAGCAGCGCGAGGTGATAGGCTGGGAGAGGGAGTTTAATACAAGAGAGCATGAGCCGCGGCAAGATGGGTTTCAGGGCCCAAGGCAGCTACTGCCGCGGCAGATCGAGCGAACACCATGGCAACCGATGTTAAATCGGCCATACATCGTTCCCACGCAGGAAACGCAGGAACCCACGCAGGAACCCACTCGGCCCGCTCCGCTTCCTCGCGAGCCACTTGATGACGCCCAGGAGATTCTCGCCAGAACAGCTCAAGCTTTCGTGGCGGATGCGGATCAGTCTTCGCTACTACGGGATAACCCTAAACTCGCCCAAAGCAGGTTCATGGAATTGGTCAATGCCGTGGCGAAAAAGGACGTGGTGGTGCAGGCACCTCCCGTGCAATCGTTTGACCAGGTCGGACCCGGCGCGACGTTTGTGGAACGACCTGTGGCGTCGAACTGGGCAAGCGAGTTTTCGCCGGCGCCGGCACGATCAGTACACTTTGAGAAGATTGTTGAGGTTGACTTTGAACAAGACACATTTGCCGAGTTTCATAGTCAGCTGCGCCAGGCGAGGTCACCGCGGCTCGGCGTGGGTGCACTCGAATCTTGGCACGAATTGCAAGGGGTGGAGGGAAAGGCTCAGACGCGGTATCTCTTCCAGAGTGCCAATCCGTACGAGGACATTGTCGGGCACGACTCGCCGACTCTCAAGGTAGGCCACGTCACGAGCAATTTTGACGTTCAGGGCGTCTTGGAGCTCGAAGCCGTGGTCCAGGCCAGTCCTCAAGATCACGAAGCGTGGTTTCACCTCGGTCTGAAACAACAGGAGAATGAGCGAGAGGATCAAGCTATACTGGCGCTGGCAAAAGCTGTACAGTTGGATCCTGACCACCGGCCGACCTATCTCGCCCTCGCTGTGAGCTATACCAATGAAGGTGACCAGGGCGCGGCCAATGTGATGTTGGAGAAGTGGATCGATCTGCAGGAGGGCGCCATGGCGCTGGTCCGGAGAGACGGCGAGACGTTGAGCCAAGAGAGGGATCGATTGATTCAGAGATTGATCGGACTGGCGAGACAGAGCCCCGACGAGGTCGACCCGGATATACAGGTTGCCCTGGGCGTATTGTTCAACTCGTCAGAGGTGAGTGCAGGAATGACGTCGCTGACGGCGAGGACTATGCCAAAGCGGAAGACTGCTTTCAGGCGGCACTCAGTGTGCGACCTGACGTAGGTTCAGGGGGATGTACTGGGCTGACCTGTAGGACTGGATCCTGTACAACCGACTCGGGGCGACGCTCGCCAACAGTGGTCGGAGCAACGAAGCGATCTCATACTATCACAAGGCGTTGTCGCTTCATCCGAACTTTGTCCGAGCACTGTGAGTCGGTGGGTACGTCTAAGCTTATGACAGGTTCAACCTTGGTATCGCCCACGTCAATCTCGCTCAATACGCCCAAGCTGCTCAGCGGATCCTTGACGCGCTCAGGCTGCAACACGCCGATGCGACAGAGGCATACTCTGGGTCCAGTCTGCAGAAGGGAATCGGTAGCAATGTGCTATGGAGTACGCTGAGGAACGTCTGCATGCAGTGAGTTGGACAGTCTGAGGGCGGCTGATGGGCAGTATGGGAAGGCAAGACTACGTAGAGCTTGCGAGTCGTCGGGATCTGGATGGTGAGGTATGTGTGGCGGTGGTCGCTGATGACAGGCTTCCCGTCGGTCGTGGAGGCTAGCCTTGGGTCGTAGAATTTGCTACAGATGTGGCGGCCGTCGAGAGCGTGGTAGAACTCTGTGACGACTTTGGGGCAGCAGATTCTTCCTTGCGCTTTGTCTTAATCGAATGGTACAACACCTTTAATGCAGCTCTTGCTTTCTCGATATCGTTTTCGTATGCTGTCCACGCTCGCCTCAGCTCTCGCTCGGACTGGACCATACTCGAGCGGATCCCGTCGATCTGTGACCGAGTCATGCAGCCGTCAGTTCTGCATGAGCCGAGCAGGTCGAAGACGCTGGCGCCGGCCGCGATGTGCTTTGCCAGTGCTTGTGTGAACGCTCGGCCAGCTGATCCTTGGCGAAGGGCCAAGACATCTGGCATCGTTTCGTCAATGCCCAACTGCGTCATCGTCTGTCCAATCTTATCTTGAGCATCTTTGAGCGTAAAAATACCGTTTTCGACGGACTGGATCATCGTTCGCAGGGCGCAGAACTGGTCGTATCCGGTTAGCACGTTGGTGACCTCTTCAGAATCCCAAGCGAAGGTGGGCTCGATGGTGGGCTCGACCGTGAGAGCCCAATCAGCCACAGCGCCGGGAGTCAGCCCATGAGCTGCATCCTTATGGTCAGAGCCGTGGTCAGAGCCCACGCTCGTGGGCGTGGTCGAGGCGCACGAAACGGTGTCAGTTTCGCTCAAAACAGTGTCAGTTTCGCTCAGGCTCATTGTGGGGGTGGTGATGAGAAGGATGAATAAACACGGCGGTGGCGACTATGGTCGACACCACCTTTGACCCTGTGCATCCTTTGTACCATTGTACACTACAAAGCGACGTTGGGTGAACCGAGAGCCCCCTCTGCTTCGCTGGCAACCTGTTTGTCGAGACCGACCTGAGCAAACTTTTCCATCGCCTCGTCCCAAGCCCTCTTCCGGATGGCCCAGGCGCGTTTCTCTGCAGACCTTGGTGGGACAAGGTATCGCTCGGGATTAGTGGCAATTCTGTTGGAGTATATTGGGGCCGGCTTTCCGCGGAACTTTCGCCAGATCTGGTCAATGTATGTTTGGGTGCTTGCTGTCCACTCAGACTTGACGAGATTGAGGCCCACCACAGAGGCGGGCGAGACGCCGCGATCGGCGAGGTACCGACGCAGGTTGAAGCCCTGGCGTGGTGGCGCTTGGATAGCGACGGATGCCGGTTGCCTCAGGAGCACAAATGTGTAGCGATGCCTTGACGAGCCGCGGGGCGGGGCAAGGGGCTCCCATGGGAGCAATTCGTCTCCGGCAGAGGTGAACAGGTCGGTCTGGTCGTCCGTGACCCTGAGGGGGATGTTGGTCTTGAGATAGTGTAGGCGTTGGGAGTAGGAGTGGGTAATGGTTTCGGGGTGATCGGCGTCGAGGACGATGAGGGTATATTTGCCTACCGTGTCGGAGGGTGGATTGAACAGGGTGAATGTGAGTCGGGGAGGGGATTGAAACGTTGACGCTAGGAGAGTGAGTCCGGGCTCGAACGACTCGTTGCGTGGAAGATGGATTGTCAATGGATTGGTGGGCGCCAGATCGGGTAGCAGATCAGGAACCACCTTGTTCTCATACATCCTTCTCATGATCAAGTCCAGGCCTCCCTCCAACTTCCACTTGCGTTCCGCCAGATGTCGCATCACCGGTCGGTCCATCGAGCCAGCTCCCTCGGTCCGTTTGAACTCTGCACGGACGTCTGGGTCATTGACCTGAGCGGAAATCTCGTACGCCTCTATTGCTCGACGTTGGGCCGGTGACGGGTCCGAGACGGACTGAAGGGGTTTCAGCTTGTCCATACATCTGGACTGATGCTGGGCGAGAAAAGCGACGGCGGCCTCGTGCGCTACGAGTGAGGGTTTGGATACGGAAGTTTGCGCTACTTTGTTGGCCTTTGTAGCATATGAACGGGCGTTTTGACGAACGCAGCGAGAGCTGCTGGCTAAGGCGTTCATGATGTGTAGTGAAGAGAAAACAGTTCAGGTATTTTTTCGATATGATATATTACAACGCCACGTGGCATGCATCATTTAAGGCTCGTCTTTTGTCTTCCACGCATCGTTGCCGTAGCCGATAGCGCTGCCAACCTCGGCGAGTTTGACATCCGAGCTGAGCGTCCCGTTAATCCAGTCTAGATCGGGAGGTCGGCTGTCGACGGAGGACCGACTGCTCAGCGTGGGACTCGGTGGTGCCGGAGTCGACGGGGTGACAGCGCCCGACGAGGGGGTGTCGTCAGCCTCCGAGGGTATAGGGGACACTGCGCGGGACGCCTCCTCTGCCTTGATCCGGGAGATGCCCCCGATAAGTCGATCGGTACGGCGGCGATAGAACAACAAGTAGGCCGCTTTGCTCTGACATTAGCTGAGGGCGATGGTGCAAACCCACTTGGACTGCATCAGGTGACGCGGGGGAGACTCGCGAGTCGTCATAGTTGTACCAGCGACCGTCCTCAGCGTTCTTGCAGAACGCCGTGTAGTGACCGCCGCCAAGTCCTCCAAAGTGGTTGTCGACGGCGTCTGAGGTCAGCGGGGATGTACAAAACACTCACATAGGTCGTAAATGATTTGATCATCGCTTTGCATGCCATACTCCTTGGCTTGCTCCGCGTTGAGGTGGAGGGTTTTTGCCACTTGGCGCTCACCGACACGTTCAGTGAGATCCAAGCCGTCGATGGGGAAGTTGACCATGTTATCGAGCTTGTCGTGTAAGCGACGTGAAGAGCCGAATCGTTTGATGCAAATGACGAGAATGTCGGGGGCTTGATAGATTTCAAGCTTTTTGGTGGCCGCTTGGTGTTTTTTGCACTGATCGTCAGCAAAGCCTGGGCACTAAACTCACTTGGGGGCAGTACCATAAGTCATCTTGACCAAGGGTTTCCTCCTTGGAGAACTCATCGAGGCAGTCCTCGAGCGAGATGGAGCGACCGTTTTTGCGCTTTTCTGCCTCTTTGGCGATGGCGGGGTCGACGACCGCATCGGCAAGCCGGGTGGCGTCAAAGAACTCGCTAAACTTCTTCACGGGCCACTCGCAGAATATTCCCTCGCCTGGACGAACGGCGACAGGGGGACCGAGTGGGGTCGTCGCAGGCGATCCCTCGTCGTCCGAGCCGTGCCCCACGATGGACTTTATGCCTGTGGTAATGTGCCCAAACATGTTCTTCTTTGGCTTGCGACGGCTTTCGAGGAGAGACCACGTGCCAGCGGCGTGTGTCAAGCCGCCCTTATAGAAAGGTATGACATCGTCTTTGCCCTTGAAGATGTTGAGACTGGAGCCCGATTCAGCTTCGGCGACGTGCACCTTGAACAGGTCTCCACGGGGTGCAAGTGGACCAGAGGGATGCTCATCGGGTTCTTCAGAGTCGTCGCCCATATGAGGTATGGCCCTCGCCGCGCGGCTCGAGCCGCTGGAAGTCCACATTTTACTTCGCATCTCGGGCCGAATGAGGCGAGAGTAGCCTCGAGTGATGGCTTCACGGACGAGGACGGGGTCTGCCGCCTCGGCTTTACTGAGGGTGATAAAGAACGGTTGGGATGTCTCGGTTTGCTGGTGGCCGTCCACCGAATGAAGAGTGTAAACGGGAACCGTGATAGCCTCACCGGGAAGATGGCCGACGGAACGACCGGCTTTGACTTCCACTGCGAGTTCGTAGAACACTGCCTCGTCAGAGTCCTTGCATGCCGAGTTGTGATCGGCGTCCAACCACCATGCGTACACGGCTCCTTTCCAGAGGTCAAACCCGATGATCTGGGGTCAGCGCGATCGTCTGCTAACTCACCTTTTTCGCATCGCAGTTGAAGAGGCTACCGAGTTTTTCCTTGACTTGCATGAAGGATGCGTTTTGAGGTATCAAGAGGCGGACTGGGCATGGGAGTTTCTCGGGATCGAGGGGGACAAAGTGACATTTGAAGATGCGGGTCTGGGCGATGGGCAGGGGGACGGTGAGATACATGAATGGATCGAGCGTGATGGATTCCTAGGATCAGTGAAGCAGCGCGTGGGGCTTACTTTTGTGCACACGGGACATACCAGGGTGCTTTTGAGCTGTCCCTGGAAGAGGTCGACAATGACACTGTCATTTCGTTTTTTGTACCCGTCCCAGCACTCCTTGCCGAGGAGGGCGAGCTCCTTGTCACCGCCTCCGGGTTTCCAATCGGGTTTTTCGATGTACGGCTTCTTGTGAATACGATTAAGATCCTCGTGGAGCCCGTCGAGGAGAAAAGCGATGAATTCTTGGGTATCGTGTTGGCCGTAACCGGCGAATTGAGGGGCAAATCGGCTGGTGGTGTACTTCAGTTGGCGAGGCGAGAAGCCGAAGGATGACTCAGGCTGAGTCCATAGGGCTTCGATGGTGGCGCCAAAGTTTTCCGCGACCTTGCCGCCCATGCCAAGGGGATTATCGGCGTTGAGTTCGGACTTGTAGACGCCGGCTGGTCGGTCAGTGGGGAAATGCCGTCAACTCACAAAGAAAGTAGTCCTTGAGCTCGACCGTGTTGCTGAGGCACTGGACAGCACTGTTCATGAAACAAGTGTTGCCTAGGTTCACTAAGCCGACAAGACCCTTGCCTCGAACTTTGCGAGCACTGCTGCGGGTCTGGACGCCTTGACTAGATTCGCCGGAGCCACCGAAGAAGGCGGGTTTGGAGAACAGAGGGGGCGGGGCGGTGGCCGAGGCGAGGTTGAGCTCGGCAGCCTTGCCCCCGTCTGAGTCGACCGCCCACATGGTGCCGATGGGCCCAGGTTGGGCGAATTCCAGGGCGAGCTGGTCGCCCTGTTCGAGGCCCGCCTCGGCGCAGGTGATATTTTGGTCAAGAAATGTGCTTGCTGACTGGATCACTACGGCAGGGTCAATGACGAGGTCGACGATGGGCTCAGGGGGCGCCGCGAAAGTCCATAGCCGGGTCTCGGGACGCGGTTGGCGGAGATGGGCGTATAGTGCGTGGAGAACGGCATGAAGATCTTTGAGAGGAAGGACCGATGGGCAGGTGAAGAGGGGAGCGGAGACGGTGGGGAAGGCGGGTTGGTCATTGGTGCGTTTGAAGATGTGCAGGGTGTAGATTTTTGGGGCAATCTCAAACGTGTCGCCGGGGAGGCACCAACGGGGCAGGACGGGTCCGTCGTAGGGGTACCTGGTATCAGCTGGCATCCAGGCGGGGGTTGCTTACCACTCGACGATCTTCTGCCACCCCGCCGAACTAATGTAGACAAAGTCATCGTTCTCCTGTAAGCCTGCGCGGATGGGCCAAAAGTCTTGATCAACGGCAAAGCTTTTCGGATGGACGTAGGAGCAGACTTTTATCGGGGACAAGACTAGCGGGGAGAGGTCAAGCTTGAGGTCAGGATCCCCGTCACCAAGTGCAGCGTGCTTGATGTCGTTGAGGAAGGCACTTGGCAGGAGGTAGTAGAGTGTCCATGGGGTGAATGGAGGAGATATTTCGTTGAGCAATGAGTCATACTGGGATTTGTACTTGTTTTCGGGTTTGTCCACGTCCATGGAGGCCGGATCTGACTCGAGGTGGAAATCTTGAGTCTTTTGCACCCAGTTGGGGTCCTCTGGTTCTGCCGTTCTCGCGCTGTCCGGGGATTCAGGCAGGTCGGTGGACAGGGGGTCTTCAGAGGCGGCACGTTTGGATGATGACGAGGTGGTTGGGGAAGGGGGGTGGGAGCGGGGTCTCTTGAGGGACGACATGGCGAGGTCGAACCAAGCGAGACAGAGCTAGTCAGCGCGCGGCGAGGTGCGTCTGAGCTGAACCGCTCAGAGTCTCTGCTCGCTCAGCATGAGCTCGCCAGCAATGGTTGGATTGGTGGATGAGGGTTTTGAATTTGAGAGACGACCACGGACGGAACCAAATAGTGGCGGTGTGGCGGACAGGTTGCATGTCGTAGTGGTGTGCGAAGCAAGGCAAAGTCATCCCTTCTCGGCTGAGAGCATCAGTTTTGTGCTCATGCTAGGCTGAAGGGCAGCTCGGATTGATCCTGCGGAATCTTGCCAAAGGATCCTCGGAGGATCAAGCTCCCCCAGCAACTCATTGGATGTGATCGCCCGGTCGCAAGCAAGACAGCGTTGTAAATTAAAGGATCCATCTCGCCTGGATTAAAGCTTCCCTAGTCAATTTCGTCTCCGCTACACTCGCTCATGGTACTCGGGTCGCTAGGTCGCTGATGACTGTTCGAAGAGACCGCCAGTATCAGTAATGATGGAACGATTCTTGTTTCTGATGATCATTCCCGTCTTCCAAAGCAGACTGACAACACCAGTGATTTTCTTATGCCCTCAAAACTTCTGAATCTAGGACCACTGATACTCTATGTCGTCTAATTCGAGGAACCGGAAGTGTGCTGAATGGAAGGTACGTGAAGAATTTTGCTCAGGATCGGGACTTTTGTACCGTCAATTCTTGTGCAGTTTTCATCGTTGCATCACCAGGCAAGTATCAAGTCCTGGTATACGGAGATACACAGACATCCACAGAGACTCCCGTCGGCTGCGCGTATGGCCGAGCGTTCTCCTCGATGGGAGAAGATGCCACGCTTTGTGTACAATGTGGCATCATCCGCCACATTGGGTAGCGATCCGCACTTCTGAATACCTTGAGGAACCTGCTGTGCCAGCTTACAGGCGGCGGTGACAGGCCTAACTCGATCCCGTGATAGTTGTGTCACACCTCACTGCATTATACATCCACCCTGGCTTTAGGTCGTTTACGGACGACGGATGAGACCTGTATAAGAGTCGGTCCCACAGAGTTAGGGTGCTTTCTTCGACAACATATATATTCGTTGTCTACGAGCTACCCAGCTTGACATCCCTATTAAGAAGTTTACCTCCCAAGTAGGACCCTCGAACCGGATAGGTCGGTTCCAGACATTGAATCTCGTGGCCCCTCGCTGACTGCCACCTCGTAATATACGTCCGCTCATCGTCATGCTACTGATAGTGCTACGAGGTCGGCCCCAGTCGTATAGAGACTGTACCCTTGTGTCCACAATTCGTCGTTCGACACCTACTGAGAAGGGGTCATGTCGCTGATAGTGCAGCGACACACGCCTCATTCAGCTGCACGCCTGATGTGGCTCCGCAGCCGCCTCCTGCAGAACCCCACCCATCCTGTGCTCCTCTAGCATCCCCACGACCACCCCCAGAGTCCTCTCCGAAGGTGCCGGAAACCTCACCTCCCCTGCCATGACCTCCTGCCGCTGCATCTTGCCCAGAAATTCCTCCAGCTGCTGCCAGTCACCACGTCGGGCCAGACCCAAAAGAACCCATGTCGCGGCCATCGGACCCGGATCCATGCCAGCCTTTGCAATTGCCAACAACGACCGTCTCGCCTGTTGCCCGTGGCATGACTTTGCAATCTTCCGCATAAAGATGCTATGCGTGGCGTGCGTTGGACGCTGAAACGGCGCCACCGATTCCACCTGCTTAAGGTATGCCCTGTGGAATGAGGGCAAGAGTTTCCTCGGTAATGTTTCCAGCAATGCCGGAATCAACGCCGTGATGATATGTATCGATGCGAGTGGAGGCTCTGCTGTCTTTGACCACGGCTTGATCTCGAGACGATCCACCTCGGGATGCTGCGGCAGTGTATACCTGTAGCGCTCCAAAAAGTATCGGATGGCATCTTCCGGACGACTCCTGAGTATCTCGGCTTGATCAAGACGTCTCTCGCCCCTGGAGGAGCTGATGGGCCGATATCGATTGCCCGGGCGCCGGATGAGATGCTGTCGGAACCGCTTGAGAAGCGATGGCCTGGACTCGAGCTCATTCAATAACTGAGCCAGTTCTGTCGGACTCGGTACGTGATGCAATGCTGCTCTGACCCGCTTCGCGAGCGACCCCTCCTCCGCTCGTCTCTCCCTGGGCTCGAACTTCCAGCCGACGATCTCACCCGTTGGATCCCTCCACGACACATAGTCCAGTCTCTTCGGCAGCCTCTGATACAACGCCTCGGCTTGTTCGTACCACCCAGCGAGGGCGATCCGTCGAATATACGTATTCAACCACTTGCTCATGCTCGGGGTGACGACCTCCCGGACAAACGTGTCGCTCCGTTCCGGTGCCGCTTCAGCAAACGTATTGAGCACGTCGACAAACATCGGCAGCGATCTCTCTGGCCGCAGTGTCGCTCCCCAGTCGGCAATAAAGTGTTCAATGACGGATGCGAGGATTCCCTTCCTCGCACAAAGCTGCAAGAATCGCTTGGCCGTGTCTTCGTCCATTCCTCTGAGCTCCCGGATGATGTCTCGCAGGTCGTCAAAAACCTCTTGTCTCCGCTGTCCTATCGTTGTCGGATCGTCTCCACTGTATGGATACAGCTCCATCCACTCCACAAACTCCTCCTTGTTCCCCCGCTTCAGTGCATCCAGCGCGGCATCCTTGTACTCATACCTCTCCCTGACAGTCAGACCAGCCTGGCGCATCTGATGCAATAACCCAAGCGCCTCTGCAAAGTCTCTCCTCCTCACTGCCTTGACTATGACTTCGCACAGAGCGCTCGAGCTGCTCGCAACCGAAGCGAGCCGTTTCGAAGCTTCCCTGTACTCCTCTGCATCTTGCTCGAGGAATATGCCGACAGGCCGTCGTTTGATCTCTGGTGGAGGCGGGAAGAGACTAAAGGTGATGGATCGGGTCTGCCGCGCTATGACCAAGCGAAGGACATGCAGGGTCCGACTCATGGGTCGAGGTCGGGAGGGAAAACAAAAGTCGAAGAATAAAATCCGGAAGTCACAACTTTCCAAGTCAGCTTTACTTTCCAAGTCAGCTTTACTTTCCCTTCCGCTCGCACTCGCTCGCTCGCCATGTCGATGGCAGCTCGCCGAGGCAAGCCAAAGATTGTGAGCTCCCTTCTCATCCTCCTCGCTGACCTTAGCGACCTCCTCGAAAGGTGCGCCCCGCTGTGACCAACCCTACTGACATCAGCTCGGCCCGGATACCTCAATCAAAGACACATGGACCAAGCTCGCCAACGCGATCAGGGAGATTCAGAATCACAACGCCTCGAAGCTGTCGTTCGAGGAGCACTATCGCTATGCCTACAATATGGTACTCCACAAACGCAAGTTCCCCGCATCCCGACCTCGCTGATGTTTCAGATGGCGACCAACTCTATAATGGCGTCAAGGGGCTCATAGCTGAACATCTAGACCAACTCGCCCGAGATACCATCGTGCCAACCTTCCCACGTACCTCTGGATCCTCTAGTCGCGGTGCAGAAGCCATCGAGCGCGCCATGGAGGGCGATCGCTTTCTCAAAGCCGTCAAGGGGGTCTGGGACGACCACACGGGGAGTATGCGAAAGCTCAAAGATGTGCTCAAATACATGGTAGGACCTCTGCCAGTGCCTCGCTAAATCTCAGGACAGGTCATATACCACGTCGGCTGGAGTCCCCGACATCTACGAGGTCGGGCTCACGCTCTTCCTCCAACACATCGTTCGAGCCACGCCGATCCACACCCACCTCATCGCCACCCTGCTCTCCCAAGTGCAACTCGAACGAGATGGGGAGACAATTACCCGTTCCACTGTTCGCGAATGCGTCGATATATTGCTGCGTCTGAGCATCAACGATTCCAATGTCTATCTCGCAGACTTTGAACCGGAATTCCTCCGTCGCAGTGCAGACTTTTATAAGCTCGAAGCGGTGACGATGTTGGAGAAAGGCGATTCGGCATTGTATCTCAGAAATGTGAGGCCCCTCTCGTATATCCTCTGACGCCAGGTCGAGCGCCGTCTCATCGAAGAAGCCGACCGCACAGCCCACTATCTCTCCTCCATGACCACAAATCCCCTACAAGATCTCCTCGTCGAGCAGCTCCTCAGTCCCCATCTCTCTGCCATCCTTGACGCCAGCACCGGCCTCACATCCATGGTGGACACCGAGAAGGTGGGCGATCTCCGGCGACTGTACACTCTGCTCCTCCGTGTCCCCGAAAATATTGGTCGCGATGCCCTCCGTCTCGCTCTCCGCATCGACATCGAAGAACGCGGCAAGGCGGTCAACCAAAGCGCGACCGAGACACCAGACAACGACGAAGACCCCAAAGGCAAGGGCAAGGCTAAAGAGTCCAACGCGTTGAGCTCTGCTCTGCGCTGGGTGCAAGACACTCTGGATCTCAAAGACAAGTTTGACCAGCTGCTCGCTCAAGCGTTTGGCAACGACCTGTCCGTCCAGACATCCATCAACGAGGTGAGCGTGGGGTTGTGCTCGACTGACTCCAGGCATTTCAATCATTCATCAACGCCACACCTCGTGCCCCCGAGTTCCTCTCCTTGTTCATCGACGAGCATCTCAAAAAGGGGACGAAAGCGGTGAGTCGGAAGCCTCCGATATTGCTGACTTCTGAAGAAAACCGAGGACGAGATCGACCAAGCGCTGGAGAAAACCATCATCCTGTTCCGCTTCCTCCACGACAAGGACAAATTCGAGCGCTACTACAAGAACCACCTAGCTCGGCGGATGCTGTATGGACGAAGTGCCAGTGACGATGCAGAGAAGGGCATGGTAGCCAAGCTCAAGGTCGAGATGTGAGTCAACAGGGTTCCTTACCCACTCATCCCTAGGGGCTTTCAATTCACCCAGAAACTCGAAGGCATGTTCACGGACATGCGTATATCGAGCGAAGGTGCGACAACGTTCCGCAATTACCTCAATCGCCACGGCGCCCTTCCATTCGATCTCTCCGTCAATGTCCTCACCGCTTCCTACTGGCCCCAGGCCATCGCCGCCGCTTCCACTTGCACGTTCAATTCCACCCTGGCCGTGGCCACGTCCACATTTCAGAGGTACTACGACTCGCGTCACAGCGGTCGTCGCCTGACATGGCAGGGCAACCTCGGTCACGCCGATGTTCGCGTGCGATTCAAAGCTCGGACGCACGATCTCAACGTGTCAACTCAAGCCCTCGTCGTGCTCCTCCTGTTTGAAGATGTCGACGAACTATCCTATGAGGTGGGCGGTGATTGGTTTCCTGAACTAACGCCAGGACATACAAGCCGGGTCAGGCCTCGCCGACGCCGAACTCGGTCGTACCCTGCAGTCCCTCGCCTGCGGCAAGTTCCGTATCCTGCTCAAGACGCCCAAAGGTCGCGAAGTCAACCCCGGGGACATTTTCGCCTTCAACGACGGCTTCACCTGTCCCCTCGCCAAGATCAAGATCATGCAAGTCGCCAGCAAAGTCGAATCCCCAAGAGAGCGCGAAGAAACCCAAGTCCAGGTCGACGAGGAGCGCAAACATGTGGTCGAGGTGAGCAGGCTGCGCCGGACTCGCTGATGCCAGGCGTGTATTGTCCGTGTCATGAAAAATCGCAAAACCATGACTCACAACGATCTCATCACCGAGGTCGCCCATCAACTCTCCACCCGCTTCAATCCATCCCTTGGAATGATCAAGAAACGCATAGAGGGGCTGATAGACGTGAGTCAATAGCCCATTTCCTCGCTCACGGTCAGCGGGAATACCTCGAACGCACCTCCGACATTGGTACGTATCATTACCTCGCATAGTTGTATCATGCATCCACAAACAAATCCCAGTCCAATATCTGTAGACTCTTGACCGCCTTGAGCCACCACGACTCGATCTCCTTCTTATCGTCCTTGCTCATATTCACATTGACGCTGCACACCACGTCCGCTTGTTTCTTCCTGGACCCCTCTATCCATACTCGCCAAAGAGCGACTCCCACGAACACCTCATCTGGCTGATCCGACTCGTGTCCGGGTCTGGGTCCAGTCGAGTGTGAAAACTTGTGTACCCTCTGCGTCCCTGTCAGAGTGATGGGCTCTGGCGTCTGTGGTCCGGTCGGCCGGCTCGGTCGGGATGAGGATGAAGTGAGAATGGTCGATGCCAGCGAGTCATTGTCGTGTGCGATGGATTCAAAGTGGAATCTTGAAATCAGTCCGACTGCCCTCTCTGTGACCCACTTGACGGCCTCCCACAGGTTGTCTCTTGCCCCGCCCTCTTCGACCCAGTCGAGCACTTCGACCACCAAGGAAGTGTCCGACGATGGTGAAAGGAAAACCTCCTGGTTATCTGGAATCTGCCGCAGATCACTCGCTCTCAGCTCTCGTCCTCATCCCTGCCCCACCTCGCATCAATATAGTCCCCCGGTAGCTCCATGCGCATGGCGCCGCCAAACAACTCCCTCACCTCCATGATATAATGTCAAACGCCAAACGTCGTTTCAACTTGACACTATGCATATTACCATCCTCGGTGGAGGCCTTACTGGACTTTCCGCCGCACATCACATCTCGCGAGCAGTCCCTACGGCTCAGATCACGCTCATCGAAGCGAGCAATCGGTTTGGAGGATGGGTACAATCCACCCGTCAAGGCGTGGTACTCGAAGGTGGACCAAGGAGTATACGGCCGGGACGTTCTTCAGCCGGTGCAATCATGCTGAAAATGGTGCGTTGAAGTTCTTGGGACTGCGCTGACGCTAGATTCGCGACATTGGACTCGAGTCCTCCATCGTCCCTGTTCCCCGAGATAGCCCTTCAGCGCGTAATAGGTTCTTTCTCAAAGACGGCAAGCTCGAGCCCGTGGGTGTGCGATCTGCACTTACTCCACGGACCGTGTTCTCCGTCCTTACTGAACCCCTCGACCTCTTCCGCCCAGCTCGATCCGACGAATCTGTGGACAGCTTTCTCACGCGCAAGTTTGGTCACTCGATCGCAGCCCTCGCTTCGACTGGCCTTCATGGCATCTACGCTGCTTCGTCGTCAGATCTCTCTGCAGAGGCCATCCTCGGCAGCTTCTACAAGGCGCAATCATACCGATCGGTGGTCTTGGGACTACTATGGATGAAACTGTTTCCCTCGACGGCCTCCAAGAGAACCACCGCAACGGCTGCCGCTCACTGGGCTCAACTCGGCCCTCTCGGCAAGGAAGCGGCCACCTGGGCGTCCTACGGCCTGCAGGGCGGTTTGGCCACACTCACAGATCACCTGGCAAGCTCGCTGCGCGCCGACTTGCGTCTCAACGAAAAGGTCCTAAGCCTCACTCCTGGTACCGTCAGGACGTCACGAGGACTCATTACAACCGACCACGTCATCGCCTGCATTCCCCCTGCCGAACTCGCCAAGATCGCGTCACTTCCTCACCTCACCGTCAATCCCAGTACAACGGTCGGCGTTGTCAACTTTGTCTATCCCGCCCCTCCGTCTCAAATCCACCCCGAGGCATTTGGCTATCTTGTCCCAAAGCATGACCCTCACGGGGTCCTCGGCGTCGTCTTTGACTCTACAGCTCTGCCTGGTTTGGACGACCACTCGGTGACCAAGCTGACCGTCATGATGGGTGGTCCCTACTGGTCCACGTATGGCTCGAGCATGCCGCCCAACCTCGTTTCCCCGGCCCTCGAGCACCTTCACGGCGTCTTGCCCGCACTGCGCTCACTCACACCTACGCACGCGATCCCGCACCTTCAGCGTGACTGCATCCCGACCTACCTACCAGGACACTACGCCCGCATGCGAGAGCTCGGAGCAGCACTGCAACCTTGGCATGGCACCCTTTCGCTTGCCGGCGCCGGCTACTATGGCCCCAGTGTCAACGACTGCGTCGCATCCGCGGCCGCCATTGCCTCCGCTCTGGCCAATGGCCAGCATCCCACAGGACTCGAATGGCTAAATGCATAGAGCTATCTGTGTGGATCCACTGTGGGGGAAGGGTCACCCGATGTCGGCGTCTGCGATGGCGTATGACCCGGTCGAAAACTGTCCACTCGGATGGCATTACGATCCGTCAACGGGGACTCGCTCGGACTGTCTTCGTCTGACTCGAGGATTTCCAGAAGATCATTGCTTGGAGTCTCGATCACTGTACTCTCCGGTCGCCTCAGCTTGCCCTTCTCCTTTAGCCGCTTGAGCACTTTGTGGGCAAATTCTTTGGTGAAAGACTTGATCTTGGCCTTTTTCTCCTCTGATAGTTGAGGATGCCTCGAGGATGCGTATGAATGTCCCTTCTTCTCCTTTTCTACGAGTATCGTTGTGCACTACCGTCAGCATGAGCATGCCCATCCCATTCGCTCACCTCCTTTGCATATCGTTTAAACGTATCATGATCCATCTGCTCCCGATATTTGGACATGGACTTGACCACGACGTCTCCCACCAAGACCTTGAGCCGCTTCTCCTTTCTCGATCCATCTTCCTCTCGCTTCATCCGTTTGCGGCGATCCACGCTCTCTGGATCTGCTGAGCGAGATCCCGAACGACTCGATTCGGCTGCAGGTGATTCGGGAAGCACAGGCATAGACTGTTGGGCTAGCGCAATGATGGCGTCCAGCTTGGAACGGTCGGCCGAATGAGTATGCGTCGGCGGCGGCCGGACGACCGGCGGAGGTCGAGGCCGCATGAACGGTGGTGGCCGGGCTCGAACAGGAGCAATGTCGATCTGAATGAAGCTGGTGTTTTCCCATGCCTGGGGGCGTCGGAGCTCCGAGTATGACGGGAGGACATCTGCTTCGGCAATGGTTGTGGTCGCGGCTTCGTCCTCAGCGTCGAGCTGCCAGTCAGCGCTGCAGTGGTCTCGACTCACAGTGCTGATCTTGGACTTTCTCGGGATCCTGTATGACAACTCTAGAGTCGACCAATAGTCCAATAGCTAAACGTCAACAATGTTCTCCCTCCCGCTCACCGTCTTTGCCACCGATTTGATCTCCCGATCGTCACTCCGGCTCAGCACCTTGACCGGTTCCTCGATATTTGAATCCTCGATCTTGTTCCTGATCTGCAGCTTCCACTTGTTCATACTTTCGAGAGCCTGGCCGTCAGCCCAGCCGAGCCCTCACACCGCCTCACCAGTAACACCACCTCCCGTTCCTCTGCCAGCTGCGTGAGAGCCATATTCATCAGGCCGAACCCATGCATTCGCATCAGCTGCCGATGAATGAGCGGTTCCTCTGTCATCTTCTCGTCAGCTATGCCCACGCTGCCTCTCACATTGACCCGTTCCAGCAATCTCGCCATCATCTTTGGATTCTCCGCCGATTGACGAATCGCCGCGGCCACCTTTTGCACCTCTTGCTCTGACGCAATGGGTTTGAGTGTGGGCTGCCATCAGCTCGACGACCTAGCGCTTGACGCACCGTCCAGTCCTCGTCCAGTTGCCGTGACTTTTTCTTCTTGCTGCCTTTCAAACCCAACTCCTCCACCTCGTCAGAGATTCCCAAGGCTATGATCAGCTCTGATCGCCACCTCCACCTCACCATCGAGAAACAAGTCGTCAATCGTCCCGATATCCGTCTGAGTCTTGCCTCCGATCGTTCCAACACAGTTTGGCTCGCCACAATAGCAAGTTTGCGCGTCGTGTCCATAGCGATCGACATTGTAGTTGAATGTAATCTCCTCGCCCTGGAGTACATCCCGCTTGGTGAAGATGCCCATCCGCAGCCGCCTCCCGACGACCCATTTCTGTACCTCGCTGTTTGGGTTGCATGAATGATTCGCAAAGCGTCCGATCCCGCCCTTCATCGTCGCATCGATATACTAGAGGTCAGCTGGGTCGTCCCATCTCACCTCACCTCCTCCTTTTGCAACATCATAAAGTAAAAATGCTTGATCCCCTGATCCGCATACTGCTGCATCCGTTTTCTAAACGTCTTTTCCTGCACCACCTCGCCAATGTACTCGTACATCAGTGTTCCCCTGCCTGTCAGCTAGATCAGATCCATACTCACGCAGCAATGTTTTCTTCTGCTCTTAGCCCGTACCCCTTCATTTCTGTCAAAACGATCTGTACAGGGGCATATTGCCGCTTGGTGAACCTAACGTCAGCGAGAGCGCATCGCCCCACCCACCTCTGATTCTGACACTGCGACTTGGCACGACATTCTTCAGCCAAGCACTCGATGAATATAGCTCGGTTGATACAGTCAGAATACGGTCCGCAAGGCTTCGCATCGGGATCATCTATTCGTCAGCAGTGAAGGGTCCTTGATATCACCCACGTTTGTCGTACACACAGTCGCACACCATCATCTCATCCTGCTCTCTACTCAGGCCCAGATCCTTCCGCTCATAGACACATCTCTCCAATTCGACAAACGTCTCGTGAGCCTCCTCCCATGCCACTGGCAGATGGTTGACGAGCATCGGGCCGGGCGCCTCCTTTGCAGGTGTCGGACTGCGCGGCGGCAAGTCCACAACAGGCTCCACCTTGGGAGAGTCTGCCGAGAACAGCTCCATCTTCACCACCACCTCCTCCTCCACCTTTACTGGCTTCTCGTCGTCCATGACTCAGAGCATGATGTTGAGAGAAGAAAGGAAAATTCAAAATCGTCGCGTTTTTCCGCGCACAAATACATTCTTTGCTATGGGCTCTGGGGTGTCCTCACCTCGAGCTCAAAGCTCTCGGAACGTTGATGAGACAGCATGACCGGCTCAAACGTCATCTTTGCACTCTTCCGCAACGCCTCCAAGCTCTGACTCGAGCGCAGTGCCGGGCTCGGTGTCGCATCTGCCATGCGCTTGGTTGAGGGCGACTTTCTGGGTCGGATGGACTCCTCCTGGCGGCGCGCCTGAGCCTTGCGCTCCTTGTACCACCGTATAAAGTCGTCTGGCATCTGGCGGAGGTGCGAGTCGTCAGGAATCGTCCAGGCTAGGATCGATCTCGTCTCAGTGGGAGAGGTCACGGCGTTTGGCGGCGGCGTCGCGACCAGGCTCTTCCCCGTGGGCAGCTGGAACGGCAACATGAATTTGCTGTCGAGAAGCTCGCCCAAGCACTCCGGACCCGACTGAGGGATAAAGTCGGCCAGAGAGGTCGATCCATCAAACAGGGCATCAATTGACGTCCCCTTTGCCACCTCCCTCGGGCCGCTCTGCAATCTGCGCTTCTCCCAATCCTTTTGTAACTGCACAAGATACTGCGCACATTCCTCCGTCATCTTGCCCTCGTTGACCTCGTATCGATAATCCCTGACCGCTCGTCTCATCTGCAGCGGATTCAGCGCCTTGAGACTCTGCAGGGTTCCGATGAGGGTGTCAAACTGTCGGATTTGGGACGAACACTGGAGCCATTGTAACAACTGAGTCACCGGCTCCAGGTGCAGCGTTGCGATCCGACTCGGCAGCCCGTTAGCCCGGACCCAGTCCTGCAGAACCGTAATGTTCATCTTGATCTGCACAGCTTTAGATCGACAGATGTACTTTTTCCTCGCCAAGATGCGATTGAACAATTCGCTTGCGATCCAGAAAAAGATTTGTGAGAATGCTTGCACAGTGACAATGGGATTGATATCGTACAGCTGCAGAACCATGAGAACTGCAGATAAGACTCGTGTCACATGCAGCGGCTTGGATGGGGGAGCGACAGCGGTGGCGGAAGAATCTGCAGAGTCGAGATCTGAAATGGACGAATGCGATCGGTATGACTTGAACGGGGACCCATTGGCAACGTTCTGCAGCGATCCAAACAGACTGGGGGAAGATGGGACAAAGTCTGTACTTGGCGTACCAAATACGTCCACCGCTTTCGGAGGTGCCTTTCTCCCTCGGATCGACTTGAAAAAGTTCCAGTCGCCTTCGAAGCGAACATCGTCAAAGTCCTCCAGGGTTTCGTGATCGAGCAGCGCGGTATCAAGCACCGCGTCGATGCGCCGTTCCGTGACTCGAATGATGAAGACTGTTGTGTGAGTCAAATCTCGAGCGCATCAACCCACCATGTATCGCATGTATCAGCTCCTCCATCATGTCGAGGAGCTCCATCTCCTGGCACGCGCGCCGCAGGCCTTCATCTGACCGTAAGAGGTGGAGTAACAGGGACGAATTATAAGCCCAGAATGCAAGGTACGCCAGGTTCTCCATGTTTCCCTGCCGTCAGCTCTGCAGAGACTCTCGCTCACGTAGACCCCCTGCTCGATCCTCTCCACAGCGCCCTCAATGAGCTCCTCGAGCCAAGTCTCGTCACATTGATAGTAGGCAAATTTAGCGTGTAGATACAGCGCGTTGGCAGGCAAGGCTCTGCGCGCCACCGGACAGCATTGAGTTGGGTAGCCCGTGATGAGAATGTCGTAGATCCTGTCAAGGTGGGACAGCGAAAAGACGATCGAGTCGTGCTATGGTCAGCCGAGTCCGCGCGCTCAAACTCACGCTCAATCCTGCACCCTCATCTTGCCCTTCATTTTCGATGAGCATTTGCGGAGATACCTCGACCACCGCTGCCATCTCCTGGATCCACTTCTCCCTCGCCAGATCCACTTGATGTCGCTTTTCATCTTCGTCCTTCCTTCTCAATCTTGCCACGGCCTTTGCCCGCCGCTTGCCCAGCATGGCCTTCCGCGCAGAGCTCAGCGAGTGCTGCATCTCGGCAGCGTGAGGCGCGGCCGAAATCGCGTGGTCCAGCAGAACCGCAATCTCCTGTCTGTCCGCAATGTCTGAGATCAAGTCGTACGGTGTCAAACCACGATGGGTAAGTTCATGAGGTGACGCTCCTCGCGTCAGGAGAAAAGACACCAGCGGCGGAGTAGAGATCATGGCGGCGAGGTGTAGCGGCGTCCACCCAGCTAAAGTAAGCGACATCTTGTTTCCAAACGCACTTCGATCCCGACCTCCTCTTGGTCCCACATTCAGATCCCAGCGACTGACCAACAGCCGGACACCTTGCTCCGCCTCTTGCCTGCCACAACTGGCCTGAATCATCATGCCAATAGGACTCCAACCATCCTCATCCTCCATCAGCTGTGCCTCCTCATCCAAAATCGAGCGCTGCCGTCAGCAGACAGAGGACTGGCATCCTCACCCAGGGGTCGTCCAGACTCAAGAGCCAGCCTAACAAGTCTACATCGGCACGCTCGATTGCCCATTGCAGGGACAGACGCAAAATGAGCGCCGCTCTGACCTCATTCCCCTTTCCCTTTGCACCAGATCTTGTCTGCTCGAGCTGAGGAAGCAGGCTGCTTGGAGATGGATCCGATAGGAACAGCGGCAGGGGTGTCGATACAACCCTGCCATCAGCTTTGCCTGCTGAATGGACTTACCTTCCGCGTGAGCTCGATGGCGGATGCCTCAGATCAGGACTCGGGAATGAAGACCCCGTCATGGGGGACTCTGGGACGGTCATGATGGGCTCATGGGTCAACTCGAGATATGATGTTGTGACCAGGTGCGGATAGCCCAAAACGCGTTTCAGAATTCGCAGGGTGGCAGGTCGATTTGTGGCATTTCGTACATATCAGTCTCCATTGTAGTCGGACACTGAAATTGACGCTGTAGGTCACTCCTTTGCGCATGCACAAAGAGTCTCAGGTCGAGTTGCATTTGTCTTAGCTGGAAGCGAGAGAACCATTTGCCACCACACAATGAACCAATCTAATAACGAGACGACTTCTGCCGGAACACCCACAGATCTTGCGTCTGGCACGGCTAACGGGGAGGTTGAGGTCAATCGATGGGCCTCTCCAAAGTTGATCTCACACTCGGATTGTTCCACCGAGCAAGTGATCGCCGACTATTTCGGGACGCTACATTCTCAGACGACAGCTCGGGTCGAGCAACTCCAAAAGTCCTTTGGAAATCTGGCCAGAGTGCAAGGCCAAGAGGGCGCTGCCGCCAATGCTATCAAAACAGCATCAGCAGACATCGCCCACTTTCTGGAGGGAGTCAGTCAGGCTCACCAAGAGTCCTTCACATTCTCCACCGAGAACAATGATACCCTACCAGGCATGTTCCCACTGAAGCCCGCTTCGGCATACTTGCCTTCGGTGCCTTTTGGTATGCGTCTGGCTACTTGGATCGATGACCCCCTCACAGCATCCGGCACAAAATGTGAAGACTGCACCGATCTGTTCTGCGACGCTGCTGAGCTTGGCAAGGTGGTGACCAAGCTGTCCAAGGAGGCAAGAACCATCCTCGAGCAAGCGATTTCTGCCGCCACACAAGCGGTATCAGCGGCAAACTTGTCACAGGATACACAGGAGGAAATCAATTGGTCACTCGCGTCTCTGTACAGCCAGTTTGTCTGGACAGTTTCCCCACAATGTCGAACCCTTCTGATGAACACCTGCTCGCATGGTTTCGGTAACTACTCCATCTGGGTCGAGAGGATGGAGAAGAGCGCTCAGCTACCGAATGGTGATCCCACATATCCGTGGCCGCTTGAGGTTGCCAAAATCGGGATGCCCGCACGAGTGATAGAAGACGATCAAGATGCGCCAGGTGAACCGGAGTCGGACGTCAGTGAGGAGGAATAGACATGCAGCGATCAGCCAGTATTGAGCTCGTATGCAGTGCCAAGGAGTTGAGCATTTCAGATACTGTCGTTGTGGCACTTGCTTTGTTCGCCTTTCAGAGGGTCATAATTTGTCTCATTTGCCCACAGGAAGAAGGCGGGATTGTGTACAGACGCTGCGTGACCAGCTACGCTTCCCTCGCCACCAGACCGACATGTCCAGTTGCCAGCTTCTACCTCCACTCGACGCACTGTTGGGTTGTGATACGAGTGTTGTGTTTGGTACCGGTGAACAGAGTAAATTCGATCACCTGAGGGATCTCATGCGTCTGGAACAACTGCCCGCTCTGCGTCAGTCCTTCGACAAGCTAGCAGCAACGTCCTGCAGAGACACTGTGAAGACCCGAACGGTGTATGCAGAGTTCTCTTGTACAACTTGGTCAAGGGCACTGTGTCAGTCCTCAAAGGTATCAATTTACCTCATCAACTGGACGTGTCTTCGAGATCTGCATAGGGGCCGGTGCTTCCTCAATATCTGGCTCGTCCCCATGACAGTGAGGCGTTGTCAGAGACTCGTGATCAACTGGCGCGAAGCCGCGGTAGTTTGCGAGACGCTCGAGGATTGTTCAAGCTGTTTGGAGACGATACACGACTCGCACAGACTGACCCCAGTCGCGAGGAATGTAGCTGAGAGGACAAGACAGATCGTTGCGAGAGCTGTCCAATAGGCGGTCAAAGCCGTCGAATCTGCGCGATTGACCAAGTATCACTAGGAGAAACTCTGTTGAAGGCATGCCAGGCACTTCTGCCCATCCGAATCTGAGCTCATGGACCTACGTGAACGTTTCCATAGTGCTGTAGACTCGTTGAAGCGTGTCAGCAAATTGTCTAAGCCTGGGCCATTCAAACTGGCGAGATATGAGACAGACTGCAGACCGTGGGCGTTCTGACACCTGGGGCTCACAGCCTAACGTTGCCTCGGGCAGTGAGACATCAGGCAGACGAGCAGGCATCCAGTGGTGGAGATTCGACTCCCAAAGCGCTGCCCAACATCTAAACTCCTGCTCTGATATTAGATTGCAGCCTCCCGTGACATCGACGAGCCAGGTACTGCTGTTATCCCATCATGCTCATTCTAGTCATCGTACATGCATGCCCGAGGGATTCCACCAATTATGATCGGGGCTTCTCCCTGAGACACCCGTCAGTATCCACCCTCATCGGTCCACACCAGACTCACTTCTTCTCCTTCCAGAGAGCCAAGAGACCCACACCAGCAACCTTGACGACCTTGAATCGGACACCTGGAATATCTCCCTTTGCCTTTCCACGTCGACCGAATCCAGAAATCAAAACCTCGTCGTTCTCATCGGTAAAGTTCAAGCAACCGTCTGAGCTGATCAGAAACACGCCCGACCCCGCTGCTCACCGTTGGGGACGAAAGCAGTGACCTTCTTTCCGTTCTTAATGAGCTGAACACGGACACACTTTCGGATGGCAGAGTTGGGTTGCTTGGCCTCAACACCGACCTAAATAACATGAGCCAAACGTCCACTCCCAACTCCTCACCTTCTCCAGAACGATTCCCTTGGCGTGAGAACTACCTCCAGTGGGAGAGGTCTTGTAGAATTTACCAAGAGCTCGCTTCTTGTAGTTTTTGTCGGCCCATCGGTTGTCCCGCCTGGACGTCCTGAGCTTTCTAGCGGCGTTGAGACCGGCTGGCTTGTTGGCTGGGGATGATCGTCAGTCTTAGAGCCTAAAAGGATGTATGCAGCAACCTACAGCCTGGCATTGTGGATGTCTTGATGGATGAGGAGACTCTGCATACGAGCTCAGAGGTAGCGAGTGCCGGCGAGGGGAGGACATCGGCGTTAATAACTCAGTGGCGAGACCCTTGGCTTAAATCCGATCGCTTCGATTTCGGCAGTCTCCGCCTTCCAACTATGCGGGATCGGCATCATCCGATGGGTCACCGCGGCCAGGGGATAAGCGATTCGAGATGTGTTGCATCCTCTCAGTCATCGCAGCAACATGGTCTCGCTAGATCTCAGAAAGGTTCACCCCTCGTTTGAGCCCAAGTTTGCTCACTTTCCATCTCGTCGATCGACAGTGTTCTCGGCCAAGGGAGCTGTAGCCACGAGTCAACCTCTAGGTAACTGACTGCATACACTGATGTCGCTGACTTTTCGTCAGCATGCCAAGCAGGTATCGAGATCTTGAAGAAGGGAGGCAATGCAGGTGGGCCTCGGGAGCTTTTTAGCAAGACTGACATTCAGCCGACGCTGCTGTCGCCACTGCCGCAGCGATGAACGTCTGTGAGCCAAGCTGCACCGGCATCGGTGGAGGTGAGCCATTGAGAGGGTCATGACTGAAACCCCAGACATCTTTTGCTTGTTTTTCGATGCAAAGACCAAGACGGTGAGAGGTATAAATGGCTCCGGAAAGGCTCCTCAGGCACTCTCGGTCGAGCATCTACGGTCCCAAGGCATCAAGGGAAATTCGGTGAGCAAGAACACACTCACTCAATCGCTCACGACCAGATCCCGTACGACAACCTCAACTCGGTAACGGTGCCTTGCGCCGCTGCGGGATGGCTCAAAACTGTCGAAGAGTTTGGATCGGGCAACTTGACCATGAGAGAAATTCTCGATCCTGCTATTCGCATGGCGCGCGAGGGAGTTCCAGAGCACGAGTTTAGCGCTCGAGGGGTGAGCCTTACACTTTGCCTCGCTAAAGGCTTCAGTATCAACGGTCAGAGAAACTCATCAAGAATGCTTCGCCGAATTGGCACGAGTAAGTGGACCTCGTGTCGCGAGCTGATGCAACAGGATGATGATGCCCGATGGAGTGAGTCTCATCGCCATGCATCTTGCTGACTTGAAGAACCCTCCCCTGGAATCAAACATCATGACACACGCAGAGCTTGCCGACACGTTCGAAGCCGTTGCCAAGCACGGACATGACGGCTACTACAAGGGACGCATAGCTCAAGGTGAGGATCTTATGTAACTCGACTGACCATCCCAGCCATTGTTGATCTCGTACAATCCAAAGGAGGTGTCATGACCATGGAAGACCTCGCCTCCTGCGAGGCGCAAGTTATCGAGCCAATCAAGTATGATTTTCGAGTCGGAATGGCAGGTGATGAGGGAGTCACTCTCTGGGAAGTGGGTCCATTTCGTTACATTCTCTGACCCTCAGTGTCCACCTAACGGCCAAGGCCTGACTGCCCTTGTTGCCTTGGGTATCGTTGAGGCGTACGAGGAGAAGCACGGAGTGGATATTTTGAGCTTGGAGTACAATTCCGCGGACTATCTTCACATCCTCATCGAGGCACTTAGACTGGCGTTTGCAGGTGAGTTCTGTCCGTCGAATCGTGCTGACGCGTCTCAGACAGTGAGCAGATCATGAAGACTTTGGTTTTGATTCCCCAGCTCAGTATTACATTACCGATCCCGATGTTGAAGAAATGCCAACGAACGAGCTTCTGAGCAAGGTGAGCGAGACTCGTGAGTCTCACTGACGCCACCAGCCATATCTAGCCAAGCGAGCTGGCTTAATAGATCCCAAAAAGGCCATCCGAGTCGAACACGGGAACCCCATGCACTCGTCCGATACCATTTACCTATCCACCGCCGACAAGGACGGCAATGCCTGCTCCTTTATCGCTTCCAACTATGCTGGTGAGTGTATAGAGCTGCATCGAACTCACAGTCAAGGCTTTGGCACTGGGGCTATTCCTGCTGGATGCGGCTTCACTCTTCAAAACCGTGGCAGTGGGTTCGTACTGGAAGAGGGCCATCCCAACTGCCTCAAGGGCGGTAAAAGACCCTACCACACGATTATCCCAGGCATGGTGACTCAAAATGGCGAGCTATTGATGAGCTTTGGTGTGATGGGAGGTGAGTAGGGCAAACCAAGTCAGTGAGACGCTGACGACTCTTGGCAGGTTTCATGCAGCCACAAGGTGGGGTACGTCCGCTGCTCTCGCTGACCACCAGGTCACCTTCAAGTCCTCTTAAACAAGCTCAGAGGCTTTTCGTCCCAATCTGCTCTCGATGCACCCCGATTCTGTATCTCTGCTGGTCTACCCGACAATACCACAAAAGGAGCGTCCAACGCTGGTGATATGGATTCCGAAATCTGGATCGAAGAGGGCATCTCGGACGAGGTCATTCAACAGCTCACAGGTGTGTCTCTGTTTCACTTGATCCCCACTGACGACGTCAGCCATGGGCCACCGCTGCGAACGAGCATCAGACTATGCTCGATTCACTATGGGTCGAGGACAGATCATCCAAGCTGTCAGAGACCCCTCAGGTCGAAACGTGTGGGCTTGCGGATCCGATCTCCGAGGAGATGGATGTGCCGTGGGAGAGATCTGAGTGCCATGATGCATACAACACGGTAAAAGATATTACATTGCCTCTACACCGCTGCAATCTTTCTGAAACACGACAATACCTTGTTCACTCCTTCCACATGTGCAGGACGACTAGAGTCAAAGCCAAATCTCAATCTTCCGAGCGCGATCAATCGATAGATCGCTCCCGCAAGAAGTAGCGAAATGTCTTCGTCTGATTTGCCGGGAGGTGACTCGTGATAAAGGACAGAGAGTGTTGTCGATTCGTAGCTGAGATTCGGCATCGCGATGCTGAGCAGGAACACCGAGTGAGGGAACAAGAGGTGATGCGATGAAGAGTCTGGTCTCGCAGGGAGATGCACGGGTGCCCGTGTGTAGTGACTAGCGTAATACGCTGTCAAAGACTCGTCAATGAGCCTTGTTGAGGCGTCGGCAAATAGCGCCGGCGGGATGGCTCCGATCGGTTTCAGTGATGTTTGTTTGATGCGACTTGATGCCGTGCCCGAGGCATGCACGATAGAGGTAGGTATTTTCGACTTTACAATGGCAGATTTCCAACCTTTCGTCAGCGTCATCCAGCGCATGCCCCCTCACAGTTCAGTTCGACAACGGATAACGTAGGTGGCGCAAAGATGGTCAGACGATACTCTACCGCCATTTGCTCGGCAACGTCGTTGATATAATCCCAAAGCTTGGCAATGCGGGTCCCGGAATCCTTCAAACCCAGAAAGGTGCCCAGGCGCCACGACTGGCCCTGATCATCGAGCACCATTGCCACGGCCATGTCGAGATCCTCGTCGTAATCGTACGCACAATGAATCATGGTCCATCGGTTCATGACGTCGTAGGATTTGAGAGGCCAGGCCAGAGTCAATTCAGGCTTCCGCTGATCCTCATTGACCAAGGTGAAGTGAGGTGATTGGATGGAGGCGACCGAGGAACTCATGGGCAGACCCCGAATGGATATCGGCCTGACGGGTCTAGGGATCCGATCGTAAATGTCAAAAGCGATGGTGACTAGATCTTCCTGCGATGGGAAGCGCCCTGGAAAGATATGATAGATGTGTCCATCCTGGGTCGGATCGATGATCTTTGACGAGAATCCAGCGCGGATGATGGTCTGCAGGTCGGTCGAGAAAAGTATGCAAAAGATGGCTGCGCCGTCGAGATCTTGACAGAGCCGTGTGTCTGCATGATCAGCAAGAATCGAGATCAGACACTTACTGAGCGTGATTACCAGATCCGATGGGTCGCACGCTGCGACTTGCTCCCAGATACTCCCTTGCTTTGTCAATTTCCCCAATCCAAGGCTCTGAAGCTTCAGCAAAGTCACGAGATATGACTCACCTCGTAGACGCCTTCGAGTGCCTGGAGGAAACGCAACGTCGCGCCTTCCGCCCCGCTGGCCTTCTCATGCAGGACAGAGAATGCAATGTCCTTTCTCCCACCGACCGGTTCGAGGCCCAATTGTGGCCAGTACCTTAGGCCAGCAGCACCCAGGCTCATCACACTACCGGCGAACCCGACGTGGACGCTCAAAGGTGCCAAAGACTTTGGGTTGCCAGACGGGTTGTGCATCTCGTTGTCTACCGGTCAGCTCAAGTTTCTCACTCCGCTGACTCACCATGATGATCAATGAACTCGCACAGTGCCGAGCCTTGTCGCATCCATGCGAGAGTGTCATCTTCATGTGCTTCCGCGACTGCCACATTGACACGGAACGCATCAGATCCCTCGATATACATCCGCAAGTGACGATCCGCCAAGATATGGTTTGCCAGGCGCGAACAGTCCAGCTCCTCGAGTATGGATGAGTCAACCACATGATCTTCTGGCTCCACTGCGGCATCGGACTTGCTTCCACCAGCCCACCCGATTTCCCAAGGCACGGCAAGGACATCGACCGCTTGCTCCCGTAACCACAACCAGTCGGCGGAGATGCATTTCTTGCTCCGCCAGCGAAGTTCTTGATCAGCTTCTGAAGCACTTTCCGTTGAAATGAGACTCTGATTTCCCGCTGCGCTACCATCATCCATCATGGATTCTGGGGTGAGCGGTCCTGGTGGCGAGCCATCATCCGGCTCCATATCAGAGACATCAGACTCCACGTCCCATGCAGCGGCGTAATCATCCTTGTACTTGGAGTTTGGCTTACGGAGGCGATCGACCAGTTCGACGCGCAAAGCCTCAGGAGTAGTGGCGGGAGAGGGGAGAGAATAAGGGAAGGCAGAAGCGCGAACTGGACCGAGATGTAGCGGTACAAAGTCGGTCGGGATGAGATCGAATTCTGGGCTGCTGTGCGTGTGAGAATGATCAAGTAAAGGTGGCGATGGCGCAAATTGGACCTGCTTGACGGGTCTGACGATACTTGTGTCACCATCGGTCTCTTTTGCCTCTACCGGGTGCTCGTCCAGCTCGGGCTTTGGCTCGACCGTTTCTACAGGCTCCGCGGCCTCCTCCTCGGGAGCCCTATAAGGTTCTTCTTCCGTCTGCGCAGTAGGAAACACCTCATCCTGGGGTGATCTCGGCGAGTCGAAAAACGCAAAGTCATCTTCGGTGATCTGAGTGATTTCACCTTCCGCCTCGCCTTCGCCTTCGTCTTCCGAATCCTGTTCCTGTGCAAAGTCCATGATGACGTCTCGCTCCAATTGGACCTGCTTCTCTTCCTCTTGCACCTCATCTTCGTCCGCGATCTCTGACAAGAGCTCAAAGTCGACTTCTGCTTTGACAGGACGTTTTGTCTCTACCACTGGCTCGTCTTCACCGGAATGAGCAGAGAAGAGGTCATCAATGTCGGACTTGTCGCCCTGCTCAGACTCGGAGCCGAATATGGGTGACTCGGGGCTGATGACCGCTGCGGATTGATCAGGTGGGACGACAGTTGTCGCGTCCGAGGGATGAAACTGTGCGGTTGGAAAAGATGCTTCCCTGGACATGAGTTGATAGATCTCCGTGGCTGAGGCCATGAGGTCGTCTGGCGTGGTCGAAGCGAAGATGGATCCAGGAGGTTGAGAGACAGGTATTGAGGTTGGGCGAGTCGGACACGCATCCAGGAGAAGGTGAGTGGGCCAGACGGTCAAGATACCCTGGCTCAATGTCCAGCTGTCGACGCTCTTATCGTTCGACTTGAGCCTCGGTACCCATACCACTGACCAAGCATTATACACAGTTCGATCCAACTCAGTGACCAATTGCTTGCCTGTCCTATCTGTATTCCAAGTGGAGCCGAGCGCCGCGGAAAAGGATTCGGAGAGGATGGTGGATTGAGTATCGTTCGGGCTGAAGGGCCCCAACGTGATGGCAGGTAGGTACAATGGGCGGACAAAGACAAGCTGATTGGGCATGTCGAGGACATTGAGATCTTTCGGCGAGATGCGAGGAGGCTCTTTCGCCTGAATCCGAAGCGCGCACTTGTCTCTCGACAGCGGATATAATAGACCTTGTAGCTCCGTATGCCCCCTTTGAACTGTCAGTAAAAGATAAAGACCCCCTTGGACATACTCGTATGCTTGATGAATCGGTTGCATAATCACTCTCCTCCCCTTTCTCCAAGCGAGACTTTCGACCAGAGCGTCCGTCAACAAGCTCCAAGCGCGTGCCACGGCAGGTTTGGGTGTCCAACGCAGATTTCGACACTTATCCCTCGACTCCACAGTACCGCCTTCTCGCACGCCTGGTCTTTTCAGACAATCATAGTTGGATCCATGGACATCACACGAGATGAGGTCCAAGGGGTCTATGGATGCCTCTGGTTCCTCTGAGTTGACTTCAGCTTGGAGCTCAGCGGAGGCGCCCACCCCTTTCTTCTCCCTCCCAATTGAAGACTCACCTTGAAGACCAGGAATGTTCAACTCTTTCCGACCTGAACTGAATACCCAGAGGCAGGGAGTAGAGTCGGAAGACTTTTCAGGACTCTGTTCATTCTTCACTGGAGCAACGATCGCACAACCAGAGTCAAGTATATCTGCAACATCGGTCAAGGTCGTGCTATTGATCTGTCTCCACGCATGCTCGAGTCTCAGGTCAGGATCGAGGGACGACGACCCGGCTTTCGCGTCCTCCGAGGCGATGGTATACCGTCGACATTGAATAGTCTCGTGAAATCGAAGAGCCCAATGGCCATAGACCGGAATCGAGGCTGATGCCGGGAGATTGTTGAGCAGGTCAGACGATGCCATCCTACGGGACGAGATGCTATATAAGGGAAAGCATCTTCAGTCGCTGTTGAAGGCACTCTATTGTTCACAAGAGACGAATGCAGAAATGTGAACCTTCGCCCAAAAAGAAAAAAGGACAGTACCCGGCAGTGGCAATACTCTTCAACTTATATGTGTTCTCTCGACTTCATCTTTTACTGATCACACATGCATGACTCTTCGATTGCTCAATTGTCCATAGATAAGCAAAGAGGAAGAGGCACGAGACGGGGACGGGGACGGGAGGGGAGGGGAGGAAAGGGGTTGTTGTCAGATAATGTCGTTACGGGTCATTGCTGACCCTAAGGTCGTGAAGTGCGAATCAGTCTTCTTCGCGCAGCGCCTTCTTCTTCTCTATACAGTCTTTCTACTCTATTCCAGATCACAACTTAGGGTTTACTCAACTGTTCCTTTCGGAAGAAGAAGCTAAAAGGGAGAGATGATCAGTTCGTACCCTGCATGGGACACTCCTTCCACTCACAAGTAGCCTATGACAATGATGATCTGACACACGAGACAGACCCAGAACTCCCAGTGGATAAATGGATTGTTCTTGCCAGTCTCAGGGTCCCAGATGGCCAAGTTAGGGAACACATTGCCAGGTCCGATCTTGTCTGGAGCAGTAGCTCGAGCAATCATGACGACGGCCGATCCGAGAATCTGAGCCCCGGCCAGCGTTGCGCAGACGTGCAAACGTGACAAAGTCTGGAGGAGGATCATTCCCAAACCGACACCTTGAATCGCATCGAGCACTCCGAGCCATAACCAGAGACATGTTCCGCTGCAGTAAATCAGCCAAGAGTCCGAGCCCCAAGCGAAGACGCCACTCACATGTATGGTCCAGCGACACCACCCCAGGGAACGAAGAGTCCCATTCCGGAAGTACCCCACCACATTTGACACCATCTCGGCGCACCGAGACCGACGGCAAAGACGGGAAGCAACCACGAGTGGACCTTGGAGTACTCTACGGAGACGTGTCAGTCCTGATACCGAGTCGGAGTCACTAGCTCACTGATTAAGAGACCCATAAAGAGACCCCAGACTCCAAGGAAGAAGACGGCAATTTCAATGACCACTGCCCACTTGGGAACATCTGCCTGTGCCCACAAGAATTGCCAGTTTCGACCGTACGGTGGAGAGAGCCAGTAATCCCTCAGGATTTCGGCAATCAAGAACCAAATGACCAGCTTGCGTCGGACCAATGTCTTGAAGAAGTTGGGCACATAGGGTGGGATCTAAATACGAGTCAGCCCGGCCATTGTCCTTCTGCCATGACTCACCTGATGATAATACTCTGGCAAACCACGGAACATGAGGAATGCAAAGATGAACGAGATGACGGAAAGGGGCCAGACAATGTACATGATGACCGTGGGCGTGACGTATTGGTCCGGGTTGATACCGTTGAGCGTGTAACCCCAGTACCACAGAGCGGAGACCCAAATCTGTTGCAGACCTTGAACGACACATGCTCGAACGACCCAGACCTCGGTGGCGGATCCAGCTTCGTCTCCAAAGTTGAGACCGAAGAAGAGGAAACCAGCGCCAGAAGCGACGGCATAGCACCAGACAGCGACACGGGAAATGATCTGTCGATGAGGGGTAAAAATGCCGTGGAGAGATGGGAATCCGATGAGGATAAAGGCGATGCCGAACCTGAAAGTGAGCCGGTGTCTGTGGTCTGATTCACTCACATGATCCATGGCACGGTCAAGACCCAAACAGATGGCTTCATCCTGAACAAGGTGTACCAGGCAATGGAAGCGACAAAGAAGATGGACGAGATGATGTACAGGTCAATCTCCGTCATGGTGTTGGTACCGCCCAACAAACTCAATTGGAATGAGGTCTGCAAAGATCAGCTATGATGCCTGTGATCCCGATAACTCACCGCAGAGAGTAATTGACCGCACGAAATGACGATGGTGTACAATGGCCATCCGAGGATCGATTTCTGCAGGAAGACTTGGACCCGGTTCATGTGTTCCGTATCGGGATTCTCTTCGTACATGCTTCCACCATAATCATCATGTGCCATCGTTCGATCATCATAGTCGGATCTCGAATACGGTGCGATGGAAGGCGGGCGAGAGGACAGCGCTGTGGATGGTCAATCACCATTAACCCCCAATTTTCGACTCACATTCCGGTCTGAAACCGTCCATCATACTCTGAGGTCGAGAATGGATAAACGAGTCCCTCGACCTGACTGACATAGCAGACATCTTCTCCTTTTTCACTTCATCAAAGAATGCCTTTTCACTCTTGATCAAAAACTTCTCAATACACAGATCGCCTTGAGAGTTTCCAGCACTGAGATCCCTGAGTTTCTGTACGAAAGCCTGTGCGACTTCTCCGTCCGAATCGGTAAACGTCTCCATGGCCTTATTGAGCGGCGAGCTTCCCTTTTCATCCACGATTGACGAGATAGAGTCGAAACTGGAGACTCGGCTGTGAACTGTGAACGGTCGAGATGGAGGCATATCCCCGCTCATACTGTTCCGAGACTCAAAGTATGGATCGGGTGCATTTCGGCCACCGCTCTGTTTCGCGAATTGCTTGTTGGCAGCTGCCAAAAAGTTGTCATATGTCTGAGGCGTTTCACGAAGTGATCCAACGACGGTCGATTCACCATGGTCGGAACTGCCCTGAGAAGACGGCGCATCCTCGTCATCGTATCCTCCTTGGAAGAACTTGGGTCGAGATTTGCGCTTGTCATCAAAGTACAGTGGCTGGGCATTGGGGTCCTCATCGTAGAATGATTCAGCAGAGACTCGGTTGGCAGCGCGGTTGTTGCCAGGCTGGAGTTGGTTGTCAAAGTAACCCTGTCGTTCCGCTGGAGATCCAGATAGTCGTCGGTCATGTAATGCTGGCGAGTTCGGAGCCGTTGAATCGGGAGTAGCCGATCGACCCCATTGACCAGCGACCAGAGACGTCTGACTGCCTGGATCCTGTTGGTAGAATCCACCGCTCATTCCAACTTGGTCGTATCCCCATGCGTGCTCTCCCGCATGCGAACGAGACGTGTTAATACTTCGTCGTTGGAAATCTTCCAAACGTTGACGCCATTCGACGACGGGGAATCGTTGTACAGCAGATCGAGCACGGAGGATCGCTCGCTCATGCTCGGTCGACTTGAGAGCCAACTTGATCGTCTTGGTCAGTTGCGACAGCATGTGCTGTGTGGCACTCGACTCGACAGGGAACCACTGTGATAAGTTAGCAATGTGAAAGTCACTCGTACCCACCCATCCTGGCATCAGACCCAATCCTCCCAGTCTCGATCCAACACCCAAAGCACCCTTTCGTCCAAATTCGACGGCGACCAGACCGAAGGGCTCGTCACGCGAAGGAATCAGAGCAAAGTCGGCACCACTGAACAAATACGGTGGCAAGGCGGTAAATTCTGGTTTCGAGTAGACTCTGTCAGGATACATTTCCATCAATCGCGCCAGTTTTTCGGCGGCAAATCGTCCGTAGAGATCAATGACAGGACCAACACAGATAAGTTGAATCTTTGGCTTCTTTTCCAACAGGGACGGCATGACATCGGCAATGAGATCGACACCCTTTTGCTTGGACCATCGACCAACAAAGACAAACAGGTCGGAATTGGGATCCTGCTTGATTCCTGCCCATTCTTGAGCCTGTCGCTTGTTTTCAGGACGTTTGGCTTCGGCCTCTTGGTCGATCTCAATCTTGCCAACGGCCAGAGGTTGTTCGTCCAAGGCCGCAATATCCGTCGGATCAGGGTTGGGTAATGAGTCAATGTTTCGTAGGGTCCAGAGCGCAGGGTATCGAGCCCAAGATCGTTTACCATACTTGTCAGAGACACCTGCCACACCAACACTCTTCTGATGATGAGAGATGAAGGACGCGGCGGCGTGTAACAAGTTGAAGGTGTTTCCGAATTGAACGTACTTGGAGCAAATGTCCTTTGGGATGTTGAAAGCCGCACAGACTTCCTTCATCTCGTCCTTGGTTCGAAGTGGCCACAGACCTTGGAATTCGGCATTGTGCAACGAGAGGCATACTGGCAAAATCTGAGGCAACAAGTAGAGGGGCGCGAGAGCACCGTGGTAATCGTTAATGTGGTAGATATCGACGATCGGGTTTCGTCGGATCGCCTCGGCAATCGCCTGGTTCCAAGTCGAATAGAAAATGGCCGAAGACAAGTCATCCATTCGTTGAGGGTAAGGATCAGACTTGGTTTGCGCACGGAAGACTGGCGAATCGAGAATGATATAAGTGATATTGTCCAGCTTGTGAGTCTCCACTTCGATCAAGTACGGCTCGCCAAAGATGATGACTTCAATAGGCTCGGCGTATTCTCCTTGAGGGTAGTCCAGGTCTGCAACCTTTGGCACGACCCAGAGCAGATCAACGTCCGTCATGGCTTTGCCCATGAGCGACGACATCACACCGAGACCTCCAATCTTGACCTTGAGTTTCCAGTCGATGATCTCATACTCAAGTGTCGCGATCAATACCTTACGCCGCTTGTTCTGATCCTCTGGCCAGCCAATGATCCTGTCATTCTTGCTATGCTTGTCGGCGAGCACCATGGCACCCTTCTCATCGATATCCTTCTTGTCCTTCTCCTTGTGTCCAATGGGGAAGTAGGAAGTCTCCTTGGAAGGCTTCATACCCCATTTGTTGACCTTGATGGAGTAGAAAGAGTATCGGAAGATGGCAGCAGCCGCGAGCGCCGTAATGGCAGGAATGGCACCTAGAAGAGCAAAGGCAATGGTTGTGACGTTTTGTTGACCGATCGGACTGATGTTCCACTCGCCAGTGACCTCGTTGATCATGACGTTCCAAGCGAGATGAGGAGCGGGCGGGACGGAAATGTTTAGGAAGTTTGGTTGCAGAGCGTTCGGAGGCAATCGGTCAATAATACCGTCAGAATCTGTATCTCCGTAGAAGTAGTCGTCAAAAGACCAAATGTTGAGTTGAATGTAAGCTGGCCAGGCCGACATGAAGGGGAAGGTCCAGATATGATCCGTACTGTTGAGCTCGAAGTGCGCTTGCGCACCGAGATCGAAGCCCCAAGTGTTGAACTGACCTCTGGCGAGCAACTGTGGCCAACGTCGTTGTCCACCATCCCAATCGGCATCATCGTGGACGGTGTGGAAACTGGATCCAGAGATCTCACTCCAGTATTGGCAAATCACATGATGTCCTTTCCACCACTGGTTCTCGAACAAAGTGGCGTTGAGTTCACTCGATCCGCCAGTGTAGTTTTGCCACGGTTCCCAATTTTGACCAAAGTCGGCAGAGTATCGCCATTGGTCAGCCCCTGGGGCAGTGTGGTTGACGGTAAAGGTGTTGCCAGAGACTGAGAAGAGGTTATCATGGTAATCATTATAAGGGAACACCATGATGTTGTCCTCCTGTCCGACTCGGAAGATCAAGTGGTCCACGGCGTCAGTGTTGACGCCAGCTTGCTGTGCGGCAAAGCTGTTGATGGTGATCTCATAAATTCCATCCACAGCACCGGTGATCTGACCCTCCCATCGCCAAGCGGATGGCGCAACGGAGACCAAAAGACCAGGGTCGGTCTCAATAGTCAGACAACGTCTTGTGGTGATCTGCGGGTTGCCATTTTCTCCAACAGCAGAGTAACTCAATGACATGGCATTCTCGAGAGCCTGACAATCCATGGGCGTGTCATACTCGATGGCGAGGTTGATCGTGCTGGCTGATTGGAGACGGGCATCATGACCGGGCTCAAACTTGCTGATACTGGCGGGTTGAGGCTGCCACTGGCTGATGGGAACGAACGCCTTGTATTCAAAGGGTCTGAGATTCAGTTGATCGCCCAGACAACCTGTGTAGGGTGCTTCGTTATTCTGGTAGTAAGATTGGGTCGAGTCGACCAATGTAAAGTTTTCAAATGGA